CTATAAATCTGAATAATCATTGTAAACTTCTCTCCAATAATTGAAAAATCCTTCAAAGAATTTAATACCTAAACCAATATCTCTAGTTCCAATTGCAGCACGGATTGAGTGCATGGAAAGCTGAGGCAAACCTAAATCAATACAACGAGCACCAGTTTGACTTGAAAGGGAAGGTCCAATTGTTCCACCTGATCTTGAATCGTTTCTGATTTGAAAATATTGTAATTTATCATTATTTTTTAAAGCAATCTGTTCAATTAATGATAAACCTATTGAATCAGTAGCCATATGACCATTTGGATCTAATGCTATAGCAACCCCTTTATTTGGAATTGGTGCATGATTTTCTAAATATACATTTTTAAAATTTGGATTTAATAAATGATTAACATCAGCAGATAATATAATTGAATTAGCAAAAGCCAATCTCAAAGCTTCTTGATGATCAAAATAACTGGTTGATAAAACTCTTGATGCTACTGATTCAATTAAACCACCTTTAGCTCCTTGTCTAGTTAATGAACCAACTTCTTCATTATCAAATAAACCAATAATTGAAAAAGAGTCTGATTTTAAATGATTTTTGTTTGCCGAATTAATCAAAGATCTTAATGCAGCATAGGAGCAAACTCTATCATCAATTCTAGGTGCAAATACAAATTCTTTATTTAAACCACCTCTAACACCCTTTTGAACATCGTATAATTGTAAATCCCATTGATAAATATTTTCTACTTTGACATTCGCTAATTTTGCAATGAACCTCAATAATTTAATTGAGTGTTTTCCAAATAATGGTGCTTTCTTTTCATTTTCCGTAGCTTCATCATCATCTTCAGCTGAGAAACCAATAACTGGAACAGCTTGTGTTTCAGTATTAAATGGACCATTAGCTGGAGTTCCGAAATGTGGTGCTAATGTAGGTATATGTGCAATAGGATTCGGAGTTGAATCGACCAATTTTTGTTCAATTTTGCCTTTGTCATCTTTAATCAATAATCTACCACCAATACCTAAATCTCTATCCCACCAAAGAGATCCTAATGTTCCAGCATATGGCGCCACACCTAATAATTCATAACCATCAACTTTTTCTTTTGTAGAATTTGGTTTAAGAATTGTGGTTAATGAATCAATATGGGAGCCAATTGCACCAATACCATACTCTGGTTTCCAATCTTTACCAAAAACAAAAGCAGCTAATGAAGAACCATTTCTAATTGTAAAATATTTACCAGGTTTAACATCATCCCAAGAATCCAGTTCTGAAATGTAGGTAAAATCATTTTTTATTAATTCTTTTTTAAAAAAATCAACAACATGATAAATAGTTGGGTTCTCATAAGTAAAATTGATATAATCATCAGCAATTTGTTCCAAGTTTTCAGGAGTAAAAGAATTGTCGTCTTTTTGAGGAACAACAGGTTTAATATTAGCAGCTTCTTTTTCAGGTTGTAATTCTTGTAACTTTTTTAAAGATTCATGTAATCCTAATAATATATCATCTATTGTTGACATTTTGAATCAGTAGTAATTGTTTGAGTTGAATAATAAATAAACGAATGAATGAATTTGAATTGTTGGAAGTGCGGAATTAATTTGACTTTTGTGTAACTAGATATAAAATCAATAGTATGTAATCACAATAGAAGTTGAAGAGAGATTATTAATACATGATAACTTATGAATTGATAATGATAAGATAGTATTTAGTATTACTTGTCAACCCCAGGGTCAGAACAAAAAGGCAAACAAACTTTTGAAATATCCACTCTTTGCAATCGAAACTTCCATAGTAATTATAAAAACCACTCATTATATCTAAGCAGCTCAAATGATAAAGTATATTATCGATTAGAAACTATTAATTATCAATTAGAAACTATCAATTATCAATTATCATCAATTAGAAACTATCAATTATCAATTATCATCAATTAAATAACCATTTTCATTCAGTTTTTTCATTCAATTTTAATTGAAGTTTTTTTGATGAAAAAAAGAAAAAAAAAAAAAAAAAAAATCGGCCTCATCATCCTCATCATCATTACCACCTTTATCAATTAATCTATAATAATGTCTAAATCTTTTGATGACTTTATAAAACAACAACAACAAGCTCAGAATAAACCAAAAGGTTTTGGTTATAGAGGTAATGCTGCTTATAATCAACAATACAACAATCAACTATTTCAAAATTCTAGTCCTTATCAATACAATGCTAAACAAGCTCCTACATTTATTCCTCAAGCACAACAACAAGATTATTACAAAAAAAGTAATCAAAATTCATCCGTAACATCACCTATTGATTCTTTGCCAAATAGTGGAAGAAGTACACCATTACAACCTAATGCTTCATCCACTTCTTTGTCATCTTTAAACTCAGTTTTATCAAAACTTAATTTGCCAGATCTCCCATTTGAAGATAATTTAAATAATATAGAAAAAGCAACTAAAATTGGAGAAGTAAGAAATGAAGTAGATCAAATTATTAATACAATCGAAGACAAAGATTTGCCGAATTTAAATACAGATTGGAAATTAAACGATATTTTGAAATCATTGTTAAAACCCAAGAACTCTCCATTAGTGAAAGAAGCTGCATTGATGATTATTCAACAGCTTGCATCTAAATTTGGAGGCAAAACTCCATCTGAAAGTTATTTCTTGCCATATTTTTACACAGCTTTTGAAAGTTTTAGTGATAAAGACAAAAATGTAGTCAAAGCAGCTAAATCTACAATCGAATCATTATTTGGTATTTATCCTACTGAGGCTTTGGGTACAGTGGTTTTGGAAGAATTTTTAAGTATCTTTCAAAGTGGTGCAAAATGGCAATCAAAAATCGCTACTTTAAATTTTTTTGACAAATTAATAGATGAGGTACCTGCAGATATTTTGGAGTTAAAGTTTAAAAATGTAGTCCCAGTTTTAACTGATTTATCAACCGATTTCAAGCCGGAATTAGCTAAACATGGTTTACAAACATTAAAAAAATTTGTTAAAATTTTAGATAATTTGGATTTGCAAAATAAGTATGATTTGATCGTTGAGACTTTAGCTGATCCACAAAAAGTTACTAATTGTATCAAAAGTTTATCTTCAGTTACATTTGTGGCCGAAGTTACAGAACCTGCGTTATCGTTGTTGGTTCCAATTTTAGATAAATCATTAAACATGTCTTCTTCATCAAACGAGCAATTAAGACAAACAGTTATGGTTACAGAGAATTTAACTAGGTTGGTTAATAACAAAAGAGAGATTGAACATTATATCCCAATTTTATTACCTGGAGTTGATAAAGTTGTAAATAATGCTTCTTTGCCGGAAGTTAGGGAATTGGCGGATAAAGCTTTAAAAGTTTTGCTTGATGCCGAAAATGAACAAACAGATGGTAAATTTCACGGTAGAATAAACTTAGATCAAGCGAAATCATTCTTTTTCGAAGATATTGAAGAAATACCAGAACTGGTAAAAAATCCAAGTGATTATTTGTGTCAAATATTACAAGTCGACGCTAATGTGAACGATTGGAAAAGATTAAAAGATTATTTGGTTATGGTTACTAATGATAATTCATATAGTGATCAAGTTATTTTGAATTTGAAAAAGTTATTTAACCCTGTAGCTATAAATGATGATGATTTAGAAGAAGGAGCCGTAATTATTGTTGATGCTGAATTTTCATTAGCCTATGGGACAAGAATGTTATTAAATAAAACAAATTTGAAATTATTAAAAGGTCATAGATATGGTTTATGTGGTAGAAATGGTGCAGGAAAATCTACATTGATGAGATCAATTGCAAATGGTCAATTAGAAGGATTTCCGTCGTCTGACGAATTAAAAACATGTTTTGTTGAACATAAATTACAAGGTACAGAGGCAGAAATGGATTTAGTTAGTTTTATTGCATCTGATCCTGAATTAAAAGATGTTGGTAAAAATCAAATTAAAGATGCATTGATGGAAGTTGGTTTTCCAGAGGAGACTTTACAAAGACAAGTTGGTTCTTTATCTGGTGGTTGGAAGATGAAGTTGGAATTAGCAAGAGCTATGTTAATGAAGGCTGATGTGTTATTACTAGATGAACCTACCAATCATTTAGATGTGGCAAACGTTAAATGGCTTCAAGATTATTTGATTGAACATACTGAAATTACATCACTCATTGTTTCTCATGATTCCGGCTTTCTTGATGCTGTTTGTACTGATATTATTCATTATGAGAATAAAAAGTTGGCTTATTATAAAGGAAATTTATCAGAATTTGTGAAAGTTAAACCAGAAGGTAAATCTTATTATACATTAACTGATTCAAATGTCAAAATGACTTTCCCACCGCCAGGTATTTTGACTGGGGTTAAATCAAATACAAGATCAGTTGCTAGAATGACTGATGTTACATTCACATATCCAGGTGCAGCAAAACCTTCATTGAGAAATGTATCTGCTTCTTTATCTTTATCCTCAAGAGTTGCAATTTTAGGTCCCAATGGTGCTGGTAAATCAACCTTGATTAAATTATTAACTGGTGAGACTGTTCCAGATTCAGGTAAGGTTGAAAAACATCCGAACTTAAGAATTGGATATATTGCTCAACATGCACTACAACACGTTGAACAACACAAAGAAAAAACAGCCAATCAATATTTACAATGGAGATATAGATTTGGTGACGACAGAGAAGTTTTATTAAAGGAGTCGAGAAAAATTTCAAAAGAAGAAACTGCCATGATGGAAAAAGAAATTGATATTAATGATGGCAGAGGTAAAAGACAAATTGAAGCTTTAGTTGGTAGACAAAAATTGAAAAAATCATTTCAATATGAAGTTAAATGGAAATATTGGTTGCCAAAATACAATTCTTGGGTACCGAGAGAAGTTTTAATAGAAGAAGGATTTGAAAAGTTGATACAGAAATTTGATGATCATGAAGCTTCGAGAGAAGGTCTAGGATATAGAGAATTAACACCAAGTGTTATAAGAAAGCATTTCGAAGGAGTTGGTTTAGACGGTGATATTGCTGATCATACACCAATGGGTTCATTATCAGGTGGTCAATTAGTCAAAGTTGTTATAGCAGGTGCAATGTGGAATAATCCTCATTTATTAGTTTTAGATGAACCTACAAATTATTTGGATCGTGACTCATTGGGTGGATTAGCTATTGCTATTAGAGAATGGGCTGGTGGCGTAGTTATGATTTCGCATAATAATGAATTTGTTGGAGCATTATGTCCAGAACAATGGCACGTAGAAAATGGTCAAGTTATACAAAAAGGTACAGTAGCTGTTGACTCAGCAAGATTTGAAGATAATGGCGGTGAAGCATCTAAAGAAGGTTCACCAGCTCCTTCCATAAGTTTAAGATCAAATACTCCTAGACCAGATGATGATGATTCACCAGCAAATATTAAAGTAAGAACTAAGAAAAAGAAAATGACAAGAAATGAAAAGAAAGCACAAGCAGAAAGAAGAAGATTAAGATATATTGAGTGGTTAAATTCACCAAAAGGTACTCCAAAGCCTGCTGATACTGATGATGAAGAAGAATAGGTTTATAGAGATTAATATAGAGAAAGTCGTGTAATTTATAATTTACATATATTTTTTTTAAATTTTGTTTCAAATAATTGAGGGCGAATTTAATTTTATCAAAAGCTAAAGCATGGCAGACAGATATTCATTTTCATTAACTACATTCTCCCCAAGGTATGTAAACACCTCAATGATTTGTTGAAGTAATACTAACAATATTAGTGGTAAATTGGTACAAATAGAATACGCATTAAATGCTGTAAAACAAGGAGTAACTACAATTGGAATAAAATGTGATAATGGTGTTGTATTAGCAACAGAACGTAAATCTAATTCAACATTAATAAAAAATGATACAAATACAAAAGTTGAATATATTACACCAAATATTGGAATGACTTATAGTGGAATGGGTCCAGATTTTAGAGTTTTAGTTGACAAAGCTAGAAAATTAGCTCAAACAAATTATAAACGTATATATAATGAATATCCACCTGTTAAAATTATGGTTCAAGAAATTGCGAAAGTAATGCAAGAAAGTACACAATCTGGTGGTATAAGACCATTTGGTGTTTCACTATTAGTTGGTGGTTACGATGATCATAATGAAAAATTTCGATTATATCAAGTTGATCCAAGTGGTTCATATTTTCCTTGGAAAGCAACAGCAATAGGTAAAACATCAAATTCAGCAAAGACTTTTCTTGAAAAAAGATGGAATGAAAATTTACAATTGGAAGATGCAATTCATGTTGCTTTATTAGCTTTAAAAGAAAGTGTTGATGGTGAATTAATTGGAGAAAATTTGGATATTGCTGTAATTAGTGATCCACAAGATCAATTATTAGGATTCAAAGGTACTACTATTGAAGGTCCAAGATTTAGAAAATTAACGGCTGATGAAATTAATGATACTTTAGATTCTTTATAGATGAGTAAATACACATATTGATATTGATTGATGATATATATATATTATTTTTTTTTTTTTTTTTCGCAATTTCTAGTTTATCTCATCTGCATGGAAAAATTTCAGATCATCTCTTTATCATGGTTAAAAAGGGTAGTAATAACAAAAGTAATAAAAAGAGAAGTATCCAAAAAGTGTTAGATGCTTACCAAATAGCTGAAAGACAAGAAAATAGAAACAAGAATAAAAATATTGATAATGAATCAGAAGATGAAACCAATTTATCAAAAGGTATACTAGACGCAAGGAAATTTTTATCAGAAGATTCAAGAAAAGAGGATTTATTAGATGAAGAATTAGATTCAGATGAAGCTTTAGGATCAGATGATGAGTACGATATTTTAAATTCAAGGTTTTCACAATCGATTAGAGATAGAATAAAAAAGCAAAAAATAGGTCAAAAAATAGGTCAAAATTCTGTAAGTGAAGAAGACGAGGAAGGTGGATATTCAAGTATAGATGAAAATCAATTAGTTACTTTATCAGAAGCATGGGATTTGGATGACAAAGATTTACAGGAAACTTTAAAACAAAATCCAAAAGCGAAACAAAATAATGAATTAGTTTTAAATGATGGTTGGATAACAGAAAGTTCAGTAGCTGATTCTTCAACAGGTGATGATGAAACAACAGATTCTTCAGATGCATCTTCAGATGAAGATGATATTTTTCAAACTACAAATAATGAAGAGTTTAATTTAACTAAAACTTTAAACAGATTGAACTCGTCAATTGCATCAAAAAAGCCTAAGGAGAAGAAAAAGCTTATAAACGAATCAAGACAGGAGAATGAATTCAACTTGCCAACTAATGGTCAGCATTTAAGTATACAGGAAATGATGCAAGGTGTGGAGGGAGAAGAAGACAATCCTATCTTGATAGATCAAAGCTCGAAATCCATTGCTACGCCATTACCACAACGTATTCAACAAAGAAATGATCGAGGTATAGCATATGATTTAGCAAAAAAAGAAATTAGCAAATGGACAGATACTATTCAACAAAATAGACAAGCAGAGGTTTTAAAATTTCCAATGCAACAAATTGAGAAGCCACCTACCACAGCTACAACATTTAGATTGGAAAATCAACCAGAAACTGAACTTGAAACTAAAGTCAATCATATTTTATCCCAATCAGCTCTTATAGATGACAAAAAAGAATCTACATTTGAGGAAATTGAAATGGCAAAATTAACACCACAAGAATTAAAGAAAAGAACCAATGAACTAAGGTTAATGAGGGAATTGATGTTTAGAGAGGAGAAGAGAAATAAAAGGTTGAGGAAGATAAAATCCAAAACATATCATAAAATAAAGAAACGAGAAAGAGAGAGAAATAAAGAATTAGTTGAAACTGATGAAGAGGAAGAGGAAGACCAAGACATGAAAAGAGCAAAAGAAAGGATGAGCTTAAAACATAAAACACAATCAAAATGGGCTCAATCTATGATCAAAAGTGGTTTATCGAAAGATGCATCAAATAGATCAGAATTAGAAGAAATGTTGAGGCAAGGTGAAAAATTACGTGAAAAACAAATCAATTACGATATTGATCACAGTGATGAAAATGTTAGTGAGATAGAAAAAGAATACGAGAATGAATTAGAGCAAGATAGATCAAAGTTGGGCAAAGGTATTATGAATATGAAGTTTATGAAAAATGCAGAAGCTAAAAAGAAAGAAGAAAATTTGAGTTATATACAAGAATTAAAAAACTTTAAAGAAAACAGTGACGTTGAAGACAACGAGGAAAATAACAATTTAATAAACTTAACAAAAAATCAAGGACGTAGAGTATACAATCCAACTGCATCACCCGAATTAGAAGGTGATGATGAAAGACAAAAAAAAAATAATCTAGAAGTTAGAGAAGAAGTAAGAGAGATTGAAGAAACTAATGAAATACCAAAACAAATTGATGAAGAGAATCCATGGCTCATTTCAACCTCAGATTCGAAACAAAAACTGAATAAAATCACCACTATTGAGAAAGACTCTTCGACATTAGCCAAATCAGCCGCAAAGATTGCAAAATTAAAAGCTAGAAAGGGTATGAGTAACGAATCTTTAATCCATTTTGAAAATTCAATGGTATTTCAAAATGAAGAGGATGAAGATGAAGAGGCTCCTCAAATGTTTAAACAAAAAGATTTGATAAAACAAGCATTTGCAGGGGATGATGTAGTAGCCGAGTTTGAAAATGAAAAGAAAAGAGTCATTGAAGATGAAGATGACAAAGAAGAAGATGTGACATTACCAGGTTGGGGTGATTGGGCAGGAGGTTCACTTAGGAAAAATAATAAGAAAAGGAAATTTATTCGTAAAGTAGATGGTGTAATGCAAAAGGAGAAAAGAAAAGATAAGAATTTGAAAAATGTTATTATAAACGAAAAAATCAATAAAAAGAATTTGCAATACCAATCTAGTGATGTTCCTTACCCTTTTGAAACAAGAGAGCAATACGAAAGATCTTTAAGAATGCCAATTGGTCAAGAATGGACTTCAAGAGAAACCCATCAAAAATTAACAATGCCTAGAATAATTACGAAACAAGGTATGGTTATAGATCCTTTAAAAGCACCTTTTAAATAAAATGTATAATTATTTTTTTAGTCTATTAAAATTCCATTTCGTTCAGCCCATAATCTTCCAGAAAGGAAGACTCCATCAGGATCAGTCTTTTTTCTAATTTGATTGAATTTGATTAAATTATCTCCAAACCAATCTCTAATGGTAGATTTGTAACCAATCATAGAATAGAATGGTTTACCTCCAAAATCGATTTGGCTTTTCAAATCTTGTAGGTCTTGTTTATCAGTTTCTAAACCAATGAAATTCTTTGCCCAATGAGGTTTTCCATTTGCATTTCTCATGACATTTTCAAATTTAGTAAACCATTCATGAGTTTCAACATTAGTGTGGAATGGTCTATACATTGTTGCATTGATAAATAAGCCTAACTGGTCATTTGTAGGTTTATTACTTTCACTGTATGGTAAATTAGGAGAATTATCTAAATAAGCTCTCAAGTTATTCCCGGGTATCGGACCAGGACTTAATCTATTTTTATTTCTCAACCATTGTTGAGATGGGTATAACGAATCTTTACCTTCTTCATTTTGAAATGGTTTATTTGATTGAGTTACATTAGAACACCTGACTTCAATTGGTGCATGGACATAGAATTTACTTGTCTTTTGACCTTCAATGATAATATCTTTCAATTTATTCAAAATATCTGGACCATGAACTAATGGAGCAGACCATTCATTAACAAATTGACTGAATAAGCAATCCATATTTAACGCCTCAACCGAATTTTGTATAGCAATATCACCTGTTCCCAAAGTTTCGACATTACCGTATTGTTGAACAAAAACAAATTTCTCAATATATGGAGTTAATTTTGGAGCCAAGTGAACACTGATCCATAATAAAGATTCATAAAATAGTCTACCAGTCCATGTGCCGTACCATGAATATCTTGGTTTTGTAAGTTCTTCATCTGATTTATTAGCTCTCCATAATACACATTTGTTAGTATAAGGAAACCACCAAATTCTTATAAATTCACTTTCTAACCAAACGTTATCCCATTGTTTAATTAATGTTTCAAAATTTATAATTTCTTGTTTCGATTTAATTGTATATCTTGGACAACATCTTAATGTTACGTGAGTGATAATACCAATCTTACCCAAGGATAACAATATAGCTTTAAAATATTCTTGATTTTCAATTGAAGAACATTTAATCAGTTTACCTTGGGAGTTTAAAAATTTAATTTCAACAATTTGTTGCGCAATTAAACCATGATATTGAGTTGAACCATGGGTACCAGTTGAAATTAATCCTGCAATTGATTGATCACTTATCGAACCTAAATTTTGAATAGCTAGTTTATTTTTCTTTAGATATTCATTTAATTCAAAAATTCTAATACCAGCTTCGACTGTTAAATCAACAAATTTAATTTCTTTAGATTTTTCATCGAATGTTGGACCATAAAACTCTTGTTCGTGAACAACTTTATTAAATTTATCCAAATTACATAACCACTCATTTGTCATTGTTAAATCACTAGGAGAATGACCTGAGCCAACAGTCATTATGGTCTTTTTACAAATTCTTGCTTGATTGATCAATTCTTTTATCTGTTCTTCATTTGTAGGTTGAAAGATTGCTTGAGGTTTACAAATGAAGGTACCAGCCCATGTGGTATGAAAGAATTTAGTAGTTACAAATGATTGTAAACATTGTGGTATATTACTAATTGTCATTTTAAATGTATAATAAAGATTTTCAACCGTTTAATGTTCGAAAAACTCGGAAAAGAATATAATTGCAAAATGACAAAAGAAATTGAAAGTATGGAAATCAAACGATTAAAATAATTAATAATATTAATTTTTGATTCAATAATAAGGCCGTACTACGTTGACCGTCAGAATTATGTACATAGTGAACAAAAACAAAATCTGTGTTGATATATGTAAAAATAATGAACCAAATTCAAGTTCAATAGATCGGTTTTAAATCTTGAATATACAGAACAGTATATATTTTAAGAATTATATTGTTCTTCTTTGTTCTAATCAAATAGTAGTAGTTTCTTTGTATCATCTCTTTTATATACGAATTTAATATTTTTTCTGTTGATCACAATTACACTACCTCGCACCAATTTTTGATGGAAGCTGATCTATCAAATAATCGTGTATACCATAGAAAATTGTCAATATATTAATTGTACACAGGGTTTACTTAAAATTGTCAATATATTTGTTGTGCACAGAGTTTACTTAATAATGTATGAAAGATCGGTTGTAACTGATATTTCCAATATCATTATGTCTTAATTGAGACAAACATAGGTTTAAATAGTAGAAAACGCGTGTACATTTAATTTATAGAATGATAATAGCAGCACATCATTTGACTTATAAAACACCTATTAATAATAACATAGTCTAAACTGATTTGTTTATTACATCATCCTCCAAATTTATATACCAGTTTAATGAAATATGATTCAATAGTAATTTTAAGTACCTTAAATTAAAACTGTTGATCAAATTTTCGTCGTATAAAAATGAAAAAAAAAATTGTTTACATACGAAATAAAAATTAACGTTCTAAAAAACAGAAAAAATATATAAACTAAAGAATTTTCAATCAACAATTTTTCTCTTTTTTTTTAAATCAATTATTCTTTCATTTGTATTAATAGATTTAAGTAGTATATTTAATTCAGTGATTCATCTAATAGAATTTAATTAATCATGACAAAATCACCACAAAATATTGGTATAAAAGGTATTGAAGTTTATATTCCAGGTCAAGCTGTTAATCAAACAGAGTTGGAAAAATTTGATAATATTCCACAAGGTAAATACACTATCGGATTAGGACAAACTAATATGTCATTTGTTAATGATAGAGAGGATATTTATTCAATTTCATTAACTGTTTTATCAAAATTAATTAAAAATTATTCAATTGACACCAATAAAATTGGTAGATTAGAAGTTGGCACTGAAACTTTATTGGACAAGTCTAAATCAGTTAAATCAGTATTAATGCAATTATTCAAAGATAATAACGATATTGAAGGTATTGATACGGTTAATGCATGTTATGGTGGTACTTCATCAATTATAAATGCTATTAATTGGATTGAAAGTTCAAGTTGGGATGGAAGAGATGCAATTGTTGTTGCAGGAGATATTGCAATTTATGATAAAGGAGCGGCAAGACCAACAGGTGGTGCTGGAGCAATTGCATTATTAATTGGACCAGATTCTCCAATTGTATTTGATTCAATTAGAGGATCATTTATGGAACATGCTTATGATTTTTATAAACCAGATTTTACAAGTGAATATCCAGTTGTTGATGGACATTTTTCATTATCTTGTTATGTTAAAGCTGTTGATCAATGTTATAAAAATTATTCAAAAAAATTTGATAAATTTGAAGGTTTATTAAAACATTTTGACTTTAACGCATTTCATGTACCAACATGTAAGTTAGTTAGCAAAAGTTATGCAAGATTATTATATAATGATTTTAAACAAAATCCAGAAAATTTTAATTTAGATGAAGAAACAAAAAAACATATTTTAAATTTATCATATGATGATTCATTAACAGATAAAGTTCTTGAAAAAACATTTGTATCTTTATCAAAAGAAGATTTTAATAAAAGAGTTGCATCAGCATTAAAAGTACCAACTAATACTGGTAACATGTATACAGCATCAGCATGGGTTTCATTAGCATCATTATTGTATTATATTGGATCAGATAATTTACAAAATAAAAGAATTGGTATTTTTTCATATGGATCAGGTTTAGCATCAACTTTATTATCAGTTCAAGTTAAAGGAGATATTTCATATATAACTAAAATATTAGATTTTGATTTTAAATTGGGACAAGGTAGAAAAATTGAATCACCACAAGATTATGTAAATGCTATTGAATTAAGAGAAAAAGCTCATTTACAAAAATCATTTAAACCATCAGGTTCATTAGATCATTTATCTAAAGGAACTTATTATTTAGAAGAAATTGATGATAAGTTTAGAAGAAAATATGCTATTCAAGAATAAGTTTAATAAAAAAATGTATTAATATTATTATTATTATTATTATTATTATTATTATTATTATTATTATTAATATTCTAAATTAATTAAAATTTGAAAAAAACTCTTATCTAATTGAATCGATGAAGGTAGAATTTTGTATAAAACAATATTTAATATTTATTTTGAATCGATGAAAGTAGAATTTTGTATAAAACAATATTTAATATTTATTTTGATATGAACAAATAATAAATTGACTATAGAGAATAGATGAATATATGAGCTTTTAAGATTAAAAATATAGATGTATGTGTATTGCGATAGTAAGTAAAAAAAAAAAAAAAACATAAAAATGGCTGCAAAATCTCGAAAAAAAAAAAAAAAAAAAAAAATAAAAAAATAAAAAAAATAGAAAAAAAAAAAAAAGACGACACAACAGAACGTGATTTATATAATAACAATAGATAAAAAGACTAGACTACTAATAATACACGTGACTAGTAGTAATAATATATCGTAATAATACATACTAATAATATATACTAATAATACATACTAATAATACATACTAATAATACATACTAATAATACATACTAATAATATATGTATTCTATAATATTAATTGATTAATACTTAATATCACAAATTGTGGTATTATACAATTTGAGTGGTAAATGGTTAAAATTACCCCTTAACAATATTTTTTTCTATACAATATTAAGTTATATATGTGTATTTATTTAGTTTGCTATATTGCTATATTTTATAATTAATATCATTGACCACCACCCCCCATATTATTATTAGTATTATTACTAGTATTATGTATAGTATTATGTATAGTATATAATTAGTATTATGTATAGTATATAATTAGTATATATATTCATAGTTTTTCCCTTGTATTCATTTTCATTTTATCCAATTTTTAATTAATAATGTTGCCATCATTAATTTACTGTTGGTTGTTATTATTTATACCTTTTGGTTTATCAGTAAGTAATAATAATAATAATAATAATAAAAATAATAATTTTAATCCAACTGATTTTAATCAATGGAGTAATAATGATTTAACTGAATTTTTAAGAGATCGTAAAATTGAAATTAATAAAAAATGGGATAATTCAAAATTAATTAGTTTAGCTGAAAATGAATTAAAAAATTTACAATCAAATTTTAAGTCAACAAAAGATCAAATTGATAAATTAATTGAACCAAAAAATTCAAATTTAGAAGATTATTTAAACTTTAATTATTTATTTAATAATCATAAAGATAAAAAAAATCAACAGAAAAAACAGTATTATAAAGATTATATCTTTAATTCATGGAATTTAAATAATGTTCAAAATTTTGCTAAAAAAAATGGTATAAAAATTGATAAAAATGATCAAAAATTTCAAATTATTGATAAAATAAAAGATTCGTTTGATCAATTAGTTAAAAAAAATTCCGGTTCAAATTATTATCCTGGAGATTGGTTATATAATTCTTGGTCAATTAAGGATCTACAACAATGGTTAAAAGAATATCAAATTGAGTTTAATCCAAATTCTAAAAAAGATGAATTAATTTCGCAAGTTAAAAAATATAATTATCAAGTTCAAGAATCTTTAGAGGATTCTAAAAATTCATTATTTAATTCTTTAAATTTATTTGATAAAACTATTTTTGATAAGACTGGTCAAATTAAAGACGATTTTTTTGAAACTTGGTCATATTCTCAATTAAGAGAATGGTTATACTTGCATGGTTTTATTGATACAAAACCGGATGTCTATGTCAAAGATTTATCGAAAGATAATTTAATTCAAACTGCTAAACAATATAAAAATTATTTATTAGATGATATTCATCAATGGTTAAATGATACAGAAAAAAATTCTTATGTGCCATGGCTACAAAAGGGGAACAATAAAAACAAGAAAAACAATGTTATAAATGATACATTCTTATTAAATATTCAAAATTGGTCAAAGGATAAATTGCGTGAATTTTTGAATGTTCGTCAAATTCCATATTCAATTTTTACTACAAAATCTCAATTAATTGAATTAGTTAAGAAACATAAATTTGATCCAGTTCATAGTGATGAAACAATTGCTTGGATTTTAAAATCAAATGACGATGAGTCTAAACAATCATTGATTTCATGGTTAAAAGAACAAGGTCAAAATATTGAAGGAGATTTAGCAAGTTTATTTAAATCAACTTATCTTAAATTTGGTTCAGGTTTGAATAATGTCGACTCACAAATTAGATTACATAAGCCTAATGTAAATGAATATAAAATTTATTTGGAAAAGAATTTGGATCCAAAAAAATATGAACAATTAACTGATGAAAAAATTGAAACTGGTTTTCAAATAGTTGAAGGTTATTTTAATAAAGCTAGTGAAATTGCAAAATCACAATTTTCTGATAAAAAATACGAAATTGATCAGGCATTGCAAGATATTGAGGATGCAAGTTATGAATATTCTGTTCAATTTTTAGATCAAGCACATACTGGCAAAAAACAAATTTCACAGTTTGTTAAAGATGCACAATTAGCATCTGAACAATTTGTAAAATCTTTGACTGGTAAATTAATTAAGGATTGGGAAAACGTTTCGAATGGCGTTCAGAGAAAAATTTCTGAATGGTGGTTTCAATCAAATAAAGAGTTGAATAAAGGTATCGATCAAACTAACCAAAAGATCTTGAATCTAAAAAATGATGCAAATGAAGCTATTGAAAAAGGTACAGATCAATTAAATGAAAAATATAAAGCTGTTGAAAAAGATGCAAAAGAAAAATTAGCTGCAGCAAAGAAGGAATCTGAAAAATTGGCTAAGGATTTTTCCAAAAAAACTGGCGAAGCTTATGACGAAGCTGCAAAAGTTGCTAGTGAAAAATATGAAGAAGCAAAACAATATGGTGGAAAAAAACTAAGTGAAGCAGCAGCTGCTGGTGGTGAATTATATGAAGAAGGAAAAGTTAAAGCTGGCGAATATTACGATGAAGCTTCAAAAATTGCAAGTCAAAAATATGACGAAGCTGTAACCGCAGGTGGTGCATACTATGATGAAGCTTCCAAACTTGCTGCTCAAAGATACGACGAAGGAAAAACCAAAGCTAGTGAATTGTATGAACAAGGTAAAAAAATTGGTGATCAAAAGTATAAAGAAGGAAAAGTTAAAGCAGGAGAATATTACGATGAAGCTTCAAAAATTGCAAGTCAAAAATATGATGAAGGTAAAGTTGCTGCTGGTGATTATTATGACCAAGCAAAAGAAGTTGGTGGTCAAAAATATGAAGAAGCTAAGAAGATTGGTGGACAAAAATATGATGAAGCTTTAAAAGTTGGTGATAAACATTATGTTAATCTCAAATACAGAATTAAAGATTTATATTATAATCTTTACACAACAATTTTATATTATACTGGATTTATAAATTATGAAAATTTAAACAAATCAATTGATTATACAAATGAAAAAATTGGTGAATCTTTTGATACTATATTTAATATTTTATCTAATGCTGATTTAAAATCATATCTTCAATCATTTGGTTATAATTATAAGTGGTTATCAAAATTGAATAGAAAACAATTGATTAAATTAGCAGAAGCACAAAATAAAGTATTTCATGGATATGATACGAATTTTGATAAATCAATTGGTGACATTATAAAAGATACAACTGATGAAGTTCAATATAAATTAGGATTAAAGAAAAAACCAGAATCATTTGCAGAGAAGTTAAAATCATTCTTGTTACACATATGGTAGCGACGAATCATCTAATGTTTGTAATTTATACTAAATAGGTAAAATAAATGTTAATGTCAGTAAGATTAAATGCAGGAGTATACGAAATATATTTTAAAAAATTGTAAACAAAAAAAAAAAAATAAAAAATAAGAAATTGATATACAAACACAAATCAAAAAATTTAATTAAATTTTAATCTTATTTGTAATTTGTTGATATTCTATTAATAATTTAATTTTTATCATCAATATTTTATCATGAGAGAAGTTATTAGTATCAATGGTATGTATCCTATTTTAAGGATTTAATATATGTAACGAGAAAAACACGTTACTAACAATTTTTTTTTAGTTGGACAAGCTGGTTGTCAAATTGGTAATGCTTGTTGGGAATTATATTCTCAAGAACATGGTATTAATCCAGACGGTTATTTACAAGAAGGTTTAGATAGACCTAAAGGTGGAGAAGAAGGTTTCTCAACTTTTTTTAGTGAAACTGGTTCAGGTAAATATGTTCCAAGAGCTTTGTACGTTGATTTAGAGCCAAATGTAATTGATGAAGTTAGAACTGGTGTTTATAAAGATTTATTCCATCCAGAACAATTAATTGCAGGTAAAGAAGATGCAGCGAACAACTATGCAAGAGGTCACTATACTGTTGGTAGAGAAATCCTTGATGATGTTTTGGACAGAATTAGAAGAATGAGTGATCAATGTGATGGTCTACAAGGTTTTTTATTTACCCATTCTTTGGGTGGTGGTACTGGTTCTGGTTTAGGTTCATTATTATTAGAACAATTATCCTTAGATTATGGTAAAAAATCAAAATTAGAATTTGCTGTTTATCCTGCTCCACAAGTTTCAACATCAGTAGTTGAGCCATACAATACTGTTTTAACAACACATACTACATTAGAACATGCAGATTGTACTTTTATGGTTGATAATGAAGCAATTTATGATATGTGTAGAAGAAATCTTGATATTTCAAGACCAAATTTTTCAAGTTTAAATAATTTAATTGCTCAAGTCGTTTCATCAGTAACTGCAAGTTTAAGATTTGATGGTTCATTAAATGTTGATTTAAATGAATTTCAAACAAATTTAGTTCCATATCCAAGAATTCATTTCCCATTAGTTAGTTATGCACCAGTTTTTTCAAAAACAAGAGCAAATCATGAAGCAAATTCAGTTTCAGAAATTACACAATCATGTTTTGAACCAGGTAATCAAATGGTTAAATGTGATCCAAGATCAGGTAAATATATGGCAACTTGTTTATTATATAGGGGAGATGTTGTAACAAGAGATGTTCAAACTGCAGTTGCTCAAGCCAAATCCAAAAAAACTGTTCAATTAGTCGATTGGTGTCCAACTGGTTTCAAAATTGGTATTTGTTATCAACCACCAACAGCAATTATAGGTAGTGAATTAGCTAGTGCTTCAAGAGCAGTTTGTATGTTATCAAACACTACAGCAATTGCAGAAGCTTGGAGAAGAATTGATAGAAAATTTGATTTAATGTATAGTAAAAGAGCTTTTGTTCATTGGTATGTTGGAGAAGGTATGGAAGAAGGTGAATTTACTGAAGCAAGAGAAGATTTAGCTGCTTTAGAAAGAGATTATATCGAAGTTGGTACTGATTCATTCCCAGAAGAAGAAGAGGAATATTAATGAATTTATTTGGGGTGATCATATTTTATTATTATTATTATTATCAATTATTATCTTTGGGCTAGTTTATTTCTATTTATACCCTTTAATATAGTTCAATTTGTAAAAATATTATTGATAGTAGTTCCTCGTCGTTTTTTTTCTTTTTTTTCAATGCGTTGTTTTTGTATTGAATCGGTTAGAATTATAATTTCATTAAATTTTTCACCAGATGGTACAAGATAAAAGAGAATTATTAAAACAACCATTACATGGGATATATATCCCAGTATTATTGATATTATTTGGTACTTGGATTTTCAGTTGGTCTTATATGCCATATAGTATTGCATTTATTGTAATAATTTTATCTTATAAATTTTATGGTGCTTTATCAAGAAGATCTTCATTACATAAAGTTAAATGGCAAGATTTTGAATTAATAGATAAAACTTTAATTGCACCAATGACATCTATTTATAGATTTAAATTGAATAATGAAAGAGAAATTTTAGAAATTCCAACTGGTCATCACGTTGCATGTTGTTTTACCATAGATGGTAAAGATGAAATTAGATATTATTCACCAATTTCGAATCAATTTGATGTTGGCTTTTTTGATATTTTAGTTAAGCATTATAAAAATGGGGTTGTCACAAGAAAATTGTCAAATTTGCAAATCGGTCAAACATGTAAATTTAGAGGACCATTCGGAAAATTAGATTATCAGCCAAATATGTGTAAAGAATTGGGATTAATTGCAGGTGGAACTGGTATAACTCCAATTTTACAAGTTATAACTGCTGTAATTACAAATTTAGACGATAATACTAAAATTAATTTGATTTTTGCAAATGAACATGAAAAGGATATTCTATTAAAAAATGAATTAGATGATATTGCAAGTAAATATCCTAATTTAAACATTTATTATACTTTAACTTATGCACCAGAAAATTGGACTGGAGGTGAAGGTTACATATCAAAAGAAATGATTGAAAATTACATGCCAAAACCAATTGAAGGTAATCAAATATTTATATGTGGTCCGCCAGAAATGAAAAAAATGTGTATCGAATTAACAAATGAAATAGGTTGGAATAAAGAACAAGTATTTTGTTTCTAGATTAATATATAATACCATTATAAAATATTACCGATTTTTAATTTAATACAAGCATATAATGTGAAGATGAGGATCTTTCGTAAAAAAAACGTTCTGTTTTCGTCTCGGAATTAATTCCCAATTGGGAAATCCGAAATTTTTAATCTCAGATCTTAATATTTTCCGAATTTGTATATAAAGATCTTTGAAATCCCTTTTTTTTATGTAATTAATCTAATCAATTGACTACTAGAGTTTATAATGTCAGCTATTAATATTCCAGGTAAATTTGGTTTTGGTACAATGTCAATGACTTGGACTCCAGAACCTAAACCATTTGAACAATCAATTGAAACTTTAAAGTTTGTTACTTCCCATCCTGAATTTGGTACTAAATTATTAAATGGTGGTGAATTTTATGGTCCAGATGATACTAATCTTAAGTTATTACAACAATTTTTAAAATCAAATTCACCTGAAGCTAATAAACAATTAATCATTTCAATTAAAGGTGGTATAGATATGTCAAAATTTGCACCAAATGGGTCAAAAGAATTTATTTCAAAGTCAATTGAAAATATAGTAAGTTATTTTCCAAAGGGTGAATTAAGACCAAAATTATTGTTTGAAATTGCTAGAGTCGATCCAAATGTTCCTTACGAAGATACAATTTCTTATATTGCTGAATACGTTAAAAATGGTTCAATCGATGGGATTTCATTATCCGAAGTTGGTATTAATTCAATTCAAAAAGCAATTAAAGTATATCCAATTTCATGTGTTGAATTAGAATTATCTTTGTTTTCACAAGAAGTTATCGATCAAGGTATATTAGCTGAGTTATCAAAACATCAAATTCCATTGATCGCTTATTCACCATTATGTAGAGGTTTATTAACTGATTCAACAGTTGAAAATTCAGACAAGTTCTTACAAAGTATTCCTCAACGTGATATTAGACATCATCTTGATAAGTTTAAACCGGAAATATTTGAAAAGAATTTACCAACTTTAAAGAAGCTTTATGAATTTGCACATAAAAAGAAAAATACATCATTAGAAAGCTTAGCATTATCATGGATTTTAAAAATATCAGGATTACAAAATTATAAGGGTATTAATAAAGTTACTCATATTTTACCTATTCCATCAGGTTCCACTAAAAGAAGAGTTGAATTAAATTTTGGCAATTTAATTGAATTAACAGACGATGATATTAAAGAAATCGATAATATTTTTAAAGAAAATCCAATTCAAGGTTTTAGATATAATGCTCAATTGGAGAATACTTTATTTCAATAGATATGAGTTATTTTAGTTAATGAAACTTTGAATATATAACTGATTATAAACTTTATTTAACTCTACATATTATTTGTTCATAATATAATTTTTCAAAACCAATTTTGATTTTGTTTCGTGCGATAAATTTATCAACAATCAGCAAAATGTCAAACCCAATTGGTATGTTGAAACTATAATCAATTGAGAATATTATTACTAACAATTCTCTAGTTCTTGATCAAGGTACTGGTTTTGCTAAAATAGGTAGAGCAGGAACTAATTTTCCTGATTATACATTTCCATCAATTGTTGGTAGACCAATATTACGAGCCGAAGAAAGAAATATATTAATTCCAGATGATATTAAAATTAAAGATATTATGTGCGGTGAAGAAGCAAGTAAAGTGAGATCAATTTTACAAATAAATTATCCAATGGAGAATGGGATCATAAAAGATTGGCAAGATATGGAACATTTATGGGATTATGCATTTTTTGAAAAAATGAAAATTAATACAACTGATCAAAAAGTATTATTAACAGAGCCTCCTATGAATCCTTTAAAAAATAGAGAATTGATGTGTCAAATAATGTTTGAAAAATATAATTTTGGTGGAGTATATGTTGCTATACAAGCGGTTTTGGCATTGTATGCCCAAGGTTTAAGTTCAGGTGTTGTTGTTGATTCGGGTGATGGGGTTACACACATTGTTCCAGTTTATGAATCAGTCGTATTGAATTATTTGACTAAAAGATTGGATATTGCTGGTAGAGATGTAACTAGAAATTTGATCAATTTACTTTTTAGAAGAGGTTATGCATTTAATAGAACAGCTGATTTTGAAACAGTTCGACAAATAAAAGAAAAATTATGTTATGTTAGTTATGATTTAGATTTTGATACAAAATTGGCTCATGAAACTACAACATTAGTTGAAAATTATGAATTGCCAGATGGTAGAATTATTAAAGTTGGACTGGAAAGATTTGAAGCTCCAGAATGTTTATTTCAACCTCATTTAGTTGATGTGGAACAACCAGGTGTAGGTGAGGCTTTATTTAATACTATACAAAGTGCAGATCTTGATATAAAACTGTCTTTATATAAAGCTATTGTATTATCAGGTGGGTCTTCAATGTATCCTGGTTTACCATCAAGATTAGAAAAAGAATTAAAGCAATTATGGTTAACAAGAGTATTACATGGAGATGCTTCAAGATTAGATAAATTTAAAGTAAGAATTGAAGATCCTCCTAGAAGAAAACATATGGTCTTTATTGGAGGAGCTGTTTTAGCAAACATTATGGCCGATAAAGAACATATGTGGATTACAAAACAAGAATGGGAAGAACAAGGTCCAAGAGTTTTAGAAAAGTTAGGTCCTAGATAAATTTAAAAAATGAAAAAAAAAAAATTAACATTATATATTTAATTTATCTAATTGCTGTAGTACATCTTTAACTATTTGATCATAAGCTTCACTAGGTAATACATTAGCTCTTTGAGTATATCCATAGTTTACTGACCGATGAACAATTCCTCTAATTACTGATTCATTGACGATTTTAGGATTTAAAAAATCACTTGTTAAACATTGTTCGATTGTAAATCTATCGTTTGGATCTCTTGCTAAACAATTTTTTAATAATTCAATTGCTGAAATTGGTACTTTAGTACCTCCTAAACCTTGATTTGGGTATTGAATTTTAATTTGAGGATTCATTATTGCCATTATTCTTTGTTGACCATTATATGAAGCATACGGTGGTTTGCCATAAATCAATTGATATAATATACATCCACAAGACCAAACATCCGATGGTTTACCAACTTTCCAAGTTGTACCTTTTGTAATTAATGCTTCTGGTGCCATGTAATTTGGTGTTCCAATTTGTGAATCTCTATATACATTAACAGTATGATCTGGAACAGCATTTGCAATACCAAAGTCAATTATTTTTAATATCCCTTTAACAAATAAGAAATTCGCAGGTTTCAAATCACTATGCACAATGCCTGCATCATGAACAGCTTTAATACAGTTTAACATTTCAATAGTATGATATTTGACAAAATTTAAATCTAATTCATTATTAGTATTTAATTTTGCTTGAATAACTTGAGCTAAATCTAATTCACCTTTTTCCATAATTAAATAAATCGAACTATCGGTAATTGCATGATCTATAAGTTTAACTACTCTTGAGGAGTTCCGTAGCTTAATTAATAAATCAATTTCACCTTTGAATCCATTTACATCTTCAAATTGATCGAGTGAAACTTTTTTCAATGCATATTCTTTATTATTTTGTAAAAGTCTAACTTGATAAACTTTTGATGATCCTCCTCTCCCAATTATACCTAATTTTTCATATTGTTTATCATTGATAATGATTGTTCTGTTTGAAGATGAACTAGAAGTTGGTTTTAACGGTGATTTTGGTGGTAATTTAGGTTTCCGAAATTCATTAATTGGAAGTTCAACGAGTGGAGTTCTTTCTTTATATTCAAATGGTGAATCTAAATTTTTTCTTTCATCTACTCTTTTTTTAATTGCATCTTCATTTATTATAATTTCTTCCTCATGTATTTCATCAGTGTTAATATTACTATTATTATTATTATTATTATCATTAGCTCTTTTAGGTGGACCTAAAGTTTTACCCATTTTTCTAATTCTTTTATAATTTGATTCTTTTGGTAATTTTAATTCCTCTAATTCAGTAAAATGATTGATTAATTTAGTTTTAAAACTATTATTATTTTTAAATAACTCATCAGTTGTTGAAATTGTTGTTTTACCAGTATTAGTTAATAATGCTAAACTAAAAGAGCTTAAAGCAGGAGGTAAAAAAGTTTGATCATCATCAAATTGTCGTTTTGTTGAATTTGTAGAGGATGGAGACCTTTTAGGTAAATTATATGACATATTTAATTTGTATCATTGATATAATATAATATTTGATTTGATTAATGTTTACAAATTAAACTTTTTTTTTCGTTTCTTTCTAATTTTTTTTTTTTGCGCGTGTAAAAATAAATTGAAAAATTAAACTATGGTAATCAAATAAAAGTAATAAACTATTATAGTAACTTCTTCTTCTTCTTATTATTATGCTTCTTCTTCTTAACAAGCATTATAATAATAACCTAAATAGATTTATATTACAATTGGTAGCGTTTCATCAGATTTTTTCACTATTTTACGTTATATGGTTTAGTCATATATTCGCTTGAGAATAAGCGACCATTGAAATTAGCTAATAGAAATGGTAGATGGAGTTATTATACTATAAGGATACGGTGCTATTAGGGTCAATCAATCAAATACAATATAATATAGAGTTATTTAAACCAAAAACATAAAACATAGAGGGAAGAAAAACCAAAAAAATGCTCCAGGCCAGGATCGAACTGGCGATCTTCAGATTACTCTTAAAACTAGGTCTTTAAAGTAACAATTTTGTAAAGTTTGTTATGCAAACTTTTCATTTGAATCCAACAGTATACTGTTGGGTCGTATGAGACTGACGTCATAGCCACTAGACCACTAGAGCACGAGTAGGCCATTATTTGACTTAAAACTCTGATAATGATATTAAATTTGATAACGCAACTATTATTTTTCCTTCTAACTATTTTATCTTTAATTTTGTAAATTACGTTTTAATTACCATGGTCTTTATGTCGAGGTACTGATAGTCTTTTTAAATTCATAGCAATTGTAAAATTCTCATATGACCATGTTCAATAAATAAACTCCTTTTTTTGACAGAAAATGAGATTATATAGAGCTTAAATCGATAAAAAATGTATATTAATGTTCTATCTATTAAAAGCCATTTGTTAAACTTGTGATTTTATCTACTTCCTCTTGTAAAGCTTTTAAATCATCTAATATATTTGCTGTAGAATTATTATTTTCATTTGAATAAATTTTTGGTGGTAAAGGAGGAGGAGTTGGTTCATTATTATTATTATTTATTCTTCGTCTCGGAGGTGGAGGTGGGGGTGGAGTTTTATTCGGTATTGGAGATGATATTGATCTATGTCTTGGAATAGGTGGTTTACTATTTTGAAGTGTATTTTCTTGAGTTGGACCTGACATTTGTGAAGAAAATGCCAGTAACGTTGTTTTTGGAGTTTCATTATTATTATCAGGAGCAAATATTCTTGCCATATCTATTGGTCCAGTTGCATTTGGTCTTAAAGGTTTTGCTGGTTCTGGTGATGGTGAAAACATTGTTGACATTTGATTTGGGCCAGTCATATTTGGTATTAAATGTGACATTTGATTTGGTCCAGTCATATTTGGTTGTAAAAAATTCCGAGGTACACCATTCACTGACATTGTATCTACATTATGTAAATGTTGAAAATGATTAATTTGGGGTTCCATATCTTTAAGTATTTCTTGTTCTTCTTCATCTGATGGTTGTTTTTTAATCCTATCTAATAATTGATCCATTGGTAACAGATAATCAATTGGTTGTGGAGATTCTGCAGGAGTTAAATTACTTGCATCGTGAATATCAATTTGATCTGAAAATTTAACTGATTTTAATTTCTTTCTCTTTTCAGAAGGTCTTTCACCCGTTAATAAAAATTGAGTAAAACTATCAATATCTAATGGAGTTTTATCTTCTTTTACTACTTCATTTATTCTCTTTTTTGATAATATTGACGGAGGTTGAGGTACTGGTGCTTCAATTTTAATTAATTTTCGTGAAGGTTCTTCACCTAATAACGTATGACTTATAACTCTTAATAAAGCAAAAAATTCTCCAATATTAATTGAATTCATAATTTTACTAAAGATCAGTTTTATATGATTTTTAATTAAATCGGAAATTTTAAAATTATTTAAAAAATTAAAAACATCATTCATTGAAATTGTTCGACTATTTGTTCTTGCAAGTATATCACTATACCATCTCATATAAGTTTTTGATTCTTCTAAAGTTAATTCCTGAGCTTTTAAACTTAAAGGTATTGATTCATCAGGTATATTTATATTTATATGTTCAGCAGATTTATTTTGAAAATAAGTGTCTGGATATAGACTCATAATAATAAATTAATATTTGTTGATAAATATATTTTTTTCTCCATAGAAATTGAAAAACTACCGTTGGATAAGGTTAAGTAACAACTGAACAATAGACAATAGGTGTCATATATATATAATAGTAGTAAAGTATATTGAAATATATTATTAGATTAGATTTATAATAAAATTGTAGTTATATTGTTGTATATATTATTGTATATATTATTGTATTGTTAAATATAATCTATTTTTTCCCCTTAAAATCAATCAAGTTTTGTATTTTAATACGTAAAACGGGACGAGAAGAAAATATGAGTTGGGCCAACAATATGGCCAGAGACAAAGCGAGTCAGAGGGCGAGATAAAAAATCAAAAATTTTAACCGAGACACGAAAAAAAAAAAAAAAAAAAAAAATAAATCAAAAAAAAATAAATCTAATTTTAGTAAAAAAAAAAAAAAAAAAAAAAGTAAATAAAAAAAAAGTTGGGGCTGAATCAAAAATTTATTCAAATCATATTGAATGAATAATAATATTAATAATAATAACCATCTTCATCCAAATTATTATCATCATCCATCAGATATTGATGATGATGATGAAAGTTCAATTGAATTTTTAGATCATAATACTAGCAATACACCTTTGACTCATGGAACTTATAACTATAATGATTCTTCAAATTCAATAAATTTTAATCGTCCTCCAGCTCCAACTTATACAAATCATTCAACAACTTCTTTAGATTATTATAATAGACCAATATTTGATACAGAAAATCCTTTTGAAAGTTATGAAATGCAACCAACTGCTTATCATGGTAATAATTATAATCAAGCTTTTGTTCCTCACGTTTATGATGATGATGATCCTGAAGAAAAAGAATTTGATCAAAGAATTCAGTATAACAATTTTGAAGGTGATCATTATGATTTAGCAACTGCAAGTTATGTCGATGAATTTGTTGATAATACCCCATTTGGAACAACTGATCTAGAATTTCAAGAACCTCCTTTACAAGAAGAAGTTAGAGACAAAAAACCAATAAGAGCTAGTGGTATAAATGGTCATTTAGTCTTGGATTGTCCTGTTGCGGGTGAATTATTATCTAAATTTCCAGATTACAAACCAGATGAAAAAGATGGTGCGTTATCAAGAGAATTCGCATTTATGAGATATACTGCTGTTACTTGTGGACCATCTAATTTTTACCGGGATGCATATATTTTGAGACCAGTACATTATCCGATACCAAGACAAACTGAATTAATGATTGTCATTACAATGTATAATGAAGATGATATATTATTGGGTAGAACATTAAAAGGTGTATTTAAAAATATTAAATATCTTGAATCAAAATCAAGAAGTTCGGTTTGGGGTAAAGATTCATGGAAAAAAATTGTTGTTTGTATCGTTAGTGATGGTAGAACAAAAATTAATGAAAGAGCTCAAGCATTATTAGCTGGTCTTGGTGTTTATCAAGAAGGTTTGGCAAAAAGTAGAGTTGATGATAAGAAAGTTCAAGCTCATATGTATGAATATACAACAAGAGTTGGTATTTCATCAGTAAATGATGATGTTGTGAAATTAACTACTGAAAAGATTGTCCCCGTTCAGATGTTGTTTTGTTTAAAAGAAACAAATGCTAAAAAGATTAACTCACATCGTTGGTGTTTTCAAGCTATTGGTCAAGTTTTAGATCCAAAAATCGTTATTTTATTAGATTGTGGTACACAACCATCAGGAAAATCATTATATAAATTATGGAAGGAATTTGATCGAGATCATAGAGTAGCTGGTGCATGTGGTGAAATTACTGTATCTTTGAAAAAAAGACAAATGTTAACAAATCCTTTGGTGTATGGACAAAATTTTGAATATAAAATTTCAAATATTCTTGATAAACCAACAGAATCAGCTTTTGGATTTATATCAGTTTTACCAGGTGCTTTTTCTGCCTATAGATATGTTGCATTACAAAATGATATTAATGGTGTTGGACCTCTAGAAAAATATTTTAAAGGTGAATTCTTACATAGTTCAGGAGAATTAGATCCAAATGATGATGAATATGAATTGAAAAGAGCTTTATTAAAAGAAGAAGCAGGAATTTTTACATCAAATATGTACTTAGCTGAGGATCGTATATTATGTTTTGAGTTGGTTGCAAAAAAAGGTTGTAATTGGTTATTACGTTATTGTAAATCTGCAAGTGCCGAAACCGATGTCCCAGAAGCTCTTGCAGAGTTTATTCTTCAAAGAAGACGTTGGTTAAATGGTTCTTTCTTTGCTGCTATATATTCATTGGTTCATTTTGTTAAAGTTTGGGGTTCAAGTCATTCATTTGGTAGAAAAATTTTTCTACATATTGAATTTTTTTATCAATTTATTAATTTAATTGTTTCATGGTTTAGTATTGGATCATATTTTTTGGTTTTTAGAATTTTAACAACTTCATTATCAAATTCAGATTTAAATTTTGCTCCTGGTAATATTTTATCTGTTGTATTTTTATGGTTATATCTTGCTTCAATTGTAACTACATTTGTTTTAAGTTTTGGTAATAAACCAAAAGGTACTGAAAGGTTTTATATAGTTATTGTAATTTTTTTTGCAATTTTAATGGCTTATATGATTTTTGCAGCTTTATTTATGGCTATTCATTCAATTCAACAAATTTATAATTCAAATACTCAAATAACAGTTGCATTATTTTTTCAAAATGCTGAATTTAGAGATTTAGTGGTTGCGACAGCTTCAACTTATGCATTATATTTTCTAGCATCATTTATTTACTTTGAACCATGGCATATGTTTACGTCATTTTTGCAATACATTTTATTAAGTCCTTCATATGTTAATGTTTTAAATATTTATGCATTTTGTAATATTGATGATGTTTCATGGGGTACTAAGGGTGATGTTGGAGGTAAATCTTTGGGTGAAGCCAAATTAAGAGAAGATGGTACTTTTGATGTTAGTGTACCTATTTTAAAAGAAGAAATTAATCAATCATATCTAAATCAATTAGAAAAAATTAGAGATCCTGCTCCAAAAGAAGAAAAAGTTATGATTACAAATACTGAAGATTATTATGCTTTTATTAGGTCAATGACAGTACTTATATGGATGATTACAAATTTCATAGTTATTGCTTTAGTTTTAGAAACAGGTGGTTTTAATCAATTTGTTGCAGATGATACAGTAGAGGATACAAAGTCATCTAGATCAGAAATATTTTTGACAGTCATTTTATGGACAGTGGCATTCATGGCATTGTTTAGGTTCATAGGTTGTATATACTACCTTTTAGGTAGAATGGCTAGAAGAATGAAGGGGAGTGAACATGCCACTAAAATGGGATAATAGAATTAAATATACATTAGATTTTTGAGAACATAATACGTTTTCAAATAATTACTGGATTTATGTAGGAGCCCTCGCATAACCTGAGACAATGTTCAATTTTAGACGGTGTTTGGATGTTTCCTTCGATCTCTAAGTTTTATACCATTGAATTGAGTACTTCGTAGAATGTTTGGATTAAAATTTCGGCCGAATTACAAATCAGACTAAAATAAAAAAATTTGCGCAACTCGACTTATCTACGCCGTTTCATGATTTAGTTATTTGTACCGATAAATAGACGATTTAAAGTCTACGGCTTTAAAACGTGACTTTTGAATGATTTTAAACTTTTTAAGGCACCATCTTCATACGAGGTAAAAAGATTTCATTGTATATTCAAACTACAAATCTTATTAGCAAATGTTAAATATGAAGTATGACTTTTCAATTCTGTTTCTAATTTTGTAACTTCTGTCCATTTAAAATTTTCATCACCTTCTTTAACTTTCAATGATTTTCTTGAAGATTTAAAATTTTTTGAATCTTCTTTTGAAATTTTGTTATTCAATTTCTTTCCTTGAATAGATTTAATTCTATTAATTACATCAACAACAGATCTTTTCATATCTTTTCTTGCTTCCCAACGTTTAACATTAATTTCAACCATCTCTATATTTACCCAACCATTTGCTTCTAGAGCTTTAACTGTTCTATCAACTTGTTCTATACATGGTGAAAAACAACAAATTCCAGCTTGATTTGCAATTACTGTATTCAAATGCGGTATAGCTTCCCATGGTGATGGCAAATCTAAAAATATTATATCACCATTTATTTCCATATCTATATTAAATCCATCATTACATACATCACGATGAGTTATTATTGTATTTTTCAAATTATGTTCTTCAAATTCTTTTTTAGCCTCTAAATATCTTGGTTCATGAAATTCAAAACTAAATACTTTACCTTTTAAACCAACTGTTCTTGCAAATGCATGAGTAAATGAACCTGATCCCGTACCAGCTTCAATTATTCTTGAACCACATTTAGCATTTAATCTTTGTAAAATATAAGACGAATCTGGTGTATAAACAATTTGAGTTCTATGAGGTAATGATAAAGTCCACAATTCAGGAGTTGGATGTAATAAATGTATAAAACCATAGCCTTTTTCACCAGGCATTTGAGTTCCAAATTTTAAACCGATCATTTTATCATGTAAATAATGACCATATCTTGTATTTAAAATTTCTCCTTTTTTAACATATATTGGTTTTATAGTAGTTCTACTAATGAATACTAATACTAAATCACCTTCATCTATAACATTTTTATAATGATAAAACATAATGGTATTGAATTTTTTCTTTTTCCTCTCATCAACAAAAATAATCAATATGGAACAAAAAGTTGAAGATTTATATTTAGAAAGTTATGCATTTACAACGGCTGCTGCTATAGTAGGATCTGTGGATAGGAAGATATTTGTATTATTAAGAGATGGAAGAAATTTATTTGGAATATTAAGAACATTTGATCAATTTGCAAATTTAGTTTTACAAGATACTTTTGAAAGAATATATTTAGATAAAGAATTTGCTGAGATATATCGAGGAGTTTTTATGGTAAGAGGAGAGAATGTTGTAATGATGGGAGAATTAGATATAGATAAAGAAGATGATCATTTGCAACAATTTATTCAAATACCTTTTGAACAAGCTGAAAAAAATTTGAAAATTAAACAAGATTCAACAATTAAAAATGAAAGAATAAGAACAAAAAAATTATTTGCAAAAGGTTTAATTAATGATTTTTATAAATCAGATTTATATTAAAAATTTTAAAGTTTATTACGATTAATTTCAATCTTTTTAAAGAATTCATCAACATTCTTAAACTTTTTTGCTTCTTTTTTTGCCAATTGAGCTAAGTGAGCTTCATCAGGACCATCAGCAATTCTTAAAGTTCTATTGTGAGCGTACATTCTTGCTAATTCAGTATCTTGAGAAACACCTTCAGCACCAAATACTTGAATACCCCAATCTAAAATTTGACCAATTGTTCTCGGAGTTTCAATTTTAGCCATGGCAATTTCTTTTTGAGCTTGTTTAGCATTTGAAATATCAATTTTATGAGCAGCATTTAAGACTAACAATAAACATCTTTCAATATCAATTCTACTTTGAGCAAATTTATAAAGAAAACTTTCTCTTTGATTCATTGGTTTACCAAAAATTAATCTATAATTTGCTCTATGAGCAATTCTTAATAAAGCAAACTCTCCGACACCAATTGCTCTCATACAATGATGAATTCTACCTGGACCTAATCTTGATTGAATCAATTCAAAACCTCTACCAACATCAGCCATTATAATATCTTTATCATCAGCTTCATAATTATCAAATTCAATTTCACAATGACCATGAGGAGCATCATCGAAACCAATTACAGCTAATGGTCTAATCAATCTAGCTTTACCAGAAGCTAAAGCTTTTTTTGCATCAAGAATTAAAACTGTATGATTATTATAAGGTTTTGAGTCATCATCACTTGTTTTGCACATAACTAACCAAACAGAACATCTTGGATCACCAGCACCAGAAGCAAACCATTTGACACCATTTAAAACATAATTTCCATCTTTGTTTTTTTTAGCAGTAGTACAAATATTTAAAGCATTTGAAGAAGAAGTACCTTTTTCAGTCATTAAAAAAGCAGATCTAATTTCTCCATTTAATAAAGGTTTTAAATATTTATCTTTTTGATAGGGACTACCATATTTAGCAAATAATTCCATATTACCAGTATCAGGAGCGGCAGTATTAGTTGCTTCAGGAGCAGTTAAAGATCTACCTAAATATCTAGCCATTAAACCATATTCTAAATTTGTAAATTGGGGGCCCTCAGTGTAATGTTTTGATAAAAATAAATTCCATAAACCTAATTCTTTAGCTTTAGTTTTTAAAGTTTCAATAATTGGAGGTATAGTTGACCATCTTTTTGATGGATCTAAGGATATTTGTTCAAGATAAATTTTATCAGCTGGTAAACAATAATTTTCAACAAATTCTCTGGTTTTTTGAATTGTTTCTAAACCTCTTGAAGAGATTTGATTAAGAAATATAGCAGGTATATCTTTTTCCACTGACATTTGATAAATAAAAAAAATACCTAAATAATAACTCAATGGGAATTGGAATATTCTTCTCTAGTATTATTCTCCACAAAATATATTTTTAAAATTTCTCGGGTCCTTCAATTTTCCAAATTAGCCGACTTCATTTTTGGTTATTAACAACTACAGTTGAACAATATCAACCACCTCCACATATCTATAAGCAGTTTAAATATAATCAAAACTAGTTTAAAAATGAAGTAAGTAAAGAAAATGTATATAAAGGTGTACCTAAAGATATGATAAGATTAGAACATTTAAAAATAGTTATAGAAAATATTTCATTATATCAGCCCACGGCATTAAAGAACATTTACACATCAGTTCGAAGCATATGTTTAAAACACTAATTCTTAACTTTAAGTAATCTATTTTACTACTACTAGTCCATATACTCAACTATCTAACCTTTTAATGTGTTGTAATTCATTCTATTGTAGATTAGTACAAGGTTGCCTTAAATCCAACGCGAGAAATTATTTTGTCGCACCGATTCGTCGCATTGAAAAAACACGGATAGGAGTCGTGGGTGAAACTTCGCCCAGCGCCACTATGGCTAAAAAGATGTTTAGAGTGGTATACTACGATAGTAGTGTATATAATCTTTACATATTATACAGCTCGAGACTCTTAGGTTTATTGAACTAAACTGTGTTTCGTGAGATTTCGTCGGACATAAGATATAAGCCAATCAATTTAATACGAGCCGCCGCTTGGATGCTAGCTCGAGCAAAACACTCTTGTGGCTCTATTTTTGGGCGAGAATTCACTAAGTAAAAATCAATTTATAAAATCAATTTAACTTATATGCAGGTTCATAGTAGTTTGTCTTCAAATTTAAATCGCAAATAGCTCATCCAAAATTGTAACTTTATTTTTCAAACTTAAATCATTGAGTTTGTAACTAAATTTAGAATTGAATGATACTAATCTCTCTTGACGATGTACAATTTTGATCACTTTATTCAACTTTTAAACCACCCAAAATTAAACTAATTGCAGAATAATCAATACTTAGACATTATTTAAAAACGTCTAAGATAGATGAAAATTCTAACTGGTGGAGCTTTCTCAACGAAAATTGTCTAATTTTGTTCCTTAATTCTTCAATTTCTAACTTTAAAAGCCTTATCCAATAATTTTCATTTAGTAAACACTTAACACTTAAGGATAACAAGTTGGTAACTCATGATAATATATAGTTCTCGTAAATTGGTTCCCTGGATCTAAATTTAGATGTTTTTTCAGCCCAGGGCCACAAATTTAGATTGCCAGAGACTTTTTTACTGATTTTATAACTTTCCCTCTAGGCTTGTTAGTCAAGGCAAATAAAATATATCTAAACCATAATAGCCTTTACCGATACATCTAGCTAAATTGAAACGCTCTTTAAGAATGTGCACAGATGTTTTTTTGAATTTAGACCATCGCTTGAGGTAAGGATGTAGTATAGTCACGTGATTGTTTTTGTTCCTGAATCATGCATAAAAAAGAAGTTGTCATAAAATAATCGTATCTTATTTACTCAACTATGAACATAATCATCGGTCAAGCAATTGAGGAACACGTCTTAACGTAAGAACAGCAAAGTCATTTGAAATAATTATCAACTGAAAATATATGATTTGATGAATTACTTATTAAATTAGAAACAAATGAAAATGATTTAGCTGATGTTATTACAATTTTTAAACATTTAATTTCATTAACTGCTAGTACAAAAACTTCAACTTAGTTGGATTCTTTAGTTCTCCGTTTTTGAGTTATTCAATATTATAAGAATTTTAGATTTCGAGCATTTTGCCACTCCTTGGACATTTGATTCAGTTCATTTGAGCCCAAATTTACTTTATATTAAGTTTTGAAGCCGCCACACTCGTGTTAAAATTTTGCAAAATTTCCATTTCATATTTGAAAAATTAGTTATTCACTTTTGACTATCTTGACGCAAGATAATTTAACCTCATGTGAAGAAGCTACAAATTTGGATACTTTTATCATAACTTTATCACAATTTTAATTGTGTAGTTGGATTTTTCATAAAGTCAATTTATTCTGATTTCCATCATAATAAGGAGAAAATTCTCAAAATTTTCTATTGTAGTTTAAGTGAAGAAAAAACTGCGTTCAATGTTCAAATTTAAGATATAAAATTCGTTACTCAATTGGACGTTGTTGGGGTTTTGAAAAGTTTCGAAATTTTCTATGGTGAAAACGCTAAAAATTCCATTAAAATTGTCAAATCCTTGAAATTTCCAAATAAAAAAATATATAATACAATTTTTCGAGCTTTTATATATTACTGAACTGAAATTTATTTCGGAAAAGTGTTTTGTTCATGACCTATTAATCAACATGTATATGGTACGATGTCGCATTAAAACTAAAGCGTGAATCTATTTTTTGTCGCACCAAACTGTCGGCTTGCAAAGGTATTACAAATTTTAACCAAATTTTCATCAACATTTTTTTTTTTGCTTCAATCTTTTGCCATCCAACATGCAACAAGCAGATTTAGATTCAGAATCAGATATACCAAAAATACCAGATTATACTTTATCTGAAAAACAATTTCTATTAACAAACGGTAATTCATCATCAAATGAAAAATCAAAACTAATTGATGAAATTTTAACTCAAATTAAATCTGAAAATTTAGCTCCTTATTATAAATATTTACATAAAGAAATAGATTTTCCATTTGATCAAAATTTATATAATCAATTAAATTCAAATAATCAAAAAGAAATAGATCGATTAAATAAAAAAATTAAAGAAGCTCAAGATGAAGAAGAAACCGAATTAGATTTAACTTCAACAACTTTAGAATTAGCTGAATATTATACTGAGATTATTGACGGTAAAAATGCAATTGAAATTTTTAAGAAAGTATTAGATTTATCAACTAGTACTGGTCATAAAATTGATCATTTATTAACTTTAACAAGAATTTATTTTTTTTATAATGATTTATATCAAGTTAAAATTCATTTAGATTTAATTTCAAATTTAATTGAAAAAGGTGGTGATTGGGAGAGAAGAAATAGATTTAAAGCTTATCAAGGTATTTATTTTATGTCAACTAGAAATTTTAAAGAAGCTTCAAATTTATTAATCGATTCATTAGCAACTTTTACTTCGACTGAGTTATGTTCTTATCAACAAATTGCACAATATGCAATTATATCAGGTATATTATCATTAGATAGAATTGATTTAAAAAATAAAATTATAGATTCACCAGAAATTTTATCAATTTATTCATCAACACCCCAATTAGAACCTTTATTGAAATTAACAAATTCATTTTATAAATGTCAATATAATTATTTTTTTCAATATTTATTAGAAAGTTATGATAAATGTTTAATTAATAATAAATATTTATATAAACATGGTAATTATTTCTTAAAAGAAATGAGATGTAAAGCATATGGGCAATTATTAGAAAGTTATAAAAGTTTATCAATTAAATCAATGGCAAATAACTTTAATATAAGTGAAGAATTTTTAGATTTAGATTTAACAAAATTTATACCAACTAAGAAATTAAATTGTACAATTGATAAAGTTAATGGAATAATAGAAACCAATAGACCTGATAATAAGAATAATCAATATCATTTATTAATTAAACAAGGTGATGGTTTATTAACAAAATTACAAAAATATGGTGCAGCTGTTAAATTAAGTGGTGCTGAAAAAGTTGTATAGAAGAGACGAAAAAAAAATATATAAATATATGTACATATATACTGAACGCAACAAATGCCACCACCTTCTAATATTCTTTACATAGGTCATGTGCCTTTTGACTGGGATGAAGAAACTGTTAAATCGGTTGTTGCTGGTTCTGGTCCTATAATTGATGTTAGATTAGGTTTCGATTTTGCTGGTAAAAATAAAGGTTTTTGCTTTGTTGAATATCAAACACCGCAACAAGCTCAAAAAGCTCAATCATTATTAAGTCAAATTTTATTAAGAAGTGATACTGGTCCTATGAGAAAATTAAGAGTTGAATCTTCAAAAGAAGGTTTTAAATCAAACAATATTCCACCTGAATCAAGACGTGTTTTACAATTAAGAAGAACAAAATTACCTGATAATGTAAGATTACCACAAGAAATGTTGAATGTTTTACCAAAAGATTCTACTACAATGAATGTTAATAATAGAGTGATACCACCTCCACAACAACAACAACAACAACAACAACAACAAAATTCTTATATTCCAACATCAACCTCATCACCATCATCGACTACTCAAATGTCACCAAATTTAACTCATGCTTCAAAAACTTTACCATTTGTTTCACCATTACCATTTTCAACTTCTGATAAAATAGATATAATATTAAGTAAAGTTAATCCAACAATGTTAATTGAAGTTATTGCAAATATGAAAAATGCTTTACAAAATGAACCAAATAAAGTTTATGATTATTTTACAAATCCAAACCTTGCACCTTCAGCTGCTCAAGCTTTATTATTAATGGGTTTTATAGATAATGACGTATTGGCTGAAACTAATAAATCATCAAATTCAACACCTCAACCAGCTTTTAATACAACTCATCAACAATTTAGACAATCGACACCTCAATATCAACAACCTCAACAATTTCAACAATTTCAACAGTATCAACAATTTCCACAACAACAATATCAAAATTATCAGCAATATCACCAACCCTCACCACCTCCACCACCGCCACCACAGCAACAACAACAACAACAACAATTTCCATCAATGGTTTTTCAATTACCACCACAAGTTCAAATGAAACTACAGCTGTTAGGTCCACAAGCAGCAAATACAACTGCACAACTCTTATTATTGTCTGAAGAACAAATTATGAAGTTACCATTTGATCAACAACAATCTGTCAGAAACATAAAACAACAATACCTAAGTTAATGGCTCATTATGAACAAGAGTAATTGCATCAATTTCGTTGTTAAAGCTTTTGAAATTTCCTAAAAAATTGAAAATCTATACAATATTAGATCTGATAATCGATAGATTTACATAATAATGAATATATTAAGTTGCATACAATACTTTTAATAATAATTCCTTTTAAGAATAGTATAAATAGATAATTACAACGTGATCAATTGTTTGAAAGTTCATGTAAATTTTCAAGCATATTTAAAATATCAAATATTTCAAGATAAATAATTGATAGATTAAGTTCTAAACCTTTTAATTATACTTATTCAATATATCCGTTCTATCTCTTAATCTTATTAGAATTATACAAAGTCATATATTTCATCTATTTTTCATTTAAAGTCAATAATCATTTGACGATAATACAATTATACAAAAAAAAAAAAAAAAAAATTTAATTTAATTTATTTTATGTTTAATTGTCAAAGAATATGGATCCATTTATTATAGATCTCGACATTACTGAAGGAACAAATGATATTCCCTTTTGGTTGAGAGATGTCTTTGACAGAGCTTTGAATGCTACTGGTATCAAAAGAAAGAGATCTGCTTCAGATGAAGCTATTTCAAGTTTAATCAAGATTGATCCTGCAACAGTTATTAATAAAGAGTGTCCCATTTGTTATGAACCATTTGAAAATGAATCAACAACAACCAAAGACGTTTTAAAAAATCAACCAAACAAAATTTGCTTCAAAAATCAAGAATTTATAAATAAATTATCACAATATGGAATTTATCAAGAATCAATTGAAAAAAATCAAACATTTTACGATCCAATGTTATTTTTCCCAACTGACCAAGGTGGTCAATTATATAGCAGATTTCCACAAAATAGTTTAACTTCAATTTCAACCGAAGATCAATTTCCAGGTTTTAATGAAAATGATAAAAAATTAAAAGATAAAAAAATTGAACAATTTAAAAAAGAAGGTCATATTGCTGTTCAAATGCCTGAATGTGAACATATTTTTGGATTATCATGTATTGTTGAATGGTTAAAATCAAACGTTAGTTGTCCATTATGTAGAAAAGAAGTTGAAGCAAAAATTTATGATCCCAAAAAATCGAAATTGGAATATATTGAAAATAATACAATTGTAAATTATAATAATGATAGAGATGAAATGATTCAACAAATTTATAATTCTACAGATGTGTTTAATCCATTTAGAAGACCTTATAATCCTTCAATTACACCAGTTACTGATTCTTATATGCAACAGAATTGGTGTACACCATATAATGATAGATCTAATAGAAATCATGATGAAGAAAATGCAAGAGATCCAGATATTGTTTTACCAAGAAGATTTCCATTTCCTGAACCAACAGCAAGTACTCGAATTTTTCCAATGAGAAGAACTACAAGATCGACAACAAGATCGAGAGATGTTAGACCCAGAAATAATTCACAATCAGAATCAAGAATAGGTGGTAATAATGAATCAGAATTAGAAGATAATAGTTTTGGTAATGGTAGAAGGAGAAGTGCTTCATCAGACTCAAGAAGTGCAAGAAGAGTTAATTTTTCACCACATACAACTAATATCGATGATTTACATGATGATTCTAGTGAGTCTGAAGATTCAGCATCAAGTACTATTCCAACAGAACAACAGCAACAACAACGACAACAACAACAACAACAATTTCAAGTTCCAAATCAAAATCAAACTCAAACTCAAACTCCAAATCCAGCAAATGATCATGAACATAATTTACTGATTATACAAAGAATTCAAAATCGGTTTCTTCGAAACAGAGATAGAACTTCATCATCATCATCATCATCACCACCACCACCACCACCACCACCACCAACTTCAACTAGTACAACTACAACTACAACTACATCTACAACAAATAATGTAACTAATAATAATAATGCAAATAATCAAGCAAGACGACCATAATAAATAAGTTAATTTAAATACAAAGTTAATTTAAATACATAGTTAACATTATAATAAATTCTAATGACGCGACATAAATTTAAACGTACATATGATATTATATGGTAGCAGTGGTGAATTAGTGTGATATCCAATAATTTAAAGTTAGTAGGCCAAAAAAAAAAAAATATTACGTAATTCCTTATAAATTTTCCTATATTGAGAAAACGGTCGTCTAAAATTAAACAAAATATATATGAATTGTAAAATTGCTTTATTGCTGCAAAATCCTCGAAGAAAATGATTTTATTACTCCAATGAAAAACGTGAATTATTGATTATTAATTGACTATAAATAGGAAAGCAAATTCTCTAATATTTGATTCCAAATATTTTTATATATTTATTCCTTTACATTATTAAATTAATTACTATACAAAACATGTTACGTTCAACTATAATTAAATCAATTAAATACAAACCACAACCTATTATTTATAATAGACAATATTCAATTATTAAAGCTGCTACTAAAGTTGTTTTTGGTGATAAAGGTGTTAAAGAAGTTGAAAAAAAAGAAGCTCAAGCTCAAGGCGCAAATTTAGATGCTGGTAGAAAAGCTGCTAATAGTATAGATGATGCTCAAAGAAAAGCTTCAAATATTGATACAAAAGATGTTAAAGAAGGTGCAGAACAAGCTTATGAATCAGTTAAAGATAAAGCAAATATTAATGATTCCACAATTAAACAAACTGCTGATACAATAAATAAAAAAACTGGTAAAGTTTTATCTGAAGGTTTAGAAGGTGCTGAATCATTATCTAATAAAGCTTCAGGCGCTGTTAAATCAGCGGCAGGTTCATTAAAATCAACTGCAGAATCAATTAATAAGAAAACTGGTGAAGTTTTAGCTGATGGTATAGAAAAAAGTGAGGATGTAGTTGGTAATGCATCGAATTTGACTTCAAAAGCTAAAAATGTAGCTAATGGTGTTCAAAAAAAAGCTGGTAACAAATTAGCTGATGGTGTTGAAAAAGGTGAAACTTTAGCTGCTCATTCAGAAGCAAAATTAAAAGTTAAAACGAATACTGCCGGTTATAAAGATTTAAAAGATAAAGGCGAGAAAGCTCCAATTGAACAAAATAGACCTGATGATGCTATGTAGATGATTACATACATAATCATACATAAAATTGAATATACAAAATTCTATTAGCTAGTGGAATTAATTTCAAATCTCTAAATAATGTTTATTCGCTTAATTCGTTCTTATTCAATTTATCAAAGTGCTAAGGATACTTTATACAAGGCTAATTTAAAATTAGGTAAAATTGCAGCTAAAGATATCGAAATTGCTGAAAAAACTGTTCCCAAAATTCAAGATGCTGCAAATTATTTAAACAAAAAAACTGGTGAGAAATTAGCTCAAGGTATAGATTTAGCTCAACATTATAAAGCTAAAAATGATGCAATTCATAAAGTTGAAAGAAATATTAAAGGTTATAAAAATTTACAAGAAAAAGGAAAATCAATTGAAAGTGAACAATGTAGACCAGATGATGGTTTCTGAATAAATAATTAAGTATGTATTATTAAATCTATTATAACCAATAGTTTCAAACATCGGTAGGAATCGTTATAGTCATAAACTTTTCATTGAATTTCTCTAATTATTAAATTGTTTGAAATCTTTAAGAAAATTTTCCTTCTCTAGTGAAGGTTGTTGTTCTGGTTCTTGTTGTGGTGGATTTTGTTGAATCATTTTTGCATCTTTTCTTCTTTCAATAACTGATAAATAATTTGATGGTACATAACCAACTTTACCACTTCTTGATCTAACTTTCCACCATTTACTTTCATTACCTAAAGGATCTAATCTTGATAAAATTGCAACCAACTCATTTGGTTTTAATTCGATTTCAATTTGAGGATTCTCTGGATTGAACTCATATAAAGTTTTAGCAAATTGTAAATTTGATGGATCTAATGAACCTGGAGGAAATTGTCCTTGTCCTTGTTGTTGTTGTTGTTGCTGCTGTATTTTTCTTTGATTTTGTTCATTGATCAACTGTATTGCTTTACTTAATAAATATGGAAATCCAATAGATGCAGCCAAAAATAATAGCAATGGTTTGAATGAAATTCTTTTTGACGATTTTTGTTTACTCAAATTATCTTCTAGTTTCTTTTGTTGTTTTTCAAATTTTGAAAATTCTGATAAATTCAATCCATTATTATAATTTTGACCCGTTATTTTATAGAAAAATTTCTTAATTAATTTAATTAATGCAAATATTCCTAATAATGAACCAAGGGCATTTTTTAAATTACCAAATTGTTCAGCTAAATTAATCATAGTGAAAAAAGACGAATGAGTAGCCATATATGTAGCTTCTAACATTTGAGCAAATCCACCAACCGCACCAATTATACTTTCAATTAATTGAAAAGTTGCTTGAGTACCTTCACCTAAGCCACCAGCCATTCCTCCTTGACCCATCATCATATTATTCCCATACATTCCACTACCACCATACATTCCTCCTCCATACATCCCAGATCCATACCCACCATACATCGAAGAACCATACATTCCTGAACCATAACCAGAACCATACATTCCTGAGCCATACATTCCTGAGCCATAACCTGAACCATACCTTGAACCGTAACCAGTTGTATTATAAGAAGAAGATCCATAAGGTTGTGAATCAGCCATTGTATTGAATTCTGACGTTAAGGAACTTGGTTTATCAGGTATACTAGGTTGATTATTATTAGCTGTTGTTGTATTATTTGTCGTCGCAGTAATAGGATTAGTGTTATTTGTAGCAGAAGCAGCTGAAGTACCAGAAGATACTTCCCATGGTTTAGTTCTTGGAGCTGATGATGACATATACAAATTTGAAGTTGATAAAAACAATGATTAAGTTTTTGGATTATTTTCTTTTTTTCTATAAAAAAAAAAGAACTATGAAAAATTAAAATTAACTACGTATTATGTAATACTGAGCATTTCAATTATGTAATACAGAGTATTTCCATTATGTAATTCTTTCTTACAAATCACTTCTTTTTATTCTAATATATAGAAATTGAGTATTTACACTATTGGTATTTGATTAATATACTATTAATTGTTTATATTGATTAGTTGATTAGTTGATTCCTTATTATGATTATTTGTATACTCGGTCGGTATTCTTTATAAATATGATACAAAATACACCCCGCATTTTGCTTTTCTACACGATTTTCTTGGTTTGATTGTCAGATTATGAAACAATTAAACGCCTAATCAATGTAATAATTTACGTTAATTGAGTTGAAAATTGTATAGAGTCATAAATATACATATATATATATATACTATAGAAAGATATTTGAACTGTTCTTAAGTCTGAGAAATAAAGGACCTGGTGAAAATATACAATTTCATTTTTTTATAAAAATTTTGCAGCAAAAAATGCAAGGTTAGAGATTCGAATCAGTTGAAGTTTGATAGAAGAAAAACTTGCAAACTACTTGTTTTATTGCTTGTATCATTTCTTCATATATACCAGCTCAGTCATCTAAACTACTATCTTTTTTTTTCATGTCGATATTTTTTTTTTTTGAATTTTGCAGCCAATTTGCAGCCAAATATTCATAAAAATTGATATTTGCAATTGGTTACAAACTCTTCAATTTGTAGATTACTGTCAACTGGCAAATGGTACATTATTCTTGATTCATCAACTAGATTAACTAGATTATACGAAAATATACAATTAAATTCTTTAAAAAGTAAGATCAAGACAAATCAGATTCTTAATCCACGAGTTATCTACAATTTATCAAGCTAAAAACGAGAACTTTTATAATCATTATATTTCTAATAGTACATTAAAATCGATAATAAAATTGTATAACTTATACTTATTAAAACAACAGATGAAATTTTAACACTTCCTTTTAATTTTGCTAGTCATGGTAATGGTTCATTTGAAGAACTTAATCTATTCAAATGTAAATAAACATCAGTACCATAACCTTCCATACTTATTAATTTTAAATCTCCACCAAAATATTGTGCATATAATCTACTTATTGGTAAACCATATCCAAAACCAGCCATTGGAGCTTTAAAAGAAGTTTGATTATATTCAGGTTCTAATTTTGGAGTTTCATCAACTGTTGTATATAAATATGTCCAAATTAATGGTAATGAACTTCTTGGAATACCACCACCTTCATCTGAGATTTTTATAGCTATATCTTCTGACCCTTCACTAATTATAACTTTTATAGGTGGAAATTCTAAATCATTTAAATCAATTTCTTCCCATTTCAAATTTGGATTTTCATCAATTAATTTTTGTTTTAATTTGGAAGTATGAAATTCAATAGTTGCACGTAATGAATTTTTTAAAGTTTCAAATAACATATGAATTAAATGACCAGGTACATACATAAAATTAATATCTTGATGAGGAGCAATTAATTGAATTTTTGGAGCTTCAAATAATCCATAATATTCTTCACATATATATTTTGCAGTTTCAATTGCATCTTCAGCAATTTCACCTACATTACAATCAGTACATATAACTCCAACATAATTACTTCTTGGCTTTTTTGTAGTTCCTTGTGATCCATTTATTAATGTTGATAATCTTTGCTTTGTTGGAGAATTTTGTGCCATATTTAATGCAATATGTTGACCAATTAACATTCTAATCCCAATTCTTGACATATAAAAACGATCTAAAAATGTTTGTATTCTTGAATTTACAATAACTGTTTTATGTACATTTTTCCATTCTTGAACACCTTGAGCCATAGTGGCAACTGTAGCATCATGTCTTTTTTTAATTTTTTCTAAAGCTTCACGTACTGATTTATTATAATCATAAACTTCCTTTGGCCATATTATATTAGTTGGACATGGTTGGAAGTAAGTCATTCCATATGTTGGAGACTCCGTTCTCGAAATTGTATTATCATTTAATTTATCATTTGTTCTAGTTCGTGAAATTTTATGATGATGATGATGATGTCGAACAACTATACCATCATCACTGAAAATATTATTTATAGCAGGATTATCATCATAACTTTCTGGTATTTTATGAATTTCTTGCTTTATATGAGGTGAACCTTCTGAATCAATATTATTTAAAGATTGAAGATGCGATGATACATTTTGGTATAATAATTTTTGCAATTTTTCATCAATTACTGGTTTCTTTAATTCTGTTAATTCTTGAAAAGATTGAGCATACCAATTTTTTACCTTTATTGTACTTGGACTTTGATTTAAATTTAATGGAGCATTTTCTAAATCCTTAACTTTTTTAGCTAATCTTATCGGTAATTCTTCAACAATAAATTTTGATGCTAAAAATATAGAACCTGGACTAGGAGTAGGTCCAAATTGAACCATTTGTCTAAGACTTACAGGAGTTTGATTAAATGAAGCATATTTAAAAATTTTATCTTTTAATGATTGAGTTAATTCCCATCCAGTACCCATTTGAAATAAAATAAATAAAAAAAAAAAAAACTCTAAATAATTTTAAACTATGTATATCAAATAATAAATTAGTGAATATTTAGTTATAATATTTGATTTAATTTAATTGAATAGTTAATAAATAATATCAGCGTATTATAAGTATATTGTTAATGATTATCGAACGAGGTTCAATTTCATAAGATTGTATGAATTAATCAGAACAAAAAATCAAAGTGGAATTAACAAAAATGGAATGCGGAGGGGGGTCGTGTAATCGCACTATAAAATGCTACCAAATTCATTTTCAAACAAACCACTCTATACATATGTGACAACTTCCATACTTCCATACTTCCATATTTTACTTATCACAAAATCATCTATATCAAATTGGGAATGTGAACTGATTTTTTATCTGTAAATATGTCAATTGCGTTAATTGGAAGTGAAATTCAATATTTACAATTAAGGTTAATTTCATAACCATTAACTATTGTATTTTTTAAACACTAATCATCGCCAACATCCCTGAATATTTTGTTTATTGTTCATAGATATAAGGGATGAATTACTAAACATTATATCAAAGCCAAGTTAATATTAGATTTTACTGATCTAAACAAGTATAGAATATTTTCTACCAAAAGATTTGGGCTTAAAATTATTTATAACCTTCATTTTTCATAATCGTATAATTATTCATTTGGGTGCAAAAAAGGAAATGATTTTAGTTTGCGCACTACCTTACTCATAAAACACTTATCAATTATGATAAATGTGTGGGTGGTTATGGAATGAGATGAGGTAAAGATAAGGAATTAATTAATTACTAAGTTTTATTGATTGACATAACCGTTTATTGTTTATAATAGTTTACGGAAATATAGTATAGTTTAAAGTTGTTTGTAATTTAATAGCCAAGGTTAATAATTGAATTTAAAGTAGTTATGTAATTCAATAAATTACTACACAAGCAAATGATAGTAAATGGAACGATTTAATCCGTTAAACCATATAAAATCAAGTGTGGCTATTTAAAATTATAATTGTTTGCTATTGTATTAACTTTTGTATTAACTAATTAACTATTGTATTAACTAATTAACTATTGTATTAACTATTTTATTAACTATTGTATTGTCGTTTGAGCTGTGAAAATTTGGTAGTTCCACGGATCATTAAAAAAAAAAAAAAAAAAAAAAAAAAATAAATAAATTATTAAGAATCTGGGGGAGTCGTTGTCAATTGAGTCACCTTTGTTTATCTTTGTGTAATTTTCCAATGTATCCGTTGATCCAAATTTTAATTTTCAAATTGAAAAATAATATAAATACAACGTAAATTTCTCTATTTTCATAGTTTCATTTTCTCTTTTACTTATCTATTAATTAATTAATACTTTCAATCTTAAATTTTTTGCAATGGTTACTAAAAGAATATTTCATATTGCTCAATTCAAAACCGCTTCAAGACATTGGTTACCAATTACTCAATCAACTATTAATTCAAGAGCTTTCTTTTCATCTAAACAAAGATGTGTAAATTTCAATAATTTAAATGACTCAACTTCAGCATCTTTAGTTTCTAATGATGATGTATTTACTACAGCTTCACAACAAGCTGCTACTTCATCAGAAGATTTAGATGTTTCATTTGAACCAACTGTAAATTCATCCGAAGAAATATTTACTGCTGGTCCAGTAAACAGAGTATAAGAAACATTATTTACATTATTATTACGATACACATGAGTTATTATTATCATTCTTTTAGATTTATTTATTTATTTATTTATTTATTTATTCAATTATTTTACTAGTTATTTAGTTACGAAGTTTCTAAGGGAGTTGTTGTTTGTATGATTTAAAATATATATACCATTATATTTAATTGACATTTTCTCGATTATATTTTATTTGATTTTATTTTATTGAGTTCAAAAAAAAAAGGTCCGTACTCGTAAATCACATGCAGAGATTCCATTGATAAAAAAAATTAAGCGGGCGAACATTTGAACGTTTTATTACGTCCGTTGTCGTATTAGAGCAAATTTAAAAATGGTATGATATCATTAAATGACACCCCCTTGAAATGGAACCAAATCCGTTAGCCCTAATAATCATTCAATTTGATAAAGTTGTCAAAAGTACACACACACTATAATTGCTTCGGTTATCTGGAACAAATCAAGTTGGATGATTATCCGGAACTCGGAAGAAACGGAAGGAAGGAAGGAAGTTTTCAAATATATTATATATTTAATAATGTCTATTTAATAATGTCTATTTATAAATATCAACTCTTCTATGCTTCAATAATGGCATATTCTTTCTAATTGTTTCAATATCTTGATAGTTTAAATCTGCAAATTTAATCTCATAATAATTTCCTTCTTCATCTTTTTCCAATTCATCATTATACTTTTTTGCTTTTGTTAATATGTTACCCCATGGATTTACAATTATGGATTCACCATAACTTATTCTAACAGTTTCCTTATTATTGGTATTGTTAGTATTGTTAGTATTGTTTTCTCCATCAGTCACATTATGTTCCCCACATTGTGCTGCATTAATTATAAAACTTTGACAATCAATTGCTCTACTTCTACTTAATAATTCCCAATGAGCTTCCCCAGTTTTTGTAGTAAATGCAGATGGAAATGTTAAAATATCAGCATCCATTTCTCTCAACTTTATACTCATTTCAGGGAATCTTATATCGTAACAAATACCTAAACCTATTTTGAAGCCATCAATTTCTACTGGTTCTTCTATTTTGGTTCCTGCTTCTACACTATTTGATTCTTTTAGTATAGGACCATTCTCAACTTCAACATCGAATAAATGAATTTTTTGATATTCTTTTATAATTTCACCATTTGGATTAATCAAAATTTGTAAATTACGAACTTTTTCTGATGTTTTGGATGGTAAATGTAAGCCAATAGATACATAAGTATTTCCATTCAATTCTTTTATATTTTTTAATAATGGTGTTAAAAATTGTGAATTTGTTTGATTGGATAATTTATATGAATGTTCAGCATTTTTAGATAAATAATCTGTAGCTTCTGGTAGAAATAAAATCCTTGAATTATTAACATGAGCTAGATTTAATAATTTCAAAACAATTCTCAAATTTTTAGTTATATTGGATGAAGAACATAATTGACCAACGGCTACTCTCATATTGGATGTTGATTAATTTTTAGTTGATTAAAAATTAGATTAGATTATCCTAATGTAGTAATGGGGCGGATAATTATTAAGGGGTAAGCAATTTTTAGGGGGCGTTTTAAATATTTTCAACTTATATATTAAAATAGTTTTAGTAATCATAAATATCATCATTATTATTAACATCATCATCGTCATCGTCATCGTCATTGTCATAAAAATTATTTAGTAAGTTATCATTATTTCGTATCTCAACTACACTTGATTCCTGATAAATTTCTTCCTTCTTTTTAACTTCGATCATTTTCGATTCAACTTTATTTGTTTTATAACGCTGTCCATATTTTTCTATCGCAATTTCTTGTAACTCATTGATATATTTTTCATTATTCAAGATATTTTTATGAAAAGGCAGCAATTTCAAAATTTTGGAAAATCGAGAAATCGAACTTCTTAAACTTATATTATATCCCATTGATTTCAACTTCTTAATCACATTGTTCAAATTGTTTTCATGCTCATTTAGTAAATTCTCGATATGTAGATTATTTAAATTGTAACCTTTCTCATTTAACAATTTCCGTAATATCTTTTTATTCTCTTGAAATTTAAACTTCTCTTTCCCCATTTTAGAATCTATAAAAATTGATAAACTGGACCTAGTTAAACTTTTTATAGATATAAACGTCTGAAAAAATTGAATAAAGTCATCCACTTTTAGATTGGTCAAATACTTGGAATTGATATATTCATTTCCATTGTTCCCTTTAAATCTCAAATTTCGTGTAATTATTTTCTCCCAGGCGTTATTAAACTCATCATTATTTATATAATTATTACTTTGTTTATTGGGATTAATTGTATAATTTGAATTAAAACAATAATCTAAATTATCTTTATTTTTAATAAAAATTTCAATTTTTTCATTTAATTCATCTTGTGTCATTGAAATCAATTCCAATTCAATTTCAAATAATAAATTCTCAATTTCTGAATGAATATGTGAGTATGAATATTTACTACTTGAACAAAAAATGTAAATTCCCATAGTTTGTTTATTATATCTTACACCGCTAGATACAAAATATCCAATTTGTTTTTTAGTCCTCAAATAATAATAAACATTTTGGGTTATTAAATAAATTAAAAAATTGCTGCAACTTACCAATTTTTCATTTGACCGTTGACAAATTTGAATATAATAATAATGTACATCATTTGGATCTTTTAAATTTGAATTTAAAATAGTTGAAAAATAATTTTGAGTTAAGTATAAACTTGATTGATTAATTGGTTTGGACATTTCTTTTAAATTTATTCTCTGATGATTAGTTAAATAATTCACAATTTTATCAATTTTAAAAACATCAGTATTTAAAACATTACCGAATACTAAAACAATCACGCAATGGTATTCATTTAATATTTTGTCAACTAATGTAACTACATCATTTTTTTCAATAATTTCCAAAGTTTCAAACCTTTCCTCTAACGAAAATATTCCATCTTCTAACAACAAAATCGATGCAGCTATAATCTGTTTCATGGAATTATCATCATCTTCTTCAACTTCACCTTCATTTTGTAAATTCTTATAGTTTAGAATTAACTTGTTTTTGATCTGAACGAATTTTTTATATGTTAGATAATCCGTAATCTCAACTAATATTCTTTTAATCTCATTTATGAAATTGCTTAAGAAAAATTCAAATCCAATGTTGGGACCTGAAATATATACACTAATCAGTGGTAAATTTACATAATTTGAGTTTAAACACCATGAATAAGTTACCAATTCACAATTATAAAACTTTGAAATTAAAATTTCACCTAACAAGGATGTTAATAATTCAATTAAGATGAAATTTTCAACTGTATTTGATATTGACAAATTTATTTGAAATGAAGTTTGAATTAAAAACGAAGTATTTGTTTTAATTTTCCAAATTTCATAATTATTTGAATAATCTAATAATTTAGGCTCAATATTTTCATTCAATTTGATTGGACCACTTTTGACATTCATTGATTCATTGATTAATTTGTTTAATTCAGAATGAGAAATTTTTACGTATGGATTTGATTCAAGTATATAAAATTTTGGAAAATTGTAATTCTGAAAACATAAATCTAAATCATAAATTTTGTATTCAAAATTATAATATGGATCTTTCAAAAATCCGTCATGATTTAGTTTTTCTTGATTTCCCAATATTATGACATTCAAATTTTCGATATTGAATATTTCTCTTGTACATTTTATAAATTCATCAATTGAAAAATTGAAATTATAATCTGTACCCCCAATTAATAAATCTTGAACCTTCAAGAATTTATCATGTAAAGTTTGACTTAAATTTGAAATCCCATCAATTGAATTAATATTCGAAGTTGTGAAATAAGAATTATACTTGAATATTTTAAGATATTCATCAAGTGTAATTTCTAAGTTTGGATTTGAAAGTAAATGATCAATAAATGCCCATATGGCATTAATCAATAAATTCAAGTCTAGTTTATTTGTCTCAAACTCTAAAATGAGCACTTTGTTATTTATTGATAGTGTTTGAGTAAACACATACATTGAATTGATCAATTTCACACCTTTCAAATAATGAAACAAAGTATCTTCACTTTCATCACCTAGTAAATGACACCATAAATTTTCAAATAAAAGATTTACTTCACTTAAGCTTAAAATTAATCTCACCACCATATTTGATTTCTTTTGCTTTATATATAGGACTTTATTTATTTCATCAAATACATTATTGTAATTCATGGCAAGTGTATTCATTTTTTTTGATGTTTTTCGTATATTTGAAAAACTCCCAATGGTTAGCTTTTGCAACTGGTTCAATGATAATGATGATTTAACAACCAATGTCATATTTTCGGCAAAATAATAATTATTAAAAAATTGAACAACTTTATCTCTCAACCCCTTTAATTTTCCTAACGTATTAATATTTCCCGTTCCAAATTTCAGAAATGGATGTGTATGACTTGCTAACAACTTCATTCCATAATATAATATTTTCCCCTGATTATTCAAATTCAATGCATGCTCATCATTAATCGAATTGATTTCAATGTTTATGAAACTTTCGTTAAAAAGAGGTCTAGAAAACAAGCTAACAAATATTTTAATTAAGTAATTCAATCCAAATTCGTTACCAATTTGAATTTGGTTTAAAGGCACCTCGAAATAAAAATTTGTGAAATTGCCCATTGTGTATGCATTTGAATTACCATTCATTGATTTCAAAATTTCAAAAAATAGATTAGGATTTGGAAAAGTTTCAGAGCCCATGAATATCATATGTTCAACTAAATGAGCAAGTCCCAATATACCTCCATCGTTATGTGAACCACTGTTAACACAAAGAGAAATTGAAGTTGTGGAACTATTTGAATCTGAAATTAATAAAGTTTTTAAACCATTTGATAATTTAATGTATTTTAAACATTTATATAGATCTGAAATTGATTTTTTAAAATTTGTTTCTAATGTTGTTACAGAAAAGAAGTCCATAAGGTGATTGATATATGGATGTAAATTAATGAATTAATTGATTAACCCTTTTCGTTCATTCTCGTTGATTTATTTAATTTAATTTTTTTTTTTTTTTTTGATTTTGATTTTGTTTCAGATTTCCTAATTTGGATGTTACAATGTAATTGGTAGCGCCATGCGATCTGGAGATCTGAAAAAGTATTGAGATCAGTTGATAAAGATAGGCATAACTTCATTTCAGAGTAATTGAAGTAGGTTTAGCATAAATATTGTTTGATAAAAGCAAAAAATAAGTTATTATTCATGGATTTTTCTCTTGCTTTTTGGTAAGATTCTATTTTGGAAAAATTCTCAAAAATTCTCAAAAATTCTCAAAAATTCTTGGATAATATATATCAAATCTGAACTATTTCTAAGGTAGATTCTATATAAGTCAAATGTTCGTTGAAGGAACTTGGTTTAAGTTAAATATTCGTTGATGGAACTTGAGTTTAAACCGTCACGTTACTATGGGGTGTATAAAACGTGATATAGGGTGCAATTGTTATAAGATCTGTAGAATACACTACCATAACCCTCGTATATTACATAACACATACCTTTCACTATTACATAATTTGCATGAACAATTAAAAGAAATTACAAATAATATTCGACAAAGTGATTCACGTGACACATAGTTAACAAATTTTAACAAAGAAATTTCTATTGATAAAGAAATTCTTTTTTAAACATCACCAAATTTCATCTTATTCAAAAGAGATATTACTAGTTTCACAATTTAATGGTAATATAATTTAGTATAATAGATATTAGTATTATTATTATTAATTAGGATTTTAATATGGCAAATCAGTATACTTTTAATAATTATCAACAACATCAACATCAACAACAACAACAACAACAACAACCACAACATTCATCATCACAATATTCACCAAATTTAACAAATACTTCACCAACTACAAATTTATTATATTTAACACCACCACCATCATCATCAAATAATTCATTATCATCATCATTAAGTTCTAATTCATCAACTACTTCATCTCAACAAAATTCATTATTTTCAACTAATGGTAATAATAATTTTAATAATCATAGATTTAGATATTTTTTGTCAAAATCATTTGATTATGAGGATGATTTAGAATTTTGTCCTGATATTCCTGATCATAATCATTTAAATTATTATTTTAATAATAATAATAATAATAATAAATCACCTCCAATGAAGAAATTTGATATAAATTCAAAATCGCTTTCACCTACTAATATTAATACTACACCACAACAATCAACAATTAAATCTCCAAGAGTGCATACTCCAAGATTAAAGAAACCATTGGAAATTATTAATCCAATCACAAAGACTAGAATTGCATCACCTTCAAATGTTGCGAAATAGAGACAAGTATTTTAACAAGTATTTTACATGTAATTGTACTATATATTTATGATTTTTTTGGAAGGTCGGTTAACTGTGATTATCAATAATAATAATAACAATAACAATAACAATAACAATAATTTATAATTCTGAACCTTTTTGATAAAGGTTGTATTAATAAGATAAGAGAAAGAAAGGTTTTAAAAAGACAATTAGGGGGTATTTTTTTTTTATATATTACAAATTTTGATTTTTATATAATTTTATATTTTAGAGATACAATTTACACTCGTTAGTTTTTACACAATTTACATTCTTTCCAATTCTTTCTAATTCTTTCCAATTCTTTCTAATTCTTTCCAATTCCAATTCTTTCCAATTTTTATTGATAATAATGTTAATAAAGTGAGTATTTTATATATATAGTGTGAATTACCACCTAATAGTTAATAATCAATACGTAATAACAATGCGCCTCTTACATTTAAATTATATAATCGCGAAAATAAAATAAATTAAAAAAAAAAAAAAGCTAAAAATAGAAACTTAAATTATTTTATGTTAATCATTGAAAAATCAATTAATAATAACCAAGATTATTATAGACATCTTGAAACTTTAACACTGAATAATATAAATATAAGAGAATATCATTAAATATCATTAAATATCATTAAATTGACACCATATTGACTAAAAACTATACTATAGTTATACTCATTATGAATTACGTTTCTTTATTTATTTCATTTTATCTTTTTATGATAATTTTTGCTAATGATTCATCTTTAAATTCTCAACAACAAGTTGAATTATTTACTAAAATTGTATCAGATATAAAATTACATCCATCTGATTATATTAATTTATTTAGAACTGGTGATGTTGCTATTCCAATAAATTTATTAGGTCAAGTTGGACAAATTACGACATATACTGATGATTCATATACTACAATGATTGAAAATTCAGATATAAGAAATAATTTAGATAATTTAGCTACTCAATTACCTTGGTATAATCAAAGAATAGCTGGTGATAATATTCCACTGGTTACAACTAGTATTAATTCTAATAGTGAATTGAGTACTACAAATAATAATAGTAATATAGGTTTTAAATATTCAAGTTCATTATTTGGATTAATAAGTGGATTTTTAATATCAATCATATGGTAATAATATAAAAGTGATATTAATTTCTTATTAGTTTCTCGAGTGTCAAAAAATAAACTTTTCTATTGTCGCGAAATTTTACGACACTGGAATAAAAAAATAAAAAAAATAAAAAAAAATAAAAAAAAAAAATATAAAACATTTTCGTTTCATATTTTTATTGAATTATATAATGTCAACGGAAGAAAGTATGCTTATTAAATACTATATATTCAAATATTTACTAACTATCTTTATAAGTGAGCTTGAATGAAAGACATCAGCAGCAACAACAACAGCAGCAACAACAACAGCATCAACAGCCTACTTCAAGAAATAGATTTGGTTGGGTAAGGCGATTAATGCAAGGTCAAAATAGAACTACAGCAACAACAACAACAACAACAACAACAACAACAACACGTAATCATACTCCACATAATCATCATCATGGTCATAATAGTCAAGATTATGCTAATTATTTGTCAAAGAGAGGCACATCTAATTCAAAACCAAGAAGAAATGAAAATGTTAATAAAATTACATCACAATCTTCAAAACAATTAAATAAAATAAATAATAATAATAATAATAATAATTATAATCTTCATTCACGTAATGGTTCAGAAAATTATTCAATTGACAATAATAGTAGTGATTTAATAACTAACAATAGTGGTGATTTGGATGATAATGTTAGTACAACACCTTTAAAATCAATTATTTCTGCTCAATCAACAAAATCTCCTTCAATATTGAGTAATGGTGAATCACAAAATGTTGATACTTCAACTGCTGAAACTTCATTAGCTCCAAGTGTATATACATCACATGCTCATCAATTACAACAAAATTTACAACCACATACTCAAGTCACTATTCAACTGCCTAATGAAAGAGAAAGAGAAAGAGATAGAGAAAGGGATAGAGATAGAGATAGTGAATCTATAGTTACATTAGCGTCATCATCAAGAAGAATAAGAAGAAGAAGTATTGACACAAATTGTAGTACTGCTGGTATTCCACCTGCATCAATATTTGAAAGATTAGGAGTACAACAAAATACAGCTGCTAATTCAATCTATGCAACAAGTATAAAAACAAATAATGATAGAATAAGTCAGATTGAAAATACTAATCATTCAGATGATCAAACTAGTTCAATAAAGAGTATAAATTGAATGGAATATATATATATAAGAATATATAAATATATATAAAATATAACAAATTCAACTGGTAGCATCTCTCATAGTTAGAAATCCAAATTTAGCAAAATCAAAACAGAAGTTACAAAAAAAATAATTCATAAAACAAACAATTCTTTGATAAGAAAAAGGGTAATACAAAATACTAAAGAATATAAGTTACCAAAATTAATGTACTAATAAAGTTTTATCGATGGGTACATTTTATACTGATACATCTATTGAAGGAGATGTTTATATTCAAAAATTATCATCTTATATTCGAAAAAATGAAGAAAATTTAGCCAACGGCTTATTATGTTTTAGTAAAAACAGACAACAATCAACAAATTTAAAAACAAAACCTTTACGATTAACATTTACAATACATCATTTATATTATATTACTGAAAGAATAGATCAATCGAGTCTTGGTGTTGATGTTGGTCCACTAAATATTAAATTAGATAATCCTAATCATGAACCAACATTTATTTCATTTATGGCAAATAATGCAAGATCGTCATCATCTAGACATTTTATAGATAGTGATACTAGATCAATATCATCAATAAATTCTATGAAATCAATAGTTTCAAGTGCTTCCATATATTGGAGATCTTTAACAAATATAAATAAAATTGATCCAAAATTGATTCAAAAAGATATTAAATATTTATATTCCTCATTTACTAAAATACCTTGTCTTATATTAAATTCAAATACAAAAGTTAATAGTATAAATGGTTATGAAGAATATCCATGTGATACATCAATACCAATAAAAATGTTTAAAAATTTGCAAGTTTTAGAAATTGTAGAATATGAACCAAATGAAATATTTGGATGGAATATACTTTCTGAGCAATTGAGAATATTGATAATACGGAGAAGTAAGATTAATAATATTGGGGAAATTTTATTTAATTTAGTTATTGATGATGAGAGTGGTAGATTAAGTTTCAATACGAATATAAATAACAATAACCGACAACTGAAGTATTTTTTATCAGCTGATGATTCAATAACGGAAATTAATAATTCATTTAAATACAAGAGAGATAGACGTAACACAACAAGCTCAAACTCTTTTGGTCAAGCTGGTTCTTTACCAAAAGATAATGTCTACCTTGATTCTAAAAATTATGAATCATTACCAGAGACGAAATGGTCATTTTTAAAGCAATTAACAATTTCAGAAACTAACATTATTAATGTACCTAGATTTATATTCAAACCATTGACAAGTTTAGTTAAATTAAACTTATCCAATAATTTATTAGAAGAAGTGCCTGCTGGATTAGATCAATTAATAAATGTAAAATATTTAAACTTTGCAGATAATTATATAACAAATTTAAAGAATTTACCAAATAATTTAATTCAATTATTGACTTTAAATTTCAATAATAATAAAATCTCCGATTTATCAGGATTAGAAAATTTATCATCATTAGAAAAGATAGATCTTAGAAAGAATGAATTAAAAGAATTAAAAGATTTAAAACCCTTAGTATCCTTGTTTATGAAAAATAATCAAAATCAGTTGGACAATGTTTATTTAATACAAAATAAATTACCTAAAAATTATCGAATTGATTTATTTAATTTATTCAATGGAATAAGATATAAAAACAATATTAAAATAGATGATTCACGACCAGGATATTTTGAAAAAGCAATGTTATTAGAGTCAGAAACAGCAATTAAAAACCTAGAAAAGTTTTACAATTTAAATAAAAGAAATTCAGTGTTAACTGCTGAAACAATTGATGAAACAAATACAAATACTTTAGTATCGATTAGTCCATCTGCTAAACAAGAAATATTATTGGAATCATTTGCAAATTTAAAAATTGATAATGAAAATTCTTCACCAAAGTCTGCAAAATTTAAAAAATATGATTTATCACATACTGTTATTTCAACTTCATTATCTTTATTATCACCATCTACTCAACCTAGTTCTCCGTTGCATGCAAATCATAATATAACGAATAAGTCTAGTATCAATGTTGAATGTTCATTACCTTCCCCCTTGAACAAACAAACTCCAATGATTCATATGAATAAATCAAACAGTTCGATTCCCTCTACTCCATCAATTAAAAGGTCAACTACGTTGGTTGATTTTGAAAAAATTAATGTAAATTACAATACCGCTCCAAATATATTAACACCTGTTCAAGTTACTGCTAGAATGTCAACATAAATACAATGAAAATAATGTCATTCATAATATTGTTCCAAGGTATTTTAGCTCAAATTTTACTTATAGGAATACATAATTGGTATAATAATGTCAGTCATACTACAGCTTCAATTACCTTGGATCAAGTGAAACTGCTAATATTTACATAAATACATAACTTTTTTTTTTTTGTTTTGAAAAAAATTAGCCGCTTTAAAGGTACAATTTATATGCAAAAGCACAACCACCAAATATGATTTGTCAATGGTTATTAATATTATTAGTTTCATTTGTTTTATCATTAGATGATGATAGTAAAGTTAGTTTCACACTTGAATCAAAATTTTCCAACTCTTCTAATTTGAAATTCGGCAGTGATAATTCAATTATTCAAAAACGTTCAAAACATTCTGAATCTTTTATGGTTGAAGATCCAATGGAGTACCGCATTCAAACCCATTTTCCAAGTCGTATGTATATAACAAAGCTAATTTTTATATGGTACTAACGGTTTTATAGCCGTGGGTGGTAGACTAGAAAATATTTGGCAAAAGGCCTATGAAAGGGCAAGAAAAGTTGTTGATAAAATGTCTATTACTGAAAAAGTTAATTTAACTACTGGTACTGGATGGGGGTCAGGTCCGTGTGTTGGAAATACAGGAAGTGTGCCAAGATTAGGTATCCCTAATTTATGTTTACAAGATGGTCCAAATGGTGTTAGATTTACTGATTTTGTTACTCATTTTCCATCTGGTTTAGCAGCAGGAACTACTTTCAATAAAGGTTTAATTTATCTTAGAGGTAAAGCAATTGGTAAAGAATTTAAGAAAAAGGGAATTCATGTTTGTTTGGGCCCAACAATTGGTCCAATCGGTTTAAAAGTTAATGGTGGTAGAAATTGGGAATCGTTTGGTAGTGACCCTTATTTACAAGGTATTATGGGAGCTGCAACTGTTGAAGGTATTCAAGATGAAGGTGTTATTGCCGTTGCAAGACATTTAATTGGTAACGAACAAGAACATTTTCGACAAATTGGTGAATGGGATGAAGAAATTTTTGGTCAAGGATGGGATAAATTAGAAAATTCAATTAGTTCCAATATTGGAGATCGAGCAATGCATGAAATTTATTTGTGGCCATTTGCAAATGTTATAAAAGCTGGTTGCGGAGCAATTATGTGTTCTTATAATCAATTAAATAATTCATATTGTTGTGAAAATTCATATTTAATCAATTATTTATTAAAAGAAGAATTATCTTTTCAAGGATTTGTTATGAGTGATTGGGGTGCTCAACATACTGGTGTAAATTCGGCATTATCAGGGTTAGATATGACAATGCCCGGTGAAATTTTCGACGATTGGTTAACTGGTAAATCATTATGGGGTCCATTATTAACAAGAGCTGTTTATAATGGTACAATACCACAGCAAAGATTAAATGACATGTGTACAAGAATAATTGCAACCTTTTTCGCAATACCAACTGTTAATTTACCGTTGGAGGATGATGTACCAAATTTCTCATCTTGGACTCACCATACATTTGGTCAAGAATTTCCTTATCAACATTTTGGTCCAATATTACAAAAAAATTGGCATATTGATGCAAGATCGGAATTTAGTGATAATACTGCATTAACAGTTGCAAGAGAATCTGTTGTTTTATTGAAAAATTCTGGACATAATATCCCAATTGATAAAAGTGATGGAGTTAGACGATTATTAATTGTTGGGAAAGGTGCATTTGCTGATCCAAATGGGTTTAATTGTAAGGACCAACGTTGTACGAATGGTTTATTATCTTCTGGTTGGGGTTCAGCTGCTGTTAATAATCCATATGTCATTACTCCGTATGAAGCAATTGCAAAAAAGGCAAGAGAAAGAGGTATCTTAATAGATTACAATTTTAATAACTGGGATCTAGATCATATGGAAGATTTAGCTGATTATTCAGATTTATCGATTGTATTTGTTAATTCATTTTCTGGTGAAGGTTATATTTATGTCGAAAATAATTTTGGTGATCGTCAAAATAGCTCATTATGGCATAATGGAGATGAAATTATTGAAAAAATTGCAAATAAATGTCATAAAACAATTGTTGTAATTTCAAGCACTGGTCCAATAAATATGGAAAAATGGATTGAACACGAAAATGTAGTTGGAGTAATATGGACACCTCCATTAGGTCAATTTGTTGGACAAGCAATTGCTGATGTTTTATTTGGAGATACGAATCCTTCAGGGAAATTACCATTCACTATTGCTAGGAAAAAACAACATTATGTATCAATAATTGATGAATTAAATGGTGAAAAAAATCCACAAGATAATTTTGATCGTGATATTTATTTAGATTATAGATTTTTTGATAAACATAATATAAAACCAAGATTTGAATTTGGATATGGTTTAAGTTTTACAAGTTTTAAAGTTTGTAATTTAAAAATTACCGAGATTAATTCGCCGTCTGAATACTTACCGTATCCACAGGAATATTTACCTTTAACTAAAATTGTTGAAGATGATGTTTGTGATCCCGAAGATGCATTATTTCCCCATGATGAATTTGATCCAGCTCCAGGATATATATATCCTTATTTATATAATGAAAATACTAGATCATTAGATGAAGATGAAACTTTTGATTATCCACAAGATTATAATCCTGATCAACCTAATAATCCTCCTTTGTCAGGTGGTGGATTAGGTGGAAATCCAACATTATGGGAAATTTTATATGAAGTTAGTGTTGAAGTAAAAAATGAAGGTAAATTGAAAGGTGGTTACGTTTGTCAATTATATATTGAATTTCCAAATACAATTTTATCAACACCTCCAAAACAATTACGAGGATTTGAAAAGATCTTTTTGGAACCTGGTTCATCTCAAGTTTTAAATTTTAATATTTTACATCGTGATTTAAGTATATGGGACCCCGAATCTCAACAATGGATTATTCAAACAGGTACCTACAAAATTTTTATTGCCTCGTCAAGTAGGAAAGTTGAATTATGTGGTGAAATTGATATAGGTTGTTAATAAAATTATTGTGGTATACTTAATTTATGATAAAAGGCATATTTACATATATAGCGCTAATTTAAATATACTACAGCTTATTGTTGTTACAAACATGGAAGTAAAATTTGATATTATTGGAGAAATTTTACGATTACAGTATTGATTCTTATGTGCATTTTTTATACTACATTTTATTACTCTAACATTCTTTTAGCAGCTAATTCAGCTTCTTCATTATTCAAATCATCATTATGAACTCTAGCATGTTTAAGCTGAAAACTCCAACAATCATAATCATAAATAATATCAAATCCTTGTACTTAAACTTTAAAGTATACTTAGCGCTACCGTGTGGATACCCCCTAAAATATACAATTTTTGAAAGCACAAGAACGTATAGTTCAACGCAACATTAGAATAGCTAAGATAGAGAGTTCAAACCTTATTGCTAGTCCAGGATTCTTTTATTATCTACTCACAAACTGTTGTGATGCAAATAAAACTGATATGGATAAAATGGATAAAATTTTACCAGTAATTTAAAAGTTACGGTATTCTAAGTTTCATTCTTTTCAAAGTAATTGGGTCAAGGTCACATGTACTGTCAACTGTAATTGAATGATTTTGATAGCAATCTCCTCATACCCTATCTCATTTTATCAATCATTATCTTGTAATTTGACAATTTCTTAGTATTACAGCCACACAAATTTTAGTTTTTTTGATGCCTATCGATGAAAGTCCCTAGGAAACTCTTTGAAAGGTTCAATTGAATTACAAACAAACTGGAGGAATCAACTTATCGTGCATAATTAATGGAACAACGTTTAATTGTACTTTTTGAAATCTGGAACCTTGATTATTTAACTATAGTGAGACAGCAAATACAGCTTATTATAGGAGATTCTATTGTTAGAATCTTAATTATAATCAGTTATATGCCAAAATTAGTAAATCTTTTGAAAAATGAGTTACTTCAATTATGGCTTGGGGGTTGGGGGTTGGGGGGTTGAATTTTCTTTTTTTCAAGAACATGTGGTAGCACAATAAAAAGCGCAATTTTCATGCAATATTTTTTATTTCTTTTTTTTTTTTTTTTTTTTATTTCTAATTGTTCCTAAATGCGCTGCATAAACTTATAAACGCCAAGATATTAATCGAATATTGATTGACAGGTGATTTACAATTAAAAACGTTGATAAGAAACACATTAAAGACAGTGACGCTTTATGGTTAGGATATTCCGTTAACGTTTATTATATTTTGACTTTTTTCTTATAGAATTTCAACTGTCAAATTTAGTTGTCAGTTTTTCTTGATCTGAGCTTAATTTCGTTGTAAATAGGCTATGAACATAAAGGAGCTTAATTTAGTTGTAAATAGGCTATGAACATGAAGGACTAATTATGTAGAATTCCTACCACATGGCATGCTATTATAACTCAACTACCAAACATGTTTTTCTCCAGGTAGAGGTGATAATACTAATATTTAGCAATAGAAACTAAAACAATAAAAATTATAATAAAAATTAACATCGAATAGGCTTTAAGCACATATTAATCTTGTAAGGAGAAGAGGCGTTGTTTAGTATTCAAGGATTATTATTCTACCAACAATAGATACTTTATATGTGGCTTAATTAGTTAAGGATTGAATTACGGCTTTTTCAAATATTTAGAGCCCATGCCATTAGATTCTATCAATATTTTTAAAACTTTCTTGATATCTTAGATTTAATCATATTCTAAAATTGTTTCTCTTTTGTGATACACCGAACGTGGATTAGAAAGAATATTTGATATTGAATTTCAATGACAAGAAAAATCTATCAAACAATCACTTCTCATAACACTTGGTGCATGCAGATTGACTTCGATAATGTATTCACATTTTGATAGATTTCTTGGTATAACGAATAAAATTGAACTAGAACTAATTTATGGCGAATAGATAAGCCTGTGGTAATTGTTTACTAAATACCTTGATTACGAAGATATTCTAGATTTGTAGAACCCTATTCAAACTTATTGTTATATAATATAATCATCATACATATAATTTACGTATATAGAATTAAAGAGATAGAGAGATATATCAATTATCCAATTTATTTAAAATTCTATTATATTTAGACGCTTTGAAAAACGTTAAAAATAATAATAAAAAAAAAAAAAAAATATAAAAGTTAGTCCGAGCATTTCCGATCTCCGTTTTAGTAGATAACGAATTACTATCAACATGAAACACAATTCTACATTGATCCATAATAGGCTGAATTATATCAATGAAATGAATAGCGGCTAGAGAAACATTTGTGACTTGACTTGTTTGACCAAGAGTTTCACGCATCGTTAAAGAATATAAATTTGTTGATCTCTTACTATTATAAATCCCCTATTCATTATATATCAATAGTTATTATAATACACACATATCTCTCAAGTATTGTTTTATTTGATTGTATAATAATTTAAATTTTTGTTAAAACTTTGTTAACAATAATACTAAATTTTAAACCCTTTTCTGTAATTTAATAATTTGATTGATTGATTGATACATTGTTTTCCTTCAATCACATTTTAAATGCAGGTTTTATTGTATCTAAATGAATTTTGATTAAAAACTGTTGTTAGTTTCTATAACCACTTGTAAGGGTGAAAAAAATCGATTGGAAAATAATCTAGAGGCAGAAACCAAAAAAGAAAATAATTTTAGTTTTTGGTCTTTGTTAAAACGAATAATAGTACTTAAACTAAAATTCGTTAATTATTAACCTAAAGTATATTCGTTGATTAAATGGTAAACGAAATTCGTTAAACTAATCAAACTAATCAAACTAATCAACTGTTTCACAAGAAAAAATCTGTGTATCTTATCTTTAAAATATGTAAATTTTATTCTTTTTTTTAAGTGGCAGTTGAATCTTAAAATCTTGAATCTATTATAGAAAAACATGAAACAGGACAATAGCATTTAGTGCAACAATAAAGATATGCTATATGTGTGGTTATTATGTGCTTTTGTGTAATAGCGCAAAAAAATCAAATGTTGCAAAATAAAGGAAAAAAAAAAAAATCAATTACTGCAAAATTGCAAATGCTTCTCTTGATTCATAATGAAATACAAGAACTGCTATACTAAATTTTTCTTTGGATCCCCTTATTAAATGCTCTTATTGTTTAATGAATCCGAATTTTTCCCTAACTTGAATCAGTATAAGTTTAACATAATCTGTCATTTTAATTATAATTATAATTTAAAGAGATTTATATTTAATCTCCAATTATAATCAAAATATGAATCAGGAAATAATTGAAATAAACACTAATCAAAATCAAACAAGTAATATAACAGAGTATAACAACAACAACAAAAATACCAGTGAATACGATGAAAAACACATTAAATTTGATCAGAATATAAATTTCAACGAAAGAACTCTACCTGGAACTCCATCAGAATCGATAAGTACAACAATAGGAAATCGAGAAGTTAAAGCAAAAGATTTAGCAGATAAACTAGGTGATGCACATTTTAAAGAATTACGAACATCGCAAATTATTACAGTGTTGTTGACGTTATCATTAGCCACTATTGTATCATTTGCTGATCAGACAGGTATAACAGTTGGTTTATCGACTATTGGTAAGGACTTAAATGCTGAACAATCAATAAATTGGGCAGGTTCAGCTTCATTGTTAGCAAATACTGTATGTCAAGTCTTGTTTGGTAGAATGTCAGATATATTTGGTAGAAAAGCCGTTATAATGTCATGTTTAATGATTTTAGTAATTGGTGATATTGCATGTGGTGTTGCAAGAAATGCTGTTGAATTCTTTGTATTTAGAGCGTTAGCTGGGATTGGAAATGGTGGAGTTTCATCCTTATCAATGGTTATATTAAGTGATATTGTTTCATTAAAAGACAGAGGTAAATATCAAGGTATATTAGGTTCAAGTGTTGGTATTGGTAACGCTGTTGGACCATTTATAATGTCAGCATTTATAAAAAAAGCAAGTTGGAGAGCATACTATTATTTCTTAGCACCTTTGGGATTTGTCGTTAACATTATCTTGTTTTTTGCCCTTAAAGATAACAAAAAAGTTGATGATGTATTATCAAGAAAAGAAAAATTCAAAAATATTGATTACTTTGGCATCTTAGCTGCAACTGCAGGTTTAACATTATTATTAGTACCTTTGAATGGTGGTGGTTCAACATATAGATGGGATAGTACATTAGTTATTGTAATGTTTACAATTGGTGGTGTTATCTTGATTTTATTTTTAGGTATCGAAGCTAAATTCGCGAAATTACCCATGATCCCATTAAAATTATTCAAGAGTCCATCATTGTGTTTATTATATTTAGCTACATTTTGCTTTGGTGCAACATATTTTAGCTTCACTTATTATCTACCTTATTATTTTCAAATTGTAAAAGGTAAAGATGAATTACATACATCAATCTTTTTATTACCATTAGTTTTATGTCAAGCTGGCTTCTCGGCAGTTGGTGGTAACATTATTTCATTTACTGGTCACTATTTCTATATTGTTACAATTGGATATGGTTTATGGTTAATTAGTGCTGGTTTATTATTATTATGGAATCAAACTTTAAATGATGGTATAAATGTCTTAATTTTATTGATTATGGGAATTGGCGTTGGTTTTAGTTTTCAACCTTCAATGGTTAGTATCCAAGCAAATTGTAAAAGGTCAGAACGAGCAGTTGCTATATCGACAAGAAATGTTTTAAGATCATTTGGTGGTTGTGTTGGAATTGCTGCTGGCTCGACAATTGTTAGTAATTCTGTTTTGAAAGAATTAGATTCAACACAATCCCAATCTATACTAAATGAAGATACAATCAATTATATTAAATCACACATTTATGAAAAAATTGATATTTCAAATTTGAATCATTCTCAAGTTTATCAAGTTAGACAAATGTATGTTGATGCTTTGCATAATTATTTTTATTTCATAATCGCATTGATGGCAGTTTGCTTTTTAACTGCTTTCTTTGTTAAAGACAGAGGTTTACAATGTATTGATGAAGAACCAATTAATAAAAAGAATGATTTAGAATTATCAGCAAGTTCAACAGTAACATTAAAATGATCATAGACATAACATTTCAAGTTTGCATTTTTAGGAAAAGTATAATTTTTATATACTTATTGATATACATTAATATTTTTAAACTGCAATCTTAAAATTAACTTAAATTCATCATAACTCTACGGAAATCTAAGGTTTTTAAGTGCTTTTGAGCGGAATCTGCTCCAAACCTAACAAAATTTTAATAAAGGTTGTTTAGAGATGATTCAGTGACATGATGGTATTTTGGAAAAATTCTAATAGTAAATTTTATTTTTTACATTATTGTACTGCATTTAACTAGAATGTGCGAGCTTTGCTTGAAGGATGGCCCAAGTTTTTGGCCATGAGAGTAAGATTTCTCGGCTGTGTATTTGTTCCATTTGGGCCTGATTATTAGTCCAGCTCAAAATTCATTCTAGAGCAAAACTGACTTATATGCAGTCATTCAATAGTAAGTTTCAAAATTTAATTAGTAAATAAGTCCTCCACTTTTCAAGCTATTACTCTCAAGATTATTTTAAATAAATCTTCGGACAATTCGCCGTGAGCTGATGTTACGTCATTTTGTAATACTTAATTTTGGTTGCTTAATTTTAAATTGAAAAAATGAAAAAAGTCTTTCAATTACAAGAATAAATAGTACTTAAACCATGTTTCGCAACTTCTAAGATAACTGATATGGCCCAACACACTTCAAAAATCCTACTCGTAATAGTCTTAATGGTTCTTAATTGTTTTAATATATTTTTCAAAAATTTCGGATCACTTTTGAGAAGTTGATAATCCAATCTTGAGTACCTCAACAAAATATATTCAAGGTTTAACAGGCGACAGGAACTACAAAATAAATAGTTTAGTCATGTTGCAATTTGAATGGTGTTTGTGAAGTTAGATTTTTCGTGAGGTCAATTTATTCAGTTTCTCCCATTCTTAAGAGAAAACTTCAAAATTTTTCAGTTTTGATTTAGAATTAGTTCCAGCACCTTCATTTGAGGTCTAGTATATGTGAACCGATTTTTAATTGGAAGTTGTGGTCCTGACTCAAAAGAAACACTATTTACATTTTTTGAAAAATTTTTTATATGGTGAAAAAAGCCCACAATGACGACATAAAATAAAATTCTGAATTCAACATTTTAAGATATATAGAATACATAATTTACCAACGAAGATTTCATAAAATTGGTTATTATCTCCAGAGATCATGCTGTCCATGACGTATAATCCAATACATTTAGCTCGAGTCGCCTAACATTGAGGCGAGAAATTACTCTAGTCGTACCACCTTATGGCGTTCGAAAATGGCGCGATTTTCATAATTTACCCTATATGCAGTCCATAATTTGACGATTGAACTTTAAACTTATTTTGAGAATAACTTCACATTATTCTAGCTCCACTTCTTGGTTTTTTAAGAGTATTGAAAGCATTAGCGTTTGTCAATTATTGGCCCCAGCAGCAAATAATCAGACTTTCTTATTGTTTACTAGAAATTAGCTCAATTATTGTTTGGCATATATGCAGATCAATTTCAGTCCTTGACTTGCAAAATTTTGCTCATATAGCTTTATACACAATATATTAAGCGATGCTATTAAAGTTTGCAGAGCTTTTGAAAGTCGACAACTGCTTCTTAGAAATCTCAAATATTTCAACGAAATGTTTTGATGCGACAAAATAGTTTCTCGCCCTAACCTTTGGGCGACCTCTTGCTACTTATATTGGCTTATATATTCTGAACAGAGCATTCTCTCGAACTAAATACCAATTAAACAAGATCCGAGTTATTGATCTATATATGTCTCAAATTTTGTATTTCAAACAATTTTTTTTTCAGTTATTATTTCGGGATTTTTCACCATTCAAAAATTTTGACAAAAAAGTTAACCTCGTGTATCTCATTATTTAGCACCAAAACTTTCAATCAAACAATGGATTATATATATTGAACCACAACCAAATGTATTGGAATTTATTCAGCTGTTGAAGTCTAAAATTGAAAAATTTCAATATTTTCCCTTAACTACGGTGATAGCGGCCAAAAATCTTCTCACTCGAGGCGAGAGTTGGTACCAAAGCTTGTACCAAATTGGAACTACAAATTGGAACTACTTTGAAAAATATACCGCAGACTATAAATTCGAGTCGTGCTGATAATGAGCAACTTGCAGATTTAAAACTGGAATCTTACTAACTCTAAAATTAAGTATAATAATCTAGCAAATTCAAAAAGATCTAAGAGAACAATTAGTTTGACATATTGGTAGCTATTTAAACCACCTGCATTATTAAATTGCCTGAATTTGTCCATTCGCATCTAATTATTACCATGAAACCAATGACTTAAGTAGATTGATATTTGTTGGTCGATTTAATGAAATAGATAATTTATTAATTTCGTCGTATAATTTTGATGTTTCAGATTTGCAAACAAAAAAAAAAAAACGCGTAAAATTTACGTGAAAAAAAAAAAAAAAAAAATTGTTATCAAAAACTTTAATCTCACAAACATAAACACCGGATGATTTTGATACCAAATGTCCGAATTATTTAATAGATATCAACAATCAAGAGCAAAAAGAGGAATTGGAGTTGATCCAATATTATCGTCAACTACAAATAGACCAAAAACAACAGCATCACCATCACTACATCCAAAATTATCATCAGACGGTTATAAACCATCATCATTATATCATGACATTTATAAACCATCTACATATCAAGACAATCATAGATCATCAACATCTATTCCGTACTCCGAACGAATAATGACAAAAGAAAAGCCAAATGGATATGATTTTGAAAAACCAATGGCTGGTTCTTATTTAGGTTCACCTATTAAAAATTTAAATGGATCATCATCTAGAAGAGATAAAGTCAAAGAAAGACATTCATCATTATATAAAACATTAAACTCATCTGATTTGATTGATAAATATAGAATATCAAAGAATGGCAAATCAAAGGCAGATAATGGAGGAATACTATCTAAATTAGTCAATTATTTCACACATAATGAAAATGAAGAAGATTTTAATAATCTACATCAATCAGCTAGAAAGGCATTGAACTTGAATAGTCCAAAAAGAGATCGTTATACTTCAAGAATGGGAGTTTTTAATGACGATAATGATAAAGTTGATGAATTAATCAACCATACAAAAGAATTGGAACATAAAAATACCATAAACAGAATAAAATCATTAGAATTAGAACTAAGGGAAAGTAAGAAAATTATAATTGAAGAAAGAGAAGAGAATGAGAAATTGAATAATGAATTAAAAGATATCGATGCACTGTATATGAAAAGGCTCAAGATTTTAGAACAAGAGAATGAAAGTTTAAGAACGAGTGAATATAAGTACAAACAAGATTTACAAGAACTAAAAAAGCATTATGATGATGAAATTTCAAATATTTTGGAAACTCATGAACTTGAATTAAACAAATTGGAACAAGTTCATTTAAAACAATTGAGTAAATTTAAAAATACCGATTCTGAACTAATTACTAAAATCAATACTTTAGAAGAAACTATATTTGATTTAAATTTTGAGTCAAACCAATTAAAGAAGGAAAATGAAAAACTTCATTTGAAAAGCATTAATCTTGAAATTGAATTATCATTAAAAGACAAATTAAGAATTTCGATGATTTCAGATAATGAATTAGATTTGTTATATAAAGAATCGTCAAAAATTGATTTTGAAATAGATAAATTAGAAAAAGAGAAACTTGAATCATCAATTGATAAGGATTATTTTGCAAATAAATATTCTAAAACAGAAACAAATATTGAAAATATCAAAATTAAATTAGAAAATATTACAAAAACACTAAATTTTGAAGAATTTACAGAATGTGAAACTTATATTCAATCAGCTACAAATTATATTAGTAATATGAAATTGAAATGTAATAATAATATTAAATCAATATCGAATACATCATCATCTTCATCATCATCAAATGTTAAAAAATTATTAATTGAATATAACACATTAAAAAGATTAAATCAGTTATCATTGAATTTATTACAAACAAAAGAATTATTAAAAGATTGTAAGATATTACAAGAATATAAAGATTCAAGTGTTGATATAATTGATATTTATTGTAAAATTAAGCGTGAAATTATATAGTATTCATATAGGTATAATTATTATGTAATAATATGGTGTTTATATAGTAAGTATTATGTAATAATTTATGTAGTAAACAAAAATCAAAATTCAAGACGCGTCTTGAAATTTTTTGACTTTAAATTTAATGCAATCTTCACCATCACCATCAGCTTATTTATTACCAATAAAATTACAACCATCAAATGTACGACCATTAGCTTTTAGAATATTGTCTAAAAAACATGGGTTAAATTTAAATACAGATGCTTTATCAGTTCTAACAGATGCTATAAGTTTAAATTTTGGTGTTGAATGGAAAGGGTTACCTTCACAAAATTTTCTTGAAGAAATTGCTAAAATTTGGAAATTAGAAGATCGAGGATTATTTATAGATGCAGATGGATTAAAGCAAATATTAAATGATATGAAAAAAGATAAAAATGAACCTAGTAAGGCCCATAAATCAGATACAATAGTTGATGAAATTAAACAAGTTGAACTAGTGAATGTAGAAGAAGAAGAAGAAGAGATAATAAATTGGCAAGATTATTGTAAAGTTATACTACCTAATCAACAACCACAAAGTATATTTGATAGACATAAGAAACAATTTACGATTATTCACAAACCATTAAATCAAGAATCTATATTTACAAATTTACATGAAAATTTACCAGCTAAAATAAATTCTTTGAGTAATCAATATCATTTAATTCTTGATAGATTATCAAGAAATGAAAATTTTCAAAAAGTTCCCAATTTTAGTTTTTCATCAATAAATATAAATCCAGATATAATTAATGAAATCACACCAATAAAAAATGTTTTAGGTAGAGATCGTCAAAGATTTTTATTATTTGGTTATTTATCAAAAAACCCCATCAATGGGTCTTATATATTGGAAGATTCAACGGATTATATTGAATTAAATTTAAAGCAAGCTACAAAAGCACCAGGGTTATTCTATTGTGAAGGTATGTATCTATTAATCGATGGTATATATTCCGCATCTGGAGGTTCATTAAATCAACATCAAGGTTATATAGGAGGTTGTCTTTATGTAAGTAATATTGGTCATCCGCCAGGTGAAAGAAGAGATAAAGAATGGGAAGCTTATGGAAATTTGGATTTTTTAGGTATACATAGACAAATGGCACCTATAACTGGTGAAAAAACAACAAAGATATCAAGAAAATTGAAAAAGAAATTGGTTAATTGTGAAAGATCATTAAATCATAAACTTGTAATTGTTGGAAGTGAATTACATTTAGATCAACCAATGATTATGAAAGCATTGAAAAAGTTTTTCAACAAATTAGAATTGTCCATTATAGAAGATGGTCTTGAACCATTGGCTTTAGTTTTGATTGGATCATTTACTTCCATACCTTTATCATCAACAAATTCTTCAATTACAAACGTTACAAATTCAGAAATTTATAAAAGTAATATTGATAATTTATCAAAATTATTATCAAACTATCCAAACATTATCCAAAATATTAAAAAGCTTATATTGATACCTGGTAAAAATGATCCATGGCAATCAACGTTTTCATTAGGATCATCATGTATTAATTATCTCCCACAAATTGGTGTACCAAGAGTATTCACAAATAGATTGGAGAAAATATTACCAAAAGGTGTACTAGAATTAGGTTGGAATCCAACTAGAATAAATTACCTATCTCAAGAGATAGTAATTATAAAAGATGATTTTATGAATAAATTTAAACGAAATGATATAATTTTTGATAGTGATTTAGAATTTGAAAAACAACAATTAGAAAAAGAATTGGACCCAAATAAAATTAAAAATTTAGCACAAACTAAAACTAATGGTCATTTACCTTCAAAAATTAAACAAGCAAGGAAATTAGTTAAAACGTTATTAGATCAAGGTAATCTACAACCATTTTCTAAGAATTTAAAATTAATAAATTCACAATATGATTTTTGTTTAAGAGTCGAACCGTTACCAAATGTATTAATAATGTTGGATTCAACATTTGATAATTTTGAATTGAGTTATAATGGTTGTAGAGTTATAAATATAATACTGGGTATAACTAATAAGAAATTAACTTATATTGAATATCAACCTGGTTCAAAATTAGTTGAATTTAAAGAAATTTATTTATAAAAAATAGGTAGCGCAAATATACAATTATATTTCACAATTTTTCATGTCTATACAATTTGTTGAAGATAAACATATTCAATATGTCATTGAACAAGAATCACATAGAACTTTTGAGTATTGGTTAAGTGAACATTTAAGGATGAATGGGTTGTATTGGGGTGTAACAGCTTTAATAACAATGAAAAGTTTGGATGAAAATTTAAATCGACAGGATGTTATAGATTATATTTTAAGTTGTTGGGATTCAAAAAATGGAGCATTTGGTTCATTTCCAAAACATGATGCTCATATATTATCTACATTATCAGCATTACAAGTATTAAAAATTTATGATTTAGAATTAAAAATGTTACTGATACAACAAAAATCTTCACTTGTTACATTTATAAAAAATTTACAATTGCCAAATGGAAGTTTTCAAGGAGACAAATTTGGTGAAGTAGATACTAGATTTGTGTATACTGCAATATCCGCATTATCATTATTGGATGAATTGACACCAAAAATTGCACAATCTGCAAGTAATTTTATAATGGAATGTTTTAATTTTGATGGTGGATTTGGTCTATCACCTGGTGCAGAATCTCATGCTGCTCAAGTATTTGTTTGTGTTGGTACATTGGCAATATTAGATAAATTGGATTTGATAAGGAATGAAACTAAATTGGTAAATTGGTTAAGTGAAAGGCAAGTTTTACCAAGTGGTGGATTTAATGGTAGACCTGAGAAATTACCTGATGTATGTTATAGTTGGTGGGTATTATCATCATTATCAATATTGAATAAAAAGCATTGGGTTGATTTAAATAAATTAGAACAATTTATATTAAGTTGTCAAGATTTAAAAGAAGGTGGATTAAGTGATAGACCAGATAATCAAACTGATGTTTATCATACATGTTTTGGAATAACTGGATTGAGTTTAATCGATCATAAAAAATATGATTTTATAGAAATAGATCCAGTATATTGTATGCCAAGTGAAATAACAAAGAATTTTAAAAAATGGAAGAAGTAAATAGAATTGTATAATGTTTCTAAAAATAAATATTACATTTCCAGGATAAATGTTTTTCCGGATCGCTGGGTAGTTACGATTCTAGATTTTCAGGAACAAAGATTTTTATTGCAACTGAAATTGGTTATACGCAGTAAAATAATTAAATGATATTCGAACTTGAAACAAAGGTATGTACAGCGCTTATGAATATTTTCGTTATTCGCCTCGAATTAATGCAATGATTAGCGCATCATTACAAAACAATAAAATGTTCTAGATACAATTGTTGAAATTTTTTTTGATTTAAAAATTTCATTAGGTCATAATTATATATTTAGTAATTCTAGATAATAAAAATTGTTTTCGTAAATTCATAATTGATTTAATCTAATTTAATAAAAAAGTAATAGAATGTTGCTTTTTTTGATGATCTTGTTCTAGATCATGTTCTTGTTCCTGTTGTTGTTCCTGTTCTTTTTCTTGCTGTTCCTGATACATTTCTTCTACTTTATCATTATTTATAATTTCTTTTGCGGCATTTTCACTTGATATTATTCTTCTCCATCGAAATTGACAAGCATTCGGTGTTCTATCATGAAAAAAGGTTGAAATTTCTCTCCAACCTAATTTTTGAATTTCTTTTAATTCTCGTAATAATTTATCTTCTTTTGGAGACCAAGTGGTAGATTGCTTTGATTTTCTTCTAATTGGTGAATATCTTTGTTGATTAAAAAAATGAGCTTGATCTGATGGATTGTAGTTATTATTTTTGTTATTATATGCGGGCACATATATTGGTTGTTGTTGTTGGTGTGCATATTGAATAGGTTGAGGATAATAAATTGGTTGTTGTTGTTGTAGTTGATAATGATAATTTGGTAATGGTAATATTTGTTGTGGTGGTGGTGGTGGTGGCGGTGGTGCAATTGAAGATGGTTGACAATGAATTAATTGTGAGTGAGGAGGTGTTGGAATTTGACCTTGACCTTGACCTTGATTTTGATTTTGATTTTGATTTTGATTCGAATAATACTTTACGGGAACTGACGAATTTGTTGACATTGATGAACTTGTTCTATAAGGTGAATCTATAAATGAAGATGAACTAATTGTGTTGGGGGATGGTGTTAACACAATTCCATTGGATTCTTCAACTAAATAATGATTAATAAAATTTGAATTTGGATGTAAACTATTATTATTATTTGACATCAAAGTAGTCATAGCAATAACAATTGAGTGAATAAATTTGAAAATCTATCGAATAATTAAACTAAATATATATGATCAATCTTGTAATTATATTATAATATAATAAATAATAAAATAAGGTTTAGCTGCAAAATCTAAAAAAATGGTTAAATAAAAAATCTAAAGAAAATAAAAACATTCTATAATCAAATAATTTAGCATTCCATAAAGGATTTTCAATATTAACATTCTTACTGTATCACATACTAATGCATTGGAGCACAAAGTTATATTATTTCAAGTTGGGAACCTAACCTTGGCATTTCAAGATTCAATCAGATTTTAGGATTTTGAGATCTAAAATAATATTCTAATTTTGCAGATTCAAACGTTGAACTCAAATTATAAGCGAAATTTATTGAACTTGGCATGCCAAATAATTTCACAAAAAATTATTGCATTATTTTTTTAGAATATGCAAAGAACAGCATCAATTCTAATTGTGAGCTTGAAGATCATTAACATCATTTAATTAATATTCATGAACTTGCGTCCTGATGGTGTTCTGTATCACAATAATAACTTCAATTTAAAAAATCACGACGCGAATAGTCCTAAGTTTGAATGCATATAAAATGTTCGATACATACTTTGACATTTCCTCTATGTTACATTTTATTTTGAAATATTATGATTAACCAATTATAAGTATAATCAAGATAAGTACAAGATTCTATATCTTGGTAAACGGTTTTCTCAAGAAAATATCAAATCTAACGATTTCCGTTTTTGACGAAAAATCTCTTTGTGAAATGCAAAATATACCTCAATGTTGATGATTATTTTATTCTTTGTTTAGATTTGGATCAACTGGAGTAGTTCAATTATTACAAGCTGCTGCTGATTTATTACATTTAATTCCAGTATATCCAGTTAGAAATATTCATAATTTCACTGGTAATTCAAACGATTATGTGTTTCGAGATTGTATATTAGTTAAGCGTGGGACTACTGTGATTCAAGTTGCGAGGAAACTTATGGGTGATGTTACTATTGCGGCTATCGAAGGTATCTCCATTCCATTTTTTTTTCTTCCAAGTTTTTATTAATACTAGTTGAGCCAAGTATATTTATTGATTAAAATGTATATATTAAATATTATTTTATATATGTATTTCCTCTTTTTAATCTATTAAGCTCCACTTGAACCATATTGCGTTGCCCAATCCTCATATTGTTGTAATCCTTCTTTTGAAACACTTGGTCTGATATATTTTAAACTTGATTCAAAATCATTTAAATTTATTGGTCTAATTTGTTCTGTTGGAGTCAGTAATAGTTGATCACCTAATGATCTTAAAGGTCCCATTGCTGAATCTTTTGCTAATGCGGTTATATCACTACCACTAAAACCTTGAGTTAAATTTATTAATTTTTGATAATCTTCTTCAATTAGTGTATTTTTTTGATATTGTAATAATTTTTTAATTTGTGATATTCTTGCTTCATCTTCAGGTAATGGTATATATTGCCTCCTTACAAATCTTCTTCTTGCTGCTTCATCAATTGACCAAGGTAAATTAGTTGCACCTAATATTAAAACTCTTGAAACATCTTCATTCCCTGCTTCTCTACCAGCTGCAGCACTTGATAATTCAGACCATTGAACTAAAAATTCATTTTTAATTCTTCTTGTACTTTCAACTTCTCCTTCTGTTCTTGAACTTAATAGAGAATCAATTTCATCCATAAATACAATTGATGGTGCTAATTTTTTAGCTAATAAAAATAAAGCTTTAACTAATTTTTCAGATTCTCCAAGATATTTCGATGTTAATGATGATGAACTTATACTGAAAAATGTTGATTGAGATTCAGTTGCAACTGCTCTTGCGAGCATTGTTTTACCTGTTCCTGGTGGTCCAAATAATAACATACCTCTTGTTGGTTCTCTTAAACCTTTAAATAAATCTGGTCTTAGAAATGGATAAACAACAGCTTCTTTTAATGAATTTTTGGCATTTTCTAGTCCTACTATATCATCCCAATAAACTTCATCTCCATGTACAACAACATTATTTAGTATTTGTTTTGCTGCAATTGGATCAATACCTCTTATTGACAGAATTAGCTTATCTTGTTCTTTTTCATTGGTTAATGTGTTGGATATTGGGGTATCATCATATCCACTCAATAAATCATCCATTGTTGGACTACTAACTTCTTTTGGTGATACTTGAGTTGTTTGTGGTGGCGGTGGGGCTGGTGGTGGTGGTGGTGGTGGTGTTTTGCCATTGATTTTTGGTCTTGGCTTTTTGGCTGGAGTTGGTTTTACATAATTATACGTTATATTAGATTTTGATTTTGTTTGTGGTATTAGTTTTTTATTATTCAGTTGTTGCATTAATTTTTGTAAATTTAATGGTTTTGGTTTATTATAAATATATGGTTTTTTAGGTATATCTGACGTACTTTTTGAAATATTATTATTCTCTATTGATTTTCTTTTTGGTTCTAGTATTGGTTTTATAGTTAAATCATCCATAGATCTAGATAGATTATCATCTTTAAAATTTATATCATCATCTAAATCAATTAAATTATTATCTGGTGCATCTGAATATTCTGATAAATTAGATGATGTTCTTGAATCTATTTTTTCCCAATTTGAATTTGAATTAGAATTAGAATTTGAATTTGAATTTGTATATGTATCTTGATCAAAATCAGCAAATAAATCTTCTTTTGCTTTATTTAATTTTGATTTACTTATTTCAAATTGTTGTTTTGATGTAACTGGTTTTTTCCATGAAATAGTTGCAGCTTGAGAAGCTTGTGGTTGGGTTTTTTGAGAAATTTTTAATCTCGAATTTGAACCATTTGATGAAGGACGTAATGATTTCATCATCGATCTTTGTGGTTGATTAATTCTTGAAGATGATGAGGTTTGATTATTATTATAATTATTATAACTATTATAATTTGCTGCAACTTGAGCTTGTTCTCTTTTTTTTCTTCTTTTAACTTCATCTAATCTTAATTGAACTCTAATTAAATGTTTTACATTTTGATCTCTAATACCACGTAATTCTTTTATAATAGTTGTTTCTTCAGAACCTAATTTAATTATATTAATTTTCTCAAATAAATCTAATTTATATAATAAAGTAGTATGTAAACTTTTCCAACCTTTTAAAGCTTCTTCGATTTGATTATCTTCTTCTAATGAAAGATTTTTTATAGTTTGATCACAACAATCATTATAAGTTTGTTGAAGTTCTTCTAAAGTTAATTGAGGAGGTTTCTTTCTTAAAAACATAGACACCTACTTTTTTTAAATAAAATGTTGTAAAAAATGAAAAATAAAAAAATGAAGTATTAATTGATAAATCAATTTTTTTTTCGCTGGTGGGTATTAATTATTATTATCGAAATTGCTGTGAAGAAATATGAAATTTGCAACAACTAAAGATAGAATGAGAGTGAGAGTGAGTAAGTAAGTGACAATAACAATAGAGTAGAACGGAGTAGAATAGAGTAGAGTAGAGAAGTACTAGAGAAGTACTAGAGAAGTACTAGAGTAGTAGTACTTCTGTAGTACTTCTGTAGTACTTCTGTAGTAAGTAATCTATTATCAATGTTGTGACATAACGGGATACTTGAAAGTTTTTAATTCTTTCAAATATTCTTATTAATCACTAAATTTTCTTCTATCCAATTTTTAATCAACAATAATCAATTATATATTAAATTATAATATAATAGAAAATCTCTAACAAAATTAACATTAATTTCCCTAAATTAATAGGCGAAATGTATATTTAAATAAAGATCAAACAAGATACTCAAATTATAATTTAATACTTGTAAATTATTGCCAAATTTCAAATCATTGGAGGTCAACTTTCAATTAAAGAAGAAAAAGAAGAAGAAGAAGAAGAAGAAAAAGAAGAAAAAAAAGTGAAACAAAAAGAACAAAAAAACGGGAATTGAAATTCTATTTATACTTCTCTTATGTTAGTAGTGTACTATTGCACAATTTACTATTTATTTGATTTCTTTGATTTACTTGACAAGTTTTCAATTATTATTATTTTATAGTATATTACGAAATTAAAACAAAACAACATCAAATGGAAGTTAAAGATATACTAATTCATATTGGTTCATTAGTTATTTATATAATAGAATTATTACTTACAAATACTATTACATTTGTTGTTGGTGCTCATAATAAATATCCTGATATAACTTCGATTATATTCTTATTAATAAGTTTATATTTATTTTATAAAGTATTTATAAAAGCTGTTAGGTTATGGATAAATTTTATAATTACTACTATTAAAACTTTGGCAGTTTTGTTTTTTTTATTTCTTGTTTTTGTTATTTATGTTAGAGGTTGGGAAATTTTTAAAAATAATGATATACCATTAATTAAACAATTTATACAGTCAAGTTTAAATTTTAATTCAAATAAAAATTTATGGAATTTATTTTCAAATTTACAAAATTTACGAAATTTACAAAATTTCAAATCAAAAAATATTAATCAAGATGATTCTAAAGCTTATTTTGATTATATAAATTCAAGATTTGGTGGTAATTCTAATTCTAATTCTAATTCTAATGCTAATGCTAATGGTAAGCAACATGAAGTACCTGATTATAGTGACATTGAAAATATGGTATCTGAAGGTATTGAATATTTACATGATAAAATCGATTTACAACAATTTGGAGATAATTTAAAAGACTTTTTGAATAAATTTTAATTCATTTTAATTCATTTTCAATCTATTTTAATTCATTTTAATTCATTTTACTTCATTTTAATTCATTTTAATTTATTTTTCATCTATACATTTTAATCCATCATCTTTGACAAATAAATTTGAAATTAAACAAATTGCCATTAATGGAATGGTGAAATAAAAAAAATTTCGAATTGATTTCGTGTACATTGTTTTAACAATTAACGCTTGTTTATCATTCAACATATTTGTATCAATTTTTGAATATACGTGTGATTTAATATAATCAATATACCAAGTTGGTAATTGATTGGATTGTTTAATTTCTTTTAATAATGAATTGCTTATAATTAATGATGCAAATGCATTTCCAATTGATCCTCCAAATGATCTTATAACATTTCTAGTACTTATTACAACTGCTCTTTCTGCTTTTTGAGCTTGTGATTGTGCTGCAACCATTGTTGGTTGAAATGTACATCCAACTCCACTACCTAATATTAACAATACTACAACTATGACTCCATAATTTGTCTTTAAATCAAATAATATAGTTAAACCACTAGCTAATGTCCATAATGCATAACCAACAATTATAACATAATAATAATGACCTGTATATGATATTATTTGACCTGCTATTATTGAAATTATAGATTGTGGTAATACTAATGGTAATAATAAAATTGATGAATGAATAGCGTCTAAATCTCGTATAATTTGATAATAATACGCAATATAATATGTAAAACTATAATAAGCCATACCGAAAAAAAAATTCGATCCTAATATTAATGCTAGTGATGGTCTAGTAAATAATATCAATGGAATCATTGGTAATTCAGCTTTATACTCAAACCATAAAAAAATGAAAAAAGAAACTCCTCCAATTACAAACATAGTAATAACTAGTGCACTATCCCAAGAATATGTTGTTCCACCACCACTAATTGGAATTAATAATAATACTAATGAAACACTACTAAAGAATATTCCAAAATAATCAATTTTTTTAAATTTCTCCTTTCTTGTAAGTATTGATTTCATATTTTGTGTAGATTCTTTAGTATCTATTATATACCATAATACAACAGTAATTAAAGCAACAAATGGACACATCATATGATAAAAATTTCTCCATGAATTATATTTAATAAATGCAGCCATTAAAAAAGGACCAACTGCATTTCCAATTCCTACTTGAGATAATAATAATCCTTGATATTTACCACGTTGTTCTAATGTACATACATCACTTAATAATACCATACATAATGATTGAATACCACCACATCCAATCCCAGTAAATGCTTTGAATATATAAAATTGAACTCCAGTTTGAGCAAATCCACAAGCTAATTCACCAATGGATAATATGATTAAACAATTTAATAGAATTGTTTTCCTACCAAATATATCAGCTAATCTTCCAAATAATACTTGACAAACACAATTGGCTAAAAACGAAGCCGTTGGACCCCAATTAATTGTAGTTTCTGCGTTCAAATCTTGACCTATACTAGGTAATGCAATTGAAACACTTGTTTGATCAACAAATGAAGCAAATAAAGCTAACGATAATGATAATAAACATATTAATAGTTTTTTAAAAGGTAGTATGTGAAAATAAGCTTCACCAATTTTATCAGACAAAACAGATTCTAAATCTGAATTTTTATCTACATCTTCTTTTGTTTCTGTTTTACCTCCTTGATCTATATTCATTGTCTTTATCCATTTTGAAAATCATAATATTAGTCGGTATATATATTGATTGCAAAATTTAAAAACACCGAAAATAATTACTATTTCTGGAACAATATTTTACCGACTAATTTTAGCCTAGGTGGAGAACATATAATTAAAGGCTTTTTTATTCGGAGCCGGACTTTTATTTCATTCTACTTAATTAGTTTTAATTGTTCTATTATCGAAATCTGAGATCTTGCCTATTTTGTCCATGTTATGTTGGAATCTGAAACCTTTTCGCGAGATTCAAATCGGAGTTATTTAGTAATCGGGAAATTACAGATCTGAAACAACAAAAAGATTTACAACTTAGCAAACAGTATTTCTAGGTACTTCTGAGGGAATATAAACTAAATTTGTTGAGTCAAGCATTTAAATTAGATTGTTTCAGATCCAAGGAGAGCAAATCGCACTCTTCAGAATGTCAAAACAACAGATTGTTGAATGTAGAGGTGGTAATGTTGGTACTAGCTCGTGCCTTCTTTTGAGCTGGTGTGTACCAATTAGTGAATCGATTTTCAACAACAGCAAGACTGGATGGCCAAGCTGGTTAAGGCGTGAGACTGTTAATCTCAAGATCGAGAGTTCGATCCTCTCTCTGGTCGTTTTTTTTTTTTTTCTTTTTTTTGGTTTTGGTTGCAAATTTTATCAGTCCAGAGTTCAGCAGATGACTTAAGACACCTTTCTTGAGCTCCAATTTATCATTACATAAATTTAGAACTATTCAATTAGACTTAGAATTTGTTTATTTGTTATATAGAGATTTTTTTAAAAATTCGGGAAATTTTTGCAGAAAATTGGATTTGTTGCATATTTCTTCCACATTGGTCTAAACATTTTCTCTCGTAACCATAAATGTAAAGTTTGATCTTTTAACGGAACAGACTAACCGTTTCACTCTTGATTATAAAATGTGAAGTCTGATATGTTAACGGAATGACTATTCCATTAAATCAACATAATACAACCTTATAATTGTAAACTAAACTTTATTAGATATCTTTTCAACGCTGGTAAGACGTTTGATTGGTCATTATATACGTAATCGTTGCCTAGAATTGGTCTGAGATAGAGTGGAGATTATTTAGTTCTAGTTTTTCTTATTTGAAATTTCATAGTGGGTAAGTTCTATTATCTAGGACGTCAAAGTTTATGCAGGGATTCATAAATCTCATTAGTTTTTCCAGAATTGGAATCATGCGCGGCTGTAGTATTTTCTTATCAAACTCAAAAAATTGATAAGAGAACAGAATCAAAATCAAAATGATATAAATACTAAGGAAGTAGTTTTTTAATTTCAACAAGCTTGAGAATGACTGTTGATTTAGTTCCTGGTACAGTTCATCTTGTTGATGTTTTAGGCAATTTAAATGTTGAAAAAGAAGGTTCTGGTGATATTATTTTACATCCACAACCATCTTCAAACCCAAATGATCCATTGAGATGGTCAAAAACTAAAAGAAATTTACAATTTGCTCTTGTTTGGTTTTGGGGTTTTATGGTAGCTGCTTCAACAAACTTTTCTGGTCCTTTATTTGACATTTGGATAAATGAATTAAATACTACTTTAAATCAATTGGGTATTTCAATAGCTTTGGGTTTTTTATTTCTTGGTGTTGGAGTCGCTATAGTCAATCCTACTGGGCTTAAACTCGGTAAACAATTTGTGTATAATTGTTGTACTATAATCATGATAATTGCAAGTATAATTGGATCCCAAGCCAAAGATATTAATTTAATTTATGTTTTTAAAATCTTAGTTGGATTCGCTGCACTGCCGGTTGATTCATTAGTTGAAATTACCTCTACTGATTTATATTTCCAACATGAAAGATCTACTGCTTTTAGTTTATTAATTTTAGCATTATATGGTGGTTGTGATTTAGGTCCAGTTGCTGCTGGGTATATAGCGGAAAATGCTGGTTGGAAATGGTGTTTTTGGGTTCAAGTAATAATATATGCTGCGTTACTTGTAATACAAGTCTTTGTTATGGAAGATACTACATTTAGGAGAGATTTTGAAAAAGATGATAAATTAGAAAAATCAATTGAGGATAAAGGTGGATTTATTATTGAAGAATCATGTACAATTATCGAATATGAAGAGAGTTCATGGTTGGAGAAAAGAAATTGGGTACATACAAGTGAAAATGATGAAAGACATTGGACAACAATTTTCATTCGACCAATTTTTTTAATCACTTTCCCATCTACAATTTATGCTGCTGTTGTTTATGGCTCCCAAATGATGTGTATGAGATTTTTTGATATTAAGGTCCCTCGTGCCTTGTTTTGTAAAAGTTTTTACTAACGAATTTTAGGGTTATCATTTATTTCAAATACACAAAGTGCAATTTATACTGCAGAACCTTACTATTTTTCAACTAAATTAACAGGTTTAACTAATCTTGGTGCTTTTTTGGGAAGTGTAATTGGAATGTTTTATGGTGGGAATTTTGTTGATTATTTTGCAGTCAAAATGGCAAGAAGAAATAATGGAATTTTAGAACCTGAACATAGATTGTATACAATGATAGTTCCCACAGTTTTGAATGCAGCTGGATTATTAGCTTATGGATTAGGTTCTTATTATAAAGCTCATTGGGCAATCTCGGTAGTTATAGGTCAAGGTTTACTTGGATTTGCAATGAGTAGTTCAGCTGCAATTTGTTTAACTTATGCAGTTGAATGTTATCATAAATTAACTAGCGAAAGTTTAGTATTGATCTTATTTATTAGAAATATGTTCGGTATGGGATTTTCATTTGCTATTTCGCCATGGATAGCTCGAAACGGGTTGCAATTGACAACTTGGATAATGTTTATGTTATCAATTGTTATTAATGGATTCTTTATTGTATTTATAATCTATGGTAAGTCATTTAGACGTTGGACAAGGGTAAAATATGAAAAAATTTCAAACCCACAATATGGTAAATTTATATAAATAACTATAAAACTTAGTAATATATCAGAAAGTATGATTTGAAAAACTGTTTCTATTACTATTTGCTCTTTATGATATTTATAGTTATCGTAAATTTTTTCATCCTTTTTTTCAAACCTTATTCATGCTTTGGCATCAACATCTATTTCTTTGATTTCTTGATACCACCACCTAAAAGAGCTTTTTTACCTCCTGCTCCTAGTGTCTTTTGAAGATCCTTCTTAGCTTGGGCATCAGCTTTTTGTTTTTCTTTAAAATTCAAATCATCTTCATCATCTTCAGCTTTTGATTTTTTTGGTGCCTTTAATGGTTTAGCTTTTCCACCTTGACGACCCGACATAATTCAACTTCTTTATAATACTTTGACCAAATTATATAACCAACTAACAATGATTAATTGTTAAGGAGTAATTTCTTGGGATGGTGGAAAATTGATATTTTTTTTTCTTTTTTTTTTTCCTCCAACAATCAAGAATTGATAAATGGGTATTTTAACAACTCAAGATAAGGAAAAGATTAAAAGGGTTATACCCAAAGCAAGTAATAAAATTATAGATGCAACAGTTGCAAGATTATATATAGCTTATCCTGATCCAACAAAATGGATTTATACTGGTTTATCAGGAGCAATTGTATTAGTTGATGATTTAGTTGGTCATACTTTCTTTCTCAAATTAGTTGATATAATTGGCCATAGAGGTGTTTTATGGGATCAAGAATTATACATTAATTTTGATTATCATCAAGATAGAAAGTTTTTTCATACATTTGAGATTGAAGATTGTTTAGTTGGTTTATTATTTGAAGATACAAGTGATGCAACCCATTTTTATAAAAGAGTTACTAATAAACAAAAATATGGGTCCAATGCCACTGTAAAAAACAAGAACGCAATAAAATTAAAAGAACGAGCTGTTGAAAAAAGTCATGCACCAGGTCCAAGAGGTGAATTTATTGATTCAAATACGGGGCAAAGACAAAGAAGATATAAAGGAGTTTTATATTATGATGATGTACCACCACCTGAATGGAGAGGATTATATTCTGAATTAGAAGCTGCTGGAATAACTGAGGATATGATTGCAGAAAATAGAGAATTTATTAAAGATTATATTGCAAAACAACCAAATCATCCATTAAAAGGTTTAGAACCACCAATTCCAAGAAATTATCATAAACCAGAATCAAAACCTTCAATAAAGAAAACAAAAGCTCCACCACCACCACCACCTCCAACAGATTCGGTGCAAAGTTCAATGCAAAGTTCAGTGCAAAGTCCAGTGCAAAGTCCTGCCTATTCTGATTCTCCAGAACCTGAAGTTTCAACACCAGAAGAACCAAAGAATGAACCAAAGAATGAACCATTTAAACCAAAATTTAGACTTCCACCAGCTGATGCTTTTGCTCCAATACCTACAAATAAACCATTACCAACACCACAACAACAAACACTGTCTCCTCAACAGAATCATCCACAAAATCAACAACCTCAACAAAATTATCAACAAAATTCAAGACCTATTCCACAACCTCCAAGTAGTAACAATGTACATAACGCTCCACCAGCATTCAATTATTCACATCAACAACCTCCAAGTAGTAGCAATGTACATAACGCTCCACCAGCATTCAATTATTCACATCAACAACCTCCAGCACCTCCAATGCGTGGTAATCCTCCACCACCACCTCCAAGAGGTCAACAAACTCAACAACAACCATTTCAACAACAGCAACCTCCTCAATTTCAACAACATCCATCATTACCCCCAAGAAATAATCAATCAGGACCACCACCACCACCACCAAGAGCAAGTAGAGGAGGTGCTCCTCCAGCACCACCACCACGAGCAAATAGACCTAGTCATCAATCATTACCTCAAGTTAGTTCACCACCTCCACCACCTAGAAATATACAACCAAATTCACACCCAGTTGCACCTCCATTACCTCAACAAAATCAACAACCACCACCACCACCTCCATTACCTCAGCAGAATCAACAACCACCTGTTGCTCCTCAATTACCTCAACAATCTTCTTCAATGCCACCACCACCACCACCACCTCCAATGCCATCTAATGATAATGGTACTTTCGTTGAAGCTACTGGTAATGCTGGTAGAGATGCTTTATTAGCTTCAATTAGAGGTTCAGGTTTAGGGTCATTGAAAAAGACCAATAATTTACAAGAACAAGAAAATAGAATTAAACCAAATGTGGCAGGTACAACATCAACAGCTTCTAATTCTTCAGCTCCACCTGATAATGGTAATAATGCTTCATTGGCAGATGCTTTAGCTTCAGCTTTGAATAAGAGAAAAGGAAAAGTTAGACAGAGTGACGATGAAGATGATGAAGAATGGTGAAAACCTTTAGAATTGCAGCTAATAATAATTAATTGCACGATATCTGAATATATATCTTGTGACATTATTGAAATATACGATATGTATAATGTGTTAAATAATCAAAATATTATATTTGGAATTTTTGACATCAATTCTGGCTTAAACTGAAATAGATGAGCAAATTGACAAAAGCAAATGGTTTAAACTATTTTTAGTATGATCTTAATGATTATCGTGCATATGTTTCGAAAATTTATTTCATTGGACCCTGTTTAACTTTTCAGATCGCACGATGAGATCAAATACAAAGCTTAATTTGAGAGTTAATTGTAAATCACAACACTCTCCAGAGATTCTAAATTTTAAACCATGATGCGCTTTCAAGCTATGCCAATTATTATTAAAGCAATATCACGTACTAAATTTCATACTAAGCCATTAATGTGAAAGAAATTCTAGCACATTTTTAAGTGGATCGCATATAAAATTATAACCGAAAAAATAAAAAAAAAAGAAATTTAAAGACCGAAATTTCCAGTCAATCTTTAAAAGATCAACAGCAGTAGTAAATTTGAAACAAATAACATATAGATAGGAATCGAAAAGATAATAATTATGAGAATTACAGGTTTATTAGCTATAGTTGCTTATTTTTCACCAATTATTTGTTGGAGTCCAACAGATTCTTATGCCCCAGGTAGAATTGATTGTCCAGATGATGGGAATTTTTTAAGAGTTGCAAAAGGTTTACTGGATGAAGAAAAAGAATGGGTTGAAGGTAGAAATCAAGTTACTGATCAAGCTTTAATTGAATTTTTGAGACATGCTAATATGACAAATTTTGATGCAGAAAATTTCATTAATGGATTGAATGATTCTATTAAGATTGGATTGGCATATTCTGGCGGAGGATACAGAGCAGGTACGTGTGCTCTAGGTCAATTGGCTGCTATTGATAACAGAACTGATGGGGCTTGGGAGCATGGTCTTGGAGGTTTATTACAAGCCTCAACTTATATGGTTGGTTTATCAGGTGGTAATTGGATGGTTGGATCAATTGCTTTAAATAATTTTACATCAACTCAACGTATTATAGATAAAAATGATATTTGGGATTTAACTCATTCAATTATGAATGTTGGTGGCTGGAATGTTGTTCAAACTTACAAATATTATAAAGGTATTTCCGATGATATAGATAAGAAAAGAGATGCTGGTTATGAAGTATCAATTACTGATACTTGGGGTAGAGCACTTTCATATCAATTTTTTTCAACATTAAATGATACTGGTGCAGCATTAACTTGGTCTACATTACAAGACGCAGATGTTTTTAAAAATCATGAAATGCCATTTCCAATTGTTGTTGCAGATGGTAGGGCTCCAAGTACAAAAATTATCAGTGGTAATTCAACAATATATGAATTTAATCCATTTGAAATGGGAAGTTGGGATCCTTCATTATATCAATTTATGAAAATTAAATATTTAGGCACTGACTTAGAAGATGGTGAAAATAATGGTACATGTATTGGTGGATTTGATAATGCAGGTTATATAATGGGTACATCATCATCATTATTCAATCAATTTATTTTACAAATCAATACTACTTCAATATCATCAACTATTAAATCAATTTTAACATCAATTTTACAAAATTTAAGTGAAGAAGAAAATGATGTTGCAGTTTATGAACCAAATCCATTTTATGATTCACAAGTAGGATATTCAGAAAATACAATTCAAAATAAATCATTAAATTTAGTTGATGGAGGTGAAGATGGTCAAAATATTCCATTATATCCATTATTACAACAAGACAGATCAGTTGATGTTATATTTGCATATGATAATTCTGCGGATACTGATTCGAATTGGCCAAATGGTACGTCAATGGTTCAATCATTTAAAAGACAATTTGATGTGCAAGGAAACAGTACACATTTCCCATATGTACCTGATCAAAAAACATTTATGAATTTAAACTTAACGGCAAGACCAGCATTTTTTGGATGTGATGCAAAGAATTTATCATCATTAGTTTATTCAAATCAATCATCAGATTTTATTTATGATATTCCATTAATTGTTTATACTGCAAATAGACCATTTTCGTATTGGTCAAATACATCAACTTTTAAAATGAAATACTCAACTAATGAAAGAAATTCAATGTTTAGAAATGGATTTGAAGTTGCAAGTAGATATAATTTAACATTAGATACAGAATGGAATGCATGTGTCGGTTGTGCAATTATTAGAAGACAACAAGAAAGACAAGGTATTGAACAAAGTGATCAATGTAAACAATGTTTCGAAAGATATTGTTGGGATGGTACATTAGATACTGCAGATATTAAAGTTAATTATACAGATAATGGTACAACTAATTCTACTGAAACATTAGTAGGTGATAAATCAAGTGATGCTACTACTTTATTAATGAATTGGTCTATTTGGTGTTTATTAGGTATTTCCTTTTTTGTATTGCATTAAAAGCCGCATCTAAATATATAATTGAACGCAATACTTCTCTTTATCTCTCTATGTCAAGTAAAAGTCAACAAACTGTATCAAAAACAATTGATGAAGAAGAGAATTCAATAGATGATTCATATTTGCCTAGTTTATTCGATGAAAATGATGCAGATAGGGCATACCTTGCAAAATCCAAATTAGTTTCAAATGCAATACAAAAAATTGGATTTGGTAAATATCAAATTGGATTATTCTTTGTTGCGGGTTTTGGATGGTTTGCTGATAATTTATGGCCAGTAGCCACATCGCTCATAATTCCTAGATTAAATTCAATAGATGGTGTTCATCCACCAGTTGGTAAAGCTCCTTATTTAACATTGGCTCAAAACCTTGGATTATTAGCTGGTGCTTTATTTTGGTCATTAACTTCAGATATAATTGGAAGAAGATGGGCTTTTAATTTAACATTTTTAATTAGTGGAATTTGGGGTACAATTGCTGGTGCATCACCCAATTTTGCAGCTATTGGTATATTTTGTGCATTTTGGTCCTTTGGAGTAGGTGGTAATTTACCTGTTGATTCAGCAATTTTTATAGAAGCATTACCTGAGAAATATAAATGGTTATTAACAGTTATGCTGATTTGGTGGGCTTTCGGGCAAATTGTGGCTAATTTAATTTCATGGGGTTTAATTGCCAATTATTCATGTAATGATCCAAATAATTGTTATGATGTTGATAATAAAGGTTGGAGATATTTTTTATATACTGTTGGTGGATTAACATTATTGATGTTTTTAGCTAGATTTTTATTTCAAGTTTTTGAATCACCTAAATACTATTTAGCTAGAGGTGAAGATGCAAAAGCAATTGAAGTTTTAAATAAAATTGCCAAGATTAATAAAAGTGATAATACATTAACAGTAGAAGATTTACAAGAGATTGAAGAAGGTAAACATGAGAATAGATTACTTCAAGAAAAATTGAAAAAGTATAATTTTTCACACATTCGTCAATGTTTTGGTTCAAGGAAATTAGCAATTTCATCATTATTAGTTATAATAACATGGGGATTAATTGGTTTAGCATTTCCATTATACAATGCATTTTTACCATATTATTTAGAAACTAGAGGAGATGCTAATGAGCCATTAAGTGTTCATGATACTTATCGAAATACATTAATTGTTTCTGTTCTTGGAGTACCTGGAGCCATAATTGCTGGCATATCAGTTGAATTGAAAATAGGTAGAAAAGGTACATTATGTATTTCAAGTATTTTAACTGGAGTTTTTTTATTTGCTTCAACAACTGCTAAAACAAGTAATGCAAATTTAGCTTGGAATTGTTTATTTTCATTCTTTTCAAATTTATTATATGGAGTATTATACGGTGCCACTCCAGAGCTATTTTATTCTCAGATTAGAGGAACAGGAATTGGTTTAGCTTCTTCTTTTAATAGAATTATGGGAGTTTTTGCACCTATAATTGCAATTTATGCTGATTTAACTACATCAGCTCCAATATTTGTATCAGGGGCTCTATTCATAGTATCTGGATTATTGATTTTATTGTTCCCATATGAATCAAGAGGTAAAGCAAGTTATTAATAAGTTTTCAATTCTACTATATATACAATTTTATAGATTATAGTTTTCAAAGACTTAGAGAGCAAAAAACTTCCTAATTAGGAAGTTGTATCCGAAAGAACTAAAAATATAAGATTTCTTTTATTATCATGATAATTTTTCAATAGTTATACAACAATGTCATTTAAAGTTAATACTACAATTAGTCAATTTGGAGGTCAATTATTAAAATTAACTCATGAATCAAGATTCACTAAAACATCAATGGATGTAAATTTATTTATACCACCAGCTCAAACTAAAAAAATCCCAGTATTATTATATCTTTCAGGTTTAACATGTACTCCACAAAATGCCAGTGAAAAATCATTTTTCCAATATTTTGCAAGTAAATATGGTTTCGCAATTTTATTTCCAGATACCTCACCAAGAGGCGCACAAATTGAAGGAGAAGATGAAAGTTGGGATTTTGGAACAGGCGCTGGATTTTATGTAGATTCAACAACTGCAAAATGGAAGAATAATTATAATATGTATTCATATATTCATAAAGAATTATTAACTGAATTATCAAAATCATATCCTGAATTAGATTTCAACAATATTTCAATAACTGGTCATTCAATGGGTGGTATGGGAGCTTTAGTTGGCTATTTATCATTACCAGGTAAATATAAATCAGTTTCTGCATTTGCTCCAATTTGTAATCCAAGTATTGTTCAATGGGGTGAAAAAAATTTTGGAAATTATTTAGGAAACAATAAAGATGATTGGAAGAAATATGATCCAACTGAATTAATCAAAAATTATAATGGTCCAATAACTGATATTTTAATTCATCAAGGTTTAAATGATAATTTTTATCAATCTCAATTAAAACCTGAAAATTTACTTGAAGCTGCAAAAAATGGAAATTATAATGGTAAGATTGATTTAAGATTAGTTGATGGTTATGATCATCTGTATTTTTTCATTAGTTCATTTGTTGAAGATCATGCAAAACATCATGCTAAATATTTAGGTTTATATTAACTAAACACGGTAACTAATCCGAATTATCATATTTAGTAATCCAACTAATATACCATTGTGATTTTTTAGTATCTTTATGTATGGAACTTGCCAATTTTGCTAGTTTAATTGAATTTATAGTTATTTGATTAGTACATTTATCAATTTCTAAATCTGTATTTCTAATCAACATAATATCCATGATGAAAGAATCTATTAGGTTAATGATTCCACTTTGTAAATTATAAATTTGATCTATTTCATCTCCTGTAGTTGATTTAGGTAATGATTTCTTAAATGACGATATGAGAAGTTTGACCAACTTTATTTTATTTAACCAATAATTTACATATTCTTTTAATTCGCTTATTTCCATATATTCATAATCATCATCTTCATCTTCTTCAGAGATTTCAAATGGATCTTCTTGTCCAATTGGATCATCACACCATGAAACAAACTCATCCCAACCATCATCTAATATAGACAAAGTTTGATTTATTTTAAAACTTAAGAATCCCAAATTATTATTCTCAAGTAATGAAGTTAATGAATCACAAATATTCCATATTTTACCGACACTAATTAATCTACCATCTAAACTCAACTCACTGGAGAACTCATAATTTGCGACAATCAAAGATTTACTTTGATTTATGATTTCAGAATAGTATATTTTTGATAATTCCTTTTGTTTTAATTGTCCAATTACAGAAATCAATAATACCAATGTTTGAGATAATTTTTCTAATGTATTATAAGCTGCCAGGGGATCTTTTTCAACATTTTCAGGTTTAAAAATAATTCCAACTTTTGTAGTATGAGCTTTTATTAAACTAATTAATTTAATTAATTCATTAATTGGATTATCAACATTTGAAGAATTCACCAGTTTATTTAAATTATCTTTCCAATATAAAGTAGCTTCATTAAATGAATTAATTAATGATTTCAAATCATCTTTCGTCTTTAACATTTTTCATGAGAAGAGAAAAAATTATATCGTATATTTTTTTTACGATAAACTATGTAAAATCAAATTGTATTGATTGATCAACAATTCAGACTGTGATTGATCTATTTGTTTCTTATTAATGAATGATCTATTCAATATTTCATAACTAGATTGTAAATATTTATAATACATTATCAATATTTCATATTTTTTCTCATTTTCAATATTTTCTGGTAAGTTATCAATGAAATCGAATCCAGGTAATTCTAAACTTGTATCTTTATTATATTCAATTAATAACGTATCGTTTAAATCAACCAATCGTCTAATTCTTCCTTCCATTTCTTTCATTTCTTTAGATTTCCAATTTCCAATTTCTTCAAATATTCTAATTTGTAAGGATGGGAATATCATTAATAAACATAATAATGAATCTTTCCAAATAATTTCAAAATTAAAATTGAACCATTTAATCAAATTTGATTCCTTATTCATAATCAATTCAAAATCATAACTCCTCACAACAGATAATTTTATAACCTCATCAATTATTGAATTATTTATGACTCTTGCAATACTTCTGCCTTGTCTTGCTGTATTTGCAATAAATCTTGGAAATGGTAATAAATTTTCAGTTTCAACATCTTCATGTATAAATCGTTGTATTCTGTTTCTACCAGTGAAGAAAACAACATAAAAATTGAAACCAACAAGGGTAAATAAAACATATTTCAACCAATTATTAATCATTTCTTGAGTTGGTTTAATTCCTGATAAAGTTAAAAAAAATGCAATTTTCAATAATGAAATACCAAATGATCGACCAGTAGTATATAATCTAAGTAAGATATCATCATCTATTGGCTGTTGTTGTTGTTGTTGTTGTTGTTGTTGTTGTTGTTCTGGTTGTGATTGTTCTCTTCTTGGTTCATCAGTTCTTTGAATTAATACTTTTTGAATTAATGAACCTGAGTTATTTCTAAATGTTGAGTCTAATTTTGATGCAGCTGAATTGTTTAATAATAAATATGGTTGATGTTCTCCATTATCGACAATTATGCATTGTGAAGTATTCAAATTGACTTTCTTAACTTCATTACCCAATTTCAAACTTATTTCATAACCATTTAATAAATCATCTTGATTTATAACTTTTCTTATATTCCCATTCTTTAATGTTTCATTTGTCCCTTCTAATTCCCAAATTTCTCCATTATTTACAACGATTTTTGTAGTTTCAATTGGATCAATTCTTGTATTTTCAACATCAATTTCAGAATCTAGATTCAGATGATTAGGTAGGAATTCAAATCTATTATTTGATCTTAAATCATTTAGGAAATCACGACTTAATATTCCACCAGTACCATTCACATGAGAAGTAATATTTAATTCTAATTCAATTCTATTATTTTCAAATTGAACTAATGAAGAAACGAGACATTCATTCACTTGTGTACTATTTTCAAATTTTGTACCTTTGTAGGATAATTCTAATTGATCGAAAAACGTTCTAGTTACTGACCCTTCATCTATTCTAATTATTATTATCTGTTTTAATTGTTTTAAAGTAATCGATGAATTAATTTCAAATAAAGATTTTTCATTCTGTAGATTAGGTATGTTTGATTTTATAAGTATATGGTATCTGGACCTATTAGACACTGCTTTCAATTCAATTAAATCATGTGGAATAACATCCAATTGTAAAACTTGAGATAATGTTGAACTCGGAGAATGATTTTCAATCTCAAATGAGTCTTTATATAATGTATGAGTTATTGGTTTTGTTTTTTGTTCTATTATGTATTCTTTCAATGTATCGACTGTGCATTTTAAACTTTCACGAAGGGTTAATTTTTGGGGATTTCCATTAATATCTATCCATGATAAAGTTATATCAAATAATGGATCAATTGGTTCGGAATGTAAATTACCAAACTTTGAGTAATCAATAACTAATAACAAATCATCTTTAAATGGTGTAATCTTTTCAAAATCTAATAAATTTCGACCATGGTATTTAAATTGTTGACAAGATGGTCGAATATTGAATTTTAACCAAATTGAATCTTTAACATCACCAACTAGTGTCTTACCATCAACTCTCAATAAACACTCTGATAGACCTATTCTACTTGCATCCTCTGTGTTTATTTCTTCAATATTGAATGTTATATTAAAAGAATTCATAATTAACAGATAATCAATTTTCAATTGTCGCAAAATATAAATATTCAGTGTCGAAAAAATCAAAATCAGTGTCGTCTATTTACACGCTATATACAATATAACCACGAAATTATGTCTTTATTGCATGATATCTCTTACCTCTAAATCCAAATATCTTGTTATTAATATTATAAGTCTCTGTTGGATTACTATCAACTAGTTCTAATTTAGTACAACCAAATAAATTATCAGTTTTATTCATAATTACATCCATTTCATTAGATAACTCATGATTTTTTAACCATTCAATTTCTTTATTTATATCATCTTCATGATATCCAGTCATATATATTGGACATTTAGATTCTAGTAATCCCTTGAGAGATTTATTCCAATGTATTTGATCAGCAGTTTTAAAACCAGGATGAAATAAGAAAAATGAATCTAAATAAGGATCAAATGGGAATAAATCACCCATATCATAAATTTCATTGAAAAATTTAGTATGATGATGTAATGTAATTTGTTCATCAAATCTAATAATTAATGGTTTTCCAAATGGTGTATTTGTCAGTTGAAATGTTTTTGATTCTTTATCGAAATAAGCTTCAGGTCCAATAAAATGAATTTCAAAATTTGTATTTGGAAAAAGATATCCAAATTGTTTCCATACATATCCTGGAATCATTGATTCTATACTTGCTCCAATGATGAATATTCTCATTGGACGATCTTTGAAGGTAATTGAACTTTCTGAAGATTTAACATATGGAGGGTACAATGAATACCTTAATGCAGCTAATGATTTTGCACCTTCTAATGTAATTGGTCCTTTTGGTTCTATTTCATATGGTGAAAATTTATAAAATAATGAAGCAATAGTCAATGGATATGTTAAAACTTTTGTAGCAGCAGCTAAATTAAATTCATCATTCATAGGAGGGAAATCTCTTGTATAAAAAAAAGAATCCCAATTACCTAAATTAATAGTGAAATTCTTATCTTGTTTTCCTGGAAACGCAAATTCAGTAAATTTTCTACCTGATCTTAAATCATGTTCATATAAATTAACCTTTTTCAATTGTTCATATTTCTTAAGTTTATGATATTCAGTATCTTGTTCCCATGCTTCTTTTGAATGATGCGTGGGTATTCCTGAATATGGACATATATAATTTATAGATTTTGAAGTGATTGGACATAATGCTTTTGCTTTAATTAATGCTGATCTTGTTCTTATTGATTCATAAGGTGATTCATCCCAATTATATAATTTACGTTCCATTTTTTGTTTACCATCATCTAATGCAAGAAATTTCCAAAGAAAACTTAGATTCCTTTTAAATACCACTGTTTGATTATTCTGTATTGAACGAAGTGACATAAGGTATTAAATGGTATAGCTAGTTTTATTATAGAAATGAAAAATTTAAATTTGATTTTTGGACACGAAATTTGTTGATAATGGAAACTGAATTAAAAGCTATACAACACTATACAAGCGCTATATAACACTATACAAGCGCTATATAACACTATACATGCGCTTTATAAGACCATACATGCGCTATATAACACCATACAAGCGCTATATAACTTCTTCTTCGTCTGCATTATTGCTTGATCTGTGATTGCTTCCATAGTAACTGTAATTGAATCGATTTGTATCAATAAATCATAATTCATCATGATTTATATCCTCTTCTTCTACTTCTTCTTTTGCTTCCAAGTTGATTATAGCTGTTTCTGTTTCTATTTCTATTTCTCCTATTTCTCCTATTGTAACAGTAACAGTCTCAGTAACTTTATCACCAATAACATTTTGTAAATTAGGTCTAAAAAATGTCTCAAAATTCCATTGATTATTAGGAGCTATAAATTTATCAATAATCACAGAATCGCCATCTGAATCTTTCAAAGTCATAGGATCAACTTTTTGTATTTCTAATTGATGAGTTTTCGAATTTCCATCCCTTTCAATTCTAAATAACGCAATAAAATCACCAAATATATTGTATATTTCATACCAAGCAATAAAACTATCGGTCCAAGATAAGGAAGTAGCCATATTAGTATTGATATAAACTGGGCTAGGTATTCTTCTATCCATTAATGATGCAAATAGGGATGGAAATGTATCTTCTACTTTATCGAATGCATATATGAAAATCATTCGATTATTCCAATATGGATTTGAAGTTTTTAGTGATTCATTTCTTGTTCCTAAGTAATATCCAGATCCCATCGGATACATATAATAATCATTAAGATCAATCTTATAATTATTCTTATTTGGAAATAATCTATTCTCAACAATGGGTAACTCATTTGGAAATTTGAAAAAATCATCAAATGACACAGGTCCCTCTTTCTCTTCATCATTTTTAAAATCTATTGATTTACATTTTATATCTACTATATTATCATGAATTATATTTTTTTTAAATTCTTCGATTGTGCATAATTTAGGAACGTTAATTATCATTTGGTAATGACATGTTTTTATTTCTTGAATTTCCAAAATGGATAAATAATCAATTGTTAAATCACATTTATATACTATATCTATACTCCTGGGCCTATTAGTTAAATCACAAAGTTCACCATCTAATAAAGTATGTTTTAAAAATTTTTGAGTATTTTGAGAGTCTGAATCTGGTTCCAAATTTTCAAATATAGAATAATCACCTTCAAATAAACTAAAATCTACTGGGTTTAAACTGACTTTATTTTTTCCAGCTTGGTTTCTTATCTTTACTTTCTTATTAAATTTTTCGGACCCTGGAAATCTACCTAATGTATAAATATGTTTTGGTATACTTGGTTTATGATTACCTGACATATAATCTTCAAGTTCTTCATGGAATTGAATTATTTTATCACCGAAACAATATCCAATCGTCCAATAATTTGCAAGAATGTTATAATTAAAAGTACAATTTTGATTACTGAATGAAGAAAACAAAATTTCGAGCGCTTTTGATTTTAGTTCTTCTATTGGCATAGTAAATTCTGGTAATTTAACTGTTATTTCTTTATTTTGAGGCAAGTGACATAAATAAGTCTGATTTTGATTAGTTGATAATATTTGAAATTGACCATTTTCCGACTCCAACTCTAAAAACAGTTGTGCTATCTTTATCGGTATTCCATTCTCTTCAAATACAATTCTATTTTTAGGTTTCAGTATAATATTTCCATCAATACATTGTAATATTAATAATATAAATAATAACCACCAACCCATAATTCATTTTTCAATTGAAAAAAAAAAACAACAGCACCAAAATGTCAAATAGTTCGTTTGAAACGCCACCACCAGAACAAGAAATAGGTTTAACTACTCCACATATAAACAAAGACACTGATAAGTTTGAAGATACTGCAGGTACTAATGAAAAGAAAGTGACGGTGTTGGATATATCTCATGATATTGAATTGGAGATACAAAAATCAAATGAGTTTATCAACAAGTTTAGCAACCAATTAGATAATAAGATTGATGGTTTATTGAATAAGATTGATCAATTGAATGATAGTATATAGTGGTTTATGAATTATGAATTATACGATGGCTATACGATAAAGTTTTATAGTGTGCGATAAAAAATCTCTCTTTAATCAAATGAGTATAAAAAGATCAAAGAATCAATTAAGAAGAGAGAAAGCAAAACAGAGAAAGATAGAAAGCAAAGATGTTGGTGAGGATGTTGGTAAGGATGTTGGTAAAGATGCTAAAGATATAGAGAAAGAAACTGGCCTACAGAATGGTGATGAGATAAAGAATAATCAAGATGCCATGCCAGAGAAAGATAGCAAAGAAGAACCAGTAGTAGATCAAGAACCAACAATCAACCTAGATACAAATTCAGAATTATTCAAACAATACAAGTCAATACTAAACAAATTCAAACCAAAAGAACAACCACAACAACAACCACAACAACAACTCCCAAAATCATCATCAAAACGTGATAAAATCCAAGTATTCAACCAATCAGACACATCATCCTCAGAATCAGAACCAGAAGAATCAGAACCTAAATTATCAAAACGACAACTTCGCAAAATTTCAAAACCACCCCTTTCCAAACTCAAATTATCTACAAATTATCCCGAAATTGTAGATTGGTCAGATGCAGATTCAAAAGATCCATACTTACTCATCTCCATTAAATCACATCCGAATATAATTCAAGTACCATCTCATTGGAATTCCAAGAAGGACTATTTATCAAGTCGAAAAGGTTTTGACAAAATGCCATTTCAATTACCTTCATTCATAAAAGAAACAGGGATTGAAGAAATGAGACAAGTTAACGATAGGTCATTAAGACAATCACAAAGGGAAAAAACACAAGTTAGAATGGGCAAACTCGACATAGACTACGAGAAGCTCTACAATGCCTTTTTCCGAAATCAGTTTATATCCAGGCCGAGATTGTTTCCGTTTGGAGAATTGTATGAAGAAGGTAAAGAGATTTCAGATAGTTTGAATAAGGTAGTGGCTGGGATAAGACCTGGTGTTCTAAGTTCTAAATTGAGAAAGGCTTTGGGAATGCCTGAGAATGACCAATCAATTGCACCTGCTTGGATTACTATCATGAAGGAAATAGGTAAACCTCCGGCATATGAGAATTTAATAATCCCGGGTATTGATTGTGATTATAAAAATCTGGGATATATTGATAAAGATAATGATGTAAATAAATCTGATTTTGTATATTTTGGAAAGATTAATAATTTGGTTGAAAGTGAATCTGAAAGTGAAAGTGAAAGTGAAGAAGAAGAAGAGGAAGAGGATGAAAGTGAAAATGAGAAAGAGGAAGAAGAAGAGGTAAAAGAGGAGGTAGAAGAGGTTAATGAGCTTAAAGAGGAGGTAGAAGAGGTAAAGGAAGAAGTTAAAGAGAAATCTACATTTGAAATATTATCTGAATTACCAGCAGAACCTAAAAATCTATATAAAGTTTTGAAAGAGAATAAGAATGATGATTTATCTATAACTGGTCATTCTTATCAATCAGATTTCGAATTTTAGGTAAGGATATAAGGATTTTAACTGTACTTCATTTGTTTATTGCATACTAAAAATAGAACAATATACGAATTTGCAATATCACATGAAAGATTATGTTTACCTCAAGTGCCTGGTGCATTCAAGAGAACGGTATTTTAATGTACATTTTTACGTTTAAATTTTGCATCCTCGTAAGATGAATATAATAAACTGCTATCCTACATTTGCATTATACTTTATTAGCATCCTTACATTTGCAATATATTAAACTGCATCCTTACATGTCTGCATCCTGACCTACAACCCAAAATCAATATTCAGTTCCAACGGATTCAAATAAGCAAGAATATCCAGATCAATCTCCTGAAAAATCTTTTCCAACGTCAATCCCATTCCATCATTATCATCTTCAGGAACATCCAAATTCTCAATTTCTTGATCTTTATTCATTAATATCAACTTTATTGCCTCTTTATTATTATCAGTATCATATGTATCCAGAAATTTAATCCATTTTTCAATTTTATTAATTAGTATCATCATCTGTTGACATACTACACTATTTAAAATATTTTCATCAACTACCTTTTTGATCTTATCGAAATGATAACCTAAATCACAAGTAAGATCTTTAAAATTCTGAGATTTTAACATTAGTCTAAGTCGGACTAATAGGATTAGACCATGGAGTGGTTTGTAATATAGCATTGATGGGAAATACAGTTTCATTAGTTCAGTGAGTTTGACGAATTCATCTACTAGATTCTCACAGCTCGTCATTAATTTAATTATTGTTTGAAGAATTAGGGTTCTATCGTTTGAATTATAAATTATCTCATCGTTTCTGATTTCTAAATTGTTGAGATAAAGACTGATGAGGTTTTCATAGATGATTACTAGTGTATGATCATAATGGATTTTGAATATGATTCCTTCTTTATCTGATTTCATTTGATATAGAATTTTACATAATTCAGATTCATAATTTGACATCATATAAGTTAATGAATTAAGATTGATGTCTCCTTTGTATTGTTCTAGGAAAGTTAATGTCTCTTGACCGATCTTCACCACTCTAGACAACAGGCAAATAAACCTATCCTCTTGAAACACCAGTAATTTATTTAAGGCAATTTCATGAGATTTGCTCCATGATACAACTTTAAACCTTCTCAACGATAATTCTAAACCTCCAGAACAAGAATAAACACTAAAAAAAGCACGAAGACGATTCCTTGACTCAGAATTATCTCCTAAATCGTCAGTTAATTTTCTCATATCGTTTAATCCAATACATAATGCAATTGATAACCCAGTAAGACTATTCATTTGATTTCTATATTGGCCTCTTTTAATTGGGGGTAAACACCATAAACTCAACATCAAACAAACATACACCAACTCAATATCAAAATCTGAACATTTTACATATACATGATGAGCTAAAAAGGAATATAAATAGTGGTTGAGTACGTTGTATAAATTATGATTATTCGTTGATGTTTGATTATTTATAGCAGTGATCAATATGATTGAAATAAGTAATAATGGAAACTTGTCAAATAATGTATTGAATGATTTGAGATTTTCAGATAGGATTATAAATGGATAATACGGATATATTTCATTAATGAATACATTGAATCTATGCTTTGCTTCCGATAATGAAAGGAAATTATAATTGTAAATTAACTGTTTAAGTAAGTTTTTATCGAAGGGTATGTTCGGATATGTAGTTGGTTGAACTGGTGGTTCTAATTTATACAACACTTCTTTTAAATTGTTAATAGTTTGAATTTCGTCCTCTTCTGTTAATGTTGATTCAGCTAGTTTAAGGAGTTTCTCTGATAATATTTGGAGTTCACCTTTTGGGTTTGGTTTTGTTCTTCTTGGTTTCTTTCTTGCGTATTTTGCTGTTGGATCTTCATCAAATGAACAATTTAAATTACTATTAAAACATCGAAGACATGAATTATGATCGGGATTTTCAAATGAACATTTAACTTTTAATCTTCTACACCTTGCACAAGCTCTTGATTGTCTCCAAGTGGATGAAAAGTTACTCATTAGGTGAGAAAAAACGTAAAGACGCAAGAATAGCTTAATGTAAGAATGCCAACGTGGATGCAACAAACACTTGAGGATGCCAATGTGGATCTCAATTACAAGAGAAGAGAGGCAACATCAATATTGGTTATAACCATCGAGGTATTATGTATAGAACCACATAATAGAAGCGGTATAATATATGTAAATACTACTGCATCCTTAGCATACTTGCATCTTTACTATTTCTGTTTCATTAATTTTATTACTATACAAATATATAATGTCTATGCAATTGAAATGTCTGGTTTTTCATCTTTAATTTTATCTATTTTTGTTCCAAATGACGCAATACATTTAGCCATTGTAGGTGATGATCTAGATATAACATCAGTAAAATAAAAGTTATTAACTGGATTAACTAAAGGTTCATTGAAAACTTTTGAATCTTTATTTGAATCAACTAACTCTTGGAAACCCAATTTAGTTATGTCATTTGATGTTGGTTCTATTATATCATGTCTTATTAAATGAGGTGCAATTTCACCCATTCTCATTCTTAATGAAACTATATCATCATAAGGTAATTTACAATTTAAATATTCACTTAAAGCTCTAATAATCTTCCAATCTTCTCTTGCTACTCCAGGAGCATTTGTTGCAGCTCTTGTAATTTGTGTTCTACCTTCTAAATTAACATATGTTGCTGATTTTTCAGTATATGCTGAACCAGGTAATATAACATCAGCAAATGAAGCTCCTACATCACCATGATGACCTTGATATATAACAAAGGAGTCCTTAGGTATATCTTTATTGGATATTTCATCTGCTCCTAATAAATAAATAAATTTAGGTGTGGTTTTATCATTTGATTGGAATCCAATATCTAATGCACCTACTCTTGAAGCTTCCCTATGTAATAAATTTAATCCATTCCATTCAGGTTGATTAAAGTTTGATTTGGAAGTTATAAAATCACCAATCGTTTTATATATTGATTGTGAATCTTTTGATTCTGCAACTCCTGAACCTATGATAATTAATGGTTTTTTAGCAGAACTTAATTTTTTACCAATATCTCCATTAAATGCTTTTTGTAAATCTTTAACTGAATCACCAAGTCTATTTATATCAAATGTCGAATCAAATTGTTGTCCCACAGAATTAATTTCTAAATTTGATCTAAGCCAAACTTTTCTTATTCTTGTATTTAATACAGCAGCTTCAAATCTTGGATTTGTACCAATTAATAAAATTTCATCAGCATCTTCAATACCATCAATAGTAGAATTAAAAATATAATTTGATCTAAAATCTAAACCATGAGAATCATAACCTAATTTAACATCAGTTGTTGTATTTTCTGAACCTAATTTATTAATTAAATCTTTTAAAGCAGTTAATGATTCAACTTCAGTCAATGCACCAGCAATTGCTTTTAATTCATTACCTTGTGGATTAATTCTTTTATATGCAGCAGCAATTGTAGATAAAGCTTCATCCCATGTTGAAGTTTCAAATTTATCACCATTTCTAATTAATGGAGTAGTTAATCTTTGATTTTTTAAACCATCACAACTAAATCTAGATTTATCGCTTATCCATTCTTCATTTATATCATCATTTAATCTTGGTAAAACTCTCATAACTTCAATACCTCTTGCATCAACTCTAATATTTGAACCAACAGCATCATGAATATCTATAGTTTCAGTTCTTTTTAATTCCCAAGGTCTTGCTCTAAAAGCATATGGTTTTGAAGTCAAAGCACCAACAGGACATAAATCAATTATATTACCAGACATTTCAGAATTTATATTTCTTTCAATATAAGTACCAATTTGTAAATCATTTCCTCTTCCAGCACTACCAAATTCAGGAGCACCAGCAACATCATTCATAAATCTAACACATCTAGTACAATGAATACATCTATTCATTGAAGTTTTAACCAAAGGACCAATAGCTTTATTTTCAACAGCTCTTTTACCTACAAGTTCTTTAAATCTACCTCTATCACTACCAAATCTTTGAGATTGTTCTTGTAAATCACATTCTCCTCCTTGATCACAAACTGGACAATCTAAAGGATGATTTTCTAATAACATTTCTGTTACTCCCTCCCTTGCTTTTTTAATTCTTTCAGAATCGGTATGAACAATCATACCATTTTGAACAGGAACAGCACAAGAAGCAATTAATTTTGGCATTCTTTCAACATCAACTAAACACATTCTACAATTACCAGCAATAGCTAATTTATCATGATAACAATATCTTGGTATAGTAACTCCAGCTAATTGAGCAGCTTGAATAATTGAAGAACCAGCTTCTATCGACACTCTTCTACCATCTATAGTAACTTCTACTTCACTAAGTAATCTAGTACTGCTCAGTATATATCTTTTAGTAGATCTTAGTAATCCAGCTCTAATGAAATGCATTGGTTGGTTGCCAGAATAAACTTGTAGTATAATTTTTTTTTTCAGTATATATTATAATTTTTACTTACGCAGAGTTATATGCAGGAAGGTTAACAATTAAATTTATTTGATTCGTTAAAACCAAATAACCAAATAACCAAATAACCAAATACTCTATAATAACAAACAATATGCTACTGTTGTTGTTGTTGAGGATCACCACTAAATAACATGAATAATATCAATGGTGGTACTATATATAACCAATTCTTCTGGATCCATGATTTCTCTACTTCGTCGTCTTTTTTCTCTGGCTTTATTTCCTTCTTTATTGGTTGTAAATTGGGTTGTAAATTGGGTTGTATTGATTTAACACCAGTTTCATGTTTTAAAAGTATAGGATTTGTATTATCACCATATCTCATAGTTAATCTATTATCATTTAATATGAAAATACTATTGTTTAACAGTTGTTGATTATTTATCAATATAAAACAATCATGATTATATAAATCTTTAGTACCAATACAATATGATTTATTGTAATTTAACTTATAATCCACTAAATATATCTCATTTGTAATAAATCCAATATCATCAATTATACCATTTTCTATATTATTAATAAATAAGTTTAACTTTTTACTTTGTACAACCACCACCGAAATTATCAACAATATTAACCAATTCATTTTCATTTTCATTTTTCATTGACATTTTCATTGACATTTTTAGACATTTTTATTGACGCGTCTTTATTTTTTTTTTTTTTTTGTTTTTTCAGATCAAAATGAATAATTTATTACGACGAAGATTTTTCTGTATTTCATCAATTCAGGACTCACAGGAATATTTAACTCATTGTTTGATCAATGGTAATTTGAATTCAACTGTTTTTAAAGGTACTTTATATGAATTATATGTTAAACTGTATTTAGAATCAAATTTCCATTGTTTTGATTTAATTAAAATTGGAGGTGCTAATGATAATGGTGCTGATATAATTGGTAGATGGAATTTACTACCTTTTTATGAAGAAATTAAACATGAAGAAATTGGTAAATTACCAGTTGGTGCTTCTTTACTCAAAACATCAATTGAACTGAAATATTTTAATTGTGCGAGAACTCAAACTTCATTATCGGATATTAATTTGGTGGTGCAATGTAAGAACCACAAGGGTAAATTGGGTCCCATGTATATTAGAGAAGCAGGAATTGTACTTAATCATTTAAAATATCCTAAAAATTCAAGTTTTATGTTTATTGTATCTCCTAATAATTTAAGTACTAAAGCAATTGATCAAATGAATAATACTCAACTGGCTTTAATTCATTTATCTATTACTCCTTTAACTTGTGAAAATCATTCAAAAGATCTTAAAAAATGGAAAGGTGGTAATTTATCACTGATTTATATAAATAATTATGCTAGAAAATTATTAATGGGATTTAAAATGGAACAACAATTAAAAAAATATATATTAGATTAGAGTAAATCAAATGAAGTCAAATTAAATTATTTTTAAATTAATTAAGAATAGTTGTAGTTTGGGGTCTACCATAAACAGTTTGAATATGAGTTCTAGTTGTTATCATTTCATAAAAGGTTGTAATTGTAGAAAATGTAGTTGGAGCATATACTATTGATGTATAAATGTTTTGAATGGTTGTTGGAGTTAATGAGGATGATTCTGATGATTCTGATGATGATGATGATGATGATGATGATGAATCAGATGAAGTTGATGTAGTTGATGAAATTGATAAAACATCTTTGATTGATGTTGTTGATAAAGCTGAAGTTACACTTGAATCTGAAGTTGATGAGTCAAGTAAACTAGATGAACTTGAACTTGAACTTGAACTTGAGATTGAGCTTGAACTTGAACTTGAGATTGAGCTTGAACTTGAACTTAAAGCAGCTAGAATTGGTGGAGCACTAGATGTTGATGTGCTAATTTCAACTGAGCTTGGAGATGATGAAATTGATGAACTAGATAAAATTGATCCAATTGACCTGGTTAATATTGGGCTAGATGAACTGGTTGAAACTGAGCTTGATGAACTAGTTGAAACTGAGCTTGATGAACTACTTGAAACTGAGCTGCTTGAGCTACTTGATGTTTTAATTGAGCTTGAGCTGGTTGATGATCTAGTTGAGCTTAAACTTGAACTAGTTGATGATTTAGTTGAACTAGTAGTTGGAATAGTAGTAGTTGGAATAGTAGTAGTTGAAGTAATAGTAGTAGTAGTAGTAGTAGTACTAGTAGTCGAATCACTATCAACAACTTGATTAACAACATTATTACCACCAGCACCACTAACAATTCTTTTCATATTCTCTACAAAATTAACGCCTTGATTATCGACATTTCCATAAGCAGCAGAAACATCCCACATAGAAATCCCACCAAAATGAACATTATTTAAAATATCACTAGTTAAATCACTTTCAATAACACTTGGATCATTATATCCTGACCCAGCAGCTCTAGCAGCTCCAGGAACACCAATAAATAATTTAACGTCTTTATTTGGGCTACTATTTTCAGCATAATCAAACCAAGTATTCCAATTAAAATTTGTACTGCCTAAATTACAATAATTATTATAAAATTGAATAAACACAAAGTCAATATAACTATTCAATAACAAGTTCCCTACACTTGCATCCGGATAAGGACACTGAGGAGCAGCTCCCAAATAGTATTGTTTACTTGAATCAGTGGCAAATTTCTTTCTTAATTCGTTAGCTAATGCAGAATATCCAATTTGATTATTATTCTCAATATCAAAATCAAATCCATCCAATACGGAATCAAAAAATGGTCGATCATTCGTAGCTACGTTTTTACTATTTCCAAATAAATCCCATAAAGTGTCTGCAAATTCAATAGCTTGAGAATCGGAACTGAATCCATATGATCCAGCTGCGCCACCAAGACTCAATAACACTTTTTTACCTTGAGATTGACATGTTTTGATGTCCTCTGCTATATTTTGACATTGTAATAATCCAGAGCTTGTATAAGTACCTTCGCATGCATTTGCAAAATTTAATTGTAAGTTTTGGGGGAATACATGCATGAATGAAATTATGAAAATGTCTGCATTTTCTGAATTACAATAATATGATAACCTTTGTTGATTTCCACCTGAATTTTGTCCCCAATATACTGCTATATTTGAATTTGATTGTGAATTAAATGCTAATATGGGTATAATTAATGATAATAATATTAAAAACATAAGGAATGACTTAATAAATGAATGTATAAGTTAAATAAAGTAAATGAATGTATAAGTTATGCAACTAATTAGTTAAATGAGTGTATAAGTTAGTCAATTAGCAATTGTATGTATAAGTTAAATTCTGGGTATAATAAAATTTGAAAATTTTGAAAATACTGAACTGAGAAATCTCTTCATTTTATAGTTTGAAATGTTGTTGATATTTTTATTTTGGAAACCTAGTCTTGTTTACATTTCATTACACAAATTGAATAGTTTAATTACACAGAATTTAATATATGCCAATTTGGGTTTAATTTTGACATTATTAGGATAAAAAGAAATTCTAAATTCGGCAAAATACGAGAAAGTAACCCGTTGATGCATTAAACGATGCTGGTAATTATTGAGTTTTTACGAATTAGGCTTTGTTTTTAATTAATTCGTAATTTGTAGCCAGCCATGCTATGCAATGTACGATTATATCAAAAACGTCAGACTAAAGCAAATGAAACGTCACAAAAAAGCAACATGGCCCATACTCATTACTATCCTCTCCAAATAACACCTCTTATATCTATCAACAGCTGGTTTGATGGTCATATTTGAGCAGGTTATTCATGGTTAATTTACGCGTATACTTTTGTTTCAGAATTTTTTTTATTTTCTTTTTTTTTCTTTTTTTTTTTTTTTTTGCAGCCAAGTATTGCGCATTTTTTTAGAAGCGCTAAATTCAGATATACAAGCCAGCATAAATTCAAATTCACGAAAACTACGAATGAAAACAATAATACCACCGAATGTATCGGTGTTTCTGTTAGGTGATTCCATGAATTGAGTTATTTTATTGTTGTATGCGGGTAGTTTTATTTTTCAAACAATTAGTTTTAAAAATAATTCAAATTTGAAAGTTGTGTCATTTTTTAGCCATTGAGCAGTTTAAGATTAGTTGATATTTAGTTAGTGTTTACTTTTGGCTGATTTTGAATATAATTTATCTTGAATTTTAGTAATGATATAATGAATATTCTTATGTTGCAATTAAACTCAAATTTCAACATGTCAGGCAGTTAGCGAAGAGGTTAAAAGGTGATTAAAACTTTATATTTCAGAGGGTTTTTAAAGGAATTAGAACAAAATTGCTTGGTTAGAGCATAAGTTTTAAATGAATTTAAACCGTGAATTGTAACACGAGTAGTGGCACTAAGTCACGCCAAGAATGAAAATGGTGCAGGCCGCGGTTTTGTTTCAGATCGTGCCAAACTATAGCCTAGAAAAAAAAATTGAAATTATAGTTTTTGACTTATATGCAGTCTTATAGTAGTTAATCTATGAACTTTGTTAGTAAATAACTCAATCAATATAGAAGATTTATTTCTCAAACTATATTCATTAAATTTGTTATTTAAATTAGAATGAAATGATACTAGTTGCACTTGGAAAAAGATAATTTTGATCACTTTATACAACTTTTAAAAAACACAAAAAAACGCTATTTTGCGATATAACCAAGACTTATACCTCATTTATCAATTTCTAGAGTAGCTTAGCTGATCTGGTCCAATTAATCCAAAAGACCGCATTAGTAGAGGGTTCAAGACGATAAATTCATTTTGAATTTTTTTCAAAACTTTCAAACTACTTTCGAAAAACTACTCTCTGGATTCAGAATATCTTAACACCAACGAATCTCAAAGATATCAGAACCTGTATAGTTCTATTATAGTTCAAATTGAATATTGATTGCGGTGTAAAATTCTTTGAAATCTTGATTTATTCGATTTTCTCCATGGTTAAAAGAAATTTCTGAAATTTTTCAACTCTATAGTGATAGGCATGGATTTAAGTCTAAAAATACATTAAACTGATGCTAAATATGTAGAATCAGTTGTTTGAATGAAAGTTATGGACCTAATCAAAAATACACATTAATTTCTTATTTTTTAGAAAATTTTTGTATGATGAAAAATATCCAATGTGATAACTCAAAAAAAAAAAAATTTGAAATTGAACAATTGAAATATGTAAGTGTACATTTCATCAACCCTCAGATTTTATAAAATTGGTTCATATCTCCAGAGATCATGTTGTCCTTTACTTTTAATCCTATACATTTAGTACGAGTCGCCTTAGAATTTATGCGAGAAAATTATTTTTGTCGCACCAAATTATGGCGCTAAGAAGTGGTATGAAATTTATTGTGACATTTTAGACGCGTCACATAATCGTAAATTATATTCTGTCTTACCTCAAAATGAATATGGCTTCTTAAAAACTTCATAAAAAGCTTATTTGGGGTTAAACAAGCCAAATCTGCTATTATGGAAGTTGAGAATTGTAGTCTAAGTATTGATTAATTTGCAACTTAGGGTTTTTTTGCGATTTTTAAAAGTTGAATAAAGTGATCAAAATTGTCTATCTTTGCAAGATACTATAATCAATTCTTCTAGATATCTAAGGTATCTCATGAAAAAACTTTGAGAAGTATGGCTTTAATATTGAAGAAGTTATTTACGCTTAAAGTTTTGAAATTATTTATAGGGAGACTGCATATAACCCAAATTCTTGCAACGAACTTTCATTATTTAAAGTTGAAGTAAAATCAAATATCAGTGGAATTTGAATGTTTTCCTATTCATTACTCTATATATAGGCCTATGTGTTCATGCTCACGAAGTATTTTGGAAGTATGGAATTCAGATGTAGGTAGGGCAAATTGTTTGAATTCAAAATTGTTGATCAACGTTTAATTTTATTATTTTTGAACTGGAAATTACCTAGTTCCTAACATGGGGTATTTTGATACATTTGTAGATTCAAACTCCAGCCATGAGAATTTAATTTTTGTTCACAGAAATAATCTAATGGAGGACTCTTTGTCAATCTAGTTTTGAAAAATGACCGGGAGAAAACGTATTTTAAATTTGCCAATATTGAATCAAACCTACATAGCTCTTTTATGTTATGATTTGGTCAAAATCAAAGATAGTGCGACCGATAATCTATTGTTAAAAGTCACGACTCAACTAAACCGTTTGATCCAGTAATAAAGGCTTAGTTTCTCAAGCATGTCATCATTATAAGAGGAGGTGATAAGAGGTAAACAAACATATTTCCATTGCTATTGAATACTCAATTGTATTTAAATATTGCTCAACACGTTCATTACTGATATACTATAAGTATAAGTCTCATATGAAATTTTTCGCCCAACTTTCAATCATTACGCGGAAATGTTCTTTCGGATAAAAGTACAAGAAATCTGATAATGAAAACCTCGAGAATTACAAACATGCTTAGGCAAGTAAGATTTTTGGTAATTTCTATATAAGACCTTAAATTGCAAGAAAATACTTTGTTAATGACCAACCTTCATACCACGATTTTACATTCTGAGTAGCCAAAAAAAAAATTTTTAGAGTCAATTCCAAGCAGCTTTAAATTTTAAATTTAAATTGAATTACATAATTCCAATAATTTAAAGTCTCAACAAATATCGACTAGCAAATCAAAGTATTTGTTTACGTATTGAATAAAGATTTTCTATTGTCTTTGATTAATCAAGAAATAATATTGTCGAAAAAAAAAAAAAAAAAAATTAAACCCACAGAAATTTCGGCGAAATTTCAACTGTGAATTTCAACACAATATAATTATATTTCTATAGATAATATTATACTCTATCAAACCGTTAGAGCTTGAAGTTTTATCTGAGCCCAAAAAAGTTATAACTTGCCTATTAGCACAAATTGAAATTGTAAATTTCCCAATTTTTGTTTACGTAGGTGAGTCGGTGCACATAACCAAAACTTATAGGGGAAAAAATAAATAAATAAATTAATAAAAAATAACAAAAATTTCGGCGAAATTTTTCATATGAACAAATAATAAAAAAAAAGTATAAATAAAGCTACAATTTCCCATATTTTTTTACTCATTCATCGATTATTTAATATATTCATTATATTTATTCACAATGTCAATTAATTTTCAATCAAATAAATCTACAACTAAAGACAATCATTTATATACCAAATTCACTTATGAAAATTCAATAGTTGAAAAAGATGCACAAGGTAAATTTAATGTTACACCAACAGCAGTTGATTATGAATTTAAATTAGATTTAAAAATTCCAAAAGTTGGATTATTATTAGTTGGTTTAGGTGGTAATAATGGTACTACTTTAATGGCGTCTATATTAGCTAATAAACATCAAATATCATTTGAAAATAAAGAAGGAGTTGTTAAACCAAATTATTATGGTTCAGTCACACAATCATCAACTATTAAAATTGGGGTTGATAAAGAAGGTAATGATGTTTATGCTCCATTTAATTCAATAGTTCCATTTGTTAATCCAAATGATTTAGTTGTTGATGGTTGGGATATTTCAGGTTTAACTTTGGATAAAGCAATGAAAAGAGCAAAAGTTTTAGATGTTACATTACAAAAACAATTGGAACAACATTTAAAAGATCATAAACCAATGGAGTCAATTTATTATCCAGATTTTATTGCATTAAATCAAGGAGATAGAGCAGATAATATTTTTAATAAAAGTGCCAACGGTGAAATTAAAACTGATAATAAATGGTCAGATGTTGAAAGAATTAGAAAAGATATTAGAGATTTTAAATCAAAAAATAATTTAGATAAAGTTATTGTTTTATGGACAGCAAATACTGAAAGATATGCTGAAGTTTTACCAAAAGTTAATGATACAGCAGATAATTTAATTGAAGCTATTAAATCAAATCATGAAGAAATTGCACCATCAACTGTTTTTGCAGTTGCTTCAATTTTAGAAAAAATCCCATATATTAATGGATCTCCACAAAATACATTTACACCAGGTGTTATTGAATTGGCAGAAAAATATGATTCATTTATTGGTGGAGATGATTTTAAATCTGGTCAAACAAAGATTAAATCGGTATTGGCACAATTTTTAGTTGATGCAGGTATAAAACCAATTTCAATTGCAAGTTATAATCATTTAGGTAATAATGATGGTTATAATTTATCATCACCAAGACAATTTAGATCAAAAGAAATTAGTAAGGCATCAGTTGTTGATGATATGATTGAATCAAATTCAATTTTATATAATAAAGAAAGTGGAGATAAAGTTGATCATTGTATTGTTATTAAATATGTTCCAGCAGTTGGCGATTCAAAAGTTGCCATGGATGAATATTATTCAGAATTAATGTTGGGTGGTCATAATAAAATTTCAATTCATAATGTTTGTGAAGATTCTTTATTAGCAACTCCATTAATTATTGATTTAGTTATAGTAACAGAATTTTTACAAAGAGTTCAATATAAAAAAGATAATGAATCAGATTATAAAGATTTTTATGCTGTTTTAACATTATTAAGTTATTGGTTAAAAGCTCCATTATCAAGACCAGGTTTTAAACCAATTAATGGATTAAATAAACAAAGACAAGCTTTGGAAAATTTATTAAGATTATTGGTTGGTTTACCAATTAATAATGAATTAAGATTTGAAGAAAGATTAGTATAGGTTGATAATCTAATATAATATAATATAATATAAATATATAATAATTTAATAAATCTAAATCAAAGTCAAATTGTAGAAATTGTAGAAATTGTAGAAATTGTAGAAATTGTAGAAATTGTAGAAATTGATTGGAAGAGTTTATTGTGAATTCAATACTAGTTAAATAACTTTATGCACTACAGTTCAATCACTAACTACCTAAAAGTAAAGAATACGAGTTGATAAGTCTAAGTCTACTACATTGATAATAGTCCCTATTCGATTTCTCTGCTTTTATAAAAAAACAAAACATTTATAAAAAACAAAACATACAATTATTGAATTTAATAAACTAGGATCTTGGATCTTCAACTGATGCATAGCGCTTGTTTATCAGTTGCAAACTAAAAATGAGGCTAATGCAAAAAAGTAGTACAAAAAAGTAGTGCAAACAAACAATCACGTGAAATCCAGTCCCAACAACAATTGTCCACCGGCCCAACAAAAATAAAAAATACTTAATTAAGCGTAGATCTCTAATTCTGAAACATAAGTTAGTAGTGCGCCTATCAAAGTTTTGCAACCATATCAAACCGAGGTGAAAAAGGTCACATGTCTCGGACCATAAAATTAAATTTTGCAACTAAATTAAATCGTGAGACCAATACCACCAATACCACCATACCACCAATACATTGAATAAAACGTTCTAAGAAAAAATTACGAAATAGGAAATGAATGATCACACTTGGTATTTATACTTTTAATTGAGGGTTAGTTATTATAATATTTGAATAAGAAAATTTAAAGGATCCTGGTTTAAATTATCTCCACTACTGGGAACAAAACAAAGATAAATAAAAAAAAGTAAACTACGCATGATTTGAGAGTGGTAAGAAAAATTTCATATGTTGATGTAGATAACAATAAGATCGGTGAAGTTGTAGGGTTCAGTAATTAATCAAATTAATCAATTGTTCATGCAAAAATGCAAATGCTTTCATTATCTTCCCTATTATAGTAGTAATAGTAATAGTAATAGTAATAGTAGTAGTAATAGTAACAGTAATAGTAATAATAATAGTAGTATATATTAATTTTTTTTTTTTATTTTATTTTATTTTTTTTTTATTTTTTTTTTTTTTTTTTTTTTTTTTTTTCTTTAGTTGTAAATTAATGCGCATAATAATTTTAATTTTCATTTATTATTTGGTATTCATTTATAATAAATAGATAAATTTGTTGCCATTCCTATTTTTTAATTAAGTTGGTTTATTATTATCATTATATCATTATCAATTCATTATGGCTCCATTAACAGTACCAGTTGGTGAAGCTAAACAAGGGGAAACAGCTCCTAGAAGAAAGGCTTCTCAAAAAGAAGGCTCTTTAGACCGTCCTTTAGACTCAAAAGCAAATACTATGGCTGAGTTTATTGAAGAATGTTTTGGAAGAAATGGTAATAGAAATGCAATAGGTTGGAGAGATTTAAAAGATATCATTGTTGAAACTAAGCAAGTTACTAAAGTTATTGATGGTGAGTCCAAAAAAGTTGATAAAGATTGGATTTATTATGAAATGGGTCCTTATAATTATATCAGTTATCCAGATTTATTAAAATTAGTTCAAAATTATTCGAAAGGGTTAATTGAACATGGTTTGAAACCAAATCAGCAATCAAAATTAATGATTTTCGCGTCAACTTCTCATCAATGGATGCAATCATTTTTAGCTTCAATTTTCCAAAATATTCCAATTGTTACTGCTTATGACACTTTGGGTGAATCTGGTCTTATTCACTCATTAGTTCAAACTGAATCAAATGCAATTTTCACTGATAATGCTTTATTAGGTTCTTTACTTAATCCTTTAAAAAAAGCAAATTCTGTTAAATTAATTATTCATGGTGAAGAAATTGATGAAAATGATAAAAGACAAAATGGTAAATTATATAAAGATGCTCAAAAGGCAAAAGATGAAATTTTAAAAATTAGACCCGATATAAAATTTATTTCATATAATGATATTATTAAATCTGGTGAAAAATCTCAAGTTGCATTATCATATCCAAAACCTGAAGATCCTTGTTGTATTATGTATACTTCTGGATCAACTGGTGATCCAAAGGGGGTTGTTATTACCAATAAAAATTTATTATCTGCTTGTGCAGGTATTTCAACAAATGCTGGTAGAGATTTAGTTGGCCCAAATGATTCAGTTATTGCATTTTTACCATTGGCTCATATATTTGAATTAGCTTTTGAATGTATTGCTTTTTGGTGGGGTGTCCCATTAGGTTATGCAAATGTTAAAACTTTAACTGAAACTTCGGTTAGAAATTGTCAACCTGATTTAATTGAATTTAAACCAACTGTTATGGTTGGTGTTGCTGCTGTTTGGGAAAGTGTTAGAAAAGGTGTTTTACAAAAAGTTAAACAAGCTTCTCCAATTCAACAAAAAATATTTTGGGCTGCATATCATGCAAAATTAACATTTAATAAATTTAATATACCAGGTGGTTCATTATTTGATATAGTTTTTAAAAAAGTTAAAGCTGCAACTGGTGGTAAATTAAGATATGTTTTAAATGGTGGTTCTTCAATTTCTGTAGATGCTCAAATTTTTGTTTCAACTTTAATTGCTCCAATGTTATTAGGTTATGGTTTAACTGAAACTTGTGCAAATGCTGCAATTTTAGAACATAATCATTTTGAATATGGTACTTTAGGTACTTTGGTTGGTTCTGTTACCGCTAAATTAGTTGATGTTGCTGATGCTGGTTATTATGCAAAAAATAATGAAGGTGAAATTTGGTTAAAAGGAGGTTGCGTTGTTTCCCAATATTACAAGAATGAAAAAGAAACTAACGATGCATTTACTGAAGATGGTTGGTTTAAAACTGGTGATATTGGTCAATTTGATGAAAGAGGTGGTTTGAAAATAATTGATAGAAAAAAGAATTTGGTTAAAACATTGAATGGTGAATATATAGCTTTGGAAAAGTTGGAATCAATATATAGATCAAATCCATTGGTTCAAAATATTTGTGTTTATGCAGATCAATCAAAGGTTAAACCAATTGCAATTGTTATTCCAATTGAAGCTTCATTGAGACAGGAACTTGGTGATAATTCAACAGAGTTAAGTCACTTGGTTAATGACAAGAAAGCTCAAAAAGCTGTCTTGAATAGTTTATTAAGCACTGGTAAAAATCAAGGATTAAAAGGGATTGAATTGTTACAAAATGTCGTTTTATTGGATGAAGAATGGACTCCTCAAAATGGTTTTGTTACTTCTGCTCAAAAATTACAAAGAAGGAAAATTTTAAACAGCTGCAAAAAACAAGTTGACGAAGCTTATAAGTAGTGTATCATTTAATATATAGTATTGACTGTTATTGATATTCTCTTGATATATTTTAAAATCGCAATTGGTAGCAGATTTGTTAGTAATTATTAGGCGCGGCTGAAGCAATTTTTTTTCTTTTTTTTTTTTTTTTTTATTTTTTTTTTTTTTTATTTTTATTTTTATTTTTATTTTTTTTTTTTTTTTGAGATCTTGAATTTCAATAGAAGAACATATCAATTTCAATTAATTACTCTATTATCTATTAATCTACACTTTTCTAAATATTTTTTTAATTTTTTCTAAATTATAACCTTCATTTAAACATAAACTTAGTAATATTCTTGATTTCTGAGGATTTAAATAACCACCAGCAACTGCATTATTAAAAACTTGAACCTGACCATCGACAATAACGTTAGGCAAAGCACCAATTGGAACCTTCCCATCCATTGATCTCTTACTATAGATAATTGGATATTCAGGTTTATCTTTCAACAAGTCTGCAAGATACTGATTTGTTTCATCTTTCATTGATCCAGCACCCATAGTAGCCAATATAATCCCCTTCATCTTCAAATTCTCAATTAACAATTTAAATATCTCATTATTTAATCCTGGATGACCAAATACAATCGCTACATCAGGTAATTTATCTTTTACATTTTCAATATTGAAATATTCAATCCCACTTGGCTTTCTAGGTGGATAAAAATAATAAATTTCATTATTTACAAAATCTCCAATATATCCTTGACCTATATTTTTAAAAGTTTCTAATGAATTTGTATTTGATTTTGTAATATACCAACCAGAACCAATTTTATCATTTAAAGCAACTAATATTCCTCTATCGTAAGAATTTTTTGAACTTGCAATAACTATAGCTTCATATAAATTCATTGGTCCATCTGATGAAATTGCAGTTGAAGGTCTCATTGAACCACAAAGTACAATTGGTTTTGAAGTATTTATTGTAAGTTGTAAAAAAAAAGCAGTTTCTTCCATTGTATCAGTTCCATGAGTTATAACTATCCCATCATAATGTGGTAAATCTAAAATAATTTGATTATACAACTTGAGAGCCTCTTTTGCTCCAATTTCTTTTGAATCCAAATTAAATATTTGTTCATATTCTAACTGACAAATTGGAGATAAATCAGGGATTGAAGATATTAAATTTTCAATAGTTAAATCGACTGAATAACCAGCCGTCTGACTTGAATTTGAACCTTTTGATGCAATTGTACCACCAGTTCCTAATACTTTTACTTTTGGTAATTTTTCAACTTCATCAATTGATACAATTGAATTGGATCTATAATTTAATTTAAAATGTGCTTGAGAATCTAAATAACTTTCAATTTCAACTTGATGTTCAATCTTGTCTCTTTCATCAATTGGTACAAAATTGGTAACACTCGTAACTGTCTCATGAACCATAGTAACTTCTAGAATCCTTATTCAACATATATATAAATAAAGTGGTTCTTTCGCAAAGAATGAAAAATCAATTTTTCACCTTTCGATGTTTTTCAGTAATAAAGAAAAAGTTGAATTAGCACCAAATAAATCAGATAGACAACTATGTTGGGATTCAAGAGATAGATTCTTTGAATGTTTATCAGCAAATCATATTGATAATTCATTAGATCAAAAACAGCTAAAAAATGTCGAATCAAAATGTGGAACCACTAAAAAGGAATTTGAATCAAATTGTGTTTCTTCATGGATAAAATATTTTCAAGAAAAGAGATATAATGATTTAATAAGACAAAGATATATTGAGAAATTAGAAAGCGAAGGTGCTCAACCATTACCTTTTAAAATTGATACAATAAAGAAGGAATAAGGATGCAATTACAATTCATGAAATAATAAAGAAAGAATCTATACTTGAATATATAATGAGTCTTTACAAACTAGTTTTCGATCAACTAAATCAATAATAGTCCCCCATTCAAACTCACCCTTCTCAATAATAACAAAACTCAACACAATTTCTAATTTTTGCTTTGGTTTTATTGTGGCGACCTTATTCTGTAGAACTCCATTAATTAATAACTTTTTATCAATTGATAATTGTCTAGTATTTCCAATTAAAGGCATGGGTAAATGTCGAATTATTCCAGATATACTCTCATTTGAATTATTAATTATAGTAGTTTTTAAATTATAGAATGTATCCAATTTTAATTGATATTTTCGTTGTTTTGGCATGTTTTCAATCGAATTAGTTATTAAAATATTATCAATTTTAAGGTTGTTACTCATTTTATTTGTTATTCTTAAATTGCGTAAGTCTATTATTCCTTTTCTTGATTTACTTGACCATTTCCCACTTAAATTTGAAAGTAAATGATACCTAAGCCAAAATAACTCCTTCATTTGCTTTTCTTCATCTTCTGATAAATTATAATTTTTTATAAATTGTTTGTTAACTAGTGATGGAATAGCTTTAGTTAAATCAATCTCATTATTTAATTTATCAATTGGAATAATGAATCGTTTTGTCTTATTTGATTCAATTGAATTTGAAAACTCATGAGATTTATATTTCAACCTACATGTTAATTTCTCAGTCCAACAATTGCGTAAATCAAGAATCAACAAGCTTTGATTTTCTGTAGTTTCAATATTTGGTATTTTAAAATTTGGTAATATATCACATCCTACTATCTCAATTGATGACATAACTGAAACATTCAATGGAATATTCAATTGTTTAACAAAGATATCATCAGTTGATTTATTTGCATAATCAAGTATTATCCTTAATTCTTTCATCATTTTCCTGCTTGTGATCTCATAATTAATATTTATTGATTGATTAGGATATATTTTCTCTCCCATTACATCTTTATTAATGATCTTGAATGGTTTAAATTTAACTAGATCATATTCTAAATCATATATTTCATTTGAATTTAATTGTGTTTGTAATTTTTTATTTATGTATTCTATAGTTGAATCCCAAAATGAATATGAAAGATAATTAATTTCAACTTCGGATGTGTTTGTAAGCTTAACTGAGAACTGAAATTTTTCACCTTCTAATAACATCAACCATAAATTAGAAACTGAAATCTCTGAAAGGATAAGTAATGGTTGTGGTGGGATAACTGATAATTGTAACTCTTTATAACTTACTCTCGAACTAGTTAATGATAAATTTTCAATCACTTTATCGAGTGTACTTTCTTCCAGTTTCTCATTCTCTAATTTAATCTCATCTTCAAATGTTTCCTTCTCGACTATTTTAAAAAATTGCTCTTCACAATGCCCTACTATAATATTCAACCCAGATATAGTCAATATTCCAGTTTTCAATGGTTTAAAAGATACCAAGAATTGTTCAGTACTCATTGGTGGGACAATTAAACTCGATGTTTGATTTGTACTCACTGGTGCTTTTTTTCTTAATTTACCATTTAATGGAACAGATATCAAATTCTTTATTGTCTCAACTCCATTTAACACAATATCATTAATTTCAATATCAAAACTGAATGGATTTTGTAATGTTACTTTTAATTGATAAACATCATCTTTAATAAGTATCTTGTTCCTTGCAGTTTCTATTTTCTTTTTATATGGATCAAAAAATGGTTCTTCTTGACTTGGTTGATTTTCATATTCTTTAAATGGGATTAGCTCTTCTTTTTGTTTGTTGACTAATTGAACATCTCTTAATAAGAAAGGATCCCAGTATTTACATGATTTATTACCTATTTTCTCTCTTAATTTGATTTGATCATTCATTGGAAGACAATGAGTAAATCTAGTCAATAACAATATACATAAATTCAACAATAATTCGCGATCATTTAAACTTTCTGCAATTTTAAGACTTAATTTCAATAATTGAATTTGTAATGATATCCAATTTTGACTACTTGCATCTTTTATGCTTGTCTCTGGTTGATAATTTATCCCATACAATTTGTATAAATTTTCAAGTATTTCCTTTATTGAATGTTTAACAAGGTGTAATTTAGGAAGTAATCCAATTAACAATATCCTCAATATAAATGCTTTCTTTCTATATAATTTCAATTCATCATACATTCCAGCCAAACTTGAATATATCCTACATTGATCAACAATAGGTAGATCAACCAACTGTAATGTGAATATTCTATCTATTTCCTCTAATATCTCTTTTTTACTAAAATTTGAATCCATATTTTCATATTCTAGTTTATTCATCACTATATTCTCAATTGAGTTTCCATAATGTAATGAAATCATTAACTTTATCTTTCGTAGTATGCATTCAATATAAACTATATCAGGAACCATATTTTCAAAATCATTAGTACTTGAATCATAATATTGCACCACCTTAAAATTTATAATTTTAATTAGTTCAGTATAGGACATTGTATTAAAATCTAAAGAACTAAATGAAAATGATCCATTCATTGAATTTCTAGGTGATGAATTAGCTGAAGATTCTGAAATTTTAGAAACTTCTGTCTTTTTAGAAATGTGTAATATTGAATTTAATTGATTTGGAATTTGAAATGACTGATTAATGAATAAAAGTAATAAAATACTCACAGATAGACCCTCCAAAGCTGAAGCTAACCACAAATAATCATCTGATTTCTTTAAACTCGTTAAACTTTCAATAAATGTCGAAAATGCATCTGAATACTTCCCACAAAGTAAATAAAAATAACCCATTAATTTCTTTTGCCTACCTAGATATTTTAAATGATTTTTTGTTTTTAAATCACCTTCAAACGATGCTTTAAATGATGTTGAACCACTACTTAATCTCTTTTGAGCATGACTTATAGTTTTAGTTAATACATGAGAATCAGTAATTGAAACTGGTGATCTTAGCGTTATATTAGAATATGATAATGCATAATTATCTAATGCGATGAGGAAGTTTTTACTAATATCACAAAATATAGTTTCAAGTGCAGTTATAGGTTGATTGAAATTATGATGGAAAATTTCCCTGGTGTTTGATATTTCTGGTGAGTCAAACAATATAATATTATGTACAATTGAACTTGAATAAACACTTTTTAATTCTGATATGTTATCTTCTCCTCCTCCTCCTCCTTCTCCTTCTTTATATGGACCAATCCCCAAAACTATAAATATTTTTCGAAATGGTTCAAAATCGTGCAAAAATATAGACTCATTATCCAATTGAGTTGTAATAAATTCGGGTATAATTCTACCATTTGGTGATGAATTTGGATTAAAATATTGTAATTGTTGATCAATCGTAATATCTAATAATCTGATTTCTGAAACATTCGATATAATTTGGTTATAATATAATTTGAATTGGCTAATAGTACTATTATTTATAGGAACTAGTAGTATTTTAATCCTAGCAGGTGATATAAAATCAAACATATAAGTCAATTATACAAAACTCTATATACAAGTGGTTATTTGGTTGCAGTATTTGGTTAATTCTGTTGATAATTTTCACCAAACAAAAAAAAAATTCATACGGTGTTTCACTATTGTTTCGCCATCAAAGTTTATCAATTAAGTTATGGTCGGTTTAAACTTCGATTTATATCAAAGAAATACATTCTTACAATCAAAAGGATTCAGTCAACCAAAAGCTACTTCAACAGGTACTACTATCGTAGGTTGTAAATTTAAAAATGGAGTTGTAATTGCAGCAGATACAAGAGCAACAGCAGGACCAATTGTAGCAGATAAAAATTGCGAAAAGTTACATAGATTATCACCTAAAATATGGTGCGCTGGAGCTGGTACTGCAGCAGATACAGAAATGGTTACTCAATTAATTTCATCAAATTTAGAATTACATTCATTATCACAAAATAGACAACCAAGAGTTATAACAGCAGTTACAATGTTGAAACAACATTTATTTAAATATCAGGGGCATTTAGGTGCTTATTTAATTGTTGCTGGTGTTGATCCATTAGGTGCTCATTTATTGTCAGTACAAGCTCATGGTTCAACTGATATTGGTAAATATCAAAGTTTGGGTTCTGGTTCATTAGCTGCAATGGCTATTTTGGAAACGAATTTCAAAGAAGATATGACAAAAGATGAAGCTATTAAATTGTGTAGTGATGCTATATTAGCTGGTATTTGGAATGATTTAGGTTCTGGTTCAAACGTTGATGTTTGTGTTATGGAATTGGGTAAAGATGCTGAATTAATGAGAAATTATATTACACCGAATGTTAGAATTGAAAAATGTAAAAATTATAAATTTGAAAAAGGAACAACTGCTATTTTGAAGCAGAGTATTAGAGATATATGTGATGTTGAAGAAACTGTTATAAGTTTTGATGATAATGGTGATAGAATGGAAATAGATGCTCAAGCGTAAGGATGCGTGAGGATGCCAAACACATGTAAGGATGCAAATTAATGTATACTGATTAATTCTTTTTACTATCAAAGTTTGGATTTAAGAATGCCTGGGGCATAGATTTGACTGAATGCAAATGCACCCTTAAAAAGCCCAAGGCATAGATCTATAATGCCTTGGGTGTACGAGATCAAATATTAAACTTTAGTGTCTTTCTTGAATAATCATTTGGTACTATTGATATCATGTTTATGTATTCAAAATAACTATTCTTGTAGATATTGAAGTTCAAAAAAGGGTATTTGCATTAGGTTTCCTATTCCTCTTCACTATTGGAGGGTTAACAGGTGTAATGCTATATCCTTAAACTCTATTCTACTGCATTCTCTCATTCATTACTTTTTATTGTTAATTTTAATTCAGATACAACTGGTAGCTCACGTTTTCTAGAAAAATCGAAATTTCTAATTTTTCAATTTTTTTACAACACTATATCGAATAGTTTAAACATGGTTGTTAATAATCCAAATAATTGGCATTGGGTAGATAAAAATTGTTTAGCATGGTCAAAAACATATTTTGAAGATAAATTAACTAATCTAACTGCAAAAGATGAGGATTCAACAGTGTCAATTAGTTCAGTTTCATCAGTTGAAGGAGATGTAGACGTTTCACAAAGGAAAGGTAAAGTCATATCATTATTTGATGTAAAGATCATATTAGAGTTCAAGGGGAAAACTAAAAACGACCCAAATGTAGATGGTTCAATCACTATACCTGAATTATCATACGACTCAGATGAATCTGATTTACAATTTCAAATTTCAATATTTAATGAATCAAAAGATAATTTCTCAATTTCAGATTTAATTAAACAAAAATTATTACCTCAATTAAGAAATGAATTAATTAAATTTGGACCTGATTTAATTGAAATTAATCTGAAAGATATTCAATTGGATAAAGATCAAGTTACATCAACATATACAAAAGCAAACCAAGAGACTCAAAAAACAACAACTACTGCTTCTACTCCAGTTAAAGCGGTTGAAAAAACTCAAGAAAAACCAAAGGAATCAAAAAAATCTGTAAATAATACTATTCCTAAATATAATACGTCCACTTTACATTTAGAACCAAGTTTCAACACCACAGCAGAACAATTATATAAAACTTTCTTAGAAGAACCTAGAATCACAGCATGGACAAGATCATATCCAATAATTGAACAACCAGTAAAAGAAGGATCTGAGTTTAAATTTTTTGGTGGATCAGTCCAAGGTAAATTTTTAAAATTGGTTGAAAATTCTGAAATTATTCAATTATGGAGATTGGATGATTGGAAAATAGGTCATTATGCTCAATTGACAATTAAATTTGTTCAAGATTCAAGTGAAACTAAAATGATTGTTAAATTTACTGGTATTCCAATTGGTGAAGAAGAAAGAGTAAGAGATAATTTTGAAGAAAGATATATTAAATCAATTAAAATTACATTTGGATTTGGAGCTGTATTATAAAAATAACTCATTAATAGACATATTTACACATTTTTTGTTTTCTCCGATGAAATACAACTCCTTGGATTCACTCCTAGATGCCTCTGGTTTAAATCTAGACACTTTATTAAATACTTTACTCATTCTATTATAAAATGCATCTAGTTCTGGCCCCGACCATACTTTAGTCACAAATTTACCGCCATTTCTCAATTGATTAAAACATAATAATAAACCCGCGTTATTTAATTCCATCGATCCCAAATGATCAGAATCAGAACCTTGAGTATTAACCATCATATCACTAATAACTAAATCCAACTCACTTCCAAAATGTTCCTTTATTCTCTCATGCGTACTTTTTTTCATTAGGTCTCCCTGGATGAAGTGTGAGTATTTTAGGGGGTTGGCTCGATTTATATCTATTCCGAGTAAATTAAAATCAGACATATATAACTCACTCATTCTTTGAATAGTTACTTGTGACCAAGCACCCGGAGCAAATCCCAAATCTACTATGTTCTTAGTTTGGTGATTGAATATTTTAAATTTTGCATCTATTTCTAATAATTTATAAGCTGCTCTTGATTTATAAATTTGCAAACTTGATCTCTTTTTATTTATAAATTGATCATTTTGAGTTTTCAATAGATATTGTTTTGATGAGGATGATTTAAACCGTAGACTGCCTACCCATCTTATATTCATATCACAAAACCCCTTCTTCTCTTCTTATTAACAAATCAAATTGAAAAATGTGAAAAAATATCCATCTCGCTTAAATTCGCCCGATTAGGAAATTAATTCCATTTGAGTGGACCATTGATAAACAAATTGCTTGAAGACATATAAATACATATATAATTCTTTCTTTCTAAGTCCCATTGATCAATTGAGTTTATAACAGAATTTTATTAATAATTAGAAAATGTCATCAGATTCAACAGGAAAAGTATGTTACTATTTATAGTTTTTGGAATTAGAACTATCGTAGTTACTGCAATTGTTCTTAATTTCATTTTCTGTGGTGATTGGTGTTTGTTGCATCCTTACTAACTATTAGGAAATTACTTGTAAAGCAGCTGTTGCTTGGGAAGCAGGAAAACCTTTAAAAATTGAAGAAATTATTGTTGAACCTCCAAAAGCTCATGAGGTTAGAATTAAAATTCATTCAACTGGTGTTTGTCATACTGATGCTTATACTTTATCTGGTTCTGATCCAGAAGGTGCATTCCCAGTTATATTAGGACATGAAGGTGCTGGTATTGTTGAAAGTATTGGTGAAGGAGTTGAAAACGTTAAAGTTGGCGATTCTGTCATTGCTTTATATACTCCTGAATGTAGAGAATGTAAATTTTGTAAAAGTGGTAAAACTAATTTATGTGGTAAAATTAGATCAACTCAAGGAAAAGGAGTTATGCCTGATGGTACATCAAGATTTAAAACCAAAGACGGTAAATCATTATTACATTTTATGGGTTGTTCTACATTTTCTGAATATACTGTTGTTGCTGATATTTCAGTAGTTGCAGTTAATCCAAAAGCTGATTTTGAAAAAACTTGTTTATTAGGCTGTGGTATTACTACTGGTTATGGTGCTGCTACAATCACTGCAAATGTTCAAGAAGGTGATAATGTTGCTGTTTTTGGTGGTGGTTGTGTGGGTTTATCTGTAGTTCAAGGTTGTAAAGAAAGAAAATGTAATAAAATTATAGTCGTTGATTTAAATGATAAGAAAAAAGAATGGGCTGAAAAATTTGGTGCTACTGATTTTGTAAATCCAAAAACAGACCTTAAGGAAGGTCAAAGTATCGTTGATAAATTAATTGAAATGACTGATGGTGGTTGTGATTTTACATTTGATGCGACTGGTAATGTTCAAGTTATGAGAGATGCTTTAGAAGCTTGTCATAAAGGTTGGGGTCAATCGATTATAATTGGAGTTGCTGCTGCTGGTAAAGAAATTTCAACAAGACCTTTCCAATTAGTTACTGGTAGAGTTTGGAAAGGTGCTGCTTTTGGCGGTGTTAAAGGTAGATCTCAATTACCTGGAATTGTTGAAGATTATATGCAAGGCAAATTAAAAGTTGAAGAATTTATTACTCATAAACATAAATTAGAAGACATTAATAAAGCTTTTGATGACATGCATAAAGGTGATTGTATAAGAGCAGTTATCAATTATTGACTATTAAAAGAATCAAAACTTTAGTTAAAGATGCCATTTGTAAGGATGTAATATGGCACTAAGTATCTAATATATATTAATTATCCATATCTTCGTCAGAATCTTGTTCCATAAATTCCAAATCATCTATTTCTTCAATATATTCAATATCTGATTCATCTGTTTCAATTTCAATTTCTTCTTGTATTCCATTATCTTGTAATATTTCATTTTTTAAATCAATTTGTTCATATAATACATGTATTCTATTTTCTAATTCATATAATTTGGGAAGGGTTTCTGATTTTTTATATAATAATGAATATAAATTGATCAATTTGATATTTAAATTTGGTAATGTTTTTAAAATTGATCCATGAATTATTAAAATCCATTTAATCCAATAAATTAATTGATCAAATTTGTTGAAATTTCTAAATAATTTTTCAGATAATTTATCAAGTAGGATAATTGATAAATATGGATCGAGTCTGGTGATTGTGTTTGAGATAATGTTTGAATCACGGTTAGTTAACACAGTTTCAAGTAAACTCTGATCATTATTCTTTAATGCCTGTGTTAAAATGACAGACAATGATACACCTGATTTTAAATCACTCTTTTCTTTCTTTGGTTGTTGTTTATTCATTATTAATTTATCTAATTTATCAGCTAAGCATTCATCATCATCATCATCATCTTCTAAATTATGTAAATTTAATCCATCACTTACAATTGTATGACCTTCATTATATAATTTTGCAGATGCAACATCGTGACCATTGGCCAAATGTGAAGTTGATTTCATATCTGGTTTAGATTTATATATAGTTTTATCTTTGGTAATTTCCAATTCTCCGTTATTATCAACCCATGAAATTGAATCTATATAAGGTAATGTCGAATTTTCTAACCATGAATACAAGATTCGATTTTGATCTAATGAAATTGTATTTATACGTATGCTTGAATCTAACGGATTTTTGATTTCAGACTCTGGTCTAGACAATTTTATAGTACTATTGAATGATTTTGATTCTACACCTTTTCTTTTCTTTTTATTTGGAGTGGTTTGATTATCACTTAATGGATTATTGAAAATTTCTAGATTTCCAACTTCATTTATAATAACTATAATTGAACTATTCTCCATTTTTGCAAATTTTATATCTATTATATTTGAGGATGCAACAAATACAGATTTAGTTGTTGTCTTATCTAATTGATATAAATTTATGAAACGGTCATTCTTTGCAGTTGATAAGAAAAATTCATTACCAATAGGTATGATTTCATTTATAGGTTGAATATGACCTGGAAATGTTCGAATTATCTCTTTGGCATTTATATCATATAAATATATTGAATTTGCACCAAGTAACAAATAAGGTTTATTTTGATAATTTACAGATTGTATCTTATTCACACATTCAACATTTTCTATAAGGTCTCCAATTCTGAATTTGTTAACTTGTGTATAATTTAACATATTCCATGCTATTATATTTCCATCTATATCACTACTCCATCCTGTTTTAGTACTATTTGAATAATGAAAATCTAAAATTGAAACATTATAATTTGGATTTAATTCATATAAAATTTCATTTTCCAATGGTGAATATATTATTATTGAACCCTTAGTTAAACAAATGGCTAACAAATCTAAACTATTTATATTTATCCATGTTATACTATTTACTTTATTTGATTTATCTAAATTGAATGATGTATTAATTGATGTTAAATTTGTATTTACAGATTGTACTTTTACTTGACGAGTATGTAATGCTAATAGTACCGTAGCTAATAAAGAATTATTAGTATCAACCTTAGATACTATTATTGGACCTGAACTTGACATTTTTTATAGATTGAAAAATTTGAGATGGCCCTTGGTTCCAAAAATGAGATGCAAAAAAAAAAAAAATATACCAATCGATAAATTATTACACCACCATACAATAATACGTATATTGACTACTTCTTTCGCTTTGTTTCTTGGGGGATATTTATACCACCTCTACTTACTCTTCTTTTTAAATTGGGTATTGTTATAACTAAACTTGGTTGTCTTGAACTAGCACCACTTGTTTCTTCAATTTCTTCTTCTTCATCATCAAATAAGTGGGAATTATCTATTGGCTCAATTGCATCGTTAATTAATTTATCATATTCTTCTTTTGACATCTTCTTGTCTTTAAGTAACTTCTTATATAACTCATGATTTACTTTGGGTTTCACAATCTCTTCTTTTACGACTTCTTTTGGTATTTCTTTGAATTCACGTATTGGTATTTCTTCAACTCCATATATAGAATCATCAGTACTTAAACTTTTATTTGGATCTAAACCTTTTTGAAGTATGATTGTAATTGAGGCTTGACCAATTGAATCTTGTTTTATTTCCGGTAATATTTCACCACATTTTAAAGCAGCAGCATCTTGACTTGAATATTCAGTTGAATGTGCTATTCTACTATGATTTAAAAACCCTTGAGCAGATGAAAAATTTATTCTTTGACAAACAGGACATTTTAAACGAACAATAACACCATCTGTTCTTCGATACAAACAACCAAGATTAGCGGTTTTACCTAATGTAGTTGAACTAGTTGCACTTGGACGTAAACTTGAAGTAGTTGATCTAGTACGATATCCATGTGTTTCTTCACCAGGTATAATTGGATGTTTATCAAAAAAAGGAATTTCATCTCTATTTTGTTTTTTAGGTTGAATAGGTAATTGATCTTCAGGTATTTGTTTAAATTTTGAATAAGTAGCAATTAATCCATCATTTAAAATTTTATAATATCTCATAGTTAATTCATTTTCAGTATCTTGAGGTAATTCAAGAAATTTTCGTAGCATTAATAATTGTGCTTCCATTTTGGATATTTCATAATCATTCACGTTTAATTCTTGATGTTTTAATCTTATTTCTAGATCTATTTGTGATGTTATTAATTCTTTTAATTGATCTTCATTCATGTTATTTAATCTTGATATTATTAATTCTTCTTGTTCATCTAATTCTGTGGTTGTATTTATTGGTGAGTTATTATTTGAAATATCTGACATATTGAGTTCTATATGGTTTATTTTATCATGATTATCATTATTAAAATTATCTATATCATGTAATGAATCATCCATTTTAATATGTTGTATGTGTAAGGAATGGAAAAGTAAATTTATTATTTGATTTTGTATGCACTCCTAAAAAATATTATTGGACCGCCACCTAATTATTTTTTGATTACCCCTTAAAGTATTGAACGAACTTGCCATCCCATATAAAAGAAGTATGCCACATAAAAATAACACAAGATGTGACACAATGCTGAAAATGGTTTGTAGTTTGTTAGTATTTTCTGTGTGTAGTAATCAATAGGGATCAATATGGATTAATAGGGATTAACAGTATGCTAAAGATCTCATATACTTTCCAGAATTAAAGATCAACACTAACTTCGAACTCAGCAATTTTCAATGATAATGTCTCATACAAATAATACTCAAAGACGTCTCAAATATCAAGATATACTAGTCACTGCTCTGTACGCAATTGAAAGTATTTTTTTAGATGGGGTTTTGGGATGGTTGGATGGATTTTCTTGGTGCAAAATTTCCTTCCTCTAAAATGAACTTCAACAAGCAATATCTTTGCACACAATTAAGTTGAAGCAATTTGCCACATATAAAAAGTGCTCAGTCTGACTTGATCTATCGAATGAATTTTGTCTTATATTGCGATGTTTTCTAAAGTTATATTTTCGTTGGCAAACATTTCACCAGTCCCGTCGCTGTTTTTTATGTTCTCTCACCTACATCATCATTATCATTCACCTCAAAACCATGCAAATACATCTATTTTTGGACAACATCTAGTAAAACAAACTATATCAACTTATAGAGCACTTGAAACACTGAGTATTATTTGTTAGGGTCGAAACGCGTTCATCAGTTAAATTTCAAGAATTATAGAAATCTAATAGATTTGCCTACTTGTAACTCAAAAAACGGTACTTTAAGCTCGAAGTCACAGTTTAAAGTTTCCAGATCAAAGTATAGCAGTCTGTGTTTCCAGATCAAAGTATAGCAGTCTGTGGTGAGTGATTATTGTCTTGAACTCATGAATTTTGACTGGCAAATTGATTTGACACAAAAATCATAAAAAATAAATTTTGGAACGCGATTTTTCAAACCACCATCCATCATGTCAACAACAACTTCATCAACATCTACAATTGCCAATTCAATACCAATAGAAACAATTGCTCGTATATTTAAAGAATTATCTTTTAAAAATAAAGACACTAGAATAACTTTAAATACATTAGAATCATCAAGTGAATATATTAAATTATTTATAAATGAAGCCATTCTTCGAAGTAATGAAATTAGAATTGAAGAAGAAGAAGATAATAAACCATCAATATTAATGGATCCTCAAAGATCAGAACAGAAATCACAATTCCCAAAGATGGAAACTTTTGATGAGTTAAATGATGATTTTCCTGAAACTGAAGATGGCGAAGAAGAAGAAGAAGAAGAAGAAGAAGAAGAAATAAATGAAAGTGTTGTTGAAGATCAAACTCAACAAGATAAAAATTCTTCAATTATGAAATCTAAAAGTGATGATTTGGATTCTAGACATTTGAATAAAATTGCTGGTATATTAGTATTGGATTTTTAGAAAGATTTTTGACTTTATTTTGAATCATCAAATTATTAAAATTATCATTAGTATCAATAGTTGGTCTATTGGGGATTTTTGTTAGGACGTGCACATATTATTAAAGTTGAGGAAAGAGGAGCTGCTCATTTATCAGCATATCGTTGTTGTTTCAAGTTATGGTAATTTCAAAAAATGCTATGTTAAATCGAGAAATAACACTTAATATCGAAACCTATAATCATTGAAATTTATTATAAATTTGTAAAGTTATTCCAACCATAGGTGCAGTTCATTATCAACTTTCAGGTCTCTCGCGGCTCTTTATTTGGCTCCACTTTACAATGAGCTAAAAGCTCTAAATTAGAAATATATACTTTACACTAGTATATCATAATCATAAATTCATTAAGTATACAAGATCTATCATTTTAAACTATTTAGGAACCTTCAAAACGTTCCAATAACCAGCATTCAACCCATTTATGACTCTTTCCAAACCCTTTGGAGGTTGTTCAGTCTTTAAAGTAACATAAATAGGAACCGTTTTTAGACTATCATCCTCTATAATGATAGGAATAGATATCCAATTGACTCCAACCTCAATAAACCGATCCAAATTCTCCTCAATCTCACCATCTTCAATTTTATTGTACAATTTATCACCTTTTCGTAGAATTAATTCTGATTTAGCTGTTGAATTATTCAAAGATAGGTAAGCACTAGGTATACCTTTTATAAAACTACTTGTTGAAGCACCAAGTGAAAATTCAAAATTGGAAAGCACAATTTGCGAAATACTTGAAATTTTAGCACTCATTTTAACATCTAGTGGGTTGACAAAATGTAGTAGATACACATTAGACTTTAACTTTGTAAGTGATGTGGTTGGTAGATAATCAATTGCGTTAAATTTGATTTGAAATTTATTTATCGTTGGTTCTGATTCCATGTAATCAAGTAATAAATTTCGACAAGTCAGACACCTTATACTCTTCTTCAAAGTTAAAATTTTACCTATTGGATATTGTGCAATCTCAAACTCGTCAATCAATGATTCCGCCTCCTCTTTTTTGTCCAATTGACTCAATTTAAGATTCATTCTCACTCTCTCCGACAATTCTTCTGTTTTATCAGCCATTTTCAAAATTTGTTTACATTTTCTAATAAACGTGTCCGTCTTAAGTTCTTCAATTATACCATGTAATGATTTAGGCTTATAAACAACACCAGTATCATAATTATAGTCACAAAATTGACAAGAAAATTCAAATGATTTACCATTGGAATCGTGATCCATCATTTTAATACCCATACTGCTCGAGCATAAAGGACAGATAAAACAATTCTTAATACATCTCATCATATCTGGTTTTGAAGTATAATCAGTTAGACAATTACTACAAAATTTTGAATGTACTCTTGGAATAATTTCATACTTCAGTTTTGGACATTGACAATAAGGACAGAAATAAAGATCAGCAAGTTCAAATAACCATGTTTTATCAATTGAATGTATATCTATAACTTTAGTAGTACAACAATATATAAATGAATCATTATAAAGTTTTGACATTCATAAATGCGACTGGTGAAAAATTTAACCATTTTGACTTTTTAGGTTCAAATGTCAAATTAACAAATTTTTATAACAATGGAGGTTATGAGAGTTGTAACTATAAAAGGGTTTTGATTTCTCATTTGGTATGGCTCAATTTCATTTGCATTTAATTTTTCATACAAACGTGTGTTGATTTAAGGAAACAATAAGAAACGTGCAACAAACAGTAAATCACATCGATATATAAAAAGGGGAGGAAATATTGATCGAAAGATGGTAACTGCAATAAAGATGGTCTCATTGATTTCATTATTATCTACTGCTGTTCTTTCACAAGTGGTGTTATCCAAATCAGTTACATTACCTAAATTAACGTCATCAGATAAATATTTTGAACAAAGTGATCCAAATATCCCAGTTAATCAAATTGATGATTCAAAAAACTTTGGATTAAAATCTGAATATACTTGGTCTGATGTAACTTCACAATTGGACGACTCGCACAAATTATTTTACATTCAACGTCATTCTGAAGGTTGGCATCAAATTGCAAAATCCAAATTGGGTATTTCCGACCTTGATTGGGATTGTTATTGGCAAGAACAAGATGGAAAAGATGGCATTGTATGGGCAGATGCTGAATTAACACCAAACGGAGTTCAACAATCAAAAGATTTATCAAATCAAATTCAAAATACAAATGGTTTACCATGGCCTCAAAAATGGATTTCATCACCATTGAGAAGAACATTACAAACTTGGAATTTAACGTGGTTGAATTTAAAACATGATACACCATTAATTATTGAATTTGCTAGAGAAACTTATGGTATTCAAACTGAATCTCAAAGACATCCAAAATCATATATACAAAAAAATTTTCCAATTTTTGAATTTGAATCTGGATTTACAGAAAATGATGAGTTATGGAGTAGTAAATATAGAGAACCAGGTTCTCATAGAAAATATAGAGCTGCTCAATTAATTAATCAAATTTTTGATGATTTTAAAGATCAAAAAATAATTTCACTTGTTTCTCATTCTGGATTAATTGGTTCTATATTAGATGTTGTTGGTCATAGATCAATTCCAATTGAAAATGGTAAATTATTACCTATTTTAATTCATCAAAAACCTCACAAAACTGAAGATTATGATGTTAGTAAACCATCTAAAACTTTTAAAGATGTTTGTCCGAATCCTCCAAGTACTATATCTGGTGTTTCAAGTTATACTACTCCAGTATATACAAATAATTAACAGATGATTGGGGTGAGTAATTGCTGGTTGACAATTATGGCAATTATTAATTTCTTCTGAGGAGGATGTTGTTTATTTATTTCGATTATGCACTTTTTTTGTTATGTTGATATAAGTTAATATACGAAAATTATAGATTAAATGGTAATTATCATTCCATTCGTAATTGAGATCTTGCAGTTTTCTACTTATGTATTTTTATGTCGTTATAAGTTTACACATGTGGAATCCCGTATGCTGCAAAAAAAAACAATTTGCAACCATTTTATAAACTGAAATCATGAGTCCAGATACAATCAGTGCTATTTAAAACCCATTCAAATGAAGGATATTTTTTCTACTTACTTTACGATCTTTGTGGATCAAGACATTTTTGTGTTAAAATTTTTCACGTCAAAGCTTGTAATTTCCATAATCACACTCTCATATAAAGCAGCAAATTTTCAACAAACTCTTTAAATAACCACTTCCAATGTTCGTTCTTCTATTCATTATTAGTTTAGTTTATTCAAGCAGTGTCTTCGTACCTAAATTCATTTCGAGTTCGAAATTTTTCGATTTAAACAAAATCAACAACGATGGATTCGGACTTCATCAACAATACAATTGGAATGATATTTTGCCATACTTGTCCAAAAATACAAAATTGTTCCTTATTCAAAGACATGGACAGGCATTCAATAACATTGCAAATGATCATTTCAAACCAACTGAATGGAAATGTTATTATCAAACATTAAGAGATAGAGAATGGGCAGACGCAAAATTAACAACCCAGGGAAAACAAGATTTGTTCAAATTGACTAACCGTATTAAAAACTTACCATTTATTCCAGATAAATTTTACACAAGTCCTTTGATTCGATCATTACAAACTTTTCAATTCACCTGGAGTAAATTCACGAACCAAAAGGCAATTGTAAAGGAATATTTGAGGGAGACGATTGGAATAAGATCTAGTTCAGAGAGACAAAAGAAAAGTGATATTAACAAAATGTTTCCTGGTTTGTTAAAGTTTGAAAAAGGTTTTGCTGAAACTGATAAATTATGGGAAAGTAACAGGAAAGAAAGTAAACATATGAGAAATATACGTGTTGCTAGATTATTAAATGACATATTCAAAGAGAATTACAATGATGAAAAGACGGTAATTAATTTAATCACCCATAAAGGTGTCATTAAATCAATTCTTCATGTTGTAAACCACGAAAAAATTGATATTCAACCTGGTGAAATGTTCATGGTGATTATTAAAAGAGTAGAATTTGGCAAAGTGAAATATTCAGCTAAAGCTGATTGGATATATTTCAAAGAAATTTGTCCTGAGTATCCAAAAAACTTACCATCACAAGATGAAAGTATTTATGAAACTGATTAATGTTTAGCGAGTCGGAAATTAATGCATCATGTAAGTTGGCTTAAATATTTTTAATTTTTTAAATTACACAAGAAAGCAAATCTAAAAAATTTACGATCGTGAAATTTACGAAAACGGTAAAAAAATAAAATTTAGATATAATACAAATACACAAAAACAAGCTATACGCGTAAAAACACGATGAGCATTCATGGGTTGTTAATTACAGTCATTTGCAAGTGACATCGCTACGACCATCAACCTAATTCTTTTTTTCTTTCATTATCAGTTACAGGTGGATAATTAAAAGTTTTGTTTCCTAGGGAACTGTCTCCTATTCATGCGTAGTAAGTTAGTCAAACAAGGTGCATATTTAAGCTAGTGGCTAAATGCACTCTAAAGATGGTAATTGAACAATAGCTAATTAATACTGGAATCAAAAAAAACTTTTTTTCAATCATTAATCAACTGTTGTATGATGTCAAAGGCTTCGAACTATGTTACACTGCTCAATTACAATGACTACAATGTTGACAACCCCTCATCCTAATTAAAATGATGACCCTTTGCCCGCATTTTATAATAAAATCTTGAAAATTACCACCTAGATCTCAGGTCTTAACTCTGAAACATCCCAATTAGGAAATTTGCGGAAATTGTTTTTTTTTTCCATCTTCTAAAATAAACGAGATAGAAAAAAAAATTTAAACTCCAACCAATGAAGAGATAAAGAAGTCAAGATCAATGACTTAATAATTTCAACTAACGCTCTAACTGGCTAATTAACTCTCAAATGTAAGACCTGTTTAAGTGAATGGTGATTAGCTGGAATTAACCTAATAAATTCATAATCATTAAGTTTATAGTGAGCACTGCGTAAATTTAAATAAAAAGCAAATAATAAACGTTACATTGTAACAAAAGACATCAAAAGATCTAGAACCACTTTGGAATAGAGAAATAGAATTACACAAAACCATATTATTTTCTTACATCATTTTTATGTAATAATGAACAGAGATTCTTAACCAAAAAGGTAAATCTATTAATAGAAACATCACCATTCAATCAATAAGCCAGTGGCAAATCAAAAGAAACACTGCCAAATGATGAGTGATATAAGTTAAACATCGGTTATATCTTTATGCACTTACAAAAGCTTTCAAATAGTCCTAAAAGCGATGACTGTGTAGTAAAATTAGACGAAAGAATTTAATGTAAACGAAATTTAAATGCCGAAGAATATAAAAAATGAATACGTCATACCTTAAAAAAGTCGTGTACTTTAGCCAATATAATCTGAGTTTCAAAACCATAAAAAAACTTGCGGCCAATTTACCACTTTTTACAACACTAATTTATTTTAACGACTTATAACTATTCATTAACTATTCATTATCCATCTATTTAAAAAGGGATCAAGATCAAAAAGTAGTTGGTTAGAATATCCGGTTTTATATTCAGTTATAATTTCTATTTGCAACCAATTTAGAATTATTATCTGTCAGTAAAAAAAATTAGACCAAGAAACTTTTCATACATTTCACTGTCATCATTTATAAATAATAATTACAAGGTTTATTTTCTTATAAATCTTGATCACGAAAGGATCATATATATATATATTGACAAACTCGGTGTTAAAATTTTTAATTATCGTTTAATTTTTGTTTATACCTTCCATTACATTCAGTCCTTCGAACAAAGCCACTGGGTCACAAAATAGACAACAACAATAACTACAGCTAAAAATAGTAACACTAGCAATTACTTATAAGTATATCATAGACCTTTATATATCACATTTTTAACTTATTTTTTTTTTTAAGATTATACCCAATAATACTACTAATAATTAATGCCTAATTTAAAATTATCATCATTATCCATACCGATAAATAATAATAACAACCAAAATAATCAAGAATTTACATTTCCCACCGATCATTTAAAAGCTCCACATCGAGGAACTACACCACGAGATTCATCAGATTACTTTGTAAATTTTCATCCTTCACAATTACCACCATCTTCACCAACTCAGCAACCACCACAATCAATACAAAGAAAAGCATATTATAAAACTCATCATAAATCAGTAAATGATTCAATTGGTTCAATAATTTCAAATACTTCAGATTTAACAATATGTGAATCAAATAATGGAAGCATACCCAAATTAAATGCATTAAATACTTCACAAAATATATTCAAGAACTCAACAGATACTTTAGTGGAAGATGAGAAAATGCAAGATAGTGATTCTGTTCCAATGTTTCAATCATTACATTCTATACCAACCCTCAAAAAACAAATGACAATGCCTAATATAAAGTTACTTAATACATCTTCATCGTCTTCATTTATTGACTTTTCATCAATTAATCAAAATGTAAAATTGGAACAAAGTAAGAGAATCAATTCATTACCTGTTGTAGATTACAAATCGCAGATTGAAAACTTATCACCAAGAATTAAATATGTCAACTTTGTTGAAATTGAATCTAGGATGTCTAATTTAGATGATTGTTTAATCATCGATATTCGTCCATTTGTTGAATTTGTTAAAAATCATTTAATTTCAAGTTTAAATATATGTCTACCTTCAACATTATTAAAAAGACCAAATTTTTCATTAATTAAACTGATTAATTCATTACCAGAATATGAACAAACTAAATTCAAACAATTTCTTGACAAAAATTCACCAGATTCAACTTTAATAATTTATGACACATTTCAAAATAGTTTAAACTTATTCTATTATCTTAGGAAAGTAGCAGTAGTTGATAATTTAAACTGTAACATTTATTTAATTAGTGGTTCATTATTTGAATTTCAAACATCATATCCTCAAATATTCACCAACTCAACTAAAGAAACAACCTCAGATACTTTATTACCTCCAATTATAGTACCACCATCTTCAAAATCTCCAGTTTCGATATCTTCAAATTCATCTACTTCATTATCTAATTTTCCAACATCAAGTCCAATGACAATAAATTCATCATCAACGCCTATTTTAACATCACAATTTCAATTGCCAAAGAGCAATTCAAGCAACATTAATAATCCATTAAATTGTCCACATTTCAAATTTAAAACGGATGATTTATTAAATGAGATGGATTATATGGATCAATGTAATAAATTCAATTTATACAAATTGAACCACATTCCAGCAGATTTATCAAACATACCTAACTGGTTGACTAATAAGATACTTGCTCATAATGTTCCATCAATGCAACAACTCAATTTAGATTATTATAATTTGGAAAAATTAGAAAAGGAGAGATTACACAATGCATTAAATAATAGAAATGCAATGTCTGATGAATATCCAACGATAAATAATGGGATTGAATATGGTTCAAAGAATAGATATAAGGATATCCTTTTGTATAATCACTCCAGAATTAATTTAAATCATAACAAATCAGATATCAATTCATTTGAAAATTACATAAATGCATCAATGTTGAGTAATAGTTATGTTGCATCTCAAGCACCATTACAAAACACAATTGGAGATTTTTACAGAATGATAACTAATGATCAAACCAAAGTCATAATTTCATTAACTGAATCAATAGAAAATGGAATGCAAAAATGTGTCAAATTTTGGACTCCAGGTACTTATCAATCACATACTGATACATTCACTACTTCAATAATTAACGAAGCAACTGTTCATTCAACTATATTACGCATCATCAGAATTGTAAAGAATGGAAGTGAAGTATTCTACACATTCCAAATTCAACTTTTATCATGGCTAGATATGGAGAGTTTAAATAATCCAGCCAACTTATTGGAAATAATTCAATTGAAACAAAGTTTAATTGGTGATGGACTTGCTCTTGTTCACTGCTCTGCTGGTTGTGGTAGAACAGGTACTTATTGTGTTATGGATACCATGATATCCAAGATAAAACATGGTAATAATATTAATGAAAATACTATATTTACTATTGCTAATGATTTTAGAAAACAACGTATGAATTTGATTCAAAATTGTAAACAATTTTATTTAATTTATGACGTTTTATTGATTTGGTATAATACTTTAGGAAATGGATTTGACGGTTTAATTGAATTGAATATTGTTAATGAATTTAAAAAATATATAGAATATAAATAATGAATTTTAATGTATAATGATGGGTTTAGGAATTGAATTTGAATATGTTTCTTGATCTTTTGAATCTCTTTACAACAATTGCTTACTACAATTGAATTACTAAAAGTTATTAAAATCATTACATTTACTTTGAATTGAAACAATTGAGCCGCTTATTATGAAATCCCTCTCTATACATACAATTGTTCACTCCGATTGAACCTTTCAAAATCGGTAGAGAATAGAGTTGATAAAATTTACAAACTATTTTCATCGACAAATTATATTAATATATATTAAACAATCCCTAATTGACGATAAATCAAACAGCACTATTAACTTATTTAAGCATTTGATGCAATTGCTTGTTTTAAAGCTGATGGATTAGCACCAATTAATTTTTGAATAACTTCACCATTTTTAAATAATAAGAAAGTAGGCATTGAACTTATTTCAAATTTTTGTGCAATTTCTGAAACTTCATCAACGTCAACTTTTAAAAATTTAACTTGAGTATATTCTTTACTAAATTTTTCCAATAATGGTGCAATCATCTTACATGGTCCACACCAAGTTGCAAAAAAATCAACTACGACTAAACCATCGAATTTTAAAGCTTCATCAAATTCTGATTGTGATGTAATTGCTTGAACCATTGTAATCGTAATTGTATTAATTTGTACTAAATAAAAACTAGAATTCAAAATAAGAAATTGTTGATTCTATTTATATTTATAGATCAAAATGGTCGTGCATCGACCAATTTCCATTAGTAATTTAAATTTGTTGCATTTTTCAATGACTTATTTGCTTTGTAATTGAAATGTTAATGGATAATGACGACGGATAATGTCTTACTAATAGAGTACATCGGTCATCAGTCGACACTAATTACTAATTGTATGTATCTGTAAACCGCTTAGTATTGTGAATTGCATCTCGTTTAGGTTAAGGCTGACTCTTTTGATTATAATTGGATTATTATATCTCTCGTACAATTGCTGCAAATTGCACGTGACAGAGCTTCTATGATATTCTATAATCAATCTGATCTAACTCTTCATACAAATAAGTTGCTATTATCATGTATCAGAGTAATCCACCTATATTAGGGTCTTAAAATCTAATGATGTTGTAAAACGAGCCTCTTGTGAGTTAGGAGTTATAAATTCAAACTATGTGTCAATTGCAAAAGTGAAGAAAATCTCAAACTTTTCAAGCAGAAACGACACAACAATAAGCTAAGAGTGTAAGCTAACAATTTCAGGATGTTGTACTAAAACTATCCTAGTTGATAATCTTTGTATTCGAACTGCTTCCAAGAAATTCACAAACCTGCTTTCTACAGTAAACTCATTTGGTAGCATTTTTGAATACGATTTTGATAAAAACTACCCCCTAAACTTCAGAATATACAAAAAATAAATGCAAATCGAGATTTCAAATTCACCAACCTTTGAAGCTGACAAAATATACCTTGTCAATGTTGAGCGACGTTGAGCAAGTAAGATCCATTGTTACCGTATTAATAAATAATCGCTCCAAATTTATGAGTTTGCAGACAACTGTAGTAATTCAATCAAAAAGCCTACTAAGAAGTTCAACAAGTTTACATTTCTTTTCTAGACGGTATAAGAAGCATAAAATATGATTTCGTCATTTTGAACTTCTTTGTTTTATAGATTAATACAAAACATTTTTAGGGGGTAATTGTTTTGGAGTGAGAGATTGTTGTGATTGGTCAACATTTACGCTAATGCATACAAGTTCTATCCAACAAAAACTTAAGCTTGTGTGGTAAATCATTTTCTTTGGTAAGTTATTATTAAAATTTCAACAAGAGAGGTACAATTTGATATAATTTGATATAATTTGATATAATTTGATATAATTTGATATAATTTGAACATTAATCTATATACTATTTAACTGAACTCACATTGCTCAATACATTGTTTTTTCAATACTAAAGGAATCATAAATGGAGCTATGAGACTAACCTTCATCAAAGTCAAAACATTTACAAATCTGTCAAGGTGGAATGGTCCCAAATCTTGAGAAGATTTTCATACCCAAGTTTCAAGTCCAAGCATGGTAGTATTCATAGCACCAGGTCAATTTATTCAAAACTCAAATTTACGCGCTACCAATTAGACGATTATATTATATATTATATTAATTTGAGATAATGAATTAATAAGTTTTAACCTGTGTATTCACGAGGTTTAGATCTATAATTTCTAAATCTAATCTTATGTACATCATAAGCATCTAACTTCTCACCCTTTTCAAATTGCTCTATCACTCTTTTAAACAAATCTTTCTTAATTTCTTCATAATCTTTAATCATTAAACTAAAACTTGAATCACCAACTTCAACACTTTCATCAATTTTCAATTTAAAATAATCAACCACGAACTGAATTGCCTCGTCTAGTTTATCTTCTAAATCTTCAGCATTATATGGATCATCACTTCCATCTCGTAATACACCAATTGGATTAACACCATAAATTAAATCCATTTCCAATTCTTGATACTTTATCCATTCTAATATTTCCTGCTTATCAAATTCATTATCTTTCATACTATTAAACCTTTTAAAATTTTCACATAATAAATCATCCCAATCTGGATGATATTTTAAATTATTAAATAATGTTCCCAAATTAAACACATTCATAAACACCTCGTCATCGTTGAAGATTATTTGTATTTCTGGATAGATTCCTATCCATTTACATATCATTAATCCATCCTTGAATTTCTCAGCTATATATTCTCGAATACTTAAATTTATTACTTGATAATTATTTTTAGATTTGGGTCTAAATCCATAATTCTTATAAAAATAAACTATTTCATTTTCTGGTGAGTAATTGATTGTTATTTCAAATTTCTCACTGCTTGGAATTTTGTCTAGGAGTAGGATAATATCATTTGTTTGTTTGTCTATGTCGAAATGTGCATTGTTTTGATGTTCATGATTCACGAAATCCAATATTGGAACTAATGTGATGTCTATTGAGTATCCATCTTCTTCCTCTTGTGGAATTTCAAGTATTCTTGAGCGTATAGCTTGATAAATTTGCCAATATTCTGAGAACTCAATTGAGATGTCGAATTTCTCTGCCATTTTAGAGTTTATACATTCATATTCTTCTTTTATTCGATTCGCCATTTGTTTATATTCTATTATCCATTTATCAGCACCTTTGACATCTTCTTCTGGATATGATATCGTGAATGTATCACTTAAGATCTTTAAATACTCTTGAATATAACCTGGCAATGATTTGAGTTTTTCAATATATTTAAAAGCAATAAAGTATGTTATAATTATATGAGTTTCATTATTTGGTTCAATTAAGGTTAACAATTCAATAATTATATCTGATTCAATTCCTTCTTTTCCTTTATAATCTTGTAATACTTCAAGTAGGGTATTTATATTAAATACTGATGATTTAGGTATTCTTAATAATTCAATTTCTTCATTTTCCTTCAAATTTTCTGGATTAAAAGATAAACCAACACCACCTAATTCACTCTTTCCAATTGATACCTTAGGATGTAATTTGATACCCTGTTCTTTGACCAATTCAATCAATTCATCATTAGTACCTGGTATACTACTCATTCTGCATATAAACCAAATTATTTGATAGAAAAAAATGTTTCGAGAAAAATATTTATAACTAAAACAATTTCAATATGGCTTGGGATGACGAAGATTTTGATATACCTACAACCACTAAAACCTCATGGGAAGATGAAGGTGATGAAGATGATCCAATATTAGATTCATGGGATGTTGATCCAGAAGAAGAAGAAAAAAAAGCAAAACTCAAGAAACAAGAAGAAGAAGCTAAAAAACAACAATTAAAAAAACAACATGAAGATTCAAAAAAGAAAAAACAAGAGAAGTTAAAACAAATGGAAGAATTTGATGCAATGGATGAATTATCCAAAAAGGAATTATTGAAAAAAGCTGAATTAAATGCTGATTTGAACAATGCGGCTGATTTATTTGGTGGTTTGGGAGTTGCTGAAGATAATGATGATTTTGATATAAATCAACATCCAAGAGAAAGAGCGGAAGCTATGAAAAAAGATGATACTCCAAAAAGAGCTCCATTAACTATTGATACTCCATTAGAAGAACATCCAATTTTTCAACCTACAAATAAACAAGAATATGAAAAATTGAGAAAAACTTTGGGAACTACATTAACCCAATTAAATGAAGATTCATCATTATTATATGCTAGTTCTTTAGCTATTGATTTAATTAGAGATTTATCCCAACCTTTATCTGTTGAAAATTTGAGAAAAGTTATATCGACTTTGAATGTAGTTATAAAAGATAAAGAAAAACAAGAAAGAATGAATAGATTGAAAAAAGCTGGGGGTACTGCTACTGGTGGTGCTGGTAAAAAGAAGGCTAAACCAGCTGCTAAACCAAATGTTGGTGGGTTCAAAAAAGATGCTTTTGATGATATGGATGATGGGTTAGATGATTTAGATGATGATGATTTTATGTAGTAAGGATGCTAAACACAAGGTAAGGATGCTGATATAGAACCTGTACTTAGTATTAAGAAGAGAAGACTAGTTCATAGTTCGTTTATAGATTAATTTAACAACTCACCAAACATTATACATTTCTTTTATCTATTTAATCTATGAAATATTATTGTATTATCATAATTTAATAAATCTAATGGATCTCTTTCAAATTGATTATCGATTACCGATTCAGAATCATTAATAAGGACTTGTTCAGATGAAAATGAAATTGGACTTGAAATAGATTTAACATATGAATATTCTTGATTGATTTCTGGTTGTGAAATTTTCGCAGCTGGTGAATTGGCTTCAATAGGATGTTTTGATTTTCTTTCATCTAATTTATCAATTGTAGTATTATCACCATTATCCAAAATTGATTTTCTTTCATAACTTGTATTAGCTAAAACTTTATTTGGTGTAAGTACATTTGGAACAGGTGCTTGGTTTCCATTATCTATCTTAGCTTGGTCAGGTACATTGACTATACTGGCTTTTGAAATTTTAGCAGGAGCAATTGGCGGTTGATTTAGTAAATTACCTGATTTATAAATATCACCCATTGATTTATCTCTAACTTGTTCATGAACAGAATTCCTTTTATTGTAACTATTTGATTTACCTATAATTTGAGGTATTAAATTATTGAGTAACTGATTTCCATTATCATAATCTCCAATTGATAAACTATCAACTTGTCTTAAACTTGGTCGTTCTTCGTTATTATTGATATTGATGACTTTAAGAGCAGCAGTTGATTTTAAATGTGTTTCTTGACCACAACTACCGACTTTACCAATGGGAGAATCGTCAACTTTTTCATGTACTTTTAATCTTCTTTCATTGTTATTGTTATGGATATAGTTATTAACTGTAGTCGGGTTGTAGAGTGATTGATATCGATTATAAGCTTTGAGAATTGGAAAATTATCAACTTTTTCATGTACATTTGATCCTTTTTTATTATTAATCTTATTATGGGTGGAATCAATTTGTTTATAAACTAATTGATCTCGATCGTAAACTTCAACAATTGGTAAATTATCAACCTTTTCAGGAATAACAGAACCTATTCCATTATTATTAACATTTGAGACTGGAAAAAAAGGAGCTGGTTTTGAATAAGCTAACTGACCTTTGTCAATTTCTTGTGGTACGTTTTCTTGATCAATTTCTATATAATTAGCTTCTACTTGTTTATATTTTACAGGTGACGACTCTAGTTCTTCAACTAAATCTCTATATGGTCTAGATACAACCGGTAGGTAAACTGAACTATTATCTTGATATATTTGATTATAATTAATATCCTTATTAGCAACTTGAACATTCTTACGTAATTTCAACTCGTCATTCTCATATCTTTCATTCCCCATATCAACATCATTGTTATGCTGCATTTCTTCTGGTCTCGTAGTACCCATATTAACATAGTAACGGACTTCTTCTGGTTTTCTACTTCCCATTTCAGTATCAGTTTTATAATGAAGCTCTTCTTGTCTAGGTACTAGTTGCATTACATTTTTATTTGGTTTTGATTCATTTAATTCAACTAACTTCAAAGCCAGTTGAAGGATTTCTTTTGCAATTCTTGAATCAATCAAATATTCTTTATTATTTATTAATTGTCTCATTTGATGATTTTCAGCAGCTGAAAATGAATCCTTGATGTTTAAATTAACTGGCTTTGGTGGTGGCAATGTTGTAGTTCGAGCTGCCTGATTATGCAGCCTAATTTGATTGAAAGTTTGGCCTTGATTCAACTCAATGTTTGATACTTTCTGAGCTAAAATTGGAAAGGACTCTTCAAAATTTGAATTAACTGGTTGTACTGGTTGTGAAACTGAGGTGCGAGCTACCAGAATTTTTTGCAGCTTATTATCAAATGGTTGAATAAAATTTTGAGCTTGATTTAAATCTATACCTAATTCTTGTTCAGTAGGGCTTGGTAATAAATTTTTAAAGTTCGAATTAACGGGTTGTACTTGTATTGGTTGTGAAATTGGTGGTTCAATTGGAGCTACCTGATTTTTTTGCAGCCTAATTTTCAGTTGTTTTAAATTTTCAAAAGTTTGAGCTTCATTCAAATCAATATCTGATTCATCAAATGGACTAACACGAGCATCTCTTTGTCTATGTGAAACATGAGCATTTCTTCCATGTGCAACATGAGTACTTCTTTTTGAACTTGCATTTTTTGAATTTGGAGTTAATTGAGTTAAAATCGATTTGTTCAAAATATCTTCTCTATTTTCTGAAACATGACTCGTTGATTGTTGATCAACTGTAATATCATAATCTAAAGGTTCATTTTGATTTGATCTAGATGGAGCTGGTGTTATATTACTCAATATACTTCTATTTCTATTTCTATTTCTAATTGAATTTAAAGTTTTATTAACTAATGGATATTGATTCTCTTTATCCTCGTGCGCATACTGTAAGGGAGTCTTGTCTAATTGATTCTCTTTATCCTCCTGTGCATACTGTAAGGGAGCCTTATCTAATTTATGCTTTTCTATTGTTTTATTAGCTGATGGTTCTGGTTTCTTCCTTTTTTGTTTTTTCAATTTTTTACTATTATTTACTGGTGTTGAAGTTTCTGCAAAATTACAAGAATCATTAATAATTGGCTGAGGTGAAAATATCAAATTCAATTCATTTTGACGTGCTTGTGTTTGTTGTTGCTGCTGTTGTCTTGGTCTTAATTTTTGTGAATCTAGAATTTGGTTAATAATGCTGCAAAAAATAAACAAAATTGGTCTAAAATCAGCTCTAGTAAACCAATTCGGCTCAATCAAGTTATATGATTATCATCCAGTCATTACATGCTCTTATTACTGTGTTTCATTGTACTTAAAACCCTGTATTATCTATATTTTGCCAATATACTTGGTTTCTACTTTGGTTGTAAAAAAATCAAAATTATCAATGAAAAAAAAAACATCAACCAAATCAAATAAATAGCCATGTCTGATGATAGTATAATTATACCATCAACAACAACAAATTCACTATCAAAATTAACTATAAATGATTACTCAAAAACAGGATTTGGATATAATCCATCAATTGGTACTCAATCAAATTCAATAAATAATATAGAAACTTCAAATTTATTAATATCAAAGAAACAAATTATATTATCAACATCAACCATCCCAATATATGAAAAACTTCATCTTATATCCAAAAAATCACCAATAGAAGAAATAACCTTGAGTTCTTTACTATATTTATTCTCAGAAATTATCCAATGGCAATTTAAAAATTCCAAAAATATAAATGATCTAGAGGCAAGATTAAATGGACTAGGTTATAAACTAGGCATAAAATTGATAGAAATGATTAAATTAAAAGATGGATATAAGTTATTAAAACGAGATACTAAAATATTAGAAATTTTACAATTTATACATGGGCCATTTTGGAAATTTATATTTGGTAAACAAGCTGATGAACTAGAAATGAGTCAAAATAATAATGATGAATATATGATTATTGATAATTTACCAATATTGAATAAATATATAAGTATTCCAAAAGATTACGGAGATTTGAATTGTTGTGCATTTGTAGCTGGTATAATCGAGGGTTCGTTAGATGTTAGTGGGTTCAATTGTAATGTAACTGCTCATACTAGTACAACTGATCAACATCCATTAAGAACGGTATATCTTATAAAATTCCATAGTAATGTCTTATATAGAGAGAATATAAGAAACTGAATATAAGAAACTGAATACACGAAATTTTTTTTTTCACTTTCACCAGTCGATACTAACAAATAGTATACCAGTTGGTTTTGATAGTTTATTGCATCGTCACATATATATATAGTATCATCGTTACCATCATGGGTATCACAATCCGTCAAGCTACAATTAATGACATCCAAGCGATGCAAAATGCCAATTTACATAATTTACCAGAGAATTATCAATTAAAATATTATATGTATCATATTTTATCATGGCCACAAGCTTCTTATGTAGCTACTACATATGATGAAATAATAAATATAAACGATCAAGAAATAAATCTAGATGAAATAGAAGTGACAGATGCAAAAGGGGACGTTTCATATATAAATAAAGGTGAAAAAATTATCGGTTATGTATTAGGTAAAATGGAAGATGATCCAGATGCAAAGGATAAAATACCCCATGGCCATATTACATCACTATCAGTAATGAGAACATATAGAAGAATGGGAATTGCTGAAAAATTAATGAGACAATCTCTATATGCGATGTGTGAATGTTTTAACGCTAAATATGTTAGTTTACATGTTCGTAAATCAAATAGAGCTGCTTTACATTTATATAGAGATTCATTACAATTTAAAATTGAATCTATTGAAAAATCTTATTATCAAGATGGTGAAGATGCCTATGCAATGAGATTAGATTTGGAATTAGATAAATTATTATCAAAAAGTATAGAAGAAGAGGATGATTTAGAAACTGATTTAATATAAAAGGTATTTGGAATCTCTCTTTTAAAGATTTTTAGCTTACGCTATGAGATTAGATTTTAGATTTTAGATTTATTAAAATTAAACGAAATACTCCCTAAGAATGAATATAGAAAAATGATACAGAAATTCGTTTAACATAGATTATTTTGAATTACTACCTTTCGTTTGCTCTGTTTGTTCTACTAACTAATGCAATGAGTTTAAAATACAAATAGAAACTAGTTTGCATCCTAACAATGTGCGAGCAGGGTAATTTGTAAACTGATTTATTATAAATTAAATTTAACTCCTTTATTCTACTACTATGTAATGAGATTGGATGCACCCGTTACTTTGATTTAGAAACTCATTTGCTTCTTTACAGTGTTTAAGTGCATCCTTGCAGTGTTTTTTTATCTTTTTATATCCTTATAGTGTCCACACCCTTACCTAATATCTCTCTTTCATTCTACTAGCAACAGTTCTTAAATTACCATATACTTTACCAGGAGGGGATCCCAAAATTAAACTAACAACAGCTTCTCTCGCCATTCTAATATGTGTAAAACCACCCAATATATGTATTTTTGAATCTGCCAACACTATTCTTGTCCTTGTTGCATTTTCAATCGCAAATTTAGTCTTACCATCTTTACCAGCAATACGTCCAATTGCCCTTGATAAATGATCACCTTGTAATGTTTTAACATCTTTGATTTCAAAAGTTTCAATATATAAATCATCTAATCTTAATAAAGCAATAGCATCATCAATATCAAAACCTAAAGTAAATGCCTTTAAAAAGTCTGCACCCTTTTGTAATGCACCAACATCACTAGTAAGTTTATTAGTCTTTAATTCAACTGTCTTTGTCTTTAAATTCATTCTGACTTGTAATTTTAAATGATCAACTAAGGGAGGATAAATTTTTGTCCATACATTTTTTAAAGGTGTCATTCTATGTGGTGGGACTGGAATTTTTCTAGATTCAAGTTTAACTTTCATTTTTGATTCTGATTGTTGAAGAAATTTAGGCTTTCCTGATTCATCTAGGAGTGTTTCTGATTGTGGTTTGGTAGTTATTGGTTGATCTAAGGGTATATGATGAGTATCAATTAACATATCTTCATCTTCATTAATTTCCTCTTTATTATCTACTATATTATTATCTATTATTTCATCTTCTTGTGTTTTATTTATAGCTGTTGGAGCTGCCATGGTATATTAACTGATAAGATTATTTTTGTTAGGCATCTCTTCTCAGAAAAATTTATTGTTAGATCTACTTATATGCAGGTCTAGTTTGCAACCATTTTGGAAAATAGAGAAGTATAGAAAGAAGTATAGAAAGAAGTATAGAAAGAAGTTCATCACGAGCGTTTTCTATTATATGAGAAGGAAAGATTCGAAATGTTTAATAATGATTGTTGCATGATTACAGGAATTTGAAGTATAGATTTTACTGGAGGTTTTACTGGAGGTTTTACTGGAGATTTTACTGAAGATTTTACTGCATCGTTACTAATGATTTTCCATCCTGTCAGTGATTAATCGCATCCTTACTGGTGATTTTTGCATCCTTACAGTATATCATTTGTATATTAAGCACTATTTTATCATTAAACATTAGTATCATTTATTGTAATCAGTTTCAGTATTATATTCAATCGAATTGTCTCATAATCATCAATTTTAAATATTAATTCATAAGGTAATAAAACATCATCTCTACCCTTCTTACCAGCATCTTTCAAAACATCGTCATTAACATACCAATTCATAAATTTAATAACTTTATAATCTGGATAATTTTTAGTCAAGAATTTTTCATTAAATTTGGCGATTTCTTTAATTTGAAACACTTGTTTATTTTTATTAAATTGTATTTGATAGACTTTGGAAAGATAGTTATTATTCTGTGTTCCATTTATGACTAATCCGTAATATTTCATATTTTCTTTACTCTTATTTTCAAATTCAATACAACTTGAACTTGCAATGGATTTGAATTGTAATTTTAAAGATTGTAATAACTCCAATTTATTATTCTCTAAATTGAGTGTTTTAATTTGTTGATCAATATCTATGACTATGATATGATGAGGTATGATAGGTATGATATTTATAATTTTGTTGGAAGGTATGTCTAATTCCACCTCTTTCAGTATTATTTCCTTCCCATCTGATTCAGAAACAATTGTAACTTTTTTTACCGGTGACTCATTGTATGAATTTAAATAAATAGTATGGTTTTTTTGATCATATATATCATTTACATCATATCCAGACTCCTCATAATTTGAAATTGTAGGTTCTGGACTACTATCCTCATCTTCTTCAACTTCTAAATTATTATTATTATTATTGTTATTATTATTATTATTATTTCTTTGTTCTTCTTCATCTACTATAACTGTATTTTCACTCTCATTAGTAATTGCCCTTTCCAACACATCTTCAATATCAATATTAGCTTCAGTTTTATTTAAAGGCGTCAAATTTGGAGATTTTTCAGATGATTCGGAGCCATTATTATTGAAAAATTGTGATATTAAGGAGTTTGTATTATTCAAATCTGATTCATTTAGTTGTTTTGGTTTTCTGGGTTGAGAGTATGATTGTTGAGATTGTTGAGATTGTGTAAATATAAATTCATCATCATCTGCTGTGTAGTTTTTGACTAGGGTACTGAAATTATTATTTTCGTTTAGTTTTAAATCTGTTATTTTGGAACTTGGTGTTTTTAATAGTTGAATTATTTCCTTCATTGAATTTGATAATTGTAATTTGGATTTTTTTATAGTGGTTAAATCAACATCTGGTATAACTATTTCTTCTTTTGGTTCAGTAGCTTCTTCTTCTTTTTCTTCTTTTTCTTCTTTTTCTACTTCTTCTTCTTCTTCTTTACCATCCTTATTATCTGCACCCTTACTATTATCCTTACGCTCATTTCTCAACCGTCTATTTTCATATTCTAATAGTTTAATCTTAGTTTGTTGTTTTTCATTTATAAATTTTAATGAATTAATTTCAGCACTTAATTGTAATATTTTATATTTCATTTCATTCTTCTCTAAATTGTTGACAATCTTAAATCTTTCAAGATTTGTAAATTCTGAAGTTAGATAATTAATTACTCCAGGTAAAGTATAAACTGAATGTGAACTATCTTGTACATTGTTATTGTTATTGTTATTATTATTGTTATTATTATTATTATGCCATTGAGTAGTTGTATTTAAGTTATTGTTATTGTTATTATTATTGTTATTTGATCGTGAAGGTGGCATATTTTAAGTAATTTGAAACATTTATTAACAATTTTTGATCTATAAATAGTTTGGTGATTTAAATATTTTTTTTTGTTTGTTTGTTGATTTTGTTGATAATTTTCATCCAAGAAACAATACTATGGTTTTTTCATACTATACAAGAGAATAGAGGATTAAAGGTCTATAATTACAGTGGTATATATTGGAATAGGATTGGAATTGGTTTGGAATTGGTTTGGTTTGGTTTGGTTTGGAATTGGTTTGGTTTGGTTTGGAATTCGTTTGGAATTGGTTTGGTTTGGTTTGGAATTCGTTTGGTTTGGTTTGGTTTGGTTTGGTTTGGTTTCGTTTGGTTTGGTTTCGTCTGGTTTGGTTTCGTCTGGTTTGGTTTCGTTTCGTTATTTAGGGTTTGTTTTCACCCTTGTATATCCAATCATTTAATTCATGTCTATTTCTAGCTATTTCAATAGCATAAAATTGAATTCTAACCGCAAATATAGTACTATCTTGATCATATTCATCTGTTGAATTCAATCTTAATAATGTACCAAAATTATAATCCTCAATATCTTTAAATTTTTCACAAAATTCTCTCCATCTTCTCTTTCCTTCTGGATTTTTCATTTCTTCTTCTTTTATACTTTTAACTTTTTCAATATGTTTAAATTCTGGAAAATCTTCTAATAATTGAGTATATATATCATCATCATATTTAGTTAATTTTAATTTCGAACCTTTGATTTTTTCTAATAATGACCAATAAGTTTCTGCTTGTTGTACTGCTTTTACAGCAAATTGCATTTCTATTTCTTCAAGATTATCTGCTTTTTCGGCTTCAAATTGTGATGAGGAGGCCATAATGCTAACTATAAACTATACTGTATGATTATTAAAAACGTACTGGTTAAGATCTGATGATGATGATGATTTTATATAACAGATTTTTTTTTTTTTTTTCTTTTGCTGCAAAGAAAACTAGTTGCAAAATGTATACCGAATTTACCAGATCATTCTAGAAAGATTCAAAAAGGTTTCGATGCATGATCAGGTTCTCGATATCCATTCCACTAATAGATGCTTCATGTGCACATTGAGTATAGTTATTACTCGTATGTTTTTTGTGGTGAAAAAACTAGTCGAAAACATATCAATCCAGTTTTACCATATTATTTTAAAATTGGATATTTAGATCTTTTAATATGTAGTTAGCCTCTCTTATTCCACTCATATAAGCTCCATGAACACATCCAGCACCATCACTAATAGTATGCTCACCACAAAATCTAATATATTTGTCATCTAATCCAATATTAGGAACTTCATTTTCATTACTTAATTGGATTATAATTTCAGATGGATCGTCATGAGTATGTAAAGCAGAATAAGATCCTTTAATAAACTCATTGTTTGTCCAATTAGTAGTTATTATATTTATCGGATCTTCAATTTGACTAATTGCTATAATTTGCAACATTGGTTTATAATATTTCCAGACGTTTTCGGGAGTAGTTGATTCAAGGTATTCAGTAAGTGGTGATTGTGTAAGTATGACTAGACTTCCTTTGTTGATATTATGTACTTTTGAAAAGTTTACAGCAAAGATCGGGTACGTGAATGGTTGAGGCATGATTGTTAATTTTTCATGAACTTGAGATTCTATTTTGTTAGGTAATATTTGAAATCTATCTTGTTTGTTATCCCACCATATGTTTTGAAATTCAAATATGACTTTTCCTAATGCTCCAAAATGAATTGAATTTAATGCCGTTGAGATATTAGACGGTAATGGTGGACTCCAATTTATTGAATCATCTTGTAATTTAGATAATGGAACAGTAACAATTAAATAATCACAATTGACAACTAGACCACTCTTAGTTTTTATAGAACACCGTTTACCATCTTTGATACCTCGTTTACTTGATGTGACGGGATCATTTAAACGAATTGAAGAATTTGGAATTTTAGAAATGATCCATTTGAGTAGATTCTCACTGTATGTCTCTTTATTTAATAAATTACGTCCTTGATGATCCATAATTGAATATTTACCACTTATTAAATCGTAAGGTATACCGTACCATAATTCCATATATCTAATCATACGACCGGCATATTCTTTTTGCTTTCCATTCAATAACAATCCATGCATTTTAATAAACACTTCAGAAATGTCTTTTAATGACATGTCAGCCCTATTAATATCCTCATGATAATATATCTCAATAAACTTTTCAAGATCTTCCAACACCCTATTCAACTTCAAACCAACAATATCAATCTCACCGGTTGAGTCATAGACAGAAGCATCTCTATCATCATAATAAACATCATCAACACCCACAACTCTTTCAGCCAATAAATCATCAAGTAATATATTGTTTAAACTATCATGAAACCAAGAAGCTCCAATATCATAACTAATTCCCAATTTTGAATCTTTTGGATTTGTAGACTTTAAACGACCACCTAGTCTATTATCTGCCTCAATTATTAATATTTTATCTGGGTTGATATGTTCTTGAAGGGTCGTGAATGTTTTTAAACCTGATATCCCACCACCAATAATAACAACTTGTTTTGTTAATGACATACGAAAGATAAGACTGAAAAATCGCTACCAAATTAGCGAAGCGAGAAGAATGGCATTAGTTCTTGCCTTGAGTGAAAAATATTTCGGCGACGTTCTCGTTCCAAGCTGGGCGGAGGCTTAACTTAGATTTGAACGATTTCTGAAACAAATTTGACTTATATGCAGGTTTATAGTCGTCAATCTTAGAACTTAAATTGTAAGTTACTCCTTCAATATACAAGCTTTTGTTTTCAAACTTAATTCATCAGATACATCAGATTATTTGGAGAACATTGATGTCAGCTGCCTTTAATAAAACATAAATTGGATCATGTTATCCATCATTTAAAAAAAGGCAAAAAACACGTTATTTCGAAATAAATCACAGTTAAACCTCACCTCATCTAGCAACTTCTAATCTAGCTGATCCAGTTATTTAAATTACCAATATAGTTGTAAATTGATTTAAAGACCACATACTCGTTTTGAATTTTTTTCAAAATTTTCAAACCACTCTTGAAAAACTAATATTCCAATTTTGAATACCTTAACAAAAAAAAACCTGGGAATATTAAAAGTCTGAATTACAAATTTGGTTTATTTTATTATATTTTAATATGAATATTGATTGTGGAGTGAGGTTTTTTTTCAAATCAATTCATTCGATTTTTCCCATACTTAAGAGAAATTTTTCAAATTATTCAAATTTGACTTAAACGATATGAAATTACGTTACGAGTGTTTGACTGAGGTGGACTATATATAATTTATTGTTTTATTGAAAGTTATGGCCAAAATAAAGTATAATACATTGAATCTTATTTTTGGCAAAGTTATTTTGTATGATGAAAAAGCCCAAAATGTCACCTTAAAAAAAATGTTTGAATCATATAATTTGAAACATTAAGAAAATGGAATTCAAGACTCCTAATCTCTTATATTTGGTATTTATCGCAAAAGTATGTATTAAATATGATATATTAGCCACTGATATAAGCCAATGAAATTAGTCAATGATATTAGTCAATGAATGTAGCACGAGTCGCCCTAAGTCTAGCGCGAAAAAATTGTTAATATGAAACTAACTTTGGGCGAGATTTGATATATTAGCCAATGATATTAGTCAATGATATTAGTCAATGATATTAGTCAATGATATTAGTCAATGAATGTAGCACGAGTCGCCCTAAATCTAGCGCGAAAAAAACTGTTAATATGAAAATAACTTTGGGCGAGATTTCGCGGTGAAAAATAATGTATGTCAATCATACCGAACATAAATTCAAATACATGCAAAATAAGTAAATAATCTTGTTTACTTTTAATTACTGAATGTCAAAATAAAAAGTCATTATTTATTTATTACTACACTATAATCCCAATGATTTTTTTACATGTTGTCTTATTTTATTATCGTATTCCTCTCTATTGTCCCTCCATAATTTACATGCATCTATATTCGCACCACTTTCAGGATTAGGTTCAGCAAGCATTGAAATAATCGATAATAATATTTTTTCAATACTTTGTACTGGAGACCATCTTTCTTCTGGTCTTTCATATTGATTTGGATCTTCACCTGGTGGATGTAAAATCAGTATACATACATTTCCATCAGAATAAATATTAGGATGTAATAAAGGAGGATCAAATTTTAAACTTGGTGGAGATAACGGATAATCTTTTGGAAACGTCAAAATTGCAGGAAATATACCATTTTCATATGGCGTATCTATTGGACCTTCTAATAAGCATTCCCAAGTAAACAAATTATCTTCTGAAATTGGACCAGCTAAAATACCAGGTGGTGAATCTTTAATTAATTGCTGATATTCTTTGAGCAATCTCTTTTGTGCAGTTGATCTTGAAGGTGGCATATAATGATATGAACGATATGAGATATAATGATCTTGTGATTGATTTGATATGAAAAAACGAGATTTAACAGATCAACATTTTTTTTTTTTTTTTTATTTTTTTGAAATTTTTCACTTTTATCGCCAGGTGTTAATTAATAATTATAATAGTTTATAATAGTTTATAATAATGGTTTCACTCGTTGCAAAGGTTAAAAATGTCACAAGTGCTGATTCATTCATTTTAATCCCGTCCAAAACTAATCAATTCCCTGTTCCTGAAAGATTATTAACTTTATCTAACGTCAAACCAATTCGTGATTTTGAATCAAAAGAATATGTTAGAAATTTATTAATTGGTAAGGAAATTAAATTCACAGTTGAAAATAAAGTCAATAATCGTGAATTTGGAGATATTTCAAGTCCTATATTTAGTTCATTAATTGAGTATTTATTAGAAAATGGTATTGTTAAATTAAGAGACGCATTACATGATGAATCTGAAAAAGTACAAATTTTGAAAAAAATAGAAAATGAAGCTAAGAATAAGAAAGTTGGGTTATGGGGTAAATCTAAATCATATGAATCAATTGAATTGACTGAAGATGTCATATTAAAGTCTCAAAAAACTCCAATTAGAGTCATTGTAGATAAAGTTATAAATGGAGATAGAATTGTAGGTACTTTAGTTGATGGAAATCATTTAGTCAATTCTACATTCTTATTAGCTGGATTAAAATGTCCAAGAACTGATGATACTACAAACACAACCGTTGCTCAACATGCTAAGAAATTTGTTGAAGATAAATTATTAACTACAAAAGTTGAATTAACAACAACGATAATTGGAACCAATCAAAATGGATTACCTTTAATCTTAATTAATCATCCTTCAGGTAACAATATAATTGAAAAAGAATTAGAATTAGGTTATGGTGAAATTGTAGATTGGCAATCTTCATTAATTGGATCGAAAATAATGAGTCAATTTAGAAAAGCTGAACAAACTGCAAAAGCATTAGGTAAAGGAATATATGCAACTGCCACCGCAAAAACTACCACAACTACAATTAAAGGATTAAAACCTGGTATTACTATTGATAATGTTATTATTGCAAAAGTTGTATCTGCTGATACTTTAATAATTAGATTAAAAGATGATTCAGAATATACTGTTCAATTAGCATCACTTAGAGCACCAAAACCAAATGATACAACCACAACTTCAGATCATTTGAAACAACAATCATTAGTTGCAACAGCTAAAGATTTTGTTAGAAATCAAGTGATTGGTAAATCTGGAAGTATATATATTGATGGTTTCCGTTCGGAAAATAAAGATTTGAATCTTGAAGCCAGATTTTTAATCAGTTTCAAGTATGGAAAAGATGAAGATTTAAGTGAATTAATTGTTAAAAATGGTTTTGCTACGGTTATAAAACATAATAAAGCTACAACAAATGAAAGATCAATGAATTGGGATAAATTGATTGAATTAGAAGAGGTTGCAAAATCTCAAAAGAAAGGTCAATATGGTGATTTAAATAAATTACAAATTAATGGTAGGGTAATTGATGCTTCTGAAAATTTGACAAAGTCAAAAACATTCTTTAATGGATTTAAACAAAAGGGTAGAATATCTGGATTCCATGTTGAATATATTCCAAATGGTACTAGATTAAAATTATACAATCCAAAAGAAGGTACTAAATTAACTTTAATTCTTGGTGGGTTATCAAATGCAAAATCTGATCAATTAGAAGACGCAGTTTCATATTTGAATAAGAAATATTTACAAAAAAATATCGAATTTGAAATTTATGATATGGATAAACTTGGTGGTTTTATTGGTAATGTTTTCATTAATTCAAATAGTTTATCACCTATTCAAATTAATTTAGTAGAGTTGGGTCATGTCAGATTACATGAATTTGCAGTCAATTCAAATCCATTCGTTAATGAATTAATCAAAGCTGAAGATGCAGCAAAAGAACAACATAAAGGTATATGGAAAGATTATAATGAAGAAGAAATAAAACAACAAAATAATGAAAACAAATTAAATGAATTAAACTTGGGTCAAGAATCTCAAAAACCAAAATTCTTTGACATTGAAGTAGTTGAGATAAATGAATTTGGAGTTATTTCATTCCATAATTTAGATTCTAAAATTCAAGAATCTTTCAGAACTTTCAAAACTCAATTCCAACAATTTCATTCTCAACCACCATCTGCAAGTTCAAAATCTGATTCACCATTTAATTTAACTAAACCACCAAAGAAGAATGAATTAGTAAGTGCTAAATTTAAAGAAGATGGGAAATATTACAGAGCTAAAGTTTTGAATTATGATAAATCTACACAAAAATTTGAAATTAAACATGTTGACTTTGGTAACATCGATAAGGTATCATTAAGAGAATTAAGAAGTTTACCTGAAAAATTCAATACTGTTAAAATTGCACCATTTGCACATACTACAATCTTACAATCCTTAAAATTACCACCTTCTAAACCAACAGATTATTTAACTGATGCTATATATGCATTGGAAGATTTGTTATATGATAAAAAATTAGTCATTAATGCATTACCTAGCTCAAAAGAAGGTATTGAATACGAATCAATCATATATGATTCTGATAAATCTGTTAAAGATCCAGACTACACAATTAATAAACAATTGGTTCAAGATGGATGGGCAATAGTTGATGAAAAAGTTAACAATAGTTATACTAATGAATTAAAAACCTTACAATCGAAAGCTAAATCTTCCCATCTTGGTTGTTGGGAATTTGGTGATATTTCATTTGAAGATGAAAGTTTATTAAGGTAATTGGTAGCATATATAAATCTTACATAATTTCTTATAAATAATTCACAGTTGTCGCCATTCGAAATTTTTTTTTTTTTTTTATCAAAATTTTTCAACCATATAAGAAAGTAGTAATCAATCATGAATTCAGCTGTTTCAAACATTATACTCATGTTAGTCATGATGCAAGTTGCTAAAAAATTAAACTTTGAAGATCCAACTATTTTATTATATACTAGAATTTTTTATATTTCATGTCAAGTTGCAACTTTTTTAGTTTTTGCCATTGTTAGATTTAGAATTAATTCAAAAAATGATTTAACAACTATAAAATATGTTGAGCCTGCAAATCCAATGTCAGGACAAACTGAGCCAAGAGCTGTAGTTACCACTGTAAAAGAATATGATTTACAACAAGTTAATTCTCAAATTAAAGGAATTTTTACAAGTCTTGCAATGATGGGTTTTATGCATTTATATATGAAATATACAAATCCATTAGTTATGCAATCAGTTTCAGGTATTAAAAGTGCTTTAGAATCAAATATTGTTAAAATTCATTTATTTGGTACTCCTGCTACTGGTGATTTAAAAAGACCATTTAAACAAGCTCCAGGAATCTTGGAATCTTTAACTGGTGCTGCAGGTGGTTTACAAACTGATAAACAAAGTGTTGAAAATGCAGAAACTGCAGGTGCTGGGGGTATTAAACAAGATTAGATTTATATATTATTTTAGATTTTATAAATTTGTTCAACTAATATACATTCTTGTTCTTTACCTCGAACAAATGAAATTAGATCTAATAATTTACCAGATATGATGAATTCGGATAATGTCCAGTCACCAATATTGTAAATTTCAGGCACCTGAAGTTGTAAATCAGGTACTAAATTCTCGTAAATTGATCTATAATTTAAAACATCTTGAGTTGTTATATCATATGTGTTCCTTAAATGTTTGAATAATGATTGGATCCAATGTGGTAATACTTCATCGTCTGGTTTCTTATTATATACACGTATTAACCATAATAACCAACATTGATCTTGAAACTCGGATTCTAAAATTGTTTCATAATCGGGGAAACCTAAAAATAATAATGATTGTTGGAACTTGACATCTTTCTTATATACACTTTTCAAAGTTATCAAATTTGATTTAGATTCACTTAATATTTTGTTTTCCATTTGTTTAATTTGTTTAATTGATGAATTGTATAATTTATGCTGTGATTCATTATACCATTTGATATATTTATGATGAGTAGTATCTTGAGGTATACTTAATTGAACTAATTCTTTCTTACTTTCTAAGGCAGTTCTTAAATGATTTAAGCCAGATAATTTCATTCTCAAAGTTATGGATTCAGTATCTTCCCACTGATTTTTAACTAATGCTTGAAACGTTTGTATTAAATTCTCAGGCACTCCATTTGCATTAATAAAAAACAATAAACCATCTGAGTAATCTTTTTTACTTTCAACTTGTCTATATGTTTCTTTTTCAATTATTGAATTAGTATAATCATCTAAATTAGGTAATTTGATACCCAAGGATTCAATTTCTTTGACCTTTTCCTGTGGTAATTTTATTTTTAATGCAATTGAATCATTGGAATTATTTTCAATAGCAAATCCATATGCAAGTAATAATTCTTCATTACCTTTTAAACCATAATTATTGAATATCTCATCACCCTGGAGTAGTTCATCATTTGAAGTGAATTCAAAACCATCATTTTCTACCCTCCAATCTACTTTTGCTTTTGAATCATGATTTAATAAATCAATTATAGGTAAGAGCATACACTCATTCTTTTCAAATGTCTCAGATAATAAATAAGATGGAAAACTTCGACTTTTTAAAATTAAAGAAGCCCATAAATATGAAGTAAAACTTGTCCAATTGTCAACATCTTCATTTTTAAACATCTCAAAATAATCATCATCCTTATAAAATTTATACTCATAATAAAATTTCATATTAATGTAATGATTAGTAGGTTTTGGTATTGATTCAGGTAATTTATTTAATACTTCCCACCATTCTTCAACTAAAGTTGCTAGATTCTCATTCAAGGAGCTTCCTAAGTTTGTTCCTTTTAAGTATGCTTTATCTTGAGAAGACCAAGTATACGGAGAATCAATTTGTGATAAACTAGGTAATGATTTGAAATAAATGTCGAAGAATGTGCCTGATTTGGTTCTTTCATGACATAGATAAAATTTCAATAATGAATTCTTATTTGAAGAATTATTATATGTCTCTTTGTCAAATAAATTAAGTGATTGTTTGCTTGTTATTATTAAATTTTCAGATAATGTAATTTTAGGCTTTTCTGATTTTGATTTTAGTATTGCTCCATAATTGTTCTGTGATATTTGTTTGAATTCTATACTTGACGATATTTTACAACCATTGATAGTTGCCCAATCAATTAATTTATCTAAATCCATTATTTAATAACTACTCTTCGCAAGGCTAAATTCTGAAAACAAAATGAAAAATTTCGCTGAAAAACTATATCGTAATAAACCACAAGTACCAATTACTCTCAATGATCTTATAATACCCAATCTATAACCCTTTAGTAAGAAGTTTCAACTATTGACGGCAAAAGAATACAGTACTAGAATGGAAAATATATGTTTAGTTGCAAATGAAAAGTCGTGTAATTTGACAATTGAAAAATTTCAGAATTAGTATATAAACTTATAATTATTATATCATACCATATTCTTATACAATCAATGATCACTAGATCAGTTATAAGATCTTCTATAGGGTCGGTTAATAGAGTTAGTAATAAGCAATTTACTATATCTACCAGATATTTACAAAAATTGAAAAATGAAAAAAATGAACAACCAGAAAAACCTAAAAAAAGACCATTATCAAGAGTTGCAATTGGTGGTACCTCTTCAGATTCAAAATATGCTTCAAAATCTCAAGGTTTAGAATTTGCTACTTGGAAAGCTATTACTTTATTAATCATTGGTGGTGGTTTAGGTACTTATTTCTTTCAAAAAGAAAAGGAAAAGATTCAAAAATATAAAGAAATGGAAGCTAATAAACCTGTTGGTAAACCTTTAGTTGGTGGACCATTTCACTTGGTAGATACCAATGGTAATGATTTTACAGAACAAAATCTTAAAGATCCGCAAGGTAAACGTTTTTCAATTTTATATTTTGGTTTTACTCATTGTCCAGATGTTTGTCCTGAAGAATTGGATAAATTAGGAGATATGGTTAATCACTTAAATGAACATGGTGTTGATTTACAGCCAATTTTCATAACTTGTGATCCGGCAAGAGATTCAAAAGAAGCTATTGATTTATATTTAAAAGATTTTCATCCAAAAATTATTGGTTTAACTGGTACTTATGATGAAGTTAAAAATACTTGTAAAAAATATAGAGTTTATTTTTCAACTCCACCAAATGTTAAATCTGGTCAAGATTATTTAGTTGATCATTCTATATTTTTTTATGTGATTGATCCTGAGGGTAATTTTACAAATGTTATAGGTAGGGAAAGTTCTGCAATTGAAGGTGCAGAAAAGATTATAAAAGATCTGGAAAATTTTATACCTGAGTCTCAAAGAATTGAAAAGAAACAAGGTATATTTGGATTTTTATATAAATAAGTTGGTTGGTATACACATGTAAATAGTTAGTTTTTTTCAAGTTAATATTAATCTTTTATATCCTCCACATGTTTTACATTCTTGTTGATGTTTCAACATTAATTCTTGAGCTTTAATTGGATCTTCAACTTCTTCTGGTTCATCCCAACTTAAAAATTCATTTGTATAATTTGGTTTATAATCTTTTGGTAAAATCTCTAATCTTTTACCATAATTATTAACTTTATTCCAATCACGATGAACATTGTATAAACTTTCTGAAAAATAAGCAAAACATCTTTGAAATTTTTTGGTATTTAATTCTGAACCCATTTGTGATTTGAAATTGCAGAATTCACCCCATGCTTCAATTGGAGAAGCCAAAATATAATCAGTAGCTTTTTTAATTGCAATCATGAATCTCTTAACCTTTTTAGGATTTTCTTGAATGAATTTATCATTTGCAATGTATAAAATAGTACAGAAACAACAACATCCTAATTCTGCTAATTTATCAATTCTTAACATTTTTGCATCATTTGGATCTTTACCTTGAGATTTTAAAGCTTCTTCTAATTCAACTTGTTGAATACATTCAATACCAATACCACAATCAATAATACCATCTAAAATATATTTAGCTACATTCATACCACAACGAACAGCAGTATAATCATTTGGACTCATGTTATAATACTTTGTTAATTCATCAATTTGAATTTTACCAAATTCACCAACATAACCAATACGTTTACCTTTGAGAGATTGAAAATCAGTTGAAATACCAGAACCTTCCAAGTAAACAACACCAGTGAATGGTTCATCTAATAATGAACCAATTGAAGTGACTGGATAACCTCTTGCTTTTGCAGCTAACGTATGAACCATGGCTTTTAAGCCCATGTCAACTTTACCACTTCCAATTAATTCAGTAACATCTGAAGGGTTAGAAGGTTCCAAAATAGCAATATCTAAACCTTGCTCTTTGAAATAACCTCGTTGTTGAGCAACATAGATTGGAATATGATAAGGAGTAGTTTCCCAATTTAACAAAAATGTGATCTTTTGAGTAGTCATATTAAACTTTGTTGGTTCAGAAGACCAAAACTTAAGACTTTCATCTCCTATTTATACTTTTTTAAAAAGTGGTGGATTGTAAAATAGCAGTCGTATAAAAGAATAAAGGGATATAGAGTATTAAAAGCATAACAATAGATTTTGTTTTGCAGTAAAAAAATGGCTGCAAAAGAAAATTAAGTATAGAGAGAACTTCAATTGCATACAAATATATATTCATTATTCATAATTATAACAACTTTCAAAAAAGTCCGTTTCCAATTGAACCGTCTTTTTGAATACTGAATTGCATAACTGCATATCATCATCCGATTTAACTACTCTTTCAAGTTCAAAACTTAAAAATTGAACCCATTTTTCAAATTCTTCACCACTATGTAACGCAATCCATTCTTGATATTTATATGGTAAAATCTTATCTTGTTTTAATTGAGCTGGCCAATCGAGATATACTTTTTCCATTGTATATACAAATGTAATTAATTCAATGTATGAATCACATTCAAAAATTAAATATTTTAAATATTTTAAGTACTCATCAACTTTAGAAATTGAAACTTCTTTTTCATATTGTTTTAATTCTGATAATACTTTACTAAAGTAATCGTTTTCATTATTGGATAAGAATCCAATCTGTTTAGCTAATACAATTGTAGATTTTGAATCAGTACAATATGCTAATGTTTTACCTAATAAATTTAAACTAAGATTGAAAAATTGTAAGTCTTGAGATAAATATATGTATAATTTTGAATCTGGAAGTGTTCCTTGTAAAATCTCATAGGGCAAATTATGAGTTATTGAATTATGATATAACTCTTGATTATCTCTGATTAATTGCTCAACAATCATGACTGTTTATGGTTTATGGTTTCTTGTTTATGGTTTCTGGTTTATGGTTTATGGTTTATGGTTTATGGTTTATGAAATTTTTTGCTTTGTGCTTAAGGGGATTTTTAAAAGTTCATCTATGCGCTTACAATTCTAGAAAATGAGGTAATAAAATAATAACTATGATGTCAGTAAAGCGAAAGTTGTCAATTATTATTTCCGGTTTCAATATCAAATGGTAGACTATCAATTAACAAGACGGCCTAGTAGTTTTACTTCAAACGGCTGTTGAGTCGTCTATTTTCTTATGTTTTCACCGATTGTATTTTGAACGAAAAATAATTTTTTAGTTTTAACCATTCCATAGTTTTCATTAAATTTTGCAACAAGATTTCATGACCGGATTAACCAAAGAACAACTCAGTAAATTTAATGATGAAGGTATGTTATGTATTCCGAAATTTTTAAACTCAGATCAAGTAGGTGAATTATTAAAAAGATCAAAATTAATTCTTTCGCAATGTGATTTATCAAGTCACCCGAAAACAACATTTAAAACATCAGATAATGATCATATAGGAGATAAGTATTTCTTTGAGAGTAGTGACAAAATATCATATTTTTTTGACACAGATGCATTTGACGAAAATAATAATTTGAAATATAGTTTAAATATATCAATTAATAAAATAGGTCATGGATTACATATAAAAGATGAAATATTCAAGAAATATACGTTGAATGAAGATATTAAAGATATTGTAAAAGATTTAAATTTCAAACAACCAAAAGTTTTACAATCTATGTGTATTTTTAAACAACCAAAAAAGAATAAAGAAGATAAGGAAGTTAGACAAAATGCAGTACCTCCTCATACAGATGGTACTTTTTTATTCACAGAACCACAATCTGCGATTGGATTTTGGATTGCTTTGGAAGATTGTACTATTGAGAATGGATGTTTAAGTTATATACCACAATCACATAAATTAGACACAGTAACTAAAAGATTTGTAAGAGTAGATGGTTGTGAAAAAGGATGTACTTTTCAAAAATTAAAAGATGAAGAAGTAGAGTATAATGATTCACAATTTAAGACTGTTGAATGTAAAGCTGGTTCTTTAATATTAATTCATAATTCGGTGTTACATAAAAGTGAAGATAATGTTTCAAATAAATCAAGATATGCTTATGCATTTCATGTTATAGATGGAGAAACGAAATATGATGAATTAAATTGGTTACAAGTTCCATATACTGGAGGATCAAATTTTACACGATTATACTAGAAATTAAATATATATATTTTATATTTTATATTTTATATTTTATATTTTATATTCAATATTCAATATTTAATATTTAATATCTAATATCTAACAAGTTGATGAATTCTTTTCATTTATTAATTTACCTTGCCAACTATAATATTTAGACATATCAACATGATGTTTTTTCCCATTTGACGCTTCATACATTGAACAACCATATAATGAAGCATAAGGTGGAGTATATAAATGTAAACTTACACTTACATCACTATTTGGATTTGAAATTTTATGTAATCCAATTGAATCAGATATATAACCAACTTCATCCCTTTTTAATAATGTTTGTTGTTTACATATTAATTTACTTTCACCTTCAATTTTAGGTATATCATATAAATGTTCAATTAAATCACCTTTTAATATTTTCATACAACAATGAGCATTAGCATGATCATGTATAGCTGATGATTTACCTGGTGACCAAACAAGTATTAATAAGTTAGCATTACCATTTAAATTAATAATACCATTTCTTGAATAATTTCTACTTGAATCATGTAATGCAAATTTCCCCCAATCAAATTCATTAGATTTATAACTTTCCATTACTTTTTTACATTTTTCAATATCTATTTCATCTGAAGATAATCCTTTACCTTTTAACAAATTTTTAAGTTTTAATATCAATTGATAAAATTCCGAATCAAAAGGTAAATCAATATTAGTACCATCTTTTTCATAACCATGATCTAGTTTTGGAGTCAAATTATATTCTTTTTGATTGGGAATATAACGTGGAGTTGAATTGTCTTGTAATGAACATGAAATAGCTGAATTTGGAGTTGATGATGGTGTTGACTGTGGCTTAAAATTAGTAATATTTGAATTTACTAACATATTGGAAATTTAAAAAATGAATGAAAATGAAAAATGAAAATGAAAACGAAAACGAAAACGAAAATGAAAATGAAATTAATAACTAGCAAATGAATGAATATATATAATAAAATGGGATATGGTTAGATTGTTGGAATTTTTTGTTATATTTCTATTTTTCTTAATTTAGTTTGATTTCATCACAAAATAATAAAAATTTTAATACAAACAATAGACGGACATTTCCTTATTGGGTAATTTTATGGCACCGCTCACAATTGTTTGTAATATTTTCACGTGTTGTATGGTTTTTGGTTTCTTAATGAAAGCGGAGGCGGTCATTTCTTAATTTATGACGTGTACAAATGGAATAATGTTAATCCACCAATTAAATTTAAAGTACTGGGTAGTGTAAATCTCAAACCTTTTCAAATTAGGAAAGAGCTGCATATAAAATACGGGTTTAACTTTTTAGACACTATTTCTATTTTTATTCTATTATACCAACAATTTGGCTTCTATTATCAAGTACACACTATTGAGTATAATTTAGACCAAAGCTTAGATATTTCTTAATTATTCACACTAAAACTCACCCCAATTTCAAGTTATCGTAATTAGAAATAAAGCAATGATTAACTTCGATTTTATGTTTATGCTTATCTCTGTTCCCCATGTAATTTAAAGTCTTCTGACTGTTGCTGTAACATTAAATTTCCTAGCTATGTATCTATTAAGAGTCTAGCTAAAAGTCGCACTGCATAATCTTGAACTTATTTCCTCGGCTTTAAACTAAACATCAAAGTTACAAATTACAAAGTTGGTCATAAAGCTGATAATAATCCTTTAAGAGTCGCCTACAGATAATTTTTTTTATACACTCTTACTCAAGTATGTCGTCACCTTATCCGAGAGATTTTCTTTGATATCGCACTTGATATCGCACTTGGTAGCGCATTTTGGTAGCGCGTGGATTTCTTATTCCTCATAATGGAGTTTGAATTTTTTTCCTTTTTGTTGCATCTACATTATTATATAAAGATGACACGGCAATTATCATTATAATCTTATTTATATAAACCATCATTTGTTAATTCATTATTTATAATATATATATATACATATACAAACTTATTCATTGATACAAGAATTATTTATTTTTGCAACCATTTAAACTTATTTGTTTCGGATTATAATTAAATATGTCAACCACAACAAACAAAAACGGTAATCATCTAGATCATCACCAAACTGTGGCTTCAGATTCAAACAATGAAAAAATAGATACACGAAGCCAAAATCAAGATAATCAAGATTTATTACTACCGCATAATCAAACAGATTCTTTACCAAGTCGTATAGATCCAGCTAAATCCACATCATCTTCAACTAGCACCGCACATCATAATAATAATAATAATTATAATAATAATGATATGGACTACGAATCTATTGTAACGCCTATTAATTCAAAATTAGAATTTGAAAATACTGATTGTTCATCAAATACAACTCAAGAAACAACAAGAACAACAAAAACAACAGATTTATCATTTTATCATCGAGTGGTTATAAATGATTGGGTTAAAAATTTCTCATTAGCTTATTTTGTAAGTGTCATGGGTTGTGGAATATCTTCAAGTTTATTATATAAATTTCCATGGCCTGCTCATTGGTTAATCATTTGTTCATATATAATGTTTGCCATTGCATGTATTTTATTCATTATAAATTGTATTTTATTCACATTATCAATTGTATATTATCCTGATAGAGTAGCTAAATATCTCCTAGATCCAACACAAGCAACATTTATGGGGTGTTTTTCTATGGGATTTACCACTTTGGTTAATTACATTGGTATATTATGTGATGGTAAACACATGTATTTTGTATGGACATTATATTGGATAGCATTAGCTGGTGCATTATATTCAAGTTTCATTGTTGTATTTTTTGCATTTTTTTCCAAATTGAATAAAAAATTAGAAATTTTAGATGCTAAATTGAATGCTACTTTATTATTACCAATAGTGGCCATCACAGTTATAAGTTCATCAGGTCATCAAATTGAATTAGAATTATATAAATTAAATGAAACTATAATTACAATGATTATCAGTTTTATGGTTTGGTGTTTATCCATCAGTCTTGCATTTATGATAATGACAATATATGTATACAGATTAATAATTCATAAAATTCCACCTACACATTTAATTTTCACAAGTTTCTTACCAGTGGGATTTCTTGGTCAATCATCATATAGTATTTATTTGTTTGGAAATAATTTAAATAAATTAATACCTGAAGAATTATTATGGGGTAAGATTTTATTATGTATTGCCGGTTTTTTTTCATTTTTTTTATTAAGTTTAGGTTATTTTATGGTATTTGTAGCTGTTGTATCTTTATTATCAAAAATTAAACCATTTGCAAAAAAGAATATAAATTTAAATCATACTAATAAATTTGGTTTATTAAAACACAATAAAAATTTTTGGGCAATGACTTTCCCTTTAGGAACTATGTCACTTTCAAATACTGAAATTGGATTAGGTGGTATTGGTGGTTATAAATTATTAACTTTTAAAGTTATGGGTGCAATATTTGCAACTTGTTGTATTTTAATAACTACTGGTTGTTTAATTGGTGTTGTGATTTATAATTTAAAAAGAATCAGATTAGCATTTATGAAAAGAAAACAATCTTCTATGGTATAGACTATGCATTAAATATATTTATTTATTCATGACAAGTTTATAAACATGAAAGTTTCTCTGAATTCCTTCATTAATCAGCTCTATGATTTCATATTCTGTTGAGTTTTTATCATTGTATATATGAGGTTGGTTTTACGAACGTAGCTTGTTTCTTCAATATTTAATTTTTGATTACCTAAAAATTTCAACCGTATACTTCAAAGTAAGTTGAAAGTAGATCTGAATACGCGCAATTTGAGATCCTTATTTAACTAAAATTCTGAAAAAATATGCAAAACAAAAATGTATATCGTCGCATAAAAATTGAAAAATCCACACTTCGGTAAAAATTCACAATTGTATCTAAAACAATCAATTTTTGAACAAAATACATGTTTCATAGACTCATACGAAAGCTGAAAATTGACCCAATTTGAATTTAACACTTTCAAATCGTCTGGCGTTATTTTTTGAGGGATTGTATTGAAAATTATCTTTATTGACCAACACCAATTGACAGTAGAATTCCGAATATTCAAAATTTGATAATTTCTATTACCTGCAAGTAAATACGTTTACGAAAAAGTATCAAACTTATTCCAACATAAATTTTTGTTATTTTTCACAAGCATATCAAGAACACCAAGTGACTTTTTCAGAAACAAAGTTAGGATTCTTAGCACTAAGTTCAAATATTGGAAAATTTATATTAATGAGATGTCTTTTTAGCCAAGCCTGAACTTCTTCATCGTTTGTAAATTTCGTAGTTATGTTTAATTTCGAGATTAGCTATTATAGGACCGCATATAAGCGGTTTTGTTTCACAATTATGCAAAAAAGTACGAATTTTTCAACGCCATAAATCTGGCGCGACATGAAAATTTTTCGCGCTAGCTTTGCGGCGACTCGTGCTAAACTCATTGCTTTATCTGTCAAGAACAACGTATTTTTTCGATATAAGCACCATTAAAAGTCATATTTTGGTTCTACAAACAATTTAACCATTACTATTTGTTACAATTGACTGATACGAGAGTCCAAAAGTTGTATAAAGTGATTCTTGAGTACAATCGTTTCATTTATAAACTTTTGTCAGGGGAAAATCAAGAAAGAAAAAAAAATAATAATTTTTCACATATAAATTGATTGATTCATGATTAAAAAGGGACCATTTCGACAATATAATGTTCATTTACCAATTGAATTGAATAAATTAACTAAATCAGATTTACCGTTTATAAATTTGCTCCTCCTAATTTCATTGGTTAAATTTTATCAATTGTATAAACCTGACAAAATTGTTTTTGATGAAATTCATTTCGTGTCATATATTAATAATTATTTCAAAGGTGAATTCTTTGTCGATGTTCATCCACCATTAGGTAAACTAATATATTATTACATTGCAAAATTAGCTGGTTATAATGGAGAAATGGATGGGTTCGGAGTTATAGGTGATTCATTTGGAACATTTCCTTATTTACTACTTCGTTCGTTTAGCTCAATTATAAGTGTTGTTACTGTGCTCATTAGTTATTTGATATTTAGGTTTTATACTTGCCCATTAAAGAGCTTTTTATTTTGTTTGTTTGTCATTTTTGAAAATTCAATATTTACAAATTCGAGATTTATTATGTTGGATTCTATGTTGTTATTTGGACAAGCATTGATTATCTACACCTATAAGAAAATAGACTCAAAGCAGGTTTTTAGTAGTGGTTGGTATAAATGGTTGTTATTCCTCGGTTTATCAATTGGATATACTATTTCAATTAAATTAAGTGGATTATTTACTTGGATTTGGGTAGGCTCTTTATTATTATTCAATTTTTGGAACAGTATTTTAACTGATTTAACTATTTCCACTTATCAATGTTTTAAATATGCAATAGTGGTATTTTTCAATATTATACTCATTCCATTACTGATTTACTGTCTAATTTTCCATCTTCATTTTAATATTTTAACAAATCAAGGTAATTCAATATTATTAAGTTCACAATTCAAATCTACTTTTCAAGATTATACTCCACAACCACTTGATGTACTTTATGGTTCTACAATCACGTTAAAACATCTAAACACTGAAAGATATCTTCATTCACATAAATTAACTTACCCAGGTGGTTCAAATTTACAACAAGTTACATTATATGAATTTGAAGATGATCAAAATGAATGGATTGTTGAAAATAAATCTAAATTTAATGAATTTAAATTAATGAATCGTACACAACAAGTTAAAGATGGAGATATTGTTAGATTATATCACAAAAGTACTGGTAAATATTTACATGTGAATAAAGATATACGTCCACCAATTTCAGAAAAAGAATATAATCATGAAGTGAATTGTAATTCCACAAGAGGATTATTAGGTGATGAAGAATATGAATTTAGATTAAGAATAGTTGGAAAATCAAAAAGTTCAAAAAATCAATTACCATTAATTAAATTAAGAACATCAGAGACTATTTTTCAATTAGTTCATCGTCATTCCAAAAAATGTGTATTATATGGTCATGATACAAGATTACCCCAATGGGGAGAAAATCAAAATGAAGTTTTATGTGTTGAAGAACCTACTATTCCAAATAGTTTGTGGTACATTGAGACTAATGAACATCCATTATTACAAGGGACGGATAAAATTGTTGAGTTTAATAAAATGACTATATTTGAAAAACTTTATCATTTACATAAAACAATGTTTAAATTGAATTCATCATTTACTTTAAAAAATCCAAATAGTTCAAGTCCTACAACTTGGCCATTATCAATAAAGGGATTATTAATGTTTAATGAGGTAGATTTAGAAGATCAAACACAAATTTATTATATGGGAAATTTACCAATTTATACTTTTGGAATTACATTAGTTATATTATCAATTATAAAGAACCTTTATATTTTCTTCAGGTACAATTTTAACTCATACACAGAAAACAAAGACATTCATTATGATTATTTATTAGGTTTCTTAATCAATTACATTCCTTATTTTTACATGAATCGAAATTTATATTTACATCATTATTTACCATCAGTATACTTTATAATACTATTGATATCAAATTATTTTAACTCCAAAAACTTGTTCAAGAATGTTATATTTGGCATGTTATTAATCAGTTCCGTTTATTGGTTTTACACATATTCATTTTTGATATTTGGATGGAACGGTATAACATTTGACACTTGCAAATCACTAAAACTTTTCAAATCTTGGTCATTCAATTGTAGTACATATTTATAGACAATTATATTTTATTATTCAGTATTCCAACAGCTAATGTCTCTATTAATCCTTCTACTTTTTTTAATAATTCATCTTTTTCTTTAATTTTTTCAATCCTTTCTTGTTCTACTTCTTGTAATTCTTTATTCAATTTACTTATTAAATTTAGTTGATATTCTGGTGTTGATCCAATACCAGGTAATGAATCAATTAACATGTTAATTTGTCGACTTTTTAAAATTAAATCAGTACTTAATTCATTTAAAGTATTTTCAAATTCTTCTTCTTTTTTAGCTGGATCTTCTTCAGGTGGTTGTGAAGCAGATTTAGATTTGGCCTGAGGTTGATTCTCTTGTTGATTTTGATTCTGTTGTTGATTTTGATGTTGTTGTTGTTGTTGCTGTTGTTGCTGTTGTTGTTGTTGTTGTTGTTGTTGATTGGGTTGTTGTGGAGCAGGAGCTAATGATGCTAAATTTATTATTGATTTTGGATCACCATCGTCTAATAAAGCAGGTACCGAATTGACATTTACATAATTTATAGTAGCATTAAATTGTTCTATTAACTGATCTAAACATACTTGTAATTGAGTTAATCTATCAGACATTGATTTTGGAATTTTTATTTTCAATTTTTTTTTTTTTTTTTTTTTTGTTTTCGTTTTTGAGATTTACGAAATGATGAATTTTGAAAAATTTGCAGCCATTTATTGAAGCTATAAAGGGATAGCTGCCGGCTTACAAAATAGCTCAAGCGGTAGCGATTGAGTAAAACTACTTTGGTCCCTCTTTTTATGGGGAAATTCCAGTGATTGACGAAGTAATCCCATTGTTAAATGAAGGTCACATTGTTAAGTGAAGGTATCTACAATCTTAACATTTTTTATTAGAACAATTGTCTTGTTTTAGACAAACTCTAGGCTCTAGCTTTAAATAGTCTAATTATTCACGAATTGGCAGGTTTTTTGAAAGTTTTTGCACCAATTTGAAGAACATTTAAGAGCAAAATACTTATATTACAATGTGGCTGCAAGCAGTAAAAGATACTCTCGTTACTTTTTTTAAAGGAGTATTTCAAAACTTCAGAAGAGAAACTCTTTGATTATTACCCCAGTTCTTTGATCATCATTCTTGGTGTTTTTCGTACTTAAACTTTAACAGTCGCATGCTAATCTTGTTATCTCAACCATTCAGTGAATATTGAAGGGTTAAATCTCAAAACTTGAATTACAGTAGTAGACCATAAGTCTTCATTAAGCATTAATCGATTCTCCGTCACTCTGTATCACGAGGAATATTAAGCACCACCATTCAATTCATCCACTGATATAACTTCGTAATATGTGGTCGTGTAGATTTGACAATATTTGATTATGATTTTTTTTTTTATCTTATCAAATTTATTTATAAGAAACAATAGTTTAACGGTTCATAAGTAATCAGGATTATACTAGTTCAATAGTAAACCATTTATATTCACTATCAACTGGTTTTAACGAAAGTATACAGCGAATAATGTCATCAGGCTGTCATTCACGCCATTTAAATCATTCGTCAAATAACTATAATCAACATCATGATTTACCAGTGTGGCAAAATGATTCAGAAGTTTCACAATGTAATTTATGCAATTCGCATTTTAGTTTAATTAATAGAAGACATCATTGTAGAAAATGTGGTAAAATAATATGTGGTAATTGTTCAAACAACTATATAAGTTATTTATTAAATACACCAATTATAAATCAATTTAATTTTTATCAACCAAATAAGTCGAAAATTCAAACTTATAAAACTTGTGATGAGTGTACTATTGAAATAAATATGATTAAACAAGTTATAAACAACGAAACAACAACAACAACAACGAGTCAAATAACTATACAACCTCAAAGTCAACAAAAATCATCAAATGTAATTGTATTCACTCATAATTTAAATAATTCTTCAAATACTTCAATTACAAATACTAGTGATATAAATTTATGTCCTGTATGTTCAAATGATTTGCTTAAATTATATATAAAAGAGCATAAGAAAAATAAAGATGTTGTATCAAATGAAGAATTTGAGAATTTTAAAGAAATTCATATAAATCAGTGTTTAACTCAATATGATTTTAATACCTTACACTCAAATAGATTTTCTCCAGATTCGAATCCAAAGAATAAAATGTTGGTATATAATATCCCACCAATACCAAAACCAACTTATGAAAATATAGATGAAATAAATGCTAAAAATAATGATACAAAAGAGGCGAAAACAAAGATAATACCGAATAATGAAGGTAAAGAATTGGAGGAAGAAGAAGAAGAAGAAGAAGAAGAAGAAGATGATGATGATGAATCAAATGAATGTGTTATATGTTTGGAAGACTTAAAACCAGGTGATAAAGTAGGTAGGCTTGAATGCTTATGTGTTTTCCATTATAAATGTATTAAGGATTGGTTTAATAAGAAAGGTTATGGTGAATGTCCGGTACATTTTTTACATAAATGAATATAATTGAATATATATATGAGAGATGAAACAGTTAAATTATGAGTGTATACTAGTATTTACCTTTTGCTAAAATGCATCACGTTCATCGATTGATAAACGTTTATGCCCTTCGTCATAATTAGAACAATCATGATCCGTGTACACACCGAAATACACATAGTTTACCTCATTTATTCTATTACTATCGTCATTTGATACCTTTGATAAATATATGTATTTGAGAGTGATTTTGTATTTTTCAACCCCTTTGATAAAATGATTGAAAAGTTTTGAAACTCAAGGCATTGGAAAAGTCAATAATTTTATCTCTTGATAAATGAACTGTGTTCACATCCAGTACATTTTCATGTACCGAACTCACAATTGCAACTTTTGAAAATAAGAAGTTCAATACAACTTTCTTTAATAATTTATCAGTTAATAAAACCTTAAGCGACTCCTCTTGTTTAAATTTCCAACTATTAACTCAACCAACTCCATTGGAAATTCACGAAATTTGATTATCAAGTTGGCCATGTCCATTGTTTAATGCAAAGATTTATAATGTAAATAATAAGGTACATTTTGCAGCCAAACAAAATTCTGAGTTAACAAACAAGCGCCAACGTTTGTCACATTAGAATCAGAGATGTAAATATCCACATTACCCATATATTAGTTAACTGTATTAACGTTCTTCCCTATCTCGATCATCTCTATCTCTTCTTCTATAATTACTTTCTTTTCTTTTATCATGTAATTCTTTAGTTTGTCTTATAGCTTCAGCAGTTGCTTTATCAACATGTATATGTAAAGCATCAATAATTTCTTTACTTGGATTATCTTCTTTTGGTAATTTTTTACCCAATACAGCTTCAATTCTTAAATATAATTCCAAATCATATTGAGTTATTAATGAAATTGATTTTCCTGATTTTCCAGCTCTTGCAGTTCTACCTACTCTATGAATATAAGATTTTGAATCAGTTGGGATATCATAATTTATAACTATATCAACTGAAGGAATATCTAAACCTCTAGCAGCAACATCAGTAGCTATTAAAATATTTGATTTTCCTGATTTAAATTTATTCAAACTTCCCAATCTTTGAGTTTGTGATAATTGACCATGTAATGGGACAGAATTAAAGCCTAATATTCTTGCTAATAAACATGTTCTTTGACAATTTGCTATTGTCCTTGTAAATATTATAATTGATTTGCCTATAAATTCATTTAGTAGGTAAATTAATATTGTATTTTTATACCCATCATTTACCAACATCATTGATTGGATTAAATTATCTGCAGTTTGATATTTTGAAGATACTGATATTTTAATTGGATTATTTAATGATGCTCTTTGTAATTTTTCAATTTTATTTGTCATTGTAGCTGAAAATAAATAAGTATTTCTTTGTTTCGGTAATATTTTCAATATTTTATCTAATATTGGACCAAAATCCATATCTAATAATCTATCAGCTTCATCCATGACTAAGTACTTCAAATTTTTCAAATTAAAACCTTTTGTATTTTCTAAATGGTCCATTATTCTACCTGGTGTAGCAACTATAACATGTGGTTTTCTCATCAAATCTCTTGCTTGATCCATCATATCCATACCACCAACTATACAACTTGATTTTAATCCCATATTTGAACCCAAGGCATCAAATGTATCTTTTATTTGATAAGCTAATTCTCTTGTTGGTGCTAAAACTAATGCAAAATAAGGTGTTTGTTGATACCACAATGACTGTAAGATTGGAATTGCAAACGCAGCAGTTTTACCAGAACCAGTAACTGCTAAACCTATAAGATCTTTACCTTGTAAACCATAAGGTATAGCTTCTGATTGAATTGGAGTTGGTTTTGTAAATTTCATTTTATCTATAGATTCAAGTAAATCAGGAACTAAGTTTAATTCGTGAAAGGATGTAAATTTAAGCGAATCATCGGTGGTTTCGATATCATCTTTAATTTCTTCTTTCTCTTCTTGTATTTCTTCCTTTTTATCTTGTTTTTGATTTAATAAAGCTTGTTGTTTGATCTTTTCAGCCAATTTCTTAGTAGCGTCTGAACTATTAGTCTTTGTTTTTTTCTTTATTATACCTTTCGAAGACATAATTCTGGTTGGGGGTAATTTTTACGAGATGAGAATATAAATTTATTTTTTTCGAAAAACCATCTCATCTTATCAAATTATATACCAATGGCTAAAAGAAGAACTAAGAAGAGAACTCATAAGAAAATATCAGAAGATGAGCTTAATAAGATTCCTAAGTCTATGGTTATTCACCTTGGTCAATCTTTAAAAAATCATTCATTATCACAATTAGTTTCTGATTTTAGAAATTTAATGCAACCATATACTGCTATCAATTTGAAGGAAAGGAAACTGAATAAATTAAAAGATTTCATTGTCATGTGTGGTCCATTAGGTGTTCAAAATTTATTCGTCTTTAATCAATCTTTAAAAACTGGTCAATTATCATTAAGAATTGGTAAATTATCAAATGGTCCAAACTTACAATTTAAAATTAATTCATATTCATTATGTAAAGATGTTCGTAAAATTTTAAAATATCCAAAATCTTTAAATAAAGATAGTATCGAATTTATGAATCCTCCTTTATTAGTTATGAATGGATTTAATTCAAATTTTAATGAAATTGAAAATCATGAAAAATTATTAATTACCATTTTTCAAAATTTATTCCCACCTATTCAACCTCAAAGTACTAAAGTATCAGATATAAAAAGAGTATTATTAATAAGTAAGAATAAACAAACTCAAGAAATTGAAATTAGACATTATGCAATTAATACAAAATTAATTGAAGAGAATAGAAATGTTAAAAAATTAATAAATGCAAATCATAATCTTAAAAAGAATTTACCAAATTTGAAAACTAATCAAGATATAAGTGATTTATTATTAGATCCATATGCTATAGGTGGAATGACATCAGATTCTGAAGTTGAAGATGATGCAATTGTTGAAATTAAAAATGAAGAAATAATAAAAAAGAAACAACAAGAGGAAAAACAAGATGAGGAAAAGATACAGGAGAATAATGTTAGAAAAAGAGCTATAAAATTAATTGAATTAGGTCCTAGATTAAATTTGTCATTAAATAAAATTGAAGAAAATATTTCAGGTTCTTCAAAAGTTTTATATCATTCAAATGTTAAAAAATCAGAATCTGAGATCAAAGAATTGAATAAGAAACATGAATTGAAACAAAAATTGAAGAAAGAAAGAAGAGAGAAACAACAAGCTATAGTGAAGGCTAAATTGGATAAGAAAAAGAGGAAGAAATCAAAAGTTGATGAGAATGAAGATGAAGAAATGGAAGAAGAAGATGATGAAGAAGAAGAAGATGATGATGATAATGAAATAGAAATAAATCCAGAAGATTATGAAAATGACAGTGATTTATATAGTGATATAGAAGTTTAATTATATAGATTCTATTTCATTGACTAGTTTATCTATTTTAAGTTGTAAATTTTTCAATAGTATAGTAATTGATAACGCATAATTGAAGTCATTTTGGCATTGTTTTAATTCTTGAGGTATTAAGACTCCGAATTGTAAAATTGGGTCCTTGAATGATTTATCCCTAATAATTTCTGACTTTTCCTTTACTTTTCTATTCTTTAGCAGCAGCTCATCTTCTCCAATCTTGTCTATTTTGTCAAGTATCAGTCTATCAACCAAATTAAATTGTTCGTTATTAAACTCCACTATTTTGCATGCGTTGTAATCCCGTAAATCATAATAACTCAAACCATAATTCCCCTTCTCATTTTTAAAATTAGCTCTACTTAAATTTTGATAACCAGATATAAACAATTTCCTTTGATCATTTAGTAACAATTCATATTCATTAATTAAATCTAATAATTTAATCGTTAGTTCATCTTTTGTCATTAAAGAGCGAAAACGAAAGAAAAAAATCTGAAACAGTGTTGATAAATTTTCATAATTTTCTACTACAATTTATAATTTATATAAAGTTTTTAATCTATTGAATTCAGATGTTGGTAATATTGTATGGAAACCAAATTCTTTATCATCTGAAGTATGGGTTGCGTGGATTAATTTAACTTCTTCTTCGCTTCTTTCCTTTTGTCTCATTTGATTTCCATATTCATATAAACAATAAATCATTTCTTCTTCTCCAATATGTCTTTTATTAGCAATGTCTTTACCTAAATATACTATTTCACTTAAATCATGTAATACATTAGCAGTTAAACCCCACACATCATATATTTTTTCATTTGTTTCATCATCAAGTCTTGAGCCTAATCTACCCCAAGTAGATAAGTTCTTTTTCTTAACTTTCTTAGCTTTCTTTTCAATCAAACTAGAAGGTGTTACTCTTCCTTTATCTTCCAGATCTAATGTTTCACCTTTTTCCCATTCTTCTTCAGATTCTTCCGTTTCTGAACTTGATAATTGTTTAATATCTTTTAACCATTCTACTTCATTCGGATTATTTTGTAAAAAAGTATAACTTCTTAAATCCCAAGGTATGCCACCCCATTTAACTTTATAACTTACTCTTTCTAAACTTTCTAAACTAGGTTCATCTAAACTTGGATGTAAAAAATCTCTTAATGGACAACTAAAAATCGATGAACTTTCTCCTGGATTCAAGACTATATTTAACTTTGTAGTTAGATCCATATGATCATTATTATTTAAATTTTTTAGTAGTCCAACACAAGGTTTAACACATGAAAATGTTCTTGATAAATAACTAGGTAACATTGTAATATGATCAATTGTTAATCCCAACTTTTTTAATTCCTCATTTGAGTTATTTAATCCAATTTCTTCAAACATTTCTCGACGACTTACTGCCCATTCTGATTCTAATCCATTATCTGCTTTACCACCGGGTAATGCAACATGACCAGGAAAATTTCTTAATTTTGACGATCTTTTGGTTAGAATTACTCTTAATTCTCCTAATTTACCTAAAAATAATAGTATAAACACTGCTGATCTTCTTGTAATTGGTAGTCTGTGCCATATTGATAATTTATTATTTTGATAATTTTGTGGGATGTAATTGTATAAATTTCTTTCTAATAATTGTATTTCTGTCGATTTTGTCATTTTTTGAGTAAAATACTATATCATTAATTGTTATAATTTGAGTTTGTCGGTGTATTGAATTATATTGAATTATGTTGTATTGTTTGTTTATCTTGGTTGCTGCAACTTAATGAAAATTTCACTTGATATGTTTAACTAATGAGTTTTTTTTAACCTATGAAATCCTCTGACGTTAATTTCACTAACTAATATTGACCAAAAATATTCAACCGCCAATGTGTTGATTATAAAATATAAAACCAACAAAGTAATGAAACTTGAATTATAATTGTAATCTGTTTATTTTATTTTTCAGTATGGAGTATTTCTTTTTTTATAAGCGATCACATGATTGGTTATTAGTCATGTATTACTTAATCCATGTTTCAGATTTTAAACCGGCAGTAAATTCGATGAATCTCGGTGTTAACTGTAGTATATGTTAGCTGTAGTATATGTTAACTGTATTACAGCTATTGAATAAGGTATATGCTGATTATTTATATCTTTATACAAAATGTTTTGGAGCGAAAACAATATTGTATGGACCAATATTGTGCAAATTATCTTGAATTGGAAATTCACTGGCCATGTTCTCGTTCTAGGGCGGCTGAAAGCTCGCTCCAGATCAAATATTCAATATCTGGGTTTTCGTCTTACATGCAGTCTTATACTACTTAATCTCAAATCTTAAATTACAAATAACTCGATCAATATTCAAGTTCTCGATTTCAAACTAAAGTCATTATAATTTTCAATTAATTTAACATAGACTGATACTAATTTCGTTAAATAGAACAAAATTTTGATCATTTTATTCCATGTTTAAAAAAATGCAAAGAAACGCATAATTGCAAAATAAGTAGCACTTAGACGTCATTTATCCATTTTTAATAGAGGTGATTTGGCTCAGAATATTCCAAAGATACAATGTATAATAGTTTGCAGGCACCAGAGTTAGTTTGAAAATTTTGCAAAAATTTTAATTCATTTCTGAAAGATTAATATTTCAGATTTGAGTACTCAAATTAGATACATTAGGTAGAGGTCGGTCCAATATATATATAATCCATTGTTTAATTGAAAGTTATGGCCGTAAATTAGAAGATACATAGATTTAAATTTTTCGAGAATTTTTTGTATGGTGAAAAAAGCCCAAAAATTCAAATCGTAAAGAAGAGTTTAAATCTTCATATTTGAGAGACATGTAATGATACAGAATAATTAAAGTCTCTGGTTTCATTTCGGTGGTTTTTATTTCAAAAGAATGCGTTGTTAATGACATATACACCAAAATACATAATATATTTGTCGCGTTTAGAAAAATAGCTTCGGCGTCACTACATTTAGTACGATTTCGCCCTATCATCAACGCGGAATAGTTTTTATCTTGGCACCAGTTCGGACCAGACTTCGCGTCAAATCATATAAACTTTGATGTTAAATAACTGGTGTCAAAATTGTCCTCTTTCACTTTAAATCAGCTTAAACTCATTACAAGTAGCTTCTTTTATCTTCTAATACTCGTAATCACTAGACGCCATACTATCTTATTCTTTTGTCAATTGTTGCAAAATTGTCAATTTTAAGTGTCGTAAAAATTTTCAAACGACACAAAAAAAAAAAATTAAATCAAATCTGTCAATCAAAAGGTCCAGGTCAAACTATCATCATTATCATGAATTTATTAAAAATATTAGATTCAACACCCGAACCGCCAATCATAGAATTAGATTTTGATGAATGTGATAACTCGAGAATTTATAATTTACCATGTCCAATGTATGAATATCAAAAAGAATTAACGGATCAAATTATTTCATTACACTATCCCGAAATATTAAAATTTTGTGAATTAAATGATAAGAAAGAAATCATAATTGATTCATTATCTAAATGTATTAAAAATCTTATGCTTATTACGACTCATCCATACCTTATGATTGATCATTATATGCCGAAAAATTTATCATATAAAGAAATGCCCAATAAATTAGCTGAAACAAGTGGTAAATTTAATGTACTTCGTGATTTACTTAATGTGTTGATTGAAATTGATTCTCCAAAAAATATAGGACTTGTTATTTCTGATAATGGTCGATTATTTGATCTTATTGAATCTTTACTATTAGGTTGTCATTCATGCAAAACTGTTAAACGATATTTTGGAAATAATATTCAACGTGAAAGTAAAAAAAATCTGAAGAATGGGAATGGATATCATTCTGATAATAATGGGACGAGTAAGAAATTAGATCCAAACAATTCAGTGATTCATTTAATTCCTGATACTGGAGCATTAAATAAAGATCAAGAAATATTTAAAAGGATTAAATTTGATGTTTTGATAATTATAGATCAGAATGTAGACCAAGAATCAGATTTCTTTAGAAGGATAAAGTATCAAAATAATAGACAGGGTGCAATTATAATAAATTTAATCCCATTAAATACAATTGAACATATAAAATTATTCACCATAGATTTATACAAGATTATTAGCTCTGTTGTTTGTCTTAGAGATAATATAGGTAATTTACCACCTGATTTTCATCCAATATATCAACAAAAATTGGCATATTTTAATAAATTTTTTGAATCAGTATTGAAATTGAATCAAAATCCAAATTGGCCATTACCTTCTTTACCTAAAATATCAACATTTTCACCATCAGATGTTGAAAGATCATTATTAACAGAAACACAATATAATTATATAAATTATACTGAAGAAGATAAAAAAATCCCAAGTTATTATGAACTGAAACGATTGAAATCACATTATATCACAAATCCATTAATCAATTCATATGACAAATTAAGTGGAATTGAATCATTGACTCAAAATGATACTCATCATTTAACTCATAAATTAATGTTAAATTTAAATACAAAATCACTAAAATTGAAAGATTTAAGAAATGAATTAGCTAGTTATATAGAAGATAGGGAGAATTTAATTGGTCGTAGGGAAAAGGATTTAAAATTGACAGTTTCAAATTTGGTCGATGATATAAATCATAATGAACAAAGGATAAATTGTGCAAATAAATTAATAATTAAAAAGAATACACAAATTGAAGAAATAAAAGAGAGAATAATTAAATTGGAAAATGAATTGAAGGAAAAATACTCAGAGGAAAATGAGGCATATTCTATACAATACAAGATTTGGAAATTACAAAATGAGATTAAAAATTATATAACTAAGATTAAATTAAAGAATGATGAGAAGAATTTCACAAATCAAGAATTGAAAAATTGTCAGGAATCAATAAAAGACTCAGAAATTGAAATTAAAGAGTATGAAGAAAAGATTGAGTCTGAAAAACGAAAATTTAATGAATTGGAAACTCAAAAACATACAGAAATAGATAATGAATATAAAATCAAGAAACAAAAATTAGTTGAAGATATTGAGAAAGAACAATTAATCAACAAACAACTCAAATTGAAATATAATCAAACTTTCAGATTCCTTAAAGATACATCACATTTAAAAAAGAGAAAAGGAAGAGGAATAACTCCAAAATAAATTAAAAAAATAGAATCTATATTTGTGATATTGGTGCTGATACATCATCAGCATCATAAATTAATAAATTATTAATTATTAAATCATTTTTACTCAAAAAATGAATTATATCTTGTACTACATAACCACCAATAATAGCACTAGTAGGCATAAATTCTGCAAATGCTTGTCGAGAAAACTTTTCAATAGCTGAATCAATAACATACTTCTCTATTGGTAATTTTAAATGCTTACATTGAGCTATGAGTTTCTCTTTTAATATTGATTTATCAATAGTATCTTCAGGATTAATTGGTCTATCCATATCCAATAAGGTTAAAATTAACGGCAAACTAGGTCGAATTCTTTTCAAATGAGTTCTACCCATTTTATGCAATCGTGGATTATTAAAAATATCCTTAAACAGTCTAAAGGTATCTTCTAATTTGAATACTTCAAATCCTTCTTTATCATGAGTTTTATCAAGCACTATCTTATGTGCATTTTCATTATATGGATCTCCTATACTTGGTCTATCTGATTTTTTAAAAGTTGAAGTCTTGGTATGAACATGTTTAATTAAATCAACTAGTATATATCCATCTTTCCCATGTATACCACAACAATAAAGAGGAACATTAAGTGATCTAGTTATATTATTCAATTTTATTATTTGTGATTTATTTAATTCTGTAGCAATAACTAAATCAAACTTTTTAAAATATGAAATATCATCTAAATTCAATTCATTAATGTTTGTAGTTAATTCAACCCTTGAATTCATTTCTTTAATTGAATCAATCATGTATGGTATTTTTTGGTTTCCGATTATTGAATCATCATTAGGTAAATAAAATTGACCCATAAAATCTTCTTGTCTTATAATTGAATTATCTTGTATTTCAACCGATTGAATACCTCCCAATACTAAATTTTTAATAATTTCACAACCAACTGATGATAAATTTATGAGTAAAATTTTAGTACTTCTTAATCTTAATTGAGTATCCATTCCCCATAATCTAATTTGTCTATCATATAAAGCTAACTCATCATTTGTTAAAGAATTTGAAGAACTTGACATTATTCTTGAAACGAAAACAAACAAACAAACAAAAAAAAAAAATTTTTCAAATCAAGTTTCTATGTAAATTGATAGTTAATATTAAATCAGACGATGATGAATCCAGTATGAGTGTTCTGTAATAGAGGATATATAACGGCATATATCTGTTAATGAATTGTTTTACTTGTGTATCATTCATACCTATTTTTTTTCGTTTAATTAGGTTATGTTCTTGTTCTAATCTCCATTTAAAAACATTTGAAATATCATTAGTATTTATAATGATAAAGTTACTTATATGTGACCATATTTTATGGTATTGTTGAAGATTCTCATTGATTTGTTGTAAATTGTATAGCTTATGTATCATTAATGTTTCTGGATTCGTGAAATATTTAACATTGATTAATTGTGTTTCAATTGAAGTATATCCTAAAAACCAACCTTCAAAAATGACTATATCTACTGGTTTAGTTATCTCTTGACTATTATTTGACCTATCTCCAAGTCCATTATATGCTGACTTGTCGTAGCTTGGAATTTGTATAATTTCCCATGGCTTTTTATAATTACAAACTATTTTATTAAAAGTTTGAGCTAACAATGGTAGATCATGAGTTCCTGGTAATCCTCTACCTTGTAATAATGCATTATCTTTATATTTGCTATTTATTTCATCCTGTGCGCTTTTTGTTAAGTAATAATCATCAATTGAAAATTGTATAATATTTTTATCACCGTACTGTTTTGTTAATTCATTTGTTAAATGTTCAGCTAAATACAGTTTACCAGAACCTTGAGGACCCGAAACACCAATTATCAAAGGTTTATCAAAGCTATAAGCGTCAATTAACAATTTAGCATGATTTATCGACTTATCAAGTGTAGACAACATTATTGTATGTATAATTATTGTATGTATAATTATTGTTTATTGTTTATTGTTTATTATTTATTGATTATTTTTTCTATAAAGCTTTGACTTGTTTTAATTTTTCAACCAATTGATCAACATTTTCAACTTTTATACCAGCTTGTCTTTTTGGTGGTTCTTCAATTTTCAATATTTGTAACCTATTTTCAATTTCAATACCTAAATCTTTTGGTGTTAATTTTTCCAATGGTTTTTTTTTAGCTTTCATTATGTTTGGTAATGAAGCATATCTTGGTTCATTTAATCTTAAATCAGTTGTAATAATTAATGGTAATTTACTTTTTAAGACATCTTCACCACCATCTATTTCTCTTGTAACTTCTACAGTATTATCAGTATTAATTTTAACTTTTGACGCATTTGTAGCTTGCGACCAATTTAATAAACCACCTAATATTTGACCAGTTTGATTTGAATCATCATCAATTGATTGTTTACCTAATATAATTAAATTATAATCGTTTTTTTCAATTATTGATTTTAAAATTTTTCCAACTTGTAAAGGTTCAACTTCTTCATCATCTTTAATTTGAATAAGCGTTGATTTATCTGCTCCTTTTGCAAGAGTAGTTCTTAAAACATCTTGTGCTTTCAATGGACCAATTGAAACTGTATGTATTGACTCAACTAAATCCTTATTTGCTTCTCTAATTTTGAGACTTTCTTCTAACGCAATATCACAAAATGGATTAATTGAAAACTTAACACCCTTTGATTCAATACCAGTATTTTGTTTATTTATTCTTGGTTTAATAGCATAATCTATAACTCTTTTAACAGGTACAAGTATTTTTAACTTATTACTAGACATTATATTGTATTGTATTGTCTTGTATTGTATTGTATTGTATTGGTGGTAATATTTTTTCAATTCAAAATTCCGATTCAGGAATTTTCATTTTTTTATTCCAATTTTCAACCAACGAAAGAAATTTGTATGATCAACAACAAGCTTTATTAGAGTTTTCTGAGTTAGTAATAAGGTATAAGGTATGCGATGGGATACCGTTTCCCAGTTGCGTAGTGTCTGGCTTAATTAGGGTCCTCGAAATTAAAGTGGCATGGTTGGTGCCCGTAGCGATGATCTACAAAAATCTACAAATTTTACAAAAGATAATGTTGGAAATCATGTATAAGTTCAAATTGAAAAGGTTGAATTTTATCCATGGTGAATTTGTTGTCTAGTATATAGTATATTTTTAAAATGTGTTAGTTCAATCTACTTCAGAGTTGAATTAATACCGTTTTAAAAGAGATTTAAATTAAATAGAGAAGACATTATATTATATTCATTCAAGATTATACAGATTAAACTCAATCCAAATTCAAAGGATTTCTTGTTCTTTGTTTCATTCTTTCTATTCTTGCTTTTAATTGCATTGTTACTTCAGCAGCTCTTTTCCAATCATCTCCACTTTCAACATCCATTACTTTAGTTTGTACTTGATTCTGTTGAAATATTGAAGATCCAATAGTATTATTATTATTATTATTATTATTATTATTATTATTATTATTATTATTATTATTTGTAGTATTTGCATTATTAATTATATCCTTTGTTTGATTTTCTTTCAATTGTTCTTCATCTATTGATAATCGTTTAACTCCTGAATTTATATCATTTGCGATTCTATTCAAACCACTATTACTACTATCTTGGTATTTATATAATGGGCTTCTTTGTTGTTGTTGTTGCTGTTGTTGTTGTTGTGGATGATTTTGTTCATTTGATGCTGCCGTAATTGCTGATTTTCTATTTGATTGTTGTAATTTATTAATTTCTCTTTCTTGTTCCAAATCCTTTATTTTATAATTTGCTTTATCTAATTCATTACTTAAATTATTTATATGAGTTTCTTTATGTTTTAATTCAATTTGTAAAAATCTTTGATCATTAACAAATTGATTTTTTAAATTTTCAATCTCTTTTTTTAATACTTCATTTTCATTATTAATCATTAATATTGAATTATTTAAATTTTGATTTTCCAATTGTGATTGTATTAATTGTTGTTTTAAATTTTCAATTTCTTTTAATTTTTCTTCAACTATTGATTGTTGTTGAATATTATTAAATGATGATGATGATGAAGTTGAAGTTGTTGATGATTTAGTAGTAGGTGGTGGTAATAATGAAGAATTTTTTAATTGTGGTACTGGTTTAGATAATGATCTTGATGCTAAACTTCTTGGTTTATCTTCTCTTTTTGCTGGCGAAGTAGCTAATCTTTTTGAAGGAATAGTTGATGTTGTTGATGGTTGTATCTTTCTTGGTTTAGGTTCTGATGCTATTGAATTTATTGAATTTGATGTTGATGGTCTTGTAGATGATGATGATGATTTTTTCATACTTGATTTAACTTCAACTTTTTCATAAAATGCAATTATTTTATTCTTTCTATTTTCATCAACTTTTTCTAAAAACTGATTCAATTCTCTTTGTCCAGTTATCTTCATTAATGTACCAATCATTTCAATAGCTGCTTGTCTAATTGGTTCTTGTGACTCATTTAATAATTTTAATCCGATTTCCATTATACAATCAACTTCATTTGATTTGGGTGCAATTTTTGTATTCATTAAACATCTTTGTAAATAATTTGTAGATGATATTTTATTTTGTGGAACTTTTAATTTCATACCATTAAGAATTTCATCAAGAATATTTGTCAAGGTTGATAATTTGAAAATTGTATCTAATAATGAATCTAATGCTTGTGCAACAACTGGTTTCTTTTCTTTATTTCTTTCCATTACTGGTTGTAATACAATTGGTTGATATTTATTAAAATTATTCTGTAAAGCTTTGGCTATTGATTCAATACAATTTGCTGATAATTGAACAACTTGAATATTTGAATCTTTCATACATTTTGCAAAAATTCTTAATATTTGACTATAATCATCTTTTGTGGATAATTTAGGTGCTTTTACTAATATAGGTAATACTTCATCTAAAACCTCTTTTCTATCTTTCCATTTAGTTGATGTAATTCTTGATTCTAAATCATTTGGTAGTTTATTTAAAATTTCAACTGGATCAACAAATTCTAATGGATCATAAGAATCAACCATTTCAACATCATCTTTTTCTCCTTGTTGTTCAACTTGTTCACTTTCTTGTTTTCTTTCTTCTTCTTCTTCTTTTTCCCTTTGCAATTTTGTTAATCTCTTTTGTTTTGGTACTTCATCTTTAATTTTATCAAATTCTTTAGTTAAATCCTTTTGTTGAATTGGTTTTAAATCTTGAAATAATAAATTAATTAATTGATCTTTCATCCATTTATAAATTTCAATTGATAATTTAGTAGTTTCATTTCTAACATTTTTATCACTATGACTAAATAATTTTGATAATTTTTCAACTATTAAACTTGGTTTAATTAATTTACATCCATAATTTTCAATGATTTTAGTTAAAGCTTGAATACAACCACATACTAATTTTGGTAATTTATTTGATAAATATGGAATAATTTCTTCAATTATAGTATTTGAATATTGTTCATTACTTAAATTTTCAATTAATAATAATATCGATTCTATTGAATATTCTTTTGTCTTTGGTCTTGTTGATGATAAACCTTTTTCACAAATTAAATTTATAACGTTACAATTTTTAATTAATTTTAGACAAATTTGTTGATTACTAGTGACTTGTAAATATTTAATAAATAATGAATAACCTGTTTCTAATGATACAACATTTGAATCTGATAATATTGATTTAAATGAATCTGGTTGTAAAGTTTGAAAAATTGAATCTGATTCATTTCTTGATGATTCAATTAAGTTGATACTTTCTTCATATGACTCTTTTCTAACGTTCCATACTTTATGAATTAATCTTTCTTCTAAAGGTAAAGAAGAATAATCAACTTCTTCTGCCATGAACTCTTTGTTTTATTGATATAAAAATTGTTTATGTATAAGAAAATTATTTTTTGTTTACATTTTGTTTTTGTAAACACGTCTGTCGTAAAACTCTTGAAATGCGACATTGAAATATGATATGCTACAATTAGCTGTAATATTTGAACAAAACTGGTGTTTATAGATCTGGAATCGTTATCGAGACAGACACATACATTTGGGGAATTGACTATGAGGTTTTTCTGGACTTTTTAAAGAAATTTTGGCTACTAGATTAATTTATCAACTAGGTGGATTTAGGTGGATTCAGAAAATACAAGAGAACTAACTAACAAGTCTACAATTCATTGCAAGTCGACAAAAACATCATACATATATATATATTATTAATTTATATATATTGACTTGAAGCTCAGTTGGCGTGGCAGGTGTTTAAATCAAATATTTGATTAGACGATGAAAAAATAGCCGCTTAAATTCCCCTACTCTAGTAAACAGACAACGGTACAGATTTAAGAATAAGGACTATGAGTGTTCAATAGTAGGTTTATCACTCTACTTGCCTATGGTTGTTAGTTACTTTTCACTGTTTTAAAAAGATAAGAATAATTTAAATTGATCTCTATCATGTGGTAGTTTCCTTTTCAAAGCTCCAGGTATTAACATATCCACCTTTTATCCTAAGATAATCACGTATTGGCTCTATTTCTGTCTTGAAGTGATTCTTTTTGGAAATGATATTCTGAAACATACTTGGTTCAAGTTTTAAATTTTTTCTCGTCTATACCCCTTAAGTTAATAACTCGTAAGTTAATACCCCTTAAGTTAATACCCCTTAATCTAATACCTCTTAATCGAAATTATCATCAATTTACGAGAATTATCTAGTAGAGACCAGTTTTTAATGATATAAACCTGGTTAATTTATTTTGACTGGATCAACAACACTTTCAATAGCTGCCAAGCGTATCTGCCAAGCGTATCTGCTAAGATTCCGTAGGTTAATAAAACAAGGCTCTTCTTTGTTTACTAGTAGCAAATACCAGACAAACTTTAGAACAGAGAACAGTAAATATACAATTAAATCTTTAATGTCGTTTATTAAATTTATAATGCAAGTTTTATTTTAATTTACAGTTGGTTTTCTTAAATTGTATTTTCCATAAATTTCATCCAAAGGTTTCAAATCAAATTTCCAATCTTCTTCACCTGGTCTTACTTCATAATATTTTTTTAAATCAACTTGATGATATGGATGATAAGATAAATTAAACCAAGGAAGTAAAAATAACATTGCAACACTATATTGAGAATTTCTATTTGAAACATCTTTTGTTCTATCATCTAAACTTGATAAATGTTCAAAATAAGGAGGTATACCTTCACTTAATAATTTTTTCATTTCAAATCTATCTTTTGAAACTTCTGTTGAATTTTCTTCCCAACCTAAAAATCTTCTTGCTGTTTTAATATAAGCTAAAAAAAAACCACCAAAAAACCCAATTGAAGTTGCTGCTCTTAATGTCATACCTGACATAGGTATTGGTTTTCTTCCTTTACCTTGATGTGGTTCATAATGTTCCCATAATTTCATTAAAATTGGAGGTGTTGCAGTTAATATACCCCAATTCAAATAATCTGATGATCTAAAATATCTTAAAACTTTAAAAAAATATGGATCTCCATCAATTAATTCATAATCGCTATGCACTGGTGGTGCTCTAATTGGTTGATTATGTGGAGTATATGACATTCTTTAATCGTCCCTACTAGCTTATTGATTTTTTTTATTCAACTTTTGATTGGTAAAATTTTTGAAAATTATTATGATAGGTCGTGTATTGGATAATATGCTACCATGTGTAGATCAAATATTTGAGCAATTGGCTGCAAATTGATTACAACAATGCGTAAGAAGACGTTCGGTCAGCTCTAAGTTGAAATTTCAGACATAGAATCGTTGTCCAGATGTTGTTTTTCAGATATTGCGCTTTTTTTTTATTGCTGCAAAATCTCATTGGTAAAAGTTGCATTTGATTTGCACAACTACTTAATTTATCACATATTTGAACTCTATTAGACATTTACATAGTATCAACTTACCATATAATCTCTCTATCTGCTCCAATCGTCCTGCTTCATCTATTATTGATCGTTGTTGCATGTATTTTTCTTATCAATTGAATCACAAAATTCGGAAAAAATATATTTAGCGATCAATGAAATATTAAACCATGCCAATACAATTACAAGATGATATAGAATCAAATAGACAACAACTAACCAGACCTAATCAAAGATTTGGAAAGGAAAAAGATTTTTTGGTTAGATTGGTTAATAGTGTACGATGTCATGATGTACCTTTATTAAATTTCATAATCATTTTAATATTATCAATATTCTTATATAAATTAACAATTAAATATTCCAACTTATACATGAAATCTTCATTAATAACTATAATAATTACAAACTTGGTGTTATATGGTATATCGGAAACAATGGCACAATCCATCTTATGCTTTGATTTGTCTCAACCAATGCTAAATTTCAAATTAAATGATCCCATGTCAAATATTCAATTAGATGCTGATGAAGAACAAGAAGAAGTTTTGGATGATAATGCATCGGATATAAGTGAAGAAGGACTAAATCGATTTATAAATTATTTACGTGATGATAATGAAGTTTTAATTGGAGAATCGGAAACTCCTATGCCTGTAGTTCCATTAACATTTTTCCAATTTAATAGATTGGCAGGTTTTATGTGTTGGGGTTTTATAATGGGTATTGTTCAATGTTTTTGGTATCAATTTTTACAAATTTATTCAAAAGATCCTAAATTTATTGAAGTTTTAAGAAAAGTCCTAACTGATCAATTATGTTTTTCTCCAATTTCATTAATTTGTTTCTTTACTTATGGTACAATAATATTAGAAAATGGAGATTGGGAAGCTGCAAAGAATAAATTATCAAAAGTTTATTTAAAGACACTAATCATTAATTATTCAGTTTGGTTTCCTATACAATTTATAAATTTTTTATTAATTCCAAGACATTTTCAAGTTCCTTTTAGTTCAAGTATTTCAGTATTATGGAATTGCTTTTTATCAATGAGAAATTCAACCAATTAGATATTAGATATTTTAAATATATATACCACCACCATGAGCTGAAGTGTTGAATCTTCTAATTTTAATCGATAAATCATGTTGGAAAGAGGGAGATAATTTTAAAATATCATTTAGAACTTTTGCTGAATCCATTATTGAATCTGTATCAATTTTCTCATAACCTGGTTTACCTTCAGAATTTAAAATCAAACCAGTAATAGTTAAATTTTGCGCATTGTCACTTAATTCAGATAATAAAGCACCTCCAATACCAGTTACAACATGAGGTGGCTTCAATAATGGTATTTCTATGGTTTGTACATATTCTTTATTGATAATTAACTTATTAATTGATTGATTATTATTTAATGAACAAGGAGCCAATATAAACCAGTTGTAAATGAGTTTTTTAAGTACAGATACCAACTGTTTTGCAATTGCATTATAAGTAATGATATTATCAAATCTTGAAATTATTATAATCAAATTAGCTTTATAATTATAAATTGGTATAGTTTCATCTTTATATTTATTTTTGAAATTCTCATTTTTTAAAGATTTATATAATTGTTCATCTTCATCATATTCACCATCTTCATCATCTACTCCTAATTTCAAATTATCATATATAACCCTTATCTCACCAACTTCAAATTTACCCATAGTATCACCCATGATTTGTAAAGTAGATGGCAAAATCAATATATTTTTAATATTATCTAGTTCGACATCAATTTCTATTTTTGGAATTGGATTAGGTTTAACATTATCCATTTCATCTTGTAAAGTGTGACGAGGTATTTTATTCTCATCAATTGTTGGTTTAAATAACATAGCGTATAGTTTGACCCTTTCGTATAAATTTGATTCAGAACCAAAAAACAAAAAAAAAATTATCAACAATAATCATTCAATAATGCTTAAAAGATTATACCATTCAAGTTCACACATCGGTTCAAATACTATAATAAATAATAACTTAATAGAATCTAAAATATTCAATAATGCTATAAAATTAATACCAAAGTATGGTTTTTCAAAAAATTGTATAAATGAATCAATTAAAAATTTGAAATATTCAGATAGTTTACAATCAATAATATCATGGCAAAGTGATAAAAGTTATGAATTTCAATTAATGTTATACTTCTTAAAACAAAAAAGACAAGAGTTGGAAAATTTTACTAAAAATACAAAAGTTGAAGGAGTTGACGAGTATGAAAAATTATCAAAATTAATTAAATATAGATTATCTTTAAATTCTCCAATTATAAATGAATTATCCCAAGGTATGTCTCAATTAATATTACCTTATAATTTAAATGAATCAATTGATGAATTATATAATTTAAGTGACGATTTAGCTTTTTATTCTGGTGATAAAAGTCATAGTTTTGATTGGTATGCTAAAAGATTTACAATTGGTTCTATTTATGTTAAAAGTGAATTATTTATGTTAAATGATACTAGTGAAAATTTTGAAAATACTCAAGAATTTGTTGATAAAAAAATTGATGAATTCAAAATGTTAAGTGATACTTATAATAATATTGAGCAATGGGCTATTTTTAATGGTATAAGTTTGATTAATTTGATTAAATCACAATTAATAAGGGGATAATCAAAATTGTGGTGAAAGGTTTCTAGTGAAAAGGGAAATAAATTTAGAGATGGCCATGAGATAAATTAATTAGATGACTAGTGAGTACAATGAAAAACTACCACTGACATGATGAATATAAATAGGTGAAGTTTAGAATACACGATTGCTTGGAGCTAGATGATGATCGTAGTTCGTAGTTTATGAATCTTTTGAAGAATAAAAAGATTTCTAAAAGAAACAAAATTTTAGGATAACTTTTTTACGTATGAGTTATTACAGATTCGAAGGAGTCGCAAAGTTCCAATTAGCAGATGCTATATATAGATATATTACATGAATCAGATACCTATCTATCACTTCCAGTAGATGCCTTTCGCAAATGCAAAAAAAAATGAAATTATCAGAAACAGTAATAGCACCAAACCAAAGCTGTTTTGATCATAACAACATTAAATTCACCTTCTATATTCGCAGTACTTGTATGAATTCAAGCACCCAACTTAGATCTAACTTCCAATAATTTATTTCTGATATTTTCCATTTCAGTTTCTTCATTTTTAATCTTTGTTTCGACTCTATTTATTTCATTTTCAATAAATTCAATTCTTTTATTTATATTCATATTTGCATCTTGATAATCTTGAGGTAATAAAATAGATCCAATTAATTTATAAATTTTTGAATCTTCATTTAAAGTTTCAAATTCTTCATTCACAATTTTATTTTCTTGATACTGAGTTTCTAGTTTTGATCTAGAAGTAATTAATTCATTTATAGAGTTTTGTAATTTTGAAAATTCTAATGAATATTGTTCAAATTGTGATTTTAAATCTGATGACATTAATTTGAGAAGTGTTGATAATTGAAAAACTGAATTTTTTCTCTTGGATCGCGAATCTGAAACATATTTTCTCGTGTGAAGGTTGGCATTACGATAGGGCGAGAATTATAAAAATCTCGCGATAGAACTAGGGCGAAGATAACACCATTATTGATCCAAGTCCAACATTTAAGTTTCTACTAAAAACGGAAGTAGGAAACAATTTTAAGTGTTTTAATGAGTTTGAACAGTATATTTGACATCCAGTATACAATCATTGTCTGTCTAGTTATAATGCAAGAAGCTATAATGCAAGAAGTGAAAAAAAAGAGGTCGCAAAATATTGAATATCCTGGTGACGTTGTATTCAATTACAAGATTAAATATATATGATGCTAACAAACAATGGTCCACTTCAAATGCTTTATGAAATAATTAATAAGTTCGTTTCCTTAGATGAAGTCAAAAATATTTTTTTTAGATTAAATTGAATTGGGCTCGTTGATGATGTTTGAAAATTTCCAATTAAACTAGAAACTCAAATATCTTCTTGGATTTTGAGTTTGAGTATATAATGCTCTAATAAAAGGTACTCAGTTTCTACTGAATATTCGATTCAATTCAGTCATTTATTAAGATATGATAAAAAGTTATTTTTTAGGCCGAAAAAAATACGTTTAATTGAGAGTTGATAGATTCTTGGAAATCATCATCATTATATTAAAATCATCGTGATGTCGATAACGAAAATCAATAGATATTTTACTTTTATAATTGAACATTTTCATTGTGGAAAATGTGGAAAACAACACTAAGATTCATATAAGGGGAATCATTTTCGAGTAGATCAAAGCTTAATGAATTATCATTTAAATCAAATATACCATCAGTTGATTTTCCTAGGTAAAAATATTCTGGAATAATATTAAATTTATCATTTAAGTTGTAGAATTCTTCAAAAGTTGTAAATATCAATCCGTCACTAAAGTCGACTGATCTATTAGGCCCGATATGTATTTCTACGTTGTTATTTAGTTTTTTGGTCTTTAGCTTTGCGTACTATGGATACTTTAAAAATTCTTCAAAAGTTGTAAATATCAATCCATCACTAAAGTCGACTGAACTATTTGGCCCGGTATATATTCCTACGTTGTTATTTAGTTTTTTGGTCTTTAGCTTTGCGTACCATGGCTACTTAAAAAAACAAAAATTTTAAAGCAAATGGGCGTAATACTCTATCACTCTAAAAATGTTTTAACTAACTTTTTATCTAAATATGTTGAAATAACTTCAATTAATTCTGTTAGTAATTCTGTAAATGCTTTGGTAAAACTAATAAACTCATTCGTTAAGCTGTAGCTGCTTGTTGTGATCTTAATTTGTAATAATTAATTTCAGTTCAAAAAATTCAGTAACATTCAATTAAACATTCCATTCTGAAACATCTAGACGAAAGTTTCATCCAGGTGGTAGCGCTCGGATTTATTTACGGTAAATGGTTCAATGTTGAAGTTTAATACAATATGATTAGCTAAATCAAAATGATTAGCTAAATCCTAAATCAAAATGATTAAGGTGACAATCGTAATATAGAAACAGACTATGATAGTTTTCTCGAGTCAAAGCAGCTTCAGAGCTGATGATGCAATAAAATAATAAGTAAATTGAATATATTAAACCTTTGAACCATATATATAAGAATGAAACATGTGAGTAAAATAGGATGCTCTGAATTGAGGGTAAATAATCCAATAAACCAATAAAATCATGTTGGGAAGATATCAGAATCTTTTTCATCTATTATAATTTCTGTAACTCGTACTTTGTATCTTCGATTACTCAATTCCCCACCATATCCATTCATTTCATGATATTCATCTTCATCGTCTTCATCGTCTTCATCGTCTTCACCTCCATCGTCATCAATTAGGTCCTCATCTTCCGCTTCCCTTTCATCTTCTTCATCATCAATTTCATCTGTTACATCAGTAACATGAGTTCCATTATCATCGTCTTCGTCCTCGTCTTCGTCCTCATCTTCATCATTATTATCATCCATTTCGTTCTCCATATATTCATTAATATTGACCTGAGTAAGTAAATTGTCATTAGCATCATGCATTTCTGCATCTTCATCATCTTCATCACCTTCATCACCTTCATCACCTTCAACGCCTTCATCACCTTCTTCATCTTCATCATCATCATCAATTGCATTATCATTTGAAGAATTTTTATTAATATTATGTAGTATTAATGGACGATTCGGATGATATGAAGTATGTCTTCTCTCACATTTATTACTATCATTTTTAATATGACTAATTGAACTTTTTCTTCTATTTGGACTATTATTCAGTTTTATTCTCTTTTCATTTGCCAAAGATCTAATTTGTTGATAAGGAGTAGCAAATAAATCCTGATTAAATATAAAACCTTGACTTTCTTTAAGACTTATAATATTATAATTTGAAAATTTACCACTACTATTAAATGACGTTGGATTATAAAAATTAGTTGATTCATAAACAGAATATTCTTCATTTTGAATCATTGAAGAAGATAGAAATGAATTTCTTCTAAACCATGGACTTGAATTCGAAGCAAATGATGAATTTCTACGTTGTAAAATTTTAGGTTCCGGTCTTGGTGAAGTACTTAATTCTTTTAAATTACCACTTTTTTTCGATGAATTAGTAGCTGATGATGATTTACGTCTTGAAGAAGCTTTCACCATAATAATTTGTTACTTGTACTTATACTAATTACTTGAAATATAACCTGGTTGTCAATTGATAAGATAAGATTTGTATATGATTATTTTTTTATTTTTTTTTTCTTTTGCTTCCTTTAAAATTTTCACAGTTCTTCAATACAATTTGTTACCCAGTTTTAATACAAGAATATACGATTTATACATTTCATTTATATATACAGATTACAGATAACACTATAGATTGAATTGGAAATGTAATATTATATTCTCATACGTTTTTCGTGGTTTTTAATGTCATAAATTCGTTAAAATTTTCAATTTTTCACTCCCCCTCCACCTCTTCCTCCGTTTTCCTTATTCAACAACCATCATTCCTCTTCTTCTTTGTTTTAATTTATTCATAACATAAGTTAAACCATCTTTAGTATTATTATAATTCAATTTAAACCTTTCGTGCGACCATTGTTCAATTTTTCTTTTAAATCCAAATAAATTACTCAGAAATTTAACTTTTGATAATACTTCAGTAGTATTATTATTATCTTTTTCTCTATATTTCAACATTTCTTCAACTCTTATAAATTTATGATGATCTATATTTGAAGTATAAGTAATCATAGATTTTGATTTTGGATTAATTATAATTTTTTCAATTATCCAACTTTTTAAATTTGCTGATCCAATAAATGGTTTTATAAATTTTGGTAATCTACCTTGTTTTACTATAAGATTAGTTTTACATAATTGTCCTTGAGAGTCAATATGATAATCTAAAGTATCAATTGATAAAACATGTTTTGCAAATGGATTTGGATATCGATTTAAATAAGCTAATGAAGTTGTTTCAAAGTCGTAATTATAAGAATGTTTGGATTCAAAATATAAAACCATATTTAAAAATTCTTTCTGATTATGATTAATGGATGATTTAATGGATGAATATATGATATTTTGATGTTGGTCTGAGTTGAAGTTTTGATAAGTGGAGTTTGATTAAAGAAAAATTATTTTCAAAAAAAAAAAAAAAAAAAAAAAAATTTTCAGTTGCAAAACATTTGATGATTTGAAATTGAAGTTTTATCAGTATAAAAATTGAATGAGTGTAAAGGTAGCTGTAGCTAGCTGTAGCTGAATTAAGCTTGAATGAAGTCGTTCGTTGATATTGATAGATAGATATTATAGCTGTTGATTATGGAGAGAAAATTCGATTGTTATGGTGTGATTTGAATCATCGGCCGACATAAATTCTTTTGACGGTATTAAATTTTCTCCGATCATTTGGTAGCACTCTGGTATGCCACTACATAATTAAAATTAACCATTCATATCTCGGTGAAACATAAGCATACTTGATGTTAATTATAAGCATACTTGATGTTAATTATAGGCATACCTAATGTTAATTATAAGCATACTTGATGTTAATTATAAGCATACCTAATGTTAATTTCTGGCTTCAATTAAACATATGAGACAAATTAATTGACATCAGTTTCTGGAAGTTGGAAGAGCTTCAAACGTTTAAGTAACTACGTTTGGATTTTTAACGTTGTATAAACAGATCAATATACGATTAATCATATATTGTAGTGCCATATCTTCTAATAGGTAGAAATTGTGTTAGAATTGTTTAATACACTTCTTATTATAACATCTGTTACTTTATTTGACTCTCAACAAAGAATAACTCATTATAAACAAGTTCTCCTTAATCAGATATTTCAATTCTAATTTCAAGACCTGAGTATGAATGAAAACTCCACTAGCGAAAATTAGTTCTGGAGTACATTAGGATATTCAACTAGTGAATCTTTTACCATTCTAAATCTTATTTGAACTGAATAAACTCAAACTCAAATATTTTTTTTTAATGTATTATTCTGTTTCCATTCAACTCGTAATACAAAAAATAATACTGGACCGAAATGTAATAAAACAAAATAATTGATAAAACAAAATAATTAATAAAACAAAATAATCAATAAAACAAAATAATCAATAAAACAAAACAATCTAAATACTTAGAAAAGAATTCTTCTAACCTTGCGAGCACCAGCAGCTCGACAACTCAAAAACAAATACGTTTTGATTGTTGGAATTTCATGACCTTCGCTCAAATTATTAGCCATCCCATTTAGACCTTCAAAACCCAACTTACTATCTTATTTGGAATTTATTGTACTAGTCGCTCAAATCATATTCGATAATTGGACATTATTATTTTCGGAAATCGCGCAATTATTTGCGCTTCTTGGCACAGTTAACTTACTCTTACTTAAAAGCCTAGGTTAATTCAAAAGGAAACGTGACCACGAGAGTACTTTAATCAAAAATAGCTTTATTACTGGATAGATTTGGTTATATTCCATTTCAATCAAATAAATAACCATGGTATACTTAACAAATCTTAAATTACTACAGGGTATAAAAAAAAAAAAAAAAGATATCCAAGAAAGCGAATACTTTTAATCTTGGTATACTATAACGAAACCTTAAATGACATCATTACCAATCGTTCCGAGAAAGGGATTAGTTACAATCTTACAATCTTACAATCTTGCAATCTTGCAATCTTACAATCTTGATCAAAATCGAGATTAATTAAAGCTTATCTCCAAAAATTAATAGATTGGTTTGTATGATTACTTGTAGTCTAATTATGAACCCTTCGGAAGAATATCTCTATACTATACTATCGGCTAATTCTCTTCGAATTTAATCGTATCCGATTACATAAATGATAAAGATGATTTACAGGTCGAGTCTAAAACTTAGCCGCTAAGTGTCCAAGAATTTTTATTTTTTTTTTTTTTTTTTTTTTTGATCCCAAAAATTGCTAATATAAGCGAACAAAATCAAAGCAAAATACCAATGAAGGTAATTATAAACGAGATTGAGATATTATATTATGTCAAAATGTTATTGACAAGAGAACAAATAATTCTATTAATTATGTAATTTCCCGAATGGAAAAACTTAAACTACCCCACGTATTATAAAGGTTTATCCATAATATTTATAATTCAATTAACGAACGATTTATTGATCTAGATACATGTATAATTTGATCATAGAATGTGGGGGAAAACCAAACTAAAAGATCTCGAATGCCTTGAGTTGAACCATTCATTGACGGCAAATTAAATAAGCTTATTCTTTTTGGTACAAAAAATCGGCTGCGGTCATTGAAATCCATTAGTAAAACAACGTCTTTGAAAAATCTTAATTTTCAAACACGGCAATTTAAGAGATAAAAAACACAAAACCAAATACGTTCAACTCGCTAAACTTTTCCGCTAAACTTTTCCAAAAAAAGTTTTCTCTTACATACATCTCTTTTATTTGTTTATCAATTTGAAATTGTAATAGTAATCACCAAATTTGATGATTATTAATTTCCTAATATTGTTTGCTCTTACATAAAATGAACTCATGGTTTATTCACTATATTTTTGACCTTAACCGATATCTCTTAGTTCCGATTAGATATAGAGTTCTTTATTTATCCTATTTGATACCATACTCGGAGTCTTGTTAAAATAGAATTTAATGATGGCTGTCTTGTATATAATAGAATATTTTGGGTTTTGTGTAACAGTTTGCAACCCTAAATTTCTTTTTCTTTTTTTTTTTTTTTTTTTTAACTTTTGCAACTAAAAAATTTTTAGTAAGATGAATAGAACTACCCAAAACAATAAGTGATTGCATTGATATCTCTTGTACGTAAATTACAATCTTTAACTAATAAAATTAATCTATAACAATTTTACAATTTAGATTTTATAATTTCGATTTTCCATATCTTTTCTTTTCTTTTATTATAAACTAACCCCAACTCCGATTATTTATTTTCAAGTTTGATTTTTCAATTTATTTATATAACCACATTAATTTGCCCTAGATTTTATAAGATTTAAAAGATTTAAATCAAGATTTAAATCAAATTTATTTATTCATTTATTCATTTTAATTGATTTCCTTAGTTTTATTGTTATGCTATATTAAAATTAACAAATCATTTATCTATTCACATATCAATTATTTATTATTATTATTTATTATTATAATTATAATTATTATTTATTATTATTATTTATTCATTTATCAACTATTCATATAAGGTTCATTTATTATGTCAATTGAAAAAGTTATAACAAAAAATACCCATACAAAGTCAAATATTGAAAAATTAGATGAAGCAAGTTATTCAAATAGTTCATCTAATTCAAATAAAAAATATGGAGTTTTTACTCTGGTGGTTGATTCATTTAGACGTGCTCCTGATGATATAGATACCGTTCCGAAGAATATATCCAAAAATGAATTAAGATTAATGGCTGTATCAACTGGTTTAGGTACTGGTTTATTAGTTGCTAGTGGTCAACGTTTAGCAAGTGCAGGGCCAGTTGGTGTTTTGGCAAGTTATGCTATATCTGGTTTATTAATGTTGACAAATATGATTTTTGGATTGAGTGAAATTACAGTTGCATTTCCAGGAAAAGAAGGTGGGTTTCAAGGATTCTTTGGAATGTTTATTGATGAAAGTTTAGCATTTTCACTAGGTTGGAATTATGCATTTCAATGGATGTGTGTTATAAGTTTAGAATTGGTTACTGCATCAATGACTATATCATTTTGGACAGAAACTATAAATGCTGATGTTTGGGTTACAATATTTTTAGTTGTAATTATTGTGATCAATTTTGGTGGTGCTAAAGTTTATTCAGTAGTTGAAACTGCTTTCAATTCATGCAAAGTTATAATGTTGGTTGGATTTATATTGTTTGGTTTAATTGTTGATGTTGGTGGTTCACCTGCTGGATTTATTGGTGGTAGATACTATCATAATCCTGGTGCTTGGACTGGGTTTAAAGGTTTTGCTTCAGTTTTTGTTACAGGGGCTTTTTCATTAGGTGGTTCAGAATTTATTTCTATATCATGTGCTGAAACCAGAAATCCAAGAACTTCAATTAGAGCTGCAAGTAAATTAGTTTATTTCAAAGTTATTGTTTTATTCCTTGGTTCATTATGTTTTGTTGGTTTATTAGTTCCATATACTAGTGATCGTTTAATGGGTTCACAAGGTGGTGGCTCACATGCTTCACCTTATGTTTTAGCTGCTGAATTGAATGGTATTAAAGTCTTACCGCATATTATCAATGCAGTTATTTTAATTTCAGTTACCTCAGTTGCAACAGCTGCAATGTATTCAGTTCCAAGATTAATTTTATCATTAGCAAAACAAGGTTTAGCTCCAAAATGGTTTGATTATGTCGACAATCAAGGTAGACCAGCAAGAGCATTTGGAATCACTATTTTATCATCATTTTTTGCATATATTGCTGCTTATAAAAAACAAGAAACTGTTTTTACATGGTTATTATCAATTTCAGGTATTTCATTTGTTTTATGTTGGTTATTTATTTCAGTTTGTCATGTTAGATGGAGAGCAGCATTGAAATATAATAATATAAGTTTAGATTCATTAGGTTTTGTTTCACCAACTGGTTTATGGGGTTCATATTTATCAATTTTAATTAATTTTTTAATTTTAGTTGCACAATTTTGGACTTCATTATTTCCATTAGGTGGTGATGGTTCACCAAATGCATTATCATTTTTTGAAAATTATTTAGGTGGTCCAGTTTTTGTTATTTTATGGGCTGGTCATAAAATATGGACAAGAAATTGGAAATTATTTAAAAGAGTTCAAGATATTGATATAAACACTGATAGAACAATTTATGATCCTGAAATTTTAGAATTGGAGAAATTGGAAGAAAAGGATAAATATAAAAGAGCTCCATTTTGGAAAAAGGCATTCATAACATTATTTGATTAGATATTAGATTAAGTAGAGTAGATCTCTGCAATATAGATTAAGATTAATTTGTGGACTCTATTTTTATCTTTGTGCAATTTTAAGCAAGTATAAGGAATGCCAAAATGAATTAAATGCTGATGTTCAATGAAGATCTTGGTGTATTGAGCTTGGAGTCATAAATCGCTATCATCTCAGAATTATCTATGGTGACTGAAAACTTGACTCAGAAGCTATATATTTTTTATAATTGTATTGAGACCTAATCTGATTTTTATTACTGGCTAGATCTCATTTTTTTGAACCCTGATCTATTTACGAGATCTGAGATCTAAGATCTGGTGTCTTGCATATAATTTTATTTGTTTTTGTTTTTTTTTTATTTTCGTCTATTTTAAGGTTTCAATCTGAAACAAAATTATGCGCAATTTTAACAACAAACAATAGGGTTGTCATTGCAACTAAGTGTTGCAGCATAAACAAACATCCGGATTAAGACAAGCTATTACCTAATTTTTCACTATGTTGTTATTTATAACACTTTTCATCCTTGAAATTTTCATATACTGAAATTGTCCATTCATTTCAATTTAATTATTCTATGACTGATAGAGATTATTTAGTTCATCAAATTAATCAACAGTTGAGTAATTTAATTCAAAATCAATCTGGTTCATTTGTTTTAGCTACTCAATCTCATCCAACATCAGATTTAAACGTTTTATATTCAAAGCATTATACAGATCAACAAATTGAAGATATTAGAAAAATATTAGGAAAACCAACATTGATATCAATCAAACCAGTGTTAAAAAGAACTATAATCATTACCTTAATTAAAGATGACTTATCATCTCAAGAATCAATAATTTCTCAATTTCGAGATTTATTCAATGTATTAACTCAAGTTGTTTGTAAAGAAGTTGCAAAAGCATGGATTAAAATTTTAGAACCAAATAAGCAAGCTTTATATCCATATAGAAATGGTAATTCCAAAAAACCAACTTGGTGGCCTGAACATGTTAATCATATTGAACCAGATCATTTAGATAAAGTTGGAAGAGTTGAATTATTAATTAATATTGTTAGAAATTTGAATTTTGATGTATTTCAAGGTGAATTAGTTACTATGATTTTAGAAAAGGATATTTGGAAATTGATAGTTAAAGAAATTTTATATTTGGCAGTTTATGAACGTATCTTTTTCAATAATCTGAGACAAGTTGATGAATTATATCAATATATTCCAAAGTTGGAAAAAGATGTAATTGAAAAAGAGAATGAAATTAAAATTATTGCTAGTAATTTTAGAATTGGAGTTGAGTTAATTATGTCCATTAGAGTTAAAGATTCTGATTTAAATGATAAAGTTTATCAATTAAATATGGATGAAGAACCTGAGCAACCAGAAGAAGAATTTACTCCTGCTAAAAGAGTTAATAAAAGATTAAGTTTACCAGATTTAAGAAAAAATGCAAGATTAAAACAAGATTTAAATCATGAAGATAATATTAAAATTGTAAGGAAACAAATTGTAACAAAGAAGTCATCAAAGAAATTACCTAGAATTACAAAGAAAAGATCAACTACAAGCATTAAATTACCTAAATATGTTTCTGAAGACGACTATGAAGATACAGATAGTGATGAGGTTAAAATGGAAACAATTAATGATGAATCAAGAAAAGTAAATGATGAAATTGCTAATAGAAATGATACAATTGAAATAAATCAAAAAACTGAATCAAAAGAAGATGATAAAGTTGAATTAGATAATGAACCAAAAGTAAATGCTATAGCAGAAGATCCAGTTTTTGATTCAGATGATGATTTGGATCCAAATGAACCAAAAGTTGATGCAATTGAAGAAGATCCAGATATTTCTCTGGAACTTGATGATGATTTTGTTTCAAGAATTGCAAATGCTAACATCTATACAACACCAGATTTTGATGTTGTTGATCTAGAAAATGATATTCCATCAGATACAGAATCAGACTCAATTTCATCTATGGATTCAGATAAGTTTAATAAAAAAATTAGAAAAGCTGATATTGAAAATTTATTAATTTCATCGCAAGAAGATAAACATTTATCAACAACTCCAGATACAAAAGTATCACTGATTAAATCAACAGCATCAACTCCAATATGTACAATTGTAGATAGTTTAACAAATAATGAATTTTCAGCTTCGACTCCAAAACAAAATATTTCAACTCCAATTCATATTCCTCAATCTTCACCTTTTAAATCTCCATTTGCAAGATCATCAATTTATAATGAAACTTTTTCAAGTATTGACTATTATGATGCTAATATGGATAGTTTTGATGATATCAATTCAAGTCCTTGTCAAAATGGATAATTTAATGCCGGTACATTAATACACGCTATGATGACTAACTACCTATTTCACTCTCTAATGCTACAATTTACTACTTCGTGTAATTTTTGTCCATTACATTTTTTGTTTACCTTTTTTTGTAATTTTGCAGCCATTTCGAAAATGTTCCCAACTATATAACAAACAAACTTTTTTGCTATTTTATGGCTTCATTTCTTGAACTTATATCTTTTCTTATCCTTGTTTGCTTTTTAACAGTCTTAGACTTATTAGGTTCATTAATCAAATTAATGTCAAAGCAATCAAATTCAAAATCTGAAAATTTAGCTAGTGCAACTCCAAATCCAGAACCAGAACAACAAGAACAAGATCAAGTTTCACAACCAGAAAAACCAGTTAAAATGAAACCATCACCAACTCGTCTATTAACACCAGATCATTTAAAGAATTATCCAATTTTAAATAGTACTAAAAATGCAATCGAAAGAATTCCATTAACTAAAAATGTATTTGGTATGATTGATTCTTCATTTACTTTTATTAGACATTATCAACCTATTAAATATATTGTTGAAACTAGTGATAAATATTCAAATGAAATTTTAAATGCTGTTGATAAATATTTACCAAGTTTATCAACTACCGAAGTTGATGATATTACAACACCAATTATTCAACCAGTTACTAATGCTTATGATCAAGTCTCAACAAAGATTCATAATTTAAATGAATCGGTTAAAAGAGATGTTGTTGATCCTACAAAAGATTTAGTTGATAATGTTAAAGAAGAATATATTAGTAAAAATTTAGAAGCTGCTGATAAACAAATCAAAACAAAAGTTATTGATCCATTTAATGAAACTTTAGAAGCTGCTGATAAACAAATTAAAACTAAAGTAGTTGGTCCATTCAATGAAACTTTGGAACAATTCGTTGAAAATCATTTTCCGGATAAGAAAACATCAATTGAAGGTGAAACAAGTGAATATCAGAAAACATTTAAAATCGTTGGTAATGTTATATCTAGAAAGAAATGATAAAAAACAAACTTGCTAATTTATTATCTAATATACAATCAATCCTTTGACTTTTTCTTCTTCTTTTTTGGTGTATCTTCTGAATCATCAGATTTTCTCTTTTTATCTTTCTTATCTTTCTTTTCCTTTTTATCTTTCTTTTCCTTCTTATCCTTCTTTTCCTTCTTATCCTTCTTTTCCTTCTTTTCTTTCTTTTCCTTCTTTTCTACAACTTCTTCTACTTCTACATCTTCATCTAAATCTATACCAGTCAAAGCTAAAGCTTCTTTTATAGCATCACTATTTTTCATTGGTGCAGAACCAGTATCATAGAATTTCAATCTTTCTTCAACTTGTTTTTTCAAAACTTCACCAAAGGCAGTTGTTGGTTCATCTGAATAATTATCAATTCTTGAAGCAATAGAACATTTATTTGCTAAATATCTTGAAATTCTACCTTTATTTTTTGATGAAGCTTTACCAATAAATGATGAATGATAAATTAAACCATATTTTGGAGTATTACCTTTAGTTTTTAAAGCCCTAAATAAAGCCTTTTCAGCACCTAATATTTGAACAGTTGAAGCTGCTTGTTTTGATAAATTAGTTAATGAACCAGCATGAGATATTAATCTTGCACCAACAACTTCACCAATTAATGTACTTAAATTAGGAGCAACAGTATTCATTTTATCAGTTAAATATTTATACAATTGTTGTCTATATTCAGTTAAGTTAACAACTCTCTTAGCAAAATTTAAAACATTATTCATATCTTGTTCTGAAATATCTTGACCCATTGAAATTTTTGCATTATCAATAACTCTTTGTGCTAAACCAGAATCTTCATCTAATATACTTGCGAGATCATGTAATGAATCATCAGTTAAAGTGGATTTATCATTTATAGCTAAAATTAATCTTGCAAACTTATAATTATCGGAAACAATTTTAGCCAATTCCGGGAAATGCCATCCATACCATTCTTTAACTCTCATTGAAAATGTATTAATATCTTTATCTAATTGATCTAATAATGCAATAGCTTGAATTATATGATTATCATTTTTTTGAACTGAAAATTTAACTTTAGCTCTTGAAAAAGCATGCCCTAAACCTAATTGAGCTCTTTCAATATCACCTTGTTGTAAACCTTTAAATAATTTATCTCCATGAACTCTAATACCTCTTAAAAAATCTTGAGCAATTTCATTTGATAAAACATCAACATTTGGTAAAAATTCTTTAATTGATGGTCCTAAACTTTTATCACTTACACCAAGAGTAATCTTATTTTTTGATGAAGATTTTGGTAAATTTAATTCCAATATACTTTTGAGGTAATCTGAAACTATACCTTCACTTATATCATTAGCATTTTCTAAAGCTTGAGCAGCACCTTGAAATGGAGCAAATGAAATTAATTCAATCATTTTTGAAAATTTTCCTAAATCTTGTGAAGCTTCTTGTACTTCTTTTTGTCTTGAAGCAATTTCATCTTGTTGGATTAATACTTTAAATATACCATATCCTGTTGCTTTTTCATAAAGAAGATAATCTGGTCCAGGCATTAGTACTTGATAAAAAAGAGAGATGAGTGAAAAATAAAAATTTTATTTATTTGAAAAATGGTAGCTCATGCAAAATTTAAATCCCAACCAAGTTCTTTTAATGAAGAATGCCAATCAATGACTGAATCTCCATTAGGATTGTCTTTCCATATCTTCTCAATAACAAATTTAACTCTTGTGACATTCCACATACCATATAATTTTATAAATTGATCAATTCTCTCCGACATTTTTATACGATCAAATGTTGTAACACAATGTATACCTGACATGAAAATTGGAAATACTAACGATGCTTGAACTGAGGTACCAACAAGTATATCTAAACATTTTATTAGGTCGTTGTTGATCATTTGTGATTCTAGTTGTGAGGGATTACATTTCATTATAGATTGTTTTAGGAATAATTTTGATGATAACTGAAATGCTTCAAATAAAGTTAGTTGTAGTTCCAATTCTTGATCTGTTAAATTTATCAAATCTTTCTTATCTGGTTTTGCATTGTTGATTTCTGTCTCTAATTTTTCCACTTTTGAAATTATTGAATTTAATAATTTTATTGAAAATGCATGATCACTTATTTCAGAATCTGTATCAGATTCATCTGCATCTCCATTTCCATCTCCATTTCCATCTCCATCTCCATCTCTATTATAATACTGATCTAGTAGTTTCTTACTTTCAAATAATAAAGTTGATATATCACCAATAATTCTGTATAAAACTTTTGAAACACCAAGTAATGGGTTTAAACTACCTTTTGAATACCCTTGTTCATCATTAAATATTACTTCGTATTCTTCAGATGGAAAGTATGTACCCCTTTCAATTGAAGAGCTAGCTAATAAATCATGATATGCAAAATTTGAAATTAACCAATTTTCTTCCTTTGATGAATTAAAATTTAAGATACCACCATTTTTACTAAGCAAATTCCAACCCCAATTTAAATATACTGACCAATTCTTTACATCACCCTTACAAATTTCAGCACCAACTAATATCATTAATGTAGCTAATTTTATAATAATATCATTTCTTTCACTTGAAGTATTTTTTGATAAATGATCTAATGCTATATTAAAGAATTTTTGACTTTCATCTGACCAATATCCTCCTAAATGAAAACCACTCCATACTAATAAACTATAAAATACACCCTTATCTCGATGTGCCAAGGGTAAAAATATTTTTTGAAATGAATTTGAATCATTTTGTGAACTCGGTGAAATGGAAACTTTTTGTGATAAAACTTCGACATAATAATTGTATAAATATGATATAGTAGGATCATTTAATTCTGGAATATAAATTGGAGATTGTGGTACACTTGGAGCTAATGATGATATCCAATCTAGATACGATTTATTAGGACCTAATGAGTTTTCAAAATCGCATAACAAATCAGAAGTTGATACAGTACTTCCAATTTCTTCAATTTTCCCCTCTTGTTCTGTATGACTCAAATCTCGTAGTAAATTTAAATAACCTGATGGTGAAGGTGGTTCCTCATTTATTAAATTTTGTATGCTTGGTGAATTTGGTGAATGATTTGTAGATCGCACATCTGAGTTATATGTGAATAACTTTAATGGATCATGAACAACTTCAACAACCTCAACAACCTCAACAGGCTTTGGTTTTTTACTTTTCCTTTTTCTCAACTTCTTCAAACTTTCTTCATGATATGCTTTCTCTTTTAATTGTTTTATTTCTTCATCTGTCATATTTTCATTTATCCAAAAACATTTCTTTTTCAATCTTAAACAATCTGAACATATTGGTTTGACTTCATTACATTTTTTTTTCCGAATTTTACATGTTAAACAACCATTTTTTGACCTAACAGCGTCTCTAAATCTATGAAAATCTGTCGGACTATCAATAACTTTAGATTGACTTGATGATGAAGACTGATTATGTTTTTTATCTGTTGTTGAAAACGTTACAAACATTTTGCTTATTCCTAGGAAATTGATCAATGTTATTTTTTTTTATCAAAACGTTTTTTAACCCCGGATGCGACAAATGAAAAAATATTTAGCTGCAAAATAATTATTAGGCCATTTTTGAAACAAACGATTTATCGTACAATACGACTAGGGACTAGTTCAAGGGCCCACTTGTAAGCTGGTATATCTGTATAAAGGTGTACAATCTGATATAAAAAGGATTTTTCAACTGGCTTCGTAGAGATCATTCCAATTTGAATATACGTTATAGTATAGCACTCGAATTTTTAAATACGCCAAATATACAAGAAATTGCACATGAGATCATGAGACCTCTCCCAATGATACCAAAATGATAATGTACTCAGGTAATATTTGAGGTCTGAACAAGAGATCGGGAACGGTATTGTATGAAAAGATCTTGACATAAGCGCGAAATTTCGCGCACAATTTCGTGCACAATTTCGCGCTACCACTTTGTAATTTAGTTTGATGTCGGATATATTTGCAAAAAGTAGTTACCAAAAAGTAGTTACCAGTTTAGTTTGATTCGTTTCGGATTTCTAAAAAAACGTATTTTTGAAAACTTGAGCATCCATTCTAAAACAAGAGTAATTTTGAGAATTTTGAACTTGTTTTGCAAGGCACTATTTTAAAATTTGATAAATAAGCAGAATTACTTGAACAGGTGGAAAATTAAAAGGTAACTAATGAACAGTAGTGAATTTAACAGTATTTAGTAAAGGAGATATCAAGTGGCTGCATAAGCAGAAATTGCAGTAAAAACTCCGTAAGAAATATTTTTACAACTCTGGCCTCTAACGTAGTCAAATCTTGAGCTACAACTCTAAAATTAGGTTCAAAATAATCAGAAATGATCGAATATGATAACTATCAACTTAATAAGTCATCAAATATAGATGTTGTTTCAGAATTATCAATTTGAATCAATCTTGAATAAATTACACTACATTCCATTGTACATCAATACTATACAATACTAACAAATTGTAGTGAACCGTATAATTTTACTTAGTCGTGTGATTGTTAAAATTTTTTCTTCATTTTTGCTGATTTCATTTTTTTGATTTTGTTAAAGATTTTTCTTTTTATTATTAACATTACAACAAATATCACATTTACATTAAATTTAAACTACAAGATAAATCATGTCCTTAAAACGTATTAATAAAGAATTATCAGACTTAGGCAGGTATGTGTTATTAATATTATTCAGTAATAATCCACAGTTAGTTTTAGTTTTGGTTTCTTATTGAGCATTTTCAAATTTGCTGGAATGTTCTAAAATTTCAAATCATCAACAGCAAATAGTCCAACAAGTTCAGCATCAGCACCTATTTAATGATGATTCTATTCATTCAGATAATAAATTAAAACCGTTGGTCGACTTTTTAGTTCGAAATTACTAACTTTTACTTTTTTTTAGAGATCCTCCATCAAGTTGTTCAGCAGGTCCAGTTGGTGATGATTTATATCATTGGCAAGCTTCTATTATGGGACCGCCAGATTCTCCATATGCTGGTGGTGTATTTTTCTTATCAATACACTTTCCAACAGATTATCCTTTCAAACCTCCTAAAATTGCATTTACAACTAAAATTTATCATCCAAATATTAATTCAAATGGTAATATCTGTTTAGATATTTTGAAAGATCAATGGAGTCCAGCTTTAACAATTTCTAAAGTTTTATTATCAATTTGTTCATTATTAACTGATGCTAATCCTGATGATCCATTGGTTCCTGAAATTGCTCATATCTATAAACAAGATAGAAAAAAATATGAAGCTACTGCTAAAGAATGGACTAAAAAATATGCTGTTTAAGGTGGTTTTAGTATATAGTTTCTTTATTAATATAATTAAGTTTCATAGTAGTACTAAAATTAAATTTCTCATTATATTTGATTTTGAACTCGAATGAAATAAAAGTATAGTTATAAAAAAACTAGTAGGAGTTTAATAATAAATACAATGTGATCTGTTATTCGACTACTGTAAAGAGTTGTTTAGTCATAGTTTATAAATTCGTAAATTGCGAAAAGTGCTCTTAACAGGACTACTATATAAATTCACTTCGCTAGTTTCAATTTGGATTGAAATCAGTAACGAGCATGTTTATCTCTCATTATAACTTGTGTATCACCTAATAAACATTCAAATTTCGTCTATTCATGATGAAAATTTTCTTCACAACCATCTCAGAATAGCTGAACTGAAATCCACTGAAATCCAATCAGAAAACCATGTTCATATCAGTATATAATAATAATAACACTATTAGCAGCTGTCCTAGCTAGTCCTTACAAGAACAAAACTCGACCAAATAAAATAAAATTCATCAACCACATCAATTCAATTACTTTTCATAATTATCTAATTTAACTTCTCAAATTAAACAATTAAAACTAGGAGAAACATCATCTTCATCGGATATTCTAATTTAGTTAGTAATTTGAACAATGAAATTCATTCAATTTTCAGACAAAAAAAAATAAGGTAGCTTGGGTTTTTCCACATCGACAAAAACGTCTCGAGCCAAATGCACTCGGAGTCATCATTTGAAATTGAAAACTAATATTGTAAAAACATACAAATATGAAGAAAAAGAATAGTGATAGTGATGAAAAAAGTGAAAATTATTTCTGAAACAATCTCATCTATTTATAGGGAAAAAAAAATTATTATATACAGGATCATAAATTATCACCAACTTTTATTATCAACCATGGCTGAAAACAAGTATAAATATAGAATTGAAATACAACAAATGATGTTGGTATCTGGAGAATCGAATGATCCACCAATAGAAACTACTTCCTTAATTGAAGATATTGTACGTGGTCAAGTTATTGAAATTTTATTGCAATCTCAAAAAACAACCAATAGTCGAGGTTCAAAATCAATATCTGCTGAAGATGTTATATTCCTTATACGTCATGATAAAGCTAAAGTTAATAGATTAAGAACATATTTATCATGGAAAGACGTTCGTAAAAATGCAAAAGATCAAGATGGCAATGGTGGTACTGCTGAATTACTAGAAAATCAACAAGAAACTGAAACAAATAAAAAGGAAAATGATTCTTCAAAAATGTTAAATAGATATAAGAAGTCTAAAATTAGATTACCTTGGGAATTACAATTTATGTTCAGTGAACAACATTTAGAAACTCAAGAAGATCAAGAAAATATTGATGAAGAAGAAAAAGCAGCTACAATTGCAAGTTTAAAAAGATTAAAAATGGCTGATGATAGAACTAGAAATATGACTAGAGAAGAATATGTACATTGGAGTGAATGTAGACAAGCTTCATTTACATTTAGAAAAGCAAAAAGATTTAGAGAATGGGCTTCAATCACTCAATTATGTGATTCAAGACCAAATGATGATGTTATTGATATTCTTGGATTTTTGACATTTGAAATTGTATGTTCATTAACTGAAGAAGCAATGAATATAAAGAACAGTGAAAATAAGTTAAATGAAAAGAAAGAGAAAATTAAACAATTACAACAAAAGGAACAACAAAAGAAGAGAAAATATTTATTTGATAAACCTGATGAATTGCAATCTCCAATAATGCCATATCATATTGAAGAAGCATGGAGGAGATTACAAAGTACTGATTTTAAACATAAAGCAGCAAGATCATTTGGAGGAGGAATGGTGAAAACAAGAACTAGATTAATTTAACATAATAAAGGATAGTTTAAAAATTTTTTCAAAACTTGGTTATTATCAACTTCATATTGATTTAATCACTTACTTGCCATATTCAGGTATGGTGAAAACAAGAACTAGATTTTAATTTAACATAGTATTCAATAAAGTTGATTCATATCTAAAATCTCGATAATTTAAAAATTCCTTCAAACTTGGTTTATCTGGATTATCAATTTCATATTGATTTAACTTATTTTGTAAAGTTTGCCAATATCTAGTATATGGTAATAAATCTAAAACTAATGGTGTTATAGTTATATAATTTAAAAAAGAATTATCTGGTATACCAACTGAATCTAATGTTTGTGTTCTATTTGATTTTTTATAAATTTTGTCTCTTAATCCAATAAATTGTAAAGTTTCATATTTTAAGTCATTAAATTGGAATTTTGGTGATGGTAATGATTTATTAACTGGAATGAGATGTCGTAATTCCTTTCCAAAATTTATTTCATAATCATATTGTAAATTGTATAAATCATCAACTGTGTAAATATCAACCAACTCATTGTTGCTGTATTCTTGTAACTGATTTGTTCTAGTCTGTTCTATAACATCGCTACATGATAATAAATTGAGCAAGTTGGATAATTCGTGAAAATCTGATATCTCTTCTACCTTCCTTTTCTTTTTATTTATTTTCTTACCTCTTTTTGATTTACATAGAAACTCAGAATGGTTTATACAGCCTCTAATATCTGATTTTATACCATTTGAGTTTTCATCTATTATGTCCTCTAAAATCTCTGCATCAACATCAACATTTTCATTGATCCCGCATAACCAGAGATAATCTGCAAGTATTCTATTTGAAATTTTAAAATCGTCCATAAATATAATTGAATTTTCTTCTCTTGCAAAATCAACTAAATTCTTTGGGATATTCCATAATTCCTCACAAGTTAAAATAATTGGTCTTTTTGTAATATTTATAATTTCACCTACCAATTGCCAAAATCTAGCATCTTGTTCAAATAAAATATTTACATCTTCTAATAATACCAATCCCTTTTCATTATTATTTATCAATTGAGTAGTTACAAATTCTTTTAAATTTTGATATAAATCTTTTTTATTTCTTGATTGACCAGCATTTATTTCATGTATGTATCCATTAAGTTGTTTCATACAAGTATAAACATATGTAGACTTCCCAACACCTAAAGAACCTTGAAGAATTAAAAATGGTGAATATGTAGGTTCTTCTTCATAATCATTTAAAAATGAATCAATACTTTTTTGTTTCAATTTAAATTTCAAATTTTTAATAGGACCATATTTTTGTAAATTTTTGAATGCATTAGTTATCCAGTAAAATATTTTCTGAATATTGTTTGGATTAATTAATAATTGATCAATATTTGTTGGTTTAAATTTTTCACACCAATTTTTTTTTGATTTATCTGACAATTTTGAATAAACATGTTGTAAAGGTGGTGGTAATTTCTCAGGTAATTTAGATAATAAAGTTTCAATGCTTTCTATTGGTTCGTAATTGAATTCTGCTTCATTTTTGTAATTTAATTTCGGTATTTCCCCAGAAACTTCTTCGATTTTCGGTATTTTTAAATCTCTTGGGGGTCTATAACTTCTCGTCTCATCATTAACATGTACTAAAACACAAACAGGTGATAGTTCTTTTACCTTTTTTTGTTTCAATACACTTTGTTTTTTGCTAGCTTGCATCATACTTGAAAACAAACTATTTATAGATTTACCTTCTGATTTAGCACCACTTCCTTTAGTTTTCAATGGATTTTCAAATTGTTTAATTCTAGCAAGTTCATTAGAATTAATTTTCAATTTGACCACATATGAATATGGATTTTTACCATTTTTAATATTCTCCAAAATTCTTGTTTTTAATTCAATTTTCACGATTTTTTTTGGAGAATGACTTTTAAAAACGTCTAGAATACTTGAACTTTTAACTTTTGAATATATTTTATTTTCTAATTCGAATGTAGAGTCTAAAATATCATTCATTAGTTAAAATTTTGACATATAATTTAATTTGTTTCAGAATTATTTTTATTTTTTTTTTTTTTATTTTTAATTTGCAACGCGATCTGAATTTTTCAAGAAGATCATCAAATGTCAAATATAAAGATAAACATCAAGAAGAAGAAGAAACCACAAAAAATTAAAGAGAAAGAAGTAAATGAAAATATAAAAGAAATTGAAAATTATTCAATTGAAAAACCAAAGCCAAAAAAGTTAATAATTAATCATCAAATTAAAAAAACTATAAAACAAGATGATTTGAAATATGGAGTAACTGAATTTAAAAAGGATGAAGATGTATCAGGTAAGAAAAAATCTGTTATAAATCAAAATCAATATGAATCTGATCCAGAAGAAGATGAAGAGCAAACTATACCAGTTGAAGAATTTGGTTTGGCATTTTTACGTGGTTTAGGTTATAATGAAGAAGATGAAAAGAAAGAGGAGACACCAAAATTGGAAAATCGTCAAAAGGGTCATGTTTTGGGAATTGGTGCAAAACCAATAGATGAGAAAAGTTAGGAAATTGGGCTATATCTGAAAAATTTGGTTTAATCAACTTTCTAATTGGATTAGTTCACTTTATTTGAAGTAGATTGGTTAGTATGGCAGGATTGAAAGTTGTTTACAAAGAATAATGTAAGTTCAATTAATCAAGTATCCACCTTGAAATGGGAATTTCAGGAAGTCAGGAAGAAATTTTCAGGAAGTCAGGAAGAAAAGGGTCTCCAGTACCATATATAGAGTCAGAAATTACAAGGTTGTCATATATCTTCATTAATCATAACATTAAAATAAATAACAAAATAACTTTTCTTATACCATTGCACCTAATCCAATGACTAATAATTGTGTAGCAATACTTTGAGCCCATGATTTTTCATTATATATCCTTTTTTCATCATCTTTAACTAATAATTTAAATTCTTCATAAATATCATAAATTAAACTATCAAATATTTTCAAATTTGATAATGATTCAATATTATATAAATCTGTTAATTTTTCAATTACTTGTGATTTTACAATTAATTGATTTTCATTTTGATTTATAAATTGTATTAATGATCTTAAATCAGTTAATGAAATGAATGGTTGATTATTTTGAGATAATGGAAGATTTTTAGGTAAACTTGCTTTTAAATCTTTTAATTTAATTTTAAAATTTATTATTGCATAAGCCATTGTTGGTTTCATTTGTTGTTTTTCTTTTTTAAAAGTGTAATAAATTGCATTAACTGCATCTTTTAATAATGATTCATCTTCTTGTTCCACTTTATGTTTATAAAATAAATTATTCTTGATAATTTCTCCCATTGATTCAGTTATCAAATTTTCTTCTTTTGGTAATTTAATATCAGCTATTATTTCAGCTTTGCCTTGTACTAACCAATTAAACGACTTTGTGTTGAAATTTGCTAAATCTATTGAATCTAATTTAAATCGTATAACTTTATTATCATCATTAAAATTTTGTCTTTTATGAATTGTAAACATACTATTATTTATAGCACCACTGATATTGTTTGCATTGAAAATATCGACTAAAATTTTATCACCTCTTAATTTTGGTAAATCACAATTAAATATATTTAATGTTACATTCTCATCATTAATTTCAATAACTGAATCAAAGATTTTAACATGATCAAATAAATAATTTTTATCAATAAATGAATTTTTCGAAGTAATTGTTTCTCTTGTTAATTCACCATGTAATCCATAAACTTCGAGGTTATATATTAAACCATTACCTTCGTACCATTTATTAAAACTTAATGTCATTTCTAAAGCCTCAATTTTACCTTTAAATATAAAATCTTCATTTTCTTTATTTGTAACTATTAAATTTTTAAATCTAATTTTACCATCTTTAAATTCTGGTAAATAATTATTTGTTTCAAATTTTAAGTTTAATCCAAGTCCATAACTTAAAATATTATTCGTAAGAGGACCTAAAATTTTTGATTCATGACTAAATAATGAATCAAAATAATAAATAAAATATATCAAACTTAGCATGAAAGTAGTAGTACCTAAAATAATCCAAATTAAATTTCCTAATATGAATGATGATATAAATGGTGAAATTAATTCCAACGGTGATAATTTGGAATTTCTTATAAAAGGCCATTTTAAATGAATGAAAAATCGAGATAGTTTATTATTAGCTTGAGATAATAATACTGACTTTGTAATCTTACCATAACTATATCTTGTTGGTTTAAATTTTAAATTTGTAGTGGTATGAAATTTTGAAAATTGTTTATATACAAGTGATGAGGATAAAATAGAAACTGGTGTGACTACTCTAGGTAGTTGATGATTTATTATCGAGTTCGAAAGTTTAATCAAACTCATGATTAAATATTGTTGAAATATTAACCAGTTACTCCGTTGCTAAGATGATTAACCAATTGTAGATTGTGTTTTAATTTTTTTTTTCAGATATAAGAAATTGTGCGTGCAAAGGGATGAATTGAAAGCCCCTTAAAAGTATATTACCCCCTAATTGTTCACAATGCGATATGCTTACTTTGCCTGGTTAATTTGTAATAAAAATAAGTAGAATCTACACTGGACACTTTTTATGAAAATCAAAATTAAAATATTCGTTCTTATGCTGTAGTTTGACAACTGAATGATTGGGACGATGTCGCCTTAAAACTCGTACCAGAAATTATTGTGTTGCGCCAAAGCTTCGTCCTAAAATTGCATATTAACCAGCACATTTCCCAAACAAAACTAACTTATATGCAGTATCACTATGTTTTCTTTCGAAACTTAAATCGTAAATAACGCCCTGAATATCCAAGCTTTTGATGTCAAAGCTTTTTCATCAAAGTGGATAAAACTTCAAACTAAGCTGGTGTACCAATTCCTGAGACAGCTATATTTTTGGTCACTTTTTAACCTATTAAAAAACGCTAAAAACGCTAATCTAAACTGCGAGATAATCAACACTTAGACCTCGTTTTGTAATTTTTAATACACTTAATAAGGTGTATTCAAGCCCGAAATTACAAAGTATGATATTTGGAAGACTCCATGTTCATTCTTAGTTTTTCTCAGAAATTTCGAACTTTTTTAGAGTAAAGATTGGGAAGATAAAAATTTGATGTAAATAAACCTATGAATAACATTTTATCATAGTATTTGCTTATATATCAAGTGTTTTATCCTTAACCGCCAATTGTTTATAGTTAGAATTGAAATTTTAAATTCTAATGAAGGGGCCAAAGATGGTAGCGCTACTAGTTAATTTTTGAAATTTTAAATTCTAATGAAGGGGCTAAAGATGGTTGCGTTACTACTTAATTTTCGAAAAACTATAAATAGACCCTGAATCCCTGGAAATTTTTAGCATTTATGATTTGACATTTTATCTGGTTTGCATCTGGTTTTCATCTGTTTCGAAATAGCAGCATCAAAGAATCAACGTCAACATAATTTGGGATTATTAATGTGTGAATGCTCAATGCATTTCTTGTTTGTGATTTTTTCACGAGATTTCATAATTTTCTTCTTTTTGGTGGTTTGATGATTCTTCATTTGATAATTGAAATCTCCAACTAGATTGTGAATATAAGGACAAATTGGGGTCAGGATTACACAATATATAATCCTAAATATTCAGGCTATTGATATCACTCTAAATGTAGTTTCTTGTTTCTTATATCAATCAATTTGAGGGTCTACTCTTCTAGAATTAATTTATTTTTTTGCAATCAAATTATTAAATAATTTTCTAACTTCAATCTACAATCATTAATTTGAGTAGTTGGTAATAGATCTTTATAGGAAGGAGAGAGATACAACTGTTATATAAACTTTTTGATGTGATCTAGTAAGGAGAGAGATACAACTGTTATATAAACTTTTTGATGTGATCTAGTACGCATTTATTTGCAGTGTGTTTCTAAAACTAATCTATTAAATGATTCTTTATATTTATTATATTTCTATATTATGACTATATTATGATAGAATTTATAATTTTTATCATAATAAAATTCATACTTATCATTATGATTTATTCTTTCTACTGCTCAACTAATTAGTTATGAGTTAGCTTGAATTAACTACTGTTTAATTTAATTGGTCTGGTAGATTGTTTAATCATCAAATCAATTAATTTGCCTAACGTTGAATATTTTTATATATAGTTTATATTTTTACATATAGTTTATATTTTTATATATAGTTTATATTTTTACATATAGTTTATATTTTTATATATAGTTTATATTTTTATATATTTGTTTATTTATTTATTTTTAATACCCCTTAACATTTTATTACCCCCTAAGAAATAAAAAAAATAAAAAAAGCGAAGCTCGGTTTATCAAAATTAAAAAGAAACTTTTGCTGCAAAAAAATCTGATATGATTAAATAAACAAAAATATATAAATACCAGGATATTTCTTTCATTTTATAAATTTCCACATCGCCTTTCCTTTATTTCAATCTATTATTACAGAGTTATCGTATCATACTAACAACTTATTATGGAAATCAATTTCAAAGTTAATATCTCATTTATGATCTTATATTTATCAGTTTTTATAACATTAAAATATTTTCAATACATGCTATTACAAAATATGCAAACAGAATCATTTGATTTATGTCAATATTTAACTGTGAAATCATCAATTTTATCAATAGGTGAGTATTAGAGAAAAAAAAATAATTATGTCTGATCCTGTTGTTGTTTCATTAAATGATTTGAAAACTGGTATATCAGATGAAATTTTAACAAAAGCATTTGGACCAGATTCATTAGGTATAATAGTAGTTAAAGACTTACCAGAAGAATATTTACAATTACGTTTAGATGTTCTAAAATCAATTAGTACATTGGCAAATTTACCCGAGGCTGATTTAGGAAAATTGGAAAATCCCGATAGTTTATGGTTGACTGGTTGGTCATTAGGTAAAGAAAAGTTGGTTAATAGTAATTATGATTTTAATAAAGGGTCATATTATATAAATTGTGCATTTCATAATGATCCAAATTTGGAGGGCCCAACAAAGGAATTGGTTGATAAATTTCCAAATTATCCAACTTATACCCATCCAAATATATGGCCAGATTTAGAAACCTTTGAATTAGATACGAAACGACTTTGCAATTTGATTATTGATGTTGCTGAACATGTTGCTATTAATTGTGATAAATATATTGGTAAAATTTATTCGGATTATGAACCGGGGTTTCTTAAAAGGATAGTTAAGGAGTCAACATGTACCAAAGCTAGATTATTACATTATTTCCCAGTTAAAGATGATGCAGATTCTTGGTGTGGAGAACATTTGGATCATTCTTGTTTAACAGGTTTAACATCAGCATTGTTTTTAGATGAATCAAAATCATTATTACACAACTTAGACAAATCACCAGACCCCGAAAGTGGATTATATATCAAGAATAGACAAGGAGAAACTATTAAAGTCAACATCCCATCAAATTGTTTAGCATTTCAATCTGGTTCGGCATTGGAAGAAATTTCAAAACGTAAATTTAAAGCCGTACCTCATTTTGTAAAAGGTACAAATTTACCAAATATTGCAAGAAATACTCTAGCTGTATTTTGTCAACGAAATTTAGATGAACAAATCGATGATAATGAAAATTTTGCTCAATATTCTGATCGTATATTAAAAAATAACCATTGAATATATATTTTGTGAACTTGAAAAAAAAAATCTCTGTAATGAACTTTGATGAAATACCAATTATTAATGATATAGAAACAGATGATGATGTAAGGGAGAAATTAAAAGAATTAAATCAACCAATTGTTCTACCTAATGAAACAAATGAAGATAGAAAACAAAGATTAATAAATTTATTACAAGATGAGGAAGATGAAGATATGGAATCCGATGAAGAAGAAGAAGAATTTTATACACCAGGTACACCAGAATTACAAGATATACGGTTAAAGATTTTAAAATATTCATTACAAAAATCAAATGAAAGACTAAACAACACAAAGAAATTAGTTAAAACTTTTGATAATATTTCATATTTAAAACATCGAAGGGCCATAATTGAACATTATAAAAAATTTGAATTATATGGATCTCAAACTATACCAGGTAATACAAGAGCTTTAGGGAGTGTTACGTTCAATCCTAAATGTGACTCAATTGCTGTTGGTTCATGGGATGGTTCAATAAGTATATTAGATGCTTCAACATTGGAAATAAAACAATCGCATCGCAATTTTCATACAGAAAAAGTTACATTAGATTTTGGTGATATATTAGTATCTGGTGGTAATGAAGGTACAATCATTTTATGGAATGACTCAAAACCAACACCGATTAAACAAGCTCATTCGAATAGAATAACAAGTTTGAAATTACACCATTTAAATTACTTATTATCTACTTCATTTGATCAAACATGGAAGTTTTGGGATCTTACAAAACAAACAGAGGTATGTCAACAAGAGGGTCATTCTAAAGAAATATTCACCAGTTCTTTACATCCCGATGGATCAATTTTCACAACTTCTGGATTAGATGGTATTATTAAAATTTGGGATTTAAGATCAGGTCGATTATTAACGAATTTAATTGGACATTCCAAACCTGTATACTCATTAGATTGGTCAAATAATGGAAATTATTTAGCTTCAGGTTCTGGTGATTGTTCAATTAAAATATGGGATTTTAGACAATTGAATAGATCAAATGAAGAAATTTATACAATACCTGCTCATACTAAATTGGTATCAGATTTAAAATTTAGTAATGATGGAAATACATTAATTAGTAGTTCATATGATGAATGTATTAATATATGGTCAGTTAATAATTGGATTAAAATCAAACTGTTAAAAGGGCATAATGATAAAGTAATGAATATAGATATAAATAATGAAGAGTCAAGTATTATAAGTTCTGGATGGGAAAGAACTATTAAATTATGGAAAATTGAATAAACTTTTTGCACCCAAATCATTTTTTCTTATTGTAGCAATTTTTTATCATTTTACCACTTTACATATTAGTAATAAATAGAATAAGTATACAACAGTTTTATTACTCATAACAACGAACGATGACTACAAGACAACAAGAATTAGATTTGAAAATTGTTAATGCTCCAAATAAAACTCAATATAGAGTTTTATCAGCAGTTACAAAAGTTCCTAAGGGTAAAGTTACTACTTATGGTCATATTGCCGAATTAATTGGTAAACCAAGATCTTATTCAAGAGTAGTTGGTCAAAATTTGAAACATTGTAAATTAATAATAAAACAATTGAATGAAACATTGGATGATGAATCAAAAAAAATTGATCAAAATTCATTTCCCTGGTGGAGAATTTTATCACAAGGTGGTAGTTTAGCAAAACGTGGAAATAGTGGAGAAGCAAAACAAAAGACAAAATTAGAAGAAGAAGGTTTGGAGTTTGTTGGTTCTGGTAATAAAAAACATATTGATATGAAAGAATATGGTTGGTTCCCAAGTAAAGTTGAATATAAAGATGTTAAAGATGAAGAAGTTGATTTTGATAAAGAAGAATAACGAGTAATGAATATGGTTTATATTGTCTACCTTCATTTTTGTTCTTTTCTTTTTCTTGGTTGTTGCTTCTTCATTTCTTTTTGAACTCTTTTTGATTCTTGATCCCACCATTTGGCAAATTCTTGTTCTTGTTGAATTTCTAGTAATGATTTCTTTTTTGTATCTTGATTTTTCAGCTGTTCTAATTTTAAAGTTTCTTGAATCATAATTTCTTGTAGTGATGGAGTTGATGTAATTGAAATTGTATCTGACATTGATGTTGATCGTTGAGCTGGTGGTGGTGAGATTTTTCCATTCGATGATTTTGTAGATCCTAGTATTGGTAAATCATTCACTGAGTTATTTGATATTGGTTGGCATGATATATTTGACCATGGTGCTAGATTTGATGGTTGTTGTGGTGGTGGGGAAGCTTTAGGTACTTCAACTTGTTGAGCCGCTAACTTCTTTCTTTCCTTTTGTGATAATTTGGTAAATTTCAATTTTGGTTTTGATTTTAGTTCTGGTGAAGGAGTTGGTGAAAATTCCATCATTGATTTTTGTGCGCTGTTTGGATCAGTTGCCCATCCATTGAATTTAATTTCTTTAGCTTGAGTTTGTAATTCTGGTTTATCTGAATTTGTACCATTAGCCCAATTTAAAATTGATTTTGGAGGTGGTGAAATTGATTTTACCTTATTTGACGTTGATGAATTTGGTGGTGACGGTAATTGAGACACTGGAGATGGTGATTTCTTTATAGCATCAACATTTGAATTTATAGATTTTCTAAATTCTATAATATCATTATTTAATGTTGAACTCTTTCTTGACTTTTTCTTTTTACTTACATCTTTTGGTTTTCTTTCATTATCAATTATCAACTCAAATGATGAAAACCCTTTTCTATCACTCATGAAATTTTCATTAAATTCAGTTATATTATTTACAAATTGATTTACTAATTTACCTGTCCAGTTCCATTTCTTACTTGAGTGTATATCTATCTTATGACAATCTTGAAGAAACTTAATTTGTGTTTCAAGTTTTTCTAATATTTCGTTTGGTATTTCTTTAAATGACGAGTCAAAAATTAACAATTCTAAATTATTATAAATATACCAACAGCATTGGTAAAATAATTTCTTACATGATAAATAATCAGCATGTACAATTAAAATTAAAACATTCTCTAAGCTTATCATATCACCAATAACTAATTGTATCAAATCTTTCAATTGGAATAACAACATTTCATCTGCAATTTCAATCAATTCTAATAAACTGTTGATAAATTCATCACGTTGATGAAATTGAAATTTGAAAGTTTCAAAAATATCAACATTACTAACTCCATATAAATGTTTCAATATAAATGACATTTGAAAAGTAGTCAATCCTGTAAAATCTAATTCTTTAATATTATCCCACCTATCCGATAATAAAGTTTCAAAGTAAGCAGATCTAGATTTTAATATAAATGAATGTGCATTAAGTTCCCCGTCTAGTAATTTAAATAATACATTACCATTATTAAAATTTTGAAATTCTGAAATGAATTTGGTAGTTTGATTATAGCTAATTTCAAATGAATTCAATAATTGATCATATTCATCATGTACCAACTTTAATCTGTTTGGAAAATTATGTCTTGAATTATATCTTTTCCAAATATCAACTTTCCTATTTGAGCAAACCGTATGGATTAATAATAAAACTGATAAAATTTGAACATTTTCAATTTTTAATATACCTTTGGACCAATTTGCTTTAACTTGAGATATTAAATATTCATTTGGATCATCTAAATCATACAACCTTTTGAATATTGGTGATCTTATTCTAAACAATTCTTTATGGAAACCAATTTTAACTCCTGCAACTTCAATAAATGAATCATATTCTTTACCATATTCAATTTCTGTATAATTGTATTCCTCATCAAATAAATTGTTGATCATTTCAATTTCATCCTGTGAATAACACTCATAAGTATCTTCTAATTTAACTGGATCAGCTTTAAAATGTTGATTATACTGTTCTAATAATTTATCTTCTGAAAATTCGTCTATTTCCATGTCAAAATAATTGGTAATATAACATTGTGTCTTTTTTTTAAATAGTTGATCTTGTTTTCTAAAATAATTTACTTCATTTACACTTGATAAATATTCAATATCTTTAAAAAATCTATTCTTTCTCAATTCAAATGGTAATAAATTAATATCATCCCTTATGAAACCAAGTGATAAAAATTTTGCATCACAAGTTACTCTTACTATATTATTAATATTCTCAATTTTCTTAAATTTATTTTTTGATAATGCAATTGGTAAAGTTGTACCACTCATTGATGATTTTCTTTGATTTGATTGAACTGACTTTACAAAAACGTGACCTGACTTAGTACATAATACGACAGAACCATCATTTGATAAGTCTAAATCTATTGCAACTAGTTCATGATCATAAGCTTTCCAAACTGATGTATATTTTGTATTTTTCAGATCATTTACATTTATTGAGAATTTCAAAATTGATCCATTACTTAATAAAATCATATTATTATCAGGTCCTCTAGTTACTATCTTATTTATAACTGCAGCTTCTGTAATTCTTGCAGGCTTGAAAATATCAAAATGTTTATCATTTCCTTTATAAATTTTTGGTAGTTTAAAATGTTGATGTTTATAATACACATGAATGTCATTTTGAACAGTAACCACACAAGTTATTAATTCACTAGTACTAACACATTTGATTTCATCTCGAAGACTCACCATTTTAGGAAACTGAATCTCACCTTTAATTGACTCATCTTGTAACTTGACTTCAATATCACCATGACAAATGATTCCCATTTGACCAACATTCAACCCCCAAAAATATAAATTATTCTTTGACCATGTAAGAGAATGGATTTTAGAAACTTGTACACCTAATAACCACTCTTTATGTTTCAAGTTTAATAAAATTGGAGTTGAGATAAAATCATCTAAATAATTTTTCAGTTTTTGATTTGGTACACCCAATTGATTAAAACTATTCAATCCCCAAGCATAAATATCATTATTTTCAGTTAATACAATTGAATGATTATTCGAAATTGAAACATCAACACATTCAGTTAAATCAATTTTTTTAAAATTAAAGCAATTTTTCAAATTTTCATGACCTAATCTTCCTCTTGATCCATTACCTGAAGAATAGACATCGCCTTCATATGTAATTACGATTGAATGATTCTTTGAAATGACAATTTTTCTAAATCTTGGTTTTCTCATAATATCACAAATCTTCTCTTCTTCTTCTTTGAATACTCTATGTGATATGCTAGTAGGTGTAGATCTGTCAGTAGAATCGCCTAAACCTAATTGATTATTTGTATTACATCCCAAAACATAAATTTCTGAACCACCCCGGGCAATTTCATCCCATAAAATTGAATATTTCTTATCTCTATATATAAATTCAAAACCATCTTCAGTAATATATTTAGGTATCCAAACCAAATTTTTAAAATCATTGTTCATCAACTGTAGAGGAACATTACCATTTCTATCTTTACATTTCAACAAATCAATTAATTGAGTATTGAATATTATATTATTGATTGATCTAAAATATCCAAATAAAAGTTTGAGTATAGTTATTCTTTTATGAAATATAATATAATGTAAAGCATTCCAACCACTCTCATAATCACATAATAATAAAATTTTATCAATAAATTCGTTTTTTAAAAGTTGTTTAAATAATTCAATATTATTAGTTAATATTATAACATGTAATATTGTTCTTCCAAAAATGTCTTTCTTAAATAATTCATCTTTACTAAGGTTTTGCAAATTTGGAATATCAATATTGTTCATGTTATTACTTTGTTTAACACATTGGCCTGCTTCAATAATATATAAATATGGTTGCAAAGATGAATATATGTCTTAGAAATTTTTTTGTTTGTTCTTCGCGTTGATAATTTCTAGAAATTCCCACGTTTAACTTGAAATCACAACAAACACGATTGAATTATAGCTTATTTGGTTGATGTTACATGTAATATAACCTCACTAGGCATTGCTTGAGATGAATTATGTGCTTGGTATTTGCTTGTTACGTATTGTTGCTAAGACCATGGACATTTTAAATGATCTTGTAGTTGCTTTGAATCTGAGGGTCTTTCGGACATGATCTATGATTAAGCTGGAATGGTTTAGCTCATTCTGTTTGAAAATTATGCTACTGGTTCAAGTAGAGTTGTTGATTTGTCGAGTTTAGCAAAGTGCTGTTCAATGACTTTGATATTGACACGGACAGTTGGGCCCATACTCGCCTTACTGAAGATTTTTTTGGCCGTGTTCTCGTGCCACTCTGGCTGCAAACTTGGTTCGAATTGAAAAAAAAATCTGAAACTAATTTGTCATATATGCAGTCTTGAAGTGATTACTCATAAGAGTTAAATCGTTGATAGCTCTCTCAGTATGCAAGCTATTTATCTACTCTTTTTTTTTCGAATATTGAATCAATTTTGAGTAAGCTGATGCTAGTATCCTTGAGGAAATAATAACTCTGATAACATTATTCTTCATTTAAATAATGCCAAAAAATGCTAAATTGCAAGATGAACAGCTCTTAAACCTCATCCTGCAATCTCCAACAAAGCTACTATAGTTTATTTAAACTACAAAATGCTATTATTACAATTTCCAGACTCCAAAATCATTTTGAAAATTTTTTCAAAATACACAATTCAGGACTCCTGATTCTATATAATTGGCACTCAAATCAAGAGAATGCTTTGATCATAATATATAAGCCAGTATAGGTAGCGGGATCGCCCTAAATCTAGGGCGACGAAAATACTATTGTGGCAATGATTTTAGGCGAGAATTATATGCTTGAAACAATTGTTGCTTATATGCAGTTTCATCATAAGTCAATTCTGTACACCGCAGACGATTGCAAAATTACTCTCAGAACTTAGACGTACATATCGACTATATAATTATTCAATGTATGCTACAAACGTAAACAAAATTATTAATTACAAAAGTTATTCACACATTGTGAAAGTAATTGTCATGTCGAAGAAACAATCAAAAAGTACAGAAATGAACAAGAAGAAATTGATGATTATGACGATTATGATGATTATCCAGATTGTAGAAAAAATTATAATATCTTTTTATGGCAAGAAAATGAAATTTACATGAGATTTCCAGTTGCTCCAAATAAACTAGAAACCAAATTAGAGTACTTTAGAAACAAATTTGAAGTCATGAATATGAATAACTCAAAAAACGAAAATTAGTGTCCAAGAATGTTAATTTTGCAAATATATTTATCTAGTTGATTGGTGAATGTATATATTGATCTAAATTATATCAACAAACTACCAATAATCGTATAGCTCTTTAATTACGACTCGACTCTATTATACTGGTGTGGTCTTGTTATTTATTAACAAAATAAACGTTAATTATCGTCACGGCCTAAATTTTCACTATAAATATTCTAATCAGCGCTTAAAAAAATAATCATTGTTATACCGCTTTTTATTTCAGTTTCAATTTCGATATTTAGTTATTAATATGAATAAAGTTCAATTATCAGATAGAGAAATCATTAAGAAATTAAGGTCAAGGCTCGAAGCATATATTGATAAATTTAATACTCAAAGAATTTTAATTGATAAATTGTCAATGGAAAGTAAAAACAATGAATTTACACAAATCTTTTTATATAATGAAAAAGATATTTCATTAAGAGTTGGTGTTAGATCACTAGCATGGTGCTCGATCTTTAGTTCATTTACTGATGAATTATTACAAGTTATTAAAAAATATGATAATTATGTTGAAGGTGATCAAGATGAAGTAATGAGTGAAATTGAAGCAATTGAAGAAGAAAAATATGATCCATTTAAAAAATAATAATCTAATGATTATGTTGTAATTGGCATTTATTATTAAACTTTGTTTATTGGAGAATTATTTTAAATTGGAATATACATTATTAAAGTCTTGGATATTGTATCTAACAGTTCTTGATATTCAAATTCAATTAGTTTCTTCTTCTTTTTAAATGTTTCATCCTAAAGCATGTCTATATTTCTAGTTGATCATGATTTAATTTCAGATTTCATACTTTTTCTTTATATTTTAGCCGCCTAAATTGAAATTTATCAACACAATTAATTCACTGTTTAACCTTCATTAGACAAAATTATATAACAAATTACTGAGTTTACGTTCAATTAACAATCATGGCATCATCAGAACCGATTGAATATGAAGTTTTGTACAATTAGAAGATAGAATTAAACAATTAGAAAGATTTAACAATTTATTAGAAGACAAATTAAAAACACAAGTTCAAGCTGCTGAATATAAAATGGAAAGTAATAGATACAGAAACCAAGCTAAAAATTTTAAAAATGAACTTAAAGAGTTAAAATCATCTGCTTTAAGCACTGTTTATGTTTTTGAAACTGATAGATTAGATATAACACCATTGACTCCAAAAGCAAAAACAAAAACAAAAGAATTATTACAACAAATTGGTGAAGAAGCTGAACAATTTTTAGATGATTTTGGTCTTGAAGGTATTTTATTTAAAAAGAAGAATGATACAAAAGACTTCAATTAAATTCAACTTTAAATATAGATTTGTTTGTTTAATTACAAATTATTCCAATTTTTAATATATCTGACATTCTTTACTTAGAGCAACGAAGTTACTGCTCATCCAGCGCTAAATATTACAGCTCTTCCACATTAGAAATGCCAAAATTATTTAGCTCATACAAATGGAATTATTAATACAAAATCAATATTGTTTATGCGTAATCAAATTTTATCGTCTAATTTGAATATAAAAGAGAATGATAAGCTAAATAAAAAATTATTCAGCTTATCACAAACCAAGTTGTTCATTCTTGAAACTGATGAATGTTTTTTAAAAATGGAGGTAGATAAATCTACACCTACTAATGCATCGAGTAAAATTGCAAAACACCACTGAAGTCTCAATGAAGAGACGAAAAGTGGTTGCAATGGAGTATAGATTTAAAGACTCCCGTCGTTATAATTCCGATCAAAAAGGTAATTCTATTTCAGGACAGAATGATATTGTTGCTATATTATATCTTTATATTATATCCTTATATGCATTATACATTTACTATCTCTTGTTTAATCTCATTTGGTTCATCTAATAAAAAAGCATTTGCCACAATTTTCTTCTTTATATTACCAATCTTACCAGTAGGACTAATTTTTGGTCTAATATTTCTCATTTTTTGTGGTAATAATTCATCTTCTACTAAATATTCCCAACTTGTAATATTCTTCTTTTTATAATAATTACTTGATCTTTCAATCATTTTATTATAAAATGGTTTTAAAATTCCAATTACATTTGGATCATTTTGTTTCATTTCTAATACTTTATAATTTTCTAAATCTTGAAATTTATTTCGTTTATTTTTAGTAAATTGTTGTTGTTGATTGCGTTGATGTAATAATAGAATTGGAATTGAAGTACTCAACATATTAAATTCTTTATCTAAACCTAATTCTTTAAAACCAAAGAAATCTTCTTGCAAGTCATAACTAAAATCACCAGTGACAAATTGTTCTGAATTATCATCAAAATTTTTCTCATCAAAATTGGCCAAACTTGGACGTAATAAATCTTTAAGGAAATTTGATAAATTTTCACGTAATGTTTTTAATTTTACTTGTATCTGGATAATTTTTTCTTTTATGAATGTATATAAATCATCAGGTTTTGTAACACCAGATTCTAATAATGTAGATAGTAGTATGTTTCTATTTGATAATTGGTTAGGAGATGTATTTTCGGTTTTGATTTTAATTGTTTTAGCTATATTACCTAAATATTGCTCTGCAATATTAGCTAAACAATTTATTGCATCTGATTCAGTTTTTTCAAAACCTGTCATCATGGCTATTTTTGAAGTTGCTTTTCGTATAACTGCAAAATTTATCTCTTCATCACATGATTCTTGAATTTCGGGAATCAAAGGACTATCAATTTCTTTTAAAGATGGTATTTCAGGTTGCTTCATTTGAGTGTGATGAACAAATTGTTGAGTTTGCATTTGCCGAATTAATGAAATTTTGAAACAGATTTTCCTAATCTCTTGTATCTCTGATATATTTTCAAGGTATAATTTATTTAATCCATTATTCCCTTTTATAAAATTGTGTTCTTGATTTTGAGTTTTCAACATTGATTCAACTAAATCATTTTCAATTTTGTCTAGATCTTCATTACTTATACCATTATATAAACCAGGTATACCACCAGAAATATCATATTCAATTAAATATGGATCCTCTTCAAGTAAATGATCAGTTTTCTTTACCACTTCTTGATTTAAATAATGACTGAAATTTTTCATTTCACTAGGTTTGCGAGTAATTGCATGAGCGTTATAATTTAAATTATTGTGAACAAACAAGGATGCTCGTTGTTCACAATAATTTGCTCTACTTTTACTTGTAATATAACGCCAATTATTATCTTCTTCATCTTCTTCATACTTTAACTCCTCATCTACTTCTTCTTCAGAAATTGCACCTGGAGTTTCTTCAATTATTTCAACATTTATAGGAGTTGCAATTTTCTTTTCTGGTTCTGTTTTTAATTCATGTCTTGTTTTTCTACCTTTTACAGATTTACCTTCAACATGTTCTTCTTCTTCTTCTTCTTGTACATCTGATCTATTCTTTATTTTGATATCTGGTATTGTAGGTATTAATTTTAAACATTTCTTTTGCATTGCCAAAGCATGAGCTCTTATAAAATGTTTTGGGTCAGCATTATAAGTTAAACAATTACTCCAAATCAACATTAAATCATCCACAAATTCATTTTTAGAATTATATGCTAAATTCTTCAATTTCTTCATAACTGTATTTAAATCCATTGGTTTCTTTATTATTAATCCATAATTTGGTGCTTCTCTTTTTGAAACTTTATTTAAAAAAAAAGTTGAGTGTTCTGTATAGTTTCTCAAATCACTAACTACTTTTTCACAAGCTTCGTATAATTCTTCTTGACCCATTCGATCATCATTTGCCCATTTACCTCTATTTTTACGAACATCTAAAAATAGTGTTTTTAATTCACTATCATTTAATGGGATTTCATCTCTTTTTTGTTGAATTGTCATTAATAAATGTTGAAGTGAAGTTGAAGCAACACCTAAATTTATACTTGAAGTTGATTCTTTTGGTTGTGTATCTAATTGTAAATTTGATTGTTCTAATTTCCTTCTTTTAATTAATGTTTCTCTATCATATTCAAAATTGTGATAAACTTTATTAAATTCAGTATTTAAATCTTGTTCGGATTCTTTTTCTTCTTTTAATGGAATTGTTAAAACTAATTGATTCTTGGAGTTAAACAGTAAATTATTATCTTGTTGTTCTCCTTTCTCCTCTTCTTCTTCATCTTCATCATCATAATCATCTTCTAATTCTCTAACTTTTGGTTTTTCAATCTTTTCAGGTACATCGTCTTCAAATGCATACTTTAATTCAGGATCTATTTCTTTTGAATAATAAAAATCAATGGCTTTTTCCCATAATAAATATCGAATATGTAATGCCAATTTTTTAGATATCTCAAATCCATCATTTTCATTGGACTCCACCTTATTTTCAGTTTCTTCACCTTCTGATCCTATATTTTCCAATACTGGTTTCTCTATTTTATCATTTTTATATTTTATAAAACAATTACCTTCGAGAAATTGATTCCATATTTCATAATTATCTAATGAAAGTATATGATTAATTATATTGAATTGATTGTCATTAAGGAAATTTTCAAAAAACTTTTGATTATTTAATAACTTAGCTAGTTTAAACAATTTCCTTGAATCATTAAATTGAAATATCGCTAGTTGATTCATGATGATTGAAAAATCAATATTTATTCAATGCGCTCGTAAATCAACAAAAAAATATAAATAGATTAGAGAACGAAACACTTAAAGAATACAAATAGAGTCTACTGACTATTCTGACAATAACAGTTGAAGACTAACTCGAAAGTGATTGACTTGAGAAAAGCATTTTAAATGGTTCGGTGAAGTAAATTATCCTGAAAGATAGGTATTGATGCAAATTATATTGTAAACCTTCACACCTACTCTAGTCGGACTTTTAAAGCTTAAGAATATGAGACACGATACTTTAAATGTCAAATGACATTTGCTAGTTGAAAAATTTGGCCTGGGGAAATCTTAAAATAAATAAATTGGGGCCTTGGGCAAATCTGGTTGTAGATCGCGCAAAAATAATTAAATTTGATTGGCCCCAATTTGTGCCAACTTTTATACGAGCCAGACCCATTTTCAAGAAGAATTAGAGCATGATCTCGACTCAAAGTTAAGTTTTTTAATTCACATTTACAATCTCAACTATCTCCAAATGTATGAAGTATATGCATTAAATGACTATTTATCCAAATAATCTTATACCATCATCAGGTATTATTTCTTCCTCTTCTTCCTCTTGTTTTAATTCTTCATCTCCTTCATTCATGTTAACTTTTTGACCTAATAAACTTGCAAAAAATTCATCAATTTGATCATCATTCCATCTCCATTTCCCAATTGAAGTTTCAAAATTTTGTAAAGGTTCTTGTACTTGAAATCTTAATTTTCTACCTTTTGAAACTTTTGTATCTACATTATTTTTGACTTTATTTGATCTTTGGACGCTCTTTACCAATGTAATATTATCTTGATTATTTGATGATATCTTTTTATCAACTAAATCATTAAGTAAAGTACGATAAAAATCTTCATCATCAAAAATATATTCATTTGTAGGTTGTGATTTATGTCTTATTTCTTCTGTTTGTTCTGGTTGTATATATCCAATTGGTGTAATATTTTTACGATTTATTTTTGTACGCTTTATCAATCTATCCATATCTAATAAATTATTTTCAACTTGTTGATCAAATGATTGATTAATGGATTTAAATTTGTTTATAGCTGTTGATCCTGATGAATTTAAAACTTTAATTGACCATTTCTGAAGTATTTTTGAGGTATTGGCTGATAAATGCTTGTTTTGTTGTTTGTTTGTTTCTAAATATTCCTGATAATTTCGTTTTTTAGGGTTTGGAGTATTTGTTTCTGATAATTCATTACGTAAATTAATTAGTGATTCAAGAAGTGAATACAAGTCTGATTTTGCTTCTTTTAAAAGTGTTGGAGTCTCTTCAGTTTTATTTTCTTGGTAAATTTCTGGTGTTATAGGTAATTGATTACTTTGATTTAACGATTTTTGAAACAGAAGCCTTATATTGATTATCTTTTCAAATATTTTATTTTGTTGTATAATTGCAAAACCTTTAAGTGCATCATTTACAGTTGATTGTGACATTCTATTGATTATTTGAGTACGTTCTTTATCAATTAACTTTTTGATGATTGATCTTTTATGTAAAGCACTTTCTTCTTCATCCGACTCTTCTTCTGGTTCACTTTCTTCTTCTTCTCCTTCTTCTTCTTCTTCTTCCTCACTTTCATTATCTATTTCTTCTTTATTATTTTTCTCGTCTAATTCTTCGTCTAATTCTTCGTCTAATTCCTCTTCTTCACTTTCTTCAACTTCCAAACTTTCATCATTATATAAATTTTCTCTTTTTATAACATTACCAGTATATTTTTCACCTAAATTTACATCATTTTTCCTTAATTTTGATTTTTCGGTTTTTAAATAATGTTGATTTTTCAATTCATTATCAGATTCAGATGATTCAAATTCACCATCTTCATGTTCAAATAGATTATTATCATTTAATTCTTCATTTTCTATATCAAAATCAGTTTTATTTGCATATAACGAAGATATTTCTTCACTTAATGATTTTTTAGCCATGGCTAAGATGAGCTTCTCTATTAATTTTTTATAGCCAAATTGTTTTATAACCGTGTTTTTAGCAATATTGCACGACCTGTCTTAACATCGCCAAGATCTTGACAAACAGAACAGAAAATTATAATATAGGTACAACTAGTTTCTTTTATTTATTACATTCGTTAACATGAGACTAAACAACATTATAATATTTTATATAATATCATTAGTATATTCATTAGCTATGCAAGATGATGGTGATGATAATACTGATACTACAAATACTTCTCAAACTCCAACTAGTGTCTGGGTTACAACAACTATTGGTGGTTCATCACTTGTAATTCAAACTACATATCAACAATCATTTATGTCTAGTTATACAGAAGCAAATACAGAAGATGTTAAACAAGGTTCAGTTGGTTTAGGTTCATTAAGTAATGTTGATTCAGTTGGTAGCATTAGAAGCTATTCACAAACTACAATTTCTTCACAAGGAGATGCTGCTCAACAATGGTTAGGATCATCATCTAGTATATATACTGGTATATTTGGTGGATTGTTTATAATATTAGGACTTATTTAGGTATACACTTATAAAATATATAGGGTCGTGTGTTTTGGTATGCATTTCGAATATTTTTGAAACTTTTTTTTTTTTTTTTTTATTTCTAAAATTTTTTTATTATCAACGCAAATATCAATTAAGAATGAGTGAAGATTTAACTACAAAGACTGAAGAATTATCATTAGAAAATAATAAAACAGTATTTGATTCAAAAGAAAATTTTAATTCAAAACATCCTTTAAATAATAAATGGACTTTGTGGTATACAAAACCTCAAACAAACAAATCAGAACAATGGCATGAACTTTTAAAACCAGTTATTACTTTTGCATCAGTCGAAGAATTTTGGGGTATTTATAATTCAATTCCTCAAGCTAATCAATTACCTTTAAAATCAGATTATCATTTATTTAAAGAAGGTATTCGTCCAGAATGGGAAGATGATCAAAATAGTAAAGGTGGTAAATTTCAATATAGTTTTAATAAAAAAGAAGTTCAATCTATAATTTCAGATTTATGGTTACGTGGTTTATTAGCTTTAATAGGGGAAACTATTGAAGAAGAAGAAAATTTAGTTAACGGGATAGTTTTAAATGTTAGAAAACTGAATATTAGAATTGGTTTATGGGTTGCAAATGTACAAGATTTAGATTCATTAAAATCAATTGGTGAAAAATTAAAGAAAATTTTACAATTGAATGAAAATTCAAAATTAGAATTAACTTCTCATGATGAAAAGATAAAAGATCCTTTATTAGTTGTATAAATGACTTAATATATGAAACTTGACTATTGTATATAAAAATTGATAATAGAATATGATATTAGAAAATTTGATGAACCCTTGCTATGCTCTGGTCAAATGTAAGTTAGGGGAAACTTTTGTTTGAAACAACTTGATAATAAAATATTATACATTACAAGCTAAGCTACTTAACCAGTAGTCGCTTTATTATCTTCATTGCAAATTAAATAAATGTTGTTTCTCAAGAGCTTTCACTGGCAAATTAAATGTCATTTTTGACTTTAAAGTTCTTAAGGGGCTAAAAAATAAGGAGTATTTTTTCAAAATAGATTTAATCAAAAATGAAGTACTATTGGCTACTCAGTGGGCTCCAGATATTGAACAGGATAATTATTGCAACTATATATGTTTGTTCTCAGCCATGTGTTCCAAGTGTTGATTATCTGCCGATATACGATTCTTTCCAATTATTACGATGCATAAGGCGATCAAAATTAGGTTTTACAATGTAGAAAAATTCTCACATCATTTTGCTTCGAACCATATTGATGCTTTAAATGAATTACTCTTGAGATCAATAGCTTCGATAACGAGAGAGTCGTTTGCGCTTTAAGTTTTAGGATTAAATACTATAACACTGCATATAAGTCAAATTTGTTTCAGAATTATCTTTTTTAATGCGCTTTTTTGGGGCGATAATTTAGTGCGTCAAAAAAATTTTCTCGCGATAACCTCTGAGCGACCTCGTACTAGGCTTATGGGCTTGCACATCTTAAAGTACGAAGAGAAGACTAATTTGATGAAATTAGGAGCTTTGAATTATCTGATTTACATATTGTAGATTTTGATTTTTTAACATTTTTTTTTTGAGTTGTCATTTTGGCGTTCTTTCATCATACAAAAAATTTGCTAAAACTGAAATTACAGACTAGATATTATTTAGGCCCGCAACTTTTAACTAACATCGGGTTACATATATCTAACATCAAATTCATTTACTAGACTTAATTTTAGTTGCTCCAGTCCAGAATTGAAAAATTTCAAATTTTCTCTTAACTATGGGGAAATTTGAATAAGTAGACCTTACAAAAAATTCGACTCCACTATCAAAATTCAAATTAGACTATAGTAGAACTACTCAATTTTTTAGTACCCTCTTCTGAAATGCTTCAGTTTTTTTTGTGTTAAAGTATTCAAATTCAAAAAGTAATTTTTCGAAGGTGAATCGAAATTTTTGAAAAAAATTCAAAATGAATATGGCGTCTTAGAAATATTATAGTATGAGTCTTTTGGATAGACTGAAACAAATCATTATATTAGAAGTTGATAGACAAGGCCTAAGTACTGATTATCTTGCAATTTAACGATTTTTGCTAATTTTCGAAGAATAATTATCAATCAAAAATATATTTTTGTAAAAGAAACTGCCATGAATATTATGTTCTTTGTTTGTCCTTTTTAACCAATAAGTTGGACATATAAAGCTTGAGTATTGAGAAAGTTATTTACAATTAAAGTTTTAAGATAAACTGTTATAGGACTGCATATAAGTCGTTTTGGTTTGAGATTTTATTTTTAAGCTGGACAAAGGCGGTCGCCCATATGGGTCAAAATTTTGGCCGGAAGATTTTTGGAGTAAGGCCAGAGCTGGTACCACTTTTAGTATTATCTGCAAATTAAAAGTGGAATGACCACAGACTACTTCAAAACTAAAGATCATATTTGGTCTCACATCAATAAAAATCACAATAGCGTCTACTATATATTACTTTAAAGATTCTATCCAGTTGTCAATCTCTTCAAAATAACCATCTGTTAAAATTGTATCATTATGGAACTTGTCATATTTAATAATCTTCTTTTCAACTTTCAATTTATCATAAATTATATCCATATGAACTGGAGGTACAATCTCATCCTTTGTACCACTAATTAATAAAGTAGGAGCAGTAATTTTTGAAATTAAAGCTTCTGAATTCCATTTTTGATGAACAAAATTTGTAAAATATTTCAATACTGGGAAAACATGAGGTATTGTCTTCTTTAGCGATAAAAATGTGTTTTCCAATACAACAGCATCCACTTTTCTGTTGGCAGCTATATATATTGCAACTGCTCCACCTAATGATCTACCATATAAAATCAATTTACCAGCTTTATATTGTTCATCTTTTTCAATATAATCCATTACTGTATCTGCATCAATTTTTAACCCTTTTTCCAGTGGAAATCCTGTTGATTTACCATATCCTCTATAACTATAAATAAAAACATTATAACCAAAGTTTTTATAAAACATGGAAACTATAGGTAACGCATGTCCAATATTACCAGCATTTGGAGTCAACATTAAAATAGTTTTATTTTTATAATTTTCAACTTTTGGATCTTGTTTGATTGAATAACATTGTAAAGTTTCACCATCTTTAGTTTTTAATTCAATTAATTTATATTCCATACTATGTTCATCTGGAGTTGCACAATAACCATGACCATCATTTAATGAAGCAGGATATATTAATGAATTTTGGAAATAATATAGTCCTATTAAAGCAATTGCACCTATTGAAACACCAATTTGAATCAATCTTTTAGCTAATGAATATAACCACATGATAAGTAAATGTGATAATTGTTGATAAATTTTTTAGATCTAAAATTGCGCGTTGGAAATTCCGAAATTTATATATTTTTTTTTTTTTTTTTTTTACCAAATGGTTTATGAGTTTAGCTAAATTTGCATTCAATATTTATGGTTCATTAGGTTCTCCAAGTGAAACTATTTCAACTGTTTCTTCATCAAATTCCGATAGATTAATATATTATTGTGATAGAGAAGTTAATACTCTAAGTCAATTTAAAAATGCTGCTGTTATTGGTGGTAAAAATTATCTAAAATTATTATATTTTACTGAAGATCAATCAAGAATTATAAACGAGGTTACTTTGGATAATAAGAAATTGAATATAAATACTTTGAAAACATATGATGATATAATTGCAGCTGGTTTAACAAATGGTCAAATTAATATTTATCAAAATGGTCAACAACAATTTATGAAATTAACGGATCATATAAGATCAATTAATTCATTAGATTTTATAGATGAGAATCAATTGGTGAGTGGATCACAAGATGGTTTGATTAAGGTTTGGGATCTAAGATCCTCAAAGCCTACAATTACACTAGGAAATTCTCATGATCCGGTACGAGCATGTCAGAATAAAAACAGCAACTTAATACTTTCAGCTAATGATTCTGGTTCACTTTATAAATACGATTTAAGAAACGTTTCAACATTTGAAAAGAAGTGGAATTTACATACTGGTCCTTGTTTATCATTACATATACATTCGGAATTAGATTTAGTTGCCACGGGTGGTAGAGATCAAAAAATTAATGTATTAAATTTTGAAAATTATACAAATTTACCTGATTATACTATAAATACATATGGTCCAATATTAAAAGTACGATGGAATAATGATGATTTAGCATGTTCATATTTTGATGATTTGAATATAACAATTTATAATTTGAATAGAAAATTTATACCTAAAAGGGTTTTATCATTACAAAAACCAATTAGTAATTTCATATGGGCAAATAATAAAATATGGGTATTGACAAAATCAAATGCATTTGTATCTTATGATTATAATGAAACTATTCAACCAATTGAAAATTTAGATAATATGGCATTTAGCTGGAATGATTCAAATGATTTAATATTGACAAGTAATGATAAAGATGATTATGAGAATCCATATATAATGTGTGCTGAATTAAATTTACCACAATATGATGATGAAGTGTTTAAAATTTTGGCTACAAATTATTTAACTGAAATCCCAACAGGTTGTTCAATTATAGATGTTTGCATGATAAATTCAAATATTGCAATGAATGTTGGGTATCATCGAGATTGTCAAGTTTGGAGATTATTAGCAATTAGTATCGAAGAAGAATCAATTGAGGAAATAGAAGAAATTGAAATTGAAACAGAAGTGCCAAATTCAATAGCATCAAGTAATTTTAGTTCGATGTCATCATCTCCAAAATCAACAAGACAATTTAGAAAGAAAGTTGTTAAATTATCTAAACCTTCTAAATTTTCAATTAATTTGAATGATGATAAAGTATGGAAATTTAAAATTTTATTGATAAAACATTTGGAATATTCGATATTACAAGGTGATGTGATATTTATATCTACTATAATATTATTATTTTATGGTTTGGTGCCTGATATGCTTGATGAGGTACAAATTATAGAGATTTTAGATAAATATGTGGAACTACTACTGAAAAAACAATTATTCACTATCAGTGTATCTATATTAAATAAAATACCAGAAAGTCTAAAGTCTAAAGTGGCTAAGAATTATTTCAAGAATGTTCATTTTAATACTTATTGTGATAATTGTAAAACTTTAATTATGAATAATGATAAACAAAATTATTACTGCTCGGAGTGTTTCAAAATGTCAAATAAATGTGTATATTGTAATGAACCAAATAATGGATTATCAATAGTGGCTAATTTAAATTGTGGTCATAGAGGTCATTTTGGGTGTTTAAAAAAATGGTTTGTCGATGAAGAGCAGGTTGATTGTCCAGCTTGTTAATATTTATAGAATCCTGGTGATTATTCAAAGTATATTGAAATATTACAGACTCAATAATTTGATGTTGCATATTCTATAAATTTCCAGCACATTTTCATTTTCCTGAATTTCGTCTATAATCCAGTTAAGGTTAATGAGACATTATCTCAATAGCTATTACTGATCAAGTCAATCCCTTTTCAACTGTCTCTATCTCAAATTATATCAATATTATATCAGAATCTAAATATTTTTTTATAATATTATATTTCACCACATAAACACCATCTTTAACCAATTCCAATTGCTCATCTTTATTCAAATCTATAATCCGATCATTAAGGCACTTTATAAAAACAGGATAATTCATTTCTGGTTTAACAATCATTGATTGACCACCACTAGTATCATCAAGATAACTTAAAATAGTTGGCACCTTCTTCAAAAAACTATTATTATACAATTTGGACATGATTTGGAAATACTTACCAATATATTCTCTCTCCTCAGAGCTTAATAACCCATTTTGATTCTCATCATTTAAGTAAAATACGGTAAATTGTTGTAATTTATTTAGTCTAACACGTAGATATAACCTTATAATATATTGTATCCTCTCTAACTCAGTCTCTATAATCATCAATTGTAACTTAAGGTCCTTATTATTCATATCTGAATATTCATGACTGTCTAATAAAAATTGTTGTTGTGATTCAATATGTGATAAAATATTCTTCATTAAATCAGTTTTATATGGTAATAATTCTGGTGCCATTCTTTCATGAATCATTGCTCTCATTAGATCATTAACTATATTAAAATCATTTTGTTCATTTGTTGTAGCATCAAAATCTCTTAAAATATCATCAATATCCATTTTGGTATAAATTTATTTTTCCAATGGATAGACAACAATTATTAGAACAGAAAAGACAAAGGTTAAAAGAATTACAAGAGAGAAGAAATGTTAAAGTGATTACTCCTGAGCCGATAAAGAAGGTTGATATATCTACACAGACTATAGAATTAATTGAAAAGAAGGTGGAAGCTCCGAAAGAATTGAATCGTTATGATAAATCAATACAAACTGTGGAAATAATTGATGAAATACCAGTGAAAGAAATTAAGAAAGAGGTTCAATTTACTAATAAAAATGAAGTATCTGAATTAGAATTGAATAAAGCTTTGATATCCTCGATTAAATTGGTAAATAAGTTTAAAAAATTACATGAGATTGAATTAACTGCCACGGCTACGGAAACTACAAAATTAGATAAACGAGTGGTTGAAATTGGAGGTAAATTGGAAATTTATAATGATTATCTAGCTGTTGTTAAGGAATATGAGGTGATAGTTTATAATAGAATAACGTATCTACCTGAACATCATTTAATTTCTATAACACCGATAAAAGATATAGTATTTGATAAATTTAAAAATAGAGTAATTGGAGTGCTAAAATATGGTAAGATATGTATTTGGGAATTAAATGATGAATTGAAAGCACTTCCGGTACTCACCAGTCCAATAATTAATCCAGTATTTATAAAACAATTGAAAATAAACGAAAATGATTCAATTTTGGCAATTACCGAGACAGGACATTTACAAATTTGGTCAAGTAATATATTGAAATCACCTAAAAAGTCAATGAAATTAACTGAAAAAGCTATAACTGATGCTGTATATTTGGGAACTGATGAAATTGTAGGTAAAGAAGAATATAACTTATATTTAGTATCTTATGGAAGTCTATTAGAGGGTAATAACATGGTTCATGAAGGTCCAAAATCAATAATTTACTCAACTGTCAAGTTTAAAAACTTTATCATCTCTTGTCATTCTGATTGGACATTGAAAATTTGGAAAGATGATAAAACACCATATAAAATCATACCAACAACTAATTCAATCACTAAAATAATACCCAATGGAGAGAGATTTATTACAGTTGGACATTTACGAAAGTATGTAGTTGAATTATGGGATTTGTCAATTAAATTGTTTTCACCAATCGCCAAAATTGACGAATTTGATCAAATTGAATCAGTGATTTTCAATGATGATGTTATAATATCTACGCCAGATAAGCATATAATTTACTCCTTAGATAATTTAGATTTAGAAACAAATGAATTCGATGATGGTTTAATGTTATAGTCTTATATAAAATTATACAATTTGTCCCTTGGTTTAATAATATCATTATCCAATGTTATACAATCGTTTGTAGCTAAAACTAATAATTCAAAGAAACATTTGGATGCTTGGCTCTTTTTATTTATCATATTATGCTTTGAACCTAATGGATTTATTTGTTGTTTATCTTGTTCAATTAATCCTATCATATTTGTTTCTTGTTTTGATTTAAATATATTTGTTAAATTTTCAGCAACTTGTATAGTTGCTTGATTTTTATCAACTTCTTCTGATTCTTCAACAAGTTCTTCTTCTTCTTGTTGTTCTTGTTCTTCTTGTTCCATACCTGGTAAATCAAAATCCATAGATTGATCAAAATCTTGATCAAAACTTTCAAACTCAGGTTCTGGTTGTTCTTCTTCTTGTGCTATTTCCAAACATCTAGACGTTAATTCATCATTTATATTGAACAACTTTCTCCTTTTTGAAGAGGATAATTCCATAAGTAATTGTAATTTCTCTTCATCTGAAAGTGAAATGGTAATCATTGGTTCATTATTATTTATTAATCTTTCTTGATTGTCTCTTAATTCTTGTACACTTAGATCAATTTCAGTGTCTACTATTAATCTTCTATAATTAGTGACAATTTCATTTCTATTTCTTTTTCTTTTTTGCGGTTGTGGTTGTGGTTGTGGTTGTGGTTGTTCTGGTTCTTGTTCTGGTTCAATAACATCCAATGGTTCACCAAAATCAATATCAAATATTGTACTTTCTTTTTGTCGTATATCTATCACTGATTGTTCCCTTTCATCAATCATTGAATCATCTCTTCTACCTTGTTCAACATCTAAATCAAAATCCAATTCAAAATCATTATCTATAATATAATTTTCTTCTTCTTCATATCTTGGAAATTCCATTGATTGATCAAATGTAATATCATTATTTTGACTAACTTGTGAAAATATACCACCTAAATTCGAAGTTGGTACTTGTTCATCATCTAAATTTAAATCTTCTTGATGTAATAAATCCAATGATGTAATTTGATCCTTTAATATCACTTGATTTAAATTTATCGTTGTTTGTTGTGGTAATAAATTAACTGCTTGATCTGAATTTGTTTTCATTGCTAATTTAAATGAGTTTTTTAACTTATATAAGATGTCGTTGACATCTTCTAGCAAGTATTTAGTTTTCCTTGAGTATATTTTAACTATACCCAATAATAATTGTCCTGATAATCTTAACGTTATTGATGAATTTTCCGTAGATTCAATTGGATGATCTTCAATATATTTTGTGGATTTAATTAAATTTGTATTTAACAATTGTTGTTTTGTTAATTTTCTATCATAATTTGCAGCTAACCAAATTTGACTTAATGGTCCTTGATTCGAAATTAAATCCATGATGAAGCTAAATGATTGTGGTTGATAAAAGTATAATAAAGTGTTAATTTGAAAAATAAATTTTGATATTGTTTGTTTTGTAAACAACGCGAAAAAAAAAAAATTTGAAGCAAAATTTGACGCGAAGGCGCGGCGCGCTCAAAAAGTATAAATGGCTGCAAAAAAGAAGGAGCACAAGGGGTTTGAACCAAACTAAACGAAGATTTATGGTTGTATTAGTTATACCTGATGCGTCTTGGTTGATTCGAATTCGAATCCTAAGCCGAAGAAGATTAGTTTGGCTCCACATTTTCAACTAATGAGAAACAAGTGATAAAATTTCTGAACATTGAGCACTATGTTAAGCGTTGGATTAAAATTAAGAGAAAGATTTGCAACTAGAAGTTCAGATCAGTTAACATGGCTTCAGTACTTCAAAGATTGAAGAAATTGGTTCGTTGATTTATTTTGTCTAGTGTATACCAAAATTTCAAATGAAAGTTTATTCTGAACTTTAGAGTCTACTCGTAATTTTCATCCATCATTCTGCTCTAAATGAACTGAAGTTTCTAATGAGATATTATTGAATACAAGATCTATCACTAGAGATATTTATTGACCCTTGAAATATTGAATTGATCTGGCCCCATTCAAATTTCGTGTTCTTTCATGCAAGATCTCTGTCAAAACTATGATTTATATGATAATCATAGGATCTATTTAACCTTATGCATCAATTGGTAAACCTATTTTTTGACTTTCTCAGTTTTTGCAGCTTTTTGAAGATAAAACAAAATAATGTTGATTTGAATCAAAAATTACGACAAGCACTACCAATTGAGAGTACATTTTCACTAATAATTTTTGATTGATTGGTACTGACTGGTTTAAATTTTACATAAATATTAAGCAGATACTTATTAATACTTCCAGTTTGTTTAGAGTGCTTCTGATTATTATTGGTCTAATTATTCACCATTTATTCTAACTTGCAATTTTTATTGGCAAAAACTTAAAAATTTTAATGTCAATTTTAATGCCAATTTTTCAACAATGACACGAATAATTAGAAGAAATTTATATTGAACCGATTATAAATGAACAAGTGATTAGATGTTGTCAAATATACATCGTGGAGTTAAAAATGAAACACAAAAACAAAAAATTTTTAAAACCTTCTATCAACAAATTTCGCATGATGAACTGAACATCAATGAAGCATGCTCTAACAAGAGCTTGAACTGAAATAAAGCTGATTAATTATAACCTCGTTCAAACTTTTCTGATTGTAAGACCGCAGCTAAGTCGATTGGTATTATATCTTCATCTTAAAATCAATGAAGCATGTAATACAAATAACCTATACACTCTTTTCATCAATGCAGTTGTATTAATAACTTCAATAGCAAATAAAGAGTAGTCACCAACTCACAAACGTAAAACCTTTTGTGTTTTATTGGTTAGGCATTCACGATTAATCATAGTTTTCCTATGGTCGGTCTCTCTAGAATACTAATTTACATACTTACAAAATCACACAAAGAGATGCTATTTTAATCTAGTTCATTTTCGTTCTATGTTGCTGGCTCCAGAGTTTTGGCTTTCGATCTAGGGGTTTTCAATCTGAAACAAATATTTTTTGATTACATAATCTTGCGAAATTTTGTTAAATGAATAAAATTTGCAAAAAACTCAAGTTGATGATGCTTAAATCACTTGAAACCACCAACAGACGCTAGAATTATCTAATATCTATATCAAAAGCTTTGTAAAAACGTTTTAAAATACGTTTTAAACTCTATCGCAAGTGAGAAATAGCGTTTTTTAATATATATATACATTGGAAATCAACTAAAAACTTCAATTAATGACTTTCAGGATTATATTCTGGACTTCTAACTGATTCAGATGGTGAATATTGCATCATTTGTGGGCTTGTAGGGCTCCAGGATGGGGACAGAGGTGATAGTTGGTCGTTTGGATTTTGATTTTGACGATTTTGTTGATTTTGATGATTTTGAGAACCAGAATAAGGCGAAAACATAGGACTAACTGGCAGGAATTGATTAGCATTATCAGAAGGCGAATAGCTTGGCAGCTGATTGAAAGCTGGCGAGCTAGGACTGTAAGAATTTGGATTATAAGAATTTGGTGATTGAACAATTCTTTCATAACTTGGCAGAACTGGTGATTGATAACTTGGGGATTGATTAGATGCATTGAATGAAGGAGATGCTGCGAATGACGGACTGGTAGGACTATAAAACGCTGGCAGACTTACAGCAAAATTTGGACTGACATTACCAGAATTATAAGGACTTTGAACACCTCCAAACGTCAAAGGACTAGTTGCACCTGCTCCATAATTGAATGGTGATGTTGCTTGATAAGTAGTTAAACCACCAGATTTATCTTCATAAGTTTGTAATGGAGAAAATGCAGATTCACTAATTGCAACATTTTCATCAATTGCTTCAATTTGATAAGGAGTATTACCACCTTCTTCATATTCAACTTGTTCTACTTTCAACATTGAATCATCAACCATTACATCAAATGAACCAGTACCTAAAGGTGCCATTTGTCCTAACATAACATTCTCTGAAATTCCTCTACAGTCATCTAATTCAGCGGATGCAGCAGCATCTAATAAAATCTCAACAGTTTCTTCAAATGAACATCTCATTAATGCACCAGTATCAGAACGATTAATACCATGACGAGTTATTGCCATCAAATGTCCTCTGGATGTCATGACATCAACTAATAATGCCATGTGTCTATAATTAACATAAGAACCATCAAATGCAATAACATTTAAAATTTCTTTAAACAATGCTGATCTAGTTGCTTCAATACCTAATACACTTAAAACTTCAATAAAATCATTTGAATAAGTTCTTGTAGAATCAACACCAGGTACTGCCATTACATCTGCTAAATTAACACCATCAGTTTCTAAAACCCATTCTTTTCCTTGTTTATATTCACCAGTTTCATCAACAAATGAAGTTTTATGTTGCATCATAAAAACTTTTGTTATACCTGGAATACCTCTTAATGAAATTGATTCCAACATATGAGCTTCAATACGTTTTAATAATTGATCTTCTTCTGCATCATCTTCATCAAGTAATTTTGGATCTCTAATAACTCTACAACGAATTATTAATTTATCAGCTGTATCATCAGACCAAATAACAAATAAATCTTCTTTAAAATTATCTTTTATAGTTTGTGCAACTTGAGCCATAACCAATTGTTTATCCAACATTTTAGCTCTATCTAATTCTAAACGTAATAACCATGGAGATTGTCTATCTATAGATTCATCAATTTCAGCATCAGGAATTGCAAAATATGCTTCAACTGTATCATAATCTTCATCAATTTTAGTTGTTTTTGGATCTTCATCATAATAAATTTCAGTAGAAGATGTAACATTTTTTAAACTTGTATGTTCAATTTGTGATTGAATTTGTTTTGCCCTTTCAATATCAGAAGCAATTTCTGGATTTAAATAAACAGTCATTGCAGGTGTTTTAATATTCTTAGCAACATTTAAAATTTCTTTTAATCTAGGAACACCAAGAGTAACATTTTTAGATGAAACACCAGCATAATGGAAAGTATTTAATGTCATTTGAGTAGCTGGTTCACCAATTGATTGAGCAGCAACAACACCAACCATTTCTCCAGGATGAACAACTGACTTTTGAAATTGGGATTCAACTTCACCTAAAACCCATTCAAAAGATGATGAATTTAATTTAAATTCAGAAACAACTCTTTTTGCTGATAATCTTGATCTTAATAAACATTGGAAAAGTAATGTTGCATTATCTTGAGCTTCTTGATTATCTCTAACAACTAATAATTTTTTACACAATTCTTTAATAGATAATACAATTTCATCTAATTTTAAATCTGATGCTTTATATCTACCAGAATGGAAAATTTGTTGTGCATTTTGTATAACTCTTCTTAAATTAACAGGTAAAGGCCAAGAAAAATCACCATTTGGAAAACAAACTTCACGAAGGTATTTTCTATCATCTAATAATTGTTGATATTCCTGATCTAATATTTTTTGTAATTCAACATCACCTTGAATTTCTTTACCAGATTCAATTATACCTTCAAAATTATCTTCTAATAAATCAATTCTATATCTTTTTTCAAATGCTTCATCACTACCGGGTATAGTATCAACAGATTGTTTTTCAACTTGTGTAGCATCGATACCATCCTCCCCATAGATAAATTGAATAATATCACCCAAAGAATTTCTTGTAGTACCATCATAATGAACCATAATATCTTCCAAAGCTTTAACTAATCTTCTTTGAATATAACCAGTTTCTGCAGTTTTAACAGCAGTATCAATTAAACCTTCTCTACCAGCCATTGCATGGAAAAAGAATTCTTGAGGTGTTAAACCTCTTAAATAACTATTTTCAACAAAACCTTTTGATTCAGGTGAATAATCATCTTTTGTAAAATGTGGTAATGATCTATCAGCAAATCCAAATGGAATTCTTTTACCTTCAACAATCTGTTGACCAACACAAGCACTCATTTGTGATATATTAATAAATGAACCTTTAGAACCAGAGGTAACCATTTGTTTAACATTATTTAAATCTTTTAAACTCATTTCTGCAGATCTACCAGCTGTATCTCTTGCTTGATTTAATACTCTTGATACATTATGTTCAAAACTTTCTCTTAAAGTCATACCTGGTTCTGGTTCTAATTTGTTATGTTGTGCATCAATAATAATTTCTTGAACTTTTGCTTTTGCTTCTTGAATTGTTTTAGTTATATCTTGCATTGTTGCTGAATCTGCAATTGTATCACCAATACCAATTGAAAATCCATTATGTAATAGCCAATAATTTACAACTTTTTGAATACTACTAAATAATTGTGCACAAACTTGTGGTCCTTTTTCCCTAAATACAGTATGAATTAATCCACCACCTGTTGCACCAACTGTTTTTTTATCAACAACTCCAAACATAATTTCTCCATCAACAATTAACATACCTGAGTCATTAGGACTTAATAAATCTCTACCTCCATCAAATCTTTGTAAATGAATACCTTTTGGAATTGCCAATGATAATAATTGTTTACCTGACCATAAAGGTTTTGGTTTTATAATTGCTGGTGGTGGAATAACACCATCCCAATTTGGAATCCAATAACACATATTCATAACTTGATCATAATCTATAAAGATATCTCTTAGGGTCATTTTTCTAATACCACATAAAGTATCTTGAACAATTCCCATAACTGGTTTATTAGATTGTGGAGAAACAATTTGTAATGGAACAGCACAAATTTGCGATAATTCAGATCTAGTTTCTGATGATTGTGGTACATGTAAATTCATTTCATCACCATCAAAATCAGCATTATAAGGTGAAGTAACTGATAAGTTTAATCTAAATGTTGAATACGGCATTACCTTAACCCTATGGGCCATCATACTCATCTTATGTAAGGAAGGTTGTCTATTAAATAAAACAGGATCATCATCCATAAGATGACGTTCAACTTTCCAACCGTATTGTAAAGCTAAATTTCCTTTGTTGTATCTTAAATCAATACGATCTCCTGTATCTCTAATAACATATTTAGCACCAGGATGTTCATTTGGACCATTTCTTACATATTCTGTTAATTTATGAATATTAAACGGTGTAACAATTTCTGGATAACTTAAAGTTTTTGCAATTGATATAGGTACACCAACTTGATCTAAATCTAAATTTGGATCACCACTAATAACAGTTCTAGCTGAAAAATCAACTCTTTTACCCATTAAATTCCCTCTTAATCTACCTTCTTTACCCTTCAATCTTGCTCTAATTGATTTAATTGGTCTACCAGTTTTTTGTAAAGCTTGAGGTTGACCTGCAATATCATTATCCATATAAGTAGCAACATGAAATTGTAATAAAGCTTCAAATTCTTGTATAACATGTTGAGGAGATCCATCCAATTCTAATCTAGATACATTTATATTTGCTTTTAAAATATCAGCTAATTTAAAAGTTAAATCATCTTCTCCTCTAGCTGTTTCATTAAACGCAATTGATGGACGTACTGGTGGTGGTGGTACAGGTAAAACAGATATTAACATCCATTCTGGTCTAGCATAATCTTCATTAAATCCAAGATTTTGAGCATCTTCACTTGAAATATGTTTAAAAACATTTAAAATTTCACTAGGAGTTAATAATCTTTTCTCTGGTTGTTCTTCATCTTTATTAGCTTTCCAAGTACCATATAACTTTAAACCATCTCTTCTAATCAGAGGTTGAACATGCCCACACCCATCTTCAGTTTCACACTTCATTTTAGTCTTGGCTAATGACCACACTGCATGAAAACGTTTTTTAGGATCTCTAATTCTAATAGCTTGTGCCATTTGAGGATTAGATGCATCTAATAGTAACTTACCACAGTCTAAACAGACAGATTCTAATGTTTTTTTGATTTTGGCAATAAATCCAATGTGGAATACAGGTTTAGCTAACTCAATGTGTCCGAAGTGACCTGGACAACTGCTCATATCCTCACTACAAGTAAGACACTTGAAATTCCTGTCTATAGAGCCTAATCTAGGATCGTTGAGACCTCCTTCTTTAGCCTTTTTATCCTGAAAATTCATGGTTTCTGGATACTCTATCTTACAAACACTAATGCTTTTAATCTCTTCTGGACTCAATAGCCCGAACTGCACTTCCTTAATTGTCCTTAAAGGTGTTGAATCTGTCATAATAAAATTGTAAAATCTGTAAAATCTGTAAAATCTGTAAAATCAGAAATCTGTAAAATCTGTAATTTAAACTATGATTTGTTAATTTAAATAAGTATTATCAGAAGTTTATAGTTCTAGTGATCTACAAAGTTTGAAATCGATAGCTTGTGTTTTGAATTTTTTATGAAATTTTTTGATAAGTTTTTATAAAGTTTAAAAATGATAATATGCAACAAATATAAGTAAATATAATTTGTATCAGGTTTTGTTTAATAATTAAATTAATAACTAAGCTTTGAGAATATATGAATTAGAATGCTTTAACTTGGTATGGTGATGATTTATAAGTTGTGGTTGGTGATGATTATCAGTTGTTGGTATGGTTGATATTATTTTTTTTGCTGAAAAATTATTTTTAAACGTCAAAACGACACGACTTTATGCAGAGCGTGATATCTTGCATTTTGCCGTTGAAATGTTGTAAAGTGGTATAACTCGAGGACAACACCTTGTTTATGAACTTGAAATAATATGGGACATGTACTTTAAGATTATCTTTGATATGAGACTTTTATGATGTAAGATAAAATTTGTATTGAAAAATCTCGAATAATTTGATCTAAATCGGCGCTACCAGTTTCAAAGGTATACGAGGGAAGTTTCAGAATATTTTGCAACAATTCCTATTTTGGACAAGCTATGAAACTAATTAAACACAGGAGAAGAACGTAGAAGAACGTAGAAGAACGTGATTTGCTAGATATATTATGCATTTGCAAATGATCTAAAACTTAATTTTTGACAACTTACTAATATAAAATGTATGTCAGTAGATTCTTATTGGAAAAGTGAGTAATATTGATATGAGACGCAAAGTGCGAGCATGTTGCGGTAAGCAGATATCATCATATGTTGCGGTAAGAAGATATCATCATATTTTCCTTAATTAAATTGAAGCTAGGCAATTTGTTTAATCTTTGCAAAATAAGGCTAGATACACAAGAGGCTGACAGAAGGTGAGATTCAGAGTTGGTTCAAGTTAAAGGCTATTGTGTAATTGACCTTCTTAATTGGTTTACTCCTGTACATTCACAATTTGATCAATTTGTAGCATCACTAAATTCTGCTGCAATTTCTAGTATGTCCTTTTCAATTGCTTACCTCTGTAATTGTGAAATAGTTTATATTAATTGGTTGCAAATTTTTGATCGCATATAAAATCAAATTTTTCATGGTTTTGCCAACACCAGGATTCGTAGTTAAAACCCGAACGGATTGCAAAGTTTTTATCAACATATGCCATTCACCAAATGTACCTAAACCAGAAGATTTCAATCCAGAAACTTCATTTAATTTAATAATCGAAAATAAATGGCAAATACCAATTGTTGTAAGTGAAGAAAAATCAACATTTGATAAAAAAGGTATACCATCGCTAGCATATGATTGTTGTATAAATTCAGAGTGTTTTAAATGGATACAATCAAATCAAGATCTTAAACAAATTCTTATTGAATGGAGTATCGAAAGTATAGAATTAACATATAAATTACAACTTGATAGATCTTATTCAATTCCAAAAATGTTATCCAAAGGTGAATTATCAGAGATTAAAGAAAAGATTCCAGAGAAATTAATATATGAAGAAGAGAAATTACCTGATTTAATACCACAAGTTCAAAAGAAAACTATAATTAATGAAACACCGTGGGAATATTCAGTAAATATTAAAAATTTAACAACCAAAAAATGTATTATTATAGATTCAAATAAACCAATTCCACGATTTACATATTATAAAAATTGTATACATTTTAATAATGTTGAAATACCAGTTGTTAAATCAACTTTTAAATGTTTTAGTGTGGGATCAACATATTATATATTTTTTTAACCAGGCTCATCGCAATGAAATTTGATAAAAAAAACGCAACAACTTATAACGTTGTTCATAGAGCACATGATGATCCAAAATATTATGATGATGATTCAAGTGGCCATGTTTTAGTTAAAGGTATAAAAGATTTGAAAAAATCAGTTAAAGATATAAGAGATAATGAAGGTTTAGCTGCTCAATATGGTATAACATTTGATGATTCAAAATATGATTATATGCAACATTTAAAACCGATGGGTGAAGGTACATTTGTTCCTGTAGAAGGCAAAACAACTATAGAAGATTTATTTCCTAATAATATTCCATCTAAAAATAAAGTTAAAATGTCAAGAGATTTAAATCAAGGTATACCAGAAGAACTTAAAGGATTTAATCCAGATTTAGATCCAAGAATTAGAGAAGTGCTAGAGGCTTTGGAAGACGAAGCTTATATTGGATCTGATGAAGAGTTGGACAATTTAATAAAATCTGGTCAAGCAGAAGAAGAAGATGAGTATGATGAATGGGATATGGATAATTTCGACGATGATTACGAAGATGAATGGGCACATGTTAGGAATAATAAACAAAATTATGATTCAGATGAATTTGATGATGTTGCTTCATTACCAGAATTTGATAAAAAGGGTAAAAAAGCAAATGGTTCAATTACATCGATGTCATCTTCTGCATTATATAGAACAGAAGGTTTATCACTACTAGATGATAGATATGAACAATTGAATAAACAATATCAAGAGGAACCAAAAGAAAATTATAAACCATTTGATATGAAAGAAGAAAGAAATGATTTTGAAGGTATGTTGGATGAATTTTTAGAAACCTATGAATTAGAAAGTGGTGGTAGAAAATTAGCAAAGAAGGATAACGAAAAGACAAAGATTAAATTAGCTGCAAGCTCTGTATCAAAAGGTAAAGATGCAAAGAAAATTAGTGATAAATTTAAACAATTAAATTTGAATTAGGGGGGTTTACATTAGCCACAAGCTCAATTTGGTGTAAATAAACTACTCTATTTCAATACACAGCTATTATATATTAGTCAAGGACTCAACTGCAGATTTCATTTGCCTGATTATGTACTGACTTCAACTCAAAATTTGACTAGTTTGAGCTGTATAAAATTTTTAATCAGTAACATATTTAGAAGAGTGATAAAGGCATCTTTACGATAGCATCTTTACGATACTATATGTTAGTCATGGACTCAAATACACTGGTATCAGTCGCATCTGATGACTCACGGAGTTCAGTTTACTCAAAAATTGACAAGGTTTGAGCCGTACAAAATTTTGAACCGTTGCAAGAGTGACAGAGGCATCCTTACGAGTCATATCCCGAGGAAATCTCTTTTAACTAAAAGGCATCCTTACAGTTGTTGCATCTTCTCAGTTATGCTGACTCGTCAGTATAACAACTGGTAGTGCAAAACGTGAAATTAAAATTTTTATTTTTTAATTAATATTCAAATTGTTGTTTCTACCATTTATAATAATTATCATCTATAAATTGATGTCCACTCGTAATAATAATACTTCCGTGACAAGTATATCAAGAGTATATTCAGATGTATTGTCAACGAAACCTCAAATTTATTGGGATTATGATGATTTAAATATAAAATGGAATCCACAAGAAAATTATGAAATTATTAAAAAACTAGGTAGAGGTAAATATTCAGAAGTATTTTTAGGTATTGATTTAATAAAAGGTGAAAAAGTTGTCATTAAAGTATTAAAACCTGTTAAACGAAAGAAAATTAAGAGGGAAATTTCAATATTAAAAAATTTATATGATGGACCAAATATCGTTAAACTATTAGATGTTGTTAGAGAACCACAATCAAAAACTCCTGGTTTAATATTTGAACATGTTAATAATATAGATTTCCGAACTTTATACCCAACTTTTAATGATTATGATATTAGATATTACATGTATGAATTATTAAAAGCTTTAGATTATTCACATTCAATGGGTATAATGCATAGAGATGTTAAACCTCATAATGTAATGATTGATCATGAAAGAAAAGTTTTAAGATTAATTGATTGGGGTTTAGCTGAATATTATCATCCTGGTACTGAATATAATGTAAGAGTTGCAAGTAGATATTTTAAAGGTCCAGAATTATTAGTTGATTATAGATTATATGATTATTCATTAGATTTATGGTCTTTTGGTTGTATGTTGGCATCAATGGTTTTTATGAAGGAACCATTTTTTCATGGTAAATCTAATACTGATCAATTGGTTCAAATTGTAAGAGTATTGGGATCAAATAGTTTAAATAAATATTTGGAAAAATACAATTTAACATTGGGAGAAGAATATGAAGATATAGGTTATTATAATAGAAGACCTTGGGAAAGATTTATTAATGAAAATAATCAACATTTAGTTAGTAATCAATTTTTAGATTTTATTGATAAATTATTAAGATATGATCATCAAGAAAGGTTAACTGCAAAAGAAGCAATGAATCATCCATATTTTGATATGTTAAAATAATATATACTAATTAAAATTCCTCTGGTCGTGTATAAAATTTTTCAACAAAACAATGTTCGTTTATTTTGATGTTTCAAATGGTGAAGATTCAGGCAGAATTGTGTTTGAATTATTTGATGATGTAGTTCCAAAAACTGCTGAAAATTTTAGAAAATTATCAATTGATAAGAAATATGCAAATTCAATTTTTCATCGTGTTATTAAAGATTTTATGATTCAAGGTGGTGATTTTACAAATCATGATGGTACTGGAGGTGTATCAATTTATGGTGAAAAATTTGAAGACGAAAATTTTAAATTAACTCATGATATTCCATTTTTATTATCAATGGCTAATGCTGGTCCAAATACAAATGGTTCACAATTTTTCATTACAACTGTTCCTACTCCTCATTTAAATGGTAAACATGTTGTTTTTGGTAAAGTCGTATTTGGTAAAAGTTTAGTTAGAAAAATAGAACATTCGGAAACTGAAAATGATAAACCAAAAGTTGATTGGAAGATTATAGATTGTGGTGAAACTGATAAAATTCCAGAACGTGATGATAAATATGAAGATTATTTAAAAGATAATGATATTGATATCGAAAATCCACAAGAAGTTTTTAAAATGGTTAATGAAGTTAAAAGTATGGGAACTCAATATTTAAAAGATAGTAAATTGGATCAATCATTTGCAAAATATAAAAAATGTTGTACATTATTAAATGATTATTTTCCAGATGATTTATCAAAAGAAGATTTAGATATTTTATTAAAATTGAAGATTTCATGTTTTTTAAATGCCGCATTAGTTGGATTAAAATTGAATAAAGGTAAAGAGGTTATTAAATTTACAACTGATGCTTTAAGTTTGGAGGAAATTGGTGATAAATCGAAAGTTAAAGCTTTATATAGAAAAGGTATGGGTTATTTACAATGTAAAGATGAAGATTCTGCTAAAGAATATTTACAAAAAGCTTTAGATTTAGAACCAAATGATTCAGCAATTCAAAAGGGATTAAATGATGTGAAAAACTCATTGAAATTAAGAAAGGATAAAGAGAAAAGAGCAATGGCTAAATTCTTTAGTTAGACGTGTAAATATACAATAAATATACATATGCTATTAGTATCAAACTTTTAAGATCAATAGAACATAGAATTTTCCACCGATATTACTTATTTAATTCAGAAAATCATAGTTTAAATTACAGATTTTACAGATTTTTTAATTTTATTAGGACAGATTCAACACTTTTAAGGACAATTAAGAACGTGCAGTTCGGTCTATTGAGTCCAGAAGAGATTAAAATCATTAGTAGTTTGTAAGATAGAGTATCCAGAAAATGATAAAGATTACCGAACTATATGCTACACCACCTAAACAGCTGTTCAATTTTGAGTTATTGTATTTAGATAAGTTAGCATGCAATCTTTTTCAATCAAGGTCAAAAGCTTTTGCATTTAAAAGGATTGAATTGATAGAAAGCTCTTTTTGAAAATCGATTTTATAGGGTTTGAAAATCGATTTACTTATATATTAACTATAATAGTAAAAAAAGCGCGATTTCAAGGCTGAATCTAAAACAATATGCAGTCTTACCGACTTAAATTTTAAAACTTGATTTGTAATTAGCACTATCAATAAAGAAGTTCTTGCTTCGAGCCTAGCTAATTCTACTTCTCATCATACTGAAGCTAATTCCCGTCGATCACATATAACCCTGATTACGTAATGTTTCGAGAATAGAAATATAACGCTCAGTTGCGAGATAATCTACACTTAGACCTTATTTAGCAGATTCTAAGATAGCTGATTTGGTTTATTCAATCCCAAAAACTCTATGCATAACGTTTTTAAGACGCCAAAATTTGTTTAAAATTTTTGCAAAAATTTCGATTCACTTTCGAAAAATTAATAATTCAAATTTGAATATCTTAACACGATTAATTTTTGAAGTTTATCAGCATACAGGAACTACAAGTTGGATACTTTTTTCATACTCTCAACCCAATTTTGATCGTGGAGTAAAAGTTTTCGTAAAATCAATATATTCAAATTTTCCCACATTTAAACGATTTTTTTGAATTTTTTTAGTTTTAGCTCGGATCAAAATTAAATGTGACACCTTACTTTGAGGTAAAGTATATATGATGCGTAGTGTATTTGATTATTGTGGCCCTAGAGAGATACATATACAACTTATAAATTTTTAGAAAAATTTCGTATGGCAAAAAAGTTTCAAAAATTCAGATGAAAAAAATAATGTATGGAATTAGAGATTTAAAGCATCTAGGATATATGATTTAAGGCTCTTGACTTTCTAGAATAGGTAGGTATTGATAGAGAAAATGCGTTTCATTCATGCAAGCCCATAGTACGAGAAATCATTTTTGTCGCACCAATATTTTGCACCCATTTTTTCTCTTGAGTCATCATTGAGTCGCGTTGTCAAAATTTAAAAAATCGGAGTTAATTCTCAACAAAATTATATAGATGAATGTTTTAATATATTCAGGACCAGGCACCACAGCAGAAAGTGTGAAACATTGTTTAGATACATTGAGATTACATTTATCATCATATTATGCAGTTATACCCATTTCAGAATTGGTTTTATTAAATGAACCATGGATGAGAAAAACTTCAATGTTGGTTATACCTGGTGGTGCTGATTTGCCATATTGTCGTATTTTAAATGGGGAAGGTAATAAAAAAATATCAAAGTTTGTATCTAATGGTGGTAAATTTTTGGGTTTTTGTGCTGGTGGGTATTATGCTTCTTCAAGATGCGAATTTGAAGTAGGTACATCAATGGAAGTTAGTGGTTCAAGAGAATTACAATTTTTTCCTGGTATTTCCAAAGGTTGTGCTTTCAAAGGATTTGAATATGAATCTCAAAAAGGTGCAAGAATATGTAAATTAACTACAAATACTGGTCAACATGTATATAATTATTATAATGGTGGTGGGATTTTTGCAAATGCAAGTGAACATGATGTTGAAATTTTAGCAACATATGATGAAATTACTGATATTGAAGATGAAGATAGAGCTGCTATTATTTATAGAAAATATGGAAAAGGTGATGTTATATTATCAGGTACTCATCCCGAATATCCAATTAAAGATGATTATGAAAGGAGGATATTTATGAGAGAATTATTGAGGAAATTAGGGTTGAAGGTCGAAGAATCAGTGGAGAAAGGGATACCTAATATCACACCAATGTATATAATGTCTAATCAACCACTTAATTTCAATTTTGACAATACTATTAACGAACATGATACTTTAGTATTCAATTCACAAGAACACGGTCAACAAATCTTATTCCCTTCATATTATCCTAAAATCGTTTCTTTCAATATAGAAAAATATTTTAATAATTTAAAATCATCCACAATTGGTCAGGTTTTTGGATATTCTGAAGTTATAACAAGTACAAATACAATACTTGAAAAAAATCCAACTTTCCTAAAAGAATTGCCACATGGTTTTACACTTACAGCATCTACACAAATAGCAGGAAAAGGAAGAGGAGGTAATGTATGGATAAATCCAAAAGGAGTATTAGCTACTTCAATTTTATTCAAAATTACCGATTCTTCAAAAATTGTCACATTACAATATCTTTGTGGATTAGCACTAATTGAAGCTATATTAAATTATGGAGCTGAACCTGGAAATGGAATAGGTTATGAACAATTACCAATTAAATTAAAATGGCCAAATGATATATATATATTAAAACCTGAATATTTTAATTCATTTGATGAAGTTGTTGATTTTGTAAATGGAGAAGATGAAAAATGGGTGAAAATATCTGGACAATTAATAAATTCACAATATTTAAATAACACTTTTTATTTAATTTGGGGTGCTGGTTTAAATGTATCAAATGAAGCACCAACAACATCATTAAATTTAGTATTAAAAAAATTAAATCAATTAAGATTAAAAAATGGATTAGATGAATTACCATCATATGAGATTGAAATACTACTTGCTAGAATTGTAAATACAGTAGATAAATTCTTTTCAGTGTTTATTAAATCTGGCTTAGATCCATTTTTACCATTATATTATAAAAGATGGTTTCATTCAAATCAAAAAGTTTTTGTAGATGGTAAAAAATGTATAATTAAAGGAATTACATCAGATTATGGGTTATTAATAGCTGAATCTGACGATAAAACTTTATATTTACAACCTGACGGTAATTCATTTGATATCTTTAAAGGTTTAGTATATAAAAAGAATTAAATATATTTTTTTCTTCTTTAATGAAAATTACAATAACGAACTATAAATCATTTTCTACATGGCATTGGTCAAATGTAACAGAAGAATTATGTGGTATATGTAGAGTATCATTTGATAGTACTTGTCCTAATTGTAAATATCCTGGTGATGATTGTTCAATTGTTTTAGGTTTAAATTGTACGCATAATTTTCATTTACATTGTATATTAAAATGGTTAGAACAAGATACGAGTAAGGGTTTGTGTCCAATGTGTAGACAAATTTTCACATTCAAACAAGTAACATCAAATACTAAAGAAATACAAGACTTAAGGAATTTAATTGATGGTCATAAAATTATACGAGAAAGACAACAAGATGATGATGAATTTGATTAACATTTTTTTTCTTTTTTTCACCAGATGTTTAAACGATTAAATTTATTGAAAAATTACAAATCAGTTGGGTTAAGATTTAACACAACTATTGCTAAACCAAGGTTTACTCCACAAGAGTTGGAAACAGCTAGGGTTTTAAGATTGGAAAAATTAGGTTGGTTAAAACATTTACCTACAAAATGGATACCTTATTTTGAATTAATGAGATTAGAAAAACCAGTTGGTACTTGGTTATTATTAATACCGTGTTATTGGTCAATAACAATGGCTTCTTACTCAATTGCAGCACCTATTACAACTACTTTATCAACAATTGGTTTATTTTCAATTGGTGCGTTAGTTATGAGAGGTGCTGGTTGTACTATAAATGATATTTGGGATAGAAATTTGGATAATCAAGTTTCAAGAACAATGGAAAGACCAATTACAAGTGGTAGAGTTACTGTTCCAAAAGCTGTTGCGTGGTTAGGTGTTCAATGTTTTGCAGGTTTAGCTGTTTTGTTAAGTTTACCTTTTGAATGTTTTTATCTTGGTGCGTTATCATTACCTTTTGTATTTGCATATCCATTATTTAAAAGATTTACATATTATCCACAAGCAATTTTATCAATTTGTTTTAGTTGGGGTTGTTTATTAGGATTTCCTGCAGTTGGTGCTCCATTAAATTTATTTGTTGCAATTCCTTTATTTATAAGTAATTGGATTTGGTGTCTAACTTATGATACAATTTATGCTCATCAAGATAAAAATTATGATATAAAAGCAGGTATAAAATCTACTGCATTAGCATGGGGTAATAAAACTAAACCAATAATGAAAGGGTTAACTATTGCACAAGCTGGATTATATGGGTTTGCTGGGTTTATGAATTCAATGGGTCCTGGTTTTTACATTGCTGGAGCATATGCAATTACAAGATTATATAAACAAATTTTAAATGTTGATTTAGATAATGAAAAATCATGTTGGAGTGCATTCACTTCAAATATTAAAACTGGATTTATATTTTGGTATGGTATTGTATTTGATTATTTAATGTTATTAGCAAGTCAATTTATGTAATCTTGAAGATTCAGCTTTAGATATATTTTTACTTAGTATTTTTTTCCTCAATTTATGTTGATAATCGGAATATGTTGATTGTAGGAATGTTTGTAGGTAGACTAATGGAATTGATTCTGGTAGTGAATTTAATACATAGATTACCGATAAATGTTTTTCGTTAATTAAATGATTAATAGCAGTTAGATGGGGAAGATAAAAATTAAAAATTTCTTCATATGTACCATCTTTAACAAATTTATCAAATAATGTAAATCCCTTCACTAATTCCTCTGCAGTGGAATAATCACCAAAGTCTAACATGTTGGATAATGTAATGTTATGATATTTGAAAACTGAACCATCTAATTTTCGGGGATATTTTAAGGACAATTCAATTGATTTTATGTATAGCTTTATTTTTGTATCCTTCTTTAAGTTTAAATAATCAATCCAGGTGATTTTAGGCCATTTATCATCATCTAAAGACACTAATTGTCTATACTCTTTGTGATAATCATTTATTTTGAAGTCTTGTATCATTTCAATTATTAAGTCAAACATCTCTTCAAATTTTTCATCCAGTTGTAGTAGATCTATTTGTATTAGCGACAACTCGCTTGATTTAGGTAGTTGATTCATTATAGTTTTATTGACTTTTGGATTCACATTTTGTTTTATAAAATCTAAACCTTTTGCTTCATCAAGTTTTATGATTTTAAGTAATGTTTTTCCATATTCTGAGTCTGTAAGATACCCAGCCTTTAATAAATATAAAGCATCATCAATGATAAAATGTTTAGATAAAAATTTGTTATAATCAAGTGCATTTTCTTTATTAAGAAATTTTTTATACCCTTTTGAAGCTAAATCTGGTTTCAATAAATCAATTTCATCATACTCTAGTACATTTAATATTTCCGCTTCTGATCCAATTTTATATAAATGTTCTCGTAGCTTTCTACTTTTAGGTGTAACTGATTTTACAAATTTATCTTTATTTTGAACTAAATCAAAAACTTCATCTTGATCTAGAATGTCTTGATGTAACAAAAAATCAATAGGATCTTTATCAAGTATCTTACAAGCTTCAATTTTTAACCATATAGTCAATTCATTAGTTTCTAATTTCAAAAATGACTCTAGATCATTATTTTCCTTTGCTTTCTCAAATTGCCGTTTAACCTTTTCCTGTTCATCTTCATATAGTATCATGACAATTCCTTTATTAACAATGTATAACTCCTCCCTCAACATAAGAACTCTCCCTTCTACATCAATTGTTTTCACCACTTCCAAACTTTCTAATGATGATATAACCAATTTTTTCGTCATTGCAAATACATATGGCCATTTTACTTCAACACTTGATGGGTCTTCTTCCCATGTTAATGTGCCTCGAGTAACATCTCCTTGTTCATTAATAAACATGGCAATTGACAGTATAGTTAATAAAAATTCATTTTCGAACGATTTAATACATGGTTTACCACTATGTTGAAATAAAGCTATTCTATCTGGATTGTATAAATCATAATCTGTATTATTTGCAAGAACTATTGAATTTAATCCAGATGCAGTAATTGCCCCGGCATAATCTATTTCTCGTAAAATCTTTATTTCCTTATCAATGGAGACTATTCTTACTTTATTCGATGATAGCACTAATAGATCTTGTTTACAATTGTAAATATTAATTACATCTCTCATTCTTTTTAAATGAAATGGTGATAATTCAGGTAGACTATAATAACTTGAAACTTTATTTGACAAAACAATCAATAAATCATTATGAACCAACAAATTATCAACTTTGACTTGTAGCTTAGTTATTAGTGAATATTCATCTAATTTATGATAATGTAATAATTCTTCTTCAGTTGCTACATATATATTATTTTCATATTTTGCAATAGATTTAATATCATCATTAATGGATATAAGAGTTTTAAGTTGATAATCCATGAAGAAAATGAAAAAATACGCTACCAAGTTCTATATATTTGGTGGAAACGCTAAATTATCTCTATGAGCTACATATTCAGAATCAGCAAAACCCAATATTGATTCAATTTCATTTGATTTATGACCTTTAATTAAATTGATTTCACTTGATGAATAATTAACTCTACAATGACCAACTTCTATTAATTCATTTTCATTTTTAACAACAACTGAAACACATTCCAGTTCATGAAAATTACCAACAACTTCAATAATTCCTGCTGGTAATAAACCAGCCCTATCTTTTCTAGTTAATGCTTTATAACAACCTTGATCTATAATTAATTTCCCTTTTGTTTTTAACCCATGTAATAACCAAAATCTTCTATCTGATTTAATTTTAACATCTGATGATAAACTTAAAAATCTTGTATGTAATGGTATCTTACCTAATTCAACATCTTTTATAGGATCATCACCACTTTGTATATGATTTACAATATTTAAAATATTTTGAGGTTTACTCAGTAATGTTATAATAGTAGTAGTTCCAACATTTGTAGCTAATTCTGCTGCAATTAATTTTGTAGTCATACCACCAGTACCAACTTTTGTACCCGCACCAATATCATCAGTTTTAACTTGTAATTCATCAATTTTATCAACTATTATAATTGGTTTTGCATCAGGATTTGTTCTAGGATTATCATCATATAAACATTCAACATCAGTCATTAAAAATAAATAATCAGCATAAATCATACCAGAAGTTATAGCACTTAATGTATCATTATCACCAAATTTGATTTCTGAAACTGATAATGTATCATTTTCATTAACAATTGGAATAACACCCATTTGTAATAATTCATTAATTGTATTTTTAGCATTTTTATATTGTGTAAAATCCATTATATCATTTCTTGTTATTAAAATTTGTGCAATCAATTGATTCATTTGTCTAAATAAATTATCAAGTAATCCCACTAACCTACTTTGACCAATTGAAGCTAAAGCTTGAATTTTTGTTAATTCTTTTGGTTTTGAATTTAATCCAACTACTTTCATACCAAAAGCAATAGCACCAGATGAAACAATAATAATTTTATGACCTTGTCTACGTAATTTGACCACTGTTTCAACTATATGAGACATATTAGCTATCCTTGGTTCCAAAGTAACCTCATCTACTAAAGATGAAGTGCCTAATTTAATGACAATAGTTAATGATTCCATGATGAAAAAGTGAAAAATTAGTCACAAGAGCTACCATGTGTTTAAAATAAGGTATAAAATTTGAAAAATGACCAATAACAAAAGAATAACACAATCAAAGGAGCTAATTTTATGCTTGTTTTAGTGCCAGTTAATATTAAAGGAACTTTAATTGTTGAAAGATGGTAAAATCAAAATTTATATTATGTATACAGCCGCGTTACCCAATATAGTAATGGTCTTGCTCAAATCTACGCGCAAAGCGCTACCATTTTTAAATTAGCGTCTAAATTTGTTTCAGATTAGAATTAAATTTAATATCACGTCCTTTTAAATTAATTAATCAACCAACTTCATATCATCTCATTATTAATAGATTTAATCACGGGTTATAAGAAGTATAATTATTCAAATAATGGAAAAGTTTGTGACAAGAAAACTCAATGCAATAGAGATAGATATAGTAATGATTATCAGGAAGAATCTCAATCTAGAAATTATCAAGATCAACAACATAATAATGATTTTTAAGAAGAAGATGCACAACCAAGAAATTATCAACACTATAATAATGACTATTATGAAGAACAACCAGTTGAATCCAATCCATATCATAACTATGGTTCAACTTTTGTTAAAAAAAAATTTAATTATCCTGAATCTGAAGAAAGTTCATATCATAAGCAAGAATACGAATCAAATTCGTATAATCATAATCATCAATATATCCTAAATACTTATGAAGCTAATCCATACATTAAGAAATACAAATTAAAACTGGAGAAAGAGAGTTAAGGAGTCTACATAAAACAAGAAAATGATAATCCTATGATAACAATCCACTTCAAGGTCATAATCATCAAACTAATTACCAAAATCAGAACAGTACACCACAACATGTACAAATTAAAAATCAAAATTATTATCATGATGTTCCAAATCAAATAAAACAAGAAGAAAATAACCAACATCAGTATAATACTAGAATTAATTTTCAAAATTTTCATCAACAGTTTGCTAATCAACCAACTACTAAATATGAAAATAACCTATTTAATTTTCAGTCTGGTCAAAATCAAAATTTTAATCCTCGAAATACAGATCAAAATCATACTCAGTATAATAATCAATATTTCCAACCTAATGATGTTCAAAACTACAGAAATGAAAATATAAATAGTCAGTTTGTTAATCAACAAGCAAATTTACGAGGTGGTCATCCAACAAATAATCTACAACATGCAAATTTGCAAGGTGGCTATCCTAGAAATCTTCAACTGTATGCAAATTTAAGAGGTCATAGTCCTTCAGAATATCAACAACACACAAATATTCTACAGATATCAAATACATGCAAATTTAAAAAGTGCTCATGTTACAGATTATCAACAACAAGCAGATTTACAATCGAATTATCTTACCGTTGACAGTTAATATCATAATTATAAGTTTAGTAATGTAAATAACCAAAGCTCAAACAAAAATGCTCAAGTTAAAACTGAAAATGCAAATTATTTTGATAACCAATTTAGAGATGAAACTACTCAAAATACAAACCAAAATACTCATATAGAAATTGAAAGTGAAAATTATCATAATGATCAATTTAGTAATTCACCTACTCAAAATGCAGATCAAAATCAAGTTCCACTTGGAAATGCTAATTATCATAATAATCACCAATTTAGGAATCTAACTACTCAAAATTTAAGCCAAAATACTCAAGTAGAATTTGAGAATACTCAATTTAACAATTACAACTACCCATTGACTGCTCAAATTGGTCAAAATAATGGAGCAAATCAATATCATTCATCTAACGACCAAGAGTCCCCCACCAAACAATTACACTCAAAAATTGTATAACAACAATATTTCATTGAATGAAAAATCTACCACACATGAAACAGTAACAGAATTATTAAATAGATTGCAAGATGAAGAAATCAACTGTTTCATGTACAACATCAAGTGTTCAACAAAATACACAACCAAAAGCCAAAGAAGAAGTAGAAGAAACTTTTAGTGTTGTTGAACCACAAATTAAGAGAGAATTTGAACTGCCAATTTCAAAAGATTATTAAACTCCTAATATTACAATAGCAGATTTACTCAATTTGAAAAAGAATGCAATGTTACTAAGCTTTAAAGAAGTAAAAATTGGTATGACAACTTTAATATCGCTTCCAGTTTTTTAATCAATCATGATATTGAGGCTGACAATTGGGCTTCATTAGATGAAGATAGAGAAAGAAGAGGTCTTTCACCTTTAACACCTGAACAAAGACAAGAATTAGGATTCCCTCCAATAGATGAACATCAATCGTCAGAAAGACCAAGACAATTTATTTCATCACGAATTACTAATCCAAATCATGAAAGAGTTAAAGAAGAAATTAGTGATGTTGAGCTGTCAGATGATGAGTTTGATTATTTACGATCTCCAGCTCACCAATTATCTAGTTTTTTATTTAAAATCAAAAAGAAAGAAGCTTCAAGATATAAAAATTTCATAAAATTTAAATGTGATAAAAGATTTGAAAATAAATTTGAAGTTTATAGAAATATATATTGTTAATCATGTCTATACATTAATGTCTAGTTTAACCATTAGAACTAGATTTAATCTTGTTTATAAGTATTTGTAAAAATTGTATCTAAGTTTTTTGGATCTATATCTCTCCAGTAACTCAATTTAAATGGTAAATTCTCAGGTAATAATTCAGGATAATTATATTCAATAGTTTTATAAATCTCTTTAGTTAATAGAACATAAGATTTTGTAGTATAATGAATTCCATCAATTAAATATTCTTCCAATGGTGGATCCTCGAATATTTCCTCTTTTGTGAATTTTGAATCTTGAAGCATTAAATTCCATGTATCAATAAATGGAACATTCTTAGCCTTCGCAACTGATTTAATGACCTCAGAATATTCTAAATTTCTTCTATTATTTGTTGCTTTTACAGCTTGTGATTTTTCAATGACTAAATTATAATCATGTAAACCTGGTCCAATTACAATTGGTTTAATATTATAACTTAGTGCTAAATCAATTAAATATTCAATGTTCTCTTTTGTTCTTTCTATTTTAGTTGGTTGAATCCAATTATTATTTTCATAACAATCATTAGTACCTAAAAAAATTGTAATTAATTTAATATTATCCTTTTCTTTGTTTGATTCAATTTCTAATATCTTTGGTAATATTAATCTTCCATGTTCTGTAGTATACCCTGCGTAACCTCTATTCAAAACATCTAATTTTCTAACATATTTATCAGTTAAAAATGGAGTATAACCAGCTTGTTGAGTTGAATATTGTGTAATTGAATCACCAAATAGTATAAATTTATTATAATCCATTGCTGTGGTTAAACTGGGAAAATTGTTCAACTAATTATATTGTATTCTGTTTATTACCGAATTGATTTGCAATCAAAATTTTATACAGTACCAAAAGAACAAACATGCTTTGGACCAAATCAGAAATCATCACGGCCAGAAATCGAATTAGATCTATCAAATCGAATAAATATACATTACCTATTTAGGTATTTCCCAAGATTTAACCTGTTATGGTTTAAGTTCATAACCATCATCCAATGTCTCAATAATATCATTAAACCAAAACCCAATAAGTACCACGAAATAAATTAATATTAAAATCACTCCTTTAAAATAGTTTGATTTTCCCTCTGCATAAATATAAGTAAATAAATATATTGAAATCAATGTAGCAATTATATCCCATCTTGGAAATACTAATGAAAATATCATATCAACTGATACAAATTGTTTCAAAATTGAATAAATAACCAAACATGGAATTTGTATAAGTACCACTTGTAAAGCATAAGCAGAACCAATTTCCATTGATAATGCAACATTACCTCCAACAGCAAATGAAATAGCATTTAAAAATTCAGTTGTATTGGGAACCAATGCAAATACAGTTAATCCTAAGAATTTAGGATTTATTGGGAAATCTTTAAGTATTGAATCAACATTATCAACTAAAATTTCTGCAATTATAGCATATAATAAAGTTGCACCTAATAAAATTATTGTTGATTTTGATCTTGACCAATTTGGAGCATCATGACTAGGTTGTTCATCTTGTGGATTTATTCTTGGTGTTGTTGGTGTTCCAGTTTCATTTCTAATTTCATGAGAATTTGTTGCCCAAATTAAACTTGCATGAGTACGTAATGTAAAAAATAATCCACATACATAAGCTGCGAATAATGCAATTGCAACAATTAACGAAAATGGTTTTAACACTTTATAATATAATTGATCTAATGTAAATGAAGGTTGAATAAATCTACATTTTGTACAATCATCATCATCTAAACCAATTACACATTTTTTACATTTGATTTCATAAGCACCGTAAATTTGATAAAATAATGATGGTGCAAACATTATAACCATAGCGTATAATAACATTGTTGATGAAACACCAGCTGATCTTGGATTATATCTTTGAGTTTTTCTATTAATGGCACCACCAATCATTGATAATCCAGGAAGTAATAAAACACCACCAAGTATACTACCAATCATCGAACCTTCAACTAATTTACCCTTTGATTGGTTTAATGCAACACAATAAAGAAAAATTTCAACAATGGTTGAGAAAAAAGCATTAATTACAGCACCAACACCCATTGAAGATTGTGCTGATATAGATGCAACAGCTTGACCAATAAAATAAGCCAATGGAATTATTGAAAACAAACAAAGACAAAATATAACTGTTGAATTAGTTAACAAAACTTCGATTCCAAGATATTCCTTTATCAAAAAATAATCTAGTATCACAAATAAAACAACTGATAATAAATTGATAAAGAAAATGTTTGTCCCATCAATGGTGTATTTATAATAATGAAATCCACAACATCTATAAGTACATAGCAATATCATTTGATTCTTTTTCCTTGGTTGTTTATAATATTCTTTTTCCAATATATAATCCAAAGCTAACGGATGTCTTCTCAAATGACTATTCAATGTTAATGTAATATTTGACATTGGTATAGTAAAAACAATTAACCAACATATAAATCCAACAATATACGAAATTGGTTGCAATACTAAATAAAAATAAATATAAAATATTATTCTACCTAATGTCCAATTACCTCTACCAAAAAATCTTACTTTGATATCTACATCTTCAACTTCTTCATCAACTTGATATGCATCTCTTAGAGGTCTACCTTTATGATCTTTCATTAATGGGGTAGTATCGCTTGTATACCTTCTTGGAGGAGCAAAAAATAACCTTCCTTCTTCTTGTTGTCTCCACTGATGAAATTCATTTATAGTTCTACCTTCTAATTGATCTTCATTTAAATAATTTTTATCTTTTGTTAATAAAACAAATTTTCCAAATGGATATAACCAATAACCACCTAATCTATAAAGTGCACTACTGTAAGGTTTCAGACCAGCTAATAATACAAATCCAGCACCAATTAAACAAATTATATAAATAAACAAACCTGCAGTTAAACACCATATTAAATTTGTTAATTTTACCCCCCAAAATATTGAATGAGCAGGTTTTCTAAAATCATGAATATCTTCATCAGCTCTAGTTGCAACCGATCTTGTTTTTTTATATAATGAAGGTTTCCAAATCTTTATACCAAAAGGATGAGTTGAATTAATAGCATCTTGTCTTTCTCTTAAATTTAATGATTCCAAAGTTGAATTACTATGAATTGATTCATTATCTTGTATATCAGGACTTTGTAAATCTTTTAAAGCATCATTATAGCCTTCAACATAATCTTCGGGTACCTTATCATCTTCATTTACATCATCATCAACTGAATAAATTAGTTTTGAATGATTTAGAGATCCAAATCTTTTTAAATTTGGTCTTGATCTTTTTCTAGATCTACTTTCTGATCTTTCACTGGGACCTAATAATGGTGTTGACATTGATTATGCATGTAAGTTTGACAAAAAGAATGAAATATATTTCTACACGACTATATAATCAAGATGCTACCAATTAGTCACCTAATCTATAACCTTTTCCTTTAAAAGCTGATTCACCAAACCAATAATTAACATTTGATGGTTGTTGTTTGATCTCTATTTTACTTTGAGTTGGTGGAGGTGTATAAGGTGTTTTCAATATTTCATATAACCATTTTGGAGCTTTTAAATAACCTTTATCGTATATGGAATCACCAATAATTTCATTATTTTGACCGACTCTTTGATGTTTGACTTCTTGTAATAAATTATAAAATGGTATTGTTTGAGATTGAACACATAGGTATAAATAACCAGTAATTATACCCATTAAGGTATCGATTAAGGCTGTTGGACCACCTAAAATCATTTTAACTAATAAATTACCCAATGGTAAATAATAAGCTTTTATTGGAACTAAACCAATTAAATTAATTTTAGCGTTTTTATTAGCTCTTGACCAAACATAAGTAATACAAGCTAATAATATTTCATGCGGGAAAAACAATTGTGGTTGAAATATGTTATAAATAAATGAAAATATATAAATACAAGTTGAACATAATATATTAAACCAAAGGAAATCAGGAAAATTACCTTTAAATTTACCGTCTGCTTCTAAATGATTTGAAAATGTATAAAAAAAGTAAATATCTAATAAAGCATTAAATTTATTTGGACCAACAATACCACTTGGTATTAAAACTGATGTTAGAAATTTGTATGAATTCAATAGTAAATGACCAACTGTCTTCAATGCAAATAAATAGCCACCTTTTCTAATTGATTGATATATTAAACTTAAACCAAATTCAATTTCATTATAACTAATATATAAAGAAGGTAAAGCATCAAATGTAGATATAGCCAAACACACTAATACTGAAGATATAGTATAGAATCTTGTAACTGGCGGTATACCTTTTATATTTTCAACCAACGCATTTTCTGACATGGTGGTGTTCGTTTTTATGTTTCCGACTGAAAAAAAAAAAATCATATACCAACGCATCATGAAATTAGTTAGATTTTTAATGAATATACCACAATCAACTAATCAACCAGTAACTGTCGAATTGAAAAATGGTAATATTATAAATGGTCATATAACTTCTTGTAATCCTCAAATGAATTTAAATTTAAAAAAAGTTAAATTACAACAACCACTACAAGATCCAATTCAATTACAATATATAAATATTAGAGGTAATCAAGTTAGACAAATTATTTTACCTGATGAATTAGATATAGATGGTATATTAGCTAAATCGGATAGAAAATTGAAAGGTCAAGGGGCTGGTCCTAGGGTTGAAAAGAAAAGAAGGAGGTAAACAAACTATGGAATGGTTGAAAACTGAAACTGTCCCTACTTGCAGTATTTTGTATTACTATTTACATATTAATATTAATGAATAATGATTTAAAACCACTCTTCTTCTTTCTTTTTTCTTTTTGATATTAATTTCTTATAATTTGGTCTTGCTTTTGAAATTATATCATCCATATTTTCAATCGCATTTGCTCTTTTAGCCATTTTTTCATGAATTTTATCTAAATCTGGTCTTGGTGATGGATTAATTATTGAATTCATAAATTTTACATTATTATATTTTTCTTCATGGAATTTACGTGGTGTTGGTGGTAATAAATCTTGTAAACCAAATTTTTTGGCTAATTTAAATAAATCTGCTGATCTTCTTCTTGAATATTTTGGTTGTTGCCAATTACCAGTTTCTAAATTTTTATTTGGGAAAAAGGGATTTAAAGTTGGATCATTCGTTACTGATGGAGATGATTTATATTGTTGAAAAGGTCTAGGTGGATACTTTATGAAAAAATTATGCAATTTTTGAGGAAGTTTATTAAATGCTTCCTTTGATGTTAACATGGTTAATATTATTGAAATTTGAAAAAAAAATTTTGATAATTTTGTAACATTGATAATTTGCGCTACCAAGCGAGATCTTAATACTATTTTGCATCAACAAGTGTTTATTGTATAGAGTTTGAATAATTAACAGAGATGTTTTATTAATTGGATTGATATATCACATAATTAATCATATCTATTCAGGACCATCTATTATACATTTGACAACTCCATTACCTTCTCTTGTAGTATCATAAGCTTTTATAGCATCATCCCATTTAAATCTATGAGTAATCAATTTTTCAAAATCAATTATATTCTCTTGTGCATTCTTTCTTAAAATTTCAATTGATGTTTTATAATCACCATAACCATATCTAAAAACACCATATAATGAAATTTCTCTACTTGAAAATTCAACAATTGGAAATAAAACATCTTTACCGGCATTACCAATTTGTGCAAATCTACCACCATCTTTTAAAGCATAAACAGCCATTTGAATACAAGGTTCAGCACCTGAACATTCTAAAACTACAGTTGGACGAATTCCATCAAATGCTTTAATTAAATCTTTATAATTTCCATTTCTTGAATTAAAATTATGAGTTGCAGCACCAATATCTTTTGCCAATTTTAATTTTTCATCAAAAATATCAACAACCATAATATTTCTAGCTCCTAAAACTTTTGCAGCACTAGCTGCTAATAAACCAACAGGTCCTCCACCAAAAACCATAACATCTTCACCAAATTTCATATCAACTAATTTAATACCATGTACACCTACAGTCATTGGTTCAACCATTGCACCTAATTCTAATGAAACATCATCAGGTAATTTAAATAAAAAATCTTCTGGAGTTTTGTAATATCTACATAATGTACCTGGAGCATTTTCATGACTTGGATCTGTTGGTGGAGTAGCTGCGAATGACATACATGGACACAATTGATATTTACCAGATTTATAAGCATCGGATAAACGAGATGGAACGCCTGGTTCAATTGCAACTCTATCACCAACTTTTAATGAAGTAACTTCAGACCCTATTTTAGAAACAATACCACTTGATTCATGACCAAGAACCATAGGTTTTCTAAGAATAAAATGACCTATTTTACCATGTTTATAATAATGTATATCTGACCCACAAATACCAGTTTTTTTAACTTCAACTATAACATCATGAGGATCTACAATTTCAGGAATTGGATAATTTTCAAATGAAATATCATCAATTTTATTTAGTACTAATGAAGGATTAGACATTTTTTTGTTGTTGATAATCTTTCATTCTTGCTAATTTGCCTCAATATTTATAGTGGAATGGTATTTTTAAATTTACACGATAATTTTCCCGCATAATTCAACAGGGAAGTTAGATTTACATCAAGTTGAATAGGCAGTTGAACTACAACAGGGTTGGTATTAGCTGCGGCTTCGTTAAATATAATTATATCCATGACTTTCCCATAGAATTAGTTAGAGTACAAGCAAATTTGATGAAAATTTCCAACCCAATGGCTCTTTTTTAACATGGCTTGATGACACAGTGTTTCTGAATTTTTTCAGGCGAGATGGTACGGAGGTAACACGATGCTAGAGCGATAAAGATTTCATAAGATTTCATAGTCAAATTTGAAAATTGATACTTTAAAGACTACTCTTTATTATATATATATCAACTTATTTATTTAGCTACAAGTTGTAAAGCTTGTAAAACTTCTAATTCAATGTTAGCTTCAGCAGCAACAACTTCATCTTGAGAATCTGCTCTTTTTTGAGCATCAACTATCAAATTTTTAACGGTATTTAAATCAATTTGATCTGGTTTAAAAGCTTCAATTGCACTTATTGTTAATTTATTACCTGGCTGAACCATCGCAATACCACCAGAAACAAAATATTGTTCAGTTTCACCACCTTTTGAAATAATTTCTAATAAACCTGGTCTTAATTGTTCAACAATTGGAATATGATTAGCTAAAATACCTAAATCACCATTAATTGATGGTAAATTAACTTGTTCAACTTCTGAATCAGTGTATAAAGTTTGAAAAGGTAAAGCTAATGATAATTTTAATGCATCGGATGGTGTACTTGCTGCTTCTGTAGCATATGTTCTTCTAACAACTGATGATTGTTTAGCTACTTGACGAAGTGCTTGTCTAAACATTGTATATATAAATTTGTTAACTTTGATTGATGAAATATTAATTTTTCATTGACCGAAATTGAGATATATGATTATATGCAGTATACGAGCTATACACAAATTTTATTGGTTTATGATAGACTACCTAATTGGGTAATATATTACTATGAACCAAACTGGTTTAAAAAATTATCAACATCAAACTCTTCATTTAATGGTTGTTGTTGTTGATTATTATCGCCAGAATCTAATAATGTCATATTTAATCCATCTAATATCAGCTCTTCATTACCTAATAAATTATTCATATCCAAATCATCATCGGGGTTAAAATTATTGTTGTTATTATTATCGTTAGCATCAGGTATTTCATTTAAATCGAAACCCATAAAATCATTAAAATCGTAATTCTTTTCTTCTTCTTGTTGTTGCTGTTGTTGCTGTTGTTGTTGTTGTTGTTGTTGTTGTTGTTGTGCTTGTTGTAGTTTCCTTTCTTCTTCTTCTTTCAATCTTCTTGCTTCTTCGTCTGCTTTCATTTGTTTTTCTCTCTCTGCTCTTTCTTTAGCTTCAGTTTCAGCTTTAGCTTCTTGTTTTGCTTTTATTTCAGCTAATCTTCTAGCTTCAGCTTCTTCAGCTTTTCTTTTAGCTTCCATTTCTTCTTTCAATCTCTTTGCTTCAGCTTCTCTTTTTTGTCTCTCCAATTCTTCTTTAATCTTTAGCTCTTGTTGTTTCTGTTTATTCTCTACCATAGTAGCAATACACCATTTAGCATCATTGAATTTACTTACCGTTTCATCTAGTATATCGTCAAATTTATTTATATTATTTGTTAATTGTTGTATTATATTTTGTTGAATTAATTGATTATTAGGACCTGTTATTAAATTACTTTGTTTTTTATTATTGTTGATGATTTCAAATATATAACCAGCACTTTTTAATATGTCATTTAAAGCATTATCTAGTTTAGTTTGTAAATTAGCTGACATGGTATGTATCGATAAAGGATGAAATGATTTTGTTGATAGTGCGATAAAAAAAAAAAAAATTGTTATAATTTTTATTATTATCAATTAAGAAACGACTGCAAATTGAATTTGTGAATATTAGATAGGCTGCTTGTTTGAGATATAACTCACGAATTGGACTTGTTACTTTTGGATTCCAAGTGTTCCTTTGAAACGTGATCCTCATCTTTCAAGAATAATCAGATACCACCACATCTGTAATAGGTTCTTCGAGGTCAATTGTCTCATTTAAACCTATCAAATCGGTTCTTTTAGCATATACTACTAATAGTCGATCCTTAGGTGCTACTGATGTATTAGTCCGATTGTATCTGAACTTTCAAAAATATAAGCGTAAGAAGATTCTATATCACATTCCATTCCCAAATATTCTCTAAGATTAAGGAATGGATCCAGGTGTAGATAATGTATTATCCTAACATAGAAGATATCACACCATTGGAGCAGGTGGTCGGTAAAAACTAAATCAAAACAATTTTTCGTCAAACTTTTATCTGAATAATATGCTTATATTAGCTAATATATTGACTTCTAACTTTCGTTAGCTCGGAGTATTAGTTCATGATGAGAGTAGCTTAGCAACCTTCAGATGTGAGAATTAATGAAACTTTACAGTTGTTTAAAAATATTTATACCGAACTCAACTCTCATATAGTTCAATCTCATTATTTGGCTCGATTCAATTTTGTGCCACCAACTTCTCATCTAGCCGCATTTTTTTATCTTGTAAAATTCTATGCTGTTTATAAATCTCAACATCAGTGATATTATAATCCCTATAGAATAAGGAATTATAAGTGGAGAAGCAAGCGCAAAATAGATCTGAATTAGCGCGATATAAGGGCTGTACACAAAACTAATTGTAATACGAGAGCGCAAAAAATAATGCCCCCTGATTTTTCAGCAAACATTGAACAGATATCACAAACCAAACTTTTATGCAATTTATAATGTTGTTAGTATCATTAGAAAAAAAAAGCTAGCTTAAGTTGGATTTGATATTTTAAAGTTTTCTAATTTCGACTATCAAGAAAAAACCGTTAACATACAAAGGAGTCTCTTGAAAAGGACCAATTCAATATGATTCGGAGACTTTAAGTATAAGTTCCAAATATTTCAAAGTTTAAAATCAATATCTCGGGAATTTACTCCGGACATGAGATATAAGTCAAGCAGATTAGTACGAGTCGCCCTAGGTGTACCGCGAAGAAAATATATTTGTGGCCCTATTTTAGGGCGAAAATCACATCCTTGAAAAATTACTTCAACAACATATGTAACTTATATGCAGTCTCGATGATTAATCTCAAAATTTAAATGGTAAACAACTCACTCAATCTTGAAATTTTGTTTCTCATACTAGCTTTATTGGATTTTGTATTTAATTTGGAATCAAATGATGTCTGTATCCCTAAAAGAACACCAATGGTTTTATTTAAGTTTTAAAAAACGCAAAAAAAACACTACTTTGAGTTATTATTAATACTTAAACCCCATTTAGCAGCTTCTAAAGTAGCTGACACGATCTATTTGCTTTCAACATTACTTTCTGCGGTAATTTTGAGGCGGCAAATTCATTTTGAATTTTTCACAAAAGTTTCAATTCACTTAAGGAAGCAACAAACAAATGGTAACTTGAGCATAATTGATTGAGGATCTCTTAAACAAATAAGAGATATAGAAGTGCTTCTTTATAATAGCCACGCAAAGTTTGAGTCTGTTGGTAGCAAACAGTCTACAATCATTATTAAAAATATTCTTTCAATTGGTGGTGCTTGTGAGTATTTATTACTAGATCAACATTTTCTGAATTTTTTGTCAAAAAGCTGCAAAAACTGAAAAAAATCAAAAATCAATATCCAGAGTAACAGTCAATTACTATTTAGTAACTTTGACTCATTTAAGATAGCCATAAATTGTACTGCAGCAGTTATGGATGCTCATCAGAGGAAAAGATTCGGCTCATTTAAATGCAGACTTAAAATTCCATGGCAAATTGACTCTACCAGACACTTTATAATCCACTCTAATGACTTCAGTAACATCAAAATCCGAACAAAGGTTAAAGTTCTCTATAGTTGAAACTGCTTCATATTGTTCATCTAAATATTTACGAGATTCTTTGAAAATTAAAATAGTATAATTTTTTTTTTTTTTTTTTATGATAATCATCCATCAGTATCAACCATCTATAAATGAATAAATCAAATAAGATACAAAAGAATACAACAAAATCATCTAAATTTTCCAAGAACTCCATATCATCAATTAATTTAGCAGAGCAAAAAAGAAAACAAGTTTTTAGACCATTATTAGATAATCCATATTCACAACGTCATTGGCCATACATTGCAAATCAGACTCAAAATGATATACTTGAATTATTAAGATCTTATATTAAACATGAAGAATATATAACAGGCTTTAATAAAGTAGTTAAACAATTAGAATATCAAGCACAACATAAAAAATTCTCTCCTAATTCAATAAGATATGTCATTGTATGTAAAAAAGATATTAATAATGTTTTAGCAGATATATTTCCATGTTTATGTTTTAACGCAAAAGTTAAATTGATTCAATTACCAAGAAATTCTGCTGCTAAATTAGGAACATCTATTATTGGTTTAACTAAACAAGAAGGAGTCTTATTTGAAATATTGGATCGTCTTGATGATGTTGAAATTCCATGGTTGAGTAATTTGATAAATAATACAACTTCATACAATGAATTAAAGATACTAAAATGAGGCGATAGATACAACACCTTTTTAAAAGAGTCTATTTTTGAATATCAACCATGCATGAATCATGGCAGATCAAGCATCAGAATGGAACTCCAATTGCAAGAGCTGGTAAAGCTTTAGATAAAGTGGAGTTAAAATTAAATCCAATTTAAACAGGACGTTAAAGGCATATTTAGCACTTTCAAAGGAATGAGTTGGTTATTAAAGTTAGCCAGATGAAGCTAGTTATTTACAAACCAACTCAAGTAATTCAAATTGTGATCACATTGGGCATTAGGTCAGCGAGATTAAATGTAGAAAATCTTTTGAGCTACTTTAAAGTGTAATAAGATTGAATATTACAAACATATAGTTGTATAATTAATTAAAAGATAAGTTTTAGTTTTAGAGAAATTTAAACTTTACAAAGTAATTATCCCGGTAGCCTTGATCGCTGAGCAATGGACTTAAACTCTTTAACACTGTTATTCTTTGCTTTATTTCCAATATTTTTGGAATAGATTGAAATAGATTGTCATTAACCTATTCTAATAAATCCCAATAAAGCGAGAGTCCAATTTAAAGATATTGATAATCTCTATAAAAGGTTTTGATAATTCACCTTTTGATGATTAAGCATTTGTAATGACTAGAAGTTGCACATATCTCATATAAATGCCTATGAAACAAGTGTCAATATCATGACAGGTCAATATCATGACAGGTCAATATCATGACACGTCAATATGAGTCAATAATCCTCGTGAGACTGAAAATATCGTGGTTGGTTGAGTTTTGGTCCTCCATTTTTATTATAGAAAGCCTGTAAAACTGTCAATCTGTATAGTATACAGGCCCAGTTATCTTAACATACTTCGCTAATATATATTTGTCATTATTATATTAACGATACAACCCGACGATTTTGCTTTGATTACCGATTCTTAAACCTACCAACAATACAAAACCAATTTCAAAAGCCTTTCAGTATCTACTCATGCAATCCAAGCACTTTACACACAGACTCTATCAATATTTCCCAACATATGCCCTCGAGATTCAATTGTCAAAACATATTTTTGGTGATAATTTTTTTTTTTCAGAACGCGTCACCAAATTGAACAATGTTAGAATTACCATGGGTTGAAAAATATAGACCAAAATTATTAGATGATATAGTAGGTAACGAAGAAACTATAGAAAGATTAAAATCAATTGTATCAGAAGGTAATATGCCAAATATGATTATAAGTGGCTTACCTGGTATAGGCAAAACAACATCAATTCATTGTTTAGCTTTTGAATTATTAGGTGATTTATATCATCAAGCAACATTAGAATTAAATGCTTCAGATGATAGAGGTATAGATGTTGTCAGAAATAAAATTAAACAATTTGCACAAACTAAAATTTCATTACCACCTGGTAAAACAAAAATTGTTATATTAGATGAAGCTGATTCAATGACACCTGGTGCACAACAAGCATTAAGAAGAACAATGGAAATTTATTCAAATACAACTAGATTTTGTTTTGCATGTAATCAATCTAGTAAAATAATAGAACCTTTACAATCAAGATGTGCAATTTTAAAATATAATAAATTGAATGATGAAGAAATTTTATCGAGATTATTAGAAATTATTGAAAAAGAAAATGTTAAATATAATACAGAAGGTTTACAAGCTTTAATTTTTACAAGCGAAGGTGATATGAGACAAGCTATAAATAATTTACAAAGTACAGTTGCAGGTTTTGAATTTGTTAATGATATAAATGTTTTTAAAATTGTTGATCAACCACATCCATTAATTATAAAAAGAATTTTAAATTTTTGTTTAAAAAAAGAAATTGATAAAGCAATTGAATTATTAGATGGTTTATGGTACAAAGGTTATTCAGCAATTGATATAGTAACATCAAGTTTTAAAGTGGCTAAAACAATTGAAGTTGAAGAACAAAAAAGACTAGAAATGTTAAAAGAAATAGGGTTTGTACATATGAGAGTTTTAGAAGGGGTTGCAACTTATCTTCAATTATGTGGATTATATTCAAAAATTTGTGAAATTTAAGGTTTAAATATATTTGCCAATTTTTCAAAATGTTCAGCATTTACATCATTATTTTTGAGTATACTAGTAATGATAAAATAATTATTATATAAAAATGATTCTCTACCTTCTAGTGAAGTTGAAACTTTACCGATATATTTTTCAAAAGTATCTCTTAATTTTATAATATTATTATTTTCAGGTGTTAATTTTAATAAATTTGAATATAATTGACCAAATTGTTGAGTTATATTTAATGGAGCTAAAGTTAATTTCTTATTCTTTAGTATTTCCTTTTGTAATACATCACAAGCATTATCTATTAATTTTGAAAATAATGGCCATAAATATAATGATAATTGATTACAATAATCATCAAGTACTGGTATTTTATGTTTACGCATATCTTGTAGATATTTTAAAATTATTAAAACACCAATTAAATCAGTATTTAAATGTTTTAGAAATAATTTACCCAATTCAAAAACAGGTTTAAATATTACTTCAATTTTAGTATCTTTTTCATTACCAAAATAAAAATATTGAGCAATAAATAAATATTCTATAATTATATTATCATTTAAAGCTAATAAAAATTGAATAAATTTAAACTCACCAAATTTTGGAAATGGGAAATTTTCAGCAATTTGACCAGGAATTGCTTTGGTATCAAAATCTCTTGATTGTAAATAATCATGGCTAAATATATCGACAGTTTTTGATTTTATTTGTTCCAAAGCATAAATATATTTTGAAAAATTTGATCTATAATACCATCTCATTGTATAGAAGTATGCTGTACGTAATTGAATTGCCAATTCTTGATGATTTAAATAAAGAAATGTATATAATTCCTTTTGATCCAACATATCTTTTTGAACCAATTGTGAAGGTTTACCATCTCTTAATTGTCGAATGTTAAGTATCAACTTATTCCTTATCAGTTCTATGGCTTTAAATTTGAGCAAATTTATTTCATCAGATGGCGGGGCTTTTGTTAAAAATTTAATAGTATCAACATTAATATTACCAATTGTATCTTTAATATAATTTGGGGGTATAACTTTTTCTAATATTGTTTTATCAACCTCTTCAAATATTTTATGATTAATATTAGTTAATGATCTTGATCTAATTTCTAAATTTGCAATCTCTTGTGAATAAGTTGATAAAATATCAGCGAATTCTTCAAGTATTGTACCAATAGGTTTTAATTTAGTTTTATATTCTTGTAATTGATGATTATATGATATAAAATCTATATTATTAGTATTAGTCTGTAATTCCACATGTTTATTTGTTGGTTTATCATTAATTGGTAATAATTGTTTTACCGTTTCCATATTAATTTTTCAACAAAATCAACAAAAGTAATTTACGAAGAATGACTAACTCTATATACAGGACTACAGCTATATACAGGTTATCGGAGATAGAATGTCATCGGATATAACAATTTCGAATTTTTTCTTTTGCGTCAATGAACCAACATAAAATTGTAAATTATGATTACAAGCCAAATACGATTTTAATAGTACAAGCGGGCCCTGGTACTGGTAAAACTTATACTTTAGCACAAAGGATTAATAAATTACTTGATGATATTAAACCAGAAGAAATATTAGTATTATCTTTTACAAATAAAACTGTTGATTTATTGAAAAAATTAATTAATGATGAAGTTATTGTCAAAACATTTCATGGTTATGCAAGTAAAATTATAGAAAAATACTACAAACCATATTTTCCAAATAGAGTTTCATTAAAATTATTAGATGAAATTTCATGGTCAAGCTTCAAAAAATTATTTAGTTTTGGAAATAAATTTGATCTTGCGGTTAAAGATGTGAAATTTGGTTTATCAATTGAAGATGCTGCAAAAAAATATAAAATTAATGGTGGTAAATTAAAAAATGTTATAAAATATTTAAATGAAAATGGTTTAGTTAGATATTATGATTTTTTATCAACTGCTATTGAAATTTTACAAATTTCAGATGGTCAAATTGATGAAATTGCTAATATAAAAGTTGTTATTATTGATGAATATCAAGATTTACATCCTGAAATTATAGATTTTATTGAAGAAATTGCCATGTATGGTTCTCCAAAACATCTTACATTTTTAGGCGATAAACAGCAAAATATTTATGAATTTATTGGTGCTAATTCAACGTTACAAGAAAATTTATTTCAAAGATTAGGAAAGAGAAAAGAGTTATATCTTAATCAATCATTTAGACTTACTCCTGAAATTGTGGAATATGTAAAGAAAATTCATCCAGTTGAAATTACATCAATGAAGGAATCATTACATTCACCTATAATATTTTCAGATCATTATTTTATAATTAAGGAAATTGAAAGATTAATTCTTGGATCTGGTGGGTTAATAAAGTTTGATGATATTTTGATACTTGCTAGATCAAATGCACAAGTTGAAGAAATTGGTAAATTATTAAAAAATTATCTGTTACCGGTAAGTTTGAAATTGGATCCTCAATGGATGAAATCTAGAATTTATATATTTTTAGATATTCTAAATGTCTTGAATGAAAGTCATGGTAGTGATTTTGCAATATTAAGTATCTTGATGAAATTGGGTTATCCAAAACAAAAGTTAAACAAAATTTTTAAAAAATATGTAATGAATAAACAAGCTATTACACATTCATCAGAAATCAAAAGTTTTACAGATATCCTAAATGAAGTAAAAAATTTGACAACTCCATTAGATGTAATGTTATCATTATCAAGAATTGTAAATCGCGCTTCAATGTTGAAAGAATATATAAATCATGAATCAAGTCAAGATATTAAAAGTTTTTACAATTCATTAAAGAGAAGTTATAATGAATCACCAAATGATTTTATAAATCACTTTTTATCAAATTATATAAATGATTATGAAGAATGTAATGCTGTTAATATTTCAACAATTCATAAAGCAAAAGGGTTAGAATATCCAATAGTATTTTTATTGAATCCAAATATTGAAAGAAATTTGAAATATGTGGCTGCAACAAGAACAAAAAGTTTATTATATATACAAGGTGATAAAACTGAAAATACAATTAATGAAGAAGTTATAAGAAAAGTGACAAATGATTTAGGTAGAAGATTGATTTTAAATAATGTTGCTTTAGGTAAAAAAGTTTTGCAGAAGTTGAAATGATTGTTTGATTGCATATTATGGTTGGAAATTATGCATTATAAATTTGGCGAAATATAGTCAAAGCTTTAATTTGGTTCAGACGATGAAGAATGTACAAATGGGATTGGTTTATGAAATTTTTAAATTGCTACTTCCTTATATGTGTGGATTGAAGGTTTTATTATGAATAGAGATTAATGAATAAATATTGTTTTGGTTATTAAATTGAAAGAGACTAACAAGTCGTTATCAAAATTACAAACATTCATATATATCGTGCAACTCGATTAACTGGCCAATTTGAAAATCAATTGAATAATAGTTAAGATCATTCTGCATTTCCGTTTTATCGTTATTGTTTGAAATGGCACAACCAAGATCAATCTTTTAATTATCCACAACATGATAGAATGAATCTGAAGAGAACAAGATTGTTGCTGATACGATAGTTATGTCAAAGTAATAGTGATGGATGCACTGATTCAGCTACAAGATAATAAAACTACTGAAAATGAAAGTTTAGAATACGATTATTAAGTTAGATTTCAGTACTTGATACAAGATACTTAATGTATATTCATTCAAGATAGTTTAGATAAAAGACTCATCACATCTGAACCTTGCTCTTTTGGCTCTTCTTTTACTTCTTGTTTCAGAGATTCATTTTCTTTATCTTCCAATGTTGGTTTTTTATTTATCTTTTCAATTGGTTCATCACTAGGCCTTTTTCTAGTGTTTTCTTCCTCTTCTTCCTCTTCTTCTTCATCTTGTTCATACATTGGAAGCTCATCATCATCATCATCTTCGTCTACATTTTTCAAAGCATTCAATTTACTATCTATTATATTTATCTTATTATCATCTTCTTTCAAACTATTATCAAGCAGAAGTATTAAATTTTCCAATTGTTGTTTAATTTCAATTTTAACTGATTTAGTATCAGTTACATTCTTTTTGCTAGTAATTGCTAATCGTTCAATTATTACCAATTTCTTTTCGTTTATATTATTAGAATTTTTAGTTTGAATACTAAATTGGGTTAAATTATTATTACTTATTTTATTTAATTGATCTAAATTATTATATAATTCATTAATTTGTTTTAATTCTGATCGTATACTACTTTCTTCAGTTAATGCCTTGGCAAATTGTTGAATTTCATCTGATGAATAAACCTTTCGATCTTCCCATAATTTCAATAATCTAGCAATTTTACCTTTAACTGTAGTATTTGCTTCATCATAACTTATCTTCAATGAGCTTGGAATAACTGTCTTGAACTCAGTTAAAAATTCATATAATCTAAACTTTTTAGCATGTTGTACAATATCATTCAATAAATATAGATTATTCAATTTATTAGTTGAAGTTTTTAAGTGAGATGCCCAAATCAACGAAGATCCCTTTGGATTATTCTGTTGTAATACCCATTTTGATAATGAAACTATTGAATCTTGAGTATCTTTTAAATCTTGTAATTTACTAACAAATTCTGACTCAAATGACATTTGATCGTATAATTTTTTTCTTCTTCGTTTTAATGAAACGATCATCGAAAAAGAAGGTGGAACGGGAAATTATAACAGAAGATGATATTTTAACAGCCTCACCAAGTGAATTAATAGATTTCATTAATAAAAATGAATCATCAGATTACAGAATAAAAACCCAAGCTCAATTAGATGAAGATCATAAAATAATTAGAAATTATGAAGATGAAAAGAATGAAATATCATTAATTTTGGATTTATTAGAGTTATTGAGTGGTTTAAAGATTCAAAATTTTGTTAAAACTGATGAGAATTATATATTTGATGTTATCCAAACTTCAACTAACAAAAAGATTAAAATTATTTATCAATTAATTATAAATAAAAATTCAGCTAATGATATAAATTATATTCCAATCTTTTTAGACGAAGAAACAGATTTGGATAAAATATTACCTGATTATTTATGTGAAAATTTGTCATTTCCTTTCAATTCTTTACCTTCATTTTATAGTAAAATTTATAAATCAATAAATTGTTTATAATGTATCGAACTCTGTTGTGTAACACTCTTTTCTAGGCTTGACATCATATCTCAAATCAGCACCATTATAATGCAACAAAAATACAGTAAGACATTCTAATTCCACGATATTTGTAAATGTCATCGACATCAAAGATGGATTTTGTGAAATTGATAAAAAATCTAATACTTTTTGGAAAGTGAAAGAAGTCCACACTTTCTATGTTAGATTTACAAATTTCCAAAGTGTGAATACTGTCAGATAATTTCATATTAAGCCTTTGCTTTGCAAAGTTTTGATTTCAGGTACAAGCTTCTTCAAGTGGGAAGGTAAAACGAAATTGGGAAATGGATGATAGTAATATATATTTAAGTATTACAACAGCTCGGGAAAAACCAATGTAAAATTTGAATTCATCTCTGGTCCATTTAACAATGTGAAACGTTTTAATTCCGACGATATCGGTGAAGTAAACAATTCTGCTGGAACAGCACAATTAATTAAATTTAAGTCTAACAAATTAGTTTATTCTGTCAATTTTGAAAGTTGCACTAAGTCGGAACAGAATAAGCCTAAGACTCGAAGTGTTTTTGGTAAAGCTAATTAAAATAAATTTGTTACTTCGGAAGAATAGAATTTTATTCTCTTTAAAATCCCTAATTCAGCGACTAGCTAATCAAATTTCACCATATTTTCAAGAATATCCACTTCGAAACTTTCTACGTGACATGGAATCCCCTCATCCTTTCTAACTGACCTTGAGAACGTCAAACAAATTCAAGCATTCCAAGCTTGTTGGCAATAGTTTAAAGCAGTTAATGTTTAACTTTTTTAAATGTACGAACTTTTTCAAACCGACTGAAAAATCAAAACCTTCGACATGCAATTCTCTTAATGTTATCGAAGAGAAGATATTAATTCTTCCTTTGATAAACGTATTGAGTAAATATATATCTTAAATAGCTCCTGAGCATGATTTAAATTTGTAAAAATCATCCAAATCTTTTAGAATAACAGTTATACTTCGGAATAACTCAAAATCATGACTATCTTCAAAATCTTTCTGATGGATTATTTGTCTTAGTTGTTTAGGTTTTCTTCCTGTTGACAAAATTTTCAATTCCTCGATGTTGTTTACATAAGTAAAAGATTGACAACTTAGATGAGAATGCAACCAATTTCCAACATGATGGCAATCCTTTTAAGCAGCAAAATGTGTCTCTTCGAGATAAATATCTAAAACAATTGAAGCCAAATTAACCAAATTGAATAATAATGGAAGAGCACATTTAGGGAGCTGACTAAAGAGAATATGAATTACTTCATCTGGTCTTCAAGATCAAAAAGACGTAAAAAAAAAATTTACGCGTTTCAAAACCAAGTTTCCTAATTAGGAAATACTTGAGATCTGAGATCTGGATATCCCCGTTTTTAAGCAGAATGTCCCAATAAGGAAATGAGTATCTATTTTGAAAATTTTACATTATTGTCTATCTTTCTTTATCAAGATAATTGATGAAGAGTTTAAAAGGTGATGAAGATATAGTTAATAAAAGACAGTACTATGGATAGAAAAATTTCACTACAAATTTAGTTTATCGTCAGTGATATTAACATGGATGGTAGTTATACAAATTCAAATTGAATTGCAAAATTTGATGAAATCTGAAACTTAAGTACGTTAAGAATTAAAAATGAATGTAGAATAATCTTATAGGGTGCCCTGTACCAATGTATTTTTGAGTCAGCTGAATGATCTATTTGGCTATAAAATAGGTGTCCAGTGGATACTTAATTCTTGAAGCAATACGAATCAATTCAGAATCTAGTATTGGGCCAAATACTAGATTCGTGTTGATATTTATGACAAAAGACTGGTGGGTTTGTTGAAGGTATTCGACCAATTGCATGTCAGTTGTGAGTTGACTTTTTTAATAAAATATTGGGGTTATTCGAAAGCAACAAGTACTACAACACAGGTATATAATCATTAATACTACGACTAAAATTATTGTACTGGTGATATTTCATCAATTGCTAGGCGTGAATCTCCATTACTTTACGTGCACGATAATTTAAATAAGAGAGTTTAATGGTTGCAATACAGAGTGGGCAAAAATGAACATTGAAATATGCCAAGATGAATTTAAATGTTTATTATGAATGCAAGATGATGCAATATTGATTCAAGAGCATACCAAATTACAATTATTAGCAAATGTATCAATTTCAAAATAACAAGTGAGACATAAAGAATTAATGTTTCTAAGTGTCTGCTATAGAGAGCCCTCGACTATAATTGACTTGAGTACAAAAGTTTGAAAATTTTTCAGATGGTTGATCTCATTAAAAAGCAAGCTGTTTCCAATCTACAATTAAAATGAAGTTCAGACGGTTGATGGGTATTGAATCAAGTGAATCTGTCTGAAACTAATCTTATCGGATCTATAACGTTGAAGAAATGCTGAAGCGACGTTATGTCATGAAAATTTTCTTAGCGGTTTCGAAACCCGGGGTACAAGATCCACAAGGCGGGTTTAAGATACTATAAATGAATAGCATTATCATAATTGATGATCAAAGACAATCATAATTAACCGAACATTGAAACAATTTTTACACCCACCAATTGATAATTTACCTGAAGAATATCCTGATGGTGGGTTGCAAGCATACTTAGTTTTATTAGGTTCATTCATAGGATCAATTGTTAATATAGGTTTACTTGCTTCTCTTGGTGCTATTCAAGCTTATGTATCACTTTATCAATTATCAAATTTCAAACAAAGTTCAGTTTCATGGGTATTTGCCATTTTCATAGCTATTACATATACATGTTCATTATTTACCGGTTTATTATTTGATCAATATGGACCTAGGCTTATATTGATGGGCTCATCTTTATTTGTATTTATGGGATTAATGGGATTAGCAAATAGTGTTCAAATTTGGCAATTCGTTTTAAGTTTTTTTGCAATGGGAATTGGAAATGGTTTAGGAATGACACCTTTGATTGGAGTTATATCCCATTGGTTTTTTGAAAAGAGAGGATATTGTACTGGTATCGTATTTTGTGGGTATGTAATAATTAATTTGATTTATTCAGTACTAACAAGTTAGTGGTTCTGTGGGAGGAATAGTATTTCCTTTGTTACTTAGATCATTATATACAAAAGTAGGCTTTGTTTGGGCTATTAGAGTACTTGCTTTAATTTGTTTAGTTTGTCAAATTTTATCAATTTTATTGGTCAAGGAAAGATATAGATTAAATCAAAAAATTGATTTACTGAAAATAAGCTTGAAACCTGATGATTTTATAATTAAAGATTTTAAATTTTTTTATCTAATAGTTGGTGGATTCTTTGGTGAATTAAGTTTAATGTTATTGATTACTTATTATGCTTCGTTTTCAATTTCACAAGGTGCAAATGAATCAACAGCTTATGTATTAGTTACAATTTGGAATGCAGCTGGTATATTGGGTAAAATCGCACCACCTTATTTATCTGATAAATATGGAAGATATAATATAAATATTATAATGTTGATTTGTTTTAGTTTGGCAATTTTAGTTTTACTTTATCCATTTGCATCAAATGAGAAAATATTATGGGCATTTGCAGCAATTGGTGGATTTTGTGGTAGTTCAGTTGGTTGTTTGTTACCTATTTGTTTATCACAAATTACACCTGTAAATCAAATTGGAACAAGAATTGGAATTTTATATTTTGTTTTAGGTTTGGCTAATTTATTTGGATTACCTATTGCAGCAAGTATAATTTCAAATGGCAGTAAATTGAATTATAATAATTTTATGATATTGGTTGGATGCTTAGCTATTACAAGTTCAATATTTTGGTCCGTATCTAGATATTTTGTGGTCAATAGTTTTAGATTGAATGTAAAAGTGTGAATTCAAATTGTTGGTACTAAGCTGATACATTCTTGATATACTGTGCTTTCTATATTCTATTCAAAAAGAAAATCTATTGTCAATCAATTGGCTGCAAAAATTTTGAGCGTCTAACTTGGACTAGACTTCGCAAGCCAGTTTTAAATACTAACTCTAACAATGTAGAGGTCAGAATACATCAATTGATTGTCAGCGAGATCAAAACATCATTCAGATTTTCAAAAATTCCGAAAAGATTGTGTAAATTGATGGAAATCTTTGCATAGACAAGCTATCATCAATATCGAAACTCGTAATACAGTAATTCCAAAATCAGAGGGTACGATCTTGGCAGATCTGTTTCTCGTTACTAATTAATCATTGGTAATGCTGCTAAATATAATAAAATTAACGTTTACGAGCGAGTTATAATGGGCGACGAATTTCGTAACTACCAGTCCGCATGCCCTTTCGCGCTAAAACAATAACCATTCGTTCTATTAGATTGTGCCGGTAAATTACACCCGATACCAACTAGGCCGCAGATTATCACGTGATATTTTGACCACATGAGTAGAAATTTCATTGTTGTGACAAAGAAAGCGACCGAAGACTAAGACAAAAGCTTTACACTCAATTCAAGAATATCGTATTTTATGGGAGATAGTTATATTTTACTCACTTAAATTGAAACAATATTTGAAGTTGTACTGTACTTAACTTGAGCAATTGAAATAGTCTTTGCATCAATGTTGAAAACAGTGTATGCATGTCTTAAAAAGTTGTCACCCAATAGGATAATATCATCTGCTTGTTGAATACCCCAATTACAAGTTCCATCACCTTCATCAATAACAAATTCACTCAATGGAACAGTTATTTGAGCACCATTTGGGAATGAAAAAACAGCATTACCGGAAGTTGAAGATTTACATGGAACATGCCAAGTAACATTTCCATCACTATCAGTTTCAGACGTAGCTCCTGCTTTTTTAGCTAATGATTTAACAACATTTGCTGGTAAATAAGTTAAAGTAGTTCCTGAGTCAGGCAAAGCATCTTGATTAATTGAAACTGTTTGACCATTATAATTTAATGAATTCAATTCTATAGTTAAGTCAGTATTTCTAGTAATTGTTTCAGCAATCAATTTTCCAGAATATTTAGCTGTATCCAAACCACCAAAGATTATTGTACCAGTCTTGGATGTTGGTGCGTTTAAATATAGTGAGTAAGCATTAGTCTTAATATGACCTTGTATGTTTTCAACGTAACTGGAACATTTGGATATTTGGTATCTGAAAATTCTGAAGCTGTAAAACCAATACCAAGAATACGTTCCTCAACTGAAGTATCACTAACTTCACCAAACTGTTGTTTAATTGAAACTGAACCAATACCAACAGTATCTTTACCCCATGTACCACTTGATCCTGAACCATCATCATATTTGCTTGAAAAACACCACCCAAATTTGAATAAGAGGTTGATGTTTTAGAGTTAAAAGTACCTGAAGCTTTACAATTGTTGTCTTCACCTTCACATTTTGCATTTGAATCAATAAACCATAAGTCACTTGAACCAGTATCAACAATTACAGTATTGCTTTGTTTATTTGAACCAACAGTAAGTTTGGCAAGGTATTGAGTTCCATCATTGGATAATTGGAGTGGGATAGAGCGTCTTTTTATTGGATGTTGAGCAATTGCTGTTGAATTTAATGGCTTTCTAACAACATCGAAATCTAATGTAACAAATCCTGTTGAATTTGTTTGATTTAATAAACTTGTATCATTGGGGATAACAGCACTTTGAGCTAATACAGCAAAAGCAATTGAAGAAAAAATGTTTTGAATTGAAACCATTATTGATTGATGGAAAAATCTGACATTTTAATGAGTATTTATATTCAAATTTTAAGGGTTAATTTTGTAAAACCATACGAACTAATTAAAAAATGTCAAACTTCGGATTTTACCAAAAGCTGTCATTGAACCATTAGTGATTGAATTGCTAAATCAAGGATCAAAGAACGTATCTGGCGTTTTGGTTTGGATACTTGATTTTCTAATCCTTTCATTTGTAGCCTTGATCTGTCAAAATAATACATTTTACCCAGGATGCATATAATTGACAGTAGTATCAAATAAAGCTAGACAAACCTACAACACCTTGAACAGAAAACATAATAGGTACCAATAAATTCAACTAAGCTTCAATAAAGAAAAGTAGCAACTTCCCCCGTTTCAAGTTCATCTTTTTCTTTTAATTTTGTAATTATAATTACAGGAGCTCACAATGGGGAAAGCCTTTGATGAAACTTAACATTCTCGATAAATCCCTCAAAAGTGGTTATATACTCAAACTTGCAATTAACAAATTGGAATTGATGGAAAGTATTCAGTTTCTTGAGATTTTCCTGGAAATAGGAAATAAACAATTGCAGATATTGCCCAAAAAAAGACATTAATTGATTTTCGGGGATAGCCTAATTGCTATAATCTTGTGAAACTCCTTGTTGGTTTTAGTTAAGGCATCAAAATCGTCAAAAGTATGTATGATTCCACTTTTCTGATTTTACTTGCAATTCAAATTACAAATGGTTTCAATTTGATTGTTATTGTTTGTCATTAAACCAATAACAAAAATAAACCTACAGATTCAGTAAACAACTTCATACTGTGGCTAAACCTTTGCCAGCGCAAAAACCGACAAATATTAAATCAATTGATACATGTTAGCATTTACTTAGGGGTGACTTAATTGTAAATCCAGATAAATTAACTAAAAGTGATGTGACCCTAGCTAAAAGGTATGAGCAATTTCATCTCATGTTTCTGAATGTTTCAGTATCTCTAGACTTTTACCAATTTGCAATAATACAGCTGGAGGTAAAATTCCATCATGAAAGTATAGTACTTGGTGAATATATAAACAACAGCTGAACCAAATCCAAATTATTCAATGCTTCTTCCACTTCCACATAATCCTTGACTGGAACTGTAATATCATTTTTCAACTGCTTAACTATATTGAATAATTTTTGAACATATTCATATCCTGATGGATCTTGACTTAATTTTATTGAATCAATTAATGCTGTAGCAATACATAACAACTTTAATGAAACACCAGGACCATTAAACTCAAATGATAGTATAGGTAAATCATATTTTAAAAACGATTGTGCAATTTCAAATGGATATTTTATTGACAAGCATCCATCAAGTTCTAATAAATTATTATTCTTTGCTATATTCCAAGTTAATGATTTCATCCAATATTTACTTAATATTATATTTGTCTTTTGTATATCTGGTGCAACTTCTGATATTCCAATTGAATCCAATTGTCGTTGAACTGTAATGATCAATTGTGATGATTGTATATCATTAAAATTATTGAAAAATGATTTATTTGGAATAGCAAACACTTTAACCAATTGTCTAAACCCATTTAATAAAACTGAATATTCTTCATCATCTAATGAAGGTAATGGAATTGTTGGTTCTAATATAACTGGCATTGAAATTTCAATGCACATAAATCTTTCACTCACTAATAATAAATAGTATAATTTTCTTAATCGGTGTTGTTCTTTTCTATCAATGAATGCATATGTTTCTGGTTTATGTAGGCCAATAATCTGAGCTAATGTAATTGCTTCTCGTAAATAACAAATTCCAACTGGTTGAGTTCCTTTTAAACCAAATGCAATATGTAAAAAAAACGATGTTAAAACACTTTCAGTACTTGGCTCCATACTTCTATTCTTTAAAGATTCATTTAAAAAATCTATTTTCATAATTTGTGGTGGAATTAAAGGTTTGGAAATGAATAAAGATTGACCAACAACCACTGATGAAATTGCACAAATTAAAGAATATGAATCGTTTTTAATTAATTCATCTACTGAAACAACTGGCCAAATACCATAATACCAAGCTTCATAAAGTCTTAAGCATTGTAATGAAATTTCTAATGGAATTTTAGTTTGAAGATTATAAATCGTTGTTCTTGTTTTCTCTTTAATGTTTTTAGGTCCACTCTTTTTTCGTTTTCTATCATTTGTGCATGTCAAGTTATGTTTCTGGCAATTACTACATGGATTTTCAAAATCACATTTAATCTTTCTAACTGCACAAGAATCACAAGGTCGAGTATGTTTTGACCTCGCCATACACTGTACTCATTTTTCGCGGCTAAAAAATTTCAAGGATGTGGAGATAATTTTCCGGCTTATATGCCTGATTTATTTATATTTTTCCGGCGATGTTTTGATACAACTGAAGGAAGTAGATATAGGAACGATCATTGTAGATTACGGTTTGATTATCATAGCAATGTTATTTTGTTGATTTAACCCTCTTAGATTTCAGAATTCTTTGTACATCATAGATCAATGCCATAACATATAATCGTGAAAGATTTCGATTTTGGCTGCAAAACAAACAAACGAACTTGTGATTTTCGATAAAATGAACATTTACAATCACCAAACTCAGCTATTCTAGCACATGTAAACTTGACCATTAATTTCTAACCTTGTTAAAATGTATTCTAGCTCTGCTTAACTTAGTTTCTGATCATTTTGACATTTTACGGTTTTTCGTAAAATTTTCAAAATATTGTATGAAACAATAAAACCAGATGTTCAAAAGCACAAAAATCACCACCGGTAGAACTGTCTTAGTACTTTAACTTATCAGAAACCTGGATATAACAAATATTGCTGAATTTCAACAAATTTTGGTTATTACATTCAATTCTGAAACAAATTATTATTTTGATTATGTAATATGTAATACACAAAATATGCAGACAATTTGCAACTATCATTAGATTTCAGTGCTCCATTATATGAAGTGTAAGTTTAGCTAGAATGAAATATTACATTAGTAATGGTAAATCAAATCCTCTGTCATTTCTGTGGTCCCAACATAGCGGACGAGGGTTTAAACTGTTTCGCGCAAAAATATTTGATATCGTGCTACAAAATAAGGCGAGACATGGACATAGAAACGCTTTAATAATTATAAATAACACTAAATATGAGAATTGAGAAACTAAAAATTTCTACCCCTAAACCACTTTCTTTAACTTCTGCTTCATCTTCATCTTCATCCTTTATTTGTTCACAAATTGTCTTTTGCCTACTTGCGAATTATTAATTATCTTTGTAATTTCATTAAATCTATCAATTTATTAGTTAATGTAATATAGTTATCATATAATTCTTTTTCTGGTAAATTTTTAAAATAATCAATACAGTTTCGTCTTTTTTAATATCCAAAGTTAAATCATTCATTGAATTAACAACCGAATCAGTAAATTCATTCAATTCTATTAATCGCTTTATAATAATCTTAATTTCGTTAGATTTGGCGTTTTTTTTTGGCTTAGGAATTGTTATTTCAATTGTGGAAATAATTAAACGCCAAAATATAAATTTTTGCTGCAAAAAATAATTATATTGACTAATGAAAAAAAGCTCTGTTATAAACTTTTCCATCTTCTTCTTGACAGGAGTCGAGTGCAGAAAAGGTAAATCACAAATGGAATTTTCAAATCAATTGAGATAGACAACTTCAAATTGATTACAAAAAGAAATGATATATCTAATTCTAACCAAATCAAAGTATATATTCAAACTTCTAATCTAAACTGCAGAGATACTTGAAGCAGAAGTGTATTTAACTTGAGCAAATGAAATAGTATTAGCATCAATATTAAACAAAATGTAAGCATGTCTTAAAAAGTTATCACCCAAAATGATTAATTCATCAGATTGTTGTATACCCCAAACACAGGTTTCACTTGAACCATCATTACCAAAAATAAATTCACTTAATGGAACAGTAATTTTAGCACCATTAGGGAACTGATAAACAGCATTACCACTAGTACTTGCAGTACATGAGATAAGCCAAGTAACACCACCATAAGGATCAACATATTTTTGAGCACCAACTTTTTGAGCTAATGATTCAACAATATTGGTTGGCAAGTAAGTTAAAGTAGTACCCGAATCAAATAAAGCATCTTGATTAACTGAATATTGATTACCATTGAAATTTAATGTATTTAAAGTGACTGTTAATCTATTAGATTCAGTAACTTGTTCTGCAATTAAACTACCAGAGTATTTTGCATTATCAACACCACCAAAGATAATAGTACCTGAAGTTGCTGATGGTGAATTTAAATATAATGAATAAGCATTAGTTTTAATAAAACCTTGATTTTTCAATGAAACTGGAACATTGGCATATTTTGAACTTGACGATTCTAATGAAGCTTGACCAATACCTAAAATACCTTCATTAACTGATGTATCAGTTACATCAGCAAATTGTTGAGCTGTAATTGCAGCACCACCAATGGTAACAGTATCTTTAGCCCAAGTACCTGTTGATGAAGTACCATCACCATAACCAATTGAAAATGCACCACCTAAGTTTTGGAAAGATGATGAACCACTTGGGTCGAATGTACCTTCAGCTTTACAATCATTTGCTTCACCACCGCTACTTTCACAAGTTGCACTTTTGTCAACAACCCATAAATCACTTGAACCAGTATCAATATCAACGGTAATCGATTGTTTGTTTGAACCAACTTGGATTTTGGCAGCATATGAAGCACCTTGATTAATTAATGAAACTGGATAATCTCCTCTTTTACTATACTTTTGTAGATAAGCAGTAGTAGTATTTGGATTAATTGCAGTTCTAATAACATCGAAATCTAATGTAACAACACCTGAACCATCTCTTTTAGCTAAACCTTCTGGAATAGCGATACCTTGAGCTAATAAAGCAAAAGCTAATGTAGCAAAAACACTTTGAGTAAATTGAATAATTGAAACCATTGTAGTTGATTATTTAATAATTTTGGCATTTTGATGAGTATTTATGTGACATATTTGATGCCGTTTGGTTAGATGAATTAAATATGAAATACATATGTTCAAATTGTCTATTGTTTTAAAATTGTGCCACTCGCGACTCATTTTTTGATTCAGATATGTGGCTCGGATGTGAACAATTAGAATATTTTTCACCTGCAAAAGAAAGAAATTTGACCAAAACGGTTATCGGTGATTCACAAAGATCAACCGAAGCCAAGAAATAACATTATGGTGGTATTAAAGTTTTTTTGGATCTGATATAATTTTCTTGTCAGTTACCATCTTCTTGGACCTACACTTTTTCTTAAAGATTTTTAATTTTTAGGGGGTGGTTGAAATGGTTTGTAACTTCTCAAATTTCATTGTTGGATTATGAATTAGCTAAAATTTCAAATATAATTTGATGCCGTTTATATGAGTAATATATTTTTATTTCAACACTGTTGCCAAGTGAAATTCTGTCAACTTTGACACATTTAAGTCGAGGTACATAGTACATTGAAGATCAATGGCCACCTTAAAAAGTTCTAGATGTTGATCATTTTGTGCCTTTGTATGAAAACAATAATTACGATTATAATTATAATTATAATTCAATGCAATTCCTCTTGATGGAATGGCTTTCTTGCAACAATTGAATACTCGGAAATTTACCTCCTTATTATTATTTTGAAAAAAATTACTAGATTACTAGCTACCACTTGTTATCCTGATTCATTGCCAAATATATCACAAAATCTATAAGGTCCAATTTAATTGAGCTTGTTCAAGTTGTTGCTGACCCAACGTGATTAAGTATTCTACGCAAATCAGTACTAATTCTCTATTCTGCATCAAATCTTCTTTTAATGTCCTTTTAAGTATCTAAATTTTTATGAAAACTTAATAAACTCCTAATGAAATACCAAAACTAATTTTTTAAAACCTTAATAACCATTCAACCAAAAAATTGTGGAGCTAATACTCGTGGTAATCAAGCAATAATTAATATCCTTTAATTAATCAAAATAATGTTATAACAAAGTTGATGGTATCATAACTCAAAATTATACTCTTTGTCTAAAAAATTTCATGAATTTCAAAACCAACTGAAAACTCGTGTTTAATCCTTAGCCATGTTTCCAATTTTTAAACAATTGTTCCATCACAATCAATTGCCTATTTACCAGGCTCGATCGATAGATAATGAATAAAATGGATTCACTACGAAAATTTCAAATTTCAGCCCCAGGCTATTTAAAAATCAACAATATTTGACACCAAATTTCAATTCAAATTGGGCCCCAGCTACTTTGTACACTATATCTACCAATTCTTATAAGGCTGATAAATTTCAACAATTATGCAGCTATAAAACTCATGAAGATTCGGCAACTAGCTGAGCACTTATTATAATGAGTCTTGATAAACTTATAACTTCTATTTTTGCCCAAGATCCTGAACCTGGAGAATTTTTAATATTTTCAAAACAATATAAATATTTAAATATTTCGAGATGAAATAAAGCTGTTGAAAGAATTTCAAATGCGTCTGATATATCATCGCTTGGCTCTACATATAATTTTGTATTATATCTTGTATCTCTAGGGCTTGATTCTTAAAAAGGGCAAAACGCAATTTCAATGAAATCAATATAAATTTGGTAGCGTTCATACGAAAAAAGCACCTAGAGCGCCATCTGATGCGAAAAAAAATCCAAGTAAAGCCGTATCGCTTGAGATATGGCATTATACTGGCCCGAAAAAATTAACCATTAATTAAGTTTCATAAAAAAAAAAATTAAACCAGAATCAATTTTCAATAATTTAGGTAATGGTTTTATTTGGAAATCAACCATTTAGAGGTAAAAAAGAAAAAGAAGCTTATGAAAAGACATTTGCTGGTAAATATCAAAAATTAGTTAAAAAGAATCACTTTCTATATCTTGGTTTACCTTTTATGTTATCCATTGTAGCCGGTTCCATATATTTACAGAAGTTTACATCAGTAAAATGGGAAAGGTATGATAATAAATATAGACAATTAAATGAAGAAGAAATGTTGAATTTGATTGAAAATAAAAGAACTTTTGATAAAAAGAATGATTTTTACAGATTACAAGGTTTTTTAGTTGATAATAAAGTTAATGATGATTATGATATGGTTAGAGTTAAAAGAAAACCTGAGGATGAACCAGTCTGGGATAAGTATAAATAACCTTAAATTACATTTTAGTTTGGATCAAGTATAGGTGACGAAAATTAAAAATTTTGGGTCGACGGTCAAAATGAGGAATCTGTTCATAAAATTGAGCTTGCAGTGAGATGATTAGTCTTTGAGATTATAGAAATTTGAATGAGTTTTTAATGAGTAATGACATGTAAATAGCAATGAATATGATGTATATATTTCTTAAGAATTTTGAAAAATTCTGATGTTTTTAATTGAAGATCAAAGTTTATGATGAACATAGGATGTTCCAAATTTAGAGAAAACTTAGAGTCAACTGCTTAAAAAGAGTATAAATAATAAATTAGCTATATGAACAGCTAATATAAATGTTTATTGCAATTTGATATTTCTAAAACGAACTCAAAAATGACCTTCAGACGGTGAGATTTCGAAGACTATTAGATTTTAACAGTGTGTGAGGAACATAAATGACAACAATGCACGAAGATGTGCAAATGCTATTATCTTCTCTTTCTTGATAATTCTGGTAATTTAAATGGAACTTTCAATTGAGCAATTTTATAATTTGCAGCTTGTGATCTAGTTATACCAAAACCTTCACATTCTCCAACTGAAGCACTTCTTATTATAGCACCAGTTGATCTTGCTAAAGTTAACATTTTTGAATTTTTCAATTTTAATTGTGCTGAATATGAATTTAATTCTAATATAAATGAATTTAAATGGAACAAAATAATTATTAAATGAATTAATAACTTATTTTCATGAAATGGATCAACTATAAAGTTATTCTTTTTATTTTTACCAAATGTTGAACTTTTATTTGTAGTAAAATTTTGTATAAGATAATCTACCAAAGCTTCTGAAGGTGAATTTAATTTCTCTATTAAATCATCCTTCTTTTTAATACTTTTATTTTGATAAAACGCAAATAATAATGAAGCATAATATAAAACTTTTTGATTTGCAGTTTCATATAATTTTTTAACAAATGGTGGTTGACTTGGGAAACTATCTAAAGTACCAACAATAGTAATTAAATGTAATGGAACAACATCCTTTAATTTATAAACATTTTCAACATTTGTAGCTTCAGTATCAACTTTTGGTAATGGTGAATTTGATTGTTGTTCAATTTTTATAGGTACAATACTTTCAGAAATATCTAATTCAACATCTTGTAATTTATCGGCATCAATTCTATTCTTTTCAAGGTTGGTAATAGCTTGTTTTGCTTTCTTTGTACCAAAAGCTTCACCCAAGGCTTGTCTTTGTTGTAGATTTTTAATACCTTGTTGTTTAACAGATGGTCCTTTATAAACTCTATTTCTTTTAGCAGTAACTTTAGTTGGTAAATAAATAGTTTTATAAATCTCAACTGCCTTTTTGTCCTCATCATAGACACCTAATATATATTTAAAATCATCATTATTTGTTTCACCATTATAATCTAAATTTTCAGATTCACCATGTAATATATAATCATCTTTCTTATTCTTATATAAATCAAATTCATTAGCAGCTATTTCTAATCCATTAAATAGACTTCCAACTAATACTGGTTTTTCATTATAATTTATTTTCATGTTCGATAGGGCAGTTTTTCAAAATCAAAATCGCGATGATCAAATGTCAAATTTCTACGAAATATTAAATCTTAACAAAGATGCAAATATAGAGACTATTAAACAAGCATATAAATATAAATTATTAAATACACATCCTGATAAAACTGGTAAAACAGTGGAAAATGAAATTTCAATGATAAAATTAGCATATATGACATTAATAAACCCAACAACAAGATTAAAATATGATCAACAACTAATAGAAACAACTAAATTAAATGGATATAATATGAATGGAGGTGGTTTAGATATTTATAATTTAGATGATTTCAAATATGAAAATAATGAATGGGTAATAAATTGTCCAAGATGTGATGCAAATAAAAGCATGAAATTAACTGAAGAAGATTTGGAAAATGGAACAAGTGATAATGAAAGTGGATATGATATAATAGTACAATGTAATAGTTGTAGTTTATGGATTCAAGTTAAATATTTTGAAGCATCAGAATCAGAATCAGAACCAGAACTAGATTCACTGTCTCCAAATAACCAATGTTTGAATGAAAATCCTTTAGCTGGTAATTCTTTATCATTTCTAAAAGATGATCTGATATGAGAATCAGCTATAATTAATGTAATTAATAAAATCAATAATTTCATCAGCGTTTAATTTTCCAATTCTTTTGTCCAATTTTCAAGCTCATTTGTAATTTCTTCTAATTTTTCAAGTTTATTTTCAATTTCTATTAATTCTTTTGAATGACTTTCATATTCTTGTTTTAATAATTGTAATTGTTTAGCATTTAATTCTAATTCATTTAAATTCTTTTCCAGTTTTATGTAGTTTAATGATTGGTTAGTATTAAGATTTTGTAATAAATTTAAGTCAATAGTTGATACATTAGTATCAGAGTCAATCAATTTAGATGCAATATTAATAGCTTGATTCATTAAATACGTATATTTGTAGATATTTTTCTATTTACACGACTTACCTTCCAGAATACATTCTATATATCGGATCAGATTCATATAATTGACGATTTAACCATTTCTTATTTGGTTGTTCATCTAATTTACTCTTGTAATCTATTGGTTCTGGTTTGTCAATTGTATCTGACACACTTATTCTAATTGGTGATTCTGGTGTTATAACTTCATATAATCCGGGTAATTTATCTGCAGCTTTTCTAAATGCTTCTCTTGCTACTTTATCATGTATTGGTCCATCTATTTCATATAATACTTTACCTGTTGGTACTCTAGTTGCCCAATGATCAAATGCACCTTTACCTTTACCCATTCTTGTATGATTACCTTTTATACAAACAGCTAAATCACATACAAATCTGGTATATAATGTGGATTTACTTGGTCTTAATTCTCTTCTTAATAATTTATCCACTGATAATAATTGATTTGCATGTAATCTTATACCTTTTGATTTTAATCTTAAACCTAATCTACCCTGGGTTAAAAAATTACCTTTTATAGATCCACCAGTTCTAACTGACACTCTTCCCTTTTGAGCTTTCTCTACTTCTTTGAATCTAGGTGAGTATTCATGCCTAAATCTTTTAAATATTAATGTTAATGGATTAGTTTTAAACATTTGATAGTGGTCAAATTTTTCAGTCGTGTGAAATCATAAAATATGAAACAAATATCGATTTATATGCAGGTTTATAGTAGTCATTTTCAGAATTTGGATTGTAGTTAACTCCCTCAATATTCAAACTATAATAGTCAAACTTTTATCCTTGAAACATCAGCTTCTTTGCATCAAACTTAACTCAAGTAGTTTCTAATAGAGCTAAATCCTGCTTATTTTATTGCTTATTTTATCGCTTATTTTATCGCTTATTCAAAAGCAAAGAAAACAGTGAATTGCAAGACAATCAACACCTGTCCTGATTTATCAACTTCTAGTGTATCTGATTAGGTTTATTGAACTTCAATTATTCTTGCATTTTGATTTTAAGACGCCAAAATTAAAAGTTCTGAAATTTTTGCAAAAATTTTGATTCATTTTTTGAAAAATTGAATTTTGAGTTTCGAATACCTGAACACAAAAAAACTTAAAGTTATAGGAACTGCAATTTTCGATACTTTCATCATATTCTCACTATGAATTTAGTTGTGGAGTCAGAATTTTTGTAGGGTCAATTTTTTCGATTTTCCCCATAGTTAAGAGAAAATTTGAAATTTCGAAATGTTAATAGAGAACAACTAAAATCAATTGTAGCATCTTTGATCGAGATATAATATACATAATTTGTTGTTTATCTGACACATTTGGACCTAATTTACAACTTACAGTTAATAACATTTTGTCATAAATTTTTGTATGGTGGAAAAAAGTCAAAGAATCAAATTGAAAAATGAATGTTTGAACTTAGAACTTTGGAGAGTATAGAACGAATTATTCATGAGTTCAGACTGAATCAAACTGATCTTTCGCTTGAAGGTACTTGTTGTTCATGAGATATAGGTAAATGTATTAGATACGAGTCGCCATAGAAGTTGCACCATGAAAATATATTATGTGGCACAAAATTTGAGCGAGAGTTATCATAAAAAAACATTAGACGATAAAAGTTATATATTCTAAAAAATCTATACATTTTCTTCATTAGACTGTTCTGGTTTATGATAACCAGCATAACCTGTAAATGTAGCCATTTCTTCTTCTGATGGTGGTGCCCAGTTTGGTGATTTCCATGCTGGTATACCACTTTGATATAATTCATCAACTTCCTCCAAACCTAATCCTTTTGTTTCATAAACCATAAAATAAACAAAAAATATTGAAAAAATTAAACAACCCATAAATACGAAACCGTAATAAAAGTGAATAGCATCTGTAATAAAAGATGTGAAAAATGAAATTAAGAAACCAAAAATCCAATTTGCTGATGAAGCAACACCCATTGCTTTTGATTTAACTTTTAATGGATATAATTCTGAAACAATTGAATAACAACCACCAGCCCATGTAGAAGCAAAGAAGAAAATATATAATGATGTAACAAAAATCATAGCATCACCATCTGGGTGTCTTGTTGGACCACCAACTTCATTAATATATAAATGTTGTGTACCAATCAAAGCATACATCAAGAAACAACATGACATAGCAACTGAACCAATTAACAAACACACTCTTCTACCTAATTTTTCAATAGCGTAGATACCTACAAATGTAGATGCAAAATTAATAACACCAATAACAATTGAAGTTTCAAAAGAATCATTTAATCCAACAGCTTGGAAAATGGTAGTTGAATAATAGAAAAAATAATTATCTCCTGTTAATTGTTGTAAAGCTTGAATCATTGCACCAACAAAGACTCTTTCAAAGATTCTTGGTTTACCAGTAATCAAAGACTTCCAACCAGCTTTGCCAGCTAATCTTTCTCTTTCAACACCAGCTTGCATTAATCTTAATTCTCTATATATACCTGGATCATCTTCTGAAACTTTATTTGATTTAGCTAATGATGATTTAGCATCTTCAATTCTATCTTTACCAATTAAATATCTTGGAGATTCTGGCATTCTAACCATACCACCAACTAATAATAAAGCCCAAGCAAAACATAAACCTAAAGGAATTCTCCATTGTCTTGAATCTGAATATGAATTTTTACAACCATAAGTAGTACAATAACCTAAGAAGATACCAAGGGTGATCATCAATTGAAAACAACAAACTAAAGTACCTCTTAAATGTTTTGGTGAAACTTCTGAAATAAACAAAGGACAAACAACTGATAAAATACCAACACCTAAACCAGAAAAGATTCTACCAATCATAATTTGATACCATGCATGTTGAGAAGCAATTTGAACAATTATACCAACAACATAAACAACCATCGCTGCACAAATTGCAATTCTTCTACCTGACGTATCAGCAATTTTGGAAAGGAAAATAGCACCAACAGCACAAGCAGCATTGAAAATACCAACAATTAAACCAGTTCTAACATTTGAAAAATAATAAGTTCCATCTGAATGTCTTTGACCAAATCTACGTTTAAAATCAGTCATATTAATAAACCCGGAAATTGTACCAGTATCAAAACCAAAAACGAAACCACCAAAAGCGATCAAAACACACATTATACTTATACCAATATAAGCAGTCCATGGTTTCTTCTCCAATTTCGGATGTTGATCAATATCTTGTTTTACTTTTTGATCTAAATCTTGTTCTTGCTCATATTTTTCTTCCAAATCATTAACATGCTCTGTATTTGATGAACTTTGAGACATAATAAAAGTTAATAATAACTAATTCTCAAAAACTAAATTTTCGGGAATGACATGATTTATATAGAAGTCAAAGAATCTTTCCATATGTAAAAGAATGATGAGCAATACGCATAGCTGCAAATTTCATGTTTGGCAGAAAACAAAGCACTAAAAAAAATTAGGTTTAATTTTTGTAACCGTTTTTTAGTACCAAAATTTCCTTTGTCTTTCCTTAGGTGCTACCATCTCCTCATGTATAAGCAATGAATTATGAACCCTCTTTTTAATTAAGCGCCAAATGACATAATGATCGGGACAAGTTCAACCGTATAGCGATCTATAAAAGATCTTAAACAAATAATCTATTATATATTAGCATTCCTCTATAAATCATAACCTCGTAATTAATCTCATTAAACATGTTCTTCTTCCGGTTTATTATAACCAGCGTATCCGGTAGATGTAGCCATTTCTTCCTCTGTTGGTGGAACCCAGCCTGCAGATTTGAAAGCTGGAACACCACTTTGGTATAATTCATCAACTTCTTCTAATGTTAAACCTTTAGTTTCATAAACAACAAAATAGGTAAAGAAAATTGAAAATACTAAACATCCCATGAAAACAAAACCATAGTAAAAATGAATTGAATCAGTAATGAATGATGTAAAGAATGAAATTAAAAAACCAAATAACCAATTAGCAGCGTTCGCAACACCCATAGCCTTTGATCTAATTTTTAATGGGTATAATTCTGAAATAATTGAATAAACACCACCAGCCCATGTTGATGCAAAGAAGAAGATATATAATGATGTAACAAAAATCATAGCATCACCATCTGGGTGTCTTGTTGGACCACCAACTTCATTAATATATAAATGTTGTGTACCAATTAAAGCATAAATCAAGAAACAAATTGCCATTGCAACTGAACCGATTAATAAACAATGTCTTCTACCTAATTTTTCAATAGCATAAATACCAACAAAAGTAGAAGCAAAATTGATAACACCAATAACAATTGAAGTTTCAAATGAATCATCTAAACCAACAGCTTTGAAAATAGTTGTTGAATAATAAAAGAAATAATTATCACCAGTTAATTGTTGTAAAGCTTGTAAGAAAGCACCAACTAAAACTCTTTCGAAAATTCTTGGTTTACCTGTAATTAATGAAGCCCATGAAGCTGAGCCAGCTAATCTTTCTCTTTCAACACCAGCTTGGATTAATTGTAATTCGTGATATAATGCAGGATCTTCTGGTGAAACTTTATTAACTCTAGATAACGCAACTTTTGCATCATCAATTCTATCTTTACCAATTAAATATCTTGGAGATTCTGGCATTCTAACCATACCACCAACTAATAATAAAGCCCAAGCAAAACATAAACCTAAAGGAATTCTCCATTGTCTAGAATCAGAATATGAATTTTTACAACCATAAGTAGTACAATAACCTAAGAAGATACCAAGGGTGATCATCAATTGAAAACAACAAACTAAAGTACCTCTTAAATGTTTTGGTGAAACTTCTGAAATAAATAATGGACATAAAACTGATAAACAACCAACAGCAATACCTGTCAAAATTCTACCAATCATAATTTGATACCAAGCATATTGTGCTGCAATTTGAACGATAATACCAACGATATATAAAATCATAGTAGACATAATACCAATTCTTCTACCATATATATCACCCATTTTTGATAAAAATAAAGCTCCAAGTGCACAACCAGCATTAAATAAACCAACTAAACAACCAGTTCTAGCATTTGAAAAATAATAAGTACCATCATCATGTTGTTGACCAAATCTTCTTGAGAAATCGGTCATATTAATAAAACCGGAAATTGTACCAGTATCGAAACCAAAAACGAAACCACCAAATGCAATTAAAACACACATAATAATAATTGGAATATAAGTTGATAATGGTTTGTTAATAACTAAAGCAGGACCATGTTGTTGTTCAATTTCATTTTTTTCATCTAATTTAGACGCTATATCATTAGCTTCAACAGTTGAAGCATTTGAATTATTTTCTTCTGTAGACATATTGAATTAATGTTTGTATGGTTCTAAAAAATTAATTCAAACTTTTCATTGTATTTATAGTCCCACATTTTCTCCAAATATCTCCATATTCGTCCTCCAAATAAATATAAATCACGGAAAGGTTGCAAAACAGAGATGGAAAATTTTTCAGAAATAGACTGATACTTAAAATTTAGATCTTGCATATTATTAATCCGACCGGAAAAATTTTTCATGACAGTATAAAATTTTAATCTAAGCCAAAAGGTAATAAAATTATATGAAGTAGTCGGTTAGAGTTGTTATTATCATGTTATTTTGAATTCTTTACCCTGTATCAAGGGATCTCCAATCCCTTTGTTTCAACAAGAAATTATGAACAAGAGATCCATCATCAGATACCATATTAAACGCCCGTAGAAATAGAAAATTCTATGCACCTTGTGTTATTACATAATAATCCGAAATGTCCAAAATAATAAAAACGTTTAGTTCAAAATTAAATAACTCAATCACCAGATCAACAGATATACTACTAATTAGTAATATATCTCATCCCACCAGTTGTATTATTCTGCACCGGGTGATCGTCATTCTCCAAACCTGGTTTTAGTGGAGTAGAATGGGGCAATCTTTTCTTTTGATTGTTCCACTTTTCGATCTTTAATGTTGGGGAGACGTGTAGATTTTCAAATTTCTGTAAAAAATTATCAACACTATTAGGTTAGGTTTTAAATTATCACCGAGAAAATAATGGATCTACAATATGGAGATGGGTCACATAAAATATTCGGAATGGAGAATTTTGGAAATACTTGTTATTGTAACTCAATTCTTCAATGTTTATATTATACTGAAAATTTTCGAATCCAATTGGTAAAACATAAATTAACAACTCATGATCAAAAATTAAAAGTTTCAGGAGTTAAACCACATGGATTCACCACGAAATATGATCAATTGGTACAGAAAAGGTTAAGAGAACAAGGTAAAACAAATGAAGAACGTCCAAAATCAAATAGGAAAGGTTCAATTTTTGGTTTAAAATTTAATTCACCATCTGTAAATGTTGTTGAAAATAAAAATAATTATATTATTAAAGCTAAAAATTGTGATTCCATATCATTAGAACAAAGGATCAAGATAAGTAAGTCAAGAGAATTTCAGAAATTAGATTTATTTGTAACTAGACCATCAAATCAAGTTGTGAAACAAAGTAATCGAAATGATTATTCGCAAAGTTCATCGATGTTATTAAATGATGTACAACAGCAAACAGATCAAGAAGGATCTATAAATTCAAATTCAAGTGTTATAATAGTGGGCATACCTAAACCAGAAATAAATTTATTAAATCCAGTAAATCCGTTTAATGCTAACCCAAATTCAGATCAAAGGAAAAGATCAGCTTTAATAAATGGGCCTATTATTAATCTAGATACTTCATTACAATTACCTACTGAGCAAAAAGACTTCACTGCGTTATTATATGCTCTAAAAGATTTATTTGAGAGTATGATTGAAAATCAATCAACAATTGGAGTTGTATCACCAAATTACTTTATAGCCAAGCTTAAAGAGAAGAACCACTTATTCAGACAAAATAATATGCATCATGATGCTCATGAGTTTTTCAATTATCTAATTAATGAAATTATAGAAAGTCTAAACAAAGTAATTGGTGTTGAAAATAATTGGTGTAATGATATATTTCAAGGTTTAATAACCAATGAAACTAAATGTTTATTATGTGAAACAGTTACTTCCAAACATGAATTTTTCTTAGATTTATCAATTGATATACCCCCAGGAGAAGGAGCATATTCATTAAATCATTCATTAAATAATTTTTCCAAAATGGAGACATTAACAAATCAAAATAAATTTTATTGCAATACATGTTCATCATTACAAGAAGCAGTAAAGACAATTAGGTTAAAGAAATTACCACAAGTATTAGTTATCAATCTAAAAAGGTTTAAATATGACGAAGTTAAAGATAAAATGGTCAAATTGTTTGATTCAATAAGTTATCCTCCCAAATTAAGATTATTCAGTACTTCAGATGAACAACATTTATTATATGAATTATATGCATTGGTTATTCATATTGGAGGAGGTCCCATGCATGGTCATTATGTATCAATATGTAAAATTAAAGCAGGTCTTTGGTTATTATTTGACGATGAAACAGTTGAATTAGTTGAAGATTCATATGTAATGAGATTTTTTGGAAATGGACCAGGTTTAGCTAGTGCATATATATTATTTTATCAAAAATGTGTTGAAAATGAAGAATATGGATTTGATCCAGATTCAATTTATACTGGAGACGATAATTCAATATTATCAATGGATGATATAGAAGATTTACCAAATAATGTAGAAGTTGAAAGTGAAAATTCATCAATTGCATCAAGTGAACCACCACCAAAGAAGGATGTTTTTAAGAATTTCAAATTTACAAATGGAGATGAAGAATCAACAGGTAAAAAATCATGGGTAGGATCATTAAAACGGAAAGATCCACCACCTCCGTTAGAAAGAAATGCTTCAACGAGTTCCACAACAAGTCAAACTGAGAAAAGAAAGAGTATATTTGGATTTAGAAAAAAATAGACAATAAGCAGTGGATTGGATCAACACAATTACACCTTAATTAGTTCAACTACAAGTCAGAATGCTAAGAGAACGAGTTCATTTGGTAGTAGAACCCTTAACTATTGATGTATGGATGTTTTATATAGCTGTTCTCATCAAATGTAGAAATGATTAAATAAAAAAAATCCACACTTTCTCTTCTTACTAGTTACTCATCATACGATGTCAACAATTTCACCAACATTAAGAACTACTTCAACTTCTAAACTTATCACATTAGCTGCTGGTTGCTTCTGGGGTGTTGAAAAAGTTTTTCAAAAACAATTTGCTGGTAAAGGTTTAATTGATATTAAAGTTGGTTATGCAAATGGTATTCCAACAATTGGAAATGTAAATTATCAACAAGTATGTTCTGGTCAAACAAATTTTGCTGAAGCTGTACAATTATCTTATGAACCATCACAATTGACTATTTCCGAAATTTTAGATATATTTTTCAGAATGCATGATCCAACTACTATAAATTCACAAGGAAAAGATATAGGAACACAATATAGATCAGCTATATTAACTCATCTGGAAGAAGATCAAAAAGTAGCATGGCAATTAAAAGATCAATATCAAAAAGAATGGTATCCAAATGATAAAATAGCTACAATTATAGAACCAATTAAGATATGGTATGATGCTGAAGATTATCATCAGCAATATTTACAAAAGAATCCAAGTGGATATGAATGTTCAACTCATTTTATAAGAACGAAGCCTAAAGTATAAATATACACTATTCGCTTTTTTAACTCTCGTAAAAATGGCTTGAATTTAGTCCGAATCGCCCTAAAAATACCGCGAAGAAAATTTGGATTTGGCATCATATCCGGGCGAGAATTATGTACTAAAAATCTATACATTTTTTCGCCATACGCGTATATTTTTTTTTATTTATTTTTTTATTAAACTAACTAATGTCACTTTGGGTTGATAAATATCGACCAAAGACTTTATCACAATTATCATATCATGATTCAATTACTCAAAATTTAAGAGGGTTATCTAAATCTGGAGATTTTCCACATTTATTAATGTATGGTCCTAGTGGTTCTGGTAAGAAAACAAGAATTTATTGTACATTAAATGAAATATTTGGTTCATCAATTGAAAAATTAAAAATTGATGTTAAAACATTTGTTACTTCATCAAATAGAAAACTAGAATTTAATGTTTTAAGTAGTCCATATCATTTAGAGATTACTCCAAGTGATATGGGTAATAATGATCGTGTTGTAATTCAAGATTTGTTAAAAGATGTTGCATCTACTGAACAAGTTGATTTTAGTAATCAATCATCAAAAAGACATAGATTTAAAATTGTTATTATAAATGAAGCTGATTCATTAAGTAGAGATGCTCAAGCTGCATTAAGAAGAACTATGGAAAAATATTCATCAAATATTAGATTAATTTTAGTTTGTAATTCTATTTCAAATATTATTGCACCAATTAAATCAAGAACTTTATTAATTAGAATTCCAAGTCCAACACCAAATGAAATTGGTAAAATTTTACATAATATAACTGAAAGAGAACAGGTTCAACTCTCATCTGGAGATGTTGATAAATTTTATGAAAGATTAGCATTGGCAAGTAATAGAAATTTAAGAAGAGCATTATTAAGTTATGAAACATTAGCAATGCAAAGTGAAACTATAAACATAAGCTCAAATCAGCAGTTAATAAATTTAGATTGGGAAACAATTATAAAATCAATGGCAAAAGATATCACCACCAGTAGAAACGTTTCAACAATTGCAAAATTAAGAACAACTATATATGAATTATTAAGTCATTGTATACCTGCAAGGATTATATTAAAGACCTTATTATTTGATTTGGTTGACTTACATCATGAAAATAATAAATTAGTTGAGGAAGTTGTATCAACTGGCTCAATATTTGATGAAAGATTAAGTTTAGGTACAAAGAGTATATTTCATTTAGAGGGGTTTATTGCAAGATCAATGGTTGTAATTGATAAATATATTAGATAAGAGTATATCAGCTAATGTTGAACTTTATGATCTTTTACATCATATGCGGTATCCTTTTTAACAATCTCTTCATAAGTTGGTAAATCTTGTTCATGTTGAGCTAAAATTGATTCAGGTGGAGGTTGGGGTTCTTCCGCCTCTTCTCCTTCTTCAGTTAAACCAGTTTCTTCATCATTTAATCTAATATAACTTTCTCTATTTTTTGGAAATTCAATATATAATAAATAATATAATACAAAAATAACCCCTGGTAAATGACCAATTAATGTTAAAATAACACTAATCCAAAATTCTTTATTTACCAATGAATATCTTTTAGCAAAGAATATAGATAATGGTGGTAATATAATAGCAGTAACAATTAAAATAAATTGTTCACCTTTACTTGTTTGATGAGACATTTGATATATTATGGTGATAAAAATAGATTTTCGATTGAGTATTTATACAATTGAAATTACTACGCCACTATAATTAAGAAACAGATCTACTGTAATTATTATATCAAAAACTAGAATTAGATATAATAAACGTATGGTTTTACCAAGAAACTGCATGGTCAAAACACATGTATCGTGGTACAAAACACATGTTTCGTGGTACAAAACTCAGTTATAGGGAACAAGCTCAACAGATTAACTTATAGCCCTATTAGTAGCACCCTTACCACTCTATCAACTCTAATGCCAATCAATAAGGCTGTCTTGAGCTCAATTTCCCATTTCCAATATCTGTTTCATAATTTTTCAATTTTTTTATCAACAAAAAATATTATTTCCTATCGACCAACGGCATATATATATACAATGGATTATATCAAAAAACAAATATGGGGACCAGATCCAAAAGAACAAGTAAGTAATAACCTATAAGTAACCTATTAGTACTAACAGTTTCAGATGAGGAAGATAAATCAGTTATTAAGAAAGAATAAAAGAGAATTAGACAGATCTTTAAATCAATTACAACCACTTAAGAAGAAAACAGAAGGACTCATAAAAAAAGCAGTCAAAGATAAAGATTATAAATCAGCTAGATTATACGCTAAGGAATTAATCAATGTGAATCGACAATATAACAAATTATATACTTCCAAAACTAGAATTGATTCAATTACCATGTCAATCAACGAACAATATCAAATGAATCAATTAACTAAATCTATACATTCAAGTACTTCAATAATGAGAGATGTTAATCAATTAGTTCATATTGGAGCGGTACTGCAAACCATGCAAGAATTATCTAAAGAATTAATGAAAGCTGGAATTATAAATGAAATGATGGATGATATGGTTGATTTAGATTTTGAAGAAGATGAAGAAATTGAATCGGAATCTCAAGAAGAAGTAAATAAAATAATTCAAAGTTTGACAGAAGATAAATTTAATGAAATTGAAAATGAAGTACCGACTACTCGATTTGAAGAAGAACCAGAACAAGTTTCAGAAGAAGAAGAAAATGAGGATGAACAAGTATTAGATGAAATGAGACAAAGATTAAAAGCCTTACAATAAACAACTAATTTCAATTAAAAGTTTCACAATAAACCTATAAAATATTTAAAATGTTCTAATAATCCACTTTGCAATTTGACACCATTAGATTCATACATAAATTCTTCTTCTTGATTCATTGTTGCATTAGTTAAATTATTAGATAATAAACCAAATTTTCCATCCTTTTTAGCCTTCTTTTTAGCTTTTTTTAATAATTTTTTATTAACTTTCTTTTCAAGAAATATACCAGTTGAAATTTCCCATTTTGGTTTTAGTTTACCTTTCTTTTTCTTCTTCTTCTTGAATTGTGAATCAACTTCATAGGAATCATTGGAAGAAACTAATGGGAAAGAAACATTAAAATCGCTATTTTCAGTTTCACTTATAACAGTTGTATCATCAAAAACTATATCATTACCTTCACCAACAGTATCAATGTCAGTTTTAGGAGTTGTAACATCGAAATTGACATTACCAGTAGTATCAATTTCAATTACAGCAGTTGTAACATCATAAATTTCCTCACATATAGCAGTTATAATAATAAAGAACCAAAATAATAAAGATAATTGCATTAGGAATAAAATAAATTGAGAGATAGATTAATATATCATAATATTAAAATACATAAACAATAAAGAATAACAAAAAAATTGATTTTCATAGTAGTTGAACCATTATCTTCATATATCATCATTGTTTGATTTGAGTAAGTGTTGTTAATTGAGAATGGAAAGAACCATTTACTTTTCCCTTTACCATCATCATCACTATCACTCCAATCGACATCTTCCCAATCAGATTTTTCATCAATGATTTTCTTATCCACAATTTGTTTATGTCTTGTTTCAACACCACTTAAGACTTCTTTATTGAGAAAAGCACCAGTACCTAATCTGAATTTAGGAGACATTACGCCTTGAGCTTCAACAATTTCTTCTTCTTCTTTTATTTCTCTTTTTTTATTATTCATTCTTGGATTTGATAATAATTTTGATCTCCAGTTCGATGATGCATCAACTACTTGATTGAAAAAATTAACATCTGCCACATCACTAGATGGTGTAGATAAAATAGATAATGAAATAGTAATAAACCAAAAGATGATAGATAAGTTGATAATCATGTTAAGTGGCTTTTTTGAAATGGTTGCAAAAAAAAAAAAAAAAAATGAAAAATGAAAATACTCCGTAAAGTAAATAAACATCGTTTACAACATGTCAAAATACTGAGAGGTGACTAGTGATTCAGGTTTCCTATAAAGATGAAACTTTGTATTTTTTATCCTAATATAGAAGTTAAAAATAAATATACATTAAAATTTAAATATTGATAATCTAGAAGCTTTTGATTCAACAGGTTCATAATCTCTTTTTCCAATTTTAGGACCTTCTTCATCCTGTTCCATACTTTTCTTATCTCTGTAAACATCTTTATAACCTTCAATTTTTGTAGTCATTTCATCAGTAGGAATAATTTTAATGTTGTGTTCACTATTGTTTGTATTAAATAACCAAAATAATTTGGAATCATTATCTGAATCACTATCTGAATCTGACCAATCTATATCACTTCCACTTTCAGAATCCATTGAACTTAAATCTTCAGATGAACTATCACTATCTTCCCAATATGTAATCTTCTTTTTTGATGGTAGTGGCTTAATTGTAGTTACTGGTTCTGTCATTGGTTCTGACACTGGTTGTTTTATATGAAGTGGTTTTCTTTTTATTTCACATGCATCTTTGAAATGCTTTGCTTTGTTTGCAAATACACCAGCACTCATTTGCCATTTTGGAGGAGATTTCTTAGATGATTGAATTTCAAAAGTTTCATTTCGGTTTGTTTTCTTCCATTCTGCAAATTCAGCAACTTGTTTATAAAATGGATCTTGTGTACTTAAAGACAAAACAAATGAAATAAATATTAGAATTGGAAAAAATTGCATTATATTTGCGTATATTTTTTCTAAATCTCTTTGTCTTGATCGTATATCAAACTGATTTCTGTTTTCTGATATGATTGATCATATTTAAAGCCAAAATATTCTACTTATCTTGATCGTATACCAAATTGTTTTCTTTTCTGATATGATCCAATATATCCATAACCAACAATGTTTCATCTTGTGGAATAATACTATTTTCTAACCTACCATTGGCTATATCATCAGCAACGGAATTAGCTTCATAAATAAACCCTTTATAACCTGAATCGTCTTTAAATTCATAAATTTCTTTTCCATTAATGTCAAATATTTTGAAATGCCTTGCTGCTGCGGGATTATCACTATACATTTCAATATGACCTTTTGAACCTTCTAATCTAACATAAGCAGAAGGACCGTTGATCAATTCAGACGATGTTAAAACTGCATGTTTACCATCTTGATATTTAATAATAATTGAGCCTAAATGATCTACCTGATCAGTCTCATCAATTGTCAAAAATGACTTGACATCAAATTTAGTATGATCTTTTCCTAATTTATCATCTAATAAAATTCTAGAATATGTGATTGGATAAATACCAATGTCTAATAAAGCACCAGCTGCTAGTCTTCTATCTCTTACTCTTGAATAAGTTGGTAATGATTCTACATTTGCATTATAACTTAAATCGGCAAATAAACGATATGGTTTACCAATGGCACCTTCTGCAATTTTCTTCTTTAATTCAGCAATAGCAGGAAAGAATCTGGTCCAAACAGCTTCCATAATGAATAATTTCTTTTCCTTGGCTAACCTCAACAATTCTTCAGCATCTGACTTATTCACCGTGAATGGCTTTTCACAAAGTACATGTTTATTATTATTCAAACAGTTGATTACTTGTTCTTTATGGAATGTATGTGGAGTACCAATATAAACAACATCGATATTATCATTCTTATAGAAATTATCATAAGTTTCAACAATTGGGGTAACCCCATAATTTGAATCAGAATCAAAATTAATAAATTTTTCACCTTTTTCAATCGAAGAACAACCAATTGATCTAATTACATGCTTGTATTCAGTTTCCCTCTTATTATTTAATATTAAATCATTAACAAACTGGCTTGAAATATTACCAGCACCAAGTATACCCCAATTCAAAATAATCATAATCAACAAATTCAAAAATGGTAATGACACTATCAAATTTATATATTCAAAAATTTAAATATAATGGTTGTTTAACTTCAATAGTAGTAGATTTAACAATTGATTCATCTATTGATTCTAACTGTTCTTTGACTTTGGCCCTATCTGATTCAGTATAAATATAAATATCATTATCGTAATTTTCTTCATTCGATTTAATTGCTTGTAAGTTGCCATTTGATGGTTGATTTGATAAGAATCCAGTCACATCTATTAATTTATCACTTAATTCGTTTACTATACTGTTTAATTCTAATTGTCTTTGCTGTTGTTGTTTAATGGATTCTTCTTGTTCATAATCTGTTATATATTGTTGTTGCTGTTGATTTCTTAATAATGAACTAGTTTCGTCAAATTCATCATCTGAATTACCTTGTAAACATGATAAACATAATCCCATTGAATCTGACAAATGTTGTATGAATTGGTTGCAAGAAAAAGTAATGAATATTAAAATAAATTTTTTTTGATGGTAAAAAGAAAATAATAGATGATCTTATGGTATAAGCGAATAATGTATGATGACTGTTCAATGCTCGAGTAGAAGGTACGTTGACTGAGTACTGATCTAGAATTGACCTATTTTGTTATGTAAATTAGTTTAGCTGAGGTTTTCTCTTATCAGTGATTTTTTTCTTCTTATCAACACTTTTATTCTTACCATGTCCAAAACATTGAGTTGTTATGCATTCGAAACTTTAATAAACAAATTACAAACAGATTCAAAAAAGATCCCACTTAGTTCATATTTCGAAATCCTAGGTGAAGATTCAAGTAAATTACCTGCTTCAGCGCCATTATTTATCACATGGAATAAAAATCAATCATTAAGAGGATGTATTGGAACATTTCAAAGTTTACCTATTTCTTCCGGAGTCTCTAAATTTGCCATAAATTCAGCATTTCAGGATCCCAGATTTCCTCCAATAAAAGCAAAAGAGCTTGATTCATTATCTGTTAGTGTTACTTTATTAGATAATTTTAGAGAAATTAAAAATGCAAATGATTGGACTATTGGTCTTAATGGTCTTAAAATCAGTTTTGAATTAGATGGAGATTATTATTCTGGTACGTTTCTACCTTCTGTTGCAGAGGATGAAGAATGGGATAAAATTACCACACTTTATTATTTATTAAAGAAAGCAGATTATAGTATTGCAAAATCTAACGTTGCTGAGTTTTATAAAAATGGTTTAGATGAAGGTTGGTTAAAACTAGTTAAATATGATGGATTGAAACAAGGAGTAACTTATGAAGAATTTAATAAAATTAGAAATGAAATTTAGAAATGGTACGAAGGTGGTACGACATTTAAGCTAGAGGTGAGGGTTTTCTATGGCGGAGAAAATGGCACGAAGTGGTATGAAGTCTAATTCTTTTTTAGGGCGAGGCTGGGCGTGGTAGAATGCGAAGTGCTTTGTTTTCAAAATTGCTAAAGGTTTTACAGTAGTTGCATAATAAAAATCTATCTATTAATTACACATCTCTATATTCTTATTTCTCTATTTATGAGCCCATCCAACAATTAAACATAATAACGTACCACTTAAAACCGGGATTGTAAAATTATCATCAATATTAAAAAAATCAATAAATTCGGAAAAGCTAGCAACCAATCCAACTACAATTGAATAAATGTGAATACTTAAATAACTTGAATCTTGACTCCAATAAATATCACCAGGTTGGTTTACATTATAATTTGGTATGAAATATCCATAAAATATATAACTTGTGATTATGCCAGTGATACAACTTGCTAAACTTCCAGCAAATGATTTACCTTTCCCTATTTGAAATGTATATTTTCCGTACATTCTACCAAATGTAGATGCAGAAGTATCTGCCCAACTTAATAATAAAATACTCAATACTGAAATATCCTTTGGATATAAATATAATACAATTAATACACCAGCTAAATAATATAAAGTCCCGTTGTATGAATTGATTTCTTTATCTCTAATTATAAACCACATATATTTAGTCACAATTTTATTAATTTCGGGATTATTTAATCTTATTAAATCATTAATAAGCACACCCATAAAAGCAGTAAATAATGGAATGAATAACTGAGGTATTTTTACTCCTTGAGTATATAAATATAATGTTAAAATACCAATTGATGAATGGAATACCTTTCTTGGAATTTCATGTTTGGTCAAAAATTGACGAACCGTAACCTGTTTAACTTCAACCGATTTTTGTTCAATCTCTATTGTTTTATCTATACTTGTGTCATCGGTATCTTCTATCACCTCTTCTTCTTCTTCCTCTATTTCTTCCTCATCTATACTTATTTGTGAACTATTATAAACGTAAGTTTTATCATCTTCTTCACTATATGAATGATTAGGATCAAACTTGAAAAAAGTTGGATTAATCTCTTTCTTCAATGGATCTGACACTTTTGAAGTAGTGGGAACTATTGGATCTTTCATTGTTGACATGATAACAACAGTATATTTAATGCGATGTGCTGTTTCCAATAATAATATTTTTTAATTTGGTGTCAGATTTCGATGATTCTATGCAGAACAAGTAAAATCTGCAACCGAACCAATCAGGCTTCACATGCATTTTATAGAGGTTCAGCACGTGATTAGTCAGATGACTTAAAAAGTATATATTATAATGACTATGAACGATATAATAATTGTTTGTAAACTGTGTTGATATGTCCCTGTTGCTGAATTACGATGAAATAAAGCTTGTAATTCTTTGAAAACATCAAAATTTATACTTTTATTTGTATTGTGAAATAAATTATGATGATCTCTTTGTGTTGTACTAGTTTTAACTGCATTATCAAATAATTTAGTCATTAAAAATGTATTTGTCATTGTTGATCTTTGTTTACTCTTTCTTTTTGACTTTGATGTAGTATTAGTTGGTGTTTTTGACCCTTTTGTTCTTGTTGAAGGTTTAAACTTTGTGGATGTAGCATAAGCAAGTGTTTTAATTGGTGATTTTGACTTTTCGATCTTTGTAGGTGGTATCGTAGTGACTTGATAACTTGTAGATTCAGTTGATGTTAAAGTATAATCAAACATAAATGTCTTTGGTTTTGAATACTGTAAATCTGATACTTTTAATTTATTATGAGATGGTGGATAGATCATAAGTACTGAATTTGGTGGATTTTTCAAATTTAAAATATCTTTTGCCTTATTTTTACCAATTGCCAAATGAGCATTAGTTGTTTCTGGAGGGGATTTATATAATTGTATATCTTCACTATTCAACACATTACTTGTTGGTTCAATACTGGTATTTTCTTCAACCAAAATTTCTTCTTCTTTAACTTGATCATTATCAACTCTTAAATTCTCATCTTCCACCTGAAAAGGTGCATTGGTGACTTCCTCATCACTTGATTGTTCTTCTCCTACTTCTTGTTCCACTGCTTGTGTTTTTGCTCCATCATCAATGTCATATTTATTATCACTTAATTCTTCTTCTCCGTCTTGTTCCACTTCTTCTACCTTAATTCCATCTTCAGCATCATATTTATGAAACAAATGTTTGGTATTATGTATTGCTTTCAATTCTTTCTCAAATCTTTCTTGTTGATAAGCCATTTCCTTTCTTAAATCTAAAATCAAAGCTTCCAATCGTTTAATTTCATCTAATGCATCAAATGAAAACTCACCATTATCGGTTTCTTCTACTTCTTTTTCCTTCTTGAATTGTAACTTCTTATTAAATTTTCTATTACCTTTACCATCACTTTCTTCCATATTCTTTGGTCTTGGTTTCTTATTAAATTTCTGATCCACAACTTCAGCTACTGATTTTAAATTGATTCCTGGTTCTTCTACTTCTATTTCTTGTTCAATTGTTTTTAAAACTACGGTAGGCACTTTATTATAATTAATCGGTACCCCATCTTGAGTTGATTCAATTAATGGTCTTGATTCTTTATGTTTATGAGGTATAACATTTTTGAAAATATTTAAATGTTGATGAAATATATCAATTGATGAGTTTGAGTCACCATTAATCAAATTTATGAAGTATAATAATGATATGAATAAATGTTTCATTAACCGCTATGTTTGTTTTTGTGTGAGATTTTTTTGAAAAATTTATAATAGATCTGGTTATATCTATAATTTTGAAACTCATACTAACCCACCTATACCTAATTGTAAACTAAAGTCTTTGTCTCTATCTAATAGTAAGCTGATCTCTTCATCAAATAGAATTGAAGCATTTGTATTTAATCTACAGATTGTCTTAATTTTTGAAATTTATGGTAAACCCAAGTATATCTAAATATGACTTTGAGACTTGTACTGGCTTATTTACATATGATTGAGAGCCATTCTTTCCACTTAATAGAACGAAAGCAATTGAATTTATTTCTTAAAGTTTATAATTGATCTAGCTATTTCCAAATATGGTTTTGAAATTTCCAGATCTGGTTTTGAAACAAGCACTGGTTTACCTTTATCTGATTGTAAACAAATTTCTTCATTCAATGGAATTGAAGCAACAGTCTCCAACCCATATTTTTCCATTCTTAAATTACCAGGTTTAAAAATATGTGATTCATGGTTACAATTTGGACATTTAAAATAAGACATATTTTCAACAAGACCAATAATGGGTATATTCACCTTATTGAACATTACAATACCTTTAACAGCATCAATCATTGCAATATCCTGAGGAGTACTTACAATTATCGCACCATCAATTTTTAATAACTGACCTATTGATAATTGAGTATCACCAGTACCTGGAGGCATATCAATAACTAAATAATCTAACGGAGCCCATTCCACATCAAATAATAACTGTTGTAATGCTTTCATTACCATTAGACCTCTCCATACAATAGGTTGAGAATCACCAACTAAATAACCCATAGACATTGATTGAATTCCATAATTTGACATAGGAAGTAATTTACCAGTATTGCTAAGTCTTGACTCTCCTTTTAAATTCATTAATTTTGGAATTGAGGGACCAAATATATCTGCATCTAATATACCACTTCTTTTCCCAAGGTGATTTAAAGCTAATGCTGTATTTATTGAAACTGTAGATTTTCCAACACCACCTTTAGCTGAAGAAACCAAGATTATATTATTCACATTAGCAATTCTTTGTTTTATCGGTAGATTTTTGCTTTGTTTAGGTAATCCTAATGGATTTTCATGTTTTAATAATTTTGTAGTATGTAGAAATCTGAAACTCATTTGGTAGAAAAAAAAATATTTGTTTAAGAATGAATTTGCATCCAACTATATATGCATTATCAACAAAATTTGGTAAACTGGCAATAGCAGTAATTAGGATACTGGGACCACAATCAAGATATATATATAATAGATTGACAAACACTAAATCACAACCAAAGAATAGAATTGCGAGTGTTAGAAAATTGTATAAAGATAATCGAAATTTATTAGATCAAGCTTTAACTTTATATTTACCAGGGCCGAATACTTATACTGGACAAGATCTTTTGGAATTACACTTACATGGAGGCACAGCAATTATTAAATCTACATTAGAAGCTATAAAAAAGCTACATGATCCTAATAATGGTAAAATAATTAGACAAGCGCAAGCTGGTGAATTTTCAAAATTGGCATTCATGAATAATAAATTAAATTTGGTGGAGTTAGAGGGTATTAGTGATAGTATTAATGCTGAAACTGAACTGCAGAGGTTGGCTAGTTTAAGTTCAATTACTGGTAAGGCTACTAATGAATTTAATAAATGGAGACAAGATATTTTAAATAATATAGCCTTATTAACTATCATTATTGACTTTGCAGAGGACCAGGAGTTGGATAAGAATAAAATGTTGTTTAACTCAGTAGATACAAGTATTAGGGAACTAGATAAAGAGATTAGAAATTATTTATTTAAAGTACGAAGTTCCGAAATTTTACTAAAAGGTATTCAATTAGTTTTGCTTGGTCCTCCAAATGCTGGAAAATCATCTATCCTAAATATATTAGCTAATAAAGAGGCTGCTATAGTGAGTGATATTGCAGGTACTACAAGAGATGTAATTGATATACCTTTAGAAATTCAAGGTTATAAAGTTGTATTAGGCGATACTGCTGGTATCAGATCTTTAGATAATGCAGATACGATTGAAAAAGAAGGTATAAAACGAGCTAAAGCAAAGAGCCTATCTGCTGATTTTATAATTGTTGTTTTGGATCCTACTAATAATGATGTTTTAGATTTAAAAGATCATTTAAAAGAATTAATCAAATTGGACAAGAAATTAGTTATCGTATTGAATAAACAAGACTTACATGAGGGAGACCAAGTCGACAAATACTCAAGATTGTTAGATATACCTCAAGAATACTTCAAAGTCGTTTCATGTTTAAATAATACTGGAATAGACGAATTACGAACCTATTTGGTCAGTCAGTTCCAGAAATTATCGGATTCGGAAATGTCAGATCCTATAATTGTCTCATCACGAACTCAAGATCTACTTGAAAATGATGTATTGTATGGATTTGAAGAGTTTTATAAATATAAAGATATAGATGATGTTGTATTGGCAACTGAGAGTCTAAAACAATCAGTTGACGGAATAGGTAAAATCACAGGAGAAGCAATAGGCATCGAAGAAATATTAGGGGTAATTTTTTCAAAATTTTGTATTGGTAAATAATTAATTATTATTACAAACCACATAAAATGTAATATTCTCTACATCCCATGTCATTTTCATTTGTTGTAGTTGATGTCTTGTATGTCTACTGCCTGACATTTCTTCATTTTCTTCCAATATTGTATGTTTAATTTTTTTACTTAAATTTGGTGCAACTTTACATTCAAAATTTAATACATTTAAACCATAGCTTAATTTTACGTCATATTGAACACCTAAAACTTTACCTTCTTCAAATATTTCAGGTCCATAACTTACTTCTTCATCATTTACATATAATTTACATTGAAAATCATCATCTGAAGTCAGATTAAGATTACCATGACCATCTACTAAATCTCGTTTTTTAGCTTGATATAATAAATTATGAAGTGATACTTTAAATGAAATGAATGGTGATGATTCAGATGGTAATGCAATTGTGTATGATTGAGATGTGAAACCATTTGCAGGAATTTTATATGAAAATAAAGTTGCAATGGCACGTTGTTTATGAGTTGGAAATAAATTTGATCTTATTTCTTGATCTCTTGACATAAGAGTAAAATTTGATGCCTTTTGTTGAACATATTTTGAAATTTCCTGAGTAATTTGTGGTGAGGAAAATATGGAACTTTCTTGAATTATCAGATTTTCTTTTGGTAATGTAGGTGATGACCTACCCATTGTATTGAGATGTGATTTTTCCGATATTATAGGTACTTCGTTTGGTTCTTCTTTTATTTCAATTTTCTCCTCCTCTACTTCCTTTTTAGGTTTTAAATTTAATTTTATTTTAGGTCTATCTATTTTCAGTTTCCATTCATTAAATTTTTCATTAAAATAAGACTCTAATAAATTTGCATCTTGATAAATTTGAGAATCTTCATTATTATAAGCTTTAGCATTTGAAAATATCAATAATGTGATTTGGCGAAATTTTTCAAAGTTTTCTAAAAGTGATACCTTGGGTGTAAATAATTTCTTTCTTTCTAAATTTGATATTATTGTATTAAAAGCCATTGGTTTACTTACATAAACTGAATAATCAGTATATATAGATTGATCAACTTCTTCTAAAAATGGACCACTTAATATACCTTCTTCAAATTCATGATTCATAACATCTTCAAGTATATTTTTACAAATTTCGGGTAACTTACCATATGTAAATTCTTCAGGTTCTTTCACAGTTAATTTTAATTTTGGTTGTATAGTTTCATATTCTTTAACTTGATCTTTAACAAAATCAACTAGTTGCCGTGCATTTGCAACAATCCAAGAATCTTCATCATTATAAGTAGCAGCGTTTTTTAATAATAATTCAAAATCAGAAATAAAATCAGATAAATCGTAATTTTTTTCAGTTCTTATTTTCTTTTGTATTTCATTTAATGAAATAGGTTGTTTAATAATATCATAATAATCAGGATACAATTTCTTCAGTGGTAATTTAATAAAAGCTGATGCAACCAGTTCACCTTGATCAGTTAAATTTAATAATAAATTGATTGATGAAGTAAAGAAATCCTTTAAATCATTTTCAGTTTTTATCTTCTTATTCGGTGATTGTAAATTTGTTGTTGTTTTCCTTTTGGGTGGCATTTTTATAAATTACGTCTGTTTATATTAGTTTTTTTTTTGTTGATATTTTTTTTTTCCAATGTCAATTACGATTTTACATGGATCAGAAACTGGTAATGCTGAAGAATATGCTAGATATTTGAAATTAAGATTAAGGTATTATAATATTAAACTGACTTTAAGTAGTTTAGATGATTATCCATTAAAGAATTTGATTACAGAGACAAAGTATTTAATTATCATCTGTTCAACAACTGGTCAAGGTGAATTACCAAGAAATGGTAAAAAATTTATGAAATTTATATTAAAGAAGAAATTACCATTTGATTTATTTCAACATATTAATTTATCTTGTTTTGGTATTGGAGATTCATCATATACAAAATATAACTATGCTATTAAAAAAATTTATACAAGAATGTCTCAATTGGGTTGTAATGAATTATCACCAAATTGTGAAGCTGATGAAATGTCACCAGAGGGTGTCGATGGTTATTATAAGGAATGGGAAACTCAATTATTAAATAACTTATTGAAAATATTTCCAAATGAAAAAACTGATGCTATACCTATGCCATTAACAAAATTGATAAAATCCGATCATGAAAGTGATATAATTCCCGAGGAAAATTTGAATATTGGTACTATAATTGAGAATAAACGATTAACTGCAGAGGATCATTTCCAAGATGTAAGATTAATCAAGATAAAGACTGATTTACCTTATGAACCAGGTGATTCGATATTATTATACCCATGTAATTTTGATGAAGACGTTGATGAATTGATAAAACTGCAAAATTGGGAAAATTACGCCAATCAACCGTACAAAATAAACAATTTTAATGGTACTGAATACTTTGTAACCTTGAGAAATTTAATAAAGTACCATTTAGATATTATGTCAATTCCAAGAAGAAGCTTTTTTGCATTACTATACCATTTTTGTGATGATTCAACTGCTGATGGGCAAAGAGAAAAGGAGAAATTACAAGAATTTGGTGATTTTAATGAACCTGAAGATTTATATGATTATGCAAATCGTCCTAGAAGATCAATTTTGGAGGTGTTGACCGAATTTCAACATATACATATTCCAATTTCATATGTTATAGATTTAATACCTAGAATTAAACCAAGATTTTTCCTGATAGCATCTATAAATCAAGATGAAATAGAGATTATAGTGGCCATTGTTGAGTATAAAACAATTATACGAAGATTGAGACGTGGATTATGCACTAGATGGTTAAAACTGTTAGTACCTGGTGACTTAATATTCTACAAGGTTGATAAATCAAGTTTTAAATATGATGATCCTCCAATTATCATGGTTGCACCTGGTACTGGTGTTGCACCAATGAAATCATTAATTGAAAAATTAAAAGGTCATGAAATGTATTTATTTTTTGGTTGTAGATTTAAAGAAAAGGATTATTTGATAAAGGATATGTTCAAAGACTATCCTAATTTACATATATTTACAAGTTTTTCAAGAGATGAATCTAAATATGTTCAAGATACATTGTTTTCGGAATATAAATTAATTGGAAATTTATTGGAACAAGGTGCTAGAATATTTGTATGTGGATCAAGTGGTAAAATGCCACGAGAAGTTAAACTTACATTTATAGAGATTATTAAAAAGTATAAACAATTAACTGAAACAGAAGCTACAAGTTATGTAAATAGATTAGAAGATATTGGTAAATATAAAGAAGACTGCTGGTAGCGCATTAAAATTTTTCACCATGCTTAAAACATTTATACGATACAACTCTATAAAAGTTGGTAAAACACTATATAAATCAGATCAATGGACTAATATACCCCCATTTATAATTAATCTAATTGGTCAAAATTTACATAAAAATCAAAATCATCCAATTGGTATATTACATGATTTAATTCAATCGAATATTAAAAAATTGGGATATACGGTATACGACGATTTTCATCCGATTGTTTCAAAATATCAAAATTTTGATAGTTTGGGATTTCCAGAAGATCATCCAGGTAGATCTAAATCAGATACTTATTATTTTAATAAAGATACTTTATTAAGAACTCATACTTCAGCTCATGAACAAGAATGTTTTCAAAATTGCCCCACGAGTGGTTACTTAATTTGTGCTGATGTTTATAGAAAAGATGAAATCGATAGAACTCATTATCCTGCTTTCCATCAATTGGAAGGTGCAAGAGTATGGAATAAAGGAGATTTACAAAGAATACAAGATGATATTCATTTAATACCGGAGACGAATATTATAGTTGACGACCCGTTTAAAGACAAACCTGTAACTGAAAATAACCCAATGCAATCATATATGAACGAAGATGAAGTTAGATTAGTTGCAACTCATTTAAAAAAGACTATTAATTATATTGTCCATGTTGTTTTTGAAAAAGCTAGAATATCTGCAAAATTACAAGGGTCAAAAGAGCCATATTTAAACGAACCTTTGAAAGTGAGATGGGTGGAAGCATATTTCCCATGGACCTCGCCATCTTGGGAAATTGAAGTTTGGTGGAAAGGTGAATGGTTAGAAAGTTGTGGATGTGGAATTGTTCAACAACAAGTATTGACTAACTCAGGTTTAACTAATAAAATATCATGGGCTTTTGGCATTGGATTAGATAGACTCGCAATGTTATTATTTGACATACCTGATATTAGATTATTTTGGACAAAAGATGAAAGATTTCATAAGCAATTTTCCAAAGATAAAATTTCAACATTTATACCATATTCTAAATTTCCTGGTGTTAAAAGAGATGTATCATTTTGGATAAATGATAAAGAAATACATATAAATGATGTAATGGAAATTGTACGTTCATTTGCTGGTGATATGGCTGAATCAGTTACATTAATTGATAAATTTGTTCATCCAAAAACAAAGAAAACTAGCGAATGTTATAGAATAAATTACCAATCAATGGATAGAAATTTAACAAATGCTGAAATTAATGAAATTCATGATAAAGTGGTAAACAATTTGAAAAATCGGTTTAACGTGGAGATAAGGTAGTGCGTATAACTAAACTCCATGGTTCCGCGGTGGCAAATTAAAATATAAATAAACGGACATTTCCTAATTAAAACTACATCAATTATCAAAATGCGTGGCTATCCATACTATCGTCATAGACATTTCTTTCCGGGTGGTTTTTTTTTAATTGTTGGTGCTTTTATGTTGGGTAGATTTTCAAATCATCATCATTGTCATTGTCAAAATTGTAAAAGAGTTGAATATAGGCATTTTCCAAATTCTTCGCCAAATCATTCAGCAAATAAGTCTTAACTACGTATATTATAAATATATATCTTGTACATATTACCAATACCAAAATGCTATTAATATTAAAATACCAGCTAATGATTCTGGTAAAAATCCTAAAAATGTATAATATTTATATTGACCAAAATAAATCATATATTTACTTGGTTGACTGAAACTTATACCATGAAAAGCAGAAAGCAATGAATAAATACACCTGATAATTAGTATAACACTAGCTGCAATTAATACTTTTGCAATCATTGAAAATTGAGCACTTTGTAAATGAACAAGTACTAATAATGCAATAATCATTACAACACCAATTAAAAATAATATAGAAGAAGCTTTAATTAATGGCATTGAACTAGTATCACCTTCTGATAGTTCAGAAGTACCAACGATGTTAATAATCACCGCAGCTAATAGAACAACTGTTAAAATTCTGAAGGGCCAAAAATTTAACTTCTCTTTTGGTTTACCTTTCTCTAACGAATTAGTATCATATTGAATTAATTCTGGATTCTGTTCTTTGATCATATGCTGAAGTAAAGAACTGACAGATCTAGTTAAGAACCCTAAACTAATTGAATCAAAAATATATGTAGCTATGTATAAACCAAGATTAAAATTGTCTAAATGCATGAAAACCAACCCAGTAATAGCACCAGTAGTCTTAAACAACAAGAACAATGTCATTAAAATGAAGAATGGCAAGATTGACCTCAAATCTGTTTGTTTTTGTAATTGCCCAAATATGATAAATAAAAACCCACATAATAAAATGATAAACACTATTAACTGAACTATGGAAATTGCTTCCCATTGATTAAACTCTTGCAATTGCATTAAAGTTTGATACAAGATATCATCATCTATTTATATTGAAATATTTTAAGCGATTACATAAGCGGTAAAATTAAAGTATGCATTATGGGTTAAAGTGTTTCAAGTGTAGCCGTACCAATGTTTAACCGCTTACATAACCTCAAGGCTTAAACAAATAGGAGTTAATTTAATCACATATATTCAAAATTTAATAAAATAAAAACATTGAAATAGCAGATAAAACCATCGCAAAAGTAGCAACTCTATTTGAGTTGGCATCATTTCCGTGTTCTAAATTATTCATTGGTCTTTCACAAACTCTAACATTTTGACATCTTAAAATACCATTAGCGCCATGTAAAACAACAGATTGTCTACCAACAAATTGTAGATCAGAACCACGGCTAACACTCAAGTAATTATCATAATATTCAGTATAAATTGAATTACCTGTAATATTACCATGTTTACCAGATAAATCACCAATTGCAAATAAATGTTGTTCTGTTGAACTTGTAGCATCTAAATCTCCATTAAATGGATTCCAAACGTCACCAGTACTTGAACAGTTACCATCAGCAGGTAATTCATATTCTTGAATACTATAAGCAAATGGTCCATGTTCTCTATCCGGTAAACCTGTGAAATTAACAGAAACAATAACTGAGCCATTATTAGCAGCGTCAAATCTAACACTTCCAGAAATTCCAGAATCTATAGTTTCTGGAAAAGTAGCAACGTAAGAAGTACCTTCGGGAGAATCAGTAGATACTGGAGCACTAGCGAAAACAAATGAAATGAAAGTTAAAATAGCTAAGATTGAAAACATCTTTGGTTAATGATTTGAAAAACTTGGAAATTTTCATCGATATTTATATCAATTCAAGGGTTGTTAAACTCAAGGTTGCAATTTCATTGATTCATTGTTTACAGTTAACCTTTTCTTATAATTAATACGTTCATTGGTAGGTTTCGTACATTTAAATTAAGCTTATTATACTCGATTTTCTTGTAAATCTAAAATAATAGAAGTAGTACGATTACTTGGCTGTCAATTTCTTAGAGTCAAGAAAATGAAGAAATATTGAATAATAGTAAGGCAAAAGGAAAGATTAGAAAGTGTATATTAATTAATCTAAATTAATAAAGCTGCCGCACCAGCTAAAGCACCAACCAATAAACTTACTTCATTTTGACCAACTCCATTAGCGGTTGAAACAGCGCTTGAAGTGGAACTTGAGCTAGTAGTTGATCCTGATCCAGTTCCAGTTCCACCTGTAGTATTTGCGCCACCTGCACCACCTGTAGTATTTGAGCCACCTGCACCACCTGTAGCATTTGTATAAGTACCACCAGTACCACCAGTTGAACCATTTGTTTCTTCTTCTGTAATATTAGCACATGCTAATCTACTATTATTCGAAGAATGAATAACAACACTTAAACCACCAAAATAAGCTCTTGATTCTGGATTTAATGATAAGTAAGGATCAACATATTCAGTACTAAATGATTCACTAGTAATATTACCATTTCTACCAGCTAAATCACCAACTTCTTTTGCTGCATCAGTAGTAGCAGTAGCAGAACCATTAAATGGATTAAAATGAGCTAATGTACCAGTACAATTACCATCTGCAGGAACAGGAGCTTCATGAATATGATATGGGAAAGGACCTCCCGTTGAAGGTAAACCATTCAATTCAACAGAAACACGAACTGAACCATTTGAAGTAGGTTCAAATTCAACATGACCTTCAATTTCAGATTGTGAATTTCTTGTAAATCTAGCAATTAGAGACTGCTGATTTTGAGAATCTGATTGAATTGGAGCATCAGCTGATAAAGCGAGGGAAACTAATGATAATAATGGTAAATAAGATCTCATTCTAGTTGTTTGCTCTTGAATATTGCAATTTCTGATTTATTTATAGTAAAACAACCAAATTGTCTTTGTCAATCTTGTATTGTTATGTGCCTAACGTAAATGGAATATTCTTTTGTTAGGGGTTTTTGTTACTCCTTAATTATTATAATTTTAGTTCAGTCTGCATTTTCTTGGCTTAAAGAATAATAAAGTTTCAATTATAATTAAACCGAAATGGAGACTAATTAAAAAATTGACTAGACTATGATTGGATGAAATTTGGAACTTTAACTATTGGAACACATTTACGGATAAAAAGGCATTATAATAACACTAGTTGAAGTTTTAAAATGAAATCGTGGATCTGAAGTAAAAGACCAAATCTGAGAAATTTCAAAGAATTGAGGTCTATTTATATAGTTTTCAAAATGAAATCTCCTGACAATCGAGTTACATATCATTTAACTCAAACGGAAATTTAAATTTGCTCATTTATCAATTTGAAGGAATGAAAAACTTGCTCAGATCTTAAAAGTTATCAGATTGATCAATGAGATTTGGATTATGTAATCTGAAAATTTTAATTTTCATAACCATAAATTAAATATGTTGAAACTCTAGATTAAATAGCTCCCCAAAAAGCATATGATAATAATATGAAACATTTATATATTCAAGATATAAACCGAAATAAATATGATATAATGAAAAGAATAATATGCAATAATGAAGAATGAATAAATAATGCCAATTTGAAAACCGAAAACTTGCCAAATTTAACAATTAGCTAATGGAATAACAACTAATCTGACTCTAGAACATTGGGCACCAATTGAAGCATCATAAATTTTGTATAATCCATTATCATCAGCTCTACATCTCCAAAATTCTGTTGATTGATGTATTGCTAAAAACCATTTATTATTTTGTCTTGTAATTGCAAATCCAGATTTATATAATGCATCAGGTTGAGGAGGATAATCAAATTGAAATTGATGATTTGCAACAATTTCACCAATTCTATTTTGTTGATCTTTTAAAACTGAATCTCTTAATCTGACAGTAAATTGTTGATTTGATTTACAAACTTTACATTGTGGTGGTTTTGTATGTGTTGAAGTTTGAGAAGTTGTTGGACAATAAGGACTATATGAATATGTTGTAGTTGGATAATAATGAGTTGTTGTTGGATAAACATATGTTGTAGTTGGTTTAGTACAATCTGAAGTTAGTTTTGTATGATACCACCTTCTATTTTTGTAAATAATTGTAGTGTCAGTTTCTAATGAAGTTTCAGTTTCCAATGAAGTTTCAGTTTCCAATGATGTTTCAGTTTCCAATGATGTTTCGGTTTCTGATGTAGTTTCGGTTTCCACTGTAGTTTCGGTTTCTAATGAAGTTTCGGTTTCCACTGTAGTTTCAGTTTCCACTGTAGTTTCAGTTTCCACTGTAGTTTCGGTTTCCACTGTTGTTTCTGTTTCTAATGTAGTTTTGGTTTCTAATGATGTTTCTGTTTCAACTGAAGTTTCAAAAGTTTCAGTTTCAGTTTCAGTTTCAGTTTCAGTTTCGGTTGTTTCAGATTCAGTTGATGAATGTGTTTTAGTAGTACAATCAATTGTACTAGTAGTTTGATAAACTTGACCATCATCCCCTTGAAATAATACATAATAAATTGATTCATCAGCAACTTGAACACCTAAAGCAAAAGGATATGGAACATCAGTAACATAAGAACCATAACTAGTATTATTCCATCTTTTGTTAATAACAGAAGCATGAATTAATGAAAATAATGTAAGTAAAATAAATAACATGATTGATTGATTAATAAAAAGAAGAAAATATAGAAAAGCAAACTAAAAATATGGGAAATTAATATCTATTTATACTTTTTAATTTTAGGGGGCGATTTATTGATTTGTTTATTTTTATGGTAGCGCTGTTAAGTATTATAAAATGTTGCCAAATTTCCATTCAACAACTTTTTATTTTATTCACCACTTTTTCTTTTTATCTTTTTATTCAAATCATGTTGTTTATTGTATTCTTTTATTTATTAACTTTAGCTTTTGGTAAATTACGTAAAGTTCAATTATATGTTGATTCAAATTATCAACCAATTGATAATTATGGCTTATATCCATATAAAGAAACAAATAATGCTTACTATTTATTTTTAAGAAAACAATCTTATCAATTAATTTATGATGATCAAAATAAGTATATTTATTATCAAACATCGTCTCAAAAGAAGTATTATTTTAAATTACAAAATAATATTTTACAATTAAATGCTGGTAATCCTCAAAAAGTTAATATTGGTGGTAATGGTAGATTACAATTTAATGGTGCTAATAAATTATATGCTGTTAAGAATATTGGTGATCCAGCTGGTGTTTCAAAGAAATATTATGCTGTTAAATATTATAATAATCCTCCAAAAGGTGCATACAAAGTTAAGTATGTTTATGCTAAATATATTTAATCTTAAGGGGTAGTCATAGGTTGATGAGTTGCCTAATATATGAATTAATAATTAATTTTACACAACTCTAATTCAATTAATCTCTAGGTTGTCAGTTCAAGCTCTTATGATATTGTTCGTAAATTCCTTGTTGATTGAGCAAAAACACCTTATATGCGTATAGTCAAGTGATTAGAGATTTATATCCAGATAAGATAAATTACTCTAAAGTATATTACAGGCGAAAATTCTATTTACTAGCTAAGAATAATTCTGGTAGTAGAGTCTGTGAAGCTAATTTCATGCTGAAATTCAACTCATAACGTTATCAATTTTTGCAACACGAAATTTCAAAAACTTGAATATCAGAGCAACCAAAATCTTTTGAGCAAATTTGACCTTTGTGATAGGCCTAAAAGTTTGTCAATTTAACTGATTGACCATATTTTGCTACTCTCATTCAATTCTGTTGTCAGTTTATACAATAATTTGGCAACACATAATCTTAAGCGGCTGAAAATTATTTAAGGGGTAAATACGTGAGGCAAAAAAATTTAAAAATTTTGGCTGCAAAAAAAATGGTTGCAAAAAATGGTTGCAAAATTATTTATTTTTTTTTGATTAAAACAACTCGAATTGACATCAAAACAAGATATTACTGATCATGCCGCTGGTAGGTCAGATCAGTAAACATTTCTAAGTACATCTTTTCAATCTCAATAGTCACAATTCGAGTTCTATATTTCAGATCTTCTCAACTATACAAATATAAGCATTCGTCTAGGTGGTTCTCGTAATCAAGTCGAACAACTAAATTTATAGATGGTTAGGTGTTATAACAAAAGTAGAACCAGTTAATTCGTGAAAAAAGTTGTTTAATTGAACATAGCTTTAAAATTTTAAAAATATTTGATTCAAGTTATAATAACCGATAATTTCGAGTTTAAACGACTCAGTCTATTTACATTCACGTCCGATAGAGATAATAAAATTTGCGATGACTTAATCAGGGCTTCAAATCCTTATACGAAGATTAGAGTGAAATTTGATTAAACAATTTAGAAAAATTTTACTTTGATTTATTTAGGTTGTGCAATCTCGGTTACCCTAAAAGGGAAATTGTACTAGAAGATTACGGTTCGATAGATTTGATAATTACCTCAAGAGTATCTTTTATCAAGAGCTTTGATCAATTTCCAACGCGTGTTGAAACTTTATCAAAAAATTTTTTCTGCCATGAGTGAATTAATAATTTTACTAATATATCCCCTTCCAACCAATCCGATTGACAAATGATTCAAAATGTACCTCATTTTATTCATCGGCAAAATATACAAGGCTTAGGTACTTGATTAAATCAAAAATTTTTGTTTCGTTCAATATTACTTCCTATTTGGAACAAATTTTAATTCCGGGCTGCAAATCTTTTAATTAAATCCGACATCTATTTTACTCTATACTCTTTTATTTATAAAATTTGCAACAATATTATAACCATATTTCTTACTAAAATCACCTTGAATTGCCTTCTTAGCACCTTTTTTGCTTGCAAAATCTAAACTTTCAACATAAACCATACCAGCATGAATACCACCTGGTTCAGTATAATATTCAATATTATTATTTTTATTAATTAAATGATAAAAATCTTCAGCTGAATCTCGAAAAATTTCTCTTTCTCCAACAATCATTAATGTATTACCGTTATTAATTGGATCAACTTTTGCCCAATGATCTTCCCAATTTGTATTTGTAAATGTCATAAAATTATTTACTTTTTTTAAATCATTATCACCTAAATAAAATTCACCCATTTTTGTATCTAATGAACCTAAATCTCCATAAAATGAAACACCATGTCTTGTAGGTAATGTAGGTGGTGTACATGGTTGAACCCAAGGAGCATCTAATAATAAAGCTTTTGGTTGTGGTAAACTTGAAACATTGAAATTTAATTTAAATTTTGTTCCTTCAAATTGTTGTTTAACTTCTTCTGGATAACTTATAGAACGAGCAATTGATAGTGACATATGAGAACCAGCTGAATCTCCTAATAACATAATTTTTGAATAACCTGCTTTAACTAAATTATTATAACTTGTTAAACATTCATATAATTGAGTTGGATAAACATGATTAAACATTGTTATTGAATAATCAACAACTAAAATTGAAACATTTTTAGCTGCTTTATCATTTAATGCATAATGTAAAGCAGTTATAAATACAAATTGAGATTCAAACATATTTAATAAATAACCACCCCCATGTAAATAAATTAAAACTGTTGGATTTGGTACTTCAGATTTATGAATCCAATAGCTGTATTGGTCAAATTTTTCACCAAAATTATTTAACATCAATGATAATGGATGTTTTTTAAACTTCTTAATAACTTTTTCAATTGGTAAATAACAAACAGCTTTCATGTCATTTTTATTCCAATTACCAGATACATGATATTCAACTGATAATAATATGTTTTTCTTTAATGAATGTTTAAACTCTTCATTTGTATTTTGATAAATCGTACCACATGTATAATATAAAATAACTGCTTTAACAACTGGGTATGGTAAACTTAATAGTTTAAGAAGAAAAGGTAGAGTAAGCATAAATTTTTAAAACCGATATATATTTTGTCGCGTATTTATAATTTTAAATTATTTGTTGAATTTGTTTGAGTTTTTTTAAGATTACCTTTTACATCACGTAAATCACCTTTTTTATCAATAACAGTTACATTACCCTGTGACAATGTATCCATAACTGTTGTTGGTTTTTGTCTTTTATTTTCTTTAAAAGTTTTAGCTTTTTTTCTTTTATTAGCTCTTCTTAATCTTTGTTTCTCTTCTCGACTTAATTCATCTTTAGTATATGATAAACCAGATTTAAGAAGTACTTCTGATTTACCCAGTTTATCAGCTTTAATTGGATCATCTCCAATTTTATAAATTTCTTGTGGTGCCAATGCAGCTTCATTTGATACATGTAATGGTTGTGCATCTTCCATACTAATTGATGGTGCTGAATTATCAGTAACTTTAATATCGATTGTTTTTCTTTGATGTGGTTTTGGTATAAAGTGAGCTGAACATAATGCATCTAATTTATGGGATAAATTTGTAAATAATTCTCTAATTTCTTCATGTTCTTTTTTAACTTCTTCATTTACATCTTCTTCAACATTATTGTATTCATCTTCATATAATTCAGCTAATGATTTTGACAGTTTTGTTTCTGAAACTTCAACTTTAGGTTTTGAAACTTTTGTTATATCACTTATTAATCTTCTTGGTAAATCATCAAATTCATCATTTTTAATTCTTCTACGTATTAAATCTTCAATTGTTTCTGTTATTTCTTCTGTTACTACAGGTACAGGTTTTGCTGTACGATCAAAGGATAATTCAGTTTCATCTAATAATGAATCTGTTGGACGTTGAGCTGAATTAATTTCACCTTTCATTGTCCATTTTTTATCAGCAACTAATTCTGCTTCTAATTTGGATATTTCTTCTTGTATAGCTCTTTGTTGTTTTTCAAAAGATGATAGATTTTCTTGTGGTTGTGGTTCTTCATCAGCGAAAAGATCAAGTCTTGTGGATTGGATGGCATTATCATATTCATCATCATTGAAATTGTCATAATCTTCTTCTTCTTCTTCTTCTTCTTCTTCTTCTTCTTCTTCTTCTTCTTCTTCGTGTTCTGTCTCTTTTGTATTACCTGGTTTGTCATAAAAATCATCATAATATTCCATTTCTTCTTCTTCTGATTCATCACTTAGACTTCCAAAATAATCTATTTCTTCATCATCATTTTGTTCATTTTCTAAAGCCATAACTTGTTTATTATACTCATCAATGTCAAAAAATCCATCATTTAATCCAAAGGCATCTTTTTTAATTTTTGGTTCTTCTTCTTCTGAAATTTCTTCCTCTTCATCAAACTGACTTTCTTCTTCTGGCTCCTCCTCTGGTTCCTCTTCTGGTTCTATCTCTTCTTCATGTGCTGTTTCTTCATTTGATTCATTTTTATCTAATTCCTCTTGATCTTCTTCATCTTCATTTTCCACCTCTTCCTCTTCTTCTTCTGGATACTCCTCTTTTAAACTCGGTATTTCATCTCCTAACAATTTCAGACCAATTCCATCTAATACCATCTTAGTTTGACCATAAACTTGAGTTGAATCTAATCCATCAATGTAAATATCATCCAAAACTGAGTATTTTTTCACCACTGGAGTTAATAAACTTCTGGCTAATTCATTAAACAGGTTTATTTTATCATCGTTTTTAAATTTGAATATATCTTGAGGATTATTTTCTAATTGTTTTAGTATTTCAGACATGGCTAATTTGATAAAATAAAATTTTGAGATGAACTTAATTTTCGAAGAGATAAAAATCGCTACCAATTACATACAATAGTTCATGATATCGAAAATAATGGAGAACTCCATTTGAGATTCAAATCTATATTCTGTAACTAGCAAAACATTAGTTGCTAAAGAAGTCTAAGTATTGTTCATTTTGCAATTTTCCGTTTTTTTCCAAATTTTTTAGATGATCAGTAAAGTGGTGTAATTATTGTGTCATTAAAGAATTTAAGTATCAATCTGCTCCAAACAGTAAAAGCCTTAATGAAAAAGTTTGAGTACAATATCTTGACTTTTGAGGCAGGTATTTACAATTCAAGTTCTAAGATTACCTACTGTCAGACTGCACATAACCAAATTTGTTTCAAAATTATGCAATACTTTCGTTATTTTTCAATGCGAACGTTTGGGGCGACAGAATAAATTCTCGCGTTAGGATCGAGGCGAACTAGTGCTAAAAAGACAATTATGCAAATTTTTTGTTTCAGAATTGAATTTAAAAGTTTTTATGTTTGAGGTTATCAGTTCATGTATAAATATAAACTATCATTAACGAATTGCTTTTATTGATTCACAATTTCAACATGATATTTATGGATTCTCAAATGTCGGTCCAGATTTCATCAAATCTAATCTTTACGAGTACGCGCAATATAATATAGTGAAAATTGCGCGTGACTATAATTAACAGTTTTTGCCCGTCCCTTATTTATATTTGCCGAAATTGGACAAATTCATGCATTAATAAAATTTTTTCCTACTTAAAGCAACCAATTTAACAAGTTATCAAACAATTATCTACTTATGAACTACAATTTATGGATCAAGAAAATTCAAACGATCATCTATTTGAATTTTTGAAAGATTATAAGAAAGCAAAAATTATTCAAAGATTATTACATAAAAGAAAGCAAAGGACATTGGAAAAATAGTATAATCGAGTGATGAGAGAAGACACAACTAGATCTAAGTTATCATTGGAAAATTAATCAGCCTAGTTGAGAACCTAAAGTATAACAAGTAGATCTGTATGAGCCTTCATTACTACATCAACCATGCAAAAATCCCGTCTTTCTGAATCTGAATCCATCAAAATATCATGAATATCGCTTCCTTCGGTAAAATTACAATCTCATAAAGCAGGATCATCATCAAATCAGTCCAATGTTTCTTCATATCTCGGATTAGTCTAAGCTGAACCAGCCTATACTTGAAATTATTACAATTTAACTTGAATTTCACAAATAGCCCTGTTAAACCATACAACACCAATTAAGTCTTTAGAAGCCAGCCATTTCCATCAATTCTATTTCGTTGTGATTATAATTCATCTTGAATCACCGTAATTTAATCCACCTTTAAACCAAATTATAAATAATCAAAAAAACAGATTTCACTTTGCGATAAGAAAAAGCAACACTTCTTGAGATGACACTTAATTGAGTCAAATAGTAAAACATTTGATAGCCTTTACTAGCGATCGGATTTTCCTGCTGCAGCAATATCACCGATTTTCTCAATAATGAGCCACAGAACGTCTCCCATGTAAAATAAAACACATCATCTTAGCTGTAACAAAAACAACTCTCAAAATCTTACCATAACTACTATAACTTTGTAATAATAATAAACTTGTTGATTATTTCCAATTTCACTGTCAATTTATTGATTTATCAAAAAATTTGACACTGACGAAAAAATTAAACTACCAGTAATGATTCCATACTTTCAATCAATTTTACAATATTTACCACAATCTACAAATGGTGGGAAATTGCCATATTGGTTACTACTCATATCAATTGTCTCAATTTTTAATTCATTTCAATCTTATTGTAATCTTGATTTAACTAAAAGAGTTTATGAACAAAATCCATCACAAGTCACAAATTTATCAGCAAGAACTTTTGGTACATGGACTTTAATTACTTCAATTGTTAGATTTTATGGTGCTTTTTATTTATATAATAAACCAATATATGAATTGGTTCAATTTACTTATTTAATTGCAGCATGGCATTTTTTCAGTGAATGGTTAATTTTTAAAACTTGTAAATTAGGTAAAGGTTTAGCTGGTCCTTTAATTGTAAGTTCAATTAGTTTAACTTGGATGTATTTATATAAAGATGATTATGTATTATGAATAAAAGTTGATGATTGAATTTTAAAAACTCATAAACCTATATTTTTATATTTTTCAAATTTATACTACTCTCGATGCTCTAATGTTGATGAACGAATAAAACAGCTTCCTAAGCTGTGACTATTAACTAAAGTGTTATTAAGAATCGATGAGTTAATGGTAATCGGGTTTTGAGTTATATCATTTTTGATTTCGTTGATCTTTGTTAGTAGTAATATCAGCTGATGATAAGCATTAAAGCTTCTAATAGTTATATCATAGCAGATTATTAGATATTTGAATAAGATCTAAGATTGTTTTTGATTATTACTGGATGCAGAAATATTCTCTTATTATCATGATGCAGGTATTTAGAAGATTTTGAATAGATAGCCCAGCTAATTGATCTGTTTTGGGAATTTTTGCAACAAATCATTCACCATTAGATAATGTTAATTTTCCTTTAACATTGACAAAATTGATGATTTAAACAATGAAAAGTTAAGGAGTGTTAAAAATACAAATATTGATGATTTAAAGAGTTTACAGTCTCTTGAATTTATTGGTAATGGCATGAAGTGTTTCAAGACTAATCGATCTTGTTATGTATCTATGAAATAGATGGGTTACTTTAGAGTTGACCAAATATACATTGTGAAATTGTGTATTCTAAACAAATTACATCTTCTTTATGTTCTTTAAAAACAACGACCTGTTTATCAAGAGACTCTTCCGTTACGGAAATATTGTTGTTTTTGTAATTTTTTTGTGAAAATATACAAATAAAATATCTCTACACAAAAAATTGAGATTTATTACCTGAAAACAAGAAATATTGCTCAACTCTATCATACAACACACAGCACTTAAAATCAGACCGTACGGACGTTAGAATATGACAATATACCTTTGGAGTTAAGCTGAATAAAATGAAGCGATCACTGGATCGGGTTCGGGCGACATAAGAAAAAGAATGCGTATCACCAAAAAAGAAATTCGCGCGACAAAAGAAATTTGGGTACAAAATGTCTGAAAATCACCAACCTCAACAAGCCTCAAAATTACCCTTTGAATAGCTGCTGGAGTACTAAATTTCGCAATAGGCATCGGTGGCCGAGTGGTTAAGGGTATGTGAGATCCAGAATCTCATCCAGATCATTACTAACATCCAAAATAGCGTTAGACTCAAGCTTAAGAAACGAGCTTCGAATGCATTCGAAGTGTTCGATGAATTCTAATATCGAAAGATGCGCGCGTTCAAATCGCGTCCGATGCAATATTTTTTTTGGACCTTTTTCTCTTCCTCGAGGTTGTTGCTGAGTCGAAATCTGGGTCAAATTGATCGATCTCAAAGCTCAAAATTTACCATGGCAAAAATACTTTCTAGAATTTTCACTAGCCCGCTTTAATCTTTCCAGTATCCCTATACATCTATTTCTACTACATCTTCTCTTTTCAACTAATTGTCGTCCCATTCATGTTTAGTGTGTTTATTCTACTATTTTTTTGTTGTGAAAATTTTAAAGCAAAACGAAAAAAAATCAACCATATTATAAATTACAATCAAATGAAATGCAAAATATACCAAAATTAAGTGACCTGTCATTAGAAATTGATAAATTACAAAGTTCCATATTTTTAACATCATCAAATTTACGTGATATTTTATCATTAGTATTTTTATTACTTTCGCTACCTCAATTTTTATCAATAACATCATGTATTTTATATTTAATTATATCAAATATATTTGGTAAAAGAATTCTGATTAAATCATTATTAGCAGATGTGATAGTATTCTTTGCATTAAATAAACTTAAAAAAAGTTTTACTTATTTCATTATATTATCAAATTGTATAATTTCAAGTGATTTAATTGGACTGAAGAAGAAATCAGAATATTCAATTAATATAAATGCAATACTAGTATTTATTATTGTAAATTATTTGAATTATTTATTAAAATTTAATAATCCAAAGTTTAATCCAGTTTATTTATTGTTATCTGTACATATTATTAATCAATCAATATTTAAAAAGACTACTAGTTTATCAAATCAAGTGAGTATAAATGTTGATGAGAACAAACTATTAGATATAAATGTTGAACTAAAAAGGAACTCAAATACAAATATTGCTTTGAAGAATTTTGAAAATTTTATTGGTGATTCACAACCATTTTGGCTGATAATTGCAGCTATAAAAGCAGTATTAAAAAACCCTAATTTATTTAATGGTGAAACAACAAAGATAAAGAATGATGGGGGGAAATTAAAACCAAATACAAGTCAAGTTGCCGTATCAGTAGTATTAATAGACTCATCTAAAATTGTTTTACATTGTAATGAATCCAATTTATCAGTGAAACTTAATAATGTAAATTGGCAATATTATAAAGAGTGTAATAACTACCTAATAATTCACGGTTTGACACCATTATTTCAATATGAAATTGATATAATAAAATACGGACAATTATTAAATCATTTAGTTGTGAATACAAATGATGAAAATCAAATTATTAATAAATCCGTTGAAACATCATCACTACTCACCCTTCAAACATCATTAACATCAACCATGAATAAACTAAATAATCTAAAGGTTAAGTATAAAAAGATGAAGAAGGATGAGAATAAACGAATTAATGAATTAAAAAATCAAATAGAAGTATTAAAGGGAAAGATTTCTAAAAATAATAAACAACAAAATGATAATAGAATATTTGGAAAGATCAAGGGATTGAAGCACTCAGTTATACAATTGGAAAATGAAATAACTGATTTAGCAAGAGAAATTGAAGAAAGAAATAATGAAAAAGAAGTTAAATCAACACCTGATAATCAACAACAAGAGAAAATAAATCAATTAAACAAAGAATTTGACGATTATGAAACTAGATCAAGAGAAGTTAAACTAGCTCTAGCAAAAGTAAAGCAAGAATTACAAAATTTACAAACAAAACAACCTAAACTCATCAACAAGCAAACTTCCAAACAAGAAGAAGTAAAACAATTGCAAATAGACCTCAAAAATATTAAGAAGAATGAAATCATTTCCAAATTTCAAAAGAGAGTTAAATCAACAAATGAAAAATTTGAAACAATCTTACCAAGAATTATACGTGAAACAGAATCTTTACAAAAGGAATTATATTGATTTACCTATTTTATGAAAAGTCCTATTATAATATAACAACCCACCTGATATTTCAAAATCATTTTGTAGTATCTCTAAAATCTTTACTACCCAAATTTCATGGTTATCAACGGTAAAATTCTTATATGTCTTACAAATTAGCACTGTTTCAACGTCCTTTAATATCGGTATCCTTATATCATCTATATAATGTAGTCTATAATCATCGTCTCGTAATTCTTTAAATGGCGTGTTCATTTCATGAAATATTTCACCATCTTTCCTCTCCTCCTTGGTTACAGCCAATTTTTTTCCATGTTTTTTTACACCTTTTGCAAATATTCTACTTAGACTGGTCAGTTTTTCATTTGGAGGTAAAATATGTATAGCTAAATAACCAAAATCATGTAAATTCTTCAGAGTAAAACTTGGTAAATTTAAATTAAATTGTAACAAAGATGGTACAACAGATAATGAACAAACACTTGACAACGTCATTCCATGTAATTCCAGTTTACTTCCACTTGTCAAAATCATTGCTTGTGAAGCAATTCTTGACATTGTATGTCTAAACTGTTCACATATTAATCGTTTCATACTGATGATTTTTTTTTTTTCAATGTCTAAATTTAAACTAAGCCATGCGAGTTCATAACCATTTACTATAAATATCAACAATATCCCTTGTGTTCCAAATTAATGTTCATTCTTTATATTATAGGGTTAGTATTAGCTGAAGTTTCTGTTATTCAATTTAATAATCTTGGTTATACTGGTTATTATTCTGAAGTTTCAGAATTAAATGATATTGATTCACATTCTTGTTCATGCCAAGTAAGTTCCGATGTCGTGAAATTTTCTGGTCCAAATGCTCCATTAAATGAAGAAGTTAGTGTTCATTTTAGAGGTCCTATAATTTTAAATAGATTTGCTTCATATGTGTCGGATAATTTTACATTTAATGAAAACTCTGGAAATTGGACAAGAATAAGTTATTATGATGATCAACGACAAGTTGCCGAAAATGTTACTTTCCTTACAAAAGCTGGTGAGGATTCAATATGTTTAGGTAGAGCTTTGACTTATGCTGATTCAGATGGTGTTTCAAAAGCTAATAAATCAACCATACTCGGAGAAGATACTTTAATTGGATCAAATGAAGAATATGCTATATTTTCAAACATTTCTTGTGGAGAGTCTGGTTTAAATAATGATTGTGGTGTTTATAGACCTGATATTCCAGCTTATCATGGATTTTATGGTACGACAAAAATGTTCTTATTTGAATTTCAAATGCCAAATGATACAAGTGGAGCAAATATATCAAATTATAATATGCCTGCAATTTGGTTGTTAAATGCAAAAATTCCAAGAACTTCTCAATATTCTCAAAATGTAAATTGTTCATGTTGGAGATCCGGCTGTGGTGAATTTGATATTTTTGAAGTTATGAATACAACTGAATATTTAAATTTATATTCAACTTTACATGATTATCAAGGTACTGATGATATTGAAAATGGTTTAGCTGAAGGTTATATGGAAAGAGATTTAAATAATATAATGGTCGGTGGTGTTGCTTTTGATTCTGAAGGAACTGTTAATGTTTGGTTATCAAAAGATACAATTTTTGATAGTTCAATTTCTGCAAATGTTGTTAATTCATGGCTTGGTAAAATTGATGATGATGCTGTTACCACTAGCTTAAGTTCAATTAGTTTAGCTGCTCCAACTGGTTCGTCAACTGGTTCATCAAGTAAAAAAAGTGATGGTGTAATTTATCAAGCGGGTTTATGGACTCAATTGTTATTTGGATTAATTTGTATTATATAGAGAGATACAATTAGAGATTAGATTAGAAATTAAACTACTCTTGTTTAAGCGAAATTTGTTAGGTGGAATTTCTTTATTTCAACCATCGCTATATCAGTTCTTCCTTTTAAGCCTTATGTAAGTCACATTGATTATAATTAACCACGTTTGTTATATTATGTCAATTACAAGATTGTTCAGACCTGGGAAAACAGTTGAATTAAACGTACTATTATTCTATGATAATGAGCCTCTTCACGATATAAGCCTGGGTAAGATTAATCTTTGACTCAATTCAAAGTGGTTGACATCCTCAGGCTGAAATTAAACCAGTGAGCCAAATGAAACAATTTTGATCAGTCAAAAATTACCATTTTAAGAGTCAAAATGAAGTAGGAATTGCTTGAGTTTCATGAAATGCTTATATGATACTTGTAGTTCTTTTGAAACAGCATTAAAAGAATTCCAAGCATCCTCATACACTTCTAAATAATCAAATAAACCATCTATATCTTTAAAAACAAAAGTAAAAGCTAATATAACCTTTGATCATTATCAAAATATTGACTCTTATCAACCAGTTGAAAAAACTTTTAATTATATGTAAATTTCACAAATTTTTTAGTTTTATAAAACTCTTTTTCAATAAATTCGTCTGCTATTGGGCACCATAATGGTTCTGTTTCAAAACTGACCTCAAATAATCTATTTCATAAGCTGCTTGATATGACAGTTTGATAATTTTTTGATAAATTTTCAAAATTGAATTCTTAACGTATTGCAAAAGCAGATAAATGGATCTGTAAATTTTTCTGTTCTAAATGATTCATCTAAAGTCAACTATGATAGTATAGGATTTGGTGCAGCATTGAACGATACCTGAATATGAAAATCTGTCTGTAAATTTTCTTAGATTGTTAAATTGCAACTTGTTGACTTTAGGCATAATTGCACCTGTGGTTGTAGCACCAAAATCTCTACCTGAATTCGAGAAATTCCATTTTCATCATTCAAAATTTGAATATGCCCCTTTCTTGATTTAAAAACTTAATATCAGCAGAATCATGACTAGTAACTTCAAAAACCAAATAAACTAGCAATAAAGGCTGTGATAATAATATAAATATTAAAATTGGCCAACCAACTGATGATATTTAAACTTGATTGTCATTTACGCAAATTGAGAAATGAAATATTTGAATATTTGATGTATAAGCTTTCACTCCTTAAGATAATCAACATATGAGACAATTAATCGCGCTAGTTTAGGATGCTTGTCATAATCAACATACAAGTCTTGACAGTTGAACAACAGCTTGTTAACAATGCCTTGACCTAATTTTGTTGGAGAATCAATCAATTGTAGCCCATTTTTACCACCATCTTTTGAATCAACATCTTTCAACAACTCCTTAATTTGATCTAAATATAATTTATCAACTAAATCAATAAAACCTGGTGCAAATTTGACATTTTTTGGATAATTCATTTTTGCTTTTAATGATAATAAACCAAAGGGACTCTTTTTACTTGATACCATTTTCATAATCAATTTTCTATTATTTATAATAAAACTAGTTGGTTCGGTAACTTTATCAAACCATAATATAGGATATAATTGACCATTGTTTAATTTTAATTGTAAACCTAATCCAATTGGTAATGTATTTTTAATTGAGTATGATTCAACATTTACTAATGCTTTCGCAAATGAATTATTTAATAAATTTGGATACTGTGAGTGGTAGACTTCACATGAATGTTTCTTTTGAATATCTAACCATCTTGTTGGATTTGTTAGTATTGGATGTTTATAAACTCTATTCATCTCGGGTATGTTCGGCTTGTGTCAAAAAATAATAAATTCTGAAACACAGTGAAGCGAGATAAGCGAGCTACCAATCGAGCTACCAATCGAGAAGATTAATAAATGGATGAATTTTTCGAATTAAGCGATGTGTTATCACTTGAAAGGAACAGATGCCGATCGCAAATCGTTGAATGAATCTCATTGTTCAAAACCGTTGTCTGTATTTTTAATTTAATAGTTATTAATCAATTGTGGCTGTATGAGTTCCAACCAAATCTTTTACATTCAACAGAAATCAAATACACAAATGTGGCTGCCTATTTCAATCCCCTTTAGATATATAAGGAGAGTAGCTTCACTTTAAAAATCTGTTCGAACTTTTTTAACACTAAGTATTGTGTGAATTTCAATTTAGGTAATCGACATGGAATCTACATTAAGCCCAGGAGTTGGCTATGGATTGATTATTGGTGGAAGTGCTTTTTTTGCAATTGGTATGAATTTAATAACATACTTGATAAACAGAGCAGGAAATCACAATTCAAATAATATCGAAGAATTTGTTTCAGGGAGTAGATCAATAGGTTTTGCTTTACTATTGTCAACAATAGTATCGAATTGGACATGGTCGATTACTTTAGTGGTTCGTACCGTTTTTTACTCGTGAATTGTACTTGTTGGTTGATAAGCACAATTCGTTTTGAATGGATTTTGACTAACATATACTAGGTAAGTGCAATTAAAAGCTTTAGCATGGGTGTCAGTGGGTCATATTGGTATGGAATTGGGGGCTTATGCCAAGTAGCTGTATTTGCTGTTATATCAAGTAAGATTAAATCAAATGCTAATTTAGTTACTACATTTCCAGAAATGGGATATCTACGTTTCGGTTATGCAGGACACCTCGCATTTTTATTTTGTGGCCTCACGTGCAATGTTATTGTATCTTCTTCAATTCTTCTATCTGGTTCAGCTGTTTTTCAAGGTATAACTTCGATTAGTCAATATGCTTTTCTATGGTTGATACCTTTTGGTTGTGCAATTTATGTTTCTGTTGGTGGACTAAGGGCAACTTTTATTTCGGATGCTAGTCATACGTCAATCATTTTAATTTTCATTTTGGTATTCATGTTTGAAGTTTATGCTCGTAATGATAAAATAGGTTCTGCAAAGAAAATGTGGGAGTTATTGCAGCAAGCAGCGCCAATTGAAGGAAACTATCATGGTTCTCCTTTGACATTCAGATCTGAACAAGGAGGTATATTTTCTATTATTAGTATCATAACAGGTTTTGGTTTGGTTGTAAATGATCAAGCTTATTTTTCAAGAGCAGTTGCTGCAGACCCAAGAATAACAAGTAGAGCATATTTTTTTGCTGCTTTATGTTGGTTTGTAATTCCACTTTCTATGGGATTATCATTAGGACTTGCTGCAAAAGCATTATCATCCAATCCAGACTTTCCAACATTCAACGATATTGAAATAGGTGAAGGATTACCAACAGTTGCAGCTGCTATTTATTTAATGGGTAAATCTGGTGCTGCCATGATGTTGGTCATGATTTTCTTCTCCGTTGCTTCTTCATATTCAGGTGAACTAATAGGAACTTCAACTTTACTTTCTTATGATATTTATAAAAGATATATCAAGCCGGATGCTACACCAAAGGAAGTTTTGATTGCTGCAAAAGTAAGTGTTTTTTTGTGGGCTATATTTTCAAGCGCTATAGCTTCAGTTTTCTATGGAGCAGCTTCTATCTCCACAGGCTTTTTATTCAACTTCACTGGGGCAGCCACCAGTGCAGCTGTGATTCCGGTGACTTTGCTGATAGGTTGGAGGTCACTTAATAAGGCTGGTGCAGTTGGTGGTTGCATTGGAGGTAGCTTACTTGGTTTAATTGCTTGGTTGGTCTCCTGTAAAGGGATAGTGGGACCAATTAATGTCACTAATCTTAATAATCAATGGGTGTCTTTAACAGGAAATGTTGTATCTTTAGTTTCAGGGGCAGTTATTTCAATTACATTGTCTTTAATTTGGCCAGCTAATTTTGATTGGGAAAAAACAAGAAATAAAACAAGTTTGGATTCAACAGGAACAACATATATTGAAAGAGAGAAAGTAGTCAAGATTACATCTGGCTCATTAGATCTTAAACCACTGAGTCTCCCAGAAAAGGTTGATGGTATTGAAATTGATGAAAAAGAATCGAGTGATTCTTTAGAAGGTTTTGCAGAGAACGGAATTGATCATAAACATTTGAACCACCAGTTTAAAAAGTATTGTGGACTAGTTATAATACTTGTTATAATTATGGGAATAGTTATACCAGTTCCTTTAAGTGCCTCACCATATATATTTTCACCAGGATTTTTACTAGGAGTTGTCATAATCGCAATAATCTGGTTGTTTTGCACATTCTTTTATGTTGTGTTGTTGCCAATTCTAGACAGTAGAAGATACCTTTTTGGCTTAGCCAAGCAAGTATTACATTTATAGAACCATATAGATTTTGAATAGATGCGTCAAATCGCGCTATCCTATATATAAAATGCTCAATTCTGAAAATAGATCTACAGATCTGCAACAGAAAATAGATTTACACATTTAGGATCTGAGAGTTATTAAAGTTTCTTGTCGCTCTATGCAGATTCATATAAAGCAACTATAAAGAGTTGAAATTATTCTGAAACAAATCTGCTTATAAGCTAATGTGAAATAACTTTCTCAATCTACGAGCTACGATCATAAAAGTTTTTTTTCAATAAGAACTTATCTACGCTAAACTATCTTGATGCTAGTTTCTTCAAGTAAACATAATTTGGATTACATTATTCTTCATTTAAAAATTGACAAAGAAGGAGAATCTGTATAAAAATTTGACCACACCTTGCAACTTCTAATATAAGATCTTGTATATGATGTTCTCCAGACGCTAGAACTGGTTTGAAAGCGTTGTAAAATTTTCGACTCCCATTAAAAATTTTTTGCAATTTTGAATACTGAATGGAAAATCTCAAGTTTGCAAGAGTACAGAAGCTACAAGCTTGTTCAATTTTATCACATTTTAATTCGAATGACAAAGGTGGATTAGATTTTTAGTAAGGGCAATTTATTCGATTTTCGCGTCGCCTTGAAACTAGCCCGAGAAATTCTATCGTCTCGTTTAAAAAGAAAATTTGGCCGCATAGGCATTTTTAAACCGAGCAGGGGTACCAGGCCTCGTTGTGAACAAAAAATCTTCCGGCCACGTTTTCCTTCCACATCGTACGGAAGCTTATTTTGTATAGATCAAAAATTTAATAAGAGAACTATTTTAATCATTTATATATATTCTATTCAATACATACACTATAATTCATCGTGATCTAAATCATCATCAGAATCATCATCTCCAAATTTGGCACCACCTTCAGCACCACCTTCAGCACCACCTTCAGCACCACCTGAGTAAAGTTTAGCATTGATTGGATTAGTTGCTTCGACGAATTTTTCATATTGATCTTCAAGATCTTGTAATGAAGAAGATTCATCATTAATAACAGCTTTAGCATCTTCAATAGCTTCTTCAATAGTTTCAATTTCTGAATCATCAAGTTTATCTTTATTTTTACTAATTTGACTTTTGATTAAACTGATTAAATTTTCAAACTTGTTACGTAATTCAATTTTGTTTTTGATTTCTTCATCAGCTTCTTTATATTTTTCAGCTTCGGAAATCATTCTTTCAATTTCTTCAGGAGACAATCTGCCTTTCTCATTTTTAATTTCAATTTTTTCCTTGTTTCCACTTTGTTTCTCTTCAGCACTAACAGTTAAAATACCATTAGCATCCAATGCAAAAGTAACTTCAATTTGAGGTACACCTCTTGGTGCTGGTGGAATGCCTGTTAACTCAAACTTTCCTAATAAGTTATTATCTTTCGAAAGGGATCTCTCACCTTCGAAAATCTTAATAAGGACAGTTGGTTGGTTATCAACGGCAGTGGAAAAAATTTGAGATTTTTTGGTAGGAATGGCAGTATTTCTCTTGATTAAGGTTGTCATAACACCGCCTGAGGTTTCAATTCCCAAAGTTAAAGGATTGACGTCCAACAAGACGATGTCATCAACACCCTCCTCACCTGATAAAACTCCAGCTTGTACAGCAGCACCATATGCAACTGCTTCATCTGGATTGATACCTTTTGATGCTTTCTTACCAAAAAAATCTTCTAATAATTCAACAACTTTTGGAATTCTTGTTGAACCCCCAACAAGGACAATATCATCGATATCGCCTTTCTTTACACCTGCATCTTTAAGAACAGATTCAACTGGTTTTAAAGTTTTTTTAAATGAACTTAAATTTAATTCTTCAAATTTTGCTCTTGATAAAGTTTCTGAAAAATCAATACCATCAACAAAACTATCAATTTCAATTCTTGTAGACATTTGTGATGATAAAGTACGTTTAGCCTTTTCAGCTTCTCTTTTTAATTTTGAAATTGCTTTTGAGTTTGAAGTAATATCAATACCATGTTTCTTTTTAAATTGTTTTGCTAAATATCTAACAATCTTAAAATCAAAATCTTCACCACCTAAATGTGTATCACCCGCAGTAGCTAAGACTTCGAATACTCCACCTTCAATTGTTAATAAAGAAACATCAAAAGTACCACCACCTAAATCATAAACAATAATTTGTTTTTCTTTATCGCCTTTATCTAATCCATATGCAATTGCAGCAGCTGTTGGTTCATTAACAATACGTAAAACATTTAAACCTGCAATTGTACCAGCATCTTTAGTTGCCTGTCTTTGTGCATCATTAAAATAAGCTGGAACAGTGACGACGGCGTGGGTAACCTTCTTTCCTAAATACTCTTCAGCAATTGATTTCATTTTACCTAAAATCATACCAGAAATTTCTTCAGCACTAAAAACTTTTTCTTCATTTTGATATTCAACTTTTACAACTGGTTTATTATTTTTATTTTCAATTTTATAAGGTAAATGTTTTAATTCTTTTTGAACAGATTCGTCATTATATTTTAAACCAATTAATCTTTTGATATCAAAAATTGTATTATTTACATTTGATGCAGCTTGATTTTTTGCAGCATCACCAACTAATCTTTCTTCATTGTTAAATGAAACGTATGATGGAGTAATTCTATTACCTTGATCATTTGCTAAAATTTCTACTTTACCATTTTTCATGACTCCAACACATGAATAAGTAGTACCTAAATCAATACCAATGACAGTACCATAATTATCAACTTCATCAGCATGAGCAGTAGATCCAAAGAATGGTAATAAGAATACCAAAGCAACGTAAATAAACCCTAAATGTGCTAAATATTTCATTGTTGATTTGAATAAAATTGAAATTTTTCACATTTATATAAAATACTGCAAAATACACGTCAACAAAGTACTGCATATAAGTTGAAAGAAAATCTTAGAATTACGTGGCAACTAGTGAGTTGCAAAATGCAGGTGCTACCAGTTATCATAGTTGTCAAGGCAACTTTGAAATAAAGTTTTCGTTAATGCATGATTGTTTTGGATTCTAGAAACATGACAAGGATATGCGAACATTGAATAAAAGTGCGTTTAAAATAGTCGTAGTCTTCTAATAACTTGTTAGTCGAATTTTATTTGGTTATTTATATAATTACATAAAATTAATTTTGACAAATTTGAAGATTGATAATTGTCACAATTGTTCAAATCTAACAGTATAAAGTCTAAAATACATAAATTTGTCAGCTAAGTTCAAGATTGGATCTATTTTAACAACTGCACAAGTGAAACTACTGTGGTTTCTCACCTCAGTTTGTTCGATGACACATCACTTGTGTAAATACACATCTCTAGCTCAAAAACGTCTCCTGATTAAATCCTGATATATAGTCCAAGCTCAAAGATATAGAATACTAATAGCAAATACCAATGATAAGATTGGATAGCCATGAACATGGTAAACAGGAATAATTCATGATGTTCGACATTCAATTCATATGTTCCAATAGATAGTTGAATTTCAAATTCTAGTCTATTTCAGGCTTGTAAAAGACATAAATTGAAGCTGGAGTGATTAGAACAGCGTAGAATGGCTACTGTTATGGTATTTCACCTATTAGTTATTCTTCATCAAGTTCGGCTACTTCAACGTCCAGTAAATGCGAGACGAAAATTTAGTCTTGGGCAAATTCAGAGCGATTTTTTGTTCGAGCTGGCACCGTTACAAAAATTTCGAATTTGAAGAAGTCTGAAAATTATACAAATAGTTGGAGACTCTTTATTGGAAGGATTTTAATGTATCTTCGAAATATTAGACTGCCGGGTATTATGAAAAATCAAACATATAGTTATTTTGCAGCAATTTACATTTGGTAGCGCCAAGTTTTTTTGAATGATTTGCTAACTATTTTCCTACCCCTCTTGAATTACCCCTTAAAGACTTTCTGCATGTTTTAATCCTCATTTATGGAATAAATCATTAGATACGTATCAACATAAATTTTGTTGATTTTCACATTTGGACTTAAGATCAACTACTTGTTAGTTACATTTAGGCTATTTTCTTAGTCAAAACATGTATATTCTGAGGAAATTGCTTGAGTTTTCAAGTTTGGTGAGTAAATCCGTCAAATAGTTTTGAAAACACATTAAGGGCCATCTTGACGACTACTAACTGTTTGATTCTTGTAACGAGCATCCAGAACTACATAATTAATAGCTTTGCGAACTATAGATCTAGTCAAAGGCTGCAAATCTGGTGAAATCGTATCTTTAGATTTTTCAAAATAGTTTAGATATACCAAAAATTAATTTAACCAAGTACTTTTACTTTCAGTATACCTATAATGAGCAAGATATTTGTTCGAAACATCTAATAAGTCAAATGAAAGTTTTCAACTAGAGATATAAGGGTTTTGAGTTACTCGTATATTTAATATTGGCTCGCATAAATGCGGCATTAGCGAATGGCTAAAGTCAGATGAAATTTGCAATCTAATACAGATCTACCGTCATTTCATGATCCACAAGCTCATAATTTACTGCTGGTCTCAACCAAGACCCACGATAGAATGAAATTGAGTCCTACTTGATAAATATCTCAAAGTTTGGTTCTTTTTCATTCTCTATCTACAGAGCTGACTAGACAACGAGGTAAAAAAAGATTATCTATTATCGTAGTCATATCGTGTCTAATATCATGAATCACCAGTCTATCCTAATCGTATCAGTTCATATTGTATCACCATTTCTTCTGTTTCATTCTGATTATCAATTTTGAATATTTTTTTATTGCTAAAATAAAAAGTGCGAAAGAAATAAAGTTCACCCTCAACATCAACAACTTACGACCAACAACAATTATCAACATGTCACAACAATATATTGCAGAATTAGATCAATTACAGAAAGAAATTAGTAATAAACAACCATCGGATATTTTACAATTTTGTTTTGATTATTTTAATAATAAATTACAACAACGAAATACAACCAAAAATAACAATGAACCAAGTTTTAAATCTCCATTTGCTAATGATCCACATAATACAAAAGAAGTAGATCCAAAAACTAGTAAACCTATTCCTACTAGTTTTAATGCTAATAGGAGAACAAGCGTAAGTGCAGAAGCTTTAAATCCTGCTAAATTAAAACTGGAAAGTTGGAAACCACCAACTAATAATTTATCAACAACAGAAGAAGAAGAATTGGCAAATAATTTAAAAAATAATTTTTTATTTAAACAGTTAGATTCAAGTTCTAAAAAAACTGTAATTGCTGCATTACAACAAAAATCATTTAAAAGAGATTCTGTTATTATTAAACAAGGTGATGAAGGTGATTATTTTTATATAATTGAAACTGGTACTGTTGATTTTTACGTTAATGATGAGAAGGTTAGCAGTTTTTCGGAAGGTTCATCATTTGGAGAATTAGCATTAATGTATAATTCACCAAGAGCAGCCACTGCAATTGCAGCTACTGATGTTTCATGTTGGGCATTAGATAGATTAACATTTAGAAGAATTTTAGTTGAAGGTACGTTTAGTAGAAGACTAATGTATGAAAATTTTTTAAAAGATGTTACGATTTTAAAAGGTTTGAATGATCAAGAAAGAGCAAAATTAGCAGATGCATTAAATTCAGAAATTTATAAATCTGGTTCGGTAATTATAAAAGAAGGAGAAATTGGTGATAAATTCTATTTAATTGAAAAGGGAAATTGTGAAATTAGTAAGCAAGGTGAGTTCATTAAGAGTATTTCAAAAGGTGATTATTTTGGTGAATTAGCATTGTTAAACGATGTACCAAGACAAGCAACAGTTAAAGCAAATGATGGTGTCATTGTAGCTACATTGAATAAAGCAGGATTTGAAAGATTATTAGGATCAGTTGTTGAACTTTTGAGAAAGCAAGATCCGACTAAACAGTAAGGATGCAAGATCAATGCAATCAATGTAAAAGGATGATGCCCTTGTGCCTTGTAAATCAAAGTATTGTATATTCATTCGTAGTTTAAGTAGAGAAGTTTTTCTTAATAAATATTTTTTCGTCAAATCATCACCAAATTTACCAATGGCTAATAGAAAACTACAAAAGTAAGTAACCACTAAGTTATTTAGAGAGTTATTTAGAGAGTACTAACAGTGTAGGGAAATTGATATCATATTTAAACGAGTTCAAGAAGGCTTAAAAGACTTCAATTATCATTATGAACGTTATGAAAGTTTACAAAATGTTGAAGATGATTCTGATTTACAACGAGAACGGGAAAAACTTTCAAATGATTTAAAAAAAGAAATAAAGAAATTGCAGAAGTATAGAGAACAAATTAAACATTGGTTATCAAATGATGCTGTAAATACTTTGGGGCCAGTTGGTACATCTTACAGTCAGAAATTATTGGAAAATAAATCATTAGTTGAAGATGCCATGGAAACTTATAAAATTGTTGAAAAACAAACTAAATTAAAGAGTTTTTCAAATCAAAGTATAATGATGAATATGTTAGATTCAAGAAAAGAAGATTCAGAAAGTGATGATAGTGAATCTGAAGACTATCCTCCAGAAGCATTAGATGTTATATTACTTTTAAAAGATTTATTAATACAATTAGATGAATCTACAGAGAAATTTGAACATGAACATGAAAAAATAGCTTCAAAGAAAATTAGAAAGAATAATATAGCTACAATAGAAGCAAAGAAAGAGAAAATACAAAGTAATATAGTGAATAATAACTATCATAAGAAAATGATAAAGAAATTAATCAAATTATTAAAATCAAGTTTAATATCAGATTACAGTTTAATTTACGTCCTTAAAGATGAATTAGAAAAATATTTTCAAGATGAAGATTATGATGTTAAAGATTATTATGATGATATTATAAATCCAACAGAACATGTAACACCCAAAGAATCTCCAATTTCATCACCTGCAATAATTAAAACTTTAAAACCAGCTACAACTCCAGTAAAACCAGTTACTAATTGGTCAGCATCAGTTGCAATACCTCCAAAAACTAAAATAGATTCCATACATTATAAAAATATAATTAAATCATCATCATTATCAAAAACTGAAACAAATTTATTTTCAGATTTAAATTTAGTTAGAGTTCCACCAGGAATACAAGATTTAGTTATATCATTTGCATCAAAACGAAATAATGATGAATTTAAAATTTTAATAGATGATGAATCAAATAAATTTAATCAATTTTTATCACCATTACATAAACCATACTTACCTGAAATTGTGCAACCAAATTATTATTTTCAATTTACGAATTTTAATTTTAAACATCCTACACAATTAATTAAATTTCAAAATTATTGGAATGAAGTTAGATCAAATTTTCAATTTGATAAATTGGAACAAGAAATAAAAGAAACTCAAGATTTAATATTTGTATTTTTTTATGGATTTTATTATGGATTAACTCCAGCTGAGAATTTAATTGCAGAAAATTATTTATTCAGATTAGGTTGGAAACCTTATAATGTCGATAATAAAAAATTATATTATTGGTTTAAAAATATAAAACAAGATAAATCAACTACACAATTTGAAATTGGTGATTATCAAGTATTTGATTTAAATTTCTGGGAAATATTTATTAAATATAATTTTAAATTTGATTATTCGTTAGCACAATTAAAACCATCGAAAAGTTTAATTTAGAAGAAATATATAAACTGAATCTTATACGTCAAATGGTTGTTACAAATTACATCTCTAAAATCAAATTTGTTGCAACTCTACACTTTTTCATTCACTAACAAATTCGGATCTGAGAATGCCCGGGGCATAGATCTAACGAAATGGACCCTGAAAAAGCCCAGGGCATCGATCTATAATGCCTTGGGTTTACAAGGTCTATTTTTTAACTTTCATTTTAAATGATTACTTGATTCTTTTGAGTCAATATATTTATGGCTTTGCACAATAACGTCTCACGTAGATATTAGAGATTTTGCGTAGTGGCCAGATTTGAAACACTTTGAATCATATATATCACTACTCTTGACATTCTTCCGAATTCACATGTTTAATATCTACTCTATTTCTTAGAGTTTCATCTATTTTATTGCATTAAAATAACCAAAAGATAGCCTTTGAAATATTGGAACCTTGATCATTTTTCAAACTTTTCGAAACATATTATGTGGCGCTATTGTAGTCCGCATAACTTATGAACCAGGTAATAATAGGACACTAGCATGTGTAAAACAGGTACAACAGCGTTTAAAACCAAATACGCACCAACATCTGAATCAACATTCAATAAACAGCAGTATAGTTTCAATTCTGCAAAAATAGTAAAGCCAAACATTTTTTTATATCCCTGGGGCTAATTAGATGGTTGCAACGACAAACTAAGTAACTCAACCAGACAACCATAACTAACAGTAAAAATAATACCACCCTTACTATCTCTAGTATTTTCTAGTTTTACCCCAGATTTTTATATAATGCGAAATCTATTTCCTCGGGTTGATTCAATAGCTGCAAAAAATGAGCAAAACTGGGCACCATAATTCCAGAAACATAGCTAATACCATAAAAATAGCATCAATAGTATCCAAACCTTCTCTAGAATATTAACAGCATCCTTACTTAGCACCATCTTTACGTTTAATCTAAATCCAATATTGGACTTGATAAAATATCTTGACCCATTATAATCTTTGGCATACCGTTCCCTCTTCTTGGAATATCAGCAACATCAATTATATCCCCCTCATAAACCAATTCAAACTCTTTTAGTCTTGTATGCTTTATATTATTCAATTTAATAAATTGTTGTAAAGAAATCATTAATTTTTGTGCATGGAAAAAAATCATCAATCATGGAATATTATTCTTCATTAAGTGCATCACAATTAGATTCAGAAAGACCCACATTATTTGAATTAATATCATCTAATCAATTAGAAAGGTTACTTTCACCTTCATTAAGATATATCCTTGTTCTTTATGTTAATAAATATCCAAAATATTTAATTAAAATTAATAATAATTTCGATGAGTTAAATTTAGTGTTTCGTACATTTATCGAATGGTATTTTTTTAAGTATTGGCTGGGTTCATTCACTGAAAATTTCTATGGGATAAAACGAGTAAGTCAGAATAAGATAGATAAATATAATTCTGGGAAATTGACAAGTTTAGTACCTTCAATGATTGAAGAACGGAGAAAATTAAGTAAGTTGCAGATTGTAGTTTCCATTTTTGAAATCACCGGCGTGGCTTATATTAATGAGAAGTTAAATTATTGGTATGAGATATGGTATACTAAATACATCACAAATCAATTAAACAAAAATCCAAATTTCACGACTAAGCAAAATATAGAAATTGAGATAAAGAGAAAGTTTGTGGAATTATATCCGTATATTCATAGTAGTTTTAAGTTGGCAAATTTTATAGCTACAATAATGTACTTAAGTGGTACCACTAAATCACCAAGCATTTTAACTTATTTATTCAAGACTAATTATTCAAGATTAAATCAATATGATTATGATAAAAATGAACCAAAGATAACAGCCACTAGCAAAATCAACAAAACGGCACCACCAACAAACAATGAACTCCTTTTCAAATTACTCACTAAAATTACATCACCAACTTGGAAAATTATCAAATTCATACTTGGAACTTTCTTCCCCGTTGCTATATTCTCATTGAAATTCGTAGAGTGGTGGAACAGCTCAAATTTTTCATCCAAATTATCGAAAAACACTGGAAATGTGCTTGATTTCACATTACCTCCTCCATCAACATTAACTTCAGCATTAAGAAAAACTAAATCGAAAAGAAAGTCAGGTAAAGAATGTGTTTTATGTCATAAAGAAATATCTAATCCCGCTATTATTGAAACTGGTTATGTGTTTGATTATGCTTGTATTTATAACTATTTAGAAAATTCACATATTAGAGAAAATGAAAAAATTGATATTGAAAAGGGTGGTAGATGTCCAATTACTGGTAGAAAGTTATTAGGTTGTAAATGGAATGAATTGAAACAAGGATGGGAAATTGAAGGTATTAGAAGATTGATATTCTAGTAAGGATGCTAATTAATTGTAAAAATGTCAATTGTTATTGCAACGATGTTGATGAATTTTAAGCATGTGAATTGTTACTGGAAGGATGTGAATCATTACTCAGTACACAGTGAAAGTTACATATTGATCAATAAGATTATAAAGAGACATATCTAGAGAAATGAAACCAATGTTATTGAACTATAAGGATGTCAATAGTTATTCCATACAAATTTCATGTATTTCATTTTCAATACACAGTTAAATAGACAAGTTGAAGCTTATATCTCAATTTAAGCTTTATTGTGTATACTTAAGCTTCTTACGTGCTCCATTGTTCTACAGGATAAAATAAAACACCACACGTTTTCGTATTTTTTTTTCAACCATGTCTGTTGAAGCTATCAAATTCGATAGATCCAATATCGAATTACAAATCTTAGATCAATTATTATTACCATATCAAACTAAATACATAACTATAAATTCAATATCAGATGCATTTGGCGTTATTAAATTGATGCAAGTGAGAGGAGCTCCAGCAATTGCAATAGTTGGATCATTCGCCGTGGTAATCGAAGCTAAAAAATCAATAAATAAACCAGGAAAAGACCTAATTGACAAAATAGACTGGCTAATTACTTCACGTCCAACTGCAGTCAACTTATCTAATGCTTTAAATGACATTAAACAATTAATTGGAGAAGAAATAAATCAAGAAACATATGATAAAATTTATAAATATGCTGTTGAGTTATATGATGATGATTTATCCAACAATTACAAAATCGGAGACAACGGTGTTAATTATATTACTAAAACATTGAAAGAAGAAGATTTCAAGGGTGCTTTTTCAATTATAACTATTTGTAACACTGGTTCATTAGCAACTTCTGGTCATGGTACAGCATTAGGTATAATTAGATCAACCTATAAGCAGTTGAGAGAAGGAGATTTTCATCTTGATTCTGTGTATCCATGTGAGACACGTCCATATAACCAGGGAGCAAAATTAACAACTTATGAATTAAAATATGAAAAAATTCCATTCACGTTAGTTTGTGATAATATGGTATCTTCATTAATTCGAAAACAAAAAAACAAGGCTCCAGTCAAGTTTATTATAGTTGGGGCTGACAGAATTGTAAAGAATGGAGATACAGCTAATAAAATAGGTACATTTCAATTATCTACAATTGCAAATTATTTCAATTCACAAGGTCATGGAATTAAATTCATCGTTGCTGCACCTAGAACTACAATTGACTTAAATACTGAATCTGGAGAAGATATTGTGATTGAAGAAAGACCAAGTCGAGAATTGACTACTTTGACTGGTCCAGTAATACAAGGAGATGATGTTGGTGAGAAATTGACTGTTGGCATTGCGACTCCTGGGATTGAAGTTTGGAATCCTGCGTTTGATGTCACTCCGCATTCTTTAATTGATGCTATTGTGACTGAGGATGATTATATTGTGAAAGATAAAAATGGTGAATTTAATTTATTAAAGTGAATATGTACAATTTCATTTCTTATTCTTCTTTTTGTTATTCTTCTTTTTCTTCTTTTTGGAGTTGTTGTTTGTTGTGGTGTTTTCATTGTGTATTGATTGAAGTTTACCATTTTGGGATGTCGATTCACCATTTTTTGTTGATTCTGTAGAGTTTGATGCTTCAGTATTGTTTTGTTTTACTGTATTTGTAGTTGATTGATCGTTGGTTGGTTTTGAAGCTGCTTCTTCGATTGATTCTGGTTCGGTAGATGTAATTTTTGGTTCTTCTGATTTTGAATTTAATGAATTTGGTGCTTTAGCTTCTGATTCTGTGAATTCTGGTTTAACATTTATATTTTCTTGTTCTGTTGACTCGGAATTTGGTTTATCATCTTCTTGTGGTTGTGATTTAAATGATTGAACTTCATTTTCTGGTTTAGATTCAGAACTTGGTTGTTTTGTTAATTTTTCTTCACTTTTAGATTTCAACTCGTTCTCTTCTTGTTCTACGGGTTTAGATTCTTGTTTATCTTTTACTTGAGGTTGTGAGACTTCATTTTTTTGTTCTTTTTGTTCAATCTTTTGTTCAATTTTTGGTTCTCCTACAGATTCTTCTTCAGCTTTTGATTCTAATTCATTCTCTTCTTGTCCCATTGGTTCAGATTTTGGTTCTGGAGTAGTAGATTCTTCTAATCGAGATTGTGATTGATCATTTTCTGCTTCTTTTGATTTTGATACTTCTTCAACTTCTGATTTTGGCACAGTTGTATCACTAACTGGTTGTTCTGTGGAGACTCCATTATCTTCTTGTGGTTTAGAGACTAGTTCTTTATCTTTCTCTGCTGATTCAAATTGTAAATTATCTTTTTCTTCCTCTTTTGATTCTGGTTTTGCTTCTTCAATTTTGATTTCTTCAGCTGGTGGTTGTGATTCATCATCTTCTTTTACCTTAGATGTTGTATCTTCACTTTCTGGTTTATTTAACTCAGTAGTAGTCTCAACTTTAATTGACTCTTGTAAATCTTCATCATTTTCTACTTTTGATTCTACTATTGGCTTTTGAATTTCACTCTTACTTGATTGAGGAGGTGGTTTATTATTTTCTTTTAATTCTGACTGTAATACTTCACTTTCAAGTTTGTTTGATTCACTTGCTTCATTTTTATTTGCATCTTGTGATTCAATTTTATCATTTTCCACTTTTGATTCTTCATTATCAGCATCTTTATCAGTTTCTTTTGCCTTCACTCCGCTATCAACTGCTGACTTTTCTTCATTCTTACCATTTTCAGATAAACTATCACCATCTTTACTTTCCAATCTTTCAACATTACCTTTAACTTCAACATCCTTACCATCTTTTGATTCCGGAACAGGTGTTCCGTCAACAGAATCATCAGTAACCATAACAGAATCACTAATTAAAATATCACTAGCATTTTCACTATTAAAAATCTCCGTACTTTCCAATTTAGGACTCCTAGTAGATTCTCTCAGATAAACATTTCGTAACCTTTCAAAACTCAACCTTGGCTTATTATTCTCATTCTCAATTAATTTCATCTTTTCATCCATTAATTTATCCTCTTGAGTTTGTAAATCATTTATATTTTCCCATATTACTTGTCCACTATTTCCATAACCAGGCAAATCACATAACTTGACCCTAAACAAATCAATATCTTTTAATAAATTATGTTTCTCCACTACATTCTGAAATGTGGGTAATTTAGTTAAACAAGTCTCGATGAATAATTTTTTATAATTTCCAAAAATTTGTGATAATATGTATGAATAGACTATAATTGGCAAGTAACGAGTCAAGACTTTTGATACTGTTAGGGTGTCTTTTATTAAATCTTCCATGTATTTATGAGGACCTGAAATTGACCAGTCAATAGATAGGATCTTATTACATCCAATAATTGTTCGATCTCTCATGATGTTAATTATTTTACTGAATAGTTCACTTTCATGATCTTTAAAATTTTGAATTATTTTGGAAAATGATGGATCGAAATTTATGATGTTTAAGACGGAGATTATAAATTCAATGAATCTTATACATAATGCTAGGTGCTTTGTTGTTATATGTTTTAATCCTGCTGTTTTTGTTGCACCTGCCCCAAGTACAGCCTGTGATGTTTTCAAATTTAGATCTTTGAAGAAATTGAGTATATTATTTAATGACGCATGATTTGGAAATGTCTTGGATATGATCATATAATCTCTAATGATTGGAAGTATTGAAACTGCTAGATGTGGGAGTAGGAATGAATCTTCTTCTATTGATATTTGATCCACTTCGATAACTTGTTCCTCTTTCGGTTGATAAAAGTTAAAATATTCAGAAAAGGAAGATTGTTTAAGTTCGGTGATGACTAGTTGGGCTGAACCAAGCTCTTGTTTATCTTCACATATTTTCCAGGTTTCTTTCAATACCTCATTTGTCATTTCCTTAATTGAATTCAGATGAAATCGGTGTATAAAATACGTAATATGATTATTAAACCATTCACCCAATACATTACCTTGAAATGATGGATTAATCATCTCACATTCATTCAAATAACAAGATGTTATAGAATATAACCTAAGATAATAAGGAACTGATAAATCTGCAGTTTGTTCTGATCTCACTGATATTACCTTCATTAATCTAATTTGAGTCAATCCTATAACTTTATATATTGCCTTTGTGATATCTAATGACATTATATCTATCTCATCGGTCAATGCTAAATCTAACAAGATTTTTTGATGTATTGTTAATCTTCTTAGACAATTAGATAGTTCTGCGTAAGTTAACATAAATATATTTTCAAATTCTTTTGGTGTTAATATTTTAATATTGTTACTGAGATCTGTTTCCAGTTTGGGTAGGTTCCGTTTTATAATGTCTTTTATCTCTGTTATGAATTTATTTTGAAAGATTGTATATGCTTGAACTAAATTACCTGATTTAATTAAATTATTAATCAATTGTTGTAGTTTCTGTTTCATGTCATCATTTAAATACATTGTATTAGGTGATTTTCGAGTATATAGTCTCCGTAATGTTGTTTCTAAAGGCGTGTTTTGATAATAATCTCTTAAATCCAGTATTAATAGTTGGTTGAATTGTTCAGTAAATTCTCTTGCACATTCATTTTTCAAACTTGTTAAATCATTCTGTAATTGTATGAACGCAGGTAATTGAAAATCAATTATTGATTCAACTTTTAAAACTTCATCAATGCAAGAATTCAAATCTGATGAAAATAGACTTTTAGCATGTTTAAAAGTCTCCACAATATTCTGTATTTTTAAAATTGAACCCTCTAGTATTTCTACATTTTTAAATTCTTGAATTTTCTTTATTATTTTATCACCCTGCGTAGCTGAATCTTGTAGATTATTTAATTTTTCAAGTATTTTTTGATATAATTGTACTGCTTCTTTTGATTTATTTGACACATTTTCAATATCATCAATTGCATTAAAGAATGAATCACTAGACAGTTCAATTTCTTTAACTAAATTAACTTCAACAATATCTAAATAATTTGATAATTTTTCTTGTAAATTTGAATCATTCAACAGTGTAGATAAATCAACATCGTCTGTAAAACTCCTTAATACATTTTTAAATATTCTTGGATCATCTAATCCAAAATCAGAACTCAAGAACACTGCAGGAATTTCTTTAATTGATTTACTTTCATGATTTAATTGTTGTAAAACATCTGAAGTTAAAGCATTTGAAGATTCAAAAATTTTATATTCTTTAAAGATGGGATTGTAATATTTCTCTTCTAGTTCTTGTGAACTAACTTTCTGTTGTAATTTGCTTAATTGAATTTGAGGAATTTCTTTAATTGTTGGTTTATTTATATTATTTATAACTTGATCAAATAACGTAATTGAGTTTGTTGAAGTTCTATTCTTCTTTCTTTGTATATCTGATCCTATAATTAATTCATATATTGAGTTTGGACCCAATGGAGAATATATACTACTATCTTCATCTTGTTGGAAAGTAGTCGACAGTATAAATGAATCATCAATACTATTTCTTATTATGGATGCTGTCGATCCTGATCTTTTATGTAGTCTAACAGAACTTGATTCAGTTAATAAGTCATCATTCAAATTAATGCTATTACTATCAATTGATGATCTAGAGTGTATATGTGATGATTCTATACCCAATGAAGAATCATCCATAATAAATTGGTTTGTTGATTCACCCACCGAAAAAAAATATCATCACCATTGGTAGCAAGAAACTACTATAAACAGAGATTATTACTACTACTACTACTACTACTACTACTACTACTACTATTAATACCATAGTATTCCTACAATAAGCAATAAAGATCATATATATACAGCATTCTAGTATTATTATTTGGTTGTTATAAATATTTTCACATTTCCACATTTTTCAGAAAATTTAATATTACTAATTCATTATTCATTCAGCGATGAGTTCAAATCAAGACAATAAACCAAAACCATGTTGTGTTTGTATTGAAGAAAGAAAGAAAAGAGATGAATGCGCTTTATTTCATGGTATTGAATCAAAAGACTGTACCACAATAATTGATAATTATATGAAATGTATGACAAGTTATGGTTTTATACCAAATGATAAACCAAAAGATTAATCAATCCCCCTTTATATATCTTACTTGTAAATAGCTTTATACTTGATTAATTGAATGATAATTTTTTTGATTATTTTCTATTTCGTTTATTAATTCTTCATTTATAACTTGATCTATTTCTCTTTGTCGTATTGAATCAGTTTCATTTTGAAAATTAGGATATTGCATTTGTATTTTCTGATTTGTACTTTTCCAAAATTGATTCCTTATAAAATTATCAATTAGGATTAATTGTAAACAATTCATAATTATAGGAATTATAAACATTACTATAAATATTTCAAATTCATCTGAATAATCATTTAACCAGTATAATAAAATATTTTTACATATCCATAATAATTGATACTCAAATATTTCAACACCAATATATAAAATAACTTTGGTAATCATTAACGAAATAAAATATATAATTAATTGTTTAAAAAATGCCTTAAATGAGGGACTATTTAGATTATTTCCATATTTCCCACTCTCAATATTTGTAATATGGAAATAATCTTTACAAATATGATTCATAAACTTAAAAACCAAATATAGGATATAAACACCTATCGTACAATCTAATACAATGTTTAAAAAATACCAGTCGCATGCGTCATCATCAATATCTGGTTCTTCTAATATTAAATTACTTAAATCATCTGAAGTTTTTAATGTACTTAATGTAATATTGAATATATGTACTCCAAATGCTCCTATTAATTGTTTACTAACATCAAAACACCAAATTTTAAAATTACGTCGTATTGGATATTCAAAATATATTCTTTTAATAACTAATGATGATAAACAAAGCAAACCTAATAATAATTGAGTAAATAAAGAAAATGAACCTATTAATTCACATTTCCCTTCTTTAACATTTGATTTATAAATTGTTATTGGTGATAGTTGTATCATAGAATACATATATATGTTTAATATTTGATTGTAAATAATTTTTCCGTTGCTATCATCAAATTTATTTAGAATAGAAAAGTAAATGGCTGCAAAATTAATCACTAGACGTTTTATCAAATACAACAAGAAGAGTATGCTGCATTGTAGATCAAGCATGATGTGGAGCAAGTAGTTTGTGGAGTATTTGTTATGCTGCTTTGAGTCGAGTGGAAAAGGTTTATTTAAAGCCAATCAAAAAACAAGAACAACCTAGGTTTTTGTAAAGTGGTTAGTGTGTATTAGAACGATACTTAGCCAAGTTGTCCTTATATTCGTTATATATACACATGTTGGTGTAGTTTAATTTGGTAATAAATTATAATTCCAATACAATTCTAGGATTAATCATCGTGATACTGCATATAAACAAGTTGTTTCAGAATTAAATGAATTTTTTAAGCGATGCTACAACCACAAAAAATAATTCCTCGCCCTAATGTTTAGGCGACCCGTACTAAATATATTGATTTGTACACCAAGAGCAACGCATTCCTTCGAGTTAAGTATAAGTTGTACTAAATCAGTAGCCTTCAAATACCTACGCTACTACATACTTCAAATTTCTAATTTCAAAATTTTTTTTTTGAAGTTGTAATTTTGGCGATTTCTCATCATACACAAAATTTCACGAAAATGAAAATTACTGTCTCTCATTTTTTAGCACCATAACATTCCATTAAAGAACGGATTATATATATTGCACCTCGAACTGAAGTACAGACCTTATTTTTAACTGACCTGAGCTAAAATTGAGAAATTTCAAAATTTTCTCTGAAGTATGGGAAAAATCGAATAAGTTGACCTTTCGAAAAATGTAACACCACAACCAATGACCAAATCAAACTATGATAAAACTATCCAATTTTGTGGTTCTGTCATTTAAATAAAATTTTGATTTTTTTTGTGTTAAGGTGTTCTAAATTCAAAAAGTAATTTTCGAAAGTGGTTCGAAATTTTTGAGAAAATTTCAAAATGAATATAGCTTCTTGAAACCATGGTACAAAAAATAGTTGGAGTCAAATGAACCGAATCAGATATATTAGACGTTGTAAAATGAGGTCTAAGTGTTGATAGTCTTTCAATTTAACGATTTTTTCCATTTTTTTAAAGACGAGTTACGTGATCAAAATTGTGTTCTATTTAATGAAACTTGCAACAATTCGTTTTTACCCATCTGAAGATTCGGTGAAAAAGTTTGACAAGTACAGCTTCAATATCGAGGGATTATTTCGAGATTAAATTTTGAAATAAGCTATGACGAGACTGCATGTAAGTCAAATCAGATTTATTTTTTTGTGTAAATTATTCTCGCCTAAAATTATAGACATGATGATATTTTTTATCGCGCTAGATCTAGGGCGACTCGTACCAAATACATTGGTTAATATATTATGAGCAAAAGATTCTCTGGAGATAAGTGTCAATTCAATCAAACAAGAACACCCGAATTATACATCCTATATGGTTTAATTCCTCAAGCTCAAAGATTCACTAAGGAAAATAAAAAAACTTCTGGTTAATTCTATTCGTTTCTAACTTTATATATTTATATGTATATAATATATTTTTTAACCATTATTATTACCATTAAAAATTCAATCAAATAAAACAATCATTAAAACTTAACCCATATCCATAAATAAATCAACCAAAGAAATGTTTAGCTAATCCTTTAGCATGGCCAACTAAATTATTTTCATCATTATCACCTTGTTGCTCAAGACTGGGTGAATTACCACCATTGTTTTTCAATACCTCATTTAGTGTATTATAACTTTTATTTTTCAATATTAGTCCATCATCATCTGAACTTGAACTTGAGCTTATGTCATTTTGTATTGCATTTTCTGAAGTTGTTTGAGGTGGTAAAACTGATGATTTTTCATTATTACCTAAAAAAGTTTTACTCAATTCTTTATCCTTTTCTGAAAAACTTGAATTATTGAAAAATGATTGTGAAAGTGAATTTGAACTTGAAGGCTGTTTAAATATTGAATTTGATCGATGAATTGGATTTGGTTGTGGTTCTTCTTCTTTCTTTGTTATTCCATTATGAAATATTGATTCTGCCAATTGTTGTGATGATCTTCTTGTACCAATACTTAAACCTTCTTCTTCATCTGAATCAATTTCCAGATCAGAACCTGAATCAGATAATTGAAATGGTGATTTATTAACTGGAGGATTATTATGAGCTAGGAATAATGGCGATGTTTGCTGTGGTTGACTTACTTGTTGATGTGGTGATGTTGGTTGACTCAATGGTGAAGGATCTTGTTGTGGTATATCATTATAATAATTTGAACCCATTTCTAAACTCTCTGGTACATCGACAATATCAGGTTGTTGATGTTGATAATTAAAATTTGGATCACAAGTATAAATTGAATTATAATCATAATAATAATCATAACCTCTACTGATATCATTATTTACATTATGTGATAAACTTGAGGTATATGGATTTTCTTCATCACTTGATTCATCATCAGAACCATAATTTAAAGTAGTAGAAGGCATTAATTGAATAGATGTATAAGATTTTGATTTTGATAAGTGTGGATTTGAATCAATTGAAGATGTAGTACCACTTCGATGAATTAATGGTTTTTGCTTATTTGATTTAACATTTAAAATAAATCCTTCATCATCATCTTCATCATCATCATCTTCATCATCATCACCATCATCTTCAGATAAATTTTCTTTAAATTCTTCATCTGGACCAGTTTCATAATGGCTTTCATTTAAATAATTATAATCTTCATAATCTGAATCTTCATAATCATAATCATCAAATTCATCATCATATTCATCAGAAAAATTATCAACTGCAACACATTGTTGAACTTCATCATTAAAATGTATATGTCTATTTTTCTTATCTATTATTGGTTTTGGTTCTTGTTTGGGTATATTATCATTTAATAAATTTTGAAATTTTGCTATATTATCATTTGGTTGATTATCATTATTTTTATATTGATTGTTTAGTTTGTTACTCAATGCATTAACATCTAAATATTCTTCATCTTCGCCAATCTTTGGATGTTGAGTTTCTTTCTTTTTATTATACAATTGTGTTGCCAATTGTAATTTCAATAAATTTGAATGTGATATAATCAGTTCTTCAATTGTTCTCTTTTTCAATATTGGTTTTGGGTTTAAATGATTATAACTTGTTTTCTTTTTTGGTATTGAAATATCACCAGCAACAGCACTAGTAGCAGTTGAATAATCATCATCATGATGATTTTCATCATGATTTGAAGAATATTTTGAATCATCATTCATTATTGGACCATATAACCACGTAACATCACAATCTTTTGACCAATTTACAATTTCAGGACTAACAGTTTTTAAATTTGATCTTCTTTGAGCCCAAGTTCTCCAACTAGCATTTTCTAATCTTGCTGCATTTGTTACGTTCTTCTTTTTACTTATAACATATCTCCAAGATTTCCAAATATCTGAGACATCCCATTGATGAGATAAATAATCAACATGCCTTGATGGTTCAACAGTTAAATCTGTATCATCATGAGGTATTAATTCTGGACTTTGTAAATTATATATTGGTGACGATATAGATATAGAATCTTGATCAGACGATTCATCTTCTGTTGTCGTATTTGTAGTATCTGTTTCAATAGGAGGTGGTAAATCATGACTAACTTCTTCTTGTTGTTTATCTGGTATAAACTCATCTAATAAACCTAGAGATCTAGTTCTTTTTAATTTAAAAGTAGTATTTTCAAAATGTTGATCAGATTCAGCATCTACATGTTGACTTTTTGTGACATCACTATGAAATACTGACATAATAAGTTTTGGGGACCGGTGAATAATATCAACTAATGAATGAATAAGATTAAATTAAACTTGGAAAACTTCTAATTAACAAACAGTGGCTGATCCTATTTTGTTGATTTCTCTGAATATAAATGGTTATTGTGTTCTGTTTAACTAAGTTTTACTCGATAAATGATATATTGTTGAATTTTTTTTGGTTGTAATAAGAAAGTTTTGAATGAAAGTTTTTTTTTTTTCTTTCTTCCTTTTTTAATTAAAATCAATGATTTTTTTTTTGTTGAAAATGTCAAGATTAACCAGTGATTATTGACTATACTATGGTAATAAATAGTTAGTCAGTTAGTTGTTTGTATGTATAATGATTGATAATCTCTTAGTTGATCTTAATTGTATAGAAAATTGAGCTTATAACTAATTGAAAATGATTTAGTAATAGCAATGGAGAATTTTAAAGCCTAAAAAATAAATTATTGTGTTACAATAGTTATTTGTTCATAATCCTTTAACTAAGGATGTTTGTATCAAATGAGAATGAATGTATAAGTCTGTATAAGTCTTACTATTGAATAATTTGAACTGGAATGAACTGGAATGAAAAGAAAGAGATGGCAAAGAGTAGCAAAACGCTCATTTTAATTTTGTTGCAAAATTCGAGACATAAAGTATATTTATATTCCTACTACTATATATCCCCTTTTTACTAAAATCCGAGTATTATATATTAGTAAAACTAGAATTGGTTATAATAACAATTCTTTGTAGATCCAAGTTTTTAATAGAAAACGTTTTTCTAAGCTTTAGAACTCAAAAAAAAGAATCAATCAATTTTGACTTTTATTGTTTAGATTGGCATGTTTCTAATTTGTGTGAGAATCAATTTCGGATAAATTAGGGTTGATTAATTATAATTTACCTTCAAATGCCATGACTCAATTAATATAATCATGCACAAAATAGCTAATCAAAAGTACTCTACAACGAACTAAAGTGATCAACTTAATCTTAAGTGATACAACCTTACAATTCATCACTTTTTAAGCGGTAGTTTTTCATTCAATGTGTGTTTTGTGGGGGTGTTTTATCAAAAGAAACGTTGTGGACGTGTAATTCGTTTCAAATTTACATCAAAATATAATAATCATAATTTTTTCTGGTACCCAGTAACAATTCAACAAATTATTATTTAAAATGCAACGTTACAAGGATTACAGATTGATCTATAATAGAACGGATCGATATTGGTTCATTTATGGCCCCAGTTTATTTGTAAATGTGGGGTTATTCAAATAAAGCAAGCGTAACGATCACACCATAAATCAAACAATAAAATAAAAAAGAAATTCATAAAAAAGATGAATTTATCCGATTTGTGGAGCATGAGCGCAAAAATGGCGTTAGCCAATCAATTTACTACAATAAACAATTTGAAAATATAGCGTGTAAATCAATTATTAGATGAGACACAAATCAATTTAATTACCAGAGATGAACAATTAAAAAAAGTTTTATTATCTCTACCATTCTGTTGAACAATTAAAAAAAGTTTTATTATCTCTACCATTCTGTCTTACAAACGTTTGGAAATTCTATTTCTTCACCTTTAATATTACCACCTCTAAAATTATATTTACATGCATATTTCTTTATTGGGAACCACCAATAAACCAACATACAAATAACATAAACCACCAAAACAGCAACAAAATAATTCATGTTTTCAGCACTAACTGGAGACATTGCAGGAAAACTGAAAAATACCAATGCAAATATACACCAACTTAATAACATGAAATTACAAAATACACCAAATTTACCTAACCAAAATGGTCCATGATTTATATTTCTCTTTCTAACCAATAAGAAAATTGTCGGTATTGAATACGCTATTAATAAAAATGAAACACAAGCTAATGCAGTTGCTTGTAATGCAGCATCTGAAAAAACCAATACTGAAACAATTGTAACTACAATAGTTGAAAATAAATGTGCATATAATGGACCACCAGTTTTTGGATCAATAATTGATAAATACTTACTAAATGGTAAACCTTGATCTCTTGCAAATGACCAACATAATCTAGCTTGCCATGTTTGGCAAGCAATTGTACAACCAGAAGCAGTAAGGAAAACTAATGCACCAAGACAAGTTGCACCAGCTTTATTATTTAAAGCTTGATAATAAATATCTAAAATTGGTAAACCGGTATTTGATTGAATAATTTCATCTAAATTACGAACACAGAAAAACATGGCAATTGAATAAGTGAAACTTGTAAGAAAACCAATGGCAACTGTTGATAAAACTGCTTTTGGTATATCTCTTTCTGGTTCTGACGTTTCTTCTGATAAATGACAAACTGAATCTAAGCAACTAAAACTCCAAGATGGATTAATCAAACCAACTATAAATGCAATACCTTTTGATGACCAACCTGTATTATTAGCAAAATCAACAAATACAAACTCAACTGAATTAAAATTGTTTCTACTACAGACCAACACAGTTATAGTAATTATACAATATGAAGTTAATGAAATTCCAAAAATTGAATTACCAATAAATGGTAAATATCTATGCCAAATATTGAAAAAGAATAAAAACCAATTAACAATATTATAAATAATGAAAACTTGCCATTTTTGGGTTACATGTTCTGGATGATTTAAATTCCAAAACCCTAATAATTCATAAGCTAAAGCTAAATTCATTGATGCTGTAGTGAAAATTGAACCACCCCATGAAATAGAACCTGTAATATATGCCCAAAATGATGAATATCTTTTTGGAGCTAAAACTCTGGCCCATACATATTGACCACCAGCCGATGGCATGGCACTAGCTAATTCTCCTAAGGTACAGGCAATACAAACAGATACAAAAGCAACAATCAAAATACCATATACAATTAATAATGGACCACCACTTTGAATACCAGTAACTAATGAAGAACTAATACCTAACCAAGAATTAGTTAATGAAAATCCAATCATTGCCAATGATAAATTTGAAAAATTACGTTTCATACCACCGTCAAAAACATTTGAATCATTTTGACTATTGGATATAGTAGATTCAATATCACTTAATTTTTTCTCACTGGGGAAATGTTCAACACCATTAGATATTATTTGTTTTTCATCTTTTAAATCACTCATGGTAAAGAATTAAATAACGAACTGAATATAAATAAATAAAGAAATATTATGACAAATAAATAAATTAATGAATGAATAGGATATTAAAGAATAGATTTAATGAAATGAATGAAACAGTGATATCAAGAAATAAGGAAAATTATGAAAAAGAATCTAAAAAATTAATGAAGGTTGCAGGTTTTATATCAATTTTTTTTTTTTTTTTTCTTCTCTATTTTTTTGTTCCATTGAAAAAGAAAGGTTTTTTAGTCGATCGATCTTCATGCGATGTTCCGGAATGAAAATTTTCAGTATAGGGCGATGTTTCAGAATTAGTACGGAATTCTTCGCCCTAAAATAAAAACTCATTGTCGTGTGACAGCAAACTTATTTCCTTTTTATCATTCACCAATAAAATACCTTACATAAATCTAGCCTAGATTTCGCCTTATCAAATTTGACCCCGTTCAATTAAACGGATATATAAGGTTTTTTTAACTGCTTACATCTTGTTTTTATAATTTTTTGTTGAATTTATGTTCCTTAGATCTCGTACTTGAGTTTAGTTGAAATATTATCTCTAGCATGTGATTATTGTTCAAAATCTTTATTACCTTTAGTTTTAATTATGGTCGTTCGCTCTGTACCTGACTCTTTATTTTTCAGATCTCATCTCAAAATTAGACGAACAAATTTCTTTTTCAATTTACGAGATGCGATCTTGCATGTATTGTTTATTTACTGATAAATTGCAACTGCCTACGATGCTGTCTCAAAGTACAGCTGATAGTAAATAACGAAGTTGATATCGTTAAGGTGCTTTTGTGTAAAAATTTGTGTAACTTGGTGATTGGCCTACATCCTTCGTTTTGTAACTTTTACATTTGATACGTTTACGTACATTGATGTTGTACAATTGACTCCTAAACTTCCACCTTATATGACTGACAGCAGATCACACTCTTTCTTGTGAATATCGACTTTGTTCTGTCATTGAGCTGCTTCTTTAAATCCACTCTACTTTGCTTCTCAAGTAATGCTCAATTTTTGTGTCAATTCTGAAAAAAAAAATTATTCAACAATGCTACAAGTGAAGGATAGGTTGAATCAATTCATGTAAATACCGCTCGATCAAATTAGTTTCGAACCCAGTAGATCTTCGCTCTAATGAAGTTTAATAGATTTAGAATTAGCACGAGTATTTGCGCCAGCTATCGTATTACCGAAGAAATTTTTCGGCCACATTTGTATGCCATCCCGGCTGGTATCTACGCCCAGCCTAAAAATAAATTCTGAAGCAAATTTGACTTATATACGGTCTCATACTGGTTAATAATAAAATTTAAATTGTGAATAACTTCTTCAATACTCGGATTTCATTCTCAAACTAACTTTATTATAGCCGCAGGCAAATTTAGTATAAGCTGGTGATAATATAGCTGGTTAAAGGTAATTTTGATGACTTTATTCATTTTTTAAAAAATGGAGAAAATTGATGCGAGGTTGCCCTATTTGAGATGCGAGAGATTATTATTTTGTCGCGCCAAATTATGGCATTGAAAGAATAGTTTTTCAGAAAACAAATTTGATTATATGCAGTATCAGAGTTGTTAAACTTTCTGTAATTAAATCCCTACATAATCAAGCTCTTGTTCTCAAACTCATTTCATTGAAAACTTCAGCTAGTTTAATTTAATTTGATAGCAAATTATTGCAAATATACTTAAACCTAATCAGTCAATTTTTCTAATGAAAATTTTTTTTTTTGAAGCAAACCGTGTCATAGCTTGAATTTAAAGAATCAATGATCCCCGATCAGTAATTAAAATATAAAAAAACATTTTTGTTTAGAAGCCCACAAGAAATTCAAGCTCTTTTAACAGTGTAATTTGTACATTAAATTAATTAAATCCTTGAAATACCTACATAAGCCATCTAATATACAGTGTTCCTTATATTGTTTCTTATTGCATCATTAAACAAACGAAGTTAAGGGTTTTCAGTTATTTAACGCGGCCCAATCCGTTCAAAGCTCTATTTTAATTATTTAGATTTTTATGGCTATTTAAAACTTGATCAACATGTGAATCACTTACCATACAACCATATTCAAGTGCACTAAATAAATTATGTTTTGTTTACAATAGAAATGTTTAGACTTCTTCGAAAGGTCTCTCGAGTCATTATTTTGATGATTTTAAGCTAGCACACATGGTAGCGATAGTTTTTATATCGTGAATACCTTTAGTGGAGTTGATTTTAAGATACAATAATCAAAGTAAAAATTCATCACACGATTATTATCAACCTAATGAATCTAGTCACAAGTTTCTATGCAATCGAAATTTTTTTTTTCGACAGATCGCCAACGGGCTTAAACCACAAAATTAAAAAATTATTAGAGATGCCTCGCGCTTTTCAATTGCAAAAATTCAAAAAAACATTGATTCAAGGTCAAATATATAAATGTATGTACCGTCTGACACCTCTCTTTCACTGTAAAACTCCAGACAAGTTCTTAACAATACATGAAACTTACTCTATCCATAACAATATCGCATTAATAAAGATTGAAAGGTTTAAAAATTGTCTAGTATATCAATCGAATCTCTTCCAAATAAATTTGAAAGAACGAATACATTAACAATTATCAAAAACTGATAAATTAATAAATTCTAATTCAATTGATTATAAAGTATATCTTTAATCATTATAATGCACTGTCTGAAGTATGGAATGACTTTTGGACAAAGTTAATAAAGAGAAAAAGAAAAAGAAAAATTTGAAAATTCATCTGATGGATTTTTATAAATAGATTTGTCAACAAAGTACACGACCATACTTTATTTTTATATTTATAAACAAAAAGAATTAACATTGATCAAATCATCAAATGTTTGGTAATAAACCAAGTGGAGGAGGTTTCAATTTTGGTCAAACTCAAGCTCAACAACAACCACAGCAACAGCAACAGCAACAGCAACAACAACAACAACCACAACCACAACAACCATCACAACAACCTGCGACGGTACAATCAATTAATCCGCCAACTTCAGCTACTAATCAAACATCTTTTCAATTACCGACTCCTATTAATAATACTTCAAATAGTAATAAATTATTACATGAATTAATTGAATCTGCAAATAATTTACCAAAAAAAAATGATAATATTCAATTAGGTTCAATTCATTTAACTTTGTATGAATTACAAAGAAAATCCGAACAATTGAAAAATCAATATGAAAAATCAAATTATACAAAAGCTCATTATTTATTAGCTGGTTCAGGTATTAATGGCGAAGATATTTTAGAAGATTTAAACTCAATACAATTACCACCCACGGTCGAAAGTGAACAAAAGCAACATCATCCACAAATTTCACATAAGAATGAAATTGAAAATTATTTAAATAATAAAAAAGATGAGAATATTTTAAATACTATTGAACAAAGTTTATCATTAGCATCTTTGGATTTCGATAAATATATAAATTCAAATATTTCAATTGATTGGAAATTACAAAGAGAAGAATTGAAAAAAAGTGTTAGTTTGAAAAATGGTTCAGGTAAAGTTAAAAACTCGATAGTTTGGAAATCTCAAAATAATTCAAATGTTTTGGTTCCAATTGTTACAAATTCAAACTCAAAACAAATGCTGAGGGAAAAATTTGAAAATCATGCAAAGATTATATATTCGTTGAATGAAGCAAGATTGGAGAATAAAAACTTTCCATTATGTTTGAACTTTAATGAAGTTAATAAATTGAGTAGTGATTTGAAATCTAAACAAATTAGTGAAATTTGGAGAATTTTGATAAATTTAACTGATGAAAAATACTCAAGAATAAATCAAGAAGGTAAATTTAAGAACTATACTAAGGAAAAACTTGATTCTTTGATTATAAACAACTCCAGAAAGTATTTACAAAATGAGTTTTACAATTATGTTGAAGAAATTTACCTTAGGGAAAATAAATTATCTAACAATTTAAATAAAATACTTTATTTTACAAATCAAGTAGTCAAAGATGATTTAAGAAAGAGGACTTTATTGGTCAATGATATACCTACATGGGCAGTTATATTTTATTTCCTTAGATCAGGTTTATATCAAGATGCATTAGAATTTATTAATAACAATCAGCAACAATTTAATAAATTTGATAAAAATTTCCCCGTATATTTTAAGAAATTTGTTTCAAATGAATTAACCGATGATTTAATGGAAAGATTACATTCTGAATTTAATCAACAATTTCAATTTATAATGTCTGATTTTACAAATACTAATTTTGATCCTTTCAAATATTCAGTTTATAAAATTATTGGTAAATGCGAGTTAAGTCAAAAGTCATTACCACCAGCATTGAATTTGAGTATTGAAGATTGGTTATGGTTCCATTTATCATTGATACAAGAAACAGCTACTAATTTAATTTTTGAAAACTATTCATTACAAAATTTACAACAAAAGATTTTATCATTAGGAGTTAAGAAATTTCAAACAACATCTAATAATTCATTATATTTGAAAGTGTTGGTACTTACTGGGTTATTTGAAGTTGCTGTCAATCATTTATTTGAAATTAATGAATGTGATTCAATTCATTTATCTATTGGTTTAGTTTATTATGGATTATTGAATAATTTTAAAAACTTTCCAAAACTTATAGGTAATTATGTTACCTCATTCAAATTAAGTGATCCAAAAGTAGCAAGTCAATATTTAATTTTAATAGCTTTGAACGCATCAGATTTACAAATTTGTTATCAATCAATAAGAGAATTAATTTTGATTTCTAGAGAGTTCAACATTTTACTCGGTGAGTTAAATAACATTAATGGTACAAAGAAACCAGGTATTTTAGAAACACAAAGATCATTAATCAATTTAGACAATTTTCAAGATTTCAATTACACAATTATCGAAATTAGTGCTAAGAAATGTGAAGAAGAAGGTAGAATTTTTGATTCATTATTATTATATCAATTAAGTGGAGATTATAATACTACAATTACATTAATTAATAAATTATTATCAGAATTAATTACAACTACAGATTTAAATTCTTTGATAAATTCAGAAATTATTGAGATTTCAAAAAATATAATTCAAGTGGTAAATTCAAACAGTCATATTTTAAAAAGTATCTCAATTGATAATAAACAAACCTGTGATTTATTAATTCAAATTATAGATATTAGAAATTTGTTCCACAAAAAAGAATATAGAGAAGTTTTGACTGAAATTGAAAAATTAAAATTAATTCCTATTTCATCTAATGATGACGATTTAATCAAGATTAGAAATTCATCTGAAATGATTGAGAAATTAAACATCAACCTTGTCAAAAGTATTCCATCATTGTTGATTTTGATAATGACTTGTTTATCAAATTTAAATTATAATATCTTGACTAGAAAATATAAATCTGATCAAATTGAATTAAAGAATTTGAAAAAGATTGGTAAGAATGTTATGATTTATGCTGGTATGGTACAATACAAAATGCCAAGAGAGACATATAGTTTATTAATTAATTTAGAATCTTCATTGTAAAATATATAGATCTGAAATCTGAAAATCTGAAAACTGAAAAATTGCGCTTTTGATTTCATTTATAAATTGCGCTTTTTATTTTTGTTTTCGACCTCGATCTCATGTCATCAAACTCAATATCACTCCCATTTCATGGTTTAGTAGAAAACTATATGTCAGCATGGTATTGGAACACTTTGTGTTAGATCTCTTTGGTAATCCAATCGGCTATCAAGGCTCGACGTTTTGGATATTTGTAAAAGATAACGAGCACAATTAGACAGGCGATTTTAAAGAAACCATTCCATTTGTTTACCTGTTAACAGAGAGATCAAATACAGTAAATTGATGAGATTAAGATTTAATTGATAAAATTTTCATCGGTATAGAATTTAAACGAAGTGCATCAATAATCAAGACGTGTTTCCACTTTAATAAATTTCATAAATAAAAAGTTATTAATTATACAAATCAAGTTAAATTTTAAACAGTATCATATGCAACTAATAACTAAAGTACGCTAAGATTAAACTAATTAACACGTTGACAGTCAATCAAACAATTCTCATAACTCGTTAAATTTTCACATCTATCGGGCGATAGAATAAAATCTCGGCTTTAAAAAATTGAAAATTACGCATAGAAAAAAATTTGATTTGCGTTTCTAGATCCGATGAAAAGGTTTTAGCTGCAAAATTTTCTTAGAGTGTTCCATTTGCATTTGACAGCAATTAACAACATATAAATAAACACGCACGACAATAAAAACATATACCGAAGGGTTATTTACGATTTCAAGGAGTAAGAAATTAAAAATCTATGGAAGACAATATTATTTAACAACTTTGATATTTTCAAGGATATAAGTACATTCCAGAGCAATTATATCAAGTAGATGATGTTTGAGTGGTTTGTAGTTTGTTAATCTCTACTTGCGTATTGTTATATTTGGTATTTGAATTGTTTCGGTTTCTCTGGAAATGAATCTTCAAAATGAAATGATTATTTTTTTTATTATTAAATTTTTTAGTCGTCTCTACCTCGACTACTTAATAAAATATTAAAACGGCTTTTAATGATAATAGAGGTATTTTATATGTCATCTCAAAACTAAATACCTATTATTACTATATTCGTTTTAATTGAAATATATTTAATTTAGTCTATACTTTTTAGGTGCATAAAATATGTTAGCAAAATTAAAGTTTTATTAAAAATTTAATAATATTCGAATCATATAAAACTATTCTTGATTCCACAATTACCTTACTTCTTCTATAATCATAATCATCTCATCATTAATCTTCATTAACCATCCTAATTCAAAAACCGTCTTTTATACCATTAATTTATACCTGTGATGCTTGAAGTAACCAAATACATCTATTTTTACATAAACTTAACAATTACTTTATTATCAATTTCGAATTATAGAATATCCAAAAAATTGACATGTTTAAGTTTATATAACTTGATCTTATGTTTGTCAACCGCATTTATAAAATATAATCCAAATTCACAAATTAATGATTTTATAAATCTTTCCAATTTTATTATATCCATAGGCTTATCATACTTGATAATACCCGAAATCAAGATCACTAATGATTTAATTACCCAATCGTCATTCTCGCTTAATTATACCACATATGCTTTAATTTTCATAATTTTTACAATTTCAAGTTTATTTATAATACCTAATACATTTTTATTAACTTCAACTACAACATTATATGAAGGTTTAAAGATTGATCATTTATATTTCAGTTTAACTGCAATTTTCTTATTTGATATACTTTTAAAATTTTCAAATTTGATTTCACAATCATTTTCTGTTATAATAATACAACTTTTATGGAGTTACAATTCAATTTTAATAATTTTGAACAATTGGATATTGATCATTGGCAAGGACTTGTTAAATAATTTGAGATATCTCAGTCATAATGAAAACAGTGATTCATTAATTTCTTTCATAAGTTTCAAAATTATAAATTTGAATGAGATAGATTATAATTCATGCTTGCAATCCAATTTAGTTAAGACATGTTTATCACAAAGAAAACTTGAAAATATAAATGAGATCTATCTATTAATTTTAAATTTGTTGATCAATTGTTGGAATATTTTAAATTTATTTGTATTTATTTTAATACCATTTGGAATTTACTGCTTGTGTAAAAGACAACAAAGATTACAAATGGAAAAGGACAATGATGAAGATGAAAAACGAGTTACTTTTAATGATGAATGTTGAGTACATAGACTATTCAATGAATAATGATTTATAATATACATTTTCTAATAAGCGGCTTTTTTATTTAAGGGGGGGGGGGGAGGTGCGCAAAAAATTTCGCGTTGCTAATTTTGCAGCCATTTTCAATCAGAGAGCTACCAGCAATTTCAATTTCTATATCCCAACTTATATTACGATCTACATAATCTTACAATTTAATCTCTGATCTAGTAACTAATCTCTCAAACTCTTTTAAATCATCTTTTGTTGTACAGGAACCACCACAAACAACAATTACAACAATATCATCTTTCTTTAAATGTTTAAAGTTCTTGTATAATAAATCAATTTTATTGAAACAAACACTTAAAGCAGCACCACAAGCTGGTTCAACGATTTCATTAAATATATTGTTAAATTCAACACAACTTTTTAGACAATCTAAATCATCAATCAATTCTAAGTTTGTTCTGATTTTAGATTGGTTATGGTAGTACTCTAAGGATGACTGTGTTGTGTATGAGCAAGCTAATGAAGTAGCTAATGAATTGACAGAATCTAAAGTTATTAAATCATTCGCTTCTAATGATTTCGTCAATGTTGGAGCTTGTTTAGTTTCAAGTAATAATACATCTGAATTTAAGTCATTTTTTAAAATACCTTCATAGATACCATTGTATAAACCACCCCCACCGAATGAAGCTACAATTGATTTAATTTTATCTCTTGGTAAACTTTCAGCTAATTCATCAACTAAACTTGAATGACCTTTCCAAATTAATGGATTATTGAAAGGATGACAGTAGATTGGATAAATATCATCGCCAATTGAATTTAAAATACCTTTTAAATATTGATCAGCTTCATTTATAGATTTACCGTATAAAATAATTTTTGCACCCAAATCTTTCAACTTTTCTTGAATTACCAATTTTGAATGTTTTGGAAGTACAACTGTGCATTTAACATTATAATAGAATCCACAATAAGCAGCAGCTAAACCAGCATTACCACCACTTGAAGCAAATATTTCAATCTTCTTTTTCAGTTTAGTTAATTGAATTTGTTTGATAGATTCATACACTAAATTACCAATTCCTCTTAATTTAAAACTACCCGATGGTTGTTCATATTCATTTTTGAAAAAAATTCTACATGGTGGTTTTAATGGTAATTTATTAGTTACTTCAATTAAACTTGTTTCAATATGTGGTTTATTAATTGATTTTGTATGTAATTTTGATTGTAATGATAATGACATGTTGAAGTCAATGAATTATAATTACAAATTACATTGCCAGGGTATATATATAATCAATAATCAATGCCACATACACTAGGGATGCATATGGCGTTTAGCTATGGGAAACTAGAAGTCACAGATAAAAGTTGACTCTACAACTGACTCTGTGTAGGATGTTAAAGTCCGATACCGTGAAATACCGCAAAAATAGATAGGCAATTGAATGCAAAATTTGACAGTGTCGCGGAATCCAGTGACGTGCTTCATCTAACACGTGATAGCAAAATTAATAGACCAAATTTAGGTTTCATCTGATACCAAATTATGGACCAAATCAATGGCATCACCAATATTCATTTCAAATCCATCAAATCCTTTTTCAATCCAAATATTCCTTCGAAGTTTACAAATAACATTACTTTCATTTTATAAATCTTCATTAAGTTCTAATTTATATTCATATCAAAATGTACAAATCTTTATAAAATCATTACAATTATCAATATTGTTTTATATATTATTAAATGGTCCAGTATATTTAACCAAACTTGTAATATTTTTATTAGATTATTTTAAATTGATACATGTAAATGGAAAGTATTTAATAGAGTCATTACAATATTTCCTTAAAAATTGCTTAAATTTAAATGTATTCATAATTAGCTTATATTCATTCATTGATTCAGATTTTGAACTATTATTCAAGAATAATCTTCGATTAAATAATGCAGAGTTTTATCAAAATTATGAAAAACTATCATCAAATGAAGAACTAAACCTTGATCTCAAAAATTTCAACGTGTTTCAATTATTTATTAAAAATTTCAAATATCATAGACAATTTAGATTATTTATAAAGAGATATATAAATTATTATCTTGTTAATATTTTGATTTATACATTGATCAAGTTTCCAAACAAGTTTTCATCATTATTGACAAGTTTCATCTTGTTTCAAACATTTGTGAATAAATTGGGGTGTATATCCACTTTGCTATTAATTTTATTTCTCCATTATAATAATAATTACACATTACTAGTTATAAACTACTTCAATGGGCCCCAGAATCTAGTACAAGACTTCTTAATCAACTTTTTCCGTAAAATCAATTTTAATCCATTAGAACAACAACAGTGGCTAATTACAAGAAATGGTGTTTTATTCGGTATTGGATTCTTTTATTTCACATTAATTAATCAATTAAGTATATTTTCATTCATTATCTACACAAATGGTGTATTAAACATGGGCTATCTAATTACAAAATTATCAAATCCATTACCTGATCAAAATTTAGCCACTTGGTGTATTAACGAAAGTGTTTGGGATGATCAATTCAAAATTTTAAAAGGTGATTTTTTAATAGATTTTACATAGATTTATTTAATTTCAAAAGTTTTATTCCCAGTGATATAACAAAAGTTTATTATCTTTAAAATTTGTGATAATTCAGTATTTGAATTTAGTTTCGAAATATATCTAAATTTTTGTAATTCATCCATTTTATTAACCATACGTAATAATGGTAAATTTGTTAATTTACATTTTGCAAAACCATGACCCGCAATAGATTCTGCAAGTTCAGTTTCTTCCATATCTGAAGTTGATACTTGAAATGTTTCTGAGAAATATTTAGTTTTGATTGTAATTTCAGTTGAATCTGAATATGGGAATTCAATTGCATATTTACTTAATTTATTTTTCATCGTGATTAAAATATATTTGTCTATTGGATCTGAAACTTCTTTAAAATATGAAAGGGTTAAGTTCTGTAGGTGTGATGAAATTGTAGTTTCAATTTTAGCTTGTACCTCATTTAATCGATCTCTTAGTTCTGGTACCTGATCATAATTTTCGACTTTATCCAAGGCATCATTAAAAAAACTTAGTAAAACATGTTGAAATTGTATTTTAGTGATATTTTGATTATGCAAAAAATTATCAACAATTGTTTCATAAAATGTATCCTTTATTTCAAACGATTTAATATCATCAACTTCAAATGATTGAGCATCAATAAATTGCACAAAATTATCCACAAAAGTTGCATTACTTTCAGTTTCCTTCTTTGTTAAATCATTTGGAATAGTTGGTAAATTATTAAACTCGTTAAATAAATAATTTGTTAATCTTGCATTTGAAGTTGAGAAATTGTCATCATCTTTACTGATTGGTTTTGATAATTGAATAAATTGTAAGGTACTGTCTAAATATGCTGGTGATCTATAATATATCTCGTCTTTTGGTGTAACTTTATAAATAACTGCAATTAAGTCATTTGATAATTTCTTCATACTTTGAAATACAATTTTGGCTTCTTTTTTACCTGTTATATCTTCATTTGAATGTTCCAATTGAAATGTGACATTAATTTTAGTTATAAATTTAGTAATTTTTTCATCATTATCTAATGATTTGAACTCTTTTGTGGTTAAATCAAATTGAATAGTTTTTATTCTCCCATTTTCATAAGATAAAAGTATAGTTAAAATATTGTCAATCTTTCCTGTAACTATTGATGAACATTGTATATAACTACCAGTTGTAAACTCATATTTCTCATTTTCATTAAAAACTATCACTTTATTTGAGCATGTTGTTAGATAATAATTACCATCTTTTACTAATTGACTCTGCGTAAACCTTGACGCTGGTAAAACTTGTTTCTCTTTTAAATATATTGAATTATCCAACATTTGTATCAATAATTTATCATCAAACCATTTAATTCGAAGAACTTTAGACTCCATAGAAATCTCATTTAAAAACTCCAATTGATAAGTTTTTCTATTCAACTCAAATGATAAAATTTTATTATTATGATTAACCACGGTCAAAATTAATCTATCACTATGGCCAAATGTAAAATAATTAATCTTTAAATTTTTAAACTCTTCTTTAGTTACAACAAAGTCATTATTAGCAGGATTAACTTGATAATCATAATGAATCATCAATTGTTCGTAAATATTAACTTTTAAATAATATTTATCCTTTGAAAAGTTTTCTCTTTGAAATATCAACAATTCACCAGTATTATATAAAACACCTAGCATATTACTCTTTGTATCTTCAAAGATAGGACTTACATCATGATGAATTATAACAGGTTCATTAATATTAAAATGTGTAGTAACATCTTCATCGCCATCTTTAAATACAGCTTTATTTAATCTACCCAATGGTAATTTATCGACATCACCACGATGTAATAACAGTACAACTGAAAATAATTCTTTAGTATTTAAAATTTTATTTTGATTTGAATTTGTTTTTAATAATTTATGATATAATGGAAATTTTGACTCAATTATAAATAATTCAGTATAAGAACTTATAAAGAATTGACAGTCATTTGTTACTATGATTGGTTCACAAATTGTCAATGCAATATCAATTCTAGGTATTTTCAATGGTTCAATTCGTGAACTCATATTTGTTTACCTTTCGCTTAATTTTTTTTTCTGTCGTATATTTTTATATGTCAAGATGGTTTAATCATCCTTATAAACCATATGATATTCAGTTACAATTGATGGAACAGATTTATGATTGTATTGACAATGATTATAAAATAGGTATATTTGAAAGTCCTACTGGTACTGGTAAAACTTTAAGTTTAATATGTTCAACAATGACTTGGTTAAGAAAACGCAAGATTGAAGATGAAGATGATTCAGATGATGAACCAGATTGGGTCAAAAATGAATATAAGAAATTGATTACAAATAAACTGAAAAATTCATTAAAGGAATATGAAGAATATTTAAGTAAAATTGAAAAAGATCATGTTAGAAAAGAACAGAAACTAGAAACAAAAAAAGTGAAAAAGCAAGTAGATGAAGATGACTTTTTACCTGAAGACTATGATGAGAATTCAAAGATAACAAAAGAAATTGAGCAACTACTCAAAAAGAATGAGGAAGAGGTCTCATTTGAAGCAAAACCTGTTAAAATTTTTTATTCCTCAAGAACTCATTCACAATTGAACCAATTTAGTTCACAGTTAAAACTAACCAAGTTTGACTCCTCATTTGATGATGTGTCTGAGAGAATAAAGTATATCTCACTAGGTTCAAGAAAACAATTATGTGTAAATGATAAAATACGACATAAAAATGATTTAGTTTTAAATGATTCATGTATTGATTTACAAAAAAACCAAGGTTGTGAATATCATCAAAAATCAACACCTATTAAAGATTTTACAGATTTCAGTATTGCTAAAATTAGAGATATTGAAGAATTGAATGAATTAGGTCAAGAGTTGAAAATCTGTCCATATTATTCAAATAGGAAAACTGTTGAATTGGTTGAAATTGTTTCATTACCTTATCAAATGTTGGTACAAGATTCCACAAGGAAAATAATGAATTTAGACTTGAAAAACTCAATAATTATAATAGACGAAGCACATAATATAATAGACACCATAAACTCAATATATTCAGTTGGTATAACTACAGAATCATTAAATAACATCATAAAATCATTGAAGATCTATTTTGGTAAGTTTTCAAAAAGATTAAACCTGGGTAATAGAATTAATTTACAGAAATTGATTAAATTATGTACCATCTTAATAAACTTTATAAACAACAGTAAAGTTGTTTCCGGTGAAGAATTTAATCCAAATGAGATTTTCAAAAGTTCAACTGGTGATCTAATCAATATTCATAAATTAGATACCTTTTTAACCACCACCAAAATTGCATATAAAATTGAATCATATATGGAGTCACAACATTCGAGTAATCCATTATTATTCAATATTGTCAAGTTTCTTAAATGTTTAAATAATCCAAGTAATGAAGGTAAATTCTTTTGGGATACAAATAATGGAGTTAGTTTAAATTACATGTTATTGAATCCAAGTCACATTTTTAAACAATTGATTGATGAAGCAAGATGTGTTTTATTATGTGGAGGTACAATGGAACCAATGAATGATTTTGTAAATAACTTATTTCCAGAAGTACCTAGTCATAAGATCAAACAATTTAGTTGTAATCATATAATACCAGATGATAATTTAAAAGTATTTCCAATTGCAAAGTATAACAATTTTGAGTTTGAATTTCTGTATGAAAAGAGAAACAATGTACAACAGTTGGATAGATTAGGTGAATTTTTAGTTAAATTATCAAAAGTAGTCCCACATGGTATGGTTATATTCTTTCCAAGTTATAATTATTTAAACTTAGTAATGAATCATTTAAAGAAATTCCAGTTTAATAAAAACGTTTTTCAAGAATCAAAAGATTGTAATATAGATTCCACACTTTCTGATTATTCATCAACAATTGCAAAAGGTGAAGGTGCAATTTTGTTTTCAATAGTTGGTGGTAAATTATCTGAAGGTATAAATTTTTCAGATGATTTAGCTAGATGTGTCATTATGATAGGATTACCATATCCAAATTTATATTCTGGTGAATTAATTACAAAAATGAAATATATTGAAACTGAATCCATTAGAAGAGGAGCAACTACAAAAGAAAGTAAAGAAAATTCACGTCAATACTATGAAAATTTATGTATGAAAGCTATTAATCAATCAATTGGTAGATCAATTCGTCATATAAATGATTATTCAACTATTTACTTAATTGATAAAAGATATTCACAATTGAAAATTCAAAATAAATTGAGCAAATGGATTAAAAATAGAATTACAAATCTGAATAATGTATTTGACGAGACAAATGAGTTTTTTATAAATAAATCTGTGAAGAAATTGAGATGAATATTAGGTGTTAAATTGCGTTTTTGATTTTAAAAAGGTTTCGTATTTAATTTTTTAATATATAATGGGTTTTGGAGGGTTCTTAATCGAAGTCTACATTTGCTTAATTTCTCTTCGAAGTCTCTCTTCTTGTGGAAACAATTTCCAATTTTTGAGTAAAATTGAATTCATCAAATCACACTGAAAATGTAAATAACCAACCAAATATTGAAAGTCATCGAAAAGTGCCCCCATACAAATATCACTCATATTAACAACTAGTATCCATCTGTATATTTCGAATTTTCTTATGTGATCGATTCAATTTTTTTGGATAACTATCGGCACACTTCACCCTGGTGGGACCATCCACTAAATTAACCAAAATTAAAATGCCTTTAACTTTTTCAATTTTGCTTTTCATCTCAAATGTCTCAAACAAACATTACTCAGTATTTTGTCTTCTATCACTTGATCAACTTCGTGAATAAATTCTCAAAAGTTCTTACTCTTACAGGTGTTTTGCAACCAAGTCTCCCACAACGCGGGCGCTTTGGTCGCAGAATTTTTTGCCGGCTGTAAAATTTCGGTCGCAATAATTTAGGCGGCTTTTGGTGGCTCTTTTATCATAAAATCGTATTCATGGCTTAACGCAAATGCAGAGTATTTAGATACTTTAAATAGATAACAATTATTTTTATTAGATTGATTAAGCTTATAATTTATCATAATATTCTTCATAACCTGGAACTTCTGGTTTCAAACCTTGTCTAACTCTCTTTTCTTTAACAATAGCACCTGGTTTTGAATTTGGATCAGTAACATCACCACCTAAGATTGACCAATGATCAAAAATTAATTGTGGGAAAGCTTGACCACCAGTAGCTTGTCTTAAATCACCAGTAAAACCAAATGATTCATTAACTGGTAAATAAGCTTTAACGGTGAATAATGGAGTACCTGGTCTTTGTTCTTCTGAAATAACTTGACCTCTTTTTTTGTTAAGAACTGAGTAAATACCACCAATAGCATTTTCTGGACATTGAATTTCAACCAAGAAAACTGGTTCTTGAATAGCAGGTTCAGCTAATAACATTGAAGCATAAGTAACTCTTCTCATTGTTGGAATGATTTGACCACCACCTCTATGAATAGCATCAGCATGTAAGGTAACATCTAAAATATTAACTCTAAGTGATCTACAGTTTTCACCGAAAATTGGGCCTTCTTTAGTAGCCCATTGGAAAGCAGCAACAACAGAATCTTTAATTTCATTCAAGTATTGAACAGCTTTAGTTTGATCAACAACCAAGTTAGGACCGTTACCATCTGGACCAAAACACCAAATTTTTCTAGCATCGGTAACCTCCCATCCATGCTTGTCGGCTAAAATTCTAGCTCTTGCCTTGAAATCATCTCTTGGGTTGATGACACCATTTTCTATATCTAATGAAACTTCTTCATCTATTGGTTGAGCTTTAACATAAATTCTATTATGTTTATTTGGTGATTTTGATAATGCAACCATTGATGATTCAGCTTCAACAGTTTCTCTATAAGCAACAACAGGTGGAGAAACTCTTAATGGGATACCAGCATGATCATTTTCTAAATCAGCTAAACAAATTTCCAAATGTAATTCACCAGTAGCTGCAACAATATGTTCACCTGATTCTGACATCATAGTCATAACACAAGGATCTGATTTTGATAATCTTTTTAAACCTTCAACTAATTTTGGTAAATCATTTGCATTTTTAACTTCAACAGCAACTTGAACAACTGGTGAAACTGAGAATTTCATAACTTTCAAATTGTGAGCAGCTTCATTTGTAGTAATAGTACCTGATTTTAATAAAAATTGATCAATACCAACTAAACCAACAATGTTACCAGCTGGACAATCATCAATTTGTTCAACATTTCTACCCATCATCAAGACGGTTCTTTGAACAGATTTTAAGAATAAATCTTCTTTTTTACCAACTTGATAGTTTGGACCTTGGATTCTAACTTTTTGACCACCTCTAACGGTACCAGCAAAAACTCTACCAAATGCATAAAATCTACCTTTATCAGATGTTGGAACCATCTTAGAAACGTACAACATTAAATCAGCTTTTGGATCACAATTTCTAATAGCATTACAGAATTGATCATCTGATGGACCTTCATATAAAGTTTCAGCTCTGTAATTTTGAGCAGTAACTGGAGATGGTAAATGTAAAACAATCATTTCTAATAAAGCATCTGCAGCTGGTAAAAATTTTTTCATAACAACTTTTAACAAAGCTTTACCTTCTAATTCTTTTTCATCACCTTTCAAGTTAATTTCCAATTTTTCTAATAATGTTGGAATTTCGTCTTTTTTAAAGTTCATAATAGCAGCAAATAATCTGAAAATTGGATCTAAAACAAACATATTGAAAGCTCTATCTAATGATTTACCATCAGCATCTTTATCTTTGTTGGTCCATTTTTTAGTTTTTGGATTAAAGTATGAATCACCCCATAATCTTTCCATCATTTTTGATCTGTCAACACCAAATTTTTTAGCATATCTAGTTGCAAATTGTCTAACAGTGAAAGCCCAACCATGTAAACCTGAACCGAAAGCAACGGTACCTTTATCTGGATAAACTTGAGCATCACCTAAAGCTGGATCAACATAAGTGGAAATAATAACGTTAACAGATTCAACAGTTCTACTAAATGATTGATATAAATCTTCTTTAGTAACTTGTAATTCTAATAAAGCTCTGTCAACTTTGTTAATAATAACAACTGGTTTAATTCTTTCACCTAAAGCTTGTCTTAAAACAGTTTCAGTTTGAACACAGACACCTTCAACGGTATCAACAACAACTAAAGCACCATCTGTAACTCTTAAAGCAGCAGTAACTTCTGATGAAAAATCAACGTGACCTGGTGAATCAATTAAATTAATTAAAAATTCATTACCATCAGTTTTTTGTTTAATTTCTTTGACATCATCTTCGGTCATGGAAGCATATAATGAAATAGCTGTAGATTTAATAGTAATACCTCTTTCTTGTTCATCTTTTCTAGTATCCATAAATCTTGCATCACCAGCTTTTGCCGCTGAAATAATACCTGCTCTTTGAACCAAAGAATCAGTTAATGTGGATTTACCATGATCGACGTGGGCAATAACTGACATGTTACGGACATTAGTAACTTTGTCCATCAAACCACGGATTTGTTCAATTGTGAAAGCAACTTTAAGAATTCCATGTTAGTATGATAATTTTTCAAAAATTTGATTTTTAATGCTATTATCAACATACCCATCTTGACTTAATTGGTAAAATGAAAAGAAGAAGAGCAAAAAGAAGGAGAGCGAAAAATTTTTAACCAAATTGATGTACAAAAATATCGTCTGCTGATAGTTGGACATAGTACTATTTGTATAGATGTTTTTTCTGCTGTGAATGCGACATTACCCTCAAGTAGCGGCTCTGGAAAATGAAAAATTTGATGGAGTTTGTTCCTGAAATGACTTGGTTAATTGGGTGCAAAAAAAACTTTGTTAGACGTTAGAATTTGCCCTATAACACTAGCACCTCTGATTCAAAGACGTAGATGTAGCTTTACAATTGTACTTTCCACTGAGATTATGATCTAGCTACCACTATTATATAAATGCACAATTCATGACTGAATAAAATATTTGTCGTGTAATTTGGTTGATCTTGAGATGCTGTCTGAAAAGTGTCACAAAACACCGAGATAAGTTTCAACTTGCAACGGTACGTAAGAGAAAGGCTCGAAGTTTCAAGATGGAATGTTAGCGTTCTATAAGAAAGGGTTTGTGCTATATAAATTTCTAGTATATTTGTTTCAGGCTAAATCACCCTTTCAAGCACTTACAATAGGTAAATGTTTATGTATTTCAAATGGAGTTTCACTAAAATAGCACTTATATAAACATTCATGTTTCAAATGAAATATGTGATTTCTCAAAACAGTGCTATTCATGCTTACGTGCTTTGCATAATGAGGTCATATTTTTAGGGCACTTAGACTTAATTCTCAATAAACTACTCTGGTTTATGAAAAGTGACTACATATTAGGCAGAAAGATTTAAATATCTAAATAAGAATGAGCTGGGTATCAACTTACTTTAGGTTGATGAGTGTCAATATGGCTCAATTCTCTTGTAGTTTTCAATCTTAAACTAATATCTTTACTAATTCAATTCCATTTTTTTTATTTTCTCGCCAGAGTCAATACGATAACGATGACATTAAAAATAACCGTTTTAATATCTGGGTCAGGTACAAATTTACAAGCTTTGATAGATGCAAATTTATATAATGCAGAAATAACTCGAGTAATATCATCATCATCAACTGCTTATGGTTTAACAAGAGCTGAAAAAGCTGGTATTGCAACAAAAATTCATGCATTGAAAAATTATTATCAAGGTATACCAAAGGAAGAAGTTGAACAACGTAATTTAAAAAGAGAACAATTTAATATAGATTTAGCTAATTTATTAATTAATGAAAATAAACCTGATTTAATTGTATGTGCTGGTTGGATGTTGATTTTGTCACCGAGTGTTTTAAAACCTTTGGAAGATGCTGGTATTACTATTATAAATTTACATCCTGCATTACCTGGACAATTTGATGGTACTCATGCTATAGATAGATGTTGGAAAGAAGGTCAAGAAGGAAAAATAACTAAAGGTGGTGTAATGATACATAAAGTTATTACAGAAGTTGATCGTGGTGAACCGATATTAGTTAAAGAACTTGATCTTATTAAAGGTGAAACTTTACAAGATTATGAAGAAAGAGTACATAAAATCGAACATATTGCTATAGTTGAAGGTACAAATAAAATATTAAAGGAATTGTCTATCTAAATGTTTATAAATTTTTAATAACTTCTTCAGTAAAATGTGTAGTTGTAGCAGTACCTTTCAAATCACCAGTTCTATTTTTTGGACCTGAAGCAATAGTTTTCAATACTGCAGTTTCAATTTTATCAGCATCAGAATTTAATGACATATGTCTCAACATCATACATGATGATAATAATAAAGCAGTTGGATTTGCTAAACCTTTACCAGCAATATCAGGAGCTGAACCATGAACAGCTTCAAAAATTGAAACTTTATTACCCATATTACCTGATGGAGTTAAACCCAAACCACCAATTAAACCTGATGATAAATCTGACATGATATCACCATATAAATTTGGCATAACCATAACAATTTCTTTATATTGAGAAGGATCAGCAGTTAATTTTAATGAAGTATTATCTAATAACTCAAAATCTAATTTAATATCTGGATATTCTTTTGAAATTTCTTTCGCAGTATTAACAAATAAACCATCAGACAATTTCATAATTGAGGCTTTATGAACAACTAAAACATGAGGTTTTTTAATTGATTTAGCATATTCAAAAGCATATCTTATAACTTTTTCAGAAGCAGGTCTAGTAATTAATTTAATCGATTGAACAACACCAGGAACAATTGTATGTTCAATACCAGAATATTCACCTTCAGTATTTTCTCTAATTAAAACAGTATCAACATCTTTATAAGGTGTTTCATAACCAACAATTGATTTACAAGGTCTAACATTTGCAAATAAATTAAAAGTTCTTCTTAAAGTTAAATTCATTGAAGTATGACCTTTACCAACGGGAGTAGCTAAAGGACCTTTTAAAGCAACTAAATTTCTATTAACTGAATCGACAGCTGGTTGAGGTAAAGTAGTTTTACCATCAATTAATAAAGGTGTAACATCAACAGGTTCCCATTCAATTGGAACATTAGCAGCAGCATAAATATCTTTGACAGCTTGAGAAATTTCTGGCCCAATACCGTCTCCTTCAATTAAAGTAACAGTATACTTACCATTTGATTTTTTTTGACCAGTAAACTGACCAGCAATATAAGATCTAGTTAAAAAGTGTTTGGAATTATTTGCTAATCTAGTACTAACTTGTTTAAACATAATAAATAATGGGTTGGCGGTGGTTATGGCTATAAAAGAAAAAAATTTACGTTTGATGAGATTCGTCAAAAACGAAACGAAAAACTACTCCGAAATTTTATTATATTAATTGACATCGAAGAAAAAAAAAATAGAACTAATTGATACCATAATTTACAACAAGGTGATTGACCAATAGGAATTCACTTCGCACTTTCTCTTACTTATGCCATCGGTTATATAAACTAATATCATGAATTGGCGCTATATTTATTTATTTTCAATTTTATTAAGAATTTATTTTTGTTTATCAAATTCATATATTCATCCCGATGAACATTTTCAAAGTTTAGAAGTATTGAGTAATTATATATTAGGTTATGATACTAATATTCCTTGGGAATATAAATATCCTCCTTCAAGAAGTTTAACTATGCTATATTTAATTTATGGACCAATTTTAAATTTTGGTAAATTTTGGGGGTTGGATCCATTACAAATATGGTATATTTGTAGAATTTATTTATGTTTAGTTTCATGGGTTGTTTGTGATTTTTTATTATATTGGTTATTACCAATTAAACACGAACGTGTAAAGGCTATATTTTTTAATTCTACAAGTTATGTAACATTGGTTTATCAAAGTCATTTATTTTCAAATAGTATTGAAACCATTTTATTGTTAGGAGGTATTTATTTAATTGATGAAATACGACAAGAACCGAAAAAAAAGTGGAAATGTATATTACTTGGTTTTGTAATATCAATTGGAGTTTTTAATAGAATTACATTTCCTGCTTTTTTAATATTACCTGGTTATTTTATTATTAAACAAGTTTTTTATATATTTTTTGGTTTTATAGTACCAACTGGTTTATTTATACTATCAGATACTTTATTATATAAGAAAGATTGGGTTGTTGCACCATTAAGGAATTTAATTTATAATACAAATGTTGAAAACTTATCAAATCATGGTTTACATCCATATTATAATCATTTATTAGTTAATTTACCACAATTAATTGGCCCTGGTATAATATTTCTATTTTCCAAAAGGTATATCAAAACTACTCCCATGTTGAGTATTATCTCGGGAATATTGTTCTTATCATTTATTCCACATCAAGAATTGAGATTTCTAATACCTTTGGTGCCTTTGATGTGTGCATGTTTTGATATAAAAGAGAAATTTATCAATTTATGGTATTTATTTAACCTTACAATGGCTGTTATTATGGGTATCTTTCATCAAGGAGGTGTTATTCCAGCTATAAACTTTTTAAGAGGTAAAGATTGTGTACAAGTTTGGTGGAATACATATACACCACCAACTTGGTTATTAGGAAGTAAATCTAATGAAGATATCATAGATTTAATGGGTACAAACAATCCAGATTTTAGTAGTATAACCTCAAATAAACCAATTTATTTGATTACACCCATTGCATCATATCAAAAATTAAACAAAACATTTCCATGCATTTGGAATTATACATATCATATAGATTTTGATCATTTATCAACAGTCCTTGGTTTAGGTATATATGAAATTATATAACTATTTATAAAATTCGAATTTATCATGTTCAGATCCAGTTTTAACTTGTGATGTATAAGCTTCCTCTAAATCGTTTTGTAAAATCATATACCTATTCTTTCTTACAGCTCTTAAACCAGCTTCTTGCATTATAGCAGCTATAACAGCACCACTTAAAGGATCATTTCTTAAAATTAAAGAATCTAAATCAACTTCGGGAGCTAATGACATTTTTGAAGCAATTGTTGAAAAAATTAATCTTCTTTCTCTTCTATCTTTTAATGATGGAAATTCAATTTTTCTATCCAATCTACCAGGTCTTAATAGAGCAGGATCTAAAGTATCAGCTCTATTAGTTGCCATTATAACTTTAACAGTTGTTTGTTGATCAAACCCATCCATTTGATTTAATAATTCTAATAAAATCCTTTGAACTTCTCTATCAGCACCAGTTTGAGCATCAAATCTTTTAGTTGCAATTGCATCAATTTCATCAATAAATATAATACTTGGAGAATTTTCTCTTGCTAATCTGAAAACATCTCTAACCATTCTTGGACCTTCACCTAAATATTTTTGAACAAATTCTGAACCATTAATTCTAATAAAACTTGCCGTGGTTGAATTTGCAACAGCTTTGACCAACATAGTTTTACCAGTACCTGGTGGTCCATATAATAATACACCTCTTGGAGGATCAATACCAATTTGTGAATATAAATCACCTTGAGTTAATGGTAATTCAACAGCTTCTCTAATTTCTTGTTTTTGCATATCTAGACCACCAACATCTGCATATGTAACATCTGGTTTTTGTTCATCTCCAACTATAGAAATTGATGAATCTGCTTCTGGTGGTAATATATCAACTAAAGCATTTGAATGACGATGTAATGCAACTGATGAACTTGGTTTTAATAATTCTCGATCTAAAGTTGATAAAATACGAACAACATAATTTGATCCAGTAGTTGATGAAACAATACCAGTATCTTCATCAATAGGTTCTAAAAATTGACCAATAACTAATGGTACTGATTTAATACGTTTAACTTCTTCTTGTGCTCTAACTAATTCTCTCTTCAAATGTTTTTGCTCATCTTTAATATAATCTTCTTGTAGTAATAATAATTCTAATTCTTTCTCCAATTTCTTCAATTTTAAATATACATCTGTTTCTGATTGTGATTTTAATACATTATTAACTTGTGAATCAATTAATATTGGATCTTCCATAGTGGCAAACTAATCAATGTTGAAAAAAAAAAAATCGAGAAATGCTACCAATTATTTATGTATTATAAGAGTTACTATACTACCAATACTACATGCAAATACAGTTAAAATAGCTGTAAATATTTCAAAATGAAGCTTATTAAATTGTAATGTATCAATATTTGGATTGATTAATGCGTGATAATAACGTACAATTGTATGTTTTATAGAATTCCAATTGAATTTAGGTAAAACGACTTCAAATGGTACAATTTCAGGTTTCTCTGGTAATTTCTCTATTATAGGTTCTAAAACTTCTTTATCATCTTGTGATATACCAACTAATACTTGTTTAACTTTATCTTCAAATGCAAATACTAATTTGTTTCTTTTCCATGGTTCAACAATAAAAGTTGCAACAACAAATAATAAAACATTTAGACCCATTAAAACCCATGTACCCCAAGTTGAAGATTTTCTTATTTTATCTGACCATATTTGTTCCTCATGATATCTTGTTAATATAGATTGTGTTAATTTTAATTGTATAGAATCTACTTTACTTTCAGCATCTTGTAAATTCATTTCATTCTTTTCTTCATTTTGTTCATTTTCATGATCATTTCTATATAATTCGGTAAATCTTTCTAAATCTTGTGATGACCAATTATGTTTTCTCGTTAATAATTCATTTACTTCACGTTGAGATTTTGATCTTTTCTGTATAGATTCAGCATAAAGTCCTTTACATTTCTTCACATAATCTTTAGCTTCTTTAAGTTGTTGTTCTTGATCTTCTATAGATTTTTTTAATTTTTCAATTGCTGAATAACCAGTTACATCATTTAATGCTCTTGTTGCAGTTAAAATGGTATCATGTAAAGAATCAAGATATTTTGTAATCTTTTTGCTAATTTGTGATTGTTTTTGAATCTTTTGTGAAGGTAAACTACCAATTTCTTTTTGTATAGTTTCATTAATTTCTTTAGCTAAATTTGGTATATCTTCTTCATCGATAGATTCGTTGGTGGTTGCAATTATCTTATCTTCAACTTTTAACTTATATTCTGTATCATCCAGTTTAATCGGTTCTTCATGAGAATCAGTAGCAACACCTTGAACTTGACCCTGCGGTGTTGTTGAAAAATCATGATCTAATTTGTCATTTAGTTTTGCCAATGGATCTTCTTTCGTTTTCTTCTCTTTTCGTGTATCCTGTATCTGTCTATCCTGTTCCAATTTCTTCTTTTCCTTCTCTATCTCTATCTCTTTTTTGTTTAAATCATTTTCTTGTTGTTTTTTATATAATGAATCAGTGCCAAAATTGGTACCTTGAATTATTTCACGTAATTTTGGATCATGTATAGTATTTATATCAGGGAAATTAGGTTTCTTTGATTGATATCTTAAGGGTATAACTTTATATTTTCTTATTAAAATTGATGAAGATCTAAACAATCTTTGAGAGATCATTTGATGAAAATAAAAATAAAAATATCGAGTTTCGCATTAAAAAAGATTTGCAGCCAAAATAAAACTACCATGTAATGTATATTAAAAGTTTGTATCAATTAATGCTTTAGTTAATTTCCAATCATCCGCTTCTGCATAATCTAATACAACGACTCCTGATCCTTTACCAAACACTTCTTGTACTTTTGCTTCTTTTAAAAAATATTCAGCACATGGTTCCGGCCAACAATCTTTATCAAAAAAATTTGAACCCGATGTAAAATTAACAAAAAATTTATCATCATTAGCATAATCTTTTGCTTTTGAAATAAAATTTTTAACATAATCTGCTTTTTTTGGTAAATCATTCTTATTTTGAACTTCACAAAAATCTTGAACTGCAAATGATCCTCTATCATCATCGGTTGTATTATAATCCCAAAAATGTGCATCAAAACCAAATTGTGATTTTAAATTTTCATCATTAACTCCAAATCTTCTAAATAATATAGCTTTACCTCTTGAATCTCCAATTTTTGGAATATCAATATTTAAATACCATTTATCTTTATTTGGTGAAATATATTTATCCCAAATTAATTTACCAAATTCATCATTAGCATTATCCCAATCATTTGAACCTTCTTGTTTTATCGAAACAATAACTGATTCACTTTGATTATTTTGTAAAAATTTATAAACTTCTTCCAAAGTATCAGTTAATTTTTCAGGAAATGGAATTTTAACAGGAAATTTACCATGAATAACTTGTAAATCTTTAACATTATCACCAATAAATAACTTACCGACCCTAATATCTAAAAATCTAACTCCATGTTCTAATTGACTAGTAACCGATTTTCCTTGACATTGAACGGATGGTAGTGCAGTATGACAAGCAGCTGAATTATGAGTACCAGGAATTGATAATTTTGAAATCTCAGTATTATTATCAATTTCACCTAACCAATTTTTATAATTAACCATTTTAATAACAAAAGAATCGAATGTTTTGAAATGAAATAAAATAAAATTTGGTTAAACGAATAAATGAAATTTTGAAATTTTGAATTACACAAAATTCGCGACCCTGATTTTTTGTCATTGCTTGATGTAAATTTAGGAAATGGCTGTACCAGATTTATATTGAAACACTAGATTGATCATGTGATAGATTTACATGAAATAGTAAACTATTTGTATAATGGAACAATTATCTATCGTGTTTGTTGCTATACAGTGTGATATCGATCATTACATCACTTAGAAACTGCGCACTCTATCAAACCCCAAATGTTTTGTTCATAATGTCTGATTTTTGGTGAAAAGATTCAAAAATGTTGGAAAATTCTACAAACTTTGTTTTCTAAGAACTAAACACATTTAGAGCTCACCATTAATCAGTATAGAGCAGTTACTCAACCTTGCCTTATATATTGCTAATCATTTATTGCTTGATTTTAATGGCTGCAAAATTTCAAAACGTTTTAGCGCATGAGGCCAAAAAAGGATATTTTTTTGAGTTCAATAGCACGAATTGATATTTTTAGTTTCAGGTTTGAAACACATCTGAAATATGACTTTTGATCGAATCCAAATATGAGAATAGTACCTGTCTGTTATTTAGCTAAAACTGAGTAGTTTTTGTATGAGACATTTTTGCTCAATTTTGATAGTTCAATTAGTATTCGTGATTAACGTATATGCATGCTACCCAGTGCAGTCAAAATAATTACGATTTGATTAGAGAATGTCAACTACTAAAGAGATAACTATCAACTTCATAAACTCATATATTCATTAGCTTGATCACCAGGATCATTATCATTATCATTATCATTACTAAAATTCGTTATCATTTCTCTTGTTTAATTTTAATTTGATCACCAGGATCATTATCATTATCATTATCATTTCTCTTGTTTAATTTTCATTTGATCACCAGGATCATTATTATCATTATCATTTCTCTTGTTTAATTTTAATTTGATCACCAGGATCTTTAATATATTTATAATCATCAGGATCAGCAATTGAATTTAATTCAATACATTTATCAATAAAATTTTCATTAACTAAAACAGGTATTCTTGAAATTAATTTACCATTTTCAAATTGAACAGAATCACTAATTTCTTTAAACATTGAATCAATTTCAATATCGACATTTATTTCATGTTTTTTTGGAACAACAATATAATAACAATTTAAATAATCATCTATTAATTCACCACTAAATCTTTCAATTTTTTCTTTTAAAACAAATCCATCTAATGAACCATCATCTAAAACATAAAATGTAGTATTTTCAAATAAATAAACTAACGGTTTATTAACCCATTCAAAACTTTCTTTTAATGTAGTTAATTTTTTTTGATTTAATTTTGGAAATGGTAAATTACTTAATGAATGATGAATAATAAATGAATCACCAAATTTATCAACTTTATCATTATATGGATTCCAATCTTTAGTATCTAATATAAATATAGGTTCTAATTGAACAATACAATTTCTATTAATACATTCAAATATCCAATTTGGTTTAATTAAATCTAAACCCCTTTTTAAATAAACTTCTGCTAATGGTAAAAATTTTTCTGTAATAATTAAAACTTGTAAATTTGTTTTTGCATCAATTGAACCAACTAGGGTACCACCGTATTTCTTAACCAACATTTTTAATTCATCAGATTTAATTAAATCACCAGTAATTTCATCTCTTTTATCAGATAATATTAAAAATTCAAAACCTTTAAATAAATTTGATTCAACTTTTGTCTTTTTCAATTGTTGATTTGCATCATTAAATGATGTTAATATATTAAGACCTCTTTTTTTAGTTGCTGCTTTTTGAGATTTTAATACATCATTATAATAATTTTGTTTCAATTCTAAATATTGTTGTAATGAAATACATTCATCAACTGATTTATCATCTCTAATTCTTCTACAAAAATTATTATGAAGTGAACTTCCAACTGCATAAGTTTTTTCTGGTCTTACATCAATTGATCTTGCTCTAACTTCTAATACAATTGAATCTTTTGGATCTATCCAATAATCAGGTAATCTTGTACCAAATTTAATTAAATTATCAGGTGGGAATTCTTTTTTAATATTTTTCCATTTATTATGTAAAATTCTATTAATTTTATCATAATCTTCAGTAGTTATACCATTTGCAACAAAACAAAACAGATAATAACTTCCATCAACTTCATTTTTCAATCCCATCATAAAACTATTCTTGATTTGTGGATTCATTCCAATTATAACCAAATCTAAATTCTCACCAAATCTTTCCAAATATTCAGGTTTAACTTTTATCCAATCTGGATTTCTAAAACCATCAATTAAATATTTTGATTGACAATGTTTAACAATTAAACCTTCACTTCTTTGACTTATAACTTCTCTAATTGCTTTTTCTATATCTCTTGCAGTTTCACCAATTCTTGGTTTATGAATTTCAAATCTATTTGGAACTGGAGTAATAAGTTTTTGGAGTAAATTTTTTCTAAAAAAAAGTGGATAATTTGTTAAATCTTTACCATTGAGATAGAGAACATCAAAAATAATAAACAATGGATAGCTAGTGAATAATTCATAACTATCCGTTGTATTAAATTGACGAACTGACTCTTGAATGGCACTTGATTTTAGAGTTCCAAATGGTAAAATTGCTTTTCTTTCATAATCGTAAGCCACCATTTCTCCATCTAATATTATACTGGTAACTTGATTTGGAAAAGCTCCCTTGAGGTATTTTGTTAAAGATCCACTATTATAGTTTCTCCCGTATAAAAACGAATAATCCTTTAACCTTCTGGAAAAAAACATAAAATGATTATTTTCATAATGTAAAATCATTCTATCTCCGTCCATTTTCTCTTCTATATAAAATTTCAGTTGTAGATGCATTTGATTATAAAGATTTTCATATTCTTGATTCATTTCATGTTTCTTTTGTAAAGTGTTTGTTATTAACTTTTGATAATCTTTTGTCAACTTTACAGACAACATTGGTTTAAACCGATACATTGGATGTATCTTAAGATCTTCTAATGGAACTCGTTTATTAACATCAGTTAATGTATAGAACGTTAACTTTAAATTGTTACAGATCTTATACAATCTGTAACCATCTGGATGCCATTGATTAAACATATAAATTTCAAGATTTGACAAAATAGCTTTTCTCAAGATGATATGAATTAACCAACGAACTTCCTCAATCTTAAGATGATTGAATAAAGGTTCCAAAATCTTTATTTGTTTATCTGATTTTTGTGTATTTGATAATTTATCCAATTCTTGATTTATATCATTAATTGTATATTCTTTAATTTCAGGATTTGCTTTACGCCTATCTGAAATAACTCTCAGGGCTTGCAAAGCAAAATCCCTAAAGTTTTTAGCATCTACGGCAAACCTTTTTGAGGCTTGGTAGTTTTTATAAAAATTCATTAACGTAGTATAATCATCAGATTGTTTAGGGATTTTAAAAATTTTAACAATTAATCTGGCTAAAAAAATCTCTTTACAATAATATAATCTACCAGCTTTTTCGGGGAATACTAATATTGATGTCTGATAAAAATTGTTGCCTATATTAGTTTTAAAAAGTTCAATATATGATGATATAATTTTGGATTTTTGTTCAGTTATAGTTTTAACACCTTCAGGTAAAGATTCTTTTCTAACAGCATCTAATTTTTGAAATAATTCTGAAACTAAAGTAGTGAAACTTGGTTCTAATCGATTTGGAGGTGGTGGTTCAACATTATCAAGGAAATAAGTCATTTGAAATGAAATTGAATAATCTAAATCTCGTAAATTTGATAGTATCAATTTTGTTTTTTTTTGGGATGGTTATTAAAAGTATATGCACGTGACATCAAAAAAATTAAATTGACCAATTCACTTCTGTAGTACAATACTATCAAGCTCATTGTAAGAAAATTAAAATTATGTTAGATTAGTCTGTGTTATCTATTGGCTGATTCCTTGTAATGGTAGATTCAGAATTTGGGCAATCATATAATGAGGAACTTTTAGATTATAAATTAGCCTATAAATTAGCTTAAGTTTTTACAGGTCGAACAATGTAGCTGTGAGTCTAAAATGTGACGAAAACTTTTATCCAGTTTAAAATGTGACGAAAACTTTATTCTTTAGATGAGTTTTAAGTAAACTAAAACACAAAAATCGTTGAATAGAGCGTAATCCTTAAATGAATTGAACTTTCAAATACAGCACAAATAGTAGTGCTAGTTGACATCATGATTGAATGAATTTTAGGCAGCACTTTTGTTCCAGCTGAAAGCGAAAGCGTAGCACGGATGAAAAATTTGAAAATATCTTATATGCAGTCTTAGAGAAATTAAACATAAAACTTCACTTGTAAATAAGTCAATCAATCAATCAATCAATCAATCAATCAATCAATCAATCAATCAATCAATCAATCAATATTGAAGTGTAATGCTTCAAACTTAATTGATTGATTTATTATTAAATTCAGATTCAAAAGATATAGGTATGTTTTGAAGAAAAGTGAAATTGATGACTTTATTAAACTTTTAAAAATTGCAAAAACTCGCTATACTTAAACCTCATTAAACTCATAAACCTCATAAACCTCATGAACCTCATAAACCTCATAAACCTCATTTAGTAAATTCTAGAATAATTAGTTGATTTAGCTCATTCAACTCTTAGAATTTTAATTATGGTATTTTTAAGACGCCATATAAAACATCGAAAATTTAAATATATACTCCAAAATTAAGGGGAGGAGGAAGGGGGGAGAAAGGGGGTTAAAAGTGTGGCAGCCACTTAAGAAAAAATAAAATTATTATCGGAAAAATTATGAAATAAATTAACTATTTAGACCAAATAGATGACTAAAACAGTAAAGAAATGTATATAAATCTTGGTAACCAATTTGTTCTTGATCTTTGCTCTAAAAAAAGAAAATAAAATAAAACAAAACAAAATAAAATAAAATACACTGCCACTTATATGAGATTTAATACGAAACACATGGGTAATGGTACCTTAATTATGTAAAACAATAAATCACACTGCCTATAGATATAGAAAAAATTCTGAAACAATAGTTGATAAAGTATTTAATAAATCGGTTACTAGATATAACCAAATTAGGCTTTAAATGCGAGAAGTTAAAAAAAAAAAAAAAAAAAATAAAATAAAATAGAAAAGAAATAAAATAAAAAAATAAAATAAAATAAAATAAAATAAAATAAAATAAAATAAAATAAAATAAAATAAAATAAAATAGAAAAAAAAAAAAAAGAAAAGCCTCTCGTGACATCATAAAATAAAAATAGATCTAAACCGGTTTTGATGATAATTTGAAACAATAATGAAAAAGAATGTTGAAAGAAACCTGAAAAGAAATCTGGAAAGAAATTTATTATAAAATAATAAGAATATAATTGTTATATATATTGTTTCATAATAATTGTTTTAAGCAAATATATGAGAAAAAATAAGTTAAATTTAAAGATTAACATATTAACATTGCTTGAAATAATATAACCCAAATTACAGATATAATCCAGTACTTAATAAGTAAACAAGATTAAAAGGTTGGGGAATACTACGCAAACAACAACAACAACAACAACAACAACAAAAAATAGCAAATCATCGACATTCTTAAACGCTTAAATGAAAATAATAGAAATGTGTTGTTGAAAAGAAAGAAGTTGATAATAGTTAATGAATTACTACTGTTTGAAATCTGACACATATGAATTATAACAATTATAACAATTACGTCATAATCTCGTTATATAGTTAAACCTTAATCAGTTGTTGAAAGAAACAGTTTTATTATAAATTCTTATGTATTATAAATATGTACTGTAAATAATTATGTATTTTCTTATTAAGCAAATATAAAAAAAAAAAAAAAAAAAAAAAAAATAAAAATAAAAAAAAAAAACTAATGTACTATAAAAATTTAATTTTATTTTAGTATAAATTGAAAATGAATTGTCCGAATTATCCTTTTATCAAATCTTTTATATATCTTTATTATCATATCAGTTCAACTTTAATTTACATCTAATTACATTGTATACTTTTATTTTCACCACTAAACCATAAATTATTGCATACTTTTATTTTCACCACAGGTCCATAAATTGTTGCATAAGCAAACTAAGTTTTTTTACTGTCTTTAATTCATTTAAAAATATATATAATATATATATATATATTCATTCACATTATTAACTTGCTGTAAATCGAATATATCATCATTATGACTTTATCGAGTTTACTTTCTCCTAAAAAATTTGTATCAAAATCAAAATCAAAAGATAGACAACAACAAGAGTATAATAATTTTTTACATCCAAATGAGGGTGGTGGTGGTGGAGCTACCAATAATATATCTAGTCCCAAATATACTTCACCAAAAAGACCTAGCTCACCCCTCGCTAATGAAACAAGCTATGAAAGTTTAAAAGACCAAATCAATAAAAATTTTTATACTATATCTGATAAATCAAGTTCTTCGGAGAATAATAGATCTAGATCTAGAAGTTTTTCTGCGGAAAATAGTTTTTCGCATAAAAAAAGTTTATCAGACAAGATTAAAATTACGCCAAGTTCTTTTGTTAGAAAGCTGAGAATTTATTCAGATACTGATGGTGATGGTGAAGTTGAAGTTGATGTTGATTCCCAACGTTCTATTGGTTCAGGTGTTTCAGGTGTTTCAGGTGTTTCAGGTGTTTCAGGTGGGGGTTCAATTTTATCAGGAAGAGCTTTATTAGCTCAAACTAAGCATCAATTGGAAAATTTATCTCCAGAATTTGTTCCCATTGTTAGTTTATTAAATGCTCAAAAATTAAGAACCTATTGTATTGGATCTTTTCAAATTCCTGGTATTATAGGTCTTGAAAAAGTTTGGATTGAAGTTGACGCAAAATTAACTGGTAATGAATTAAGTATTTGGAGACCTTCAAATGATCAATATATAACGGATGATGGAAATGATGAATTTAAACCAAAATATGTTAATTTAATAGATTGTAATATTGAAATTTCAAAATTTGATTTACAAATTAAAATATTTCAAGATTATAGAGATGATATTGCTATGATTATTAAATGTCATAATTTAATAGAATTTAATAAATGGTGTTCATCGATATATTTATCAAAATTTGAATATTTAAAATTAAATGAAGCTTATACTGCAGTTATATTATCTTCAAAAGGTTCAAAATTATCTGATATTCATGTTTTATTAAATCATAAAAAAAGATTTCAACATTCTGAATGGTGTAATATTAGATTACCAGAAATTTCAAGTAAATGGTTAAAAGTTTTTCTTGTTGTTTTACCTTGTGATAATAAACATTTAGGTAGAATTGAAATTTATTCAAGTGATAAAAAATTAAATCATAAACATTTAATTGGTTATATAAATGTTTTAACTAATATTTTCAATGTATATCCAGAACAATCAAATTTAATAGATTATAATTCAATAATGAATGCACAAGGTGATATTTATATAAACAAAAATTTTGAACATTTATTTCCATATCAAGAATCAACATCATCATCATCAACAAATGATGCTAGGAAATTAATTGGTAAGAATTTTGATTTTGATAATACAAATGATTCAATATCTAGATCAAATTCAGTAAACTCTTTTACTTCATTATCTAGTTCAACTTTACAATCACCAAAGACAAGATCAAGATCAAGTTCTTTAAATTCAACCCTGTCATTTTTCAACAACTCTCCAAAACAACATAATTCTTCAATTTCAAGAAATAGATCTTTATCTCAAACTTCAGATTATTCAAAAACTCATCAAGAACATAAACGTACAGTTTCTCCATTTTTTAAAAAACATGCTGATTCATTTGCTTTAACTCATGCTTTATATATAATGCCAATACCACATCCTGGTGTAAATGCAATTGAAACAATGATTAGAAATTATATACCCATTATTGATTCATTTAAATTATATGGTAGACCAAAAATGTTAATATCAAATAAATTAGATCCCCAAAGTTTATTATTTGGTTTACCTTCATTACCACATTATCAGTATTTATCATCAATTGAAGCAGAAGAAAATTTTGCAAACTATAAAAATAGTGAAGAAGAAAAATATGAATATGAATATGAATTCATTATAAATTCAATTACTCAGCAAACAAATTATAAAGGATTTGGTGATATTGCAAAATTATATGATAATTTAGAATTAAATTTTGATGAAATTTCATCTCCTGTATTAAAATCAGACAATAATGAAGGTAATTTATTAGGTGATCCAATAGATTTAAATGATAGAAGAACAACGGGTAGTCCAATCAATGTTATAGCATGATAAATATGAATATACAGGTAGTCCGATCAATGTTATAGCATGATAAAATATGAATATACGAATATATGACTATATGACTATATGAATATATGAATATAAATTCCTATTTCCTAAACCGCACTCAGTATCCGATCTCGTTTATTTATCTTTTGTACTATTTAGGATTAAATTACACAAAAAACACGAAAAATAAAACGCGTCTTGAAAATTAAATTAAAAGGAGACGAGTTTGTAAGAGGTATATAGATTAATAATATCATGATATAGTATTGAAATCACCTTAGAATAGCCATGAAATATATATATATATATAATTGTATACTAGTAATCACCTTATGTATGTATGTATGAATGTAGTAGTGTATACATTTATTAGTAATTTTCATAAAGCACGAAAAAAAAAAAAAAAAAAAAAAAAAATATAAAAATTATAAAACGCGTGTCGATCAAATTTCTTTCTTATACCATCGCAAGTATAAATTAGTATAAATTAAAGTTATATTTCCCACTTTTTGATTAGTATTATTTATTAATTTGATTTATTGATTCATTCATTCAACATGTCAATAGAAACTCCAACTAGAGGTTTAACTGGTAAAATTTCGAATTTAGATATGGCTAAAAGTTCTTCTTCTTCAATAACTGATAAATTAGCTGCTGAAGCTCAAGTTAAAGATGAAGCTCAAAATTTTGATAATTTAAAAAATGCTACTAGTATAAAAGAAGAAAAAGTTAATGAGGAAAAAGTTAATGAAGAAAAAGTTAATGAAGAAAAAGCTAATAAAGATGAAGTTAATGAAGACGAAGTTGAACACAAACAATTTTTATCAAAACATAAGGTTCATAGACATAAATTAAAACAATTGGAAACTGAAGAACCTTTATTAAGAGAAAATAAAAGAAGATATGTTATGTTCCCAATTAGATATCATGAAATTTGGCAATTTTATAAAAAAGCCGAAGCTTCATTTTGGACTGCTGAAGAAATTGACCTTAGTAAAGATTTACATGATTGGAATAATAGATTAAATGAAAATGAAAAATACTTTATCTCAAGAGTTTTAGCATTTTTTGCTGCTTCTGATGGTATTGTTAATGAAAATTTAGTTGAAAATTTTTCTGCGGAAGTTCAAATACCTGAAGCTAAATCATTTTATGGATTTCAAATTATGATGGAAAATATTCATTCAGAAACTTATTCATTATTAATTGAAACTTATATCAAAGATCCAAAAGAAGCTGATTTCTTATTTAATGCTATTGAAAATATTCCATGTATTAGAAAAAAAGCAGAATGGGCAATTCGTTGGATTCAAGATGATGAAGCGTTATTTGGTGAAAGATTAGTTGCATTTGCTGCTGTTGAAGGTATATTCTTTTCAGGTTCTTTTGCTTCTATATTTTGGTTGAAAAAAAGAGGTTTAATGCCTGGTTTAACTTTTTCAAATGAATTAATTTGTAGAGATGAAGGTTTACATACTGATTTTGCATGTTTATTATTTGCACATTTACAAAATAGACCAAGTCAGGAAATTGTTGAAAAAATTATTACTGAAGCTGTTGAAATCGAAAAAGAATATTTTACTGATGCGTTACCAGTTAGTTTATTAGGTATGAATGTTAAATTAATGTGTAAATATGTTGAATTTGTTGCTGATAGATTATTAGTTGCTTTAGGTAATAAGAAAGTTTATAATGTTACAAATCCATTTGATTTTATGGAGAATATTTCATTAGCTGGTAAAACTAATTTCTTTGAAAAAAGAGTTTCTGATTATCAAAAAGCTGGTGTTATGGCAAAACAAGAAAATAAAGATGCAAATGCATTTGTATTTGATGAAGACTTCTAACGAAGACAATTTTTAATGACCAAATTTTATAATTTCATGTTCAGTTCTTTTATTTTGTTTAATTTTAATGTATAATAGTTTTTTGTTTCAGATTTTTTTTTTGTTTTTATAGATGGTTTCTCATCGGATCAATTGTAATTATGTCAAAGGGTAAATCAAATGATAAACCAAAAAGAATATCTAATGGTCATAAAGTAAAATCAAGTGTTCAAAAGAAAGGTAGTACTCATTCTAAAATAACTAAACCTGATAATTTCCCTTTCAAACTTGCAATGTGGGATTTTAATCATTGTGATCCTAAAAGATGCAGTGGTAAAAAATTGGAAAGATTAGGTTTAATTAAAAATTTAAAAATTGGTCAGAAGTTTCAAGGTATTATAATATCTCCTAATGGTAAATCCGTTATTTGTCCACTTGATAAATCTATAATTGAAGAAAATGGTGCTGCTGTTGTTGAATGTTCATGGGCTCGATTAGATGAAATTCCATTCAATAAATTAGGTTCTGCAAAGAATGAAAGATTGCTACCATATTTAGTAGCTGCAAATACTGTCAATTATGGAAAGCCATGGAAGTTAAACTGTGTAGAAGCTTTAGCTTCTTGTTTTGTTATAATTGGTCATTATGACTTGGCTGAAAAATTATTAGACAATTTTTCATGGGGTCCAACTTTTTTAAAAATTAATCGAGAATTATTTGAAATATATCAAAATTGTACTGATTCTGAAAGTATAATGAAAGCACAAGATGAATGGTTGGATAAAATTGAAATGGAAAATAAATTAAAAAAGGAAAGAAATAAAGATGAAGATATTTGGATGATGGGTAATACAAATAGAAATCATGAAAGTGAGGAGGAGGAGGAGGAGGAGGAGGAGGAAGAGGAGGAGACAGAATCAGATGCGGAGTATGATAATCTAGGGAATGTAATAGAAAAGAGTGAGAAGTATGATAAATTGGGAAATCTAATAGAGGAAGATGAAAGTGAAACAGAAGAGTATGACAATCTACGGAACATAATAAATAAACATGACCTAATAGAGGAACACTCAGAAGAAGAATCAGAAGAAGAATCAGAAGAAGAATTACAATATGACAGTTTGGGAAACATTATAGCAAACACTCAAAAATTAATTATATAATCACACGTTTATAAATATAAATCTTTCCTTTCCCATCCAGTAGGTCTAGTATTATCCAATTTTAAACTTGGTTGTGGTTTATCAAAATTCTCAATATGTAATCCACTAAATGGATTTCGATCATTCTTTTGTAAATTTGCAAATGTATGATTTACTTCCCTATGTTTAGCTTCATCTGCTCTAACAACCATAATCAAATCTTTAAAACTTGAGTTTGGATTTAATTCATTCCAATATTGATAAGCAATTGTAGGTATTTTTAAATTTTCAAATTTTGAAAGTCGACCAGGTACATTTAATTCATGTAATAAATGACTATATGTTCTAACTGCTTCTTCTTCAAGATATCCAACGAATCTATGACAATTCTTTGGACTGATAAGATAACTAATAAAGAAAAGATTGGTAAATATTCCTTGTCCAATGTATATCGCCAATCTTGTAAACCAACTAGGTGTACCAATTTTAATAAATGTTAACAAATGCATTCTCTCATTATATGCTTCTTCTTGTAATGTTTCAATAAATGCCTTATCTCGTTTCAATAATCTAACTGAATGCAAATGACGAAGAAAACTAGCTACTGCTCCAGGACAACTTGCAACTGATTCCAATACAATTATTCTACTTAACCATTTTGATTCAGTCATGTACCATCTTGTATTTGCATGTTGAAAAACATCATCTGAGCTTAAGTCTTTATAACCAGTAATAAAATCAAATAATCTTCTAGTTCCATAAGTTAAACTGAATGCAATTTTATCACCTAAAGTTCTTGGTTCCCTATGTGAAAAGAATATATTTTGACAACTTTCTTTGGAATAACCTGGATGGGGATACATTGAATGAGTGATAAATTTCTTATCATCTTTGGATTCTATTTCGTCATTAGTATGAACATTTGTAGATATATCCAAGATTGGTTTTGTTTCAATGGGTTGTGTTGCAATTGAAGTTGAAATAAAGCGAAATTGGAAACTTCTTTTAAGTAAAACTGTTTTAGATAACATTTGTCGATAGCTCTACACCTGATAAAAGCGTTCGTATTTATAGACAAAGTTAAAAGGGCTGTATCTTATTCATTTTCCAGGGATATTTTTTACTTACTTTATCTTTGTTCACTTTATTTTTATTTTGCAGCTATTTTTTTTTTGGTCAAACGGCTAAACGCAACCAATTCAATAAACATATGAAAAGGTAAATAGGGTTTTCTATTGTTTGGTGCAAAATATTATAATGGATGGAAAAAAGGATCAAAACGTTGTTATCTTAGATTTAGATTTAGGTTTAGATATAAGAGATAACAGTAGTTATGTTATTGCGTAAGTTCCATGGATATTTCAGTGACAATAGTGGTTTATGATACTTTAGACGTCACTAATCAGATTAATTGAACATACCATTTTATTTATACAGCTGTGAAAATTTAACTCTTCCATTCGTTCGAGAATCATATTCCTTGTAAAATTCTTTGCTCTAAATATCAGTTCATCTTGAAACTATTGAATTTACAAAGATAAACGTAGCTCTATGCTAGTTTGAATTGATTAGGCTTTTCAAGGATCACAACAACCAGGGTCTTTCTTTGTAAAGGTGACCGAATAGCTAGTTATGTTGGACGAAAGCGTATTCTCGTATTCTCCGTATTATCAGCTTAATATTAATATTTATAATTGTAATTCAACTTTGAAGTCAGACATTTTGACAGATTTATAGTTTTTGAGTCATAATTAGTCATTTACTCAGTTTTGGCTTCTGTGTTTAAAATTACGAGGTATTCTGTTATATAGTTGTCGCTTATTTACCTAAAATGGATAATTATTTCCGTGCGCTTAAAAATGATTTGGTTCAATTAATTTGTTGAATCAATGGCACAATTTATTTTATCAAAACTCAATTAAATTCAATGAAAGGTATTCAGATAGCTATAGATAGAGGTGGCACATTTTGTGATGTTATTGCCAAAATTCCAAATCAAGCAGATTATGTATTTAAATTATTATCAATTGATCCATTAAATTATAAAGATGCACCGACCGAAGGTATTCGAAGAGTCTTGGAGAAAGTAACTGGTCAATCAATCGATAAAAATTCAAAGTTGAACCTTGATTTAATTGAAAGTGTAAGAATGGGAACAACTGTGGCTACAAATGCATTATTAGAAAGAAAAGGTGCTAAAGTATTATTGGTTACGACCAAAGGTTTCAAAGATGTTTTATTGATTGGTAATCAAACAAGACCGCATATATTTGATTTAACAGCAAAGAAATTATCACACTTATACTCAAAAGTGTTAGAAATTGATGAAAGAATAACAATTGCAGGGTTTTCTGAAGGAGGTGGATCAAAATTAAAACTAGATATGTCTGATCCAGAATTAATCGAAAGTGTAAGTGGTGATATAATTAAAATTATAAAGAAACCAGATTATGAAAAAGTTAAACAAGATTTACAAGAAATTTATAATCAAGGTGAAATTAAAACAATTGCATTATCATTATTACATTCATACGCATACCCAGAACATGAATTACAAGTTGCTAAAATTGCAAAATCTATAGGTTTTAATGTCTCAGCCTCACATGAATTACAACCAATGTTGGGATTTGTAAATCGTACTTCATCAACAGTTGCTGATGCTTATTTATCTCCAGTTATAAATGATTATATACAAAATTTTGGTCTTGGATTTGAAGGTGGCTTAGATGCATTTGGTAATAAATTATTATTCATGCAATCAAATGGTGGATTATGTCCATGGTATAAATTTACTGGGTTAAAAGCTATTTTATCTGGTCCAGCTGGTGGTATGGTTGGTTTTGGAGAAACATGTTTTGATAAAATTAGTCAAAAGGCAACAATTGGTTTTGATGCTGGTGGTACTTCAACTGATGTTTCAAGATATTCAGGCATTTTAGAACATATCTATGAGACTGTAGTTAGTGAAGTTAGTTTACAAACCCCACAATTGGATATTTCAACAGTTGCAGCTGGTGGTGGTTCAATGTTATTTTATAGAAATGGAATGTTTGTAACTGGTCCAGAATCTGCAGGTTCTGATCCTGGTCCTGCTTGTTATAGAAAAAATGGTCCATTAACAGTAACTGATGCAAATTTATTTTTAGGTAGATTATTACCAGAATATTTCCCACAAATATTTGGTCCTAATCACGATCAACCATTGAATTGTGAAATTGTAAAAAAGAAATTTATTGATTTAACTGAAGAAATTAACGAAGATAAAGATGTAAAACTAACACCGGAAGAAGTGGCAAATGGCTTTTTGAAAGTTGCAATTGAATCAATGGCAAGACCAATTAGAAATTTAACTGAAGCTAAAGGGTTTGAAACTTCACAACATCATTTAGCATGTTTTGGAGGTTCAGGTGGTCAATTTTCTGTATCATTAGCTAAAAATTTGAATATTTCGGATGTTGCTATACATAAATATTCATCATTATTATCTGCTTATGGTATTCAATTAGCTGATATTGTAATTGAAAAACAATCACCAGCATCATTTGTATACGATGAAAATACTGAAATCATAGATAAAAAGATACAAATACTAATCGATGCAGCAAAGAAAGAATATGAAGAACAGAATTTACAACTGGATAGAAGATTTCAAGTCTTATTGAATATGAGATATGTTGGCTCTGATACTCATGTATTAATACCTATTGAAAAAGGTGTATATGATGCAAGTGAGAAATTTATTAAAAAGCATAAATTTGAATTTGGTTTTAATTTAGATAGAGATGTTTTAGTTGATGATATTCAAGTTTTATTAATTGTTGAATCTAAAAAAGAAGAACATAATCCATATCAAGAATTTGAAAATATTACACCTAAACAAATTTCCCCAAAGAAATTTCAAAAAATTTATTTTGATCAATGGTTGGATTCTGGGGTTTGTGAATTAGATAATTTATCGGTTGGTGATGAAATAAAAGGTCCTGCAGTTATAATAGATGAAACGCAAACTATCCTTGTTGAGCCAAAATCAACAGCATACATTTTAAAATCACATATTTTAATCAAAGTTGAACATGAGGAACAACCTAAATTATCTACAACAGTTGTTGATCCAATACAATTATCAGTTTTTGGCCATAGGTTTATGTCAATTGCTGAACAAATGGGTAGAACATTACAACAAACTGCAATTTCAACAAATATAAAAGAAAGATTAGATTTTTCATGTGCTTTATTTGATCATAATGGTGATTTAATAGCTAATGCTCCTCATATTCCTATCCATTTAGGCTCAATGTCATATGCGGTCAAAGCACAAATTGAGATTTGGAAAGATAAATTGGAACCTGGAGATGTATTAGTTTCAAATCATCCAAAAGCTGGTGGTTCTCATTTACCTGATATAACAGTTATAACACCAGTATTACAAGATGATAAACCAATTTTCTTTCTTGCTTCAAGAGGTCATCATGCTGATATAGGTTCAATTGCAGCTGGTTCAATGCCACCAAATTCAAAAACTATATATGAGGAAGGTGCAGCTATAATTAGTCATAAATTATGCTCAAAGGGAGTATTTGATGAACAAGGAATAACTAAATTATTACTCGAAGAGCCAGCAAAATATCCTGGAGGCTCAGGAACTCGTGCATTAAGTGATAATATATCAGATTTAAAAGCTCAAATTGCTGCAAATTATAAAGGTATCAAATTATTAAATAAATTGGTTGATGAATTTACATTGAATGTTGTTAATTTATATATGGAAGGTATTCAAAAAACTGCAGAAATTGCAGTTCGAAATTTATTGAAATTAGTTTATGAAAAATTTGGTGGTGATCAATTAAAAGGCATTGATTATTTAGATGATGGAACTCCAATATCATTAATAGTTACAATAAATAATCAAGATGGAAGTGCAATATTTGATTTTAGAGAATCTGGTGATGAGATTTATGGAAATTTAAATGCACCAACAGCCATTTTAAATTCTGCTGTTTTATATGTTTTAAGATGTTTAATATCAACTGATATACCTTTAAATAATGGATGTTTAAGACCAATTAAAGTATTGACAAGAGAAGATAGCATTGTTAATCCATCAACTGATTCTGCTGTCGTTGGTGGAAATGTCGAAACAACTCAAAGAATAGTTGATGTAATTTTGAAAACTTTTCAAGCAGCTGCTGGTTCTCAAGGGACATGTAATAATTTTACATTTGGTACTACTGATCATCAAATTTCTTTTGGTTATTATGAAACAATCTGTGGGGGATCAGGTGCTGGACCAACTTGGAATGGTCAATCAGTAGTACAATGTCATACAACAAATACAAGAATGACAGATACTGAATTATTTGAAAAAAGATATCCAGTTATTGTTCATGAATACTCTCAAAGATTAGAAAGTGGAGGAAAAGGAAACTTTATGGGTGGTAATGGTGTAATTAGAGATATTGAATTTTTATATCCATTAGAAGTTTCATGTTTAATGGAAAGAAGATCACTACCTCCATATGGTTTATTAGGTGGTGAAGATGGTAAAAGAGGTATTAATTATTGGTATAGAAAGACAGAAAATGGGTATAGTAAAAGATCATTAGGTGGTAAATGTACTGTTAAAGTTTCAAAAGGTGATAGAATTGTAATTATGACTCCTGGTGGTGGTGGATTTGGTGAATCAAATGATAAAATAAATTATCCAATTAAATCAGACAATCCAAGTTTATTGACTGGAAGTATTGCAAATCGTACGATAATGCAACAAACTAATTAACTGGTTTTAATAAAGAACATTTCAGTAAATTGTCTCGAACAAATTTTGAACTTTATATTCTTTACGCTAATATTTTGGTTTAAGATTTTGAATGGTGTGGCTCCAGGCTGGCCAAAAAATTGTCTCTTAAGGCAAGAACTGGTGCCACTACTAGTACCAAAATCAAATTTCTTGAACTGTAAAAAAAGACTCTACAAACATCAAATTTGGGTTCATGTATGTATCAACATTCACATATTTATCCAATACCTTTCTGAACAGAGATTTTATAATTCAGATCGTGATCGCCCAAACTTTGTTTCCAACTCTTTGGCCGGAATCAATAGTCATGGTCTTAAGTCCGGTTTAAAATTTGCGCGAAAGCGGCCCTATACCAAAGCGGTAAAAGCGCTTACATAAAATTATTATGTAATAAATAACAACAGATCTAGATATATATTGGGCCACATACTAATTTGTCAAAATGTTCAATGTTTTCTATACTCAAGAAAAGGACAATTCCAAGATTAATAAGACAATATTCAAGTAATAGTCCAAAATCAACTAATTATTTATATTATACTGCATTATCTGTTGGTTTCATTCTGGTTGGTTATTATATTGGAATCAATTCAAAAAATTCAACTCCGATTGCAACTCCATCAAGATCAACAAGTCCATTATCTACATTAACTACACCTCAATATGCAAATGATAGTAAATTTAACATTGCATTTGAACAAATTAAACAGATAGTTGGTGATTCAAATATAACATTTGAAGAAGAAGTATTGCTTTCACATAATGATTCATTTTTTTCAACACATCATCCACCAAATCCACAAGTTCAAAAACCGAAAGTAGTAGTATATCCAAACTCAACAGAAGATGTATCAAAAATTCTTAAAATTTGTAATGAGTATAAAGTTCCACTTATTGCAAATTCAGGTTTAACTTCATTGGAAGGGCAAAATATTCATACTCGTGGACCAAATTCAATTTCGTTATCATTTTCAAGAATGGATAAGATTTTACAATTTAATCCTAAAGATTTAGATGTTGTTGTACAGCCAGGTGTTGGATGGGTTGAATTAGATGATTTCTTAAAAGATCAACAAGATTCAAATTTAATGTTTGGACCTGATCCTGGGATTGGTGCAAATATTGGTGGGATGGTAGGTACTTCTGCTTCAGGTACTAATGCTAGTAAATATTTAACCATGAAGGAAAATGTTATAAATTTAACTGTTGTATTACCGGATGGGACAATTATAAAAACTAGACAAAGACCAAGAAAATCTGCTGCTGGTTATGATTTAACTAGATTATTTATTGGAACTGAGGGCACTCTTGGGGTTATTACTGAAATAACATTGAAATTACACGTTAGACCTAAATTTGAATTTGTTTCGATAGCTTCATTCCCAACAATAACAGATGCTGCAAATACAGCAGAGACTATTTTATCACAAGGTGTGAATCCAAATGCCATGGAGATATTAAATGAAGAAATGATGTCATTTGTAAATGAAACGAATATTGATGGGAAATCAGAATATTTACAAAAACCAACATTATTTTTTAAAATTGGAGGTCCTTCAATTTCAAATGTTCAAGATCAATTTAAAATTATCGAGTCAATATCAAGTGAAAATAAATGTCTTGAATTTAAAACATCACAAAATCAAGATGAAAATGAAGAATTATGGTCAGCTAGAAGAAATGGATTATGGTCAACATATCAATATGGAACTAAGATTTTAAAAGATCCTGAAGATGTTCAAGTCTGGACTACTGATGTAGCTGTACCAATTTCAAAATTATCTATAACAATTGCTGAGATAAATCAAATGTTAATTGATGAAGGATTTGAAGGAAAATTTTCAGTAATGGGTCATATTGGAGATGGAAATTGTCATTTTATAATATTATATAACTCACCTGATTATTTAAAAGTTTCAAAAGCAGTTGATAAAATGGTATTTACAGCTTTGAAATACGAAGGTACATGTACTGGTGAACATGGAGTTGGAATTGGAAAGAGAAAATATTTACCTATTGAATTAGGTGAGACTTCAATTGATTTAATGAGACATATCAAAAAAGCAATTGATCCAAATACGATATTAAATCCAGATAAGATATTTAAAATTGATCCAAATGATGATTTAGATGAACAATTGGAACATGGGAATTTATTAGAGAAACAAAATTGTATGTACAACCATTAAAGATCAAATAAAAGTACCAAATTTACATTTTGAGCATCAATCATCATAGACTGTTGAATTCTACCAAATTTACATATTGAGCATCATCATCATAGACTGTTGAATCCTCTTATTTGTTAGTAATTTATATTTCCTATTTCTGATGCCATCTCGATTTACGAGATAACAAAATATATATATATTTTTTTTTTTTTTTTTTTTTATATATATCTTTTCAATTTTATGTCCCAGGCACAATGGTTTCGAGGTCCCATTTGTGGTGTTGATAATTGTCGATCTCGACTATTTAAGAATCAAGATGGTCTTACAATATGTCAATATGGACATGTAATGGAAGGGGCAATTGAATTTAATGATGAAGATTTTGAAAGTGGTGGAACTCAAACTAGAAGAGTTACAAATGTTACATTTAATGAACGAGGACATGTGATAAGGAGAGAGAATAAGGTCATAATTAAAGAACTGAATGAAAGGTTGTTTGGAGAAGATGCAAAGTCATACTATTTAAAGGTTTTACAGAAATTATTAAAAGTTGAAATCAAATATTTTGTTGATTTATTCATGTCAGATTCAGTTTATTCTGATTACGAATTAGTTGTAAAGACAAATTGGATACTATTAACATCGGGAACAACATTGTTAGATATACTAGATTTAATCTTATTACTATATTATTCAGCATTACAACTTCAACTTTATCCTATTTATATGACAGATATAATTGAGTTTTTGAGAATTGCTAAAATTCCATATATTAAAACATTACATTTATTACCTAAATTAGATGTTGAAAAATTACCAAGTAGTTTTATTAATAGATTACAACCACCTTCTTTACCTTATAAAAGTCAAATGTATAAAAGATGGGACAAGTTAACTAAAATACTACCTAAACTAAACGTGCCAATCAGTTTTTATTTCCTTTATATTTTTAGAATATATTCAGAGTTGATTCTACCTAATACTCCCGATTTATTTATAAATACAATTAGATTATTGAATAAATTGGATCCAAAATTTAAAATCAACAAGGTTAAATCAACACTACCTGAAATTTATTTATCCTGTATCATGATGTTTATAATTGTATTGAGTTTCAAAATGAATGATAATGATTATTCACTATATGGGTATCTTCAAGAATTTAATAAATACGAAAGTATGAAAGATTTCAATAATGACGTATTGAATTGGGATAATGATAAGATTAATAAGTTTATTGATTGGGTACTTGATGTGATGTTATCAAAGGATAATAAAGAGGATGTGACAACTATGGAACGACGATTACATAATATTTTTCAATTAGATAATGTTGAGCATAGTCAGAGGGATGATAATGAATATATGAAAGTACTTGAGACAATACGAAGTAATGAAAGAAAAGAAAATACAAAGGAAGAAATGAGACAATTGGCATCCATGTTGTTTGTTAGATTTAGTAAATTGTTAAATATAGATGTGAAAGATTTGGCTAAAGAGTATAAAAAAGTTACCAATGATATAAAGAAGGTAGCTAAAGAGTTAGAGATTAATGATAAATTATAGATTTTGAATGAATGATTAATGATTAATGATTAATGATTAAGGATTAATGATTACGCTTGTAAATGGTTCTAATGTCAAATGTTTACACTCTAATTTTCGATATTTGACGAAATATTGATTGTTCATCCAAGTACATCTTGGGTCGTCAGGTGACGTGAGAGCGTATTCAAATGCAAATATTACTTTGAACTAAAATGCTTAGAATACACTGTTTTAAATACTGATGATATCATATAAAGTTAAAGTAGTGTAAAATTAAAGTTTGTGTTAGAATCTTAGATTTGACAGGTTTGCGCATATTAGCGCATTTTCTTTAAAAAAAAAAACTCAAATTAAAAATGGTAGCAAAATGATAAAGATCATTATAGAAAAATTGACCAAAGAAAACTAAAAAACTAAAAAACTAGAAAACTGGAAAAGTGGTGGGTTTTTCATATTGAATTAATTAAGTGATTGATTCTTTTTGTCATCGTGGAAAGAACTGGAACGCATAGATAATAATAATAAAATGTCAACAATAACTCCTTTAGTTTGCATGAACCCTGTTGAAGCATTTGGCTGTTGACTATGACTTATTTTATAATAAGTCATGCAATTAATAAACGAGACCTTTTATTGTTGATAACAGACTGGATCAATACTTCAATTGATAAAGTATCAACATTCAATATTCAATATTCAAATTTTCAAATATTCAATATTCAATTATTCAATATTCAATTTTTTCCTCAAGAATTCGGTTTTAAGTACACAATTATTCCCTCAAGATTTCGGTTTTAAGTATACGAGAGGTCGTGTCGTTTCTTCGGAGTTTAGGTCAATTTGATCATTACATATGAAAAAAGGGGTAAGTCTCATAAAAACTCAACAAGAATTTTTAGTAAATTATAACCAAAAGTAAAAAGAAAAAAGAAAAAAGAAAAAAGAAAAAACTACACCACCATAAAAATTATAACAAAATAAAATTCAACTCCACATTCTAAGTTTCTTGTATAAACATTTTAGTCGTGGCATCAAAACCATGTAAGCGTTTTAATGCAAATGAATGATGACAAATGTGTTTTAACTCCAGAGATTAAACTTAAATTTTGATCAAAATATTTTTATTTTCATTGATTTTAATTGTTAAGAATTCAATTGATCGATCAATATGTCAATTCTAAAGTCCAGATGATATTATTTATTAAATAGTTTTGTAATGTAGCTTTAACTTTGTGTATCGGTTGGAACTTCCAATTAAAAGAGTAATCGAAAAGATGAACGTTTTATTAATTTTTGTGTGTATAACTACTATATTCGGTTAGAATTTCCTTAAAGAACTAAACGTTTTGATTATTACTACTATCATTATTAATATTACTATTATTATTATTATTATTATTGTTAGTATAATTATTATTGGTATAATTATTATAATTAATGATGATCTCAATTTGAACAATAGAAAAGTTGATTTATTTTCTGGAGTTTAGAACCAATGATATATAATAATTATACTATTAATGATCTCTAGTTTATCGTCAGATTATCTACGGATCTCTATCAATAATCGTTGGTTATAGATAGTAATAATTAGTAATAATACAATACAATTGGTAGTTCTATATTGATTTCAATTCCCCTCCCCCACAAAAAACAATTTGGCAATAATACACTACCATTATGTATAATAATAATTTGTATTGAATAATCAAATTCCTAGAAGTATAAATAGGAATTGATTTGCTGTTTTTATTTCATAAATTTATCATTGTTTTTTATCTCTATTCTTTTTTTCTTATCTATATATAAATATGTCATTACCTTTAGAAGTTGAAATTAAATTACCAACAGGTACTACTTATAAACAACCAACAGGTTTGTTTATTAATAATGAATTTGTTTACCCAAAACAAAAGAAAAGTTTTGAAGTTTTATCACCTTCAACGGAAGAAGTTATTACTTCAGTTTATGAAGCTTTAGAAGAAGATGTTGAAACGGCGGTTCAAGCTGCAGAAGCAGCTTATAAAACTAATTGGACTTGGGGTCCACCTGAAGCTAGAGCTGCAGTTTTGTATAAATTGGCTGAATTGGTTGATAAAAATGCCGAATTATTAGCTTCAATTGAAACTTTTGATAACGGTAAATCTTTACAAAATTCAAAAGGAGATGTTGCTTTAACAGCTGCTTATTTTAGATCTTGTGCTGGTTGGTGTGATAAAATTACTGGTAATTTAATTAATACTGGTAATTCACATTTTAATTATACTCAAAGAGTTCCAATGGTTTGTGGTCAAATTATTCCTTGGAATTTTCCTTTATTAATGTTATCTTGGAAATTGGGTCCTGTTTTAGCAACTGGTTGTACAACAGTTTTAAAATCTGCTGAATCAACTCCATTATCTGCTTTATATGTTGGTAAATTATTAGTTGAAGCTGGTATGCCAAAAGGTGTTGTTAATATTATTTCTGGTTTTGGTGCAACTGCTGGTGCTGCAATTGCTTCTCATCCAAGAATTGATAAAGTTGCATTTACTGGTTCAACAAATGTTGGTAAAATTATTATGAAAGCTGCTGCTGAATCAAATTTAAAAAAAGTTACTTTAGAATTGGGTGGTAAATCTCCAAATGTTGTTTTTGATGATGCTGATGTATCTAAAACTGTTAAACATTTAATTACTGCAATTTTCTTTAATACTGGTGAAGTTTGTTGTGCTGGTTCAAGAATTTTAATTCAAAGTGGTATTTATGATAAAATTATTAAAGAATTCAAAAAGGAAACTGAAAAAATTAAAATTGGTAATCCATTTGATCCTGAAACTTTTATGGGTGCTCAAGCTTCTGATATTCAATTTAAAAAAATTTTAAAATATATTAATTCTGGTATAGAACAAGGCGCTACTGTTATTACAGGTGGTAAACCAGTTGAAGGTAAAGGTTATTTTATAAAACCAACTATTTTTGCTGATGTTAGACCTGACATGGATATTGTTAAAGATGAAATTTTCGGTCCTGTTGTTTCTGTCATTAAATTTGATACTGTTGATGAAGCTATTGAATTAGCAAATGATACTCAATATGGTTTAGCTGCAGGTATTCATACAAATGATATAAATAAAATTATGAAGGTTTCAAATGCTATTAAAGCTGGTACTATTTGGGTTAATACTTATAATGATTTCCATCCAATGGTTCCATTTGGTGGTTTTTCAGCTTCAGGTATTGGTAGAGAAATGGGTGAAGAAGTTTTCCATGAATATACTCAAGTTAGAGCTGTTAGAATTGCAATTTCTAATACAAATTAGCTAGTTAATTAATTGAATGAATATATATCATGTTTGTTTGAATTGTATGTGTTATTTTGTTGGTGATAGTTGCAAAATTTAGTTTTTCAATTTTATGCGTGTAGAAAATCAAACTCCATCGTATACAATATTTATCAATTAGTATGTCATCATCATCTAATTATAGAAATGATGATACTAACAATTTAAACTCATCGGGTTATAGTAGAAGAACTACTGATGATAGAAGAGAATTACCTAATAGACCAAGAGCAAGACAACATTATAATCAAAAACAACAACAGCAACAACATTATGATCAACAACAACAACAACATCATCATCATCATCATCGAGATAGAGGTAGGGAAAGAATTAATCATGAATCGAAATATCCAAAAGAACCAAGTTCTAAATTACCAAGAATACCCACTGAACCAAGAGGTAGTAGAATACCCAATGAACCAAGAGGTAGTAGAATACCCAATGAACCAAGAGGTAGTAGAATACCCGATGAACCAAGAGGTATGAAACGTACTCATGAAAAAGAATCTTATAGACCATCAAATAAATTATCACCTCAAAATGAATTGCAAAAATTACAATCAAAATTATCTGAATTTTCAAATATAGAATCAATCGATCAAATTAAAGTTATAGATTCAAGATGGGATGTTAAACCAAAAGGTTTTGAAGAAGTTGGTGCTGCGAGAGCTAAATTATCTGGTTTATTCCCATTACCTGGATATCCAAGACCCGTTGATTTTACAAAATTAGAAGGTTTAATTAAAAATCGTATGTTGGATTCAAATGATGTTTTACATGATGTTTCTAAAATTGAACCAATAGATTCAAGATTAGCAAGATTATTAATAATTGAAGTTGATTTTAAAATTATAAATTATTTAAAAATTGTTGAATTTTTCAATGACTATTTAAAAATGATTGATTATGATAATACAAATAATAATATACATAGTAAAAGAAAGTTGGATAATAAATTAATTATAGAATTTAATAATGCTGAATCTGCAACTATAATTTATTCATTAAATGGTACTGAATTATTATTAAATGCTTATAAAGAAGATGATGCAATTGCTGAAGGTAAATTTAAATTAAAAATAACTAGACCTAATGAATATGTAGTTAGTGAAGAAGATTCAAAAAAAGTTTCAATAGTAACAAATGCAACTCAAGATGAATTACAACAATTGGGAGAAATTCAATATTTACGTCAAAAGGGTACAAAAGAACCATTAGGTTTAGTATTTGCAAAATCTGATAAGATACAAGAAATAAAGGCTCTTCCATTTGTTAATGATGCTTTTTATTCATGCCAAGGTAAATATATACAACAAACTCCAATAACTTATACAAAATTGAAAAATTTGGTAAATAATGATCCAAAACATGAAAAACTGAAAGTTATACAGATTTTAAATGCCGTTACAATTAAAGATTTAATAGATGATGAAATGTATCAATTTATACTTAAAGATATGAAACATGTAATTGGACTAATTGGTAAAATAATATCAATTAAAATACCTAGACCTGCTAATGATTATACTCCTGGTTTATCACAATTTAATCAACCTGGTTTAGGTAAAATATTTATTGAATTTGATGATGAAGAATCTGCATTAAAAGCTATAATGGAATTAAGTGGTAGATCATATAATGATCGAACTGTATTATGTTCATATTTTGATCAACAAGATTTTAAAAATGATATATTATAAATCAATAAACATTTTTAATTCTTTTGGAACATTTTTATCATAACCATGTCTTGTAATTAAATCGTATAATTTTTCTGGTAATTCAGGTATAAAACTTAAACTCAATTTTATAATTTCATTTTCTTCTAGTACTGGAAAGTTTCTTAGTATCTTCATTGGTTGCTGATTATTTAATAATTCTGTTCTATTTAATATTAATTGTGCAACTACAAATAATATATTCATATGAAACCCATAAGCAAATAATAAATCCCATAATTTTAAAACTGATTTTAATGGTGGTGTACAACCACTTAATGTTAATATTGATGGGAATGCATAAATTTTAGCTTTCAAAAATTTGGAATCTAAGTATTCACTTAGTACTGGATCAATAATTTTCAATACAACATCAACTAAACTTAATCCAGTATGTACTCCATCTAAATTTGGTGTAATATATAATGGAATATGATATGTGATTAAATTATGTAGTAATGCAAATGCTTGTGGTTCACTTTTATGACAACAATAAGCAATAGGAGCTAATAAAACATTTAAACCTTGAACATATCCAACTTTATTAACCATTGCAATACATGATAATATTCGAACTAATGAATCCTCACCAACTTTTGCATGAAATTTCTTATCATTCATCAATGTTCTAAATGTATCATTTTTAATTTTAGCTAATAATTCAGATGATAAATTTTCTTCAGCTTGAGCTAATAAATGTAAATAATCCTTTGTTGTAAAAGTGGGTACCCTTAATAAAATTGACCAAACATAAGATCTATAAGGACATTGATCATAACCTTCGGGAGTTAATAATCCTTCTATCAATATCATATATCTTAATTGTGATAGACCATTATCTAAGAATAATTGTGGACTAGATATAAATTGTTCAATTGAATCTTTCTTTCTTCCTTTATCCATTTTAATTGTTTACAATTTTCAGAATTCGCTACCAAGTTCAATATTTGTTGAACTTCCATCACCCGTACTATATCAGAACTTTTAAACGGCATTTAGTCCAATGATCTACAAATTTCAAAATGGTTTGGCTTAAAATTACAATCAACGGAATCATATGTACAAGTTATAGAGAAGCTATGAAGTTGATATGATCAATGTCCATGCATATAAACAAAGTTATAGTTAGTTTCAAATTCAAGCTAATGTTAAAAAACTTCCATAGCTTTGAAATATAGTAATCCTAGTAGTGGGTACTTAAAAAATATAAGATTTGTTTGTTTCAAGAATTATTGTAAAATTTCTAGACAAAGTATAGATTTTGGACTCAACTTCAACGAATGTTTAAGAAATATACTCTACCAGAGTTGAATTTGTTAAGGCCAAAATAACTGAAGCCATTTAGTCAGGTAATAGTTTTAGACTTAAACACCTCTAGAATTGAATTTCTTGTTTTTTAGATGTTCTGTAATTTTGCAACAATTTGAAAAGAACCACAAAAATTACTTGGACAACGTATTGACAAACGACGCTACCAAACATGATCTCTCTTTTGATAACTACCTTTGACTGGTCCCAAATGAGTAGCTCAATTTCAGTGATGTTATTATAACCACTCAGATATATACGTACTGTTAGTTTTGGATATGTGCTACTGAATTGGATTGAACTTTTCGATATTTTCTTTACCCTGCAATTTAAAATGTCAAACTGTAGAGCTGGAAATCATTTTACTTCAATCAGTTTGTGAGATGAACGTTTTTCAATAAAAGAGATTTTAGCTGTAATGTGTCTATGTATTGGAAATGTGGTCTGTATTACAAGAAAATGCGTTGCTCGGGGCATATAGCCAATGTGTGCAGTACGAGGTCGGCTCAAGGCTGGTGCGAAATTTTTTTTTTCCCGCTCCGAACGATCAGACATAATAACATATACACATTTGAGTATAACAAAACGAGATATACAAAAACGTACCGCATATTCTGAAATATAAAGTACCTCAAGTGCTATTAAGAATCATCTCATAGTCTGTGATGTCCTATCTAATCTAAGTTGGAGGCTTTGCAATTTTGTAAATTGATGTTGAACTTCAAAATCATAGGAAATTACAACATAATTACTTTGGTATGCACTACTCCCTAATAAGTCCCTAGTAGATCATGATTTCTGCTACTTCTTATCTCTGCTAAGACAATTAGATATTTAGTGTACAAGCTAAGAGTTACAACTTTGTATATATTAATATATTATTAACTATTATTGTGTATTATTGACAGATTAGTTTTGTCTAATCCCCCCTTAACAGCGACAGCCGCCTAATAATCCTCAATATTTATTGTCTAAAACTTCATCTACATTATATACGCTTACACCTTCTAAATCATCTAAGTTAGATTTAGGACCAGTATATGATTTATAACCCCAAACATAATAATATATCAATGATATAATCCATACTGCTGGGTTGATAACCGCTGTATAATTCATTGATTCTCTAGTTACTGGTACATTATCTGGAAACATACATAATACAATTGTATAACTTAACCAACAAACAGTAACAAAATTAATAATCCATGAATATTTACCCAACCAAAATGGACCATTAACAAATCTTTTCCTTCCAGAAGTCATGGAAGCGATTATTGGAATTAAAAAACTCATTGTATTGCTAGCTATACCCAACGAAAATAAAGCTCCCAGACCAGCTGGACCAATTAGAACAAGTAATCCTAATATAATACCTAATATACCACTGAAAAATGTTGCATTAATTGGAACTTGAACTTTGGGATTTACATATTTAACTATATTTGAAACCAATGGTAATCCATCATCTCTTGCAAACGACCAAACTTGTCTTGAGAGGGCAATCATTATAGAAATAGCCATAAGAAATTGTCCAAATGCAATTAATGACATCATTGCAACAGCAAATCCTTTACCTAAACTATCTGCACAAATTTGAGCTAATGCATTTCCAGAATTACTAGCCAAAACAGCTTCAACATTTCCGTTTTTAATACATAAAGCACATACAATAACTACAATCCAACCAAGTACCCAACAAGCACCAATTGAACCTAATATACCTACTGGAATACTTTTTTGTGCATTTTTAGCTTCTTCTGAACAATGAATTGGAGAATCAAATGAACCGACTAAAAAAGTTAGTAGACTCAATATATAGTTTTCTTTTTACTTACTTGTCCAGATTGCCGGCATCCATGATAAAGCAAATGACCAAGACATTGAATAATTTCTCAGATTTTCAAATTTTGTAAATATATAAGAACCTGAATTAAAATTATGATGTTTAGAAACACCAATAGGAACAGCAATAATAAAAATCAATACTAAAACAACATTTACTACAATACTTATGGATTGTAATTTTGCACAATGTTTAGTTGTTAATGAAGCAATAATCATATTTAAAACAAAAGCACCAACGTATATACCATAACATCTAGCTGGTGTAATATCAAAATTACCATCACGAGCAATCGAAACAGCTGATAGAATTTCAGTACTTAATCCGTATGTAATTGCACAACTACCACCAATTAGACCTAGAGAATTTGAACATCCAACCATGAAACTTAATGGAACTCGAATACATTGTGGAGAATAATAATTTGTATAATAATAAAGACCACCCTGAAATGTTAGTAGCGTCTATAATATAGTTATTATTTCATACGTACACTTGTAGGCATTGAACTTCCTAAAAAAGATAATGAAGTTCCGGTACTGAAAATGAAGATACATGCCAAAAACCAGCCCCATACTAAACCAGCACTAAAATAGTTAGTAAATCAACAAATTATAGTGTTCTAATACTACATACCTGCCAGCTTCAAGACCAGTGTTGATCGTACTTGAAATACTAAAATCGTTAGTATGATTCGTAAATTTGAAATTAGATCTTAGAACTTACCTTGGCAATAATCCCATAATAGAAAAAGCAATACCAAAAACTTGTAATGTACTATAATGTCTTTTTAATTCTTGTTTATATCCAATTTGAGCTAATAAATCAACATCACCAAAATTATTTTTGGGATCAATATGTCTAATTTCAGATCTAACTGAAGTTAATTGACTCAAATGGTTAGAAGTAACTGATTTGATTGTATTCATTCTACGTGGTTTGTTTAGTTAGACATGATCATGTTTATATATAAAAGATCTACATCGGCATCTTTTAACCTTATCTTTGTTTTCGCGTCCACTTTTCTAATTTGTTAACAATCAAAGCCTTATTCTAATCTTTAAGCTGTGGTACATTAATTATAACAACAAGGTTATGGTTATGGCTATCGGGTTATCTTATCTTATTGTTTTTCCAATTTGGAATTTATGAAATTCCTTATCAAGTAAAACATGTGGAAAGGAATAAATAATTTTTTAGTGCATTTCACATGGTCTTCTTGCGGAAACGGTGAACCGTCAATTAATATTAATTAATCATGATCTGATGATGAACTTGCTTTTACTTAATTGAGACTTAGAGATTATTTTGCTCAAGGTTTAAAACTTTCAACGAATCATGATCAAATAAATACTAAAAATGCATCTTACCCTATACTCAAAGTTAGAAAGAGCTTTAAATCAATACAAAGATTAAGGAAATAACATTATTATCTTGAGCTTAAAATAAACTAATGGTGTGTAAAATAAAGTAATGGTGTATATAGGTTAACAAAAAAAAATGCTCCGTACCAGGATCGAACTGGTGACATTCGCGTGACCTAAGCATAGTCAGATACGTTGTAAAATACCACTATAAGCACGATGCTCTTTTAAATTGTTAGTTAACATTCAATAACTATAAAACGACCGGTTACGGCCTTTGATTACTTACCTAAACCGCTGAGCTAACAGAGCAAATCGAACCAGCGACTTGTATGTTAAAGTTGCTGATCGAAACTGCCAGATGAAACATCTCAGGATTGAAATGTATTTGTAAAAACCTCATTGTTATTACATTTGCCTGATGACCCAATTCTAGACTGATATAAAACAGGTCAATAGGTACATTTGAAGTCAATCTAACTATTCCGATTAAAAATAGAAGCAAGAACAGTCTACATGTTGTTACCGCTATACCGTTACTAAAAAGAGCTTTGAGGTGAAAACCGGTTTTTAGGCCGCCAATCACGTGACTCGATTTCATCAAATCAAAGATTACTTGTACTTGTACTTGTACTTGTATTTTACATTCCACTTGATTTCAAAGGTGCTGCTTCTTTATTTCGTGAGAGAATGAATGGGATAATTCAACTGATTTTGTTAGGTGATTACATAAACAAGTGTTTCAGAATTAATTACCCAATAAGGCAAAGGAAAAAAAGTGAAAATTTTAAGCGCCTTAAACTTAAGGGGTAGTAAACCTCAAAAGCCTCTTAATATTTTTTAAGACAATTTTTCATCCTAACAAGATAACCACTTCTAATAGTTATTATAGATTTATAAATGAGCCTACGTTAATATTGGTTTGACTATTTTAAAAGTTACATCTATTACGAATTTTGGTTAGTGACAATTTTTGATCAATTACCCCTTAATCCCAAATATATTGTACGAAAAGTATTTTAATGGACTTTTCGAAAAAGTCATTACATTTATAGCTAAACATTTAACGAATAAGATATGCGTCCTTAAATCGTGTTTGCTGTTTCGAAAAACTGCACTGTTAAACTAGCTTTCAATTAAGAGATAGTACATCAAACTGAAGTTTGAAAGAATTGTAGATCTTAAATAATCAACATTTATTAATCTATAACTCATCGTGTTCTAAATTTTGTTCTGTTTCAGTTTCTTCAGAAACTTCTTCTTTTGTTTGATTATCAAAATCAATTTCAGAAGTTTCTTCAGTTACTTGTTCTTCAATCTTTTCATCAACTTCAACTTCTTTTTCTTCTTTTTCCTTTTCTTCTTGTTCTTTCTTTTTCTTTTCCTTTTCAGCTTCTCTTAATATTCTTCTATATTCTTTTTTTTTTTCTCTTTCTAATAGTTTAACAAATTGATCTTCAAAATGTTGAACTCTTTGATGATGACTACTTTCAATTGAAATTATATCAACGAACATTTCAGCAATACCTTTAGCTAAATCATCATGAAATTTATATAATTCGACCTTTGAATAATTATCAAAATCGTCTGATTCAATTAATTTACCAACTTGAGTAACTATATCTTTATAATTCTTTAAATTTTTATCAAATGTTAATAATCTATCTTCTGACTTTAATTTCAATTTATCATTTTCTTTATCAAAATTTAATCCAGAATCTTCATATTTTTTTCTAATTTCAGAAATTTTATTACCAAATTCAAGCATACTTGATTGAATTTTAATCATCAAATTTGAACTATCTTGATATAATTTTTTCATTCCTTCTAATGATAAATCTGTATTTTTCATATGTATAAATTTTTTCAATTCTAATTCAGATTCTGAAATCTGTTTAATTTTATTCTTTGTTTCTTCAAGATCATCATTTTCATCTAACCAGTCCATAAGTTCTTCAATTAATACTTGATATGGTGTTAAGTCAGTCTCTTCAGAAAGTAAAACTTCATTATCTTCAATATAATTTCTAAAATAATAAATTCTTGATTCTAATTGATTTTGTAATTCTGTTAATTCAATTTTTAAATCATCTTGTTTATTTAACCACGATAATTTATCAATCAATTCTTTTTTATTTATGATTGGTTGAACATGAGGATAAATTGTTTTTGTTGTGGTATTTATTTTAACATCAAATATTTTATTATCATCAATTGTGAAAACACCAGTATATTTACCTTTATTAAATTTATAAGTCTTTATTAATTCACCATCTTGTAATAATGAAATTGAATCAGATGTGAAATTGACACTAGCAGTTTTATTAGTTGAACCTTTTGGAAATAAAACAATTATTTCATCATCAATTTTATATTCATAATTATGAAAATTTCTTTCAATTATTTCTGAACCCGTTTTCAATTTTAATCCTTGCAATGTAGTACCTAATGCACAACTTTCATCTGTATTTACTGATTTTGAAAGTTTCATTAAACTAGCAACATGTTTTTGAATAAATGGAACTCTTGTTGAACCTCCGTTAAGTATAACTGAGTTTACATCTTCAGCATTTACATTTGCATCTCTTAAAGCATTTTCAATTGGTTTAACAATATTTTCCATTAAATCACTATTCAATTCTTCAAATTCATCTCTTGTAATATGAAATTTATATTCTTTATCATCAATTTCTAAACTTGATTTAAATTCTGAATTTGCAGATAAAATGATCTTTGCCTTTTCTGATAATTCCCAAATCCTTGCCTTTATTTTATCATTTTCAGGAAAATCTTGTATAAATTTGGAATAAATCAGTTCAGTTAAAAATCTACCACCAAATTTTTCATCATAACCAATACTTTCAATAGTTAAATTTTGACCAATTGAAAATAAAGTAGCAGTTGTATAACCAGCACCAACATCATAAATTAAATGATAACCTTCTTCAACTTCTTTTTTACTTGCAAAATTTAATGCAACAGCAGTACCTTCATCTACTAAACCTAAAACTTTTAAATTTGCTAACGATAATGAATCTAAATAAGCCTGTCTAGTAGCTTGAGAAGCAAATGGAGGGATTGAAATTACAGTATCTAAAACTTGAGCAGTTTTTTGATTTTTTAAATCTTTAATAGCACGTTTTTTAATATCATTTAAATACATTGCAAATAATTCTTCAACTGAAAATGTATAATTTGATAAACCTAAATCAACATCAATCGAATTTCTTGAATTATTTGATAATTTAATAAAATGTGATTTAAGATAATGATCAATATCATCTATTGATTTACCTAATAATAATTTTAAATCCAAAATAGATTGAGATGGAAATCTAGTTATTAAATTAGACATATGACTACCAAATATTCTTTCAACATCTTCACCATCTTGCTTTATACAAATACCAGATAAATCCTTACGTTTACCTTCATCAGTTAAAACCATTTCAAATTTAATATTTGGAGCTAATAAAACAGATTTAGTAAATTGTTGACCATAATCAATACCCAATATAGCACCAATCACTAGTGAAACCAAATAAAACAAGACTACTCTCATAGTTAGTATTGAACACTTGTTAACAACAGAAATGAAAAATTATGAAAAATTCCGCCGCACGCCAAAAAGAGTAAAAAATAAAAAAAAAATACATCATCAAAAACATTTCTCAAAAGGGCTAAACAGTTGACGGAAGAAGATGGCTAGTGATGATGATAAAATGTACATTTCATATAACAATGTACACCAATTATGTCAAGAAAGCGCTGATAAAATTAAACAGTTCAAACCGGATTTAATTATAGCTATTGGTGGTGGTGGTTTTATACCTGCTAGAATGTTGAGATCTTTTTTGAAAGAACCTGGTCAACCAAATATTAGAATTATGGCTATTATATTATCTTTATATGAAGAAATTGAACATGCTGGTGGTATTGAAAAGCCTGGTACGCAAGTTATTAGAACTCAATGGATTGATTATCATCAATCAAAAATTGATTTAGTCGATAAAAATATTTTAATTATTGATGAAGTTGATGATACAAGAACAACTTTACATTATGCTGTTAGTGAATTGAAAAAAGATGTTGAATTACACGCAAAGGAAAAGGGGAAAGATCCTAAAAATACTAAATTTGGTATATTTGTATTACATGATAAACAAAAGGTTAAAAAAGCTGATTTACCAAAAGATATAATGGATAATAATTATTTCGCAGCTAGAACAGTACCTGATTGTTGGATTGCTTATCCATGGGAATCAACTAATATAGTATACCATCAAAAGAAAGCTGAAGAACAAGGTAATGATGTATTTTTAGATTTAGAAGATAAATAGATTTTAATCAATTTCAATAACGTCGTCGGGACTTCTTGAATGATTTTTTAATGGTGGAAATGGATTTTGACTTTTTCGTTTCTTTGTTCTTAATGATTGACCAGATCCTGTAAATTTAGGAGCATCTTCTTTTTCAACTTCTTCCTTTTCTATTGGTATTATTGGGAACCCAAAGAATAATTGACCTTCAGGTAATTCTAATTTCTTTGGTGGTGCATCTTTTGATAAATCATTTATATTATATTCTATCTTTCCTGATAATTTATTTCCCTCATTTGATGCGATTTTTGCATATTCTATTGATTTTGCCATTGTCCCAGCACCTGACAGTTTATTAATTTCTTTCTTCTTTGGTTTATATTCTGGTTCAACATATCCAACCGGTGGAGCAAAATCAGTTTCTAAATCAGTTTCAACTACACATATACCATTACTTGGTTTTGCTTCTAATATTTTAATACCATAAATTTGATCATTATAATTAATTTCAATTATATCATCAACTGTTAATGTTGAAAATTTTCGTAATACATTTTCCAAAACAGCTTTTGGATCTGAAATATCTAGAAAATCGACACTTTGTGGTTCAATTTTAACAAATTTACCTAAAGGTAAATCACAATTATTAATTTTAATTAAATTTCCAGGGTTCAAATTTAACGTATTCATCATCCATTGTGGTAGATAACATCTACCTTCTTCAGCAGTAAATTCTAAAACTCCAGAATGAGTGAACTTACCATTCGATTCATTCTTTATCTCAAATAACATCGGATATCTAATATGCAACATTGTTAATTTATTTAACGAAGATTGTGGTAAAAAGATTTTACCACCAAAATTTGAATCATCTTTTCTAATTAAATCAGGCATCATTGAAATCGGATAGCATCTGAAAAATTCTTCAAATTTATTACTAGAATTGAATGAACCAAACATGGTTGAACCAAATGATGAAAACATGATTACTAGTGGCAAAGATGATATTTGGTTATAAAAAAATTCACGAGTTGGTAGCGTTGTTGATCTATTGATCTATATCGCCGTCTAATATATAAATACATATTATTTCTATTTATTTATCAAATCAGTAATCAATTCCTTCTTATAATCATCTAGATCATTAAATAATGACTGATACTTTGTTTGTTCCATAGATTGTAAATTAGAAACAATATAATCAATTACGTTCAATGTATCGATGGGTGTTTCCTTTAGTGCTTCTAATTCAGCGTCATCATCATATTCAACTTCATATGTCAATTCATTTTGTAATATTTGTGCTCTTTTCTTTATTGCAATTGGTAATGTAGATAAATTATTTAATAAAATATCCACCAATTCATGTATTAAATCTTGTAATTCCAAATTTGATGATAAAATTGACATTGAAGCAAGAATCTGTAATTTACAACCATAAACAGACTGGAAATCATTTGAATATTTAATCCATAATTTAAAAAACTCTTGTATAAAATTTTGCGATTTCAAAAACTCAATAGTTAAATTTGAATTTATATAAAATGATGCAAAGAATATCCTCAATATTGATAAATAATGTAACATATAACCATCAAATAAATCTTCAGTCTCAAATGACTTAAATATTTCAAATATTTCACCTAATAAAGGTGCTAATAATTGATCAGATTTAATTGATAATAAAATCAATTCAATATTTTCAAAAGCTAAATGTGCAAATACAGGATCAACATTATCAGACTTCAATACATTAAAATTTATAGATATCAATTTTTGTACATGATTATTATCAATTGTTAAATTTTTAAAACCTTTATTTATAATTACTTCAAAAAATGGTTGAAATTGATCGAAATATTCATAAGCATAAATATCAAATGAATCAAGAATATAATCATATAAATTCCATACAGTTGGTGATACATCAGTTATAATTAAATTTTCTAAAATTTCAATACATTCAGTTATAAATTGAATCATTGCATTATCTATAATAAATTTGATTAAATTTTCCAAAACATTTTCCAATTGTAATACGACTTGAGGTACATTAGACATTGATATAATTAAAGTTACTAAAGTATTTAAAATTCCAGCTGCTTGATATTCTTTTTCTTCATTATGTGAATCTAATAAATCATTTGCTATATTTAAGAAATTTTCTATTAATTTTGTAGCTAACTCAATAGCATAAGGTTGAAGGTTCTTTGCAAATTTTTCAACAAATTTATCCATTATATTTGTTAATATTTCACTTTCAAAATGTTTTGACTTTTCTAATAAATTATTCATAATTTGTGGAGATTGATCTTGAATTTGTTCACATATTACATCTTCATTAATTAATGTAGCTAATGCATCAGCAGCTGTTAATTGTATTGGTATAGAATCAGATTGAAAACATTCAGTAATTCTTTGAAAAATTTGTTGTAAAATATTAATATCACTATAATTATGATTAAACATTGCAATTGTATCACAAGCTCTTGCAATTAACCAAGGCTCACTTTTTAATTTTGGATAAACATAATTGAACAACATTTGATCAATTGGTAAATTTGATTGTTCTAATTTAAATGATAAAGTTGATAAAATTCTAAAACATGCTTCAATTTCTTTTAAATCATTAGCATTAAATTTTTCATTTACAATTTCAATAATTAAATTAATTGATTGTGGTTGTTTCTCACCTAATCTATAAATAAAATTTATACTTGCAACATCACTTGTATTTTGTTCTCTATTAATATCAAAAAATCTTCTAAAATATTCATTTGGATCATCTTCATATAATTCTATTGTATCTTGAGTAGCTTGTAAAGTTGGAAATATAACATGATTTATAATAGCATTTAATTTCTCTTCAATTAAACTCCAATATGGAGTTTCAACAACTTGTTCAATAAATGAAATTAAATGAAATAATGCATTTTCATTTAACCAAGATTTATCACTCGACCATTTTTCAATAAATTCCCAATAAGACTTCAAAATTTCAGGAATAAACAGCAAAAACATTTCGACAAATTGAGATTTTTTAGTTTGAAAACCACCATTTTTAGTTAATAATCTATTTAAATTACCAAAACACCATTTAATAGTTTTAGATTCTCTATTTGATAATTTATTTATAATTTCAATATGTAATTGACACCAAGAACCTAACTTATTTTGAAAATAAGCTGGTACGTAAAAAAATGTAACAAATTTAAAAGTTTTAATGATCAAATATAACATATCATCTCTGTCATGATTTATTAAATTCTTTGTAAGTTCTTCTAGTATTGGAAATATTTCAACTGTAACTTCTTCAAATACTGGATTTGTTGATTCTCCATCATATCTATAATTTTTACAATATTCAAATAAACAAATTAAGCCAACATAAACATGATCTTCGTCTTGCTTAAGTAAATTCTTTATTAATGGAACCATTTCATTCCATTTTTCAAAACTTAAAATGTTGTTTAATGATATTGAAAGTTGGATCTTCAATGGTGTATTTTTGTAAACTTTGATCAATGTTGATATCAAGTTTTCCTTAATCAATTCCTTTTCGCTATCTTTTATAAACAAGTCCACCAGTTGTTTATTATTCTCAGGTACTACCCAATAATTATTTATTCTATTTTTAAAGAATATAGCACCCGGTAATAAACCATCATCATTAATTACATCTAATAAATAGTTTGTAAAACCAGCTTGTTGTTCATATAATTTCAATTGTTGTTCACTTTGTTTCCTTACCTGTTCATTATTGTTAATAGTACCATTCAAAGCTTTGATTAGTTGTTGTTTATCCATAGTTTCTTAATAGCCACTGGTGAACACTAGTGAAAAAAAAAAAAAAAAACCAACCACTCATCGAATCATCGAATCATCGAAATCAAACACCATAACATAAATGAAAGAAATTAAAGGATTTAGTATATTACCAGTTCAAATTGAGAGTAGTATTCATTATATATATTACAAGAAACATGAAGGTAAAAATTCCGATAATAAACTGATTTTTACATTCAATTTACCAATATTAACTAATTTATTAATTATTAAAAAGTTTTATCAAGAAATAGCTATTGGTGCAATAGTTGAATCATTTATAGATTCGAAATTATCAAATTATATAGAAGATTCATGGGTAAATCTAAGTAAGTTAACCAGTGATTTAATAAAAGATGATGATGATGATGATTTAATAATACCGAAAAATTGTGGAATTATAAGTTTTATAGATTCAAGTTCATTTAATTTAGCATTTAATAATATGAAAAAACTCAATAAACAACCTCAATGGCCAATACAAGAATATGGTTCATCGTATATGTTGAAAAAATATCAACAAGAAATACTAGATAAAGAAAATTTAATAAATGAAGTATCCACAGAATTAGAAATTTTTAATAATCTTGAAAAAGAATCAATAGCACAATTACAACAACAAACTCAACTAGTAGATGAAGATGGATTTACTTTAGTTGTTGGTAAACATAGTAAAACAAAAGCAGGTATTTTAGGTAAACAAAAATTCATAAATAAAGTAGAAAATGAAAAGAAGATACAAAAGCAAAAGAAGAAAGAACATTCCGACTTTTATAAGTTTCAGTTAAGACAACAAAAGAAGGAAGAAATGAACCAATTGTTGACCAAATTCAAACAAGATCAACAAAAGATTGAAAAAATGAAACAAAAGAAAAGATTTAAACCATATTAGGAAATTTTTATTTTTCGAGATGAGCGATGAGATGAACTGTGAAATAAATAGTTACATAGATGAATATAATACTAGTCAATTTGATATATTATCAACTATTAGATTTGATCCAAATTTATCAACAATTCCTCCTTTCTTGATTGATGATTTAACAATTGAAAATTTCTTTCTATTGAATGAACATGTTGAAAGATTAAGATTTACATTACAGTATTTTACAAAGGAAAGATTTGAAATAACAACAGAGATTGTATTTAAACAATTAGTTGAAGCTTTTAAATCATTAAATAAATTGGTATTCGTTCCTTACAAAATTAGATGTTTGACGAATTTGAATGGTGATTGTAAGTTTGAATTTCACGAAATAACAAATAGATTAAATTTATTAAATGGTTTATTTCCAAATGTTTCGAATGGTGATTGTAAATTTAAATATCATGAAATAACAGATAGATTAAACTTATTAAATAGTTTATTTCCAAATGTTGTAAATGAATTTGATTTCTTAAATGAATTACAATTGGAAAATGATCAAGATGAAATTTGGGATATTTATATAAATAATGATTGTACCATGATTTCACCTTTTACTTCATTTAAAACAACAAATAGAGATCATTATAATACAGCAAGACAATTGTTACCAAATAAAAAACCAGGTAAAGAAGAAGTATTATTATATAATCCTCAATATAATTTGATGGAAGGTTCAATTACAAATATTGCTGTTAAAAGATTTGATAATTGGATAACTCCAATGTTAAGTTCTGGTTGTTTATGTGGTGTTATGAGACATTTCTTATTGAGAAAGAATTTTATTCAAGAAGATATTATTAATATATGTTCACTTCAACCTGGTGAAGAAGTGTTATTATTTAATGCTATAATTGGTGTAGTTAAGGGAAGAATTGTGGAAAATCATATGGCCGAGCCATTAAATTATGATCACTTGGGAACTTAACAAAGTAAATGAATTAATTAATGACAAGTTTATGATGTGATAAATGATGCAAAAAAGAAGAATGGAGATTGGGTTTGAAAAAAGATGTTAATAATTAGTGGGAAACTAAGCATGCTATTTAGATGATAATGAACTGAGATGAAGGTGATTAGGGTGATTTGAATGAGAATTAGGATATAATTATGATGAAATTTTGCAATATATAATGTTAACTCCTTTGTAATCTTTCAATGCTGAAATTTACAATTGCATGACCATTTGATGCTTTAGTACCCATATTTTGAGCTTGCAGCTAATTAAATTAATTTTTTAAGGGTATCTAGATCGATGGATTGAAATTCTATGGCTTGATCAATGTCGTTAACCTTTGAATTTTAAGAGATTGATTGCATTCTTACTCACAAAAAATAATCATGTATTCTATAATATATTAAAATAATCATCTATTCTATAATATATTTAATATCTTTTAAACTATCAGTATTTAAACAACTTGGAGCTTCTAGTTGAACTTTTGGTTTTGCATTCCAAGCAATTCCAAATCCAATAGACATCATAGGCAAATCATTAGCACCATCACCAACAGCACAAGCAAATTTAGTATCTATATTATGAACCTTTGCAATTTCTTTTAATAATTGTGCTTTCTTTTCACCATTTACAATTTCACCAATAATTTCTCCATTTAATTTATTATCAGATATACCTAATTTATTAGCATATGCATAATCTAAACCCAATTCCGATTTAATATATTCAGCTAGTTCAATGAACCCACCAGAACAAACAGAGGTAATTATACCTTTTGATTTTAAAAATTGAATCAATTCTTTTGCACCGTTAGTTATTTTTAATTTTGGTTTTATGTCGTCCCATAAAGTTTCTGCATTAATACCTTTTAATAATCCAACTCTTTTCTTTAAACTTTCATTAAAATCCAATTCTCCATTCATTGCCCTTTCGGTAATTTCAGCAATTTTTAATTTTAAATTTGGGTCTGAGTCTGCAATTAATTCAATAACTTCTTGATATATTAAAGTTGAATCCATATCAAATACAAATAATTTCTTGGATCTATATTCAATCGGTTGTATAATTACATCAATTGTATGTAAGAATTTACTTTTCAATGATTTTCTAACTGTTTCAACATCTGAAACTTCAACAAAATAATCAATTGCACGAGATGATTTGACCACTTTTCTAAATTCTGATATTCCTTTTATATACTCTTCAACATAATCTATATTCTCATTCTCAAATTTTGATATAACTGTTATAACGCATTGAGTCATAGTCATCTCTTTAATTGAGTACGCGCTAAAAAATGTTCCAAATGCGTTGTAGTAATAAATCTAAGTAAGAAGAGTATCCAATTAGAGAGCAGATGAATACCGGCTGTTGAGTTGAACAGCGTCAAATATTCCCAGTGTATGTATGTATATGTATAGTTTGAATAACTGTGTCGAGGGTGGAAGACGATAAGTAGGCATTTAATATACTTTATTTACTCTATTTTGGTATATTTCAAATCATATTCACTTAATCCAATATCACATCCTAATTTCCTAAAATTGTCCATATATATATTCCTCTTTTTTTCATTCAATTCATTCAATTTTGGCCAATATAATTCATGAATATATTCAAAATCTAATAACCCATTAAATTCTTTATCTAATTGTTGTTTAGGTACAAAATTCTCAAATGGTTGATCGTATATTGTTTTTGATCTTGTATATGGATCAATAAATGGACCAACAACTTTAAAAAAAGTATAACCAATCCATGGAATATTTGTAAATAAACCTTGACCTAATCTTTCAGGATAATGCAGTTGTAAGATATGTAAACATTGTTTTGAAATACTTAATGATGGGAATTTTGACAGAAGATTTAATTCAGCAGGCGCCAGTTTAAAGTCTATTAATAATGCCAATTTATCTTGTCCCGGTGGCATAAAATTTATAACTGTTTCAAGCATAAATACTAAATGTTGTACCTGTTTAATTGAAGCTGATGTATTTTGATAACCATTACGTAAATATAAACAAGGACGATTTTCAAAATCATAACCAACAATTATTTGTTTTCCAGTTAAATTTTCCTTTTCAACTAAATCAGGAGTTATTAATTTTGAATTTGGTAATTTAACAACTCCAAAAGTTCTTCTCCATATTATAGTTTCTTCAATTCTTTTAATTGCAATTTTTAATTTCCATTTACTTGCACGTAAATATCTAATAAAACATTCTTGAGTTAACCAAGCCTTTTCATCTTCTGTAATCGGATGAAATTCAATATGCTGATCATTTGTAGGTATATCTTTAGTTATATATTGTTTAAAATGTGATAATAATTGATCATACTTATCTTGTTCTTCCGTGGTTAAATTATGATCTTGCTTTTTAAAATCTAAATTAATCGGATGTTCAAATGGTTCATGACATTTAATTAGTTTCAGTTTCAGTTTCAGACTGATACTAGTAGCAGATGTTGATATTGATATATTATCATTCGAACTATCATTGATTTCATCCTTCTTGTTCAAAAACTTTAACATTGAAATTGAAAAATGAAAAATGAAAATTAAAAAAAAAAAAAAAATCCAAATTAGGAAATTGTTTCAATGTCGGTGATAATTTCATCAAAATATGAAAATCAACCGCCCTTCACAACTGAATTTATAGAATCACTAATTAATGATAATAAGCAATTGGAACCAAAAGAATTAGTTACATTAATTGGTGAAAAATTGGAATTAAAATCATCAAAACATAAATTTATCATTCAATATACTTTAATTGAAAAAGATGATGATATAAACTTGTCAATTAATTCAGATTTTGTTTCAATTTGGGATGATTCAAAAGATGGTTGTATAACATTACAAATTAATTTATTGATCATCACTATATATTGGTTATCAATTTAATAAATTATTTGAAAAATTTCCAATTTATTGTTCAATTTAATAAGTTATTTAAAATTTCCAATTTATTATTCAATTTAATAAATTATTTAAAATTTCCAATTTATTATTCAATTCAACTAATGATTCAACATTGGATGAAATATCAGATAATTTATAACTCAATTGATTTAGTATTTCTTTTATATCTTGATCTTTGTCAGGATCAAATTTTGTAGTTTCAGATTTTATCAAATTTAATTTTAATTTATCATCTTTTTGTTGTTCAACTTCTTCTTCATCAAATTCCAATTGTTTTAATTTATTCCTTATTTCTGTATTTATCTCTCTTTCAAATTTACCAGTTACATCTTGATAATTTTTTAAATATCTTAAATCTTGCCAATATATTTGATCTAATTCATTTAAATTATATTCTAAATCAACTACTTGTTTTTGTTCAGCATCTAAATAACTTTGTAGTATTTTTCGTTTATATATAATTTCATCGTAATTTAAAGGATCTTTAATTTCATTAGTTCTATTATCTGCATTTTTAGTAAATTGAGATCTTGGATGTGGTAATTTAGTTACTGACAATTTTGATTTAAATGATTTTGAATTTTGACTATTTAACCATAGATTATTCAAAAATTTGTTTGATGATTTTGTTAAGTGTTCTTGTTTTATAGTTGTTATTATACCCATTTCAATTATATTTTCCAAAGTTCTTGTAGCATCTGGATTTAATTGAGTCCAATATTTATCTATCACAGATTTGGATATTTCTTGTTCAATTATAGATTGTGTTATAACAGGTAGTTGTAAAACTTTATCATCAATTAATAATTTGCGTTTCTTTAAAATTAGTCCATTTTGAGTATCAAAAAGATCTATGTCATCTTCTGAACTAGTAGGTTGTGATGGATGATTATTATTGTCATTATTACTATGTATTGATGGTGATGAAAATGTATTATTATCTTCAGATTCTCCTGCCATTTTGATTTTAAATTTTGATAAACAAAAAAACAAAAAAAAAAAAATGTATGAAACGCGTGTTTATATGCAGGACTCGTGTACCGATAAGTCACCCGCTTATTAGAGTAGTTTGTTTCAACGACAGTAGATATCAAACATATAGTACGGGTCTAAAGTAATGGTGTTGTTATATAAACTCAACGAATCGAAAGGTCATATAACGACCTTTTTTGTGTAAAAATTGTGGCTTTAAGTGGGTTAAAAGATTGAAATTCATCCTCTTAGTAAAACAGCAGGAACTCTCACATATTTCAAACTTATTCAGCGAATGTAGACTCTGGTATCGAAGCAAATATAGCCGATTAGCTATGATTGCAGCCACAAATCCTATCAATGCTTTGATGAGATTTTTTGAACAATCTTCCATATAATTAATTGCTCGTTTATTTTTAAGGGGTATTATTTTTTATTTTGGTTTAAACAAATAATTAATAGAGTTATGCATATGACCGTAAGTAATCAAAAGCTTGTAAACGCTGATGTATATATACATTGCTATTATTTATTGTTGATATCTATTTTGGGCTGAAAGTTGTCAAAAAATATATTAAGAGGCTTTTTGAATCATACTACCCCTTAAGTTTCAGCCGCTTTAAAATTTTCTTTTTCTCCTTCGCCTACGCAGGTAAAATTAAATTATGAAATCATCTAACAGAATCAATTGAACTATCCCATTCATTCTCTCACAAAACAAAGCAGCAGCCCGTTTGAAATCAAGTGCAATGTAAAATGTAAGTAATCTTCTCTGAGTTAATCAAATCGAGTCACGTTATTTAAGGCCCAAAAACCGGTTTTCTTCTCATAGCCCATTTTAGCAACGGTATAGCGGTAACAATATGTAAACTGTCCTTGTTTTTATAGTCATTTGGAGTTTGGAGTAGTCAGATTGACTTCATATGTACCTATTCACCTATTTGGAATAATCTTAAATTGAGTCATCAGCCAAATGTAATAACAATGAGGTTTTCATTTCGGGATGTTTCATCTGGCAGTTTCGATCAGCAGCCTTAATATACTAAGCGCTGGTTCGATTTGCTCTGTTAGCTCAGCGGTTTAGGTAAGTAATCAAAGGCCGTAACCGGTCGTTTTATAGTTATTGAATGTTAACTAACAATTTAAAAGAGCATCGTGCTTATAGTGGTATTTTACAACGTATCTGACTATGCGTAGGTCACGCGAATGTCACCAGTTCGATCCTGGTACGGAGCATTTTTTTTGTTTACCTAACGTAAAAATATATACATACATACACCATTACTTTTAAAGCTCAAGATAATAATGTTGCTTCCTCAATGTTTTTTGTTGATTTAAAGCTCTATCTAACTTTGAGTATAGGGTATGATGCATTTTTAAATATTTATTTGATCATGATTCGTTGAATTTTTTTATTGATTTGAAGCTCTAGTGCTCTATTTCATCGATTGTAGAAATCGTTTTTCTGCGTTAATGGTAGCGCCTTTTATATGCAGGTATTCCAACACCGAGCATAAACAAATTTGCCGGTTCGATTCTTGTTGTAGCCAAGTTTCTGGGATTTTGTCGATTGATTTTACGCAATAAGTTAAAAGTATTTCTTCCTTCTTTTCTTCTTTTCTTCTTTAAATCTATCAGTGATTTTGTAGAGGTTTTTTTGAAAGCTCGAAATAGCAGAAACTTACAGCAAATGATTGATGTCTTGAAAATACCTTTTTTATGGCACTAGCATAAATTGCATGGAGTTTATTTTCTGTGATACAGTTTGTCTTAGCGTCCCTAGCGTCTACGGTCATTTGTATCGGATTGAGGTTGAATTTATGACATAGATTGTCATTTTCTATTGAAGTTGAATTTTATGGCATCGATTGTCATTATTTTGTTGAACTTGAAGCCGGATTTGATGGTTGGTTTTAAGCAAAAGCCAATTAAGTGGAATTAAGTGGAATTGTTCTGCTTAGGTGCCAATAACAAAGCATTACTGGAAGCATCGTCTTTTGGTTTTCGGACAATCTATCATGAACTGCTTCTGGATTAATTTCAATTTGACATGGAACATGCTCATGTCCATGATCAGAATGCTTCTACAATGCAATAATTGTAGTGAACTGATTATGCAATGTTTATGATTGTTGCATAGAACTTATCTTTGGACCATGTTCATAGCTAATTGGCGGCTAATTTGCGATATTATTAAGACTAGGAACGTGTAATTTACTATCCAATGGATTGGTAATACTCGAGTTACGAATTAGTGATATATTTTTTAACAACAACAGTTTAGAGTTAGTTATGACGATGATATTATCACTTGTCGTTGATAATTTATGATCATAATCGTTTTATTTTGATGTTTCATCACTTGATGGTTTAAGTATTCATTGTCGACTTTGACTTGTTCAAACTAGATAATGTTTAGGTAAAACTGAGTACATTGAGACTGCTCAATATGTTACATTTGAATGCTCTATTGTAGATATTTAATATATATTTAACAAATCTTTAATAACTGATTCGTGGCTGTTGATCGTATTTCATTCATTGAAATTAACTACTAGAACCATTTTCTAAAGTCCTTACCGACAAATTGAATTCAGTTAGACAAAGATTATTGAAATAACTTCAACATAGCTCCGAGCTGGCATTTTTTATTCGCCTCGCACAGCACCAAACAAAAACATCTATAGCATGAACATAGGGCCAACCTTGCGCGAGCTGGCATCAAAATTTTCGTATATAAATTAACCGAAAATCCTATTTTCATAGATCAATTCTCAAGCCCCCTGAGCTTAGAATAACAATAAAACTAACTCTTTATTTAACTCAAGTAGATAAGATATCAATAAGGACTCTTCAACCGTGGTAATTTCAATAATTTCATTTCAACACACTTGGCAGCGCATATTGAATTTTTTTTTTAACTAGTTTAAACCCATCTCATCATGGCTGATAAAGTTAGATATTATCTTGAACAATCAGTTCCTGAATTGGAAGATTTACAAAACAAAGGATTATTTGATAAAAATGAAATAACTAAAATAATGAGAAGAAGAACTGATTTCGAACACAGAATTTCAGGTAGAGGATCAAAACCAAGTGATTTTTTAAGATATTGTCAATATGAAAATAATGTTGAAAAATTAAGAAAGAAAAGGTATAATAGATTAAATTCAGTTGGATTAATTGATTTAAAACCAAGTATATCAGATTGGGCTGGTATTAGAAGAATAATGTTTATATTAGACAGGGCAACTAAAAAATTCCCCAATGATTTAGAATTATGGAATCAATATTTGAAATATGCAAAAGAAAATGGTGCCATAAAGATCATATATAAAGTTTATTCAAGTTTATTACAATTACAACCTAGAAATATAAATGCTTGGTTATCTGCTTGTAAATATGAATTTGAAATTAATGGGAATGCAAAAGGTACAAGAATATTATTTCAAAGAGCATTACGAATAAATCCAGATAATTTGGAATTATGGTTAAATTATTGTCAATTTGAATTAACATATGTTTCAAAAATTCTTGCAAGAAGGAAAATATTAAGTAAAGAAATAAATGAAGAAGATGCTGCTGAATTAACATTACCTAGTGAAGAACATGAATTAGATTTACCAGAAGTTGATATTGATATGTTGGGTAATCCAGAAACCAATCCAGCATTAAAAGGAGATGTAGCATTGGCTATATTTGATGCAGCACCTAAAACTATTGATGTAATTTATAAATTTATTGAATTATTTGATAAATTTCCTGATTTAAATGATTATTTAAATTCGCATGTTTTAAGATATTTACAAAGAGAATATCCTGATGATATAAATACAAAGTTTATAGATATCACTTTACCTTTAAAAGATGGAGAATTTCAATTATCAGTTAATAAATTTATTGCCTATCAATCAAAGAATAGTGATAAAGAATTAAAAAATATGTTTATTAAAAAATTAAAAGATTATCAAAATGAAGATAATCAAGTTTTATTAAATGCTATTATAAAGAAATTAATCTAATTTTGATTCATCAAGTACATTCTTCTTTTTATTAAAATTTGAAAATAATGTACCAATAACAATACCAAATAAACAACAAGTAGCTAAATATACATAATGGAGGTTATTTGACTTTGGAATTCTATAAAAACCTTTTATGTTTTTATGTAGATTCCATCTTGAAGCAAAATGTAACGTTAATTTATCACCAATTACAACTCTTGTAGTATTTAAACTTGAAGAATAAGCAATTGCAGAAACAAAACTATTTTGAAATGGAGTAAATAAAACATTTAAATTTGGATCTATATCTAAATGGGAATCAGAAAGTGAACCTCTAAGATTAAATGTAAAAGGTATTGAAGTACCGCCTTTTTCAATACTCATATGTTCTGAACTTAACGGAATTCTACATGAAAAAGGAACATCTTCATGTAAATATAATTGAAATAAATGATATAATTCATCAGTAATAGTAATTGTACAATTAAAATCTTGTTCAATACCATATTTAAAAGTTAACGGCTTTGATGATTCAAGACATTTTGGTGGTGGACCGTAAACTATTTTATTCTGTTCAAATATATGTTCACCAGTATCAATATTTCTTTGAATACAATCAAATGGAATGTCTTGTCCTATAATATATGGCTCTATATTTGTTGTAGCTAATGCTACACTTAAAAAGAAGAAAAGTTTCATTAATTATTTTTGTTTTTAACTTTAATAGACGACGATAAAATATACAACACTAATACAACACTAATACAACACTATAAGGATGCACTAAAGATACCAATCAATGCAAGGATGCAACGAACAATTGTAGAGAGAGAGACGTAGGCTCAACATATAAAACTGAAAACTAAGCTTATTTAGTTTTCATAGGCACCATTAAACATTCGATAAAATCAATTTTAACAAATACATCAAAAATCATTAACTGGATAAATTATTTATTTGTGAACTTAGTACTATACATTTGATTGTGTTTGACATTAAACTAAACTTAATTTCTTTTAACAAAACGTCTTGGACCTCTTTGTGATGAAATATTAACAGTTTGTAAAGGAATTTTAAAACCTAAAGTTTTAACTAAATCAGCAGTTTCAGCATCAACTTCTAATTGATCATTTGTATGAGATAAATCTAAAGCAGAAATTTCTGGAACATATTGATCTTTTCTTTCTCTTTCTTCTTCTTGTAATTTAAATGAAATACCTCTAACTGGACCTTTTTGAATTCTCTTCATTAAATGAGTAGTATATCCAGCAATTTTATTTCTTAATCTTTTGGATTGAATAACAGCAATTTCGGAAGTTAATCTTTTATTAGTTTCAAAATCTAAAGTTAATTTTGGATAAAATCTTTCAATTAAAACTTTTGAAGCTCTTTTGACAGTCTTAGTTCTAACACGTCCCTGTTAAACTGGTTAGTATTCTATCATAATAGTCTATCTCTCATTCTACATACCATTGTTGTTGTTGTTAATCAGTAGTTGTTATCCAGATGAATATATTTTTTTCAGGTAGTAATAATTTTTTTCGTTAATGAAAAAATAATGTATATATCACGTGAATGGTAGCGTCAATATAGGGCTATAGCCGCAAAATTTTCTATTATTATCAACAACATATTTACAACGGCCAGATAATACAATGAATAATAAATTATTCCATTGTGATGTTTGCAGTACTGATTGCACTAATAGAATAAGAATACAATGCGCTATTTGTACTGATTATGATTTATGTGTTCCTTGTTTTGCTTCTGGTTCAACAACTGGTGATCATAAACCATGGCATGATTATCAAATTATTGAACAAAATACATATCCAATATTCGATAGAGATTGGGGTGCTGATGAAGAATTATTATTAATACAAGGTTGCGAAACTTTTGGTTTAGGTAATTGGGCTGATATTGCTGATCATATTGGTAATAGACTGAAAGACGAGGTTGCCAAACATTATTATGATATATATTTGGGTAAAGATTATCCATTACCTATAATGAATAAAGATTTTACAAGTATAACTCCATTACAATTTTTAGAAGAGAGGAAACAAAGATTAGAAAGAAGAAAGAATATGCCATTACCTATAAAATCAAAACCCGTTGCTTCTGTTCCATTATGTCATGAAATTCAAGGTTATATGCCTGGTAGATTAGAATTTGATCATGAAGTAGAAAATGATGCTGAAATACCTATAAAAGATATGCTTTTTGATCCTGAAGATCTGGCAAATGATATAGAATTGAAATTGACTATACTTGATATTTATAATTCAAGATTAACAACAAGAGCAGAAAGAAAGAGAACATTATTGTTAAACAACTTACTTGAATATCGCAAGAATATAAGTAATGATAAACGAAAGTCAAAAGAGGAAAAGGATTTATTAAAGAAAATTAATGCATTTATTCGTATATTAACACCAGACGATTTTGAATCATTTACAAAAGATATTATAAATGAATTAAAATGCAGAATAAGGATACAACAATTACAAAGTTGGAGAAGAAATGGGATAACTACAATTGAAGATGGTAATAAATTTGAAAAGGATAAGTTGATAAAAAGTGCACATTATCAAAGAATGGGGAATATTAATAGAAATACACCAATTAACAAAGATATAAAAAAGAGAATTCTTGATATAACACATTCAACAGATTATGAATTATTATCAAATGAAGAGAAACAATTGTGTTCTACATTAAGAATATTACCAAAACCATACCTTGCAATAAAGAATCAATTAATAAAAGAAGCGCTCAAGAATAATGGTATCCTTAAGAAGAAAGATGCTAGACATGTACTAAAGATTGATGTTAACAAAGCAAGTAAGATATATGAATTCTTTGTAACAAATGGTTGGATCAAACTGATATGATACTGTTCACTTAATATACATCCTTACATTGTATGTATTCTTCCATCCTTACCATACGCTTTGGTTAATGGCATACTGACTGTTTCCATCCGTACTGCATCCATGCTTACTGTTTCGTATATTTTTCAGCTTCACATACAATTTTTTTTCTCACCTGATTTCTCATCACAGCTATCGCCAAATTATAACCAATACTATAGATATATATATATGACGGACAATTACTTACAATTTCTATCTAAACCTTCAGGTAATCATAAAGATAAACATCATATTATAATAGTTGGTGCTGGTATTATTGGTGTTTGTACTGCTTATTATATTGTTTGTCATCCTAAATTTGATTATAAAAAATATTATATTACTATTATAGAGTCAAAAAGAGTTGCTGGTGGTGCTAGTGGCAAAGCTGGTGGTTTATTAGCTTTATGGGCTTTTCCCGAACAAATTGTTCAACTAAGTTTTGATTTACATCAACAATTGGCTGATAAATATAATGGTTATGAAGAATGGGGTTATAGAAGATTGACGACTGTTTCATTAGAAGGTGATATATCCGATACAACCAAAAAACGTACTAAAAAGAAGCATAATAATTTACCAAGTGAGTTAAATTGGATTACTTCAAATTTTATAGATAATTGTTCAGAGTTAGGTGGTACTGATACCACTGCTCAAGTTCATCCTTATAAATTTACAAATTTTATTCTAAAAAAAGCTGTTGAATATTCAAAAGGTTCACTAGAGTTAATTCTAGGTAAAGTTGATGAAATTACTTATTCAGTAGAAACGGGAAGTGCTACTGGTGTTAAATTTCAAACTAAAAATGAAGAAATAATTGAATTAAAATCAGATCAAATTGTTTTATCAGTTGGTCCATGGACTTCAAAAATATTACCAGATTGTCCAATATCGGGTTTACGTGCCCATTCAATTACAATAGCTCCCTTTAAAGATCAAGTTTCTCCATATGCAATTTTTACAGAATTTAAAATTGGTCCAACTTCATATATATCACCAGAAATTTATGCAAGACAAGATGAAGTTTATGTATGTGGAGAAGGTGATTCTGCAGTTGATGTACCTGAAACAACAGATGACGTTGAAGTTGTTAAATCAAAATGCGACGAATTATTTGAACAAGTTGGTAAAGTATCACCTAATCTTAAAAATGGTCACATACTAAAAAGACAAGCTTGTTATTTACCTGTATTAGATGTACCTTCTTCAAGTGGTCCATTAATTGGTGAAACAAATGTACTGAATTTATATTTAGCTTCTGGTCATTCATGTTGGGGTATAAATAATGCTCCAGGTACAGGTAAAATAATGAGTGAATTATTATTTGGAGATGTTGAAAGTGCAGATATTTCAAGTTTAGATCCAAGTTTATATTTTGATGCAAGTGTATTGGAAGAACTATAAAAATCTAATTACAAATAAACCTATAATCATTATAATTACTGTAGTTACTAATTTGTCATATTTAATTAATGAATCATATAAATGAATTTCATTAGATTTTTTATTTCTAAGATATCTTTGATTTGAATCTCTCACAGGGTTCCAATTTGGTTCAATATTATGAAACCTATCATTCTTTTCAATATTTTTATGGGTACTTAAAATATCATGGAAGATATCATGTACTTCATTATATTCGGGTAATGGATGATAGTATCCAGGTTCAGTAGAAGTTAATATAATTGTATAATGAGGTGATGGTAACTTTCTTAATACTTTCCTTATCATTTCGTCAGTATTTTCAGTATCTAATCTAATAACTCTTTTTCTAATATCATAATATTCAATATCACCAGATATAGTTTCTGCATCACAAGTTGAAATAATATATTTTTCAATATAATCTAAATCTAGAACAGGCACTCTAGGTAATCCGATTATAGTAGATGACATATATAAATACTTTCTTAACATTGGCCAATCATCCTTTTTCTCAGTTGTTAAGTCAGTATATACTAAACCTGGTTGATTTATAATTATATAAGCATCTGATGAACATTGAGTTACGATTTCTCTAATTATATCAGTTGGAGATGATGACTTTACATCAACTAATCTATGAGATGCAATTAATAATGGAGCTAATCTTGAACAGTTAACTATTGAAATTAAAAAGAATAAAAGTTTCATGCATAGAAAAATTACTCATCGGAATGCAAAAGAAGAAGTTAGGGCAAGGACGCTGGTACTATTGTGAGTGAGGTTGCAAGACAAACACTTGAACAAACACTTGAACAAACAGTTAATACTCTAATAGATCAAATCGGTTAGTATTTACTCTTTTGAGCCGTACGAGTTTTTCACTTTTTTTCACCACTTTTCAATCATGGATTACGCTCGAGGTTTAGTTGATTATATCAATTCATCACCAACTCCATATCATGCAGTTGATACAACAAAGTCAATGTTAATCTCAGATGGATTTAAAGAATTATCAGAAAAAGAAACATGGGATTTAGAAAATAATAAGAAATATTTCGTTACGAGAAATGGATCATCTTTAATTGCATTTAAAACTTGTGATTTTAATGCTGGTATTGGTATCGCTGCAGCTCATACTGACTCACCTTGTCTCAGAATCAAGCCAATCTCAAATAGAGAATCAGAAGGTTATATTCAAATTGGAGTTGAATTATACGGAGGTTTGATTGCTCATTCATGGTTTGATAGAGATTTATCAATTGCTGGTAGAGTTTACGTTAAGGAAGGTGATAAATTTGTTTCGAAATTGTTAAAAATAGATAAACCATTATTGAAAATTCCGTCATTGGCTATTCATTTAGATCGAACAGTTAATCAAAAATTTGAGTTTGATAAAGAAACAAGAATGATTCCAATTGTTGGTCAAACTCATTTATGTAAAGATCTGGAAGATTCAAAGTTGAGTGAAGAAGAATTTCAATCTGTTGAACATGTTATAAAAAGACATAATAGATCATTAATTGAATTAATTGCAAAAGAATTGAATGTTGATCCTTTACTAATTGAAGATTTTGAATTATTATTATTTGATCATCAAAAAGCTACTATTGGTGGATTAAATGACGAGTTTGTGTTTGGTGCAAGACAAGATAATTTGGTTTCTTGTTATGCTGCTACAAAAGCATTAATCGAAAGTGAGAATAAAGGTTTTCCATTGATTTCGTTATTTGACCACGAGGAAATTGGAAGTCTTTCAGCTCAAGGTGCCGACTCTTCCTTCTTGCCTGATGTATTAAGGAGGATTACGAGAGACAAGTATTTTGAAGTAATGGCAAAGTCATTTATTGCTTCAGTTGATGCTGCTCATTCAGTTCATCCAAATTATAAAGAATTTCATGAAAATAATCATAAACCAGTTATGAACAAAGGACCCGTTATTAAGGTTAACGCCAATCAGAAATATTTGACAAACTCACCAGGTATTGTTTTATTTAAGAATATTGCAAAACAAGCTAATATACCACTTCAATTAATCGTTGGAAAGAATAATGCCCCCATAGGATCAACTTTAGGGAAATTCATAGCTGGTCAGCTAGGGATTGTTACGCTCGATGCTGGTGTGCTGTGCCTTTCTATGCATTCAATCCGTGAGTGCACTGGTGCTCTAGATGTCGGGTTATTCACAATTTTGTTAAAATCGTTTTTTGAGAATTTTGACGAAATGAACAATAGAATCGCCTAAACAATACCACCATGACGTAGAGGTGGAAATTTGCGCCTAATTATACTAGTTCGTATAGAAGCTGTACATATTTTTGCTATCAATTTTTCAATTTAAATTGTCGATTTTAAAAGTTGCCAAATTTTCTTATTGAATGGGTTTGGTTGCAAACTTTTCCGGCTGCGCACGACTTTGATGATTAATCTGAATTGCGCTCTACCTGATTCAGAAAGATCTGAGATTAGATCGCGCGCCATTTCTTATTCTGTCCAATAAAAGTAGTTTATTCTTATTTTTAACTCAATTTTTCAACACGATAAATGGGCATGTACAAATTATTTTTTCGCGCTATCTTTAAGGCGACTGGTACCAAAGAAATTGGCTTATATATTATGAACAATGTAATTTCTTCAATTAAGAAACAATTAAATGAACTCAAAAGTTCTTAATTATACATCCTAAACATCTGAAACTTGAAAATTTGAGAATTGTTTTTTCGAGTTGTCATTTTGACCTTTTTTCATCATACAAAAAATTTTATGAAAATGAAAACGCAGTGTATACTTTATTTGGGGGCGATAACTTTCAATAAATACACGGAATATATATCTTATACCTCAAATTAAGGTGTTGAGCTAAATTCTATTTTGCCTGACTTAAAATTGAAAAATCTAGCTCCACAATTAATAATTATACTGGAATATGATAAATCTATTCAAACTTGCAGATCCTGTTCACTGATAAAACTCAAGATTTTTTGTCTTAAGGTACTCTAAATTGGAAAAGTAATTTTTCAAATGTTTCGAAATTTTTGCAAAAATTTCAAATTGAATTTGGCAGCTTCAAAGCATGGTACAGACACTTTTTGGCGTTAGATGAACCAAATCAGTTAACCTTGAAGTTGCTAAACGAGGTCTAAATGTGAAATATCTTCCAATTTAATGTTTTTTGCCAAATTTTCAAATATGAATTATGTGACTGGAATTGTGTTTTACTGAATCAAACTAGTATCAGCTTATTCTTACTTATTTGATCATTCATTGAAAAATGTCTGAAATTAATAGTTTAAATTATGAGAGAGTTATTTACAACTTAACTTTCAAGGTTAGTTATGGCGAGACTGTATATAATCCAAATTTGTGATTCAAAATTATGGTTCATTAGAATCTTGTTATGAGTTACTTGCTAAGAAACCAATTGATTTCCTCAATTTTGGATCTTCTTCCAAATCATTCGTTTTTGAATTATAAGATTTTATTCTATAAATTTTATCTATCACGTCATTATACAAAACATTACAAAAAATTATCTACAAAATTGTATTTAAATTTAGCCCAACCTTTTAATGATTTTTCATATTCAGCTTCATCTAATTCTTCTTGGGTTTGATAATATCTATCGGTATCAAAATCCATATCTTTAGCTCTTACGAATTTATCACGTTTTATTAACCACCAAAGTATAAAGCACAATGGAAATACACCTAATTCTAAATAAGATTCAAAAAAATCAGCAACTGAAAATGGACTAAAAGTAGTCCAACCTTGTACTAATATAATAAATCCACCAAATATAACAACAAACCAAGGACCATAAGGATAAGTCCAATTTTTAAAAATCAATTCATGTTCTCTATTTTGAACTTTCAAACCTCTTCTAAATCTAAGTGAAATAACTCCAATAACCCACCAACTAATTAAATTAGATAAACCAACTATAGATTGTAACCATGACCATAAAACACCAGATTTTACAAAAGCTGATGCAAAACATAATCCACTAATTAACCAAGTAATAAATACTGCAACCCATGGAACATTAAATCTATTTGTATAAGCAAATATTTTGGGAATATAATTTTGAGTACTTAAATTGAATGCTAATCTTGAACCAGCATATAATGCATGATTACCAGCAGATAAAATTGAAGTCAAAATAACTGCATTCATAAAACTACCACCTCCACTGGCTCCAACTTGTTGAAAAACAATAGTGAATGGTGAAGTAGCTGCTGATTTGGTCAGAAGGTTTGGATAATCATATGGAACATTTATTCCAATAAACAAAGCAGTAAATATATAAAAAATCATGATTCTTAAAAATACAGCTTTGATAGTTTTTGGAATTTGTCTAGTTGGATTCGAAGTCTCTCCAGCTGTTAATGTAATACTTTCAAGACCACCAAAACTGAAAGCTGTTGTCACAAAAATTGATGAGAATCCACGAAATCCATTTATAAAACCATGATGTACATCTTTATAGTTAAAATATTTGAAACCAAGGTAATGCCCTGTATCATTTAGTCCTGCATTACAAATAATACCCATTATGAAAAAGATAATTATAGTTACAACTTTCAAAACAGCTAATAAATATTCAGTTTCACCATATATATAAACCGATCCTAAGTTCATAAATAACAATGCAAACCAGAAAATTAATGAAATACCCCACCATGGCATCAGCTCAACATGCCAATAGTCAAATACTAATTGCAAAGCGACTAAATCTGAAGCAACACTGCATGCATCATTAAACCAATAATTTGATAATACAGCAAACCCAAGTGAATCCGATCCAAATCTTTTAGAATACGTAGAAAATGAACCACTTACTGGAAACATTGCTGACATCTCTCCCAAGGCAAGCATCACATTGAAAACCAAAATTCCGATGATGATATAGTTGATTATCAACAGGGTTGGGCCACCTAAAAACAAACTCTTACCGCTCAGTAAAAACAAACCGGTTCCGATTGTTCCTGCAATACAAATCATATTGATAACTCTAGGACTTAGGGACCTGGTTAAATTTTCAGTTTGCTTTAGTTGAACTGAAGATGTAGTTGAAAGATTTGTCTCTAAATCTTCATTTTGCACATTTTCAGAACTATTCTTATCGGTTAAAGATATTGACACTATAGCAGCTTTCTTATCAGTTGAAGATATCGACATTAAAGTGGCGAATTTGATGAAATTTCTTGAATAATAAGATTATTTACAGATGATTGTTTTTTCTTGTCAAAATAAGATCTTCTTTATCAAACGTCTAGGTAATGAATGAATGATTATCTTATTATATCAGTTGATGATATGGTTGTAGTTTGTAGTTTGTAGTTGAATTGCTATTAAATGAATTAATTAGTTAGGCACTCACAGTTTGAAAAATTATTCGGATCATCTACATTGTGTAACATCACGTGAATGGTAGCGGGTACCACAGTTAATTTTTAGATCTCAGATCTCAGATCCTTTTTTTAGCTTAGATCTTAGATCGATTAGATAAGATCTCAATTAATCCTTCGCTCGGAAAAACTAAATTTATTGGCAAAGAAAATTATTTATTAACAATAGCTGTCAAAAAATAACTTTTGCAAAGAGCTTACATTATAATCTATTTGACAAGCTCAAAGATCTAGCTGAAATCAAGACATGATACTTTAAAGGAAACTAATGAGGAGCTTGAAGTACCTTTTAAATTCCAACAAACGGTACACAATAACGCTCACAAGTATAATAGAAAACTTTCCTGTGTTTTACTACATGTTTTCCTAAACTCTAGAAGAAATTTGAAGCCTATTAAGATCAAAATGAACTGCCCATTAGAATTAGAGCAGAGATTGTTTAGACAACCAAACTCTGTCTTTATTTAGGAATGATTTTGCAATAAAAACGATTATGCACTAGAATGCGAAGCTCGATAGGTCCAGAATACTTGACAACGACCATCTAGAAATGGCATTACACTTAGATGATTTTGCTTTACAAGTGAATATGCCTTACTCTCCCTACATTCAATAAAATAACCGCAAATCAATGGAGCTTTCCAGAACAACCATCAACATTACTTAAAACCATCTTGATTATTAATTAGGCGGACTTAACTTGAAATTGCTTCAAATTAATCATCATCCTGCATATTAAATATTAGCCGCATAAGTTCCGTAATTTTATAAAATCATCAACAATTTCTCAACCATTTAACCATCGTTAAAAATGACATTACCACAAACATTAACTTATAAAGCATATGGATATAAGAATAACCGCTCTCCAATTCAAGAATTTGAGAGATCAATTAATTTAGTTCCATCAAACGGTGATTATATTGCTCCCAAGGATAAAGTTTTAATCAAAATTGCTTATGCTGCTTTGAATCCAGTTGATATTAAAATTTATTCACTAATTTATTCAATTTTAAATTTATATTCATCTAATTTTGGATTTGGTGCTGATTTTAGTGGTGAAGTCGTATCTGTTGGTGAAAATGTTGTTGATTATAAAGTTGGTGATTTAGTTCAAGGGGTTTACCATAGTTTAAAAGCTGGTACTGTTTCTGAATATATTTTACTCGATCCAAAGAAGACATATATAGCTAAAAAAGCAGATAAAATTGATTTAGCTCATTCTGCTGCTTGGCCATTAGTTTTGGGTACTGCAATTACCATGATTAAAGATCTAGACTTAAAAGATAAGAAAGTATTGATACTTGGTGGTGCCACTTCTGTAGGTAGAAACTTAATACAAATAGCTAAAATTGAACAAGCAAGAGAAATTATTGCTTCTTGTTCAGGTAAAAGCGAAGAATTAGTTAAGAAACTTGGTGCTGATTCAATTATTGACTATAAAAAACATAGTAATATGTTGAATCCAGTTTTAGAATCCGCAAAAAGTGGTAAATTTGATATAATTCTTGATTGTTGGGGTGGTGATGAATTATTCAGTAGTATGAAATATATCTTAGATGGTACCTATAACACTGTTGTTGGTGACAGTATTGGTAATAGTAAAATTTCGTTATTAAAGTCAGTAAAATCACCAATTAGACAAATTGCCAGTACCTTTGGATTATTACCATACAAATATAATTTATTATTCTTAAACCATAGTTCATCAGGACCTGGTTCGGTAGTTGAATTAGCAAGAGATTACTTATCAACTGGTAAAATTGAAATATTTATTGATCATATATACAAGTTTGATGAAACTCCACAAGCAATTGAAATATTAAAAAACGGGACAGCTAGTGGTAAATTAGTTATTAGGGTGTAAATAAATCATTTTACCTAAAGAATCAAAACCAATTGCTCTATCTTTCTTTCTATCTCTTCTTGAAGCACCATATCTATGACCAAAAGTACCAACATCTTTTTGAGTAAATCTAAAAACTGATTTTTCACCTTCTCTTTTTTTACCATAAACAACAGAAACTTTTTTATCTTCTAAAGCTTGTTGTTTCTTTTGATGGTCTTCTAAATTAAATTCAGTTAATGATTTAAGAGTAGTTTCAGCAGGTTCTAATTTCAATATTTTAGCAGCATCAACTGGTCCAAATGGTTCATTTTCTTCAATAGTTAAAAATCTATCATTTATTCTTTTTGTCGGTATTTCAGTTAAATTATCAACTGTTTGATGATTAAACAACGGGAAATAATTTTTCATAACAGTTGAAAATCTTTTTAAATCTTCAACTAATTCATCTTTGACTTTAAAATCTTTTTCTATTGATTTTAATTTTATGATAGCTTCAATTCTTTGTAAATTTATACCATATTTATGAGCAATTTCTTGCGGATGTAAATTAGTAGCATCTTCCAAAATTTTATCCTTCAAATCTTCACTTATTATATAATTAGTTTTAGTATATTGATTTAAAGGGAATGGATTTATAGTTGAATCTCTACCATAAATTTTCTTTTGAGTTTGAATATAATTTGGTTTATTATTTTGATTTGGATAAAAATATGGATTTTTAACATAATCTCCAAGTATATTTTTTGGACCCAACCATTGTTTCATTTCTTTAGTTAGATTAGCTTTATCCATAGTAGCTCTTCTATTGAACCTTAACAACCTAGTAGTGGTTGATAAATTTCTCTTCATGTTTGGTAATAAAAGTTTTGATAAATTTTTTTTTTTCTTTCTCTGCAAAATGACTGATCCATTTAAAGATGAAATACTGATTGATGATAAACAATTTATAAGGAATAGTAACTTAAACTCATTCGATGAAGTTAGTTTGGAAGTATTGGAAGAAATGCTGAAACTAGAAACAAATTTCCCTACTTTATCCACAGATTATAGGCTAATTGATAAAATTGGGGAGGGTACATTTTCAACTGTTTATAAAGCTGAAGCATTAAATGGTATAAAATTAAATTCTGAAGTTTGGAATTCACCTCCGTTAAAGAAAAGCAAAACTTCGAAAAAGAACCCAATAGTTGCTTTAAAACAAATTTATGTTACTTCATCACCAAATAGAATTTTTAATGAATTAAATTTATTATACATGTTGACAGGAAATTCACGCGTTGCTCCATTATTAGACGTATTAAGATATCAAGATCAAATATTAGCTATATTACCTTATTATCATCATTATGATTTTCGAGATTTTTATCGTGATTTACCTATAAAAGGTATAAAAAAATATTTATGGGAATTATTTCATGCATTAGATTATGTTCATGATAAAGGTGTAATACATAGAGATTTAAAACCAACAAATTTTTTATATCATCCTTTTAAAGGTAAAGGTGTATTGGTAGATTTTGGATTAGCTGAAAGGATAAATTTACCAGGTACATGTCCATGTTTATCAAAGGAGAAATTAGTGGGGTCGCGTCATAAAAGATTAAATGTTAAAGGTGCATATCCAAAAATTGATAATAGACCACCAAGGAGAGCTAATAGAGCAGGTACTCGAGGTTTTAGAGCTCCAGAAGTTTTATTTAAATGTACAAATCAATCTACGAAAATTGATATATGGTCTGCAGGGGTAATTGGATTGAGTTTATTAATGAGAAAATTTCCTATCTTTAATTCTCCAGATGATACTGATGCTATGCTAGAATTATCATGGATATTTGGGGTTGATAAATTAGTAAAATGTGCTGAATTACATGGATGTGGGTTAGAAATTTCAATGAAAGAGGTCAACAAATCAGGAAATTTGATAAAGTTACTACATGACTTTCTAACAAAAGAAATAGAATGTGATAGTTTCCCAGAAGATAGTGTAGTATATGAAACATTAGAATTGTTCAATGAAGAAGGAGATGATTTTATAAATGGAGAACATTACAAAGATCATATAAATTTAATTAACCTACTAAAATCGTGTTTCAAAATGGATCCATCAAAGAGATTAAATGCAAAACAAATCCTTAAACTACCATTTTTCTCAGAATTAATAGAATTAGATGAAGAAGAAGTAATACTATAAGTTAACTTATTGATTTATTGGACAAGCTCTTAAATATTCTGCCTTATTTTTCAATACTCTAACTGATTTAAAAAATATTTCTTCTGGACTCATTGCACCTGTTGATTCAACATTAAATATAAAATAATCTCTTTGTCTACCCAAACTTACTTTCCCATCAAATTCACTATGTCTTAAAACTTCTCTTGAAACTGTGTCTTTTCTTGCATCTTTAACATATGCTTCACCTTTTGAATTAATATCTATTACTCCAGGCGGGAAACATTTTTTAAATTTTTTAGCCAATTCTCCAGTTATTGGTTCTTTTATATTTATAACTGGTAATAATCTATATGAAGCAGTTGCAACTGGTGAAAATTTAGCATGATCTGAACCAATACCCAATATACAATGAGCTCTTAATGAAATTTCTTGACCTGGTCTCAATTTTGCTAATAAAATATCAGGATTTGTTGGAACAACTGGTGAATCTTTAAATTTTTCTTGCTGTATACCTTGAGGTTCAAATTTTAAATCTTTTGCATATACATGAGAATTTTTATACATTTCTTTCGGATCATTTGATGATTTTGAATTTGAATTTTTTGAACATGAAACATTCAATGATAAAACTATAGTATTATCTTCAGTATATCTATCATTTTCATCAATAGTTTTATCAACCCAAGATAACTGATCTGGATCAACTTTTAAAGGAATTAAACCAATTCTTTGAGCCAAAACTTCATCTTGTATAAAAGAAGTATTCATAAACACATAAACAGTTTCTGCAGCAACTGAAGGAACTTCTGCAATCATAATACGACGGAAAGCATTTGCAATGGAAGTATCAATATGAATTAAATCAAAAGTTGCAACTCCGTCGGAAATATTAGTTATATTTATATCAAAAGAATCTTTAAATTTTTCTATATCCCAAGAATGATCACCTGGTTGATGACCTGGAAAATCCGTTGAAGTGACATTAGTAACTCTATTATATTCAATACCAACAAGATTTGACATTACCAATCGGTGATGAGTTTTGATGGACCAATTTTTTTTTTTTTCTTACGCACTAAATATTTTTTTTATATTCAATTCAATTGTTAGTAAATTAACATTACCATTATAACCATCTGATGCAGTAGTAGTGGTAGAATCACTCTGGAGCTCTGTTATGACTAAATTATGATATATAAACTCGATAAAGAATATTAGTAAGTCAAGTATAAGTAATTCAACTCTATTAAACGGTAATCTTTCGCCAATAAACTGTACCGTCATACCCCCATGTAGAAAATTATCAAAACTTGGACTGATTTTATAAACTCCAAATATTAAATGACAAAGGATGCAAAATATATTTCCTATCACTACACCTCTTGACGCAATCTTGATTACTGCTTGTTTTTGTTCATCCGATAGTATTCTGTGTTGTGGAAATATATTCGCTATTGATAAATGAATACTAGCTCTAATAACTAATCTCAAAAATGATATATCTTTTAAATAAATTATACCCATTAAAACGTAATCAATTATTGAAATTGATTCTCGTAGATTATTTAGGAAAAACCTCTTTCTTTTATATAATATTATAGAATTATTCTCTTTAATTTCATCTGGTGTTGGATATAAATTATTAAAGTCTTGTATATTCATTGATTAATTTTTTTCTTTCTCTATACATTAAATTTTTCTATTAAATTTCCACCTAATAAATGAATTTGTTTAAATATTACATCTTTATTAATAACAACTTCATCTTTAGTGTCTGGTTTTACATTATAACCTAGATTGACTCTAAATTTCTTTTTTGTTAAATTTGATGGTACAAATATACCACCAATTACATTGGCACCAAATTTTTTCGATGAAAAAATTATTGTATTACCAAATTTAGTATTTAATTGTTTTATAAATTCTTGTATTAAATCATATCTTGTTGTTATATCATCTGGGAAAGATGTTAACGGTTGTATCAAATTTTTATATGTATTTGGTGGTAATATTCCTGAAGTGGTAGTTAAATCAGTTGATTTAACATTTATTGTAAAATCATAATCTTTTAGTGCAGGAGTAAAAATTAAATCAAGATTATGTTCTGATATATTTTGTTTTAATAATGTAATTGCTGCTCTTGATAATGCAGTTAATCTAGATGATATTGGTAATGTTAAATCATGGGACCATAATATACCTGAAGGATCGTCTTTTGATCCTATAAATAATTGTGTTTTGATACCACTTGGATCTGATTTTCTCAATGTTTCAAAATTTGTCTCTATAACTCTATAAGCTTGTATTGTTAATTTATCATTGAATTCATCAACATTACTTTTAACTAAATCCAAAATTAATGGATCTTCTTTCCAATTCCAATTGGATAAAAAGTTTAAAATTTGTAAAAAACCATTTTCAATTGAATGTGGTACTGAATATGGAGCTGGATCAACAAATGGTTTCAAAGCAATTAATTCTATTAATTCATCATTAAAATGTGATAATAATAATTGTGAATCTAACCATTGTTTAAAAAATCGTACAGTTGGTGAATAAAAATGAAAATGTTGTGCTAATTGTGTGATTGTTCTAGTATGTTTAATGACACCTTGTGTTTTTTGATTAAATTTAAGATATATTTCTTGAACTAATGATTTTTGTTTTTCAGAATTTGCAACAGCTCTAAGATATAATATTTCATCTCTTTCTGTTAATACTCTTATTCTAAAACCATAACCATCTGGTGTTAATATATTAAGTAATGTAATATGTTCATTAAATGGAATTGAATCATCTTTAGTTAAAAATGTAGTGAAACCTAAATCATTTAATAAATCACTTGCTTTGATTAAAAAAGCAGTTTTTGTTTTTTCTAATGCACTGATTTCATCGGGCCATCTTGTTGACGTTTCAAATTGTAGTATACAATCATTCCAAAAATCTGGATTTGAAGCAGCAAACGGAACAGGTTGTAACAATGATGTATATCTTAACGATGAAGAAGCTGGTAATAAGGATTTAACATTTAAAGGTAATTTCAAATTGGTAATTGTTTTACTTAAATTTTCAAATGAATTTCTCAATGCTGTAAAACTAACTAATGATGTAATGACTTGATTTGCTGCAGTTGGTAATAATGGTGTTGGTAATCTTTCAAATAATCCTACATCAGTAGCTACATGTTGAGATACATCTTGTAAATGTATATCTAATGCAGATTTAATAATTGTTAATACTACAGGTTCATCTTTTAAATTCCAAACAACACAATGTTGAACCAGTCCATCTTTAAATCTTCTTAATGAAACTTTTGAACCCCAAAATGAGCGAAATTTTAATCCTGCTTCTTTATCTTCACTATTTGGACCTTTAGTAACTAATTTATCACATTCTTCAGAATTTAATTGTAAACCAATTATAAAATTATTATAATTTGATGCTTTTCTTTTATTTAATGCAAATGTTTTTGAAATTTTTTCTTTTCGTATATCTATTGAAGTAGCTCTATCACCTAATGCAGTTGTCAATATTTTAAATAGTTTATTCTTTAAGTAATTATCAAATGTTATATATGAAATTTTCTCCAATGGACCAAACAAGTCATATAATTCATCAGGTGCTGAAAAGTTTAAAACAATATCATATTTCATAGCATCATAATCTGATTTTTGTAATAAAATTGCATCAAATCTATCTTTAACCACATCATTTAACAAATCCAAATTTTGTATAGCAAGTTGTTTTAATTTCAAATATGAAAATGAAGTCATTTTCCATAATATATTTAATTTTGCATTTTTATCAAATATTGTCGGTACATTAAATCCATCTGATTTATATTTTGATGTAATATTTTCCCCAATTAATGATGAGAATGATAAATAACCTTTTGATAAATCGATTTCTGCTAAATATTTTATAACACCTTTAAATAATTGATATGATGAAAAACCATGTAATAAAATTTTATTTCCTTGTAAACCACCACCATTTAATAAAGCACTCATTAGTATAGCAAATTCAAAATGACCAAAACCACCATTATTTACAGATGAATCAAATCCTCTTTGTTGCAACCAAAGTCTTCCCAATACACAAGCATCTTTAAAACCTTCGGTTGATCTTTTCATTGTATATAGATATTTTAAATAATAATCATAAGTTGATTGAGTAATTAAACTTGAATTATATAAAGGAGTTGGAGGTAGTGATTCTGTTTCTGTTTCTGTTTGAACTCGTATACAATTTTTATCAGGTAATAATTTCTTTGCATCAAATATACCAAATGGAAATGCAACAATTAAATTTATATTGAATTTAGTTTTGTTAAAAATTAAATCATCTGGATTTTCCGTTTGGATTGATTCTAATCTTAAAACTGGGTTTAAAACATCTCCATTTAAATAATGATATGAAATTTTTAACGGTAAATTATTCTTTTTCGATAATGTTATTAAATGTTCAGCTAAATAAGCTAAATAAAATGCTTTTTTATAAAAAGCACGGTAATTTAAATAATCTTTTGCTTGAAATAATTCTTTTGGCATTGTTAAAGCAATTTCAATACTCAGTTTTTGATTGCAACCTGTTTTTAAACCATAAGAACCAACTAATGATATATCCTCCAGTGGTATATATGAAAATCTATAATTTAATTTACTTGGTTTTGGATCAGGAAATGGTATAACTAATTTTTTAAAATGTTGTTCAGCTTGTTGTAATGATAAATTTTCAATTGATGGAACTTGTTTAATTAAATCATGTAATCTGCGTAAAACTTTTTCCATTTTATCTTCATGAGATTTTTTAATCTTTAATTCTCTCATTAATTCATCAATTTGAAGTTTGAAAATATTTGATTTAAATAAATCTGCTGTTTCCCTTGCGATTTGAATATCTTGAGCAGTAAGTTGTTGTTTATTCTGTTTTTTTTGTTTTTTAACTGGAGGTTCATCTACTTCCTGATCTTCTTGTTCCGTTCCGTTATTTATAATTGGGATCGAATAATCATCCTCTTCATCTATGGCTTTATCTCTTTTTACCATTCCTTGTTAATATTTGGTTGTAAAATTTATTTTTGGAAGTCTCATCTAAGAAAAAAAAAAATATTAGTGTGTGGTTATATACAGGAGTATTTTTCAGCTGTTCATTATATATGGTTTATTATTCAGATAGTATTGGTTTAGATAAAACCGATATTAATAAATGGAGATTAAAAACTGATTCTATTGGTAGAGAAACTTGGCATTATGATGATGAAGAAGAAAAAGAAGAAGGAGAACAATCTACTTTTGTAAAATGGTTATTAAATTCACCAGATTTCCCAACTCCAAAACCAACGGAAATTAAAACACCTGGCGAATCTTTAGAAAAAGGAGCTGATTTCCTAAAATTACTTCAATTAGATAATGGTATTTTTCCATGTCAATATAAAGGTCCAATGTTTATGACTATTGGTTATGTTGCTGCTCATTATTATTCAAAGCAAGAAATTCCGCAACCTTTTAGAATTGAAATGATTAGATATATTGTAAACACTGCACATCCTGTTGATGGTGGTTGGGGTTTACATTCAGTTGATAAATCAACTTGTTTTGGTACTACTATGAATTATGTTTGTTTAAGATTATTAGGAATGTCGAAAGATCATCTAGTTTTAAAAAAAGCTAGAAAAACTTTACATCGTTTAGGTGGAGCTATTAAAAATCCTCATTGGGGTAAAGCTTGGTTAGCTATTTTAAATTTATATGAATGGGAAGGTGTAAATCCAGCTCCACCTGAATTATGGACTTTACCTTATGATTTACCTATTCATCCTGGTAGATGGTGGGTTCATACAAGAGCTATTTACTTACCGTTAGGTTATGTGCTGGCTAATCAAGTTAAATGTGAATTAGATCCTTTATTAGAAGAAATTAGATCTGAAATATATCTTGAAAGTCAATTATACGAAACAATTAATTTTTCAAAACATAGAAATGATGTTTGTGGAGTAGATTTATATTATCCACATACAAAAGTTTTAGATTTTGCTAATGGTGTTTTAAGTGTTTGGGAAAAATCAAGACCAAGCTTTATATTAAACTTATTAAATCGAAAAGTTGTTGAACAAATTGAAAAAGAATTACAAAATACAGAATATTTATGTATTGCACCAGTTAGTTTTGCATTTAACATGGTTGTTATTAATCATGCTCAAGGTGGCGAATCTGAAAACTTTAAAAAGATGATGGATAGAGCTAATGATGTTGTATTCCATGGTCCTCAAGGTATGACAGTTATGGGTACAAATGGTGTTCAAGTTTGGGATGCTGCTTTTGCAGTTCAATATTTCTTCATGGCTGGATTAGTTGATGATGAAAAATATCATGATTTAATTAGAAAAAGTTATTTATTTTTAGTTAGATCTCAATTTACAGAAGATTGTGTTGAAGGTAGTTTTAGAGATAAAAGAAAAGGTGCATGGCCATTTAGTACCAAATCTCAAGGTTATACGGTTAGTGATTGTACTTCAGAAGCATTAAAGGCTATAATTATGGTTCAAAATCATCCAGCTTTTCAAGATATTAGAGATAAAATTAAAGATGAAAATTTATATCAAGCTATTGAATGTTTGATACCTATTCAAAATGATGAAGGTGCTTTTTCATCATATGAGAAAAGAAGATCCACTCCATTGTTAGAAAAATTAAATCCAGCTGAGGTGTTTAATAATATTATGGTGGAATATCCATATGTTGAATGTACGGACTCATCAGTTTTAGGATTAACGTACTTTCACAAATATTATCCAGATTATAAACCTGATTTAATTAAAAGTGTCATAGATAATGCTATAGATTATATTATCAAAGATCAAGGTGAAGATGGTTCATGGTATGGATGTTGGGGTATTTGTTATACTTATGCATCTATGTTTGCATTAGAAGCTTTAAATTCGGTTGGATTAAATTATGAAAATTCATCTTGTGTTAAAAAAGGTTGTGATTTCTTAGTTTCAAAACAGTTATCAGATGGTGGTTGGTCAGAATCTATGAAATCTTGTGAAACACATACGTATGTAAATGGTAAAACAACGTTAGTTGTTCAGTCTGCCTGGGCAGTAATTGGATTAATATTGGCTGATTATCCTGATGTTGAAGTAATCAAAAGAGGTATTAAATTCTTGATGAATAGACAATTACCTACTGGTGAATGGAAATTCGAAGATATAGAAGGTGTTTTCAATCATAGCTGTGCTATTGAATATCCTTCATATAGATTTTTATTCCCGATTAAAGCATTAGGTTTATATAGACAAAAATATGGTGATTATATATAATATCTAAGGTAATTTAAATGTTTTTGCTCCAAAATATGAATTTTGCTTTGTTGCAACACCTGCAAATGCATTATAAAATGCAATTAATGCTGTAATTACTCCAAAAACTCCCCCTGCTCTTGTTATACCTACATTTAATGTAAAATCACCAGCAGCTAATAAAACAAACGTCATAAATAAACAAAAGAATAATGCAAAAAAAGCAACATTTGTTCTTATAGTTAATATCATCAACATAAAAGTGAAGATAGCAAAACCAGTCAAGAAAAGCCCAGCTGCTTGTTTCAACTGTTCTGGATCTTCTGCATAAGCGGCCTGAACACCAAATCCAGGAATATAAATAGCTGCCCATGATAACCAAAATGAACCATAAGAAACTAACGCAACAAATCCAAAAGTATTACCAACAAAAAATTCCCAAACACCAGCTAAAAATTGTACTGTACCTCCATAAAATACAGCAAGACCAACTGCTAAATTTGGTGTTGTAACTCCACTAGCTTGTGCATTTATTAAACATAAAACAAATGTTGATATTCCAAAAGCACATAAACCTAAAGGACCTGGATTTGCAAACTTATTAGTTGGATTATTCATTGTCATTGCACCCATTAATTCATGTCTTAGGAATTTTTGACCACCCATGATAATAAATTCATTACTATCACCGGCTATTTCAATCTTAGAATGGGTTTCATCTGTAGTTGTTGAATGTTTTGATAATGTAGACATTGTTAATAGTTCATGATAATTTTTAGATTCTATTTATACTTACCTAAATTTATAGCCAAGATATCGATGTTACATCGGAAATTAACCTAAAGTATAAAGTTAAACTTTCATATTGAATGCCCTAAAATCTACACAGCAATAGAGATAGATGTTAGACAAATTCAATGCATCTATCTATTTTCGTATTTCTGCAATGAGCCCTGCAGTTCGTTCTATAACATTAATACTTGTGCTTTCAACATCGTCAAATTTGAAATGCCGGAAAAAAGACTTTGTTGCAAACCCTACGCCAATAAATAATTCCGAATATAATAGTATCTTTTTCTTTCATTAGCACCACATCTACCCATATTATCAAGTCTATTTGATCTCTTGGCTCATTGTGGGTTTAATCTAAGAATTTGTTTCGGGTAAGAAAATAACCTGTCTACTTCGTTGAAGCTCCACAAACAAAGTTCCATTGTTCATAATCTCCTATTATTGGATTAGTAACTTTTTGGGGTTTTTTTTCTTTATTGTAAGAAGCTAAAACACCACAACTGAATTCATAAGTCATACTTTCGACAAATCATCACAACAGCAGTCTAATACCTCAAACGTTATTTATACATAAATAAATTTAGTTTCCTAAAGCTTATTAGAAAATAACTTCATGGTGCGAAAGTCCTTCTATTTTGTCTCTAAAGTATTACCCAATCAAAAGCCTCCATTTATTACCCCCTAAATTCTGAATTACCCCTTAAAAAATTTTATAGAAAAAAGAATGCACATATCGTAATACAGCCAGCTGGTCTTTAATATAATTACAATATTTTACTCTTTCATATACTTATAACGTCAGTATCACTGTAATCCAATAACTTTAATAGTCATAGCAGGAGTTAATACTTCATCACAAAGATATATAAGATTGGTAGCGCTGTATTTTAGTTAATGTAAGGGTCTTCTTAAATTAAGACGTAATGTTGATAATGGGTTCGAAATTTGATTAGATCTAGTTATAAATCTTAGCAAATGCTTTTAAACTATCTACCAAAAAAAATGATCTCCTCGATCTGGGATTGCGTTTGATCTAAGGGAGTTATTTGAATTTTTAATATTTAAAAATCCTGTTAACTATGGGAACGTGATTCTAAAAAAAAAAAATTTGAAGCCATTCTGACCAATCAGAAATATTTTCCAAGATCCTGCTTCACATAAAAATGCTTAGCAAATGATATTAGCAGCAGCAAGTGGCGTTTCTGCTGAGTAATCCTCAAGATGCCCGATAAAGTCGATCAATCAGAAAGTTGTTTAAAAGCTTGAATGCCATTTAAGCGCTACCAAATATGATTGTGCTAATTAACGCAATAGTAATTGTGCTTATTCCTGACCTGTACTTGAGGGTTACAAGCTAGCCGTTATCGGGATCGTTTTTTGCGTCCCAAAAATAGCCATATTATGACTTTGAAGTTTCTCGTAGCGTATCTGTACTAAGAAATAATTATAGGTGTTGATGAAATGCAGATATGATTACAGTCAACTTCTACAAATGTCATTGACTTTGACGGACTCCAATTCAAACAAATAAAACGATAAGGAAGTGCGTTATGTATTAACTGCTAACTTTTCTGGTTTTCTTTAAACAATTGAATAAAGGTCTTTTCAAACTGAATCGTATAAACATATTTTTATGGTTAAAATAGAGTGTAATGAGGCCAACGATAGATAAAGTCCCCATATATCCAAGCTCTGATACCTGATGATGATTGTGAATTACAAAGTTTAAATAAAACTTTATAGACTATGACCCCTAATTGGTGGAAAGTCGATTATATGCACCTAGATTGCTCCAAAATAAACGAAATTTAAATAAACTTTGAAATAACAACTGTTTAATAAGAATTGTTTTCCTCCAGGTATGATTACCAAGCTTATACAAATGAAAACTACCCATTGGGCTGCTGAATGTGTATTTGCAAATTAGGATCACGCAATTGCTTATTGTCAATGTGTTTCACTTACGTCTTTTTTTATTCAACAAATGCAGTTTGGCATAATTGTTTTCAATGGTTCTATGGATTAGTTGGTTTATATCGAATGCTTAACACGCATTAGGTCCCCAGTTCGAGCCTGGGTAGAATCATATTTTTTTAATGCTTTTGCATTCATAGAAGACAGTTTGTCTTGCTAAAACTCATTTTTTGCATCTCTATACTCGATCCCCTCCAATTCAATGATATCTGTTTGATTCCACAGTGCTTTATAAGTTGTCCAGTTGTTTTTTCAATGCTCATTCGCTCTTTCTTTGTTCGTTTTGTCAAAATTTTTCAATTTTTGATCAAATTCGTCGAAATTTTATTTTCTTTACGTATATATTAGGTAAAGCTATACAAATGAACGAATTTTTATATAGAAAACTTAAATCAGCCGAATTCCTCTAAGTTAATGTTTCATGTTTCATGTTGTTATTCTTTGTTGACCAAATTTTATCCGGTAATTGAAATACATCAATCATTTGGCATTAACATCAACTCAAAACTCCTAAATATTATTAAAATGGCTATGTAGGCTCAGATATATAAAAACTTATTTAAATATTTTATGTAACTCTAGCATAGTTGTCCAATTTGTAGTGAGTAAGAGTTTACAAAATTAAGGGGTTTTTATTTACACCAGACGTAGTAGCACACACAGTTTAATTTGATTGCCCCCTAAAAAAATATCGTCTTTGTTATAAATCTAATCTATACATCTAATTGAGTAAATTCCTTTTTCAAATTCTTGAATAGTTTTTTACTTTTACCTATTTTATGTTTTTGAAATATTCTTTTATAACCTCTTGATAATAAAGGAAAACCAGTTTCTTCACCCCATAACATTATAAATAGATTAATAAGTGCAAAAAATAATATATAACTATAAAACCAATTTGATAAATTTGTCAATTGCATAATATTACCCAATCTTGAATCTTGATTAATTAAAAATAATGATGCTGATAATAATGTAGCCATTATTATATTAATAATAAATGGTATATTTTTAATCATTGACTGTCTATATGGTGGACCTTGACTTAAAACAATTGCAATTAAAATATATTGAAAATTTGAAAATAAAAATAAAACTGTATTATCTGAAGATTTAACAGCATCATCTGACCCAGGTATTGGTTTGATATACCATGGTTCTTTTTTAACCCATAACCATAAAAACACTTGAAATATTAATAAAACTAATATGTGACAAATCAAAGGTATTAAAATCTTTGGTGATACTAAATTTGCAGTTGGTCTTTTAACTATTAATTTATCAAATGGTTTTGACCATGACATAAATATAGCCAATGGTAAAATTAAAAATAAATCAATGTATAAAAATTGAAAATCTCCCAAATTTGTACCTTTTTTATATAAAATTGTAACTGATATAAATTGAATAGCTGAATATAATGACATATACCTGAAACATGAAAAACTAGTAACTAAACTTGATCTACCTTCTTTTATAATATCTAAAACACATGTAATTTCAAAAATTCTTGATGTAAATGGTGCTGCAACTGATGCTTCTGCTTCAGATAATGAAATTCCAACATCGGCAGCTTTCAATGCCCCACAATCATTTGCACCATCACCGCAGAACCCAACCGTATAATCAATTTTCTGCAATTGTTCAACCAATTCATGTTTTTCATCTGGTGACATTCTTGCAAAAATATCACAATTCATTAAAATCTTTTGAGTTAATTCTGGATTTTTAATTTCTGTTAATAAGAATTTGAAAACATCACCGGTGATAGCTAATTTACAACTATTGACTTCAAATAAATCTAATCTATTTTCTGCATCATTGAGTTCTTGCCAGAACAAAGATTGTTCTTTATTATCAAATACAGGAACAAAAACTTGATCTGAAGTAGGTATCAAACCAGCTTCTCGTGAAACACTAATTGCAGTAAGTAGATTATCTCCCGTACACATAATTGTTCTTATTTTAGCAGCAGTTAATTTTTCCAATGTACCTTTAGTTGAAGGTTTTAATTTATTCTGGAATATTAAGAAACCGACAAATGTTAAGTTACTTTCTGCATCTTCTCTTATTGGATTAGTTTCATCTATTTCTTTATAAGCACATCCAATTACTCTGTAACCAGAATGTGTATACAGATATAACAATTCTTCAAAATTTGAAGGAATCGATTTTGGATCACATATATCTAACATAATTTCAGGTGCACCTTTTGTGAATACATAATTATTACCTCTATTTGCTAAAACTGACATTCTTCTTAATGTTGCTAAAAATTCAAACTCTTTAAGAATTTTATAACTATCTTTTCCATTATATACAATTGGATTATGTTCTTCTTTGTAGTCCCATTTTGTAAATTCAAACATTTTCACATCTAATGGATCACCTAATAATTCATTATCAATATTTCTCAAAGAATGACAAGTCGCCATGCATCCAAGGAAAAATAAAGCATTATTTGTATCACGATCACTATCTCTAACAGTTTTTAAATTATCAATATCCTCAACCAAATCTTCGAATATAATTTCTTTTCTACCTTTTGCATTATTTGCCAAATGAATTCCTAAAACATCTAGCCCATCTTCAGTTAATGTACCAGTTTTATCAAAACAAACTAAATCCAATTTTCCTGCTATATTGACTCTTGTAGGTGCAATACAAAATATTTGTAATTTTTTCAATCTTGAAATTGCAAATGTTGTACCAATAGTTAATGTTGCTGGTAATGCAGGTGGTACTACAATTGTAATAATATCCAAAGCTCTCAAAATCATCACTTTTTTATCAACACCCAATTTTATAAAGTTATAAGTAGAATAAATGAATCCAACTGTAGCTATCAAAGTCATAAACCCAATATATTTAAATGAATCTTCATAAAATTTGAAACCTGTTGGTTTTGGAAACAACATTGAACGAACTAACGATCCTTTGGTTGTATTGAACCCCGTTTTCAAAACCATTGCAGATACTGGCTCATCATTTGATGATCTCATTTTCAATAATTTTGTCCCATTGAATAGATAAGATTTTGATAAGACTGGATCTATGAAATTTTCAGGTAAATATTTAACAGTCTCTTTTGTTGCTTGGAATTTGGTTACTGGAACACTTTCACCTGTCAACATTGATTCATTTACAACACATTCACCATTAAGTAATAATGCATCACATGGAATCACATTTAAAGAAGGATCAACTTCAAATACATCACCAGGTACTAAATCTGTAGAATCAGTTTGTTTCCAGAATTCATTTCTCCATACTCTAATCTCGCATGAAAATTTTGAAATTTCTTGAAGTCTATTTATTGTTGATTTAGTTTCAATTGAGGAATTGATTATTGAAATTAAGGATATAAGGAAAATACATGATGCATAATAATAATAATCATCTGCTAACCATAAAAATATTGAAAATACTTGAAAAACATAAAATGGATGCAAAACTTCATCTATTAATAATCGTGCAATTGATTTCTCTTCAATTTCAATCTTGTTTTCATCAAATATATTCAATCTTTGTCCTTGTAATGATTGTGATATACCTTCTTTTGTAGTTTTAACATTTAACCAACGTGAATCATACCAATTTGAATTAGTTTTGAAAATATCTTCCAAAGGATTATAAAAAAATTTGATATATCTGTAAACAAATGAATGTAGTATCGGTATCACTGGATCTGTTTCATTAGTTACCATGTAACTAGCTAATCTTTCATCAAATTTTTGCTTTTTAACATCTATAATTTGCAATTCACCAAATTCATTTTCAATAACAACCCAATGTGCAATACCCAAAGCACATCTATTCCCCATTATATTAACTCTATATTTTGGAAGCCATCGAAGTACTAAATAACCTAATCCTATAGTACATATGCATAACAAATAATATATAATTTTCTTCCACCAACAGTTTTGATAACCAGCTATACCAATAACCAAATCTTCTTCAGCTAAATAATATCTTTGATAATCTAAAGTTGCTGGATATTCTTTATAAAAATTATAATCAATTTTTACAGAATGACTTGATTCTTCAGATATACTTGCTGTTCGTCTTCTTTCCAATTCCATTGATCCATAATCTACAGATTCTGGTTCAGGTGATTGAAAATCAATTTCTGGCACTTCTTCATCTTCCGAAAATTTATCAACTGAGTAATCCCAATTTGTATTATAATCAACAGGATCTTCTGGATTTTCTAAAGTTGAACCACCTTGCGCAGTTTCAATTTCATCTGGAGTAAAAAAACGAAAATGAGGTTGATCATCGGATTTTCTTGAATTTACTGATTCATGATCACTTAATAATAAAGGAGAGGTTTCTCTTGAAATATGCAGATCTCTTCTACCACCAAAATTATGAGGATAATGTAAAGAAGTAATTGAAGATGGAATAACTTCAGAAGCAGCACCAGAAAACATTTCATGATTATTATTTTCATAATGAGAATCTTGTGAAGAAGTTGAATTACGTCTTGATCTAAATCCACTGTTTCTTCTTGATAAAGAAGATGACCTTCGACTCATCTTTGGTTAGTTTTGATAAAACAAATTGGTAGCAAAAAAATAAAAAAATGTATATAAACTAAACCCAAATAAATTTATACCAAAATGGCATTAAAATTAAAATTAAAACCACCATCTGCTTCAAATTCACCACCACCTTCTGATGAACAACAACCAAAAGTACCTAGAATTAAATTTAAAGCACCAACTAAAACTCCTGTAAAAAGAGAAAATGAAGAACAATTACATGATCAACCAAAAAAGATTAAAATAAGTTTATCTAAATCAAATGAAAATGGCCAACAAAAAATGACTCCAAGAGTTAGAGTTAAACCAAGTAGAATACCTGGTGAAGGTTATGATTCAGAAGCTCCAGATTTAGAAGATGATCCATTAATTGAAGAAGGTATTATTATACGATTTTTAAATGATTCAAATTTAGAATTTGTTCAAAATGCTGTTGAATCAGGAGATTTTAATGGGGTTAATATTAAATGGATTACAAAAGATAAAGCTGTAGTTAGTATAAATGGTACATTTTATTCTGCAAGACTACTAGATTTACCAACTATAACTGAAATTTATAAAACAATTGATAAAAAGAATATCTTTAAAACTTTTGATATATGTCAGATACTTTTAGTTTTACATACGGTTAATCCACAACAATTTGATAAAACTAAAGATTTTGAAGTACCTCAAGAATATTTATTTAATCATCCTTTTTACAAACATGTCAAAAATAATGAAATTAAAAAGAGAAAAATGGTTTATAGAGATGGTTTATTACCTCCTTTTAAAGATGTTTATCGAAGGTTTAGACCTACAAGAGCTGATCATAGGGTTATACAAGATTTAGAAGCTAAAGTTGATGAATTGATTAAATTAGATAGTCAAGCGGAAGAAAGTCATTTTGAATTAATAGATAAAAGAGAACAAAGATATAGTAGTACAACTCCATCAGCAGTTTCAACTCCATCAAGACCACAAATTGAAGAAGAAGAAGAAGAGGAAGAAGAAGAACAAGGATTTGATGAAAATATGGTTGATGATATAGAATTACATTTGGAAGAAGAATTAAATAAATTGGAAGATTCTGATGGTGAACAAGTAGTTTCAGTACCACAACAAATAACATTAAATGAAGAAGAAATAATAGTAGAACCAGAAGAAAGAGAAGATGAAGATGAAGAGGATGATGAAGATGAAGAAGATGAAGAAGAGGAAGAAGAAGAAGGAGATGGTAAATCAGGAAAACAACATGTTAAATTATTAGAAGAAGAAATTGCAGAATTGGAAAAAGCTGTTGAGCACCAACATAAAAACTTATCAACAGCATTAAGTAAAATGTTAAAAATGAAATTTCAAAATACTTATTCGTCATTAAAAGCTTCATTAGATCAAAAAAAGAAAGAATTACAAAAAATTAATGATGAACAAGAACAAAATCAAAAAATTGTTGAACCATCTAATGAACCACACCCTGAATCCAAACCAGAAGAAGAAGAAGGAGATGAAGAAGACGAGGAAAAAGAAGATGATAATGATGAAGACATTGATGATATTGATGATTTGTTCTAGCGTATAAAAGTAGTGCACGTTGTACCACCAATCTCTTCGCGGTAAAAAAAAAAATTGAAATTTATCATTACATTGGGGAAAATAAGGCCTACTTCATGTCAACCAATTCTATTAAATTATTAGCTAGTGATGTTCATAGGGGATTAGCCGAATTATGTGCTAAAAGATTGGGTATTAGAATTACTCCAAGTGAATTAAAAAGAGAATCAACTGGTGAAATTCAATATAGTATTGGCGAATCAGTTAGAGATGAAGATATTTTTATATTATGTCAAATTGGTTCAGGTGAAGTTAATGATAGAGTAATAGAATTAATGATAATGATTAATGCTTGTAAAACTGCTAGTGCAAGAAGAATAACCGTAATATTACCAAATTTTCCTTATGCAAGACAAGATAGAAAAGATAAAAGTAGAGCACCAATTACTGCAAAATTAATGGCTGATATGTTAACAACAGCTGGTTGTGATCATGTTATTACTATGGATTTACATGCTAGTCAAATACAAGGATTTTTTGATATACCTGTTGATAATTTATATGCTGAACCAAGTGTTGTTAGATATATAAAGGAAAAAATTGATTATAAACAATCTATTATAATTTCTCCTGATGCTGGTGGAGCTAAAAGAGCAGCAGGTTTAGCAGATCGCTTAGATTTAAATTTTGCATTAATTCATAAAGAAAGAGCTAGAGCTAATGAAGTTTCAAGAATGGTTTTAGTTGGTGATGTTTCTGATAAAATATGTGTTATAGTTGATGATATGGCTGATACATGTGGTACATTAGCAAAAGCAGCAGAAGTTTTATTGGAAAATAATGCAAAAGAAGTTATTGCAATTGTAACTCATGGTATATTATCAGGTAATGCTATAAAAAATATAAATCAATCAAAATTGAAAAAAGTTGTTTGCACAAATACTGTTCCATTTGAAGATAAAATTAAATTATGTGATAAATTAGATACAATTGACGTTTCAGCTGTATTAGCAGAATCTATAAGAAGATTACACAATGGTGAAAGTATATCATATTTATTTAAAAATGCTCCATTATAGAGAAAATTATGTTTTAATATATTTAGCTTATTTATTTGAGTCCACTTGGTAGCGCTCTTCTCGTATTACTTTTTTTTTTTTATTTTATTTTTTTTTATTTTTTTTATATTTTTTTTTTTTTTTTTTTTTTCGATAAAAATCCAAAAATTATTATTCATAAAATTTTGTAAATTTGCAGCCATTTTTAAACCAACAAAGAATCGTTAAGACGGGAAATGACTAAGTTCAGAGCATGTCTTTTTGGTAAGTAAATTTCTATTTGCCTTAAAGTGACTTACTAACCGGCAGACATGGATGGAACTCTTCTCAATACTGAAGATATATATACTGAGGCATCAACTGAATTATTAGCATTATATGGTAAAGGACCTATGACATGGGATGTTAAAATTAAGCTACAAGGTAGACCAGGATTAGAAGCAACTAGAATTATGATTGAAGAATATGATTTACCATTAACACCAGAAGAATTTGCAATACAAGCAATGAAAATACAAGAAGATAAATGGCAATATCTGAAATTTTTACCAGGAGCAATAGATTTACTAGAATATCTTCATACAACTAAAATACCAATCGCGTTAGGTACTTCATCAAATACTATAAATTTCCATAGGAAAACTAAACATTTACAACATGGTTTTAAGTATTTTCAAGGTCATATAGTTACAGGAGATGATGAAAGAATCCCCAGAGGTAAAGGGAAACCACATCCAGATATATGGTTTGCATGTTTAGCTAGTATTAATAAAGAGAGGTTGACCAAAGGATTAGATGAGATTAAAATAGAAGAATGCTTAATATTTGAAGATGGAATACCGGGAGTTCAGTCAGGTATCAAAGCCAATGCAACAGTTATCTGGATACCTGACCCTCAAGCATTAAAAGTATTACAAGGTAAAGAAGTAGAGATAATTGGTGAATCTGGTGAAATTATTGAAAGTTTGTTAGTGTTTGATAAACATAAATATTTATTTATAGATTAGAAAAAATATATATATATATAATCAAATGATCGGAAGTGATTGTTATCACATATTAATTGATAATACTAATACACAAGATTACAGATATTCTACAATTGAAATAACAGAAATTAATAATAGAGGCGAAATGAATTTAGAACCTATAAAAGCAAAAATTATTGGTGATGGTATTATAAGATTATACAGAGAATTCGATGACATTATTTTACAACCAAATCACATAAATAAAGGAGATGATACAATGGTTGGTATATTAGCTATTCCAACATATTTTACAGCTACAGATTTATTAGGTTTTATTGGGGAGTCTTTTATGAGTAAAATTTCACATTTGAGAATTTTAAAAAGTAATAAACCGAATAGGTTTTTAATTTTAATTAAATTTAAAGATATAATTGAAGCAGCTAATTTTCATTATTCGTTTAATGGTAAACCTTTTAATTCAATGGAACCTGAAACTTGTCATGTTGTTTATATAAAATCAGTTCATGTTTGTTACCCCAAGGTTGAAAGTTCGTTGATACCATTTTTATTAAAAGATCCATTTACATCTATAGATTTAGAAGAATTAAATTTAATTGAATTACCTACATGTCCTGTTTGTTTAGAAAAAATGGATGCTAATATAACTGGATTATTAACAATACCTTGTCAACATACTTTTCATTGTCAATGTTTATCAAAATGGAAAGATGATACGTGTCCAGTATGCAGATATTCACAGAATTTAGGTACAGATTTATTAAAATCAACGGCAAATAGTCTGTCAGATTCAAGATGTAATGATTGTAATCAAGATTTAAATTTATGGATTTGCCTAATATGTGGAAATGTTGGTTGCAGTAGGTATGCGCCAGAACAACATTCATTAAAACATTTTATAAATACAGGACATTGCTTTGCAATGGAAATAAATACTAGTAGAGTGTGGGATTATGCTGGTGATAATTATGTACATCGATTAATTACTAATGAATCTGATGGTAAATTAGTTGAATTACCCGATAAGAAAAAATCAGATCCTGGATTAGAATATTCACAATTATTAATTAGTCAATTAATAAGTCAAAGAGAATATTATGAAAATATAATTAAAGAAAAATCTGATATATCCGATTTAGAAAATAAATTTTCAGATTTAACAACAAAATTAATACCCTCTTTAAAAGAAAAAATTCAATCAAAGGAAGAGAAATTAAATGAAATTGTACGTGAATTAAATATTTCAAACTCATTAAATGAAGCATTATCAGAGAAAATTGATCATTTAAATAAATTACATGAAAGTTTTAAAATTAAAATTACAACTCTAACTCAAGAGAATAAAGATTTACAAGCACAAGCTAATGATTTAATGTTTTATCTTGATAATCAAGAAAAATTTAAAAATGAATCTCAAGATGTCAAAGACGGAACTATTATAATTCAACAACAATCTAAAAAAAATAACAAAAAGAAGAAGAAATAAATATGATCTAGATGCAAAAACTAGTAAATTTTTTTTTTGAGATGACGATGATTTATCATATTTATATTAAGGATTAAGGTTTTCAATCTGTTATCTAATGTATATAATTGCAAATATATGCATTTATAATTTCCTCAATTTGGGTGCAAAATATTTATTTTTATTTATTTTTCTATTATTTTTATTATATCTGACATAACTAAAAATCAGATTTCGAATTTATACTAATTGTGACCTAAAGTTTCTGATATGCCGATTTCAAAGATATAAATATATCAATTTATAATATTTTTTGTAAAATTTTTTATAACTTTTACTTATTAATTATGAATTATCAAACAAATTCCGCCGCCATGCCTAGATTACCGTCGTTTCAACAATTAAACGAGACGCTTCGTAATCCAAATGAACAACAATTACAACAACAACAACAACAACACCAACATCATCAACAACAACAACAACCACAACCATCACCATCGGGTCAAAGATCTTTACTGTATTCAAATTCAGTTTTTAATGAAGAATATTCTTATTTACCGAATTATCATGAAAGACATGAAAGTTTTCCAAGTCAATATATTTATTCCAATGTAGAAGCCGCCAAACAATTATTTTCTTTCAATAATGGTAAGTCAATAGATTCAACAAATGATAATAAATTCATTCATGAATTAATACAATTTTTAATTAATTTTGAAGGTCAATATAATGAAATTAAAGATTTAAGACTAGTTATTGAAAAATTATCTATTGATTTAGGGGGTAAAAAAATTAATGATATTTTAATAGATTTAAACAGAATGACAAAAATTATTGAAAGTATTAAAGTATTAAATGAACAAAGGAAAATGAATAAAAGAACTACTACAACACCAAAAAAAGTTCGTAAAAAGCAAGGTAAATCATATTCAATTGGTGGAGGTGAAATTGTTCCAATGGATATAAGAATGGCACAAGAACAACAACAACATCATCAACAACAGCAACATCAACAACAACAACAACATCATCAACAACAACAACATCATCATCAACAACAACAACAACAACAACAACTACAACAACAAAATCATCAAGCCTCATTTCAAAGTGGTGGCTTAAATCCAGAATTAAGTATTAAACCAGAAATTACATGTCAACATTGTTGTTCAAATGAAACTCCAGAATGGAGAAGAGGACCAGAAGGCAGTCGAACATTATGTAATGCATGTGGTTTATTTTATTCCAAATTAATTAAGAAGTATGGATTACAAGAAGCTGATAGAATTATGTTGGAAAGAAAGCAAACAGGAACAGTTAATGACAGACGAATCTTTTAATCAAATACTTGATAAAAATGGCTGCAAATTTGACTTATTGGTTGCAAAAAAAAATAAAATAGTAAACAAAAATTTATATGCAAAATTTAATTTTTCTTTTATCTCATCTCAATAATTGACATCTTTAATCTTTTTCTATAAGTTATGTCTGATTCAAAATCAGTACTAAGTAATAAAGAAACATCATTTCCAAGAGGTGGTAAAACTGCTTTAACTCCTTTAGAAGTAAAAGAAATTTCGAATGAAGTTCAAAAAGATGTTTTATTCGAGTCATCATCATTAAATAATAAGAGATCAATAAAATCAAAATCCGATCAACCAAAAAAGAAGCAAAAGAAATCAAACAAGAAAAATAAGGATATAGAAGATGATGAAGAAGAAGTATCAATACCTATAGAATATTTAACTTTCAAAAATTTAATAACAGGATCTTTAGTACTTGGACAAATTCAATCAATTAATAAATTGGATATTGCTTTGGCCTTGGGCGATAATTTAGTTGGTTACATACCTATAACATCAATAAATTCATATATAACTAATCTAATAGAAAAATTTGAAGAAGAATCTGAGTCAGAATCTGAGTCAGAATCTGAGGATGAAGATGAACAAGATGATGCATTGATTAAAGCGAAAGAATTTCCAAATTTATCAAATATTTTCAAAATAGGATCATGGTTAAAAGCAAGAGTATCAATACCCGAAGATTCAAATAAAAAAAGAATAGAATTAAATATAGAACCAGAAATTGTAAATGAAAATTTAGAAAATGAAGATTTATTACCAGGAAATGTTTTACAGTGTTTTGTTAAATCAATTGAAGACCATGGGGTTATATTAGACACCGGTAAATCAGTTTCAGGATTCATAAGTAATAAAGATTTAGATATTGAAGTTAAAGAAGGTACTGTTATATTATGTTCAGTTCTTTCGCAACCAAAAGGTAGAACTATCAATTTAAAACCAGTAACACAACCAAATAAAAAATATTTATCATCAATAACTTCAATAGATTCAATACAACCTGGTATAATAGTCGATGCATTAGTTACTGATGTTACATCTACAGGTTTGGTTACTAAAGTTTTTGGTTTAGTTGATGGTACTATAAATTTGTCAAGTATTCATGAATTTGATTTATCAAAATTAAAACTCAAGTTTGCAATTGGTTCAAATATAAAAGCTAGAGTAATTGCTGTTTTATTTAAAAATGGTACCAAAAAGTTGGTGCTTTCAATCATACCCCAAATTTTACAATTGGAAAATAATACGAAAGAAACCGAATCTTTAGAAGCTTTTCCAAGAGGTCATACTTTCGATGAAGTAGAAGTTATTGGAGTGGATTCAAACTATATTTTTGTCAAATTTGGAAGTTCTGAGTTATTTGGACAAATTCATAATTCAAAAATAAATGAAAACAAAACATTGACTGATTATTCAGTTGGCTCAAAACATAAATCAAGAGTTATTGGATACAATATAATAGATTTATTATTAATATTGAGTTTTGAATCTAAAGTAATAAATGCTAAATATTTAGATGTCAAAGATATTCCAATTGGTACATTGATAAAAGATGTTGCAATTTCGAAAGTTTTACCAGAACAAGGTGGTATTAATGTTAGTTTTGATGATTTCAATGGATTTGTACCTCCGAATCAAATGTCAGATATAAAATTAGTATACCCAGAAAGAAAGTTTAGAGTTGGCTCAAAAGTAAAAGGTAGATTATTAAAATTTAAAGGTAGCAAACCATTAATAACATTAAGAAAAGCTTTAGTAAATTTAGAAGATGATGAAATATTATCAAATTTTGATCAAGTTTCAATTGGTTTTAAGAGTAACGCAATTGTTGAAAAATTCGTTCATAATGGTTGTATAGTTTCATTCTTTGGTGATTTAAGAGCTTTCCTTCCTAAAAATGAAATATCTGAAACCTTTGTTGATGATGCAAGTAATTATTTGAAATTGGGTCAAATTGTTAAAACTAGAATATTAGATATAAATAAGGATACACAAAGATTAATTGTATCATTGAAACAATCAACAACTATTACATCATCAGAAATCAATCAATTGATACCAGGTAAATCAGTTGTTGAAGCAATGGTAGTTGAAAAGAAGAATAATTCAGTAATTATAAGCATTGATGGTGTCAATGGAGTTATACATGATGGACAATTATCAGATAAAAATTTTGAACAAAATAGAGCAGCTTTCAAGAAATTGTCAATTTCATCAAAATTAAAAGTTTTAATAATTGAAAAAGATATCAAAAATCAAACAGTCATATGTTCAGCTAAACAATCATTAATTGATGATGCTGAAAGAGGTTTATTACCAACACAATTTGAAGAAATTGAATTAAATAAATCTATACGAGGTTTCGTCAAATCAATTACAAATTTAGGTTTATTTGTATCATTTTCAAATAAATTAACTGGTTTAATATTAGCAAAATATATTAATACAAAAGAAGACCTTAATAAGAAATTTTTCAAAAATCAATCAGTAACTTGTAGAGTTATAAATATTGATTTGGAGAATAAAAGATTTTTATTATCATTAGATTCAAAAGAAAAAGAAGATGAAGAAGTTATAAATCCAATAGATTCTTCCAAAAAATTAATATCTGATTTTACACCAGGTGTTGAAACATTAGCTAAAATAAAATCAATCAAAGGTACTCAATTAAATGTTCAATTGGGTGATAATTTACATGGTAGAGTTGACATAACACAAGTTTTTAAGTCATTTGATGATATAAAACTGATTTCACAGCCATTAAATCGTTTCCATAAAGGTGAACAACTTAAAGTTAAAGTAATTGGATATCATGATGCTAAAAATCATACATATTTACCAATAACACATCGTAGATCAAACAGAAATACTGTGTTAGAATTATCGATTAATGATCCAAAGAATGTTTCACAATTAAAATTATCAGATATTAAAAAAGGTCAAGAATTTATCTCATTCATTAACAATATTACAAAAGGTTTTGTTTGGGTTTCAATATCTCCATCTATCAAAGGTCATATACAATTTTTAGATTTATCAAATAATGGACAAATTTTTGAAGATTTAGATAATAAATTACCAATTGGTTCAGCATTAAAAGTTAAAGTTAAATCAGTAGACCAACAACATCAAACTTTATCATTAACTGCAAGAACTGAACAAGTTGAATCAATAAAAGATTTGAAAAATGGTGAAAACTATCCAGCAAAAGTTATAAAAGTTAAAGAAAATTATGTATTAGTTGATTTAGGTAATAGTTTGATTGCTTCATCATTCATAACCGATGCTTTAAATGATTATACTAAAAAATTAGATTCAGTTTTTGTTAATGGTGATTTTGTAAGTGCAACAATTTTAGACATTGATGCTGAAAATAAAAAAATAGCAGTTAGTTTAAGAACTGCGGAAGGTGCAAAGGATAAAGTTATTGATTCTTATAAAGATTTATCAAGAGGTGATATTGTCAATGGGTTTATTAAAAATATTGGAAATAATGGTATTTATGTTTCATTAGGTAGATCGGTATTTGCACTAGTTCGTATATCAGATTTATCAGATTCATATTTAAAAGATTGGAAGAAATATTACAAAGTTGGTCAACCAATTCAAGGTAAAATTGTAAATTGTAAAGAAGAAAATAGAGTATTAATGACTTTAAAAGAATCTGAGATTAATGGTGAATTAAAAACTTTAAAACAATTTGATGATTTATCAGTTGGTGATATATTTGAAGGGGTAGTTAATAAAACTACTGAATATGGTGTTTTTGTTAAATTAAATGGTACTTTAAATATTTCAGGTTTATGTCATCATTCTGAAATTAGTGAAAATGATGTAACTAATGTTTCATCAATATTTGGAGAAGGTGATAAAGTTAAAGTTAAAATTTTGAAAAAAGATGATGAAAAGAAACAGTTATCATTAGGTATGAAAGCATCATATTTTACTGAAAATGGAACAACTGAACAACAAGAAGAGGTGGAAGACGAACAAGATGAGATGGAAGTTGATAATGAAGAAGAAGAAGAAGAAGAAGAAGAAAACTCATCAGATTCAGATGTTGATATGAATGGAGAAGAAAATGAAAGTGAAGATGATGCAAGTGATAATGAAGAAGAAGAAGAAGGAAATAAATCTATAGGTTTATCAACTAATGGTTTTGATTGGACTGCATCAATTTTAGATCAAGCTGATGATGATGAAAGTTCATCAGATGAAGATGAAGAACAATTACCAGATTCAAATAATAAACGTAAAAAGAAAAATCAAAAGAAATTCATTGAAGATAAAACAGCAGATTTAAATACAAGAGCACCACAGTCAACACAAGATTTTGAAAGATTATTAATTGGTAATCCAAATTCATCAATTTTATGGATGAATTATATGTCATTTCAATTACAATTGAGTGAAATTGATAATGCAAGAGAAATTGGTGAAAGAGCATTGAAAACTATAAATTATCGTGAAGAATTGGAAAAATTAAACATCTGGATTGCAATGCTAAATCTTGAAAATACATTTGGTACAGAAGAATCATTAGATGAAGTTTTCAAAAAATCATGTCAATATATGGATTCATTCACAATGCATCAAAAATTAATAAATATATTTATAATGTCAGAGAAATTTGATAAAGCTGAAGAACTATTAAAAGTCATGACCAAGAAATTCAATAAGAATATAAATACATGGATCTTGTATGGTTCATTTTTATTAGATCAAAATGATAATGATAAAGTTCATGAAATTTTAAGTAGAGGTTTAAAAGTTTTACCAAAATCAGAACATATTGAATTGGTTAAAAAATTTGCTCAATTGGAATTTCAAAAAGGTGATCAAGAACAAGGTAGATCATTATTTGAGGGTTTAATAAGTGATGTTCCAAAAAGAATTGATTTATGGAATGTTTATATTGATCAAGAAATTAAATATGATAATGAAGAAAATGATAATAAATCAAAAATTGAAAATTTATTTGAAAGAGTAATATTGAATAAAAAGTTGACAAGGAAACAAGCAAAATTCCTTTTCAATAAATGGTTGAAATTTGAAGAAGATAAAAATGATGAAAATATGATGAATAAAGTTAAAACTAAAGCTATAGAGTATGTAGAAAGTCACAAAGATTAGGGGTAAATATTGTATAATATAAAACTTTCATAGAGTTAGTTATAGATAAAATTCGTTATTAACAATTCTGAAACAAATCCACCCTATATGCAGGATCACCATAATTGATCTTGAAACTTGATATGTAAATAACTCCCTCAATATTCAGGTATTCAGGCTGTTTTTCTCAAACCCCTTTCACAGAATCTTTAGCAATGTTAGATTGATCTGATGCTACGGTAATTCGAAAGAGTTATTTATAGATAAAAGGTTTTAAAATTAGCTTGATTAATACTGCATATAATCTTGTTTCACAATATCTAGAGATTCCTAGATTGCATACAAATAAAACGCGATTTTCAATTGCGCTTTTTCTTCGTATTTCAAATCTACAATATCCTTGAGATAAAATCAATTTTCTTTTATTCTAATAATAACTAGTCTAAAGGAAATTTAACAGTAGATTGATTGTAGCTCAAACGATTAATAGTTCAAATTCTGTTTTGTTGATGTCTTAGATAAAATACAATTTAGGGCCATCTCGCACTAAAGTTTGCCCAGGATTACTTTTTTTTGGACCTTAAAATCATGCGACAACTCCATCGTCGCATATATGCCATAACTTTTATACGCAAAAGATTATCCCTTTATTCGAAACTAGTTGAAACACAATTAGCATAATCAGTTTTTATCAAGAAGTTCAGAAGTTCACGTTTCAAACAAAAAATGAAGACATTACTAATTCTAATCAAAATATTTCTAGGAGTAGTAGTTAAAATTATCATGCTTTTTTAGCCACATAATATGAAATTACCCCTTAACAGATCAATCGAGTGTATGGCAGAAAAATATTTCACAACAAAATAAAAAAAAAAAAAAAGAAAATCGAATAACAAAAGAATCTAATGTAACGGTAATACGTTTTGCATCTGATTGAAAGATTAGAACTTGTTTAAATCATTATTAAACGTTTATTTGAAGTATAAACAAGAAACATTCTCAGTCAATGTGGACCACAAAACAAACAAAGATTCTTTTAATTAAATTGTTTCAAAAAGATCAAATAATTTATTTAATTAATGTAAAAGTTGTAAAAAGATTACAGGACAAACGTATCAAACGTATCAAACGTATCAATCAGTTTATCATCTAATTACCTCGATTTTACAACAAAATCGATGTCTCGTATACGTAAAATAAACAATTATTTTATATAAGTTCACTTGGTTGCAAAAAATCGAACAAAAAGTAGAGAAGTAAAAAAATAAATTAGAAAAGGCATTTAATCAAAAGTTTGAAAGATCAAGCGATAAATCCATGAAATTTGGAACAGTGTTGATATGGAAAGATTACTTTAAACTGAATAGTGTTAGCAAATCTAAGACATGAGATCTCCGTTATTAAAAGTTTAAATAGTGAGAATTCAATATAATAACATTCATCAAATCAATTAGCACGTGACATATTTTTAGTATCACATGCCATGTTAAAAAATTATGTAATCCAATTAACAATTATTACATAATTCACAACAAAAAAAAAATCACAATCTGAAAAATCATATAATGAAAACACACGAATATATATATATATATTCAATAGTATATCCATGTTATACTAGAAAGAAACAGATTTTTTCACTATTAGATATATCCTTATTTCATTCATCAAATAGTTATCAAGTATAAGTATAAGTATAAAATTAACTACTAATTGGTTATTAACAAGGAATTATCATATCATACAATCAAAACAGAATAATCACATTCATATTTTAGAATTTAGTCAAAAATATAAAACATACAAATTTCGGAGTATCAAATTATTTACAACCAATTTATATTTCATTTCATTCTTCTTTAATAATGGCCACTACAACTGCAACTAATAATAATAATAATAATAGTATTAGTAATAATAATCATAATCAACCACCACCACCTCCATATTCAAAAGCACCACCAACAACAGCATTAAATAATAATAATAACGATCCACCTCCTTCATTTGCACAATATACTAATAATAATAATAATAATACTAATAATAATACTAATACTAATAATAATAATAATAATAATAATAATAATAATAATAATAAAATTCAAATATCTTCAGCCTCATCATCATCATCTGGTAATGGTGAACATGATTTAGTTTCCGCTGCTGAAGTATTAACTCAATTAACTCAAAAGAATCAACAGCAACGATCTAACCACCAATATCATTCAATATCATCATCTTCTTTAAGTACTGATAATGAAATACTAGATGATCAACCACCACCACAAATTATTACTTCGAATTCTTCAGTTTCTAATATTCATGATATAATTAATAAAGATGATGATGATGATGATGATGATGATGATGATGTTGATGATGATGATGATGATTACAATACTACTTCCCAATCTACAACTAAACATCCATTCGTTTCAACAATGTCTATGGTTGCTAAACATCCAGTAATTATCAATGCTGTTAAATATTATGAAACTTCAAAAAGAAATTATCCATCTTTTAATTATGCCGCAGGTATAGTTGAAGCTGCTGCAATACCAGTTGTACAAAAAATTGAAACTGGTCTTAATACAAGACATCATAGTAGAAGTATTGTTAAAGAAGGCAATGAAATTAATTTTTATGCTGATCATAAACAACAAATTGAAGAACCATCAACCCAACCTAAAAAGAGAAGACTTAGTAATTCATCAACTTCATCGCAACAATCGATAGTTACCTCGCCATATGATGTTAAAAAAAGATTACAATTTTGCATTCATATTTTAAAATTGGCAAATACAAATATATCATCTAAAGTAATCTATTTACAAGATAAATTAAATGAAACAGCCAATTCAGTTAAAGAAGAAAGAAATTTACCTCCTGAACAAGCTTGTCAAAAGACAAAAGTTGAAATTGTAGGTACTGTTAAAAAAATTATTCATTTAATTTCAAATTTTAGACCATCATCATTAAGTCAACATACTCAAAAAGATAATACAGATTTATCACCTATATCTTCAGCTCAAAGTACTACAGAAGATGATATTAAACAAATTATCAGAGATATTATATTAAGTTTACCTAGATCATTACAAAATTCAGATAATAATTCAGAATCAAATGATAAAATAGTAGTATTTGCAAATGAATCTTTGGAAATGATTAATAAATTAACTGTTGTATTAAATCAACAATTACATAAGGTTGAAAATTGGGTAAATGGTGAAGAACAAGCACAACAAGGAATTAATGAAAAAGATGTTATAATGAAAGAAGAAAATGAAATAGATTCAAGCTCAACAAGATGTTCAAGTGAAGAACCAGATGCATTAAGTAAAGCAACAAAAAGAATGAAAATTACAGAAAATAATGATTAGGATTATTGTTGGTTTTTTTTATATGGTTATTTAGAAAATTGGGGAGTTTTGATTCTATTTAGTATAGTTTAGTTTATTTATGTTTTAATATTAATATTTTATTTCATATTAATATTCATTATCATTAATTCATTAAGATTACTTAAATTTATAAAGTTTATTATCATCAAAATTATCAACTTCCTATGTCAAAAGTATACTTCTGTAAACAGTTTTGCAGTAAATTTTTTATTACAATTTTTTGTAATACATTTTGAAGGAGCAAATATACTTGGATTATGAATTGTGAATCCCTGTGGTGTTGATTTTGTCTTTTTTTGTCTATTTCCAATATTCTTAACACATCTACCACAAAATAAATGACCACATTTAGCTACAAATATTCTTTTTGATAATTCATAATCAACTTCAGTAAATGGATTAGTGCAAAACCAAGGAGCTTGACATTTATATTGTTGAGAATATTTTTCAAAATTTAAATTATATTTTGAATCACCTTTAAAATCTGTTGGTGCACCTTGACCTAATACAACATTACATAATTCACAAACTAAATTTGATTGTTCATTTTCATTTTCATTTGGTTTAATATTTGAAGTATGATTTGAATCTATTTTATTAGCTGATTTAACTTTATCATGTAATTGTTTTTTATTATAATTACGCTCTCTGTTTATTCTTGCATCTAACAATCTATTATTATCTTCTTCAATTCTTTGTAATATTGAACTTGCAACTTCTCCATTTTCTTCATCTTCTGTATAATCATAATAATCTGAATTATGTTCATTACCAAATAAATTACCTCGTATAACTAAAAATCTATTTGCACCGGGGAAATTTGGGAAAAAATTAACTACCGGAAATCGTGGATTGTTTTGGTGAGTATGAGGATCTTGTAGTGGATGATTATTTCTTCTTTGTTGATTTTGTTGCTGCCTTTGTCGTACTTGTTGTTGACGTATTTGCTGCTGTCTTAATTGTAACATTCTTTGATGTTGAGCATGAGCACGTTGTTGTTGTTCTTCTAGATGCCTTTGTTGATGTCGTTGATGCTGTTGATAACGTTGTAGTTGCAGTTGCAGTTGATTTTGACGAGTACTACTCCTAAGATTTCTTTCAGGAATAGGAATACCAGGTACACCATCATGCATTTGATGATTATTTGACATGGTAGGATTTCTTAAAACAGTTTCAATTGCTGTTGGATCCATTCCCTGTTGAATATCACGCTGTATTGAATCAATAAAATTTATAACACCATTAGGTGTATGAAGTTGTGGAATTGGAGAAGGACTTGGAACTTCTCTTTGTCCAGTAATTTGAACATCTTGAGATGAAAGACTAGAATTATTATCATTAGCTAACGGAGTTGGATTTCTAGTATTAATATTCAAAATTTCAATATCATCTTCATTTTCATTATCTAAATCTATAATTTCTGGTTCTTCATCTGAGGAAACGATCTCTATTGGTTGATTATTATTACTATTATTGTTATTATTATTATTATTATTACTATTATTATTATTATTGATTCTATTACTGATTTTTCTTCTTTTTCTACTTGTAGATGAAGATTGGTTTCGTAAATTTCTAACTTGATGATCCATAATGATTAATTAAAGTAGAAAATTAATTTGAAAAAAAAACATACAATCTAGTTTTCTGGTAATATTCTTTTATTTTTGGATCAGAATGTAATTCAATAGTGATATTTTCCTCTTAATAATTAAATATAACTGCTCTAATGTAACTGCTCTGGTTGTAAAAATAAGAAGTGCTGGATATAAAATTGTTATTTTAACTTGGTTGTTTGTTAAAGAACTAAATTATTTTATTTTATTTTATTATGTAAGAAATTATGTAAGAAATTACTTAATTTCGTGTAAAAAGAAACACATACAAAATATATTTGCCATTCAGCTTAAACACAGTTGATATGACAGTTCGAGACTGAATCTTTATAGGGTAATGCTATAAGAGTATGTTTAATCGTCGGTTTGCAGTAGATTACCACCAATTTTGATTGTAGAATATTATACCAAGCTCTATCATCGAAAAATCACTAGCCTCTACACGATTTATCCTTTTTTGAAGTTCATCTAAGAGAATTTGGTGCTGTTTATTGATCAAATCATACTTTTGATAAACTTTCAGACTTTCAGACTAAATTGTTAACCATCTTTGCTTCTCTTACAAAATTTTGCAGCCAAAAAAATTTCAGCTTTGATTGCGAAATTTGCCAAAAATACAAAATCTTTTTTGGAACGATAAAATTTTGCTAGGGCGAAGAAAATCTTGATTTGTTCGCCATTGTGAGTACTCTCTGCCCCTTTGATAATATATTGAATAGCTTCACGACAAGTTACACAAGTGGAATAGATAAGGTGAACGCAGAGTATTATTAAAAAGCTAAGCTTCTACCTCTATACGAGAGTTAGGGAGTATTTACTTGACGTTAATAATGGCAGTAAATTAGGCAGTAAATTAGGCAGTAAAATAGGCAGTAAATTAGGCAATAGTATTATTATTTTATTTAGCCAAAAATAATACATTAGTATCTCATCATGTCTTTGATCTCTAAAATCTGACTTGGCTTAAGTTAAGAACATCAAAGCATCAAAATATCAAAGCATCAAGCATCAAAATATCAAAACATCAAAACAACACCTTAAAAGACGTGAATTAAAAATTAATTATTGGAATTTCCAAAAATGATAAATGAATAACCGATAACGTATTTCAGTAATTATTTTTTTTTCAAAATGACTTCAAATAGAAGTAAATGATATACATCCCCCCCTTTCATTTTAGTAAATTTAACATTAACTACCATTCATAGTAAAAGAACATAATAAGAGATTTATATCAAGTGGAGTATGATAGTATAGATCGAAATAACTTCCAAATTAAGTAATCGTTTAAAATAAAATGAAATAAAAAAAAAAAAAAAAAATAAATATAAATCCGTTTGCAATCGGTATGGGCACGACCAAGAAATTTTGCAACACTTTTCCAATAATCAAGTAATAAGTATATAATGCCATATTTACTACATCATCATTCTCATAGAATACTCGAGTACGTACTTAGAGAATTGTGTTCGTTTGCAATTGCTGGCTGTTTGATCTATCAGTTATCAAGTAATGTATCCAAATGTTGTTAATTTATTGTGTGAAATTGGTAGCACAGGCACATCTTATTTCATTTCCTAATTAAGAAATTAATAATTTTAGAAGTTGTACATTTTACAACCAAATTGAAAATTATATACTCAATTGTAAAAAGTATAATCAAATAATTTATATAAATATAAACCAATTCTCAAGAATTTTGTTAAATATTTTGTATCAGTTGTTCTTTTTTTTAATACTATTGTTTAACTAATTCATTTCAATTTTAATTTTATAACAGGTTTATATTAGATTACTTAACTTATAATTACTTCCTAGAGAAAGAAAGAAAGAAAGAAAGAAATAAAGAAAGTTTACTAGTTTAATTTTATTTTTTCATACCCAGACAAGTTCAGGATGTCAGATTTACATTTATCAACTCTTGAAATTTCAAATTTGAAATCTTCATGGAATAAAATTAATAATAAAAATGATTTTTATTCGCTATTATATCAAAATTTAATTATATCAAATCCAAAGTTAAAATTAATTTTTAATAATGATTCTTCAATTATTGAAAATCATTCAATTATATTTGGTGACTGTTTTAATTTTGTTATGTCAAATTTAAGAGATTTAATTTTATTAGACGAATTTTTATATCAGTTTGTTTTAGAAAATCAAAGATGGTCTCAAATGTCTACTAAATATTTAGAACCAATGGGTAATTCGTTAATTGAAACTTTTAAAGAAGAATTGGGTAATCAATTTACTAGTATTTTAGAATTAGTTTGGATTAAATTATATGTTTTTATTGCAAATTCATTATTAACTTATGAAGAAGAAATTTCAATTGAAAATAATTCACATTTAAATTCAACAGAAGATGAAGAAATTGAAATTCCACCTTTAAATATTCAAAGAGAAAGAAGAGGTTCAATTATAAGTAATAATAACAATAATAATTTATTACCACCAACTCCAATTGAAGAAAAACCAATTATGAAACAAAATGTATTAGTTAGTTCAAATGAAAGAGAAATTAAACAACCACAAATTTTGGATTCTTTTAATTCAATTGAAATTGATTTAAAATCAAATACAAAATATAAAGGTTTTAGAAGATCTATCGACGTTGCAAGTTCACCAATTCAAGTTGCAATTCCAAAAACTAATTCATTTTCATCAAATATTTCAAGTTCTTTGAAAAGTTTATTACAAGATAATTCAAATATAAATGATGTTGATAGTTTTATTACCCCAATTTCAACACCAACAAAATCAAAATTTGATCCAAGACCAAAATCAAAATTAAGATCATCAAAACCTGGATCAAGCGCTAGTTCAATTAATGATAAATGGTCATCATCATCATTATCATCATTATCACCTGAACCTGAAACTGATGATGAAGAATTTAAAACTCCTGAGATTAGTAGAAGAAATTCATTTGAAAAACCACCAAGTTCATTATTGGATAGAGTACAACATCAACAAGCTCAACAACAACAAGTTCAACAACAACAAGTTCAACAACAACAACAAGTCCACCATCATCACGTACATCAAGATTTAAATGCTCAATCATTTGGATTAAAAGGTCTAGCACCAATTGTTGAAGATGATTCAGATTCAGATTCAGATTCTTCTAAATATTCAAATGGTGAAAAATTAAGTACTACATCATCATCAACTGGTCAAGATTCAAATTCAAGAAGTTCTTCATTATCATTATATCATCAAAGATCAACATCAACATCAACAGCATCTGATGATTTTAATTTCTTACCTCCATCAATTCCAAAAACTGTTAGAAAACAATCACCTCCACAACAACAACAACAAGCTCCAAAAATTGGAATGCTTAGAAGTTATTCCACAACATCATTAAATTCAGCAACTCCAAGTAGTACTACAGCATCTATTGGATTTATGAATTCATCATATATTCTTAAAAATCAAATGAATAAACAAGGACCATCATCTATTAAATCACAACCTTCAACACCAAGAATATCTGCTCATCCATCAACTACAAGTTTGAATTTACAACAACCAAATCCAAGTTTTCTTAAATCTACAAATTCATTTCAAAGTGCAAAATCAAGTGCATTTGATTATAATAATAATAGTAATAGATCTCCATCAATGACTTCTTCAATTCCTAATGGATTAAATTATAAATCAATAAAGATTGAACCACCAAAGAAACAAAGTTTTAGACAAAGATTATCATCATTTTTTGGTTCTAGTTCAAAATCATCAATTTCACAAGTTTCAACTGCTCCTTCATCAATTAGAACAATTGATTATTCAAAATTACCAACAAAATCAAATGAATCAATAATACCACCAAAATCAATTAATTATTCTTCACATGTTAGACCACAATCTGTATTTTCATCAAGTGGAGGTAAGACTATTAAATATGGTGCTTCAACAACTGATTTAACATCAATGTATTCTAATGAAAGTACTACATCTGGTTTTTCATTATTTAAAAAGAAGAATAAAAATAATGATATTAAATTTGTTCCTCCACCAACTAGACATACTAGAAAAGGTAATAAATATAACGTTAAAAAAGTTCCATATGATATCTTTGCCTAAACAATTAATTTAGAAAATTAATTTGGGTTTATTTCGGTTTATTAATTATTATATGTTTTTTTTGTAATTTGGTTTGAGTTGAGTTGTGTTGATTGTATTGTGCTTTTTTGATTGATGTTTTATTAAGATGGGGATAGATAAGATTAATGGCTTTGATTTCTGACTTAATAATATACTAACTACTGTTGAACTTAAAAATGATTGTTTAAGTATATACAAGACACTAGAACATCAAGTTTAAAAATTAAGTTTACAACAATAAGAATAATTATAACCAAAGTAAAAAAATAAGCTATAGCCAAAATAAAATAAGTTATAACCAAAAAATAAGCTAGCTATATTTTAATGAATTATTAAGTTTGAAATCAGAATTAGAAAACCTTTTATTATTATTTTTGACGTTTATTATATCATTTAATTTCGGTATTATATTTTTTATTTATTGTGTAGGTATTAGAGTTAATATAAATAAATCAGTATAAAACATTTTTACCAACCACCACCACCGCTTACACCACCGCTTACACCACCGCTTTAACCACCGCTTTAATATTCATCATCTTTCCTAAAATGGTTAAAAGTTGTTTTTAGATTTCAAACGTTCGCTAGATATACTACTTTGAGCGAGAGACGAGATCTTCAATATTTCTCGATTTGACTTCTTTAAGTAATTTTTATACCTCCAATCACAAGATTCGAAACGAGTTTGTGTAATTAGAAAATAATAAAAGGTTTTGTGATAGACGCGTTCGTTGGCGTCAAATTATATTTTTTTTGATTTCTTATTGTTAATTGATTATGAAACAAAGTGAAACAGATACTCATATACTTTTCAGAGTAGTTCTCACACTCAGCAGGAAATGTTCAGCTTGAAATTTAAGAACGAAGCAGAGATTTAATGAGTTTATGAAGATGTTAATTTATTATGTTAAATTTATTATATCTGCAAGGTATGTATTTGAAAATAAGCGAATAAACATAACTATAATTAGTTTCTTTAACTTTTACCAAAACTAGTTAGATTCAATTTTAATCCTTTTACCCCTTTCCTCTTCCCCTTTCTCATTTAATAGAGGGTGATCATTATGAAGATCTCAGATTTAAAAATGCAGTTCTGGATCATTGGTTTAACCAAACAACAGCGAAACATTTTATCAATCAACATGGTAGCTGTAATATTCTTAATTATATAATTTGAATTTCAGTTATTATTCAATCGCGTATATTCATATTATTCTCCTATTGTTGTTAAATAATATAATAATTTTCTTGTACTTATTTCATTACACAAAGAGTATGGTTGATAATTGATAATCGATGATTCTAGCTTTAGATTTTGCAGCACTTTTTTTTTTTTTTTTTTTATTTATTTTTTTGCATCCATTGTTGAACCCTTTAAGATTCAAGATTTACAATTTTGTATGAAAGATTTTATTCTTAATATTATACTTTAGTTTTCATTATTCTAGGTTTCTTTTACTTTGGTGGAAACTTTATATATACTTTATTAAATGTCAACATATTCAGTATCTGCATTAGTTCCAATGTTCACACAATATGAAATAAATAAAATCCAAAAAATATGGTTAAATCAAGACTTAATAACAAATGAAAACTTTAACATCGTTCCAAGTTCCAAAATTTCAAAATTTAAATACAACAGCACCAGCTTATTTAAATTTCAAATGAATCTAGCTTCGAAAATAATTCAAAAGGACGTTAAATATAATGTAAACGTATTTCATGCTGATGTTTTACATAATTATCAAATTTCAAACATGGTGAACTATATAACTCTCATGATTTATCAATTCAACCACCCCGTCAGTCAGATAGAAACTTATGTGAAACAATTATCAAAATCGAATAGTAGAATATATGGATTATCAACTGATGATTATTCCCTTTTTGGAGAATGCTTAATCGAAATCATAGAAATGTCATTTGAAGAACAGATCATATTTAATAAATTCATAAGTCAGATTTTAAATATCTTGATTTATTTTTCGAAGGATATAACGATAAATAACTATCCAAATAATATAAAAAGAATCCCAACTACTACAACAATAAGTACTACTAGTTCATTATTAAGTGAAAATACTTCACTACTTTCCTTAAAGGCAAACACAAGAGAAAGAATAGATGAAGATAGTTTTGAATTTGAAGAAGAAGAAAAAGAAGAAGAAGAAGAGGAAGAATTACAGATTTCTAAGAAATATCCAGTTAGTCCAGAAAATAATAAAGAGGAAGTGACTACATTGAGTGAGCCTACTAAATTTATAGTTGATGATTTTGTAGATGATAGTTATGATTATTTAAATTCATTTGGATTCTCACAGAATGAATCTGTTTATGACGTAGATGAAGTGGTTGATAATTTTGATAATATGAGTATATTGAGTACTAATACTATGTTGAAGAGTAAAAATTGGAAAATTTTCAATAAGAAAGAGAAAGGATTGAAGAAAAAGGATTCAATGCAAAATTTGAATATGAAAAGAAGTAATAGTTTGAAGACGACAAATACTAAAAAATCGGTTATTGATGATAGAGAAACGTGTGTATTAATGTAAGGATGTCAGCAGGATGCCAGTAGACAAATAGTAAGGATGCTAAGGATTAGTTATCTAATTTATGCAATAGAGAGAATAACAACAAACAGTTATGTAATTTATGCAATAGTAAGGATGCAACAAACACTTGAAAGATGCTAATAAATAGTTGTGTTGTTTCATGTAATAGACATTTATGACTTATTTAAAATTACTAGTACATTATTCTATATCAACAGTTCTAAAATTTATGCAATAGACATTTATGACTTATTTATATGCACTAGTATATTTATTCTACGTATTAGCTGTTACTTGATTCATCCTATAGATATCATAGACAGCAATATATTAATCTATATAATTTATGCAATAGATAATCATCACTTTATAATCACTTGTACTTAATATATCATACTCTATGTACAACTATTTATTGAAAATTCAGGTTGCACAGTAACTTGTTCTATATGGTATTTATGTAAAATTTGTTTAACTTGATCAACAACTTTCAAAAATAATTGTTTATCAATTTGAGGTTGTAATTCATTATTAATCTCCGTATTTGAACTTAATTCAATATGTAAAGAAGCAATTAAAATATCTTCATTTAAAGTCCAAACATGAAAATCATGAACATTTTTGACTAATTCAATATTTGAAATTTCGTCACAAATTGAAACTGAATCAATATAAGGAGGAGTAGCTTGTAATAAAATTTTCAGTGCTTTTAAACATAATGGAATTGCATTATAAAAGATGATTATAGTTATTAATAATGATGTTATTGGATCCGAATAAAATTTCCATGAATAATCTGTCTTCCATATAATTAAAGCAGTAATTATAACTCCTACATTACCTAATGCATCTCCAAGAACGTGCAAAAATACCCCTTCCATATTCATTGATTTTCGTTTAACTTTCTTTGGTGGAGACTTTTGTTGTTGTTGTTGTTGTTGTTGTTTTATAACCTCAGCCTCAGTTGCTTCTTGTCTCTCTGTTTGTGCATTGTATCTTTCAACCACATTATCAGGAAAATAATCAAATACTTGAGATGGTGAAGATTTAACATTGACCTGTTTTAATAACGGTGTAGTTTCAATTTGAGATTCTTGATCACTCCCAATATGAGAATGTGAATGGCCGTGGGAAGAATCAGAACCACTATGAGAATGTGAATGTCCACCATGTTCATGAAATAAAACTAATCCCACCCCATTACTAATCAATCCAGCAATACCAACAACTAATATTAACTTTGGATTTGATATTTCTTGTGGTTCAAAAAATCTCTGCAACGCATCCATTATAATTGTAAAACATAAAGCCAACAAAAAAACAGCATTAATTAAAGCACCTAAAATTTCAGCTCTTTGCCAACCATAAGTATATTTCCCATCTGCTGGTTTTGTATTTTTAACTTTAACAGCCCATAAAGCAATTATTAAACTAATTATATCATTTAACATATGAAATGAATCAGCAATTAAAGCTAATGAATGAACAGTATAACCAATACTAGCTTCAAGTAAAAAGAAAACACTATCAAGAATCAATAAAGAAAAGATACGTATTTCTTTATTCTTCATCTTGACTATGGGTAGTTATTGTCTATTAGTTAATAGTTATTGATGGCTTCTTCTTATTGATTGTTTAATATGAGTTTTTTTTTTTTTGTGATATTTTATTTTCATATGTCAGATTTTTGATCTTTATTGGCGTACGGCTTTATTTTGACAGATAACCAGTCAGGATGCAATACAGTCAGGATGTCAGGTAAGAGTGCAAAATAGTAAGGATGCAAGAGCTATCGCAAGAGTAAAACACTAGTTTTTACCTTTTTACTGGTGTAAAAAAACAGTTTATTATAATCTATTAACTCTTCTTCTTTGATGAACTTAATAAATCATTAAACGATATTTTTTGACCCTGATTATTAGATTGATTTAAAGCCGGTTGCGGTGGTTGTATTTGCTGCTGTTGTGTAAATGAATTTGGTTGATAATGAGTATAAATAGGCTGACCATTAAAATGACCATACCCATATTGAATAAATCCGTTTGGACCAATTTGATATTGAAAACCAGGTTGAATTTGAGGTTGTATTTGATATTGAGTTGGATGTAAATTATTAAAAGCAGTTACCGGATATTGAGGAGGTGGTAAATGTTGTTGTTGTGGGGGTAATACTTGAACATTTTGATTTTGTAATGGTGGAGTTATTGTATTCATATTTGATTTGAAGGAAGGTTTCGGTAAGTTTAAAGCAGCAGGTGATGACAGAAATGATGAACCAGCATAAGTTGTATCATCTTCGACTACTGACAAATTCTTCTTATTGCTCTTTTTGGATCCATTGTTGTTGTTGCTGTTGTTGTTGTTATTATTAATATTATTATTATTATTATTGTTGTTGTTATTGTTGTTGTTTATATTTATGTTTTCCTTTTCTTTTGTTTTCTTATGTCCAAAATCAACAGGTTGACCAGATGGTAATGTTCTAATTATATCTTTTGGTTTCTTTGGTTTTTCTTTCTTATTGTTTGATTTTTTGACTGGTGGTTGTTGTTGAAAATGATTATTCTTTTTTGAATGTATCAATATTGGAGTTTCATGAGCCATCATAATGTAATTCAATTGTTATATCTTATAAATAACTGTTATATCATATAAATAACTGTTATATCATATAAATACTACTATTGTTGTTCATATATATAAATTGGTGCTTCGTTTTTTTTTTTGCCATGTTTTCTATCAACTGTAAATTTATACACGACCTATTTTTTTCGCTATCAACTTAACTATATATGGCATCGTTACGGTTGCATGCTTAATGACTACGAATCACAGACCAACATTAGAAAGTAAAAGAGGTAAACGTATAACTATCAAAGATAGTATATCTCATTCAAGAAATCAACCACAGCAAAAATCATTAAAATATAGAAATGATATACCAATCCCAAATGATATATTATCAAATGCAGTTAAACAATTAAAAGAAGAAGAAGAAGAAGTAGAAGAACCAGAAAAGAAGAAGATAAAACTAGAAGAAACAAAAGAAGAAGTAAAAGAGGAGAGTGAATGTGAGAGTGAGAGTGAAAGTGATTCAGAAGATGATGAAACTGCCGAATTATTAGCTGAAATTGAAAAAATACGGAATGAAAAGAAACAAGAAGAAGACAAGATTAAGTCAAATAATCCATTAGTTAAAATAGATAATAAACAACTACAGAAGAAGAGTTGGAGATCATCTACTTTTAGAGAAAAGAAACAACCACTGAATGAATCACCGAAATTTACTAATGATACCTTGAAATCAGATTATCATCAAAAACTATTATCAAAAGTCTTTAAATAGAATCTACTTAATATAATTTATATTTACCACTTATACATCCTTACTTTTTGCATCCTTACATTCTTTGCATTCTTACTTTTACATCCTATCCTTACTCTTCTGCATCATGACATATGTTTTGCATCCTTACCTACGTTAAATCATCATTTTGACTCAATCTAGCATCCAAATAAGCAATATCCTCTTTCAAACTAGCTTCTTCAACAGTTTTAACTAATTCTTTAGTACATTTAGCAATATCAAATGAAATACCAGCCAATCTTTGTTTAAAATTTTTATCAGCATAATTTTGATCCAGTTTTTCATTAGCTTTACAAAGGTTATTCATTCTAGTTTCACAATCTTCTAAACTTTTAACGACCCAACTACCATGTTCTTTTAATGGTTTATTTCTAGTCTGATTCATTGAAGTGTTTGTAGCTTCAGTCATCTGAGATATAACAATAGTTATAGCTTTTGATTTCATACGTAATTCTCCTCTTGTTGCATTTGGTTTTTTAATTGCTGCTAATAGTGATTGAATTGTGTTTATGACTTCAACTGTTTGATGTTCTAAATATAATAAAACTTGAGTTAATGTATTATCTGGATCATCAATATCAAACAAATCGACATTAAAAGTTGCTGCTGCCATTGATTTACGATATTCTTGTCTTTGTCTAGCTTGGATATCTTGTTCATCTTCTGATTCTGATTCATATTCTGATTCTGAATCATATGACGGTTCATTGATGGTAACTCTTGGTTTTGAATTGGGAATAATTGTATTATTTGAATCATTTTGAGGAGTTATATCTTTTGTTTCATTTTGTAGTGTTTCTTGATCATTTGATGGTGTTGTTTCAGCCGTATTTATTTTATCATTTGATTTATCATGTTCTTCTGAGACTGTATCATCTGAAATATCATTCGGTTGTTGTTGTTGTTCTGAGTCACCAATTAATCTATCTTTTAAGGATTGAAATAATCCTTTACCGGTGGTATTTACTGGTTCATCATTGATTTGTTTAGTTTCTTGCTTTTCAATTGGTCTATGAACTTGATTGAATCCACCAGGTACTTCTACTTTTGTTGGTTCATTAATTCCTTTACTCTCATTATTAAATGCATTAATTTCAATTGTTTTATTGGAATTTATTTCTCCGAGTTCTATTCTACCCAAAAATGCTTCACTGAGTCCACCTATTTGTTTAGCTCCATTATTTTCAACTTCTGATGGTTCATTAGATCCTCCTTGATCATTATTAAATACATTTGATGAACCTACCTTCTTTGATTCACTAAGACTATTTCTATCAGTATTGAATATATTTGTTTTAGCTGCAATTGCATCCTTTGATTCATTAATACCGCTTTTATCATTATCTAAAGCATTTGTGCCACTTGTTTTAAATGCATTTACTCCAGCAGGTTCATTAACTCCTCTTTTATCATCATTTAATCCTCTTTTATCATAATTGAAACCATTAATTTCATTAGTTTTAGAATTAACTAACCTTGGAGAAGTTTTGTTAAATGGATTACTGGTTGAATTTGACAAATTTTCATCTTTATTAATTGGAATTCTAAAATTTAAAGGTTTTGGAGAAGTAGCAGTTGCAGAATTTGGCGATTTTACCTGAAATGGACCTGATAATCTATCAGGTGGAGATTGTGGTGATTTTTTAGCTTCTTCTTCAAATGTTCTTATCCTATCCATTATTCTATTTGGTGACTTAGAAGGTGTTGAACTTTCAGTTTTTGGAGAGTCAAGTCCTTTTGGTGGTGATTCAGTTCTGAACTTTGTTGGCGTTTCTCTTTCTTTTGGTGATTCATTTCTTGCTGGTGTTGATCCAATTTCTCTTTCTTTCGAATATTCATTTCTTTTAGATGGTGTTGAATCTTTTGATGTAATTTCTTTTTCTTTCTCTTTTGAGTCATCTGTCTTGATTCTAAATGGTCTTATACTAGTTTCACTATTTCTTCTACTTCTTTCTTGTTTTATATGAGTATTAGCTTCATGTTTTAAACTTAAAATATCTCTATTATTACTATTATTATTCAATTTACAATGATTTATTAATTCACAAACACAACAAAATAATTCACCAACTGATTTTTCAACAATATATTTTGGAAATAATGACTGATAAGTAACATGATAACGAACAGCAGTTAAACAATAAGCAACTGCCTCTCTTAATAACACTGAGCACTGATTACTATTACTCTTCTCACCTTGGTTTGCAATCTCATTGACCAAGACGGCAATTTTGGAAATCTTATCAAATAATAAATCAGAATCACTATTTTCATCTTCTAATAATATAAAAAATGAATCAATCATGGCTTGTAAGTCCCCAATCAATCTAATTGAAATCAAACCATTAGGAGATAAGTAATCAGATACATTTTTATTCGATACTGATTTTATCAGTTTTACTGTTTTTTGACTGGAGATAGTTTCATATCTTCTTTGATATAATTTAACTTGTTCTTGTAAATTAGAAATTTTAGATGATGCTTTTGGTGTAGGTTGTGAAATACTATCCAATTTGTTTAAAAATGCATCAATATTGACTTTAGAAGTTGTTGGTGTTGACATGGTGGTTGTTGTTGTTGTTGTTGTTGGTGATTTGTTTAATTGTTGATTTTTTAAACTTTGATTTTCTAATCTTAATAGAGCATTCAAGGATTTAATTCTTTGTAATTCTGATGGTGACTCGTTATTTATTGATTTTGATAAATTATCATGTTTTGATTGCCATTGTTGTTTTTCAGTTTCTAAATTTTTGATTTGTTGTTGTAATTGTTCATTTTGTTGAATTGTGGAATTAAGATTTGTTTGCAATGATGTTATTTTTTCAATTAATTCTTCATTTTCAGACTCGTATTTGTGAAGTTTTTCTTGTAATTGTTGTAAATGAGTATTATCAGCTGGTTCTTCTTCTTGTAATTCTTTTTCTTGAATTTGTTCGGGTTGTGACTGTTCTTCTTCTTCCTCTTCATCACTTGACCACGTAAGATTTGCTTTTGTTGGAACTACTTCTGAAGTTTGTAAACCTATCGATTGATTAGAAACATCTGGATTTGGAGAAGTTACATTTTTTGAAGAAGTATTATTATTTGCTTCAAAATTATTTAAAGTATGATGAGAAGATAAAGAATGTTGACGAGTATGATTTGTATGATTTGTATGATTTGTATGATTAGAATGATGTGAGGATGCAATTGAAGGTTGTTTTGAATGAGTCTGTTGTGTTCCAATATGTAATTCTCTTCTTTCTATTTCAAATGAAATATCAGCAACTAAATCTTTAAATCTTGTTTGCGGTAATGACGCTAACTTTTGTCTTGCTTGATTTCTTTTGGGGTGGAATGAAGATTTAGGTAATAAATAATCTGGTTCACCTCTTGATTCATCAATTCTTCTTTTTAACTCATCGTAAACATCAGTACTTAATTCTTTAAATTGTGCTGAAGATAATTTTAATAATTTTTCTCTTGCTCTTTGAGCTCTCGAACTATTTGACTTTGATCTTGTTTGTTGATCATCTGATATGTCAAGAAATTGTGTTAATACCTTGTAATGATGTACAAGATCTTTTTCAGTCATAATAATATGTTGCCAATACGATCAATGGATCAAATATAAACAAATTTTTTTTTGTATTAAAAAAAACGCGTCAATATAAAATGATATGGATATGCTACCAATTGTATATATATATTATATATATATTATATATATTGTTACTATTTACATGTTTATGTTTAATTGTTCAGTAGCGATAGTTTCTATTTGACTGAAAATTGTATCATTAATAAATGATTCAGCTTTTGCCTTTCCATGTATTAAATTTATAACACCAATTAAACTATAAAATATATTAACCGTGGCTGCTGTTAAATTAGATTTATTATTCCAAAACATTACTTTATTTAATTGTGATTGATTAGTAAATAATTCCATTACTTTTTCATCTGTTAATTTATCATATATATCTGATGCTAATACATTTAAATTTGGTTCGGAATCAGTGGTTTTAGTTATTCTATTTATTATTGCCAATTTAAATACTTTTTTACCATATATTGATAACTTTTCATTATGTGGTTTTAATCCACCACCTAAAGACTTATGAGTTATAATTTGTAATGCTATATCATTTGGTATTTTATAATTTGATGTTATATTAGTTATCATTTGTATATTGTCATTGGTTAATTCGTGTTTTAAACCTTGTGGATTTATATATTTACATATATTATTTCTTTGATGTAAATATAATGATCTATAATGTATCAATGGCTTATTTAGTTGTCGTATAGCTATTGATCTGTTCATAGTTAATCTCTTGTTATATGGAAAATTTTTATTTTGGTTGATCTTCAATAATTTTTCAATTTGGTTTTGATGCACGCCCATCCCAAAATTTATTTTGCAACACATCTCATCATACAATACAATATGGATATATTTAGAATATTAACAAGAGGTGCCCAAGTTAAACAAGGTAAAACAAAGAATGATTACTCATTAAAAGAAGATAAACATGATGATAATATATTATATCAAGTAGAAAAAGAAACAGATTTTTTTCATACTAAAAAACATAATACGCTGGTAAATAATAAAGAAGTTGCAAAAGATAATCAAGATGATGAAGATGAAATACCTCCATTAGAATTGATATCCGAAGAAGATGCTAAAAAATTTAGGAACTTACATAAATCAAAAGTTACTGGTAGTGATATTCCAATACCTATTGGATCATTTCAAGATTTAATCGGAAGGTATAAAATTAATAAAAGAATATTGAATAATTTAATCGATGCTAATTTTACAGAACCTACTCCTATTCAATGTGAATCTATTCCAATTACATTAAATAATCGAGATTTAATAGGTTGTGCACCTACTGGGTCAGGTAAAACATTAGCATTTATAATACCTTTAATACAACAATTAAATACAAAAGTGGACAAGAATTATGGTATCAGAGGGCTTATCATATCTCCAACTAATGAATTGGCATCTCAAATATTTCAAGAATTGGAAATATTAACGAAAGGTACAAATTTAAGTATTTCAATACTATCTAAATCATTAGCAAATAAGATTAATAACAAAATTATAAATTCAAATAAATATGATATTATAGTTTCCACCCCATTAAGATTAATTGATTTATTAAAAACTGGAAATTTACAATTTAATAGACTTGAACAATTAATTATTGATGAAGCTGATAAATTATTTGACCAAGGATTTGCAGAACAAACTGATGAAATATTGAGTCATTGTAATTCAACTATAAGGAAATCTATATTCTCAGCAACTATCCCATCTGGAGTTGAAGAAATGGCTCACTCAATAATGAAAGATCCAATAAGAGTAATAGTAGGTCATAAAGAAGGTGCAGCACAAACAATTGAACAAAAATTAATATTCACCGGGAATGAAGAAGGTAAATTATTAGCAATTAGACAGATGATTCAACAAGGTGAATTTAAACCACCAATTATAATATTTTTACAATCTATAACTAGAGCAAAAGCATTATTTCATGAATTATTATATGATAAATTAAATGTTGATGTTATTCATGCTGAAAGAACAGCAAAACAAAGAGAAGAAGTAATTAAACGATTTAAGAATGGCGATATTTGGGTATTAATAACTACTGATGTTTTAGCAAGAGGTGTTGATTTTAAAGGTGTTAATTTAGTTATAAATTATGATGTTCCACAATCTGCACAAGCATATGTTCATAGAATTGGTAGAACTGGACGTGGTGGTAAATCAGGTAAATCAGTTACATTTTTTACAAAAGAAGATGATAAAGCAGTTAAACCGATAATTAATGTAATGAAACAATCAGGATGTGAAGTAAAAGATTGGATGGAAAATCTAGGTAAATTATCAAAGAATGAAAAGAAACTGATTAAACAGAATGAAATTAAAAGGAAGAAGATTTCAACTGTCCCTAAAATTATAAAACAGAAACGAAAACAAAAACAACAAATGATTGAAGCTTCAAAGAAAAGAAAAGCTGAAATAGATAATTAATATACATTAACTCTAATGATGTGATGGTTTTGGATAACCAACAATTTGTCTTCTACCAATAATTTCACCAACTGAAAAAAATGCAGCTAATTGAATACCATAAACACCAACTTGAACTAAATGTTGCTGAGTTGGCTTATATTGTTTTAATTGTTGAAATAATTTTTCTTGATCTTTTGGTGATTTTATTAATTTTAAAGCTTGTTGATATACTGATTCAAATTCTTTAAATGATGGTGGTGATAATTTTTCATGTTTATAAATTGCTTTTGATAATTCACCACCAACTTTAGCCCAATAAATAGTTGAATTTAATAATCCAGTAGATTTATTAACTATTGAAGTTAATATATTCGATGCTTTTGATACAATAGCTGACATTTGAGACAAGTTAATTTGGTTAATAAATTTTTTTCAGTATAATTTTTCAACCAATGAAAAATTAAAATGCGCTTGTTAGAATGCAAGTACCGTAATAACCATGCATGGTAAAGATGCTATAAGGTGAAACTATACTCTGCTCTGATAACTAGTAGAATTGTATATATTATATCTGTATTCCAAATCTATCTGGCCATATAACAGGAGCTACTAAACTCCAACCATATAATATAAAACATACCCATGAACTTATTATTTTAACCCAACTTGCAAAATAAGTTCTACCGACAGGTACAAAATCACCATAATTATCTTGTTTAACATTTATAGTTAATAATGTAGCAACATATTGAGTAGCAAGAAAGAATATAATATGAAATAAAGCATAATTATATTTAACTGTAGATCTTTCTTCATCTGAATCATCATCATCTAATAAATCCAGTTCATTTAATGCTGATTCGGGTAATGAACCTTCATCAACTGCCCGTTTAATAGCTTGATATCTCATTTCATTTCTTGCGGGTGGTTCAACATTAGTTGTTCCTGGAGTTATAAAATCTTGTGGTGATTCTGAACTAAATGCTGAATTTGCAGCTGCTCTGGTGGTAGTATATGCAATTGCAATAAATGTGAAAAAAGCACCTAATATCACACTTACTGTTCGAGTCCCTTTTGATCTGATTAATGGATTACAATATTTATCATCTGGTTCACTTGCAACTGCACTCATAACTAAGTAAGTACAATAGAACACAACCATTGAAGATTGTGCTAACCCTGCATGGGGATTATATTCTTGAATTGTATTATTTATAGACATACCACTGATAATTAAACTAAATATTAGATTTAATGTAACTGCAGTTTTATTCATATTACAATTTTTAGCACAGAATAAAACATACATAACCACCACTAAAATTATTGATGCAATGTACATAGTTAATGTCCCTCCAACCAATAATTTTTTCCAAAAACTTGCATCTCCTTCACCTGTTAATTCTTCCATTTCAATTTTTTCAAGACATTTTTCAGCCCATGCATGAGCAAAATCAACAAGTAAAATTAATCCAATACCTAAAAAAATAGTAGAAAAGATGATAGCAATATTATTACCATAAAATATGAAAAATGAATCAGGAATAAGTATAAAATTAACAAAAATAAGCCCAATCCAAGTAAATATTTTCAATTTCCAACAACCATTTTGTATTACAGCTCTTGGATTTTTTGTAGATTTGACATTAATTAATAAACCAGCAAGAATTAAATGTAGTATACCTAATGCAAAATTTATTCGGTATACTGATGTGAAGCTAATACATTGTTCACCATTAGGTCCACATTTATTATTTATGAATCCAAAACTTGCCTTTTCTAATTTATTAATTATAAATGGTGATAATACAATCCATGATAATAATGAATTAATTAATAATATAATAGCATATGTTATTCTGGTCATTATTGATGAATTAAAAGTACCACCTATTGAAGAACAAAAAGCCGAACAGCAAGCAGCACCAAAACAAGTACCTATTGATTGTAAAGATATTAATGGTAATGAAATAGCAGCACCCATAATAAAATTGTATTAGTTGAACTTTTTTTTTTTTTTACGCAACCACTCCCAAATGTTTTCACCATTGATAAGAAAACCAAGGATAAGTATAATAGGCAATAGATTATTCAGTATATCTCCATATTCATATAAACTATTCAGAAAACAACAACAACAACCATCACCACCATCATCAAAGGCTAGTGGGACAGGACCCTCAGATCTCGATTTCAAAACTCATCCAATTCTAAAACGAATTCCAAAATTTATGCAAAATTATTCATTAAAATTCATAAATGCACCATTTTCGAACTTATTATCATTCATAATAGTTCATGAATTAACTGCAATTATACCACTTGTTGGGATTTGGTATTATTTACATCAACATCCAGGTTTAATTCCAATTGATTTACCTACTTGGGCATTAGAAAAAGGTGGTAAAGTATTAGATAAGGTTGTTTCTCAATATTTTACTGATTTTGATCTGAGTTCAAAGATTAATTTTATAATGGAAGGTGCTTACGCTTTCACGATTGTTAAATTTTTCCTTCCATTAAGAATTTTGGTTAGTTTATGGGCAATGCCTCATTTTGCAAAATGGGCAATTTTACCAATTACTAATATATTTAAAAACTTTAAAGAATTGAGAAGATTGAAGAAGATCAAGAGGGAGAAAAAAGGTTTGGATGAAGTTAAGACAAAAAGCGTTGATAAACCAAAATTGTAAGGACGCCTACAAACATTAATCAAAAAAGTTTCACTTGAATTTATTTACATGCATAGCATTAATACATTAATATATAATTACAACAATTGAAATTGAATCAATTTGTACATATTTAAAATTTATACATTAAAAAGCGAAGATAAAGTAATTTGCTTCAATTATTTCAGTGAACTAATCCTCCATAGTAACATCTCTGAAAGATTTAATGAACCTCGATATTTCATTAAACTTTCGAATTACCAACTAACTCCATCCTCAATTTGATGAATGATGAATGTGGTTAGTTTAATGAACGTACTTGATATGATGAGAGATTATTTGTGGGTTAAAAGATTTAAAAACAAGTCCGAGAAATAGCTGCATTTAACGTAAATGTACTCGTGGATCTTTGATGTTTGTATGATAAGCTGTGGGATTTGGGAATTGAAGCAAAATTAGAATGGAAGGGAAATTGGAGAATGTTTTCTGAATAAATTCGTTAAAAGATTGAAAATGTCAGATTGTTAATTTTTCACTCATTCAAGCTTTCCGCATTGATTGCTCAAATACTTGCAATGCTGTTACTTTAAACAATTTCTCTATATCGCTTAAATTTCTTTTCTATTTGTATTTTAATTCACGTTACGGTTTGTAAAACATTTTTGGTAGATTCGAAAGCGCGATTTTTAACGCGCGATTTAGATCTAGATCTTTTCATTCGCATAGGGTTCAAAATAAACCATCAAAACTTGAGAAAACATACAAATCTTGTCCTCTTGAACTTAAATTAATTAATCTTTCTAGTGATGCTACAACTTCATTAGCTTTAATACCATTATGTTTAACAGCTACTGCTTGATCATCAGTTGGAATACCGTTAAATCTAATAACTCTTTTTAAAGCATCATTAAATTTTAAAGGTGGGCGAAGATAATTTAATTTGCTTGACTTATTTCAGAAAACTAATCCTCCGAAATACCTCTTGAAGATTTAAATGAACTTTCGAAGTACCAACAGCTACATCCTCAATTTGTTGATTTATGAATGTAGATGGCTAATGAACGTATTTGATTTGATGATCAACATTCGTTGTAAACTATACAGCAATACACTTATACACCTATATGGCTATATACTCAATGATGTATTAGTTTTCCCAAAAAGTGAAGACCGTAAATAACATCTAAATAAAGTTGTTTGAGGTTCATCATTGCTAAAGATATTTAACACAAATACAAATCAAACATACATTGATCCAATACAAACAATTTTATTATCATTTGTAACTTAATGAATTAGTTGTTTAAATAATGTTTATAATGGTGAATAAATTTGTATCATTGCTGAATCAGCTAGTGTAGTAGATCTTATCTCAAATTGACCTTACGAGAAATCTAACTCCAAAATTTAAATTGCAATAATAATATGATAGAAGTACCAAAATTCCTAGTTCCTGTAAGTTGTTAAATCTTGGGATTTTTTGTGTTAAGTTATTCAAATTTGGAAAAGTAAATTTTCAAAAGTGTTTCGAAATTTTTGCAATTATTTCAAACCAATTTTGGTGTCTTGAAATTATTAAAGTTAGAGTACTTGAAGTCAAATATGCCAGAACAAGTATTTTAGAAGTTGTTAAACGATGTCAAATATTTCACAATTTAGCGTTTTTTGCCATTTTTTAAAAGATGTATTACGTGATCAAAATTATGTTTCATCAAAAGAATTTGCTTTGAGTTTTCTTTAATTTAGATTTAGATCTGGTGAAAAAAGTTTGACAATATTAACTCATGTATTGAGGGAGTTATTTTCAATTTAAGTTTCAAAGTTGAGTTGACTATGATGATACTGCATATAATATATGTTTTCAAACTTTTGTTTTTCGTACGAACTTTAATGCTGTAATTTAGCGCGTCACAATTTTTTTTTCGCGTTGATAATAAGGCGAGGTCGTATTAATGTTTTGGGCTTATATGTCAAGAGCAAAGCGAGTTGTAAACTAAACTACAAATCTAATAACATTAAACTAATCATATATTCGTTAATTCAATTCTCTAATAAATTAAATAGTATTTTTGTCAAGTCTATACATATTAATACTTTTTTTTTTTTTTTCTGTATTTTTTTTTTTAATTTCCATTTTGAGGTTGTTGATGTCTAGTTTTAGCCCATTCAGGAATCAATTTGTTAATTTGAGATTCATTTGATATAGTAGACAATTCAGCTTGATCAAAATCAAATAATTCAGGTAAATCTCGAGTTTCAGTATTATTAGTTGTAGTTGAATTTATGTTATGAAATTCTTGATTAAATAATTTTCTATAATTTGGAAATTTAGTATTTTGATTTCTTAATTCATCAAAATAATCATCAATTAAACCATCCATACAACTTAATCTATCTTTTGGACTATATTGTAAAACTTTATTAATGAATTGAATACCAGTTGGTTCTAATCTTTTAAAAATTTTTGACCAACTAACAGATTTAATTAATGGAAATTTATGTTCCATATAATTTGGATTCATCATTCTAATTTCATCTTTTGTTGGAGTACCCAATATTTTAATAATTTCAACCAATTGATCAATACCACTTTCACCAGGGAATAAAGGTTGACCTAAAATCATTTCAGCCATAACACAACCAGCAGACCAAACATCAATTTTAGTAGTATAATTAGTAGCACCAAAAATCAATTCAGGAGCTCTATAATATCTTGAACATATATAACTTACATTTGGTTCATTTGGATTTAAAATTTTAGCCGAACCAAAATCACACAATTTTAATTCACCAGTTTCAGGATTTATTAATAAATTTTGAGGTTTTATATCTCTATGACAAATACCCGAACTATGAATATAATTTAAAGCTCTAAACATTTGATAGGTATATAACTTAACTTCTAAGCTTGGCATGCTTAATCTTTTTGAAACATAATAATGAGAAGCTTTATATAAAGTTTCAGGAACATATTCAAGTATCAAATTCAAATATAACTCATTTTTATCATTATTTGTATAAAAATAATATTTTAAATCGGTTATATTTCTGTGTTTAATACTTTTCATAATTTGAAGTTCTCTATTTTTAAATCTTTTGTCTTGCAAAACTCTTTTCATGGCACAAATCTCCCTCGACGGGAAGATTTGCGTTTGAAACACAACCCCAAAAGACCCGTGTCCTACCATTTGAGACTGGGTATATTGAATAGTGTGTAAAGTATTTGAATGACCGTCATTAACTTCTTGAGTTATTATCTCTAATTTTGACATGATTAGTAAATGAAATGGATATTAATAAAATGTAAGACAATTAATGCAAAATAATAAAATAGAATGAAAAATGATAAAATGATAAAATGAGAAAATGAAATAAATGAGTAGATGCAAATTGGAATTGGAATTGGAATTATTTTTCGAATTGGGAATTATTTTGGAATTGGTATTATTTTTCGAATTGGAATTGGTATTATTTTTCGAATTGGAATTGGAATTGGAATTGAAATTGGAATTGAAATTGGAATAACAATGGCAATGAGAAATGGAAATGGATTGAATATTAAAAAATGAATGAGCTATAAATCTTGTTTTAAAAAAAGGATTGTCAATTAATGAAAATAATAATACAATAATAAATCAAAAATCTTTTCTTCTTAATAAAACTTCTTCACTTCAATTGTTATAAAAATGGGAGTGGAAATGGAACCAAATTAAAATAAATGAATAAATAAAAAAAAAAAATAAAAAAATAAAAAAATAAAAAAAAAAATAAAAAATAAATACAAATGATCTAATTTAAAACAACAATAGTAATTTTCTTCAATATGTTGTTTTGTTTGCTAATAACCAACCAGTGTAACAATATTAACAATATTACCAATATTAACAATATTAACAATATTCTTAATTAGTAATAGTTGGTAACAAATTTGTTAATAATGAATTAATTTAATTTGAAGTTTTATTTGTTTGTTTGATTTTTGTTTGATTTTTGTTTGATTTTTGTTTGATTCTTTGTTTCTTTTTTTCGTCAAATCAAAATCTATTCTTTTCTCATATTATTTTTTTTTTTTATCCAACTGGAAAATTCGTTGAAAATTAAAATAAAATAAAAAAAAAAATCATGCGTGACCCGCACCAGTAGATCTCTTAAAGTGGGGAGATGAACAATATTCTAAGTTGGTCGTGCAAATGATTCAAATTTCAAATTCAATATTAATTTTAATGCAGCAATAGTTTTATAAATTTTATAATCTAATGAAATGACGTATGAAATATAATATACGACATTAAAATTTTTAAGACGGATTTTTCGTTTTTGATTTTTGAGTTTGATTTTTGATTTTTTATTTTTTATTTTTTATTTTTTATTTTTTATTTTTTATTTTTTATTTTTCATTTTTCCATTTTCCATTTTCCACTTTCCACTTTCCTTTCACATGTCTTTCTTTTGTTAATATAATATTCTCGTATTTTTGATTTTTTGGCCCTACCCCTTAATTTTTTTTCTTTCATTTTTCTTTTTTCTGCCAACCCCTTAATTTTATTAATTTGCAAGACCAATTCTATTCTATTCTATTCTATTCTATTCTATTCAATTCAATTCAATTCAATTCAATTCTATTCTATTCAATTCTATTCTATTCTATTCTATTCTATTCTATTCAATTCAATTCTATTCAATTCAATTATCAATTCAATTCTATTCTATTCAATTCAATTCTATTCAATACTATTCAATTCTATTATTCAATTCTATTCTATTCAATTCTCCTCTATTCTATTCTATATTCTTATTTGCATTAATGTACAGTTAGTAAATTCTTAATACATACCTATCTGATCACTATATCTTCTATTTAATTCATTACCCAATTTCAATTTCAATTTATTCTTCAATAATGTTTTTGTTGATTTAGACTGATCAAAACTTAAACTTTTTTCAATAGGATATGATTCATCAAGCATAGAAGCTTTATGTTTAATTTTATAACTTGGTGGTGGTTGATTAACTTGTACTGTTGAATTTCTTTTTTCTCTAGTTGAATTTATTGAATCTTGTGAACTATTATCATGTTCATAATTATTAAACATATTCATAAATTTTGATGCTATTGAATTTGATCTTTTCATTGAAGAATTTTGACTATTATTAAAAAGTGTAGTTGATGTTGATGAACTTCTTCTATTTGTGTTTGGATTTGGATTTGAATTTGTATTTGGATTTGTATTTACCGTATTATTTGAATTTGATTGTGTCATAACCATTGAGTTATTTGTTGAAAATATATTAATTGAATTATTTCTAGACATTGATGAAGGTTGTGAATAACTATAATTTGATAAATTGTAATTATTGTTATCTATATATTGATTAATAGTCAATTTTTTACCTTTATCAAATGGATTTTTAAATGATAATAATTGTGAATTTACTTCATCATCAACTTCTGTAGCTTCACTATCTTGAGAACTATTAGAATCTCGTTCAAATGTAGTATCTTCAATATGGGAAAAATCTGCATCTTTATTATTAATATTATTATTATTATTATTATTAATATGATATGGATTAGTATTACCTGAACATTGTCTTATTTCATTTAAATTATTTCCATTTTTTGCAATTTCATTTAATTTATCTGCTCGTTTCATAAAATGTCCAGTATAACTTTCTCGCTGTTCCTTAGCTTCTCTTCTCAAATCTTTCCTTTCTTCTCTTTGATCTAATCTTAATTGTTTACGTTCTTCTCGTTGATCTTTCCTAAGTTGTCTCGTTTCTTTTAAATTTTGTTTCTTCTTTTTCAACTTTTCCTTTTTAACATGTTTATTAGCATCATTATAAATAGGTTTATCACAAATTAAATCTTTTAAAACTGGTGTTGAAATATCATAATTATGAATATATAAAGGATAATATTTATAAATTTGAAATTTTGATTCTAATTCTTCATAATTTAAATTTTTAATAAATTGATAATCTGGAGGACTACCACTAGTATCATTTCTATCTTTATTATTTATTTGTAATCTAGATATACTTTTTGATAAATGCATTAATGGAATAGGATAGGATACGATAGGATAGGATAGATTTATGATATTAGTTGGTTAAAAGAAAACAATTTGTATTGATAAGAAAGAAATAAATAATGAAAAAAAAAACCTTAATAAATAAAAATAAAAAAAAAATAAAAATAAAAATAAAAATAAAAATAAAAAAAAAAAAAAAAAAAATATAATAAAAATTTAAGCGATAATACAGAAATCCAAATGCATAAGTTCTTAAATTAGATTATAGATGAGAAGCGATGAACAATTATACATCAATTATATTTCCCAACAAATTATTATAACAAGTAAACATGCAGTTACATTACTAGATAAGGATATATAAGAATAAGGATTAATGATATTAATGATATTAATGATATCAACTGATAAATCTGATACTGTTTTTAATTAAAAGATTGAATTATTTTTCAATATTATTTCATGGTTTTCTAAAGTCGGTTGTAAAGATATCGAAAGAGTTGCAAAAAATAATTGAAACTTTTTTTTTTTTTTTTTTTATTTATTTATTTTTTTTTTTATTTTCCCCACAATGCTAAAATTTTATTCTGTTTGTATGCAGGGTATGTTTCTATACTAAGTTATTATATTATTATAACTTGACAACTACCAAACGTTTATTTTCTAATATACAACCAATTTCTTTTAATTTGCAGCCATTTTAAATACTTATTTATACGTTTGGTTATAGTTTAAATTAATCGAATGATCCACGAGATGAAATTTGAGATGACAATCATTAGTTGTAAGTCATTTTCATTTGTTAAATTATATATTAAAATTATATATGAAATTATATATGAAAACTATACTGTAGTCATTTTACATTGGTAGTGTATTTCGTAAAATCTATTTTAAACCCCATCATCCCCCCACTTTGGACTCTAAATATAACAAATTATACTTAAACTCCATTAGTTAATAAATACGTTAGTATTTGATTTAAGATCTAGGTCGAATGGAATTATGGCAATTTAAGGATTTAGAACGATAGAATTTTACGAACAACGAGAAAATGAGAAATTGGGAGAAAATGAGAAAATGAGAAAATGAGAAACTGAGAAAATGAGATACTGGGAAAATGAGAAAATATTGAAAGCTTGAATTTGGAAAATTATCGTATTAAAGTTGTTCGAATTGTAATTATATTTTTTTGTTGTTATGTTTATAATCAAAAGCATCAAATATCATCAACGTGTGAATTACATCATTTAACCACCTCCCTATTGTTCTTCTCCTATAAATTATACATCATGTATTCTTTTTTTCGTTTGTTCAAATATCCGTATTCTTTTTTCGTTTGTTCAAACATCCGTAGTTTTTGAAATTTGCTTATCTTTTCCTATTGTTTAGATTATTATTTTCAACGGTTTCAATGATTTACAATCATCTCAGAAGTGTTTATCCAGAAGTGTTTATCCATTAGTCGTACTTTTTTACCTTCTTTTAATTGCAATGGATTTCAATTTTATGTTTCACTTTTTATTTCACTTTTTCTTTACTTTTACTGTATGTTTCAGCACTTAAAATTGAACGATGAGCAATGACACTTTGTAGAAAAAAGTTAGAAAGTAAGAGTTGAGAGATTAAATTTAGCAGAGATTAAATTTCGCAGTCTAGTCTCAATTTGGGCAATAGATGATTTGTATAAGCTCAACTTCTTATTTAGGTAATTTCTTTTCTTTTGATGAGATTTAACTTACAGTAAATCATCGTATAAAAGTGTTGTCTAGTTAGCGAGAGATAAACCAGTTGATAGATTTATACTTGAGCAAAGTACTGCCAATTAGTACGTTTAATCACAAGTGTTGATACTTCCGGGTTGTGGGTCTAAACTGTTTCACAACTCGTCTAAAAAAATTAAAACAATTGCGTCTAGATTTAAAATGCCATTATAATGATAGAGAAAATTAAAGCGAGTAATATTTCTATGGGCCAAGTTTTGAGAAAGTTGATATTGATTGAGCTATTGAGCATTTTATCTGTTATCAAACTAAAAGCCCATTCCATAAATTGAATTCTACACCAAGCATCCATATAAAACTCTTCAATCCATAACTATCTTCTTCATCAAGTACAGATAGCAATGCAATTTTGAGATTTTTCATTAGTTCTGGATATTTGAGATATACTTCACGATATTTTTGCTGACTAATCATGTGAATATGTTGTAAATTGATATTTCCAAATCGTTTATAAACTTCAAGAAGTGGCTTGACACAACTAATTTGCCGCTTTTAGTAGATTTCTGGCTCCTCTTTAAAATATCCATAAGTGTCATGGTTCTCAAATACAATGGTTGTCCTTGTCACATATTAATACTATTGCAACTGTAAAAAAATAAAATGTCTCTAGCTAAATGACCAACCCCAATAGTCAAATTTTAATTCCTTAACATAAATAATTGGCAAATTATGAAGTACTCTCTCAAAATATGATCAGGTAGAGTTTGAAACATGGTATTGACTTAGTAATTCAAAAGGCATCCATTGATTTTTATAATTAAATCTTTCCTTGAGGTACCGTTTGAATATAGTTGCAGCTTTTGGCGTTGAGTTATTATATATTTAAAAAAATAATATTAAAGAGCTTTCGTTTACCATGCAGATTCTTTTCCTCTATTTCTGTAATAATATATTCATAATTGGATACTATGAAAGCGCAAAAGTTGCGCGATCTCAGATCTTGTTGTTTCAGCCGCGTACAACTTTTCTCAATCTAAGTAGTGCATATAAAAACATCGTTTTACCCCTTAAAACTTATACTTACATTACCTCTTAATAATATTTTATTCATGAATACAAACAGCTTTCCAACTTGAATTTGAAACAATTATTGGTGTATGACCAGTTTAAATGCAAGTATGTCACCAACTTTTTTTAAAAACTGACTGGATTTTATGTAGGTTTAGTACCCTAAGCTCAATTGACTTAAATGCTTAGATTTATTAAATCCCTGAAGTTTTGATCTTAAGTTACAAACCCTTCTTTTGTCCCAAAAATTGGTTTCAGGCATCCAGAATTATTGGTCAGCCTGAACTTAGTTGGAGATAACTTGAATAGCTACTGGACATTTATATAGAGCAAGAGTTTGAAATATTTGAAATTAGAAAGCACAAGATACCCCATTTGAATTTTTTGCACGGTCATCTCCAAATCTATGACATTTGAGTATATACGCAAAAATGAAAGATAGGCACAAATTTCGGATTCAGAAGTTGATGAAGTTTTAAAAGGTAATTTCATTTGTCTTCCATCTATGACATCTTTAACCATCAATGGTTTCTTCAAGTTAATCTTTACAGATTTATTTTTGCTGATAACATAGAAGATCTAATTATAGGAGATTTATATTTTAAAAATTATGTATGGTTTTATCATCAACCTAATGCTTTAAACATTTTGAGTATTTGGATGCTTTTGGGTAGATTCAAATATGTATATTGAATTGCCATTTAGAATTTTCGCAGTCAAATTGAAGTCAACCTTGTTAGATATCCATTACCTAGGTAGACGTATAGCTTACAGGAATGAAATACCAATAGATTAAATTTGTTAACTCTTTTTGCAGCCAAAATTTTTAGAGCGATATTTTTTTTTTTAAAAAATGGTTGTCTAGTCGATATCTTTGCCGATGTGTTACCTTTTCGTAATTGTCACGACAGATGAATCATAAACATACTGTGGATTATGAAAATGAAATAAAAATACATATCAGATATTTCATTAGCTTTATTATCACTTCATGATCGTATTTATCAAATTTACAATTTTTCTTTCGTTAATTATTCAATCAGTTACTACTTTACAAATATTTCACACACCAACAACGACTACTTCAATTGAATCCAGTGATATTCATTTTACAAACTTTCCAGGTTATTTTGCATTAGGTGTGAAACATGAATCTGGTCCGTTTGATAAATTAAATTTAGTGAAGGATGAAAATGGTCAATTAATTTATACAAATACTCATCCATACGTAATTAAAGATGCTAATTTACCAAAGAATATAGATTCAAATTATCTTGGAAGTTTTGGAGTTTTTAGATATCCATTTTTAAAAATTGATAAGAATTATAATACAAGTTTCTTTAGATTGAAAAATGGTATTTTGAAAAATTTGAATAATGAGATAATTTCAACACTGGTGATTAAGTATTCAATTGTTTATAAAGATAAAGTTTGGTTATTGGCTTTAAATGGAAGTACTGAATTTTGGCATTCAAAGAGAGATGAAAAGGTTTATGAAATTTACAATAGTCAAGTATTACCATCTTTCAAACCTATTAATTTGGTACTTATTGTAGCTACGAGTTATTCAACACATAGATGGTAATATAAATTATCATAAACCGTAAGTCTACATTTCATCTTCTGTAATTTTTAACTCTTCATATGATTAGTTTGCCAAAATAGGGTTAAAACGATCTTCAGCATTGTTTAAGCCGAGTAGAGTAGATTATAGTATAATTAAAATTATCATTATTCATTAATCTATAGCTATTTACAATCTAATATCTCATTTCTCATAATGTTTCCAATTCTTCATGTAATTCCAATGCCGAAATTCTATTAAATCTATCATATTTAATCATTTTACTAAAAATTTCCTTCAATTTTTCATTCTTACATTTCGGCAAAATATCATCATAACTTAATCTAGGATAAACGGTTAAATTAAAATCTTTAAAATGTGTTTTTTCAATTAATTCTGGCCAAAATAATTCCGAATTTGAATCTTGAGTAGTTGGAGTACCCAATGATTTAAAAATAGAATGTAATAAAGGCAAAGCAGATATTTGAGAATCATTACTTAATTCAGGATCATTAATAATTAATACAGATTTTAAATTTTTTGAAAATAATACTGTAACTATAATTGCAAGGGACCAAATATCAATTTCAAATGAATAATCAGTAATCCCGAGTAATAATTCCGGTGGTTGAAAAATACTAGAACATACATCAATATATTTCATATTTAAAGGTTCATCAATAGATGGATCAGATTCATGATAACAAATTCCAAAATCTCCAATAACTGGTTGAGTTAAATCCTCATTAAAAAAAATATTTTCTGGTTTTATATCTCTATGAATTATACCACTTTGATGGATATGAGCCAAGGCAGAAGACATTGATTTTAAAAATGAGATTATATCTTCTTCTGAAATTAAATTCTTGAGGGTAAAATTTGAATCTAAATTTATGTTCAAGGTTGATTTACTATATTTCTTTTGAATCAATTGAGTTAAATTGTACTTGTATAATGGAGATACTAAATACATATCATCACCAATTGTATAATGATTAATATATTGTAATATGTTTGGATGATTTAATGATTTTAATGCTTTTATTTCATTGATTATTGAATGTGGTGGAATTTTGAAATCTAAACTAACAACTTTCAAACAAACAAGTTGATTATTTTCATCATCTTCAGCTTTGTAAATATTTGATATTGAACTGTTGTATATTAATGATTTATTGATATACATTCAACCAATTGATAATAAATCTGAAACGCGTATGCAAATTTTTTTGACGAAATAAATTCAATGTCATAAAATTATTAGACACGACTAGACGATAATACATAATAGCTATAGCTCATTATGGTATTCTCTTGTATTATATAACGGTTAAACGTTACCTAAACTAATACACTCGTTATTCATTGGTCAAGATAGCTAAATCTATATTTATTACCTTGTTACATCATTCCTTTTATCGCGTTCTATTTAATACCATTTAATATGAAATTTAAAGACAACGCCGCAGGTGGCATTAATGCTCGTACCAGAAACAAACCGATGAACCGCAACAATTAATTTTTTTCTATCTTACCCGACAACACAGTATCTCGCATTAGTTTTAAGGCAATTTCGTGCTAGAGTTATTGGCTTATATGTCATGAACAACAAATTTCTCAAAATTAGAGCTACTTAAATGAAACTGGAAGGTTTTGTTTTGGTACCGCTATATATGTCAAATTTAACAATTCGTACATTTATTTCTTGAGTTGTCATTTTGGCGGATTGTCATCATACAAAAATTTTACAAAAAATGAAAATCACAGTATGTTTTAATCTTGGTCGAGAACTTTCAGTTAAACAACGAATAATAAATATTATACCTCAAATCAAGGTGCTGATCATGATTTGAAGTGAAAAAAATACCAAAAAAATCTCTTAACTACGGGAAAATTTGAATAAATCGACTTTACGAATAATCTGACACCACATTCAGTATTCAAATTAAAATATTTTGGCGTCTTAAGAACATTAAATTAGATAAGTTTGGGGTCTAAATAGCCAAATCAGTTATATTAAAAGTTACTAAATGAAGTCTAAGTGCTGATTATGTTGCAATTTAACTTTTTTTCCCATTTTCTGAAAGACGAATTTGTTGATCAAATTTGTGTTTCACCTAAAGAGAAGATCATCAAATTGTTCTGTTTCAGCAGAGAATTTAATGAGAAAATTTGACAATGACAGGTTGAATATTGAGGGACTTATCACCAATTTAAGTTTCAAGATTGACTATGACGGGGCTGCATATAAGTCAAATTGTTTCAGAATAAAATTTTTTTGTACGAGCATGCAATGCTATACTCAAGTGCGACAGAATTAATTTCTCGTGTTAGCTTTAAAGCGATCTCGCCTTACATATATTGATTTACAAATGATATGTATTTGACTCAAATAAGAGTAAATAATATATATTTCATGTGTGTATATTAAAAGGTCTCTTTACATTGTTCAGTAATTAAAGCTTCCTTACTTATGCCCTTTTCTTTCTAATACTTTCATCAAAATTATTCCCACCGGCTCTTTTAAAATTTGAATTTATTAATTGATTAGTCATAATATCATTATCATCAGTATAAATCTTTCTATTTGGATATTTTATACTTAATCCCTCAAATGCATTTTCGTTAACCTTGGGACTTTCCAAAAAGAATTGATGTAATAATGCTTGATCTGCAGTTAATCTCAAATCAGGATCATAAGTCAATAAACCCTGTAATAGGTTTAAACATTGTTTATTTTCTCCACCGATCATCTTATACCAATTTACAAGATTGGCTGGATATATTTGATTAGTTAATTGTTGTTGGAAAGAAGGATATTCTGGATATTTAGTTATATTTGGCCATATTTTCAGATTTGGAGTGCCGAGTATTTCTATTATCTTTTGGAATTGATTTTTTTGAAAAGGTACTGCTTTTTTATTATTTATATCTATTTTAGCTTCTTCACCTTTAAAAATTGGTCTTATTGATAATAATTCAGCTAGGATACATCCAACGGCCCATAGGTCAATTGAGGGAGTATAATGTCTCGTTCCTAATAATAATTCAGGTGCTCGATACCATATAGTTACAACTACTTTATCTCCAGTATATAATGATTGTAATGGATTATTAAATTTTCTAGCAAGTCCTAAATCTCCAATTTTTACAACACCTTGAGATGTTACCATTATATTTGCTGGTTTTAAATCTCGATGAAATATCCAATTTTTATGTAAGAATGTGACTCCATTTAGGATCTGCCAAGTTAAGGATTTTATTGTTGTTATTGGTATGTTTTTTATATCTGGATGTGAATGATAATGTATAATTTGTAATAAATCATGTTCACAAAATTCAAAAATCATATAAATTGATTTATTTTCAAGTATGATATCTATTAATTTTGTTATATTTTTATTATTGAGTTCTCTACATAATGACATTTCTCGAATTGCAGATTGTGATATCCCAGTATAATGAATAATTTCATTGCCGTTGGAATCATGAGAATGATGAGATTTATTTGAGCCGTGATGATTATCAGATTTAAATTTTTTGATTGCATAAAATTGGGGTAGGATATTTTCTTCATCATCATCTAAAATATCTTCTCCTTCTAATTTATTATTGTTCTTTAGTTTTGCTTTGTATACTTTTCCATAAGTTCCTGCTGCTATATACCCCATGATTTGATAAGTCGACAAAACTGATTCTCTTGTTAAATCTTTTCGATGTTTGAATGGACCCAAAGTCAATATTGAATTTGATGCCATTAATGCTGGCTGTGGAATATTTGGGATTTGATTATTGGGTATTTGATTAATCATATTAACTTTTCTATAATCGTAATTCACTCATATACTAGTTGCAAAAAAAAAAAAAAAAAAAAATTTACGAGCTATATATTAAAATTTAAACCTGCTAAATCTTGTAAAGATGGTGATTCAGAATGGGATATTGGTGTTCGAATAGTACCAAATGAATAATTAGGTTTGATTAAATCATTTTGATATTTTAATTCAAATTCTGATTTTAAATTTTGTGTAATTAGCTTTTGTTCTTCAATTAATTGTAATTTAATTTCTTCAATCTCGGTCGAATCATCCCAATCATCATCAATATATGTAAACTTATTAATATAATAAAATGTTCCAGATATACTCTGATCAATTACTATTAATCCTGACTCAATACATTTTTCTAATTCTTCAATTGTTATATTATATGACCAATTAAAATTTTTTGAAATTTGTGATATCGTTTTCCCATAATTTTCATTCAATTCGTCTTCTTCAATCATTTCAGACCTCATTTTTAAATATTTAAACTCGTGTTCTTGTTTTTTTAAATATTCAGTAATATATTCACCATAAATATGTTTTAAATTTCTCGGAGCAACTACCACTAATCCAGATTTATAATCTCTTAAAGTAACAGGTAGATTTAAAGTCTCAAACATTTCAATAGATTTTAAAAAATCATTTGAGTCAATCAATTCACATCCAAATCCTTGAGATCCAACTAGAAATCGATTATATTCAGCATATAAATCTTGTGAAGTAATCATTGATGAATTAGTAGTTAATTTATAAGTGACTAAATATTCACTAATATGTCGACTTAATTCTTGATGATATAACGATGAGCTCTTTTTAATATTTAATGGTGGGATAACAAATTCATTAGCATTTTGTTTTAATCCAAATGAATTTGATAATTTGAGTAAATCTTGATATTTAAACATCAATTGTTCTATATCATCCAAGGACGTACTTAGGATAACTTCATTTTGTATTCTTTGTAATTCACCAATTTGTTCTAATGCATGAATACCAGCACCATTAGTTTTCCTTGATTCAGTCTCATTATTATTAATTTTAATTCCATTTTGATTTACACCACCTTTATTTTTAATATTTTCCCAACTTATCTCGTCTATTAAATTTGCAACTTCTTGATAAAATTTCTTTTCACCACCTTTACGAAAACTAATTTTAATATATGGTTTATCATCAGTATATATTTCATCACCCAATAATTCCAAATCTAATAAATCCTCTTTCAATTCTTCATTAAAATTGACTAATTCAGTACCACACATTTCACAAAATTTGATAGAAGGATGATTTATAAAAGTACACCTAGGGCAATGCCCGTTGGATGAAGATTGAACAATTTTGGTAGTTGGTTTCTGATTCGAGTCCCGTATAACTTCTCTTAAATAATCTTTATTTGGTTTTATTCCACAAGAAGTACATTTAGGTAACTCATCTTCATTAAAATCAAAATTCAGTTTAATATGGTTAATAAATGAACATATTTTACAAGTCCAATTTATACTAATTATTTTAGTAGATTCGGTTGATTTGATAAATAATTTAACTTTTGGAGATGATCTAAGAAACCGATCTATTAATTCTAATGAAACAATATTAACCAATTCAACACCAATACTATTGTCTATTTTATCATTATCAAAATATATAATTCTCTTGTTTGTTAAGTATAATCTACCATTTTGACGACCTATAATTTTCAGTTTACCTTGATATAACCCAGTATTATCTATTATTAATACATTATACTCACCATTCAGTAATATTGGTCTATTACTTCTATTTATCAATATTGGTCTCCATATTGATTTGTAGTTCATTAATATTTTTTTTCTTTATCAACAAAAAATACAAAACAGTATACAAATCAATACGTCAAATACATCATTAAAACAATACACCAATAGTTTATTGCATCCTTACAGCATCGTGACATGGCATTCTTATTCAAACGAAATCCCAAAACTCCATTTGAATTAATTAAAACTTTGAATGATTCATTATTAAAATTAGATTATAATGATAAAAAAATACAAGATGATTGTACAAGATATCTTAAACAATTAAGAATTATATTACATGGTGAAGATGATATAGAACCACAACAGGATCAAATATACAACATATCACAAGAAATATTCCAACAAGATTGTTTATACCACCTCATAATTAATTTATTAAAATTAGATTTTGATTCGAGAAAAGACGTATTTATCATATTTTCAGTATTATTACGACGAAATAAAGAACAACAAAATCAACCACCACCTCCAATAGTCAATTATTTATTAAATTCGCAACCTGAAATATTATTAATTCTTTTAAGAGGTCCAGAAACTCATGAAATTGGTATTATATCTGGTCAAATTTTACGAGAATGTATTAAATATGAAACAATAAATAAATTTATACTTTATAATTCATTATTTTGGAATTTTTTTAATTATGTTCAAATCCCAATTTTTGAATTAGCTACAGATGCAATGATGACTCTAAATGATTTATTAACAATTCATAGAAAACAGGTTTCGGAATTTTTAAATGATAATTATGATAAATTTGTAACTACAATTAATAATTTAATTGATTCGGAAAATTATGTTACAAAAAGACAAAGTGTTAAATTATTAAATGATTTAAATTCGTCAAGGGCAAATTCAAAATTTATAAATAAATATTATGATGATACGGTAAATTTAAAAAAAACAATGAGATTATTAAGTGAAAATCTGAAAAATTTGCAATTGGAAGGATTTCATATATTAAAATTCTTTATGGCAAATCCAAAAAGGTCACAAAAGATAAACGACTTATTAATAAAGAATAAAATAAACTTTCTTATATTTTTGAAAAATTTTGATGTTGAAAGTTTTCATGATCCAACGTTAACTGATGAAAAAGATTTCGTATTACAAGAAATTGAAAGATTACCGGATAGAAAAGAGTAAATATATTAATTATTTAGCTATTCTTGACCAATCTTTATATTCTTCTTCTCCGTATTGAATTTTCCTAATCCATTCTCCAATTTGTGCAGTCAATTCACCAGAACTTTCTAATGATACAGGTACATTTATATTTTCACCCTTAAATCCAATATTATTAATTGGTGATACAACTGCAGCTGTACCAGCACCAAAAGCTTCTATTAATTCACCATTTTTAGCCTTTTCTTCAACTTCATAAATTGTAAATTTTCTTTCTGATATAATCCATTCATCTTGATTTAATCTATCTCTAGCTAATTGTAAAATTGAATCTCTTGTTACACCTTCAAGTATAGTACCATCTAATGGCGCAGTAACTAATTCTTTTTTACCAGATTCTTTATCCTTGAATACAAAAAAAACATTCATTGTACCTACTTCAGTAATATATCCTTCTTTTCCAAATAACCATAAATTTTGTTGAAATCCACGTTTAGCAGCTTGTAATTGTGGTACAATACAAGGAGCATAATTTGCACCTAATTTCTTATCACCAACTCCTCCAGGCCAAGCTCTAACTGCATAATCAGTAGCTTCTAAAGAAACAGGTCTAAATCCACTAGAATAATATGGTCCAACGGGTGATGCAATAACATATAATAATGCTTTGTCCGGAGTTCCAACACCTAAACCTGCAGTTGTTCCAATCATTGTTGGTCTTAAATATAATGAATATCCTTTTCCTTCAGGTACGAAATCTTTATCAACAATTAATAATTTATCAATTAATTTTAATAATTCTTCAGATTCAAAATTTGGTAATGCTATTCTTTCTGCTGATTCATTCATTCTTTCCATATTTTTATTAGGTCTAAAAGTTCGAATATTCCCCTGGGGATCTTTATATGCTTTTAAACCTTCAAATAATTCAAAAGCATAATGAAATACAACCGTTGAAGGATCTAATTTTAAAGCATGGTATGGTGAGATTTTAGGAGCACCCCAACCGTTATCTTCTGTCCATTCAATTTCCAACATATGATCAGTAAATGTTTTACCAAATATTAATTTATCATTTGGTAATTTTATTTTTGGGGTGGTTGTTTTTTCAATTATCAATTTTGAAGAATCTAATGGTGCATGATTTGATGCATATCTTTTTATTGTACTCATTGTTATACATCTAAAACTACTGAAAGATCTACACATATTGAATCTTTTTGCAGCTATTTATATACAATTTTTAATTTTTCAGATCAGATCTCATGAGTCAAAAGAAAAAAAAACAAATTATTGGGTACAACTATAAGAGCGATAACGGGATAATTATTAAACGTTATATGTCGGTATTAGGTGGATATTCATAGTTAAGATGAAAGTGGAGTGTTGTATATTGATCTTCCAATTATAAACTGTGGCTATTAAATTCCACCTGATCACTCGGAATCAACAAAATGAGCATGGCTTAGTCATTCTGACTCATATAATGTAGTTAAGTAACTTGAAGTTTAAAGTTTCTTGAAGTTTAGTAAACTTTATCGATAATAGTAATATATTGTTCTGAGTTGTTTTGTAACGAAATTGGAGCTAGTACCTCTATTTTTGTGTCATTTTAAGCTTTGAATTGAATTAAATGTTGTAAGTCTGCTAACAATACATCCATATCAGAAGAACCTCTAATTTCAAATTAGTAAAACGATAATCTCAGAGTGAGGCGAATAACAGCTGTCGCTAATTATAAAACAACAATTTTGATAGCTGCATCCATAAATTTCTTCATCACATTTAATGTCTATTATCTGATAAGCTCTTTATTTGCTACCTGGTTTCTTTAGGAACCCACAGGATCGACAATTAAACAATGAGCATGTCTCTATTAACTGCGGGTTGTTTTTAAATTTCCCAAAATATCGATAAGCCAAAATAAAATACTGAATCCTGTTTCCAACTCACAAATGAGTAGCAGTAAAAACCATCAGACACAAAATTCAACACTAAAATAACACATCTTTATGTATAAATGAGAAATTCAACACAAGTATGGCCATTTAAGTAATTTCGTCGAATTGAAAAAATAATGAAATTCAATGAATATCCGGCGACAACGACCAAAACCAAAGCAAAACAGCAGCAGCCATCCTAAATCAACCAACTCTGATCACCAACCATCTTTCCCTACAACCATCCAATCTCTCTCATCCACTATCAATTAAATATTCACTAGTAAAGCTTGATTCAAAACTTCCACCGGGGGTGTGTAAAACGCAACAAAAAAAATCAAAACATATTCCAACAATTGATACACATCACTTGAGGGTATCAGTACTATTTTATACCACTATACACCTTATACCATTGTTATTAGTTATTGATCAATTATGTCAGAAGTATGTACTGAAAAAGTGATAATTGAATTATACTAACAACTTTCCAAAGGTCAAAAGAACTATTAGGATAACAACGGAACAACATGTTTTAGAAGATTTACCACCAGTTGAAAATTTTCCAATAAGAAAATGGACTATTTCAATTACGATGTTAGATTCTCAAGGTAAAGAAGTTCCTGCTAAAGTATTAGATAAAGTTACATATGCATTACACCCAACGTTTGCAAATCCAATAAGAGTAATAAAACAACAACCTTTTAAGGTTGAAGAACAAGGTTGGGGTGAATTTGATATACCTATTACTGTTCACATCTTAGGAATTGCTGGTAAAAATGGTGAGCGTAAATTACAGCATGACTTAAATTTTTTTCAAAATAAATACACAAATGATCATGTAATTAATATACCAGTCAGTCCAAGTAAAAATGGTCAATTAAATAAGATTTTATTAGAAACTGGTACTTTACCATTTGATGAATCTGGCGTAGGAGCAAGCTCAAATAGTGGTACTGGTGGTGTTAAAAGAAAATTAGAAGGAAATAATGGTTCAACACAATTAAATTCAGATGTAAATAAAAATAAAAAATCCAAAGGTGCAGTTAAAGGTTCTGTTGATCTAGAAAAATTATCAAATGGTTTAACCAAGTTAAATGAAGATGATTTAATTGTTGTTGTTCAAATGGTTACTGATAATAGAACAAATGAAATGAATATTAAAAATGATCCTGATGCTGGTGAATTTACAATGGATTTATTTACATTACCTGATTCTTTATTAAAAAGTTTATGGGATTATGTTAAAAAGCGTATTGAAAATTAATTGTAATATATATGTATAAGTGTTTATACAGACCATACTTTAATTGTAGAATCCCATGATCCAGTAGCTAATCCAATACCATCTGGACTAACTGCTACTTTATTAATTTTATCTGAATGATCACTACCAATACTTCCAATAATTTCATTTTTTAAAGTATCCCAAACAACACAACCAAATTCGGAATAACACGAATATAAAAATCTACCACTTTTACCAAAATCTAATGAAAAAACACCTTGATTTTCAAAATTTGATATCATACTATTTAAACTAACTTTATCAAATGATTTTTCTGTTGTACTTGATAATGGTTGTTTTTGATAACCACAATTTCTATAATCTTTTGGTGATTGAAGTACCTTATGTGAAGTATTAATAATATTTTGATTATTTCTTAATTCTTGATTTAAATTATATTGACCTAACTGACAATCTGATCTTAAATCAAATAATCTTATTAATCCATCATCAGTACCCAATACAAATGCATTACCATCAGGAAATACTTTTAAACTAGTTACATCAATTGATGAAGGTTGAAAATTTTGAGTTGGTGTTGGAGATCTTAAATCCCAAACTTTTGCATAACCATCAGAACTACCACTAATAAATAAATTATTATTTAATATATTTTGAGGGAAAATTGTCATTGTTAAAACATCACCAATATGATCTATAAAATCTCGAGATTTACAACCTTTTGTAATATCCCATAACATACATGTCATATCACCACTACTTGTTACAATTGAATTATTACCAATAAATTCACATTCTGAAATATATGCACTATGACCTTTGAATGTAGATTGAATTGATTGATAAAAATTTCCATGCATTTGTATATTATATTTATTGTTTATTGATGATGATGTTACAACTGGTACGTTTGAAGTATCTGGTTTTATTTTATAAATTGTACAAATATTATCTAAACCAGCACCTGCAACTAATTTTTCATTCAGTGACATACTACAAGTTAAAACATATGGATTATCTAATTGAATAGCTTGCTTTTTATAACCAGTTATAGCATCCCATAAAATCATATAACCATCTTGTGAAGCTGATAAAATTTTAGAACTATCATAATTCCAACATATTTTGGCAACCTTATTTTGATGACCTTTCAATGTATTATATAATTTTAATTGACATGAATCTTTTGGTATTGGTGTAACATCAATTGAAACAGATTGAATAGTTGCATCTTGCGTTCTTTTAATTACATTTAAAACTTCTTCATATAATACTTGTGCTTTTGATTTTGCCAGTTCAACTTGTTTTGCTAATGATGCTAAATCTGCTTGTTGTTGTAATTCTTGAGTCACTAGTGATAAAGTTTGACCTGAAAACATATTTGAATTTCTATAATTCATCATCTTTCGAACTTGGAAAAATTAATTAAATTACCCAATTTCTAAATATAAATTTCTCAATTGTCGAAAATTGGACAATTGTTAAACAATGAAAAGTTCACGATAAATTTAAAGTTTTTTTATAAAATTAAGCTTTTTTTTGGGATTTTTATGATTTGAATATTCATGTTAATAGATAAATTTAATTTAATAATTTGCGCATGATCTACTTGTTGGATGAATTAAGTATCTGCATTACGCATTAAAATTCTCGAATAATCATTAAAAATTGTCATGTATTGAAAGAATAAAAATCCACAACTTTCAGTCATATTGAACCATCAAGCTATATTTAACTATTCTCCTCGAGGAACAGTTGAAATTATTAATTGAACAACTTGATATACGAGATCTGAAATCTCAGATCTAGATCTGACTATTTTTTTTTTTTGGACCACGACCACATGTAATCGGAGTTAATTTTACACAAAATGAGGCGTATAAACAAAAAGGGAAATATTGTGCCTTACACTTCTTATTATCACCACTTGGTTGCCCTCTTCGTACATAAATACTGAGATTTCTTTTCAATTTCATTTGCTGAATAATTGCCGAATATCTCCCCAATCACATATATATTGTTTAAGAATTATTGAATCGACTGACGTATATTACTTGTATATTATTGTTGTTGGTTTTGTTGCTCTTGTTTCTCCTTTTCTCGATGTTCATTCAATTGTTGTGATTGAACAGCTATTGGTTTAACAGGTGCTAAATTATTTCTCTTTGTTCTAGCACCACTTCTTCTATTCTTTTCATCAATTTGACCAGTTACACCTTTTAAATAAGCAGGTACTTCTTGTCCATGTTTTAAAAAGAAAACTTTCCAATTTCTGGCTTTATCTTTTAATTGAACTTGTGTTCTATTTTTCAAACTTTCATTAATTTTACCACCTTGACCAAATAATTCTAAAATAGTTGACCAATGAGGACCTTTTAATTCTAATGCATGTCTTAAAGCTTTTTCTTCTTCTTTTGTCCATGGTCTTCTTTGAGATGGTTTTTGTCCATTTATTATAACTTGTCTTTCTTGAATTTCTGAAGGTAATAATTGAGAAATATCAGTAACTTCTTCATTATCATTTGATGTTGTAGTTTGCGGAGTTGTTGATCTATCATATGAATTTAATAAACTATCAGTAGTATTATAATCATGTCTTTTATTTAATGATTTTGAAATTTTACCCCAAATTAAATATCCCATATTTTTAGCTGAATAATCAAATAATTCTCTTAAAAAATGAAACCATTCAAATTCTTCACTTAATGGTTTTGTTGAATTATAATTTAATAATTTTTGTTTCCTTGATTTACATCTTTCAACAAAATCAATTTCAACTGGTGTTAATTGAGTTGCATTTCTTTTATTTAATAAAATCCCATCTAAATTATCAGGTAAAATATCTTCTAAAATTTCTTCTCTTGATCTTTCACCAGCATCAACTGCTGATATATAAGCTTGAGTTTTTAAATCGAGAAACAACATAGCTTGAGCTTTTAATAGTTTTCCAACTTTTTCACCAATTGCATTGCCTCCACCACTTGGAACTTGGGTAGCCATAGTTGCACCTTCAAATGATCTAACATTTGATAAAGCATTTGTTGGATCTAAATTATTTGATGGACAAAATATATCTAAAAATGATTCATTAAGATAGAAAAAACCAATTTCAATAGTACCTAAAGTAGCAGCTAAAAATGAAGCTAAATTAACTTTTCTCAAGGTTGATTCAATACTTTGTTCTTTAGATTTGAAAATTTGTGGTGTTGTTTCACCTTGTCTCCACATTCCTGGTGCTATATGATCAACAGTTAAGAAAGGATCTTCTTCTGAATATAATCTTTTTGTAAATTCAAATAATGATGTTAAATCTCGGTATGTTGCACCTGATGGAGTATCGGTATTTGAAGCTAAATCTATAATTTTTGTATATGGATTACCAGCAACAATTCTTAATAATTGAGTAGCTAAATTATCCAATGTAGGTAATGTATTGACCAATAATTGTATTCTAGCAGGTAAATATTCAGCAGCAACAATTTGTGATGGTAATGCAGTTAAATTTGCAGATTGTAACATTGAAATTTGTGGACCAGTAACCAGAAAATGTGAAGAGTTCAACTGTGATGATAATGTTGTGTAAGCTGCATATGCTGTATTGGTATTTAATAATTCTGAATCTGGAGGTATAGCTGATGAATATGATCTTCTAGTTTCTGGACGAGTTTCAGCTTCTTTTTCCTCATCTTGTGCAATAGCTTTTTCCTTTAATTCTTCTACTGGTTTCGTTTCACTTCGCACCTCGGTATTTGTATCATTTGGTTGTGCTTGTTGTAATTGTAACGCAGGGTCTATTGATAAATCATCTTCAACTGCAGTATCATTCTTTTGTCGTTTTTCTTGACCATCATTTTCTGGTTCAACTTGATTAATACTTCTTTTATTAGATGTAGTGGTATCCTGTATGTTATTTGATTGATCATCAATTGTGTTGTCAAATAATTTATTTATTTCAGCTAAATTACTTTGATGAATATCTTCATTATTTTCATTTGAGTCATTAGTTAATTCTTGATGATGTTGTAATTGATTAATAATAGCATCTTCAGTATGATCATGATGTTTATTGGGTATATTATTATCATTACTATTATTATCTTGATTATTAGACATTTGTATCAAATTTGGTTAATACACAATACCAGTTTATAAATTTGAGTCTCATCAAAAATAATCAAAACAATCGAATGTGGTTGTATGCAGCTCAATGTCATGTTTCGTATATTACAGTGTCATATGTCATTGAATTGAAACATCCGCTAATTCATCTAAGTATTGATTCAAAAAGCGCATCTAATAGATTTATTTTGCTTTTCTGGCCACGAGTTAATATTGCTGAATAGCAATGGATATATATCAATACTCAATCATTGGATTAAGTAGCTAATACAATGGAGTAAATCTTACCGTCTCGCTTATATTATACAACATTTTCCATAGTCTTCTTATAAACATACAATTTAATTTTGATTTGAAATTTATTTTCGCTGGCGGTCTATATCCCAATAAGGTAACCGCTAATTTTTTATTTATGGTTATACATCACCATTTTTAACTATAAATTCCATTGAAAATCCCTTTTATTTTTGCTTTTAAATAAATTTTCATATCCATTGATTGCTTCTTTTCAAACTATGTCAAATCAATCAGTTTCTGCTAAATATTTTCCAAATGAACCACAACAACCAATTGTTAAAACAACTTCATTAAATGTTTCAAAACAAGAAATTGAAGCATTAGGAAAAGTTTTTGATTCACGTAGTGCTTATTTTGCTGCGGATTATTCAAAATCAATTGGTAATTATATAGCTGATGTTGATGGTAATTTATATTTAGATGTTTATGCTCAAATCGCTTCAATTCCCTTAGGTTATAATAATCCTGCATTAATTGAAACTGCAAAATCAGATAAAATGATTAGAGCAATTGTTGATAGACCCGCTTTAGGTAATTTTCCAGGTAATGATTTAAAAGAAATTTGTGGTGAAATTTTAAAAGTTGCACCAAAAGGTCAAGATAAATTATGGTCAGGTTTATCAGGTGCTGATGCTAATGAATTAGCATTTAAAGCAGTGTTTTTTTGGTATCAAGCTCAAAAACGAGGTTATAAAACTGATTTTTCAAGAGAAGAAGTTGAATCAGTTATGCATAATCAAGCGCCAGGTTCACCAGAATTGGCAATTTTATCATTTGAAAGAGCTTTTCATGGTAGATTATTTGCTTCTGGATCGACTACTTGTTCAAAACCAATTCATAAATTAGACTTGCCAGCTTTTAAATGGCCAAAAGCTGAATTTCCATCATATAAATATCCATTAGATGAAAATGTTGAAGCTAATAAAAAAGAAGATGAAAGATGTTTAGCTATAGTTGAAGATTTATTTAAAACTTGGTCAATCCCAATTGCTGGTGTTTTGGTCGAACCAATTCAATCAGAAGGTGGTGATAATCATGCAAGTGGTGAATTTTTCCAAGGTTTAAGAGATTTAACCATAAAACATGGTGCTTTATTAATTATGGATGAAGTTCAAACTGGTGTTGGTGCAACTGGTGTTATGTGGGCTCATGAAAGATTTAATTTACAACCACCTCCAGATTTAGTTACATTTAGTAAAAAATTCCAATCAGCTGGTTATTTCTTTCATGATCCAGAAATTGTTCCAAATTTTGCTTATAGACAATTTAATACTTGGTGTGGTGATCCAGCAAGAATGATTTTAGCAGGTTCAATTGGTGAACAAATTTTAAAAAATGATTTAGTTAAAGTAGCTGATAGAGTTGGTAAATATTTATATGAAAAATTGGAAAAATTACAATCAAAATATCCAAAATATTTAAAAGATTTAAGAGGTAAAGATAGAGCTACTTTTATTGCATGGTCATTAGAATCAAGTGAAGCGAGAAATCAATTTTTAAATGATATGAAAAAAGTTGGTATTAATATTGGTGGATGTGCTGAAGATTCAGTTAGATTAAGACCAACATTAATATTTGAAGAAAACCATGCTGATGTTTTAATTGAAGCTATTGAAAAAGTTTTATCTAAGTACTAACTTTGTTTGTATTCTATATGTATAATAAATGATTTATGAAGAGAATTATTACCCCAGATGACGACAGACGCCAATTGAAGATTTCTTAAGTACTATGGAAAAAAAAAAAAAAAAAAAAAAAAAATATTTTTCACACGAATCAAGAATCCTTTATCAAGAACTTTATCATTAAGTTTACAACCAATTACGGTTGGAAATATCCTTTTCAGTAAGATATTATGGACAATTATAAGGACACCAAACATGGTATAGTAAATCATCAAAATAATTTATATTCAGATGTGAAATCATTTATAAAATTAGATTCAAATGCTTCATTTATCGCCGGTGGTATTGGTGGTGTTGTTAGTAGGACGATAATATCTCCTATAGAAAGAGCTAAAATATTATTACAATTACAATCAGAATCACAGGCTGCTTATCGAGGGATGGTACCTTCAATTATTAGAATGTATAAAGAAGAAGGTTGGAAAGGTTTATTTCGAGGTAATACATTAAATTGTATTAGAATATTTCCATATAGTGCAGTTCAATTTGCAGTATTTGAAAAATTTAAACATATAATGTTGAATTATCGACCAAGAATAGGAAATGAATTAAATGGTTTTGAAAGGTTAATATCTGGTTCAATTGCAGGTATAGTTTCAGTTGTTGTAACATATCCATTAGATTTAATAAGAGCTAGAATAACTGTTCAAACTGCATCATTAAAGAAATTGAATAAATTAGACAAACCATTGAGTGTATGGCAAACTATAAAAGAAGTTTATACTAAAGAAGGTGGTTTTTTTGCTTTATATAGAGGTTTGATACCTACTACATTAGGAGTTGCACCTTATGTAGCTATAAATTTTGCATTATATGAAAGATTAAGAGAATATATGAATAATAGTCCAAACGATTTTTCAAATCCAATTTGGAAATTAAGTGCTGGTGCGACATCTTCATTAATTGCAGGTGTTATAATATATCCATTAGATTTATTAAGAAAAAGATTTCAAGTTGCCTCGATGAATGATGGAGCATTTGGTTTTAAATATAAATCAACGATGCATGCATTAGTTACAATTTTTAAAAATGAAGGCTTTTTTGGTGCTTATAAAGGATTAACTGCTAATTTATATAAAATAGTACCATCAATGGCAGTTAGTTGGTTATGTTATGATACAATGAAAGAATGGATAGAGCGGTGGTAATGTAATAATACCCTTACTTAATAATAGAATTTGATTTATAGAGCTAGTTTATATAGCGTTTATATACGCTCCTGCATATAATAACCAACCAACCAAATTTAATGAAAATTAAGCAGCAGTATAAAAATAAAAATAAAAAAAAAAAATAGCACCATAAATTTATTACTATAACCAAATATCTATTCATTAGTAACCACGAAAATGATTCCAACTAGAATTTTATTAAATGTTCCAAAAACAGGAGCTAAACCATTGAAATATCCAGTTGAAATGACACCTTTATTTGCTGCTGTTGGTGTTGCAATTGCTTCTGGTTTCTTTTTCACTTATAGACATTTTTCAAATGATAAAGAATTAAGAGTATGGAAAAATCCAAATTTATCAAATTTAGATGATGTTTTGGATCATGCAAATAGAGAAAAAGAATTACAAAATACTCAACAACCAAAGAATTAATGATGGCATAAAATTTACTACTTAACGATTGATAAACAACCAAAAACATTCATTTCATTTTATATTATCTATTATATGTAGTTTAATATATTTATTAATTATTTACAGGATTTTGATCTATGCTGAGTTAAAAGAATCTTCAATTCTTGAAATTTGCTCATCTTTTATATTTGTGAAAATATCAGTTATTTCTACAATTGAATCAATTTCATTAATTGCTTTAAAATAACCCTTTGAATTCTCTTCAGGGAAATCAACTTGAGAATCTGGATTTGAAATATATCTAACTGATGAATCAAATAATTTATAACCTTTGGCAGTCAATTCATTTGATAAACTGTGTATCTCATTTGGTTCACAAATTATTCTATAAAGCTTGTGTAATTTATCTTGTTGATGTTGATCATTAAATTCAATTTCTTCAACATCTTCAGCACCTAATTCAAGTACAACATCAAATACATCATCGAATTTTTCATCTTGTTTTGCGTAAAGTATAATTTCACCTTTTTTTTCAAACATATATGAGCAAGGACTTAAATTTGCTTGAAATTGAGTTAATGCGGTTTTGACTTTTGCTACTGTTCTTGCTTTATTATCAGTTAACGCAGTTAATATCAATGCAACTCCATCGGGGCCAATAAATTCATATTGAGTTTCAACTTGTTTTGTATCACTTTCAATTTCACCGGCACCTCGTTTTATAGCTTTATCAATAACTTGTTTTGTTATATTTAATCTTTTTGCTTTTTCTAACAATTGTTCTAATGTTGCATTAAATTTAACTTCTTTACCACCACCACGAACACAACTTTCAATTTTTGTAGCTAATAAAGTTGCTTCTTTTGATTTTTTGAGATCATTTTTAGCTTTATCATGACGAATATTTTGCCATTTGGAATGGCCAGCAAATCTTAAAAACTGTCGATTTCCATTCCCAATCACATTATTCTTTATCCTAGTCAAATTTCTAATAATCATTTTTGAAAAATTATTATCAACAGAAAATTTATAATTATCAACAAAATTATTCAATATGAGTGGCAGTGAAGCAATGACTAAACGTACATTAATAGCAGCTATAGCTGATGAAGATACAATAACAGGTTTACTTCTAGCTGGAATTGGTCGAATAACAACTGATCAAGCAACAGCCACTAAAGAAACAAATTTTTTAACTGTTATACCTGGTAAAACAAAAGTTGAAGAAATTGAACAAGCTTTTGATAAGTTTACAAATGAAAGAAAAGATATTGCTATATTATTGATTAATCAACATTTAGCTGATGAAATAAGATTTAGAGTTGATAATTATACAAACGCATTTCCTGCAATCTTGGAAATTCCATCAAAAGATCATCCTTATGATCCTGAAAAAGATTCAATTTTGAAAAAAGTAAGAAGATTATTTGGAGAGTAATCTTTTAGTATTCAATTCTACTTTGCATAGACTATAATAATATATTCACTGTTTATTTCTTTTTATTGTTCTTCTTTTTCTTTGATTTCCTTTTGGGAGTAGTAGATGATGTTGTATTAGATTCTGCTTCCGGAGTTGCTTCCAGAACATCTTCATCTTCTTCACCGTCATTGTCTTTCTCATTTGCTTCTTCTTTTTTAGAATCTAAAGTTATTGAATCAAATGCATCATCATTTGCTTCTTTGGCTTCTGTAGTATCGGTTTCAGAATTTATTGGTTGAGAGATATCTTCTTCAACATTATTTTCTTGTTTTATTTCATTCTCAATTGGTTTTGAGTCAACTTGTGGAGTGGTAATTTGTGAAGCTATCTGATCAACTTCTTCGTCTTCTGGCTTTTCTTCAATCTGAGGCTCTGATTCTTCAACAACTGTATCTTTGGTTATATCTGCTTCTTCAGGAATATTCAGTACTTCTTCAGGAATATTCAGCACTTCTTCAGCTGGATTTGTAATAGGTTCTGGTTCTTTAATTACTGTCTCGTTATTTAAATCACCTTGTAAGCCATCATTCTTTAAGTCTTCTTTTATTTGTTCATTTAGTTCATTATATGCTTCTTTTTCATGTTCTGATTCTTCCTCTTGTTTAGGTTCTTCTCTTTTAGTCTCTTCAATTTCATCTGGATTCTCCTCTGAAGCTATATTTGTTGCAACTGTTTCTTCTGGTTTATTTTCTGATTCATTAGTTGCAACTGGTTCTTTCTCATTATTAACTTCTCCATCTTTTTCAATTGGAGGTGGTGTTGATTCAGCAGTTGGATCCTGTGCCTTTTCAAATTTATCTTTCCCATCATCATTAGGAGTACTTGGAGTAATATTAATTACAGGTTTAGTCAAATTCTCTTCTTTCTTTGTTTTATTATTCTTATTCCAATAATTTTTTGCAAAAATATCAGGTAATACAGCATCTTTAATATAAAAATCTCTAACTCCAACAATTCTTCTTTCTCTCTCACATGCTTTTAACCATTCAGGTCTAATAATAGGAATATTCATCTCATTAGCTTTTAAATATTCTGGATTATTCTTATTTTCACGAGTGCATAGGTAATGAGTAGTATCAACTTTGACTTGTTTCTGTGGTGGATATTTAGCACCCATATTTTTCAAAGCTTCCTCAATGTCTTTGATTTCAAATTGATCATTTGGTGAGAAATCACCAAGACAGATAGTAATACCAGATAAATCAGTCATTTTATGAGTAGTTACTTCTATTTCATTACTCATGAATGTTCCCGCGGTAGTATCTAATCTTAATTGAAACTTGAAAGATTTATCAACGGGCAAACCCGATAATTTCGTAGTCCTGTTGTTTAAGGGCTGTGGAATTGATCCTAATTTCTTTCCATCTTTAAATAAAATTAAATTTTTGAGGTTGGAGGTTCCTAGTTTTAATTCATCCCATTCTAAAACACATGATGTTTGAGTTATGTTTTTAATTTTTAAATTTGGAGATTCTGGTTGATTTAATGTAAATGTATCCAATATCTCTTGTTGAATTTGTTGAAATTTAGCTTGTTCTGCTTTTTCAGATTCATTATCTTGATCACATTTAATTTTAATGATTGAACCTGCTTTAACTCCATTCGGTAATAAAATTGTTGGAAATTCAATGAGGTGATGATCTTTAGTTAATAATAAAGCAAGTGATGCATCTAATTTACCAACTGTTAATGAAACTTCAACCATTGAGAATTAAAACTCGACTTTTAATTGATCTGGTTTCTAATTGACAACGAAAAATGAAAAATATAGAATTAGGGGGTAGTGTAATTTTGCAATAATAATACAATAATATATTTGAATATATAGTAGTAGTAGTAGTAGTATTTATACAAGTTATACTTCAATGGTAGTTGACTGTGGTTAGATGCATTCTTACAGTATTTTCATTGCCTTTAAATCTTCTTTTATTTCTTGTTCTGTTGCTTTTTTCAATAATAATTCATTTGAAAATTGTTCATTATCAGTTAATGTCAGACTAACAGCACTTGGAAATCCATGAAATTGAATTAATCCGTTTAATACACCAATTTGTTCATTTAAATTATTTCTTTGTTGAACCAATTCAATTAATGTATTTTGTTTAATTTGTTTTTTTGACATGTTTGAAGTTTCAATTGAATTTAAAGAATCCATATAATTAATATAATTTAAATTAGAATCCAATATACTTGGAATAGCAATAAAATTATAATCGGGAATTAATTGATCCATTTGGTTCCGTTCTTTATTTATCTTATACCATAATGAAGTTGTATCAGTAATCATTTCATTTTTACAATCCATTATATTCTTAATAAAATCTTGATGAATTGATGTTCGAGTAGCTTTAGTTTCTTTATTCACACAATTAAGTTTATATGATAGTTCTGAATCTGCTAATTTTATACTATTTTCATAAAATTCATTTATTCGATTACATATTTTTGTTAATTCTGGATGTGAACCATTCGAACATAATTCTAATTCTTTTTCTAATAATGTTAATTTATCATGATATAATTTATCTCGTAATTCTGCAAATTGAGATTCAATAATTATTAATTCTTCAATTGCTAATTTTCTTTGTTCATTAAGATCAATTTCTTCTTTTTCTATAATTTCCTTTTGTTGTTTCTTTAGTAGTTTTTTAGGTAAAAGTATTTGTGATTCTTCCTCTTCTTCCTCCTCCTCTTCTTCTTCTTCTTCTTCTGATACTGGTTCTTCTTCTTCATCTTCATCTTCTGCTTCTGCTTCATTATCTTCATCATCTATAGGTTCAGTTATTGGTTTTAATATTGGTGATTTTTCAATCTCCTTCTCTGGTGATTCCTCTTCCACAAGATTATTAGTTTCTGGTTCTATTGGATCTTCCTCAATTGGATCTTCCTCTATTGGATCTTCCTCTATTGGATCCTCTTGTTTTTCTTCACCATCTTTCACCACTTCTTCTTCGTTTTCTACTTTTGGTTTTTTATTATTTTCTTCAATTGGTTCTTCCGATTTACTTCTCTTTCGACTAATTACTTCTTCTTCCTGTATATTCTCCTCTTTTTCATCTGGTTTTTCTTCTTTCTTCTCTTCATTAGTTTCCTCTATTGGTTTTGGTTTTTTATCATATTTTAAAGTTATCAATTTCTTCATTTCTTCTTCTGAATCAGATGAATCTATTTCTTCAAGTCTTGCAAATTCAGTTAATTTAGCTAGGTTTTGTAAATCAGATTCTGAATTAACTCCATATAACATAGTATCAGCATCAGAATCAGAAACATCACTTAATTCAGAACTTTCATAAGAATCTTTTCTATTAAACCCATTAGATAGTCTTTTTTTCGGTATAATTGGTGGAGCTGAAAGTCTGTCTATTTCGTCTTTTTGTTTGGGTTCTTGCTCCTGGAGTAGTCCTGGTATTTCTGGTTGTACATCATTTAAAATATCCAATGGTGGAGAAGTACCAATTTCTAAATCAGTCAAAGGACTTTCCTTACTCATTGTGGTATTTGCATTATTAAAATCACTAGTACTTGCTGTTACTGTTAAATTTTCACCATTACCACTGTCACCATTTAAATTTGAATTTAAATTTGAATTTACATTTGTATTTACATTATTGGGTATCAGTGAAATTTCATTTTGTAGATCAAAAATTTTCGATTCTATATCATTGAACCTACTTGATTGTGGTTCTATTTCTGGTTTTTCTTCTGGTTGTTGTGATTTTTCATTCTCTTGATTTTGAATTTGAGGATGAGAAGGTTTGAGATCAAGTTGATGATCCAGTAGTTCAGGAGTTTCTAAATTGGTTTCAGCTTGTGTCATTTTAATATATGATAATGACTACTTAATATCTCTGTCTGTTATTTTATATCGTTACTGAATGGTTGTTAAAATGTGCTGGTTGTAAATAATTTGACAGAACAATAAAATGAATTGATAAATTTCTGATTAAATTGAAAAATTGGTGCTTTTTAAGTAAACTAAATAAATTATTACTTTAGTTGATACTCAAATATCTGTCAATTATATATATACTATGAATTGGGTATATTGATAACTTCTTATACTTGTTGGTTTATATAATGAAACAAAAAAGTTGATAATATATTTGAAAGAAATACTCATTTTATTTTTTTTATTTTTTATTATTGTTATAATACGCACTTATATGCAGGATGTGGTTTTCTATGATAAACAAAGGTGGAGGGAAATAATATACTATATAGTTTCATAACTATAACCAGAGGAGTTAAGAAGTTGATTGGTGGAGAGTATTACAGTGAAATATGCCATATGATATAGACATATGTCTTGAGGTAAACGAACTTGTCTCAAAACACGTTGTTTAATTAATTATTTGATTAAAATAACTCGGTCAATTTTAACCGATCTTGATATGATGATTATACATGTAAATGGACTCAAATTATCAAGAATTTCGGTGATATAGCGACATATGGTAATTGAGTTTACATATCATGCTTTAAAAGCAGTATCTATGGATGATTAATATCAATAATTCATCTATCAAATTGGGTATGATTATCGTTGAATTTTGGTTCTCATCATTTTTTTTTTTTTTTATTTTATTTTATTTTATTTTTTTTTTTTTTTTTTTTTATTTTTTTATTTTTTTTTCGCCCTGTCGCCTCCAAATTTAATTTTAATCTCATCTCTATTTTGTTGCAAAATTAATTGAAGATATAAAGAGATGTCTGGATTTGCTTCATTATTTAAAGATAACAAGTCACAGGAAGATAGTTCTATAAAACAATTATTTAATAGTAAAGCAGATGGTCCAATTTCAAAAGATCAATTAATTAATAAAAAAAGAACAATTATAAATATACCAGAATCTACTGAAACTAATAAAAAACAAAAATTAGGTATACCGCAAGATGAAGAGAATGAAAGTAGTGGAGATGATGATGATGAAGACAGCGACGAAGAAGAAATAGAGGAGGGAGAAATAGAGGAGGGAGAAATTGAGGACGCGATCGATGCCAAAAAATCAAAAAAATCAAAAAAATCAAAGGAATTAGAAGATAATAATGATTTAGAGACTCAGTATTTTAATAAAATATTACAAAATGATCAAGAAGAAACGAAAACAGAATCAGCAGAAACACAAGAGAAAAAAGAAAAAAAGTCCACAAAGTCTAAAGTTATAGATTTTAAAGAATCCGAACTTGAAAAATCAGAACGTACAATTTTCATAGGTAATGTACCATCATCAGTAATAACCTCAAAATCATTATTATCAAAATTTAAAAGTTTATTTAAACAGTTTGGAAAAGTTGAATCTATCAGATTTAGATCAATTTCATTTAATGAAATCTTACCTAGAAAAATTGCATTTGCAAAAAAATCATTACATGAATCAAGAGATTCTATAAATTCATATATAGTATTTTCAGAAAAATCATCATCAATAAATGCCATGAAATTAAATGCTACAATTTTTGAAAATCATCATTTAAGAGTTGATCATATTGCTCATCCATCTCCAAAAGATAATAAACGTACAATTTTCGTTGGTAATTTATCATTTGATGCAAATGAAGAAGATTTATGGAAATATTTTAATTTTAAAATGGATAACGATGTTGAATCAGTTAGAATCATACGTGATTCAAAAACAAATTTAGGTAAAGGATTTGCATTAATACAATTTAAAGATTCATTGAGTGTAAATAAAGCATTAATGTTGAATGATAAACCAATGGATAATGAAGATAAAAAGAAGCAAAGAAAATTAAGAATAACTAGAGCAAAATCAAATGCAAAACCCTCATTATTATCTCCAAATCATTTTGAAAATTTAAAAAAGAAACATGTACAAAATAAACAACAACAACAACAACAACAACAACAACAACAACAACAACAACAATTAAACGATAAACAAAGAACTAAACTAGGTAGAGCTCAACTGATATTAGGTAAAGCTGATAGATCAAGAGCTGGTAAAATTAAAAAAGGTGATAAGCCAATATTAGAAGGTGATAGAGCTAAAAAGGGTGATAAAATTAAAGGTATAAAAGGTTTAAAAACAAGTGGTAAAGTTAAAAAACCAAGAATAAGAGACAGATCAACTAAATTTAAAAATGAAAGAAATTCAATGAAGGAAGAATTGGAAAAGAAGGATAAAAAATAGATTGAATATATAAGAGCATGCATGATTGTGATTCGATAATAACTTCTTAACTTCTTAACTTCTTAACCTCTTTGTTAACTGACTCCGATTATAATATAGTGTAGACATTCCGTTCTATGGCGTTTAATTTTATTCCGTTTGTGGTACAAATTGTGGATTGGCGTTTATTTCGCACGGAATTATTACCAAAATTAGATTTTGCAACCAGTTTAAAATCCTTCAACGATAAGGCACAAATTCATAACTTTAGTAGTCAACTGCACAAGAGTAGTAAGATAATAGTTTAAGGGATACGCTGTTCAATTTTGTATAAATTAACTTTGTTTTCATCGATTTGCCGTATCCTCCAATAATTTTTTAGTATTTATACTTTTTTATTTCCTAAATTTTTTAAATGGGTTTATATTCTTCTAAAGAAACTAAAGTAAAAAAACAATTACCAATGAAATCAGTCGATCAAGAAATTACAAATGAAAAAGCATATGGTTCAATTTCAGATTTTTCAAATTATTTTCAAAATTTAGATATTGATAAATTAAATATTTCAGATTTAAATCCAATTTCAAATAATACTTTATCAACATGGGAATCTGATTTTCATTCAAAGACTAAAAATAAATTAACTCAAAATGTGTTAGCGAACAATCCCATTGAAAAGGTAATTAATCAAACTTCAAGCTCATTATCAAATAAAGATAAATATTTATTTAATGTTACTGTAGATACAATTGGATCACCTTCACATTTAAATAATCAAAAACTGAGTGGTAGATGTTGGATATTTGCAACTTGTAATGTCATTAGAAGTCATATCATTAAACAATATAACCTTAAAGATGATGAATTTCAATTATCTCAATCTTATTTATATTTTTATGATAAATTAGAAAAAGCGAATTATTTTCTTGAAAATATTGATGATACTTATAAAGAAGAATTAGATTCAAGATTAATTCAATATCTTTTTAAAGATCCAGTTGGTGATGGTGGTCAACATGATATGATTGTAAATCTTGTTGAAAAATATGGTTTAACTCCAAATGAAATATTTATTGATAATTCTCAATCAACAAGTTCATCAAAGATAAACTACATAATTACCGAAAAATTAAGAGAATTTGGTTTAAAAATTAGAGACTTAAGATCTAAAAAAGCTCCTGAACATGTTGTCAAGAATTTTAAAACTTCGGCTATGAAGACAATTTATAATACAATTTCATTAGCTATTGGTACTCCTCCAAAACCATCTGATGAATTCACGTGGGAATATATTGATAAAGATGGGAAATATAAATCATATAAAACTACACCCAAAGAATTTTATGAAAAATTTGTTAAATCAAAATATGACGTTAGTGAACATTTTTCATTAATTCATGATCCAAGAAATGAATACAATAAATTATATACTGTAGATCGATTAAATAATATTTTTGGTGGTAAACCTATTGAATATGTTAATATTGATATTGATGATATTAAATCAGTTGCAATTAAAATGTTAAAAGATAATCAACCAATATTTTTTGGTTCCGATGTTGGTAAATTTGGTGATAGAACAACTGGTATTTTAGATACTACAGCTTATGATTATAATACAGTTTTTGATTATGATTTAGGTTTAAATAAAGCAGAAAGATTAAAAACTGGTTCTTCTTTAATGACTCATGCTATGGTTATTACTGGTGTTCATTTAGATGAAAATGAAAAACCAATTAGATGGAAAATTGAAAATTCTTGGGGTGATGCAGTTGGTAAAAAAGGTTATTTTTTAATGACTGATGAATGGTTTAATGAATATGTTTTTCAAATTGTTACTTCACAGAAATATTCAGGTAAGAAATATTATGATATTTGGAAATCTAAAGAATATAATGTTTTACCTTATTATGATCCAATGGGTTCATTAGCTTAAATTGATAATATATGTTAATTGTCAATTAAAATTACTTTTGATATTATTCTACCATAGTTGACTTGTTCAATTCTTCCCAAATTGGACCCACTATGGGCTCTTCTTGTAAATTTACATCTTCATCAAAGTAACTTTGTATTTGACGCAGATTTATGGTCTCTTAATACACAATAACTGAAACAAATTGAAAGGTGACGTGTATAACTGAGAAATTCGAAATGCCATAATGTTTCTCGTTTGAATGGTACCAAACATAATATTTTTCGATTAAAATCTGGGTGTATAGTGCCAAACTAAAATTGTCAAGATCTAATGGTTTTTTAATTTTCTGTTTTGTGCACATTTTGGATATATTTTTTTTGCGTGTTTCAGATCTCAGATCTATAAATTTGCAACCAGTCTCAGATCTAAATCGCGCTTTTGAACTTATATTTTTTGACATAATGTGAAATTTGCTTAAGGGCTTTTACATTACAATTACAATTGAATTCAGGGACAGAAAATATATACAATAGGTCACAGTCCTTTGTTTTATGCTTCTTTTTGTCTTAATATTACGTTGGACCAGTTCTAAAGTCTATAGAGCTTTCGTTGATTCATGTTTAATCAATTTGAAAATAGCACGAGCAATGGCTGCAGTTTTGGCCTTGTTTTGAACTGAAGTAGAATTCTTTTGGGTCATGTTCTTGCTAACTCGGACAACAGCTAATTTCAGATTTTAAGATTTAAAATCAATTTTGACTTATACGCAGTCTTACAGTAGATAGCTTCAAAATTTAAATTGTAAATAACTTAGTCGATAATCAAGCTATTTCGTCAAACTACTTTTATTAAGTCTTTATTTAATATTAAATACTTTGACGTCGTTGTCTTCCGAAAATACATTACCTTGGTCAAGTAGTAGGTTTTTAAACAAATCGTAAAAAAAGTCAAATTGCAAGGCAATCCATCCATACTTGGACCTCGTTTAGCAATTTCTAAGGCAACCGATTCAATTCATTTAAGCGGAAAGACTATTTTGATGTAGTTTTCAAGACAGTATAATCTATGTGAAATTTTTTCAAAAATTTCAAATCACCCTTGAAAAATTTTACTTCTTCAATTTTAGCTGTGGCAAACTAGAATTAAGTTCAGCACTTTAGTATGAGACATAATGTATATAAACAGTTATTAACCGAAAATTTTGGCCGTAAATTACGTGAAAAATGGCCAAAATGACAACTCAAAAAAAAAAATGTTTGAAATGCAAAACCTGAGGTATGTAAAATATATAATTTGGAGCTCTAATCTCATACATTTAGTCCTTATCTCAACAGACTACTTTGATCTAAATGTATGAGATAATCTGTTTAATATGAGTCGCCCTAAATATAGCGCGAAAAATCGGTTTTATCACTCCAATGTATCGCATGAAAAAAAAATACATACTTTCAAAATTGGTAGCGATTTTTCAAGATAATGTTGAGGTCAAAAAATTTTGTGATTCAAAATTTCGAATAATTACCCTTAGCTTTAAATGAATGGAAAGTCAAATGCTACTTTTCAAATTGATAATATAGAGTTAGAAAATGAGGTAAATCAATTAAAACAACAATTTCAGAATCTGCCATCAACCAATGACGTATATAAACTAATAAAATCCATAGATTCAAAAATTTCAAAAATTGATTCAGAACTTGAGACAATCACAGATATAAATCAAAACTCATTATTATCAGATATAACTAACATTGAACTCTTCCGAAGCAATAAATTATTACAACCAATCACTAACTCAAATGAATTAATCAGAATATTTCATCATGCTAATGACTTAGGTCATAATCTTACGTTCAAAATCAAATCATTAGATTATGAAATCAATAACGTTAATGAAACACTCAAATTTGTGGAAAACATCCAATTACTTAAAAATAATATAAGTCAGGCTCATTATGCTATTGAAAGTAAAAACTGGAATCTAGCTGCAAATTGTATAAAGAAGATAAAATCATTACCGAAAGAGTTAGTAGTTGGTAAATTTGCATCAATAGTTATTCCATCAACAGACATACCAGAACTACCACAGGTGACTCTAGAGTCATGGATTAGTAAATTGACAGATGTATTCAAATCAGAATTTTTTAAAGCTGCAGAAGAACGAAATGTTGAAAATTTGACAAATTTCTTTCAGCTATTCCCATTGATATCTAAAGAAGAAATTGGACTTAATTGTTATTCTAAATTTATATGTAAGATCATAAATGAGACAAGTAAGAATTTAATCAATTCATTAAATAATAAAGAAGTTCAGATTGGAATTTTTTCAACTATTACAATGCAATTATTTGAAAATATATCAATGATGATATCTCAACATGGTCCATTAATTAAAAAATATTATAGTGAAACATATCCTACTGCATTAAATTACGTGATTAATAAAATCCAAAAAGAAATTGATTTACAAATAGGTGTTATTTCAGATACGTTTTATGACGTAAGGAGAATTGATAAATGTTTTCAAGATATAAATCTATATAACTTTCCAATATTAAGTAAACGATTGAATGAGGAGATTGAAGTCGAAGAATATGAGGATGATTTTTTACAAATCCGAGAAATTGGTGATATCTTATCTGAACTATCTGCTATTTTGCAAAATTGGTCATTATATTGTAAATTCATAACTATGAGATATTTCCAGGATGATAAGACAAAATTACTATTACCTGAATTAATTGCAAAATCAAATTTTACAAAGAAAATAAATGAAAAATTGTTACCTTCATTTGAAACATTATATAAATTTTACTTCCGTCGATCTTTAGAAAAATCAATCTCAATTGAAGAACTACCAAACTTGGAATTGAATTTAAAAGTAGTTTCAAAATCGCAATCGCCAGATCAAATTCCAGTATCTTCTGTCATTGATGATGTTACACTCATATTGAATAATACACTCAAAAGTACAATTCAATCAGGTATACCATTAACTGTCAAGACTTTCCTCGGTGAAAGTTTCAAAATTATTCAACAGGATTTAATCAATGGTTTTTTTATCAAAAATTTAAATGATAATCAGCCAAGATATAATCAACAACTATCATTGGTAAGTGAACAATCTCAGGTTAACCCAACTACCACATTATCACCTGGCAATTCAAGAAGTGGTACACCAGATCCCAATGGATTTTTCAAAGGTGCTTCAAGTGCTTTAGGTAGTGTAGTTTCTGGATCAAATATAGTTACAGGTTTACAAACATCTCCAAACAATCCAAAATTAATGAATTTTATTATATATTTAAATACTATTGCCATGGGACAAGAATATTTCGAAAAGATTATAACTAATTTGAAAAAGGACAATTATTTAAGGAATAGTTTTCCATTTGGTAAAGATAAGGATATAATTGAGAACATATTATCTTCTGATTTTTATGATCCATTTATTTCAATAACTAACAAAATCATAATTGAAAGTTTGATAAATCTATACAATCAATCAATTAAACAGAAATTAATTTCAGTTGTTAATGACTTCCTCAGTGAATCAAATGAATCAAACTATATAATATATCAGAATAATTCAATCAATGACCCAACTTTACTCATTAAATTCACACTGAATTGGCAAAGTTTAATTAAACCATATTTTCAAACATTACATAAATCATTATATACTAAGTTGTTAAGATTGATAATTGTGAATCTTTCAAATTTACTTGATAAGAAGTTGCTTGTTGTCCTTAAGAAATTTAAAATTAATGAATTTGGGTCAATTAAATTAGAGAAGGATTTAAGTTATGTTATCAATGAAGTGTGTTCTGACAATTATCATTTACGTGAAAAATTCATTAGAATTACTCAAATTGTATTGTTGGTAGGTATGGATGATGAAGAATATGAAGAAAGTAAACAAATGAAGACAAAATCAGGGGAAGAAGAAGATGATGATGAGGATGAAAGTTACGGTATTAACTGGATATTAACACCACAAGAAAGAAATCAAATACGGAGATATAGAATACAATAAGTAAAAATGCAACAAACATATAATTAATCTATACAATCCTATTTACGCTCGTATTGCTTCATTTTCATCATTTGGTTTATTGCCATTTATCAGTTTTGGATCTGGTTTTATTCTTAAATATAAATTATGGAAATCAAATTTAGGATGAGCATATTCACATTCATTACCCTTTGGACAAAACCCATATAAATATAAAGGACACACTACTTTCCTAATATGTCTATTTTTACAATTTGGACCTTCACTACAGAATCCTTGACTATAATTTATACATTCTGGTATTTTTGATTGCGGATCAACATGTAAATACAAACATTCAGGAGTTTGAGTACAAAATCCATTTTTTGAATAAAACAAGCATTCTGGCATTTTCCTTAAATTATATTCGTGTAAAAATTCACAGTGATCTCCTTTTTTGCATAATCCTCTCAACCAATGTTTGCATACTATTTTATTTGAATACATTGCTGATACATGCTTATTTGGACAATTTGAACCATTTGGACATGAAGTATTGGGATTATAAGAATTATAAAATTGACAAATTGGCCTATCTGGATTTGAACCGAAGTTGTATTCATTTCTTAAATATCTTTCAAATTTAAATTGTTTATTTGCAGTATTTGGATGTATTATTGAATTAGTTGATATCATAATTAATCATTGGTGATTATTAAGAAATGTTTCAGAATTTATATTTTTTTGTGTTGATGATAAAAATGAAAAATAAATATACTATGGATTATGTAATCACATAGATAAACATCACCCAATATAAAATAATATAAAAAGAACTGAATCTGCTATGATTTAGAAAAATAAGGGTATGAAAAGAAACCTATTATTGTTAGGTTTATTAGTTATTATATCACGTTATTTTACAAACTTTTTTTCGTTATTTAAATCAAATATTCTTTTTAGAATGTCAAATACTAGACAATATACTACGGTTATTGTTGGTTCTGGCTTAGCTGGTTTAACTACAACTTTAAATTTATTAGAAAAAGATCAAAATAATAGAAATAGAGTAATATTAATTGAAAAATGTAATAAATTGGGCGGTAATTCAGTCAAAGCTTCATCTGGTATAAATGGCGTCCCCACAATTTATCAGACTAAACCCGATTCAATTGATGATTTCTATGCAGATTCTATAAAATCAGGTAAGGGGTTAAATAATGATGAATTGGTACATATTTTAACTAGAGAATCAAGTGATGCTATAAATTGGTTAACACAAGATATGAAAATTGATTTATCGGAAGTTACTCAATTAGGTGGACATTCAAATCCAAGAACTCACAAGGGTGAAAAATTGCCTCCTGGATTTGCTATAATATCTGCATTGACTAAGAGATTGCAAGAATTAGAAGAGAAGAAACCCGAGGCTATTAATATACTCAAAGAAACAGAATTGACAAAGATAGTTTATAAAGATGGAATAGTTAAGGGTGTGGAGTATAAACAAAATGAGTCAGCTGATAGTATAAATTGTGATAATTTGGTACTCGCAACAGGTGGATTTTCAGCCGATTCGAGAACACAAAATTCATTATTAGTTAAATATAGACCCGATCTAATTAAATTTCCAACTTCAAATGGTATTCAAACTACAGGTGATGGTCAAAAATTGGCAGTTAGAGATTGTAATGCTAAATTAATAGACATGGATAAGATTCAAATACATCCGACCGGTTTTATCAAAATTGATTCACCAAATGATTGTTGGAAATTTCTTTGTGGAGAATTAATAAGAGGTATTGGTGGTATATTATTAGACTCAAATGGTGAAAGGTTTACAAATGAGTTAGGTACCAGAGATCATGTAACTAATGATGTTTTAGAACATTGTAAATTGGGAAATAATGAATTGGGTTTACCTGAAGATTCAGTAGCTAGTGTTATTGTAGTAAGTCATGAGGATTATTTAAAAGCAAAGAATCATATAAACTTTTATGCATCTCAGAAACTATTAACCAAAGGTTCCTATATTGATCTATACAATTTACTCAAAAAATTGAATTCAAGATTATCAATATCAGTTGAAGAGCTTGAACAAAGCATTAAATCAGTCAACAGATTCATAAAAAAAGAAGAAACAGATGCAATTGGTAGAATTGAATTCGGAAATTCATTTAATAATGAATTTTATTTTGGTTTAACTACGCCTGTTTTACATTTCACCATGGGTGGTATTCAAACAACAACAAATAACCAAGTTGTAACTTGTGATAATCAAGTTATACCCAATTTATACGCAGTTGGAGAAGTAAGTGGAGGAGTCCATGGAGCAAATAGACTCGGAGGTTCATCATTATTAGAATGTGTAGTATTTGGTAAAAGAGTAAGCTTGAACATATTAGATAAATAGATGTAATTAATTTACAAAATATATAATTTTTTTTATATGTATTAATTTTTTAATATAAATTATCAATCATTTATATATATATAGTAATTATGATTGATAAAATTTATAATATGATGATAGATTGTATTGATGATGTTTCGTAAAATTACATTGATATTTGTGATTTGTTTTATTCCCATTTATTAAAACGTAAAAAAGATATTTCCCTGAAATTGTTGTAGTTTGTTATATTTAGATGTTTGATGGATATAACATAATTCTAACTGAAGCACCAAAAGTTTTTGGTGGTAAGTTTTTTTTGAAATTAGCTCTAACTAAACCATTGTTACCATGAGTTCTTGTAACTTTACCCCAGATAACTCTGATTTTTGAGCCTCTGATTTCTTTTGGAGCTCTGTAAACATACGCAATTCTTTTACCTAAATAAAATTTAGCATCTGATGGGTTAGCAACACCGTCAATTTGAATTAATGAAACTTTTGGGTTGGTAACATTTTTTGAACGTTGGTATGAAATGTGTTTACCTTTAACGTATACTAGAATGATATGTTAGTAACTTTGAATTTAAATAATCTGGTATTAAACAACAACTGCTAAATTTTCAACCTTGGGGTTTTCTTCTATTCATTTCTCCACTTGTATTCATCCATATTCCCTCGTTGTTGTTCATACTGGTCTAATCTCTATTTCTATTTAAACATACATCTGTGTGATTCAGCCATTGTATATATTGATATGATAATTTGTTAATAATAAATGGTTAATTATATTATTAAAAACAGATTTCTATGAATTTTTTTTTTCTTTCACACAATCAAAATTAACTATGAGAGAAACGTGACTCACTAACAAATTGTGCTGAAAATTGGTTAACTATGAGCGCGCTACCCAAAAATGGCAATTTTTCAGCACTATATACAGGCAATCATGTTGAGCCAGCCCTAGCCCTAGTCATATGATTATCACGAGATTTCTTATCTCTTATCTCCGAAGAGATATAGTTTATCCGATTAATCGTATAATCTATTTTATCGTATACATTAAGTTATAACTTAGGAATTGAAACTATAAATCTATATTCATCATAAATTAATTTAAATTGTAATCTCTTTTTCATTATCCCATTTTGCTTTATTAAATCTCCAATGATTTGCTTCTCCATGATCATATTTTGATTTCTTTAATGATCCAGAAGGTGCATTATGAATTGATAAATTTGATAAATTAGTTAAATTAATAAAATCATCATGAATTTGTTCTTCATTTGCTGGTTGATAATCTTTTTTATCAAACCATCTTGTTTCCCATTTGATTCCACTTTGTTTTTCTTCTTTTCTTAATTCTCTTTGTTGATTTTCAATTAATGATTTTTCTTGATGAATTAAATTATAATCTGATTTTTTAATAGCTTCAGCAACTTTAAACCAAGCTTTTCTACTTTCTAAATCATTTTGTTGTTCAATTGGTTTTACAATTAAATGATTTGCTTTAATAATATTTGCATCATAAAATAATTCACCATTTTTTGAAGTTGCTGTATGATGACCTTTTATTATATAACTTTTACCACTCCATTGACCTGATATTGTAACTAATGCATTTTCTTTATGTGTTGAAGCATAAGAATCTCTATAAATTCTTGCTTTAAAAGTATTTTTTTTTCCACTTACCCAACCTCTACCTGAATAATCAATAATTGTATAAAAACCATTTGAACCTTGTATATATGAAGTACCTTCTAATTCAACAAATGGCGAAGCAGTAATTAAACCTTCGATATGTAAAGGTGGTAATGTAATTAAATAAGTTTCATTTAAATTTTGATAATTTAATAATGCATGGCCATATTGTTTTATATTTATTGAAGTTGCAGAAAATGTAGCTGTAACACCATTATAACCTTGTAATGTAGTATTGTTTTCTGAATTCTTAATTGCATAAGCTGTAACTGGTGGATGATGAGAGACTTGTTCACTTAATAATACAGTTTCACCTATTTCTGAATTTTGATCTTCCCATTTACCAACAAAAACTTCACCTAAAAATGGATTCAAAGGTTTTTTTTCACTTCCCATACTTTCATTTCTTGAACAATATTGTGATTTTAAAGTTGATATAAACCATTTAGTAACAGCAATCATTCTCTTTAATGATATTGCTTCAACTTCTGATGATTGAGCATTTTCTGTTAATGATAATTTATTTGGAGCTATAAATAAATCTGGATGTTCTGCCCAATATTGAGAATATTCAACTAATGAAGTTGGAGATAATATAAATGGTGGAGCAGTTAATGAACTTAAATCACCATTAAACGAAGCAATTGATTTTAAAAAAGAAGTCCATGAATTTGAGTTTGAAGACGTATATTGTGAAGCAGTTGAAGCTGTAGAATTAATGGATGTAGTATCTGAATTATCAATAGTTGACATGACAATAAATAGTATATATATAAATGGTTATGGGATACCCGATAAAAGATTTCTCGATTAAATTAATTAATAATTTCGTTTAATTTTTTTTTTTGTGCTGAGTGAGATATAAATATAAAATTATAGTAAAGTGTCACAATATACTAGACAATCATATGTATGGGATAATGTGTGTAATACTAATTGAAATGAGCCTCTTATTAATCTATTTCCGTACTAATGTGGACTTGAAATTAGACAAGTGATGAGTTTGTCCCATTTAATACGAAATTGAGTAATCTATAATCTTGAACGGTTTTTGAATAATACCGAAATTTCCAATTTTGCTATAAAACCGATTTATTAGTTTGTACATATATTTCTAGATCTCTGTCTATAATTTTATGTACATTTTGTATTTGTTTAATAGTATGGCAACTGAAGTCCATGTTAAAGCATATCCAGTTAATATCATCAAGGAAATTTTATCTTCTGTTTTTAATGTGTTTATAGTCATATTAACCAATCCAGTTAATAAATTGGCAATTAAAAATATAATTAAACCATTATTATTTATACTGTCTAATATGTATGAAAACTGTTTTGATGGTATAAATTTTTCAATTAAATTATAACCTAATAACAATGTTGAATTATATGAAACGACCCACAAAACGTAGGGTAAATTACATATTCTTCTTGATATATTACCAAATATTGTTGAATTTTGAACAATGTAGAATAAAGCATGATATATTATAGTTGAATAAATTAAACCTTGTGTAGTTGAAACAGTTAACCAACTTGAATTTTTGGTAGTTGCTTTTGTTTTACCAATTGTGACTAGGTTGTTTCTAGTTTTGTAATTAGTTAATACAAATGATCCAAATGATTGACCAAATATGAAAATTGTAAAATAACCAATAAATGAAAATACACCTTCTTTATTCATAGTTATGAAGTTATTTAATCTATTATTTTCAGTTAAAATAAATTCTAAGACTTTGTACTTGCTCAAAACAACTTCATAAATGACTAAAATAGTTAATGCAATTATAGATTTAGATAAAACATTTAATATTGGGTCTAATACTCCCAATATAATTGGCAAACAACCTAAAGTAATGAAAAAATTCCAATGTATTCCATACTCAGTTACATGTTCTTGATAATCCAATTGCTTAACACTAACTAATCTAATTAAACCTAAAACTAATAAAGGTATTGATTTAATTGTATTTGTTTTGATCACATTCACATAATTTGATAATTTAAATTTATAGCTTGTATAATTCTTAATAAGTTGTCTTGAATTAACTAGCCCCATTGAAAACACAAATGAACCAACTCCTAAATCCATCATAGAAGTACCCCAAGTTTCAACTTTAGCGAATCTTCGTGGGAAAATTGGAAAATCAACGGCAAGAATAGCCAAATTTGTAATTATTAACATATGAGATCTATAAGCAGTTAAGAATTGTTTCTTTGGTAGAAATTCAGCAGTTATAGTAGCATTTTTAGTGATGTGTTTTTTACCTTTTCTTGATAAATAAAAATTCAATATGTAAATTATAAAAGATGGAATAAATATAATATAATGCAATAGTTCTGGTTTTTGATTGTATAATGTAATTGACAATAGTATAGTAACAACATTTATTATGAAATCATAAATCAAAGACAACTCAATGGAGTTATTTAATAAATTTAACGCAAGGTATGATGTTAATGCAATTGAAGTAACATTATAAATTTCAATTATGGAGCCACCTAATAAATCAGAAACAAATTGTTCTTTCAAATGCTTTAATTGTGACATAATAATAGTATATACAAGTGACCAATAACCTAATTGGGTATTTATTCAAATTGGTTGTCAAAGCGATAACAATACATGATCTGAAAAAATTTGAAGCGATTGACGTGTAATTTTGTCCGCTTGAACCCACACGAGAGTGGACCCAAGTGTGGCTTCATTTAAAACGAGACTCTCACACGATCTTCTGCGACTAAATGGAACTGAAACACACCCACTAGATAGGAAAATAAAAATTTACGAAATGCAAGAAATTAAAAAAAAAAAAAAATTTAAATTTACAACCAAATTATAATTCAAAGATAAGATTGACATCTCAACCATCAATAAATTAACTTATTAACGAGACAAAGTATTGCACCCCAGATTACTCAACTAACAATCAGTATCATTATTTAAACTAGCTGCTTTACCATCTTATTTTCTCATTAACCTTTTCAACAATGAATGAGAAATTAAATTATAATGAGGAGAAACAACATCAACAAACGTCAAATATTATGAACAAGTCCCCAGATTCTTTAAGTTTAAACGATTCTAGTTCATTATCAATACCTAGCTCACCTGAATATCAAGATAATGGTCGAAAAATATCGGAATTTTCATCAAATTCAAGTATTTTAAATGATAACGAAATAGATGAAGAAAATTTAAATTTAATATCACCACCTAAATCACCAAGATTAACTAATTCATCAACTATGAAATTAATTAATTCAAATAAATATGATGATAATGTTATATTTTCAGATTCTGATGAATTAGCATCACAATCTTCACTAGATTTACAAAATACAAATAGTACCGCCCCCTCCAAAAATATTAAATTTCAAATACAAAATTTATCACACAATTTAAAGCAACAAAAACAAAATCAATCATCACCTAATCGAAATTTAAGTTCTGATGAAGATGACGATTTGGATTTAGATAATGGAGAAATTAATTTACTTAAAAAATCAATATCAAATTCATCAAGATCAAAAAGTAATTCCTGTAATTTGTCAACTCCCAAGAATAAAATCAAAAGATCTTCTGAATCTCCATCTGGAAGAAGATCAAGCTCACCAGATACTGATTCAATAACAAGAAGAAAAAAAAATAGACGAAAATCAAAAGAACCAAGTGAAAAATCTCATAAATCAAATGAAATTTTAGGCAGTGGATATACTTCAATGCCTGCAAGTGGTAAAGTCTTTAGAAACTTGTTAATACTTGAAGAAAGTTTAAGAGAACAAGTTATTCAGCAAAAAGCAATGAGAAGGAAATATTTAACATTTTTAACCATTTTATGTTCTATCATAGCTGCATTAACTCATTATTTATTTATATCAAATTCTCCAACTCAAGGTACTACAAGAGTAATATTACAATTTTTCTTATTAGCTACTATTATTACATTAATGTTGTATCATTTATCAGGTGAATATCAGAAAACAATTGTATTACCAAGGAAATTTTTATCATCGACAAATAAAGGATTACGACAATTGAATATCAGATTAGTAAAGATTAAATTACCCATAATTGATAAAGTTACAGATACGATTCGTGAAATATTATCAAGTATTATTGAAATTGCTCTAGATGGATTTCATAAAATATCACCAAATTCAATAAACAATAAAGATTCCAAAATTGAAATATTTTTAGTTAAATGTAAAGCACAATGTCAACCAAGAATAGGTGTAACTGATGTTAAATTAGTTTTAAATGCTCGTGTATTTAATACTGATATAAGAGAAAGTTGGGAAATGTATAGAAGTGAATTTTGGATAAATGAAGGAGTAAGAAGAAGAAATCATTTATTAAATTTTATAAATCAAGAAACTGCCCAAACTACATCTCTAGATAATAACAAAATAATCAAAAGAAGGAAAAGAAAATCATCAAGTATTCCATCAAAATTAAGTGAACAAAATTTACAAAAGTTATCTAATGAAACAGAATCTGCACAATTATCATTTCCATCATCTCCATTAAAAGTAGAAGTAGAATGAATAATGTAATTGCATAATTAATATATAATAATTTAATTAACTCTATTATTTTGTTTTTTTGAAATTTTTATAGGGACCTGAAAAATGCTGCGCGTCCTGATCCATGAAAAATACGAAAAAAAAATTTTCAAATGCATCTACAAATCAGGACTAGCTCATCAAGTAGAGAACTCGATTCTGAGTAATAATTTTATGGATTGTATATGCTCAATTTGACTAGGTCAATAGTTTTGATAAAATTTGATATTTAGAAAAAGTGCGCTACCGATTATCTGTTGCATAAAATGTGGCCCTAGAGCGCAGTATTTGAACACGATGTAAAATTAGAGATGCAATATTTTTATTCGTTCTTTGGCGAATGTCTCGCCCTCAATGTTGTTTTAGGAATAAAAAATTTTGAAACGAATGGATTTATATGCAGTCTTACAGTTGATCTTAAAATTTAATTTGTGAATAGCTCCACTATTGTTAAAGCTGTCACTCTCAAAACTAATTAATCAGCTATTTCAGCCTAGTTAGAGTTGATTGATGTTAAAATCACATATAAAAAGATCGATCTGACCATTTTATACTTCATTTAAAAAATGGCTAAATTGCAAGACAAACGGGACTTAGACATCAATTAGCAACGTCTAAAATCTCTGATCTGGCTCATTTCTCCAAAATACCAAACTTATAAGCCCATGCATTTAGAACGGGTCGCCTTAATTCCAGGGCGCAAAATTATTCTTTTGAGACCAGATTTTCGTTTGAAAAAATACTACTTTTTAGTACTTTTTAAAGTAAAAATTGCAACAAATTGACTTGTATGCAGTCAGTCAAATTGCACTTAAACTTGAAATTTAATCTGTAGATTACTCCTTCTATTTTCAAGGTGTTATTATAAAAATACATTCATTGAAAGTTTCTTCTGATTGGCAACAAACTAATGTTAATACTATTTAGTAAAACATAGAACTGATGAGTTTATTCCTCATTCAAAAATTGCTGAAAAACGGTAAACGCGAGATAAACAACACTTAGCCCTAGTTTAATAACTTTTAAGATATTTGATTTGGTTCCTTTGATTTCAAAAACTCTTTGTGAACTGTTTCGGAAACGCTGTATTTAGTTTGAATTTTTTTCCAAAATTTCGACCTAGTTTTGAAAAAGTACTTCTTCGATTTTAGGTTCCCTAACAAAAAAAATTTCGAAGTTTATCATGAACTAAAAATTCTGATAGTTTTAACATACTCTCGACATGATTTCGGTTGTGGAGTTAAATTTTTCGTAAGGTCAGTTTATTTGAATATGACTATATTTAGGAGAAAATTATGAATTTCTTCAATTTTGGCTCAAATCAAATAAAATTTGGTTCAACACCTTAGGTTGAGGTATAATATGTATAATGAGTTGTAAAATTGAAAGTTATGGACCTAGACGAAAACATTCATTGATTCTTATTTTTTGCAAACTTTTTTGTATGAACAAAAAATGCCGAAAACTCAACTTCAGAAAAAAATATTTGAAAGCGTAAAATTGGTACGTAGACTGTATAATTTTCTTCTTTTGATTTCATATATACGGTATTTATTCGTGAAAATGTGCTGTTCATGATATATAATTCAGTACGAGTTAGTGCGAGGTCGCCTCGATGCAGCGCAAAAAATTATTTTGTCGCATGAATTCATCAATTCATCAGGATTAAACTAATACTTTAGAATAAGAGACACAGATGTATACAAGTAACAATAAGTATGTAATATTAGGACTCTTGTCTCAGATTGTAGTTTTGCTATTTAATTCCAATTCTAAATTTTATAATTTGTGTCTTAGGTGGCTTTATATTTAAGTGGCTTATATTTTTTTTTTGTTTCAGATTTTGTGCGACTGCAAAAAATAAATTTATCTCACTTATCTCATCTCTTCTCACTATATAATGAGTACTGATTTAAATATTAAGAAACAAAGTTCAAGAAAGGGTAAAAAATCTTGGAGAACGAATATAGATATAAAAGACATAGAAGATAAATTACAGGAACAAAGAGATGAAGAAATCATAAAAGGAAAAGACAACGATGATGATTTTATAATTGATGAAAAACCATCTTCAAATATTAAGGTTCCTAAAAAGCTCAAAAGTCATGAAATTTTAACTAATAAGTCTAAAATACCTGCATTGCTTAATCCAAAACAATCAAAGAAAAGTAACAAAGTACAAGGAGTTTCCAAAACTGAATTATTAAAATTGATAAAATTGAAAGGTGGTAAATATGGTGAAGAAAATAAATTAATGAATAAAATTGAAAAAGATGGTTTGATAAGTGGTTCAAATATTGATTTATGGGATGAGCCAACAAAAGAGGAAAATGGAAAATGGATTAACTATCCTCAATCTACTGCTGAAGTTACCAAGGCCACCCGTGCTCCAAAAACTTTTAAAACTGCTCCTGTTAAAATTGTGTCTAATGATTTGACGGAAAAATTCATACATGCCGGTAAATCATATAATCCATCATTAGAATCATGGAAAGAATTAATTGATAAAGAATATAATATAGAATATAAACGAGAATTAGCAAGACAACAAATTGAAGATTTCCAAAAAAGAATACAGGAATTAGTTATAACTTTAAAAGATGGAATGTTGAGTGATAGTGAAGATGAAGATGAGGGAGAAGAAGAAAAAGAAGAAGAAGAGGAAATTACAGATTTTAAATTGTCTATAAATAAGCCAACTAAGGTTAAAATCAAAACTAAAACTAAAAGAAATAAAGAAGCTAAACATAAGAAAAGAATGGAGTTGGAAAAAGATATAAAGGACTTGAAGAAACAATTAAAAGATTTACATAACCTTGATGATATATTAAAAGCACTACAAGAAGAGGAAGATTCAAAACAACCAAAATCAAAAAAGAGAAAATTGAAGGATAACAAATTATTTAAATATGAGCTTATTGAAACTCCATTAGAGATCAAATTATCATCTGAATTAACTAATAATCTTAAAAATTTAAAACCTGAAGGGAATTTGTTTTATGATCAAATGTTAAATTTACAATCAACTGGTAAAGTAGAAAGTAGAATACCGGTAAGTAAGAAAAGAAAATATGGTAAAAAAGTTACCGAAAAATGGTCATATAAAGATTTCAAATAGATCAATTTATTCATTATAGATATACAATTAATTTAACTTATTGCCAATTCCAATCACCAAATACATAACCTCTAAATAATCTTTCTCTAAGTACGAAATATTGATCTCTATATGGAGTCCAGTATCTTTGTGGAATTTGTTGAATAGTTTTAAATTCTTCAGGAGCTATTGGATCACTTTGTTGACCTCTTTTAACACCAGTTAAATAAAAATCTCTTTGCATCATTTTTTCATCAAATTCATCTAAATTATATCTATCATTTTTCCAACCATTATCCCAATATCTTATAAATTGAACACCATGACCTGCAAGTCCAAAAAATGCAGTCATTATAGCATATGGTAATAACCCTTCAAATGGAACTGGCATTGTATATAATCAATATTGCACCGTATGGTTAAAATTATTTGTTTCACTAAATTTTTGATTGGTGAGAATAGATATAAAAAATGGATTATATGCACGACTAAATATGGCTGCAAAATAATTTAAACTAATGAAATAGAGTTCGTTATGACTATTAATTATTATATATTCTATTATTCATTTAATTCCCAAACTATTTTAACAAATTTTGATAAGTTGACAATTTGCTTTTGCAGTTGTAATAACCAAAAATCATTAATTATTAAATCATTAGGTATTGGTCTTTGTTTAAAATTTTTAATTAAACATTTATTTATAAATTGTTTGAATTCAATTGTCCAATAAATATGATCCACTTCATTATCTTTTAAATTTAAATCACTTCTACTTATTGAATCAATAACTTCAATTGGTCCTAATGAAATTTCTAACGGAAATTTACCATTTGCAACTTCTAATAATGAAATTCCTAATGACCAAATATCTGAAGTTATAGAATATGAACCACCAGTGATTCTTTCAGGAGCCATATAAAATTGTGTACCAACAAATGTATTTGCTATTGAATTTACTGCTTCCCCACTAACTCCAAAATCGCATAATTTGACATTCCCCTTGGAATCTAATAAAATATTGGAAGGTTTGATATCTCTATGTATTATATTTCTCGAATGTAAATAATTCAAACCTTGCAATATACTATTTGCAATTTTACCAAGGACTTTTTCATTAATTCTATTTGTTTTATCTCGTTTTAAAACTTCTTTATATATTGCATCTAATGAATTACCATCCATATATTCCATTGAGATACCTATTAGACTTTGTTTTTCAATTATGAAAGTACCATAGTATTGAACTATATTTGAATGTTGACATTTTCTAGCAACTTCTAATTCCCTAAATATTTGTTTTCTTACCTCTGGATTTGGATCAGTTGTAATCTTCTTTAATGCAAAGATTTGTTTATTTGGTAGTTGTTCAATAAAACATTTCGTAACTGATCCACCATTACCTTCTCCTAATACACACATTTCTTTAATTTTATTTGTATTTGCATAGAAATTCCAATCTTTAGGAGCTAGATCATTTATAGTAGTTGGTAATTTTAAAGTTGCATCAAATGAAAACTCATCATAGCTATTAGCACTTGTATTTGCCGTATCTCGATCTCGATCTGGATCTGGATCGCGATTTTCTTTGCAACTTGAATTATTGAAATTATTGAAATTATTGAAATTATCGTCGTATAAATTCTGTTCTGATTCGTAATTTGGTGGTGGTTTTCTTCTTAATTTTGAACTTGCTGATGCTGCAGAAGTAACTGTTAACGGAGTAGACGATGATAAAGAATTTGAAGATGATGTGGTTGAATGCGATTGATTTAATAATTTAGTTTGTAAAGTTAAATTTCGTAAAGGATCATAAATTAATTGTTCATAATTGTCATTATTGTTGTCATTATTTGTATTATTTATATCTAAATTACTAATGGGTGTGGGCGTCGTATTATTATGAATAGAAGGTATAGATAAATTTGGTAAAAGTTTATTATTATTCGTTCGTTTAGTATTTGGTATATTAAAAAGTGGTATCCCTGACATCCCCCAAAACTCCAACTTATAAATTGGTGTCTATTACTTATGAATTAACTTATGAATTATTATTGAATTGTTTTATTTGTTGTTGTTAATTTGAAATTTGATTTAGCCTTTAGATTTTTTTACTAAGAGAAAAATATTTATATGCAGGTATTGATTTTGTCCCTTTGGAATATAAGAGTTATACGATACAATCATAATTACTATTTATTAACACTGCATATCTTATTTCTTTGCCCTTTCTCTGGATGGTGCTTTAACTGATGATGATTTAGCTGGTGTTTTTCTTTTTGTAGCACCTCCTTTTTCTTTAACTTTAATTAATTTATCCTTCTTTGAATCTATTTTATCATCATTTTCATTTTCTTCATCTGGTACATCTTCCATATCATCATCGACAACATCTTCATAATCTACTTTTTCTTTTGCTTGTTTTCTACCCCCATTAGTTAATGAATTACCTGTTTTATATATAACTGTGGGATGTATCTTTGAATTATATTTCCTTGTAAATGCAGCTTTCGTTCTCGAATCTAATTTTAATTCTGCTCTTAATAATTCACCAATAGAATCAAAATCTTCTTTTGTTAAATAATATTCATCCATTGTATCAATTGTAGCATCAATACCTAAATCACCTTGATATTTAATTGGATATGACATCTTATTCCATAATGGATTCAAATAATCTAATCTTAATTCTTGTTTTGTGGTTGAAGTTTTAATTCTAGTATGATATTGTAATTCTTGTAAAATTCTTTGATATTTTAATTGTTTTGAATTTTGTCCTAACCATGCACTAAAGTTCAATCTACCTGTTATTTGTCCAGCGACTTCGAAACTTGGTTTAACAGTTGACATTATACCATGAAATGGTAATAAACTCCATTGTTGTTCACTCGATCTAATTAATGAATTTATAGAATCTGATATACTTATATCATCACTAGCTTCTGCAACTAATTCTAAATGACTTTTATGATTTTGATCTGATCTTGGTTTTGTATTTAAATAATTTTCTTGAATCATTAATGGTGCAAAATCAATATCATTAAAATATAAATTCAATTTATCATCAAGACTATGATTTTTTGATAACCAAATGGTAGATGATAATATTCTTTGTGTAATATCAAATGGTTTTAATATAACTTGTTTCTTCCATGATTTTGAAACAGCTTCCATATTATCTGAATTTATATTCTTTTGAGTTTTTGAAACTGTACATAATAAATTAATCATTTGTCTTATATCATTTGATGTAGCTTGAACTAATTGACCAATATATGTTGGATCTAATTTAATACCTTCTCTGAATGCAATTGTCATTAATCTACTTTTAACTTCATTTTCTTGAGGTCTTCTAAATGGTAAATCATATGTAACTCTATCAAATGTTCTCATTTTAGGTAAACTTTTATCATTACAAATTAAAATCATTGGCATTTCAGTAATTTTACAAAATGCTGATAATGCACCAGCACCACCATGATCACCACTTGACATTCCATCAACTTCATCCATAATTAAACAAAATTTTTTATTATTTTGATTTGCATTTGGATCATCTCTATTTTTGAAATAACCAACAACTGATGTATTATTAAGTAATGATTTAACTTGAGAATTTAATAATGATTTTGATCTAACATCTGAAGCATTTTTCTCTAATATATCATAACCTAATGATTTTGCAACTAGATGTGCAGCTGAAGTTTTACCAATACCTGGTGGACCACTAATTAATATAGCTCTATAATTCCCTGGATCATCTTTTTCTGAAACTTTAAAATTTTTATGTTTAAAATCAAACCAATTTTCTAACCAAGTTTGTAATTTTTTAACTTGACCTTTATTACCACACAACTGAGATAATTCAGATGGTGCATACTTGACAGTCCATAATTGATCTTTTGGATCAAGTTCTTGTACTTGCGGTACAAAATTTTGACTTGGTTCTGATCTATTTTTATCCTTTTCCATTTGTATTTTGAGAGTTTCTTTTCTTCTTCTTTCTAATTCAGCTTCTTTCTTCATCGCTTCTTCAGCTTCTTCAATTGATTTTCGTTCTTCCAATTCCCTTTTTTTTTTAGCATTTTTTGCTGCATCTCCTGAACCACCATCAGCTGGCATGCTACTTAATAATTGAATAAAACCATCTTCATCAATACATTTAATATTTTTTTCCTTAATTTTTTTAACTTTTGATGGACCAGCTTCAGCACCAAGAACAACTAAACTAGTTTTACCAGATATAGATTTAGTAACTTTTGCACCATATTTTTGAGCAGTCTGTTCAGCAAAATCTCTTGCGATATGAGGCATTTGACCTGTGAAAACAATTGTTAAACCAGTTAAACAATTTGGTTGAGCAGGCGGTAATGTGATGTCAGTAACTACAGTTTCATTTTTATTGGCCATAGCAGCTCGGAAATCGAATGCACCAGTTTCTTCTGTTTCAGGTAATGTAACATCGGGTATCTCTTTCAATATATCTGTTGCTGATTTTACTTTAGATTTTGAACTTGATGTAGTTGTAGTCGTTGTCTTTTTATGAGTGGCAGGTTTTTTAGGCGTAGCTTTTGGTTTAGCTTTTGGTATTGAATCCATTATAACATCATCATCGTCATTGTACTCTTCATCATCTAAATCAATTATTTCTTGTTTTGGAATTGGTCTTGCCTTTTTGGAAGGTGGTGCAGTATCATCATTAGCCTTACGTTTCTAATTCAATTGTTAGTACTTTTTCACTACAATGCCTAATTAAGATTACATACCTGAGTGCCCCCTTTCTTCTCTTGTTTAAAGAATTCTGTTATATTTACCATTAATTGATAATAATATTAAGAATAATTTAACGTGTAATACGATTTAAATTTGGTTAAATTTATTTTGAGTCGTCGCGCACCACGGATTCTTGATTATATAGAGAATAAACTACTACAAACCGACAAATCATTCGAAAAGATATTAATACAGGTATATATATTAGTAAAGTTCTATTAGTATGCTGTGGATATCGTTGTTATATAGTTCTGTACCACTTTTCATTATGATTATGCAAAAATTGGTGATTTTATCATTTACCACTCGATTCTTTTTCTAAAAATTCCGTCCATAACGAAACAAAACTTTGTCTAACAGGTATTTCATTACCATCTTTATCTAATTTAGTAGCCTGTTGATTTTGCTGATTTTTATTATTACTTGTTTGTATTAGTCCAGCTTGAATCTTTTGTTGTTGATCCCAATTTAATAAAGCACTAATTAACTGTAAAGCTTCAAATTTCTTTGTATCACCTCTTGGAAATTGTAAGAAACTAATCAAAATATTGGAGATTAATTCTGTATCTATTGTTTTCTTGTTTGATCCATCACCACCTTGTTTCAACATTGTTAAAGCTTTTGTTAAATGTTCATTTAATATTATAGCTTCATGACGCAACTTTCCAATTGCTAATTGTTTATTATTAATTTCAGATTTTAAGTTGTCAATTTGTTTTGTTTCTTCTTGAAGATCTTTTAATGCTGTTTCTTTTTGAGATATCTCTTCTTTCAATGTTTCAATTTGTGAATTATCTTGTGTTATATCAGTCTTTAAGCTTTCAATCTCTTCTTTTAGCTTAGTTATCTCATTAGCAGTACTTGTTTGGTCTTGAGATATTTTAGATGTTAATTCTTCATTCAACGTATGTAATTTTTCATTTTCTTGATGTTTTGCTTTTATTTTGTCATTTAATTCATCAATTATACTTAAGTAATTCTTCGAATCCATTTTTAGTTCATTTGAATTTACTTGGATTTCATTCAATTCTTGTTTTAGCTCATTAACTTTCTTATTCAATTTTGAATTTTGGTTTTCTAAATTGTATTTTTCATCTTGCAATGTTTCAATTGTTGAATTATACTCTCGTCTTGATTTAGTTAACGAATCACTCAATTTTTCACATTCATTATTAAGATTAACATTCTCTTCTTTTAACTTTGTAAGCTCTTCTGAATTTGTAGCCTTTCGCTTCAATTCTTCATTTTCTTGGGTCAATTTCTCAACCAATTCATTCTTTATCTCCAATTCTTCTTCTGATTGTTTCATTTTGGTAAATACAGTCTTCATGGATGTCAATTTACTAACCAAGTTATCATAAGATTGTTGAATTGAATCACGATCTAATTCTGCTTGTTTCAATTTTTCAAGTAATTCAGATTGATTTAAGCCATTCTCAGTGTTATTATTATTATTTGTGGTTCCCAATTTAGATTCTTCCCGCATATCCTGTTCATTTTCTTCGATATTTAGTGAGTTTATTTCTTCTGTTGGTATTGAATCATTAGTTGTAGTTGGTAGTTCGTTGATCGACGGGTTTGATGAATTGTCATTATTAGATGGACTTGATTTATTATTATTTTGCTTCTTCTTATTCTTACCCATATTCTATAATTTCAAATTAAATATTATTACAGTTAATACAACTGAAATTTGTTATACTTGAATCAAATTTAAAGTTGGCCTGACGAAAATGCTGCTTTTGGTATTATCAATTTTTTTTTCTGAATAAACAACACGCACTAAAAAATTTTGGTGCTAACCAATTTCAGTAATACAGGCAGTATGTTTTGCAGCCAAAGATAATGGCAGTATTTGAGATGAAGTGTTCTTTTTTAAACAAAGGTGGTATATTTTGATGAGTTTAGAATAAAACTATCACGTGTAGTCTCGATGCTTGCTGTATTACTGGTACTTTAGCTTTGGTATGTGGTAGTTTAAATTTAAAATCAATTTGACTTGCCCTAATACATACTATGATTCATTTATGCTCTTTCTTTAGTTTGTTTAGCACCTATCATTTTAATGCGTCAGTAGGTATTATGTATGACATTGATAACTTCAATAGAGCCGTATGTAGTAACCTAAATAATAGATTGTTAGCATGAAATAATGCATACAATAGATGGAAAGTGTTCAAAGCCAATATGCATAGATTATATACGGCAATGCATGAAAGACCAAACTGTTTTCATCTTATTGATGAATATAAAGATCATCAACAAAGCATCATTATGCAATGGAACTCACGATTGGAATTTTCATGCACAGGGTGTTAAATATGACCTATTATATTTGATTATTCAAATTTACGAGATTCATGGAACAATTTCCCAATTGGTCGAAATTATAGCTCATATTAGCAAAACTTGCCGCATACTTTCAAACTTACACGAAATTAGTACAAAAACATGTACAAAAATCAAAGTTTAGAACCCGCTTCAACCTTATCCATGGTTAGATACATGAGTTAACATGCTCCTACTAAAAAACTTTATTTTGAAAATTTAACGTCCAAATTGATCTAAAATTAAACCTATTTTAGAAATAATCAACTTTGTCAGGGGTGCTCATCAAAACCAAAAAAGAGAAAACTAAGACGCTGGAGCTTCAATCAACTGATGAATTGAGATTATTGGTTCAATTTATGTCAATTATTATCATGTCTTACTCTGTTTGCTATCAGATTCATAGTTTATTAATCAATTCATAATCTTCATTTGGTTGCAAATCTAGAATCTTTTTTCCTTTTTGCACCTATTTTTATAAATGAATTTTTTCATTAACTTAATCTTGCTTTTAAGAGAATAACGTCTAATTACAAAAACTATAATTAGAATTGTTTACGTTTATTCTAATTGTTATCTTCTTCTTTATTCATTTGCATAATAATAATTTAATTAACAATCCTAATTAGGTTAAATTAACTTATAATCTTTTTTTTCTTCTTTGATTCCCGCATCAATAAATTAGATTCAATTATCAATTTATATCAACAAGGTGCTTGTTTCATATTTATTATTAATAGATATCACATCATGTCATCAATGAGTGTGAATTCACTTATTGAAAATGATGAAAATGATGGAAGTAATACAAGAAGAGAAGAAATAAATCTATCGCAAGAAAGTAATATAGCGAGTGGCAGTAAATCAATATCTAAAGAACGACCTTCATTATCTTCAGATTTAAAACAAACTACAGGAGAATTACGACCTGCTTTTCAAGAACGAACCGCATCTTCTATTCCATCATTATCAAGATTAAATGAATCCATTTCCCAATCTCAATCTCAACTGCAGTCCAATTTTTCCACTTCTGCTTATCCATCGCCAATACAGCATCAACAGAATATCAATGAGAATCAGGGTTTATTAGACTTATTAGGTCCTAATGTATCATCTTTTCCATATAGTGAGCAAACTTATTTAGAAGCATTAAAATTACGATCTGAATTGGAAAGGTCAAAACAAGAATATTATAAAGCTGAAACTGCTAATAGAAATTTATTAATATTACAAACTGCATTAAAAGCACAATTACCAACTAATTTAATACCTTTAATGTGCATTGGTCAATCAAGTGAATTAACTGTAGAACAGTTAAGAACCATTCAACGTACACAGTTTGAACATCAACAAATATTGCAGCAACAACCACACATTAATCAACAGCAACAGCAACAGCAACAGCAACAGCAACAGCAACAACAATATGTACTGCAAGAGCAGCAATTACAACTCATACAAGCCAATCAAAAGAAGCTTCAACAAGAATTGCAAGAAAAAGGTGCTTTTTTGCAGCCACAAAATATAGCATATCATCAACAAATTAGAGGTCCAAGAACAGAAGTTTTACAATATGATGCATCAAATGCAAGTAATGTACCACCACTAGGTTTTAAATTTGGAGCAGGAACAAGTGCAACTCAAAAACGACCATTATCACCAGCTAAAATCGGCGCACAAGCAATTGCAAATTTATCTACTCCAACAACACCATATCGTGGATATCCATCAACTTCTGCATCAGCATCTTCATCAACATTACGTAGAAATCCACCAAAAAGTCATCATCAACGTCATTATTCAATGCCATCAGAATCATCAAAATTTAATCCAAATGCACCAACAAATTCTTCTGTAAATAGTTTATCCTCAAATAGACAAGGATCTCAATCAAGTATTGAATCTGATGATAAAATGTTACAGTCTCCATTAGGTTTACAATCAACGTTACAGGTTAAACCAATACCTGCACAACCATTACATAAACAAAGTAAATCACAAACACAGCCATCACAGGAATCAATGACTTCATTTCAACATGTAATTCAATTTCATCATTGGAAACCTGTTAGTGGTCAACATGGTACAAATACTCCCAGTGAAAAACAAACAAAACCATCAACTAGATCACATAAACGTCATAAATCAGTAACAAGAGAAGAATCAGAACAACCATTACAACAAATTCAACAAATAAAAGGTGAAGCTGAGGATGATGATGATGCAAATCTGTCAATGGATACAAGTTTCACTGAAAAGGCAACTGAAGATGCTAATCCACCAACAGGGCATTCTAGACAAAAACTGAAAGTTGGAAGGTATCCACATAATATAATATCAAAGGAAAACAAACATTAAATACTAAATCTGGGTAAAAATTTTAAAGGGAAGGGTTTTGAATAGAGAAAGGAAGGTTTTGGTTAGACATAAATTTTTAGTTCATTTTTATAGTCATTTTTATATATATTGCATTACAGTCATTAATCGTTATCGTCATCAGTTATTATTATTGTTGTTCTTGATATTCCTTAAAAGATTGGTCAGCCATCATTTCAATCTCCTGTAAATTCAAAGCCACCATCTCGTCAACTTCGTCGACTTCTTCGTTCTCACCTTCATCAACCTCCATTTTCTCAGTATTTACTTTTTCAAATATTATATCTATCTTCTCTAGTGTATCTAATTGCTTTTTGAAATCATGAGCTAAATTTCTAATCGTCAACTCAGTAATATTATCACTAATTAAATATGAGCATAAATCCTGTAACCAGATTTTATCATAAACGTAATATATATCATGGAATCTGAATAATTCTTTTAAATCCAACAAACTTTTTAATATTAATCTTTTACCACCTCTTAAGTTATAATAAACATCTTGCCAAACTTTCAATATCAAATTCCAACTTTTATGTAAGGGATATGATAATGCCCGTCTTGTACATATTATTATGGCAGATTTTAATACATTTACATCATTTTGTATTATTAATTTTGAGTCTAAGAATGATATTTGTGGTGTAATTTTCCCTATTGTCCATGCACTTTCTATGTTATGTTCCCCTTCATTCTCCCTAAGATCAAAATGATATGAAAATAATAAGCAAATAATTAAAATTAAGATCTCTGGCTTGTATGCTGCTTCTATCAAGTATGACTTCTTAGGTAAATTCATCATCTGTTCTTGTTCTTTAGTTGAAAATTCAACTGGCATGATTGTATCTCTTTCTGATTCAGCTAATGCTTGCTGCGATTTATACCATTTTAGAAACTTTGAAGTGATTAGATTCTTCCAATTTATTAAGTTTTGAAACAATTTATCATCATCATTAGTTGGATATTTTTCAATTATATAATCAGCAGCATAAATCTCGGGATCAAATTTAATATTCTCTCTGATTAATCTCTCTATTATTCTATCAGTTTCTGGGGTATTTTCAGGGTCTCCTAGTTCATTTATATCGTTACCATTAGCCACAGAAACACCAATGATTGAATCATACTGATTATTAAAACCATATTTATTAGAATTTGATATATTGTCATCTTGTTTGGCTTCTTCTTGTTTAATTTCCCAATCAAATTGTTCACCTTCTTCAAAATCTTTCACCGCTTGTTGTCCTTTACTATTATACACATCTAATTCCTCAATTAAAGGTTTTTCATCCTTAAGTGGCTTTTTTTCATTTTCATTTGATCTAGCCAATAATTTTGCAGTTAAATCTAAATCAGGGAAAAATTGACCTTTGTTTTCTTTTGGTAATTTAACTTTAACACATTCTGTAACTGAATCATATCTTGAACTTGACCTTTCATCATCATCAATACAATTAAATGGAAATCTTAATCTTAAATAATATGGAGGTAATGAAAAAATAAACAAATCATTATCAATAATCATTTCTATATTAGGAGCATTAAATCTTATATGATTTATCTTTATATCTACGTATATAAACTCATCATCTTGATCAATTGTGAAAAATGGAGTAATCATAATAATAGAGACTGATGCTTACTTTTTGGATCGCGATGATTTGAAAAAAAAAAAAATTGATAATAAAAGTTGCAGCAATTCTTGATCTATGAGTCCAGTTGAAACAAAACCAAAATATCCAAAGCGTAGATTTGTAGGAAAGAAATCAAATAATGAAGATAATATAACTGATAAAAAGGATTCACTAGTCAAAAGAAATAATGGTTCAAAATTTATAAGTAGAGTTATTAATCAAATACCTGATGATATTTTAAATGATAAAGATTTAGATGAAGCTATTAAATTATTACCAAGTAATTACAATTTTGAAATACATAAAACAATATGGAACATAAGGAAAAATAATGCTAAAAGAGTTGCTTTACAAATGCCAGAAGGTTTATTAATTTATTCATTAATTATAAGTGATATAATTGAACAATTTTGCCAAGTGGAAACTTTAGTAATGGGTGATGTATCATATGGTGCTTGTTGTATTGATGATTTTACTGCAAGGTCATTAGATTGTGATTTTATTGTACATTATGCTCATTCATGTTTGGTACCTATAGATGTAACAAAGATTAAAATTTTATATGTATTTGTTACTATAAATATTGATGAAACACATTTAATCAAAAGTATTAAGTTGAATTTTGATCAAGGTTCCCAATTGGCTGTATTTGGTACTATACAATTTAATCCAACTATACATTCAATTAAATATAAACTTGAAAATGATGAAGAAAAACCAATATATTTGACTGCACCACAAACTAGACCATTATCTAAAGGTGAAGTGCTAGGTTGTACTAGTGCAAGATTGGATCCAAATCATATAAGAGCAATGATATATATTGGTGATGGTAGATTCCACCTTGAAAGTTCGATGATTCATAATCCAAGCGTACCCGCATATAGATATGATCCATATTCTAGAATTTTTACAAGAGAGTATTATGATCAACAAGAAATGACAAAAGTGAGAAAAGATGCAATAGATCAAAGTAGGAAAGCTAGAAAGATTGGTTTAATACTTGGTGCTTTAGGTAGACAAGGTAATCCAATAACGTTAAAAAAATTGGAAGATTCATTTCTGGAAAAAGGAGTTGAAGTTGTTAAAATTATACTAAGTGAGATATTTCCACAAAAATTATCAATGTTTGATGATATTGATGTATTTATACAAGTTGCATGTCCTAGATTATCAATAGATTGGGGTTATGCATTTAATAAACCACTATTGACACCTTATGAAGCCATGGTTTTATTAGAAAAAGATCAAATGTGGAATGATAATTATTATCCAATGGATTATTATTCAAAAGATGGTTATGGAAGAGGTCAGCAACCAGATCATACAGATTTAGCAAATTTATAGAGGTTTAATGAATAATGACTATTTATGCATTAAAACTAAGTATCTGGTAATGATGCGATTTCTTTATCATAAACTTCTTCAATTCCTAACATTGTAGCCATCTCGTAATCAGACCATGTGAATTCAAAATCCAATATTTCTTTATTTATCAAATTGAGTTTCTTTATGAATTTGATAAAATTGATAAACACTTGATTAATTGTATCATTTACAATCATAGGAGAATTAACCTTCAATAAAGATTGTTGAATTTCAATAATTGAATTTGGAAGAATCTCTTGTATCTTTTCATCAATCTGTTTCATACTCTCTAAATTATATAATTTGTTTTCTTTTATTGGTTCATAAATTGAAGTATCGAAGAACTCATCACTAAATGGACATATCATATTGCTCACATTATAAATATTCTCCAAATGTAGTGATTTCAATAAGTTTACATACTCAAGTGTTGTCAATTTCTCAGTTATGTCATTTATCTGTGAATTAATCTCAATTACCTTATCAGAAAGTAGTGAAATTGGGATGACTTTAGATTGGATCAAATCTAAAAAGTTGAATTTTATGATTAGGTTGTCCTTCTTATTAAATGCTTTATTTAATTCCACATGTGAGTTGAAGATTTCAACTGGTGAGTTAATAATCAAGTCTAAGAATTTCTCATGGCTGTCTGTAGTAAGATTGAGTATAGTTTTTGTCTTTATTTGATCTAATAAGTTTAATATATCTGAATAAAACTCAATTATCCAATTTGGTGGTTGTAAATCAGTATCCAATTCTAATCTAGCCAGATTACTTTGTTTTATAATTGATAATTTATTTGAAATTATTGAAAATATACGATCTTGACAATTTGAAATTAAGGAATGTAAAACTTCAATTAAATTATTTCCTTTTATTTTCTTGAACATTATGACGTAAAGATCTAATAAGTTAAATATTTGAAAAATGGTAAGTACTTTAGTTTCACTGTAGATTAAATGATCAATCTTCAATTTTATAGGTTTTTGTAAATTCATCAATATTTTATTTATAATATCCTGTATTATTGGATCATTTTCATTCTCATTAATGTTGAATATTGCAATTATTGTCTCTGATTCATTGACTATTAGTGAATGTACATACGCTAATAAATCACCAATAAATCTAATTGACTCCTGTTGAACAATTTCCAAATTTGACTCACAATAATTTAAAAATTCATCATTTATAAATTTAGATCTAGAATTTATGAAGTTATCGATCATGTTTTGAAAGTAGTTGTATTTGTTCTGAAGGTATCTTAAACATTTCTGTAATGTCACCAACTTTGATTTTAAATTTAATGAATACAAATTACCTAGTGACTTATTACAGAATTTGATAATCTTGTCATTTGAAGAATTAAGTAACTGATTTGATTTGTTTAATATATCATTTCCAAGTTTACAATTGTCTAAAGATAATAATATATAACAGTTTTCGTTTAATTTTTGCAATTTTGATAGTACTTTGAAAAATTCATCATTCATTTCTCCTGATTGAGTTAATACAAATTCTTCATACTCCGTTAAAGTAAACTTGGCATTGAAACTTTGAAGTAATTGTTTTTTTAGCAATACTAATTTCTGTTGTTTATTTAACTCATTGATTCTTGCATTAAATTTATTTGAATTTTGACAATGTGAATCAATTATACTTTCAGTTGACGAATTGAGTTCATTAAATTTATTCAATTTCCCCTCTGTACTTTTTAATTGTTTTATAACTGGCTGATATTCTTTTAAAATCTTGGAATGATTTTTGATCAAGTTTGACTCTATTCTATTCTTGAAATTTGATCTTGAAACTGATCCAACAAATCCTGTATCTAATAAGTCTTGAACATTCAACTCATTCTCCTCTAGATTGTTTTCTATATAACTAAATATTTCACGTTGATCATTATCATTCAACGAATCATTTAAGACTCGAGATAATCTAGTTGATAAAGTAGAATTTGAAGACGATTTTTCATTTCCATTTTCTGGGTCTTGTTCCTGTTTTTTCTCATCCAGTATTAGATTAATTGATAATTTTGCATATTTTTTCATCAATTCATCTTCATCATTATTGACTGTGATTGTTGTAGTTGAATCATTTGGTATAATTAAATTTTTAGTCAATTTAAATTGTGACAATTTTTTACTTAGATTTTCAATGTTTGTTATAGGTAATGATAATGCAGGTTGTGGCTGTGGTAAATTCCAGTCATTGTCAGTAGAATTATCTTTTGTAAATGTATCGAAATCAATGAAATCCATGTATTTGTTGTCTTAAATAAATTTGATTTTTCAATTTTTCAACATGCGCTATCAAGTGTAAAATTACTGCAAAAAAAAATTTATGTAAACAAAGAAGATACATTCTCATGCAAATGCTATTATTAATTAATTTCTCACTATATATATATATGAAACATAAATATCAAAGTAATTATTTATAGTAAATAGAATTGAACTTTCATTATGTTAACAAATCATTAATTCTCATACTTGGTCGGGTATTTGTTGGTTGTCTTTTAGTTTCACTTTCATTCTTATGTTGTTCTTGCTCTTGTGCTTTTAAATTAGCTGCGTATAATATTGATGAAATACCATTCTTATCTTTTTCTTCTTGTCTAGTAATTGGTGAGAATGGATAATTTGACTCATAATCAGTTAATTCAGTTTCATCATAAAAATCTTGATCAACAGTTTTAGTAGTTGACTGTTTAAGCTTACTTAATGATTGTAAACATTTAGATGCATTGACAATTTCATCTGAATCATTTATACTTAAATCATCAGTAGCTGAAACTGGAGTTTTTTGATTTGACAGAACTGATGATACTGTAGATGAACTTCCTGATTTCCTATGTGGTCTATTATTTGAGTTTGATGGTGGTGTAATTGGATCTATTGATAATTTCTTATTCAAAACTGGTGAATTCAAATTAATTGGTTGTGGTTGAATGAAAGTACCAATTGGAGGAATAGTAACTGTTGAATTACTTTTACGTTTATCTGGTTCGGATTTTACTTCTTCTTCAACTACTGGTTTTGGTATTGGTAATTCATCTTGATTAAATTTTGCTAAGTCATCTAGCTTTAACTCACCAAATCCTGGTTCACCAGGTTTCAAGCATAAATCAGGAAACTGTTTGCCAAAAATAGGAATTAATTCATATCTGATATTATAACAAAATCTTCTAGCTAATATTTTACATAACTTGAAAGGTAACCAAGTTCCTTGAATTTTTAAAAATCCACCCCTTATTCTTTTGATGTATGGCTGAAATTCTTTTGGTGTAGATTCTGATAATTTAACTATATCAGCTTTCATACTTGATGTAGAACTTTCACTATTATTTTGTAATGAAGCTTTCCAAATACCAGTTAAATGAACAAATCCAGTTTCAAAATCCCATACTACCCATTGATCATTAAGTTTATATTCGTAAGCAGTTAAATAAGTTCTATTCGGATCTATAGCGGAGGTTGAATATTTTTTAATTTCAATTTGCGGGTATATTTGTTGTACTTTTGAAAGCTGATCTTGTGGAATAGTAGTCATCTCTGCTTCTGTAAGTTTATGAATTGGATAGTAAATTTGCTTATTTGTTATCAATGCAATATTATTCTTTGACTTTTTAGGTTTGGGAGTTGTAGTGACTGAAGTAGGAGGTGTTTTAGTATCATTATTATTAATCTTGGAAGAAAATTTAGTAATCATTAAATCTGTCTTTTTTGATTTTGATGATTTTTTAACTTTCTTTGGCGAGGTTGGATTTAGTAAGTCTTGATTTTGATTATTCATCTTTTTACGTTTTTGCTGTTTTGGACTTATCGGTTTACTAATATTTGTAGGAAAATAAGGATTTGTAGGTATACTTTGTTGTTGCTGAGAATTATTCACACTTTTATATGGTGATGTTATAGGTGAAATTGGTGATGTAATTTGTTGATTATTAGTTGGAACAAAATGTTGCTGCGGCTGATTATGTATAGGCTGAGATTGCAGATATTGATATCGATATTGATTATTATAGTGATATTGTTGATGTGCTTGGGATGGCGGTTGAACATTATTGAATTGCGGGTTTCCAGTTAATATATCAATTGGTGGTAGTATACTATTATTTTTATTGCAATTCAAATTATTTACAGGTAGTTGATGTGGTGGTATACTATAATTAAATCTATCAGGTGGTGTTGGTAACTGTTGATGTTGAGTTGGAAATTTTGTTTGGTAGTTATTTAAATTATTAAAATTTGGAATCATATTGCTTTAAATCGAGATTCACGGGGATAAAATAAGCAAGATTGCTACTCTTTGGAATGAAAGAATCTAAATTAATCCGATACTCGTAACTTAATAGCTATGATTTAAATATGAAACTGTAAATAGTTACTATTATTTGAAATTATACCTTATTATGAATATGACACAAAATTGAATTAGGGTGCAAAATATTTTTTCTCAGATTAGGACCGTGAAATAATTATGTCGCCTGATTCGTGTCAACAAAATTCCAAATATTTCGAGCTAAAACTGACTTCAAAAAAACTGATGAATTGATATCTTGTAACAAATATACACTCTTTTATAAGTATAATTAAAATATGGTTGTTCTTCTGGGGTGAAGAAAGTTGATATTTTAATTTTGCTAATTGTCAAAAAAAAAAATAATCTAAAAACCTTAAATATATGAAATTCTAATAGTATTATAATCTGTTATTTCCTCGATTGCTACTGATCAAAATCTTAAAATTATATAATGGAATGTATTATAGATCTATCCCTCGAGATTGATTTTTATGATTCTGGAACAAATCGGTTAATTTTTAATCCACTGAGAGTGTATAAGCAACTTGTCAAATTTATATGATCTGTAATTAGTTTGCTTGAAAGGAACAACAGTTTATGATTGATATGAATAAAATTTGACTTTTATACTGAGTTCTACTATACTTTGTTGATGTTATAACTGTTTAGGCTCGTTCTAATTGAATAAACTTTAATTGGTCCGCTCCTTTGAAAAATGAAATATAATATATTGACAGATGTAAACAATGGAAAAACGGGAGTTCTGATTAACAAATTTGAATATTTAGACAAAGGAATTCTTCTTAATTTATATGAAAAACTTATATGTTGATAAATTTTTAGGGAGACCTAAAATCTAAAAATTGACATTCATTATCTAATTTTTATTTTTTTTTTTTTTTTTTTTTTTTCAGTTTTATGCATTTTTTATTATTCTGTACATTAAGGGGTGTTTTTTTTTTATTTTTAAGGTCTCTAGTACTAATATTTACACACAGGTTAATTAATTGGATGTGCTTTGTGTATGCATACTGGTAGAGTTGTAAGGTCATTAATCAAATAAGATTGTTAATCAAATAAGATTGTTAATCCTCCTACTCACTTTTTTAGTTTTTAACACCCGTTTTGAATATTTCAACAATGTAAAATTTAGTTGTCAGTGGAAAATTTTATTAAAACAATAATAATCTCTCTGATTTCTTAATTGTTTAATCTGACAATGTGACTACTTTGTTATCTATCTAAAAGTTGAATTAAAAAACTTTAACTCTTTTTTAAGTGCTTCGAGAATTGATGGCATAAAAAAACGTTTATCACGCAGATGAAATTGATAAAGCTAATTGAATGTATTGTAAATTCTGTGACTCTTGTTTATAGTATTTGGCAATTCTATGTTGATGTAGTGGTTAATTCTATGTTGATGTAGTGGTTTTGAATATTCCTAAGAAATTCATTTTTAATAGTACAAATTTGCAAAAATGCAGCATTTCCTAAAATAGAATTTTTGATGCGAAATTTAATGAATATTCTTTTACGGGGGGTTTCGAGAAGAATTTCAATCGACAATAGCAATACACAAAAATGACGTCCAATTAGAATTTGAGACTAATCTGAGACATAGTCTTTCTTTGGTATATTTCCATTTTACTGGATAAATGTTATTTTGACTCATTTGTATAGAATTTCGTCAGATATTTATTGTTTCAAATTTTTCAACCTATAATTTGTTGATATTAATAATCATTGTCTAATTTGAATGTTTAAAAATTTGATTTGTAATTGACTAAAAAAGTTTAAAATTTTAAGTTTTATAGTGAAGAAAATCTAAGAAAATCTTAAAACAATTGGGCTTCTCGAAATTTAAAAGTACGATAAACTTTAAAATTTTATAACTTGCAGGTTTTTCAACAATTACCAAAGCCTTCTACATACATGACCTACGACGAGATAACTAAAGTAAGTGCATCAGGTATGAGATCGATACCCTTTAATACAAAGTAGATTTAAGATTGAAATCTATACATTTATAATTTTTGAGGTACGATTTTTTCATTACAAATTTATAACCTTCTACATTTTGTTTATTTTGCATTTTGCTGTATTGACGAAGTAATCAAAGTTATCAAGCCAATAAAATACATATGCTTCTATTTTATTTACTCAAAATGGCTAATCTTATTATTCTTTATGCATGGAAGCTATTTTTGTGTAACAAATGCGGTTTCTAATTGTCGATGTATCGACAAATTGACAGACATCTCAAGCAAAACTATAAATGCTGTGACTTCTTTATATTCAAGAAACGAGCATCTGAGTCAGCATGTTTTAATGCTGACGTATTATGACGTTTTTTTTGGTTTGGTCTATGGCTGTGCTTAACCGGGTGTCAGATAAAAGCAAATCTATAATTTTGGTTTGAGATTATAAATTGTTTACATAAGCAAGTACTTTGTATCAAGATGCAGAATCGTTAATTGTGGCTAAACTCCCAAACCATATATGGTTTATATTTTGCTTAATTGCTGAGGCGACGTTTTCTTCCTCTAACGGGCATATAAGAGTACATAAATATAAGACATTATAATTTATTGTGATAATGTATTAAAACCTATGTCTAACTTTATTGCTTGTTATAAAGCATCGACGTGGTAAATGAGCTCCGAAATTTCACGTTTTTCAAAAAAAAACCCCCAAAGACACTTTATAAACCATACATTTTCTACATTTCCGCACTCAAAGTTTCCAACATTAAACAGTCTCTGGAAATGTGAATGTCTCATCATCTAATATTTACTTATCCACCCCACTCCTTGCTAAGAACTTTCTATGTAGTCATCTTTGGTTTTCCTTGCTCGAAACTTTGATAGCTTGCTTGATATTAGACGAAAAACTTTTTCTTATCGAATCTAGATTTAGTCAATACATTTCTTTTGCACCCAAATCTAAAGGAAAGTAAATATCAAAACTTTACTTTCCCTGATTTTTGAAAATTTTGCTTTCGAGTTCAAAATTTATCTTTTTAACATAGTTTTCAATTTTGTACATCAGCTCATCGAGTAGATTTATTTCTTGATACTTGATTGGTTTTGTGTCAGAAGCTTGCATGTGGCAATGACGTTGCAAACGTTTGTTTTTCAACTTTGTGCAATTTTTATAATTCCAAAGTCACTATTCTACAAATTTTTGATGCCTGTCAATTGTTTCAGTGTGGAAGCATGTTCTGATAAACAATTCACCTACACTCTATAGTTATTAGGTTTCATCTATTGTATTTGAAGAATTTGTTACGGCATAAAAGTTTTGCCAGAATTTACCAGAATTTGTTCATCTTGTACAAAAATTCGTAAAAATGCCGACAATTGTAAAAAATCTCGAGGTTCCAGAATCAAGGGCTTAATATTCGATAATGGTAAGCTTTCAAGGTAGATTTTCCAGTTGTTCGGATAAGCTTTAAACAACGTCAAAATACACTTGAATTAAATTCGTTAAGTATCTATGCGTATACGCAACGTATTCCGAGGAGTTCAACAATGCATTTGACTCGCTATTCTAAATTTCATGTACTCTAACTTGTTTGATCAAAATCGATAGTAGTAAAGCAGAGTAGAGCATGTTTCAGAAATGTAATTTCGCACTACCCCGTAAAATATTTTTTCAGCATAGTTAATCATAATGAATCAAATCAATAGAATTAGATATTACTCAACTAACAACATTTATGAAAAACAACCACATATGAATCCACATTCTGTGTTTTACAGACAATTTTCCAAACCATTTGTTAAAATCTGTGCATTGTCTATTGGTTCTTACCATGGTTTAATTTATTTATGGGAATACCTCGAGAAAACAACATCAAATGATGAGCAATTGCCAAAGAAAAACAATTGAAAGAAGTGGATATATAGGCTCAGGTGAACGGTTTATTAGCTGTGGTTGTAGCTAAGAATAGATCAAGTCAAAAAGTGAATTTTTCATGAAAGCTAGCTCAATATTCAGCATTGCTGAATTGAGTAGATAGCAACACTTCATTACATGCTGAATTGGTTGTTTCATGGTTTTTTACAGTATATACAAGCTACAGCCATACTAGATGGGATTATATTGTTGAAACATTTTATGGGCCAAAAACTAAGTTACTATTGAGTCGAACAAAAAAAAAATTTGCTGTACGATTGAGGCGACTTGGTATGTCAAGATGGCCTCACTTAGAACTACAAAGAAATATTATTACCAATTAAACTAAATATATATATTTTCAATAAAATGTCTATAAACCATATTTGAATAATTATTTTAATTCACAGCAGCTACTTCATTTTTTAATCTGTTTGCAACAGCATCTAAAAATTCAGTTGTTGTCACATAACTTTCTCTATTAGTTTTACCCATTGCTAAAGCTAAGTCTTTTGTCATAATTTTATCTTCCTGAACAGTATCAATAGTTGCTTTTTCTAATTTATTTGCAAATTCAACAACATTTGGAGTATCATCTAATTTACCTCTTTGAGCAATACCTCTTGTCCAAGCAAAAATTGAAGCAATTGAATTTGTACTTGTTTCTTTACCTTGTTGATGTTGTCTAAAATGACGAGTAACAGTACCATGAGCAGCTTCACTTTCAAATGCTTTACCATCTGGAGTCATTAAAACAGAAGTCATTAAACCTAAACTACCAAAACCTTGAGCAACAATATCGGATTGAACATCACCATCATAATTTTTCAAAGCCATTATGAAACCACCTTTTGATTTAATCATTTGAGCAACCATATCATCAATTAATCTATGTTCATACCATAAACCTTCTTTTTCAAATGATTCTTTATAATCTTTTTCATAAATTTCTTGGAAAATATCTTTAAATCTACCATCATATTTTTTTAAAATTGTATTTTTAGTAGACAAATATAATGGTAATTTTTTGCTTAACGCCATTTTGAAACTTGAATGTGCAAAACCAATAATTGATTCATCTGTATTATACATTGCTAATCCAACACCTCTATCTTTGAAATCAAAAACTTGATAAGTTTGTTCTTCACCTCCATTTTTAGGTATAAATTTTAATTCCAATTTACCTGGTCCATTTATAACTAAATCTGTTGCTTTATATTGATCACCATGAGCATGTCTTCCTATGACAATTGGTTTTTCCCAACCTGGAATTAACCTAGGTATACATGGTATAATAATACTTTCTCTGAAAACAGTACCATTTAAAATATTTCTAATTGTACCATTTGGTGAAACATACATTTTTTTCAAATTAAATTCTTTAACTCTTGCTTCATCAGGAGTTATAGTTGCACATTTTATACCAACTCCATATTTTTTAATTGCGTTTGCAGAATCTATAGTAACTTGGTCATTTGTTTTATCTCTATTCAAAATACCTAAATCATAATATTTTAAATCAACATCTAAATAAGGTAAAATTAATTCATCCTTAATTTTTGACCATATAATTCTAGTCATTTCATCACCATCTAATTCCACAATTGGATTTAAAACTTTAATTTTATTACTTGATGAATATGAACGTAAATGATTTAAAACTAAATTTGTACGATTAATAGCTGTTGATCTAATCATTGTAATAGAATTGACCCTTGGGTTGGTTGTTGAAAAATTGTTAATAATTTTTTGATCGCTTAAAAATGGAGAAAGTGACTAATAAATAAAAATGAGCTACGCCGGTTTTCGCTCTAAAATCTCCGTTCCAGTTTTTTTTTTCTTAGATCATTATGCCCTTCGATAAGATCGATTTAGATCTTGAATAAACCAATCAGGTGATACTACTAGAGTTATACATGAGTTAAGGTGTCAAGTCAATGTCGAGTATGCTAAGTAATACAGGCTAGAAGATTTGAAAGTCTGTCAATCTATTGCTGATTTACAACACTTTATTGATTATTATTTGAGAGTTAGGTCGACAAATGTATTTAAATTTGGTCAGTTACAAGAATTTGTTGTCCCTGGTATCAATTTCTTGAAAGCTGAGGTTAGGTGGCTTTATTAATCACTTGATGGTGTCAAATTTTAATGTCAAATTTTAATGTCCAAAAATTGGTACACGAATTTGTTTCAGAATTTTTTTTTTTTTTTTGTTTACCTTTTTACATTTTGGTTGCAAAATTATGAATTATAAATGTGATGGATGAACCTTTTGACCTAAATTTACCATATATATGTTGTGGAATAGGTTATAAAGATATTCCAGATCTGGACCAAGAAGGAAATGATGAAAATGATAAATTATTAATACTTCATGCTGTCATTTAGTTTGCTCAAGTCATTTTCCATATCGTACGGTAGCCAATTTAATTACCTTTAATATCAGCCTATTAACAATATATAGCTAATTCAATTTGACTCAACAACTTTTGAGTGTCCAATTTGTCAAACTTCAAATATTACAACTGGAATTTTTGAAAATTCATTAGAACCAAATAGAATTTCATTTTTTCAACCAATTTTTAAATCAAATACATATTTAGATTCTACTTCAAAGTATCGATATTCTACATTAGTTGATAAAATTCAGTATTTGAAGAAAGTAAATTTATCATTAATTGAAAAAATAAGAAACTGAAAGAATTTCTTTATCAAGCAAAAGAAGAGATTGAAAATTTAAATAAAGAAAATGAGGAATTTAAAGAAACGTTAAAGAATAAAGGAAATGAAATTAATACCAAATAACCAATTGCAACTCCTAATTTTACTTTAAATTTTAATAATCCAATACCATCATTTTTTGCTGAATCTACAAAGATTAATTATATGGGAAATGATCATCATAATATTGATAATATGATAAGTCTACCCTGCTCATTATAATAATATTTCAAGAAATTCTAATAGATCAAGAAATAGTGAATTTACGTTACATAAAATGAAAAATTATATAATAATAGAGCTCAAACTACAAATTTAACATCAAGAATAATCACAAACATTAAAATTAGTCCACCTGTTAGTTCAATGAATCAAAATCATTTTAAACGTCCAATGAGTAATAGACTTGTTAAACAACCTACATTAAATAAAGGTTTTAAACGTGCAAGCGAAGTTACGCCATATTACAGTTATGAATTGTAATATTAGCCTATCTATAATATATACAGTTAGTTATGACTACTCATCGATTCTGAAATAAACTTCTCATGAATCTCTCTCAACCTCTACAATACAAAAATGGCTGCAAAATATCAAAAAGTAGTGTTAATGTTTCAAAAGTTGATGGTGGTTAAATTTGATCTAATCAATCAACATAATAAAAAAAAAATGTATCAAATTAATATATTATTAGTGCATCTTTTCTTTTATTAGGTGGTTCACCAACAATCAATAACATTTACCAATAATCAATAATATTTACCAACCACCATTAACTACTATTATATCTTTATATCATATAATAAAAGAAAAGTTTTTTTTTTTTTTTTAATTACTAACATATTTATATATACCTTTGTTGACCATACTCTTTAAAATTTTTATTGAAAATTATTGGAAATTTTTCAATATTCACTAGGGATTTATTAAACAAATAATTTAAATAAGTTTTACGAAATTGATTTTAAATCATTTTGTATCATTTGTTATTTTGTTTATTTCAGATAGATCCATTTGTGGAATAAATTAAATGTAAGAAATAGATTAAAAACTAATAAATTCACGAAGTATTTCATAGAAAAAGATGGCGATAATTCAAACATTTGAAGATTTTACAAAAGAAGTTAATAACGTGACGAATAAATCTAGTCAAATTCATAAATTGACAAATTATGCTCAGAATCATATCGATGAATCGAAAGAAATTGTTGAATTAGTTCAAAGGAAAATAGAGCTGTCTATTAAAAATAAATTAAATTACTTATATTTAATGGATTCTATGTGTAAAGTGATTGGAAATCCTTATGATATTTTATTTGAGGATAAGTTGAAAGGAATATTTATTAATTCATATCAATTGTCAAATGAAGCCGTTCGAGAGTCTTTAGTTCAGTTACTTAATACTTGGAAAGGAATAGGTAGACGTGATGGTAAAAGAACATTTACACCGCAAGTTTTAGATTCAATAGATTCATTTATTAGAAAATCTAGAGAAGTTAAAAGATCTAATAAAATACAATCTTTTGCAGGTAATAATTATGGTACAAATACAACTAGATTTCAACAATTGAGATTTGAAGGTTTAGAAATGTTAAAATTCATCATTCATTTAAATTATAATTTGGATAAATTTGTTAAAGAATTTCATAAATTTTTACCAGATAAGTGTAAAAAGAAGATAGCAGAAATGGAAGTATCAAGAAACAATATAGTTGGTCAAGTTAATTATGTATTAGGCGAATTAGGTGGTAATAATGAAGATCCAAGTGCAACTATGACCCTAAATCAATTTAATATTCAGTATAATGAATTTAAAGCAATTTTTAATGAATGTACCAAAACATTAAGTGAAGATAATATTAATCAAATGAAATTTTTGGATGAGACAAGATTATTATGCCATAAAGTTAGATGGAAATATGATATTAAGTTGAAAAAACTACAAAATAAGAGAAATCTTGAAGAATTTTTTGAAAAAAATAAAGTTTATCTTGATTATCAACCTGATTTAGAGTTTTTCACAGGTGTACCTAATCCTAATATAATACGATTGTTAGATAATTTTGGTAAAATACCCGAAAAAGATGTAATGAGGATAGCTTATAAACCAAAGAAGAAAAGGAAGGAAAAAGTTCAACAACAACAAGTACAAGAACCTAAACAAGCACAACCAGAAGTTACGCCAGAATATGAATTAAATGCTAATACTGATAATAATAATAGTTTATTTGTTGGTAGTACCTTAGGTATGGATATGAATTTAGACGATTTAGATGATGATATTGAACACTCAATACAACCACAAGTACCAGTACAACACGAAAGAATAGAAGATGATTATGTACAAAATGCAGAAACTGTTAATCAAGGTCAATCTAAAATTAAGGATAATAAATCTGAGACAATTGATAGTAATGATAATGATATTAATGAAAAAGAGTTATTTGGTGATGATAATGATGAACAAGATAAAAGTATATTTGGTGATGATGATGAAATTAATTTACCTTCACAATTTACAAATCAAAGACAACAGAATGCACCATCACCACCTTCATCTTCTCAAATTTACGACAATTCAAATGTTATACAACCAATGCAAGTTGATAATGAACAAGAAGAAATACAACCTAAAACAACAATTCAAAATGAACCAATTGAAACTAATAAAAGAAAATTATCACCTCAGTTACAACCAGAAAATGAACCACCTTCAAAGAAAAACAAAGTTGAAGAAGAAGAAGATAAATATTATCATGCAAATGGTAATGAAGTTAAGGTTAAAGAAGAATATCGTCTTGCTGATATTGATGATTCGCCAGCTTTGTATTCTATTGATGAACCAATTGATGAACCGCAAGAACAAGAAGTACATAATGGCAATTTACCACCACCAAATCAATCTGGATATTTACTGCCACCACTTCCACAAGCTTCAACTCAATTTATACCCAAAGAAGTTACTACTTCTAATGAAAAATATTCAATTTCACGAATACCAGCATCAACTCAGAATCTACCACAACCAACAAAAAGTGCACAATCAATTAGTTCACAACTTGTTGATCCAATACAGTCAATGTCTCATAAAACTGGTTATTTTCCACCTTCTTCACAATCAGAATCAACTCAAGATCTTTCAATAAACTCAGCATCACCACCTCCTCCGCCTCCATTACCCTCACAACATCCAGAACAAGAAAAGAAACCAGTTCATACACCTCCAATTCCACATGCTCAATTAGCTGATTATTTTCCGGAAGAAGCTCAAGCACCGAAAGATGAATCAGAAGAAGATGATGAAATTGAGGTTAACAATAAGTTTAAAAATTCAAGACGTACACCTACACCACCATTACATAAAAATGAAATAGAAGGCTCAGGAAAAAGTGAAACGCAAGAAGATGATGAAATTGAGGTTAACAATAACTTTCAAAATTTAAGACGTACACCTACACCACCATTACATAAAAAAGAAACAGAAGGAGCAAAAGAAGATAAAATAAAAGATTCACCAATACGAGCTTCACCTGAACTTGAACCAGATCATCTTGATGATGATATTCCACCATCACCACCGCCAATTGGATCTGAATTTAGTATACCACCTCCACCACCGCCATTAGAACCTAAAAAACTTAGTTTATCAGATTATAGAAAAAAAGTCGATAGTGGTGATATTCCAAGAGTAACAAGACCTACAACTACTTCATCGTCGTCATCAAATACTACACCTCCAAGACAACAACCTGCAAATAAACCTGCAAATGAACCTGCTAGATTGAGGTCAATTCTAAAACCACCAACACCAAAGTTGGAAAACTTAAAATCAAGTAATAAGCGAAAAGTTAATTTTAACCTTAATAATAAAATATATGATTATGAGAAGCCTCCCCCAGAATATTATGGTAATGGTAACAGTAATAATATATATTAAAAAATGCTAAAGTAAAGTCATATCTCTTATAATTTTATAGTTGTTTCTCTTATACTTCAGTATTAAATGAACCAGCTTTTTTCATTTGCCAAAATGATGATAATGCTGGAAATGCAAAAAAGAAACCTAAAACACCCCAGTACCAAACTGAAAATGGAATGTATTTTCTGTTTTTAACTTGGAATGGTAAATTTGAATAAACACCTTCTTTTGGATGACCGTAAATATTAGCCATTTGATGTTGAATTGAGTGTTCGTCATGATGAGCATTTAATCTTATAATAGATTGATGTAATGATCTAGTTAAGATCTTTGAAGGATTTGATAATTTAACAATATTAGATGATCTTGATAACATTATGGAATTGAATAGATTTATGATATGGTGGTACGTTATTTTTTTTCAAACCTCTATTTCTGTTTTAAAATTGTTTCATCAAAGTCGTGTAATTTGGTGGAATTATCTTAACTATGTAACTACTAATTTCCAATTGGTTCAATATAAATTATGAGCTGATATTAAAAGTAACTACCAAGTGAATTCGGTTAGCACACTACTAAGTCTATTTTTAATAACCAATTGAAAAAAAATTAATAGAACAGACATTATTAACATACATATTTATTCATCATGGCTATTGCTCCGATTACTGGTACTTTGAAAAGAAAAATTATAACAGATATTACAATTGGTTTTGCTGTTGGTTTTTCATTAGCTACTTTATATTGGCAATTTGAACATAAACCAATTGTTGCTAAAAGAGAAGCTTACTATGCTCAATTAAAACAACAAAAAGAAGCTGAAAATGCACAATAGATAAGAAAACATCATGAAATAAGAAACGAATTCATCATCAACCTTTTTGCATTTTATACAAATCAAAAATATATAACTTTTATTTTGAAATTTATGAATTTATATAATTATACAATTTTGTATTATTAATTATCCCATTTGAAACTATTATAATTTGTTTATTTTGTCCATTTCTTTGTAATTTCTCTTGTAAGTATTTGAGACATGTAATTTCACTTCTTGCAATACTTCCAATAATAACAATAATGATAAATTTTGAATTATTATCATTTACATTATCCAAGTTTAAGTCAATAGTTTTCCCAGCAAACATTGTATTCAAACCTAGATTATCCCAATTTGGTCTCTTTTGTAAATTGGCAACTGGTTTATATTTCAAAAAATCTCTAAAATATAATGATTCAATTATTCTGTAAATTAAAGGCACTGTATTACCAGGTAATGTAAATGATGGATTAGGATACAAGTCTAATAGATTAGTCGAATTCTCATTTATAGTCTCACTAGTCTCTTCTTCCCCTTCCATTGGATGTAAATTCCAAAATTTATTAATTAATGTATAATTACTCTTGTATATGTCTTTACCACCAGTTATACCCATTGAATTATCTTCAATTATATTATTTGGTAGTGGTGTTGTTTGCTTTTTCTGTATTAACCCCAAAGTTGAAAAGAAATCATTAGTATTCGAGTCTTCAATGACTCTTATAATTTTATAATTTATCAATTTTTCTAAATTTATACTCATCTTAAGTCCATAATTACCATGTAACTCATTACTAATCCAATCTATATCTTTATTTTGTATTCCATCATTGATTAAACTGATAAGTATAATGGTTGACCAAATAAATTCTAATTTGAAATTATTATTTAAAAAATATTTCAATTTTGATAATTGTAATTTATAATCCATTTCAAATACATCATTTTGAAAATTAATAAATGTTTCTAATTCAGTTAATTCAACTGTGTTTCTTAAAATTTCTTCTCCTATAAAAGTATGTTTCTTAATTAAATCTTGTTGAAGTGACAAATTACCTAGGTTTGATACTAAATTTTTCATCTCGTCGAGGTTTGAGTCATTTGGATTTGAAGATTTGAATTGTTGTTGTACTATTTTGGCTAATTTGTTTAATCTAGACCCAATCATTGCAAAATTTAAATGTTTTAAATCTTGGTTATATAAATCATCATTTAATTTATTATTTGGAGGTTCCAATTTGGTTATCTTTTCAAAGTTTATATTGAAAAGATCATCTATAATTCCATGGTAGTTTAGTTGGTTGAATATAATTGGAAAATAATCCAAGTTTCTTTCAATTACAACTAAATCAGTATTACTTTTAAATAGATTTTCATAAAAATCAGTCTCTAAATCAGTGAAATTTGAGTTATAAAATTGGTTTAATTTAATTTTTAATAGTTGGTCAATTAATAAACTAGAATTGTTACCCTTTCCAAATACATTTCGTAGTTTAAAAATATGTTGATGATTTTGAGAAGTTATACCTTTGAATAATAAATTAATTAAAGCATCTGATAATTGGTTGACTTGCAGTATTGGAGTTTCAAAATATTCATTAATTCCATTTAATTTATCATCTATATTACATATTAAAATGTCATCAATGTAAACAGGCAAAGTTTTCCAATTAAACAATTTGATTTTTGTAGATATACTTAAATTTGTAATTTCAGATAAGTTTATGATCTTTTCAAAGATTAATATGCCTTGTAATTTATCATTCAATTGTAATAAGAACCGTTTGGAACAATCTTTAACTATCAAATTAACCTTAATTGTTGGAAATCGTTGAATAAATTGATGAAATAAGTTTAAATTACCATTAGTTTCTGAGTTTTCAGGTAGTATAACAATTAAGCTTGAGTATCCCAGTAATATATCCTTTGAAATATTCAACAAATCTTGATTAAACCATATTACATTTTGACATTTTGAAGAATTTTTTATATTTTGAAACGGTGTTAAATAATTCAATAATGGTGATAAAACAGGATCCAAAATCAATATATTGTTTAATGAATAGATTTTATTCAATTGATTTAGTAAATTATTTAATGTTATCTCATTGAAGTTTCCAAGGTTTAGATTATTAAAAGATTCAACTGTCATTTAAACAGTGTATATTAATTGTCTATACATTTTTTTACCACGGCGCTACCAATATAAATAGATGCAAAATTTACTACAATTTTGCACCCTTTTCTGTACCATTCAATTCAACTAATGCTTCTTGAATAATTGTAGCTATATGAGTACCCTTTTCATTAAAAATTTCACCTTCTACTACAACTCTATTATGTGCAAATCTAATTGCTTTAAAACTATATCCCATCCATTGTCTAACATCAAAATCATCATCATGAAAATAAACAATATGATCTAAACTAACAGAATCAAAAGATGCAGTATGATTATTTACTTGAAAATCTTCAATTCTTAATATTCTAGTTAATGAATTTAAAAATAATGAATCTGATAAAAATGCCAATCCTACAAATTGATATTCCGGAGTTAAATTAGTTAATGGTTGATTAAATCCTTGTTCATTTTCAATACCCCATTTAACAAGAAAACTTAATTTTCTATCTGGTACAGTTAAAGAATCTTCACTTTTAGTTTTATTTAATTCAATAAATTCAGGGACAAATTTAATATAAACTAACATACTTGATTCAATATCACGTATTGGTAAATTTTCAAGTTCTTCTTTTGATCTAGTTAACCATTCATGTTGTGGTGTTTGAAATACAAATGGTTTTACTGGTGCTGTTGATGAATCATCATCTTCGTCTTCTTCTGTTGAATCATCATCTTTTCCCTTTTGTTGAATCTTTGAATAATATTCATTATATTTATCCATTGATTCTTTATAAGAATTTTTCCTAGTTAAAGAAATTGAAGCAATGAAAACAATTACATTATTTTGAATAGCTTTAATATTTCTATTACAAAAAGTTTTACCATTTGAAATTTCTTCGACTTCCCAAGTTATAGATAAATTAGGTAATGTAGGTCTTACAAAATATGAATGAATTGAATGTGGTTTAAATTCTGAACCAGCAGATTTCATAGCTACTAATAATGCTTGACCACATAAATTCCCACCATAAGCACCTTTCGAACTAGCAGTAGGTAAATACATTGGTTTTTTAGATACATATTTATTATCCGATACTTTATCAACACCAAATTCAGCATCAACATCAACTGGTTGACCAGGTTTAAACGTGATATATTTATCTTTTGTCATGTGAAATCAATTGATTATTTATAAGCAACAAAAACTGCAATGTAATGAACGAAATTGAATACGTGTATAATAATTGTATGTCTATAAAACTAGCAAATTTCAAAGTCACTATCTTGTTTGTCTTATCCTTGGTTGTTAGTGTTTTAATATATATTCTTTTCGAATCTCAACCCCAGTTAAAAAATTTTGTGGACACAAAAATGGACTTAAAAAAATTAAAAGTGGAGTTGTGTTAGACGCTTAAAAATGTCAGATCAAGTTATTATGAAACGCTTCTTATAACATTCGGTCTAAACTATTAGAAATTATCATATTCATTTTGCAACGGACTTATATGACCTACCGCATTTTAGACTATCGAATAAGAGTAAAAAATTTCAAAGCATAATCTTTGTCAGTCTATAGTTATATTTAGTTGTTCTTTAACCGTGGGCTCATATTTTCGTCATTTTGTTACGATTTACAACTAAATCCGAGATAAGAGTTCAAGATATTACCAAAATTCATGAATAAATATGTATAATAAATAAATAAATAAGTTTATGCTATAATTTTATGTCTATAATTTTGCTTTCATTGCTTCTTCATCTATAACGTATAATCTTTCTTGTATAATTGTTGCAACATGCTTACCATTTATATTATAAATTTCAGCAATTATTAATGCTCTATCATGACTTATTCTAGTACATTTAGCTTGGAAATTTAACCAATCAGTAGGATCAAAATCATCATCATGAAAATAAATTGAATGATCCATTGAAACATTGAATTTCGGATTTGTTAAAAAATATTCATTGGCTCCATTATTTACATTTTCATTTTCTTTCAAAATCATTTGTAAATTTTTCCAATCAGTTAAAATTGATAATATTACGTATTTAAAAGTTTCGTCAATTCCCGTTATTTTTTGCTCATTTTGTATTCCATATCTCATTAACCAATTAAAACTATCTTTATTCGTATTTGCTTCGAATCGTTTCGTCTCTATTCTTATTTTATTGTTCTTTTGCCAATATTTCGCTTTTGATTGATCTGAAAATTGTTGATCTTGTTCTTCATGATATTCAAAAGAACTAGACAGTTTCGGTTTAGTTAATGATGCATTTAAAACATACACCATTTTACCATTTTGATATCCTTTAATTAATCGATTTGAATAATTTCTACCATTGGAGATTTTTTCAATTTTCCAAGTTATTTCACTTTCATCATTTACTGGACGTACAAAATATGAATGTAACGAATGTGGTATAGAATTAGGGGATGATAGAATAGCTACTAATAAACCTTGACCTACTAAATTTCCACCATAAACACCTCTATGTTTTGCCGTGGGTTTTTTCAACGGATATTTTCCTTTATATGATGACTCATCAATTTTAATTAATTCAAAATCTTCTTTAGCGTCAATCGTTTCAATGGATCTTGTACTATTGGATATTGTCATTGACATAGTAGTATAAAAAGGAAAGGAATAGTTGATGAATTAATTGACTAATTGAGAAAAGTTGATAATTTTTTTTCGGTTCTTTATATTTACATCTGATTAAATATTAAAACAACAGAGATTATTCTAATAAAGATTAAAAAAAGCCACGATTGAACTAAAACTAACATAAATTTCACATGGAATTCTATATGAGATGAAAGTAGATCTCAAGAAAAGATAAACTGTAGATAACCGTTTGAAAGTACCTGAAATCTTATACTCGGTTTAAATCCATCTCAACTAAATTTCTAGGCCCCAATCTCGGTGTAAAATCTAAGCGTAGAGACGGTTTGAAATCTTCGTTGCAGTACCCCACAGTTCAGATTTTTGTAGTGAATTAAATAACAAATAATACGAAAACAAATAATACAAAAATCTGTTTTGAACAGCCATTGAGGTCTAATAGTAGATTATTTATTCATTAAATCTCTAATTATACAATGTTAATCTATCATTTTAAATTAATTTTAATATGGCCCATTTGGTAGGGTCAGAATCTTAAGCTGAGATAAAGAGCACTCAATTTACTTGAAACGAGATCACGACAGAAGAATTTTTGGCTCAAGGCGAGAGCTGATGCCATTTTTTGTCCGCGTTTTAAACGACATCGGATTCGCTACCAGGTGTTTCAATTTTTGAAAATTGTAAACTTTTCAACATTGTAAACTTTTCAACATAAACTACATATCAAGTTTAAGCTGAGGTCTAAGTGTTGATTATTTTGCAATTTAACGATTTTTAGGATTTTTCAAAAAACAAATTACATGATCAAAATGCTGTTTTATAGAAAGAAAACACCTGCAATTTATTCCAGCTCAACTCAAGAGTGTATGAAGAAAGTTTAAACTCTGTAGCTTGTATATTGAGTGAGTTATATACAGAATAAATTTTGAAATTAACAATTGTGAGACTGCATATAAGTTGATCTGAAGTTTGTTTAGAACTAACAAGAAACGCCACCTAAAAAATTGTAATACCCCTTAAATGAATTTTAACAATAGAAAGCAAAACCATCCAACAGCGTACTCTTAGTGCTGGTATTCGAATGTCAGAAGAGTCAATTGAAAAGATCGCAAAGAATATCCCGATATTAGCATATATTCTCTATAAAATAAATAAATAAATAAATAAATAATTAACCTTCTATAATTTTGCAGCTACTGAATTTGACTCTATTTTCATTTGGGCATTTTCATGTAATTTCCTTGATTTATCAACCATTGCCTTTGGTAAAAATCCATAAGCTTCTTGAGTTGCAGTTGCAACCAATTTGCCTTCCAATGTATAAAAATTAATAACTGCTAAAATTCTATTATTACCCATTTTTAAAAATCTAAAATCTAAAAACATCCAATCACTCAGGTCAAATTTTAGATCATGAAAATATAATGAATGATCTAAACTAACTCTAAAAAAATCTTTCTCATCAACACCAAAAGGTAATCCAATAGCTTTAATAACACAAGCTAACCAAATTGAATCAGATATAAAAGCTAATCCTAAATGTGATTGTCTTACAAAATCTTTCCCAAGAGTATAATTATCCAACATTTTTGCAAATAAACCCAATTCCGTATTTCCAACATCATCAAGATTTAAATTTTTATTTTCTGAAAATAAATCTGATGGTAAAATATGTGCTATATTTTCATTTGTATGTACAATATATGATAGATCTTCCAATTTATCTTTTAATTTATTAAATCTTTTGTTTGGTAATTTTGAAAATTCAAATGGGAAAGTTTTAATTTCTTTATTTAATCTTACTAACTCATTATATTCGTTATATTTTGAATCTTGATTATTATTTTTGATGAATGATGCTTGAATTGTGAATAATAATTGGTTTGAATGTATTTGGTATGCCATGGCTAATCTATTTGAAAAATTTCTTGAATCGGATATTTTCATAATTTCCCAACGTAAATTTGATTTATTCGATCCTGCTTTAACGAAATATGAATGTAATGAATGTGGTTGCAATTCAGGACGTACAGTTTCCCAACATGCATTTAAACCTTGCGCTAAAAAATCACCACCATAAGTACCTCTGGCGCCTTCTCTAAATGGTTCAACTGGATATATACCTTCAAGTATGACTTTATTACCCTCTTCAGATATGAATTTAACTAATGTTTTAGTTTCCATTTTAGCAACGGGTTGATCTGAATTGTAAACAGCTTCTTTTAATTTGTCCATTATGAAAATTTGTTAATGAAGTGAACTGATGTGAAAAAAAAGACGTGATATGAAGAAGTATATAAATAATTGATGGCGTTTTTGCTTTTGATAAGCTTCAAATTTAGTATGCTTATATATCAAACATTATTTCTTTTGATTACCGAGGAACAAAAAATATTGGTTGAACAGTTATGATTACATAATTTTTTTACACGCCAACTTTTGTAAACGTTGAGCAAAACGATACCGAGTTTTTCTATGATTGTTTAGATTCAAAGAAGCTCGCATTAATTCCGTATAGAAGTTCCTCGCGTAATCTATCCAATCTGAAACCCCTCAATACAAGCAAATTGCTTGATGATCGACAATCGAAAAGTTGACTTTAAGGACGCTTTTTCACATGGTTATACTTGAAAAGTTAAACTTTAAAGAAACAAATGGCATTGATTATCGTTCACTCATTCATATATTAGGTATATCGTTATCAAGTCTACTTTAAATATTGTCTATTGTTTTGTGTCACTTTTTCCGGAGATTTAATTTTTTTTTGCGGAGTTAATATTTTTGGCGAGGCTGAACTTTTACGAGATCTGATATCAAATAATTGAAGCATTATTGAATCATATAACTTAAACCTTTACCTACCAAACCTCTCAATTTAGTTGGATTTGATCTAGCATAGGCAATTAAAGTAGCAAAACTCAAACTGAATGCTATTATCTCAATATTTAAATTTCTATCACTCGGTGTTGAATCAACAAATGTACCTAATGCTTTTGGAGCTAGAAATAAACTTAGTTCATTTCTTCTATTTGATTTTTCGATCAATACTGAGAACCCACAAGCAATACTACCAAAGTAAGGTGCTAATAAATCCCAAAACTTCTGATTAAACATATTCTTAGGGTGATTATTTCTAATAAAACAATAAGCAATCCAATATAAAGTAGTAAATGAAGCTAAAAATACTGAAGACCTTATAGTTTTAGTTAATAACTTTAGTGGTTTTCCTTTGAATCCTTTTATAAAAACAAACATAAATAAATTCAAAGATGAATACAATTTAAATGAAAATTTAAACTCTTTTATAAATCTTAAAATTGCATGAGTTTTACAACTTTTAGTTTGAAATTGATGAAGAACATAACATGGTAATTTCTCCTGTATTGTTAAATCACCTAATCTAGGATCTTGTTTTTTTGAAAGACAATAATTCACATAATGATTTTGATTTTCCAATTTTGAAGTAGGACTATAATCCAATGTTCCTTCCTTCATATATCTCACCCCATCCACAACTTCTTGATCAATCATTGATGCATCATTTATCCATTTTAAATAACCAGGATCTATTTTTTCAGGTTCAAATGTCCATGCAACCATAATAAAGAAACAAGAAATAATAAAGACAACAACATCACCATTTCCTTTTAATATTTCTGGTACAAACTTTTTTGTATTAAAATTTGAAGAAATGATAGTGTCTAATGCTCGTGTAATTAAAATTAATGTCCAATCTAAAGTATAATGTCTATCTATTTTCAATTTTTCAATTTGAAAAGTTGGAAAAGTTAAAAATGAAGCAATTAAAGCAGACGAAAAAGTTGACCAAAATGAAACATTAAGTTTAGCGTTAGTTGAAAGTAAAAGTTCTTGACAAAGTGGTGTAAATGCATTCATTAAAGCAACTAATTTAGCCATAAATATAGGAAACCTTGAATTACTAAATGGACCCGTAAGAATGTCTTTTAAATCATTAGGCAATTGGCGAAAATGATTTAATTTAAATATTCTCTTAATAACCCTGGGCACAACTTCATAAATATAGGCAAACAAAAATGTCTTTATAAAAGATCTTTGTAAGAAAATGACTTTAAACACTTCAATGAATTTCTTATATGATAAAGTTAATAATAATCTGACAATTTTGAAGAACTTCTTGATTAATTTTAGCAATGATTTCACTTGAGCATTTTTAATATAAAATGGTAGTTGCTCATTTAACCTTCGTAATCTCAACTGCTGCAGTAGCATCCTTTAAGTCTTGTAAATAAATTTAACTAAAAATCCTAAATCCTTTTGGAATGAACTATCCAATTTATACAAATTGAGGGTTGCAAATCTGATGAGATCCCAAATCTGGTTTGATATTTTACTTTTTTGCTCGTACCCACTCTTATCGAAAATTCTATAAACCGAGCATAAAAAAAAAATTGCAGCCATTTCAAGAATAAATAAAGTTATATATTAAACAGCGACATCTCTATAATCTTGATTTATCAGCTGTACTTCCAACACTATCAAACATAATAGTTAAACCTTCTTGTATTATGGTAGCAATACATTTATCATTTTCATTAAACACAAATCCTCTCATTAATAATCTATTATTACTTAACCTTTTTAATTGATAAGTTAAACTTAACCAATCTTTACATACATCAAACTTTGATCCATCAGTAGGTACATAATCATCATTGTGAAAATATATATGATGATCCAATGACATTGCATTATAATGGAAAATATGTGCCGCATTTAAAGTTGATCTTATTACAAAAGTTGCATCAGTTTCTGCATTATATTCTCTTTGATCTCTTTCCAAACTTGGGGTCCATGGTATATGCAAAACTCTTGCCATTAGTGTTATAATTGCACTATCTGAAATATCAGCTAATCCTACATAATTATAAATTGGATTTTTCATTGATCTTGAATATTTTGGTTTTAATATTTTCTTTTCAGATGTATGTAAATTACCAATTGCATCGGGGAGCTCTTCTGTTATGGTTTCATATTGATTATTACCTTTTTCAGGGATGTTTTTCAAACCAGTAAATAAAGTAAGCCAAGTTTCGGAAGCAGGTATATTATTTTCCTCGGGACATAATTTATAATCTAATAATTCTGGTCCAAACGCATTTCTTACAAAATCAGTATGTTGAACTTGATATAATTTATCAGGATCTGGGTATTTATGACGTAAAGTAGGTGGTTTTACACTTATATCTAGTTTCGAAAGTGGATTTGAATTTGAATGTAATGTTTTTGTACCTGCTTTTCTTAATGTAACTAGACAAGTTAGCCTATTTTTGCCTCTTTGTACAACTTCAATATACCTCTTCGCTATTGAATCAGAATCATATAATTTATTAACTTTGTATTCCATTGGAGTTCTATAATTTCCTGCATTGATAAAAAAAGAATGGTATGAATCAGGTATGAAATATTCACCAGTCTGATCATTTTTGGTAGATTCAATAGCCACTAATAAAGACTGAGCAATCATATGACCTCCATACACTCCACGTCCAGCACTAACTGGTAATCTTAATGGATGAGCACCAATATAGTTAAATTCATCAATTTTATTTACCTTAAAAGCTTCTTCAAAATCAGGTAATGGATTCTCACCAGCCGATAGTTCAAGCATCATATCATAAAGTTACTTTCTGATAAAGTTGAAAGATTGATGATTGCTTGGAATATTTATATTTGTTAAACTTTAATCGTGTTTTAGATATCCCCACATCCAAAGTTTATTTTTGGTATTTGGTTCGAAAAAATAGTACTTCACACGAGAACGATATAATGTTGGCGTTGAGTTTAGGGCGACCACTAATAAGTATTTTACTCCACCTAACGGCATTGGACTATTCTTGAGCGAATAAATAGTGTGCATGTGATTTCATGTAGCACTACCAAGTTAAGTATTTGACTGCAAAATATATAATAGACTACAAACCGATACATAGTCAGGATTGTCGCTCTAAAAGAAAACTATTTACGTTGTACTAATAGTTTCATTCCGTTACCCATTTAAAATTTACTATGTTTAGCTTTTTTAGAGTTTTTCATCAGTTTCTAGACAAAATTGTTTATATGAAAAATCACACGTTGAATTAAGACTGCGTGACTCTATTTATGCCTCTGATACTAAGCTAAATGTTGTTATTCTTTTCTACTTTCGTTTTCTCTCGTGTTTCAGTTTGATCAAATTTAAAAACCGATCATAGATAACTCCGAAAATGACACAAAAAAAAAAAAAAAAAATTATATTTTAATTTCGATGCATTCATGAAACAACCAGTTGTTACCGCATACAAATCAACAAATGATTTAAGGCAATTGAAGGAGTGGTTCTATAATTACAATGACAAAATAGATAATAGACAAATTGCAATTTTAAAAGTGAAATCTTTGTTAACAAAAGGTAAATTGCCCCATGCGATTGAATCTACATCATTATTAACTTCATTAAACTTATTAAATCATACAGATATCCATGTTTTGCAATTATCTTATACTATGGCAATTATTAGATTTGTAAATGGTTTAATTGATCCTTTTCAACAATCAAATTTTGCGTTACCAATGCAATTAATTGCAAAACAATTAAAATTACCAACATATTTTGTTGAAATACGACATATGGGAACTCATGAATCTTTACCAAATTTACAGTTTTTAGAAATGGCATGCAGTGAAGCTTTAAAATGGCTAAAGGTAAATTATTGGGATAGGTTGAGTTTTAATGGGGAAGAAATCAATGAAAGTGAAAATAAAAAGAAGATTTTCAGAATTCAGTATATTGAAGAGTCTTTAAAGATGTTTGATGTTTATAGAAACTTGAAAGAGTATAAAAAGGTAAAAAAAGAGACGGATAATGAAAAGGAATTGTATGATCCTATTACTAAGTTGATTGATGTCGCTAAATTTGATCATAATTTGTTATTCAAAATACTCGTAGAGAAATATTATATCATATATCCAAAAGAGAAAATTAAAGACAAGAAAAAACTAAAAGACAATATGAAAACATGGGGTCCAGTGACTGAAAGATTACTGAGGCACCTTAAGTTACGATTCATTGAATATATAATAAGAATAATATCAAATGCCAAGGAGACACCCGATGAAGTAGAACTAATAGTGAATAAAAAGTTTGGATTTTCAGTTATAAAAGACGATAATGAAATTTCACAGCTACATGAATGGGCAGCTTTCGTACTGAAACAATTAGAAGAATATTTCATACAAGAAGCTGCTTCAAGTTTTCATAACATGTGGAACGATGGTGTGGATGACTATCAACTGGAGAAAGATGAACATAAAGAAGTTGAAAGAAGGTTCTATGAATTGACAGGCAAAGAGTTGGACAAGTTTGAGTCAATTAACAAAAATGATAATGGAGCCACAGTGAAAAATGAAGATGTCAAAAAGCTGAAAAGTAAATTCGAATTACCTCCTTCATTGGGTGAGCTACTTGGAGAAGACACACTGAACAAGAGATCGAATGAACCTGGTCTTGAGGAGCCACCATCCAAAAAGCAAAAGAAATTATTTTGTTTAGAACCGCATAGAAATTGGCAACCAGTACCATTTGGTACATGTATGTAGATTTGTACGATTTGCAATAAATTAATGACTACCTAGTTACTGCAATGGCTGCACCAATAATACTTAAAATCTAAAATTCACTTGGTAGCACCTTATTTTGATCTCACTTATCAGTTGATAGTAGATCGTTTTTTTACGTCACACTAACCAATATTAGTTACCAATCAAATCCATCAAATAGATTATTAATACAACCAATCAGTCATAAAATTATCGTTCAACATAGTTAAGTAACTATAAAATTACAGAATAAGTATTAAAATTTGCATTCTTTCCGTATATTTAATAAATTTTGAAATCATACCCTGCATTACAATAAATAAATGACATAATCAAATGAGTCCTCAATGGATACCACAAAATATACAAAAGAGGTTACTTTTATATGTTTTACAACAGTTATCCTTATTTTCAGAAATTGATTTACCTAATCTTGAAGAAGTTTCATTGAATAATATAATTTTAAAGGATATTTTAATTGACCCCGAGAAAGTTAATAATTTACCTGGATGTAATCTAAGATTTGGTAAAGTTGGTCAATTAGAATTAACTACTATATCAGGTGGTATAAGTGGTGTTTTAATAGAAGCAAATAATGTTGAAATCGTGATATCACCAGATTTTGACATAGATAAAGATATAACTAGTAATCTATCAATGCTGATTGCTCAAAGTACGGCAGATTTAGCAAATACAATAATGTTGAATGAAGATGAACTACAGGGCAATAATGAGGAAGAAGACGATGATGATGAAGAAGACGAAGAGGAACTACGGAAACCTAAAAGTAGAATAGGATCAACATCTTCACAAAAGACGTCTGCCTTGGGTGGAGTTATGCAAAAGGCAGTTGAAATTGCATTACTGAAATTACAAGTCAAGATAAATAACTTGCAAATAAAGATAGTTTCTGATTCAGCTGACTTATTAATGGAAATTGAAGAAATTAAGATCAATACTGTAAATGGTACAAGAAATGTAACAATTAAGGAGGTTATACTACGAACTTTGAAACCAGATGTGAATAGTGGAGATGAGAGTGAGGAAATAATCGAGACTGAAAAAAAAGAACAAGACGAATCTGATGAGGAGGAAGAAGATAATAATGATGATTATGGAGATGAGTCATTAATGAATAGCATGGTCTTTACTCATGAAGAAGCAAGCTCAATTTATATGAGTGCAACATCACAATCTTTTGAAAAGCCAAACTCAAATACAACTTCAACTAATAAGGATGAAACAATAGACAATAAACAGGAAGAATCCAAGCCACGAGAGCCACCAATCATTTTTCATTCAAATTCATGTAGTATTGAGTTTGATGGTTTATCCTCAATATCAAATTTGGACGTTGAAATTGATCAAATAAATTTATCGTTTGTCCCTTTGACACCTACTTTGATTTCATTATTTGACGGCATACGGAAAAGTTTGAAGATAAAAAACATACAAAAGAAGAAACGTGATAAAGACAATCTACGGAATGAGAAATTTCCACAATATGTAAATGATGATGAATATGAAAGTCAGAGTGATTCCTCAGGATCAGTTGACGATGAATCATTTTTTAGCAAATTAAAGATTAACAAATTCGAGATAAGTACTACATCAGCATTAAATACAAAAGGAGAGTTTGTTGCCAATGATACTATAAATTTGGTTTTTCTAAATGTAAATATGAAGCAAAAGAATGAATTGTTATTGTTTGGTGGTATTGAGACGTTTAAAATTGTTAGAATCCATAATGATCAAGTATCTAACATTTTCCATTTTGAGTCACCCATTACTAATGATTCTTCAGCTAGTGTGAACTCAATATCAAATAAAGCTGACTTAAGATTTGAAGTGTTTAAAAAACTGGAAGAAAACTCAATAATTGAAATAACTGTATTATTAGCTAAAATTGCCCAATTGAATTTAAATTTAAATTCAATAGCCATCATGTCAAATTTCATAATTGCATTGAATCATATAAATACGGAGTTTAATAAATTGAAACTAGTAGTTGATGCAATTAATGAAAAAAAAGATACTAAGACGAATCATCAACATCAGTTTATATTGCAAACTGCATCCATGAACATAAATACAAAGCTATCTGAAACTTTAAAAATACAAGCTTTGATATTTCCATTAAAATACAATCATTTGCAAAATCAATTGACAATACCTACCATATTATTTAACAACATCATTGAAAACTCAATCGATACGATTATGACTATATCAGATATCAAATTGACTATAAAATTATCTGATTTCAAAGCTTATTTACAAAATCATTCTCATGCAGCTCCACCAAGATTGGTCACAATGAATACAAAATTATTACTAGTTTTACAAAAGATAGCAATTAATATACCATTAACGAAATTGAAATTATTAGTTGATGAAGTTAAAACTTTCATTAGTCACTACTCAGAAAACTTATCAAAACTCTCAAACTCCTTATCAAATTCAATTCATGAGAGTAAAAAACCCAGAATTGATTATTCTAATTCAATAGTTGCAAATCCAATGAATCCAAGACGTAACGGAAGAAAAATCGGTTTTAGTGGATTAAATTCAAGTTTTATAAATCTAAATAAAATCAATTTGGTCAGTTGTTATTGTCAAATCAAATCAATAAATGTAAAAATAACTGAGGTATTACCAAAATTTGGTGACTTAGACATAATTATCACCGATGTTTCATTTTTTAATTATAAGTCGGAAATATTATCTTCAATTTGGTCTTTTGAAATTTTGAGAGTAAAAGAAGAAATTAAAGAACAGTTTTTATATCAATATCAAAACGTTCCCGTTGATTCATATCAATATCCGATTATATTCATCAAATGTAAATTAAATGAGAAGATTAATAGTATTGAAATTATTGCAAAAAACTTATTACTCGAATATTACGTAGACTGGTTAAATCTACTAAACAATGATGAATCATTAATTGATACAGTTGAAGATGAAATTGAGAAGGTAACGCCTACCAAATCATCGTCGAGCTCAAACAGAATTGACATAAGATATATATTGGACGACTGTTTAATCGGTTTAACACCGTTAAGATTGAATTGTAAAAGTTATATCATTGTAAATAAAGGCAATGTTGATTTTACGTTTGGTATCAACCAATTTTATACGAAATGTTCATTTAGAAATGTTTCAGTTTTATTAATTGATGACATAAAGAATATTAAAGTTGATCTAAAAGCTGAACCAACTAAAAATTTAGGTCAAACACTGTTATTACCACAGGTGAATAATAATCCATTAGAGTATTTTTTGGATCAAGGTTATATTCAAGTAGGTACTATAAATTTATTACATGTTGGTATCACGTTCAACACCGAAATCGAAGAATTAAAGAAGAGAAATGAAAAACTAGGTATAAAAGATAATTTGCCAGTAATAGATATAAAGATAAATTCAGATGAACATCAATTTGATTTATGTGCTGATTCAACAAACACTGCATTACAATTAATTAATGATTTGAAATTGCCTTTGAATTTCAAAGATTCGGATAAAATGAAAATTGAAATAAATAAATCGAATGAGGATTTAAATATATTGAATAATATCGATGTTGACATTTTCAAAGACTTAAATGAGGAATTTACTGAATTGAAGATTGACGAAGATGGTGTTCCGAGTGAAATTAGTTCTGAGTCATCACTCAATTTAAATTTTGAAGAAGATCATTTTAATAAAATAAGTATTGTATTAGATCAAGCAGTTGATCCAGTTCGAATTAATATCAATCTATCAAAGACAAGAATTTACTTTTATGATGGTTATGACTGGAAAGATACAAGAAAAGCAATTAGAGGTGCAGTTAAAAAATTTGAAAATGAACAAGGTCAAGAACAAAGTGATCTTTCTAACGAGGAAGAGATTTTTGACCAAACCTTATTTCAATCAATTCATGTGCAAGCTCCGAAGAATTTAAATCCTCAAGATTTAACACAAAGCATAAATTACAATTTGCAGCCAGATAGTTTTATTCAAAAAGATGAAGCAAATAATGATAAAAAATCCTATAAGAATTTGAAACTTAGACGATCATTATCACATAAGATATTTATTGATTTGAAAAATATTGAAATTGGTGTTACTGTGTATTCCACTAGAGATCCAAGAAGAAATAAAACTAGTCCAGATATGTTAAAGGAAGTATTAAGTTTAGTTGAAATTAGATTAGGTACAATTGATATTTATGATAACATACGAAGCTCAACTTGGAATAAATTCTTAAGCTATATGAACATATTAGGTGAAAGAGAAATCGGTACCAGTATGTTGAAATTATCCATATTAAATGTAAGACCAGATCCAAATTTAGTTTCAGGTGAAGCAATTGTAAATGTATCAGTCTTACCGTTAAGATTACATATTGATCAAGATACCCTTGAATTCTTGACCAAATTTTTTGAATTTAAAGATCCTAGATTTGAATTACCACCTGATGAAATATTATATTTGCAAAATTTTGAAATGGATTCTATAAGGTTGAAGATTGATTATAAGCCAAAAAAGATTGATTTCATTGGATTGAGATCGGGTAAATCACAAGAATTTGCGAACATTTTCACATTGGATGGTTCGAGTATTAATTTACCAAAAGTTAAATTATTTGGATTATTAGGTTTTAATAGATTAGCTAAACAATTGGGATTAAAATATTTACCAGTTTTCCAACTGACTCAAATTATTGGTATTATATCTGGATTATCTCCATTAAGATCAGTTGTCAATATAGGTGGAGGATTTAAAGATTTAGTTGCAATTCCATTAAATGAATATAATAAAGATGGTAGATTCTGGAGGAGTTTACAAAAAGGTACTACATCATTTGCTAAAACTACAAGTTATGAAATCTTGAATTTAGTTGTAAAATTAGCTTCAGGTACTCAGGTTTTATTAGAACAAGGTGAAGAAATGTTTGGTGGAAAAGGATCGTCAGCAAGAACAAATAACAGTAAGAAAATTAGAAGATACTCATCATCAGAGGAAGATAACCCAAATGAAGCAGATGAGATTGAATATGAGAAAAATTTATTAGTTTCTTCACAAATCTTGAACAAGAAGTCATTAAATTATTTGAAGAAAGTTGATGATGCAAATAAAAAGACATATCTAAATCTAGAAATTGACGATGATGATTATGATCAAGGTGATGATCAAAGAAAATTCTTACAAAAATCAATATTTTTAATACCAAATGATAATGATGACACAAATGTAAATTTGGATGAATTGAATGATGAAGAATTGGAAGACAAGTTAATAAGTTTGTATTCCAATCAACCTGAGAATATTAAAGAAGGATTAAAATTAGCTTATAAATCATTAGGATCCAATTTCAATGTTACATTACAACAATTGAAAATATTGAAAAAAGAGATCGATAAATCTGAAACTGTGCAAGAATCATTTATCACGATTATCAAGAATTCACCAATTATATTAATTAGACCTATGATTGGTACGACAGAAGCATTATCAAAAACTCTAATGGGATTAAGTAATAAGATTGATGCAAAACATATGATTGAAAATAACGACAAATATAGAAATACTAATGAATAATAATATATACATCTCGCTATTTCAAGAATGTAACCTCAAATGCTGCGGTAGAATCTTCTTTAATTGTTTTTTGAGCCTTATATTGGAAAGATCAATCGTAAAACGATATAATGATCAGAGTTGGTAGTTAATTATATGGTAAGGCACAATAATCTATAAGGCGAATTTAATTGCGCGCATTTGACTGCAAAAAAAGAAATAAAAACAGAAAAAAAGAAAAAAAAATATTTGCAACCTTGTTAAGAAATTTGACAGAATGCCTTCTCATCACACGAGAAAGATAACAAAACTAAGATCGAGAAATCTATTTGTTCAAGAAAATATCAAGAATTATTCCTTATCTTTACGGAATTACCTTTGGAATTGCATTCTACAATAATCCGGCAAAATAGAATATGAAAATAAACGGAGAAATTTGATGTGATTTCAATAGATAAATGAGGTACTTAAACGAGAGAATTTTAGTATTTTGGGGTTACAAACCCAAAGCGGTGGTGTTACATCGAATGCAACCATTCCATCTCAAGGCGGAAACGTAGAGTCCATTCAGTATATGCAAAGGAAGCTATTGAATTTCGATTGTAACCCACCAAATTATAATTAATAACTGCAGATAAGAAAAAAAAAATTTTGCAGTAGTTTATTTGGCAACTTAAAGAGATTTACATGAAACAAGAACTAACTAAATTCTATAATCAGATAACAAAAACCTAAAAATGTAATGGTGATGATGGTGATGATAATGATCAGAAAAATTTTTAGTACTTTATACTTTTTTTTTCTGTCAATCTATTGCATTGTTTCAAGTTTATAAATGATATCAATTTTCACTTTTATCAAAAGTCTTGTATTCTTCTTCTTCCTCCTTTCTTTCTCTTCTTCTCCTCTTCTGTAGATATCTTTAAATATCCAGCCTCATGTCATATTATTTGTCAAGTCACAAACCAAAAAACTATTTACAATCAGTCCATTAACTTTAAATATTAATTGACTTTAAACGACGAACTTATACACTTATTTAACAACTTATTATATCTTATATTATGTCGCATTTACAATCTAATAATTCGATAGTGGAGGAAATTGATCCTGAAAAGAGGAATTTTGATAATCATCATCAAGGTTCTCTATCTGATTTTGAATATGGTAAAGAAAAAGTACCATTTGAAACTTCACATGATTTATCAGTAGATTCAAATACTGAAGTTATACAACAATCAGGATCCAAAAGTGAGAGATTTTGGAGAACAGTTAAAGCCAAATGTCCTTATTATAAATTAGCATTTCATATATTTTTAGGATGTTTTTTTACATCATGGTGGTTATCGATTGTTATACAGGATAACCATAGACATCAATGGTTAATACCAACAATTCTCTGGGGTATGATTATGGTTAGATTAATTACATGGCATTGCAGAATATTGAATTGGACTTTGGCAAAAGTTAAAATCGTATGGGATTATTTTACTGATATAATTTATGCAAAAGTTTTACCACAAAGATATCAAAGATTAATTGCAGGTGGAACTATAACAGTTGCTGTTATAGTATTAGGAGCTTTTATTCCATCCGAAACTGAATTTTCTAAAAGACCAGATAGAGCTATTTCCTTTTTTGGATTGGTAGTTGCTATATTTGGTTTGTTTGTCACTTCAAAAAATCCTAAAAAAGTTCAATGGAATACAGTTATTGGTGGTATGTTGATGCAATATATAGTCGCATTATTTGTTTTACGTACTAAATGTGGGTTTGATGTTTTTAATTTTATAAGTACCTTAGCTAGAGAATTATTAGGATTTGCAAAAGATGGGGTTGCATTTTTAACTAATGAAGAATGGGCTAACCAACCATATTTCTTCTTTACTGTTTTACCAGCAGTTGCATTCTTTGTTGCTTTCGTTCATATCCTTTATTATTATGGTGTTATTCAATGGTTCATCAAAAAGTTTGCATTTTTCTTTTTCTGGTCTTTACGTGTTTCAGGTGCTGAAGCTGTTACAGCTGCAGCTTCACCTTTTATTGGTATGGGTGAAAGTGCAATTTTAATTAAAGATTTGATACCATATTTAACAAAAGCTGAATTACATCAAGTTATGACTTCTGGTTTTTCAACAATCTCAGGTGCTGTTTTAGTAGGTTATATTGGTTTAGGTTTAAATCCACAAGCTTTAGTTAGTTCTTGTGTCATGTCAATTCCTGCTTCATTAGCTGTTTCTAAATTAAGATATCCAGAAACTGAAAATCCAATCAGTAGTGGTAAAGTTATGCTACCAAAACAAGCTGAAAAAGAAATTGAAAAAGATCAACCACAAAATGTGTTACAAGCTTTCAGTAATGGTGCTACTTTAGGTTTGAAAATTGCTGGTACTATGATGATTCAATGTATGTGTATTATTGCAGTTGTTGCATTAGTAAATGGTATTTTAACTTGGTTTGGTAATTATTGGAACATTAATGAATTGACATTGGAATTAATGATGTCTTATTTATTATATCCAATTGGTTTCTTATTAGGTACTCCAAGGAGTGAGATTTTACTGGTTTCAAAGTTAATTGCTTACAAGTTCATTCAAAATGAATATGTTGCTTATAATTTATTGATGACTGAATCACCTTATACAGAAATGTCAAAAAGAGGAATCTTAATTGCAACTTTCTCAGTTTGTGGATTTGCCAACCTTGGTAGTTTGGGTATTACGATCTCCGTTTTAAACACATTGACAAACTACACAAGATCTAATGATATCAGTTCATGTATTATCTCAGCATTATTTTGTGGTGCAATTGCTACATTATTATCAGCCTGTTTTGCAGGAATGGTTATGCATGACCTTGGTAGTTTCAATTTATAGACATACATGATGTACTAGACAGTTGTGATGTAAGTTTTTCTGCAATTTACCTTTCTTTTTGCAATCGATATGGATTTGCACTTGGTAGCAATTGCTGCAAATTACTTTTTCTAGACGAAAAATTAAATATTTTAAACCGATGACTACTACGAATAAAGTTATACTACCAGTTATAAATATTGACAATGATCCAGAAGTTCTAATATTTGATTTAGAAGTGATAAAATACTTGAGAATTGGATTGAATGTTCTTGGTGTCTTAACAGGTACATTGCTGACATTTCCACAACAAAATTTGTTCCTATCAGTACCGTTAAAATTAATAATATGGGAAGTAATATGGTTAACTGAAAATAATAAAGGGATACTAGTAGACGCTAAAAGCTATAGGAATGACAAGCTCAAAATTGGTTCAGTTTCCAAGCTGAAAACTACGAATAATATGGTAATAATCCCAAGTACGGACAATAATAGAAATGAAGAACTAATAACAAAGAATCAAATTGATATAAAAACATTTATAACTAAGTATTTACAAAATTCAAATTATACAATATCAAAATTTATAAATAACTATAAATATTATAAACATCTTCAAAATTCAGGATATTTTATTAACCCAGGTATCAAATTTGGTGGCGATTTAGTTATTTACCCTGGTGATCCATTAAGATATCATTCTTATTCAACTATAAAATTCAATTTCTGTGATATTGACGAAATTATAGTAGGCGGTAGATTAGCTACTAGTGTAAAGAAGAATATGATATTAATTGGTTACGAAGATGAGAATGAAAATGATAAAAGAATTGACGAAATTGATGATGACGTGATTAATGATTTATATAGAAATGACAAGGAGCCATTGACTTTTTCAATAGAATGGTCAGGGTTTGGTTAAATGTAGAAATTTTATAACATAAGCACATATATATTTCTCTAAAACAATCTAGCTAGTAAAATCTAATGAATTTTATTTTTCAAAACATTAAAACCATGTTTGAGATCTTTATTCATAAGCTTTTTAACTTTAAACCATGATTTAGCACCTTGAACTTTTTCATTAATATTGATTTGTAAATCAGTCATTAAATCAATTGAATATTTGACAATATCAAATTCTCCACCTTTTGGATGTTTGCCTTTTTTGAAATGTTTTGGTGGTTTATCATGATGAGGTTTATCATGTTTTGGTGGTTTTTCATGATGTGGTTTATCATGTTTTGGTGGTTTTTCATGATGTGGTTTATCATGTTTTGGTGGTTTTTCATGATGTGGTTTATCATGTTTTGGTGGTTTTTCATGATGTGGTTTATCATGTTTTAGTGGTTTTTCATGATGTGGTTTATCATGTTTTGGTGGTTTTTCATGATGTGGTTTATCATGTTTTGGTGGTTTTTCATGATGTGGTTTAACATGTTTTGGTGGTTTTTCAAGATGTGGTTTATCATGTTTTGGTGGTTTTTCATGATGTGGTTTATCATGTTTTGGTGGACCATTTGAACGATCTCTACTTTCGTGAATATGATCAACTACAATTGTTCCATTAACAGCTTCAACAAATCTTCTATAACCTTGATCAAATGGACCAAATTTAATGTGTGATTTATATAAAGTTTTTAAAGCACCATGACCATGATTACCTTTATTTGATAATACAAAATGTGATTTACCATCTTGTTTAGTCTTTTGGAAAATTCTACCCAATTTATGAATCAACGTATCAATAACAGTTGAATAAACAATCTTTACATCATAGTCAACAATGAAATCTTCTTCATTATCAATATTTTTTTCATGTTGATCAATTGAAAGAATTAATGGATAACTTTCTGAGTTATTATAACCATAAATTGTATTGAATGGTAAATGATATGGTGGTTTATGATGTTTTTTATGTTGTTTACCTTTTTTCAATGGATGTGGATGTGGATGTTCGTGTTCATCATCATGATCTGGATGTTCTGGAACATCAGCATTTTGAATCAAAATTGAACTTGATGAATGACCAATATGAACTAATTGTTGAGAATCACCATATTTTGCATAATTTTGAACATTTGAGATTTCACCTTTAGTGTATGAACTAATTGTAGTATTTAAGACATGACCATTATCTAATGTGAAATTAACATTACTAATCAATTGAGCTTGTAAAATACCTGAAACAATTTGTTGGAACGAATGAGTAAATGGTGGAGTAAATGCAACAACTTTACCTCTACTCTTATGATCAATATTAATAACTTCACCAACTGCATCTTTAATTTTTGGTGACTCATAAGCTAATAAATTAGCTGAGGTAATCCAATTTTCATTAACATTATTACTTTCTGCATGACCAGTTTCACCTAAACCATTTGAAACTTCAATTTCTAAAATTCTTTCATCTGTTGATTTTTCCCATAATAATGGTAATAATCCAGTAACATCAATATTAATTGCTGGAACATCAAATGCTGAAATTGAAACAACTGGTGACCATAAAGCTGGAGAAATACCCCCAGTGAAAATAACAGGTTGTGGAGTTTGTGTACCAATTTTTTCACCATTGAAATATAAATTCAAAAATCTAAGAGGACCTTTACCAATAAATTCATTACCTTCTTCTTCGAAAATTTGAGTATATTGATCAAGAACATTAGTGTACCAAAATTCTTCAGCTGAATTACCTGATGTAAAAACTGAAACTGTTAAACGAGTAGTATTTTTGGAAACTGTTGGCAATTGAACCTTAATCTTATGTGATGATAAATAAGCAACTGGTGCTTCTTGATTATCTTTATTGGAAGTTAATGGATAAACTTTATCAGCTGGTTTAGAAGTAAGAAATAATTTTTGATGAGGTGATGGTGGAGTTGGTGGAGGAGGAACATGATGAGGATCTTTATGTTTAGGTGGATGTTTTGGATGTTTTGGATGTTTTGGTTTCTTTGGATGTTTAGGATGTTTAGGTTTTTTTGGATGTTTTGGTTTTTTATCACCATCATCATCTTCATGGTGTTTTCTAATACCTTTAAATGAGAAACCTTCATTATCTGAATCTGAATCTGAATCTGAGTCAAATTCTTCTTCTTTTCTATGTTTCCAATCAAAATTATGATGTTTTCCATGACAATTTGGTTCAAATTCTTCATATGAAACAATCTTCTTATGTTTTTTAGTTTCTGGTAATTCTAAAGGTTCTCCACGATGTTCGGCTTCAAGTTTTTTATGATCATGATCGGATTCATTGTGATGATGTGGTGGATGATGTGGGAAACGTTTTTCATAAAAATCAGCCACTAAAACAATTTTAAATTCACCAGTTAATTTATCATTTACAATATTGTCCAATTGAAATAAAATTTCATTCTTTTCATGTTGTTTAAATAAATTAGCATACGAAGAAACATCTTTTTTAAATTTTGAATGTACCTTATTATTACCTGGTTCAATGGTTGAAGTTCTCCAAATTTGAGCACCATTAACAAAAATATTAGCTAATCTATCATATTGAACACCACCAACTGAAGTAAATAAAGTTAAAACAACAGCATCAAATGATAAATTTGAAGGAGGAGTAAATTTATAAATTGCAGGTTTATCATAACTATTACCATAAGTATGATTAATTAAAGTAGTATGAAATTTTGATTCACCATAAAATGGACTTGGAACATATGGATAAGAAACAGAAATAACATCTTTTGGAGGTTTAGATTCGGTTTCTGTTTCTGTTTCAACAAAATCTATTAAATGTTTGTATGGTAAACGTTTAAAAGTATGAGTTAAATTTTGGGAGTGGTGACTACATTTAAAATCAAATAATGATTCAAGGTTAAATTCAAAATATTGTGATAAAGTGAAAAGCGATAAGTAAATAACAGCAACTATTGATAAAAATTGAATACCACGTCTTGACCATTTTGCAGTCTTAATAGGTTGTTCTTGTTTTTCATTTGACTCTTGATCTTGATTTTCTAAATCTAATAAACCTTTCTTTTCATCAAAATAATAATCAGAATCATCATCTTTATCATAATCAGAAGTACCATAACTTGTAGTTGATTTATCGGTTGCATCTGATTCCAAATTCTCTTGTTGATCTTCCGATGGTAAACTAATTGGTTGATGGGGTTCCCCATAATATAACTTATTCCAAAATGACCATTCCTTAGCATGAACTTTCATAATGAAAAGTAAGAATATTGATTAAATAATAAGAAAATGGGTTGGAATTATATATTTATATAATACTGTGGGTAGTGTGGCGTACAATTATTTATCCTTCCACCTCCTTATTATTTTTAATATGCTTCTTTTTTATCAAACACCGAATGTTGCTAACCATTACCATTTTACACTTTGTGCACTACTTACTTAATTATTACAAGGCTTATAAGCTCCAATGAAACATCACTTGTTATTTGATGAATTTCTTAAATAATAAGCCAAATTTTAAAAAAACCAAGCATCTTGAATATTTGGATGATTGGTTAAAATATTATATAGATTTCTGGTATTCTATTGTTTAATTATAAAAAGCTTATATCTCTCGGTATTTGACTTTTATGCCTAGATTGCAAATGTTACATCATCATCGGGATGTTACTTATATAAAGGGTATATAATTATAATCTATTTAGTGTATATTTACATTTTGAAATCTACCTTCTAATTCTTTTTGTTCTTTTATATAATAGAGTGTCTTGTTGAAATAACCAATTGCTTGTTTTAATAATACTGTTTCTTTAATTTCATTTTCTTCATCATTATCATTTCCATTTTCTACTTCTTCATCATCTTCATTTTGTTGATCCTGTAAATTATCTATATTTGTTTTAATTAAATCAATCAAACCATTCAAATATTTATAATCAATTAAATCATTACCATAAATACTGGAAATTAAACATTTATTTAGAATTTCAATAAATAATTTCAATGATAAATATGGATCCATGCATGAGTCAGCAATACGTAATGATTTTTGTAAGCATTCTAATACTCTTTTGCCATCACGGTATAACAATATTTCCTCTTCTTCTTGTTCATCAACGTCTTTCTCCTTTTCTTCGTCTTTGTGATCATCTTGTTCTTCTTCATTGTTTTCTTTTTCTTCATTTTTACTTTCTCCTTCTTCTTTCTGATTGGTGTTTTCCATTTTAGGTTTTTCATCCTCTTTTGGTTTCTCTTCTTCGATCATTGTTGTCGGTTTTTCTCCATTTGGTAATAGGATTTCATTCCACCACCATAAATTTGAACATAAATATACTGCTCTACATTGATCTTGCTTTTTCAATAGTTTTGAACCATGTAAAGTTACTTTTGTAATTAATTCTTCATATTGATTCTTTAATAAATGTCTTGTTTTGATCAAACTATTTATAATTAATATTATTGATTCATAAGCAATTGAACCACCGCTCAAAGAATCATGAGGATTAATAAATCCTTTCTTTTTACTATGTTTCAAATTTTCTTCGTAAATTACAAATACTTGATTATAAATTTCATAACTTATTGAATTCAATTTTAATTGATCTGCAACATTAGCAATATTTAAATAAATTTTTAAAATTGTGGAGCTTGAAAATTCTTCATGATTGGAATAAAATTCATCTACTATAATTGATAAATTTTTAAAATTTGATACTAATAAATTTGTGTCGTGAGGTTTATAATATCCTAAAATCTTCGATTTGTATAAATATTTGGTAATTAATGTTGGATATGTGTATATTATGTTTTCCAAGCTTTTATTCAAATACTTCTTTCTGATATATGATAAATTTGAAATTGTTTTCAGTGGATCATCTTGATCACTTTCTATCAATTGTATAATCTTACAAATCTTTTCTTGAATTTCTAAAAACTCAACTGTTATTAATTTTTCATCATTGTTTATCTTTATTGTCTTTGTAATACCTAAATTTTTAGCTGTGTCTAATTTTGATGGAGATTCTTTAATTAAAACTAATAAATATCTAAAAATTGCATCAATTTCAGAAATATCCTTGAGTGGTTCACCTATTTCTAGTAACTTATCAATGATGGTAATTGATATTTTCTTTTGTAATTGTTTATTATTTTGAATCTTTTGATAAAAGTCATAATAATTATCTAATTTGAATAATGTATTAATTGAGCGGAAATAGTTTATTGGTAAAATTAACAAATTAAACCACATTTCTTCATCTGAGTCACTTGTAGATGTTAAATTCTCTGATGCATGTTTATAAATTTGATTTAAATTATCGAAATTTTCTGAATTTTTAAAACTTAATGATAGGTTTATAAACGATTGTAATAGATTAGAATGTTCTTCAATTGGTATAGTTGGATCTAGTTCATTCAAATTTAAATAAAATGACCAAAATTGGTTAAATAATTCATTTTCTTCCTCTTCTTCGACTACTGACTCTTCACTACAATTTATAAATTTATCAACTAAAGTTTCAATTAGCTCTGATTTCCTCAACATTGGATGTAAATTTAAAAACACATCATTCAATAAATTTTTCAAAGTAGTTATTTGAAATTCAATTGGAAAAATTTGAATTATTACATCTATTAAATATGTTTGAGCTAAATGATCTTTACATTGTATGATTTGTTCAGTTATAACTGGAAATACTTTATCCTTATAATAATCAATTGATGAAAACTTCTCATTTGCATCTGTATAATCATCTATAATTTGTGATAATCTAACTAAATTTGATCCAACTAAAATTTTCAATTCTTTACGTTCTTTATATCTCAATTCCCGTTCACTTGAATGACCTTGATGTTGTAATCTGACCCATAATTTATTCATTTCAATGAAATTTGAAATTAAAAACTCTACAGAATCATTTAAATCAGATTCATTATCAAAGGGTAATAAATTTTTAGTTCTTTGACTTAAATAATATCTTAAAAATAATCCTCTAATTGGGTGTTGTACACCATGACACATTTCAATCATATCTTTCATTAAATCTTTAGTTGGTGCTCCTTCAATAGCCATATATGTAGTACCTATATTAATCATCATGTATAATCTCGGAATTATATTTCCTGAATATTGAACAATTTCATATAAATCAGCTAAAAAAACCGAGTTTGATTGTTTTGAGTTTGAACCACCAATTAAATAAGAACTCAAGATCCCTAATGAATCAAATACCAACATATAAATTTCATAATACTGTTTTGGAGTTAAATTATTTGATCTTAATTCATTAAGGAAATTTGAACAATGTTTTAAAGCTTGTAACAATTTATTATCATTTAAATTTGATTTCATTAAATTCAGTTGATGCTTTATATTATTTATACATGTTTGAAGTATTTGTTTTCTTTCATTATTACTCAATTGCATAATTGAACAACCTGGAGATAAAATTGATAAAAATAATCGCACTGAATAAAAATGGGTTGATTCAAAATTAGGTAGCGCTGTATAATATATTAAGAGGTAATAAGGAGGTACATAATCAATAATAACTCATTACTTGAGAATTAGAAACAATTACTCTGTTCGAACACTGCTAAAACATTGTGAACAATAATTTTGCATGATATTAATTATTATTATATATTATAAGTAGTGAAAGTTTCTATTATTAATCTACTAACGATGATACAGACATTTTTGATTTTGAATCAGTTGAATTCTTCCTTTCATTATTATTATCATTACTCTTCTTTATTTCATTAATTGATGTACTACTATTATTTGCATATTCTTGTTTATAATAATTTGAGGATTGTGAATGAGAAGGTGAAGTAACTACCGAACTTGAATTATTATTTCCATTTGGCACTGTTGAATTAATTGAACTTATTGAAAATCTGGTACTTGGAGTTAATAAAGGAGAATTGAATGATGAATTTTGTGATAAATTTCTACTATTCTTAGTCGAAATTGAACTATTTTCTTTTAATGGATTTGGAAAGAAATTTAAATCTGGAGCTATCGAACTCAGTCTTCTACTATCAGTAAAGCTAACATGATGATTATGATAAGTATCTTTTTGACTGTTAGCTAATCCCAATTCAAATACTGTAATTGAATTATGTCTAGTTGCTAATGAACTCATTAATAATGGTGAACCAAAATGTGGTGATACATTGCCTGAAGTACCACCAGAATGATTTGTAGTTGAATTAGAATATGTATTGAGCAAGTTTGAATGTGAATTATTATTTGAATGAGCATGCATCAACATGGAATAAGTAGCACTTGAATGTCTTCTACTGAATGGATCATCACCTATTAGTCTTCTTTTATTACTTTGTGAAATTGGTGGTAATGTAGTTGTTGCTGGATTGGTAGAATTTGTATTAGAATTAGAGTTATAATCAAAACTAGCTGATCTTTGTTGTTGAAGTGAAAAATTTTTTATAATATTTTGTTGTTGGGGATGAAGGTGATTTGACACTGATGGAGATCCAGTAGATTGTTGACCTGAAGTCAAGTTTGAAATGTTAGGGAGATTTGCATTCGATGATTTTTCATTTTGTTGACCAAACATTGAAGTGTTAAATGATATTTGTGGTAAATTATTATGCGGGAACTGTGACGGAATTTGAGAGACTTGAGGTTGTGGTACTTGAGCATGTTCTTTTGAAGGTATTGATGTAATAGAATTTGATGTAGACATTGTAGTTGGTTCATGATTTATATCATCATAGTCAATTGATTTTCTTTTTACACTTGAATTACTAGTAGCTAAGCTTGCTCTTCTTCTTCTATTTGCGCCACCATTCCACCAATTCTTTATAGCATTATCACTTCTTCCGTTCAAATGACGTGAAATTTCTGCCCATTTTTTACCATATTTCAAAACTAATTTTTCAATTAATTCACCTTCTTCAGGAGTTATTGGAGACCTATTCAAACTTGGTTTTAAATTTTGATGATATCTTTCTCGACATTGTTTTGGAGTTCTTGTTTCTAAAGAATTTGAAATCCTAACCCAGTTAGTAGGACCATAAATCAGTATTAAATCAAGCAACTTTTTATCCTCTAAAGGTGACCAAGGTCCTCTTCTATTCGAATTATGTTTAATATTACTTGTACTATTACTGTTGTTATTAGATTCATTTAAATCATTCAGTCGTATATTATTATTGTTATTGTCGTTAGTATTTGGTGGTTGAATATTTGTCATTGTCATATTCATTGACGGTTGAGGTTGAGACGTATATTGGAGATGATGAGGGTAAATTTGTTGATGAGATGGAGGGGGCCTCATAGAATGATAAGAATCTAGGTTAATTTTTGGCTGTTGGGGATTATGAAGATGTTGCAAATATTGTGGAGGGGGTTGAGATTGTAAATTATTTGAATGAGATTGTAATTGATTCGAATGATATGGTGAATGATGATGAGATGGAGTAGCTGTAGCTGTAGTAGTTGAACTATTATTATAATACTGATCTGATTTATTAAACATTACTTATTATTAACTATTAACTATTATTGGAAATCTTAGAGACCAGCTCTCTTTTTATTAATGTGACAAAAAAAATACAAATTAAAATTGAATATTAAAACTTTAGGGAAATTGAATTAAAATAAGAATTGGAAATGTAAGATCTTAGATGAAAGTCTTGATGAAATATATGATGGGATCTTGGTTGTTGAATAATACAAATTTTTCTAACAATTGGTATGTCAAAATTATTTTACAATATATTTATATGGTGACAATTTTAATTTTTTTCTTTTATTTTATTTATTTTTAACTGTAAGGCAAAAAAAAATAAAAAAAAAAAAATAAAAATATTACTGCAAAATAGAATAATTTACATCAATAATAAAAATAGTCAATAAACTTATAACCAAACATCTCTAAATTTATATAAAGATCTGATTATTACGATATTTTCCTAATATAATGAACAGTCAATTAAACTCATGATCAATTATACTAACCTTAATCATTAGGAAAACAAAAAAACAAACGATAACTTATTAAAATCGAATGGTCATGAGTTAAACTTCTCTAACAGATTGAAATTTAACCGAGTTTATGAAGTCATTATTTAATAAACAGTATCTAAAAATAGCGAACGTTTGGAAGCTGGAATACAAAAACTGTTTTGTATATTTTGAGTAATTTTTTGACACTTATTGCCATACATTTTTAAAACTTTTCAACGCTAAAAAATGTCCGAATATTTTTTCGACACTGAAATCTTCTTACTGATTTTGTTTTTTTACTAATTTAGTTTAATACATCTTGCATAAAAAAAAATGTTGTTTTTTTAAACTTAAAAATTTTGGAACGTATGATGGTTAACAGTTTTCTTTAAATAAATTACCCGCTAATTAATTGTTTAGTTGAAATTGTCACTTTAATCTCATTTTGGACATAGTTAGACATAGTTAGACATATGTGTTCAATTGCAATTAGAATGACGATTAATTTACACATGGCAATTGCATTGTTGGAAAAAGAAATATCCAATACTCCAAATTATTCCTGCCATATCAAAACCAGTTTTATGTACAAGATAACCAATCTAAATTCGAAAAAGCGCAAAATATATTATTGAAAATCACAGGTTTTACAACAACAAGTTATGTCAAAATTGTAATAACTCCATTTGGTTTTTCGATGCGGAAATCTTAATCTAGATGCAGATTTCAACAATATCTAAATTTAGAGTACAACAAAAGCCATTAAAAAGGGTAAATTGAGTATTTTTAAATTTAAAGTACCACAAAAAAGCCAATAAAAAGGGTAAATTGAGTATTTTGTGTCATGAAATTGTATATTAATGAATCTCTTGTTAAAAAAATATATTAGATTCTAGTTTCATAACTTCTTATCTTATTTATCGGTTTTTAGAATTTTTTTAGTGAATTTGATTTTGATTTTAATTTAATTTACAAACCCTGCGTCAAAAAGTAAAAGGTTAGATTTATAAGTTTAGGCTGTTTTTTTCGCTATTCAAATTGCCGAAAATTGTTTGGAATACGAACCTTACGATAAACGTCAAAATCGATGATAAGGAAAAACAAATGCTAAGTAGATTCAAATGACTTTAAACTTTGAAAGAATATCTTAAAAACCTTGTGTAGTGTTTGTCAAAATAATAGAAGAAGTACCGAGGAGGAGAAGAAATTCTATTATTTAAATCAACGTTGTTTAATCTTAAACGTTTCAAGTTTAAACTAAAGTTAAAGTTAAAGTATGTCATTCTGTTTGTTTATCAATTCAGTTTCGATTATTTATAATTTGAAGCAGCAATTCTAAATAAGAGTTCAACATCCATAGATTTTCAAATTTAGATAATATAGAATAAAAAGTAGCACATTTACAAGTGCAAGGTGCATGCACTAATAATATTTGATGTTATTGCAAACGTTTGAACCCAATATAGTAACAAAATTAACTTGTAGAATCTTTTTAGAGTTAAGAGCAATTAACAACACCCTAGAGCCAATAATCGACCAGAGAATTTTTTTAAACAGTCTAACAATACTATAAGGTACAACATTTTTTATCACGTTCTATTGTCTTGGCTCATATTGTTCTTAATTTACAGACAATAACATCTACTAAAGGAAGAAGTGATTGGATAATAATATTAACCCAATATTACTAATGTTTATTAATGAGAATTTTAACTTTTGAGTTATAATTAAGGTTAAACTTTTAATCGGTTATAATTTTGTTTATTCATTGCGTGGAAAAACTTTATTTTGTAGCCGTTTAGATTTGAATCTAAATTTAAAAAAATTTTTGAGCCATCCAATTAAAGAAAAATTAAATTCATACGGCAAATATATTCAACCTAGCAAAATAAGAATGACATATCAGTGGATCGTATGATAAAGTATGTTTACCCAACGTTCTTGTCAATTTTTTCCAAATCGTTGCGACATTAAGAGTAGTTATAATTTTAAGCTAAATCATAGTCGCTTTCGGAACAACTTCTTAATTTGGACTTTGTAACTTTATTCGTAAATTTTTTATTTAAAAAAAAAAAAAATTAAAAAAACTGACGCAAAAGACGAAAAAACGCAAGAATGATCAACAGCTTTGAGCTTTGTCCTTTTGCAATTAGATTAGGCTAAAAACTTTAAAACCGGATTCACTTTAAAATATTTTCAAAGAGTTTAAATTATCGAACTCTTTGAAATTTTTTGTGATTGTGGGGATTTCTTTTTTTAACATTGTAAATCTTTTTTGATATTATTATGATCATCATTTATGTTTGTTGGGTTTTGTCTAGGAACTAAAGAAGATAATGATGATTATGATAATAGAAATAAAAGATAATAATCATATGTCGTTCTGTTATATTATTTGAATTTATATTGCAATTTAATAACTGTTTGGCAAAAATAATATTTTTTTTTTTTTTTTTCACTTTCTTGTTTCAGAATTTTAACTTTTATGCATGTCGTCTAAAATAAGGTTTTATTTTCAGACACAAAATTGTACACGGATTTATCACTCAAACTCAAAATTGGAAGTCTCAAAACTTTATCTGCCGCTTTGATTTTGTGTAAATAAAAAATTTTATTGAGAAATTTGAGAAATTATTGATTGACAAGCCGTTATTTACTATAAACATTTATTAAACGGTCCATAGACCAAAATTCTATATAAATGACTGTTTGCAATGGGAATACCACTTGTTAACAATTTCTTCACTCTAAGCATGATCATCTCCATAGTTAACTTCAAAGATTTGCAATGCATCTATGCAAATGAGGCGTTTTCGATCAAAATTATCGTTAAATTAATTGCCTTGGTGAAAACAAAATACAAAGTACGACTTCTGTGATCACTTTAACATATTCAGGATTGTGGAAATTATTCTGTACCTGTGTAGCTTCAATCAAAACTCTTAAAACATATCCAGTGATTCTTAATACTTTTGAAATCATCTAAACTTGTAAAATCGCAAGCAAAACTCTGGTATGAGTTAAATAACATTTCACTCTTGTATTATGTATATTCTTCTAGATCTTCTGGTTCAAATATAACTTTAACCATTAATGAACATGATGGACAAACTGCAATATCTTCTCCATCCTTTAAATCATCTAATGCAATGGCAAATCTATCACCGCATGGACAAGGATATTGAAATATTTGTAAAACTGGATCAAATGTAAAATCTTCAATTTCTATTTCGTCATAAATTGATTCCATATATGATTATAAATCTACCGATAAGATAAGTTTGAAAAATAATAATAACGATAAAATGATCTCGAGAAATAAGAGATGACTTCTTTATTTGTAACCTATATGCCCTACTTGTTTACACGTGCATTGCGCGTGTTGTAGTTTCTTGAACGATTTACACTGAACATCTTGAGCACACATGGTAGCTCGTGTTTTGTAGTTAAGAGTTCCGTACAGTTAAGCTTGGTACGTATTACATAATATTTTTTCAATATTCTCACATACAAAAATTTTTCAAGTTTAATTTTTCTTACAAAAATTTTCCTTTTTTAATTAAACAGTGATACTGAACAGTATGTTAAACATCAAACATTAAAGATAGATATATAATTAAGAACATATAAGAAGATTAAATCAAGTATTAGATATTTAAATAAGTTTGGATCAATAATAATTACTAGTTATTGAGTTTAAATCAACAATTTTATCAAGTTTTTAATTATCAGAAAAGTTTTTAAATTTATAAATACTAACATTGTATTAGGTTAAATATGGGTATTTCTAGAGATTCACGTCACAAAAGAGCAGCCACTGGTGCCAAAAGAGCTCAATTTAGAAAAAAGAGAAAATTCGAATTAGGTAGACAATCAGCAAATACCAAAATTGGCACCAAAAGAATTCATACAGTTAGAACCAGAGGTGGTAACCAAAAATTCAGAGGTTTAAGAATTGAAACTGGTAACTTTTCATGGGGTTCAGAAGGTATTTCAAGAAAAACAAGAATTGCATCTGTTGTTTACCATCCATCAAATAATGAATTAGTTAGAACTAATACTTTAACCAAATCAGCTGTTGTTCAAATTGATGCTACTCCTTTTAGACAATGGTACGAAAATCATTACGGTGCCACTTTAGGTAAAAAGAAACATCAACCAAAAGCTGAAACTACTGAAGAATCAGACGTTAAAAGATCAAAAAAATTAGAAAGAAAATTAGCTGGCAGATCAAGTCAAGCTCAAATTGAACAAGCTGTTGATTCACAATTCGGTGCTGGTAGATTATATGCTGTTATCTCATCAAGACCTGGTCAATCAGGTAGATGTGATGGTTACATCTTAGAAGGTGAAGAATTAGCTTTCTACTTAAGAAGATTAACAGCTAAAAAATAGATAAAAAAATCAAGATAATTTAGGTATTATATATAAATAAATAGCATTTTAATGTAAAATAATAAGAAAAAGTTGAGTAATAACTTCGAATTAGATTTATATATAGTTATCATATTATATTAATATCGTATTAACCTTGCTTGCTCATGTACACTTTCGGATATATCCCCAATGACCATTTCTATGCTTCATTAATGTTTAATGCCATGTCCTCGAAATCCCATTTACAATTTTGCACTCTTGTAACTCTTAAATTTTCTGGAAATTTCAAAGCTTGGTTAATAGTAACTTCTCCCAAAAATAATGATCGTAAATGGGGAGGTAATTTAAAAGATTCATATATAATAACATTTTTCGATTTGATCGTTAACGAAACCAATTTTTTTGGAAATTTTACATTTTGACTTAAGTCTTGAGTAGTAAAGTCTAAAGGTTTTGAAAAATATGTAAGGCTTATTAAATTGGGAAACAAATTTTCATCTTGAAATAAATTTACAGGAACTAACCCATCAGTTATACATAAATCACGCAAATTTTGTACCTGAGTCTATGAATCAAGGAACATAAAATCACAATTACAATTCAAATGTAAAATCTCAATTTGTGTAGGAATATTTAAATCTGTTGAATCTTCAACATTTTCACAATCAAGTGTTAGAAATTTTAAATTCCCACAACGTGCAAATAAATGTTGTGCTTCTACGACATCAAAAATCTTAGCATCCAATTTTATTAAATTTGATAAATCCAATACTTCAGGCATGGTAATAATTAAACTTTTCAAATCCAATGCACGTAATTGTGATGATATATTTTTCAAATTCCGATCTTGAATAGTTTCAACTATTAAGTTAACCACTTTTTTGAATTTTTTATGAAATTTAACATGGTTTGGTAAATTTTTTCTCCAGTCTACAATCACTTTTTCTATCTTATTGGTTATATCATCATATGATTTACCATTCTCCGCCAACCTTGAGGCATATAACAATTTTGGAATAACCTTATACTTACCGACTAATTGATATAATAATCTTAATGATTTCAAATAGGTAATATTATGTATATCTACACCCTCATCATTATTTAGATACTTACCACGATCAAAATGACGTCCCTTATCAATTTTGTGTTTAATTACAATATTCTCTAATAGCTTTTTGATAACAAATTTCTAGTTCATAAACTAAATTACATTAAGCGGCGTAAATTTGATAATTTTCGAGATCAAAAAAATAAGCGCATGGTGAAAATTATATACAAATATCTATAAACTATAAAACAAGATAAAGTAGAGGGATTGATAACTATAGAGAAGAGTATATAGTAGAATATTACTATTAGAGTGCATCAGAATTGAATTGGCGGTGTTTGAAATACTGAGAGCTGAACCCAAGCTCATTTGTTTCAAAATATTTACGTAAAATCTTGTTGAATGCCTCAAATTTGCAACAACGGTGATCATATAAATTCCAATTGCCTTCTTTCAAATATGTACTAGTAGCACTCAAGAAATATCAACATAGAGTCATTACTCAACTATGTCATACAATTTAAAACACCGGTTGGTTCAATTTGTGATAAACTGCATTTATAACAGTCCTGAATCCTTGTATAACTTCATAATATCTCTATAACTCTTTAGTGATTGTTAGTATATTGATTGCAAATATAATTTGTCAGAAGAGGCATGTCGTTATCCTTCAAAGTAGAATTATTAAATAATTCACTCAGTACAGGTCTGTGTAAACATTTTGTTCATCATTAAATGTGATAATAGTTGAAAACATACTAGTTGAATTGAAAGAAAAGCCAATGGTATATTTGATTGTAAATTTTTTTTCACTCAAAGTTTCAAATTTATACGATGCTTTTCACCAAATTGAAAGAATTGTAACATTTTACACACTTTCAAAGTTTATTATATGACACAAGCTAAATTAAAGGATACAATATATGATGATGCTGTTAGTTATCAATATCCTTATAATAAATTATATCCTAAATTAGATGGTATTAATACAAATTATTATACTTCAAATTTAACTAAATTGCCAAATAATTCAATATCAAAAATACATTTCAATCAATTAGAAAAACAACAACAAAAGGAAAAGGACAAAGAAGTTCAATTAGATCATCAATTAATATCAAATTCTTCATCTTCATCATCTACTATATTATCAGAAGCTTCTTTTAAAATACTACAAACTAAATTATCATTAAATTTAATGAAAGAAGAACAAGATGAACAAATTGCGAATTTAAGAAAATTAGATCGTCCAATATATTATAAACCCCCAGTTTCAAGTAATTTTGAAGGTGATAATTATTATGGAATTAAAGATTATTTGCCACCTGGTGTCCAATTAGGTAAACCAAAACTACAAAATAAAATACCATTAAATAAAAAATTATTAGACAAGAAACCTGATAAAATACAGTCAAATATAAATGATGATGATGTTGATGATGATGAATTAGAAGAAGATGTAATAGCAACACTAGAGAAACCAAATTATGCTCCACAACTACTTAATTGGACTCTAAATTTACAAAAAATACTAAAAACAATAATTTATTTCATTATATTTTCATTATTTAAGTCAATTATAAAGAAGATTTTAATTGTTTATCAAATTAAATCAAAAAGTAATGAAACTTTTCATATTGAATTGATAGATAATCTATATACAAATTTGATAGTATTAATGTTTATTATATATTTATTTTAATTGATTTAAATTTTCAATTAGATTGTCAATTTCAGGAAAATCATCTATGAATAATCTAGCTTTGTCTTTAACTGTCTTTGGCCTGTCTACATTTCCTATTTCATCAGATAGATAAAATAATAAAAATTCAATTATTTTAAAATTTAATCTTTGTTGTAACAGATTTGAATTTCTTAATTTATTTTTCAACCCTGGAGAAAAATCATCCAGTGAATTCAATTTAAAATTGGAAATGATGATTGAACAACCATTACATTGTTCAAAATTTCTATAATTTTTAAAATCTTTAAGCATGATGTGAATTAAAGTAGATATGAAATTAATTTTAACTATTAATTCATCATCATCATCTGAATCCTGTATTATATTTAATATAATTTTCAAATTTTTTGGTCTATGAAACAAATGTTTTGACTGTTTATGCACTAGTAGTAAACCTTGAATTAATTGATTACATAGTAGTATTGAATCATTATTTAAACTCTTATTCGATAGTGTTTTCAATAAATACGATGTTAAATTATATTCAAAATTTGACTGTAATTTAATAAAATTGGTTAATTTGAGTGATTTTTCTTTTGTTGTTTGATATTGTTGTATATCTGATAATAATTCTCTTCGTAAAAAAGTCTTTAACTTACCTAAACCTTGTTCTACATCATTTATTGATGTTGAATCTAATAGATCTATAATATCTAAGATCTCAAATTCCATTGATTCTTTAATTAATTTTTTCCTCGTCTAATTTCATGAATATATTGATTTATTAATTCGAATTGAGTCCTACGGAAATCGCCATAAATTTGGATTAAATTTGGCCAACTGGACGCCGTCCATCGACGCGAATTATTATTAGTTTTGGTCGAAGGCTATAACGAATAATAAAATCATTAGGTCGTGCATTTATCGCATTATTTCTCCGCCTCAACCAATTCAGGAATATTTTAAAACACATTCAAGTAAATTATTAGACAATTGCAACATTTATTCTTTATAACAACTACTCTTTTTGATAAAGAGATTTATATTAATATCTATCCATCTTTGGCTATTTTATTTATTTACAATCGTTTAATTGGGGAATTATTATAGATTAATAGATCATATCTACTACTTTGTTACCATTTACACCACTTTTCATATTCAAAGTCAGTCATATAATTTATCTTTATGTCTAGTTCCTCACCATCAAATATTATACTAGGTTGTTCAGTTGCTGTTATATCATCTGCCATACAGTCTTTAGGTATAACATTACAAAGAAAATCACATTTATTACACAATTTTTATGCAACTAGTATAAATAGTAATATTTTAGATGATGTTGGAGTAGTACATTTAAATCATCTGCAACAAAAGAGAAAAAGAAATATGTGGATACTTGGATTTTCATTATTTATAATTGCAAACATCTTGGGATCTATTATACAAATTACAATATTACCATTAATTATATTATCACCATTACAACTGATTGGTTTAATTTTCAATAGTATATTTAGTTGTTTATTAATACCTGGTGATGTTTTTACCAAAAAATTATGGTATGGTACTATAATTATCAGCATAGGCGCATTTATAATTGCATATAATGTAAATGTTAAACCTGATGATGATGATCCAATAAACATACCAAATGTAGATGAAAGATTACAAGCATTAGTTGATAAATTATTCAATAAATCATTTATGATTTGGTTTATTAGTACTTTTATAATTATGGGAATTTTATTATTGATAAATAAATTTTATTTAAACAAGAAAATTAAAGAAACTTCAACAAGTACAACCAAAGATCTTGATGATTCTCATTGGTTTAGTTTTAATAGATTTCAATTTTTTAAAGGTATAAATTATGGTATTATAAGTGGTACATTAACTGCTCATACTTTTTTATTTGCCAAATCAATAATTGATATAGTAACTGAAAGTATCATGAAGAGCCATTCATTAAAAGATTTTGTTCAAAATCCATTACCGTATATTTTAAGCTTGGTAATGTTAAGTATAGTTGGTTTACAGTTGACTGCTTTTAATTTAGGTTTAAAAGAAATTACAACTGCTATATTATATCCATTATGTTTTTTAATTTATAATTTGATAAATTTAATTAATGAAATTATATTCAGTTCATTATTAACAAATGATAAAATGTCAATTGTACAATTAATTTGGATTATATTTGGTTTATGTGGGGTCTTATTTGGAGTTATTATATTGAGTTAAATACACAGTTTTAGACTATGAAATAACAACTTGAAAATCTCTAATCATTTTACTAAAAATCAAGACCATTTTCAATTTGGTTAATGGACTTATTTAGACCATTTTCATTTTGTTTAATGGACTTATATTAGCACGAATAGTAGTGCCAGCTCTCGCTTCGAGTTGTAAATTTCTCGGCCGACGTCTTGGTTCACGTGGTTCCAAAGCTTAATGTCTATTAAAAGTAGATTTGCTGCAAAATTGATCTATATACAGTCTCTTCATACTTTGTCCTAAAAATTAAATTGCAAATAATTCCATCAACATCTAGGCTATTGTTCTTAAACCTGATCCATTAACATTGCCATTCAACAGAGAGTTGATTGTTAATAGTAATTTTCATAAAGACCTGATTTTGGTCATTTCATACTTCATTCAAAAAATCTCAAAACACGCTTAATTGCGAGATAACTAACACTTAGACTTCATTCAACAACTTTAAATGTAGCTGATCTGATTCAGTTTGCTTTAAAGACACTGGGTGTTGTTCTTTCAAGGTGATACAATTATTTTTCCAAAAATTTCGCATCACCCTTAAAAAATTACTCTTCCAATTTTGATTGCCTAAACACAAAAATATTCAAGGTTCATCAATACGGAGATCTACAATTGTTGATAATTTTAAAGTATTCTTATCTTTAGTTTAGTTGTGTTATTAAATTTTTCGCAGTCGATTAATTCGAATTTTGCCATAGTTTAGGGAAATCTTTTAAATTTCTGGACTTGGGTGAAGATCAAATCCAAATAAGTGCAGGACCTTAGTATAAGATTCTATATATATATGACTATGTTCAATAGTTAAGTTTTGGCCTTAATTAAATCATAAACCACATTTTAATTTTTCGAAAAATTTTTGTATGATGAAAAAAATGCCAAAATGACAACTTCAAAAAATAAATGTTTGAATTTTATGACTTGACATATATAGTGGAACAGAAACAAAGGCATCTTGTTTCATATAAGTGGTTCTCATTTCGAGCAAATTCGATTTTCATGACTTATAAGCAAGCATCTTTAGTACGAGGTCGCCCTAAATTCAGTGCGAAAAATCATTTTCTCGCTCGCACCCACCATACATTAAATATAAACTCATGTACAAGAGAAACAAATATATAAAAGTGTACCACATCTGTAATATGTAGTAACACGCTCGAGCTATTAAGGATAATCTCGTAAATCATGACATGTCTTTGTAGATCTCAAATAGATCCATTTTATTCGTTTTAGATCTTGTGGTTTTTTACCCCTTTAAATTTTCAACCAAAATAAATTAGACGAAAAAAAAAAAAAAAAAAAATAATTTTAATTTAAATTTTATTTTAATTGATTCAAAATTAAAAAATATAACAAGAGATTAACTATAATTATATGTATTGAACAGAACTATATATATATCATCATCATCATCCCAAACATTCTTACAGTTATTTAATTAATTTGTAAGCTAACAGAATATCAATATGCTTTCTATCTCATCTTATAAAAGAATTGAAGTTATTGGTAGGGGGAAATTTGGTATTGTTTATAAAGCTCAGAATAAACAAACTAAACAAATTGTTGCCATTAAAGTTTTAAACTTAGATAATCAAGATGATGAAATACTAGACGTTCAAAAAGAAATCCAGTTTCTAACTGAATTAAAAAATATACCAAATATAACTCATTATTATGGTTCAATTTTAAATGATACAAAATTATGGATTATAATGGATTATTGTGCTGGAGGTTCTTTAAGAACTTTATTAAAAGCAGGAGTATTGGAAGAGAAATATATTGGTATTATAGTGAGAGAATTATTAATTACATTAAATTATGTCCATAAATTAGGGGTTATACATCGAGATTTAAAAGCTGCAAATATTTTAGTTTCAAAAGATGGTCATGTTCAAATTTGTGATTTTGGAGTTGCTACGAAATTAACAAATTCGAGTGCAAAAAGAAACACAATGGTGGGGACTCCATATTGGATGGCTCCTGAAGTTATTAAAACTGGTGAAACTTATAATTCAAAAGCTGATATTTGGTCCTTAGGAATTACAATTTATGAAGTTGCAACTGGGAATCCACCTTATTGTGATAAAGATCCAAATTGGGCAATGCAATTAATTAGTTCCAAAACTCCACCAAGATTAGAAGGTAGAGAATACCCACAACCATTAAAAGAATTTATTGCATTATGTTTAGATGAAAATCCAGAAGAAAGACTATCAGCTGAAGAATTACTAAAGACTAGTAGATTAGTTAAAATTTATAAAAATTTACCAACTAATTTATTAAAAGAAGTTATATCAAGATATTTATTATGGAGAGATAGAAATAGTTCAAGAGATTCAGTATTTATAAATTTAGAAGATGAACCTGAGGAATTGGTAGATAAAACAGTTGAACAAAAACATAATAACCTAAATTTACATCATGATAATTCATCAAATCAACAAATTCAAGTAAGATGGGATTTTGATTCATTAGAAAGTAGAGAATATATAATGGAGAATGAAATTGATATGAACCATATAAATCAAATCTATGAATATGAAAATGATATTGAACAATATCAAAATAATAATAATCAAGATGATTTTGGAACATTACCTACTTTAATACCAAATTACTCAAATTCAACATTATCAAATGCAAATAATAATAATACCTCCGTCAAGGATATACCGAAATCATTACAAATGTTATTTGAAGAAGGTTCTGAAGATGGTAATAGTATACATGAAATACAAGAAATTCATCAACCTCCACCTCCTAAATTTTCATCATCAAGAAGAATGGAATCTCCAAGTATTGAAATACCTGATATTGATACATTAAATAATTTCCCATCAATAAGTGTAAATAACAACAATAATCATCCACCGTTAAACAAACCACCTACTTTATTACATTCACAATCTGCATCTGGTCAATTAGAGAATAGTAGATTTATATCATTAAATACATCACCTAATGAATCAAGAACAAGGAAAAAGACGATATCAAACTCAATAAATTCACAATCGAGTACAACAAATTTAAATTCATCAAATAATATAAATATTATACCTACTCCACATACACCGCCATATACTGGACCAACAATTGTTCGTACTCCATCACCTAAACCTCCATCAAATCAAGCATTATTAGTTGCAACAACTTTAGGTACTAAATCAAATTCTCCATCAAAAATGAAAGCATTGAATTCAAATTTAAATCCATTACTACAACCTATAAATTTGAAAAATGATTCAAAACAATCATCACCTATAAATAGTAACAATATGAATAATTCAGCAAGTGCTATATCACCATTACCACCAATACAAGCACCACCACAATTGATTCAACATAATTCCATGCCAAATTTACCAACAACTGCACAACAATCATCTTCAACAATCAGTGTAACTAAGACAAAACGTAATAAACCACCAGGCTTTATTCAAATGCCAACACCATCAAATACAATAAATAATTTAACTGTGTTGACTGATATACCACAACAACATGATAGTGAGAATGTGAATCAGTTTGGTATTAATCCATTACAAGCTGCTCATATGCCAATATCAATGACACCAGTCACTGAAAAAGAACCACCAAGTTTTCCAATTACAAATAAAGAAGACGATGATAAAACAAAAGAGACTACAACTACATCACAAATTCCTTCTTCTCGGCCACATCAGAATAGTATACTGGGACAAAAGAAATCATCATCATTATCTAATTCAGTTAATTTATCTCAATTAAATAATGTAGCTACTCCGTCAACTCAAAGAAATGTTTCAATTTCCTCACAAATTAAAGAAACAAGAGAATTTCCAAGTATACCAGCATTAAATAATGAATTTTTTATAGACTCAACTACTAATAAATCAAAACTTATAAATGAATTAGATTTTATGATTAAAACATTTAGTCAAGGTTTGGAAATATTAGAAGAAAATTTATAGACGATGAAAAAAAAAAATAAATATTCAATTTTATACGATAAAAAAAAATAAATTTGATCTCTATGCCACCCAGGATTAGACGTAGAATAACATCTTCAAAGAAAGAAGAAATAGAGAAAGAACAAGAATTATTATCAAAATCAATTGTACGACCCTTTGATGTATTAAATAATTTACCTGTTAGTTATTCATTACCAAATATTGAAGTTTTAAAACAACCTTTAACTGTTAAAGATTCTGGAGTATTATATAGATCATTATTAAAATCAAGAACAACTTATCTTACATCATGTCCTATGTTTCAATTATATTGGGTAAAACAATCTTCATATATTAGGAAATTAATGGATGAAGGAAAACCAATTCCAAAACATTTAAAAAGAGATGATACATTAAGTGAAAGAAAAACAGTATTGGGAAATGAAGTAAATGCAAGAGATATAATGGTAAAATTATTAGATTGTGGATTAAGTATTGGACCTCATTCATTTGATGTAAGGATATTTATTGCAAAAGATTCAAGATCAGATACAAAGGAAGATAAAATTCAAAAGAAGAAAGAAAAAGAGGAAAAGAAAAGACAAAGACAAGAAGAAAAAGCAATAATGGAAGAAGAAAGAAAACAAAGGAAGATAGAGAAAGAAAAGGAGAAATTTGAAAAGGAAAAGGAGAAGATCAAAATACAAGAACAAAAGAGGAGAGAAGAAGAAAGGAGACAATCTGATCCAAAGAAGAAAACAACAAAGAAACAAGGTGAAAAGAAACAAACAAAAAATTGTAAAAAGTCCTCAAATATGCAAACTGATGAGAATCAAATCATGATTAATAATTTAAATTACATTGCTTCTTTAAAAAGCTCACTTAATGAATTAATGAAAGTTGTAGCCCATGGTGAAGCAGATAGTCAACAGATATTAGAATTTCAACAATATATTAAACTAGCTAAAGATTTAGGCCCACCTCCTCATAAAGATGAAGAAATTGTTGTATATTTAGAAAACATGAATAATCCAACTCCAATTAAAATTGAAATACCACCACCATTATCAAAAGAAAAGAAACCTCCAAAAGAGAAAAAAGTAAAACCTCCAAAGGAAATAATACCCAGAGATAAAAAATTAACTGCATTTCAAGAATTGTATCTGCATGATGCAACTTTATTATTTGAATTTGTTGAGAATTCAAACACAAGATTTCAAATACCTAAAAATTCAATATGTGAAGTTTTGGAACCTTCTACTATGATAAATGCTGACGATGGTGATGTTTCAGATAATAAAGATATATTAATTAGTTTTTTATGGATACATAACCAAGAAGAAGTTAATGAATATGAACGAAAATTGGAAGAATATAATGAAATAAAGGAAGAAGAGAAGAGGAAAGAGGAAGAGAAGATAAAAGAAGAAGAAGAAAAGAAAGCAAATGAAGAAAAAGAAAAAAATGAAGAAGAGAAACCTAATGAAAATGATAAGATAGAAGAAGATAAACCAGAAGAATCGGAAAATAAAGAAGAGGAAGATCCAGATGCCGTTGAAGTTAAACATGAAGAAGAGCAATCTACTGATGTTAGATCTGAAGAGCAAGAACCGATAGAAAATAAAGAAGAAGAACCTAAAAGAAGATTTGGCAGAGGAAGAAAAAAGAAAAGAGGTCCCCCACCAAGAAAACCAGCTACTCCAAAAGAAATACAACCACCAACAGAACCTGAAATTAGATTTACTAGTGTTTCATTTTCATTACATGGAATTCCAACAAAATTATTACCAATTTTTTTAAACAGTGTTAAACCATTAGAAGAAGTTCAAAGTTATATGAAACATATACTTGAAGTTGGAGTACGAGCACCATCATTTTATTTATGGTATCAAGTTGATGGTAAATTAGATGAATCATTAGCTGAGGATATACGATCTGAATTGGTTTCTGAAGAGAAAAGAATGACTGGTATACCCACAATCCAAGAACCTAGTGAAAAGAAAGTATATCCAAAAAAGAAGAAAGTAACTACAGAAGAAGTTGAAAATAAAAAAAACAAAAAAATAAAGATTGAAACTCCACCACCTATCGTAAATTAATAATATATACAAGTTTATTTCTTTCCTGGAAGTATTAAATTTAATAATTGTTCCAAACTTTCACTCTCTTTCTTTTGTCTTTCTTCTCTATAAGAATTTGAAATATCAAAATCATTTCTTGTTGGAGTAAATCTATCATCAGTTTCCATCCATTTACCTAATTTAATACCTTCTGAAAATATTCTAACGGTACCATCATCAGATAAATCAACTTCATTAATTTTATATGGCATTTTAAATTGTCTTGTATGTTTACCAGGTTGATTTCTTGAATAATTTAATTGTAATGCAACTGATCTATCACTTACATTTGAAATAAAACCACCAATTGCTGCTTCTTTATTATTTACTAATCTACCAGGAGCAACAATTGAATGTTTTATACCATTTGGAGTATTATTTAATCTTCCTTTTTGATTATATGTAAACCCACCAGTACCTTGAATTATATTTTCATTACCATAAGTTGAATAAGTAGACATAAAATTTCCCAATGTAACTTCGTTTTTAATTAAATTTTCATTTTCAATTAGAAATTCTTTTATTGCAATTGTTAAATCACGATAATCTATGGTATCTCTTTTTTGAAGTATTAATTTTGGATATTTAGATATTAAAAATTGTTGAAATTGTTTATATATAGATTTATTTTGTTTTAATAATTGTAAAACATCATTAATTTTGGAATTTTTAGGTAATCCTAATAATCTAATCATACTTCTCCATGGTGTTAAACCAACAAGACTTTTATTTTTATCATTTGGAAATAATGGATTTGGTGTTTCATAGCGATTTTTTATATTTAATCCCAATTCTTGAAATATTAATTGATTATAATGATGTCCTGAATTTCTTTCTACATCAGGCATGCTATATTTATTATCTAAATCATTATATGAAATATGGGAAACTCCAATTTTATTTGGTAAAGTACTTTTTAAACCATAATTTGATCTTGATGCATTTTCAACGGGTGTAAAAATTATTTGATGAGTTGGTATTGTTGAATTTATCGTACGTATTCTTGAATTTGGTTTTGGTTTAGCTACTTGAGCCAATCTTGAAGTTTTAACCAAATCAAATAATTCCCTTGACATGGTTAGTTGGTAGTCGTTATTACAAAAAAAATTTTACAACTATAAAATTATCATCGTGTAATTGGTTACAAAAGAATGGCTGCAAAAAATATTTCTATAGTACAATTCTATATTTAACAAGCATACGAGAATGATATACCTAATCTATTAACTTCTGGTGTATTTGTTGTTGGATTTAACGCAATTTTAACACCTGTACTTACTAATATATCTTTACATCTACCTTCCCATAATAATTTCATCATTTTATCATTTAAACTAGTGGAAACTTTGAGTACTGAAGAAAAATCAGATTCATTTACTAAATTTTGAAAAGCTGTAGTTACTGCTTGATTATTTAACGTTTTAGATGAGACTAAATCTGGCTTTATTTGATAACCATTATCTATACTCCGTATTTGATTTAAAATCTCTGTATTTGTTGGTGGTAGATCATTTTTAATTGGAAAACTTTTCAAATTATTCTTCTTTCTTGAATAACTATACAACTCAAAACCTAATGATAAATTACTTGCATATGAAAAGAAATTAAAATCATATTTTGAACAAAATGTAGATGCAACTGATGTTTTAACTGTATATGTAGATGAAACATGACCTAATATTGGATTTATAGCTAGAGTCATTGTTAGAGGTTTACCTGTTGATGTAGATCTAGTTGAGTATCTCAAAGCTGTTGATAATCCTGGACTCATTGTTCTTGCAGCATACCATAATTCAGTACCGATTGAAACGACAGAATTATCAAATTTGGGGATCAAATTGGGATTAATTTTTGAATTTAGACTTGAACCTAGATTATACAAACATCTGACACCTAATAACAATTCATTTGTTGAAAATATTAACTCTCTCAGATATTTAGTCTTATTATTTTGTAGATATACAATCATTGTACCATTCTTCTCTAAATGTGGATTACTTATACATTTAATTAATAATTGCGTATTTTCCGATATTCTTTTAATTAGCATAGCTTCTAACGCAGAACCTGGAAAATACATTCTACCATATAATAAAGAACTTGATTTCGAATTTAAATTTGAATTTAACTGTTTATTCACTAGTAAAACTGGTTCAATGATTTTAAAACCTGCAATTGCATCTTGTAATGAAATTTCTTTAGTACCCATTGTATTAGTTAACGGTATAGACGAATATAAATAAGCTAATGAACCATTTATTTGATGTTGATTAGATAAAGTAAATGAACTAGCAGAATAATCGGTTGTTTTATTTGAATTATCAATTTTTATGCCATTGGGTATTGAAAATTCTAATAAAGCATTTGAAGTAGCAGTTATATTTGAATATATATTATCTTCATTCCAACCAATTGATTTATAATAACATTTTTGTAAGTATTCCATATAAGTATACATATGGGAATATTATTCATTCAATATTCTTTGATTATTATTTGTTTTGATTTAATTTGATTAAATTTATTTTTTTTTTTTTTTTTTTTTTTTTTTTGCATCTAATCAAAATTGAGTCACCATGAGTAAAAGATCAGCTATAATACAAAGAAATACTAATGAAACTAAAATACAAATAGCCTTAAACTTGGATGGTGGTAATGTATCATTAGAAAAATCTATATTTGAAAAAAATGGAACAACAGAGGATGAACATGCAAAACAAATATCGGGTGGTCAATTAATAAATGTCCAAACTGGTATTGGATTTTTAGATCATATGTTACACGCATTAGCTAAACATTCAGGTTGGTCATTAATTATAGAATGTGTTGGTGATTTACATATAGATGATCATCATACAAGTGAAGATGTTGGTATTGCTTTAGGTTTAGCTTTTAATAAAGCTCTTGGTCAAATTAAAGGTGTTAAAAGATTTGGTCATGGTTTTGCTCCATTGGATGAAGCTTTAAGTAGAGCTGTTGTTGATTTATCAAATAGACCATATTCAGTTATAGATTTAGGTTTAAAACGAGAAAAAATTGGTGATTTAAGTTGTGAAATGTTACCCCACGTTTTAGAAAGTTTTGCTCAACTGGCTAGTATAACATTACATGTGGATTGTTTAAGAGGTTTTAATGATCATCATAGAGCTGAATCTGCTTTTAAAGCTTTGGCAATTGCTATAAAAGAAGCTATATCAAAAACTGGTAAAGATGATGTACCAAGTACTAAAGGTGTTTTATCATAATTGGTGTCATTTAATTGTGGAAACCATGTGAATATACAAACTTACCTAAATTGAACTCACCAATGTACTTTCTCTTTTAAAAATCTGTGATTGGCTTCATATTTAGTTGTTTTGCAACACAATTTAAAATCTGAAACAAAAAAAAAAAAAAAAAAAAACATATTTTTATTGTGCAGCCAATTTTATTTTGCAGTCAAATAAGATTCAAAAGCAGTCAATCAATTGAGACGTCTAACAATAAGATTTAGCTTCATGAATGACTATAATTATATATAATGACAAAGTATCAACATAACTATATGATCCAAACTAAACATTTGCAAGAGATAACTGATAAACTCTTGAATAAATTATATAACGAAATTGAACACTGAAATTATTTGAAGCATGACTAAACTCTGCTAATCTCTCTGTGTTCTATTAATTTCTCATGTCTGTAAGCCTAATCTCAGACGATGATAGCCACTTGTATTCATCAGATATCTGTCAAGCTTTTGTCATTACAATTTTATTTCAATTTAATTTGAATTCTCCAGTCAGAACAAACTAACCTTGAAATAAAAATATATAATAACAAATACGCCAGGCCACATTAAAATTTGATCATAATTTATCAAGTTTAATAAAGGGCTTTAGGTAAAAATTAATCTGAATTATCATTATTAAATTGACTTCAAATATTCAATATAATTAATGACCAAAAAACCTATACAATTTAAATCATCCTCCTTCATTAGTTCCAAATACTCAAACTGTTCCCTCAAATTCAAATCTAATCTCATGAATCATCATAAGTCAAATTATTTGAATAGGAACAACTATCGTTCCCTTATTTATCACTTCCGCAATTTCACGGTTCCTAGTTTCAAGTTCCCAAAATTCACTACAGGAATGCAGCTTGTATGACAGCTTACATGAAGACGAAGAACTCTACATTCAATCTATTCCAGGGCTCCCCATTACTAATTTGTCGTTATAACTAGATAAAACTGTATCATAATTTAGTAAATACCTTGTATTTTGAGGACGAAAAAACATCACATTGTTTCACATCCTTTTTATCTTGGCTGAGTCCTTTCGTTAGTAATCCAGGTCGATTCAACAAATCTTCAAGGATTAAAAATGTCTTTACGTAAATTTGAACAAGGCATCACGATAAAAAAAAATATATTCATCGTCTAAAATTTTTATGCAATATCGAAGATTTTCAATACTACGTAAATTATTAAAGCAACAACCATATGGATCTGGTGATATAAAACCAGTATTCAAACCTCATTATTCAAATGATAAAAAAATAACGTTCGAAAAAAATTTACCATTCCAATCAAAACCGAAAAAAATATGGGAAATTCAAGGTATAAGTAAAGATGAATTTTTTAAAAGAAAATATGGAAATATAAGTGCTGAAGAAAGACAAAAGTTGAATGAGAAAGTAGAAAGACAAAGGAGGTATAGACAAATGAGAATCGATCATGAAAAATCAATTAGAGAAAAAGAATTTAAAGAAAGACAAGAATTGAGAGATAGAATAAGAAAGGAGAAGTTTGATAAATTGGGAACTAAAGAAGAATCAAGTCATAATTATACTGCTGATCCATTATTTGAATACGTTTATGGTACACATTCTGTTAAATCTGTTTTATTAGCTAAGAAGAGACCAATTTTAAATTTATATACTCATAATTTAGAAGATTCAAGTATTAAAAAATTTGCAGAAGATGAATATGGTGTTAGAATACGAAAAGTTGAAAATAAGAATGCATTGAATGTTTTATGTAATAATGGTGTACATAATGGTGTTGTTTTGAAAACTAAAAAATTGCCCATCTCATATATTAAAGAATTGAGTCAAGTCAAAAATAATGAGTATCAAGTTAAAGTTGAAAGTGCAATTTCCAATGAAGAAGAAGAGATATTGAAGAAAGTTGTAAGAGACAATAATAAAAACACGGAGCTATATCCAATTGCAATTTATTTAGACGGTGTTACAGATCCACAAAATATGGGATCAATATTAAGATCTGCATTTTTTTTTGGTGTTGATTTTATAGTAGTGCCAGATAATTCAAGTGCGAGATTAGGACCAGCTGCAAATAAAGCATCAGTTGGATCATTAGATTTAATTGATATTTATAAAACACATAATAGTGTAAAATTGTTTGATCAAATAAAATCAAATGGATGGCATGTAATCTCAGCTGCTGGTAAATTAACAAACAACAATAATGATCAACATGAAACTGAAAGTAAATCACAAAGAGTGGATAGGCATTTACAAAATAAATTTATTGAATTATCAGATTTGAAAATTATTTTGAAACAAAGCCCAGTTATGTTAGTTTTAGGTAGTGAAGGAAAGGGAGTTAGTAATAGTTTGAAAGTAAAATCAGATTATTTGATAAGTATACCAAAATATAGAAGAGATGATACAATAGTTGATTCATTAAATGTAGGAGTTGCCACGGGTATAATTATACAAAATTGTGTAGAACAATAGATAGAATATGCAAATAGTAATAAATTGACATTGTATATATATGTGTTGCTTATAATATATAAATAAACGTTATCTATCAAATGTCTATTGTCACTTTTTGCAGCCATTTGGTAGTTATCAAAATCATATGAATCGCTTAAAATTAAAACCCAAAAAAAAAAAAAAAAAAAAAAAAAAAAAAAAATATATGTTATCAAATGAAAATGTTTCACAACCAAATTATTGGATATTTTTATAACTATAAATACAAATAGATTTATTCAATTTTGATTTAATTGTCAATTTATATTACTATATTGCATACTAAATATATACAAGTTTGAGTTTTTACAATGGTTGATTATCATTTAGTTGTTTTGGTCCATGGGTATGTCTCCAATATTTTTTAGCTCGGGGTTAAATTTGACAAGACCGAATTAAACCACAATTTAATAAGAAGTTAATATTAACAAGTTTTTAGTATCTGGGGTAATTCCTCACATCTTGCTTATGTTGAAAAACAAATGAAAGAACAAATTAAAACAAATGATGGTAGTAAATTATTACTTCATAAAACAGGGTCTCATTCTGGTTATTTAACTTATGATGGTATTGATGTAAATGGTAAAAGAATCAGTGATGAAATTATAGAACAAACAAGTAAAATTGAGTCAACTATTGGTAACAAAGTCACAAAATTTTCAATAATTGGTTATTCTTTAGGTGGTTTAATTTCAAGATATGCAATTGGTATTTTACATTCTCAAGGTTATTTTGATAAAGTTGAACCAATTAATTTTAATACATTTTGTACTCCTCATGTTGGTGTATCAAATCCACAAACTCATAATTTATCAGTTAGAGTATATAACTCAGTTGCTCCACATTTTTTAGCTTTAACTGGTTATCAATTCTTTTTACGTGATAAAGTTGGTCAACTTAATAAACCTCTATTAGTTTGGATGGCTGATCCAAATTCTCCGTTTTATAAATCATTAAAAAACTTCAAATATAAATCATTATATGCTAATGTTTTAAATGATAAGAGATGTTCATGGTTTACTGCTTCAATTTCAAGAGATGATCCAATTAATTCAATGTATAATAAACTGGCTAAAAACATAATTATAGAAGATTATATTAAAGGTTATGAATCTACAATCATCAACATTCAAAAACCATTTTATTTTGAAAGATCAAAACATTCAGTAACTTATAATGATGGTTCAAAAATACGATTCTTATGGAAAACTTTAAATTGGATTAAAATTATAAGTACAATTATTTTATATACCCCAGTTTGGGCAATTTCATTCATTGTCTCATCAATTTATCAAAGAATTAAAATGAATAATAGATTAAAAGAGTTCTTCAAAACAAATGATTTATTACATTTATATAAACCAAGTACTGGTTCAGAAAGTGACTCAGATGAAGCTGGTGGTATATTTTCAGAACTTTCAGAAAAAGTTCAAGATGAACAAGAAGATATAGTTGAAGATATGTATTCAGCTATGAATTATAAAGAAAGTTATTCAAAACATATAATACCAATTAAATTAGATTCACATCAAAAATTTATTGTTGATAAATTAAATACTTTAAATTGGAAAAAATTCCCAATAATATTAAGAAATACCGTATCAACTCATGCTGGTGCTATTGTAAGACACAATGATCCACATTTTGATGAAGGTAAAGTTGTTGTTGCTCATTTTATAAATGAAATATTTAGATTGGAATAAATATAGAGAGATTAATATTACAAACTCTTATGCTTGTATTAAAGTAATTCTACATAGTTTGCAGGAAATATACCTGTTACTCCGTTATTTCTTCCTGTCCACCAATCATCAACAGTTTCTGACTTCTTTAAAATATCAATGACATCTCCTTTTTTAAATGGTAAATCTCCATTTTGTTCACCTTTAAATGTATATAAAGCAATTGCTTGATTTGAATTTGTCTTTTGAGCACCACCAAAATTTGGTTTTGATGAAGTTGATGGTCGAGATGGAGCTCCCGATGATGAATTTTGTTTATTTGGTGATAATCTTGTTGAATTTAATCTTGAACCTAATCTATCAACATCACTATTACCTCTTAATCTACCATATTTACCATTTCCATTATTATTATACTGCAGGTCATACACATCATCTTCCCATGTTGATCTTTTACTTGTATTTGATGTATGTCTTGTTGAATCTGCTCTTCTTCGTGATGAACTTGGGGTATAATCATCATCTGAATAATCATCATTTGAATAATCATCATCATAATCATCATCAGGATATCTTTTATTTCTTGATCTTCCTCCACCACCGAATCCACCAACTGTATTACGACGGCTACCACGTCTACTTGAATAATCTGATGTTGTATCTGAAAATTCATCAGGAATATCATCATAATAATCATCATTATAAAAATCATCTTCATCATAAGCCATTCTATTATTAAAAACTTTTGAATTTAAAACTCTCATTAATGATTCACAAGCTGGAGGTATATCAACTTGACCAGCTAAAATATTTCTTGCTTTACAATTTGAACCATAAAATTTACGATTTGCTTCTCTTCTTTCCATAATTGCAGAACCTTCTAATGAAACACCAGCATATAAACCTTTTGTTTTTGAATATGCAAAAACTGCAGAAACTGAACTTAATGATGCTGTACCAGCAGCTTCTGCACTTCTACCTAATGGACCGGCAGCAACTGAAACATTTGTACCCAATGTAACAGATCCCATTTGAGCAAATGTATCAACGGCAGCCTTAGTATTTAAAACAAAAACAAAATCAGTCAATTCTGCACCAATTTGTCCACCAGCACCTGCACCTGCAGTAACAATTGCTGATGGACCACTCCAAGAACCATCTGGTAATCTTGCAACTATAACTCCTGAACCTGCTCTACCTGAGAATAAGAAACCTGCTTTTAAAACTGTTATAATAGCTAAACCTTTTGCATTTTTCAAAATTCTTGGGGGTATAATTTGATCAGGCCCGGCGAGTTGATTTGGCTTAATAAATGATGCCAAAACTTTAGCAGCTTTTCTAGAAAGCAATTGGTTAGTAAATATTAACTTACAATCAATGCTTTTTTTCAACATACTTTGATTCACTACGTAAGCTTCTTGGAATTGGATTATTAATACCCATTATTACTTATACGTATGAAATTTTCTGTTAAAAATCTGAAATTATTACTTATTAATTGCAGTTCTGTAACAAATACTATTAATGAATCAAGATTTGGTAATTCAAAATTTTTTGATAAATTATTGACTCAAGATTGAAAAATTGAATACAAGTTAATCTTTAATCAGTTGTTGTAATAAAAACTATGACTTTGAAAATGACAACTTTTTTTTTTTTTTGCCTTGGTTTTTTTTATATTTTTTTCACTTGAATCTCCCTTAATAAAAATTAAGTAACCAAAGGAGGTTTTTTGTTGAAATTTTTCTTATTATTAACTGTAATATTGATTAATATATAATACAATTGAAAGATTATAGATTGTTGGTATATTGAAATAAATATGTTGGAGATTAATAGAAATGCGATTTGGAAGCTATTTGTATTAAATTTATTCGAATTTGAAACATCAGTAATCGGCTTAAAACTTACATAATAATTAAACGTACTTTAAGACTCATTTTATATTTCTTTTACCGTCTTGTTTCAGGTTCAAGTGGTTGCAAAAATTATACATAAAAGATTGATCGCCTTTTGATCCAATAAAACTCTTATTGTGGTTTGCTGTCAAGCACTAAGCACTTTTGTAACCTTTTTCTTAACAATTTCTTATAATCTCAGATGAATTTTAAGAGTACAGCATACGACATTAACGACGTTCAACTAGATCAAACTGGTTAAACTCAATTACTCAATTACTCAATTACTCATGACTAAAATCACATATAGTTAACTAATTACATTGTCCGGTTCTATCATTAATTAATTTAAGTTCCAATTTTTTGTATGGGTAGATCGGAATTTAAATTTGTTACACAAAATTAAAGAATTTGCTCTTTTAGAGTAAATTAACGCAATTATTTTTCAGCCATATTTGCAGCAATTATTATGATTGGCATATTGCTTTACTAGCCTGTTATTAGACCAATCTGAATCACATAGAAAGGGAATATCTTAACTGAATCACATAAAAAGGGAATATCTTAATTGACGATTGTCACATTTCAAAAAGATTGGTGAAATTTTAAAGATTTGGATAAAACTTTATTGAGTCCCATCAAAGCTACACTAATTTACCAAAGCAGTATCTATGTTAACTTTTTTCTACTTTGGTATCAATAAAGCATTTCAATGCACCTCCAATTTGTCTACTTAGTCAAAACATCGCTAGCAGTTTTGATAATAACAGAACCGAAATTTACGACACTATTTGGTAGCGATTTCAAAAAGGACAACAGCCGCTAAAGTAAACAAGCTTGATTAAATAGCTAAATTCGTTGGAAGTTAATAGCATAGATCGGAATGTAAATAAGCTACAAACTAATCCAAACGTCATAACTGTCTGCTGTACAGCTCAATTTTATAATTAGACACCCTGATAAGCTCAATATTTACGTTGTAGTCTAATACTCTCTTGTTATTTAGTCAAATTTTGCAACCAAAGTCCATTCAGCTCATTGAACTGGATTGAGAGAGACGTGAGTTTCAATGAGGCTGCCTTGAAGTATAGTAGTGACTGAAACTTTAGTGCTTTCTATAATCAAAATATCGTAACCACCGTGTGGTTATTTTTAGAACTAAATCAAAAACATGACTATTTTCGGGATATGACAACATTTAGACCAAATTTAGGAATAAATTGTTCGAAAAGGAGTAAATTAGAATTTATATTATTTAGTTTGTTAGCGTTGTTATCCAACGAAAAAGGAGGTAAGCAAAAATTCTATATTCAAGATAAATTTGGAATACCTTGAACAGGAAATTGAAAAATAAACCAAGACCAAGCTATGTTCGTTAAATTAAAATTCTTTAAGTACGTTCATATTTCAACCACGTTTCAAAAGTGGTCGCAATATTTCGTTACTGATCATTCAAAACAATTTGGCTTAAAGTTATTTGGCTTAAAGGTATTTGAAATTGGATAGTGTTTTGTATTTGCTAATTCCTCTTGTGGGGGGGCTCAGAAAATTATTAATTAGATCTGGGTGTCGTATCTTCAGCTTCAACAGACTAAGCCTTGAGATTTCGTAAAATTATTATAACTGAATATTATAATTTTTATAATATTCATTAATAATACAAGAACTCATTATTCGTCTAACATTATAGAAAAATAAAATAAACAATTCAAATATTTCTTTGCATTTTGCCAAAATGGATTAATATTGTATAATATTTTATTATAAACCTTAAACGATAAATTAGTGGTGCAACAATATTATTATTTTTTTTTTGCAGCTAAATTTTGATAAATAATTAAACTCAATTACAATTCCAATCCTATAAATTGCGCTACATTTGTCTTGCTTGTAGTTGAATTGTACACTCTTACAAATTATCACTCTTATTTGTGTTTTTATATATTAATTAAAATGAAATATTTATCAGTCGCTTCTATTTTATCATTATCTTCAGCAGTTTTAGCTGCATTACAAGAAGTTCAATTGTTTGTTCAAAGTGAAGATGAATCAATCGATGGTATGGGTTTATACTCAGTTAGAGAAGGTGCTGATGTCAATTACTTCTTTTTACAATCAGAAGCTCAAACTTTCATTTATGATGATGGTGCTTATATCATGTATACTACTGATTCAACTGATGCTATGAGACAATCAGTTGGTATTGATGGCAATGTTTTACAAGCTTCAGTTGCTTTCACATCAAGTCCAAGAGTTGATATTGATGAAAATGGTATTGCCTCATTTGGTGCAGATTTATATGCTAAAATGAACATTGGTGATCCATACAACTATTCAGCTGACTCATACGCTGTTGTTACTGATGATGATGGTATACCAATTCAAATTGTTGCTCGAGTTGTTGGTGAAGAAGAAGAAGAAGAACAAGTAGCTGAAGAAGAACAAGCAGCTGAAGAAGAACAAGTAGCTGAAGAAGAACAAGTAGCTGAAGAAGAACCTGTTGTTACTGAAGAAGCTACAGGAGCCACTGAAGAAGCTGTTGTTGAAGAAGAAGAAGAAGCTGCTGCTGAAGAAGAAGAAGAAGTAACTGAAGCTCTTGAAAATGCTGCAAACTCAAACAAAATTTCGTTAGTTGCTATTGGTGCAGTAGCAGTTGGTTTAGTGTTATAAATCTAATTATTCAGACATTCTTTTTAGTATACTTTCTTTAGATTAATTTTAATACAAGTTAGTATGAATTTAATTCTTGAAAATTGCCAGTATTGCAAAACTGAAGCCACATTAAGTCAAACTTGCCCTTGGGATTATTCTAAACAGAAAATCTTGATTCAGGTCATTTTAGACTTTCTCAGAATCTTTGTTTTACCTAATCTGACCTTTCGATCACCAGACGAACTTAACCTCTACTACTAGAATTAAGACTATTATAGCATTTGTGTTACACTTTTATAAACAAGTTCATTCACTCAAAAGTCTCTGATGCGTAATATGTTAAATTTTTGTGAAACCCAATCAACGATGAATCTAAAATTGCAATTATGATGTAATGAAAACGAGCCCCGATAAAGAACCAGCATTTAAGTTTGGGTCTTCAATTAACAAGGGAATTCTTCAGCTGTTTAACTTTAGAACTGAATAATTAGCTTTCGGTAACAGGTGGTAGAGCTAAAATGAATAAAAATAACAGTGGCAATCTTATAACCAGATCTGAGCAAAGATTTCGAAAATCTCAAGATCTCCACAGTTGTTTTTAAGCCATATAATTTAGTTTCCTATAGAACAAAAAGGTACAATTGAATAGTATCGTATAATTGTGTCGAATAAATGAGCCATATTTATTCGACAAGTGATGTAATCTCATAGTTTTTACTATCTTTCATTATAATTGTTTCTAAAAATAACTTTCGCAATTTTTTTCCGTACGGCATTATAAATTTTTCAAATCTGTTTTCAAAACTGTTCTCAATTAAAATTACTACATTTAGACAAATCATATACTATTTCGAACCTTGTTTACGATTTTGGATGTTTGTTTTTTACAATATGTTACTATAATTAAATTTTTATTGTTTAGATTTAAATGCATTGTTGGTTAATATTAAATTAACCCACAGTCTTTCAAAAGTTACAGGTTGAATATATTCCGAGACTTTGAAATCAGCAGTTTTACACAATTATAAAGTTTCATTATAAATAGAACAAGAATTTTCCAATAATTTTCTTGTTAAATCAGAAAGAAATATCAAACTTTAATCTTAAAATGAAATATACTTCAATCGCTACTTTATTATCAATTGTTGCTACCAGTTTAGCTAAAGATATTGAATTATATATCAAATCAGACAACGATGAAGTCAACAACAAAGGTTTAGGCTTTATCCATGAAGGTGCTGGTATAAATTATGCTCAAGTTGGTGATGCTGCTCAAAACTTAAATTATAATGAAGAAACTCAACTAATTACTGAACCAGTTACAGTTAATGGTGGTGCTCAAACTCTTGATTGGCCATTTGGTATTGATAATGGTATCTTACAAATCAGTGTTACTATTAATAACCCACCAAAAGTTACCATTGGTGATGATGGTTCAGTCTCATTTGAAGGTTCAGATTCATTATATGCAAAGAAAAACATTAACGATCCATACCGTTATTCAGAAAAGTCATATTTCGTTGTTTCAGAGAATGGTGATGGTGCTATTCCAATTAAATTAGTTGCTAAAACTGAAGGTAGTAACAATTCAACTAATACAAACAATTCAACTACTTCTACTACCTCAGCTGCTTCATCGGTATCCGTTATTGAAGGTGGTGCTGCTGTTGTAAATGCTGGTTCATTTGCTGCTATTGCTGCTGCTGCCGTTGGTTTAATGTTATAAGCATAGAACTTTAATTTTCAATACGTTAATTATATTTATATTTAATATAAATTTTATTTAAAATTACCCCTTAATTTACTACTCCTTAATGTTTTTTTTTTCTCTTCGCGTTTTTGGTAAAATTAATTTTGAAAGGTAAATTTCAATACTAATCTATTTATGAAATAATGACGAGCGATACAAGCTCAATATCTTCAAAGAGTTCGATACGACCTAAACGGTATAAATGTACGGAACCAGGATGTGATAAAGCATATAATAGACCGTCATTGTTGGAACAACATCTACGATCTCATACTAATGAAAGACCATTTAAATGCACATGGCAAGATTGTCAGCTGTCATTTCTTAGAAAATCACATTTAGATACTCATTTAATATCTCATAATGATAATGAAAACAAACCATTTCATTGCTCAGTTTGTGGAAAGGGAGTTAATACTGCACAACATTTGAAACGTCATGAAATTACTCATACAAAATCATTTAAATGTACTTCCGAAAATTGTACTGAATCATTTTATAAACATCAATCGTTAAGACATCATATATTATCGACTCATAAAAAGTCATTAACTTGTCTAAAATGTAATAAATCATTTACCAGACCTTCAAAATTAGAGCATCATAATTTAAAATTTCATCAGGATTCACCTCAATATCAATGTGATTATTCTGGATGTTTTAAAAACTTTAAAACCTGGTCTGCCTTACAATTTCATATTAAACAAGATCATCCGAAAGTCAAATGTCCAATATGTAATAAAGGTTGTGTTGGTAAAAAAGGTTTAAAATCTCATATGTTAGTGCATCAAAAATCTGAAGAAAATGAAGTAGCTAAATTATGGCAATGTAATTATTGTGATGACGGTAAATTTCTGAAGAAAAACGAATTAATTAATCATTATAATCTATATCATGATCGAAATGTACCTGAAGAATTATTAAAACCTAGTGAAGTTGAAAAATTAGATAATTTACTTAATGGAGGTTATCCTGAGTTGACTGCAGATGAATTGGCAAAGAAAAAACAAGGATCCGATGATGAAGAAGATGAAATAAGATCAGATGTTAGATCAGATTATCATACTGCACAAAAATCATTAAATTCATTAAATACATCAATGTTGGATGATAAATTTGATATAATCAAGGTTATTCAGTCAAGTACTGAAATCAAAATACCATGTCCAAAATCAAATTGTAATCGACAATTTTCAAGAAATCATGATTTACAACGTCATTTAAAGTGGCATGATGAAAATTTACAAAAAATTGAACTGTTTTTAAATGATTTACAAGAAGAACCACCATTAAAGAAGCAAAAAGTTTAACGATTCGTGATATATATTAATACAATTATACGAATACATGAGCAACCTAATTTCTAGGACGTTTATTATCATAATTTCTATTGAAATCACCTTTTCTTTTATTTGGATTCTGCCTATTATCGAAATTACTCTGATTTGTGTCAAAATTTCTATTCCTGTTATCAAAATTATTTTGATTATCAAAGTTTCTATTTTGTCTGTTATCAAAAGTCGCTTTTGGTTGTCTAGATCTTGTATCTTCAAATTGACCATTATTGTTAAATCTTGTATTTTGTTGATTATTAAATGAATTTTTAAAACCATTATGATATTGTCTCATGGGTATATTAGTATCAGATTTTATAGCTGGAGGAGCTTGTGGAATTTGAGATCTATGAATTGGTGAGTTATCAAATGATTTTCTTTGAAATGGTCTATTATTATCATGATTTCCAAAATCCGGTTTTCCGAAATCTGATTTTCCAAAATCTTGCCTATTTTGATAAACTTTATCTTTTTGAAATCCAAATGATTGTTGTGCTGATTCGCTTGAAAGAACCACATCTTGCGGTGGTAATGGTGTACGTTTTAATGGTGGTGATTGTTCCTTCTTTTCTTCCTCTTGCTTCTGAATTTTTATTTCGTCTTGTTGTGGCTTTAATGGAACCCCTCTTTTAACTGATGGAACAGATGATGAAGATGATTGAGAATTAGGTTTTGCGTCCTTAACTTTTTCATCTTCAGCTTTTCGAATCTCAGGTTTTGCACTCTCAAGTTTTGTATTCTCAGGTTTAGCTTGCGATTGCATAACCGGTGACTTCTCTTTTTGATAGTTCTCCTTTAATTCTTCGACTCTTTGTTTCAATCTAGGTGTAGGTTCTTTTGATGGTCCAGTTGGCAAATCTAATTTTGGAGTTGTCGTTCGAGCATAGTCATCATATTTTCCTAATTTTGGATAACTTGTTGCTCTTGAATCCGGTCTTGTACCCACTGCATTTGAAGATGTATACAAATTTGATGATGCAGCACGTTTTTTCAATAATTTTTCTTCTTCCCTTTGTTGTTTTTCTTTTCCCAATCGTTCTTCTCTTAATTTTTTAACTTTTTCTTCTTTTGCAATTAATGCTAATTTTTTAGCATCCTCACGTTTAGCTTTTCTTTCTTTTTCTTCGATTATGTTTTGCTTTTCCTCTTCACTAATTGTAATTACATCCCAAATTAGTTTTGCATCCTTAGCTCTTAATTTGATTTGTCCTAACAATGCAGATGATGCTAATTTCAAATCTTCCCTTGTTTCAGTTTGTGAAATATTTGCAATTAATTTAACTAATTCATTACAATGATCGTCAACAATTGGATAAACAGCTAATAAATTCTTGGTAAATGTGATTGTTGAACTACGTGCCATATATTCATCTGATCTAAATGATGTTTCAATTTCTTCCAATATGATTGAATGATATTCATGAACTAAAGATTTAAATGAATCTAGGTCTGGTAAATTTTCATCAATAATTTCATTATCAATCCATTGTTGTAAAGTTCTTAATATATCTGCAATTAATAATCCCAAATTTTCAGATTCTGTTGATGTGGATGAATATAAAATTCCAAATAATAATTTTGACTTGAACAATTGATCTAACACTGAAACTATGGAATACTTTTCAATTTTCAAGGTGTGTAATTTAAATAAAAATCTTGATACAAAAACAGCATCAAATGATGAATGAATAGCTCTCGGTATTACACATAATTCAATAAATTTATTAATTTGAGTCTCTTTAAACCAATCAACTGAATTTTCAATTATCTCTTGGTCAATTTTTTCATTTTCTTCTTTATGTACGTCTTTATCTTTAGGTATTTGTTTTAAAAACTCTTCATTTTGATACAATTGATCTCTCATTTGATCAAGTTTTTCTTTCGGTAAATCTGAACTTTTTCTTAAATTTATTGATATTGATTCATTTAAACTACGAACATTTGATTCTAATTTCACAATTGCTCCATCATATAATGTTTCTGAATAATTTATATCATGTAATGTTAATTTCCAAAAATATGCAAATAATTTACCTGAAGCAATTTCTTGTGGTTTTAATTCTATCAAATCATTAACATCTTGAATAAAACTTCTCCAAATTTCAAATCCCCATTTTAATGGAATTCCTGTCTTTTGTAAATTTTTAATTGAATCTAATTGATCATTCTCATGATTGAAGAAACTAATTAATGTTGTAAATAATCTAATAACTGCTGTTAAATCGTCATCTTTACTTGATAAAATTTTCAAATGATTTTCATCACTATCAAAAACTAAATCATTGGCAATTGAACAGAAATATACTAAAATTTCATTGATTGCATTTAATTCAGTAATACTATTTATTAAATGATTACCTGAAATTGTTCTTTCGTATCTCAAATCATCAATATTCCTGTAAATAATCTTTTGCAAAGATGAACCTGAATTGATCATATCGATTTGATGAATAGTCAAATTAGTTATTGATTGAATACCACCCATAGATGTAAACATTTCCCTTAATATCAAAACACCAATATTATCACCAGATTTAAAACCCTCAATTATAAATTTCAAAATCGTCTTAATATCAATTGCTTTTGGGTATCTTTGACAAATTCTACCAATAAAAGAAGCTAAAGATTGTATCCATTGACGTTCAACCATTCCATGATGTTGTGTACTTGATCTATTGGATGATAGCCTAATTAAAATTGCTGCTGTTAAATTATCCCAGCCATAGTCATTAAAGTATCTTGCTGTTTCAACAATTAATGGTATTAAATTATCATAACTCTCAACTTGTTGTAATACAGTTAATAAACATGCTAGTGGATTTGAAAAACTAATTTTAGCTAACCTTCTCATCATTGGACGAACATTTTCCTTAGATAATCTTTTCAAAACATCTTTTGTTGATTTTACTGCTTTACTATATGCCATCTGAATTAATGGATTGTTTTTACGTAAGTTGTTATATAATTCACCATAAAGACTAAATCTTTCTTCTAATGAAAAGGGAGCTAATATTGAATAAGCTTTGTCTATAACTATGGAATTCTCTTCAATTAACGGCATTACTGGGAATATGAAATTTCTAAAGTAAAAGAAAACCTCATCTCTATCTTCTGGGTGATTTTGAAAGTGATGCAATACACATTCACATAATTTTTGAACCAATGGTAAATTTTCTGAAATTTTTGGACCTTGAAAATTGAGAAACTCAATCGAAAATTGCTTCAAACTATTGAAATCTTCAACAGCTGGTAACTTTTTAATCCAATTTCTGTAAAAGTAGATATATTTCTTCTGACCAAAATCTATTATTGTTGGTTTAAAACTGAGAATGTGAAATATTTCAACTGGTTCATAACTAACTCCATTATTTGGTCGAGAATATGCAATCCCTTGCATTTCTTGTAAATCTCTCAATTCATCATCCGTAAAAGATTGAATTTTGTTGTAAAATGGATCTAAACATTGTTCTATTAACCTGTTCATTAGTTCTGTTATTTCTGAATCTATGTTTGCTAAGTATGGATATTTTGACAATATGAAAACTGAAGGATAATATACACCATTGCTAATTAATACACGTAATAATTGATAAATTTGATTAGTATGCAACATTTCTTGTAGATCTACTGGTTTTTCAACTTTCTTTTCAGCTTCTTTTTTTTTAGGTTGTCCATCTTCTTCATCATCTGCTAATGGAGCAGCAAGAGCTAATGCATTTGCACCAGCTTTAACGACTTCTTCATTCAATTTACTCTTGTATGCTTCGTCCAACACTTTCATACTTTCATCGTCGGGTTTTAGATATTTGAATATAGCACCAAAACTAAGAAAACCTTCTTTAATCAATATTGCAATCAAACTTTTATAAGTTTCTGGTAAATCTTTTCCATCAGGATACTTCATTAAACGAAGACCAAATATTTTTGAAGCTTTTTCACTACCTCCTTTACTAAGACTTGACAATGATGAATTATCACTTTCTTCTATCGGCCACCATCTACTTTTTCTAAGCAAATTTAGACATTCTTGACAATGAGACACTATAACATCTGAAAATACTTCCAACAATAATTCCAAACATCTATTTGGATCAAGATTGTAATGACCTATTAATTTTTCAATTACTTGTAAAACATAATCAGTTTGGTCAGCAATTTCTTCATATTTAAAAATATAATATAATTCTATAACAAACCTTGAGTAACCTTCAGTTTCTTCATGTATTAAATTGTATTTCTTTTGAGTTAAAAATTCACTTCTAACACTATTATTTACTTTTTTAGTGAATGCAGCTGGTGTAACTAAATTTGATTTTTTTATAACGTCTGCACTTATATACCTTGCCAATGTTTCAGCTTTTAATAAATTTGTTTTCAGTAGTAAAATATTTAACAAGTTAGTGAACTTCTCATCATTATCAAATTCATTAAAGATTTGACAAAATATTCTTGCTATACTATCATTTTTAATTGATGTTGAAAGGAAATCTATAAGTTGATTTTGATTAATTGATTCTTCCTCATAAGCTGATAATAATTCTTGAAAAATTTCTGCAATTTTTAATTCTGATTCTAAATTATTTTCTTCATAACTTTCTATATGTTCAATTAATGATGCCAGACCATTCTGAAAATCTTCTAGTATTTCATCACTGACGTAAGTATGTTCAGACATAATTGATTTGATTAAATACTTTTCAGTTTAATATTTTTTTTTTTTTTGTTCTGTTACCTACTAACCTGTTTGAAACAAAACAACTACAGAGTGCATGGACTCCATTATGGTGTCACCATACTGACTTCTTCTAAAGGTAAGGTAGTTTAGAAACATTGGCAGGCTCAATACATTAGAGTTGGTACAATAATTAGGTTGAATTATGAAAATTATAATGCTATGCTAATTTTCTGTCATCATTAGCGCATGCCCAAGTACGCTTAATTTTTCAACAAAAACACGGCTAGCTCAGTTGCGAAGTCGTGAATTTAATCCCAGATAGTTTAGTGGCTAGAATTACCGTTTGTCGCATGGTAGACCAGGGTTCAATTCCCTGTCTGGGAGTTTTTTTTGTAACTGTTTTTATGTTTTTATTTATATTAATTTTTACGTAAACAACATGGGTAAACAAGTTAGTAATTGATGTTACGACAAGCCCAATGTATATCTCAATGCTATCGAGCACGTATAAATGAAACAATTACATTTTATAAATTGAGAGCTTTTTCTGAATTTTCACAAAAAATTGAAAGAAGGGTTTTGTAATTCTTAGAATACCAATTTCAATAACTCCAAATTATTTGAAGATCTAAACGAATTAAGATTGAGAACAATAGCTTGAATACGGAGAATAGTTACTGTTAACTACTTTTAGGTTCCGAAAGTTAGAATTATTTGACTGCATATAATTCAAATTTGTTTCAGAATTGTCTTTTTGTATGGATTTTTCAATGCAATTATTTTGGCGCGACTAACCAATTTCTTGTCCTAGATTTAAGGCGGCACGTAAAAAATATATTGACTTATATGTCATAACAAAACATTTTCTTGTGATAAGAAACATTTATATGAAATCATGTGCTTCGAGTTATATATTCTAAATGTGTCAAATCTCAACTTTTAGACATTTCTTTTTCAAGTTGAATTTTTGGTATTTTTTCACCATACAAAAATTTTTCAAAAAATGAAAATCCAAATTGAACCACAACTTTCGATTAAACAACGATTATATAAACCATACATTAATCTAAGGTGTTGGGCTAAATTTTATTTAATCTAATCCAAAATTAAAAAATTTCAAAAATTTGCCTTAAGTATATGGAAAATAGAATAAATTGACCTTACAAAAAAAACTGACTCCACCATCAATAATGCGATGAAACTATGATAGTATTATCCGATAGTTCCTACAAGCTGATGAACCTTGAGTTTTTTTGTGTTAGGGTATTTAAAATTGGAAAATTAATTTTTAGAAAGTGGTTCAAAATTCTTACAAAATTTTCAAACCGAGTTTGGCGTCTTGAAAGCATTATACATAAGATATTTAGGAGCAATCCAGCCAGATCAGCTATATTACAAGTTGCTAGACGAGGCCTAAACGTTGTTTATGCTGCATTTTAGCGTTTTTTACCATTTTTTACACAACGAATTAGATGATCAAAATTATGTTTTCTTGAATGGTTTTAATGTCATACCATTTCAAGTAAAACCAAGATTTATTGGTAAAAGTTCGAGAAAGAGAGGTCGAGTAATGAGGAAGATATTAACATTCTAATTTCAGGACTAACCACCATAAGACTGCATATAAGCAGATTTGTTTCAGAATTTTTTTCGATCGTACATTTCTGTGCGAGAATCTGGTGCGACAAAAGAATATCTTGCGCTACGCTTGAGGCGTTCTCACTCAAATTTTGCTTATATTTCGTGAACGATACATTTTCTCCAAATTAATATCATTTAAGAGAAGATAGATTATAAATAACTCAATTTAATATATATATCAATCAATTAAAAGCCTTATACTTAATATATCTGAGCCCCTATCAAATTGAGAGCTGTAAAACTCAATTAAATTCAATTAAGTGAGTTGGGAATCCATATGTGAAAATTTTGGATCGTGCGTCAAATTGCATGGACCTGACAAAGCCAAAAAATCTGCTCTCAGCAAACAGGCGCCAGTGGTTTAGTGGTAAAATCCAACGTTGCCATCGTTGGGCCCCGCGTTCGATTCGCGGCTGGCGCATTTTTTGAACTTGATTGTCACAAATTCTAACGCGACTGGAAACGTCTTGATATTTTTTTCCTCTTTTTTTGAAATCTAAAGTTAAATCAGATCTGTAAAATGAAAATACTAAATAATCCAAGATTAAACTCACTTCTAAGAAATTGGGAGTATAAATTAGCTATATTTGTTGGTTGTTATTTTTTGTTCTCACATATTGTATTGGAAAATACTCATAATATTAAAGAAACTGGATTGAAAAATCATTTAAAAGTAATACCGGAGGAAGCAATAGAATATTATGATAGATCAACTACCTTAAATAATGTTGAAAAATTAGCATATATGCAATATGCAACCAATTATGATTATTTAAACCTTGCAATTATAAATTTCATACATCTAAGAAAATCAAATACGCAAATTCCGAATCTAGTTATTATTTATGATGAAATATTACAATATTATGCAAGTAATAGATGGACTGAATTATTTCAGTTGGCAAATTCAAACCAAATTACATTAATTTCTGCGCCTTTAATTAAAGCAAGTTATAAAGATGATTCAAATTGGGCTGCATCATTTACAAAATTTCATATTTTTAATCAAGATCAATTTCATAGAATTGTTTATTTTGATTCTGATTCAATGCTTGTTAATACTAAAAATGTTGATGAAACTTTTGGAGTGTCCAAAGATTACTCAAACTTGGATGAGTTATTTAAATTACCAAATGAATTTTCATTTGTATTACCCCAGGCATATTGGTTAAATAATGTTGTTGAAAATAAATCACCAAAGCCAAAATTAAAAGTAGAATTGCCAAATAAGAAAAGATATACTCTACGTATGAAGAAATTAGTAAATGATTTAAAGTTAGGCTGGCCACAATTACCACTGTTGATTTACGATCAACATAAATATGATAATCCAACCAATTTCTTTGCAAATCACATTATGGTGATAAAACCATCTAAAAAGGTATTCAATTCATTAATGAACTATGTTAATAATCCATTTTACTGGTCAATTACAAACAGAGCAAATTTAAGAAAACATAATGATTATGATATGGAAATTTTCAATAAATATTTAAATAATGAGTTAAAGAAAAACAATATAAATTTTGGTATAATACCTCATAGAGTTTATGGAGTTTTATCGGGTGAATTTGGTGAAAAATGGCATGAAAGATTTGTAATTGAACCACAATATTTACCATTTATAAATAAACATCTGAATAAAGGTTGGGAACCATTGACATTTTTTAAAAGAATCAAATTAATACATTTTTCAGATAATCCAATACCAAAGCCATGGGAAGAACAAAACAATTATGATCCATATAATTCAAATAAGATTTATTGTGTTGATGATGATATGGAAAAGTATAATGCACAATTTCCAAGTGAGTTTAAACCAAGACTTATAGAAGATTGTGATAGTGTTAGAATATGGAATTGGTTTAGGGATCAATTTAGTGAGGAAATAAAAGGGAAATGGCTTGTATAGAGACACTCATAGATATTGCATAGACAATTGGTAGCAATAGTTTACTGTATATAACCTTTGTTTACTTTTGTAACTTTTTTTTTTCTTTTTATTTTTTTTCATGATCCAAATTTAAAAATCTTAAAATTTTATAATAACAAATTTTTACAATTCACCAGAGGTTTATTGAATAATTCTGATCCAATGTTGAATCCAAATAATATAATTGCCATTACATTAGCACCGACATCTACAATACTAGCTAAAAGAGATGATGAAACTTCAACAAGTATGCCTAGGAATAACATGCCAACTTTGAGTGATCCAAATGCTTATACAACTCCTTCAATATCAGTTCCAGCAAATGATAATAATCCATATATAGTTAGACAATATAATCCATCGGGTACAGTTTTTATAGCTGTTGGATCAATTGTTGGTGCAATATTATTAGGCTTTATATTATATCATTTAATTTTATCAATTGCAGCATCAAGATTAGCTAAAAGAGTTAGAAATGATGATAAGAAATTTTATGAAAAATATCAAAATAATAATCATAGTGCTTATGGATTAACACCACAATCAACATTATTTACAACAGAATATCATAATCACCATTCATCAATTTCAAAATTACCATTATTAAATCAAACAAAATCATTCATGGGAAATTTTGGTAATAATGGTTCACAACACGGTGATACATCAACTATATATCAATCAGAATATGATAATAATGTAGCAACATCAAAACATGACTTAACTAAAATGTTTATATCACCAACGGCAGAAGTAATGCAACATAAAAGAGTTAAATCATATAATCCTTCATTAAGTAATATATCATTAGGTAATATTGGAGGAGGATCAACATCAAATTTGGTAAATCCGTCACCAGCAACCAATAGACATTCACAATTAGTACCTAATTTATATATAAATAATGAAGGAAACAATAGTGATTATTCATTATCACAACAATTAGGATCAGAAGGAAGTAATACACCACAAATGCAACAACAGAATAACTTATTAAACACTACAAAGAGTAGAAGACAATTACCATCGATGTATTTAGAAGATTTGATTGATAAAGAGTAATAATTTACGTTTAGTATACGATATACTGTTTTCTTATAATTAACGAGATTATATTTATAATTTTTTTTTTTTTTTTTTTTTTCGAATCAGAACAACAACAACAACCACTTCTAATATCCCACTGTTTACATTCATTTTATCATGCCTCTTTGTGGTAGTGGTCCAAAAACTAGTATGTATTATTATAGCGACTATTAAATTCATATACTAACGCTTTTAGTACAACGAAAAATTGTTATTTTAGGAGATGGTGCCTGTGGTAAAACTTCATTATTAAATGTTTTTACAAGAGGTTATTTTCCTCAAGTTTATGAACCAACTGTTTTTGAAAATTATGTGCATGATATTTTTATTGATGGACAATCTGTTCAATTGAGTTTATGGGATACTGCTGGTCAAGAAGAATTTGATAGATTAAGATCTTTATCATATTCTGATACTCATTGTATAATGTTATGTTTTTCAGTTGATTCTCCTGATTCATTAGAAAATGTTCAAAGTAAATGGGTTGGAGAAATTGCTGATCATTGTGAAGGTGTTAAATTAGTATTGGTGGCATTAAAGTGTGATTTAAGAAATAATGAAGATGAACCTGAACATCATCAATATAATAATTATAATCAACAACAAAATCCTTATGGATCAAATAAAAGATTAATATCTTATGATGAGGGTTTAGCTGTTGCCAAAAGAATCGGAGCTTTAAGATATTTAGAATGCTCAGCTAAAAAGAATAAAGGTGTTAATGAAGCATTTTCAGAAGCTGCTAGATGCGCTTTAAATGCAAGACCAAAAGGTGCAAATGATAATGAACCAGAAAAGAAAGGATGTATAATAGTGTGAAAAAGACAATAATAGCCAATTTTAATGTTTATTAAATGGATCATCTAATAATTCTCTACGTAAATCCCATATATCTTCAGAACTACCTCCTCTTGATCTATCTTGCAAAAATCTTTCTTTATAAAATTCTTGTATTTTAGAAGTATTTAATGGATTTTCTTTATCTTGTAATGTTCCATATTTTAGGGAAAACCAAAATTTTTCTCTTTGTCTTTTACAATCATCATATGCTCCATATCTATAATAATTTCTAACTTGTCCTCCAATTGCATAACATTCAATTAATTCATCCATGGCAGTTATTATACTTAGTCTTGTAGGAAATTCTTCAGTTTTTATATTATCATTTACATTCGTTGTTTTAGTATGTTTGTTATCTATTGGTTGATCCTTTATCTCATCTTGAAATGCTTTCCATATCTCATTTAATTCTGATTCTTCTTTACTCATGGTTGAAAAAATTAAAGATTAAAAAATAAAAAAAAAAAATGCAAATAAATTAAATCAAACCTGAGACACGAAAAATAGAGACCTCAATATGAGCGCTATCAACAGTTACAATTGGATTGATAAATAACTCAGTATCAATATGAAGTCGGGAAAAACACAAGGTCAATTGTATGTATGCTTTCACCAGGACTCGAACCTGGGATCTCCTCATTACTAGTGAGGTGCCTTACCAACTTGGCCATAAAAGCTATTGTTGACGGTTAAAAATTTGGAAAATACATACCGCATATATTTTACTGCTACTACATGAAATTTGGTGATCTTTGAACAAATTTCGAAGTCAAGAAGAAATATTGACTATTTCTCTACTTATCAAATATATGCAAAGCATTCAAAAGCACTTTGATGCAATTTGAAGTTGTTTTGAGAGAATTATGATATATTAAAGAATTTAGTAAAAATAGGAAAATAATTTCTAAAACTTCAAATAAATTTTGCTTTACTGTGAAAGATTTTGTTTCATGTTCACTATAGTTTCAATGATTAAATTGAGTATTAATTAATTGTTCTCTATTTACCAACAATAGTTATAGTCTAATTACTAATTCATTCCAATGATTAATATATTCCTACAAACATTAAAGTTTCAGTTATTAAGTTGTTACGTAAGATCCATTTGCTCATGAAAACTATTATAGACCAATTTCACGATGGTAGCTGTACTCAAAGTCTTATCTATTTGAGATTTTTAAAAAAAATGAATAATTGGCAAAATTGGACGATAAAAAACTCTTAAGGGGCTAAAATAATTTTTTTAACTCAATTCAGTAACAAAACAATCGATAACAAAGTTATAGGCTCAAGCCAACAAATACATAGTAGGCGGATATAGAACCATGATTAGAAAGTTTTAGATGTAAGATTTTTAAGAGGAGCTCACATGGTAGCATTTCTTCAACTCTGAAAGTTGCACACGCACGAATTGATTTATCAAAATTTTTTTAAATCTAATTAACCTTGAAAAATTATTGATATATTAAACCATGTTCAATCTACCTAATTTTTTCAAACTTACAACCGTACAAAGACCTATACTTACTTCAATACGTCAATTAGGAGATTTAAGTAATTTACAGCCAGCTTTTGGAGCAACTCATAATTATAAAAGACTTGGTAGGGGTCCATCGTCAGGTAAAGGTAAAACATCAGGACGTGGTCAAAAAGGTCAAAAAGCCAGAGGTAAAGTACCCAAATTTGTAGAAGGTGGTCAGACTCCATTTTTTAAACAATTTAAAATTTCAGGTTTTCGAAATTTAGGTAGAAAAGATTATTATGAAATAAATTTATTAAGAATTCAAGATTTTTGGAATAATGGTAGAATTCCATTAAATAAAGGAGATACATTGACTATTAAAACTATGAAAGATTGTGGACTCATAAATGGTACATTAATTGATGGTGTTAAAATTTTAGGTGATGGAAATGTTAAATATGATGTACCTTTAAATATTGAAGCATCAAAAGCTACTTCGGTTGCTATTGAAACTATAAAAAAAAATGGTTATGATTTTACAGCTAGATTTTTCACAAGATTAGGTTTAAGAGCTCATGTGAATCCAAATAAATTCTTGTTGAAATATGGTTATATACCATTACAAGCAAGACCCAAAAGTCAAAGAGATATAAAATATTATTCCGATGAATCAAGAGGTGGTTATTTAATTAAAGATAAAAGTATATTATTAGATAAATTAGATGAAGCTAAAATTGAATCAACAAAACCAAAAGAAGAAATAAATACAAATATAAATTCATTAGCAAAACAATTAGAAAGAGCTACAAAAAATCAAATTCATTCATCATCCAACCCAATAAATATTAATGACTTGTAAATATATAACAGATAATACTATGATTTCATATTAAGAAAATCGATGCATATTGTACAAATCTCTAAGGTCGTCCCTGAGCCCTCTTTAGCCTTGAATCTCAACACGATCATATCGAAAATTTGGACCACTAGATATGATTTTCGACTTCATTGATACGGTTCTGTAAATTGCAATATACTTATTTATCATCAGCCAGTAAAAGTCGTACAAGGTCGCCCCAAAGCTAGTGCGAAAAATTATTCTGTCGCACTAGACCATCGCATTGATTCGTGCGCACCAAAAGAAAATGTTTCTGAAACAAACGACTTATATGCAGTCTGATAAAGTTTATAAAATGATGATACATTAATTTTATAATATGAAACAAATTTGCCACAAAGCTGCTCCTTTTAATTAATTTACGTTTACTAAACAAGAATCACTTTCATTGGATTTCAGATTAATCCTGAAATTTAAAAGATTACTTTCTCAATATTGAAACTTTCTGTGTAAAACTAACTTCATTACAAACGCCAGCCCGTTAAGAGTAGATCAATGCTAGTATCTATAGAGAAGTTATAATTTTGATAATTTTATTCTTAATTTGGTAAAATACGTTAAATTAGGAGATAATCAACATTTAGACCTGATCTATCAACTTCAAATACAACTGGTTTGGTTTAATTAATCTCAAAAATCTTTTGAGTATTGATTTCAAGACACAATAATTGGTTTGAAAAATTTGCAAAAATTTCGAAACACTTCTGAAAAATTTATTTTTCAATTTTAAATATTTTAACACAAAAATACTTAAGGTTAATTAGCTTGTAGGATCTACAAATGTGGTTAGTCTTATGATACTTTCATCATGATTTTAATTGTGGAGTTATAGTTTTCGTAAGGTCAATTTATTCAAATTTTGCCATACTTAAGAGAAAATTTTGGAATTTTTCAATTTTTGATTAAATCGCACAGCATCTTGCTCAATAGCTTGGTATGAGTCTACTATACGTATTCGTTCTTTAATTGAAAGTTATATCTCTAGAGAACATATACACTGCGTTTACATTTTTTGGAAAAATTTTGTAGATCAAAAAAGTCCAAAAATTCAACTTCAAACATAAATTCCTGAAGTCCTAAAATTTAAGCATGAGATATATATAATTTAGAGAGCCTGATTCCAAGAAACTAGTTCTTATTTCGTGAGTTTGCGTTTTTACTGACATAGAAGCCAAAATCTTTAGTACGAGTCGCCCTATGTTTAGCGCGAGAAATTATAATGTCGCATTAAATTATAACGCGCGAATAAATTGAAAATTTAGTATGTAGAATATAACTTCGAGGTAGGATTTTTGAGACAATATGGACAGCCAATCTCTTTAATCATCCATTAAACAATAGATTGTCATGATATATACTATACATTTTGTGTTGGATGTTTTATCTTCCAGTTTTTATACTTGCGTCCATTAAAGTTCTAAATTAAACCAAGAGTTTTATTAACAAAGCAGTTGAAAAGAGCAACTAACAATAAAAAAATTCATTCATCATGATACCCAATAGATACTAATGACTTGTATATGTATATTGACTTATTATATGATCGTAAATCGTCAAAAATGTATGCGTTTAGTGAGTTTTCTTAAAATTTCTAAGACTTGATGTAACCGTGACTGTTGATGCTTTATTTTTGGCCATTTGTAAATCATCAGATGCAAATCCGTCATGTTTAATTGTGATTATAAACTGCAACTCGCTCACTCACTCCACATCAACATATAAATGTAATAAGTTCTCCACTATTTCTTGTAACTCATTTAATGTAACTTGCTTAGCAGGTCTTGACCTATTATTATTAAAATTATAATGATGTTTCCTTAATGTGAAAATGGCCGATTTAAAAGTCATTTGATGTATCTCTTTTATTGTTAATTTATCATTCAATGAATTCATTAATGAAGAGCTCAACCCTCTAATTCTCAATCCCGAGGAAATAATCTTATTTATAGCAGCATTAACTTGATCTTGATTAGATAGCACCAGATTTGAGACTTGACTAGTGCTGGGTGGTGACAGATTTGTTAAAAATGGATTATTTTTCAATTTACTCTTTTCTAAAACTTGATCAATTGCTAAATCTCTTGATGTTATTGTTGTTCTTTTCGGGGGTTTCATATTTATCAATACATCATCTGGATAACTATCTAGATTGATCTTATTAATTTTGTTCAACATATTAAAATTTAAAATCATGGCTTTAATTAATGAATTTTGATAATGGAAAACTATAAAAACTTCTTCACTGACTTTACATAAAACACCAATATCTTTTGATATATTCCTCTCAAAATAATCCTTTGTCGTTATCTCATTTGTATATACATTTATCGAATTACATTGAATCAAATAAATTGGAATTTTTGCATGATTTATACATGAACAAATTTTACAATTTTTAAACTTGGGTATACTAATTTCTGTATTATCTAACCATAGTTGAACATCCTGTATTACTCTATCATCAATAGTACTATATATATCTATAGTTCTTATATGATTCATTAAACATTTATATTATACCACTCGCTTTTCTTTATAAATAATAATTTTGACAGGAAGAAAAAAAAAAAAAATAATTATTGATAAATTTGTTCGCCTCATCAATCATCACCACCATCTTTCATATCATATCAAAATAACTAAGAATAAATGTCATCTAAACCTTCAAAAGTTTACTCAATATCTAGAGTATATGCCGATGTAAATAATCAAAAACCAAGTGAGTATTGGGATTATGAAAATCATAAAATTCGGTGGGGAGAAATTAAAAATTATGAAATTGTAACTAAAATTGGTCGAGGTAAATATTCTGAAGTTTTTCAAGGTATAAATGATTTAAATGATGAGCCTTGCGTTATAAAAGTTTTAAAACCAGTAAAGTTAAAAAAAATATATCGAGAAGTTAAAATTTTACAAAATTTAACTGGGGGTCCCAACATTATAGGTTTATTAGATGTTGTAAAAGATGAACAAAGTAAAATCCCTGCTTTGATATTTGAAAGAGTCAATAATGTTGATTTTAGAATTTTATATCCTAAATTTACTATCAAAGATATTCAATATTATTTTACTCAATTATTAATTGCATTAGATCATTCACATTCAATGGGTATAATACATCGAGATGTAAAGCCCCAAAATATAATGATTGATCCAACAAAGAAAAAATTAAAATTAATTGATTGGGGATTAGCTGAATTTTATCACTCTGGTATGGATTATAATGTAAGAGTTGCAAGTAGATATCATAAAGGTCCAGAATTATTAATAAATTTACAACAATATGATTATTCATTAGATTTATGGTCTGTTGGTTGTATGTTGGGTGCTATAATTTTTAAAAAAGAACCTTTATTTAGAGGTGATTCAAATAATGATCAGTTGGTTCAAATTGCTAAAGTTTTAGGTACTCAAGATTTAATGAAATATGTTAAAAAATACGGGATTAAATTAAGTTCAGATTATGATGATATTCTAGGTAATTATCCAAGAAAATCTTGGAAAACTTTTATCAATAATGATAATAAATATTTAATAAGTGATGAAGTTTTAGATTTAATTGATAAATTGTTGACATATGATCATCAATTAAGACCAACTGCAAAAGAAGCAATGGAACATCCATTTTTTAAAATATGATAGGAATATGATGGAGATGGGATATAATTAATAACGAAATCATGAATGATAGGAAAAATAATTAGTTAGTAATGCATACAATGATATTGAACACAGTGGATTTTATATTAAAGCTTTGACACATGCGCTTGGGTTGATTTAGAGCATCCTGAATGTCACAAAGAGACATTAATTGAGAAGAGTTGTACATTAAGTCATTATATCAATCCGTTTTCTAATCTTTCGAAAAATTGTACATAGTTGTATCTGGTTGTAGTTATAATTGTAGACTCATCAAATATGTTATGATTGGTATCATCTTCTGAACTTGAAGATGTAGAAATTAAGTCAAATGTTGATTCATTAGGCGATGGAACAGAAACTTCATGATTATTATAACTAGGTAGTAATTTGAAAAATTGTTGTAGTTGATCTTTGTCTATCACATCAGATAGGAACGAGTCATCTGTTGATTCTATTAGTTTTAATTTGAATATTGTATAATCATTTGGGGATACCTGCAAGTCTATTGGCTCTTCTTCCTCGTCTTCATCCAAATGTAATTCTTCTTCTTCTAATTTATATTTTTCATCAAGCTTTAGGTCTATGTTCATTACCTCATTCAACTTAATTGATATATCATTTATATCTATACTTGGTTTAAATTTAAACATTCCAAAGTTATCAAGAGTTGAATTGATAATACCATGAATGTGAATTAATGACGGATATGACTTATAAAGTAACACAGGTTTGGCTTTCAATTTGAAATCTCTATAAATCTCCAAATTGTCCTCTTCTGCTTCTAGTTGTATTATCAAATTTTGTAGTTCATTTAATAACTTATTTGCCTTTATCTCATACTTTATTTTCAAATCATATATGTATATAATTGAATCTACTACATCTTTGAACGTTTGGTCAACAATTAAATCTTTATAACTTTCTTCCACCACAAATACTTTATACAATTCAAATAGATAAACTATTAAACACTTTTCATTATTGAAATCTTGGGGTTGTATCAATTGAGGAATTGCAAATGTAGATTCTATAAATTCAATTAAATCCGACAATGATCTATCTCTTGTTCTATAATATGAGTTAACCAATTTAGTTAGTATTCTCTCTGGCATTATCCAATCATTTGTAAAATTCCTCAAATCCAAATTCGTCCTGCCGTTTAACCATTCCAATAAATTACTTTTCAAATCTGCATAATCTTTAATTTGTGGCACCGACTTTATATGAAATAACCATAAATTCCATATCAAGTTTAGTATACTTTTCAAATTACCATCGTATATATCTTCAGCGTTAAGATCGATAATGTTAATCTGTAAAATAATCTTTAAGAATTTCAAAAAATCAATTAAATTCTCAAACTTTTGTAATTTTAAAGTTGGATTCTTGTTTATTGGAGTAAGATAATAAAAACCAAATTCATTTGAAGGATTAGATAAAGTAATATCATAAATTATCTTATTTATTAATTTAATTAAAATTAAACCATGTTGCAAATCACTTGTTAAATTGTTAATTAATACTGGTTTCTCGGTTGATGTTGGAGTCGCGTTAATTAATGAATCTTCTAGTAGTTTAATATTTATCCAATTTACAAAGAATACTTCTTCTTGTTTAATTGTTGATGTTGATGACATTTTACTTTATCGGTACCCTTAAATCCACCAAAAGAAAGGTGGAGAAAGCTAAATGAAGATTGATAAAGACAGCGGTTGGCTAATAAACACTTTAATTGATTAATTCTAATGATATTAATGATAACTAGTACTATATAACTGTCCAATATTTGTTCTTATATTATAAGTTTTGTGATTTAATTTTGAAGTAAAAATGATTGCAAAATAAATTTAATATTTTATTTATATTGACGCAAAAAAAAAAAAAAAAAAAAAAAAAAAATTAAACATTTATAAAGATAAAAATTAACACGCTTTTGTTAATTTAATATGTTTCAAATTGGTATGTACTTGCTGGAAGCATATCAAATAAAGTAGTTACATAAGAATTTGTCAATGGTTGACTTGTCTGAGTGTTTTGCGTTGTTTGAGTGTTTGGCGTTGTTTGAGTGTTTGGCGTTGTTTGAGTGTTTGGCGTTGTTTGAGTGTTTTGGGTTGTTTGAGTGCTTTGCGTTGTTCAATCCCCATGTTCTCCTCTATTTTCGAAATCGCGACACGGTCAACTTAAAGAATGCTTACTCGCAAATCGTTGTTTACTTAAACAATTCTTAAAGCCTGGCTGGTTAAAATTTATGTTTTTTCAATTTATTCCCAATTAGGAACATCATTCTTAAAAAATCAAACGAGATCTTGCATTTAATTTGCGCATCTCTCGGTATTAAATTCAACTCATCAACTAATAGCTAGCTCATCTTGAATATATAATGTCATCAACACAAATTGATTCAGAACCATTGACTTCAAATGTACGTCCAATTACTGATTCTTTAATAACTATACGAATAATTAAATCATTCCCATATAGAAATGTTAAAAATCATATTATAAAAGATTTGAATTTAAAAGAAACTACCCCAAAACAACTATTACAACAAATCAATGAGATTATAAATACAACTGGTGGATTAAGACCTTATAGAAACATTGAATATAATACTTTAAAGATCTATACAAAAGCTCACGGTTCGAAATCAATGAATTTAGTTATAAACTTTGATAATGATCATGATTGGATTTTAATAAGTCCATTAATAACTCATAATCATGAAAAACTGTTATATGAATTAGGTATTGAAAATGAAACTGAATTAAGTGTATTTAATTGGGATGATTATTTGAAATATAAAGAAAATCCAGAGGAGAAATGGTAGGGGCTTGATTAATTAAGCTTATTTATGGCAATATACGTAAGGATGATAATTTGGTATCAATTGTAGTTGTTACTCTTACTTTTTGCAGTCAATTATGTTAACCAATTTTTCAAAACACAATTGGTAGTGCTGTATTTTCACAGCAAAAATCAACCAACCAATAGTATCAAAGGTTTTTTCATATTAACAATTCATTAACTATGGTAGAACTAAATTATATGCAGTCACATAGTTAACTCAGTTCATTGAAAAAAAAAAATAATTAGTATTATATCCAATAGAAAAACATTTAATATTACTACTAAATATATTCATTGAAAATCAATTACAATTGACCGACAACTACATACCAACAAACTATTGAAAAATTAGAAATAAATATCACAATATTAATTTTTTGATTCATTAGTAAACCAAGCAAATTCGTATATTTCAATCCTTTAGATTTTTCAATTTTTTTTTCATTAATTTTTCAATTGTTTGACTTTTCAATAAGGAAGTAAATTTAATTAAAAGATTCATCTTTTAAAGATTTTTGAAGATAAAAGGAATAATAATATAACCAATATATAGAAAAATAATTACTCAAGATGTTTAAAAGTGCATATAAAACATTTAATCAACCAATGATTCAAAAATTCATTGCTGGTGGTGTTGGTATTTCAGGTTTAACTGCGTCATATTTATTATATCAAGATTCAATGACAGCAAATGCAATGACAGCAGCAGAACATGGTTTACATCCACCAAGTTATAATTGGCCACATAATGGTATGTTTGAAACATTTGACCATGCGTCAATTAGAAGAGGTTTTCAAGTTTATAGAGAAGTTTGTGCTGCATGTCATTCTTTAGATAGAATTGCATGGAGAGAATTAGTTGGTGTTTCACATACTGCTTCAGAAGCAAAAGCAATGGCGGAAGAATTGGAATATGATGATGAACCTGATGATGAAGGTAAACCAAGAAAAAGACCAGGTAAATTAGCTGATTATATTCCAGGTCCTTATGAAAATGAAGAAGCTGCAAGAGCTGCAAATCAAGGTGCTTTACCACCAGATTTATCATTAATTGTTAAAGCAAGACATGGTGGTTGTGATTATATCTTTTCATTATTGACTGGTTATCCAGATGAACCACCAGCAGGTGTTGTTTTACCACCAGGTTCAAATTATAATCCATATTTCCCAGGTGGTTCAATTGCTATGGGTAGAGTATTATTTGATGATTTAGTTGAATATGAGGATGGTACTCCAGCTACTACTTCACAAATGGCAAAAGATGTTACTACTTTCTTGAATTGGGCTTCTGAACCAGAACATGACGAAAGAAAGAAATGGGGTTTGAAAGCTATTATTATTTTATCATCATTATACATGTTATCATTATGGGTTAAAAGATTTAAATGGACTCCAATTAAAAATAGAAAATTTAGATTTGATCCACCAAAGAAACAATAAATTAACAAGAATTAAATATAAATTATGAAACGAATGAACTTAATAAAATAAAAACAATTTGAAAGAAGTCAAAAAAATATACATTATTATCCCACGTCATTAATATATGTATATGTATAACATCTATGTGTATATATATTATTTTTCATTTATAAATATATAAATTTCATTTAATAACAAGCTTCTATTTGAAAGGTGCTAATGAAGTCTATAATATTTCCGGATAAAATTGAGATTCAATTTTTCATCGAAGTCGATAATATTTCCGGATAAAGTTGAGATTCAATTTTTCATCTATGATTCAAAAAAAAATTACGAATCTAGATCAAAGTTCATATTTACGGTAGACCAGGTAGCTTTGGAAACAGCTTATTGCACTAGTTAGTTTGTAGGTTGAGTTATTTTTATTGTTACAATGAATTTGAGTTAATCAATGCCAACAAAACTTGGGCAGAGAAAAATTGAAACTACAGGAATGTAACAAACTGGATTCAAGCAATAATTATTAAGCTTTTTGCCTAGTATTAATGAAAAGTTTGCAGTCAAAATATGGAAATCAAGAATATTTAAAATAAATATAAATTTCGCCGTATTTTTTTTGAAAATATTACACGATTGCTATATTGGGCTTAAAATTTGAGAAATGGCAGTAATGAAGTAATTCTATGGCCTTCCGTACGAAAAAATAAGGTTTTTATGTTGGACTGACAATGGGATCAAAAATTTTGCACATGGCCGTGGCATCAGAATCTTTTTTTTTTCTTTTCTCATCGTCGAATTATCGGTGAAAATTCATGCAAGGTTCATAACCATTTATTCCAACAAAAAAAAAAAATAAAAAATTATTTTCATCAACACATTCTTCCATTAAAATATTTTATTATATCTATATAAATATTTTTCCAAATCTTGACTTATTTTTGTTATTTTATTTATAATTTGTTATATTTATTGATTTGATATTTATTTAGCTATCTTAATCAGCTGTATTAAAACTATTCCATATTAATTTAGGAGATTTCACTTGTTAATTTTACCCCACTCATATATTCATTCAACATGGTATTCGATAGAAATAATAATAATAAAAACCCAAATAGTGTTAAATCTTCAGAAGTTTTAACTTCATCAACATCTTCAATGATATCTTCACCTTCTTCATCAAAAGATTTATTACAAAATAATCAAAGTGTTAATGATTTTTCATCAATACAAGTTTCAGAATCAGAATCCAAACCTTCAAGAACTGTTATAATATTGACTTTAGTTTCTTCAATATCTGGATTTATGTTTGGTTATGATACTGGTTATATATCTTCTGCTTTAGTCCAAATCGGTACTGATTTATCAAATAAAATTTTGACCTCTGGTGAAAAAGAATTGATAACATCAGCAACTTCATTAGGTGCTTTATTGGGTGCAATTTTAGGTGGGGTATTGGCTAATTTGATTGGTAGAAAGAAGGTTTTATTAGGTTCAAATATTATTTTCATAGTTGGTACTATCATTCAATTAGTTGCAAAACATGTTTGGACAATGATTGCTGGTAGATTTGTTTTAGGTTGGGGTGTTGGTATTGCTTCATTAATTGCTCCTTTAATGTTATCGGAATTAGCACCTTCAAAATATAGAGGTAGATTAATCGTTACAAATGTTATGTTTATTACTGGTGGTCAATTAGTTGCTTATTTAATTAATTGGGGTTTAACAAGAGTTGCACATGGTTGGAAAGTTTCAGTTGGATTATGTATGGTTCCACCAGCTGTACAATTTGTATTATTTTGGTTTTTGCCTGATACTCCAAGATTTTATGTTATGAATGGTGAATTTGATCGAGCTAAAAAAGTTCTTAAAAAGATTTATAATGATCCATCGGACGCTTTTGTCGATGCTACAATTGATGAAATGATTACTTCAAATTCACAAGTTCCTGGTAAAAATCCATTATATAAAGCCTGGGAATCAATTAAAATTATTCATAAAACACCAGGTAATTTTAGAGCTTTAATTTTAGCTTGTGGGTTACAAGGTATTCAACAATTTACTGGTTTCAATTCATTAATGTATTTCAGTGCTACAATTTTTGAAACTATTGGTTTTCGTAATCCAACGGCTGTTTCTATTATTGTTGCTGCAACAAATTTTGTTTTCACAGGCATTGCTTTATGTATAATTGATAAAGTTGGTAGAAGAAAAATATTGTTGATTGGTATACCATGTATGTGTATTGCATTAATTGTTTGTGCAATCGCATTCCATTTTTTAAATGTTGATTTTTCTTCAGGTGGTGAAGTTATTTCAAGAGGTATTAATGGTTGGGGTATTGTTGTTATAATTGGTATGATTTTATACGTTGCTTCTTATGCTATTGGTATTGGTAATGCAGCTTGGGTAGGTGTTGAATTATTTTCAGATGTAAATGTCAGATCAATTGGTGCAATGTATGCCGCTTCAACAAATTGGGCTGGTTCATTAGTTATTGCATCAACATTCTTGACTATGTTACAAAATATAACACCAACTGGTACATTTTCATTCTTTGCTGGTTTATGTTTTATTTCATTTTTGTTTGTATTCTTTTTATTACCAGATACTGCAGGTTTAGAATTAGAAGAAACTACAGAATTTTTAGCTAATGGTTTCAATGTTAGACAAGCAAATCAAATTTCAAAACAAAGAAAGAAGAATTCAAAATTTACAACTTTGAATAGAACAACTACAGTATAGAAAAAATTGCTACAACTACTTTTTAATGATGTTAATGATTTAGATTTTATTCAATTCAAAAATAATATTTAATATTTCTAGTTACTTTTAACAATGCATAATAATTATTTATTTTAATAAATGATCATGAAATATTTGATCATTTTGTAGTGATATACTTTTTGAAACAATTTTTGCAACAATGAAACGACAAATGAAAAAAAAAAAAAAAAAAAAAAAAAAAAAAAAAAAAAAAAATTAAAAAAAAAAAAAATTCAATTTAATAATCAAAAACCAATTTTGATTGTAAATTCCAATTAATCTTCAACAAAAAACGTTAAATATTATCAAGTGTTTTTAATTACATTACTTGTAAATAGAATAATTATTCATTTTAACTTTTGCTAATACATTATATTAAATATAATTCAAATGTTAACAGATGTCAAATAATAACAAGAGTAATAATTATCGAAATAATTATAATAATAACAATAATAACTACCATCATCATCATAATAACCCAAATTATCATCATAGAAACTATAGTAATAATAACAACAATAACAACAACAACAACAACAACTATAACAATAATCATCATCGAATACAGCATAGAAATGACCATGTGTATAAACAATCACATAACAATAATCAACAACAAGCAAATCATCATCAACCACGAGCACAACAACAACATGTACCAGCACAACAACCAGCTTTACCTTCACAACGAGAAATTAATGAACCAGAAACTATCAAGGGTCCAGTAAGAGAAATGAACAGATTACAAGATTATGAAATATTGGAAAAATTAGGTCAGGGAACTTTTGGTGTTGTACAGAAAGCTAAAAGGAGATCAACTAATGAAGTTGTTGCAATCAAACAATTAATTAATCATTCTGCAAAAGAAGGTTTCCCACTAACGGCAATGAGAGAAATTACAATCTTGAAACAATTGGATCATACAAATATATTAAGAATTCTGGAAATGATATTTGAAGAAGGTAAAAATAATGCAAATTCTGAAATTTATAACAGAGGTTCATTTTATACTGTATCACCATATATGGCGAGTGATTTAGTTGGATTACTTGAAAACCCGAAAATTAAGTTACAGTTGAATGAAATGAAATGTTTAACACAACAATTATTAAGAGGTATACAATATATTCATGAGCAAAATTATTTACATCGAGACATTAAAGCAGCCAATATTTTGATAGATTCTAATGGTATTTTAAAAATTGCAGATTTTGGTTTAGCTAGATTATATCATGGCACTGTACCGAGAAAAGGAATGGGCCCAGGAGGAGGTGAAAGAGCATATACTAGTTTAGTTGTTACAAGATGGTATAGACCACCAGAAATTTTACTCGGAGAAAGAAAATATACCACAGCAGTTGATATTTGGGGTATTGGTTGTGTATTTGCAGAATTATTTACAAGAAAACCTATATTGGTAGGTAAATCAGATGCTCATCAAGCTCAATTAATTTTTGAATTGATTGGTCCTCCAACTGATTGGGGAGATGCTGCAAGATTACCAAATAAAGCTGATTATAGTATTGGTTTAAGTTGTAAAAGAACATTGGAAGCAAAATTCGATAAAATTATGCCCAAGTTAGCTATAAACTTATTAAGTGGATTTTTAACTTTAAATCCTTACAAAAGATTAAATGCTTTAGATGCTTTGAATCATGATTTTTTCAAAACTGATCCTTTACCTTTAAAACCTGAAGAATTACCAAAATATGAAGACTGTCATGAAATTGATAAAGAGAAATTTAAAAAAATGAAAGATATTCAACATAGAGAGAAACTAATGACTGATTTAAAACCACCAACTGAACCAAGATTTGAAAATAGATCAGAAAATAGAAATAATAATGATGTTAATTCAAAATATGGCGAAGAAGATTATGATTATAGAGATGAAGAAGAACCATTTTATAATGATGAGCAAGAGTTTCAATCATCTAAACAAGCTCCACCCCCACCACCCCAAGAACAAGACAGTCAATTAAAAGATAAACCTGGATCAAGAGGTAGACATGATGTTTATAGACCTCAACAACAACAACATCGTCAATATAATCAATATGGTAGGAATAATAGAAATGAGGATAACCAACAACATGGTAGATATAATAGAAATCAAGACGATGATCGATATGGTAAATATAATAGTAGAACTCAAAGAGACGATCAGTATCAGCAGTATGATAAATATAGCAAGTCCCAAGATGATGATTATCATCATAGAGAACCATGGAAAGATCAACGTGAGGAGTTTTTGGAAGAACAACATTCTCAAGCAAGGAGGCCACAATCAAAAGATAGATCAATTTCAAGAGACAGTTCACATTATCGACCACGTTATCAAAAAGATGTCAATGATAAAGCTCCTGAAATCAAGCGTAGTGAATACTACGATGATAGACGTGATTCAAATGTTCCAAGAGATCAACAACCACCACCTAAATCATTACCTAAAATACCACCAACTCCAACCGGACCAAAAGCACATCAAACTGAGCCAATTACATCTTCATCAAGAATTAGAAGTGCAACTGAAAAAGATTCAATTAAATCTAAATATGAAAATTATAAACCAATAAGTACTATTTCACCAGCAATGTCATCTCATAATGATATATCAGGATCAGTAACTCCAAAAAACCTTCAATCTTCAGCAACTGAAAAAGAAGCTTTGAAGAAATCTAATCAAAGTACAATAACTATGGTTCCACCTCCTTCTGCAAGCAATGCATCCAGTATTGCCTCATTGCCATCAAAACCAAGGAATTTTGCAAGAGAAAAATCAATGTCAAGTGAGAAAAGAGAACCAATAGTGATGAAAGTAGAAGATAATGATGTGAAAGAAATTAAGATAACATCGAAGGATAAATTATCAGATTTAAAAGATATGGGCTCTGGTCCACCGATAAGTCAAACGATGGAACAAACTACTACAAGTCAAGATATAATAACACCTAAGAATTCAGCTGAAAGAGTCAGTAATGATGTTAAGAGTTCACTAAAATCATCCGCCTATAAACCAAATAAATTGCAATTTGATTCAATCAAGAATAAAATACATGCAATTCCATCAGGTAATATAAAACCTTCTTTATCGCCCAGCCCAAGATCTGGTTCATCAACAACGCATAAACCGAAGGTTGATTCACCCTTATCAAAGAAAGTTATCTCAATATCATCAGGTAAGAAAGAGACTACATCCAGAAAACGTAAACGAGATAATGATGATGTAGGAAATGAGAGCAAAAGATATCAATGTAAAGATGAATATGGTAGTAATCTCACTGATGCAGAAGAAGACGATGACTTTAAAGGCAATGATAAAGAAGTGTTGGATAAATTTTTGGATCAACCAGGCTTAAAAAGAAGTATTATTTACAGGAAATTTTTAAACGAATAAAGATTTTATACTGATCGTAGGGTGAATTATAAATGAGGCTCAGTTGAAAGATAATTAATATATACTATTTGATTTTCTTGATTATGCTTTGTTATTTGCGTTATCGGTGAAACACCATTGGTCATATGGCATTACAAAGCTTAAAATTATGATTTAAACAAAGACAAAATACTGCATATAACGGGTCAAATTCCGTGCGAGGATAATCATAGATATAATCTCACTGATCTTTTAGATAAAAATTTGTAATCTATTTGATCTACCACAATTTTTAAGATCCCAAGGTCAACACCAAAAACAAGTACAAAACTTGAATTATTGCGAGTTATTTCATTTCATCATGGGTACATTCGAGGATTATTTTTCAGTTCAGGCATTTTTAATAATATTAAGGGAAACTTTAGAATCTGCAATTATTATATCAGTACTTTTATCATTCGTACATCAAACCTTCTATTCAAGCCCTACTCATAAAGAGTCAAATGATATAAATGGACAATATAGCAGTATAGAGTCTACATCATTATCAGCAGAGCCAGATGTTATAACCTTAGAAAAACAGGATGAAAAATTATATAGATATTTAAAGTTCCAAATTTGGTTAGGAGGATTATTAGGTTTAGTAATATGTTTATTAATTGGTAGTATAATATTAGCTGTCTTTTATTATGTTGGTAATGACTTATGGAGCATAACAGAACATTATTGGGAGGCCACGTTTTCAATTTTAGCTAGTATAATTATTTCAATAATGGGAATAAAAATCCTTAGAGTTAATAAAATGCAAGAAAAATGGAAATTGAAATTGGGTAAGATTTTGCAAAAGAAACAACTTAGACAGAATCAAGAAGAGCATTATAAAGATGTTGCAGAATCTTGGAGTAAAAAAATAGAAATGTGGGGTGAAAAATATAATATGTTTATATTACCATTTATAACTACATTAAGAGAAGGATTAGAAGCTATTGTTTTTATTGGAGGTATTGGTATTAATGAAAATACTTCAATTTGGTCAATTGTAAATTCTACAATTTTAGCTATAATATTAGGATCATTGATTGGTGTATTGTTATATCGTTCAGGTAATACTTTATCATTACAAGTGTTTTTAATTACATCAACATGCTTCTTATATTTAGTTGCAGCTGGATTGTTTTCAAAAGGAATCTGGAATTTCGAATTACAAAGATTTATCAATTTATGTGGTGGTATGGACGTTAGTGAAACTGGTCATGGACCTGGTAGTTATGATATAGCTAATAGTGTTTGGCATGTAAATTGTTGTAATGGTGAAATGCAAGAAGATGGAGCAATGTGGATGATTTTTACAGCTATTTTTGGATGGACAAATTCCGCAACCTATGGAAGTGTTCTAAGTTATATTGGCTATTGGATCATTATAATTATAATGTTTACAAGCTTATTATTTGAAGAAAAGCATGGTTATTTACCAATAATACCTATCAAATGGCAATATAGAAGAATACAGAAACGAGCTAATTTATACAATTTATCAGAAAATGATATTAATAGTGAAAATGGAGTATCTATATCAAGGGTTAGCACCGAATCTACCAATTCCCAATCTCCTTTACAATCATAAATGTATGAGGCGTTTCAATTATTCTACCAATAATAATAAATTAACGAAGTTTATGATTTTGTGTAATTGATGTTTTTGATAAAACTTTTTAATAAACAATGCATATCATATTATTTAAAAATTTTTCAGTTTATTATTTGCATGTGCCGTTTGTTTAAGGACACCAAGAAATTATAGAATGCTCTACGAGATGAATTTATCATAACAGTGCTAAGAAAATGTAGAGAAACCTACCCCTGATAGATCTTTCTCTAATTAAAGCTTACATTAACGAGTGGAAAGAGCATGTATTGGATACTGTAAAATTTGATCAAATAGATTCAATCGTTATTTATTTCCTATGGTTTCAGAGTGGCTTTGTTGTGATTGAATTAAATATATTTTGTGTTATTTAGGCAGTTTTTCATCTATTCTATCTAATAATAAATATTTCTTACTTATAATAGTCATAAGACACCAGTCCGGTTTTCAAAGATTTACTATCCATTAACTATGAATTATAATTAGATGCTGGTCATGATTCTTAATCGAACATTTGATTGTAACTAGCAAGAGTTGAACTTTTACAGATTGATCCAGAACCATTTTGATAATCTTTTAGATCGAAAAGTATGAAATTTCATAGAATACTTAGCTTTATTCTTATTGTTTCGAATTCTCAAAATTTAACAATTAATCACATTGTGCATAAAAATAAACAATAACCTTTGCTAAACAATTTAAATAAGATGGGTTCTGATTGGATTTAAGTCAACTCTCACCATAATTTAATGCATAGCAGAATTGAAGAAAAGAAATACAATGTTGGGAATGCATTGTCTTGTTATGTCAAATTTTAAATCACTAAAGGGGTGATGCTGCAAAATTTTTTTTTTTCAATTATGATTCGGTTGCAAATCCCATTAAACAATCAATTGCTGATTATTGCAAGTACAAGCCTGTATTGTCCAATACGAAATGGTATAAGTCTATTGTATTCAATGCTCCGTTGTTTTATTCGTCTTATAGGGTCTGAAATATGAAAATTTCTTATAAATTGTTTTACCCTTCCCACCTAGTTTTATATAAAATTTCAATTCTTTATGATATGAAAGTGCAATTCATTCTATACTTAATATTTTCAATTGGTTGTTTTGCTAGATCAAGTGATTACTCAGCTCAAGGTGATCGTAAATATTTTTGGGGTTGTAATGGTGCATTATCAGCTTCAGTATCTTTTTGTTCACCGACTAATTATACTTGTAAGTGTGTTGACAAAAACTTTCAAGCTTCAATTGCTGGATGTTTAGACCAAATTGGTAAAGCTACTAAAGGAGCAAAATCTGGAATGGTTAATTATTGTGAAAATTATGCAATGTCAAAGATTGATGATGATTGGTACGATGATGCTTTGAAATATTACAAAAAGAATGGTAAGAACGCATGTGAGATTCCTAATTTTAATATGATTATATCGATTGATACTCCATTCATTTTGAATAAAGCAATCGCCGAAGCATACGCAGAATCTTACACAAGATTCTACAATAACAAAGATGATTCGTTATACTATGGTGCAGCATGTTTAGGATACTGGTTATTAGTACTATTAATAAGTTCTATGAGTAATTTCACTAAGTTCATGTTTCCGAATCTAGTCAAAAAGATGACCAATTCAATAATCAACTACTATAGAAAATATTTATCAATTCCAGCTATGTTTCATAAAAAGAAATCTCAGGAACAATCATTCTTTCATATTTTTAGCTTTTTAATACTTTCAAGAATGGAATCATTGATTATATTCTTGTTTTATTGTGTTACGATCATGTTAATGTCTATAAATTTAAAAGCTATTCAAGGTGATGCATTGTACACAGCAAAATACATGGCAGAGATTAGATACGTTGCAGACGTAAGTAAACCAATATTTCATATGAATAATTGATATTAACACATAATTTAGAGATCAGGAATAATAGCTACAATTGAAATGCCATTAATATTTCTATTTGCAGGTAGAAATAACTTTCTTCAATGGTTAACTGGATTTAACTATAGTACATTTGTTGGTTTCCATAGACATACAGCAAGAATAATGTTCATGTTAGTTGTTATTCATGCAGTTTGTTTCACAATTAATTTTGGCAGTTATTATAAAACTGCGCTTGCTGAACAATATTTGAGATGGGGCATAACTGCAGCTGTTGCAGGTGGAGTTATAATGATTCAAAGTATGTTGTACTTAAGAAGAAGATGGTATGAAGTATTTTTAATCTTTCATATTATATTAGCTGCATTTTGGACTGCAGGTGCCTGGTTACACGTTAAAGATTTAGGTTATATTTGGTTTGTTTATCCATCTGTTGCAGTTTGGAGTTTTGACAGAGTTGTTAGAATTGGCAGATTATTTGCCTTTGGATTTCCTCATGCTACTGTTACATTATTAAGTGATGAAACTTTGAAAGTTATTATATCAAAACCAAATTATTGGCATTCAATACCCGGTGGCCATGCATTTATACATTTTTTAAAACCAACATACTTTTGGCAATCGCATCCATTTACATATACTGATTCATATGAAGATAAAAATTATTTAATTCTATATTGTAAAGTAAAAGGTGGTATTACTCATAGTTTATATAGATTATTAGTAAATTCACCAGGTAGATCATGTCAAGTTAGAGTCAGTGTTGAGGGTCCATATGGTGAACCAACTCCAGCTAAATATGCTGATTCTGCCGTATTTATAGCTGGTGGTAATGGTATTCCAGGTATTTATTCAGAAATTTTAGATATTGCATTAAAATCTAAACATAGTGAAAATAACAAATTGAAATTACATTGGGTAGTAAGAGAATACCCTTCATTATATTGGTTTTATGAAGAATTATTAAAATTGAGAAATACAAGAATTGAAACTACAATTTATGTTACAAAACCTGATTGTCATATTTTCATAGAAGAATTTAATAATAGATTCAACGCAGTTGAAAAATCATCATGTCCAGATTCTGAAGGTGATAGTAATGACCCATGTGAAGAACAAGATGAGAAATTGGATTCTTCAATAAAGGAAAAATATAAAACAAATATTGAATGCACAGATAGTGAAGAGAAATTATGTGGTCATGATATAGTTGAAAAGATTAAACATGAATTATCACATATAACATTCAAAGAAGGTAGACCTATTATCAAAGATTTAATGACTCAGGAAGTCATTGAATCAAATGATTCAGTGGCATTTGTAACTTGTGGTCATGGAGCTATGGTGGACGAATGTAGGTATGAAGCAACGCAATTAATTAGCAATAAAGAAAGGAAGAGGATTGACTTCTACGAACAGTTGCAAACTTGGTGTTAAAAGGTTTGATTTAACTTTTCATTACGTATACGTTAATATAGAAATAGACAAGACTGTATAAAGAGTGGAAATTTTTTTGCAGCACAAAAAGTATATTTATTGTACGTGATTCTGATTAGAGAGGTTTGATTTGCAACAATTAAAAATAGTTTAATCCTGTAGTAATCTTAACGGGGTTTATGTTTGTGGTAATAAACAGAGCAGAATTTTAAAAATTAACGCTATATTCTTTGCACTGAGCTCATAACTGTAATTAAAAGATTTGGGGGATACTCTGAGTTGAAAAAGCTGCCCTGACAAGAAATAGAATGTATTTTATTGAATTTCAAGGTACAGACTTTGTCAATACTAATATAATTATTCAATGAAATTGAAAAATCAAAGAGAACAAGTTTTTGGCAATTATTCCGTTCTTGTAATCAACAGTCTATGAGAAACTCAAACTCATCGAAAGGATTGTGAGAAAATACCTTCAAAATGGATTATTATTTAAAGTTGAGTTACACAAAACCATTGATGAAATTGATAAAAAAATTATTGTGATTGGATTAATTTTATTTTTTAACTCCCTAATTCTTTACCTAACTCAGGTTGCATTTGAAACAGAGATCAATTTTCAGTTTTAAAGAAAACCAGCCAAAGCTCATTACTTGAAGTTCAGAAGGATTGATAACACATCAATTAAATCGACAGATTAGAAGTCTGAATATGTTCATCAAAAAAAAACAAAGTGACTAAACTATTGAGACTAAGAACTCGAGTGTTAGACTATCATTCCTTTCGACCTACTGATCTTTTAGATAAAGTCAAAAATGAAACCAATTAGAGATGAGCTTAATAATTATTTTAGGTAAAATTGGGTTTTCCCTTGAAAAAAAAAAAAATAATCTCAGATCTAAAAAAAATATTTCTTGGCTCATAATCGTTTATGACACAAAATCGTAGTAATAAAATATATTAAGAACGATAATGAGAAATTTTAAAGCAAAGTGCACTGTTTAATGTCTTTCTTTAACTAAGGTATACGATAACAATATAGACGTACCAGCTTGTTACCCCCCATACCCCCCCCCCCGCTGATACCCATCCCGTAAAAAAGTAGTTACTAGCTCTATAAATAGAATTTCAATGAATAATTGCTGCAAAAATATTATTAATACCAGCTAAGAAATAATTATAAATGATTAACTTTTTATTTAGTCACATGTTTCTTCCTTTTGGTTTTGCAACCAGAACTGCTCCATATTCCAGTTATGAATATACAAGAAATGTTTAATGTTGTAATTACGGATTTTCAAAATCAGTCTCAGTCTGTGCAATTCCATATAATACATCCTGTTTATGTCAAAGTAAAGAAGCTTTAGCTACTTATACTAGTTGTTATGTAACAAGACCAGAAATAACAACTGATTTAGATCAATTTAGTTCAAGTTGGTCAAATGATGAAGTATCATCGATTGAAAAGAATAGTTCTGTTAAAGAAGATATAAAGGAAGAAGAGTTTGAAAAAGATCTAGATTATTCAAGTATTATAAATAATATTAAATTAGAATTATCACATATATAATTGCAGGTAGACTAAATATTGAAACTTATGTTATTGAACAAGATGAGGAATCTAATGGTTCAGTTGCATTCGTAGTATGTGGATCTAGTACTATGGTAGAATCAGTAAGTTTCGAATGTTGTTAAATGTTAACAAAATCAAAGAAAAGAGTTGACTTTTATTAACAAGTTCAAGTTTGGGCTTAAAGGAAATTATCTAATAATCTCTCAATTTTTTTTAAATTTGCTCAATTGTAAACATTATTTAATAGTTTTCGAGGTACATAATGAAAATACACGCTAATTAATTGTTGAATCTTCCGTAAAATCTGTTATGGTTGCAATGTAGAGCTATTAAACAATATTTTCCTGGAGCAGCTCGAGTTAAAAAGTATATTAATGGAAATATTAATTATTGTTTGAGTGTGCCTCTTGTCTTTTGCAAATTAAGATTGATCAATTGGTTGCTTTCTTTGAGATACAATCTAAAATACTTATCTAAAAAATCTGTACCAAGAAAAAATAATTTAGTGCATCTAATTTGAGCTCAAACTTCCATATGAAACTAACTTTGTAGCAGCTTATAAATATGAAGATAGTACTGAATAAATAGTAACCATCAAACTTGATGAAATATGGTGAAAGGGAAGAATTTTGTAAAGTTGCGACAATCTATATACTGGATCTATTGTTGTACGGGGAACAATAGATTAATTTGATATTCGATGTTTCTTCATTTAAACATTAGGAGTCAGAAAGCTAAACATTTTTAGTTTGTTGCACAAAACCATAGATGAAATTGATAAAAAATTCATCTTGATTGGATAAAATTAAATAAACTTGATCTCAAAGATATTGAAAAATAATTTTCAAACCTTAATTTCCTATTGTTACAATAACTTTTGATCCCAAGTCTCAAGTTTTAATTGTTCTGAAAATTCTGATTCTGTTCTAAACGCCCCAGATACTAGAAAATCAAGTACACGCGACAAACGAAGAAAATGAACCTCGTATTTATAATGTCAGAATTCTATAATTGAAACCTTGATTTTTTCTTCAACAATTCTACATACTTTAGAAGTCTTGGTTTATATTAACGATTAAAGTTAAAGTTAATCCTTTTAGTATTTTAAGTGTGAATATTTTAATTGACGCCCTACTATTATTTTTTATAATTTTTTTTCTTGGCCATAAATTTTCAAGAGGTTGTACAAGCTAAACATCCTCCAAAATGGAATGTTTTCCATTTGAAATGTATCAATTACAAGCTAAAAATGACGCAAAACTAGTAAAACGCTAAACGCTACATTCTAGCTTCTTCGTAGTTGAGTTTTTATCTAATTTTAGTGAAATATATTATGAGAATATTTAAATCTGATTATTTTCCTTTTTGCTGCAAAATGTTATTAGATTAACTTTGAATACTGATCAATGAAGTTTATAAGCTTTTTAGCTTTCATATTATTAACTAGCTTAGTTACTGCTCATGGTGAAGGAAATGGTGTACCATATACAAAATATGAACATTCAAAACCTATTTATTGTTGTAATTATGAAATTAGACAAGCAGTAACATACTGTCCTCCAGGTAACTATACTTGTTTGTGTTCAAACAAAAATGCTTTAGCTACTTATGCTGGTTGTTTGTCTTACAAGAAAAGAAATGGAACCCACACATTACATTTTATGGAACATTGGTGTGAGGAAAATGGAAATGTGACACTTGCTGAAGATTGGTATAAGAATTCATATAAACACTTCTTAGATAATGCTAAAAGTGCATCTGAAATACCAAGTTTTAACAAGTCAAAACCAATTGATGTACCGTTCAAATTGAATACTTCAGAAATGGATTTGTTCAAAAGAGCATATGATGTTTTCCTTGACAACTACGACGATTCTTTATATTATTCATCGGCTATATTAGGTTATTGGTTATTAATTTTCATAATTGGTGCTTTTATGAATTGGTCAAAATTCTTATTCCCAGGTTTTTACAAAAAAGCTACAAATCCAGTAGTAAACTATTGGAGAAAATATATAACTATGCCAGCAACATTTCACAAAAAGAAATCACAAGAGCAAAAGTTTTTGAAGATATTTGATTTTTTGATTCCATCAAGATTTGAATCAATAGTCCTTTTCATATTTTATGTGATGGTTATCGTTGTTCATTGTATGAATGTCGAATTCGTTGAAAAAGATCCTTTGTTTTATACAGCTTATAGAGCTCAATGGAGATATATTGCTGATGTATGTAACACCCGATATCAATGTGTGGATAATACTAACCTTTAAATTTTAGAGATCAGGTATTGTTGGTACGTTTATTACCCCATTCGTTTATTTGTTGGCTGGTAGAAATAACTTTTTACAATGGTTGACTGGCTGGAATTATAATGTATTCATTACATTTCATAAACATACGGCTAGGGTAATGTTTTGTTTGATCGCAATTCATGCAGTTGGTTTCACAATATTGTTGATTGGTAGATATGCAGCAGAAATGAAAGAAACCTATATGATTTGGGGAACTTTAGCTACAGTTGCAGGTGGTATAATGTTGGTTCAAGCAATGTTATTTTTCAGAAGAAGATGGTATGAATTATTTTTATTGATCCACATTTTGATGGCAGTATTTTGGTTAGCTGGTACTTGGATTCATGTTGATAAATTGGGTTATATTCAAATGGTCTATCCAGCAGTAGCTGTTTGGGTTTTTGATAGAATAGTAAGAGTTGGTAGATTAATATCATTTGGTTTTCCAACTGCAACTGTTACTTTAGAATCAAATGAAACTATAAAAATTGTTGTACCAAAACCAAGTTACTGGAAATCAATTCCAGGTGGGCATGCATTTATTCATTTTTTGAAACCCACATATTTTTGGCAATCACATCCATTTACGTTTACTGAAGAATCAGATAATAGTAATATAGTCTTTTTTGCTAAAGTTAAAGGTGGTGTCACTCATAGTTTATATCAAACATTAGCAAAAGCTCCAGGTAGATCAATTAAAATAAAAGTTGGAGTTGAAGGTCCATATGGAGAAGCAACACCCGCTAAATATGCTGATACTCCAGTATTTGTAGCTGGTGGAAATGGTATACCTGGTATTTATTCCGAAGCTATTGATATTGCTAAGCATTTACCAAAAGATAGTAACAAAGTTGTCAAATTAACATGGATAATAAGAGAGTATTCAAATTTGATATGGTTTTACAAAGAATTACAAGCATTGAAGAATTTAAATGTGCAAACTACTGTTTATGTTACAAAACCAGAAATTTTAACTGATTTAGAACAATTCAACACTAAATGGTCGAGTGGCGAAGAATCGGAATCTGTTGAAAAAGGAGATTCATTAAAAGAAGAGGTCAAGGAAGATGTAACTAGTACCGATATTGGACCTATTATCCAAAACCTTAAATCGGAATTATCACATATTACAATTTTAGAAGGTAGACCAAATTTGGAAACTTATGTTGCTAAAGAAATCGAAGAATCCAATGGATCGTTAGGATTTGTTGCTTGTGGTCACCCGGCTATGGTTGATGAATTAAGATTTCAAGTCAGTGAAATGGTTACAAAATCTAAGGGTAAAAGACTTGATTTTTATGAACAACTTCAAATCTGGGCTTAAGCTTAAAGCCCTTTTTTATTAATATACAATTTTATTTGTAACTCAACTCCTTTACCTCAAAGATCTGCGTTTTAATTGTCGAACTTGTGAATACGAAAATTGAGCTCATAATTTAAACCAACACAAAAACAAACCATTTTGTACTTACAGAATTTCAACACTAAAATTAATGCAGAGTTGGAATATTAATATGGTATACGCTTATTAAAAACCCATAAGATTTAAGTATCAAATTGCAGTATAGGTAACATTGAATTTTCCACTTAACTGCTAATCTTTAACTTTAATCTGTTATCCTTTAATACGAGAGATAGACTTATTTACTATTTGCTATTCAATCTTATATGTAATAGAGTTTGCAGGGTTCTAGATTGAATTTTTAGCCGAGAGATTTTTTTTAATTTACCTTCAGCGGATTAAAAATGCCAAGAAAATTTGAAAATTGTAATTTTATACGTTCTGCATAGATTTTTGGGTTTACAACTTTACACATGATGATGATAATTCAGTAAAAAGGAAGATGTCAGCTTCCTTGAAAATTTGTACATTATTAATTCAGATGAAATCTATTATATTTTGTAAAATAGAGATTAGGGAAAACAATATCAGATCTCGACTTATAAAATCAAAACAAAAAAGGATCTTAAGAAATCTAGATATTTTAAGCACAAAAGATCAAATAGATTAAATAGATAAAAAAGATTATCTGATTGGATCAATCCCGTTTATAATTAAAAAAAAAAAAAAAAAAAAAGTAAAAAAATAAAGCCATAGATTGATTTTGAGCTTTTATTAGATCTTAGACTATACTCTCATAATATAGTGTATGAAAAACGAAATTGAATTCCAACTTCAAAATAGCTTCGATAGTTTGACATATTCCAGTAAAGTCTAAACGTAAAATTATGTAGGAATTAAGGTACGCTAAGAAAAATTCACCAAGATCTGAGATCTGAAGTAAGTTTTACAAGTTTTTACAAGATCTGATGACTGACAAGAGTTTTATTGTATAAAATATTAATTAGACTAGTATATAGTTTAGTATATGTCCATTTAAAAGAGGGTTTCTGTATAATATATAGTATTAAATACTCAAATCTTATAATTTTGGAGCCTAAGACGGTTTTATCACCAATTTTTTTTTTTTTTTTTTTTTTCCATATCAATAGCCCCCAAATTTAAAACCATCTAAAATTTTGTACTATATGCATAGAAAATGATAATTTGATTTTGTTTAAAGTCAAATTAAGTAAAATATACTAGTAAGTTATGCAAAATGGATTACAAATTGGAATCTACTGGCTCAAATTAAGGTTATTCATGAATTTTTAAAAATATAAAAGGAATTAAGAATTTCGCTATTGCTGCAAAATTTTTCATTTACCCATTATTACAGTATATATAAAATCAAAAAACTGGATCTATGAGATCATTTCTTTTATATTATGTTGTATTTTTAGGTACAATAGTCAATGTTTATGGTAAAGCAATTCCTTATACTTCATACAAATATTCAAGAGCTGTTTACTGTTGTAATTATGAAATTGAATCATCAGTAGCCTTCTGTTCAACTCCATATAACGTTACCTGTACATGTTTGAGTAAAGCTGCTTTAGCTACATATGCTGGTTGTTTAGCTTACAATAATAGGAATGGCTCAAAAATTTTAGAAGCATTGGAAGATTATTGTCTTGAAGCTAACGTCACACTTAAAGAAGGCTGGTATGAAGATGCATATTCTTATTATTTAGCCAATGCAAAAACACCATCAGAAATACCAAACTTTAATAAAACAATCCCGATTGATGTTCCATTGAAATTAGATGATGCTGAAATGAGCTTATATTACAGAGGATACGAAAAATTCTTGGGGAACTATGATGATTCATTATATTGGGCAACTGCAATTTTAGGTTACTGGTTATTGATATTCGTCATTGGTGCCACTATGAATTGGTCAAAGTTCATGTTTCCCAGTTTGTATAAAAAAGCTACAAATCCAGTAATTAACTATTGGAGAAAATACATAACTATACCAGCAACATTTAGTAAGAAAAAAGCTCAAGAGCAAAAGTTTTTGAAGATATTTGATTTTTTGATCCCTTCAAGATTTGAATCAATAGTACTTGTCATATTTTATCTTTTAATAATTATAGTTCATTGTCCAAATACTGAATATATACAAGGTGATCCAGTTTTTACCGATAAATATCAAGCACAGTGGAGATATGCTTCAGATAGAACTGGTATTATAGCTACATTTATTACTCCATTTGTATATTTATTAGCTGGTAGAAACAACTTTTTACAATGGATGACTGGTTGGAATTTTGCAACCTTTATTACATTTCATAAACATGCCGCTAGAGTTATGTTTGTTTTAGTAGCTATTCATGCTGTTGGTTTCACTATTTTGTTGATTGGTGAGTATGCAGCTGAAATGAAAGAGACTTATATGATTTGGGGAACTTTAGCTACAGTTGCAGGTGGTATAATGTTGGTTCAAGCAATGTTATTTTTCAGAAGAAGATGGTATGAAATATTCTTGTTCACTCATATAGTTATGGCTGCTTTCTGGTTAGCGGGTACTTGGATTCACGTTGAGGAGTTAGGATACATCCAAATGGTTTATCCAGCAGCAGCTGTTTGGGTTTTTGATAGAGTAGTAAGAATTGGTAGATTAATATCATTTGGTTTTCCAACTGCAACTGTTACCTTAGAATCAAATGAAACTATAAAAATTGTAGTACCAAAACCAAGTTACTGGAAATCAATACCAGGTGGGCATGCATTTATTCATTTTTTGAAACCCACATATTTTTGGCAATCACATCCATTTACGTTTACTGAAGAATCAGATAATAGTAATATAGTCTTTTTTGCTAAAATTAAAGGTGGTGTCACGCATAGTTTATATCAAACATTAGCAAAAGCTCCAGGTAGATCAATTAAAATAAAAGTTGGAGTTGAAGGTCCATATGGAGAAGCAACACCCGCTAAATATGCTGATACTCCAGTATTTGTAGCTGGTGGAAATGGTATACCTGGTATTTATTCCGAAGCTATTGATATTGCTAAGCATTTACCAAAAGATAGTAACAAAGTTGTCAAATTAACATGGATAATAAGAGAGTATTCAAATTTGATATGGTTTTACAAAGAATTACAAGCATTGAAGAATTTAAATGTGCAAACCACTGTTTATGTTACAAAACCAGATATAATCACAGATTTAGAACAATTCAATACAAAATGGTCGAGTGGCGAAGAATCGGAATCTGTTGAAAAAGGTGATTCGATAAAAGAAGACATCAAGGAAGAAGTTAACACCGTTGGAACTGATACAATTGTACAAAACCTTAAAACAGAATTATCACATATTGAAATTATAGAAGGTAGACCAATTTTACAAACTTATGTTGTTAAAGAAATTGGAGAATCGCATGGATCAATTGCCTTTGTTGCTTGTGGTCACCCAGCTATGGTAGACGAATTAAGATATCAAGTCGGTAACATGGTAACTAATTCTAATGGTAAGAGAGTTGATTTTTATGAACAACTTCAAATTTGGGCTTAGTATATTGTATAGAGTATTTACTTTAAAGTGAGTTTTATTTATTTTCTGTTTTACCACTTAACAAATACCCCTTAAGATTTTTGCAGGGTTTTTTCTTGTTCTTGCATTTCATTCAAATGACAACTTTTGTTATGCAAGAAATTGATGAATAACCATGTTCAAAATGGGCGAAAATTCCAACAGGCAATTGCTAGATTATGAATTTGTTGAGTGTTATAACGTTTGCTGTATTAGTGAATTTGATAAATTGCTCCAATGTTCCAAAAGTCAGAAATAGAGATTATATTAAATATGATGATATGAAACCTTCATACGTTTGCAACTTGTTAATTAATAATGAGACCACATATTGTTTACAAAATACGTTTTATGATTCTGATTATCCTTGCTTATGTCAATCGTCTGGCTGGTTGTCTTCAATGACGGGTTGTTTATCTTCCACTAATAAAAATATATCAAATTATCAGAATGGTTTAATTAAGTTTTGTTCAATAAATGGGAATGTAAAGATTGACCAAAGAAATTTAACAAGAGCATATAGATTATACTTGAGTACAAGCCGAAATAAGACATTGATGAGAAACTTTAATAAGTCAAGATTGTCAGATTTTCCAATTAGGTTAGATAGTGAAAAAGTAAAATTATACGAAGTGGCTTACGACAGGTATCTAGGTAAATATGATAATTCATTATTTTATGGATATGCAGTTTATGGATACTGGGGTTTAGTTTTTATACTTGCAGGTTTATCAAATTGGTTGAGTAAGTTGTTCCCATCAATTTATCTCCAGCAGAACAAAAGGTTTTACAAATTTGTTAAAAAACATATATTGATACCAAATTTGATAAATACTAAAATTATTAAATGTTCTAAGATTGAGTTTATCTTAAATTTCAATTTAAATAGGCTTGAATCTTCTATTATTTTTGGGTTTGTATTCTTGATTATCATTTTGTTAGTTACAAGTATTAAAAGTCCTGATACCGATCCTATTTTTTATACAAAAGAAGGTGCAAAGTTGAGATATGTATCCGATAGAACAGCTATATTGGCATGCATGATACAACCACTAGTTGTCTTATTTTCAAGTAGAAATAACATTTTGGAGTTTATTACTCAATGGCAATATGAAAGATTTATAACTTTACATAAATGGGTTTCAAGAATTATGTATATTTTAATAATCATACATGCAGCTGGTTATACAAAATTATTAGGATTGTACTATTCAATCGAAATTAATGAAAAGTACTTAAAAGGTGGTTTTGTTGCAATTGCAACTGGCAGTTTAATTCTATTATCAGCAAATGTATATATTAGACGGCACTGGTATGAGTTATTTTACTTGCTGCATATTACACTTGTGATATTTTGGATTATTGGTGTTTGGCTACACATTAATGAAATGGGATTTGCTTGTTTTGTATGGCCCATAGTTGCAATTTGGAGCTTTGACAAGGTTCTTCGATTTATCAGAATATTACTATTTGGAGTTCCGATGGCTGAAGCTGTTTTAGTGTCTAATGAAACGATAAAAATCATAATTCCTATTTCAAAAACTTGGATACATATACCTGGAGGTTATATATATTTACATTTAATCATGCCTTGGACATTTTGGCAATCTCATCCATTATCCTATATAAAATCAAAGGATGGTAAGAAGATTATCTGTTTTGTTAAAATCAAAAAAGGTGTCACTTTTAACTTATATCAATATCTTATAAAATATCCAAACCAAAAGGCTTTAATCAGAGTAGGTATTGAAGGTCCTTATGGTCATTCAATCACAGCTAAGAATGCCGATACCATCGTATTTATAACTAGTGGAAATGGTATACCGGGTATTTACGATGAAGCAATTAGTATGGTTACTAAATATAGAGACAAACAGGTTAAATTGATTTGGGTGATTAAAGAGTGGACGTCTATTTATTGGTTTTTCAATGAGTTGAAATCTTTACAAGACTTAAATATCGAAACAACCATATGGGTTATTAATAATAACGAAGATCTTTATTTAAAAGATGAAAAAAGTAATAATGAAAAGATTGATTTTAGTCAATTGAATAAAGTAACTTATGAGAACTCAATCTTGAATTATTTTAAATATAGTTTAATCCATATAGTGTTTAAGGGTGGTCAGCCAAATGTTAATTCTATTATTGAAAATGAAATTGATCAATGTAATAGATCAGTTGCATTTGTAACTTGTGGGAATAGAAAATTAATGGAAAGTATTAGGCAATCAGTTGTTAGAAATATTCAAAATACAGAGAATAAACAAGTTGATTATTATGAAAGGTTTCAAGTTTGGTCATAAATAGTAAATATACATTACATTCAACTTTTAGCATCACTTTCGTTATTATCTATATCATTAAACATATTATCTACTGAAGCACCAAGATATAATTTCAATGTTTTTCTTGTAGCTGGAAGTATTTTACATTTTACTAATACTTCTTTATCACTTTGAAAATTCATTCGATCATAAGCTTGAAATCTATGACAACCACCAAATGCAAAATAATAATTTTTACCTTCTTCTCTAATTTTAAACACATCAACAGGTGGTAATTCACCTGATTTTATATCCTCAACTTTACAAGTAGCTGATTCCATTGGTACACCTTTTAATGTAGATACCATAGCATCTATTTTTTGATGATCTAAAACTGGTGGAATTGGACGTTTTATTTCCGATAATGGAACATATTCCTCTTTTAAATTAGTTGATTGCATAGACATGTTTCCAGTTAAAAGTTATTTCATATATTGAAAGTTTTCAACGAAACTTATTAGTATTTATATATTAATCAAAATTATTAATCATATCACTAATAATATTGCTGTTCCAGAATTATGATCTCAATGTCATCTTTTAACAAAATTTACGAGTTTCGACACTAACTTTTTAAATACGCAATAAAAAAGTTTTTTTTCAGTACGACACTTTGGCATTAGGGGTGGTATTAAAATATGGCGTAAGTTTAAATTCCTTGGCCTTAATCTGGCATAAACTTCGAATTCATCTTAATAGCTAGTTAAAAGAATATTTGTATTTAAAAAGGAAGTTGCTTCGCTGAATGCAGATCAGACTTGAATAATTATTAGAATAGACTCTGATAAAAGTCAGGTGCGTATGAGATACAAGAATTCAAAATATTCCCTACGATGGTGCCACTTAAATATGGCTTCTACAGCGTAAAAATTGATTTTTATCTACAATAAGTCTGTAACAAAGTCAAAAAATTCATTATCCGTAAGATCAAAATGACTAGAGTCATGATTATTACATATGGAACATGTCTCTTTTTAAAGTTTTCTTTTAGTTTTTCTTTTGTGTCCGTTTCGGCATTGGTTGTAAAGTGATGATTGATTGAGAAAACTGTGGATCATCTACTATAAATTAGTTCTTATTAGTATTGAGTTATGATACGATAATGTGGTGACTATATACCCTTGGAAGCATTCATATACTATAATCTAATCGATCTAGCATATCAGTTTTAAATAACATTCATGTAAGTATTGTAATTTTGGTTAATCTATTTGATCTTGGTATTTCCCTTTTTGTGTTTAAATCCGTTTGAATCAATGAAACAATGCCAACTGATCGGATTAGATAAAATTTTTTTTTTTTTTTTTTTCAGATTTCGATTTCAATAGGTATAAAAGTAGAAAATTTAGCAACAATATTGCAAAAATATAGAAGGCCAATTTGAAAAAGTAGATTGTGACTCATGTATACACCAGCAGTGTGTTCACTGCTCATATTCATATCATTATTGGTGTTATCAATATTCCTTAAGAGTACGAATCATCATAAATTAATTTACAAGATAAGAACATATTTGATAATTTGTTTAACAATATCATGTTTGGCTTCAGTAGCTCCTCAAACTGCTCAAATTGGTGCACCTTTTAATAAATATGGTCAACCCAAAATTGCATTTTTTGGATGTAATTATCAAATTTCTTTGACCACGGCAAGATTTTGTTCAGAAGATAAATCATTTGAATGGTGTTATTGTAATAATTTTAATGCCTTTGCAACTATAGCTCATTGTTATCGAGTTGGTCACGAAAAGGAAATTGATCTGTTGTTGGATATGTGTAAAGAATATAGCAACAAAACCTTAACAAAAGATATTTTTGAAAAGGCTGATCATTATTATAATAACAGAGCAAAAACTATTGATGAGATTCCGAATTACCAGCCATATGAACTAGTCGACTATCCTATAAAATTAAATGAAAGTGAAATTCATATCTTTGAAAGTGCTTATGAACAATTTTTGGGTAATTATGATAGGTCAATAGATTATGGGTTTTACTTGATTGCATATTGGATCATTGTATTTGCATTAGTTTCAGTAGGAAATTGGTCCAAAGTTTTATTACCAAGATTACAACCAACTGACAGTTTAACAAATTGGTTTAGAAAGAACATTTCATTACCAGCAACTGGATATAAAAATAAGACTAGTGAACTTCCATTATTTAAAATTTTCGACATGTTAGTTCCAACAAGAGCAGAGTCATTAATATTAGCTACATTTGGTGGATTATGTTTATATTATATGACTGTTGATATCTATTATACTCCAGGGAATCCATTATTTTCAAATAAATATACCGCTTTATTGAAATATTATGCTGTACGAGCAAGTTTATTGAGTAGTTCATTAATGCCATTGCTTATTTTATTTGGTGGCAGAAATAATATACTTCAATATATTACTAGATGGGATTATGCAACATTTATAACATTACATCGGTGGGTTTCAAGAATAATTATCTTTATGATATTAATTCATGCATTGTTTTATACTATTTATTTGAAAGATAGGGGATTACCAGAAGAAAGTATACCACTTTATATTTGGTTTGGTGTTGCTGCAATTTACGCAGGTGTTGTAATTTTAGTTCAAGGTTTATTAATACTAAGAAGAAAGTGCTATGAAGTATTTTTATTATTACATATTGTTTTAGCTGCTGTTTTTATATTTGGAGCATGGTTACATGTCGAAGATTTATATTGTGTTTGGTTTTATTATACCTCTGCTGTTGTTTGGGCATTTGATAGGATAATACGACTTTTAAGAATGACTGAGTTTGGATTTCCAATTGCTAAAGTTTATTTATTAAGTGATGAAACATTGAAAATAATTATACCCAAACCAAAAAATTGGCAAGCTATCCCTGGTGGACATGCTTTTATACATTTTTTAAAGCCAAGCTGTTTTTGGCAATCACATCCGTTTACGTATACTGTTGACGATGAATCAAATATAATATTATTTATTAAAGTCAAAAGGGGAGTTACTAGACAAATATCTAATTATTTAATGACTCATAAAGATAGGTATACTACAATTAGAGTTGCAATTGAAGGTTCATATGGTGAATCAACCCCAGCTAGTAAGTATAATACCGCAGTTTTTTTTGCTGGTGGTAATGGTATTCCAGGTATTTTTGCAGAAGCTTATGAATTGTTGAAATATGAGAATAAACAATCGATCAAATTATATTGGGTTGTACGAGAGTATAAATCATTATTATGGTTCTATAAGGAGTTAATGGCTTTGAAAGGAACCAAGATTGAAACAACAATATTCATAACTAGACCAAATTCTTCAATTGAAGAAAGAGATTTTAATAGTAGGACTTTTACAAGTTTATTAGACGATGAATCTTCACCACTAAATCCAAAACAACATACTATATACGATTCAATAAAGTCGGATGGAAATATAATAAAAGATATACAAAAAGAATTATCCCATATAAAGTTGATTGAATCAAGACCAAATATAAAAAAAATTGTTGAAACAAACATCAATGAATCAATGGGATCAACATGCTTTGTAACTTGTGGGGCACCATCAATGGTAGATGATATACGACATTCAGTGGTTTTAAATTTAGATTATGATAGAAATAAAAGGGTAGATTATTTCGAACAATTACAGGTGTGGGCATAGAGTTTATAGATTAATAATTAATGTATTTAGTATTTATTTAAACCGTATCTGTAAATACCTCAAAATTGACATCATCTGACAGAATTTAATTTAATATGATATGCATAACCAATTAGTTTTTTTTTATATGGTACAGCCCCAAACAAAGGGCTCAGCAAAAACGAAAGATAAAGAAAACGAGAAGTTTTATGAGTAATAGAAAAAATAAGAATTCAACCCATGAAGAATTGTTGCAATATCTCAGATACATTATCTAACGGTTTAGATAATAAAATAAATTTTGAGTGCAACTAAACTATTTTAAAATGTAACATGTAGACATCTTTTGTTAAAAAAAATGTTTGGCATGCAACCAAGAAAAATCTAAGGTAGAAGATGGATTGAGATTGAATCAAAGAGTTATTTGATTCCGAATTACAATGCTATTCAAAGACTTCCAACTTAAGCTGATGCATAAAATACTTGATTTTAATTATAGTAAATTCATGTAAATCTTCACTCGCCTGCTATTAAGAAACTTTTTTAAGTATTCGTAAAAAATAGGATCTGTTTAAAATCTGCAACATTGAAATATTTTTTTGCTTCGGAATAATTACCAGAAGCAATACTTCTTAAATTACAATATCTTTAAAAACTGTCCATTTTTTATTGCAAAGAAAAAAATTTTTGTCAATTATAATGCCATTGACAAGCTTCTGACGTAGTTATAATCAAGAAATTTAATATTTCGCTTACAATTGACTTAGTTATTTAAATTAGTGATTAGTCTAAAACTATTTGAATTTACATCAGTTGAACAATATAAACCGAATACTGACACTATTCATATAAAAGAAGTATAGCAGTTATATTTCAAGGTCTGTTAGACCAAATTCAAATCCCAATCAGAAAACAGTTACATTAATTAATTACACAAGTAGCAAGTAAATAAGATGATGTCTCCGGATTATCTCTCGTTTCTTTTGTTTAGCCGTTTGTGTTTCTTTTTTTTTATTTTTTTTTTTTTTTTTATTTTTTTTCTCACCTTTTTGCAGCATTTTAGATGATTGTTTAATTACGTTAATTTAAAAGTAAATTTTGGGGCAACATATGGGGAAGAATCAGCCAAGAATGAACAAGTGGTAACACTCAAATTAAAGTCTTATTGTTATGCTAATTTGAAAATTATAAATATCATTGAACTTTCCTCAAATAACAAAATTCTATTTTTTTTTTACTTCATCATTATACACATTTACACATTTTCAATTACAGTTTTATACTTATGAATAACTCAAATTTAGAAATTGACAATTCTGATGTCAATGCATCTGGTAATCAAACTCCAGAAATTGAATCAGTCATGGAAAAAAGCACAGAAGATGAATTAACAAATATTATCGATCAAACTTTACAAAAGAAATCATTTAAAGATTACATTTTAATCTCCTCCTTATGTTTTATGGTTGCCTTTGGTGGTTTCGTTTTCGGATATGATACTGGTACAATTGGTGGTTTTGTCAATATGACTGATTTTACTGATAGATTTGGTCAAACAAATAGTGATGGTGAAAGATATTTTTCAAATGTAAGAGTTGGTTTAATTATTTCCCTTTTCAATGTTGGTTGTTGCATTGGTGGTTTAATATTTTCAAAAGTTGCTGATCTTTATGGTAGAAGAATTGGTCTAATGTTTTCAATGGTTATTTACGTCGTTGGTATAATTGTTCAAATTAGTGCAAGTTCTCATTGGTATCAAATTGTTATTGGACGTGCCATTACAGGTTTAGCTGTTGGTACAGTTTCAGTTATTTCACCAATGTTTATTTCGGAATCTTCTCCAAAAGCTTTAAGAGGTACTTTAGTTTGTTGTTTCCAATTGTGTATCACATTAGGTATTTTCATTGGTTACTGTTGTAACTATGGTACTAAACAATTAGAAGGTTCACAACAATGGAGAATTCCTTTAGGTTTATGTTTCCTTTGGGCAATCTTTTTAACTGTTGGTATGTTATTTATGCCAGAATCACCAAGATATTTGGTTGAAAAGAAGAGATTAGACGATGCTAGAAACTCAATTGCGAAGTCAAATTCATTAAAACCAGATCATGAATTAGTTTCTGCTGAATTACAATTGATCCAAGCTGGTATTGATAGAGAAAAATTGGCAGGTACTGCATCATGGAGTGAATTGATTACTGGTAAACCAGCTATTTTAAGAAGAGTAATAACTGGTGTTTTATTAGCTTCATTACAACAATTGACTGGTAACAATTATTTCTTTTATTTTGCTCCAACTATTTTCAGAGCTGTTGGTTTAAAAGATTCATTCCAAACTTCAATGATTATTGGTGCTGTTAACTTTATTTCAACATTTGCAAATATTATTGCTATCGAGAAATTGGGAAGAAGATTATGTCTATTAGTTGGTTCAGCTGGTATGTTTGTTTGTTTTATCATTTACTCAGTTTTGGGGTCAGTCAATTTATTTGAAAATAATGATTACGATTCAATTGAAGATACACATAAACCAACTGGTAGAGCTATGATTTTCGTTACTTGTTTATACATTTTCTTCTTTGCTTCAACATGGGCTGGAGGTGTTTATGCAATTTTATCAGAAATTTATCCATTAAGAGTTAGATCAAAAGCTATGTCTGTTGCAATTGGTTCAAATTGGATTTGGGGATTTTTAATCTCATTCTTTTCATCATTCATTATTGATACAATCCATTTCTATTATGGTTTTGTTTTCACTGGTTGTATCGCTGCATCATTTGTATTTGTTTACTTTGGTATTATGGAAACTAAAGGTTTATCATTGGAAGAAGTTGATGAAATGTATGCAGAAGGTGTATTACCGTGGAAATCATCAGGTTGGATTCCACCATCAGCTGAAGTAATGGCTACATCAACTGGTTATGCAAAACCAAGAGAATCAACTACTGAATCAGTTTAAAATATTCAATGATAGTTTATGATTTATCCATAGATTCCTTTTCATGATAGACGACGATACACTTTTTTATATTTTGTTTTAATAGTTTTTATTTTTATTCATGTATATTTTTAATTTAGCATTTAATGTATAGTTATACAAAAATTGTTTCTTGAAGACCCTGAATGTAATTCCTTTTTGTTGAATTTCTTATTTGTAATTTTACCATTCCAATCAAATAGCCAATATGCTACTTTATTAGCTTCATAGGAAAATGATTGGGTGAAACCTAAACTTTTCATAATTTCTAGTAATTTATCATTATCAAAATATCTTGAATTTGTAATACACGGCAAGGGTAACACAAAAAACAAACAACTTAATGAATCTTTAGTCGCCTTTTTCAAAAACTTTGTTATTCTTATCAACATTTCACCTCGTTCTTTAGGTAATGGAACAAAATTGACCACTAATGAACATGAAATTAGATTATATTTTTCATTTGGAGCGGTTGGTAAAGGTCGTTTCATAAAATCTTGTTCTATTATTAATGGATCTTGAGAGTTTAAATCAATTCTTGTTATTTCTTTGAATATTCCGCAAGTTGTAATTGCATTACTTGGACTTAAACAACCAATTTCTAATGCTGTTAAATTATTTAGCTTGTCTTCATATTTTTCATCTCTTAACCATTCAATTAATTTCTTTGAAGAGTCACCACCTCGTTTATTAGTTTGACCTTGAGTTGATGCCGACTGGTAAGTCTCAATACCTCCTCTTTGTTCTATTTCGGAATCAATTTTTGCTAAAATTTCAATCAATTGAGTTATCGATAAAGTTTCATCAATCTTATATATTTTATTGTCCGAGTATTTTGCTGGAATTTGGAAAATATTGAATGAATTTTGATAAATTTTACCATGTATTAGCTCCTTATAATTGTCAATATTAATCTCAGGGTATATCTTTCGTAGTTTAGTTAAAATTGAGTATTTATTCTTCTGCAAAACATGGAATCGTCGTATAATCTGTCTAGTTTGTTGAGGTTTTAAAGATTTTGGAACCGAATTTGATTTACCAGTTATAGATTTTGTCTTATGCAGTAGTATACTTGATTTCTTCTTTATTGGCATTATTCGTGGAGATCAATCTCATCTGAAACAATTTGTGCTGCAAAAAAAAAATATAGAGAAGAGTACCAGATCATTTGTACTAGCTTAAAATGGCAAAACAACAACAAAAAACACAGAAGAATAACCAGAAGAAGGCAGCTAAGAAAAAATTCAATGGTAAAGCTAAAAAACCAAGAGTGGTTCCTTCGTTGAAACAGAAATTGCAAAAGGAATCAAAAGTTGTAAAAATAAATGACTTAGATTGGAAACCTGTTGAAATACCTGATAATTTAGGAGATTATGAAGGGTTTTTTGGTTTAGAAGAAATAGATGGCGTTGATGTGAAAATAGTGAATGGTAAAGCAGAATTTGTAGTTAAAGATGACAAAAAATTGAAGCAGGAAGAGCCAACGGTGAAAAATGAAGATGATGAAATAGAGGAAATTGAGGAAAATCTTGAAGAAGAAGATGAAGAAAAAGATGAAGAAGAAGAATTTACTGGATTTGATGATGACGAGGAAGAAGAAGATGTGGATATGTCAAATGGTGTACTAGAGCAAATACAAGAGGAAAATGAAGAATCAAAACTGGTAGACTCACCAAATGATGAGTTAAAATTCACTTCATTCGCAAATTTAGACTTACCTTTACCTGATGAAGATGAAATTGATTTACCAGAATGGCAAAAGGGTGAACTAGGATCATCATTGATTCCATATACGTTACATGCGTTACAAAAACTAAATTTTATTAAACCAACACCAATTCAAAAGAATACCATACCTATTGCATTACAAGGTAAAGATGTTATAGGAAAAGCAACGACTGGTTCTGGTAAAACTTTGGCCTATGGTATACCTATTCTTGAGAAATACTTAGCATCATTAGAAAATGTTAAATCAAATAATAAATCAAACATTATAACTCCACCTACAGGTATTATATTTACTCCAACAAGAGAATTAGCCCATCAAGTTGTTGATCATTTAAATAAATTAGCAAAGTATAGTCCTTTATCAACTAAAGGTATTCTTAGTATTACTGGTGGTTTGTCAATACAGAAACAACAAAGATTATTAAATTACAGTCCTGGGATTATAGTTGCTACACCGGGTAGATTATTAGAAGTTTGCCAACAAGATGAAGATGTGACAAAAAGATTAAGTAAAACGGAAATCATAGTTTTAGATGAAGCTGATAGATTATTACAAGATGGTCATTTCGAAGAATTTGAGAAAATATTAGAATTATTACAAAAGAATAGACCAAAAGATAAATCCATACCTTGGAAATGGCAAACATTAGTTTTTAGCGCAACGTTTTCTAGAGATTTATTCAGCAAACTTGACAAAAAACAGAAACATAAAAATCTAGAAAGTTCTTTAATTCAAAATACCGAAATTATAGAATTGTTGTATGGAAAATTAAAATTCAAAGATACAAAACCTGCTTTAGTAGATGCAAATCCAAAAGAAATAGTATCTGGTCAAATTACTGAAGCATTAGTTGAATGTGGTGCTACTGAAAGAGATTTATACTTATATTACTTTTTACTTATGTATAAGGGATCAACTTTAGTGTTTGCTAATTCAATTGATTCAGTTAAAAGATTAGTTCCATTATTAAATAATTTGAAAATTCCAGCTTTTTCAATTCATTCATCAATGCTTCAAAAACAAAGATTAAGAAGTTTAGAAAAATTTAAAGAAGCTAGTGAAAAGAATGAAACTACAGTTTTAATTGCATCCGATGTCGCTGCTAGAGGTTTAGATATTCCTAATATTGATCATGTTGCTCATTATCACTTACCAAGAAGTGCTGATGTATATATTCACAGATCAGGTAGAACTGCAAGAGCTGGTAAAGAAGGTGTTTCAGTTATGTTTTGCTCACCACAAGAAGCTTCAGGTCCATTAAGAAAGTTGCGTAAATTGGTTGCAAATTCGACTGAAAATAGTAAAATATTTAACATACGTAATGATGTCAAATTATTACCAATTGAAATGGATTTAGTATTACAATTGAAACCTAGAGTTTCTATTGCATCTAAATTAGCTGATGCATCAATTGCATCTACTGCAACAAGAAAAGAAGACTCATGGGTTAAACAAGCAGCTGAAGATTTGGGTATAGATGATATTGATGGATTGGATGAATTTGAAGATGATATAATAAAGAAACAAAGGAAAAGAAAGGAAAGTAAACTGTTGACAAAGAATGAAATCGGTGCATTAAAATACGAATTGAAAGAATTATTAGCTAATCCAATTAGGAAAAATACTAGAAGGAGTTATATAACTAGTGGATTAACAAATTTAGCCCATCAAATGATAACGGGTGCTCATCATGAAGAAGTTTTGGGTCATGAAAAAGTTAATGCCTTGACTGATTTAAAGGATAAAAAAAAGGCTGGAACTAAAAAATTGGAAAAGAAGAAACCCAATAAAATAGTAAAGAAGAATGATAAGAAAAACAAGATGCGTGATAAAAGAAAATAAGGTTAAATGCAGAAGTATATATTAGTTATTAATCTAGATAAAATCTTCATCATCATCATCGTAGTATTCGTCTTCACTTGATTCATCAGCTAATTGTTCAAAATTAACTTTATATCTCAATATAGCACCAACACCACCAAAACCTTGTACAAATTGTGCACCTTCAGAAGATTTATCAGTAACAAATTCTAATTCTGCACCATAATTTTTATAATTTTCTGCTAGCCATTCCAAGAATGATTCTTCTTTTATTATTTCCATTTCAGTACCTGATTTTTTATCAACTTGCCAGGATTTATCAGGTAATTCTGGGTTTACATGTGCAACAACTTCTTCACCGTCAAGATCTTTTAATGTATATCTTACTATGTTTAAATTTTCATAAACAATTATTTTTTCACAAGCACCTAAATCTAATGCTTTTAAAGTATCTTCAATACCATAACAGAATTTACCAGTATCCTGACTAATTTCTTCGAAATAAGCTTCTAATAATTTCTTTTCTTGAACAAATTTAACATTTGCTAATGTTTCAGCAGATAATTCAATAGCTTGATTAAAACCATTTTCACCACCATATGAAATATCAACAATTTTTATAACTTTAGCTTGTAATCTATTATCAAATAAATCAGATTTTGAAAGTTCAGTTTTAAAATCAGCAGAACCAGCTAAAATTAAACCTTTAACATTAACTTTATCAGCAGTAATGAAATTTTGTACTGCAACTTCAGCAACTTTTCTAACATAATTATGTCTCTTTTCCTCTCTTAATCTTGAGAAACGAACGGCTGATTGACCACCTCTACCATGTTTTTTAGGTAAATCAACTGTGAATTTATGTAAAACATCTCTTGTGTTACCACTAACAGCACCAAACAAAGCACCATTACCATCCATAATAATAAAACCAAATCTATCATCATTTTCTAATAACTCATTTAAAGCTTCGACGTGGAATTTATTATCACATAAATATAATGAGGTATTAATTGGTTTAAAAGGTTCAAAATCAATATTTAATTTTTTTTCTTTACCTTCATCTGTTATTACATCACCACAATAAACAACTAAACCATTTCTTGGAACGGAATTATATAATTTTAATTTCTGTTGAGTTGAAGTAATTGCTGATAAAACAGATAACCTATTTACTCTTGATTTAATATTTGAAGCTGTACCATATTCATCTGTTAACATTTTTTGAATTAATGAAATTTGACCCTTAGGCGGAATAACTAATGAAATCATAGAAGTACCATTACCTCTTGCCATTTCTAGTGATTTAATCAATTTCTTGACTTTCCAAATTTCAATATTCTTTTCAGCATCGTTATTTTCTGACATTTTGAATACTTATTTGTTTCTTTCTGACTTTAATATCTCTAACTTTTGTATATAACTTTTGTATACTTTATATTGATAAATTGATTTGAAATGACCTTTTTTTCTCCTTGTTTCTTCGAAATTGGGTTATGAATCAATCAAATAGTCAAATAATAATGAACTTCTCAATCAATCTATAACTCGGAAACCTTCAACAAAAGAAAAGCAAATAAAATTAATATAATGAAATTTTTCAAATTTTTTTTTTTTTTTTTTTTTTATTTTATATTTCGTGTTGTTGCAAAATCAGTTTATGATAGAAGAAATCGATGATGAATGATTATAGAATACGGGAAAGAAACAAGTTAACACCTTGGTGGATGGTAGAGAGATCGGATCGAGGCTTGGAGATGAAGAGAAGCAGCTCACTCAAAATGAACAAGACCAATCTTGAGTTGAATGTTAACTTATAGTAGTTTTGAATCACATCTCTTTCATAGTTAACTTTTTTCAAATTATTACATAACTCAAAGTGAAGGACTTATGTAACAAAATATTACTTAAGCACTGTTAGTAAACTTACATAATTTTATCTATTAGTTTTAATTTTCGTTCTTCAAATTTGATTTGGAAACATCGGTGTTTAATTTTTAGTATTACAAGTCTGTCAAACAACCAATTACAGAAAATATCCTTAATTAATAGTATAACTGGTTTTAAAGTGTCGGAATAATGAATACAGATCAGACAATAGAGCATTATAGCAATCATCCATATAATAATGCTGAAAATGTGAATACTCCTCCCATAAATCAAAATGAAGCACGATATGATTCAGATACTTCGTCAATATCAGAAGATGAACCATTAAATGATAAAAAAGAGAAATCTAGAAAACCTAGTGATAATGCTTTTAGACAACAACGATTGAAGGCTTATAATCCAGTTTTAACTGCAAAAACCGTCATACCATTATTAATTGCAATTGCAATAGTATTTGTACCTTTAGGAGCTGCTATGTGGTATGCATCAGATAAAATAGAAGACATAACAATAGATTATTCGCGTTGCACTGCTTTAGCAACTAGTGATTATTGGCAACCTATACCTGATAATTTTACCGCTTTCAACTTTAGAAAAAAGTTTGATGGTTTTCAACCAGATTTTAGATGGAGAATAGGAAAAGATGACTCGCAACTATTTGATGAAGATCAATTTGTTTGTCAAATACAATTTCAAGTTTTAGAAAGAATGAAAGGTCCAATTTATGTTTATTATAGATTGGAGAATTTTTATGCAAATCATAGAAGATATGTTAAATCATTTAGTGAAGATCAATTAAATGGGAAAGCTGCTAGTCTAAGTGATATTAAAGATACTGTTGGTCAAAATTGTGAACCTTTGAGTCAAAGAGATGGTAAAAGAATTTATCCATGTGGTTTGATTGCAAATAGTTTATTTAATGATACTTTTAGTGAAAGGTTAGAAGCTGTTAATGGTACTTCATCAAATAATACTGTTGAATTAACCAAAGAAGGTATAGCTTGGGCAACTGATAAAAATAGATTTAAAAAAACCAAATATAATTATACAGAAGTTGTTCCTCCACCAAATTGGTATAAAAAATATCCAAATGGTTATAATGAAACAAATATGCCTGATATATCAACTTGGTATGATTTCCAAAATTGGATGAGACCAGCAGCATTATCAACATTTAACAAATTAGTCTTAAGAAATGATTCAGCAAGTTTGGAACCAGGTTGGTATCAAATGAATATTGGAATGCATTTCCCAGTGTTAAGATATGGTGGTAAGAAATATTTGTATATATCGCAAAGATCTGTAATTGGTGGTAAAAATGACTTTTTAGGTATAAGTTGGATGGTAGGTGGTGGTATATGTTTTATCTTAGGATTAGCTTTATTAGTTATCAATTTTGTGAAACCAAGAAAAACAGGTGATGTAAATTTATTGAGTTGGAATCAAGAGAAGGCTAAACGTGATGAACAAGCTGCTACTGCTTTTAGTTCTGGAAGTAAAGTTAATGATTATGAGAATTAAACTAGTAAATAATTAATAAATTATAAATACATTACGTAGATTTATATTTTTGTAAATAATACTAGACTCTGGTAATTAATTTACCATTTGGTTTAGCATCTGAGAATAACAATTCCCAAACTTTTGGAATTTTGGCCAAATCACCTTTTATATCTTCAACATGATAAGCATCTGTTGTTCTCAATTCGCCTTCTTTAATAGCTTTAGTTAAAATACCAACTGCTTCAGGAAATTGGTCAATGAAATCACTAACAATAAATCCTTCAACATGTATACGTTGAGTTATAATATATGGCCATGTAGTAACTGCAAATTTTGAATTATCATTATAACCACTAATTGCACCACAAGCAACTACTGAACCTTTTTGTTTGACTTGTGTTAAAAAGAATGATAAAATTTCACCGCCAACATTATCAAAATAAACATCAATTTCTTCATCACCTAAATCTTCAACGATTTGCTTTTTCCAATCTGAATTTTTATAATTAACAGCTAAATCAGCACCTAATTCTTTAACCCATTTAACTTTCTCATCCGAACCAGTAACACCAATTACTTTTCTTGCTCCTAATAAATTTTTAGCAAGTTGTACAACAACTGAACCAACAGCACCTGAAGCTGCAGAAACAGCAACAATTGGTCCTTTTCCTGATTCTGCTCCAAGATTTTTTCTTAATTTACCAACTTCAATTAAACCAAATAATGCAGTTAATGAAGTCATACCTAAAACTGATAAATAATATTCTAATGGTAAATTTTGAGAATTATCAACTTTATTGAAAATAGCTTTATCTGGGATAATTGAATAATCTCCCCAATATATTCTACCATTGATTATATCTCCTTTATTGTAATTTGAAGATTTTGATTCAACAATTTCACCTAAACCTAATGATGCCATGGCAGTTCCTTCATAAACTGGAATTGAATATGATTTTGTTTTATTACCTGGTTTTCTCATCCATGATCTTTGTGTTGGATCATTTGATAAATATAATGTTTTAATTAATACTTCACCATCTTTTAAATCTGGTAGCAAAACTTCTTTTAATTCATAAGTTGAATTTGATTCATTTAAATTTGAATTAATTGATTTTTCAGGGGCATTTTTCAAAATTAATTGATTAACTTTTAAAACAGACATTTTGCAACACTGATATTGACGAAATAAAGAATTACTACTCTTTATATACTTTTAAATTCAAGGTTAAGTCCGTCAACATTAATAAGCAACATCACAAAACTCTATCGGATTTATTCATTTTATAACACTAAATTATGATGCAAAAGATCGGAGCTACCAATTTATCGGACTTTATGCACCATAGATTTTGCAATTAATAATCTTATAGTATCAGTTGAGAGGAATCAATGGCAATGGGCTGTAGTTAAATGTAAACAAATAATTCGAAAACGGCTATTGACGAATTCGACTGTACCCGAGCCGTTCAAGTTCAAATGTTAATTACATGAAATTCTAGTTTTAAGCATTTTTTGCGTATCTGATTAGCCACTGGCTTTGGACCAATACCTTATGTATTAATACATTTGTTAGGAAATGGTTTTAATTTGAGTTTTTAATTTATCTTTCCTAAATTTGGGTGCAAAACTCATAAAAAAGTTGAAAAAAGTTGAAGAAAGTTGAAAGATAGTTCTGAAGAGTTTGCTTCGGTTTCAAATAAAGCCATTATACATCTAGAGAATAGTATTAAGCTAGTATTAAGCCACTAGACAAGCTGTTAAACTGACAAATAGAGTTATTCTCTATGAAAGTTGACTGATTCAAATTGGTAGCCGTTGGGAACCAAATTAAGAAATCTGAAACGACAGAAAGAAAAAAAAAAAATTCCAGATCCAAAGGTAAACAAACCATATCAAATAATTGATCTTTAATAATTTTAATAGACTTATAATGCAAATATATGAAGCATACATGATATAACCAAATATGACAAATATACATCAGTTTTCACAATTAAAAGATATTGGTGAACTACCGACGCATATCCTGTTAAAATCATCGACAACAAATTCAAATTCAAACTCAACCCAACCAATAACTAATGAAACTACATCAAATAAACAAGGAACTTTATTAAAATATCAAGAAAATGTAAACGAAGAAGAAGATTTAGAATTCATAGATGATCTTTCATTTTCCAAATTTTCAAATTTTTCGGGTAAATCATCATCAGTTATATTCAACAATAATAAAACACGTCTAATTAATTCATCAAACTCACATTCAAACTCACCGTTTGTCAAAAAAATAAAACAAGACTTAAATTTGAACTTTGGTGAAGATCGTAAAATACCTACTCAATCTCATTTTGTTTTTCCAATAACTGAAGAAAATAGTAAAGAGGGAAGCTCATTATTAGAAGAACGTAATAAACAATTTGATCAAGAAATTTTAAAAGCTGAAAAATTAAGAGAAAAGCATGCAAATCAATTAAATAAAGTAAATTCAACTCCAAAACATCAACGTACTTCATCAGTAAAAGTATCATTAACCCCCGCCCAAAAATTTGAAAAAAGACCGAATACCCACCTGTCTAATGCATTAAATGATTTTAAATTTCACAATTTAGTAGGTAATGGAGCTTTTGCAAGTGTTTATAAAGCAACAAATTTAAAAACAAATCAGATAATTGCAATAAAACAAATTCGATTAGAACAAGATCAAGATGTTGCCGTATTAATGGGTGAAATAGATTTATTGAAAATTTTAAAACATCCAAATATTGTTAAATACCATGGATTTGTTAAAACTTCTGATTCGTTAAATATTTTACTAGAATATTGTGCTGGTGGCTCATTACGACAATTATATAAAAAGAACAATTCAGGATTAGCAGAGATGCAAATTGTAAATTATACAAAGCAAGTTATTCAAGGTTTAGCATATTTACATGATCAAGGGGTTGTACATAGAGATGTTAAAGCTGCAAATGTTTTATTAACTGAAAATGGTGATGTTAAATTGGCTGATTTCGGAGTTGCCACAAAAGTTAATAATCTGCATTTTACATTAGTAGGAACACCAAATTGGATGGCACCAGAAACTATATTAGGTGGTGATGGTCTTTGTACTGCATCTGATATTTGGTCTTTAGGTGCTACAATAATTGAATTATTTACAACCTATCCACCTTATCATGATTTAAATGCAATGGCAACCTTACATGCAATTGGTACTGATGAACATCCACCTTTACCAAAAAACATTTCATCATTAGCAAGAGAATTTTTATTAGAATGTTTTCAAAAGCAACCTAATCTTAGAATAAGTGCAAGATTATTACTAAAACATAATTGGTTAAATCAAGATATTAATAGAACAAAATCATCACATCCTTTAAATAAACCTAGACCAAGTATGGATTTAAAATCAATTAAAACATATACTGAAAATAATGAAGACAATTGGGATCATGATTTCTCAGAAATAAAAATACCAAAGAATTTAGAATCAACAAGAATACATTCACTTGAAATTGAAGACGAAAATTCTTCAATCATTCCTACAAAATTTTCAAAACATGAACTATTAAACAAATTTGCTGAATCTGAATCTGAGGATTTGGATAGTGTGGAAATGGGTAATACAAATTATGGTAGTTTGAAAATTAATAATATGGTTGTAAATGATGTAGATGAATCTGATCCATTTTCAAATATTCAAATGGAAAATTTTGATACTAATGAAATTGAAATTCAAAATAAAATGGAGTACATGGTGACAAGATTAGCTCGTAAATTGGAACAAGCTCATCAAGGAAATGAAGATGCAATTGCATCAATGGTTAAAATTACAGGAAGAATGTTACATTTGATTAAGAAATATCCTATTCTGCATGATACATTTATAAGAGATCATGGTGTGTTATCATTACTTGAATTATTGGAAAGTTTTCAAGATTTTTCCAAGCAACAACAATTATGGTATCATTCATTGTCAATACTAAATTATATATTTGAAAATAGTATTGATCAATTAGAAAGTTTTTGTTTCTTAGGTGGAATTCCAACAGTGGCACAATTTAGAAGTGGATCATACGATGTACAAGTCAGGTTACAAGTTGCAAGGTTTATTAAATGTTTAAATTGTTCTGATAAAGCTTTATCTATGTTTGTATCTTGTGGTGGATTACGTTTAGTTTCCAAATTTGTTGAGGAAGATTTTGATTCAACGCCCATGTTTCCATTAGTTGCAATTGATTGTATACATAATGTTTTGAAAAATGATTTAAGTAGATCTAAATCAGATTTATGTCGAATATTATCAAAACATGGTGTAATATTTTGGTTTGTTGTTTTATTAAATCGTTTAGTTAAATTTGATCGTAATAGGACTGATATTAGAAACACGATTGAGAAAATTATGGATATTATTAAATATTTTAGTCAATCAGAAACTAGAGTAAGAATTACCATAGCATCTGCTGATTTATTTAAATTATGTATGAAATTACATGGTAAGCTTGAGACAGCTGCACATCAATTAATTATGTTGAAATTTTTAAAATCAATGTCATGTATTTCAGATGTATTGAAGTATTTATATCGTGCTGAAATTGTTGAATTCTTAGTTCATGTATTAGAGAAATTCACACCATCAACAACTGGTTATAAAGAAGTTATTAATGTTACTGGTCCAATATTATACAATTGTCTTTCTTTAAATCATATTAAAGAATCTGAATTTATTTCCTTAGGTGGTTTACCCTATCTTAAAGCCTTATCAATGATTAATTTACCATTTAGACAATTTGTACTACCTATTTTATGTGAATTTGTTCATTGTGAAGGTCAAACTCGAAATGAATTGAAAAAGAATGAAATTTTAAATGTTTATTTTAATTTATTATTAGATCCTTATTGGCAATCCAATGCATTAGATTCAATATATCATTGGTATCAAAAAGATTCAAAATATGTTAAGTTAGACAGTCCAATGGCTGCAGATTGTTTAATTGGTGGATTCTTATTACCAAAAGTATCAAGTTTAGAATCAACATTGGAAATTTATTTACAATTAATCACTGTGAATACAAATTTAACTAGAATAATGCTGGATTTAAACATTATGAATAATATATTAATGAAATTGGCAATTTATAAAAAGAATCCAGTGATTGAATTACAATTGATGAAGATACTAAGATTTTTAATTATATTTTCTTTGAATGAAGATAATTCAGATTTGAAGAGAATTTCAAGAGCAATTATTAATACTTTAGAATCATTGAATTCAAGACTGACTTCAGTATTAGTTGATGAAGTAGCTACTGAAATATTAACTATTCTTAGTTAAGTATGTATTTATGTATATTTAATGAATAATGAAGTTATGAATTAATTTTTTTTCGCACCCAAATTTTGACTGTATATTTTTTGTTGATCTTTAACGAAAATTATGTCAAATGTATCCATAAATGAACAATTAGGTAATGATAAAGTAGATGATTTGTTTAGAAACTATAGCATTCAACAGATTCAGCAAGTTGCCAAACAATATAAAAAATCAATTGAAGAGAATAAAAATGAATTACATAATTTGGTAGGTAATAAATATCGAGATTTGATTAAAATTGCAGAAGATATAGATACAATTGATAAATTGAGTCTGGTTAGTGATGGAAAATTAAAATCATTATCTTATAAATCAGCAAATTTTGTCAATCCCTATAAGGATAATTATGGGAAATTCGATACATTAATCAGAGAAAGAAAAATCAATCAACTGAAAAAGAACGCAAGGTCAACCATAATTAGAAATGTAATTCAAAAGAAATTGAATAAATTAGACGATGGAATCATAGTTAATGTAGAATGTCCATTATTACATACTTCAAATTTTATCCATTATGCTAAATTGTATTATACTTTAGAGAATGAATTTAATGATGTTTTACATAATGATAATACTTTAAAAACACAATTTAACAAATTAAAACAAAGCTTTAATGAGTTTTTAGAGTTTGAAATATCGTCATATAATTTAATTGGTCCAATTTTGAATGTCACTAATGATAAATTTACGAAAAGTCAACGAATAGAAGCAAAAGATTTGATACTTAAGGACAAGAGCAAGGTGATATCAAATTATGAGTTATACGAAGAGGAAGAAGACGATGATGATATAGTTATAGAGAGTGTCGAATCTGAAGAAAATCAAGTAGTTAATGAATTTGATCACTCTTACGACCAAAATACATCCAATATTTGCAATTACATAGTCAGTTATAACATTTTAAATGGTGGTATTAATAATCTAGGTGAGAGAATTATTAATCTAAGATCTAATTTTATCAAACTGATGCTTAGTCAGATTGAATATCTGTCAATTGATTTTTTCAAATTGTTCAAATATCTAGAATGCACATGTTTATACATCAACAAGTTCTTTGAGAATAAAGCTTCGAATGAGTACAGAATAACACTTTCCGATGCTACTCAACCATGGAGTTGTTACTCATTGATAGGACATAAATATTGGTACGATGATAAAATAGTTGAATTTAATTACAAAGAGAGAGATACTGTTAATCATGATAAGGCTTTGAAAGATTCTTTTGAGTGGATATTAAAATTCTTGATCAATTTGATGGAACGACAAGGAAAGTCAAACTGTGAATCATTAGAGGTGCCGATATCATCATTTCATAATATTTTAGTCAGTCTACGTAATCTAGAAGACTTTTTAGAATCTTCAGGTATAGCATCAAAATTTTTGTCATTAGTTTCATCAGGCAACTTCTTTAATGATTTATTATTGTCATTAAGAAAAACCATAAAATCATCACAAAGTTCACATGTTGCTTATTTAAATGACGTAGATAATGGTTTAATTATGTTGATCAAAGATGGATTGAAATTGAACAAAAGTCAAAAGGAACCTGCATTATTTTCAACAGATATACTCGATTTGATGGACTCAAATATTGAAGCATATATGGAAGTTTTAAATAGAACCGGATCATCAAGTAGTACGATGCAACAATTGAAAGAATGGTTTGATGAGTCTAATTTTTATAACAGGCTCTGCTCAAGTGATCAAAAAGGTTCAGATAATAAGATTATTGCATATGTTGATTACTTGCAACATAATTTGGAGATAAAATGGGGTACATTCTCAGATAGAACAATTAAAGACGAGTTTAGTAAGCTAATTAATGAAATGCATGAAGAATTTCAAGTTCAAAATTTAAAATTCGTCGATTCAATAAAAGAGATATGTATGGAAGCTTCACAGAAGGATCAAATTTTTTATTTAATTCAAATCTTGACTCAAACTAAGTCAAATCTAAAATTAGAGAAGAATGATGAGAAAATTAAAGTAGAGATAGACGAAATTTGTCAATTGCTATACGAAAAACTTGTGCATGCTGTACCAGATGAAGAATTTTTCAAATCATTTAAAGAAGCTATAGATCAAAATTTTGAAATTCAAGATGATAATACTACTCCTAATAGACCAAATTTGAAGATACTTCTGTCTCTTTATCAACTAGCTCAAACTTATTATAATTTAGAAGATCTTGAATCATTTTCAAATCCGGAGACAAGTTTGTTTTTCATTAGATCTAAAAATGATTGGTTTATAAAAGTTTTAATTCAACAGAATCTTATAAATTACATAGATGAAAAGACAAAACCAAAAGAAGATCAAGATAATGAGGCCAAAAGGTTATCAAGCTCACAAGGTCTACAATTAATAGCTAATTTGATATTTATATTACATTTTTGTCAGCCTTCAAGTACAGTATCGAATATGAATGATCAAATTAAATATTTTGAAGAACTCTGCGGTAGTGAGTTTGAGATATCTAAAATAGAGACTATCCTTAGTAAGATACAATCGTATTACAAATCAATTGAGAATATCTATTTACCACTTAGTCTATTAGATTAATATAAATATAATTTTGATCCATCTCTAGTTAACTCTTTTAATGTTTGGAATGATTCTGGTATATCCCAGATATTTTGTTTCTTTTTATCTAAATATGAATTATCAATTATAATGATTTTTATTTCTGATTTCTTTAATTCTGCATCTTCATTATTCAATACTTTGATTATTCTTCCTGGAGTACAGCATAAAATTCTTGCCTTGGTAGTTTTGACCAATTTTAAATCGACCTCAAGCTTATTCTTGTTAATTAATTTCAAAGATGACCCTGGTAAATCTTTAGTAGCTCTATGAATATCACAAGCTCTTATTGCAGACATTGACACAACAGCAATGAATTTCCTATCTTTCTCTCCTTCTGAATCTTCTGTATATTGTGCTTCCCCATTAAAATTCTTACCTTTCTTTTTTGACTTTTTATTTTTGTTTGATTTTCCACTTGGTAATATATTACTAAATTTTGAAATTATGAATTTTGATAAATTATCTAAATTTCTTGTCTCTTTAAAATCTGAACTTGATCTTATATCTGATTTATTAAAATATAATTCAGTTAACTCCAATGCCGATAATTTGATATTTTTTTTACGTATTTTATTATTTATATATTCAGTAATTATTTCTGGATTTGATTCTAATGACATATTCTTCTTAGTTTCCATATCTAATTCCATTTTTTGCTTCTTTTTTTCTTTGAAATTAGACTCCGGTTTTCGTTTACGTTTAGATGATATTTCTGATCCATTATTGATTTCTGAATCTTCATCATCATCAGCATCATTTTCAAAACCATCTTCTTCTAAAGGCACACCTGATTGTTCAGTATCTGAAAACTCTACATCATATTCTAAACCATCGTCTAAATCATCTGCTGTAGGACCTGTTGATACCATAGTTATTAAGTTATACTATTCTTAAAGTGATGATGCTGCAAATTAAATTTTTGTGTTGCACAAAACCAAATATTGAAAAATTTATAATCTGAAACATTTCCGAAAGAACTATATGCTAACCAATATTAATCTATCAAGGAATCGTATACGAAACATATTGTGCCAGCAGAAGAGATCTATCATACTAAATAATGATTTACAAATACGGTTAAATGAATCACAATTACATCCTGTTATAATTATTGGGGGTGGTCATGCTGGATGTGAAGCTGCAACAGGATCAGCAAGATCAGGTACTTTAACTACATTTATAACTCCATATATAAACAAAATAGGAACTGCTTCTTGTAATCCTTCAATGGGAGGTGTTGGTAAAGGTACATTATTAAGAGAAGTTGATGCTTTGGATGGTGTTTCAGCTAGAATAACAGATAAAGCTGGTATACATTATAGAATATTAAATGCTTCTAAAGGTCCAGCTGTTCATGGTCCAAGAGCTCAAATAGACAGGAAAATATATTTGAATGAAATGCAAAAAGAGATTTTAAATTATGAAAATTTACAAGTTTTAGAAGCACAAGTTAAGGATATAATTATAGAACCTAAAGTTCATGAACAAGATTATAATGCAAGAAATGTTGGAAAAGTTAAAGGTGTAATACTAGAAAATGGAAGAGTATTAGCCTGTAATAAAGTTGTAGTTACAACTGGTACGTTTTTAGGTGCCGAGATTCATATTGGTTTAACTTCATTTCCTAGTGGTAGAATGGGAGAAGCAGCAACTTTTGGATTATCGAAAACTTTTCAGGAACTTGGTTTTAGATTAGGAAGATTGAAAACAGGCACACCAGCTAGATTATCAGCAAAAACTATAAATTTTACTAATTTAATTGAACAACCATCTGATTTCCCACCTCAACCAATGTCTTATTTGAATGATAAGGTATCATTAGAAGATAAATTAATTAAATGTTATCAAACAAATACAACACCAGAATTTCATAAGTTATTAAAAGATAATCTAGATAAATCTATTCATATTAGGGAAACGGTTAAAGGACCTAGATATTGTCCATCTATTGAATCAAAAATTATTAAATTCCCACATAAGACTTCACATAATGTCTGGCTAGAACCAGAAGGTTTGGATACTGATTTAATATATCCAAATGGTATTTCATGTACTATGCCAGAAGTCATACAAGAAAAACTTGTGAAATTAATGCCGGGATGTGAAAATGTAAAAATGGAACAACCGGGATATGGTGTTGAATATGATTATATAGATCCAAAGGAGTTGAAAAATACACTTGAAACTAAATTAGTTGATGGTTTATACTTAGCTGGACAAATTAATGGAACAACAGGATATGAAGAAGCTGCTGCACAAGGTTGTATAGCTGGTATCAATGCTGGCCTATCTAATTTGAACAAATCAGTATTAAGTTTAAAAAGATCAGATGGTTACATCGGAGTTTTAATTGATGATTTAATTACAAAAGGTGTTGAGGAACCATATAGAATGTTTACATCAAGATCAGAATTTAGATTATCTATTCGTTCAGATAATGCTGATTTAAGATTGACTAAATTAGGTCATGGTTTAGGAGTAGTAACCGATCCTAGATATAAATTTTTCACTAAAGAACTTGAACAATTCAACCAAATAAAGGACTATTTAAAAGAATTGGCACTTCCTGGCTCAGCATGGACAAGTTCACTAAAAGATATTGGTATTACTGTTAGACCAGAAAATGCAGTTGATGCATGGAAACTATTATCTTATAAAGGAATGAGTATAACAAAATTAATACCTTACATACAACAACTTAATAAATCTATGCCATCATGTTTTGATAATTTATCATCAAGGTTGATCAACAGAGTTAATATTGAAGCTGATTATGATCCATACATACATAAAGAACGAGTTCATTTAAAAGCTTATGAAGCCGATGAAGGTTTATTACTTCCTACTCCTTATAATTATACTTATGATGGTGATTTAAAAATAAGTCATGAAGTTTGTACATTATTAAATTTGATTCAACCAAAAACAATTGGTCAAGCAAGAAGAATTCAAGGTATAACTCCAACTGCTATTTTTCAACTTTATAAATTGGTTAAAGGTCAACAATCAAGAATTGCATTACAAAATTCATCAATATAATGATAACAATCTTTTATATAAAATCATAATATATAAGATGAGGTTAATCTGAAATTAAAATTAATGGCATTTCTAAATTTTATTGTCCAGTGCGGGAATAAGCACGAGGAATGGCAGCAGCTCTAGCTTTAAGTAAGAATCTTGTCGGCCGAGATTCTTGTTTCATGTCGGTCCACAGCTTATTTCAAATTTAAGTTTTAAAAATCTAGTATTCACTTATATGCAGTCTTATAGTAGTTAAACTCAAAACTTAAGTTGTTGATAACTACCTCAATATTGATTCGTTTATTCTCAAACTTTTTCATTAAATCTTAAATTAAATTAAATAACATGAAGTTAATATCTTTGAATAAAAGACAATTTAGATCGTGTGATTCGTTGTTCAAAAAATGGAAAAAACGCTAAATTGTAAAATAAACAATAACTAGACTACGTCTAGTAATATTTTATGCGTCGTCTTAACTATGTGATTAATCAAGTCAAATTAAAACAAGCAAACGCATGCTATGTGCCAATAGAAAGTTCCAAAAAAGTATTGTGGCGTTTTGTCACCTATAATGAGAAACTAATTTAATACTCTAAGATTTTTTTCTGTTTCAAGAGATGTTGGTAATTTATTACATATATTCAAGCCCGTTTTTTTCAGAAATTAGTCTAAAAAGTTAATTCTGCCATCTGAAAAATATCATATCAAGAAAGAGTTAATCACTAGCTTTCGAATGATACCATGTTTAATCCAAAATTAGTCGGATGATTGACATGCTATCCAACTTCGAAAATTTAACAAATCTCGTGGGTTTTATTCGCGCTCAATATAGATTTGTTTTGTGTAATGTTTCAGATTTCAAATACAAAATATCGCGCGTTTCAGATTTATTTTTCGGGAAGTGTCTGAATAATATTCTCCATATAGAGTTGTTCACATCCTTTGTTGCACTCTCAGTTCATAAGCATCTGTGCTTTTTCTTAATAGTTCACTAAATTACAATGTGATCACAGATTTTTATAAAAAGTGCATATATTAATACATATTCATCAATCATAACCATTTTTAGAACTTGTAATTAACAAATCATTATCCAAAGCAATCAAACACTCCAAAGGCAAAAACAGTTGAGCCAATTCAGAAATCTTATCAACCTCAGCTGTCATATCATTACCATTATTCTTATCTGCAAATTTAATTCTTTTTAAATATAACAACACATCTATCAAACTTACTTCATTTGATTTTCTATGTTGTGCATATGCTGACAAATCCATCATTAAATTATTTAAAAACGTATCCGACTTCTCCTGGATCAATTTTATTTGATTCATGTTTGCTTTTTTCACTTTTTGACTTCCTCCTTGACTCATTTGAGTTTGAATTGATTTGATTATATTCCCTACATCTTTTATACTTACTTTATTACCTATTTCTTTTTCAAATGACTTTTTCTTTTTATCTTGATGTTTACGTAATATTCCAAAACTTTTCAGATTTGTATTAGGTTCTATTTCATCTTGTTCTGTTTCACCTGTGAATATACTTGTATCTGCTAGATTTTCATCAATTGTGAATTCTTGTTGTATGACATCTCTCGGATTGTTGACTCTAAGTGATGCTGAATGAGATCTAGGTGGTGAAAAATCAAATTGAACTTCTGGTTCTTCTTGTGGTGTTTCTGAAATGGATTTAGATTGAGTTGGTTGTTGTGGTGTTTCTGAAATTGATTGATGTGATGGAGTTTGTTCTGATTGTTGTTGTTGTTGTTGAATTGAGATTAATTCAGGATCTATATCCATGAAATTCGACTCAAAATCAAAATCAAAATCATCATTTTCTATATGAACCGGACCTTGGTCTTCTGTTTCTAGAGGTAGTGGTAGTTGTTGATTTTCACCTATTTCATTTTCTTGTGTTTCGATATTTTCAACAAATGAATTTTTATTACTTTTAGATAATAATATTTTTTGTAGGTATGATATTGGCCTTGGTTTAATAAATGATTCTTGTTCATTATTTAAATCACTCAGAGTTGATTGTATTGTAGTATCTTTTTGAAAACTTTGATTTTTAACATCTGAATAATTTAACAATTCTTGATAATTTGAAGGTATGATTAACAGTTGATTAAATTCATCTGGTGTAATATCACTTAGTCTTTGAGGTTTTGAATTAATTACTGGGGGAGTATAATCTGGTAGTGGTAGTAATTGTTCTGTTTTACCCTTTTCAAGTTGTCTTTTTTCTTGTTTTACATATAGTTTAAGAAATACTTTCATATAATCCATTGAGACAGGTCCTTTATAATTTGGATTGAATAATTTTTCACCTGATGTATTTATTATTATTGATGATCTTCTTGATCTTTTATTAGTGGGGGTGGTTGGTCTACTTAAGGATTTTCGTTTTCTGGATCTAATTGGGGATATGTGTTTAATAGGTGAAGTTAGATTTGACTGAATCAGAATCAGTAGATTACTTGAATTTATAGGTGGTAAATGAATAAATCTATTTCCATTTTGTTGTCTTTGTACTGAATTTGGTTGTGATAAAAATTGAGATTGATTTAGTTTTGATAGTTGTCTATTTCTTAGCGGAGTTATTGGTTGCGATCTACTATTATTCATTATTATCTATAGCATGGAACACTAGGAGTAATATTTCGTATTAATATTGTACCGTGCTTTTTTGTTTTGTTTATCAATACTTTTTTTTTTTTTGATACCAGATAAATCAAATATAAAGAAGCTGCTAAAGCTAGAAGCAATATACAAATTGGAGAAATGCCAACTAATAAAACAAATGAGAATGATAATTTATTAACTGCGTTGGTATCTGGTTGTACTGCAGCTGCTGTTTCTGCTACTTTAACTTATCCATTAGATTTTATTAAAACTCAACAACAATTAAATAATGAATCTTATATGAAAAAGTTTAATGTTCCACCGAATTATCCAAATTCATTAAACCAATTATTTAAAGGTGGTTCTGCTTTAGTATTAGGTTCTGTTTTTAAAAATTCAACTAGATTAATTTCTTATAATTGGTCAAGTCAATTTATGGCTATTGATTCTCATGGTCATAATTCAAATAAAACAACTGCTCCAAGAATTGTTATTGCTGGTATAATGTCTGCTTTTTTTGAAACTTTGACTTTAGTTCCATTTGAAAATATTAAAATTACAATGATTCAAAATCAAACTTTTCAAAATGAATTGAACAGAATAAAAGATTCAAAAGATATAACTTATGATATAACAGGTAAAAGTTCTCATTCTCATTCTCAAGCATTTCATGCTCAAAAAAAACCAGTATATTTAAGACAATTTGTATCTCCTCATGCTTATTTATCAAATGATATAATAGATCAATTTAGGAAAAATAAAGTAAGATTTCCTTTACAGTCAAATAAAGGATCTCATATAGAGAATTTAAAAGCATATTATAATAAACATCCATCGTTGACTTTTTTAGGAACAATTAAAGAAATATATTCATTAAAAGGTATTAAAGGTTTCGCAGCTGGTACTTTTATAACTTTTACTAGACAAATTGCAATTAGTTGGGTTTGGTTATCTACTTATAATGCAACAAGACAGTTAATAGACCCTCATAATAAAGAAAATGGTTGGTTTAATCATAAACATACTATGTGGCAACTGTTGGGATTACATTTATTATCTTCAATTGCTGTAATAACGGTTACTCAACCTTTAGATGTTATAAAAACTCATGTACAACTGAAAAATGGTAAAGCGATATATAGAGATTCATTAACTACTGCTTATAAATTATTTTTAAATCAAGGTCCATTATCATTATTTAAAGGTTCATTACCTAGATTTATTAAAGTTTTAGTAAGTGGGGGGATTACTGCTACTGTTTATGAATATCTTGAGGGAATAGTAAATACGGCTGGTGGACAGAAAATGTTCACATATTAGTAAGGTGTAAGAAGGCATGGTAAGGATGCGATAAATATATGTATTTAATCTTCTAAATATACCGGTACCAATTTAAGTATTTGCTAAAGTGTAATTGCATCCTTACAATATATATATTTAACCTTCTAAATACACAGGTATTAGTACCTCACCACTCTTGTGTAAGACACCATTGAATGATTTTGCAAGTTGACAACCACTGTAACTAGGTTGACTAAAAGCAATTTGATTTTTATTTAAAACAACACCATAAATTGAATATTTTAAAACAATTTCTAGTAGTTTTTTAGCCAATCCAAACCCTCTCCATTTCGGAGCAATCCAAATCCTAGAAATGCCAATTTTGACATTTTTAATCTCTTTATCAGTCACAATTTGTTGAGTTTTATAAATCATCCATCGACTATCAATTGGCTTAATTTCATCAGTGGTACATATTCCAATCGCTTTCTTATCAATAACTAAAATAAAAGCCTTTGATGATTGATATTGAAATTTTTGCCATTGTTTTGAGTCTGGAGTAGCATTCAATTCCAAATTACACATTCTTAATAATGACTCAGTCTTTAAAACTTGATTTTTGTTCATTTTGTCAATTGAGATGACTTTTGCAAGTTTCATTTCTTTTGATATAATTGATTTATGATTAGTTGATTTCACTTTTTTATCTACTATAGTTATTGTATCCAATGTTTTATCAATTAACAGATGAGGCCAATTTAAACCATTAGTGAATTTTAAATGATACTTATTGTGAATTTTTACTTCATTATTGATTGATTGATTATATGTCATTTCACATGTTTTACAAGTTGTTAATTTATCATTATTTGGTAATATAAATATTGATTGTACTTTCTTACTCATATCATTTTGTTATAGTGTTTGTTTTTGATTCGATTGTTTTGATACCATGAATTTTTTTCGTTCCAATCGTCACTCCACATTTTGAAAAATTTAATACTATTGAAGATGGCTTCAGAATATTCAAACTTATTAGCTTCAAATGGGAAATGGAAACAACAAATAACTGATTTTCTAACTGAAGATGTTCCATCTTTTGATTTTGGTGGATTTGTTGTTGGTGATAAACAAGAATCAGCCTCATTATATATTAAACAATCAGGTTTAATTTGTGGTGTACCATTCGCTCAAGAAGTATTTAATCAATGTAATTTACAAGTTGATTGGAAATTAAAAGAGGGCCAAGTTATCTCAGAAGAAGAATTAGATAAAGCAGGTGGTAAACTTGTCGTAGCTTTAGTGTATGGAACAGCTAAAAATATCTTATTGGCTGAAAGAACAGCATTAAATTTATTAGCTAGATCATCAGGAATAGCAACCCAATCATATATCACTAAAAAATTAGCTAATGATTCAGGATACACTGGTTTAATAGCAGGGACAAGAAAAACAACCCCTGGATTGAGACAATTGGAAAAATATTCCATGCTTGTTGGAGGTGTAGATACACATAGATACGACTTGAGTTCAATGGTAATGTTAAAAGATAATCATATTACATCAACTGGTAGTATAACAAAAGCAGTTGCAAAGGCAAGATCAGTATGTGGATTTGCAATGAAAATTGAAGTTGAAGTAGATAATGAAAATGATGCAATTGAAGCAATTGAAGCTGGAGCTGATGTTATAATGTTGGATAATTTTACTGGTGATGAATTGATTAAAGTTGCAAAATCATTAAAAAACCATTTTAAGAATTCTAATAAATCATTTTTATTAGAATGTTCAGGTGGATTAACTTTACAAAATTTAAGTTCTTATTTATCTAACGATATTGATATTTATTCTACTTCTTCTATACATCAAGGAACTGGGATTATTGATTTTTCATTGAAAATTAACAAGCAAGGAAGCAACTAAGGATGCAGTCAGTTTAAAATCAATAAATAGTAAGTATATATTATCTAATAGACGATCTACTTTTTAATTCGATACTTTGAAACCCAGTATTAAACCCAATTATACTAGAAACATTACCTAAAACCTTCAGAGTCTCAACATCTTTTTCATCTTCTATATTCTCTTCATCATCATCTTCTTTTTCTTCTTCTTCTATTCTATCTTCATGTTCAGTAATACCAGACACAATTCTATTATTCATTGAAAAACCAGATAGATTTGAACCACCACTAACTAAACTTAAATCTTTAAGAAAGTCAGTTTCAACTTTTTTATTTGTATTTAACAGTTTCAGTATCTGAGATTTTTTCCCATAGCATCGAATAGCTCTAATATGACTATCTTTCCCCTCTTGATGATTCGCAAGTATTAAAATCTTCAATATAAAGCATTTAAGCACCCCATCATTTCTTATGCCATTGAAAATTATATGTGACCAACCAATAGGCTGGTTGAAATTAACAGTACATACTTCAATTAAATCAAGACCCTCTGAAGTACCAGCCATGATTTTAATCTTTGAAGGTGTATAACTCTCATCTAGGGAATAATTAGTAAATATTGATACCCTTTCCAACGATACTTTTTTTGAAAATTGGATAGTTATAGTATGTGGATTAATTAATTGATTATTATTATTAAGTAGCATATTATTACCACTATTTGAATTAGAACTTCCATTACTTCCATCTGATTGCCAATATGTTTCTGGTGAATCATCACGTAATTGACTTAATCCAAATCCTGATTTATATGAACTTAATTTCCAGTTGGCTAATGTTGATAAATCAAATAATTGTAAATTTTCAAATTCTTGTAAACCTTTTAAATAATATACTTTTTGAATTTGTTCTAAACTTGGTTGTGAATCATCAGGTTTAGAATGGTCAGTTCCATGTGACATTTCAAGATCAACATCATCTATATCGACATGTACATCATCAACTTCGATTTCAGGATCATAAGCACTCCTGTTAATTAGTTCTTCATCGTAATTTCTGTTATAGAAGTTAATGTTAGGTTGGTCTTCTTCATTTAATGATTGGATTAAATGGGAATGATTATTTTGATATATTTGATCTGATGGATGGTTTGAATTTAATGAGTCTCTTATTTCTTCATGTGATATATGTTGCTGTAGGATAACTTCATGTTGTGATGATGATTGTTGACTCTGTGACTGTATATCATTGTTATTGGTATTCATTATATAGTTTGCATTATTTGGTGTTTCAGATTTATATTTTAGGAAATAAAAAAAAAAAAAAAAATTCGAAGGTAAGGATGCCATCAATCAAAGCACCACATAAGGAATGCACTTAAACAAAGCTTAACGTAAGGATGCCATTAATCAAAAACAAAGGTAAAAATTTCATGAAACAAAGCATAATGTAAGAATCAAAAACAAAGGTAAAAATGTACAATAAAATCAACATAATTTATATATAGTCTACGGTTTCTTATTCTTCTTTTTTTGTTTCTTCTTTTGATTTTTAGTCAATGGTTTTGATGCTAATTCATTATTATTATCGTCATTAGTTTCATTATCGTCTTCTTGTTCTTCTATTTCTTCTGTTTCATTGTCTTCTGCTTCTTCAACTACTATCTCTTCTAAATCATCTTTTGGTTCTTCTTTTTCTTCAGATGCTGACTGAGTTTCTTCTATATCTTCTTCTTTAGCTGGTACTTCTTCTTCTTCTTCTTTAGGTGTTACTTCTGGTTTTATATGTATTGGTTCATCTTTTTTTGGTTCTTCCTTAGTTGTTGCATCCTCACTTTCAGTTACATCCTTAGTTTCTTTATTATCAATTATAGTTTCTTTAGGCACAGTGAAAGAACTTGAATTATTATCAAGATTAACTAAAGGACTTGAAATATTTGGTTTATTTAATGGAGTATTTGAATTAAGCGGTTTAATATTATAAGATGATGAATTTCTAGATTGGTTTAAAATTGGAGAATTAATTCCACTATTATTCACTTTTTTATTAACTCTTTGTGGTTGATAAATAGTTTGAAAAGATTCATTTAATCCGTATTTCTTCAATGCTCTTTTTTTTAAAATTTCAATATAATTTAATCTACTATTTTTAAAATTTTTACCAAATTCAATCCCATCTTTATCCCAAAAACTCAATTCACCTTGATCTTCATCTTCATCACCAACCATAAAATCTCCATTTCTATCATTTGATAAATATCCAAAAGTTTCTCTATATTCTGAAGAATCAATTATATAATTACCTTGTTCTAAATCAGAAACATAACCAAATATAAATTCTTGTAAATTTTTAGCTATAACTAATTTTGTATCAAAATCTCTACCAAATAAAATAATTTGTCCATAGATACCATTTGAACCTGGATTTAAATCCATTGCAATTTGATTACCGATATTATCTTTTAATAATATAACCCAACCTCTATTATAGTAATGAGGTTGAATTGAATTTGGTGGAATTGACCTTTGATTTGAAATAAAAGAGTTATTATTTGTAGTTGATGATGATGAAGTACCGTCATTTTGTTTTTGTTGAATATAATACTGAGATTGTAATCTTTCAGCTACTTTATTCCATAAAATTTGTTCTTCAATTATACCTTCTAAATCTAATAATACTAAACCCATAATTAACCCAGTTGGTTTACCACCTCTTAATTGACCATCATGTCTTTTATAAAATTGTTTGAAATCTAATGGTAATTCATTAGTACCAGCTTTTAAATCTTGTACAAATTCATTTAAATCAGCTGATGTTACACCATCATTTAAATTATCTTCTAATTCCGGATATTCTTCTTCAATCCATGATTCAATTCTATCCCATAATGAATCAATTGAAGGTAATGGAGGTTGTCCTTCAGAACTGAAATCTTGTAATGGTAAATCTTGTTGTGAAGATTTCAAACCTGGTCTATAAAAGCCAGGGGTTTGTTCATTTAATGAATATGCAGAATCATTATTATTTAATCTAATTGAAGAACCATTGGTCAAATTTGTAGTTGATTGATTTGTTAAATCATTATCACCAAATCTATGTTGATTATTATTTGCAAATTTAGTTGAAGAATCATAAGATGCATAATGATCGTCTGTTGTAATAGAATGAATGAATGCTTTAAAATTATCAAATATACCCATAATAATTTAAATTTATACTTTTTATATCAATTTAGCAATATATAACATGTGAATAAATAAAAAGAAAGCCCTTTAAAAAAAAAAAGAATGTAATAATCTGATAAATAATCCAATGGTGATAAATTGGTTGTAAAAAATTATGTACTAAGTATTCATTTTTTGTTGGTGTTAGTTTTTTTATTCTTCTATTTTTAACAAGTCGTGTAACATTAAATTCTACTTATGTAACACTATTGCTTATTATTATGTAATACTCGTGTTTATTATTATGTAATACCTATTATACAGTGTTATGTAATATTAACGATTAATATTATGTAATGGGTACTTATTACCAGCTGCGGTTGTATTTAATAATAATTAGTTAATAGTTGTAGCATTGGAACAGTTTCCTAGTTTGATAATGTTTAAGCTTATTCTGGCTAATTTATTTTGCCTTGAGAGTTCATTGACTTTATGTAAGATTTACATCAATTTAAACAAAGCTTGCTGCACATTACAAAAATATAGATCATCAAGATTTAACGTTTCTATATTTATATTCGACGCGTTTTCATAGAGTAGTAATTCAAAAATGGCTGCGAAAAGAGAGCTACCAAGAAGCAAGTAAATGTAATAAAAGGTAAAACAAGAGACCGAGGAATCATTATGACCTTATATAATTATTTACGCTAAAGGTCTTGCATTACCAGAAGCATACATAGATTATCATACTCCGGAGTTTATCAAAGGAGTGAATCAGTTTCTAACATTATTATACCCCATAATTATATAATCAAATTTCAAAAGTTTTAGAAGTAAAGTATTCACACATAATATAATATTGAGCGCTATCGGTATGGTTTGGTGAAATGTATAACTGGACAAGAGATAAGTATATATTCTGCAATGGCTGTTTGAATCAAGTTTAAAACATTGTTCAAAATTGAAAGAGCAACAATAAGTGATACTTTTAAATTGAACAGTTGAAGATTTAAAGAATGTTGGTTTAACTAATGCTAAATCAAATTACGTTTTAGAACTAGTAGCTAGGATATTTAAAGATCCAACTCATACATTAACACAATTGGAATTTTATCAACAGAATGATTTTGATGTTATAATTAAAGAATTATGTAAGTTAAAAAAGTTATTGGTCCTTGGTCTGCTAAAATGTTCGCAATTTTCACCCTTGGTAATATGAATTTATTCACAATTGATGATTTGGCAGTTGCTAGAGGGAGGTATGGCTACATATTTTAAAATCTCGACCTCATATAGGTATTAAAGACGAAGTTGGAACTTGGTTATATTAATAAATCATGCTAAGTGTAAAAGAAATTGAATACCATTTCGTGATATTTATGTAAATCATATAGCTGAACGATTCTCTCCTTACAAGAGAGTATTTTTTTTTAATGATTTTATGGAGAGATTAAGTTCAAATACAAATACAAATAATATAGGTAATCTATTAGTTTAAAATGTATTAAAATATTGTTCACTATAAAGATAATCAGTAATTACATTACCAAATAAACTTTCAACGGATTTACGATCTTTTAAGTCTGTTAATTTATCACAATCGGTAATTAAATCATAATTTATAATTTCGCTTACTTTTGAATCGTGTTTATAATTTGGATTGTTTATAGTTTTTAATCTTAACCAATTTGCAATTGTTGGAATTTCACCTTTTGCTCTTTTTGAAATTAATAATAAATAATATCTTAATTTAATTAAATTTAATTCTAATTTTTCATCTTGACAATGTTTTTGATTTGGTATTAAATCAATAGCAATTAATTTTATAATTAATTTAATTAAACCCGGAAATTTATTATCTTTTGATCCATTTATTATATCATCTATAGTATATCTTTGATCCATTCCATAATCATCAATATCATTAATTTTCTCAATTGTTTTATTTGAACAATTTTTCTTTGATATCGATCCATTAATTCCATTCATTTGTGATAAGTTTGTAGTTGATGAATAACTTGATGAATAACCTTTAAGATAAACTTCATTATCATTATTTAATAAATCATTACCTAAATTTAAGAATCTATCAAACCATGAAAAATCATATCCAATAAATTCATCATTATCTAAATTCCAATCTTCAAAAGATTTAAACCAAAATTTTTCATTAATTATTGAATTTACATTATGTGCCAATTTCATATTAATTTCAATTTTCAGTATTGGGATGTAAAAATTTGGTTTAAATTTTAATATTGCCTTTGATAATAATGAAATAAAATTTGAATATGCGGCATTCTCAAAATCTGTTAATTGAACTTCCATTGGTCTAAATTCAACTCTCCAACCAGGTTTAAATGATATATTTTCTTCCTGTCTATATAATCCCGGTGGTTTAAATCTTAAAGTTTGCCAATTTGTGCTTTGAATATTTTCAAAATGATCATTACTTAATTCATTATCTTGATTTATACGTTCACTATATATAACTAATGGATCTCTAATAAATAAATGAGCAAAATGATTTGATAAATATTTATCAAAATATTGTGGAAATTCTTTACTTAACCTATCATATACTTTTTTATTAATTGGTGCATTTAAATCATTATATTCATCTTTAAAATAATTGGTGTCATATTTGAAATCACTTAAATAATTATCAATTGAATCATATCTTGATTTTGGAATTCTTTGAATTGGTTTACCATCATTTGAATACACATTTTTTATATCACCAAATTCATTTAAATCATAATTATTATTTTTCAATATTTCATTTTTATTAACATCCAATCCTCCAAACAATTTAAAATTTGGATATGGTTCTTGAGATTTTTCAATAAAAGTTCTATCATCAACTGCACCACTAACTACATTCCATCTAACATCTTGATTAACTAAAAAACCTTTAAAAATTGGAGCTGCAGCTGATAAACTTAGCATAATTGGAGTAATAGGAGCTAATGAATCATACAAATATCTAGCTTCATTAATATCTGAACATTGCATTGTGATTTGTAAACAACTTGATCCCATACCAAATCCCATTGAATCCATATATATATGTCCAGGTTTTGAAGCACCTAACCAAGGTTCTTTATCACTTTTGAATAATTGACGATCTTTAGGTATTGAATCATCTAATAATTTTGTAAATTTATCAGGATATAAAGGTAAATTTATGCCAACTTTATGACCTTTTCTTTTTCGAATATTTGCTGTTAATGTAGGAAATCTTGCATGTCGATTTATAATTTCATCTGGTAAAAATAATGATTGTGAAGCGGGTCCAATTGGTTTAGCAGGTGGTGAAGTGAAAAATTCACAACCCATTCTTGGGAAAGTAGTTATAGTTAATGGTTTTATATGTTTTGGTAATTCTTGAGTACTTATCAATCTTCTTAATTTCATATTTTTTTCAACATATACATATTCATCAATACAATTACCATTATAAGGTTTTAAAGGAGTACCTTCAAGCATATATCTACCATATTCAGGATGAAATAAGATATTATTATTAATTGATTTCAGTAATGATTTATCCGAGTCATTTAAATCATTTAATATATAATCTTTATCAATTGATAATTTAGCAGTTTTATTAATTGGATCTATATCTATCATCATATATTCAACTTCATCGCCCCATAAAAATTGATCATTTGATCTATTAAAATGTTGTTTAAAGATATTAATTAATTGAGTTATTCCATTATGTCGTACATGTTCATTATACTTCTTAGATTCATGCCAATCCAAAGGAGTCCCTAATGATAAAAGACCCATAAATATAAATCCAGCAACTTGCTAACTCTATATGTAAATCTAAAATATGGTTGTCAAATTAATTTTCAAACCGCCTACCCTTACCGTAAATTTGATAAGTAAATTTTGAGATGCCCTTAAATAAATAAAATTGAATTATATTATGTTACACAACTTTTATAAATATGGATCGCTTCGATAAAATAAATAACCCTAGTCTACTTTATCTCTTAAACCTATTAAAAGGTTAAAATTTCGTCGATTTAATAATTTCGAGAATTGATAAAAAATGTTTAGAGGTAATGAATCCGAACCAGAGTTTTTGAAAAATTAGTAAGCAATCTTATGTACTACAGTAGTACCGCGAAAAAAAACTTCTTCTATAATAAATAAGTTACAAAATCGAATTATATTATTTAAGAAATATTGGCTAAGATCTAGTAAGAGCTGGTAAGAGATTGTATAAGATGACTAGTTGTTTGTTCTTCTTTGGTAGTTTTTTGTACGAGTCTGAAACGATTTTTTCGTACCGGATTCAAATCGAACCAGGCGAAAAATTAATCAATATTAATTTTAATCAATACACACACCACACACACATGCAATCACGTGATTAAACACAATTTACTATATTACAATTGTCTAGTATATACCTTCAACATTTTCAACTATACAACCAGGATCATTTAAATTTTTCTTTTCAACTAATTCACCTATTATAATGGCATCTTCATTTTCTTTTTGTAATAATTCTAATACTCTATCTACATTTTCTTTTTTAACAATTAAAACCATACCAATACCTAAATTAAAAGTTTTTAATATATCATTATATGGAATTTTACCAATTTGACCAAACCATTTGAAAATTTCAGGTATTTCCCATTTTGAAATATCAACTTTTGCTTGTAAATTTTTTGGTAATGCTCTTGGTATATTTTCAATTAATCCACCACCTGTTATATGAGCTAAACCTAATAATAAATCTTGATTTATTGAAGATAATAATTGTTTAACATAAATTTTTGTAGGCACCAAGACTTCTTCACCAATTGTTTTTGATTCATTCCATGGAGCAATTGATTTATAATCATAATCACTTATTTCAATAATTTTTCTAACTAATGAAAAACCATTTGAATGTAATCCATCTGACCTTAAACCAATAAGAACATCACCTTGTGTCATTTCATTTATTTTTGGTAATATTTTATTTTTATTAACTGCTCCAACTGCTGTACCATTTGTATCATAATGACCAACATCATACATCCCTGGCATTTCTGAAGTTTCACCACCTACCAATGCACATCCTGCTTGTATACAACCATTTGCAACTCCTTCAACAAATTTTGCTGCAATTTCAACATCTAATTTACCAGTTGCAAAATAATCTAAAAATATTAATGGTTCAGCACCTTGAACTATTAAATCATTTACATTCATAGCAACTAAATCAATACCAACAGTATTATGAATATTCATAATTTGTGCAATTCTTAATTTTGTACCAACTCCATCAGTTGCTGCAACTAATAAAGTTTCATCAGTTTTATAACCAGCTGCATTTAAATCAAATAATCCACCAAATCCACCAATATCAGAGTCTGCACCTGGTCTAGCTGTTGATTTAACTTTTGCTTTAATAGTTTCAACTAATAAATTACCATTATCAACTGAAACACCAGCATCTTCATATGTAACACCATTATGAGTAGTAGTAGTAGTTTTTTCAGCATCTCTAAATGCTCTATGTGCAATATCTTTTCTATTATATTTACCATTGAATTGAACATGTTCAACACCAACATATGCTTTATCAACAGCTTCTCTTAAAGTCTTTGCAATTGCAGTTGATGCAATAACTCTACCACCAGAAGTTACAATTTTACCATCTTTTTCGGCAGTACCAGCATGAAATATAAATGTATCATTTGGTATTGGTTCGTTTATTTTAATTTCATCACCTTTTTTATATGATTCAGGATAACCACCAGCAGCCATAACAATTGTTGTTGCAAAATATGGTTTAACATTAATATTAACCGAATCTAATCTATGTTCAACAGCTGCTAACATAACTTGAGCTAAATCAGTATCATCAGTTAATAAAGGTAAAACAGTTTGAGTTTCTGGATCACCAAATCTAACATTATATTCTAAAACTTTTGGTTCTTTTTTAGGTGTTAACATAATACCAGTAAATAAAACACCACACATTGGAAATCCATCTTTTCTCATACCATCAATTGTTGGTTTAATAATTTCTGAGTTAATTTTAGTTAAAATTTCTTGTGTTGCAATTGGAGCAGGAGCATAAGCTCCCATACCACCAGTATTTAAACCTTTATCACCATCACCAATTCTTTTATGATCTTGAGCTGCAGGTAAATTAAAAAATGAATAACCATCAGTTATAGTTAAAATACTTAATTCGTCACCTTCAAGATATTCTTCAATAACAATTTCATTACCTGCATCACCAAAATTTTTATCAACCATAATTTCATTTAAACCTTGTAAAGCTTCTTGTTTAGTTTCTGGGATTAAAACACCTTTACCACCAGCAATACCATCAGCTTTTAATACAATTTTATAATCAATTTGTTCAATATGTTTTCTTGCATCTTCAACATTTGTAAAATTTTTAAATTTAGCAGTAGGGATTTGATGTTTATCCATAAATTCTTTACTAAAAGCTTTTGAACCTTCCATTTTAGCAGCTTTTGAATTTGGACCAAAAACAGGAATACCAACTGAATGGAAAATATTAGCAATACCATCAACTAAAGGTTGTTCAGGTCCAGGAATAACCAAATTTATATTATTTTCAATAGAAAATTTTTTCAAATTATCAAAATCTTTTGGAGATGAAGAATATGGTAAATTTGTAATTTTTGATTCAATTGAAGTATAACAACTACCTCCATTACCTGGTGCAACATAAATATGATTAACCGAAGGTGATTTTAATAATTTCCATATAATTGCATGTTCTCTACCACCATTACCAATTACAAGTATATTCAAAGACATAATGAAACTTAGTTAAAATTGAAGAATTGAAATTAGATATTTGGTTGTAAAATTGATAAATTTTTATTCAAAGAGATTAGATAATAAAGACAATACTGCATACTGCATACCGTATACTGCATACTGTATTCTGTATACTGCATACTGCATATAAAAAATTTGTTAGAGAGATGGATTTTGTTTAATAATTTTTTTCTGACTCCCTCAACTATTAATTACACTACTATTCATAACATAGAAGAATGTAATATTGCAACAAGAAATAACATAGTTTAACATCTTCTGCTTGGGAATAGCTTTCATTGATGTAGTAAATAAACAGTATCATGAACACTAATTCTAGATCGTTTTGACCGCATGAAAAATTTTGAAGTTTTTGTGCTATAAATGATGTTTTAAGCTTCAAATTTACTATTATTAATCAAGGTAGTAATTATCAAGATGTAAGAAGAAGTCAGGAAGTCAGGAAGTCAGGAAGTGAGTAGTATATATATATATATTGTTACTTGAACCGTCTTTCTAATAAGAATTACAATTTTTTTTTTTTCGAAAACTCTCACTCTTACAAAACTGAGAAAAGCTTTGAACCTAGAACAAGCACGATCTAGATATTCATTAATTGCATTAGAACGAGCACGATCTAGATATTCATTGATTGCATTAGAAGAAGCACGATTTAGATATTCATTGATTGCATTAGAACAGGCACGATCTAGACATTTATTGATTGCTTCATTGATTGCTTCATTGATTGCATTAGTCATCATTCATTCTCTACTTCAATCTGTTTAAATACCGTTATTAAAAACATTATTTTCTTATGAAACTAATCAATTTGAATCAATTTGAATCCAATTTGAATCAATTAGACGCGAGTAACAAAAATTAGACGATAAACTGGGCGTGAGAAAATGGCCAAAAAAAAAAAAAAAAAAATTACTTTAAAATTAAAAAACAATTTTAAAACAAAAAAATTAAGTGCACACTGTTTCCACCGTTTCAAGCTTTTACCTTTATACTTATTATAATTTGAACTATTACTGACTAACGCGACTTATATATAATAGATAATTTTTCTGATTACAAGCTTTTTAAAGTGATACATTTTTCATATATTTTTTCATTGATTACATATCATTTTATTTAATTTTTAATTACAGATCACACAAAAAAGTTGAAATTTATCATGGGAGAAGTGCAATCTAATTCACAAGGATCATTACTAAGAGAACTTTCACCTGCAATATTTTATAAAAATATCAACCGACAACCACCAAGTACATTAGATCATAAAAAAGCTTTATTACAAAAAAATAATAACCAACTCAATCAAATCCAACAACAACAACAACAACAACAACAACAACAACAACAATATACCCATGCACATTTACAAAATTTATTCATCAAGAACTTTGTTATTGATAGTGAAAAACAACAAGAGTATCAAGAGTATATAAAGAATAATGGTATAAAAGAATTTTTGAATAATTATTTACCATCAACTGTGAGTAAAAAACAATTAGCTGAAATTTTATTAAATTTAGGTTATTCTAAAATTTTATTACAAGATTATGTTATTTTAACAAATAAAGAAATGGTGATTATATTGGTGAAATTATTACAAGAACAGCATCAAATTTATGAAGATGAAGAAAAAGAGAAATTAAAAAGTATACCTAAACAACCAATCATATATCAAAAAATACCTACTATGCAATATGATTTACAAAAATTTTTACAAGATTTATGTTTAAGTACCAAAATTATGGTAATAACTGGTGCTGGTATTAGTACAAGTTTAGGTATACCCGATTTTAGATCAAATCAGGGTTTATATACTCAGTTGAAAAAATTAAATTTAAGTGATCCACAATTGGTGTTCAATTATGAAATGTTTAAAAAAACCCCAGATTTATTTTATGGAAATGCTCATTTAGTTTTACCACCTGATGGTCAATATACTTTGTTACACGCATTTTTAAAATTAATTCAAGATAAAGGAAAATTATTAAGAAATTATACTCAAAATATTGATAATTTAGAATCAGTTGCAGGTATAGAACATTCAAAATTAATTCAATGTCATGGTTCATTTGCCACTGCAACTTGTTTAACATGTAAATTAAAATTTCAAGGTCCAAAAATTTATGATCATATTAGAAAAAAGCAAGTACCTAGATGTTCATCATGTTGGACAAATATTCAAGAGGCAACAATAGATCATGGAGTTATTAAACCTGATATAACTTTTTTTGGTGAAGATTTACCTGATGTTTTTCATAAAAAAATTCCATTTGATAAAAATGAATGTGATTTAGTTATAGTTTGTGGTACTTCATTAAAAGTTGAACCTGTTGCAAGTATAATTGATGAAATTCCTGGTAAAGTTCCAAAAATTTTAATTAATAAAGATCCATTACCTGATAGAGGTTTTAATTTAAGTTTAATTGGATTTTGTGATGAAATTGTGGGGTTTTTAGCAAAAGTTTTAGGTAGTGATTGGGATATACCTCATATAGATTATAATAAGGAACAAAATTATTCATGGGTTAAAACGGATTTATATAATACTTATCATATTAATAAGAGAAATTAATAATATATATTTGGGGATATTATAATCGATCTAATCTTTCTTTTAGTTTGATTTCTGTTTCATCAAATTTTTCAATTAAATTTTTATAAAATTTAATATTTTCATCTGCCAAGTTAATCATTGAGTTTTTTAATTCTTGATCGGTGAATCTTTTAAAATTTGGAAATTCTTGATTTATAATTTGATTTGTTAAATCACCAACTAATTTGATTTGTTTTTCAATTTCATTTTCAATTGATTTAACTTTATTTTCTAATTTGTTGATTTTATTATCTGTTTGTTGAGAACCAATGGTTGGAGTAGCTGATGTGGATATTGTATCATGGATTAATCTATTTATACCCAGACTATTTGTAGATTGTGGTTTTCCAATGGCGTTTAATTCATTTCTAGCCTTTTTTAGATAATCTTGTAACACTTTTAAATCAATATTTTTATTTTGAAGTAATTCAATTAAATTTTTCAATTGTATTATATACCTTGAGCAGTCTTTTAATGAAACTAAAAACGATTCATCCATATGTTTATATAATTGATTCCAACTCTTTGCAAAAAAGTCTAATGATTCTGAGAAGAATTTAAAGTTATTCAAAATTTCACTATCATCATTTTTAATATTTGACAATTTAAGTATTTGCTGAGAAAATAGCTCATAATCATGACTTAATTCAAGGTGTTTCTTGTTTGATTTTGTAAATAAATTATTCAACTTAAGTAAATTTTCGTACAACTTTTTTAATTTATCATTAATCTCCAATATATCCTTATTTGTCTCTTTTTTATGCTTTGATGATGTTAAAAAATTCATAACAGTATCAGTAATTTCTTCATTTACAACTTTATTTATTATCCCTCCAGATTCACTTTCATTAATATCTTTAATTTTAAGTGATGTTGTAAAAGTAGACCAATCATTTGAATCACTAAGAAATAAATGGAAAATTGACAGTTGTGATAATATTCTATGTTGTGTTATAAATCTAATGAAACGATCTAATGAATGTAATCTTTTATTTACAAAATCAATACTAAACGTATCACCAGTCAAATATTTAAAATTTGATTTAGATGGCAAAGGTGGAATTAGTACCGTGGGGAAATCATTATTTAAACTTTCATATAAATATCTAAAATCTCCATATCTTCTACGTACTGTAATTGTTAAATAATCATCTTTTAATTTTTTTTCTTTAGATAATTTTAAAAGCTCGGGATGATTAGTGGTGGTTGTTATTAAATACGAAATAAATGGTTTGGAATTTGTATCTAAATCTCTATTTGGATGAGTTACAGATGATTTAATTGCATACTTGTCAAAAAATGATGTATCTATTGAATAAATTAAATCTGATTCTTCTGTTGTTGTGGGTTGAACAGTTGGTTGGGGTTGGGGTTTTGGTAGTTGAGGTTTTGGTGGTTGAGGTTCTGGTGATTGAGCTTTTGGTGGTTGAGATTCACTTGAGATTATTAAAGAATTACTTGGATCATCATTACTTTCGTTTGAAGCTGGTTGATTATCATCATGTTCGTTATCATTATCTTTTAAATTTGACTCATTTGGTTCATTTAAAGATTCTTGTTCCTCCTCAATTGGGAAATTAATTAGTAAGTCTTCATTATCATCATTATCATTAAGATCTTTTTTCTGATCTATTTCATCTCTATCCCATTGAATTGAAGTAAATTGATCTTCTGAAGCCATAATATAGTTATAATTATAATTGTCTTGCTGACGATAAATGAAAATAAAAATATAAATAAAACTAAAAACAAAAAAAAAATAATAGATAAGAATAAATGAGCTACCAAATGAATCTATATTACATAGTCAACTATGTACTATCAACACTTTTAAATAAGTAACCAAACAAGTGTACCAACTATCGATATACCAATAACAGCAGTAATTATACCTGCTCCAGCTTTATCTCCACCATCTAAGCTTAATGGTTGGGCATTTGTGGCTGGTTGACCATAACCAGAGGCTGGATGACCAATTGATGACCCTCCATTGTTAGCTGTATATGGCGCTGGTCTTTTAGGTGTCATAAGATTCTGAATCACCTCAAGCGCCGACATTTGTTCACCAAGGCCAAGAGACATGGTTAGTATAATCAATAACTTTAATTTTGTGAAATGAACATTGAAATCTGGATTTTTTTCAATACCTATTTGTTCATCTCCTAAATTGTTAACATACCATAAAGCCCATCCCAGTGATCCAGTAAACCATACCTGTCACTATCAGAAGCATTCCAATTGGTCCATTGCAATCCACAAGTGTGGCCATCTGTCCCACCACTACAGGAACCAGCCGCGGAGTTTGCAGAATCAACTAGCCACTTATGAATCTGCTCTTCAGTTTGAGGAACCAATTTAGACGTCAATCCTAAAAATCTTGAAAAAAAAGCTTTAAATGATCTTTGATCATTATTACAATTTCCTGATGGTTGACAAGCAGCTTCATACATAACTTTATTACCGCTAATATCATCGAAGAAAACTTGAGCACTTCTTAATAAATTCAATGTATAATTTAACCATCTTTCATCTTCAGTATAATTATATAAGTATGCACAACCTGCCAACATTAAACCTTGATTATAAGTCCATTGATATCCTGTAATATTTGAACAATTATTAGCAATCTTAACACCATCATAAACAAACCACCATTTTCCTTCAGTTAATAAACCAACTCCATACATCCAGTCCCAAACTTTTTCTGCCCAATCAACATAAGTATCATTTGCAGTATATCTTGCTAATCTTGCAGCTAAATGAAATAAACAACCATTACTAACTGAGTTTTTATAATCATAACCTGAATTCCATTGGAAAATTTGCCATCTTAAACCACCATTACATTCACTTGTATCCCATCTTGCAGTCATTGTATTAAAAACAGCTTGAGCTAAGCCTAACCATGATTTTTTTTCATCAGTTGGATTACTAAAATTTCTTTCAGCAGCTGCCATAACTGCGATACCCCAAAAACCTTGGTCATCATTACCTTCTGTTGTACTTTGATTTAAAGGAATATAATTATAATCATCACCAGTTTGATATTCCAAAGCCTGCTTAATTAATGGAACTAAAGTATCATTTTGAAAAAAAAAGGTGTAGTCTATAAGACTTCCCCAGGCTCCTCCTGCTTCCCACCAATAATATGGATAGGTGAACATACCAATGGTACCACCATATGTGGTACCTTCGTAATAATCCAAAAGACCCTTTGCAATTAAATTTGAAGCTTCTTGTAAAGTTGTATCGTTATTTGTATCAATCCATAAACCATTTGAAAAATTAAAAAGAAAAATTGAAACTATCAAATTGAAATACAGTAGTCTCATTGAAATATTTTATATTTGTTAAGAAAATAGAATGGGACGTTAATTTCTTGGTAAAATACAAGAATTAGTTAATGAAATATTTGATCTTGTAAATTTTATACTAAGACTTTTGCAACAAATAATTTCCACCTATAAAACCCAAAATATTATAAAATTCGATAGCTTGATAATATTTTATTATTACTTTGTTTCAAGTTTTGATAATTTTTTTTTTTATTTTTTTTTTTTTTTTTTATTTCTTGCTTCCGCGATTTTTTACAGGGATAAATTTATTTTTAGATCGGATTAAACGCTTATGTTTCTAGAGATAACTAATGGTATATTCGCATTCTTACTCGAGTCAGGATGCAATTAGTAAGGATTGTTTACTTGTCGTTACCTCTTTATATCGCATTCATATTGTAAGCTGTAGCTGCTTCCTTACTGTATCTTGCAACCATACAGTCATTTCCAAAAATTTGGTGAGCCTAGATGGATACGAGATTGGCATGACAATTCGCAAAAACTTATTTTTCCGATGCCAGAAGGTCGCGCAAAGCTATATCAACAAAATTACCAAAATTTAAACCTTTAATCAAAATGATGTTTGAGCATTGTTTCTTCGAAACCATCATCAATAACCGTTACATTACTTATTAAAAAATTCATAAACAACAGATTCACTTGATGTTTCTATTTAGACGCGTTTTTTAAGAATTTAGCTTTGATTCTTCCAACAAATCGCTTGTTCAGTTTTGCAACCAAGAAACGTAAATGTCGCAATAAATAGCCAAAAACTCTTCGAATTTTCTCTAATAATAGTCTAAAGTAGTAAAAATTGAGCAATTAAAGTATCCAATTGCAATTTAAAACGAGATTCGTCAGTCCTATCCATAAAAATTAAACTGTTTAATACTGAATCACTATTTTTTTGACATCGACTAATTGCATTTCAATCCACCAAAGTAACTATGAGCTGCATTGTAGAAAATGGGAACTACTGTTTGTGTCTCCCGTGTATTTTATATGGCACGGTGTAAAAATGCCATAGGAAGCTACCAATTGGTCTAGGTTTAGGGTAATATTTCGATAAATGGGTTTGATAGGAGAACCATAAGAAAAACCAAGACTAGTCTAAAGTTTGATTCATAAAATATCTCTCGAATAAATAACTGATAAGTTGGAACAATTATAGAGTGTGATACAAGAAATGTTGATAATGAATAAACAACAATACAGTTAGAAGGTATCTGTTTTTATACCCCTTAAAATTCATTAAAGCGAAAATAGTTCTATAACACATAAAAAATCTGAAACCATTACTATTTTCATTTCAGCTCAAAAGTGAGTATCTTTTCTATCAAACCCTTATGCTCAAAGCCTGTTTCATAAATAATTTTATATATATTTACAATTCTATTTATACAATCTATAGTCTCAATCTTTTTTATCAACTTTTAATCGATCATCATTTTCATTTTCATTTTCATGATCACTATCATCTTCACCTAATTCAAATAAAGTATTGTTATTAGTACTATTTGACTCAACTGGTTGTTTAATACTTAAATCATCATAATCTGGTGGTTGTTCAGTATCTCTTTTATTTGTACTTGATTCACCAATTTCAAATGAATCTCTATCTACTCTTGTTTCTGTATTTTCTTCATCATCATGACTCATTAATGATAAATCATCTAATTCAAATTCATGACCATTTTGTTGGTTTTCGCCTTCGTCATCATTTACTCCTTCACCAGTTGATAATTGTCGTGAAATTGCCAACATATAACTTGTTTCAGTAGGTCTCCATAACCATGCAATAGCTAAAAATACAAAAAAAAATACACAACTTGGCCAAAAATCAAAAATAAAAAATGAACTTTTCCAATGTTGTTCAAACATTTCAGTAGTTGACATTGAAAGATAAATAAATGAACTTAAAGTCAAACCTAAAAATGTTAAAATAACTGCAAAAAATATAATTTTAAATAAATTTTGATATAATTGTAGTTTTATAATTTGTCTTTGTTGATGTAATGATTGGGTTGTTTTTCTAATGGATGATAAAATTGTAATATAATAAATTGTTAAAGTTATAGAAATTGGAATCATTGGAATTAAACCAAGGAATCCACCAGCATCTGAATCGTCTATATTTTCAGTCAGCACCAAAGCCATTGACGAACCATCATAATAATTAAAAATTAAATAAACTAATGAAGCAGCAAAATTAAACCCAGCAAGAATCTTACATAATGTCATTGTTTTCTTTTTCAATTTTAATACAACAACTCCATAACCTAATGAAATACATAATAATAAAAAAAATGAAAATGTAATTTTTATAGCATTAAAAATTGCTAAAAATACCATATAAAATCTTGCAAATCCATTACTTGGAGATTTAATTCTATTTATTAAATCATAATAAGACCAAACTACCAAAGTATCAAATGTTAAAAAACCAAGCATGGCTAACAAATATTTTTGTAAAGGTAATATTTGATTTTCTTTTCTTTTCTTAAAAAATTGAAAACCAAATAAAGCTAATGCAATTGCATAACAGATGGTTAATATACCATAACCTGGTAATTTTGGAATTTCACTAGCACTCAATTGACCAAAAGCATTTTGAAAATTTATCGAACCTTGATATTTAGTCAGTTCTAATCTTGTAAATGTTGAGATACAATAATAACCAGTTCTATTAATATGATAATTTATAGCTGCTGGACCTAAATGCGATAAATGTGAAGTATAAACTGTTGAATTTGTAGTATTTGAATTTAGTATAAAATTGTTTTTTTGACCTTCCGTACATGCATTTATTTCAATAGCAGAATCATCACAGATATATTTCTTCTGACCATTACCTAAATCATATCCAATATTGTCTAAGTCTTTATATTCAAATATAACATAACTTATAATAATTCCTTTATCATGACCTTGTTCTTTATTATCTTTATCCTTTTCATTATATTTTAAATCATCATACTTATTTAATGTAATACCAATATGAGGTTTAATTGAACCACCCCAATCATATTTTGAATATACACCAGCACAAACTTGTGAATATCTATTCTCATCAAATTTAGCTAAATTAGCAACAACTAAACCAATTAATAGAAATAGAAGTAACATTGTTGAAAAATAAGTTGTATATATTTTTTCAGATTTATAGCCGAGAATTACGAAATGTAAGCAAATCGTATGCAATGTAAGCATGCAGTAGAATAGAAATTATACTACGTGCAAAACTTTAACCGTACATAGTTATGCAAGAGATATAACGATTGTATTCGAAATATATATTGTGCAGATCAATATATCTATAATAAAAGGAGTTGTTTAGCATCCTGACGGTGTTGTGCAGCATCCTGACAACATCCTTAAACACCAGCCCAAACAGTACCACCATTTTCATAAACACTTCTACCCAATTCTTCAACTTTATTATCCCAATTTAGTAAATGATCATATAAAGTTTTAACTTGTTGTAAATTTAAAATTCTTGGTTGTAACCAAGTAATTATTAACCTTTCATCGACTTGATTAATATAACCTTTAATTAAATTTAATGAAAAGCATTTTATAATTAAATGTTCAACATCATTTTTGGGAGTGCCTGTAAATTGACTAATTTCATCAAATTTTAATTGTTTATTAGTTGTTGATTTTGTTGATATTAATTCCAATAAACCCATAATTATAATTTTCTGTTTAAGGAATAGTTCATGTTGCTTCAACATTGGTGATTTTTCGAATGCAATAGATAACCAATTATTAAATTCTGTTAAATTACCGGAATTGAGGTTTTGAATTAGGTTAAATAACCAAAAGTATTGAGAATTTTCACTTTCTATTTCTTTTAAGATATCATGCAATATTAATTCACCAAAATTATAAATTTTATCACCTAATAATGCAGATATACATAATTCATAACATAATTTAATCAGTTCATCTTTTGATAAATTTTTTGTACTTGATAAATAAAGTAATCCATTTGAATAAAATTCATTATAATTTTTTAAAATATGATCATATTCCAATTTTGTTAAATAATAGGCAGCATTAATTTTTGAAATGAGGTTATTATTTAAATTATCAAATTTTGTAGACAATTTATTTAATATTTCTTCACTGTCATGACTTTTATTCAATTTGAGATAATATCTTGCAATTTGTAAATCTATATAAATGATAGATTCATCATCAGATACTATTTTATTCAACAATTCTTTATCATCTTCAGAATCTTTAATATTATTTTCTTTCTTCAAGTTGTCAATTAATAACTTTTTCAATTCAATTAATTTATCCAATACTTCTTGATCAGTTTTAAAACTCTCTAACAAAAAATCAACAACTTTAATATGATTTAATTTTAATTGAAATTCAGAAATAAATCGTGTATAAACTTTATGTTTCAAATCTGGTGTTATAATGGATTGATCAAATGTATAATAAAATTCATCTAACAATTGAGTTAATTGATGATATAATTTTCTTTCATAGTAATCTTCTAATTGATACAATAAATTAATTAATTCTGGTGATTCTGTTTCCAGTCTAATAGTAGCTAATACAGTTGAAACATCACCATCAATATCCATAGCTGACATTTTGAATAATTAGTTGAAAATTAATTTTGTTGCCACTCGCAAAATATAAAAAAAAGAGTAATGCTACCAAATGTATATATATATTCAATTTACTTCTTCAAATGAACCAGTCACTAAAAACTCTTTAAATTGATTCCAATTATTCAAATTTTCACTGAACAACAACTTACAATTCTTTATATAATTCAACATTAATAATAACCATTTTTTCTCTAACTTCTCAAGAAATTCTTTAAAAGTATTCATTAATGCTTTTGTTAATTGTTCCATATCATTACTACATAACTCAATTAATTGATTCAATTTATTCAATTCTTTTTCAATATGTGCTAATTTAAATTTAATAGATGCATGAGGTTGTTGTGAAGATGAACTTTCCATATCTTCAGTCACTGGTAATTGAAAATTAAACTTTTTAGTATTATTATTACCACCAAATAATCCATACCATGACGATTTCTTGGATATTTTCTTAATTGATAAGTTCTTTAATGCATTGTTTAATGTTGGACTGTTTAAATCTTTTAAATGGTCTAGATTATTGACTACTACTTCTTCTTCTTCTTCCTCTTGTTCTTCTTCATCGTTATGTTTTATCTTTGTAGTTGTAGCACCTCCAATATTACTCAAGTTAATCAATTGTTGAAACTTGTTAAACTTTAATTTATATAATATCTTAAATTGTATAATTTTATACTTGTAGAACTTTATCAAGTTTAATGAAGTATAATGATATTGTATCATTTGATTTATTGGTTCTTGCCATTGTGGAATCAATTGATTTAATACAAAATTTTCAAAGTTTAAGAAATTTTGATCCATTGTTGAACCAAATTTTTCAATCGATTCAGATAATTGATTATTTTCTTTATTAGTATTTGAATTTTGTTGATAAATTTGTAATGAAAAGTTATTTAAATTACCACCTAACTCAATTAAATTATTAATTAAATGTTTGAAATTTTTAGTTATTTTCAAATCCAACTTATTTAAATCAGTTAAAATCTTAATAATTTGATGAAACTTAATCTCAAAATTAATTAAATCCTCAGGTATTGTAAAATTTAAATCTTGTTCAAATCCTTTCAACTCATATAATTTAATCTGATCATTTAATTTATATAATTCATTATTTATCTTTTTTAAATTATTTAAATTATCAATATGTGAATTAAAATCAAATCCATTAACAATTGGTAATAATGAATATAATCCATTTTGATCAGTTGGATTAATTGGATTAGCTAATAACAAATTATTTGGAATTAAATTCACTGGTGGTTCATTTAATGCATTATACCAACATAATTCATAATTTGGATCAAAAAATTTATGTAAAAGTTGACAATTTTTTACTGATTCACTAGAATCAAATATTAAATCATTTAAAAATAACTTAAAATATCTTTTTCTCATTTCTATTATATTATATTCATTGGAGTTGTTTATTGAATTTAATAAATAATTTAATATTGTATGTTTCTCAGGAATGGGAGGTATAATTAAAGTCGGAAATAATTTTAATAAATTATCTCTTAATGATTTAAATTCACTATATCTTCTTTTAACTACTATTTTAGAATTTAAACTGACTGACGATAATTGAATGGTATAAACTATAATAGATGAATTCACCAATTTTTCAGAATTAATAATATCAATACTTAGTTCTGGCTCATTAAGTAACTCCAATATTTTCTTTGATAATCCAATTGTACTATTGACTATATTTGATTGTTGTTGATTTGTTTGATCTGGTTTATTTAAATTGTTACAATTCGTACTTGGATCAGTTGTAATTGAGTTATTTTCCGAAGTTGTTTTGGTTGCTGCTGATTTATTACTATAAGGATCATTTATAATTGATGGATTGCCATAAAATGATGGGTTATTATCTTGTTCTATATCTTCAAATAAGTTGTCTGAAGACATTTAGTCGTAAAGTATTAATCTAATAATAAATTTATTTATCATTTTTTTTTTCTGTCTTTTGATTTTACTTTATCTTTGTTTCTATTTTTGCTATATTTATAAACAAACAGTAATAGAACGAGTTGTATGGATGGAAGGACCTGATCTGGCCGCGTAATTGAGACGTATACTAGATCTGTAACAAGTTGTTTTCGAAGCAGCTCAAAATTTTGAGTTTGCTGCAATTTTCGGGGACAATTTTACGAAAGTATATAATTCTCGCCCAAATTCAGTGCCACAATAATCTTTTTTTCGCACTAGTCGCAGAGCGACTTGTACGAAAATTGTTGGTTTACATGTCTTGAAAAACGCATACCCTTCAATTATATAGGCCATCTCCACTTTTATACTGTTAGTCACTTTTATGCTGTTAGTCACTTTCAGTGTCAAATACATAACACCACTCTTCTATAATTTTTCTGCTCTGGTCACCTTTTAACTGTTTCTGATTTTTAAAGAGTTAAATTTATCGTTTAAATCACACTATATTTTATCTGAGTTTATGACGTAATTCATGTTCTACAAAAGCTTCAAGAGCATCATTATAAACATTTGGTACTAAAGTGACATAGCTAATTTAAAAGTTGTTTGTAAATGTTGATTATTTCTCAATTTAGCGTTTTTCTTCATTTTTTGAATGACGAATTAGTTGATCGAAATATTGTTTAAGTTGATGCTAAATTTGCTGAAGACTTAATGAAAAACGTTTGAGACCAATGGCTTGAATATTCCAATATTTATATGCAAATTAAGTTCTACGATTAACTATTATTAACAATTACTATACTGCATATAAGTTAGATTAGTTTCAGAATATATTTTTTTTTTTTGGTTTTTTTTTTTAGAATTTTTTATAATATGCAATTCTCGCATAATTCTGGTGCCAGCATAATATTTTCACACACTAGCTCTAGGGCCACTTGTGCCGCTTGGCTTATATTTCAGCAACAAAGCATTCTCTTAAGTTAAGAATAAATTATATGAAATCAGGTACCGTGAATTATGAGATCTAGATATATTGAATTCCAATTTTCAAACATTTTTTTTCAAGTTGTATTTTTGGCGTTTTATCATGATACAAAAAATATCCCAAAATTGAAACTCTGTGTACTCTTCTATTTGGGGCCATAACTTTCAATTAAACAACTGATTATATATTACCCCTCCAAATAAAGTACCGAGTATAAGATCGTTTGATCTACACTATATTTGAAAAATTTTAAAAATTTCTCTTAAGTATGGTGGAAATCGAATAAATTAACCTTACAAAAAATACAACTCCACAAACAAGATCGTGATCGTGAAGAGAGTATGATAAAAGAATCAAGATTCGTAATCTTCCATTATGATATATTTGAATTTCTTTCGTGTTAAGATAATCAAAATTGAAATACCAAATTTTTCAGAGGTGTTTCGAAATTTTTGCAAAATTTTTAAGCTGGTTATAGAACCTTGAAAACATAACTCAAAAATAAATTGGAATCAGATAAACTAAAACAGCTAATTTAGAAGTTGCTACTTGAGGTCTAGTGTCGATTATCTCTCAATTTAGCGTTTTTAGTCATTCTTTGATGAAGTATAAAGTGATCAAAATTATGCATTTTTGAAAGAGATTAAAACCAGAAAGCTCCAAGCTTCCTAAATTTTTATTGAAAAAATTTTGAGCATTATAGCTTGTATAGTGATTGAGTTATTTACGATTCAAAGTTTAAGATTAGTTACATTGAGACTGCATATAAGTCATTTCGCTTCAGATTTTCTCTATTTTCAAGTATCAAATTTTGGACCGAAGTGAAGCGAAAGCTCAATTAGAAGCAGTTTCACTTAAGGCGAAGTCTGGTACCAATTCTCGTCTTAATTTCCATGGTTAATACCAAAACGTTAGAAATTGAGATTTTAATTTTTTTCCTCTATCATTCGATAGATTTATATTTTCAGCGTCACTATCAGTAACCAGTACCGTTCGTCTGATACTAAAGCTACGATTTCTTGAGCTTCAATCTTCATTGAATTTTGTGTATTCTTTTAAAACAACCCTCGCGTAATTGACGACGGTATTACTCGAGTAATAACAAACCTCACACGGTCAAAACAGAGTAGAAGTAAAAAACTATAGTCTATACTCATACTAGCTAACTTTTAACCGTGCACACTACGTTCTACGCATGTTCCTTAGTTTATAATTTTAGATCTAAAAATCTCATACTAAAAATATAGCCTCTCCAAAAAAAAAAAATAAAACATACCAGAGTACAATATTATATTAAAGACAACGTTCTATTATATTTCATTAATTGCAGTTGCATATCATATCAAACTAGCTAGCCAAGAGGTTTACATCCATCATGCTTCATCAAATACTAAATAAATTACATTTACCAAATATACCCAATAAAATAACGAGAATAATAATCATTGGTTTATTTACATTTACTATATTCAATATAATTTACTTCTTTCATAGATCATCATCATCATCCTTACTAAGTTCATCTTCAAAATTAATATTAAATAAGTTATCCTATTTCAAACAATTTAAAGATTATTCGTCAAAACTAAAAGATGATGAACAGTATTCATTGATTGGTTATCATCATGATTCAAATACTGATTTAGTTGTCGTTCAAAAATATTATTATTCAAAAAATATTCATAATGACCCCGCTGAACATTTTTGGAATTTTCTTGATTCAAATTTTGATACAAAATCAAATTATGATTTAAAATTGATTGATGGTTATAATTATAATAAATTATTAAATTCAATTTTTGAAGAAAATGCATTACAATTAAATCATTCATTTGTTGATAAATATAAAATGGAAATGCATTTTATACAAAGTTTTCAAGAATTTTTTAAAACATTATTTGATTTAATTGAAGATTCAAAACCAGTTCTTGGTGGGATAAATGACGATAGTCATTACCCAAATAGCCAAAAACTAGAAGACTATTACAAGAAGCTAAATGATTTATCTGATGAACAAATGAAAAAAGTGCGCATTGATAGCGTTGTCCATAAAAAAGGTAGAATTCCTGTTTATGGTGGTCATTTCAGAGAAAATTACTTAGATGAGCCAATAAGATCAAAAGAATTATTAAATATGTATTTAACTTTGAATAAATTTGAAATTGATACTTTGAAACAAAGTCATGATAAATTTTTATCTGGAATGATGAATGAGTGGCCTGAAGATTTATTTAAATTTAATAAATTTAATAATTTTATGAAAGGTGATGGTATTGTTTATCTTGCAGGTGAAAAGTATAATCAATTGGCATTTTTATCTATAAAAGTATTAAGAGATAATGGTTCCAAATTACCTGTTGAAGTTATTATTCCAAAACAAGAAGATTATGATGTTCAATTTTGTGATAGAATTTTACCAACTTTAAATGCTAGATGTAAAATTATGGCTGATTATTTACCTCATGGAATTATGGATAAAATTACTGGATTCCAATATAAAAATATTGCAATTTTGATATCTGATTTTGAAAGAATTTTATATTTAGATGCTGATAATATTCCAATTAAAAATCCCGATGTTTTATTTTCAAATAAACCATTTACAAATAAACATTTGATTTTGTGGCCTGATTTTTGGAGAAGATCAACAAGTCCACATTATTATGATATTGCAGGAATTCCAATAGATGTTAATCATAAAATGAGAAATTCGTATGTTAAAGGTGATAAAAGAGGTCAAAAAACTGACACCAAAGATTATTCATTACATGATTGTAAAAATTCAATACCAGAAGCAAGTTCAGAAACTGGTCAACTATTAATAAATAAAAAAGTCCATTTTAAAACACTAATTTTAACAATGTATTATAATTATTTTGGTCCGAATTTTTATTATCCATTATTTTCACAAGGTGCAGCTGGTGAAGGTGATAAAGAAACCTTTATTGCAGCTGCTCATAAATTGAATTTGCCATATTATCAAGTAAATGAATTTAATAGAGAATTTGGTCCAATAAATGATCATTCAAAAAAACATGATATTTATGCAATGGGTCAATATGATCCAATTATAGATTATATTCAATTGAATGAAGATCCAGATCTAAAAACAAATAAAAATTATCCATCTGATTTACCTCCAAAATATGCTCATCATGATGGTGATGATTCTTATTCAAATTATGATTTTCATTCGTTCAAATCAAGTTCATTATTTTTTCTACATGCAAATTGGCCAAAATATTATTTAGAGAGATTATTTTTACATAATTATGGTGATGATAGAGGTACAGTTACTAATAGTGGTAATAAAAGAAGATTATATGGTAATGAATTGAAAAATGAATTGGGTGGCTATGATTTTGAATTAAATTTAATGAATCATTTACATTGGTGTTTTTGTGATGAACCTTTAATTAATATTAAACATGTACCTGATATAAATGATCCAAAAAGAAAAGAAATTTGTAATAAAATTGATGATCATAGAAATTATTTACAAAATAAATAAATGTGTATTTATAGAATGAAATTATTTTGACTTTTCTTTCTGAATCTAGTTTTTGGCATCGGATTTTATTTTCGGATACAAGATTCGACCTGCTTTAGACGAAACAGTAGAATAACCAGCTCCTTCAAATAGTTATTGACTTGAGCAATCTAAGGTATTTTTTGGGCTGTTATATGATATTTATAGCTTTCTACGTTTCACTTGGGTGTAATAAATTGATTTTCACATCTTGAATTCTTCCTATTTGGCGGATTCTCGTCAAATCGCACTAAAAACTAAAATTCTGAAACACGATCAAATACCTTATTCTACTACATCGTAACAGTCCCTAAAAGACCTTAGAGATATATTTAAGCCCTATAGACTCAAACTACTTCATTATCACAAAATGAAAGACATGGTTAAAATAAACAAAAAACAAACAAGTGCTTCAGATCTGGATGACAAAATCGATTTAGATTCCAATTTTAACAAATCAGATCTGGCCAGCTGGTAGGATCTTCTGGAGGGTTGACCGAGTTGGTTAAGGTGACAGACTTAAGATCTGTTGGATTGTTATCCGCGCGAGTTCGAATCTCGCATCCTTCATTATTTTTGCGTTTGTTTTAAGCATTTTATTTTTTTTTGCGTTTGTTTCAGATCTCAAATCTAAATCTAACTTCGAGCGGAAATTATTTCCTATCGTATTTCCTATCGTATTAAAGCAACTCCAATACCATCTCGACTGTATTATTATCACGACAGATAATTACTATCTAATTATAATTCTAGTGATATTATAATTTGATAACTGTCTATAATTTTTATTTTTTGATACCTAAATTGTTCCAAGATTGATATTTTTTACCATTGTTTCTCCACAAATCAATATCAACAAAACTAGAAATTCTTGAGGTGGGTCATTCAATGTAATGTCAACCAACCAAAGATCTTATCAACATTGATTATTAGAACCGTTAAGATTTGTCTGATATAACCATGCTATTATGTTACCATTCGTTGGAATGATTACTTCTTATGTTCAAATCATAGTTAATACGATGCTCTTAGGATTACTCGATTTATAAAAGTTGGGTATTGTTTTCCTAATTTGGATGTGATAAGAGCAAAGAACAAAATTAAGTAAATATCAATTTAGGTAGCTTTGCATATTATCTATACGGATAATTTTTCAAATTAACAATTGGTATGTTATAAATATTCAACAATTTCTCTTGACTTAGATTTAAAATTCATCAAGCGTGTTTCTTAATTATGAATAGATTATCACAATTAGCTTCACAAACTGTTTCATCGGTTGGTAGTCCACCAGCCCCAGATCATCCTTTAGATCCTTTATCACCATTGGAAATTAAATCAGTTTCAGCTTTAGTTAAAAAAGAATATAAACATAAAACTATTATATTCAATACAATTACTTTAAGAGAACCAATTAAAAGAGCTTATTATGAATGGAAAGAAAAAAATGGTCCAAAACCACCAAGATTAGCTTATTTTGTCATTGTTGCTGAAGGTGATACTGGTGTTCATGAAGGTATTGTTGATATATCAAATCAAACAGTTATTGAATTTAAACATACAGATGCTGTTCAACCAATTTTAACCCCAAGTGATTTACAAGAAACTGAAGAAATTGTTAGAAATGATCCAGAAGTTGCAAGACAATGTGAAATTGTTGGTTTACCACCAAATTCAATGGATAAAATTTATTGTGATGCTTGGACAATTGGTTATGATGAAAGATGGGGTGCTTCAAGAAGATTACAACAAGCTTTAATGTACTATAGATCAGATGAAGATGATTCACATTATTCCCATCCATTAGATTTTTGTCCAATTGTCGATATGAATGCTAAAAAAGTTATATTCATTGATATTCCATCTAAGAGAAGAAAAATTTCAACTTTTAAGCATTCAAGTTTTCATCCAAAACATATTGCTGAAAAATTTGGTACTAAAGAAAATCCAAGTGGGTTTAGACAAGATAATGATTTTCCAATTAATATTACACAACCAGATGGTGTTTCATTTAAATTAGATGGTCATGTTATGTCATGGTCAAATTTTAAATTCCATATTGGTTTTAATTATAGAGAAGGTATTGTTTTAAGTGATATGACTTGGAATGACCATGGAAATGTTAGACCTTTGTTTCATAGAATTTCATTATGTGAAATGGTGGTTCCTTATGGATGTCCAGATTTTCCGCATCAAAGAAAACATGCTTTGGATATTGGTGAATATGGTGCTGGTAACTGTACAAATCCTTTAGCTTTAGGTTGTGATTGTAAAGGGGTTATTCATTATATGGATGCTCATTTTGCAGATAAAAATGGTGATGCAGCAACTGTTAAAAATGCAATTTGTATCCATGAAGAAGATGATGGTTTATTATTCAAACATTCAGATTTTAGAGATGATTTTCAAACAACAGTTACTACAAGAGGTAAAAAATTGATTGTGTCACAAATTTTTACTGCAGCAAATTATGAATATTGTTTATATTGGATTTTTAGACAAGATGGTACAATTAAATTAGAAGTTAGATTAACTGGTATATTAAATACGTATGTTTGTTCAGAAGATGAAGATATTGGACCATGGGGTACAAGAGTTTATCCAAATGTTAATGCTCATAATCATCAACATTTATTTTCATTAAGATTACATCCAAGAATTGATGGTGATAATAATTCAGCTGCTACAAGTGATGCTAGACCATCACCACATCCAACTGGTTCAAAAGAAAATAAATATGGTAATGGTTTCTATTGTGAAAAGACTACATTTAAAACAGTTGGTGATTCTGTTACAAATTTCGAAAGTGCAACTGCAAGAACTTGGGATATTTTCAATCCAAACTCGTTACATAAATATTCAGGTAAACCAGCAACTTATAAATTAGTTTCAACTTTTTGTTCACCATTATTAGCACAGGAAGGTTCATTAGTTAGAAAAAGAGCATGTTGGGCAGCTAATACTACTCAAGTAATACCTTATTCAGATGATAATCATGGTTATGGTAAATTATATCCATCAGGTGATCATGTTGCTCAATGGAGTGGTGATGGTGCAATTGGTATGAGAGAATGGATTGGTGAAGGTAAAGATAAAGTTGAAAATACTGATATTGTCTTTTTCCATACTTTTGGTATTACTCATTTCCCAGCTCCAGAAGATTTCCCAGTTATGCCAACTGAAATTTTTGATTTACAATTAAGACCAAGAAATATTCATACTGAAAATCCAGTATTAGATGTTAAACCATCATATGCTAGAACTACATCTGAAGTTAAAGCTGGTAAAAAAGGTGTTGATACTTGTTCATTGAATGTTGATAAAACAAGCAGATTAGCTTTTGGTGAAAAAGATTGTTGTAAGAAGTAAATAGTTTAAATATAAAAAAATATTTAGTGATAATTTTTGCAGCTAAAAAAATTGTAGATTTTGCGACCTCATCAAAATATGAAATATATAATTGAACATATGGAAGAAGGCTTTTCAGAATGGGTCATTCTTGAGTATAGTCAAATTATAAGAGATGTTGGTAAAGAAAATTTAATACTTACTTCATTACCTTCGAATACAAGTGAAAAAGATATACCTCAAAAATTATTAGATTTAGGTTTACAATGGACCACTAAAGAATGTGTTGAATTAGATGGTGGATTAGATAAAGATAAAGTATGTTTATTAGATCCAGCTGCAGAAACTGATTTAATTCTATCTGATGGTGAAAAATTTGAATATTTTGTATTTGGTGGTATACTAGGTCAACATCCAAGAATCGATAGAACAGGTATTTTACGTAAGAAATATGGATTTCATGGTAGAAGATTAGGAAATTTACAAATGACAACTGATACAGCTATAAGAACTACTCAATATATTATAAGTAAAAAATTACCATTTGAAGATATTCAATTCATAGATTATCCACAGATCAATTTTAATAAATATGAATCAACTGAGATGCCATTTCGTTACATCGTCAACGAAAATAATGAACCAATTTTACCTGAAGGAATGTTAAATTTAATAAAACATGATGCTGAACAAAGTATAGATGACTTGTTAATAGACGAATGATTTAGTAGATGATACAATCAATTTTTCAACTGGGAATGTTGGATTTAATAAAACATGATGCTGAACAAAGTATAGATGACTTGTTAATAGACGAATGATTAAGTAGATGATACAATCAATTTTTCAACTGGTTTACTTCTATCTGTTAAAACCTCTTTAATTAAAAATCCTGCAGTATTTTCATCATCAAAATATGAAATATGAGCACTAACTGCCGATACCAATGAAAAATCTAAAACTCCCATTGGTAGACTATAATCCATTCTACCTGATTTATTTAAATTTGTTAAATTTTTCAATACTTCACCTTCAATTTCTTTTCGTTTAATTTTACCCTTTTTAGCTTCATCTTTATCTTGATCAGATATGGCAATACTTGTAATTATATCGCCTAACGCATTTTCATTCTTTGCTTGTTCTTCAATAGATTTTGGATTTTCAATAATTTCATCATTGGATATTGAAATTCTTAACCATCTAGCAGCTGATGAAATCTTTTCTGTAATTTCATCTCCAAAACTTGCTAAATCTTTGATTTGTTTATTTAATCCTTTAACTGCAAAATCAACAGGTACAGGTCTAAAATCTCCAAATTTAGGCTGAACTAATGGCTCAATTCTATAAGCAACTGGATCACAAGGATGGAACAAATTATATAAATTTGCACATTTTGGTGATACAAAATTATCTTCTTTTGTTGGTTGGAAATCTTTTGACTTTCTAGATTTTATATTCTTACCTTCAAGTAGTTTAAACATACCAACAGGTGAACCAGCAAGAAATAAGTTTTCAACTTCAAATGTTATATCTTTAGTTACATTTATTGAACCTGTTAAAGTCCCACTTTGACCTGATAGTATATCAAATGCTATTGCTGAACCTAACGAATGCCCTAAAATGTGAACTTTCCCTTTGAAATTCGGATTCTTCTCCTTGAATAATTTATAAACACGGTTTAATTCAGATGTAACAGCTGTAAATATTTGATCTAAATATTTTGGTTCGTAGTATAATAATATATCTAGCACTACATCACCGACAATATTACGTAACGCTTTGATACCTTCAACATTTAATTGTGATAATGATGGTAATCTTGAAGTTCCAGTTTCTTGTGGATTGAAATCTACTCTATGTCTCCATGAAATAGGTAATACTTGTATTCTATTATTATTTGGATCCACTTCTTCTTCATCCACTGATTTTGATATTAATTTTCTATATTGATCATTTTCTTCAAATACTCTCTTCATTGTATTTCTTAATACATTTATATTATGAGTGAAATTAACTGATTCATATTTATTACCTAGCACTTGTCCAATACCATGTATACATAATATTAAATGATCAATTTCTCTATTTGATTTACTCTTTGAGGTTTCCAAATCATAATCTCCTTCTAAATATTTTTGCATATATTTATCCTCAATATCATGATCTTCTTCTTTTTTAGCTTCTTTTAGTTCCCCTTTTTTGTTATTTCCAAATAATGAACCAAATTCAAGTTGAAATGAGTCAGCAATACTTGGTAATGGATTTTTTGAAAGTTTATCAAATATACCTTCTTTTAATTCTTCTGAATAACCTCTTTGTATATGATTCACACCTAATAAAGAAACTTGCAGGGGACCAAAATATCTAATTACATCAATTTGATAAAATGAATTATAAGTTTCTGGAAATATGGCAGCTTGATTTTTATTGAAGAATAGAACAACATTTCCGTCACTCAATTTGCATAAGTCTTTTTGCAGCAAATAGTCAATTTTATGTTCATAGATGTTTATCTCATCTTGTAATTTCTCCTTCTCCTTCTGCTCTTTATTATTCAACTGGTTTAACTTGTTAAATTTTGAGATTTTCTCTTTATTTGCTTTTGCCGTCTTCTTACTTATCTCAATATTTTGAGTAAATAAATATGGTTTTAATTTGTTAAATGCTTCTTCAATTTCAACTGTTTGTTTCTTGGATAAAGGAATACCGTTGGAACTAAACCATAAACCTCTTCGCACTTCATAAATTGGCCCTTCCCAATAAACTGGAGATAACTGTAATTTTTCCAAATCAACTTCAAATAATTTATCCTCATTAACTTCAATTGGTTTAGTACTTGATAATTGATAGTTTCTTTCTAGTCTTTTTGAATCATATTCTGAAAAAGGTATGAAACTTTCTGGTTCTTTAGTCTGTTGATAATTAAACCAATCAGGTTTTGAAATAGGTACATCAGAAGCATAAAACCATCGAATACTAGCCTTGGGTACTTTTAATTCATTTAATATTGTATTATGATTACGATCTTGTAAATTTGAAGTAGTCTTGGTAAATAATCTTAATCTAATATGATAGCAATTTGAAACAAAAGTTCCTTTCAATTTTAAAAAATAATGTGGCAGTTTATGAATTATCATTATTTAATCTAGAATGACACTTTGAAACATTTATAATAACTGGAAACTAATAAACTTTCGTGACTCTTTTTTTTGAATAGCAATTGATTGTCATTTTTAAGAGGTTTTTTTTTTTACGGTATTTATTTTTATTTCTGTTGCATGATACACTGAATTATAATATATCAAAATAAATGTAAACAATGTACAATACGCCTAATTAGGAAATTTAAACGGCACATTACTCCATATATTTATCATAAACTCTATAATTATTATTTATCTCTATGTTAGACCTGGTACTGGTAATGTTAATTTCCCACTTGGCCATTTTAATGTTGCAGCGTTTGAAAAATCACTATAAAATTTGGTATTGGGAATTTTTCTACCTAATCTTAAATATATTGATATATCGCCTGAAGAATCTTTTATACCATTATTTAAAGTATCTTGTACTATTGGTAGCTTATCTAGTATTTGCTTTAAATTTAATTGATCTATTGATTTATTAGTAAACAGTTCAATATCATTGATTAATAAAGATATTTCTGAATATTTGCTAAGCAATTTCTCTTGATTATTGGTTCCATTTGCTGGTGAAATACTCATCCAACTTAATATTCCTGAATTGTTATCATAATTAGTAATTAAAGGAGGTGAAACTGTTTTACCTTGTGGATCATTTCTTAATAATGAAGTAGCAGTTTCTGCAATTGCTGCTAATCCCCATCTTGAAGCACCAGATAAAAATAAACCTAATAAAATTCCTTGAAACATTAATGCTGTTCTACCTTTTGTAGCACAACCGGGTATTAATAACATTGCTAATATATAATGATGGACTCTTAAAGTTAAGTTTGGTAAGTTACCTAACAACACCAAACCTAAAGTAAAGGTTGAATAAAGTAATAAATACTTTCGAAACCTACCTGATAACCAAATCTTATAAGCTTGTATGATTGCACAGGTTGTAATAGTTAATATGATGGATCCAACAGCAAAAATAGCACCTGACTGTACTTTTAAATCGTCAATTGTTAATCTATCAACAGGTAATCTATCAAATGTCATATTATTTAGAATTCCAAGCCAAAATAATGGATACCACAATATTAGCCTGCTCAAATATGAAACTTTTTCATTTGAATTTGCTGGAGGTTCTGATAAGGTTCTCTCTGTTGAAAAATGCCATAAAACATACAATATACAACATGATGGTAGAAATCTTTCTAATCCAATTGATAATAAGTTTGCAAAATCTTCAGGATCATTAGCATCTATATTTACAGGTGGATCAGTTGCTAAACATATGGTCCAAAAACCAACAATATTAATTACCCAATAAGTAACAACACCACTAGCTAAATAAACAATCGGTATACCTAAAATTATATTGATAATTAAAACAGAAAATCTTGGATCATAACATTGACTAAATATTTCATTATCAGATTTTAATTTTTTAAAGAAGAACGATGATTTGAAAAAAGATAAAAATTCAATAGATTTTCGTACTCCATAATGACCCTTTGTTGATTTAAAATAAGGTTGACCATTACTTTTATATGATAACTTAGCACAACCACCCCATACAGGTGAAACTAAACCAGCATGTACAGCAGCTCCACATGGATAACTATCTGCTCTATAAGGATTTGTTAATTGATCTTTTTCTATTTTGTTTTCAACTTCTCTTCCACCTCCAACAAAATAACCTCTATATTTTATACGTTGATCACCTATTGGAATTAACGAATATGTCCAACTTCCTCTATCACATAAAGCAGGACACCGTATATATATATCATTTTGTTCATGTTTCAAAATCTCTGGACATAATTCTCCGTTTAATCCACAAGCTCCATTTTTACCTTTCCAAAATTCATCTTGACTTGAACATGACAATGAATAAATTTCTTTTATATCTGTTCCTGAAGTAACATGTGGCGGAACTGTAAAATAAGGTATCAAAATTGAATAGACTAGTCCGAACCAGAATATTAGATATGTTATTAATAAAAATTTTTTATATATCGGTGCAACCCTTTCGTGAAATTTATCAGGTATAGTTTCTAAAAAATTGAAATAAGTTAATCTAGGAGCATATTCATCCTTTGGTTCAGCTGGACCTTGCCATAGCTTCTTAAAAAATATCTTAATCTTATAAAGTAGTGTTGTTTTATACACACGTTGATTCTCTACATTATATTCATTATTATCTTGATTTGATAAAAAAGTTGAATCGGTTGACATTTTTGAATGAGACGAGGTTTCCAAACTCAGTAAAGGAATATTATAATCATAGAAATTGGAATCGGGATCGAGTTCTTGTTGTTGTTGTATCTGCAGATCTTTTTGTTGATTGGATACAAATTCATCCATAGATAAAGGAGATTTTAAAATTTACGGGGCTTTTTTTTTTTTTTTTCTATTATTTCCTTAACTAGCTGAAGTTTCAAAAGGGTGTTCCAAATACTTGATTATACATTAACTAAAAAGACATTAAAATTTATAAACTCTAATATACAAAAGAAACTGAAATAACACCCATCTCACAAACCGATAACTAAAATTCTAACCTGAACACATTGTACATGATTCAGGATTATCAATAGCACAAGCAATAACTTTTGAACTATATATATCAGCTTCAATTTCTTCTATTGTTCTTTTATCTTCTACTGAAGTTTCATCTTCATCTTTTGACTCTTCTTTAATTTTCAATTCAGCAACTGAATTTTCTAATGATGTTGGTTCAGTTGATGGTGATTTACTTTGTGATTCACTAATTTCACTATCATTATTTAGTTTTTTACTTGAATATTTTCTTCTATTTAATTTATCTAATGATGCAATAGCTGAACCAGCTCTATCAGCAACATCTTTATCAATTGTAAATTGAATAGCAGCAGATGCAGCTTGTGTTCTTAAATAGTACATACCAGTTTTCAAACCTTTCTTCCAACCATAAAAGTGCATACTTGTTAATTTACCCATAGTTGGATCTTTAATATGAATATTTAATGATTGTGATTGATCTATAAATGCAGCTCTATCAGCAGCCATATCAATTATATGTTTTTGAGAAATTTCCCAAACTGTTTTATATAATGCTTTAATTTCATCTGGAATATTTGGTAATGCTTGAATTGAACCATTGTTACTTATAATACTACTTTTCATTGAATCATTCCATATTCCTAAATCGACTAAATCTTTTAATAAAAATGGATTAACAATTTGGAATTCACCTGCTAAAACTCTTCTTGAATAAATATTTGAAGTATATGGTTCAAAACATTCATTATTACCTAAAATTTGTGAAGTTGAAGCGGTTGGCATTGGTGCAACTAATAATGAATTTCTCATACCATGTTTTGCTAAATCTTGTTTTAATGAATCCCAATCCCATAATTCTGTTGGTTTTCTATTCCATAAATCAAATTGTAATAAACCTTTTGATGCTGGTGAACCTTGATAAGTTTCATACGCACCTTCTTCTTTTGCTAATTCAATTGAAGCTTCAACTGCTGCATGATAAATAGTTTCAAAAATTTGAATATTTAATTCTCTAGCTTCTTGTGAATCAAATGGTATTCTTAATGACATAAATGCATCAGCTAAACCTTGAACACCTAAAGCAATTGGTCTATGTCTCATATTTGAGTTTTTAGCTTCTTCAACTGGATAATAATTTCTATCAATAACTCTATTTAAATTTCTTGTGACAACTTTAGTAACATCATGTAATTTGTTAAAGTTATACCAACAATGTTTTTCATCTTGTTCAACAAATGATGGTAAAGCAATTGAAGCTAAATTACAAACAGCAACTTCATCTGGAGCTGAATATTCAACAATTTCACAACACAAATTTGAAGATTTAATAGTACCTAAATTCTTTTGATTTGATTTTTTATTACATGCATCTTTATATAACATGAATGGAGTACCAGTTTCAGTTTGAGCTTCTAAAATACTATACCATAATTTTTGAGCTTTAATAGTTTGTCTACCTCTACCTTCAGCTTCATATTTTTCATATAATTCAACAAATTCATCACCGTAAACGTCACTTAAACCAGGAGCTTCATTTGGTGAAAATAATGTCCAATTACCATTTTGTTCAACTCTTTTCATGAATAAATCAGGAACCCATAACGCAGGGAATAAATCTCTTGCTCTAATTTCTTCTTTCCCATGATTTTTTCTAATATCAATAAAATCAAAAATATCACTATGCCATGGTTCAATATATAAAGCAAAAGCACCTGGTCTTTTATTACCACCTTGATCTACATATCTAGCAGTATTATTGAAAACTCTAACCATTGGAATAATACCGTTTGATGTACCATTTGTACCAGCAATATAAGCACCAGTAGATCTAATATTATGAATGTGTAAACCAATACCACCAGCTGATTTTGAAATTAAAGCACAAGTTTTTAAAGTATCATATATACCTTCAATTGAATCGTCTTTCATAGCAATTAAGAAACATGAAGACATTTGTGGATTTGGAGTACCAGCATTAAATAAACATGGTGAACCATGAGTAAAATATCTTTGTGACATTAAATTATAAGTTTCCAAAACTCTTGGAATATCATTACCATGAATACCAATGGCAACTCTCATTATTAAATGTTGTGGTCTTTCAGCAACTTTACCATTAATTCTTAATAAATAAGATCTTTCTAAAGTTTTAAAACCAAAATAATTATAATTAAAATCACGATCATAAACAATAGCTGAATTTAACTCATCTTCGTGTTCTTGTATGATTTTCCAAGTTTCCTCGGAAATCATAGGTGAGTGTTTATCAGTTTTAGGATTAATATACTCATATAATTGTCTTGAAACTTGTGAATATTGTTTAGTTGTTTGTTTATGTAAATTTGAAACAGCAATTCTTGCTGCCAAAACAGCATAATCTGGATGAATAGTAGTCATAGTAGCAGCAGTTTCAGCAGCTAAATTATCTAATTCAATAGTGGTAACACCTTGATAAACACCTGAAATGACTTTTTGAGTAACTGCAACCGGTTCAACATGATTTGAATCTAACCCATACGATAATCTTTGAACTCTTGCTGTAATTTTATCAAACCTTACAGGTTCCTTACGACCATCCCTTTTAAAAACATACATTATAATTTGTTATATAATAAAGGTGGATATATAAGTATGAAAATCAAATATAAAAAGATATGATATAAAAATCCGAAATCCAAAGGAAATGGCTTTTAATTTATATACTGACGCGTTAAAAATATATATATATATTTTTTTTTTTTAAGACGTGTAAATCGGTGTTTTTTATTTGAAATTTTCGTGTTTCTTGGAATTTATAAATAAATGAAACCCTAAAATGAATGAAATCAAAACATTACATTATACATATGTATGATCTATTCAAGAAATTACTAATCAACCAATTGTTTGTTTCATTACATGCTTTATCTTTTATAGCATTTTCTCTTCCGTATCGCATTTTACTTTTGCAATTACGAATTAAAAGATTAGATCAAAAAAAGTTATCAAATCGTGTTAGATATAATTGATGATAGCCGAGTTCTTGAGATCTCTAATGCAAACTTATATGTTGTAGAAAAAGACACTGAAGTGAGCTCCATTAAATTAGTCTTGCAGAATCTTGTTGTAAACTGCGAGGGAATAGCTTTTCAGGATTTATCTACTTTAATAAGTTTTTGATGACTTTATTCTCCGATTAAGTAGTACATTGTAGTGATTACTTCTTTTTGACATCGTTTGAATTTCGATAGCAATTCAATTTACTACGGATACATGTAATTCAGATTTTGTTTGACAAAATTTAGGTTGGCACGAATTATGGCACCAAAACTCGCATAAATCAAAAAGGTTTTTTGCCCTCTTCTCGTTCCTCACCGACCGAAACTTTAGTGCAGATTGACAATAAATTCTGGAACATCGACTTATATGCAGTCCTATAGTAGCCAATCAAAAAACTTATAATGTTAATAGCTTCCTCAGTATTCCAGCTGTAGTTATTAAACTTTTGTTATTAGATCTTGAACTGTGATGATACAAATTTATATTAGTTTTTTTTTTTTCGTACGAGATAATTTTGATCATGATATTCATCTTTGAAAAAATACAAAAAAAATCTATTCTGCTAGATATTCAACACCTAGACCTCATCTAACAACTTCTAATATAGTTGATTCGGCTCAATTAACCCCAAATATTATTTGCATAATGTTTTGAACTCGCCAAATTCGGTTTGAAATATTTTCAAAATTTTCGAACCACTTCTGAAAAATTACTTTTTCAATTTAAAATATCCTTAACACAAAAAATCTTAAGGCTTATATGCATGAGGGAACTAAAAATCGTATACTTTTGTCATACTTTCATCGTGAAAACAGTTGTGGTGAAAAATTTTTCTTAAAATCAGTTTATTCGATTATCCCCATAATTAAGAGATAATTTGAAATTTTTCGATTTTGGTTCTGATCTTCTCAAATGAGGTTAATCACCTTCTTTTTGAGATCTGGTATATATGATTCGGTGTCTATTCGGAAATTGTGGTTGTAAATAAATTGTACTCTACGTTTCCATTTTTAGCATATTCTTTGTATGATGAAAAATGCCACAAATTCAACTCGAGAAAAAAATGTTTAAAAACTGGAGTTCAACACATCTAGATATAATAATTCACGACATCTAATTTCATATAAATGGTTTATAAAACAAGAGATTGTTTTGTTCTTGACATATGAACCAATATATATATTACGAGTTGCCTTAGAGCTAAATAATTCAGTCGCTCCAAAAAAAAATAGACATACTATTCTGCATAATTCTGATACAAATTTTACTTGAACTCAAATTTGCCTCGAATACAATCTTACAGTCGTTCAAATGATTTGCAAAGTTTACTTGTAGACTTCTAAACTATTTGGATCTTCAGCATTTTTAAGTGATACCCAATATTCTAACGATTTAGTTAATCAAAAACTCGACTTATCTAAGAAAATTCAGAGCAGCGATTCTAAAATTATCATATTTGAATTGCACGAATTTTTAACTTTCGAACTATACCAAATAAAGCACAGTTTGATTAAGAATTCAGCCTATAATGTTATTTTGAAGGTTTTAAATATCAGAGGTATTTTATTTTGGGTTTGTGATTTTTTTTACTTTTCGCGCTCTTGGTATATTGTTTCAGGTTTAGTCGCGCAATCTCAGATAAATTTGCGCTTTATCTTCATATAAAATTATGACAATTCTAAATTGTTACTACAGCACATTCGCAATTACGGAATTATGATCAAGTGCTTTAGAAGCTCAAGCAACATGACTCAATAATTTTTGGTTACATGAAGCGTCTCAAATAAAGGAAAATGATCACGAAAGCATAGTTTTGTTTAATATGGAAGGTATAAATCATGTAGATTTCAATTTCATATATCATTGGTCTTGATTAAAATTTTGTGCTTAGTGGGCAAATGGCAATTTCCGAAGTGCACTTTGTAAAAAACCAACTCATATCTCAAATATTGCTTACTAATTAGCTCAAATAATTTCATTATTTATTTTTACGAATTCCCCTTAACGTTTTCAACGTGACCCAACAACTACAAAATATGTACAGTTGTTAGAAGTATTAAATTTGGGTCTTAGCTACAATCTAATGAGATCTATGGACGTTAAAACAATTGATAAATTTAAATACGTAAGAGGTAAATGTAACCGTCTCTTTACTTCCAAATCCTTCCAGACCAGTGTATTCGAGATATTACTGAAAGACTTCTTTGATCCTAGTTTTCAGTAGTATTGAACTAAGAAACAATTGACTATAGATTCGTAAATGTGCAACATTAATTGAAATTTTATTTCAATTAAATATATGAAGCTTAGATTCAATGCTGAACCTTTGAACCTACTCTCAACACTTTAAGTTATCATTCAAAATTATATAAGATATAAATTGGACATCTACAAATCTTCTGTCATAAAAATCTATTATTCCTGAAAGGCAAAAACTCATGTATATTTTAGATACGCTCTATCCATATTTTTAAACTAATCTATTTGGTTTCTTCTTTTGTTAAGTCGCTAAATAAGTTAGTATCTCACATGAACTTGAAATCAATTTGTCTTGACACATACTTGATAAATTTTTCTAAATCAAAATCATCTTCTTTTGAATTTGTAACTGGAGCAGCCGGTTTAGTAGCAGCAATTTGTTTGGCATTTGGATCTTCTTTAGCAAATATTTTAGGAATTGCAACACCTGCAGCTACTGAGCCTAATGTAGCGAGTGATAACTTCAACATTGTTAATATGACACTCTCAATTGAATTTTAATTTTATACATACAACATAAGCTGGAACTTGTTTACCAAATATTTGATATGTTGCACCCATTATAACCTAATTTTATTTGCAATTGATGTCTATTAATTTATATATAAATAACTTCAACGACGCAAATAATATATTTTCTGTTCCAATTAAAATTTGTTTTGTTGATAAATGATTCCTTTAATCGCATTAGCCAAGTACACTAAAGAGAAGATATAGTTAGATATTTATTCAATTGAGTTACATAGACTCCAATAATTCTCTAGTTTAAATCTCTTTAATACTTTCAATGCTTCTTCATCATTTCTAGAATACATAATTGACCATTTTTGAAAATTTGTTTCATTTAATTGACCTTCCCATATAATTTGACATTTATTATTAGATAAATTAATATCTGATTGAATTGAATCAGTCCACTTAATTCTATTAAGCAATAATTTCTTATATTGATTTATTGACTTTTCACCACCTTCAACTATAATAATATTAAATTTTGGATTTTTCAATAATATTCCATATAGTCCCAATTGTTTAGCATTCATATTTATTTTAAATAAATGTTGTGGATTCGATACATCATTCACTTTATAAGCTACTGAATGAAGTCCCTTTGATAAATCTTTCTCTTGTTTTGATATTATTTTTTCATGTTTCTGTTCTTTTGTTAATTTTCTAGCTTCATTTTCAGCTAGATGTTTATCCAACCTTCGTTGTACTTCCTTTTTAACTCTATTTTCAACTGCAGTTGGATCTTTAATTGCTTCATTAGTTAAAACATTCATTAAATTTGATAATTTAACTTTTGGAGGTGGTGGGGGTTCAAATCCTAATTTTATTCTATCTTGTTTTTCTTTATGTCTTATTTGTCTATCATTTCTTCTTATTCTTTTACGTTCTTTTTTAGTTAGGTATATTTTTGTATCTATTTGATTGAAATGATCCCATATAGGTGGTAATAAAATTGGATGTTGAATATATGAAGTTATTGGTTGGTCATCATTATCTAATACTAATCTAGATTCATCTTGGATATTACTATAATTATTATCTCTTAAATATGGTCTATCCCACCATTCAATTAATGGAGGATATTGAATTTTATATAGATCTTCACCTATATTTTTATTAGGAATTAAACCTTGAGCTTGTAATTTTTGAAATTCTTGTTGTTCTTCTTGTTCAATTTTCAATTGTTCTCTTAATTTATCACCTTTTGCAATATATTTACCTTGTTTATTAAATTTTAATGCCCTTGATTTATGAGATGCGCGTGGTGGTTTATTAATTGTTGATTGATCAATATATGGATTAAATAAAGTAGGATCAAACCATTTTTTACCAGATTGATTAGTTACCGGATTATGGTACTTGGGCACTATTTTTGCTTGTGTTGTAGTTATATTTCGAAGTAATGGATGTAATTCAATATCTAAACCAGAGCCAATGCCATTGATATTTTGTTGATTATCCTTTCTTGATTGTTTCAATTTATCTATATTATTATTATCAGTATCATTATTATTATTACTATTACCTCTTTTCTTACCTCTATTCATAAAATAATCTATGTATTGTTATGCCTTTTCGTTAGAATAAATTTGGTTGTAAAAATAAAAGTCATTGAAAAAATTATTTTGTTTCGCATTGACAAATAAATAGTTGCAAAATTTAAGGTACACATATATTAGAGATTATAGTATACATTATACATTACTTTATAACTAGCATATTCATAATAACTACGGAGATAACACATTAATTGACTAAGAACTGTAACACCAATTATTCGATATTCAAAACTATGCACCAATTTTAACTCTAATTTCAACCTGTTGATGTTGATTTTTGTCTTTTAACATCAATGCCATGCTCTGTTTTCTGGTGTTCACGTAATTCTTCTTGAGTTCTAAATTTAGGACCATTTTTACATAATTGACATTCAGGTTCACACATAATAAAAGTTAAATAAAATGAAAACAAAATTGATAATGATAAAATGAAAAAAAACAGCTTCAAAATAAACCAACTATATAAATTTATTGAGATATTTTGATAATGAAAATTTTCAAAGGGATGATATCGAGTATTTATATTTTTACCATTTTAAACTTTTTATTAAAATCGTCAAGGTAACGAGATTATCATTTACATTTGAAACAAAAGTTTAAATTTATAACTTGACACAAAATTAATATATAATCAGCTATCTTTTGAAAATTTATAAACTTGATCTTAGACGGATAGATGGTATAAATGTGGCTAGAATTTATAAGGTGTGGAGTAGCTGATACCTTGTAGTTAAGGTTGAAAAATCCATGGTCAAAACTGTCTGAAATTAAGCATAGTCAACAGTCAACTCATTGATCTAGACCCTCTATTTTACATGATACACCATACTTTTCACTTGATAATTCTTGTAATACTAGTGAAATTCTTTATTGAAGCTATTAGTAGTTAATACATATAAAATATTCGATTGTCATTTCATGGATTTTTTCCCCTACGCATTTTTTTATTAATTATTACATCAATACTTTACAATATACCCATCATATATCCAATATACCCATCCATATATTAATCAATATCATATATAGTTTACTTTATAGTATAACAATTTTAATATGATTGTTGATAAAAGAGATGAATATATTGAAAAATCAGAAATTACAAATGAAATTAAGGATTTAATTAATAATTTAACAACCAATGATTTAAATGATTTAGCATCATTGCTCAACCAAAATTTAATATGGAATAGACCAAGAGGTGAATTATTTCATTGGATACCTGTGTTAAATAGATTTGATGAAATTTTTGAAAAATTAATTGATAAATATAATTTAAATGATGATGCTCCAAAATTAAAAATTATAAATGATTATGATTCGCAATTAATTATATCATGTCTTAAATTCACTCATGTTTTATTATCTAATTGTTCAGATAGACTGATTTATTCAAGTGCTGACAGAGTTTATAGTCTTATAAATACTCCAACTATTGATGTAAGATTACATGCTTTAGAAGTTGGTATTTTGTTAGCGAAAAGAATTGCTCAAATAAATGTACCAAGATTTCAACCACCAAAACCAACAAAGTTGAAAATTTTAGAATTGGCTAAATTTTATCCACCTTTAGTATCAGTTGATAGTGCTTTAAAGCAATTGGAAAAGAGTAAAGATGATGAAAATGAAAAACCAAGTATTATTGGTGATCATTTTAATTTTATTGATACTTTGAATCCTGGAAAAGAATATCCAAATAAATGGAAGAGTATAAATTTTCAATTTTATAAATCCACTTTAGCTCCAGCTTCAAAAGATATCACCAGTCAAAAGGTTCAAAGTGAATCTCCATCAAAAGGTAAAAAAGACTTAAAAAAGAAGTCCGAAAAGGAAAAACTTGTAGTTGCTGAAGGTTTACAAAATTTTGTATTACCGGAAGAATCAGTTAAAAAATTAAATTTACAACAAATTTATGATAAAGCTTGTGATAATATACCCAAGGATTCATGGTTTTTATTTAGTTTATCTGCTCAAGTTGCAAAATCTTTTAATAGTTTGGATCTTGAATTAAGAGAAAAATTAATACAAATTAAATGTCTTGCTATTGGAATTACATGCTGTATATATTCAAATCAACAAGTTTCAACAAAATTACTCGAAGTTGAACCATATAATTTTAGCTTTTTAGTTGATGCAATACTGCCAGAGACAAAATTAAAAACAACCAAAGTTGTTGACGCTGCTTTAATTGCTTTAGAGAGTATATCAATTAAAAGAGTTTGGGGTGGTGATATAATTCGTTGTATGGGTGGTAATGTTAGTCATGGAACTTTATTTCAAATTATAAGGTATATTCATCAATTAGTTAAAGATAATGATCCAAGTTATAATGAAGAAGCTTATTTACATTATTTTGCATTACTCGATAATTTAATAAGTACAAAAGGTTTGATACCTAGATTAACAACTGGCGCATTATTAATTGATTTAATGTCATTTATAAATTTGGATACCAAGTATAAACCAACATGTACTGCTGCTATTCGTTTAATTGAAATTTATTTACCTACAACTTCAAATTTAATAGATGATTTTGTAAATAACAATGGATTTAATATATTGATTGAATCAGTAGGTAAAGCAGTAAATAATGTGTTAAACAATTATGAATTAACTGATGATACTTCACCAGTTCCATATCAAGAAGCAAGTTATTTAAGACAATTGATGAAATTAGTTTCTAGTATATTAAATTCAGATCAAGGTGATAGATTAAGAAATTTATTTGATTCTTCATTACTTGAAAGTTTTAATAAAATAGTTGAAAATCCAAAATTATTTGGCGCAAATATACTAGCACCTACACTTGATTCAGTATTTTTTATTATCCATAATGAACCAACCGCATATTCAATTTTAAATGAAGCAAAAGTTATTGATACAATTTTGAATAATTACGAAAATTTATTCTTGCCATCAAGTACTTTATTAATGTCACTACCTGAAGTTCTTGGTGCAATTTGTTTGAATAATGATGGTTTGAAAAAAGTTGAAGAGAAAAATGCAATTGGTGTATTTTTCAGATTATTCCGTAATATTAAGAATGCAAAAGATCTAGTTAAATCTGATATGGCAACTAATTTAGGATGTTCATTTGATGAACTAGGTAGACATTATCCAAGTTTAAAACCAATCATACTTGAAGAGATCAAAAAAATGTTGGAAGATGTTAGTGAACATGTTGAAGAATGGTTTCCAGGAATGAAATTTTATACTTCAGAAAATGGTTCATTATATCATAATAAAAATCAAGATATTCCTTGCAAAGTTGAAGGTGAAGAAGAAATTTATACTTGGGAAAATACTGAACAATCCTATGTATTAGATAATGTATTATTTTTCCTTGGTGGTTTATTACCTGATAGTGGTCAATGGGGTGCTCAAGCTATGGAGAAAATTAAATTTGAAGTTTGGGCTAAATTTCTTACAATTAAAACTGCACCTTTTGATTATGGATTTTCAAATGGAATTTCACCTTTAATGAGTATTTTGAAATTTTTTGATGATGAAAATAGAAATTATGGTTTACCTGTAGTAATTTCAAGATTGAATGAAGCTTTAAAAGTACAAGTTGTTCAGGATTATATACATTATGAAGAAGAAAGATCTTATTTTGAAATAATTGATCCTAGTTTAGCAACTGAATTACTTCAAAATTTAAATGTTATTAATATATTATTATGCACAATTTCAGAAATTTATATCAATCATGGATTATTATTTAATGAAAGAATTCCTCAAATTATTGATTTATTTGGCGGTTTAAATATTGGCATACTTACAAATTTATCTTTATTATTACAAAGAAGTGTAATCGAAGAAGGAATAATTAGATTAAATACACCTGATGATATACTAAATATTACTTTTAATTCAGATAGAGCAAATTCAGAACCTCCAATACTTGTATATGAATCAGATCCATCAGATAATATTCCACAATCTAATGGTACTTCAGCTCAATTTAAAAATATATTTCAAATTCGTACATTAAATGATACTTTTCAACAACATATTGCACTGATTTTAAGTTCAATCACAAGAGCAACTACTCCAAAAAGAGTGCCTCATAAAGATGGACCAACTAAAAGAGAAGCTATTGAAATATTACTTGAAATTGGTAAAAATTATACACAAGCCATTAAAAAGAAATTTTCAAATCAAACTTTACAACAATATTATACATTAATAATATCAAATATGATACTTTATACATTGAGTCAAAAAGATAGAAGTAAAGAACTTGTTTTCACTCCATTTTTAAGTTCAATACTTCAACATGGTTTTTTTAATAAGATTAATGAAATTGCAATTACATTGTGGAGTGATTTATTAGCAATGGATCAAGAACAAGTTAAAACGACAAGTGAATTGAAATATATTAAATTTGAAACTTCAAGTTTAATTAAGAATTGTTTGAGTCAAATATTAATGATTTATGCAAAATCAGTTAATGCAGATGCAATTAGTTTATTATCTTCTGCAAAATCATATTTTCATGCTGGTTATGATAATAATGTTGATTTTAATTTAATTTCTGCTATTTTATATCAAACAAGATATTATGGTTTAGAATTAATGATAAATTTGATTGGTTCAAAATCTCAGTTAACTGATGATAATTATCAAAATATACCTTCTCCATTAATTGAACAAACTGTATCTATATCCAAGTATATTTTCCAAGGTAAAAAGGAAATAAATGGTACTGAATTTATCCCTTTTGATATAAGGAATATTTCTCCACCATCTGAACAATTTGCATATTTATTATCACTTGGTATGAATGAAGATCAAGCAGAACATTATTTCCAACATGATTTAGATGTAAAAGATATAGCAGAAGGTAAAGTTTTAGATTGTCCAGAATTTAATTTTTCAGAAGAAGAATGGAAAGAATTTGCTGATACAGTAAAAGCAGATGAAGTTGATTTTTCAATTGATTTTCCAAAATTTAAACCAACAAGTGAAATAATAAAGGAACGTAAGAATGTTAAATTTGTTGATACTTGGTTGAAAATTGCTCAATTGTATCCAAAAGCAGTTGCTACTATATCAGAGTTATTTACTATTTATAATACTGAAGAAGTTGTTAAAAAATTGACAAAATTTATTTCAGAATTTACTTGGCCTGAATATAATAATAACGATGCATTTAGTGTTTATTTACATTTGTTATCATTTTTATTACAAGATGATAAAGCAATTAACAATCCACGTCCAATATTTGAAAAAATTACAGATATACTTAAATCAGGAGTTTTATCGAATGAGGCTGTTAATAAACCATTTTTCCCATATTTGATGTTACTATTAGAACAATTATTAATATTCAAAGATGCTCCAGTTCATGAAGAAACAAAACATGAAAGTTTAAGATCATCGATTAAGAGTAAACCATTTATAATGGATCAAGATTCCTGGATTGAGATTTTCAATCATTTGCTCAAAATTAATGAAATTGAAGATTTCAAATCTGCTAATGGAATTGCTCGTGTTTTAGTTTTATATGCAAAACATAGAGATTGTGTTGAAGAAATAAATAAACTCCCAATTTTAACTAAATTAATTTCATTTATTGGTTCAGGAATTAAAGATAAAACAATTTTGGATTCATTGAAAACAAGTGTTGTTTTAATATTAAGATATACTTTTGAAACTCGTGAAGTTTTAAAAAATTATATGAGTTATGATATTTCTCAAATCTTCAATACTGTTAGACATAGTCGTGATTTAAATACTGTATTAAAAGAAAATACTTCTTTAGTATTTAGAGAACCTACAATTTTAACTGATATTCTTTCGAAAGAAGTTAGATTGGAAAATTATGATGGTGGTGATTTTTACATGAATAGAATTCCCATTAAAAGAGTTAAACCAGAATCTGAAGAATCACAAGATGTTGATATGGAGCAAGAAGATAGTATTAAAAATGCATCAGAAGTTATGAATACATTATTATTTGAATTGATGAATGTAATTAAAACTGATTGGTTAAGTGATCCAAAAAATGACGAAAAACTTAAAGAAAAGGAAAAAGAAACCAAAAAGAAGAAGAAAGATTTAGATTTATTTGCCAATGCAAAATTTGCTTATGCTTGTTTCTTATTACAAACCATTACTGAATTATTAGGATCTTATAAACAAGCGAAATTGGACTTTTTAACATTCACCAAAAAACAATCATCAGAAGAACGTAAACCAAGATCAACAGCTTTAAATTTTTTCATTCATCAATTAATTACAACTCAACTGTTGGAAGTTTCTGAAGGTATTTCATATGAAAGAAGATCAGCAGTTTCATCAATTACAAAAATGGCATTAGCTAGTTTATTAGCAACACCAGTATTGGATGATAAAAATGGTGCAAATAGTAAAAAAGAAGATCCAGATTTAGCATTAATTAGAAGATTCTTTGTTGATTTATTAATGAAAGTTTTCAAAGATATTAATAATTCAAATACTTTAGCTCAATCAAAATATAGTAAATTATTGAATTTATTTGACATGTCTGGTTTATTACTTTCCACTAAATTTAAAGATGCAATTGGTTCATTATTAAATAAAGAAGCAACTAAATATGATCAATATTTCATGACCAAAGTTTATGTTGAAAAACAAATGCCACAACTTTTAACTAATTTGATTGCTGAATTTGATTTAAATTTCCCGGATATTGATAAAGTTACAAAAGCTGCTTTAAAACCAATTACTGTATTGGGTAAGAATAAAGTTGAATATCAAGATTTATTTGCAGAAGAGCATGGTGAAAATACTCAAGATGAAGATGATATTGTACCTGAAGATGTAGATGATAGAGAAGAAACTCCAGATTTATTTAAAAATTCGACTTTGGGAATGTATGATGTTGATTTTGACAGTGAAGAAGATAGTTATGATGACGATGAAATTGAAGTCATAGAAGACATGGATGAAGATGACGAGGTGGATGATGATGATTCTTCAGAGCTATCTGCAATTGATTCAAATAATGATGATCAAGATATTGAAATGGAAGCTGGTAGTGATTATGACGATGATTCAGAAGAAGGTAGTAGTCTTGATGAAATTGAAATTATTGATGAATTAGATTTAAGTAGTGGGGAAGGTGAAATTTCATCTGAAAATTATGGAGAAGAAGATGAGGAAGCAGAAGAAAGTGAATATGAAGAAGATGAATTAGATGGTTGGATTGAACAATTTCAAGATGGTGATGAAAGTGTAGATGAAACTGATGATATTAATCATCGTCATCCAGATACAAATCCATTTGGTTTACCTGCAATTGAAGATGAATTTGGTTTAGATTCAAGAACTAGTAGAAGAGAACCAGCAGGTTATGGTTTAGTAGCTCCAGAAGATGATGAATCAGATGATAATTTAAGTGATGTTGAATCAAGATCAGGTTTTGAAGTTAGAATGATTACCCCAAATAGAGGTTTAGGATCAAGAAGAGATGCTGGATTCTTATTTAGAGGTGGTGCAGATCCAATGTCTAGTATGGCTCAATTAGAAAGATCTTCACCAGCTTTATCACATTTATTAGATGGATTATTTAGAGAAGGTAACTTTAGAGGTTCAATTGAAATTACAAGAGATGAAGATATGAATCGTGGTCATTCAACAATTGGGCGTCTTATTGAAAATATGTTTCAATTAGGTCAAGCAGCTAAAAGTGTTAATCATGATAGTCTTGTTCACATTAAATCAACTAAAGATCGTTGGAATGATGCATTAAAAATGTTTTATCCTCATGATAAAGATGAGTTAGCTTTTAGAGTCATACCAGCAATTATAAATAGAATTGAAGATGAAAGTATTACATTATATAAAAAGAAAAAAGAAGAAGCTGAAAAGATTAGAAAAGAACGTGAAGAAAAGAAGATGAAAGAAATTGAAGAAGAAAAAAAGAGAAAAGAAGAAGAAGCAAAACAACGTGAAATTAATGCTGATAATCAACCTCCAAGAGAACCTGTTATGGTTAGAATTGGTGATAGAGATGTAGATATTAGTGGTACTGAAATTGATCCTGATTATATTGAAGCATTACCTGAAGATATGAGAGAAGAAGTTTTAGCATCATATGTTAGAGAAAGAAGAGCAAGTGCAACAGCAACAGGCACAGAATCAAGAGAAATTGATCCTGATTTCTTGGATGCATTACCAAATCTGATTAGAGAAGAAATTTTACAACAGGAGTCAATGGCAAGAAGATATGCAGCTTTTGAAGAATCAAGAACAGGTTTCAACCATAACGAAGATGAAGATGAAGAAGAAGAAGAGGAGGAAGATTTTGATATGGATGTTGATGAAAGAAGAGGATCAAGTGCAGCAGCTTTATTAAGTGGTGGAGGAATTGGTTTAGGTGCTGGAAATATTGAACCAAGACGTGAAAATAGAAAGAAGAATACAAATAAAGTTTTCTTTACTCCATTAGTTGATAAACAAGGTATCTCATCATTAGTTAGGTTATTATTTTCTCCACTTCCCATCAATCAAAGAGAAAATATTTATCAAGCATTGTTGTACATGTGTCATAATAAACAAAGTAGAATTGAAATTATGAGTTTAATGATTGCTGTACTAAACGATGGTTTCACAAATCAACGACCAGTTCAAAAAATTTATTTACAAATTTTTAAAGGTACAGGTGCAAAAGATAAAAAAGTCTTCAAATTACCGATTGGTGCTACTCAAATTTCAATTGGTATACAAATGGTTGAAGCAATTGATTTCTTATTAGAACGTAATAGTCATTTAAGATATTATTTATTAACTGAACATGATAATTCATTTATTGTTAAAAAGAATAAGCAAGTTAAAGATAATAAATTCCCAATCAATTATTTATTAACATTACTTGATAATGAATTAGTTAAAGAAGATCAAACATTTTTGGATTTATTAGCAAGAGTATTACAAGTTGCAACTAGACCATTACATATTTTGAAAAAAGAAACTGATGAATCAAATAAATCACCACCATTTACTCCACCAACTATTCCTGATGAAAATTATCGTCATATTATTAAAATCTTAACTGGTAATGAATGTTCAAACTTAACATTTAGAAGAACAATTTCAGCAATGCAAAATTTTTCAATATTACCAAATGCTCAAAAAATATTTTCATTAGAATTGTCTGAAAAAGCAAGTGAATTAGGTAATAAAATTATTCATGATTTAGATAATTTAACGAAAGATTTGAAATTAGGTTTAGGATCTGAAAGTAAATCATTTTTGAAATTTAGTGCTCATTCATCTGATCAATCAAAATTATTAAGAATTTTAACTGCTTTAGATTACATGTTTGAAAAGGAAAAAATTAAAGGTGCTAAAGAAATTGAAGAATTAACGCAATTATATAACAAATTAGCTTTAGGTAATTTATGGGATGCACTAAGTGAATGTTTAAGAATATTGGAACAAGATTCTCAATTAAATAATATTGCCAATGCTTTATTACCAATAATCGAAGCATTAATGGTTGTTTGTAAGCATAGTAAAATTGTTGAATTGCCTATAAAAGATATAATGAAATATGAAGCTAAGAAGATTGATTTTACAAAAGAGCCAATTGAACAATTATTTGTATCTTTTACTGATGAACATAAGAAAATATTAAATCAAATGGTCAGAAGTAATCCAAATTTAATGAGTGGTCCATTTGGTATGTTGGTTAGAAATCCAAGAGTACTTGAATTTGATAATAAAAAGAATTATTTTGATCGTAAATTACACAATGACAACAAGAGAGAAAATAATAAATTATCAATAAGTATAAGACGTGATCAAGTATTTTTAGATTCTTATAGATCTTTATTTTTCAAATCAAAAGATGAATTTAAAAATAGTAAATTGGAAATTAATTTCAAAGGTGAACAAGGTATTGATGCTGGTGGTGTTACAAGAGAATGGTATCAAGTATTAAGTAGACAAATGTTTAATCCTGATTATGCATTATTTACACCTGTCGTTTCTGATGAAACTACATTCCATCCAAATCGTACATCATATATTAATCCAGAACATTTATCATTTTTCAAATTTATTGGTAGAATTATTGGTAAAGCTATTTATGATAATTGCTTTTTAGATTGTCATTTTTCAAGAGCTGTTTATAAGAGAATTTTAGGTACACAACCATCATTGAAAGATATGGAAACTTTAGATTTAGAATATTTCAAATCGTTAATGTGGATGCTTGAAAATGATATTACTGATGTTATTACTGAAGATTTTTCAGTTGAAACTGATGATTATGGTGAACATAAAATTATTGATTTAATTGAAAATGGTAGAAATATTCCAGTTACTGAAGAAAATAAATTTGAATATGTTAAAAAAGTTGTTGAATATAGATTACAAACGTCAGTTGAAGAACAAATGGAAAATTTCTTAATTGGTTTCCATGAAATAATACCTAAAGATTTAGTTGCAATATTTGATGAAAAAGAATTGGAGTTACTAATTTCTGGTTTACCTGATATTGATGTTTTAGATTGGCAACAACATACATCATATCATAATTATTCACCATCTTCATTGCAAATTCAATGGTTTTGGAGAGCTGTTAAATCTTTTGATAATGAAGAAAGAGCAAGATTATTACAATTTTCAACTGGTACTTCAAAAGTCCCATTAAATGGTTTCAAAGAATTGAGTGGTGCAAGTGGCACTTGTAAATTTAGTATTCATAGAGATTATGGTTCAGTTGATAGATTACCATCATCACATACATGTTTTAATCAAATTGATTTACCTGCTTATGATAGTTATGAAGTACTAAGAGGTTCTTTATTAATGGCAATTACGGAAGGTCATGAAGGATTTGGATTAGCATAATTTAAAAGTTATATCTATCTATTGTATATTAATGTATAGTATTATTATTGTTTATATCATAAGTCTATATTTCTACTAATTTTTCCAAATCTTCGGTATCAATCATATGGTTAACTAAATTTATGTTCTTTTCATTAATCTTGTCATTTTCTAATGAAGCAAAATTACAATCTGTAATATATTCGATTGGTGCAATTGATAATCTACCAGTTTTAAAAACATATTTAGTTAATGCAATTGCATTAATTGTCTTTCCGTTGTTTGTTGTAAATTTACTTACAACGAACAACCATTTTTTATCCCATGCCAAAATTCTTGAACTAATTGCAAATTTTTCAAACGGTTTCAATTCCCTTTTAAAATGACATGAAACAGTAGCAACAGGAGCATATGGAAAGTTTGAAATTGAACCCTTTTTTCTTCCTTTTATTCCTTTTTCATTATCAAAATAGATCCACCAAAATTTTTGAAATAATCTAGTCAACAATTTTGTTCTAGCAATATCTAAATCTAAGAAATAAGTTGAATTGGATTTATGCAAGTACATATCTACTTCCAATGGAGAAACTCTTGAATGTAAGGTGCTCCATTTGAATAAATCCTCTGGTGAATTAAAACCAAATGAATTTAACTTTGTTGAATTATATTTAAATCTAGATGCTAATAAACCTGTAATTACATGATAGTAAAATCTAAATGCATATGAAACAATAGGAATTGATTTATGTGTAGATATAAGAAATGCTATTATCAAATATTTCAATGATTTGGTAAACATTGTTGCAAATATTTGAAAAAATAATTTTCTAATCTAACAAAGAAAGACACTAAAATAGGTTCATCGGAGTTATAAATCGAACGGCCTGTTTTGTGTCAATTAGGATTTAAAAAATTGACAGGACAACCCAGAACACGACACTTTTGTGGCTGTTGAAAAATAAAGAAGGATTTATTGCAGTATAATGAAGTTTGAATCAGTTGAATTTGCAAATCTTTGGTGGAAATTTGTTAGTATTTTTGATCGGAAGTAAATCTGAATAAAGGCCGAAAAAAGAAGGAAAGTAAAAAAAAAAAAAAAAATTGCTGCAAATTAACATGTTTGACCAGATTTGCAAAGATTTAGTGACACTTGGTCATCATTTGTAATAGCTTAAAGCCTAATTAGTGAAAAGAATGATGAGGTAATGTAGATCTAGGTAAGATATTGCAAATTTTGCAATAGCGATGGCACAAATTTTTTAAAATTTGCTTACTAAGTTTGATCGGAGATTAAAATCAAACTCGAAATATGATACAAAGTATTACTTATATGAATTTAACAAGGAAAATAATTGGTCAAGATAGAAGTATATGTAAGTGCCGCTTCCCGATTCTTTCAAGGCAAATCTAAGAATGGCACAAGAGGCAAAATTTGATAATCAGCAAAAAAATATAGACTACTAGTTATGCAACTAAAGAAAGTTTCTCTGATACTCCTATATGACTTATGTAGCTTTTATTTCACTTTAAGTTAAACAACCGAGTTAATAAAAGAAACTCTTTAAATATTGAGCGATTTTATTATAGGCACGGCTAAAACATTTCAACGAAAAAAAAAAAAAAAAAAATTATTAGGCGGCATTTATTTTTCATAACCCCCCCTAAGTACCAGTTTTATATTATCTCGACAGAAGAGTATAAACTGCTACCAGTTTTATCTTACTTCGTTGAAAGCTTTATATCACCAACAAGAATAGAGAGATTTAGACAAAGAGTGAGTTATGTAACATAAAAATCATCATTTTTTTATTAAATTAATTGCATAAGGACATAAATTCTTTTCAATATGATTATGCATCCAATCATCGACATTTTGGAAATCAGCTTGACAAATTCTACATTTACCTGAAACTTTTGTTCTTTGATCTTTTTTAGTACCATTTGGATATTGAAAATGTATAGCTTTTAAATGATTTTTGAATGTATCACATCTTGAAAAAATACCGGTATTATGACAGCAATGATCAGGACCAATTGGAATATTTCGAGCACCATCATGTTGTTGAATATTTTTAAAAGGACATCTAAATTGATTATCTATACCAATTTCTTTCCAATGACATTTTACATGACGAAATAAATCATTTGGTCTTGCGAAACCTCTTTGACAATATTTACAAATATGTGGTCTATTTGTTGGTTTTAAATGCGTTGATTTATGAGTAGCTAAGTTTGAAAAATATAATTTACATTCTGGACATTGTCTCTTCTTTCTCGGTTTCCAATTCTTTTTGTTAATTTGAGTAGGTGATTGTAAAGGTTCTAGATTATTACTGTATGGAGGGGTTGTTAGAGATGATATTTCTTGTTTAATTTGATATGGATCGGAATAACTCCTAGCTCTATTAGGTTCCATTGTATTATTTATTGAGTTATTAAATGGAGATCCAATTGGACTCAATAACATAGAGTTATTATTGTTATTATTGTTATTAATATTGTTTATGTTAATTGGTAATGATTCAGATTTTGGAATTAATAATGTAGGGGAATTTGTAGCTGTTGTATTTGCTCTTATAGGATTATTGTTTGAATTTGTAGTTGCATAATGTTTAAAAGCGGTTGATCTGTAATCATTATTTAATAAAGTAGGTTGTTGTTCTTCAATATGGGGAAAAGCCGGTATATTTAATGAATGAATAGATGGTAAGGTAACTGACGAATGTAGTTGTTGATTTTGCACAACTGAAGAATTGGAATTTGGTCCTTGTTGTTGTGGATTACTCTGATGATGTAAACCATATTTTGATAATGAATTTGTATTTGGCATGTTGTTGTATGCAATAGATGATAACATTATTGGTTGTAACTAAAAGCTATATAATTTAATTTATAAGATTTAATCTATTATGATCATAAAATTGTCGGTATGATAATTGTAATTTGTTGATTCTTTGTTGATGTACAATATTATAAGGTGGCAAAACTGTTTAAATATTATATAATACAGATATTATATTATAAGTATTATATGATAAAAGTTAAAATAACATAAATTGAAAAAGAGATCAGATTATTATTTATATAAATATTGATTATTTTGTATGGGCGCAAAAAATATTAAAAAAAGAAAAAAAAAAATTCAATATACTGTAGTCGGTTAATAATCATGAACTATAACCGTACAACTCATAACCTTAACCTTTCTTAAAACTAACTCATTCACGATTTAATATAACAGAGTAATACAAATTTAGATTCCCAGTTGTTCCATAGACTTTCATTATATATCTATTGATCATCGTTTAGTGATTTACTTGCAACTTCTCTACTACATTCGGATATAATTATATTCTAAACTCGAGTCGAGTCACTTTTTTCAGTCTAGGTCTTTCTCCTATTTTCTCATTCATTCTATACTTTTACTCAACCATTCTTCTCTCTTTCCTTTTTTTTGTGATTATTAAACTCAATCTTACTTAACTTAATTTTATTTTTAATATTTTTTTTTTTTTTTTTTTTTTTATTATTTTTAATTTTATTTTTGTTGATAGATTTTTCTATAGTGTAACAGCCCTGTCTGCAAAATAATTTAACAAAAAAGCTTACGTAAAAACTTGAATTTTATTTATAGAGATGAAACAATAACGTCAACACAATGTAAGAGAGTGTATAGCCTTATATTCATTATTATTATGTTACAATCTTAGGTATTTTTAACTTTTATGCTCCACTTGGCGTTGTATGAAACTCTTAATATTTTGTCATAGCCTTACGTAAAGGCAAAATACGATACCTTGTACAAGTTGCAAATGAAGTAATTATAGCTGAGTGTATATTTGCTCTTCTCATGAATTTTACGGTGATAAAATGTAATGTCCTTGCACTATATTTCAAACCGTAGCATTAGTAAAAGTAAATAAATCTTGGGAACGAACGGCTCATAAATCTATTTTAGATTTTTTTAAATTGTCAAAATGATGCAAATCCACTAAAATCAAAATATATACATCAAATATAAAAAATAAAATATTATCAGATTGAAAATTTAGACAAATCAACAGCAACAAATTATGAAATTCATAACAAGTATGTGGTAATTAATCTATTCCAAATTTAGTTTATAACCTGATCTTTTCAGTTTATCGTTTGTAGAGCTTTAGTTTTAGTGATTTTGCCAGTTGTTAGTTTCTGGTTCATTATATATATATTTTTTTTTTTTTTTTTTTTTATTTTATTTTTTATTTTTATTTCTAATTTTTTTTTTTTTTATTTTAATTTTTTTTTTTTTTTTTTTCACTACCCCTATTTTTCAAACATCACGCTAAGAAAATAAGTACACAAATATAATAACTTTGAATTTTATTTTACTTCTTATGACGTTTAAATTTACCAGTGTCTGTTTCATTTATTCGATCTTGTAATATTATAAATGTCCCTATATTTTAAATCACTCGTTCCTATTAATTTTATTCCCACCATCCGATTCATTAAAGATTATTCTACATACAGGAACCGTTCAATAAAATTCCCTCTTAACATATTGCGCTGTAATCTAAGTTCAAGCAGAAACAAACAGATACTAACATTCGATTTATAATAACTCGTTTAATGTTTATTCTCTCATTAGTTCAGCCTTGTTGTTATTAAATTCAAAATTTTTCTTTGCTCTTTTGTCAAATTAAACGGTTTTAAAATTCGATTACTTTATATTTTGTTTATTGATTAGATAATGAAAATATCATTTTTTTAATTTACCACCGATCGAGATTTCGAATATATATAAACTCCTAACACCATATCGTAATATGCGTGGATGATTTCTAATACATTACGCAGACACGAAAAGCAAAAACGAAAAGCAAACCCGAAAAGCAAAACCGAAAAGCAAAACCGAAAGGACAGAAATTACTCCATGTTAAGTAAATATTGACATTATTACTCGACTTGTTTATACCGATCTGATTTGATTTTTATTCTGTATAATCTCCACATATTCTCTCAAGGTGAGTGTTTTAGAATAATTTTTTTGCAAAGTTTTTGTTGGTTCTCACTTACTTCCTAATCGGGAAATTTAGATTTGAAGAAAAGCTCCGAAACGCGAGATCTATTTAATATTAGTACTAAGAGAAGAATTCTAAGAGAAGAATTCTATGAAATTAAATTTATATTAAGTCTAAGTTGAATATGTATAAGAGTTTATAAAAACAAATTACTATCAGTATCACTCTTCACAATAAAGATTAATAGTAATAGTTGAATTGTATGAAAATTTGTTTAATTAGATGATTAGTGAATTAGTTGAGCTATTTTCATTTATACTTTTCTTGCTCTTGGTTTTGAGGCACCAGTTTGCTCAACTGCTGATGATTTACCAGTTGTAGTTGTTTTAATTTCACCTCTTGGTGTAACTTTATCAATTTTTTTACCTTTAGATTTATAAACTTTGATGTAAAAACTGATAAATAAAACTAAGTAACTACTCAAGATCAAACAGCCATAACCAGCAGCTAATTCAGAACCATAACAATCACCAAAGTTAGGTAAGTATGGGAAATAACGGAAAGCATAATGAGTATAAGTTGCAAAATAAACAAATCCTAAATCTAAAACAAATTGAATAATTTGGAATCTTGTAACCCATTCTTTCCACCAAACTTTAATACCTCTAGCACTTAAGAAATAATACCAATACATGACAACATGAACAGCAAGATTTAAAGTGATAGGAACCCATTCTACTGAAGTTGAACCTGTTAATTGAGTATAGCATAATAAAGCAGTAGCACCATGATGATAAGTATGTAAAAACAATAATTTCTTCTTTTTAAGAACTAAAAAGACTGTATCTATCAATTCCAAGTATTTAGTTAAATAATTCAAATAGTATAATGTGACCAATTTTTGATTAAATGCATCTTTATGACAAATTGCATAATAAATACCATGATTGTAAACTATTGGAACTAATTGTTCAATACATAATAATAATAAACTCAATGATAATAAAGTTAAGATGATATTATGTAATTGAAATAAAAAGTTCAATTTTAAAGCTGGTAATCTAAAAGTATTTATTAAAAATCTACCACCAAATATAACAATATAATAACTTATTATTATCAAAATTGCATGATATCCATTTGCTAAAAATGTTTTATGATAAATAAATTGGAAATCATTGGCAGGGTATCCAATAACTTGTTCAAATATATAGTTGAAAATTGGCCATAAATATAAACCAAATGGTCTTTCAATTGATGGATATTGTAACTGAAATAATGGTGTTGAATCAGTTATGAAAACTGCTGCCGGTGACATAATGAATGGGGAACTAAACCAACAATTAAATCAAGAATGAATTAGTATAAAAAGTAGTTTCTATGGAAGTTTTTTTTAATTTTCAACAACAAAACCAGAAAGAAAAAAAAAAAAAAAAAAAATAAAAAAATTTAAAGAAGAAACAAAAACATTAAAAAATAAATAAAAACACAATATTATCATTTATTAAACTTTTACCGAAATTTCGAGTTTTGATTTACGAGTATTATATTAAGGTAGTTAAATTATGTCGACTGTGTTTTGACAATCATGAGCTGAATCACTATATTTATGAGTGAGACAAGCTAGCAAACTTGACCTTGAGCTGACTTTTGTTACAAATAGGGCGTCGTTCGTTAGATGTGGAAGAATTCTCAAATTAAACTTTAGAATCTAATCGATATTACAATTTCATGGCTTGGTTTTGACATCTTAGCCGTTCAGAATTGCACTTCGTACCAATTGTAAATTATTTCTTGTAGCTTTATTGGATGTCATTTCATTTCTACGTGTTCCCTAACTGTTCAATCGATATGGATTTGGAGTAAATGTTGCATCAAACGTTTAGAACTTGAAATTATAGTGGGCACGTTTTAGCATTTAACTTCCAATAGTATATTTTGGATGTTAACATACGCGCTCCTTCACCATACCAAACTTTACATGATTTTGGAGAAGATTGAACTAATAAGAGCAGACTAACTGCCTGATCACTCTACTCGCAAGATTCTTCATTGTAACTTCGATGCAACATCATTGATTTAGACGACAACGCATAATTGCAAAACCAAGAAATTTCTGACACGAATTGTGAAACGAATAAATAGTAAAAAATAACGCAAGATGAGATCAGTCACGTGGCAAGAGTCTAGTTCATGAAAGTTAAGGCCTAGGTCTAGAATACTTCATATAAGCTATTTGTAGTAAGATTGTCTGGGCTGACTATGGCTGCAGCCAGTAGCTCTTACTGCAATTCTTGGGCGATCTGTTAAAGCTGAAAATAAATTCTGATGCGAAACTTTGCCCTGATCTCGGTACTAAATTTTTATATAATACAAAATTAATGTTTTGGTGCGACAACATAATTTTCGCGCTAGATCTAGGGCGACTCGTACTAGATATATTGGATTATATGTCAAGATCAAGGTAATCTCTTGAGATAATACCCATATATATGAAATCAGGAATTTTGAATTATGTGATCTGGATGTGTTGAGCTTCAGATTTTGAACATTTTTTTTTCAAAGTTGAATTTTTAGGCTCTCGTCATACAAAAAATTTCCCATGAATGAAAACCCTCGTGTGCTTCTATTTAGGGCCATTAATTGAACAATGGATTGTATATAACATACCTCCGACTAAGATGCTGGGTTAATTTCTAGTTGAAGTAGTTTAAAATTGAAAAATTTCAAAATTGTCTTTTAAGTATGGGAAATTTCGAATAAATTGACTTCACAAAAACTTTGGCTCCACATTGATATTCAAACTAGAGCATATTGAACCGATCCAATTTTTTAATTTCTGTATTTTGATAAACTTAGAATTTTTTGTGATAAGGTAATCCAAGTTGGGAAAGTGATTTTTCGAAAGTAGTTCGAAAATTTTGAAAAAAAATCAAACTGATTTTGGCGTCTTTAAAACTTTATACAAAGAATATTTGGGATTAATTGAGTCAGATAAGCTGTCTTAGAAGTAGCTAAATGAGATCTAAGGATTGGTTATCTTGCAGTTCAACGTTTTTTGCCATTTTTTTGAAAACAAGCCATGTCATAAAAAAAACATGTTTTACCAAGAGATATTTACATCAAACTGTTTTGAATTAGTTGAAGATTTAGTGAAAAATGTTTGAGAGAAAAGGCTTGGATATTGAAGGAGTTATTAACATATAAGTTTTGAGATTAACTATGATGAGACTGTATACCTTCAAATTTAGTTCAAATTTTCTATTAATCTGGTTTAAGCTCTCGAGTATAGGGCCAAAAAGTTTCTTGATCCAGACAAACGCTGATGCCACCCTCTCGTGCTAATCTCAATTCTTACTGAAAATTTAAAAAGACTTCTACTAAAGTGATGATTGATCTGCTATCAAAATTCATTGTTTAGTATCATGAATTAGTAGTTGATACAAGGCACTGATCAATCTAGTAACATATTTTAAGAAATGAACTTGAGTAGACTATTAGCACATGAGTCTTGAACATGTGTTATCTCATTCAGCAATCAGAGTGGAATGTAATGATTCTGTGGAATGTAATGATTCTGAAAATTCACCACTTTTGAAGAAACATTCGAACACTTTTAAACTATAGACACTCAATTATGGAACCTATACCTTCATTTTAAGCCGTATAGCAGAGTGTACTTTTGTTTTTAATTCTATACTTTTGTAAGAGAATATGTATAAAACGTTAACGAAGTGTTTAATTTCTTCATATATTTTTTGTGTCATATCTCGTATTTGTAGATACGAGTAAGATACGAGATTAGATTGCGCGTCTAAGAATATTGAACAATAATTTCGTAGCATCAGCTTGACAACAGCTGACAGGGTAGACTACGCGTATCAAAGTTCTAGCTTTGATTTTACTTTGAGCAAAGTTGCGCTACATCCTTGAAACGTATCTGGAGCACATGCTCGATTTATATCAAATTCAAATTAAAACAATGAAAATTTATCGATATTTCATGCATAACACCGAGTGTACATAACGAATAGCATAAGTCTGTTGGTAATTTTAGTTTAAACGTTATACAAACTAAGCGGTTAATGTAACTGCTTGAGTATGTATTAATTGAGATGATTTTAGTTTTGGAATTTGAAATTTAAACGTATTACTTTTAACAAAGAAGAGCCGAAAAATACTGATATCAAATATAAAATTAAGATTAAATTGCCGTGACTGAGTCGTAATAGAATTCAGGTTCGACGATGTTTTCGGAGAATGACCATTTTTGACACTTTTTTGCATATTAATTTTTAGTTTAGATCTTACCATTTGGATGGTCAAGTTTCCATAAGTGTAGACATAAACTTAGCGTAATATTACTGTTCGAGAAGGTATATAAATGATCAATATATGAGCATTTTATGATAAATTCAATACGATTCCTTAAATATGATCCCAGTATTGCATATATTAGATAGCCGCACTTCCTAATGTATCATTCTTGAAAAGTTCAACATTGGTTGCTTAAAATGCAGCAAAAGCATTTAAAAAATTATCTTGGACAACATACGGGTAATTCATTAAAATAGGCAAATTGTCTGAATATCAATGAATACTTTTTGTATGGTACACGTTAGCTCAAAATTAGTTGATCTAAGGCTACTCCATTTTCTTTAAAGAAAGCCCTTTACTTAATCTGTTATATTTTAGTGGTACCAATAGTTGTGGGAGCTGCTTTAAGAAGCCACCATCTAAAATAAAATCTTTGACAACATAGATATGTCAGTAGTGTATCTAGATACATTGCTGAGAGATAAAAAAGTTTTGTATTGAAAATGTGTTTAATTCAATTTGGGGTGCTTTGAGTTATATCAATTTTAAGGCTTTTTGAACAGGAAAGAATTTACAAATCTATTCAGTTTACTGCTTGTCGAATGGGAGAATTTAGTCAAATTAATACTTATTATTTTGTATATTAAAATTAAAAATTAAATTGATTTTCTAATTATTTAACTTCTTCTAATTTTGGTTTCAAATTTAAAAAGTCAATAGACAAAATTATATCATAACCATTTTCTTCACAAGCAAACATTGCTTCATGTTCATTTGAATGTAAAAATCTTATATTTTCACCAATTAAACTTCTTAATAAATTAGTTGAATGTAAATCTCTAATTTCAATAAAACTTGGTTCAAATGATAAAATGTATGGGAAAAATAATGCTATATTTTGTGGATTACCTTCCCAAAATATACCCCATTCATGATTTGTTCTCCAACCATTTTTATTAATTAAAAATACAAATTCTGAATAACTCAACAAGAAATTTCTACCCAATTTATGTATTGATAATGGTGTTACTGATTCTTTTTGAATTGCAAAATCTAATGATGGATCAGCTTCATCTAAAATTGGTTCTTTATTACCATTTTGTAATGAAAAAATTTCAAAACCTTTTGTACATCCAATACATAATTTTGATTTTAAAAATGATATACTTATTGGATCTGAACTAAATGGAATTTCTTGAATTTCAACTTTCGAAGATTTAGATTTTTGGAAATTTTTATTTGAATTTTTTTCAAATGGATTAACTGGTTCAAATATACATATTGAATGTTGTGAAGATCCAGTTTTAGCACCACAAATTAATAGTTTTCCATCACAAACACCAATTTTGAAAAAGCTGATATGTTGCATTATAATTTTACCAGATTTTGTATTTTTAACATGATCTAATGAATCAGTACATGATAATTCATACTCATATAAATTTTTATCACTCAAAACTAATAATTTTGAATATTCAACTAAAACTTCAATTTGTGTAATATATGGTTTTGATATAACTAAAGTTGGATCACTGACAATTTTTTCATTTGATGTTGTTGAAATTGAACGAACTGTACTTACCCAAACACCAGAATCTGTACCATATAATAATTTTTTACCACCATAACAAGGTACACCACAGTTAATTTTATTATTACCAGTAAATCTTCTAGTTTCAAATTTACAAAGGGTAAAAAAGTCATTATCAGTAATTAATTTCTTTTGTTGTTGATTGATTTGTTGTAAAACTTGATTTTGAATCGTTAAATCTTCAGCAAATAATGATGTATGAACTTGATTTGATCCTAAACCAAATATGTTAATTTGAAATTTTGATGAACTTGATGAATTTAATGTTTGTCCAATATAATTATTACTTTCTTGTCTTTGATTTCTTATACCAGTGTCTGAAATTAATGATGAATTAAATCTATGATGTAAAATTGTTCTTGTTGTTGGAATTTCAATTCCACTATTTACAAATAATAATGGTAAATAAATTGGTCTTTCAAAAACTTTATGTTGTTCTCTTTTATTCTGAACTTTGCTTTTAACTAATAATAATGCATGTTCAAATAAATATAATTCAATTTTTTCATTATCTCTTTTTCTTGATAATGTAACTTGATAAATAATTCTATGATTATATGATAATTTAAAATTAAATTTATTTTCCAAAGTTTCTTTGCCCAATAATCTATGTAAAACCATAATTTTATGTCTATCAGTACTTATACCAGTTTGAATATTAATTTTAACCAATAATTTTTCAATTTCTTCTTTTGCTTTAACTAAAAATTTATAATCTGGTGATTCAGGTTTTGTATGTTTTAAAATACCAGCCAATAATAATTGATATCTTGCAGGTCTTTGGACACCTTTAATTAAAAAAGAAGATAAATCCTGTCTTCTACTTTCAGGTTTCTTTTCAATAGCATCTAAAAATCTTGCATATTTCATATTTACACTTTGTTGTCTTTCGTGTTCAAAACTTGCAAAAACTTTGTTACCTGAATATTTAATAAATGGCTCAAATTGTCCGATATAATCTAAAAATACATCACCAATAGTCTCTACAACTGGTTTTTGTTGTTGTTGTCTTTTTATTAATGCTTCACTCAATTGTCTTGCCAATTTTAATAATTCATTAACACCACCAAAAACAGCATAAATAAATGATTCACGTTGATATTCGGGTATTATATTATTCGCAGGATTTTTTAAAGGCATGATATAAAAGTCAGACATGAATTCTAAATCCTTGACGTAATCTCTTTCAGTATAAATGAACTCATAAATTAATTCTTGTCTAGTTTTTTCATGTTTATCCAATTTATCAAGAACTGATTGAGGTACAGTTTTATGCCATAAAGTTTCATTTTCTTCTTGTTGATCATGTAATGATAATTTTGAAACAGCTCTTTTTAATCCACCTTGAGGTTTTAAATTTAATCTAGCTTGTTGTTCCAATCTTCTTGGACATGCAATACTATAACATAACTTATTTCTACTACATGTTGGTGAATAGCAATCAGTTAAAATTGTGAATACACCATTAACACCAGTTTGTTGACTTGCACTTAATTCTTTAGCATTTATGGTTTTATTACCAATACTAGTAGAATTTTGATTTTGATATTCAGCTGACGATGGTTGATCAACTTGTTGTGGTAATTGTTGAGTTAAGAAATGATCATGTAATTGATTTGAATCAACAAATGAACCATGCTTTGAATTTAATGCAGAATTCAGATTGCTATGATTACCATCTTGATCGAAAAAATCAACATCATTATAAACATGATTGAAAGCATATACCTCATGAGCTGAATCTCTTAATCTATGATTATAAGTCACGTCATGGAAAAACTTTTGAGCATCTAATGACCTACCTAATAATAATGCTAAATTACGATCATTTGTACGTATTATACGACATAAAATATCAACAGCCATTTTACCAGTAAATGTATCATGATATTCTAAACCATCTTTTGTATTTATAGTCAATATTATAACTTCTTTAAATAATTTTGCAACCTCACTCAAAATTGCTGGATATATTGATGATTTATGTTGAAATGATGGTGTTAAAGTTTTTGAACTAGAATGAGTATTTGATTTCTCTACTTTATTGTTTGAAATTGATGATGAAGACCCAAATTTTTTAGTTGATAATGAAGATAATTTTGAGATTGATGTAAATGATCGAGATTTTGAGGACAAGGAGAATGTATGATGTAGTGATGTGCTTGAATTTTGACTGCTATTTGAGTTTTTATTATTATTGATATTATTTGCTTCTTGTATTTTATTCTTCATTGACGTGGATGATAAAGATTTTGTTCTTGAGTCATTACTTATATAATTAGGTTGAGATTGAGATGGTTGTGAAACAATTCTTCTTGATTCTTGATTATTATACAATACTTGATCATTCATAATTGGTGGTAAATTACTCGAAGGAGCTTTTCTAACTTGTCGACGAGGTTGTTGCGGTATTGAAGATTGGGATTGTTGTGGTTGAAAATTAGGTATTGGATTATTACTTACAGGATAAGGTGGTTGTGGTAGTGGTTGAGGTTGTGGTTGAGGTGGTGGCTGAGTTGGTTGATTATGGTATGGCAAAATTGGAGGTGATTTATTATGCGTCAATTGTTGTGGTCTATTTTCAAAAGGCTGAGGTTGCATAGAATTACCATAAGTCAATGAAGATGCTGATCTATTTTTCAGACTATAATCTCCATTTGTAGTAGTAGATTGATAATGTTGATGTGAATCATTAAAATAGCCTAGCAGGTGCTGTCGATTATTTCGATTTTGATATTGTTCAAATTGAAAATTATATGGTTGTTGTTGTTGAATTGGATTTTGTGATTGATAATTTGGATGACTAAAAGGCTGATTTTGTTGTTGATTCATTAAAAATGGTTGATTATGACTCGGGCTTTCCGGTTGTATGTAAGTATTTGAATGTATAGATTGATTATTTAAAGATTGTTGACTATATTGAGCACTTGGATTTAATGTATGATACAATGGTTGTTGTTGTTGTTGCTGAGACTGGTGCTGTTGTTGATGTTGTTGTTGATTAGGTATTGCTTTGTAGTTGCGATCATTTTGTTGATTTAAAAAAGCCTGAGGTAATAAATGAGTTGGTAAATTTACTGCATTTACCATTGGGTTAATTGTATTATTATTGGTCCTATTATTAATATAAGAATTCAGCAGCTGTTGTTGTTGTTGTTGTTGTTGTAGTTGTTGTTGTTGTTGATGATTTGTTGCTTGGTTACAATAATTACAATTTGTAGAATTATTGGAGGACATAATAAGAAATTTTATTTTTATTTTTATTTTTATTTTTATTTTTTTTTTTTTTTTTTATTTTTTTATTTTTTTATTTTTTATTTTTTGATATTTTTCAATTTATTAATGAAATTTGTTTCATTTATTGCATAATTAGATCCTTTTATATTTATATGGATATGTAAGGGTCTTTAGACTATATCGAATGAACAAATCATCGAATTTGCAGAGTTTGAGCTTATACGATTGGTAGTTATTCCAAAATATGATTCAAAGGCGTTTCCATTCAAATAACCAATTTTATAGTTTCAGTTTTTCTTTCTTCTTTCTTCTTTCTTCTTATTTGTCTGTTTATTTGATATTCTCCGTTCTAATTTATATTATAATTGGGGTTTGCAACCATTTTTGATCAATCATTTGTTATGCTAAGAATTTCTATTTCAACATCTGATTTTGTTACATTGTGTAACAATTTCTAAATTTAGGTACATTCCGTCAAATGAAATTGTAAACTAAAACACAAAATAGAATAAGTCAATTTTAGTAAGTGGTTATACATATAAATATTTAGAGCCCTTTTTGATTGGAGAAGAAGTTGAAACACTATTAACTTAATTGCTGCAAAAGAAAAATTTGATCTCTCGTTTAGTTCGTTAAAAGAATTATATTGTAAATTAATAAAATATAAGGTACACAATCCAACATGAAAAGCTTAAAATCAATTATAAGTGTTGTATTACATCGAAGAATCATTCAGTGATTTCCATACTTCTGACCGAATAATGTCTCCATCCTGCAAACAAATCGCCGAGGACTTAAAATGTCTTTCAAGTACGATTTAGCCCGTTAAATTCTGAAATAAAGCTACAATTCAACCCCGTCGTTAGATGATCTATAGATGGTGGCTGAATAGTAATCTATATCATCTGCTTATCATTGCATTGTACATCTAAATTTTAACATCTTGTGAGTGTTAAAAATGAAAGCAAAAATTTGATGCAACTTTATTTTTTCTGTTGATAATTAAAATCAAAATTTATTTTTATCAATTGATATCAAGAAACCAAAATATAATAATAATGGGACAACAATCATCTGCACCCAAAATAACACAACAGGATAAAGCTATATTCCAATTAAAACAACAAAGAGATAAAATAAAACAATATCAGACAAAATTAAATTACATAGTCATTAAACAAACAAATTTAGCTAGAAAAGCAATTACGAACGGTCAACCAGATAGAGCTAAATTTTATTTGCAATCAAAAAAACGACAAGAAAGTGTAATTAACAAAACTTATGAACAATTGACAAATCTTGAGAAATTAATAGATACTATTGAATTTAAATTGATTGAAAAAGATGTAATTTATGGTTTAAAACAAGGTAATGAAATTTTAAATAAATTAAATAATGAAATGAAAATTGAGAAAATTGATAAGATATTGGATGATCTAGAAGATAATAAGATTAAAGTTAATGAAGTAAGTGAAGCTTTAGGTAGTGGACATAATTTGAATAGAGCTGAAGAAGATGAAGTTGATGCAGAGTTTAATAAATTAAATGAAGAAATAAATGGTGTATCAGAGAGTAAATTACCAGAATTTAATCAATTAAATGAAGAAATAAATGGTGTACCAGAGAGTAAATTACCAGAAGCTCCAAAAGATAAAATTATGCCAGAAATACCGACTAATGAGATACAAGAACCAACAAAAGAAGAAGAAGCATCAAAAGAAGAGCATAAAAATGAACCAATTGCAATATAGACAACTGACTTTACTTTATAGACATTTTAAACTAATAGACTTATTTATAATACATGTATTTAATTTAGATAGCCATTTTTTAGTCAGTAATCATTGTCTTATTTACATTTTTCTATTTACAATCTTAAATTTGCAACCATTCTAAAAATTCTGGGGTAAAATAACTTATAATTAATCTTGCACCAGCTCTTAAAAAACCATTATGAGCTTCAAATGCAACACCTTTTAAATCAACAACTCCCTTTTCAGCTGCTGCATGTAACATTGAATATTCACCACTGACATGATAAGCACAAATTGGATAATCTTTACATAATTTAGCTGCATCACTAACAATATCTAAATAAAAAGTACTTGGTTTAACAATAACTGCATCAGCACCTTCATTCATATCTCTAATTAAAGCTCTTCTTGCTAAACCAGCACCACCTGGAGGTAATTGATATGCTTTTCTATCACCATGTGAAGGTGCTGAACCAGCAGCATCTCTAAATGGACCATATAAATTACCTGAAAATTTAGCAGCATAAGACATAACTAAACATTTATGAGCTAAATTTGAATTAATTAACCCAATTTTAATATCTTTAATTCTACCATCCATCATATCACTAGGAGCAACTGAATTTGCTCCTGCTTTTGCATAATTAACAGCAACTGCAGCAATTCTTTCAACTGATTTATCTCTTATTAAACTACCATCTTCTGCTAATATACCACAATGACCATGATTAGTATATTCACAAAGACAAACATCACACATTATAAATAAATCTGGAAAATTTTGTTTAAGTGCTTTTATAGCTAATATTACTGGACCTTCTGGGTCATCAGCTGCCGTACCTAAAGGATCTTTGACTCCTGGTTTTAAAGGTACACCAAATAATATAACAGCTCTTAAGCCTTTATCAACTAATGTTTTAACGTATGGAAGTAATTTATTTATACCAAATCTTTTAATATTTGGTAATGCAGGTATTTCAGTTTCTTCATCTGGTAAATCACTAACAAATAATGGGAAAATAAACATATTTTTAGTTAATTGTCTTTCTTGTTGCCATTCTCTACTCAATGGATGATTATAACCACCTTGTAAGACTGAAGATATCTCAGTACCAGTTGAAGGTAAAAATTCAGCTTGATGAACCATGGTAACTATTTGTCAACTGATAATGAAAAGTGAAAAATTAAAGATCTCTCGTTTAAGAATTTTTTTCACACTAAGAAATTTGAAAAATAGAGTATGGGGCTAAATCATATAAAATAATATGCGTATAATTATTCTAAATTAGTCAAATAGTCCCTTTCTTAATCTCATGGGTTTAATTTCACTTCAATCCTTCTTTTCTTGCAATTTTTTTTCATCTTTTTCTAATGAATTTGGTCTTAATTTATCATAAACAATTGATTGACCTAATAAAACAGAATTTAATATAAATGAAGTTGTATAACCTGCTAATAATATCTTTTCATCAATCGTATTCTTATTCTTTTTAGCTTTTGTAGAATAATCAGTAAATGAAGTATAAACTCTAATTAATGAACCAACAACATTCGCTTTTAATACAACATCACTTAAATGTTTAGCAGTTTTCAATTCGTAATTGACTTTAATTTGTGGATATTTTGCAATTATTGAAATTGGAATATTTAAAATTTCTAAAATTGAAATTAAATTAGACGGTGCTAATTTTGTAAAGAAAATAGTTGAACCAATCATTATACCTAATGGTGTAGCTAAACCTTCAAAAACACTTAAAAATTTATCTTTATAAGATGGAATTGAATTAATATCTTTAATTTCTCCATTATCTCTTAATCTATAATATTTCATTAATAAAATAATTATAGCATTTTGTATACCTAATAATAAACTTTCACCATAATTAATAAATGGAATATTATGTTGAGAATTAAATGAAACATGAATTAATGAATTTAATGTATCAAGTGATAAACTTTCTAATGATAAACCTTTTGCAACTTTAATTCTATCAGTTTCTGATTTAATTAATAATTTTCTAATTTGTGGAATTCTAATAAATGATGAAACACCAACTTGTAATGCTGATAATAAAGCAGCTAATACTTTACCAATTCCAATTGCTTTAACTTGAGACCAAGCCATATTTAATATAACTTTATTTGAAACATCCGGATCAAATAATAAATTAATTAACATAAAAATTGGTGAACCCATTGTGGAATATTCAATTGATTGACTTGTATTGATTAAGAAGAAAAGTGATGAATAAATTAAGATTGATAAATAGCAAAGATCAGCTGTTAACTCAATTGTTGATGCAGCTGTTTTAAAAATGATTTTCAATTGAATAAATAAATTTATTTTCTCCACCTTTTGTGTGAGATTTAAAATTTTTGTCCAATTTTGGGCAAAAACTGTAGAACGGAGTTATGGCGATAGTGGTGCAAAAGCTTAATCCTCTACGGTTGTTTACTGGCCCTGAATTTTAACTAGTTTTATGCCACACCCAAAATTTTCAAGAAAATATGCATGTGTAAAATAATTACGAAATAGAGGAGCGCTACCAACAGGATAAACCGATTTTGAATATCTAAAGTTAGCACTTGGCTCTTGAACTAAGACATTTGACAGGAAATGTTTCATACAAATGTTACTCAGAATTTTGCAATTAATAGATTGGTTTTAATTTCTAGCTTTGATGTTGTTGAAAGATTTTTTTCGAATTTGGCTTCTTAGTTTACGGCAGACTCTGAGTTACTTGATTAGGGAAAATATCATAAAAATTTCTTAAGCAGATATATCGTATGTAGTTAATCATAGTCAAAAGGATCCGATTAGTCACATTTGTCAACTTGACATATACTATACTCGACAACTGAGATTCGTTTATCTTGTACATTTGATTTGTTTATCCAACAGTGAATTCAGATCTATAAAGTGCAAGACTACATAAAATTAAAGTTATTTCAATTTCACTTTGATACGATTCATTTGTTCATTCTACATTATCTACTAGCTTTTATATCTGCGTCTAAATCAGTCCTAATGAAATCGTATTCGAATTAACTTTTTATAAAAGCACACCTGCTCCCACAAGATTCATTCAGCAACATACATACCTTCGAATTCATCTGATGTTCAGCCTGGTGAAGTCTTTAAAGATAGAGATACTACGACTGCCAGTAGAAAATATATAATATTACCTCAATTTCATATTTTAGCAAAACGCACTTGGTAGCGATTTTTATTGCAGCCAAATTATTTTAACTTGAGAGCATAATCATATGCTTAGTTTTGCTATTTTAATGGAATCAACGTCTCCTTAAGGTGGATTAATAGTTCCAAACAATGGAATAAGCGCTTGAGTATGTACTGCTTTTGTTTTTAGATGTACAGCTATTTTGTGTACTATGATATTGATATATTCGACGCTACCACTTTTTAAAGTTCAACGCCATGACAATTTACGACTACAAACAATTTTAACATCTCAAAATACTCCAAGGTCAAGTAAATTAGTTTTAAAAATACATTTCAAAAGTTTTTTTTGTAAGTAGAATCTGCAATGAGTAATGTATTATAAGTCACCACATATCTTAAATATACACATACAATCTAACCATACTGGTATTAGTTTAAATCATTATTGATCATTTTTTTTATTCTTATTTAATTTTTCCAACTTCTTCTTCAATTCTTCTTCTGTAGTTTCTATATATTTCAAATTTTCCAAATGTAAATTCAACAATTTGACAATTTCTTCAATTGGATTTTCTTTTACTTCATCTTTAGCAGTAGCATCTTTATCCCCAACTTTACCATCTTTCTTATCTTTATTTATACCTTCACTTCCAGCTAATTCATTTATCAAATTTTTGTTGAATGTATCACTAACTGCATTAATTTCATTAATTAAAGTGCTTAGATTCTCACCTAAATCATCCAATCTCTCATCTAATATTTCGGCATTATGATAAGCCTTCTCTCTTAATTTATCAGTCACACTCAAGGAAGAAGTATTTTGATTTGTATTTGTGGAATCTTTATTTTCGCTTTGTATTAATGCACTTGCAACTTGACTATTATTTAAACTACTTGAATTTAATTCAATTACATTCAATAGCGTATCTGTTTGCTGTTCGTAATTATCCAATACTTTTTCTAATTCATCTTGTTGATTTTCAACAAAAAATAAATGTTGATCAATTTTATTTTGTAATGATTCAGCTTCTAAACAATCTTGATTCAATTTGAATACTTCATCTCCACTTTCAACTAACTTTAAATCCCATGCTTTTACTTTCTCAGTATAAGATCCAAATATTTTACTTGTAGCAGTTAATTGTTTTGACCATTTAACAATCAAATCACCCATTGTTTTATTATCTATTGAAACAGGTATTGGTTCAATCTTTGTTGGTCTTAAATTTGGTTGTGTTTCTGGATTTGAAGTTGTTGTGGTTGAAGTTGTTGTGGTTGATGCGGCAGATGTAGGTATTTTAGTCTCTTCCTTTTTTAAATCTTCTGGTTTTTTACCAAATAAATTAGTAGTTCGTTTTGATTCATCATCTTTTTTAGCACCAAAAGAGAAACCGGATGTAGCTGGTTTATCTTTATCTTCGTCTTTTTTAGCACCAAAAGAGAAACCGGATGTAGCTGGTTTATCTTTATCTTCGTCTTTTTTAGCACCAAATGCAAAACCAGATGGTTTGGCTGCATCATCTTTTTTGGCAGCACCAAAACTGAAACCTGGAGTTGCTGGTTTATCCTTTTCATCATCTTTTTTAGCACCAAATAATCCACCAGTTGATGCAGCTGGTTTATCTTCATCTTTTTTAGCACCAAATGAAAATCCACTACTTGCAGATTTACTAGCATCATCTTTCCTTTCAGTTGTAGCAGCACCAAATGAAAAAGCAGGTTTATCTTTATTTTCTTCTGGTTTTTTAGCACCAAATGAGAAATCTGCACTTGCTGGTTTATCTTTATTTTCTTCAGGTTTAGAAGCACCAAATGAAAATAATGGTTTAGCTGCATCATCTTTCTTTTCTGTAGAAGCACTAAATGAGAATCCAGCTGGTTTATTAGCTTCATCTTTCTTTTCAGTTGTTGTAGTTGATGCAGCGAATGAAAAAGAAGGTTTATCTTTATTCTCATCTGGTTTTTTAGTACCAAATAAACCTCCAGTAGTAGTTGAATTGTCATCTTTTTTAGCTGCTCCAAATAAATTGCCACCGGTTGATGTTGAACTATCATCTTTTTTAGCACCAAATGTGAAACCACCACTTGGTTGTGTTGTTGCTGGTGCTGGTGTATCATCTTTCTTAGCTGCACCAAATGAAAATCCAGAGCTTGGTTTATTTTGTTCAGTATTTGTAGATGCACCAAATGAAAATCCAGAGGCTGGTTTATTTTGTTCAGTATTTGTAGATGCACCAAATGAAAATCCAGAGGCTGGTTTATTTTGTTCAGTATTTGTAGATGCACCAAATGAAAATCCAGAGGCTGGTTTATTTTGTTCAGTATTTGTAGATGCACCAAATGCAGGTGTTGATGATTGACTATTACTATTCAGACCAAATGCAAAAGCAGGTGGTTTATTAGTTTCTGTAGTTGAAGTTGTTGGTTTAGGTCCGAATAATCCACCGGGTGGAGTTGTAGTTGAATTTGAATCATCTTTTTTAGCACCAAATGAAAAACCTCCTACTGAGGCTGGTTTATTAGCATCTTCTTGTGGTTTACTACCAAATCCAAAACCACCAGTAGTTGGAGCAGGAGTGGATGAAGCTGATTTAGATGCAAATAAACCACCAGTAGTAGTATTCCCTTGATCTTTATTTTGACTTCCGAATAATCCACCACTAGTATTTGCATTTGCATTACTTTGACCAAATATATTTCCACTACTTGCATTAGTTGCATTTGTTTTACTCTGACCAAATATATTTCCAGTATTTGCATTTGAATTTGTATTCTCAGCTGGTTTTCCAAACATGCTACCTGACGCGTTTGAATTTCCAAAAGCTGGAGTCGTTGTTGATGTATTTGTATTTGATTGACCAAAAGGGGAACTTGTATTATTATTTGTGCTTCCAAATGCAGATGTAGATTGTGCATTATTTGACCCAAAAGCTGTAGTATTATTGTTATTGTTTGTATTACTTGCCCCAAATCCTCCAAATGCGGGTTTATTTGATCCAAAAGCTGATGTACTATTCTGATTTGATCCAAATGGTGAAGCATTATTATTTGTATTTGATGATCCAAATGCATTCATGTTTCCGAAGCCACTGGCGTTATTATTTGATTCAGCTGGTTTACCAAATGAAAAACTAGAATTTGTGTTTGTATTATTATTATTCAGTGAAAATCCACTGAATGGATTCTTCTTTGCATCGTTTGAGTTATTACTACCAAACATTATTTAATATTGATTGATATATGATATTTGCTAGTAGTAAGCGATGTTATGTTTTTTTGATCAACTAATTTTTTTTTTTCAGTACGCATTTTGAAACCAGGATAATGACACTGAAAATTATTAAAAGTTACAATTGTGAGAGATATAAGGTAGCAGGTAAACTACAAGCTGGTTAGATATGTATAGGAGATGCGGCAGTTTCATATGAAACACTTTTCAAAACTCAATTGCTCAAATTGAACGTGTTATTGTCGATCGCGGGCTGTAAAATCAAAAATCAAGAGCTCAACAAGTTTCTTTATAAATCAATTGTCTTATGTATTACCTCTCAAACCCTATTAATCTATTTCTTTTGACCTTGAGCAGCAACTGCAGCAGCACCAGCTTCAGCAGCTTCAGGATCTAAATAATAAGCCGGCTTAGTTGGTTTTAAATTTGAATCTAATTCATAAACTAAGGGAATACCAGTTGGAATATTTAAACCAGCAATATCATCATCAGAAATATTATCTAAATGTTTAACTAAACCTCTTAAAGAATTACCATGAGCAGCAATTAAAACAACTTTATCATCTAATAAATCACCAGCAATTTCATCTTGCCAATAAGGTAATAATCTATCAATAACTAATTTTAAAGATTCAGTTAATGGTATAACAGAAGGATCAATATCATTGTATCTTCTTTCACCAATTTGTGAATATTCATCTTTTGGATCAATTTTTGGAGGAGGAACATCAAAAGATCTTCTATAAGTTTGAAATTTTTCTTTACCAAATTTTTCTAAACATTCAGCTTTATCTTTACCTTGTAAAGCACCGTAATGTCTTTCATTTAATCTCCAAGTTCTCTTAACAGGGACATATAATTGATCAGCTTCATCTAAAGCAATATTAGCAGTTTGAATAGCTCTTGATAATACAGAAGTATGTAAAACATCAACATTAATACCAGCTTCTTTAATTAATTCACCGGCTCTTTTAGCTTCTTTTCTACCAGTTTCTGATAATTTACAATCAACCCAACCAGTAAATAAATTTTTTTCATTCCACTCTGATTGACCGTGTCTAACTAAAACTAATTTTGGCATTTTTAATGTAATTGTTCTTTTAATTGTTAATTTGCTGTAAGAAAAAGCGTGGTATAAAAAAAAAGGGTTGGGTGGAAATTGGATTGAATATAAATAGTGCGAATGAAAATTATCACCAGTCGTATTTTTCACATTATGACTCGGTCAACAGGTAGCCATGGAATTATAACCACGAGATGTTATATATTTAATACTACTCTATTCAAATGCTATATTGTTATTTTCTTCAATCGCAGTTAAATTCTTATGATCTTGTGGATTAGCTGCTGATTCATATAATGTTATAATTGGATCTTTATTTAATTCTGTAAATTCACCTCTTAATTCAACCGAATGTAGCCAAACTTCATCTTCATCATCATCATGTATAGATTCAATGAAAATAGTTAATGTTTGAACACCTGTAAATTTATGTCTTGAAACAAAATGTTCAACAAATTCATTATCTGATTCTAAAATAGTAGGTAGTTCATCTTCATCATCACATTGCACTCCAATTTTTGGATGTTGTAATATTTGTACTGGTTTCTTTATTTCAACATTATCAAAATCTATTGTTTTATCATTTTTAAATAATTTTATAACTCTAGGACAATGTAAATCACCATTTGATCTAATTATAATCGAATATAATTTAACACTACCATTTAAAAATGGTATATTTATAATTAATTGTGAATCACAATCAGATTTTATAATTGGTTTTATTTCATATTCATTATTTGAATCTTTAAATAATTTACTTAAGTCATCATTTGGATTTTGTAAATTTAATGCCGTGACTTTGAATGTATCAATTTTAGAATTTAAAGATTGGGAAGTATTTGTAGGTATTGGAGCTATATGATCATGTCCATGATCTTCATCACCGTGATTATGATTATGATTATGATTATGATTATGATAATGTTCGTCTTCGCAAGACATGGTAAATATTAAATGTAAGTAAACGTGTAAATGTGTGTGGTTCCAATTTTTTATTACGGCAAAATTGTAGAACTATATAAACATAAAAACATAACCAATACACCCCAAATAGTTAATACTAATGATAAATTCTTAAATATCTTTTCTAATATTGTCGGATCAGCCGATTCTGATCCAATTAATTTATATCCAAATAATCCAGGTAATATAAATGAAATTGCAGTTGATCCTGTGGCTCCAACTATCGCTAAAACTAAAGCAAATGATTTAACAGATAATGCTAACACATATCCAATAAATAATAATGATATAGTTATAATTTTGAAACTTTCATCTGAAAATGGTACAAAATGATTAGATTTTATGATTGTTGTTTCATCATTTTCTGTATTTAATAATGTAGTTGATTCATTAACTTCTTCTTCTTCCTCTTCTTCTTCTTTGTTTCTTAAATTTGTCTTTATCCAGTAATATATATTATTAATTGAGATTCTAGCTGGATGTAACATTAATGGAAATGAAAAAGTAATCATAAATACAATACATAATTTCCCAATTGTAGTTGATAATCCATTTGGATAACTTAAAATTATATTACCATTTACATTTGATCCAAATGTTAAATAACCAGTTAATCCAACAATTATAAATGATAAACTTGATGATAAAATTGCAATATTAATTAATTTTGATAAATTAATTAATGATTTATCTTTAGCTTCATTGATAATTGAGAACATATTTTGATGCCCAGTAAAGGCAAACACGATAATTGAAAAAGTACTAAATACGTTTGTTAAACTCGTTGGCATTAATATAATAATACCTTCTCTTGGAATATCTTGAATAAAATAATGAACAACTACTAAAATTGACATGTAAAAAATTGCAATTAGTGCCAAGATTGAAGTGTATTTTAAAGAATCTAAATTGCTTAAAAATGATAATGGAATAGTGAAAAATAATGAAACAATTAACCAAAAGGTTGAATAATATTCTGGTTTAATATATGGTAAGGATGTAATTATACCTGGCATTATATCTCTAATCAAAACCAAATATGAAACAGCACATCCAAAACATTGAATTGCAATTGCAATATCAAATATAACTGATAAATGTGGGTATGTAATTGAACATAAATTGAAAAAAGTAGCATGACCAACGGGAATATATTTTGAGACATAACACTGTAAAAATAATCCATATCCAGAAGTTAAAGCAGCAATGATAATAATTATAGTACCAAATATAATACCTTCAGTTGAATAAGCCAAAGGCATCAGTAATAACCCAGCGCCAATTATAGTTTTAATTAAACTAATTGAGGATGAAATTGATGATGCACCACCAACGTTTTGATTTAATTCATTATATACTCCAGCCATCTTTTAATCAACACCAAATACTAGTTGGATATTAGTTTTGCTTCAATATTGATGATATAATGTATAATAATTAATAATTAAATAATTTTTTGTTTTGTTTGGATCAAATCGCAAGGCGGAATGCGACACCAAATTTGGTATTTAGTCCGAGAAAATTGCTATAAACAAGAATGGCAGTTAAATAAATAAACAGTTGCAATTAAATAAGTAAACAGTTGCAATTAAATAAGTAAACAGTTGCAATTGAATAACCTGAGACTGAGTTGAAAACTCTAAATTGTTGAGTAGACGCAATAGGGAAGAATCCATTGCATTCAGAGTACAACGTTGAATAGATTCGTTAGAATCACGCAGATTTAAAAAATCTGGGGTATTTATCAAAATTCTGACAACTAGTGTTGACTGAGTAGAGAATTATGGATCATCTTAAGTAACTACAGACTCTATATCTTTTTGTGCTTAATGAAACAGCTTTGCTTTTCCCTTTGTAACTACATTATAAATATTGTACCAATATATGATAAAAGATATAAAAGATATAAATATTGTACCAATACATAATAAAAGATATAGAAGATATAAAGGAAGCTTTTGATCGAGAGCCCGGTAATTTCAACGATTTAATATGTATTGTAGTTCTTGGAATCAATCGATTGAGGTTGATTTTTCAGTTGTTAATCAAAAGACATTGCGCACTGTTTATGAATTATTGCAAAAAACTGAAAATATAAGAATAAAATCCCTTTTTGCAAAAAGTATGGAGTTAATAGTATTCCGTAAAGTATAACATCTTCAAGACTATGTATCTCTAAGAAGCTAGCACCTTGCAAGAGTAGTAACATTCAATCCTCAAATGAATTAAATGTCTCACACCTATTTAGCCTTAGGGGGTGTAAAATTATGCATAATCTCGTATCGAAAAAAAGCAACCAAAAAAAAATAAGAGATCTGCACACCCCCTAAATATTTATTTGCACCCAAACGATATCAATATGATACAGTTAAGAGTGCGATATGTTACTGAAAAAATTGGTAGGAAAAGTAACCACTCTGAAATAAATGAAACTAAGGCATCCGCGAGAGTACTCTATATATGATCTGATCCAAAGAGAAACTCAAATATGACTGTTTTCAGTGATTAGGATTGATTCACGGATATATGATAGTTCCTTGATTTAAATCATTGACAACACCTAAGACATCTGAGACTTGGTTTGGTCCTCTTAAAATAAAGACACTTGTTCACAGTTCAAATTGTGGATCTACATTACGAATAACTGCGATTACGAGTGTATAATAAGAAGGAACTGGTATAATTTCTGTTCTAACACTGATTCAAATGCATATAAATTGGTAGATCTCTCTCAAAATATTCGAATTTAAGTATGACATCACAAATTTACCAGTTCAAATTTGGAAGTATCCAAACCAGATTTAGTTTTATACAGTACTAGTTTGAAAATAGATAATGTCGCAAAAGCTACCCAGCTGGGTATTTTCTGGGTGTTTAATTATAACTCATATCTTTCCAAATACTAGTTTTGATTATTTGTCTTGGATGAATAGTCAATATAAGACTAATTATTACATTCCTTGCCCAATGATTAACCGTATCGTCTGAATTTAATACTAGGAAAGTCGTACTAGGGTATAAGAAAAGTCTCATTCGCATAAAAAAATGGCAAAAAAAAAATAACAATAACGAAATAATAAAAAAAAAAAACGAAGCTTTTTATAAAATAATATTAACGAATTGATTACTTGGAATATTATATTATAAACAGATTGATCATTATTTTTTAATAAAGGAGCTTAAATTTTTAATTTAGAATCTTAATACAACATTAATTTTATTTATATCAACTTCATCAATTTCAACATCAGTTATTTATTTCCCACGACAACTGATTACTTACTTATCACAACATATTAATTATTTTCACTTTCAATTATTTTCACTTTCAATTATACTAGCATAATATATAATGTCATCAGATGGAGAATTTACGAGAACTCAAATATTTGGGACAGTATTTGAAATTACCAATAGATATACTGATTTAAATCCAGTCGGGATGGGAGCTTTTGGATTAGTTTGTTCAGCAATTGATAAATTAACTGGTCAAAATGTTGCAGTTAAAAAAATTATGAAACCTTTTTCAACTTCTGTATTAGCTAAAAGAACTTATAGAGAATTAAAATTATTAAAACATTTAAGACATGAAAATTTAATTACTTTAGATGATATTTTTATTTCACCATTGGAAGATATTTATTTTGTTAATGAATTACAAGGTACTGATTTACATAGATTATTAACTTCTAGACCTTTAGAAAAACAATTTATTCAATATTTTACTTATCAAATTGTAAGAGGTATGAAATATATTCATTCTGCTGGTGTTATTCATAGAGATTTAAAACCTTCAAATATTTTAATAAATGAAAATTGTGATTTAAAAATTTGTGATTTTGGTTTAGCAAGAATCCAAGATCCTCAAATGACTGGTTATGTTTCAACAAGATATTATAGGGCTCCAGAAATTATGTTAACCTGGCAAAAATATGATACTGAAGTTGATTTATGGAGTGTTGGTTGTATATTGAGTGAAATGATTGAAGGTAAACCATTATTCCCTGGTAAAGATCATGTTCATCAATTTTCAATTATAACTGAATTATTAGGTTCACCACCGGCAGATGTTATTGATACAATTTGTTCAGAAAATACTTTAAGATTTGTTCAATCATTACCTCATAGGGATCCAATTCCATTTAATGAAAGATTTGCAAATTGTAATCATGTTGAACCTGAAGCAATTGATTTATTAGCAAAATTATTAGTATTTGATCCAAAAAAGAGAATTAGTGCAGCTGAAGCTTTAACCCATCCATATATGGAACCATACCATGATCCAACAGATGAACCAATATGTGAAACTAAATTTGATTGGAGTTTCAATGATGCAGATTTACCAGTTGATACTTGGAGAGTAATGATGTATAGTGAAATATTAGATTTTCATCAAAGTATTGGTGTTGGTGGTAGTGGTATTGGTCCAGATCAACAAGAACAAATAGCACAACAACAACAATCAATAAATAATGGTGAAAAGATAGAAAATTTTAAACAACAACAGCCTCAAGAACAAAAGATTTGAATGTAAACCTAGTAAATATTAAAATAGAAATAGAAATAATAAATGTAGAAATTTACGAGTTCAACTAAAAAAAAAAAAATAAACATTACCTCTCAACGAATTGGTTGTAAACAAAACACGTTCAATGTCAAATGATTCTTATACTAAGACACTAAATGAAAGCCTAAAGGTATCATTAACATATGAAAAATCTATTGATCAATTTCAAAATTGTTTACTTACTTTTCAAAATACTTCAACAAGAAATATAATTGTTAACCCTACGAAAGAATCAGAATCTAGTTGGTTCAATATATTTGGTTCAAAAGCTGAAGAATCATTATCAAAGTTACATATACAAGATGATGATCAACTGTTAAAGTTATTTCTCGGGAAAATTCAGTTATTTGGTTATATTGTGTTAAATTATAGTTTCAATACCGATACGTCTTCATTAGAATTAACTAAACAGTCTCAATGGTGGAATAATCATGAATATTTGACTCAATATTTTCATAAAGATGATCCAGATAAAGATGAGTCAGATAACCAATGGAAAATGGATCTAGTTAAATTTATAGACGAAAATCAAGAAAACAAATTAATCATAAATGGTAAATTGGGTGGTGTCAATGAGTTGATAATCGATAATAATGAACAAAAAACAACTAATAATGTCTATTTATTAAATGATTTAATAAGTAATTTCAATTCCAAATCAAAGCCAAAAACTGAAGTTGAAGTTTCATTACAAGATGTTATTGATTCAATTTTACCGATTTATACAACACCACAATGCTTATTATTTACAGATTTGATAATACCGAAGAATTCTCAAAGACAATTTAAATTCAAGTTTCCAATTAATAACAAGCTACCACCTAGTTATAATACAAGACTGACTGGATCAGCATGTGATCAAGGGTGGATAAGTATTAGATATTCACTAATTATAAGTCTTATTGAAGATAAAGTCACCAATCAATCTAAATCAATTTATTTCCCATACAATGTTATACCCAAAAGATACGGTGTTCATAAATATTATCAAAGGAATTTTTTAACAGAGCCAATTGCTTTGGATAAACATTGGAAGATAGAAGAAAATGAAGGTATCAATGGTGTAGCAAGTGACATCGATCCAGATTCAAATAAAGAAGCGTTCTTACAAGATTTATCAACATTGATTGAATCCGATTTATATAATATGCCGAAAATTTCAACTAATGAACGAAGAAAAAGTAGTGTTAAGAATGGATTTGATGAAGAATTTGATCAACAACTATACAAATCACAACTACCACAACATTTAAAGACTCAATATCAATTACGTGTAAATAATCACGAATTATGTATAATTGCAATATCAAAACCTTATTTTCATTTAGGTGAAGATATAAATTTTATCATTGACATAAATTCATTAAATAGAGTTTCAACAAAAAATGTTGGGATTATAAGTTATATTGAAGCATATGAAATATATCATTTAAACAATGACTCACAATATATAAATCCTTATAAAGTTACAAGTAATATCAAAATCAATTCATTTTCATCATCAATTTTAAATAAAGAAAAAGTATTAATAAATGATTATATCAACATACCCAAATTTTTATCATCACAATTTCAAAGTGAAAATTTAATGGATTTAAAATATTTCCTAATTTTTCAATTTAATTTAATTGAAGATCTAAATGAAGATGAAGATTTGAAAAATGACGTTACTGAATTAAATGAAGAGGAGATACAATTGAATAATGGTACTAAGGCTGATGATAATTATGACAAGGTTACAAAATATTTAGAATCAAACAATGTCATTTATAAATTTGATAAAGTTGGATCTACCTATAAATTCAAAATACCTTTATATATATTACCATAGTAAGTATATAAATGAATAAGCCCGATTTCATTTAGTGTAAATCCAAAATCTATCAAGCTTAAAGTTTAATATCGGATGCAAGATTTCACTAATAATACACAAAAAATAACTACTACTTCGCTTCCAGAATCATTACTCTCTAATCCTTTGTTTAACAAATTCGTACTGAATTAATACCATTTTAGTATTGTTTTAAATTTCTACATCCACAGTTATGAGCCTTTGATTTGAAATCTCATCTTCTTTCTGTTTTAAGAAAATTCTTTTTACCCCTTATGCATTAGCTACCAAGTTCAGTAAAACGAAAAATTTAGGCTTAACAACAAAAAACAAATATAACTATTGTTGAAGGAAAATGATAATATACTGATATATAAAGTTTCGTAATTCCCAATTGATATATTATTCATCAGTTTTCTTTTCACTTTCATTTTTAGGCTACTTTTTTCTTGATTCAAATCAGTTTTTACTTTCGTTTATAAAGATCTAAAGATGAAGTTTTCAACTGTTATAGTATCAGGAATTACATTAATGTCAGGTCTTGTACTGGCTAGTCCTATGTCACCAGAATCAGATCCATTTGCTTTAGATGTTGCTCCGAGAGATCTTGAATCACTATACTCAATTAAAGAAAGAGATTTATTATCTACAGCAGAAAGTTTATTATCAGAAATTAATGTTACTTCAATTTTAGATAGTGTTGATTGGGAAAGTGTTGCTGGATTTGCCAACAATTTATTAACCGAAAATAATAATGTTCAATATTTAGATGATTTATTAAATTTTGTTGGTGATACTGATTTGGTTCCATTCCTTATTAGTTTTATTATAAGTAACAATTCTACACGAGCAATTGCTTATGATGTAGTTGTTGATTTATTAGGAAGTGGGAAAATTGATTTGACACCTGTTTTTGTTGCTTTAAAAAATTCAGGTTTAGCTTATGATTTAATTGCTGATTTAATTGAAAATCCAAATACTTTACCATTTATCGAACAAGTCGTTGGAGATTTATTTAGTGGAACTTCATTAGCTTCATTATTCGGCGGAAGTGGTTCATCAAATGCTGCAAATACTGTTATTGCAACTACTACTAGGGCAGCACAAACTTCAATTGATTCTTCATTACCAACTGTTTTATATAGTGCTGGTGCTATAAGTGGAGCAAGTGGAGCAAGCGGATCAGTTAATATTAATACGAATTCATTAGCTTCATTATTTTCACAAGCTGCAACTGAAGTTGGTACAGGTGCAAGTACTGCTCAAGCTACTTCAAATAGACCAGCTGCAACTACTTCAGCTGCAACTACTTCAGCAGCAAATAATGGTGGTGCTACTACAAGTATCAATTTTGCATCAATTAGTGGTCCAGCATTTTCATCATTACCACCTTCACAATTTGGTCAAGGTCCAACTACTATCAACTATTCAGTTTTGGGTTCATTAACTGCTGTTTTAGGTGGTAGTAGTAAAAGAGAATATGATGATAATGTTGAAAAAGTCTTAAGTGACATTCAATTAAGAAAAAGACAAGAAGATGAAGTTGAAAAAGCTCTTAAAATTATGAAAAGAGATAATATTGAAGATTTATTAACTACTATATTCTCATCAGTTGCAAGATCAAACGTTTTAAATACAACAATTGAATATTTAGTTACTGATTCAAGATTTGAATCAAGTGTTGTTTATTTATTACAAGGTCTTTTCTCAGATTTAGGTTCAACTTTATCAGGTCTTTTAAGTACTGATTGGTCATCATTAGCTCCATTAGTTAATGCATTATTAGATTCAGGTTTATTAAGTGATTTAATTACAAGAGCTCTTAATGATCCAGATTTAAAAAATGCAATCGTTAGAGATTTTGAACAATTATTTAAAAAAAGAGATGAAATTTTGAAAAGAGAACAACAACAATTTAATTCAAATTCAACTTTAGTTGCTTTTACAACTCCAGCAAATTCTTCAGTTCCAGTTATTACTCATGACCCAGAAAATTTTGGTATTTCAGGTCAACAATCAAATTTAATTAGTGTTTTAGCTGCTATGGGTTTAAGTGCATTGATGTTATAATCGGCTAAACTCTAAAAAATGTTTTTATACCACAATTTTTTATTCTTCATCGTTTCAATTTATTTTAATTCTTGATATTAGGTTAATATATACTTTTTATTTATAATTGTCCTTATTTTATAGAATTGAAGAGATTAGACTGATATTGAAAGTTTTCCTTCTGATCATATATGTAAATTTAAAGTTTCACTATCATCAGCCTCAAACCCAATGTAAACTTTGAAAGTTGGAAAATCGGGATCCTTTTCTTGTCCTTCCAGCCAGAGCTTTACTCTTACATTTTCCAGTAAGCCCATATTTTCATCCAAATCAACTACTTCAATCAATTTTATACATTTAAAGCTCAAAATGAGCTCGATTACCTTCACGTAATACATGACCTTGGCAGTCACATCCTTCTTTTTAACTCTTCTAGACTTGAATATTTGGAAAAATCAAGAAGTTTAAAACCCTCAATATTGATTATTTGTATCCTCCTTAAAGAACTAGGTAACTTAACGGATTTTTGGAAACGACATACAGTTAATATTAAACATTTTAAGTGCTCTAGCGATTATACTTACTTATACTTAAGTCAATGACAATATTCTCTAATGTAAATTCAACAACACCTTTGGACAAGAAACTCAAACGTACACCACTTCTTCTAATACAATATTCGAGATTTGAACTAAAAACGTGAACAGTACTTAAGCTATCAAGCTTTGGAATAAGTTCTTTTGATAGAACGACTCCTTTAAAAAACCGTAGATTAGGCGGTAAATGTAACGAATCGCTCATTACTTCCACAACTGAAGATACCTTAACTACCTGCAATTCAATAAATTAACCAAACGCATTTCGGCAATCAACACTAGTTTCTGTATCGAAGAATTTTTTAACATCGAATCTATCCTTTTATCTTCATCACTATTAAAAAAATCGTTATCTGAACTAAGCTCCAACTGCTTTAAGCTCACCATAATAGTATTGACAATCTTCTCAAACTGATGAATTACCGTATACCAATCCTGAACAGATAATTTTGATCACGGGATTGTAAGTCTACAGTTAATTATATTCTGAATGAATCATTATGAAGTTTAAAAAAATCAGTTCCCATCACAGCTCTCAAATGTAACTCCTTTAAATCTTGTGGTAGTTCAATTAATTGTTCATATAGACAGTTATTAATAAGCAAATATAACTCATCTAAAGATTTGGATAAAATATCGATTTTATTCAATTCAAATACACTTGATTCAAAAATCTAGACGCTGGAAACGTAAGATTTTGGACAATTCCATAAGTTTTATTCAAGCACAAACTAGTACCACGAACTCTTCTATGAAGATCCTAAAAATTTCATTTCTTACCAAATGTCCTATTGATCTTGAATAAACTAATTTTTTAACAATGACAGCAGATAATAATTTTACGTTGTAAAACCATTTCATCGGGAAGTGCATGGAGCATCTTTAGTCGCTTCTTAAACCAAAAATAACTTGATAACTAACATCTTGTTCGAGTATACTTGAAGTATTAACAAATCAAAATCTGCCATATATCAAATGCATATTAGCCTTCTAAGTCAAGCTTGCATAAATAAAATCAAACATATATTATCTTAATATTTACTCTAAAAAATCCAATCTATGTAATCAATCCAATTATAATACTCTACCAACTGTAGCACCTGTTGATTCTTTAGTTTGAACTCTTTTCAATGATTTTCCACCAGTAATTTGACCTAATAATGCATTAATATTTGCTGCACCACCAGTAGGTTGATTTCCCAATGTTGGAGGAGGAGGAAAAGGAGGAGGAGGTGGTGGAGCTCCAGTTGAACCATTATCAAATGAGGGTGGAGGTGGAGCAATATTTGATGATATAGGAGGAGGAGGAGGAGGAGGAGGTGGAGGAGGTGGTGGTGTAATTGACTTATTTGATGGTGTTTCATTTGATGATGGTAACGGTGGAGGAGGTGGTATAATTCCAGTAGGTAATGGAGGAGCTTGAGTAGGCATTGGAGGAGGTTCAAAACCAGTGGAATGCGGTTCTGGAGTTTCGAAATCAAACTCATCTGAGCTTTCGTTCTCATAGGTTGCAGTTCTTGGAATAGATACATGAGTTTCAGGTTGTGGAACTGGAGGTATATCTTGAGGTAAAGGAGGTGGTATTTTTTGTTGAGTTAAATCTGCATTTGATTCTACTTCTTCTTGTTTCGGTTTTGCAACTTGTCTTTCCTCCTTCTTTTCTTCTTGACTAGGCGGTTCAATAGGTTGCTCTTCTTGACTAGGCGCTTTAATAGGTTGTTCTTCTTGACTAGGTGGTTCAATAGGTTGCTCTTCTTGACTAGGCGCTTTAATAGGTTGTTCTTCTTGACTAGGTGGTTCAATAGGTTGCTGTGGTTGAGTCATTCCTCCAAATAACAAACTTGCCAATTTAGCAGCACCAGCTCTATTTGGTTGATCATCGTCTGATTCATCATCTTCTGAATCACTCCAACCTGAACTACTTGAAATACCACGTTGAGATTGACGTTGAGCTGCAGCTTTTTTAGGATCAATCTTGACTTGTTGTTGTTGTTGCGGTTTAAAAAAAGGATTTGATCTTGAACTTCCTGTACTCCGTTGTTGTTGTTGTTGTTGTTGTGAATTCATCTTAAATGGATTGTTTTCGTGATGAGGTATTGTTGTATCTTGCTTGGGTTGTGTAACTTCTGATTTTATTTCATTTCTTTGTGGTTCTTCAATTTGTTTAGTCGCTTCTTGTTTAATTTCTTCAACAGGTTTAGTTGCTTCAACTGCTTTAGCTTTAGGTTCTTCTTTCTTAGCACTATACACATTAACTTGAGTAATTGGTTCTTCATCTTCATCATCACTTTCTTGTTTATTTCTCATTTCTTCCATATCTCTTTTCAATTTCGCTAATCTTTCCTCCTTCTTACGTTTACGTTCCTCCTTCTCACGTTGTCTTTGCTCCTCTAATTTTTGTTTCTGTCTTAATAATTCTTGATATTCTGCATCGTCATCATCATCAGAAGATTCATCATGAGCTGATGGAAGTGTCTGTTTTTTTTGTTCAAGAGGTTTTGAGTCAGGTTGTGACTTAGTAGGTTGATCAAAAGCTTTGTGAACAGGTTTTTCAATAGGTTCCTCCACTTGTTTTTGTGCAGGTTTTGTTTCTTGTTTTTCAACTGATTTTTCAACTGGTTTTGTTTCTGGTTTTGTTTCTGGTTTTGTTTCTGGTTTGGTTTCAAGGTTTTTTTCTATTTTGCCACGTCGTGTAATACCAAGCTTAGCTAATCTCTCATTCATTCTCTTTTCAGCTTGAGCTTTAATATAAGCAGCTCTTTCTTCTGGCGTTTTATATGGTTCTTGAGTTGTTGATGTACCAGTTTTTTGTTTTGTTAATGGTGATGGTACTTGTTGATTAGTTTTAGAAGCTTCAATATTCTTCCTTTGACTATTTGAAAATGCTTCCAATTCTCTAACAAATTTTGCAACTTCTTCAGAAATTCCAACACCTTTAACCCATTTATCATAACCTGAATCTTCCTTTGTTGTAATTTTTAATTTACATGCACACTCATCTTCCATACTTTTAATACCAGATTCAATATCACTTATCATTTCAGATTGACTCTTAGCTTCACGTTGTGCATCCTCAGAAACTTGTTTTAATTTGAAATTCAATTCCAGGTTTGCACCTCCAGATGAAGATTTACCAGTTAATGCAGCCATTCTTTGTTTTAATTTTTGTCTTTGTTGAAATTTCTTTCTATCAAATTCTGTAATTTGACCATTTGGACCTGTACCTTCAATTTGAGATTCATCATCTTCAGGACTCCAATCAGGATGTTCTTTTTTGATTTGTAATCTAACTAATTCAACTTTCTTCCTTGCAATTTCTTGATTTACTTTATGAATATCAGAAATTAATTTTGGAACTTTATCTCTAGTTAAAAGATCTAAAGTAGATAATAATTGTTTCTTTTCTTCATTAGAAGAACTTTCAATACCAGCTTCATTTAATTTAGTTTGTACATCCTTAATTTTTTGTTTCAAACTTTCAACAACTGAATTATTTAATGAATTGGATTTATAACCTGAATCTTGATCTTCAACATCCAAGGCATCAAGTAATATTCTCTTTTCACGAACTAATTTTTTCATATCATCAATTGTTAAATCAGAATCAGATGATGTTTTCAAACTACCATTATCTTTACTAACACTTTTTCTATGACGTGCACTTGATACATAACCAAAATTATTATCATCATTTCTAAATCTACTTCCATCTGGTTTAGTTTGTGGCTTTTGTGGTTTATTTGGTTTATTATTACCACCTTTTAATGAATTTTTCAAAGAATCCATTGTATCTTTTAATGTTCTATCAGCTGGTGGTATTAATTCTGGTGGTAATCTTAATGGTATATCATAACCATTTAATCTTCTGTAAATTAAATGCATGGCAACCGCAAATTGATTTTTATTTAATTTACCAGTATCATCGGTATCAACCAATGTCCAAATAGATTCTAAGTCTGGTCTACTTAAACCTGATTTCGTAAATACACCTAATGCAACTGAAGAATCAACATATCCTCTTTTTTGAGTATCCCAAGCTTGAAATAAACCATCGTAAATCAGTTTTTCTTGTTTTGTAATTGCCCATGTAACATTTGCTTTTAAATTATTATCCATAGCATTTTGTAAATTTGATGAAGGTAATTGAGTATTTGGTAAAAAATGTTGTTGCATAGCATTTAAACCTGGAATACCACCAGTTGGCATAGATACAAAACCCCATTCACCAGGTCTACCAGTTGGTTGAGCTTGTAAAGGACCAGTTCTTTGAGCTGTTAATTGAGGTTGTTGAAATGAAGTTTGTGGCATAAAACCACCGGTTGGTTGTTGTTGAAATCCTGTAGTTTGAGGTACAAACCCGCCTGTTCTTTGTTGATTCAAAAAACCAGAGTTTTGTTGAGGTAAACCACTTGATTGTTGATTTAAATACCCAGTATTTTGTTGAATTAAACCACCAGTACGCTGTGGTTGAAAACCTGTTGATTGTTGATATAATGGACCACTTTTATTCGCAGGAATTAATCCAGCAGTTTGTTGTGGTTGTAATGGAATCAACGTACCACCACCAGTTCTTTGAGCTGATAATCCTCCAAATGATGTTGTTGGTGGAGCTCCAAAACCTGTCTGTTGAGGTTGAAAATTAAACCCAGTACCTTGTGGTTGTAACCAATCATTTCCATCATTCTTTCTAGGTGCAAAACTTGCAAATGGTGTATTTGCTAATATTTTAGATGGATCATCTGGTATACTAAAATTTATAGTATCCATAAAACTTTTAACTTCATTTAACCATTTTTCAGGTAAAATTCCTGGTAATGCTTCATTTCTTTTAGCCATACTACATAAATGCAAACTTAATGCAAATTCAGGAAATAATAATGAACCAGTCTTATTAATATCTGATAATGACCAAATTTCAGCTAAAGTAACCGGTGATAAGCCAGATCTTAATAAAATATTACTTGCGGATTCTCCAGAAATTGATTGTTCACCTTTTGGAACAGCTGATCTAAATAAATGTTCAAACTTTTTTTGATCTTCAGCTGTAATAAATGATAATCTAATACTTGGTATTTTTAATTCACTATTTTCTATAACTGTTGTTGAAGCTCCAAACCCTGTTGGTTGAGATTGAATATAACCAGTTCCTTGCGGTTGAATAAATCCAGTTTGTTGAGGTTGTAAAGAAGGTTGTTGACCAAATCCTTGATTATTATTTTGAAAGTTTCCATATAAATTTGGTTGTTGAATAAACCCAGTGGCCTGGGGGTACATTGATTGTTGTTGAAATTGTTGTTGTTGTTGCTGTTGTTGCTGATTTGGTTGTTGGTAATTGAATCCATATCCTGTTTGTTGAGGCTGCTGTTGGGAATAGCCCATTCCTTGTTGTTGATATGGATTATACATAATTGATCTATAAATTTAAATCAATGTTGTAACCTTTGGTGAGATTTTTTGGAAAATTGGGCGAGATTTCTTTTTTCGTTGCTTAAAAAAATTAGGAGGTAATTTGAATGAAATTTGTTAGCAAAATATCATCAACTTTGATTATGTAGATTGTAAAGTACGCTGTATGGAGAGTAGCTGTATGGAGAGCGACTGTATGGAGAGTGACTGTATAAAAGTAGATCTCACTTAATCGATCATATACACATGATTTACATTATTGTCTAAAATATCTATAGATTTAAACATTCATTCCAAAATTCAATTTCTAATAAAACAACTTGATTAAACATATCCACCAACTCATCAACTCTTTTAATATTAAGTTCATTATCATTAATTAACGATTCCAATGCATTTTTACCTTCTTTATCAGCATTTGTATACCAGTCAGAAGTATAATCATCCAACCATGTTTGATAAATTTTAGCTTGATCTTCAGTCACCACTCCTAAAACTTCAGTGTCTTTTCTTATAGATTGGCCATATGTACCAGCTTCAGCATATCCATGTAGACATGGAGCAACAGCAACTTTTATACCTAAAAAATTCTCTTTTTTACCAATTCTGAGCAAATAATCACAATAATCTTGACATGCTTTGCCAGGTTTCAACCCCGAATCGATTTCATAATCCTTCACATAATCAATATTGTAGTTTTTCATCAACTTTTCTTTATGCTTTTCAATTTCTGTTACTATTTCACCAATGATTGTAGCTTGTGCATGAGTTTGTTTATAATTTGGGGCTGTGGATGCAGCCAATCCATGAATTTGAGCATAATTAATTAAATAATGATAATCTTGTTTTAAAAAGTATAAAAACTTGTCAAATTGTAGAGTGTTTTCAGCAATTGCTTTTACAAATGGATGATTTACATACTTAGTCCAATTATCTTTAACACTTGGATGAGTAGTCAAAAAATGATAAAAACTATCATGTTGTGATAAAAGTTTCTTTACTTCGTTATATGATCCGTTCAATACAGAACTAATTGAAGCAGCAGGTTTTGCAAAATGATTTAAAGGTCCATTACCAAATCCTAATTTTCTTTGCAAAGTTGACATACCTTTATGTATAAAATCAATTGATAGTATAATTGAATCATCTAATTCTTTACCTTTGGCTAAATTAGCTGCGATTGCTGAAGCTAAAGTACAGCCACTACCATGATTATCCTTTGAATCGATAAATTCAGATTCGAAAATAACCCAGTCATCAAGCTCACTTTGGTACAAAACATCAATGATTTTAGATGAATTACTAGTTGCAACATTATTATTCGCATCAAAAGGAATATGACCCCCTTTTACCAAAATATTTTTGCATTGTAATGATTGTTGCAACAGCTTTGCCAAATTCTTGAAATCTTCTAATGATTGCACTTCTTCATATTCTTTACCTTCTTTTATATTGTACAATTCCTGAGCTTCTGGATAGTTTGGGGTAATCAAAAAGACATCTTTGATCAAATGATCAACACATAAGCTCATTCCTTCCTCATCGATTAATTTCGAACCAGATGTACTAACCATTACAGGATCAATGACTATTTTTACTTTATGCTCTTTTAATTTTGGTAGTTGATAACTAAATTCTTTGATTGCTTCTTTGGTCAACATCCCAGTTTTAATAACCTTTAATGGTGCTGTTCCAGTATAATTATATAAGAAATCATCTAAATTTGCATTCAAAACTTGTTTAATCAATTCAGAACTTGTCTTTTCAAATGTTTTAACACCTTTAGTATTTTGCGCTGTCAATGCTGTTATACAAGTCATACCATAAACACCAAACGCACTAAATGTTTTCAAATCAGCTTCAATTCCTGCCCCACCTGAAGAATCACTACCAGCAATTGTTAAAACAACGGGCAAATCAACCTCATTTGATGGAACATTTTTCAATTGATAAACTTTAGTCATATAAAAGGCTGAATTATTATAGTTTTGTTAAAATTTTCATAGAGTTTAATAATGTTTAACATAGTACGACGGTATAGATTTCTTAAGCGCATATTAATTTTAATTTCATGCACTTAAAAATATTTGCGCTTTTGAGATTTTGCGCTTTTGAAAGAAATTTATTTCATTGAAAACTTGAAACACAACTAGTCTGATTAATCATAGATGTCATATTCGAAGCAAATTCGAAGCAAATTCGAAGCAAATTCGAAGCAAATCTCATAGCTTGAATTATCTTAATGTTTACTGGACTCCCAGGCGCTGGCAATATGGCTAGTTTAATGGATTGAATTAAATCGAAGTTTCAGCTATACCTTTTGATTGCCTGCAAGCTTCAAAAATTCTCAAATTTTACACATAATATCAAAGATAACTTATATTGTATATTACCAATGAAAGATTCTATGTATAGTCTATTATATTTAAGATGTGCTTGAAGTTTCCAGTGGTTTTCTTAATTTATTATAGTATTCAATTAAATCCTTTTCACTTTTCCATGTTTCTTCCCTAAATCCAACTCTAATATCTGGAACATTTGTTTTCTCAATGTCATTTCCTTCAACTCCTCCTTTCATATAATTCTTACCTAACCAATGTTTCTTTATAGCAGCTTCCCAACCACTTTGTAAACAAGAATTTCTAGCTAATTCACACATATCAACACCTGATAATTTATAAATTTGAGCAGCTACTGAATATTCTTCAATCAATGGTTCCTTTGTGTATGAAAATTGTAATGGATCATCTGTTGATAATGAAACATTCAATCCTTTCTTGAAAAAATTATAGAATGGGTTCTTATCATATGTCAAAAATAATGCATTATTTGATAATGGTGACATTGCTAAACCGATTTGATCTAAATAGTATAAGTATTGAATGAATGGCAATTTTCTTAATAAAATACCATGTGAAATACTATGAGCTGTTAAAAATGCACTTATTAAATGTTCTGGATCTCCAGCTTCACCACAATGAGGTCTTAAAACAAATGTGTTCATTTTATTCTTGAGTCTTAAATTATTCAATGTGGCAATATTTGCATAAAGATAGTATAAATAATAGGAATATGGTGGATTAGTAGCAGAATTCCAATCTCCTGCTATTGGATATTTTCTTGATTGAATTGGTCTTTCAGGTTTAGATTCATCATCAACAGAATCTAAACCAACAACTCTTTGTAAAAACACATATAATTTTGGATGAGATTTTGGATTTATTGAAACTTCAAATAATGGTTGAAATACATTCTTAAAAATATCTAAAAAGCTTTTAACATTATTATTTTTCTTGTAAACGTCATATAATCTTGGAACTTGAATTAACCATCTAACATTATGACTAAATAATTTGTTATCTATAACCCAAGCTGCTAATTTATCCCACTCATGAATATTTCTACCATAAATTGAAATTCTTAATTCATTCATTTGGTATTTAGAGTTTTCCAAATCTTCCATAACTTGTTTTGTAATTTCGGCTAAATATCTACCATCAATGAAATTATCAGTTTTTAAAAAAATCTCTCTTAATCTAGATTCACCAATAGGATTATATTTCAAATTGAATTTATCAAATCTATGAAATGTATCAGTATGAGCATGCATATCTAATGTGTCAATTGATAAATCATAACCTGTCAAATTCAATGAATTAAAAACTTCTTCCAAAGTTAATATCTTGCCATCTCTAAAAATTACTTGTTCATTCGGTTCAGTTTTTAATTTATACTTTATAAATCTTAATAAATGTTTTTGATTCATACATGCAGAATGATGAATGTGGGTATCAACTTTACGAACATTATAAAAATCTCTATGTGGATTCTTTTTGGATTGTTTGTTTTCTTCAAACTCATTCAATAAGTAGTACATATTCCATTTGGCTTCCAAATATTGTAATCTTTTGAATGCAAATGATTTAGTTGGACCATCTGATGAGATTTTTGTAATAACATTTAAATCGGCATAATAATCATGTAAGTTTGGAATATTGACCAATTTTTTATCATTTTCCTTATCATAAACTTGATATACATCTCCATCATCTAATGAGAAATAATATGGACTATCTGATAAATCAGGTATTTCACATTTGTTAAAATCAAATTCTTCTTCTTCATCATGAAATGGTATTTGATTAAATTTATTTTTTGATTTATAAGTTGGTTTTGGTGGAGGAGGATAAATTTTCCAACTTTCTTGATTCTTTGGATTAAGTGATTCTGGATCTTGCGCAGACCATTTCAAGTATTTGTTTCTCAATGTTAAACATAATTTGACGTGCTTATAAAAATCAATTAATACATCGGAGGGATATTCTTCAGGCAAAGCATTTGGATCACTGGCTAGATTCCCAGTAGTATAATGTGGAGCTTGAGAAGGGGTCAAAGGATGAAATTTGTGATTCAACTTGTGTGGCATATCTATAACGGAGGGCCTTCTTTTAATTGATGTACTAGTTTTTGGTGATGATGAAGTTAGACCTGATGCGCCATTGTGATGCAACGCTTCAAAAGCTTTGACTTTTAAATCTTGATCTTTCATGTATTTATCTTCTGTACTTGAGAAATGAGCTGAATTATATGATTTTGGTAATCCCTCTTCATCGCTGTCATTATTGAAATGATGTGAAAAATCTTGATCGTCATCGGATTCATCATGTGAAAATAAAGCATCATCTTGACCTGGCGAATCTAAATTTGGTTCACTTTTATCTCTAAAATGCATACTCAAGTTTGATTTACACATTTGAACCTTGATGATTTGATATTTCGGAATAAAGAATTTTTTTTTGGCCGTTGGTTGCTAAAAAAATGGTACCAAAAAATCAAGTGACGGCTTTATAATTATAAAAACACTTTTGAAGGCACTTTATCAAATTTGAACACGTCAATGATGCTCAATTGTCACTTTGGATTCTAGAGACTGTCATCAAGATGTTTACTTTATTGTAAAAGATTATCATTTCGTTTGAACACAAAATCAATTGAGTTAAATCTTGAAGTTCTTCGGTCTGCTTAGATATCAATCTGCTTTGATGAAATGACCAATAGAATCAAGATTTCATAAGCCTACACTGTATTTTCATGTACTTTTAACTCATGTTTCATACTTGTAGTTTTGCAATTAAACAAGGCGCTACCAAATCATTGTGTTTTGCAGCAATTACCTAATTTTGAAGAGTGTGCACTTTTTTCATGAAAATACATCAAGCACTATGCAGTTATAGTGAGTACATAAGATTTTTACTGTGTCACCTTTGTTAAGTAGTTCAATTTTTTAAATCCTTGCACTGTTTAGCCATTATGGGTAACTCGCTCTACCGTTGAGCTATAGTTCATTCTTTCTTTATTCCTTACCTATATCTAAAAAAACTTTTACTTACTCCATTTTTTAATTAAAAATGTTTCAGAATTTTCCTGTTGAAATCTGGGAGATAATTTTCAGTTATTTAGCAAGAGTTTTCGTTCAAAAGTTGATTCATTCAGAGTCTGTTCTAGGAAAGTGCCTGAAGAATTAAAAAGACAGTTTCTGCAATTAATCAAATATTTAGTTATGACTACAAATATTTAGTAAATGTTCGCTCAGATTAATTACTTTATATTGAATTTAATATCTATATACATTTTATTATTCTTTATCCTTTTCTTGATAATATTCTTCTTCATCTTTTATAACTTGTTTTTCTGAATGATTTGGTTTTACATAAATTTCATGATCACGAACTTCAACATGAACTGTTTCATTTTCTCTTATTTGTCCTTTAATTAATAACATAGCTAATGGATTTAATACTTTCTTTTGTAAAACACGATTTAATGGTCTTGCACCATAACGTGGGTCATAACCTTTTTCACATAATAAATCTTTTGCAGGATTAGTCAAATTAAGGAAAATTCTTTTATCTAGTAATCTATCATTAATTTCTCTTAATCTAATTTGTAAAATATCTTTTAATACTTTTTTAGATAATCTATTGAAAACTAAAGTATCATCAATACGATTTAAAAATTCAGGTGGATAATAATGTCTTAAATTTTCAATTACTTTATCTTTAACTTCTTTAACTATATGACCATCTTCAAATGTATTTGTATCATTTAATAAAATTTCTTGTCCAATATTTGAAGTCATTACAATTATTGTATTTTTAAAATCAATTTTTTTACCATGTGAATCAGTTAATGTACCTTCATCTAAAACTTGTAATAATAATTTTGAAATATCTGGATGTGCTTTTTCAAATTCATCAAATAAAACAATACTATATGGTTTTCTTCTAACAGCTTCAGTTAATTCACCACTTTCATCATAACCAACATAACCAGGTGGAGAACCAATTAATCTTGATAAAGAATGTTTTTCTTGAAATTCAGACATATCAAATCTTATAACTGAATTTTGATCATTAAATAAAAATTCAGCCAATGCTTTAGTTAATTCAGTTTTACCAGTACCTGTTGGACCAAGAAATATAAATGAAGCAATTGGTCTTTTATCGCTAGTTAAACCAGCTCTTTGTAATCTAACAGCATCTGATACTGCATGTATTGCTTCATCTTGACCAACAACTTTTTGTTTTAATATAACTTCCATATCTAATAATTTATCCTTTTCACCTTTCATTAAATTATCAACAGGTATACCAGTCATTTTTGATATAACACCAGCAATATCATCTGAAGTAACTGAATCATGTAATAATGAAGTTGATTTTACATCTTGTTCTTTTTGAGTTAATTGTTTTAATTGATTTTGTAATTCAGGAATAGTTGCATATTGAATTTTTGAAGCTAAACCATAATTACCCTCTCTTTGAGCTTGTTCTAATTCATATCTTGCTTTTTCCAAATTTGATTTTGCTTCTTTAACATCATCAATTGTTTTTTTCTCTTCTTCCCATTGTTGAGTTAATTCATTTAATTCTTTTCTTTTGATTGTTAATTCTTCTTGTAACTTATTCTTTCTATCAATTGATAATTGATCATCTTCTTTTTTCAATGATTCTAATTCAATTTCAATAGTCATAATTTGTCTATCTAATGTTTGAATAGCATCTGGTCTTGATTCATGTTGTAATCTTAATGTTGAACTAGCTTCATCAACTAAATCAATTGCTTTATCAGGTAAAAATCTATCAGTAATATATCTATTTGAATACAATGCAGCTGTAACCAATGCATAATCCATAATTCTAACACCATGATGAACTTCATATTTTTCTTTTAAACCTCTTAATATCGAAATTGTATCTTCAACAGTTGGTTCATTAATGGTAACTGGAGAAAATCTTCTTGCTAATGCAGCATCTTTTTCAACATATTTTCTATATTCTTCAATAGTTGTAGCACCACACATTGATAATTTCCCTCTTGCTAATGCAGGTTTTAATAGATTTGAAGCATCAATTGAACCTTCAGCTTTACCTAATCCCATTAATAAATGAAATTCATCAATAAATAAAATTATTGACCCATTCTTTTCTTCAACTTCTTTTAAAATCTGTTTTAATTTACTTTCAAAATCACCTCTAAATTTTGAACCGGATATTATACCAGCTAAATCTAAAGTTATAATTTGTTTTTCCTTCATTGAATCAGGAACTTCTTTTTTAACAATTCTTTGAGCTAAACCTTCCATAACTGCAGTTTTACCAGTACCGGCACTACCAATTAGAACTGGATTATTTTTAGATCTTCTTGACAAAATTTGAATAGTTCTTCTAATTTCTTCATTTCTTCCAATAACTGGATCTAATTTACCTTCTTTAGCTAATTGTGTTAAATTTGTACCATATTTTTCTAAAGTAGGACGATTATCTTGATCATCTTTATTCATTTGCATTTGTAAATTTTTACGATCTGAAGAAGAAAAATGTCTAATTGGAATTATATTACGTTGGCCATGGTAATTATTTATCGGTTGCAAATATCTAGCACATATTGGTATAGTTTTGTATAATTTTGTGGATGTATTTTTGGGTATTGGATTATTTATTATTCTACCTCTTGGTATCCTTGATAACATGTTTTGTAAATAAATAAAATAGCAATGCTATCTCTTTGTTCTTAAGGGGAAATTAAATCTATTTTATATGGAGTTTGATAATTAATAGAAAAAAAAAAAAAAAAATTCTAGTTTTGTGTAGAATGTTCTTCTGCACGATTACTTAAATTTTTCACGTCATTCAAGATCCTTTTAAAGATTTAGAAGTATAAAGAAGTAGATAGAATAACCAATTATATATCCAGTATAAATTTTCTATAATTACAGTAGTATCATTAAATTGTCTATAAGTTTTTCGTTTTTCGTTTTTCGTTTTTCGTTCCTCGGTCATAAAATATCATTAAAAATGTCATTAATTCATGTCAAATGTCTAGTATTACTAGTTGTACTTTCTCTATCATCTCCCCAAATATCATAATTATCAATATATTCATCATCAAATTCTTCTTCATTTATATGATCACCAAGATCATTATTTGTTTGGTATACTTGTGGTACTTCTGGTGTATTTGGTGATATTATTGCAACTTGATGAACTTGTGAATTATTGGATTCAATTCTACTTGATTCAGTTTGTCTTGCAAATGTTGATGAATCATTTGTAGAACTAATTAATTCTTTTAATTCATCTTCTTCTGATCCATCTTCTTGTAAAATATTATTAGTTTTCAATCCAAATAAATTAATTAACCAACCAAATATTTTATGATCAGATCTATTTTTAAAACTAACAATTTTCCTTCTTCTACGTTCATCATTCAGTTGAATATCCAAAATATCATCAATACTAATTCTTCTACCTAATATACCCATTAATTCAGATCTTTTTTCTAAAATTGAAATATTAAAAATCCATTCCCATAATGTAGTAGTCAATATAACTTCAATTAAATATGGTAATAAAATCAACCATGTTTTAACTAACCAATTATCTTTAAATAATGTAATATGTAAAATATTCAAAATTATATCTAAAATTAATAAACACCAATTAAAAATTGCCAATGGTAATAATTTTTTTGAATAACTAGTAGTTAATGGATTTTTAATCATAATTGTATACCATAATAAATTTAATGATAGCCATATAATAACTAATAATCTTGTAACAGCTCTTAAAATACACCAAGCTAAAGTTGATCCATCATGACTATTTAAATGTATATACTCACTTGTATTATATACAACTTGATGATAAGTAAAAACTGCAATATATAAACACATTATAATTGAAGTAATAAAAGAAAGTAAAAATTTACCTCTTTGTTTCATTAATCCTTGAATAAATTGAAACCATGCCAGCATAGTTAAAACTTGAGTTATAATAATTAAAACTTTATAAGTAGTTGTATTATATAATAAATGATGTAATTTAATAACATCTAAAGTATCATTATAATATTCTTCTTCAGCAGTTTGAGTAACTTTATTAAGACAAAATGTAGTAACAATCGAAAAATATATAGTTACTAATTGAGTTAATAAAGGTTTTCTTTTATGAGAAGGTGATAAATATAATAATAATGATAACATCCAACAAGAAACACATGAACCACATAAAGTAAATAATAAAGCAACAAAAGTATCTCCATTGTCTCTTTCATTATAAGGACTTTGATCAAATTCTGAAAAATCTTCCAAATCGGAGCCAGAGGTACCATTCAATTCATTTTCCATAACCAAATCTATAAGATGAGGTATTGAACAATTTGTAATATAATAAGCTGGTAAAAAATCATTATCAGTATCATTATACCACGTTTGATTATAAAAATCTTGAATATTAATAGAACCGCTCGTTAAAGAATAAACTGAACAATTAATTTCAAGATTATTTTGTTGTAAATATGCAAGCGAATTATTACCCATATCAATATCGACAGGCGGAGTACGAAATTTAACCAGATATTCTTCTAATCGTGGTGCAGATGATAATGGTGATGATGATGATGATGATGATGGTGGTGGTGAAGGTGAATAAGCAAAAGCAGCAAAAGTAAACGGTACTAATAATATTAGATTATACCGTAGTGATATTAGTAATAATGATAATAATGAATATAATATATTCAACATTTTAATTTATATTTATATCCTATTTCAATAAATTTCTTGTGTGTGTAAATATTTTTTGTTTGTTTAAGAAATTTCTTGATTTTCTTAACAAATTATTATTTAACCATTGCATGATAATCAGCATGGCATACACAAAATCATTATATTGGTATTAGAATTGGTATTAGAATTGGTATGTTACTTGGTATGTTACTTGGTATGTTAATTGGTGATTTATTGAAGATTGGTTGTTGATCTTTGAAGAGTTGATTTTTTTGAGCAGCATTAATATCGTTATATCGCAGTTTATGAGCAATACAGTTGATTCCAACTGCTCGTTTACGTTGCAGAGATGAGTAAGTTCATTTATGGGTCATTCTGAGCTCTTCAGATGGTTTCTTTTCAGGGTATTAGTATTAGGCGGTTTTTGATATATTTTTCCGTTATCAAATAGTGCCACGGCTACTTTTTTTAATCACGGAAAAATGAAAAATGAAGAATGAATAATGAAAAATGAAGAATGAAAAATTAAAAGAGTATTACTGGTTAAAGAGCTGTTACTGCTTATCCAATTGTATATACTGATGTGTTTATACTTCTTCTTACCAATCTCGCTTCTTCTTCTTCTTCTTCTTCTTCTTCTTCTTCTTCTTCTTCTTCTTCTTCTTCTTCTTCTTCTTCTTCTTCTTCTTCTTCTTCTTCTTCTTCTTCTCTCTTCTTCTTTTTCTTCTCTCTTCTTCTCTCTTCTTCTCTCTTCTTCTTCTTCTTCTTCTTCTTCTTCTCTCTTCTTCTTCTTACATAGTATATTTATCCAATTTTAATTTGTGTTTCATAAATGGAAATTTTGAAAATGATTTTTCTTTTTGAAAAATTGAGAATTGAAAATTGAAAATTGTTTTTTTTACAACCAAATATTGAAATTGATTTCAAATGTCAATACCACCATCTAATTCAAATATATTGGATCAAACTAATTTAGATGAAAATCTACAAGCTTTAAATTTAAATAATTTTGGTTCAAATATAAAAAAAAAATCAAAAAGACCCATGAGAGCTTATCATTCAGATTTTAATACTCCAATTATATCACCATCAAATCAATCTCCACTAATACCTCAACAATCACAATTTAATAATCAAATACCTCAACAACTGCAATTTAATCAACCTCAAACTTATAATGAACCACAACTACAACCACAGCTACAACCACAACCACAACCACAACCACCATTTGCTGAATCAATGAATATTCAAGATATGAATAATTTAGATTCTCATTCATCAAATCTTTCACTACAAGCATTTAGATATTTAAATCAAAAAGAATATGATACTCCAAATGATCAAGGTCAATATAAATCATTTTTAACATTTTCTGACACATTACCACCAGATTCAACAACTCAATTTCATTCATTAGATCAAGGTTCGGCTTCTTCAAAATTCATGAGATCTACATTTTATTACGTCCCTGTATCTGAACAATTAAGACTGGCTACTAAATTACCAATGGCAATTACAATTAGACCATTTGCACCATTATTGCAAACTGAAGAATCTGTGCCGTTGGTTGATTTTAATAATAGTGAAGAATTAGCAAATCAACAACCTGAAGATCCATTAAGTATAGGTCCATTAAGATGTCATAGATGTAGAGCATATGTAAATTCATCAATGCAATTTACTCATAATCAAAAATTTATATGTAATATTTGTCAATTTTCAAATAATCAAGTTCCAAATGATTATATGTCAGTATTAGATTCGAGAGGTTATAGAATTGATAAGTTTCAAAGACCTGAATTACATAAAAGTGTATATGATATAAAAGTTCCAAAAGAATATAATTTTGGAGGTGGTGAAAAGGATTCAAAACCATTACATGTTGTATTTTTAATTGATATTACTGAAAATAGTATAAAACAGAATTTACCAAATGTTGTAAGTGATGCTATTAGAGCTACTTTATTTAATAATGAAGAATTAACAGGTGTTAAAATTGCTCTTATTGCATTTGATAAAAGATTACATTTTTTCAATTTATCTTCCAAATTAGAAACTACTCAAATTTCCATATCTTCTGATTTAGATGATCCTTTTGTACCATTTGATGACGGGTTATTCGTGGACCCAGAAGATAGTCAATTTGTAATTGAAGACGCATTAAATTATATTGAACATATAGGAGATGATCAAATTATAGATCTAGAACCATGTTTTACATCAGCGTGTAGAACAGCTGGTCTTTGTCTAGAATCTGTTGGGGGTGGTAAAATTATTTCAATATTATCTAATTTACCATCATGGGGTCCAGGAGGATTAAAAATTAAAGATAATAAATCAATTGGAAGAAATCCAACTCCCGAAATTGAAAAAAAATTATTATTACCAGATAATGAATATGTTAAAATAATGGGTAGGGATTTTGTTGAAAAAAGTATTGGTATTGATATTCATATTGTTTCTCATACTCCGGTTGATTTATCAAATTTAGGTTGGTTAGCTTCAATTACTGGTGGTGAATTAACGAGATGGCCAAATTTTAGTTTAAAAAGAGATGGTAGATTTTTAACTTCTAAATTAATAAATTCATATAAAAATGTTACTGGATATCAAGGACAATTGAAATTAAGATGTTCAAATGGTTTACAAGTGGCTCAATATTATGGAACTGCATCATCTGAGGCTGTAAATGTCCAAGATCCAATAATTCCAATATTGAATAAAAATCAAACATTTACTATACTTTTACAATATGATGGAAAGTTGAGTACTAAATTAGATTGTCATTTTCAAGCAGCATTATTATATACTGATCCAAATGGAGTTAGAAAAGTTAGAGTTATAAATTTGGTACTTGCTGTTACGAAATCACTTGAGGATGTTTTCCATTTCACTGATGAAAATGCAATTATTACAACTTTAATAAGGGACTCGTTATCTTTCATAGGCAAACAATCAACTTCAGAATTAAGAGAATCTTTAAATAATAAATTAGTTGATATTTTTACCCAATATCGTGCAATGTATGAATATGGTCATAATAAATCAAAAACACTAACAAATAAATTATTATTTCCAGATTCATTAAAACATTTACCTTTATATATATTAAGTTTTTTAAAAACAAATGCTATTAAATCAAATACAACAATAGATTCAAGATTAAGTAATCTTTATAATTTGTTAAATATGCCAGTAGAAAGATTAGTATATCATTTATATCCGGCATTAATTGAAGTACATTCAATTAATGAAGAAGGATATATTAATGAAGAAACTGGATTTATTTCACTACCACAATTTAAAGAATTGAGTGTTAAATCATTAGATCATAGTGTTTATATATTATGTAATGGTTATAATGTGTTTATTTACATTGATCCACATTCAAATATTTTATTACTTAAAGATTTATTCGGTGAACAAATTGAAGATGTAAAAGATATAGATCCATTGATCGATGAATTACCAGAATTAAATACTGAAATATCTCAACAAATAAGGAATATAGTGAAATATTTCCAATTTAATATCATTGGAGCTAATTGTAATTGTATAAATATAGTTAGAAAAGATATAGATGGGTCTGAAATTGAATTTAGGGAAAATTTAAGAGATGATCAATTAAGTACTATTATGTCTCAAGGTCCAAGTTATTCTGAATATTTGATTAATTTACATAAAGCAATTAGAAATATTTTGGATTCAGATAAGGCTTCACAGAGTATAAAACTGTCGATTTCAAATGTAGAACATGATAATTCAACATTAGCACAAAGATATATACATTTTTAAAAAGCATAATTTTATTCATATATACATTTTAATATTAGCATATTCTTAAAATTTCATTAATAATTTCTTTTGATTCTGTAGTTCCATTTCTTAACACATTAGCACAAGAATCTTTAAACCTCTTATTGGAACTCATTTCTTTTAATTCTTTCTGATCTTTATTGGCTATCGCAAATACAATATTCATAAGTAAATAACATACAGGCAATATCAAATCTTTTACTTCTATCTCATTCATTAATATTTCATAAACTGTATCCATGATATCCTCTTTAACTACTTCCGCAATCATGTCAAACTCAGTTGCATTAACCAACAATCCAGCTATTGCAATTTGTAATCCTTCATCACCTGAATTTAACAATTTAATCAACAATTTAAATCTCTTTAAATTCTCATTCTTTTCAAGGTTGAAAAATTTAGCTAACATGATAGGTTGAGTGATTAAATTTGAAACTAATTCCCAGGCCGATAAATGAATTTTTGAATTTGATGAATCGATAATGAAATTATTGACATAATCAAATGTTTCAGAGATTATGAAGTCCTTTATGTTCGTTGTACTTATATTAGTTAATGCCATTAATGATTCATATCTGTCTAATAATGTCATATCATATAAATATGAATGAGAAATTTCAGTACTTTCATATTTTGATTCATTGGGTCCCAATAATTCAACTAGGAAAGGTACGAGTGCTCTTAAATCATGAGTTATTGAATTTGGATCAATTGATATTAACATACGTGCCATTGCTCGAATTGCAAATACTCGAATTTCATCTTCTGTATCTTTTGGTAATGATATTATCACATCTCCTTCTTTTTTAATCTCACTGTGAGTTAATAAGTAGTTGATTATTATGTTTAATCCATTTTGTTCCACTATTTCACTTCTTAATTTTTGATCAATTGATAAATTATAAATTATTAAGATGACTTGATTCATAGCATTATTTGAAACTGACGATTTAAAAGTCTTTAAGGTCGATATTTTACTTATTACCTTTCCCTCATTTAAAATGTTTGAATTGAATAGTTTCACATTCTCTTGATTCTCCAGTTTGTCATTAAATGATTTAATTTTCTGTTTGGTTGTAGTATTTGGATCAATCAATCTTGTAAGGTTAGCAAATATAGATAATATACTATATTGAAATGAGATATTCAATGATGATTCTTTTAGGTAGTATAGTAACTTCTCAACCAATTCAACGTCCATCCTTACCATTTCTCGAATTTCATAATGTAATGTAAGGTACATTAATCCTTCAGACATATATTCCACATATTCCTTATCTTCAATTGATTTTATATTAATTATCATAATATCAGCCAATGTTCTTATTTTGATTTGTTTCTTTTCATGTTCGATTAATTTCCACAATTTGATTAAATTTAAACTTGACAATATCTGAATCTTAACATTTGACGATAATCCCTTAATTAATAACTCATTATATAGTTTCAAATTGTACGCTCTACAATTTTCAACTATGTTTGAAGCATCAATCAATTTCAAAATAGGAATAGATGTCTCATGGGCCAATATTTGATTTGATAATCTTGAATCTTCGTAATATACTTTACATAATTCTGGTAAAATAGGGAATAAGTTATCTAATATGATTATAAAGTTTTCAAAATTGGCTGCTAATTCTTCTATTTCAATTGATAAATAATCATTAATGATTTCGGTTGTTTCTTCTTTCTTCAATTGTAAATTCTGAAGCACTAACACAAGAATTGTTTGCTGTATGTCTTGCTCATTCTTCAAATATGTAAGAAATAGGTTTAAATGCTCTGGATTTGTTATTTTCAAATGGGTGATTATTGAATTATATAAATCTAAATTGTATTTTGTTGATGATCCTCTTTTGATTACTATTCTCAAGTTACTTAACACATTTTGTACAATTAATTCTGAGCAATATGTAAGGATGTTGATTAAAAGATTATGATCATTTAATTTCTCAATTGATTGAAGGAATGGTATGGTTTGATCAACTAGTAAATTATATAAAATTTTGGATTTTTCCCTATCTTGGGAAAAACTAATCAATTTCTCATTCAATTCACTAATATCCTCCTTTGTAGATACTGTTTTCAATGCTTCTATTGTATTTTTCACTTCATCATCTTTAATATCCAATCTTTCAATCTCTTTTGATAAATCAGTCATAGTTAATTAGAAACGCAAATTATCATCAGATTAAATCTTTTTCAAATTGCGTGTGAAGCCGCATTACTATATTCAGTTGGCCTGCATATACTATTAGCAAAGCGCAAAAAAAAATATTTTCGAAATCTTGATATATTAATAATACATTCAATCATATGGACGTGGCATCAACTTTAGAAAAATATACACAAGATTTATCTAATTTACCATTAGAAGTACAACATCTACTACAAGAGATTAAAAATAAAGATGCTGAATTAGTTGAAGCTCGAAAAAGATACATGTCTAAAGATCATCAATTATTTAAATTCATACGACAAAATGGAACAATGACGAAAAATCCCAAGGAATCACAACTATATCTGAAAATAGAAGAGGATATGAACTTAGTTGATAATTTACAACAAGAGAAAATATTATTAGCCAATTCTACATTATTTTTGATAACTAAAAATCTATACAATCTTGAAAAGGATATCAAAGTTTTAGAAAATGAGGATTTGATACCTCCAGACACTGGAGAAATTGAGATCATGAAAGAAGAATACAACTCATCAAGTTATACTCCTTCTCCAGGTTTCGTAAATGAACTTATACAACCACCAGCTACAGTTCAAAAGAAAGTTCGTAAACGAAATCTTAAATCTCCTCCAGTTATGGATAGTGGATCACTCATGCTTAATGAAAAACCAGATGAGGATAATAATTTATACTGTTTTTGTCAACGAGTTTCTTTTGGTGAGATGATTGGTTGTGATAATGAAAATTGTAAATATGAATGGTTTCATTGGAGTTGTGTAGGGATTACTAGTCCTCCAAAAGATGATGAAGTTTGGTATTGTCCTGATTGTAGTACTAAATTTAAAAAACAAAAAAAGAGATGAAAATAATTGGATTACAAATTGAGAAAAGGCTGCTTGCAAATTCAATTTTGCAATTTGGTCTCAACATGTGTTCACAGTAATGAAATGCACATTGTCAACTCATATATTAGCATATAAATTCAATAGCACAATTTAATACGAATTTCCGTCTTCTACGTTTGCTCTTCTATCTTCGCCTTGAATGTCGCGCTAGAATGACTGATAAAGTTTAATCTATGGGATTTAATTTATGCGGCGGCCGTTGCAATGTGGCATCAAATATTTTTACTGTTTAATTTGATCATCATTATTATTTCTCTCCAAATATTTGATCGCATTTCTTTTAATCCAATGTCTCTGATTGTGTATTATACATCGATAAAGTATGTAAACAATAGAAAGTAATAATATCTCAAAAATGTTAAAATAAAAGACTATTCATAAAACAGCGTATAAGAGTAATACGACAGCGCCATGAAACCAGGGTGCAAAATTAATTTAGTCGCGCCAAACAATCGCATTGAAATTAAATACTAAAAGAATATCTGTAACAAATTTGACTTATATGCAGTCTCCTTATAGTTAGTCTCAAAATTTAAATACAAAATGGCTCCTTCAATATTCGAGCCATTAATCTCAAACTATTTTCAGTAGATTTTCAGCAAATTTAAAGTCCGGTGGTAGAGGACCATTTCTTAAAATTTAATATTGATTTCTATGTGAGTAGATAAAAAATTCAAAAAACAAGAATTACGAGATAAACAACACTTAAACCCCATTTTGCAACTTCTAATATACCTGCTCTGGCTCAATCAATACCAAATATTTTTTGTATAATATTTCGAAGACGTCAAAATTAGTTTGATATTTTTGCAAAATTATCGAACCACTCTTAAAAAATGACTTTTCCCGCTTTGAATATATAAACACAAAAAATAATGACGTTTATATACTTGAGAGGACTGCGAACTTTAATACTGTAATCATATTATTATCACGATTTTGTTTGTGGAGTCAGATTTTTCGTAAAGTCAATTTATTCGATATTTGCCATACTTAAGGGAACTTTTTGAAATTTTTCAATTTTGGTTAAGAGGAACTAAAATTACGTCTAACACCTTAGTATGAGGTATGGTATTAATAACTCTTTTTTTAATTGAATATTATGGGCCTAAATAAAAAGACAAACAAATTTTCATTTTTGAGAAATTTTTTGTATGATGAAAAAATGACAAAATGACAAGTCAGTAAACAATGTTTGAAATTTAGGATTTGAAATGTATAGAGTAGTATACAATTCAGAGCTTCTGATTTCATTTAATTGGTTTTTATCTCAGAAGAATGCGTTGTTCCTGACCTATGAGCCAATATGCATGGGCAGTCGCCCCAAATCTAGCGCGAGAAATTATTAAGTCGTGCCAAAAAAAAATTCAGATTCTACTGCATAATTTTGATACAATTTTAATTTTAATTTACATATAGCTGGAGTACACTCCTGCAATTACTCATATTAAATTTAAAACTTAATTTTACAATAGCGAGATTCTAAATTGCTCAAATGTGCAGCTTTATGGGCTGATACTCGATCTATTTCGTAACATTTGATTAGCTTAAAACCTTTGAAAATCCAACTTGGCTGCAAATTAACCAAATTTCATACCACGATACGCGAAATCAAAATCTTCAAATCGAATAACGCACGGCGTCTAAACCCAAATTCTTTCTTTTTTCCTTTCCATCAAATGAAACAATAGAGTAAACAAAAATATCTCGAATTCTTCAATAAGGGTTTATTGTATATGAAATTAGTCATTATATTAGCTGTTTTATACAGTTGTGTTTATGCTGCTGATGATCCTGCTGCAACTACCCCTGTTGCTGCAGTTGGTGCTGTTGCTAATACAGATACAAATACAAATACGATTGCAACTACTCCCGGTGTAGCCAATACAAATCCAAATACAGCTGTGACTCCAGTTACAACTCCAGTTACAAATACAGCTGTGACTCCAGTTACAACTCCAGTTACAACTCCAGCTACAACTCCAGCTACAACTCCAGCTACAACTCCAGCTACAACTAATACTGCAGCTAATACTGCAACTCCAGTTACAACTCCAGCTGCTGCGACGACAAATACAGCGGTCACCCCAGCTGCTGCAAATACAGCTACAACCCCAATAACTTCAAAATCGTCTTCATTAACTACTGGAACAGGATTAACCTCATCAGCTACAACCCCAGTTGATCCAGCTACTTTAACAGGCTCGGAATTAATTCAATATCAACAAACAGTAACAATGAATTCAGCTGAAATTCAAGCATATTTAAAAACAGCTGGAAGTTCATTATCCGCTTCAAGTTTAAAATCCTCAACAACAGGAACAGGTTCAAGCTCATCACCTACGGTACCAGTCAATCCTGCAACTTTAACTGGCTCAGAATTGCTACAATATCAACAAACAGTCACCATGAACTCAGCTCAAATTCAAGCATATTTGAATACTGCCTCGTTGGCAAGTGGAACAAGTGCTGCTACTAATACTGCTGGTGCAGCAGCTACTACTCAAGCTCCTGGTGCTAATACAAATACAGTTGATGATACTACTAAAGGCTTGACTTTTGTCACTACTAGAGTCTTGAGATCAACTTCATCTTCAAATGATGATAGTAATGAAACTTCTGCTGTTGCTTCTAGTCAAACTGCAAATGGAAGTAATCAAACATTGATAAATACCTTGATATTAGTCGTTTCAATTTTATTCAATTTGTTTTAATATACATTTTTTAGACTTGAAATTTTACTTCGAAGTACTCTGCTATTTTTTCGGGATTCGATCAGCTGTAAAACTTCAACTTTAGATCATTAGGAAGAATAAAACCAACTACTTTAAATCATATTCAAATATGTACTCTTCTAACCATTTAAGATGTTTTAGAATGTATATCGTCTTTATTTTAAAATTTTGCAGCCAAATTTTTTGCATACAAATTATCGCTAAGCGAAAATAAAAAAAATTTAAATCTGAAACTTTTCAATGTTTAAATTAGGAATACGAAGAGCATCTAATCCTCAACTACTAACTCGTTGTAATTCAACAGTCAATCCTTACCTGTATATATCACAATACTCTCAATTACAAAGCCAAATTAAACAAAATCTAAACTCGAATTCATCACATGAAGAAATATTAGCTGCTTTAGATTCAATCAAAAATTTAGGTAAAAATTATACAATTCAAGATTCAGTTACAAATTCAAAATATATAAAAGAGGGAAACAAGATCATAGATGAGATATTCACAATAACGAAAAACCAAATCACTTCGGATTTTCTTAAACAAATTTTCTTATTAAATTTACCAACTTTATTAAATCTCAAAATCATTAATGAATTTTATTCACAACATAGAGATGCTAACATCCCTAAAGAAACAGCATTAATTGCATTACGACATGCTATATACGATGCTGATTTTCAAAATGCTATGAAATTGACAGATATGACTGTTGGACATCCAAATTACATCTCCACAAAACTGAAAGAGTTAAAATCAAGCATATGGAAATTATTCATCACCGGTGGTCTCATCACAGTTTTCAACAAATTTGGAACTAATACACTTATTGATTCCGGTGTTATCTCACATGCATGGGAGCATTTAAACTCATTAAATTCAATTATTTTAACATATATTTTAAATTCTGGATTTTTTATTACGATTGTCAAACTAGGAAGACAAGTTATAACTAGTGGTGGTGATATATTGACTTGGCAAAAGGGTACATTTTATAATCATTGGTTTAAACATGCTGATGAGATGTTATTTGCCAAGAAGATAATTGAAGCTGATAAAGAATTAAACCAAGGTGATTCAACACCTAAAATCATTGAAGAATTATGTAGACAACAGCCAATAACTAGAGAGAGTCACAATGGATTAAGTTCAGGGTATGATCGTAATGGGAATAAGATTAGACTACTTACATTAAAAGATGATTTGACAAAATTGAGATTTCAAGCTTATTGGATGTCTGGAGGTGATGGATTTGAATGGACTGAACCTGATCAAGATCCAGCTGAAATTAAATGGAGAAAGCATTTGAAATTATTTGAAAAGAATGAATTACCAAAGGGGAATACTACAACTTTGATAGATAATGTATAAAGAAAGAGGTACCAAAGAGAAAAAAGACATTGAGAAATTTCGTATAAATTTATATATCATACTAATGCATTAATTTTTGACTCTTCTCATATCCCGTCTTTGATTTCTATAGTTTCCAATTTCTTCTCATTTTCATTTTCTTCTTCTGATGCATTACATCTTGGTATTAATCTTATATCATAATCAGTTTCCAATTTTATTTCATCCCATGGATCAAAATTAACCCAAACCATTTCAAATTCATCGTCATTTTCCATTGTATGATTACCCAATTGAATATTTGGTTTTGAATAATCAGGATTCACTAACTCAGAATTCCCTTCTAGTATTTCATCTAGTCTTATACCTTTATTATTCTCATTTACATTTACTAGTTCATTAGTTAATAAATGTTGAAATCTTGTATTATTTGTATCATATAATTTTTGATAAATTTCATTATATTTCCCCTTTGAATTCAATTTAAGTAATAATTCAGAATTCTTACTTGGATTTCCTCTTTTTTCCATATTTTTCAACCATGTATTTGTCTTTTCAATCCATGTTTTAGTACTCATTGGAGTATAAAATTGTAATCCTCCAAACCAAAATGAAGGTTGTACACCATTTTTAAATGCAATTTTTCTATAATATTTAGCTTCTTCTCTCCATGGATCATAAGGTAATAAAACTCTAGTCAATTCCAAACCAGAACCAAATACTAATCCACTACCAATTATAATCTGCGATATACCTTTCCATATTGATTTTCTAAAAATTCGTCCATTTATAAAATTTAACCTTAGATTATTTCTTGCATAGCTGAAAAATTTAACACCTATTAGGAATTGTAAACCTATCATTGTATACATTGCTGGTTTATTATCAGATGCTGGTGTTAATGGACCCCAAAATAAACCAACACTTGGATTTTTAGGAATTTTAAGTGAAATTTCAACTTTATAGCCTTTATCATCATCAGTTGGAGTTATATTTGTCAGTTTCTGTTGTTTACTCTTATCCTTTTTATTTGAATCATCATCATCATTTGGTGGTGGTATATAAACACCCATACTTAATTCTTCTCGTGTGGTTATAAAAAAATAGATTTAATTGGAAAATCGAATCTAGAAAAACATAATATATATTTTGATAATTAAACTATGAGACTAATGGTAGAGTATAATGGTCTTAAGCTTCTTCGCCATATAAATCTTCTTTCAAATCAATACCTAATTCTTTTCTAATATCTTTCAATTCTTCTAAATAAGCTTGATATTGTTCTTTAGTTTCAACTTTATGTTTTAAAGCTTCAAAAGTTCTAACTGCTGTTGGATAATCATTAACTCTTCTACATGCTTGTAAAGCTTTTTCAATAACAGCTGGAGCTGGAACTAAATCATAGGAAAAACAATTATTCAAAATTCTTTGAACTTCAAATAAATCATAAGCAGTTTCAAATTCTTTTTCATATCTAGAATGAAAGTTAGTAATCATATCTCATATCTCAATTAGTTATTTACTTACCTTGCGGTGAATTCTTCGAAAGTTTCTTCATGATGTTCAGATAATAATCTTGCTTGTGATGAAAATGATGATTTTAAAATCAAATTTGAATTTCTAGCAATAGTAATTCTTGGTTTAACTAAATTTCTTCTTAAAGCTGAACGAATTGTTTGTGAAATCATATTAAATTAGCTCTTTTAGTTGCTTTTTGACAAATTATAAAAATAATGACGGGGTTCTGAAAAATTTATATAATATGGAATATTTATGAAGTTGAGTTAAAAATCAAACCTTAATATACAATAAATATTACAATTGAATAAATAAAAATGTAAATGAATAGTGTTATATAAAGCCTATACTATTGAAACTTTACTTTGGTTGTAAATTGAATTTGTTGATATAAAATTGAAAGATTTTATAAGATGATTTTTCGTATAAACTATTGGTAGCTTTTTTTTGTTAGTACATTTGTTAACTATGGTAGTGTACTCTATACCAGTGGAAAAAATATAATCACTTATTAATTGATTGGCTTACATTTAATCTTGACTATATGCAGATTAACCTTACGATTTTTATTTTTAATTCGTTTGCAACTACCAATTCTATATATCAAAACCCTTACAGTTTTGGTCTTTCTGAGGCAACAAACAGTTCTCAGTCATTATAACCTGAAATACTGACATCGAATGTAAAATCTTGCAGTGATTTTTCGATAATAAATCTGCTTTCTCGAGAAATTGTATATTTTTCAAAATTTTGCAGCCATTTTTACAAAATCTATATAATTATTTGGAATGTCACCAATCATAAATTTATAATTACTACCTTAATTAGGAACGGTAAAATATTCTGCAAGCCCTTTTTTACAACGCTGTATTTAATAGGAGTTTTATTTTTACAAACCTTAACTTACTCTACTACTCGGTTTCAAATTTAACGAATAAAACATACTTTTATAGATCGAATAAAAATATTCCTGAAAAAATGAGAGAATTGGCCTCAGGTAATCAAAAGTATATCGTTTGAAATATCTTACAGTTATGTATACGCTGTCAAAAATATCTTGTAGGTGTTTCTTATTGCTTAAATCCGCTTAGCTCACAACTGATAGACAAAACTCCTTTCTTGGACAAGTAAGAAGTGTTCCATACTAATTGTTGAGCTCAGAGAAATGTTTTCAAATTTTCGTGTTTTTTTTAAATATTTTAGTGTATATCAAATTAGACGATGAAATATGTATGGGAAAAATAATTCGTCGTTCAAAATTGTATACAAAAGTGTCAAGAGACGTTGCAACTAATAACTAATATATCTTCTGATTTTCACCCATAAAATCAAATAAAACAGTCAATAATCTATTCTTTAAAATCAAATAAAACAGTTAATAATATATTCTTTACAATGGTTGCAAAATAACCCAAATGTAAATAAACGTGTAATACAAACAGTCGTGTAATACACAATATGTTACAAATGTACACGATTATCTAATTTATTACATATCACGATATTTTTCTGAAACAAAAGTTAAAAAAAAAAAATTTCTTTGTCAGCAATTACAAATAAAACCAAAACAAACTAACAAATAGGTTTCGGGTTTTTAGCAGCTAATTATTAGACAAACGGTTATTTACTACTACTTTTATTACTTTATTATTACTTTCCCACATATACCTAACTAAATAAATTACATTCAAGTTGTCACAAATTAATAATTTTGATATGAACACATTTGGATGGCCAACTGCTACTTCATCATCGAAAGTAGTTGGAGGTACAACTAATGATGATCATACACAACAACAAGGTAATACACCGGACTTTTCAAGAATAGATCCTCAAGCTGCTGCCGTTAATGCTGTTAATAGTGCTAATTTACAACAACAGCAACATCATCAGCATCGTCAACAACAATTACAACAACATCGTCAACAAGCTACATTAAATCAACAAACTGGTGGTGGATTACAACCTCAACAAATTCAACAACAATTGGATCAATTACAACAAGCTCGACAAGCTCAACAACAACAAGTTAGTAAATCTCAACAATCTTCATCTCATTCAAATGATCATTCTTCACCAGAATCTTTAGATGAAAACGGTAGTCCACAAGATTCAACTAAATTAAGAAAATATAATCATAGACCAATATCAACAACAAAAAGAGCTCAACAAAATAGAAGTGCTCAAAGAGCTTTTAGACAAAGAAAAGAAAAATATATTCAAGATTTAGAAATTAAGGCAAGAGAATGTGAAGAATTAAAACAACAATTGGAAGAATTAAGAATTGAAAATACTCAATTAAGAGATTATACATTAGCATTACAAAGTAAATTAATATCAGTTAATTCAACAGGTAATAATAATTCAATTCCTGCTCCTCCTGCTTCATTTAATAAGATTTATGAAAAGTGAGTCTATAGTGTATTATTAGTATATGTTTTGTTGTAGTTGATTTATTAGGGCACTTGGTAGTTCTAGATTTTTTTTTTTCACTCTGTTTAAAATTTTTCAGTTTATCAAATCAATATGATCAAGACAATACAGAATAAACTGATAAAAAGTCTAGGTAAAAGATTTGTTAGGGTTTGGGCTGATACAAGTAAAAGATCATCATCATTAAATGTTGCTGAAGATATTAAATCAAGTTTATTTAATGAAATTACACCAGAAAATGGTAATGGTGCTGCATCAATACCAGATTATGAATCAAAATTAAGATATCATTCACCAATAGGCATTCATGAAGCATTTGAAGAAAGTTATAAAATATTATCAGAAGATGCAAATGTAAAATATCAACAATTAGAAAAAGAAACAGACCCAAAGAAAATTGAAAATTTACAAATTGAAGCAGAACAATATAATCCTGAAGTTTTATACAATGCAGAGTTTAATCATGATTCGTTAAATAAAACTCAACCTATATATAGACAATTATTACAAAAAAAATGGCAAGATAAAGATTTAATGATTTTAATGCAAAGATTAGAGACAATGCACGTTATACCAGATACCTTACCAACTTTAAATCCAACAGCAGACGTTAAAATTAAATTTAATCATAATACTGATCCAAGATTTATTGGTTGGATAGAACCAGGTACAAAATTACCAGCATTTGCAGTATCACAACCACCAACTATACAAATCAATGATTTTGAAAATAAAAATCAAGATGAGTTATATACAGTTTTATTAGTTAATCCAGATGTACCTGATTTACATGCAAATACGTATCAAACAAATTTGCATTATGGATTAGTCAATATTTCATTAAATAATATAAATGATACAATAAAACCTCAATGGTTGTTAAATAATGAAGATTGTATAATTCAAGATTATTTACCATTAACTCCATTTAAAAATTTACCATATCAAAGAGCTTGTTTATGGGTCTTCAAACAAAATGGAAGGCTGGAAGTTACTAAAAAATCAATCAAATCTAGATCTTTTGATATTGGAAAATTTGTAACACAAAATAATTTAAATCCAATTGGTGCTCATTTATGGAGACAAGAATTTGATAGAAGTGTAAATTCAATTAGAGAAATGTATGGATTACCAAAAGGTGAAGTTTTTTTGAAGTTTAGACATGATGAACCTATAAATACCGAATTTTTAAGAATTGAATTACCTTATAAATTTAATAATGAAAATAGACATAAATATGAAAAGCAAGCTTCTGAAATTGAAGCTGTTGCAGAAAAGGAACATAATGAAAGTGAAAGTAATTAACTGTATATAATCATGTAAATAAATAATATACTTAGTCATTGCCACGGCTGATTTAAATCTTAGGAAGGTTTAATTATTTTTCAAGGCGGTGTTTAGGCGGTTGTCTGTAGTAAAATAATTGTATAACATTTGTTATGCAGTTTCTTACATTCACTACCAACTTACCAAATTATAGGAAACTTAATTTTAATATAAATAAAGTTTAATGTCCATTGGTAAAATTTTTAACTTTTATTATTTTCTTTTTACCTTCAAAGATGCAATTGAGATTAATCGTTTTATCTTCATTAAGTTTTGCAAGTGTTTTAGGTGCTAAATATTCAAATTCAAATTCAAATTCGAATCACACTTATGAATCAAATAATAATTTAGCAGCTACAAAAAATCAACACCATCTTAATAATGTTACAACTAATGCAACTAATGTAACTACTACAACTACAACACAAGCAGGTAATGGTGAATTGGGCTCTAGTGTAAATTTTATAGGTGCTATTGTTGCTTTGGGTGCTGGTGCATTATTTTTATAAATTTGAATAAATGAAAGAGAAAATATATTTAAACTATATAGTTATAATTGATTAATGTTTGTTTTATATACTTACTAGTTGATATTAATAAATAATTTGAAAAAATTTCACGACTGTAGCATATCATAAAGACCTTGGATCTTGAATATTCGTTTCCGTTACTTTAAATCAGAGATCTCCACTTCAAGACCCTGTGTGCATTTTTTTAAACAGATAATAAAAAGTCAATACTCATTTGATTCATAATAATATTAATTAGAGCCGGTAAACACAGTTTGATCTTTTGTTTTGAGCGTGTTATTCTTTTTGCAGCTATTATTGTTGATAAAGAAATTGGTAGTTGGTAGCATAAATCATTTATATACAGGACCATGTTGAAGCTTTTTTTCCTTTTCCCCAACATTCGAATAATAAAATTTGTATTAACAGCCATATAGTCATCATAAATCATGTCAAGTTCAAGTTCACCAGAACCTGATACTTCACAAATAACATTAGAAGATTCAATATCTAAACAAGGTAGAAAAAAAACAAAATCTTCAACATTAAGTGAAGAACAGAAAAAGGTATGTTAAACTTCAAAAATTGACCTTTCGATATGATTATTAACATTTTAGGCCCATCACATAGCTTCAGAACAGAAAAGAAGAGAGAATATCAGATCTGAATTTGATAAAATAGTAAGTTTGACTCCAAATTTAACCGAGCTGGAAAATAGAAGTGAATTAAATATCTTGACTAAATCCGCTGATTATATTGATCAATTAAGAGATGAAAATCAGAAATTAATCGAATTGTGTAGGATGAAGGGTATTCAAGTGCCTCTGGAGTTGATATATACTGGTCCACAAAATGATGGTAGTGATATAGCAAAATAGGTAGGATGCAAATAAAAATCTAAAATGTAAGGAGTATTCAAGTAAGGAGGTGTAAGATGCTAAAAGAATATTTATTAATGTACAATTTTGTTTTCAGTTCATGATATTAAGTTTAATATATATTAAGTTTCTAATTTTAAAATTAGGCAATATTTGAATTGTTTCCCATCTTTATTAAACACAGATTCAACAGATAAGTAATCTGCATTGATCGGAATAAAATCATTTGGATTACATATCAATTGAGCATATTGGTCAGTTTCAAGCTCTTTGATTAAATTTGAATCTGATGTGAACAAATGAATGATTTGAAGTTTACCTTTACCAATACTGCATCTTGAAACATCATCAAATTTGGCATATCTACTGTCATCAAAATCGACTTCATCTTCTTCATCTTCGTACATGTCTATTATATTCTCATAACTGAATCCACCCCATTCAACATTAGCATTTCTAGGTAAATTTGAAACTTTAACTACAGTTAATGGAGGTGATGAACTTGAATCCACATCACTAATATAATCATTCCATACTGAGCTGACGGTACCCAAATCATTGTAACCTGTAATAAAACATATAACCAGTGCAAAATTTTTAACACCAACTAAATTCTTGACTCTATGTAAATGTTGCAATGATAACACTGAATTATACAATGACGACTCAGTAGATAGTTCCATTGTAGATGGAATTAATGGGATTTGACCCGATAGACTTGCTAATTTATATGATTCTTGCTTGTCTATTATGCTTTGAGAATAGGGACCTATATTCTGTGGACCCCAATATGATCTTGACCTAATATGAATACCATTTTTTGGTTGTATATTCCTGAGAACTATGAATGATGCTTGTATGTTTGTATTAATGTTTGTTTCTACACAAATTCTAGATGGGGGTAGATAGATATTTTGAAATTGTGACGAATACGTTTTGTTTATAGCGGTGAAGTCGTCCATATCCTTGACTAGTAAAGTTATGTGTTGTATGTCATTATTTGTAAGATTATATTGATTTAAATGAGCTTTTAAGATCGTGAATATGTCCTTTACTTGATCTTCTATTGATTCTTTAGTTGATGTAAGATTTGAAATGTATAGTTTTGTGGATGTTGAGACTATATTAGCCTTCGGAGTGATCGGTTTGATAGATTGTGCGCCTTTGATATCTGTTGATTGTGTTTGAATGTGTAGTAATTCTTCAAATTCATCTTCAAGTAATGCTGGAGGCTCTATTTTTGCAAATTCTTCAGGTTCTTTATCTACTAATTCAACTTGCATTTTCAAATAACATACATTATCATTTGAATGATCTACTACTTCTTGTTTCTGTACTTGCAATTTCTTTCTTTTGAAAAATTTGCAATTTAATACTATCGTTTCAAATTCTCCACCTTCACCACAAATATGAACATCATACATTTGGTTTAATTTAACTAATGTTGGAAATAATTCTTGAATAGACTTACCTAAATGTTTTGCACCAAGTCCTATAGCTGCAACTTTTATAATTCTTGCATCTAATCCCGATAAACACATTTCATTCATTAAATCATATTGATTTCTTTGCCACAAATAAGTCAGTGAAGTTAATCCTAATCTATCACATACATTTTCAACTCTAGTTCTTTGATAATGTGACAATATAGCACCACAGCTGACACCTTGAACATCTGGATGTGCTAATTTGATTTCGTGAATTAATTTATATAAATCTTCAATCTCGTCATTCTCCGTCACTTCATACTCTAAATTTTGATTGATTGATGATTTGGCATGAATTGCTCGTCTGTACAATGGAACTTCAAGACATTTACTATAATAATCAATTATATCATGACCAACAGTTTGAAACATAAATGAATCAATTTCATCTTTATTTGAATCTAAAGGATATAAATTTCCAAAAGCAATTAATTCATGACCTAATGATAAACAGTTATGAATATTATAAAATGAATCTTTACCACCTGAAACTAATGCAACAAACTTCATGACTTACACATTCTGAAACCAATTACCAAAGTCAATTATTCAATATAAAATTGATCTGTTGAAAACCTGCATATAAATATTTTTCAGATTTATTTTTTTTTTTTTTTTTTTTTCCAAATTTAAAAATTTTTCAGTTCAAATTTTATTTCATTTTTACTTCTTCTTTTCTTTATTACAACAAGTTTAATATATCACCATGCCACGTATGTTATAAGATATCAAATACTACTAATACTATCAAATAGATAGAACGATTTCAGAGCAGTTAAATCTGTGCTCACTGGTCGTTGGGGTTCGGGTCCTCCTTTCTTTGATTTTCAAAGAATGCTTAAAAAACTTTTCCAAATATTTATAAAGTAACTGAATTCCCGACACTTCAGTTACTAAATATGACTATGTTGTATTTAAACTTATTTCACGATTACAATAAGGTTGATCTATGATTGAAAAATTTTCAATAGGTGATGCCCTAAACGAACTATTGTCCGTGTGATTTTTGAATAAGTGATGAATAGACATTTTAATGGAAGAGTAATTTAAGCATTTTAATCATTGAAAGTGAGCGATCTCTCCTCTACTTTTATATTTTGAATTTTCAAATTCTAACAATTTTCTTAGGTGCTCCAAGAACTTATTCAAAAACTTATACAGTCCCAAAAAGACCATATGAATCAGCTCGTTTAGATGCTGAATTAAAATTAGCTGGTGAATACGGTTTAAAAAACAAAAGAGAAATTTACAGAATTGGTTTCCAATTATCAAAAATTAGAAGAGCTGCTCGTGATTTATTAACCAGAGATGAAAAAGATCCAAAAAGATTATTTGAAGGTAATGCTTTAATTAGAAGATTAGTTAGAGTTGGTGTTTTATCAGAAGATAAAATGAAATTGGATTATGTTTTAGCTTTAAGACCGGAAGATTTCTTAGAAAGAAGATTACAAACTCAAGTTTTCAAATTAGGTTTAGCTAGATCAATTCATCATGCTAGAGTTTTAATTTCACAAAGACATATTGCTGTTGGTAAACAAATTGTTAATGTTCCATCATTCACTGTTAGATTAGATTCACAAAAACATATTGATTTTGCTCAAAACTCACCATACGGTGGTGGTAGAGCTGGTAGAGTTAAAAGAAAAAACCAAAACAAAAATGCTGGTGGTGATGAAGGTGCTGAAGATGAAGAATAAATAAATTAACTCGTGTATAATACATATAATTAATAAAATAATTGGTTAAATTTCCAATGCATTACTGTAGGATCTATTCCAACACCCATTGACTTATCTACGTTGATTGATAGCTGGTTGCAACTTGATAAGGTTGATCTAAAAATGGCTGCAAACAACCATGATGATTAGGGCTATAGACCTTGTAAACCAATTATATGCAGTATGCAACAATTTATTACATAATATTATTCTTAACTATGTGCAAAATTGGTAGCACCCTTTTGGCGGTAGTACACTCCCATAGTTAAATTTTGTATGGTAGTAATATCAAATTGTTAGTGCGAAATTTAGTATCAAATTTTTTCATATTTGAAATTTTTATAAACTTTTAACCAACAAAGGATAATATTATACAATGGGTAAATCGTATGTTTAAAGATATCATATCACACTTGAGGGTGAATAATAAATGGGAGAACAAGAACAAGGGGGATTACAGAGATTACAGACAAGTTAGTAGTGGAGAAGAGAAGAAGTTGATCAATTTTAACCTTTCCAAAATTCGTCATCAAAGTTTCAAGTGATATTACAAGAATGCAGTACTAACATTTTATAGTCGTGGTTATAGATCTGGTACTCGTTACGCTTTCCAACGTGACTTCAAAAAACATGGTGCTATTCCATTATCAACTTATTTAAAAGTTTATAAAGTTGGTGATATTGTTGATATTAAAGCCAATGGTTCAATTCAAAAAGGTATGCCACATAAATACTACCACGGTAAAACTGGTATTGTTTACAATGTTACCAAATCATCAGTTGGTGTCATCATTAACAAAGTTGTTGGTAATAGATATATTGAAAAAAGAGTTAACTTAAGAGTTGAACATGTTAAACATTCAGCTTGTAGACAAGAATTTTTAAATAGAGTTAAAACTAATGCTCAAAAAAAAAGAGAAGCTAAAGAAAAAGGTGAACAAGTTAATTTAAAAAGAGATGCTGCTAAACCAAGATCAGCTTATGTTGTTTCAACTGAATCAAATGTTCCACAAACTTTAGCTCCAGTTCCATATGAAACTTTCATTTAAACAAACCAACCTACAACTAGATACAAACAACAATTTTTCAAAAATATTTATATTTTTATATTCTATAAAGTATAAATTTTAATGCACATATAAAAAAGAGATAAATTAGAATTGTAGATACTATTGGAAATTGTTTTTATCGTTTATTACTCTGTTACAACTTGAACTAGACCATGCAGCTTCTATTAAACACTCAAATTTCTCAATCATATTTCAATTAAAAACTATCAAATCAGCCTTGTCTTGGGTAATCTATTAAACATTTCTCAAATTAATTTCAACTTTTGTTAAACCTCAATTTCAGCTTTTGTTAAACACAATTTCAACTTATAATCAATTGAAACAATGAAATCTCAAAAAAATATTATAGCTTTGACAATGGAATTATGTTAAATTCAATCACTGAACATATACTCATCTACTTATAATAAAGTGCTATTTCCAAAGTCATAACTCTCAAGTATTTAAATCTACTACGAAACAATTATGACAAACGGAGCCTATAACTTCTATATACTACTATATACTACTATATACTACTATATACTACTATATACTACTATATACTACATAACTTGATCAATTAGCTATAATTGCCTGCTCATACAACTCACGTTCTCTAACCCTTAGACGTATTGCCCTTACTCAAAGGAAATCCAAGATGATGGACAAATCATTCTTCCTTATTGAACAAACGACTTGTTTCAGGTTTTGAAAAAAAAAAAAAAAAAAATATAAAAATTTAAATTTAAATATTGACCAACCCAAACCCAAATTATTCAATAAATCATGTCTGAAGAAGACAATAACAACATTAAAAACACAACACAGTCATCAAATTTATATACTAATGTACTACAAACATGGACAGAAATTGATTTACCAAATCTACAAAAAAAATTAGACGAACAAGGAATATCAATTAAAGAAGATCAAAAAGCATCATTATTAAGTAGAAAAAATCTAGCCACAAAGACCAAAGAATTTAAGAAATTAGAAGATGATGAGAAGATTAACCAATTAAACAAATTACTAAAGCTATATCAAAATGAAATTGATAGTTTAACAAATAAAAATAAATCAATTGAATCTTATTTTTTTGGTATTTATAGATTAATTTCAGAAGCACCAGATCCAAAACCAATAATTGAAATGTCATTAGATTCTATAATTGAAATGAAAAATGTTCAAAATTTGAAAAATGAAATTAATAAATTAAATGAAGAATTAATTAACAAGGCAGATTATGAACAATTAAAGCAAAAATTAATACAAAAGGAGAATAAGTTGGTTACCTTGTCTAAATCCAATTCCTTACTTGAAGAAAAAGAAGATGACTGGCTGCAAAAACTACAACTGGCCAATGCCACCATTCTCAAGTTAAAGAAGGAATTGGACGAAGCAAGGACAACTGTAGAAATTAATAAGCTACAATTGAATAATCAAAACTCAACTGCGGACAATTCTAATTCAAGTCCAATAATATTATCTAGAGATATTGAATTTACTAAAAAAAGGATCTTTGAGTTGGAGAAAAAGAATGAAGATTTAAAAATTGAATTATCCAAATCTAAAAATGATAATGAGATTGAAATTGTCAAAAATGATTGTTTTAATAAAATTTCAGAAATTGAAAGTGAAAATTCAATATTAATTGCAAATTTAAATCAAGTAAGGAGTAAAGCAAAACAAGAATCACAAGAACATAGTATCAAAATAGAGTCATTCAATAGAGAAATATCATCAATGCAACAAGAAATATCAAATTTGAAGAAAAAATTAGATTCAACTTCTGATTATGAAGAAATTAAAAATGAATTAACATTACTTCGACAAATTGAATTTGGTGAAGAAACAAATAATAATATAGATTCAGTTATAATTAATAAAAATAAACAATTGACTCAAGAATTGGCAAATTATCGATCTCAACATAATGATTTGAATGAAAAAATTACTCAATTGACACAACAATTAGAATCTACAAATCAAGAATTAAATAATTTACGTCAATTGAATGAAAAATTGGAAAATGACATGGCTGATATACAAGATGTGTCTCATAATAATAACAGATTCAGTGATAATGCATCCATAATTTCAAATTTTACAAAAATTACAAGACTAACAAGAAATGGAAGTTTAGCATCACTTGAAAATAACACTAAAGAAGATTCAAATTCAATTTTACCCATAATTACAAAACAAAGAGATAGATTTAGAGAAAAGAATAATGAATTGGAAGAAGAATTACGTAAACAATTTAATCAAATCAATGATTTTAAAAGACAAATTAATAAGTTAAAGAAAGATAATGAAGAATTGTATGAACGTTCAAGATATTTAGCATCCATACAAACTCCAGGAACAAGAAACTTGACTACAAATGCAGCAACAGGTAGAAAATTATTATATCCAAAACCAAATAGTTATGATACTGACCTTGAAAATCCATATCAGAAAAATTATGAATCTAAATTACATCCAATTGAACAATTTAGAATTAAAGAACAAGAAAGGATATCATCTAGATTATCACCAATTGAAAGACTATTCATATCTATGACTAGAGCAGTTTTAGCTACAAGAACAACAAGAATGTTATTTTTTGGTTATTGTTTAGGTTTACATATTATTGTCATGTTTGTAACTATTTATTCAATGAGTTTACATACTAGTGCAATACCTGAAGTTGGTTTAAATACAAGTACTGGCGGTGCTGCTACTAATTTAGCAGGTAGTCCAGATTCGTTAGGAAAAGTAATACAACCAAATTGAATATATATCAGTCTTTTCTTATTGTATGTTTGTTTTTGTTGTACGATATGAATGTAATTTTGCTAAATGGATGAATCCGTGCGACAAAAAAATTTTTCGCGCTAGAGTTAAGGCGACCTCGTACAAAATATATTGGCTCATATGTCAGGTGACAATAAATTTTCACGAAATACAAACCATATATTCGAGATCTGAAGCTAGCCTGATATATTCCATAAACTTCAAGTTTATAAATTCGAACGTTTTTTTTTGAAGTTGTCATTTTGGCACTTTTTCAACATACGAAATATTTTTGAAAAATTTGAATGCAATTAGTTATTTATTTAGGGCCATAACTTTCAATCAAACTTCGAATTATACATATAAGAGCTCGAATAAACATGCTAATCGTATTTTCAAATTCTATCAAGGATTTATCAAGAACTTCCATACTCATTGTTTTAACTTTCAATTGCAACATTAAAATCCCAGTGACGAACTAGTCTGAAACTTCCTTTATATAAATTCATTTAAGAACTGGTTCCTGGTGCAACTCAGAACTCATTCAATTGAATCTATATAAATTTCGCAGCCATTTCGCAGCCATTTCGCAGCCATTTTGCAGCCATTTTGCAACCATTTTTCAATGATAGTTAGTACTGCATATAGTAATATTAAAGTGTCATTTATTTATTACGGGGCAAATATAAATTAACTGTTGACCCTCTTTTATTCCGTTACTATATAAATTGCTTTCAATTCTCACCAATTCAGTTTATGAATACAATTTTATCAAAATTATTTATATTAATTATATTATATTACATTTATAAATTAACTATGTCATCATCATCTAATCCACAAGATAATAAAGTAGATATTGAAAGTTTTAAAAATTTAAATCCTGATCAAATTATGGTTGATGTAAACGGTAAAAAAGTTCCACTTTCAAGAATTAATAAACCTCATGCTGTTATACATCCACAAGATCATCAACCACAACAACAAAACAAAGATGCTTCTAATTTTCCAAAAGTTGAATCAGATGCTAAAAATAGAGAAGATATTAAAGAATTTAATCAACATGTATTGAAACCAGATTCTAATAAACCTAAAGTTGATGCTAGTTCATTTCCAAAAGCTGATGATGATGATGATTTAAAAGAAAGAGCAAAAGAGTTAAATGAGTAGAAGTTGAGTTGCAAATGAGTATATAGAAGTATAAATGTATGTACATATACAAGCTGTCTATTGGTGTAAAGCGGAATTGTTACCTAAAACGGGATAGTTACTGTCGTGTTTGATTTTGTGTCGTATCATTTTTGACATCAATGTCATTTTTTATGTCACGTGGGTGTCAAAAGTATTCTTTCTATATATTTTATCATCCGATAATCACCATATATATCAGTTTGACAACCATATATTTCAGTAAATAACCATATATATCCATAAATAACCAAATATGTTGTTACCAAGACGGTTATTAAGATGGTTTTGTTATTTTGTAGTGGTTTTAATAATTGCTATTAATTTATTATTAATTGCAAATAAACATCAAATAATTGATATGAATAATTATATTCCATATGATTTATTCAAACTGACGGCACCAACGTTTTTTCAACCACCATCTGATTCATTCATAATTGACGTATCTATAAACAGTTGTTTGCTCATAAATTCAAAAAATCCAAATTGTGGATTACCTTCTCCAGATCATGGTTTAAATGGAGATTTATCTGAATATGAAGGTGGTTGGTCAAAATTACCAAAAGATATAACATTAAATAAATCATATTTTAAGAAACAGTTTTTTTCAATTAAAAAGATTAAACATTCATCATTTGAAAATCTCATAAAATTTAAAGATATTGAAGATAAAGTAATTTTAGACATTGCTGTGTCCAATCCAACACAAGATAAATTAATAAAAGGGAATGAGAAATTGAAATTACCAAGTTATATTATTAAAACTTTCCACGAACAAGTTGTATATGATGATGAAACTCATAAAAATTTAATTGAACAAAATTCAGATAATAAAATTGATAAGATTACCAAACCTGATGAAACTAAACAAGCAAGCTATAAAATAAATCAAATGGAACAAGAAAATGAGGAAAAACAACAAGGGAAAAGAGAAGAAGTAGATGATAGGAATCAATTAAATAGACTACTTTATGTTCCTACAATGAAAGAAGTTGAACAAGATGGTTGGGTTGAAAAATTTAATGGAATTTGGATTAAATATGGTTCTCATAATGATAAAAATTCAATAACTGCTATTGATTTATTATTTGGTCCAGAAGCAGTTGATCCGAGACCAAATTGGAATTTGATAAAGATTCCATTACAAGGTTTATCTAATCCTTCTGATTTACCAGTCTTTATTTCATTTCGTAGAGGTCCTAAAATTGACTATAGAAAGAAATATTTAAACAATAGGAATTTAAAATTATCAAAAGATTATAAATTTAAAATCCTTCAAGTTGCTGATTTACATTTCTCAACTGGTTATGGTAAATGCCTTGATCCAAATCCACCAGTTGACAATTGTAAAGCTGATTCAAAAACTTTAAAATTTATTGAAACCGTTTTAGATTTAGAAAAACCAGATTTGGTAATATTAACTGGTGATCAAATTTATGGAGATACTGCACCAGATTCAGAATCTGCAATTTTTAAAGTATTTGGACCCTTCATAGATCGTAAAATTCCATTTGCCTGTGTTTTAGGAAATCATGATGCTGAAGGTTCAATTAAACTGAAGAAAGAAATAATGAGTTTATATAATGATTTACCATATTCATTAGGAGCATTAGGTCCCGAAGAAATTGATGGATGGGGAAATTATGTATTACCTATTGAAGATTTTAAAAATTCAAATATAGGATTAAGTTTATATTTTCTTGATTCACATTCTTATACAAAAAATCCAAAAGCTTACCCGGGGTACGATTGGATTAAAGATAATCAAATAATATACCTAAGAGAAGAATATGCAAGTATAGAAGAACAAGTTAAATCATTTGAAAAGAAACATTTATCAATGGCATTTTTCCATATTCCATTGCCAGAATATAGAAATTTAGGTGGGAAAGAAATTGTTGGCTCTCATAAAGAAGGTATTACTGCTCCAAGATATAATTCTGGTGTTAGAGATGCTTTACAAGATTTAGGTATTCATGTTGCTTCTGTTGGTCATGATCATTGTAATGATTATTGTTTATTGGATAAAAAAGATAGTAGTCCTGATAATTTAAATGAAGTCTGGTTATGTTATGGAGGTGGTGTTGGAAATGGTGGTTATGGTGGTTATGGTGGATATATTAGAAGAATGAGGATATATGACATTGATTTAAATAAAGGTGAAATTAAAACTTGGAAAAGAACAGAAAATGAACCAGTTAAAATAATAGATGAACAAGTGTTGATAACAGATGGTAGAGCACCCGGAGAATAAACAGAATAAACTAGATTTAAACTATACTATAATATACATTGATTTCAGGTTAACATCCTTACTTTGTAGTAAAGGATGACCAGCGTTCTTACTTTGATACCTAACTCCCTTTCAAGTTAGCATCCTTACTTTGTAGTAAAGGATGACCAGCGTTCTTACTTTGATACCTAACTTCCTTACTAGCATCGTTACTATTCTTTTTGCAGCCAAATTTTTCATTATCAACGCGCTAATAAAATTTACGAGAAAAAAACAACCTTTAGATTTCGATCTAGAACAGAGTATTTGGTTAGTTATGTCAGATATTGATAAGAAAGATTATAAAGACGTTAAATCATGGTTATTGAAATCAAATTGTCAACATTATTATTCTAAATTTGTTGAAAATGGAATCACTTTTGATTTAATTCCTGAATTAGATTCAAATAGTTTAAAAGAGTTAGGTATTTTAAAACTTGGTGATCGATTAAGATTAGAGATATCAATTGCGAATTTAAAGAAAGAGAAACTAATTAATATTGAAGAAATATATAAGAATTTAAACCTAACTAACGAGCTACTTTTGAATCATAACCAACTGAGTCAGAATGTTGTTCAAAGTGGTGCCACTCCTGAATTCACTACTGAATTAGCTAATAATTCAAATCAGTCACTTTCTCAAGCACTGAATAATACTCCCAAAGACATAAATAAAACAATTACATTTATATTACAAGATGGATCAATTAAAAAGGTCAATGTTACAGGTTGTTTTAATGCCCAGGCTATAAAACGTAAAATATTGAAAAAATTAGGATTCAAACCTCATGAAACTTCACAATTTGATACATATATTCATAATGATCAATATGATAATAATTATCTATTAGAACCTCAAATTCAATTATTATATGATGTTGAATTAGTTACAATTTGTTATTCTCCTGAACGTTTAGAAAAACATCGAATTATGTTAATTCCCAAGAATCAAACTCCGACAAAACAAGCAATAGAAGCAAGTAGAAAAATAATGAATAAATATTTCAAACATCATCAAAATATAAATCCAAATATTGTTAAATCAAATATGAGAAATTTTTTTGGTCAACGACCACCAAGTGAATTAATATCATCAAATTTGGCAGAATATTTCCCCGAAACTAAACAAAAAGATTTAGAGCAGACGGTTAGGAATTCAGTGAGGTATAGTGTTCAATTGAAAAATCTTCCAAAAAATCTATTACCTCCAAATTTACCAACTAGAGTTTCCATGATGAGTAATTCCACTGGATTTAGATCACAAAGAAGTATTTCATCATTAAAAAATTTGAAAACTATTGGTGATGTTATGGTCAATAGTATTAATGCAATTGATGAAGCCATGAATTCAAATGATACAATATCAATCTTAAACAAACCGTTACCAGACAATCGATCAATCAATTCTAAAAGATCAACATTGAACAGAATATCAATAGCTACGAATGAAAACAATCCAATAAATCATAGAAAATCAACCATTGAATTAATAAATTTCTCCGATGATGAAGAAGAAGCAGAGTATGATTTAAATCATTATTATGATGATGAAGGATCGTTCTTCTCATCTCACTCAAATTCAACTGAATTATCAAATACCGTTCCTGACAATTGGTTAAAAGGAACCAAAATAGGTTCTGGATCTTTTGGGACAGTTTATCTTGGTATGAATCCTTTCACTGGTGAATTAATGGCAGTTAAACAAATAAACCTCATTGGAGATGAAACAGATTTTTCAAAATATGAAGAACAACAACGAGAAATGCAATTATTAAAAGAATTAAATCATGAAAATATAGTAAGATATTTTGGATCATCAACAAACGAAACTCATCTCAACATATTCTTGGAATATGTTCCCGGTGGTTCTGTTCAATCCATGTTGAATTCATATGGACCGTTTGAAGAACCGTTAATCAGGAATTTTATAAGACAGGTCCTAATTGGATTGAATTATTTACATAATGAAGATATCATACATCGAGACATAAAAGGAGCAAACATATTAATAGACATAAAAGGGACTGTAAAAATAGGAGATTTTGGAATTTCCAAAAAGATTTCAAATTTAATTGAAGATGAAGAAAATTTCAAGAAGACAGGTAAACGTGAACAGTTACAGGGTTCAATTTATTGGATGAGTCCAGAAGTCATTAAAAAGAGCATATATACTAAAAAAGCAGATATTTGGTCTGTTGGATGTTTAATTATTGAAATGTTTACTGGAAATCATCCATTCCCTGATTTGAGTCAAATGCAGGCATTATTCAAAATTGGTAATCATATTGTTCCTAATGTTCCTGAATGGTGTACTTTTGAAGCTAAAGAGTTTTTATTAAAGACTTTTGATATTGATTTTGAGAGAAGACCTGAAGCTGTTGATTTATTATCTGATCAATTTTTGAACCCTTTGATTATGTCAAAACAGTGAACAATGCAAGGATGCCTTGGAATAAAATGGTAAGGATGGTATGGTAAATAACCAAGAAGATGATATTATACGATACTTACATTTTATACCTGTTCAAGTTTAAATAAGCGATACTTCATTTTTTATACCCCAATTCTAAATGCTCTACTCTCAATATCTTATTTGATTTCTTTGATTTATTTGACATCCTTACCATACTGGCATCTTGACTTATACTTGCATCCTTACTTAGGGTCAAATATAATCTGATCAATTGGTAGCACTATTGATATTTATCTATCTAATCAAAATAATAAAATCTGATCATCGTTTTATTTCTTAGCTGGATTTATTAATAGTATACTACCTGGTTGACAAAACAACCAAAGCAATAATTATTCAATTAGTAACCATTGTATTGTAACATAATATCATCACAATCGATTTGTACTAGTATCAACACTTTTGAGGTCAATTTTACCTTTTCGTATACGTGGTTAATAGCACGTTCTCAAATATAAATTATTACATATTCAAAATTTTTCAATATCCATTCCATAACATCAATTAATTAAATGGATATTCCATTAAAATCACAACCTAAAGTATCTACAGTTAGTTTATTAGATGATTCTAAATTTCAAATTTCAAAAAATTGCCATCATCATGACTCAACACCAACAATTACAGAATTAGATATACCTAAATCCCGAAGATCCAGTAAATCACCAAGTCAATTAAATTCAAATTTTTCTTATCGTTCAACTAGACGTTTTTCCGAAACTGAAAAGAATAATTTTGATAATGAAACTGGTCATAGAATATATGAAGATGGAAAAATACGGCCGCAGGTAAATGACTACGACGTTGTTGATGAATCACCACCTAAATTATATTCAAGATCTCATGATTTTAACATAGATGATAATTATCATTTTAATAAAGGATTAGAAGATGAATATATCCCGGGTGTAGATTTTGCAGACATGATATATAAATGGAATAACAATAATAATAACAATGTTTCAGATAATGAATTGAGTAGGTTTACAACTACCTCCACTACAAATCCAAATTCAATTTCAAATACACCAAGGTCAAAAGAAGCATCATATTTAGATTTAAATTTGTTACATGCAAAAGTTGCACCCCAACCAATTAAATCAAATAATCAACCTACAAATCAATATTCATTTCTGAAATTACATGATTATATAAAGAAAAACCATAAGATAAAAGATTCAGAAGAAGTAGCCCCAGAAACTGAAGAAGAAATCACCGAATTAACACCAGATAATATAAATAAAAGTAATGATACATTAAATGAGTCAAACAAAAACAAACGTGAATCAAATTTCACCAATCGTAGCCTGAAGAAACCAAAATCAGCAATTGATCCAGTCACTGGAGATATCAATTATGAATTAATTCTAAATAGTCTACCTCCCAATTTTACTGATTTACCATATTCACAACGTAAAAAATTAGTTCAATCATATTCTGATTCAATTGATTATTCCCAATTTAGTTTATTTGCTAAAAATTATCTTGGTACTTCTATAGGGTCAAGTTCAGGTGGTAATAAAACTCCAAGAAGTGGTTCAATAGGTGGATATAATTCAAATAATAATAGTTTTGTAAGAAAACTGAGAATGGGAAGTGTTAATACAATTGCAGGTAGATTATTAGCTCGAACTTCAACAACGGATTTAAAAACATTACCAGAATTAAATAAACCAAAATATAATGTTGATGAAAAAGGAGCATTTGTAATGGGTCATGAATTGGGAAAAATTATAGGATTTGGAGCATGGGGTACTATTAGAGAATGTGTAGATAAAGAAGGAAATGTAAGGGCAATTAAGATTGTTAAATCAACGAGAGAGAATAATAGTTCAAGATCAAATTCAAGAAATAGTTCAAGAACAAACTTACATGATGATTTAGAGAAATGTTTAAAAGTGTTAGAGGTATTCAAAAAGGAAATATCCATATGGAAAACATTACATCATGAGAATATTTTACCCTTAATTGATCACATTGAGACCGAAGACGCTATATTTTGTATAATGAATAGAATTAATGGAGGTACATTATTTGAATTGGTCTCATCATGGGGTTTATACAATTCAGGAATCAATACAACTTCCGGATCACTTGAATTTTCAATAAAACAACAAAGAGAACGATTAGCTAAAGTAGTTGAATGTACTAAACAAATAGTAAAAGCTTTATTATACATGCATGAAGAAAAAGGAATAGTTCATGGTGATATCAAATTAGAAAATGTATTAGTTGAAAAAGATAAATCAGGAAATTTGAAAATGATATTATGTGATTTTGGAATGTCAAGAATATACAGCTCAAGAATAAGTAGAAAAAATTCAATTAAGAAAATACCAACATATAATCCAGATAATGAAGTTGATGAAGATATGTTAATGATGAGATCAAAATCATCAAATACAGAAATAAGAAAACCTTATAATGGAGGAGATACAAAAAATACTCGAAATTTAAATATTAAAGATGATTCAAATATAGGTATTGTTGGTAATTTTTTTAAAAATCATGGTCCTTCATTACAATCAGTACCACTAACTCCAGACATCTCACCAACTACATCTACCCCAAATGGAACCAATTATTTTCATCTTCCAAGAAAACATTGGGCCAAATATTCAAATTCACAACATCATGATCAAGAAGGTGTTGATTCAAATTTACCACATTCACATATTGGATCATTACCTTATGCATCACCCGAATTATTACAACCATCTCCACCTCCATTGGGACCTCTGGCTGATGTTTGGGCATTGGGTGTGTTGATATTTGCTATGTGTGTAGGTAAATTACCATTTCAACATCAATATGAACCTAGATTAAGAGCGACCATAACAGCTGGGAAATTTAATAAATTAGATTTGGAAAAAGCTTGTTTAATAGAATGGATATTTAAAGAAGAGAAAAAGAGAATGAAGAAAGAAGATGGTGCAAATGTTGATGATTCTGATGGAATACCTGCTTCTGTATTATTACAATCTCTGTCAATGGTAGATTTGAAAAGACAAGAACAATTAGTTAATTTACAAGCTGAATGGAAACAATATACTCAAGTTCATGATAAAGAATTTGAATGGTTATATGAAATTGTAATTGGCTGTTTAGAATTAAATATTACTAAAAGATGGGATATGGAAATGATTAATGATTACTTGGAACAATATGCTCCATGAAAACTATGTACTATTTAATGTCGTAATGAGAGAAATGTTGTATAGTTAGTAATGTATTGATGTATTAATGAAATTGAATCTCGCTTACTTTTGACACAATTTCTATTTTTGGAAATTTAATATTTTTGTTTATTATTTTCAAATTTCACCTTTTGATTCACAATTTCTTTCTTTAGCTACATTATGACTACTACTCCCATATCTTTACCTGATGGTTATTCATTCAGAAAATTGAAATCATCAGATTATGAAAATAATTATCTTGAAACATTGAAAGTTTTAACTACAGTTGGAGAAATTAAACAATCTGAATTTGAAGAATTGATATGTCATTGGGAATCTTTACCTGATATATATCACCCAAGAGTAATAACAAATAATTCGGGTTTAATAGTAGGTACTGGGATGTTATTCATAGAGAGAAAAGCAATTCATGAATGTGGTAAAGTTGGACATATTGAAGATATATCGGTATTTGAAAGTGAACAAGGTAAAAAAATTGGTAATTTTATGGTTTGTTCATTAGCTAAAATTGCAAAAGAGAAAGGATGTTATAAAGTAATATTAGATTGTGATGTTAAAAACATTGGATTTTATGAAAAATGTGGATTTAAAAATAGTGGTATTGAAATGGTACAAAGATTTGATAAATAGAAGTGATTAATAGACAATTGACATATTTATTCATACTATAACTTATCTAATGCTTCAATTGAAATTATTGAATTACCTCTGATGATCTAAATAAAGTTAATACCGAATTGATAACAATGTATGGGTGTTACTTACTATTGTACCGATACTTAATTTCTCTTTTTGAGTTACTTCTAATGCTTCAACTAATGTCAAATTTAAAAACATCTGTGATAATGTTAGTATTTATTTTGTTAATTTGGCGTGTGGGTTATACATACATCAAATCCTGATAATATACCAATGACTTCTCGTGTACCATTTAACTGTATAGCTATTTTTTTATTCATATACTAATAAACAGTTAGTATTCATCTATTCGTCTCTTCTAATATGTGACATACTCGTTTTAATTCTGGTTCTGATATTGGCATTTTGATTTAATTATTTGTAGATGTAAGTTATACTTTTTTTTTTCTAAGTGAATTTTCAATCTATTGATAAATGCTGCCGTGTCAATCAATTGTAGCCATTCAAAAGACTCTACTCACGGATGAAGTTTGATTTGGGGCTAACTGGGTATCATTGGCTGATTTTACGCTTTTATCTTGGTGCTTTCACTTAATTTTAAAATTAGAAGATGAGATTTTTCAATATTGCCAAAATTATATGTACGGTGTTACTAGACATAGTCATGGCTGCTCAATATAATGTGGAAGAATCGGACATGAGTAAACCAAGAGTCGAGACTAACATAGTTGCTCCAGTTGCTAAATCTCAAAAAATTGCAAATCCATTTAAATTGTCTATAATCGTGGGTATTTTGACCTTGTCCTCAATATGGGCAATTGGAGAGATAATGGATGTATGTAATTATTGTTGGGATCGTCATAGAAACGCAAATGGTAAATGTGCTATAAAGTTGCTGGGTTTAGGAAGAATTTTTGGATTGTCTACTTTTGGATTGTCTACTTTTGGATTTCTAATGATTTTGGATATGCATAAAGACGGTCCATTGGTACCAATGATGCCTTTTAATCCATGGTCATTAATAGGACCTTGAATGCATTTAATTGTATTGGATTTGTTCATTTTAGGAGTTAAGTGCCCTAGAAAAATACAAAAAATCGATAGAAGAAAGGGTTCGCTTTTTTTGCTATTAGAGTCATATTTCAGGAATTTCAAAGCCTTCCACTAGATAATCATCGAACCAAGCAGTGTACAGAGCTGTATAGTTCGTTATTTGTAAATATAAACTCGTATATTTTATTGAATCTTGACGCGTAATTTTATATGCAGTACCTGGTATGATAAACAAAAAAATGTGAAACAAATTTTCAAAATAATTATATAATCCCAAGGTCAAATTTGCAATAATGTCAAGTGAATTGCATGATATACCATCAATGTCAGACATGGGACTACCCTCATCAAATATAAATGAGGAACAAAACAAACCAAAAGAATCAGAAGATATTTTAAAGATCAACGAAGCTAAAAAAATCGATACCACCAATTTAAATTCCATAGATTCATTACTCCAAGCCAAAGAACAATTATTAGCTCAAAGAGAGTCACTAATCAAAAAAAGATCGAATCAATTAGATAAACTCAACGATCTAAGATTAAATATACATATGCTTAAAGAACAACAAGATAATTTCATAATGGAAGAAAAATTCAATGAATTGATTAATAATAATAATGATGAGTATTTAACCAAATTAGATAATCAGAATATTAATGAGGATCAATCTATAATGGATCAATTCGGAGTATTCCCTTCTGCGAATTGGGAAGATCGTCTCAAATATTTAAAATTATTTACTCCATATCTTGAATTAGATAAAATTGGTACATTTAATGAATATTTCAATGTCAAATTATTTAGAATTATTCAGTTTGAAATTATCATGCCTGTGATATTTAGAATCAAATTTAAGTTATTTATTAATACTGAGGATGATTCATTAACTAAAATAGAACATGAGAATTTAAAATCATTGATGAATGTATCTACAAATGTATACAATGTGATACTTAAGAACTACATACCTAATAAGAAGATAAATTCACTATTATCTTGTTTGAACTCACTATCTAAACTAGTGAGTCAAAAGATCAATATAATTAAAGAGTTGGTAACTACTTATGACAATCTAATATCTAATAATGACTTACTTATTGATGAAAAAGATATTAGAAAGATGATGAGTACTTATAAACTGCTAAACCAGCTTGAGTTCAAAATAAAAGGGTTTAAGCTTATATTTGTTTGGAATATAATCTTGAATGAAAAAGTAACGGCCATGTGTCTGACAGAAGTAAATTTATACATTACAACGTTGGAAAATGAACATTATGAACAATTTGGTCATATAAATGAATTATTTCAAAATTTGTGTATCAATTATGGGATATTAAATGCTTTCAAAATAATTTTTAAGAAAATATTCACTTATGAACCTATTTCAGATTCATTATCGAGTACATAGTCACAGTTGCATTTCATTTCATATGTATTTACTATATACTCACAGTTTCATTTTCTAAATCAAATGAAATATAAGATCTAGGTATTCCTCTTTCAAATTTCTTTTCTAATCTACTTATAAACCATTCATTTAAAAAAGTAATCAATTGTAAAATATACAGCTTCTTTTCATTTGCTTTATCATAATCTCCCAATACAAAATAATCAAATTGTAAATCATCAAATTCATCAATTAATGACTTTCCAAAATTTTCATACATATAACCTTCAACATTTTTAATTAATTCATATCGAATATCTTCCCATTCCATACCGAGTAATTTATTCCCTATTGATTTCTTATACCTAAAGTAACGATATAACCAATTTCCCAAAATTGTAGTTTTCTTATTAAATGAAGCTGTACTTGCTTTTGAAGAAGTACGTACTTCATGTATTGTATGTTTTGACAATTCAACTAATTCACAACGATGTGAAACTGATTCTGATGAATCTGGAGTCGATTGATGTGCCCTAATTGGACCATTGAATTCTTTTTTAATGATTGCAAGATTCTCAATTGGAAATTTAATACCTTTTAATTCCCTTTGATTTTCTTCTTCGCTTCTATTTATTACATTTCTAGATAATGGTGATGCAACGTTTGGATTATTCTTTTTGACTTTTTTATTAATTGGTTGTTGTACTTGTATTGTTTCTTGTTGTTTATTCTCTTGTTGTTTTTCCTTTTGTAGTTGTTGATGGAATTGTTTTTGTAATTGTTCAAATTCCAATTGATGTGGTTTAATTTTCTTCTTCTTTTCTTCTATAGTTTCAGATTCCGTGAATTGAAATCTACCATCTTCATGATCTTTTTCTCTTTCTCTTTTCTTTGATTCTTTTTTATTTGTATATTGTGTGGTTTCTTTTTCTGCATCATTATCACCTGCCAAATGTTGCATTCTTAATTTATACATTTCATCAGCATACACAATTTCATAAACTGGATCTTTATCAAATGATTCCAATTGATCTTGGGGTATTAAAATTGGTGGTGGGATTTGATTTGCACCAAATGGATTTTGAGCAAGTTCTTCAACTGTAAAACTTGTTTCTAAATAAGTGTATAATAACCACAATAATCTTTGAGCTCTATTTTTTGGATCATATCTATCATCGACGAATAAATGTAATAAGTGTGAACAATTTGGATCATTATTCATATATGGAATATCATTAACTGAATTACTTAATAAAAATAACAATTGAATTAAATTTGTGTTCGGTTTTTTAGCTGGTGGATTTTTCATTAATTCATCCAATAATCCCAAATTATTTTCTTCACCTTCACATACTGCTTTCAATATACTTTTTAATCTTGGAGTGTCTTGTAATTGTTTAACTGTACCTCCCTCAGGACCAGTTTGTAATGATGGGATGGAATGAAAAGTACGTAAGGTTGATTTCATCTCAGGTACAAAATTTATGGTGGTGTTCATTCTTCCAACATTGACTAATATACAAACCATAGATACAGCTTTACCTAATTCAAAATCTCTAATTAATTTTTCTTTCAAAACTCGACTACATTTGTTAGATTCAGCTAATGTCCTTACGTATAATTCACCAAATGAAATTTTAGGATTATCATTACAATTAGTTATACTTGAATGTGGAAAAACATTAGTAAAACAAGGAGTAGGATCATCAAATAAAGCACTCAAAAAATCATATTGGATATCTTTTCTCCAAAATGGTTCACCATCCGATTTTTTTAATGATAATTTTGCATTTGCTATATTATTCTTCTTTTTGCCTCTTCTATTAGTTGGCTTTTTTTCCTTCTTTTCTTTGTTTTTTGGAGGTGGTGTTGATGTATATTCATCATCATCTCCTAATATAGTTGAATTTACATCTGTTTCATCGTTATAATCATCATCATTATCATTTTCATCTTCATTAATTTCAGGTGGAGTGTTAATTAGACTTGAAATTGTATTTATTTTAGGTGGTACCATTAATGAAGGTTCTTGTTGTTGACTTGAAACTAAATGAGATATAGATAAAGCACTACCACCATGATTAACATCAAATACATTACCTGAAACATTGGAATCTATTATATTATTTATATTTTGACTCTTCAGTGAGTCGTTTGTAGATGTCAATGAGCTTGATTCTTTTGAAGGTACATAAGTATCATGAATTGGATCGTAGCTCATTATAACTAATAATATTTGTTGTAAGAAACAAAAAATGAAATTTTGGTGGAATCAATTTTAATACGTAAATTGATTTTGGTAGCGCATGAATGAATTTGGTGATAATAAGTAGTATATCGTCTACTAAATTCTATAAATATACCCAATAAATATACAATACCCAATTTAACTATAATAAACTAGTAAATTCTCAACCACTTTTCCTTGTATTATTAATCTTCCATCATCTGTAATTCCAATTGCTGATTTCTCTTCATTATTAGCTTCAAAAGGTAAAGTCCATACGATCTGATTTGAATATAGATTGACACCATTAATCTTCTTGATTCTAAGCACTGCTTTTTCAAATTTAATCTCCGATTCTTGTTGATGCTGTAATGAATTGATATACTCTTCTGTTATTACAGTGTTGAAAGAATCAACTTTATCGATTACTAATTCTTCTACGACAATACGTAATCCATACAAATTAGGAACCCATAAATCATTACTCAACATTAGCGTATCATTAGATACTATTTCAGATACTTCTACTTCATTTATCAATTTTATATCACCCCAGAATACTTCATAGAATAAAGTAGTTGCAACTCGAGGACAAATTAAATCTGTATCAAACATTGTAAACTTATCATAAAAGTTTCTGTTTAACTCCATGGTTGATCCATCTAATGATGTTTGAGGTAGATATCTTGGTTTTATTAATGAATTCTTGAACAGATAATCTGAACTGAAAAATGCATTCCATCGATAATATGATGATTCAAGAAATGAATTTGGTGATTTTTGCCAAGGGTTTAACTGACAATAATTAAATCTTTCTGCAAATGGATCTATTTTGTATACGTTTTCATTGTTTATATCCACATAGAATGGTTGAACAATTGATACGTTTCTATAAAATGATGATATTGGTTTACTTATCAATTCTTTATTTGAAATCGTTACATTATCATGAGAATCAATAAATATAGTTTTGTTATCTTTTAATTTATCCATATTCTTGTCTAACCATAATGGATGTGCCTCAGTTGAAAATATCCAGTTTTTACCCTTCATGAAATCCTGATGTAAAAACACTTCATTTTCCTCATCAAATAATAAATATAAATATTTCAAAGTTTCACCTAATACGAATGTCTCCATTCTATTCTGTCTTATTCCGTTCTTTATATTCTGTAATCCACATAATCCACAAGGTGCAGAATATTTAGTTTTCAATAAATGCAATATACGTTCTCCAATATTCAAATACATTGGATCTTTAGTTGCCCTATATAAATAATAAGTACTTTCAATAAATTCAGGTCTTAATGGATACCATTCAAGATTTATTGAATCATCAGCTTTAAACACCTTCTTCTTCAATTTCTTCTTATTATCGAAATGTTGAAATATCCACCTTTCAGGTATGCTTTCAAACGTATTCCATATCTTCATATACACCACATGTGTCCTTATCGCATCTGTCAATTGACCAGTTAGAACTTGTAAGCCACTCCAAAATGCACTGAGGGAATCTATCCAATCACTAAACACAACACCATCATTTATATTTATATTGGGAAATATTAAACTTCCCAAACCACCTTGTGCCAGATGCGTCAATAATGCTTTATATGAAGTAGTATATACATTCCACATAGAATCATCATTAAATAAAATTGAACTCTTTGCTGCATATTCATAAAATGAATCAATGGAAGCACCTATCCCAGTTATTGAATCCTTCCATTGATTTGAGATTGGATCAATTGTCATTGGTAATAAATTTAATTCAGACTTAGATGACCATAATTTCCACCAAGTCAAAGATGTATAATATTGAAATTGATAATCACCAGTTAATTTTGAAAGTAATGTGAATTCAAGAATTGGCGTAGTTGCACCTGAAGTACATGCATCTCTTTGAAGACTTGGAGGAACTGATTTTAAACCCTTGAGCAAATTGATTCGTGGTACTGGTATATTTGTTGATGTCTTATAACTTGGAATTAATTTAAGACCTAGATCGTAAGCCATATCGAGTAAAAATCCATCATAATTTTCCACAATTTTACGAATTCCCTCGTAACCTTTTACTTTATTTTTGAATAGGTCAGTTAAGATTATATGTGCTGATAATAAACCACCAAGATGGCGTATAGTAGTTTCAAAAACTTGAACTATTGTATTTTGGTCGAAGAGCCCTACTTGATTCTCTTTTAAGTAAGATAGCACGTATTCCAATTGATCATATTCTTTCATTATAATTAATGTATCTAAATTGTCCAATACCGTCAGTGAAATATTTCCCATGGCATCATTCCTAACTGAATTTTCAACATTTTTATAATCTGGTCCGTACGCTTCACATGTAATTGGTCTAACTTCATCAAAAGGAAACCCATATTTCATATATGAGTCCCAACCATGAATAAATAGACTTTTTGTTTCATTAGATAGTGATCTTAAATGTTCTTTGGTAAAAGAAGAATTAAAAGATAATGAATCTAAAGCATTTATAAAAGTACATAATAAAATCAAATGTATGAATATAACCAGCAGTAACCTCTTTAATAGCATATAATACCTTATGTCTTCAAAATGCTATCAATTGTTAAATCTGAAACTTTTCACTAATGATCAAAAGACAGATAATCAAGATTAAAATCACGCTACCAGTTGACTTTCTAATTTCTATCTTAAATGCAAATTATGTATTGTCTCTATTTATTTACCAAAAATTCTATTAACTTGATTTATAATTCTACCTGTACCAAACCAAAGTGTAAAAATGATTAAGAAAATATTCAACACTATAATTAATAACCCGCTTAACATAAATCTAGGTGCAAATATTTTCCAAACCATTAAATGTCTTCTAAAATGAGCAGCAAATATTAAACTACTTAATCCTGTAAATAAATGATATGTAATTAAAGTAGTAACATTTGTAATAATTTGAGATAATAATGTAATTGGTTTTGATGAAGGAATTATTTTCCATAATGTAATTAATGGTATTGATAATGCAATAATAAAAAATGATCCAAAAGTGTTTAAAATTATATTTAAATGAGTGAATGGAAATACGATATTTTCAGTAGTCATGAATCCAATTTCCCATTGTATTGATGGTATAGTAGCTTGATGTCCAGTGCTGAAAAAATGTTGAAAACTTAATAAACTGAAAATAATAGGTGATATTAAATTCTTTCTAATTTGTAATAAATCAAAAATTTCCAAAAGGGATAATATTTGTACAATTAATATACTTAATGAGATTGCACCTATTGGTTTATTAGTTAACATTACAGCACCAGTGAAATTTAAAACTAATAAAAAATATGAACTACCATAAACATTACCATATCCTAATATAGTTGCAGTTTTACCATTTGGTTTTTCTTCTTCTTCTTCTGAATCATTAATGCGTTCAATATCTAAATCATCTTTTAAATCTAATTTAACACATAATGGACCTCTTGACCAACTAAAATTAGCCAAAATTAAAGTAATAAATAAAACTAATCTTGCAATTGCCAATTTCAATGACTTAATTAAATTAGATCCAACTATATTATATTTATTGAAATATTCATTGTTTTGAATATATTCAAATACCCAATATATTGAATTCATAAATAATATAAATTTTAAACCTGTACCTATCCATAATGGAGCTGCTGAATGATAAGAATCTGATAACTTATAAAATGATGTTATTGTAGAAGGTAATAAAAATGATATCAAGACCAATAGTACAATTGTCCACCAATGAGTTGAAAATGTTGGTTCACAATATGATCTTTGTTCTTCACGACATAAATTAATCATTGAAACAATTCTCGTTAATATTGTAAATGTAACAGCATGAGAAATTCCTAATATTTTTTGACTTTTATTTAATTTTGAATTGACTGAACATCCATAAATACAACTGAAACCAAAAGTTAATAAAAAAAATGAAATCATTTTATCTTCCCATACTACAAATGAATTTGATGCAAATATTAAACAATGGAAAGCGACAAACAATATACCCATAAATGACCAACTATTAAAATTATACATGAAAAAATCAATTGTTTGATGATATAAGAAATTAATACTAAATCGATCCATAATTGGTGCCCAAAATCCAATGACCATACCAAGAGCAGCACCAATTGAAATACAAGTTTTTAAACTAAAATCAGCAGGTTTTAAAACAATACAAACTGAAAAACTAAGGACTATTCCCATTATAGTCATGGCTATAACTGATCCAATAAATTCAAATGACATAGTCAGTACTCTAACTGCTGGTATTGATCTAGCATAAGTGATCATAAAAGTTAATGAAAGAAATAATATACCAATTCCAATTCCAATAAATCTCAAGTCAAATCTTGCCCATAGTGATTTACATTCTTCTAAACTTTTATATTGATATTGTTTTGACTTTTCAACAAACATATCATTTTCATGTTTAAGTAAACTTTTATAATCATCTAATAATGAATTTGATAAATTTGGAGTTAAATCTCTAAATTTTTTAATTTGATTAATTGTTAACTTTGTAGCTGATATTAATTCTTTGGTACTACCAAATGCTTCATCAATTGGAAATCCTAAATTATTAAATGGAATAGGTAATCCTAGTAATATTGACATGGTAGATACTAAATCTATCTGATTTACTTCTCTATAATCAGCACCTAAATTTGAAATATCATAAAATGAATCATCTTTTTTCAAAAATTTATGATTTTTAGAATACATAAATAATGTAGATTCTAATTCATCAGGTGAATCACCACCATGGTTACCGGTTGAATCCATTCCATGATCTCCAATTAAAACTAATAATGTATCTTCTTCTAAATTTTCAACAACTTTTGTAATTACATCATTCATTTGATTTAATTTTTGCTTCATTGTATAATGTCTTGGGCCATACCTATGTCCTACATGATCAACACCTAAGAAATGACCAATTAATAAATCCCATTTAGAACATTGATCCTTTTCAATTAATGGGAATAAATGTTCTATAACTCCATTATCAACAGTATCTAAATCCCAAACATTCAATGAATCATAAGGAAAATTTAAATTTGGATTTATATAATCACTAAATAATGCTTGCCATGTATCATCACCCATAAATGCTATAGTTTTATTTATTTTATGTAACTGTAATAGCCAATTATCTTCATCAATTGCATCACCATCAAAATTTGACCCTGCGTCAATAAAAGTAGGCAATGAACCAGTTGTCAAACCTTTTAATCTTTGTAATGTAGTAGTTGGTGGATCAGCAATAAATTTCAATAGTACACCATTATTTGTTTGTGATAAATCATATAAAATAGGAAAATTATTATGATAATATTCCTGTGAATCCGACACTGGAATAACAAAATCAAATCTTAACGCATCTATGACTAGAAGAATTGTCTTTTTGAATCTTGGCGATAGACAAGAACTTGTCAAATCACCATTAATTTCACCGTTTTCTATATTATGACAAGTTGAAATACCAGGTAATACATTTCTTGATAATAAAAAACCCAGTTTGAAAAAACCAACACCAATAAATTGAGTTATTGATAAGAAAATCAATACTATTATATATCCTACAAATGTATATTTTAATTTTTGTTGCCTTATTTTTGATCTTGTTGGTAATTGTTGAGTATACGGTGATGACCTTGGGGTTGGTAATGGAGGTGAACTTCTTTTAGTTATAGGACCATTATCATTACCATTATAATTTTGATCCATTTGATTCACTCAACTGTTAAAATATTCATAAAAAGGGAAATAGCCAGGTATTTGTTAAATATGTTTTGATTTGACAAATCTTGAAACTCGAATAGTTTTTTTTGACACTTCCTAGCGGCTTAAAAATTAAAAATTAGGTGGTATTTTCTGGTGTTAAAATAAATTTTTAGGTGGTGTTTTATTCAATAATAATACAAAAGAAGCTATATATTACTACTCTTACTTTAATAATACATATGTATATACTAATCCATTCCCTGGTTAATTTGATTTAGAAAGTCTTGTTCAAAATCAGTATGATTCATTAAATTATCATCACCATTTCCATCAAAATTATATAAATCATCAATATCATCATTTACAATAGCCAGTGGATCCATTTCATTAACATTATCATTGAATAAATTATCCATAATTGCTTGTTCTTGTTGATCTGCATCTTGTGATTGATTAACTTGTTGTGGATAATTTTGAGATTGTTGGTGGCTATTAGTTTGATTAGTCCCAGATACCAGTTGTACTATTGGTGGTTCTGATCGTGGTGATTGTCCATCATTATTCATTTCTTTTTCAGTCGGTGGTGATGCTGGTGGTGAAGGTGATGGTGGTTTTTGTGTATCTCGTTTTGCTTCTTCTTCAGCGACTGCTCTTACTGCAGAATCATTATCCTTAAGATCAGCATTGTTATTTTCTGGACGTTGTTGTTGATTTGTAGTTTGTAATTGATGATTATTCTTTTCGGGATTTTCCTTATTTATCAAATTATCAGATAATGAACCTGTTATTTCTGTATTAGATCCACTTGTATCATATGCATTAGTTTTAACATATTCACCTTGCGATATTCCATTTCCATTATTATTATTATTACTTTCAAGATTGTCTAAATTTAAATCAAATGGTGGTTGATCATTATCTAATCCATTCATATGATCATCATCATCATCATCATCATCATCATTATCAAATTGGAAAATACTATTCATATCATTAACATTAGCTGGATCTAAATTATTTGCAAAATTATCAATTTCAGAACTTAAACCGCCATTTATATGATTACCATTGTGATTGTTATTATTATTTTGATTATTCATTGGGTTTAATTTCCTTGGGTCATAATCTTTTGGTGCTACATCTATTTTATAATTTGGATTTATCGTTTTAATACTCACTGTACACATTCTAGTTGGTGGATAAGTCTTTAATGTTCTCTTATACTTCTCCTTCAGTTCTTGTAAAATTGCATTTAAATCTTCTTCCAACATTTTTGCCGTCTCCAAAGATAAATTATTCTCTTGTTGTATATCACTTAATTTTCGTACTTTATCTTTTTGAAATTTATAATTATCAATATCAAATAAATAAGCTTTATAATTTGGATCATCTTCAGTATGCATTATACTTAATTTCTTCTTCAATCTCATATCTACATCTTTCATTAATCCTAAATCACCAAAATAAACATCTTCAGGTTTTAAATCATCGTATTCACTTTCTTGTCGTTTTGAAATATTTGGATATAAACTTGGTGGTATGATTTTATTTGTATGTATTAATTTTGAAGTTATATTTTCAATATATTCATGATTTGTAGTATATCTGTATAATGCATCATTTCGAAATGATATTAAATCAGCTTCATCGTGTAATTGAACTCCAGTTTCTTCTTTTAACGAATTTTGTTGTAGTTGTTGTTGTTGATGATGATGATGTTGAGCTACTTGTGCTTGTGCTTGAGCTGCTTGTTGAGCCGCTGCTTGTTGTTGTAAAATATGTTGAGCGTGAGCTTGTTGTGCTGCTTGTTGATGTTGAAATTGTTGATGTTGAGGACGTAGATGCGGGAGTATATTTTGTTGTTGTTGATACGCTATTGCTGTATTTATCCCTGTCCCTATTCGAGATTGTTGTTGAGCTAGTTGTTGTTGTCTTGCCATGGTTTCAGCATGAGATTGAGCTAATGCTTGCTGTGTTTTTTTATTCATACGACCTTTTGGTCTTCCTGGATGTGGCATAACAAATAGAAAAAACTAATTGACCAATGTACTTATATGAATCTCAATTGATATAAATAAATAAATCTGAATGAAGTTATAAATCTTATAAATTGTATTGGTATTGTCTTATTTTCAATATTTAATTTTCTCGTTATTTTTTTTTTTTATTGACCAAAAAAAAAAAAAAAAAAAATTATGAAACATGGTATATACACGACCATCCTAATCTAGTAAAAAAGTTATAAAAGTATATATTAATCTAAATTAGTATGTTGAATTCTGTTTCTTTCTCTATATATAACATGTTAATAAACCAATAGTATAAATAATAATAATAACAATAAAATAATAATAATAATAATAATTAACAAAAAGTGTCTGTAATAATATAAAAAAATAAAACAAGCAAGAATATAAAAAAAAAATTAATATAATGATGAAGTAAACTTAATAATATTGTCAATCTAGTAAATAGTTTTATAAATCAAATCTTCCATTAACAAATTCATAATCCATTGGATGATCTTCGTCTATTTCCATTTCATCTTCTTCTTCAATTTGATCATCATCTATTACATCTTCATCTGGTGGCAAATTTGGATTACCAGGTATAAATGAACCCGGACTTTTAAAAGTATTCATTCTTAAAGATTTAGCAAAATGATCATCCATTGTTGAATCATCAACATATGTAAAACCTTTAAAATTTGCTTGTATACCTGGCGATAATGGAGTTGATGCCATTTCCATTTGTTTTTTTAAAGCTGTTGTTGATTCTGATGTAAATTCAGGATCAAAATTTGATGTATCTGTTTCTGAAGTTAAATGTGGTTTAAAAGGTGGTGGTATCAGTTTTGATTTTAATAAATTCCAATCAATGTCATTGAAAAATGGATGTGCTTTTAATTCTCTTGCATCATTTGTTGCACCTAATCTATGTTTTGGATTTCTATTTAATAAACCTTTAACAAATGATCTACCTTCTGCACTTAAAATTTCTTTTGGAAATCTAACTTTACCAAAAGCAATATTTTTATACATCTGTTGAGTATTATCAGCATAAAATGGTGACCAACCACAAGTCATTTCAAATATTAAAACTCCCAATGACCAAAAATCAACCATTTTAGTATATCCACTTTCATCTAATAAAACTTCTGGTGCTAAATATTCTGTTGTACCACAAAATGTATTTGTTGTACCATCATTATTTAAATTTGCTTTTGATAATCCAAAATCACAAAGTGCAATATGACCATTTGCATCTAATAAAATATTTTCTGGTTTTAAATCACGATAAACAATACTATTATCATGTAAATGTTCTAATGCACAAACTAATTCCGCTATATAAAATTTAGCTCTATCTTCAGAAAATCTACCTTCTTTTTGTAAATGCCAAAATAATTCACCACCTGACATATAATCAGTAACTAAATATAAATCAGTTGGTGTTTGGAATGAAAATTTTAAACCAACTATAAATGGTGATGATGTGGTTGAAGTGCGTACTAAAATATTACGTTCTCCAATTGTATGAGCAATTTCCTTTTTTTTAACTATAACTTTCTTTGATAATACTTTCATTGCATAAATTCTTGAAGTATCTTTTTTGATAACTTGAAAAACTTGACCAAATGTACCTTTACCTAATAATCTTAAAAATTCAAAATTATCAGGACCAAAATTTTTCTTTGCTAATGAAGTATATTCCCATTTAATTAATATTGAACCAGAAACTTTTTCACCAATTACTCTTGCAGTTAATGGTAACCATTCAGCTTGTGATTTTTTATTAACAGTAGTTTGAGGGAATAATCTAACATGACCTAAAAATGCATCATCTTTAGCACCATCATAAACAGAAATATCTAATTCTGATTTTGAACCAATGACATCAAATAAAGCATCATGATTCCATATTGGATTATTATTTGCATCTGAAGTTAAATTTAATTGAGGTGTTGATAATTGTCTTTGATATAAACCAGGTCTCTGATTATGATTTTGGTGATGTTTATTTACTGGTAAAAAATTTTTATTATGATTAGGTTGTGGTAATGAAAATTTACCAAATGAATCAGGACCATTAGTAACAAATTCAGAACTCTCAAAACTACAAACTACATAAGGTTGAGTAGCTTGTAAGTCTTTTGCTTCGAGTATAGTAACTTTTAATTTACCTTTTGGATGAGTGGCAGCTTCTGAATCGGGATTTATAGTTTGACCAGTTTCATCAGTAGTTATAATAACTGGATCTTGATTATAATGAGATGATATAGTAGATGAAGAAGATTGTTGTTGATTAGGTTCTTGTTGTAATTGTTGTAATTGTTGATGGTTAATATTTTGTTGATAATAATGCGGATGATTAAAATTATTTTGATGATAATCATTTGATTTAAACTGTTGATTTAAATAAGATTCTGGATTATCATTAGCTTTAGTTGTAGTAGTACCATAAACTGACGAATTATTAGAAACTGGAGTTGTTGGAATTAAATTCACTAGGCCCTTGGGTAAAAATTTATTTTGTTGATCATCATTAAATTGGTCATATTGTTGTTGATTAAAACTTTGAGCTTGCTGTTGTTGATCGTAATTAAACTGATGTTGTTCTTTAGTTGTTGTTGATTGATTTGAATGTGATGATGATGGAGGAGTTGGTGATGCAGATGAATGATGAGTACTATTGTTATTACTCTTTTTATTTAAACCAAAGATTGATTTAGCAAAATCAGCCATGGTTATTATTAAATATGATAAATCTATGAATGATGATAATTGAATAATATTGACTGATTACTCCAACAACAATTCAAATGGTAAGTTTCTAATATTTGGTTGTAAGAAATAAAAATGAGAGACTTTTTTTTTTTTATTTTTCTTTTTTTATTTATATTTTCTCACTATCAATTTTTACTATTCAACGACTTTAATAAACTATGCTTATTGAGAACAAATACCGTAGAAACTGACTCTTTGTATCTTCTTTGTCTGGTAGTTTAGTTTGGATAGTCAATGATTATTTGTTGTTTGTTCTATGATCTAAAACAATCAGAAACTAGTATAAACAAGAAAAAAAAAACCGATGATGAAATAGAAATACAATGTGATCATTAAAAAGACAATTATTGAGATCAAGGGGCTAATTTATGTTGATAAATCTTATTCTTATTCTAGTAACAATAAAAAGAAAAAACTCTAGTTCTATTAACTGACTGAAATACTGCGATTGTCATAAGATCAAATTGGTTAATATTTATATTATAATAGGAAATTGATAAGGGAATAAAATTATGTAATGCCAAGGTGACGTATTACGTAAATTTCAGGATTATCAGATCCCTCTAAAATATTAATAGAGATCTGGAAGTAAATCTTTCTATTCGATGTCTTTACTTGCTTTTATCAGAATAGAGATAGAATATTCACTTATTTAATGAATCAAAATAAATCAAATCGCCACATCGGTTGCATGATTCATCTTTGTGTACTAAACCATGCTTCCAAAAACTAAATAATGGAATTAACTCTGGTTAATTCAATTTTGTGTACTTCTCATCACCGTTTTATGCATCTTTTTGTATTATATACAGGCTGAGAAGGGCCTAGTTTCCTAATTTGGTTTTGTTATCAATATTATTTTTTTTTGTCTCGTAAATTTTACACTAAACGAGAAATTTGAAGAGTTAATGGAAGATAATCTAAAATGTGATTGGTCCATACAACTATGAGGTGGAAAAATTGTTGATTTTGCAAGCTTACAACTTTAGCATTGTGAATTTTTCAGCTCTGTGGCTGTACTTCTTTAAGAGCATTTGGAGCTATACGAATTTTTATAGATTTTTTCAACTTTTAGGCAAAATTTAAAGTTTTTTGAAAAGCTAACAAATCCTGACGGCTTTTCATATTGTCTCACTCTAACAAATGATGATGAATAGAAAGAATATAAATAATTCAATTGTTAAACATCATATCAGTAGTCTATATTGAAATGTATGTTTACAATATTAAAATGATTATTTAGGATTTTCAATTTTCGTTATCTGTTTTCAAATTCTTTACACTTTTTGGATTTACAATACTTAGAACCCCCATTTAATTAGTTGCTCATAAGATTTCTTATGAAATGGACTCTATTTCTATGCTGTAATTTGAAATTTACATAAATTTAAGTTGAAACAAATAATTACACAAAATCGAGATCGAGATCGAGATCGAGATCTGCAATCTGAAAGCTGGAATGGCGCTACCAACCCCAATTCTCAAATCTAATAATATTTATTAAGCAGATTAAAGAAATTGTTTTACTTATCAATAGAAAACAGAAATCTTAGTGTTTGCTCATTACATCATTAACATAAATTAATTATACTCTTTTTTGAAAACAATGTCAGTATTTTCTATTTTAACTTTCTGTAAATACATTTCATTTTTTAATTTTGCAATAACTGTAGTCCATTTAATTAATAATTCATAACACTTTTCATGTAGTTTAAAAGTATATTTACATTCTAAATGTTCTTGTTTTAATATTATCTTTATGATTTTATGTATCTTTGTTTCTCTCAATAATTCAATAGTTATATATCCTTTTCAAATGATTCTTCCAAAATAACTGATGCCATACAAAAATTTTCAATAGTCAATGACGGAGACCTAGATTTCTTTCTTTTTTTTTGTTGACTTATTTGTTTTGAATAATGACTTTTGTAATTAACACAATAAAAATCGTAATTTTTATTGTGTTTTATTACTCTTCGATTCTGGAATTGGTGATAATTCATGTTTTAAAGTTGGTAAAGTATCATTTTTTGTTTCTTGGCCTGTATATAAGCCATGTATTACTAATTGATCAGTATTGACAATTTTGGAAACTTTTTCCTCTTTGACCAATTTATACTCTTTACCAGCTACAATTGAATTATCTTCAAGCACTTTATTTATTACACATTTTGTAGGAAAATCATCTTAAAGTAGAGATTCTACTAGCTCATCTTTTATTAAATTATGAACAGGCAACATCTTCTCTTGGGGAGATTCTATTCCCAAGTTTTGATTCGTATCTCGTTTTAAAGGACCATTACGAGCAACATCTTTATTTTCAATTAATTTTTGGCCACTATTTGTTGAAAGTGAATTAACACTCTTTCTTTGAAAGGTTTTAAATGTTTAGTGTCGGCGATACTCGAAGTATCAGTTTTAAATGGACCTTCAGTTATTTCTGAATCTAAATTTTCATTGATACTCTTTTTTTTTCTTTATTCTCAGGTGCTGTTTTTTTGGAGTATATTTGATCTCATACCTTTTTCATTTGATTGTTTTAAAGTAATGTAAGATGAATCAATCACTTTAAAAAATTTTATACCCTGGCCAGATAAATGAGTATTATAATCTGTTTTTTTTTTTTAAATTGCATTTTTATGATTGACCCATCTTTAACAATAATTGAAGTCTTATTGATAATTAATTGTCCATTTGTGAAATAAACTAAATCATTTGTTTTGGAATTGTAAAAGCTTATAACGTTAGTTTTAATATTATTTAATTCTTGATTATTATTTGAGATAGATTGATTGTTCAAAACTTTAGCTTCAGTAGATTTCTTATCTTGATTATTATTCGTGATAAATTGTTTTTAATGATTATTTGAAATAGATTGCTATGATGTTTATATTGGAGGTGGATTGACCCATCTTTACTTTGAATAATTAATTGAATTAGGTCGATGAACGCGATTTCGTTAATTTAAGTTCCAAATTAAAAGTAAATATATATGAAAAAGCAAGACCAAATTTGAGCTAAACTCTTTAATTTCTAACAGTTTGGATTCAATATCTCTGTAGATATTTTAAACTAAAGAATGGAAGGCAGTTTTGAAGATTTATATTTCTAAAATCTAACTTTGGGGAATTTTGCTCAAATTTTGCAGATATTCTCATTAATCGCAGTTTGTGCTTGGCCATTGTTCCGGTGTATCGTACTTTTATTCATGACAGGGCTAGAGAGCGTACATAATAGCTCCAGAACAATTCTGGAAGTTTGTTTGTTTTCTAAGTGGTAATTAACCTTGTTGAAACATGCCATGCGCTTAATTTTGATAAAATATTTTCAAATGAAACAGAAGCCAGCTACTAACAATACCAAGGACAAATTCACAACATCATCCGTATTAGTTGTCATTTAAGTAACAGAATTTACTTATTTTTAATGAATTTTTTATTTTGCAGCCATTTTGCAGCCATTTTGTACCAGACGTGCCTCACCCATTTTCAATACAACAAAAAATTTCAACCATTTCCATCAATCAATCAATAATCAAATCAATAATAATATGTTTAGAAACATAATTAATCTAACACATTCACTTGCGTATAGACAACCAATATTCAATTTATTAATAAGACCATTTTCAATAACATCTATAAATTTCACAGTTAAAAAACAAGGAGGTATAAAATACGATCAAACATATAAAATAACAAAATATATCAAGAAAATAGATGAAAATAAATATACAATAGGTCAAGAACATCCAAAAGGTGTCAAAGTACCTAAATCCATACCAGAATTTCCATCATATAAATATGAGACTCGTTTTTTTAAACGTCAAAATTTTGGCCTATATGGTGGTTTACAAAGAAAGAGATCCAAATCATCAAGTAAGTTTTTAACCAAGAATTTAAGGGCCCATTTACCAAATATTCAAAAAGCAAGCCTCTGGTCAGAAATATTGAATAAGAAAATTAAAACTAGAGTATCTACTAGAGTTTTAAGAACATTAACTAAAGAAGGTGGATTAGATCAATATTTATTAAAGGATAAATCTGCAAGAATTAAAACTATGGGTTTATATGGATGGAAATTAAGATATAAATTATTAAAGAAATTAGAACAAGATGAACGTGGATATTTCCAATTTGAAAATAAATTAAAACCAATTCAACATATAACTAAAGATGGTAGAAAATTTATAAGTTCAAAAGAAGAATTATTACCTTTATTATATAATGAAATTCAAAATGATAGTTATTATCCAATTAAACAATCACAAATGGAAAGACAATATTCATGGTTAAGTTATGACGAAATTGTTAATAAATTGGATGATTGTAATGTTGATTTAACTAGATTTACTGTGTAAGTAGACTACAAGCTGTAAATATAAACTAGTCACTTCAACTCCATAGCTGTAAATAGAAACTTGAAGCTGATGAGCTGATAGGTCCTCAGCCGATAGCCCTAATATACACGTGAATATCACGTGATGCGCGACATAGATAGACATCTTACATAAGCCCATACAAAACCGCATACGACAGAATTAACTACTACGCACTAACAAAAAAAATCAATAGTATTTGAAAATTTTTAGAATTTACTTTCTTTAATATAATATAGACAAATTAATAATGGCTAAGTCAGGTATGTGATTATATACCATTAATCAATCAGAGACTAGTGAATTAATGAGATCATGTTGAATGAATGAGAAACAAGGAGTGAAATAGTCAAGTTTTTTGGAAAATAAAGAGATGTAAAATTAGATGTCAAGAGATGGATCTATACTGAATCAAGAGTAACAACAAGATTATACTACTTAATAAGAAACAAGAATCAACTATAATAGGATGAACACATATTTCATCTACAGTCATTCATCATCATCAGATTAGAAAATTTTAAAATTCACAAATTTCAATCATCACCGAATATTCATACTAACATATTCTTAGGTATTGCTGTTGGTTTAAACAAAGGTTATAACGTTACCGCTAAAGAAACCGCACCAAAAATTTCATACAGAAAAGGTGCTTTATCAAAAAGAACTGTTTTTGTTAGATCAATTGTTAAAGAAGTTTCAGGTTTAGCACCATATGAAAGAAGATTAATTGAATTAATTAGAAATGCTGGTGAAAAAAGAGCTAAAAAATTAGCTAAAAAAAGATTAGGTACTCATAAAAGAGCTTTAAGAAAAGTTGAAGAAATGAATAAAATCATTGCTGAATCAAGAAGACATTAGATTAATCAATCATCAACCAATATCTGTACCATAATACATACAACCCAATCCATTTCATATATAATACACGAAAAAGTTAAAAAGTAAACAAGTAATTACAACTCTTCTTTATTCCCTTTCGATTAATTATTTAGTTGGAAAATATCGCCAGGCGCATTATTTTTTATTTCAGTGTCGCCCCACGATAAAACGTTGTCAAATCAAACCAAATCAAAACCATATGTATAGAGCACTAATAAGAAACACAATAAGAAGACTAGGCAGTAGTACAGTACTTCATTCGCAACCACCATCGCATTTTTCAAATCCAAATGAGATACCTCCGACATACAACACATATTATAATCGAAATAATTCAATAGAAGAAAGTAATAAATACAAAGTAGATCCGTATAAACAATCACAACAAGTACAACCATCAAGTAGCAGTAGTAGTAGTCAATCTCATGAAGGATCATTCAAGGAAATAACCACACTTATAGCCATGCTTGCATTAGCTTATATTGCAATAGATAATTATACATCCCGAATTAAAATAGAGAAACTTCATCAAGAAACAACAGCAATTAATCTTAAAGCATTACAAATCCAACAATTAAATTATCAAAAAGATAAAAAAGCAAGAGACTTACAGATACTTAAAGAGAGGAAAGAAGTAGCTAAACGATCATTTAAAATGTCTTTACATATTGCAATGTTACGTAAACAATTAAAAGAATTGGGAGTTGATCCAATTGAATTAGATAAAGTAGTTAATGAATTTGAAAAAACTGTTAAAGTGGATAATTCAATGAAGAATGTTTCGGGTCAATATTTATGGATTGATGATTCTAGTGAATATAAAAATGAATTACCTGATCCAATGGAGTATGATAAAATAAGAAAACCGTGAGGATGCAGTAAGGATGCAGCTGCAATGTCAATTGTAAGCATGCAACAAACACTTAAAATCAATAAGCTGATATTGAAGAGTAAGTAAGTAATACTATATCTAGTCGTGTATATAAAATCATATAAATATCGAGATGGCATCAAATAAATTTTCAATTCTTTTTCTTCTTTTTCTTCTTCTTTAATACAATGTCTTTTAACATTGGCGCCCATTAGAGTCACGGTTTATATGAATTCCATACATATATACTAATCACTATGTGATATATTCGTGCTCGGGTTAGCCATAAATTAAATGTTTTTACCAGCCTAGTTTTGTCGTGTCTTTTTAGATTCAATGAATTGATAACGCGGTTCTAAACAAACAATGAGTATAAATATTTATATTAAATGATCTTCTACACTGCTCTGTATTTTGATTATTCACATCCTTAATTATTGCAGTCAGGAAACTCGCAATCTGATTGGTCAGAGTAAATTAAAATTCTCAAAAAGTCAAGCTATTGACTAGTTCTTACCATCATTCTATAGATCTTGGTGTCTAGTTGAATGCTATATTAGTTTCAACCCGCCAAACTTGTTAGTTCCTGAGTTATTTGCAAATTTAATCAGCGGTACCATTTTCATACTATGGAGCAAAATCAAAACCAATTTGTTACACAAAATCAAGTCCATCAATTGACCACTTTTCTTTTTGCAACTTTTATCTAAAATGGAATTTGCTCAAGCATAATCACATTTAATGAGCTAAAACATATTAATTCAACACCGAATATTCTCTTAGTTCATTTTGCGTGAAACGTGTGCATTAATACCTATTAGTGACGTAAATCAGCATAATTTTAGTGTTTTTTGATATTTTTGATGTAATTCAAGGAGGCATCAATCGGAATCTATGAAACTGATTATATTTTAATATCTGAAAGTTTCTGAGTTTAACGTGACGTTTCTCTTGAGTAGAGGTGGTATAATTGTAGAGTTATTTTATTTTGAAAATTCCACTTTTACAAATACAAAGTATACATCATACACTAATTTTAACTACTTTAGATAGCCTGACCTACTTAAAGTCAAACTAGAGAATTATGTTTCATGTCTATTCAGCAATTGTTTAATTATTGATCTCTGTGACGTAGTTTACCTTCATTTAAGCCAAGTCAATAAATTTGTGTCTGATTCATTTTGTATTTGTCAAATTAACATGTATATTTGATTTTTGAGAAATCTATACTAATGCAAAAGTCAATTTCTCTTGTTTAGTTATGTTCAACTGCTTCGATTAATTCAAAATCCTTGCTTTAAATCTCTAATTGTCTATTTTAACTATATAATCTCTACTAGCATTCTTGCTCATCTATTTCTCTCTATCAATTGTGCATCAATTGGACCCAACTCTCTTTGTTGTAATTTAAGTTGTAATAAATTGAATTTTGGACAACATACACTTTTCGCATCTTTACCATTTTCTTCATAAAACTGTTTACAACATTTATATAATTTATCTATTTGTTTAGTACATTTACTTTCATTATAACCATTTGATTGTAAACAATCTTGAATAGCGCAAGCTTGAGCTTTACAAGTTTCATTAATTTGTTGACCTGCCATGGTAACAATATAAAAAGAGAGAAATATATTTAAGTGGTAATTTTTTTTTCTTTCTTTCTTTCTTTCTTTCTTTCTGTTTACTCTCTTTAAATTTGTTACTAATATTTGTGCATAATTGAAACTAATTGGAAACATCATATTCTTAAAGTAATTGGTAATGGTTGGAATATCTGTTGACTAACAATTTCGTCCTTGAGGTAAGTGATTAATAACTTCTACAATTTATAAACAAGGCTGTATGGAAAAGCAGCTTGTTAGGCGCCTTAATTGATGATTATTTTAATAGCGTCGATTGTAGGTCAATCCTAATAATAAGAAAAAAAAAACATTGTTTAAGCATAGATCGACTATGTTTAAATAGTTGAAAACTACTATCGTAACACAAAGCTTTCAAATCAGTGAATGTTTGATTAAATTGATGATTAAATATTCTTGAAATGAAAATAATAATGGATAATTATGCTGTTGTTTATATTCAGAATTCTATCAATCAATACTTATTCTATCTAAATCTGCATGATAATCATCATCATCATCTTCATATTCACTAGGTTCACGAATAACCAAAGGTACAAACTCTTTAACCATCTTCTTATCTTCTTTATTCCAATTAAATTTCAATATTACACCACTTACAAAAACACCAACTAATAAAGTAATCAACCCCCAACGACTTAAATTCCACCTTAAACTTTCAATTTCACTCCTTAAGGCAGAATCCAACTCTGATGATATCTTATGATTAGTCTCCTGTATTCTTAAAAACATTTTCTTTGAATTTAGTGTATTTTCAGATTTTGAATCATTTATAACCACTTGTGAATCATTTTTCAATACCAAAAAATCATTACTTAATTCATCTGAAATTGTTTTAAAATCTCTTTCTAGTATATTTATCAATGCTAATAGTTCATTTGCATGTTGCTCTCGAGATCTAGTTATATCTACCCTAATTTCTTGCTGGGCAGATTCAAATAAATATTGTTCTGATTCTAATTCATTTTTCTGGGAGTATATAGTTGATAATTTTGATAATTTGGAATTTAATTGATAAATGAGAAGGCATATAATTGAATCAGATTGTGCTTCAGTAAATCCAGCAGATCTTAATTTGGAATATACATAATATGTATCTAGATAAGGATCAAGATTATCGAAAATATGAGTTAGGAAATCATCGGGATTAGAACCTTCTGGAATGATTTTAGCTTGTCCTGGTATTATATTATTATCAAATTGAGATGTCAAAATATCTAATTTTGACTCCTGGGGCTCTGAAATACTAATTGAATCTGATTTATTATCATTTTTATTTTCTATTTCATTCTTTTTTATTCTGTCTGGTTTGGACCGTGGTTGATTATTCTCTTTCTCTTTTGCTTTTTGTTGATTTAAATACTCAGCTGTTGATATATCTAATTTTGAATTAGTTTCATTATTTAATTTTGAATTTGTTGAAAAGTATTGTGGATAATTTAAATCTTTTGAAGATTTATTAAATAATTGTAATAATACGCGATAATTGTTACTTTGTTGTTGTTGTCTATTAAAACATTGTATTAGTATATTTGAAAGTAACAAGTTATTCTTGACAAGTTTGATCATAGGTTATAAATAGATATAAGATTTTTTATTTTACTATACAATTTTTTTTTTGGTTATAGCAAACCGATTTTATTATATGCACTACCAAGTGTAATATTTTGCAGCCATTTTTATCAACCTTAATTAACAATATAATCTGTATTAGTACCTAATTCGATTGAATCTAATACTGAATTACTTTCAACTCTTTCAATTGGATTATCTTCACTTGGTTTTTCAACTGCTTCTTTAACACTTTCTTGATTTTTTGGTTTTTGATTAACTTCAAATGGGAATTCTAATGAATAAGTATATAATGATCTTGAAAAAAAAGGGAATCCAAATTCTAAATGTGAAAAATATACAATTGGTTTAGTTCTATCTTCTTTATTATTATCTATTGACATATATCCATTTAATTTATTTCTAAATTCATTTGAATTACTCTTTGGTGCAATTATCAATTGTGACGTATTTGGAAATTGTTGCGTAAATACTTCATCTTCAGAATCAAACGAATCTAATTCATTAATTATCTTATTTTTGACAATTTGTAAGTTTGTATCTCTGATTCTTTCATCACACAAATTAACAATTAAAGTATCGTTTCCTCGTCTAGGTAATTCATCTTCATCTATTTGAATACTTGATGCATTTGATTGTAATTCATAAAGATCGGTTTCTGATTCGTTTACAATAAATTCACTTTTCGAAAATTTATCAACTAAAACTATCTTTGGTAATAATCTTTTAAACTTTTTTAACTCAATTGGATCAAACGTATTAGCCATTGAAATCAATTCAACAAGAATCGAATTCTTAATTGAATCTATATACACAATGTTTCCATCCCAACATGCGGCCGTTCTTTCATAAATTGATATTTCTTTAATTGTGGGTACTAAACAACACCAAGTGATAAATCTGCCAATTTCTCTCAATAATCTAACTCGTTCCGCTGCATTATGAGTTTGGAGTGCGGTCATGTACTCTGATTTAACTGCCAAAACATATTGAATATCTTTCTTACTTGGTACTTTAATTTTCTTATCTGAATCTAAATAAGGTTGAGGAATTTCAGGTGGTGCTTGTAATTTAGCTGGATTTAAATATAAAATTAATGAAATTGATTCAGGTGTGTTAATTTTTGGAATATACCGTAATACTGAATTTAAACCAATTGGAGTATTTGAAGTTAATTTAAAAACTTTAAATAACAATAATGGGATTGATAAAAGTGTAGTCTTGTAAAATATACATTTTGCAAACCATTGTTGAACCATATTTAAATTTGGATCTGCTTGAAAATCAAATAATTGTAATTTTAAATCAAAAATGAATACTTGGACCAAGAAAATGAAATTAATAGCAGTTGAATACATTCCAAAGATTGTAAAGTAAATAAATAAAGTAATTCTAAAGATAATTCTTAAAATATTGACTTTTAAAATATCAAATGTTGTATATGAATCTTTATCTGGTAAGGCATTAACTGCAGTTGCTGAAATTAAACCCAATGTAGCAGCGGGTACATTATTTAAATTTAAATCTAAAGTATTTGGATTGAAATCACCTCCAATACCAGTTGGAGACCTGTATGGTTTTTGAAACTTCATTAAAACACGTCAAATTAAACAAATGTATGGAAATTTGTTGCAAAAAATTCAAAATTTGTTTAAGCGTGTAAAATAAAAAATCTTTCCGGCGCTACCAATTAAGGGGTAAAATATAGAAGTATAATCAATTGACCCGTCCAATATATATTTTCTTTTCTTTTCCTATACACTTTTGTAATTTTTTTTTGGATTTTCTAAAATTCTATAACTAATTGAAATTAAAATGGATTGAATTGAAAGTTATTTTGGTTATTCCATTACTACATCTTCTTGTTCTTCAACATCTTTCAAAACCGGGGGTGGTAAATCAATTTCTTCAGTTGTTGAACTTTCTTTATCTTCTTCTAATGGAGCTACATCAATTGCAAATTTATTGATTTGTTCAATAGTTTGATTTTCATTTGGAATTGTTAATTCTAATTCATCATCACCAATAAATTTAGCTTTAATTTGTTCAAATTTAATTAATTTATCAAATTGGAAATGTTTTTCAAAATAAACAAATTGGTCGTCATATTCAGCTTTTAATTTTTCAGTATCTTCTTTTATTTCTTCATCTTCTTGATCTGATAATAAATCTGAAACTAAATCTTCTTGTTCTTCATCTTCTTCACCTTCAAACCCAGTCCAATTTGCAGTATCATCATCTATTGAATCTTCATCGACGTTATAATCTTCATCTTCTTCTTCTTTATAATCATCTCCTTCTTCTTCAATAATTTCTTTTAATAATTTTTCATATTTGTCTCTCTTTTCAGCTAAATGTTCTTCAATTTCTTTTCTTAATTCATCTTCATCTCCACTTTCTTCTTCTTCTGATACTTCTTCTGGTTCTTGACTGACATAATCTTCGTCTTCTAATTCTTCAATTGGTTCAATTTCATCGGCTTCTGCACCATTTAAATTTAATTTACCTTTTATTATCAATTCATTTTCCTGTTTTAAAAATTCAATTTTTAATTCATCTCTAACTAATGATGGAAATCTAACATTCAATTTATATAAAGTTTCATTAACCTCAATTAATTGACAATCTTGACTATTTGCTAAATCTTCAGATAAATCAATAATTGAAAATTCACTTTCGTCTTCTAATTCATCATCTGAATCTTGAGCTAATAATAATTCTTCATCAGTATCAAGATCTTCTTCATCTGGTAAATAATAATCTGGATTTCTGTAAATAACAACACCATCTTCTTCTTCTTCATCTGATGATACTTCGCTTGAATCTTCTAATGATGAATCAATTTCAAAATATTCTTGACCTAAATCAATACTTTCATCTTCTGAGCTAGACGTTTCACTAGATGAATTTAAACCATCTTCAAAATCTTGTCTAACATTTTCTAAAATAATTTGATTTTTGATATCTTCTTCAAGTTCAGAATCTGAACTATCTGAACTTGTATCATCTGAAGTACCTGAGCTTGTGTCATCTGAAGTATCTTCGTCTGATGAACTACTTGAAGTACCTACACTTGTATCTGAATCTTCATTACCATTAACAATATAAATAGTTTCTGTACCGCTTGATTCTTCATCTTCACTTTCTGATTCACTGGTTGAAGTTACTTCATCATCGTAATATTCAACAATTTCATCATTCAAATCAATTACTTGACCATCTTTTTCTAATTCATCTAATAAAATGTCTTGTAATTCATCATTCATATCAATAATGTATTCAGCTTCACTATCGAAATCACTAGCATCAATTAAAGCTTGTTCAACTTCAGAATCATCCAAAACACTTTCATCTTCACTTACATCATCTTCACTGTAATCAATTAAAGCTTGTTCGATTTCACTTTCATCTAATGATTCATCAGAGTCGGTCTCATCTTCATAATAAACAATTTCTTGATCAATATCACTATCACTAGAATCAGTATCATAATAAACAATTTCTTGATCAATATCACTATCACTAGCATCAGTATCATAATAAACTATTTCTTCATCATTACTATCTTCGCGATCTTCTTCATCAAAATAAATTGGAACTTCAATTTGCTCATCTGATGAAACTTCTTCTTCACTATCATAATAAATTTCAGGTTCAACTTCTTCACTATCATTTTCATAATAAATTTCCGGTTCATCGTAATAAACTTCTGGTTCATCTATTATTTCTTCACTTTCATCATCAGCTTCACTAATTGGTTCTTCTACATAAACATATTTAGAAGGTTGTTGATGATAATAACTTCTATATTTTCTATCATTATGTTGATGTCTATGATTATATGGTTTATTTGATCTAAAACTTTTCTTATTATGCCTATTTCTATATGTCATTATGGATAATAATGTATAATTGAAAATTTAAAGGAATGTTGAACTCTTATATATAATTTTTAATTTTGCAGCTATTTTTTTTCTTTTGATGATGAGATGACGCGGCTCGGATAATTCCCTAATTTGGATCTTGCCAACAGATATAATTTGAAACAAATTAATATGAATATGCTAGAATTAAAACAAGAATTCCAAAAAGGATTATACTGAAATGATTCAAATTGGAGTACTTTACTTGTCTTTGTATGATTTTTCTTCCCTCGTGTTCTTTAAGTCAGGTTGTATTTTGATTAGCAACCTGCATCATGTAAAATGCAATGATTTTTGATAATGGAGGTGTAGAACGACATTATGAACCTTTTAAAAGTGTGGCAAATATGAAAATAAACTATTCTATATGATTTTTGGTATTCCGATAACTCAATTTGGCAATCTTTGGATTATCTCTATAATTTTGGTAGTTGATTAAGCTTAATTTAATTTTGTACTTTATTTTTGCAGCCGAAACCACAAACACGTATTAAATTATTAAATTTGTTCCTCATAAGGTGTCTCAATGTGTATTTTACTAATGAATTAACGAGTCATATAAGATCTCTCAGAATCGAACTTTTTGCAACGACCACTCTCGATCTTTAAGCACAATCATCAACGAACTAAGAAAGGTAACACGCTATATTTAATAATACCACCATATTTCATCTAAAAATTACATAATCTATTACTAATTCCTTTGGCCATCTCATAATTATCCATTGGTACACGATTTTAATAAGTATATAAATGACTCGATACCCTTTGGAAAAACCTTTTTTGAAAAATCAAATCTCTTTGCCTTTTGGCTTAGATCCAGTGTAGTATCTGTTCTTTTCAGTGTAACAGCTGAAATGTCATCATTGATGACGTCAAATATTATAACACGTCAAGTGTTTGTTTTATTTTTGGAATTTGGGTAATTTGATATTATAGTGGGCTTGCTCACTAATCAAATTAACACTGTGTCGTTGCTGCTGTACTTGATTTGGCTCCTGACGCAAATTTATATTTTTAAGTTAGAGCTGTGATGTCTAAGGTTATTAGATTATCATGAATGTAATTTAAAAATGAAGATATTCAAGATTTTTAAAGTTTGAACTTCTCAAATTATTATTAGAGTTCACGTTATGTAATTTGCTAGAGGTTAGTTTCATCAAACGAGTCGAAATAAAACAATCTTTGGAAAGCTCATTATAAAGTAGATGAATATTGGATTGTATAGTTGATCGTTTATAGTAGTTTTGTATTCGCTCGCTAAGGGGATAATTTTTTTTTTATCTTCGCTTATCTTTGGTATCGTCTTATGTTTAATCTACAATATCATATTACTAATACTTACATAACTTATAACTTTATATCGATAGAGTAAAACACAATATTCAATGAAGAAGTATCCCTCGGGGTCCGAAAATATCAATATAACCGATTCAGAAACTGAAGTTTCATTAAATTCAAATAATCTATTCCCGAGTCTAAATCAGAATAATAATGACGATGCAATAACTATAGATGATAAGTCATCCCAAGCAAACTCAGTTAATTTATTTAATGAGGTAACTTCAAATCAAAGTATACAATATGAAGAAGTTGATTTATCTAACGTTTCAACACAACTACAACAAAATATAAAATTAAATGCTAGTTTCACTTCCTCAAATGATAATATTTCAATAGATTCAAGAATAATAGATAAGATAGTTAGCTCATTCAATAATGAACCCGGAAAGTTTAAACACCTCAAATTATACGAAACTTTCAAAAAGCAGCAAGTAAAAGATGATTACAACCACGAGGTACTAAATAGCATGAAAAACAATCAAGATGTTCCACTACAAACCATGAATTCAAACAGTTCATCTGTCTTCAACCTAAGCAAACTCGATGATTTTAATAAATTCGTCAAGGAAAGTGCATTAAATGATATGATACATGCAAAAGTACTAGAAAAACTACCACAAAATGAAAAGAATCAAAATATACTAAATGTGGTCAATGAAGAAGATTTAGCTGATAATTTTTATGCCACTAATGATAAATCTCCCAAATTTAAAAAACCAAATATGCCATGGCACAAGAAAAACCCATCAATTATTTCCAAAACTGATATTTCTGAATTATATTATCCTACTTCATCACCATCAATAGATCAAGCTAATTTCTTACAACGAAAATTAAGTGTACGTCATCTTCAAATGATTTCATTATCAGGAACATTGGGTGTTGGACTTTTTTTAAATTCAGGTAAAGCGATAACTATTGCTGGTGGATTTGGTGCACTTTTAGCTTTTGTTATAGTTGGTATTATTGTATTGCTTACCATGATGTCATTTTGTGAAATGGTTACATTTGTTTCTGTTATTGATGGAGTTTCTGGTCTTAGTTCAAGATTTGTTGATGATGCTTTTGGATTTGCTGCTGGTTGGTTATATTTCTTTAGTTTTGCATTTGGTGTTGCTGGTGAAGTAGTAGCTGGAGTTATAATGTTATCATATTTCCCCAATTTACAAACTACCACAAGCAAAGGTTCAACAATTGGATGGGTAACATTATTTTTGGGCTCAATTGTTGCTTCTAATTTAATTGATATTAGAATATATGGAGAAATAGAATATATTTCAAGTTTAATTAAATTATTATGGGCTATAGTTATGATGATAACAATGATTATTGTAAATCGTGGAGCTATTAAAAATACAGATGTGCTTGGTTTTAGATATTGGACATATCTGAAATCTGACTTTGCAAATAATATAATTTTTGGATTATTTAGACCATCTTTTAATTTACATGATACTGGTACATCACCACCGAATGAAGGTATAACTGGAGACAAAGGAAGATTTTTGTCATTAATTACTGCTATTTTAATTGTATCTTATGCTTATTCAGGCACTGAAATTGTTTGCATTGCAGCTTGTGAAGCCAAAAATCCAAGAATAGCACTACCATCAGCTACAAAAAGAGTATTTTGGAGAATTGTGATATTTTATTGTCTTTCAATTTTCCTTGTTAGTTTGAATGTTTATGCTGGAGATCCAAGATTACTCCGATATTATTCTGGAGATTCAGCATTTTCAGAAAGTGATTTTGCAAACAATGTTGCAATTGAAGCAGTTGGTGGTCAACATTGTAAATTTGATTCTACAGTAGTAGCAGGATATGGATCTGGAGCTCAATCACCTTGGATTGTTGCACTACAACTGACAAATTTATGTAATTTTAGTTCTGCAGCTAATGCTTTTTTAATATTTTTTGCAGTTAGTTGTGGCAATGCCCAGTTATATGTTAGTTCAAGAACAGTATATGCATTAGCATTACAAGGTAAAGCACCAAAATGGTTAACATATTGTAATCGATTTGGAATTCCATATAATTCAGTATTATTTGCAGGTGCATTTGGTTTATTAAGTTATACATGTGTTTCAGAATCAGCAATAGTTGTATTTCAAAATTTGAATTCTGTAATTGCAAGTTCTGGTATATTTGTTTGGTTTGCTATGTGTTTAACATTTGTAAGATTTTATTTTGGATTAAAAAAAAGGCCAGATATATTATCAAGAGATGATAAATCATATCCTTACAAATCTCCATTTCAACCATATAGTGCAATTATAGGAATGATTGGTACTGCAATTATAATTCTTTGTATGGGGTTTGTTGTATTTTTGAAAAATGAATGGAATACAATGTTTTTCTTTTCCAGTTATGGTCCATTGATGCTATTTGCTGCATTTTATGCTGGTTATAGAATTGTAAAGGGTACAAGTATTCCAAATTTAAATAAATTAGATTTTGATTCTGGTAGAACTGAAATGGATAGATATATATGGGATGGTGGAAGAGATTATAATAAAAGGAATTTTAAAGAAGTATTGACTAAATGGATTTCATTCCTAGCATAGGAATATTTATAGACCAATTAATTTTAATGAATGTGTACGATTATAAATTTTAACGTTAGCACCGATGATGGTACTAGCTCTCGCCTTGAATAGATACATATCTGGCCATAATATTGTGCCACTTCGGCTGAAACTTTTAATCCCATTAAAAAAATTCTGAAACAATTTCAATTATATGCAGTATCATAGTAGATAATTTGAATATTTAGTTTGCAAATAACTGTCCCAATATTCGAGTTTTGTTGCTCAAACTAAACTCTGGGAAATTTTCACTCAATTAGAATTACACAGATAATGGTTTCGTTCCACTTTTGAAAAATTACCTTTGCAATTTCAAAACTAATATATTCGAGCTACATCATAATTGGGATCTACGAATCTTGATATATTTTTTATACTTCACTTCAATTTTGGTTAGTATTGTGGAGCTAGATTCTGGTTGTAAAATCAAATTATTCCACTCCCTAGACTTCAGAGAAAACATTTTGAAATTTTTCAAATTTAAATCGGGTCAATCAATGTCTTACACCTTGGTTTGAGGTTTAATATATATAATCCGTTGTTTTTTTTGAAGGTTGTGGCCTCAAATAAAAATATATTAGAGTTTCTGTTTTTGGAAAAAATTTTGTATGGGAGAAAAGTGCTACGAAAATTTTGGAAAAAATTGAAACTAATTATGGCCTCTTAAAAACTGTCTACACACAATTTCAGAGGTTGAATCAGTCAAATCAGCTATACCAGAAGTTGTTAAATGAAGTCTAGATGCTAATAATCTCGCAAAATAGCTTTTTTCGGCTTTTTTTAAATGTAGAATAAAATGACCAAAATTAAGCTTTTTTCAAAGATACTGGCATCAGTGTATCACAAAATGATTGGAGTTTTGATAAATAAATGTGAAAAGTAAAGCTTGGTGATCGAAGGAGTTATTCACTGATCAAAATTCAAGACGATACTGCATATAAGTACCTCCAACGCGTTTCAGAATTTCACTATTTGAAGTTTCAAATTCTACAATAACGCAATACTCTACATCTAACAAGCCATTGAGCGATCTTTAATTGTCAATCAGTAATTGTAGAAAATATGAACATTTGAACGATACAGGTTTCGTAGGCACTGCTTTAAGTTTCTAAAAATTCGTCAACGAGATAAAGATTTAAAGACAGATACACTTTTCCACAACGTTCATATCACTATATGTCTTCCATACCTAGAGTCTAGTGGTTAATAGAAGTTATTCATGGTCCAATTGTATTGATTCAAATCTGTTATATTTAATTTCGCCCAATTTGGAAATTTAATTGATAAAAAAAAAATAAGTTTTTTTTTACAACCAATTTGATTTGAAAACATTAAGGTACCAATAAGAGATCTAAGTTTAATTAGCTATGACATGGATACCAACTGATTCCTTTTTAAAAGGTATCATTATTAAATCATTTTTACCAAATGATAAACATCCAAATTTGAGAAATATCAATTATCAAAATTTATACCCTGGGGATCAAGTATTTATATTTGAAACAAATGATGATAAATGGGCAAGAGGTTATGTTATTCAAAAACCATTTCCTAATGATTTCATAGTAACCTCAGTCAATCTCGATGCTTTACCACTTGAAAAAATATCAACATGTATTTTCCCATTAAAATATGTTAAAATTGAATGTGAAATTCCATTTGATCAAGTTGAAATAAATAGAAAATTTAATAATTATTCAAATGAAGCTACTCAAGTTCCATCAATTAAAGATTCAGAGAAAGATTATAAAGATGCTACTGGAAGCTGGGGTCAATCTCAAGATCAATCTGGTAAAGAGCCAACACCTCAATTACCAGCTCAAAAAGATCAAAGTAATGAAAATATTTTAGATGAAATTAAATACTCATTAGAATTGTTGAATTCTCATATTTTTACTTTGTATTCAATGGGTGAATTTAGATTATTTTCCAAATTATCACAAATTTATTTTGAATTACACGAGACTAGAATTAAATTAGTTAAAGAATTATTAACTGATGATGAAGCACAAGTTGCAAGAGAAACAGCTACATATTTATTAAATAAAATACCTAAAAAATTGGCATCAAAAGCAGCTAGGTTAAATCTGAAAAGTTATGATTTAGAAAATGAAAATAGTGATACAAGCGGATATAAATCAATTCTATCAAGAGATGCTGAAACTGGTGAAGTATTAACTTTAGAAACTGCAACACCTTCAAGAATAGCATTAAATAATGAACTAAGTTCATTACTTCTTAATTTCCCAATTAATGCTCATCATTCAATATCTAAATATTCATTAAAACCACCAAAGAATAAAAAATTTTATCATGAACCACCATCACATATTTTAGTTGATTTTAAATCAGTTTCTGGTTCTTCTGCTTATCAACCTCCTGGCTTTGCAGGTATGATTGCTTATATGTACATTAGAAACAATAAAAAAAGATTAACTGAAGCGTTTGCAGTTCATACAAATTCAGTTGATGATTTAGTTCAAGTTGAAAAAATTAGTGCTGCATTATTTAGAAATTTACCTGCAAGTGAAATTGATAATAATCGTGTTTATTTAGTTGTTGTATTAACAGAAGAAATTGATTTAAATTTGAACAATACTCATTTACCATCAATTAAAAGAGTTAAAAAGGGAGTTGCAGCTGGTGTAGCAGATATAACTAGAATTTTTTCAAGAAATGAAGGATCTTTACAATCGGGAGAAGCTCATCATTTTTCAATCAAATTATTTGGATCATATATGAATAGAAAACCGTCAACTGGTGATATTAAAGGTGTTGTTAATAATGGTTGGGGTGAATTGGTTGATCGTATCATTTCTGGTTCTTCTCATGGTGTTGCTGTTAATCCAAGAGCTGAGAAATTAGTAGTCACAGTTAAAGAATTTAAACATCAATTTAATGGTTCAAATAATGTTAATCAAATTTCTTCAAGTGCTCCAATTTCAAGAATTAAACCAATTTTCTTTGATCCATTAGCTGAAAATTATGAAAGAATTTATTTAAGTATGGGAAAAGTATCATTATTAAATAATAATACAAAAGATGATTTATTGACTTTAGAAATTCATACTCCAAATAATGAATTAATTACATTTGCAAAAGCTTCTAATCAACAAGAGAAAAGACATTGGCAGTTTATTTCAATTTTTCCAGATGAAGCAATTGGTGAAATTGTTAAAATTAATGGTGTAGCATTAAAGAATAATTCCAAAAAGATTCCAAAAGATGATCATATTATTCTTTCTTTATTTGTTAATGGTGTTTTAGCTGGTGAAGGTAGATTATTATATAAATCAGGTAATAGGTTAGTTGAATTTAACAAGAAGAAAACTCATACTATTGAAATTATATCAACTGCTCATAATATTCCTATGGCACATGTTGAAATTAATACTGAATATATTGGAAAAGTATTCAATTCTGATATTTCAATTGATAATATTTTCCAGTATGAAAGATTTTTCCAATTGGGTCAAAAAGGAATTGAAGAGTTATCAAATTCATTAGCTACATTTACAAAATTGGGAATTGCACAATTGGTCAAATATTTTCCTGAATTGTTGAGTTCTTTATATGGTATTATTGATCTTGCTGCTAATCATTCTGGTCCTTGTATTGAAATACTTGATGATAATACATTTAAAGCTGTTGTTCATTTATTAGATACTACATTTGGAATACAAGATGAATATTTTCATTTGATGGATAATTTCGAAGCTAGATATGTAAGATCTGACCAAGTTGGAATATTTTTATTAACTAAAATTGGAGAAATTTTTGCAAGAGTTCAATCTAACTGGAATTCAGTATCAAGAGCAGTATGTAGAATCATGTCGATATTAATGAGATTATCTATCTCAGCAATTAAGAAAGTTTCAGAAAAGGATAATTATTTCAGATTATTAAACCAATTATTTAAAAATGTTGCACAATTTTTAACCATTGATTCTTTGACATTAATTGATGATCAAACTTTATTAATGGATATTGTTGATTATGTATTTGCATTTAGAGTAAATTTAGATGAAACCAAAATTTTGAAATTCATGATTACATTTATTGATTCAATTGGATCAAGAGGTTTAGGTGTTGATGAACCAAATTTTGATGGATCTTCAAATCAACAATTGATAAAACAACATAAATTGGTAATTAATAAATTATTATTAATTTTAAGATTATTAAATACTTCATTAACTAAACAAGTTGATACTCAATCAATTTTAATTTCGAAAGCTGTTGTTTGGTCAATGGATATATTTTTAGGTCCTACAGATATTGAAGCTAGTAGATTAGCATGCAGTATTATAATTTCAATTTGTAATTTATTATCAGAAAGGATTAATAATAATAATGCAACTCAAAATGATATTGAATTATGTTTTTCATTAACTAAATTCTTACCTGCAATTTCAAGCACTTTCATTAAATATAACAAAATTACAAGAGGTAATGGATCATTTAAACCTAAAAGAATAGTTACTCAATTATTCCCCATGACTTATCCATTTACTGAATTTTCAATAGATTCAGTTGTTAATGATGAAATATTAGTTGAAATTTTAGTTGAATTAGCTACTTGTTTCACATCTGTCGCTAGAATTGGTAAAAAAGCATCTGGAAATGAAGGATTAGCTAAAGTTTTATCAACTCATATTGAAAATGATTTTTTTGATTCAAATAAGTATTTAGTTGCCAATTTTGAAAGTGAAGATATTTTAACTGTTATTTCAGGTATTAGATATATGAGATTAGGTAAATATTATCCAGATGATAAATGGTTATCATTAGCTGGTGTTATAGCTGAAGGCTGTTTATGTGCGTTAGAATTAATTAGAACATTAATTTTAACTTATCAACTACCTACTTTAGAACAATCAGAAATGTTTGATAGAATATTATGGGGTAATTATTTTAGAAGTTTATTAAAATTAGCAGTTGTTCCATCTGTTGCCATTGAACATTTATCAGATATACCCAAAAGAGCTTGTCATGCAATTACAAAAGATGTACGTAGTAGAATTGCATTTTTAATTAATGAAGCATGGGATTCGTTAGCTTGGGATGCAACAGAAGAAGATGTTGTCCGTTTCAATCTTAAAAAATTTGGTGGTTATCAAGTTGAATTTATTAATGGTGAATATGGTATATTATCTGATTTAATGTTATTTGCATTACAAAGAGATCAAGAATGTCAAGCAGTTTCAGTTAAAATATTATGGACAATTATTATTTCAGAATATATTCTTAGTGAAAATTTAAAAGAAGTTGAAAAACAATGTTTATTAGGATTACATGAAATTTATCATAAATCGTCATATAAACCATCAATGGAAGATCAAAATAATTTTATCGATAGATTAAAGGCTACAATTAGATTAGATGGAGAAGATGTTGCATTTGGATTAATTTATGGATTTATTAAAAGTTTTCAAGCATTTTGTAGTACTTTGAACTACTATTCAAGTGTTCCAATTGGTTCTGAATTTGATGAAGATAGAACATTTCATGAAATTAAATTATTAGCACAGATTAAAACTTCTGGAAAACCAGAATTATTCAATTCATTTATAAATACAATGTATGAAAAAAATTTATATAAGAATGATTACGTTCAAGCTGCTTTAAGTTTAGAATTATTAGCTTCTACATATGAATGGGATCATCATAAAATTGTACCAATGAGTTTTAGACCTAAGCTCCCAGAACAGTCATCATTCGAAAGAAAAGAAATTTTATATAAAATGATTGCTTCAAATTTTGTCAAGGGTCAATCATTAGAAAAAGCAGCAGATACATATAATGAATTATTAGATTCATATAATGAACATACTTATGATTTAAAATCTTTTGCTTATGTTCATAATAAATTAGCACAATTATATTTAGATTTAGAAGTTTCTGATAAATTAACACCAAATTATTTCAGGGTTGAAGCAATTGGAACTGGATTCCCATATTATATGAGAATAATAGCACAAATTTACCAAGGTTTACCATTTGAACATATTACTTCAATGCATGAAAGATTATTGAAGATATTTCCTGGAGCTGGTATAATTAGTGATGATACAGAAGCACAAAAGATGAAAGAAAATAATGTAACAGGTAGATATTTACATGTTAAAAAAGTTGAACCAAATTATGAATTTAGTGATAAATTATTTAATACTACTCTTGGTGTTAGATCATATGCTAGAAATAAAGATTTAAGAAATTTTGTAAGTCTTAAAAGAATTCCGGGCTCAACTTCAGTATTTGATCTATGGACAGAAGAAACTACATATGAATGTTGGTTATCATTTCCTACATTAATGAATAGAAGTTTTATCAAGGGGGATAAAACAATTAAATTATCACCGTTGGATAATGCAATTAGAACATTAACTAGTAAAAATGATGATTTAATGCAATTGGAAGCTATGATAAATGCATCAATTAAAGATAAAGTAGATTATTCAAATGCGTTCAATGATTTATCTAGACAATTGGCCGGTACTGTTGATTCGCCAGTAAATGGAGGTGTTGGACAATATAGATTATTCTTTACTGATTCAAAATATCAAAATAATGAAGAAAATAATAGAAAAACAATAACTTTAAAAAACGCATTTAATGATTTGGTTATTATATTGAATAGATGTTTAATTTTACATGGTAAATATGTACCCAATTCAATGAAAGCATCACATGAAGCATTGACAAATTTATTTAATAAAAATTTTAAAGAAGAAATTGAAGCTTTGAAATTGACTCAGGATGAAAAGATTACAACAGCTTCAAGAATATCAATATTTCAAGATAAACGTTCTACATCAAATTCATCAATTATAAATGGTGGGAATGGAAGTTCAATTACTGCTCAATCAATTCCACATTCCGCATCAACCTCAAAATTACATAGATCATTATCTAATAGTTCATCAAGTCATAGATCTGAAAAGACTTCAACAATTGGTTATTCAACATATACATCTACAAATGGATCAGGATATAGTGGACTACCATCAAATCAAAGAACTACCACTTCAAATGGGACAAAACTATCACAAAATACTAAAAAGACTGCTATAAATGGAGACTGGTAAAATACATAGAGCGCATACAATATAGATCAATAGACACTACAACTTTAATTCAATCTCATACACTCTTTAGTATTTGTTGCATCCTTACTACACATGCATCCTTACATGGTAGAATAAATTTTCAAATCTGTTTCGTGAATTTAATACGAAAAAAAAAATTTGAAAATTAATAATACCAAACTAGAAATATTCAATAGTTTTCACCATGTATAGATCATTTTTACGTTCAGCTGCTTTAGTTAGACCATCAATTAAATTGTCACAACAATCTATCCGTTTTTATGTAACACAACCAATTACAAAAGATGAAGTTATTACAAGAGCTTTTGATGCTTTAAAAACAGTTGCCACATTACAAGAATCAAAAATTTCATTAGAATCATCATTTCAAAAAGATTTAGGTTTAGATTCATTAGATACTGTTGAAGCTTTAGTTGCATTAGAAGAAGAATTTGATTTAGAAATTCCTGATAAAATTGCTGATGAAATAAAAACCGTTGGTGAAGCTGTTAATTATATTTATGAAGAAGAACAAAAATTATAGATTAAATTAACTAACGCTATAATAATATAACTTATCTTGTAATATACGGTCAAAAAAAATATAGTGTTTATTGATTGAAAGTTGTACTATTGGTAATTGATGAAATTTGATTTGTTGAAAACTGGCCATTTTCAACCACGGCCAAAATAAAACGGTACACCATACTCAAATGGTGCTCTTTCCACTCTTTCCACTCTTTCACAACCTTTTGCTCTCGTAATAACAGCTTTTTAACATTGTTACGATTCTTCAATCTTATTGGTTGGAATTGTATGGCAGTATATAAAAATATTTATCAACGGTACACGCCACTTCTAATAAATTCAATTTAAATAAATCAAATACCTTGCCACAAGTTAGTACAACCAATATTAAATGTCAGATAATACAATAAAAAATAATGATAATAATAACAATAGTGAATCAATTGATGATGAACATATAATTGATGAACATTCTGCACCAGATTTATCCCATACAGATGATGAACAAGAAGATGAAGAAGATGAAGAAGATGAAGAACCAAACAATATAAATCAAGATAATGGAGCTATACAATATCCAGGTACAATATTACCAGATCATAATCAGCAAGAAATAATAGCAGATCAAGAACTAACTAATGATATAGATTTAGATACTGATTATATAGACCTAGTTCATTTAAAAATATCATCATTGAAAGATTTACAGTTAGAAAGATTCAAACATCTTGAGTCTCTCAATTTGAGACAAAACCTCATCACCTCCATAGTTTCAGTTAAAGATCTTCCTACTAGTTTAGAAGAATTGGATTTTTACGATAATAGAATCAATCACATCTCCTCATCAATTAAACATTTAGTCAATTTGAAAAGTTTAGATTTTTCATTCAATTTAATTAAAAATATTAAAAATATAGAAACGTTGGTTAATTTAGAAAATTTATACTTTGTCCAGAACAAGATAAAAGAGATTAAAAATCTTGAAACATTAACCAAAATCACAAATTTGGAACTTGGAGGTAACAAGATTGAAAAAATTGAAAATTTGGATAAATTAGTGGAATTAAAGCAATTATGGTTGGGTAAGAATAGAATACCAAGATTTGAAAATTTAGGAAATCTAATTAATTTACGAGTTTTATCTATTCAATCAAATAGGATAACTAAAATTGAAGGGTTGGAAAATTTAAAAAATTTGGAAGAGTTATATGTTTCACATAATGGGATTGAAAAAATTGAAAATTTAGAACATAATACAAATCTACAAGTGTTGGATATCACATCAAATAAAATTTCAAAATTGGAGGGATTAAAACATTTAGTTAAATTGACTGATTTTTGGTGTTCCTACAATCAAATATCATCATTTGAAGAAATTGGTAAAGAGTTAGGAAAATTGCCTGATTTAGAATGTGTTTATTTTGAAGGTAATCCGATTCAACGTAATAATCCAAGTGCATATAGAAGAAAATTAAAATTATATCTTGGTTCATCAATAAATAAAATTGATGCTACATATGTTCACAGTTGAATATAGACTTATGATCATGAAATGAACGATTTTTTAATGAATATGTTGCGATATGTACAACCCTTAAACATATAAATGTTGCAGATTTATACTGCAAAGTAGAATATATAATAATGGAGTCCTTCATTTTAGGTTTAAGTCAGTATAGCTTTATTTTACATTATGTTTTCATCCTGGTTTGACGATTATGATGATTCTTTATGGTCAAGAGCAAGAAAATACTCTTCAAGATTACCAAGAGATTATAATCCAAGAAGAGTAACTGAAAATTTACCATGGTATGCATCAGACAGAGATCTTCAACCTCTTTCTTATGATAGTCCAAGAAGGAGTAAGCCTCATTCAGCATTAGCTAGAAGAGAAGGTGATTTTATTGATGATTTTTGGAGAAATGTTGAACGTGGTAAATATTTTGTCGGATTTGATGAAAATTTACATACTACAGAAGAAGATGACAAATATTTAGTATCATTCGATAGGGAAAATTTATCAGTTGATGATGTTTCAATTGATTTTAATAAACATGATAATGAATTAGTTATTTCTGTTGATCAAAGTGAACAAGATAGATTTGGTAGATCAACGAGTTCAAAATATCATTCAGCTATGAAATTTAATAAACCTATTAAGGTAGATGATATTAAAGCTGATATTACTGATCATGGAATTGAATTAAAATTACCTAAAGAACATGCAGATAGTGAACAAGTTGTACAAATTCCACTTCAAAAAAGTGAAAAAAAGAGAGCTGAAACGTAAGGATGAGTAAGAATGCTATATATATATGTAAGGATGCAACAAATACTTGCAACAAACACTTTCTTGTATAGGTAGGTACTTGTTTAATGTATGAAGATATTTTTATTTTATGCTGCAAAATTAATTTTTTATGCTGCAAGATTTTTTGCAACCAAAATTTTACACACAAATATTTCCTTATGAGAGTTCATTTAAATCAAATGTGTCAGAGACTCAAGGAGATATTTGAAATGATTTCATTGAATACTATACCAACTCCACCTTCATCCGATCCTAAAGAAATTCGAATTTTTTCAAATGAATTAATATTATGTATGAATGATTTAGATGATATTCAACTTTCACCAACTTCATTACCTACAACTAATGAAACCTTCTTCTATGATGATAGGTATAAGAATATTACTTCATTTCATGACCTATGCTCATTGATTGATCAAGAAATACAAGAATGGATAATAAATGATGATATAACAACTTCAACGGATACTATTGCAACCATATCAAAAGAAAATTTTAAATTACCTACAAGTAATACTAGTTATTTACCTCCTTTGAGGGATCAAAATAATAAAGAATTACCTTTGAGTTTCCAACCGTATGATTCGTCTTCGAAATTTCAAGATTTTAAATTACGCAATTCATTATCGGAAGATTTCAAATTACGAAATGCTATTAATAAATCATTAGTATCAGAAACTGAACCTATTTTTGCAAATTATTTTGAATCATTAGCTAGATTCCCCGAATTAATTAATTTACATTATCCAAATTGTGAATCATCATCAGTACAAATTATACCAACACAAGATACATTTCAATTAAATAAATATAAATCAATCAGAAAACATAGATTCTTTTCAAATAGACCATCATCAAGTAATCATAAAAAGATTATAATTAAAAAAAAACGTTAATATATATTAATTTCAGTCAAGTTTGTTATCTTCCACTTTATAATTATCCAATACAATTCTATAAATAAACGTCAGTGCAAATCCACCAATATTAGTAATAAAAATATCAATTAAATCTGGGGGTATATAATCTTCCAAAGTATTAGTTACAACTTGAACATTTTCAATTAATTTATAATCGTCATAATTTAAAACTTTCCCTGAGTTTCCAACTTCAATTAAATCATCTTTTGTAAATGGATATAATGGACTTAATTTATATAATCCAGCAACTGCAAAAACAGGAGTTTTATGTTCTTTTGCACATTCAACAACTTGAGAAACCCCCAGATTAGATAAACATCCACCATTTGCAAATACTGCATTTGTTCCGATTATAACTTTCCCTACTCTTGACATAACTGCATATGAAGTAGAATCAGGAATTAAAATGGTTTCAATTTTATGTTCAGCTAATTTTTTAACAAAATAATGAGATTTTTCGATATCATTGGGATAATTTTCAGTAACTAAAACAGTAAAATTTCTTTTAGTTTTAGCTTTTATAAGAAAATGTAAAACTGAATCTGAATTTGGAGTTGGTGTTAATAATACTTCATTATCATGAATTAAATCAGCAATCATATTTTCAATACCTTCATTTACATTTGAGATTTCATCAATTAATTCACGTATGCCTTGAGCTATAATTGAACGTAAATCTGATGTTTTCTCTTTAGGCTTAGCAACTTGTATTTGGTCTTCTTTTCTTTTATTTGTTGTTAATAAACTAAACATTGAACTCATCATTGGGAAATTTGAATTTATATTATCTTCTTCTTCTATAGTTTCTTCTCTTATAATAAATAATACTCTTCTTACTATATTACCAGGTATAATTTTTCTAGGATATGATTTATGTATTATTAAACCAACTTTTCGGATAATTTCAATTAATTCTTGTGGATTTGACCATTTTGATACAGATATAACTTTCATTAATAATTTAGCAATAGTTAAAGCAACATCTTTATCTTCTATTAATTGATGTCTTTTTAAATTAGAAATAACTGGATCTATTAATGAATGAATCTCTGGTGTTATAATTTGTTTACTAGTCATTGATAAATTTTTCATTCCCGAGACTTGAAAAATTATTTTACGCAAGACGCTTTAATAATCAAAACAATCAAAGCCTTTTATATGGCCTCATGGCATCAACATCAAACTTTAATAATGAACTAGATAAATCGTTGAATGTATTATATGATCAATCTTCAAATTTTAAATTATCAGTTGATTTGATACAGAGACTAGCACAACAATTCAAATTAGAAACATTTGTTGAAGATAATAAATTTCAATTAGGTTCATTGACAAAAACCAAAAAATTAACAATTGCTGCTTCTAGTATATTATTAGATATAGATTTTGAAAATGATGATACTATTACAGATGTAAGTATCTCAATAAATGGTAATGAAAAAAGAGATATTCCAAATGAACATTATTTAAAGAAACTAGATAATAGAATAATTATAAATCAAGAGCATAATCCCGTTTCGTTGATTAATAAAGTTGAGAATTCAAGTAAATCAATAGTGGAGAACGTAATCTTCAAAAATCTAACTGATACGTCTAAGGTGTTAGGTCATCTTCCGCGAAATTTGAAATATTTATCTACCATAGACAAATATACTAGTGATACTCAAGATTTATTCTTTTATATTGAGTCTATTGGGTTATTCTTATATACTATATGGAAGTGTGAGAGTGAGGATGTAAGTGAAGAGAACTGGCAGGTGTTAAATGGATTCACAAATTCAATTGGAAAAGTTGAAGTTAATAACTTGGTAGAGAATGAGTTGGGGATATTTATTAACTTCTGGCAAGATTTTAGATACATTAATCATGAATATAAATTAATGAAATCAACTGAGGAGTTATTAATGGGTAATAACTATAGAATTACTTTTGAAATTGTACCATCGCAGTATCAAAATGACTACCAACAAGAAATAATAGATCAAGAATGGAAATTAAATGACAATACTTACAAGTTTGAGTTTACTAAGGCTGTTAAACCACTAGAAGGTGATAAATATTGGTCTTTTGTGTTAAATTTAAATCATCCAATACTTATACCAACTTTAGTATTGGAATTTTTAGAACAGACAGATTATAAACAAACACAAATACAGGATCCACTATTTAGGGAACTATTTGAGAAGCTCAATAACGAAGAAGAGTATACTCAAGATATGAATATTGAATCTAATATTGTTGATATAACTTTAATTCATGACTATCCTTACAATTTCATACCTATAACACAAGTCAAAATCAACCGACTAATAGAATTAACTAGCTTAATACCTGTATTAAGAAACTTCATAGTCTTGACCAATTTATACAGTACGTTATTCAATGAGAAGAATAAATCATATACATATAAACGAAGAAGAAGAAGTTCAAGATTATCAATAAGTTACGATAAGAACTTATCAGAAGAAACAAAAGAAAAACTTAAAGAATCTTTGAAATTACCTAAAGATGTAACTGATGAAGAAATACTCGGTCTTAATGCCATTTCTGAAACAGCAAATTATTCAACTATTCAACCTACAAAAGATGAAATTGATTTAGATTCATTTATGAATAATGATAATGAATTACCAAAAGTAGAAACAAGAGATAATTATATAGATTTTAAATTAAATGAAGTTGATTTGTCAAATGGTGATATTAAATTATCATTCAATTCAAGTATACTAACCAAACAATTCAATGTCAGTTTTAAAATATCCAATGGTGAATTTATTCTAGATTCAAATTCAGATGATATGGAATTAGATATCCAATTAAAATTCATAAAAGCATTAAATTACACTGAAGATATTTTAATTGCATTTAAAGCAGTATATTAAGAATATATACACAAGATTTCTTATATTTTTATACCAATATGAATTGCAGCAACACCAAATGTTAAATTTTCATAACCTGGTTCAGGAACATAAAATCCTGCTTTTTCAATCATTTTTTTAAATTCTTCTTGTTTTGGAAATTTTCTAATTGATTCAACTAAATATTGATATGAATCTCTATCATTTGCTATTAATTGACCCATTAAAGGTAATATACTAAATGAATATGCTTGATAAGCATAATCTAAAACCGGATTATCAATTTGACTAAATTCTAAACATGCAAATATACCACCAGGTTTTAAAACTCTATAAGCAGTATTTAATCCCGCTTGAATATTTGTAAAATTTCTAATTCCAAATGCTATAGTATATACATCTTTTGAATTATCTGGGATTTTATTCATTGTTTCACCATTTTGAACAAGAAATTCAACTCTATCTGAATCTGACCATTTTGATTTTTTATATCTCAATTCTCCTTCTTTTAACATATCAGGATTTATATCAGCAATTGTCATTTTTGATTCATAATCTCCAAAATTTTCTTCAGCATTGGCCAACAAACCAAATGCAATATCACCAGTACCACCAGCAACATCTAAAAATTCTAATGGTTCAACTGAATTTGGTCTTTTACCAGCATTTAATTTTTTAATAAAGTGATGTTTCCATAATCTATGAATACCAGCAGACATAACATCATTCATTAAATCATAATTAGAAGCAACTGATGAAAAAACACCACCAACTAATTTTTCTTTATCTTGTTTATTAACAGTTTTAAAACCAAAATGGGTTGTATCATTATGTGAATTTGGTGGTTGAGGTGGTGGTGGAGTTACTTTTGAAGAATTGAATCTTAATGCAACTATAGGTTTTAATGATTTACCAACAGACCCTTTAATTGATTGTTGAAACATGTTATTTATGGTGTGTGGCCAGTTTTGGTATTAATTTTTTCGTTTGAGAAATTTGAAGAGTGCTACCAATTTTTGCCAAAAATATCGTCTATTATTAAACTACACAACAATCTACATCTTTACAATGGTTTTGCAATCTTGTTACGTTGTTCGCATCCTTATGCTTGCACAATTCTAACAGTATTTGAATGACCTGAACCTCTTGTCCATCCTTGTACAGTAACAATTGAATCACCTTTTGAAATAATTCCTAATTCAATTGCTTCTGAAACTGCCCATCTTAATCTATTTTCAACATCTTCTTGCCAATTTGCAACTTTTTCTTTGGTATATACAAATGGATAAACCCCTCTATATAAATGAGAATATTTAGCAGCTCTTTCATTTCTTGTAACCATTAAAATTGGAACATCAGGTTTATATTTTGAAACTAATCTTGCAGATAATCCAGAAGTCGATAAAACAACAATTGCTTTTGCATCTTGTTCATATGATGCAGAAACAGCAGCTACTGCGCAAGTTTCACTTGTTGGAGTTGGTTTTTTAGCTAATGATCTTAATTCATTAAATAATTGTGGATAAGCAATTGCTTTTTCAGCAATTAAACAAGTATTATGCATCATTGAAACAGCTTCAAATGGATAATCACCTTTTGCAGTTTCACCAGATAACATAACACAATCAGCACCATCTAAAATAGCATTACCAACATCGGAAACTTCAGCTCTTGTTGGTCTTGGATTATAAGTCATTGATTCTAACATTTGAGTAGCACATATAACAGGTTTTGCAGCCAAATTACATTTTGCAATTAATTGTTTTTGAACAACAAAAACTTGTGGAGCAGGAATTTCAATACCTAAATCACCTCTTGCAACCATAACACCATCAGTTTCTACCAAAATTTCATCAAAATTATTAACACCTTGTTGATTTTCAATTTTTGCAATAATTTGAATATCTTTACCTTCTTCACCTAAAACTCTTCTAATATGTTTAATATCATCACCACTTCTAATGAAAGATGCAAAAATCATATGAACATTATTTTTAACACCAAATTTAATATCAGAAATATCTTTTTCTGATAAAGCAGGTAAATCAACATCGGTACCTGGTAAATTAACACCTTTATGAGAACAAATTTTACCAGCATTTATTGATTTAACTTTTAAAGTTGAATCATCGTCAACACTTAAAACTTCAAATGATAAAACACCATCATCAACATAAATAATTTTACCAGCTTCAATAACTTTTGTAATATTTTTATAATCAATATACATGATTTTATCATCACATTTTAATTTATATTGATCATCAGTTGTAAAAATCATTTCATGATTTGATGGAATTGGAAAATCTTTATTATCAATAGTAGTACCTGTTCTAATTTCTGGACCTTTTGTATCTAAAGCAATTGCTAAAGGTCTACCTTTATATAATTCTTCTGATTTTCTCGCATTATCAATGACGCTTTGATGATACTCATAAGAACCATGAGAAAAATTCATTCTAACAATATTTAAACCAGCTTTTCTTAATTTAACTAAAACATCAACATTATTAGTTTTTGGTCCAATAGTACCAATAATTGAAGATCTTCTTAAATATTTATGAGGAGTTTGTTCGACATTTAAATTTGATAACCAAGATAATGATGAGTGGGACATTTTATATATTTAGTATATTTGATATATTATTCAATTGGTTAGTAATATAAGTAATATATATATATATAATAATACTATAAGTTGTTAATTGAGATAAAGAAAGAAAGATGCGTGGGTAAGAATTTGTTGGAATTGGTTTGCTTTTTTATAAATTAATTCTCGGCTCACAGTAATACGAAAATTAGTACACCGTGCGATTTATGAATGGTATCATCACCAGTTGATATCAATTAGTTTAATTCTACACAACACAACACAACACAACACAACACAACACAACACAACACAACACAACACAACACAACACAACATACACAACTTAAACTCTACATCACCTAATATACAATTACAATGATAAGATCCTGGTGGTATGAATTTTGATATTATAATCTATTAATTCCATTCCATTCCATTCCATCACCAACCGACCAATTTTATGCGACAAAAAAATTATACACGAATATAATAAATGTTTCGATGAGATGAGATGAATTTATGTATGTTGATAATTTTATATAAGCACCAGCACCAGACAAGTCAATTGAGTTAGTATTACTTCTGTCATACATTCTCATTACATGTCAGCTTATCAATTACTTCTCAATTTACGTCGTTCATCCTTAATTCATATGAACAAACTTTATATAAAAATACTCCGAAATTTAAAGTTTTATTACACAAAATCGCCTTTAAAAAATAAATTATAGTTGCAAAAAAATCGAATTGGATTTGAGACAGACAATTGTAAACGTACAAATATGTCTGTCTTAAATCGGCTTAGGTTTACTTGAGAAACAAAAGATTAACAAGAATTATCTATACTGGGACAAGATTTAGTTACAAATTTCTTGTAATATATTATTAAAAATTGCTTACTTAAAACGTAAATCATTTCTGAGAAATCATATATGAGCTACCAGGTGACTTTTTCAACACTAAATTTGTATTCAAAGATTGTTTCATATTTTATATTTCAAAGCACATCTTTACTGTTGTTACACACCTTTACTGTTGTTACGTACATTGAGCAAATTAGCCTCATTACTTCTCATTAGTTTGATATGACTTTTGACCTCTTCGCGAAACTTGATTTCATCTTTATTTAAATTTCTTATACTTTGCTTCACTTTCAAACCGAAATAGTTGCAATTAATTTATCTCTATTTGTTAACAGTTAACTGTGACCAATCTATTATCTGTGACCAATCTATTATCTGTGACCAATCTATTAAAATGATACCTTTCCTAATTCGTTCAATCAAGCAAATAAACTAAAACTATGAGACCAAATCTGTTTCTGATTACGTAATTTTAACTATTGTTATATTTCTTCGATTTCATGCTAAAAATTTACCAAAATATGCAGGCTTTATACAATTTTGGATAAAGAGATCAACATCCTATGAGTTTTCATTAAGACAGATTTGCTCAATACTAGGTGAGTTTTAACTCAAATCAATCACTAATTACCTTATCTTCAATCTTCAACTGAGGTGATTATAGCATAACTTGTGCAATCTAGTAACCATCTCTCATACACGGATAGAATTGACAATGATAATTGAGATACGAATTTCTAATACATTCGATTGGATAGAGTAACTCACATTCCCATCTTATTCTTGGCTTCTACAATATTTGGAGTAATCAGTGGTTTTTATCAATTGGTTTGGTTTGAAAAATTCGCAATGCGAAATTTGAAAAATCAAATCGAATCAAATGATTTCATACGCAACAACTTCTAATTTTGCATTCACACATATATTCATTCAATGGTAGTTCCTATTATACTAGGCATTGGAGCTACATTATTAGCCCTAACTACAAAAGCAACGATATCAGCATATAAACAATATATACATTTAACACCAGCAATGATTGCAACTTTAAATAATATAAAACTAACAAGTTTTGAAGATAAATATTCATCAACAATTTCCAAAACTGATCCAAATTATCATCATTATAAATTTTTAACCGCAAAATATCCTAATCGACCTTTTAATACTCCAATGACTGAACAAGAAGCATTATTTATATTGGGGATAGAAGGTGATGATATCTTAAATGTTGATAAGAAAATGATACGAGATAGGTATAGAAAATTAATGAATTTAAATCATCCTGATAAGAATGGAAGTCTATATATATCTCAAAAGATAAATGAAGCTAAAGATATATTGGATAAAAGTTATATGGTAAATAAATGAAGCTAAAGATATATTGGATAAAAGTTGTATGGTAAATAAATGAAGCTAAAGATATATTGGATAAAAGTTGTATGGTAAATAAATGAAGCTAAAGATATATTGGATAAAAGTTATATGGTAAATAAATGAAGCTTTAATAGATATTTATTAACAAAGATATTAATTATAGCTAATAAACCTGTTAACCAGTATATGTAATTTGATTGTATTTGTTTACATTCTTGTGCATTGTGAACCAATCCAAACACCATTTTTTAATTTTTCTAATAACACGATCTTTTGAAACATCTGTTTTAGTTGAAGTTTTAAATTCTGTTTGTTGAGCAGTCATTGTAAGTTAAGTTTCAATTTGATGATTTGGAGTTGATATGCTTATTGACTCGTTTATATAGTATTCTGAAGCTGTTATCATTATTATCGTTTTAAATAATTAACACTTTCAACTTCGTTATCTTTATTACATTCCAGAGAGATTGATTAGCTTGTTTCAGGTTAATTGCTTGATTAGTTTTGACAATGCTGTTCATGAGTCAATCTATCAACTCAAACGTTTAGGAAGAGAATTTTGGACATCCAAAAAATTTAAGCTGCAAAATTGGATGTACATTCTGTTTGAAGATTAAATTCTGAGCTTAACAATCGTAAATATATGCATTTAAGTTTTGAATAATATACTTTAATGGTAAGCATAAATTACATAGTATCTGCACAATTAGATGTAGTTTTTGACGAGATTAGTATATGCATAAATAGATGTAATTTTATACGCGAGGCGAACAAATTATGCGAAAATAGATGTAATTTTCCACTCGCCAAACCAATTTTTTTTCGTATTAAATTTGGGTCCAAGTTTTTAAAATCTCGCATTGCAGTGGACCAATTTAGTAATTTGTTGCAAAATTTTGTAACGCTAACATTCTCAATGAAAATAAAAATGGCTGCAAAATATTAATCATATTAATTAATCAAAGCCCAACACACGTTTGTTGATAAATTCATCAACTGTATCTCCACTAAATAGTTAGGATCATTTATAGGTAGATAATGAAATCACCCATTCATTCTTCATTCTTCATTCTACATCAAACAAATTTAAATTAGCAATGCCTGCTAAACTTCAAACACTAACACTTCAAAAAAAAATCAAACGGTTCAAAAGATAACGTCATTCATCGAATTGGTAATAGTTGGATTGGTTCAATTTGTACCATCATCTAAGAAAAGTTAATTGTTGCTTTTTTTTACTGGTTTGATTGAGTCAATATCGATGATTCTCAAATCTGGAACACAATTATTTTTATTTACTTTATTACTGATTTGTAAAACTTTAAAAAATATGAAAAAAACTTTTTTTGGGTTTATCCAAACTATCATGAATTGTGGAGATTTGATTTCTAATCGTTAATATTGTATATTTAATTTAATGTCCATTTCCATTCATTTCTACATGACCATCCATCATATCATCACCATATGGGTCTTCTTCCTCAATCACTTGAAAATGTTGTTGTGGTTGTATTTGTTGTTGTTCATTTTCTTCATTAAATTGTTGTTGTGCTTTTTCTTTACCACCTTCGAAATTTTCACGAACTCTTAAATAATGTTGTAATTCTTCAGCTGAAACAGATGGGATTAAATCAATTTGAGCTTTTACGAAATCTTCCATTTTAACAACAACTGTAGTATCTTGTTCAGTTGCAATATTATCAAACCACCAACGAGTATTAACTTCATCTTTACCTTGTCTTTTCATTTCAAAATTATAATTTTTAATCTTATCATCAATTTCATTTGCTATTCTAGTCATTGCATTCAACATTGAATCAGAACATAAAGCATAAAAATCAGCACCAGTATATGTAAATGAACATTTTTCAGCAATAACTTCTAAATTAACTTGATCATCTAATTTAAATTTCCTGGTCAATGCTTCTAAAATCTTTGTTTGTTTTTCATTTGTATCTGAAATACCCAAATATAACATTCTATCAAATCTACCAGGTCGTAATAATGCTTCATCTAATAAATCAGGTCTATTTGTTGCACCAACTACAAATACACCATCACCACCTTCTGAACTCATACCATCTAATTCTGCTAATAATTGAGATACAATTCTATCCATAACACCACCTGAATCTCCTTGATTACCTCTTTTAGGAGCAACTGAATCTAATTCATCAAAGAAAATAACACAAGGTTTTGCATCTCTAGCTCTTTGAAAAACTCTACGAACATTTGCTTCAGATTCACCAATATACATATTTAATAATTCAGGACCTTTAACTGAAAAGAAATTTAATGAAAAATTGGTGGCTATTGCTTTTGCAAGTAATGTTTTACCAGTACCTGGAGGACCATAAAATAAAATACCACTTCTTTTCTTTAAACCATTATTAAATAATTCAGGATGTTTTAATGGCATATCTATAGTATCTAAAATTTCATCCTTGATTAAGTCTAACCCACCAACATCTTCCCAATTAACATTAGGGATTCTAGGTGCACCAATAGAATCTGAAAATTGATTTCTAGCTTCATTAATGGCGGAATTAAAATCTTCAGGGATCCAAGTTATGATTCCACCATTTCCAATATCTATTAAATCTTGTATTTTGATATTAGATTGTTTTGATAATGTTTTTAATCTTTTAATTGCTAATTTTTTAGATTTTTTAATTATTGAAATTAAATCTCTTGGAGTTAGACCTGCTGATTGTAATGCTAAATTTTTATAATTTATATCTTTTCGAATTATAAATGGATATGAATTTATATCATTTGAAGGTATTTTGTCTTTTTCATTCTCAGTAAGAAATTTGAAAATTTCCAATCTTTCATTTTCACTAGGTACTGTAAATTCAAAAGTAAATTTTATTAATGATTTTAAATTATCATTTAATTTATCATAATCATTGCAACTTAAAACAACTACTAAGTTTGAATAATTATTTAAATAATCATTTAACGTTTGAATAATTTTTAAACTTAATGATGTGAAAATATTTGAATTTTGATCATTTTCATCAATTTTAGGACATAAATTTTCAATATGTTTTAAATATATAACATGTAATGATGATTTAGTAGGTACATTAGCAATCAATTTATCAATTTTACCAGATAATATCCCAATTGTTTTCAATTCTTGACCAGGATTTAATAAATCAAAACAATCTAATTCAATTAAATTTAATCCCATTTCATTACATACATTTTTAACAAGGGTTGTTTTACCAATACCTCTACTCATTGAAGTTAATAAAATTGAAGTTTTAAGATTTATTTTTGAAGTTATACATGTTTTTAAAGTCTTTTTGAAATCTTGTGCATATTTAAATAGTGATGAATTTGAATAATTGAAAATTTGTGGTAAATTTAAATATCTATACCAGTTTGTAAATTCATTCATTGGTAATCTTATACTTTCAACACCTGATGATACTAATAATGTCTTTGTTGGATCTATCAAAAATTGACTAGTACCTAATTTATCATCACCTTTAACTTCTGTTATTTTAAACCATGCAACAACATCTGGATTACCAATAGGTATAACATCAACATCATCATTTGGCACTTCATCAGTTGCTACATTTGCATCTTCTTCTGAATTATCAAACATTGTTTTTGCCAATATTGAATCTATTGTAACGGGTATCAAATCACCTTGTTTTACACATTTTAATTGAGTAGTTAAAATTGATTTTAAACTTGAAAATATATTCTTTTGATATGTTTTATCCATTGTGATTTGTGATGATACTCTAGTAATTGTAACTGATTCAGCAATAGGGATTAATTTCGATATTGATTCTTCTTGTTCATTAATTGGTTCAAATTCAACTCTTGATTTTTCATTTATATTTAAATTTATTAATAAAATAGGTGATAAATAAACGGTATTTTTTTTAAAATTAAATTGTGGTTCAATAAATGTAAATATTTTAACAATTGTAGTTTGATTATCTTCAGTTTTTAATTTAATTAAATCACCATTGAAAACAGGAAAATTCAAATTTATAAAATCTTGATTGTTTATGAATATAAATAAATCATTATCATCTTTTGACCAGTTTTTAGGCAAATCATCAATATTTAATTTTTCAGGTAATGGACCAACTTTAAATTTTTTAGATTCAATAGGTAATGCTTGTTTGTCAAATTGTAAACTCGAAGATAAATAGGATGATAAGTTTAAATCTTCATCTAAATCATCATCATCATCATTTAAAACATCATCTATTTCCTCTTCATTTTGATTAATTAACACTATATTTGTAGATTCATTAATTTTACCCTGTGTTAATGGTTCACATAAATCAATTTTACCATTCAATAATTTCAAACTATCACCTTCATTAATTATATTATCATTATTAATAGTAAATTGAGTTAGAAATTGTTGTTTGATACTTTCTTGTGTTTTTGAATTCAAAATTTTATAAATTTCCAGGGGCACGGATACAAAAATTTGTGATAATAAAGGTATTGAATCATAATTTATAGTTTTAACAATTGATTTATTTAAAGTTAATGAATCAATATCAAAATTCGATATCAAATTGGTATTATTTATAAAACTTATTGAATTTAATGCAAGTTTATAATTTATTCTATTCAATTTTAAAATATTATATTTATTGAAATAATCAGGAGCTCCTAAAAATTTAACAAGAAGATATCTATTAGCAAGTTCATGAATTGGGAATGCGAACTGTTCATCCGTTTCTGAAGGATATAATCTCTTGAATACATCTATTGAAATATCTAATATATCAGTTTGATTAATTGATGAATCGTTTATAATTTGTAAATTTGTAACTGTTGAGACTGAATCTATTTGTTCAGAATCATTTACTACTTCCCTGATAGTATCATCCATATCGTTATTCACTATAGATGGCATATTTTAAATCAATCTAGTTGATTTTATAATGTGAAAAAATGGTTGTAAAAAATTATTTTGAATGTTGGAGAAAGAAAAATCTTGTTCCGCTGGAATAAAAATCTACAAATTCGCATAATTTCTTTCGCATGATTCACGCGAAAGTTTGAATTCACTGGTTCCAGCTCTCGCTCTTTTCACGCGGAGCAGTTTTGGTAGTACCACATGCTGAAATTGTGGGGAAGAACTACCAATTGAAAATATTTCATGAAATCTCAACAACTCAGGTCATTACTTCTTTAAACACATTCTTCTAATATAAGAATAGAGATATTGGTCCTTTGAAACAGGTACTAAAACCAGAGTAAGGCCAGAGTAAGGCCAGAGTAAGTTTAGAATTCGACAAATTCGTGTTTACAATTTTTGCAACCATCGATAAAGCAGAATCAACAGCTCATTTAGTTTAGTACAACAGGATTATCTCTTGAAAAAGATTTATCTAAATGCTTTCGTGTCCTGAAGTTTCATCGTACGAATATTGGTCTTCTTGAATTGTGCTTACCCTGCTAGTAGTGTATTTTTCGTGTATTTATCAAACTTTAGTCTCATCTTTCAAACTTCGAGATCAAAATAATTTTTCAATAACTTTATTACAATCAAAACTATTATGAAATAGTATGTTTAAATCCATTATGAAATAGTATGTTTAAATCCATTAGTCAATCAATTTAAGTCTTGTATTTATTTATGATGATAACCTTTTTAATTTTCATACCAATTGAAGAGCTATTATGTTCTAATATTATCGTCTTGATGATATTTTAATTGCAATGATATGGTATTTATAGTCATAGTTACACTGATTTTATAAGATTTGAATTGACAATAATATAAAGCATTGTTGTACTAACTAAGAACAGAACTCATCAGTTAATTTAATCACGTGATGGAATATACATGATACTTCATCCAAATCTTTACATACCTGAGAAGTTTTGCATCCAAATGAATTTTGAGATTTGTCCATGTTCATAATCTGCTATGTTTGAAGGTACAGCATAAAATGGGTCTTCAGTCGGAGGAATTGCTTTTGTTAATGGTGGTTCAATTGTATATTCATTAGGATTCAATTGAAACGCAAATATGATTGATAGTAAATAACAGATGATTAGAAATTCATTGTTGTGAATAATCAATTTGATTAGATGTTTTATGCAATTGTTTAATACAATCCTTGTTCTTGAACAGCGCAAATATAGACTCGTTCAGTTTATTGTTAATTTATTAGCTTTTTTATGATTCATGATTTTACCATAAAATTTGAGATCTAGGTTATGCTACGATTTAATGCGTTTGAAGAAATCACAAGATATATTGAACTTCCTAAAAGCATTTAGTTAACAGTTTATTATATTCAGATCATAGTTGAGCTTATACGACGACAAAGAATGAGTGAAATTTTGAAGTAACTCTTGAGGTTAAATAGGTAAATTTCGAATATATGGGCTTAGTTTTTGTAATTTTTTGTTAAGAGGTAATGCTTTGGGGGTTATGATAATTTATTTTGTCATTATTCAATGTGTTGAAGTTTGTTCTAGTAAAATGAGCAACACTTTTGTCTTTTATTGACTATAAACTTGTTTTCTATGACTCTCCAGAAATATGTTAGGTTCTTCAACTTATTATATCGAATCGTTTATCTAATCAAAGTACGAAATACTTTTTTTGTTGATATCAGAGTTATTCATTACGGCAAGAACGAAAAGACACAGAAGTGAAGAATCACTGAATGAGAAAAGACAAAAAACAACCAATGATAGTGATGTTGATAACTCATTAGTTGAAATATTAGTTAGGTTATTTGTATTACCAGAAGAATTGATTCATCTAGTGCTCGATTATATACCTAATTTTTAGAATTAAATAAAGTTTCTCTAGTTGCGGCGTCAATTTATATTAAAAACTTAGGATGGGTTCCAATGCTTATGATGCTGAAATATTACAAGATTAAGTAATTGTGTATTTACAATTAAAATCAAAACATCATGGCAAATCATGGTTGCTTCACGTAATTCATTAAATGAACCAACATTCGTCATGGTCTCTTTGTTAATTCCCTTCAATGCTAAATTTAACAAAGTACTAAGTTATCATACATTTGAAGACTCTCCAAGTTAAAATTGTGCTACCAGTTACGGTTTAATTAAAGGTAGTTCGTTAAAGGCAACTGGATTAGATATAAATATCATGGTTTCTGCGTTAAAACTAGGTTGGGTTGTCATTGTTCCGGATTATGAATCAAATCTTGTAAGTTTTGGAATTGATTAAACTTCTGGAAAATCAATATTAGATAGTTTAACAGCATTACTTTCAATTCCAAAATTGATTCCAAAAGAGCACAGAGTCGTTTTTAGGGGGTTTTCAGGTGGTGCTTTTGCTACAATTTGGGCAGCCTCAATTTTACGGTCTTATTCACCAAATTTGAAGAAGAGTATAGTTGGAATTGCCGCTGGCGGATTACGTACTAATTTCACTCATACATTTGTTAAAGTAAATCTAAATTTACTTGCTGGAATAATACCATTGGCATTGTTGGGAATGGGTAATGAAAGACCGGAAGTTAAAAATTATTTACGAACTCACATTTAAAATCCAGAAAAAGATGGATGGATATTGGAAAAGAAAATGTGTTTACTTCCAGCACTTATAACTTTTCTATTTAGGAATTTCTTCAATGATGGAGTATTTAAAATATTTCAGTATTGAATACTGAACCAGTTAGCAGTGTCGATGAATTATCATTATCTCATGTTCCTTCTCTATTTATTACTGCTCCAAAGTCTTTGAAATGGGTTCAAGATCGATTTAATGAAGAGCCAAAACAAAAAGGATGTTTTATGATTGGAAAGAAGTTGAATTTATTTTATCCTGGTGTAAAAAAGTCCACTTTGAATTTATTGGGGGCTATTGGTAAAACTATTTTGAAGAAAAAATTGGGACCCCGAGAAAAGCCGCTTAAGAAGTTGAAGAATAAAATATTTGGTGAAAAGACCTCTGATGAATATACAGATATGACAGATAAAGAAATTATTAATGCAGTGTCAGAACTTCAAAAAGAAATGTTCAGTGGTACTTTTGGTCAATCATTGAGCTTGAACAAATCAATGACAACTCCGATCAATAATGCTATCATTTTTATTAGTTCAAAAGTATAACTGAGTTCAATGAATAAGAATTTTGATTTGCTTCAATGAAAATTATTTTTTTGTACGTATTTTGAATGCTTTTTTATTATTATACAAAACTATTTCCCATAAATTAGACTTGTTCTATTGTAATTCGTTAAAATTGATTAATTTATTCTTCATCTTCAACAACAACGGTGTGTAAACCTTTAGTTGATGGAACAATTACTGGTTCAACGTAAGCAAATAATTTTTCTTTAGCATCTTCTTCATCATTTCTTTTTCTTGAAATTCTTAATCTCATTCTATGTTCAACACCTTGAACACCTCTTTTCCAAACTGCAACATTTAATTTTGGATCTAATCTAACATCAGTGGTACCCATATGTAAAGTAGCAAATTTTCTAATTTCTTTCATAGCTTTTGGAGCTCTTTTTTTGAAATGAACACCATGTAACTAGAAACTTGTTAGTATAACAATCCCATAAATTCTTTCAAATTTCAATAGTTCATTTAGTTTGTTTCTTCTTTTAAATAAATTGATTATTTTCAGGATATGTAAGAATTAAAATAATCACGTTTGAATATTGAAATGTCTGTTTCTGTTCCTTTTAAAATTAATATTTAACATACTCTTTTATGTAAGTTGATGGTATATTCTCTGGTAACAACGTCTTGTAAAGCCATTATGGATAGTTTATGTTTGGTCTATATTAAGATTGTAGATGAACTTTTGTATTGATAAATTTTTTTCAATATCAAAATGCGACCTGCGAAAAAACATTACACAAAATTAATAATGGAGACATTTTTGTTAACTATGTGTCATGTGAATATTAGGGCTATAACTTTGGCTGCAAATTGTGAAAAATATACAATTTATATGCAACAATAACAGGATGTCAGTTGTAGGGGACTTAATCGAAGATGTTATATCATAAATAGTAGAAGTAGCAAATGTTGTCCTAGAAAATGGCGAAGAGATTAGCTAGAGGATTACTAAGATTTTTATGAATATAAAAAAACATAAGTTTGACTTAGATGAGTATGTCTATTTCATTTTGCAGTAAGATATGGGACTATTTAATACGGTGGACTCTTCCAAAACTAAACCTTGAATAAGTAAACTTAAAAAATTGCAAGTTCATTTGATTTGAGCCTTTGTCATGAGTTTCAATACCAAATTCTTGTAGTTACTCTCTTGTTTGTGAAGCTATTAGGTTCGATGGAGTCAGTAACGAGTGTATTCTACATGTTTTCACGCCACTCACTACATTTATTTGCAATAGGTAATTTTTAAACAACTATTCCAATCCATAAACCTTAGTAATATAATTCACCCACTTCGAATTAATCAAATCACAGCATTTCTTAACCAAATCATCACTCTCTTCAATCTCTTTAGTATTTATAAACTCCAACTTGTTTTCCTTTTCAACAATCTCAAAATTAAAATTGTAAATCAAATCAAAAATACCAATCATCGAACAAATCAACCGATTGGAGAACTGACCAGAATTAACCAGCTCAATTAATTCCTCCTTACTGTCTACTCTCTTATCCATTTCAGTCAAACTCTGTATTGTGTAATTTAAAGCTAATTTTGACTCCTGGCCAATTTCGTCCCAATTCACATCACTTCTTTTCTTAATTAGCGTATCCACAATCAATAATATCAATTTCAAATTAGATTCATAATCACCATTTTCAACCTGTGATAATATATTCTCTAATAATGATTTCAAACTTAGCCAATACTTATTAATAAGCAAAATTATCATAACGTCGTAACTTAGTATCTCACCATGGTTTAAATTTCTAAGTCTCAATTGGTAAGTCAATTTATAGACCTCATTTACAAGATTCTGATTAGGCATGTTTTTCAATCTTATTAGGAGTATGAGTAAATTGAATGAGATTAGGTTTTGATTGTTTTTGGGTAGGGGTAAAATGACATTTTGAGTTACCGTTTGTGAATTTTCAAGATTATAAAGCTGATTGTTTAATAATATTGCTTCCTTTTTAGCATAGTTGAGGTTGTTGGAGAATAGTAATGATGTTAGTCTAATGTACCATAAATCTAATGAATTAGGATGTGATTTTAAAAGGTGGTAGGTTAGATCAGTTATTAATGTGTAGTTTTCATTTTCTATTTGCTTATATAGATTGTTTAATGATTTATCTTCTATTTTTATTGTTGGTATTTTTATAAACAATGAATCTAATGATAATGTTGATGAATTCATATTTGGTAGTTTTGTTGATAAGCGAAATTTTGATCTCGAAGAAAGCGCAAAATTTATTTTTGAAACATTGTTGATTTGCAAGGAAATTGGTGTACAATAACCAAGAGAGAGGTTCAGCGATTTATAAAATACCATTAGCTGATAAGGTGAATTACTGGAGCTATTTGTTGCTGTTGAAAAAGGTTTTGTTGCATTTTATTGAGTTTAAAATTTAGTTTGGAGTAACCCAAGGTCAAATTGGTTTCACTTCATGAGTTCTACACATTCACAATTACTTTCACAAGCTAAACAGAATCAATTAAATGATTTAAAGCAATCACAAATATACAGTAAACAATTAATAAATATATTAAATTACATTATATCGATCAATTCAAATGAAAATTCAAATTTAATAGAGAAGATACATACAATTCATCAATTAAATAATGAGATAAATGCACAGTTAAACAATAATGTAGCTAAGAGTTATGATAATTTAATGCAATCAAAGAAAAAATTGGAAAAATTGATTTCCAATTGTAAGAAATATGTTAGTTTAATTGATGATATGCAAAAGAAACTGGAATTAATTGATCAAAATTTAAGAATACTAGAAAATACGTTGAAATTGTTAGTGGAGGATTAATAATACTAGTGGGAATTGAAAATTACTGTGAAAATAGTTACTGTTGTGGATTTTATAGCATTTTCTGCATATGCCATGGGGTTGCAAGATAGACTAGCTAAAGCTATTGGGTTGTAGTCACAAGATTATCATTCAATATAATCAATATACTCAATATGCTTAAGAATAGCTAATCAATAAGTCCTTGAGATGTCTACATTATGAGGAACAAGAGATATTCAATTGAACGGTATTAAATATTGAACGGTATTAAATATTGAACGGTATTGAATATTGAACGGTATTGAATATTGAACGGTATTAAATATTACATTAAAATTATCATTAAATATACACAATTACGTATTATTCCTCCTACGGCAAACCTTTAGCTGCTCTTTCCCATTTATCTTCAGCTATCCAACCATAATTTATAATTTTCATCATATCTAATAAATTAATATGTTTATCACTTTTCAAAATTTTATTCTTTTCAATTAAATAATTATAAATTTTCAAATATGAATCTTTAGGCATATACTCAGTTATCAACCCACTTCTAATTCTTTCATTAACTTCTTCGGGTGATTTATTTGGTTTTAACCAATTTTTTCTCCTAATTTCCCATAATAAATTTCCAACATTTAAATTTTTATCATTCAAATCAATATTAAATTCATTATCATAGTCTATTTCCTCATCTGATTCATCATATGTATCTATTTCTTTATTAAAATGATGATGTCGTATTATATCTTTTAATTTCATATTTGAATAATCTGGAAAATTTGAATCTATTTCTTTATCAGTGCTTGTATAATATTCTCCTTCTGAATCTTCAAATAAATCATCAATTATATCATCAATATTAAAAACTTCGTCACTTAAATTTTTAATCTTATTTATAAATAAATTCCATTCAGTAGAAATTTTTTTAAAAAAATTAAAATGCGATGTTGCAGAAGGAGTAGTTGAACTTGATGAAAAATCTTGAGTTGTTGAAACTTGTTGACATTCTTTTTTCTTCTTTTTTAATGGTATTAATGTTGTAATTGAAGAACTTGATCTTAATTTTGGTGTTGACTGAGTTTTTCTTATAAGTTGATGATGATGATGATGAAGATGATGATTATTCGCGTAGTGATTTTGTGAATTATGATAGGTAAATTTATTTGAATTATTATGTGAAGTAATCAGTGTTGGACTAGTTATATTTGATTTATTTGAATTTGTACTTGTAGTTGTAGTAGTTGTTGTTGTTGTTGATGTTGTAGTTGTTAGTATCATGTATTAATAGTTAAAAACTCGAATTTTATTATTTTCGGTCTCGTGATTTCAATTAATCAATATTTTTTTTTTTTGGGCGAAAATCTTTATTGTTTGACAACAAAAAAAAAGATCCAATATAGTTCCAATATAGTTCCAATAATACCCGATGATAAAATGAACACTTGATAGTTGACTGAACAGTTGATAGTTGTTGAATGAACACTTGATTCTATACTTCCCTTTAATAAACTCTTGATCTCTAATTATATCAAAAAAGGAAAGAAAAAAAAAAAAGGATTGTAACAAAAAAAGAAAATTCTATTAATATTTGATAAATATTTCTATTATATTTAGTGGTTTTGATAATATTGACTATATTTGGAATTAAGGGAATGAAATGTTGGGTTAATATGATTATACAGTGGTTCTTTGATTCTCTCTCTCTCTATTGTTGGTTCTGTTGTTCTTCTTTTATATTGTAATATCACCAGTTGAACTTTTGATCAAATGAAAAAGAATAAACTTCAAACAAAACTCAACAAAATATTCAATGAATATCAAAATTGTTACAATAGAAAGAAAATAAAATATATTTGACTAAAAATTGATAGATAAAATATTATGCAGTAAACATATGCTACCAACTGTACTCACCTTGTATTATTACGTAAAATTAATGCTACCAACTGTACTCACCTTACATTATTACGTAAAATTAATAATATCATTTTGCAGCAAACGCCTTGAGTAGTGAAATTTTATTATACGGTTTACGATTTACGATATATTATTTCTTTATGATACTAAACAAAGATGTACGTAATGTATTAATGTATGTGTTGTTGCTACTTGAATATCGAATCATTTCCCATGTCATCCATATAGTTTAAAGCTTAAATTCATTCTTGGCATATATATATATATATATTTATATATGTATATTTTTAGATCTGAAAGTTTAATTTCAACCACATGGGTCCATCTACTATTTGCGCCTGAGTTCTTTAAAATTTGAAGTATCACGATGTAAATTGTGTCAAAAAAAAACCCTGTGTTATTATAATAATATATTATAATGATTATGGTTGTCAGTTACTATTGTTTGAATTGTGGGGTAAAATAAACCTTAATAGAAAATATGACCAACAAAGACTAACACTAAGTTGATGAAAGCTAATAGTTTGAAACTATTGAGGATATACCTCGAATAAATTAGCTAGCTGTTTAGACTTGTTTTAAATGAAGCTCATTGTTAATAATTATTTACGCATTTTTTTCTATATTCCTTATTATTTCCTAATCCAAATACACAAAATAAAGAGAAAAAGTACTGTGAAAATTAGGCTTATACGGATAATTATTCTGGTTACTTTCATTATCTAGTCAATTCTTTTGTCAATTCTTTTGTGAATTCTTTTCAGTACAAACAGTGTTTATTCGTTAAAAACTTCGTTAAAAACTGTTTATTGATCGATCATGCACGCACTGATATAACGATAAGCGAAAATCGGTCATTGTAATCGCGCGGTAAATTCTATTTCATCGCATTAGATTATCTACATCAAACTAACTACTATAATACAACATATATATTAAACCTTTACTTCATTGACTTATTACTTCATTAACTTATTACTTCATTAACTTCTTACTTCATTAACATTTTACTTCATTAGCTTTTTACTACATTAGCTTTTTTTCTTTTCATCTTTTTTCTGCTCGTCTTTTTTCTGCTCTTCTTTCTTCTCTTTATCTTCCTTTTCATACTTTTCTTTTATTTTCTTATATATTTTCATATCGAACTTCCAACCTTGTTTCAATGCATTCTCTTGATTAGTTAACTTAAAATCTTCATTTAATTCTTGTTGATATATCTTAAATAAACTTCTATCATTTAAATAACTATTTCTCGTCTCCCATTTAACATTATATATAGCTATAGATAATCCATTATGAACACTTTCATGAATCCAGTTCCTACTATTTATTCCATTTGCAAAATATCCATAATATTTGGGAAGTGTAGGCAATAATAAAATCTCGACTGATAAATCTCCAAATACACCATATTCTAAACTATCTTCATCTATTTCTTTACTAACTGTTGGTTTTATAATATCTTCAACTTTCCAACCCTTATTAAAATTGTTTAGATTTAATTTATTATCAAAGAAACCCATGTGTAATAGTATTTCCAATATGTTTGAATCATCTGTATACATTGCACTTGCACCACCCCATAACTCCCTCTTTAAAATTTGATTTCTAACATCATTTTTAAAATCAATGATATATCTAAATGGAATTTTAACCTCTATGATACAATTTATATATTCTGGTGTTAATGGAGGTATCATTGGGATGTAGTTTGATTCCAAGAAGTTGCTACTCTGTTTCCTTTTTATATATTGTTGTTTGATATGATTTAAATCATGTTGAAATTTTGAATTAACACCATATAGTTGTGAAATTTGTAGTGTTTCCCATGTCGTTGTTGGATTATATATTATTGTACCTAAAAATTGTCGTTTTGGATGAAATTCTTCTATTAATTCAAATATAGGATCAAGATTCAACTTAGGTGGTGGTTTTTTGATAAATTTTTTCACTATATGATGATGATGATGTGGTCGTACTGGATGATGATGATGACGATGACGATGATGATTCTGATGATAATGTATATGTTTCTCTTCTTTCTCTTCATTCGTTACTGTAGTTGATGGTGGTGTGAAGTTTTGAGGTGGTGATGATTGATTTTGATATTGTACAAATTGATAATCATGTTTTAACTTTTTAGTTGGTGGTGATAATGAAGTACCAGCTGATTTAGTAGATGCATTTGGTGATTCTAGTATTGGTAACTTACGTTGTGGTGGTGACTGTGAATTTGATTGAGTTATTGAAGGTATTTGAGTTGGTGATTGTGATGGTAATTGTAATTGATGAGGTGAATTATTAGATAGGAATGATATTGGAGGAAGACTCACTCCTTGATTCGGTGATTTTTGGTCTTCTGTTGACATTATATATGAATTTGATGTTTTATGGGGTATTTTTCCTATTTCGTATATTATTATTTTTTTGTTCGATGAGATTGTTACTAATAATAAAATAACAGAATAAAATGACAAAATGATGTAGTTTCAAATAACCAATCGATGTAAAAGTTTGCTGATATGATGATAAAATGACTGCAATCTTAATTGAGTCAATAGAAATGAGTATGTGGTTGTTTTGGTAATGTAAATTTGTTGTTGATCAGGTTATTTATCAACCTTTTTTTTTTTTTTGTTTTTGTTTTTGTATTTTGTTGTAGTTCTATTGGTAGTTATACACGACCTATTTGATGTTTCAGATGGAATAACGGTTGAATTATAATTGATGGATCTGGACTAAATTGACCAATGAGTTGAAGGCGTTGTATGAATCCTTCAGTACTTTTTAAACCAGTAAGTCATACCTTGCGCATTTTCGTTTGGGGGGATTTTTTCTGATTTTGCATATATTGTCGATTTTATTGTAAAATTTGGAAGAAATGACTGATTTCATTGATAGAGAAAAAACATACATAGCAAATACAACATGTCCATTATGAACATTTTCAGTCAGTTGCTTCTGTGTTGTCTTTTTTTAGAGTAATTCTCATTAAAATGTTCAACTTTTTGCAGCCGAAAATGAACAAGCACAATTATTAATAACTCTCGATACAATAATTTTGATGAAAGATGTTCAATACAAATAATACTCAGTTTCAAACAAAGTATAAGCTCATTTAACTCTCAAGTTTAAATGGTGTTGAAAAAAATTTTTTCGATGGTTTTGGTTGGAGCATGATGACCTAGTTCAAGGTTAGATTTTAGGGGTTTTATATCCGCTGGCGTAATGATCGCGATGCTTAGGCGCAGTTTGAAGCCAAACAATATCGTAATACGACACTTAATCTTACTCTTCGAACTAGTTTACAACTCATCAAAATCGTGCTAAACGCATTTCTGGGTACTTTCAAGTAAGTTAAATAGTTTTTTATGATACTGATTAATTCACTGAATTACCTAGACCCTGTATTGAATTTCATTGGACGACGGCAACAGGGTTCTACAATTGAATAATATGTCATTTTCAACTTAGTGCGACAAAATAATTTCTCGCGTCAGAATTAAGGCGACATCGTACTACCTCGTATTAAATATATTGTCTTGTGTATCATGAACAATAAAGTTTCACAAGATAAAACCTATTATGTTGTGAAGACCGTACAACTTGATGCTCCTGAGTTTATATAATTGGTATTTAGCTTGAGAGAATATGAAATTCAGGACTTACAGGCTATTATATTTAGTTCGAGGCAGTCTTGATCGCCTCAATCTAGCGCGAGAAAATATTTTGTCACGCAAAGATCAAAAAAATCTATTTGATATTGAGCTTGAATTTTTTGCGCGAAGGCAATGCCAACTCTTGCTTTGATTCTAAAGTCTCGTGCTAAGAGGCGCTATTTTGTGGACTCATCGTCACCGTCACCGCTCATATATTTAATTAATTAAAAAGGAAATGAACTTTTATATTCAATTTAAATAGCTTAATAATAATACACATTAACATTGTTTTATTTTTTTTGTAAACATCCATAATGAATCACATTACCATCACTCGTAGTTGTAAAAATCCCATATCCTAATTTTTTATTACAAATAGGACATAATTGTTTACTTGAATTAATTTTAAAATTTTCATTTTGTAAAATCATAACCTTCTTCTCTAAATTATGATTTCCAATTTTATATAATTGATTCTTTTTCAGTTTATGGTTTATTATTCTTTCATTCTCAGATATTTTTGAATTTAGGAACTTATTTAATTGATTCAATTTGAATGAATTAGGCAATACTGTTAATAATTTCAATATAGGTATCTTATTCCCATGTAGGTTTAATAATCTAGATATCATATCTTCATTTTCTTCACGATCTCCCATCAATAAATCCTCCAATAATTTGAAAAATAAATCAGAACCTATCTTATTTCCATTGGGACGGTTATAGATATCTAGACAGTATTCCATTGCACTTTCCAAATCATTTAATTGATTAAATAATACATCTATTGATTTTTCATGTTCTTCTAGTTTCTTATATGCAAAACAAGTCAATCGTAAAAATTTATCATCAGTAGTTGGTAATTCTTTAAGTATGGGCCAAGGATCAAAGGATTGATTAGATTTGAGAAGATTATATAACTTATCATAGATATCTTGTTTGAATTCTGATTTCAATTGTTTTAGATATAATAAGGCTAATTTAGTTTCAAATTTTGTGTAATTTGTAACTATTGTCTCTGATTGATCACTTTGGAATAATAACCATTCTAAATATTCAATTGCAGAATTATCAAATCCCTTATTGATGAAAAATTGTAATATTTTTGAATTATCATAACTTTCACATTCATATGAATCATTCATAAAGATTAATTTTGCATTTGATTGATTTTGATCAATTACCCAAATTGAAAATTCAAAAATAAGTAATAAATAATCATTATTTAATTTGTTAAGATACTTGATTGTCAATTCTGGACCTTTTAAATAGTTATCCATTTGATTATCTTCTTCATTTGAATGTAACAGCTCATTTTCCTCATGACTTAATTTATATAACATTTCCAAGGCATCTTTATGTAGATTCCTAGTGTAATAAAAATCCAATAATTCTTTTATATAATTTGGTTGTTTAAAGTTTCTTTGTTCTCTATGATTATGAATATTTTTTAATAAACATTCATTTACAATTTTTGAATCACAATGATTATTGGGAAGTCTTAATAATGGACCAAGTAACATTGGTTTACAATAAAAATAACAAAGGAATAATGTAGTATCTATGATTGTAGCTACATCATCTAATTGATTTAAACTTGGATATATTTCTCTTGGTTTAATTTCGACATCTTTCCATTGTATGATTGATTTGTCCATGAATGTAGATAATATTCTTCGTTGATCAGTCAAGTAAATGATTAGATTATTAACAGCTTTAAGGAACCTTCTCACATTTTGATTCTTGTTAATCGTTGTAATTTGTTGATGTTTATAATCTGTATCATATTCAGATTCAGGTGGAATAGAACTACTTTCCAAATCATGTGGTTTTATTTTCTTTATTATATTGACTGATTTCGTACCATTTGTACTACTTTCTTCATTTTCATTTGGGAATACTTGAATCTCACCATTTAAAAAATTGGGAAATAAATTTAAGATATCTTGGAATGAAATTAACCATTCCGAAGCAATATCAACTAATGATTCATGATATTTAGAATATGATTCAAATAATAAAATAGCTTTTAAAGTATACAATTCTCTCAATTTCATTAATTTATCCTTCTCATTCACATATATTGAATTTGTTGCTTCTAAACTAGATAATAATAAAATTGCTTTTTCTATACCCATGTATCTTAAATCATTAGCTGGATTTTTATTAGTTAAATTTGTTGAACTTGATGATGTTGATGATTTTCCTGATATTTTCAAAAATTGATCAATTTGAGATTCAAATGATTTTATCTTAAATTGTAATACATAAGTACCTGAACCCAATGAAATTATATCATTAAATAAATTAATTGGAACATATGAGGAATTAATCTGGTGGTTGAATTTTTGAATTAGATCACCATTTTTAAGATCTATAATTTCAAATTTTTTAGGATATATGATGAATAAATAAATTGGATAGATGAATTTGATATCTATTGGAATTGCTGAAAGTTTAATACTTAACGGTTTTAACTCTTGATTGTCTTTAGATAGGTTTATTATGGTTGTATCTTTGATTAATAATATATTGTTGACATCTATTGGTATTGTCCATGTTTGTGGCCCACTCGAAGATAAATTGAAATAACTAAATGATGAAGATGTCGCTGATGTTAAATTTTTCTCACTTGAACCAGTACCAGTCAACGATGATAAATTAAAAGTATGAATATTGACCAAAAAATAATCACTAATTGTAGATACTATAATTGAATCTTTATTATAGCCATTAATATTTCGTATTTTATCCTTGACGACAATTTCCTTTATTTTGTTAAATTGAAATAAATTCCTCGACTTATTTAGTATTTGATAAATTATTAACTTCTTCTTACTCAGTATTATCAATAATTTCCTTAATTCATTATCTTCAAAATATAAATAATCCAGTATTTTTAAATATGAATCTTCAATTGAATAAATTTGATTAATATGATTCCCCACAATTTCGAATATCCTAATTACTTCAACTGTAGTTATTAACATTATCAATTTTTGTACATTTGAACTAATAGGTAAGATTTTAATCAGATTAATTGGTGTTTGATTTTTAGTTATATTTTTAAATGTATTAATTAAATTATATTGATTATTTTCATGAAATAACACCTTAATATCAGTAAATGATTTTAATGATCTAAATGATCTACCTGATGATTGAACAGGTTTATCTGATTCTTTAATTGGTATTTTTAAAATTTGATAAATTAATAAATCACCATTATTTAATCCAAGAAATAAATTCTTTTCAATTTGTAAAATCGTTGATATTCTATGATTTGATTGATTTGAAAAATATATATTTGATGGTATTCGTATTCTATTATTTGGTTCAATTAAATCAATATTCATAGTAACATTAAATGAAGGGTATATTATTCAATACGATTGATAAAGAAAAATATGATGAAATGGTAGCGCTGTATATTATTAACTATTTACCAATTAATGAAATTATACTTGAACAATATTTTGTTAACTCATCAAGATTGTTATTCATTGATTTGTTCAATTGTAAGTATTGATTAATCTGTTCATTTAATTCGACTTCATTTTCATTTTGGTGAATTATATCACCATGATTTCTTAAAAACATTGTAAATAATGATTGTATAATTTCAAAATTACATTTGGTACTCAATGCAAAATTAAGACTTCTTAAAAAGTTGGTTATTTCATTCAATGGTGGGATCGTATTCAATGATCTAATCTCTAAATCTAATTTTGAAGGAGGTAAATTTACTAAATAATTAATAAATTCGGAATAATCATTCAAATCACTTGATTCTCTTAATCTTTTTGTGAATTCACTTTCAAAAGTTTGTAATTTTATTCCATCATTACTTAATTTTAATAATCTACTTTCATTGATTTCTTCATCTTTTTCCAATTCTTTTGTTCCATTTTCAGCTACAATTGCCCGATCACCAACTTGTTCACCTTGTAATTGTAAGAAAAATGGAGCTTTTTCTGGTTTTTTAACTGCTTCTTTTGGTTTATTTCTTTGTTTAATATTGTCTAAATATAATAAAGTATTAAATTTATCTCTAGACTTCAAAGATAATGTAATTAAATTTTTATCAATTTGATCAACTGATAAATACGAACCAGTATTCAATTCAATTTCTTCTTCATCGAATGCACCATCTAATAATGTTGCCCCACCATCTCCTGAAGCATTAGGTAATAAAATATTAGCAAATTCTTCTTCTTCTTCTATGTGCCTCGTACTTATAGGTTTAAATTGTGATTTATTTGTCCATAATGAAATACCATTTCCTGAAACATGAGTAGTTGCTAATAAATCACCCAATGGAGAAAATTTAACATTTGTTGCTACTGTTGGTAATATTATACCATCTATACAACCACCAGTAGGTAAATCCCAAGTTCTTAAAGTTGAATCTAAACTTACAGATACTATCCATCTACCATCCGGTGAAAAATCAAGACCAGAAACTCGATTTGTATGACCATATAAAACTCTGACTATTTTTTGAGTTGTAACATCTACAACTACAATTGATAAATCATCCAATGCACAAGCTATCAAATCTGACAGTTTATGATATATCATTTGTGTAATTGGTGAATTTAATTGTAATTTACCTACATATTTTGATTTACTAAAATCATAAAAACCAATAATACCATCTAATCCACAACTTACCATTTTTCTATTCATACCATCAATTGCTAATCCAGTTACTGATGTATTTTTATGTAGCATATATTTTTTTCTTAATAAACCAGATTGTAAATTATAAGAACCAATACCTCCAAAACTTGAACCAACCAATGCAAAATTACCACATTGTGAAATACAAATAGATTTACATATTCCATGATCTACAGTTGGTAAATTATGACGTCCAACTTTTTTAGTTGTAGAATTCCATGTTCTTGCAAATGGTTCATCCTTATGACAAGTTACAATATTTTCCCATTCACCTTCTCTTGAATTTGAACTTGCAATTGATAAAATTTCGGGGAATTTTTCTTTTATAGAAGAAACTTGTCCAGCTTGTCTTTTACCATCTTTTGTCTTTGGTAATCTTTGTGACATTTCTTGAGCTTGTGCATCTTTTCTTAATGAAAATGACCAAAATGAACGATCTCTAGAGGCACTTAATAAATAATGAGTTTTATCTTCATCGGGGAAATTTATAGCAATTGGAGGAGCTGAATGACCACCTCTTGATCTTAAATGTCTTGGAGGAGCAATTATACTTGAATTTGAAGTTGATAAATTTGGATCAAATACAAATTCTTTTAAATGATTATCACCACCATTTGTTAATAAAATAGGCTGACCATTTAAAAATTGAGCTTTTGAAACACCACCATAAGATTCTTTATGAGCAGATCTTAAAATATGAACTCTGGCTTTTTTATTTAAATCATAAAAGTATAAATCACCAGAATTTAAACTTGCAACTAAATGAGGAGTACCATCAGATCTAAAACTTATTGAAGTAATTTTATCACCATTTTCAGAACCTGAAGTTTTAATGACATCACCTAATATCTTACCCTTTTTTAAATTATATAAGAATATATTTCCTTTTGTTGTTCCTAATGCTACTACATCTAAAACTGGTGCTGATTCAATGCATGATAATGATTCATTTTGGAAATTATCAGATTTAAATAACAATTTTCTTGATCTAACATTTATAATAAACAATCCAGAAGTTGTAACAACGACAATTTTATTTAAATAGGTCGGTGGATGAATTAAACCCACAATTTCACCATTAATATCAACATTTTTTACAACTTTTATAACAGTATATAATTCAGTTGGATATTTCATACCTTCAATTTTTCTAAATACAAATATATTTCCCAAAGTACAAGTTGCAATTAAATATTCACCAAACACAATCATATGAGAAATATTTCCCTGAGTTTCACAAGTTAATGTATGTTCTAGTCTACCTCTTTTATAAATACCAATTTTATTTGAATAAGCAGCATAAACATAATGAAAATGAGCATTTAAACATGTAATTTTACTTGGAGTTTGAGTTTGAGATACAAATAATAAGTGTAATGTATTTAAATCATAAATTTGAAAACTTTTACCAATTGAAGTAACTGCATAAAAAGTAGATCCTAAATTACCAATTGAAAATGGAGTTGAATCAGTGACATTACCAAGAACTCTAAAAGGATTAAAAATCTTTGAACCTTTAACTTTTATAGTACCACCATTACTCTCTTCTATTTTTCTTCTCTTATCATTTGGTTCAACCATCTCGTAATCTTAAGTGGTAAATTATTTTTTTCTTTGCGATGATCTGAAACAAATTTAATTTTTCACCAAATTGAACAAGCCCCCTCCAAACAGTTAAAAATGACAATTCCTGAGAAAAGATTAGCTGAAGAAGAAGAAAAAGAAGTTAAAAAGGCAAATACAGATACATTTACAAAAGGTATAGCTGGTATTAAACCTGAATTTGTTGTTAAATCAGATTCAATAAGTAATTTTGTAAATTATAATGATGATGAAGCTGAAGGTGGTGATAGAAATGGACCAGAAGAAAAAGGAGGTAATAAGAAAAATAATAAGAAAAATAGAGGTCAAAATAAGAAAAGAGATTTAAAGCAACATAAAGGAAGTATTAGACTATGTCCATCATTAATGGATCCAAATTCAGATAGACAATGTGTTTCTAAATTAGGTAAAGAATGTAAATTTTCTCATGATATTAATGAATATTTACAATCTAAACCAGAAGATATTGATGGTATTTGTCCAGTTTATCAAGCTTTGGGATATTGTCCAAGTGGATTAAAATGTAGATGGTTAAAATCTCATTATAATAAAGAAATAAATGAATTAATACAAGATGTTGAAAAATATAACATTGTACAAAAGCTTAATTATGAAGTTAATAAAATAGATAATGGTATTAAATATGATTTACAAAAGAAGAAATATAATTATGAATTAGCTGAACCAATTATAAAATTTATTGATTCATTGGTTAATACCGAAGATAATAACAAATTGAAACAAGAAGAAAGAAAAGATAATGAATCAGAATATCATGAATCTAAATTCAAATCAGCTGAAAAGAAGAAAATTAATTTAAAAAATGCTAAAATTGTTTCTCCATTAACTACAGTTGGTAATTTACCTTATCGTAGATTAATGAAGACATTAGGAGCAGATGTAACATATTCAGAAATGGTGTTATCTAAAGAATTATCAATGGGTCATAATCCAGAATGGGCATTACCAAGAGCTCATTCGAGTGAATATCCTGGATTTGGAGTACAAATAGCTGCAGCAAGACATTGGTCGGCAGCTAAAGCTTGTGAAGTATTATATAAACAATGCAATTCAATTTCAGAAATTAATTTAAATTGTGGTTGTCCAATTGACTTATTATATAAATCTGGGCAAGGTTCAGCATTAATGGATCAACCTTCTAGATTATTAAGAATATTAAGAAGTATGAATTTGACATCTGGTGATATACCAGTTACAGTTAAATTAAGAACTGGGGTTAAAGAAAATAAAAATACAGCTTTAAATTTAGTTAAACGAGTTTTGGAAGAAGGTAATGTTGCTGCTATTACATTACATGGTAGATCAAGACAACAAAGATATGCAAAAGAAGCAGATTGGAAGTATATTGAAGAAGTTGGGAAAGTTGTAAAAGACTATAATGAAAACCAGCTAGAAAATAAAGATTTAACCGATATTCAACCTACTTATTTTGTTGGAAATGGAGATGTTTTCTCACATGTTGATTGGTATAATGGTATTTCATTACAAGGAGTTGATTCAGTTATGGCAGCAAGAGGAGCATTAATAAAACCATGGATTTTTGAAGAAGTTGAAGCACAACAATATTTAGATAAATCAGTTTCTGAAAGATTAGACATATATAAAAATTTTGCAAATTTTGCAATTGAACATTGGGGATCAGATGAATATGGAGTAAATTTATCAAGAAGATTTATGTGTGAATTTATAAGTTTTACTCATCGATATATACCAATTGGTATAATGGAAAGATTACCTCCAAAATTAAACGAAAGACCACCAAAATGGATAGGTAGAAATGAAATGGAAACATTATTAGGATCAGGAGATTATAAAGATTGGATTAAAATAACAGAAATGTTTTTAGGTAAAGCTGGAGATGAATTTCAATTTATACCAAAACATAAAAGTAATTCATATGAATAAAGGTAAGGATGTAAATCGGTAAAGAAGTAAATCGGTAAAGATGCAAATCTACTTCTCGTAAGGATGCAATAAAAAGTGGAATAGTTAAACTATAAATTATAAACTATAAACTTATTTATTTATTTCTTCATTTTTATTATTTCCTTTCTTTTAATACAGATTCTCCAGATTCTCCAGTTTTTTCTAAATTAATACCACTTGAATGAATTTTAGAATCATCCTTAGTTTCATTAGTGTCAATTTCAACTGGTTTAGTATTTGAAGTTGCAGTTGCAGTTGCAGCATCATAATCATTTGATAAACTTTTAGCTTGATTTTTTAAAATATTTAAATCTTCATCTTTTTGAGCCAATTCAGCTTTTAATTTTTCTGTTTCAGAAGAAGTTGAACCAGTAGCACTTGTATCATTTTGTTTCAAATCATCTAACTTATCTTTTGTCTGAATTAATTCTACAACTAAAGAATAAGTTCTAGTTAAAATTAAAGTTAAAAATAACGTAAAACCACATAAATACATATTTCTTTGAGCATAAAATCTTCTCGCTTGAATTTCAGATCTATCATTCATTACTGAAGAACCAGGATGAGCTTGAGTTGAAGAATGTAATTCTGAAGTAACCGCATAAACTCTATTAACTGAATCAATAAATAAAACAGCAACAAAACCCAAAATACATTTTAAAGCAATTTGAAATTGTTCATTTCTAAACGGTGCTGATACTGTAGTTAAAACTGATCTTCTAATTCTTCTTGGATAAGGTAATGATAAAATTCCGAAGAATATCATTTCAAGAACTAATAAACCAAATACCAAATTATAATATAATGCCATGATAATAAAAAAGCTTCCTTAATACTAAATAATAATTGTTAAATAAAAACCCAATTGATTGTAATTGTTAAATAAAAACCCAATTGATTGTGATTGTCAAATAAAAACCCAATTGATTGTAATTGTTTAATAAAGATGGAAAAATTTCGTGGTTTTTATAGTGTGCCTTTTTTTTCATACAATATAATTTTGTGTCACTTGATCAATTCATTGATTGCTACCAGATTTTAAAGCTATAAACAAAACAGTTTCATATGGGAAGATTGGACTATATTGGTACCAACATTATAGATGGAACTGACTGATATAGAGAAGCAATAAGCGTAGAGAAGATAAACAGAGTTTGTAATTGGAATTGGCCCTTTTCCTGGGTCCAAAAACTTATATTTTAAAACCAAGACATTCTATTTTATTCATTTGGGTGCAAAAAAAAATTATACAAATCTATACCGAATTACAAGACAAATCAGAGAATTACAAGACAAGTTAGAATTACAAGACAAATCAGAATTACATGACAAATCCGAATTACAAGACAAATTAGAGTTACAAGACTAAATAGAAATTACAAGACAAATTAGAATTACAAGACGAATTAGAATTACAAGACAGATCAGAATTACAAGACAAATCCGAATTACAAGACAGATCAGAATTACAAGACAAATTAGAATTACAAGACAAATCAGAATTACAGGACAAATTAGAAATACAAGACGAATTAGAATTACAAGACAGATCAGAATTACAAGACAAATCAGAATTGCAAGACAAATTAGAATTACAAGACAAGACAAATCAGATAGATATCGGAGTCTTTAGTTTAATTCACATATATTATCTATTAATCTATCAATCTATAACCTTTTTTTTCTTTTGTTAAACCATAAAAAACATACTTGTAGAAATCAAAAATAAATATTATCAAGGTACTACTACTACTACTACTACCACTACTACTACTTTCTTGATGCCATATTCTTGCATCGTTACATTCCAAGTGATACCTTCATTGTAAATGTAACTAAAAATGGTAATGAAAACCATAATATTGCATATTGACTAATTAAACAAACTGCCAAACAATCCATTTGTAAATGTTCTTCACTTAATGGATCACTATAAAATGCAGTAAAATAAACTAATGATGTAGCATTGGGTAAACCAAATTCTAATACACTTACAAGTCTAACTAACTTATCATCACCATACCATCCACCTTTATAAAATCCAGTAGTTACACCAACTCCAAATATTGGAATCAAAATCAATCTACCTGCTGTCATCATTAATGCAGTTTTCCAAAATCCCTTTGGCATTTTTTTAACTTGTAATCTTGCTAATGTTGCTCCTAATAATAATAAACCTAATGGAACTGATGCAGCTCCTACATAACTTGTTAAATCAATTATAAAAGATAATGGAGGTTGTTCATCTGGCGCATTTGGAATATAGAAAGTTGATTGTACAAATAATGCTTTTAATGGAGGTGACATTGCAATTGCCATTGATATAATTAATGATAATGATGATGCAGTTGTAACATTACTCCATAATCTCTTGAGGTGAGTTTTTAATTTACTTGTTTTTACTTGTTCTTTTTCTTGTTCAATTGGTTCTGGTGGTTCAATATTATTTACTTCTGATTTTGTTTTTGATAATTCTTTACTTTGTTGTTTCATTGCTTCGAATTCTGAATATTCATTAATGACATCTTGAACATCTTGAGATCTTTGTTTTCTTAACCGTTCACTTCTTGATGGTGTTAATTCTAATGAATATCGATTGCTTGCGATTGACCCTCTTCTTCGTATGTTATCATTGGTACTTTCTTGATTATTTGTTCCCCTACTTTCTAATTGTTTCACTTTTAGATTTTGTGATCTTATTGAATTTGATGAATTTGATGAGTGTTCACTACTTATTGATTCTATATCTTCAACACCACCATGATTAGTTGAATAATCAGGTAACGAATGTTGAAGATCCTTCTCCTTCTCCTCTTCCTTCTTATTCTTCTCTTCTTTATCATCACTTGAAGTAGTTGATAATTTCTTTTCTTCATCTTCAGCCTTTTCCCCATTTATTTCATCTCTAAAATCCCATTCAATTAATCTAAATAACCCCAAGGAGAATTGATATAATATCATAGCCATTAAAAAAATACAAACATAGGCAACACCTTTATTACCTTCTTCAGTTGTAAAAATCGTTCCTCCTTTAGCAAAAGTTTGTAAGTAAGCAATAGGTAAATCTGAAATATTTGGAAATATACCAACTGAAATTAATCCACCTAACCATCTTTTAGGAGATCTTGTAACTATATGAGTTAAATATGCAAATAATCCACCAAACATAAATAATAAAGTAGCTGTAAAACAAATAATTCCAACATTTTTAATATCACTAGATTTTAAATTTGATACAATATTATTAAAAATAAGACATGGCATAATTGCTGTAACTATAGTATCTGAAATATCTCTACATGTTGTAACTGAAAGTATATTTCTCTTCGCGAGGTAAAAACCAATTAATATAATGAAATAAATTTTATAAATTGGCTTAACTGATGAATAAATCACTAAACTTAATGATAAATCTGAATCTGTACCTGAATCTGACATGATAGTTTATACAATCTTATTAGTTGAGTAAGTTTTGGTATTAACGCAAATATGATTTCTGTTTATAGTCTGATATATTTGATTATTAAATTTAAACAGTTTTGAGTCGGTATACATTATAAATCACACCTAATCTAATAACTGTGATATGATAAAAAGTGGTCTAATATCGAAAATATAATTCAAAAAGATGAGTCTCCCGAATTATGATTATTCAAATAAAACGTTCGGTGATTATTATTCTTTTTTTTTTTTTTTTTTTTTTTTTTTTTTCATTGCAGCAAATCTCTGGGTAGTGTTCCTTTTTCGCATCTCGGAATTAAACCACCGCCTCTTGGAACGAAGGATAAGCCATTTTTACGAGCCCGTTGATAACCGAATTATACCGTCAACAGCCTTATACCGTCAACAGCCATTTGAGTCATAATTTAGTAATATATTCACAATCTAATTAAAAAAAACATTTAATCACGAAATCTATAAAATTATAACCGATCATAATCAATATGATTCACCGAAATAAAAGCTATTAAACAATGTGTGTTTCGAAATTTCTTGGTATCAATTCTTATTTCATAACTTCATTAAACCTCCTTGTATTTATTGACATAACCTTAGTTTTTTTTTTTGTTCTTGAATATTCATTGATGAGTGCATAGCTATAATTTTGACAACTTCATCTATTTCACAAACAGTTGAATCATCAATACCATCAAATAATTTTTCCAATTCTTCGTCTTCTAAGTTATCTAAATCTAAATTAATTTCAAATCTGTTGGTTCTCTTTTGTTTATTTGAAAACACTGAATCTTTTGAATGAGTTGAATTCAAGTCAATTTCTTCATCATCAAAACTTGAATCAGAACCTATCGATAATGGACTACTATTAATTTGGTGTTGTTGTTGTTGTTGTTGTTGTTTTTCTTTTTGTTCTTTCATCTTTTGCAGTGGTAATTTCCATCTTTCAAATAACCTACCTGGTGATCTTTTAGGTAAGCTGTCAGTTGTGATTGTTGGAGATGGTTTTAATTTTTCGCCTGTAGTTGATACCATTGACATTTTACAATCAAATGTATTTGAGTATATTAAATAATCTTGAAACTCTAGTATATTATTTGTGCTCATATAATTCCTAGTTACTTGTCTTATTTCTAAAAAATAAGATTGAACTAGGTTTATTATATATATATATATATATCTAATTAATATAAGGGAAAATTAAATTAATAAAATTATATTACTGAATTTGGTGATATTTCTAAAAAACTAAAATAAAATAAACAAAAATCAAAAAAGAAGCACTTAAATGCAACAGAACTTCTATGATATTTATATAAACAAATAGGCTTGTTAAATTTTTATATGGGTGCTATTTTTTTAAAAATATTGATGCTGGTTATATTTCTAAATTTAGGAAAATTTAATACCAATTTGGAACACCCACAAAATTATCTAAGGAGTGATAAGAACTCAACATATATTCTCTATCAACAATTTTACTATTGTATATGTATCGATTTAACATGTTATCTGTTAAATTGATCAAAGTTTGGAGTTTAGTTGAAATGCTGCAAAATTCATTTCCAGATCGAGTAATGTAATTATTTTCATGCAAGATTACTTAAAAAAATTATGCGTGTGGTTGTCAGGTACTAAAAATATTAAAGATCTACTATACGCCACAAGGTAATAACACATTAAAGCTATTATACATTAAAGCTATTATACGTTAAAGCTATTATACGTTAATTAGCTTTTGATTTCTTCTTTGGTGGTCTATCATCACTTGAATCAAAGCTATTATACATTAATTAGCTTTTGATTTCTTCTTTGGTGGTCTATCGTCACTTGGACTTCCTTCTTCACCATCTTCCATTTCTTCATCACTACTTTTTGCGTCTGAATCAAATTCTTCAGCAACATCAGATTCAGAATCGCTTTGAAAATCACGATCATCTTCTGAATCTTCATCTTCACCAGCACTTCCTAATGCAGCTTCCATGTCTTCATCATCATCATCATCATCATCATTTGCTTCTTCTTCTAAAGCTTTAGCCAATCTTTGTTTTGCAATTTTTTCTTCATTTTTAACTCTTATATTTTTTTCTTTGGCAAATCTTTCAATTGTTTCTTGTTCTTCTCTATCAATGCTACCAAAAATATGTGATTGATTTGAATTTACTATTTTAACTTCTAAATCAAATGTTCTTGATGCTGATACTCCACCACCAGTTCTTGACATTACAAGATTACTAATTTCCGTATAAGGTATATATAATGTTGGTTTAGTAACAAATAAAAAACATCTTTCCAATGGATATAAATAACCTTCACTTGCTTTAACAGAACATGGTATACCAGGTTGTAAAAATCTTGACTGAAATGAACCAGGAGTAATTAATTTTCTTTCTGTTAAACCTCTTAAACAATGTGACATTACAATATGAGTTGATGCATCATAAGTTTTCTTCAATCTATCTTGATATTTTGCTTCATATTCTTCATTTGTTAAATTTATTTCCAACTCAGTTTCTTCTTCTTTTGAAAATTGTAATACTAAAAATGGATATCTTGTTTGACCTTGTCTTAAAGGAGGATCAATTTGTAAAATTATTAAATGATGAGCTTCATCAGGTTTTGGTAATGAAAAAATTCTTTCAATTTGTTCATATTGAATTTTATAATCATAAGTTTTACCTCTTAATCTTAATGATGTAGAATACATATCAATATCATAACGACCTCTTGGTGTTAAAAATAATACATCTCCAAATGATACAATAGCTTCACCTGCAACTTGTCCAATGTCAGCTTTATCTTTTAATTGCTCATAAAATACTTGTGCTGCATTAATTTCATTTGCATCTTCACCAATTTCTTCAACTTCTTCTCCATCTTCATTTTTAACAATTGTTGTTTCTCCTTCAATCTTTGTGCCCGGTACATAAAATCTCATTTCAACAATTTCATCACTTAATCCTTGATTATCTAAATTAAATTCAATTGAAACTTCATTTTTACCTGTTAAATTTGAATTATTTATATTTGAATATGGAATTTCAAATGATGGTTTGTTATGAACATTAAAAATTAATTCATTTCTCGCTAAATCAGTTTTACCCCAATTCCAACCTCTTAATGAATGTTCTTTATGTTCTAATTGAATTTGAAAATTTCTAATTAATTCTTGTTTTAATTGGGTAAAATCATCATTATCAAAACCATCCAATATTACAACCCCTTTATTTTTTGTTTGAACTTTTAATTCATATCCTTTTGAACCTCTTGACCATTGTGCAATTAAAATTTCTTCTCTTGGTAATAAAAATGGTTGTGATTGTTGTTGTTGTTGTTGAGGATTTGACGATTTCCAACCTAAACCAGAATCAGCTATACGCATACGTCCAGAATATTTGGACTGATTAAGGAATATTTTTTCAAAATCTGTATTAACCATGATTAAATTTTATCAATTTGGTCGATTAATTGATTGCCTTTGGCTTTAGAAGAGAATTGAAAAAAAAAAATATCAAAATATTATGATACGTGTTTGTGACATTAAAAGAAAAATTGACAATATATGCGACATTGAATAATTGGCTGCAAATTGAATCAATTTTGACATATTTGAACTCTGACAGTAGCTCTTCTGATCATAATAGCTCTAAAGAAGAAAGTCATTTATTGAAAAATTTTTCATTTTTATCTTTTTTTGATTTTACATACTAAATTCCATAACTATTTTGAATATATATTAAACAAAAATATATAAATTGTTGTAAAATTTTACCTATAATCTAAATTTAAATTTCAATCTACTTGTTTTACTTTTAATTTTATTGGTTACAAAATTAATTGGTTCAATACAAGGTCTCATTTTATCAATATATATCAACAAAGTTAATGTAAATAAAGCACTACTAAAATTTTCAGAATTATAAGTTATATTATACCCATATTTATTTCTTACAATTCTTGTAATTTGTTGATGAAATTGTTCACGATCTTTCTTAACTATAATTTGATGACATTTCCCCAAGGCCATCTTGATAATTTTCCTATTACTAAATAAATCGACATATAAATCTTTCAATATTCTAATTTCAAATTCATCAATTTGAGTCTTACCCAAAAATGGTAAATCAACAAATGCTAAATCATAAGCTAATATAAATTGTTCAGCGTAAATTCTTGAATCTGCTCCAAATGTCCAAGTTTGTAAAATTAATTTTTCCAAGTCTTTACATAAGTGGATTACTGAATTTTCCATAATATAATATTTTGAAATTATATCAGAACTGATTAATCCTGTTTTTTTACTTGCTTCAAATACACCACGTTGTAATGCAGGTAATGTAGGTGCAATTAATATATCTATATTTTTATACATTGTACGTTGAGTATCTGGAATTTCAGTTAGATCTCTTGTAAATGGAATTAATGATCGTTGATATGAAGGTGGGATAGTTTGATAATAATACTCATTGTCCATGATTGAAAATTCCAATGAATGATAAAATAAGTGTGAAATAATCTTTTATGAGCAAAGGTCTAATCTATTTAAAATTAGGAAAGTATAAATAAGTCAAAAAGCGGCATGGCATAAAGCATCAATGTTGAAACAACAAGAAAAGCAGCAACGTCTGAGATCTCATAGATCTAAGCAAAATCTCTTAAACAAAATCATTTAGTCATCAATCTAACTAAACAACCAAATCTAAACAATATAGGTTTCTCGAAGCAATTCATTGAATTAATGAAGTAAACAAAGCTTCACAATTCAATAAAAGACTCAAATCGAAACTGAATCGAAACTGAATCGAAACTAAATCGAAAAATAGTTGAATCTATTTCAAAATTTATACTTTAAAACCAATTGGAAATCAAAACAAATACAACCTATTGAAAGTTTATATCGTTTTGCGTCCTAAAGTTTAAAGTTTGAGATTTTTGATTAATCTCTATAGATTAGTGCCATATTATATGAACAATGTGATAATGGAAATGGTTAATTCAAAGAAACCATTCACCGGCTTAGGTCAGACAAGTGACTATGCTTGGTTTCCAGCATCTTCACTAAAATAATTATGGGATAATGAATACCACGCAACTTTTTGAGAATGACTACCAACCAACTTTTGATGAAATGGTACCACATATTCACTTATGGTAGCAAATGGAATGCAAAATGGAATTCAAAATAGTACACGAACCCAATTCTAATACTTGTTTATCTTAGTGGAAGGCTACTGTCATACAGTAATAGAAACACTTTTAATTCGACAACCAATCTTGTCATTTGCACTCTATCTTTTTTTTTTTGTTTCTGGGTTATTTGCTTCTGGGTTACTTGCTTCTTATTTGCTTCTGGGTTATCTGCTTCTTATTTGCTTCTTATTTGCTTCTGGGTTATTTGCTTCTGTTTTATTTGTTTCTGGGTTATTTGTTTCTCTATTTATAGTTTTTAAGAACAAGAGATTACATAATACATTACATAATCTTGTATATCGTGATTATGAATCATTTTTCGAAACTCGAAAAATTGTTTTCATATTTTTCATTATTGATTAATTGTTGCAATATTTAATTAAATTAGCTGTTTTATCATGTCTGGTATTAAAAAAGCTGGTGTTTTAGGTGCAACTGGTTCAGTTGGTCAAAGATTTATATTATTATTATCTAAGCATCCAGAATTTAAAATTCATGCATTAGGTGCAAGTTCAAGATCGAGTGGTAAAAAATATTCAGATGCAGTTCAGTGGAAACAACAAGATATCTTACCTGAATCAGCTTCAAATATTATAGTTGAAGAATGTAAACCAGATGGAAATTTTAAAGATTGTGATGTTGTTTTTTCAGGTTTAGATTCTGATGTAGCTGGTGAAATTGAAAAAAATTTTGTTGAATCTGGTTTAGTAGTTATATCAAATGCTAAAAATTATAGAAGGGAACCAAATGTCCCATTAGTTGTACCAATAGTTAACCCTGAACATATTAATCTTGTTGAAAATAAAGTTAAACTGGAGCTTGCAAAAGGTAATGAAAAACCTGGATTTTTAATTTGTATATCAAATTGTTCAACTGCTGGATTAGTTGCACCTTTAAAGCCTTTGGTTGATAAATTTGGTCCAATTGATGCATTAACTGCAGTTACATTACAAGCTATATCTGGTGCTGGATTTTCACCTGGTGTTTCAGGTATGGACATTTTAGATAATATAGTTCCTTTCATTTCTGGTGAAGAAGATAAATTAGAATGGGAAACTAAAAAGATATTAGGTGGTATTAATTCAAATGGAACTGAGTTTGAACCTATTTCAGATGATAAAATGAAAGTTAGTGCTCAATGTAATAGAGTTCCAGTTATAGATGGTCATACAGAATGTATAAGTCTTAGGTTTGCAAATAGACCACCACCATCAGTTGAAGAAGTCAAAAAATGTTTAAGAGAATATGTTTGTGATGCAAGTAAATTAGGATGTCATTCAGCACCAAAACAAACAATTCATGTTTTAGAACAACAGGATAGACCACAACCAAGATTAGATAGAGAAAGAGATAATGGATATGGTGTTTCAGTTGGTAGAATTAGACAAGATTCATTATTGGATTTTAAAATGGTTGTATTATCTCATAATACAATTATTGGAGCTGCTGGTTCAGGTATTTTGATAGCAGAAATATTAAAAGCAAAGAACTTAATTTAGTATTACATGTTTATAGAGTTTCATTGTTAATATATAAATTAATATAGTGTATTTGTATATCGGACTTTTTTCGTAAATTTCATTAGACGAAAAAATTAATTAGGTTAATTTATGAATGGTGATCTTGTTGATAAATTTGAATTGATAAATGATGATAATATAGATGATCATATATTTGATATATTTTCAAATAACAAACCACCTTCTAATTTAGGTTTTATAAATAAATCGTCCAATGAAATAGAAGTAACATTACCTAATGCTCAAATTGATTTAAATATTAAACAATCATTAAGTCAATTATCCTCGAGGGATAAGCAAGGTACAACTGGATTTATATGTTGGTATTCATCATTATTATTCAGCGATTGGTTATTATCAAAGACTTGCCCTATAAAGTTGAGTAAAGACATGTCAATTTTTGAATTAGGTTCTGGTGTCGGTGGAATTTGTGCTAGTACAATACTGAAGCTGGTTGGTAAATTCATAGCTAGCGATCAAAAGCAAATACTAAAGTTACTAAAGGAGAATGTTACAAATAATGTTGATCATTTTACCAGTAGGACCATTAAAAACAGTTTCGGCCGTGGGCCAAACATTGAAGTTATTGAATTTGATTGGGAGGATATAGACCAGGGGAAGTACAATTATAAGGAGGCTGAAGATAGACTACCAGATGTTATAATAGCTTGTGATACAATCTACAATGAGTATTTGATACCACATTTTATAAATTCATTCAAATCATTATTGAATAGTAATAACTTTGTATTAATTTGTATTCAATTAAGAGATGCAATAACAATTGAGAAATTTATACAATCAATAGTTGAAGATGAACAATTACTCATCTATTCAATACCTAACTCATTGTCAACTACTCAATTATCGAATGGTTATATAGTTTTCTATATAAAACTTCTTTAAATATAAACGAAAAAAAAAAAAATACTACCAGAACTACTTTATACCTTTGGCAACATCATATTAATATAATCAATACTATTCTAAATTACACTACATATCACGACGTTTATGAATTCATTAATTAGCATTTAAATCTATCACTTGTACATATCATAACAATTTTTAATGTCATCATTTGGAAGTACTTTAACTTCAACAAAATTGAAAAATAATCAATTAACAATGAATAATAATATAAATGGATCAATACCGAGTAATGGTAATAAATCTAAAAACCTACTAAACCGACTGAAAACTAAAAAAAGTCAATCACCAATGATTCAAGATGAAATTGAAATTGAAACTGATCCACTAGATAAACCTACAAGAATCATACCTAGTCAAGCACCAATTAAACTACAATCAGTCACAGTTGAAGAAGTTCAACTAACAGGTGAAATGTTCACCAACCCTGAATCACTCGGTTTTATCAAGAAACAATCTAGTTCTTCACAATTACGCCCCATACCCAAATATTTCTTTACTCAACCAAAATTATTACAAACTCCACCATTTGTCAAAAATGAATGGGATTTGCTAAATCAAGCTAAAATGAACGAAATGGAAGAATTAAATCAAGGTAAAGATTTTCAAGGTTTATATGAACAATTGCAAAAATTACGAGAAGTAGAACGTAAAAAAATGGAAGAAATGGGATTAGTTGATGCTGAAAATATCTCAAAAGACTTAAATGATGCTATTTCATTTCAGGGAAGCTGTTTGGATATGTGTCCTACCTTTGAAAGAATAAGACGTCAATTAGAAAATAATGTTAAAAATTTAGAAAAAGACCCAATAACGAATAAGATATCAAGGTCAAGAGCAATTAAAGCATTTTCAAGACCTGCTGCTGGTCAACCACCACCATTACCTTCTGAAGTTCGACCACCGCATATTTTAGTTGAGACTTTAAATTATTTAGTAGATGAGATTATGATTCATTTACCTGATTCTCATTCGTTTTTATGGGATAGAACAAGATCAATTAGACAGGATTTTACATATCAAAACAATTTTGGTCCCGAGGCAGTTGACTGTAATGAAAGAATAGTTAGAATTCACTTATTATGTTTACATTTAATGTCTGGTTCAGATGTAGAGTATTCACAACAACAAGAATTAGAACAATTTAATAAATCATTACAAACCTTAATGGAAATATATACAGATGTGAGAAATAATGGTGGAGAATGTCCCAATGAAGCTGAATTTAGAGCATATCATTTATTAAGTCATTTAAAAGATCCAGAATTAGAAAGACAAATTCAAAATTTACCTGATCATATTTACAATAACTCCAACATACAAGTAGCTTTAAGGTTTAGAAATTTGATTAATCAGAATAATACAGTTGAAAGAGGAGTTAAGAATTTAATTGGTTGTTTAGATTATTACGTTGAATTTTTTGAATTATTATATGGAGATGATACCCCATTATTAATGGCATGTTTATTAGAGACTCAATTTAGTGAAATTAGATTTTATGCATTAAAGGCAATGTCAAGAGCATATCATACTAAAAGTAAACCGTTAGGAGTCAAGACACTTGCTGATATTTTAGGATTTGATTCAAAGGAGAAACTAATCAAATTTTTAAAATATTATGATATTGATATTGTAAATGATTCAAATGGTGATGAAGTAGTTGATTTATTTAATAAAGAAAAATTAGAAAGTCAATATAAATTAAATTCGTTCTTGCAAAAGGCTAAATATCCACCGGTCCATTCAACTCAACTTGATAAAAAATTACAAAATAAAGATTATAAATCATATATAAATAGTGGTAAGCCAAATCATAATTTAAAATTAGATTCAAAAAAATTAATAAAACCAAGTATAAAACTTGAACCAATAATAAAATCAAATTTATTCAAAACTGAAGCTAATAAACTACCAGAGATCAAATTTGGAAATGAACCGAAATCAACTCAACCAATTACAACTCAATCATTTCAATTCAAACCTCCACAAACACTACAACAACAACCAACATTTCAATTTAATAAACCTGCAGAATCAAAACCAACTCCACCACCACCTACACAACCATTCACATTTATAAAGTCAGCAGTAACTAAACCAACAACTACATCAATTTTTAAATCTACTTCATCTACACCGCAGCCACCACCAGAACCAAAAAAAGTATCATTTAATTTAACTCCAAAAGTAGATCAAATTCCAACATTGAGTAGATCACCATCAACTACAATAACAATATCATCATCATTAGAATCACAACAACCACGTAGTATAACAGAATCACCACAATTTAAAAATGCATTAGATCAAGTAACATCTCAATTTATATCAAATTCATTGAATAGAGAAGTAGGACATTATTTAATTAAAATAATGCAAGATTTTAATCGTAAAAATGAGAGAAATCAATTGTTGTATACATTATCTAAAGAATTATACAGTGCATTCCTACTGGAAATAATCTACGAAGTCACATTAGAAAATCAAGCTGCATATATATATGAAACCAATCTTAAAAAGAAATCAATTAGAAAAATTGCCGCAAATGCAAAAAACGCAGTTGTGAAATATAAATATAAGAAAATGAAAATTGAAGAATTACAAACAGTATCATTTAAAGCACCAAAGAAAAAGAGAAGATTCAGCACTGACTCCAACAGTTCAATTATCAAGAAACAAAGATCTCAAACACCAGTAGACGTAAATGAGATAAACCATAAACGAAATGAAATTAATGAATTATGGGCTCCTATCAATCTCATAAGTTTTGTAAATCAATGTTCAACTGGTCTAGGGTTGGGTATTCATGAGCCAAGTTTAAATCTTACATTTGTCTTAATTGTACATGACTGGTCTATAATTTATTCAAAATGGTTAATTTCAAAATTTGAATTAAAACCAGATTTCAAGTTAAAAATATATAACAATGAAATAGAGAATGATAAGTTACAATTGAGAATTACATCACTACCAGAGAATAGCCACCTAAATAAAGAATTCTTCAGCAATACAAGTTTTATATTATTTGAAACAGGTATATTGAATAAAAGTTCAACAGAGAATATTGAAGAGAAACTAATCAAAGATGCTAGAGTATTATCCAAAATTGTCAATTTGCTTAACAAGTACAGTTATTATAAGTTTCATATTTTAGTTTTGTTTTGGGATGTGACTGAATCAGGTATATTTTCAGATAGAGTGGCACAATTATTAAACCTACAACAATTTGTCAGTTTCAAAAATTTGGGAAATTTGATACTTTGTGATATGACGATTAAAGGAGCAGATATTAATGACATACTATTCAATGCACTAGATAAAATTAGTTCAGATTTTAATGGAGAATTGACGTCTCGAGGAATAAGAAAGAAATCAAAACAGAAAACAAAAGAAGAATCTGTAGTTTCCACTACGTCCTCAAATATAAGTCAAATTGAAAACAAAATGATGGATCATGCTAAATCATTGAAAAAATATAATTATTTGAATCAACATATAAATGACTCGAGAAGTTATGCTATTCCTAATCAATCAGCTAATTCAACAATGGTGAATAATAAATCAATGTTACAACAGTATATCCGAAATAGAACCATGAATAATTCCACTATTTTAAATTCAAGTATTATATCAAATAATTCAATATTGAAAGGTTTTGGAAAAGGTATAATTAAAGAATCAACACCTAATGTTTCAACTACTAAGAACCTTGATAGTTTATATATAAATCAATTGAAAGAATTAACTGAAAATATCAAGAAAAAGTATAGATCAAATTAATATATTAATTTTGCACCCATTTTATAACCGAATCATCCCTCGGAAATTAACTTGATGTTCATCTTGATGTAATCCAGCCGGACATTGACTATTTATAAATACTCTTTATTTGCATCCTTATTCATCTACTACTAACTCTGTCATCAAGACTGCTTTTCACTTTCGATTTATCAATTGTCAACGTTGTTATTAAGAAAATAACCGTTCCTGTATATAATAGTAAACACTGTTGGAATATTTTTCCCTTGTTTGCCAAATTTGAAAATAAATCAAACAATCAAGCGAATTACAACGACCCAAAGTCATACCCAATTATTGAATCAATCGGTTAAAACTAAACAAGACTAAGAATATAATAGTTTCAAGATGGATCTTTTAAAAGATGCTGCTAAAAATTTAAATTTATATGAAGTTAAAGCATATGTTAGAAAAGCACAAAATGGTATGTAACAAGTCAGGTTGTTGGTAAGGATGCAACGCTTATCACACTGAAAGTAAAGATGCAAATAAATTGGATACTAACAAATTGTTTAGTCGCTATGAATCTCACTGAGATTGAATCAAAAGTTAGAGAAGCAACAAATAATGAACCCTGGGGTGCTTCATCAACATTAATGGCACAAATTGCATCATGTACTTATAATTATCGAGAACGTGAAGAAATTGTTGCATTTATATTTAGAAGATTTACCGAAAAAGCAGCCAATGAATGGAGACAAATTTATAAATCATTACAATTATTAGATTATTTAGTTAAAAATGGATCAGAAAGAATTATAGATGACGTAAGGGCCAATTTATCATTAATTCAAATGTTAAAATCTTTCCATTATATTGATTCAAAGGGAAGAGATCAAGGAATTAACGTTAGAAATAAAGCAAAAAATTTAATCAATTTATTAAATGATGATCAATTAATTAGAACTGAACGTAAAAAAGCAAGAGCAAATCAAAAAAAATTTGGTGGTGTTTCATCAGCTGCTTTTGGTGGTGCTTCATCAATTAGTAACCATGGAAGAATTGCTAGTTCATTTACTGATGATGACGAATTTGCAAATAGAGTTTATGGAGATGGTGGTGTTTATGGTGAAAGATACGATGATAGTGCAAGTGCTTATAATAATGGAGCAACTGGAAGTAATGAATTTGAAGAATATGAACCGGGAAATTCAAATACTTCTAAGGCTACTAATAAAGTTTCTAAAGTTACTGCTGGTAGATCTTCAAGTCCAAGTAAATCTAAACCACAACCAAAAGAACCACAAGATGATTTATTAGGTGATTTATTATCATTTGATAACGAAAATAATAATAAAATGCAAGAGACTAATATTGAAGATGACGATGATGAGGATGATTTTGATGATTTTCAAGCTGCTCCATCACAACCTCAAAAACCAAATATTTTAAACAATTTAAATAATGCATACCATCCACAACAACAACAACAACCAATATTTCAATCTCAAAATTCATTCAATTCAACTCCAACACAAGCTAATTATCATTTCAATTCTATTACTTCTACTCAATCATCGGGTCCATCAAAACCAAGTACTAATAATGATGCATTTTCTTCATTATTTTCATCTGCAAAGACAAAGACTAAGACAAGTACTCCTAATAAATCAATATCTACTCCTTCAACCGCGACTAGTCAAACAAGTAACAATAATAATACAAATACTACTATTGATGATGATTTCTTTGGTGATTCTAATTCAAATTCAAAATCAAATTCAAAATCAAATACAAACACAAGCTCTACAAATAATAACAATGATGGTGAAGTTGATTTATTAAGTTTTTAGAATATCCTGAAAAGTGTGTAGGTTATAATAAAGTTTACTATTTACTATTACTATTTACTATTTGCCTGTTTCCTTCATACTAAGTTGAAAAGCATCTTTCCATTGATTGCAACCTTACTGATACCTATATAGAATGGCATCGTTACCTTTAAGCATCCTTACTTGTTTATTGCACAGTTACATTTCTTGCATCCTTTCGCGTTTCGCAACCAGTGAAAAATTTCTAGAATTTTTAGAAATTTTTATCACCACTCCTTAAGTTTAACAATGTTAAGATCAATCCCATTTGCTACTAGATCAATCAGATCATTTTCATCAACTTCAAAGGTATTAGGTACTAAAATCTTCTTTGAAACTTCAATTGATGGTGAAAAACAAAAACCAATCAAATTTGAATTATATGATGATATAGTTCCAAAAACTGCTGAAAATTTCAAAGTTTTATCAACTGGTGAAAAAGGTGTTGGTTATAAAGGATCAATTTTTCATCGTATAATTCCTGATTTCATGTTACAAGGTGGTGATTTTGAAACTGGAAAAGGATATGGTGGATATTCACCAATTCATGGTAAAAAATTTGCTGATGAAAATTTTAAAATTAGACATGATAGAGAAGGCTTATTAAGTATGGCTAATGCTGGACCAAATACTAATGGTTCTCAATTCTTTATTACTACTGTTCCTTGTCCTTGGTTAGATGGTAAACATGTTGTATTTGGTGAAGTTATTGATGGCTATGATGTTGTTAAAAAAATTGAAAGTTATGGTACTCCATCTGGTCAAACTAGTTCAAAAATAGTAATTGAAGATTCTGGAATTGCTAAAGATTAAATAATATATATTCAACCTATATGATACCTTCGCTTCTTTATAAGTCTACAAGACTGCATATAAGCTAAGTTTGCATCAAAATCAATTTTCCAAGTGTGTAAAGTCTCGCTCAAAACTAGTACCTTGAGAACATTTTCCTCGCGCTAGATTAGGGCGACTCGTACAACGATGAATGGCTTATACCTCATATTCAACTTAATCTCATGAAATATAAACCAATTTAATAAGTTCAGAAGCCATGAATTATATATATCACATATTTGAATCTCCACAATTTGAACATTTTTTTTTCGAGTTGCATTTTGGGCCTTCTTCATCATACAAAAATTTTGACAAAAGAGTGAACCTCAAGTACTTCAGCATTTGGCACCACAACTTTCAAGTAAACAACGAAATGTATATATTAAACTCTAATTTAATGTATCTGACTCAATTTTAAAAGTGGTAGACTAAAATTGAAAAATCTCAAAATTTTCTCTTGAGTAAAATGAATATGCCGTCTTGAAATATTTAAAGAAAGATTATTTGAAGTTAAATAGACCAAGTCAGCTATAATGGAAGTCGAGAATTGAGGTCTAAGTATTGATTAATTTGCAATTTTGCGTAGTTTTGCGTTTTTTAAAAGTTGAATAAATTGATCAAATTTATGTCTCTTTATAAGATATTTACACCATTTGATTCTAAATTTAAGAAAGAACTTAAAGAGTTTAGTTTGAGAGCAAAAGCTACGAAATTTATGGAATTATTTACAGCTCAACTTTCAGGATTTATCTATAAGACTGCATATAAGCTAAATTTTGTTTAGAGTTTACTTTTCTTAGTTGCAATATCGGACGAAGAATAAGGCTAAGTCTCGCATTACGTTTTTCTTTTCGGCTTTAATGTGCGGTCTGTGCGCATTAGAAATGCTACCATCAAATTTGAAATTTTCAAAACGTACCTGCAACTCATGGCCTGATGTTTCATGAATCATTTTTAACTTGATCTAAACTTGAGAGCCATATACACTTATAATATAAATATAAGTGAGTACTATTTGTTTTGGACAGTTTGTATCAAAATCAGTTTGTCGAAAGTTATTACCATTTTTATGCTCATTAATTGTTAGCTGCGAAAAATCGAATAAGTGCTAGTAAATTACTTCTTTACAGAAAATATTAATCCAACAGCCGTAAATTATTGAAAATATACATTATATGGCTACTATAAAGGCTTAATCGGGATTATCCTGAACAATAAATTTTGTGACAATCGGCTGCAAAATTAAATATTCATCTAAATATAGATCAAGATACAACAAGATTGAACAAAGTATGGACGCTACCAAATAGAATGTAATAAGAAAATCAGAATTTCATTATAGATTAGCGTTTATATATTTTAATTTGTTTTAAATACTGGATCTTCATTATATTGAACCAATTTAATACCTTGTTTCTTTTTCAATTCATTTAATTTATCATAATCACCAGCTAAAATTCTAGCAACAACCAAGGCATCTCTATCTTCAATTTCTTTTTTAGATTTACCTTGATTTGATAAAAATTCTTTTGCCTTTCCAGTATCACCATGAAAATATTCTTCCATTGCTCTTAATCTTAATTCTTTTTCAGCCCATTCAGGACCATCAATTTCTCTTAATTTAGCCTGTTGAGTATATTTTATATAAAGGACATATATAAAAATAGGTAATACAATATAATAATAAGGAATTTCCCAACCTTCAGCTTGTTCAGTCTCTCTAATAATTTTCCATTTTAATTCACCAGTAGTTTCATCTTTGTATGGAATTTTATCAATAATTTTACCTACTTTTTTAGTTGAAAATTGTAAATTAGTTAAATCTTGTGAATTATCTTTAAATAATTGTAATTGATCTTTTGGAATTCCAGGTAATATAAAATTCCATTCTGAATTATTTCTTTTATAATATAAATTTTGTAAATCTGCTATTGTTTTAAATTCTGAATCTGTTGGAATTCTAGTTGAACCATCTGGATTTGTATAAATTTTATTAACTGATGGTAAAGAATCTAATTTTGATCTTATTTCTTGTTCTAATTGAAAATTAAATTTACCTGGTTTATATTTTAGAAAAGTTGCAAGGGGGGATTTAAATGTGAATCTCATTGTCAGGATGCTATAAATATATGAATATGTAAGGATGCAACTAACTTAACAACCCACAAGTAATGTACTCTATATCAATTGATTGTTTTCAATTAATTTTCATTGGTTCGAAAAAAAAAAAAAAGATGGAAAAAAATCCAGTCATGTGGTTGGTAGCGCAACCAAAATCTGAAACATTACAAAATTATATTAATAACCAAGTAATATTAACAGTTGATTTTTCATTCACTCATGGGTAAAGCAGAAATAGGTACAGCTAAATATCAAGCAAAGAAACTAAAAGCTGCAGGTTTACAGAAATTAAAATTTTATTGTCAAATATGTGAAAAACAATGTCGAGATTACAATGGTTTTAAAAATCACTTATCATCACCATCACACTTAGGTAGAATATCAAACATAGAGTCTCTGGGTAAGACAAAGCAAATAGTAGAAGAATATAGCTCACATTTTAGAAGTGAATTTCTTAATTTACTTCGAATCAGTCATGGGACAAAGAAAATTAATGCAAATCGATTTTATCAAGAAGTTATCATAAATAAAGATCATATTCACATGAATTCAACCAAATGGAGGACTCTCACTTCTTTTGTTAAGTACTTGGGTAAGAGTGGGTACGTTAAAGTTTATGATGCTGGATCTGATGATGAATTTAACCTTGAAATTTCGTATATTGATAGATCGAAATTCATGGATGAAAAACAAAAGGAGATGGATGTTCAAAGTAAAGAGGATGTAGATATTACGGAGAAATTGCTAGATAGACAGATTAAGAAAGGGAACGAGAAAGCAGATGTGAAGGAAGATAATGCTCCTATATTACCAGCTGCGAAAGGTCCAATAAAATTAAATATTAAAAAGAAACAAGTGAAGAAGTTGAAAAATGCACTAGAAGATGAGTAATTAGACAAGTCTGTATGTATATTTGCTCATAAGCTTAATGATAGAGTTAAATATCATCCAAAAATGTGAGATCAAGGTATTGAATATTTCTTGAAAGTCCATAAACCTAATAGAGAATCAAGTTTAGGGGTTAAAAAATGCACTAAAAAAGGACTAGTTGTATCAGTTATTAGTGTTATTAGTCATTAGCTTAATACAGAAGGTGATGCTCTTTTACTTATGTTGGATCAAGGTATTGAATGATTCGACAATCTATAGAGTTATACCATCAGCCATAAACAAATAAAATGCATTAGATGATTAATATATATTACTTAATGGTGGATCAAAATGACTTAAATTCCTTTATTTCATGAATTTCACCCTAATTTCGATTTTTTGAATTTAATCAATTGCCTCTTCTCTCGGCTTTCTCAACTTTGCTATTCTCAAACTCAACTCTACTCTACTTTGTGATATCTACTCATTTCTTAGCTGCACCAAAGGCGATAAATTCCATTCATTCATGAACTTCAGTACTAAAGTTTCATATATCGAGTTTATTTGGCAGTATCACCACTTGTCGCGCTAATCATTAGTTAGGTCAACTATTTGTATTGGTTCATTTCTTAGTTGATCCGAATGATTTAAAACCCATCATTTCATGAACATCATCACCACCATCAACAGCATCCAATTTCTTCTTTTTTAATTTATTCAACTGTCTCTTCTCCTGTCGTTTTTGCCTTTTGTTATTCTCAAACTCAACCCGTCTCTGAACCCGTTCATGAAAAGACAAGCCCTCAGAATTACCCAACTCTCCATTTTCCTTTTCTTTTATATTTTTAGCAATTAATTTTTCAATAGTTCGGATTACTTCATTCAAACTAGCACGTCGTATCCCACCATCTAACAAGTCTGTATCATCTCCATCTTTTTTGTTTAGTTGGGTAGATTTTTGAACATGTTGGGGTGAATTTAAATGATCTATTAATTTGAGATTATCCTTGAATGTTAATTCACAAATCGGACAATAAAAACCAAATCGTTTATTACTGAGTGATAGTTCAGGGTTAATTAAATTGTACTTCTTGACTTTGTTCAACGTTTCATTAAGTAGTCTATTTCGATGATTAAGATAACCATTTGATGAATCATTACTGAGTAGATATTTTGAGTCCAAATTGTCTTCCTTTTTTGGTTTTCGTTTTGCTTCTTGTTCATAGATTTTTATATTCCATTTCTTTCTTCCATATTGATCTGTTGATATCTTATCTCCATCATTTGATTCCATTGTTGCAAAAAGAATTGGTATGGCGATTTTTTATTTTTTTGTTTTGTTGCAATTGATAATGAGTAAAGATATAACATCAATGATAGGAAAGAAGATATCAAAACCTGTTAAAGCTGCTACTAAGTCTGTTATTGAAAGTGATATAATAAAGAAGAAATTGGATACTGATATATTGTTCAATTTTGATAAACATTGGTCAACGAAGGGCACTTATTTAATAAAAAATATTCCCAAGGTAATAGAGTTTGATAGTAAACTAGTGAAGGTTGCTGCTTTCGATCTAGATGGGACGTTAATAAATACCAAATCAGGTAACAAATTTGCTACATCTGCTTCTGATTGGAAATGGTTTAATGAATACGTCATACCAATGCTTAAAAAACTACAGGATTATTTGATTGTAATTTTCACGAATCAAGGTGGTGTTGTTTCTAAACCTGATAGTAAAAGCTATATTAAATTTATTGCAAGATTGAATTTGATAGCTAAGGAACTAGAGACGGAACAGATAGATATAAGGCATAATTTATTCGTTTATGCATCACCTAAAAAACCAGCAAAAGAAACTACAATTCATGATTACCACGCTAAGATGAGGAAACCGAATACTGGGATGTGGGAAGAGCTTAAGTCTGATTTACTAGGATATGAAGTTGATTTGGAGCATAGTTTCTTTATTGGTGATGCTGCTGGTCGTAAATCTGACTTCTCAAATTCTGATTTACTATTTGCAAAACATATAGGTATTGAATTTAAGACTCCAGAAGAACTATTTAAAGATAATATAGAAACGAGCTCGGATCAGAATGAAGCAGCTTGAATAAGTGCTAAAATATCAATTTTTGAAGCTTTAAATGATACATTATTTGTTTATTCAACTATTAGACTCTAAAACAACTATTTACAGGTAATATGCAAGACTGAATTGAGTTTAATCGTCATCCAACATAAGTTCCTCTTATTTTATGTCTAAGTATCAATTACTTATCATTAAGATTTACAACTTCCCAAAATATATACATTTCAATACTCCTTGAAATCTATTTACAAGTATTCTACAAGTCTAGTAGTCTTCCAACATGATTTCTTCCAATTTAGTATCCATTTCATCCCACTTTGAAACTATAGTTTTTGATTTCCCAATAGTATTGAAATATCCATCAACATTTTTAATATCTCTTACCTCTTCATCATTTTTCACTTTTGGAAGCTCATTTATGATATCATAATGCAAAATCAAACATTTACAAATATCAGATACGTCATTTTCAAATTTGATTGCCTCGTTGGTGGTTTGTGGATAATTTTTAATTATGAAATTGGTGTCAAATGTACCTTCTCTGGTGTTTATGAATGTATTGAGGTAATCTTTAATAATAGCTGTAATTAAACCGGGTGGGAAGCTTTTCTTTTGAGATTCAAGGGTTTGGAGTAAAATAGAATACTTTCTTGAATCATCTGCCTTTTCTTCCTCTATTAATTGTTTAGGATCAATGACTTTAATATTGTATGATGAATCTTTTTGCTTTAATTTGGTGACTATTTCATCTAACTCTTCATCTTGTTTAATATATGGAATTACATAAAATTTATACTTTTGAGCCAATTTATCATTAATTAATTTATTTCTTCTTTTTATTCCTGTTTTTAATTCATATTCATTAAATTCTCTCTCAGTAAGATTCTGCATTGAAGGTCTCTTTTTTTCTAAATTATTACCAACAAAATACATTGCAACCCAAGATAATGCAACCATATAAAGAATATATCTAACTCTGTGCTCTTCTTTCTTTGGACTTATTCTTGGAGTACTGTAAAATCTAAAACCAGCAACGTTAAAACCTTTATGCTTCAATCGGTTAGTCCATATTTGTCTAGTTTGTAATTTGGGTAGTATTGATTTAAACATTTCTGGGTGGTTTGATTAATTTTGGTGATAATTTTTAATTTTTCAAACCGATAAAAAAATTTTCAAATTCGTTTTATCACCAGGGTTGATTCAAACATGTCTTCAGCTTCACTTATTCAATTAGCTAATCTAACTGCACATATAAGAAATTGTATAAATATAACATTATCAAAAACAGCATTAAACTATAACAAAACTAATTTACAAGCATTATTATCTTTATATCAACAAGGGTTTATATCAAATATACAAAACGGAAGTAACACAGGACCAGATATTATAAACACTCCAGTAACTCCATTAAATATAAGTTCACGTAAATTATGGATAGATTTAAAATATAGAAATAATTCATCGGTAATTCGAAAAATTTCATTAATTTCAACACCAAATAGAAAATATGATTTAACTAGTTCTGAAATTAAAAATTTAGCATCTGGTAATAAACAAGTTAGAAGAATAGAACCATTACAACCTTCCGAATGTATATTTATTGAAAATGGTGGTGAATTTTATGAAATTCAAGATGCTGCGAAAAAGGGTTTGGATGGTAGAGCATTATTTAGAGTCAAGTAAATAATCCATGTAAATATATATACTATAATGCTAATTTTTGACTTGTTCCTACTCCAGTCCAATTTGTCATGTCTATTTGCCAATGTTTCCAAATCATTAATTTATCTCTAAAATTATCTGTTGAAATTGAATTAAAATCAGAAAAATTTTGTTGTGAAATTGTTGCATACTCATTTTTGGTAATTATTGGTTTTGCAGGTTTGATATTTTGTGAATATACTGGCTGGGAAGTTCTTGTAGTTGATGGACCTGTTTCTAATTCACGTATTCTGTCTTTTAAATCCATTATTTCTAATTTTAGGTTGGTATTTTCATCTCTGAGTTTTTTAATGGTTTGATTGAGTCGGTCTATTTCTGAAGAATCTGATTTAGTTTCTGGTTTTGGTTCCAATTCATCTTTAGCTTCTACTTCCAATTCATCTTTAATTATAGATTCAGTAGTTTCTGGTTTTGTTTCTTCTGTTTTAGGTTCTTCAATAGACTCTGGTCTCTTTTCTTCTGTTTTAGGTTCTTCAATAGACTCTGGTTTCTTTTCTTCTACTTTCTCTGTTTCTGGTTTAGTTTCTGTATCTAATGGGGTTGATTCCTTCGATTCAATATCTTCTGGTTGATTAGCATCAGTTGATTCAGTTGTCTTCGTCTTACTTTTCTTATTTTTCTTCTTCATTTCTTTTAATTTCTTTTTAGCAATTTCTAATCTTTCTTCTTTTGATAATAGATTATCTTCATTATCAGAACCTAACATATTTGATAGCAATATAAATTCGTGGATTTTTGACCAATTTTGAAAAAGAGTTTGACAATACATCCTGTGCGCTACCAATCGAGTTTCAATGATTATTGATGTCCATCTATATTCTTAGGGTTTCATTTGAATTATCAAACAGTTGATTAAACGAATTGACTCTAAAATTAATATATCCATTTCGTTAGCTGATAGTGTCCAGTATACATTGATTCTTCGTTTCGGATAATGCTGTTTAAATGTTTTCCTTTCGGACCTGTTAATTTTCAATTTACTGTCAAATCCACGTTTTAAATCGGTCAGAAAAACAAAATTATAAATAACACCTATTTCTCAACATATTGAGGCTACTTTTACAAATTCAATTCTCCCAACACCTCAAATTTCCTCATTGAACTGGTTAACTAATAAATTTGTGATTATAAGTCGTGTAGTACGACCAATTGTTTGTTTAAGCCGCATATCCAAATTAATTACCAATTTTACCAACCCACGAAAAATAATAATCAACTATATACAATGAAATTAAGAGTTGCAATCATACAATTAAATCTGATACTACGACAACCAACACAGAATATCACTAAAATTCATAATCTAATATCGTCAAAACCGAATTTCAAAAATGTAGATTTAATTGTACTACCAGAAATGTCAATAACAGGTTATTATTTTAAATCATCACAAGATATAACCCCATATTTAGAATCAACTAATTCATTTGGTCCATCATTAAACTTTGCAAGAGATTTAAGTCGGAAATATAATTGTTTTACAGTTATAGGATATCCAGAATCAGATAATTCCAAAATTTATAATTCTTGTGCTACTTTTAATCGAACAGGTAAATTAATACACAATTATAGAAAGACATTTTTATATGAGACAGATGAAGTATGGGGATGTGAAGAAAATCCAAATAAGGGTTTTCCTGCAACTAAACTAAAATTCAAAGATGATGAGGAGGATGTAATTGTCAATTTTGGAATATGTATGGATTTGAATCCTTATAAGTTTGAAGCTCCATTTCATGCTTTTGAATTTGGTAGTTCTTGTTTGAACCAGAAAGCTAGATTGATTATTTGTCCTATGAATTGGTTAACTAATGAATCACCATCCTTGCATAAAGAAATACAAGAAACTAAAAGATGTGAAATGGCTAAGGAACTTGAAGCAAAAATGAAGTTAGATAATTCTCCAAATGTGACTAATTTGAATTATTGGATTTTGAGATTTTATCCATATTTACAAGATGAGTTAACATGGTTGAAAGATGATGACAAAGTTCACGTATTGATTGCTAATCGTGTTGGTGTTGAGGATGATATTGTATATGGTGGAAGTTCATGTACACTAAAGTTTAATGATGGTGAGAATTATTTATCTAGTGTGTTGGGTCAATGTAAGGAGGATATTTTAATACATGATATTGATGTATGAGGAAAGTGAGTGAAGGCAACCTCAAAACATGCAAGAATATCAATATGATTTCAGTTGTTGCTTTCAATTAAATTAATTACTAGTCTCATAAATTTGAAGCAATATTTACCATCATAGGTTTTGATTTTCACAAGAAAAGTATATCAATTAGAGAATTGAAAGTATATCAATTAGACAATTGGGGACTAAAACTTCTCAGTTATATCTTGTTGGAGCTAGAAGATGATATTACGATAGAGTATGATGATGAGTATGTTGTTGTTGTTGTTTATATGGTAAATATTTGGGTTTTAATGTAAATAAATTAATATACTGAGATCTGAATTTAACCTAAATACGGAATTGCTTAGCCAGATCTCAGATCTGAAATTCCGTTTTAGCGCACTTACCTGATTTGTAATGTTTGCGCCTTCAGATTTTTTTTTTTTGAAAAAAAAATTTATTCGAAAATATATAAAAAAAATATACATTTATAAGTGTAATTTGCAGCCATGTACATCACCATACAGATTTTTCATTTATTAGTTCTACATTATAACTGATAGTGAATATTTGAAGTCTACCTCTGCGATCTCAAATATTAATAGAAATACACTTTCCATCGTGTAATCTTGCAATTAGGTACTTTTACTTATCCGATACTTCAAAGTTAGTTCCATTTACAACACAAAACGCGCAGAAAGCAAGCTAATTGCAACATCCATTACGTATTTGTTGGGGGTATATTATATTATATTGTACCAGCATTTCAAGAAATTTAAGAAAATAAATATTTTCAATATTTGAATCTCGAACCTCCAATCACCAGTTCTCAAATTAAAATTAAAAGTGTCATAATCATGTACCATGGGACTTAAAAACAAAAATTCTTGAACCACAGAAATATGGAAATAAAAAAAAGAACATCGAACTGAAATTTATCAATTAGGTTTCGTGTACAAGAATTACCAATCTTCAAAATATGAAGTACAATAACTTATATTAGTATCCAAAAAGGTTTTTTTTTGATCTAGTCATAAGAGCGTTTATTCTATTAAGTTAGTTGTCTCGTGACTATTAATCGTTAATTGTCTCGTGACCATTAATCATTCCAAAGTACTAATTAAAATAAACTTTTTTAGTTTGATTTTTAGTTTGTTTAGTTCGTTTTAGTTCGTTTTGAGCGGTTAAATATGCATAAATTTATTTATAGAAGTTTTAGATTCTTTTAATATTAAAGATTATAATTCAAGATTAAGAGTTCGATTATTATGACCGTCAACGCTGAAACGAAAAAAGATAAGAGATGGACGAGGCTAGAGTAATCTCGGTTTCAGTATGTTCTCAGCTTTCAAATATCATAATTCTGATACTTTTGCGTCAATGTCTTTTGCGTCAATGTCTTTTGCGTCAATGGCCTTTGCGTCAATCGCTTTTGTGCTGTATTATAATTTCTTAGCATTCTTCTTTCTCCATTAAAGTAGATTTTGTGGGAAGTTAAATTTTTCTATGTTGTAGCGTTTAATATTTTTTTCTTTTTTTTTTTTTTTATAGTAGTTCTTTTGCTTTAAAATTTTTATACCGTTCTATTTATTAATCTAAACTTTTACAACGTATTGGCTACAATCAACAATCAAAAATCATCATTCATTAGCCAAGACCAAACCAAAACTTATTTATTATCATTCATTCATTTGTATTTATTTTTTGCACAATTAATTTTCATTTGTAATATTGTCATTCTGTTATGTTAAAATTCACGTCAAGAAGATTTTTATTTAAATTACTACTGCTATCTACTATAACGTATACTATCTATTTATCAATATGTTTAATTTTACAAAAACCAACTATTAAACAATATAATCAACAACTTAATTTAGTCATAAATCATAAATTTAACCAATGGTATTATAATATCCTATCTTCAAAATATGATCTAGATTTAGATTCCAAATTTAATAAGAAACTAGAAGAAGTGAAAAGAGAAAAACTATCTCATGATGAATATAATGATTTTTGGGATTTACGAGAAGATTTAAAATATCCAATGGATGTAAATTACCCAGGGCATAATTCATTTATCAAACCAATTATTCAACCATTTGATCCTAGATTGACATTATCTGTATATTACAACTACATTACTGAAAACTATCATCCTGATCTTAAATTACCTTTTCATTGGTCTGACTGGACTGATATGTCAATATTAAATAAGTTCATACTAAATCCCGACAAAGAGAATTTATGTTCCACCATGTTCAATCTCACCCAACCTGAAGTCATAAAGGATTCAATGATTAAACCTGTTCAATTATATTGTAAATATGAACCTGACAGTTTATTAGCATATACTATCTTTGACATTTCCGGACAACAAACAATACAAAATAGAGAAATATTGGGTAAATCATATTTATTTAGAACTGCTTCATCTCCAAGAAAGATTGTAATGTTGACTAATTCAAAGTCATACCAATTTGAAGTTGAAACTGAAGAGAATAATCTATATAATTCAATAATTAATAATGGAATGATTAAAAATTCAAAATATAACGTCTTGGAAAGTTTCAAATCACTCACAAAAACTATCCCACCAAATTCAATCAAATCAGAAATGCTAACTGATCATATAATAAACATTCCGGAAGAGTCATTTTCAAGTAATCATACCAACATCATAAATCAAATAAAATCATCAACAATTTCAACAACAGACCAACATTTTATAGAATCAATTGAATATAGTAGTTCTATTGAATCACCACCAAAATACTTTGAAGAAGCCAAATTACTAAGATCTGTTGGTGATTCATGGCAAGGTGAACATTATGATTGGAGATTTTTCAGTGGTTTAATTCATGATAAAAATGAACAAAATATAATATTACATAGATTACTTAAAAATTATCTAAATTTCACTAAATCAAATGGGATAATTACATGGATAGCACATGGTTCTTTATTATCATGGTATTGGAATGGTATTTCATTTCCATGGGATGGTGATATTGATGTCCAAATGCCAATACAAGATTTATATAAACTATCTAGATCATTCAACCAGAGTTTAATAATAGAGAGTGTATCTGATCTAACTGGTGGTTTTGATGGTATGGGCAGATATTTTCTTGATGTTGGATCTTCAATTACTCATAGAATTAAAGGAAATGGAAATAATGCTATTGATGCAAGGTTTATTGATGTCGATACTGGTTTATATATAGATATAACTGGATTAGCATTGAGTTCAGAACCTGCTAATTCAAGATATGATCCAGAATATGAATTAATTACAGGAAAATCAATGACTCAACATATGAAATCCGAAATTAATCACTATGTAAAGAACCAAGCTTTGAAAGTTTATAATTGTCGTAATGGGCATTTTTCAAGTTATAATGAATTATCACCATTAGTATCAACAGTGATTGAGAACCATTTAGGTTATATCCCATCAAAGTTTATAAACATACTCAATTCAGAATATAAGTTAGGTGCATTAACAAAGAAGAATCATCGAGATTTTACATTTTTTAACAATTTTAGAATTTGGTATAATACTGAGATTGTCCTTGATTATCTAAGACAAAATGAAAATTGGCAAAAACACAAAAATGGGAAAATAGTCAAGAATACATCACTAAGAATTCCATCTCAATTGGAATTATTAAATTTGAATAAATTAACAATGGATGATCATTTGAATTTAATTGAATCAAATGGATTATTTTACGAATTTGAAAAAACTAAATCATTTACGAAATATCATCAATTAGAATTAGAAATGTTTTTGAAAAATAAATACCAAGATACGGAGAAATTAATTAGGGGTTATGATGAGTTGGGTAAGAGTTTAAGAGGTGATTATTTCATGAATCAGATATTTAAAGATGGTGAGAACTCCGAATTGATCAATTATGAAGTTAGATATAATAAATTAATTGAATTGATGAATGAGTACAAGAGTGAGAATAATAATGATGATTAATGATAGCTTGTATAAAAGTTAATAATGTATGAATTATGATATTGAAATTATCTTTACTCTATATTTTTTTGTTTTTAAGGGGTAACCTACTAGGGGCCTGGCCAATGGAAAGACGCGAAAATAATGTACTTCGATGATAATAAAAATGGTAATAAAAATGGTAATAAAAATGGTCAATAACTCACTAAGTTTTCAATTCTTAAAAACATGACCCATAAAAATGTTACTCAGTTCAATGAACTCTATAAGCAAGATTTACTGACAATATAGGACGCAATTACTTTATATTTTTCAGTTAGGTTTGGGCCATGTCAGTGTTCCCACAACGCGAAATGCTAATTGGCCACTTGAATCAACGATTTGCGCAAAACAAGGCAAAAAATAATTAGCCAGAATGGTTAATAAAATTGATTTTCAAAGTATTTCCAGCATTCTATTGTGCGCAGTATCTCTAGTCGCTTTTGGTCGAATCTGTACATTAAGCCGGTATTACATATTAAACAAGGCTTTTTGACAAAATAGAGTTTGTTAAGAAGGGCTCAACTTTCAGCGAGAGATTTTTTGGAGATTACGCGAATTGTCTTTTGATTAGACGGATGCTAATAATTGGTTAATTTATTGGTTAATTTGGAGTGGTAGTAAAATAGAGATTTCAAAATTGAACTTATTCAATATTTTTTCAACTGTTCTAGCTGTCACAGCCTTAGAAATGCCAAAATTAATAACTAAGTAGTATACTCTATCATACTCTAGCTCCACATTCTTTGAGATCACATTGTACAATGATTAAAGTAAAAGCCAGTATATAATCTAATCAACCACATAATCCGCAATAAAAGGCTTTTGTAAAAATAATAAGAGAATATATAAATACCCATTCAATTTTGTAATTTCTTAAAGTTTTTATCATAAAGCTTGAATAAGTTTTTTCTTTCACTTATACAATTTCATTATTTCATTCATCACTGCCTCAATTTATTGTTGACTCATTGCATAAGAATTTGTTTACCAATTACATCACAATTAGGAGAAAAGAAACTTAAAGTTAAAGTTACAAGTACCTTGAAAATATTTCTTACATCAAATTACAACAAAATCAAAATTCTAGACAAGTTACTGGCTATTTGATTTCATCATTAACGATAATTGTTTAAAACTACAGCTAGTTTCTTAGTTATTGCCTCAATTTTCAACCAACCAATTTTATTCATTCCATAATACTACATTACATCAATTTGAACGGGTTATAAGTATCATCAAGCCAAATCTACAAGCTTAAATCTACATTTACATCACACGACTTTAACAATAGTTTATCTATATTAAAAAAAAAAAAAAAAATAAGGTTTTTTCTTGGCGAGATCTATCAAATTTGGAAATAAACTTTTTATAAAATCTTAACCGCATCATAGAATAATCAGCTATTCAATAGCATATATAAGTTTTTTATATACTGAGCATTTATATTCAACAGGTTATTCATTTAATAAATTCATAGATCATTAATTATTGCACTTGTCATTTTTTCATTTTTTCATATTTACATTTTTCATTTTTCATTTTTCATTTTTCATTTTGGCCGTCGTCGGCTTCCAACATTATTTTAGATTTCAATGATTCTTAGAAGAACGAGATGTTTACTACTAATACTAATCATATGCATAATTCACATTATTATCTTGTCATTAATCAATCTAAATTCATCATTTAAAAACTACATAATTGATAATTTAACAAGTATAAATATATCAAATTTAAGAAACTTGATAAAACTAAATAAATTCAAGAATAATGTCAATTTTGATTTGAAATTGGTTAATTCATTAGATGAAAAATATACTAAACAACTTCCTACCAATCCAAATTTTTCCGAAATTGACATACCTTCCACAGAATCAATTTCCGAATATCAACCATTTGATCCAAGATTTACACTAGGTCTTTTATTAAAATATATAAATGAAAATAATAATCAAAATGGAGATTTAGTTGTTCCTAATTTTCACTGGGCTGATTATACCGATATGTCATTATTGGAGGATCAATTATTTAAGGTTGATAAATTAAATTGTGATGTTTTTAACGTTAGGAGAAAAAGTCCAGAACGTAATAGATTAGATGATTTAAAAGATCCAGTCAATTACTGTATAAATGATTATGAAATTGAAAAAGCGTTAACTAATGATAATTTTAAAGATGAATTTAAGCAAAATTTATTAAAGTTGAAGGATAATAACTTATCAACTGGGTTTCATATTCATTCTTGGACAGGCAGAGCAAAATCACAATATCGTCCATTAATTGCAAAATCCTATTTAAATGATTTTATGACATTACCTAAAACCATAACATTATTAATTCCAAGTGATAAAATGTTACAATTGAATGTAAATCAAGATGTTAAAACAAGTAAGGTGAAAATTAAAGATAGTGTAATGTTTAAACCTACAACAGTCAACATTAAAGATGAATTATCAAAATTGAGTTTAAAATTGGGATCAACTGAATTTTCATTAAAATATGAAAGACATTTGAAATATAATGATTTTGTTGATCAAAGTGAAGATCTAGTGACTGAATTAAATCAAAAAGAGCTTTTGAATATCACAGATTTGAATTATTTGCAATCTTTAAAATCTTCATTAATTAATGATAATCCACCAAAATATTTTCATGAAGCTAATATAATTAAGAAGGAGAAAAATTATGGAATTGGAGCTCATTATGATTGGAGGTTCATCAATGGAATTATTAATTATACACCGAAGCAGCCACTTGCAATACATGCCTTGATTAAAGCTTGGCTTAAATTGACAAATTTACATAATTTAAATACTTGGGTTGCTCATGGTTCTTTATTATCATGGTATTGGAATGGTTTACAATTTCCATGGGACGGTGATATTGATGTACAAATGCCAATATCGGATTTACATAAATTATCGAGATCATTTAATCAGTCACTAATCATAGATTATGGAACCAATTCAGATTTAAAATTCGGTAGATTCTTTCTTGATTGTTCAACATTTATATCTCATAGAAGTAGAGGTAATGGGAATAATAACATTGATGCTAGATTTATTGATGTTGATACTGGGTTGTATATTGATATTACTGGTTTGGCAGTTTCTGAAACTAAGGCACCAACTAGGTATAATAACTTATTAAAAAATACAAATTTAGATCGAAATTCAAAAGATGCTACAATTACACAATATCAAAGGAATTCATACATGCAAATATTCAATTGTAGAAATAATCATTTTCTAAAATTTGATGAAATTTCACCGTTAAGATTGAGTTTAATTGAAGGTGAATATACTTATATCCCACTGGAGTTTGAATTGGCTATACTTTATGAATATGGAGATAAGAGTTTGAAGGATACAAGTTTTAAAAATTATATATATTTGCCGAAATTAAGATTATGGATCAAGAAAAATTCAATAATTAAATACATGAAAGAGGTAAAGAAATTACCTGATGCTAAAAATAATATTGCAATTGATTTAACTGATGATGAATATATTGATTTTTTGAAACTTGAAGAAGATAATTTAATTGAATATTTAAAAGTTTCAAATTTGACTCAATTACATCAGGAAGAAATGTTTAATTATTTTGATGGGAAACTGACAAGAGAAATGTTTGAGAAGGATTATAGAGTATCTTTACGAGAAGATTATTTTAAGTTTACAAAATTTGATGGTGAATATAATTATAATATTGAATTAGGTAGGATCAAATCAAAAATTGTGGAGTATGAGAAAGAACTAAAAAATAAACAAGAAATGATGAGAAATGATAAACAAGAAATGATGAAAAATGATCCAGTAGACCAAAGCAAATACCAATATTAGAAGAGAAGGAGAAAGAGGAAGATGGTGAAAAGAAATGGGAAGTTGATTCAAATGGAATACCTATATTATTACAAAAAAACATGGATTAACGGGTTTTTATAGATTGGGTTTAAGAAATATAGAACGAATGATATGATTAAAGTCTTATATTTTTGATGATATGAACCACAAACCACTGACTATAAAAATTGTTAAACTTCCAAATAATTGTACTTGAAATTGTGAAATTTTAATCAAATCTTTTGAATTCTCATCACATGCAAAACTAAATTCAATCTTCTCTGATTTGTCCTTACTATCAACTAAATTTATAGTTTGATTTATTGTATCTATTTTCGGTAACTCCAATTTTTCCTCTTCATCCACAATTACATTTTGAACATTTCCAAAAAAATCAGTTAATAAAACTTCACTCACATTTCTCTTAAACAAATCAGTTCTTATTCCAGGATGTGAATGAATATTTTCAAAAGTATATACATCAAATAATTTATCCATTGTTCCTTTTGATTCTTTTTGAATACCTTCTAAAAATTCCAAAGTATAGTAAGTAAACCTATCAATCACAGCAACTCCAATATCCATATCTGAATGATGAGAATATGAACTTTCATCTAATTTAGAACTTCCAACAGCTAAAATATTTGGACTATAAAATTTTTCATACATTGTATTTGCTTGACAAGTATCAATCATGAACAAAATTTCATTATATCTTTTCTTTTCAAACATTTGTTCAAAAGCATCAGCTAGATCATAAGCACCAATTTCTTCAGCATCTTGAAATTTTAAAAATTCATTACCACCGTGTCCCGTCATATATATGAAAATATTTGAATTTTCATCAGTTAATAATCTTTTAGAACGTGGATGTTCTGAATCCCAACGATCCGTCAACAATCTAATAAAATTTTCAACAGTTACTTCATATCCTCTGTAATCAACCTCTATTGAATCTCCATAAAGATCTAAATTTTGATCCATATTATTGAAAACTGTTCCTGGAAATGCATTTCTTGAATTACATGCAATATCATCACTTAGCATTAAAATAATTTGTGAATCTGGAATCCCTAATCTTTTAACAGTACGATATAAACTTAACACATTAGCCATATGACGATAATTAAACCAAAATCGTGATGTTGAGACTAAAACTGCCCAGTTATTGGTATGTGATGATGTTGAATTATTGTTGAAAAAGTTATCTACTTTCTCTTCTGTAGTTAATGAGTGAATACATGTTAGAAATGTGAATAGTAGGTATATGATCTTCATTAATGGTTGGAAGTTGTTTGTGATAAATTAGTAATGGTTATTTTGTTAAAGAAATTTTACGAGTCACGTGTATCTATATATTATTCATTTCTATACCAGCTTTCTTTAATATACTATTCCATTTAATAAATGTATAGCTATTGTTTTGACCATATCTTAAAGCTGTGATAAACTTACTCATTAATCCTAATCTCTCTTTTTGAAGTACTTTCTCAACTGATTGTTTGAATTGTGGTAATTTCCCATATTGATTTCGATGATATTTTCTGAAATATCCTTCTATTCTACCATTGTACAAGCCCAAAACATATTGTATTTGCTTTTCAGTTGCAAATTTATAATACACATTCATGCGTTTAGTTTTTTGAACTTCATCTTTAAACTCCAGTTCTATTTTTTCGAAAATTTCCATTAGGTTTGAACTTGAATATATCTTCTTAATTTCTTCAGGTTCCGAGTATTGTGATTCTGGAAATTTGTTAAGACTTAATTCAAATATTGTTCCTATTATTGTTCCCTTTTTCCTAACTGATATAAATTCAGATTGAGAAATTTGTAATATCCATAGATGACCATTTCTGACATTAACCCATGGCCAAGGACCTTTTGCAAATATTGAAGTGAGTGTTTGATTATCATGTAGCCAGTGCTCAGGTATGCTAGTTCCATCAACAGTCTTTAGCTTGAACAAACCCGAGTCTAATAATCTAAGTACATTTTTAATTGCTAATTCTCTTCTTTGTTTCACACTTTCAAGAGTTTCAGATGGTATTTCCTCTTCATCTATTTCAATCGATTCTTCATTTTCTTCTTGGACGTGTTTTTGTTTTTCTTTTAAATCTTTGCCTTCTAATGATGATTTAACTTCCAATCCGTCCAATGTTAATCCAACTAGATCTAAAACATGACAATGTGTTTTGTCTTCATGTAATCTTAGTCCTCGACCTACCATTTGGATCATTAATGATTTAGATAATGTAGGTCTCCCCAATATAACACAATCGATATTTGGAATATCTGTACCTTCAGTGAAAACACCAACATTACACAATACGGGAATTTTACCATTTTTAAAATCTTCAATTATGTTTTCTCTTTCAACTTTCAGTGTTTCTCCAGTGACATATTGTGCATTAATTCCATACGATTGATATAATCCACATAATTCACGACAATGTTCAATATTGACACAAAAGACCATTGTAGATTTATACTGATATTGCTTTTGTAGTTTTAAGTAGTATAATAAAATAATTTCGTTAAATTCCATATTTTTTAACTCTTGATATAGGGAATTAGATTCATAATCTGAAGCCTTGATAACTACTTTATTTAAATTAACCTTTATGTCCGAGATTGAAATTTTCATCTCTACCAACTCTTTATTATCAATCATATGATTTAGTGACCTTTCATATGCAATTTTATCAAACACTTTATTTAATGCATTATTATCTAATCTGGTCAAAGTAGCAGTGAATCCAATAACATAAATTTCAGAATTTGAATTTGTTGCATTGAAATGAGTCAAGATCTTCATGTATGATTTAGCAGTAGAATGATGACACTCATCAATAATTATACTTTTGAACTCATTTGGATTGAATCGTTCGTATCTATTTCGCCTAACTATTGATTGTATACTTGCAACAATAACATCTGCATTAGATGAAGCTTTCAATTTTCGTATCTCTTTTTCAACTTTCAATTCAGGATTGACTAATTGTATCTTTTCACTTGCTTGTTTTATTAATTCTTCTGTATGTGCTATAACTAATGTTTTATTCCCACGGCCAACATTAAATGGTTTTAATTTTGAGATTAAATGTGAAAATATAACTGTTTTCCCACCACCTGTAGCTATGACTACTGCTGATCTTCTAACACCATTATCAATTAGACCTAAAACTGAATCAATTGCATCATGTTGATAATCTCTTAATTTATAAATTGATCGTATTCGACTTTGATGAAAGAATCGTCTACATATGAACATAAAGATTTCAAATTTTGAAAAATTGTGCTACCAGGTGGAATTATTTGGTAAATATATATGATTTAGAATTACATGACATGTCCTCGGAGTTCTCGTTATGATAAAGAGCTCTAGTTTTCGTAACCGTTACAAATGGACTAGCTTGGGAAACTTCAAGTAGTAGTTTAAGTCACAAGCAGTACGGTTTTTCAATGCGTTTCGTGGCTTGAATGATTGACAATGTAGAAGCACATACAATTCCTTATCTTCCAGCAAATTGATTAATCAGCAAACTTGTGTATATAGTTAACCATATATTTCTCTTCTTGTAAAGAGTAAAAGCAGTTCAATGTCATCTTGCGGACGATTTTCAGCTATTGAATCAAGTGAAGAGAAAGTATCACAATTATCACTAGCTGAAAGATTAGCTTTCAAAATAATTGCAATCGTCTAAACTGCCTGTTCATCCAATGGTCTGCTAACATGAAGCCAGAATACGTTACATTTTTATTCTTAGATGGTGCATTTCATTCTAAAGATAATAGTTTATGATTAAGTAACGGTAAAGATTATTCGTTAAAGTGTAGGACGGGTAAGAGGTGCCAACTCACATAACTAGACGAAATATCAGAACCGCCATTACGCTACTTTGACGATTTCAAAGTGGTAAAGAAATTGCTCGTTTGCATGGTAAGGACTGGATTGAATATCAAAATTGGTTAGAAAGTTTCAATGGAGATTTCAATATCTTGCAAAGTGAGTGGCCAAAGTTTCAAAATCGGCTAAAGAAAAGAGGTGAAAATAAACTTGTAAATTAACTAGTATATATATCTACTCTGGTTCTTTTTTGCACAGTATGATAAAATAAATTTCCATCTTCATTCACTTTATCCAATTCATCCAATGTAGGAGATTTGATATTCAATAATACATAAGATCCGTCTTCTCTATCTATGTCTTTTGAAGGTTTTATAAAAAATCCAGGATTTATAACCAATACATCCTTAATTACTTTTGCAAAATATTTCAACTCTGATGGTAATATAAGTATATCAGGCAATGGATCTATTTCAGTCAATCCCAAATACGGAGTTTCTAAAGATGATCCACCAACTTGAATATTTGAAATTTCATCACCATGAGCACCATTGTATAATTCATTAATTTCACTATTGTTTGTATTGACTGATCCTGGAAATATTGGATAATATCGTCTTTGATCAAAGATGTGATGAATTATTCTATCGAATCTATTTGAACTAATACTTTGGTCTTCTTTTACAACATCTCTTAAATCTTTGAATATGTCTAAATTTGAATTACCTATTAATATTTCATTAATTGAAAAACTTGATGGATTAGGGAAAATTTTAACATTTTTGGGAAGGTTGAATTTCTTTCTATCTATTATATCTTGAGGATATGAGCAATGTTTTATACATGAATCTTTCAATGATGGATATAATATAATTTGAATTCTGGAATCAATTTTTTTAATCAATGGAGTTATAATTCTTTTAAATAAATCATCTAGATTTTTAGGTGGTTGTTGACCGTCGTTTAATTCTATATCACCATCTTCAATACATTTATTAGTTAGATCTAAGAATGGCCCATTTAATATAACTACATTTGGTAATATTTCAGTATTGATCTTCTCTATCAAATTCTCAAATCTTGTAAAATCTAACTTGTTTGAGTTTGTAAGTGGCCCGGATACAATTATAACCTTTAATACATCTTGTTGTATATTTTCAAATTGTTTTATTTCTTCTTCTTCACTAACTGATTGACCCAATTCGGGTAATTTCATAACTTCATCGACTATAAATTTCTTACCTGTTGGATTTCTACCTTTTAATATAACAATTTGACCTTGAAAAAATGAATAACCAGTCAATTTACTAAGATCTAAGGGTACTCTTTGTCCAATACCTACTACTCTTGAAGTTTCTAAGTATAATGAAGTACTATTTAATATTTCCTTTGTATCATATATTGGTGAGTCAGGTACTATTCTTCCACAACATAATACATCAAACTGAGAACTAACACAAGGATTACCAAATGATAAGTTTGAATCCTTGTTTGAATTTTGATATAATTGCGCAAATCTATCTATTTGATCATCTAAAACATCTGCACTTTCTAGTAATTTCATTTGCATGGTTCTGAATTTAAATTTTTCAATATCAAAATTAGCAGATAATTTAAACTGTTTCTCCTCTGATAATTCCGTTTCAATTGGTGCAATATCTTGATTTAATGTTTCTAATAAAGTATGTGATGGTTTTGAAGGAGCTTTTTTAATTGGCGATGATACAAATGTATTATTTGCAGTTTCATATTCACTTGTAACTGGAGATGAAGCATGGGCACTTGGGGTTTTATAATTTGGAGATGAAGATGGATTATCGAGTTTTCTTTTCTTTTTTAATTGTGGAGTTGCAGTTTTAAAATCTCTTGGTTTTTTCAAATTGTTACTTGCTTTGTTGCTTGATAGTTTATCCTGAAGGAATTGTTGAAATATATTTAAACTTTCAAGATTTAAATTCATTTCTTCTTGAAGGATATTAAACGATTCCCATTCGATATATAAATCCTCTACATCTATATTGAAAATTTCAGTCAATGAATGTAGTTTATTATATTCATCATCCAGTAATTTTGAAGGACCAAAAGCTTTACTGACTTCCTTTTTAAACTCTTTTGATATTGCCATGGTGCTTGTTTCGAATTGAAAATTATGAAACAAATAAAAAAAAAAAAATTACGTGACGCGTATTGAAAAATTATCGCTACCAATTAAAAATACTTTATATTAACATTTGATAGCATTCTATAGTACATATTTAGCATATAAGATTAAGCTGTTGTTTCAGCTTCAACAAGAGCTGTCAACAAGAGCTGCTGGTTTATCATCTGTTTTAACTTCGTCTTGTTTGGTTTCAGCTTTTGATTCTTCAGGTTTAGTTTCAGGTTTAGATTCTTCTGATTTTGCTTCTGAGGGTTCAGTTTCTTCCGATTTAGTTTCAGAATTAGTTTCACTAGATGTAGTTGATTTTTCTTCAACTTTATCAAGCTTTTCATTTTTATTACCTTTATTATTTTTATTATTTTTATTGTTTTTACCACCTTTAAATTTTTTATTATTTTTATGTGAATCATTAAAACTATTTCTTCTTTTTGTAACTTCATTTTGACCAAATCTTTTACCAGTTTCTTTCATTTCATAATGCGTTAATAATGACATTTTTTTTAATAATTGTCTTTCTTGAACATCTGAAGCTTCCATTTTTGTTACAATACCTTTTTCAAAAGATAATTCTACATCTTCCAATAACCATTTAACATCATCTAAGTTTTTTAATTCAGCATCAACAACTCCAAAGAATTCTTTTTTAACTCTTGATTTAACTCTACGTATAGTATTAATAACTTTTTCATTTGGTAAGAATGGCAAAATTTTTTCATGAAACCATGATTCGACATCATCTTGACTTAAGTCTTTTGGGAACCCTTCAATATGAATCGTTCTTTTTTTACGTTCATTTTTATCAATATCTGAAATTTTAACAGGTTCAATTCTTGTAATCATATCATTATTTGCACTTAATTTTAATTTATCTGATTTTTTTAAAGCTTCAATTACTTTTTCTTCTGGTCTATATTGTTTCATTCTACCAAATGTTAAAATTGTTTTTAATTCAACCCATCCATCATTTGCTTGATAATTTGTTAACATAAATTTATCAGTTTGTAAATTTGAATCTGAAAAATAGAATTCAACTTGTTTTCTAACTTTGTCTTCAAAGTCATCACCTTGATAAACGAAATCAGACATGACAATTAATTATAGTATTTACTGATAAAAAAATTTTGGAGTGTATCAAATTGGTAGTGCCCTTCGTAATTAATTTGATACAAGAGATGTGTCGTGTTCTAATATACAAGATGACATAAAATAATAAATACGACACTGATGAAAAATTCCAATGTATATGCGATTACGGTGCTGCTTTATTAGAAAGATGTCAACTGATAGAACAAATGAATTAATTAATAATTACAATCAAATATTATCAAAAGTACATAGTTTAAATCCAAATTGTAAATTAGTTGCTGTATCTAAGTATAAACCATCTTCAGATATATTATCATTATATAACCATGGGGTTCGTCATTTTGGTGAAAATTATACTCAAGAATTAATTAGTAAAGCTCAAGAATTACCAAAAGATATTCGTTGGCATTTTATAGGAAATTTACAAAGTGGTAAAGCAAAAGATTTATGTAAAAATGTACCAAACTTATATGCTATTGAAACTATTGATTCATTAAAGAAATGTAAACAAGTAAATACTCAAAGAAATAAACATGAAGGTGAGAATATAAATATTTTCTTACAAGTGAATACATCTGGAGAAGAACAAAAATCTGGATATTTGAAAATTGAAGAGATTGAAGAGACAATAGAATGGATCTTAAGTGATGAATGTAATAAATTGAACCTTAAAGGTTTAATGACGATTGGCTCATTTACTGAAAGTACATCAGGTGAAGAAAATAAAGATTTTAAAAAGCTAACAGATCTAAAGAAAGAGTTAGATAGCAAGTACAATTTAAATCTTGAATTAAGTATGGGTATGAGTAACGATTTTGAACAAGCAATTAAACAAGGTAGTACGTCAGTTAGAGTTGGATCTTCTATATTTGGGGCAAGACTTACAAAGGAAGAAATTAAAAGTAATTAGACTTGTATATATAACTATTTTTTAAATAATTTTTTTAAACCTTTACTTTTCCTTGATGATTCTTCTTCTGCATTATTTGCAACTTTTTTATAATCATTTTTATCATTAATTATATTAACTGAATTTTTAGTTAAATTAGATGATGATGAAGAATACCCACCTGATGTTGCAGTTGTAGCACCTTTATGTATCGGACCATCAGGAGTTTCGTTAGCTGAATAATTATGTTTTGCAGCTAAATTATTAGGGACAAATGGTTGAGCAATTTCACCATGATTTTCAACAACTCCACCTTTATTTGGTTGTGTTTTATCTAATTCAGAAACATGTGGATGATTGTCAATTGTAGCTAATTTAGGTTCTGAATTTGCATCATTTTTACTAACGATTATATCATCTTGAGGATCTTTAATCTTTTCCAAACCTCGTCTTTGCTTTAATTCTAAATCAGCCAATTCTTTTTCCTTTTGTTTTAATAATTTTTCTTTAGTTTCAATTTGTTTTTCTCTTTGCTTTTCAGATTTTGGTGACATATCAACAACTTCATCTGGTGAAACAGCAATTGGTTGATTAAATTTTAAAGCTTGTTCAATTGTAAAATTATCCCATCTTTTATCTTCATGGATTATAAAATTTGGTTTAACTTTATCTGAATAATAGTCATGTCTTAATTTAATATCATTATCAATAAAATCATTTTCCCACTCAATTTGTGATTTAAACAAGTTTGTAAATTTATAAAATACATAATTGATAATAATAAAAATATGTTCAGTTAAAAATACTAATCCAATTAAATAAACACTCAGTGAAACATGAACACTAGCTTTATCAAATGCAAATTGACCCATTGTTTTAGGTGGTTTAGTACCATGACGATAAAATGCAGTAACAATTGGAGAAATAATAGTACCTAACCATGTCAAAATATACAATGCCCAATTCCATGGATAAATTGAATCAACTCTTTTCGGAATTGGTGGTTTAAAATATTTACCATTTAATAATTTAAACATATCTAATTTAAAAATTAATAAGTTGAAGATAATTGAAACTAATGGAGCTAATGGCCAAACAGGTCCAAACATAATTAAATAACCGTATTGTAAGATAATACTTCTAAAATCATCATCTACGTTATATTCAGGTAAATTAATCGATAACCTAACGTTATGTAACCAAATTGATTCGTTGACATCATCATTCTTAGTTTGTAATTGTGGTTTTTTCAAAATAGTGGTATTTACAAATTTCATACCTGTTGTGATTATAATAGGTAATACATATTTTAAAAATAATTGTAAAACTTGATTTGTAACAATAAAGTAGAAAAATTGTGAATCTAATCTTTTTTGATTGATTTGAAACTCTTTTTGAGATTTCAATTTAGTTAAGTATTTATAGTAGAATCTATTTTCTCCAACATAACTACTAATTTCATTTCTGATGTCACCTAAATGTGGTTGAATTAAATGTGCAAATGGTAAATAAACAAATGAAGTAATAATCAATGGCATATAACTAGTAAGGAAGTTTAAAACAAATGCTTTTAACAAAATTGAATTATTCTTCCTATATTGATTTTGATGATCTTCTAAATTAATCATAAAATCAGCAACAAAATTATAAACAATCGTTAAGATTGGAATAAATCCACAGATTAAAACGGTTGGTAATAATGTTAACAATGATTTTCCAGGACCATCATAAATATCAGTTAAAAAGATTTCAATGACAAAACACCCCAATTGATAAGAAACTAAAATTGCAGTGAAAACTAATGCAATTGGAATAAATGCTAATTGTTTAATAAATCTAATACCACTACTATTATCTTTATGAAAATATGTTGATTTAGTTTCAAATTTTTCATTCACTTGATTTAATTGTTCATTATATTGATCAATTGAATGACAATTTTGAACACCCCAAGAATTAACCAAATATTGTTGTTTCTTTCTCCAAAAACCTAAAAAGAAAGTACTCCAAATAAGATTAATAAAAGTATAAGTCAAGGAATAAACATGACCATTTTTTCTAAAATATGTAAATATACCAAAGATTGATAAACCACCTAACCAAAAAATATAATTCTTTAAAAATTCAAAATATAAAGCAATTTTAACACCATAATCTTTTTTAATTTGATTTGTAGATAATGAAGTTTGAGTAAAATTTATTTTCAAATCTTCAATCAATGTTGTATCATCAAACGCATCAGTTATTGGAACAATAGTTTTAATAAAATGCCATCTACCAATTCCTGGAGTTAAACCTAACCCTTCAACATGATCTTTTTGATCATTACCATTTGAAACTAAATATTCATAAATAATTCTTAATTTTGCACTAAATGTATTATCTTTTGAAGTAACTCCAAATTCATAATTTTTAATTAAGTCTTTCTCGGTCAATTCAATTAATTTAAATGATTGTAATTTTATAAATATTAGTAATGTAGAAACATCACCTGGTCTAATTTGAGCAGTAAATCCTTTATCATATAATAATTCTAATAATTTCTCTAAATGGGCCTCCGATTTTGATGTTGGTTGATGACCTTTTTCATCAATTTCAAAATCAATTGCAATATAATAATCTGGTTGTAATTCTTGTATTGGTAACATGCTTACAACTCAATTCATTAAAAAAGAATTCTGGTTGTCGAATAATGAGATGAAAAAGTTGATATTTTTAGCAATTGAAATTTAATTGAATTTCACTTTCATAAATAAAAATCCTTGTACCTGATCACGCCTCGCACAAAAAAATGTATGGTATGAATTACTACCAACAATTTCATTTAGTCGCATTCAACTCATACCATTTGTGGCGTTGCAAAAATGGACCTATTATTGCATGAAACAAGTCATATTATTTTAGAATAGTGGTGTCATCGTAGCAACCCCTCTAATTCTTTGCCTTAATTCGGTTATTTCATTAAATATAATAAACTGATTAATACATCTTCGAGCAGTATAGGGTTCAAATTGTTTGGTAACCTCTGTTGAACATCTTGGATACAAGTCATTATGAATTTGATAAGACTTGTAACAGCATTTTTAAAGAACTGCTAGCTGTTGTTTAAATTAAATTACTTTGTAGAACGACAAGAGCGATACGACATTTTTGTAACCTGGTTTTGAACAACGGATGACCCTGTATTATTATTCAAATTCTCCAACTATGATCTTACCCTGTCAGTTTTTCTCTCCTGAGTACATTAAATTATACCAAAAAAAACCTTAATATCGTAAATTGATGCTATAGTGGAATATTAGCTTTATTAAACGGACATGGAGAGTATCAATGATAAATGAACAAAAAGCCCAAATTATAAGCCGCTTTACCTAATGTAGTAATTTTTGCTGCCATTTATTATGTGCACTATCATGCGACAAAAATTTTGCAACCATTGAGTATATGCACTACCAAGGCTAGTTATGCTTTAAAATTTAAATGTAACATGCTTATCATTTTGATATGAACGAAATTAAACGACATTTTTTTTGAACTATAAAAGGAGATCAAATTTCCCAGCCTATAAACTTTTTGTTTCCCCTTTTTTTTTATCATAAAACTTTACAAATTCAACAACAATAAAATAACAAGTTCATGTTACTAAAATAGTTCAGAGTACGTATTATAAATGTTCATTCCAGTCACATCTTTTTCATTAATCAATTTTTTTTTTTTTTTCCGTTATGGGCACCACCTAAATAAAGCCGAAGGCCAAATCACGATTATAAAATTTCACAAATAATATACAACAACGAGTTCAAGTCTATAAATAGTTTCAAAGTTATAATTCCATAAGTATAAATCTCCAATAAAGTTCCAAATACGTTCCGAGAATATAAACTCCAGAAAACTCTCCAAAATAGTCTCAAAAAGCTCAAATATATCAATATTATTCAAGTACTTTATAAATAATATGAAATTCAAGTCAAATCTATATAACAAATAATAATCAAATATTAAATAATCAAGTATTAAATAATAATATCAAGTAATTATATGAACATAAATACTAAAAGCAAAATTCAAATAATGCTTTGCGGTGCAGGTTCAATCTTAATAAAGAAAACAAAAAGAACTGCTATTTTCAACCTACCATTCTATCAGTTTTTTTTTTCAATTTTTCCATTATCCATTATAATGTCTTTTATTTTTTTTCCAAGGAGCTATTCATCTTAGTTTTTTCAAAATGGTAAGTATTTTATTCATTTTTTTCATCTATCAATTATTGTGCTATATTTTATGTCCCAGTTATTCTATGCTGATAACCTTAACTTTTTTTTATAGTTGATTGAAGCTGGATTTGCAATAAATTAAAGATGTCTTTTGATGTTTTAGCGGTAAGCAAAGATATATTGTTCTCTTTTGGTGATTGGAATACTAACATTTAGCTCTGAACTAAGTTTTTAACGTGATTGTTATGAATAATTATATAGAATAATATATAAAGTTTATTATTTTTGATTATTATTAAATTTCAACGTATCTAATACTTTTCAAATAAGGGCGTTAAGATTGGCGACAAAATAATTTCTCGTATATAACTGGTACTCGTCTGAGAGAATAAATTGTTCATGAAATATGTGCCAATATATTTGGGGCGTTTCGCCCTGTAGCCAGAGCGAGTATCTATCTCTGTAGCACCAAATAGTCGAACCAAACAATACGTACTAAAAAATACAATTCTGAAATATTAACAGTCTTGCAGTATTTAATCTTGAAATTTACTATGTAAATAACTCCCTCAATAATTAAAGCGTAATTGTCAAACTTTTTTTATTATAATTTGAGCTATTTAGAATTAATCTGATGTTAGTATCTTTTAATAGAACCTGATTTTGGTCATTTAACTCTAAGTTTAAAAAATGGTAAATAATGCTTAATTGAAAAATAAATAATACTTAGACTCCATTTTCAAACTTCTAATATTGCCGAATAGGTTCCTTTTATCACCGGAAACTTATACATAAAGTTTTTCAGACGTTAAAATCGGTTTGATTTTTTTCAAAATTTTCGAACCACCTTTGAAAAATTAATATTCCAGTTTAGAATACCCTAACACAAAAAATCTCAATATTTACCATCTTACAGAAACTAAAAATCTCGAAAGTTTTGTTAAACTAGCATCTTGATTTTGATTGTGGAGTGAGATCATCTCTAAGGTCAATTTATTCGATTTTCCTCATACGATGAAATTTAAGCTTTAGAAAGGAGTTTCCCAAAATGTCAAAGTCAACATAAACAAAATTTAAGCGTAGATTTATCTACTTTGGGTTAAATTAAATAAAATTTTAGTCACACATTCTACTCTGAAACAAATGTTTCGTGATTATTACACAATGATTTGGTGCGACAACATCATTTCTCGCGTTAGCTTTAGGGCAACTTGTAGCAAATATATTGGTATGTAAATCGGAAACAAAACATTCTGTCGAAGTAAAAACTATTTCAATAAAATAGAAAGCCTTAAATTATTCAATCTACGTACTCGAAATATTACATTTAGAAAATGTTTTTTTCAACTTGGATTTTTGGACTTTTTTCATCCTACAAATATTTTTGCCAAAAAAAAAAACACAAAGAATGTATTATTTACCGCCGTAACTTTCAATTAAACAAATTTTATATATTAGGCCTCTAACTCAAGATCTATTGTAACTATGGATGATAGGAACTAGAATTGAAAAATTCTGAAATTTTCTCTTAACTATGGTGAAAATAGTATAAACTGACCTTACAAAAAATTCAACTCCACAATCAAAATCAAATTGAGAGTATGATAAAAGGTTCGAGATTTGTAGTTCCCATCTTTAATAAGCTCTGGATATTTTTGTGCCAAGGTATTCAAAATTGGAATTTTAATTTTTGACAGGTATTTTGAAATTTTGAAAAAAAATCAAAACCAATTCGACGTTTTGAAAGCATTATAAAAATACTTTTAGGGCTTAAATGAACAGAATCTACTATATTAGAAGTCGTTAAATTAGGCCTAAGTTAGATTTATCTCCTAATTTAGCGTTCTTTGCATTTTTTAAATGACGATAAGACTGCATATAATCCAAACTTGTTTCAGAATCATCAACGTCTCAAATCTCCAATGTCGTAAATTTTAGGTATCTCTATAAATTAATTTAACATATATTTATTTATATTCTACATAATAATTAACTAATTTAATAGTCTCATTTGGATTTGAATCATCATAAGCTAATTCCAAAATAGCTGTTGAATCTTCATCACCAAAATTAATATAATAATCTAAATAATCAACAACTCTACCATTTTTCTTCACAATACTATTCTTTTCAACTTCATATTCCAAATTAAATCTGGTTGCAAATTCAGGTAAATTCTCCTCTAAATACCAATCAGTTGAAAATAATCCATTCTTTGCTTGAATTTTCAATTCATTTAAAAATTGATCCGATGATCTATTTTCTTGAAGTGATTTCTTTCTAGTTAAACTTGGATCAAGTACCACATTATGAATATCTGTTTGTGCTCTAGTTGGTGGAATTCCAATTGGAATAGGTGGTGCTCCTGCTGGTATTGGCGGAGGAGCACCTCTTGGATGAGATTGTGGTTGTTGTTGTTTATTGTGAATTCTTGTAGGTAATTTTGGTGCTTGTTCTTCTTCTTCACTCTCATCTTGAATTGGAATTGGTGGTGGTGGTGCTCTTGGATGATGATATGATACTGATGCTATTTGAGGAGTATCAACAAATTCAAAAGTTTCTGTTTCATCTTCTTCATCGGCTTCATCTCCTTTATAATTTGAAACTGATGTTGGAATTGGAATAGTTGAAGCTGGTTGTGATGTTGGTAATTGTGGAGCAGCTCTTTGATTAGTTGGTGATGTAGGAACTGGTGGAATTTGAGGTGGCGGTGGTGGAGCTTCTTTTGTTTTTGAATGAGTATGAGTATGATGATGATCTGGTGGAGCTGGTGGCGCTTCTTTTTCTCTATGACGATGATGTACTGGCTCTTCTTCTTGTTGTTGTTTATTTATATCACTTTGAGTAATTACTTCTGGATTTGGTTCTGATTCTGATGGTTCATCATCTTCAACCATTGATGAACTTTCTCTCGAAACTGGAATTGGTGGTGCTTTGGTTGCAATTGGTGAAGTTTTTGGTGATTCAGTTGATTTCTTTGTTATCTTAGTTGAGCCTGTTGATGGTATTTGACCAGGTATACCCATCATACCAAACATATTTCTACCACCTGAAATTTTAGCCATTCTTTCAACTAATCTTCTTCTTTTCAATTCCTCATCATCTTCTTCCTCTTCCTCTTCTTGCTCTGGCTCTTCATCTGCTTCATTTTCAGTACCATGGTCATCCCTTTCAATTTCTCTTCGTAAATCGTCGTCGTCTTCATCTTCTTTTTGAAAATTTGATTGAGGAATAGCCATACCTGGAATTGCAACAGCAGATGGTTCAGAATGTGATTTCCTCTTCTCAGTTGGTTGATGATGATGATGCTCTTCTGGAATAGTCTCAACTAATTCATTTGATTTAATACTTGTTAATTCATTCTCACCACTTTTTTGATTTCTCAATCTTTCTTTTTCGTCAGCTTGTTTTTTTTTCCTTTCTTCTTTTCTTTTAATTGCAGCTGCTTCTCTTTCTGCTTCTTCTTGTTGTTGTTTTTGAATTAATGCAATTCTTTCCTTTAATGATAATTTAGGTTGATCATCTTCAACATGTTTATTTTCTTCCTTTTCAATATAAGCTGGTTTTGGTTCATTTTTAGCAACGTCATGAACTGGATGAGCAACTGAATAAGGATCATCTCTTGGTTTAACTGGAGGAACATAAGATGAAGTACTAGCAGCAACAAATTGTTTTTTAACAGCATATGGATCTTTTTCTTTGTGGTAAGATTGTGGTAATGGAACCTTACCGGTAGCAGTATGTTCCTTCTTAAGTTCTGAATGTTCCTTTTTAGGTTCAGCAACAGTTTCTGTTGGTTTACTTGATTCCGATTCATGGCCGTGGGGTTGTTCTTGTTTTGATTCTTCTTTTCCAATTGTTGGTTGTGGTTCTTGTTGTGTTGGTTGAGTATGAGTTTTTCTAACAGGTCTATTCGCAGTGGGTACTATTGGATGATAAATTTCAACAAAATTTTTTGGAAACATACCTGATTTACCATCAATTTCTCCTGAATACCATTCTTCATTTTCAATTTCAATAACAGTAATAATTTGACCAGTTTCAAAAGGTAAATCATCTTCATAATCTGATTTATAATCATATATAGCTTTAACTTTAAAAGGAGGATTAGGTTCTGTCATTATTAATAATCAATTGACCGTTGTAATTTCGAATTTAGTGCCGATAATAAAATAAATAAATATGTAAAACAAATGATTAGAATTTTGATGATCAGAATTCTTTAACCGCACAATTTATTACTTTTAAAGCAACACTTCCTAATTTAGTAACGAGGCTGTTACATCAGTCATTGACGTGAGTTCGATTATTCAATTGGTTATAATATTTGACGAGTAGTGTATATAAAAGTATGCCGCACGCTTGTTTCAGAATTTTGTATTTTATTTTTTCACTTTATCAAAACAATAATAAGAGGGCAACCTATTCATTAAATGTCATATAATAATATACACAATGGTTATAATAAAGAGAAAAGTATAAACAATGGAAGCCATAACTCAGTTTTAATATCTGAAAAAACTTTAAAATCATGTCAACAAGTTAAAAATTTTAATTATCATCAAGGTGCATCTATAACTTCATTAGATTTTAATGATTCAGGACAATATTTAATTTCGTCAGGTGTTGATAAACTGATTCAATTATATGATTGTTTTAAAGGTGTACATTATAAAGATATACAATCACAAAAATATGGATGTCATTCAGCAAGATTTACTCATGAAGAATTAAATTGTTTATATTTATCAACATTAACTGATAATAATTCAGGTGAAGATGCAATTAGATATTTATCATTATCTAATAATTCATATTTACGGTATTTTAAGGGACATAAGTCACAAGTTAGTTCTTTAGAATTAAATCCAATTTATAATAGTTTTATAAGTTCAAGTTTTGATGGAACTGTTAAAATTTGGGATTTTAAAAGTGCAAATCCAGTTGGAAATTTAGAAGTTGGACAAAATACAATAATAGCTTATGATCCACAAGGTATAATATTTGCAATTGGGAAATATCCAATAAATGATGAAAGTTTGGGGGTTGTTGAATTTTATGATTTAAAATCTTATGATAAAGAACCATTTTTGAAAGTTGAAGTACAAGCATTACCAAATCAAATATGGAATAAATTGGAATTTTCAAATAATGGGAAATATTTATTAATTGGAACTAATTCATATCAACATTATATATTAGATGCATTTACAGGTAAAACTATTGCAATTATAAAATTACCTATTTATAGTAAAATGTATTTTAAATATCCATCAACTGGTTGTTGTTCATTTACACCAGATAGTAAATATTTATTAGTTGGAACATCAAATTCAAGAATAATGATTTTTGATTTAAATAAATTGAAAGAAGGTCAAGAAACAATAGTAATCGATAAATCAGATATAATATTACAATCTACATGTGGTATACCCAAGATATTACAATTCAATCCAAAGTTATATTCATTTGCAACAAGTGATACCACTGTGACATTATGGCTGCCAAATAATCAATAAACAAAAAAAAAAAAAAAATATATATAAATAGACATAAATAGAATTAATGAATATGAAATGACAAGTATACAGAAATATTTAACTAGGGTAAAACAACCAGTAGTCAAGTTTGAGAACCCAAATATTACAAAACTAAATATATCGCCATCAATGTCAAAACTTTGGAATGAATCAGTTAAATATTCAAATTCCCAAGATTTTTATAAAAATAAACCAGGGCCATCAATTAATCAATTCCCAACTGATAAAACAGATATTAAGGGTCTACCCGCGGAAGCTATAGATTTTCTATATAGATATATGAAACCAAATTCAATGACTTCAGTGTTGAAAAATGAGTATCTCATGGTTAAATTCATACCTAGTGGAAACTATCTAAATCGTTTTAAAAGATCAGCAATTGCAATATTCTTTAATATGGCTAATATTCATGAACTAAATGATGGTAAATTACTGGAAGCAAAGTCGAAATATAGAGGAGAATATAAATATTTAGATTGGTTTGATACAAAATTGAAACCATCGCAATCTGCACCTGGCAGAAATAAAATACGAAGATTATACAAGACATTATTCATTAATGCATTGAATGAAATTAATCAAGAAAAGGGGAAATCAATTGGGATTTATCAATTTATAGTTTATAAATATCCTGTTAATTCAAAAGAGTGTAATATTGTACAATCTGATTTTGTCAAAATGATGAAATATATATTCAAGACAACTATACATCTGAAAAATGTTCCAACGGGTCCTTGTGTTGAATTGTCTAAGGAATTAAGTAAACTGTTTAATAAAAAACATAGATTGACTAATAGGACTTTGGCTAGTCATTATCCATTTTTCAACGTATCATTTGGTAATGGAATTTTCAATGGAAATGGTAATAATCAAATAAACCAGTCTTGAGATGATAAACCTAATCATCCAAGTACTTAGTTGTACCAATCGGGTAAATCCGTTTTGAAATGATAATCTTTATAATGAAATTCTAATGCATGTAAATAAATTTGATAGTCTTCAAGTACGTTTGGAAATATATTTCTTTGACACTCATAGCAAAACTCGGTACGTTTGTTAACAATTGAATTAGCTTTACTCTCCTTCAACTTCAGAAGATCATGCTCGATGGTATCATCCTTAATATCACTTACTGAAATCACATCTGGTAGTTCATTTCCATACTTCCCAAAATAGTTCTTATATAGCTTCTCCTCTATCTTGCATTTCTCAACCGTGTTTTTATCAGTTGGATTATAAAAGAAGTCATTAGTAATAGGATATCCTAACACTTTCAAATGCATTCTAATCTGATGATTCTTACCAGTTATAGGAGTACATTCAACAATACTCTCATCTTCCACCTCATCATATTTCACCTTTTTAAATATCGTTTTTGAATTTGTTTGAATTTCATCACCGGGTATGTATCCATTCATATTAACAAGTATAACAGGAGCTTGGAAAATAATCTCATCATCTAGAAATCTACCTTTCACTCTGGCTAGATACACCTTTTTACACTCATCTCGTTGTTCCTTCAAGATTTTCAGAAATTTCGACCCTGCAGTTTTATTCTTTGCTAGTATCAACACCCCAGATGTGACTTTATCCAATCGATGAACAACCCATATGTTATCTAATCCTATTTTCTCCTTTACCATTTCTGAAACGGTATTATATTTGTAGTTTCCAGTGGGATGAGTAGGTATTCCACTTGGTTTATTAACAACAATCAAATCATCATCTTGATATACAATTTCTATTTCTTTATCAGGTATAGGTGCTTCATGTTTATGATTCAAATGATTTATCACATCATGACTCTCAATTTTACAATTAATCAATAATTCACCTTTTGTAATCAGTTTCTTGTTTTCGATGTATAGCTTTTCAGTTGTAATGTCGTTGATGATTGCCTTTTTAGATTCGTTAAATTCAATTGTTAATATATCTATTAATGTTTTTCCTATCCATCTTAATTTCACGTTTGTTTTATATGTTAAATAATATGGTTTTACTATTCTTATTCCATTTTCGTAAATATATCTAGACATAAAAAATTGGAAACAAAATTTACGAGAATGGTGCAGAAAATAATTGCTGCAAAAAGGTAACGATGAAATAACGATGCACAACAGAGGTAAGGATGCTCAATAACTTGAGCTTAATGATGTCAATATTGACTACAATACAGTAGATGTTTCTCTGAACGTTTAATCTAGTTCTCAGCTTACCTGGGTAGAGTTAAATTTGTATTTTCTAATTACCAATTGTTTATTTTAATATAAATGAAGAACTGAAATAACGGTGTAAAAACTTTTTAATTTGAAGGCAAGACATTCTCCCTTTCTTGACCAATTATATTCCCAGCAGGATCATATTCACAAACAACATAAAGACCCCAACCATTACTTCTACAGTCTTTATAAGCACATCCAACTCTTTTTGAACCTTTCCATACTACTTGAGTAAAATGATTATAAGTATCAGCTGTACTATAATCATACGGCTCATCGACCCACGCCTGTACTACCGAAGGGCCATCTTTAAATCCAGCAGCTAAATTTTCTCCATATTGACCATGAGTATGAGTTAAAATTCCTGAACAATCATAATTATCGGCATTATTTTTAGCATAGTTGTACGTATCTATATCCCAACTTAAGTCACCTGCTTGATGTTGTGATCTATACTGATTGTGTGCGTCCAAGATACTCGTTGCAAAGCTTTTATCAATTCCTGGAATTTGATCAATTGCGGCATAAATGTCATTATCTGAGCTCGTTGCTGATGTTGATGATGATGAAGTACTTGTTGATACTGTTGTTGGTTGGTATGATGATGTACTTGTTGCCAATGAAGTTGGAATACCAGTTTGAGAAGTAAAAATTGGTGATGTTGAAATTGGAGTAGTTGCTGCTGGAGAAACACTAGCTGATGATTGAGAACCAAAGAAATTATTCAAAAAATCTATGAAACTATTTGAACTTGAGCCTGAGCCTGAACTGGTAGCTGGTATTGAACTTGAACTTGAACTTGTTCCAAATAAAGCATCCCATAAACTTGATCCAGAGTTTGAGTCAGTTGAACTTGAACTTGAACTTGATTCTAATTCACTTAATAATCTACTTAACCAGCCACCTGTAGATGTTGAAGTCGCTTGAGTTTGTGCTTCAGTTGCAGGTGTAGGTTGAGTTGGTACTGATTGTTGAATTGCAACTGATGATTGAGCAGCTAATGTTGGAGATGGTGAATTTTCAGTAACTGTTTCAAAAATAGTTACTATTGCCGGAGCAGCTAATGATTGACTGATAAAAAGAAGTACCAGAAGTTTCATAATGGTATCTAACAAATCCAATAAAAAGGAAGGAAGGAATGAAATTTAAAGTTCTAAATAATAGAATAGAAAATATGTCACATATATATTATATTTACTGACTACATATTTCACAACTTAGAATAGTAATATTCTGAAGAAAAAGAGCTGCAAAATTTTAAAAAATAGATTTATAATTAATTGCCTATTTGGGAAAAGGCCAAATTACACAAAATCAATAAAATCTGAAGCTACCATGTTCAAGATACAAACCATTAACCAAAATGTATATTGAAACTCGTTCAGTGGGGAGAAGAAAACTAAGCGAACCTAGAATCACTTGAAAGGGCTGTAAGGATGCAAATATACAACAATCCCTCAGGATGCAATAATATGTATTACCGAGATCTACTAAGAAAATATCAGGGCCCTAGATTCTATATTATAATTTTCCTAATATTTCTTTCAAGGTTGAACTGATAATATCACTAACTCCACCACCAGTACATCTAACTACTATTCTTAAATGTTTACATATTTCTTCATTTACTTCTACTTCTATAAGCAATCCATAATTTGATTTTTGGGAATGTAAGATACCAGCTCCCGAAATTTTAAAATTCAAATCTTCAACAATATAAAAACCTAAACGAGTCAATAATCTCACGATATTTGAATAATTTTGACGATGTGATAGGTCTATTTCAATTGAGCTTTCACCTTGTTCTATACCTAATAACTGACCAATTTGAGTCCATCTATTTTGAAACTCAGATACTGTTATCTGAGAAGGTGTTAATGATTTTAATAATATGACTGGAAATTTAAGGTTCAATTGATTGAATGATCCACCACATTGAAATGTCAAAGATAGGATTGGACTTTCATTATTTTCAATAATATTTCGAATCTTGATTTGTATTTCCATATTTGATTTATCTCGAATTGTCTTATTTGGAATATTCTTCAACCCGATAATATAATTTGGATTATTCTTTTGAGTTAGTGATTCTATATTCAACACTGTAAAACTAGTAATATTTGCCCCTATTGATTTAAACGACTTATTCAAAATCGTGAATATATAAGTTAGATCAAAATTATTTTTAATTACCCTATATGTAATTTTTATCAATTGATCTTCATAAAATATACCTGCATCAAAATATAACATCCTATGATATCCAGCATACCAATTATTACTCAATGATTCACTAAATGAATTTTCAACTGGTTTATTAGCTATATTTTGAGCTAATACTAGACTCTTTGATCTTGATCTATTTAATCCAATTATTTTACTTACACTTCCCAATCTATTCATTAAAGGATTTTCCAATTGATTAAAAATAGGAAATGGTTTAATTACAGTCTTTGCTAATTTAAAATCAGTATTTAACGTAGATAATTTTAAATATTCATGTGCTCTAGTTTGAATTTCTAAATCCATCGATTGTGATTCAATTTCAAATAAATCAACAATATCAGGGACAAAATTTGCATTAGGGAATTTGACCAACAATTTGAGGAAAGTGGATAGTAGCATTGCTCTAGTCAATAACGAAACTTTAAAATATGCATCGAATAAAAGATGAAATTGGATATTGATATTTAGATCTTCTATGTTGTTTATTTGATCTCCATATTCTCCTAAGACAAAAGCACCAACTTTGATTAAATTTTCTGAAAACTGACCATTTGGATTCTTTAAAAGTTTAATTATAATTTTACTACATGTTTTCTTTTGTAGGTCTTCATTATTTACTACTATTTGAACTATTCTTTCCCATACTTCATTTGAAATAAACCCCACTCCATTTGATGTTGATCCGCCTCCAATTGATAATAATTTTAACATTGTAGTCACATACCAAGTCGAATCAGTAGCGAATTTTTCAGCCAATATTGTAATTTTGATAGCTAATTCCGATTTTAATAAGAAATCAGCCGTGGGGAAATATTCTAGTAATTGATTTATAATTGATGTATAATTTGAAATATCACATATTGTATATAATAAATCTAAAGATTTTCTTCGTACTGATATATCTTTATCATTTAAAAGCTTAACGAAAAGAATGAGGTTCTCTTCAAATTTCTCTTTTGAAGCTAAGTAGTTTGAATTTGATCTTGCAAATAATTTAATCAATGCATCTAATGATAAATATCTCGTATTTGTTTCATTTGAATTCAATAACATTAATAAAGCATTGATTGCACCATTAATAGCTTCAGGGCTAGCTTCTAAAAATACAGCTAATGAAACAGCTTGAAATAAAATCAGACTTTGTGAATTTCTATTTGAAAGACCTTTAATTGGTTGTGAGGCATTTTGAATTGATTTTGCTACAACTTGTCTTAATTCAAACACAGATTGATTATCTAATTTATCTATTGATAAAACTTGTTCTCCTTCCTTATTTGCAATTAGGAAAGATTGTTCAAGAAATTGTAATAATTTAACAATTAACCATGGGGCAGGAATTTCATAATAATAATATTCGGGATTACATTTATTTTCAACTACTATTTTAAATAAATGTTTTGAAATTGATGGAATTATAGTCTTGACAAATTGTGGTTTCAAATTGAGTACGAATGTAAGTAATGGAAGACTTGAAATAATAACACCGAGATCTTTCTCATCTATCAATTTTATTAATCTTGGAGTCCAATTATTGTTGCTGATAATTACTTCAGGATATATTTGTAATAATAGTTTTAACGCAATTGCTGATTTTTTACGTAGTATTGTTTTTTGAAGCGGTGAAGTAAAACAAGCATATACTAAATCAATAATTTCTAACCAATCTTGAGCATTTGAATCAGAATCAGTAATCACCACCTTATCTTCCAGACAATTAAAAACAGAACAAATAAATTGAATTGCTAAGCAATTAAATTCTTCATCTTGAGATTTCAAATCTTTGATCAACTCGTTAAATACCGATTCAAGGATGTAATTAAATTTCTCCTTGACTGATACTTTTGAATTATCATTATTTAATAATACTGAAATCGCCAAATATCCTAATTTCTTTTCACTAAATACATTTGAATTAATTAAATCAAAACACTCTTTAATTCCAAAATCAATTATATCTGATTTACCCAACAAGCAAATATATATAATTTTACATAAATATTTCTTTTTCTGATATCCATTTAATGAATTATGATTAAATTTTGATCTAATATTTTCAATTTCAATATTAATTTTTTTATTTTCTTCATCTTGATCTATTGAATTTTTAAGGTCTAATATAAATTGATTTAATCCTTTAAATTGTGATTTCAGTTGATGTTTTAATTGACCTTGCATGTCAGAATGTGTCAGGATGTCAGGATGCAAGTGAAACAAGGATGTAACAATAATTGATGTTATACAATTAAATTGACCGATTTACCCAGGCATAAATTTAGATTTGATTTAATAAAATCGGTTGAAATATAAATAAAATTCCGGGTCATGTGACTGATCATGTGATCCAAATATTTGATTTTCGCACTACGCTTTTTCATTGGCTCAAAAATATTTCCAACCAAAAGCGATATTTTGAAAAAATTGGAACGAAACAATCACCAACTACAACTTATCATGTCTTCAGTTGCAAAACAAGCAGTTAAAAAAGTTGATTTTAACAAAATTATAACAAATTTAGGATTAACTGGATCAACAGCACAACAATTAACATCATTTAAAAAAAGACATGATGATGCTAAAAAAGAATTTTATTCATTAGAATCACAACCATCTTCAATTGATTTTAATCATTATAGATCAATTTTAAAGAATTCAAAAATTGTTGATGAAATCGAAAAACAAGTTACATCATTTAAACCAATTGAAATTGATTTATCAAAAAATCTTAAAAATATTGAAATTTTTGAATCAAATGCAATTGAAAACGCAAAATTAACTGAAAAATCAGTTGCTGAAGAAATTGAACAATTAAGAATTACATTAAAAGATATTCAATCTTCAAGACCTTTAGAAGAATTAACTGTTGATGATGTTGCTGCTGCTAGTGATGTTGATGGTAAAGTTACTTATATGGTTAAAAATGGTAAATGGGTTGTACCAGGTTATAGAGAAAAATTTGGTGATTTATCAGTTATGTAGATGTTAATAAATATATATATTCTTTTATACAAATAAAAACTTTGGATAATGTTTATGTTATGCCCCAGGTATATTTTGGTGGCACTACCAGGGCCAGACATCGCCTTATCTCATACGTGCTAACATAATTGTATGGCCTTCATCTACCACGCTCCTCGCTTTATGCTATAAATTATTACACCGGGCATATTTTGGTAGCACGACTTGGGTCAGATATTGTCCAAACTTCACGCGAGAGTATAATTTTATGGCCTCAAACTTACCACACTTCCCGCCCTAAATTATAAATTCTTTCCATTGTTGATTTTGAAATGATTTATTTGTATGTAGTAGATAATTGAAGAACTTTAAAAAATGCAATGGTAATTTAGAGTATTTTTGAATTTCATAATAATAATTATGAGACTCACCTTGTAAACCAGACTCAAAAGTAATATCATAACTTGTAATTAGTATGGAGCACTTTAATCTCTTAATTTTGGATAGTATATTTAGTAGTTTAGTATATGACTCTTGTTCTGATTTAAGATCAAAATATAAACATGATAAATTATGAATTAGTAGTAGATCTATTAATTTATCTGATTTTATTACATCTTCAAGCCGTTCCATCAATTCTTGAAATGTATTATAGTTTGATATAACTAGTTTATGCTTGGACAGTATCAATTGTTGTATATTATTCATAATTCTCTTATTTTCACATAATATTAAACATGTTTCACTCTGTTTCAATTGTAGTTTACCAATACTAACATCATCGAACTGTTCAATATGATCAAATAAATTTGATGTTTTCATCAAACAAAAGAATAAACTTTTTTTTTCATTTTCTTATCAGATTAAACGAACCAAGTAAAAGCTTGAATGGATATATTACTACTACTATTGGTGGTTATAAAGAAAGTATTAAATAAACTATTACAAACTATTTCAAAGCTAGTAAATTTATTGTCAAGACTTTTAAATAAAGTTTATAATGATATTTTAAATGATTCGCAACCAAATGTATTCTTTAAAGATTTTGCATTGAATATTTCATTTGTACTTTTGTGTATTGGTTCAACTATTGTATTAAATTATATTCCAAGACCTGATCATATTTATTATAAATTTTTATACAGATTTGATACTTATTTTTTTGATTTATGGTCACAACCAATTGGTTCATTAAGTGGGTTATGTTTAACTATACTAGGTTCGATCATCATTTATTCATTATATTATAATAAACAAGAAGAAGTTATAAATATTGCACATTTTAAATTGAAGCCATTACAAATTTCATCTGTTCTAGAATATAATGACCCTGCTTCACCAATTTCATTAACTTCAAGTACTATTCCATCACCTGATTCATCTACATTTTCACCCACCACCGAGTCAAATATAACAGATGAAGAACATATATTAGAATTAGAAACTAATAAACATCAACCAAAAACTTTAAAAGATTTATGGAATTTAATACCTGTTTTATTATTATTATTTTCATGGTTTTTATTAAATATACTATATACTTTTAAATACCCTATTAATAAACCAAAAAATATAATTGCATGGATATTTCACGTACCTGTCCATTTCATAGTTCCACCAATGATTGGTTCATGGTTATATTTATTTCATCCACCTAGTTCACTTAAATTATTTACATTTACTTTGGGTCTTCAAAATTTTGCATTATTATTAACTTATTTAATTTTCCCAAATGTACCACCCACATATATTAAGATTTACGGTGATAATAAAATACCTAGTTTTGATATGATTTTTACAGATGGTGCTGCAATTGAAGATAAAAAATTTTCTTTTCTTTTGCATAAGGGGTTATATTATGCTTCACCTTATAAATTTGCATCTTTCCCATCATTACATTCATCATTTGCATGTTTGATTTATTTTTTTGTTTGTCATTATTCAACTTGGTCAAGCTTTAAAATTTTGGGTCTAATTAATGTACTCGGTCAATGGTGGAGTGATTTATATTTAGATCATCATTGGAGAATTGATAGTTTAGGTGGTTTAATTTATGCAATTATAACATGGACAATTTTAAAATATTATACGAATAAATTATCTGATATTGATTTAAAATTTTCAAAAGCTAAATTATATGGTGATTTTATAAATGGAAGTACAATGGGTATGAGATTATTTAAAAATACAAGATTACAAAATTTATTTGATCCAGAGAAATAATGAAATATATATTAAGGTATTATGATTAACATTCAATTAATTCAACTACATCTAATGTAACTGGATGGCATTGATAACCAATTGGTTCATCATATAAATTATAAAAATTTCCAGAAGCACATTGATAAAATTTTGTTGAATTTCCTAACGCTAATTGACCTTGTTTTGTAACATACCAACCAGCTGCATAAACTGCTCCATGTTGTGGTGTTGGTCCATCGAATTGCCATTGATGTCCTTGAACAATACATCCAATTCTATTATCTGAATCAGTTAAAATTGAATCTTTTAATTTCATTTTTAATGTTGCATTAGTATAGCAAGCAACTGAATAAACTGGTGATTCAAATTCTTCTTTATAATCGTCTTTATTTTTATCATAATCATCATAATCTGGATATTTATCAAAATCATCATAATCTTTTCTACCATTATAATAATCATCATAATCTTTTCCATATTTATCTTTTCCATCATAATAATCATCATATTTATCATCTTTTCTACCATCATAATAATCATCATATTTATCATCTTTTCTACCATCATAATAATCATCATAATCTTCATACTTATTTTTGTGTTCATGATCATGATCTTTAGCATCTCCTTCATGTTCATGGTCAAGTTCATGATCTTTATGATCTTTATGATCTTTATCATCTCCTTCATGTTCATGATCTTTATGATCTTTATGATCTTTATGATCTTTATGATCTTTATCATCTCCTTCATGTTCATGATCTTTATGATCTTTATGATCTTTATCATCTCCTTCATGTTCATGATCTTTATGATCTTTATGATCACCTTCGGTTTCTTCAGATTTATTCCCCTTTTCACCTTTTTCACCTTTTTCACCTTTTTCACCTTTATCTTTTTTACCTTTTCTCAATTTTCTTAAATGTTTTCTTTTAAAAGTATTTGAATGAATTTGTTGACCTTGATCTTTTTCGATATCATCCAATATTTCCCTCTTTTCAACATCAATATCAAATTTTTGAACTTGACCATCTTGAATTTGAACAGCAATATCTGAAGTAATAGTAGGTTTTGGAGCTTTTGTAACAACTGAAGTAATAAAACTAGTTGTAATTGTTCTTTCAATTGATGAAATTTTAGGTTCTTTTAATTCACCATCTGAAGTAATTATATATGGATTAACTACAATACCGAAATAAAAAGGTAATGTATCGAAAGAACCTTTTGGTTTTGGACATTCTGGTTTTAAAATTGTCCAATCTTCATTGTTTGCAGGAACGTAATAACCGCTAATTGACAGAATACAAAAAGTTAAAAATAAAATTAAATTAATCATGTTGAAAACTAATAACCTCTTGAATTGTTGTTGTTATGATAAAAAAAGTTTGGTAAAAGTAAAGAATATTAAAAAAGTATAAATTATTTGTGAATTTATACGCTTTTTTTTGGCTGCAAAATTTATTGTTATGAAAAGGTAAATAACAAACATTGAGTTGAATAGTAGTGTAGAAAAGTTGAATATAATGCTTTGGGTGTGTAAGTTGATACATAATATTAAGCTGAAGGTAGGTAGCATATTTCCAAATCGACATAGTATATACTGTTTCGATACATTATAGTAGTAACAACTGGCAAAATTGCTCAGATCTAGTATTCATAATTCTGTTGTCTTAAAATATGGCTGCAAATTTTTGTTGAATATTCATTTATACTTCAGTTTAAATTTTGAAAATCCAAGACCATAGTATTAACTCTTTACTCTAATATTTTTTGTCTTTCTTTAAACCAGCATAGATAGATCTATAAGATCGTATGAGTCTGTATTGTACCCACAACAATTGAACCTTAGTTGAATTTTTCAATTCAGTCTGAAATTCAACAACTTTCGCATCCAAAAAACAGAAATAATGCAATGAAACAATCACAACCTATATATATATTTACAAGTCACTATTAATCATTATATGTATATTATAATATTATCTATCTTTGACTAGGTTTAACATTAGCACTGTTTGGTTGTTCATCACTAGTTTCTTCAGGTATCAAAACATCACTTTTCTCTAAAAAGTCCCCTAATTCTCCATCTTTAACCATACCAGTAATAATATCACAACCACCAACAAATTCACCATTTATGTATAATTGAGGAATAGTGGGCCATTGAGAATATTCTTTTATTCCATCTCTTAATTCTTGATCTTCAAGAACATTATAAGCAGCAAATTTACTTGGATCAACTCCTTGTTGACCTAAAATTTGGATAGTAGCTCTTGAAAAACCACATTGTGGAAATTCGGGAGTTCCTTTCATGAATAAAACTACTGGTGTTGATTTGATTGCAAGTTCAATTGCTGATTTGATTTCATTCGATAAATACCTTGAATGTATTAAGTTTGTTGATAATCTAGGTGAAAACCTTAATGTGTTTGAGGATAATATTCTTGAAAACATTATGGTAATTGTAGACGTAAATATTTTGATGCTTATAAATTTTCAGATTGATAAAATAGTTTTGGTAAATTTTACACGAAAAAAATGATTTGTCTTAATAATCATATATTGAATAGTTATGGTTTGATAATACTGATTACTTTGTATACATGAATATATGACGTAGATATGTGACGTATAAAGGTCAGGTCATGACATAAATTTTGAAAAAACTTGTAGACGGTTTTGGAAAGAAAAATGGGAGGGCGAAAAATTTTTTGGCAATTTGCAGCCAAATCAGAACTGATGCAAAATTGTTGCAAAACTCAAATAATCTACACGCAAATGACGAATGTTGTTCTCTTTGCTCATATATCACATTACTAGGTAGAATGATATATTCAAAAAGTCTGACGTAGAAACTTGGCCACTTTCATTAACTAAACTACCCAATTATTTAATTAATTAAAGATTACGTGGTTCTCAAAATTTATCATGATAGCGGCTAATAACTAGAAATAGTTATTAACCTAATTTGAATGATGAATAGAGAAAATAGTGTGAGAACAGTTCTGTTATTTCTAACTTGACTTATATTTGGACTTACATTTGGACTTACATTTGGAAGAAAATTATCTTTTTGATCTAATTTATATTTTGACATTTAACATTCCGGATCCAATTTGTGATTTTTGTGTATTTCGGTATCCATAGTTGAACAATCTATGAGGCTAATTTTTGGAGTCCCCTTTCCAATTATTTTAAATATTACTTTGTTAAATTGAAATAATTATATAGATATTTAATGTATAAAGAATGTATAAAATTTATCGAAGTCTACTACTGTAGTTTATGTTGACTTTAGTTTGTTAACAGAGTTTCAATTATACTTTAACATTATACATTAAACCCTATTTACCCAAATATCATTAATTCTTTATAGCTGTAGTTGTTGTTGCACTTGTTGAATTTCTACCTTTAGTTGATGATTTTCTTCTAGCTAATAAATTTGAATCATTTAAATTCATTGTAAATTTATAATCACCATTAATACCAGATATTATACTTGAACTTCTAGTTTGATATTCTGCAATTTCATTATTCGTATCATTATCTGAATTATTTAAAGAGGACTCATTTGAATTAAATTCATTATCTTCATCTTTAAAATTCAAATTCTTTGCAAAATTAGAAGTAAAAATATTTGAATTTAAACTTGTCCTTCTTGTTGATAATTTTGGTGTTAATTGTAATGAATGTACTTCATCATCTAATTCGGAAATTTCTTCATCAAATTCATCATCAAATTCACCTTCGTCTTCTTCTTCATCATCATCATCTGGTTGTTTAACTTTAAATACATCTTTGAAATTTATTTGTGGAAATGGAGTTTTAACATAATGTGGAGATTCTTCTTCTGCTTCTTCTTCTATATCTTCTATAAATTGAGACGATGGTTCTGTAAATTTAGGTAATTTTGGATTTGCGTACATTGCTTGATTATCAAAAACTTTTTTAATTTGATTTGCTCTTGGTGAATTCAATGGTTGATTATGGAAACTTGGAATTTGTAATATTGAATCTGATGATTCTTGAATATTTTCAGTTGCAAAATAATCTGATTCTTCTTCAACTTCTTCTTTTTGATTACCTTTCTTAATCCATTTATGTTGATAAATTTCATCAATTGTTATACGTTTTTCTGGATTAACTTCCAACATTTTAGTTATCAAGTCTTTAACATCATCACTTATTTCATCCCACCAAGGTTTTAAAAATACAAAATCACCATTTAAAATCTTCATTGTTAATACATCTGAATCTTCATCATAAAATGGTGGGAAACCACATAACATAGTATATAAAAAACATCCAAGAGACCAAACATCAACTGATTTATCATAATAATTTTGTGATTTTTTATAACTTGTATTACATGTTATAACTTCAGGTGCAGTATAACCAGCAGTACCACATGGAGTTTTCAAAGGAGTAGAAAATTGACCCTTCAATTGTTTAGCAAGTCCAAAATCTGCCAATTTAATAATACCTATTGTACCTCCACCAGCACCAAGTTTAAATTCACCTTCATCTAATTTTGTAGCATCATCAGATTTACGTAATGAAGCTTTGAATTCTTGTTTTGATCTCTTCATATATGGTATTTTCTTAAATAATAAATTTTCAGGTTTAATATCACGATGTACTATATTTGAAGCATGAAGTGATGAAATTGCAGATAATAATTGTGAAAAAATGTGACGCGATAAATCTTCACTAAAATAAGTATACTCTATAATTTTATTAAAAATTTCTCCACCATTACAATACTCAAGAATTAAAAAAGTATGATTAGTGGTCTGTATTGAACTTATCAATTTTAATAAATTTTTATGTCTAATTTTCTTCATTATATTTATTTCATTGATAATATTTTGATATTGTTTTGAATTTAGATTTGATTTATCAATAATTTTAATAGCTATTGGTAAATTATTATTCTTGATATCAATAGCTTTATAAACTGTTGAAAACGCCCCCTCGCCTAATAGACATTGTAATTGATAATGAGATGGTAAATCAGGATATAAATCATTTAAAGATGTAGTTTCAATTGAAAATGAAGTTCTAGTTGCATTTGTTGAATTTGTAGTTGTTGTTGTTGTTGTTGTTGTTGTAGATGCTAGATTCATAGTAGAGGTTGTATTTGATGATGTAGTAGTCGATTCATTTGAATTATTTAATGATAATTCAGGATTACTATTTGATATTTGACTTTGTTGTATAATTTTCGATAAATTATTTAATTCGTCAGTATTGTTAGGCTTATTAACTTTTGATTCAACTGTTGTATATGAAGTTGACGTCGTTGTATTTGGTATTGGTACACTTGGTTGATTAAATAATTTTTTAAAATTCTAAAGTGAATATATGTTAGTAAATGTAAAACAAAACAACTTTTCCAAAAAGTTTTCCAAAAAGAAAGAAAGATTTATATAAAAAATTGATATTTCAATCAAATTATATTCAAATTAAAATGAAAACTTTATTTGATTGTTTTAGGAAAGAATATTATGTAATACAATTTTTTTATTGTTTTATTTTTTTATTTTTTTATTTTTTTACTTTTTTATTTTTTATTTTTTTTGTTTAATTGTTACCGAGATTAATATGCATCACGACTTAATTTAAAAAATGATCACATGACCATTTTTTGCCATATAAATCTTTCTTTCTTTCTTTCTTTCTTTCTCTCTTTCTGTTCAATCAGTATACATACTTGTATTATTGGCATTTAAATAAGCAATTTGTATAATATATATATGATGTAAAGTGGTGTTGTCAGGTTAGTTGATTATTGTTTTGTTGTGGTTGTGGTGTTATATTGGAATAATTTCTCGAGATATTTAGATTTTACCTTTGTTTGTATATAGCTGGAAATGTAATATGATGAATTATGGAAAAAGTTAAATTTTCTCGTAGTTGTTATTAAAACTCGGAATAGATAATGATTTATTATATTTCTTATTAAATGGTAATAATACACTTGTTGACTAATAATACACTGTTAACGAAGTAAATGGAATAGTTAAAATGGTAATCCAATAATCAATTAATCCTCCAATAATCAATCAATCTATATAAATGATACAAAATTGTTCAAAAATTGTATGACAAAATTAATTTTATATATATAAATCCGATTATGTAATTTATTACTTAATTTCTACCTTTAGTACCTTTTCTATTTTGAGGGGAGTTTGCATTCTACACTACTGAACCTACTTTTTGGGGGAGTCGTGTACTTGGTACATAAACATGATTCGCAAAGCGTCTTCACTTTTATTACATCATTGATAATTTTTTTTTTGTTTTATAGTTATGATCTTCAATTTTAGATTTTCTTTATTTGTTTTGATTAACTCGAAGACGAAAACTATAAACAACGAAATATATATAAAAAATATATATAAAAATAGAAGTAAGTAAACAAGAAAGAATAAATTTCAAGTAACCACTATAAAATGCCATTAGCTATTTTTAGTACAACAATAGATAAGGGATAAGAAAAACTAAACTTTTGTTATCTTTTATTACGGAGTTGAGCCGTCGTAGTAGTATTATTATTATTTTCTTTCTGTCGATGATCTTCTCTTCTCTTGTCTTCTCTTATTATCAGTTGTAGGATTTTTTTTGATCTACGAAAAAGTGTCAATCAACAAAAATCAAAATCTCATGCCATTTTTGTCGTAAGGTATCGTAATTAAAACAAATCGATGTTACTTTATTAAGTATATTGCTATTATATTCAAAAAAGCTATATATATTGTCTTCAAAATTTCTTTTACGGCAATATGATGGCAATTATTGCTAAACATACATTATACGCTCTTATTAATTATATGCTTATCAATTATATGGTTATTAATTATATTCTAATTCCGATATAGTAGTAAATTGCAACCCATTATTTTGAGTTATTTACTTCATTAAGGTACGATTTTTTTCGTTGAATTTTTTTGTTTGAGAGAAAGAAGCAAAAGTGAAAATCAACATTCAAAAGTAATAATCAACACTTAGCAACGAAATAAAAATTATTTTAAGCAGATGATGGTATTAAAACAATACTCAATAATTGATTTTGAAATGAGTCGATACCGACTGAAATGAGTCGATTTGTTAATACATAGTCTATTGTAATGTACGTATAGAATTCAAAAAAATAGAAGCATCCTGTATATTATATTTGTAGTCTTCTGTATTATGTACATTAACATAAATCGGATACTAAAATAGTTATGAACGAAATTTATCAATTAATAATCTCTGATTACGATAGTACTATAAAGGAAATGAGTGAGTTTTACTATCTAAGCATCTTTGTTTACTTTTAGTTCTTTATTGTTTTTAGTAAGGTTACGAAATATTATTCCATTAATAATTAGATAAGAATAATTACAAGAGAAATTTATCGAGAGTGGAACTACTCAGAGAGGAACTACTCAAAATTCAACTGCTTGTGTCAAGTAGTATTAGCAGAGAGTTTCTATTTTTAAATTTGAGACATGTTGACTCAAAACACGTTTTTGTTGAAATAATCTTTTCCCCACATTGGCTCCTTTCGTTTTCGATTTAAACTTCGAAATTTCGCTGAACGTTTGATAGCTGAGTTTTGAAATTAAGTTTAATTAATGATTTGTATAACATTGAAGTTTAATCTAATAATCTAATCTTATTATTGTGAGTAAAGTTGTGGTTTGATTTATAATTATCTGATTAAAGTATACATTGATTTTCCATTATCTGTATCCCCTCCTTCTTTGATCTTAGATCTGACCCCTACCTTTAATTGATCTAAAGTTACAAAACTATGATGTAATAAGATTTTATTTTTTTTTTTTTTTTGCTGCTTTTTTCTCGGTTTGATAGATGGTTGTCAATTGATGATCTTGAAATCTCAATCACAGGCCATAATGATCAAAAGCTTAATAAGGGATATAATTGATTTACTAGAAATCATAATTATGAATATCATTTGAAAAATTTGAATCTTTCGAGCACAGCCCAGATCATACTTAAACTTTGAAATTGAATTGAAGTTCTGAAACATAGTCAACGGAGCTGAAAAATACTTAATAATATTTTACAGACTAATGTAACTGAGATGTTGATTAAGCCAATAATTTATGCCTTTTAGCTTGCTTCGTAATAATTTCTACTAATCTACTAATCTACAAATCTACATACTTTAAAGTACAAAATTCTGAAACAAGTGTAACCTATGTGCAGTCCTGTTATAATAATTCTTGAAACTTAATCTATGAATAACTCTCTCAATATATAAGCTGTATTGCTCATACTATATTCATTAAAAGCTCCGCTTAAGCCAGAGTAAATTGATATTGGCTTCTTTCTTTGAAACATAATTCTGGTGAACATACGTTTTTTTTAAAAAATGGACAAAAACGCTTAATTTCGAGATAACTAGTACTTAGACTTTGATCTCGTTTACTAACTTTTAAGATAGCTGAGTTGACTCATTTAACACTAGGCATTACTGGTATGATACTCTCGAGTCGCCGTAATCGTTTTGAAAATTTTACAAAAATTTTGAAACACTGAAAAATTGAAATTCCAATTTTGAATACCTTTACTCAAAAAAATTCAAAATTTATTAGTATACAAGAACTACAAATTTTTATATTTTCATTATACTTTAATCGCGATTTGAATTATGGTGTTGGAACTCAAAATGACAACTTGAAAAAAAAATGTTTAAAATGTAATATTTGAACTACTTATTAGAAAGTATAGTATAAAGTAACTGTTTTGATATAAATGGTACTTATCTGAAGAAAATGCTTTGTTTTTGTTTTATAAGCTAAAATATTTGGTACGAGTCGCGTTAAGTTTTGGGCGAGAAATTATTTTTTTTGGGCCGCAACAACTTAAGAATAGTTCAAAGATTCTGGAATGTAGATGATATTTTCTGACTCATATGGTTCGAGTTTTGTCAAACTTGTAGACTTTTCCAAATTCAATTTTTCTTCATTTGAACCAGTTAATTTAACTGCGGACGCAGTTTCAGGTGGTTCTATGCTTTTGATTACGAATTTGTTCAGATTAATGATACCAACCTTCAAATTGTTTAGTTCGCCTAGAAAATCAAATCTTAACGCATAATCATAACTTGCAAAATTTAGTCTAGTGCCACTCAAGTATAACCTATAACATAGATTTGGTAATGATTCAAGACGATATGTATCTGCGTTGCTTCAAAAGTTATTTCATTAGGTTTTTTATTAAATTTTTTAATAAGTTCAATCAATCGTATGTCATCAGCAATAAAAGATGATTCATAGCCATCAGCAATAAAAGATGATTAATAGCATTGATAGTCACAGTAAGCTAACGGCATCTTTAGCTTTATAGACTCTTCAGATAGTTTTAATAATCTAACTAAAGTCTCTATCAAAAAACACTCTGCATCCTTCTCACTCCACATATTAGGCACTTTGGGATTGGATGATTCTTCACTTGTTGGTCTTCAAATCTTTTTAATTTGATGATTAAGAATCACTAGCTGAATTTTAATGGTAGGTCATTGGTACTTAGAGTCTCAAACATTCCTAGAGCTTGATATTGACCTCAAAAAACAGAATTCAACCTAAAATATTGTTATACCTTCCATATCACTATAATGAATGTAAAAATCAGCAATTACGTTTCTCCTATAGAAAACCAGTTCTACAATCTTCTGTATATTGATTCTGCTGGTATATATTGTAGCTGCATTATCTGGTTCTGACTTTATCTAATTTTTGTACTTTGTTTCGCCCCCTAAATATTACCCCCTAAAGTAAGTAATGGAGTATGATTACTTGTTCAGAAGAGATAGAACACAAAGTTAATATCCTAGAGAGCAATGGTTTATTCCAGTGATAATCTACTGTGTTTGCAATCAGTTTTGCTTTGATAATATTTCAAAAAAGATTGATATGAACTGGATAACAACGCAGAAAAGTAGTTACGAGTCTAAAAGTAAAAAAGATCTGCATTTCAGTTCACACGAGTATAACGAATGAAACAGTTTGTCAACAGAAATCTAATTGTATTCGCTAATATCGGTGATGGTTTCGACTATTATACAATTTCAAAGAATAACACTAAACTAATTTCTTAGAACCACCAAGGTTGTTTAATAAAATATAAAACTATTTGAATGAAATCTTCTGATTTAATGAAATCTTTTGATGTAACAAGAGCACTATGTTCTTTTCCAAAATCTAGTAATCGTAAATAAACGAAAATGAACAATCGGCTTTTTCCTAAAACAAATATCCAATCAAAGAGAGCAATACCAGGCCAAATTTGATCTTCGTTGACTGATGTCAACTACGATTAGTCTTGGCATCCGTTTTCAATTTCTTTCTGTCAGGAATTTAACTTTTTAGGTAATGTTGCAAATTTTGTATTTTTAGTTTTATTTTTTTTTTGCAACATGTTGTTAATCCGTAAATAATCCGAACCAAAACTCTGAAACAAAAGTATATAAGCACAATGTCAGACGTGTAAGCTCTCTCTCTTTATCATCAATGAAATTATCAACGTTAGCATTATTAACTGGTGCTGTTCTTAGTGCGGAAATTCCAAATTGTGCAGAGTCGTGTTTTGAAAATGATATTTGTCAATCTTCAGATAATGATTGTTTTTGCAATACAGGTTCTTATGTCAATGTATTAGGTAATTGTATTGCTTCCAACTGTATAAATACAGATGTAGATTATGCTACGTATGCTGCTAAATCAATATGCTCTCAACAAGGTAATAAAAGCCCATTTTGGCAAGTATCAGATGAAATTAAATCTGAAATATTCAAAGCTCAAGGTAATTATCAAGAACCAGATTATGAAATTGCAATGGAAACAGAAACAGAAACATATGATGAAATCTTTCCAAAAACCACAAGTTCTAGTGAAGCTCCAATGATCACTGGTAATGTTTTTGTTCAAGGTACATATGATGAAATTCCAGATTGTGCTAAATCTTGTGCTGGTATTGATGCTTCGAAATATTGTGATGCTGATGAAACTAGATGTTACTGTAATAATGGTGCTTTTGTTGATTTAGTAGGTAATTGTATTGCTTCAAATTGTGTGAATTCGAATGTTGTTTCAGCTACTTCAGTCATTCAGTCATATTGTTCTAAAGCCAATGTTCCAAATCCATATTGGTTAATCTCAGGCGGTGTTAAGAATAAATTAAATCAAGCTGCAAATAAGGAAGTAACAACTACAACTGCAACAACTGATCCTACTGAAATTCCAATTTATGATTTATCTGAAAGAAATGATTTTATTAATTCAATTAAATCAAAATATGTTCCTTATTGTGCTCAACCGTGTTTACAAATTGAAGAAGACCCTGTTGATTGTAAAAACTCTGATATTGGATGTTACTGTACATCCACTCCATATTCAAATCCATTAGGTGAGTGTGTTGCACATAATTGTAGAGATGTAGATATTACAGATTTTATTGCTAATGTTAAAGATACTTGTGAAAGTGTTAATCAAGATTGGATCGTTGATAGCTGGGTTCAAAATCAATTAGATGAATCAGAAGGCAAAGATGTGAATGAAGAAGCAATAACTAGTGAAGAATCACCGGAAACAACAACTAGTGAAGAATCACCAGAAACAACAACTAGTGACGAAACAACACAAACTAACAAACCAACAATTGATTCTACAGGTTATAGAAATTCATTTGCTGCAATTATGACTCCAATAGTTCCAGATTGTGCTAAACCTTGCTTAGATTTGGATTTAAATGTTTACTGTGATAATGATGATACTAATTGTTTCTGTTATTTGGGTGATTACGTTAATCCAGTTGGTTATTGTGTTGCCGATAAATGTAAAGGTCAAGATGTTAAAGATTTTATGACTACAGTAGATGGTGTTTGTAAAGAAGCTTCAATAGTTGATATGGAACCATATTTTGCAATTAGTAATAAAGTAAGAGATAAATTGAATGAAGCAGCAAATGAAGAATCAACAAAAGAAACATCAACTTCCTCTACTTCAACTAAAATCAGTTCAAGTTCAACTTTGACTCCAACTTCAATTCCAACGGCAAATTCATTAGTTGATTTGATTTATCCTGATGTTCCAACTTGTGCTCAATCATGTTTAGCAAAAGATGCTCCATATGTGGATTGTGATTATCAAGATGCTCATTGTTATTGTATTATGGGTCCTTACACTGATTTCATTGGTGATTGTGTTTCAAATAATTGTTATGGTCAAGATGTTAAAGATTTTTTGAACATTGCTGAAAAGGTGTGTGGAAAGTATTCACCAGTTCCAGTTGGTCCATATTTTATGTTGAGCTCAAAAGTTAGAGATGAATTGAATAATGCGGCTCAAGCTAATGAATTAAAACCAGTGACTACAGTTGAACCATCTACTTCATCGACTGAATCTTCATCAAGCTCAACTAGAAAAACAAGAACTTCATCATCAACAACTATTTCAGAATTATCAACTACATCAGCTGCTCCGACCAGCGTAGATTATACAGGTTATAAAAATTCATTTGCTGCAATAATGGACCCACTAGTACCTGATTGTGCTAAACCTTGCTTAGATTTGGATTTAAATGTTTACTGTGACAATGATGATACAAACTGCTTTTGTTATATGGGTGATTATGTTGATCCAGTTGGTTATTGTGTTGCCGATAAATGTAAAGGTCAAGATGTAAAAGATTTTATGACTACAGTAGATGGTGTATGTAAAGAACATTCTTTGGTAGACATGGAGCCTTATTTTGCAATTAGCAACGAGGTTAAAGATGCTTTGAATGAAGCTGCTGGTTTAGAAAATGAACAAACTACCTCATCATCAGAAACTACAATTTCAACGACAATCAGACCAGAAATATCTACTTCATCCGAAGCACCTACTTCATCAACAATCAATTTATCATTACCAAGTGATACTTCAGTGCCTATAATCAATTCATTTGTTGATTTAGCTTATTTAGACTCACCAAAATGTGCTCAATCATGTTTACAAATGGATTTACAAGTTAATTGTGATTATGAAGATGTCCATTGTTTCTGTATCATGGGTCCTTATACTGATTTAATTGGAGATTGTATTGCTACTAATTGTTTTGGTAAAGAGGTGCAAAACTTCATGAAAATTGCTGAGAAAGTTTGTGACAAGTATTCTCCATTAACTATTCCTCCGTTTTTTATGGTTAATTCAACAATTAGAGATAAATTATTATTTGCAGTTGCTGCTGAAGCATCAACTTTCACTGAATTACCAACTGAAACATTAGATGTTATTAGTAGTTCATCTACAGATATCACTACCTCAGAACCAACTACTTCAAAAGCTAATGCATCAGAGTCTACTACATTGAAATCAACTGTTCCTGAAGCTTCTGTTTCAGAATCATCAATTTTTAAGTCTTCAGTGATAAAATCATCAGGTACAGAAGCTACTGAATTATCAAAATCACAATCATCAGCTTTAGGTTCGTCAACTCCTTATTCATCTATTTCGGAATTAAATACAATGAAATCATCTTTGAGTTTAGATGCACAATCAACGATTGAAGCTCCAACGGAGTCATCTACAAGTTTAGTTAGTGAATTAAATGCTAGTGAGAATACTTCAGTCATTAAAATGTCAAGTTCAACTATTTCAAAAGCTCTGGTTACATCTTCAATTGAAGCTGAATTCTCAGTCTCAAATAAACTTAGTTCAACAATTGCAAAACATCCATCTGAACATGTAAGCATGCATTCAAACTCAGAAAGTTCATTTACATCAGCTTTAGTTTCATCAATGAATTATTCAACAACAACAACAAATTCTGTTAATACTAAATATCCAGAATTATTAGCTGCAGAAGCATTAGCTTTAGAATCTTCATCAGTTGCTACAAATGCTTCATTATCTGATCCAACTCAAACATTGCAATCAATGAATTCAACTCTTAACTCACTAACTTTAAATTCAACAATTATCACCAAAACTAAATATGGATTTCATTCATCAACTAGTGCCGTACTCTTGCCTCAACAATCAGAATTTTTGGATTTAGAAGTCATTCAAGAAAGTTGTAAATCAATTCAATCTACAATTTATACTCAAATTTCAAATGCCCATGTTTCAATTGAATCTTGTGAATCGGATATTACTTCAGTCGAAAACATTTATAAAACTGCGACAATCACTAAAACTATTCAAAGTTGTGAATCAGAATTAAGCTCATTATCATCAATTAAATCAGAAGCTAATAAAGTGTTAAATTCCCATGTTTCAGAATTATCATCAATTGTTAGTATTCAAGTCGGAGTTGCAAATGAACAAATGTCATTAGCAAAAGAAATTGATAACGAACCAGAAATTGAAGAAGCTTCCAAAAACGTTCAGGCTGCTATTGCAGCTCAAAGCTCATTATCTGAAGCGATTAATGATGTTCCAAAAGAAGAATCTGAACACAATATTATTGAGTTAGCTAATAGAGCCTCAACTAGTGTTGTTTTCTCCGGATTGTTAGGTTTAGCTAGTATTTTATTAGTTATCATTATGTAGTAATATATGATATCTTATTTTAATTTTAATTTTTGAAAAGTCATTTGGTAGCATTTTTCTCATCTCATTTTACGAGTTTTAGATTTGAAAATTTAATATAGTACTGTACATGTCAGAAACTAAGAAAAGGAAGATATATTCATCACAATCCGTCAATATTGATTATTCATTAATAGAACAGCTCAATAATCTACAAACTAGCAAGAATTTAGTTTCAGATTTAAATAATTTCATAAATTTAGGTCAATTAAATAAAATTTTACCGGTATGGTCATACTATTCAAGTACAAATAATCATGGAAATTTCATAGATTTAATCAATAAAATAGTTTTCATAACTGATAACCTAAATGAAGTACAGAATGCAAATTTAGTCACAGAATTTTTTAAAAATATTTTACAAAATCATTTAAAATTGATATATAGAAGTCTTACCAATTTAAGAAATTCAATAACGATACCAACTTTAAAAATATTAACAAACATACTAAAATTTGATTCAAGTTTGAGTAATGAGTTTTTAAATTCTAATTTTGATTTTAATTTACCTGTCATACCTAAATTATTAACTCCAAATAAATTTGAAATTGAAAATAATGTTGAAATAGCGGAGGGCTCAATTAGATTTTGGTTTTTGAAATTCTTCATCACATTATGTTATAAATTAAACTTCTTCAATAGATTTGATTTACTAAATAATTATCCAAAGATTATGAAAACAGTGTGGAAATTTATCAATCTGGATTCAATAGAAACTATCGAATTTTTAGTTTCATTCTTTGACAAGAAGGTATTAGACGAACGTAATTTCAAAAAAGCTCAAAAGTGTAAGATATTAAATGAGAATTTCATGTTTAAAATCCAACCGTTGATACTAAAGATCAAAGAATCATTTTTTTATGATTTCATAATTAAATTAACAACTGACTTGAAAAATGGTATTTGTTTTCCAAATGATAAATCATTATGGCAAATAGATAATTCAATAGGTGTTACCATAGATGTAAACAATAAACATTTTAAGATTGCAAATAAGTTAATTTACACATTATTGACAAGTCTAAAACCAAATGAATCAAATAAGATTATAAATTTGTTAACTAAAATTTGTGAAGCAAATCAAGAAATAATACCTGCTTATTTAAACTATATTGTTCAATCTGGTGGTGGTTATCATGATCCGAATTTAACAACATGGTGGATTTCATATACTTTATTATATTCAAATTTGTTACAAATTGAACCACCGAAAAGTATTCAAATACAAGGATCCAAATTTGATTATAAACTAATTAGTGAAAATATTGCATTTGCACCATTATCCAAGTCAGTCCTTACTGCAGGATTAACTGAGAAACAACCAAACTTGATAAATCAGCTCACATTACAATTAATATTGTACACTTTAATCAGATTAGAGAAATTTATAACTGCTCTACAATCAAGACAAGAACTAATAGATTTAGTATTTGCTCAATTACCTGATATAAATCAAATTTGTCAATGTTATCAACTACCAAATATTTCCAATTTATCAAAAATCACCATCCTTAAAATTATATCAAGATATGAAGAGTTTATTATTTCAAACAACAATAACAATCTAATCAATAAGATTGCATCAAATGGTATACTTTCAATAACTGAGAATTTGGATAATAATTTAACAAAATTAGATTTAATATATTTGAACTTATACTTGCAAATTCAAAAGAATCAAGAGAATTTTAAATGGTGGAACAAAATCAAAACTACAAATTCGAATTACTCATTCTTTACAATTTTGATTAAATTAGCTACTAAAAACAGTGATAAAAATTTCAATTTAAAGATTTATAATTTGTTGAATAAATTATGTGCTGGGAAAATGTTATTCAATGAAGGTTTATTAATTACTCCAATCATGTCACTAATTTACCTGCAACCTCAAAATGAAAAAATATGGAATTTATTAGATGAGACAATTGCAAGATGTATTAGAGCTCCATATAAATATTTAGACATTTCACATAGTTTGTACCATGATACAAGTACATTTATAATTTGTTTGATTGAACAATTTAAATTTATAAAAGCTGAGAAATTCGAAGATGAATGGTTGATAAGTTTTTTGAAATATTGTATATTATTTGATGGAGATCAAATTTCAATTATTAAACTAGCAGAAGAATCCAAATTAGATACTAAAGAGTTGAATTTTGACATCACCAAGAAAATAGATCAAAAGGATAGCTCCATAATGGAAATAGTCTATTCATATTCCACTGAAGACATTATTAAGAATCCAAACTTATTGGAGAAAAAGATAATATCATCCAAATTAGACTATTTATCAATCTTGTGTTTAATTGACTTGATGGGAAAGAAAACTAAGAATCCAACAAAGTTACTCCAGAGTTTATTTGAGAAATTGTACAATTATTTGATGTCTTCAAGTGATGAAAACCTGGTTAATTATTTTTCGTCTGAAAAAGTTTGGAAAGGCTTAATTGAATCATCTACAGCATTAGAGTTTTATAATGAAATATTAACAAATTTACCAAATATTAATACTGATTCATTAGCTCATTATGTTGTTACTAATTATACAAAGAATTTTGAAAGTATATTATGGATATTGACGGAAGATCAATTAAACAATCTCTTGACTATTGATGATTTTATTCCTGTAGTTTCACAATGCATTGTGAAGGATATTTCAGTTGACAAACTTACATTTTACAAACTTTACAATACTAAAGTTGATGAAAGAAATCATCTATTAGTCAAATTAATTGATAGAAATTTGGTCCAACTTGAAAATACTGAAGTTGTTCAATTTGTTGATGACTTGATTTCAAATCATGAAAATTACTTTTTGATACCTTATATAATTAACAAATTTGATTTCATAGTACCTGATTTATTGTCAAAAGATATCCAAGATGATTATTTAAATACCTTGATTGTATTCTCAATGATTAAAAAGGACGTTGAAGTTCCGGAAGAATATTTATCTAAAGTAATTCAAATAATAATAAACAAATTGAATGCAAATGCATTAGGTGATATTAAATGGAATCAGATTTTAACGATTATATCAAAAACAAATACTATATCAACTGAAATTTGCTCATTGATATTATCAAAAATACACTTTAAACATAGTTTAATTCCTGAATTTATTAAATTTATATCTACTTTCGAGACGACTCCTGAATTATCAAAATGGTTACATCAATCAATGTTATACATAACTAAGAAGATAGTTGAATCAGAAACATTATCATCCAATTTTTATCAATTTTTAAATGCAATAGGTGATTACTTATTAAGTAAGAAAAATATTTGGGATATTGTCCCTTCATCAATATTGAATACTCAAATTGAAGGTTTGTTAAGTAGTAAACATTTACAATCATCGTCATCGATTTTGAAATATTTAGTTAAATTAATTCTAGTTTCACCAAAATCTAAAATTGAGTATCTAAAATTATTTCAAATTCTTATAAATTTACCAAATAATAAATTAGAGAAATTTCCAACTAATGAAAATGAAGAAATTAGATATTACATTGCAGTTCTTCTTTACTTATTGTTCAATTTTGATCATTCCAAATTATCTAATTTTTCAACAATGATGATCTTAATTGAAAAATTTTATCTTGCAACTAATAGATTTGAAGATTTGATTATAAAAACAATATTGATTAAGATAGAATCAAAAACTGCTGTATCATGGGTATCTAAAATTTCTAACTGGGAATTTATTGATGAAATTAATGAGATTGAATCTGACTTAGTTGGTAGAGATAGATTAATAAAGAAGACTAGTGATGGAAATTTCACAATATTCTTGAACAAGAATATGTGTTTAAATACATTGAACTCAATTCAGTATGAAGTGCCAGAATTGAAAAAGGACAAGAAGGCATTTTGGAATCGGTTAAAAGAAATGAATGAATTAAATGAATTATTAAATGTTCATAAATTATCTTATGATCTAGAGTTTTTATTAATGATTATATTAAATAATGAAGAATTGTTGCAATATTCAAACAATGAAGAAGTGGTCAAATATTATTTCAATATCAAGAATTTAATAGATAATGGATTTTTACAAGTTATTGTTTCAAATTTGACAAATTCAAAATATAAACTAATCATCAAAATTATATTAAATAAGTTATTAAACTCAATTGATGATAATTTATCATTCAAGGATAAACAACTATACAAAGTTTTAATATCTACTATCTTATTCAATATAGATAAAAACATACCATATTTAATCTTTTATTTTTATGGACAATTAATTCCAATATTATCAAATCCTGGTCATTTCCTTTATGAAAAATCATATAGATATATTTTATCACATCCAATTATATCAACGTGGGAATTACCATTATATAAATCAATTATACAACCAGAAGATAAAGATAATGAACATTATTATAGAGAGTTAAAATGGTTTATTGAAACAATAACAAATGGTATTAAAACAGTGGAAGATTTGAATATATTGAGAAAAGAAGTTATTGAATTTATTTTGAATTTATTTAATTCATACTACTTGAATCCAAAATTGAAATGCTCAATATTTAAATTAATTTATCAAATACAATCAATTGATCAAGGTTCAGATATGTTAATTACAAGGTTTGGTATATTATCAAATTTAGATTTAATTATCAATGGTTTAAATGATGATGGTACCATTGACAAACAAATCAAATTGAATATCCTTGAGTTATTAAATAGATTTAAATTAAGTATTGGTGAGAGTAAAAGGGTCAATGATTGGACTAGATTCAATCTAAACAACACATTAATTGCATTGCATGATAAAATTACCTAAAATATTTTAGACGAGAATGTATGAATGTATGTTTCAAAGTGGAATTTTATAGATGATTTTAATGAACAACAAAAATGATGGGTAAAAAATTTTCTTGCTCTTATTCAACGCCTTCATTTATTACGGTCTATGTATTGGTGCAATCTGTGTTTCGAATGCTTTTTTTATTTGTTGGATATTCATCATCATATGCTAACTGAGCATAAAGATGAAAATTATGATGATTTAGAAATTGTTGAATATTAGAGTATTTGCAGGTTCAGATATGGATAAGGTTTCAAAGTTGAATAAATGGGTGTTTAATATAATAGATATCGGATTTACTTCGAGTGTTACATTTTGTTTAAAATTCTCGATTATCAAGGGGACAATAGTAACGTTATTACAAAATGATCACTATCTAGATATTTATTTGCTGCCCTTTGTATAGAATTACTACTTTCATTATCATGTAGGATTTAAAATATACTCGGTTTATTTTAGAATTTGGTTTGCATTTGTTCATGTGTGTCCGCCTTAATTGAATGTAACTCAAAAGCGATCGGAAATTTCTCTCTAATATAAATACTATTGAAAATGTCAAATTCAAATTTTTCAATATCATTAGGTATTTACTGATGTATAAGATACATTGTAATATATGTGGTAGATATTTTTATGGTACTGACGAATACGTAGCTCATCATGCTGGTGATCATAAATCTCAAAATAAAGATTATACTTATGAACCATTGAATTTTAATATCATACCCAAACAATAAGAGATTCATTAGCTTCTAGATCGTTTTTCAGTTCAACACAAGTACAAAATTAGGAGTTCAAATTATAAGGTCATTTAATAAGGATGTTTAATATATAATTAAATTGTTAAACTATCAGCTCATTAAGCGCGAGATTATTTCCTCTTTGGGTCAAATCTCAGATCCTTTTTTTTGTATTTACGAGATTTCTGGATCTACGATCTGAGATCTCAAATTTGTGATGAAGACCTTTTAAAGATAAACTTGGCAATCTAATGATATTAGTAGACACTAGTATAAACATAAATTTTGAGATGTAAAAGTGTTATTCATTTTGAAATACTGGCTTAATTTATATTTTGTTGTCTTACACCATTTTATTAAAGATCCATTCTTAGTCACCTATTATTGCTATTAAGAGAGCTATTAAAGCCCTAGAGTTTAGGCTCGAGTATCAAAATACTACTAAAAGCTGCTTTCATTTGATACTACTAATAAGCTGCTTTCACGGTGTTAAAAATTAGTATCACTCGACAATTTTTTGTCATCAAATTATTTTCAGGTTTCACAGTAAATTGATTCAATCAATTTAAGTTTGTTGATTGATAATTCCATAATGAAAATATGGAATTATTGTTATCTAATGTGTTGCTTTGTTCTACTTCGGTATTTGGTGCCGGTCAAAATTGGAGTAATTGGTTGAGTGGAAATATGACAACAACTCATGCTATTTTTTGTCTAACAGGAACTGTGCTCCTAGACATTTCAGGTAGTTTCATTTGGTTCTGTCTCAGGGATCATGAGTTTTTACTTTGGCTTCAATATTTATAACTATACTTTGTTATGAAGTTCTATGTTTCAAAAATATGTTTGGTTAATAGATGCAAGGCCGATAGCATAACTAAGATAATGAAGAAGTGAAGACGGTGGTAATAACCAATTCCAGTTATGATCTACATATAGGAACTTAGTTGCCAATGAATCATTCATTAGTGAGGATATTCAAATGGAACAACATCAAACTACAGGAGATGAATACACCTAAGAGTGAATCTAATAATGATTAAGTTCAGGATATTGTCTATGTCATAGATTGATTGGGTATCCTTATGGATCTGACTTCGATTATTTTGAGATTCTAGCGAAACCATTTCATTGTTAAAGTAAACCACTGATATATAAGAGCAAGGAGGGTATAGAAAATAGGTCCTAGATTGACAAGCTATAAATCAAAATCTTTTGGCCAGTTGCCGTAAGTTCAATATACAATATCAAGTTAATTTAACAAATTACTACCAATTGGTAGCATATTTGTCGCTCTACGCTTTAAATTTGTGAAACAAAAAAATTCAAATCTCATCTCATATATTAGTTTTAACCACAAGACATTTAATAATTATTCATATATCATCATAATGATTAGAACTGTGAAACCAAAAAATGCACGCTCGAAAAGAGCATTAGCTAAAAAGGAAGCTAAATTAATAGAAAATACCAAATCTGCATTATTTGTACCTGGATCAACTGGTAATAAATTATTACATGATGCAATGTGTGATTTAATGGCTTTAAAAAAACCATTTGCAAAGAAATTTACTAAAAAAAATGAAATAAGGCCATTTGAAGATTCAACAGGATTGGATTTTTTTGCTGAAAAGAATGATTCTTCTTTAATGGTATTTTCAACTCATAATAAAAAAAGACCAAATACATTAATTTTCACGAGATTTTTCAATCATAAAGTTTATGATATGATTGAATTATCAATTTTGAATCATAAATTATTGCAGGATTTTAAAAAAACTACATTTACAATAGGTTTAAAACCAATGTTTGTATTTAATGGACCATTATTTGATTCACATCCAATTTATCAACAAATAAAATCATTCTTTCTTGATTTTTATAGAGGTGAAGAAACTGATTTACAAGATGTTGCAGGATTACAATATGTTATATCATTATCAACTGGTGAATTAGAAGATATAAATAATGATAAAAATTTATCAGCTGTATATTTTAGAGTTTATAAATTAAAATCATATAGATCTGGTCAAAAATTACCAAGAATTGAATTGGATGAAATTGGGCCAAGATTTGATTTTAAAATAGGTAGAAGAATTACACCAGCACCAGAAGTTGAAAAAGAAGCAAATAAAAAACCAAAACAATTACATCCAAAAGAAAAGAAGAATGTATCAACTGATTTTATGGGTGATAAAGTTGCACAAATTCATGTTGGTAAACAAGATTTAGGTAAATTACAAACAAGAAAAATGAAAGGTTTAAAAGAGAAATATGATCAAATAAGTGAAGATGAAGATGAAGATGAAGATCAAGATGTAGATAGTGATGATGTATATGTATCAGAAGAAGAATATTTTGCAGATGAAGTTGAAGAACCACAACCAAAGAAACAAAAGAAGTAAATAGGTTAAAATTATACACCAAATATTTTGCAACTCTTTTATATATTTTTCCATTTGGTAGCTCCTCTTTTGTTTTTGATTAACATTGAAATTTTATTTTCTTTTCATCACTTAACAATTCATCTTATAACCAATTAGTATTATATGTCAGTGTCAATATTTAAACCTAGGAGTAATATAACTCCAGTCAATGAAACAGGTTTAAGCACATCCAATAATATAAATCATGAATTAACTAGAAATAATTATTATTGTATGAGTAAACTACCTGGTTTACCATCAATCTTTAAATCACAACAATTTCTTAATGCATATTCAGAATCATTTTCAAATTATAGTTTAGTTATAAATGAACAACACATATATGTATGGCAATATAATTCATCTGATCATTCACCATTAGCTATACAATTCCCCATTGAAAAATTTCAATTACCTATGGCGATTTTAACAAGACCTACAAATGGAATTCATAATGGTTTACAACATCAAGATCCTGGTTTAATTATAATTGATTCAATTAGTGGTTTAATTAAATTTTATGAAAGTGTCCAACATGCTCCTACTTTAGGTTTAATTAATGATAAATCATTGGAATTAAATATAAATTTGAAAAAAGGTGAAGGTATAACTTTGGCTGAAAACATTGAACCATCAGGTATAATAATTGCTACATCTCATCAAAGGTGTATTTTGATTACATTAAGAGATTTCAAACACAAACCTCATTTATCCACTACGGAGTTGATAAATAATGGATCTGGTATATTTGATTTTTTCAATAAGACTGGTGATAATGAAATTGTCGCTATCAGATCAGGTAAAAAGATATCAGAAATTATACAAGAGATATTAATATTGGATTCAATTGGTAATTATCACCTCATTACCTTTAATTTAATTTCATCAGTTATTGAATATAAAAAATCATTCAAACAAACTTTACACATTGATATTGATGGGTACCCAAGTGCAAATAATGAAATCAAATATCTTGATATTTGGCCATTGGAAAATTATGATAATGTTTATTTAGCATTATGTCAAATTAATAATAGAGATTTATTTTTAATAACTTTAAAAATTGATAAATCGGGTGTTTTATTATATGGATCACATAGATTGAAAACTGCAAGTGCAGCTAATAGTAACTCAAAACCAAAATTATATTTACCAAAACCTTCAACAACTGCATTTATAATAATTGATAATTCAATAATTTTAACAGATTTAAATACATCATATATTGAGTCTCAAAATACATCAATAACTTATTATAAACCAAGATGGGAAGATGTAGTGAGGTTAAAATCATCAGTTGAGATTATTGGAAGTGGATATGAAAATCAAACAACTAGTCAAAATCCATCAATTATATTAATTACAAACAATTTTGGTATTTTAAAATTGGAAAAATTTCCAGAACAAGAATCAATAAGTAAAAAAGATATTGATCCTATATTGATAGTCAAATCTCATATTGAACAAGGTATATTTTATTCGTCTGCTTCATCGGAGATTGATTTTGATTTATCACAAAAATTTGATAATAATACAATTTTACAAGCTATTGAATTAATTAATGAAGAGATATTAAATTCAAAAAGCTCTTACTTGCCTAAAAAAATTTCAATCACCGAGTTAACTAAATTAAAAGTTAAACTATTCAAAGAATTGATTAATTACATTTTAAGGAATTTTGATTTATCAAAAGTCATACCTAAAATTGCCCAAAGTTTAGAAAAAGCAAACGTTGCATTAAATTTATGGAAATATATTGATGAAAATAATTTTCAAAGTATATTTGAACAAGTACAACCACATTATAAATTATTTTTTATTGAAGGTTTATCTAAAATCAGTGTTGTTTTAAATAAATTTATTCAAAAGATTGATGAGTTAAATAAACCTGTGATTCCATTAATTATTACTACCTTATATCATGGTTTATACATAAATGACATTCAGTATCAAAATCAAAATAAATCATCATTAAACTGGCTTTCTACAACGGATATACTCATGAGAGTTGAAGCTATATTTACAAGAGAGTATAGCAATAAAAAACAAACCGATGATGTCAATGCTTATTACGTAGTTGAATCATTATATTATTTTTTCAATAAGACTATTTCATGCATGACAGAAACTGATGATTTAAAATTAGACGAGTATGCTCAATTTTATAATTCACATAAATCAAATTGGATTGACATATTATTAAATATTGGATATATACTGCAAGCAATTGAAATTAGTGAAAAATATCATGATTTTGCAGCTTTGGCTAAAATATTAGATATACAACGAGATTCAAATTTCATTGATATTTCAACTTACGGTCAATATTTTGAAGAATATGGTTATGAATTTGCTAGTCATCTTTATGATTATTATCTTAAATATAATAAGATTCAAATTTTAATACTTGATTTCACAAATTATAAACAAGAATATTTGTATAGATGGTTTGAGGAGAATCCAAAGAAAACAAGTAAAGTATCATGGATTAGATATTTGTTGGATAAAGTATTCATTGAGGCTTCAAATTCATTAGTATTAAATGCAGAGAAATCAAGAGATAATTTAAAAAATCAACAATTGAAATATTCAATGGCTAAATTGGCATGTATAGCAGGTGGAGATAATGAAATTGAAGATTTAAATAAAGAATTGAAATTGATTAAAGTTCAAACTATAATTAAAGAGAAATTGGGAATTAATTTTAATGTATTGAAACAAGATTTTTATATTAAGAATTATCTTAATGAAAATATTAAAGATTATAAAATTGTTGAATCATTTTTGCATAGATTTATTGAAGATTATCAATTGACACCAAGTGAGTTAATAAATTTAATAAGTACTTTTAGACCAAGCTTGATTGATAATTTTGGTGAATTGGCATTGAATGTTGCTAAATTAATATCAAATGAAAATGAAAGAAAATTTTATATTAAAGTTGTATTTACTAAATTATTAACTATTGGAGATAATGAGATAATTACAAATGGAACAGATGAGATGATAAAGGAAAGTAATAAGAAAACATCATTATATAAAGCATTAGTTAATCATCATGACTTGCTTGATTTTTGCAAATTATTTATAAATAATCCTAAATTGAATGATAATTACGAAATTGATACCACAATTAGAGAATTTAATGATGTTTTATTAAAACAATTACAAGATAAATTTAAAAATGATAAAAAGTTTAAATCCTGGGTTGAATCAATTATTGAACAAATAAAATTTAGTAGCTAATTATAGAATGTAATTATATGATGTATATTTTACGAAATATTATGACTCTAATGTCTACCGTAGCATATCGTTGCTCTATCGCTTGAGTAAGTATCCATTTGAAATTATCGTGAATCAAATTCTAAATCTAACCCATGAAATAATTTAGTACATCTCTTGTAAGGCTTTTCATCACGTAAAACCTTTCCCCTGGTATATGTATTTTCATCACGTACAACCTTTTCCCTGGTATATGTATCTATATAACGACCAGCATCAACAGATAAAACCACATCATAACTCATGTTTCATTTTCAGACACCTCTTCTTCTTCTTCATCATCTTCTTCATTTTCATGTTGTTCAATATCTTCTTGTGATTTATCATTCTCACCATCATTATTCAAATTAATTCGTACCAAAGGTTCAGGATATTTCTCACCTGATTGTTGTTGTTTTATTAATCCAAGACTTGCCAATTGAATATTTTGTATAACGTTTTGCCAATTTGATAAAACAATAGCAACAGAACTAGTACCATCCTGAACAACTTCTAAATTCGACCCAATAAATTCCAATTCAGCTAACAATTCATTGGTTAATTCTTTAAATTCTCTTAATAATTCTAAATTGGCTCTCTTTTCAGCTATTTTTGAATAAATGGATCTTGACATTTTTCGTATTTTTTATTTTTATTTTTTTTTTGTTTGTTTGTTTACAATTTTCATCAATGGCTCGAAAGTCAGATATACCGTCAAATAATAGACGAATATCATTCTATTCAAGTTCAGGAAGTGATAATAATGATCAATTAACAACTTATAAAGAACAGAATAGAATTTTGGCGAAACGAATTTTAAATTATTGTACGAAGATAGCTGAATTGGAAAGTAAGAATCAAGAATTAGTTAATGAGAATAGAATGTTAAAATTGAGAAAAGTTAAAGATAAATGCGATGGTCAATTGATTGGTATAATTGAAAATGAGTTTAATAATATGATACTGAAACTTAAAAATATGAATAATGGAAATAATGAAGAAATGAAGGATGATAATACAAAATTGAATGATAATAGAGGTCATATTTCAACTATTATGGAACAAGAAGATCTGGATAATCATTTAAAAAATGGCGATCTACCTCTAACTATCGAAAATTCAAATTTAAATAGAAAATCAAATACTAATACTACAGATCATGATCAGACTATGTCAACAGGTAATATAGATGAGATGAATGCAACATCAACTCCAAGTAAACATTCAGACAAGAGTGAAAATGAAAATACTACCACATCTAAACCAATTCAATTCTTCGAAGAAAATGACCAACCAACCAATAATGTCAATTTTGGATCCAAACCTCAAGCATTATCGAGTCCTAGATTAAATCATGTAGAAAAGCATCTTCTATTAGGTAATAAAGAGAAATCTGTATCTGTTGAGCCTGCTCCTCAGTCACAACTATTATCAAACCCATACTCGAATATAATTTCAAAATCAAAATCAAAGAAGACAAGTCGTCGCTCAACAATTGATAATACAACACAAGAAAGAGAACCAAAAGATGTTAATAAGTCACAAAAAGAGTTTCGTTTCATTTTTGAAGAACCGCAACCTGCTAAGTCAGAAGAAATTAAGTTAAAACCAAAACCAATTAAACCTAAAGAAACAAAAGCACTAAAATCCAAAACAAAAAATACTGAACAAGTGGAATCTAAGCCAAAACCAACACCACTTGCTGTTTTCCAAGATTATGAATCAAGTGTATCTGCTTCACCATCATTATCAGATGAAAATAATATCGGGAGAAGATCAACAAGAATTAAAAAAGAAGTAAGTTATAAACAACCATCAATGAGAGCTAAAATGAGAAGAGAATCAGTTAAAATGTTAGATGCAGTTGGAGAAAATGTATTTTTAAATTATACAAATGATCAAAATAAGAAAAGAAAAGATATATCACCAATAAAACCAACTTCAAGCTCAAAAAGAAAACCATTAGGAAATATAACAACCAATACTAATTCAAAAAATCAAAAACGTCAAACTTTGGAGCCATTTATTGATAATAAAAAAAACAATGACATGTCTATATTTGACTTTCAACCAGAAACCAATAAAGATAACACTAGAAATAGGAATCGTAGATATACTAATTTGTAATATATTAATACATTTCCACTCGTTTCTACTTTATGTACTCGTAATCGATTTCTTAAATTTAAATCCTTATATATTCCTTTACACACTCATTTTCATTTTAATTGTTGGATACGGATCATATTCCGATATTTCAAAATCTTCAAATTTAAAATCATTAATTGATTCAACATCTCTTTTTATTTTCAATTTTGGAAATTGTTTTGGTATTCTTGTAAATTGTTCTTTTAAAGCATCTATATGATCTAAATAAACATGAGCATCACCCATTGTATGTATAAATTCTCCACAATCCATATCTACAATATGAGCAATCATTTTAGTTAATAATGCATAAGATGCAATATTAAAAGGAACACCTAATCCCATATCACAAGATCTTTGATATAATAAACAAGATAATTTCGGTTTTTTACCTTGTGGAAAATTCACATAAAATTGACAAAATACATGACAGGGAGGTAAGGCCATTTTTTTAAAATCTGGTGGATTCCAAGCTGACATTATAATTCTACGATCATAAGGATTAGTTTTCAATTTTTTAATTATATCAGATAATTGATCAAAACCTTGATTTGAATAATCCGTATCACAATCTATATATTCAGCACCAAAATGTCTCCATTGAAATCCATAAACTGGTCCTAAATCACCTACTTTACGATGATTTAATCCTAATGAATCTAAAAATTCTCTACTTCCATTACCTTCCCAGATTTTTACACCCTTTTCACTTAATATATTAGCATCGGTTGATCCAGCAATAAACCATAATAATTCATGTATTATACCTTTTATAAATACTTTTTTGGTAGTTAATAACGGAAAGGTATCATTCGATAAATCAAATCTTAATTGTGGTGGAGCAAATAAAGATTTTGTACCAGTACCTGTTCTGTCAGGACGATGTTCACCTTCTTCTATGATACGTTGACATAAATCTAAATATGTTTGTTCTGCTGAATTCGGAGATACAGTCATAATGAATAATTAATGATCTCTATTTTCGTGATAATTTATTTTGTTTTATTTTTTATTTTTTATTTTTCATTTTTTATTTTTTATTTTTATTTTTATTTTTTACGCGTTTTAAATTTTGCGCTACCAAGTTGAAAAAATAAGCGCAAATTCTAAAATGCGCTTTTACCCCCTAACTTTTAAGCTTCAATACCCCTTAATTGTAAAATGAATTTAATTCAGCTATCGTCAATAAAAACTTAACAAAATTGTGGCTATAAGTGGCAAATAAGATATCTTAATATGAACAATATTCGAATATTTACGATAGATGAATACTGTAGAATTTACATGCAGTTAATCAAATCAAAATGAATATATATTCCATATTTTTTGAATTAAGATTAATCAGCTATAAAAATTAATCAACTATAAAAATAATAAAAATAATAAAAATAATAAAAAATAATAATAAAATGAAAAATAACCACCACTATATCAAATAGTAAACTAGTAAACTAGTAGCTAGTCAAATTAGTCTATTTTTTTTCACCAAAGATAGCATCTGAAGCTTGTTGAACAAATGATTTTTGGTTATCTGAAGTAGCGTCACCAGCTAAGTTATCAGCTTTATCAGTAACTTTATCTTTAAATTGTTCTGGAGTTGATTTTTGAGAATCTGGTTTTAATGAAGATTCAATTTTATCACCAATATCTTTTCTACCGAAGTCTGACATTATTAATTAATTTATAATTTGTTATAATGAAGAAAAGAATAACAAAATTCAAAAGAAAATTAGAGGAATTTCGAGGTCTATTTATACTCCACAATTCAGATTATTTATCCCTTAATGAAATAAACTACACCTATAATGAATGACTTTTGTTCCTTACTTAAACTTTTTATACTCTTACATATTTCCATATACATATTGTTAACTATGGTGATTATGCAATAATTGGTTGCTAATTACATAATCAATAAGTATTTTGTATTGCTAGATATAACCAAATTACACGACTTTTTTATTTGGTAGCAAATCTCGATTCATAACCATTGCGAAATTTATTTATAGTAGAAATAAGTAAACAATAGCCACAAATATTATCCACGTTGCAGAATGAAACCAATTACACACAGATTTAAACAACAACACGCTGGCAATACTTTTGAAATACAGAATCGAGAATTTCAGATCATTCAACTTAGGACTACAATTAATTGTAACAACATTGCCATTAATTATCCAGAAGTTAAACAACTTTTTGCTATTGATGATCATGATTTCTAAATATAGTAAATTCTTACCACCTCTCTTCCTAACTAAAGTTCGAGGCTCAGAATTTTACTAATTCGCCGAGCATTGCTTATGATATGCGTCGATATTTAGCAAATAATAATGGATCAATTTCAATTTCAATGTCAATTTCAATGTTAATTTCAATTTCAATTTCAATGTCAATTTCAATGTCAATTTCAATGTTAATTTCAATGTCAATTTCAAAGTCAATTCCAATGTCAATTCCAATGTTAATTTCAATTCCAATGTCAATTCCAATGTCAATTCCAATGTCAATTTCTCACGTTTCTTATAAAATTTTCGATTCAATTACGAAATTAGATATTTTTACTAGTAATTGAATCAATAAAAAAATTACCCGACGCAAGGCAAATATTTCCGCATAATTCATAAAAAACCATATATTGTATTGTATACAATACTTTCTATAGATTTATCATCATAGTCTATCTATCCTGTCTTTACACTTGCAACCATCTAAACCATTTAAACCATTTTGGTTCTACCAATATACAATCAGCATTAGCAATAACTATACTTTTTTCTCCATTGAGTGGAAATGTAGTCAATTCACCTTCAATAACAACTTTTCTACCCTTATGTTGTTTAACTTTTGCTTTTAACATTAATGTACTTTTAGGAGGTGCTTGATTTTTAAAATTAATTGATAATTGAGCAGTAACTCCCTTTTTTGAAGGTAATAACGGAAATCCAGCAGAACAAATACCTTCATCAAGTATAGTTGATATAATACCATTATGAATTTGACCATCTTGACTAATTAATTCATCTCCAAGATAATAAAAACTAGTTAATTCTCCACGTTTATCTAAAAATACAATTGGATCAATTTCCATTAAATTAGGTCCAAATAATAAACCAGTACCTACATAATTATCATGATGTTGATTTGGAAATGAAGATGATGAATTATAAACAATTAAATCTTTATTTGCTTGTAATTTTTTAAATTCGTTACTTTGTTCAATTTGAGATACTATTGATTCATTTATATGATTGATCTTTTTATCATTCCAACTTGTCTTTCTCCATTCTTTAGGAAATATAGCTAAACCTAAACCAAAAGCAAAAATGGGTATTGTTTTTCTTGATATACTTTTAAACATAACCAATAGTTTTGTTACCACTCCTAATGTAATCAGTTTTTTCTAATCTTCAATGTCTGTCGTAAAATATCAAATGAATGTCGCATTTTTTTATTTTTAAAGAGATGAGATTTTATATTTTTTTTTTTTTATATCAGTTTTGCAACAATTTATAAAGCCATGGGTAATAAAACAAAAGGTACTAAACGTACAAATAAACAAGTTGATACAAATTTTAATAAGAAATTGAAAACTACTAATGAATTACCATCATCTCCACTTTCTGAAAGTGAAGAAGAAGATTCACAAGAAGAAGAAGAACAAAAAGACGCCGAATCAAGTTCTGAAGATGACTTAGATATGAGTGAATCAGAAGATGAATTAGATCAATTAGATGAAGAAGAACAACAGAAAGACGAAGACGAACATGAAGAAGATGAAGAAGATAAAGAGGATGAAGAAGATAAAGATGATGAAGAAGACGATGCTGCGGTTGAAAATGATGTCAAAGAATCAGATCCAAATAAAAAATCTTCAAAAGAACAACATTTAGAACAAAAGAAATTATTAGCTGAACGTAAATTACAAAGAAAATCAGGAGTGGAAATTCAAAAAATTAAATCTTTATGGGAAAAATTAAGAGATTCAAATACTACTAAAACACAAAAGGATAAATTATGTAATGAAATTTGGGAATTATCAAAAGATTGTATAAATGATTTAGTGTTAAAACATGATGCATCAAGAGTAGTTCAAACGTTAGTCAAATATTCAAATAAACAACGTAGATTAATAATTACTCAATCTTTAAAAGGTTCATTTTATCAATTAGCCACATCTGCATATGGTAAATATTTACTTATAAAATTATTACATTATGGTTCAAAAGAAAGTAGACAATTAATTATAAATGAATTACATGGTAAACTTCGTAAATTAATGAGACATAGAGAAGGTGCATATGTAGTTGAAGATTTATTTGTATTATATTCAACTGCAGAACAAAAACAACAAATGATGAGAGAATTTTGGGGTAGTCAATTTGCTTATTTTAAAGATGCAGGCGGTAATAAAACTGTAATTGATATAGTTAATGAAAATAGTGAAAAGAAACAATTAATAATGACTAATTTATATAATACTATAAAAGCTTCAGTTGAAAAAGGTTCAACTGGTTTTCAGATTTTACATGCTGCAATGAAAGAATACACAAATATATTAATACAAGATATAGAAGTCAATGATTCATCAATTAGAGAATTTATTGATTTGTTAACTGAACAATTTGCTGAATTGGTACATACTCAAGAAGGTTCAGATGTTGCTAATAAACTTATTGCAATGGCAAATGCAAAAGAAAGAAAAGGGTTAATTAAATCTTTAAAATCACATATTGATGAATTGATAAAGAATGAATATGGGAATCTTATTTTAATTAATTTATTTAGATGTGTTGATGATACTGTTCTTGTTTTCAAATCATTTAATGATATATTTACAATTGATAAATTTCCAAATATCATTGAATCTAAATTTTCAAGAAGACCAATATTATATTTATTTAAAGGATTAAATGGGAAATATTTTAGTCCAAGTACCAAAAAACAATTGGATGAATATGAAGAAGTAGCATATAGAAAAACATCAAAGAAGGACAAAGAAACAAGAAAAGCCGAATTGCTTGAGAAATCATTAATTCCAATTTATAATTCCCTTATTGAACAACCTAATGACTCAATGAATAAGATATTATCAAATAATATGTCAATACAATTAATTACTGAATTATTATTGACAAAGACTGAAAGTTCAAAAGTAAATGAGGAATTGAGACCAAAATTAATTGAAATCATTTTTGAACATACTGTAAAAGGTGATATTTTAGAAGATTATCATTTATTAAATAAAACTCCATTTATTTCAAGAGCATTAAAATCATTAATTCAAGGTAATCAATTTAAATTTAATAATAAAAGTAAGAAATTAGAAAAAATAGAAGGTGAAAATAATCCTAATCTTGGTGTAGAATTTGCTGAAAAGGTAGTTGATGAAATAATAAGTACTGATGTCGAAAAATGGACTTCTAATCAAGCTGCTTTTGTGTTGGTATCAACTATTGAAGTTTTAGAATTAAGTAAATCTAAAAAAGTCAATAGTATAAAGAAAGAACTCAAAAAACATAAAAAAGAATTAGGTAAATCAGAAGATAAAGGATCTAGATTGTTGTCTACATTTATATAAATTACATAAGAACTTCATCAGCATCAATTTCTTCATCTTCACTAAATGAAGCATCAGATTCACTACTGTCATCAGGACTATCATTAAATATAGATGATCTATGACTCAATTGTCTTTCAATTTTGACTTTCTCTTCTTGTGGTTCATAATCTTCAACAGAATGTATACTCTCATCATCATTTTCATTATCTTCTTCTTCTTCTTCTTCTTCTTCTTCTTCTTCTTCCTCTTTTATAATTATTGCATCTGCATCATATTCATTCGCACCATATTCTTCAAACCATTCTAATTTGGAACTACATCTTAAACATGGTAAATCTTCACTTCCTAATTTAATTTGATTAAATTTTGTAGCTAAACAAACATAACAATACACATGTCCACAGTTTGTAATATAAGGATTTGTAATTGGTCCAAGACTAGGAAATACTCTGTTTCCACTAAGACTAGCTTGTTGATTATTATCATGACATATAGCACATTGATCAATTGGTAAATTTGAATATTTTGTAAGCCGAGGTTGATTATTAATATCAATAAAATCTTTATCTTTAGAACCACCACCAAATACTTTTTTAATTAATTTGTTGAATTTACGTAATTGTAATAAAGGAAGAATGAATACGAGAAACTCAGTCATTACATTCCACACTAATTGACGATTTTGAAATTCGTAATTGACATTAGATCCATTAAATTTGAGCAAGTCTGAGTTTCTTGGAGTTTCTATAATGTTTAAAATTCGATGAATGAGACTTGGGTATTTACCATTAACTAAAAATATAGTAAAGTTGATTAAATTTAAGATTTTGAAACTATTGTTTAATTTAGTTAGGATATTCATTCTATTACGTATGATCCAATTCTTAAGTCTTAATAATATTCCATCTTGATAATTATGACCATTATTTTCCTCTATTCCATATAAGTATGTCTCCAATCTCTTGTATAAATATGTACCTATCAAAATCACCAATAAAGATGTTTTTTTATACTTACTTATAATTTTACCTGTTTTCAAATCTGTTAATTTTAAATTTTGTAATATTGAACCATAACTTGATCCATTTTCCCATATTGTATACCTGAAAATTAAAATATTTAATAATAATGAATAAAATTCTGGGTTGGCATTAATTGATAGTTTATAAATATAAGAATTTGGATTTGAATGTAATTGAAAAATAGATGTTACTTGTTCTTTCAAAAGCGAGAATAATTCATTATCTAATATATATGCATCTAATTGTGATACTCTAGGTGATGGATATGGTATTGGCTGCATATTTGATAATTTAGTTGATGATTTTGATTTTTTTTACTCCACACATTTTCATAATTTTTCAATTGATTAATGCCGTGGTTGATTAATGACAACCAAGTAAGAGAGTAATCAAGCAGGATGCAGTAGAAATGGATGTGGAGTCATCATCTGAGCTATATTAATTGAGTTTTGAGCAGATAAAGTAGAGCAGGTGTGAGGTTTGACGATTTTTTGATGCTGAAACATGGTAGGGTAGAGAAGCATCATTAAAAGTACTCAACTTTTTGTCATTAGCGATTATCGCTTCACTCCAGAACTCTGATACCTCAAGATGCTGAATCTACTTGGAGTTTTAGAATTTGAACTAGTACTTTAAATTTGTAATTATCCGATTAATAATTTAGTTTAAGCCATTTCTAAAACGTCAAAGATAGATGAAAGAATTAGAAGTCAATTAAGAGAGCTAACTGCTTTCAAATCAGCCAGAAACTATGCTACGGTTGGGTTGTTAATCATTACGTTATTTTTGGGATTATTCAAACGTTTAGTACTGCTTACAACCAAAAATCGAAGAATTAAAGAAACAGTTGGATCAATTGCGAAGCTCATAAAGAATAGTTTAACATAGGTAAGAGTTCTACCCGTAGAATCGCCTGATGGAAAGCATTTGAGATTTGACGTAATTAATCGTTAATAAGACAGAATTTGAATTACAGCATTCAACGAGTTTAAGCATGCAAAATTAAAGGTCCTAAGGTTCTACGTTACATATGTCAATTACCAAATTAGGTACTGACAATAGGTTTCAAATCTGGCATTTGTACATTATTTTTTCTACTAACATTGTCATGATCGAATTCGGCAACTTTTTTGCAACAAATAGGAAACAAAAGTGACATCTTAATCGGAACAGACCAGTATAACGATAAAGAGCAAACTATCAATAGAGAGCTTTTAATTTAACTTTTATTTCAACTTTCCATTTTAAAAATTAATTACAAAAATAATTATAACAGCTGCTCAACAAACACGGACTACTAAATATTCAACTGATGTTTCAAAAGACAATGTTATTTGGGTTTTAAAAGGTGTGTCTTGGATTGGTTCTAATTGTACAATTATGTAAAAGATGAGCCATCATGTTGGTTAATGGTTTTAATTGGATTGATTGATTGGAGAACTGATGAAACTTGCTTCCAAAATAACTTGATACATTAGCTGTCATAATATTTGTTTTATTTTGAGTCTATAAAGCTTATTGCTTTTTTTAAGTTTATTCTTTTATTTATCAAATTGATCTGATTTGAAATGAAATTGGACTCAAAAGCTCAACAACTCAAATGAGCAACTACATATAAACTTTTCTAATCAAACTTTAAACTTTTCTTATCAAACTTTAAGTCAGCTTTATGTGGAAACAATATATACTCAACATGAATTAATTCTTATCCATTCAAGAAATTTCATCAAATTAAAAAAGGCGGGGAGCATCAGTTTACGAGTTTATATACTCTTTCAAGTACTGAGGATAACTACTCCTCCTCAGTCTTTCATTAATCAGAATAAGCAGTCTTTGAACTTATTTAAATGATTTGGCTGCAAAATTTGGCTTCAAAATTAATCCAAAGAAAAATAAACGTTTTAGGAAAAAAAAGAAAATCTTGAATGAGATCTTCTGCTAAGAAATAACAAATCATCACATAAAATTTTTATTTATTAGAAGGTTGATATCGTCAACTATTTAAAAGAAAATAGGGATTCACTATAATTTAGTGATAAGCAAGAGAGATAGTACAACTATTACTATTTTTGCTTTTTTGAATAGTGCATTTTGCACCTTACCTTACGTTTGCGCTAAAATTCCTATAAATCATGTCAGAAATAGAACAAATTGATATTAGAACAAGTATAGATTCCTTATACATGCTATATTGTACTTCATTACTACCGTTGGTAATTTTAGGTATTGCATTTTTTTATTCTGGTTTAACTCAAAGAAGATCATCATTAACTATGTTTTCAATACCATTTTTAATATGTCCCATGATTATTATTGATTGGTTCATATGGGGTTATTCATTAACATATTCTACTTCATCAAATCATTATATTGGAAACTTGTCATTTGCGGTTTTAAGGAGTCTTAAACATCAATTAAATACTCAATTTACAAATTCAAGAGGTTCAATTTTACTACTTAGTCATTTTTTATTTAATATGTTTTTTAAATTAATTTGTGCTGCTTTAACATTTCCTGGCTGTATTGCAGAAAGAGGAAGAATATTACCAATGTTATTATTTTTATTCATTTGGTCGGTTATTATTTATAATCCAGTTACATATTGGTTTTGGAATGAAAATGGTTGGTTATCTGTTGATTTAAACAAGTTACCTGTTTTAGATTTTGCTGGTGGGAATTGTGTTCATATAGTTTCTGGTTTTACATGTTTAGCATATTCATATATTCTTGGACCAAGAAATCCAAAAATTTTATACAATTATAGGAATTTAAATACTAGTCATATTATAATTGGTATGTCATTTGTTTTATTTGGATGGATTGGATTTATGGCTGGTTGTGAATTTAAATTTAGTTATCGTTCATTATTTATAATTACAAATACAATATTAGCTGCTACGTCAAGTGGAATTATATGGACCGCTATTGATTTTTGGTTTAGTTCAATTCCATTAGAAGGTGAATTACAACCAATAACATCTGAAGGATCAAAATTAGATCCAGTTATATCTGAAACTGGTGTATTAAAAAGTCAAAGATATCATGAAACAAAATCAAATTTTATAGAAAAGAAGAAATTTTCAATGATTTCATTTAGTTCAGGAATAATGGCAGGATTAGTGGTATTTACACCTGCTGGTGGTTATATTTCTTCAAATGATGAATTTTGGAAACCAATTGTATTTGGAGTTGTTGGAGCTATAATTTGTAATATATCAACAAGATTAAAATATTTTTTCCAAATTGATGATGCTTTGGATATTTTTGCGATTCATGGAGTTGCTGGGATTGTAGGGTCTTTATTAACTGGATTATTTGCAAATAAATCATTTGGTTCTGAAGGTGGTTGGATTCATCATCATTGGAAACAATTTGGATATCAAACTTTAGGGGTTGTTATTACAAGTTGTTATGTATTTATAATGAGTTTATTTTTTTTATATTTAATTGATCTAATACCTGGTTTACATTTAAGGATAGATAAAAATTTTAATAAAAGAGAAAGAGAAAAGGAGAAAGTTAAAGAAGAAGAAGAGTCACAAATTAATGAGACTAAAGTTGAGTTTTGGGAGCAAGTTGAATTACAAGGAACTGATGCATATGAGTTCAATGGAGAATTTATGATGGATTTTATAGAGTTTATAAAAGTTATACGACCGCAAGATTATGAAGATGACACATTTCAAGAAGTTATAGAAGGTAATTTTAACACAAGTTACCAATCTCACGAAACAAACTTAACTAAAAGAGATTAATAAATAATGTTTAATGATAGTCTATAAGTCTAATTTAAAAGTCTCATTGTCAACTCGAATACTGCAAAAGTTGCACCATTAGCAGGAGCAGCTCTTAAAATAGTTGGTATAAATCCTTTATAAAAGCCTTTAATACCATTCAATTTCCAAATATCTTTAATTACCGATATTGACGAATTATATTTTGAATTTTTTAATGAATCAGTTTGTAATTTTGATTTTATAACATCAATTGGATATATACCAATCCAAAGACTATATCCAGATAATCCTCCAAATAAACATAATTTCCAAGCTGGTATATTTTCTCTAATTAATTTTGGTGTTTTTTTAATTTCATTCATTATTAAAGCTTCATAAGTTGCAAAATATATACCTAACCCAATTGATTCTCTAATCAAGGTCGGAACTAATCCTTTATAAATACTAGTTAATCCATTAACATTATAAATTTTTTTAAAACAATCGAGTGGTCCATTAAATTGTTTAATTTTAGATTGAGTTTGTAACCTTATTCTTATATGTTCAATTGGAGATGCTAAAAATCCATTTGCAAATCCTGCAATAGCACCACAATTAAAAAATTGAATTAAATTTAATTCTTTACCATGTAATTTATCATTATAATATCTTTTCATAAATTCATTAACTGAAAATTGAACAGAAACACAAGCTCCAACACCAACTAATGGAGTTAAAGTACCTTTATAAAAACCAGATATACCGTCATTTTTAATAATTTGTTTAACAACATCAATTGCTCCATTATATGTACCTTCTGGTGCTGATTGTAAATTAACTTTAACACAATCAAATGGTTGACCAACTAAAACTTGAGCAATACCACCCATTGTACCAGCAAATAAATCTTTTATAACTTGAGCATTATCATTGGTAAATTCAGGTTCTTCTAACTCAACTGCCATTCTTCAAATTATTAAAGCGAGTGTATAAATAAGAAGAAGCCTATTGGATTTGATTTCGAGATGATGTGAGTAATATATTATCTGCAGTCCGCCTAAAAAATATACGAGATGAAAGGAGTCAAACGAATTTTGCAGCCAAACAATTTTGACTCTGGATTTTGCAGCAATTACGCTACCACTTGGAGTCGCGCCCGGGCAAATAAGGAATCTCGAAAATTTATAACATCAGGAAAACTTCAATATTAACCACCCATACACCAACAAATCAACAAACCAACAAACCAACAACGGCTTTGACAAAGAAATAGGAGAAGTCACCCCTCATCAGATTACAAAGAACCACCCTTGCTTATATATATACTTAACTTTATACTCCATATTTTTTCAACTTTATTTTTCACTTCTCCATCTTTCAAGATTATCTCAACAGGTTTCAACAATCGAATACAGTTTAAATGATATAGCAATAAATTTTATCACCATGACGAAGAAACTAAGTTTAGAAGAGAAAAAGAATCGTAGACCTACGGTAAGAGCTTGTGTATTTTGTCATCAAAAACATTTACAGTGTTCAAATGAAAGACCATGTAAAAATTGTGTTAAACGAAATATTGCCAATGATTGTAAAGATGTCGAACGTAAAAAAGTTAAATATTTAACTGGAGAATCATCACAACTAAGAAAAAAGGTCAAAATCAAACCAGAATCATTAACTTCAACTCCGGGAAACGATGAATCAAATTCAAGTTCAATTATAAATACACCTAATGAATTTAACGATAAACAAATCAATGACATTTTGGAAGTTCCTCCATTACCTACATTAAATGAAGATAATAATAACATATTAAATACAACAAATGATGTCTTAAATAATATATTGAGTGAAAATTATAATTCTAATGTACCTTTAAATCAATCAAATAGTAATAATTTTCATTCAAATTATTTAAATCAAGAATATTTAATGTTGGGAGATATTTTATTACAATCTAAACCTACTTCGCCATCACCTTCAAATACAAGTGCATCTGAACATAATACATTTTCACCAAATCATCATAATTTTAATTTAGATAGTATAAATCAATCAAAAAAGAAAGTAATACAAAAATTAAAAGATTCAAGACCATTTATATCATTAGGTTTTTCAAAAGATTCATCATTAAGTTTAAATAATTTGAATAATATGTATAATCAAACTGATAATTTATTAGATAATAATTTGAAAATTCAAAAAAATGTACTGGGTAAATCTAATCCAATTATAAATTTTGATACTCATTATCAAGATACATATGTAAATCCTTTAAAAACTCATCAAATTTATCAAACAGTTAGTGATATATATAATAATATTATTATCAATTTTGAATATCCAAATTCATACCATGCATTAACTCATTTTCTAAGAAATCGATTTTCAGGTAATAATCTATCACCAGAGGAAAAAGCTCAAAAGAGGAATAGTTTATTAATAATTTTAAAATTAATTGCAAGTTATAGACCTACTTTTATATCAGCACATAAATCATTATTAAAACCACAAGATTTATTATTTCTTGAAATGAGTTTTCAAAGATGTTTAATAGATTATGAAAAATTATGCCAATTAAATTCAAGTCCAACTATAATATGGAGAAGGACTGGTGAAATAGTAAGTATAACTGATGATTTATTAAGTTTATTAGGATATACCCTAAGTGATATTCTTTCAAAAAGAACATTTATAATGGAAATGATGTATGATGATGAAAGTATTATAAATTATTTTCAATTATTTAAAAGTATTGCAATTGGTAATTTACATTCAAGTATAAATACAAAAATTAAATTAATGAAGAAAAATGATTCAAATTTTATTGAATTTAGTTCAGTTTGGACAGTTAAACGAGATTTATTTGATATTCCAATGTTAATAATCGGTCAATTTCTACCGATTTTACCTGCTGGAGATGGCGTTAGAATGTATTAATCTAGCATAGCAATGCATAAAAGGATATAAAAGTGAAAACATCATCATCATATTTGAAAACCAAATTTTATCATGTTAGGCTTTATTCAAATTCCATTATTTAAAGGTAAAAAACTCGATGTTACTGTTAATAGAGCTGTCATTTGGGGGATGTCAAGTGTTGGCATTTTAGTAATATTAATGTCTAAATTTTATTTCCAAAACTCATCAGTTCGTCGAAGATTTGTTGAACATGATCCTGAATTTGAAAAGATACATCCAGTTCATCGAATGTTTCATCCTGAAAATCCAATTACTGATTTAAGTAAAAAGTAATATATACTAGTTATTCTTTAAATTTCCTCTTGGTAGCGTATTTTTTCAAACTTGTGAAAGAGATGAAGATATCAATTGATACAATTAATAAATTACAATCAAATGCTGAATGTATAAGAAATATATGTATATTAGCTCATGTAGATCATGGGAAAACTTCATTAAGTGATTCTTTATTAGCTACTAATGGTATTATATCTCAACGTATGGCTGGTAAAGTTCGATATTTAGATTCGAGAGAAGATGAACAATTAAGAGGTATAACTATGGAAAGTTCAGCAATTTCATTATATTTTAAAATAATGAAACAAAGAGAAGAAGAAGTAGAGTTGAAGGAGTATTTAATAAATTTAATTGATTCACCAGGTCATATTGATTTTTCATCTGAAGTTAGTACTAGTTCAAGATTATGTGATGGGGCAATTGTTTTAGTAGATGTTGTTGAAGGTGTTTGTTCACAAACTGTAAATGTTCTAAGACAATGTTGGATAGATAAATTAAAACCAATTTTGGTGATTAATAAAATTGATAGATTAATTATAGAATGGAAATTATCACCATTAGAAGCATATCAACATATTTCAAGAATTATAGAACTAGTTAATTCCGTCATTGGTTCATTTTTTGCTGGTGATAGATTAGAAGATGATTTAAATTGGAGAGAATCAGGTCAAATTGGTGAATTTATTGAAAAATCGGATGAAGATTTATATTTTACACCTGAGAAAAATAATGTTATATTTGGTTCTGCAATTGATGGATGGGCATTTTCAATAGACACATTTAGTAAAATATATCTGAAGAAATTAGGATTTAGTCAAAATGCATTACTGAAGACATTATGGGGAGATTTTTATTTAAATATGAAAGAAAAAAAGATAATACCGGGTAAAAAGTTGGGAAAACAAAATTTAAAACCTTTATTTGTATCATTAATTTTAGAACCAATTTGGTCAGTTTATGAAAATTGTTTAATTGAAAGAAATCAAGAAAAATTGGAAAAAATCATTGAAAAATTGGGTGTTAAAGTATCACCAAGAGATTTAAGATCGAAAGATTATAAAACTTTATTAAATGTTATAATGTCACAATGGATTCCTTTAAGTCATGCCATATTAGGGAATGTTATTGAATATTTACCAAATCCGAGAATTGCACAACATGAAAGAATCGATAAAATATTAAATGAAACTGAAATGATAGATAAAATGGATGCAAATTTTTTAAAATCAATAAGGGAATGTGATAATAGTGATTCAAAATATACTCTTGCATATGTTTCAAAATTGTTATCTATACCAAATGAAGAATTACCAAAAGAAGTTACAAATGTTTTAACACAAGAGGAAATACAGGAAAGGTCTAGAATTGCAAGAGAATTAGCTAGAAAAGCATCTGAACAAATAGTTGAAAAGAAAGAAAAAGATCCATTTGAATGGGAATTTGAAGAAGAAGATTTTGAGGAAGTAGAAGATGAAGAAATTGAAATGACTATAGTTGGATTTACACGTATATATTCTGGTTCATTAACTAAAGGTCAAAAAATAACTATAGTTGGACCTAAATATGATGGATCAAATGAAGAAATTACCACTGGTGTTGAAATTCAAGATTTATTTTTAATTATGGGTAGAGAATTAGTTAGAATGGAAACAATACCAGCTGGTAATATTTGTGGTGTTGTTGGTTTAGAAGATATTGTTCTTAAAAATGCAACAATCATGTCTCCAACTGATCAATATATAAATTTAGCATCAACATCAACATTAATACATAATAAACCAATTATGAAAATTGCAGTTGAACCTACAAATCCAATAAAATTAACAAAATTAGAAAAAGGGTTGGAATTATTATCTAAAGCAGATCCAGTATTAGACTGGTATGTAGATGATGAATCTGGAGAATTAATTGTTTGTGTTGCTGGTGAATTACATTTAGAAAGATGTTTAAAAGATTTACAAGAAAGATTTGCAAAAGGTTGTGAAGTTACAATTAAAGAACCAGTTATACCATTTAGAGAAAGTTTAAAAGATAATAAAATTGAAAAAGAAAATAAAATTGAAAAAGAAGAAGAGATTAATAATGAAGGAGGAGAATTGGCAGATTTAGAATTTGAAGTAAATCCATTACCCAAAGAAATTACAAAATTTTTAATTGAAAATGAGAATAATATATCTAAATTGATAAAAAAAGGTGAACCAGAATTTAAAAATAAATTGAAACAAGTAGTTGGTTCACACTTTGATATAACTAATATAATATCATTTGGTCCTAAGAGAATTGGACCTAATATATTCCTTGACTCTAGTGGTAAATTCAAACATTTATTTGAAGAATCAAGTGATAGATTTGAAGAATCAAATGATAGATTTGAATATGAGAATAACGTTTTGAATGGTGTTCAATTAGCTTTTAATGAAGGTCCATTAGCTTCAGAACCATTACAAGGAATATTAGTGACTATTAAAAAAGCTGAAGCTAAAGAAATTGATGAAGATAAATTAATTAATCCAGGTAGAATAATTACACAAACTAGAGATTTAATACATTCAAGATTTTTAATGAAAGCACCAAGATTATTTTTAGCAATGTATACTTGTGAAATTCAAGCATCAAGTGAAGTTTTAGGTAAAGTTTATGCAGTTGTTCAAAAAAGAGGTGGTACAATTATATCTGAGGAAATGAAAGAAGGTACTCCATTTTTCACAATTATTACAAGAATACCCGTTATTGAAGCATTTGGATTTAGTGAAGATATTAGAAAGAAAACTTCAGGAGCAGCATCTCCACAATTAGTGTTTGATGGATATGATATTCTTGATATTGATCCATTTTGGGTTCCTCATACAGAAGAAGAATTGGAAGAATTGGGAGAATTTGCAGAAAGGACGAATATTGCAAGAAGATATATGAATCAAATAAGAAGAAGAAAAGGGTTATTTGTTGATGAATTGGTGGTAAAACATGGTGAAAAACAGAGGACATTGAAGAAGGACTAGGATTCAAGAAAGGATGCTATCATTAGCTTTGATGTTTGATGATATCATTAGCTTTGATGTTGTTGTTATAGTATAAAACATTATATAAGTTGTATATATATTCATTTTGCATCCATTTATTTTGTTACACTAGAAAATTATTTTGTAAAAATTTTTATTACTTAATTTGATTTCAATACTTTTAATACTATCATTAATGATTTTAATATTAATATGAAATCACAATCAGCATCAATAAACAATAAAAACAGTAACCACCAAACTGATCAAATATTTTCACCGTTTCCAAAAGAAGATGAACCAATTTTTAATTATAGTTTAGTTGAAGCATTAGGAAACCAAAATGAATCAGAAAAATTAACAGAAATAAGTTCAAAAGTTTCAAGTAATGAAAGATTAACGAAAGAAGAGATTAAAAATATATTATGTCCCAATGGAAGTTATTTAACAGAAATGGAGATTGATTTTTTTAGAAATAAAATTAGTCAATTAATTAATCAAAGAGAACAAAAAGATGGATTTACTTTATATGATACTAAAGATGAAGAAGAAGAAGAAGAAGAAGAAGAAGAAGAAGAAGATGGATTAAATGAATCGCAAAATGATTATGATATTGATGAAATTGAAGATGATGAAAATTATGCTTTTGATATACCTCCAACTCATCATATTGAAGTTGAATTAAATACGAGTGAAAATTGTGAAATTCATGATAATCAATGTTGTGATTGTCCTTTATATTCTGATGAATATGAAGAAGAAAAGGATGAAGAGGATGAGGATGAGGATGAGGATGATGATGATGATGAAGATTTAGATGATGAAGATTTAGATGATGAAGATTATGAAGATCATGAATTTACAGAAGGTCCATCTTGTGAATTTACATTTGAATATGATTCTTCCGGAAAACTAATACCAACATATAATAATATTGAAGAAAAGATTAGATTAATGAAATTAGAAGCTAAAATGAGTCATGAACATCTGAATCATAGATTTCAAACTCATGAAGTATTACGAAATAACCATAATAAAAAGAAAATGAAACTACCTACAACTAATGAAACATCAACACCACCACCAATACAAGACAATATATCAAAATCAAAATCAAAATCAAAAAAGAAGAGAAGAAAGAGAATTCCTAAAAAAATTAATGTTTTAGATGATTTAAAATCGATGCAAGGTGAATTAACTACGAATTTAAATAAAAATAAAGTTTGGTCACCTCCAAATGAATTTTATGGATTTATACCAAGTAATCAATGTTGTTTAATTTGTCAATATGAAGCTATTTTTGGTGATAAACCTTATCAAATGTTGAAAAAAATATATAGAGAAGAAAAGAGAAGACAAGAATTTAAAAAGAAGTTACAATCTGCAAAATCAAAAGCTTTAAGAAAGCAAAAGGAAAATAGACAAAAGAGTCAAAAACAAGCACAACAAAATCAGCAGCAGCAACAACAACAACAACAACAACAACAACAACAGCAAAATTCACAAGTACAACAAGCACAACAAACACAACAAAATGGAAAAGTTTCACAACCAGCTCCACCTCAACAACAAAACGGACATATTCAAAATCAAAATCAAACTCAACAACAACAACAACAACAACAACAACAACAACCTCCTCAAACTCGTTAATGAAGATCTAAAAAAGTATTAAAGTAGATAGATTTAATGAATAAGATTATGATCATCAAGTAAATTAATTTAAGTCTGTCATCTCTTATAAATATTTGTATGTGATTGCCATCTCTTATAAATATTTGTATGTGATTACTATCACTTATGCGACACAAATCTCTTAAGCGGTAATTTTTGTTTTTAATGCCATACGAAATAAACAATTTCCAGAATAATTAAACAATCAAATACTTCGATTTTGTTTGCAATAAACAGTTAAAAGCCATAGTAGTTGCTTCTGTTTGGTTTTTTTTTCTTAATTTGAAATTGCCTTCACTTGTTATATTTGTACCTTTAGTTTAGTAGATTCCATTTGATCATTTGTTAAAAATCTACCAATTTTTAGTAAAATTAATAACATTGAAAAAGTCACTGAATTCATCTCAGAAACATGTAACTACGTTCAAGAATTCTCCAAAAACATGACTATATATAACCTTTACATATTCAACACAGCCAAATAGATGTGTTAAACTAAATAAAAATATACACATATATATATATATATTATACGTCATATAAACAAAAAAAAAGATTCGAATGCGCCAGCCGCGAATCGAACGCGGGGCCCAACGATGGCAACGTTGGATTTTACCACTAAACCACTGGCGCCTGTTTCTTGACGACGAAGTTTTGCAAGTATGCCGGCTGTGAGTAATTAAGCCCGTTTCGCGCAAAAATTAGCGCAATATCAAATTTATATTGTGTCAGGTAAATTATCCAAGATGTAGGCTCGAGAAAAAAAACATCTAGTTCCATAATGTAAAAGGTTATTGAAAATCATCGTAGTAGAACAATAATTAAGAAAAGAAGAAATTTAATTCTCAATTCTTGTGAAATTTGTTGTTGTTGTTGTAGTAGTAGTAGTAGTAGTAGTAGTAGTAGTAGTAGTAGTTGTTGTTGTTTATTTAATTTTATTAAATTACGCATAAGATGACATTAGACTAAATTGAATTTGGATATTATTATATCCATTTAAAATATATGTATATGTTTGCCACTGAAAGTTAGAAATGAATAGCTCTGTATTGATGTATGGATGTATAGATCTATAGATCTATACATCTATTTTACTGTAGATAAACAGAGAAATCGTAAGTATAGTATAGTACTAATATACAAGACTTTAAATGTATCCACGCGTTGTAGATTTAATAGTAACAAAGTAATAAACCAAGTAATAAACCTATAACTCTCAATGAAACAATAATAAATAATTATAAAATAATGATAATAATATTAATTATCGCCTTAAAAAAGATGGAAGGAGAACAAAACAACATATATACATATATACATATATACATATATACATATATACATATATACATATATACATATATAGTAAACGTATAATGAATTAAAAATAAATATTTAAATTTAGATTTAGATTTCAATTAAGTTTGAGTTAAAAGCGTACATAATCCATGATTCATAATCTATAATCCATAATCCATAATCCACAATCTGTCTCTGTTTCTCTCTGTCTCTGTTTCTCTCTGTCTCTGTTTCTCTTTCTGTCTCTGTTTCTCTTTCTGTCTCTGTTTCTTTTTGTCTTGGTCGTGTTTTTCTTTCAGAGATTGTTTGATTTTTCAAATGACGATTTAAAAATTGACATTGAAATCGATTAAACCATTCAAACTAATCAACCATGCGCTAAATAGCAATATATATACACAATACAATTAAAATCCACTCAACTTTTACAAATAAACAACACACACAACTAACAACTCATTTACTCATTTAGAAAACAACAATTACCTGAGTATCAACTAATAAATAATACTAAGAAAAAATGCGCTTCCAATTTTTAAAGTGTGTAGTTAATTTCGTGATGAAATGTTTTTTTTTTTTTTTGTTTCATATAAAAATTTAAATCATTTTTTTTTTTTTTTATTTTATTTTATTTTTATTTTTATTTTTTTTTTTTTTTTTTTTTCACTAATAAATTAAATATAATTAAAATTTAACTTACCAAGAAGAACAAAACCCCAATAGTTTAGAAATTTATTAACACAATGTTTTATATTTGAATATATAATAATTTGTTATTTGTTAATCTCAAATGATTTAAATAACGAAATAAATACTCATAAATATTCATAAATATTTCATAAATATTTCATACATTTGTTTCATTTTTTGTATATTTTTTTCTTTATTCCATATCATTTTATATTAATATTAATAATAATAATAATAATAATAATAATAATAATAATAATAATAATAACAATAATAGTAATAGTAATAGTAATGTCTACACCTATACCTCGTCCACAATCTCAACAGGATACAGATACTCCACAACCACAATCTCAACCACAATCTCAACCACAATATCAAATTCACGAACAATTAAATGATTCAATTACTTGGGTAAAAGATTGGCATTCTCCTTTTATTAAACATCAGCGTATTTTAGAACAAGATTCACCTATTAAAATTAAAAGTTGGTATAAAACAAATATTAATCATAAGAATTTATCGGATAATAATTTAAATTATTTTCTCGATTTAACGAAATTTAAGTATTTTAAGAATGTTGATATTGATTTGAATAGTAATAATTCATCAGATAATCAAAGTCAAAAAAGTGAAGATCATCATTCAGCAGAAAATCAAGAATTTTCAAATGCTATTAAATTGCATAACAATGAAACTACATTATAATAATAATAATAATGATGATGATGATGATGATTTATCGGTTGAATTTTGGAGTTTGGTTAATAATAACAGTAATAACAGTAATAACAATAATAACAATAATATATATATATAATATATATATATAATAGGATGCAAAATCATTGGTAAGGACGCAACAAACACTTGAGGTAACAAACACTTGAGGTAAGGATGCAACAAACACTTGAGATATATATATATAATAACAATAATATATATTTATATATTGTATGGTTCAAGTTTATATATATTTATATAGTGTATGGTTTAAGTTTATATATCTTTATATATATTTATACATCTTTATCTATATCTATATAGTGTATGGTTTGAGTTTATAAAATACTATTGATTCTCTGGCTTTAGTTGTTTCCTTAAACAATTGATTTAGTTTTTCGTTATCCCACATTTGTTCGTTTGTAAGTTTATTTAAATGATAATTTTCCTTTTCATATTTTTGAAAATTTCGTCGTATGTTTTGTAATTCATACATTGGTTTTGGTGATTTCACATTGGAATATAATATAAATAATGAATTATTAGGTAATGATTTATAAATTTTGTCTAGTCTCTTATTTGTTCTTAACATTGCTTGTTCTGATGATGAATCTAAATCTCCATTGTATTGATCAATTTTAACCCAATTTAAATTTATTTCTAAATCTTTTAAAGTAATAAAATTTAATTTTGCATCTGTTTCAATAATTTTCTCAACTATTTCATCATCATTTTTTACTTGAAATTTTTCCACATTTTTTTCTTCATGTATTTCTTTATAATAACTTGCAATCATTGATTTAATATTGATATTTTTTTGATTAAATCTTGTAAATATTGAAACATCGCTTAAATTTTTACCAAAAGTAATACCTTCCATAATTTTTAATTTAACTAAATCTAAACATGCTTTTGCATCTTCAATTGATGAATGACCGTGTCCTGTATCTTCTCCATTTTGTATACATCTACCTAAATATTTTTTCAGTAACCATTTTAAACTTGGTTTAAAAGGTAATCCTCTTGAATGTTGATATATAATCGATGTATCAACAATTTTTAAATGTTTTATCTTCATTACTATTAAATCACTTTCTAATGAATGTCCAATTAATATATCATTTTTTGAAACTTTTTCAAGAAATAATTTTTGAACATCTTCAATTTTCGTTTCAACTTTTTTTAATAATTCTTCTGTTATACCTGAGTATTTAGTTACATAATCTGTAATTTCTTCAATTGGTTTAACTAATTCATCTATAATTATATTCCCATTAAAATCTAATAATGAAATTCTAGTTAATACTTGTAAATTATTTGATTTACAAAATTCACAATCTAATGCAAAAATTTTTGATGATTCTTCTCCTCTATCTATAGTTTCTTGATAATCATCATTACTCATTGGATAATTATTTTCTATTAATTGTGTTTCATTCATTAATAAATTATAAATTGTAATTTTATCATTTTTTGAAGATTCAATAATTAATTTCTTTTCATTTTTTGTAAGTGGTATATTTATAATACTTTGAAAAGCCAGATGAATTGAATCTTTTGAACCTGGTGATGAACATTTTATATAATCTTCAAATGTATCATAAATAAAAGATAATTGTTCCAATTTTTTTAATTTACTCACTGATAATTGTTGTTGTTGTTGTTCTTGCTTTTGTTGTTCTTGTTTTTGTTGTTCTTGTTCAATTTCTTCATTATCAATTTCAATACCAGGACAAAAACAAATTACAATTTTTTCAATTTTTTCACAATTATTTAATTCTAACCATTTTGGTTTTTTACCTTGATCCAAATTAAAAATTCTTAATAAAATATCTCGAAAATTTTTAAACGGAAATCTTTCATTTTTATTTTCTAAATTAACATTTAATTTTATATATGGAGGTTCTAATTGTTTTTTCAATTTACGCTTATGTAATTTTTCTCTTTTTTGAGGTGGTTGTTGATTATTTATTGATTGATTTGATGATCTTCTTCTTCTTTTTGAAACTTGTTGTTGTTGAATTTGTAATAATGGTTGTTGATCGTCAAAATAAATGGCAGAATCGCGTCTATTTGGAACGTTGGATGAATCATCTAAATATTCTTTAACTTGTAATCTACTTTCTTCTGTTTTAGATATTGATAATCTTGCAGTTGTTTGACTTAACGGGTCAATCATTGAATAAGTTAATTATTTTTTTTTTTCTTTAATTTTTTTATTATCAGTTTAATCTAATGTAAGAAAAGCCACTAGATATTTGACTACACAGAGTTAAACTGATCTTGATAGTTGAGTCATTTTCAATCTATTAGAAGGTATGATACTTAATCGTTCTTTTTCATATGAGTTGGTTCAAACTAAAAATATTGACAATTTTAACTCGCGCTACCAATTTTACGTCTTTAAAGCCTCCTAAAAACTACCCCTTAATAAAAATGATTTTTTATGTAAAAGTCACATAAAAGGGTGTATTGAAATCTAAACAATTATAAACGACAATATCGGAATCGTCAGTATACTTAACTTGAGCAAATGCAATTGTTTTTTCATCCAAGTTAAAATAGAATAAGCATGACGTAACAAATTGTCGCCTAAAATTGAAATATCAGTAGGACTTTGTTGAACTAAAATTGTTAGTATTGTACAAGTTTTAATATTCTCCAATACACATTACTTCCCCAAATACATAATCCTGGTGCTGGTTCAATTATAAATTCAGAAACAGGAACTGAATTATTAACACCATTACAAAGATCAAATTCAACATTACCTCCATTATTACAACCAATAAACCAACCACCACCAAAAGGAGGTGGGAAATAAAAAGCACCTAGTTTTGAAGCAATTGTTTCAACTTTTTTAAAATAACTTGTAATTTATGGCTCTAATTTGGTCGATGACATTTTTCTTTACTGCGTATTAGTACAAAATTGGCTCTAGTTTTTTCGTTCCTGGATTATAAACAACGTATTATGGAGGTTATCATTATTTTGAGCTGAGTGTCTGTGATCGAAGTTTTTAATAAAATATGTTTCAGAACGAAAACTTGAAAATCGATGGAGATATTAACATATTGAGTTTCAAAGTTAACGATTATGGAACTGCATATAAGAATATTTGTTTCAGAATTATTTGAATGTATATATTTATCAATGCGAAACTTTCGTGCGACAAAATAATTCACGTCCTAGAGTTAAGGCGACTCATACGAAAGTTATTGGCTAATAAGTGATGCTATAAGCATTTTCTCACGGTAAATATAAGTTATATGAATTTAGAAGCTTTAAAATATATACATCACACACTTTAAACGTCAAGATTCAAACATTTTTTTTTTTTTGAGTTGTTATTTTGGCCCTTTTTCATCATACAAAAATTTTGCAAAAAATTCAAATGCATATTATTCTTTATTTAGGGCCATAATTTATAATTAAACAGCTGATCATAGATATTATATCCCAAGCAAAGAAGCTGAACTTAATTCAGACCCAGGTAAACCAAAAATAGAGAATTTTCAAAATTTTCTCTTAACTATGGTCAAAATTGAATAAATTCTTTACCAAGAAAAGCAACTCCACAATCAAACTCAAATGATTTGAGCCAGATTCTTTTGAAGTAGATAAACGAGGGCTAATATTGATTACCTTGCAAATTTAGCGATTTTTTGCAATTTTTCAGAAGAAGAATAAATTGATCAAAATTGCGTATATTCGGTTGAAATCATTTTACTTCAAATGGCTGAATTCTAGCATAGAAAAAAGTTTGAGAACGATGGATTGAATATTAATGAAGCTATTCACAAATTTCAATTTTTCAGATTAACTACGGCGATACGACATATAAGTGAACTTGTTTCGAATTTATTTTGAAAGTATGTAATTTTCGAAGCGACAATTTTGCCCGAAAAAAAAATAATTTCTCGCTCTAGACGTAAGGCGACTCGTGGACAAAGCTACTCTTGAAGTAAATGAAATCATGAGCAATAAGTGTTGATTATCTTCAAAAACAAACTAAATACTTAATAGAAATAAATATACACAAGTTCACTAATTATTCATTAACTACATAACAAGCTAGACTTATTAAATCATAAAATCCATTCTCTTAAACTTTCTAGATTGAACACCAGTATTCTTTAACTATTCAATATTGGTTGGTTCAAAAATACTTTGAAGATAATCACTTAATGATGAAGGTAATTGATTTTTCTTAATTTCAGTTGTATCAATATATAATTTAATAATTTTTGTAGATGATATTTCATTATTTAAATATTGCTGATACATTTCATCTAACTTCTTTAATTGAGTTTCATCTTTAATAATCCTTTCATCGTCTTCATTTAAACTTATTGACTTCCCGAAAACAATGATTTTATTCCAACTATCCCATTTTCGAGAAATCATTAAGCAAATTTGTAATGAATTATAATTATCAACTATTTGAGTATCAAAAATGGGTTTCTCTTTGAAATTATTATTAATTAAAAGTTCAACATTATTTATTGTAATATTATTTTTCATGCAAATTATATATTTGGAATTAGTACTTTTTATATTTAAATACCTAATTAATTGTAATGATATGATTGTTTTAATTTCAAATTGAGTTTTTTCTAACCAATTATAATCTAATAATATAATTATTGGTATTAGTGTGATTTGTTTGAAAATATTCAATATTTCAAATATATCATGTTTATAATATAATAAAATCAATACATTTTTATATTTTTCTAGTATATGATTAATATATTGTTTATGAAAGCTGAAATGTAATTGATATAATATTATACTTTCATTTTCTTTATAACCTATTTTATTATCATCAATCAATTGTATAACTGTTTGTTTCATTTGCAGCAAAAAAAAAAATATATTATCACCAAAAAAATGAATCAAGATGATAAATTAATAAATCAATATGTTAAAGATTTACCAGATGATACTATTATAGATTCTATATTTCATGATAAAAGAACTCAACATGCGGATGATGCTATTGATTATGAAAATATTGATGAATTAGCTGATGACGAATTCGAAAATAATAATATACAAAATGAAGATGACGAATTTGAAAAATTATTAACAGCTGAAGAATTAGAAGCTCAAAATATGGCAGAAGATCAATTTGAGCAAATGTTTGGTGGTGATGATAATGATAATGATAATGAACAACTAGATTTACAAATGTTTGATGATGAAGCTAGTAAAAAACATCAATTAGAATTTGAACAACGCAAGGCTACAAAGAAACGAAAATTGGAAAAAATTGTTGCAAAATTGGAGAAACAAAGAATGAAAAATAATATAAGTTATTATTATCCTGATTATTCAAAATTTAAACCATTTAATTTTCATTTATTTTCTCAATTATCACCAAAATTTTTTAAATATCAACATCCTTTTAATAAAAATGTTAAACCATTAGTGCCTACAAAATTAAATTTGGAAATAGATGTTGATCAAAGAAAATTTAAATCAAATAATGAATCAAATATAACAAATATAACAAATATAACACAAAAAGATTTGGATTTTATAAATAATTTACAACATCAATCAAAAATTAAATATTTGAATCAATTTCATGATAATATAGAAAAAGAATCAAGTAATTTTGATAATGATTTAATTTTATCAAACTCAGTTTGGGATTTAGAAACAGAAAAAGTTCCTATAAATAAAATATATATAGATGATTATCAACAAGATGATGAAATAATTTATGAAGATACAAATATTGATATAAAATTAGATCAAAATGATCCAAACTTATTATTTGTTCCACTTCCACCTACAAAAATAAATAAATCAACCAATGAATCAAAATTTAATTTTTCAAATGATGAAGACTATCAATTATTACGAAAGAATTATAATACCAAGCAAAGGTCACAGTTGAGTAATTTACATATTCAACACTCAACTGTGGCCTTACGCTTACAAAGTCCTTTTTTTAAATGGAAAAGACAATCTAGAGAACTCAGATCTTATCATAGATCTAATTTCAATATCAGGTCAGGATCAATAATGAGTTTCTCTAAAATAAAAGTAAAGAAAAAGAAATTTAAAAATAAGAAAATTGAAGATATTTTTAAAACCAGTGGTGATTTAACAACAGGCGATTCTGCAAATTTAGTTGCTATGGAATATGCAGAACAGTATCCTCCAATTTTATCCAACTTTGGTATGGGATCAAAATTAATAAATTATTATAGAAAAGAAAAAAGTGACGATAATTCCAGACCAAAAGCACCAATTGGTGAAACTCATATTTTAGGTGTTGAAGATCGATCCCCATTTTGGAATTTTGGTGAAGTTGCACCAGGAGATTTTGTAACCACGTTATATAATAATATGATTAGAGCTCCAATTTTTAAACATGAATCAAAATCAACTGATTTTTTAATAATTAGATCTCAAGGTGGTGGTTCACATCAAAAATTTTATTTAAGAAATATAAATTTTAATTTTGCAGTTGGTAATACATTTCCAGTTGAAGTTCCAGCTCCACATTCAAGAAAAGTTACAAATATATCAAAAAATAGATTGAAAACAATTGTTTTTAGAGTTATGAATAATAAAAATGCTCCAAGAATTTCTGTTAAAGATGTTTCAAAACATTTTCCTGAACATTCAGATATGCAAAATCGTCAAAGATTAAAAGAATTTATGGAATATCAACGTACTGGTCCAGATCAAGGTTATTGGAAAGTTAGAGGAATGAATGATAATATTCCTAGTGAAGAAGATATAAGAACAATGATTACACCTGAAGATGCTGTATTAATGGAATCAATGCAAGTTGGTAATCAAAACCTTGAAGATAATCAAACATTATTTGGTGATAAGAAAAAAAAAGAAGAAGATGAAGATGATAAAACTGATGAAGTTGAAAATGATTTATCCATTTGGGATTTATCTAAAAATTTTACAATTGCAAATCAAACAAAACAAATGTTATTATTATCTGGTGAAGGTGATCCAACTGGTATTGGATTAGGTTATTCATTTTTAAGATCTACTCAAAAAATACCATTTAAACCATTATTTGAAAAAAAGGATGAAACAATTCCAAAAGCTGCACAAGCTGCTTATAATGCAAAATTATATCAACAAGAAATTACTAGAATTTGGTATTCGCAAAGAAGTAGTTTAGTTGAAAGAAATGATGATGTTGATCCATTACAAGGTTTAAAAATTAAAAAAGTTGATCATGAAAAATATTTTGATGAAAAAATTAATCATGAAAATGATTCAAAAATTTTGAAAATTACTAGAAGAGTTAAAGATTCAAATGGAATTTTCATTAGAAAGACAACTACAATTGAAGATCCAAATGTTATACGTTTATATATCAAAAGAAAACAAGATTTAGAACAAGAATATCTTAAAAAATTGGAAATTCAGGATATTGTACCTACTAGTGATGTTGAATTAAATAAATTAAGAAAACAAGCATTGGAATCAAAATTGGCAAATTTAGAAAAAAGATCAAAACAAGCAAAAGCTAAAAAACCAGAATTCAAAGCTGCTGCTGCTGAAGGTGCAACTATAATTGATGCAAATACTGTTATGTTACCTGATGGATCATATGTTATTGGTGGTAAAGGTATTGGTAAAGGAAAATCTCGTACAAGAAGATGTGCAACATGTGGAGCTTTTGGTCATATAAAAACTAATAAACAATGTCCAATGTATAGTCAAACTATTGCTGAACAAAACTTGGATAGAGATAGGCCACCAAGTGTAAACTTACCTTAAGGATATAAAATCAATGTAAGGATGCATTAATATAAGATCATAAAGATGTCTCTAATACTAGCTTGTCTTTAATTACTTGTCTCAAATTCGTATTTATGCCATACTTTCTTAATGCGGCGATTTCAGATTTAATCTAATCCACCTTGCATTACGATGATTTTAGCCACAGTTAAATTTTTCATCAAAAGATAGCGATTATATTTAAATGGATAAAGAGAAAGGGTTGGATATAGATAGACAGTTTACTTATGAAGATAGAGATCAAGCTCAAACTACATCAAATTCATCTGATTATGAAAAAAATTTAACAAACCAAGAAGCAATTAAATCTTATTTCCACAGAGTTATAGATTCATTTAGACCAATTGATTTAGAAGAATAAGGATATGATACTTCAAATTTAACTGCTTTAGAAAAATCAATTATTGCTTCATCAAAGCATCCATTAGCTAGAAGATTAAAATCAAGACATCTAACTGGTATTAGCATAGGTGGCACGATTGGTTCTGGATTATTTATTGGAATGGGTTATGCTTTAGGAATGGGAGGTCCTGGTATGTAATTAATTTGTATGAGCTATATTTTGAGTTTACTAACAATTCAGCGTCTGTTTTAATTGGTTATTCCGTAGTTGGTTATTCTTTACTCACAGTTGTTAATAGTTTAGGTGAATTATCTACACAATTTCCAGTTTCTGGTAGTTTCAACGCATATTACACTAGATTTATTGATCCAAGCTGGGGTTATACTTTAGGTTTAATGTATGCTATATCATGGTGTATTAGTTTCCCTTCAGAATTGATATCTGCTGCAATTACAGTTCAATATTGGAATCAATCTATAAGTCCTGCAGTCTGGGTTGCAATATTTTGGGTAGTTATAGTATCAATTAATCTTTTCGGAGTAATTGGATTTGGTGAAGCCGAAATTATTCTTGCTATTTTGAAAGTACTTGCAGTGATTGGGTTTTTAATTGTTGGTATTTGTATTACTTGTGGTGTTGGAAATCAAGGTTATATTGGTGGACGATATTGGAGGTCATTACCATTCAATCATGGATTTAAAGGAGTATGTTCGACTCTTGTGAGCGCAGCTATTCATTTGGAGGTGTTGAATTAAGTTGTTTAGCAGCTGCCGAATCAAAAAATCCTGACCAACTGGTTCCTCGTGCAGTTAAAAATACATTTTGGAGAATTACAATTTTTTATTTATGTACAGCAATAGTTATTGGATGTTTAGTACCTTATACAAATGAAGATTTATTAACTGGAGATGGAGTTACTGCATCTCCATTTGTTATTGCTATTAATGCCGGTGGTATTAAAGTTCTACCTCATATTATGAATGCAGTTATTGTTATTGCTGTTGTATCAGTAGGGAATTCTTCAGTTTATGGATGTAGTCGTACATTGGCATCATTAGCTGCTCAAGGTTTAATTCCACAATTATTTGGTTATATAGATAGAGAAGGACGTCCGTTATTTTCAATTATGTTTACAAATATAATTGGTTTATTGGGGTTTTTAGTTGCTTATATAGATGAAGATACTGTATTTACATGGTTTTTCAGTGTTTGTTCATTAGCTTCATTTTTCATATGGGGTTTTATTAATATTTGTCATTTAAGATGGCGTTATGCATTATATGAACGACATCGTTCATTAGATGAAGTAATTTTTAAATCTCCATTAGGGATATTTGGTTCAATATCAGGATTGATTTTATTAGTATTGGTTGTTATTGGCGAGATTTGGATCTCCATTTGGCCAATTGGTTCAAATGCTGATGTTGTTACATTTTGGCAAAATTGTTTATCATTACCTTTATTACTTGCGATTTATGTATTACATAAAACTTATGCACGTTCATGGAATTGTTTATGGGTCAAATTGGAAGATATTGATTTAGATACAGGTAGAAGAGAAGTTAATATTGAAAATTTAAAACAAGAATTAGCTGAAGAAAGGCAAAAATTGAAAAATAAACCAATTTATTATAAAGTTTATAGATTTTTTTGTTAATAGTATAGAGGAATATTAGAGTATAGATTGTATTAGTTTTTGATTTTGATTCATGATAAATTTCTGAAACAAAATTGACTGCCAGCATTCAATCAACTGTGAGAGTGATGGAAGACGCATTAGAATGTTTCGTTAAACATAGACTGAAATATGAGATCTAATTGAGCTGTATAAAGAAAATTAAATGAATAAAACATGACTTATTAATCTGCGCTTGCGCGCAAAATATACACATCGGGTATATAAATATTAATTATATAAGCTATTGCTTTTTTGTTTCAGATCGTCCAATTAGGAGTGCGGCTAAAATTTAAGTGGTCGAACAAAAAAATAAAAGCCGCCTAAAACTGATCAAATTTATTTGACATAAAGGAGCTAATTTGCTTCAAAATTAAAGGTCTAGTTATTAAGGAATAATTGTGCTGAGTCCGATTTTGATATTTCAAAAGACGCACGTGCGGAATCTATCTAAGTCTTTTTGTCCAATCAGATTGCTGAAAAAAACTAAGTCTTTTTGACCAATCAGGTAGCTGAAAAAAAGGGCAAACGAATCAACATTTTTCATTTTAATTATCCTTTTGGAATAAACTGATAACCAATAGAGTAATATCTTTGACAAAAGGCAAATAAGATTTTTACAGACTGATTCTCTGTATATTCATAATTCATTTTTTCTGTATAATTTTATTAAAAATATATCAAAAAACTATATTTACATGGATTAGGATTCTTTGCTCTATTTCTTAAGTGGCTTTTACTGAAACCCCCCTAACTTTCAGTCGCTAAAAAAAATTTCTTTTTTCTTTCGCCAAATTGGGTAATAAATTCTGAAACACTAATTATGTAATCACGTAACAAAATCATTTGAACTATCCCATTCATTATCTCAAGAAATACAGCAGCACCTTTGAAAATAATGCAATGTAAAATATAAGAAAACCTTTGAATATTTGATCATATTTAGTCACGTGATTTCGACCGGTTTTTATCCTAAAGCACAATTCTTTAGTCATTGTTTTATATAGTGTCTATTTTCTATTTGCAAAATGAAATTGGACAAAATGACATACTGTTCGGGTATTTGGAAATTATTTTGTTTAACAGGCTTTCATGTCATGTTTTTAAAGTATAACAGACTTTCTTGATTTAACCATTGAAGTTTGGATGTGTTGTGAGTTCGAACAAGGTTGTCAAGTCAAATTTTAAATTTTGAAAAAAAAAAAAAAAAAAAAAAAAATTATCAACAACTTGTTTAGTTAGTATATAAAATTTTGAGATTATAAAGTTGAATATGTCTAAAATAGCAAAAAAAGATACACGTCCAAAAACTACGGATGTAACTTTGACAAAAGGCTCTACATTTGAAGATTTTGGATTGAAACGAGATCTTTTGTTGGGTATATTTGAGGCAGGGTTTGAAAAACCATCTCCTATTCAAGAAGAAGTAATTCCAATTGCATTAACCGGTAGAGATATATTAGCAAGAGCAAAAAATGGTACTGGAAAAACAGGTTCTTTTGTAATACCTGCACTTCAACAGGTTAAAAATTCAAATGAGATTCAGTCACTTATTTTAGTTCCAACAAGAGAATTAGCTTTACAAACTGCTCAAGTTGTTAAGACTTTGGGTAAACACTTAAATGTTCAAGTTATGGTATCAACAGGAGGTACAAGTTTAAGAGATGATATTGTTAGGTTACATGATCCAGTTCATATATTAGTTGGTACCCCAGGAAGAATTTTGGATTTAGCTTCAAGAAATGTTGCGGATTTATCAAATTGTGGTTTATTTATTATGGATGAAGCTGATAAAATGTTATCAAGAGAATTTGAAAGAATTGTTGATCAAATTTTACAATTTCTACCACAAAATCATCAAAGTATATTAGTCTCAGCAACATTTCCATTATCTGTTAAAAATTTTTTAGAAAAAAATTTAAAAAAACCCTTTGAGGTAAATCTTATGAATGAATTGACCCTTAAAGGTATATCTCAATATTATGCTTTCGTGGAAGAGAAGCAAAAATTACATTGCTTAAATACATTATTTTCAAAATTACAAATAAATCAAGCCATTATATTTTGCAATTCCACAAATAGAGTTGAATTATTAGCTAAAAAAATTACAGAATTGGGATATTCATGTTATTATTCTCATGCAAGAATGCCACAGAAAGATAGAAATAAAGTATTTCAAGATTTTAGAGCTGGAAAAGTTAGAAATTTAGTTTGTTCAGATTTATTAACTAGAGGGATTGATATTCAAGCAGTTAATGTTGTTATAAATTTTGATTTTCCAAAAACTGCTGAAACTTATTTACATAGAATTGGTAGATCTGGTAGATTTGGTCATTTAGGTTTAGCTATTAATTTGATTAATTATCAAGATCGTTATTCAGTTTATAAAATTGAACAGGAATTGGGAACTGAAATTAAACCAATTCCAGCTACAATTGATAAATCTTTATATGTTGCACCAAATGATGAAGGAGCAGAAATTTCTCAACCACAACAACCAGTTCAAAAACCAGCCCAAACTCAACAAACTCAACAATCTCAACCTCAACAACCTCAATCTCAACCTCAACAACCTCAACCTCAACAACCTCAACCTCAACCTCAATCTCAACAACAACCAAATCAACCTCAATTTCAACCTCAGTTCCAACAATTCAATCATTATCAATACCAACAACCACCTTCTCAATTCTCAGGTCATCCACCACAATTTCCAAATCAACAATACCCACCGGGCCAATTCTAATGTTAAAATGAAGTTTGCTTTTTAGGTTTTTTTTTTTTTTGATTTAATTTGTTTATGTACTATAATGAGTTTTTTTTACTACTTAAATAGTTGGTTTTTTTAGCTTTAATTTAAAATGGAAGGAAGAAAGCTAATATTTGAATTATACTGTCATTTTTTGGGATTTGTTGCATATCCATTGTTGCAAGTTTCTTTTTTGGGCTTTTTTTTTTTGGATTTTTTGAATGAATTGAATTAGATTGTGAATTGGAAGAGGGTTTTTACTTATTTAGTAGATTTTGAATAAATATTTTAGGCCATTTTTGTAAAAATATTGTTTTTCTTAGTATATTATGGTATTGTCGCAAAATCTTGGAAAAATTATCAAAATAGATTTGATTCGGCGATTGGAAATTTTTCAACTTAATGACTCAGTTTTCAACAAAATCGATTCATAGTGGTGATCATTTAAGAAAAACTACTGATATTGCACCTCCAATTCATGTAAGTACAACTTACAGTTATGATAGTAACCCTGCAAATTTAATACCAGGTGAATTAACCAATCCAGATACATTTGTTTATTCAAGAGAAAATCATCCTAATGCTGCTGCAATTGAAGCTATAGTTGAAGATATTACTGGTTATCCTGCTATTGTTTATAATAGTGGTTTAAGTGCTTTTAATGCTGTTATGATGCATGTCAATCCAAAAACAATTGCTATTGGTCAAGCTTATCATGGATGTATTGGAATTGTTGAAATGTGGCAAAGAAATTTCGGTTTGAGAAAAATTGATATTGAGTCAGATGATCAATCCGATTTACTTCATTTAGAAACTCCAGTTAATCCATATGGGTTATATTTTGATATTTCAAAATATGCAGAAAAAGCTCATTCAAAAGGAGCTTTACTATCGATTGACTCAACATTTGCACCTCCACCATTAATTGATCCTTTCAAATTTGGAGCCGATATAGTTATTCATTCCGCTACTAAATTTTTTGGAGGTCATTCAGATTTATTAGCTGGTTTGGTACTTGTGAAATCACATGATATAAAAAATAAATTTTTAAAAGATAGATTAGTATTGGGTACAAACATTGGTAATTTAGAAAGTGCTTTATTAGTTAGAAGTTTAAGAACATTAGAGTTAAGAGTTAAAAGACAATCTAAAACTGCTGAATTTATTGTTAAATTTTTAAATGAAAATAAACATAAAATTAAAGATTTAGAAAAAATTTATCATGGTTCATTACAAAATGATGATTATATTTCAGAACAAATGAATGGACATACTCCTGTTTTTTCAATTGAGTTAGTTTCTGAAGAAAAAGCTAAGGAATTTCCATCAAAATTAAAATATTTTTATCATGCTACAAGTTTAGGTGGTGTTGAAAGTTTAATTGAATGGAGAGCAATGAGTGATCCACATATAAGTAAGAAATTATTAAGGATTTCAATTGGATTAGAAGATCCAAGAGATTTATTACAAGATTTACTAAATGGCTTGGTAGACAATCAAGAATTAACTGATAAGGTTAGAAGTTTAAATATTGATTATTAGATAGACGGCTTTACAGTTGTTATTGCCGAAGCCGTGTGAAAAACGTGACCAATAGAACGTTTAGCCGCACTATAAAATTACATCATGTTTTTACACGCCAAGCCTGTATGTATCCTTTTTGTATAAATAGTTGGTAATCTCCTCTCCCCAATGGATTTTTATCATCAATTCGATTTTTTTACGAAATGGAAGGTACGTCTCTTGATCAATCTAGTTTCACAAAACCTATTAATGAAGAACCTCATGTGAGACCGGAAATGGTTCTTAAAAATTTTGCAAAAGAATATAAAACTCCACCTCAAGATGGTTATCAAACGTTTATTAGTGGTTTAGGTAATTTTTTTGGAGCTTTTGGTATGTATGGTTGTATTTGTTCAAATCCAATGAGGAAAGTCGATCAAGGTGAAGTTGGTTTAGTTCAAACATTTGGTAGATTATCAAGAGCTGTTGAACCAGGTTTAAATTATGTAAATACTTGGTCCGAAAAATTAACAAGAGTTTCAATTAAAATTAATATTAGAGAAATTCCCGCGCAAAAATGTTTTACGAGAGATAATGTGAGTGTTATTGTTACATCAGTTGTTTATTATAATATAATTGATCCACAAAAGGCGATTTTTACCATTTCAGATATTCATGAAGCAATTGCAGAAAGAACTCAAAATACTTTAAGAGATGTTATTGGTGGTAGAATTTTACAAGATGTTGTTGAAAAAAGAGAAGAATTGGCAGAATCAATTCAACATATTATTGCGAAAACTGCTTTTGATTGGGGGGTTAATATTGAATCAATTTTAATTAAAGATTTAACGTTACCTGATAAAGTTCAAGCAAGTTTATCAATGGCAACTGAAGCTAAACGTATTGGTGAATCTAAAATTATTACTGCAAAAGCTGAAGTTGAATCTGCTAAATTAATGAGAAAAGCTGCTGATATTTTAGCATCACCAGCTGCAATGCAAATTAGATATTTAGATGCTTTACAAGGTATGGCAAAGAATCCTGGTACAAGAGTTATATTTATGCCATCAGCTCATGAAGTTGAAAGAGCTGCAACTGCAAATATACCAAAGGGAACTACTTATAAGGAAGTAGAAGAAGGAGAAGAAGAAGAATTGGGACATACATCAACTGGTAATAGACATATTACTGACACATTAGCTTTACAAGAAGCAATGCACCAAGGTTAATTTAATTTAATTTAATTTAATTTAATTTAATATATAATGTGAAATCGTGTAATTTCTCAGTGTCGTCGTACTTTTCTTTAGTGTTTCAAATTTTCAAATTTTTAGTTCTTAGCTCGTACAAAATTAAATTTCACAACATGTTTCTACTATTCACATTTATAACACTAACACTAGCTGCTTCTAATAGACAATTATTCTTTAACTATCAAAATAATGCTGCTTGTATTTTAATTAATGAACCAACACCATTTACTCAACTTTCTTTCAATTTTCAATTGGGTTCAAATCAAAGTATACCGTTGGTTATATTTAATTATTTAGATATTGTTAATTTTAAAAACTTACCAAATTTTGATCAATTTTTAAATCATACTTATTTAGATGTTAATAAATTTATAACTAAAGATGTCGAATTTAATTTTCAAACTTTCAAGAGTAAATCATTACCTGAACATTTTGAATCAACAATAATTCAAGAATCTGGAGAGTATAATTATCAAATCTTTCAAAATGGTACGTATTGTATTTACCTTCCATTATATACTTTTGATGAAACAATTATCCATCCTACTCATTATTATGCAACTATGAAAATTGAACATGAATTTAGACATGTTGATTTATATCATAAATTTTCAACCAATTTAACAATTACTATTTTATTTGCAAGTACTTTATTATTATTATCATATTTTAATCCACTGATTAGAGAATTTCAAATTGAAAAATTAACAATTGTAAAGCAACAATTGGTTACTTTATTATTTGGTACATTTGCTTTTTATTTTTTATATACTATTAATGAATTTTTAACATTATTTGCAATACCAAGTGATAAATTTTATTCCCTTAGTGAAGGGACTTTTGGTCATGCTCAATATTTGATTATTGATAAATGGCAAAAATATACAATATCCAAAATTTATTTTGGTGTTGCTTTTAAAAATTTTACAAAACCAAGAATATTTGATTTGATATTTGCAATTAATGTTATTTCATCATTTGTTAGTGATTATTTAATTAAAATTGATTCAACAGATATTCTTGTAAATGATAAACCATTTCAAATTTTAAAACAATCAATTTTAGTACCTGGATTCTATAAAAGTGTTTTACAAAATGTAGAAACAGATGGAAATAAATTGACTTTAGAAGTAGCATCAGCATTGCAACTAATTAGCGGAATTTTAATACAATTAATTACATTAATTGTAGGTATTAAAGTATATTGGAAATTAAAAGATAGAAAATTACAGGCACCTATTTTACAATCGTTATTACTTCATTTAATTACATGGAGTACATTTGTTAAACATTTAATATACCATTTATATATAAAAATATCAATTAGAGGAATATTTGATGTTGGTGAATTATTAGGAGTAATTGGATCTTTAATTGAAACATATCAAGTTAAAGTTGTATCATTAAATTTAGTTGAAATTTTACTACTTTGGTTCATTTGGACAAGAGATTACACGGAATAGTTTAACTGGAGAATTGACTGACTCTGAAGATAAGTAATCATTACAACGTACAACGTACAACGTACAATGTATATCTCTTTGGTTGTATTTTTTAATCTCTTCTCGTTTTTTACGAATTAAATTTTTCACTTTATTTTTTTTTTTTTTTTTTTCAAGATTTATCGAAATCTTCTTAATTAGAGATGTGTGGTATATTAGGGGTTGTTTTAGCTAATCAGAATACTAATGTTGCTCCTGAATTATTTGAAGGAGCTATGTTTTTACAACATAGAGGTCAAGATGCTGCTGGTATTGTAACTTGTGGTTCTAAAGGACGATTTTTCCAATGTAAAGGTAATGGTATGGCAAGAGATGTTTTTAATCAACAAAGAATGAATAATTTAATTGGTAATATGGGTATTTGTCATTTAAGATATCCAACAGCCGGATCTTCTTCAAATTCAGAAGCTCAACCATTTTATGTAAATAGTCCTTATGGTATAAGTTTAAGTCATAATGGTAATTTAGTTAATAGTATTGAATTAAAGCTATATCTTGATGAAGTTGTTCATAGACATATAAATACAGATTCAGATTCAGAATTATTATTAAATATTTTTGCTGCAGAATTAGATAAATTTAATAAAAGTAGAGTTAATAATCATGATTTATTTTCAGCATTAAGTGGTACAATGGAAAAAATTAGAGGAGCTTTTGCTTGTGTTGCTTTATTAGCTGGTTATGGATTAATTGGATTTAGAGATCCAAATGGTATAAGACCTTTATTATATGGAGAAAGAAAAAATTCAGATGGTAGTGATGATTATATGATTGCATCAGAATCAGTTGTTTTAAAAGCTCATGGTTTTAAAAATTTTAGAGATTTAAAACCTGGTGAAGCAGTAATAATTACAAAATTTGGTAAACCAGAATTTAAACAAGTTGTTGAAGAAAAAATATTTGCACCAGATATTTTTGAATATGTTTATTTTGCAAGACCAGATTCAGTTTTAGATGGTATTTCAGTTTATAGATCAAGAATTGAAATGGGTATAAAATTAGCATCAAAAATTAAAAAAGTAATGAAAGAAGATATTGATGTTGTAATTCCAGTTCCTGACACTGCAAGAACAAGTGCTTTTCAATGTGCAGTTTCATTAAATATTCCTTATAGAGAAGGATTTGTTAAAAATAGATATATAGGTAGAACATTTATTATGCCAAATCAACAAGAAAGAAGATCATCAGTTAGAAGAAAATTAAATGCAATGGATAGTGAATTTCAAGGTAAAAATGTTTTATTAGTTGATGATTCAATTGTTAGAGGTACTACATCAAAAGAAATTGTTGCAATGGCAAGAGAAGCAGGTGCGAAAAAAGTCTATTTTGCGTCATGTGCACCACCAATTAGATTTAATCATATATATGGTATAGATTTAGCTGATACAAAAGCTTTAGTTGGATTTAATAGAGATGAAGAAGAAATATCAAAAGTAATAGGTGCTGATAAAGTAATATATCAAGATTTACAAGATTTAATTGAATGTTGTACAAAAGAAAATAAAAAAATTGAAAATTTTGAAGTTGGAGTATTTACAGGTAATTATATAACAGGAGTTGAAGATAATTATATTCAAGAATTGGAAAAAATTAGAGCACAAAATCAAAGATTACAAGAACAAAAACATAAAGGATTTAGTGTAGATGCTTGTATTGATCAAGGTGATTTAATAGATGTTAAAGCTGAAGTTGATATAAGTATATATAATAGAGGAGATTATAGAGAATAAAATAAACGATGCAACTCCGAATTCTACTACAACCGACTACCACAACAAATTCAACTGCGACTATTCAACTGCGACTTTTCAATGCAACTACAACCAACTACAACAAATTCAACTCCAAATTCAACTCCAAATTCAACTGCGACTATTCAACTGCAACTATTCAACTGCGACTATTCAACTGCAACTATTCAACTGCGACTATTCAACTGCAACTATTCAACTGCGACTATTCAACTGCGACTATTCAACTGCAACTACAACCAACTACAACTATTCAACTGCAACTATTCAACTGCAACTATTCAACTGCAACTATTCAACTGCAACTATTCAACTGCAACCATTCAACTGCGACTATTCAACTCCAAATCCATCTCCAAATTCGACTGCGACTATTCAACTGCGACTATTCAACTGCAACTATTCAACCTCTAAACACAAGTTTTAGTACTTGGTGTATTATTTAACGCGTTTATTTCTATATTTATAGATGTTATTTGTTTACAAAATAATAGGCTGCAAAATTACTTAAACAAAAAAAATGAAAACTTTATAAACAATAGAACAAAAAAAGAGCATCGGTTCTAATTGTTTCAAAGAACTTGCCTATTGTTCGGATCTAAGCTTTTTGAACAATATATCACGTCATAGATTAATACTACTTTACATTTTTCTTGATTGGAATGGGTGCTTGAAAAACAGTGTTTTTTAAAATAAACAAAAAACACAGCGTAAAACTCTACAATGTTAATACAATACTCTTTAAATGTGTTGGATCTAGTTTTAAAATTGGTATTAGTTACACGACTTTAAATACGCGTTCTGCATATAAACTTTTTTTTTTTTTTTTTTATTTTTTTTATTTTTTTTTTTTATTTTTTTTTATTTTTAATTTTGTTCAAATTTTTTTTTATAGGTTTCAAAACAGATTTCAAATTGTTTAACACTTTCCTTCTTTTTAAACAACTTATTCATTTCTCATTTTTTTACTAGTGTATGGGAATTATTACATTCTACTTAACAGGACAATTATTATATTTTATCAAAAGGAAAAGTTTTAGTTTCGCTATGGAAAAAAATTCAGTTTCAAATTCGATTGTTAATAATGGACCAGTTTCCATTTTTGCATATTGTTTATCATCTATTTTGATGACGGTTACTAATAAATATGTACTTTCAGGTTTTTCGTTTAATTTAAATTTTTTATTATTAGCTGTTCAATCAATTGTTTGTATTGTAACTATTGGATCATTGAAAAGTTTAAATATTATTAATTATAGACAATTTAATAAAGATGAAGCTAAAAAATGGTCTCCAATTGCTTTTTTATTAGTTGCAATGATTTATACTTCTTCAAAAGCTTTACAATATTTAAGTATTCCAGTTTATACAATTTTTAAAAATTTAACTATTATTTTAATTGCTTATGGAGAAGTTATATGGTTTGGTGGTAAAGTTACAACAATGGCTTTATCTTCATTTTTATTAATGGTTTTATCTTCAGTTATTGCTTATTATGGTGATAATGCTGCTGCTAAATCAAGTGATGATTTGTTTTCATTATATTTGGGTTATTTTTGGATGTTTACAAATTGTTTTGCATCTGCTGCTTTTGTTTTAATTATGAGAAAAAGAATTAAATTAACAAATTTTAAAGATTTTGATACAATGTATTATAATAATTTATTATCAATTCCAATTTTATTACTATTTACATTTCTATTTGAAGATTGGTCAAGTGAAAATATTTTGAAAAATTTCCCTGCTGATAATAGAGCTGTTACTATAGCTGCAATGATTTTATCTGGTGCATCATCTGTTGGTATTTCTTATTGTTCAGCATGGTGTGTTAGAGTTACATCTTCAACTACATATTCAATGGTTGGTGCATTAAATAAATTACCAATTGCATTATCTGGTTTAATATTTTTTGATGCTGCTGTTAATTTTTGGTCAGTTTCATCAATATTTGTTGGTTTTATTGCTGGTTTAGTATATGCTGTTGCAAAACAAAAACAACAAAAGGATACACAACAACAATTACCAACTACAAATAAATAATAGACTAATAGAATACATATTTCTTTACTACTACTTCTTACTACTTCTTTACTTCTTTACTTGTTTACTACTTGTTTACTACTTCTTACTACTTCTTTACTTGTTTACTACTTGTTCACTACTTGTTCACTACTTCTTTACTTGTTTACTACTTGTTCACTACTTCTTACTACTTCTTTACCTCTTTACTACTTCTTTACTACTTGTTTACTACTTCTTATTGTATAATAATGTTGTTACTACTATTCCATCGTCTATCGCATTTTTACAATTTTTCATCGCCAAAAAAATATTTCTTCAGACATTAACATGTCAAATAGTTTACAAGGTATAACTAAATTATTACAACAATCTTTATTACCACAATTAGCTAAACAATCTGAATTACAATTAAAATCAATTGAAATTGAAAATGGGTTTTCTATAAATTTATTGCATGTTATTGCTTCAACAAATTTATCTTCATCAATTAGATTAGCTGGGGCATTATATTTTAAAAATTTAATTAAAAGAAGATGGTTAAATGAAGATGGGGTTTATTTATTACCAATTGAAGATATAAATAAAATTAAAGATGAAATTTTAGATATTATGATTAAATTACCTTTAAATTTGCAATTACAAATTGGTGAATCAATTACATTAATCGCAGAAAGTGATTTCCCTCATAATTGGCCAAATTTAATTGATAATTTAGTTTTAAAATTATCATTAACTGATTTTGTTAATAATAAATCAATTTTATTAGTTTCTCATTCAATTTTTAAAAAATGGAGACCTTTATTTAGATCTGATGATTTATTTTTAGAAATTAAATTAGTTTTAGATAAATTTGTTGAACCTTTTCTTAAAATATTTATTGAAATTGACAAATTAATTTCAGAAACTAATAATCAAGCAAAATTGGAAATTTATCTTGAAAATTTATTATTATTAATTCAAATTTATTATGACTTTAATTGTCAAGATATACCTGAATTTTTTGAAGATCATATGAATGAATTAATGAGCATTGTTCATAAATATTTAGTTTATAATAATCAAACATTAGTAACTGATTCTGATGATGAAGTTTCAATATTAATCAAAGTTAAAACTTCAATTATTGAATTATTATTATTATATGTTACAAGATATGCTGATGTTTTTGAGCCATTAATACAAACTTTTATAACTTCTGTATGGGATTTAATTAATAATTATGTTACAAAACAACAAAAATTTGATTTATTAGTTGTTAAATCTTTACAATTTTTAACTTCAATTATAAAAATACCAAATTATCAATCATTATTTCAAAATGAACAAAGTATAAACGAAATTATAGAAAAAATCATATTACCAAATATTGTATTTAGAGAAAATGATGAAGAATTATTTGAAGATGAACCTATAATATTTGTTAGATCAGATTTAGAAGGTTCAGATTTTGATTCAAGAAGAAAAAGTGCTACTGATTTTTTAAGAGAATTGAAAGAATTTAATTCTGAATTATTAACTAATTCTGTTATGAAATATGTTAATCAATTTTTATCTTTAGGTGGTGGTTGGAAAAATAAAGATACTGCAATTTATTTATTTAGTTCATTAGCTACAAAAGGTTCAGTTACAAATATTGGTGTTACATCAACAAATGTTTTAGTTGATGTTGTTAAATTTTTTAGTGATAATGTTGCAAATGATTTGGAATCTTCAAATTTCCCAATTTTACAAGTTGATGCAATCAAATACATATACACATTTAGAAATCAATTAACAAAAGAACAATTATTAATAACTATTCCAAGATTAATTAATCATCTTAATGTAAAATCAAATCCTGTTGTTTATACATATTCAGCAATTACAATTGAAAAATTATTATCAATGACAAATTTTTCACAAAATCATTCACCAGTTTTTAATAAATCTGATATTGAACCATTTATAGGTGATTTATTAACAAATTTATTTAACCTCATTTTATCATCATCATCATCATCAAATCAAACACCTGAAAAATTGGCAGAAAATGAATTTTTAATTAAATGTATAATGAGAGTTTTAAATACATCAGAAGATTTATTAACTACAAATAGATTACCAATAATTGAACAATTGATAAAAATTTTAAAACTTATTGCCAAAAATCCATCAAATCCAAAATTTAGTCATTATATTTTTGAATCATTAGGGTTATTAATTAAATATGGTATAACACAAAATAATATAAATTCATATATTGAGTTAATTATACCTGAATTATTAAATATTTTATCTGAGGATGTTCAAGAATTTGTACCATATACTTTTCAAATATTAGCATATTTATTAGAAAATTATTGTCAAGGGTTACCTGAAACTTATAAATCATTAATTGAACCTTTAATGTCACCTTCAATATGGCAATTTAAAGGTAATATACCAGGAGTTACTCGTTTATTAATTGCAATTATAGAAAAGGATCCAAATTATTTTAAACAAGATAATATTGTACCATTATTAGGAGTTTTCCAAAATTTATTAGCATCTAAAATTAACGATAATTATGGATTTGATTTAATTACAATCATATTATTATATATTCCATTAAATGTATTAACGCCTTTCCTTAATAATATTGCAAAAGTGATATTAACAAGATTACAAAAATCAAGAACAGAAAAATTTATTAAAAAATTTACATTATTTATTAATAATTTAAATTGTATTCCAAATTCAAATAAATCTTTTCCAAATCAAATAAATTCCGAATTTATAATTAAATTTATGGAAAATGTTCAAATTGGATTATTTCAACAAATTTTTCAATCATTTATAATTCCAACTTCAAAAAATTTAAACAATTTACAAGATAAAAAAATTGTAAATATTGGTTTGAGTTTAATTATATCAAGTGAATCTTTTGCTAAAGAATTGATAATACCTACTATAACTACATTGATTGAAAATCTTAAATCTTATGAAGGTTTAAAAAGGGAAATAAAAGAACAACCACAAAATCCACAAAATCAACCATTAAATGAATTAGATTTAGATTTAACTTCATTTGGATCAAATTATTCAAAAATTATAAGTATTCAAAATGGAACATTTGATCCATTATCAATGATTAAAAATAATGATTTTGAAACTATAAAATTGATAATTTTAAATAATTTAAAAAAAATAGATTTGGTTTATCTTGGTCAATTATCAATTGAATCACAAAATGATTTAAAACAATTAGGATTTGTATAATACAGAAATATAAAAATTATTATTTACTCATTAGCTTCGTTAGATTCATTAGATTTTTCTGGTTGTTCTTCAGTAGTACTACTATTATTACCTTGCGTATTAGTTTCTTCCTTTTCTTTTTCATTTTCATTTTGTTTTTCTAACTGTGCAATTTCAGCAGCTGTTAAAAATCTACCACCTTGACCTCTTGGTCTTCTCATTGCATGTTTATGTCTTGATTCATGTAAATAAGGTTTTCTAGTTCTTGCAATTTTTAAATTTTCTTCTAATTTAGCTCTTGCAATTCTGCGTTTTAATATACGATGATATTGTTTTGCATTAACATAAAATGGTTGTTCATCAACATCAACATTATCACCGGCATTCTCTTCTACCTGATCAGCATTATTTCCATTATTGTCATCATTATGATACTCTATATTATTATTATTATTATTAGTATTATTATTATTATTTTCATAATATGAATGTTGTGAATTTGGTGACCCTTGGTTTGATTGTGCGTGTTGTATTTGAGGGTGATGTTGTTCTTGATAATATTGTTGTTGTTGCTGTTGTTGTTCTTGATTGTTTGTATTAGGCGACGATGAGTCTTGATAATATACTGGTGTAGATTGTAAAGAAGTCATTGTTATATAATGGAATATCTATTGATAGAAATATACGAATATATTTTTTGATGTTTGTATATTTTTTTTTTCAACCAAAATAAAAATGCGTACCGGGATTGAAATTTATTATATAATGATACCAACTACTTGTTATAATGGATAAAACTATCAACTAAACTACCATCACTATGCATTGATTGATTAAAATCATTGTCAATATTCTCTACACAATCTTGTTGCATGGCTATTCTTGATAAATAATAATTTTTCATTTTTTGTTTATCCAATTTAATTGATTTACTCTTATCTTGTCGTATATTAGTTTGTTGTATTGTTTCAATCGTATTACTTGTTTTAATTTGAAGTTCTGGCCATTTACATTCTAATTTTAATAATTGACAATTTAAACATGTTGGTTTCAGTTTTTCATCACATCTTTTCTTTCTTTTTCGACATGTTAAACAACCAGTTTTAGATCTAGTTCGTTTAACCTTTATATTACTTGTTGATTCAGGTTTAGACTGATTTATTGACTCTTGTTTTGTCATTATTTAACTGTCTAATTTGTCATGAAAAAATTGATTATTGATAATTCCCAAAAGAGTAAGAATTTTATTTAGCCGCGATTAATTATCACCAAAATTTATATATATTGAAGATGGGATGTATTACAAACATAAACAGTTATATAAACCTATTTTCTTATTGATTGATCATTTTTTGATGTTGATTTTGCACTGGTAATAGTAGATGATGATTTATGTGATTTAGTATTTGAATTTTGAGATTTTATACCATCAATATCAACATTATTCTTTATTTTCTCTTCTTCATTATTCAAATTTGAACACTTCAAATCAGTTGCTAATTCATTAATTGAATCTTGTGATCTTAAACCAATATTGGAACTATTTTTTGAACATCTAGATGAATCATTACTATCATTTGCATCAAATAAAACTCTTGAATTACTTGTATTTACTGAACCATTCTTATTCTTATTCTTATTCTTATTCTTATTCTTATCCTTATTCTTATCCTTATTTGAATTAATGCTAATTTTTGAACTATTTGAAACAAAATCGAACCCTTCAACTTCTTCTTTCTCAGCCATATTTATTGTTTCAACTGATTTAGTCTGAGTTGGAGTTATCAAATCTCCATTTTGTAATAATAAATTCAATTTATTCATCTTTTGACTCAATTTTTCAAATTCAATTTTATTATCATCATTTAATACTCTAAATTGTATATTTAAATTATCATTAATTTGTTGAATGAATTCCCATTGTGATTCAATTAAATTATTTTGAAATTCAATTTGTTTTTTAAATTGTGATTGAGTATTAAATATAGTTTGAAGGATTTTGATTAAATTATCATTTGTATATTCTTCTTCTTCTTCTTGAGTCATTACAAGATCTTTTAATTTTGAAATCATATATCTTGATCAATTGTAAATATTTTGCGATTTTGGATTTAATTCAGCGGTAAATTTTTGAAAATTTGTTGCAAAATCGAGAATGAATGGTTAAATACTAAAAGTATGGTATTAAAAACAAGTAGAGTGATGATTTACTATTGATGTTGATTTTCGAGAAATAACTGAGTATCTTAAAATGGCTAAAGAATTCAATATTGTATCTACAATGCAAATTTCACTACTTTCCTAAAAATCTTTATAATGAAAATACACAGAATCTTGACAACCTTGTTTCATTTATCTTATCTTATCACATTATCAAGCATATATTCGTGATATTCCAAAGAATTCCAAAGACTCTGTTAAGTTCTACTAATTAGGTTTTTTTTTCTTTTGTAAGTGTATCTATAAAAAACAATCAATTCTTGAAACAACGAAATGCAGTAGTCAAACATGCGCTGCGGCTTGACTAATTGAGAGTAATTGAAACCTGAAATGTCACATACTGAGAGAATGAGCCCTTTTGTAAGTGTATCTATAAAACAATCAATTCTTGAAACAACGAAATGCAGTAGTCAAACATGCGCTGCGGCTTGACTAATTGAGAGTAATTGAGAGTAAAGTAATTGAGAGTAATTGAGACCCGAAATGTCACATACTGAGAGTTAATCAAGAGACAAGCTAATACCGACAAACGAATTTGAATTCTATCAACTTCGGGAAAAATGGATTTCAAATTCAGCTTGACTAATGCAGGTAATTGACAGCATAAAGCGGTTCACAAAATAATATGACAAATAAAACAAAGATACAGCAGCTGCTTCAGAATGATTTAGAGTATTTAAAAATTGTAAGAACCTGTTGCGATTTGCAATCGAATGAATTTGGTAACTTCGCACGACAATCGTGCAAAAGTTTTTAGAATTTCTGATACGAATCTAGACCAAATTAAAGTTCAAGGCAATTCCAAAGGGGTTAAAAACCAAACGAAAAACGTTTCCACGTTATAAATTATGGCCAGTAAGTTAAATGGTCAAATTACATTACTTATAATACATTTAATCTAACCTACATTTAAATAATAAGATGTTGCATCGATCTAATATTGTTGCGTTATTGAACCAACCAACTTAATTTGGTTAATTTATAAATAATATAAACAGAAAGTAGTGTACAATCTTACAAAATTATTATGTAATATCTTACAAATTCATTTACTCTAAAATTTACTTTATTTACGAATATTTTGAATCTTATAAATTGGTTCCAAAAAATCATAAAATAATAATTTTTACAACCATAACAATATTGAAAAAAGAAAATAACAGATATACTACTGGTTGTTATAGTACTGGTTGTTAGCAAGAGATAGAATATAGACCAATATCTAGGACGATAGTTTTATTTTTAAGTATTTTAGCATTTTCAATCATATTTGTAGCAAAATTAGATTTAGTTTAAATAAGATTCCAATATTTATTTTATACCCACACCCAATAAATTTATTCAATGATTAATTGTTCTTCAAAGTTAAATCATAAACCATCCAAATTAGATTTGATAGATGATACTACTTTAACTTCATTACCATTTGCTCCACCACCACCAAATAAAAATTCATCTATAATACGACCAGTGTCAACTTCAAATTCAAATATAAATAGTATATCTAATTCAAGTATTTTAACTGATGAACTACTATCAAAAAACGAAGAATTAGAATTGGAAACAACTGAAGATGATTTTGAAACTGATCCAATTGTATTGATTGAAGATTATATTCCTCAAAATAAATCACCTCAAGTACTTAAACAAAGATCATTTGCAAATTTTAAACAAAAAATTCTGAAGAGAGAAGAAGAAGATGATGAAACCAAAGAGGAGGAGGAAAATCAAGATACTACATTAACTTCAATTGATGAAATTACGTTTTCTGCTATTGATTATTATATACCCGTTTCAAAACAAGAGAAGGAAAATTTGGAAGCTATATTTGGTCAAATTCCAGCTTCTAATTTATTAAAATATTGTAATTTATGTGATAAACCTTTGTATGAAGTTAGTTCAATTATATCATATAATGGATTTTTCAATCATGAGGAGTTTATATGTTTTGACTGCATAGAGAACTACGAAAGGTTTTCCAGCATATTCAGTCAATCTATTAAAGAAAGGAAATTGGATAGTTCTGGTAAAAAGATTAAACAAAATCATATTAATGATAATAATACAAAAAGAAAGTTGTATAAAATATTTGCATCTATTTCAAATAAATATAATATATAATTGCATATGGAAATTTTGTAAGTTATTGAGTGATAATATTTCTATTATTGGTTTTCTGTTCTTCATTGTTGGATAGATTACTTGTTGACATGGAATTAGTCTATCACGATATTCCTGCCGCGGAATGGCACCAATTTGGCACTAAAGGTTTTGTGCTGGACCCATCTCGAGCGATGAATTTTGAACAATTGGTTTTAGAACTATATTTTGTAATTTTGATGGATTTTAAAAATATTGACTCACAAGAAACGATATTGTTGTATCAGTGATAGGTCGTACATGTTCATGGAACGTATTTGAAGTTATAACAGCATGTATTTTACGCTTTAAAATTTACATTTTTTAAATCACAATTCTGAAACATTCATCTTATATGCAGTCTAAGTATAGTTAATATCAAAATTTAATCTGTGAATAACTCTCTTAGTATCCAAGCTTTATTGTTCAAACTTCGTTCATCAAAATTTCAGCGAGTTCGGAATATAATCAGGTCATCTTAATGAAAAACATGACTTTGGTTGTTTTATTAGTTGTTTAAAAAAAGACAAAAAACGCTATTTGCTAGATAACCAATTGTTAAATCTAGTTTTACAACTTCGAATATAACTATTTTGGTTTATTTAACCACAAAGAGCCTAACTGTAATGGTTTGAAGTTGCTGAAATTGTTTTGAATTTTTTTCAAACTTTTCAAATCACTATCGAAAAATTAGTTTTCCAATTTTGAATACTTTAACTTAAAAAAATCTAATATTTGACAGTGAATAGGAGCTACAACTCTTGATACTTTTATCATATTTTAGTTTTAGTATACATTATGGAGTAAGGTTTTCTGTAAATACAACTCTTGATACTTTTATCATATTTTAGTTTTAGTATACATTATGGAGTAAGGTTTTCTGTATATTCGCGTTATTCGATTCTCACCATAGTTAAAAAAAATTTTTGGAAGTTTTCAATTCTGGTTTAAATGAGTTCAAATTGGGTTCAGTATATGTATTTGAGGTATAATATATATATTTTCGTCATTTACATAAAAGTTATGGCCCTAAATAATTAATAAATACCAATTGTACTTTTGGAAAAATTTTTGTATGATGAAAAATTGCCCCAAATTCAGTTTGAAAAAAAAAAATTTGACTATTAGTTTTGAAGGAGAGTAAGATATATATTTCAAAGCTCCCCTCATATAATTGACAATTGTCTCACGAAACTACTTTGTTCTTGACATATAAACGTAAATATTGACTACCATGTCGCCTTGGACTTAGCACGAAAAAAAAATGTTTTTCTCGTCCCAAATTGTCGCGTTGAATATATACACGATATTTATTGTGAAACCACTAATATAATATAATATAATATAATATAATATAATATAATATAATATAATATAATATAATATAATATGTATGTAGACCAAAAGTTTCATCTAAAAAATGACCTTTAAACGCATCTGAAGCTCAGCTATATCGGAGGTAATAGATTAGATGTTTCTGATTATTTTTTATTAGGGCATTACTATTTGAACTCAGTACTTTTTTAGTGTTATCAATGATTTTATAAATGCCCAACCAACTCTGTTCCAGCAAGAGCAAAATAAATGCAAGAGCAAAATAAATGCAAATGCAAATGCAAATGTACTCAGAAATAACCATCTAAAAAATATTTTCTGATCACATCTTGGAATCTGACTAGTTTTAGTTGAAAGCTCTAGATTTTCTGAGTAATATTAATTAGAGCACACCGCCATCAATCTCGATAGTTCATGAGTTACTTACGATAAATGGATCGTTGAAATTTTGATGCAACCACTTGGCGTGTAAAAAGTCTAAGCATTGGCGTCATCAATTTATTATTATTCTCGAGGTTGAGGTGAAACTGCTACCAATAATTCTTGGATATTGCACATTGTTCTCGCCACAAATTTATACCATTATGTAACCCGATTAGAGCGAGGAAGTTATAAAAATCTGTCCGGGTCAAAGTTATAGTGGGGCGGAAATAAAAAAAAGTTATATAATTCATTACTTTTGTATATACAAGGCCAATCATAAAATGGAAAAATATATAAAAGACAAAAAATTATCCGTTAATAATCTAGCAGACCCAACTTCGATTGAAGTAATTATCTAGTTGATATTTCAATTGTTTAAACATCTGACACAAGGTTACATGGTCAGAATCTAAGTAAACCCGTCAATTATAACAAATTCTCTAATTATAAAATAGTAATAACAAATAAAAAATAGTAGTACGACGTAAACGTATAGAAATAAGTTTATCACGTGAGTGGCCATTAATGAAAATTTTATTACATTCAAACCAAGTTTTATCACCTAAATCATTAGTATACAATAGTATAAGCTCGGTTTACTCTATTCTGACAACTCCCTAGCCTGTAAAGTCTATATAGACTCAATACTAAAACAATCAAAGACGTTTTTATTGTAACAAAATTTTAATCTAAGAAAATTTTTCATAAAAATATTTCCTACATAAAATTTAAGTGATACAAAAATAAATTTTAATCTAAACCTTGGGCTTGTCAAACTAATTTAAACAATTTGTTGATTTCATATTTAATAAGTGATAATCCTTGATAGTCTTGTAACTAGCACCAACCATCATATATGAGTGATTCGATAATTAAACTGGAATCGATTGATTCTGATTCGAATCAAACACTAAATCAGCATGAAAATAAACAACCATCTTTAGAACCATCTACATCAACTCCAGCTCCAACAACATCAACATCAGCAAGAGGTAGAAAGAAGAAAACAGATAATGCCTCAACTAAAGATAAACCAAAAGCATTTACCATCAAATATAAACGTCCACGAGGTTCAAGAGCATGTACAGTTTGTAGATCAAGAAAAGTTAGATGTGATGCTGAAATTCATATTCCATGTACAAATTGTATTACTTTTGGTTGTGAATGTGTCTTACCAGAACAAAAGAAAAGAGGTCAAGCTTCTGAAAATAAATTGAAAAAACAAAAAATTGCCACTACAAAAGATAAAGAAACCAAAATTAAAGAGGAAAAAGAGGAAACAGAACAATCAAATTCTTCAAATGAACCTATTTTAAATATCAGTCAAATTAGTGTCCCACCATCATTAACTTCATCTTATAAAAATCGTCCTTCAATACATAAAAAAGAATTATTAAGTTCAAAATCAAAACCATCATTAACATTTATTGGAAGTTCTTCGGTCTTTGTGATTCCGCAAAGAGTAGGTGAGAATCACGTACAACTCACCGAAGATATGTTTGATGTAAATGATAATTCTTTAGATTCAGTTGAATTGGAAATTTTAAAAATGAGAGGAGCCTTCTTATTACCAAGCAAAGAATTAGCTTCAGACTTAATTGATTCATATTTTGAGCATGTTCACCCATTAATGCCAGTTATTAATAAAACTTTGTTTATGAAGAAATGGTTAGATAAACATGATAGTCCTTCATTAATGGTCCTTCATGCTGTTTTATTATGTGGTAGTAGAGTTTCCAAAAACCCAATGTTATTAGATTCAAAAGGTACTGCTGATTTAGCTAGTTTAACATTTTTTAGAAGAGCTAAAGCTCTTTATGAGCTAAATTTTGAATCTGATCCAGTGTCTATTATTCAAACATTGATTCTTATAGGAACTTATTGGGATGGTCCTGAAGATGTAACTAAAAATAGTTTTTATTGGACTAGAGTTGCAGTTGGATTAGCTCAAGGTTTTGGTTTTCAAAGAGATGTAAGTAAAAGTCAGTCACTTACAATTAGTGAAAAAAAAATTTGGAGACGTATCTGGTGGTGTTTATTTGAAAAAGATCGTAATGTAGCTATAGCATTTGGTCGACCCGTGGTTATTGATTTAAATGATTGTGATGTTCCAATGTTAACCTTTGATGATTTTAATGAAGATGATCCTGAATTAGGTATAATTTCACCTTATAAAGTCAATCAGTTGCATGCCGCATATTTTATTCAACTTGTTAAATTAGCTGAAATTTCAGGTATTATAATTAAACATCAATATTCAGTTAAAAGTGAATCAATGAAGAGACGTAATGCTTTTTCAATCATTGAACATTGTGATATGTTGATGGGAATTTGGTTTACAAATTTACCTCAAAATTTAGTATTTTCTTTAGCTGATAAATCTTCACAAAATTTTTATGCTTGTTTACTAAATGCTCAATATTATAATAGATTATATTTAATTCATAGATCAAATTTAATTAGAATGGCTAGAAGTTCAAGTACAAACCCAAATAATTATAAATATCCAAGTTGGGGTATATCATTTCAATCAGCAAAAATGATTTCAATTATTTCAAATATTTTATTGAAAAGAAATTTAATTCAATTTGTTCCTACGATGTATGTTTATATTGCTTTTAGTGCATTAATTATGTTAATTTATCATGTTGATTCATCAAATTCTGTTATTGCATCAACTGCTGCTGATTCTTTATATGTATCAAGAGCTGTATTAAATGAATTATCGAAATATTGGCCAATTGCTGGTTTATTAATGAGATTATTTGATAAATATGCAAATGATAAAATTAAAAGAGCTTCAGTAATTGAAAATGGATCTAAATTAGCTGAATATAAAGAAATTGTAGCAAAAGGAAAAGAACTGAATACACTGAGTACAATGAGTTTATATGGAGTACAAGAACTAAAACAAAATCAAAATCAAGCACCTCCTCCACAAAGACCATTATATTCACCAACTGCACAATCAGTTACATCAGGAGTTTCACCAGGTGGAAACATATATAATGATTATCAACAACCTCCACAACAACAACCACAACAACAACCACAACAACAACCACAACAAAAAGAACCACAAATTGAGGAGTTAATTCAACAATATAAAATTCCAATGAAACGTAATCAACAAGATGGTGCTAATGATAAACCACCAACAAACGAAACATCACCTACTTCATCAACAAAATCATTTCCTGATATATCACTAGTTACTGAAAAATTACCAAGTAAGCAAAACTTTTTTGAAAATTTCGAACCATCACAATTATTTCCAACATTTAGCCTACCACCAACAAGAGCTCAAAGTCCAAATCAACTAGATGATGGGAATATTGGTAGTAATATTTATAATAATTCAATGAATCAAACTTTGAATCAGCAAGAGCTGGATTATCAACATGTTGCTCAATCTCAATCTCAATCTCAATCTCAACCTCACCCTCAAGCTGCTCAAGAATATCAGCAAAACCCATCAACACCAGGATTCCAAACTAACTTCATTGATAGTTCATTTATAAATATGAATTTACAAGCTGGTATAGATATGAATAATGATGATTTTAATTCATTTTTTAACTTTATGGGTTAAATATATATTAAATTCTATTTCCATAATTTCTTCTTCTTCTTCTTCTTTTCATGTTTTAATTTCTTTAAATTTTCAAATATTTCATCTCTTTTCAATTTTTGACTATATCCAATAAAACTTTGTACAACAGTTTCATAAATTTCAAAATCATCATGTAATTCATTAATTTTATTCTTCCATAAACTGCTTAATAAAATTAATTCGTCATATATATCCTTCAATTCCTTTAATTTAGAATCTAATTGGCCTGGATCACAGGTTTTTAAGTAACCTTCACTTGTATTATTTAAAATTTCAATTTCAATCTTTGATAATCTATCAATTGTGTTCAGTAGTAGCTTATTTTTAGCATCAAAGTCCAACTTTAAATCTTTTTCATCTGGTATTTCAAAAATATCCCAATTTATATCTGATTCATTAATTGATTTCCTTCTAACATGAAATTGTACATCTTTAGAATCGTTTAATTCGTCAAGATTTATCGGTATACCCAATTTTATCAATAAATTATGTCTTATATTTGATTTTATCCAATTTGTAGGTTGTAAATAAGGAATTGTAGATACTTGTTGATATATAGTTTTAGATCGATCATTTAATAACTCTTTGTCATTATATTCTTTGGGTATAGTTGATTCAATTGGTATTATTTCCAGTATTAGATCATTTATTTTATTATTCAATGCTTGATTATCTTTGAATATCACATCAGGAAATTGTATATCTTTATCTACTTCATCAAATTCTCCAAATTCATCATCTTCTTCTATACTTTTTTCTACATTATTAGCCACGTTAAAATCATCAAATTCTTCTTCATCTGAACTCATATTAGATCACTGATTATTTTTTTTTTTTCCCGAATCAATATGAATAATGGTAATAATCAAAATGTTATATTCTTTTCAATTGGAAACCCAGGTTCTTTAAATATAAGACATTCAGTTGGTCATCTAATGTTAAATCTATTAATGAAAAATTATAATATTAAACAATTGACTAAAAAATCCGTTTATTCAATACTGAAAAATCAAGATGAAAGTTTAATATTTGTAAAATCAAATTCATACATGAATGAAAGTGTTAAATCATGGCAAAAGTTTGAAAAAGATGAAAGAGTAAAAGGGAGTTTAATATTGATCTTATATGATGATTTTGAATCAAATTTAGGAACTGTTAAATTGTCAAAATTTAAGAAAAATGAGTCACATAATGGAATTAAAAATTTAATAGCATCCGAATTGAAAGATTTGAATTGTTATAAACTAGGAATTGGTATTGGTCCTAAACCAAGTAATGCAACTAGAGAAACGATGGCAAGCTGGGTATTAAGTTCATTTAATTTAGACCAAATTAAATCTATACATGAAGATGTTTTAGAATTGTTGATTTTTTATGTACAAAACATAGTTGAAAGTGAAGGAATAACTGATACTAATAAGTTTAATGCAAGAATGACAAAACTATGGATATCAAGAAATGAAAATTGATATTTTTTAATTGTTGCAATTTCAGTGCAAGATTCAAATAAAAATGGGTCTCATTGAGTGTATCAAGGATTTTGGAATGTCCCAAGATGTAGTAACAGCGACGGAATCTATTTCGATAGCTCATAGATTATTAAAGTAGAGTTAATCCAAAATGATAACTCGAAAAACAAATGATCTAAATGTAAGATTTCAAATATGTATAGTATACAATTCAAGGCTTCTGATTTGGTATTTATCTTGACAGAATGCTTCGTTCATAAGATATAAAGCAATTTATTTAGAACGAGTCGCCCCAAAAGTAGCACTAGAAATTGTTTGGTCGCACCAGGACATGAGCATAAATTATTATTAAGAATTGAAAGTTAGTTGATCTTCAAGAGATGATTAAGAATGCATTTATAAACAAAAAATGTCTATTAAAAAATTGTATTTCTTCTAAACTTTTTCGGATCTTCATCTAAATCGACATCACTTTCATCATATTCATCATCAATTGAATCATTATCATCATTTTCAATTTCTTTATCTAAATCAATACCAATTGATTTTTTAAAATTATTAAAATCATAATCACTAGGATCAAATTCTTCTTCATCATCAGAATCTTGTGGATATAAATTCATTTTACCATTTATTATTTGATTAAATGTTTGTTTTTTACCCTTTTCAATTGCTCTTTCAATTGAAGCTCTATGTTTTATAAATAATAATCTTGGATACATACATCTTTCCCCTTTTAATATGATTTCTTTTAATCTTGCTTCTGTTGGATCACTTAATATATACCAAAAATCCATTAATCTATTTCGAGGCCATATAGTAATTGTACCAGTGAAATTTTGTAAAAAAATATTTGACCAATCTTGTTTTAATAATCTTGGTAATAAATCCAATGATTTTACAATTTTTAGCCATTTTTGAATTTCTAATCTAAATAATTGTTCTAATGCAGTTGCAATAAATCCACCCCTTAATGATGCAAATTTTTCCATTGTTGTTTTCCTTCTTGATATTGGAACTGGTCTTCCAACTGTTCCCTTTGGAGCAAAAAAGAATAACGATATATGTGGATTAACTTGTGAAACAATTGTAAAATTAACATTATAATAAGTGTTCAATGCATCAATTGGTATATCAGTTCTTAATGATCCATCTCTCCATTTACTTCCTAGACTAAAAGGTATGACTTGATTATTTGTTGGATTTTTCATCATTAAAACAACAGGATTCAAAATTCCAGGAACAGCTGATGATGCTAATAAAGTTGACCATATAATACAATGTGGTGAAGTTACATCATTACATAAAATAACAGGTGAATGTGGATCAGCTGGTACAGTAGAAATATTCAATTTTCTATTGGTTAGCCAAGCAGCTTCTTCAAAAGTTGTTGAACCTTTTGTAAAAAAATTTGATTTTCTAGCCCATGCTACTGAATCAAATCTGGCACCAGTATTAAATAATCTTGGAATCCAAATATACCATGGATCTTCACAAGCTGTAATTTTTCTTGCCAATTGTGGTACTAATAATTTCTTCAATTCATCATTATTTCTTGTACATAATAAAGCAGCAATTAAACCACCACCAGAAGTACCCGATATAATATTTGGTAATAAATCTTGATCTAATAATGCTTTTGCAATACCAAAATGGGTATAAGAAAAACAAGCACCACCACTTAAACAAAGGGCAGATTTACCAAAATTTTTCAGGACAATTTTGAAAAATTTTCGTTTATGTTCAATGTTAATATTATTTGCTTCATTGACTTTATTTATACATGTTACAACTTCTTTATAATAATCCTCAACTAACTTTTTAGTACCATAATATCTATGAGAATATAATTGTCTATTTTCAATACCTGCGAAATTCTTTTTCAAACAACCTTGTAAAACAATCATTAAATCATTATACTTATTTTCTAATCTTAATTTCTTTAATCTATTAATTGTTAATTTAACAGTTTTATAATCATAATATGAAAATTTAGGATTTTGACTCCATTTATCTAAATTCAAAAATTTATCTAACGCAATCGCATTTTCAATCCATTCTGAATAACTATTTGAATTTCTTAATTTATCTCGTAATTTTTTCCGTTCACCGGTCCATGTAAAAAAATATTCCAGTAAAGCAACATAAACTCTAACAATAAAATACAATGAACCTAAAATTGATATCCAAATGAAAACAAATATTAATATTGGCCATCGAAGCAATGTATAACCAGCACTATTTCGAAATTCATTTTGTAAAGCTTCAATAGTTGATTTAGATTGTTGTTGTTGTTGTTGCTGTTGTTGTTGTTGTTGTCTTGTCTTTTTTGTAGATTTATCATTTATAACTGGAAACCAATCTGATTTTGATGTAATTAAATCTGGTCTAATTTGGGTCGGCGTTATACCTAACTGAGTAGTTTCATTTTTAAGTTGATTATCTGGTTCAGTAGGCACTGCAGTATTTGAATCATAAATTTCTTCTGTTCCTGATGATTCTATAGCATCATAATCTTCTTCTTCTTCCTCTTCTTCAGCATCATCATCTGTAAAACTATTTGGTTCATTTAATGGAGTGGTAGGTTGAGTATGATCATAATCAGACTCATCTTGAAAAACTAAAGCTTTTGCAAATTCACTAATATGATTCTCATCTATATAATCATTATCTTCATCATATAAAGCTACTCTACTCATAATATGTTAATAATAACTTGTTGTCAAATTAAACAATCTCTTAGATAAATGAAAAATAAAAATTTGTTGGGTGTGACCGTAATGAAATTATTATATAGTTTCTATGTATAACGTGTTAAATTTATTTTTTTTCTGCTGCTGATAACTCCAGATTATTTTGTTACTCGGATTTATACATTTACGCCGGTTGTGTCAAAATAACACGTCAAATTTAATATATAATTAAGGGGTATTCAAACCCTTTAAACTTAATTTAGTGACTAAACACTTAATATTTGAAGTTACGGTTTAGGTATACCGATTAAAAGTTGTAAACTACTGCTGAAGAACTAAGTTTAACAAAAACGTGGTTTAAGGGGTTGTTGATTGGAATGTTATGCAAAGCAAGTAGCCGCATGACTCCTAGTTACGTTGATAATAACTACGAATTGTCGTATTAGAGAATGTTATGTTAATTGAAGATAAAATAGTATGATGTCATGTCAGATCCAGTATGGGAAAAATTCGGTAGTGTATGTATAACTTTTACTTTATCTATTTTGAAAGACAAAAACTCTCAGCACAAGTTTATGAAAAAAAAAATCGACTCATATAATTTATATACTCTTTCTTAGCTATTCGATTTCTTTGAAGCTGTCAGTTTTCTTTAAAATCACCTTGCAATCCTGTGGAAGTATTTTGTATATGCATCTTTGTTAGCAAATTCGATTTCTTTGAAGCTGTCAGTTTTCTTTAAAATCACCTTGCAATCCTGTGGACGTTTTTTATAAACGCATCTTTGTTAGCTATTCGATTTCTTTGAGGCTGTCAGTTTTCTTTAAAATCACCTTACAATCCTGTGGAAGTTTTTTGAAGTTTAAGATTTAACGAAAATTATCTCTTTGCCACTCTTCAAATCAGTACTGACTATTCGTTAGTTAATTACAAAACATAACAAATGAGACAATCTATGAGCCATGGAGTGCTCCTTGGTGGTGGTTTCCGAGATCATTTTAAAGTCCACTGTACTCAAAATGGACGACCTATTTCATGAAAAATTTCGAGTTATTATCTTCAAAAATTTTTAATTATTTCTATTAAGGATTTCAGAAAAAGTATTGATTGACTTAATGCTAACTATATTGTTGTATTTTAAAATTTATGAACTTCACGGTTTATTAATTATGGCTGCAAAATAATTGGTTTCAAATTAAGTCGAGAAAAAAAATTAAAAACACGTTCTACATTAAAGCCATGGCCATTGATACGGTTATAGTAGATATTGAAGGTACAGTATGTCCAATTACATTTGTTAAAGATACATTGTTTCCATATTTTATCAAGAAATTACCTTCATATCTTGAAAATATTCAATTTCCACTAAATTCTTCATCATCAGATCCAATTGTTGAAATACTTTTAAAATTACCAAACGAAATTAGAGTAAACTCACAATCGACATTCAATCACTTTAAATCATTAGTGGATCAAGATATCAAAGATCCTATTTTAAAGTCATTACAAGGTTTAATTTGGAATCAAGGTTATAAAAATGGTGAATTAAAAGCTCCAATTTATCCAGATTCAATTAAATTTATACAAGATTATAAAAATAAAATTTATGTATATTCATCAGGAAGTGTAAATGCTCAAAAATTATTATTTGGATATGTAGAAGATAATGGAAACTCAATTGATTTAAATAAATATCTTAGTGGATATTTCGATATTACAACGTCAGGTTATAAAAATCAACCACAATCATATAAAAATATACTTAAAGATATAAATAAAGATGGCTCTTCAGTATTATTTCTCAGTGATAATATAAATGAAGTTAAAGCTGCTATTGAAGCTGGAATGAATTGTCATATAGTTATAAGAGATGGTAATGCACCAATTTCAAATGAAGATAAATCAAACTATCAAGTAATTTATGCATTAAGTGAACTAAATATATAAATTAAGCATCTCTGAATAAAATATCAGCAGCTACTTCTTCATTTTTATCACAAGCTAAATAAACTTGTATAACTAAATCTCTTTCAAAACCCAATTCACATAATCTATTAACTGCATTTTGATCTTGTTCAGATAATGTAATACGAATAGTACCTTCATCATTACCACCTTGACCTTCACCACCTTCAGGTTCAATTTCAAATCCTAAATCTTCACCACTTGCACCTAAAAATGTTCTTATAAAACCTTCTGGATCTTGTTGAATTAAATTTGCAATTTGAGGATTTGAAGCTGCCAATTGTTCTAATAAAGGCTGAATTAATTCTGGATTTGATTGTAATGCAGCTCTTAACAATTGCATTTGTTGATCATCACTTGCACCTGATAAAGCTCCTGCACCACTTCCAGCTCCTGCACCACCTGAAGGCATTGAAGTATGTTGATTATTACCACCTGCTGCTGCGGCTGCTGCTTGTTCAAACAAATTTTCTCCCTGGGCACTTCTGTCATGTTCATCATCATCATCATCGTCATCATCATCATTATGGTTATTATCATGAGTTCCTTGAGCTGTAATTGATTCTGCTAATGGAGCAGCAATCGGTGATTGTTGATGGAGTTGTTGTTGTTGTTGTTGTTGTTGTAATGATTCTGGTATACCTGTAATTAAATATTCAACAGCACGATGTGGATTATTAAAAGCAGCTCTTAAAGCAGCTTCAACTTGTGGTCTTTCATACCCCATTTCCATTATATTTGTAATTGTAGCTTCTCTTTCACTTCCCACGGCAAATGTAGATTCTGTACTAGTTTGTGGTTGTTCGGTGGTTGTTGCTTGTTCTGTATTGGATGATTCCTGTTGATGTTGTTCGGTGGTTGATTTATTTTCAGATGATTCAGTTGGAATTGGTGTTGGTGTTTTTTTAGCTTTTGCAATCATAAATATAATTGAAGCACCTTCTTTTATTTTTGATTCTTCCAATGTTTTTTCATCAATTAAAACTTTGCCCGAATAAACTAATTTAATTTGAGAAGCTTCAACATCTTTTTCTTTACCTAATAATTCTTTAGCTTTTAAAACCTGAAAATGAAATTAGTATAATTACTTATCACCATGGAGTTATTTACATACAGTATCATTCAATTCTAATTCAATTGGAATTACTTGTTTTTTAAAATCTTTAAATACAATTTTCATCGTGTGTTAATAAGTTGTAATTACAACCAATCTCCTATAATTAAATTTTCCAGTATGTTTATTAAAATGTTTCAATGTTTTTCAAATTGTAGTGGCAAAAAGAAAAAAATGGTCATGTGAATAGTAGTGTAGAATGATCAAAGTATATATTATGTAACTTTACCATAAAAATTATGTAATCGATGAGTTTTTCAGTTTTGAACTGTTATCGATGAATAACACAAACACAAACACAAACACAAACACAAACACAAACTAATAATGTAACTCAATATACATTTATAAACTGTTTATTATTATTATGTATGTAATTTAATTAGAAACTGTATATACATTTTTTAGTTGCGAAATTTATATTTTTTCACCTTGCGAAATTATACTATTACTATTATTATTATTATTATTACCGCTTGACAAATAATGGGTAGAAGAAATTATAAAGCTGGTGTTAAAGGTCCAAGTTCTGCTTTAACTGAATTTTTAAAACAAGAAGGTATTACTGATCGTTTTAGAAATAGAAGAGAAATAGAAAGAAATGGTGGAAATCAATCACAAACTTCTGATCAAGAAAATTCGCCACCACCACCAAATCAATTTCAAACTTTAGATCAACAACAACCAGAAAAAGATGACGATGATGATGACGTGTCTCTAGATATAATTAGAAGTTCACCAACACCTAAAGAAGAATCAGATGATGAAGAAATTAAATTAATGAGAAAAGCTGCTAAAAGGAAATTAAAAGCAAGACGCGGTGGAACTACGCGTAAAAATCCAGATTCTTCAGATGATGATTCTCATAATGATTTAGATGGTAATTATTCATCTGATGAAGATGATCTAGGTAATGCAAATTTGAAAAAATTTGGTGAACTAGATCAATGTATTGATTGTGGCAAATCTATTCAATTAACTGTATATTCAAGATTTATAAAGGAGAAAGTTGGTTATTTATGTGATGAATGTAATCAAATATTAAAAAATAGAGAAAAACAAGCTAAACAAAATCAATTAAATGCAAGAAAGAAGAGGAAAAGAACAGCTCAAGCATTATTAAATAAAACAACTATAAAATTACCAAAATTACAAGATGTTTGTATTAAAAAGATTACTTCAAATATTACCGATGTTGATGCTTTGGGAGATATTGGTCAATTAAATTTAGATAAAATTTCCATGATTCTATCTAAAAATCGTTCATTAAATGATCAAACAATGACTTTATTTTTATCGCCAGAATTAAAATCATTATCATTTTGGGATTGTTCAGATGTAGATAGTGATTCATTGAATAAAATAGCTGCATTTTGTCCAAATTTAAAATCATTAACTTTATTCATGTGTGGTCAATTACATAATGATAATTTACAATATTTTGCAACCAACCTAAAAAATTTAAAAGAATTTAGATTAAATGGTCCTTTTTTAATTAGTGCTAAAATGTGGATTGAATATTTTAATATTATAAAAGATCAATTGAATAAATTTGAATTAAGAAATACTCATAGATTTACAAAAGATTCATTAACTGCATTATTGGAGAATTGTGGGAAGAAATTGACAAGTTTGAAGTTATCAAGATTGGATGGATTAGTTGATCAAGATGTATATAATGAAGTACCAGAAAAGATATCATCAAATAGTTTAACACATTTAGAAATTTCATATCCTCCAAGAGAAGAATGTGTAACTGATGATACATTAATTAAAATACTTGAAAAATGTGGAGAATCTTTAATATCTTTGAATGTGGATGGTTGTATTGGATTGACTGATAAGTTTTTAATTGAAGGTGTATGTAAATATTGTATAAATTTACAACATTTATCAATGAGACAATTGGATCAAGTTACAAATGAAGGGTTTTCACAAGCTTTTGATGCTTATTCAAAAATTAATGCAGGTGGTTTAATAGAAGTTGATTTGACAAAATGTGATGATATCGGAGATGAAGCAATTTATTCATTATTAAATCATTCATCACATACTTTAGTCGAATTAAGTATAAATTCATTATACAGAATTACAAAAGATTTCCTTTCACAAATATTTATTGAAGATCATACACAATTCAAGAAACAGTTAAAAGCAAGAGTAGAAAAGGAAAAAGAATCACGATCACAATCACAACCACAACAAGAAGGTGAAGATGAAGAAGAAGAAGAAGCAAAGGATGTTTTGCATTATTATCATTATATAAATTTACCATTATTAACTTATTTAGATGCTGGATTTGTTAGAGCTGTAGACAATCAAATTTTACAATTGGTAGGGGAAGGATGTCCTAGGTTACAAATTATGGAAGTTTATGGAGATAATAGATGTACACAAAGAGCTAAAATAAGAGATGGATTAATTGTAATTGGTCGTCAAAATGATATTATTTAATCTTTGGGATATTTAATATTTTGTGATGCTTTTTCAACATTCTTAAAAGTTGGTAATGGTGGAATTGGTATATCGTTTTCAGTTAGATCAATATAATTTCCATCATTCATGAATTTATTAGTTATATCAGGTGTAGAATCAATAAATATACCAGGATGACCAATTTGTTTCCGTATAAATCTAATATATTCATCTTGTTTGAGTTTATTATTATTATGTTTGAGCATGTAATTATATTCACTACTTCGTTTTTGAGTTGCAGTATTGTAAAATATTGAATTTGAAATATTTAAATCTCGTTTTATTATTGATTCATCTGATTTCCCATCATTTATCAATAGTATCTTTTTGAGATTTGCATTTGCAATATCATAATATTGATTTATAAATTGATCAATGACTAATTTTGGCAAATTTGATTCATTTTTTATATATGTGATTATCAATTTGAGATTGTTTAAATTATGTTGATGAATTCCTTCAAATTGAAACATGAAATTCCAAAATTTGACAGATATAGATAAGCATGGTCTTGTATGATGTTGATTGTAAAATTGTCTGATCTTTTCAGTTTGATCTTGTGCTTGTAGTTGAAGTAAATGTGACTCTATAATAATACAAATTGAATCATCATTAAGGTACTTTGCAACTTGATTTATAACTGACATTGGGATTTTATCAATTTTGACTTCTTCTTCTTGTTTCTTCTTTGATGGAGTGATATCAAAATACATATTGATCCATTTTTTCAACACCCATCTAAACTCTTCCATATCTAATATGTGCTGAATCATTTTAACTAACTCAGTAATTGACTCAAGGTATGATTGTTTAAAGTATAACTTAATACCACTGTATAATTTTATCCAATCCAATAAATACTCCAATGCATCATCGAGTTTATCATGTTTAAGTAATAATTTAACATACATAAATCTAGTCACTTGTTTATTCAACGGTATGAATCTCGAGTTTATCTTTAAATAAACCTCTTTCTGCAATTCAAAACTATCTTCCCTCCTCAGGTCATTTAAAAACTTTAAATACTTAAGCCATGAATCAGAATTGAAACAATTTGGAATCAACATTCTCTCGAATAAATTACAAATGAGGTTAAATTGACCGTCTGAATTATCGTTCTTATACACTTCAATCTCTTTCCTTATGTAATTTAACCATGTTTCTATTTCATCTTTTATTTCTTGATCCACCACTATCTTAAATTCTTGATTTCGTAAATTTGATTCGTATTGCCAACTTGAATTTACTTTGGCTTGTGTAATCGAATATATCTTTGTTATGTAATCATCAATGATTTGATGCTTTTCAATCAAAGACAACTCTATAATCTTAGATTTACCAAATTTTTTAACATAGTCAAGCAAATCTTTTTCTGGTATTATCTTCCCAATTTCAAACTTCTTACAAGTTTCTTGGAATTTCTCATAAAATTGTGCATATTCATAAAGTGGAATCCGTATAACTTTTAAAAACAACTCTAATACCTTCTCATCATTATCTTTTTCAAATTCAATAACTTTATTCCATAACGGCCCAGAATTATAATCATAACTGTTATGCCTCAAAGCTTCTTCTAGCAATTTATCCATTTTCTCTCTACTACCTTCTTTCTCAACTGTCTCAGAAGCAGTTAAATAATCATTCCATAATTGAACTGAATTCGGAAAATTTTCAACACCCAATCGTAATATATCAATTGATGCATCAGTACCATTTAATTTATATTCTAAAATTGACCATTTTTTCCAATAAGCAAGCAATAAAGGAAACCTAGATAATAATGACTTATAGGCTTTATAAACTTCATCTTTTAAATTTTGCGATATTGAATTCCTATCATTCATATCATAAGAATCATCTATAATTTTATCATATTCATCAAATAAAGCATCCCATGCTTTAATGTCATTAGGCTGATTATATACATCTTGTGATAATTTCTGTATATTTGGATATTCTGAATTCAATACTTCATTATTTAAATCTTGCAGTAAGTGAAACATAGTGAAAAAAAAATTATTATCGCCAGACGCAAAATATGAAAGATGAATTGAAATTTATAAATCCATATAATATAAAAAGTAATAATAGTAAACTATTAAAATTTTTAAATGTGGAAGAAGAAGAACCACAGTTGAGTATAGATTTACCGGTTTTCAAATCAATTGATGTTTCAGATATAATTCAAATAAATAATTCAAAAATATTGATTAAATCAAATGAAATACGACAACTACATGATGATGGTAACGAAAGTAAACAAAACAATAATGATGATATCATTATAGATAATGAGGAAACTGTCAAGAATTATCAAGAATTATCTCTTTTTAAACCTACAAATTTAAGAGATCAGATTCTCATACTTACAATTTCCAAATTTCCAAATTTAAAAAAACCAAGTATGGAAAAAGTGCTAAGTTTGTTATTGGGTGATAGGCTGTTTCATTGGTCAATTTTGAATAAGGATGAATTTGGGTTGGATAAAAATATATTGTTATTTTTGAAATTTGAATCATTAAAAGATATAAAATGGTTTTTAAAAACTTATGACGTTGAGGAGAAGATAATTGAAGACATAGAGATTAAAAGTAATGAGAATCTAGATGAGTATTCAAAAGAGATAGAAGTGGAGACAAATAACATCTCACAAAATCTTAAAGCAAAATTAAATATCATACTTTCAAATCTGTCAAATTTCGAAAAAGTAAGTAGCAAATCCGATGTGGAAGATCTAGATCAAGTTTTAAAATCTTATAGTAATTATAAAGTAGACAATGCTGATCTTGTCGATGTTCCAAACTACATGAAAGATTCAATAATCAAAAATATAATTAAATTTAGATCCAAAATGTTATTAATAGAGAAAGAAAAGCGTAGAAAAGAAATAGAAATAGAAAGATTGAAAACCAAAAATAAATTTAAGAATCTATTCGAAGGTATCAAAGAAACTAATGATATTCAACAACCAAATATTGATGTGGAAAAAGTTAAACAATCAGATCGTGATGAGTTTGAAGATATGAACGATAAAGAATATGCTCAATTCATAAAACACAAACGTGAGATTCAAGATGATATGGATTATGAACAAGCATTAAATAGAATGAATCGAAAAGAGACAGAAAGAAGTCAATTGGAAGATAAATTAGCATATTTGGAAAAATATGAACCTGATTTAATTGAGTATAAGATTAATTATATTGATGATATGAAAAATTACGAAACTACAGATATTTATAAAATGTATATCAATGATCATAAACAATATCAGAAAATTAGGTCGCAGAAACGTTTGGTGGAAGAAATGAAAGATGCTGAGGATGCAGAAGAAGAAGAGAAGCAGAAACCAAAAGAGAAAGAACCAGAAAAAGAACCAGAAAAAGAACCAGAGGTAAAGAAACAAAAAGTTGCAAAAGGTGCTGTTGTTGCTTCTTCATTCTCATCTGACTTGAAAGAAAAATTACAAGCTAAGATTATTGAATTAGTTGAGGAATATCTTGGTGTTAAGGATGATTTCTTAATTGATGTTATCAATGAAAATATAATAAAGAATAATTTAGATAAAAAACAAGAATTGATTACTGATTTATCTGAAGTTTTAGATGAAGATGCTGAAAATTTAGTTAATGATTTATACGAATTTATAGAAAACCTTAAATGAATCAGAACGTTACTGATCTGGCGTTCAATCTGATTTCGTCAAACTCCGTATAAGCATTATAACAAAATAAATGAACAAATACGCTCAGACCGAAATAAAACATTTGGTAGCGCGTGATTTTTTTTATATACTCCTGAAGTGTTATTCATTTGTATGCCCCTTAACAATAAACATAAGCCCAGTATTTTCCTTCTGTTCAGCGCTTATTGAGAGTATACTTCAAAGAAAACTATAAGCAAGCTTGTGGTGGTGCTCATCTTGATTAGGTTTGTAAAGCCATCCACTGATTAATAGTTTACGACTGAATGAACTCTAAATATATCAAAATCTAAAGTCTAATACATATATTATATTAATATACAAAAAAATTATATAAACGTTTAAAATAAAAAAGTGTTTTAATTTTCATTTACTATTTGTCCTTTTTAGAACCCTCCATACAATACAATTACACTCGATGTCTAAGAAAACCAAATAAAAAGGAATTGAAAAAATGTTAATCAATGATACCAACCTAATGAGTTTGAAGCTTGTACTGGTTCTGATATGTTATTATGATTTCTTGCATTATTTAATACATTTTGATTATTATTTGTCATTCTATTAAAAATTTGTGAAAATGAACTTGGACCTGAATTTGAATTTATATCTGATTCAGTCATTGACGTCATATCAGTTATTTGTGATTCTGAATCAGTATCTGGTAAATGTACACCACTCTTACTTCTAAATTTTCTAAACAATATAATCATTAATGACATATAAACCATACAACCAGCAGCTGCACCAATTGTAATACCAGCAATTCTACCTTTATTTTCAACGGTTTTATTACTATTTACTACATCCATTGAACCATATTGATTTAATGAATTTCCACCACTTGAATTATTTGAATCTGAACTACCCAGTAATTGTTGAACTGAATCAACTAAACCAGTCAACGGTATTCTTGAATCTATCAAACTTGCCAATGTACGTTCTGTTTCATCTGGATTTCTATAAATTTTTGAATTTGGTGTATTTATAAATGATGAAAGTATTCCTATATTTGATCTTGGGAAATAAACTTCAGCAACAGTAATTGTATAATCTATATTTGACGCACTATAAGGAATCAATTTTTTAACTATTACACCGTTTAACATATCTGAATCTTCATCATTAAATGGATATGTTAAAACTTGTGGTAAATATTGGAAAATTTGTGCTGATGAAATTGTATGTTGAACAACAAATTGATAATTCAATGCAGCTTTAAACCCAATTGTAATCAATTCGTAATCATCACCAGGATCAGTTGTATTTTCTGGTGTAATTGAACTTGGTAATCCTGAAGTTGATGCTGGTGTTGATGAAGCTTGAATTATACTTGTTTCTGCTGTTTCTGCTGGATTTGAACTTGGTGTTTCAGCAATTACTAATGACGAAGGTAACCAATTTTTAGATGTTGTTGATGTTGGAGGTGTAGTTGCAATTGGTAATGGTGATGAAATTGGAATTTCTGAGGATTGTGGTGGTGCAGAAGTTATAATTGCTGAAGATGGTAGTAATGTTTCAATTGGTGATGATACAATTGATTCTGGAATTGAAGTAAGGTCTGATTCGATTGATGATTCTGGTTGTGGTGATGGCTCAGTAAAAATAGATGTTTCAATAACTTGTGATGATGGTAAAATATCAGACTGAGTTGGTTCAGTAATAATTGATGATTGTAAACTTTCAGTTTCTGTTGGTTGTGAAATAGCAGCACTGGATATTACTTCACTTGTTAAATCACTTGTAAATACTTGTGTTAATTCAGTTGATGATGTTGGAAATTCTGATACTGGTTCTGATGTGGTAGTTTGTATTTCTGTTGATATAAATTCAGATTCAATTGGTGATGAAGACGGTATAATAGAGTCAGTGGTTTCAGTTGCTAATTCAGATGAAATTGGTAAAATTTCACTAGTTGACTCTGTGATTGGTAAACTTGAAATAACTTCTGTTTGTGAAGAATCAAAAATTGAACTAGTTGTTTCTAATGAAATTTCAGATGCTGAAGCTAATGATGTTTCTTCAGTTGCAATAGATGATGTAACAGGAATTATGAATGATTCTTCGGTGGAGGAAGTTACAATTGGTTCTGAAACTGTTGATGAAGAAGTTGGAGCATATTCATTTGATGAAGTAGTATCGGAAGGTTGTTCGAAATCTGTTAATGAGGTAGCTGATTCGATAATTTCAGTAGATGAAGCACTAACTTCAGAGTATGGTAATTCAGTTGATTCTTCTATAGATGATGTTAAAGGTTGAACAAATTCAGTTGAACTGGATTCAGTACTTACAGGTTGTTCAAATGATGAGGTTGATGGTTGTACATATTCAATTGATGATGAAGATGGGGTTTCCGATTGTGGCAGGAAAGCTGAACTCGAAGATTGTACAATTTCACTACTTTCGATACTTTGAGAAGCTGGTTCAATCGATGCTTCAACATACTCAGTTGATGATTGTGATGATTCTGTTTCTGTATTTGAGCTTATATAATCAAATGATGATTCTGATGGCTCGACTAATGAAGTATAAGTTGGCAAGATAGTAGAACTCGATGATTGTACAATTTCATTACTTTCGATACTTTGAGAAGCTGGTTCAATCGATGCTTGAACATATTCAGTTGAAGATTGTGATGATTCTGTTTCTGTATTTGAGCTTGAAAAATCAAATGATGATTCTGTTGGTTCGACTAATGAAGTATAAGATGAAGAAGTTGTTGATTCATTTTCAAAAGCAGATGATCTAGCAGCTTGTGAGGCGAAATCAGTAGATGATGTGGATGAAGAATCAATTGGTGAATTTGTTTCTGAAGATTGTTGTTGTGATTCAAAATTTGTAGCAGATGATTGAACATCAAAAGCAGAGTATTCACTATCATCAGAACTTGATGCACTAAAACTAGATTGTGATGAAGTAGACGAATAAGCAATTGATGATTCAGTAGGTTCAACAAATGAAGTAAAATCTGAATTTGATGGTGATGAGGTTGTACTAGATTCTTCATTTGTTGGTGATGAGGTTGTACTAGATTCTTCATTTGTTGGTGATGATGTTGTTGAAGCTGTTGAACTAGTTGAGTAACCTGCAATAGCTTGAGCAACCAAATTTGAGCTATTTGATTCTGATGTAGTTGAATTTTCTTCTGTTACACTTGAGCTTGCTGATTCTTGATAAGAAGGTGAGCTTGTAGTTGGGTCTTCATAAGAACTTGTAGTAGAATCGTTGTCTGTTGGTGAAGTTGTACTACTTGAAGATTTGCTCGTAGTTGGTGAATTTGATGATGATTCATCGTCATTTTGACTAAAAGCAGCGGCTCTTTGATTATCTGAGGAGCTTTGTGAGCTTGTTGTTCCATCACCATCTGGAGCAAAAGTACGTAAAGCTCCTAAACTTGAAGAAGTGCTTGTTGTTGAATCATCATCATAAGTTGGTGAAGAAGTTGTTGATGTTCTTGTGCTAGTAGTAGAATCATTACCATAATCATTTCTTGAAGAACTTGAGCTTGAAGTATCATCATTTGGTATAGTAACTGAATTTACTCTTGAACTTGAACTTGAACTTGGACTCGAACTTGAACTTGAACTTGGACTCGAACTTGAACTTGAACTTGGACTCGAACTTGAACTTGAACTTGGACTTGAACTTGGACCCGAACTTGAACTTGAACTTGAACTTGAACTTCTTTCATTATTTGACGTTGATGTAGTAGAAGTACCAACAGAACTTGTTGAATAATCATCATTACTTGAACTACTACTAAATAAACCAAAAAGTTGTGGTGATGGACTTGGTTGAGCATCATTTGAACTTGAAGTTTCAGAATCTGTAGTAGTTGTTGTTTCTGTTCCATTATTATATCTTGCTCTACCAAAATAATTTCCATTTCTTAAATTATCAATCCAAGAAGCAACACCAGCTCTTTTTTTTAAATCTTGAATTTCATTTTGTTGAATTGGAATAGTATGACCTTGAATTTCATTTAAAAATGTTAATATGTAAATTGTAGATAGAAAATTTAACAACATCGTAAATGTTAAATTTTAAAGAATGACAGTAGTTGGATTATATTAATAAATAGGAAAAATCTAAAAGATGCAACAAACACTTAACTTCTCTCTCTTATTATCAAAATGGGTATAAAAATTGGACTGAAAAGATGAAAAATAAATAAAAAAAAATTTGTAGTTGGTAAAAAAACGAATGAATGAATGAATGAATATAACTGAATTTAATATCTAAATTTTTAATCAATAACTTTGTTGATAATACTAATTAAATTTGATGAAATCAAATCAAAAATCAAACAAATCAAAAAATAATAATTATTTTTTTTTTCTGAGTGTGAAAAGTGGGTAGGCGTATGGTTGAAAATTGAATTTGTTGATTTTGAGGGTATAACTTGTTGATGAATGATAAATGGTATCTAAAAAGAAAATGAGATCGGTATTGGTTGCTTGATAATAAATTTTCTAGATGAAGTGAAGAATTAAAGTTGATTGTTTATAAATGTTGAAATGTAAAAATACTTTTAAGGATTTTCAAATGGAAAAATAAAAAAAAAAAAAAAAAAATAAAAAAAAAATAAAAAAAAAATAAAAATAAAAATTACTTGTTTTGTGTAATAATTTTAACTATATACAACATACCCTTAACAAGTAAGATGCTACCAGTTTCATTTCGCCCACTATTTCATCTTAATCAGATACGTTTAAAATATGAGCTGTTTTAGCAATTAAAATAAGTTTGGAGTAGCTTCATCTATAGATTTCTCAGTCTATTTCTGTTTAGAGTAGTCTAGTCTGTAGTATCAGTAGAATAACTTATAATTTAGCCAACCTTTAGTTTATTCATTTATTGTATAGAGCCATTTTAAAGGATTTTTATGTATTAAGTAATAAATTGCATCCAATCTTCAATACTTCTCTATGGTTAATTATAGGACATTATGCATTAAGACCTGCAGATTAGTAAAATTGTACACGACCAAGCTTATATTATTTTGAAAAGATTTTCGCGTTTAAACTTTTGGTTCGAATTTCTTATAGAAGAAACAGAAAACACCTATTCTAATATAATATGAGACAAGTTTGTGTTAACAATAGAGATTGATTCTAAATAGTAAATTGTATATAAATTGTATACATTAATATTTTGAAGGGTAATTTTTACTGGTGTAGCATTTTTACTGGTGTAATTAAGGTTTTTGTTATATGAAATATGTGATGTGATCCAAATCGAATACACCATGTGCATCTTTACTCTATCAATTTGTTTGTTTGTTTGTTTATTGGTTATTCTTAGGATCTATAAATAGATATTGGTAACATTCTCATTCCAAATTGGATCTATTTAAGAGTATATGCAGTATTTTATATGTGTAAATAGACTGATTTAGCTGAAAATCAAGATAAAAGTATAAACCTAGAATAATAAAATTGGTAACGTATTCCAGATTTAGTTTAAATTGATCAATTTTAAGATAATATTCTTGTATTAAGGTTAACAACCAATTATATAGTACAAATGTAAATAACAATAAATAACAATAAATAACAATATATAATATAAAAGCTTGAATTTTGCGACGATTTTTTTAAGACGATAATTTACAATCTGAGTGAATCTTTCAACGGATGGATCTAGTTATAACATTCTAGTTCTTGATTCTATTTCACTTATGGGTTCATAATTCGAATCTATTAATTAAAATTCTCTCGCTTAGTATTATTATTTATCTCTTCGTGCTTTTAATAAAATTTTTCTGGGGCTCAAGTCATAGTTTTCAAATTTTGACCGAATTGAATTGTAAAAGGTACAATCAATAATAAACAAAAAAGAATAGAATTCATTAATTCACAACCATTCAAAATAATTTATTTAATTAATAATTATTTTTTAAGTAATAATTATTTTGAAATCTTTGGTACCTATTTTCAATATTGTACCTTAAATTACACAAATTGATTTGAAGCTTTTTTTTGATCAGCCAAGTAAACACGCTTTTGATCAATATTGACGAAGTTAACTTTAAACTCAAAGTTACATTTCCAATTGTGGTTAATAAATCAACAATAAAATTTTTTCGTCACGTATTGTTTAGACTAATAAAGCATTAATTCGACAAGTCGAAAATTTTGGAGTCGTGAATTAAGTTCAAAATTGGATTGAGATGCACAATTCAATTTATTTTCTATAATGACTAGCAGTGCTTCACGATTAAGAAAATTAGATAAATCAATAATTGAACAATCTAACTTATTAGATGAAGATGATCAAACAGAATATATTAATCAACTAAATACATACAATCAAACTACATACATTACTTATATAAATTATTTATCATATTTATACATTTTAGAAATTGTTCTAATATTACTTTTAGTTATAACAGCATCAAAATTAATTAATATTCTACTATTATTAAGTGTTACATTATCATATATATTATTGAAGCTTAAGACAGATTATGATAGAATTGTGCAGAATGTCAATTATGTTATGGTTTTACAATTAGGTATTTTAGGAGTCGCAAGGCATGAATTTTTATATTTGGTTCTTCCAGTATTCAATATAACTGCTCCTTGGGTTTATAAGTATTGGAATAATGATTTTGCTGATCAGGTTGATCAATTGAATAGGTTAAAATACAAATATAAGAATGTATAGAATTGCCAGAGCTAAGAGTTTTTATTGAATATTTCATAAATTGAAGGTTGACCACCCAAATTGATGATAGCTGCTAAACAAGCTTGATTAGAAAGCAGGTGCTGAGTTATCCAGATAATCAGATTCAAAGAGACCACTCGAGATCAGTTTGAATTCCAGTTAGGTAAAAATGGAGTCCTGTTGAATTTACTTCAGTATAATCGTATGATTACAAGATATCTTGATGATTAATGATCAGATCTTTGGTATGAATAATAGGTGAAAACAACTGACGTAAGAGAATTGTTAAAGAATAATATTAATTTAAAAAATTCATCTTTAATCATAATTGATTTATTTGTATATAGTAGCTAATAATCAATAAATAAATCATTAGAAACTGATTAGGAAACTTGCTAACTATATAGCCACTTCCAATCTTTTTTCTGGCCATAAATTTGTCCGAACGGCACAAGAAATGAAACGTTATCGCGTGAAACATTAAATAAGATAAGCTGTGATATAAGAAATTTTCATGTCTTGGTTGCTTTTTATTGTAACTTTTGATTGTGGATGTTAAATATTAACCGTTATCCATTATATTGGAGCCACCGTAGTAACATTTTGATACTAGATAAGATGAAAGCTTGTATTTGCGTTTAATGCAATTGGTTCGATAATGCTTCAATATGGATGCAACGATAACTTTAAGCAACCGCTGATAGTAAATACATTCGAACGCTTTTAGCTTATCGTACTGATCGAACCAATAGGATTATATGTCAATATTTGATCATAATCTGTTACCAATAAAATTCGATGAGCATATCTAATCTCAATTAGTCAAGATGTAGCCATATTGATAAGGATTCAAAGGCATATCTAATCTAATCAAGAGCATTTACTGTCTCTTATTAAGAAATTTAGCTGATAATAAATTCTCGTAAGCCTATTTTTTACAAATATTTGGGAGAAATTGCAAAATTCTAATTTTTTTAGTGATTATCCAGTTCTAGCACGATAAACTCGAGTATACATAAACTGAGCTCATTTATACTTAGATTCTTGAATTTTAAATATACTTCTCTTTTCTAGTCACTCGGGGTTCTTGTTTTAAGACTCAGATCGTATATTCGTATATATACCTACATATAACAGACCTGTCGAACGGCTAAAGATGCATATTTGCGTGCGCGCAATAGATAAGATCTATCTTGAAAAAAAATCCAAAATCCAACAAAACAAAATCACCAGACACAACTAGCCCAGAACTTACTCATGACTTCTAAGGGTAAATGTTGTTCAAATAGTGAACTTGAATCAGTCAAAATACTACTCAGATCAAACAATGGCGTTTTTTGTAATTGAATTGTCAATATTTTTCTTATCATATGATATACGGATTTATATTTTCGAACTATGCAATAGCTACCAAGTAAGGTTAAATGTGGAGATTCAATTATAGAAGAAATTTTTTTCTCTAGCACAAAATCGAGGACAAAGATATTTTTATTGGTTCAATATTCAATTATAATCAACGAGTAAACGTTTGTTGATGAATGAGTCAACGAATATACATTAATCAACTCGTTGTTTGTGGAAAGTGTAATTGCTGGACTTTCATTCTCTCCCCTCATTAGCTCAATTGAAAACTTTTCAATTATGATCGAATGGAGCTCAGTCGCACAAAAGTTGTTATGGCCTGACGAAGAATTTATTGTCATCCCATGAAAGCGCATAATAAATAAGCGAAATTTTTTCAACTCCACCTCGCATTACGAAAATTTTTCACTACGAATTAATCAAATAGGAGATGATAAACTAAACTTACTACAATTAGAATATGCCTGAGTTGTAATCATACTTATCGAGTAAATTGATCCCATTTGTTCTATACACATCTATTCCAGTCTACCCATTCAAGTTATTCTATGTAAAAATTTGCTATGTTTATTTATTATTTTGCAACCAATTTTGTGTTAAATTAAAGACAATTAATCTAGATTTACATACTTTGAGTCTCTCCTCACATTCCAATAACAACAATATCACAAAGCCAACTGACAAAGTTACATGAATGTAAATCAGTTGTAATCTGGAACATGGCGTTGCTCAATCTATAGCCTAGATCAATTCATTACTTCACTACAAATTACATCAAAATGAAATTTTAATTCTTTATCAAATTGATCTATTATGTACAAAAAATCTTACATAATAATTTTTGGTATTCAAATTAAAGTTTGGAGATTAACCAGTCAACTATTTGACTGTATTGCGCATTACGTTTAAAATTTTAGCTCTGTTGAAATCAGGATTGATGCTACCAAATGGAGCTCAAAATTTTTTTTTACAATTATAATATTTATTGTAAATTTCTTTTGTTGCTATCAAATTGTATAATGCTACGGTTTGACATATATGTCATAATAACCAACTTTAGAGTCGAATACTACGTAATGAAAACATTATAACCGAAATTATCATGTTGCAATATTAATGGTTATTCTATCCCATTAAGAAGAATATAAACATTGATAGTTTTTTTTAACATTGGCCCCATGTGGTAAGTTTTTAGGCCCACGATTATATCGCAATCGACCCGCAACACGGTTTAAAATTTTTTTTCTAGGAAAGATCTAAACCCAAACCCACGTTTAATTCCACGTTTCGTTGTGAAATTTTCATTTTTAGGAATTCATTTACCTCATCGAAGATTTTTAAAAAACGTTCTTTCCTAAATTGTAAATCTATAAACTTTAAATGATAATGATTTTATCATTGGTAGTGTAGAGTTGAGAGTAGTGTCAATTCTAGGGGATAAGGGATAAGTTAATATTGGCTATAACCATTTATAAAATTATGCACTTAGGGATTGAAGGGATCCAAGGATCAAGGATCAAGGATCAATTAAGTTCAAAATAGAAATATGAACAAGGCTAAATTAATGATTCTAGTTCTTAGATAGGAATCAGTGGTAAATAAATTGTAATTAACTATTAACTAATTCGGTAATCTTTTGAACAAAACGGTTTCATTTATAAAAATATCGCGACTGAAGAAGAATTTATAAACGTTTTCTACTTTTAACCGTGGCCCTAAAAATGGAATAAATTAGAACGACCTGGAAATAAAATCAGTACCAAGTATAGGAGTAAGAAAATGGCTTCACTTCCAATGGGAATGCAAATTATGCCCATCAAAATTATTTTCTTAAAATTTCTATTTTTTATTTATTTATTTTTATTTGGACCACAAAAGTCAAAATATAACGTAATTGGTTGTAGTTGCTTGCTAAACACTTAAACCAATTATTCCCTTGAACATATACTTAGTAAATCTCGAATTATGCAATACTAACGATGTAATACGGATAAGGATTTATATCCTTTGAAGATTGTTTAAAATTTCATTTTAATAATTGGAATAAAGAAAGAGCGGTGGGAATGCAATTGGTAGTGGCAATAAATATAATATTAAGCTTTAGAATGTCAATTTATGTACTGAATCAAATAATGGCTTGGATTCAAAGAAGCTCAACCCTTCGACTTGATCTAGAATTAAGTATAGGAGTAAATGGTTCTTAATCTAGTTACGTATTTATTACTATAATTAGTACTATTTAATAACACGTTTTATTAGCAGAAAAGTTAAGAGCTTGAAATAAAAGTCTTCCTTAACAGGAATATTCTGATCACGCATTGCATTTTTTTTTTCTTTAAAGTAAATATGCACCAGGGGCAAAAATTATATGAGTAATATTGTGTATACACAGTTTTTATGAGTAAACCACACTTTTATTTTCTATAAATACAATATCAAATTTCTTAAATTTTTCATTTTACTTTAATAGCTTTCATCTTTTATTATATTTATTTTGCATTCATCAAAGATATTAAGTAATAGAATATCATTAAATCAAAGACTACACTTTCATTCACTCAGTTTAGTTTAAATTATTACACACGTTTTTCATTAAATACTCATTAATTTAAGTGTTTTTACAACTGCATTAACTTCAGCATACTTTCAATGTCAGACTTTGCTTTTAACAATTATTGTATACATTGTGATAAAGAATGTCCATTAAATTCAATATATTGTTCAGATGAATGTTATTCCCTAGAGTTGAAACAATCTTCAAATGATAGTAAATCAAGAAACTCTTCTAATGCGTCAATAAGTTCAAATGAAGCAAAAAATACGAATACTACAGAATCTGAATTGGTTTCTCCATTATTAACACCAGCTTTATATTTACAACAACAACAACAACAAATTCAACATATAGAAGAATCTGATGATTATGATTTAAATTATTTTGATTTGAATTATTCAGTCAATGCAAATATAAATTATACAAAATCAACAACTACAACATCAAATAATTCAAATCAAGTTTCTCAAGATTTGTTAAATTCCACTTCACATAATTATAGAAAATGGTTAACTACCACTGCTTTATGAATAAATGAAAAATCATCAATTAATTAATCAAGTTTGTTTTTTGGGTCAATGCTTCTGGGTTATTATAATTTTAAAATTATAAAAAATAGGATATAGGGTTAATAAAAATATATATTATATACATTATATTAAATAACGACTACTCTTATATGATGACCTATGAGCTAGCTTGCATGATTTTACCATTCGTAAAAATTGACACAAAGTCTAATTCCGCCTCGGAATTTATGAAATGAATAATTTTCAAAATGTTTCTATTTTTAAAACGTGATTCGAGAACTATTATGTAAGGAATTACATACGTTTATAGTAACTATTTTTATCAAAATATCAAAAGAATTTTAATGGTTAAAACTATATCCTTTATAGGCTTATGTAATAGCGCTTGATTTTTTGTTTATAACCATTGTTTATTACGAGTTCCCCTTTTCAATCTGCAAGGTTTTTCCCTATTTGGAAATCTGGATTAATAATAACAGCCTCAGAGTATGACCTGTTTGATAATGCTAAGTTTGATCTTATACTTATTGTTGAACCTGTTTAATAACGTAGGTTGTTCAAGATGAAATTGCAGCAATTTGAAATTTGCAACCATATCACGTGAAGTTACAAATTCTGACATACATAAACTGAAAGTTAATAAACGCCATCTTTATACCTATCAGCAATATAAACTTAAAAAAAATTCGACGAGCCTAAGGATTGGGTTAGCGTGACCGACAAAAATATCTACTGGCGTCAACTCTAGGGCGACTCCTGCTAAATATTAATGGCTTATATGTCATAAACAAAAGTAATCTCTCGAGATAAATATCAGTTATGTGAAATCTAGAACCTTGAATTATATGTCCTACACACTTAAAGTTTTCTTAAATGACTTGGGAGTTATGTACAATTTAATTCTCGAGATCTATTACTGTAATACTGCATATAACTCATTTCGTTTTAGAATTTCATTTTTTTTGTCACACGAAACTTTCGCACAACTCAAAGCGAAAGTTTGGCCTGAAGATGTTTTTTCCAAGGCGCTAGCTGGTGAAAGTTTCCCGCAATTTAGTACCACAAAGTCAAATTTGAATTATCAGTTTGAACAAAAAAATGCGATATAGATTCGTAGCGGTAGTATATTTATATTTTATTGGATTCTTTTTAGACCTGCTAGTTCGTAAGTTACTTGCAATTTTCTATGTTTCATTTTTTACTAAGGAGCAAAATCAAAACCAAATTTTGTTACACAAAACCGAAGTTCACAAATTCACAACTTTTCTTCTTGAAACTTTTATTCAACTATTAAATTACTCGAACAAAACCATTTTTAGTGATCTAGAACCAACTGATTTGTAATCCTTTGCAGCTCTAGTTTGTTTGGTGCGAATTTTAAGTAGTATGTTTCGTGGTCTGTTAAGTAAATTCGATTAATCTGAAATTTAGATATACTTAATATAAAAGTATTTAGAGAGGTTCACTCGTTTCAATAAAGGTTACATTTGAATGTCATTAGCCTTCTGACTCTACTGGTGCCTTTTATTTTGTTAGTTTAGAGTTATTTCAGTTTAAAGGTTAGTTCACAAACATACTTATTTGTTGAACGACTTAAAATATTTGGTAGGACATTCTTTATTAATTGGATCTAATGTAAACTTACTACAGAAACATGTCAAGATGGTGTTGAGTTTAATGTGTAGCTTTTTATTCATAGAGTTATAAGATTATTGAGATGATATTCCCATAAAATCTCGAAACCAAAGCTCAATGATACTTATTGAAGCGTGACACATCCAATCACACTTTTAATAGAATTGGGAAGATTCACACTTTATATAAACTCTCTCAGGTGGATTTATTACTTTCAATTGTATTAAATCCAGCTTAAAACATGAGAGACTTATAGATTAAATACCATAAAACCCTCAAATAAACAACCACACTCGTCAAAAGCTTCTTCTTTGCTCCACCAACTTTGGGTAAGTGTTCGTTAACAAAATTTCAAGTAATCTTTGATCTTCAATTCTGAAACATTTGATAGTAAATTATCAACAATAATAAAAGAAAAAAAAAAAAATTTCATCACTTTAAATCAACCAAATTAAAACAGTATAAACTATGATTCCATCATTAAGATCCCTTGGGGGATATGTATGGAAATTCAACCCTAGAATAACAGAAACTCAAAAACAATCAATGAGAAAAAGAATGAAAACTATAGATTCAAATATTGAAAATATAACCATGGCATTGTCAAATTCAAATCATTCAAAAATTCAATTTTGGAAAAATGAATATCCTAAATCTAGTGAAATGGATTCAAGAGATAAATATACTACTTTTAATCCTCATTATAAAGATTATAGAAAACCTGTTCATCGTGTTCCTAAATGGACTAAATTATCATTTAGACTGAATCCAAAACATTTCTGAACGTCAGGATGTGTCAGGGTGCTTTAAATCTTGAAGAAGGTAAGGATGTAGAGGATTCTAGAAAGCCAAGGAGTGAAGGAAGGAATGTCTATAATCAAAAGTAATGAATTTCATGTATATACAATTTATTTATGTCACTTTTAATGCATATTTTGTACAAACTAGACTAGTTATAGTGATAAAGTTCAACTGTGATAGGAATGTACTGACCTGCCTTTTGTAGTTAACAATATAATGAAATTTAATTATCATTTAATTTAGCAAATTTGAAATACCTCATGCTTAAATAACGAGAGGAACGATTTAGAACAGTTAAAACAAGTAAACACTACTTGCAGATATATTTCTTCGACTATTTCGAGCCATACAAGCGATTCACCTACTATTTAGATACGTTCTAGGCTTTTGAATTTCAATCTTCTATCATTTGAAATCAAATAAACCATTTAAATATCACATGTTCCACAATGATTTTTCTTTAACAAATCTACCATTATCAATTAACTTATAAAATGATCTAAACCTTTTACTTATTGTTTGAAATATTATGAATCATTCAATATTGATGAAGATGCAACATGAAAATTGCAATAAATCATTAATCAACATCTCTTTCCCTCATCAAATCACTTATTAGGTCTTTGAAAGCCCATTAATTTAGTAGTATTTGCATCCTTACCCCAATTTATCCCAAATATAATTTGAAATAAAATAATCACTCAATTTAGAATCAACTTTAAATAAATCACTTTTATTTTCTAAATCAGTCAAGATTAACACATCCTCATCATCACCTTTCTTTAAAGTTTCAAGCCTTACACCTATGTTTCGATTTAGATTAATTTTCATAACGACAAGATCTTGATCCTCAATAATAAACTCATCAGTCACTACTTTATCCTTATCACTCTTCTCTTCTCTCTCCTGCTTCAATTTGTTTAACTTATAAGTGAGTGAATTATTTAAACTTTCCAATTCTGTTATTTCTTTAACTATACTCATTTTCAACGTATCTAATTCAATAGACTTCGTTTGTAAAACACTGAAAATATTGCCATTCTTATCAATTGCGGAATTCTTCTTACTATATTTCTTAATAAAATCCAAATTCGAGTCGTTGATCTTTGATAAGTTGGATATTTCAGTGTTTAAATTGATTATTTCTTGATCTAATTGTGATATTTCTGATTTTGTTGAGTCTATTTTGTTGTTGTATTGTTTGAATATGTTGTTTATATCTGAATTTATAATCTCTTTCATTTCTAATTCTGTAAATTCATTCAATTCTTTAATTACATTATTAAATTTATTCATACTGGAAACTGACATAATAGCAAACCAACCACTTAAAATTTTAAATAAACTACTAGGGAAGTAATAGTGAGGTAATAATTATAAATTTATGAATTGATGTCTTAATCTTGTTCTTATTGTATTATCAACCTAGTTTCTGGTTGTCTATTCTTGATATTTTTCACTTTGTTTATGTTTCAGAATTTTATCAATTTTAATTTTTTTTTTTTTTTTTTTCAGATCTTAAATCAAACGATTAATTGTTTCATGAGTTATTCAAAGAAAGATAAGAAATCATATTCAGATATTGAATTACCTACAAACCCAAATTTACCATCATGGTTAATTACACCAAAGGAAGAAAAAGCAATATTTGAAAGATGGAGAAAGAAAGCATTTGCTAAATGTGATGATTTAATTAAATTATATATTGAATGTTCAAATAACTATAAAAATCCAATTGAAGCAATGAGTAAATGTTCTAAAATTAATGAAGATAGTTTAGCTTGTGTTGCTCAATATCAAAAAAGGGAGTTGTTAGATTTAGAAAGAGAAGAATTTATAAAAGAAAAAATTGAAAAGAAGAAGTTGTATAAACAATACCTTGCTGATTTGAAAGCTAAAGGTGAGTTACCAAGTGGTGATTCTGATAAACTTTGATAAGAAAGTAGGGTAAGTAAGGGATGCTGAAAGAGCTGAAGTGCTGCTTAATCTGAATGTTACGATGTGAGATGATGAACATGTAAATAGAGGATAAAAGTATAGTTTACGATTTAATTTACAAAACATTAGTTTGGTTTGTATATTATATCACTTTTGAAACATTATAGCAATTTCTTATAGCATGTACTTGAATATTCAAACCCCAAGGCATCGATTGATCACTTGTGGCCTTAAACAAACTTGCCTTCTTGATACGTATTACCTAACAACAGCTAAGATAATCAATGGAGTGCCAAAATAAATCATATGAGCCTTGTTAGAAACGAGCAGCAATGGAAATAATGGCCTTTTGAAAAAACTGACTTTAGCGAAAATAAATTCGATTTAAACTTCGAGACTTACCCTTAAAATCACTTCCAATACAACTATTGAAACAAGCAGCACACAATTCAGCAAAATAAACCCGACCACCGGACATATATCAATCAGCATTACATTTCATTAAATTTCCCGAAAATTAACATAATTCAAATTCATAACATTTTCCACCATCCTTAATTATTCCTCTCTAATCTACCATCATCATTAAACATTTCCTCTTCAAACACTTTTTGAGAAGCCATGAAAATAGAAGCATGTATCTTACCTAAATTTTCAATTCTGTTATATTGTAGAACAGTAGTATTTATTAATTCATTAAAATCGGATAAATTAGCATGTAATTGAGCCATTTGTGAATTCAAATGAGATAATTGTCTCTGAGTAATAACAGAAGCAGTAACCTTCTTATCTGAACTCATTCTACCCTTTTGTTTACTTGTTTGTTTGTTTATTATCAACGGAATAAAGGAGACGAAAAAAATCAAATCGTTCGTTTTTTTCATTTATTCAAAGATGGAGTCAAACAAGAAACAACCCCCAGAGACAAACAAAAATGGTACTGTTAAAGTTAAAAGTAAAGTACGAAATATAGCAATAGCTCCAAAATATACAAATATAAAACCACAACCACTTCCCAAAATTGCAATAGCTCCGAAACCAGCACTAAAAAACATTCAACCAAGTCAAACTACTACAGCTTCAAAGTTTAATCCAATACCTAATGGGAAACTATCACTTAATATGAAATCGACATTTAATACAACTACACAACAACTAAAAAAACCAGAAGAATTAAATACTAGTAAGAAATGGGTATTACCACCTAGACCGAGACCAGGTCGAAAACCGACAAATGAAGATAAAACAATTACAAGTACTAGTGCTATTTCTACACCGAAGAAAAAACCGAAAATAACTAAAAAAGAACAATTGACTCCAATACCTACTCCTCAACCAAATATTGAAAACAAAATTCAACCACAAGCACCACCACCACCACCACCTCCTCCTCCTCCTCCTCCACCATCTCAAATTCAACTGTTACCAAAACCTCCTTCTTGTCCAGATTGTAAACCAATAACAACCATATCTCCAGTCAAAGATCCAGAGAGTCAGAAAATGGATCTTAAAGTATTATATTTATCAAAATTAAAAGAACAAGAACTAATAAGGAACTACATAGAGGTACTTACGAATCAAATTAAAGAATTGAATTTTGTACAAAATGGAGTGATCACATTTGATGCATTAAAAACAAACAATAATTCCTACTACTATAATAAAAAACTACTATCTTCAACATCAACAAAGAATGATCAACTTGAATCCATAAACAACCTCAACGATTTAAATAAGTTTCTCAATTATATTACTAAGAGCTCAAATATAATTAATTCAGCAACGAAGAGGAATGATTCCAGTATAAATAGTCAAATTCATGCTTGTGTGGACATTCGAAATAAATTCAAACTACTAAATAAAGAACAAGAAAACAAGAAAAGAAGCATCAACTGTCCTAAAAAGAAAGAGGTTCCAAATTATAAAACTTCTAATTTTTTAATTCCAATGAATGATTTTATGGATGTCGAATTGCAAACGGCCACAATTGAAGAAAGTCCAAATAATGCTATGAGTGTGAATGATGTTGATTTATTCATGGATGAACATGATTTTTTAAATAAATTAGTGCTTGAAGATCGAGAGAAGAATAGCAGTAACTCAAATTCAATTGAAGAGGAGGAAATGTTGGGAAAAGTTGAAATACATAAACCTGAAAGTGGACCCGAGACTGAAAATCTACAGATTCAATATCAACAACCACAACAAATTTCTCCTCAACCTCCGATACAACAAATCAAGGATAATATAGTTCGAAAGAAGTTGAAATTTAATTGTGGGTTTTGTACTAATGATACTCCTTGTTTATGTTTTGATACTGATTTGAAATAGATTCAATATAGGAAAAGATTTATTACTATTTTAAGAATCAAACTGTAGTCTTTTGTAGTTTAAAAGTGATTTTTTAGGTGGTTTTTGGTGAGTTTCAAATCTGAAAGATTTGTATGCGATCCGAATCTCGCTACCAAGTGTTCAATTGCAAAAATTTATAAGTTTTCAAATTCATAGATGGCGTACTGTCTCTTTTCAGTTTAAATGTCAGAAAGCTCATCAAGGTTACTAATTTTGAACTTACTGTATGCTTGGATGCTTGTCAGGAGTCGAAATTTATCACTTATGAAGGGATTTTCAATTCAGAAATGAGTAAAGTGAGATGAAGCATTAGATCCACTTGCAGAATTCAGCAGAACCTCACTGAAAACTTGCATGAGATAATTTTTCAGTCTTCTCTAGCTTGTGAGTCCTTTTGCTTAATTGAAGTTGAATTATTATCTAAATCGATGTGGTTTATCACTTTTCGGCGCCGATAATCGTATTGACATTGATGCAGCTAAATATTTCAGCTAAATCAAAGAAGGGAATCTAGAGTTTTAAAGTTGGTCTGATGAAAATTTCCGATTTCAAGTAAATTGTATCGTATTTTGTTGTAAGAGACAGTCAAATAGCTATAAATTTCTGATTTCAAGTAAATTGTATCGTATTTTGTTGTAAGAGACAGTCAAATAGTTATAAATCTCTTCAATTCTAATCCTGACAAACTACAACTATTTTCTAATAAATAACATTTGAATTAAATTAGCCTATATGCAAATATATATGTCTTAATAAAAGAAAGCTAAATAAGAACCAACAATAGCAGTTAAACCTAAAACAGCATAACCAGTTCTATAAACACCAGAAATAGTCAATTCTTTACCCATATCCCAAATTAAATGTCTAATACCATTACCAAAATGATAAACAAAAGGATAAGCACAGATTGCTTTTACTGTATATTGTAAAGCAATAGGTAAAGCAGTAAATGCACCAATTAAACTAGTTGAATCAAATGGAATGTTTAATAATGATGTAGCTGCAAAAGTACAAGTTAATGCATAAAACCCACCTGCCATTGCAACACCAGTTATTCTATGGAAACTTGACATTATCCAAGTCAATTGTGGTTGATAAATTGTTAAATGTGGTGATTCCGGTCTATTTTTTCTTTGATTTAATAAAATGTTTTGTTCTTCATCATGAGTAGTTTGATGTATGGATGAAATAAATCTTGAACTCAATAAAACATTTGATTTATATAAATTTTGGCTGATTGGTTTTCTTAATAAACCCAAACGTGAAATCATTATTGAATAGTTGTTTGTTGTATTTAGGATTGGTTAAATTTTCGTAGAATTTTTTTGGTTAATGGGGCACTATTTATTTCTTAGTATGGGGCATTATTTCAACCAATTAGATTGCGACAATTATAATACTACTATAAGTATATCTTTTTTCTACTGGTTAGATATACACGACTTTTTAAGCGAGCATCACGTGAAAAATTGAGACATTTTTTTTTTCTTAATACCTTAATAATTTTAATTTGCATTAGATGGTGCCTGATAAAGCCCATTGATAATAACCATCTTATATATTATTTCTGTATATTACTGTTATTATCCTTGTTAAACTATATAATAAGTGTATAGATCGGAGTATAATAAACTAAGTAACATCTAATATAGTATTTCTTTTTCTTTATCTCGATTACCAAAAAAAAAAAAAAAAAAAAAAATAAAATAAAATAAACGATTAATAGAAAAGAGAGAGATTATCTAAATTGAATATTACTTATTATTATTAACATCATATTCTTACAACACTCCGAAACAATATAATAACCCATAACATTGTCATTACAACTAGATACTAAATACGGCTGCTATATATGAATACAATTCTGTCAACTATAGAATCAATTAATAATAATAATAATAATCATAATAATCATAATCATAATCATAATCATAATACAACTTCAACATCAACAGTTACTTCAAATACAGCTTTACAATCAAATAATATAAATAATCATAACCATCAACCATCTTCTCCTACTTCTTCACAATTAGATCACAAAAATACAACTGAAAATAGAGATAATAGAAATAATAACCATGATGTAACTGCTAATCAACAAAACACCTCAAATTCGTCATCTACAAATTCTCATTATAATCGTCATCATACTAATAATAGTTCAAATAGTCATGAAAATCGAACTCATTCAAATTTAAACTCTTCGTTTGAAGATAATGACCCTGGCGAAAATCAACAAAATAAATCAGATTTGTCATTTGCTAAAAAAGATTTATCAAAATCAAGAACTCAATCATTTCAACTGGTATTATCTTCAGCCTCATTAAAATCATTAAAACATCAAACTATAACGTCTTATAATAATACAATTAAAAAAAATAATCAACAATTGCAACAACAAATACATCCAATGAGACCATTATCAAGAGCAAATTCAACATTAGGCAATACTTCAAAAAATTTTCAATCATTTATACAAGCTCCTGTATTATCAAGTATTTCGAATCAAAAACAACTGGATAATGAAGATCAAATTGGGAAACAATCTCCATTTGATGATAAACTGAATTTAGGTGGTTCATTAAAACTGAAAAAGTCGATAGAATCAGAAGAAGGAGATAATGATGAAGAAATTTTATTACAACAACAAAAATTGACTCTTAATGCTTTGAAAAAATTAAATTTAAGTCCTAGACCAGTTACAAATCCTGATGATTTGGATTTATCAAAATATGAAAATAATAATAAAAAACAAGAACCTTATCAACCTGCTGAAGTTGATTTATCATCATTTGCAAGTTTAACAAGACAACCAAAAGTTAATCCTTCAAAACTACCATCACCAAATCAAACAGAATCTCCAAGAAATTTAAATAAACGATCTTCATTGCCTAGATTACCAGAAGGTGAAACAGTCAACCAAGATATAAATCAATATCATAATGATTTAAAAATTTCTCAAATGACTTCGTTTCAAAAACAATTACAACCTGAAAGATTTGAATCAGAACCAAATCAGCCACAGTCTATGAATTTCCATCCACAAAATAAAATACCAGCAGCAGTTATACCTCCAAAAGATTTCACATCAAAGAGAAAACCAAGTAATCCAATGCAACAACAACAACAACAACAACAACAACAACAACAACAACAAAGTCAACTACCCCAAAATCCATTACCAACTCCACCACCAGTTCAACAACAACAACAACAACAACAACAACAACCAAAATGTATAAAATCAATTCAACAAATTAAAAATTTAAGAAATCCAATGTATGTTCCAGCAGTATTACGAAAAACTCAACAAAATGGGATAATGAGTCCGAATAGATCATCATCAAATTCTCCGGAAGTTTATTTATCTACATCTCCAAGACAAAATGATTATCATACACATTTGACTGAATTTGTGCAGAAACAAAACAATTCATCGACGGCAAGTATAAAATCAACAGATTCAAACATGTCAACAGAATCAAATAATACATTAAATTCAAATTTTTCAATATCTTATTCACGAAGGTTAAAATCAAATTTAACTGCTCCACCAACGAGAAAACATTGGATTAAAGATGAAACGGTATTTAAATGTCAAATTCCAACTTGTCCTAAACTTTTCAATTTTTTTGAAAGACGACATCATTGTAGGAAATGTGGTGGTATTTTCTGTAAAGAACATACTTCTCATACTTTATATATTAATCATTTAGCTCAATTTACAACTGGTGGAAGGGGTACTTTATCCAAAGTTTGTCCAAATTGTATTAAAGAATATAATCAATTTATGGCTCATGAATTTGGTGTAGATATAAAGAGAAAACAACTACCACAGAAGCAAGAACAACAGATACAGGTTGAAAATTTACAACCACAACAACCACAGATACCCAAATTGACAAAATCAAATTTTACACCAATCAATAATGGCTTGAAAACTGGTGGTAATTTGGAGACAAGTAATAGAAGTGAACAAGTTGTTGGAAGTGTTCCTGCTAATTGGAGTTGGAGTTCGTTCTAGGTAAGGATGCAACTACAATCTAGAATATACTCTTTAATTTTGATATTGAAAATTTGCAGCCAAAATCTCAACAAGGTCAAATTCCACTCCAATTAATAATAATTTAGAGACAACGAATAGAAGTGATGGTCTTGTAATTGATTAATCTTATCATTATAGTTCCTCTATAGTTTAATATATTTATTTACTTGTAGTTCCTGTATATTAATCATTTGTCTGAAAAATAAGTACACGGTGGATTTCTATATTTTTCAACAATAATATGTCAAACGTAAACCAATTGACAATATATGGAGTTGATATTCAACTTATTCGAACATTATTAAAGATAATTATATTTATTTCAATTGCTGGTGCAGCTATAAGTTCAAGATTATTTTCAGTAATTCGATTTGAAGCAATAATTCATGAATTTGATCCATGGTTCAATTTTAGAGCTACTAAATATTTAGTAACTCATTCATATTATGAATTTTTAAATTGGTTTGATGATAGAACTTGGTATCCTTTAGGTAGAGTCACTGGAGGAACATTATATCCTGGATTAATGGTTACTTCAGGTGCAATTTGGCATATTTTGAAAAATTATTTTAAATTACCTGTTGATATTAGAAATATTTGTGTGTTATTAGCACCGGCATTCAGTGGATTAACTGCTATATTCACTTACTTTTTGACAAAAGAAATGAAAGATTCATCTGCTGGTTTATTAGCTGCTATATTTATGGGTATTGCTCCTGGTTATATTTCAAGATCAGTTGCGGGATCCTATGATAATGAAGCAATTGCAATTACTTTATTAATGGCAACATTCTATTTCTGGATAAAATCAATGAAAATAGGAAGTGTATTTTATGCTACTATTACTGCTTTATGTTATTTTTATATGGTTAGTGCATGGGGTGGTTATGTGTTTATTACAAATTTAATACCATTACATGTTTTTGTTTTGTTGTTGATGGGTAGATATAATCCAAAATTATATACTGCTTATACTACGTGGTATGCATTGGGAACTTTAGCTTCAATGCAAATTCCATTTGTTGGATTTTTGCCAATTAGATCAAATGATCATATGGCTGCATTGGGAGTTTTTGGTTTATTACAATTGGTTGCATTTGGTGATTATGTTAAATCAAAAGTTCCAAATAAACAATTTAAAAGTTTTTTAATAGTTTCAGTTGTATTTGTTTTTGGTTCTGGTATTGCTGCATTATTTGGTTTAACTGCAATGGGTTGGATTGCTCCTTGGACTGGAAGATTTTATTCATTATGGGATACAAATTATGCAAAAATTCATATTCCTATAATTGCATCAGTTTCAGAACATCAACCAACTGCTTGGCCTGCATTTTTTTTCGATACAAGTATGTTAATATGGTTATTCCCAGCTGGGATTTATTTATGTTTTCAAGATTTAAAAGATGAACATGTATTTGTTATAATTTATTCTGTATTATGTTCTTATTTTGCTGGTGTTATGGTTAGATTAATGTTGACATTAACTCCGGTTATTTGTGTTTCTGGTGCAATTGCATTGAGTAAATTATTTGATGTTTATTTGAATATAAAAGATGCATTCCATGGAGACAACATTTCAATTTCAAAAGTAATTAGTAAGTTAACAGTTTTATTATCATTTGGTTTTTATTTATTTTATTTTGTTTTACATTGTACTTGGGTTACTTCAAATGCTTATTCATCACCATCAGTTGTCCTTGCTTCAAGAAATCCAGATGGGTCACAAAATTTAATTGATGATTATAGAGAAGCTTATTATTGGTTAAGAATGAATACTCCAGAAGATGCTAAAGTTATGGCATGGTGGGATTATGGTTATCAAATTGGTGGAATGGCAGATAGAACAACTTTAGTAGATAATAATACTTGGAATAATACTCATATTGCAACTGTTGGTAAAGCAATGGCATCACCAGAAAATGTAAGTTATGAAATCCTTAAAAAACATGATGTTGATTATGTTTTAGTTATATTTGGTGGATTGTTAGGTTATTCTGGTGATGATATAAATAAATTTTTATGGATGGTTAGAATTGCTGAAGGTATTTGGCCTGATGAAATTAAAGAAAGAGATTTTTTCACAGATAGAGGTGAATATAAAATGGATAAAGATGCAAGTGAAACTATGAAAAATTCATTGATGTATAAATTATGTTATTGGAGATTTTCTGAATTATTTGGTGGTAGAGATGGAGTTGATAGAGTTAGAAATCAACAAATTCCAATAAATGCAGTACCTGAATTGAATGTTGTTGAAGAAGCATTTACTTCTGAGAATTGGATTGTTAGAATTTATAAAGTTAAAGATTTAGATAATGTTGGTAGAGATTTATACGATGCTACAAAATTTGAGAATAAAAAATCCGGTAAAAGAAATAGAATTGTTAAAAGACCAAAGATTGATTTAAGAGAATGATAAAGTATATAGTGGTTTAGGAAATGTATTTATAGATTTTGATTTCTAAACTCTGATTTCTGTTCAAATGGGTTAACAAATTGTAGTGGATCGCGATGAAAAAACCCATATCAAAAGGACTTCAAGGAAGCTGAAATGAACAACCTCAGCTTGTCAACCAAAACTGGAAATAAAAGAATGATATAATTTAGTGTTTAGTTATTTAGGAAATATGTTTACTGAGTTTTTTATCCGATATCCTTGCATTGTTGGAGTACCCCCATTTTTCAGTTTTTTTAATTCCGTGGTTAGTTAATAAATCGGTTGATTTTCGATTTTCTTTTTGGTGCGAATTAAAAGTAAATCATTAATCATGACAAGCTCATATTTAGAAGATCAATTGGTCTTTTATAGATCATATCATTCCAATGCAACAAATGTTGCTATTCATGTTGTCTGCATTCCAATCATTTTATTGTCAACAATTACTTTTTTTTCACCAATTCAAGTTTTTTCACCAACAATCAATTTAGGTACTTTGTTAGCTTGGGGATATGGATTATACTACATTTTACTAGACTGGCAAGTTGGGGTACCTTCATTTGCTATCTTGGTTACTTACTCAAGTTACATTACTCAATTTTATCTAACTTTGAATTTGTTGACTACTCCAACGTCAAAACAATTCATAAATTATGCAATTTTTGCTCATGTAGTTGCATGGTTGGTACGTATTAGAATCTCATAGAATTTCATGCTTTTATCTTTTTATGCAATGGGTATTTTTTGTGGAATTCTCGGCAATTTTACTATCAATACTAACCATACTGAAACAGGCTCAGTTCGTAGGTCATTCAGATTTGTTCGAAGGTAGAAAACCAGCTCTTTTGAATTCTACTCTAAGTGCATTGACGACAGCCCCATTGTTTAGTGCCTTTGAAGTCTGCTGGTTTCTAGGATTCAAAAAAGATCTCAAAAAGACGATGGACAACAGAGCTGGTAAAAATATTAGAGATTTCAGACAAAAACAAATGAAAACAGCTTAATTTTGAGCCTATTGTAAAGTCCAGACTCAGAATAATGTATTGCTGCTTTTCAATTGAGTCTAAACCATGTTTGGGAAACTTTATGCTAAATTTAAGATTTTAAAAATTTTGAAGATACCGGTCAAAGGATTTAAGAATTACATCTAAAAACGAGAGAGATCTATTCTATTAGCTAGTTTATAATATAATATGTATGTCTTATCTAAAGAACACTTAAATATTCGTATATTTAATAGTGTGCATAAATCTAAACAGCTGTAAGCTTAAATCGTCAAATTATAATCAAGAATTCTGTTTATATTAAACAATAATTATCCACCGAAAATAATTTTTCATACCATCTCATCAGTATTCGATTAAAATCAGAATTCGATTTTTTGGGAAATAGACGCTGTATTTGCATATTAGTGTTTCAAAGTTTTCAAAATCCTGTAACTTTTGATACATAAACTTTTATGAAGAATTCCTCATATTAATGTTACTCAGTTTTATTTGAGCTACACCATATGTAACTCCCAAATTTGGATTTTGTCAAAATGTAAATTTTTGACTAGATGGGATGCCACCGAAGAGGTCAAAATTTTATTTCGCTAATAAATGTAGCCTGACCAAGATTGGCCATTACTATCGATATAATACTAATATCAGTTGAGAGAGTACATGATAGGCTGCAAGTAACTCCAATTGAATTGGAAATGTAATTGAAGGTGTGTGTTGCGTCAATTGTTAATATTAAAATTTGAAGTTGAAGTCCAAAAAAAAATATTTGAATATCTAGAGTAAGAATATGTAGCATGCATAATTCAAGGCTCTCAATTATACAGAATTATTACTTATCCCTGGAGAATTTATTGTTCATGATAGATAAGCCAATACATTTAGCACGGGAGCGACAGATCAAAGGCGAGAAATATTTTTTATTGCGCCAAACCTCGCATCGATTGAAAAATGCATACTTCTCAAAATAATACTGAAACAGTTTTGGATTATATACAGGCTCACTATAGTTTAGCTCGAAACTTAAATTGTGAATAACTTCTTCAATATTGAAGCTTTTTTTCATATAATGTTAAGCACATTTGGAGTAAACTAAAGGCTAATATCTTTTTGAAATATACTAAATTTTGATAATATAACTCAACAATTAAAGAATGTCAAAAAAATTGGTTTGAATTTTTTTCAAAAATTTCGATACACTTTTGAAATATTACCTTCTCAATTTTGAATAGCTAAACAACGATATACTTAAGATTTAACGGCTTACAGGTACTACAAATCTTGATAGTCTCATTATATTCTCAGTTCAATTTTAGTTGTCGAGTTAGATTTTCGGTAAGGTCAGTTTATTTGATTTTTCCCATACTTAAGAGAAAAATATGAGATTTTTTTATTTTGAGTCAGATCAATTGAAAATAAGACCAGCACCTTAGTAAGAGATATAATATGCATAATCAGTTGTTTAATAGGAAATTATGCTCGTAAATAAAATATAATTTGCGTATTCATTTTTGACAAATTTTTTGTATGGATGTAGAAAGCCCAAAATGACAACTCAAAATAAAAATTGTTAAAATTAAAAACCTTAGAGATGTAGACAATATAATTCACATCTACTGATTTCATAAAAATGACTCTCATTTCGAGAGATTGCGTTGTTTAAGAAAATAAGCCAATATGTGTAGTAGGAGTCGCCCTAAAACTGATGCGAGAAATTATTTTGCAGCACTAAGTCATTTACGTATAAAATTCAAATTTAGCAGTTTGACAAGAGCATAGATTATAATAGAACAAACTAAATGCAATATCATAAATTGATACTCTATAAATCTCTGGTGTTTCTTGCAATGTAATTGGCAAATAATGAAGTAATAATCAAAAGGTAAATACATATGTATATTAAGTATTAATCAAAACAGTAAAATTAATTTGAAAAACAGAAGTTTGATAATATGAGAATGAAAAGAAGCATTTTTAATAATTACTTTTGTTTATTAATATACATATTATACTTTAATTTAACTTCAGGTTCATATAATGAAACTCCTTTTAATTGATTTCCTATGGTTAACCAGCCAGGTCTTGTATTGTGATCTCTACCGAAAATTTCCAATTTTCTTGAATGTTTACCAACTAATCTTTCAACAATATCATAAAATTCATCAGGTTTTCTACTTGTTTCTCTGGTATTTGATATAACCAAATCCAAATCGATTTTTGTATTTAACCAAATTGGATTACCCTTTATACCAACTAATAAATGTTCTTTTGAATGATTTAACCAATGACCAGTCCTTCCAGTTACAATTGTTCTTTTTAATTGATTTAATTTAATCCAAATCATTTCATCTGAGACTTTATAACCCCATTTAACCAAAGCTTTTCTACCAATTTCAATTGATCTACCTGTAACCCATAACATTATAATACCTTCATCACATAATTCTTGCATTGGTAATTCTAATAATTCATCATCTTTACAAGTACTATAAGGTAATGACATATGAATATCCCAAGCTGGATCTGAAATAATGGCTGCAAATTTTCCTAAAGTTGAAAATGGTAATTTTCTAACATCACATTCAATCCATTGAGGTGGTAAAATTGGTCTAAAATTTTCAGTAAAGCAATCATCAATAGTATAATCATAAGATTTTATAACCTGTTGTTGTTGTTTTTGTCTTGGTAATGGATTTAACGTAAAATAATGTAAATAACGACAATTTCTCATTTTATGACAAGTATCTAAATATGAACAATCACCAAGGGTTAGATCAGTATGATTATTAATAATTGGTAAAAAATGAATCTTTTCACAATAACATTTATATACTTCTTGATTTAAATTTGATTTAGATTGTTGAATTTTTTTATGAATTAAATGTTCTTGTAAATTTTTGGAATTATAAGTTTCTTTTTTATTGTTTAATGCAATTGAAGCTAATGAATAATTATGATTTATATCATCACAAACTTGATAAAATGGTTGAATTGGTGTTTTTAATTTCGCTCTTTGTTTTGTTAAAATAGTTTTTGCCGTTGGTTTATTTAATAATGTTTTTAAAATGGATGATTCATTTTGAAATGATAATAATAAAAGTTGTTCATGAGTATATTCTATTTTTTGAGGTTGTGATGGTTCTAATAATTGTTCTAGTGTTTTATTAAATTTGGGGGTTGCGTCTATTGATATTGAATTACCACTTAATCTCTCTTTTAAAATTAATATATTGACAATATTGATAAATTGTAAAGTTGGCATATTAAATAATGTAATTTTATGAAATGTATCTAATGTTTTATTAAATTGTAACAGTTGTGAACTAATTTGATTAAATTGTTGTAAATAATTTATAAATTCATTATCTGTATTAATGTGTGTACTTGAACAATCGTTAATTAAATGTCTAATTTTCCATAAATCTCCATTAATTGGCATTGATAATATAATTGATTCATTTTCTAATAAAAAGTGAATTAATGTCACAAATTGATCTAAATTATATAACATTTGAATAAAACAAAGTGGTGTAAATTCCAATATATTTTGATTATTAAGGGGCGACCAATATTTATATTTTTTTTTTTTTTGCAACAATTGAAACACATAATCAATACAAATCACAATTATACATCATAATTAAAAAAATATTAATATATATATTATGACATTCTATTTATGACAGTTTAATAATTACTTATTAATTAATTAAAAAATCCAAATGGATTATCTGGTGTTGCTGCATTTATATTCGCTCTTTTGCCTGTTTGTTGAGATTGTAATGGTGCATTACCAAATCCCGTTCCTGTTGGTTGTGATTGTAATGACTGTTGTTGATTGAAACCTTCAAATTGTGGCGATTGTCCAAATGTAGTTTGTGGTTGTGAAATAGATGTATTTTGAAACATATTTGTCATTTGATTCATTTGTGGTTGTTGACCAAATGATGTTTGGGGAAAACCACCTGTATTTTGATTCATTTGTGATTGTTGTCCAAATGAAGTTTGTGGAAAGCCGCCTGTATTCTGACCAAATGATGTTTGTGGATAACCACCTGTATTTTGATTAAATGATTGTTGTGGCAAAAATCCACCTGTTGGTTGTTGAAAATTATTTGTATTATTAAATGATGGTTGTTGCATGAATCCTCCTGTAATCTGTTGTTGACCAAATGATGTTTGTGGCATTATACCTCCTATATTTTGAGCACCAAATGATGTTTGAGGCATGAGATTTCCATTTTCTAGTTGACCAAATGTAGGTTGTGGTATGAATCCACCAGTAATTTGTTTACCAAAATTAGATTGTGCAACAAATCCACCAGTTAATTGACCTCCTGTTCTTTGAGCTGGTTGCAAAGGTGGTTGATTAGATGAAGTTTGTGGATAACCACCAGTATTTTGAGTTCCAAATGAAGTTTGTGGCATTATACCACCAGTATTTTGAGCTCCAAATGTAGTTTGAGGCATTGTAATATTACCAGTTTGTAACGGAACAAAAGTTGTTTGAAATGGTCCAGTTTTTTGTTGTGTGTTAAAAGTTGTTTGTACTGGTTGTAATGGAATAATTCCAATTGTAATTTGTGGCTGTAAACCTGTTGCTTGAATTGGAACAAATCCAGTTGGTTGTGCAGTAATTGGAACGAAGCCTGTTGGTTGAGCAGGTAAGATTGTACCACCAGTTTGTGTTTGAATTAAACCTTGACCAGTTCTTTGTATCGGAATAAAACCACCAGTACGTTGTGCGGGAACAGGTATACCTTGATTTGATGATGGTCGTGGAGGTGGTGCTGATGCAGTTTTTGTAGGTTGTAAAGATGGTGCAGATGGTACTTGATCTGATTTAGTTTCCATTGGTTTAATATTGACCAAATCTGATAATGAACCAGTATATTGAGGAGTTTGTGGTTGTAGTGACGATTTTAATAAATTTTCATTTGATCTTGCAGCTGGTTTCATTGCCCATGCATCATCATCTATTTTCTTTTGTGGTGGTGATGAAATTGTTTGTTGTGTTTTAATTGGAGATGGTAATGCTTCAGCTGCAACCTTTGACACTGCAGTTGCAGAACTATTATTTTTCAATGCACCATTATTATCAATAAACAATCCACCTGTTGGTTTTTCTGGTTCTGTAGATCTACTTCTATTAAATTTATTATCTAAAAATTTCATTACCCTTATAATATCACCTTCTCTAAGACCCAAAGTTCTTAACAATGATGGTGAAATATCTTCCAATATGTTTTCATCCATTTGTTCACGTTCAAAATTTAATGTATAACGTTGACAATTTCCAATATCAACACCACATTGTAAAAAGAAATCAAACCAATCATAAAGTGGAGCTCCATTATTTGAAGTTTGAGTAGTTGCTTTTGGTCTTGAAGGTTGAGGTGGTGGAATATCATTAATAGCTGCCATTGCAGAAGTATGTTGATGTTTTAATTCAGGTTCTGAAGCAGTAGCACCTGATCTACTTCTTGATCTTGATCTTTTAGCTTGTTGTTTCATTACTTGTTCTTTATACAGTTCTAATGAAGTACCAGTAACTTTTTCAACATATTCTAAATCTTCCACTGATAATTTCTCAGCAGCAACTGCAATTTTAACTCCATTGGTTTTATGCAAATGTACTTTACCTTCAACACAACCTAAAAATTCAGCTTCAACTTTAAAAGTGCCTGAACTATCAATCCAAGTTCTAACTCTATGATAATTTGGTCCTGATTTTTCATCATGATGTTGTTTATCTCTTTGTGACCTATCTTTTTCTCTAACTCTATCTCTTTCTTCTCTAGTTCGATGACGATGAAGTCTTTCTTTACCATCAACAACTCCACCTTTTGATCTAGTTGATCTTCTTCTTAATGGACCATCAGTTAATTTATCTAAATTGGAAGTACTAATAATTTCAATATATGTAGCTGGTACGACACCTTGTCTACCACTATCAACATTTTCAACCATCCACCAATCTTTTGATTTTGATTCATTAACAATATAAACTTCATCACCTTCCATACAATTCAATTCATCACTACCTTGAGCTTTAAAATCATATAATAATCTTCCAATCTTTCTATTTTTATTATCAGTGCTAGCTTGTGATGCTTTTGCAACTTCTTTCAAACCTCTTGCTTGTTCAGCTCCTTTTAAATCACCTAAAATTGCCATTATAGCTTCAGCTACATCTTTTGTACCAGTATGTAACTCCAAAGACACTGATGGGTTTTTGAATTCTAAAAATATGTGTTTTTTTTCATGACTATATTTTGTTAAATCTCTAATTTTCCATTCATTATCTAAAGTTGATGATGATTTTAATTTCAATTTTTTAGGATTTGATGTATTTGGTTTTATAATTATTAAACCTTGACCAATTGATAATTTTATAGCTCTTTTCTTACGTCCGTCAACTTCATCAATATGCCAAGTGAAAAAATCACCATCATAAGTATGTTCTTTTTCATCACCATTTATATTATCTTCTTGTTCATAATTTTGATTTCCAGTTGGTCTTGAAGGCATTGGTGGTGGTGTTGCATCATCTTCTTGTTCTGGTTGATGTTTAATTGGACTTTCATCCTCCAATTGTCGTGGATAATCTTTTTGAGGAGTTGGCGGTGGATATGCAACTTCTTCTGATCTTGATATATGTTGAGGAGGTGGTTGGAAGTTATTAACAGGGAATTGAATTTGTGAAGGTGGTTGAGGTGGTTGATAATTATTATTCGGATTTGGTGGAAAATCTGCTTGAGTACTATCATCCAACTGTATATAATTTGATGGAACAAATCCAAATTGTTGATTTGATGAATCACTTACCAAAATCCAATCTGGATCATTTAAATCATAAATATTAAACTTTTCTTGTTCTTTAAATGATAATTCTTCTTCAGTTTGTTTATCATAATCATATAAAGCTGTTGCAGTTTTTAAAACTGGAGCAGGTTCTATGTAATTAGATGGAACTAAACCTATTGGTTCATCAACAACTTCATCACCACTTGGTAAAACTCTTTTTTTAAGTTTCCACCATTCATCTATATCCGATTTTTCTAATAAATATAAGATATCATTTACATTAATTGACAATTCTTCATCTGCTTGAGCATGATAATCATATATTGCTTTATATATCCCTATATAAACCGTCAGCATTGGGTAATTTTGATGTTGCAACTAATTGTTGATCTTGAAATTTGATAGAATTCTTATGATGTGCATATTAATCAATTTCGTCCATCCACCGAAAGCGAGAAAAAAAAAAATAAAATAAAAGGAGTAATATTGGTAAATGCACTATATATTGTTGCTATTGCAACCATTTTGCAGCCATTTATATATTGACATCTATATGCTAATTAACACTCGTTATTGGTTTATCATATCCAAATAACACTGTATCTATATCCTCCATACATGTTAATGCTGTTAATTTATCATTTTCATCTAATGCTGATCCAATATGAGGTGTTAATAAAACATCGTCTCTATCTAATAAACCAGGATTAATTTCAGGTTCTTGTTCGAATACATCTAACCCTGCAAACAAAACTTTCCCACTTTTCAAACCTTTAACTAATGCATTTTCATCAATACAAAGACCTCTACCGATATTAATAATTCTAAATGGTCTAGACATTTTATTAATCAAATCTGCATTTATCAAATGTCTTGTCATTGGAGATCCTGGACATGCAATTACTATTAAATCTGCAATATCTTTAGTTTCTTCTAATGATTTATGAAATGTGACTTTATAATTTAATTTTGATTCTTCCTGGGTTGTCAATTTCTTTCTTTTAACATAATGAATATTCATACCAATACATGCTAATCTATCAGCTATTAATTGACCAATATTACCAAATCCAACAATTACAACATTATGATTTTTAGGTGAATAATTAGATCTACCGCAACATGAATAAGCATAAGAACTACCCATTATTGGTTTAACTATAGCTTTACCTGAATGAGAATCAAATTTTCCATTAACTAGTGAAGTTCTTAATATACCACAGTGAGCTAAATTTTCAGATTTATTGAAATGATTTTCATAAAATTTGAAATTCCTAAAACTTGCTAAAGTGTCATATAATACTAAATCAGCAACGGCTTCAAATGCAACTTGAGAAGGAACATTAGTTAATACAATATTTCTCGCTTTTAAAGCTTCAACATCAAATGAATCAACTCCGACAGTGCAAGTGGTAATAATTTTCAAACTTGTAGGTAAAGCATTTATCAATTTACCATGCAATCCACCTATAGGACTAAATCCTGGCCAGCCGGCATATATAGCTTCAATATCATTAAATTTGTTTCTAAAGTCTAACAATGTTTGTTGTAAAGATGTTATTTGATAAAGTATACATTCAAATCTTTTCTCGAATTCTTTAAGATATTCTTGTTTAGGAGCTTCTAAAAATAAAACCTTTTGTTTAATAGTCATGTCAACAATGAGCCTGAATTATTCATATTACAAAAATTATTTCAGTTAGTTTAAATATTGTGTTTAGATTTCATTCTAGAAAGCTACCGTTTCATATCGTGAGGCTTTATAGATTGAAAAATTATCAATAACCGATTATAACCTTCGTCACGTGTACGAATCTATAACGATATTATCCTGATATAGAGAAAGTCTTAACTTATCAAACAACAGTTATAATAACGCCTTAACAGAGTTGTTAAATTTCTTAAATATTCGTATAATGACTTAAAATTTTATATAAACTAAATTGAAATGAATCATAAAATGACAAGACTTCGTCAAAATTTATAGAATCAAATTCTATTAATGCTTTTAATATGCTGTGCTTAATGAGCCATACCTGGTTCACCCAAGTATTTAGCTTTTAAGACAGTACCACAATGCCAACATCTTGATACTTTACCATCTTCAACTTTCATCCAATATGGTTTATGATCATGATCTTCAGTACCTTTACAACCAACATATCTGTAACCCATATAAGTTGGAACTAAAAATGGATCTTGCATAGTACCTTTACCTTCAGTAATTGGATTTTCTATATCGAAAACATCAACACCTTCAGCTTTACCTAATAATTCAAATCTTTGTAAACCAGTAGCTTGATCAAAATCAGTTGGAATAGTACCTTCTTTGGCACCTGGACCAATTAATGAACCTGGTTCAAGACTAACTTCAGCTAAATCTTGAGCAGTTTTAACAGTTTTAGTAGCTTCGGTATTTGTAGCAGTAGTTTTATTTAAAAAAACTCTTGAAACTGAAAAGAATCTGACTGGTTGTTGTTGTCTAATAATTCTAAATGTATTACGAGCAAGCATCTAAACTGAAGTTAGTATTCGAAGTTGCAAAAAATAGCGTGGGGATAAAAATTGGTGAAAATTGAATTGAATTATCCTCAATGGAACTTCTTATTTAATCTCAAAACTAGGATTAACAATATATATTGTATGAAATCGTTGTTTTATGTATATCTTACTTTTATTCTTAGTTTGTTCAATTTTCATCTCATCCAATGTCAATTTTTCAATTAGTTATTTCAAAGTTTAACATACTATTTTAATTATGAATTTTTATAATTATAAATTAATAGGAATAGTTAAAATTGATAGAATATGATATGAAATAAATAAATATAAATTGTAATTCGATATTGTTTTTAATTATTCAATTTGTCTATATTAATTTCAAAATCAGCTAATATTTTTCTTCTGTTTATTTTTTGTTTCGCACTATTAATTATTGGCTAAATTTTATTGGTTCTCGTATTTTATAGATGGAAGTGGATTTGATTGCAGAGATACCCACGTAATTCCATTGTAGAGGCGATCAGAGTAGTTGTTGCTTTATATAAATTAACTATCGTCCAGTTCTTCTACTTGAGCGTCCGTTGTATTATTAAGGCGCTCAAATAAAAGTATCTCTAATTTTTAAAGAACAATCGATAGTCCATCAAGCTTCAGAATTTTTTCATACTCAATAGATATCGTTAGCGGGGGCTACAATAGAGTAATCGTTTTCTACTTATTATACTTACTATTAAAATATGATTCTTCGATTTTTATGTTTTTTGTGATTTTTTTGCAAATTATTCGAAACTTTGCGTTTAATCTTAAAGAAATAAATTTTAATTGATTATAGCTAGACAATTTAATAAACACGTTAAAAGATTAATTCGAGAGAAAGATAGAAGTGCATCATTTGCAGTACGTTGCAAAATGGCGTGTCTTCAAATTTCAATTACTTATCTAACTATATTTCAAAACCTGATTAGACGTCAATTCAATTTCTACAAATCTGCTTATAAGTATAGTTAAGACGGGAACTTGTAATTCATTCTTTCTCTACTATATGGTTGTCAACTCTTTATCTTCCTCATATCCTGATTATCGCTTAGTAAAGATAAGATAAGGAATTGCCGTAAAATCATTTGATTTTTAGCCCTAATTATAATCACATGTATTTTGTTAGGTGTTTAAGAATTTGCGCTTTAAATTATCAAAGAGATCAATAATGTTACTTAAAGTCTCAATTATATGCACACTTTTTTCTGGTGTAAAATTACGCGCACCATAGTTAAGCTAATTATATAGTACACTACATAGTTAATATTTTCATAGTGTGCGAAATACTCTCTCTAACTTTAATAAAATTTTTCAAATTTTGATTTTGAATTTTCTTTTACAACAAGTTAATTAAAGAGTATGTTTGAACATAGACATTTAACATGAGAATGGAATCATAGATGATATTTTGATATAATTAAGAGAATGAAAGAAGAAAAGAATAAGGAACAAGGAGTGAAATATACAAGTTGACGGAAGATTAAATACAACAAATTTATTCGAAAATATTTTGCAAAATCTAACTCAAATTGTCGTAAAAATTATGAATTCATTAGTCTTGAAAAGTAACAACAGTCATGTAATTGTAAGAGTCAAGCTAGAAGGTTTTCGAAATGTTCAATTATCGAATTTTATAAATTTCAGATTATTTTGGCCACCCGTCAATCATCAAATATCATCAATGAACAATTATAGTGATCAATTACTAACAGATTTCTTTAGAACATGCCAAAAAAGAGAGCTTCCAACGGTAGAAATAAAAAAGGTAGAGGTCACGTCAAACCAGTCAGATGTTTAAATTGTGCTAGATGTGTTCCAAAAGATAAAGCTATCAAAAGAGTTACCATCAGAAACATGGTTGAAGCTGCTGCGGTTAGAGATTTATCAGAAGCTTCAGTTTATAATGAATATGCTTTACCAAAATTATACAACAAATTACATTACTGTGTCTCATGTGCTATTCATGCTAGAATTGTTAGAGTCAGATCAAGAACTGATAGAAGAATCAGATCACCTCCACAAAGAAAAAGATTTACTGCTGACAAAAAAGTTTCACCACAAGATGCTGCTAAAAAAGCCATCTAAGCATTTTGAGAACTTTTTGATAGGTTTACAAATGGTTAAATAGTTAATAAAAAAATTTTATTTTATAAAGCACTATTGTTAACTCTGTTTAGCTTGAGATTATAATTCATTTTAGATTAGATTTGAATGAGATCTTGCTCTATTAACACCCACAGAAATTGCAATTCAAGTCATTGCACCCTGTCATAACGCGCCAGGCTGTCAAACGCAATGCAATTAAAATAAACACTAGCTATCTTATCTACATGTTGTTATGCAAATCTTTGTTGATTCGCTTAATTCATCCGTATTATCGTGGTGCTCGTGTTTATGCCGCAATTATGACGTATGCAAACAACAAAAATTGGAGAGAAAATGTCAAAAAAGAAGACCATTAATGTTTCAGGAATCAGTCAACAAATATTGATTGAATGACTTCGACACTAGGTCAATGATTTGCTACATGAAACTAATACAAGTTTCTGATGCAATCCAGTTTATAAGCTCACTGACGTTTTATTTGTTACTCTTCTTCGTTGAGCTTTCAACAACCAACATCATTAAATATTTCAAGCTTAACATCAATCGATACAATCTGCCCTTCTTCAACAAATAATAAACAATTGTTGATAGTTATAATAAGTTTGGAGATGAACTTCAACAAATTCTATGGTAATCCTGTATATAAAGTAATGTTGTACATTTCTCATTTTCTCATTAAAAGTTACATTTTTAACTTGACAATCAAGAATCAACCATTATTCATATCAACAATTAGCCAATTAAAACACTTTTACTCACGTATATACTACAGATTAATTATTCAAAATGACAGATCAATGGAGATTTAGCCAGTGTTTTGGCGATAAAACAGACATTGGGGATATTACAGAAGCAGATATTATATCTACAACAGAATTTGATTCAACCGGAGATTATCTAGCTACAGGTGATAAAGGAGGTAGAATTGTATTGTTTGAAAGAAATCGAAGTAAGAAATTATCGTGTGAATATAAATTTTATACAGAATTTCAGAGTCATGATGCTGAATTTGACTACCTTAAATCGTTAGAAATCGAAGAGAAAATAAACAAGATAAAATGGTTAAAAAGTGGTAATGATTCATTATATTTATTATCAACAAATGATAAAACTATAAAATTATGGAAAATTCAAGAAAGGCAAATTAAATTAGTTTCTGAAAATAATCTTAATGGTTTAAACCATTTTCCTCATAGTAATGGTAATGGTTCGATAAACATATCAAATTTAAAATTACCACAATTGCAATTACATGATAAATTAATATCAGCTCAACCTAAAAAGATATATTCAAATGCTCATGCTTATCATATAAATTCAATATCAGTAAATTCTGATCAAGAAACTTATTTATCGGCAGACGATTTGAGAATAAATTTATGGAATTTAGGTATTGCCGATCAATCTTTTAATATAGTGGATATAAAACCAGGCAATATGGAAGAATTAACTGAAGTTATAACAAGTGCAGAATTTCATCCATTACAATGTAATTTATTTATGTATTCATCATCTAAGGGGACGATAAAATTAGCTGATATGAGATCAAATTCATTATGTGATACTCATGCTAAAATATTTGAAGAGTATTTAGATCCATCTTCACATAATTTCTTTACTGAAATTACAAGTTCAATTTCTGATGTAAAATTTAGTCATGATGGTAGGTATATTGCAAGTAGAGATTATATGACAGTTAAATTATGGGATTTAGCAATGGAGAATAAACCAGTTAAAACTATAAATGTACATGAACATCTTAGAGAAAAATTATGTGATACTTATGAAAATGATGCAATTTTTGATAAATTTGAAGTACAATTTAGTGGTGATAATAGATCAGTGATGACAGGTTCATATAGTAATAATTTTATGATTTATCCAAATGCAGTAGTATCAAATGATCATAATGTTAAAACTATAAAGAAAAATAATTATAAAAGAAGAAGTAATAATGATGATGAAGATGATGTAAGTGATGAAGATGATGAAAATTCAGATAATGAATTTCCACCAAATAATAAAAATCCACCAAGTTCACAATTGGAAGATGATGAAGATCAAGAAGAAGTTATATTGCAAGCAGATAAATCAGCATTTAAATCTAAAAAATCAGGTCATCATCCAATGAGACGTAGAATGATGAGTGGAGTTGGAAGTCAAATAGATCATGATTTTGAAGATATGGATTTTAAGAAAAGTATACTTCATTTATCATGGCATCCTAAAGAAAATTCTGTTGCAATTGCAGCAACAAATAACTTATACATTTTTTCAACTTTATGATAAAAACAGAATACAACAATTTGTATTATAGTTCAATTCATTTCTTATCTAACATTAATAATCTACTACTGCTATTGCATAATAATCATTTTTTAACATAATATATTAGATTTTTTTTTCGATATTTAAATATGTATAAATACTAAATTAACTTTTGATAATATCTATTCTTTAATAACATGTCTGTTAACGTCTGAATTCCAAAATAAAGTTTTATCACCATCACCCCAAAAGAATGGTTTATTTCTAATATTTTGATAATCATATTGAGTTGGCCATTCATCATCTGATAAATGTCTTTCATGTTCTCTATGTTTAGCATGTTCAAATTCAACTTTACTAACTGGAACAGCAGTTAATAATAAAGCTGGTAATGCAACAAAATATGTAAATTTCTTCCATGTATTAGTAACAGCTTCTGAATGGTGTGCTTTTTCTTCCAATTTTTTAGTAAATTCTTTACCCAATTCTTTATTTGGTTTATAAGCTAAATCTTTCAAAAATTTTGATGGAGCATAATGAGATGCAAATCTTCTAGTAGTGAATTGTCTAATACGTTGGTTAAACATAATTGAATAGTTTTTGTTAATGAATAATTGCTGGGGAATAGTTTGGTTGTTAAATGTTTAATGTTTTAAAAAATGAGTTGATTTTTTTACTTCTTCTTTTAATTTAATTGGAGGAATTTATATACAGGTTTGCCTGGTGCTACCATGTTGCTAAATCATATCATATTTGACAAATAGTAGCTGCAGATTGAGTAGATCAGTTGAGATTGTTTGTTGGTGGAGTTTGACTTTTACTTGAAACATGCTATACTCTCATTTGGCGCATGACAGCTTTATTTGGTATAAATGTGGCTGAAATATAGAGATTCAATGTCTTTTTCAAGTAGCCACAGAGCATTGTAGTATGTCTTAGGACCAACAACCACGCTAGATCCTTCAGTTAGCTAGAGGTCGTAGTATTTCAGGTCAAACTTTTTGATACCGTGGTTAATTAATCAATTTTTAAATCGAAGTATATGCCTCACCAGTAAAAGAAAGTATTTTTTTAGATTTCGGCTATAGCTTGTGAGATACCTTCTTGATCCAGCTATGACCACCCACACCCCAGATCCGATAAGGATCTTGAGTTAAGGCACTTAGGCACTTGCTTTCTGTCAATTTCGTATGGTAAATCAATTTCGTTGCGCGTTTCAGAATTTTGTTTACATTTTTTTTTTCTGTTTTGATTTCTTTAATATTATCAAGCATTTCATTAATATATTCAGTTTGTTGACAGAGGTAATAAGAGATGCTGAATTTAGGTATATCAGCTGAAGAGATACTAGAACTATTCAATGACTCAAATACAAATGATAATATTAAATTAGATTATATCAATAAATTAAAAACTCATATCAAAAAAGATTCAATTGACACTAAACAAGTGGATATATTCTTAGAGATAATTATCAAAGGTTTAGATATTCATAATTTAAATATCCTGTCAATAAGTTTTAACTCATTATCTTATTTAATCAAACGTATAAGTGTACAAGATAAATCTGGTAAAATATTAAGAAATCAAAGTTTGCTAATATTACCAATTTTAATAAATAAATTATACATAAACTCATCCAAAAAAGCATTGGAAGATTATTGGTTAAGTGCCCCACATGAAGTTGAAGATGCATTACTGGAAATTTCCTTTAATAATAATAATGTTAATATCACCATAGAATCAGTTAAATGGTTAAATCAGGTGTTTACTAAAATAAGTAAGAAATTTAATGTGTCAATATTTATTCCACATATTTTACGGTCAACCAACTTTCATTCTGGTAATAAGGATTTAGTTCAAGTTGTAAAAGTATTATTCAAAAATTATTATACAAGTTTTCCCGAGGCCATATCAAATTTACAGACTGAAATGGATTTGAATGATGTACTAGTAGATATTCAAAAAGATTTATTAGCTACTATAAGACCAGCAAAAAACTTACCTAAGAAAAAGCCCGGGGTGATAAAATTAGAAGAAAATGGAGTTTATGATGATTATAATACTGATTTACAAGATTTATTAACTAAAGTTCATTGTACTTTATCTACTGAGCTTAAACCTTTGGATGTTCGAGGAGTAGATGATTTATATAATATGTTTGACTCATTTTCACCATGTTTTGAAAGTAAAGAAACTGAAATTAATTGGAAAATAAGAGAGAAAAATATCGTCAAGATACGAAATATAATACGAGGTAATGCAATGGATTCATATAGATCAGATTTAATAAGTTGTTTGAAGAATTTAGCTCACGGTTTATCAAAAGGTGCTCAATCATTACGTACTACTTTATGTGGTCATAGTTGTCAACTATTAAAAGAATGTGCCATGATTTTAAAACATGAATTTGAACCCGTTGCTGAAATTTTATTTCCAAATTTAATAAGATTATGTTCATCAACCAAAAATATAACTTCGACAAATGCAAATATGACAGTTTGTGCATTATATGCAAATTTACCATATAATCAAAAATTAATACAAAAAATATTATCAGCATTGGAAGAGAAAAATCCACAACCTAGATCATATACTGGTATTTGGTTACAAATTATAATATTAAGATATGGTATAGATTCCAGTTTTCTAGGTTCTCATGAATCATTTGTTGTCGAATCAAGTAATAAAGTATTAAGCAAATTATTAAAAGATGCAAATCCCAAAGCAAGACAAATTGCCAAAGATTGTTATTTCTGTTATTCAAAAATATTCCCAACAGAAGTTGATAAATTGATGAAAAGATTAGATTCAAATACCATTAAAGCGTTAGAAAGATCTCAAAAAACATCAGCACAAACTACAAGACCATCATCTCAACATAAGTCATCACGTACATCAATCAAAGAAGCAATATTGGAAAAGAATAAAGAGCTTAGAGAAAAACAACATAGACCTCCATCAAGATCAACTACTGACAGATCACATTCAATACCACTCCCAAAAGTATCAAGACCGTTAAATCCCAAACCAATAACTAGACATGAAAGATTTAGTAAACCTACGACTAGAGCATCAAGTTGGACATCACAACTATCATCACCAATTAAACCACCTATAGCAAAAAGAGTAAGTAGTTCAATTGATTTGAAACAATCACCATTTCTTGAATCAAAACCAACATCATCAAAATCATCACCAAATAAACGAGTTTCAAATTCATCATTTGATTCTCATCGTGATCCAATAATTGAATTTCTTTCTTCAAATGATCAATCAATTATATCTGAAGGCGTAGGATTATTAAAATATTCAATAATTGGGAAAGTAACATTACCTGAAGAAACAAAAGAGGTATTACAAAAATTATCAAATCTACATCCACAATTACTAAAACCTATATTCGCTTCAGGTGATTCTGTATTCAAAAAATCATCAGCATTATTTGATCCAAATGATTTTATACGAATTTGTTCGTTCATTTTTCCAAATCCAGATGAGAAAACACTTGAATTAATAACTTCATGTATTGAAATACCTCAATTTTATCAATCTTCAATTTATTTATTAACTTGCATTATTGATGCTCCGAGAATTTTAGGATCTCAAGAATTTATGACTCAAATGACAAATCATAAATTTGAAATGACATCGTTTATATTAACAGCATTACTGATTTCATTGAATAAATTATCTATTGAAGTTGTTCAATTTGCTGCATTATTGAATGAATTAATTAGATCAATAAAGATACTTAAAGCTTCAAGTTGTTATGGTTTATTATCACAATTATTTTGTCAGTTATATTCAATCGATAGTGAAAATTTCATGGACATTTCACAAGCTACTGAAGAAACTTTAAAAGAGGAAATTGAAAGTATAGTTGGAATAGATACTACAATGCAAATAAAAAGACCATTGAGTAAATCGTTATTTGATTTAACAGAAGTTATACCAAGTAGGGGACAATTAAAATCAAGTCCAAAGAAAATAAGTCCTAAAAAATTTGATGATTTTACAATGATCATGCCTAGGAAAGATACATTTATGAATAATGAAGTAAGTCAACGTCCATTAAAATTAGTTAAAGCTGCACCAATAATTGAACAACCAAAAAGTGAGGATTTACATTTTATTGAAAAACTGGATCCATTAAGATTAATTTCAAATAAAGTACAAAAGATATCAATTTATGAAGATGAAAAACAGGAATCAAAACCTAAGAAAGATAAGAATTGGGCAAATTTCCATTTTGCGAAAGTATTGGATAATCAATCTGAATTGAATTTAAATTTCAATATTAATGTATTTGAAATGGAATGTAAGAAATTAATAACTAAACCAAAAGATGATTTAATAATAAGGAATTTAATACTATCTATTGAATCATTATCATCTGCACCATTTGAATTTAGAGAATATTTCTTATCAAAGGGTAAATTATTACTTGAAGATTCTTTATGGGAATATTTTACAAGATTGAATTCATTAAATTATCAACAAGTAGCAAATGGATTATATTTATTAACTCAATTACTTAAATTTAATTCTGAAGCTATAAATGTAACTAAAGTTTGGATGTTACTTAAAGAAACATGTATAAATGAAAGATTAGATTCCGAAATTTATTTCATATGGCATGAGATACTATTAGGATTTAAAGTAAATTTTGAATTACAAGAAATAATGTTAAATTATCTTGAACAATCACATTTAAATACTACTATACTGAATCTAACCATGGAATACGTCTCCAAATGTTTATATCAAGAGAATAAATTAGATACTAAGAAGATTTATCGGATAGATGAAATACTTTCCAGATTATTCAATAATAAAGAAGTAGCAATAAGGAAAACCGCAACCATTTGTTATAGTAACCTAGTTAAAAACACAACATTATCAACAGAATCAAAAGAGGTTTTAAATAAAGTAAAATCAAAATATCCATTAGCGCAACAACGATTGATTGAATTTTATAGCCATAGATAAAAAAGATAATATAAGAATTATGTAAAACTAACTTGTGCACCATCTTTAAGATTCAATATCAATGTGATTCTCATTTTTGGTGGATATTCTTGTTTTGTAGATATATGTTCAAATGTTTGACATAATCTTGTAATTACATATGATATCTCAGTTAATGCAAATTGTTGACCAAGACAAATTCTAGGTCCTCCATTAAACGGAATATAGGCCCAGCCTACTTTTTTCAAATTGTCCCATCTCTCAGGAATGAATTTATCTGGTTCCAGACCAAAATATTTTTCTTGTCTATGTAAATCAAAAGTTCGATAAACTACTGAAGTACCTTTATCGATGAAAATTGGGGAACTTTCATCGTCTCCTCCACCTCGAGGCAATGTAGTTTTTTTAGTTGCACATTTCAAATTTAATGGAACGGTAGGATATAATCTTAAAATTTCGGAAACTACATTTTTCAAATATTCACATCTTTTTAAACTTTCAAATGTTGGTTTACCTTCGGGTCCAAATGCTTCTAATATTTTATTTCTTAATTTTTGATAAATTTGTGGATTTTGAGCTAATTCATAAATTAAAAATGAAATTGATGATGATGTTGTATTTCTACCAGCTAATAACATACTTAAAATTTCATCTTTTAAAACTTTACGATCTCTTGTAATTTTAACTAATTCGGTTAAAATGGTATATCTTTTATTTTCATTTAATTGTTGTTCAGTTAAATTTAATGCCTTATCGACATAAAATTCGGCAACGTTTTGAATAGTTTTAATTGCATTTCTAAATTCTTTACCATCGACCAAAAAATAAAATGATTGAGCCATTGATCTCTTACTTAAAATATCACCAGCAGTTTCAAAAGCTTTGAAAAATTCTTGTCCTGTACATACCACATCATCTTCTTCATTTGGTGGATCTCCAATTTTTAAATCTTCATCATACATTGAATTAACACTATGATTGAACAAAAAAGCAGTAGCAGTATCTAATGTGAATCTAGCAATCATTCTTTGAAAATCAAAAGTTTTACCATTTTCAGCTTTGATCAATTGTAATAATGTTTGAACATGATGTTCTAATGATTCAGTATGACTAACTGATTCTCTACTAAATTGAGGTCTTAAAAAATTTCTTGAATGTCTCCATCTTGGTCCATCAAGTGTAAAAATTGAATCTCCTAATAATGGATTTAAAAAGGCATGTCTTTTACCAATTGAAAAGTCTTCAAATTGAGTAGATAATAAAGCTTTGATATTTGTTGGATCTTTAGTTGTGATGAACTCTGAACCGGCCATATTGACTTGAAAAGTTTCAAGATACATATCTTTTGGTTCAGATATAAATTCACCTCTTTCCCTAGATTCCATCACTTCAAAAATAGCCGGTATTCCAAACCATTTATTATGTACTTTATAAGGGTCTTCACAATGATGAGATTTCTTAAATTGTCTTACTTGAAAATAATTTACCAATTTGTATACGGCAAATAATACAATAATACCGATTAAATAATACATAATTGGCTTATCAATGATTTGATAAAAATAATGGATGGATCTTTCAATGTCTTATATACTAAATTCTCTATTATTTATTATAATACTCAGCAGATTCATAAACTCCGCTGATCTAATTGCATATGAAACAATTTTTTATTTTTTTTTGTTTCAGATTAAGTCCGAAAATTTACACTAACCCGGAGATAGAAGATGTACTATCAATAAAACAATAAGAAGTTTATTCGATTGAGGGGAAATTGTAAGCCAACTTAAGGCTGTATACCATAGTCAAGAAATGCCGACTCCATGGTGTTCTTGTCATCATAAATTGACAATCGTCTAAGAAAATTAGAATTACAAGAAATGATGAAATTCATTACTATGACTGTATATTGGTTAGAAGTGAATATGAATATAAACAATATTTCCAGAAATAATTGTTTCTATTGATCATCTTTATTAACAGCAATCTTCGAGGCTTTTGTATTCAAAAGTTTTTCAGTTGATGGTGTAGTCTTTTTCTTTTCCTTTTCACTTGTTTTCTTATTAATACCACCTTTTATAGATTGTGTTGATCTTTTCTTCTTTAATGAATTTGATATCTTTTGTGGTGTAGTTGATCTAAATTGTATAGTTGATTGTAATTCTCTTTGTCGAGATTGTGAACCATCACTTGATTTAGGTGTAGTTTGAGAAGATAAATGATACATTGCTTGAATTGATTGTTGATTTGTTTGAGTTGGTGAATATGAATTGGCCATTGGTATATTTTTTGGTTGTGGTGGTTGAAAACCTGGTTGACGATAATCAACTTCTGGTCGATTATAATAATATGATGAACTTTCATAACTTTGATTTGAATCGTAAAAACCTGGAGGTGGAGGAGGAGGTGGTGGTAACGGTTGTAATTGTTGTTGTTGTTGAACTTGTGTTGGATTATGTAAAATTGGTTTCAAATTTGATGATGCTTGATATGGTTCTGATGCTAATGGTGGATTTGTAACTCTTATATAACTTGGTGGGAATAATTTATTATATAATGGTTGTTGATGTGGATGCGGTAAATAAACTTCTTCATTATTTCTTATTGTTAATTTTGTTGGTTTTGTATTTGGTACAGTTGAAGTTAATGGTGTTTTTATTGGTTGAGCTTGTTCAATTAAATAGTCATCATTAAAAACAACTTGATTTGTATTTGAATGTTGGAATAATGTTGATGCATCTATGAAATTATCATAATTATCATCCAAATAATTATTATGATACAGTGTAGCATATTCTTCTTGATAATAATTTTGATTTGGTTGATGGGTATCAAAATAATCCAATGGAAAATCATCTTCTTCATCATCTTCATTTGGTTGTGATTTTTTAATTGATTTTCTACCTCTCTTGGTTGGTTTTAATGGTGATTCAGCAGTAGGTAATGGCCCATTAGGTCTTCTAGTTGTAGTTGTAGGAATTGCATTATTATCAGGTGATAGTTCAAATACATATGAATCATTAATTTTCTTTTTAGTTTCCATATATTTAGCCAATTGATTAAATAAATTTGAATTTTCATCATATTGAAAACTTAATGCTGGTTCTCTAGCTGCTATTGTAGTTGGCTTTTGACCTTGTCTTTCCTTTTTCAAATCTCTTTCTAATGCATCAGCCATTAATTTATTATGTGGAACATTAAACCAAAAAAATACCTTTTGTTTCTTTTGAGTTCTTAAACATGAATTTCTAAATAAAAATTCTAAAAATTCTGATCTTGGAGGTTCTAAAACTGAATCAATACCACATTTTAAATTTCTTAAATCTGAAAATATACCTTCTTCAAATTTCTTTCTATCAATAATCTTTCTACCAAAATGTTCAAATTTATAAACAATACATCTAACAATATCAGTACCAGTTATAAAGTACAAATTATTCCAAAATACACAACTGACGAAACCTTCATCATTATTTAAATAATATCTTCTAATAACTTGATTTTCTTGCCAATTTGCTGGTGCCGTAGCCAAAAAAAATTTTAAATCTTCAATTAATCTTAATGATTCTTGAACATCTGCTGGTGTATTCTCTGTTGGATATGGACTTTGGTAGGTTCCAGTGCTACCATTATTATTATTATTATTATTATTATTATTTTGATTATTGGTCTGGTTGGGAGCTATAGGTGGAAAATTATTATGCGGATCATGAATAAGTGAATGATTTTCAATTGGTGTTGTACTTGTTATATTATTATTTGGTCCAAGTCTTGGTATTATTGGATTTGAATGTAATGTTGACATTTATTGATACGTAAACGGATGATGATATATGTAACTAAAACAAACTTTATGATAATTTATTAAACAAATGTAAAACTTGAGCTTGAAAATTAATTTATGAAACTTGATTTAAAACTAAAAGTGATCTGTAATGAATAAAAATTCTGATAACTGAAATTAATCTAATAAATTCGTAAAAGTATAAATTATGTAATATCCAGCGGTTGAGTTACGTAATAATTGTGTATGGGTCCAACTAAAAAAATTATAATAAACAACCAAAAAAAATATTATACGGGTGGTCGTAAATGGCAAGTTTATTAATTGATAAGGAATTAAACTTAATTGAATTACAATCTCGTACTCTAATACTTTGATTAACTTGTAAATGTAGTAATTAAACGTGGTTTGGAACTTGAATTATAGAATTTGACTGGAGATTTTTTAATTTGTTAAAAATGTTATGTAATAAAATTGATCTTGTTTCACTTGGATTGTATGAAATTAGTTTTAAGATATTATACGATAAATGATATATGAATCAATTTTTAAGACTGGTACAACGTATCTTATTTATATAATTTTGTATTTGTCAGTCTAAATCTGCAAGTAATTTGATGAATCTGGATGAAGTTTCAGTTAAGAATTTCAAAATTAAGTATGTGTATCAGAATATATTTTTTTGTTGTTTTAAATTTGTTTTAAAACTTTTTTTTTGATACATTTGTATGGTAGTGTAAATATAGCTAAAACAACATTTACATGATTCATTTACAATTACATTCATTTATGAAACACCACTCAGCCAACCAGAATGACTAATTCTCGTTTCATGCATTCTTTTAAACCATACTTATGTCTTAAAATTGTGAAACTAGATCTTTCATGCATAAGTCATCTTTCAGGGGTTATTTTCTACTAACGTTTAAATGTTTCATCTATTTTTAGAAGTGTTTCAGATTTTTGAGCTAGATGAATGATGGTTCTAGTACATTCTAAGTAAGCTCAAACTATTCGATCGTAATTGTAATCCATTCTAGATCATTATTCTAGTGTTTAAGCCACTTTAGAGTTTTGTAAGGTTTGTTTAATGATGTTTCCAAGTATATACAATTAAGTGCCATAATTTTGATGCGACCACATATTTTCTCACCTTAATTTAGGGCGACTTGTACAAAATGTTTTCGCTTATTTGTCGTGTGCAACAAGATCTCGTGAAGTAGACACCATTTATATGAAATCAGAGACCGTCAATTGTATATATTATATACTTAAATTGCTGGATTTCAAACATTTTTTTTTGACGTCATTTCGAGCTATTTTCACCATATAAAAAATTTGCCAAAAAATGTAAACCTGTGTATTTTCTTACCATAACTCTCAAATAAACAATAGATTATACATATTAAATTTCAATCAAAGATCGTACCCTAAATTCTAGTTGCTCCTTACAAAAATTAAAAAATTTCGAAATTTTCTCTAAAGTATGGCAAAATTCGAATAAACCGACTTTACTAGAAATTTAGTTCCACTTTAAATATTCAAATTCAAATATGATGAAACTATCCAAATTCGTAGTTCTACAATAATATGCCTTAGATATTTGTATGTTAAGGTATTCAAAATTACAAAAGGAATTTTTCAATGGTTCAAAAATTTTGCAAAAAATTCAAAGCGATTTCGGCGTCTGCAAAGTTGGATACAAATAAAATTTGGGATTGAATGGACAAAATCAGCTATCTTTGAAGTTGTTTAATGTGGTCTAAGTGTGATTTATCTTACAATTTAACGTTTTTTCCAAGTTTTGATCTAAGAATTATATCATCAAGATTAGGTATGTTAAAGATACTAACATTAGGTTACTGCAAATCTACTGAATATTGTCTGAAAAAACTTCGAGAGAAAAAGCTTTAATATTGAAGGAGTTATTTACAATTTAAGTTTTAAGATTAACTGTGGCTTGACTGCATATAAGTCAATTTGTTTCAGAATTTTCTTGAAAAGTGGGGGCTTTTCAATGCGACAATTGGATGCAATAAAGTTAACTTTTCGCATCAGATCTAGGGCGACCGGTCTTAGATGTATTCGCTTATAAGCCATGAACAACAATTTCCCGTGAGCGAAGGACTAGTTCAATGAAATACAGACTCATAATTATATATGCAATAAACTTCAAATTCTGACATCTAAACGTTTTTTTTTTGAGTTGTCATTACGGCGTTTTTTTCATCATACAAAAAATTTGCCAAAAATGAAAATGCAGAATATGGTTCACTTAACATCAGAACCTTCAATTGAACAACGTATAATATATATCCGAGCTCAAAAGAAAGTGACTAACCCAATTCTAGATGATCAAAACTAAAATTGAAAAATTTCAAAATACCTCGTAAGTATGGAAAAATCGAATAAATTGACCTTACAAAAAATCTGACTCCACAATTTAAATTGAAATAAGAGCATGATAAAAGTATCAAAAGTTTTAGTTCAGGTACCATGCTAAACTTCAAATATTTTTGTGTTAAGGTATTCAAAATTGAAATAGCAATTTTTCGAAATTGGTTCGAAAATTTTGAAAAAAATTCAAACTGATTCCGTTGCCAGCGAACAGTTATACAAATAAAAGCTCTGATTGAATGGACCAAATCGGCTATCTTTTTGTTAAAGTAGGTCTAAGTGCCAATTATTTTGCAATTTGACGCTTTTTCACATTTTTCAAATTATTCATAAAATGATCAATACTAAGTTTTATTAGAAGCAATTAAATTCAATCAAATCTAAACTTGATAAAGATATAATAACAAAAGTCTGAGAGTTAGAGGTGCAAAATGAAGGGAGTTATTCAGAATTCAAGTTTTGCGCTTTATCACCACAGAGCTGCATATAAGCAGTTCAAATTTGTTTCAGAATAATATCAATTATAGAGAACCTATATAATATAAAAAGAATATTAAATCATATATATTAATTATTCGATGTTGTTTAATATAAAATCTATTTATTATTCAGTTTAAAAAACTTATTTGTTTTACTTATTCATAACTTTCGTAATCACTCCAATTTTTTTTAAATTTTGACCAATCTGAACCCATAATAGGAACAGAATTCATACCATAAATTTCATCATTATGATTATTAGTATTATTTTTATTATTAAAATTTTTAAAATTATTTGTTGTCGTTTGTCTTTTCTCATTATTATTATGTTTATTTAGAAAATTTGAAATTGGTTTCAAATTTGTTTGAGTTGTTGTTGTTGAATTTCTTCTAAATGGTGGAATATATTTACTATTATTATTCAATTGACCATTATTAAATCTATCTGAATCATGACCTGATTCATAACCAAACATTTGTTTTCTATTGACATGATGTGGATGCGTATAATGTGAATTACCATTAATATGTGAATTATTATGCTTGATATTATTATTATTATTTGAACTTGTTGTACCATCACTTTCAAAATCATCTTCTAAATGAAAGACTTCTAATAATTGATCCAATTCTCCTTCTGGTTGATTTGGTTCAATTACAGGTGATGATTTTGGTAGAGTTGGTGATCTTAAATATGGTGGAATATATCTACCTGAACTAGATAAATTTGATGCAATATTATGATGATGTAAATTATTATTATTATTATTATTATTTGTTGTTGATCCATTACTTGGATGTGCTAATGGATGAAAAGAAGATGATAATGAATGATTATTAAATGAATTTGCAGAAGTTGCAAATACTGAACCTGAATTATTATTACCATTCAATCCTCTTTTTAATTTTGATGTTGAATATGATCTTGATTTTCTTTTTTGTTGATTATTATTGTTATTATAATGATAATTTGTATCATTATTATTATTATTATTATTATTATTATTATTATTTGTTTTTTTATAGTTTTTTTTCCAAGTTTTTCTTTCATTACGTCTTGGTTGATGACGACTATTACTTTTATTTTGTTTATTAAATTTTTGTTCACCATATTTATCCATATAATGATTGAATACCGATTTTGGTGTAAAAAAATCTTCTCTATTAATTTTATTATTTTGATATTTATTATAAATTATATTATTGTAACTGTTATTATTATGATATAGATTATTATTATCAAGTTGATTAGTATTTGAAGATGGGGCAAATGATGCAACTTTTAAAGGTTTTCTTGATTTATCAAAAACTTTATTTTTATTGATTGGAATTGGTTTTAAATCTGTATTTGTTGATAATAAAGCTTCTGCTCTTGAATTGAATTTGAATGGTTCTTCTTCTGGTGGCAGTAATTCATCAATTATAACTTTCGGTTTATTCTTTTCATTTTCTTCTAATGATGATGAAGAATATTCTTCAGATTCATCAGATTCATCAGATTCATATTCATCTTCTTCTTCCATATAATCTTTATCTTCTTCATCATCATCACTACCCCAATATTCATCATCAATTGTAAAATATCTTAAAGATTCCATTTCATTCATTAAACCATTTAAATCACGATTATTTGGATCTATAGTTAAACAAAATCTTAAAACTGAAAATAAATCACCACTCATTGTTGAAAAAATATCAAATAATGATTCTCTATTTAAACTAAATCTTTGAAAAGATTTATCAGAAATTTCAGCTTTTTTAAAAGGATTTTTATGAAAAATTAATGTTAATAAAATTATACCTATTGACCAAATATCAATTTTTGAAGCATCATAAAATTCAATCATTGAATCAAATAATTCTGGTGCCATGTATCTTTCACTACCAATATCAAATTCTTTTTTATCAGTTACAATTTTTGATGTTGTTGCTAAACCCCAATCACAAATTTTAATATTCCAATCTTTAGTAATTAAAATATTTTCAGGTTTTAAATCACGATGATAAACTTGTAATGAATGACAATATTTTAAACCTTGACAAATTTGTTGAAATACATCTTTTATATCTTCAATTGTGGATGGTCCTTGTCCATTATATATAGCTTCATATAAGTCACCTCTTGAACAATATTCTAAAACTAAACAAGAATCAAAATGATCATATAATTTTGAAATATTGATATGATCACCTAAAATTTTATGAATTTTAATTTCTTTTGCAGCTTCATTTAATAAACTTTTAATAATTGATAATTGAAATTTTTGATCCTCCTCTTCTTCTCCATCCTCTTTAATGTCTTCCTTCTTCTTTTTATAATTAATTGGATATATAAATTTAATTGCGACCAACTGATTATTATTTTTAGTATCTTTTGCAACCGAAACTAAACCATAAGAGCCTTCAGTTATATCATTGACTTTTAGATATCTATTACGTAACAATTGACCCTTATCATATTGCTCAAATTGATCCATATGGTTTTAATTCTAAAAGTCTTGAAAAAAATGAGTTAAATCAAATGAAGAAACTCGACAATTGTCTGCACGTAATTTGGAACTACTTCTCTTACTACTGGTCCTATTCTAACTACTAATTATAAATTAAAATTACTTTAAATGAAAAAGTAATTCAATTATAATGTCAAACAACAATGTTGAAAATGTTAAGAAAGTATTCTTTTTGGTTTAAAATTGGATTAGGTTTTCTAAAAACTCTATAATTATCTTTTTAAATCGAACTTCAATGTGATATAAATGTTATAATGTATAATACTATTGTTTGATAATAATTAGTTGTTGATTTCTTAACAATATAAAGAAAAATAAAAAAAATCAATGAGTGTGAGTGACTAACAAAAAAAAATTATTATGTTGATTTTTAGAAACTTGAAAACTTGACATTGACAGCATAATAAACACGACTTATTGATATTACGGATCTAGTTTACAGTCACAAGTGATAAGATATAGATATTGAAACTGAATTAAGCGTGAATTTCCTGCTGCAAAGTGTGTAATTGATAAGGAAATTTTAATGCAACCTCGAACCTTGAACCATGATTCAGTAGAGATGAATTAGCTGTCATTCTAATAACTTTATGTCGATGAGAGGGTAAGTCCACGATACTATATAAGCTACATAATTAACAGATTTGCTTTGAGCTGGGTATATGAACTAAGGAATCAATGAACTGAAATTTAATTTTTTAGGGGGCTATTTAGTCCTGGATAAACTGAGCAGCCCCTTAAACAAGGAATACAACGTAATAAAATAAACATACAACTTTTAAACTTATAGAAGGGTGCATAATATTCTATTTGAGCTCTAGAATTAGATACACAATTTCAGGCGGTATCTTCTACAACTGACCATCAATAATTTCATAGTTGTCAAATCATCATTTTAAACAATCTTTCATGGATGCATAATATCTACTATAATCAAATTGTAAACAGTAGTTCAAAACCCATTAAACTCTAATACTACTGTGGCATTTGCGACAATTACTTGTCATTAAATCAATGTATTTTCAATTACAAGACACTTACAATACTATTTTTGTTTCCTTCATATAACAAAAACAAATTTATTCCATTAATATTTAATAGATTTTGCCATTGGAAAAGAATAACTTGATATGATGGATGAACATATACCTACATTCTTAGCAGTTACAGGAATAGAAGATGAATTAATTGCAAAACAATTTTTAGAAGTAGCTAATAATGATTTAGAATTGGCTGTCACATTATACATGGAATCAGGAGGTCAAACTAACCAAACTCAAAACCACAGTGGTTCAAATCAAGATGATGCTGAATTAGCTCAAAGATTACAACAACACGCATATCAAGATGCCGACGACGTAAGAGAAGCAGATTCAAATGTACATCGTCATGAAACCTTAGTTGATCAATTTGGTGGTACAGGTTCACCATTCCCATTCCCACAATTGAATCAATTTAATAACCGACCTGTTGATTTTTTTGGTAGAAGACAACAAGGTATATTTCATCAAGGATTAGATTTTGAAAATAGAATAACTGAACTAGATGATGAAGATATGGAAGATATGGAAGATATGGAAGATGAAGAAGATGAAGATTTTGAAAATTGTCAATATGAAGATTCAAATGTACGAATTTTAGACTCCGATGGTGAAGAAATTGAAGAGATGGAATCAAGAGGGTCTGGTCGTAGAAGGCGATTGAGACAACAAAGAGAATCAGAATTAACATCAACTCAAAGAAGATTAGCCAATTTATTTCGTCCTCCATTTGATATAATTTCAATAATTTCATTAGATCAAGCTAAAGTGGAGGCAAAAAATGAACAAAAATGGATATTAATAAATATTCAAGACTCATCTGAATTTAATTGTCAAGTTATAAATCGAGATTTATGGTCAAATAGCAGAATAAAACAACTAGTTAAGGATAATTTTATATTTTTACAATATCAACAAGATTCATTCAATGGAGAAACATATTTGAATTTTTATGGGCATTGTGAAATCTTCCCTCACTTAGCTATATTGGATCCATTAACTGGGGAACGTGTTTATAAATTTAAAGATGGTGAAGTACCGGATGTAGAAATTTTTACAGAAGAGGTTGACCAATTTCTTTCACAATTTTCATTGAATCCAAATTCGAATAATCCAATAATTCAACATGAGATTAAAATTGATCCTGATAGTTTAAGTGAAGAACAACAGATTGAATTGGCAATGAAACAAAGCATAATGGATAATCAAAAAGATAAAGGAAAAAGTTATGAAGAACCAATTGATTTGGATTCAGAGCCAGAACAAGAAAAAGAAGAATCAAACACAATAACTACGGACACAAATACTGAGTCTGTTTTTGATTCAATTAAACCAATAAATCATGAAGAACCAAGTGGAGCAGAACCTACTACTCGTATTCAAATTAGGTTCCCAAATGGTAAGAGATTAGTACGTAAAGTTGGATTAAATGATACTATAAAATCACTTTATGAATATTTGAAGTATGTACTAGTTGAAAATGGTCAAGATTATGGTTTAAATGCTGATGATAAATTTAATTTATCTAGTTCTGATAAAGCTTTTAAATTTATTGAATCATTAGATAGAACTATTGAAGAAGCAAATTTGAAAAATGCAAGTATATTATTAGAAAAAGATTAGTAAGGATGCAAAATGAAAACTAAAGACCAGTAAGGATGCAAGTACACTATAAGATGAAAAATGTAAAGTTGCAAAATAAATGTAAGGATATAATAAAAAATATATGTATAAATTTAGCTACATTAATTTGGAACTGCAGTCAATTCAGGAAACATTTCCAAAGGAGGTAATTTAAATTGAATAGAATTATCCCTGGTTGTTTCTTGATTTTTATCATTTATTATTGATTTATATTTCTTTCGTATTGCTTTTTCTTCAGGACTTAATTCATCTTCTTCATCTATAATTTCTTCAATATATTCCCAATCATCACTATCATAATCCAGATCGATTTCCGATTCAATAAGATCCAGACTTTCATACTTGAAATCTTTATTGTCGATACTTTTTCTTAATTGTTGTATATCATGATCTAGTGCATCTTGATCACCTTCATCTTTATTAATTCTAAACTTCTTACTTGGATTTATTGCTTCTTCTTCAATTGATCTTTTAATTCCATGTTTTATATAGTTGACAAACTTGCCTGATTTTTTTATGTTTTGACTAATTTGTGATAATTCAATTTTATTCCTTGATACTAACCTCGTATCTAAATTTGTATAATTTGAATCATGATAAGTATTCATTAATTGAGAAATATTTCTAGTTGATAAATTGTGAATATCGAGATTGATACTTTTATTCACCCGATGAGGCGGAATCAAACTCCTATAATAATACTGATTATTCAATCTAAGATTTTCATACTCATTTAAATGATTATAATCCTTATAAAGTTGAGATAGTTCTTCATTTAGACTTGTGAGTAATTCATGTTTTTGAGCTATTATTTTATTGTAATATTGTTTCCAAATAATTACTGATTGATTCTTCAGATTTAATTTTATAAGTCTTTCTTGATAATCTTTCTCATTATTAATTGTCTTTATCCTTTTTCTATGATTTTCAAAAAATTGATTAAATAAACTGGGGAATGGTAATTTTGATAAATGGGGAGATTCTAGGTGCTGATTATACTTGAAAGTATCATCGAAATCAAAAGGCAGTTGTAAATTTGAAAAAACATCTTGTAATTCATCTTGATATTCATTTAAAGTTTTAACTAAATCAGGTTTATTGAAATCGAGGATTAAATCTTCAGTATTTGTCATTATATTATTAATACTTTCAATTTCAAAATTAAAAATTTTTGACCATGATTTATCATTTGCGTTTGCTATTTTAATCAGATTTGATAATTTTTCGATAAGACAATTTAACCTAATTAATCTATCATTTAAATATGTTGATGAAATTGATTTAAAATTTGATTCAATTTTTGATTCTAATTGGTTTAATTCATCCACTGATAAATTAATTACGTTATTTACTATTGAAGGTTGAATATTTTCAATGCTATCAACTTGTGAAGTCATTTTGCAATTAAAAAATATCCAAATGAAAAAGGGGTAATAACTTAATGAAAAACTCTCAGAAAAGCAGCTGTTAGACACTTATAACATCAAAGACCTGAATCTAAAACCAGCGCAAGATTAATTTCTAAATTGGCCACTCCCAATAATATAAATTTCTGGTTGTCAAATAGTTAAATTTGGTCTCTTTATACTTTTTGCGATCAAAATAAAAATATCATCAAAAGTCGTGTTAAAGTGTTCAAAAAGATGTTGCCATTCTTAAAATGATCAAAACGGTACAAATTAATTATTACTCATTTACATTTCTCATTTATATTTCTCATATACACATAAGAAAACAATAGTATTCTTATCTATCTTCTGCCCATTCATTTTCTTTTCGAATTGCAGCTTCTTCTTCTGGAGAAAAATCATTAACAATATTAAAAGTTTTTCTCAATTCTTCAGGAGATTTTGATTTAATCATCTCAGCAACCATTTTACAACCAGAATCTAATAACGGTTTAATATTTAAATAATTAGCAGCTAAAATAATTTCATATAACATTTCTTGATCAACTTTTAAAAAATTTCTATCCCATTCTTCAACAGGAACAGATTTTTTAGCATCTTCATCTTCATCATCTTGAAAAACAGTATTTTTATGATGTTCGCACCATTCTAAAACTTTTGATAAAACATTAGCTCTAACATTTGGTGTTGGAATTTCAAAATCTTCAGTTAAACCATCTGGATTTAAATCATTTATCATGTTTTTAATTAAAATTGATTTTTCAGCAATTTTTTGTTCAACTGGAAATTTTTCAGAGTCTGATGAAACAATAATAACTTTTGGAGACATCATGATAATCTATAATTAATATAAAAAAATCGATAAGGAATTTATGTGGATATTTATACCAATTTATTTAACTTCACTAATAAAAAAAAAATTGTAATCTGAAACACAAAATAAAAAATATTTTTAATTTTGTTTCTTGTTGATTTAAACTATATTGGGAAACTAAATTGGGAATCTACAATACAATTAACTATGAGTATACGTCTGTGGAGAATTATAATAGATAGTTATGATGTAATTGTAATCATGGATTGATTTAAATTGAGCTTTTACTAAAAACAGACCATAAAATTACGATTTTAATCTAGATTCTTCTATATTTGATAAGTCAAATACGTGTGTTTATTCAATCATCCTTTGTATAATTAATTGTTCCTATTTATAGATCATTACATTCCATTCTCTCTTTATCTATAAGCACCCTTACATTGCATCCTTACAATGCAACCATGGTTCCTACTCAAAATTTGAATATATACCAGCACTAAATTCATCTAAATCTTCTAATTCATTTAATGTATTAATATAAATATTACCTTTAAATTCATCTTGTTCTTCATTATTTATTCCTCCATTATTTAAATTTTGTATTAAATTTTCAATCTCATCAACTTCATTACTCTTTGGATATTCTTCTGTTATTGTTTGATCATTATTATCAATCATTATATTATTTTGTATTGATAATTGAGCTAAATAACTAGCTAATTTAAATGATTTATTAGGTATTTCAACAATTTTTGATTCTGTTTCTTTTAAATCTCCCAGTGACATTAATAATGATAAATTATTAGAACCCATACTATTAACTAATTGATTAATTAAAATATTCAAATTTGTAAAAATTAGGTTGTTAAATAAATCAAAAAAGAATAAATTAGAATCCAACATAATTGAATTTGTTTCATTTATTAATTTCATTATATTTGAATCATTTTGTTGTGTTTCTAATTGTTGAATTAAATCTGGATTTGTATTTATTATAGTTTCTAATAAATCTGGATAATTAATTGGAAATAAATTTGTTAAAATATATTCTTTATTATTTATATTTAATTCATTTATAATATCTGTTAAAATATTTTCAAATTCTAAAATTGTCAATTCTGTCTTTGGGTTAATTTTTTCAAATTTTTTAATAACCAAAGTTTCGATAAGCTGATTAAGATTAATCCAACCTTTATTTAAAACCCACCAACTTAATGATAAATAAGATTGTTCAATAATATAATTTTCATGAGGATCAATAAAATCATTATTAATTGGTTGTTTAACTCCAGCCATTTGTATTGCACTTTCTAAATATGATCTTCTTGCTAAAATATTCAATTGTAATCTTGTAATTAATAATAATCCACTAATTGAATATATTAAAGTTAAAGTTCTTGTTAAAGTTTTAATTTTTAATAAATTCCATAATTCAATTTTTGATTTTGATAAATAGACTGATAAGTTAGATTTGGGATTATTATTATTATCTAATAAATTTAAATTATCAGTAGTCAATTCATCTGTAGTAGCATTATTATTTTTAACTTCGGTAGTTCCCGTTTTTTTCAATCTTAAAGCTTGAGTTATTAATTCAACTGGTAATGCTTCAATAACATCCTTAGATAATACAGGTAATAATGCCAATAAAGTATAATAACAATCTTGTTGAGTTTGAATAAATCTTTGTTTAATTTGTTGTTTAAATAACCATTCTTGTTTTAATGTATTTTGATAATATCGAATTTTTTTAATAATAAATTCATTAATTAATAAATAAACTGAAATACCAAAAGCACTTGTAATTAATATTTTCTTTTTATTGCGATTAAAGAAACCAGCTAGTGATGAAAAAATAGCCATATTTAAATTGGTTGTTGTTGCTGTTGTCGTTGTTAATATTTGGTTGTCTCAGTTTATGGAGAAATCTTTTTTTTTTTTTTGGTTTCCAATTCGCCTGTGGTTTTTATTTTTTGAACCATGGCAATATTATTATTATACCATACTTACAACCAATAGATCTATTGTCAACCAGTGCTACCTCTGAAGTGCCATTGTAGTAATTAACCTCATGCGACCGACTGAATAATGTACTGACTTAGTTTATAAGCTGGAGGAATTTTTTTAGTTTCTTGAAAAATTTAGAAAACAATTGATTAAAAGCCATTTAATCAAGATGATTCATAATCTCTTACAATGATTCACTTGAAAGGGCACATTTTCATTCATGTGTAAGTAATTGACCGTACTAATGTTTATAATTAGCAACAAAGTCGGAACATCTCCGTATAAATTTTTTCAACTCTAAAGTTTTGCGTTAATTAATTTTACAGCACAATTTCAGATACAACGTGGTTGGTTGGTTTTCTACTTCTTGAACCCATATAACCATGTGTTCTCAACACAAATACAGATCTTAATCTAGTTGAGTTTCATACTACTATACGACGTAAATGCTTTTAGTTGAGTTAAGTTATATACTCGTGGTCATAAAATTCAGCTAATTTTAGTTTGATTGAGTGAATTTGTATAGCTTGGTTACCAATCGTTGATAATATTATATAAAGTTTAGTCGAATGTAAACAAAACTATTTTCTATTACTTTTCCAAATTAGATCAGAAATTGATCAAAAATGATTCTAAATTGACACTTACTAACAAAAGATTCAATTCAAATAGGAGCAAACTTAAGTGCTCATAACATACTAAACAAAATTGTACATATACATAATGTATGTTAAACGTTTTTCTCAGGTGTGAAAAAAGTAGCTGTGAAAAAAGTTAACGTGGATATTCCATTGAAATTCATTTGGAAATATGCACATTTATTCAATTTACCAAGCTTTTTTTGTTTGACATTGACAGATCAAGACAAGAATAAAACTAAAAAAAAGTCAATGAACGTACCAAGTACCATTATTAATTATGAAATCATATATCGATTCAACTGAAAAAAACTTTTCAATTATACGATTTTTAACTCATAATTTTATTGTTGAAAAACTTTAATTGGCTTAAGGGATTGGCTTAAGGGATAATTAAAAATTATTAAAATGGTTAGGATATGAGATTGGTTCACTAGGAGGTGTTTTAATTTAACCTTATAGTTAAATGGAAGGTTGGTATTGTTTGTTTTATAACCCACGTTTTAAAGATAGACGATATTTTTTTTTTTTTTTTTTTTTTTTTTCCTCTGTTTCTTTTCTTTTTCTTTTATGCAACCAAACTTAAAATTTTGCAGCCAATTGTTTATTATTAGACTAATATTTGATCTTGAAACAATAATTCATATCATAATGAAAATTTAAAATACTATTGTTTAATCATTATTGTGGTATGGCACTATTAATTAAAGAATCTGAAAAATTCTTAATGTAACACTAACTATTAGCCGATTACTAAATAAACATAATCTTCGTCATCGCAAATAAATTTCAATTATATTTTCAATGGTATAAATAGAATAACAATTTCCATTGAAATTCAATTCTTCTTTTATTCTTCTCTTGTTTTCTTCAATCAGTAAAGTCCGTCCTTTTCAGTATGCAATTCTTATCATCAATTACTTTATTAGCTTTAGTTACATTTGCAATTGCAAAAAATATTTTATTAACTAATGATGATGGTTGGCAAGCAACAAATATTAGAGCAACTTATTATCAATTAAAAAATGCAGGTCATAATGTTTTTTTAGTTGCTCCAGTTTCTCAAAGATCAGGTTGGTCAGGTAAATTTGATATCCCAACATCACCAACATTACAAACAAATGGTGAATTTAATTATCCACCTGCTGGTTCACCTTCATGGGGTCATGAAGTTGATGATGATCATATTTGGTATTTTAATGGTACTCCAGCTTCATCAGTTGCATTTGGTTTACAATATGTTTTACCACAAAATTTTAATAATGTTTCAATTGATTTAGTCGTTTCTGGTCCAAATGAAGGTACAAATTTATCACCTGCAATGTATACTATTTCAGGTACTATTGGTGCTACTTATAATGCTGTTTATAGAGGTATTCCTGGTGTTGCATTTTCAGGATCAAATTCAAATAATTCATTTTTTAAAGATTCATTAGATTTAAATGACGCACAAGAACCTTCTACAATTTATGCAAATAAAGTTGTTGATTTTGTTCAACAATTATTTAAAAAACAAGGTGAAAATTCAAGAACTTTACCTTTGGGAGTTGGTTTAAATGTTAACTTTCCAAAAGTTGGTTATCAAGATGAATCATGTCAATCACCAAAATGGGTTTACACTAGATTATCAGGTCAATATGCAAGTGGATCAGATTTAGTTTACAATAAAACTACTAATTCATTTACATATGCTCAAAATGGTTGGGCTGGAGTTTATGTTTGTAATGATGGTGATTGTTCATTACCTTCAGAAAATACAATTGTTGAACATACAAAATGTCAAACTTCAGTTTCTGCTTTCCAAGTTGATTATGATGCTAATTTGGGATTAACTCAACAAGTTAAAACCTTATTAGAACCATTAATACAATAGGCTAAGGAAACAGAAATACCTTCTTCTACATTGTAAGGATGTATTTTAGATTGTCTCGTCAATATTTTCAGTTCTGACGTATTTTAGATGGTCTCGTCAATATTTTCAGTTCTTCATTCGTTGCTTTATTTTAAGAGGTAAAATAAAAAAAGAAAAAAAAAAAAAAGTGAATAGAAAATACCCCCTTAGATATAAAAAATATTTATAGATAGTTTTTATTATAATTTGATAAGTTATAATTAATATATAAAGTTTGTATTAACAAGTGAGTCTAATATTAACACTAAAAGAACTTTTTTTTCAATCTGTAAACGTTTTGAATAATAATTTGAAATTTAAGGGGCAATTTCGATTTCGAATGAAATTTAGCGGAGATTTCGAATAAAATTTAGGGGAGGTTTCGAATGAAATTAATGAATCGGTTTTATATCGAACTTTTCACCGTAGTAAAGTAAAGCAGAAGTTCTAAATCTCAATAGTCCCAATTGGTATTATTAAATATGCACTGTATTAGTAAATATACGAATTAACTAAATCTAATTATGGTAAAGCGGCTTCATACAAATTTATATATTGAAAATATTACATAATGAATATTGCCATAGTTCAAAACCATTTAATTTGGAACGCTTCTAATACAATTTGTCAACTATCCTTTCTCTATAGTATATTCTTTTTCAACCAGTTTTTCTTCATTCTATCATTGTTCTATTATAATTTATTGGGGTGGGTTTAGTTATAAGTATAATAAATTATTATTTTAAATGGGTTTAATACATAAGAAAAAAGAACCATCGATTGATTCAAAAAATAGCAATAAAACAGCAACAAATTCATCAGTTAGTTCTCATCATAATCATAATTATCAAGATCGACACAAAGCAAATAACAGATTATCTTTTCATATTTTTAACAAGGATAAAGATATAACTAGAAGTTCATCTTTAAATTCAATATCATCAACTAATCAATTTGATCCATCAATGCAAAGCATTCCACATGACCATTCAAAATTAAGTAGAAATAGTCTTGAGAATAGAATTGATACTGTTAATGTATTAAATAATCAAAATGTTTCATCACCTCAAGTTGAACCTGGAATTTCAATTCAAATTATGAAAAATACAACTAGACAAGATTCAAATAATGATTTATTAACTATACCACAAAATAAACATGATTCAAAATCAACATCTACGAATTCATCAAGTAAACAACCACAAGAATTAAATCCTGAGGCAATACAAAGACAAAATACAAGTACTGACAAAAATGAAGCGAGTGGGAGTGGCGGATTTTTATCAAGTTTAATTACTGCTGCTGCTAATAAAATGAGTCAACCAGCTACTAGTTCTACTAAAGATAAAGATAAAGATAAAGATAAAGATCATACTTTTGCTCATAAATTAGATAATTTAATTAAATCTGTACGTCATGAAGAATCAGAAACTTCATTAAATGGGGATGCAAGTCCACAAGTTATCGAATCTAGAAATTCTCAAGATAAATCATTAAATTCTGCTCATGATGTTCAATTTGAATCAATAAGAGAAAGTCCTTTGAATACATTAGGTAATGGAGATTTATCCTTAAATGATTTTGAAAACCACCAAAATTTTCAACAACAACAACAACAACAACAACAACAATTATTATCATCTAAACAACCATCAATACGATCTAATGATGAATTTGAAACTTATTCAACTAAAAGAACATTATCACCAGATATAATACAACAAAAAATACCGTTAAATAATCAATTACAAGCTACTTCAAATGGAACCGATGTTAAAAGAGTACATCGAAGATCAATTAATGGAGATTCTATAAATAATCGAGGTAATTCAATTGGAGGAAATTCTCAAATTGATACAAGTACAGTTATAAGTCAAGATAATGATCATCATTCAAGTATTAAAAATTTATCAGAAATTAAATCAAGAAGTACTGAATCAGATTTGATATCTGAAAATTCAGAAAATGAAAATTTGGATCAGATTATAGATTATTCAAAAAAGATCAAACATGCTTCAAAAAAATCAAATAAAGAATTTCATCAAGCTTTTAAAAAATTACCAAATAATGAAAAATTAATTGATGATTTTTCATGTGCATTATCTAAAGATATACTAGTCCAAGGTAAAATGTACTTATCTGATCATTATATATGTTTCAATTCAAATATATTAGGTTGGGTAACTAATATAATGATACCACTAAGTGAAGTTATACAAATTGAAAAAAAATCAACTGCAGTTTTATTCCCTAATGGTATGATTATTCGAACTTTGCATCAAAAATATGTATTTGCGACTTTTATATCAAGAGATACTACATTTGATTTAATTACAAATGTATGGCATAGAGTATTATTAGAAAATTCAGATATTGATCCTTCAAAATTACAACAAGTTGCGCAACAAAGAAGAGCAAGAGCAAATTCAAAAAATTCAATAACTTCTGATAGTGATTATTCATCAGATGATGAAATGAATTCAGATGGGGAAGAAAATGAAGAAGATGAAACTTCAGAAAAAGAACAAGATGAAATGGATAATGATGATGATGAAGGTGAAAAAGATGCTAATGAAGAAAAAGATGGTGACTCATTTAATGGATTTCCTATAATTGGTCCAAAAACTCATGCACCTACAGAATCAGGATATACTAAAGAATCAGGAGAAACTGTAGTTGCTGAAGATACAATAAAAGCACCACCAGGAGTTGTTTATTATATTATGTTTGGATCGGATATTTCAAATTTTATAAAGATATTAAAAGATCAAAAAAATTTTGATATTTTAGAATCAGACATAAAAGGTCTTGATGAAAAGAATAAACAAAGAAATTATACATATACTAAACCATTAGGTGGTCCAATTGGTCCAAAACAAACAAAATGTGTAATTGAAGATAAACTAGTTACATATCAACCTGATGCTCATTATCAAATTGATCAATTAACTTCAACTCCTGATGTTCCTTCAGGTAATGCATTTAAAGTCCACACTAAAATATTTTTAAGTTGGGGTGAGAAAAATAGTACAAAGTTTTATGTAGTTACTTCAATTGAATGGAGTGGTAAAAGTTGGATTAAAGGTGCTATTGAAAAAGGCACAATTGATGGACAAAAAGATTCAATGAAACAAATGATAGAAACAGTAAACAATCTAATTGAATCAGGGAATAAGAAAGGTGGTGCCCGTAAGAAATCAACCAGATCAAGAAGAAATACAGAAAAGAAAGAAGAAGAAGAAATTGAGAAACCCAAAACACCAGAACCTGAACTTTCAAAAGATCCAATATCTCAATTTATTAATTTTGTAAATTCAATAGGTGATTTAATTCCAATTCCAATGTTAAGTAATACAATAACTGGTTCAATCACACTCATAACTTCATTTTTGATATTTATGTTTTTCTTTAATAACTTGTTCTTTTCACATGGTCATCAACCTAGTTTATATGAAATTATTCCAAATAATAGTTATACAAGCAGGATAAGGATTAAAAATGATGAATTCTTAGTCATTCCTTCAATTAATACAAATTTAAATAATCAAAGAATGATAAGACAACAAGAAGTAAGTTTATGGAATTGGTTAAAGGAAAGAAGTGAAGGTAAATTAAATTTAGAATTTACTGGTAATTTAGGTGAAGAATTTGATGGATTGAATGATGAAGAGTTGAAACAAAAATATTCTCAACAAGAATTGAAAGAAATTGTTAAATTAACAAGAATAAAATTGGATAAATTAAGTGAAAGATTGGAACAATCTGAGAAATTTAATAACTGATGATCACTTGATAGATACTGGGAATCAAATTTACATTGGACATTAATACAACGTGGGTACTTCTATATATATTCTTTGAAGAACCGAATAATACAAATCACAGAATTTGATTATCTGGTAGTTAATTGATTTGATTCATGATCCACATTGAGCTCTCGAGAAAATAATTCAAGGATCAATAATTATTAGAGTTGAATATAAGGGCGAAGCTTATCAAAAGGGTTTATTAATTCACATTCCCCGAAGAACTGATTAATTTGAAGCCACAAAATTGAAACTAACGAATTTTTACCACGTCATTCTTCTGCAAGTAAAGTCTAAATTCATCACAAAACTTAAAACACACCTAGTTTCGTTTATACTTGTCAATTCCGAATCAAGTTGATCTTCGTTGTCAAGTCGAAATCGAGGGCTGGTTTCAAATCCCTAAGCTAAATTTAGTTAACTCGGAAATAAACGAATATCTCGGAGATATATAATTTGAAACAACCGTTATAATTCAAACTAAAATTTTCGTGTTTCGGTCCGAAAAACTTTGAATTTTTCGTTCGAGAATCTCGTTCTGGATTGAAATTTAACACCATTTACATTTAAAGTAAGAGCAAGCTCGAAAAACAATAGATATATTAATAATACACAAAATACGAAACTAGTAGTTTGTTAGGTATTGTTCAATTGTATTATGAGCAATTGAATGATCAAAGAACTCATCTTAGATGAGAAAAAATGTAGAATGTAGCTTATGATGAACAATTTAAGATTTCCAAGAATGTACATCTTGATTACAAAATTGGAATGAATGTTACTCCTTAAAGATTCAATCTGACGTCAGTTTAATTACAAGATGCTTATGCTTTTATTCTCTCTTCTTTCTCATTTCTACTCAAATTTAAATAGATTCTTATCTTATCTTGTAAACGTCTGATCACTTGTATACGTGTCCGTCCAGTTAAACTTTCAAATGACCCTCAATAGTAGTATATTGAGTATTTAATTAAATCTCTCATAGTTAAGAATTTTCTTCCATTGCATCTAACGTATTACATAATATACAGAAATCGAATATGACACAAAACTAAAAAAAAAAGAATATAAAACTGAAGCAAAATATCAAAATAAAAATTATTTAAATTTAACTATTGGCATTCAACAAATTAAAGGAAAATACCAATCTTATATATATTCAGTGGCTGTTCGATTGGTGGTATTCAATCAATTAGTTATTCACAATGTTATTTCTTATTGATTTTATATTCAATATATTCACATTATTTATTCCAATTATATACACTATAAAATCATTAGATTCAAAAATTGAATTCAATTGTACTTCATACCAATTTTTGTTAAATTATTGGATTTATTACATATTCTTAAATTTTATTAACTCATCAATACTTAATAATAATACACTTACTTCAATCTTATCCTCACTTGTTAAATTTTGGTTATTTTACAATACAAATAATAATAACAACCTCAAGTTTGTAAATTGGTTCATTTGTCAATATGTTAATTTTGCTCATTATGAAAACATGGTTATAAATCCATATATTAATAAAATTTATGAAAATGAAGAAGATTTAAATTCAATGGTTCATAATTTAGGTTTAATTTATGAAAAACCAATATCCGAATCCAAGATAAAATTATTGAAACTGAAAACTAGAAAGATTAAGAAGATCAGATCATCTAGTTCATTAAACAATTCAAGATCTTCAAGTTCAAGTGAAAATCATAATAAAATTTTCAATAATTTGAGTTTGAATTTGAATGGGAGTGGTAAAAATAGAGTTAGTTCATCTCCTCAACAACTGAAGAATTATTATGATAACTCACCTACAAGTGATCATTTTCCAAACGTATCTACAAGTTATAAAAAAATGAGAAGTCGATCGGGTGGTGAATATGATTTAGATTCAACTTTAATTCAACAATATATAAGACAACAGAAAGAACAAATGCATCAACAACAAGTTCCTCAAGTGTCGATGGATTATTATAATACAAATCAACATTATTCACATTTACCACCACATCAATATACTCATCAACAACAATTTCAACAATATCCCCAAGATAATTTTAAAGTATCACAAAATTCAATGAAAAATTTACAACAGGAGTATTATAGTGGTAATGGAAATGGAAATGTAAATGATTTACCTCCGGCTCCTACACCATCAATGATTAATAAATTTGGTTGATGAGAGCTTTATTTTTTGAATGTTTGTTTATGTATTATGTTGTATTTGTTTAAGGTTTATAGAGATTGTAACTGGGTTTATATATGTATAAAAATAAGGTTTATTATAGTTTGTTTAACTCTTTGATTGTCTTCTTCATTATTTATATGAAAGATTTATCCATCAACAAATTACTAACTTGCTATCTCAATGCGAAATGAACTGATGCGACAAAAACAATTTCTCGCCCTATAGTTAGGGCGACTGCACTTGTTGACTTCGCTTATAAATCATGAACAACACATTCTCGTGAGATAAGAGCCATTTACATGAAATCAGGTGCCGTCAATTGTATATAATACGTACTTAAATTTCTGAATTTCGAACATTTTGTTCCACACTCGTAATTTTGGGCTTTTTTCATCATACAAAAAATTTGTCAAAAATGATAATGAAGAATACTTTTTAATCAGTACCATAATTTATCATTAAACTACGGGATATATGTCGTATACCTCAAATAAAGATGCTAATCGCATTTCTAGAGGAAGTGCATTAAAATTGACAAATTCCAAAACTTCGTCTTAAGAGTGGAGAAAATTGAATAAATTGACCTTTCGAAAAATTTAATTCCACATTGGATATTCAAATAAAAACATAATGAAACTATTCAATTTTGTAGTTCTGCGTTATAATTAGCCTTGGATATTTTTATGTCAAGGTATTTAAAGTAGTAATTTTTAGTGGTGAATCGAAATATTTGCAAAAATTTCAAACACATTACATCGTATTATAAACACAAAATATAGGATCTTTGGCGTCGAATAAACCAAATCAATTGTGTTAGAAATTGCCAAATGAGGTCTAACTGTTGAATATCTTGTAAGTTAAGTTTTTTTGCATTTTTTCAATGACGAATTAAATGGTCAAAAGCATGTCTTTTTAAAAGATACTAAATATAGGTTATTCTAAACGAAATGAAGTTACGATGAAAAAAGTTTAAAAGAAAAAGCTGGAATATTGAAGGAGTTATGTACAAATCAAATTTTGAGTTTAACTATGATAGGACTACATATAAGTCAAATTTATGTTTGAAAAGATTTAATATGAGAAAAGATTTTCGACCTGAGGCGAGGTTACAGCCTAACAAAAAATACGGATACGGGGGTAGTGCCACATTTCCATTAACCAGTTGGTAGTATTCTTGTTGAAACACCAAATCTTTTCGGAACTATTCACCAGCTCAAGTAGAGCATACACATCCCATTCAATTATTGCTCAGAATTGAATTTTCTACAAGACGAGTAACTTCAGTTTTTCAGATGTGATTGAAAATTTTTTTTTCGTTTTAAATTTGAAGGACTAAGATGCTGCAGGGTTGTGGGATTTTTTAAGACCGAAAATTCGAACCTGGATAAAATAAAGCAATTCGTTACACAAAACAAAACAAAAGGAAAATGATATAGAGTATTCTAAATAATAATATAATAATATTCACTATAAGGTACACAGATACTTCACTTTATTATATACTTGTAGAGTCCTCAACCAATCATTACTAATTTTACTTCCATTCTTTTTCTTGGTGTTGTTAATCTGCTAACCACTTTAGTGTTTTAGCTCGTCTCATTCGAAGCGATCGATATAATGACCAACTCAACTCAACAGCAGGTAAAATACGGGGTATATCAAAGTAAATGAAACCAGTGAGTTTATGAGTTTCATCAGAGGTTTAATATAGTTTTATACAAGTAAATTTATATATTTTTTGGGTTCTTATAAATTTATATATGAATTAAAGCAAACAGAATATAAAACGAGTTGATAAAACAAATCAGCAAATCAAAAAGCAGCTCTGATCTTTACATGATAGTACAACTTGAACCAATCCAACCATTTTGAGTTTGACGAATAGCATTATCTTTAGCACCATTACCACTTTTTTTAGTTTGAGCGTTGTTGTTAGAAGTTTGAGCAGCCATTATTAATTAAATTGTTGTTTGAATAAAGAAGGTAAGTATCGAGGAAATTGATCTCTATTTATAGCTGGAATTTAAGCTTATCTTGGTTCAGTTAATGATTTAACGTAACCCAATAACTACACATTAAATTAAGCAAAGTGGAGGTCAGAGTAATGATTTTTGGTATAGTAATTACACAAAATTTAAAAGTACAACTAATTTTGCAGCTAAATTTAGACAGAATTTATTTTATTTGTTCCCAAAAAAATTACCGCTTTAGGACGTAACAATGTAGCAGACCCTGCAAAATTAAATATAATGATAAATGTGGTGCCTTACGCACTAATTAGTAATTTACCGTAATTTGAATTCTTAACTCTCGAAAATTATAGCATTTAATTGTATCGTCGTACACAAACAATAAGGCGTAATTTTTACGGTATCAAGCGAAATTTTGTATTGTTTAAACATACATGATTCAAAGCACTTCAAATATTTGATTATGGTATACATTTCATTAGTTCAATCATCTCTGCCGTGACTACTCTTAGACTCTGGTAGCTACTAACAATTCGGAATGCATGACTTAAAACTACGATGAATTTAGATTCGATCATTAAATTTAAAAGAAACCATAACAAAGCTAAGCTACAACATTCCGTATTTAATGAATTTGATTAGCTTAGAGATAGTTTTCTGTTAATTGGTTTTTCATTCTGAAACGTTTCACAATTGATCTTCATTGTTTCAACCTAAAGAGGTACATTTTTTGAAACAAAAATCAAAGTAATTCAGTTTAGGTGACCGAAATAGCTGGAAAACAAAAACAAGAATAAGAAAATCAAGTATCGACTGACGAATGATTTCCACATTAGCATATAACTCATAAGTTTCAAAATTTTGTATGAATGTTCAGCGAAAATTCCAAAATTTTAGTATCTTCATTCAAACAACAAACAATAAATTAGAAATGGCTGCTCAAAATACTTCAAAAATGGTGGTTTAATTAACAAAGCTGGCAATGCTAATGCTGATAAGAATAATGTTATTCGTAAAACACTTATGTACGTGAATAATCACCTTGCATTACTTTTTTTAAACAATATTTTTGAGAAAAATCTATTTCAAGCTACTTCTATATCAATCAGATCTATGCCAATCGAAGTCTGGCAATTGTAATTACAATTATAATTAACTGACGACTCGCAGTTGGTAATTAAACGCAGTTTATACGTGCTCATATGATATACTGTGCATGAATTAATTTTGCAACCGATTTATCGTTCCGAATTTTAGGGCCTGTGATGGGTAAAAAAAAAATTGCTCTAAAAAAAGGGGGTTTTAAATTCATAAGCATAAAGCAATTGATTACTCCTTAACTGAGCGATCTAAAAAACTGATTACTAGGGAGAATTATTAGATTTGACACGACTAATTTTATAAGTTATTACCACTCTATTGTTTTTAAGACAATGCAATGTTTTACATCATTTGACATTTCGATTCTCGAGAATTTTCCTTGGGAATAATATGTAAAATGGAGGTTAATACCCAACCATTAACAACGTGTAGCTTAAGATCTATGAAACATGTTGATAATTATCGATTTATTGGATTCTCTTTACTTTATAAAGCTTAACCGTGCGTTGAGATATAATAATTAAAAATTTTTCAAGATTTTCAACCAAATGAGGCTGTTCACTTTAGATCTGTCGATCTGCCTTATTATTGGATAATAATTAGATTTATCAAGTCAACGAGTGAAGATAATATCCACCGTGTATCCGATTAATAAGCTTTGTAATGGGCTCAATATTGTTCAATAACTAATAATAAAAGCCCATTAACGAAACTAAACAACGGATTAACTATGAGTTACAAAGATAATATGGGGAATGTCGTCATTTATTACACAATATGTATTAGACATTGTTACATATTAATTGAAATATATACACTACATTATATATATTTTTTTACAACCAATTTCGATATATAATTATATATCAAAAATTATATTAATATTTCATCATCTTCTTTTTTATCAAATATCTGTGTGTTTCAGATCTTGTTTTATCTTATCATATTTATCATTAGATCTTTGAAAAATGTCCACTTTTGGTCCATCATCAACTAATACTAATGATGCAACAAATCAACCACAACCACCAAATTCAGCACCATCTGTCGCATCATCTATTGATAATTCATATTATTCACATACAACAAATTTAACCACTTTAACTGCTCGTCCTCCAACTATACAGAATGCTGATCAAAAACAATTAAATTCACCATTATCACCACAAGAAGAATTATTAGATATACAAAATTGCCAAATTAAAGAACGAAATTTAAATGAAATTAAACAACAATGTCTGACTTTAATTTCTGAATTAGAAGGTAATAATCATCCAGAAATAATTATAAAGAAACATATTCAACAATTGAAAAAATATAATGAATTAAAAGATATTGCATTAGAATTAATTTCAATGATTGCAGATCATAGACAAGTTAAAACTACTGATATTTTAAATGAAATGAAAGTTGAATTAGGTGATGATAGTATTTAATAAGATGTAAAATTTGAAAATTGAAAAATTTTAGAAATGAAATGTTTAATGTGTTATTTAATGGGTAATGGTTAATATAGTATTTGTATATAATGTAACAGTTAATATATATCAGGTTATAAGAAATTTATAAACTCATCTTGGCTAGAAGTAATCTTGGCTAGATGTAATATTGACTTCATTATTAATCAATTTTGAAACTAATGCTGCCGAATCGATTAATTTTGCAGCAATTTTTTTCTCACCGTCACACGATTATTTGTATGCTTTGGCCCAAGAAATGGAGTAAAAGATATAATTAAACGAGCTAATGAGGCTTGATAAGGACTCAAAATAGTTACAAAGCCTCTAATTATTGAGTTTGGGGTTTATGTTAAAAGCCATCTCGAAAACTGGTGTTTCAAACTGTTGTTTCAAACTGTTGTAATTTGACTGCAAATATTTGAAATCAAAAGCTTTGATTTTGACCTAATAAATGTAAACTAAGCTAGTCTCTACCGCAGAAAGTAGTTATTAGTCATTGGTCCTTGAACAATCAACCTTACAGTCTAGAATGTTCTTTCTTCTTTGTTGTGCTATTGTGATTATTCGAATTAGTATTACAGTTATATACTGCACATTATTTGCAGCCAAATTTTTTCAACATCCAGAATTAAATACTAATTATTAACAAATAAGTCTAATAAGTCCCCTTGACAACCACTTCATAATTCAATCATAGTTTAATTTCAAACACACATGGTAGCAGTGAATTCTCAAGGCTTATATGGTCCACAGATCAATCAGTTAATACACGACCAACTATATTTATTAATTTTTTTTTTCCTAGTAAAAGTTTTCTATCACAATATCAATTTATTATTATTATCAATACTATACTCATACTTAACCATACTTATATACCCATTTTAGCTTTAGAATTCTTAATTATTGTATGAAGTTCATTTATTAAATAACAATCATTTATACTTATTAAATTTCCAGTATTTTTCATTAATGTATAATGATTATACTACCGCTTTTCACAATTTTAATATCATTCATATTCATTATATTCAGTTATGCATCACCACGACTAGAAAGAATAATAAATCCAAAAACTACAAAAGAGGTTGAACAAGTTTCAACTACTACTACACAAATTTCAATTCCTACATCCTCATCATCATTTTTACCATTAAATTTTAGATCAATTAATGATTGTGAATTAACTAATCTTTTATTAATTAGTGATATAGATGGAAATTTGCATGGTGTTTCAAGATTACTGGGTAATTTATTATGGAGTCTACCCATAGATAAACCATTAGTTAGAATTCAAACAAATAATTCTGATGCCACGGCAGATTCTTCAAGTTCAAGTTCAAATATTTTATGGTTTGTCGAACCTTATCAAGATGGAGAATTATATTATTTCACTCCTAAATTTGGTTTAAATAAATTACCTACTTCGATTAAAGATCTTGTTATGAATTCACCTTTTTCATTAAGTAATGATGATAAAATATATACCGGAGAAAGAAAAACAAGTTTATATAACATAAATATCAATACAGGGGAGATTCAAAATTCATTTGGGTATGATAAATGTCCTATCAATACAACTACAGACTCATCTGGTGATAGAATAATGATTGGAAAGACAACTTATGAATTATCAATACATTCAAAATTAAATAAAAATATTGTATGGAATGTTACTTATTCTCAATGGGTTCCAAATAATATAGATAATGATTTAATAATGCAAAATCAACAATCATTGGATAAATTATATTTTACACCTTTCCATGATAAATCTTTATTGGCAATTAATAAAGATATTGGTACACCAGTTTGGATTTCAAAATTACCTTCATTAGCAGTTAATATATTTGATATTTTTAAAAATAATAATGATTATATTTTATTACCACATCCAACAAAAGTATTAAATGATTTGCAAATTGAAAATAATCAAAATTTAAATAATGATTTAGTATTCATTAATAAAACATCAAATTTAAAACAATGGATAGCTATGAGTTATATAAATTATCCAACATTAATTAAATCTGCTCCACTATCAAAATATCAATTAATTTTAAATAATTATTATCAAAATAATCATAATAATATGAATTCAATTGAATTTTTAGAAAATTTCAATATTAATGAAGACCAAAATGATGTTAAAGAAATTGAAGGTTTATTATCTGGTATTCATAAAGTATTTGAAGTCTCATCTGATTCATCGTATCAACCAATTTCAAGATTTGAAAGAAGAGAAATTAAAAGAATAAGTGATGGAAGAGAAGAATCAGAAGTTATACAGCCTGATGTGATAGATGATCAAATACCTTCAATAATTGATGGAATAAAATTTCCATCAAAGAATAATATTGGATCTGATATAATTATATTACCACCGGAAGAATTGGATAATTATGAATTTGATCAAATAAAAGAAAACAAGAATAATAGTGTACCAAGTTCTACTAATTCAATTGTGAAGAGAATATTTGAAGATGTTGCGGTTTTGATAGTTTTAGTTATATTGATTTTATTTTTTGGAAGATCAAACAAGTATATCAAAAGGTTATTCTATGATTCATCAAGTTCAAAGATTGAAGAAATACCAGAATATGAAAAAATTCAAATTATAGAAACTCAACCACCAAAAAAGAAAGTAACAATAGTTGAACCAGAAGAAGTAAAAGAAGAAGTAAAAGATTCTGCATCTGAACCACAAGAAGAACCTAAGTCTCTTGATTCTATTTCAGAAAAATCGAATGAAAATGAAGCAACTCCAGAAACTATTAATGATACTACAACGAACTCTACTGAATCGGCTCCAGCTCCATATAAAAAGAAGAAGAGAGGTAGTAGAGGTCAAAAGAAACGTGGAGGAAGAAAAATCAATAAATCTACAAGTAATGAACCTTCAGAAAATAATATATATGATGATGATGATGATGAAGAATTTGATGATATTAATAAAGAAATTACTGAAATACGAGCACATAATAATGAAGTTGAAGAAATAGAGAAACAAGTTGAAGAAGAAGTCAAAGAGGAAATACAGAAAGAGATTATGACCAAATCATTAATTCAAAGTTTACCAACACCAATTAAACCACAAAAATTACATATTGAGAATAATTTAATCATTTCAGAAACTGTATTAGGTTTTGGTTCACATGGTACTGTTGTATTTGAAGGTACTTTTGAAAACCGTCCAGTTGCAGTTAAACGTATGTTACTTGATTTTTATGATATTGCAAATCATGAAGTTAAATTATTACAAGAATCAGATGATCATCCAAATGTTGTTCGATATTTTTGTTCACAAACTTCAGAACTGGAAAAATTTCTATACATTGCATTAGAATTGTGTCTTTGTACACTTGAGAATATAATTGAACTACCTTCAAAATTTCCAAATTTGAAAATACCAAAAAGAAATGATATTTTATACCAACTAACTAGTGGATTAAATTATTTACATTCTTTAAAAATAGTTCATCGTGACATTAAGCCACAAAATATTTTAGTTTCTTTAGGTAAAAGTAAAATTGCAGAAAATAATGTCAGATTATTAATTTCAGATTTTGGTTTATGTAAAAAGTTAGATAATGATCAGTCTTCATTTAGAGTTACAACACAACATGCAGCTTCTGGTACTTCTGGATGGAGAGCTCCTGAATTATTATTAAATCATGAAAAAGAACCAAATTTATTTGAAATTTCACCAGATTCAATATCATCAAACAATGAAACTACAAGTAATGGTTCTGGAGGTAAGAGATTAACTAAAGCAATTGATATATTTTCACTTGGTTGTGTTTTTTTTTATATTTTAACTGATGGTTTACATCCATTTGGTGATCGATATTTAAGAGAAGGTAATATAATTAAAGGAGAATATGATTTATCAATTTTATATAAAAAATGTCCAAATGATAAATATGAAGCAATTGATTTAATTTCAAAACTAATTCAATTTGATCCTTCAAAAAGACCAAACACAACTAAAATTTTATCACATCCTTTATTTTGGTCAAATTCAAAAAGATTAGAATTTTTATTAAAAGTAAGTGATCGATTTGAAATCGAAAGAAGAGATCCACCAAGTGAATTATTATTAAAATTAGAATCTAAATCTCAAAAAATTACAAATTTGGATTGGCATTCAAAATTTGAAATTGAATTTCTTGATAATTTAAAATCTTATAGAAAATATCATACTTTCAAATTAATGGATTTATTAAGAGCATTAAGGAATAAATATCATCATTTTAATGAAATTCCAAAACCTTTACAAAGTAAAATGTTACCATTACCTGATGGATTTTATAAGTATTTTAATGATAAATTTCCAAATCTATTAATTGAAATTTACTACATTGTTGAACAAGAATTAAAAGATGAACATATATTTAGTGAAAATTTTGTTTAAAAAACTAGCTAATTACTTCAATTCAATACAATAACATATACAAATTTAATATAAAATTATTATAGAGATCAATTATTATTTCTCAGCGTTGAGTGGAACATTTAAATTATCCTGATTAGATTTAGTTGTCTCAGTACTATTTGTTGCAGTAGTTTCAGTTTCAATATTTGATCCTTGGAAGTTAGCCACATATTCGCAAATTATATCTTCATTATCATTTTCGCTTAACCCATCGTAAAATTCTTTAATGCTTTGACATTTGTAACTTGATATGTTTTCGAATCAAGAATAGTATCATTTTCAGACCTCATTTCTAAAGTTAAAGTAGTATAATCCTCCGATGGATTCCAAGCTTCATATCTATGTGGATCATGAAGAGCTGGCGTTTGCTTATAATCTTCCAAATCTTCAGCACTTACAAAATCTTCAACACTCATTTAAGTAGTAAATTTTTAGTCTAAAAACAAAATCGTTATTATCAGAGTCTATTTTAATCTTTCGTTTTCTTTACTTTATATTTTAGAAAAGATTAAAGAGAAAAGCAAGATTTATACCAATTTGTCAACGACTTTTATCTATAAAGCCTCCTAAGGTAAAAAATAGTTGTACTCACGCGATCACCACCTAAAAAGAAAGCACGCAAATTTATGTTTTATTTTATTGTATGATTACAACAATAAGGTATAGTTAGGTTCAATTACTCCAGAAAAGATTAAAGAGAAAAGCAAGATTTATACCAATTTGTCAACGACTTTTATCTATAAAGCCTCCTAAGGTAAAAAATAGTTGTACTCACGCGATCACCACCTAAAAAGAAAGCACGCAAATTTATGTTTTATTTTATTGTATGATTACAACAATAAGGTATAGTTAGGTTCAATTACTCCATAACTTCACTAGTGACTTTTTCCCTATTGGTTGTTTCTTGAACTTGTAAATTGAATACAAAATTGTTAAATAATTTTTTCAATGGAATAGCATCATTCTCATGGCTGATAATATTTAACTCAAAAAATATATTCGCCTTACTCAATATAACCTATTTATGGGAACCTAAAGAGGTAAACAATAAACACCGCGAATCTGGAATTTAGTCAAAAGCTTTGAAATTTCAAACTAAATTACTCAACTCAACCAAATTTTTAGTTCCAATATTCAGTTGTGGCTAGTAATTTTTGCCAAGCTTTTTTATTCGTATTTTTTTCCTAAGGTACTGACAAAATGTTTCTTAGAAGAACTCTTTTTGAAATTGTCCATGATGCATATTTTCACCTGAAATGCTATATAACTGCAACAACTTGTAAATGTGATGCAGGGGTATATTGACCTCAGCTTTGCCTTATTCTCAATAATAATTTATTCCAAACGGTTAAAGTTGACCCTGTAATAACGTAAATTAATATTGCACTTGGTTAGGAACTACAATCAAATGTAATTGGTTATGGAAATGTTATAAAATTTTTCCTGTGATTGAAATTCCAATCAAATAGGCATATATAACACATTGACACAAAAAGTATAAATAGAAGCTTTTTTGGAGGAATAAAATTACCACAAGTCTCAATTTCAAGTATGAGTGCTGATCAATTTGTCAACTTAAAAGATAGTGCTAATTATAAAAACCGGACTGCTGGTTACAATCCTTTAGTTTACGAATCATGGGTTTCTTCAGACAATTATACACTTTTAACACATGACCAAAATTTGAAAATGAAACAATCTTGAATTCATGTACTTACAAAGTTGTTGCTGTTGATGATTTAAAAAGTTTCTACGAGGAGCTTGAAAGAGAAGAGAAAGCATTTGCAAGCTTAATTCAAACTGAAACTGAAACTACGGCAACAGCTACTTTTACAGAAGGTAACGAAGCTGACGATTTTTTGAAAGGACTTTGTGGTTCTTTCTGTGGTCTTAGTACTCACTGCTTATGGAGACCATGTCCTAAATGCGCAACTTACAAGACAGGAACTTGGAGAAAACGTGTGCTAGAAGATGGACACATTAGTTTGACTTGGTTCTTTTATTATGGTTAATTCCCAAATATACAAATTTATTTACTTATTATTGTGACACGCGTTTGTTCCCGGATTAACTTGTAGTACTTCTTTGGCATAAATCAAAGTTCTCAAAAGCTTATTAGTACCTTTCACTCTAGAACCGAACCTGGCTAATAAGGTTTCGAGAGGATCTTTGTTTCCAACAATAAACAAATAAGAAAAATGAAGTATATTACACTAAATTAATCCTATCAATTGTATATTATTTAAGTAATAATCAATTACATGCCGTGTACACTTTAAAATGTAGCTGTATTGAATATCAACCCTTCGTAATTTAAAATACATCATGAGAATATTGCATTTCTTATTGATTCTTGGCTACCAATCGTCACTCATGGACTCTGTGTGTCTAATTTATTTCCTTCTATTTGCTATTACTATCTTTACTCTTGTTCTTCTTTGGTTTTATTATTTTACTTTTATCTGAGTTTACTATATTCCCGTCATTTTTCTTGGACTTATTTAAACTTGATATGGACTTTGTAGATTTGTTGGGTAATTGTTTCATTTTCCTTTTAGACTTTTTAGGTAATTTGAATCCCTCAGATTCAATAATTGAATCCTTTTTAAAGTCACCAGTTACGTCATCCTCACTCTCACTCTCATCTTTGAATCGAGTATGTTTACCCTTGAAACTCTCAGAACTTATAGCTGGCCCACTATGTCTCTCAGTAGTAGTCAATGACTCGACATTCTTAATACCAAGTGTGTTAGTCAAGAATTCTTTAGTCTTTTGTTGATTCTCTTCTTGTCTTTGTTCCTCATTTTTTACACCATTAATATAATTCTTATATCTTGCCATATATGTTTTAACTCTATTTAATTCATTTTTAATTGGATGAGAATCAGTATCTATTCCTATACTTTTCAAGTATGAATAAATAGTAGATATAAACACATAAGCGAAATTATTCAATATTTGTATCTTATCCTCACCTGTCTTTGCAGTATTTATCAAATCATCAAGATTAGTCTTTAATAAAGGAGTTAGACTATTCTCATAACTAGATATGCTTGAATCCAATGACCTTATAAATAATTTAACATTTTCGATGTTCTCCATAATAAAAGTTGGTGATAATAATATTTTTTTTAGATGAGATATTAATAATTTTGGGTATGGCTAGAAATTCAAATAGAGAGATATTAACTGGTGGGAAACGATACATTACAAACAAAGCCAAAAAGCATTTAGTAGATGAAGTTGTATTTGATAAAGATTCACGTAAGGAATATTTAACTGGATTTCATAAAAGAAAACTTCAAAGACAGAAAAATGCACAAGAATTTCATAAAGAACAAGAAAGATTAGCGAAGATTGCTGAAAGGAAACAATTGAGAGATGAAAGGAAACAAGATTTAGAAAATCAATTACAACAATTCAAGAATAATATTGAAGAGATTAATGCTATAAATAACAGTGAGGAAGGAAATGAAGAAGAAGATGATGATGAATGGACTGGTTTTGATGAAGGAAATGAGGAGGAGAAGGGGGTAGAGAATGAGGAAGATTCAGAACCGAAATTGAAAGGTATTCTTCATCATACTGAGATCTATCATAAGGATAATGATATAATAAATGGAAACGGTGATGCGATAATAAATGATGAGACAAGAGTTACTATAGAATCTTTAGATAATCCAAATCAACCTAAACTTATAACGACAGAAGATATAGCAAAAGCCAATAATGTCAATTTAAATAAATCTGAACAAATATTGGAAAAATCAATTGAAAAAGCTAAAAATTATGCTGTTTTATGTGGTGTTTCAAAACCAGAACCTAAAAAGAAGAAGAAATTTAGATACTTATCCAAAACAGAAAGAAGAGAGAATACAAGAAAAGAGAAAAGTAAAGCTAAACAAAGAGGTAAAAGGTAAATAGATCGACCTGTAATGTATGTAATTTCATTTTTGGCAGTAATTCGTTAAATCAATTACCCGGCGACAAAGTTAAATCGCATCGCGTTTCAGTATTGAAAAATTATTTATACTTCAATAGAACTTTATTCTTTACTTCATTTATACCAATCAATTGGTTAATTAGTATGTGATTTATTCAATTTATTGCCTTTTTTATTATTATGATGACACGATGTCGCCCCAAACGGAGGATCCTTTTCAGGACGATGACCGATTCGATTTCATTAGCCAAACACACTGAAAATTCTGATATAATAAGAAATAAAGACAGACATCTAGAAAACAATAGTACTAACTTATATTAGAATCAATACTATTAAATATATATCTATAGATATTTATCAACTCAATTTCATTGTAGTCTCTATTCTTTACAATTTTATTTGTTATTTTTTGGCTAATGATGCTTTATTTTCATGCTAATCATGAACTACCATGATTACACCATATATTTAAATCGTGTCTAACACGTCTGAAGCCAAATCATATGATGATAAAATTGTAAATTGAATATATACAATTTTCTATTTTAAGTACGCTTCTCGAAATCGAAATTTGATCTCTGAAAAAATATTACAGCCTTGGGCATAAACAAACAAACAAACAAGTAACTTGTAAATAGTGTATTATAATGGATGAACATCCACCTGGTGATTCTCAAGGAATACTATTTAATGATTTCGTACCATTACCTTTTCGAATATTGTTTTTAATTCAACTTGGTGCTAGTTTTTGGTGGTTTTTAAATATTATATTATACAATTTTACATCAATTAATGTATTACAATCATTAAACCTATCTTATAACTCACACAATTATCACAATTTGGATCAGAATGTGAGTGCAAGTGGAGAATTTCTGACTAATTTACCAGCTGATAGATCTGAAAATAAAAGACTAATCAAAGGCATATGGTCAAATTTGAAATACATTTCAATTGTGAATTTTTCATCATGGATACTATTCAAGCTATTGAAAGCTAAAACAGACTTAAAAGTTGTTTATTTGGTGCTTGTTCCAGTATCATCATATATCTATGTCCTATACAAATTGTTTTATAAAAATGTGAATACTATTGGTCAAATTAGAATTTATACCACCGTAAAGAGAATAATCCAAGGAAATATAAATTACAAATCCATGAGATCAAATGATATTTTAATAAGTGATTCACTAGTGTCTTATTCGAAAGTATTGAATGATTTTGGTTTATACATTTGGAATTATTATTACTCATCAGAGATAAATTATAATTATCAATTGGAGTTTTTAATCTTATGTATTCCTAGTTTGATTCGAATTAAACAATGTTGGTATGAATATAAAAATACTAATCAAAAATCACATATACTCAATTTGGTGAAATATTCAACTGCGTTTGGTCCATTAATTATAAATTTACTTATTAAAAAGACATTATTGAAATCTTCCGAAGAACAAAGACAATCAGGAGAGTTAATTAATCAACTTAAGAGCCTAAATTATTGGTGGTATTTCACTTCATTCATAAATTCAACATATTCATTTATATGGGATATTAAAATGGATTGGGGTTTAAATTTATTCGACTTCATAATTGGCAGACCCGAAGTGACTATACTAAGACAATTTACAAACTATCCGAATTTCATTTATTTATTTGCTATTTCAATTGACTTTTTGTTAAGATATATTTGGGTACTTAAAATTTTCATAATCAGTGATGAAAATCTCAAACAATATTCATTTATACACATTTTTTCAACTTTTTTGTTTGGCTATGATGTTTATTCATTTGGTTATGCATTTATTGAATTTTTAGAAATTTTTAGAAGATGGATATGGTGTTTTATAAAATTGGAAAATGATTGGGTTAAAATACAAAGAATTGAGGGAATTGAATTAGAACAACAATTTACAAAACAGGGGTAAGGATAAAAAACCGACAACAATGAAGTAGCTAGTGTGCATCAGAGTAATACTAATACAAGTAGAACCATTTAATAAATAGACTATATTAACACTAATATACAAAATGAACTAAAAATGACATATGCAAATGTTTTCCTAAGCTGTTCCTTGATGATTTTCTAACCATTTTTCAGCACTATTTCTATATGCTAAATCAGCTTTTGGACTAATTCTATTTTCTTTTAACCATTTATACTTATAAGGTGCTTTTAAACCAACATATAATACAGCTACTGATCCCATCATTATAATAGCTGGTACAGATATTTTAGGTCCATGTGCTCCCATTATGAATAATTATGTATATATATATAATATGAATTGATGATAAAGTAACGGTTTATTATTATAAATATTTTTCTCTTTCAAATTGGTTGGTTAAAAAAATGGATATTGGTGATAATTACACTACCTTTTTGATATTTTGCAACCATTTAATAGAGAGCTACAATCAACCAAAATAAGCTGTGATCGCCTATTATCATGTTGCATGCGTTATAATTAGCTTAGTACTCTTATAATATGTGCTTTGGTTCTTACAATACAATCTTGGTGCTGTTTTTTTATGCAGATCATTTTTCATGAATTCTATTCGATCTACTATCCTAGCACTTGTTTATTGACTACATATACACCCAGCTAGTAAGCCTGAATAGTCAAGCTCCCTCACGATAGACAGTTCATGTCGATTTATCTTGAAATTGAATAGCTGCGAAATCAATATGACTACTTACATAATCATCACATAGTGTAAAAAAATTTTTGGTTGAAAAAACTTTTCTGAAACATCTTTAAGTAAGAGATTGAACCAATTTATAACCAGATAGAACTAACATTACTTCATAAATCATGTTTAAAAAGATAAATAATGTTTCTACTACTAGATCCAAATCATACGCACTCAAATTTTCTCCAATAATAATACGTCAATTACATTCTTCAATACTATTACAACAAGCGACTACCCAGAAGAAATCACCGAAATCATTTGATACACCTAAACCAAATATAAAATATGATTCAATTACAGATTATCAAAGTTATAAACTGAATAATATTTATTCTCATAGATTACCTGAATCCACTGCTCAACAATCACCACCATTAATTGCATTACATTCAAGATTAAATTTACCAAAAAATTATTCATTATCCACATTATCACAAGCATTAAATTTAATAGAAGAAGAAGAAGGTGAAGGATTAGTAAATAATTATAGTTTAAACAAATTGGGAACTACATTATTAAATTATTTTATTAATGAATTTTATATGATAAATTATCCAAGATTACCTAGTGAAATTCATAATATGGCATGTAAATCACTAATTGGAGTTGAATCATTACTGTCAATAGGTAAATCATGGGGTATTGAAATTGATGAAATAACTAAATTGGATAGATTTTTAGGTCAAGAAAATGAATTTATGAAATATGGTAGATTAAGATTTAATAATAATAAAGAAAATAAAGTGAAAATTGATGGGTTAACAGAAGTTGTTGATTCAAGAGGTAGATTTAAACAAGAAGATTTTGCTTATGCATATGCTGTAAGATCAATAATTGGTGGTTTATATACTCATTGTGGTGAAGAATCAGTCAAACAATTTATAAATGATCATATTTTATCAAGAAAAGTAAAATTAGATTCCATGTTTGAATTCAAAAAACCAAGTGTTGAATTAATTAATTTATGTAACAAACTTAATTTTAAAGAACCAGTTACTATCAAATTAATTGCTGAAACTGGTAGATTATCTCATCAACCACAATTTTTAGCCGGAGTTTTCGTTGGAAATGAAAAAATTGGTGAAGGTATTGGATCATCATTAAAAGAAGCACAAACTAGATCATGTGTAAATTCATTATTAAGTTATTATTTATATTCACCAATTAATGAAAATGGAGATCAAGTAAATTTACCAAGTGATGATAAAAGAACAAGTTATAAATTTGAAAGTTTAATAGATGGAGGTGATGTATGAGAAATGTAAATAGAATGTAAATAGATGAAAATCATCTTTAATTAACGTTTATTCAAATTATAGAATTCAAACCTATTTATTTAGCACATGCACCATCTTTAGCATCAATTTTTTGAGCTTGATTTAATGAATGATAACATCTAACTTGAGCAGGAACGTCATCCATATCTTTTAATTTTTTAGTTGCATCTTGTTGTTTCATAACATCTAAAACACATGAGTATTTAGTTGCATCTGATGAACAGTTTGAAGCATCATTATATTCAATAAAATCAAATCCACATTGTGATGAATCTAAATCATATTCAGAATTAAAACATTGATTTAAATTTGAATCTTCAATTGTTCTACCAAATAAAAATCTCTTGCCGGTTTGTTCATGATAACATGAATTATCATAATTTTGTTTATATTGACCTGTTTTTTTAACTTCATGTGAATGCAAATTAACTTGAATAATTTCACCATCATCTTTATTAACGGTATTGACTACATCATAATGAGTTTTTGATTCTGTTTTACCAACGGTTTTTAAATGTTCTAAAACTAAATCAGTTGGTGGTAAAATTGCAAAACCTTCTATATCATGTAATAAACTAAAACATTGAACATTTAATGCTACTGATGATAATAAAATTAATGATTTAAAAGAGACCATCTTGAAATGAAAAAAAACTGTTGTTAAAAGAAAGTAATTTACAGAAAAAGGAGTCTAAATAAAATTTATATATACAAATCTATTGATGGAAAAGATAATAAAAATTTTCCTTTAAATTAATTACTACATTGGTTATGATACAAATTGAACCATGATCTAAAATAAAAACAATAGAAAATTCAAACTTAAATTACCGATTTTAAATCTTAAAATAATTTTCAATTATTGGTTACAATTTACTTCATAGTGTAGTATACTTAAACTTTTCTATTATTTATGCTTAAAGCTATAGAACTCAGCTGCAAAACCTGAAACATCTGTCAAGATGAAATTTCTTGATATTTATTTTTTCGTCGTCTAATTTTTTAAGTGCCCAAAAAATTACCGCTTAAGGGTTTTCGATGTGTTTCAACTTTAAGCTTGCAAAAAACTTCAAGCTTTGAGCTCTCTCAACTTAGAAGTAATAGATAATTAAAGGATTGTTAAATAAAGCTATCTCATTTGATGCCGTTGGTATTATTAAATTTGGCTTAAATAATTTTAAATTTTAGTATTATTTTATACACGACCAACTAATTTGAATTGTAATTGGTTGATTCTAAAGAACAATGAAGAGCGGCTATTTGATTAATCTGATTAACTAAAATTTAGTTTTGTGTCCTAAGGATTATTATTAGCTGATTTTGATTTTATTTCCTCTCTTCTTTATATATAGAGCAAATGAGAGCTAAGTAGTTTTTCATTCGTTAGTTTATCATATTTACTTGTAGTGGTATTTAATTAGCTACATAACTACATTATGCTTGAGTATTGGATCTAATGCATCTGCTGTTGATTCTTTAATGATTGGTTTTAAAAATCCTTCCCTACTAAATTCAGCATCACTATTCCCATTTATTGTACCATTTTCTTTATTATTTACTTCTCCAATAAGTTCAACACCTCCACTATCACTTTCTTGATCCTCTTCTACCTCTGCAATTTCTTCATCTTCATTTTCAGGTGCAACTATATCACTGAAATCTTCTTCTTCTGATTCAGCATCTGCCATACTTTCATCTTCATCGGCTCCTGGTGCTATACTTGCATCTTCTATACCAAGATTTTCTTTTCCTAATAATGATTTAACTAATACATCTTCAGTTATTCCAATCTTATCAAGATCAAGTTCCTCATTATCTTTCTTAGATTTCTTGGTGCTGAATTTCAATTTCAATTTGGTTCCATCTTGTTGTTCTCCTTCTGGTTTATCACTAACTTTAATGTCATCATCACCATCTATTTTCAATTTTTCATTAAAGTGAATAAAATCACTTATGAATATATCCTTACTCAAATTTTTCAAAAATTCCTTACCTTCATCCGAATAAGGCTGTTGAGTACTTATTAATTTTTCATAAACTAAATTACCAGTTAATGAACTAAAATCCAATTTCCAAGTTGCTAATTTCGAGCTTGTTTTTTCTTTTTCTTCTAATAAATTTTCATAAGTAACTCGAACTATTGATTTGAATTCATTGGTATATTGTATATCACTAGGTTTATAATTTATATGATTGAATTTTATTATTAAAATATTATATTTCTTATTAAAATTTAAACTTATAGTTGATGTTTTAATTTTTTTAAGTTGATCATTGTCATTTACACTAGTTGAACTTATTTTATAACTTGTAGTTATTGAATCTGACATAGTGGCTGATAATCTCATATCGTTAACATTTGAGTATTTGATATTATATTCTAAATTATTAATGGCAATTATTAAATCAATAAATATAGCTTTAAGATTATTTGAAATATTTTCCTTTATTTGTCTATCGTTCAATCTTAAGTTAGGATTTGAATATAATGCATTAGCTTGTGGAGTGGGGGTTGTTGAATCTGATTTTGCGTTTTCCAATACCTTTAAATCAATTTTGGATAAATTTGATGTAAACTCAGGTGAAAATTCTTTTAAATATACTAGATTCTCAACATCTTTGTTGTTAAATCGACTTTCTAAGATTTTTGATAAATATTTTTCAAAATCATCGTAAACATTTGCTAACGAATACGGATCTACTTTTAATTTATCCAGTATATCTTCATTAGAATTTCCCAATTTTGCTAATTCTTCAAATATATCTAGCTCCTCACCTTTATGATTTAATTTCTGATATTTATATTGATTTTGTTGTTGTTGATATTGCTGTTGTTGTTGTAATTGTTGACGTTGTAGATGATCAATTGGTTTATGTTGTTGTTCTTGTATCACACGATGATGATGATGATTATTTGTAACTGCTGGTGGTATAAAAGGTTGTATTGGTTGTTGTTGTTGAACTGGTACGGATGGTTGAGGTGGACGAAGGTGATATTCACGTTCCAATTGTTCTCGTTGTTGCCTTTTCTTTGATTGTTTTGGTGGTTTTTCTGTTGGATCAACTGGTCTTAATGTTAATTGATATTTTGGCCCTGGTGATGTACTTTCATTCGGTATCAATGTTTCATTTGGGTTATTTATGATCATTGGTGCTACATGATTTGGACTATTGTATAATCTTTCAATTTCTCGTTCATAATTAAATGGTTGGTTATGATATCTTTTGAAAAACTCATCTTTTAATAATCCTTCTTCTTCAATATAATTTTCAGTTGATGCTTGTTCTCTAAATTGTTTTAATCCATATAACATTGTTTCTTCAGCTAGTGGTTTTCTAGAATTTTTCTTATTTCGTTCTATGATTCTACACTTGGCACAGGTTTTATATTGTTTCACTTCTAATGGTTCATCATCTAATCTTTTTCTTTTACAACGACGACACCTTCTTATTTCTGTTCTCATCTTTATTTCAGACGGATCCATGATTAGTTTATAAAAGCGGGTAAATTATGGATGAAAAATTTAAATAATTTATTGACTAATGAAGTGTATTTCACTTTTCAATGGAGTGGTAGTTTGAACTAAAATGACTTATTAATGATAAATAAGGTTGATCTAGTATTTATGTATAACAACTTAGTACGTAAAATAATTTTTTTTTTCAATGCGAAATTTGAAACAAAATCGGTTTAAAAATATCTTGAGTCGTAAATATAAAACAAGTGAAAAGATGTTATTCAAAGAGAATGCTAATGATGTATAACTCAACTATGATGTCCGTATAAACTTAAAAATCCCTATTGATACTGTGTTGGATCAATCGTAGAAGCAACTTAAGATGACAAAAGAAAAATTTGTTGAAATTAAATTTTAGAAATTTTTATCATTTTTACACACACACTAATTTTAGCTGGTTAAAAAATATTTATATACATCACGTGATGTATTTAATATAATCTAACTTCATATCCATTAAATTCTGTGTTGAAACATGGATATTTTGTTGTATTGAAGAAGTATTATCAAAGTAGATCTCGGTTAGATCTTAATTAAATTATTTATATTTTGCAGCCAAATTGTCTAATTTTTTTTCTCTCTTAAAAGTGAGCATAAAATTTTGCAGCCATTTTTTGCAACCATTCGCATTTAATATGAGCTTTAATATAGAATCAGATTTAATGTGTGACAGTCTTTCTAACGGAGATTGAAGAGCTCAGATATAGCAAAAAAGACTGGAATTTCGCTCTACCGAAGAATGAAGAGTGTAACCAGGTTCAGGGGTGACCTAGATTTTATACATCGAATTAAAGTTCAGCGATAAGTATTGCAATTTGAGAAGACTAATTCAATCGGTAGTCAACATATAAAGTTTTGGTTGTTATTTAATCATTTTTTTATGAGTTTTATACTGGTCATTGGCTTGAATAGTTCGTTTGCATTAATTTGTTTTGATTTTGTTTCAACTTCCCAATTAGTAAATTTTTTTTTTAGTAATTTCCTTCACGATCAAAATGAGATTTACCCCATCTAAAAAATATAAATAAATGTTACCTGCATGGGTTATAATACTAGAAGATATTTATAAGAATCCAGATGCTGTTTTGAATTGAATAACCAAGCATGCATTCATTTATTTTTTTTCTATTCATTCATGTTATTACAATCTTAGCATCATCACCATCTGGAAATTATGCACCTGGAAGAGTACAATGTCCAATTTCAAACCAGTCATTCATAAGAGAAGCAAATTCGATATCGAATAATGAAAAACAATGGTTGGAACAAAGAAAAATCAAACTGAACCAATCGTTAAAAAAATTCTTGGATTCTTCTAATTTGACAGACTTCAATTCAAATTCATTCTTCAACAATGAGACCAACGGTATTAACATCGGCTTAACATTTTCTGGTGGTCTGTACAGACTGATGTTAAATTCAGCAGGTGCATTAATGGCATTAGATGAACGTACAAGTTTTAATTCGTCATTGGGTGGAATTTTACAAAGCTCAAATTATATAGGTGCATTATCTGGATCTAGTTGGTTATTGGGCTCTTTAATTTTTCAAAATTGGTCAAGTGTAGAGAGCATATTGAATAATCCTCAGTTAGATCTTTGGAATTTAACAACTACAAGACAATTGGTAAATCAAGATGGGCTATGGACAATCTTATTTCCTGTGTTATTTGAAAATCTAGACTCTGCATTAAGTCATTTAAATTTCTGGGATAATGGTGACAAAACAGGTATTAAATATGATTTACAAAATAAAACAAAAGCAGGTTTTGAAACGTCATTAACTGACGCTTGGTCAAGAGCACTTGCTCGTCATTGCCAAAGATAATGATGATTATGCTAGTGATAAAACTTGGAGTGATATTAGAAATATAGATGCTTTTGCAAATCATGAAATGCCATTTCCATTAATCACTGCATTAGGTAGAAAACCAGGTACAGTAGTATACAATCTAAATTCAACTGTTGTTGAAATGAATCCATTTGAAATTGGTAGCTTTGATCCCTCATTGAATACATTTATGGATATCGAATATATTGGAACTAACGTATCAAATGGTACACCTACTGGTGTTTGTATTAATGGATTTGATAATGCGGGATTTGTAATGGGTACTTCATCATCATTATTTAATCAGTTTCTTAATACGTTGGTTTGTGATGATTGTAATTCATTAAACTTTGTATTAAAATGGGTATTGAAACAATTTTTAACTAGATTATCTTCAAATCATGAAGATGTTGCTTTATACAAACCAAATCCATTTTATAATTCACAATATGCAAATTCAAACAATATTACAACTAGTGATACATTATATTTAATAGATGGTGGGATCGGTGGAGAAATAATTCCATTATCTACATTAATTACAACAGATAGAAAATTAGATGCAGTGTTTGCATTTGATTCAAGTGATGATCTAGATATTATGTGGCCAAATGGAACTGCATTAGTTAATTCTTATGAAAGACAATTTTCAAATCAAGGTTCATCAATGGTTTGTCCATATATACCAGATCAAAATACATTTTTGAATCAAAATTTAACTGCAAAACCAACATTTTTTGGCTGTGATGCTAAAAACTTAACTGATTTAACAAAAGATGGTGTTGTACCTCCAATTATTATTTATTTTGCAAATAGACCATATGAATTTTATTCAAATACTTCAACTTATGCTTTAACATTCACAAATGATGAGAAATTAGGTATGATTCAGAATGGTTATGATATAGCTACAAGATTAAATAGTACAATTGATGAAAATTTTAAAACTTGTATCGCTTGTGCGTTAATACAAAGAGAAGAAGAGAGAAGAGGTATTGAACAAAGTGATCAGTGTAAAGAATGCTTCAAAGATTACTGTTGGGATGGTACTATAGCAACTAATGAACCCTTGAATTTGGTGAATTTCACCGATTCAGGTCTAACAAATGGATCAACTACGTTTTATGGTGATGCAAATGACAAATATCAGTCATCAGGACTAAGCTTATTCAAAAGAGAAGAAACTGAAGACGTTGAAGTGTCAATAAGCAACACTGGTGGTAAAATGTTACCTTCCATGATATCCATAATATTAATGATTGTAAGTTCAATGATTATATAATAAGTTTTTGCAGCCAAAATTTTCATACATTCCCTCTGAAAATCTGGCCAATAAAAAGCACCTTACCAAATCTTATTCAGTACGCTCTAAAAATCTCTTCCTTGGCATCCATCAACCACTTCCACTCTACTAGCTAGTAAGAATTCAATATTAATACCGATCAATTACAAGGTCGTGTATAAGCAATCTTAATTCAGAAATAATAATTTAGTGAAATTTGTTAATTGGAATTTTTTAGTCAGTCAACATTTAGAACGAGAATTATCAATCAATCAACTATAATTACACCATCCCCTATTAAACAAAAAACTAATTCATTTACAGCTACAATACATAAATTATGTCTAAAATAGTACGTTCAATAAAGAATGTTGCTGGTGGTTATCCTTCAACTCAAGTTTTAGTCAGAAATGCAACATCAAATGATCCAACGGGTCCAACAACTTTTGATATGGAAGATATTGCTTCATATACTTATCAATCTCAAACTAAATTTATGGAAGTTATGGACATGTTAGATAGAAGATTAAATGATAAAGGTAAAAATTGGAGACATGTTGCAAAATCATTAACGGTTTTAGATTATTTAGTTAGATATGGTTCTGAAAAATGTGTTTTATGGGCAAAAGATAATATTTATATTGTAAAAACTTTAAGAGAATTTATCCATTTAGATGAGTATAATAATGATCAAGGTGCTATAATTAGAGTCAAAGCAAAAGAATTGGTTTCATTATTAAGAGATGATGAAAGATTAAGACAAGAAAGAGCTTCGGCCAGAAGAGGAAGAAGAGGTGGTAAAAATAATGAGTTTGATGATGATGAATCTAATGGTGGTGATAATGAAGAAGATTTTGAAAATAGAAGAAATAGAAGGAGAAGAGAAAGAAATAGAGATCAAGATGAACCTTATGATGCAGATTTACAAAGAGCTTTAGAATTATCAAGAATTACAGCAGAAGAAGAAACAAATAGAAATAGACAGGAAGAAAATGATCCTGATTTAGAAGCAGCTATAAAATTATCATTAGAAGAAGAAGAAATGAGAAAGCAAAATAATAACGACAATAATAATTTATTAGACTTGAATGATCAACAACAGCAACAACAACAACAACAACAACCTCAGTTCTATTTAGCAACAGGATATTATCAACAACCACAATATTATCAACAACAGCAACAACAACCGTTTCAACAATATGATATGTTTGGAAATCCAATACAGAATCCAATGGAAACTGGTGTATTTGATCAACAACAATATTATCAACAACAACAAGCACAACAGAGTCAACCAAACCAATTTACTGGTTTCAACTATGGTCAACCACAATCTCAACAACAACAACAACCTTTACAACCTTTGAAAACAGGATCAAATAATCCTTTTGCATTAAATTCAAATGATTCAAAACCACAACCACAAAGCTCACAAACATTGAATAACTTGGCACAACAAAGACAAGAAACTCAACAACCACAATTTTTCACACAACCTACTCAAGTGCAACAATATCCTACAACTCCTTTAAAAGCACAAAATACATCTGGATCAAGATTTAACGAATCTCATGAATTGAATGATTTGTTAACCCAAGGTACTGGTTTAGACACTTTCGGTAATACTGGTGCAACAAGAATACCACATCAACATACAAAAACTCAAAATTTTATAAATTCAAGTGGTACAGGTTATAGACAACAAACTGGAGATCAAGGTCATAGAATAAGTTCAAATGCAACTGGCAATCCATTTTTAAATACTGGTATTAGTTATCAACAACAACAACAACAACAACAACAAGCTATAAATGCAGCATATACTGGATATGGATTTGGTAATCAACAACAACAGCCACAACAACAAAGAAATGGTAATGATGGACCAAGTTTAATAGATATTTAAATAAAAAAGGAAGAAATAAAGTGGAATATATGTGTATATTATAAAGAAAATTGTATTATAATTGAAATAACTCTATTTTCCTATCTTGTTTTGTGTTACGAACTGTTGTTTACTCTGATCCAAGCCAGGTTCGAAATTTCGAATCAGAATTCAAAAACCCTGTACTTTTGCATCTTCCACTTAAAAATTAAAAAAAACGAAAAAACAACTTTCAATTTCATCTGAAAATGTGACGTACTTCAGCTTGTAGAGAATTCAATTTTGAGTAAGTTTTGTATGATCATTACGAATTTATTTTGATTAGATCAATAGTTTTGAAAAGATTTGGAATTTTAGCAAATATGCGCTACCAGTTATTGTGACGATTCATCGCCATATCATACCAGTTGAACATTGTAATGCGATGGATCAGAAATTGGTTCAAATTCTGACTGTAAGATTTAAAGTATATAGAATATACCAATGACAGTTGAAGATTTCATAAAAATAGTCTTTATTTATCAAAACTGACTCGTTCATGATTTATATGTAAATACATATAGCACGGGTCGCCCTAAATTTAAGGCGAAAATATTTTTCTGCGCCCCAGCTTTACGCATTGACAAATACATTTTTTTTCAAGACAATTCTGAAACCAGCATTATATGTAGTTTTATCATCGTTAACCTCAAAACTTGACTTGTAAATAACTCCTTCAATCTTGAAGCTCTTTCTCTCAAAGTTTTTTCAGGTAATATTCAGCGAGTTCAAGATAAACTGGAACTTATATTTTTTTATAGTATACAATATTGGTCACGTAATTCTTCAATCAAAAAAAGGCAAAAAAACGTTGAATTGCAAAATAATTGGCATTTGGACTTGACCTAACAACTACTAAGATAGCTGGAAACAATCCCAATTACTATAATTATAATGGTTTGCAAACGCTAAATTTGATTTGAAATTCTTTCAAAAAGTTCGTTTCACTTCTTGAAAAAATTTTTCAATTTGAATACCTTAGCACAGAAAATCTTAAGATTTATCTGCCTACAGGAACTACAATCTCTAATATTTTTACTATATTTTCTTCTCCGTTTTGGTTGTGGTGTTAGAATTTTCGAAAGGTCAATGTATTCGATTTTTCCCATACTTAAGAGAAAATATTGAAATTTGTCAAGTTTAGTCTAGGTCAACTACAATTAGGACCAGTACAATATTTTGGGGTAAAGTTTTTATTATCCGCTGTTTGATTGAAAATTGTGGCCCTTGGAAACTACCCTGTGTTTTCAGTTTTGGCAAATTTTTTGTATTGTGATAAAAGCCCAAAATGATAACTTAAAAAAAAAATGTTTGAAAATTGGATCCTATGTAGCGTATATGATTTACGGCTTTTGATTTGATACAAATGGTATTGTTCTAAAAAAAAAATTTTGTTTATGATATAGAAGCCTATATATTTAGTGCGACGTAGTACGACGTCGCCTCAATCCAGCGCGAGAAATTATGTTGTTGTAATGAATCATCTATGCATCATGATTAAACTCATGATTAGGGTAGTAGAGACAGATAAATAAATATTCTCCATTCTAAAACAATAGTTGCGTGATGTTAAGACCTATGTCTCTGACGGTAGCGATCATCTGATATTCATTTTAAATTTGTAAATCTTGTTAATCAGTACCACCATGCTGGACTAAAGATATATTGATTCAGAAAGGTACGCAATATGCTTACAACAGCCAATATGCTTACAAAAGCCAACAAGCTCACGAATTAGCCAGATATTTAACGCTACATACAGTGCTTTCAAAGTTGGTAAAGACTAATCAACGTATGGTGTTTTTGCCAAAATGTTAGAAATGATAATTGGTAGCAGCCAAACGTCACTTTTGCTCTAAAAAGTATTGTGCAATTTTGTAGGAAAACAATTTTCCAAAAATATCCACTGAAACCAATTATCTCATTCAATACTCCATTCAAAACTGAGAAGCTTTTGTATTGGATATATTCGTGCATTTCGAATTGGTGAAAAGTTATTTACCAAATTATCATGCAATATTCATATCGCTACCAGTTGTATTTTTAACAATTTGCACGAAATCTAGTCGGTCCAAGAACAGTTAGAGATTCAATCATATACATTATTCACTTTTATACATTAGCTTTACATAGTTTATACTTTGTACTCCTCATAATCCTGTAATTCCATTTGAAAGATTGATTTCACACACCAATTCCAATTCAATACAATTGAATCATCAACTTCTTTTTTAAAATTATTGATCAATTTTGTATCCTTTGATTTATTTGCAATTAATATAGTTTTCTCATCGTTATCTTTATTAGTCATTATATTTTTCTCATCTTTTAATTTCGTACTTTGTTTTATTTCTTTATAATCTTTCATTCCATGATCTTTCAAAATTCGAGAAATAACATCAATTCCTCCATTCAAATTAATAGATAAATTAAAATTCAAGTTGTGAAAAATTGGAGCTGTGGAATTTCCTATATTTTCATAATTTAATTCTGTTTCAGTTGATGGATCTATTTTTTCTAAACTATAATCATTTATATTTAAATTATTTTCCTTGTTTTCTTCAGATAATAAATCAGTTAAATATTTTGGATGAATTATTTTATTCACTTTACTTAAACTTCTTAAAAATTTTTCAGTCCTTAATAATTTTGGAGCAAATAATATATTTGGTGATTTTGGAGATGAAAAATCTGTAATGAAAATTATACCCAAATCTTTTAATTTTGAATAATCAGTCTTAGTTAATTCTATATCTGATCCGGTCATGATTGCGATTATTTGATATTGTTTTTTTGAAACTGGTGATTCTTCTGATTCTTCTAGTGATCGTTTACTTGTTGAATTTGAATTTGATTCTGATGATGATGGAAGACTTGCATTATTTAAATTATCAAAATATGATTGCATTTTCTTATTTGATTTTTTAACTTGTTGATATTGATTTAAATCTGACATATTATCATGTAATTTTAATGCTGCTTTTTTTGCAGCTGATCTTCCACCATATCTTGAATGTGATGCTGGTTGAATTAGAGGTAGAGTTGGTTCTGAATTATCTGAAGGTGTTGTAGGTGATGCACCTTTTGTATCGGGTGATTGATCTTTTGACACTTTCGATTTTTTGGATGTTGGAGTTTTTTCTTTCTTTACTTTTGGTGTTATCTTCTTTGAACTTGCTTGTATTTCCTCTCTTACAAATACTGGATCTGAATCTTTTAAACATGGTGGAGTTTCTTCTAGTTGTGAAGTTGTTAAATCGTTTTGTACTGATTCCTTTTTATTTGTAGATGGTTCAGGATAATCTTCATCTTGACTTGATTCTTGTGTTGATTCATCAGCTTGTTTATGTGATGCAACCATTGATGGTGTAGTTTTGGAGACATCTTCATCAGTCCTCGATTTAGATTTTGTTTGTGGTGTTGATTCTTTGAACAATGAGTCTTTAACCAATGGTTCCTTTTTATATGGCGATGAATTCATATAATTTGATACTTCTTGTTGAACATCTCTAATTTGTGAAGATGTAGGTTTAACAATTGTTGAATTTTCGTTTTTAACTAATGGTTGTGGTTGTACTGAATTATCACCATTTTCTTCTTCTTCACTATCACTACTGAATTGGGTATCATCATCTTTAGTAGTATGTTCCTTCTTTTCTTCTTTTATTGATGTTTCTCTTACTTTCAACTGTGTTTGAGTTTCTTCTTTTTCTTTTCGAGATTGTGTACATTCATCTTCACTCATACTATCATCAATATTACTAGTCATATCAGCTTCACTACTAAATTCATTATTTAAATACCACCTTTTCAAAGCCACTTCATTCAATTTAACTCTTCCAATTAGTGGTTCCATGCCTAAATTTTCATTACCAAAATTTATATATTTATCACTTGATTCATCTAATTTGGACCAATTTACAAAACAATCTTCTAACCATAAATGATTTACAACTTTAACTTGAGCCCCTTCATTAATCCATTTCTTTTTAGCAGCATCATATTTCTTACCTTCTCGTCTAGCACAAATTAAAATATCATTTTCTTTACTTAATGTTTTAGTGAATGTGCCACCAAGGATACTTATCAATTTTGTTAAATACTTTCTTGAATCACCAGAATAATTTGAAATTGAAATTTTTAAATTTTTAAATGCTTTTAATGGATTTGGAGGTATTGGGTAATTTAAAATATTTGAATTTAACGGTAATATCCATTTCTTATTCACCATTATAGTGTATAACCATAGTAAATTACCAACTATAACATTTTTATTTAAACTTGCCTTTTGATAATATTCTCCAGATCTATACTTACCTAAATAAATATCTAAACTATTTTCATCAAAACTATCTTGTACAGCTCCACCAAATTTATTTATTAAAGCTCTTACTGACGTTGATAATCTTGGAGATAAATTAAAATCAGAACTGATGAAGAAATTTTTATTCAAAATAAAATCTAAAGAATTTGGGCTTTCTTTATTACTCAATTTTACAAAACCTTCACTATCATCATCCATATGATCAATTCCATCTGATGTGTTTTGATAACCCAAACATAAATCTAAATTGTTATTTGTAAAATCTTGTAAAATATAACTATCTTCCTTAATTTTTTTACCCATGGTAATACAATGTTCAATCCATTCAGGTTGAACAATTTTAATACTAACTGGCTGTTTAGAATCATTTGAATTAACTTGAATTGGAATTATACTATTTGCAATTATAGCTTTTTCATTACCTAAATCTTGTGAAATTAAATGAGTAGTATATTTAGTTAATGCATCTAAATAATTACCACCAAATGCTTTTACAGCACCATAAATTAATTCTCTATCACCATCAGGTAAATTATCAGAACAACAAATAAATAAATCTTTGAAAAAGAATGAAGGATCTGGATTATAATTTTTATAACTTAATAATTTATTAGCATTCATTGATTCATAAACCCAATCTGGTGTAGTTATAGATAACATTGAATTCTTTGCATCTTGATATTCAATAAAGTCAATATGATTATTAGCAGTTATAATATTTGTAATGGATGGTGGATTCATATAATTCTTGGAGGTATCATGTTCTGGTTTAAAATAAATTTTGGTTGCATAATTTGATATTAATGAATCGTATAATTTTTCATATTCTTTTGTTGATAAATCTTCCGATACTATAATTAAGAAAGTACAATGATCAAACATTGGATCTAATCATTCAAAAGCTATTAAGATCTAATCTAATCTTTGGTTGTAAATTTAGATTGTTTATAATAATATTTTTTTTTTTCGTATTACGCGTTTCAGAATTTTAATACGTGAATTAAAATTGCTTACATAATATTCGATGTATATTATACAAAACTTATAAATAATGCAATTGGGTGAGTTCATCATTCCTCAATTTGTAATCGATGAGTTGATAATGATTCATCAAATAAATCTTTACCTTCAGAATGAAATTTCTTTGCCCACGCTCTACAATAAGTACTTGCTTTCATAAATTTTCTCATTGCATATTTTTTAAAAAATTCATCATGTTCAATCGGTGCAATTAAATATGAAAACATCAATTGTATACATGGTTGCATATCTTGTATTCTATAACCACCAGAATAATGTATTAAATTACCATTCCATATTGGAATTCTTCCCATCATTAATCTTGATAAATACATTGCACTTGCACAACATAAACTTGGTTTCATACCAATAAATTTATAATCAATTATTGTAATTTCTAATAAATATTTCCCCAAAGTTCTTGTTTGTACATCATAATCATCAGCTTTTGAAATTCTTCTAAGAAAATTCATTGGATTTGGATAATTCAAATCAAAATTTAAAATTGTTAATACATATTTTTCAGCTTGTAAAATTTCTTCTTCTGTAAAACCACCATCGGTAAAATATGCATAATTTTTAACAGATGGAGAAAATACCTCTTCATATTTAGCAGCTATAAATAATGAAGCAGTTGCTAATAATTGTAATTTATCAACTTGAACATCTTCAATAGACATAAATCTATCCATTATATTTATAGCTAAAAATAAAGATTCTGGTAATAATTTGAATTTTAAATGCATCTCAACCAACCAATCAACTAAAATTGATCTCATTTTTGGTTTTAAATGTTTTTGTTTATATAAATATTGTGAATCGGGCAACATTCTCGATTCTAATTCATAAAAATATGTGAAAATATCATTAACATATTCCAGTGCCATTAATGGATCATCAATATCTTCTTCATCTAAATCTTGCCATTCATAATCTATCAATTTCGATTTTTTATTTTGATTAGTTAAGAATTGATTGTTATTTTCGGGTATTTTCAATTTTTCAACTAAATTAGTCAGTGATTCAGTTGCTTGTCTCTTTTGTGGTAATCTTGAAGGTACGAGTAAAGACGAGTTAGATATTTCAAAACCTTTTTCTAATTTTGGTTGTTGTTGATGTTGTGGTTGTTCATTATTATCAGTTGCTATGGGTATTTGTTGTTGCTTTCTATGTTGATGTAAAGGAGCAATATCTCCACCAAAGGGTTTTCTCTTTTTAGATGCTGGTTGCTGCTGTTGCGGTGGTTGTTGATTTTTTTGGGAAGTTGAATTATTTGATGTTATAAATTGATTGGAGACATCTCCTAAGTATTGACGTTGTTGAAGTTGTACTTCTGATTGTAATTGAGCTTGTTGTAGATGTTCTGTTGAATCTGTAGATGATGATATTTGTTGATCTATTGGTTGTTGTTGATAATTTTCATCCTGAGAATTTTGATTTGTAGTAGATATATTGGTAGTAGTTGTCGTTGTAGTAGTATTTATTATAGATGTAGATGATTGTTGCTGCTGTAATACTTTTGATCTAATTAATTTATATTCGTTTTCGTCATTATTATTCGTGCTAATTTGTGGCATTATATTTGAAAAATTATCGTGTATATGTGAATATGTGAGTTTGAATATGCTATTGATTAATTATTAATAATTGAATGATTATGAAATTAACGTGGATCTACTATTAAATGCTATAATTATGGTAATAATAATTGGTTGTAAAAAAATGCAAAAGGGTAATTGATGTAAATGATTGAGACGTGATGATTAATTAATTATACAGTTGAATGAATGATATTAAAATAAATTGATAAGTTATTAATTCTATTAAATTGAAAGAAAAGTGATTAATATAAAATGAAATATGGTTGATTTCTCATATAATAATAATTGGTTGTAACAAGGAATGAAATTGACTGGTAACAAAAATAAAATAAAATAAAGTAAACTAAAATAAAAAAAAAAAAAAAAAAAAAAAAAAAAAAAAGAAAATAAAATAAAATATTAAAATTCCTAATAAATCAAAATTCAAAATATGGCTATTTTTATTACTACCAATTTGGCACGAAAGAATTATATTGCCTGCTGGCATTAAATTCAGTTATTTCTCGTGTCAGATTTGATTGTTGTCGCGTTAGAATTTACTTTTTACAGGCACCAATATAAAAAGATGGTTGCATACAGCAACCAACCGCAACTATAGCTACACAAACTTGTTAAATTAAAAGCTTATGTTTTATATTTGACAGAGAATTTCAACATTAGACGACAGTGTATATTATTACGTGTGCTATTTACTTTGTTCTCGAAATATCATGAATTGTGGATGGATGGTGAATTATTCGTAAAATCTTAATTTAAATTACCTGAAATTTTCATTCTGAATGACTTTCAACTATAATACAATTTAAGTTTTACAACGTTTCAGAATCGAATTTTGAAATTAAATTATTTACATGATCTACAAACCATAAACTATACTATAACATCGAGTTTCTTCAGGCTCATCAACTAATCGGATTCAAACGCTCGCGTAATTAATCAATAAATCGACCTGGAGATAGTTACTATAGCGATTTATTAATGTCTCAAACTAAACCATCACTTTAAATATCACAAAGATACGTCAGAAATCTATTAAGTTCGTTCTTTGTGAAGTTTTCATAAAATAATTATATCTCGCGTAAAATCTTAATTTTTAATTTTATTTTTTTTTTTTTTTTTTTAGATTTTGCATCTTTTGCAGCTTCCAATTTAAGCGTAGTTATAAACAATTCAAATTTAGAGAAAGCTCTCCTAACCAAATGACAAGGTCTATAAGTGAATAAAGCTCTTTATAGTTCAATGATGATGAAATGGTTAGTATTTGATATGAAACGATTATTATTACTCAAAGAAATAGCAATTTAAAAATTTGGAAATTTTTAGAGATTTTTGGCCTTTATGTTTATGTTTATGTTTATGTTTATTATCTTACTACATCCTCAGTCTGTTTTATAGAAATGGAATATATTTACATTTACATTTATTTAGATTTAGATTTACATTTCATTTCATTGCTTTCCATTTCTATCTTTCGAGGCTTGAGGTCTCATTGTTCAATCATAACCATTTTTCTTATCGAATTATGATTTCTGAAACATCAACCAAGGCCACTTTTTCGAATATTACTTTAAATCAATACCGCCTTTCCAAGACTTTTTCCACTCCGATCCAAGAATTATATCATCATTCTCATCAAGTATAATGCATTAAGTCATCATATGGCCTTATGTTTGTTTGTTTATCTCATTATTATAAAACTTCTCTGTGTTAGGGGGTAAATTTGATATAATTAATTTTTGTTTACATTTTTCCGTAAATATAAATAAATTCAATCAAACCACCCCCAAAATTTTAAAATGCCATGAGGGGAGTTATCACATCGATATACATATACGAATTATAGAAAAGTATGAAAAACATTACACAAATTGTGATAAAGCTTGTAGAGACCCTCAAAACAACTAGAAACTAGAGAAAATAATAGCATTGTAGAGTCATTAATTCGTATATTGTAGTGTCACATAAGTTTTTAAACTTCACCAGTACTGCTTGATAAAGTATAATCTTTAGTTATTAAACAATTTAAACACATAGATGGATCCATTGATTTCTTAGGTGATGTTTTTTTTGGTTTGATTTTCATTTTGCAAGTTATACAAATATCTTCATTTGGACTCTGCTGTTTAAAAGTGTTTGGACTTGATTTTATTGCTTCTGATGTTGTAGTAGATTGTGCTATTGGTTGGTCTTTATTCAATAATTCTTCTTTCAATTTTGCAAAATCTTCCTTTGATACATATTCATGCTTGAGTTTGTCTTCCTTCTTTGACTTTGATTGTTTCATTTCTTTCAACTCTTGTTTAAACTCTTCAAGTTGTTGTCTTGTAATGAAAGGATTATCTGATTCTTCTGAAGTTGTAGTGATAGGTTGTAATTGCGGTATTGTAGATGAGCCTGAGCTTGATGTTTGTGGTGGTGCACTTGATGGTCTTTGAATAGATTGTTCTCTAATTGGTGAGTTATTAGTAGTTGGTATTACATTGTCTTCTAATTTTTGAATACAAAGTTTGATAAATTTATCAGCTTGTTTACTTAAATCATAATCTTGACTGATTTCTTTATCTACAGTTTCCTCCTTCACTGGTTCCTGTTTCTCTTTCTTTCTGTCTATATATTGTCTCATTAAATTTACCAACTCCTCAGATAAACTACCATCTTTAACTTTCTCTTTTGGTATTTCTTTAAACTTTCCATGTTCAGTTTGACATCTTTCATGTAACGTATAATACTTTAATAATTTACCCTGGATTAATTTCTTTTCATCTTCATGCTTTTTAATTAATCCTCTAACTTCTTTTATATGCTTTTGTTTTTGCAGTTTCAAATTATTTTCCAATTCTTGGATTTTCTCCATTAGGTTTAAATTTTGATCATTCAATGCATCATATTTATTTTTTAATGATTCATATTTTGAAGATAAATTAACATATCTTGAATCTAATTTAGGTATTTGAGGTTGATCAATCTTGACATTTTTCTTAATTGGACTTGATCTCAATTCTTGTACTTGATATTTATAATTCTTTGAAGGTGATGATATTGGTTTTTTTGGAGATGTATATTTATTCTTAATTGGTGATATTGTATCTTCTCTATCTTCTTCATATTCTAAATAATCATTTGATGAACTTTTTCTAGTATGATTGTTATTTAATTTTAAATTTATTGATTCATCATCTAAATTATATGGAGTTGATGATGTACTTTTATATACACTATCTTTTGGAGTTGTAGGATACTCCATATTCATTTCTCTGAATATATTTTCAGTATCACCACGATTCATATAGATTAATTGTTTTGATAAATTAATATTTTTTTGTGTTTCAAAAACGCGTTTAGCTCAATGTCGTGTTTTTATGTTTTTCGACATTGAAAATTGACCACAGTTTTTCCAATTTGTGCAGTCTCACATGCTATGTGATTTGAAAATTATAAACGTTTTTCTTTTAAATACTAGTAAAGATATGTCAAGTGAAAGAGTTCAAGAGATTAGTAAATTAGCTAAAGAATTAAAATCAAACTTAAAACAATACCCAAATTTCCCAAAAGAAGGTATATTATTTGAAGATTTCTTACCAATTTTTCAAAAACCACAATTATTCAATGATTTAATTAAAGCTTTTAAATTACACGTTGGTGAACAAAAAATTGATTATGTTGTTGGTTTAGAAAGTAGAGGATTTTTATTTGGTCCTACTTTAGCATTATCTCTTAATGCTGGTTTTGTTCCAGTTAGAAAACCTGGAAAATTACCAGGGCCAACTTTTTCAATTGAATTTCAAAAAGAATATGGTTCTGATGTTTTTGAAATTCAACAAGATGTTATTCCAAAAGGTGCTAAAGTTTTAATTGTTGATGATATTTTAGCTACTGGTGGTTCTGCTTATGGTGCTGGTGAATTAGTTAAAAAATTGCAAGGTGAAATTGTTGAATATTTATTTGTAATGGAATTGGATTTCTTAAAAGGTAGAGATAGATTAAGTGCTCCTGTTTATACTTTATTTGGAGGTCAAGAAGAAGAATTGAAAAACTAAAATATGTCATGAAAATGAACTTTTGATTTAAATAATTTTATAGACTAATTATATATTGATATGACTTGAAATTAAATAGTTTGGCTTTAAAATGATCTTGCTAGTTCAATTGCATCCTTTGAGTGCTTTGTTGCAGCATCCTTACATATTATCCACTCTTAAAAATCAAAAATGCTAAATCTCCAATATAAAAATATATAAAATAACCTTGTTCATGAGTTACATAACTACCAAATGATTTACCAACAATAACATGCCAACAAGGACCATAAACATTATCTAATTCTTTTTTCAAAAATGCTGCAATTTCTTTTTCAATTGAATAATTTGAAACAGCCTGTGAAGCTAATTCAAATACTTTAGTTTGGATCTCTTCTGATAAATCTGATGCTTTTAATATAGCTAGGTAAAATTAGTACTCTATCTTCTCGATTTTCACTCCAATTAGCGTACATACGAGCATTTTCTATTTCTGACATGGTTTTGAAATTGGTTAGTTTTGATTTCAGATTAACTTTTTTTTTAATTTTCGCCTGGTGTAAATGAAACAAATAGCCTTACATCATAGACTGGCATTTATACCAAATAGAGTTTATACTGGAGAGACTATTCTATTGCCGTACAAGATATTGATATTATAATTTCTCATAGTTAACTTTATTTCCTAAGACACCACTTTTAAAATCATTTATACCTAAACTTGTAGTATGACTCCATGGTTTTAGCTTATTTTCACTTTCAATAACATTAGCAAAACAAGATAACCAACCTTCTCTTGAATATTTCTTATTGATTACATTTAATGTATCTTTATGAATTAAATCAGTATTTTTACCAACATTATCTAAAATTGTACTAATTTGTAAAATTAAACCCAATGTAGTAATATATCCAGATTCACCAAGATCTTGATGTCTTATAATCGCTTCAGTAACAGCATCTGCAAACTCTTGATTACAATCCGTTTGCTTTAAAATCAAATCTCTACTTATTATACCACCATAAAATTCAAATGACATTTTAGTTGCTTTTAAATTATGATCTGTTGTACCAATGTCATGTAATAAACTAGTGACAAAAATAACTTCATGATCTAATTTCCAATCTGGAAATTGATCATGAATAATAGCTAAACTATATAGATAAACTCTAACTGAATGATTAAATGCTTCAATTGGTAATTTCTCCTTTGCATAATCGTGGATAAATTTCAGTAATGGTTTCTTTAATGGTAATTCAGTGTTTAATTGAGCAGTTGGTGGCCTCTTATTTGGAATTGCCTTTTCAACATCTCTTTCAATCTTGTCAAACCCATAAATTGAAGTCATTTTAGAAATATGTTGCTAAAAAAAAGTATGGGGAATTTTAATCTATTTATAGTTGAATTTTTCGGCTGCAACAAATCGGAAATTTGCACCCAAAAAACGTTGATGTAATTAATGTACTCGTTCCATCCTTACCATTCTTCAGACTTGGAAACTACTTCACTGATGATAAACAATAATGCCTCAGTACAATTTGGTACTTGCTCAAATTGAAAAAATTCTTGACGAATGATAAACAATAGTGCTTATGGACAATTAATACTTGCTCAATCAGCAAGAACTCTTAATAGTTGAACTACGGTTAGTCTTGCATTACGTGTTGCTCGTGACTTAGTACCACCTGCTCCGTTTATTATTGTTGGTGGTGTTCTTTACCATCGTTATCATCATTATTTAATTTATTGTTATCAAGGTCTTATTACTTATATGCCTTTGTTATTTTATCAAAAAAACTATATTTGTTAGCTCATCCTTGCGCAAGCTCTCGTAATTTAAACTGTATTCTATCAAATTGAGCTCATACTAGAACATGGAACAAAATTTTACTTATTTGCAGCTTCCTAGCTTAAATATTGACCATAATCTAACATAATCGTGAAATCCTTTCAATTTCATTATTCATGATATCGGACCTAATAGCCTATGGCAACTCGTTAAAAGATTATATGAGTTACCAAATAGAGTCATTTAGCATCATCATCGCTAATTTAAGTTATGCTTATACAGTCTGTTTTCTGTATGACAAAAAGTTCAAGTTATGGACCGCACCTCATTTACTAAAACTGGTTGAGATTGGTGGCGAAAATTGTGAAATTGACATTGATAAAAGAACACCAAATGCTAATTATGTACGACAAACGTGCTAGATTCAAATCAATTAAGGAATTCGACCAAGTTATGGAATAACTCAGAATGCACCCTGAAATCGTCTTTCCTAAGTGTTTTGATAAGTCATATAAGAGGCAGATTGATAAATTAAATAAATCGAAGATTGTTCGAATTTCGTGGTATTCATATGATTACGAACACTTACCATTATTATTATTATTCAACACAAATGTATCATTAACAATATCAAGAGTAAAAGTTGAGGAATTCAAATATCTATTCAACGTGAAGAAGCTTTGCCTTTTTGAGATATTGCCAAGTGTAGAAAACTTATCGACTGCTCTTAACAACAATGTAGACGTTTGTGAGTTTGTCGAAGAATGTTTAGATAAATCTAAGATAAGTCATATAAAATTTCTGGGTGACAATGTTAGTACTTTAACTGCTGTCGTACCACATCTTACAAATGTCAAGTATTTCCATATGATGGTTGAATATATATCATATGGATTTGGAAGTACTTCGTTTTTTAATTTTCCAAAAACATTAACCGAATTGTACTTGGACATCGAATTTCATGTTTCTTTCAATTCATTAAAATCGTTGACAACATTGTAGAAATTCAAATTTAAGATCACCCCCTTTCCAGGTGAGCTATTCAAAACTGGAGATAACGTATTCCCAGATTTATTATGTTTTGGTTATCACGTCTCCGACGAAAGATTTGTGTGTATGTTTTATACAGATCATCAAACTTATATGTATAAGATTGATTCATCAATAAAATTATTAGATAGTTTAACTCATTTACAACTTTCAAGTGTGTTTTTAATACTTGGTAAAAAGTTTTACTCCTCAAAATTTATTCTGCTTTGAATCAGAAAGGTATAACCGAAATGATCCAGAAACTATTGCAAACATTGAATTTTTGAGATCGAAAATTAATAGATTGTGCTTAAAATGTGCTGCTATGTGGTCAATTCCTTCTGCTCCTTATAAATTGTATGGTTGAATGGAAGTATATTCATACTTCTTAGTCCCTGAATGTTTATGAACAATAAATAATAACCATTTAAAAATTTGGCATGTAGGAAAAACAATAGAGCGATAGAGCGCGAGAATTAATGGCCTTGATTTACTATCCTGGAGCAAATCTAACACGAAGCATCAATCCCACTTGGCCCCAAATTTAAAAGTCAAACATTGTCAACAAAATCAAAAGATGGCATTTTCTAATTAATAAATTCCAATTATCCTAATATTTCTCGTTCGAATGGTACCAAAAACGGTAAACTTACAACAGAATTGAATGCGTAATACTTGATTGTCAAAACATAATGGGTTTTTTGATATTTTTTTGTGCGCGATCTCAGAAAAACTTTTAGTTTTGCGTCAAATCTCCTTATATCTATAGATTTGCAGCCGATCTCAGATCTAGATCGCGCTTTTGCAGCCTTTTATTGGGCTTGTTTAATATTTTACTATTTTAAATGTCTTGCATAGTTGCAATTAAACTGCAAAGACAAAAAGTTATAACTTCTATATCAGTCTCTGTAGCATGAATTACTTTGACCAAAGCTTGTCGATCGTCCAAAGTGAGTAATTTAAAAAATTATATATAGACAGGGACATATAAATCTACTTTGCTACATACCATCAACCTTTTACTTCTATATTTTGGTTATGTCATGCTTCAGTTTCGCGTGATTTTATGTCAAACCGGTTCTGAAATTTGTAGATTTGATCTTTAGTATTATTTTTTTTTTTTTCGTTTATAATGGCACAAGCAGTGGTGCAAGCTCTCACACTAAGTTGGATAACTTCTGGCCTAATTTTTGCTCCATGTTTGTCCAAAATTTATTGCAAGTGAAAAATTGAAAATATTGATTTAACTTATATGCAGTCTTACAATAGTAAATCTTAAAACTTAATTTGTAAATAACTACCTCAATTTCCGAGAAACTGATCTCAAACTTTTCTCACAAAACCTCCCACCAATTTACATTAGCCTGAAGTTAATATTATTTAATCAAACATAATTTTGTTCATTTAATTCAACATTGAAAAAACGGAAAAAACCGGCTAATTGCAAAATAACTAATACTTAGATATCCGTTTGCAACTTCTAACATAGTTGATTTAGTTCGTTTAAACCCAAATTTGATTTGTAGAACGCTTTGCAGACGCCAGAATCAGTTTGAATTTTTTTTCAAAAATTTCGAAACACTTTTTAAAAATTACTTTTTCCATTTTTGACACTTAACAAACAAAATTACAAAATTTATCAGTTTACAGAAACTACAAAATTAGGTTATTTTATCGTAGTTTCATCACAATTTTTGTTGTGGAATTATATTGTTTGTAAGGTCAATTTATTAGAATTTTACCATACTTAAGAGAAAATTTCAAATGTTTTCAGTTTTAGTTCTGGTCATCTAGACTTAAGATAATCACTTTCTTTTAAGCACTGATATATATAATAATCTGTTTAATTGAAAGTTATGGTGCTAAATAAACCATACTCTGCGTTTTCATTTTTGAAAATATTTTGTATGGACAAATATTGCCAAATTGATAATGAAGAAAAAAAATGTCTGAAATATAACACATGCAGTATGTAGAATATAAAATTCGGGAGTTTCCGATTTCATAAAATCAGGTTTCAGCTATTTAATGCTTGAATATTGAGGGAGGTATTTACGATTCAAAAGTTCTGAGCTAAACTACTGTTAGACTGCATATAAACCAAATTCGTTTCAGAATTTGATTATTTTGTGGTACGAAGCTTTCGCATGGCTTGGTGTGAAAGCTTGATCGAAAACCTTTTATTTAAGGCTAGAGCTGGTATTGTCGATAGGACAGAAATACAGATGTTTTTAATACGGAAGAAGAAAGTATAGATGTGTATTTATAAAATCATAATACTATTGAATCATTATTTCTATTAAACTTCAGTTCCAAAGTTTCATAATTCCAATGTTCGATGTTTTCATATTCACTTGTATTTATAACCTTTTTGATCAATCTACCATGATATAATTTAATCAATTTCAACTCCTTTAAATAATAATTCTCAAATAAAAACAAACAATCCTTGTGTTCAACATCGTCACCTAATAATTTATTTAAAATGTGAATATTAAACTGATATAAATTATCAATATAAATCATTTTTAAATTTGGAAAGAAATTGGAATCAAAATCATCTTCACTTTTAGCTATTAAAGAACCATCTACTTGATATCCTCTAGGATTTCTATATAACCATGGATCTAATTCACGAATGATAAATACTGGGTTAATATTTTTCAAATCCAAAATTCTTAAAGTTTCTCTTGATTCGTAAATCATCTTAGCTAATATCATTGAAATCTGAAACATTGGTGATTCATAACTTGCAAATGGTATTTTCTCAGCAACTCCTTGCCATTTAAAATCTGGAACTGATCTAAAATTTGGAAAATATTTTGATACTTTATTTATACTTAATGGATACTTTGTTTCAAATTTTAATTTTTCAAGCTTGTCAAAAATTGGAACTTCAAACGTGTCTAATAATCTATTGAAGTAGTTAATTTTAGAAGTTAATATGATTGATAACCTTTTTAATCTTGGAGAATGTAAATTTAAAAGTCCAAATAAATATTCCATTGAGCTTAATGTTAATGTGACATCTTCAAGAAATTCAAAAGTATATATTGAATCATAAATTAGGGTTAGAAACATCTTATCAAATCTGAATTTTGGAGTTATATCAATATGAACAGTGTTGACTCGAATTATTGAAGTGTATTTAATTAGCGTTTCTAATCCAATATATGAAATAGAGTTTGGTTTATTGGTTAAACTGATGACTAATTGTTTTAATGTGTAAATGAGGAAAATGTAATTGTTATAAAAGGTTTTACAAGTTAATATGAATGGTAAAATATGATGAAAATGTTGATTGTCAAATTCAAAACGGTATATTAATATTTTGATAATTACTTCATATGGTAAAACAGCAATGGTAGTTGGTTTGATAACTCTGAATGGATATAAATCCAGCAAGTCTAGGTAACTTGGTCTTTGAAAATAATCTATCGTAGTCATTTGTGGTTGATTAAATAAGTGTTGCAAATAATTTGATATTTTTTTAAATATGCGTTAATTGATTTTATTTATATACACCAACAAATTGATATACCAAGAAAGTAGAGATAATGCTTTGATATGGTCTCAAAACACTGGACATTATACCTTCTTCACGTCTAGTTGATTAAGCGGGTAATATATCGTTGGGACCCACTTCATTTTGACCAAATATTTTAGCTTACATCTTTCTTCTTCTTGCCACGGCATAAATCATGAGAAATACTTAGCTAGGCCCGCTTTTAGTCCTGAACAGCTGGTTTCCTGTACTAATCAATTTGTTAATTCAATTTGCAATCTGAATACACATGGTAGCTCTATTTGCATACGTAATTAGCCTTTCTCGCTTCAAGTCTAATTTTCAGTAAACAGATCAAGCGAATACCAAGAAGTATGACTGAAGCATTGGCTTCAAATATAAATACACATTATTATAAACTAGCACATATAAATGTAATAAATTATACAATATTATCATCAAAATTGAATAATGATCAACTGACGTTAGAATTAGAATTAATAATTAGAAATAAAAATCCAAAAATTTTAATCACTTATTACAACAAAAATTTATTCTATTTCACATTTGGTCATACTGATTCAGAAATTGCAATTGAATTAGTAAGTACTTATCCAAATTTAGAGATAAAATATTCTGGCTCAATACTGGCTGAAAAATTTGCAAATCCGCCCAAGGCCAACATTAACAATTCCAACGAAAATGAAGATTATTTAGCATTTGCAAGTTTAAGTTTATTAAAAGCTATAAAGAAAATGATACTATATAATTTATCATTAAATGGATTTGTCAAAATATTTGGAAATTATTGTGTTGTGCCTCAAGAGAATAGTTATTCAATCTTATGCATTGATCCAATATTATTTCCTAATGGTGATTTATTAATTTCAATAATTGAGAAACACTCAATAAGGTTATTTGATCCAGAAGTAATATATCCTAAAGAAATAACTGAAATAGAGACAAATTTCGTAATTTATATTATACCATCAGGGATAAGGTGTCATTTATTCGACGTTACTAATTTTAAAAATAATATAGTTGAATCTCCACCAGTTAAAGATTTTGAAAAGTTGAATAACCTAATTAAACTATGTACGGGAGTAGATGATTGCAAACTAAATAATAAATTATGGGTGAAATTGATACCTAATCTAAAACATTTAAATAATCAAACTTCGTCAATTTCAAAATTTTTACACTCGGTAGATAATAAGAAATTTATATTGTGGCCTTGGAATTTATGTTTATTACAATTTGGAAAATATGAAAAACTACAAGAACTTGAAGAAGAAGATGAAAGTGTTTCAAATCCAATTGATTTAATTTCCGAATTTATTGATTTTAATATTGATAATAATTTACAATTACAAAGAAAGCAAGAATTGGAATTACAAGAACAACAACAAAAGATAGAGTCGAGTAATAGTGGTCCTTTTAGTGTACCGAGTGCCCAATCCACAGCAGCTGGTTCAGTAGGAAATATAAATGATGCTCCAAGAGATATTACTTCTATTGATATAAATATCAATACTCCAATGGGTGCAGATATATTTAATTTGCAACATCCTGATGCATTCTTCACAAATCCACCAATTGAAGAAAGGAAACAAGAGACAAAACAGAAAGATAAAGATGAAGATGATGAAATGGATGAATTGTTTGGTAGTGGTGATAGTGAAGAAGAAGAAGAAAAAAAGGATGAAGAACAAGAGAATGAAAAATCTGAAGATTTTAATGATTTATTTGGTGGTGAATCTGAAGATTTAGAAGACGAAGAAACTAAGGAAAATCAACAAGAATTACCTATTGAAGAACCACATATTGAAACTGGTAAACAACCACTGATTAAACCATCATATATTGATATTCTTAAAAATCAAATGACTATAAAGAAATATGAATCTCCAGAATATAAAGATCCTGGTGCTCCATTACCCATAATACCGACACCTTATACTCAAACAATACAACCACCACCTTCATCATATGGGACTAAATCACCATCAGTAACTAATTCAGAACCAATGAATGATCATAGTAATAATAATGAACAAATAAGTCATTATCCACCATCAAATATTCCACCTCAAAAATCTGCATTTTCACCAATTTTATTCAATCCAATTATTAAAAGTGATATAGATACAAAATATGGATTAGGTGGTAAATTTTATGTTGATAAAGATTCAAAAGATAAAAATATAGAAGAAAAGAGGAAAGTAAGAGCTACAAGTGTTAGTGGACAAGAAATTTCATTTTCAAAAGATGATAAACGAAAATTGAAGATGCATATGGATGCAATTCAATCATCAAGTTCAGAAAATGACGATGAGGATGATGAAATGAGTGAGAATATCTATGATGATGATGACAATGAAAAAGAAAGTGATGAAGATGAAGATGTAGAAATGAAGAATTCAACTCCATTGAAATTAAACACTTATGAAACTCAACAACCTGTGAATTCAGGAACTGTATCTGCCGAAAATACAAGTTTTGTTAATAATCAAAATTTTAACCAAATACAACATCACCCTCAAAATTCAATACAATCAACAACTATACATACAAGTGGATTTGCTTCTCCTATTGGTCAACAAATTGGGAAATTTAAACCTGATTCACCATCATTTAATGAATTACAACCATCTATGTCACCTGCATTTTTAGATAATATGCCATTACAATCTCAACAGTCACCAAATTTACAACCAGCAAGTACAATAAATGATAATAAAGTAGTTGCATCTCCAAATAAACCAAATGAGTCACAAAATTATTTACCTTTGATACTTCGAAGTGTCAATGTTTCATCAATACCAGATACATTTATAATGAATAATTTAACGATCAATGAATTGATACGGCCTCCTACATTTGCCATAAATGATGATTTCATGGAAACAGATTTAGATATAACAAAAAGTAATGAGATGATTATAAAATCAGAACACCTCAAAGAATTTTTAAATTATTTATCATCAAATGTTGTTTTCGATTTAGGTTTAAATTCAAATGTATCTAATTTGGAATATTATTATGTTAATAATCAAGACTCAGTTATAAATTATGAAACTCCTAGTAAGTCATTCATGTCAAATTTTCAAAAAATATTTCCATTCTCTTATAATGTTAAATTAGTTGAATTTTTACAAGATTATAAACAATTTGAGAATGATGAATTGGATAATCAATTAAGCTTTCTAGATGATATAACTACACCTGATGAATCGGATCCAAAACAACAATACAAGAATATAAAGAGTCTCGAATGGAATTCATTAGAGAAATCAAGTAATGAAAGTTATGCAGAATATGTTAAATCAATACTGAGTTTAAACACAAGTGCAAAAATAGATAATGATGAGTTTTTCAAATTACCTAATATTAAATCAAGAGTAATGAAAAATGAAAACATTGTTAATCTAAATACAATTGGTCTTGAATTTTGGAAATATTTGAATATTCTGCCTATTAAACGACAAAAAAAGTTTCAAGTATTATTAATTGGTGAAACTGCTGATAATAATTATGCAAATATACTCCTTGATCAAATTATCAACAATTATAAAGAATGCAATTTTGGAATCATAACCAAGTTAAATTTATCTACTGTTGAAACTAGACCTGATTTAGAACCTATTTCAAATGGATTATTATTATTACATAAGGATAAAAATCAATCATATAATGATTTTTATGTACAATTAAATAAGAAGTTATCATCAGTTGTTGAGTTAATTAGGTTGGATCTAATTAATAAAACTACCAATTTTGAATTTGATCGTCCTTTATTATTATTATTTATTAATTTCAATAAGAGTTTAAATTCAAATTTACAAATTTGTAAAATATTTAGAAACTTTAAAGTATCATTAATGAAACATCAATTATTATTAGTTTCATTTTCCACTAAAATATTACCGTCTGAATTTGTATTAAAACAAGTACATGATGAAACAAATTTAAAAGTATTTAGTAACTATAAATATTCCAAAATTTCAATGAATTTATATAATCAATGTCCAATTAATTCAATGAATAATAATAAAGAAACTATCCCCAATGAAATTTTTACAAATATTGTTAAAGAACCACCAAGTAAAATTCAATTCAAATTTATGAATTCAAGTCTAAAAGATAAATGTTTCGATGATGATATTTTCTTACATTTAGCATATGAGAGATCAACTGATAAGAATTGGTTTGCTGCTTCTTGGTCAGATCCATTGGGATTAGTCACATATACTAAATCATGGTATTGTAATCAAAGTACAAATATGAATTCAAATGGAAATGGTCAATTTCGTCAACAATCTAATTCCGATGACTGGGATCTTAATAGTATTACAGATGATATATGGAATATTTCAAATGAATTATTTAAATCCCTAATTGATGAAATGAATAATAAAGCACCAATAAGTAATAATGGAGTTAAAAAATTTTTAGTACTTACTAGAATTAATTCAATTATTCCAGATGATGAATTAATTCATTGGAAAAGATTAAGTATTAAATCAAAAGATGTATCATTGATTGTATTATCAGTGAATCAAACTCCAAAATTATTATTCACGAATGAGGATGATTTAATACTACAAAAAGATGTATTATATTCAAATGATTCAAGTCCAAATTCAATTCCAACTACTGCAAATTTAATTACTTCACCAAATGGGATTAATTTCCATTCTCCACAACTGTTTTTAAATGCAAGTGCTAATTTTTTGTCACCGCAAGATTTAATTACACCAGCACCAAATGGAACCTCATATACTAATAATTCACTAAGTATATCGATCAATGATGTTGATTTGATAATTGAAGATCCGGAAGAAGTAATATATGGAATAATACCAAATACATCCTTACCTTCATTTAATTCACCAACTAGAGCTGGTATGAAGATTGGATATTTATTAAAAGAATGGGATATTAGAAATGGGAAAAAGACATACTTGGTATTTGAGATTAATTTATTAAGTTGTTCAAATTATTGGGATCTAAATGTGTTAATGAAGTTAATCCTTAAACAATATAAGAAATTAATCGTGTTGAATGATATATTATGTATGAATATAGTTGATGGAAGAGTCAAAATTAATGATCCCGACAACAAGGATAATAAGAAGGAACAAATCTACAAGATGAACAAGTTAATACCATGGCATATCAGTGCAGTTGGTAAACTAATCAATTATTTAGTTCATATATATGTTGAAGATAATAGTAATAAATGATCCCAGGTACACTACTTTGATGATTCCATAAATTTATATTTTTTTTTTTTTTTGTGCGTTGAAATTTGACCATATAGATTTATCAAATTTACCACTCGTAATTATGTCAGATAATGGTATAAAACAAGAAGATGCAGAGAATAATAATCCTATAAAACAAGAAGAACAAGAAAATGATTTAACATTTGATGAAGAATTTAAAAGAGCAGCAGCAGAAGAAAATAATGATCAAGAAACTAATGATCAAGATGATGATCACGACCGAGAAGAACAAGACATAAAGAAACGTCCGAGAGAAGAAGACAATGAGGAGGATGACGATGATGATGATGATGATGATGACGATGATGATGATGAAGATGATGAAGAAGACGATGAAGTATCAACTAAACGTAGAAAAAGAAGAAAAGGTGCCAATCAATTTTTCGATATAGAAGCCGAAGTTGATGATGATGAAGAAGAAGAGGAAGATGAAGAAGATGAAGAAGCTGCAGAATTACGAGAAGAATTTATTACAGACGATCATATACATGATGATGAAGTACAACATAATGATGATCGAACTCATCGAGAATTTGATAGAAGACGTGAAGAAGAAATTGAAAAAGATGCAGAACAGATAGCAGCTGAATTAGAAAGAAAACATAGAAAGAATTATAAAACTTATAAAGGACAAACTTCTAGTGGTGCAGTATCACAAAAATTATTAATGCCTTCAATTAATGATCCATCTATATATGCAATTAGGTGTAATCCAGGTAAGGAAAAAGAATTGGTTCGTAAATTATATGAAAAAAAAGCTACATTTTATAGACAAGGTAATCCATTAGATATTTTAACTGTTTTCCAAAGAGATGCATTTAGAGGTTATATATATATTGAAGCAAAACGACCAGATGCAATAGATAAAGCAGTTCAAGGTATGGTTGGTATATTCTCAAATAATAAATTATTAGTTCCAGTTAAAGAATATCCTGATTTATTGAAACAAGTTAAATCTTCAGATGTTGAAATTTTACCTGGAATATACGTTCGTATTGCAAGAGGTAAATATAAAGGAGATTTAGCAGTTGTTGAAAATTTATCAGAAAATGGTTTAGAAGTTTTATGTAAAGTTGTTCCAAGACTAGATTATGGTAAATCTGTTGAATTTGATTCAGAAGGTAAAAAAATAAGATCAAAAATTAGACCTCCACCAAGATTATTTAGTGAACAAGAAGCTAAAATACATGATAAAGATAATTTACAAATTGGAAATCAACCTAGAAATTTCATATATAGAAATGAAGAATATCAAGATGGATTTTTATATAAAGATTTTAAATTACAATACATACAAACAAAAGATGTAAATCCAAGATTAGAAGAATTGGATAGATTTCAAACTGGTGAAGAAGAAGGATTGGATTTAGCAGCTATTGCAGCATCTTTAAAATCAAAAAATCTTGATGGTAATAAATCAACAGCTTTTCAACCTGGTGATAAAGTTGAAATACGTCGTGGTGAACAAGCTAAAACTTTGGGTATTGTTTTAGAAGCAGCAGTTAATGAAATCACGATTAAAGTTACTGATTCAGGAGATCCTGGTTTTAAAAATCAAAGATTAACTGTTCCTGCTAATGATTTAAGAAAGGTTTTTAATGAAGGTGATCATGTTAGAATAGTTGAAGGTAAACATGCAGATGAAACTGGTTTAGTTATAAAAATTGAAGGTGATAATGTCATGTTAGTTTCTGATCAAACAAAAGAAGATGTTAGAGTATTTGCAAATTATTTAGTTAAAGCTACTGATGCATCAACAAATGCAAATATAAGTAATCAATATGATATAAAGGATCTTGTTGAGTTGAGTGCTTCAAATGTTGGTGTTATAGTTAAATCTGAAAAGAATATTTATGAAGTATTAACAACTGATGGTAGAATACTTTCAGTTAAACCTTCTGGAATTGCGTCAAAATTAAAATTAAGAAAACATGAACAAATATCGACTGATAAAAATGGTTTTGGTATATCGGTTGGTGATTCAGTTAAAGAAACATTAGGAGAAAAAGGAAGAGAAGGTCCAATTATACATATTTATAAAAATGCATTATTTATAAAATCAAATGAAATAGTGGAGAATTTGGGTATATTTGTTACAAATAGAATGAACGTTATATCTACAAAAGATGCAAAAAGAGGAACAGGTCCAGATTTAACAACAATGAATCCAAATTTAAAATTACCAAATCCAACAATAACAGCAGGTTTTAAAACAAGAGCTGGTGGAAAAGATAAATTATTATATAAAGATGTTGCAGTTACAAGTGGAGCTTACAAGGGATTAAAAGGTAAAGTTACTGAAGCTGATGATATATATGCAAGAATAGAATTACATACAAAAAGTAAGAAAATTAAAGTACTCAAGAATAACCTAAATGTTTTACAAAAAGGTGAAGCAATACCTTATTTAAGATTTATAGGTGCACAACCTGCTCAAGAACAAAATGATGGATTTTCACAACCTAATGCTCCAGCATTTAGTTCACAACGTGCATTTGATGGTGGTAGATCTGCTTGGAATGGAGCTCAAACTCCTTCAGTATCTGCTGATGGACAATCTAAATGGGGTAACAGATCTACTTGGAATGGAGGTAAAACACCTGCGTATGGTGCTGGTGCTGCTTCAACCTGGGGCGGTGCTGGAAATGCAACTGCTTATGGTGGAGCTGCTTCTACATGGGGAGGTGCTGGAAATGCAACTGCTTATGGTGGAGCTGCTTCTACCTGGGGAGGTGCTGGAAATGCAACTGCTTATGGTGGTGCTGGATCTACTTGGGGTGGAAATAAAGGTGGTGCTTCAGCCTGGGGTGGTAATAAAGAAAGTGCATCAACTTGGGGTGGTAATAAATCAACAAAAGATAATGCTTCAACATGGAAAGCTAATAAAGAAGGTAATCAGTCAGCATGGGGAGGTAATTCTCAATGGAATTCAGGTGGTAATTCTCAACATAAATGAAATGAAAGTAGTAGTAGTGGTGGTTGGACTTAAGTAAATATATATTTAATTATTTTCACATCCTGGACAATTATGTAAAGTTTCATGTACGAAAACATCACAATTTATACAAAAATCATTTGTACATTTAAAACATCTATATCTTGAACTCGTCATGCTTTCTAAAACACCTGGATGTGTACCTGGTTTTACACCTCTGGGAAATTTCAATTGACAACCGTAACAATATTCAGAATCATAAGATTCAGCAATGGGAACTTCTTTATAAGGAGCTAATGGTATTAGATGATGATATGATCTAGCTAAATGAGTTGATAAAATTAACATTAATCCACAAACAGGACATATTGTCGGTAGATTTGTAACTCTACTTTTACATTGTGGACATTGATAACCTATAGTTGTTGATGATAATAATGTAGTATTTGTATTTACTTCAACTACATCTTTTGATTCATCTGAACCTTGAGTTGGAAAAGATGCATTTAATTGTGGGAACTCAACTGTAAAATCGGTATTACCAATTGTTGAAGTCACTATAGGTTGAACTTTTGAAGGGAAACCCATTTTTATAATTGGTACTCCATTATTTAAACTTGCTTCTTCTTGTTTTTCCTTTTCTGTTAATGCTAACGGTGTTACAAAATCCATTAATAATTCTTTAAAATGTGATTCATTTAATATAACTCCATAATGTTTAGATCGTGATAATTTTGGTTCATGATTTGTTCTATTTACAATTTCTTGACATATGGCAACTTGAGCAGATAAACCAATTATTGAAACTTTAATTTCATCTTTTACTAAACTTTGTATTGTTTTATGAATATCACCAGGATCAGAAGTAAATAAAGAACCATAAATCATTAGCACTTCTTTTGAATTTTTAGTATTATTTGAAGTAGTACCAAAATTAAATTTTAATAAAGCTCTAGCCATTTCTAAAGCATTTTGTAATGATGCATCACCACTTGGTTCAAATTTATTATGTTGTCTAATTTTTAATTGTCTTAATTTATCAATATGATATTGTGGCAGCCCAGAAACTTCAGAAACTAAATGTGCAACACCATTTCTCATTAAAACTATACCTAATTGAGATATTGGATTTTGATCAAAAAATTCAATTATAAAATCAATACAATAATTTAAACTTAGAGTTAACCTAGTTGGTCTTAAATCTTTTTCAGCCATTGAATTTGATCCATCAATTACTATAACTAAAGTTCGTATAATACCTCTTTGAAATGGAGTTGCTGGATTTTTCATAATTTTCTTCTTTCTATTTTCTATAATTTGTTGTACCATTGATTCAAATGACCCTTGTTGATCATCATCTTTAACTATATCCCAAGATCTTTGATATTCATCTTCCCATGAATAACCACCATTATTACCTTTTAAATTATCATCTGTTGTACCACTTTTCCTTGCTCTTGTTCTTGTAGAAACACCTTCTTTGGACCTTGGAGATTCAGGAACAATTGAAGAGAACCTTGAAGAAGGTGTTATACCCGATAAATACTCTTCATCTGAATCATCCATAGTATTATAAATATTTTGCTACCAGAAAAATTTATGTCGTATATTTAAGAACTACCATTTCATAGTTAATAGAACCATCACCTTCAATACTATAGAATAAGGAACCAAAAGAGTCTATTTGTTGTTGAGTAATGTCTCCTAATTCTTGTTCTAAAAATGGTATTCGTTTTAATTCTTCTAGTTTCAAGAAATCTTTAACATTATAACCTTCATTCAATCTTGGAGTCAATTCAAGACTCCCATCTTCAAATATACGCAATCGTTCCTCTCCAAGATTGTAAATAAACTCTTCTTTGGTTATTGTAAATTGATTCGGTGGAAACAACTTACTCTCTATATCTTTATTCTTCTTTAATTTTGGCGTCGGGGCCGATTCATTTTCTTGAATATAAAAATTTCTCAATAATTGAATAGCTTCAGTTCGACATATACCACAAATACTCTGATATGTAGAATTGAGTAAATTATCACTGTGTATGGATAGTATAGTACCATTCCCACCAAATCTATCATTTCCACAACCAAAATATACTTTTCTAATACGTAATTGTCTTAAATATGAAGCACACATAATACATGGTTCAACAGTGACATATAATACTAAATCATTATAATTTATATTCTTGTTTTTAAATCGTTGTAATGCTATAAACTCAGCATGTTGAGTACCATTTAATGATTTATTAGTATAATTATAACCAATACTTATTATCTTGTTAGTCTTAATATCTTTTATAATACAAGCTACTGGTGTTTCATTGTTTAATAGTGCTTTATAACCTATAAATGTAGTGATAGCCATACACTTAAAATGTTCAGTTAAATCCATTCAATACCATTCCCATGAAAAATAGAAAAAAATGTTTCAGATTTTTGATCTCAAATTATGTCAGATTTACATAAATCATTTTTAAAAAGAATAAAACAACAAGAAAATCGACTAGGTATAAGTATAAACGAAGAAAAGAATGGTGATGATGATGATAATGATATAATTGAAAATTATAAAGAATTTAAATCAACTTTTAAAGCTAAAATTTATGAGAAAGATGGGTGCCAATTTCAAACTTATTATAAACCTCCAAAAGATAATAACCACGTATTATTTTGTCATCATGGAGCTGGTTCTTCGTCAATGACATTTGGTGAATTAACAAAATTTATTAATGATGACTCAATTGGTTTCTTTTTATTTGATATGAGAGGCCATGGTAATTCAACAATTCAAGAAAATTATTCATTAGATGTCTTAGTTGATGATGTACATTATCTACTATCTAATTTCATTAAAGAATATAATCCTGACTCTATATTCTTCTTGGGTCATTCTTTAGGTGGTGCTGTATTTGCTAAATATACTAAAATTCATAAAATTTCATTAATCAAGGGTTTAATCTTATTAGACATAGTTGAAGAAACAGCAGTACTGGCATTAAGTTCGATGCCACAGTTCATAGCAAATAGACCAACTACCTTCTCATCAATTTCAAAAGCTATTGATTGGCATATGAATTTTTTATTATTTAATATAAATTCTGCTAGGATAAGTATACCCGATTTATTTCATAAAAATCTAACTTGGAAAACAGATTTAAGTCAAACTGAAAATTATTGGAATACTTGGTTTACTGGTCTATCGGACAATTTTTTGAATTTTCAAGGTAGTAAGTTGTTAATTTTATCAGCACATGAGACATTAGATAAAAGATTAATGATCGGTCAAATGCAAGGTAAATATCAATTAGTGATTTTTGGAAATAATGAAAAATCAGGTCATTTCATTCATGAAGATCTAGCTAAACAAGTATCAATTTGTATTTCTGATTTTATTAAAAAATCAATGTATCCTGAAAAATTCATGAGAGATGATTTAGGAATAACACCAAAATGGGGAGGAAATATAAATAAATAATAGATTTTTTATTCAACACTAATATTACTTTTTTCTAATTCTTTTTGTCTTTGATTTATAAGTTTGACATGTTCGTCAATTTTTTTGCTTGCAAATGGAAATCTTGGATTTATTAAAAATGGACGTAAATCAAATCTATTATCATCTGGTGAATATTGTTCTGCATGATATGCTGGTGTCATAGTTGTCATTTTATGTCTATTAATAGCATAAAAAAACCAAAATCTTTTAACTTTTTCGGCTACTTGTTCAGCAGTTAAATTATAAGGTGGTTGTGACCATTCATGATATAATTTAATAAACATTTCTAATGGTCCACATTTATCAACCTTCCTTAATGTTCCAAATCTTGATAATTCATCATAGGTCATTCCCATATCTATTTCATCACTTTGTACATAATCTTTAGTAATTGGTTCCAATTCAGCAGTTGGTGTAGCTGTGATAAATTCGTTTAAGATTGGAAGGTTAAAGTTTATTTCTGCCCATTTAATAAATCTTTTTAAATCAGTTTTTGAAATACCTCCAATTGGATTAATATCAGCTGATGAACAATCATATTTTGTTAAATAACCTCTTAAACATTCATCTACATTTGCACTTCCCAATACTAATAAACCAGGTACTTGTTTACCTCTTGTCCATGGTAATAATTGTGCAAATAAATAACTTAGTACCATTCTTAATCTTGCTTGAATGTTTTGTAATGCTAAATTTTCAGTTTGTGAACCTCCAAATACTTTAAAGATTGGTTTTTTACCAGTTGCAACTTCAAATAATGAAACTACTGCAGAAACTAAATTATCCATATTTAAATCAACATGATAAGAACCAATTTTTTCAGCCAATTCATTTGCTCTTGACCTAGTTTCTGATGAAGAATTTTCAGTGCCCATGAAGGAAGTATAAAATAATCTTTGTGCAATTTCTTGTGGTGTCTTTGGTGTAAATTCTTCATCTTTAACTAATAGTCTAATATCTTTCAATACTTGTTCTTCATTTGATTCAACAATTAATCTACACATCAGGTGGACTATTACTGCAGTTGCACAAGAATCAATCCCACCACTTAATGGTAAGAAATAACCACCACATTTTGATCTTCTTAAATAATCCCACAACCAACATGCTGGACCGAATGCAATTTCTTCTTCTGGTAGATGATATTTAATCGGTATTGGTTTTGTTGGAATTATAGTTGGATTAAAAACATGTTCACTTGGTGATAATTCAATATCAACATATACAATTCTATAATGATCTTTTAAATTTACACTTTGCATGTGGGCAGATTTTTGATTTCTATATGATCTAACATCATCTAAATCAACAGTAGCTGTGATTACCTCAACATCTTTTAATGAAAATTGTGAACCTTGAGCTACCATTTTCCCATTTTTAATAATTGAAGCACACCCATCATAATATAATCTATCACCATCGCAACCTTTTTGATTTGAATATAGATATATACCACCACATTTTTTAGTTGCTTCAGTAATTAGTTCTAATCTAGTATCTAATTTTCTTAATTCATGATGTGATCCACTCGAATTTGTAAAAATTTCAACACCTTCTAAAGCCATGTTGATATGTGGTGATTGTGGAGTAAATAATTCTTCACAAGTTTCAAATCCAATTCTAGTTTCCAAAGTTTGTAAAATACAATCTCCAAAAATGACTCTTGATTGACCTGTTAATTTTTGTATAGATTTTGGTAATTGGTAATCTTCCCAATATTTAGGTCTATTCCATGGGGTAAAATATCTCATTTCTCTGTAATTTCCATCATTAGCTAGATATAATTTTGGTCTAATTAATAATATTTTACCATTATATGAAATGATTCTACAATTATATTTTATTGAATTGTGGATTATTGGTACTCCAATATCTAATAAAATACCATGAGTTTCTTTATTTGATATAATTTCACCATATATTTCCCATGAATGTTGATATAAATCATTTTCTGCAAAATGGTCAAGACAACCATATCCACAAATTTCCAATTCTGGACCAACACGTAATTTAGCACCGAGTGATTTAGCTTGTTTAATTGATTCAACTATTCTATCTCTATTACCTTCAAAATCTAAAGCCCATTGATTTAAATTACAAGTTGCAATAGTAACATAATGACCCATGGTTAAAATATTGATAAAAATAAAAAAAAAGATCGCGGAAAAGAAAGATCTATTTAAATATTATTATCAAATTAATATACCAACTGTTAGGTAACCATTCACAGCTTATCTCACTTGATATATCACTAGTTATGATAACTGGTATAGCTATGTAGAGATTAAACTTTTTTAGGCACAGTTTTACATCATGATTTACAACGTCATTAAATATGCATTACGGCAATTGTTTGAATAATTTCTAGATTATCATAATCTCTGACGAATGTGGTATCTCTCTAGGACCTGGTAGTCATGAGTGACAATTAAGTGAAATCTATTACTCTTACGGCTGCAATACGTAATTCAGTTCCTGATTCAATCAAATGAAGTTGCTCTGGATGAATTGGCGATTTTAAAAAAAATTACAATACCCAATACCAACTTCTTGAGAATAATTAGCAATAGAACTACTTATTTGATGCATCTCAAAAGAATCACTTCTATCACAAATAACCTTGTCAAATTGAACCTTTACAGAATTTGACACATGGTAGCGACGAGTCAAATTACGATGATATTTGAGGTAAAGTACATATTTCACTACTAAAATGGCGAAAAGCTAGTGACACTAATTTTCATAGTATGAACTTTGTGCTGATTAAAAACAAGAACCTTTGAAATGTTGATTGTTTGGCTGTTTTCAGTTTTGTAACTAGGGGGTAATTGAAAAGCTCTTTTATTGGTCAGATTCTGTAAGAGGTAATTGAATTTAACCAATCAGAAGTGACTTCATCTCATCCATATGTAATTACCCCTTAACGTTAATTTTTAATACCCCTTAAGGTTAATTTCATAATACCCCTTAACGATAAAAGTACGATTTACTGCAAATTAATGCTATGAGACGACTTCTATTTTGTGCTTATGAAGTGTATAGACAAAATGCAGGTAAATAGTAAGTCTGTGACACTGCTAGATTAAAATTTTGTCCACTAATCCATCCTTCTCTAATCAATGGTGATTCAATTCTACGATCAAAAACTTGAATTGAAAACTAATCTGGTTATCAAAATCGAGCATTGTGTCAAATACGACGCATTATCAATTGATACACGTGACTGTAAGTTGTTCCGTCGGAGTCATATGGAATTTTCCTTTCCCCACGAATAATTAAAGATAAGGAAATAATCAACTATATAAATAGATCTATAAATCTACATTTCAAACTAATCTATCAATTTATTATTATTTATTATGCACCAAGATACAATTACGATTAATCCATTAGAATCAACTCATTTCGGTTGTTCAATTAGTTTACCAAATTACTGCCAAAATGATCCTGCTAATTTAAATAATGAAGACTTTAAAAAATTAAATGAAGCTGTTCATAAATATCTAGTCGTTGTTATCCCCAATCAAGCCGAATTAAAACCAAGTTCTCAATATTTATTAACTAAAAGATTTGATCCTTCAATTCCAGAAGCTAAAGATTCTTCGGGTGGTTATGGACATGGTAAAGAATTTAGACATTCACAATCTGTTTTAAAGAAAGATGGTTGTTCAGTTAAATCACAACCTCAAGTTCAAATATTAGGTCAAGGTAAACTTGAAGCAAATGAAGAAGGTAATGAAAATGGTGAAACTATAAATTTAACTCATCCTTCACATACTACTTTTCATCATACCCCTTTAACTGAAGAAGAAATTAAAAATAAACAAACTAGATTTTATAGATGGCATATTGATAGTGCTTTATATGATTTATCACCGCCAATGGTTACTACATTATTAGGTATTAAAGTTCCACCAACTACACAATATCAAACTATAAAATATGATGATGGGTCAGAATTGAAATTGACTCAAGGTGCTACTTGTTTTGTAAGTGGTGCTCAAGCTTTTAAAAATTTGAGTGAAGAAGATAAACAATTTGCATTAAATACAATTGTTGAATATGCTCCACATCCATATATTTTTATATCACCTGCAAAGGCAACTTCTGATGGGTTAACAATGGTGAATGAAGATAAAGAAATGAGGTTTGAAGACTTGCCTGAATGGGAAGAATCAAAAGTTAAGAAATTACCAATGGTTTGGACAAATCCAATTACAAAAGAACATCATCTACAAGTTCATGGATGTTGTTTATATAATTTACATACAAAAACAGAAGATGGTACTAAAACTTTAGGATTAAAAGAATCTAGAGAGAAAGTACGTAAATTAATGAGACCTTCAATATCACCAGATCAAGTATTAGCACATTCATGGAAACAAGGTGATCTAGTATTATTCTTTAACCGTGGTGTTTGGCATTCAGTTACTGGTGAATTTAAAGGTCAAGGTACCAATGGTCAAGATGAAAGAAGATTAATGCATCAATGTAATATAGCAAGTGGTATAGATCCAATAACAAATATATAAGCAATTGGTAGCATAAAATTTATCTAATCGTATAAATCTAATTTTTCTCTGGCCAAAAATTAAATTATAAGGATCAATTAATTATCAACCAATGCAATACGTAGCTAAAGCAAGTGGTTATATGTATAGCCAATGGAATTCATTGAATCCAGCTACTTTATCAGGTGCAATTGATGTTATTGTAATTGAACAGCCAGATGGTACTTTACATACTTCCCCGTGGCATGTTAGATTTGGTAAATTTCAAATTATAAAACCTTCTCAAAAAAAGATTGATTTATATGTTAATGACGTCAAAACTAATTTACCAATGAAATTAGGTGATGGTGGTGAAGCTCATTTTGTTTTTGAAGTTGATGATATAAATCATGATTTATCAAGTTCGGTTTTAACTTCTCCTGTTATATCACCAGTTTCTTCACCAAGTTCATTACCTGAACTGGGTCAAACTTCGGAACCTGAGGAATTGGATTTAAATGAAAATGACGTAGATTCTAAAATAAGATTGAGTGATATTCCAAGTCCTAGATCAAAATCACCTTCTCCAACTTCATTACATCAATCAAGATTAGCAATTGAAAATGCCAAAAAAATGGCTGCTAAGTTAAACATTCCAACTAAAATAGATATGAACGGTGATATGATTATAGATATGGATGGTTATAAACCAAATTCAAAAAAGAATATAGATAATTCTGATGAATTATTCAAGAAAATATTTTTTGAAGAAATTGAAGGTGATTATCCTCAAGGTGAAAATAGTGTAAAAGCATGGAATCAAATCATAACTAAAGATGAAAATGGGAATATAAGAATATCTAATTTAAATGATTTGGAAGGTGTTGAAATGGATGATGATGAAAGTGTTCCGAGTACATCAACTACTTTAAATTCAGTATCAACTGCTTCAGATGATAAAATATATTTCAAGACATTAAGATTAACCTCTGAACAATTATCGAAGATGAATTTAAAATATGGTGCAAATTCATTAAAATTTAAATCAAAAGAAGGTAATTCTCAAATTACTGCAAATTTATATTTATGGAAATCTTCAACACCTATAGTTATTTCAGATATTGATGGTACAATTACTAAATCAGATGCTTTGGGACATGTTTTAAATTTGATAGGTAGAGATTGGACTCATCCTGGAGTTGCTAAATTATTTCAAGAAATCAGTTTAAATGGTTATAATATAGTTTATTTAACTGCTAGATCTGTAGGACAAGCAGATTCAACAAGACAATATTTAGAAGGTGTATTACAAGATAATGTTAAATTACCGAAAGGTCCAGTTATACTTTCTCCAGATCGTACATTTGCGGCATTAAGAAGAGAAGTTGTATTAAAAAAACCAGAAGTTTTCAAAATGGCCTGTTTATCAGATATAAAACAATTATTTTTTGAAGATGATGATGATGAATTAACTCCATTTTATGCTGGATTTGGTAATAGAATTACTGATGCTATAAGTTATAGATCTGTTCATATCCCATCACATAGAATTTTTACAATTAATCCAAACGGTGAAGTTCATATGGAATTATTAGAACTTGCTGGTTATAAATCTTCTTATTTACATATTGGTGAATTGGTTGATCATTTTTTCCCACCTATAAAAGAAGTTTCGTCGATTTCATCATACTGGAATAATGCACAATGGAATGAATATATGCAAAATCATGATACAAATACACCAATATCATCACCATTGATAACTCCTGGTTCTCCGAGATCTCCTGGTAGTCCAAGAAGTTTCATGGAAGAATTTAAAACTGATGAAAAATTTAATGATGTAAATTATTGGAAAGAACCTATAAATTTTAGTGATATAAGTGATAGTGATATTGAGCATGAAAATGTAGTAAATGAAAAAATTAAAGGTAATGAAAAATTAAGTCATAAATCAACACCTGAAAAAGAACATAGTGATAATCCGGGATTATTGAAAAAGACAAGATCAAGAGCATCTACTTTGGAAAGACCAATAAGTGCAAGTTCATTTACTTCACCTTTGAAGAATTTCATGCGTGGAAGAAAGGATGAGGAGGAAGGTGAAGAGGATATTGAGGAGGAAGATGTAGATGAGGAAGATATAGATGAAGAAGATGATGATTATGATGATGATTATACTGATGATGATTATGAAGAAGACGAAGAGGAAGAGGAAGATGAAGATGAGGACGATTATGATGAAGATGAAGATGAAGATTATGATGAAGAAGATTTAGATCAAGATTTAAAAGATGAAGAGGAATTAGATGAAAAATCAAAATTAAGTGATGCTCCAATAGCTATTAGAAATGAAATATTAGCACAAGGATCAACTGAATTTGTTAGAGCAAGTGATTTTGATAAATTAAATATATAGATTAATGAATAGTTAATGATTATAGAATTTAAACTCTTATTATTTTTGTTCCTGCATAATTTTTTCGATCTTGTTTCAACTATAAACTTATATCCAATGATATGATAAATAGATGGTTTACAAGGAAATTAAGAAGACAATTAATTTATTGGTGTTCAGCTACTATATTTGCATTTATTATATTTAAATTACTACTACATTTTAATTTTATAAATTCCCCAGGTCAAGTTTATAAAAATCAAGTTATTTTCCCTGCCAGCTTTCCAAGTAATGAAGATATTCAATCATTTGTAAATAATCATAAACAATTTTTTAATAAAAATGCTTTAGGAAATCCTAGCTATCATAAAGCAGTTGAAGAAATACCTAAAATTCAGCAATCAATCTTTAAAAAGTATAGTTTTACAGTGTTCAACTCCAAAAAAGATATAGATTTAAATTTAAAGAAATGTGATCAACTAAGTTCTAAAAGTTTTGTTGAAATTGATGAAGCTAAAGATATGAAAAGTTCATTACATAAAATATTGTCCAATGTTTTACAAGAAATTGAAGCAGGTACTAATCCATATCTATCCGAAATTGCACCTTTTTTACTCCCTGAATTGAGACTACAGTTAAAAATGAATATTGTTGATAAGTTTTGGTTTAAAATTGCTGGCTCTTCTGTATACCTTGAAGATTATGGTGTACATTTTATGATTTCAAGAATTTTGTATAGCCCCAAGGGTGTTCGAAATCAACCAATAATTTCATTAACATATGCTCAATTATTTGATAAAGAATGGAATGAATTAATAAATACAAAATTATTAGTACCCACCAATGATAATAGTTTTAAAATTTTACAATTTCCATATTTTTTACCAATTCCATTTTATCATGATATTGATAATATTACAGGTAAATATTATGGACCTGAAGATCCGAGATTGATATTGGTTAAAAATAAAGTTGGTTATCATGAACCAATTGTTGTCTTTAATGCTTATCATAAACGAATGGGTCATTTTGATGATGATGAAGATGAATTAGTTTTATCTGCTCAATTTTTCAGATCAATGTTTTTATGTTGGCCATGGCAATTTCAACAAGGAAAAGAAGAAGTAGGAAGTGAAAGTGATCAAGTGTATAATAAAATTGTGGAATTGAAAATTAAGGATTTTCCAAAAGTTAAAAATCAAAAGAATTGGACTCCATTTATAAGTCATACTGATCATTTGAAAAATGGTTATGATTCAAGTATTTATTTTGTTTACAGATGGGCTAATTTGGATATTGTAAAATGTAATTTAGATGGATCTTGTGATTTTCATGATAGACTAAATGATAAACTATCTCCAAAGAATCAAGTTGGTCCATTAAGAGGTGGTACACAATTAATAAATTTAAATCAAATAGCTGCAGATATAATTCCTAAAAATAGAGAAATTTTTATTGGCTTTGCAAGAGCTCATTTAGATCAATGTGGATGTGGAAGTGTAATGTATCGACCAAATTTAGTAATTGTAGTTAAAGATAAAGTTAAGAATAAAGAATTATATAAAGTAAGTCATGTTTCATCATCATTAGAATTTAACTTACCTGTTATTGGGTGGAAATTACATGATCCTACAGATTTATGTTTTAAATCAAATATTGTCCTACCTAATGGAATATCACAGTGGAATGTAGATAAAATAGAGTCCGTTGATGGTAAATGGATTGTTAACGATCAATTGACTATGTTATTGTCCTTAAGTGATTATACAATTCATAAATTAAATATAAAAGGTTTATTACAAGCAATTATAGATTTACCTGATAATTCATTATTTAAGAAACCAGGTAAAGAAAATAATGACAAAATGAAGAAAAGATTACAAATACCTACTTTAGATTTTGAAACTCATAAGTATGAATTACCTGGGTTTAATAACGATAATATAGTTTGTGCATTACAAGCTTCAGTAGATTATTGTTTTAATTACGGATTGAAACAACAATTTTTTAAATCATTTAATATGAAAGATGAAACATTAGATGACGATGAGGAAGTAGATGAAAGTGTAACTGATCCAAAAATAGCAGAATATATGCAATTAGTTGAATATTATGGTTTAAGGGGTTCTCTTTAAATAGTTATGAATATATATATATGGACAGATAACTTTATATTGCTTTATTGAAAGAATCATGAAACAAAGTCTCGTTGTATTATTGTTTTAGTATAAAATATTGATTCTCGTAATCTATTTCTGTCAAATGTTGCAATAACATAGAACGTTTTACTGAATCCAAGCTAAATTGATCAGTTAAGTAGCCCAATCTAAAGATCATTTTCAGTAAATTTTTATGTACATCTGAACAACTGAGTTTCAATCGATCGATAATTTGACAATTTTTCCTAAAATAATACAAATATTAATTTTGTTTTTTAAAAACGTTATACAAATAATCTTAGTCTAGTATATTCAAATAAGTTAAATATCGCGATCTGAAACAATATATAAACATATAAGCTGAACTGGTTGCAAGCAAGACTAATTAGATGCTGGAAGCTTCGAACTGAGATGGCTGCAAAATTAATTTTCCGCGCTACCAAAAAATTGTTGCTAAATTTTCACCTGAAGTTGACCAAAACGCAAAAATCTCAACAACAAAAATAGCTCTTGACTTCAAACTAGTTGCATTCCAATCCGAATCATACAATCAATCAGAATCTGAAGTACATAGAAACAAGGCTACACTCAGTGTCGAGATTTTTGGAATATTTTTTAAAAAAAGTTTTTAGTTCGATCATTTATTTCTCTATGTAAACTGCTTCGTCTCAAAAGCTTCTACTTGGAAAAAAAATGGCATCTTGGATAATGGGATTCGAACCCATGTAGTTTGTGCACTGAAGTGATGATTATCGTTCCCACCAGCAGGAGAGACAAACAGGATAACCCCTACCTCATATCCAATGCAACTGTGCCGTCGTTGCTTTATCAAATTGAAATTTTGAAAATGTTTAACAACAAGACTTGTCTCATTGCATGTAGACGTCGGATTACAATATATAGTGCCTAGATCCATCATATGACGCTATATATAGCTTACTGATCAATTACAGTTCCTGTTAGTATGTGTCTTTGGAATCAGAAACATCAAGTAGTTTACATGAATATCATGTTAAGGGGTCGATTTTGCTCGAATCTACTCCCTTTATCAGTATCCCCCCACAAAATTATAATTAGATTATTTAGAAACGATTTTTAGTAACTTTAGTTTAAAACTTTAAAACCTAGTTTAGCTGGTTTATTCAATTATAAATCCGATATTTTTCACCTTACGCATACTATTTGCTAACCATAGATTATATAACAATTCAATACGTAATTAAAGGAGCTCACAGTTAAAAAGCATTTGGATACTTAAAGGCTATTCTTCTGTGTGTTTTCATATTAATTTGAAGTTTGTATTGGTGTTTAAAATTGTATCCACAGCAGTCCAAGTTATTCTATACTTTTAAGGGTTTTTCAAAATGCATTGCCTCTTAAAAATATTTAAATCAAAATCTCAAAATTAGATCAACTTTTTTAAACCAACCAAATTAGACTCCATTCCCTAAATAAATATTGGATTCCTACGATTATAACAATAGATGTTAAACTAAATGGTTATAAAAATTTACTGTTGAATTAAAGTGGAGCTATAGTATTTTACAATAACTACGTCCCGAGACTTCAAATTTAATCAATCAAAACATGTCAGTAGTCACTATAGCTAAAGAATCACACCAAAATCCAGCAAAATTTAGAATTAAACATGAAGTAGCTAATGGTTTTCTCCGTAAAAATTCTCAAAGAAACTAGATGAAGGTTCATTACCAATTAGATCTCATTCTGAAATTGCAATTGTTGGTGCTGGACTTGCTGGTATTGCAGCTGCTGTTAAAACAATGAATTCATTAAATGAGCATGATATTCAATAATTTGAAAGATATGATAATTTTGGTGGTACTTGGTATGCAAATACTTATCCATGTTGTGCTTGTGATGTTCCTGCCGTATGGTATTCATTGTCGTTTGCATTAAATTCAAATTGGAGTACAGTTCAACCACCACAATATGAAATTGAAGAGTATATTTTAAAAGTTACTGAACATCATAAATTAAAAGATAAAACTAAATTTAAAACTTCAATTGAAAAATATGTTTATGATGATGTTAAAAATGAATGGATTATATATGGTCATGAAGTTAATGGAAGATCTATAATTCATAGAGCAAAATTTTTATTAGCTTGTCAAGCTGAAATTGTTTATCCAAATCATTTAAGAGCTGAAGGGTTGGAAGATTTTCATGGTTCATATATTCATTCTGCATTATGGGATCATTCCGTTGATTTTAAAAGTAAAGATGTTGTTGTTGTTGGTAATGGAAGTTCAGGAAATCAATGTGTACCAGCATTATTAAAAGATTATGAAGTCAATTCATTGACTCAGGTTATTAGGTCGAAGCATTATATAATACAACCATTCCCTACTATTTTTCATTCATTATACAATTTATTATCATGGAGTTATATTGGAATTTATTTAGTTAGATTGATTTAGTTGTTCTTTAGTGAAATTAAATTCCCATTATATAAAGGTTCAAATTTCATCACGAGAGGTATTCGTTATATTGTTACCAAGAGATCAGTTAAATATATGAAAGAAACAGCACCTGAAAAATATCATGATATGATTATTCCAAATTATAAAATTGGATGTAGAATATTAATTTATGATTAAAATTATCTCCCAACATTATATGATCCTAGGATGAATATTAAAAATGATGGTATTAAAAAAATTGTCAGAGATGGAATTATCATGAATAATGGAGATTTCATAAAAGCTGATATTATAGTTGCATGTACTGGTTATAATGTAATGAAAACTTATTTAGATTATGGTATCACTTGATTAAATGGATTTAATGCTAGGAAAATGTGGCATGAAGAGGGTCCCAGTGCTTATAGAAACATTAATGATTAAAAATTGTCCAGATCTATATACATTCAACGGAGCAAATTCAACAACTGGTCATTGATAAGTTGTAATGGTCATTGAAAATGGTATTGACTATTATTTAAAAACTGCTAAACCAGTCATTCAAGGTAAAGTTGAATCAATAATGGTTAAACCACAAGCTCATGATTTATGGTTTAAAACAATTCAATCAGATTTAAAAGAATCTGTTTTTGGTACACCATTTGGTGGTTGTTTTGCATGGTATTCTAATGAAAAAGTAATTTCAACTACACATGCATGGTCACAAATGCATTTTTGGTATATAACCCATTTTCCAAATTATGCAGATTTGATATATGAAAATAAAAAAAATGCATAAAATTTTGCAACCAAATATTTGTAACGCTTTTGCTAATTATGCCTCTTGAACTAATCTTATCACCACTAATGAGACCATTAGTGCAGGCTAAATCAATCTTGTTTAGTCCACATCGTACACCATCACATTATGTACCACAAATTAAAGAAATTCCAAAAGATGTTTCACAATATGTTATTTTAAAAAGATTTGGTTCAGGAAATAAAATATTTGATGTTTTTGATACAGAAAAGGGGAAATATCCAATTGGTTCAAATAATCCAAATGATAGATTATTTTATTTTCATAGATCAAGAGCTGTTAAAGGTGCTTATAGAATGTTTAAAGATGATAAAGATCCAATGTGTTATTTAAGAGCTGGTTTAAGGGGTAATGTTTGTTTAATTAAAGCTGATGTACCAGTTGCTGAATTAGGTTGGCATATTATTAATCATAGAGTTGATGCAATTGATTCATATCGAATGTTTACATTAAGTGATGGTTATACATATCAATGGACTTATAGAGGACAATGGTTAGAGAAAATTCATAATTTAGGTGAAAAAGAATCAGAAATTAGAGAAAGAATTGGACAAGTAACATTTAATGGACCTTATGGTTTTACATTATATATTGATGAAAGTAAAATGTATAAAGAAATAGCATTAACAACAGCATTAATATCATTTATTGATCAATGGAGTACAAATTTAGAAATTGGTGGAATTTATTATGCTAAACAGCACGAAAATGTACGTTGGAAGCGAGATTAGGCCTAAATAGGAAATATATACTATTCGCGCTAAAACGGGAAACCAAACCCAAATAAGGCGAAGATGTCCTTTTACTATAAATTATAACGAAAATTCCTTTATTAATCAACATCCAATGTTGAGAAGAATTAAAGGAGTTAGATATTTGTCATCTAAGTATTTTCCAAATGAACCAACTTCACCAGTTGTAAAAACTGCTTCTGTTCCAGGGCCAAAATCAAAACAAATTAATCAAGAATTAGGTCAAGTTTATGATAATAAAGCTACTTATTTTGTAACTGATTATTTTAATAGTTATGGTAACTATATTTCTGATGCTGATGGTAATAAATTATTAGATGTGTTTTGTCAAATTTCATCAATTCCATTAGGTTATAATAATCCAAAATTAATTGAAGCTGCTAAATCAGATGAAATGATTGATGCAATTGTTAATCGTCCTGCATTAGCTTGTTTCCCAAGTACAAATTATGCTCAAATTTTAAAAGATGGTTTGTTAGCTGCCGCTCCACCAGGTATGAATAAAATTTGGACTTCATTATGTGGATCTGATGCAAATGAAACTGCTTATAAAGCAGCTTTTATGTATCAACATAGTAAAATCAGAGGTAATAAACCTTTTAGTGAAGAAGAATTATCATCAGTTATGAATAATAAAGCACCAGGTGCATCAGAAATGACAATTTTATCTTTTGAAAAAGGTTTCCATGGAAGAACTTTTGGTTCTCTTTCAACAACAAGATCAAAGGCAATTCATAAGTTAGATATACCAGCTTTTGATTGGCCAGTTGCACCTTTCCCTAAACTTCAATATCCATTGGAAGAATTTGAACAAGAAAATAGACAAGAAGAACAACGTTGTTTAAATAAATTGGAAGAAATTATTGAAAATGCTCCAAAACAAATTGCTGCATTAATTGTTGAACCTGTTCAATCTGAAGGTGGTGATAATCATGCTAGTTCAGAATTCTTTCAAGGTATTAGAGATATTACTAAGAAACATAATGTCTTATTTATTGTTGATGAAGTTCAAACAGGTGTTGGTGCATCAGGTAAATTCTGGGCTCATGAACATTGGAATTTAACTTCACCACCAGATATGGTTACATTTTCAAAGAAATTTCAAGCTGCTGGTTTCTATTATTCTAATCCAGATTTACAACCAAAAGATGCTTATCGTCAATTTAATACTTGGTGTGGTGATCCAAGTAAAGCAATTCTTGCAAAAGCTATCTATCAAGTTATTAAACAAGATGGTTTAGTTTCTAAAACAGCTAACGTTGGAGATTATTTATACTCAGGATTGCAACAACTTGTAAATAAATCAGATAAATTAAAGAACTTAAGAGGTAAAAACTTTGGTACTTTTATTGCATTTGATTGTGTCAATGCAGATGTTAGAAATAAATTATTAGCTGATTGTAGATTAAATGGTTTGAATGTTGGTGGATGTGGTGAATCAGGTGTTAGATTAAGACCAACATTATTATTTGAGCAAAAACATGCTGATTTATTTTTGAATATTTTAGAAAAAGTCCTTTAATGGTTAATACATATTGATATACCTATTCTATTCTCCTTTCAAAGAATTAGATTCATAGTTTAAATAAATGAAAGTTACAACAGACAAAATTTATACAGATTCCTTAACTCCTTGGACAATCATTTCAGACAGACTCTGAGTCAGTGTGTGTACCTTACCTTAGTCATCGTAATATAAACAGATTTACATATATTTCTATTAAAAGTAAGTCGGACCGAAATCCGGTAAACGATTAGCGATAAAAAAAAAATGAATAAGAAATAAAAAATAAAAAACGCATAAGTCGTAAAATGTATAATTAAAAATTTAACCGCCCAAATCCGTTACTACGAAGAAAGAATGGTTGTGATATTACTGAAAGTAAGCAACAGCGAAAAACAGAATGTATATAATGTATATAATGTATACTTATTGTTATCAATAAAACTCTAATATAGAAAATAAGCTTATAAGTAAATAAGTATATAAGTAATTAAGTAAATAAGTAAATATTGTAATAAGTAAACAAGTAAATAAGTAAATATTGTGTGGTTACTTTTTGGCAATCGATAATGCATAAACATGATAACAACATGGAGTTGGGATTACATTAATATGTAGGTTACAATAGACAATCTATTAATAATCATGAGATACTTATTTGAAAGCTGTAGCCGTCGGATAAAAAATATTCAGCAAATTATTAACTATCAACTAATTATCCCCATACCTAAAACCGACTCATAAACTCTATCTACACTCTACCTAATTCTATTCCCATTTCCATTTCCCAGGTTGCAATATCTCATTTTGCAACCATTGATTGTACTCATCATTTATTTTGGTAAAATGATTACCTAATCAATTACATAATTTCTTGTCATAAAAAAAAACGCCTGTAAAAAATGTTCAAATTGAAAGACAGTTTTTAACATTAGATTAACCAAATATTACATTTATACAAAAGGGGTTTTTATTATCAGTGGAGATAAAATGAATTAAATTAGTAAAGAGTTTAGGTGGTAGAGAGAAAAAGATCTTAATTCAAAATTGTATCATGTTAGGACGATTATTTAAACAAAATAATTCTAGTAATCAATCTCATAACATTCATTCATCTTATTCTATAAATTCAAATCAACAACATCATCACCATCAACATCAACAATTTTCAAATAATACTTTTGAAGATTCATATTCTAGAGAAATATTATATGGTACTCATAATATAAATCAATTAAAACCTTATATATTTAATAACAAATTATTTCGAATTATTATATCACAAGATGGTGGTAATTTACGAAATAAACAAATCTTGTTTGATACAACTAATGAAATTAATAATAATAATAGTCATCACCATCAACCTAGTATACAATTAACAGGTAAAAATACAATTATTTTAAAAGCTTACCATACCCAGTCTGAATTAAATGATTATATGTTTGGATGTGGTTTACCAAGTGTTGAAAATCAAAGTAGTATAAAATTACATTGTTTACCTCAACTAACAAACTCAATTTATGGATCATATAATGCTGTAATGATTACAAAATTGTTTCTGATTAATGATTTAGATACTTTAGAAAATACAAAATTTGATGATGGAAATGATTGGAAACCCATTCCAGGTTTAATTAAAAAGGAAATTTATAAAATTGATTCAAATGACACAGTTGCAAGTAGATTTTCAATTGGTTTGATAATACCTTTAGAATCAATAAATTGTATAAATGATGTGATTATAAATAATTGGCAAGAAATATTATACTTTTTGAACCATTTACAAAAGATTATATATAAAAAGATATTAACAACATTAGATCATTCAAATTGTATAACAAATAAAAGAATTCAATTACCTATGAACATTTTTCATCAAGATCATGATTTAAATTTACAATTTTTGAAATTTATAAAATTGATTCATTATAATTATAATTTACCAAAGTTAATAAACTCAAATTATTTGATGAAGAATTCTGATTTTAAAGATAATCATAATCCAATGTTGATTAGTTGGGTATTGGAAATTTTAAATTGGTTAGAATTTAAAGATGGTAAAAGTACAAATTGTGAATATACTTTTATTGCTAGTTTGATTGCATTAATCTTACCATTTAAAAAATCACTAAGTGTTAAACCATATTACAATTTAAATTCAAATACTAGAGAAGTTACAAGAATAGTTGTTATGACTGGTAATCCAGTGGTTGCAAAAAAATTAATATTTATATTAAATGGTTTTATACCACAAGAAGATGATATAAAAATTTCAGAAGAATTAGATTTATCTGCTAAACCAATACCAATTAAAAAAGATAATATACAATCATACTCCGCTTCAACTTCATTTTCAAGTGATAATTCATTAGCAACACCATCAAGTAAAGGCTGGGAAATTCCAAATAAATCTTCTACATCAGTAACCACAGAAACTCCACGAATACAAACATCAACAATGAATATACCAATTAATAATTCCCTAAGTAAATCACAATCATCAATGGCATATTTATCGTCAAGTTTAAATTCATCATACTCATCAACTCAATCAAATTATTCATTATCTAAATTTGGTTCATTCATGGATAAATGGAAAGGTCAATTTCAACAAACACCAAATTCAACATCAATGAGTAATTATTTTGATGAAGTATCCCCCAATATATCAAAAAGGAATTCAGTCCATTCATTAAGAACTCCATCACCAGCAATTGAATTTGAAGAATATACATGGCAACTACCAAATAAACCTATAAATATTGTATCACCAATAAATTCATCTCCCAAATTGTCAAGAGCTCAATCAATGTATGATTTATATAATTTAAATGTAATGAATGAAGAAGAATTTAATGAAATGACTACATCACCAAAATCAATCAATCAAGACTTCTCCAAAATACAAAATAGAAAGAATATACTTGAAATCAAACGTTCGAAAACAAGTGTATATTCACCTTTAATTAATGATAAATCAATAAAGAATGTTTCTGAACATAATTTGAAACTGATTAAAGAAAAATGTAAATTGATAATAGATTCAAAATCGAAATTATCTATCCTAGGCTCAACTATTAAAGTTGAACCTACAAATTTTGATAATTTAGTTTTTAAACATAGGCCCCTAAACTCGTCAATTGCTTACACTGACGAGATTAGAGGTGAGTTTGGTGTTCAAAGTTGTCCAATCAACATAAAATTAGAACAACAAATTTTGAATACAATGAAGAACGATTTATCATTTTATCAAAAAAATTTTAATTATGATGATGTTACGATTAGAACTATATTTATAAGTCTTAAAGCAAGAGAAATTAAATTGTTGGAAATGAATACTGCATCGCTGATTTTCAATGATAATACATATAAAATGAAATCAAAGAAAGTATTTACACAAAATAGAAATACAGGTAATAAAGAAATGATTGAAAAAGTTGAAGATATATTAAATGATATAAATCAATTGTTTATAAATCAACAAGAATTGTATCATGATAAAAAACAATTTAATTCAAACGGGAAAGAATTTTATAATAATTTAACAAAGTTAGTATATAAATTATTAGGATAATATATAATAGAATTCCTAAAACAAACTAATTTTTGAATGATGTCTTTCGAGATTAGCTTCCAGTTTACTTATTGATATAACGTTGACATATAGCATATATCATATTAGAAACTGTCTTTGCATAACTTCACTTACTTCACAAATTTTGCATAAATATCTGAGTATTATTCATTGGAGACTCAATTAATGTTAGCTTACTGCCTTACGAAGAAAACATGGAGTACAAAGTTATATCATTACATTTAAGGATCAAGTTTTTGCTCAATTTCATATTCAAGATTCAGAATAAATAAGAATCTGGAGAGATGGGAGGCACCTGAATTATTATTATACGCATTAAATTGAGATAATGTAATGTAATCTACATAAAATAAGTTCAGAATTGGTGGTGTTGTTTATTAACGTCAAATGTTTTCGTTGACGTTAAGCGACACACACTTGATTTGATCATATTTCTTTAGAAATTGTTCAACTTGTTCAAGAAGTTGAAGCAAATTGATAACTTTAAAAGCAACAATAGTCAAAGGTGAGATCGCAGTACGAGATGGAACTCGTGGTAATGAAATAGAAGTTTTGAAATTAGGTTGCAAAATATAAGTAAAAAAGAGATAACTGATGAAATGACTGCAAAACGTTTATCCACAATATCTTTAACATCAACAAACTCACACGGGTCATCTAATTTCTTATAAAAATTCAAATACACTATTTCTAGAATCGAGTCCATATAATCTTCTGGATAATTCGTCTAAAAATTGAAAATCTTTGAAAAATTACTTTTGAAAGGATGATAATTTAATTATATTTATCGCCCTTCCAAACATCATCCTTTCAAAGCTCTACTCTGTTAATGTATTTATCCAAGTTCGAGTTTAGGTTGAGACGCTATTCTCGATCGCTGGATTCACTCTTTCTGATGGTGTTTATTGATAAAGTCCACTCAAGTAAAGTTGATTTAATACTATGAACTAAACCAGAAGCAATAAGCACGGTTAAATTTAAAATCTAAATTAATAACATCATCTATTATGCATAGATTTCGAACTATAATATTACGAGCCTGGAATTTCGAAGTTCGTTAACGACGGATATGACGACCGAAGCAATTCTCAAAATTAACTAGTATTTTTTAGTTATATGCCAGCCACAATATCAATTCCTGCTTTATAATTTCAAATATTTGCCTCGGAGTTATGAATTTGGCCTTATCTCATAACCATAGAACGCGGACTTCAAATTACGACGCGAATTTCGTTCCAAAATCTGAAAAAAATGTCGTACAGAAGATGCATAGAATCCGTTAATGCATAAAGGTAATCGAGCGCTCAAGTGAAATAAGATAGAACAAAAAACAAAAAGGTAAACATTGAAAACTTCGAGAAATTAAGATAAAGGGTGTAATCTTATTCATTTATCATCCTTTCTTGTAATTGTATTGCCACCATTTTCTCTTTGATTAAACTTTAAACTTTTTAAACTCTCACACACTGTTCAAAAATGACAATAATTATCAAGCATGTGGTAAATTAAGAATAATCATAAAGTAATGATTAATGAGTTCATTTTTATATCTAATGATATGATTTCATGTATTGGTCATTATCTGCAGACCTAGTCATCACATCATAATCCCAAAAGCTTAGTCTCATGTTTCAATTTCATGTTATTCATATTATCACGGTATTCCTCGTAGATTTTGCTTTGATTATAACTATCACCCCATGCTAATTCATTAAAATACACAAAGTTAATGATATGGTTTACTACAGAAAATCTCCGATTTATACTTGAAATTATCATGAAATGTTTTCAGAATGAGTGTTTATCATCTTAGTGTGGGTTATACATCGAAATCCGTGTTGTCTAAATCCGCCGCACATACATCAAAAACATTTAATTTAAAGGCATTTAATTAAACATTAAGGGATGAGCGAAGCAAAATTACTGATATTCGTTTATCCATATCCCTGACATATAAATGCTTTTTAAATTAGTAGTGAATTGAATATCTCTAATTTCTACAAATATTTCTAGTTTTTGCAGTTGAGTTTGTGGTGTTTAAATTAACCATTTTCTTCATCATTCAGTATTCGTTGTGTATATATTATTAGATTACTCTATTTGTAAGAATAAAGAACATTTCATTATAATCAATTGATTTACCATATCTGTACATTCAAATACTAACTATCAGGGTCAACGAGATACAATAGATTCCCTGATTAGATGCTTAATGCACATTAAAAGTTAAACCTCACTAATCTAGAACATAAAAGAGCTTCTATATTTTTTAGCGAATAATTAAGGACTATAATATGCGCTAGAATCTTCTACTGCTAATACTTTCTGTCATTATCCCCAAAGTAATGTTGTTGTTAACCTAGATGTTAACCTAGATGTACTTCTAATATTTTAAAATTTACTGTGGTGCTTCAATGCGTCTCAAATACATATATTGCGTTTCGGAAATTTGTTTCCATAATTGGATGGATCGCTTCAATTCTGGTACCACTGGCGCGACCTTTATGAGTTCGCCTAAGGATAATTGAGGAATCATCAATTTTAGTAAATAAACGATCAAGTAGATGATGATATAAAGATTAGTGAAGATAGTAAATGATATGAAGTTAAATGAATAAATATGTATTAAGTAAAATTATATAAATGAAAACCATTGAAAAGAAACAATACCTAGTAATAAATAAAATATAACAAACGATTGAAATATCAGCCAAAAACAACATTAACCATCATTAATCATTTACAAACCAATACTTGAAGCCAATAGTGGATTCATTGATAAAAATTCTGTATTTACACCACTTTGATTAATTTCATCAGTGCCAGCGCCAACAAAATTGAAATTATTGAATATTGATTCATCTAAGTTATTACCCAAGTCTAACTCATCACCATAAAATGAAGGAACATTATTATCAACTTGACCATTATTAGTATTTTGATTTAAGTCTTCGAAGGCACCAAAATTAAATAATTCTTGATTTGAATTTGTTTCTGGTTGCATTTGTTGTGATTGTGGTAGATTATTTCTTAATGGTTGAGTATGATTGAATAATGTATCCGTTCTAAATTTTGATAAATCTGGAAATGAAAATGCTTTATTTGGAAAATTGTAATCTTCTTCTGATGTCATGTTGTTTGTTAATTGGAAATTATTTAATTCAGATTCAATTGCAGATGATAAATTAGATTCATTAGAACTAAATTCTGGAAATTGTGTTGAAGCAGATGATATTGATGAATCAATATTATTATTGGTTTGTTGTGGCGTTATTGGATATGAGTCATAGCTAGTTTGTTGTGGAGAAGTATATGAAATTTGTTGTTGTATTGGTTCTTGTTTAATTTTTGGTGATGTTGATCGTTGTTTTGGTGAATTAAATATTTCAAACGATGTGTATTCCCCAGATTCTTTGATTTTCTTAATAAACTCCCAACATTTATCACCATAAGTTTTTGGAGTTAAGCCAGTAACTGATTTAAAAACACGATGGAAATGCCAAGCTGATAATTTTGATTTTGCAGCTAATTCTTTGAAGCCCAAAACACCACCTCTTCTTCTTCTTTTCTTACTGGTTGGACTTGAGTTATTATTATTTTCTTCTACTACTGGAATTGTTGGTTTTGGTTGAAAAACATTAACAGCAGCAGCCAATGCTAAATGTCTACATGCTAAATCAACAAGTCTATAATGATCTGAATCATTTTTTGATAATGTAGTATTTTCTAAATCTTTTGAAAATTTACCATTTAATATAGTAGATTCTGATTGTCTATGGGTATGGGTATGAGCACCAGCACCAGCACCAGCACCAGCACCAATTGTTTTGATGATTTGTTCTTCATTGATTTTCTTTGATTCATAAATATTTTCTTTTATTCTTCTAGTATTTGTTTCTTCATTTTCATCTAAAAGGGGTGGCATAAAACCAATATTTTTATTAATTGTTGCAACACATTTGATTAATAAATTTACATCAATTGAAGTTGAATGAATTGGATCACAAGATCCACAAGGAATATAACCCAAGTTCAAAGCATCTGAACATTTGGAAACAAATTTGATTACTGATTTTAAATTGGTTGTTGGCCTTGCGTCACAATCTGGACGACAAAAAAATCGATTGATTTTATTACAAACATAAAATGAACCAGCAGCAAATGGATCTGAGAATTGGTAAGCTTTCCATTTAGATGATTCCGTTGAATAAACCATAGTTGAAATTTTGATAATTAAGGGGGAAGGGGGTGGGGGGTTTGGTTGTAATTAATTTATTCTATTTTTCTCCTACTCTCGATTTTGTTCGATATTTCTATTTTTTTTCTCGTGGTACAAAATAGAAATAAAAGATCTGATGGTAATAATGGAAATTTCACTTAGCACTAAATTAAATTTCTATTGTATTCTATATTTCCACGCCTATTTCTCGAGGAATTTCAGGATAAAATTTATGTGAAATTGAATTATATGTAGTAGTAGTAGTAGTAGTAGTAGTAGTAGTAGTAATATTAATTAATTAATCAAGAAATTGATTAATAGTAACTTGATATGAAATTGATTAATACTAACTTGATATATAAAATTGAATTGAATATAAAATCAAAATATCTGAAAAATAAAACTTTTAAACAGAATTGAAGTTATATTTATATATGAAAAATAGATTAACTAGTTGTGTATATAATTGATAATTGATTATTATTATATGATCGAGGGGATGTGTATTTGTGATTGTGGGTAGTACATACACTAATTTCTAAATGTGAATGATATTCGAATAATAAAGAAAAGTAAAACAAAAAACTTAGGAGTTCAAGTGGAATTCAATTGAATTTATATTGCAAAAAATGATTGATGATATTCTCTATTGTAATTAGTTTTGTAAGTAACATTATAATAATATTCTACAAACTTAATGTAATAATCCTTAAATCCAAAAAAAAAATTATTAAAATTAGACTTTTTTCCATCTGCTTCCTCATACATATTGGTTGTATTAATTATGTAATGTTCTATGTCATAATTACCCACAACTATTCTATATTGTAGAATGGCGCATTAAATATTAATATGTAATAATGCATTGATATTACATAGTGAATACTGTATATAGTTATGTACATGGGGTTATATGACAATGTGTCGTCACCAATATTATATTTATAAAAATGTCGTTCAATCAACATTGAAAATTGTAACGTCATTTCTCGGAATCCATTTATGAAATTTTAAATAAAATTATTAATGTTATTATAATTATCGTTTTAGATCTGAAGCATTTGTACTTTATTTCCTTTGTTATACACGGATTTCATTAATAAGAACTTTCTTTCTACTACTGTATCGCTAGATATAGAATTGAAATTAATGAGGCTATGACATGATATTTCCACTTTTAATTAATTGTACGTATATAGTAGATACTTTTAAATATTATAAGTTGAACTCCGTAATTATAATCAAAATCATTTACATATTATTCTCTTCCATTTCAGCCATCTTCCAGTTTCATTACAATTTTTAAAATTTGGTTTTTGTTGTTTAATAATTGACTTAAATTGGAATTCATAAAATATCTCTTCATATTTTTCGGATTTGTGACTTAATGAAATTTAAAGTTTAGCTCAATTTTGTTCTAAATTAAGCTTTTTTAATGAGTTACATCAGCAAAAAAAATTAGATAATACAGATACATAAATTACTATTGTTGTAAATTTGATGATTTTGGATGATTCAAAATGTCAAGTGGATAATAGGGGGGTGCATCTGAATAATTTTGGATGGAACCCTGGTTAAAGAAACACACTCCAAGTTGGTCATAACATAATTTTTGTTTTTTATAACTTCATGCATCAATTTTGACATTAAGTCCTGAATATTTCTCGAAGTTAAATGATGTCACTACACTGTATATGCTAGTATTTTCTGGAGTATTTTACCTTGTACTATATGATGTGTTTAATTTTATTTCTTTCGAGACTTGAGTAAGTCGAATCTCGAAATTTATTCAATCAAGATAATTTGAATAATTTCAAATGACGAGGAGAATTAAAGTTGAGTGAGCGAATGGCTGAAAAATAATAAGAAAAAACAACGGAAATATGAAAAATTCTTATTTTTAGGGGAAGATTCTAGAATATCATAATATCATTATATCTTTACATCTTTACAATTAATCAATGCAATTTAAAATTTATTCCTATCAATACTTTTATTGTGGATGGTAAGAATGAAATTTGATAGTGCGAGAGTTTATTATTGTATAAAAAATCTATTTACCTCTTACAATATTGGAATTCAATGTCTATTCATGTTCAACATGGATTTATTATATACGATTATTTTCGGGATTGCCAAATTCATTTCCTATTATATTTATTTTCTCTGCAGTTCGTCTAATGTTTCATTCTAGAAATTTCTATTTTTATTTTTCTAGACCAATATAGTGAAAAATAATTAAACGCCCTACAGATACAGTTTTTCTTGTTGTGAACTTTGCGGAACTCCCTGATCACCAATTTAAACTCTAAATATATATTTTAAAAACCTTAATTTTTAATTAGTACTTTGATATTTGGAATGTGTGGAAAATTAAAAAGTTCAAACTGTAAACCTTTGTTCATTAACCGTGGCAAATATTTTAAGCATATTGAGCTCAGTCAAAAGTCTTCTTGACTGTCTCGAATCGAAAGCATTTGCTTATATCATTTGTCTTGTTCCGTAAATACAAATGTTCCGAATTCGAAATATCTCAGGCGGTTATGTTTACTTTTCGAGTTTAATAATTTTCCCCGAAGTACAATGTAAACATCTTTAATTGTATAAAATATGTAAATAATTATAGAATGTCGCACCAATTTTTTTTAAGGCTTATGAATTCCAATTGAGTAATTATTATTTGGAAGATTTCTTAGTTCTGATATTATGACATGATATAAATTACACAAAATCTTAAGATTTGGTCATGGCAAAGTTACACAAAAAAATAATCGCCTGAACTATTAAACTAGGACTGGGTTTAATCATACTCTATTTGGATTTTCTAGATTTTATATATGTTTCTGTGGTTACTACCATACCATGAGTGCTAAAAATTGCGGCCAATTTTTTTATTCGCCTGATAATTCTGATAGATGATAAACATATGAATAAAGATCTTTGGTAATTGCAACTTTCTGGACAATTCCAGTCGATCAACTCTACTACTTGACCTTCGTCAAATCACAAAATTCAATTTCTATTACATCAATCGCATACTAAAAAACTTTAATATTTAACCATATATAAAATTAAAAATTTAAACTACTTTTAACTCGATAGACTAACAGAAAACGTTTTGGTTAGAAATACCTATTACTAAAGAAACTTTAAACTTAGTTAGTCAATTTGGGAAGATTCGATAAAATTATGGTGTTTTCTTATAAAATATTATTGGAGATTAGTGCATTAAAAAAATAATATTCTTAAATATTCGATGGACTAAATAATATTTATTATCTACTAGATTAGACGACATGAGTGAAGCCAATAGGATATACATAAGTCCATTTGAGCCATTCGATAATGTAACTCGAGGTGCTTCAATTTGAAAGTTTCAGTTTCGTAGAAAAAAAAAAACGAAATTGAATTTAATATTTTTGACATACAGATTCCAATTTCTTTTTACATTTTACGAGTGTATTTTTGTGATTTTAAGATTTAGTTTAGTTTATTTTTAGCTACTTTAAATTTTTGAAATTTAACCATCCAAGAAAAGAAGTTGCAGCTGGATTGATGGGATTATTGGATTGTAGAGTTCTAGATCTTCAATAACTAAATTCTATTTCCCTATAAATGTGTTTTTACGGTGGTATTAATCATTCAATTATAATGATATTTTCTTATCTAATGTTACACTGAGGTTGATTAAGTTGCAGCTGGGTTGATGGGATTATTGGATTGTAGAGTTCTAGATCTTCAATAACTAAATTCTATTTCCCTATAAATGTGTTTTTTCGGTGGCATTAATCAGGTTTATTCATTTATAATGATATTTTCTTATCTAATGTTACACTGAGGTTGATTAATGTTACACCTCTTGCAATCAACGAAACCGCCTTTACTTCACAGGTTGTTGAGTTTCATAAGTATTTAATTTCAAAGGAGTTGAATGGCGATGGGTGTACATTAACAACTAGAAGGTGTAACGCTCAGTGCTTCCTTCGCATATAACTTATCAACATTGGTCACCTAATAACTCTTGTTACTTAAATTCTCACCCTCTAAAAATCGAAATATTTTACACCTATCTAATCTAAAGTTGCTAATCTTAATTTCGAGATTTATTTATAGATTTTACAATCTACATAAACGAAATATCGAATCAAATTTGGTGAAAGTTTTAGTTTCGTAAAATCATTTTTACAAATTCGACATATAATTTTTTGACATTGATCAAAATGGAGAGTCAACTATCACACATTCAGTTATTGAGAGTAGGGGATGTTTTCACTTTTACCAAGAATTGAAAATAATTGGTCTACTATTGGCTAGAGTGATTATAGTTGGTGCTTACAGTCTTGGAAAGTATAATATAATGATATTAATGATATTAGATTGGTTGTAAAACTTTAACTATGGCTGATGTATATGCAGGCTTATTAGTAAAGTAAAGAAAAAATAGTTACTATCAAATCAAAATATCATAATAAGTTTCCCCTGGTCAATTTTCATATTACAAAACTTTTTTTAGGGTCAACCATTGCTCAATAATCAGATAGAGCTAGCTCAAGGATTTTATTTGTATTATTTGTATTATTTGTACTAGTATTAAAACTTTAAAAGGAAAATTGTATGCTAGGATAAATTGAGTTAATTTTCCAATCATTTTATCAATTCTCAACTTACAGCCGTTTCATCATCAGAGGTAACCTTTTCAGTTATTGTATGAAACATTAACTCGACATTTTGAGTGTTTTATTCTTCTGCAATTTATTAGATCAAGTTAATAATTGAGCAAATTAATATACCCGTAAATATACAATTATTGACAATTTTTAAATTTTAAAACTAATTCAGTCAAGCAACAGATTATTCTAAAGGAGCCAACTTACCACTTTTCACAATGTCAAATACAGAGCTAAAAGTTAATTTATCGACAAGACATGGGAAACAGAATGTGAGTTACGGTTATTTTATCATATTAATGTCAGCAATTTTTATGTTCATAGATGTAACCATAAGATTATTATTCGTCAAAAATTGGCGAAACAATACGAAACCATATAAACTATTTAGAAAGATTTACAATACCCCCAATTGGATAATTTTAACCATAATGTTCTTAATTATATTTTTCGCTGGTGGACATAATATTACATCATTACAGGATCAATACGTAACTGTTGCAAAAAGGTACGGAAGAATTGCCTATTGTTTGATACCATCGAATATTTACTTAATTCTTCGACCACAATCATCAACTTCCTACCTAAACAGTTTAAATTTACATAAATGGACAAGTAGATTCATTATTTTATGTTCCCTAATACATACAGTTGGATTTTTAGTACATTGGAAAGAAGAAAAGGCACTAAGTCATGCATTCTACCTTTTGAATTTCTTGGGAGTTGCTGCATTTACATTTTTGTTCATTTTGGCTTTTGTTTCATTATATTGGGTTAGAAGATTTAATTACCTATTTTTTTATTTGTTTCATAATTTTACAAGTATTTTAATGATTGTATTAATTACATTTCATGCAAGACCAGGAGTAACTCCGACATTTATAATCACTGCTTTATTCCTTGTGTATTTTCTTTATTTGAGATTTTGGAATGTTTATAAAGTAGACGATATTAAAATTATTGAAGGTAAGAACTCAAAATTACAAATAATTAAGATTCCAATCTTTTTTAATTGGTCACCAGGGTCACATATACGAATAAATTATTCGTATTCGTTTTGGGAATGTTGGTTGGGTCCAACTCATCCATTTTCAATAGCTAACAATCAAGAGGATAATTTGAATCAAATCACGTTGATAATGAGAAAAACGAATTTTAAATTTGATCCTACTTTTTCATACTTACTTTCCAAACCATACGTATCAATTGAGAAACCATTTTTTAACAACGTAGAAATTGTTAATATTATAGTAGGTGGAAGTGGAATATCTTTTGGATTACCAATTTACAATCATTTGAAGAATACAAATACTAGAGTTAAATTGATTTGGGCCACACGTTCAAAGAATGATTTATTTATTAATAAACATCTAGACATGAAGGGTGTTGAAGTATATACCACTAAAATAGATGATGATGCAGCACCGGAAGAAGTATTCAAGATTGGGGAGGACGAAAGTGAAGGAGATGGTTTATTAGATGATGATGCAAATGATGAAGAAATTGAAATGGAAAGTTTGAATAATAAAAAAGCAAAAGGTGATAAAGAGGAATTTGTTTTAGGAAGACCTAATCTTGATGAAGTATTTGCTTCTGATATTGGTGTTGATAATGATGGGATTGATGGAGATAAATGTTGGGTTTTAGCTTGTGGTCCACCCTCATTAGTTAAAGATGCTAAAAATTGGTCAAAACTGCATGGGTTTAACTTCTTCAATGAAAAATACGAAATGTAAATGATTAATATGTCAAATATATACAGGATTTAAAGAGAATGGCTTTAGCTTTATTTCATACAAAGAAATTTCATGAAATTCAAAACATATTTGTTACAAGTTTTATTTACATTTTAAAACTACTTCTAAATCTACGATAAATCCATATCTGCAAGTAATCGAATTAAAAATGCTAGATTGCAAATTGTGAAATGATTTGCGATGTCTTTGAAATCCGATGTTGATATTGACTAATGCAAGCTGAATGATTAATCAATATCTAATTATTTGGTGTTTCAAGATTATGAATAATGAAATTTCAGAGCAAACGATCATTTATTAACAAAGACTGTCACAGCTAAATTGATCTACGATTATTACATAACTTGATTAGAAAATTTCAACTAAGGCTTTGGCTCCTACTGAAAATATACGTCCTTCAAACCATGGGTTTGCATACTATTGAAACATTCAAATTATGGTTCTACTTTCAAGCTTTGCCACTATAACTACTTAGATTTAGTAGTTTCTGCATTAGGGATCTTTTGTGGCAAAATGTATGACCTCCTAGCATATTAATGAAATGATCTGCAATTTACAACCATGAAATATAAAATGACAACAACTTGACATTGTCGAACTAATATCAACGACAATAATTAATCACGACACGTTCAAGTAGCTCATGATGAAATTCAATATCTACGATTTTCAAGAAGTACACTCTACTTTCTTTAACAGACCATAAGAAAGAATATATCATAGTTTTAGAATGTTACTCCATCTTTATTAGGTTAGAGTAAGCCAAGATTGCTTGTTTTGTTGGAATTTCAATACTTCAAAGTAAAGGTTTACGTTGTATAGCTTGGAATCAAAGTTTCACGAAAATCCTATCTACGTCACCTTATCAATCTCTGATAATCTCATAACCCACTAAATTTGATTTTCATAACGTCATTGGTTAGTTGAAAGTAGTTTCTTTCTTATCAATTTTCATTACAGGGGAAATTATAGTTCATGTACAATTTCTTACGTCATAATAAACGTTTAATTAATTATCTAATCAAAAAAAATTAAGGTATCATCAACTGATAATCATTGATGTTACAACAACGTAGTTTACAACGAATTATTACACTATCTAAATTTGCAATGTATATCCTTGGATGGATTTGTTCTCTTGACTGAGAGTAAATATTTTTTCAAAGTACGTTTCATACTAGGATTTTATTTTGCTAATTAAACACTTGATTAATTTTTTGAATTTGAGCATTCAGCAGTATATAACAATTAGTGCAGTTCTCCGAGACATCTGAATGGCTCCATGGTTTTACAAAATATGGTGGGGAAAATTGATTGCTTGAATATAAGTTACAGTGAGCTAATTTGTGCAACTCAATCAAGACCCTTTTTTAAATCATGACTTACATGCATATGTTAGTCGTTTTATTCTGTAGTTGTAATCAAGCTTTACATGAACTGCTTCCAAGTTTAACATCTCCAGATGCTAATAAATATAGTAAGCAAAGTCTCGAATTCAAATTACTGGGGGTTAACTCTTCCTATCTTTGACGAAGAAAAGCATCGAGCATACACTTTTACGTCTCATATAGTAAGTCCATTTTTTAATCTCAGCATTTTTGTACTGATTCGTTAGTATTCGATCATTTTGTGCTCGTTTTCGGTATATGTATTTTTGTGTCAGATCTCAAACTAGATCTGCAGCCTATCTTAGATCTAGATTGCTCTTTTGCAACAATTTATTGCGCTTTTTAGATAATTTTCCACATTAAATATCTTGCAAAATATCTTGCAAAATAACTGCAGTTAAAACTCAAAAAGACACTTGAACTATAGTTTCTGTCTCAGCCTTTGTAGCTTGAATATTTTGACTAAAATTGTCGATCGTATAAACAGAGTAAATTAGAAAATTATCTATAAGCATGGACATTTAAATTTACTTTGCTACATACCATCATCCTTTTACTTCTGTACTTTGGTTATATTATGCTTTTGTTTTCCACGATTTTGTGTCAAACCGGTTTTGAAGTCTTTAGTTTTGTCTTTAGTTGTGTTCGATAGATTTTGAAAATGGCTAGGGAAGTGGTGCGAGCTCTTGCCTTAAGTAGAAACTATTTCGCGCAAATTTTGGTGCAATGTCGAAGAAAGCTTATTCTAGACAAAAAATTAGAACTATTAATTTAACTTATATGCAGTATTATGATAGTACATTCAAGAAATTACTTTGTAAATAACTACCTCAATTTCCGAGATACTGGTCTCAAACTTTTTTGATTAATACCCCATCCAAGCTAAAATAGCCTGAAAGTAAGAACATCTGATTGAACATAATTTTGATGATTCAATTCGACATTGAAGAAATGGAAAAAATCGCTAAATTGCAAGATAACCTACACTTAGAATCCAGTTTCCAACTTCTAGCGTAACTGGTTCGGTTCAACTCTCCAGAGTGATCTTTTCTATAATATTTTTTAGACGCCATATAGTTTGAAAAATTCGCAAAAATTTCGACCCACTTTAAAAAAATAACTTGTTTAACTTTGACCAACTTCACAATAAAAATATGTAGTTTATCAGCCTATTACAACCACAAAATAGATTATTTTATCATACTTTAATTACGATTTTAGTTGTGGAGTTAGATTTTTTGTAAAGTCAATTTATTGAAATTTTACAATATGTTACAATATTTAAGAGCAAATTTTGAATTTTTGAAGTTTTAGTTCTGATCATCTAGAATCAAGTTAGTCACTTTTTTTTTGAGCTCTGATATATATGATACGTTTTTTAATTCAAAGTTATGGTGTCAAATAAACCATATTCTGCGTTTTCATATTATGCAAAATTTTTGTATGAAGAAAAAATGCCAAAATTACAACTCGAACAAAAAATATTCACATAGCATAGTTAAAAGTATGTAGCACAAAGCTCTTGATATGTCTGAGCTGTTATTTATCTCAGGAGAATCTGTTGTTCTTAACATAGAAGCAAATACATTTGACACGGGTCGCCCTAGATTTGAGGCCAATAAATTACGAATTCTGAATTAGGTTTTCTGAATGATACTAATATCAATGCACCCTAGCTTATCCAAAGGTTTTAATGAGTTTGGTCTGAAAGAAAAGTCCTGAATTTTGAGGGAGTTATTTGCAGATTAAATTTTGAAATTGATAACTAAAAGAGTATTTAAGTCAAACTTCATCCTTACATTTTAAATCTCGCCTAAGCTTCGAGCCACTTTGGCCAAAGAGCACGGCCATAATTTTTTCACTCAAGGCGAGAGCTGGAACTCCTACGCGTGTTGAATTACAATCGATCATAATGGTATCTGCGCAAGCCAAAAGCATTATTCAAACCTTATTTAGCTATCTGTTATACTGAATAAATTTATTACATTAAAGAAGACTGTTCAAATTGCCTGAATTTAGATGTGGGTTTTTGATAGAGGTCAAAATTTGTTTCAATCATATGTGTGAGAAGAAATACAGATATTAGAGAAGATAATAGCTTAATTTGAACGCAACGGCAGAAACAATAATTGAGTTTATTAGTACTTAAAAGAGAATCTCAGAGAAGAATTCATATGATTCGATTAAAAGACCTTGGTGTACAGTAACACCTCGTTAATCTGAGACAAATTTATACAACAAAAAATATTCTACAAAAATGCCATGGCAAATTCAAAATTGATCAGCTTAATATCTTAAACAGTTCTAGCTACAATACAAAGTAGAATTATCGTGGCCCTTAGAATCGTTACAATACTTTAGTATTTTCAACTTCTGCTGATCATCAAAAATAATATTTGATACACGCATTTCTGATAAGAAACTAATTAGTAATTGAAACACGTTAAATTATAATTAAAACACGTTGATTTAATGTCAGTTAAACAACCAGATGAGTCAACCAAATCGCCATTAAAGACAACTCCCTTGCCAGCATCAAATTTCACGTATCAAAATTTATACGATTTAAATTTCATTGAAAAATCTTATCTATCACCATTGGCACAAATTTCCTTAATTGATTTAAACGCATTTTTTGCACAAGTTGAACAAGTTAGATTAGGCGTTCCTGATCATTTACCACTAGTATGTTGTCAGTGGCATGCCATAATAGCTGTAAATTATCCCGCTAGAAAATTTGGTATATCTAGATTAGATTCAGTTAAAAGCGCCCTTGAAAAATGTCCAGATTTATACGTTGCTCATGCTGCTGTTTATAGAAAAGGTGAAACTCATTGGGCTTATCAAGAAGGATATCCATCAGTTGCCACTCATAAAGTTTCATTAGATACTTATCGAAGAGAAAGTAGGAAAATTTTAAGAATATTACAACAACATATTGATTTAGTTGAAAAATCTAGTGTTGATGAAAGTTACGTAGATTTGGGAAGAGAAGTTTATAATACGTTATTTGATTTGTTTCCAGAAATACTAAATCAAGATGAAGAAGGTAATGTTAAATTACCAAAAATACCAGATATTTTACCGATTAAATTACAATGGAAAGGTGTTGTCATAGAATCATTAGAAGAAATAACACCAGAAGGAGAATCATTACCACCTAAAATACAAGATTGGGATGACATTTGTTGTTTAATTGGATCTATGGTTATATTTGATGTACGAATGGCAATTTATAAAGAATTAGGATATACTACATCTGCAGGAGTTGCAAGAAATAAATTAGTTTCTAAATTAGCTGGTGGTTTTAAAAAACCTGATAATCAAACAATTATAAGGAATTCTTCGATATGTAGATTTCTTTCAAATTTTGAATTAACTGATATTACTGGTATGGGAGGTAAATTAGGAGATTCGTTAATTGATAAATTAGATGTACCTGCTGACACAAATTCAATTACGTTTACAAGAGAACGATATGATTTAGAAATGTTAAAAGATGAATTAAAAGATGATTTAGAATTAGCTGAAAAAGTATATCATTTAGTTCGAGGATCGTGGCCAACTGAATTATCACATCAAACTGAAGTTAAATCAATGACAAGTACAAAAAATTTCAATATTGATTACGTTAGAAATTTATTTGATGCTTATGGATGGTTAACTGTATTTGCTGGTGATTTATGGAATCGATTAATTGATTTAGATAATGAAAATATGGAATTGTCATTAGTTAAACATTCAAATAAAGATAAGGGAAATATAAGAAGACCAAGAACATTAACATTGGGTGTTTTCCCAGTCACTGGTTCAAGACAAACTAGACAAATGCCAATATCATTCAATAAAGATTTAGAAAAGACAAAACAAATTATGGTTTCTTGTAGTCATCAATTAATGAGAGAATATCTTGAAAATAATACAAATATAAGTTTATTAAATCAACGAAGGACATCAAAGGAATTATTTGATATGAAACAAAATCCACAATTGGTTAAAATATTATCTATAAAGAATATGTCGTTAACAATTTCAAATTTCACCGTGTTGAATGACAATGCATTGATTGAAGCATTTGCTATAAAATCGAATTCAAATATTAATGATGAACTAATACAAATAAATCTACAAAAACGACAGCAAAAAGCATCTCCAACACCGTCACCAAAAAAGCAAAAACAATTATCAGAAGAACATAAATTACATATTTCCAAAATGTTTAAAGAATTTGAAGCATGTAAAGAAATTGTACAACAACAAAAGAAACAACCACAGAAATCTAAAAAACAACCATCATCCAATAACTTCGATATATTTAAATCATTAAAAAAGACAAATTTCCTAGAAGAACTTCAATCAATTAAATATTGTCAAAAGTGTAAAATTTCAATTGATGATCCAATTGAACATAATGATTATCATATAGCTATAGATTTATCTGATAAATTAAATTCATGATATTTTAATCTTGCATCTTTGATACTAATTTCATTATTCTTTCTTTATCTTGTTTTGCATCTTCTTGTTCTTTAATCACTGATTGAGCAAATTGATTTTCTTTAGGTACGTAAAATTGTTTACTTATTGATTTTTTACCATCTTTAGTAATTAATGAAAATGAAATTTTTTGATCATTTGATTTTAGTACTGTTGGTCTCTGCTGATTTATAAATTGCCTTGGTAACGGTAATAATTTATTAGTTTGATGAGATTTAAATGATGTATTGGATGTATAACTTTCATTCAAAATCCGTTGTAATTCTTTATCTAAATCTTGATTGAATTTTTGATCGAAATCAAGTCTATTCATATCTTCTTGTATAATTTCACTAGTTTCAGATTGAACATCACTTAATTCCTCTGCTTCTTCTTCCTCGTCTTCTTCCGATTCACTTGATTCAGATTCAGTAGAATCCTCATCTTCCTCTTCATCAATTATATCAATTTCCACATCTTCTTCATGATCATTTAAATCTTCGTTTTCAATTTCAATTTCTTCTTCATTTTCTTCTTCATCAAAATATAATTCAGCTTCTTTTTTAGTTTGAGTTGATTCCAGTAATCTTTTAACAATTTCCTGAATTGTATCGTAACGTATCACAGTTGGTATACTTTTATATTTCACAAATACATCATTTAATTTGAAATTGATTTCGATCGGTAATGGTTGTTCTTTACAGTAAATATAATATTGTAAGAAAGTCATGAAAACACCTAATAAATTCTTATTTACATCATTTCTCTTTTTTAAATCAAATGGTTTTGATGTCTTCTTCTTGTATGATAATTCAGTATCCACATAAATTGAATTTAATGAATTTAACAATAAACACACTTGTTGAATTCTAAAATAATTATTTGGTAAATCAATTTCAATATCCCAATTATTTGGTAATGGTTGATTATTTAAATGTCCAAAACATAATATCTTATATAATAAATCATTTATCAATATAAAGTTTATAATCTTTGAATTATACATTTCAGCAATATATTTCACTTGTGCCATTCTACTTCTATTCATTCTATAATCATTCAATTCTAATGAACGAATTATGTTTTCAATAATTGTATCAACTGTAAACACTACCATTCTTTTATATTTATCTGAAAAAATCAGTAATACTTGAGCTAATGCTGGTATATTATCATACTTTAGTAAATCAGGTTTTGCAAAACAATCAAGCATGGTTTGAAAACATTCTTCATTAGTTTTAAATGAGATTTTTCTTAATAAATTGACAACTAATGGTAATGATTTATTATTTAATTCTACTCTTAATAATCTTTGAATAAATTGTGATTTTGAAGATAATTCAATTCTAGGTTGTACAATTCTAGTAGCTGGTGGTTCAACAATAATTAATAAATTGTTAATTGCTAATTTATCATTAATGTTAAGATTTGATAGTTTTGATTTCTCTTTTAATAATGAAATCATTTCCTTCATTAATGGTAAATATTCAAGATCAGATAATAAAAATCTTCCAACATTTTCATAAAAGACAGATAAGATATCAATATTATTTGTTGATGTGATGTTAATTGTTAAACTTCTAATCTTATGGAATATTAAATGAGTTGGAATCATTTTAAATTTAATCATTTCAATGAAAAAGTAAATGTTTTTAAAGTTTAATTTATTTTGATACAATTGTGACCTGAAACCTTTATCCAAATAAGTTATCAATTCTAATATTAAGTCATGTAAATTCATTTCATTAATTTTTAAAAACTTTGTATAATATTTCAAGTTATTAATATTTGAAGTTTCAACAAAGAATTTCATAATTCTATTCTTTGTAGCTTTATTATTCAAATTGAGATTGTTAAATTCAACTACTAATTGTTCTAAATCATTTGATGACATATTTTGTAGCTTAGCAAGAAACTCTTGAATTTTTTCACCATCTTTTGTACTTGTACTTTTGGCAATTTCAGGATATGCATCAATCAATTCACCAAGAGATGAAATAATTGTATAAAAATTTCTCTCTTTAACATCTTCCCATACTCCATTTAATTCGTCTTCATTTAATGTTTTAGTTTTAACAACTTCAATTTTTGAATCATCTTTTGATTCCTCTTTTTCAACTTGATTCAATTCTGAAGGTAATGGTATTTCCAAAGTTGTTGATAAATATTCAGACGTAGATTTGAATTTCTCAAATAATTTAGTAACATTTTCCAATTCAGTTTGATTTTTTTCAAGTATTTTACCAGTCCTAATTGAAGCTTTTTTATTTATTTCAGAAACTTGATGTACTTTCTTTTTGAGGACCATTAAATGATTGAAAACTGCTTTTGTATAAATATTAAAAATCTGTTGTAATACATTCTTCACTTCAAAAGAAAGTAACTCATTTTGTGGGTCATAAATCATATGATGAAATCTTTTTAAAAATGCTTGTGCCATGGATAATGAATTACCCAGTTTTAATTGATAATTTAATAAATCTTTTAATACAATAATAATTATAGGTTCAGATGCAAATTTACCAAACTTTGTTAAAATTTCGTCAGGTACATCTTCTTTATTACAATCTTTTAAATTTCTGAAAATTCCAATGATGTAAAATTCACCAATCAATTTGAGTAGGTTTTTCTGACGTGCAGATTTCTCCTTTTCTTCATTAGTATTTGAAATGTGTAATAATAAGTTAATTAATAAATAAGGTGTAAAATTTGTAATAAATCTTTGATGTAATGCAGATACAACTTCCATACTTGCTAAAGTATCATCACTTTTTGAAACCTTAACCAATGCTTCTCCAATAGATACAATAACCTCAGATAAATATTTTTCAATTGATAATGTTTCAACGTCTTTAATAATTGTTTTATATTGTTCATTATTGATCAATTTAACCTTCTTGATGAAAGTTGTATTCTTTTTCAAAGAAGAATCTAATTTAGTTGCTGTTTTAAATACAGATTCACCATCCCATGCTCGAGTATTTAGATTATATAACTCCTTTCGTCGATCATCTAATTCCATTGCTCATTGATGAATACGAATTTTAAACTTGGTATTATGATGAAAATCGATTTCAATATTTTTTTTTTTGTTTCTATTGATAAAAATAAATATTCGGTCATAGAATATTGACATTTGAAATATGAAACATCAATACAAGCTTAAAATGTCAGAGATATTGTCGATAACGTTGTAAACTGTAGTGGACTCATGTTGAATGAAAGCTATTGCTTCTGACGAGTCAATTTTAGTTCTGATGACTCATAGGTCAAATTTTGACTTTTACAACTAACTGCCATGGTCGGAAATGGGAACCAGTTTAAAGTGTAAGATCTACATAAGTAATGCATTCGATACTCCTCAAATCAATGGGTACCTGCATCCATCTTCATTAGTCAATCTCTTAATCTTATACAGGATTTGATCCCGATAGAAATTTTTCAATGCGCCGTTATCGATCAAATATAAATTGCGCTTCATTTTCTTGGATCTTGAAATTATATTATTTTGCAGCTATTTGAGATGTTCCATACTACTTCATCATCTGCTTCTATAATTATACCAGAACCACAAAGAGCTTATTCTTTTGAAATAAAGCATAATAATATCAATAATGAAGAATATGAATTACATAATATTTTGAGCTATCACCAAGAAGATGATATTTCGATACGGCCGTTCCAGCCTGATTCCAAGAGTAAACAAGTGGATGATGTAGCTTTTAGTCAATATGAACCTTTAGAAGGATCAAATAATGATAACTTAAGAAGAAGAAGAAATAGTGAGGTTTCAATCCGTAGTCAAGGTTCAATGGCTTTAATGTATGGAAGTGATTTAAATACAAATATACCAGATGGTGGATTAAAAGCATACTTAGTATTAATAGGAAGTTTCTTTGGTTTAATTGCTGATTTCGGTATTGCTAATTCTTTAGGTGCTATTGAATCATATATTTCAGACCATCAATTGAACGACATTTCCACAAATAAAGTTGGATGGATATTTAGTTTACATTTGGGTATAATGTATTTTGGTGGAGTTTTCTTCGGTGAATTGTTTGATAAATTAGGTGCTAAAATTCCATTAGTTGCAGGGACATTAATAATGTGTGTTGGATTAGTATTAACAGCTGAGTGTGAGAAATTATATCAATTTATCTTGAGTTTTTCAGTTGTAACTGCAATTGGTACTTCAGTCGCCATGTCACCTTTAATCGGTTCTTTAAGTCATTGGTTTTTAAAAAAAAGAGCATTAGCTTGTTCAGTTGCAACTTGTGGTGGATTAGTAGGTGCTTCAATATTTGCTGTTATGTTACAAAGGTTATATGAACAAATTGGGTTTAAAAATGCAATTAGAATTTTAGCATGTTTATGTTTCTTTTGTATGAGTTTATCTGTTGTTTTAGTTAAAGAAAGAAAAGATGAGAGTTTACATCAAGATTTAGATAATGCAGAAGTTGAAAAGAAGAATAAAGTGAGACATGTTATAAATTTCTTTAAAAGTGCATTAGACTTTAAAGTTGTTAATGATCAAAAGTTTATATCATTGACAATAGCTGTTTTTCTTGCTGAAATTGTTTCAATGACTTCATTAACTTACTTGGGATCTTATGCATTAGTTCATGGTATAAGTAATTCAGAATCTTATTTATTATTAACAATTGTTAATGTTTGTGGTATACCAAGTCGAATATTTTCTGGCTTTATAGCTGATAAATTTGGTAGATTTAATGTTATGATAATAACTTCCATTTTAACTACAATTGTAATATTTGCATTATGGTTACCGGCAAAAGATAATTCAAGAGCATTGTTAATTTCATTTTCAGTATTATTTGGTATTACTACTTCTTCAGTTATATCATTAATTGGTGCATGTGTTGGACAAATTTGCAGTAGTTCCAATTTTGGAAAAGTTTATGGAGTTTGTTATTTCTTTCTTGGTTTTTTAACAATATTAGGGATGTATGCTACTTCCGCAATTATAGGTTCTGGATCAAAACAAAATTACACAAACTTTGTTTATTTTGAAGGCGCCTTATCAGCATTTAGTGTAATTGCATGGTTATGGGCTAGATATGCATGTGTTGGATTTAAATGGTGTAAATTTTAAAACATTCGACTTTATTATAATTATTGAAAAATTTTGCAACATAAGTTGGTAGTGCATACAGAAAATTTGCAGCCATTTCATGAAATGGTAGTTAATAAACTCATTAGAAGCAGATTCGAAATTAAAGATTAACAAAAATTAGTCTACGAACAATAGTCACGGCTATTGAGTAAATATATACTATCTATATACTATCTACATACCATCTATATACTATCTACATACCATCTATATACTATCTACATACCATCTATATACTATCTACATACCATCTATATACTATCTACATACCATCTATATACTATCTATATACTATCTATATACTATCTATATACTATCTTCATTAAATTTAATCATTAAATTTAATAAATTTAATAATATATTTGTGACCCTTCATAGCTTTTACATTAGATTACTTATAATTTAAATTTGTCAATTGGTAGTGCAAATATATAATAATAACGGTTATTAAACTTTTATAGTCTGTAATGCATACATTTTGAGCCCCTTTCCTAATTAAGTTAATGCGTTCTATTAAGTTTTCAACTCTAATGGTTATTCAATAATTTTTCAATAATTTTTCAACCTTATGATGACAAACCATAAACTAAATTATTGACAACCAAATATCACATTATTTATTTAAACCAATCAAATCTTTATTAATTTAGTTATTATTATTATTATCAACAATCAACCATCATATTGTTAGCTCAACTGTAGTGGTATTAATAGTCGTACTACCCTTAATTAATAAATAATATAAAATTTTACTACTACCAGTCCAATTTAATTTTAAAGTTTTAAGATCGTCGCCGTACAGTTTAAAAAATTTAAAATTTTTTCATACATAACTACTATCATCAATATTTATCAACTATTAAGGTTATTTAACTTAATTAAAGGTTATTTAACTTAATTAAATTATTCATCATTAATTAAGAATTTTTCTAAATTTTTCTAAATTTTTATTATTTAAATCAATCGAAATCTGTCAAATTTGATTTTAATAAATTTCTTGGTAAAGCTTGGTAAAGATCCAATAGAAAGAAAAAAATAAGATTATAATAATGAGTGTACAACAACAACGTATACTGGAAATTTTTGAATGGTTAAATAAAAGAGATGAATGTCCTTCTGATAATGATTATAATGGATCTATGGGTGCTAGAATTTCATCGGTTTTTGTAATTATGGCTACTTCTGCCATTGGTACTTTATTTCCAATATTATCTTCAAGATATAGTTTTATAAGATTACCACCTTGGTGTTTTTTTGGTGCTAAATATTTTGGTTCTGGTGTTATTGTTGCAACAGCATTTATACATTTATTGGAACCTGCTTCAGATGCTCTTAGTGATGATTGTTTAACTGGTCCAATTACAGAATATCCATGGGCTTTTGGAATTTGTTTAATGACATTATTTTTATTATTCTTTTTTGAATTGGTTGCTTATCGAATGATTGATAGAAAAATTGAAAATATGGGTGCCGGAGAATTTAATGGTCAATCACATTCTCATTTTGGTGATGAATCAATGTATGTTAAAAAAGATGTTGATTTGGAAAGTATTGATAAAGATGAAGAAGCAGATTATAAAACTGAAAATAAACAAGCTGTAGAAGAAAATCCCTATCCTTCACATTTTAGTCATGCCCAAGAACATCAAGATCCTGAATTAATGGGTACTCCAGTAAATGATCAAAATAAAGAACAATATTATGGACAATTATTAAATGTATTTGTTTTAGAATTTGGTGTTATGTTTCATTCAGTATTTATTGGTTTATCATTAGCTGTTTCAGGTGATGAATTTAAAAGTTTATATATTGTTTTAGTTTTCCATCAAATGTTCGAAGGTTTAGGTTTAGGTGCAAGAATTGCACAAACAAATTGGCAAAAATATAAATTTACACCTTGGATATTAGCTTTATGTTATACTTTATGTACTCCAATTGCTATTGCTATTGGTTTAGGTGTTAGAAATTCATATCCACCAGGTTCTAGAAAATCTTTAATAACAAATGGGGTATTTGATTCAATATCAGCCGGTATTTTAGTTTATACAGGTATTGTTGAATTAATGGCTCATGAATTTTTATATTCTGGTGAATTTAAAGGTAAAGAAGGTTTCAAAAGAATGTTAATAGCTTATTTTATAATGTGTTGGGGTGCTGGATTAATGGCATTATTAGGTAAATGGGCATAATCCAATCAACCTTGTCACTCATAAATCAAAATTTTTAATATTTATAGATCCTTTTATTTGTATTTTGCATATTTAATTCTTTGTATATGTGTTTTTGTATAATTTTCAATATAATTAATATTACTATTCCAATCATCGTCTACCACTGATTTTACTAATGCGAGTTCGCTTAGATTAAAACGATGGGAAAAAAAAAAAGAAATATAAATCGAAATCGCAGGGCAAAACTATTTTCATTTTATCATTCATTTTCTGTTTAATACAGACAAACACTAAACATGCTATCAAGATTCAGTATAAGATCAATAAACAGATCAATAATTTACGGTTCTTTCAGATTTTATTCCCCACCTCCATCTAAATTTGATTTTCAACCTGGTCCACCAAAATTACCAAAAGAACAACAAGAAGAATTTGAAAATTTACAACATATAGCTCAGACTCAAATTGTAATTGATGAATTTAATGATAAATTAGCAGAAGCAAATCGTGAAGAACCAAATAATACTAATGCTCCAAATTTGTCTAAAGATAACGATATTGGAAATTTTGCTTATTTTAAAACTATACCTGAGTTTGAAGGTGATGTAAATCCAAAAACTGGTGAAAGAGGAGGTCCAAAACAAGATCCATTGAAACACGGAGATAATGAATGGACATTTAACGGTAGAGTAATTGACTTTTAAACACTCACTGACTCATACAACAATGCAACTTCGATTACTTGAGTACCTTGTTTTTAGTGTATAGATTAACGTAAATAGAAATGAATAATGATTCTTAAGAATTTTGCAACTTAATTTCTTCATTTATTTATCTTTTTTGTTTTGGTTGTGAAAAATTATTATACGATGGATTTTGATCCATTATCTTTATTTACACCATCTCCAAGCGTAGAAGATGATATAAGAACTTTAGAACATAAAGAAGTCAAAGAAATACCGTATGAAGATGAAGATGATCACTTACAACCAATACATATACTAGATCTACCGTTGTTGAAACTAAATCCACCATTTGAAGTCGTAATGATATTTTTGAAATTGTTTCAACCTAGCCAAGTCACGAATTTTTATACTACAGCAGAGGATGAAAAAGATCCGGACTCTATATTTAAAGAAAAAGGAATATATCAAATCGAATTAGACTTAGCTTTAGTCTGGCTACGAGACTTTTGTCCTAGATTCAATACAATTTCAAAATTAGCAGCCATACCCAGATTATCAAATTCTTTTAAATTGATTAATGATTATAATTCATACTTCACAAGACTTATATCTACTCCATTACCATATACTGATGCACAAATAAGTCTCATTCATAAAGAGGCATCATTAAGAGTTAGTGAAAATTGTGGAAGAACAGCACAACCTCAAATAATAAGAAAAATAAAACTAGACGACTTTGAAGAAGTAATTTCTTTGAAGGAACCATCATTGACTAACGATAATCTTGGCTTGAAAACTTGGGGCTCATCTTTAATTTTGAGTAATCGATTAATACGCAATCCTGAAAAATATTTAAAAGGTGAAGTATTAGAGTTGGGTTCAGGCACTGGCTTAACTGGTATTGTTATTTCAAAACTAGGCTATAATGTAATATTGACTGACTTGCCTGAAATCACACCCAATTTGAGAGAAAATTGTAAATTGAACAAATGTGATTCATTAGTATGTGAACTAGATTGGTCGGATCCTACTTCATTTATAAAACAAAAGAGTGATATCAAATTTGATACAATTATGTTATCTGATCCTATTTATTCATCTAAGCATCCTTATTGGGTAGTCAACATGATTAAATTATTTAGCAAATCCACATCTAACATAATTGTTCAAATTCCATTACGTCCCAAATTTGAAAAAGAAAGAGAAGTTTTATGGGAGCTACTTAGTGATTATAAGGTAGTAGAGGAAGCTGTCGAATCTGGATATGATGATTTTGGAGTCATGCAATTCTTGTTTAAATTATATAATTTATAAATAATCCTTTAATTTTCTTAATCTAGTTACAGCATCTTCTAAAACAGCATCATCTTTACATACCGCAAATCTAATTGTATTTTCTAAACCATTACCTAATCTATTTTCAGGTATTAAAAATTCAGTTGGAGGTATTCCAACAACCCCAATTTCTTTAATTAACCAATATGCCAATTTGAAATCTAAGGTACCTCTATCTGAAATAGCTTGTGGAAATTTGTAATCCTTTGAAATTTTAACCTTTGATAAATTAACTAATAAGAAATAACCACCATCTGCTTTAGTATACGGTAATCCTAATTCATCAAATACAGCAGTAAATATCTCATATTTCTTTTTATAATCTTTAACTGTATTTTCAAAATAATTTAATTTATCAGCTTGTTCAAATCCTATAGCAACAGCTTGTTGTAATGGAGCAGGAGTTGAAAAGCAAATTCTAGTATGAGCAGCAGTTACAAATTTAATTAAATTAACTGGACCTTGAATATAACCAATTCTCCAACCAGTAGCAGCAAATGATTTACCAGCAGATCCAACAGTTAAAGTACGTTCAGCTAATTCAGGTAAAGACTTTAAATTTGCAGGACGGGGAAACTGCGGAGTATAATATAAATTTTCATAAACTTCATCAGAAACAAGGATTAAATTATGTTTAATGGCTAATTCACCTATCCTTTCTAATTCTTCTTCGGTGAATACTTTTCCAATTGGATTATGAGGCGTGTTTATAACGATAATTTTCGTTTTTTCATTAATTGAATTTTCTAACCCTTCCCAATCAATTTCCCAATCTTTACCTTCAACAACTCCAGTATCAAATTTCTTTGGGTATTTAATTTCCACATATTTAACTTTTGCACCCGTCATTTCAATATTTGGGATATATTGATCAAAAAATGGTTCAAATACAATAGCTTCATCACCACTAGTTAAAAATCCAAAAAATATACTAAACATACCTTCATTTGCACCAGTTGTAATTTGTATTTGATCAGGAGTGACTTCTCTACCATAACTTCTTGAATAATGATCAGCTACTTGTTTAAGTAAATTTGGATTTCCTCTTGCATGTGCATATTGATTAAATTGAGGCTTTGTAAGTGCTTGGTTAACAGCATCAATTGCAAAGTCAGGCGGATTATATGAAAAAAAACCTTGACCTAGATTAACTATAGATTTACCTGATTCTTGTTCCGCTTGAGCAGCAGTTTCATTAATTAACGACCAAATATCTTTTTGACCTGGTTTTTGATAAAAATACGGATTATGTAAAGTTGTAGGATCTGAATTTTTAGTTGAACTAGGCATGCTTGAATATAATCTTGGAATAAACTTGTATGGTTTTAATTTTTTTAACATAAACTCTTCAATCAAATGATAAACGAATGTGATTTAATTGGTCTATCTATCTGTTGTTATAGTTAGTGTGGCTCTTTATAAATAAACTTTTCGGTACTGAAAAATTTATACGTGGGATAATTTAACTCCATTTGCATAAAATATTATTCTGACTCAAGCCGCCAAAAAAAGTATAATGATGCAAAAAATAATGATAGGTAGCGCCGATAAGAATAGTTTTGCAGCCAAATGAGATCTTAGATCTATAAACAAAAATTACCCCTTAAAATGTAGCAATTCAATGTCTGTTTTATATTTTACAATGTGATTGACAATGTAACGAAACTGAATTTATATGCACATTCTCTAATGATTCTAAATGATGTTTCACATTGGAATGACCCTTTCAAATCTTAATATAAATTGACGACGAAATCTCTTATTTTCAAAATCATTAGATTCATGTCAAAAATCGTGGTTAGAAAACCCAATTTTCTTAAAAGATCAACAACTACCAAATTCGATGCTTCAGAAGATGAGTATTCACTTGAAAATATTCAATTAGGTATTGCCTCAGTTAATTTCGATATTGAGAAATCCAAAATTGATGCCAAAAAATTACCAAAAGTAATTCATCAACCTGGTTTAAGATTCAATTATTTATCATTAGCGATTTCAGAGTCTGAAATTACTCCAATTAAATACTTGCGTAATTTACATTCCTCTGATCGTGCTTTAATTGAATTTGCATGTGGGTTCAGATTTGAAATTTTATCATCAATTGACAGAATGGTTAATTTTATCAATGGTTTAGGAAATAAGAAATATGAGAATAAGAAATTTGGTCAAGATTTTATTTGTTTTATTATTGGAGAATCATCAATGTTTATTCATGATGATGATTCAAAATTTGATAAGGATTTGATTGAAGGATTTTTATATTCTATTTATTCTGATTTTGATGTTATTCAACTTGTTAAAAATTTGGAAATGATATTGAAAGGTGGTAAGTTCAAGGGATTAAAGAAAGGGATTAGTGATTCTATGGTTGCTGCTTTTAATTTATATATTAATCCATGTGAAGGATTTGAAAATGATTTAATTGCAAGATTGATTACTTTATGGATATTTGCTTTATTGAACATTAACTAGTATTAATAAATAAATAAATATATATTCTGCTATGACTATATGTATGCTATGATTTTAATGTTTATACATCCTTACTCTCATCCTTACCTTCATCCTCACTTCCATTTTGACTTGGTAACAATTTCAAGATATTATCGAAAGTATCATAATTAAACCCTTCTTCAACTGTCCATTTCTCATCATTATTTTTATGTAGCACCTCACAAGCATATCCAGTAACTAATAAACCAGGAGGTCTACAACCCAAAGATTCAACAGCCAAATCTACATTTTTCAAAGTAGTTCTGATTATTCTTTGATCAGGACAAGAAGCTCTTTCCACAATAGCAACAGGCAAATCATCATCCCAACCTTTTTCAACAAACACTGGTATCAATTCAGCTATTCTATGTAATGCCATTAAGAATACTGTTGTTCTACTTTTCACAAATTCAGGTAAATTAGGAACAACACCTTTTCTACCCGTACCAGTACAAATTAAAACTTGATCAGCTACATTTCTATGCGTCATTGGAATACCACTTAAAACAGGAGCAGCAAAAGCTGATGAAATACCAGGTATGACAACTGGTGTATATCCATGTTGACTAAAGAAATTGAATTCTTCACCACCACGACCGAAAATATATGGATCTCCTTGTTTTAATCTAATTACATTCTTACCTTGATTTAAAGCATTCAATCCCATGTCTAGTAATTCTTCTTGAGCTTTTTCAGCATTACCGGGAAACTTTCTAGCTATGAAAAATTCAGTATGGCGAGGAATTAAATCTAGTACTTGTTGTTGAACTAATTTATCAGCTAATATCAAATCTGCTGAACATATAGCATTTAAAGCTCCTAATGTGAGTAATGAGATCGAACCTGGACCGGAACCAATCAAACTAATGATTCCTTTCTTCTTGATATTTAAAGTTTTTATAGTTTCTTTTCTGTTCTCTTTGTAGATTTGAGTAAGGTCATTTAGTGATATATTTGATAATTGATTTAATGGGAAGTACTCAACTACTTGACTCAACCATCTATTTCTCTGTAATTTGATTTGTTCAGGAGTCATTTGGAACTCCTTTATTAAAGAGTTTATATTTGAATTAATTGCATCATCTTCATTTTCACCAATTTCAAATTCAAATTTATCTTCCATTTGAATTCTAGATCTTAATTCACCAACTTTATTACATATTTCATCAATGTTGGAAGGTAATGAAGTTGCCATTTCTCTTTTAATTCTAGAAGCTAATTTACAACCTTTTCCTGAAGTAGTTACACCAAATTGAAAATCACCCCGCGTATAAGTTGATAATAAAGTGAAAGTACATAGATTTGGACTATCTGTAGTATTTATCGGTATTCTTAATCTCTTACAACTATTGAATATATCTTGTTTTAAAGATTCTTGTGAATTTGGCAAGGTAACGAAAACTCGATCAATTATGAAATCAACTTCGTCTCGACCTAATGATGTTAAATATTTGTGATAATTGAATTCTATATCATTCTCCACTATGACTTGTAGTTTATTCTCCTCTTTATATTGGTTTAGTATTGGTGATATATTTGTATTTTTATCAATTATTATTATTGGCCTTGCACCCGACTCAATAATGCTCGATATTCTTAGATTTGTAACGCTTGAGTATCCAATGAGTAAATGCACCTCATCTATACTAACCAATGATGCTAATAGATTGGGCATTATACCTCTTAATGTCTTTGATTTATTTGGTTGCAAATATTTTTCATCTTATACTTGAATCATAGTAAGAAAAATAATAATGTGTGAAATTACGCAATTTGATAAGCGACAGTCGTAAATTTTTATGACATGTCAAGAATAAAACAAGACACGACACTTCATCTCTATATATTTCAATTTCTGATCTTATGATTTTCGCTTACTTTGCAACAATTTAAACATGGCTAAAAGAACATTAGGACTAGGTAATAGAGCAAAATCAAAGAAGCAAAAGGTTGAAGAAACGCAAGAACAAGAAGAACAAGAAGGTCAATTGACAGTTGAATTGCCTGAAGAAGTTGATCCAAATGATGAATTAGGTCAATTGAAAGGATTATATCAATCGTATTTATCTGATAAATCAGAATTAATACTTAATGGTATAATACATGAATGTGATAGATTATTAAGAAATAAAAAAGAAGGTGATGAGGTACTTCCTGCTTTATTTTATTCAATTTATGGTAAATCTTTAAATGAATTATCACAATTTTGTGAAAATACTAGAGAAATTCTGGATTTTATTTCCAATGGTCTTGAAAGAATAGATAACGGGTTAGAGAAATATCCAAAAGATGCTGATTTATTATTTGCAAAAGCTAAAATTATATTAAATGAAATCTTATTTACTATTTCAACTTTAAAAATTGATTCTGAAAATGAACCATTAAGTAAGAGATTAGATGAAGCTTTACAAATTTATGAAATTGCTGAATCAAGAGCAAAAAGTGAGGATTTAAATGAGGAGACATTAAGTATAATTCAAGATTTTGATGATTTACTTGAAGTTGTAGATAACTTTGGAAAACCACAAAAAGAGGAAGAAGAAGAGGATGAAAATGACGAGGAGGAAGAGGAAGATGAAGTAGAAGTTAAATTAGCTGAAACTCATCCATTACATACTATGAAAACAGATGATAAATATAATTTATGGTGGAGAGAACATACTCAAACATTCCTCGATAATGTAAAAGATGAAAATTTAATCAAACAAGTTAATAAACTATTAGGACAATCTTATTTACTAGAAGCTGAAATTCCAACCAATGCATTCACAAGTTTAGCTTATGATGATGAATATGCTGGTATTGAAGAATTATATGGACTCAAAAAAGAAGAAGCTCGTAAAATCTCCATTGATTTGATTAATAAAGCTTTAACATATCTTAAAGCTGCTAAAGATGAAGAAGAGCCAGATTCATGGGCAGACATAGCTGAAGCAATGATTCAATTGGGTAATTTATATGAAGTTGATTCTGAAGAACAAGAAAAATTGTATAAAGAAGCCGAAGAAATACTTAAAAAAGCAAATAATGTAACTAATGGATTATATGAAGATATATTAGACAATTTGAAAGCATAATAAAAGTTAATTTTGTTACATCTAAACTCTAGGTGATACTGATTCTCTAAATTTAACTTCATGGTAAAGTGATGCGACGATTAGCTTGAAAGACGACATAATGTAGAAGTTACGATCATAAATTAGATATCATATATATATTAACGTTTCTTTATTTGCTTTTAAACTCTAGTTGATAAAGTTTTTTCAGAATTTAATTTCATTGCATTTCTTTCATAAGCTGTATCTTTACAGATTTGTAAACCAGTACATAAATGATTTTCCAATAATCTATGTTTAGTACAATATTTACCTCCACAATGAGAACAATTACCAACCATTCTTAAAGGAGTACCATTACAATTTTTAAAACTACATTTATTCTTCTTTTTCGTTTTCTTAACTGATGATGATGATGATGATGAGGTGGAAGTTGTAGTAGTTGCATTTGATGGGTCTATTGATTGTGTTGGGGTGATTGGTGGAGTATTTGTTCCATTTGACATTAAAATAATTGATATTTCCTTTTCATCTGATGCTATCATTCCAAATGACAGTAATGGTTGATAATAAGGTTGTAATTTTGATCCATTATAAATTAATTTAAAATCTTTTGGTAAATCATTTGGACTACTAACTATTATTGAATTTTTTAAATCTTCGACGGTGGAATTATCAGGTACGGTGACTGAAAATGATGATTCAGTAGTTAATCTAATAGTGACTTTCATTGCAAAACTTTTGAATAATCTATAAAATATGAAAACGGACAGGAAATACTAGTGAAATATGAGTTTATATAAATTATTGTTGAGTTGTCGTTGAGATAAGAATAATGATTTAATTTTGGTGGCAAACTAAAAAAGATGCAAAATATATTATTTACGTATTGGCTAACAAAATAAATTACTATGTGACATCAACAATCAACGATCAGCCGGAAAAGAAATATAATAGCTGACTATAATTTGTCATGTGATTGGTCACGTTACTCCGGGGCTACCAATTGGTTTTAAAGAGTTAGTTTTAACCTTTTAACTTCTTTTATATTTATACAAGTATTCTACCCTATAAACCCATAAATAATACAGTTGATACTTTTCTTAAAACCATCATAATCGTCATATCAGAAGTAATTCTATCAAAGAACACTTTTACTATTTACCATTTACTATTTATCATTTACCATTTACCATTTACCATTTATATTCATCCCTTTTAATTTTCATCTTTTGTTCATTTTTCTTAATTTCTTCTTGATTATTAAATAATATATTTGGCGTTGTTGTAGTCGCACCTATTTTATATATTGGTTTTGGTGGATTATAAGTAGGATTTGAAGTCGAACTAGTTTCAGTTGCTTGAGTTCCACCAATTAATGAAGTTGCTTTTAATTCAGTATCAGCAGGGACTGGGGTAGATAAAATACCAACTAATAAATAGAAGATAAATGAAAATTTCATAATGGATATAGAGAAATATAAAATTGAGATCTACTAATATATATATATATATATATTTTATAACATCGCCATACCAAATTATAATAAACTATAACTGAATTTGTAAAACGAACGAAAATAGACAAATCTAGATTACAATTTTAACCAAATGAAGTAAAAGAGAAAATAGCTTGAAAACAATCATCAGCCACTCCAAAATATTTTTTTTTATTGCGAAAGGAGTGAATTTGGTCTTGTTACATTCTATTATAATACATTTTCCATTCAGGGCTTATAATTAAACTGAAACGATTCACGGTTAATGATTTTGAAATTTATTTTATATCGTTATTCATATATTAAATTCATTATGTATTAATCATTAAGTTATTAATTATTAAGTTATTAATTATTAGCATTATTTATCTTATCATTCATCATTCTTCTTATTAGCATTATTATTAGCATTATTTATCTTATCATTCATCATTCTTCTTATTAGCATTATTATTAGCATTATTTATCTTATCATTCATCATTCTTCTTATTAGCATTATTTATCTTATCATTCATCATTCTTCTTATTCTTAATTTAACTCCTTCGTTACCTTCAGTTTTATTATCGACGTTTTCTAGTTTTTCTTCATCCTCTTCTTCATCTGTTGAACTTTCTTTAGTTAAATTTATGTCATTTGTTTGTTCTAAATCAGCAGATGCAAAAATTGGTATATCAGATAAATTATTCAATGATAAGTCTAATGAAGCAGTACTTATTTGTCTTTGTAATTGAGGATGTTTGAATTTTAATATTTCTTCACCTTTAATTTCTTCTTCTTTTTCTAAATCAAAACCTTCATCCATGTTGTTATATTGTTTATAAAATTTATCATAATCATTGAATATACCAGGTCCATATCTATTACAAAATTCATTAACTTTTTCACGTAATTCTTCTCTTGTCTTCTTTAATTCTTCAATTTGTAATTCATCAGAATGAGCATTTATCAAACTTAATAATAATGGTTTTAATGATTTATAATAATCAACTCCAATTTCACCAACTCGTAAACTGGCATAAGTAGTTAATAAAGCCCAACCATAAAATACTAAAAATATGAACACAATTGACCACTTTGATTTCCATGAATCTGGTAAAACATCTAATTTAAAAATAAATATAGTTCCTAAAATTGAATAAAATATGTATAAACATGGAGCAAATACCATTGCAACTAATATTTTCCAAGTTCCTAAAACATCTTTAGCCTTGATTTTAACTACTGAGCTTTCCAATGCTTCTTTTGCCTTCTTTTTTGATATTCTTCTTGCTGTAATGAAAACGGGACTGAATAAGAAAATACCTGGTAAACTTAATCCCATAAATATTGAAAATTTAATCAATCTTGAAATAAACATCCAAAAAGTATCAAAATTATTCAACTTCTGAATTGATTCAACTTGATGATCATGCAAATTTAATCTCAATAATCGTCGATTATAATCAGTAACCATATCTCTTAATTTTATGACATCTGGTTCATTTTTATATTTTTCATAACCTTTAATTAATCTTCTGTTCATTTCAACTACCATTGGAGTAGGTATTGATTCTCTATTTGTAGAAGTATATAATCTTCTAGCTGCTTGTAAAACCATTAATGTATCATAATCGTCACAAGTAACAGTAACTTCTTTCAAACCTAAAGTAATAATCTTTAACAATTTATCAACTGTTGATCTACTATTCTTAATGTATTCTTGACCCATAGCTTCAGCTACCACAATTGGCTTACCAAATTCAACAACAACTCTTGATCTAAATTTATGAGGATGAAAATAGTTTAATCCAACGGGAACAACACTAACGGGAGTAATATAATCCAATCCTCCTTGATATTGATTAATTTGTTCCGTTACTGCACCTAATGCCATTAAGGCAACTCCTGGTTTTAAAGGTAATAAATCTGGTCTATCATGAGATCCACCTTCTGGAAAAATACCCAATATTTTCCCATCATTTAAATGATGAAATACATTTTGAAAAACAATATGATTATCAACATGAGGAGCAATTTTAAAACTAGTACCTTGAGATAATAATTTACCTATCTTATCTTGAATTTTTTGTTTTGGAGAACGAAATGGTTTTCTTAAAGTTAAATGAGTATCATCTTCAATACTAGAAATTTGACAATTTCCTAATGAGTGAGGTAAACCAATCAAACCCTTAACCATACAATCTTGAGTAAATTTAGTACCATCACCAATAAGTACCAATTCATTCTCAGGGTCAATTCTAATTCTACCAGTTCCCTTTTTTAATAAATCTTGAGCACGTTCAACAGGGATACTTGAGCATAATTTAGCAGCATCACCTATTATTCTTCTATTATATGATTTCTTAGCTATTAAAAATGCAATTCTTCGATTTGAATGTTCTTTAACTTTAGTCATGACAACTAAACCATCAATGAATTGATTATGATGAGGAGCAATAACAAATATAACTGGACCTTTTCTAGGTATATTGAAAGTACCCCTTGTTTTAATATCTCTGAAAAATGTATGAATTATAAGATTGAAAAACCATAATACTAAATCATAAGATAATAAACGAAAGAATAATTTTAAATAATACCATATTGATCTGTTTTGAAATTTTGATTGTCTCGTAGGTGATGGTGGTGGTTTATAATCTTCAGTTACTTTTATCATGGAAATACTAAATAAAACTGTTGAAGGTTGTTAAAGATAAAGGGATAAATTATTATATTGTTATTATAAGCAAGTGAGATAAAGCTTCAAAAAAAAAAAAATGTCTTAAGGGGTAACGGAAAAAATTTGTTAAGCTCGCTATTTAATAATTTTAGGGGGTATTTTTATACAGTTCTGGCATATAAATTTGAATTAGACTGTGGGGTGGATTCTAATTAGATTCTATTGCTATCGTATTGGTCAAACGGCTTGTAGATGATCATCTTGGTATTCATCAAAGTTGAAATAGACAACGTGGCAAAACTGTTTAAAAAATTGCAAAACATGACAAAATTTAAAAACTACATATAAACATAGATACGTGAAAGTGACACCCGAATTTCAAGATCACTTACTTTAATTAACTCATAGTACAATTACTGAGGTTGAGTTCAGCTCGATCTAAACCATTACTAAACTATCAATTCACCTATTAATTTTGCGATATAGCTCAAAATTCGAAATTAATGCCCCGCTTTATATTCGTTGGAGCAGCACTGTAATTGTCACACTATCCGATACAATATAACTCAGTAAATAGACTCATAATGAATCAGTTTTTGAACGGTATGAAGAGCTGTAATTATTTTGTTCGAAAAAGGTTTTTGTAACTTGTTTTAACAGATGTTTCAGAATGCATATTTGCGTACTGCTCATTCGCGTATCAAGATTTAAGGAAATATATTTGAACTTGTTACTTAATGATAGTTTCTATTTCTTCTCTATATATCTTAACTATGGATCCCAGGATATTTACTTTAACACAGGAAATTTTAGATAATCATTTCATATCTACCATTAAAAGTTCTATACTATTTAGATAGTGCAATATCCATTAGTCTCATAATCTCAATGAACATCGAAGAAGTCACCAAATTAAGGTGAACAACTGTGATACTCCATAAAAGACAGTTTTATTCTAACAAAAGTATGTGACTTTTCAACGCGATGAATTCGTGCAAACTGAAAAATTTCTCGCGTTAGCTTTAGGTCGACTCGTACCAAATACATCGGCTTGTATGTCATGAAAAATACATTCTCTGGATATAAGAACCAGAATTATGAAATCGAGAGCTATGAATCATACATCTCAAATAATAATTTCTAATTTCAGATATTTTGTTTTTCAGTTGCCATTTTAGGCTTTGCGTCATACAAAATTTTTCAAAAAATGTAAATCTATGTATCTTTTAATTTAGGTCCATAACTTTGAATCAAATAGTGAATTACATATGATATACCTGAATTAAAGAAGCTAAACATAATTTTAGCAGCTCTCAACTAAAATTGAAAAACTTCGATAATTCTTCTTAAGTATGGGGAAAGTCGAATGAATTGACATTACTAAAAATTTAATTTCACTTTGATATTCAAAAAACACGATGAAGCTATTTAATTTTCTTGTTCTGGCTTTTAATAAGCGCTGAATACCTTTCTGTTAAGGTCTTCAAAATTGAAGGAGTAATTTTTCAAAGGGTATTCGAAATCTTTGCAAAATATCAAAACAATTATTGCAAGCGGAGACTGTCATAGTTATCATTTTGGGGGTCAACTAAACTATCCCAACTAACTTGAAAGTTGCAAGACAAGGTGTAAGTATGATTTATCTTGTAACATAGCGTTTTTTGCCATTTTATGAATAAAGAATTACATACTCAATATTCTGTTTCATCCAACGAGACCAAAATTAGTATACATTGTAAGATCAGAAATTTTCATTGAATGCACTTCAAGCATGATGGTTTGATTATTGAGGGAGTTATTGACAATTAAAATTTTGAGATTAACCATCTGAAGAGTGCATATAAGTCAATTTGCTTCATACTGATTCTCTTAAGTATGTAAAATTTTTAGACCTTTTATATTGAGAGAATTCTATTCTAACACTGAGCGCAAATAAATGAGTGCAACTGTATCATAGGCCATTTGTTGCTGATCTTAGATCAATAGGTGTCTTTGGACAAAACGCTGCTCAATAAGTTCGAAGATACTACGAAATTACAGAAAAACAAAAAAGTTGTTAGAAAAATTAGGTATAGTGTTTTCGAAACCTTCAAATTCGAACTCAACTAAAAATTCTCACTCATACGAGACCAATAACAGCATACTTTGAGTGATTATTTGGTTTATAGTATTTGAACGAAAATTGTCATATACTAGGGGCTGTTTAATTTTTTTTTAATGCGTGATTTCGGTATATTTTTTTGATTTTATGTCAGATCTAGTTAGATCTTTAGATTTGCAGCAACCGATCTCTGATCTAGATCGTGGATTTTTGCAGCCATTTATTTCGCATTTTGATATCATACTATTTTGAGCGTCTCGCACAACAGTTGCGAAGGAAACTTCAGAGACAAATAAATGTAGCTCTAGTCTCAGACTATGCAGCAAGAATTACTTTGATCGAAGCATGTCGATCGTATAAACTCAGGAAATTAGAAAATTATATATACACGACGACTTATAAATTTAGTTTTCTACGTGTGATCATTCGTTTACTTCTATAATTAGGTTATATCATGTTCCTAGTCTGCGTAAATTTATATCGAATCGGTTTTGATGGCTCTTTGATTTTAAGTCAAGTGTTGTTTAATAGGTTAGAAAATGGCACCAGCAGGGGTGCGAGATCTCGTCTTAAGTGAAAAATTTTTTGGCGAATTATTTGCTCGATGCTGGTCGAAGATTTTTTAGATAAAATATTTATTGATTTTAACTTATATGCAGTCTTACAGTAATATAATCTGGAAATTAAAGTGCAAATATATCCCTCGGTATTACAGATCACTTTATTCATCATTAAGAAAATCGAGAAAAACGGTAAATTGCAAGTCAAAGAGCACTTAGACTTTGGTTTGCAACTTCTAAGTTAACTGGTTTGGTTCAATTTACCCAATAACCTTTTGTATGATGGTTTGAAGACGGAAAATAGCTCTAAAAATTTAGCAAAAATTTCGAATCACCTTTAAAAATTTACTTTTTCAATTTTGAATAACTTAACAGAAAAATACTCAAGGTGTATCATATATAATTCGCCGTTAAATTGAAAGTTATGGCCCTAAACTAAAAACTACTTTGTGAATTCATTTTGGGTATTTTTTTTGTATGATGAAAAAAGACCAAAATTCAATCCAAAAAAAAATTTTGGAAATCTGAAACTTGAAGATGTAGAGGAGATAATTCATGGACCCTGATTTCATATAAATTGTGTTTATTTCGAGAGAATTTGTTGTTCAAGATGTACAAGCCAATATATTTGATGCGAGTAGTACGAGGTCGCCTGGAATTGGCGCGAGAAATTATTTTGTCGCTTAAAGGCAACTACTATAAATGAAATTTATTATCATATAATAGTGTAATAAAACAGTTATATACAAGTTTACAACGTATTTTGTAACTGTAAGTACATATTATTAAGGCTTCGTAGTATCTCAGTTCGTAACGGCTATTTAATTTTCCATAACAGCTCATATAATTTTATATTAATGATTACGAATCATCTCGGGGTTTGTTTTCCCCATTTGGTAATTTCCGATTTAGCAACGAAAAACGTTGAAACTGTCAATATTACATTCATACTTCCATAATTTATAATCAATTTGTCAAATTCCAAACCGAATTTATTTATAATCAACAAGTACTAAAGTTCATAATTATGTTAAGTTTGTTCAATAACTGTGGCCAATTTTAAAATATCCACCACTCCATCTCTTCAACCTTTTTATTACAAATTTCAAACTGTAAATAGATCCACAATTTTCCATGAAATTTTTAGTTACGAGAATTAATTTTTTTAAAAGACCAATCATGACTAAATCTTCAATTCAATCTTCAAATTTATTTAAACCTTTAACTATTGGTTCATCAACTGTTAAAAATAGAATTGCTCATTTACCTACTACTAGAACAAGAGCAATTAAAGATGGCCATGTTCCAACTGATTTACAATTACAATATTATACCGATAGAGCCAAAGATGGTAGTTTATTAATTACTGAAGCTACTTTAATTAGTTTAAATCAAGGTATTTATCCTTCTGTTCCTGGAATTTGGAATCAACAACAAGCAAAAGCATGGAAGAAAATAGTTGATTCGGTTCATGAAAATGGTGGTGTTATTGCTGCTCAATTATGGGCATTAGGAAGAGTTGGTAATGCTAAGTTATTAAAAGAAAATGGATTACCTTTAACTGGTCCGAGTGCAAATTATGAACATGAACAAGCTGAAAAAGATGCAATTGAAGCTGGTAATCCAATTCAAGAATTAACAGAAGAACAAATTGATGATTTAATTAATAATCAATATCCAAATGCAGTTAAATTGGCTTCAGAAACTGCTAATTTTGATTTTGTTGAATTACATGCTGCTAATGGTTATTTATTTGAACAATTTATTCATCCAGATATTAATAAAAGAACAGACAAATATGGAGGTTCAATTGAGAATAGATCAAGATTTTTATTTAATGTTTTAGATAAATTATTTGAAATTGTTGATCCTCAAAAAGTTGCAATTAGAATCTCACCAGCTAATGAATTTCAAACACCAAGAGTTAATCCTAGTTTTGTTGAAGATTGGACTTATATAATTAAAGAATTACAAAAAAGAGCTGAACAAGGTAAAGCATTAGCATTTATTGATTTAGTAGATGCTAGATTTAATGAAGATCGTACTCATACAAATATAGATTTAGAATTTATTCCTGAAATTTGGAAAGGTATTTTAATCAGAGGTGGTAATTATACTTATGATGATAAAGATAATTGGGCACAAATTGTTGAAGATGCAAATTTAGATGATCGTACTTTAGTTGGATTTGGTAGATATTTCATTGCAAATCCTGATTTACCAAAAAGGATATATAATGATGAAGAATTAAATGACTATGATAGATCAACTTTTTATTCACCTTATAACTATGGATATAATACTTATCCATTTTTAAATGAAAAATTAGAAGTTGATCCTAATGAAAAAAGATTAGGTAAATCATTAACTTAATAGAGATATTATAGATATATATAAACTTTTCTAGATAATATATAAATTTTTGTTCTATCAATTTGCATCAATTTACATTAATGATGGATTTCCTTAATCACCGCTATCACCCATATCATAATATATCACATAATAATTTAACAAATACTACTTCAGCTGTTGATGCAGTGACTATTTTAATACCAGTATGGATTATACTTGCAGTTGTAGCAATAATTTTATTTTTATTATTGGTTACTTATGGTTTTGCTAGTGCTATTTTACTTATGATTAAAGTATTCAACAATGTAAAAACAAAACTATCCAAAAGTAAATCAGATACAAAATTAACAACCGAGACTTATAATTGTAATGATACAACAGATTTAAGTTCATCAATTACAAGGGTTGAAGTAGTATAATATGAATATACATTTAATCTTCACCAGCAGGTACTTCATCTTTTAAAATTTTATTCAATTTCAATCTCATTTCTGTACGATCATCACCTCTTAATACATCTTTTATAAAATTGACATCACAATCTAATTGAACCATTTGTAAAGCACCACGTAATACTCCACATAATATTTGTGAGTACCATAATTCTTTACCAATTTTTGAGTCTGATGTAATTGGTAATTCAACAAATTCAGTCAATGGGTTAGGTTCAGGTATAATTAAACTACATGATTTACCATCATTTGACCAATTTTCAATAGTTGGTTGAATATTTAAAAAAATTTTAAAACCTAATTTAGTTATAATGTCAGCTGTTTCTTTGAATGATTGACATCTTTTGATACCAGTTTTAGCAAGAAATTCTTCAATCAATCTTAAACCAATGTTATAACCCATTTTATCTAATTGTTGATTAACTTCATAATAATTATTTTGAAAATCTCGACATAATTGAGATACTACTGAACCATAAGTTAACGTAAATAATTCTGAGTTCTTGACAAACTGTTAATATCAATTCTAAAAGCATTATAGTTCTTACTTACAATTTTTTCAACATTGTTTTTCCATATATCATCACCTGTATTCTTTTTTGACATAGTTGTAAATTGGTGATAATTTTTGATTCAGATCAAGAAATATTGGTAATTTTACACACCATAATAAATTTAACAAACTGAAATGAGACATAAAGCAGAGCTGAATTGATGAAATCAAATCACTTTGAACCCTTTCAAAGTAGATTTCGATGAATTGTGCTGATGGAATGGAGTCTGGTAAATAAAGTTAGCTCACTTTTTACGAGTTTAAGATTTAAACGAAGCTTTTTCTGTAGAAAGTACAGATATAGCCTTATGCATGAGTAATTCAAGATGCGTTTATTTACTCTTTAAAGTATCATTATTACTCTAATTGTTGTACATCTTAATAATTATGCAATCTGGTGATTACTGAATTTGAGTATACTTTTTGACGCGAGATTTAACTAAGATTCCAAAATTTGGGTCGAGAGATTTGAAGCCCAAAGTCGTATTAGATTTATAACCTCCGAGTGATATAGTACCAGAAATAGTTATGATTGGCCCTAACTAAAGCGTGTATTAATTGCTATTTATCAGTGAATAGGAGAAACAATCAAAAGAAATTTAACATCTTCAATTCCTTATGTAATACTTGTACACATATATTACATAATCTTTATTTGTCTCATGTTTAAATTTTTATAAACAAAAATAATTTATTTATCATCATTCAACCCATTCCCATCATCATCACAAGTTTATCAGCCATCATCCCACTAAAATTCTCATCTTTTATTTATACCCAGACAGTTATTCCAAGTTTGTTATAGATTAAGGCAATAAGAATACAATGAGTGCCAATTTTTCAACCCTTCTTTCATCACCAACTTATCCAATTGAAAAAATTAATATCATTAAAAAACCAGAGTTAATACCTGGTATACCCGATGGTATAGTTGCTTTAATAGCTCCAATAATTGCATATTGGTCATATTCAACTTTTTTCCATTTAATTGATGTTTATGAATTAGCTGAAAAATATAGAATTCATCCAAGTGAAGAAGAATTAAAAAGAAATAAAGTTACAGTGAATGAAGTTATTAAAGATGTTATATTACAACATTGCATACAAACTATAGTTGGTTTAATTGTATATTATTTTGATCCAATACCAATGACAGGTTTTGAAATGTTTGAAATGTGGAAATTAAAACAAGAATGGCCTAGTGTTTCAGATAATTTAATTTATTTTTATTATATGTATGGTAAATCAACTATAAAATTAATGATTGCAATTACTATTATTGATTCTTGGCAATATTGGTTACATCGTATAATGCATATGAATAAAACTTTATATAGAAGATTTCATTCAAGACATCATAGATTGTATGTTCCTTATGCATTTGGTGCTTTATATAATGATCCATTAGAAGGGTTTTTGTTAGATACTTTGGGTACTGGTGTTGCTTCATTATCTACTGGTTTAACTCATCGTGAATGTATTTTATTATATACTTTTGCAACTTTAAAAACCGTTGATGATCATTGTGGTTATAAATTACCTTTTGATATTTTTCAAATAATTTTCCCAAATAATGCAGTATATCATGATATTCATCACCAACAATGGGGTATAAAATCAAATTTTAGTCAACCTTTCTTTACTATCTGGGATGTTTTATTTGGTACCAATTATAAATTTGTTAAAGAATATAAAGAATTACAAAATAACATAACTTTGGAGAAATATCAAGAGTTTTTAAAGACAAAAGAAACAAAGAAAAATAGATAAGACATTTCTAATCGTTATGACTAATTCAAAATAGACTACTTTAATGACATTTAATATATAATTAATTTTTAATATGCATTTATTTAATTATTTGGTAAATCACCAGAGGTTATACTCTTTGAAATTTGTAATTTGACTCTTTCTGAAACTAACAATTGTTCAGTTATTAAGCTTAGTTGAGTTAATTGTAATTTTAATAGTTTCGACTCATTATTAATTGGTTGTTTAAATTGAAAATTATTAACCAATTTAACTAATAATTTATCTAATTCAATTCGAGTATTAAAATCTAAATCTTGGTTATTTTCAAAATATTCCAAGATTTTAGTTATTCTTTCGTATAATTTATTTAATGTAATTGACAAAGTTTCATTATGTTGAGTAATTGATATTGATTCTTGTTTTTTATTCTTTGTTGCATAGTTTTTATGTTTATCGATGGTTAAAGTAGTTATAGATTCTGTTTCGCTAGTTTCAATTATTGATTTTATTAATCTATTTTGATAATATGCTTCGATGCCTTTTAAGGATTTGTCGAAAACAACAGTTATTAGTTCTTTATTATCTTGTATTTGAAAATTTAGTAACCATTGTAATAAATCATCTATGTAATTTTTCCCTATATCTATTTGATAAAGTCCAACTATGTAATCATCAGGATATGTTTGTGAATACTGTTTTAACTTTTTTGTTAAGTAATCAAAGTCAATTGATTGATTATCATTTAATAGTAACTCAAATGAATTACGTATTATAAACTTGTCAACATCGAATCTACCTAATAATATACCAATATTTGATTGCAGATTTCTTGATAAAACATCTGATACATTCAATAAAACGATTGAATTTAAAGAAACTAATGGAATTGACATTATACGAGAGGCTAAAATAATTAAATTGATTTGATTCAAATCTAATTTTAATTTTTTTTTTTTTTTTTTTGTAACAGAGTGCTACCAAATGACTGAAAAGAATTTGGCTGCAAAATATTAAAGTCAACTTTGAACGTTAGTTGAACTTGAATTGTTGTGCTTTACACCATACTTTTTCTATAAAGCCTATAGTAATCAAATAAAAGGCCGTAACACATTCGTTATAATTGAATTATTATGTATTAAGGTGATATTTTTTGTATAAAATCTAAGATAAATAAATGATAGGCTTTTATGTATGCATATTTGCCTCTCTGTCTCAATGATTTATTGTATAAGATTGACAAGCTTGAAATTAACCTTTATATGAATATTTACTTCTTTGTCTTAATCCTTTACCGTATTTATAGAAAAAAAACGGCATTGGTAGTAATAATGTTGCAAGTAAAGCTACTAAAGTCCCAGCCCATTTAATTGTCAAATTATGAAACATCTGGTATGAAAAGAGGGGCATGACCGCTGCTAATCCACTTCTTATGAAGGTATTTGCAGCCAAAGCTGAAGCTGCAATGTATAAATAACTATCAATAATGTAATTCATTGTTGGTAAAAAGATTGAGATTAAACCACAACCAACAAAACAAGCACCAATACAAGGTACAATCCAATGAACAGCTGGATAATCTCCCAGCCATGCCATTAAAAATATACCAATAACAAATATGAATCCACCTACCATCACTGGAGATAATCTTACTTCAGGTTGAGGTTTACCACCATTTGCATCCATTGCTCTCAAATAACGTTTCTCAAAAAAAATAATAATAAATGAGCCAATGAATATACCCAATAACATTGCAATATATGGTAATTGTTGAACACCTTCACTCCACCCTCGTCTTGTTCCAAAAATCATAGGTAATGCAGTTAAAAACATGTATAACATAGCATAAATAAAAGCATTATAAATACTGACCAATAATATAATTGATTCAGTAACCATTAATTTCAAAGGTCTAGTTATATTATTCTCCACAATTTCTTTAAGGTTTAATGATAATTCTTCATGAGGTGCATAAATTCCCCAATTACCAGTTTTTCTTCTTAACATTTCAGCTTTCTTAACTAATATAATTGGATGATGGGTTTCATCTAATAAGAAAATATCTAAAACAAATGCAAATGCACCTAATATACCACAAAAATATGATGTCCATCTCCAACCTAATGCTGAATTCTTAACTGTAAAACCTGAAAGTATAGGTGCAATCATTGGACCACCAAAAAGAACCACCAAAATAAAGTTAGTAATAGACTCTCAAATTAAAAATCTTTGTTTACATACTTGAAAATATAGTAATTGCATAACCTCTTTGTCTTGTATTAAATAAATCTGATAATCCCGCAGCTGCTAAAACAACAGGAGCACTACCACAAAACCCAGCAAAGAAACGACATATTATAATAGTTTGTAAATTTTCTGCAGTTGCAACAGCAAATGAAAAAACAGCATATAAAAACATTGCCAAACACATAAATGTCTTTCTACCATATAATTCACTCAATGGAGCGTATATCACAGGACCAGCAGCAAAACCAAGTACAAAAAGGGAAGTATTAAGTGCTGCTACAGAAACATTTATATGATAAATTTTCATTAATTCAGTTTGAGCAGCACTGAACAATGCAGAACCCATTGCTATTGATAATGCAGACATTGCATAAGCAAAAGTTGATTTTAATTTTCTCGGAAGTGAATAATTATGAGGATGTATTGGATCATTCACTCCTAAATAACCAACCGTATATGGATCTCTATTTGGTAACATTGGAGGTAATTCAGTTGAATCTTCATTTACCCTAGGTAGGATTTCATCATTTTCTAATTGTTCTTTTCTTAATATATCATCAGTACCTATCATTCTTCGAGATATTACTTTTGACATTTGAACACTTGCTTCATCTCTTGTTAATTCATCACCATTTTCAGGAACACCATAAGCTAAAACATTAGCATATAATTCAGGTTCAGTATCTGGATTCAATTCTTGATTTAATGCTTCATTAGCATATGGTCGAGGTTGTTGACGAGTTGAATTTTCTGGTTTTATAAAATCATTTGAGTCTAAACTATGAATACTGTCACTAGTTGATTGATCTAAAGTTGCATCATTATTACTCATATTGAATTGTATAATTAAATGGATACAATAATTGAATTAATGAGTCGATATAATAAATAGTTAATGAAAATTAAATTATGAATTGAATGAAATATTTTCTTGATTCAAGAAAGAATGAAAAATTAAATATTATATATATACGAATGAAATAAAATAAGCATAATGCATAATCAAAAATATCGGCCTATAAACCTGGAAAGATATTCAGCTTCATCATCTCATTTTTGCAGAACTAGATTTTTAATAGATTGGCTTTAACTAAATTGGGCATGGTTACTTATTTTTTCCGTTTTTTTTCGTTTTTTTGATAATGGATTTAGATTTCAGCCTAACCTAACTCCATATCTCCTACATTTCTCTTTCCAAGTATTCACTATTAGTTTGAACCTTGACAATTAGCTAATTGTTAGAACTGAAAATGAGCTTGCAAATTGCGTCGAGTACGAGTCATCGAAATTAAGAAAGTGGGAGAAATTGACAGCTAAAGAATGGTTTAAATTAAGTAAGGAGATGTGTTTAATAAATTGTTTAGTAAACAAAACCGCTTAATGTAGAGACACAATAACCTGAAATGCATCTTAATTGCTTATGCAAGTTGACTTATGTTTACGCTTGACACTGACTAAAAAATTAATAATAAAAAATAATCAGCTAGTTAGAATTATCTAGAACTTCGAGTTCAGTGTTTTATATTTAGATTCGGAGATCGTTATTGCCGAAAAGAAGAGCATCAATATCAATCTACGGCTGACAATAAATGTTTTTCATTCTGAAACAAGCTTGACGCTAATTGATTATTTTTGATTTTTTTTTCTTCGTCTAAAGTTTTTAGTCGCTTTTTGACTTCTATTATACGATAAACGTCTGATGTTAGCTGATGGGTCCCTGATGGGAAACGGTACTGACTCCCTAATTTTCATGAATAATGTTTATTACGCCTTAATAATTAAATCGCATTTTTCGTCGATAAGCTTGTTGCTTAAATCTATACTATATGACAATGTATTAAGTATAAAACCTTCCCGAACCAGAATTTAAGATTTTGATTTTAATGAACATAGTAGGAGTTCAGATTGGCTCAACATACTAAAGATTAGAATTCAATAAGTCTATTGTACTGAGTGCGTGTCGCTATAATATATTTTTGGTTCATCCTCGTCCATCTTATGAATTTACTCTATCATCATATATGCTCAGCCTTTGTATCAAAATACTAAAAACCCAAACTACACAGTAAAAAAATTAACGATTATTGATACTATTTATTTGAAAGGTTGTTCTGACAATACTAACCAAAATATCCCTTCGATCTTTCTCGAATCTGAATCTGAAAATCTGATATATGTGAATTTAACCTCAAAGTAGTCTCAGATCTGAGCTGTTCATATCTTTGTAGCTAATCTTAACACTCCTCTACACTTTACTGAAGTTTTTACACATCTACAAATAGCTAAACAAATAGTATAATCAATAAATGGTTGATAGACAACTGGTAGCATCATCAACTGAGGCTCACTATAATATTTTTTTTTTTCATCTCTTCTCATATAAAATTTTTTTATCTATAAATCAAATTTAATCTATTATCTCCTTAATCCAAATTTACTAATTGATATCCCTCAACAGGGACCATTTAAGATATAATATAAATCTATTCACATAAAATATGATAATGTCAGTACATGATCCTATATCACGAAAAAGAACACTTGATAATAATAATAATCAAGAATCAGGAGAAACTAATAAATCAAAAATGATAAGGAGTGGCGAAATATCTAATAGCTCAAATAATGATGATGGATTCTCTCAGAAGATGTATTCTGCATATGTTAAATCTGCATTATTAGCCTTAGAAAAGGTATGTTTTGATGGAAAATTTAATATTATGTTTGGATAATTTTTCAATACTAACTTCTCTGTAGCATGATCCATCTCAAATTCAAGTCATAACTGATAAAATAGATAGTCAATCAAATTCAATTAATATTTCTCATTTTATAATAGTTTTAAAAAATTTGATTACAAATATATCAAAATTGGATAATTATGCATGTAATAAATTAATATTTGCAATTTTACAATACGATTGGTTAAAATATTCAGATAAAAATAGTGAAGAATATGCAAACTTTATTGATTTATATTCACATTTCCTTATAGTTTTGGTTTCAACATTTCCAAAATATTTATATGATGTTAATAATAAATTAATCGGTGAATTTCAAATAATAAATGGAAATGATGTCACTTTTTCAATTCATCATCAAACTTTACAAAAGATAATAAGATATTTACCAACTTGTATAAATTCAATACCACAAATTTTACAAAAAAACTTTCCACATCATATAACTTCAGCGAATCATGAGTTGACAAATTATGTTTTTAATTTAATACATATAATAAGTTATTGTTCTGATTTACAGTTTAGTATATGGCAATTGATACTTGAATGTTGTATTAAATTGGATGTTGAATTACAAAATGAATTGGATGATTTAGATGATGATGTAATTGAAGAATTAATAAATGGGAAAGAAGATGATGAAGAATTATTAGAAAGTAATTCAGTTAAGTCTGATCTGGAAAATGATTCCGATTCCGATTCTGATTCTGATGATGATATGGGTGAAGTTGAATGGGTTGAAAATCCAAGAAATACAACTGCAAATATAAAATCATTACTGTCAAAATTGGATAAAATAATATCACTTTTGTTAAATAGTACATCTAAATCATTTACAAAAGAAGAAATAGATAATGGTAATGGCATAACATTATTCAATACCATCACATCATTATTTAAAAGTCATATTTTACCCACTCATTTCACAAAATCTATACAATTTATACTATTTCATATCACTCAATATCAACCTGAATTGGCAGATTCTTATTTAGTTTTATTAGTAGATGTGGCATTTAATACTAGTGAAATTTTAGAGAAAAGATTAAAAGCATTGCAGTATTTATCATCATATATTGCAAGAGCAAGACAATTGACAAAACATCAAATATTATTCATTGTAAGTTTTTTAAGTACTTGGTTAAATAATTATATAAGTGAAAGAGAATCAGAAGTTTTAGATACTAAAAATCAACAATCTGGAGGTATGGAAAGATTTAAATTATTTTATGCTGCTTTTCAAGCTTTATTATATATATTTTGTTTTAGACATGAATCATTATATAAAAAAACATTTGATAAAAATTCCAATTCAGAATGGGAATGTGATTTAGATAAATTTTTTCAAAGAGTTATAATTGCAAAATTTAATCCATTAAAATACTGTGATGAAACTGTTGTTTATATATTTGCAAAAATTGCAACTAAATTAAATGTTTGTTATTGTTATTCAATAATTGAACATAATAAAAGAGAAAGAATGTTACAAAATAATGGTTCAGTAGTATTACCTTCAGCAGTTGGAAATTTTAAACAAAAGCAAGAATTTTTAGATTTAGAAGCATATTTCCCATTTGATCCATTAGTATTACCAAATAGTAAAAAAATTATTAGTGATAATTATGTTGAATGGTCAGAAGTAAATCCAGAAGAAGATGATGAAGATGTTGGTACTAGTTCACATTTAGATGAAGATGAAGATGAAGATGAAGAAGATGATAGTTCGAGCAGTGATAGTTCAAATGACTCAGACTCAGAATCAGATGACTCGGACCTGGACAGTGAATAGTATGACAATATACGTTTTAATGACTTTTTTATTTAGTTTTCTCTTTTTGCAGCCATTTTTATTTTCAATTTTTATGGGTCGGAGCGCACGTGAAAACCTGAAACAAATTTATATTGGTAGATCATAATCAGCAACCGATTAACCATGAGTATTCCATTATTAGGACGATTACATATACTAGATTGGCCATTAATAATTATGTCATTCACATTAGCATGGTTTGAATTTATAATATCAATTATTACAACTTTATTACCCGATAGTTTTATTGAATTTTGTACTTTTATTACTAAACAATTTTTTAAATTTACTTCAAATCCAGTTAATCTTATAATTCAACAAAAGAAGAAAGATAACTTACCTAAAGAACAATATCAACAAGAATTTAAATATGCATATATTAAAACAGATGATGCAATAACTAAAAAACATTATGAATTAATGATAAATTTATTAAATGCAGAAAATGTTGAACAAATGGTTCAATTATTTGGATATCAAATCGAATCTCATATAGTAAGGACAAAAGATGATTATTTATTAACTATACAAAGAATAAAAGGTAAAAATAGGCCACCAAATGATAAAGTTGTATATTTACATCATGGTTTATTAATGAATAGTGAAATTTGGGTTACTATGATTGATAAATATCAAAATCTACCATTTATATTATATGATTTAGGTTATGATGTTTGGTTGGGGAATAATAGAGGTAACAAATATTCACAAAAACATTTAAATTTCAACTTAAATTCTACTTCATTTTGGAATTTTTCATTAGATGAATTTGCTTTATTCGATATACCAAATACAATAGATTATATATTAGAAAGTACAGGTAATGAAAAACTTACATATATTGGTTTTAGTCAAGGTTCAGCACAAGCATTTGCTAGTGTTTCGTTTAATCAAGAATTAAATAATAAAATTGATCAATTAATTGCAATATCACCAGCAACCACACCACATGGATTATATTCAAAATTTTTAGATGTTTTATTAAAATCATCACCCAATATTACTTATTTATTATTTAGTAGGAAAGTGTTGATGCCTTCATGTATATTTTGGCAAAAAATAATGTATCCTCCATTATTTGATTCATTAATAGATATATCAAATTATTTGTTATTTAATTGGAGAGCTAAAAATATAACTAAATTACAAAAATTAAGTAGTTATGCACATTTATACTCTACAACTTCAGTTAAATGTGTTGTTCATTGGTTTCAAGTAATGAGTTCAAAAAATTTTCAAATGTATCATGATGTAAATACAACTAGTTTATCAGGATTAAATCCAATAAGTTATCCATTAAAGAATATTAAAGTACCAATACATTTAATTTATGGTACTACTGATTCATTAGTTGATATAGATGTAATGAAAAATCAATTACCATTAGATTCAACTACTACATATCCAGTCGAAAATCATGAACATTTGGATAATTTATGGGGTAATGATGTTTACGAAGTTGTATTTAAACAAGTATTAAAGTATTTAAATGAAGATGTAGATAAAGTATATTCAAGGTTATTTAGAGCAAGTAATGATGTTAAATTAATAGAAGATATCATAAGACCTAACAATAGTTCTATAAATGAAGAAGTAATATTAAATGATGATTCAATAAATCAATCATATTTAAAACAAGTTAATGTTGGAGAAAGACAAAAAATAGATTCAAACACATATATGGATTATGAAAGGAATCAAACATTTGGTAGTAATGTATTTATATAGACTTACTCAATATAAGAAGGATATTTGTTATGTTTTGCAGCCTAATTCAATAGTCGTGTAAAAATTGTTAGTATTTATTATTTTTAAATTTGGAACCAAAAATTGTTGCAGATTTATTTTTCACGATTAATTAAGTAATACCAGAACTGATACTACACAACACAGCTTTACTATGTCAAGTAGTAAAGAAGGGTCAGCCACTCTGACTGTATGTAAGAATATATTTGCTCATTGAGAAGTACTAATAATTATTCAGGGTTTACTCAAAATCAATTTTGATTTCCATCCCACTGGTAAGTAATAAAACAATTTGGTTGCAAGTTGGTATACTAACATAATTAATAGCATTGAAAAAGAAAATAATGCAAAAAATACCTAGGTCATTACCTTACTACGACAATTTACACGTTTCAAGTGAAAATCAAGATTCTATAATTGAAGAATTGATGAAATTGCATCCACACAATTCAAGTATAATAATTGCAAATTTTACGAACAATAAAATAAATTCATACCTGCAACAGTTAAATAATATATTAAGACCATTATTATTTGAAATTATAGATGATGAATCTCGTATCCATTTAGAAAATATACTTAATGAATTAATTCAAAATATTCCGAAACCGCAAGAACATAATTTTGATGAACCTCAAGCACTTGATGAAACAAATTTAAAATTTGATAACTTACCAAAGACTAAACCAGATGAGACTAGTAAATTTCCAGATAATTATTTAATAAAAATCCTAATTGATAATTTTGATTTATTGAAACATTTTTCATTAACTTATTTTAATTTAACCTTGACTTCAAATGTGACTAAATTTATAGTTGAATTAATTTATCAATTAAATTATTGGGAAGTTGTCCATTTAGTTTATGTAAATTCTAAAATTGTTAGTTTTTTAGAATTAATTGGATTTGATATCATACCTACACCATGTGGACCAATTGTTAAACAACCAGAGAATTATTTAAATGATAATATGCAACAAGGTTTATTATACCCATATCCATATCCATTCTATAACTATTCATACCATTCATTTGATTCGAAAGTTGAAGCTAGAAAATTTGGTAAAGTTAAAATTCAACCTTATTTAGATATAACTTTAAAAACTGAGGAACCTATTAAAAAGAAGAGAAGAAGAAATGTCAAAAAACAGGAATCTGTTGAAGTTGAAGAAGCTCTGCCTGCTTTTGAACCAGATTTAGTACCACAACCAGAACCAGAACCAGAGCCAAAACTAGAACCTATAATTGTTGATGAAAGAGAAAGGAGTGGAACTGTAAGCGATCTCGACATTACTTCAGAAGAAGAAGACCAAGAAGAAGAGGATGATGATAAAGATGGGAAACCAATTGATATATTAACTTTACAACTACAAGCCGAAAACTTAGGAAGAAGAGGAAGAGGAGAAGGACCACAAAATAATATTACACGAATGCAAGAAACTCAAAGACAGATAGAATTGTTAAAATTACATAAAGCTAGTCAACCACCTCCTCCTCATATGCCACAACAATATCCAATTCCACCTGCTGGTTATATTTATCCACCACCTCAATTTGTATCATCATCATCTTCTCCACCACAGCTTCCTCTGCAACAATTACATCAAGGAATTCCACCAAATTATTATCCACCTTATTTTAGACCGTATCCAGGACCTCCCGGACCTGCAGAACAATTTCATCAAGGTCCATCTCCACCAACGGAATTAAATTCTCAATTATCACCACCACACCATCAGCAACAATTACAACAATCAGATAGAATGCCCAATATAACACCTATTCAAAATTTCCAATCTCAACAGAATGTACTTCCATCATTTAATGCTTTAACAGAATGTAAAACTAGTACACAATCTCCACAAGAAAATCAATTACCAAATGAAACTCCAATGAGACCTCAAAGTCAACCATATATAAATGCTCCACCACCTTATATTGATCCAATAACTCAAACGATCACCTATCCAGTACCACCAATGGATGAGAATTCAATAAAAGTGGCAAATAAACAAGCAGCAACTCATCGATGTAATTTAAAAGATTCAAGTACTAACCAACCATGTAATAAAGTATTTTATGGAAAGAATGAATTATTAAGACATCAAGAATTTGTGCATGCTTCAAAAAAGAAGATTTATAAATGTATTTATTGTCAAAGAGAAGGATCAAAAGTTCAAAGTTATCCAAGACATGATTCATTAGCTAGACATATTAGAAGAAAACATAATATAACAGGTAAGGAAAACAAAGAAGCTGTAAATTATGCAAAAGATAATGTTGAAGTAATTGAAGATATAGAATTATCAATTCAACAAATAAATACAAAAGATCATCAACAAAAGAAACGTTTAAAATCAATGCAAGATCAATTTAAAATAGATGAAAAACAAGAAGGTCAAGAAGGTCAAGAAGGTCAAGATGTACAAACATCTATGTTTGAAATGGGATCTGAGAATGGTGAAAATACTGATAATGAGGATAATTCTAAAGATAAAAAAGATGATCGACCAGTTTATCCAGTTCTAGGTAGTTTTGATCATAGAAATAGTTATAGTTTTGATAATTATGATCTGGTTAATGAAAATGATGAACAATGATTATATATATAAATAATTTCGCAGCCACTCTATTTATTTTTAATTACTGCAAAACGTGCTTATATGCAGGTATTGTCGTGTAATTGATTATCAAAATCATTTAAAATTAAAGTACGAACACTTATTATTTGGTCTACACCAATGAAAACTCGTCTACGGCTAAGTCAGCATCCATTCTTTACATTGGCCATAGTTGCAAGACTTCTCTGTCAATTGTACCTCTAGAATATTCAACTTTCAACTGTCATATCAAATAAATTTAAAGTGTTCCAAGTTTTTTTTTATTTTTAATTTCGCACTTTAAATTTTTTGCATTAATTTAAATATCCACCAATTTACAGCCAAATATTCTTAGTTTAGTATGGACCATCAACCATCTCCTCCAACTACTATTAATTCAAAGAATGAATTAACTGGTAATGAAGATTTTCCTGATGTTAATGATCCAATTTTTAAAGATGATGATACATTATCATCAAATGCTGCAAATAAAAGTGATTTAAATAATAATGTTGCAATTCAATTTAAAAATGATGAAGAAAATAACAACACAACAATTTTAGAAGATTTTAAAGATGATAATAATAATGATCAAGGTTTAACTTTGGAAAATATAACTACTTTATCAGAATCAGATATTAAAAACAATGATTTCAATTATTCAGATACACGGAATAAGTCAAAATCAATAGAGCAAGATCATCTGATGGAGTCGCTTAATAATACAGATAGGAACCTACCAGAAATGCAACTGTTTCAAGTGTCAAAATCAGAAGAAAATTATTCACCTTATCATCAAGAAACACCAAATAATGAATTTGCAACACCACCACCATCAAACAATCTGCCGGTATTATCACCAATTGAACAAAAAATAAACATACTTATAAACTCAAATCCATTAAATATTGAAGAATATGCAAACCATTTAAATAAATTGGGGGAATTATTATATGACGGTGATTTTGATTCAATACATCTTAACAATTTACATAATAAACTTACCAGTTTAATGAATAGTTTAAACAATTATCTTGATCCTCAAAGTCCATTAAATAACAGATTATATTTAATAATTGAAAAAAATTTCGACATACTTATAAAATTATCAACCAATTATAAATTTGTTGAAATTTCAACATTATCAATAAGATACCTAACTACAGTTTTCATGAATTTAAATTATTGGGAAATTTATAATTTGTTAACTTGGAAACCATCAATTTATCATTTTTTAAAATTGATTCATTTTGATTTAGATGAATGTTATCAAAAATTTCTTAAAGATTATTCAAATTATTCATATGATAAAGTGGCACAACCAATAATTAAAAAGAGAATAAGATTAACTAAAAGAAGAAGACTTGATAGATTAACTGATGAAGAATATTTTATGCATTTAACACCAGAAGAAAGAGAAGCAAGAAGCTCACAATTCTTTTCATTAAATCCAGATACCACAGATCATGATAGATATATCGCAGATATAGTATCCGGAGCAAGTAAAGAAAAGAGAAGATTTAGACCAGATGTTAAATTAGAACACCACAAGATTATTAAAAAACCAATACCAATAATAGATAAAGGATCTACAAAATCATCAAATTATGATCCCGATGTTGTTCATGAATGTCAATTACCATCAGCTGAAGAGCCTCATAAGTTATGTTTACGTCGATTTTCTCGTAAATATGAATTAATAAGGCATCAAGAAACTGTACATTCAAAAAAGAAGAAATTATTTAAATGTTATGTTTGTGTTAAACAAAATCCTGGAATTGGACCAAGAATCTTTACAAGACATGATACTTTAGCAAAACATATTAGGGTAAATCATAAAATTGGAGGCAAAGAAGCAAAAGCAGAAGTTGCATATTCAAAAAAACATGCAGAAATAGTTGAAGAAGGTGATATTACTGTTCATGTAGGTAGAAGAAAGACAAAAGTTGATTTTGAATTAAGAGCTCATATGGAAAAGAGAAAATTATCAGGAGATGAAAGATATGTAGAAACTAGTGATTTAGATTCTGGTGAAGAAGAATTTACATATAATAATACCCAATTGGATCAAATATAGTTAATATTATATATTAATACATAATAGTTCATAATTACAGCTTTATAGAACACATATTGACTATATTAATACATGGATTTTTCATAATTTTGTTGTTCTATTATAGCTTTTTGAATTTCTGGATCATCAATTTCGTCTATTAACTCTTGTGATATTTTTGATAAACCAGTTACTGGCCGCCTTACATCTTTACATTCATATTTTATTTCATAAATCAATTGATTAGTTTTATCATCAAATTTTTCAATTGTTGATCTCAGTGGCTGAGTTAGACTTGGATAGAAATTCAAATTTGTATAAACATCTTTTTTACCTTTTACTCCAATATTTGATCTAACTTCCATTAATTTATGATTATATTCTGATGTTTGTTGCGCAATTTGATACATCCAACTATGATCAGTTTGATAATTTACAATTGGAGTAGCAGTTAATGGAGTTGCATTTCCAGCTGAACTTATACCTTCACCTAAAACATTTGCTAATTTTTTTTGATATATTTCATTCGGATCAGCATATTCACCAGGTATATCACCATTATCAATTGCCCTTTGTTCCCAAAAATCATCAATTACTTTCTTTCCTTCCTTAATCATTCTAGCACCAAATTCTCTAAAAATTGATCTTGCAGTAACTAAATTAACAGCTCTACCTTTATAACTATTCGGAATTAAACCTCTACGTATTAAATCTGCTTTTTCATCATTATCACAAACTTTTTTATACAATGTGCGATGAGTTTTAAATAATAAATAAGAATCTCTAAATCCGACTAATCTTGCAGGTTCAGTTGAAATCATAAACAATTGATCACCATGGTTTAATAATTTAAAAGTTTTCATTCTAAATTCTCTACCACCTTTAAGATAACCTAAATTATCAATTTTTTCTTTACCTTTTGGATCTTCATTCAGTATTACAACTTCTTCATTTTCTATATGATTGGGATTACCTTCTTCATCAAAAACATCATCATCGTATAATTTGACCTTGGGCTTTTTTCTTCTTCCTCTTCTTTCAGTTCTTCCTTCATTCTCTTGTTCTTCTTGATCGTCTTCCTTATCATTATCTTCCTCTTCTTCATCTTCTATATCATCTTCTTCGTTAACTTTTCTCTTTCTACTTCTTCTTGATCCAATTATTTCGTCATCGTCATCATCTATTTCTGACTCTTCATGTTCTTCTTCTATATTTTCTTTTTTATATTCTTCTTCATCATCTTGTGGAATATCATCTACAGGGTTGTCTTCATCTATTTTTGGTTCTTGTTCTTCTTTGACTTCTTCTTCTTTTTTTATTTGTTTTTTGAAAACCATTTGTTACTTCCGAATTGTTTTTACTTTTTTTTTTTTTTTACGAATTATAGAATGTCAGCGAAATTAAAATGCTACCAAATGCATTAATTTAATGTTATTTTAATTGTCTATTTACAAGTATTAAGAAATCTATATGTCTTTACTTTCCTTTTCTTGTTCATCTTTTTCTTTTATTCTTGGTAAATCATCTTTAAAAGGTGCATCTTTGCCATCTAAATATTTATCAAATGCATCATTAGTTTCTGGAAATGGTCTTTTTCCTAATAATCTAATCATATCTTCTCTTGTTATAAATTCCTTTTTTAATAATTCTTGAGCAACTAATTCAACTTCTTTTGATTTTTCAATTAATAACTCTTTACATGTTTTATAACATTCGCTCACTATTCTTTGAATTTCTTGATCAATTTTTCTACTAGTTGCATCACTAAATGGTTTTGTTAAATCATCTTGTGATCTTGTATCTGCGTAATTAACTAAACCAACTTTTTCACTCATACCAAATCTTAAAACCATAGATTGTGCAATATTTGTAACTTTTTTAAAATCATCATGAGCACCACCTGTAACTGAAGCAAAATGTAATTCTTCAGAAACTCTACCACCTAAAATCATAACCATTCTATCATATAATTGTAAAGTACTCATTAAATAAACATCTGGTGGTAAATATTGTGCATAACCTAAAGCACCTTGACCTCTTGGAATAATTGAAACTTTTAATAAAGGATGAGCATGTCTTAAAAACCAACCACAAACTGCATGACCAGCTTCATGATAAGCAACAATTTTTTGTTCTTCTGGATTTAATATTTTTGATTTCTTTTCAATACCACCGATAACTCTTTCAATAGCTAATTCGAAATGTTTCAATTCAACAGCATCAGCATTAAATCTAGCAGCTATTAACGCAGCTTCATTACATACATTTGCAATATCAGCGCCTGAAAATCCCGGTGTTAATGCAGCTAACCTACCACTTAAATCACGATCAACATCTTTTTCCAAAGTTATTTTTCTTAAATGAACATCAAAAATTTCCTTTCTACCTTGTAATTCAGGGTTGTCAATATGAATATGTCTATCAAATCTACCTGGTCTCATTAAAGCTTTATCTAAAATATCGGATCTATTAGTACCTGCTAATACAACAACATGATCAGTGCTGTCAAATCCATCCATTTCAACTAATAATTGATTTAATGTAGTTTCACGTTCATCATTAGCACCAGTTGCATTACCTTTAGATCTTTGTTTACCAATTGCATCAATTTCATCAACAAAAACAATACTTGGAGCATTTTCTCTAGCAGTTTTAAATAAATCACGTACTCTTGAAGCACCAACACCAACAAACATTTCAACAAATTCGGAACCTGAAACTGAATAAAATGGAACTCCAGCTTCACCAGCTGTTGCTTTTGCAATTAAAGTTTTACCTGTACCGGGTGGACCAGATAATATAGCACCTCTCGGAATCTTTGCACCCAATTTTTCATATTTTTCTGGATTCTGTAAAAATTTAACAAATTCCATAACTTCTTCTTTTGCTTCTGACATACCTGCAACATCTTTAAATTTAATTTTAACATCAGTTTCTTGATTAAATTTTTTAGCAGTTGATTTACCAAAACCCATAGGTCCCATTCCACCCATTGATGATGCTGCTTTTTTAGTCATCCAATAAATACCACCCAAAATGAAAATCGTTGGTAAGAAACTCATTATTACTTTACCCCAACTTGTTCTATTTACATAAGTAACTGGTACACGTAATTGTGGAGCTATACTATATTTATCTTGAGCTTCACGTAAATTTCTTTCAAATGTTTCTACCGAACCAATATTAAAATAAACCCTAGGACCTTTGCCCAATTGTTGAATTCCATTATCATTTAAAACAACATATGCAACACTATTATTTACAACTTCAATTTTGGAAACAATATTTTTATTTAAATAATTACTAACAAATTCTTGAAAAGTTATTTCACGACTATGATCTAATGAAGCATAAGTTGTTAAAACTAATATTACACCAACAACTAAACCCATTTGAAATATAGGATTAAATTCAAAATTAAATTCCCAAGTATTAGATCTTCCATCATCCTTTTTCTTGTTTGAGGATTTTGATTTCCTAGTTTGATCTTGATTAGAAGATCTATACCAACCAGATTTATCATTTATGTACCATTCTTTTAATTCTGGGCATAATGGAAAAGTCTTTACCTCATTTTCACCGGCAAATGGTACATTGTATAAAATTTCAAAAATCTTAAACCATTCGTTTATTGAATCTGTTGATATTTCCAATTCTTCAGATAATTCAGTAACATTTATTTGTTCACCATTCTCATGGCTAAGATATGTATTCCATAATTTTGAAACTTGTGGATCTTTGATCACTATTTGATCATGATATACTTTATGATTTGATAATGCATAATAAAGATCGATAAATGACTCGATTTCTTCTTTTGTAATTGACATATTCTTTTCTTGTTTTGAAAATTTAGCTTGAATGCCCTTCATTATATCATCTGGATTTTGTGTACTCAACATTTTAGCAAAAGAAGGTACTTTTTCAAAAGTATCAGATCTATCAATAAATTCTTTCAACATAAAATTTGCAATAATTTCTAAACGTTCTAGTGAATGTACATTAAACGCATCTTTTGGAACTGGCATTACTATTTCTTTCGGCATAGGTTTTATTTTAAATCCAGTTTCACGTTTAAGATATTCTTTTCTAAGTTTTTCCCATTCCCGTTCATCTGGATGTCTTGATTGAAAATGAATTGGTGATGCATAAAGAGTTCTTCTGGGTATAAACCCAAGAGCTGCTCTATTTCGTATACTAGGTGTCCTTCTTAGTACATTTATTATAGATCGTCTTGTACTAATCATTTATACCTTGAGTTGAAAAGTTGTTATATCTGATACAGTATATAAATTTTTTATCGAATTATTTTTTTTGCCTTTGAATTATAAAGCACTACCAACTCTAGATTATTACGGACTTTGTTTGAAACTAGACAAACTCTACCATATGAATATGTCCATAGAATTGTAATTTTCAATCATATTGAAAGAGCAATTATCGTTAGATATATTAGTCATATTAGAACGAATTAATTGTTACAAAATCCATAGCTTACATGCGTAAATCTGTTTTCGTTATTCTACAAAATGAATTTGACTTTGATGCGAAGATGAGTCCGTGCGACGAAATAATTTCCGGCCAAAATTCTAGGGCGACTCGCCTTAAAATATATTGACTTATAAATTAAGATCAACGAAATTTCACAATCTAAGAAACAGATTAATACAATCAAAAACCTTTGAATTATATTCTCTATTTATTTGAAAATCTCAATTTTAAACTTTTTTTGTTGAGTTGTCATTTCTGGCTTTTTTCACCATACAAAAAATTTGCTAAAAATGAAAAACAAATTATGGGTTATTTAGGTCCCCAGTTTTCAATTAAACAATAAATTATATATATTCAGTCTGAAACTAAAATACTGGCTACAGTTTTAGTAAATCAAACTCAAAATTGAAAAATTTCGAGATTTTGTCAACTATGGGAACAATTAAATAAATTGACCTTACAAAAGATCTAACTCCACAACAAAAATTAAATCCAAAGTATACTAAAACCACTCAAATTTGTGGTTTGTAGTTGTGATATACCTTAGATATTTATTAAGGTATTCTAAAATGAAAAAGTAATTTTTCACAAGTGGTTTGAAAAGTTTGAAAAAATTTCAAACTGACTATGACAATTTAAAGCTAACACATATTGAATCTTTGTTAAATGAACCAAATTAGCTATGTAGGAAGTTGGTAAATGGGGCCCACACGTGAATTATTTTGCAAAATAGCGTTCTTTTCCATTTTTTAGACGATGAATAAAGTGATCAAATCTTTGTTTAGTCATAAGCTTACTTTAGACGAATGAATTTCTTCATGAAAAAGTTTGATAAAGTAAGCTTGAATATTGATGGAGTTATATAGAGATGAAATTTTGAGCTTAAGTAGGTAAAGACTGCATATAAGTCTAGCTGTTTCAGAATTCTCTTTAAAAGTATGTAGATTAATTACTACCTTTATGTGCACAAAATTTCACCATCAACGTTACATCAAGGACCGTAGCTGCCACATATGGCTGCTCTAAATTGTATAGAACAAAAATACAACTCCAGGTACAGTTTTGTAGACAATGAATGCCTTACAGATACTTCAAAATCACGAAATAAAAAGACTTTGATAGATGAGTTAAAAGCAGTGACTCGAAAAGCATCAAATTCAAATTTATCAAAAAATTCTCGTTCGATTGATACCAAGCACAATATGTTTTGAATAAAATTATGGCCTGTAGTGACTAATTAAAAATTTTTAAAAAGTAGGGGTTCATTATTTTTTTTTAATGCGCATTCTCGGTATATTTCGTTAGTGTAAGATCTCAGATCTAGATCGCGCAATTGGATTTTTTTTTAATTTGCGTTTCCTTAATATTTATGAATATTTATAGTTAAAAGGTATCACAGTATAGCTACAGCAAAAATTTTTAATAAAAATAGATATTATAGGTTTAATTCCAATCCTTGAGGCTAGAATCTCATTAACAAAGAACGTAAATCTTATAAACTGAAAGAAATAAATATCAAGAATCCGTATATACAAATTCAACTTTTGCCATTTATGGTATACACATATCATGTTTCAGATTGTTGAAATTTTTTGTTAAATTATTTTGGAAGTCTGTGGCTGTATTTTTAGAGTTGTTCGACGATCCTCATTCTAGCACGGGAATTGGCATTAGCCTTCGCTCTGGTAATAATTTTTTTCCGTCGTTTCCTTGCTCCACGTTGGTCTTAACCCATATTTAAAAACAAAATTTGGAATTTTTTGACTTATATGCAGCCTTATAGTTGTCAATCTTAATTTTTAAATTGTAAATAACGGCGAGAAATTATTTGTCGCAGCGACCTATTTTCGCATCAAAATTACGCTTACATTATAGTGTACTAAAAGCCGATATATACAAGTCTAACATATAACTTGCACTACTCAATACGGTTTGTTACGACCTATATCTATGGTCGTGGCTGAATTAGAACTTAACAATTTAGCAAATCATTACATTTGGTAGCACTCATTCGCCATTACAGACTTTCAGAGTTCATTCATTTGATATGGATCTAGAATCTACAACACGTTGATCTAGGATTGCTACTCGACCCATAAATAAAACGATTGTTTATTAATATTTAATTTCATAATGTGCTAAAACTGGTCTATAATCACTAAATCTGGAAGTTCCATTATATAAATTGTCAATAATTATATGTGAATAAGCAGTGACACCTCCAACAGAATTAGTATTGTTTGGAGACCAAATAAAATCAATATTATCCCCTTGAGGACCACTAAATCCAGAATAAGTATGTAAATTATCATTGTAAGTAGCGTATGATACGGTAGCTGAATCTTTTAATAACTCTGCAATTGTTTTATAAGCAACATCAGTACTCTTTGAATTAAAATCTCCAGATAAAAAGGTAGGATAATCATTTGGAATTGATTCAATATATGAACTAATTAATTCAGTACTAAACTCTCTAGCCTCTTGAGATTTTTGATCTAAATGAGTATTCAAGAAATTTACTTTAACTCCAGATTGAACATGTTCAAAAGTTGCAATAGTTACAATTCTCTTAGTTGCTGCTCCCGGATATTTTGAAGGAACGTCTGGAGTTTGACTCAACCATTTATAAGTACCATTTAATAAATTCCAATCATTTGAATTATAAATAATAGCTGAATATTCCCCGGCAGTTTCACCATCATCTCTACCTACTCCATAAAATCTCCAGTTATTTGAGACTTGATTTAAACCATTGATTATGTCTAATAATTGATTATTAAGAGCTTCTTGAATCCCGATCAAAATTGGATATGAGCTAATTTCATCTTGGATCGCTTTTATAGCACCTTCTTTTCTTTCATCCCATGGTAATTCTCCAGGTAATCTTTTATCAGGATTTGAAGCATATCTAATGTTATTTGAATATACTCTAAATTCTAAATTTTTTTGCAATGCATCTTTAGTGATATCGTTTAATGCAACGGCTAAAGTACAAACTAAGAAAGTAATAAAAACTATAGCTCTCATTCTGAAATAATTCAACTAAAAGAATATCTAAAAATAAAGACCCATATTTATAGGTGTAAAGAGTATACACGTTGGCTTAATCCTTATACGATTTGGAACAATAAATAATTTTTTGCAACCATCCACGAGGTTGCAAAATTCAATCATAATTAAATTAATCATACTAATAACCACACTTTGAAATGCTGAAAAAACTCTTACAACGACCATGAAAGTTTGAAGTTTATAGTTAATCTACCTGCTACAATACTTAAGGTTCATTATATGCAAAAAAATCGAATAATAATTAAGCCGACTAGGTTTTATTGCACAAATCATTCGTCAAAAAGCCCCTTTAGATTCATACTAAAAATTTATGCCGAAAATGATTCAGCGACTTTTAAATCATATCTAGAGGATAGTGAGTGTAGCTCTATTAGTTGTGTAAAAGTGTTGTAATGTTGAGTTTAAGCTCACACTTTTATAATACTCCACAATTTCCCAGAAATAACACAGATATCAATACAAAGTCTAAAAACTAAATGTCTATTAAATTAAATATTATCTCTATAATGTTTTTTTTTTGTTACTAACCTTAATCGTTCAATAATGCATCATTTTCACTATCTTCTAAATCTTTATCCATATCATCCAATAGTATATTTTCATCAAAGTCATATAATTCACCAACTAATCCCTTTACCACAATCATTATCTCATCTATTCTATTATATATCATATGTGCAACTAATAAAGATAGTATATTCAATTGACCGTCATTACTAAAAAACTTCTGAAAATCCAAATGATCAATTATTGAATTTTCACTTTGAAATTTTTCTTCATTATAAAATCTTTCACTTAATGATATTCTATTTAATCCCCATTGACCTCTTAAATATTCCATATGTCTAACTGAAACATTTGCTTCTGTAATTTTCGGTAATGCATCTTTAGTCATTAAAGCATTTGATGCCATATGAATAGTGGAAAAAATTTCAGCATCTAAATCAGCGTAACAAAATCCAACTCTTTTAATAATAATAGGTATCCAAGTTTCAGGATCTTGTAATTCATTAAATGCAAGTAATAACATAAAATATAATTGTGATACATCAGATAATAAACCTTGTAATCTGTGATATTTTGATTCTGGCCAATATCCCGAAATAGGCAATTCAAATTGTAAAGGAACTATTAATTTTGATAAACTTGCAATTTTCATAAATAAAAAACGAAATTTAGCTAACAAAATATCATGACGTGCTTGAATTGTAATTTTTGCATCTTGAGATCTTCTAAGGGCAAATTTTGAAACATCACAATGTAAATTACCAACTTCTGATAATAAACTACCTAATGATTTCCTCAAAATATGTTTTGATGATTTTGGAGTTGGGACAAATGTTAATAAACAACCAATAGCTAACCCAATACAAACTGAAACAAATCTAATCCAAGCTGGTGTAAAACCTTTTCCAACATTTGCAGCTTTATTACCATGAGTATCTAACCAAGAAGTACCCAAAACTAAATTTGTAGTAATACCTAATAAAATACCAGGTGCCGGAGTTGAATGAATTGAAAAATGTCTAAAATAAGCTAAATATGCAAATACAACTGCTGTAACAGCGCCATATCCATAATCATTACCATTACCATTACCTGTTGAAATATACCATGCGACCATGCCTGCTAAACAACCAAAAAATGAATATATAATTCTTGCACAACAATTATATACAGTTTGACCAGTATTTTCAGAAACCGAAACTGCAATCATAATACATAACCAAACCATTCTACTATTATAATACCATTCAGCAGTAGTTCTTACAAAATATGGAATTGCACCAATGACTAATAATCCACCAGCTCTAATCCAAAACCAAAAATTATCACTCATAAAATATCTAACAACTTTTAATGAATGGAAGCCTAAAACTTGTATTACATTTGATGGTGGTAAATTATCAGCATCTCTTCTTTGAATTGTTGATTGTAAATAATCTGGGATATCACCATCAATATCAGAAGATAAATGCTTTGGTTTTGCAAATTTAGTCTTTGTAAAAAATGTAATAAATTGTGGAGTTGGTCTTCTTTCATCTAAATCTAATGCAAAATCAATTAATTTAATTAAATTATCTAATTGATGTTTTGAAATTTGTAAAAATAAAATACCTTGACTAATTAAAAATAATAAACTATCTTCATTTCTTGAATCGTGAAACATTGCATCTTTTAATTTTTCAATATTGTCGAATGAATCTTTAATTTTCATGATTTCGGATTTAGCATTTCTTAATTTCTCATTTGCTTTTTGTTGTTGATTTATACATTTCTTCCATTGACCAGGTAACCAAGCAGAAATTCTAAATTCATTTGCATAAGTTAACCATTCAGCTAATGCTTCCATACCAATTTCAGAAGCATCTAGTAATGGATTAAAAGTTTTTGTTATAAATCTTGCTATATTATCAATGTCATTAATATTAATTCTATGACCATTCCCGTGATGCATTATCCTTTTTCTTAAAATCTTCATTCTTCTTCTCATTTCAAATTCACCTACTTTTTTATAAGAATCTTGAAAAGCCAGAAATAATTTAGCGTGTCCATGTTCTAAATGAGAACTTGTAGTTGATTTTCTTCTTGTTATTGCAAAATCATCTCTTGCAAAAAAGCTTCTTTCTTGTAATAATTGATAAAAATAACCAAAACTAGCCGTTGCAGAAATTAAATTTTTATATAGTGATCTAAATTCACCAACATCACCAGTATCGAATCGTCCATATGATAATTCTAGCCATATGGTAGAAGCTATAATTTCTAAAGGAGCCATTGCCCCTCTTAATTTAGTAATATCACCTTTGAAAGCTTTGTAATTTGTAAAATTTGGAGCAGATGGTTTTAAAGTGTTGTATAATTTCATATTTTTCTTACATATGGCTCTTAAATTATTTAAACTTCCTTGTAGTCCTTTAAAATAATCATGATTTGAAGTTGTTGGGAAAATAAAAAACGAACAACCTAATTTTAACATAATTGAAGCACCCATAGGTATCAAAACTGAAACACCAATTGTAAGAGGTTCATATAATGGTGAAAAATGTCCATAACATGTAAAAATAACATTACCAATAGAACCACCAATATATCCGCTCATCATTAATGGATGTACTCTTTGCCTAATATTACCCAATATAAACATACATGTAATCATAGATAATGCAGAAATTGCCACAGTTTTAGTTGTGATATATCTACCTGAATAGATTTGCTTTTGAATACAATCTTCTAAAGTTGGACCAGGTTGACAAGATCCTTCATTAATTAAATTTTGAGTCAATTGTTCAGCAGTAATACCACCATGTAAATCATTTATGATTTTACTTCGTACAACATGATGTACAAATGCAATTAAAGCACCACTGAAAAATGAAACACCTTGTATTATATTAGCAATCATAGAATTACCACCACTTATAATTATAAATGTAACAATTTGAGTTAAATAATTGGCAGAACCTAACCAAGTAGCTGTGAGTGGAACAATAGTTAATATAATCCCACTCCATATATGTGCCCAACTTCTAAATACAACTTTGAATGAATTATAATCGAGATGGTTAATAATGTACCTGGGATAAGCGGCCTCATAAAATTTTCGATAAAGACTCTTCTTTCGATGTGGTTCTTCTTTGATTACGGTACTATATAAATTTCGTTCATCACCATCTGGATAATAAGCATTAACTATATCTGAATCAAGGTCATCATTATAATAATCATCTTTAAATGGTCTATGATCATCATCATCATCATCATCCTCCTTAATAAAAGGTTTTGGTTCCACATCTTCTTGAGGTATTCTTCTTGGTTCATGAGGTGAATGAGCAAATGTTGAGGATGACAATGATGAAATGGAAGTTAGCGTATGAGTACTCCTGGTATCTCTTTCTTCTTGAGTCATATCATATAAAAACTGAAACACCAGTAAATAGTTAAATGTAAATCTTAACGAAATATGAGTTCCAATCTAAAAGTATGATCTACCTGGAAATAAACGTTATCACGTTTTCTTGTTTTAGTATTTGGTTGTTACCGAATACTTTTCTATTTTATTGTTATTAAACAAGCCACTTAAAAAAAAAAATTATTCTGTTGCATTTGGATTTAAAACAGAATTATTACCGAGATATTACATAGTTAGTGATTTTGTTACTCGAGTTCGACCATACAATCGAATACATCATAAATATTGTTGCTTCGGATATCATAGGTATCATAGGTGTTGTTGCTAATACATTATTATGACCTAAATCTTAGTAATAGAATTGGATGAACAAAATGAACAAATGAACAAATGAACAATTTTTCACTTCTTCACCACTCCCAATTTTCTGCAAGATCTGACTCTGCAAAATATAGTAATTTGACATAGAATAATTATTTTTTTAATGAAAAGGCTTTATCAGTTTGAATAACTTTGTGTCCCTTTGTTGATTTTTTTTCTTAGCTTTTGATGGTTGACTGGTGCACCATTTTGTTATCAACATCGCATTAGACCGAAATCAACAATATTTATATATTTAGTGTATTTTTCACACTTCTATGATATTTGAGAGTTGGTTTTAATTATGGGTAGTATTTATTCGCAAGAAAAATTCCAATCAAAAATCGTTTCACAATATACTGATGTTATTGGGGAAAAATTAGGTGGTAAAGTATTATCATTTTCTGATCAATGGTTTGCAGATGCTGAAAATTTAATTAAACCAAAAGCTCCAATTAGAGATGCTACAAGATTTACATATGCTGGTGCGTGGTATGATGGTTGGGAAACGAGAAGACATAATGAATCTGAATTTGATTATGTTGTATTTAAATTGGGAGTATCATCTGCAAATATAATTGGATGTGAAATTGATACTGCATTCTTTAATGGAAATCATGCTCCATTTATTTCAGTTGATGGTTTACAAAATTATGAAAATGATGAAACACCAGATGACAAATGGGAGGAAATAATTCCTAAATTTGAATGTGGACCAAGTCAAAAACATTTCTTCGTCAGGGATGAAATTACAAGTAAAAATTATACTCATATTAGATTGAAAATGTATCCTGATGGTGGTATAGCCAGATTTAGACTCTATGGGAAAGTAATACCAGTTATTGAAAAAAATACAATTTCCGATTTTGCTTCAGTTTTGAATGGTGGAGTTGCTATAAAATTTTCAGATCAACATTTTGGTACTGCTGATAATTTATTATTACCTGGTAGAGGTCATGATATGAGTGATGGTTGGGAAACAGCAAGATCTAGAGAAGTTGGACATACCGATTGGGTAATTATAAGATTAGGTACACCAGTTAAATTAAATGAGATAATTGTGGATACGGCTCATTTTAGAGGTAATTTCCCACAGAAGATCAATGTAAAGGCAACTAATGTAAAGGATAAAACAGAGATTGAATCTAGTGAATGGGATTTAATTGTACCTGATTCAAAAACAAAAGCAGATCAAGAGCATAGTTACAAAGTTGAATCAGATAAGGTTTATTCTCATATTAAATTAACAATTATACCAGATGGTGGTGTAAAAAGAATTAGAGCATTTGGTGTAATAGAATAAATAGGTCAAAAGTGCGTGGTATAAAATAAATAATATGAATAAATTATTTTGTTTAATTGAGCAAAGGGTACCTATAATATATATAAATATAGATGAACAATGTCTTACATATGAGTCACAAATCATAATAACTGATTTTCTAAAACCAATTCTATCAGTGAATGCATATTATGTCAAAAATTTTCTAAGGTTTTATATTTCAAAACTTGAAAAATCGGGAGAAGAGACAAGTGATGAGTTATATGAATTATTCGTAGATCCGATACTATTAAAGGCTAAGGAATTAAATGCTGATACTCCAGATATATTAAAATATTATATTAATGGACTTAATGAAGAATCAAATGACGAAAATGATTCAGTATTGATTAAAGAAACCCCAAGGTTAATTTCTGGTAATAATACAACTGGTTTACGTACTTGGGAAGCTGCTTTATTTTTATCTAATTATCTAAATGACAAACAGATCAGACCGTATGATTTAAAAGACAAACGAGTGTTGGAATTAGGCTGTGGAACAGGTTTGATTTCCTTATCATTAGCTAAAAATTATCATAATAAAATTGGGAAGCTAGATAGGACAATAATGACAGATGGATCAAGTAATGTATTTGATAATATGAATGAAAGTCTATCAATGAATAAACTAGGCAACAGCTTGATATCTTGTCAACAATTAATCTGGGGTGAAGAAAATAACGTCAATGATATTGATTTGCTACTAGGTGCAGATATAACATACGACTCAAGGATATTAGAGCCATTATGCTCTACAATTAATCAATTTTTCAACAGGGGACTATCATTATGTTTAATTGCAGCAACTGTCAGAAATGAAGAAACGTTGAATAATTGGGAAAAAGAGCTAAATAAGTGGTTTTTAAACAGGTGGAAAATTGCAAAAGTATTTAAAGTGAATGAGACTAACTCACAATGTTGGTTTGATCCAAATACACCTGATATAAAGTTGTATGAGATTGTAAATAGTTAATTAGAAAGAATATACAATTGGTAGCATATATATAGATACTGTATATAAATACCAACCAATTAAAAAATTGTATACACCGAACAAACAAAAATTAAAGCTGAAAAAAATTCATTGTTAAAGATAATAATAATACAGTAATGTTTGGTGTTAAAGTATTTCCATTTCCAATCTTCAAAACATATTGGCCATATGCTGTTGGTTGTAAGTATTAATCAATTTATGAGGGGGAGGAAAAACAAGAGTACAGGAGTAATTTGAATATGAATTGAAATCAATTTGAAAGACCAGTTGCAAGAATTAATAAAAGTGATCCATGTTGAAAATAGAAATGATAGCATACTATAATCGTGAAAGCTAATTATATAATTGAGTAGGGACAAGAGAGGAACAAGTAATTGAGGTAAAATTGAAAAAGAAACAAGACTTAAATATTTTGAAAATTTAAAGATCATATAAGAGATATAATTCGACATCAGACCAAATAAGTTCAGATAAGAAGCTTTAATTAGTGTTATTCAGATCAATCCGATTTGTTGGGGATCAACGGCCTTGTCTCAAAATGTTACAATTCAATTTCATATTTTGTCCTCCCCCCTTACCCTAATTTCCTCTTTCAAACAAGTACTAACATATATATCTAGTTGCTTCTTCATATTATTTAGTTACTAAAGGAGGTGATGCTTTGATGAATACAGATGAATTTATTAATGATCCAAGACATCCAAGATTTAAAAATGGTGGCAAATTTATCGATTTAAGTAAAAGAGATGAATAAAGAAACCTAATATAGATTTATATATATTAAACATTTGTATGTAATAGTGGTCTTTCGTAGTTTATCTCATCTTAACCAATTATATTTTGTGCGTAACTAATCATTTTTGTTTTCTCCATACTATTAATCAAGTTATGTTTCAGAAGATATTCACCAGATTCATATCATTGAAAACCCTAACTACTCCTAACCCAAATGCTTTAAAATTCATATCGCCCGAGTTTAAAATACTACCTCAACAACTTAAAAATAAAACATTTGAATTCACATCATCATTACAATCAATTCATTCACCATTAGCATTAAAATTATTTAATATTCCAGGAGTTAGGTCAGTTATGTTAGGTAATGATTTCTTAACTGTGAATAAACAAGATCATATAAATTGGGCAAACTTAACTCCAGAAGTAAAAGAAGTTCTCGAATCATTTTCCAAAACTGGTCAACCTACAATAACCCACGAATTAATAAATGAAATCCAAAATGAGGAAGCTGTGGATAATTCAAATGATAGTGAGTTGGTGTCCATGATTAAAGAACTAATTGAAACTAGAATTAGACCAGCTATTCAAGATGATGGTGGTGATATTGAATTTAAGGGATTTGATGAAGAGACTGGTAATGTTTTTCTTAAGTTACAAGGAGCATGTAAGAGTTGTAGTTCTTCTGAAGATACTTTGAAAAATGGTATTGAATCTATGTTGAAACATTATATCGAGGAAGTTAATGAAGTTATTCAAATTTTAGATCCTGAAGAAGAAATAGCCATGAAGGAATTTGAGAAATTGGAACAAAGTTTGAAAAAGAATAAGACGAATGAGGAAGGTGATGCTCCGCCAAATTTATAAGAATGTATAATGATGCAATAACCTACTAGAGTATAGTTTAAAGAGAAGAGAGTATTTGGGATTATACCTACTTATTTATAGATTAATATATACTTATTTATTTAACCTGGTTTCGTTTGCAGAAAGCTTTTTTACGAAAGAATTTGAAAACTTAAAAAGTAGAATATATGATCTCCCAATTTATAAATTATTCAATATATGATCTTCAGATTTATAAATTATTCAATATCTCCTTTCTTAATCCATTCAACTCAATCTCTTTCTTAATTAACTCATTTGAATTCTTAATCAAATTATCATCTACACATTCCTTACCTAAACACAATCTAATCTCTTCAAATAAATCATTAATCCAATTATTTGTAAATTTATTCCAATTTTTGGACACTAGATTAAATCCAATTGTACAACCTAGCAAACATAAAGCAATGCATGACTCACCACTAAACCCAAAATAATAAAACAGGAGTGATATTAAACTGATCGGTAATTGATAATATATAAATGCGGAGGAAATGATCGAATAGACGGCGGGTTGTATTTCTTCAATTACTCTATAATTCATGACATTGTTCTTCAAATCAATAAGTGGGTTTCTAAGCTCTTCATTGTTGATCTTTCCGTTTAAGTAGTTGTATTTCTCGATACTTTTATTCATGAAATTTATGTTGAAAAAGTCTTTTATGTCATATTCAACATTATCATTCTTATAATATAACTTCCACCACGATAATGATTTATGAAAGAATGCTTTTGTGGTTGGTTTGAAATCATTTTGGAGTTCTGTGTTGACGAAATCCACGAATTTGGTGATTTCATTGTTGTTAATTTGTTTAGATTCTGTTATATATGTCTCTTTTTCAACTATGATATTGTTTATGTTGGTTTTTATGTTGCTCAAAAGCCATGTTGATAATGTATTTGTGTTTGAATAGTAGTCTATAAATTTAAATAATGAATTGATGTTACTATTCTCTAAATTTCTAAAATATGTTGATGATCCAGATACGTCTTGTTCTATAAATGTCAATATCCCATTGAATGCTAATTGTGAATTAATTTTTAAAGTATGTGTGTGTAGGGTATTATCAATTGTTAATGGTGTTGATTCGGTAGATGGTGGTGAATATTCAAGATTATCTATAAGATTTAATAAGATCTTTTCTGAAATTTCTGATGGGTGTACTTTGTCAGATATTTGATTTGTAATGTTTATGAGGTAAGTATAATTGTGTAGATCTGACGTAGGTAAAAGTTCTTCAATTACAAGGCTGTTTGAAATTTCATCATTATAATATCGTTTGCGGTATATTTCACTCAATATTGGAGATTTCACATTAAATACATTATTCTCTATATTTGTCAAGTCTGAATACTTGAATGAACTTGGTTTCTTCCTTTCTAATATTTGTTTTAACCTAGTGTAATTATTTTCAGCTAATGGATCAGCCAATAAACATTCTATTACTCTTGAGTTTGATCTCACGGTTTCATTTTCATATATTATTCCAATTTTAATTTCTTGTGATTCATGTTTGTTCTTTTCAAGTTTTGTTAATTGAATTATATCATTATTAAGTTTATGATCTGTGGGAAACGAACTCTTATAATTATTTAAAGTATATACTAGTGTGATACCAGTACTACTATATCTAGTCTGAATTAGTTTTGCATTAATTGACCTTTTAGCAGCTACTCTCAATGATGTTATGCAGCTTCTCATCTATTATTGCAGCCGTTGGTTATTCTATTCTCTACTGGTTGAAAAATAAAAATGTTTTGATAGAAAATTTGATCGTATTGCGTAATTACTGCGGCTCAACATAAAATCCGAAATAGGAAATCGGATTTTTCCATTGCGTTTCAAAATCAAATTAATTTCATATCATACAATAATAAAAACAAGACCATTTTATTAATCCAACTAATGCATGATAGGAGTAATATATTTTCAACTGTAAAATCCACAATTCAAAAATTTATATATTTCATTGGACCAGGTTTAATTTTATCATGTTCATATACTGATCCAGGTAATTATTCAGAATCAGTTGCAGCTGGATCAGTATACAAATATAAATTATGTTTCGTTATATTTATGGCTAATATATTTGCTGTCATACTACAAGTTTTGTGTATTAAATTGGGAACAATTTCAGGATTAGATTTAGCTGAATGTTGTAGATTATACCTCCCTGCCAAATTGAATCTATTTTTATATTTGAGTGCTGAGATTGCAATTATAGCGACTGATTTAGCTGAAGTGGTAGGTACTGCTATTTCATTAGAGATTTTATTTGGTATTCCATTATTATTTGGGGTTTTAATTACTGTTCTTGATGTATTAGTTATTCTTATGGTTTATAAAAAAGATGGACGTTTAAAAGAGACAAGAACATTTGAAATAATTGTCAGTTTTTTGGTTGGTGCTACTTGTATTTGTTTTATCTTGGAGTTATTCCAGGTCAATTTTGAACCTGGTAGTGGTTGGGAAATATTTAAAGGATTTTTACCTACTAACAAGGAGATTTTTATTGAAAAAGAAGCGTTGTTTTTAGGTTGTGGTACTATTGGCGCTACAGTTATGCCACATTCATTATTCTTGGGATCTAGTATAGTTATGCCCAGACTAAAGGATTATGATGAAAAGAATGGTACAAAAAATGTGAACAATCAAGTTACTACTCAACAGGAACAACTTCCACAAAGAAGATTATCATTAAGTAAGTTATCTGATCCTTCAGAACTCATTAATAAATATAAACCATCATATTCAGCCATTAAATACTGTTTAAATTATTCATATATTGAATTAATTGTATCATTATCTGGTGTTGCTATATTTGTCAATTGTGCAATTTTAATAGTTTCTGCAGCTACATTATATGGAAAACCAGATGCTCAAGATGCTGATCTTTTATCTATTTATGACATGCTCGTCTATTATATTAGCCCAGTTGCGGGTTTAGTATTTGCTTTATCTATGTTATTTTCAGGTCAGAGTGCAGGTATAGTATGTACTATGGCTGGTCAAATTGTTTCTGAAGGGTTTATAAATTGGACAGTAGAACCATGGAAAAGAAGAGTAATTACTAGAGTAATTGCAATTGTACCTGTTTTGATAGTTATTGGAGTATTAGGTAGAGAAGGAGTTTCAAAAGTTATGAATTCATCACAAGTTGTATTATCATTTATACTACCTATTGCTAGTGCTCCATTAATTTATTTCACATGTAAGAAAGAATACATGACTGTTGACAACAATGAAATAGATCAAGAAGCAAATGAAGAAACACCATTAGTTTCCGAAAAGGTTAATTTTGCAAATGGGTCGTTTTTGAAAGTTGCTAGTATTTTAACTTGGTTAATCATCTCAGCATTGAATTTGTATTTAGTCATAGCATTTATATATGGAGCAGATATATAATAGAGCATATATATTAGATACATTTTATTTATTTATTGGTTTAATCTATTTGATTTTCGTACTTTTAAATTATAACTAGGTGTAGTTTTCAAATTTGGTAATCTATTAGCTTTTACAAAACTTGAATTTGTGATTGTTGTTGTTGCTGGAAATCTACTCATTGCTGCACCTGGTAATGATCCATTAAATTCAGTAACTAAAACTGGTATCTTCTTACTAAATTCATATGAAAATTGATGTGGTTTAATTTTATAAATTTCAATAGCTAAGTAAATTAATCTTTGTATCTTATTGTAAATTTTGACTTCTTCAATGTTTGGAGCCATTGGATTTCTTATATCACTTTTTGAATATCTTACCTGTCTTAATTTATTCAATTTAAGTAATAATACAGATATTAATTTTTGTAATCTTTTTGGATTTAATATATCTTGTTTTGATTGTTTTAAAAATGATAATTGTTCAATTTTTATAGGATCCCATTCAATTAAATTAGCAATATTAATTATTCCATTTAATTCAAGACCATCATCTGATATACTTGAAACTTCTTCCAATGATTTTTCTTCTATTAGTTCAGATTCACTTTTTTCTTCTTCTTCTTCTTCTTCCTCTTCTTCTTCTTCTTCTTCTTTTTCTTCTTCAATTTCTTCACCATTGTATAATTTTTTCGACTTTTCAATTTCTTCAATACCTATATGTTGTAACCATATATCTGAATGTAATTTTTTACCAATAAATACACCCTTTGAATCTACATTTGGAGCAAATGATCTAAAATTATTACCTGGACCCCATGAATCAGTTGGAACCGTACTTAATTCATTTTTTTGATGAAAGAAAGCCAATTTTGGAACATTTTCATTTCGTTTTCTTGGATCAGGTAATGAATTTGCTGGCTTTATATTTATTGATTTATAATTTAACCATTGTGGCATAACTATAGTATACCAAGTAGGATGAAAAAAATCATGTAAAATACTTGAATTTGCATCTAATGGTAATGGTATTTTAGGATTTACAGTTGACAACATTTCAAAAGTATGATTTAATTTTGAATCTTTAATCATTGGTATTATTTTTGAAATTTGATATGGTTCTTTAACTATAGTTTGGTTATTGTCTAATGGAGATTTATCAATAATTGAAGAAAATAAAGGCTGGATTCTAGTTTTATATACTGGAGATTGATTTTGTTGTTGATAATATCCTACGTTTGGTTGTGGTTCAACTTCTTCAGTCTTAGAAATATATAAGATTATTTCACCATTTGTTACATTATAAGTAGTTATTATTTTACTGAAATCATCTTCTAATTGTTGTTCAAGATCATTTTTAATACCCCTGGTTTTAAATTTTCTGTTATTGAATATTAATCTATTTCCTAATTCTCTTAATAATAATTCAGTCAGAAATTTATAATAGAAATCAACTTCTTTATATTCTGGAGTTCCAATTTTGAATTTGGATATGTATATGGAACATAATGCAGTTATGTCATGATATAATTTATATGGAGACTTATCATATTGACCAGATTGATAATTTTGTTTTATACTAGTTGTTTTAACACCTGATTTTTGATATTGAGATATTGAAAAAACAATTTGTGTAGGATCCTCTTCATAAAATTCAAAAGGTAATAATTCTGCATTTATTATTGTTGAATTGGTATTTTCATATATTGTGAATAAATCAGATAAAATATTTTGAAATTGATCTGTTGATGAGATAAAGTTAGTTTGAGAATTACGATATAAATCTGTGTTTGAGTACATACCAATATTATTGTTTCCTTTTGCTTCCACTTCTTTTGTCATAATATATCTGTTTTTTGCAGCCAAAATATTGAAAAAAAAAAGTATAACCTTGTTTATCTATTAAAATGATTTGTATATATTTTTTTGTTGATAATTTTTTTCTGTTGATAATTTTTAAATTTTTTCTTTTGATCGAGAGTACACGACCAATTGAAATTATGTAAGATCACCACGTCTAGCTCGATACTTCCTTTGGAAGGAAAATATGCTTGAGGACTTTATGAAAAGATTCGATCATGTTGTTGGTTATAAACCCTAAATTCACAATTTGTACGGGTTGAATAAATAACTCGTTCAGCTATTTTTTGATATGAAGTGTGCGAAATAGTATTTTCTGAATTGTATGGTGTTGCATAGGTAACTACCAAGTGGGGCGTGTAATCAGATCATTTTAGAATCATATATCGAGGTTGAACGGTATGGTGTTTTTCAATTATCAATGAAGGACATTGGACATTGATATCATCGTCAAGTGATTTCATTTTTAAAAGTCGAAGATTGTACATTAGTTTAATTATCAAGATTATCAGTCAGAATTGAAATCTTACTTTTAAGAATATTTTGAAACAATTTAGTTGAAAATTGATTTTAAAGTGTTATTAGAAGTCTTTATTAGGTATCATTCAAATAGACAATGATGGTATTCAACATGGAGAAAATGGAATAATGAAACTCTACGAATTTCAAAATCCATTGAACAACAGGTGGAGGCATTTTAGGAAACGATATACTTAATAAACATGATCGATTCTATATTATAAGCTATTTACAAACTACTCAGCATCAATCTTTTCTAATTCCTTTAATTACAAACCAACCATCATTTGTTCTTGTTTTTGTATATTCAGATCCCATAGATATACTTTCAACGAAATTAGTTAAATTCTCATTTGGAAATCCTCTTCTCTTAGTCCAATCAAGTGTATCTTTCCAATTTAAAGTTGTCGGTTTTTCAATTTTTGCAGCTTGAATAACTCCCTTTACTTTTTGTGCTGAAGCAACTTTAACAACTTTATGAACTTTCAGTTTATTCTTTGATTTACGCTTAAAATAATTGATTTTAGTTAATACAAATAGATTGAATGAATTTGCAACTTGATTATTTGAATTTGCAACTTGATTAACTGAATTTGCAACATGTTTATCTTGTTTTTCTGGTTCTGATTTTTTAACTAAATTTGCATTATCTCCTTCATCTTCACTCTCATATGAATAATCAGATAAGCAATTATCCCATAATGTAAAACTAAAATCTGAATTCGAAGTATTTGTTTTAGCAGTCATTATTTATATATTTTGCAGCACTTTAGGCAAAAATTTGGTAAAAATCAAAAATTAGTAAAAACTACGTTTTAATCAAAAATGAGAGAATAACTAGACATATATGAATAATAAGAAGTCAAGAAGTAAATTTAATCTCCATATTTTCATATATTTAATATCTCGACATTACTATCTCTATATTACTTATTTGATTTGATAAAGTATGTGTCAATTCATCAATATCAGCTTCTCTTTCTTTCAAAGGTATAAACTCCTTTCTACCTCGTATAAACCAATCACAAATATATATAATTAATATATGGCTAAAACTTAATAATCTTGAAGATTTGTAATTTGGAGCTCTCCAATTACCAAACAACTAATATAAATACAATCAAAACCATCTCTAACTCTAATATAATAATATATTATCAATTTGATAAGTATTTGTTTATCTCAATTGTTGATGTTTTAAGTCATATCAGGAAATTTTCACTATTTTCATTCGTTCCTTATCAAAATTTAGTTACCAAAATCTGAAACATTGAAGCTTTAACACGCCGCTTAATTAATCAAGAAAAGCTTAGACTTTGAATTACACATGAATAATTCAACTAGTAGATGTTATAATGAGCTTTTTGACTATAAAATTGTTTAATTATAAGGTGTAATTGTTCAAAAAGTGCTGTCGATGTTTAATTATAAACAAAATCTTATTGAATAGATATTTTTTATAACCGCTTGGCATTTAATAGAAAAGGTCTATTATAAATAAATATCTATACAAGGTAATAGCCGATCGCCTATAGCGGCGATTTTATAAGTCATCATCATTATCATCACTTTCGTTAATTAAACCAGCTTGTAATAAAATTTGGTCCCAATCACTAAATAAAATTACAATACCTTCACTTAATGCAATTAAAATCATACCACTTCCAATACCTAACCATAATCCAAAAACTTTAAATTCAAATACTTTACTTAATATTAAAGCTAAAGGTAATGCAAATATATAATAGACAGTAAAATTAATAATCCCACCGATTTTTTGTAAACCTTGAGCTCTTAAAATTCCACTATTTAAACATGCCATACCATCAAATATTTGTAAAATTGCAACTAATGGATGTAATAAATTTTCAATTAGATTAATAACTTTTGGATCATCACTGAATATTCTTGCCAATTGAGATTTAAATACGAACAAAATTACAAAATTTGATATTGATACAATCAATCCAATAATTAATGAGATTCTAGTCGCTATTACTGCTCCTGACATGTTTTGACCACCTATAAAATTTGCAATTCTAGTTGTTGCTGCTATACTGACTGCAAATGGAATCATATAAGTTAATGATGCAATTGATGATACTGCACTTTGAGCAGCTAATTGAACAGTACCAAAATATGATGCAAATAAAGTCATAATTTCATAAGCTAAATATTCACTAACAAGCATTGCAACACCTGGAATTGCCAATTGAATCATAATCCCCCAATCACTAAATAATTCTTGAACACTACCTAAACCATACCAACATTTTGAACCATCAATATATTTCACATAAAGTATCAATAAAATCGACATTAACCAAAAATTTATAGATGTTGCAATTGAAGCACCAATAAATCCAACTCCAAATCTTTCATTCCATACGAGAAACCATGATAAAAAAATATTTATCGGAGCACTTATAAATAAAATACCAGTACTTGCTTCAAATATACCTTGAGCTTGTAAAAATCTTTTTGAAATTTCAAAAAATATATAGCCAGGAGCACCAATAATTAAAACTCTTAAGAATTGAGCAGTTAATTGAACTACTTCAGAATCATCAATAATAAATTTTAAAACATATGGACTAAACCACCAAAATATAGCACAAGGTAGAAATAAAATCATGGCAAATAAATTACATCTTTGTACAAATAAACTCATAATTTCATAATTTCCAGCACCATAAAATTGTGGACATAATGTATCTAGAGCAGTTGCAACACCTTCAAAAATTGCAAATGTAATTTGTGAAGTCATTGTAGCTAATGAAACAGCAGCTAATTCATTAGTACCTAATTTACCAACCACCACCAAACAAACAACTGAAAAAATATGTTCTAATATAAATGTTAAAATTAATGGAATCGAATGCCTAATTAATGTATTCAATTCAATGATATAATTTGTTTTTAAATTTAAAAAATCAATTTTTGAAGATACAGTACTTGATCGCCTTCTAGCTAAAGCAAATTCTATATCATCATCATCACTTGCAATGGGCGAATTTGCAGCTGATATTCGTCTTTGATGTTCTTCAACTAACCATGAGTGAAAACTTTCTTGATCTTCAGTAGTTTGAGCAGAACTTAATGAAGATGGTAGTGATCTTGATGTACTTACACTTGCAGCATCACTATTATCATCATTATCAAATATTTCACTACCATTTTCAATTAATGATAAAAATGAGCGTTGATCATCACCTTCACCATAAATAAATAAAGGATATTGAGTTGAAGGTGGAATAAATAACCTTCTTCTACGATTATTTGTTAATCCAGCACCAGTATTTGGATTTGCTAATCTATTTATAGATGGAAATAAAACCATCTTATTTTGACAGATTCGTTAATAATTTTTATTTTATTTTTTTTTTTTGCAAAAGTTGCGCTTTACCAGATTCAATTGCGCTTTATACTGTACGCTTGAATTTTATATATAAAGATTGTATAAAAGAACTATAAAAATTTGTATATGTCATTTAAAAAAGCATCCAGACTGAACCACCTACAATAATAGCTAATACTATAGCTGTTAATACACCAGCACCAGCTCTATCTTTGCCTGTAATATTAATTTTATTTTTATTTTCAGTATCTTCAGTACCTGTGCCAGCAGAATAATCAGTTCTATTTGAACCACCAGTTTCAATAGATATTGGTTCTTCAGCAATCAATGCCAACATCACTTCTAATGCATTCATTTGTTCACCAAGGCCATATACTGGTGAAAAAGTTAGTAATATTATTGAAAAAATAGTTTGTAGTAATTACATACCTCTATCCCATGTACCTAGAGACCAACTTTCACCACATGTAACAAGATCAGTACCACCACTACACGATGCAGCCGCACCTTGAGCACTAGCTTGTAAATAAGGTTCAATTTTATCTTTCAAATCAGGAATTAAAGCAACAGTCAATCCTAAACATCTTGAAAATAATGATCTAAATGATCTTTGATCATTATTACATAAATTATGTGGTTGACAAGTTGTCTCTTGCATAATTCTTTCATCTGTGAAAAAATAACTTAATGAAGCATCAACAATTTCTTCAGTTCTTAATAACCAAGTATCGTTTCGAGTTAAGTCATATAAATAAGCACAGCCAGCCATAAAAACACCATAAGTATATGACCATCTTAAATCAGTAACTTTACCACAAGTATTATTATCATCATTGATTTTTGCACCATCTAAAATTCTTGTATTATTATTGTCTTCTTCAGTTAAAAACCCAACATCTTCCATCCATTGCCAAACTTTTTCAGCAACAGCAACATATTCAGTTTGATTATTAGTATATCTTGCTAATCTTGCCCCAATATGAAATAAACAACCATTTGAAATTGAATTTTTATAATCATAACCAGAATTCCAAGTAAAAATTTGCCATCTTAAACCACCTCCACAATGATCAGTATCCCATCTCGCATTCATTGTATTAAAAATCGCTTGTGCCATTTGTAACCAAGAATGTGAATCAGGATCAGTAAAATTACGCTCAACAGCTTCCATAATTGCCATACCCCAAACACCTTGATCATCATTACCTTCAGTCATTGATTGATTCGAAGGAATATAATTATAATTTTCACCAGCTTGATGATACATACCTTCTTTAATTAAATCTTTGAGGGTATTATTTGTTGGTTCACAATAAGTAAAATAATCAACTAACCCACCAAAAGCTTCACCAGCGTTCCACCAATAATTTGGAGGAGCAAACATACCAACAGTACCACCATAATTTGTACCTTCATAATAATTCCACATACCTTCTTGAACTATTTTGGCTGCCTCACATATTGAATCTTTATCATTAACTTGAATATCAAGAGCAAAACAACAAGATATAAAACATAGTGTAATAATATTTATCACTTTAAATAGCATAGTAATCAGTCTAATATAAATCTAAGCAGTGATGGTATTTGATAAATTGTGTTGATGATTGTTTAATAATAAGATCTGTTTTATTTTTAGATTTTTTTTTTTTTTATTTTTTTATTTTTTTTGGTTTTTGTTAATAATTACGATCTATACAAACAATTGATGATTTAGTGTATTATAAGATTAGAGTACAACTAACTACTCAACGGTTAAGAAAAACTAAGAATTGCAATGCAAGAAATTATTATATATTGTTCATAGCCATTTTTTATTTTATTTTCTCGTGGATTATTTCTCAAATCAAAGCTCAAGAAAATATTCAAAATGATGTAAATATAACTACTAATTTCTTACTACGTTATTCATTCAATTCAAATATCTCTAACAATTGTCTTAAATCAGTTATCATTACTCTATTATTTGCAATTATTTCAAACTTATCCTTTATCTTACTGTCTCTATTTATAAATATTCCATTCCAACCAGCTTTTACAGCTCCAAGAAAATCTTGATTATAATTATCACCTATATGCCAACACTTCTCAAGATAACTATAAGGTATAGATTCATCGTCTTTATTCTGTATCTCTTGTTGATAATTCTTTAATGCAATTTTATCAAAAAATAGTTTTTCTGGTTTTAAATTATCTAAATTATAAGATAAATAAATGTCTTTAACGGCTCCATGTTTGAAAAATTTCATTAAATTTAAACTATCTAATATTTTCATTACTCTAAGATCTGAATTTGAAGTCGCGATAAGTTTAATATTATGTTGTTTCAATTTTTCCAATGTTGGAATTACATCTGCATATACAGCATATGCATCAGAAGAAGTGAAATGATTGATTAATCTATCACTCATTTTAATTGCTTGTGGGTCATTTTCACTTAGATTGTATAATTTTAATATCAATTTCTCCCACCATTTTTCACAATCATTTAATACGTGTTTACCACAATTTGGCCATTTGTCTAATAATTTGTCATATACAACTGGAAACTCTTTCTCAATTGACTCAATTGATTTATTTAATCCATACTCTCCATGAGATATATCGTAATATTGTTCGGGTACTGGTTTTTTAGGATAGTATAAAGTACCGAACAAATCAAAACTAATAAAACTCGGAGTTGGAAATGATTCGTTAGATTCTCGAATCTTTCTTGTATTTTTTATGCTAAATGGCAGTGATATAAGTTTGGAACTTTGATAGCGTTTAGTTATATATGTTCTTGGTGTAATTACTTTGTTCTTTATTGTCATAGATTACTTTTGTTATCGCAAGGCAATTGTTAGGGTTTTTTATTTTGGCTGCACAATTTTCGAATTTACACGATAAGAAAAAATGATCGTATATTTTGCAACCATTCTTTTAGCTTCAACCAAGTAATACTTCCCATCCCCATTCTTTCATTATTGAACTCCAATGAGTACTTGAATCTATTCTATTATCATCAGTAGTAGTAGATTCAATTATATTCATTTTATCTTTTCTTTTCCAGACTTCTTTTACTACTTCAAATGCTCTATCAATATTACCTAACCACATTTTTTCACTTAATGCTTGCCATCTTGATTCACACCATTCTCTTTCTTCTCCACCTTCAGCTTCACAGGAACTTACTAATAATGGAAAGATATGAACTATACTTAAATTTGAACATTTTGGTATTGACGCAAGTAGGATAAATATCTTTTCTGCAAGGGTATGTGATGATAATGATGGTATTTCAGGAACTGCTTGATGTAAATATAATAATGCAGCAAATTTATAAGCTTCAGCAGTTGATATACATGATGATAAATCCCATGATGATTCTTTTGGTGATTGTTCATCTTCTATGCTTTCATTACTAACTGATGGTTTCCAAACAGTCAATTGTTGTTTTAATTCACATGCTAATGTGATTATATTTAATGGTGTTCTTTTTTTTGATTGTGATTCATGTTTAGTTTTCCTTATCTTACGTACTAAATTTGCAACTTTACCTAATATTGAAAATAAGGATTGTCCACAACCTAATAATGGATCAAAATCATTTGACATAAATTTTGAATCAATTGATAAATCACTAATATCACTTGAAGAGGTTGTTGTAGTAGTTTCTTCGTTTGCTTTATTTTGCAACATTGTTGTGATCGTCGCTACCAAATCAATCCCCTTATCATCAAAATTATCACTTGTTGTCATTTGAGCCAATACTTCAAAATAAATCCATTGATTAAATAGAAATTGTATTGATTCGGGAATAAATAATTGATGTGATTTTATACTAGATTTATGTATTTCTTGATACTCGAAATTAGAAACTAATACTAATTTAGATTGAAAATCCTGTTTGATTATATTCAAAGTAACTGGATTATTTTCATTTTCACATCTATTTTGTCTTATTATATCTTGTTGATCTCTCAATATCTTAAGTATTTTATTAATCATACTTTTTGCCCCTTTTAAATGTGCAATTCCTGATAATGTATGAGTATCCCAACTTTCACAATTGGCTAAATTTAAACAAGTAGCGAGTGCTATATCGGCAGGTAAGCTATAGTCATTATTATTTTCCATTTTGGATAAACCGGTAGCTAATTCCAATATACATTTTTTCATATAATTATAACCTTTTGATCTTAATTCTTGAGTTGTAGATGATAAGATTCCATTACTTCCAGCCATGTGAAATAATGTCATTGATGCAATTGAATCAAATAAACAAGAATAGTTACCTGCAATAGGTAAAATCATATTTCTCCATGGATTTTCATATGGACCATTTTTGATCGACATGATAGATGATGTAAACTCTGAATACAATTTTAAAATCTGTTCATGTTCTGATAATTTAGAATTTGTAGGTATGCTTAATTCATTAGATTCTTGTGGCAGTTGTTGTATTATTTGTGGTTGATTTAACATAGTTAATGGACTCATCATTGTTTCAACAGATGGAATTTCTCCAATTACTTCATGATTAAATGCAAAATTTAAAATGGCAGATAAGGAAGGAGTTAAATTTATATCAAAATCAGAATTATGTTTAACCAGTTTAGTCTTCTCCTCATAAAATGGCGAAGGCGATGGAATTGATTGAGATATCGATGGTGATGGTACTGGTGATGGTACTGGTACTGGTACTGGTACTGGTACTGATACTGGTACTGGAGATTCACTTACTTTTACAGCTGCTTCAGCTAATGAATTCAAATCATGATTTTTGGTAGTTATAGTCTCATTATAAGATCTAACAACTAATGGTTGTTTATCATTATTATCTTCTCCATTGAAACTATTTGCTCTACTTTCCGGATTGAAGCCCTGTTTTATCAAATCATTTTCTTTTGAAATTTGACTTATACTTTTCCCAGTTACTTGAAAACTAGCCAATTCTAAATATTTATCTAATTTCTTATTATCAATCTTTGGTGATTCATTATTAAATGATTTCCATTTAAAGTTTATTGAATACCCTCCACACTCTATATTTTTCCTCATACAATTTAGACATGAAGGTTTTGTTTCATCACATTTTAATCGTTTTTTCTTACAAGTTAAACATCCATTTCGTGATTTTGTACGTTTTATATTAATTGAATCACTTGGTTTTAAATGTGGTAGTGCCAGCATAAATAGTATGATTTAAGACAATGTGTTGTTTTTAAACCAATTGAGGTTTTATTATTCGAAATTGTTGAAAATAAGCTCAGTGTAATTCGGATTAATTAACTGTTGACAGTTATCTTTTAATTTGCAGCCATTTGCTTATCAGTTTTTCCGAATTAGGAAACCCGACAAAACTTTCCTAAATAGTAGCGAATTTACCGATGAAGATATAGAATGGAACACCAATACATGTAACATAACTTACATTACTCATTACTCTTGGCCCTCTGCTGGCCCGCTTTTTACTATCAATACCAATAATCAATACCAATAATCAATACCAATGGCCTAAATATCAAGGTATCAATCTTCTTTTAACCAGCATCGTTTATTCCATTGAATTCAATTGACACATATTTTTTTTTTTTCCATTCTTGCACCACGATGCAGATTAAAATTAAGTATTAGGCGAATCTTAATTTGACATTGTCAAAATGTCTTATAAATTTATACCAGTATTAAGTGAAGATTCAATTCGTAGAGGATTACAAAGAATAAATAAATTAGGCTCACCTTATTGGGATGTTGAATTATATGATACTCCAAGAATGCATGTTTTAAAAGTTCATTATAAATTGAAAAATTTTAAAACAACATGGGAGTTTCTTAATTTAGTTGCTAATCAAGCTTCAAAATTAAGACATCATCCTACTATAATTACAACTTATAATAATGTGAGTATTGAATGTACTACTCATGATGCTGAAAATAGTATAACTGAAAAAGATGTAAATTTAGCAGAAGCTATACATTTAGAATATCAAGAGTTAATAAGTAAGGATGTAAGTAAGGATGTAAGTAAGGATGTAAGGATGCAATAGATATTTATAACGTTATAAGTATCAAGAGCACAGTAAATAAGAATTATTAATATATACATTATTCTATATAATTTACAGATTTTGTAGCTCTACAATATTTATCTTGAATTTCAATGGCTTCATAAATACCTTCAAGACTAGCCAAAACAACATATTCCAAATCATAAATATCTTCAATTGTATGTTTTTCTAATAATTTTCGAATCTTCTTGTTACCTTGTCTTATATCGATTGTCCTTATATAAGTTAATTTAAATGGTGGAATTCCAATAAAGCTAAATATTAATTCAGTCTGATCACCTTCATGTAAATCTTCAATGATATAATCTCCTTTATTTACTTCCACAGATGGTATATCATGAACAGTTAAACTTAATTCTTTGGACTTCATTATATCATTTGTATAATTTACAAGACATGAATTTTCACCAGAATCGCTCAATCCTTGAATATTCAAAATACCAGGTCTTGAAGCTAATCTAGTGAACAAACCTTTAGTTTCAGCTTTTCTTAATTTGTTATTATATTCATAGTAGATTGTAATTGGAGATACTCCACTAACATTATATGAAACATGATCACCAATACAATAATGAGATTTTAAAGCATCTGTTTTGAATATATTTGGTGGTTCATTGATTGAAATTAAGTAATTTTCATTGAATTTGAAATGAGTATTAATGCAGCCATTAGAATCTTGAATCTTATTAAACCTGAGTGTATAATCTCCCAATGTGAAAAATTTGGAATATTCAAGAACTAATTTGTTTTCTCTCACATTATGAAAATTTGCATTTTGGACTTTGCCTGTGTTTTCATTTTTAATCACTGCCGAAATATCAAATGGTGCTTTACCAGTCAAGTTAATTGGAATTTCAGCAATTGGTGTTTCTGAATTTAATTTATTTTCACATACTTGTGTCTTGTGTTTTCCTATTATAAAATGAGCAGAAGGTAATGCATTAACGTCATATATCACTTTAGGAACATTTGAATTCACATGTTTTGAATTATGTCTAGTATGTAACCCATCAAATATCTTCTTAAAATTATGTTCATATCGACCATTAGACTTTGTTGGTAAATTAATCTTAATTCTCTTCTTGTCTATATTCATAGAATTACTTTCTATCTTCCCATTTGGATTTATAATCTCATAATCCAAAATAAATGGCAATTCCCCAGTCAATTCAATTTCAATTTCATTGGAACAACCATTACAGATTGGATTTAAATGTATTGTTGAATCATCTTTATGTTGTAACATTTCATTATTAGTTATGATTCTCATTGTTGGACGTGAATAATAAACTAATTGAACTGATTGGTTAGAAGTTACTTTTGCCTTACATCCATTATTTTCAAATGCAGATATCCAATAATTCCCCTCTTGAGTCAATTTCAATGACGAATCAACTAAACTAGCTCTATGTTCAGTAATTTTATCTGATCCAGGTGCTTGATACTTAATATTCAATATATCATTTCTAGTAAATCCAGTACTCGATTTCAATTTTAATGGAATTTTCACATTTGAACCTTCGACTAATTTAATTATTTCTTGTGTTGTGGAGAATTCAATTTCAGGTATGTCTGATCGAGAAACTATCCTTACTGGTTTATTTTGATTTATTATTTTAGCATTACATCCAAATTTGTCCCTAGCATTAGATAATTTAATTTCATAACTTTTTCCAATTAATTTAAGAGGAGTTGAAATAGTATAATTAGTAACATTATCAACATGAACTGTCTTCAATAGTCTTTTATGTGTTTCCGAGTCTATGAATTCATAATCAAATGAGATTGGAACACTTCCTTGAAACCAAATTGGTATATTTGCAGTCTCTCCATAACATGTATGAATTGTATCTCTTGCTTCGATTCCTATTTTTGATGCTTGTTTGAAATATGTCGAATATGAATGTTTAACTTCATCTAGTCTAATTGGTGATTTATGATAATTTGCATCCTTTAATGTGTTGAATTTGATTGTATAAGAACCTTCATGTGGTGGTTCAAATTGAAATGAATGTACATGTCTATTTGAAATTACTTCTCTTGATGATCTACCATCTGAATATACTGGTTTTAAAACACCACTTTCATTTGAATATATATGATATTGAACTTTGAATGGTGGTTTACCCGTGAAATTAAAATTGAAACTATATCCAATCGTGCCTAAACATTTATCAATCACTGGTTTTGGATCAATATCTAATGATGGAAGCTGAGCTAATTTAACATCTACTGAAGATTTTTTGATTTCACAAGGACAATATTTATCAGAAGCAGATATCAATTTATAATTGCCAGGACTCTTTACTGTGATTCCATGTTGGAACTCAACTTTGTTCTTAAACACTTTTGTGACGTTTTGTCCATTATGTTCTATTTTAATTTCTATTGGATAATCATCATCTTTAAAACCATTATTTGTGAATGATAATATTTTCTCTCCTCCAACTAACATTTCTTGATGAGCATAATTATCAACTAATCCTATAGTTGCCGATTTTCTTAATTGTAATCTAAAATAAACATCTGCATCCTTACTTAATGGTTGATATTTATGAATCATACCAAAAGAATCTTTAATTTCCAATAATTCAAATTCTAAAACACTATTTGAAGAAGTTTTGCAACTTTGTGGCAGTTTTAAAATTTCATTCTCTAATGAATTTCTAATCAATTTAACAGCTTTCAAATAATTCAAATCATTTGATTTAGATTCATATTCTTGTCCAATTGGTAATTCCAAAATTCTAAAATCTTTACCATTAATTTTAACATTAATTTTCACAGAAGCTATACTTGTTGAATATGTCTCAAGCCACGGCACAGGAAACGTATCAGCATGATTCAAGTTTGACATGCACATATATTGATTCAGGTTGAAATTAGGTGGATAATAAAATTTTGCAGTGGGACAATTATGTATCAAAAATTCAGATTTATATACCTTGATACTATTTCCTTTATTATCTAACACTTTTTTAATATTATATTTTCCTGGTTTAGTAATTGGAAATTCAACATAAAATACCCTTGAGTCCTTTTTAGATTGGTATTCTTTATATTCTGATAAATGAGAATAATCCTTCTTGAATAATTTGGATAACGTATATCCAGAATAATCAATCATGTGAATTTCATTGTCTGGAGTCGTATGTTGTATTTGTAGTGCTCCAATACTTGTCGTCGTATTAAATTCAATTGGCATTTTAATTTCATGATTATTATTTATTCCAAGACATGTCTGATCAAAATGGAAAGGATTCATTCTTGTTGAAGAATCAGGTAGGAAATGGATAATTAATTGTCCTTTGAAATGTGAATCCATATCTAATACTTTACTTCTATCTATCTTTTCTCCAATTAAGTTTAATTCCTTATTTTGAGATATTAATTTAGCGAATGGTATGAAAATGTTGGAAAATAAAGGTAATGAAACTGAACTAACTAAAAAAAATGAACTAAGAACTAGCATAATTGTCATAATTAATGTTTTGAAAGGCGTAAATCGTAAATATTCAATGTTGAGTAATTGTAAAATCCATAAGAATATCCCATCAATGATTGAATATTTCAATAAAAATGTGAAATTCGTCAAGCTTGTCAATTGTGTTTCACCATTGATTTCAGATTTCATTAATATTAAATCATATAATTTCCAACTTTGAATTAATATGAAAATTGAACTTAGGAATATTCGTTGAGTTGCTTGATCTAGTATATTTGAGGGTATTAGTGGTAAATCATTATCATTATATATCAATTTAAGTTCGCTTTTTCGTCTCTGTTTTCTTCGTTTCTCATACAATTCTTTATTAGATTCTAGTGTTACCATTCTATGTTTATTAGTTCATCTAATGATTCAATTGTTTACCTTTTGTTAGATCCACTTCAAGGCCATCTTTTTTTTTTCATATCTAAATAAATTATACGAGAGGGAATAATTATGCTACCAATTACATTTCATATATTTTGATTCTATAAATTAACCCAATTTCCTTGTTACTTTTTTTATGTTCTATTATAGCATCCTTACTGTAGTTTATTGAACTTTAGCATCCTGAAGTTGTCGGAATCCTTACAAATTAACCCAATTCCCTTGTTTCTTTTCTTGTATCACTTTAATAGCAGGCAAATCCCAACCAACACCACCACTACCAATACTTGCACCAAATCTCGGAACAACATAACATTCTCTTTTAGTTGGAGTTATATTCCTTGGAGCAAATGGATGACCTAATGGTTTAGAATAAGTCAATAATGGTGAATTTTTAGAAATATTAGTAAGTTGTTTCCCTGAAATATCAACCAATGGTCTCATTCTAACCTTTACTACTTCATCTTGATCAGTATTTCCCTTCTTGTTTAATGATTGGTAGACTAAATAATTTGGTGGTATTTCTCCACTTTTATTAATTATTGAATTTGAATGTATGTATATAAATGGATCAGATATTGGCAATACAGGACAATATGGAATTTGATTAATTGACATCTTATTCATTATTTTCACATCTGAATTTATCAAATCTCCTCGTATGGCGATCTGATCAATGAATCCAGAAGCGATCATTTGTTTCATTGCTGATATTTGTTTTTTATTAGGTGGTGGTAGTTTAGACTCTGAATTGACTTGTAGCCCTTTCGAACTCAATATACTATTTTCAACTAGTATCGTTACTTGTTTTCTTAATTTTTGAATTTCTTCCATCATTTTAAATCTTAAATAATTATCAGTTATAAATTGATCAATTTTATCCTTTGCAACATGGTCAAACGCACATACAACAGATAACAACATCATGACATCACTCGAAGGATCCAATCTAGAAAACAAAGCACGAGATTGAAAAAATTTTGATTTGAATTGTTTTTTAGCCTCTTCGGTTGATTCACCCATTTTCATCATTATTTCATTTTCAGATATGAATGGATCACCAACAGATAATGCGGAAACAATAGCAATGATATAATTAAGACAATTTTGTTGATTTCCAATGATTAAGATCTTTGCAAAACGAGGACTTAATGGAAATAATGACATCTTTTTACCCAATTCCGTTATTGTTTTATTCTCATCTAAAGCTCCAAGTATAACTAACAATTTTTCTGCTTTATTAAGACTTTCCCGATCTGGTGGTGTTGGGAATGGGAAATTTGTAATATGATCAATCCCCATACTTTTCATATTTAATACAATTGATTCAAATGGCATTCTTAAAATTTCAGGAACACTAAATTTAGGGAAAAATTCTTCAAATACAGCTGATGAGTATAATCTATAACAATGACCTGGTCCAGTTCTACCTGCTCTTCCACTTCTTTGATCAGCTGAAGCTTTTGAAATCCAATCAATTTCAAATGATTGAACACCATTATCTGAATTAAATTTTCTCTCTTTTGATCTTCCACAATCTATAACGTATCTGATTCCAGGTATAGTTAATGATGTTTCAGCAACATTTGTTGAAATGATACATAATCTTGAATTATTTGGTGGTTTTTCAAATACTTTCATTTGTTGATTTGTAGGTAATAATGAATATAAAGGAAGGACATATAATGGACCTATTTTATCTTCTTTTTTATTTTCTGCTTCTTCAAATCCTTCCTCTTCTGAATCCGAAACATTATCATAATCATCATAATTGGTTTCATCATTTTCGATAATAAATTCAACATCTTCGACTTCATGTTGAACATTTTCAGATAATTTAACTTCTGTATCTTTATCATATATTATTTCTTGTTTCTTCAGTTTTTTAAATGGAAATTCATCTCTTAATCTCTTAACCAATGTGTTGATTTCAGTTTGACCAGTTAAAAATACTAATATCCCACCATCTGGTAATTTTTTATGAACTTTACATGCTTTATTAAATGCTTCTTCTAAATAATCATGATTTGTACGTTTGTTGAAATGGATAGATACGGGATATTGTCTAGCTTGGACATTTATAATTGGTGGTGGTGTTTTAAATAATATATGATTTTCAGAAAAATCAGAAACTCGTAATGTTGCAGACATGATGATCAATTTCAATGGTTTGTACTTTTCAGAATCATTTTCATGATACTTCCTTCTCAATTTCATTATCCTAGTCAACATTCCAATCAAAATATCCGTATTTATGTTTCTTTCATGTGCTTCATCAATTATAATTGATGAATATTTAGATAATAAAAAATCACTCATCATTTCTCTTAATAGAACCCCATCAGTCATGAATTTAATCACTGTTCCATCTTCTTTTCCTTCATTTTTAATTGTAGTATCGAATCGAATCTGATACCCTACTCTATTTTTGAAATTTCCTAATTCGTTACCTACTCTTTCAGCCATTGAAACAGCTGCAACTCTTCTGGGTTGAGTTATTCCAATCATTCCAGGATATAAATTGTTTTTGAGGTTACCAAATCCAGCTTCGAGTAAAAATTGTGGAACTTGAGTAGTTTTACCTGATCCTGTTTCACCACATAATATAATACAATCATGATGATATATTGCTTCCATAATTCTGTGTTCTTCTTGAAATACAGGCAATTGGATACGTTGTTGTTGTACTGTTTCATCTCTGATTACATCAACTACAAATGCTTCTCTTTTTAATTGTTTGTTTATGGGTATGTATCCTTCTTCATCTGATGAATGATCAATATCTTCTTCGTGAATTGTTGGTTTTGAATATTTTGATTTTAAGGAGGGTGACAATTCAGGCATTATCATTTCTTGTCTATTTTCTAATTTTCGAACTTGTTGTTCTGCCCAATTTTTAAAGGATTCTGCAGTTTTTGAGTGTTTAGATTTGGAAGCCATTAATTTTGATTGTTCTTCTTCTTGCTCTGGTTCTGATTCTGATTCTGACTCGTCTTCCTCTTCTGATGACTCATCTTCCTCCTCATCTTCCTCCTCATCTTCATGTTCATCCTCATTTGAAACTCCATTTTCATCTTGCTCCTCATTATCATCTTCTTCAGCTTCTATATCTTCACCATCATTGTCATTATCATCTACACTTTCTTCACTATTTGAATCTTCTTCTCCGTCCTCCTCCTCTTCTTCTTCTGAACTGGATAAAAAATCATTTTCATCATCAATTTTCAACTTTTTCTTTTCTTCATCTTGTACTCTTTGTCTCCAACTATATTTCTTCTTCTTCAATTGATCAGTAGAATCTTTTTTAATGGTTGGTATATTAGAAAACCCAAATCCCGAACCAGTTCCACCAAATTTAGCAGGTCGATTATCAATAAACGTAGATTTAACTACCTCCTCTTCTCCATTCTCATTCTCACTCTCACTCTCACTTTCACTTTCATCATCATAATTAGCCAATTCAGGTTCATCATCTATTATATCTCTCGCTTCATATAATATCTCTTTAGTCTTCTCATTTGCCCTACCCTGTTTTTCTAACTTTAAAGCTTCGATCATTTCTTCACGACGAGTTAGTTTCCCTTTACCAAGTTCTTTCAAATTTGCCAATTGAGAAGTATCCATTTTCGTATGGCTAAGTTTCTCAAGCAAAATCTTCTTTTCTTCTCTTTTTAATTGATGTTCAATATATTTATCAAGTCTCTTTTTTTTCGATTTTGATAATTTCTCTTCTTTTGCATTTTGCGAGTATAAGCTTTCCTCGAGAGCTCTTTTACGAGCTAATCTTTCTTCAGTTGACACAGGTGCCAAAATTTCAGAATTTGAATCTTGGATAGGCTGCAAATTTGGTTCTTCTTGTTGTTCTTGTTCTGTTTCTCTGTAGAATTGTTTATTTCTTGCTTTTTTTAGAGCTGCTTGTTTTGCAAGCATTCCTGATCTTGCTTTCTCATTGAATCTTTTCCTGTATTTACCCATTTATATCTTGTTGTATTTGGTTGCAAAATATATTTGATGAGAAGAGATGGTTTCAAAACATATTTTTATTTTTCGCGATCACAATTCTAAAATTACTACTCCACATAATCAATTACCAATAACGAAGTATTGATTAAGAACGAGACATCAACTGTTTATAGACATCAAGTGTTTATAATAAACATCGACATCAGTTATTGATTGCACTCTTACTATAAGAGAAACCAACAAGCATCCTTACAGTATGAATTCTGACCTCCAAAAACATATAATCCATTGTACTTTAACAATCAATTCAACAACGTTATATATATATGAATCCCATTTAATATCACAAATTTCGGAATTAAATTGCTCAGAGATTATATCACAAGAATTAGGTTTAATTAACTCATCAAAGACATTAATTGGATCAATACCTATCTCATCTTCTTCCAATATTAAACTATCGCTATATTTCATGAAGAAGTTTTTAGTTACTAATGATGGAGGAAGAGATTTAATTACATTAATAGTTATAGCACAAGTCAATGTAAATAAAACAATGATATTGAATATACTCAAAAACATAATGGATAAGTATATAGATTTTAAAAAGAAGCATGGTTCAGAGGAATCTAAGAAGAAATTAATTGAGTTTAAACTTTACATGAATCAAATTATAAAATTTGAAGAATTGAATTATGATTCAAATTCTCATGTTTATAATTACGGGAGTACAAGAGATGGAAATGGTGATGATGAGAGTAATGTGGGTACTCAAATTAATCCAAATCAGTTGATACTTGCAAATGAGGAAGTTGATGAAGTACGTCAATTAATGTTAGATAATATAAATAAATTATTAAGTAGAGGTGATAAAATTAATTTGCTTGTTGATCAAACTGATAAATTAAATACTTCAAGTCTGGTTTTCCAAAGAAAAGCACAACAGATAAAACGAAAAATGTGGTTCAATAAGACAAAATGGTTATTATCTATAATTGGTGGTGTTTTATTGGTTTTATATTTGTTTATTGCTAGTCAATGTGGATTTCCAATGTTTGATCATTGTCTTAGGAATTAATAAACATAGAATTACTAAAACTTAAGTATTATTGCATCCTTACATAAAGCTAATCTATTCTTGCATCCTTACAAGGTATCATCTTCATCATCATCTACTTCTTCTACATCACTAACTGTTTCTTCTCTACCTTGTAGTTCTTTCTCATCTTTAGATAACAATTGAATTGGATTTTGATGATCCTCTTCTTCCTCATCCTCATCCTCATCCTCATCCTCATCATCATCTTCTATTTCATCCTCATCATCAATAACATGTACTTCATGGTGTTGTATTTCATCATCATCATCATCACTACTTAAACTCTCATCACCATCATCGATAATCTGAGCTTGTTGTTGTTGTTGTTGAGATTGATGTTGTTGTTGTTGGAATTGTAGTGGATGTTGTTGAGGTAATTGTACATGTTGTTGTTGATTAGGTATCATATAAACATCTTGAATTCGAGCTTTTTTTGCATTAATTTCTTCAATTTCATTTATATTTTCATCTAATTCATCTTCAATTTCTCCAGTACTTGGAATACCAGCTTGTTGTTTCAATAATTTCTTTTGTCTTTGAATTTCTTCAAATTTTGCCAATTTTTCTTTAATTAAAGGTATAAATCCACCAAATTCAGAACGTTCTAAAGCATTTAAAACATCTTGAGAATTTATAGTTTTACGATTCAGTTCTTTAACTACATCTTTTGAGTGAAATAATAAATGAGATACGAATACAGTAGCTGCTCGTTGTAATGCAATTAATGAATCTTTTGAAATTAATGAATCTTCAGTTACAATTTGTTTTGATAATTTTTGAATTGTTGATCTTGGAAACAATAATTCATCTATTGAAACTTGAGGTATTTCACGTTGTGGTTGTGGATAACTACCATCTGCATTCTTTCTCCAACCTTTAGGTGGCATCTCAAAAACTGTTAACTATCTAACTATCGACTGGTAAAATACAACAACCTCTGTATGCGTTATTGATAATTTTTTTTTTAAATCAAAACAAAACAAATCAATGGATGCTGTTAATAGAAACACAAACAAACAACGAAGAACAGAATGGTAATAGTAATAGTAATGGTAAAGCATTGGTATCATCTACTAAAGAATTGAAAATTAAAGAACCAAGTTTCTATGGTGTTTTAAATAAACCAAATATTGAATTTGTCTATTTTGGAAATTATAAAATATCACCATGGTATGGAAATGCTGCTTATTTTTATCCACAAGATTTATCTCATAATTTATTAGGTTATGAATATGCAAATAAAGTAGCATTGGATCCATTAGCTAGAAAAAGAAACAAAGAAACAGATAATCAAGAAATCAACACCAATGTAATATGGTTAGAAAACTTATTCGTATGTCCATTTTGTTTCAAGTATACTGCTAATCAACATGAAGGCAATCAACATCAAGTACTATGTAAATGTAACAAATACAGACCAAATATTGGAAAATTGGTATATTATGACTCAACTTCAAATTATATAATAAGAGAAATAAGAGGTTTTCAACATCCTTTATATTGTCAGAATTTATGTCTATTTGGCAAGTTATTCCTTGATGATAAATCCATATATTACAACATTGATCATTTCAACTTTTATGTCATTTATGGAATGGAATCAGATAAGTATATTCCAATGGGTTTCTTTTCAAAGGAGATGTTATCATACGATGTTGAGAATAATTTAGCATGTATTTGTATTTTCCCACCATTTCAACGAAAGAAATTAGGTACTTTATTAATTGAATTCTCATATGAGTTGGCTAAATTTACACCAGGGCAATATCGATCAAGTGGGCCTGAATTCCCGTTGAGCCCATTTGGACAAATTAGTTATCTAAGTTATTGGAGTAAGAAGATAGCTAATGTGATATATAAAATGAAGAACAAGAAACTGATTACGGTTGCTGAGGTGATGAAATACACTGGGTTTAGAAAAGAGGATGTATTATTAACTTTAGAAAATATGAAAATTTTAGTTCAGGAAGATTTGGATAGTTCTGTATTATTGTCTATTAAAAATTTTGAAAATTGGTGTCAATTGAACAATCTTGATCCTTCAATTGAGGTGAAGTATTTAAATGAAGAATGCATTTTAATATAATAAATAACTTGTATAAATATGAATAAGGCTAACAGTGCAGCATGAAAAAGACCTGCATCCTTACTCTTGAATTCAACACGAGCTGATTCTTTGTTGCATCCTTACCTTTGACTACAAACAAGCTAGTTCTTCACTGCATCCTTACTCTTATATCCTTTCTCTTGCATCTTTACCATCCTTACCGTAATTGCGTAAATGCACCTAATAGCACCAGAGATGGATTTTCATTATGTCTATTCTTTTCAAATACATTCCAAAACCTCAATGTTTCATCACCGGCACCAGTCACAATAGTTTCACCATCAGGTGATAATGATAAATATAAAACTCTATAAGTATGACCAGTCAATTGAGCAACTTGTTGCATTGAAGGATATTTCCAAACAATAATTTGATTTCGAGAATATCCATGAGTTGAAACAATTTCATTTGAATTCTTAGACCATATTAAATTACAAACTTGACTTCCTGTATTTACATCAGATACCAAATTTCCAGTTAGACAATTCCATGTCTTTATTGTTTTATCAGCTGTTCCTCCACCAGACGCTAATATACCACGTTGATGAGGAGACCATGCAATTGCCTTTATTGCTGCTGTATGTTCAGTAAATTGATGTAATGGATTTGTATTTAATCCATCCCATATGAATAAATTATTATCATTTCCTCCACTTGCTAATTTATTTTCTTCAATATTCCATTTTAATCCACAAACTTCTTGTTTATGAGATTCAAATTTATTAACAAAATGATCCTCTATCCTAACATCTCTATTCAAAATAGTCCTATCTCTACTACCACTTGATAAAATATGTTCATTCCAAGCTAATGAACTAACTCGTAGGGAATGACCAGTCATTGTTCTTACACATTTTATTTTCGTTGCATCCCATATTTCAACTAATCCTTTACTTGTCCCAATTGCTAAATGGGTACCCAGTCCAATCCAATTTAAACTTGTAACTTTATCTTTATTTGTCAAATTACATAATCTATCAACTGATTGAGTTGATCCATCCCATAAATAAACAGAATCTCCAAGACCAACAGCTAAAATATCTTGTTGTCCCCAATCTACTAAATTTAAATAAAAATCATCCAGTAATTCAGGTGCATCTAAAACTCTATATGGAACTTTTGATATATTTCTTGGTTTTTTCTGTGGTGATAATAATAATTTTTGTGAATCTTGTCTGACTGGAGATAATGAATATAATTCAGATTGTAAATCTCTCAGGATTGGTCTTGATTTTTTTGGAGATTGATAAGTAAATAAATTTGTTTTATTTCGACGTGGAGTAGTTGTGATATCTTCATTATCTGTAGGTAGACTGGTATTCAGTCCAGTATAGAATGGAGTCGAAGAATGAGAAGCAGATGATCTTGGTGGTGTATTATTTGAAGGTGATGTAGTTGAATTTGTTGATGTAGTAGGTCGACTATTGACATTTTTTAATTTTGAATTTGAAAGATTATTATTTGACTTCGTTATATTATTGAGGTTTGCAGTTGCCATGGGTACATTATCACCAAATAATTCAGCTTTTAAAACTGTTGAAAACGTTCTATTTGCTTCTTCTTCTCTCCTTATTTCAATTTCATTATCTACTGAATTATGTTTATTTCGTAGATTAGGTAGTATTTCTTCATTTGATAAACTGAAAGCTGCTTGTAAATCTATACCTGTTCTATTTGGAATATATCGATCACTGAAAATTGTAGATTGTTGTTGATTAGTTCTTCGCCGAGGTGGTGATGATGATAAACCGGGATTCTCATTTATTCGAGGTGGTTCCAATATTTGAGTTGATCTAGATGGTGATTTTGGTGTTTCGTATGAGTTATTATTTCGCTTATTGTTCATAATTATTGATATGCTGGTTGTGAAAAAAAAAAGAAACCGGATGAATATTGATTAATAATACAAATTAATGAAATAAAGTCTAATATATTCCTCTGATAGCCAATATATGATTACTATGATACTTATATAGTGTAGTTTGTGTAGTTAGTTGTAATTCCATAAATTGTTGCCTTGGTTGTAAAAATGGTTAATTTTTTTTCAATTGATAATAATCACTGATAAATTTGATGTTAGGATGCAATGCACTATCACCACATTATCACCAATTAAGGCTAACAATGGAACAACTATAAATTAGTTAGTAAGGAGATCAGTTTCAAATGTCATCTCTATATTAAAGTTTTAGTTTGTACGCATGTACAAATTTACGGTGAAACTTTAATTTGAACAATCAGATTCCAAATACTCGGTTATAAATGACTCACATTGTCATCAACGGTGTTTATCCACATGTACAATTAGATGTACATTTTGAATTCTTGTATATTTCGTATTTGTGGTGTTGTATTCTTGTATTGTCATGGCCTAATTTGGTAATTTTGTTGATACAATTATTTATTTTGTGATTTAAATGGCTGCAAAAAAAATTAATATTCAAACTAATTGGTTAATTCAAGTTTGTGGATGAAACCATAAATGAAACAAAATATTTGACTTTGAAAATTATAAATAGAGATTGATTAACCCCTGTTTGAAGTTTTAAATTAATTATCAACAATGAAGTTTCTTTTATTAATACTGGTTTTTAATTTATTAGTCAAAGCAACACCAATTACACCAATTAAACAACAAATATATATCAATTTCGAGCTTATAAAAAGTGATATTGGATTATTCTACATTGAAAATTTAAATCTTGGAACACCAAAACAAATATTAAATAAAGTTGAAATAGATACCGGATCGTCAGATTTCATCCTTGCTAATGATGATTACAATCCATCAAAATCAAGTTCAGTTCACAACACGTTTGAAATATTTACAACTTCATATGGTTCTATTTCGCCATTCCAATTTTATAAAATTTATGATACTTTAAGTTTTAAAAATTTTGAAATTGAAAATTATCCAGTTGGATTTGCACAAAATGTTTCACTGGATTATTTTGGTAATTTTAATGGTATTTTAGGATTAGGTACTGGTTTATTAGAAGCTATGGAACCGAGCTATTCCAATTTTCCAAGACAATTAAAAGAATCAGGGTTAATAGATTATATATTATTTTCAATTTATGCGCCAGTTAGTGGTAATAATACAATTTTATTCGGTGGGATTAATTCAGATGTTTTTCATGGTCCATTGATTAAAATTCCAATTAATTTTGCAATTGGTCAAACTTCGTCATTTAAAAAATATAATTGGTCAGGTATAACTATAAATGGGATTAAAATTGGTGATACGGTTGTTTCGAATGAAAATTCATATTTTGAAATCGATACAGGTGCTACTACATTTGTCCCACCTGATAATATAGCAAGAAATATATTACAATTATTAATTGATGAATCAAAAGGTGATTATTTATTTCAAGATAATTCAGATGGTGGTTATTATTATTTTAGAAGAGAATTGGTGGGTGATTTATGGATTACATTTAATGTTCAAGGGTATATTTTAAAATTTCAAATTGATGATCTATTATTAAATGAAACTGCAGGTGATAGTATTAATCAAAATGGAAATACTTATTGTATACTTGATATGATGTTAGGTTATCAATTAGGCTTAAATACTAATGTTCAAACTATTCCAAATCATGTATTAAAATATAGTTATATCGTTTGGGATTATGAACAATTTGCATTATATTTTGCTGATTTGATTGATTTGAATGATAAACCAGATACTAAATCAATTGTTGAAATTAGAGATAATCAATGGCCTATTTCAACTACTACTGCTCCTGATGCTACAAATACTTATACTTCATTCTATTGGGCTTCTAACGATGTTAGTATTAGTGGGAAATATAGTTTAACTGTTGCTGGAGAAGAAAATGCTACTTCTGAACCAATTACCACCACTACAAGTTCAAGTTCAATTGCTACTGGTGGTTGTTACGCTATACCAACTTGATTAATTACAGTTTTTAGATATTTAGATTTATGTGTTAGTTTTGTAGTAGATTTACAAATTTTTACAGAATGGTTTTTATTCAAAAGTATTCTAGTGCTCAATTTTATAATTTTTATTGGTTATTACATTTAGTAATAGTCTATATGTATCTACTCAGTTGTTTAATGAATCATTGAATTAACTCAAATTCGATACTAGTGGATCACGCTACCAAATGAATTAGTTTAAAAAACTATAAAATTGTCACCTAAACTAGATTGCAGCTATGATCTAGAATATAGATTTTATTAAAGTTTATTTGTCGTTTTATAATTTATGGTTTAAATGCATGTATCTCTTTATGTTATTCTATAATATAAATCAGACCTTGATGCGATGATTATTGAAATTTCTCGCCTAAATCATGGGGCGACTGGTACCAAATATTTTAGCTTATATGTTAAGTTCAGCAACATTTAACAACCTAAAAACCGAATTAATGCAATTCGAACACCTAAATTATGTACTTATGTATTTTAAAATCCCAAATTCAATTTTATTTTTTTTTCAAGTTGTCATTTTGGGCTTTTTTTTGAAGTGGGTTGAAAATTTTAAAAAAGTCTCAAAACGATTTTACATTTTACATCTTGAAACCATTACATATTGAATTTTAGAAGTTAAATGAACCATATCAGCTATATTAGATATCGATCAATAAGGTTTAAGTGCTATTTACATTACAATTTAACGTTTTTATGAATTTATCAAATGTAGAACTAAATGATCAGTTTTAAGTATCTTGTCAAAATGTTTATATCATTTTACTCCGATTATGCGGTAGACTTCGCCAAAAAAATTTGAGCTAAAAATGTTGAATATTGAGGTGGTTATTTACCATTTAAGTTTTGAGCTTGACTATCGTAGGACTGCATATAAGAAGAATTGTTTTAGAATTTATTTTAAAGTATGGAAATTTTTTAAAGCTTTTATATTCAAGAAATTTCTCTTTCTAGCTCATTCCAAAAAGCATCCTTGTCTCATATGGTAACTCTCAGATGTACTCAAACCAAAAATAAACTTAGCAGAGAATTTTGTTGAATAGAAATTTCCCAAAAACACCTCAAAATTAGGAATATAGTATGACTTTGTGAGAGAAATTAAAAGCAGCGACTTTGAAAGCGTCAAATTCAAATTTATCGGAAAATTCTCGTTCCAATGGTACAAATACAGAATGCTTCGAATAAATATTTGGCCGGTAGTAACTAATTGAGAATTTTTAATAAGTAGGGGTTTTTTCAATTTATTTTTAGTGCGCATTCTCGGTATAATTTATTTTTGTGTTAGATCTCAGATCTGTAGATTTGCAACCAATCTCAGATTTAGATCGCGCAATTTAATATTTAATTTGCGCCTATTCAAAACTAACATGAATATTGAAAATTTCAGGGTATCACGTATAGCTAGAAGAAACTTTTGAATAAAAATGGATATTATAGCTCTAGTTCCAATTCTTGAAGCTAAAACTACATTAATGAAGCACGTAAATCCTGTAAACAGAAAGAAATAAATACCATAAATACATAGAAATAAACATCAACATTTCAAAATTAGTAGATTATCAACTTTTGCCCTTCATGAATTACATATATCGTGCCACAATAGTTGTAACCCAAACTAGTTTTGAAGTTTATAGATTTATTTTTAGAGTTGTTTGATGAGCATGATTCTAGCCCTGGAATTTACACTAACCGTGGCATTGAGAATAAATTTTTCGTCTGTATCCTCGCTCCTAGTAAGTCCTAACTTATATTTAGAAATGAGAATTTAAATTTTAATTTTGAGTTATATGCAGTCTTGCAGAAGTTAATCCCTAAACCTGAATTGTAAATAATTCCATCAACGTTCAAGCCTTCTCTTTCAGAACTTTTTCAGGTAATCCACAGTAAATTGTTATCAACTGATGTAAATCAATTTATTGAAAAATAGTAAATGAAAGAATTTATTGACGTCTTTCAACTAAGGTTTAATCTACTATATTTTAATGCAGCTATGTTGATAGAGCATAACTAAGTAAAATTGAACTTTTGGAATATATATTGACGATTGTCTGCCTATATAAAAGCGATTGTAATTATAAAAATAATGACCAAAATGATTCTGTCCTTTTATAATCATAAGGAACTTCTTCATCTTCAATTATACTATTCTTGAATTTGGTTCTGTTACCCTAACAAATTTACATAATCTTCCATTTCATCATCTCGTTGTTGTTGTTGTTTTTGATTAAATCCTTCAAACATATGGAAACTACGTAACGAACCTTTAATTTTACTAGTTGCATTTTCTAATTCATGTTTCAAAGGTTCTGATCTTGGTCTATTCATTTCATTTTCTTGTTTTTCCTTGTTTGTATAACCTTCAAATTGAGATCTTTCATGGTGTTTTGAATTATCTGGTGGTTCAGTTTTTGAAGATTGTGCTTCTTCATGAGCTTTTTCTTCTAATTCTCTTTGAAAGATTGCTTCATCTGTAAATAATGGATCTTGTAAATTTGATGGTTGTTTACTATTTTCTGATGTTGAAACCATTGGAAGTATTGGATAATTCATTAAAAAGAAGAAGAATAATTGTCGTGATAATTCTGGGTTTATATAGGTAAAGCCCCTTGGAGGCGCTTAATCTTACAGATCAACATTGATTTCACTTTGACTGACTTTTATAACCCGCAAATTGCTTATTTATAATATTGTATAGTCATTGACACTTTTATTATAATTGCAGCCAAAAGTACGAGAAATAAAAATTGCAATATTATTCAAAATTATGCATGAAATCATTCGAATACTGAATAGGTATTAACATCGTTTCTATCTTTAGTGTCCTAAGTTTTTTTTTTTTAGTCGCTATTAATGAACGCTATAGTTTTGATGTTTTGATACTTTAAAGTGTTTCGAATGGCTGCAAACCTTATCTGATTTTGTTCAATTTAGAGTAATATCTGATATAAGAACGTAGAACAAACAATTAAAAAGATTCAATTCCATTCCACAAAATGGATAAAATCAGCTTACTACTGTTTGCTTCAACCAGACATTTTAGATAGTGTTGTAGTACATAGCTGAATTATAAAACAAGTTGTAATCCTTATAATCCTGCATATAATATTTGACCAATCAGCTTCAAACAAAATTATATTACATCGTTAACTATGTACACTAAGAAAAAAAAAAAAGTTATCAACTAACCAAAGGCCAAACCAATAATAGAACAAGAACAATAAAAGTTTTTCATTAACAGCGAAATATTAAGTAATACCATTGATATATATTCATTTACAAAAGTTATTTATATTTATATTTATATTTCATTTTATTTTATTTTATTTCATTTTATTTCATTCCCTTTCATTTCATTTCATTTCATTCCATTTCATTCCTTCTGCATTCCTATCGAATACTAGTCCAAAATGTTTTCAAAATTTATAAATAGATCAAAAAGTATATTGTTGAAAAAACAATGTTTAACTTCATATAGATATTCATCAATTATTTCGGTTCATAGAGATACAAAAGAAGATAATCAAAATATGCCATTTGAATTTGATTCAGAAAATAAAAAAAGAGCAGAAGAAATTATTAAAAAATATCCACCACAATATAAAAAAGGAGCAGTTATGCCATTATTAGATTTAGGTCAAAGACAATTAGGTTTTACATCAATCAGTGTTATGAATTATGTAGCTAAATATTTAGATATGCCACCAATGAGAGTTTATGAAGTTGCAACATTTTATACGATGTATAATAGACATCCAATGGGTAAATATAATTTACAAGTTTGTACAACAACACCATGTCAGTTATGTGGTAGTGATGGTATAATGAAAGCTATAACTGATTATTTAAAAATTAAACCAGGTCAAACAACAAAGGATAAATTATTTACATTACAAGAAGTTGAATGTTTAGGAGCATGTGTTAATGCACCAATGATTGCAATAAATGATGATTATCATGAAGATTTGACCGCAGAAGCAACAGTTGATTTATTAAAACAATTACAAGAAGGTAAAGAGTTGACTTCAATTGGACCAGTGTTAAATAAAAGAGAATCTTGTGAACCTTTCAGTGGTAGAAAAGTATTATTAAATAAAGAACCAACAGATATTAGAAAATTTACAAGATCAGATTTATAAAAGAGGAAGGATGTATATGTATATATCTATATGTATAGTACAGTATAGTATAGTATAGTATAGAATAAACAATAAATTATTTTTTTTTGCAGCCAAATCAAATGAACAAATTACCCAGCTTATATATCTTACAAAACACTCACTAGTACAATTACATAACACACACTAACATAATTACATAACAGGATAGTTTTATAGTATAGTATATAGTACAGCATAGTATAGTATAGTATGGTATAGTATACAATAAACAATCAATCATTTTTTTTGCAGCCAAATCAAATGTTAACAAATTACCCTGCTTACATATCTTACATAACACTCACTAACATAATTACATACCACACACTAACATAATTACATAACAGGATATTTTACAGTTTACGATTTTCAATTATTACAGTTTAGAATGATGCAATTTTACACTACAAATTCAAACTTTATTCATTTAAATATAAATACAATACAAATTATCAACAATTTATCATTGACAAGCAGATTTTTCATATTTTTCAGATTTTTCAGATTTTTCAGATTTTTCATTATATTCGTTATATTTATTGTATTCATCTTATACCGTTAATAGTTAATAGAAAATCATTAATAAGTTACAAGTTATAGACGTTATATATTATTAATCAATCAACACTTATCATTTTTCGTTTATCGCAATGGCACCTAAAAAAAAATCATATAGTTTAGAAACAGAATTAGTTTTAAATAATTCAAATGATCAACATAATGCTTCTGTCGCTCCATTATATCAATCTGCTACTTTCAAACAGCCTAGTTTATCGAATATGGGTGAATATGATTATACAAGGTCGGGTAATCCAACGCGAACTCATTTACAAAATCATATGGCAAAAATTATGAAAGCAAAACAGACTTTTGCTGTTAGTTCCGGTATGGGTTGTTTAGATGTAATAACTAGATTATTAAAACCTGGAGATGAAGTTATTGCTGGTGATGATTTATATGGTGGTACTCATAGATTGTTAAGTTATTTGAATAAAAAAGGCGATTTAATTTCGCATCACTATGATACAACAAATACAGAATTAATTAAATCAAAAATTAATAATAATACAAAAATGATATTTTTGGAAAGTCCTACAAATCCATTAATTAAAGTAGTTGATGTTAAAACAATAACTAATTATGCTCATCAATTTAATCCAAATATAATAATAGTTTTTGATAATACAATGATGTCCCCTATAAATATGACTCCATTAGATTTGGGAGTTGATATACATTATGAAAGTGCTACCAAATATTTAAATGGTCATCATGATATTATGGCTGGTATAATAGCTGTTAGAAATGATTTATTAGCTGAAGGAATATATAATATTATAAATTCAACTGGTTGTGGATTATCACCATTTGATTCATGGTTATTAATGAGAGGTTTAAAGACTTTAGCCGTTAGAGTTGAAAGACAACAAGAAAATTGTTTAAAAGTTGCGAAATTTTTACAAAATATTGGATTTAAAGTAAGATATCCAGGTTTAAAATCACATCCACAATATGAATTACATCAATCAATGAGTAAAGGTTTTGGTGCTGTATTATCATTTGAAACTGGTTCCATACCATTAAGTGAAAAAATTGTCGAAAATACTGATATTTTCGGTATTGCGGTATCATTTGGTTGTGTAAATTCATTAATATCAATGCCATGTAAAATGTCTCATGCATCAATAGATTCAAAAACAAGAGAAGAAAGAGAATTTCCTGAAGATTTAATTAGATTATGTATTGGAATTGAAAATAGTGATGATTTAATTGATGATTTAACAAAAGCTTTATTAAAAAGTGGAGCAGTAAAGATAAATAATAAAGATGAATTGTTTAATGCTGTACTTATCCAACCAAAGTTGTAGATACCACCTTCCTTAATATACAGTTATACAAGTATACAATTATATAGTTGTACGCTTGATTGATGATTATCACCAAATCCATAATACACGTCTTTATTTTTTTTTCTACTTATTTTTTACCACACGCGTAAAAATATATTTGTCTTCTTTTACAACACATTATTTGATCAATAATACTTATCAATCAATCAATCAATCAATCAATCTATCTATCAGTCAGTGAATCAATCAATCAATCATTCCATCATGTCTTTTCAATTATCAACTGGGGTAATTAAAAATATCTTTTCAAAAGATACTCATGATAAACATAAACCACCTTTTATTTTTCAAATTACAAATATAAAACCTTTCCAAGTTCAAAATCAAACTAATAAAAAATATAGAATTTTATTATCTGATGGTAAATATATGACTCAAGGTTTAATTGATGAAGCTTGCTCAACTTATTTAGAAAATAATAATTGTAATAGATATGCAATTGTTCAAGTTAATGATTATTCAATTTTTAGAACTTTAAAACATTTTTTTGTAATTAAAGATTTAGAAATTTTAAAACCAACTGGTGAAAAATCAACAACTGAATTAATTCAAATTGATCAATATTTTCAACAACATCCAGAAGAAGAATATTTAGAATCTACAAGTAAAGAAAAGGAAAAGTCACCCGCAATTAATAATAAAGAATCAACACCAGTACCATTAGGTCAATCTTTAACAAAAACATCATCACCAGCTCCAGCTCCAGCACCACAACAACAATTTAAACCAACTGCTTCTGCTGCTCCTTCAAGAATAACTCCAATTGAAACTTTATCTCCATATCAAAATAATTGGACTATAAAAGCAAGAGTTTCTTATAAAGGAGATTTAAGAACTTGGTCAAATCAAAAAGGTGAAGGTAAAGTATTTGGTGTTAATTTCCTTGATGAATCAGATGAAATTAAAGCTTCTGCTTTTAATGAAACTGCTGAAAGAGCTTATAAATTATTAGAAGAAGGCAAAGTTTATTATATATCAAAAGCAAGAGTTTCACAAGCAAGAAAAAAATTTAATAATTTAACACATCCTTATGAGTTACAATTGGATAAAGATACTGAAATTAATGAATGTTTTGATGAAACTGATGTACCTAAATTAAATTTTAATTTTGTTAAATTAGATCAAATTCAAAATTTAGATCAAAATTCAATTGTTGATGTTTTAGGGGCATTAAAAGTGGTTAATCCTCCTTTCCAAATTACTGCAAAATCAACAGGTAAAGCTTTTGATAGAAGAGATATTACAATAGTTGATGAAACTGGATTTGCAATTGATGTTGGATTATGGAATCAAACTGCAGTTGATTTTAATATTGAAGAAGGTACGGTTGTTGCTTTTAAAGGTTGTAAAGTTAGTGATTTTAGTGGTAGATCATTAAGTTTAACTCAAGCAGGTTCATTAATTCCGAATCCTGGTACTCCAGAATCATTTCAATTAAAAGGTTGGTATGATAATATAGGTATACTGGAAAATTATAAAACTTTAAAATCTGAAAATATGGGTGGTGGTGGAATTGATAAATTAGCAAGTAGAAAATTTATTGCTCAAGCTTTAGATGAACCATTAGGTGAAGGAGATAAAGCAGATTATTTTACAGTTAAAGCAAGTTTATCATTTGCAAAACCTGATAATTTTGCATATCCAGCATGTACTAATGTTATTCAAATTTCAAATGATTCAAGTAGACCACCAACACAATGTAATAAAAAATTAATTGAGCAAACAAATGATGGAACTTGGAGATGTGAACGTTGTGAAAAAAATTATGATCAACCTACATGGAGATATATTATAAATTGTTCAATTGTTGATTCAACTGGTCAAATGTGGGTTACATTATTTGATGAACAAGCTAAAAAATTATTTGGAATTGAAGCTAATGAAATGAAGGAAAAAAAGGAAGAAAGCAATGATGCTGTTGGTTTAATTATTCAAGGTGTAACTTATAAAGAATATAATTTTAGATTAAAAGCTAAACAAGACACTTTTAATGAAGAATTAAGAACAAGATATCAATGTATGGCGATTAATGAATTAGATTATCTACAAGAAAATGAATATTTATGTAAAGAATTGGATTCATTATTAGTTTAATATATGTGTGTATTATGTGTAATCGATTAATTTATTTACTTTTAACCAATAATCTTTTAAAATATCATTACATGTTCGACTACCTCTAGTGACTATTAATTTACTAATGAATTGCTTCGAGTCAGATTGGTTTAATTGTACTTTACCATATTGATTAGTTGATAATATTTGAGTTAAATAGCTTTTAAATTCCATTGGATATTTACCAATTAAATGTTTAAATACAGGATAATAATAATCTAAATTTGATCTAGGAGCATTAATAAATGAACTTATTAAATTATTAATTAAATTGAATCCTAATCCATCTATCATTAATTGTTTAATATGTTGATGATCTTGTAAATTTCCTTTCTTTAAAACTATTATTAAAGTCCAAAATTTGACCAATTGTTTAACTATATAAGTTTCATTAAATTCAAAACATTTAAGACAAAATGGAATGATTTGAGATATGAAAATATTGGAATAAATAATCAAGCCAGGATTAGTTTCTAATATTTCATTGAATATTTCAATTGAACTTCCTACTAGATCTAAATCTGAGTCAAGGTTGATGCTAAATACTGTTTCATTTATTAATTGTTCTAGTTCAGCAGTGTTGATTTTCCTAAAGTTTGTCAAAATCAATGATTGAATCAATTTATGTAAATGTGAACTTGAAGGTATGTTACAACATTTAACTTTAACAACGATAAAGTGATAAATTGCAGATAGATCAAATTTGAATGGTCCATTTACAGTTTCATTAAGGCCCGATTTTAAAATCAGACAACAAGTTTCTGTAACTAATGTATTTTGAGATAATGTAGGATTATCAATTGCAAATTTGTTGATTAATTGTAACACTTTCATTCTAATTCCTAATTGATCTAATCTCCAATAATTATCCATTATTTGAAGTTGTTGTTCCGTTAATTCATCTTCATCATATATGCAAGAATTACCAATTTCAGAAACACAAAAAAATAAACTAAGTAAATAATCTTCATCTAGAATGTTTTGAGATGTGAGGTTATCTATTTCAGATAAGATTGCATTGATTTTATTTCCTAACTCTTCTGGATTTTTGAGATTTTTGAGTATTGAAAAATATGAATTTGTTAATCTTTCACGTATCAAACTGTCTATCTTTGGATTCTTGATCATGTCAATTAGTATCGTTTCTAAATGTGGTAAAAATGGAGTTAAATTAATCTTGATAAGGCATATTTTATAGACTGTTTTGGAGGCAATTAATGATAAATTAGTAGCATTATGATTTAAAATAATATTGAATAAGAAATTGAATATTGGAACCAAGTAAGCTTCACCTTTTGATGATCTAAAGAAAAACTGAATCACTGAAATTAAGTTTAATAACGATATATTTGCTTGTTGATTATTTGAATTCTTCACATGTTCAATCAAATTACTCGCAAATATTTTATCAACTAACGGGATCAAATGATTTAATGTCCCACTTCCATTGGTCTCATCCTCATCATCATCTTCATAAAAATATATATCTGATGTGATTCGATATAATATAAACAAACCACATTGTAAATCTTCATATTGTTTATTTTGAGAATTTATAATTATTGATTCACAAATCAAGGAAAATAAATGAACACCCAAACTTGAATAGAACTGAATGAATAAATCAGCTACTTGATTTGTATACTTGTAAAAATCCTGTGAGATAGGTAATTCATAGACTCGTATCTTAGTGTAATATATTTTGCAGATTTCAAGTGAAATTTCATTACTTCTTTCTTTAATTTGGTGGAATTTAACTTCATTTAGTTCTTTAAATGTTGATTCATCGTCAATTATAGTATTTACAAACTCTTCCCAGAATGAAATTAATTGGTCACTTATCTTCTCTTCCTTTATTGGTAATTTTGGAATACTAGTTAGTCGTATAATTTGCTTAATCACCTTATCTATGACAGGATCATTCAAATTTCTCACTATTTGTATGATGTTCAATTCTAAGTAGTTTGTTATCATATTGACAAAATTTTCAACTTCGAAAGAATACATCTCCATAAATTCCTCAGATTCAATAATCAAATTTATAAATTTTGACCCAAATTTCGATTCATCAATGAATAAAATGTTTATTATTTCTGTCTTGTAACTGTGCAAAATTCTCGGTATGTGGTCTAATATTTCAGATAGTATACTAAATGACTTATTATAATTTTCCATCCTATCTTCATTGATCTCATTATCTAATTGTTCAAATATGTATTTTATTAATATACTAACTTCATCAGCATACCTCAATTGTGAATGATTTTCAGCAATGGCAATATATACAATCCAAGCATTAAGACAATCAAGTGATAACAAAGAAATATTAGACAGGAGTTGAGCTATATTCTTATCCAAATACTCATAGATACTTCTCAATTTAACAAATAAACTATTATGTATAGTTTCATGGAAGTAACTAACACGACTTGGATCTCGACATATATCTTCCACAATGATAGTTAGAAAAATCAATAGTAGTTCAAATTGACTAGGTGTTAATTGATCAATTGTAGATGTAGTTACCAATTTCTCAATTGGATCAAAATTAGGATTTGAAATGTATATGACAGATAAATTACTTAGCAACTTCTTAATAATGAATAAATTTTCATTAAAGGATTGATTGAATAACTGAATTACTACAGATAGAATTTCATCAAAATAGCCAGGTTCAATTGAATGAGTGTTCAAATATACCGTCAATGTTAAAGCACCAAAATATTTAACTTGTTTATTTTCATGATTTAATAATTGTATTCCTAATTGATGACCAAATGATGATTTTTGATAAGTTTGTAATCGATTCTGTACTAAATTTATTTGATTTGTGTCTTTTGAGGTATATAATGTATATATATCTTCAATTACTTTATCTATATATATTTGATCTTGATGATTTGACATTATTTTCGTGAAACCATAGGTTTGAAAATTGCTGTAAAATTATAATTGTTTCAAAATTAAAAATGATCTGAAAATAGCGCTACCAAACGTGTTCCAGATCTCTAACAAACCATTAATAAAAGCAAATTTGGTTGCAAAGTACTCAATTTCACCTAGTAGCAGCCATTTTAAGTAGTGAAATGAGTTAGTTTATTTGTCTTTTAAGTTTAATGCTACAGATCTTGGAATCAAACTGCAGGATCTCTAGATATTAAGCAAGGGTCTTCAATAAGATTCTGAAACGCTTCCTAACCATATTCATGTTCTGGAATCTTTACTATAATAATCTTTTAAGTTTGTGACAATAACTTGTCAAATTATATTGGTTGCAAAATGGAGTGCCGGTTGCAAAATACCAAATTAGGTAACTCGTAAATAAATGGCATAAAATTAAGTAATCATCCGCAGTAAACTTACATAATCCAATCATACGTCTTTTTTTTTTTTTTTTTTTGCTTTTCTTTTTAATTTTTATCTAATTCATCAATTGAAATCTTATACAGTTTGTTATACGTATACATATTATATATTAGATAGATATCCGTCATGTCACAAACTAGATTGCATAATCCAAGAGTATCAAGACAATGTTCTAATTGTACTTGCTCACCAGGTTTATTATCAAGATCAAATAGAAAATCAGCTTTATTTGCTAAAAAGATTAATTTACAAAGATTTAATTCTGGTTCAAATATTCATAGTGGAGACTCATCAAGAAAAGGTTCAGTTTTTACATTAAATCCTTCTTTATGTTTACCAGAAACTAAAGAAATTAATACAAGTAAAAGATTAAAAAGTTTAAGAAAAAAAATGAATGAATACGATTTAGGTATTTATATTGTTCCAAGTGAAGATCAACATCAATCAGAATATGTTTCACCAATCGATCAAAAAAGAGAATTTATTAGTGGTTTTTCTGGTAGTGCTGGTGTTGCTATTATAACAAGAGAATTAAATAATATTCAAGATGATTCTGGTACGGCTGCTTTATCTACTGATGGTAGATATTTTACTCAAGCTATTAATGAATTAGATTTCAATTGGATTTTATTAAAACAAGGTGCTAAAGATGAACCAACATGGGAAGAATGGACTATAAATCAAGCTGTTCAATTAAGTTTAGATTCTGGTAAAACTGTTAATATTGGTGTTGATCCAAAAGTTTTAAGTTTTACATTATATCAAGAATTTCAAAATATAATTGAAAAAAGTAAAACAACACATCCAAAGGCAAAAATGGAATTAAAACCAATTACTGAAAATTTGATTGATTCAATTTGGGAAAAATTTGAAACTTTACCACCTTCATCATTGGGAGAAATTAAAAAGTTAGATATAAGTTTTACTGGTAAAACTATTAAAGAAAAATTAGGAGAAGTTGGTGAAAAAATATATGAAAAGGATTCAAATGTTGAAGGTTTGGTAGTTACTTCATTAGATCAAATTGCTTGGTTATTAAATTTAAGAGGGTCAGATATTGAATTTAATCCAGTATTCTACAGTTTTATGATACTTTCAAAGAATAAGAATATTCTATTTATTGGTGATAATAGGTTATCTGATTCAATTGTTAAAGAATTGGAAGATAATGGCATTAGTATAGAAAATTATTCAAATTTTTACAGCCATTTATCAACCATTTCTAAACAATTTTCATCAAATGATAAAAAATTTTTAATTTCAGATAATACTAATTGGGAAGTTGTTCGAAATTTAAATTGTCAATATGATAAAAAATTATCACCAATTGAATTATTAAAATCCGAAAAAAATGCAGTTGAATTAGAAGGTGCAAAATTAGCACATTTAAAAGATGGTAAAGCATTAATTAAATTTTTTGCATGGTTAGAAGAAGAATTAATTAATAAACAAGAATTAATTGATGAAGTTAAAGCTGACGATAAATTAACTGAATTTAGAAAACAAGAAGATAATTTTGTTGGTCTTTCATTTGATACAATAAGTGCAAGTGGTGGAAATGGTGCAATTATACATTATAAACCTACTAAAACTGCATGTTCAGTTATAAACCCCACCAAAATATATCTTAATGATTCAGGTTCACAATTTTTAGAAGGTACAACTGATACAACAAGAACAGTACATTTAGATAAACCTACAAAAGAAGAAATTAAAAATTATACCCTTGTGCTAAAAGGTAATATTGCATTAGCAACTTTAAAATTTCCAGAAGGTACTACTGGTAATTCAATTGATTCAATTGCAAGACAATTTTTATGGTCTTATGGATTAGATTATGGTCATGGTACAGGTCATGGAGTTGGTGCATATTTAAATGTTCATGAAGGTCCAATGGGAATAAGTCCAAGACCAAATTCTGCAATTAATCCATTAAAAATTGGTAATTTATTATCTAATGAACCTGGTTATTATGAAGAAGGTAAATATGGTATTAGAATTGAAAATGTTATGTTTGTTAAACCAAGTAATTATACATATAATGGTAAACAATTTTTAGAATTTGAAACAATTACAAAAGTACCATTTTGTAAAAAATTAATAAATGTAAATTTATTAACTGATTTAGAAATTGAATGGATTAATAATTATCATAAATCAATTTGGAATGATTTTTCACATACTTTTGATAAAAATAGTTTTACTTATAAATGGTTAAAAAGAGAAACTGATCCATTACATAAATAAAGAGAATTCAATTATATATAAAATTTTATTATTCTTCAAATAATATTTGAATTTCTTCAATTCTTCTTCTTCTTCTTTCTTCTTCTTCAACTCCAACAACTTCACCAATTTGTTTCTTTCTTTCTTGAATTTTTAACATTTTTGTTTCAATTGAATTTTCCATTATAAATCTAACAACTTTAACAGTTTCATTTTGACCAATTCTATGAATTCTATCAATTGCTTGATCTTCAATTGACGGTGACCACCATGGATCCATCATAAATGCTCTTGAAGCAGTAGTTAAATTTAGTCCAACACCTCCTGCTTTTAATGATAATAATAAAATTACAATTTTACCATTTGAAATTGGTGCATTAAAGTTATTTAACAATTTTGAACGATCATTCATATTTAATCTACCATCAAATTTATAAATTATAAATTCGTCCATTAATTTTAATTCAATTTCAATTAAATCTAAATATGATGAAAATTGTGAAAATATAATACATTTTGAATTTGGTGATTGTTGTTTCAAAGTTTTTAAATGTTTAGTTAATGCTTGAATTTTAGATGATGATTTATTTGGATCATATAAATATAATTGAAATTTATATTCCTTCTTTTGTGGTTCAATTCCAGTATGAAATTTAATTTCATTTGATAAAATGGTTTGATTTCTTAATTTAAATAGTTTATATCTTGATATTAATTCACGACAATTAGGACAACTTTTAGGTTTATTTGAATCATTTTGAAAATCTAAATGTTCTAAAATACATGTTAAACAAAACGTATGACCACATTGAGTAACAACTAATTCATTAAACGGAATTGCCGTGGTTGTACATATTGAACATTCATTCTCATTTAATATTTTATCATATAATGTAAACATTACCTTTTTAACTTCTGTATCATTTGAAAATTTACCATTTTGATCCGATTTATTAGTATGTTCAGTTTTTAAATCTTTAAGAAATTTTTTAGTTTCTTCATCTTCTTCTTGATCAATTACATCATCATCCATTTCATGAGAACCTCCTATTAAATCAACATGACAACAAACTTGTCTTAATCTTAAGATGAGTGTTAAAATTTGAGTATATTTTTTCAAAATTTGACCCAGTTTCATATTTTCTTTAAATGAATCATAAGCTCTTTTTTGAAACCATTGATATAATTTTGATTCTTGTTCATTAAATTTAACATCTTCAATAATAACTTCTTTTGCAGGTAATTCAACTAATGGTTTACCATTTTTCATCTTTTGATTTTTGGTTCTTCTTAAAAAAATCGGTTCCAATATACTTTTAATAACATCTAATGTTTGTGATATCTTCTTATTTTCAAATGGTAACGTTATAAATGTTTTCCAATATGAGAAATTATTCCATGGATCTAATTCTAAAAATTTTGTTAGTGAATATAAATCATCTAATCTATTTACAATTGGAGTACCTGTTAATATCCATTTACATGATGATTGTAATTCATATATGGATTTTGCAGTCTTTGTACTTCTATTTCGAATATTATGACCCTCATCAAGGATAATTCTAAAAAATTTAACTGAATATAAACCAATTCTAGGTAATTCACCATTTCTTCTATTTTTTGAAATTCTTGTAAATTCATTTAATATAGTACCATATGTAGTTAATACTATGATTGGTATTTTGTTATTATTGTTATTACATAATGATGGTGTTAAATCCAATTCTTGATCATCTCCATAATATAATCTACAATAATGTTGTGAATTATTATTTGATCTTTCAAATTCTTCTTTCCATTGTGATAATAATGACATGGGAACTACAATCAATGTAGTTCTATATGCATATGGTAATTGTTTTAGAATTTTAGGTGGTGGATTATTATCATATGGAACAGATGCAATCAATGATAATGTCGAAATTGTTTTACCTAAACCCATTTCATCTGCCAATATCCCACCTTTTAATGTTGATTTTATAATTGGTTTTTCTAATGATAATTCACCATTATACAAATTTGCATAAAAGTATTTATTATCATTATCTGGTGTGGGCCATTTATATTTTCTCCATAATGGATTCATACTACCATTATCTTCAATATTTGCTCTTGCTTGTGTTGTAACTTTTTCACCAGCTAATATATCTAAAATTTCAAATTCTTTTTCTCTAGCTAACATCCACGAAAGACCATGTTTTTGGTATTCTCTTAATTTTAGATTGAAATTCTCTTCCGGTGGTTCAGTTGTTTCTGGTAAAGAATCGAATAATTTATTTTCATTGTTGGCCTGATAAAATTGTCGTAATTGATCTAAATTAATTTCATTACTAACAAGTGGTGTTTCTGTATCTTTTTCAATTTCAGGTAGTATTTTTTCATCATCATCTTCTTCTTCATCATCATCATTGATTTTCAATGGTTTTATTCTTAATTTATCAAATAAATTTTGTATTGCAAATTGACGAAGACGTAAAACAGCTTCTCCATCAGATTCTGAACTGAAATTAAAATTACTCTTACCTTTCTTTTTATTTAATTTAATATTTTCTTCTTCAACTACGTCACCTAAATTCTTAATAAAACCAGTACTTTTAAGATATATTTCAATTTGAATGAAGAATGAATCACCGGTGGATAATCTAGTTTTTGTATCTTCTAAAACCATAGCCTTAAATGAACAAATATCTAAATCAATTAAAGGAGCTAATATTCTAGTTATATCTTCTGGCATTCTTCCAATTTCTCTATCTTGATGAACTATTCTTATAATTGCTGTGTTTTTCATTGATGCATTTCTCGGTATTAATCTTTTAATGAATAATTCACTTCTGTATGCTAATGGTTTAACAGTTGGTCGAGTTGCCCAAGCTTGTAGATCTAATGAGCCAACAAATCTACTCCAAGATTGTGCTTCCTCTTCTATTCTAACTTGTTCCGCTATTAAATTTGCCTTTTTCGCAAATTTTTCTAATTCAATATCTGGATCAATTTCATTTATACAACGTTTTTGACGGTTTTGAGTTGATTTTAAAGGTGCTGATTTCTTTTGACGCGTTGATGATTCATTTTCAACTGGTATTTTACCTTGTTTAATAAGTTCAATATCTGGTGGATTGGTAAATAATTCATTTATTGCTGCTTTAACTAAGTTTGGCCTAAATTGATACTTGTCAAATAAATAAGTTAGGATAATTGGTGATACTTCACCAACAGTATCTTTAATTTCTGCTGCAAACTTTTGGTATTGTTGATTTTTTGATAAATCAATACGCGTAGGGTCTAATTGTTGCGATGATGAATCTGGTTGATAATCGCTATCCTTCCCCGATTTTGGTTCTAAATCTTCTTCTTCATCTGAATCCGATACAAATAAACCATCATCTTTGATATTTTCTTCTTGTTTTATTTCATTTTTTGATTTAAAAAATCTTTGCTTTGTTATTTGCATAAATCAGATAAATTTATTTTAACGTGTATTGATCTTTTTTTTTTATTTTTTTTTTTTCTCGGCAATAAAAATCTGAAACACTAATTAATTAATTAACAGAGGCAAATTATAAAGTGACGGCCTGCTTTGGGCTTTGGAATTTGATAACACAATAAAAATACACCGAACTCATTCAAATCATACTTCACTATGTAGAATATACGATATTATTCATTGAAATTCGTAAATTGTTTATGAAAGACACAAAATTATCTTGACCAGTATATACTTCGTAGTCAGGTTCTAATTAAAGCCGAAAAGTACTTCAAAGGTCCAAAAGCACCACTTTAGCATAGTATTAAACAAGAGCAACAACTCGGAAATTGTAACGTAACATCAAACACTTTTATAAAAAAATTCAGCTTTCTTAAGTGCCATAGTAGCTTATTGGCATCGTTGATCTATCAGTCTCATGTCCATTCATGTACGTAGTACTAGAAACACTCCTGCTAGCTGTAATCAATATTTTGATCGCATTAAGAGTGATCTTGAATAGCCTCAATATTAATCTAATTGTTTAAAGTATAAATTATCAACAATAACCGCACATAACCGTCAAATTCCGTTATCTAATACTGTGTGGCCCTATCATATGCCGTTTGCTTTATCTAAAATTTGGCGGCAACGGACCGAAAATAGAAATATTAAAGCGAATCCCAATTTATGAGTAATCTATTTTTTTATTTTTTTTTTTTTTTTTTTTTTTTTTTTTTTCTGAAACAAGATTTTTCAGATCTTATTATTTCCATTAATTATCAATTGCATTCTTTTATTAGCTATTGAATTTATAATGACTAAGACTAATCAAGGTAAAGATTTAAAACATTTATTATCTACTGAGGCTGCTTCAAGATCAAACTCACCTTTAAAAGATGCTTTTAAATATTATAAAGCACCAGGTATGACTTTTTTAGGTGGTGGTTTACCATTATCTGATTATTTCCCATTTAATAAAATTAGTGCTGATATTCCAACACCTTCTTTTTCAAATGGAATTGGCGAACCAATTACTGATAAAAATAAAACTACTGTTGAAGTTTATAAAAATGAAATTGATAATCAAAAAAAATTGCAAGTTGAACTAGCTAGATCTTTACAATATGGTTATACTGAAGGTGCACCAGAATTGATGAATTTTATTAGAGAACATACTGATATGATTCATAAAGTTCCTTATGATAATTGGGATATTATTATTTCTGTTGGAAATACAGAATCTTGGGATTCAAGTTTAAGAACTTTTTGTAATAGAGGAGATTCCATATTAGTTGAAGAATATTCATTTTCATCAGCTTTAGAAACTGCAAATGGTCAAGGTATTAATTGTGTTCCAGTTGCAATGGATGAATATGGGTTATTACCAAATAAATTGGAAAATTTATTAAAAAATTGGATTGGTCCAAAACCAAAATTATTATATACTATAGCTACTGGTCAAAATCCAACTGGTTCATCATTAAGTTCTCAAAGAAGAAAAGAAATTTATGATATTGCGTGTAAATATGATTTTATAATTGTTGAAGATGAACCTTATTATTTTTTACAAATGGAACCATATACAAAAGATATTGAATCAAGAGATAAAAAACAAGTTCATTCACATTCTGAATTTTTAGGTAATTTAATTCCATCATTTTTATTAATGGATCAAGAAGGTAGAGTTGTTAGATTAGATTCATTTTCAAAAGTCTTGGCTCCTGGTTTAAGAATTAGTTGGATTGTTGGACAAGCACCAATTATTGAAAGATATTTAAGATTACATGAAGTTTCAATTCAAACAGCTTCAGGTATAACTCAATCAATTACAAATGCTTTATTACAAAGTTGGGGTCAAAAAGGTTACTTAGATTGGTTAATTGGGTTACGTCATGAATATACTCATAAAAGAGATGTTGCAATCGATGCAGTTGAAAAATATTTCCCAAAACAAGTTACAAGTTATGTACCACCAGTTGCAGGTATGTTTTTCACAGTTGTTTTAGATGCTTCAAAACATCCAAAATTTGATTCAGAATATGATCAAGATGTTTTAAAAGTTGAAAATGATATTTATGAACAAGGTATAAAACAAGGATGTTTAATGATTCCTGGTTCTTGGTTTAAATCTCAAGGTCAATCGGTACCACCACAAAAACATGTACCATCAAATCCAAATGAAAGAACTCATATTTTCTTTAGAGGTACTTATGCAGCAGTACCATTAGATGAATTAATTCATGGTATAGAAAGTTTTGCAAAAGCAGTTAAAATTGAATATGGAATAGAATAAATAATTTTATAATATATATATTTGATTAGTTATTTAACCAAACATAAACATTTTAAAAAATAGGATAGAATACTACTTGAATCTAATGTACTCTAGAAACCTAGAATACAAATACATTCTATTGCGTTAAATATTCTTTGAAATTGTTGGGAATCGTCGATTTATAATATCAATCGATTCATCAACAGTAAAAACTTTAACTTCTTAATGAAGCTAGAAGTGTAAAACCCGACATCAACATCAGACCTCAAAAATGATCCAACTTCTTAATGAAGCTACAAGTATAAAACCCGACATGAACATCAGACTTCAAGAATGATCCAACTTCTCATAAAATTCAACTTTAGTTGATAAAGTCAACTTTTAGTTTCATGACTTAATTCAAAGATATAAAAAAATTTTAATATACCGATTAATACCCAAAACTAATACAGAACATGGTCCCGGCGCTAACAATTGACGAAAAGATCTATGCAACATCGACTTAAGCTAATCATCGTAATCCCAATACTTGTTATGATAAAAAGACAAAAATATAAATAAATATTTTTTTCAGGAATCTCGTTTATTTATATACAAATTTATTCATTATAGCCAAAGATCAATAGATTATGCAAATATTGAAATTGCCATGGTTAGGTCATAAAAGTATGTATACTACACTGTTAGGATGCCTTATGTTTATGCTAACAATTATACCCAGCTGAGAATAAAAATATTGAATGTTATTCAGTCACTATAAATCATAATGGTACAAGATTAGCCAGTGGTGGATTAGATGGTAATATTAAAATATGGGACATTAAAACAATACAATCATTTTACAAACTATCTACTGATTTAAAGATATCACCAATTGAACTTCCTGATAAATCTATACAACGTCCATTATGTTCAATGTCGAGACATAATGGAGTAGTTACAAGTTTAAAATTTTCACCAGATAATAGATGGTTAGCTTCTGGATCAGATGATAAAATTGTATTAATTTGGGAGATAGATAATCTGCAAAGACCAAAATCATCATTCGGTATTGAAGAAGAAGATCTTGAACATTGGACAGTTCGAAAAAGATTAGTTGCTCATGATAATGATATTCAAGATATTTGTTGGAGTCCCGATGGTAATTTATTAATAACAGTTGGATTAGATAGATCAATTATAATATGGAATGGATTAACGTTTGAAAGAATTAAACGATATGATATTCATCAATCTATGGTAAAAGGGGTAGTTTTCGATCCGGCAAATAAATTCTTTGCCACTGCTTCTGATGATAGAACAGTTAGAATATTCAGATATTACAAGAAACTCAATGAATATAATAATTATGAATTTCAAATGGAACATATTGTAACTGAACCATTTAAAAAATCACCATTAACTTCATATTTTAAAAGAATGAGTTGGAGTCCAGATGGTCAACATATTGCTGTTCCAAATGCAACTAATGGACCTGTAAGTTCTGTTGTTATTATAAATAGAGGAAATTGGGATACTAATGTTTCATTAATTGGTCATGAAGCTCCAGTTGAAGTTTGTTCATTTTCTCCAAAATTATTCCAAGAAACAGCAACAACGAATGAAGATGATAAATTTCATACAATTTTAGCCACAGGTGGTCAGGATCGAACTTTGGCAATTTGGTCAACTTCAAATTCGAGACCAATTGTGATTTGTGCAGACATTGTAGAGAAAACAATAACTGATATTTGTTGGAATTTTAATGGAGAGGAATTGTTCTTTAGTTGTTTAGATGGATCAATTACATGTATTAAGTTTGAAAGTAATGAGTTGGGTAAAGTTGTAAGTGAACAAATTATAGATCAACAATTGAATAGATATGGAGCAGATAGAGAACAAACAATACTTCCAGAAAGTATAGATCAATTGAAACTTGAAGAACAATCAAAGGATGCAAGGGCAATACAATTGAGAAGAATGATGCCTATTGAAAAAAAACCAGAACCAGTACCAACACCATCACCAATAACACCAAATTTAATGACTAAAATAGTTATAGATACAGAAAAATTAAGAAAACAGACTGTTACAATAACGAAATCGGGAAAGAAAAGAGTTAGTCCATTACTTGTATCATCATCACAAACAACTACCGAACAACCAGTTGAAAAGAAACGTAAAATTAATCAAATTTCAAATATAAAATTATCACAACAGTCATATCATTTACCAAAACTGGGAATATCTACAACTATATATGGCCTTAAAAAGAAAGAAACAAGTATACCAGCAGTCAAACCTATTGAAGATGATAATGATAATGAAGATATGAATCAAGAAGAAACAACGACATTAAATTCTCAAACAGTTTCTGAACAAGCATTGAAACGACAGAAAAATAGAAATAGACGTAAGGTAATGGAGCTGAAATATCCTACTTCTTTCAAGTTTATTAGTAATTTACCAGAGGTTGTATTTACGAATAATGGATTATTGAATGTGGAAATAAACAAAATATATAAAAACTATAACAAAAACAAAGAAAAAGATATAATTGCTGAGATTTCAACTAGTTCATCATTGGAATTCGATGAGGATGTGATATTTTCAGTCATTTATAAACTGATAAACCATAAACAAAAAGAAAATCAAATTTTAAACATCCCCTTGTCAGATATAACAACTACAATAGAAGTACGTAATGGTAAGCCATGGAATGATGACGATAATACGGATAGAGATTTCGATGATCCGACAAAAGTAATAATATCAAATGTAAAAAATCAAGAGAGAAGTTTAGTTATGTTTTTCCCATTTAGAATTCAACATATCCTTCCAATAATCATATCAAATGAATTCAAATATATCCTATTTTGTTCATTCAACGGAAGTATTGTAATAATTTCTGCAAGTACAGGTAGATATATTTGTCCAACTATCGAAATTGGAGAGAATATAATCACACTTCTTAACAAGAATGAGTACATTTTAATTCTTACAAGTTCGGGATTGATATATGGTTGGAATTTGAAAAGCATGAAGAATATATATAAGAAAGTATCAATCGCTACTATTTTGAATAACTTCGAAATTAAGGAAAATAAAGTAATTATGCCAATTGTGAAATTTATTGATATTAATGAAAGTAATGGAAGTCCATTGGTAATGATTGAACATGATTATAATGTGTATGAATATGATTTGGAATTAGAATGTTGGATTAAATTGATTGATTCGTGGTACTATCAGGTTGATAGAGATTTCAGTATTGATAATGAGTCAGTTGATAAGATGATTTATAGACTGAAATTGATATATGATAACGATAGAAAGTTGCAAAAGATATATAGTTATAAATTTAAAGATGACAATGAATTACTACCGATTATGAAATTACGAAATAATGAAATGATTGAAAATATACATTAATTTTATGTTTCTTTTGATTTTGCTCTTTTAATGCAACTCGATGAACAGATGGTAATGATCTCACGAGATGAAATGATTTTTAAAAATATACGAAATGAAGTAGAAGTCATAATAAATTTTGAATCATTTTGGTGACATTTTACATTGTTAGTCGCTTCATATTAATATAATTAATTCGATTATATAATTAGCTCTTTTGTTGAGTTTGTTCATTATTTGTTTGTTTTAATTTCGTTTTGTAATATTATGTATAATTATATAATTTCTACCCCCTAATACCCCATAATATGAAATCTGAAAAATAGAAAAACATCAATCATTTCATATTAATGATGATGATTCAAACCATCACCCTTTTGATCTCGATTACTATTACTAGAATCTAATTGCATTGTGTCATTCTTTGTGTCATTATTGAGTAGTTTCAATTTACAAAAATTCCTTTCACGTTTATTAATATTTCGTAAAATGTTTTATACATTATTCTTTCAGTCTCTCATTAAATTAAATCGACTATTAATCAATTAATCAACCTCTTGTTTCTGAAGTTTATACATTCTTGTTGATTATTCGAATCCAATGATATTATCTCATCGATTTTGCAATTTACACAAAATAATTAAAATATTACTCCTACTAATCCTGATACTGCAATGCATATTGAGTTTGATTAGTCTGTTAACAAAATTAGGAACTAAACTAAAATGAAAATGTACATTAAAATTATTCAGTCTTTTTAGTTTCCTTTGGCTCTATTGGTTTCTCAACCTTATTTTCAAATGGAAAAGTAATTAAAAATATCCAACTACTAAGTAATGAATTAACAGCAAACATCCAAATAGTCAAACCAATAGAACCTTTCAACCCAAAAGGTAATGATAAAACCCATTCAATATAATCAGGTAAAATACCATTACCAAAATAGAACAACACCTTCTTTCTATAAAATATTCTAGCATACCAAATAGGTAAAGTAGTAACCACCATAATTGCCAAATTACTAGCTTTATCAATTGAAGTTTTTAGACTTTGAATTTCGGTGCCTAATTGTTGAATTTCAATATTTAACTGATCTGATTTCCTGTTTAATTTTGTCCATTTGGCATATTCATCCTGTGCCGATATAGACTTCTTCATTCTATTTGTTTCTTTTAATTCTAATTGTTTATCATTAAATTGTTTAATTGTTGAATTGGATGAAAATTTTAAATATTGACCCCATATAAATTGTTGTAATTTAGATTTACCGATAAAACTGATAATTTTCTGTATTAATAGTATTATAAATATAGCTAATGTTATAGTATAAGGATTTAAATCAACTGATAATACCGACAACATGGTTTGAACTGGCCCTACTGGTAACAAATTGGTGGTTTCAAAATAAATCAACAGAAAATTTTTTAATAGAAAAATAAAAATTCAATTTTTAACAACCAAATAGAAACACATTCCATCGCCAACTAATAACCAATAGCCAACAACAAATACTTAACATCTATTCATATAGTACTACAGTTTCATATTCATTTGTGTTGTTAATAACATTTCACACAATCGCATTTTAATATAGTTTAAAACAGATTTTTATTTTTCATGTCTGATACTGAATATATACCCTGGATTTCACAATTTACTGAATTATTTGGTCATGATTATTTTGTTCAAGTTTCACAAGAATTTATTGAAGATGATTTTAATTTAACTGGTTTATCTTCGCAAGTTCCATATTATAGAGAAGCGTTATATACAATACTAGATTATCAAGTAGAAACAGCAGAAGATAAAAATGGAAACAATAACACCAACACTACCGAATCATCAAAGAAAACAGAATTACCAAATAAGGCACTTTTAGCTCATTCAGCAGAGTTACTTTATGGCCTCATACATGCTCGTTATATAGTTTCGAAGCAAGGTTTAACTGCCATGGCTTCAAAATTTGAAAGAAATGATTTTGGTTCATGTCCAAGATATTTTTGTGATGGTATGCATTTGATACCGGTTGGTTCAACAGATATCCCGGGACAAGAAACTGTTCGATTATATTGTCCATGTTGTAATGATATTTATATTCCTTCAAGTTCAAGATATTTAAATATTGATGGGGCTTTTTTCGGTACTACTTTCCCTGGTTTATTAGTCAAAATGTTTCCAGAGATTGAAAACCATTGTAAGATAAGAATAAATAAATTTTCATCGAATGATTTTGGTTTAAAATTATTTGGTTTTAAAATTAATGAATTAAGTGCCACGGGGCCAAGAATGAAATGGTTAAGAATGCATCCAAAAACTGAATTAGAAAAATTGGAATATGAAAAATGTGAATATGATATACCGAAAATTATAAATGAAGAAGAAGAAGAACAAGATATTGATGATGATGATGATATAGAGGAAGAAGATGATGAGGAGATGGATGATGATGTAGAGGAGGCTGATGATAAAACAATGGCAAGTGAGTAATGAACAATAAAGAGTGTAATCGTAAATAATCTGAATGTACATCATTGTCAAAACTACACATTTATATTATATTCAGATTTGAGTGAGTTCAATAATTGCAAAATCATAAATAACTAGTTTCAAAGCTCGAGTAGCAACTGCTGCTACTCAATTACTCGAAAGTTGACTTGCTGCTGAGGTTTAAGTTCAATTTTATGTTCAATAAAATCAAAATTACCAAATTTCACAACTTCAGATTGACACACTCACCTTAATTTACATCACAAGACATGAATATCTATATTCTACGATGAATCACAACTTAGAGTATTCTCAAACTCATGTTGATCCACTACACGGATGGGTTTTGGGCAATTGTGGCAAATGCAATTTATTAAATTTTACAGTTAAATGATGTTCAAAAATATTTTGAAGCTATTCATTCTAATACGCTAGCCATCAACACAGTCATAGTCGTATAACATACAATTTGAACTCATTACAACCCTGAGCAGGAGTTGATTAACAATCAAAACGACAAAATTGCTAGGAACTTTGTTCAAAAATCCCTCAACAATCAATAACTTTACATAGAGATAAATAATACATAATTTAAAAAACACGCTATATATTGATCCTTCCCTCTAGTGTGTTAAATGTACAGGTTTACCAGGTTCCCATTCCTTAATCCCATTTTGAATATTAATCCAATACTTCAATTTAATCGCATCCATCATTAATGAATCCCAATCAATATTCTCACTTTTCAATTTCTTTTCAATCTCTTCCTCTGATTTATCTATCCTTTCATTATTCTCAGTCTCCAAGCTCTCTAATTCTTTTTCCGACTCGGCAAATTCCAATTGTTCATGAGCCTCCATGACCTGCAAAAGCATATCTTTATACTCTTCATTCTGATATTTTTTAATCATACCCTTAGAAACGGCATCATCTTGAATATTTACATTTTTGTTCAATTGAATGAGGTGGGATAATCTAAGATATGGATTTTTTAAATATGTATATGCTTTATTTATATCTGTTGATATTACAGTATTGTTAGAAATATCAGGATGGTTTAATGATTGTAATTTCCTGTATTCTTTTCGTAGTGATGATGTATTTATAATGAATGAATCGACCGGAGGGCCACCGTTTGGAAAAGTTTTTGGAAATAATTTGAAAAAGGATGGTAAGGATGTTGATGAATTGTAACGTAAGTATGCTTTAAAGCTACCTCCTATGTCTTTAATGACTCCTAATCTAAAACTTGTGCTGCTGTTAGTTATCAACTTAATCATTATGAATCATTTGATCTTGCGTATAATTTTATTTTTTTTAATCATCAATTTTATTATGTTTAAAAAACGAATAATTAATAAGTCAAATAGACTTAAAAGAAACATAGACGAATTAGATACTGAAATTATAGACAATAAAGTAAAGAGAAAAGCATTAATTATAAAACCACCACCAGAATTAACAACGAGTGAGATATCTACAAATTTATCACATAATGGCAAAGATAACGCAACCACTGAAATCAAATCAAATAATAATAAGAGTTCATTAAAACCTGTTTCAGATAATATTAAAATCACAACTGTAACTGATTTTCAGCCTGATGTATGTAAAGATTTTAAAGAAACTGGGTATTGTGGATATGGAGACACTTGTAAGTTTTTACATATTAGAGAAGAATCAAGACAAAAGAAACCAATAATTAAAGAATGGCAAAATGTGAGTAATAGAAATGAAAAGAGAGAGGAAATTGAACATTTGCCATTTAAGTGTGTTTTATGTAAATCTGATTATTTACAACCTGTCAAGACTCAATGTGGGCATATTTTCTGCAAGAGATGTTTTTTAGATAGATATAAAATTAAAAAGAAAAGTAGTTGTTTTATATGTGATTCAGAAACCAATGGTGTTTTTATACCTATTTCACAATCTGAATTAAATAGCTTAATCAATGAATAATGAGGTAATGAGTAAAACTAACTAAACTAACTAATCTAACTAATGTCATAAACAAACAACTCGTGATTCAAGGCTCTAATATTATATTATACGGCAAACCCTAAATTAAATCATAAGCCTTTCTCTTTGCAAATTTTGCAATCATTTTTCTGGTTTGATCGGCTTAAAAAAATTGCAGCAATCGGATTAATAATTTTCCAAGATGTCAAATTTACAATCTCAATTAGAGAGTATACCAGGCTTCGGTATCGCCACGGATTATTTCAATGATTATGCAGAAGAACATTGGAATGGAAAAGATCCATACACAGATGAAGAAACAGGGAAAAAATTAAAACTTACGCCCGGTATAACTACAAAACAAGAACAAAAAGCATGGAATAGAATTCGATCACAAGCATGGAAAGATGATAAGTGTCTTTTGGGAAGTTGTGGCGTTGGTATGGATTGTGGTCTTGGTTTAGCTACATTTATGGCATTTTTCTTTCCCGTGATTGGTCCTATTATAACTTATGGAATTCATTCAAGAGTTATAAGTATTGCAAATGAAAATTTCAATTTACCGAATAAACTCCAGGGTAAATTACATTCAAATATTACTTTTGATTTATTAATTACGCTTCCACCTGTTATTGGTGCTTTTTTTGGTTGGTTACATGGATGTAGTACTCGAAATGCAGCTATGATTTATCAATTTATTGAAAATATGGCAAATGAAAGGGCTTCGAGTCAGGGGGTTAGGTATGTTGGAAATCAATCAGATAGAAATTTGAGAGAGGAACATTTTGGTCATGATCAAGGACAAAATATGAGTAATGTTCCTCCGAGAGTACCTCCTAAGAGTTATGATAATTATCTGACTAAAAGAGGGTTTGGTAGACTGCAACAAAATGCCATTGAAGTTGGTAATCAACAACAGTCAGGATTCATATAGATAAATTTATATAAATCATATGAAAAATGGACTAAAATCACCTTTGAGATATGGCTTGACTACCAAAACCTGCAGTAAACAATTCTCAAATATTGGCAATGGTTGATAGTTAACTATGGTTGACATTAATAAGGAAATGGACGACGGTAATAATTGAATTTGCCAAAATTGACTATCTGCACTTTGATACTCAGTTGAAATTACCAAAATCAGTAAACACAATTACATATCATTCCCAATCACATTTTATAGACACTCAACGCATTATTATTGTATATACAACCACTTCTTCAATAATGAATGATTGCAAAATAAAATAAATCACGTGTAGATATTTATTTCGTAATTTTAACGAAAAATAAATCTTATATAAATCGTGGGTTTATTTCTTGGAATTGAAAAATCATTAACAACCACAAGTTAAAATGATTGATCCAAAAGATAGTAGAATATGGGTAGATGGTTGTTTTGATTTTGCTCATCATGGTACGTAAGGATGTAAATAAGGATGCAAAGAATTCCATATTAACATTTTAATCCCTAGGCCATGCTGGTGCAATGTTGCAAGCTAGACAATTAGGTAAAGAATTATACGTTGGCGTTCATTCAGATGAAGAAATATTAAACAACAAAGGTCCTCCAGTAATGACAATGGATGAAAGAATGACAGCTGTAAATGCATGTAAATGGTCAACTAAAGCAATTGAAAACGCACCATATGTTACAGAACCTGAATTTATTAAATCCTATGGATGTCAATATGTCGTGCATGGAGATGATATAACTACGGATAAAGATGGAAATGATTGTTATCAAGAAGTTAAAGATTTAGGAATTTTTTTAGTTGTTAAACGTACTCCTAATATTTCAACTACTGATTTAGTTGGAAGAATGTTATTGATGACGAAAGAACATCATTATAGTAACTTAGACACTAAAATAGGATATGAAAATTTAATCCAGAAAGACAATGTATCCAGGTTTGAAAATTACGCAACTGATGAAACTGGATTAAATAAAGGTAGTCTTGTCTCAATATATCATAATTCAAATATTGAAATTTTAGTTGAACCGAAACTGAAATTAGAAAAAGTGGTTTATGTTGATGGTGCTTTCGATTTATTTCATCCCGGGCATATTAACTTACTTAAAGAAATCAAGGAAAAGGCTGAAGATGAAGATGCAAAAGTTGTAGTTGGAATTTATGATGATTTTACAATTAATCAATATAGAGGTTCTAATTATCCAATTATGAATGTTTTTGAAAGATCACTTTGTGTATTGCAATGTAAGTATGTTGATGGGATAATTATAAATGCACCAAGAGAAGTAAATGAAAAGGAAAAATTTTTGAAAAGTGTTAAGGAGAATATTGGTACCGTTGTTGATGTTTTCCCAACGGAAGATTTTGATTCCAAGTATATTATTAATAGAGTTTTAGAGAATCGTGATGTTTATGAACAGCGACAAATCAAAAAGGGATATAAAGCCAAAATTGAAAAAGATTTAAAAGATAAAGAAGATTTATAATAGATGAATAGAAATTATAGAGTATATAATTTTCTGAAACTCTTCTCCTCTCTTTTGAAAGTGACCTTAGATTTTAGAAGATCGAAATGAAAATACTCATAGTTTCAAAGTTAAAGATATTTTAATCGAGTTTGGTGCGATATGTTGCACTAATATATACAAGTCGCACAATATTGAGTCCAAGAATATGGCCCTATTTGGATTAGTTAATGAGCCACTTAATTCAAAACGACGATCTATAATACTAAAGCCAATCAAAAAAAGCAATATATCTCTAAAATAGAATCAAATAATTTTTAAGCTCGTACCATGCCTGTAGAGTCGTAAAATTAATAAAATAACAAGGTACGGTGCTCATAACTAGTTTCTAAATGCACGTGATTTGTGGCGAAACTAAAAATATTGCTTACATATGTGAATGTGGCTAGTATGAATCGGCAGGTCTTGCTCAATTGAACAATAAAATGTATTGCAACTTTGTTTGAATCTTACTGTGGATGGAGTTACAGTGTTTTCAATTCCTCAGGGGTAAGAATTTTTTTACACAAATAAATATACCAATTTTGCACCACTTTTCTTTATTGAAAGTAAGATTAATCATGTATAGCGTAAAATTAAGTAGGAAATTTTTCAATGTAGCTTGATTCTATGTGGCTAATAATATTTTTGAATTTCCAGCGAAAGAAACTTGTTAATAATCAAATAAGTTAAAATCAAAAATTATTAATTAAAGAACAAAGAAATGGTTTAATTGTTTCCAAATTAGATCCATTTGAATCTCTTTTATTTCCTGATTCTAATGAAATAATTAACAACAACAACAGTTAACAACTCCAACGCTGTTGTTGTTGTTCATTTATTCGGATTTGAAATTTGGTTTACACAAATACTTATAGCACAAAGTAAACATATTTTTTTTTTTGAAGAATAATCAGAATATTAAAATAGATATGTGATCTGTTCATTCGAACCAATTGCAAAATTTCTTTGAGGTTGGATGAGAGAACAGTTAAATATAAGACATCAATTATTTACATCTAATAGTATTTATATATTAGCTTTTATTTCATACATACTCATCATAAAATTTCATAGCTTCATACACCATCTTCCTATTAAATCATTAAATTTTTATTTGTTTTTAAATCAACTTCATTCAATCTTGCTTGGTTTAAATCATGATTTGAATTTCTTCTACCTTGAGATTTCTTATTATATAATTTATAATCAACTTCATCTTCTTCATCGATTTCATCACCAGGTTTACCCCAATTATTCTTACCAGCCCCATTTTTTTTAATTTTTGTTGGATTTGTCTCATATGAATGATTATGAGTAAACCATTTAGAATCAGTTGGTTTCTTTTCATGGACTCCCCATTTCTTAGTCTTTGACATTGTAATTGAATAAATTTAAATTGTTAGTTTGTAATTATGTAAATTATGTAAATTATGTAAATTATGAAAATTATGAAAATTATGGAAATTTATTGTTGTATTTATAGTAAATTTTATATATAAGAAAATTAAAAGATGAAATTCAAACAAGGGTGAACAATAAAATAAAATCAAACGTTAATGAATTAATTTAATTACTCATATTTCAATTTTATTAATGGGCTTATATTTTATTGATTTAATTATGTTGATTTATTATTCATGCTCGCTCTGGTACCAAGAGTCATTCGATACCAGTTGGACCTATTGCTGGTGATGAATTGGTTTTGTGAAACGAAGAAAATGGAACAGTCATTCGAAATGTGGAGAGAGAAAATAATATATAGTCATGCGACAAAATGAATTTGAAAATTTACCGAATAATCTCTGAAACGGCTTCATATTCTTTCAATTGAAAGATGTTATACTAATCTCTAGGTCCACATACATACCAATGGTGTATCCTTGGAGTTTGCTTGCATTTTTATTTATAGTTGTTTTCTTATCTTTTATCGACATTTTCTTATCGCGTGATTTAAACCGATCAAGATAAAATGTGGCACAAAACCAAACGAAAATAAAAACTCCGATGGAACGAAATGGAACAAATGTAAATAAATAAATAGCAAAGAAATAAATTGATCGTCCTACTTTTAATTTTGAGCTCCACACTAAACTTTATTTGAATTTAATTGGTCAAGATTATAATGTTTATATATTCCCAATTTGTATATGTTGCAAACCAATATTTTGGTTGCAAAAATTCATTATTAAATACCCCTTAACGCTCATTCTTACCCTTTCATTTTACTTTCATAAGTTATTGAACTATTTATATTTCCAAATAACACTACTTATATGTTTCTATGATATGGTATAACTATATCTTTTACCTTTAAGCATATTAAATTTTGCAACGATATTTCTTCGCATAATCACAAACAAATTAATTTTAATTTTATCATCAACTATTCAATAGTTTTAAACCAAAGTTAAGTTAATTTATTAAATACTCACAAGCTTATAATTATATTCAAAATTTATTTTAAATTAATTATTATCCTTTTAATCTTCATTTTCCTTTGAAGAAAAAATTCAAAATAATCAATTAATTAAACAAAAGCTCATATCAAAAAATGTTTTATAATTTTATATTAACCATCTTTTTATTAATCACTTTTGGATTTGCTGATAAAGCACCAAAAATTAAAAGTAATCCAAAAGATGTTGTTGCAATTGCTGATTTCCCATTTGGTGGAGATAATGACATTAAAGGAAATGTTGTGTTTAGTGCAAAACAAGGAAAACATATTCAAGTTCATGTGGATATGGTTGGTTTCCCAAATGAAGGTGGTCCTTTTGTTTATCATATTCATGAACATTCAGTTCCTGAAAATGGAAATTGTGAAGCTGTAGGATTACATTTAAATCCATTCATGGCACCAGAAAATTGTACTAGTGAAAAATCTGATGCATATTGTCAAATTGGTGATTTATCAGGAAAACATGGAGCTATTAATTCAACATGTTTTGAATTAAAATATACTGATCCTTATTTATCTTTAAATCCAAAATCAAAATCTTATATTGGAAATAAAGCTGTTGTTTTCCATTTTGCAAATTTAACTAAAATTGCTTGTGCTGATATTGAAATTGCAAATGATTTAAGATTACAAAGTTTAATTGAAGAATATATTCAAACTGATGATAAATTACAATTAAAAGAATTAAGAACACCATTGGAACCAAATTATAAATTTAATCAAATTGAAGCATTAAGTATGGAAATGTATGAAAGTGATGAAGACGAAGTAACTAAAGAAGATGATGAAAGTGGTGGTTTCCAAACAAAGAAACAACAAGTATTATTAGCTCCAAAGCAATTATTAAACAAGACAAAGAATAAAATTGATGATTCTGATTTAAAAGATATGGCAAAAAAATATAAATTTGGTAAAAATTGGAGAAAACATGGAAATGATAAAAATCAATTGAAAAATATTTCAAATGTTACAATTCATGGTATTTCATCAGATTGTGAAAATAAAGTTGGTAAAATCTTAAATTCAAAATTTGATTCATTTATATTTAGTTTATTAACTGCTATAACTTTATTTATTTAAAAAATATATACCTCTAAAGATATTTCTTAACTTACCATTATTACTGAATCTTGTATTAATTCTAATCCAAATATTCTAATACAATCAATAATTAAACCTCTTCCTTCAGGTATTAAATCTCGTAATTTAAAATCAACAATTTGACCATTTATAAATAATTCAACCTCAAAATCTAAATCTAAATTCTCATTTTCAAACCATTCTATTATTTGCCATATTGGAATTGAACCAGGTATAATATTTGGTACTTCCGTCAATGTACTAACTTTGATTTTATACTTGTCTTTTAAAATTTGTTTACACTCTTCAGCATCTTGAGAAATTTCATCATTCCCATATATATCCTCAGCTATGTTTATTAACTCTTTATCTTTAAAATCTGAATCCTCATAATCTATTGGCTCACCTTTATTTTCAACCTCCAATTCTTGAATGATATTTTGTCCTTTTTCTCCAATTACGAATAATCTATTATTTAAAAATTTATCCACTTTTTCAAACGGAAAATATATTTCATTAGCTAAATCTAATATTTCTCCTCCAAATTGTTTTTTATATTTCATTTTTTCACAATCTTGAATATAATAACCTAAATAATAATGATCATAGCCTAATTTATCACACATTTGAATTTCTTTCAATCCCGAAAGTGTACCTAATGATAAATAGGCATAATCTGGATCCCAAATAAAATAAATACTTGAAATACCAGACGGAAGGAAATCCATGATTGATATTGCAATTAGTTTATCATCGAGGTAGTACAATTCATGCGTCGGGCCAATTCTTTTCTTATTTTCTTTATTCCAATTTTCAATTTTTAAATCTTTAAATTGTTGAGTATTACCTTTTACTTCTTCTTGTGGAAATGGAGTATCACATAAGAATCGTCGGAAAGAATTTTCTGAAATATCATTTGGATCATCATTATGTACTCTGATTTGATATTTTTTGTATAATTCAAATTTTTCTTTTGTAAATTTACTTGGTTCAATTATAGTTTTAAAATTTTTTGATTCCAATTGAGCTTCATACAAATTTCTAAAATCAAATGTATTTTTGGCTGGTAATTTTAAGTTGGGTGCAATTAATTTAATAAATTTATTAATTATTTTTCGATGATGTTTTGATAAATTAAGATATTTGGAACTTGTTCTAATTGTATATAATCTACAACAAGTCTTTAATAAATCTGGCTTATATAAAAATTTACCTGATCTTCTAAAACCTTGATTAATTAATTTATCATATTCATTACAAGACATTTGTAAAATTTGAGTACCAATTAAAATTGATTCTTTTTCATCAATTGCAACATCCTTGGATCCATTCCATTGCAGTTGTAAAGCATAATGATCTATCTTTGAATCTTTACAATAACCACAATGCCTATCTTTGAAATAATGTGGTGCAGTAAAAATCATAAAATTGGTAATGGCAAAAAAAAAAAAAAAATATCAAACTAAACTTTAGTTTCAATTGTTTGTTAATGAGTAGTAGTATCAAGACTAGTCCATCTAAGAAACAACAACCAGATATTAAAACAGAAGTTAAAAAAGAACAAGATGATTTAGATGATCCTTCAATTTTATCTGATCCTGAAGATTATTTAGAAGAAAATGAATGTTTAGATATGAATTTACAACGAGGTGATCAAAAAGTTTGGTTATTAAAATTACCAAAATATCTTATGGATAAGTGGAAAACTCCAATTGAAGGTAAACAACTAGGAAATATTAAAATTAGAAAAGATGAGCGTGGAAAACTAGAAGTTAAATTAGTTTTAAATGAAGATAGAGATTTAAGTATCCCTAAAGAATATGAAATTAAAATGTTAAATACTCAAGTTTCAAACTCGTATGCATTTACAGAGGAAAATCTTAAAAAATTTAAGCAAGAAATTACGGAAATGTCTGAAATTCCAAATCAACCAGAATTAAAAGATGATGATGAAGATGAAATAATTGATTCAAGATCAAATAAATTCATACCAAGAAAGAAATTTAAATACTTTAAAGTTTCAAAAGATGAAGGAGGTGATCAAGTTAAAAAATATATTCCATTTGTTAAAACAATACCTAAAAAAACAGCTTTAGTTGGTAAAATATGTCATGATTGTTTGATAGTCCCTAGTAAATCAGATAAAAATTATAACAATATAACGCTAAAACGACAAAAACAATTGGCTGGTGCAGATAGACCAAAAGTTACATTACTCGATGAAATTCCTGGTGTTATACAATCAAATGCAGGTCCTTCAATTAAAGGAAGTGGTTCATCAGTTTTTCTTACTAAACAGCCAAAGAATAAATCTGAAGGTAGGGCAATTAGAATGCCAAAGAAAGATTTATTAGATTTATTGTTTAGATTATTTGAAGAATATGAATACTGGTCAATGAAAGGGTTAAAAGAAAGAACAAGACAACCAGAATCTTTCCTTAAAGAATGTTTGGATTCAATAGCTAATTTAATTAAAAAGGGACCTTATACTTCAAAATATATTCTAAAACCTGAATATAGAAAATTAAGAGATGCTGAAAAAGCTGCTAGATTAGGTTTAGTTACCAATGATGATGAAAATGATGAAAATAAAGAAAATAATAGTGATGATGATGATGATGCAGAAATGGAAGATGTAATTTAAATAATTCAAATGTGATAATTAGCAAATATACATCAGTTTCTGAAAGTTTATTCGAGAAGTTAAATTTTCACCATGAAACCCTAAACAGAAAATATTCATACTTCCAATTGATAGTTTGACGTACATGCTGTCTTAAAATAAATAGGTGATGAGAGATATATATTGCTAAATTGCAAAATATGGTTTAAAATAAATAGTTATCACCGTATAATTAACATTTGTCACAATCCTACAATTGACTCTAATTACTTTATTATTTTTATATATTGAATATACAAATTTATTATTTATGAATCTGATTGAGTCTTGGTCGTTAACTTGTCATTTCTCTTATTCTAATGTTTAATAATTTATAAGTTGGTGATTTTTAAAGTTGGTGGTAATGATTGTTGTAATTTTTTAGCTTTTGAAGCATCATCAACAACTAAAGTATATTGATATTTTGAACCTCTAACTTTGAATTTAGTTTGTTTAAATTTTTTACCATTTTTGTTAATTTTTGAATTAACTTTAACGATAGCTGATTTAATATCTGATCTTCTTGCTAATTCAACGAATTCTTTGATATCTGTGATTTGTTTAGCCATTTTGTATATATGTAATTTGGTTTAGGGTAAATTGAAAAATTTATATTTTTTTTTTTCACTATAATGCGTTTGGAAACGTCGTACAAAACTCAGTATGAAAGTCTAAGACATTAGTATTAATGTCGGCAAAGTTGTAGCCCTAGCAATTACTAGCGTCAGGTGATTATTTCAGAGTTGGTGGATACACGACCAATAATTATTTTCGTAGTTAAAGTTGTATTGGCAGCTACATTTCACGTTTAGGACTTAATCTAACTTTGTTAGAGTTGGATATTATGATTTTTGTATTGTAAGTGTTGTCTTTATAGGCTAAATGTGTTTCAATCCGCTAAAAATGTGATATAACTACAACTATTTGTATGGTTTTGGGGATTTTTATGATTAATAATTCTTGTAGCTCGTTCATATGCGTTCAGATACGAATATTATGTTCAACCTTTAGAGTTAGTCGCAAATGGTAAGATTTATGAGAGTGAAAAGATTCTGATCTAGCAAATATGAATAATAAAGTGAATTCTGGATCTGAAAACCCAAGAACTTACTTGATAAGGTGTCAGAATGTTCTTAAAATTTAGCTATATTTACTTCTAGTATTTCTTCTCTAAAAGCATTACCTCGATTGGATGCCCATAAACGAATATTAATACTAATTGATGACCAAATGACACAAAATATGCACTCTATCACAAATCATAATGAGGATTTAATTACGAACGGCAACGGTACTTCTGTTAATCAATGAAAGTGAAACCTTTTCAAGCTGTAATTCTTGGATTAGACTCGCTCAGCAAAATTAATTAATCTTTTCACACTTAAAATCCATGTACGAGTTGATTCATTAATCATTATATTACTTGGAACCTTATTAAGGTTATTTCTTGCATGTATACCAACATTAATCATACCAATTGGCCAACAGACATTACCAATACTCAATTTCATATAACTTTCATTTGCCTTATTGAAGTTTTTCAATTGTATATAATGGAAAATAGTAGATAAAGAAACTAGCATCTCTTGAGGCACTTTATTACTTCTTAATTTATATAGTAGTTTTATAATACCCAGTTTAGTTTGCGTTAATAGTGGATCATCAGGAAACGTATCTTGCCATAATTGAAGTAATTGTTTTATATAAACACGTAATATGACATGTATATTATTATTCAATCCTTCTTGTATCATTTCAAGTGTTATAGTCTGTAGCTTTGGATCTTTATATATTATAGATTCCTTATCTAGCCATGATTTATATTTTGTATTTTTGACCTTTTGTTGTAAAAGATATGTTAGCTTTTTGACCTTGTCATCTTTTGTTAAATTGTCATCTAATTCATTAAATTGAGCCAATTTTGAATCCAATATTTCTTCAGTCATTTCCTGATCATCTTTGCTTTTGTTATTTGAATCTGCGATTGTAACATCAATTATTGATTCTTTGACCTCATTTTCTTGAGGTTTGATCTCTTCTTCAACACTCTTGCAATTATCAATTTTAGGTTTCTTACTCTTCTTTAGTTTCTTGTCTTTCGTATTTTTTCGTTTCTCATTGATATGTTTCGTTAATGATGATGAAAAATCCATATAGTGAATTTTTTGATATTGATAAATTTACACGACTTTATTGATGATTTGATGATTGAGATTTATCAATAGAGAATAAACGGGTAACAAAAGTACAATAATAGGTATATATTACATCAGTTTACAACCTGGACTCGAGTGATGAACTTAATAAATCTGCCCCTGGCAGTCAATTTAGGATATAACCGAAAATACAAACAGAGTTGGATTTCAAGCCTAAAAGATCCTAGTTTTCAACTCTAGTTATAAGTGTCACATATACTTCTCTGTTATATCCGTTACTTTCACCAAATAGTCGTTAGTAGTTCATATAATTGTCTGTTGAGTATTAAATTTGCAGTCAAAAATAAGGAGATCAATTTTTTTTAAGCAAAAAAATTACCCAAAATTGACACTTTTATTTTTATTATCTTGTGAATTAACAACTATTATATTTATTGTATTTACAATTATACAGCTCAATTAATACACAATTGTCATTATATATCATGTCTAAACAAGAACCAATATCATTCAAGAGTAAGAATCATGATAATGAGAATTCACATTCACGTAATACCTCAATAACTACTGATGAAAATATATCACCAGAAACAACAATTAATACAACCACAGAAGATTTAAGAGCAAATTTCACAAGTGCAACTACTTCTAAAACATCTCCACAATCTTCACCATTATTATCATCAACTCCACCCTCAGTTTCAAAAGCTTTAGTATCTGCATATCCTTATTTGTTAATTATAAATAAATTTTTATCAATTATAACATGGACAAATGATAATTATTGGATTAATGTCGTTTTAATAAGTTTATATTCATTAATTATATTATATTTTGAAAGTTTAATTACTTGGTTTGGTCATCTAATATTAGTACTTATAATTACATTTTATTCAATTTTAAATAATAAAATCATTGAAGAATCTAAAATTAATCCAACTTTAGATGATATTATTCAAAGTTTAACTTCAACATGTATAAAAGCTGATATTTTATTACAACCAATTATATCATTATCATTAACACCATACGATATTAAAAGATTATTATTCACAACTTTATTTTTAACTCCAATTTATTTAATAGTTACACTTTTAATTATAAAACCAAGAATAATCTTATTAGTCACTGGATTATTTTTATTAACTTATCATTCATCATATTCCATTGTAACTAGAAGAATTTTATGGAAAATTAAAATTGTTAGAATAATTTGTTTTTATTTAACTGGTTTAGATTTATCAAAAACAAAAAATCATTCATTATTTGCTGCTGCTTTTGCAAAAGTTCAAAATAATAATAATTTTATGACTAATGATGATAGTAAACCTTCAAATTCTAAACCGGTTAGATTTACTTATGTAATTTATGAAAACCAAAGAAGATGGTTAGGTATTGGTTGGACATCAAATTTATTATCATATGAAAGAACTCCTTGGACTGATGAATTTTTAAATGAAAGTTCTAGTATTGATACTTTTAAATTACCAAATACTACAACAGATAATTTAGATTCAACTGATTCAAAAATTCAAAATGCAACTTGGAGATGGGTTGATAAAACTTGGAGATTAGATTTAACTAATGATGGAGCTATTACATTACCAAGTTCAAAAAGAAGTAAAACTACCGCAAATCCAGACAAAGATGAAGGCTATATTTATTATGATAATACTTGGAAAAAACCAGGTACTGAAGATACATTTTCAAAATATACAAGAAGAAGAAGATGGATAAGAACTGCAGAATTGGTTTTTGATAGTTCAACAACTACGACGATTGATGATAAAATTGATGAAGCAATTGAAGAAAAAGTTGGAACTGAATCATCTCCAAAAAAGAATATTAAAAATTTAAGATTTAAAGAAACAGCAACAGAAGAAGTTGTAAAAGATCAAAATAATAATGATGATTTGATCAAGAAAGATTTAATTGAAATAGATGAAAAAAAGGAACTATAGTTGAATTTAAATAGTATGGTCGAATTGACTAAATTATCTATAAATTTTCTGAAACTCTTCTCCTCTCTTTTGAAAGTAGCTTAGGATTTAGAAGATCGAAGTGAAGAAAAATCATATTTCAGAGGGGGGCAAAAGCAACTTAAAATGACCAACCTACCCGCGAGTTTGCAGCCTGATCAAATTTATAATCTTGACCACCGTAAACCATTAAAGGAAACCATCGACAACAAATCAATGACCAGTAGCTTGATAAGTAAATTTAGGTCCCGTTGTTTGATAATTCAGTTCAGCATGATGAAAAGAAAATTTTACATATATGAGAAAAATTGAGTATCGTGATCTTGTATAAAATCATTTTTACGAGATCTGTGGCAAATTACGAGATCAACTTTCGTGTGACTTCCTCACTTGAATTTGCAGCGCAATTCATAAATCTTTTGATTATTTTTATCCAGAAGCACATATTGTACTTAAAGAAATATGGATCAGTTAGTTGAGGGATTATATAAACTAACAAAAGAAGTATTCAATATCATTATTGATGAATTAAATTATGATTATAAAGTTTGTTTTTTATATGATAAAAAGCTTAAATTATGGACTATACCTCACCTACTAAAATTGGTTGAAATCAGCAACGATGATTTCTATATGAACATTGATAAGTTTGAAGAACTTCGGAGTCAAAAGGAATTTATTCACGACAAACACGTTAGATTTAAATCTATTAAAAAATTCGACCAAGTTGTGAGAAATCTTAGAATGATTCCAACATTGTTTGCTGTGATGATTTTGACAAGTCTTATAAAAAGTACATTGCATCATTGTATAAAGTTAAAGATGTCAGAATCTATTGGGGTTTACAAAATCGTAAGGACTTACCATTATTATTAGCATCAAATTCAAAAGTTTCATTGACAATATCAGCGTTAAGTTTCATTGACATAATCAGCGTTAAACCGTTCTTTAGCTCATATAATTCGATCAGTTCCGGAACTAACACTACATTGCGTTAGTATTTGATCTTTCTAATCGGTGAAGCGATTTTCAACAACTTTGAACCAATCGATGCAAGGACTTTACTTTGAGATCTAAGTACTATCGGTGAAACGAAAATTGTAATTTGGAACACCGATATTAAAATGAACTGATTCAAAGTCTCTGTATCGGATATGACCGACATCGTATTATTTTTTATGGAGCGCTCCGTAATCAGTGCGAATAATTTTATGCACTGATAAGAAGAAATTTGTATAAATACCTTGTTCAATTTCCATCCATCTTTCAATCATCATAATTCTCAAAAAATCACAATGGTTGAATTAATTTCTTCATCATATGGTAAAGCAAATGTTAAATTTCTCAAAGTTAAAAAAGATCCATCAAATCCATTAATTCAAGATGTTTTGGAAGCAAATGTTCAAGTTTTATTAAAAGGTAAATTTGATGAATCATATACTAAAGCTGATAATTCATCTATTGTTCCTACTGATACTGTTAAAAATACTATATTAGTAGAAGCTAAAAATAATAACGTTTGGCCTATTGAATCATTTGCTGCTCATTTAGCAAAACATTTCACTTCAAAATATTCACAAGTTGAAGGTATTGAAATTACTATAATTCAAGCATTATGGAACAAGATTAAATTGAATGGTAAATCACATGAACATTCATTTAAACATGAAGGACCAGAAACTAGAAGAACACAATTAACATATGACAAATTATCTAAAAAATTGTCATTAGTATCATCAATTAAAGATTTAACAGTTTTAAAAAGTACTGGGTCTATGTTTTATGGTTATAATGTTTGTGATTATACTACTTTACAACCTACTAAGGATCGTATCTTATCTACAGATGTTGATGCTTCTTGGTCATATAAAGTTTCAAATTTAGATGAAATTATTTCAAATGGAGCACTTTTTGATAAAACTTATAAATCAGCAAGAGATATTACATTAGAATTATTTTGTAAAGAAAATTCTCCATCTGTTCAAGCTACAATGTACAATATGGGTGAAAAGATTATTGATGAAAATAAAGAAGTTGAAAATGTTACTTATATTTTACCAAATAAGCATTATATTTTATTTAATTTCGAATGGAAAGGTATTAAAGATAATAAAGAATTGTTTTATCCATCACCAGATCCAAATGGTTTAATTAAATGTACAATTGGTAGAGAAAAGGCCAAATTATAAATATATAGATTTTTATTACATAATTTTTTTTGCAACAATTTCTCATCTCGTAAAAAATTAGACCTTTGGCAAATGTCAACTAGAAATATCCTACTATGTATTATAGCTACAGCTGCTATAAGTATAGGATTAGTTGAAACTTATCATAAATATGAGAAAAAGAATAAGAAGGAATCACTACCGTTGAAGAAGAAAAATTCACAAAATGAATATTCTGAAGAATTAATTCGTGAACAATTAGCTAGAAATTATGCATTTTTAACTGAAGATGGTATGACAAATGTACGAAATCAAAGAATTATAGTCGTTGGTGCTGGTGGTGTTGGTTCTTGGGTTGCTACAATGTTGGCAAGATCAGGCGTTGAAAATTTACGTATCATTGATTTTGATCAAGTTTCATTAAGCTCATTAAATCGTCATGCTGTTGCAAATCTAAAAGATGTTGGTATTTCAAAAGTTGATTGTTTAAAAAATCATTTATTGGAAATTTGTCCTTGGATTAAAATCGATGCAATTAATCAATTATGGAATTTAGAATCAAGTAAGGAATTAATTTTTGGAGGTGATTTTAAACCTACTTTTATTGTTGATTGTATTGATAATTTAGATACTAAATGTGATTTATTAACATTTTGTCATCAAGAAAATTTGCCAATTATATCGAGTGGTGGAGCTGCAACAAAATCAGATCCAACAAGAATTAACTTGGGAGATATTTCTAAAACAGAAGAAGATCCATTAATGAAAAAAATTAGAATTATTCTTAAAAAAAGAGGTATTGTTCAAGGTATACCCGTTATATTTTCTGCTGAAAAACCAGATCCAAGAAAAGCAAAATTATTACCATTACCAGATGAAGAATTTGAAAAAGGTTCAGTTGATCAATTAAGTGCATTAAAAGATTTTAGAGTTAGAATTTTACCTGTATTAGGTACAATGCCAGGAATGTTTGGATTAGCAATTGCAACTTATATTTTAACTAAAGTATCAAATTATCCTATTGAACCAATAGAAGGAAAGAATAGATATAAAGTTTATGATGATTTATTACAATCATTAGCTGGCCAACAACAAAGAATAGGAATGCAAGAAGCAAGAGTTAAATTATCGACTTATGATACAAATTATTTGTTAGAAGAAGTATTTAGAGGAAAATCACCAATTTCAAATTATTCAACAAGATTAACATTATCAATATGGGATCCATCAAAACCTGTAAGTTGTCAAAATGTAGTTATAATGACAAAAGATGAACAAAGAAATCATGAAAAAAGAGTGTTAATAGGTGGTGAATCGATACAAGATGTTTATTCAAAAGATGTAATAGAGCTAGTTGAATCTAGATTTGAAGATGAATTGTATTATAGTAAATTTAGATAGACTGTTATATATATATATATGTATTTGCTTAAATACGCAATCTCGGATCAAATTTGACGACGATTCTCATCATAGAAAAAATCAAAAATCAGTTGAATTTCAATACCCATTAAGCAAGTTGTCGAGATGTTTAGAACAACAAGATATTTACCAAGGATATTTAGAAGTAGTTTCAAACTGAATTCAACAACAACAAATAGCCCTAAAAATTCTAAAGGTATTAAAGCTTTAATGAAAGAATATGGGTATCCTGCCTTGGGAGTTTATCTTGGATTATCATTTATAGATTTACCAATATGTTATATAATAGTACATTCAGCAGGTCAGGAAAAAATTGAATATTATGAAAATCAAGTTAAACAATTTTTTGGTTATGGTTTATCAAATGAAGAATTAAAACATAAACAAGAAATTAATAAAATTGAAAATGAAATAAATCAACAAAATCAACCACAACCAAAAACTACAAAAGATTCAAGTTATTTACACATACTATTAAATCAATTTTCATGGACTGAATTTGCAATTGCTTATGGTTTACATAAATCTTTAATATTTATAAGACTTCCAATAACAGCTGCTATAACACCAACAATAGTTAAAGTATTAAGATCATGGGGTTTTAAAATTGGTCATGATAAATTTTCAACAACTGCTTCAAAAGCCAAAGTATTGGCTCAAAATGGTATAAAGGATATTACTGCAAGCTCGAATAAATTTGGTACTAGACCTGGAGGCAAAAAATGGTGGTGGTTCTTTTAAGTATAGAAAAGACTCTTTTATAAATAAATAAATAACCTTGTATATATATAATTGTCTATTTAAATACCTAACATTTTCTTCATTCTTTCGTATACGAAAAATGAACATGCAACCATAGGTACAACTTTCATATATCCAATACTCAACCCCACGAAAAATCCTCTAAATCCATTTTCTTTATATATCAATTTTGCTGTATTTTTAAATGACAAAAATTGACCTTGATTTATTGCTCCCCCAACTTGCATTCTTCTTCTTATAACTTCAAATGGATACGCAGCAGTTTGTGAAAATAATCCAGCTAGCCCACCAGCAAATAATTGTGCATATGCTTTTAAAGGAGCTCTATTTTCTCTAGTTGATTTTGAATTATTATTTAATACTACTGAGGTTTTCTTTATATCTTGTTGAACAGTTAATGGTGCTAAATATTTTGACCTTAATATATCATGTAATAAATCATGAGTGTAAAAGGATACACCAGCATAAGGTATCATACCCAATATTGTTGGTGCAAATCCTCTATAAAAATTTGATAAATGTTGTATACTTAATGGTGATATTTTTCTCATAAATTTAAGCCAATATGGATCATTTGATCGTATTGGTGGATTTTCTTCAAAAATTGACTTAACAGTACTTACTAACCTACCTTTATGTTGTGTCATAAAATCTTGATGCTTTGGATGAATGTTTAAATGTTGTAAATTTTTAGTTTCAAATGCTAATCTAACTCTAATTAAATCTAATGGATATGTGAAAAATACAGAACATAAACCAGATAAACTACCAGCCATAAATCTTCTTGCTGCTGTTTCATAATTATCACTAGGTATTAATACGGTTCTAATTTGTTCATAAGTTACAAATTTAATAGCTGCATATGGAAAAATTCTTAATAAAGTAACCGAATGGCCTTGATATAAACCATAAAGTGAATCAGTCGACCAAATTTTTTTACCAGCTTCTAAAAAACCATGAAAAGTACCTCTATATTTGATAAATTCGGGATTTGAAGTTTGAAATAAAATTTTTATACGATCCAATGGTGCAACTAATGTTTTTGCTGCACTTCCAGCTATACCACCAGCAGTACCCGATAGTATAATATAATGTATCAGTTGCTTATCTATAATTTTAACGTCTTCTATAGGAGTAGATTGATCATTTGAATAATGGCCAATAATGGGTATATTTTCGTAAATTTTTTTTTTAATAATTTGTGGAGACGGTATTATTGAATCATTGTGAGTATTTGAATTATTGTAATTACTTGATTTTGTAGATGCTGAATCATGTTGTGATGATGTTGATGTTGATGACATTTAATATTTTTAAAGAAAAAGCCCGGGGTAAAGAAATTAATGATAATAAAAATTATCTTATTGATCAAACTTAATTATTAATACAAGATTTGGAAAAATTAATTAAAATAATGAAAATGAATGAAACTAAAAAAACAATATGTTGTCAAAATGAACGCAGACTATTGATTACAATTTAATCAAAAGTTGTATTATCAATATATGTTTTATAATTGGTGTATTGGTATTCAATTGATAAAAAACTTTTAATGATCTCTCTTTTCACTAATAATAATTTTTATTATGAAAATATTAACTATGTCTTATGTAAGTTGTTATGTAATATTTTCATGTCTTGTGCTTTTTTCTTACTTCAAATCACGTAAAAATGAATGGACATTGAAATGTCACAAAATATATAAATGTGACATTAACATGATTGAATACTGTATAATCATAATTCTAAGGTCTCATTTAAAGGGCTTATTTCAATTCTTGGCCGTTAATTTTAATCTTAATTTCTTATTTCTTTATTGCACACTAATATTTTTGAATGTTGTGCATGGCCCATCTCTTTAGTCTTGGAGTGAAAATATCAATCTGTGGGGTACAACCGAATAAATTGTATCCGCCCCACTGAGGCCAATTTGAATCGTTTATTTTAGACGCAAAATTCATCTTGTGCAACCGTTATTCCACGCCGTGTCGCTCAATCTTAGAATCAACGCTTCAAACTAATATAAAGTGATCATTTTATAATCTATATATTAATTTGCTTAAAAAAATATAATTCATTGGATATTCATAAAGTTATTATAATACAAATAATATATATTTTAATATATATTTTAATTAAATTTTCATTTATTTTTCAATTTTCATCATAATCATTCATTATTAAAAGTTTTTATATGCACAAATAATAATTGAATAGATTTGTTTAATGACTTTGTGGAGTTGTACTTTGTGGAGGTCTATAACCACTTGTTCTATCTTTATGATATGATGATGGAGATCTGCCTCTTATAATTAATGGAGGTGATTCACTTGAAGCTAATAAGATAGGTTGAATTTGTTGATTATCATCTTCAATTATACCCAATAATTCAACATGTAATGTAAAATATCTTGCAGTAGTACTTGTTGATTTTACTCTAATTGAACTTGTAAATTGAATTCTTTCAAATCTTGCAACTCTACTAATTGAATCACTTGGATAATGTTTTAAAATTGATAATTCCTTCTTTTGTGCTGCATTATAATCATTAAAATATTCATTACGATCAAAATAAAAAATTTTATTCATTGATTCAATTTTATTACCATTACGTTTATTACAACTTGCTTTAACAGTTTCATGATCTGGTAAATCTCCTGGAACAGCTGGATAAATTGGTGGTGGAAATTGTGGACCTTTATCTCTTTTAGCAGTATGTTGAATTAAAGATATTGCAACATCATCATCCGAACATTTAGCAACTAATCTAATTGCAAAATAACTAATTTCAACTCTTTGTTGGGCATTGTTTGGATGATGTGGATGATGCTGACCATTTGAATAGCCACCATTTAATGAAGATGATGAATTTTTGTCATAAACATAAAATTTATTCTGAATAAATCTATCAAAATTAAAATCTTGTAAAGTAAAAGATGAAACCAAGGTGAAGTAATTACGTTTATAACCAATCCATGCACCTTGTTCACCAACTTCAAAACCTCTATCAACTCTTGAATGTAAAATCGGTAGTACAGGCAAATCATTTAATGAACAATAAACTGTATTATGTTGTTTTGTCATACTAAATGGAGGACCAACTCTAAACAAAACGGAAGATCTTGGTGCAACTTTTCTATTTGAACCACCTTCTATATCTGTTGACTGGGCTCGAGATGGTATCATGTCTATAGAAGAATTTGAAGTATGTGATGCAACAGAATCATTTTCATTCTTTATTTTTCTTTGATTTGGATGATGTGGGAGTGGTTGATGATGGATTGGGATTTGATGTTGTTGTAATTGATTTTGTTGAGGTTGAGGTGTTCCTTGTTCAGATGGTATTTGAAAAGCTAATTGTGAATGAATTTGAGAATGAATGGGTTGTTGTTGATGATGTTGTGGAGGAGTTGGTTGTGGAGTTTGATGATGAGATTGAATTGTAGTTTGTGGTAAATGATGATGCAAAATTGGTTGACCAATTTGCTGCTGCTGTTGTTGTTGTTGTTGTTGTTGTTGTTGTTGATTTGGTTGAGGAGTATGCGAAGTTAAATGATGCATACTATCTTGCATTTGTAACATATTCTGTGGTTGATGATGAGCCAATTGATATTGTTGTTGGGGTTGGGGTTGTAATTGATAAGCTTGTTGTTGCTGTTGTTGTTGAGGTATTGGAGTATTTATTGGTTGTAGATACATGTTTGGTAAAGGATGTTGATGATGTAATTGATGCTGAACAGGTGGTTGATGATATGAATTAGCACCATTATTATTATTAATTATATTATTATTATTTGTAACTGTATTGTTTGGGGTACTTGAACCTAAATTATTTAATGAATATTGTTGAGTAGTTGGTTGTTGAAGATGTTGTTGATATTGATGATGAATAGAAGGTTGTTGTTGTTGTAAAGATTGTTGAGTTATTGGCTGTTGTTGTTGATATTGATGATAAATTGAATTGTGTAATGAACTAGTATAATGAGCTTGAGCAGCAGCAGCAGCAGCAGCAGCAGCAGCAGCTTCATTTTGATTTGAATTTGATGATTCACTCATACTAACTTATACACTATCTTTCTTTGGTATTATAAACTACTAATACTCTATAATATCACTATTAATGATTAATATAATGTTTGAAAATATAGTATATGTGATAGGTGTTGAATAATTTTTTATTTTTTTCTCACTTCACTCTCTTCCTAATAAAAAATTCAATGTCGCAATAATTATAAATAAATACAATAAATGTCTTTGTCTTTGAAATTTTTTTGGTTCAACCTTCACAAAAACCAAATATTTTAGTATAACAAATTAAATTAAACAACACAAATTAATATGGGGAAAATGTAAAATATCACAAATTAACAACTGCAGTTTCTCTTTATATATATGATTTACCAAGCTATTAAATGATTGATTCAATATATAAAATTGAAAGTATAAGAAAAAAGTGTTGTAAAAAAAAAAGGTTTGTAAATTTTTTATTTTTTTTTTTTTTTTTTTTTTTTGTTTTGTTTAAAAAAAACTTTTCAACACAAAATTGATTTTTTTTTTTTTTTTATATATTATTATTATATTTTAACCGCAAAATAAATTTTATACTTCTGATTATTTTGTATAGTTTAATGTAAACTCTGCTTAAAATTATATTGGCTTGGGTTTGTACTTGAGTTTATCTTTTATTATTGTGCTGATCGTTAAATCGAATTTTTGTTCGAATTTCATTCTTAAAATTATCCACAAGATTGACCGATCTAATAATAAATTGTACATTCTACTTTTTGTTTAATTTTTAAACCGTCGATTAATTAAGAAAATTCTTAACATCGCTAAATTATACTAAGTACTCTTACAAGAAAGTAAATTGGTTCGTGTAATTTATATTGTGTAACAAATCATACGATAACTCTGCCCCTTCTTTCAATTAATTCAAACCCGCATATTTTCTATTATTATTGTTGTTACACTTAAGCAATTTGTCTAAATTCTACATCGTTAGGTCCCAATCTAATGGCACACTACAGTATCTTTTAAATATATTTTAAACTGGTGCAGATTCATAAATCTAAGTTTTGTCGTACTTTGGTGATTCACAGTTTACAAATACTTCGCTATCTGATTCTTGCATTTGTCAAATTTCTTCAGGGCTGTCTTTTTCTATTAACGACTTTAAAGTCTAAGAGATGGCTAATGGTGATTTGTGGTCAGAGCTTTTCTAACGGTTTTTAAATTTGCACCCGTAAGAATTCTACCTTTTATACTTGATATCACGATGCAGAACTCGAAATACATATTGATTTGTACGTCATTTCTTTGTCACTGATTGTTGACTGATTATTCCTTACTGTTTTATATATTGGTTATGATATTGTTTTAGTGTCTGATGTCATTCTCACAATTGCTTAAAATATCGTTGAAAAATTTCTTTTTAAAATCATCTCAGCTCCAGATATTTTCTTAAAGAGAATAGTTATCGTCAAGTATTCGATTTATGCTTGACTTGGGACTACGTTCTATATCTTCGTGTCTCTGTATTGCACAATAAATCTTTGTGATCTTTTTTCAATCAATGAGGCCGTGACTTTATTTGAGATTTGAGATTCAGATCTGAAATCTGGAAAAAAAAAAAAAAAAAAATAATAAAAAATAAAAAATTCGTAATAAAACGTTGAAAATTTTAATGCAAGATCTTGTGTAATTGTACACTACCACAAAAATTAGTCCACAAATGCCGTATCACACTAAGTCGAATCCATTTTATTTATTAATAGAACAATTTCTTTATACAAGGAGCTTTTAAATTTCTGATGAATTTTAGACTTACATTCTTATTGTTAAAACTTATCCGCTAATTATTCAACCGAGATTCCGATTGAAACACAACCTCATCTCTAATCTCAATATCCGCCTTCCGAGAGAATTGGAACAACAAACTTTAAACTAACTTCTTGTCGATCAATTTACTAGTTTCAAATTTCAGATTTCCAATTTCAAATTTCAAATTTCCAATTAATGGACGAGAATCGAACCAGATGAGCTTGGAAAATTATTGCTATTTCATTTGAAATTAGCCACATAGGAACTACTTTTTTCTCAAAGAAATTACACACTTTCGTCGATTAAGTCCTATAAATTACATAAAAGCGGATTTATATGATTTAACTGTTATTTTTGATTATCCAGCCATTTATTTTTAAATTTAATATACGTTAGTTTTCACAAAATTTGAAAAATTAGGAGATCAATAGTTTAAATCCATCCCATCTCGTTTAACTTCAATTTTTAACTTTTTAGTTTATAAAACGTTTGAACTTCTGATTTCGAACTCTCGTTATTGTTTTTGTTGAATTTAGTCAATTCGAACCGATTGTTTGTTATTGTTAATCTAAATTTTGAATTACAAAACTTAAATCTTGATTAACATACCACAATTTGAATCCCCATCTCTTTATGTGATTCTCGAAGTCTAAAATATGTTTACAAAGACAAAAGACAAATTGTCGAGTACATTTATGTACTGGCTTTGATGCCGTGTCTTTAGGTTGACTGATTATTCAGTAAGAGAGGTCTCAGGCTTAAATAAGAGCTCATTTAGTTTAACGTAAATTTAAATTAGGATTTCTTCAATTTCGAAAATAGAGGTTGTTGCGTTTGTTTCGTTCTGTAACTTGACTTAAGTGCTCATACTTTTAATCATCTTGTGCATCTTATTATAATACTCGATTCGAGACCCTTTACACCCCAAGACTCGTCTTTCGTCCCTCTACTTTATATAAACGGCTTTGTTGATCTCCACATCTGTTCTTGGTGACGGACTTAACCGATAACTATATAATTTAATAGCAATATTCAAGATTGACAATCAGTTCTATTTGTAGTAAAGTTCTTGGACCACTTTTAACTCAATATAACGTACTGTATATTCTCATATTTGTTCATCGATTTAGCACTGTGATGTCAATTTTCTTGATTTCTAAATTCATTTGGTATTTATTATAATTTTGCAAATTGTTGCAAAAAAATTACAAAATTTTAATTAATAGATCAAGACACAAACTAAACCCAAATTAGCAATTCTCCAATCTCAAATAAGCTGCTTAAGTACCATACTAAGTCTTGATATCCTCCGTAATTGCATTATTAATTGCATAAACCATCTAGTCTTTATCTTTTTACAAATTCAATTTGCGAAGTTAGATGATTTAATACTTATCAGATGGTAAGCTCATTAGACTTATTGCTGGACTTGATAGGGTTTCTTAGTTTTTAGACCATCAATTTTGACTGGATATTCGATATAGTTTGTTGTTGTTTTTTTGACATTATACATATACGAAGCTAAGAGATAATTTCATATACGAACCGTTACGGTCAATGCAACTATACAGAGCTGTAAACAATAACAATATAAGTATATACTTGCCTGATGCTCAAATTTCAAGTTTAATTAAATGGAAGATTTTATGTTCATGCTAGAATCTTCTATCTCACAAAGTACCCAATGCGGTATTCAAGATTTTGGAAACGAACAGCATAAAAAAAAAAATTTAATATATCAAAATCTCTTATAATTAACACGTTCACTAAATAAAATGTCAACGCCATCAAGTAAAGATATTGCATCTTTAATAATCCAATTTTTAAAAGATTCAGTCAAAAACAAATCTATTTCTGAAGATTATTTCGATTCTATGGATGTTGCAATTGATTGCATATCCGATGCTTTTGAAGTTGATCAAAATGCTGTAGGTGGTGGTAAAACATTACAAGAATTATTGAAAGGTGGTGCTGCTACTGAAATAAAAGAAGTTAAAAGTGAAGATTCACAAGTCTCATCAGAGATTAAAGCTAAAGCTGATGAATTAAAAGTTGAAGGCAATAGATCAATGGCTCTCAAAGATTATTCAGCAGCTATTGAAAAATACACAGAAGCTATTAAACTCGATCCTTCAAATTATGTTTATTTATCAAATAGAGCAGCTGCTTATTCATCAAATAGACAACATGATTTAGCTATAATAGATGCTGAAAAAGCAATTGAATTAAATTCAAATTTTTCAAAAGCTTATTCCAGATTAGGTTTAGCTAAATATGCAATTGGAGATGCAAAAGGATCAATGGAAGCATATAAAAATGGTTTAGAAGTTGAAGGTGATTCTAAATCAGAAGCAATGAAAAAAGGTTTTGAAACTGCAAAAAGAAGAGTTGAAGAAGAATTGGAAAATTCAATTCAAACAAAAGATGAACCAAAAGAAGAAAGCTCATCAAATGCTAGTGGTTCTACTGGTGGTATGCCAGATTTCAGTTCAATGTTTGGTGGAGCCGGTGGAGCTGGTGGAGCTGGTGGTATGCCGAATTTTGCCGAAATGATGAATAATCCACAAATCATGCAAGCAGCACAAGAAATGATGAGTAATCCAGCAGCAATGCAAAACTTGTTTAATAATCCAGCTATTAAACAAATGGCTCAAAATTTAGGATTGGGAGGTGAAAATGGAAATGGTCCTGATTTATCAAATTTAATGAATAATCCAATGTTATCACAATTTATGAATAGAGGTAATAATAATAATAATAATAACAATAACAATAACAATAACAATTCAAATAATAATGAAAGTAACGAATAATAAAAACTTAATAATATATTTATATATTTAATATTGTGTTAGATAATTTTGATTTTTGATCTCGTATATTTTTTTTTTTTTCAATTTCTATTTTTTCTCATCTGATAAAAATTAAATCTAAATTATGCAAATTTTCAAAAGATTTATTGCAGTATTACCTCTACGTAAACCATCATCAATTAAAGATTTGCCAATAAATAAAGATGTGGAATTAGTAGCACAACCATATTTACCTTATAAGATACCATATAATAAACTGAAAACTCCTGTTTTATTTATTCATGATTTCCTAGGGTCAAAATCAAATTTAAAATCAATTGGTCAAGAAATTTGTAAATACACATTACATCCAGCTTGGGGAATAGATCTACGTTGTCATAATAAATCTCCCAATGTCTTTCCGTTCAATTATAATCAGTTAGCAAATGACGTCATAAAATTCATAGAGGAGAATAAATGGAAGAAATGTATTTTGGTAGGTGATTCAACTTTAGGTGGGAAAGTAGCAATGACAACCGCCTTAAAAGCAAATAATTTAATTGAAAGACTTATTGTCCTCAACGCATTTCCAAAAGTTTATAAATCAGACGCAACTTATAAAAATGCAGTTATTACCATGGCTGAAATCGAATCAAATCCACAAATGTACAAGAGGGATGTAGATAATTTTAAGCGAGTGCTTGAAATCACTGGTGTTGATAAATTAATGCAGATGAATGATGTTACTGGTGATTTACTTAGTAAAATAAGGTGTAATTTATGCTACAAACTTAAGGATTTTGAAGATATACCAAAAGATCAATATACAATGGAAGCATATAAAGTACCAGTAATGAATTTTGTAAAGCATAATATTGTAAATGAATTAGATAACTGGCCTGAAGCTGAACTTGAGGGGAAGAAATTTGATGGTCCAGTTTTTGTTATACATCGTGACAAAAAACCAAATAAGGGAGAATGGTTGAAATATTTTACAGATTTAAAATTCAAACATTATAATTTTGAAGGATTATATCCATTATTATTGGAGCCTCAGAATGCTATATTGAAAAAGTTGACTAAGTTCATTAATCCAGATTCTGACAAGGTGGTAATTGTAGAAAAAATGACAAAGAGACAGAGGAAAGAACGTAAGAAGGCTCAAAAAAAAGAAAAGAGAATGATGTTGTTGGAGAAAATTAAAAGGAGAAAAGAATTGGAAGCAATTAGAGGAATATATTCCGACGAAGATCTTGATAGAAAAGTAAAGTATCTTGTTGAAGATGAGGATGATCATGTGTTGATAAATAGATCAAAGAGTGGTGGTAATGATGAAAAAATGAAATATAATGAAAGGAGAGGGAAACGTGATTCTGGATCAAAATGGAATAATAATGAAAGAGACGATAATGATCGTAGATCAAGCATTGATAATCAGTATACACTTGACAGAGTTGATAGACCAAAATTCAACAAACACGAAAAAGGAGACAAAAATGAAAGATCAAAATACAACCCACAAAGAGATAGAATTGATAAAAGACTAAAAGATAATAATTATTATTCAAGAGAAAGATATGATGTCAAACCCAAATATAGAAACGACTATGCAAGAGAAAGACATGATGATGAAAGAATTCCAAGAGAAAGACATAATGATAAATCAAAATTTAGATCCGACCATACAAGAGAAAGAAATTACAATGAAGAAGAATCAAGAGATAACAGATCACAGTTCAAGCATTACGAAAGAGACTTTCATGATGAAGAGCAACCAAGGTATACTAGACCAAGATACTACACGAATGATAGAAATGACAAAAGAGACTTTCATGATGAGCAACAACCTAGATATTCTAAACCAAGATACTACACGAATGATAGAAATGACAAAAGAGACTTTTATGATGAGAAACAACCAAGGTATTCTAAACCAAGACATAACTGGAATGATAGAACTGATAAAAGAGATCCGAGAAATTCGAGATCAAACTTCAAAACATATTACACAAGCGACAGAAATGACAGGAGACACTAGATTAAACCAGAATCATCTAAAAAGAAGGATTAACTAACTACCTGCGCAAGTTTACGTGCTAACGAAATACATATTTTAATGGGTAATGACAAAATATTACAACTCTCTGTCAAATCAACTTGACCGTGGGCTGATAATGTTCAATGCTAACAGTACTCTTACTTTCGGACCTTAACATCTTGCTCTTAATTTCTACAACTTATTGAATATATTATTACATCGCTTCAGTTTTTTTTTTTTTAGTTCACACAAAATCATCAATAATAATAATAAACCAAACCAAATTATGTCAGAATATCAATCAAACAATTCAGAAGATTTATCATTACCAAAAGCTACAGTACAAAAGATCATTGCTGAAATCTTACCTAAAGATATAGCTATATCAAAAGAAGCAAGAGAAGCAATTACTGAATGTTCAATTGAATTTATAATGATGTTAAGTACTCAATCAAATGATATTGCAGAAAAAGAAGCTAAAAAAACAATAGCTAGTGATCATGTGGTAAAAGCCCTTGAAGAATTAGATTTTAATAATTATCTTCAAATTATAAATAAAATATTAAGTGAACATAAAGAATTACTCAAGGGTAAAGAAAAGAGGAATAATAAATTTCAAAATTCAGGATTAAGTGAAGAAGAATTATTAAGACAACAAGAAGAATTATTTAAAAAATCAAGGGATAGATTACAATCTCAAAGTGGATCACCAATAAAAGAAGAAGAAGTATAATTGATTAATATATATATATTATTTCTTATCCTAGTATTATCTCATATAATATAATTGCAATATTCACCACTATTAACGGTATTCTCATTAATGTGCGTACAGCACTAATTAAATTAATCAATTTTGTCTTTATTGAAGAGTCAGAACTTTCAATACCTGAATTAAATTGATTAAATTGATCCTTCATATTATTACCTGCCGCATTTGATGATGCTGATGATCCCCATCCTATTCTATTTAAAAAACGATCTTCACTTAGTACAGCAATTCCATTGATTGTTAAAACTATAACATAAACTAATTTACCTAATCCAAACATTTAAATGAAGTGTTACCTGGTATTGATTATTCTTTGTGATTGATTGATTTGATGTGTTGATATTTTTTTTTTGCTCACCAAAATCAATCTGAAACAATAAACCTTTAGTCACAAAACTTAATATTTATCAAAGCATTTGATCTGATCAGTTTCAGAAGTGGAAAATGAGTTGACAAAGCTGAAAACACTCCTTGCTGGTATTTGATTACTTGATTTCAAGTTGCATAAAACTCAAATTTTCCATATTGACAAATCCGCGCGATGGTTTAATTTCTCGCGCTAGATTCGGGGCGACCTCGTACTACACATATCATCTTATATTTCATGAACAACTCAGTTTCTCGAGATAATTATCATGTTAGCAAGGTCACAAGTCTTCAGTTATCTATTCTACATACTTTAAATTAAGATTTCAAACTTTTTATTGGAAGTTTTGGCGTTTTTTCACCATACGAAAAATTTGCAAAAATCGAAAACGCAGAGTATGATTTAACTACGCCATAACTTTCAACTAAACAACTGATTATGTATATTAGACCTCAATTTAAGCCACTGGATACAACGTAGTTTCATTTATGTTTGAACTCAGAATTTTCAGAAATTTCTCTTAAGTATGGGAAAAATCGAATAAATTGGCTTTAAGAAAAATTTAGCGCCACAATCAAGAATTGAGCTTAGAGTATGCTAAAACTATCAAAATTTTTAGTTCTAGTTAACTGATAATGTTTGGTGTTTTTATGTTAAAGTATTGTTTGTTAAGAAAGTAATTTTTCAGAAGTGGTTCGAAAATTTTGAAAACAATTCAAATCGATAATAACATTTAGTAAACTTTATACATAGGATTTTTGACCTAGAGAAAGCTAATTCAGGTACCTTAAAAGTTTTACTCAGGGCTTACCTGAGTGGTCTTGTACATTATTTCCGAGATATATCAAGTGTTTGAGATCAGTTTTAGGAAAATTAAAAGGTGTCAATTTTAATTACCAAAATCGAAGTGTGCTAAGGACTCTCGTTCAAGTACTTACATGAATGGTGGGATGAGAATAGTAGGTTTTTGACTAATATTTAGTTGAAATTTGCCTATAACTCTGGGCCGTTTTAAAATTTTTGTGCTGCTCGTTTTAATTCATGTTTGTGTCTAATCTCATATCTCCGAATTTGCGCATCGATACGAGATTCAAATCGCTCTCTCCAGATCTATTTGAACCCTAAGGTTTCGTTTTATTAATTCTATTAATTACTAATAGCTATTAACAATGCATGATAAGCTTAGATTTAGAATAAATCATTGGAGAAATTATCTATTCAATAAATCAATATAATTCGAATCTCCATCATTATCATCATTAATATAAACCATGATATCATTAAAAATTTTCATTGATATAATATTATCTAGTTCTTGTTCTTGTGCTCTATATTTCGCCATCAAATCTTCACATAATTCAATCAATAGATATATTTTATTTTTATATTCCTGTCGTTTTTTAAATTCAATCAAATGCTGCAAATTGTCCAACTGTGAATTATATCTAAATTCCAAAACCTTTAATTTTAAAAAACAGTGTATAGTGTTTGGATTAGTGAAAATTGATAAACAATGATCAGTTAATCGTGGACAATTATTCAATGATAGTCTTTCAATATCTGGTAATTTTATCGCTATTTCAAATACAGTTTTATCGGTAACGTTACACCCAGCCAATCCAATAGTATTTAATCCCTTACAACAATTTATCAATTTGATAATAGAAGCATCTGAAATTAAATGTCCTTTATTCTTCCTTCCAAAATTTATAATTTTTAAATTTTTCAAATGTTTTGAGATTTGGTATATTGAAAAATCAGATATGTATTCACAAGCTCGCAAATCCAAAACTTCAATATTTTTGCAATGTAATGAAATTGAAATTAGGAAATTATCATCAATGGTTTTCGAGCCAGTAATAATCAACTTTTTCAAATTTGAGCCAGCTTGTTTAAAAATCTCAATTGATGGAAATAACTTGGGACACATGTACAACTCAAACCATTCCAATTGTTTAAACGAAATATAATGAATACATTTATCAAATAAATATTGTCGTGTTTGAAATAGTTTATGTAATATGAAAATCTTTGGTTGGAATGAAGTAGTTTTCGGACCTTGGTAATTTATAAATTTGACTAAATTCTCTTCATTGCTAAAATAGAATTTTTTTGATATGATATCTGAAGTAATTTTGAAAAATAATTTATTGACTAATAGACAATTAAACAAAGGATTAGAATATACTGGTTGTAATTGTTCTTGTATTTCTTCAGTTGCTCTTTGTGCTATTTCGGCATCTCCATGTATCAACATTGCATGATTATAGTTTAATGGTTTTCTTCTAATTGGAGTTGATTCAGTTGGTAAGTTTGAATTTTGTTCATCTACAAATGAAATTATCTTATGTAAAATTTCAGGAACCTCGAATATCGATATTTTTGAGCTAATCTCTCTTTGTCTTGGTTTATGAAGTTGGAATTTTGGTGGTTTTAATGTTGGTAGTTCTAAATATTGAAAATTTATAGTTGGCAACTTTTTAATTGGAGTATTTTCAGGGGTTAATTCATCATCATCTGTTAAATCTGGTAAGCTTTCCAAATCTGAGTTTGAATTGGAGCTTGGGGTAGAACTTCGAGTAGAGCTTGAAGCAAAATTTGGTTGTGAATTGAAATTAAATTCATCTTGTTTTGGAAATTTATAATATGATAAATTGGTACTTATTGAATTAATTCTTCTTCTCAATTTATGCCTGTTTTGTTTATTAAATAATGAAGCTAATGAAGTAGTGGTAGTGCTGGTACAGAATTTACTTCTCTTATTTGGTGGGTTATTTATTTCATCATCATTACGAGTTGAAGTTGTTATAAATGGATTATTATATATTTGATTATTTGAATTATCATAAGGTAAAGGTTTAGTTGAATTAAGTTTCATAATTATAATATAATAATGCCTTCTATAATTGTTGTATGCTAAATGTAAAAAATGTAAATTGTAATGCAAAAAGGTGATTAATACAGAAATGAATGTAAATGCAAACTAAGTTTAATGATAGACTAAAAGTTGGATTAAAAAAATGAATGACTAAAAGGTTGGTTGTTGTTTTATATTTGAATTGGTTAAAAGATGAGGAGTGGATGGTTGGTTGATGATTGATGATTGAGGATGATGAAATATAAAGATTTATACCAAGTTACAAATTACAAAACAAGATTTTGTAAATTGGAAGAATTCTCTAACTTTAAATATAACTTGAGATTGACAAGTTACTGGTTGGTTGCAAATTTCAAAACCCTGAGTGAAACACGTAATGTGAAATATAATTTACCAACCAGCTAAGTATGAGTAAATGATAAACAAGTTTAATTGAAAGAAATAATATGAATATAAAATAAGTACTGCTGGTTTCTAATTCATATTTAATCTATGGCAACTTTGTGATTCAGTTCGTTGTATCGTCGTAATGAAATGCAACGCACATATTTTTTTTTTCCTTTCGATATTTTTCGCGACATTTTTTATGAAAAAGGCTGGCTACTTTAACTAATTAAAGATAAATATAAACATAACAAAACACGTATAGATTACTCAATTAAGCTTAATTTGAATCTCATTAAGGAACAAATCTCTTAAATACTGTCACAAATTCTTATTTTTGGACTTGTTGCTCTTACTTACTTGCAATTTCATATTTTTAACCTTTTGAAGTCTAGACCCTTTTTTTTTTTCCTGGAATCTAGTACCTAGCTTTATGTTAAAATGCTGGCTTAATAACCTTCTTTACTTATTCTCGTAGGACTTAAGAGACAATCTTGTAGTTTATTCCAGGTACAAACTACGTGTTTTGTGCCTTAAATTACGGAGCTGAAATTTAAGTTATATTTGAAATTTCTTTCCATACGTTTAGGTGAAACTATACATGTCTAAGTTTATTTGCTAACAATAGCTAACAAAGATTTATCATAGTCGTGTATTACGAAAAATATTGGGTTATTCTTAGGAAATCCATCCAAAGATACTACGTTACATCAATCTCAAAAAGATCAGGTTGCAACAGTAGCAAATCCATTCAGAAGATGAATCTTTTGGATTATTCAGGGGTACTGTAACTTAGTACATTTTGTGTTTCTTAAGATTTGTTGAAAAGATTGTGTAAAATTTTTTTTTTTTAGCCAGCCTTTTACGAAAATCTAAAATAGCGTAAATATACAATATAAAAATAATATTATAATAAATGTCAAGAGTGAATTTTTTAGCTGTGAATTTTTTAGCTTCTATTGTCGTTCAACAATTGCAATTGAACATCTTATACTGTCAAAGGTTTAATTGTAAGAATTGTTATTGTTGAAAAATAAGCTCACTTCTGGAGATACAAGGATTCAATAGATTATTGCAAAAACCTATTGTTTAAACTAATACTCAAATCCCAGGATCCTTTAAATCAGGTAGATTGTACGTACAATCAATTCAACAATAAATTAATAATAACATCATACAAAGTTTTTATAATATAGATAAGCTTTATTACAACCAATTACTCTAAATCGGTGTTTATAATAATGATTAAGGGTATTGATCAAGATTCCAGTTATTCTTATCTAAAGTGTTCTGATCAAGATTCCAGTTATTCTTATTTAAAGTGTTCTGATCTACAGAGCCAGATCTTCGTATCGATTTAAATTTTACAGCAAAAATGTTTGCAAATTATTTTTATTAGTGCGGAATTAATTTAGTTCGAACTTGGTATCAAAATGGTATCGGACATAAAGAGTGCGCATGTTAACAAACCATCTATATTAAATTTAACTGATAAGATAAAGAGATGACTATTCATCTTTATTCGATGCGATTTGCGCGACTCACACGTCAAAAAATTTGTCACTCTTACGGACAATAAAGTCCAGGAATAACTATTCCATTGTTTAAGTTTTGTTGATCACCATATAATTAACTATTTGTTGGTCAATTGTTAATCTAAAAGTCATCAGTTTATAGTTTAAGGGATGTATAAATCTATGATTATATCTAATTGTAAGCCTACTTGTAGTATACAATATCAAATTTCACATTGGCTATGTGGCTGTACTTCTTACGATACACCTGTAGAACAACACTTTTACATACAATTCTGAAACCAACAAGTGTTGCAATACCTCAACAACATTTGTTAGTATTTGCAATTGAGTTGCAATTACAGTATCTGTCAAAATTAGACCAAAATATTTAGAGATTTCGGAGTACAAAACTTTAATTAATTTCCTTTTATTTTTATTTTATTTTATTTTTTTTTTTTTTTTTTTTTTTCAATTCTTCTATTTTTAACCAAACCTAAATATAGTTCTTTCTTTTATAATTACAATTAATTACTTTTGACTCGTAAATTTTGATTCAAAATATAGTGAAGATCTAATCGCTAAAGTTTTTGGATATCATGTTGAAGAAGCAACATCATCATAATTCATCAAGATCAACATCTTTATTTGAAATTAGATTAAAAAATTTAGATCATGATGTTTTAATTTTAAAAGGTAATGAACATGAAGCTGCTAGTGCTTTATTATCAGGTAATATTGTTTTATCAGTCAATGAACCTATCAATATTAAGAGATTAACATTGCGTCTATATTCAACGTTAAAATTAAAAAATGAATTACCAAGTAATAATCCAAATTCTGGTAGAAGAGTAATAAGTTTTAATAAGAAAATATATGAACACGTATGGGATCATAATGAATTTAATCAATATTTGAATAAAATGTATGAACATAACTCAAGTATAAATGGTGCTGGTTCACCCCCTGCTCTTTCAAAAAATCATTCAACAACAAGTTTAAAAGGTCTTCGATCAAAATCTGCATTAAATTTATCATCCTTGTCATCACATTCATCATCAACTACAAATTTATCGGGATTGAGTGGTTCAAGCTCTAGTAATTCCCATGTTTTAGTTTCTGGTAATTATGAAATTCCATTTTCAGCAATTTTACCTGGTAAGATGCCAGAGTCAGTTGAAGGTTTACCTGGTTGTTCAGCAGTTTATAGACTAGAAGCAACTATAGATCGTGGTAAATTTCATTCTTCAATGATAACTAGAAAGCATTTAAGAGTTGTACGTACGTTAACTACCGATGCAGTTGAATTAAGTGAAACAATAGCTGTTGATAATACATGGCCTAAAAAAGTTGAATACTCATTAAGTTGTCCAACAAGAGCATTAGCAATTGGTTCTGGATCTCCAATTTCAATGATGTTGGTTCCATTATTAAAAGGCTTACAATTGGGTGATATTAAAATACAATTGGTTGAATTTTATTCCTATGTTGGTAATTTACCACCAGCATATTCAAATGAAAGAATTATAACATCAAAGAAGATATCAAAACCAAATCCAGATGAAATGTTGGATAAATGGGAAATTGATACATTTTTAAAAATACCTGCAAGTTTATCAAAATGTACACAAGATGTAGAATTGTTTAATTATGTAAAAGTAAGACATAAGATTAAGTTCAATATTGGTTTGATAAATCCAGATGGTCATGTTTCTGAGTTAAGAGCATCATTACCTATAATATTATTTATATCACCATTTGTTACAGTGTCAGGTAAACACGATGATGAAATAAGTGAAGATGAAAATAATGGAGAGGAAGATATTTTGTTCATTAGTGATTCATTTGAACAACTAAACCAATTAAGTAATCAAAATCAACATGAATCAAGTACAAGTTTACATAATTCAAATAATAGTTCACATACTTCATTAACTGGATTAGTTGCACCACCATTATATGAAAGACATATATATGATAGATTGTGGAGTGACGTATCACCAATTGAAACTCCACTAACATCAGGTCAATCAACACCAAGATCAAGACAAAATGGATTTACTAATCCAAATGATATACAACAATTTTCAATGTCGCCAGTAGATTCAAGTCTATTGACTGAGAATTTAAGGCAATTGAGTTTACAGAGACAAGCACAAGAAGCAGATGAACATCATAATAACAAAGCAACATTTAATCTAGATGGTGAAGAATCGGCATCAGCTTCCAATCATCCTCAAAATGATTACTTCACACCTAAAAGACCAAATATTAGATCAAATCAAAGTTTCATGCATGATTTATACTTAGCTACCCCACCAGTTCATTTATCTAGGGCAAATTCAGATTTAAATTTATTAAAAAATCCAGGTGAAATGTCACAAGTGCCTTCGTATCAACAAGCTATGAGATCAGATACCGCAGTTGATCCATCACCAATGTATCAACCTCCATTTCCTGGATCACATATAAATTTGGCTGAAGTGAATAGAAATTTAATTAGGAATAATAGTAGGAATGGAACTAATAGTGGTAGTTTGTTAAGTAGAGGTGGTTCAAGTTTAAAACTAAGCTCAAGTAGGAATAGTTCAAATGGATCATCACCATCAAATTCCACAAATGTTTCATCTTCAAATCTTGCAAATTTGATGAGTAGAACAAGTTCAAATAATTTAAGTGCATACGACAATAACAATCAAAATAGTGGTAATTTATCACCAAATCATCTTCATTCAAATGGTTCAGCTTCGTTATCAAGTTCACCAAGAAATGAAGTATCAGTCGCTCAATTATCGCAGATTGCTAATGATAGAAACAGTGCTATTCCACTTAGAACTAGCTCTAGTTTAGGTTTACATAATTTACATTTTTTGAATAAAAAGAAGGATAAGAAATAGAATATAGATAGAATGTTAATATAGAATTATTTTTGATTTGATTAAATCTAGCCACCTCTTATAATTTTTCATTTTCTCATTCTCGGACAAAATATTATCAAACAGTTGAAAATTCAATTTTTATCATTGAAACGTTGCATTTAATACTGTTATCATTGTTAGTATGTTTCGAGATCGTACAAATTTGTTTTTATCATATCGTCGAACAATAACTAGAGATGTAATACCCAAAACACAAACTAAATTTTCGGATTTGATTGATGAAGAAGAGAACGAAGGGTTAATAATATCAAACAGGAAGAACAATAATAATTTATCAGAGACTTCAAATGGAATAGAGTTGAAGCCATATATACCCACAATTTTCGACATAAGTAACTCATTACACAATCTTCTTAATTTAATTTCCAGTGATATTTCAGATTTGAATTCCATATATAAACAATTCATAATTGTAAATAATTCAAATGATAAAAAAAATTATGAACGTAAAATTGAAGATTTAAATTATAAAATTTTGAAAAATTTTGAGAATTGTTATGTAAATATCAAGAAATTTGAATATTTGAATCAAAATCATGAGAAATTGAAATTGAACTACACTGTTAAAGATGTCGAAATATTGCTCAATTTTAAAAAAAAATATGCTAATAAAATACAAGAGAATTTATTGGTTTTTCGTAATTTGCAAAATTCATATATGAAGTTTCTCAAAAATGACGAAGATGACGAAGAATTAAATCAATTAATAGAACTGAAGATGAAAAATACGGAGACTGGAGGTGGAATTGCAGATGATGACGTAGAGGGATTCTCAAAACAATTATTGACTCAACAGACAATCACTCAAGATGATGTATATTTACAACAACGAGAGAAGGAGATAAATCAATTGGCCATGGGTATACTTGAAATTAGTACAATATTCAAAGAAATGGAGACTATGGTTATTGACCAGGGCACTTTACTTGACAGAGTAGATTACAATTTACAAAACACAGTCGTTGATTTGAAATCTTCAGATAAGGAATTAATCAAAGCTCAAAATTATCAAAAAAGAACTCAAAAATGTAAAATTATATTCTTTTTGAGTTTATGTGTTTTTGCATTATTGATGCTATTCATGTTAAGACCATCCTCAAAGACTAAGATTATTGAAAAACCAAGTAACGATAAACCAAATAATGATATACCTGCTACTGAAGAAGAAGCAATTAATGATAAACCATTAAATATAGACCCAGATGTCATACACATATAATAAAGTTTTAAGCTGATGTAAAGACGACAAACTATTGAAAATAAGCTAAAAAGGTATAATGACTCGTATAACATATGTTAGAATACAAATTAATAAATATATTGGTTCTGATGGCGCTTTCGACTATTTCTTAGCTATTGAACTCAAATCCAGACGTGATGAATATAGGAGTTCGTTTAGTTTTCCCCTAATAGGAACAATTTTGCAATAATATACTTGAACAAAAAAAAGCTATATACCTCTAATTATCATTGGGTAATTTTGAATCAGTATTTTGAATTAGCATATGCTGTGTTGTATAAACTATAAAGTGCCAAAATAGTAAAATAGTAGTTATTTTTCATGGTTAATAAAAATAAGCATAGTAAAAACAGCCGCCTCATCTGATTTGATAACCAGGATTTATTATTTAATGATTTTACTAAGAAACTAAGTCAATAATATATATAGATTTAATATTTAAAAACATAGGATGAACTGAATAATATTTAATAATTTTAATTTACGAAAACAATCGTTTACCTTGTTATACCATAAGGACCATTTCTTGCACTAGCTGCGTTTCTACCCATCAACTGTGAGGCATTATTATTTGATTGTTGATTTTTATATCTAGCTGCGACTGGCACGAATCCAGGTGATACTCTTCTTTTAGCTTGTGGTTGACCTCTTGCAAAATTAAAATCTGGATTTGAATTCAATACATTGTCCGATATTGTAGGTCTCTGTTGTGATGAATAATAACCTTGCGGTGACACACTAGTATTGTATTGTTGTGGATATTGTAGTGGTTGAGGTTGTGATTGATAATGAGGTTGCACTTGTTGTTGATACAGTTGTGGAGGTGTTTGTTGATACATTGGTTGGTATTGTTGTACATTTTGATATTGTGGATTATAATTTCTTTGTACTGGAATTTGTTGTTGTTGTTGTTGTTGTTGTTGTTGTTGAGTATATTGTGGATTTGGAGCTCTTTGTGAGACACTTGTAAAATCAGAATCATCATCAGAATCATTACTTTGTTGTTGATTATTCTTAGTTAGATCCTCTTCGTCATCAAAGTCATCTTCTAATTCAGTAAATGGTTTATGACCTTCAACTTGTGGATGATGTTCAAATACACTTCTTGAAAAACTATCATTTGTAATTTTTGGAGTTGAAGCTGGATAAGGTGGGTTATTTGATGTTGTTGATCCGTCAACACCTGTTGTTCCAGTTGGTCTATAACCAGAAGCTACTGAATTTGAATTTGTATTTGTAAAATCATTAACTGTTTGAGGTGGTTTTGAATAACATGATGAAGATTGACTTGTAAATGAATTAGAACCGTTATGAGTTCTAATTGGCGGTGGATTATTATAACCTTTATTGATAAATCCACTATCATTATTCAAATTTGAATTCGTATTTGAAAATGAATTTACATTACTCATGGTACTATCATATTGTTTATAATTATATTCATTTTCAATTGAAGAAGTTGAATTTGGTGATTTGAAAGTTAAAGTTTGAATATGATTAAATTTATCATCTAATTGGCCATAATTAGCAAATTTATCAAAACCAGATTCTGTATCACTATCATTATCATCGTTACGTTTCAATGTAATTAAATTCAAGATCAAGAAGATTAATGAAAATATAGTCGCAGCTGCTGCACCAAGTAAAATCCAACTTGTCCAATGTAAATTTGGATAAAATACTAATATAATAATAATAGTAACTAAGATAGTCAAAATCATAGCCAAAACATTGACAACAATTGCAATTAAGTTAACACCTTTATTTGAAAAATGTGAAGCAAAAATCAATACCAATAAAACAAAATTGAAGCCCAAGGCAATAGGCGCAATAATGAAAATTTTCGCCAAAGTATCTCTTGTATTATTATTTAATATCCAATTTGAAGTTGAATCATCAACGTCACTTAATTTAATAGGATAAGTTGCACTTGAACATTGCGAATTATTGTCCCAACAATAACCAAATATACCATAAGTATAATCAGCAGTATGACCTAAATTAAAAGACTTAACAACGGGTGAACTTATAGTAGCTAATAATAGAAATACAAATGAGACAAGTATCAAAATGAACGATATACTGTTAAGACTTAATTTAAAACTCATATTGAAAAATGACGTGTGTGCAAACTGATAAACTATTGTACAACGAATGAATAAAACAAAATCAAGTCTAATAAAAAACTTATTATCTTGAAATTGAAAACGACTGGTAAAACTTTTAACAAAAAACTAATAACCGTCTTTCTTTATTAATATAAAATTCTTGTTTATATTTAGAAATTTGATCAAACTTTTTATTATTTAAACTTTTGATGAATTCTTATTCTTATGGAAGTAGTGCATATAATAAAACACGCTTATACACAGTTTTTTTTTTATTATTTTTTAATTTTCTTTATAACGTCAAAGTTGCAACTATATCCCAATTTATGTACTAACACACATATATATATATATGTGTATATATATATATAAATTTGAAGAGAAACATGTAACTATCAATGTCATTGGTTGTTAGAAATCTCATTGATTCAATAGAAAAACACGTTCTAAATATGAAACAATATAGATTTATTTTCGATGCATAAGCTCTTAAATTATTATTTATCAACACATCAATAATGATTTCGAATCTCTCGCTAAAATTATTCTTACATTCCTTTTAGAATTAAAGGATTCTGTTGCATATTTAAAGAGGGTTTACTACCTATTGAAGTTAATGGCTAATGGCTGGTTGCAACTTTTTGTATAACTCAATTCAATTTTTTGTAATGATTATTATTTATTGATCCTAATAATACTCCAAATAGGAGTAAACAAACAAAATCTAATAGAGCCGTACGTGTGAATAAAAACAAGATTGTAGCTGATTACACGACTTAGTAATTTTTGTTACGCCTTGTCGTGTCTTTTATTAGTCGTGTCTTTTATTAGTCGTGTAAACACATTTTCGCAGCAATTAATCTCGTAACTTTGAGTAATCTACTAAAAAATGTTAATATCCCCTAACACAATTAAACATCAAAACCAATGTGGTAAAATGTGTAAAATGTGGCTGACAAATTTATTCTAAGAATTGATGCCTGTTCGTCTTTGTATATTGTTTTGCGCTACGTTTAAATAGATTTATTGCTTTTGAAACAATCCTAATCATCTTTTATCGTTAGCTCTTTTAAAAGACATTTCTCGAGATGACTTTTGAATTGTTATTTACTTAGTTAAAAGATTGTAATTCAAGAATCCTACTTATATAAAGTGGGCACTTAACTCCAGAGAATTTGTTGTTGTTCATGAAATATAAACCAATGACCTTAGTACGAGTCGCCCTAAACCTAGCGCGAAAATAATATTTTCGCGGCACTAATCTTGTGCGAGTATTTCGTATTCAAAAAATAATTTGAAACAAATTTGACCTATATGCAGTCCTGTAGTACTTAATCCTGAAACTTAAATTGTTTATAACTCCCTCAGTAATTAAGCTGTACTCGTCAAACTTTTTTTCATTGAAATTTCAGTTAAAATGGATAAAAACAATATTACTAGATGCTTTTATAAACACTCAATACTGATATACTTTATTCTACTTTTAAAATATTGCAAAAAACGCTATTACGCAAGATAATTGATGCTTAGACATCATCTAACAACTTCTAATTTAGCAAATTAGGTTCATTAGACCTCAAATATTATTTATATAATGTTTTCAAGACGTCAAAATTCTTTTGAAAGTTTTTGTAAAAATGAAGAAAAACACCTTTGAAAAATGTCTTTTTTTTTTAATTTTAGGTACCTTAACACAGAAATATTTAAGCTATATTAATGTGCAGAGCTACAAATCTTGATAGTTCCATCATGTTTCAATTTGAATTTTTAAAAGTGGAATTAAATTTCCTGTAAAGTGGGTTTATTCGAATTTTGCCACGCTCAGGTAAATAATTTCGAAATCTTTCAATTTTCGTTTAAAGCAACTAGAATAAAATCTAGCCTCTTCGGTTGAGGTACAATATTGGACCTGAAGTTTATTTGAGAGTTATGGCCCTAGATAGTAGGTAACACAGATTTACATTTTTCGAAATATTTATGTATGGTGAAAAAACGCCATAAACTCAACTTCAAAAAAAAAAGTTTGAAATTTGAAACTTGAAACTTGAAGTAAGCAAGATATATAATTTAAGGCTCTTGATGTCATATAACTTGTAATTAATTCGAGAAATTGCTTGGTATTTGACATATTAGCCGGTACATTTAACACGAGTCGCCTTAAATCTAACGCGAAAAATCATTTGGTCGCACTAAATTTATTGTCTCAAAAAAACTACAGTCTTTCAGTAAGTCAATTGATCTTAAACTTACTCTTTTTATAATTCAGCTCTCCATCTCACACCTAGCTCATTAAAGACTTCGGACAATATGGAGTATAAGTAATAGTCAGATATAAAGAGTTCTGTTAATGTGCATACCGTTATTTTTCCATGTAATTAAGGAGAGTTTTGGATGAGTTTTCGGACTCAATATGTATCTTTTATAGATGCAAAATTAAAATAAATGACCACCAATCATTAGTTAATATACAATATTAAGATCTTTATACAATACTTCAAGTTTGATCAGCTGATTCAAACAATATTTGATTTTTTTCAAATTTTCAACCATGATAAATACTCGAAAAGAAATGGTCAACTAGTAAAATGAGCAGGTTGTAAGTTTAGTTAATAATACAAAGAAAGGTTTTCAAAAAGAAGAGCCAGTAGTACCTAATTAAAGTATAATTATACATTCGTTCATTAGTCGTCTAATTCATTTATTTCCTTCATACCAAATATCAGGAACTTCTAAAATATACCTCTCCATTGCTTCTCTAAATCTTACTCTATATTGTTTTGGAGTTACAATTGTTGGATCTTTACCTTTTTTACCACCACCAATTAAATTATTTCCCTTAACCCAATTTTCAACTTTTTTATCCCAAGTAAAAGTTCTTAACCAATCAATAATTCCAGTATATAATTTTTTATTATTATCATCAATACCGATAACTAAAGAATAATCCATTACATCCATAGCTGATAAAAAACTAGTGTCATTGAATAAACAACCCCTTAATAATTTTTTCAGTTGTTCCTTTACAAATACTGGACTTTCATAAATATATTCAATCATATTTTCATCTAACAATACTTCGTTTTCTTTTCCTGTTTGTTGAACATGTCTATTTCTCATTGATCCTTTAAGATCAAAAATTCTAGTAGTTTTATGATTATAAAATAAATTTTCCATGATTAAAAAATCCATTTTAAAAATTTTACCAGTTTGTTGATTTCTAATTTGAACTTGATAAAATCCAAATATTTTAGCAATTGCTGTAGTTAAAGTATTAAACATTGATTGACTGATATACTTAAAATAAAATGGAGCAATTGATACAAATGATTCTAATTCAGATTTTGATAATTCTTTAACAATATATCTATTATCTAAAGTTTTTAAAAATGATGAACCTGATTTTCCACCACTTGATTGCCATTTAATACATCTACTTAAACTTTGAATAAAATTATCATTATTTCCACAACTTTTTCTTAATGCTTCAAACTGTTCTGAGTAAAAAATTTTACATGATAAATTAGTATTACCATCATTAAATTGATATTTTAAATGATTTGATTTTGTTTTGTTAAGAATATTTTCTAATTTATTGACTTTAATTGAATCATGTTGTGATTTTTTAAATTTTTTTTCAATTTTTGAAAATTGTTGAAATTTCTTGTTATTATTTGAAATTCCAAATAAATCATTTCTTTTAGATTCTATTTCCAGATCATCTTTTTTATGATTATCTTCTTGTATTGAAGCTTGTGGACATTTATCAGTTGATGGTTGTTGATTTTCTATAATCTCATTTAATGCTTGGGCAATTTTTTGTTTATAATCATTTGAAGATAAACAAAATGCAACTAATGAAGAAGGTTCATCTTCTCTAACTATAACATCAGAATCAGCAAATGTATGTTCAGTTGAATCTAATGGATATGATAATGGATCCCATAATGTAGCTGATCTATCAGCCCAAAAATTAGTTAATGATTTTAATAATGATACTTTTTCAGGTATGTCTACATCTTTAGGAATGTCATCCTTTAGTTTTGATTCATCCTTAACATCTTTAGCTTTCTCTTTCTCCTTTTCCTTTTCTTTTTCCTTTTCATCCATACCAACAACATCTTCAATTTTGTTATAAATCTCTACAATTGGTTTACTATCTAAAATAGGTTGTGCTTTAATTTTAGATTTCTTTTTCAATTCTTTTTCTCTTTGTTTTGAAAATTCTACCGAAATTTGATCATAATACATCTTATCAAAAAAATTAGCTAAATGAATAACTTTATTTTGTGATGGAATTATTGTTGGATTTGGATTATTAATAGTTTTTAATGAACTATCGGAATTTCTATGACTTAATGTCTTATCCATAATTGTTGGTATTGTATTTTCACTAGCTGATTTTTCCCATTTGCTAATTCTTTCAGAAATATTGGAATTTTGTTCATATAATTTATTAGGTAACATTTTATTTTCAATGCTTGAATCTGATAATTTTCTTTCTGGAGTTAAACCAGATGATAATTCTCTAGGTTTCTTTGGAATGAATCCAGGAAATGGATTTAGATATTTTTCATTTGAATTATCTTCATTATCTCCTTCTTCATTTCTAGATTCAGATTCAGTTTCAGTACCTTCATTTGATTCAACAACTTCAGACAGTTCTCCATCATTTTTTTGATCATCGTGATATCTCTCCATTAAAAATTTCTTTAAATGAAATTGAGTAATTCTATTAACATCATTTTCACTAGGTAAATATTTTTTTTCAAATTCATTAAATTCTCCATCCCAAAAAACCCCTAATTTTTGTAAATCTCGAAGTATAGTATTCAATGCTAAATAATTTGAAGGTATTATTGAATCATAGATATTTTGCATTTTCAGATAAATATTATTTGAATCCAATTTTAATTTTTCCTTCATTTCTTTAATTTTATTATTACCATCTTCTGCTTTATCAAAAGTATCTAATTTAACTCTATTTAATCTTTTTAAAATTGATTCAAAAAATGATTGAGCTTTTAATTTAATTTGTTTAAATGAATCTAATTTCAATTTTATATCTATATCAGCAACAAATTCAATTTGTTTCTTAGGTACTACAATTTCATAATTATCAATATTTGAATATTCTAACCTAATTACTAAATCGTTAAATCCAAAACATTTAACATAACTTTTAAAAAAATCATGATTACAACCTCCTATTACGTTTGATCCATAAAAAAATAATTCAAAAAATTTACCAATTGATAAATAATAAGTTTCATCGCTCATTGCAATGATTGGAGTTATATAATTACATTCTTTACAATAACTCCACATTACTCTTTGATTCTTACTTTGAAAATCAGTTGAATGTGTACTTGTATCTCTATGAATATCAAATTTTTCAATTATTAAATCAACTTTGGCATTTCCATGAACATAACTTTTGTAATGATCAAGAAATGATTCACCACAATCTTCACAAATTTTGGAACTTTCATAAAATGCTTGATCTAAAAATAAACCTAAACATTTATCATTATCAGTATAGTAATCAATTACAACTATACTTGGACCAGTACAAGGGGTTGCATGTTTAATTGAAACTGTTGAATGTAAAACATGAATATTTCTATGAAAGATAGGGTATAATTGATACGAAGAATATCTCATACAATTAGTCCATGTTCTTGATCTTGACAAATAATCATTGATTAAAAATTTTAAATGTGAATCACTTGCAAATTTTAGTATCTTTATTAAGTTATCTTGTTTGCTTGGTAATTCATCAACTTTATAATTTATTCTTAATTGATCTAACCATTCTTGTTTCACATCTTTAACTGAGCGTATATTTTGAATTTGTTTTGATAAATTATAAAATTTAAAATATGAGTAAAAAGATTCAATTAATTTAATAAGTGGAGTTGGTAAAATATAGTGGACTGATGGTGAAGTACTCAATTTTCTTTCTATAAATAATTTAACATATTCAACTACCTCTGTTGTATCCAAATGTAATTCTGAATCATCATCACCAACTTTTTGGATTGTTGTCACTTCTTTAATCTTTTCATTTATTTCCAATAAATTTTGATTTTCAACCGGTGGTTCTTTATAACTTAATAATAAGTTGTCAAAGAAACTTTTTTCAAACCTTGCATTAAGATAACCAGGCATTAAGGTCTCAGCTGCATATTTTATATTATTCAATAAATCTTCATCTCCACCTCTTAATGAAATAGTGAATCCCAGTTGAATATCACTACCAGTAAAAAATGCAAATGTTTTAATCTTATCATTATATTTATAATTCTTGATTGAAAACTCTTTACAAGTTCCCAATTTTCCCTTTTTGAAAAACAAATCATTTACAGTTTGAAAAATATCAGCTTTTGTATATCTTGAAATACGTTCAATAATTTGTGGTTTTACATTTGACATTACTGTGATTCCAGCTTCTTCTAATTGTTGTTCAGCTAATCCACAAACAGTCTCACCACCAATGACAATATCGGGTTGTAATGAAATTAATTTTGATACTAAATTGGTAATGTATACAGATTGTTGAGCATGTATAATTCTTAAACTTATAAATTGTTCTCTTTGTTTTAAATATTCAATTGGGAACATTAATAATGCAATTTTTGGATTTTCAATTTGTGATGACATTCTTTTTGAATCAATATTTTTAGTAATGAATAAACCATCAATTACTTTAGTTTGATTTATATCACCACCATTTATTTTCTTAATTTTTACATATTGCCTAATATCTAAAGTATCCGTTAATTTTATTTTATCGATATAACTCAACAGATTTTTTAAAACTTGTAACCACAAATCTTCATTTTCTTCAATATCGCAATCGGTTAAACATTGACGCAATACAAGATCTAATGCATCTTTATAATATTTCAATTTGTTAGTATTTTCTTCTTTCCATATACTTATATTATTATTCCCAATCAGATGATCATGATCATGGTGTTGTCCATTAAAATATTCCAAACTTTTAGAATTTGATTTATCAGTTGATTCTAAAATTGTACTTGATGAAATTTTAGGTTCTAATGGTTCTAATTCGTTGATATCATTCAGTGTAATATCTGAAGTATTAGTTGCAAGATTAATATTATCATCACTAAAAGCCATTGTTAATCTTGATTGATTTGGTTTATTATCTATTATAGGTGAAGATGGAGATGAAATTGGAGTTAATGAAGAAACAAAATTATTTCTTTGAATTGGTGATTCTAAACTTGGAAGTCTTAAGTTATTTTGTGTCAATATCGAAACATTTCTAGTTGCTTTACTTTGTCTTCTTGATCTCATTCTTTGTAATGATGCATGTGCTCTTGCTTTTGATCGAATATTTTCTGGTTGTTGTTGTTGTTGCTGTCCATTTGAATATCCACCAAATTCAATCACTGCATTTGGATGATGGAAAATTTTTGAAAAATTATTTACATGATTTCCAAATTGTGGTATTCCAGTTTTAATTGATGGAAATTCACCTAAAGTAGGTACAGAAATATTTGAATTCGAATGAATTGGTGGTGGTTTTGGTGTAATTGGAGTTGAACCAAATCCATTATCATTTAGTGAAGTATATAATGACATTGCATGTTCATCTTCTTCATCTTCTTCACTATCAATACCACGAATTTCTTCATTTTCTAATTCTTCAAAACTATTATCTAATCTTTTATCGGTTTCAAATCCAGATAAACTTTGAACATCGCCTGGTTCTTGTGAGAATTCTTTTCTATATGGTGTACCTGATGATGTAACACGATGTTTAAATGATGGTTTTCTTGATATGAAATTATTATAAGCATTACTTATATTATCAAATGAACTACTTGAAATTAATTCAGTATTTTGCATAGTTGGAGATAAATGATTTTTCAACCATGATTTATTTGAATGACTATCTAAATTTAATGAACGTTGATAATTATGATGAAGGTGATTATGATGATGATGATTATGATGATGATGATTATTTGGAGGTAATAATGACACTTTAAAATTATGATTGAATGCAGTATTTGGAGTTTTCATCATATTCGAATTTGAATATGAATTTCTAATTAATGGAATTTCAATAGATTCTCCAGCTCTCGTAGTAGGTATAGCCATTTTTGGTGCTTGTTTTGGATGTACTTTTATTGATTCGTCAGGGTATATTAATTGATCATTATTACGAGATGGTGAATTAAAATCACTAATTGTTGAATTACTATCGGGTAGATTATTATCATTTTCCATATTTGGTTTATGGGAATATGAACTTGTAGACATTGATCTTATTCTAGATAATGGATGATTTGGAACTAATAAATCATCACCTTTTTTACTAACTTCAGTTATTTCATTTTCTCCATCATTATCTGAATTTAAACTTGAAGAATCATCACTTAAGTAAATAATAACATCACTATAACATGGTTTACAAACTCTTAATTTATCACTATATGGTTTTTTTTTATGATTATTGTTCCTTTCATCTTTATGTTGATTATATGAAATGAATAAAGTACAATCTGAACAAAATATTTGACCACAAAATCTACAATGATGTTTTCTTCTGAAAGCAGTGAAAGGTTTAAAACAATTTAAACAATCTGATACAAAAGCATCATTCATCCAGTACTTTCTTGGTATACCACCATTCTTTAATGGATTTTCTGATCTTTTTTTAGGTTTCTTCTTTTTCTTCTTTGTCACTATTGACGATGCAGATGATGCTACGGCACCTATGTTATTATTTATAATACTTCTTGCATTGTCTAATAATACTGATGATAAATTTGAAGTTTTCTTTTTTACTATACTTTGATCTTTATCTTGGATAGCTTGAAATGAAGAAATAGTAGGTGATTGACCAAGATTTGTTGAAAATATAGCACCACCACCTTTACTTTCAGCTTTTATAGGTGATGATTTTGCAATTGATTCAGAGTACATTGTACCTAAATCATATTGTAGATGTTGATGATGATGAGGAAGACTATAATTACTACTTGTATTTGATGATGCAGATTTTGAGTCATTAATAATTGGTTCGTTAAGATTGTTTATTGGTGTTTCTATAGTAGAATCAACAGTATCATCATTTTGCATAGTATCCAGATCAGAAGCTGAATCATCTGAAAATTCAATATCATTTGGTAAATTATTGAATATTGAGGAGATTTTATTTTGAAGTAATTTGTCCTTACTTGTTATATTCTTAGTCTCAACAGGCTTATTTTTATCTCCTTCTTTATCTTTATCAGTTACAACTTTATCTTTTGTGCCTGTTTCTATTTCACTGGAGGCCAAGGCATTAACATTAATTACAGAACTTGTGGTACTTCCATTAATTGATTGTAATCTCGAAAATTGCATTGTTGAAATTCGTAATTTTTTATTATCTGAAGTAACTCTTGGTCCTTTTAAATCATCTGGAGAATTTTGTCGTATATTTTTTAATAATAAATTATTTGCATGTTTCAAAGCTTGTGTTGATGAATTATTAGGTTGGATAAATGATTGTTGTGAAGATTGTAGACTTGATATGCTTGGTTTTGATTCTTTTAATTCATTTGATTTGTTAATTTTATCTATAGGTGATGAAATATTACTATTTGAAATTCCTGAATTACTAAGAGAATTTTTCAGATCCATTGGAGAAGTACTCGTATTTTCACTTGCTTTGTCAACAACTAAATCTTTATTTGTATCATTCCAATATTCCAGAGGAGTAATTGATAAATTATCATGAATTGAAGAAACACTTGATTTAATATTATTATTATTACTATTATTATTATTATTGTTATTATTTATATTACTTGTGGATTTTTCAATTGGTTGTTGTAATGAGTCAGTACTTGCTTTACTTGTTGAACTATATGAATTTACTAAATTGGATGCATTATTAGTTACTTTTCTTAATGTTTGAGTCAATAAACCTGAAATTGATTTAGTATTCGATTCTGGATCAGGTATCGTGGGAAATGAAACAAAATCTTCCTTTTGTTTTGTTTTTGATTTATGATTATTTAATATTGAATCTTGATCTATTTCATCATCACTATTATTTGTATATGAATTAAATCGTTGTATTGAAGGTGGTTTTGAATTATTAATTGATTTCAATTTTGGATCTAATTTTTGATTTGATTCCATGGATTAGTGGCAAGTATCACAATACAATTAATTATCCAAGTATTATTTGATATAAATCAGACTTTACCACCAGAATAATACTATGTAAATGAATGGTATAAATTTTGGTTGCAAGAACAAATATATATATTTGATAAATAAATTTGTCGTGTATTTTTCTCGTAAAATATTCGGGATAATTTTTATTATTAGGAACTACGTTATATAATTATATAATTATATAAGGATTAAAGCGTGATTCTTAACTATAGACTATTCATCTGTTACTACTAGATAGTATTCATATGTACTGTTTAGTATAATTATAGCGTAAGGCCAATTACTCGCAAATTGTAGTATACTATTTTTTGTTTGTGAAGGAAGAAAAGAAAGAGAAAAAAAATCTGTTGAGATTGTCAGCTGTTTGTTAACAAATTCATTTTATATTGACAATTGACAATTTGTTTAGTCATTGGACTTTTATTTATTATTAGTTTTTATTAGTTTTGCTGCATTCATCATTTTAATATTCACTTTTTATGTCTACTTCGGGTTTAACAAAAAGACGTGGTGGTGGTGGTAATGGTGGTAAACAATTGACTCCAAAACCAAGATCATCAAATGATTATGATGAAGACTATAATAATACTAAATTAGATAATAATGATAATAATATGTCACAAGATCATAAAATTGGTTATGATGATAAAGATATAAAACAAGATTTACAAATTAATTCTCCTTTGTTAACTTTGATGGAAGAAGTTTTATTAATTGGTTTAAAAGATAAAGAAGGTTATTTATCATTTTGGAATGATAATATTTCATATGCTTTAAGAGGTTGTATATTATTAGAATTAACTTTTAGAAATAAAATAACATTGATTAATGATCCTGCAAGACGAAGATTTGAGTTAAGTGATAGATTAATTCAAGTTATAAATTCAGATCCAACTGGTGAAGTTTTGTTAGATGAAGCTTTAAAAATAATGAAAAATGATGAATCAAATTTACTGGTTACAAACTGGATTGATTTATTAAGTGGTGAAACTTGGAATTTAATGAAAATAAATTATCAACTAAAACAAGTTAGAGAAAGATTAGCAAAAGGTTTAGTTGACAAAGGTATATTAAGAACTGAAAGAAAGAATTTTTTTTTATTTGATATGGCCACTCATCCAATTGCTGATAAAACATCAAAAGAATATTTAAAAAATAGAATATTATCATTATTAATACAAAGAAATATTGATTTAGATTCAATTTCAAATGATCAATTTCCAAAAACAACTTCACTTAAATATTTAAGATCTATTGCATTAGTTTGTGGTGCTTATGCTGCTAATGTTTTAGAAAATATTTTATTATCTTTAAATTATGATAAAAGAGATCAAGCATTTGCAAGAGCCGATGAATTATTAACTGATTTTAGTGAGTATCCATTTAATTTGAATCATCAAAGTCCTTTAGGATTAGGTTTAAATTTAGGTCAAGAAATTTCAAATGAAATTGAAAATTCTTCATTAACTGATTTACAATTGGAGTTAATTGCTGCTGTTCTAAGTGTATTTGCAAGAATGGATTCAATTCTTTAAAAATATATATAGATTTAATAAACATATCTTTTGTAAAGTAATTTATTTCTCTATGTTTTATCAAGTAGTTGTTCAATACCTCCTAATTGATTTACAAAATTATATGCTAAACTGTCATTACCATCTTTGTCACCTGCAGAATCCCAAAACATACCACCACCAAGTTTATTCAGTTTAATAAATTGAGCTTTAATTTTCACTGATTGTGGATTATCAAAACTTATAAATTGTTTAGTTTGTGATTCATATGCAATTGCACCAACTTTCTTTGCATCAAAATTAGTTTCAAAATAAGTTGGTATATTTTTATATTCAATTGTTTCGGCTTCAATTGAACCTATTAATCTCTCTTTTGAGAATGGTTGACCTATTTTATTTGAATTTACTCCATGAAATATTCTACCATATAATGGCATACCCAAAATCAATTTCTCAGAATCAACACCACCTTGTTTATATTTCAGTATCACATCAGATGAATTTAAGCTATTATCTCCATTATTTCCAAACAAATTAGATTGATGTCCAGTATTCTTTGACCAACCTTCACCTGTAAAATCATAACACATAATATTCCAAAATGTCAAATATTGATCCAATTCCCGTAGTGGTAAATTTTGAATATTTTCGTCACTAGCAGGAGCTGCAATTGTTAAAATACAATTATTACCAAGTTTTAATCTTAATTTTTGTAATAATTGTACAAATTTCATACCTTGGTGGTTATTTTTTGGATATTCCCAATCTATATCAACACCATCAAATCCATATTTTTTAATAAAGTAACAACAACTATCAACAAAATTATCCAATTTTGAACCATCTTGAATTATAGACTCAAATAAATGATTAGTACCCCATCCTCCAATTGACATAATTAATTTAAACCGATTTGATTCTTTCAATCTATTAAATAATTGTATATTACCAGACAAACCTTCCATAGGCATATTTAAGTCACACCATTCATCACTAAATTTTAATTTACCAGTATTTTCATCAATTAAAATAAATGCATAAAATATATGAGTATAATAATTTAAATTTATATTACATGGGAAATGTTTTCTTTGATAAACTGACCAATTAGAATAATATACGCAGCTCTTGAACTTAATACCATCATCATCATCATCATCATTATTATTATTATTATCATTATTATTCTTTAATCTTTGTTGATAATTTTCAATCAATTTATGACACATTTTATGACATATTTTATATATAATTCAATTTTCAATGTCTAATTTTTAATTTTTACGAAACAAAAAAAAAAAAATAATTCTGAAACAAATTAAATAATTTCGAATGGCAATTGATTTAATTGAATTACCAAAAGATATATCATCTTCAATTCCAATTAATATTAAAGTATATAAAGATGAATGTATTTATACTTTTGATACGCCTGAAAATAACACACTTGGAATTGATTTAGATTTAAAAACTTTTAAAGCTTATTCAAGAAATGAAAATTATAATTTGACTAAAATTAACTATGAAAAAACTGGAAATTATTTATATTTAAACATGAACAAAGTATTAAAGTCACAAGAAGAAAGAAATAAATTATTATATGATTCAAATGGCGATAGAAGTCCTAAAATGCAAAAATTAGAAGTTAAAAATGCTAATAATGATGATTATTATAATACTATAATTACGGTATATGATATCAAAGATGATAAAAGTTATAATAGAGAGGAATTATCCGATAAATTTAATAAATTAATTGATTCCATCTTATCTACAAATTCCTCATACAAAGAAGATGAAATTCAGCAATGGGAACAAGAAATTTTACCATGTGAGCATTCAATTGATGTTCAACAATTTAATAATAATGAATTAGATTTATCCAAATGTTCTCAATGTGAGCTAAAAGAAAATCTATGGATTTGTTTACATTGTGGTGTTTTAGGATGTGGAAGACAACAATATGGTTCTGATTTAAAAGGAAATGGTCATGCTTTATCTCATTTTGAAATTACACAACATCCAATAGCTGTAAAATTAGGTTCATTAAATTTAGATAGTGATAAATGTGATATTTATTGTTATAAATGTAATGAAGAAATTAAAGTTTTAAATTTAAAAGAAAAATTATCAAAATTTGGTATTGATTTAACATCAATTGAAAAGACTGAAAAATCATTAATTGAATTAAATATAGATAAGAATTTAAATTTTGATTTTAGATTACAAGGTAAGGATGGTCAAAAATTAACACCAGTTTATGGTAAAGGTTTAACTGGGTTTCAAAATTTAGGTAATTCATGTTATTTAAATTCTGTAGTTCAAGCGTTATTTGATCTCGATGAGTATAAAAATTATTTCAAAGAATTTAATTTCAATTTTGATATTGATCCAATTAAAGATTTGACTAGTCAATTAGTTAAAATTTATGATGGATTATATTCTGGAAGGTATTCTAAACCTGGATCTTTAAAAGGTGATGATTATCAATTAGGTATTAAACCATTCACATTCAAAAATTTAATTGGAGAGAATCACGTAGAATTTAAAACTCAAAGACAACAAGATGCTTTTGAATTTTTATTATATTTATTAAATAAATTGGATCATCAATTTGGTATTGATTTAAATAAATCATTTAGATTTTTATTCACAAATAAATTAATTTGTGCAAATTGTGGAAAAGGAAATATAAAAGATGAATTAATTGATAATTTATCTGTAATTGTTAATGATATAATTGATTCAATTGATGAAAATGGTAAAAAAATATATAAAGAAACGAATTTAGAAACTTCATTCAAATTACTCACTGAAAAAGAATCAATTGAAGGTTATTCTTGTGATACATGTAATTCTAAATCAGGATTAGCTCATAAATCAAGTGGTTTTAAGTCATTTCCAAAACATTTAATTATAAATGCTCAAAGAATAAAATTGGAAAATTGGGCACCTATAAAAATTGATGTACCTATTGAAATACCATTTAAACTAAATTTAGAAAGTTTTAAAGCTCCAAAAATTGAAGAAGGTGTAATTGAAGTATTTGAAGAAGAAGAAGAAGAAGAAACGTCATCTAAATTTGAACCAAATCAAGAAGCATTAGATACTTTACTTTCAATGGGATTTCCTGAACCTAGAAGTATTAAAGCGTTATATAATACAGGTAATTCAAATACTGAAGATGCTATGAATTGGTTATTTGCTCATATGGAAGATGTAGATATTGATGAACCTATAAATTTTGAATCAAAAAAAGAAGTTGGACCATCTGAAGACTTAATTAATAATATAGTTGCAATGGGTTTTTCTACTCAATTAGCTAAAAAAGCTTTAATTTTGAATAATTCAGATGTTAGTCTAGCTATTGAATGGTTATTCTCAAATCCAGATGATGATGGTATAATTGAAATTAATAACAACCCAATTATTGGTTTAAAACAACAAGAAAAAGATTTGAAAAAACAATTAAAAGATCAAGAATCAAATTCTGGTAATTATTTATTAAAATCTGTTATTTGTCATAAAGGATCTTCACCTCATGCTGGCCATTATGTTGTTTATATTAAAAAAATTATAAATGATGAAATTAAATGGGTATTATTTAATGATGAAAAAGTAGTTGAATGTGATGAATCAAATTTGGATGATATTAAAACAAATGCATATATTTATATATTTGAAAGAGTCTAATACATATATATATAATACTTATACAATAATTATCCAATATAAATTGAGAGAAACTTGATTACAACGAAAACGTGACACAAAATCGTAATATTCTTTGGACCTCAAAATTTTTCAAATTTTTCAGTTTTGAAGAAAAAAAAAAAAAAAAAAAGATGAATCATCCTATTTATTTTACTTGTTTCACAATTAAACTAGTTTATAATTGATCAAATATCAATTTATATTCACTTATAAAAATAAATAATACATTATAATGTTCATTACGAACGAACACGTTGGTGATAGATCTCGTATGGAAGATTGGAGAAGTATGTAATAATATATATTCAACACATTTTTTTGATTGCAAAAAATTTGAATCATGGTAATGAACTAGATTTTTACTAACAAATATATTCTAGTAAGAGGTTACGATCCTTTATCTCCACCTGATTTATTACAACATGAATATCCTTTAACACCTAAATCTCAGGAAACTATTCTACAAGGTAGAGATCAAGCTTGTGATATTTTAAATGGTAAAGATGATAGATTAATTATTGTTATTGGTCCATGTTCAATTCATGATCCTGCAGCTGCTTTAGATTATTGTAATAGATTATATGAAATTAGTGAAACATTAAAAAATGAGTTATTAATTGTTATGAGGGCTTATTTAGAAAAACCAAGAACAACAGTTGGCTGGAAAGGTTTAATTAATGATCCAGATATTGATGGTTCTTTTCATATAAATAAAGGTTTAAGAATTGCAAGAAAATTATTTGTTGATTTAACTTCTAAATTACCAATTGCTGGTGAAATGTTAGATACAATTTCACCACAATTTTTATCTGATTTATTTTCAGTTGGTGCTATTGGTGCAAGAACAACTGAATCTCAATTACATAGAGAATTAGCAAGTGGTTTATCATTTCCAGTTGGTTTTAAAAATGGTACTGATGGTACTTTAGGTGTTGCTATTGATGCAATGAGAGCTGCTTCTCATCCTCATCATTTTTTGCTGGTTACTAAACCTGGTGTTGTTGCAATTGTTGGTACCGATGGTAATAAAGATTGTTTTGTTATATTAAGAGGTGGTAAACAAGGTACAAATTATGATGAAAAATCAGTTAATGAAACTCAACAACAATTAATAAAATCAAAAGCAATAAATGAACAAAATTTTGGTCCAAGAATTATGGTTGATTGTTCACATGGTAATTCACAAAAAAATCATTTAAATCAACCAAAAGTTGCAAAGTCTGTTGCTGATCAAATTTCAAATGGTAATAAATCAATATGTGGTTTAATGATAGAAAGTAATATTAATGATGGAAGACAAGATGTTCCATCAAAAGAAGAAGGTGGTAAAGATAAATTGAAATATGGTGTTTCTATTACTGATGCATGTATTGGATGGGAAACAACAGTTGAAGTTTTAACTATGTTATCTGAAGCAGTTAAAACAAGAAGATCAAAACAAGCTTAAAGTAAATAGGATATGAAAATATATGGTAAAATAAAATTAGTATGTGAAGTCAATTGGTAGCTATTATTATATCTGTTTTTTGCAATCAAATTTATACGCACGGCATGTTAATATTATTTTCTTCTTTACAACCAGCTTAAATTTAGAATCAAAGACAGACAAGCTTATATTATTCGACATATAGGTTTAGACATTAGCTTAAATTTCTTTCATCAATAGATTCATATGAGATCTTTTATAAAATCACATAAAAAAAATGATTCAACTACTACTAATTTATCGATAGAGTTAATAAATCAAGATTCAAATGGATTGGATTTTCAAGCACCACCAATTACATCTAATAGTAATAAAACTCCATTATCATCGCCTAGAATTCAACAAGTTCCTTATACTCCTCCAAGTAACATAGCTACGCCTTCATCATTAAGTTCTCCCAAAAAATTATTAACTCCTATTAAAAATTTATTTTCATCTTCCCAAGGTAAATCAACTATTTTAACTACTCCAAATTCTAATGATAATTTACAAAATATAATTCAAGGACTGTCTCCTAAAGAATCAAAAGCTCATAAATTTTTAAAGCGTAAACGAAGTAAAAGTTATCTTACAAATATTTCAGATGAAATTTATGTAGAACCACAACCATTAACAAAACCAACATTTACACTGTCTATATCATCACCTACATTGAATGTATTACCGAAAAAAATAGATCCACATAAACAAAAAGTTAGAATATCTCTACCGATATCAAATCCACAATTAAATAAATTAGGTCCACCAATTGATATTGCTCAAAATTCGAACAATACATCTGATTCAATACTTGATGAAACCGATTGTAAATTTCATGTGAAAGATTTAGCTTCAAAATCAACAGATTCGTCAGCACCAGAAGAAGCTTTTTCATTAAACAATTGTGGTAATTCATCAAATTATCATGATGCAGAAGATAATTCTGATTCTGATTCTGATTCTAATTCTAATTCTTCACAATTTTCATTTGTTAGAGATATGAAAGCGGGTAGAAATACTTCCGTTAAATATTATAAAACAAAATCAAATTCAAATCAACAACAAATGAATTTATTTGATGATCATTATTCCGATTTTGAAGCTAATGAATTTTCAAATTATGATTATGAAAATAATGGTATAGAAGATGAAACATATGATGATATTGCTGATAATGATGTGAAATATAATAATATATTTGATGAAGATGCGGATGATATTAATGGAATTGAAGATTATGAAGATGAGAATTTTGATGACGTGAAATACAATGATATACTAGATGAACTGATAGAAGGTATCACTTTTAATCAAGTATCAACTAACAATCAAATAGAAGAAGATATAACAAATATTGAAACATCAGATTCTCAAGATCGACCAGTAGCTAAAATAATAGAAAAACCAACATTATTAGATTCAGTATTTCCAAACACTTCAAAAATTTCAGTTAAACCTTTTAATTCTTCATATCATTTATCCATTCAAGGTCCATTAAATAAACTTAAACCACAAGAAAATAGTCCAACAAAATCAAATTATGCAGATGATATACTTGAAAATTATCTAGATAGTCAACTGCCATCTTCTAAATCACATTCAGATTCCAAAATTGATTTTTTTCCAGATAATAATAGTTTTGAATTATTTGATTTAAGTAGTCCCATAATCAATGGATTAACAGTTGGGCAGAATTTGAGACATAGAGCGAAGAAAAGGGTAGATTTGAATACTAATAGGTTGTTTATTCATAGAAATCCAATTCATATTGATGAAAATAATTGTGGACTGAATGATATGAGAGAAAGATATATTAAATCATTTCATGAATCTATTGATGATAATATTAATTTGGAAATTCCAGCAAAAGTTGAAGCTTACGAAAATTTTGTGGATCAATACGAAGAAGAAACCTCAATTGAATCAGGTATACTGGAGACTAAAGAGAAGACTATAGAATTTCGAAATTCAATACTAGATATGATGAATATTCTATCTAATTTTGAAAAAAGCACAAATTCAAATAATGATGATAACATAGAATCAAGGAAGTCAATACTCAATATGATGAATGTATTATCTAATTTTGAAGATGAACAGTTTAATGATAATAAACAGTCCATAAAAACAGTGCATAATATGATGAATGTATTATCAAGCTTGGAGAATGAGAATATATCAGTCTCAAAGAATAAAGAAGTAAGAAATTCAGTGTTGAATATGATGGATGTGTTATCAAACATGGAAGAGCATAGTGCAAAGGAGAAACCAGATAAATCAACCCAGAGAAATTCAATTGTTGATATGATGAATTTATTAACTAATATGGAATCAAATAATGAATCTGAGACAAACTCGAATTGTGATAATAAAGTTTCAAGAAGTGATTCTATTAACGGCATGATGTCGACTTTAGCAATACTTGAATCAAATAATAATCCACAACAACAACAATCAAGTTCAAATAATTCATTATTTCGTAAAGCTTCATTCAAACGGTATTCATGGTATGACAGTTCCGAGAATCTAAACATCAAGGAAAATCAAATTAAAGAAATAGATCCAACAGACGATAACGATAGACTAAATAATTCATTAGATCAAGATATAATAGATGAAATTAATCAAATTCCAGATGATTTTGATTTCAACAAAACTAATAACATAGAAATACCACAATATCCATCTTTAAAATCAATTAGAAGACCTCAAAAAAGTTTATATTCAAATCAATACGCAAGTAATAAAATAGACACGAAGACTAAAACAGTTACATTCTATAACAATTCCAAATCAGTCAATAATTTTGATAAAGTTATTAGTAGAGGTCCATCAATTCGATCAATAACTTCATTTCCCTCAGTTAATGAGGTTGAAAATGAAGAAGAATATGGATATAATATATTTGGAGATCCACCAAGATCCATTGATGCAATTACAGAAAGTAGTCCAAATTTGGATTAATTAGTATTTATTTTTTGATATACATTAATTTTAATCTCATGTTTGATTTCTAAATCTTTCTTGCATAAATGTATTAAAGTCGTAATTTTGATTACTTGCATAATCAAAATAATGACTTTCAAGAGGTGGCATGGTTTGTCTTCTAATCTTTTGATGATTTTTTGTTGGTGATACCGGTAATTGTATTCTATTGGATTTATAATTTGATGAAGTAGATGATTTAAGTGACCCATTTGATCTACGAAGATCAAGCTCTTGTATTATTCTGCCTGCAGATGATAACGAACTTAATTTTAAATCATTTGATTGTCGTTTTGTATGTTGAACTTGCGAAGTAGCTGACTTGAATGAATTGGTAGTTGTAGATGTTGTATTTGATCTTTGCAACCATGCATTATGTCGTCTATATCTTGAATAGATACTTAATAATTCATCTTCCTCTTCTTCTTGATCTCGTTCGTCTTCTTCTTCTTCAAGTAAGATTACCTCTACTTCCTTACCTTTGATATTCTCCGTCACTGATTTATATGATATTGTAGAATCTTTTCTGCTTATAGTACAAACAGTATAATCTTCTTTCGTTAAATCAATAGACACACTTTCACTTTCCGGATCTTTCTCATGTGGAATTTTATATCTTGTCAATTCTTCAGGTATGTTTTTACTATTTCCAAATTCTTCGTCATCTAAATTCTTTGACTCTTTGAAATCAACTTTATAATTAATAATTTCAGGAGGTTCAGTAACTTTGATATTCAATTTCTCTCCTACATCTTCTTTATATGATTTTAATTCATTTGCTGATTTTGTTCTATTATGAGTTGGTAACATTGTTTGATCTGGTTCAAAATTAATATTATACATTGATTTGTGTCTTGTGTGTCGATTATTAGATTTTATTGAATTTGAAGGTAATGGAGGCATTGTTAAATTTCTAAAATCTTTATGAGTTTGATTAGTATCTGTTACATCAGACATTGATGATTCTGACCTTATATCAGAAAATGTAGTTCCATTATATGAAGATGGTGTTTTTGATGAATAATTATCACTCATGGTTTTCATATCATTAAGTGTAGGAATTTCAATTTGACCATTAAATGTACTTCCTAATGAATGTCTATATGTTCTTTTCTGCTCCTTTGATACTTGAGTCTTGAGTGTTTTGTCATTAGTAATATTTGATTCATCGTTTGGAAAGCTAAAAGTTTTACCTAATCCGTTATTATTAGCTGTGTATAAATCTACTTCTTTTGTGGGGTATCTACTAATTTTCAAAGGTTCAGTTGGTTCTTCTTGTTCTTCTGATGATGAACCTGTATCTTCCCAATTTAGATTTTTTGAATTGGTCTCATTCTCATCTTTGAATGTGATATCTACTGATTTCTGTAATGAATCCCAACTTGCTTTACTATTATTTGAATTAGTAGAGCTGGAACTGCTTGATGAAACATTTCTCTCAGATAACGTTGGCACTTGCAACAATTGAGCTTTGTTGGTTGAAGTTTGAGTGTTAACTGTTTGTGGTTTTTGATTCACTGTAGTAATTGCTTGTAATCTTGCCATATTTATAAAATCTCCAACTGAACTGAAATCACTAACTGAACTTACATGAGATTCATCACTAAAACTTCGTTTGTGAATTTTTAGAATATGATTGAAATTTGAATTTGGAGCATTTGAAAATGAAAGTAGTTGTAAATTATTCTCCTTACTTGATTTTGGAATTGATTGAACTGCTTTAAATCCAGTTGTACTCCTTCGATTCACTGATGGAGTCGTTTTATTAAATTCAGTAATAGGTGGTGGTGGTTTTCTGACCATTTTTTTAAGAGTTGTCGATTCTTTATTTTCGTGAATTTGATAACTGTTATTTTGAGTTGGAGGTTGTGTATGATTCATTGGTTGAATTCTAATAGAGCTATCAGGAATTGGTGGTAAAACTTTATTCGACGAAATTCTATTCTTATTGTTACTGTTATTGTTACTGCTTAATTTGCTTGGCTGAGATAACAATTTTGAACTCTCTGCACTAGAATGCCTTGACCCATTAATTGAAACTTCTTCAATGACGCTTAGTTCATCTGCTTGTTTTTGATTTTGTGAATATGACAATTTCAGATATTTTGTGTTGTTAGTTAATACAGGTGGTGGTGAAGGTGATGATTTATTTGGTGATGAAATTTTATTATTGACTTCATTCGAGTCTAATTCTTCCTCTTCAGATGAGGAAGACAGACTTTCAACTTTGGTATAACCTTGAGGAGTATACACCAATTTACTTCTTCTTGATTTTGGTGATTTATTAGGAGATCTTTCAGGTGAAGTATTTCTACTTGAATTTGGAGTAGTATCTAATGAAGATGACGGTGAATTATTATTACTTAATTTTGGTGGTAATTTCAATGTAAACGGTATTGGGATTGAATAGTTACTTGACGGAACAACATGTAATTTTCTAGTCATTGGACTTTTAGACAATTGTTTCAATTTTTCAAGGGGAATTTGTGATTTATTAGTGAAAATTGATCTTAAATCATCTTCAGAATTGATTGAGCTTGTTGATTGATTGGTTAAGTCAAATTTGATTGTGTTTGGAGGTAGTGAATATCTCTTGATTTTATTAGGTGATGATGATCTTGCATTTCTTGAATCAATAGGTAATTTTTGAGACGGTGGTGTGCTTGGAATATTTAAATCATCTTTGGTATGGCGATGCTGTTCTTGTTGCGAAATTGATGGCCGTGCCATTTAATCTATCAATATATGAGATGATTTTTTTTCAAATAAATTAAGCTTCGAATCTAATCAATGATATATCAAAAAGAAAAACTTTAAATGTAAATTTATGCTGGTAATAATAATTTTTAAATCAAAGATGAACAATAAAAGGAACAAATTTTTGAAGAATTGTTTTCGTAAATCATTATTCATAAAAATGCTACCAATTTGTTTGTTTACTAATTACCTTTTTTGGGTAAATTTCAAGATCGCTAATAGATTATTTTTATATGCACGTAATTGTATTCTATATTTATGTTATATCATGAAATTTTGCAACCATACTCTACTACTATTGTGCAAGCCTATTTGTAATTATCCAATTGAGAGGATTTCATGTTTGAAATGTATGTATGATTCCTTGACATCAATTAAATTCATTTTATTTTCTGCAGCCATTCTTGTAAGCAAATTCCCGCATTTTGATTTATCATATGGAGCTTTCTTCGCCATAGAAAATTATTTCAAAAAAAAAAGAATGCAATTTGGTTTTTAATTTACGGATATAACTTTCAATTGAACAACCAATCATACGAGCTATAACTCAATTTAAGAAGCTGAACACAATTTGGTTCAAAGTGAAATAAAATTGAGAAATTTCAGAATTATCTCTTTAGTATGAAAAAAACTGAATAAATTGACCTCACAAAAAAGCTGACTCTGTTACCAGCAATCAAATCAAAACACGGTAAGAAGAACCAATTTTGTAGTTCTTGTAAGCTAAGAACCTTGGAATATTTTGTGTTAAGGTATTCAAAATTGAAAAATTGATTTTTCAAAAGTGGTTCGAAACTTTTGAAAGTATTTCAAACTGATTGTGGCATCCTGAAAACTTTATATAGAACTTACTTAATAATAACTGAGCCAAAGCAGACGTATCAGAAGTTGTTAAATGAGGCCTAAGTTAATTATCTTGCACAATAGCGTTTTTTTGCAATTTTTTGATGACAGTTTAAAACATCAAAATTACGTAAAACCGGTTGATACTAACATCATCTTAGTTCAAATTTTCTGAACTCTTAATGAAACAGTTTCGACTGATACAGCTCAAATATTGACGAAGTTATTTTTAATTTAAGTTTCATGAATTTCTACAAAGGTACTGCATATAAGTGAAATTGTTTGAGAATTTTCCATCTAAAATAAACAGCAATCGACCTACCTAGAACGATTACAGGGCCGGTTAATTTTGAGCTCAAGGCGACTGCAAGAATCATGTTTCGTGCGATTGTTGTGCATTTTGTGCTCTATAAAATGTATCAGTTTACAAAATTATAAACTTTCAAAATGAACGAGATAGCATTCATGACCTGCGTAAGAAGCCTTGATAGTACATCTGTGGTCTTGTAGTATATGCTGTAAACTTTGGCGTATTTGTTTGTGTTATACTATAAACTCTGAACCTTATACATCAACTATACATTTTCTATTACTTAAGTGGCTGCAAAATATTAAGGGGCAGAATTTCAATAATATAATTTAGATATGCAACACAAATAATTTATTTTGCAACTTCTTATATCTGAATTTGATATTATAGATTAGTTATTAGTCAATGAATACTTCAATACACCCTGAAACTAGTTTATTAGACAATTTAAAGGTACCAGCAGCTGAAGACGACACAGCTTCGACATTAGTTGAGCATATACAAGCATTGAAAGTTGATTCTGAAAAAGTAGATCAAGTTATTATTGAAACTGAACCTCAAAAAAAAGCAATTGAGGTTACTGTCAAAGCCCCAACAAAGGATAAAATTGGTCTAAAGTATCTACCAGTACAATACCAAAAAAGAGCACAACAAGAAGGTGGTCATTTTGTTTTAATGTTAGCTGGTTTTAAATCAAGTGGTAAAACAACATTTTTAAATTCATTATTTGGTAATCAATTAATTGATCCTTTAGAAAATCAAAAAATTATCAATAATTTGACAATTAATAAATTCGAAATCATTGAAAATCGATTCAAATTGAAACTACAAGTTGTTGAAACATGCAATTTTGGAACTTTAATCAAGAATGAATTATGTTGGCAATCTGCAAGTGATTACATTACAAAACAACATCAGAGATTTTTAAAACAATCTCAAAAATTATCAGAAATTAAAATTGAAGATTCAAGAGTTCATTGTTGCATATATTTTATTAATCCTTTGATTAACGAAATTTTAGAAATTGATATTAAAGCAATGAAAGAGCTTGCGCCTAAAGTTAATTTGATTCCGGTTATTGCAAAAGCAGATTGTTTCACAGAACTGGAAATGTTTGAATATAAGAAATATTTTAAGAGAAGAATGGCCGAAGAAAATATCCAGTTTTGTCCTTTCATGAATATTATTGAACCAAAATTGGTAAAATCAAAAATATATTCTATTATTCCTTTTAGTATTGTTTCTTCAATTGATTTTTTTGAAAACTCACAAGGAAAACAAGTCAGAGGTAGGAAATATCCATGGGGTGGTTTAATTGAAATTGAAAATGAGGCTCATTGTGATTTCTTAAAACTTAAGAAGTTGTTGTTAGATCATCATATGCTAGATTTCATCATGGCTACAGATTTATTATACGAGCAATATAGATTTTCATACTTAAGTCTGAAACTACAAGATAGTATAAGGGATGCAAATATGGATCAAGAAAGACCAAACATTAAAAAGTATCTTACCGAAAAGGATGAACATTTAAGGGCTATGAAAGCTAATTTATATTCAGTTCAAGATAAATTAAAAAAAGATTTGGAAAATTTGAAAGCAAGAAAAAAGGAGCTACAAAATTGTGTTGATTATCTTGAACATCATCTTAAGAAACACAATGAAAATGAAAATGAAGAAATTGATTGAGTTTGTATATTGTAATTATTTTGAAAATTTGACGAACATATTCGAAATTTAGACGAATTTCTACAATATTCAAATTATTAAGATTTTCTACTTATTTGATCATAAAATACTGTTTGAGCTTATACAACATGAGTATGACCAGCCTTAATTCGTTACTCTGTGTTGTTAATTGTAAACGTACATTCAATATTTTGCAGCCAATTAGTCGTGTCAAGTCAAAATTGTAAGCATCAAAAGATTAAAAAAAATTATAAAAAATTCACTTTTCATTATTAACTACAATTCTTTTTTTCATTAGCCATAACAATAATCAAAGGTATGAATCAATATCTGAATCAATCATTATGTCAGCAGTATCTTATTAGGATGAATTTTTGTTTTAATAAGTATGTTTTTTCTGGCATCTCTAATATTAGAATATAGTTCATTGATTATACCCTTGACTAAACCTATCTGATAAATAAGATAATTGACGTAGTAATTGACAATGAGGAAAGCAATTTACTAACTAATAACTAGTTTTGTTCATCTGCTCAATGAAATAATTGATACGACGAATGATATTCTTTTGATAAAATAGGATGCAACAAACACTTGAGGTATTTTTCAACATTTATAGTTAGTTAGTTATTAATGTAAACAAATAATCTAATGTTCGTCGAACCAGATACAATACTACCTTTTTCAACTTCTTCATCGTACATCTTCTCTTAGATCTCTTATATTGAAAAATCGATCGGCTTACATAATTTTCGTTAATTCCAAATCGAAAAAAAAAAATTACAACTTTTAGAGAACCAAGTGTTTGATAAAACAGAATAATACTATTTGTTAGAAGGTATCTTTGCTTATAAAGATATGTCAGATAGTTTTAGTAATGATGAAAACTATGATAATTTAACTGACGAATTAACACAGGGTTTACAACATAATTCAGCTTACAATGATTTAAATAATAAAAATGTACGACAGGTTAGATTAATTTTAGATCATACTGCTTTTGTAAGAGGTATTGGCAATGTTAAAAGATGGTTTAATAAAGAATATATAAAATCAAATGTTTCAAGAGATAATGAATTGATTAACTTAAATATCTATATTCCATCATATACTTTACACGAATTTGATTTTGCTAAAAAAGGTACTTCAATTAGTGCAACAAATGCAAGAGAAGCTATTAAATTTATTGATACATATTTGGAAAATGTAGGAAATTTAATTGATGATAATAAAGATGATGAATTAGAAAACTATGTAAATTATAATGTCGAAATTGAATCTCCAAATGATAATATACCGAATTGGAATCAGTGCCTGAAATTCAAAGTTCATTCACCAAGAGTTAAAGAATTTCCAAATTTCAAAACTACTTTTGATTCCCATTTGATTGGTCAAAATACACAAAATGATTCAGAAAATATGAATAGTTTTATTAAAAATTTTGAAACATCTGTATCATTAAATAAAACCGAAAGTTCAATGCATTATCAGAATGTTTTGGCTAATCAAGAAAGATATGCAGAAATGCCAGTAAGATTGAAGTATCTAATTAAAACATGTATTTTTAAAAGATTTTTGGAGAAAACAATTCCAAAAATTGAAAATGACGCTGAACAATGGAAATTAGTTACTGAGAATTCAGTTACTAAAATATGGGCTAAATCTTTTGGTATTGATTGTTTAAATGTTAATGAAGCAGAATTATTAATTTTCCAAAATTATGATGTTAATTCTTTTAGAAATTATAATCCATTTAATATTGACGATGAATTTAATCCAAAAGATAATATTCTTCAAAATAAAATTGATACAACTTTATACTCATATAGAGATGGCCATCAAGAGCCAGTAACAGTAGGTGATTACAAAAAGAAAAGACGTAATAGGAGAAATAGAATTAAGACTAGTCTTGAAGATACAGTTGAAGGTATAGTCCAGGATGATGGAGGTCAAAATGGTTTAAATCCAATTAAAAAAGAAAAATTTAATGCCATTAACTATGCACCAAGAGGTAAAGGAGAATTATGGCGTCCATAATGTCGAAAGTTTTGATTTTCAATGTTTTATATTTATGATTATGGTAGGTGAAAAAGTTACGTAGCAATCGAATTAGTCATGTTTTGGTGTATTATACATCGAATAGAATTTTGTTAGTTACCAAGTTATTAATTAATGACAAATTTACTTTTTACGGTATCGATTAAGCTAGTAAGATTCGGTTTTTATTCAAAAGGTTACTAAATGTTTTGCTTAAGGGGTTATTTTCCTCTACAAATGAAAAGCTACCAAATGTATAGGGTTTTATAGCAAATGTACACTACCATAATAAAAAGTGAAATGTCTTGAACGTCAACAAAAAAAATAAATAGGGCATAGTTTGAAACAAGTTAAATTATAGAAATATAATATCAAACATACTACACATTTCAGCATTCAACTATCAAATTAATCAAATATAATTACTAAATAGTTTTCATTTTTCCATTATTCTTTTATTTCATCAATTAATTTTAATTTTTTCATTTTTCAATTCAATACCAGATTTTTTTTTTTTTTTTTTCATTTATAAATTAATATCAAGTCCGTTTTGATAGTCAAGGTCAACTATAGATACAGTATCAATAATCATGATGAATATGAATAGACCACCTACGAGAGAAGATGTTCAAAAGATAGTAGCACGGTGGCTACAACTTAAAGAACAATATGGAGAACAGGTTGTAAATGTCCCTGAGTTTAACAATCTTAATAAAACTATCAATTTTATAAAGATGCAACAACGTCAATTTCAACAACAACAGCAACAACAGCAACAACAACCACAACCTCAACCACAACCACAACCTCAACCACAACCTCAACCACAACCTCAACAACAACCTCAACAACCTCAACAACAACAACAACAAATGAATCAGCAACTTCAACCACCTCCACCACCTTCCCAATCCCCAAATCCAACTAATATGCATCAATATCCTAATCAAAATCAACAACAATTTATGAACCAAAATCAAAATCAAAATCATCAATCTCCAGCAATGAATTTGTCAAATAATGGTACTCCTGTCACGCAAAATGCAAATTATAACCCAGGGCCAATGAATAATAATGTAATAGAGTTACCTTTCACGAAACTTCAAGAGTCATTGTTCAAATCTCAGATACAATCATTGAAGATATTAACTAAATCTGCTGGTCAAGGTAATCAAATACCACAAAATTTGCTAGCTTTTGTTACAAATCCTAATTCTGCATATCCATCCTCCGAGTATATAAGGTTGAATGGACCTCAAATGAATTCAAATGTACCTCCACCACAACAACAATTTCCAGTATCTCAACCACAACCTAATTTGCAAACTCCAAATTCAAATATAGGAGGAACACCCGAAATACCAGAGAAAAAGAAGAAAAGAGGTCCGAAACCCAAGAATCAACCAAAGAAACCAACTAAGAAACAATTGAGAGAAGAAGAGGAAAGACAAAAGGCTGAAAGGGAACAACAAGCAAAATTGGAAGAAGCAAAACAAAATCAAAATGCATTCATTCGACAACAACAACAACAACAGCAACAACAACAACAACAACAACAACAACAGCAACAACATCATCATCAACAACAACAACAACCTCAACCATCTCAACAACCTCAACAGCAAACTAATCAACCACAACCGACTCCTCAACAAGGAAATTTACCACAACCGGGGCAAATTAATCAAGCATCTCCTCCACCAACTCAACAACAATCATATTCACAATTAAATTCACATGAAGCCACTCCAGCTCCCCAACCAGTTGCGCCACCGCCTCAACCGCAATCTCCTCAGTATCTTACTGCAAATCCAAGTCCACCAGTTGTAATAAGTAAACTAATACCTGACAAATCCAATGATAAGAAAATTGTTATACCGATCAACAAACCAGATATTCAAGTGGATATGTTTGAATTAACTCAAATTGTTGGAGATCACGTTCAAGATGTTTCATTAAGTGCTTTATACACACCATCAAGTAGATTTCAAATACCTTCAATTATGCCTGATGGGGTAAATATCGATGAAATAAAATCTAATAGAGAAGCATTTGTTTTGGTGAGGATAGAACAAGAGAAGAAAGAATTAAAGGAAAAGTTAAAATCTTCTGATGATGATGAAAAACTGAAGTTGGTGAGTCAATTATACGAATTAGAATTGATACCTTATCAAAAACAACTACGTGGTAAAATCTCAACGCATTTATGGTTTGGTAAATCATTGTTATCCAATTCACATCCTAATTTTTTGGCAAGATTTAACGCTTTATCATTAGATAATGTACATGCGACTACTGAACTTTATAGACATCAATTAGAATATCAAATGAAAGAGCAAAATAAGAAACATGGTAAAACAATTGAAGAAATTTTGAAATACTGTCAAGCTAATATTTATAAAACTGCTAAAAAATCTGAAAGAATGTCAAGATTCATGAATAAAATAAATAATTTACATGCTCAAACAGCTAAAGAAGAGCAAAAGAAGTTGGAAAAAATGGCTAAACAACGTTTACAAGCTTTGAAACTGAATGATGAAGAAGCTTATTTGAAATTGTTGGATCATACGAAAGATTCTAGAATTACTCATTTATTAAAACAAACCAATCAATTTTTAGATTCATTAGCACTAGCTGTTCAAACTCAACAAAAAGAAGCTCATGAAAATTTGGTAAATTCTGGTCGTATTACTGAAACTGAACCTGTTAAATCTGAGGAAATTGATGATGAAAAGAGAGAAAAGATTGATTATTATAACGTTGCTCATAGAAAAAAAGAAGAAGTTACAAAACAACCAAGTATACTTGTTGGTGGTACACTTAAAGAATATCAATTGAAAGGTTTACAGTGGATGGTTTCATTATTCAATAATCATTTAAATGGTATTTTAGCAGATGAAATGGGTTTAGGTAAAACTATTCAAACAATTTCATTAATTACATATTTAATTGAAACCAAACGAATTCAGGGTCCATTTTTAGTCATTGTACCATTATCAACTATAACAAATTGGAATATTGAATTTGAAAAATGGGCTCCTACTGTCAAAAAGATTACTTATAAAGGTACTCCAAATCAACGTAAAGGAATGCAACATGATATAAGAATAGGTAATTTTCAAGTTGTCTTAACTACTTTTGAATATATTATCAAAGATAAAGCATTATTAGGTAGAGTTAAATGGGTCCATATGATTATTGATGAAGGTCATAGAATGAAAAATGCAAATTCCAAATTATCTGAAACTTTAACAACTAATTATCATAGTGATTACAGATTAATTTTAACCGGTACTCCATTACAGAACAACTTACCCGAATTATGGGCATTATTGAATTTTGTTTTACCAAAAATTTTCAATTCAGTTAAATCTTTTGATGAATGGTTTAATACTCCTTTTGCAAATACTGGTGGTCAAGATAAGATAGAATTAAGTGAAGAAGAAACTTTATTAGTTATTAGAAGATTGCATAAAGTTTTAAGACCATTTTTATTGAGAAGATTGAAGAAAGATGTTGAAAAAGATTTACCTAATAAAGTTGAAAAAGTTGTTAAATGTAAGATGTCATCATTACAATCTAAATTATATCAACAAATGTTGAGGTATAATCTTTTATTTGCTGGAAATCCAGAAGATCCTTCAATGGCAGTAACTATCAAAAATGCTAATAATCAAATTATGCAATTGAAAAAAATTTGTAATCATCCTTTTGTTTATGAAGAAGTTGAAAATTTAATTAATCCAGCAGCTGAAAATAATGATCAAATTTGGAGAGTTGCTGGTAAATTTGAATTATTAGATAAAGTTTTACCAAAATTCAAACAAACTGGTCATAAAGTTTTAATTTTCTTTCAAATGACACAAGTTATGGATATAATGGAAGATTTCTTGAGGTTTAGAGGTTTGAAATATATGAGATTAGATGGTGGAACTAAAGCAGATGATAGAACTGAATTATTGAAATTATTCAATGCTCCAGACTCTGATTATTTTTGTTTCCTTTTATCTACAAGAGCTGGTGGTTTGGGTTTGAATTTGCAAACTGCTGATACTGTTGTTATTTTTGATACTGATTGGAATCCACATCAAGATTTACAAGCTCAAGATAGAGCTCATCGTATTGGACAAAAAAATGAAGTTAGAATCTTGAGATTAATTACCGAGAACTCGGTTGAGGAAATGATTTTAGATAGAGCTCATGCTAAATTAGAAATTGATGGTAAAGTTATTCAAGCTGGTAAATTTGATAATAAATCGACAGCAGAAGAACAAGAAGCTATGTTGAGAGCATTAATTGAAAAAGAAGATGAAAGAAGACAAAAGGGTAATGAAGATGAAGATGAGGATTTAGATGATGATGAATTGAATCAAATTATTGCTAGAAATGAAGGTGAATTAGATATTTTTAGAAAATTGGATGAAGATAGATATGCAGAAACTAGAGATGCTTCATACCCAGCTAGATTGTATACCGAACAAGAATTACCAGAAATTTATAAAAAAGACCCTGAAGAATTTTTGAAAAAGGATGAAATTGTTATGGAAGATTATGGTAGAGGTACCAGAGAAAGAAAAACAACATTTTATGATGATAATTTAACCGAAGAACAATGGTTAAAACAAATTGATGGAGTAATTTCTGATGATGAAGATTTAGATGATATTGATTTAGCCGACGTTAAACCCAAAAAAAGAGGAAGAAGAGGTAGAAAACCTAAAAATTTTGTTGTTGATGATGATGTTGAAGATGGAGAATATTCAAATAAAAGAAGTTTAGAAGATTCGGAAACTGATTTTGCACCAGGTATGAAAAGACAAAAATCAGCAACTCCGAAAGCTGAAAATTCATCAAGTACATCTGCATCTACAAGAGGGTCAGGAAGAGGTAGAGGTAGAGGTAGAGGACGTGGAAGAGGAAGAGGTGGTTCTTTATTGAACAGATTTGCTCCCGCCATTGATCCATTAACATTAGATGAAAGAGCAAAATTACAAAACAATATTGAAAACATTTTAGGTTTGTTAATGAATTATAAGAATGAACATGATAGAAAATTAAGTGATTTATTTTTAATCAAACCATCGAGAAAATTATATCCAGATTATTATGTTTTAATTAAACATCCAATTGCGTTAGATGTAATTAAAAAAAGGGCTTCATCTAAGACATATACTCAAATTCGTGAATTTATGGAAGATTTACACATTATGTTTAGTAATGCCAAGATATATAATGAAGAAGGAAGCATAGTTTATCAAGATGCTGCATATTTAGAAAGAATTGCAATTGATAAGTATAGAGAACTTGCGTCACACGATTTATCTGATGATGAAATTGATCAAAGTTTAGACTTTACTAAATTTGACGAAACATTTGGATTAAAACCATTACAACCATCAACAGCCATTAAAAGACCTATAGAAGCAAAATTAGAAAGAATAGATAATGGTGAAAAAGTAGAGAGTCCAATTATATCATTTTCAACATCTGGAAATACAGAAGAATCAACACCTGCAAATTTTGACTAAATGATTAATGAATATACATTGTAAAATTATTTTTATACTAGTTTTCACTGTACAGTGGTAAATGATCATCTATATCTTTATTACTAATTACATCATTTAATACTTGATTTAAGTTCTCTACAAATTCAAATAATCCACCATCATTAAATTTAATCTCGCCTTTGAAATAATGATTTTTGGGGAAACCATCACTTGCAATACTGGGATTAGCAGCTGAAAAGAACATAAATTCCCAATAATTGGCACCAAACCAAGGTGCTTGTAATTTATGAGATAATTGTAAAACAGGAGATAAATTTAAATCAATGCAAAATGATTCTATGTCTCCCTGAGATGCAGTTATGAATACTAACCGTTTTGTAGTTAAATATATGTACCCATCGTTGGCAATTATCTTTAATGGTAAATTTGAATCTCGAGATGTAATAGTTAAATTTTGTCTTGATGTTCGAGAATGATACTTTAATATTTCCAATCCATCTGTACTTATTTCAAATGGTATTTCATTTGAATTCAATGCTAATATCTGATTATAATTTGGTTTTAATATTACTCCATTGATTGACATTATAATTTGATTTTGTGAAACAATTTTGATCTGTGATGAAAAAAATTAGAGATGGTGAAAATTGATGATTAAAATACGAAATAATTTAATAAGTATTAGATGCTTAACATTACGGTCAATAAATCCAAATATACCAGTAGAATTCTATAAGGATAAACAAACAGTAGGTAAAGATAGAGCACACGTAGATGATCCAGAATCAATACAAAAAATAATAGATAAATTGGATATAAAATTGAAATATGGTTCCAATTTGACAATTATAGATACTAATCCAGGTAGAGGAATTTGGTCAACAATGCTAAATTATGAACTAAAACCAAAAAATCATTTATTACTAGAACCAAGTAAGATAAATCAAAAAATGTGGAAAAAATTATTAGAATCTATAAATTCAAATGAAGAAAATTTCAATTTATTATCCTCTGATTATGCTCCTTATAGTTGGAAATCATACAAACTAATAGAAGAACAATATAATTTCAATAAACTAGGTTTTGAAAAAGAAAATGACGAGCTTTTAGTATTGGGAAATTGGACTGGGGCCCAAGATGAACCAACAATTGCACAATGGATAGGTTGTCTTGGTGCTAGAAATTGGTTAATCAAATATGGAAGAGTAAGGATTTTGATGTTTATGCCTTCCAAAACTGCTGGTAAATTCCTAAGTGAACCTAATTTCCATAGACGTAATAGAACATCAATGAAAAGAGAATTATTTACAAAATCAAGATTGATTGCCATTGGAGATGATACTACTGGATCAGCAACAAACAAAGATTATATAGCTGAGGGCTTTGATCCAGAAGTTATGGTTAGAGATCAGCCTATTTTAATACCAGGTAAAGGTATATTGAAAAATCGTTCTATTTCATTAGTTGAATTCATACCTGGTGATTATACAATCGATGATATACAGCTAATAGATAATAACATATTATCATTATTATATCTTTCAAATGCAACTTTGGGTGAAACTATACCAAAGATTGGACCAGGTGCAGAGTACTTACTTACGAAATTACCTCAACATATTTTAGAGAAAGATAGACATCAATTCTCTGCTGAAGATTTAATCAAATTTACTAAAGCTGTTGAAGAATGGCCATTTAGACCCTCTTTAGAAGATACTAATGATTTAATAATACCTAGTGAATATTAAATAAACTTGTATATAATATATATTAAAGACTATATCATTTTGAATTAATTGGTGCAGTTAAGCATCTTCTCTTGTTTTCATTATCATCTGTTTTTTCTATTTGTTTCGCAATATCTGATGTGGTTTTAGGTGTTTCGACAATTTCCTTTTGCTCTGCTATATTTGATGTTGTTTTTGGAGATTCTGTTGTGTCTGAGATTGATAAATCAAATGATGTAGTTAAATTCGACATTTTAAATGATGATGATTTAAGAAATGGTGTCACATCACTTGTTGATTTTCTTCTACTTGGATGTTCAATATGTTTTGAAATTGATTGATATGGCATATATGGTTGTTTTGTAGGCGATGGTGCATTTGTAACTATATATTGTTCAAAGTTGGGATTTAAATCATCAACTGGAATAGGCAAGACTACTTGTAATGATTTCTTTGAATTGGTAGACGATGAAACTTGATCGATTATTTCTTCTTCATGTCCATTTCTAATTTGTTGTTGAATCAGTTTTGGTAATTTATCAGAATAAACAGATGATGAATTAGACTGCTTTTCGAGATATATTGTAGTCATGAATAATTTATGAGTTTGTAAAAACACAAAATTTAAAATTAGAAATGAAATGAATTCCAAAATTAAATAAACTGAACCCCAATCAAAAACAGATACCACAAATCTTCCTACGATGATGATTAATACATTTATTGAGCAAATGAAATCGAATGCAAATAGCAGTGTAATATTGAAATAATGCCAATTTATGTCTTTGGGAAGGTAATGTAAAGTTACAAACAAAAATATCATTGATATTGAACAACTCAAAATTATGATCTTATTGATTAAAACTAATGTGATCACTGTCAAGACCTTGTTTATAACTTTCTGAACGTCCAAGTGTTTACTTTCATGATATAATCTATTCAAAACTATTGATAAAGTCTCTTTAGTGAGTTCTTTATTTGTGAATAATCTAGAAGATCCAATATCTCTTAGAATATTAGTTGAGAATCTATACCCTCTCTTGTATTTCCCATACAATCTCTCAGTTAATTTTATTTTCAATCTCTTATTATTAAATTTGATTATCGGAGCAGTTACGATTGTTGTATCATTAATATTCTTTAAATATAAATCTTCATTCTTCAAATAAATTCCATGTAAAACACTTTCCAATTGATAACTAAAACTTGATTTTTCAGCCATTGGGCTAGTTTTCAACAATTGCACAACATCAATTTCACTGAAATGTAGTGTTAAATTGATATACAAAAAATTTATAACATTTGAAATTATAATACAAAAAATTATATTTCTTAATATATATGATCGAGTAAATACACTTTGATCTTCATGAGGAGTATTTATCCATTGAGCAGCAGTAGTCTTAAAGAATGAACTTGGAAAATTAAACTCTTTTGATAATGTTCTCATTATATGTTATTATAATCCATTTGTGTTGCAAAAAGAATAAAATTTTCGCAGCCAAACAAAAAAGTAAAAATATACTATTACTATGCTTGTTATGTTGTATTGTATATTTACGGTATATTTGGTAGATTTGCAAATAAAGTGACCAATTTTTCACTATTAAATACACTTTTTGAAGGTAAGCCAAAATATGAAGCATTAGGTAATGCTCCCATTAATGCAATAATTGAAGGTCCAACTATATTTTGTTCAATTGAATTTTGTGGTTGTTGTTCTTCCATAATTTGTTGTTCAATTTTAGATGATGTTTCTTGAATATTTTGTACAGTTTTATTTGTTTCTTCTTGAGTAAATGATTCAATTCGTCTTTTTTTCAACATTGGTAAATAATCTTCAGCTAAATCTGATATATCAACTCCATCAGTACCCAATTCTAATTTTTTAATCAAGTTTAAGTTATTTAATCTATATCTGTCTGTAAATAAATCAATCGGATCATCTTCTGGAAATAATTGTTCACATTTTCTTGCAAAACTATTAGTTATATCTAATGATAAATAATTTGATGAAAATGAAATATACGTTTTATATAATTTTTTCAAATATGATTTTTTCAATTTTAATTCCGTCTCCTTCTTTGACTTTACAATTGGATCAAAATTCCCTAAATTCAATGCTTCAGTCAATTGCGAAATTTCTTTTGATAAATTTGTATCTGAACTTTGTATTATATTTCTAGCTGAATCAGTATCATTAATCAAAATTAAATAATTTAAATATTCCAAGAGAAATTTCCCATCTGTTGAATGACTTTTCTTACCTAAATCAAAAACTTTTAATGCAGTTTTTTTGTTATCTGAATAATGTTCAATTAATGCAGCGTTAACAAAGATTTGATACCCTATTGAATCAAATTTTCTTGCCAATTTAAAAATATTTCTTGCTTCTTTAATACCCTCTACTCTTTTGCTTGCAATCATATATTTAACGTAACTTAGAGTAATTGCATCTTTTAAATTTTTTTCATCATTTTCTAATTTGTTTAATAATTTTTCATCAGAAGATGAAATTCTATATAAGGATATTGTTGTTCCGTTATTATTTCCATTAGATTCAGTATTTGATGTTAATTGTTGTAAGGTTGGTACTGCTGGTAAATTTGGCTTTGGTGGTAAATTCGGTTTTGGAGGTAAACCAGGTATATTAGGAGTAGCTTCCTTTATTTCTTCATCACTGTCGTTATCATTATTCTCGTCATTTTCTTTTTCATTTGGTTTTATTCGTTCATTTAATTCTTCTAGATTTTTACTTGTCTCTTCATAATCTTTAGTTAATTCTCTAATTAAATTATTAAATATTCCTTTTGCTTTTTCAAAATTATTATCATTCTCATATAATTCAGCTAATTGAAAAGAGAGTAATAAACTTTTAGGATTTAATAATAAACCATCATTTAAAATTGAAATACATTCATTCAAATTGCCTTCTGGATTTAAAGTTATTAAATATTTTATGTATTCAAAATACATTTGAGGTATAAATGGTAACAGATAAGTTGACTGTTTATAAGCATATTTTATTCTAGTTTCTAATAAAAAATCATCTTTTAATTCTAAATTGTTCTTCTTTTCCAACTCAATCCAGTTTTTCCAATACTTAATCTGAGCTTTTAAATTATCTTCATCATTTTTGAATACTTGTAAATTTCTCTTTAGTTTTTTGTTGGTTAAATTATGCCATTCGGTAACCCAAGATCTTGCCAACATAAATTCTGCAGATTTTTCACTAATAAATTTTTGTGCCGTTGATGTATTTAATTCATTCTCCCATTTTGTATATTGACTCCATGAAATTTCAATAGATTCAGTAGGTATGACTAAGAATTTCCTATAAACTTTTCTAATCAAATCTATCTTTTGTTGTTGTTCCCAATTTGCTTTTGGAGTCCAAGATTTTAAAAATCCAATGTAATCTAACCATAATAAATCAGAATTTATATCTAAACCAACTTTACTAATAGCAAATTCAAATGCTTGAATTACTGTACCTCTAGCTTTATCACCACCAGTAATGAAATCAGTAACAGACCTAACATAATCAACATATAAACGACAAATTTCAACAGAATCAGTGATTTTAAAAACTCTTTCAAATAAACTTTCAACTTTTTCCTTTTCACCTCTATTTAGTTCATATTTGATATATTTACACCAATTAAAACTCTAAATAAAATGTTAGTATTAAATTTTTGAAGGACTCTACTACTAAATTTATACAAAAAAGTAAACAACTCGTAAAGCAAGTCATTCATGATATCATAAATTATAACATATACACATTAAAATATATCAAATGGGCGAATTCCATTATAAACTCTTAGATTTTGGATTTTCGCCCAAGGCCAGAATAATTATGACTTTCAAATATCGTAACTTGACTCGACTTAAACTCCTCTAAGTTTCGCTTACTTTGAGCAAGACGTCAAGATTGGCCCGTAATGTCTGAGCTTTGCTGAATGTAAAACAAGATGCTTTGGCGCATCGAGCCCAATCTCAATTGTTTGTTTCTCTCTTCAATAGAACCCGAAGATTAACCAAAACCTCATAACTTCATGACATCATAACTTCATTGTATAAACCTCATAGCATCAATAATTCAATAATTCAACAACATACGTCATGTTTGAAAATTTTCAAATATTTATCAAATACATTTCTAACTTGTTCTTGATTATCTTTTAATATAATTTGTTCAATTAATTTAATCCATTTTAAATAATCATTTGGATTTCTTTCAATATCATCTTCCAATTCACCTATTTTATCCAGTAATAATCGTTTAGGTCTTGATTGAATGAACATAATAAATCATTAACCAGCTTTCAATTTCGACTATTTTTCCTCCAAAGAAAAGAAGAAAAAAAAAAAAAAAAATTGGTTGGTATCTCCATTCCATTAAATTGTACATTTAACACGACTTAAAAAAATATATGTATATATAAATATAGTAAATTTTTCAGCTAATGCTTCAATTACATGTTTGGGGAATTAATAATAGTATCAGTATTATATCGCCTGAATGTATAGCTATTAGTTGGTTAATAAGTAAATCAAACTTAGAATATGAAGTTATATTATCTAATAATACTAATTTATCAAATTTAAATAAATTACCATGTTTAATTTCTGAAACAAATCAATATAATGGTTTCAATGAAATATTAAATTTTATAATGGATGATGTTTATACTCCCAAAAATGCCGAAGATCAATTGATAAATCAAAGTTTGACATGTTTCATATTGAATAATTTTGAAGTGTTGAACCAATATAATTTATTTATGAATGGTAAGAATTATGAAAAGTATACAAGGAAAGTAATTGTTCAATTTTACCCATTTCCTATGATGTTTAATAAATCATTAAAATTGTATAATAATGCAGAACAATTGGTAAAACTATCTGGATTAGGTAAGAAAGCTGGATCAGGTATTAGTTTTTTAAAATTTGCAAATAATGAAAAAGAAGAAGAGATATGTCAAACAGAAACGTTTAATGATGAGTTAGACGATGTAGACGAGAATGAGGTCGAGGACGAGAAGCGCACTAAAGCTATAAGTTCTTTGCACGAGAAACAACTACTTAAGAAACAACAAACAAAAAAAATATTACAAGAATCGAGAAGTACCATGAAATGTTTAAATTTGTTAAATCAATATTTAACGAGTATTACTAAATTGAAAGGCGATAAAAAATATTTGATAGGTGATAAATTATCATCGAGTGAAATATTATTAGCTGCCTATTTATTTTGTTTAACTTCTGATCAATTACCAGATAGATTTATATACAATTATTTAACTCATAAAACACAAGTATCGAATTTTATAAAAGACATAAGAAATGAGTTTAATATTAATGTTGATGAGATAAATAAGTTTAGACAACCAATTGGTAATGAAGTACCTAATCTCTTCAATGAGATTGGATATTTATACAATTATTATACCAAATATTAGGCTGCAAAATAATAATTTAAACTACTGCCGCGTGAATTTGACACGAAGAAAATAAAACGAAAATTTTTCATCACTTTTTCATTTTCAGTTTCATCTTCAATTTCATTTTCAGTTTCATTTTCAATTTAATGTTGTAAATAAATAGAATATCGACTTAATATATATATATATAGTTAGTTGATTGATAATTGTTCTAATTTAGTAATATTGTAATATTGTAATACTGTAATATTGTAATATTGTAGTATATATAATTGGCAATCTTAGCATAGTTTCATTTATACAAAATAGTTAATGTATAAAATGATGGAATTTTCTTGCCATAAATCAGATACAATAGTTTATACTAATTAAATATCTTAGTATATCTTTTAATTCAATAGATATCAATAGAGTTTATTATTTAATTGGTTAACTAACATTAATAATACTATCAAAGTATACTTATAATTTGATCTCTAATTATCGTTGTTTCATTAATCGTTTTGATCTCTAATTATCGTTGTGTATATAATCGGTAATAAAAAAAAAAAAAAAAAAAAAGAAAAAAAAAAAAAAAAAAATATAAATAAAAAAAACGCACTACGAAAAATTTATTTATTTATACAGATCAATTGGTTCAATTTGATTATTGCAACATTATCAGTTCGTTATGAAGTTTATATCAACTATATTGATATCATGTTTATTAGTTGGTAATATTGATGGTTTAACTATAGCTAAACAAACAACCCAAAAAATTATTGCATCTCCATCTTCCACATCTTCCATTGACCTTCCAATAGTAACAGAAGAGGCCGTCAAATTATCAAAACGAATGAGAGATGTTATCGTAAATAAAGATTATCAAAAACAACAAGAAGCTAAAAAGAAATTGACTCAATCATCTACTGAAACTCCACCTCCGCGTTGGATTAGAACTAGAAAAGATGGAAGAACAGAAATTGTAACTCCAACAATTATTCAAGGAGTTACATTTAGTGCGAGACCTCCAAAAACTACCGATGGATTAGAACCTTGGGTTTCTTTAAAAGATGATGGTTCTCCAAAAACTATAAATCCAAAATATAAAAATGGTAGAATAAAAGATGGATATCCTTCTTATACTACGTATTTTCAACAAGCTACGACTTTCACATATAATAAAGAACAATTAAAAGCTCATAATATGGCGGAAGATGAAATTTTCACTGAAATAATATATACCGAAGAAGAAGATTTGGAAGATCATTTTTTAAATCCAATTATTAGATGTACTCCTGATAGATATAAAATGAAAGGAATTGGTAGAGATAAATCACCAGAACCGTTTTGTACACCAAAAGATACAGCTAGATTAATTATGGATAAAACTTATTTTGTAACTTGGTATTCAAGATTTTTTGACCCAACGGTGAAACAAATCAAATTACATTTTACAAATGTTAAAGAAAGTTTAAAAGAAAAAGGATTGAGAAAAAGAGAATTTAATGAAACTGCACAAGAAAAAGGAGAAAAAGAAGAAGAAGAAGAAGAAGAAGAAGAAAAAAAAGATTTAGCATTGTTTGATAAAAGATCAAGAACTATCGAAAAAGGAGGTAGAATTCAAGATTCATTTTTTCAAACAGAATGGCTAGATAATGAATTAGGTTACTATCCATTATATATAAATGAAAGTTTTTTTGATAAATCATATACTGTATTTGAAAAGAAAGTATTAATTTCAATCCAGCCTGACAATATACCCGATGAAGAATTTGATATATTAAAGAATTCTATAGTTGTTGAATTTTCAAAAGGTTCAATTGTATCCAAGGGTCATCTTGAAGATTTAAAAAAATTGGAAGAAAAATACGCAAACAGACACATGCATAATATTGAAATTGAAGAAGGAATAGATTATGAAAAATATATGGTTATGCTAGCATTACCTACTTGTGTATTAATAGCAGCTGTTGGAATGTATTTTTTTGTAACTATAAATAAGATTGATTTAAGTCATTTGAAAAAGACTTCATTTGCAGGTAAGAAGACAACACATAGAAGAATACCATTCAAGACGAAGAAGAATACAACTGCATTACCAGTATATAAATCAGATATTAATGGTCCAAAACATGATTAAAAAGACGACGACACTTTTTGTATTTTATTGTATATAATAAATAAGCTAATGAATAATAATAATAATAATAATAATAACCACTATAGTAAAACTAAAATTTTTTACACAGTAACGTGCTAAGTTTCAATTGACAACTTAGTAATATGATCCAAATAGGCTCAATTAATATAAATATTGATCCAATTACTCATTTTATTTATTAATATCGCTTGTATACTTTTCCATCGTCTATAGATTTATTTGATAAGATTATAACAAATTTCCATCAGCAGAGCAAAAAAATCACAAACAGAAAAAAAATAATTATTAAGCATAACCAGATTAAACAAAGAGATTTTACCAGAGATCAAAATCTTAATAAGCTTTGATAGTAATAGATAACAAATTAAGAAGATCAACAATTAATTGACATTTATTTATTTATTTATTTATTTATTTATTTCCAAAAGGCATTTTTATTTATTAGTCATTTTATATTATGCATTTATTTTCATCATTAACTCAGGGCTGGGTGTTAACTATTATATCATCATTAATTTGTGTACTAGGTACTTTTATAGTGACTTTTGATAACTTATACGATCTTATATTTCCAAAATCAATAACTACAAAATATAAATTTAAATTGAAGGAAAACTATCAATTTTTGAATGGATCGTTGGCATTTTCATCAGGTTGTTTAATATTTACAAGTTTATATAGATTATTACCTGAATCAATGAAATATTTAAAATATATGGAGTCAGAAATGGGTAAGAAATTTTTACAATATTATTTAATGATTAGTTATATTGGAGGTATTATATTGTGCATGTTATTAAATATATTACTTCATTATATGACAGCTGAATCAGTAGTACATTGTAATCATAGTGGAGGAGAGCATAATCACAATCACAATCACAATCACAATCTCAATTTTGACCATGATGATGAAGAGAGTCATAATCATGAAGAACATGAAAATGTTACTTCAAATATAAAGAATATCAACGTTGTAAATTCAAATAGATCTACCAATTTAGAAGTACAGATACCAGAGAATGATCAAGATGAAAATAGTCCACTCGTTACTAAACAAGTCAAACCAAAGAAATCAATATTACAATTTTTATTAAATCATAATCAAGAAAATAATGATGATAATGGTGAATGTAAAGGATATACCAGTGCTGAATTATGTCTATATCATCATAATAATAATGATAATGCAAATGAATTACATTTTTGTGAAATACCGACGTTGACTGAAGAGCAAAATAATGAAACTGAAGAACGTCATCATCATCATCATCATCAAGATACTTTAAAAAGTGTAAATTCTATAAATTCTCATCATCATGTTCATCATGATGATGAACAAGCATCACATCATCATCATCATGTAAATTCACCGCTATCTAGATTATTATTGATCGGAATACAAACTACACTTGCAATAACTTTACATAAATTACCTGAAGGTTTTATTACATACATTACAAGTGAAACTAATCCAAATTTAGGAATATCCATTTTCATCAGTCTAATATTGCATAATTTTACAGAAGGGTTTTCAATGTGTCTTCCATTGTATTATTCAATGTCGAAGACTATTAAATATGCCAAATTTAAAGCAATTTTGATTAGTTCTTTACTTGGTGGTCTTTCACAACCATTAGGTGCCATACTAGGTTATTTTTTCCTTAAATATAATAATAACAAACAATACTATGATTTAAATAAATTAAATTTCATATTTGGATTAACCTTAAGTATTACAAGTGGGTTTTTAACTGTTGTTAGTTTATCAATGTATGGAAATGCAGTTTCATTTGGTGGTAATACCAGTTTTGTTATGATATGGTGTTTAATTGGAATTTGTTTGATTGGATTATCATCAATATTTAGTTCATAAATAGATAGACAATATATATAATTTATTAATTTTTGAACGGGCGTTTACCTGGTTGCGATATTTTTAAAATTTCTGATTTTGTGTCATGTTTCAGAATTATGACGTAGCCGATCCGGTTTTGTCCTAGAATTTCCGGGTTTAGTTTTTATTTCGAGAAATTGTATAAGTGTTTGTTATGTTTTTGTATAAATAATTAATTTGTTTATTAAACAAATATTAACATTGTTTCTATAAAAATAAATTAGCCGTGTTTATATTGATACTAATTACAAGTTATTATTTTGAAAATGGTTAATTGAGATTTTCTTACAATTCAACACCTGGTGGACAATTTAAAGATTTTTTCAATGAACCATAAATTGTAAATTGTAATGAAGTTAAAGTACCAACCATAACCAATCTTGTTGGTAAACCAGCAAAAGAACCTTTGAAACCTAATTGACCAGCTAATTGAGCTAATAAACCTAAAGTTGATTGACCTGGAGCTTTTTTAGTTTTATTAACTTTTGATAATAAGGTATCAGCAGGTTGTGAAACAATAGCAGCAGCACAACCAGCAATAATACCAGCTGATAAATTAACAGCAGTAGTAGTAGTTGAACTTAATTGATTTTTTGGAGTTGAAATTGAACCGTAAATAGCTTCAGCTGCTCTTTCAAAAACTAAAAATTTAGCAATATTATAAGGAATTTGTTTAAATAAAATTGGAGTAAAACCATTATAAAATGAACCAATACCTTCTTCAGATGCAATTTTAGTAAAACCTGAAACTAAACCATTAGCAAAAGTTGGTTGAGAAACTAATCTAATTCTTGTTGCTTCTAATGGACATAAAGCAATATCAGCAAAAAATTCAGCTAAAGCTGATGAACCAATATAAATTGAATTTTTATATTGTTTAGCAGTATCATATCCTAAATAATCAACAAATTGTTTTTTAAATAATTCATAACCACCAAATTTAAAAGCACCTTGTAATGAATAACCTAAAATAGTTGGTCCTAAACCAGTTAACAAAGCACCAACACCTTCAGTACCAATAATTTGTCTAAATGAACCAATCATACCTTTATTATAAACAGTTGGTTCTAATTGAATTCTAGTTTTAACAACATCAATTGGTGTCATAGCACCGTGAGTTGCACCACAACCAACAGCACCAGCTGCAGCGAATGATAAATAATCTCCAACGGTATAAGCAGGAATTGTTTTTGGTTGATTAGTAGTCATAATATGCGAATATATAAAAATTAATTGCTATACAATTTGATTGAAAGTTTCAATTGGTAAAAAGGAAAGAAAGAGAAAATCGAAATTTTAAAAATTTTCATTGGCGAAATAAAATAAAATAAAATTAAAAAAAATAAAATAAAATTAAAAAAAATAAAAAAAAAATAAAAAAATAAAAAAATAAAAAAAAAAATAAAAAAAAAATTAAGAAACGTTGATAATTTACAAATTACACTACTTAATATATATAAGAAAATTACTACTAATTAATTGTTAGTACTATTCGGAATTAAACGTAACCTCGTTGTATTGTTTTATTTTTCTGAAACATTAATAATACATGATTGGCTATTAAACCACAATTTACCAATTTTTTTGACTTGGCTGCAAAATGTTTGGTAATTCAATTCATTTGCATATTTAATCCGAATTTATTGAAAATATCGCGATTGTTTAATGCACACATTGCTGCTTTTGATGATGAATTCTTTTTATTTACACCATATCCTCTACTTATTTCAAATTGTCAAATCCATTGGGGATGGTGAATTTGAATTCTTGTAAAATGTTAAATCAATACTTGATGAATTAAAAGCAGTCAACGTTGTCGGATAAATAAACTGGGGAACTACCTCCACTTAATTCAGTCTCCAGATCAAATTTTGAAACTGTTTTCTCACCTATTTCATGTTTTTCAAGTAAAAACTAATTAATTTTTCTGCTGGGTTTTCAGCTGAGAGGATTTGCAATCAGTTTTTCAATTGATGAGTCTGAGGGGACTTTACATTTATTTTGGATTCTCCTCGTGGTTCTGCTTTCTCTATAAATTTATTTTGGGTTTCAAGGAGACTGATTAATTTATCAGCTAAATTTGGATTATTACCCATGAGTTGTTCAATCGATGAATCTGACGATACAACAGCTATAGTTTTCAATTCTTCTTTTACTTCTTCTCCTTCTTTCTTTGATTTCTCGGTTTTGTACCTCTTCTTTCGATAAGTTAGGTTCTGGATTTATCATGGCTAAAACACTCTGTTGCTTATTGTTAGACACTTAATTTTTCCGTCAATATAGTAAATATTATCTCAACCAATGTAGGATTTTCCAATATCATCTTTGCAACTTTGATCTTAGCTCCATCAAAGCTTATACTTGATCGTTCTTTGCAAATCACTTCCCGATTAATTTCACCCTGAGCGATATATTCATTCTCCTTTTCATCAACGCAAGAAATCTTGTATTCTATACTATTAGTCTGCATAGTTTGCAAATTCGTAGCTTGTTGAAATAAACAATTTAACTCATTCAAGGGCACTCTTTCAATAATATCATCATACTCTGAAATTATTATTGGCTCATACAACTTTGTAATCAATTTTTTATTCTCATCTAAATTATACTCATTTATAGTTAATCCGGCAACATATGAAAGAAAGACCGTAGACAAAACATGCAATTTTCATCAATTTCATTTGAAGTAAGATTATATTTAATCCCATCTGCCAAATTGTAACCATACTAAAACTTAGATAAGGAGATATCAACTTTTCTAGCAATGTCACAGTCTCAGACTAAGTCAATTCAGGATGTGACTCTTTCAACTGATCAAACAATATAGATATCAATATATTCTTACCTTTACTTGCCACTTTAATATTACTCTTATTTTTATCAGTAAAAGAATTATCAGTCATTATTTTAACAAGTAGATCTAAATCTAAAATTGGTGGTAAACTAAGACGGTAAGAACAACAAGAACTTACCTCCACACATTCTGAATTGGTGTTTGAATCAATTGGTGGTTGATAATCCAAAATCGCTCCAATTAATACATCTTTCAAAGTAGCATCATTGAAATTAACTTGTTTTATCATTCATAATAATGGTAATCTACTTGATTCAATCAATTGTTTTATACGAGTACCTATTCTCACGGCGGGTTCAATAGAATTTATATCGTGTAGTAATTTTTGAAATTGATCTGATGTAGGAACATGAATGACTATACTCTCTAGAGATTTATGTGAGTGATGGGCATATTCTTTTGTCTTAATTAACGTATTATCATTTAAATTTGACATTATTTATTTGACCATACTTACTTCTGGGAAATTGGTTAAATTATTGATCCTATGTTTCATACTTTTACTATGGAAAGTTTAAGTTTAAATTGGATAAATAATAGATTATTGACTTAAGGAAAGTAGTTAATTAATTGCATATAATCATATTGTATATTATTAATCTCTATTCTTTTTCATTTTTGGCCATTATTAATCCATCAAATGGATTTACACCATTTTTAGCATACATTTGACCTATTGATTGTGGAGGAGCGGTTAATGGAGCAGAATGAGGTATATGTGGATTTTTCACATCTTGGGAAATATGACTTGTTGAACTTGTAGTTGAGCTATTTGTTGTTGTTGGATTTATATTCATTGGATTTCTAATTGGTGTGGGACCATTATTGAAAGTTGCAGTTTGAGGTAAAGTAGGAGCATGAGCTTGAATTGGAGTAAATAAATTACTTACATTTGAATTTGAATTTGATAAAAATGAAGGTTGTTGTGCTGCTGATTCTGGTATTAATGATCTATATGATGATATTCCAAGATAATAAGTCACTTCCTTTGTTGTCTTTGTTAGGTTTGACATTGACGGTCTCACTTCTTCAATTATTGGTATGTCTTGAACTATAGCCTTCACGGATGTTAAGGTTGCAATAATTAATTTTATAAATTGATTCATATCATCAGCAAACAATTTCTTTGTTGTTTGTGATGGATTATTCCTTATCGTAATTAACTTTGTATTTAATCGTTTTATAACCTCTAAAGTCGATGTGCTGGCATTTGTCAAATCTCGAAGTTTAATAGGTGGTACAGTAACATTAGTTGCATTTGCCTTTTTAGTGACAAGATTATTCAATTCAGTTAAAATGATTTGTGTTTGATTAGTTGCTGTTTGTATAGTTTCGTATAATTTTTCGTCTACTTCTTCATTTGATTCAAATGTTGAAGCAGTAGGCATACCTAGTGTATTTATTTTTTTTGGTGTTTCTTTAGGTGGACATAGTATCGAAAATGCATTGTGTAATTCATTAAATGATCCATAAACTGATAAATATAACATTCTAATAAAGCAAACATCAATATTGTTAACAAATGTAGATATATTCTCATGTAATAATTCCATTATTGATCTAAATGATCCAATGCATATTCTTAACGAATGTATGATTTGATTTGAATTTGATCCAGAATCTTCCATAACTTCTAAATTCTCGACTAATGAATCTATGTTTGATTTGGTAGTATATAAAAATGAAACCATTTTGATTGTAACTTTTTTATCACTACAAAATGTAGTAAATCTACGTATTGATGAATGCAATTCACTAAATAAAAATAAAACTTTTCGTGATACTTTAATTATTGTTGAATTTGAATGTTTTTTAGTATTTGTTCTAGTTGGTGATCCACCCTCAATTTGAGCTGGTTGAGATTGTGATTGTGATTGTGATGTCATTGATAAATTTGATTTTGATTGTGTCACTTGTGGTTTTTGTTTCAATCCTGGATCTAAGGATCTTTGTACTCTTGGTGTTGTTATATTTGTAGATGAATCATTAGTATAATCATATAATGAATCTTCTTTTTCATCTTGTGGTAGTTCTTGTAATGTAGATAATCTTTTAAAATAAGCACTTGATTTACGTTCAGTATCAACACTATCACTTTTTTCAAGAATTTTATCTAGTTCCTTCATTGTATTTGATCGTTGTCTTGAATTTTTAGTGGTTGCAGTTGTTGGTTGTAGATTAATGGGTATTTTCCCAGTTGATATGGTTGTAGTTTGTATAGGTAATGGTGGTGGAGATCCAGAAATTTTAAAACTTGTTTCTATAGCAGATGCTGAATGTGGTAACTCATCAAGATTTAAAGTTGATGGTACAATTGCTGATTTTGAATTTGAATTATATTCTGAATCATCTTTTCCGTCAGATTTCTTAATAATTAATCCCATTCTTCTTGATGCTTTTGATGATTTTTTCTCACCTTCACTCAAACTTTGAGATCTTTTCATTTGATGTTGATATTGTTGATGATCTATTATTTCTTCATTTAAATTATGTTTTGATTCTTCTATTTTCAGATGAATTAATACTCTATTAGTAACTAAATAATTTTTCAATTCTTTAACCCAATCTAAATCTGATTTTTGTTTTTGTAAAGCTTTAATAACTTCATTAGATGGCATAATTAATGGATTATTGGCTAAATCTAATAAATTCAAAGACTTCAACTCTCCAATATGAGGAGATAAATATGAAATACTATTATCTTGAATATTTAAAACTATGAGTTTTTGTAAAAATAATATTGAATCTGGTAAATAACTAAGTTTATTACTTGATAAATCTAAATATTGTAAATTTTCAAATTTTTGAAAAAAATCACCAGGAATATAGGATATTAAATTTTGATGTAAATCAATATAAGTTAAATCATTTGCAATTTTATAAAAATTTGAGGGTACTTCTGAAATCTTATTATTTTGTAAATATAATTTTTCAAGTTTTAACGGAGGGTCAAATGAATTTAAATATCGATAAATTATATCAACTACATCTGAAATTTTTAATTGTACTTGTAAATTATTTAGTTTTAAAGTTTTAAATTGTTTCAAATTGTCTAATTGATCATTTAGTAGACTAACTAGATGAATCATTATTGATTGTTTATTATTATATGGACCAAAATGATTTGATAGTGAAAAAAAAAAAAAATAAAAAAAAAATAAAATAAAAAAAAAAAAAAAACAATTACCAGATCTCTTTGATTAATGTGAACCTGATTGATAAGTATATATGATTGTGTTTGTATATATATATATATATTTATATTGATCATTGGTTTATATATGAATACCTTTTGATTTGGCATCTTTTCTTTCTTCCCATACTGTTTTACCACTACATGAACATACTTGTTTATCATTTTCCCATGCTCCTGCTGATCTTGCAATTACTCCACATAATGAATCTGTTGCAATTTCATCTCTTAATTTTGATAATATAATTGATCTACCAATTAAATCTGATATCTTTAAATTAGCATATAAAAAAGATTGACCTGAAAATAATTTATCTGTAGTATTTGAAAATGCACCTAATGAATCTATTGTAGTTGAAAATGTACTTGGTTTATTAACTTCAATTGGATCTAAAATATAAAATGATTCACCAGTAGATAATGCACCTTGTGATAAATTACCAGATTGACGAATTGATGGATAATATGTACCCTTTGTTAATCCATTGACGGTTAAATCAATAAAAATTTCGGATGGTGAAACTCCAACAATTCTAGCTAATCCTTTAACTGGTTGTTTAATATCTTTTGGATCAAATGATTCTAATATACAAACAGCAGCAGAATCTGGTTTACCAGTACCTCTTATTATTGCATCTCGTCCAGTACTTTGTATAGCTTTAACAATTTCACTTGGTGGTTCATTACCTTCAGTAGTTACCAAATTCTTTTTTAAATTGATATCAAATTTAGAGATTCCGGTTAAATCTTTCAATTTGTTGGCAACTGAATCAACACATGCATTACATTCCATTGGAACAGCAAAAACAATTTCAAAACTAGAAGTCATGATAAATTAATTGATTATTTGGTGTGGCAATATTTTTGGTTGTAAAAAGAAAATATAAGAAATATTTAAACGACCAGAAAACATACGTAATTCTGAGCTACCAATTGCGTGATTATTAATAGTTGGTCGCATGATTCAATATGGATGTAGTAGAGAATATTGTATAACAAAAATGTATAATAAATATCTTTATTTATTCTATAAACAAAATTTAAACATTAAAAAGAATTGAAACAATCATAAACAATCAAGTAAAACCTAAATTTTTAATGAACTCATTCTTCTTTTATTTAAAGGTTTTTCAGTTTCATTATCATTATCATCTTCTTCATCATCAACACTTTCCTTTTTAGTACATACCCAAGTGGAAGCATACATATTGATTCTATCGATACTTGTACCACTTTTTCTAATTGCTGCTGGTTTACATTCAAAACCTAATTGTTCAAATGTTTTGATATACCATGGATATTGAGCTGCACTTCTCAACATAACTCTACCACCATTAACTAAACATTGTTTAACTGCTGAAATTTCATTAATTGCATCTTTACCATTTGGATCAAACCAATCCATGTGATCCATTATAATTGCAATTGTAATTGATTTTTTACTTAATCTTGCAAATACATCATTTAAAGTATCTGTATGAATTCTAATATTATCAATTGGAGATTCATTTGTGACCGGGGAATAATTCGTTAATCTTTTATAACCTTTTGTTGTTAAATAATCTGGACAATTATTTTTAATATAATGACCAGTTAAAGATAAGTAATAAAAATAATTATCATTTGAAATTAATGATCTTTTAATTAATGGATCAAGGGTATCAATGACATAATTTATAACTGATGGACCCATTAATTTTGCCTGATTTGCTGGAACACCTAAAGCTTTCCATAAGAAAATTGGATTACCAATTAATAAACTTGCAACAATTGGATTAAATAACGCAGGTTTTAAATTAGTTTCCCATATATCAATTTGTTCTTGTAATGTAGATGCATTACATAAATTTTCAACATGTTTTGTAACACCACAAACTTTGAAAATAAATCTTCCTAATCTTAAAGCCCATCTTGATGAACCAGTATCATATAAACCTTTACCTACAAATGCTTTTGGACCTTTATCCATCCAATATTGGAAAGCATTTGATGACATATGAGGAGATAATTTATTAATTAATAAATCTTTGAAATTTTCAATTTTACCTTCTCCAAATATTGACCAAATTTGAGATTGATTTAATTCTCTAAAACATGCCAATTTTAATTCTAATAAATGATTTTGACATGGGTTTAAATCAACAGCATGGATTCTTTTTGGTGGATCTGGTAAAGTTGCATAACTTAAAATATTATCACCAGCAGAAGTTATAGCTAATACAGTATCATTTGATGAAAAATTTAAAATATTATGATCTTCTCTTGGATCTTCCCAAGTAAAAGCATAAATATATTGGTTATTAAATTGTTCATATAATGGATTTAATTCATCGTAATAAACTCTCCAAACTTCTTTTTGATAATAAATTGATGGAAATGGTAAATTTTTTTGAAAATTATTTAAAGCAGCTTCATGACCTTTTGAAATTGGAATTTGAATTTTTTCAGTTAATGGAGTTGTTGATGGAGCTAAATAAGGAGATTCAGTAGCTAAACAATTTAATCTATTTAAAATTGTTGGAGATCTTGATTTATCACAACCAATCCAAATATAATAAGGAATTTTACCTAAAGTTTTATTATAAGCATTAATTGATTTTATAGTACCAAATTTATATTCTAAATAATTTCTTCTTGAAGAATCTAAAAAGACTTTATCAGTTTCAAACCAAATTCTCCAAAAATTTCTTAAAATCCATGGAATGTTTCTATTAACTAAACCACCAAGAGTATTAATTCTACCCATTGAAGTATCATTTGATTGAATACCAAAATCAACAGTTGCAATAATACCTTGTTTATCTAATTTTGAAACTGCATTATCGATAGCAGCATTGAAAGTTGGAATCATTGATAATGAATAAGAAAATGTAATCAAATCAGCATATTTATAATCAATTTGGAAATCACAAGCATCAGCTACTAATACATGAACATTCGCCCATTGATTTAATTCAAATCTTTTTTTAGCAACTTCACATAATGAAGGTGATAAATCAACTAAATAAACAGCTTTAAAATTTTTGGAAATTGAACTAATTTCATTCATAAATTCGATATTTGAACCTGTACCACCACCAATATCAATCCAAATTAAATCTTTCTTTTTCTGTAAATGAGAAATAGCTAATTTTAAACTTTCTTTTCTGCCTTTTAATAAAACTTCTCTTGTAGTATCATAGATATGAACTTGATTTTTATAAAAAGCTTCTAAAGAATCTTGTTGACTCGAATTTTTTTTAGTTTTTGTTTGTTTTTTTTGCACTAAAGGTTTAATAAAACAAGACCAAGCAAATACTAAAGTTGAATAAACAGTCTCATTTAATTTAGCAGTTAATAATAATAAAGTAATAGCGAGTATTAATAATGAAATAACAAATAATTTCGTAGAATCTTTTGAAATTGAATTCGAAGTATCTTTAATAGTATCAAATATAATATCTGACATTTTTGCAACCAATGTATGATAATTAATTAATTAATATTTAACGAAAATGAAAAATGTTATATGATAAAATGATAAAAAACCAACAATCAAAAAATCCAAAAAATTCAAAAAAGAAAGATCAAAACTTGAAATAAATGGATAATTGAACTTATATATATAATGAAAAACAAATATCAATAAATCATCATAATATTTATAAATATATACGTGTGAACATAATTTCATATAATTACTAAAAGCTTAAATTTCTTTGTACGTGTGCTCCAATTTTATTTTTTTATACTAATATAGAATATTAAATTTGAGATTGAGAACAATCTCTGTTAGTAGTAAAAGAATTAATTTCTTATTATAATTGTACACATACATTTGTTGAATAAAAACGTAACCAATAATTAACCACGTTTTAAACTAAAGTTTGTTTCAAAATATAATGAACAAAAAAAAAAAATTCCCGTTCTAAACTCGTGGGAGGGTTATAAAAAAAAGTGCTAAACAATAAACAGAATCAGAAGAAATACATATAGCGGATAGAGACGTATTATACTGTATTATACACGATACACGATACACGTTTCTATATTCATTTTCAGTATTCACTCTTACTATAATTATTATTATTACTATTATTATTATGATTATTGTGACTATTATGATTATAGTCTATTGATAACAACATATTTTGATCGGCTATATAAAGAAGAAAAAAAACATTAACCAAGAACCATGTGCTCTTATCCCAACACCAACAACGGTATTTGTTTTATATCATCTTACTTTCTCTCTTGTAGAGTATATTATTTTATTAGTCACTCCATTTATATCATCACCCTTTCATTAAAATTAGACGTTGGCTTAGACTATTGTTAGAATAAATTGTTAAAGAATCGTTATAAATCAATTAAGCTTTCTATTATATTTTTTCTATTATTATTATTATTATTATTATTATTATTATTATTATTATTACTATTACTATTACTATTACTATTCTTCACATGAAGTAATATATGGTTTTACATAGTTAATATTCCCAACAAATTGACTTTTAAGAGGTATTTCTAAATTTAAGGAGTTATTATTTTTTTAAAAATTCTGCCACATAATATGATTTAATTTTAAGCAATTTAAACTTTTACTATGAGGATCAACATAATTTCTTTCTTTAATCTCCAAGTATTATTATTCTTGTACATTACCTTATTGAGTAGTTAATCGTGATACTGAAAGTGTATAATCAATGTTCTTGATCGGATATGCGGCGTTCGATAATACATTTCTAGAGCATTTGTAAAGTCAAAATTTTCAAAATTTTCAAAATTTGGTGAACACTTGATCAGATGAGTAATTATTCAGAATCAAGAAATTTATCTTGTAATGCCACAAATTATTCTTGTAGGTTTGAATCTAGCTTAAATATTAAAGGTATTAGATTTAAACCGATTTTTATAGTGACAACAGTTTGTTTCAGCCGCATTCTAAAATTAGAAAACCCGAGCAAAAATTAGATGCCGCGCAAAATTATTGCGTTAAATATTTTTTTAAATTATGATTCTATTTGTCTATATAAATAAATAAATAAATAAATAACTTCACAACTGAATTGTTCATTCTTTACTTGCTTGTTCAATTAATTGTATATCCTCTTCACATTCTAATCTCCTTAATATATAATCAACTTCTACTTTTTTAGTCAATGGTATAATCCATTTTTCATATAATTTAGCAATTATTTTTGGTTCAACTTTACTTTTTATATTTTGACCAAATTTCATTGTTGGATCAATTCCATAATTTTCCGCTTTTTTAATTAATCTTTCTAATATCTTTTGTTCAACTTGTGAATTGGTTATTGATTCTTCAATCCCTTTTATATCTCTTTTTAAAATTAATTTTATATATAATTTTTTATCATTTTGATATTTTGCTTCAGCTACAAATTTCCCAAAATGAATTCTTCTACTTATTGCTTGTAAACATTCAATATCACAAGTTGAAGCACTACCTAAATTTTCCAATTGATCTCCTAAAGAACATGAAATTTGAGGTACTATTTCATTAACATAAAATTTCATAATTTCATCATTAACATTAATTTCATCACTATAATCTGCCAAAATTTTGGGATAATTAATTGGTGGTAATATTGGACTTAAAATCTTTTGCGGGAAAAAAGGTGTTTCATCTGGTGCTTCATATCTTCTAATCTGTGAATGAGCAATTTCCATTTGTAATAAAGCCCATTCTAAAAAATTTCCATTAAAATTTGGTATATTAAATTTATTATTTTCATAAACTGAAGGTGAACTATAAAATTGTGATCTTTCTATCAAATCAAAAACAATAGTATCTTCCATTCTAACTAATGCCTGACGAATATTATTTAAATCTAGTACTGTCTCTGGTTTCATAAAGTCCATTTCTTTAAAAACTTTCTTTCAATCTTTGTTGGTTATTGAAAAATTGAAACTTTTTCTGTGAGTAATAAAAAAAAAAAAAATTCAATATCGCGCGCGCATAAAATTGTATACGTATATTTTGCCTGCAAAAAATGATATTGGTGGCCCTATTCAATATCTAAATTGGTGTTTGCTGCTTCATCTCTATCCCATCTATTTACTCTTTTCTTTGCAAATTTAACTAATAAATCATGATCATCTGGTTCTTGTATTTTTTGTTCATTTTCATCTCGTTGTTTTGACTTTATTGTACTTCTTCTTGATAAAAGAAACCTTTTTAAATTATCAGCATCAGTTAATCCTTCTCCATAATTTTCATAACTTTGATTTAAATCTTTCATTGATTTTAAATTTAATTTATGTGTTTCAAGTAAATATTGATTAGTTTTCTCAATTGCATTCATAAATTGTAAACCAAAAGATATAGCACCAACAAGTAAAACACCAATCAAGATCTTATATTTATTCTTTTCCAATTCTTCTTTTGTCGGAGGTGGTCTTTTATATTTCATTTGATAATAATCATTCCATGTACCCGCTTGCCAAAATGCTTCATCATTTTCAAAATTAAATCGCTTATTTTGAGCATGTGCTCTTCTAAAATTTTGAAAATTATCTTGAGCATTTCTTGTATATGGAGTATTTTGAAAATTTGTTGTTTGAGATCGATTATAAGCAAATCTTCTCCTTGGATTTTTCAAAATTTCATAACTATCTTGGATCAAATCAAATCTTTTACGTTTAATGTCTTCAGATATATTTAATTCATGTGATGTATCCGGATGATATAATTTAACAAAAGATATATATTTTCTTTTTATTATTCGATTTAACTCCAATTGTGACAACGTCATTTCTTTTGTTGATATATTGAAAATCTCAAATGGCGTTGGGTTTTTCGTGGTTGGCCAATCATGTAAATCTAATCTTTTATGATGATCATTTGCACTTGTAGCATAACAACATATAAAACTCTTTCTACTTATGATAATAGGTAGTTTTGTCTTCATTGAAATTATTGTGGAGTATGAAACAATAAATTTTTTTTTTTTTTTTTTATTTGCGATAAGCGGTGTTTGAATTTTGATAACCATTGAAAACTCACTATTCATTAAACAAATACATACTATATAATCATCCTAATATAGTTGAGATGATATTATGCTAATGCAATTGCATAATCTTCATCAACCACATATTTCTCCCAATCATTTATAAATCCCATTAATTTCTTCCTTTTTCGGAATTTCCGACTCGTTATATCTATGTATCCAGTACTATGTAAATTACTATTATCCAAATCTCTTCTTTTCCATATATCAATCACTATTTGTTTAGTTTTCCTAATATTCCCAAGTGTATTTTTTTCTAATTTGTCAAAAATAGACAAAGTTAAATATCTTAAATTTTCACAATTTGAACTAATAACTGATATTTCACTAGCTGCCATGAATGTAGACCAAATTAAAGTTGAATACCATTTATAATCATTTTTGATTACTATGAATTCCAAGTATTTAAAAATTGTCTCAACTAAAGACTCTACAACCTCATCCTCAGGAGTTGAATTCAATAAACAACATTCAAGGTATAAAATTGTCGATAATCTTTTAACTTCACAAGATAACAAGAAACAAACTTCCTCTACATCGAAACTCTGATTTGACAATTCTCCATTTGGTTTAATTTGATTCTCTATCATATTTATATTCATATTTTCCAATTTTGTTCTCATATCTTCACATAATGCAAAATAATCCTTTTCGTTAATTGATTTTTTAAATCTTTCAAATGATAAATCGGTAATATCTGAGATAATAGGTAGTAATCTCTTATCACAACCCATCCACGAAACAAGACTGATTAGATTTTCATCAACTTCTTCTTCTTCTTTAATTAATTGTGTAAAGAATAAATTTACATCTTTACAAGCTGTTCTACCCATTGATTCTTGATAATCTAAAAATTCGAGACAAAATTTGAGTAATGAAAATTCTAATGAATTTTTGGGTATTTTGAAGCTTTTAGATTGAATTATCTTTTTACACAACCTAAGATAAATGATCCATTTTTTGGAACAATCATTGGCGAATTCATATAGTATCAACAATACTAGTGCAATTAATAAATCCGTTTGAATTTCGTCTATTTCTTCTTCATTTATTAGTTGTTCAATCATGGGTTTTATTTGATTCAATCCTTCTTCTTGAAATTTTTGTGATTGAATTAACCAATCTCGATTATTCAAATATTTGGCTAAATAAATTGAACCTAAACTCATTATAAATTTGAACAAGTATTCATTATGTGAAGAATATTTAACTAATGAATTTAAATCTAATCCCTTTTCAACAACTATTAAAGTATTTTTGTTATGTTCATTTTCCACTTGTTTATACTGTATTGATTGATCTCCGACTGGATTTAGGATTGGAGATATAAAATGAATATAAAAATTCAATGCATAATCTAAATTATTGGAATTTGTGGAAAGATAAAATTCTTTAGGTATGATTGATGACTGTAAGCTTGGGAATAATTTAAATGCTAATTTTTCACTTTTTGTAATATCTTCGTTGAAGAAATGCACATATTGTAAGTTTGACTTATTGCTTATTGGTTTATAATATGATAATTTTGATTTTTGTACTAAATCGTTTGTTGTGATTCTCGTAGTTGAATTGATACCTTCCCGACCAAATCGTTTACCGTTCTTCTCTACATCATATTTAAACTGTAATTTCAAGGTATAGTTGCATGGTAAACTCTTGGCCCTACATCGCGAACAACTTGGCTTTAGTGCATCACATTTTATTTTCTTGAGTCTACAATTATCACAAGCACGTCTTGATCTAGGAGCAGTTTTCCTTTTTCTAAGAACTTTCTTAACTTCTGAATTATTTTGAATTGGAGAAGGACTATTAACTCCGATTGATACACCAGATGAGGTTGTTGATAATTCCGAAAGTGAGAAATTTGAAATGATTGATGATGCAGAATTGGAACTCTCATTAATGTTTAATATTGAATATGATGTATTTAAATCTACCAGCTGATTAAGTTCGTTGAATATAAAATCGGTATTTGTTGCAAATTCATTGCTTTCCATGATGATTTAATTTCATTCTATTATTTTTGCTTTTTTTTTTTTTAGTATTTTTTTTTTCTTTTACGAGATCTAAAAAATCTTAGATTTGAAAAATCGAGCTCTGCGGCTCAAATTATATACTATGACGTCACCTCAGAGCTAACCCAATAATTTTTACTCTATCGACCCAAATTATCGCATTGAATAGTTAGCGCTAATATATTCTGAAACAATATTGCTTATATGCAGACCAGTCATAGTAAATCTTGAAAATTGTATTGTGAATAACTCTGTCAATAATCAAGTTTTTTGTCTCAAACTATTTCATTATAAATTTCGGCCAAATCTGAGTATACTAGTAATTGTACGCATTGTATAAACCCAATTTTGATGACTATCTTCATTTAAAAAATGGAAAAAAAACGATATTTTGTAAAAAAAATCAACACTCGGACTTCCTTTTGCAACTTCTACTATAGGTAATCTGGCTCAATTGGTTCCAAAAATTATATGTATGATGTTTGCATGACGTCAATTTTGGTTTGAAAATTTTGACCTATATTATCTCAGAATAGTTTCAGCAGCTTCATTTGAGGCTCGAGATATAATATATGTTATTTTATTGAATGTTATGGCCCTAAAAAGAATGCTACGTAGATTTAAATTGTTCGAAAAATATTTGTATGATGAAAACAGCCCTAAATGGCAACTCAAATAAAATTGTTCGAAATTCAAAAACTAAACTATGTGTGGTATTCAGTTTGAAACTGCTAACTTCATATAACTGTCATTTAAACTGAAAGAATTGTTGTTCTTGACATACAAACCCAAAGACTGTAGTACGAGTCGCCCTACACATTGCACGAGAAATTAATTTGTCGCTCCAAATTTTTCGCATAGAAAATTACGTATTTTACAATTTAATCTGATACAATTTTGACTTATATGCAGACTTACGGTATCTAATCATAAAACTCAATCTGCAAAAAATTCCTTCAATATTCAAGGTGTGGTTGTTAAACTTCATTCATTGCAGCTTCAGCGGGTTTGAATTAGAGTGATACTAGTGTATAGTAATTAAATTTAACCTGGTCATTTTATTACTCATTCGAAAGATGGATAACATTGGGTAAGCGACGGGAAGAATCTAAAAACTATATAGATGTAGTTGCAAAACTAAAAAATATTTAAAGAACTGGCTGTAGGATCTGAAGAACTTGCTACAAATTGAAGCCAAAGCGAGAACTTGCATTTATCCTGTCAATATCAAATTTCCTTGTCGATATGTTATATGTCATTATATACGTTTTTTAGTTACATTCAAATAACTAACGTGATAAAACACTCATCCACAGTTTAAGCCTGGATCATATAATTATTGGTTGTCTCTACAACCTTCAAAATTTCGAATTTAAAGTTTGGTACAAAATTGAAAATTCTTAGTCAATGTGTTATGTTTACATAAGCCAGTTTTTGCAACCAAAATATTATGAATCCAAATTATCACAAAGTTTAAAAATTGAATAACGATAGTCTGAAATTGTTAGCAATTAATCTAGTAGTGCAAAGTATATTCAAGGCTTAGAGATGATGAAATATCATACACCAAATTGCCAATTATGGAGTCAGTTAGTAAATGTATGTGATTATAGCTGCGGTTAATGTGTGAAATTGAAGCAATCAGTAGAGTGAGAAGTAGTACAAATACTGGATCAATTTTCCCAAGTTTCATTATTTCATTTTCATCAGTTTAATCAACTTTCAATGAAATTTGCTATCACTTCATTAGCTTTAGGTATTTTTGTTGCTTTAACTTCTGCTGCTGCTGTTGTTGAAAAAAGAGGTGGTGAATGGGATGGTTATGAACCAACTAAAACCTATGATGATGGTGGTGGTATTACTTCGTTTCCAAATATTTTTGCATTAGGTGTTAAAGATTATGGTGATGGTTCATTTACTACTTTAGATTTAGTCTATGAAATTGATGATGGTCAATTAATTTATGATAAAAGTCATCCATATCATGTTGAAAACTATGATGATTGTGAAACAGAAAAACCACCAAGACCAACATCAACAAGTGATTGTGAAACCGAGAAACCACCAAGACCATCAAAAATTCCTTATCATGATGGTTGGCAAAGAGAAAATTTAGAAGCTAGAGGCTATGAAACAAAACCAGAAGATAATTGGGGATCATTTAAATATCCATTTTTAAAAATAGAAAAATCTCAACATAATACTTTCTTCAATTTAAAAGATACCGTTTTAAGAACTGTATTTTCGAATAAAATTGTAGAAATTGTTGCTAATCATCAATTACAAGCTGATTCACCTGTTCAACCTGATGCTCTATTCACCAAAGGTTTTTCAATTGTTTATAAACATGGTGCTTGGTTATTAGCTTTAAATGGTTCAACTAAATTCTTTAATGCTGTTATTGATTCAACTAAAACTTCATTCAAAATTTATGATGCCCCAATTACATCAGAATCGAAACCAATTGAATTAGTTGTTATTGTTGTTAAAGGTGGTCATAAATGGTAAGCTGCTTAGGTTTACTAAAGGTGTGATTTTGCTATTTTCTTTTATTCAATTTCGGTTTTGGTCCTATTATCAATCTAGGTTCATTTTACATGGTTTATTTTGTTTCTTTCTTTAATATATATCACACCTAAAAGCTTGAATTGTAGATCTTTATTTCCTTTTAATTGAAGATTGCCAAGTTTACTCACAGGAATATAAGAGACAAGTATTTCATTGTATCTCTCCATTAATATTATAAATTACTATTTACAAAGTATCTATCAAACTTTAATTCAGACTTTGACGTGTCACATCTCAAATTATCTATCAAACTTTAATTCAGACTTTGAGGTGTCACTCTTCCTTTTTCAATGATGCCATTTCTGGTTCATTTACTCTTTCACGTTGTTCATCACTTGAACTTTTCACAACATCCTCTTTAACTTTATCCTTTTCATCTTCTTTCTTCTTTTCATCTTTTAAATGTGACATATCCGGTAATTTTTGATTTGTGATAAATACACAAGCAAATACTGTAATTATTGAAAAACCAAGACACATATAAAAAACATTCCTTATAGATTTAACAATTTGTGATTTAACAAAATGTTCAGCTTCTGGTGATAATGATCTAATTAAACTTGATGAACTTGATAAATCTTTAATATCAACTTTTTCAATTTCAGCTTTTATAGATTCATTGGTTAATTTGTTAAATGAAGATTTAAAAATATTATTGAATGAAGCTTGATAAACAGCATCTGATAGATCAGCACCTAATGCAGAAGTAATTGATCTAAAAAAGTTAATAAAAACAGTAGTCATAATCATACCACCTGGTGATTTCGGTGCTTTGATTTGGGCTGAAATTATAGCTGGTTGCATTTGTAAACCAGCTCCAACACCAATCAAAATTAAATAACCAACTTGTTTGGAGAAACTTGTATCAACATCTAGTAAACATAATAAACCACAACCAATAGGTGCTATAATTGCACTTGCGACATTAAAAGGTTTGACATATTTGAATTTTTGAATCATAATACCGGAAAAAATTGATGATAAAACAACTGAAATGATACATGGTAATAAATGTAAACCAGCACCAATTGCACTTGCATCTTTGACAACTTGGAAATAAATTGAACCATAAATCATGAAAACAATAAATGCAGTGAATACACCTGATAATGATAATGTAGAAGCAACAATTTGTGGAGACTTAATTATTGGTGTTGCAATGACTTGATTTTTAGAAAATCTAAAATTCCATATACAAAATAAGATCAATAAAACTGGACCTAATATGAAATTAACAATAACTGCCGCTGAATCCCAAGCAAAATCACCAGCACCAAAAGTAATGGCTAATAATAATAAAACACAACCAGCAATTAATAAACATGTACCCAAATAATCAAATTCTTTTAATTGTTTTAAGTAATTACCTCTTGGAGTTGGTGGTCTAAATGAATATAAAAATACAACTAATGCAAACCCACCAATTGGTAAATTAATATAAAATGCCCATCTCCAGGTAGCATGAGAAGTAAAAGCACCACCAATTAATGGTCCTAATACAGATGCAACTGCAAATGTAACTGATATAATTGCCATTCCAATTGGCCTTTTATCAATCGGTACTACTTCTGAAACAATAACAAAAACTAAACCTTGAATACCACTACCACCAATACCAGCTAAAACTCTACCACCAATTAGAACATTCATTGTTGGAGCTAATGCACACATTAAAGAACCTGCTTCAAATAAAATAATTGCAGCTACCATTACCCATCTTCTACCAAATATAATTGATAATTTACCAAATGGTTGTATAAAAACAGCCATTGTTAATAAAAATCCAGATGACAACCAACCAACTTTATCAAATGCATCAAATTGATTACCAACAGTAGTTAAAATTGTAACAACAATAGTTTGATCCAATGCAAACAAAAATAAACATAAGAATAATGAGAAAAAACATAAACCTAATTTTAGACCATGTAAGTATTGATCATTTGTAGTTGTACCATCTCCAGCATCAGATTCTTTAAAATGTTCTTTTTGTTGTTGATTTTCAATATCACTTTCAATAGGTAATGATAAATTTTCAGCTGGTAATGGATTTCGTCGTATACTTTCAACTCTTTCCAATTCTTTTGATGTCATGATTCAAGGTGGAATGATATGTTATTGATGAAAAAAATGATTGAGTATTAATGAATGGCGATGTTATTATATATTTATAGTACTTTTTTAATACCTTAATTTAAAATACGAAGATTTTTAAATCCATTTGGGAATGGCGTTTAATGCGAAATCTGCGGAGCCGAAGAAAAAAATAATACCACGGAAATATTGCCTAATTAGGAAATATTATATATAAATGCCGAGTGGTGATGATCTACCAGATGCTTGCCACAGTGATTCATTCAATAATGAGTATGTTAATTAGACATATGTCAAAGCAGTCAAATTAAAAGTGGTGTGATGGAGTAATAATAGTTGAGAAAATGCAAGATAATTTGACCAAGAATTTTATTATAACAAAACTTTATTATTTAATTTAATATTTCGAAATGATCTGAGATCAAATGTATTTTTGATTTACGAACCAACAGGTACTTTACTGTTTTTGGTAGATTTTATATATTTTTCATTGGTAACATTGATTAATTTTGTAGCAAATCTACCTGCATAAATTCCAAAGAAAACGCGAAAATATTTTGATCGTTAAACATGAGTTGGATCAAGTTTTTAATTGATGAAATTGGACTTTCATCTTTATATAAAAGTAATAAAGATGTTTATTTCATAATATTACTACGGATGATTAGATTGATTGGATTTGGATCAACTTCATTAATACTTGTACTATATTTAAAATCATTAGATATACGTGAGGAATTAATTGGTTTCTTTCTCACACTAACATTTATTGGTGATTTAGTATTATCATTTGTGATCAGTTTGTATACTGATTTAATAGGAAGAAAAAGAATATTGTTAAGTTGTTCATTATTAATGGGTTTAACAGGTTTGAGTTTCGTCATATTCGACAACTTTTATATCTTAGCTGCAGTTGCTATGTTGGGTATTTTAACTCCATCTGGAGGTGAGGTTGGTCCTTTTAGAACTATTGAACAAAGTTCTATTGCATCTTTAGTTACTCATGAATTCAGATCTGATATATACGCGTGGTATTTATTTTTAGGATCATTTTGTCATGCTCTTGGATCAATTTTAGCTGGTTGTATAATTGATTCAACATTGAATGCTGGATTTAATAAAGTTGAGAGTTATAAATTTGTTTTCCTTAGTTACACTATCTTGGGTGGTGTTTCATGTATTTTATGTATGTTTTTAAGTAATGGAATTGAAATCGAACAAGATAAAGCAACAGTTAATGAAACATCACAATTATTACAAGAAGAGGGTGAAATTGAACCAATATCATCACAAAAAAAGAAAGGTTTCAAATTCTTACCACATTTAACACCTGATATTTATTCAATTGTTATTAAATTAAGTTTATTGTTTGGTTTGGATTCATTTGCATCATCATTAACACCAATCTCATGGCAATCATACTATATTAATAACAAATTTAATTTATCATCATCATTCTTAGGTTCAATCTTTTTCACCACTGGTATTATAGCAAGTTTTACAGCATTAGGAAGTACTTCATTGAATAAAAGAATTGGTGCAGTTAAAACAATGGTTTTTACACATTTACCAGCTTCAATCTTATTAGCTTGTGTACCATTGCCAAAATCATTGTACGTTACATTAACAATTTTGATTTTACGAAGCTCAACTCTGTCAATGGACACTGCACCTAAACATGTATTTTTAGCAACGTTAATTGCTGATAACAATAGAACTGCAGTATTTGGATTTGTAAATGTTGTTAAGACGTTATCACAAGCTATAGGTCCAACTATAGTTGGTATATTAACAAAGAATAATTTACAATGGGTCAGTTTTATAATTGCAGGTTCATTAAAATCTATATATGATATAGGTATATTGGTTACTTTTATAACTTATAACAAACATGTAGTTCATTGAATGTATATATATTATTTCGAATCAAGAATTTGTTGTACAGTATTTATAACACTTGTTTCTAATGAAGTAAATTGCCATGGTAATAATTTTTTAGTAAATTCATTATTTACATTTGCCAATACTTCAACATCTTTTTGTCCACTACCAACATTACCTTTTATCAAGTTTAATTGGGGGAAATTTTTATTGATTATATCTAAAATCATTTGTACACTAAATTTACCATTATTTAAAAATAATCTTTTACCGATAACTGAATCATTTTCAATTGCAAATACATGTGCTTTAGCAACATCTACAACATCAATAAACCCACCAATTTCGTTTTCAAATTGATCATTTTTTGCAGTTAATAAATCACCAACATAAGAATTTGAAAAATTCAAATTTTTAGGATCAACTTTAAAAGCTTGATTACCAAATACATAAGAAGGACAAACTGTAGTTAATTGAAATGCATTTTGATGAGTTTCCAAAAATTTCCATGCTTTTTTTTCACCTAAAGCTTTTGAAACATAATAACCACCGACCGGATCTTTTTTACCTTCTTCATAAGCTACATTATTCCAACTTGATTCATCAAATGTAAATTTGTTATTTCTTTCATCGATATTTGAATATATAGCAGAATCAGAAGATGTTAAAATGAATTTTTTCAATTTTGGAAGTAATAAAGTACCATTTAAAATATTTTCAGTACCTTTAAGTGCTGGAATTATAATATCTAATTCTGGATCATTTACAGTATAAGTAACTGGTGAAGCACTATGAACAATATATTCAATATCTTGATGTTTTTTCAATGATTCATGAAATGCATCTGGTGCATTTAATTCAGGAACAATTTCATATTGAAAATTTGGGTTATTGATTATTTTTGATAATTTTTCACCTTTTTCCTTAGATCTAATTGTACCAATTACGGTATAACCTTTCTCTAATAAGATTTTGATAATATGTTGAGCTATAAAACCGTTAGCTCCAGTAATGTAAACAGCAGGCATTGAAGTAATGGAATAATGAAATAATGAAGTACAGTGAATAGAATCTATTTATATCAAAATATAACTGTGGATCGAATTGCCTAATTCGGCTCGCGCGATTATCTAAATCGCCAAGTTTTGAAATCTGAAGCACAAAATTGAAAATTTGATAATACTCAAATCACTGGGTTTAAGCATTGCAATGCTATTTCAATAGGTTGGATTGACTCTAGTATTCAAAAACTGACAATTAAATATACAATGTTTTACAATTTTTCATTATAAATATTACATTATTAATTTGCTATACATTTATATAGTATACATCATTCATCATGAAAATATATTACAATCTTGAATTAATTGTTTAAATTCAAATATCTATTAAATCTAGCAATGTTTTTATACTTTTACTTTCTTGTTATTTGTTTTCTTACATACCAATTATCAATGTTTGAATTTTTGTGATTTATATCATAATAATAATCCCATGAATCTTTTCTAAAGATGGGTAAATCTCCCATTTCATCAATATTATAATATGCCAGATTATCTAAATCCTCATTAAGTAATTTATGTCTTTCAACTATTTCCCTGATTATATTATATTCATCTTGAAGAATTTTTGAATTACATGCACCTTTCAAAGACAATTTCTTTTTATTCTTTTCAAATCTATTTTTTGGTTTCTTTGGTTTTCTTGAACATATTTTATTCGGTACCCACATATCAATATCTTTTTGATAATTATGCTTATGAAATTCTGTATTTGTCAATGCTGATTTACCATATTTATTCATTAATGATTGATTTACTTTATTTGGAATATAAACAGAAGCACCTTCAAAATAAGTATGACGAATAGGTAATAATTCATCCAATGTATGCCAATTCCAATTCTTACAATGTACTGACATTTGAGATAAATCGTTACTATCATTAGTTTCTGGTGGTGGAACTTCAGTATGTGATAATGCAGTTATATCAATATATAAACCCAGATTTATATCTATAAATCTTGCATCAATAAACGATTTACCATTACCTTGTCTAATATATGTCGGTGCTATTTCCAACCAATATCTAGCATTACCAAATTTAGGATTTTCAATAATTAAAGTTTTATTAAATTGTTTAGCCAATTTATCCAATTGTGCAATTGGCATTTGTATATCTATATCTGTATCCCATGGCATATTGAAACCATTAAATGCCCAACCTAATAAACTTCCATGATTAATCCAACTAGCAAATCCATAAGCTTGTGAAAATTGAAACCAATTACGAATCATATGATGTAATATACTTTGACGCTCTCTATCTGAAATATATCTTTTAAAAAATGGATAACTAATATGATGCGAATTACCTTGAATCAAGTCTGTGTATATCCAAGCATATTTAAAATATCGATCAGTATGATCAACTAAATGATTATTTGAATATTCAAGAAATTCCAAATATTTCATTTCTTTTGAAGTTATCGTTTGATTATTTAACTTTTCTTGCAATTGAAATATTTCCACATCTGGTTTGAATATAAAATCTTCAGGATTTATATCAACTGTTTTTTCTAATGATTCGATATTTTTATAATTAAATTGATCACTTGTTGTATTAATTCTATTCATCTTAGTTATTAAATGATCTGTAGTAACTGAATTTATACTTTTGTCATCATTAGCAGCTAATCTTTTCTTACCAATTACTGGAACCTCCATTATAGTTGAATCTGTATTGATTAATAATTTTTCAGGAATGTCTTTAAGACAATACAAATTTACCATACCTCTATAAATTTTTGTATTATAAGATTCAAGAAAATGACCATTTACATCTCCAAATTTTTTCAAATTTGCATCGCAGAAAGTACCTGATGAACTTGAAACTCTTGCTTTATTTAATAAATGGTTGGCAACTCCTAAATCTATCCAATCATCCCAATGAAAAAAAATGCCTTGATCTTTACCCAAAAAACTACTTGGTTTACTTTCTTCCTGTATATCTATTATATGATTAAACAAATCTAATAATATATTTTTTGGATTAAAACTCAGGTGTTTATTTTGTATTAATGCATTATGCTCAAGTACTGATTGATTAATTTCTGTAGTTAAATAAATTTGAGTAGTTTTGAACATACATAGTATTAATAGTAGAAAAGGTAATAAATTTCTAATCTTTTTAGTAAAAAAGTAATATCTAGGTATATGACCATGAGTATTTGTAGTTGATGGTTGTTTTAATGATAAGGGTTGATGATTATATGGAATATAAGTTTGTGAAGCAGTTGATGACTTTCTCATTAATTAATTAATTGATGATAATGATAATAATAATAATAATAATAATAATAATAATAATACAATTTGGAATGAATATATAAATAAAAGATTAAAACTGGAAATTTATATGAAATAAATTGAATAAATAAATAAGGCTATGAAATCTAATTAAATTGTATTGTCGCGTGGAGAATTTGATTCTAATAAATAAACTAATTTATTAAACTTTGTCAGTTGTTGATGATGAATGACGAAGATGAATGACGATGATTGAATGCAATAGATGAATAAAACTCCCAAAAGAAATGATGAAAGGTTAAAGTAAATAATTTTTGTTGTAAAAGCAAAAGATGATAAAAATAAATTTTAATTATTATTATTGAAAAATAAAAAAAAAAAAAAAAAATAAAAAAAAAAAAAATTAAGTAAGAAATTATATAATTAATTTATTGCTACCTTGTCGTGTGATTTAAAATTAGTAAACTAATGAATAAAACCATACAATATCGAAACTGCATTGCCTCTTATATCTCAATTACTATTACTCCAATGTTTGAAAAGTAAATGCTATATCTGAGGATTCAAATTTAAGTTTAGAGAAAGCAAGCTTTTTAATAATCTTGTTAGATTATGATGTCACAAGACTATATATAATTGCTACTAAGTTTCGTCATCTATTTCAAGAGTCAATGGTTTGTATATAAATTTTCTCTACTTTTAGTTTCATAAAAAAATATATGACATTAAATTTAACCCTTGTTACATATATTTGTTAATTACGACTTCGAATTGGGAAATAAAACAATTTGTTTTGACGATAAATTTGGAGGACTGTAATACCAAGTCGTCTAATCAAAAGGCATTAATTTTAATAGGAGTCAAAAAGGTTATTTTCTGTACCTTAATTATAATAATCAAATTTTCTCGATTTCATGCTGAGATCTGTATATTTTTTTTTGATGATTTTCTCGTGAATTACATCTCTAATGTATATTTAGACCTCAAATTGAAAAAAGGGGACAGAGAGGCGGTTGTTTAGTATTATAACTACCTTTTTGAATCAAGAAATTAATAATAATAATAATAATAATAATAATAATGATAATAAGGCAGTAAATCTTTAAAATATTATATTTCGATCTGAGATCTCGCTTAATTTACTACGAAAAATAAATAATAATAACATCCATCGTCTAATTTTTTTCCTTAATTCATAATAAAAAGACTACAAGGTTCTACAATTTCTTGATAAAAAATTGGTCCAGTTTGATGAAGTATAAATTGACTTCTCTATTTGAGGTACCTTAATTATTTCTTACAATTAGTCGCTCGATTATTGGTAAGAGATTAGATAATAACTAATCTAAATAAAAAGAAACTTTTTTAGTCAAAATCTAAATTTCTTGGCATATTATAAGTATATGCACGATCTTTTGTGCACAGCCATTCCAAAACCAATAATATCAAATCTATTTGTTGATTTGTCTTTGAAACAATGTTTACCAATTCTATATTTAAAATCTCGAGGATTATTATTTTGCTGACTGTATATAATTTACTTTTGGTGCCTTAAATTCATAGTTTAAACTTATATTTTACTGTATAACTCGAGGCACGTAGAAAAAATTTCTTCGATTTTCGTTGAATTTGCTAATTTTTTGTTTATGTTTTGAAATTTAACCTAATTTGATTCTCATCTCAGAATTTAAATTCCTCCCCACTTGATTTTAATGCATCGCCTTGTATCACGAAAAAAATTTTAACCATGTCCAATTGATTAGATCCTTCAATCAACAATTCTTCGCCATTTACCTGAATATGCTTAACCCTCTGTTAATTAATTACTTGATATTACATTGAGCAATTTTTTAAAACATTAATGTACATACAATTCGATTTTCACCATAATAAATATTTTTGAACGATGTGCACTACCTTTTCATTTTGCAACTTTAAATTTTGCAGCCAAAATTATGTCAAGTTACAAACTAAGAGATCTTGATTTTGTTCATCTACAATTTCAACAACTTAAACTCGTTAATACATTTAAATTATAAATTAAGAGAAATATGATATATAATATGCAAATATAATGCTTGATGAATCTATATTATAGATTGTAATTTTTATTTTCAATTTTCCGATTATGCCATTGGATCAAAAAACCATTGTAGATTTGTGTTCCTAAAAACTCTCATACCCATTGTACTTCCATTTTTAAAATTATAATTTAGTCTTGCTTTTATAAAATTTTCATCATATTTGTTTAAAAGGAACCATTTAATAATACTAAACCAAACAGTTGCATAAATTAAACCAATAAACAAATCTAACCTCCAATGATGATCCAAATATATAGTAGCCCACCATTGTAAAACAACAAATAAAAAACTTAGAACTTTTATAATTCTATATCTTGCAAAATAAGTTATAAAATATAATGTAATTACAGCCATAGCTGAATGTAAACTTGGAATTGCACCAAACACAATGGGTGATGCATGAAATCCTTTTGAATTTAAATGTGTACCTAAATGAATATCAACTCTAGTTAAACCAGCGGCATATCCTTTCATATCATAATTTGCAACTTTATCTTCTCCATACATGTGAATAAACCATGGTGGTGCACATGGAAATAATAAATGAGTTAAAACACCACATATATTTTGAAAACCTAATGCAAAACCATATGATTTAACTGCCCCTGGTTCATGGAAAATGTATAACCAAACTGACGTCAAAATTGGAACTGTAATATGACCTAAAACATATGAAGTCCAAGCTAATAAATCTTTCCATACTAATATTGGATCTTTTAATGCATAATAATCGAAATTTAAAATAAACCAAGACGAAAACAACATTATTGGTGGAGTCAAGTACCATGAGCTTATTGGTAAATTGCTTCTCTTTTGTACAATTTTTTCATTTATCTCGTAAGCCGTAGTTGAAATTTCCTCAGTTGCTAACATTGTAAGGAGCGGGAATTCAAAAGTATGGTGATTTTCATTTTGGAAATTGATAGGAGGTTGTTCAACTTGAAACTCATTTTGAACAAATGATTCTAACTCAACATCAAACGATGATGAGGAGGATGAACTACTATAATCGTCGTCTATCTGTATGATTTCTTTTGAATTTTCATATTTTGCTTGGTATGATTTCAGTTTAACCTTGTATAAGCCCAAATATAACAATAGACTACATGTTATTAGACAAATCAAAGTTAGAATTGACCCTATAATCAGTGAAAACATGTAAGCATCCAAATGATATGGTAATTTAACGTGTATAAATGGTCTTATATCATTTGGTATTAGCCCTGCATTTTTAAATATTAACAACCAAACAAAAACTGGTGAAAACCCAATCCAAAATTGTAAAATTAAGTGAAATATTGAACGATTATTCAATCCAGACCAATAAGTTCGAATTATGAATTGATGGAGAAACAAAATTGGTTTAAAAATGACAGTTGGCATTTCTTGAATTTTTCGATCAAAGATTAGTGGAATAAATTAATGAATTTGATTAAGGATCAGGTGAATATCGGTAATCGATCTATGAAAAAATGGTGCTGTTAACGTAGAATACTTTTTTTCAAAATTAATACTAGTAAGATAGTTGAATACGAATTATTAAAAGACTGGAAAGATTAAAGTATTGATAATATTAAAATGACAACTCGAATTTTTAATTTATTGTTTTAATATAATGGAATTTTACTGAAAAGCCCCGGTTAAAATATATGTAGTAATTCTTGCTAACCATTAATTTATTTATTTTTTATTTTTTTCTATTTTTAATTTTATTTATTTTATTTCATTCTTCATCAATATGTTACAATTTAGTGTAATTATTTATAATTCAGTAAAGGGTTTTGTGTATTATCGTAACTGATCTATTGACCTATCATCAGTTTATGCTCGAGATTATTTAACGAAAAGATATTTCAACTTAATCTACTGAGATCAGTAATTTAATCCCACTTACGCAATTGTTCATAACCTAGTTAAATTTTTGATCCCTTGTTCATACTTGCGTGTACATTGAGCGTTGGCGCCTACTGATAGATGAGTCTGTATTAGTGGTCTTGATGCTAGACCTCAGAAGACTACCAAAGACATAAGTTGTTTGTAGTCATGTTCCTCATATTAAATGATCAAAACCGTTGATGTTATTCTAGCTTATTTAGTTAACTTAACCGGTTATGCATTGTTAGGATCTTAACAGCGTGGAAAAAAAATATCTTGATTTTAACGCCAAACTTTTTCCGTAAATGTAGTGTGATTATTAAATATATGTATATAAGATGATGATGATACTCTTCAAAAATATCAACCAACTAAGAAAACTCTAGAGGTAGTTTCAAGTTTGTTACAAAAAGACTCAGGCAGTCATCTCTGAAGATCACTACACTGATGATGCATTTAATGTAGAACCGAAAGCTCATAACTATAAGAGAGGTGGAATTCAAGTGTTGTATCATTTTAAATCCGCAAAAGTTTTTGAGTGATCATTTCATTAGTCGCAATAATCATCACTTTTAAACAGTAGCATTGGGTTAGATGTTATAACTCATGTCTTTGTTTCAATGGCGTTTAGCTCAACTTTTCTCCTCCAGGCTAATTTAAGGAGAGTAGTAGTTGTATTATATAAAGTGAGATTAGGTATATTTTGAATTGTGAATTACGTAAAATATAGGATTTAAAATTTTTTATTAAATTTAAAATTAACGTAAAGATAAAAATATTTCAGCAAAGTTCTTCGGGGTAGATTTTCTATTCAAATTCTATAACAACGCATTATAATAGAACTTTTGACTATTCTGAATCCCTTGAGGACCGTAATATACGTTGTTGCTTTTGTATGACCAAACTCTGCGTTGGCCGAATTCATATACCTAGATTTACCGCACTTTTCGAATTTAGATATAAGTAACTATAAGTCCTGTGCATTGCACGGTTTGTATCACGCGACTGTAATAATTTAAAGCTATGTGGCTTATTTAATTGTGCGGCTTTGTACTTTCCAATTTTGTGTTTTGCAACCAAAACACAATAGTGCCAGGTTGTAAGCTGCTGTTAGATAACAAGGTTACCAGTTTGCAATTGAATCTTTTTAAACGACCGAATACTCTTTCGATTAGGGAAGAAGTGTAGTGCATCTTGTAGAGCTACTGAATATCTCCTCATTACGAATCAATACTCAGTGTCGAAAATATGACGTTAGAGTCTAATAGAAAAAAGTATGTAGTCCTTAAGTCAGCATATCTTGATGTAAATGATTTCAAATAGTTAATCTTCTCCGCTTTATTATTTGAAGTAAATTTGAACTCCTGAATTTTAGAAAATGACGTGATAAAATACATGAAAAGTTATTAATTTAAATAAATTTAAATAAGTTAATATAACCATTATCATTTACATGCATAGAATTTTCAATAAGCCGTTGATAAATTTCAATGATTGTTCAAAAAAGTAAGAATTTTAAACACGAAATACTAAAAATTGAAATAGATTCTATCTAGGTCTTAGCTTCTAGGTTTTTGAGAGGAAGTCAAGTTTTCAAATGCTTAAGATTCCACGAATACATAAGCACGTTTTGGAAGTTGCTGTATGAGTACTTTTCATTTGTTTCCTATCATTCCGTATAGTTCATATATTAAGATTCGAGAATCGAAGTTAAGTTTTCAAATGCTAAAAATTCCGTGAACAAATAAGCACGTTTTGGAAGTTGCTGTATGAGTACTTTTCATTTGTTTCCTGTCATTCCGTATAGTTCATACATTAAAATTCGAGAATCGAAAATCACTGAGTCGGAGTTAACTGGTTACTCTTTGTACTTTTTTGGTCATTGAGTAAAATTTTCTATTTTCTCGAATCACACGACCAAATGAAGTGAAGTCCGTCCGCGGTTGAATCATTCGGTAACTTTGCGGCGTTCAAAATTGTTAATTTTTTTATTTTGGTTGCAAAAAAAAAAAAAAGCAAAACAAGAAGAGTTGATTAAATTTTTGGCTGCGAAATATAAATACAAAAAATCCTACATTTTTGTATGCGTTAATTTGGTGCGGACTCATTTATTACTCGCGCTAGCATTAGGGCGACTCGTACTAAAATGGTTGGCTTGTATCTGATGACCAACTCAAACTCATGATATTTAGATTATTTTAATGAGTTCAGTAAACTTCATTCGTTTATTCTATAAACTTCAATATTCAGATTTTAAACACTTTTTGTTCGACTTTTCATTTTGGCATTATTTCACCGTACAAAAAATTTGCCAAAAATGAAAACTCCATTATGTTTAAATTAGGTGCTCAATTTTCAATTAAAAACCGAATTTTATATATTAAACCTCAATCTAACGTATTGGATATGTTTCTGAATGTTGTAAACTAAAATTGAAAAATTTCCAAATTTTCTCCTAAGTATGGGAAAATTGAATAAATTGATATAACGAAAAATCTGGCACCACAATTAAATTCTAGTGTAAATTATTATGAAAGTATCAAAATTTGTAGTTCCTTAAGCTGATAAACCTTAAATACTTTTATGTTAAGGTATTCTAAGTTGGAAAAGTAATTTTTCACAAGTGGTTCGAAAATTTTGAAAAAATTTCAAACTAATTATGACGAATTAAAACCATCACTTATAGAATCTTTGAAGTTAAATGAAACAAATCAGCTATGTTAGAAGTTGGTAGACGAGGACTTAGTGTTCATTATTTTGCAAAATAGCGTTTTTATCCATTTTTTAAACGATGAATAAATTGATCACAACTATGTTTGATCAAAAGAAAATATTGTCAGCCTAGTTTAGACAAATGAATTTTGCATGAAAAATGTTTGAAAAAGAAGGCTTGAATATTGATGGAGGTATTTAAAGATGAAGTTTCGTGCTTAACTAAGTACAGACTGCATATAAGGAAAATTGTTTTAGAATTAAGTTTAAAGTATGTAAATTATCTTCATGTTCATGAAAATTTACCATCGACCTTATATCAAGGACTATAACGTCTCATGTTGCTACTAGCAAGAGTTTGTGATTAAAAAGGAACTCCGGGTACGGAACTAAAAATCACGAAACATCGAGACTTTAATAAAGAAATTGAAAGCAGTGCCTCAAAAAGGATCACATTCAAATTTATCGAAAAAATCTCGTTCGAATGGTGCTAGACACAATATGTTTTGAATAAATATTTGGCATGATATGTACAATGGAGTATCACTAAAAAGTAGTGGTTTTTTCAATATTTTTTTAATGCGCATTCTCGGTATATTATATTTTTGTGTCAGATTTCAGATCTATAGATTTGCAACCGATCTCAGATCTAGATCGCGCAATTAAATTCTTTATTTCCGTTTGTCTAATATAAACATGAAACACGATAGTTAAGGAGATCACAATACAGCTACAAACACTTTCGAATAAAAATAGATATTATGGCTTTAGTTTCAATACTTGAAGCTAGATTACTTAAAGAAGCACGTAAATCTTATTAAAAGAAATAAATACCATGGATACATATATATAAACATCAACTTTTCAAATTTAATAGTTTATCACCTTTTGCCATCTATGGTTTACATATATTGAGCTTCTGTTTGTTGCAATTTAACGTTAAACTATTTTGAAGTCCGTATAATTTTTTTAGAGTTGTTTGATGAGCTTGATTCTAGCACAGGAAGTGGCACCAACCGTCGCCATAAGTATAAATTTTTCCGGCTGTATCCTCGCTGCGCGTAGGTATTAATCCATATTTAAGAATAAAAATTTTAATTTTAATTTTGACTTATATGCAGTCTTATGGAAGTAATTCTCAATTCTTAAACTATAATTATCTCCTTCATTATTCAAGATATCTTTATCAAACTTTTTTTATTAAAACTCCAGCTTAGCTGGAGTACTCTAAAAACAAAAATTTTTGACAAAACAAAGTTTTGAAAATTTTATTCGACATCGAAAAAATGCAAAGAAGCGCTAAATAGCGATATAATCAACTCTTAGACCTCGTCGAACAACTTCTAATAAAGTAGATTCTTTTTATTTGACCTCAATTAATTTTTAAATAATGTTTTCAAGACGCTAGAACTAGTTTGAAATTTTTTCAAAAATTTCAATCATTTTTGAAAAATTTCTTTTCCAATTTTGAATACCTTAACACAAAAAGTTTTAAGGTCTTTTAGAAGGTGGAGCTATAAATTTGAATACTTTTATCATAGTCATATCTTGATTTAGGTTGTGGAGTAAGATTTTTTGCAAGGTCATTTTATTCGATTTTCACCATGGTCAAGCGAATTATTTGAAATTTTTCAGTTTTAAAGTAGATCACCCCGAATTGCGTCTGATACTTTGATTTGAGGTATATTATATATCATTCGTCATTTAATTGAAAGTTAAGGTCCTAAATAAATCATAATCCGAGTTCACATTTATTGAAAATTTTTTGTATGATGAAAAAAAGCCAAATGACAACTTAAAAAAAAAGTGTTTAAAATTGCAATTTTAAAGTATTCAAAGTATATGCTGCTTCCTGATTTTATTAAATTGGTTTCTATCTAGAGAGAATAAGTTGTTCTTGACATACAAGCCAATGAGTTTAGTACGAGTCGCCCTAATGCTAGCGCGAGTAATTATTTTATCGCCTTTGATCAAACACAAAACAGAAATTATTATCGTAGAGAAACTTTACATGATTTTTAAAATAATGAAATCTACAACATGTTCAGTCGCCACATGGAGATGGTTCTATTATACATTGGTGGGCTGCTAATTCTTTTGAGAGTTACGTGATTATGAACTCTGTAAGTACCACATTTTTGAAACAAGCCGAGATCGCGAAATGATTAGCCCACTTCTATGCCTGGATTTTATTTTCCGATACTAATTTCTTGCCCAGTAATTGCGCAATCTGGTATTAGTTTAGGTAGTACTTTAGACGTTAAATCTTTATAAGTATAGAAACACACCAACAAAATGAATTGTTAGTGAAACACCAACTCCGATTTAATTACAGTCTCGTTGTGCAGAATCTTAACCAAAGGAATCTTGAAGTTTAGAAGCTAAGCATTTATTTGTTTTTTTTTTTTGGAATAGAATAGATGAGATCTTCAAATCATCAGATTTGGTCTCAAGACCATAATTTTAAGGCGTTTAGTAAATTTGAATAAGGTTTCAGGTGTTATATATAAACTTAATGATAATTGTTTAATAATAAAAGCATAATAATAAGTAACTATGTATTAATACAGAATAACAAGTATCTACGTTTATATTTTGTGTATTTAATCAAGTATAAGCGTTGTAGCAACCCTAAGATAATTAGAATCGAAATTCATCAATCAGACAAAATTATACGAATTACCAAGTATTTCAAGAGCGTATATTCTTTAGTTCCATGGTATCTCCTCAACTAGCAGAACTAAGTCAGTTAGACATTCTTTAATGCGTGCTCAAACTTCATAATGAATATTTAATTACATCTTGTATTATGGAAGCAACTTAACCTGTTCTGAGTTTTAATATGATTCTCAAAAAAACATCAACGTCGTTCTTACGATGGATTCACTAATACTATATCTAGAACATTTAACTTCTATTGAAAGAGCCCAATTGCTGATTCACTTGGTTTGATTTTCAAGGGCTAAACTTCTTAAACCATTTTCAGTTACAACTGAGATACATTTTAACATAAATTAAATAGAAATCATCATTCAATATTCCAATTATCATCATAAAACAATGCTTTTTCGGAAATAACTTTTTGATTATCATCATTCTAACTGGTATAAAGATCAACAACGGTCTATTTATTTTCACTGGTCAAAGAAAGCATAACAATTGAAAAAGATTGTTATAACCTCGCTGCATAGAAGTAAAAGGTAGTTCACTGCAAAGTATTTAAGCCCATCGCAATAACACTCCAGAAATCTGGTGAAAATTGTTTAAGAAAATTTTTCATCTGTATGATTTTAAGATATTGATAGACAAATAAGCTATATAATAATTTACACAACTCGCTACAAATGGCATAAATTGTTTGATGTTTCAGAAAGTCGTCATTAGACTTAAGCAGGATTGTCTCGTTTTAGTCATAAATTCGCTGTCAAAAAATGAATCCATTATCGGTCAAGAAAAATGAAGATCTAATTTAGAGACAATAAACACAATTAATTTGCATTCAAATTATCTCTATCTCTGGTTCTTGAATACTGAATAGCAGCGTTTCAAATAATTTCACCAAGATTAGAACCAATATGCTTTCAGGTTCAGATTTCAGGTTCAGATTTCACTTGCCTTTTTGTCTTATATCAGAAGAAAACATTACCTAATAAATAGATAAGAATTTTTGAAAAAGAAAATAGAATCAAAACTGCTTTTATTTCTCTTTTTGTTTTGTTTTGAATTTATCTCCGTGTAAAATCGAGATTGTTAAATACGTAAATTAAGTTACATAATAAGAGGTTGAAAAAAAATTTTCGAATATTAATTACCGTTATTTAGGGTATTTTCCATCAAACAATCTTATTAAATCGCCGAATTTAACTTACAATGGTCTCATAATCAAAGCCCAATTAGATGCATTTGTGTATTAATCTAAAGACATTTTAAATTGAAAAAGAAAAAAGTAATAATTTAACTAAAGGGGTTTAAAAATATAAAGTTCGGATAAATGTTTTAGAGATAAAAAAAAAATTAACAAAAAATTAACAAAAAATTAACAATAAATTAACAATAAATTAACAATTGTCATTGAGAATAAAAGAAATTAGGACAATAAAAAGTTAATCATCACAAGTTCATATAAACCAAGCATATCCAATTAAATGTAAGGCAAAAGGCATAAGGCAAACCTAAAAAAATTAACACTCGTGTGAGTTTTAATCAGTTTAAAGTTGTAAAACAATAAGATCCATACAAACATGCTTTAGAAATAGAATAAATTTGAGAAACGTGGGAGCTCATCTAATTATATATAAACTGCTTATCTTAATACAAATAAAAACAATTCGGCATAAAAAACGACAGGGGTTCATAATGATAAACGTGGCTTGCTATCAGTAAAGAGATAACGAAAAAAATAAAAAATAGCTGCAAATGTAAAGTTAAGTAAGAATGCATTAAAATCTTACATACTAAAACTTAAAATTTTTGGAACACGTGGGGACTAACTTTAGTTTTGCACCCTAAATTTCAAACCTAATAATCGTTTCTCCTCTAACTTTAAACAGAGTAAGTATAGTATCCCTTTACAAATCTAGTGAGTAAAGAAGAGATAGGTCTAATAATCTAATAACTTTTAGGACCAAACTAAAAATTAATATTTTTAATTAACTCAAAACTCTAATTGTTTTAATTAAAAAATAATACAACATTTTTCTTGTTTCTTTCATAGAATTAAATCTAAATTAAAAATTAGAATCAAAGAAACAATTCCAAGAGATCTTAATGTTCTATCAAAACAATTTCTTGTCAACGATTCTATGCAAGTTACAATATATATTTTCTTAACTACTCGGAATATTATTTAAAGTTTCGTTAAAGAAGAAAAAAGATCTCTTGGTATTAGTATGTCAAAATTATTTAAATTGATTGAGAGATCTCTTGTAATCGTAGAAAGACTTACTGAAACTAATTTTTCATTATATATCTATTTCATTATTATTATATTTATTGACACAAAATATACGAATGGAATTTTCAAATCTTAATCTCGTTATTTCAAGAATCTATTTTAGATCTACAAACAAAATAAAAATAATTACAATTAAGAGGAAATAACCCACCACATGGTTAAATTGAAATGAGAAATATCAAAAAAAGAGTAATTACTTTTTATGGTCTAAAACTTTTAATGTCTCTTTCAAGAGAAAATGCCATAATGAAATTAAATTAAATTGCCTTGTAAACTTGTCAATCAAAGTCTAAAACCAATTTCTTTGTCAGAATTAGTAAAAAAAATGAAACTATATAATTTTCTAATGCATATTAATATCAAGGGTTAAAAATTTCTAATAGCCTACGAGACTAATAATTTTGATAATTTTACATTTGAGAAATCATTTTAAACGCTTTGCACATATGCTTTTTTTCTGCCTCATCAAAGAATAAACGTTAGAGGTAATTGTAGCTTCAAACTACGAAAAAAAAAATATTACACTGATAACAACCTATCCAAGTCAATTAATTATTTTCTTTAATATCATTAGTGATAACTTCAATTATTTTGAATCTTATTTCTAGTTGAAAAATTTGAAAAATTAAAGAAATTAAAGAAATAAAAGTAAATTTTTGGTTTTGGTTATGAAGCATGCAAAAGAAACAAAGATAAATTTTAGACTAAAAAAAAAAAAAAAAATAAAAAAAAAAAATATAATAGAATAAAAAATAAAAAATATAAAACGCCTATGCACATAATTTAATAATTTATCTTCATATTATTAGAATATGGTGCTGCTGCTGCCTTTCTAAATAATTGTTAGTATGTATATATAAAAAATTTCATATAAATTAATGATAATTTCCCATGTTATTCACATTTATTTTTTTTTTTGTTAAGTTCTTAAATTTTTCAATTCAATTTTCAGATTCAAATTCAATAGCTTCCTTATCAATTGCAGCAAATACTAAAGAGAATTAATTATAATTTTAAAAATGGTTGCTGATATTCATGATGATGTTCATCCTACAAATGAAGTTTCAAATTTTGGTGGTAAAACCGCTTTCAAGGATTATTTAGGAAAATTTGCTGATGTTGAAGATCCATTGGAAAGAAGAAGATTAGCTTTAGAAGAAATTGATAAAGCTGGTTTTGGTTGGACTCAAGTTAAAATGATTATGATTGCAGGTGTTGGTTTCATGACCGATTCTTATGATATTTTTGCAATTAACTTGGGTATTCAAATGTTGGCTTATGTTTTTTGGCGTGGTAAAATTCCTGATTCAACAAGTACTTTAATTAAAATTTCAACTTCAGTTGGTACTGTTATTGGTCAAATTTCATTTGGTGCAATTGCTGATAAATTAGGTCGTAAAGTTATTTATGGTTTTGAATTAATTATTATGATTTTTGCTACTATTGCTCAAGTTGTCGTTGGTCAAGCTCCTGCCATTAATTTCGTTGCAATTTTCGTTTTCTTTAGAATTATACAAGGTATTGGTATTGGTGGTGATTATCCATTATCATCAATTATCTCATCAGAATTCTCAACAACTAAATGGAGAGGTGCTATTATGGCAGCTGTTTTTTCAAATCAAGGTTTAGGTCAAATTTTTGCTGGTATTGTTGGTATGATTTGTGTTGCTGGTTATAAAGATGAATTAAATTGGGTTCTTCTTAAACCAACAAAAATGGATTGTACTGGTAGTTGTTTAAGAGCTTGTGATCAAATGTGGAGAATTATCATTGGTTTTGGTTGTGTTCCTGGTGCAATAGCGTTATACTATAGATTAACTATTGCAGAATCTCCAAGATATGAATTAGATGTCAATGAACATGGTGAAATTCAAAAAACTGGTGATCCAGAAGAACCTGTTGATATTAACCAAGTCAGATTAAACATTCCAAAAGCTTCATTCAAAGATTTCTGCTTGCACTTTGGTAGATGGAAATATGGTAAAATTTTATTAGGTACTGCAGGTTCATGGTTCATGTTAGATGTTGCTTATTATGGTATGGGTTTAAACTCAACTACTATTTTAGATGTTATTGGTTATGGTGATGCAGACAATTTATATCAAAAATTCTACAATTTAGCTGCTGGTAATTTAATTATTGTCTGTGCTGGTGCTTTACCAGGTTATTGGTTTTCTGCTGCAACTATTGATACTGTTGGTAGAAAACCAATTCAATTCATGGGTTTCTTTTTATTGACTGTTATCTTATGTATTATGGGTTTTGGTTATCATAAAGTTGGTAAAAAAGGTATTTTTGGTTTATACGTTGTTGCACAATTTTTCCAAAATTTCGGTCCAAATACAACTACTTTCATTGTTCCAGGTGAATGTTTCCCAACTAGATATAGATCAACTGCTCATGGTATGTCAGCTGCTGCTGGTAAAGTTGGTGCTATCATTGCTCAAACTTGTATTGGTACTTTAATTAATCACAATTGTGCAGCTGATGATCAAGGTTGTTATTTACCTCACGTTTTAGAAATTTTTGCTTTATTCATGTTGTTAGGTATTTTCTTAACATTTTTAATTCCAGAAACTAAAAGAAAAACATTAGAAGAAATTTGTGAATTATATCATGATGAAGTTGATACTACCAAATTAGTTAGAGACAGATATACTACTCAAGAAGAATCGTATGATTCAGATGTTAAACAATAGATGCATTTAGGATAATACCGTATTTAGTTCTGCTTTTTTTTATTTTTAATAATAGTTTTGATTTTAATAGATAATAATTTATTTTGAGAAGTAACGTGGTAGTGTTTTTTTTTTTTACGATTTTGGTTTTTACCAACGCGAATTTAAAACTATAAGTTAGAAACATGCTGCGAAATTATTTTACAAATTCAAGGTTTCAGAAATATTTACCAGATTGGATTGTGGTGGGTGTTTTAATATTAATATTCTTTGGTTATACAGAATCATTACATCCATTTTATAGACAATTTTCAATTAATGATCCAAAAATTTCATATCCATTTGCTAGGGTTGAACAAGTTACCGATAATCAATTATATTTATATTCAACTATAATACCTACTATAATAATTACAATTGTTGTTAGTTTAAATAATTTGAATCATAATGATAAGTTACATTTATTACAAATTAGTTTATTAGGTTTATGGTTTAGTGTTTGTTCTGTTTCAGTATTGACTGATTTACTAAGAGTTGCAATTGGAAATCCAAGGCCAGATTTTTTACAAAGATGTGGTCCAAAAGAAGGAACTCCTATAAATCAATTAGTTGATGTTTCAATTTGTACTGCTCCATTAGGTCAAATTTATTTAATGGATGGTATGAAATCTACACCGTCGGGCCATTCTTCAATGTCATTTGCAGGTTTATTGTATTTAACAATTTGGTTAATTGGTCAATTTAAAATCATACAAACATATAATAGACATAATAAGATAATCTACATTATATTTGTTAATTTACCAATTTTGTTAGCTTGTTATATTGCATTTAGTAGAACGCAAGATTATCGTCATCATTTTTTTGATATATTGTTTGGTAGTTGTTTAGGTATATTATTTGCAACTATAAGTTACTTCAAGTATTTCAATAGCTTATTGAAAGAAAATAGTAATGAACCAATAGAGTACAATTAGATTTTTTTTTTATAAAGTAAAATATATATTAGATATTCTTCTACTTTAATTTCTATAACCTTAATTGTCCGTTGAGGACTCCCAATTAATGCAATAAATGCTCTATCCTTTCTAAAATATAAAAAAATCAACAATAAATATAAAAATCAAAAAAATTGTACAATAAAAATCAAACTTGATAAAAAAAAAAGAGAATTAACGAGTTGAACGTTAATCCTTGAGTTAATTCACTCATATGAGAATTCATTACATTAGTCATTAAAGTCAAACATTTGTATGTTTATGTCTTGAGTTTCGTTTAATATTTTAATTTTTTTGGTTGTTCCCATGGATTTTCTTGATTAGTAAAATGACCATAAGAAGCAGTTTCAAAATAAATTGGTCTTGCTAAATCTAATTCTTTAACAATAACACCTGGTCTTAAATCAAAATTCCTTTTAATAATTTCAACCAATTCATCTGATGAGTATTTTGAAGTACCATAAGTATCAACATAAATTGATAATGGTTCAGCAACACCAATAGCATAAGAAAATTGAACTAAAGCTCTTCTTGCTAAACCAGCATTGACTAAAGATTTTGCAACCCATCTTGCAGCATAAGCAGCAGATCTATCAACTTTTGAAAAATCTTTACCTGAGAAAGCACCACCACCATGAGCTCCCCAACCACCATAAGTATCAACAATAATCTTTCTACCAGTTAAACCAGCATCACCTTGAGGACCACCAATAACGAATCTACCTGATGGTTGAATGTGATAAATAGTTTTATCATCTAATAAATGTTCTGGAATAACTTTTTTAATAATATGTTCAATAATTTCTGATCTTAAATCTTCAGTTGAAATTTCATCAGCATGTTGAGTTGAAATGACAATAGTATCAACTCTTTTTGGAATAACTGCACCGCCATCTTTTTCATACTCAACAGTAACTTGAGTTTTAGTATCTGGTCTTAACCATGGTAAAGCACCAGATCTTCTTGCTGAAGCTAAAGCAGCATTTAATTTATGAGCTAATAAAATAGTTAATGGTAATTTTTCATCAGTTTCATCAGTAGCATAACCAAACATAATACCTTGATCACCAGCACCCAATTCTTCTAAAGCTTTTTCATAATGTAAACCTTGAGCAATATCTGGAGATTGTTGCTCAATTGCAACTAAAACATTACAAGTATTGTAATCAAACCCTTTTTCTGAATGATCGTAACCGATATGTTTAATAGTATCTCTAATAATTTTTTGATAATCTAATTGAGCTTTAGTTGTAATTTCACCAAAAACCATAATCATACCAGTTTTAGCAGCGGTTTCACAAGCAACTTTTGATAATGGATCAACAGCTAAACATGCATCTAAAATAGCATCGGAAACTTGATCACAAATTTTATCTGGATGACCTTCACCAACTGATTCTGAAGTAAATAAAAATGTTTCTTTTGAAGTAGTCATTATAAATTAGTTAATTGTTTTTCCTTTCTCAAATGAGTGAATTTTTTTTAAAAAGAAGAAAGAAAGAAAGATAATATATATATGTAAAAAAACAATTGAACGAATATATTTATAAAAAACTTTATAAATAAATATTGAAAAACGTTTTCCTTTTATAAAGAAAGTTGTGAAAATTTTTTGTTTATTATCAAAAGATTATAATAATTTTTTTTTTTTTTTTTTTTTTTTTTTTCTCGTTTAATAAATATCCAATAAAAATTACCATAAACGATTAAACAAACAAACAAACAATTCGTATACGGACAGACAGAAAAATATATATATATATAATTGGGAGCCACACTATTTGGCAAATATTAATACTATTTGTTTGTCTTGTTTGTCTTGTTACTATACATAACAAAGATTCAACTAAACTAAACTAAATTATTAAAAGCCAACACAACAAAAATTTGTTAACAATTTTATATGACAGATTTGACTCGTGGTAAAATATTAATTAATAGTTGTTAACTTTGAGATTGTTGATGTTTGGGTGTCTTTACTTTTATCATTATGATCTCAGAACATGTGACCAATTTCATGTGACATAATTCGATTTATTCTTGAAACTTAAATTTTGCAACAATTGATTGAATATTTCTATACTCAATTAATTTCGAGTTTCTGGTATCATAATGAAGTTTGAAATAGGGTTCTAGCTATATTAGCTTGTTTACTTAAAGGAGTAATCAAAGTTATAAAGTTTAAATTGATGAAGGTCAATTTTTTTAAACATTATAATATTATTATAACTACTACACTTTTATGCGTCTTTTTATAATCGTTAACCCTATGAATCTGATCAAAATTCCATTTCATATCCATGTTAACATCATCTAACAACTAATACTGTTGCTGTTGCTGATATAATTTAAATACGAGATACGATTAAAATATTTTGAAACACGAATTATGTAATATATTATATAAGCATTTTTTTTTTTGATAAACAACGCGTAAAATAATTTTAATTTGGCAGCACAATTTAATTTTCATTATTCAAACTATACTTCACCACAAGTAATGGATTTACTAGATCAGATAGAGGATTATTCATCAAGTCAATTTAAATCAAATAAAATATATGAGCAAACACAAGTAGACCATCAGTCATCACAATCACCATCACAATCACAATCACAATCACAATCACAATCACAATCACAATCACAATCACAATCACCAATACTATCAGAATCAGACAATGAAAATAATGCCTTGGGATTTAATATTAATATTGATTCAATATCAAATGATTTAAATGATAATTTAGATATTCCAAATTTAAATATACTTAGTAAGATTAAAAATAGATTACTTGGTGGTCATCAACAGAAGGAGGATGAAACATCAGATACTCAAGAAATACCTAAACCAATTACAACTTTTCAAAAACTACCACAATTAAAAGTTGATGAAGACGAATATAAGACTCGAAATACGCGAATTAATGATCAAACACAAATTATTCCAAAGTTACCTACTACTAATAACAATAATCATAATAATTTTGATGTCTCAAATTCTTCAACTCAGATTATAAAGCCAAAAAAGACATCAGACAAATTGGAAAGTTTGTTTATATCAGGTGATGAAGAAGAAGAAGTTGGAATACCACAAAGACTAACCAAAGAAGAAAGAGATTTAAAGATACAAAAATTAATCGAAGAAAAAAAACGTAAAAGGTTGGAACAAGAAAAAGAATTAGAAGCTGATATTACAAGACAATCAATTAGCGATGAAGAACATGAGTTAAATCAAGAGGCCAATGACAGTGTCGTATATTCACATTTTAAAGATAATATTTCCAAAAAAGAATTGGAAAAAGCACAAGCGTTTATTAATATACAAAAACGTCAAATTGATATTAAACCTACATTTACTAAAAAGAATGAATTTACAAAGGAGAAATTTATTCAAATGTTTTCAGAGGACGAAGATGATGAAAAAGAAATCAAGCCAGAAGAAGAAGAACAACAAGAAGAAGAAACTGAAAAACCATTATCTCCAACTGATGACTTGGTAAAATCAAGTCCAATAACTTCACCCATTAAAGAAACAATGGATTTGTTTAAGAAGCCAAATAGACAAATTCAATCCAAACATCCGTTAGATATGTATGCAGAAAAATTGAGAAGAGAATTATTGAGCTCACCTATAAATGGAAATGAAGATAACCAACAACCACGAAAAAATACAAAATTAATAAATTTAGATTCAGAATCAGATCAAGAATTAGCTAATTCATCACCCATTAAATCCAAATCCAAAACTTCAATTATGCAAAATTCAAAATTTTCAAACGACGGTCATGAATTAGATATTATACCAGAATTGAGTAAGGAACAAAGATTAATAATAAGACAAAAATTTATGAAGAAGAAGCTCGATAAACAAAAAGGTTCAAGAAAGAAAACTGATAACTCAAAACTGCATTTTCTACAAGATTTAAAAGCCAAAAATATAAATCAATTGAAAATGGAAAAGATAAATAATCCAGATCATGCAATTTTGGAAGAGATTGAAAAAGATGATGAAACAATGACATCTTTATTAGAACGTGAAATTGAAAGGGTAAAGAATATTAGAAGAAAAGAAAAATTACAAGAAAGAGCTAAATTGGAATTAATAGGCAAAGCATTAACTCAAAAGGATAATCATAAATCAACAGAAAATGATGTAGAACTTTCAGAAGTTCCAGATAGTGACTATAATTCAGATGAACAAGAAGAAGAAGAGAGTTTAAGTGGTGATGGGAATGGTGAAAATTCAGAGGAAGAAGAAGAAGAAGAAGAAGAAGAGAGGAATAATCCAGGTTCCAGAAGTGATGATAGTTATATGTTTGGAGGAAACAATACGCAAGAAGAACACGATGATAATCTTATACAAACAAATGACAAAATTAGTTCACAGTTTGATGATTTAAGTCCAATTCCACCTCAAATTCGAGAACCAACTCAAATCCAACCATTTACACAAACACAAGTTGATAATACTCAAATTGACACTTTAGCTCCAACTCAAGTAATAAAGCCAGTGTATCAAGAAGAAGAAGAAGATGATGATGATTTAATAACTCCAGCTAATGTCAGACGTGGAAGAAAAAAGATACAAAGTAATAGAATTAATTTAGAAGAAGATGAAGAAAAAGAAATTGAAGAAGAAACCGAAGAAGCTTTGAAAGAAAAAATCAAGATGTATGAGTTGAAAATACGAAAGAAGGAATTAGCAAGCCGTAAAAAGAGAATAGAAATGGAAAGAAAAGGAATAAGAAACATAGTTGAAGGTGAAGCTGAGGAATCTGACGATGAATGGAAAGGTCTTGGTGGTTTAGATGGTGAAGTATCCGATATTGAGAATTCAGATGATGAGAAGATGATTGACAACAATTGGAATATTGATATAAATGATGAAGCTATAAAGACAAAATTTATGGAAGACTACAAAATTAAGGATCAAAAGGAATTGGAAAAATTATTGAATGATATAAAGAATCATAAATTATTAAAAAAATCAAATTATTCAAGTTTGGATATTGAATTAAGTGATGTAGAAGATAAATTCTTAGATGCTTATAGAAAACAAAAATTATATGAACAACAACAAAGATTATTATCAAATAAAAAGTTACAAAAATTGACAAAGAATGAAAAGTGTAAACCATTTTTTGAAAGTATACAAGAACAAAACAATATAATCAAAATTGATAGTGATAGTGACAGTGAACAAGAAAAGGAAGAAGAAGCAGAAGAAGATCCAGATTCATTAGAAAAAGAACCAGTTAAGAAGGTTATACGAATTGATGAATCATTTGTTCAAAAACAATTATCATTTTTAAATAGTGTTGATCAAGATGATTATGACATTGTACAAAAATTTTCAAGATATCAACATGGTTTATCTGATTCTGAAGATGATAATTTACAACAATTAAAAACAAAATCAATTACAAATTTGAATAGAAATGATAGTACAATAGGTGAAGAAAAAGAAAATACTCCTGCTTCAAGCTTGAAAAGAAATATTTCTTCGATTTCCACTGATGAAGATGAAGATGATGAATTTTTACCAAGAATTAAAAAACCGTCAATGGTTAACTCATTTAGATTATTTAAAGAACAACAAAATGTGTTGATTAAAGATGGAAAACAATCTGAATCATTTTCTGGTGTTACTATTAGTAAACAATATAAAGTTGTCTCGGGTTCAAAAGCATCAATTTCTTCATTAACAAATAAACAAAATATTCAAAAGAAACAAGTGAAGAGTTTAAAAGAACGTAAAATTGAAGAACAATTGAGTAAATTTAAAAACAGAAGCTCGATATTTAATAATACATTTGAATAAATAGATCTACTAGTATATAAATATTCTTGAGTTTTAGTAACCAAAATATATTCTAATCTAGTAAACTGTTAGCTAATGCTTCTCTCAAGGCGTCTTTGTTGTATGATCTCACTATTGGATTTTTAAAAACCGATGAATGATGATTTACATAAAATTCATTTACTTTAGGTATTGTTATTGACATTGGTTGCGGTGGTATTCGTTTTTTCTGTATTTCATTGGGTATCAGTATTGGATTGGTTTTAAACCGTTTCTGTTTTTTCAATTCTTTAATCTTTTGCGGAGTTGTTGGTTTAGTCGATACTGGAGATGGTTTTGAAACTAGGCTGAATAAAGTATCTGTAAATGATGGTTGTAATGCTGGTGGATTCGATTTATCTACAAATGAAATCAATAAACTTGATGCCGATTTTCTAGGACTTGATGACATCGTGGTATGATATGTTGAATCTAATATCGGTGTTGCTATATGAGAAGTGCTCATTTGTACAGGATTTTGAAACTTATACCTAGGTTCTTGTTCTTGTTCTTTCGGTCGTATTAAATGTGGAAATGCCCGTTCAATATCCTTATTTAAATCTGTTTTTGAATTTCTTAAAAACTGATCAAAATTGTCAAAACAAAAAGACTCTGAAGGCACTTCTTGATTACCATTATCAGGCGAATAATGCGAAATATCTGAGATAACAGAAGTCATGTCAAAATTATCTTCACAGTTTGGGGTAGGTGATTTCATGAACTCATTAAAAAACAAATCTTCATCATCGTGAGGTAAATGATTAAAACTAACAAAATGTTTTAATCTATTGAATTGTAACATTTCATTTTCACAATCTAAATCTTTAAAAATATCAGACTCAGTTAATGACATGTTTGATTTTGTAGTTGGTACAGAATTTGATCTTCCTTTTTGAGCTCGTGGTGGTGTACAAATCATATTGTTTTTAGTATCCAAAATATCATTATCATGATGAATGGAATTGAGGGTTTCATATGAGTTGGAAACACTATTGATCATGTTAGTTGAATCGTCAAAATCATTGTCTTCAGATGAAATGGTGGAATCTTCATATGCAATTGGATTAATGTTATAAATACTAGACAAACGATATCTTGATTTCTTTTTAGCAATTTGCTTGCTTTCTGATGATGTGCATCTCATTGGTTTCAACTTAAGATTGGATATTGAAATCATTTGCTTGAGATTTGGAGGTGTAGGGGTGGGTGTTGATGAATTACTAAATTCTTGATCTTGATGAGATATTATTGATGATTCTTCAACGATTGAATTTTTACCATTACTTTGCATAAACCTATCATTTGTCTTTAATTCGCCTAATATATATAAATACTCCTGAGTTAATTTCTCAAAACTAGTTTGATTAGTTATGGCATCGTTATAAACCAAATTATTTTCAAGGTAAAAAGATTTCTCATACAAATTATTAAATTGAGTTATGGACGATTGATTACTATTGATTAATCCATTTATATCATCTATATCTTGATCGAATTTTGCTACTGATTCATTTATGTGTGATATTTGATCTATTAATTGGTTTGATTCTGATGTTAAATTTGATAATTTATTTGACCGTAGTTCAATCTCACTGACGTAAGATAAAATTTTATCCAACCGTGACATAAAGCACCAGTTATTGATTTAACCAAAAATTAAATGAATACGTAGTTGATATATATGATTTAAATCCTAATAACTTCTTTTTATAAATCAAGTTTAAGCTTCTATAGTACGAAACTTTTACTGGAACAATTTTTTTTTAGATTTAGAAATGACACAAAATAAAAAAGTAAACATCAAAAAATTATATGACACTGCGCTACCAATATATTTGTGAATTTGGTTAACGAATTACCTAATTAAACCAGAGTAAAATTACACAAAATCAAAAGCAGTAAGAATGCTGCAGAAAAAAGAAATAGTTATAAGTTGCAATTTGCAACCAATATTATAATTTGATTTAGATCGGTTTGAAGCCAAATTATGTATTCTTATTGGTTTGGTTTAGTTTAGCCATTGGTGAAATATAAACTTCTAAATACTCTGCTCACATTGTATAAAAGGAACAAGGAACTTCTAGTTTCAGTGGAAATTTCTTTAACTCTTCTCTAATAAAACCTATTTGCTTTTGGTGACATTTTTTCAGGGCCTAAAATTAAGACAGTAGTAGTTATAGGTTACATTGATTTGATCTTTCAACTAGACCACATCTAAATTAGAAATTTCTTAATATTATTGAATTTTTTAGACTGCATCTTTTAGACAAAATTAGTTCCAAAAGATTTACGTGTTTATAGTAGACTCCTCAAATTCCAAGAGTCTTGTGACCTTTTGTTTTTATATAAATGTTTCTAGAGATATTTCGTTTTAAACTATCATCAATGCATTAACTCACTAATTCTATTCGTGTTTTTTAGACTTCTTACGACTACCTTGATCATCATCTTCTTTTTCTTCTTCTTCTTCTTTAGATCTCTTTCTTGCTTTCTTCTCCTTCTTATCCTTTTTATCTTTCTTTTCCTTCTTATCTCTCTTTTCCTTCTTCGCTAATAATTTATTCTCATAAACTTCTTCTTCAGGTGCAACTAAATCTTTTTCTCTTTCTTTTCTCTTCAATTCACTATTTTCTTCTTGTTTTTCTCTTTTATTTTGTAACTTCTTCAACTCTTTTTCCTTTTTACCCATAAAATACTCACCACTTTCAATTTGTAAATCAATCTTTCTTGGTTGTTGTTGTGGTGGGAATGGTGTGTAAACTTTCTTCTCTTTGATTGGTTTTTTGTTCTTTCTAGCAACGTTTCTCTTTTTGAAACTTGGTAAAAATCTTGACCAATCTTCTTCTTTTAAATCTGGATTTTTCATTAATTCTTGTTTAATCATCAATTCTTTAATATAATAAATTGGATGGATATTCTTCATACAATCTTCAACTACTCTTCTTACTTCTTTTAAACCTTTATATGGACCCATGGCACTAACTGTATTACCCTGTACTAATATATAACATCTAGTTAATAATTCCAAGGCTTTCAAAGTATTTCCATTTGGTCCAACTAATCTTTGTCTTCGTTTTATAAATCTATCTTTGTTGGTTACAAAGTTACCAATCTTTATAACATCACAGGCTATATCATCTTGTAAAATTTTAATAGCTTGAGCAAAGGGTACTGATCTTGCCAATAATTTAATTAAATCTCTTGCTTTTATAATGATTGCAGGATCAAAAGTTTTTGTGGTTGTCTTTACAGTCATTGAACCTTCAACTAAATCTAATTCACATTTTATATGATGTTTATCTAATGCTTTAGTTACATCAGCCCATATATTTCTTAAATATTGTTCTCTATATTTTGGAAATAATGTCATAAAAGATGATTCTTCTGTGAAATGTAAACCTGATGCATTATGTTCTGGTTTAAACTCTTCTATTGCCCATTTATCTATATCTGAAGTATCCCATGGTTTATCTCTATTGTGAGTTGATGGCATAATTATCAATTTATATTGTTCTTTTATATAAGGAAAAAAATTTAGATGAGATGGAAAAAAATAAAATTAATATGGAAAGATCTAATATATATTAATCATAAAATCAAATGAAAAATAATAATAACAAAGCAACCAAAATAACGAAGAAATCATCTTCAAAATCAAAGAATAAAGTTAATAAAAAATTAACTAGGTCGAAAATAGAGAAGTTAAACTCAAACTTTAATGAAATACAAAATTTATTACATGAAGATAAAGATAAAAATATTCCAAAAAGAAAAGTCATGGATCATATAAAAGAAGATTATAAGAAAGAAGTGGAAGCAAAAAGAAATATGGATTTGCAAGTCGAGGACATATTAAATATGCACTTGAGTGGTCTAACGAAATGATAAATCTTACGAAATTTTGAGCTTATGGAGTGCAATTATGGAGTGCAAAGTTTAGGGTGTGGTGGTGGTTGAAACGAGATATGAAATCGCAACCGATAATAGAATTATTGCGTATTGGTCAATCAAGCTTCCAGTCAATTGCCTACCGTTTTTCATCAATCTGAAGCAGGCACGAAGAAAAAATGAATCTAATTTATATAAATTCACGAGTTACGACATTACATTTATTGTATCTATCAATTTGTATATTTTTTTGATCTATTGTCTCAGTCTTACAGTGTCCTCTCGAATTTTAACTTACTAATTTGGCTGCAAAAACTTGAATCTGTAAGACATGTGTTGTCGAGCCAGTGGTTATATGTAAAACAGTTATGCTATACAACGTAATGATATAGGTTATCAGTCAGTTTTAACTTTTAGTTTGTTCTTTAAGCAATTATATGATCTATTTTAAATGAGATTAACAAGGCTTGAAATTAATTTCATAAGATGTGGTTATTTGCGGCTAGCTATATTTCATTAATAAAACTTTGCAACCATTTACCCTGTTATATAATGTGCGTAAATCATATCTGCAATAAATATTACAATTCAACCATCTAGAAATCAGATTTATTCATTCCAAGACTTAGCTCAAAACATCTCTTTTGTATAATTCCAATTTGATAAGTTTGTAAAATGTGATTTTAGATCAATCGGATTTTAACCGCATTATTCAAAATTTGGTCAAAGAGTTGCAAAATCAACAGTTCACGAAACTAGCCATTATAGAGTTGCAAAATCAACAGTTCACGAAACTAGCCATTATCCTATTCATATGTTGCCAAGCTGATTTCACTACAATTAACTTTATCTGAGAGAATTTTGAATCCTAGATTACCAGATGACAGCAAATTCTAATGATCTAATAACCTCCGGACTAAAAATCGCACAATTATTCAATGGTCAATAGCTTTATTGTAAGCAATTATCAATTATACACATATTTTGAGACGTTACAAGAATCGTATGTGTCGTTTAATTCTGTTATTGATACTCGTCTAACAATTTAATAATCTAATTAATAAACCTAAATAGGTTAAATTAACAAAAAAAGCGAATGAAATTTTAGACGAAAGGGGTTAAAATAATAAAAATTAGATTAGAAAAGTCGCGTAAAACTGAACAATACACGCGTCAGTTTTAAATATCTCGATTTTTTTTTTTTTTTTTTGCGCCTCCCAGGGCCAAAGTGGCTCAAAATCGATTGCCATGAAACCAAAATCTAGAACGATTTGGACCAATGTTATTGAGTTTACTTGTTTATTATTTTTTCCAAATTTAATTTTTTATTTTTTTTTATTTACATTTTTATTTATTAATTTTTTTTTTTTTGATATTATTTCAATTTAACAATTCAATAACTTTTCCTTTTTAAAATTTCAATTTAATATCATCAACTTATTACTACTTTACAACAGTTATAATAGTTATTAATTATTGAAATAATTACACTCATTACTTAGTTGAAGTCAATATAGTTTTGTTTTTGAATTGAAAAACTATAGAACAAATTTATAATTACACTCGTTTAAAATTTCAGTCAAAAATAAATAAATTCATAAACAATTGGGCAACAAATTTTTTAAATGGTTCATTCAAGACAAGCTTCAATAAGCTCGTCAGTTATGTCTGCTTCAAATCATCATCATCCACAAAAAATTGGACCGTGGAAATTAGGTAAAACTTTGGGTAGGGGCGCTACAGGTAGAGTTTTATTAGCAACACATCAAACAACAGGTCAAAAAGCTGCTGTGAAAGTAGTATCTAAAGCAGACTTACAGGAAGAAGGAAATAATGAAAATAATCCAGAAGGTTTACCATATGGAATCGAAAGAGAAATTATTATAATGAAATTATTAAATCATCCAAATGTTTTGAGATTGTATGACGTTTGGGAAACAACAAAAGCTTTATATTTAGTATTGGAATACGTGGAAGGAGGTGAATTATTTGATTTATTAGTTGAAAGAGGCCCATTACAAGAAATCGAGGCAATAAAATATTTTCGTCAAATTATACTAGGTACTGCTTATTGTCATGCTTTAGGTATATGTCATCGAGATTTAAAACCCGAAAATTTATTATTGGATTCACAGTTAAATGTTAAATTGGCTGATTTTGGTATGGCTGCTTTGGAATGTAATGGAAATTTATTGGAAACTTCATGTGGTTCTCCTCATTATGCTGCGCCTGAAATTGTTAGTGGATTGAAATATCATGGAGCTGCATCAGATATTTGGTCATGTGGTGTTATTTTGTTTGCATTATTAACAGGTAGATTACCATTTGACGATGAAAATATAAGAAATTTATTATTAAAAGTTCAGGCTGGTACTTTTGAAATGCCGTATGATGAAATTAGTCAAGAAGCCCAAGACTTGATTAAAATGATGTTGGAAGTTGATCCTAATAAAAGAATAACGACTGATAAAATTTTGAAACATCAATTATTATTGAAATACCCAATCCCGAATGAAGATTTAATTAGCGAAAAATCTTTACCCCATCCTGAAACAGCTTATAAATCGTTAGGTTCTGCTAAAAATATAGATAAACAAATATTGTCGAATCTATCAATATTATGGAATGATAGACCACAAGATGAGATAGTTAATTGTCTTTTAAAAAATGGGTCAAATCCTGAGAAGACATTTTATGCTTTATTATTAAGATATAGACATAATCAAGATGATCAAATAACAACTCCAAAAAAGTCAAACAGCCTTAGTAATAAACAGAATGGAGGTGGAATTTCAGTTACACCTAAAAGAAAAAGACAAAGTCAAATTAGTGTTTCAAGACCAACTTCTTTTCAATATAAAAATGGCAATAATAGAGCATCCATGATTAGACAATCAGTTACTTCAGTCAATAATTCTCCACAAAAAATACCAAATAAATCACCGAGAAAGAGATTTTCATATGCTCAATCACCAACTAAATCGCCTAATACTAAAATTGAATATAATGGTTCAGTTAAAGCTACGCCCAGAAATATCTATAACGAAATTGTCGATGCTCAAAGTAATCAATCTATTCCACCTTCGTTACCTTCAAAGGATTCATATTTTCAAGAATCACCAAATGAAGTTTTACAACAATCTGCTAAAATATCACCATCGAAAAGAGCTTCAATTATCAGTAAATCCAATAAAAGACTATCAAAGAGAAAATCAATACGAGCATCAATGACTAGTGGTTTGAAAAGAAATTCAGTAACAATGAAATTATTATCAACATACGCTAAATTATCTGGTGACAATGATTGGGAGTATATGGATAAACAAACAAAGAGAACTTCGGCTACATTTGCTGCATTATGTGATAAAATTTTTAATCAAGAAGATTACGATGAAGAAGATGAACAATTAATTGATGAAGAAGAAAAGGAAGCAAGGGAATATGAAAGATTAATGGAAATTGAAAGGAAAAAACATGAAGCTGAATTAAAAGCAAGAAAAGAATTGGAAAAGAAGAAAAAGAGACAAAAGAGAAGATCAATTCTAAGTTCAAAGAAATTAAGTATTATAGTGAAGAATGATTCTGATCCAAATAATAGTGAACAAGAAATGATTACTGACAATCTTGAACAACCAAAACGTCAGTCCAAAAATTTCAATACATTAAGAGCATTATCTGAAGGTAATAGACAAGATGAACTAACGATGGAAGAAGTTGAAAATCTTAAAAGAAGATCTGTTAGTCAACCAACTCCTAAAAGAAGACAAACACCAATATTGACAAGAAGACCAATTTCAAGATTAGATCCATTATGGCAAGCACATGAAAATGAGCAAATTGAAAGAGCCAAAGATGCTCTTGAACAAGAATGGAGAGATGATCAGAAACTGAAAAGAGATTCAGCAGTACGTAAGAAAATTAATAGAGAATCAATGATATCGGTTATGGATGAAATTGAAGAAGAAGATAATAAAAGACTTTCCAAAGATAGTTATTATGATAAATCAAAAGATTATGAATTACCTGAACCAACTGTTGATAATTCAAATTTGACTGATGATTACATGTTGGAAATTAGAAAATCAAGATTATTAAATAGTCAGTTAAATATGAAAGGTATAGTGGATAAAAACAAAAAAGAAGTTGACAGAAAGACATTGATAAGCAATGTCAAAATACCAAATGTTACCAGGAAATCAAGAAATTTTACTAATTCAAACAAAAGACTTTCTGTATTATCAATGTATTCAACTAAAGAGTCATATAATGATTTAAATTCAATAATAAATGCACATAATCCAAATGAAGAAAACGAAGATAATGAGAGAAAGATGCCAAATTTAAGAACTAGTTTTGCTGATAGACTAGATAAAGCTGGTTTACCTGAAGATCATGAAGAATTTGAAAAAGGTTCTGTTATGGATTTTGATGAGCATTTAGCAAATAAGAGATATTCCTATTATGACTCAAACAAAAGAGCTTCAAAAGCATCGACTACTAAAAGATATAGTAAAGCTGGTGCAAGACCATCATCCAAAATTCCTGCATTACCAGATGATAATTTTGATGATACATTTACAAGTAAAAGTGATGAAGTCCATAAAAAGAATTATAAATCAATGATTTCAGATCAAAGTAGTGATAATGATGACGTATTTGATAAGATTAAATTACCAGAAGGTAAATCCTCAAAATCATCAATTGATGCATTAGCAAATGGTACATCAAATGGTCATAAACATAAATCAAAACTACCAGGACAAGAAATGCTAATTCCTAATTTCAATAATGAGAATTCACAACCAATGACCAAAGTTCGTAATAACAAAAAAGATACAGTACCTCCAACTCCACCACAACACGAAAAACCAAAGAAACCTTTGGATGATAAAACGAATTATCCTGAATCACAACAAAAGAGAAAACAATCATTTTTCAGAAAATTATCATGGGGTACGAAGAAAGATGAATCATCACAAGAAAAAACAACTTCAAGTTCAAATCATGATCAAGGTAAAAGTAGTAGATTTTTCAGGTGGTTTTCATCATCAGAACCTACACCATTGGACTCAGAAATCAAAAAATTTAATACAATTTTACCAAAACATGAAATGTCAACTGCTTTATTCGCATTATTGAAAAGTTGGTCGAATTTTGGTTTAAAGGATTTACGAAATGATTCAGTTGGTGGTTATATTACAGGTTCAATATCGAAATCAAATTCGTTCAATTTGAAGAGTTGTAAATTTAGAATCAAAATAAATCCAAGGGAGCAAAATCAAAAGTCTGAAATTGTTTGTGTTAGAGTTAAAGGTTCGAAAGTTACAACAGATACATTATTCAAAGAAATAGAAAAAGTTTTACTTAAAGAAGGAGTTTTAGATCAATAGACAATTGTGTAGTAAAAAATATAGACTATTTTCGTAACTCATTCTTCTTCTTCTTTTATAGTAGTTAATTTTTGATCAGGTACAAATGTAGGACCTATTGTTTCTGTAAAATTACCTAAACCCCATTGAGTAAACATTGAACAAAAACCAGTTGCTAATGCAATTTCAGGATCAATTTGTTGATCATCAATTAACATTTCGAAATCAAATTTGAACTGTCTCATTAATTTTACTTTTCCAACTCTAGCTTTCTTTTCTTCATTTCCACCATTATTTGAATCAATTAATTTTAATAAATATTTATCAGTAGTTGACCAGCTAAATTTTGATTCATTTACATTAAAAGATTTGAATATACCATTAAGATTCCATTCATTATAAATGATCTTATCATGAACATCTAACTTATAATGGAATGAGACTTTTTGATTAAGTGGACCAATTTTAATGGTTGCAATTTCTTGTCTACTTGGATATTTTAACATTCTCCAAATGGTATCATATTGAGATAATCTTTCAAAAGTGTAGACAATATCAGCATCTTTATTAAATACCTTTATTAATCTTAACCTGTCTTTTCTATCTTGTCTTATAAAGAATTGTTGTGGATATTGAGTTAATGGTATTATTGAATCATTTGAGAAATTCAAATCTAATAAAATTGTCAAGTTAAGTGTTTCTAGAACAGCAGTACCCAAGGTTAATGTAGTTGTCAAGCCACGTACAGATGCAGATTGAATGATTTTACTCATAACATCAAGATGTAATTGTATAGCTAAGCAAAAATTGTTTAGCATTTGCAAAAAAAGGCTGCAAAAAATTTAATGTTATTACCAAAAAGAGTAATGGTGCATAATTTTTTGTTATGATAATAAATACAAGATCAAGCAAGTCTTAAAAAAAAGTATTACTCCTATTATTAACTACATGTATGTACAATAGTTCATCAAGAACTTAAAATTAATAAATACCCCAAACGTCTTCACAACCATGACAAAATTTTGAACAAGCAACAGAAGCAGATAACGGATAATCAGAAAGCCCAATTTTTTCATCAACGTATTCATCAGCAAAATTATCTTTACCTCTAGCCATAGCACCAACAAATACACATATACTTTCGTCTTCATCTAATGTATCAACATAATCTTGAACTCTCTTAATTTCTGCTTCAAATGATAAGGTAACTTTTCTACATTTAGTTGGTAAATGATCAGTTATTGGATTTTTAATGACTTTTAATAAAACTTCTTTGGAATTTTCTGATCTTATACTTAATTTATGTAATAATTGAACCATTAAACCTGAAAATCTTTTAAAAGTTCTTGGAATTCTAACACTTGGATTTACTTCAATTAGTACACCTCGTGCAGTTTGTATATAAACTTGTAATTTTCCAGCTTTATTAATTGGAGAATCTAATAATGTTAGTAAACATTGATGAGTAATATCTGGTCTAGCTTCAGCAATATCTCTACCCATTTTTCTAAGCAAACCTTGATGATCATCACAATTTAACAATGCAAACCTATCTCCACCACCTTGATTACCACTATTCATTTTATAAGTCTCTAAACACGCTTGAGACAATACAACAATTAATCTTTTAGTAGTTTTATCTTTTGAACTTAATGGTTGAGGTTGAACTGGAACTAATGAAGCAGGTGGGGCTGAAGGTTTTGAAGATTTTATATCATTGTCTTTAATTTCTTTTGAAATATTTACTTTCTCATTTGATTCTGCCATAGTTATGATTTAGTTTCTATCAAATATTGAAGTTATTTAAATTTAAGAGTATGAAAAATTGTTCATAAAAAATTATAATAAATGCGAGATGATGATTAAAAGGGACCCATTAAAAAATTATAATGAATGAAATTGATTAAATTGTAAGAGATTTGATCAAACAAATGCAATGGAATATGGATATGTAGATATAATAGAGTAATTTATGGATCCTTTATCTTGGTAATTTAAACTACGAGTATAATTAATAGAAGTTATCACGGCTTAATAAAAGAAAAGATGTATTAGTGATTAATTAACAATTGACTTAACAATCTATTAACTCCATAACAATGAATAATGAATTATCATGTCATCTGAATAAGATTTGTTGTTTATTAATTCAATTCAATATCATTGATCAAACTTTTTACTATTCGAATCATCTTTAACATGGAAGCGCAATTTTTCAGATTTTTCTTTTCTTTTCATTTAATTATCGAATACCAAATTTGATTCCAAATTTACGTGTCAGTATCACGATAATGATATAATATTAGAGATTATGTCAAATTCAGATGATGATTTTGATGATGATGATGAATTATTATTAGATATAATAACTGGTAAAACTCAAACACCCATTGGTAATAATAATAATAAAATTATTCAAAGTTCAATTTTACAACCTAAGTCAACTGTATCTAATGAAACTCACCCGAAAAGTACACCAGCAACATCTATACTAAATGGTGAAGTTCAAGCTAAATTATTTCAAGCCGATGGAGAAATTGCGACTTTAAAACAACAATTACTTCAAATTAAAAATCAAAAACAAAAGGAAATTCAAGAATTAAAAGAATTACATAAAAATTCTGAGAAGAATAATGATGAGCAAATAAAAGCATTAAAATATGCAGTGCAAAAACTAGAAGATGAAAAGAGATTTTTAAATAATGAATTATTAACAGCTTCAGCTTCAGCTTCAAAGAAACGAAAATTAACTCAATCACCAGAGACCACTCCAACTCTGGGAAAAGAAATTGCTAAAGATGATTCTCAAAGTCATTCTCAAATTTTAGAATCTAGTCCAGTTCAAGTAAATCAAAGAATTATAAAAGTACAAAGTGATTCTTCATTATTAATTGATCAATTATGGGCTCATTCAATCATTGGAGCTAAACGTTCATCACTTGAGTATTTAAGTAAAATATGTGTAAATTTTGAATTATCACTGGAAAATGGTTTCATGATAAAGAAGAAAACATCTATAAATTCAAGTGTAATTGAATTTTTAATGATCAAAAAAGATTTGAGATTAGATAAATTGATTGAAGAGTTTACAACTGCATTGATTGATATTATACAACAATTATTAAAGAATAATTTTATATTATCAGTACCATTTTTATTGTCATTGATTTATTGTTCAATCAGTTTTAGACCAGTGGCTAATACTAAAAATTTGATTAAAGTACTATTGAAAAAATTGTCAACCATAAGTTTAGATTTATCAACTTTACTAATTTATAATCTGGAAGATATAGGAGATATTAATGATTATGATGATATACTTGATCAAATTTTATTATTAAAGAAATTTATATTTATTTGTTGTTTAGATGTCATTGAAAAATTAGTCGAATTAGCTTCACAATTTGAACCTGAATTTATAAAAGAAATATGGACAAATAAGATATTACCTAAAAAACTAGTTACAACCTTACTTAATGAAAATTCAGAAAGACTTAAAAATACATGTCAAATCAATCTTGTATATAATATTGTGGAAATGTTGGTATCATCAACCACTGAAGAAACATTTGGATTTAATACTATTGAATCTGATGTTAGTATAATTAATTCTTTATTAAAAGTTTTATTGATTGAAATTACGATTAAAGATGGTTTTGAATTTTATGGTTTAAATAGAATAATTGGTAATAATTCTGATTATATAAAAATTGAATCATTAATTCCAAAAGATCATGATTTTTTAAATAATTATATTATAGATATACCATTACCAATTCCCTATGATTTGAAAGAAAATGATGCATTTGAAACAAGAATGAATCATGAGTTTCATTTATTAAATTTGAGAATAAAAGTAGCTGAATTGTTATTATCATTGATTATAACCAAACAAACGGTTGATTTTTTGTTTAATAAAGAGCATTTCAAGTCATTGATTAGAGTAATCGGATTCGAACAAAACTATATCTCAAGATTTCCACGATCTAGACACACTCATTTAAGATGTAATTTAATATCAATAGTTATAAAATTAGTCAATTACCTTACCCAAGATTTAAGAGATGTCGGAGAATTGATATATACTGAGATTATGTATGAATTATTTGTTGTTTTACTGAGAATTGCATTTGGTGCTGATTCATTAAGTATAGAGGCACATAAAGTATTATCTCAAATTAGAAGTAAAGGTAATTTTGATCCAATTTTTAATAAATGGAGTGAAGAAAAAGCTAGAAGTATCCATCATTTAACTTCAAATGATTATCAAGATGGTAAATTAATTGCAAATATAGAAAGTGATTGTGCAAATGGTTTAGAATTTCCATATGAATCTGAAACAGTTGAATTGGCAAGAGAAATCTTAAATAAATTTGTTAATCATGATGAAGCTGATAACTTATATTTTAACATGAATTATGAAAATGAAGATGAAGACGAATTAATGATAAATTAATCAAATGTAGAATTAATTAATTAATTAAGTAAAATTAACAACAAAATTGCTATTATTATACAAATGATTTTGTTTATTTGATGTATACGTGAACTTTCTTCATAACCTATATGCGATAAAACTATTTGATTTCATTCAATTTAAGCTGATTGTGGTTTAGCAACACCAGTTTGGAAATTGTTTTTAAATCTTCTACTAACGTGTTTTAAGTAAGCCATTCTACCGGTACCAGTAGTTCTTCTTCTTTTAGCTTTTAAAGCCCAGTTGTGTGATCTCAATTTAGCAGCTGGGTAACCACATGAAGAACAAGTTTTTTTTTGAACATGGAATGATCTTTTACCACATCTGTTACATAAAGTATGAGATTTGTTGTGTCTTTTACCTAATGATGGAGTACCTTCTATAGAAATGTGTTAGTAATCAATAAACTTGTGAAATTTCATATATATCTAGCGAATGGCTCATTGAAGGAACAACTATGAAATCAATATAATATCTCCATGTAACACTTGTTTGATTCTATACATTTCTTGTAAGTCCATAATTATATACTCCCTCTGCTTGATATATATATTATCATGTATAAATTCATTACATACTACCCATTTTTGTATATGTAGTTTAATAAATTAAATCTGAAATTGAAATTTTTTTTTTCGTTGTTTAGTTTGATAGTATCTCTTTTCACCATAGTTAAAAGAATATTACACAAAGACTAATATATGCTTCTCATAGTTAACTATAGGAGTAGTGTTATTTCTACCAATGTCTTAATAACATGATTCTCATATGATCAGTAGGGCTACAACCTTGCTGTTTTTTGCCCTGCTTGGGTTGGTAGCGCAAAAATACACAAAATTAAAAAGGTTGCAAAACGCGAGTTTCAGAAATATAAACATAAACAACACGGTATTTTATTATAATATGAGTTAATTAAAATGGTAAAGATCACATTCGTTTTTCTTTTACCTTTACAAATTCATTAATCGATAGTATGTCTCATACTAATTATCAATTCCCGCCATCATCTCCATTACATGATGTAGATGAATATTCAATTAATGATCAATTTGCAGCTAAAAAACAACCAGGGGTTAATTTCACCAAAGGTTTTGAAAGGTTAACTAGAGATGAATATCCAACTCCAAATCCATCATCTTCATTATTTAGATCATCATCACCAGCTAGAGAAATTGAGAACTCACCAAAAAAGAATGATTTAAAATCTACAATTTCAATTAATAAAGATTTCAATGTTTTAAATCCTGATAAATCAGTCATTCGTATTCCTTTATTGTCTACGCATACTCATTTCAATTTTGGTAGGTCTTCACGTAGTTGTGAATTTGCAATTAATGCTAAAGATTCATATATATCAAGAATTCATATGAAGTTAACTTTCGATAGTGAACAAATTATAATAAATTGTGTGGGATCAAATGGGTTAACTATGATTATACCTAAAAATTGTTTAATTTATCAAACTACAAACTCAAAAGATAATTTTATAATAAAAGAAAATAAAACTGGAAATCAAATAGTTAATGATTATGAAAGTAGATCAATTAAATTAGATTCAAATCATACTGAATTTTTTATGAGACAAGGTGAAACTATAACATTACCAAGATTTGAAAATATTTTAATTCAAATTTCAAAGCAATTAATTTTGTTAAATCCAAATGATGTGGATGAAGAATTAACAGATGAGGAAGAATTGCAATTAATCGATAAACCTAGAACAACAACTACATCAACTCCAAACACTAGAATGGAAAACAAAAATGTACCAAACACTCCACTGAAACCAAAACAAGAAGTCAATCTCAAGATTGCCGAGAATAAATTTGATGAAACTCCAATTAAAGAAACAGAGAACTCGATTAAACCAATTTCCAAAACTAAATCTGAAACCCAATTAAGTATTCCACCACCAAAATCTACATTTAAAATTCATCAAGAAAAACAAATACCAAATAGAGCATATTCAACATCTCCAAAATTGGTCCTTTCCGATAAAACAAATACCAAGAAAAGAGCATCTTCAGTTGAACCAAACTTGAAATATGCAGCTGAAAGCACAAACTATCAACCATTGAAAAAGAAGAAATTCATTAAAGAATCTACTCCAGAATTAGATTCTTCAATTTTGAATAAAATCTGTAATCTTGAAGAAATAAACAATATTTTGATTAATCATTTAGCATTTTCAAGATTAAGTTCAACGCCTGCTTCGTTTTTAAATACAATTAGTGTATTAACTTCAAATTTAAATTTAAGTCAAATTAGAGCAATTTTACATAGTATTGAATGTATTGGTATAATTTACAGGCAAGGTAAAGATGCAGCTGGTAAACCATTAGAAGAAGAATATTATTATATGCCAGAAAATGATGATGATGAAAGTAGAAAAAACTTGGTATCTAATTTTAAAGGACATGGAGGATTAAGAAGTTGTAGAAAAACACATAAACAATATTATTGGAAGAAACCAGCACCTATAAAGAAATAGATAAAACAAATAAATGTATATTAATTATGATAATACGGGAATGGATTAGATAGAGGCATACCATAATCTGCTCTCTCTTTATCTGTTAACTGTTTAGGATTACTAATATCTAATGTTCCTTGATATTCTTTCCATTCAACAAAAGCTAGGATTAATAATCCTATAAATCCTTGTAAAATCCATAAAGCAATGAATATTAAACTAATCCATAATTCTAAAAAGACTGCATCTTTATAATTATCAATTAATGATTCAAGTTTAGCTAATACGTTTTTTGGTCGTACAAATTCAATATCATATAACGAATTCTGTATATCTTTTGAAACTAATGGAATTTCAATTTTTAAATTATTGTTTATCCAAGTTAACCCATGTTCAATATTTAACAATTTCCTACCGATTGTACAATAAACTATAGTATTGATGGGACCAGATAATGGCGTTTTTCCAAAAATATCATCAACTGCAGTATTTAAATTATCTAAAAAAGTTGAAATTGTGGAATTCAATGAATTTGAAGTTTCTCTTATATTACCAAACAATTCATCATTAACTTCAATAGCAGTGGCATTAATATAATTATTCATTGATCTAATATATTGTCTTGGTGATGATTGAGAATCATTAAAATTTGTAGTCACTATATTCATAGCTTTAGATAGTCCTTGTTTTGTATAATGTAATAATATAAATTGTAAAACAACAGATAAAATACCCATGATTCCAAAGAATAAAATATTCCTCGTGAATTTAGTAGTCAAATATGAAATTAACCATATCCATCTCAGTGGTATATTAATTCCAAATCTTTTAATTAATGTATATAATATAAAATTATCATATATGTTTGATTCATTTCTAAATTCAATTTCATTATTAATATCACTATCTTCATTTATAAATTGATCTTCACGTTTCCATGTTCTCCATTCAATATAAAACTCATAAAAAATAGCACCAAAAGCAACAATTAATAACCCAATCATAATACATTTCCCAATAAATTCGACCAATTCAACTAAATCAGATTGAACATCTTGTAAATTATCTAAATTATTCATACAAATTTGTTTGACATTTAAAGGTAATATTGCAGTTTTATTTTCAATTGGTTGTTTAGCTTCCAAAGCTTTCGAAATTAAATCAAATGGTTTTGAAATAAGAATTTGCGTATCATTATTTAAATCTCCTAAACCTCCAAGATTTGATTTTTTAACTGATTCAATTTCATCAATAACTGTTCCTGGAATCATTATCTTATTTTTAAGTGTACCTAATGATAAATTAATTTTATCTTTATATTGTGCAGAAGTATCAACTGGTGTATTTCCTGTGAAAAATGATTTAATTGAATTAAAACCAGTTATTAAATCATTTATAAATTGAGATAATCCTTTCAAACCATCTTCGATGTCATTAGTAACTTCAACCACGGTCTCATTAACTCCTTTGATGATTGTTTCACCAGCATTGAATGCGAATTCACTAGTTCCTTTAATTAAAGCATTAAGTAAACAAATATAAGTACCAAAAAATAAATCAATAAAAAAAATAATCATATGTTTAATAACACTGAGTAATAATAAAATAGACATTAAACCTGAATTTTGTAATTTATATAAACTATCCATTATCAAATCATGAACTGAATTTAATATTGGTTGCATTTCTTTACTAGTAGTATCACATGTTGATTCATCAATAATTGAACTTTCAATCACAGTAATTAATGATTTCTTAAATAAAATAACTTTAATTAATATTAATATAAGAAATACAGTATATTTATTTAAATAAATTTGTGATAATTGTTCTGGTAAATTTAAATAATTGCGTATCATAAATAAACAAAAATTGAATGGGTTTTAAGAACCAAAATTGGTTTTCCCCTTACATTTATAATAAGATCTATCATTAAATGTTTCATAATGGAATGTAACTTGTTTCTATTAATAACTTTTTGAATGATTCCATATAATGTACATCAATTTATGCATCAAGAATTTAATTTGTTTCAGAATAAAATGTTGAAACAATTTTTTTTTTTTTTTTTTTTTCTCAAATACGAAACAGTTAAATATATTTAAATGCCATCATCATCAAATAAACGAGTTAAACGAATACAGAATGAAAGTATACTTACTAATGGTTCAAAGAAATCTAAATTAGATTATTCAATATTAAAACCGTCTCAAACCTTATATATTAAAAATTTAAATAATAAAATCAATAAACAATTATTGAAAGAGAATTTATATTTATTGTTTATTAATTTTGGTGATTTAATTGATGTTAAACTATATAATGGTTTTGCTTTTATAATTTATTCAAATGTTGATTCTAGTATACTTGCGATGAAGTCATTACAAAATGAAGAATTTTTCAGTAAGAAATTAATTATAAATTATGCTACTAAAGAAAGTAAAATTATAACTTATGCTAAAAAGACTAATGATGAGACTAATGATGATGAAGACGATGATGATGATGCTATGCCTACTTACGAATAATTTATTTCAATTTTAATGCATCTTTGAATGAATTAATTACACAATCAGGTACACCTATACCATCTCCAAAAACAGTACCTCCAAAAGATAATTTATAATCTTGATTAAGTATTGATTCAACATCAGTTTTGATCTCTTGATATCCTAAATTATATTGTGGTATGCAATTGGTAATTAAATCATAACTTATTATCAAATCATTGTCATTTATGGATTCAATTGATTCTCCAGGATTGACGATTTTAAGATTAAATTTGTCTAAATTTATATTCAATTTAGATTTAAGTATATCTTTAACTATTTTGAGATTTACTTTGTCTGATGGAATATTCCAATGATTATAATAATGTCCACCCATCATGATTGTTATTTTATCATAATTGAAATTTCTTAAAGGAGTATTTTTAAATATATTTTTTGCATTTTTTTCAACATCAGAATCATAAACTATACCTAATAAAGCTTGTGGGTTGCTTGAATATGACTGAAATCTAGGTACTAAAAAGCCAAAACCTGGTTTATTTTTAGGTATTAATTGATTTTTTGTAAATACATTAGCTAGGAAAATAGATATGTATTCAATTGAATTTAATTTTGGGATTAATGGGTTACTAGGAGGTAATGTTTTTGCTAAATCGTGAACATTGATTGTTGATCGTATATGATTAAATTTTTCACCATTTACTATTCCTTCTATTGGATCAACAGATTCTATTTTGGAATTTGAATGTATTTTGACATTTGTTTTATTTTGTAAATATTTTGATAATGCTATAGGAAATACTTCTAAACCATCTTGAAATGTAATCATTGGATAATCTTTTAATTTTGATTTCATACTTGTAAAATCTGTATTGGGAGATATTAATGAGCAGTAACTTTGCAACCCATTAGATAATGGTTGAGTTTGTTTCTTCTTAGTCATACTTTTCATTATATGTTTTATTACTGATCCTGATTCATTTTCAATTTGTTTCAAAAATGGTAAAACACTCTTTATACTCAATTTTCCAACATCTCCAGCATAAACACCATGCAATATAGCACTAGCTATATTATCAGTTATCACAGTACTTCCAAATCGTCTTTTAAAAAACTGTTCTATAGTTTCATCTTGTTTTAATGGTTTAATAAATGATTCTTTTAAAATTCCTCTATAAAGTTTCCCATCCATCCATTTCACATTCTTTAGAAAATGAAAAATAGAAGCAATATTATTTGGAACTTGTACTATTTCACCTTCTTGATTCAATATGTATTTCTTATTAGCTATTGAATTTTTATGAATGCCTAGCGTTTGATTTTCTAAACCCAATTGATTTAAAATATCAACGATGATTAAACTACCATCTTTAATTCCTCTTAATGTTCTAGGACCCTTTTCTAATAATATCTCCTCATCATTTTTGGTAATTATTTTAGTTGAATTTATCCACCCACCTATCCTACTTGACTTTTCAAAGATTTGAAAATTTAAATCTGGTCTTAATTTAGATAAAAAATAAGTAAATGTTAGACCACTTATACCACCTCCTAATACTGCAACTTTTGAATTTTTAGGTAAGGAACTTAACTTCATTATAATTCATGAATACGGTTGCCAATTTTTTAATTTTTCATCATTATTTTGATCGTACAATTTTATCAAAGATCGTTATTTTTTTTTTAGTTTTGTGTCACAAAAAAAACAAAAAGTTAAATTTGGAAACGATAATTTGGCAGCCAAATTGAAAATTTTGCAGCCATTTAAGATGGAGGTCAAATAAATCGCCTGTTGTTAATAAACGTCAGTTCGTTTTTTAAGGACTTGCAAATTTCTGGGACTATGTATATTTTGTTATTTTTTTGCCAAATTCTTGACAATATTGAAGAAAAATCTTCATGAATCCCGAATTCTGGATGCAAAGTAAGGGAAAATAATAAATTAAGTCAACATATATACTGGAGGTATAATAATCATTCAAAAAAAACCTACAAAATAACTATGTATACTAGAAAAAGAATGAAAATTAAACAGTTCTAGTTTACGATGATACACATGGTAGCGCTTTTATAGAATAGTCGTGATGTCAAATTTTTATAAGAAAGTGATGATATGGTTATGATAAAAAATGACATTGAATGATGAAAGCCAATGAGTATAGCGCATTTAATAAGCAATAAGTTTTATAAATCTCATACCACTTTACCACTTTATATACTCCATCCAGGTCCTTAAAATAAAAGTATAAACAGATGATGATCTGTTTTCCAGAATTATCTACTTTTTGCGTTTTTGGATCAGATTATACCTTTTATGCATTATCCATTCATCATCAACTTATCTCTATTTCTATGATTAGTCTCGTTTTAGTCTCATTTTAAGCTACTTACCGATTTATTTCTATATTAATAAAAATTGATTCTTGTTAATCATTCGGTTATTAGTTGCAAAATAATATTTATTTTTTTCCATTGTATGTAAGAGATTTGAATAGTTTATGTTTACATATATTATTATCAATTGATATCAATTATTATAGATTATAATAATATAATTTAATTTACGTTGCATAGTTTATAAATACATTCAATCTACTCCACTTAATACTAGAGATATATTGGTTGAATTACATTTTAGTCATTCAATTGTTTATTGTTAATTATACTATTTATATCATATTGTTATTTCCGTATTATTAGATGCTTATAGTATCTAAACATTTAAAACAACAATTTACTAAAATGAATACAACAGCTACTAAAACAACTACAACTACAACTACAACTACAACTACAACTACAACTACAACTGCATCCACATCTACATCTACCAGAAAATTTAATAATATCAAAATTGATGATACGCTAATACCCACGACTTCATTATCATTACCGAAAAATTATGATGCTTTTAAATATAGGAGATGGATTCATTTAAATGAGTATAATTCAGATCCAAATACTAAAATTAGTATAATGACATTTAATTTATTGTCAAGGCATTATTTATGGAAACAAATATTTGGATATTTAGATCAAAAATATTTGCATTGGTCAAATTATCGATTTCCTTTAATAAATGAAACTATTAAACAATTTTCAACAGATATAATGTGTTTTCAAGAAATGGAATATGCAATTTATAAACAATATTGGAGTAAAAACTTCCCAAATGAAAATTTTAAATCATTTTTTGTGCAAAAATCATTTTGGAATACTACTTGCTCAAATAATAATAGTGAATTTATTGATGGAGTTGCAATTTTTATAAATTCAAAAAGATTTGACGTTTTAGATCAAATTGAAATTAATTTTGGTAAGTTGATACTTGAAAATAAAAAGGAATATGATATTATAATGGATTTATATGAGAGAGTAATAAAGAAAAATACTGTAGCTTTAATACTTAAATTATATGATAAATTATGTGATAAAGTAGTTTATATATCAAATACTCATCTATATTGGTCGCCCGATTTTAATGATGTCAAAGTTTTACAAACAAAATTGTTAATAAATGAATTGGAAAAATTTATTACTGAGACTGATCCTTATATTATAATGTTGGGAGATTTAAATTCAAATTTGCAATCAGATGTATGTAAGTTATTAAGTCATAAACTGATAAATATAAATAATTCATTAAGTTTTAAAAATTTGAATTATGGTAAAAATTATAAAATAATAAATAAAGATGGAATTATTCAAAATCCATTCAATTTTACAAATGTATATGATTCATTATTACAAACTAATCAGTTACATTTTACTAGTTATATTCAAAGTTTAACAGATGTTTTAGATCATATATATATAAGTAAAGATAAATTTATTGTTAATAAAATATTAAGTGAAGTTGATGAGAAATATTGTTCTAATTGTAAGATTAAAGGGTTTCCAAATAATCAATTTCCAAGTGATCATATACCATTATGTACTGAGATTAGTTATAAATAGAGATAGACTTAGAATATATAAAAATTTTGCACCCATTTTATAAAGTAGTGTGTTTATTAAAAAAATTGTTGCATCTATTTAATTTCAACAAAAGTTTAGAATTAAACAATCAATAATCAAACAATTGAAAACAAACAGCAAAGAATATACAATTTTCATAAAGCTAGTTTCAATTTATTACTTTCTTTATGAATCTAGCTAATAAATTTCAACACGCAGCTCAAGTTCCTGGGCAATCAACAATTCAAAGTCAACAATTTTTTCTAAATAAAATTCATCAAGATCAACAACAACAACAACAACAACAAAATCAACATCAAACAAATCAACAACAACTGCAACCATCTGCTAATTTATTGTATGGGAACAATTATCAACAACAACAACAACAACAACAACCATCATTACAACAAAGTCAACAACAACAACAACAGCAACAATTTTTCCCACAATTTAATGCCAACCCCCAACAACCAAATCAACAAGTACCTAGATTACCACATTTACAGCAAAATTATTCACAGGCAGCAGCAGCAGCAGCAGCAGTACTTCAACGTCAACAACAACAAGCTCAAGTACAACAAGTACAACATCAACAACAAGTTTTAAATCAACTATCATTAAATGTAGAAAATCCAAATTCAAAATATTGGCAACATCAACAACAATTGTGTCAAATATCAAGAAGTTCAAATATACCACATTATTATGCTAGGCAATATGCGTCAAATTCAAGAAAGTTGAAAAACCCTTATAGTGAAGTTAAATCGGTTGGATTAGTTGAAGCAACCAAAACTATAGTTACAAGTTTAGAAGAAGAAGAAGAACAAAGGAAGAAAGCAAATTTGATAAGTAATGGAAGTACACCAACTACTAGTTCTGCATTATTGCATAATAAAAAGACAACTCAAGATATTGATGATGATATAATGGAAGAACAAAGAATGAGATTGAAAACAAAAGGTAAACAATTATGGTGTCAATTAGATTTAAGTGGTCAAGGCTTAGTTAATATATCTCCAAAATTATTTCATTATGATTTTTTGGAGTCATTATATTTGAATAATAATAAATTGGCGATTCTACCATCAACTATTAATAAATTAAGAAGTTTAAGGACATTAGATTTATCACATAATAGATTATCTGAATTACCATCACAGTTAGGTTTATGTTTTAATTTAAGATATTTATACTTATTTGATAATAATATTAAAACTTTACCAAATTCATTTGGTAATTTAATTGAGTTATTATTTCTTGGTGTTGAAGGAAATCCATTAGATTTGAATATAGCAAATTTAATATCTGAGGAAGGTACTAAGAAATTAATTGCAACTTTGAGAGATCAAAAAGTTTCCACAATTTTACCAAAACCAAGACCTTGGTTAATTTTAGAAGATGATGGTGAACTTGTAGATTCAAATGAGACATTTAGACCAGAAACTGAATCCAGTGAGGAATTTACTATATTATCTTATAATACCTTATGTCAACATTATGCAACAGCAAAAATGTATAAATTTACTCCTTCATGGGCTTTAGATTGGGAATATAGAAGAAATGCATTGGAAAAAGAAATATTAAGTTACAATACTGAAATTATATGTATGCAAGAAGTTGAAACTAAAACTTTTTATGAATTTTGGACTCCTTTATTAAGTCAACATAGTTATAAAGGATTATTTTTTAATAAAACAAGATCCAAAACAATGAAGGAAGAAGATTCTAAAAAAGTTGATGGATGTGCTATTTTTTATAAAATTGATAAATTCTCATTAATTCATAAACAAAATTTCGAATTCAATAGTGTTTGTATGGGACTGGATAAATATAAAAAGACAAAGGATTTATTTAATAGATTTATGAATAAAGATAATATTGCATTAATTTCATATTTACAACATAAAGAATCTAATGAAAAGATTTGTATTGTAAATACTCATTTACATTGGGATCCAGCTTTTAATGATGTTAAGACTTTACAAGTTGGTATATTATTAGAAGAATTGCAAGGAATATTGAAAAAATATCAACATACAAACTCAATGGAAGAAATCAAGAATGCTTCGGTTATAATTTGTGGTGATTTCAATTCAGTTAAATCAAGTGCTGTTTATCAATTATTTTCAACAGGGTCATCATCAAAACATGAAGATATGAAAGATAGAGATTATGGAAAATTTACAGAAGAAGGTTTCCATCATCCATTTAAATTAAAATCAGCTTATGAACCTGTCGGTGAATTACCTTTTACTAATTTATCACCTGCTTTTACTGATAATATTGATTATATATGGTATTCAACTCCAACTTTACAAATTAAAGGTTTATTAGGTAGAGTAGATGAAGAATATTCCAAAAATTGTATTGGATTTCCTGATGCTAATTTCCCATCTGATCATATACCAATTTTAGCAAAATTTCAATTAAAAAAAAATAATAATAGAAAATTACCAGACTTTAAGCCAGATTTTAAAACTGGTTCATCAAGAAAAACATAAAAACTGTACATTATTACTATCAAATTTTATTTCATTTATTCATCATCATTTAATGATCTATATATACTTTTTTGGTTTTTTGGGTGCTTTTTCTTTGTTAACGAATGTATATGCAAATATATAATTTTTAGATTATGTAATCGAAATCGGAAATCTTTCTTTCAGATCTGTTACACAAAATTGAAAAATCCTCCAATATCAATACGGCTATAAATTCGGATAAATTTTTCAAAAAAATCGACACAACATGACTAATCCTAAATCATTACTAATTCCTACTGAATCAGATTATATTGATGCTCATGGTGATACAAAACCAGAAGAACAATTTAGAGAAACATGGAATAAATTAAGATTGGAAAAAGATGCCAATGGAAATTATAAATATCCTTGGGATTTTGAAGTTGTTCAAGGTTTTTTCAAACAAAGTGATGATTCAACAGATGATAGAGTATTCAATTATGCTTTAGATCATATGGGTAGATTGAAATCTTGGAAAGAGATTGTTTCAGATCTTGAAAAATTAAATTCTGAGGCTCCTGATAACGTTGAATATAAATTGTTAATTTTAGCTAGACATGGTGAAGGTTGGCATAATAGAGTAGTTAATAAACATGGATTAGAAGCTTGGGATAATAAATATCATGCGTTGACTACTGATGGTGAAATCACTTATGCACCAGATCCAGAATTAACTGATATTGGTATTAAACAAGCTCAAGAAAATCGTGATTTATGGAAAAAGGAAATTGAATTAGGTGCTCCAATACCATCTAAATTTTTTGTGTCTCCATTACAAAGATCAAGTAATACATTAGTTATAACATGGCAAGATTTAAAACCAAAAGATAAACAACCTATAGTTGTTGAAAAAATAAGAGAAACAATTGGTAAAAATTTATGTGATAAAAGATCAAGTAAAACTATTATTGATCAAAGATTTGGGAAATATGGGTTTAAAACTGATGGTATAGTTGAAGAAGATATTTATTTTGGTGATGAAAGAGAATCAATGACTCATCAATCAATGAGAATTAATGAATTTTTACAAGATTTATTTGAATCAGATTGTAAAAATGGTAAAGTTGATAAAAATTTAGCTAAAGAGAATATTGCTATTAGTACAACTTCCCATGCTGGTACAATCAGATGTTTTATTAATGTTTTAAATCATAGAAAATTTACAATTTCAACCGGAGGAATGATCCCTATTGTTTGTAGAGGTACTAGAAGACAATAAATAGACTGAAGTATAGATAATTGCTAGTAACCATATTGAAAAATTGGACTAAAATTATTAGGATTTACCATGAAAATTTCAAAACGTGCCATGGCTTTAGACCATCTGGTAGCGTTCCCTTCCGATTTGCGCGAATCCAAATTAGGAACTTCCTAAAAATATATTTTACGAACTGGTAGCAAAAAATATCATTCAAGGCTTTAAGTTTTCATATGGCATTATAAAATCACTTTGTTTTGACTTTTGTAAAATCATTATATATAGATTCCAATGCATCCATACTATGTGTTATTTGCATTTATTGTAATATTCTTAAAATCAACTATAGCATTTTGGCCATTTGATGATAATAGTACCTCAGGGTTTAGTTTTCCAACCGCAACTGAATCTGGATCTAGTAGTTCAACAGGAGAAGGGTTTTTTGAAGGTTTATTTGGAGGTAGTGATTCCTCAGCAACCGAAAGCGGTTCAGCTTCTACAGATGATACGAATTCCTATGCACCATTTAATGTTTCATGCCCATCTCGTGATTTAGCAAGACCAGCAAATCATACAATATCCGATCAAGAAAAAGAATATCTTGAAAGTAGACATGCTATTACAAATGAAAATTTAATAAATTTTTTGAAAAAGGCTAACATTTCAGATTTTGATCCAGAAAGTTTTATAAATGATAACAAGGATCAACATAACATTACAATAGGAGTTACAGTTAGTGGCGGAGGGTATAGAGCTATGCTTTGCGCTGCAGGACAGATCCTTGGTATGGATGGAAGATTTTCAGATGCTAATGATCATGGTCTTGGTGGTTTATTAGATAGTGCAACTTATGTTGTAGGTTTACTGGGTGGAAATTGGATGGTTGGTTCATTAGCTATGAATAATTGGTTACCTGTTGAAGCTATTGTAAATAGGTCTTCAAGTTTGTGGTATTTAGAAGATTCAATTATAAATCCAAATGGTCTTAGACTTGATAGAACAATTTCATATTATTATGGATTAAGAGAAGCAGTTTTGGCGAAATCAGATGCAGGTTTTGAAACTTCATTCACTGATGTTTGGGGTAGAGCTTTATCATATCAATTTTTCACTGATCCAAGTGGGGGTGAAAATGTTACTTGGTCAAGTATGAGAAATTTATCAAATTTTCAAAATCATCAAATGCCATATCCTATAGTTGTTGCAAATGGTAGAACACCAGGTACTTATATTATTAATGAAAATTCAACAATTTTCGAAATTTCAGCATATGAATTGGGTAGTTGGGATCCAAGTTTAAATTCATTCACTGATGTTCAATATTTAGGTTCAATGGTTCAAGATGGAAATGCAAATACTTCACAATGTATTAATAATTTTGATAATGCTGGTTTTATAATGGGTACTTCTTCTTCATTATTTAATGCCATTTTATTAGAGCTTGGAGATTATGATATAAATTCAATAATTAAATCTATCTTAACTGATATTTTACAAAAAGTTAGTGAAGAAGAATACGATATAGCAGCTTATGAACCAAATCCATTTTATCAATTCGAAGAAGCTGGAGTTAAAACAATTATTCAAAATGAAACATTATATTTAGTAGATGGTGGTGAAGATGCACAAAATGTTCCATTTTATCCATTAATTCAAAATTCAAGAGATGTTGATGTAATATTTGCATTTGATAATTCTGCTGATACTGAACAACAATGGCCAAATGGAACTTCCATAATGATGACTTATAAAAGACAATTTTCGATACAAGGTAAAGGCACACCATTCCCATTTGTTCCTGATGTTGACAGATTTTTAAGAGAAGAAATGAATGAGAAACCGGTATTTTTTGGATGTAATGCTTCTGATTTAGCTGATATAGTTGCATGGCATGATAATGATAATATAAATGTAACTGATGTGCCATTAGTTGTTCACATTGCAAATCAAAGATTTTCATATAATTCAAATTTTTCAACTTTTAAATTAAGTTACGATGATGATGAGAAATTTGGTGCCATACAAAATGGATTTGAAATTTCAACTAGGAACAATCTAACTGATGATGAGAATTGGTTGACTTGTGTTGGGTGTGCAATTATTCGAAGACAACAAGAAAGATTTGGTCAAGAACAAAGTGAAGAATGTAAGCAATGCTTTGATAAGTATTGTTGGAAAGGTGGAGAAAAAGATGCAGCTCCTGTTTCAAGTGTAAGTGGTCTTACAGGATTAGCTACTTTATCTTCAACATCTACATCATCAGAAACCTCATCTGGATCATCGACTACTAGATCGGGATCTAGTTCAGGAACAAGTTCAGCTGAAAAACAAAACATTGGTAATTATAACACTCCTTCGTTATCATTCATTCACTTCTTATTAGGTTTGTTTTTATTATAAATAATATACAATAGATTTTTGTTGCAAAATAAAATTGTTGCAAAATATTTTTTTTTTCTGTTTAACTTCATCGCAAGATTTTTCATGTCATAGTATGGTTAAATCGTATAATCGTTATGATCAAGAGAAATGTTTTGGATTGATAACTTCTCAGTCTAATATAGTATGGTTACCACCATCAGAAACTCAATCTTCAACTTCATTAGGAAGAGCATTAACTTCAGGATTAGAAGAAATTTTAATTTGGGATATTAAAACCGGTGAATTATTGCAAAAATTTAAAGATGGATTGAACCCAGGTGAATCAAATGCTTCAACTTCAATACCACCATCACCAATAACATATTTAACACATCATCAACAAACAAATTTAATTAGTGCAGGATATATGGACGGTACAGTTAAAATTTGGGATTTAGCTTCACAATCAGTTTTAATCACATTTCAAGGTCATAAATCAAGTATAACGCAATTGAAATTCGATAGAAATGGTACTAGACTAATATCAGGATCAAATGATTCTACCATTATAATGTGGGATTTAATTGGTGAAGAAGGTTTATTTAAATTAAAAGGTCATAAAGGACCAATCCATGGATTGCAATTTTTATCACAACAGGAGAAAAAAGATGGAAGTGATGACTTAGATGACTATTTAATAAGTTGCTCAAAAGATGGGCTAATTAAATTATGGGAATTAAAATCTCAACAATGTATTGAAACTCACTTAGCTCATTCAAATGAATGTTGGACCATGGGAATAAATAAAGGTCAGAATTTATTAATAACAAGTGGGAATAAAGATCAAGTCAAAGTTTGGGATCTTGATTTGAGTAAAGAAGATGGATTAAAAATACAAGAAAAAGGTGAAATGGAAAAACAGAGTAAAGCAAGAGCAAATGAAATTGAATTTAAATATCTTAAAAATACTGAATTATTTTCAATACAAAATGCAGATAGAACAATTGAAATTTTTAGAATAAGGTCGGAAGATGAAATAAAGAAAGGTGTAAATAAAAGAACTAAAAGATTAAAAGAAAAAGGAATGAGAGAAGAAGAAATCTTACTCTCAATAAAAGAATCAGAAATAAGTATATTAATTACTACATTTACCACAATAAGAACCACAGCAAAAATAAAATCATGTCAATGGATAAATAATTCGAAGAAATTGGATATACTAATTGCATTAACAAATAATTCAATAGAATATGATACCATTCCAATACCTGAAAGTGTGAAAAAAGCACAACCAACAGATTTAATCTTGCAGAAATTGCATTCAATTGATTTATTGGGTCATAGATTTGATATTAGAGCTATGGATATTTCACCAGATGATAATAAATTATTAGCTACTGCATCAAATGGAGAATTGAAAGTTTGGAATATTTCAACTTTAAATGTTATACGTTCCTTTAGTTTAGAAGGTGGTTATGCATTAACCTGTAAATTTTTACCTGGAGGTTCATTAATTGTTGTTGGTTTTAAAAATGGTGATTTGGAATTGTATGATTTAGCTACTAGCTCATTAGTTGATAGAATTGAAAATGCGCATAAGCTAGAAGAAGGTAATGATGCAGCTATATGGTCATTAGACTTAACGCCAGATGGTAAAACTTTAGTCACTGGTGGTAATGATAAATGTGTTAAATTTTGGGATTTCAAAGTGGAAACTGAAGTTATACCCGGTACAAACAATAAAAGTTCTATACTAAAATTCCATCATAAACAAACATTAGAAATGAATGAAGATGTATTGTGTGTTCGAATATCACCAGATTCAAAGTTTTTAGCAATTTCATTATTAAATAATAATGTTCAAGTTGTATTTTTAGATTCATTCAAATTATTTTTAACATTATATGGACATAAATTGCCAGTATTATCAATTGATATATCTCATGATTCAAAATTGATCATAACTTCATCAGCAGATAAGAATATAAAAATTTGGGGTTTAGATTTTGGTGATTGTCATAAATCAATTTTTGCTCATCAAGATTCAATTATGAATGTTAAATTTATTGGTGATACACATAATTTTTTTTCAAGTGGTAAAGATGGATTAATCAAATATTGGGATGGTGATAAATTTGAATGTATACAAAAATTACCAGCACATCAAAGTGAAGTTTGGTGTATGGCCGTAAGTAATAATGGGTTATTTATGTGTTCAACATCTCATGATCATTCAATTAGATTATGGTCAGCAACTAACGATCAAGTATTTTTAGAAGAAGAAAGAGAAAAAGAATTGGATGAACAATACGAGAATACATTGTTAAAGCAATTGGACGATGAACAAGATAGGCTAAAGAATGAAGAAGATGAAGAAATAGATGAATCAACAAAAGTTTCAAAACAAACAATGGAAACCTTGAAAGCAGGTGAAAAATTAATTGAAGCTTTAGATATCGGTATAGAAGATATTGAAGCTACTGCTGAATATCAAGGTTTGATTAAAAAAGGTAAATCAGTGTCAAAACCAACTCCTAATTCAATATTACTCGCATTTAATTTAACTGGATCTCAATATGTATTAAATACATTACTTAAAATTAAACCATCACAATTAGATGATGCTTTATTAGTAATACCATTTTCATATACGTTGAAGTTATTAAGATTTATTGAGATTTGGACAAATGATGAGAATATAAATCTAAATTTTGTTAATTTGTCGATCATTTGTAAAGTTTTATTTTTCATTATAAATTCAAATTTAAAAGAATTTATTAATCAAAGAGATTCAGTGTTGAAAAATCAATTAATCAAAGTCAAAGAACAATTGAGAGGTCATTTACAAAAAAATAGCGAGATATTAGGTGTTAATACTCAAGGTTTGAAATTTATTAAACAACAATGGAGATTGAATCATGTTAATGAATTTATCGATCAAGATGAACAAACTAAGTATAATGAAAAACATGCAATAAAAAGAAGTTATCAAACTATATAGAAGTCTAATGTACATTATAAAATCAATAAATTAATATTTCTGTGATATATGCACCATTACTTAATATGCTGTCAAAAAATAGGCTTCGTATATATATGCGCGTTTTGCAAAATAATTTTTTCGTTTTGTGTTGTATATTTTTGATTCGAATATAAATCTGAAACACGTTAAGCGCTACAGTTTGAATTATATCTTATTGAGTTGTAGAATCTCCATTGCCCTGAAATCCATTTTGTAATGTCAAATTTCAAATATATTTTTAACTAATGTCATTTAATGGATGCAAATCTTATATGCAAGATTTTAGTGCAAGGGCTCACATTTTATGTCAGAATCGGAAATTTGAAATCAAACAAGAATAAATCTTAAATACTAAATCTTTGAACATGAATGTTTTTTGCTATTCTCCTCAGTGACTAAAGAACGAAAAAGAACATGCAGATTAAACAAACCAAATAAAGTTTCAATACTAACTAAATTCTAATATTTGAAAAATGAGATGACTTCCCTTATTTAAAACACAATAACATCGTATTTCGGGATTCTATTTAACACAAAAGTTCTTTATTAACGCGAAACCTTCAATACTTGCTATTTAATTATTATCTTTACGGAAAAAAAATCTCAGATTTCAATAGTAGGTTCCAGTATATGTAAATCAATGCTAAATTATGTGCGACACAAGATTTTAAAACTATAATCGTTGGATTTTTTGACCAATAGCAAACATCCAGCGATTCAAATATTTGTAAATGCAATAAACACTGTAAAGGCTTACTTGAAATAAAAGTTAATTGAAATTAAATGGGTGTGGTTCTATTGTTTTGCATATTTCGGAGAAATAGAAAGGACATGTTTTAAAATTTCGAAAAATTCGACCTGAAGAAAAATTATTAATCGATGTTTGTACAAAGATAATAACTTATTGATTTACGAACTTTTGTTTAGAGTCTAGTATAATACGTTTGGTCAATGAAGTAATATTTTCTCCCCACTTACCTTGTATAAACAAATTAAATAATAAAAATTATTAGATAACGAAAGATAGAGTTTAAGAATTGAAAAATATTCACAGTCAATTATAATTCGTTTTAACAAATTAATTTCCAGTGTAAAAACTCAACCATACTTAAACTGAAAAGTGATGAGCGATTCTTATTATATTTTGAAAGCAAATCTTCTAGAACTAAATAAGAAATAGTTTTTGACCGATCGAAATAGAACAAATTATCATCAGAAATTTCTTAAGTATGATGAAACACTACTGACACAGTTCAATAAAACTGACACAGTTCAATAAAAAAGTGTGTGTACTAAATTATTATTATCTTTTTTTTGTTTTTTTGTATCACCACCACAGTCAAATGGATTTTATTTGATTGAGCTTGTGTCTAATATAAATCTGTTAATATCATATATATTCAACGTAGAATAGAAGCCAACTACATTTGTTCTGGTTGTAATGTAATATCATATCACTGATTCTCTATATTATTCTTCTTTATTTTTATTTTTATTTTTATTTTTATTTTTATTTTTATTTTTTTTTTATTTTATTTTATTTTATTTTTTTTTTTTTCATTCTTTTTTAAGTTTCAACTTTCCATTAATTACTTTGGCTATATTATTAGGTTTATATATATACTTTTCCCTCTTTATCATTATTTATAGTTCGGGAGTATTTAATAAATATCATTACTAAATAATGAATAATTTACCTAATGGTGCCGGTTCAGCTATTGGTGGGGCTGCAGCTTCAGGTTCAACAGGGAGTGGTGGTAGTATGAATGGTTGGCAAGGAATGTATACAAATGAAGAAAGACAAAGAGTTGTATCATTAATTATGGAAACTTTGAACGATTTACATGGGTCTAATATTAATTTTGATAGAAATAAGTTGACTAAAATGGCTCAAACTTTTGAAAAATCCGTTTATGAATCAGCAAATTCTAGAGATGAATATCTTAAAAAAATCAAATCAAAAATTGGTCAATTAAGAATGCAAAAGCAACAAGCTCAACAAAGATTAAGTCAACAAAATGGGAACAATAATGGTAATATTAATGGTGGTAACGTTAATAGTGGCATGAATACTAAAACGAACGGCTTTAATACTAATTCAATTAATCCTAAAGGTGCACAATTTTTACAACAACAAGCTCAAGTCAGAGGCCAATCGCAAGCTCAAATTCAAGCACGTCAACAACAACTTCGTAATATGGTCAATCAACAGCAACAACAACAACAACAACAACAACAACAGCAACCAGATCAAATGATGCAACCACAACAACAGTCTAATATGAAACAACAGCAAAATTCACAGCAACAAATGTCCAATAGTTCGTCAAATATGCAACCACAGGTGCCTCCCCAAGTGCCTCCACAAATTGTTCAAATGATTAAAAGTTCACCAATTCCACCCCCATTATTAAGTAGAATTCCAAATTTACCACCAAATGTGAATACTTGGAATCAAATATTTGACTTGATAAGGCAAAAAGTTATTCCTCAAGACTTAATACCAACTATCAAGGAAATTCATTCAACTCATGTACAATTAGCTATGCGTCAACAACAACAAAAGTTTAATATGCAAAATAGTAATGGTACTAATTTGACATCAACAAATAATAATCAAAATTCAAGTCAAGCTGAATTTAATAAGAATATTAATATGATGATGAGCAATTCGAATTTCAATTTAAATAATTTAACTCCACAACAAAAAGAACAACTTTTGAGACAAAGAAGTCTTCATCAACAACAGTTGCAGAAACAAAATAATCAACAAAGTAACGATTTGAGTCAAAAGCAACAACAAATTCCACCTCCACAATCTCAACCACAACCACAAATGCAAATACCAAATCAAATTCCACCAAATCAATCTTTACCAAATCAACCTTTACCAAGTCAATCTTTACCAAATCAATCACAACCGCAAACTTTTGATCAGCAAAAACCACCGCAATTTCAAATTACTCAACAAGATATTAATAAACATAGTAACGAAGCTTTATTAGTTTTGTCTAGATTACAACAGCAAAAGCAATTACAACGTCCTTTGGATGATAATATGAAAGATACCTTTATCAGAAAATACATACTTCATCAAAAAAGTCAGTTATGGAAACAACAACAACAACAACAACAACAACAAAGACAAGCAAATAACCTTGGCACTATAAGTATTCCACCGCAAACATCCCAACAACCACCTCAACAGCAGCAGCAACCATCTCAACAGATGCCCATTCAACAACACTCTCAAATGTCTCCGCCGCAAAATCAGAGTTTACCACAAAGTCTGCCATTAATGAATAATTTAACTACTCCAATGATGCAACCTAATACTCAAATGAATGTTAATTTATCTTCTCCCTTGATTACGCAAAGAAATTTGAATATTGGTAATAACAATAATCAACAAAAACTATCTACTGCTCCTGCTAATGTTAATTTATCACAATTATTACCTCCATTAACAAATGAAGTAAAATTAAAATTAAAGCAATTAATTGAAGAAGTTACTGGCAACAATGTTGTTTTGAAAGATGTTACAAATTTATTATCAGAGCAAGACAAGATGACTGTTCGTGATTCAATGAATAAAATTCAACAATCATATGGTAATGTTGATATGGTTATTAGTTATTTTTACTTATTAACCAAAAATGCTGAAGGTACAAAGAGATTAATTCAAATGAAGTATATGACAAAAAACATTTTGGATAATTTACAACAAGGTCATTATTTAGCTGCACCTGATTTATTAGAGAAATTGAAGATACAATATGGTAAATATTTTGATTATGTTAAAGAGCAAATTAGTTTTAGAAGGCAACAAGCATTAACTCAACAAAACAATGCTTTGGCACCACCTCCTCCTCAACAACAAATGCAACAACAAATGCAACAAAATAGAGTACAACAACCAATTCCACCACCGCAACAACAAATGATGCAAAATCAAGCTAGAGGAAATCAAGCATTTATGAATCCAAATCAACCACAAATGAATGCACCACCAATGATTAACCAAATGAATTGGCCAATGCAAAGTCCAATGAAAACTAATCAACCACCACCACTGTTACCACCACAGCAACAACAACAAAATATGCGTCAACAAAGTATGAATGTGATTCCACAACAAACACCAGTGATGCAACAAATGCCAATGCAAAATATGGGTCAACCACAAACAATGCAACAACAATCTCCACCACCTTCACAGGCACAAATGAAAGGAATGCCTTCTCAAATTCAAGTTCAAAGAATACCGTCTCAAATGCAAGCTCAACAACAACCTCCAGTGCCACAACCACTGGTTAAGCAAACAACTAAAAAAAGTGCAACAACACAAGGTAGAAAGAAAGGTAAAAATTCAATTAGTGGACCTGTATCTTCAACTGTTCCAACACCTAGTGCATTACCAGCACCAACTCCAGGTACGTTAGCAAATGCAATTAGAACTCCTCATAGCATGCCAACACCACAAATTCCACCTCAATCTCATAGTAATAAAAATACACCAACTGGTCAATCACCAAATTATCCAGTTAAACAAACACCATCATCTACAACTCCAGGTAATTCAGCATTGAATTCAAGTCAAAGTAATATCTATCCAACACCTGATATTGATTTATTTGCAATGACTTCGCAAGATTCCAAACTGATTAAAAGAAGGGAATTATCAAATACAGATCCAGAAAAATTCTTTTTTGCATCATTGAGTAATTTATTAAATGTTGATGAATCCATTGTGGAAAATTCAAATATGAATAAATCACCATTATCTCCAACAAGTGGTTCAGGTGAATGGACAAGTGAAATTAACCCATTGGCTATTATTTCATCATTTAGACAAGTTGAATTTATAAAAGAAATTTCAAGCGGAGATTTGATTGAAGAATGTTCAAGAATCAATGAAGAACAAGAATTTGATTCAAATGGTAATAATGATAAAAAGAGAGAATATGATGGTGGTGATGATGATGATTTAGACATGTTATTTAATGAAAAAAAGATTAAAATAGAAGATGGTGATGAACTTAATAGATTTCTATATGAACCAATCCTGTTTGATGAATGGAAAGAGTTTATAACATCAAAATAAACATCAAAATAAAGAACAGTTTTATATAATTTTGTATAATCAATTTAAAGTATAGTGCTTACATAATTTTTTTTTTTTTTCTTTCTCTCTTTTTTTTTTAATATAATAATTTGTTTCAGAATTTTGACGTTTCGAATTATACGATAAGAGAGATGTCACCTAAATTTGATTCAAAAGATAAACAAATATCAGTTGCATTTGTATGTCTCGGTAATATGTATGTAAATGATTTATATTCTTTGTAATTTACTGACTTTCTAAGATGTCGTTCACCAATGGCAGAAGCTATTTTTAAACATCAAGTTAAAGAACAAGGCTATGAAAAATATTTCAAATTAATTGATTCATTTGGTACTAGTGGATGGCATATTGGAGACTCTCCAGATTCAAGATCAGCTAAAACATGTAGAAGACATGGAGTTCCAGTTTCACATTCTGCACAACAAATTTCATCAAATGATTTTAAAAATTTTGATTATATTATAGGAATGGACAAAAGTAATTTACAAGATTTAAAATTCATGAAACCTGAAAATTCAAATGTAATAGTGGAAATATTTGGTCATTGGAATACACCAAATTCTCAATATCAAGACATAGTTGATGATCCGTATTATGGAGGTATTGATGGATTTGAATATAATTTTAATCAAATATGTCATTTTACCAATGAATTTTTAAAAAGAGAAATTGGAGTATTAGAATAGAAATAGATATAGCTATATATATGTGTATTTATATACTCTGTTGAAAGTTTGATCGTGTTTCAGAAATAATATATGGTCGTGTATTTTTATCCAAGTTTCAATTTATTATGTTGAACTAAAAATTTTCTAATTTATTTTACAACCAAAAGCATATTGAACAATAAAGTAATAAAAGAAGAGAAAAATAAGAAGTAGTTTAAACTAAATTCAAATGAGTGCGAGAAAGCTACAACAAGAGATTGACAAATTAAATAAAAAAATTACCGAAGGGTTATCATTATTTGATGATATTAAAGATAAAATTGCAATTGCAGATGTTCAATCTCAAAGAGAAAAACTAGAAAATGATTTAAAGAAAGAATTAAAGAAATTACAAAGATCAAGAGATCAACTAAAACAATGGTTGGGTGATTCAAGTATAAAATTGGATAAATCTTTAATACAAGAAAATAGAACTAAAATTGAACATGCCATGGATACATTTAAAGAATTGGAAAAGAATTCGAAGATAAAACAATTTTCAAATGAAGGATTGGAACTACAACAGCAAACAAAGAAAAGTTCAAAATACGGAGATGATGTTAAATATCAAGAAACTGTTGAATATATATCAAATGTAATTGAACAATTACAATCACAAAATGAAGATTTAGATCAAGAATTAGATTCTTTGAATGGTCAACTGAAAAAATCCAAAAGTTCAAATATTCAACTGTTAATAGATGATATAAAGTATAAAATTGATAGGAATAATCAACATATTGAAAGATTGGAAGAAATTTTGGAGCACTTAGAAAATGATAGATTAGATCCTGCAAAAATTGATAATATAAGAGATGATATTGATTATTATGTTGAAATGAATCAAGATGAAGATTACGTTGAATACGATGAATTTTATGATCAATTAGAATTAGATGATAATGATGATGAAGATTTAGAAGTTGAAGGGTCATTAGCTCAAATGGCTACTGAAACAATTGAAGAACAAGAAAGAAAACAAGAAGAAGAGAAAAAGAATAGTTTAGCGAACGATACTAAGGATGATTCAATTGCTGATTCTTCATCGATATCGAAAACTCATTCAAATACTTCACAACCATCGTCAACAACACATCCACCGGCTCACTCACCAGAATCTATACCTAATACAACATCAACTCCAATTAAAAAGAAACCATCAATTGTTCCTGCACCTCCTCCACCACCAATAACAACTGCAAATTCATATTCAAATGTCATAAAAGCAGCTCAACAAGCTGCTGTTGCTCAAACTACTCATACACCAATTAGTACCCCACCAGTAAATAATAATACACCAATAGCAAAAATACCACCACCTGGTTTTAGTCAAATTCATCTACAACAGTCTCAACCTCAACCTCAACCTCAACCTCAACCTCAACCCCAACCTCAACCTCATCCAATCTCAACAAAATCATCTTCAAATTCACCAATAGTAAACTATGCAAAATTAGCAGCACAAGAGGAACGACCAGATCGAATGCAATCACAATCACCAATGATTTCAAATGAAAATAAAACATTTGATGATACCATATCCAGAATTGTTAATATTGCTCAATCTAGATTAAATGATCCGTTACCAATGCAATCAATAAATGATTTATTAGAAAATTCATTATTAAATTGTCCAGATTCTTTTGATGCTGAAAAACCAAGACAATATACCCCAATTAATATCCACCCATCATCAATTGATTATCCACAAGAACCAATGTATGAATTGAATAGTTTAAATTATATGAAAAAATTTGACAATGATACATTATTTTTTTGTTTTTATTATAGTGAATCTTATGACAATTTAGCAAGATATAATGCAGCTAAAGAATTATCAAGTAGAGGTTGGATATTGAATACTGAGTTTAATCAATGGTTTATGAAGGATATTAAACCTAAAAATAGATCAATGTCAACTATTCAAGGGGAAGAAATGGATTCAAAAAGTTCAACTCCAGAACCTTCGATTAATAATGATGAATTTATAAATAATAATAATAATGTTAACGAAATTGATGATTTACCTACAAATTATAAATATTTTGATTACGAAAAGACTTGGCTAACAAGAAGAAAAGAAAATTATAAATTTCCTAAAGAAATTGGACAAACCTATCATTAGGTTTGTTTTGCATAATAAATTATATATCATATACTTGTAATATATTATTACTGAAATATGGCATTCTTATTATATCAAGTTTGATTTAAAATTCCTGTTTTTTGGCGTTACTTATATGAACTGCTTAAGGGGTATTAAATGAAAGCTGCATAAAAAATTTCAATTCAACAAATATTTATCAAATACTTAAATAAAACAATGGAATGATTACTGAGAGATAATAACAGGCTAAATCTTATTAATTTTCAAGAGTCAACCCGTAATTAGTCAATTTTTGAGAATTCATTTTATGTTATGTTGACTCAACTATAAATTAAGAAATTGAAAAATTTCAGTAACAGGATTAATTTTCGACAAAATGAATTTAATAACTATTTATTTACTTTCGATTGTATTTGCTTTCGAATTTAATCCAGATGAATATAATATCGAGCCACCGTTGACAGAAGCAATTCCCCCAAAAGAAGATCCATTTTACATTCCACCGTCAAATTTATCGAAGTACCAAAACGGTCATATAATCAAGCTTAGAGAGACTACAAAATTACGCAACTTGATATTTCCCATTAAAATTCAATCGTCTTGGCAATTCATGGTGTCTTCACGAAACTCACTTGATGATCCAACAGTTGTTATAGTCTCATTACTTATTCCATTCAATGCAAACTTTAAGAAAATTTTAAGTTTTCAAACATTTGAAGATAGTCCTAGTTTGAATTGTGCTCCAAGTTATGGTTTATTAAAAGGGAGTAATCTTAAAGCTACTCCATTAGATACAAATTTCATTTTAAGTGGTTTAAAAAATGGCTGGATTGTAATTGTACCTGATTATGAATCGAACTTGTCTAGTTTTGGAATTGGCTTAACTGCTGGAAAAAGTGTATTAGATAGTATAAAAGCTATTTTATCATTACAATGTTTTCCTCGTTTTCCCCGGGTTGTCCTTTGGGGATATTCAGGAGGTGCATATGCAAGTGTTTGGGCTGCATCGATTTTATCAAGTTACAGTCCAGAATTGTCGAAATATATAGTTGGAGTAGCTGCTGGTGGAACCCCTACAAATTTTACCAATATATTTATAGACACAGATGAAACTATGAATTCAGCATTGATTCCATTAACATTATTGGGAATTGGGAATGAGAGACCAGAGTTTATAGAATACTTGAGATCACAAGTGCAAGATCCAAAGAAAATGTATTTGATAGAACAAAAATTGTGTTTGATTGATGCTAGATTAAAACTTGCTAATGTAAATTATTTCAATGATGGTGTATTTGAAAGTATTCATGTTTTAGATGGTGTAAGAGATATTTTAAATCAACAAGATTTATTGTATGTTGCTAGGAAATTTATTCCAACAAATATTCCCATACTTTTTTATCATTATATGTTTGATGATGAGACTAGGTTCAATGATGTGCTTGAATTATTTAAGATTTGGTGCGAATATGATGATGTAAACATTCAATTAAGTGTAGATACATTGTCTGGAAGTCATATAGGACAAGCTATATTAGGTTCACCATTGGCTTTTTCATGGTTACGAGATAGATTAAACGGGAAAGAATTGACGAATGATAATTGCGTATTGATTGAGAAAAAATCAAATTTGATGTATCCCGGAGTAACAAAGGGTATAATTAATTTATTGGGTGGGATAGGTAAATCTATTTTAAAGTTGAAACTAGGTCCAAGAGAAAAGCTAAAGAAAAAATTGAAGAAAAAATTAAGTGCAACAGATAAAGAAAATGATGAGTTGGATCTAGAACAAATCGATAAGCTATTATTGAATGAGAAAGATGCCTTTTATGCAAATATGACCAATCAAACAATATTTGATTTGGTAATGAGATAAAAATTAGTTTAATTATACAAAATAGTTTGTTCTGAACTTCTCACATAGTAAAACTTTTAGAGCTTTCGAATGACTGGTTTTACTGGTATTTCATGACTGTTTTATTGCTAGAACTTTTAATTTCGCTGAATAGTGTTGCAAATGTCAGAGCACATGGTAGCATATCTAAAAATTGGATTGTTTTGACGGTTTTATGAGTAAACCAAAATTGAAAAGCTCTGAAATTTACTTTTAAGAATGGGGAAATACGATTGACCTAACCTTATGAAAACTCGAGCCCAACCATTCATATTCAAAGTCAAACATAAAGAAACTTTGTACATTTGTAGATCTTTCAAATCAATTAGGATGTTTTCAAACTAATACACAAAAAGTAATTGTGGTCTAATATGCCTAATCAGATATACTATAAGTTATCAAACGAAGTTTTAGTGTTGATTATCTTGTAAATTACCGGTTTTTCCCTAAATTTTGATGAGTAATGTAGAGACTACAATTAATTTTTATCAACAGAACCTAACATCAGTTTAATTTAAATTGATTGAAGCTTTAGCAAGAAAAGTTTGACAACTGCACCTTGGATATTGGGGAATTATTTGCAAAGTAATCTTTAGAATCAGCTATTGTAATCCTGCATATAATGCAAATTTGTTTCAGAATTACTTCTCAACTACAAAACAAAAACAACAGATTCCCACGAGATAAGTCCTAATTTTATGGAATAGAAAGCCTAGAATTATATGCTATACGAGTTTCAAATCCTTGATTTCAAACATTTTAGAAGTTGCTAAACGAGGTTTAAGTATTGATTACTTTGCAATTTGATGTTTTTTCCCATTTTTTAGATAATGAATAAAATTATCAAATTAGGTTTATTCGGTAGGAATTAGCACCGTTATACGCTAAGTAAATTGATGTTATAATGAAAAAAGTTTGAGAATAATAGCTTAGTCATTGAAGGAGTTATTTACGATTCAGGTTTCAAGATTAACCATTGTAGGACTGCATACAAGCAAATTTATTTCAGAATTATATTTTTTAATGCATATTAGAAAGAGCAACAAAACTGGTACTACAAATAATTCCTCGCGCTAGCTTTATGGCGACTCGTACTAAACTTATTGGCTTCTATATCGTTAAACACATGAAACCAAATCATACTGTTCTTGGTACCATGAAATTGAAGATTTTTAGACCAATTCAATTATAAGGGTTTTGAAGAGATTCCTCTCAATTTTTTTAGCAACATTCTAATTTTCTTAAGAATTTGTGATATTTTAAATTATTATTTACTCAATAACATTTTACCCTCAGATGCCTTTTGAAAGAATTCACTATAGCCAAAGAGACAACAATGGTCATTAAAATGAGATTTATGACAAGTTCAACCACAATTTTGCATTGTAAAGTATTTACATACTTAAGAACGATATCAAGAACGAGTTTGACTTATATGCAGTCCTTTTTGTTAAAATTTAATTTGTAAATAACTCCAGCAATATGCAAGCCTTTAATCTCAAACTAAATTCAATGAAAAATTTAAAAAATCTAGATTAGACTGATTTTAAAATCCTCAATAAAATCAAAATTGTGCTTCTGTTATTAGTCATTCAAAAAATGGCTAAAATCGTTAAATTGCGAAATAATCTACACTTAAACAGCATTTTGCAACTTCTAATATAGTTAATTCGGGTCATTCAATTCTAAAGCTAATGTTTCAAAGATATCATAATCGGTTTGAAAATTTTGCAAAAATTTCGATTCAGGTTTGAAAAATTGGTTTCCTGATTTTGAATACCCAAACAAAAAAATATCGAAGATGTATCCGAAGTAGGAACTACAAATTGGGAAAGCTCTATCATGTATATGTATGAACTGTGAATGTGGTGATGAATTTTTCGTAAGGTCAATTTATTCTATTTTCCCCATACTTAAGAGAAAATTTTGAAATTTTTCAATTTTGGCTTTAATGCAAAAAGATTAAACTAGTGCCTTATCTTAAGGTATGATATACATAATCCGCTGTTTAATTGAAAGTTATGGTCCAAAATAAAGTATACTTTGCATTTTCAGTTTTGACAAACTTTTTGTATGGTGAAAAATGCCTAAAGTGACAACTCAAAAAAAAAATGTTCAAAATTCAAAACTGACATTATATAGAATATATAATTAAGTGCTTCTGATTTCTAATAAATAGTATTTATCTGTGGAAAACGTACAGTTCCTGACCTATATGCCAATCCATGTAGTCGAGGTCGCGTTAGAGTTAGCGCGAGAAATTATTTTGTCATTCGAAATCTATTTTTTTTAAGTATGGGACTGCATATAGCTGATTATTTCTGATCCAAGGTCTGCTCTATTAGGAAATTCAAAAAAACGCTTTTTTTGTATTTAATTGTGTAAGATTGATCTAGACGAGATAATTTCTCGTGCTAGCTTAAGGCGACATCGTACTAAGTGAATTGGCTTATAACTCTTGGCTATCATGTTTTCTCCAAATAATTACTATTTATATTAATTCAGAATCACGGAATTAAATATATTCTATATAGCCTCAGTTTTAAATTTCAAATATTTTTTTCTTGACTTGAACTTTCGAGTTTTTTCCACCATACAAAAAATTTGCTAAAATTTAAAATTTAGTGTATTTTTTTTTTCAGGGCCATAACTTTCCAATAAAGGAAGGATTATATATATTGCAGCTCAATCGAAGATGCCGGACTTAATTCTAATTGATTTGAATCAAAATTGAAAAATTTCAAAACGATTCTGGCGTCTTGAATACGATACACGAATACTTTTGTGTTGTTAGAACTAAATCAGTAATGTTCGAAGTTGATAGTTGAAGTCTGAGTATTGGTTATGTTGTAATTTAGCGTTTTTTTGCATTTTTTGGATGACGAATTAAATGATGAAAATTAAGTTTTATTCAAAGAAAAATATATCACATCAGCCCAGCATGACGTGGCTCTTAGCAAATAGACTTTGGGAGAAAATGCAAGTTTTGAAATTAACTACTATAATACTGCATATAAGTGAAGTTGGTTTAAGAATTATACCTTCCAGTACGTACATTGAATGCGAAGACTTGGAGCGACAGAGCATATTTGTCGCGCTAACTTAAGGCGGCCTCGCTTTAGATTAATTCACATTATTTGTAAGTTTGATTACATATTTACGCGAATTCAATTAATTTAATTTACCTTAATGCTAACATGAACACGTTCAATACTTATCTAAGTCTTTAATAGGAAATCAGTTTTCTTGATATAATGTTTCAGATTTAATCTTTTAATACGCGAAATATTTTTTAGGTATCATAACATTACCTTACTACCGACAAATTTTTATGTAAAAACAGATCGACAAGCAAGCTAAAACGTTGAGGGATGGATCTGAAATCAAATTGCAGCCCATGGAACGACCAGTCTGATTGTTAGTAGTTCAATTTTCGTTTCGATTTTGTCCAAATTCGATTCCAGATCTATTGTTCTAGATCTACATAGTTAAGATTTTTTTTTTTTTTTTTTTCTGTTGTCTAGTGAAAATTTAACCCTAAACAATATAATATAGATATTAAAAAGGGATTATTATTAAACCGAGTTGCTCTTGTCCTGTCAACTTCTATAATTGGCCGTATCTGTACAACTTATAAGCTTAACTTGTACTATAAAATTGTATTTTATATCGAAAGGCTAAAAATAGTTCATAAGAAAAAAAAAAAAAAAAAAAATATTTTAATTTAAAGATATAAATTTATCAAGTTAGAAATTAGTGCTGCTAATCTTACATAAACGAAGAAGACGAATGTATTATTGAAATTCACATTTGAAACATTCTTTATTATTTTCGGAACTATAGACATTTATTCAATCATAACTAGTTTTATTTTAAGGGTGGGGACAATTTCATCATGAGAATTGACTTGAATCAATATGATTATTTTACTAATAATCTTCTACTAGTAAGAGATGATACTTCAACTGATTCAGATGGGTGTGTTGAGTGTCCTTCTTCATCTTCAGATACTTGTCCAACTTGTCCCAAGGGTCAGCAATGCGTTCAACAAACTAGAACTTGTCAAGAATGTGCAAAATTTGTATGTGTTGAAGCTACTTCATCTCGTGGTAAAACTACTCCAATAGGTGGTATAGTAGGTGGTGTTATTGGTGGATTAGCATTTATTGCCGTAATAGCAGCTACGTTATATTATTTTTTAATTTATCGTAAAAGACATCCGGTTATGTTATATGATGATGATGATGAATATTTAGAAGATGGTGATGATTCTAGTGATTTTGCTTTAACTAGAATGGAAACAATTAAAGAGAGTAAAGATTTAAATGAGTCATTTGAAGATAATAATGTTCAAAATGGAAATACATTAATTAACGATAATGACGAAAATAACAATAATATCAATGGCAATGTAACACATAATAATTCAAGTGGTGAAACTTTACATAATATAAATGGAGCAGCTCCTGTTGAACGACCAGTTGCTAGAAGACAAGGTACAAATCAAAATATTCAAAAAAAGCGTATGAAAAGAGTATCTTCATATGAATCATTCACAAGACCAAATACAGGTAAAATAAGAAATAAACAACAACTATTACAGGCTCAACAAAGAAGAGCAAGACAGCAGAATATCGTAAAACAAGCAAACAAACAACAAAGTCTTCAACTGCAACAAAAAGTACAAATGAATCCTCAACAACAACAAATTTATATGAATCCTTCAAACAGAAACTCAGTAGCGACTTCATTTTCAAATGCTTCTAATATTTTGCCAATTGCTTATATACCTGGTGTGACCGTTCGACCTACAAAAGATAATACAAGATCGTTATATTCATATGATAGTGAATCATTATTTTCAGATTTGAATACAATTGAGAATGCATCGATTATTGGAGATGTAGTATGGGCAAATCAAAACAGTGCAAATCCAGAACTACTTAACCAACAACAACAACAACAACAACAACAACAACAACAACAACAACAACAAAATCAACAATCACAGCAAAATCAACCGGTACAACAAGATAATAATAAACAAGCAACAATGACAGCCATCAAGGCACAACCAAAATTAGTCAACGTAGATAGGATAGAAGAAGAAGAAGAGGAAGCAAGTGATGATGATGATATAATCATTGAAGAAAGCGAGGAAGAAGAAGAAGAAGAAGAAGAAGAAGAAGATGGGGACTCTGATGTTGATTCTGATGTAGATTCAGACATTGGACAAATAACAAGAGCTACTTCAGTTAAAGTTAAGAAAACTGTAAATCATAATGATGGTACAAATAGTCGTGAAGTATTAATGGATGTTAAACCGACTGTTAATACTAATTCTAGCACGATCGATAATGAGCTGGGATCAATTTTATTAGATGTTCAATTCGATCACAGTCCATTAACTACACCTACTAAATTTGAATTTGATAATTCCAATGATAGAAATAGTCCATTTAAAGATCCAATGAATCAATGATTGTAACAAATATAGTCCATTAACTGCACCTACTAAATTTGAATATGATAATTCCAATAATAGAAATAGTCCATTTAAAGATCCAATGAATCAATGATTATGATAATTCCAATAATAGAAATAGTCCATTTAAAGATCCAATGAATCAATGATTATGATAATTCCAATGATAGAAATAGTCCATTTAAAGATCCAATGAATCAATAATTATACCAAATAAACGTTATAAATTTTTTGACATATTTCGTACCCTTATATATTTCTATATCTTAGTAGCTTAAGGTCTCACACATATTTAGAGAATTATAACCGAAGCTGCATTAAAATCTGACGTAAGAACAGAAAACAAAAAAAAAATTGGCCGTAAAAAAAGGTAGAGCAAAAAGTGAAAGAGTATATTAAACTAACCAACTCTTTTATACTAAAAGATCAAATTGTTAATTCTTAATAGTACCTCAAATGTTATTCGATGTCCTCCAACATCATTTCTAGTTTAATAGTTTAATAGTTTAATAGTTTATTAGTTTAATAGTTTATTAGTTAATAGTTTATTAGTCATATTATAATTATAATGTTTCACTTTCTAAGCACGTGATCTGCATAAAATAAATAAATAAATAAATAAATAAATAAATAAATAACTAAATAAATGAATTTGATTCAATAAATCTCGATTATTTCGGAGCAATAAAATGAATTTAAGACATTTAAATTTGCGATCAATGGAAGCAATTATGGGTATAATTTAAATTAATAGAATAAAAGGCTAAAATATGAATCAATTGACCTTGAATCTCTGCAATTGACCTTAAATCTCTGCAATTGACCTGAAAATTATCAAATGAACTTAATTTCAAGAAGTTTCACTTCTCGAAATTCGTTGGGGGATATATAATGTAAATTTATAAATTTATAAAATTTTAAATTTTTGATGGGATTAAAAAATAGTTATGTAAATACAATTACAACAACCAACACTTACTTCTAATTATCTAATTATCTAATTATAAAGATTGTTATTACGTTACGTTTCATTATCATATAGTAATAGTAAAAGTAAAAGTAATATTTGCTATTGAATAATAATTTATTAGTAAAAGAAAAATAAAAAAAAAAAAAAAAAAAAAAAAAAAATAAAATTAATAAAATTTAAACCGCCGGTGGTGGTCTAATAATTATTACCACCACTACGTATTACTACTACGTATTAGGTTTAATTTCTCTCCCTTACATTTTATCGATTAAACAATTTATAATATTTCTTCCAATTAATTTTTATTATATAATAACATTTTTTCATTTTTCTTTTGCTTTTGCTTTTCTTTCTTTCTTTCTTTCTTTCTTTCTTTCTTTCTTTCTTTCTTGCATTCATCATTCAATTGAATAATAGTTCTTTAAATTAAAAATGGTTTCGAAAATTGATGAATTAGCTGTTTCAACAATTAGAGGTTTATCAGTTGATCAAGTTAATGCTGCTCAATCTGGTCATCCAGGTGCTCCTTTAGGTTTAGCTCCGGCTGCTCACGTTGTTTGGCAAAATATGAAATTTAATCCAAAAAATCCAAAATGGATTAATAGAGATAGATTTGTTTTATCAAATGGTCATGCTTGTGCTTTAGAATATTCTTTATTAGTTTTATATGGTTTTGATTTAAAAGTTGATGATTTAAAACAATTTAGACAATTAAATTCTAGAACTCCTGGACATCCAGAATGTAAAGATACAGAAGGGATTGAAGTTACTACAGGTCCATTAGGTCAAGGTATTTCAAATGCTATTGGTATTGCAATTGCTCAAAAACAATTTGCTGCTACTTATAATAAAGAAGATATAAAAATTTCTGATTCTTATGTTTATGCCTTTTTAGGAGATGGTTGTTTGATGGAAGGTGTTTCAAGTGAAACTTCATCATTAGCTGGTCATTTACAATTGGATAATTTAATTGCATTTTGGGATGATAATAGAATTTCAATTGATGGTGATACTAATTGTGCTTTTACTGAAAATGTTCCTGAAAGATATAAAGCTTATGGTTGGAATGTTATTGAAGTTCCAAATGCTGATACCGATTTAGATGCAATTGCAAAAGCTGTTGAAGATGCTAAACAAACTAAAGGTAAACCAACTTTAATTAGATTAATTACTACTATTGGTTATGGTTCATTACAAGCTGGTACTCATGGTGTTCATGGTGCTCCATTAAAACCTGATGATTTAAAACAATTGAAAAAATCATGGGGTTTCCCAGAAGAATCAAATTTCTATATTCCAGAAGAAGTTGCTGATTATTTTGCTAAAAAAGTTGTTGAAAATCAAAAATATGAAAATGAATGGGCTAAAGTTTTCCAACAATATAAACAAAAATATCCAAAAGAAGGTGCTGAAGTACAAAGAAGATTGGATGGTAAATTACCAGAAAATTGGAAAGAAAAATTGCCTCAATTTACTTCAAAAGATAAAGCTTTAGCTACTAGAAAATTATCTGAAGGTGTTATCGATGCTATTTATGGTGAATTACCAGAATTTATTGGTGGTTCAGCTGATTTAACCGGTTCTAATTTAACAAGAGTTGAAGGTTCAGTTGATTTCCAACCACCATCAACTGGTTTAGGTGATTATGCAGGTAGATATATTAGATATGGTGTTAGAGAACATGGTATGGGTGCTATTATGAATGGTATTGCTGCTTTTGGTGCCAATTACAGAAATTATGGTGGTACATTTTTAAATTTCGTTTCATATGCTTCAGGTGCCGTTAGATTATCAGCATTATCAGGTCATCCAGTTATTTGGGTTGCTACTCATGATTCAATTGGTTTAGGTGAAGATGGTCCAACCCATCAACCTATTGAAACTTTAGCTCATTTAAGAGCTATTCCAAATATGTCTGTTTATAGACCAGCTGATGGTAATGAAACTACTGCTGCTTATATTTCAGCTATTGAAACTAATGATCATCCAACTGTCATTGCATTAACTAGACAAGGTTTACCTCAATTGGAAAATTCAAGTACTGAAGAAGCTTTGAAAGGTGGTTATACTATACATAAAGTTGAAAATCCAGATATTATTATTGTTTCTTCAGGTTCAGAAGTTTCAATTTCAATTGATGCTGCTAAAAAATTAAAAGATGAAGGTATTAATGCTTCAGTTGTTTCAATGCCAGATTTCTTTACATTTGATAAACAACCACAAAGTTATCAATTTAGTGTTTTACCAGATGGTGTTCCTATTATGTCAGTTGAAGTTATGTCAACTTATGGATGGTCAAAATACTCACATGAACAATTTGGTCTTAATAGATTTGGTGCTTCTGGTAAAGCTAGTGATATATATAAATTTTTCCAATTTACTCCAGAAGGTATTGCTGATAGAGCTTCAAAAACAGTCAACTATTATAAAGGTAAAACTGTTTTATCACCATTACACCATGCTTTTTAGATTATTACCCTAAATATATAACAACAATTGTTTCGTAATATTAAAAATTGTAAAAAAATCGTATATTCATCTAATATAACAATTGTGTTGGATCCCATTTATCATTTTGTATAAATTCAATTAATGATTTCGAACCAGTTTGTAATAAAGGGTGACCACTAACAATAATTAAAAATTTTTCTAGCCCTTGCCTTCTCTTTTCAATATTTTCTTCACTAAATTTATTTGATTGAAGGAAAATTTTACCAGGTAATGGAGGTATTATAACTCTTGAAGTTTCATTTTCTAAAATTTTCTTAAATGCAACAAAGTCACTATATCTTCTTCTTATTTTACTGAATTTTTTTTTGAAAGCAGGTATATTAGTTCGACATATTATTTCATAATCTGTATATAAATTTGCACCGAATCCATGAGTTATTGGATTTTTAACTTCAACCTCAAGAAAATTTTCCGGCTCCCCGTAAATTTCATTAAACGATTGTGTTTTATTTGTGGATGATGTGTTAATCACGTCAGAGATAGGTTGAAAAGGTTTTGAAGACATATGAAATAATAGATCTTATCTATAGATGGTTTGCTTGATTAATTTTTTTTTTTTGGTGATAATTCAAACATACAAAATTAAGGATGAAAACTTAGCCAGGGGAATAATTCAAGATTTTAAATAGAGATCAATATTAGAATGATTTAGTTTAGAGTTAACTTCACTTATATCTTAGTTAAATATGCATTAAATCGTAAAACTAAATATCAATTATTTATATTTGCTAATTAGTTGTTATTTTAATGTTTGTGTTTATCACCACCTAACATTTCTTCTCTTGTAACGTAAAATAAACCTCTATTACCTGGTGCATTATTCATTACATTTGATACTTCGGCCCACAAGTGAGGCCAAGTTAAAAATGCCATCAAACTACCAAACCAAATACCAACTTGGGGTATTCTTTTAATATAATACTTATATTGAGGAACAATCATATTTTTCAATGCTTGTTGTTGTGCTCTAATAATTGAAGGTCTCATAATGAATAGTTATTTAAAGAAATGCTTATAATTATAATGTTTTAATTAATTGAATTGATTATAGAATGAAATTAAAGAAGGAAATTAATGGATTTATATAACATTACTTAATTATACTAACTACGAATCATTTTTTTACATGCACGAATCAGCAGATTTCTGTATGAAATAACATATGTTCTGGGTTTTGATATAAAGTTTTGTTTATTTAATTTGGCTGCAAATTGGAATTTTAAAAAATCACGAAAAAAATCTTACGATATTTTTATTTATCTAATTTAGATCATATTTTTGGCCAACAGAATTAAATGTTGCATTGATATTTTGACATAATTCGATCGTGTTTTTGATCTAAATGCAAGCTGATATTATCTTGAATTTTTTATGTTTGTAATTTTGGTGACAAAAGTTGGGTTGATTTAGTAAATTGAATCAAGAATCGACTCAATCATCTTAGTCTCGCTTAAAATTCAAAATTGACACCTGCTGATCTTATAATTATCACGCACCAGTGCAAAATTCTGGACCCGCACCCTAATTATTCCGCACAGATTGCAAAATTTAGAGACAAACAAGAAGACAACTTTGAAAATTCGATACCTAAAATAATCTATATTAAACTAAAATACTAAAATCAATCTTGTAAACGTAAATAACCAGCATCTTTATTGTAATTTTTCTAATTTTTCTTTTTCCATTGTAGCTTCTTGTAATTCAAATGTATTGGCATTAATATCACCATCTTTAACAACAGCTACTCTCATTGTTGCCAATAAATTATGTGCAGCATTTGAATGAGCATAAACAGCACCGTTAAATGCTGCAGTTGCATCTTTACCTAAACTTGCTCTAACTAAAGCTTGACCACCAGGATGTTCTTTAATAAAATTTTTAACATTATGTATTATACCACTTATTATTATTAAACCTTCTTGTTTAGCTCTTGATTGAAATTCTTCTCTTGTCCAAACTGGTAAATCTTCAACTTTTGAACCCCAATGTAATTTTTTTCTCATTCTTTCAATTTTCTTCTGTTGTTGTTGAATTAAACCTTGTTCAATTGCATTTTGTGAAAACATTTTTAAATTCCAAGCTAAACCAACTTTTGATAAACACCAAATAGCAACTTTAGTTGGATCATATTGGTACCATTTTAAAGCATTTCTATAATCACTTGGAAATTCATGATGGAAATTATGATAACCTTCACCAAAAGTAACAAAAGCAGTTATAACATGATCTCTTGGAGTTCTTCTATCATCAAATGGTTGAGTACCAATCCAATGAGCTAATGAATTAACACAAAATGTAACTTGTTGAATAACAAATGATTTTATGATACCACCATAAATAAATCCACCCCACCAATCTCCCCAACCTAAACCAGCAACAACAGTTGGTAAAACAAATGCAGATAATAATAATAATAATAAATAATGTTTATGTTGGTAAACAACAACCCAATCAGCAGTTAAATCTGAAATATCAGCTCTTGCTCTATTTTTTGGATTTGCTTTGGTTAACATCCAACCAACATGAGAATACCAAAAACCTCTTCTTGCATCATATGGATCTCTTGAAGTATCAGTATATCTATGATGAACTCTATGTGAATGACCCCACCATTTAATTGAACCTTCAATTGCACCAGCACCAAAAAATGCAAAAAATAATCTTACTGGTAATGCAGCATCATAAGCTTTATGTGAATATAATCTATGATAACCAGCAGTGATTGATAAACCTGAAAATACATAAAGTATAAAACCTAAAATTAAAGTTTTAACTTGTGGAGGATATTTAATTGCAGAATAAAAACCAAAACATGGAATGGCAACGACTAAAACAGCATTTAACCAATTAATCTTTTGTGCAAAATTTTGAAACGTCCATGGTTCTTCAGAAATATGTTTTATTTTTGAATATTTTTCCCTTTCTCTTGCATCTTTTTCAGCTAATGATTCCATTGAGTCTTTTGTTATTTCTTCAGCTGTAACTTTAACTAAATCAGCAGTACCCATTAATTTACCACCAAATCCAGATGCAACAATTCTTGGAACTTTTTTATTAGTACCTGCTGCAATAGCATTTAATTTGGTAATATCAACAGTTTCCAATTGTTCTGTTTCAGTAGCCATGTTTGAAATTCAATAATGGAATGGCAAATTTTGAAAAGAAAAAGATGAATTTATAAAAAAGATTAAATTAATTAATTTATATATAATTTGAAAATAACAGACGCCTATATAAATAAATATGTTTTAGATTTATATAAGTGTGCATATGCTAAAAAGTTTATTAAGTACATGAATTTCTTTTGATTTTTTGATTTACCCAAAAAAAAAAAGTGTTGAGAGTTTATGGAAGAGCTATATGCAGGCCATACATTTTATTTAAACGATACAAGGAAAATCTTTCAGTTAATTATAATAAATGAAACGTTTAGATTTGTACTGAAAGGGATGAATGGAATTACCAAATTTGTATTGTTGACTATATAATTGAATGTTTTTTTCAATTTTCACATTAAATTTAATTTATTTACCACTGGAAGATAACCTCATTATTGCATTAAACAACTTCAACTCAACCAAACCATCATCTGATATTTTAATCAATTGTTGGCTATCACAACCATAACCAAGCAAAGATAAGTGACTTTTTGGTTGATATGTAGATCAACAATACTTTTAAGTTATTTTTGTTATCTTTGTATCTTTGTATCTTTGTAATTGTCAACTTTTGGCTGCAAAATTATCATCACAATTACCGGATTTAAGATTTAGTGTAATTTAAAAAGTTTAATTCGATAGATTTTCTTCCTTAAGGGGTTATGTAATTGGTGAGTAGTGTAATAAATTCAAATTCATTTTCGTAATTGAAATTTGAAACAGGGTTTAATTATTAAACGTTTAATAGGCATTCTTTTCGATCTATTGTTTACAATTTGTTTATTTAGTCAATTTTTAATCTTGTGTTATCACATGGTTACAAACTCTAAAAAGTATAAATTCAAAGCAAACTACCTTTTCTCTTTGTTTCAAAACATAAGCTCAATTAAATTAATATTCAATGTATTTTAATGTTGAACAATTGAGATCAGCCCAATATTAAGAAATTGACAGCAGTTACTCAGCAAGGAACAACAATAAACGAACAACAATAGACGAACAATAAACGAACAACAGTAAACGAACAACAATAAACGAACAACAATAAACAGAAAAACTATAGATACTGCTATCAAATTTAAGATCAGCAATTGTTTAGGAATAATCATCTGTAACCGAAATAATTTACCCATCATACTAATAATACTATTTGCAGAAGTCTCTCGACTCAAATTTTTACTATTTGCAAAAGTCTCTCGACTCAAATTTTTTAATTTTGGGCATTGATCTAACAGTTTTTGTTCAGCCTGAGAAAAAACATTTTTACCAAAGTAAAATTAAGTGGCTTAGCAATATTGAGTTCAAACTGATTTATCTAAATGGTCAAATAGATTGAAAATAGATTGAAAATAGATTGAAAATAGATCTGAAGACGTTTGACAAATGGTTTAAAAAGCTAGTGACATTTGCTTCAGCAGCTAATTATAAAAATTAAAAGCTACATTTTAACTCATGTCACTTTGTCTCATTTGATACGACTTTAGGAGTCAAAAGAAGGAGAAGTCAAAAGAAGGAGAAGCCAAAAAAAGGAAATGTCAAAAACATTCAATGTCTCTTTAAAAAAATTGACATTGAACATGATTTATACTAGATCAGATGATTTTAATTTATTTTACTACAAATCATATCGTACTTTTTACCTATTGATCATTTTTGATTGATTGATTTTTCTTGGTTCTGGATTAAAAATAACAATGCAAAACTAATCAACAAGTAATCAACAACATTTGAAGACAAAATGAAATGAGTTTATAGTTCGCAATACAATAGAATTAAATGCACGTATTATTATTTCTCTGTCGGTACCAATTAACCAAAATAAAAGGTCAAAACTGGTATTGTTACTCCGAATTTTCACACAATAATGCCAATTTTTAGTACGATCTTTTCGTACCGTCGTGATTTTTTTAAAATTATAATTTTAGTTTTGGTCAGCAATTAACGAAAATAATTGCTGAATTGAAGAGAAAAACGCTAAGAATACAAAATAAATTTCTTAAGTACTATATAACTCCTTTTAATACATTAATACATCAGCAGTTTGATATTATATTACACGTTTTGATCCAGCCTCTAATATATATTATTATATTTTGTTTAGATTTTGATCTTCCATTCCCTTCTTATTTATCTATTTATTTATTTATTTATTTTTTATTTTTTTTTTTTTTTCATTTTCCAACAAAATACCACCTAAAAATACAACAGGTACTCCAGAAAACTTTATCAATTTAATTTATAGAATATCAAATTAAAGACTCACAGTTAATATTTTGGGTTAATTATTTATAGAATAATCAAACATCAAGTGAGAAATAGATAATATTGAATTCATTGTTCCTCTAATAAATATATTCAAATCTCCACATTTATTTGGTGCAATTATTATATTACATTATAATCTTATATTAATATAGTTTTCACCAATTTACACGTCCTTTTTATTTTCAAACCAAAAGAGATTATTAAATCAAATTTATATTTTTATCAAAAAACCTTTTTCCTTAATCTTGATTTGGATTCATATCTCTTTATTTATTTATCAAATTACATTATAATATATCAGAATGGTAAATCCACCTCAACCTAGAAATATACCACCTAATTCACCCCGTTCATCTAATCCACCATTGCATACTCCAAGTACAACAGCATCTTCATCTTCACAATGTTCTGCATCGAATAATAATAATAATAATAGTAATAGTAATAATAATAATACTAATAATCACAATGGGTCTGGTCAATCACCTCGTACTACTCAAGCTCAATTACATCATCATCCAACTATTTCACATCATCATTCTTCAATGCTGCATCATCAACATCCATCAAGAAAACCTTCAATTGTTGAATTATTAAGTTCTCCTCCTCCTTTACCTGTCGATCAAGATGATTCCATAAATCATTTAAGTTTATCAAGAAATCCATCTGTCAATTCAAGATCATCATCATTATATCAAAGTCCACAAACTTTAAATCATTCAAATTCAATTATTGGTTTAGATTGGAGTGAAATTCCATTGAGTGAATTGACTGAATCAAATAAATTAATAAGTATTCATTCATCATTATCTGTTCAAGAAGCATTTGAAACTTTGGTATCCAATAATTTAACTAGTGTACCAGTTTCTATATCTGAAAATCATTCTGATTTAACAAATTGTTTAACTTTTGATTATTCAGATTTGAATACTTATTTGTTATTAATTATGAATAAAATCGATTATTCAGAGTTGAATGTTGATGAAATTGGAGATGAGAAAATGACTTTTCAAGAGAAACATGATTTGGTTATATCAAATATTAATAAAGCTAAAAAAGGTGAAGAAGTTCCAGTTGAATTTATAATTAAATTACATCCAAAAAATCCATTTATTAAATTTGTAGATAATGATACTTTATTTTCAGTCATGGAAACTTTAGGTAATGGAGTTCATAGAATTGCAATTACAGATTCAACAACTAATAAAATAATAGGTATATTATCACAAAGAAGATTAATTAAGTATATGTGGGAAAATGCTAGAAGATTTCCAGCTCTTGATTTTTATTTACAATCAACATTACAAGATTTAAAAATTGGTTCCAGTAATCCAATTACAATTTACGAAGATCAATTATTGATTGAGGCTTTACATAAAATGTTTAATGAACGAGTTTCATCACTTGCAGTTATAGATAAATCTCGTACACTAATTGGAAATATTTCAATTGTTGATGTTAAAAATGTCACAAGTTCAAAGAATTCATATTTATTAAATAAATCAGTTTTGAATTTTATTTCATATAATTTATCACAAAAGGGTATTGAAGAAGGACAAGATCAATTTCCTATATTCCACGTTGATCAACAAAATAGTCTAGGTAGAGTTATTGCAAAATTAGTGGCTACACAATCTCATAGACTATGGATAGTAGATTCTAGAAAATCAAGCAATTCAACCTCAAATCCAATTAAAGTAGGATATTCAAAACCAATTGATTCAAATATTACTAATAAAGCAGCTACAGTTGAAGATACACTTACAGAAACACAACCAATTGTACCCCCAATTGATTCACAAAATATAGCATCAAATGCAACCAAAACTGAAGGAGGTTATGGATTTGGAAGAAATAACATTGGTAAATTGATCGGTGTAGTTACATTAACGGATATTTTAGGATTATTTGCTAATTCAAAAGGGAGAAGAACTGATCCAGGAATGGCTAGAAGTCAAAGAAGAAGAAGTTCAACAAGTACTACAAAATCATCAATTGATTCATCAAGTATAAATACAACTGGTGAACCAATTTCAAATGTAAATACAAACGGATCAAATAAAGAAACAATAACTGCAAGTACTAGTCAAGGTGGTAATGGTAATAGAATTAATGCTACTACCGAAGCTTCAAGTGAGATTTTTAAAAAGGTTTACACTAAACCTAAAGAAAATGTTTTTTCGAAATAGTTAATTGTTGATAACTGTTCATTTGTTTGTATATAAAGTTAGTATATAATATTTGAACTTGAATCGTATGTTTCATATCAACTCAATCGAAGATTAGTTAATTTTGATGCCATTGCATTATCAGTTAAGATTAGCAGTAAAGGTGATCATCAAATTACTATATTCCATTTATCAAAATTCCATCTCTCGTCAATTTGTAGTTGGTTATTTAATTGCTGCAAAATTAAAATCGTAATCTTTTACACGACTTCATGTTTCAAAGCTGACACTTTGTCAAGTTTTAATATATGTTACATCTTTAACAAGTATTCAGACAATAAAATTTTTCTATATTTGGTGGATCAAATTCTACTTTACTGAAAAGTTTCAGCATGCTGATCTATTAGATTTTGATGTGTAAATAAAATTGAATCAAGTAAACTATTTATTTCTAATCAATTCTTCTTTGAAACGTGGTTAATGCAAGTGAAAAATAGCTCAAGATTGTTTCCATAGTAATAATCTACGATGTACTGTTAACCTGTTAATACTGCTCATGGTTGTAATAATTTTGTACGTATTTTTCGAATTTCTTCCAGTAATTTCTTTTGTAATGAAACACAAAATGTTAAAAGAGTGCAAAAAATTGATTGTTTAATGAATTTTGTGTGAGATGAGATAGATATCTAGAGGAGAAATTTCAGACAATTGTTAAAAGCAGACCCATTTAGCCACTCAATTGTAAAAAGAATGAGCTGAACATTTCAACAAACTACGATTCTACACGTAATGAAAGATCAATTCATAAACAATCTTTAACAATTTCCGTATCAATTTCCGTATCTATCGAAATCTTTAAATTAACATTAGGGGTGTGCCAAATGGCTGTAAAATGATTACCACTACTACTATAATAATTTACTAGGACAGCGCAATTAAATATTTATTTATATTTTTTTTTTTTTTTTTTCCATCTGGTGAAAAATTTTAACAATTTTTTTTTTTTTTTTTTTGATATTTAATCATTGTAAAATCCCCCCTTTAAAAATTTTCCTCTTCTCTTCTTCTGCTTCTTTTTGAAATTATACATAGTTTTATATTTTAATAATGGGTAAAGAAAAAACTCACGTTAACGTCGTTGTTATTGGTCACGTCGATTCAGGTAAATCAACCACCACTGGTCATTTAATCTATAAATGTGGTGGTATCGATAAAAGAACCATTGAAAAATTCGAAAAAGAAGCTGCTGAGTTAGGTAAAGGTTCATTCAAATATGCTTGGGTTTTAGATAAATTAAAGGCTGAAAGAGAAAGAGGTATTACCATTGATATTGCTTTATGGAAATTCGAAACTCCAAAATACCACGTTACTGTTATTGATGCTCCAGGTCACAGAGATTTCATTAAAAATATGATTACTGGTACTTCACAAGCTGATTGTGCTATTTTAATTATTGCTGGTGGTACTGGTGAATTCGAAGCTGGTATTTCAAAAGATGGTCAAACCAGAGAACATGCTTTATTAGCTTATACCTTAGGTGTTAAACAATTAATTGTTGCTGTCAACAAAATGGACTCAGTTAAATGGGATAAAAACAGATTTGAAGAAATTATCAAAGAAACCTCAAACTTCGTTAAAAAAGTTGGTTACAATCCAAAATCTGTTCCGTTCGTTCCAATCTCAGGTTGGAATGGTGATAACATGATTGAACCTTCAACCAACTGTCCATGGTACAAAGGTTGGGAAAAAGAAACCAAAGCTGGTAAATCAACTGGTAAAACTTTATTAGAAGCTATTGATGCTATTGAACCACCAAGCAGACCAACTGATAAACCATTAAGATTACCATTACAAGATGTTTATAAAATTGGTGGTATTGGTACTGTTCCAGTCGGTAGAGTTGAAACCGGTATCATTAAAGCTGGTATGGTTGTCACTTTTGCTCCAGCTGGTGTTACTACTGAAGTTAAATCAGTTGAAATGCATCACGAACAATTAGCTGAAGGTGTCCCAGGTGACAATGTTGGTTTCAATGTTAAAAACGTTTCAGTTAAAGAAATTAGAAGAGGTAACGTTTGTGGTGACTCTAAAAATGATCCACCAAAAGGTGCTGAATCTTTTAATGCTCAAGTTATTGTCTTAAACCATCCAGGTCAAATTTCAGCTGGTTACTCTCCAGTCTTAGATTGTCATACTGCTCATATTGCTTGTAAATTTGACACTTTAATTGAAAAAATTGATAGAAGAACTGGTAAAAAATTAGAAGAAAATCCAAAATTCATTAAATCAGGTGATGCTGCTATTGTTAAAATGGTTCCAACCAAACCAATGTGTGTTGAAGCTTTCACTGATTACCCACCATTAGGTAGATTTGCTGTTAGAGATATGAGACAAACTGTTGCAGTTGGTGTTATCAAATCAGTTGAAAAATCAGATAAAGCTGGTAAAGTTACCAAAGCTGCTCAAAAAGCTGCTAAAAAATAAGCTTGATGGCTCATAGGTTGTACTTATAAATAGTAATGAATAAATTTTTTATCTAATATCAAATAATTTTCTATAATACATGATTAATACATTAGTCTATTTAAATATCATATATTGATACAGCTTGAAATCCTTTACCACTCACTATACCCATATAATCACCTTGATTTTGTCTCCAACATACATTATTTATTTCTAAATCTTCTTCATATGCAAGCACTGGAGTATCAATGACAAATCCAGATTGATTTTTATCATTACCTTTACTTAGATTAGTTAAATCCCATACTAAACTTTGACAATCATCACCCCCAGAAACTAAATAATTTGAGGTTGGATGATACTTAATCAGATTTATAGCTGCATTATTCATTCCATTCAATGACCCATCAATTATTGCAACTGGTAAGCCAGGCATTCTCATGTCTATGATTATGATTTGATTTGAATTTATTCCAACAGTGGCTAAATGATGTTGATCGATATTTGAAGTACTTAAAGTTAATAATGCTTTTGAATTGAACGTAGTGCTCAAGTTCTGATTAGATGAAGTGGTTGATGTTGGTGGCGTTGGTTCATATATAATAGTTGAATGTTCCAACGATCTCAAATCAAATACTCTCATTGAACCATCATTTCCAACAGAAGCAAATATATTTGTTGATTTATGTAAAAATTTGACATCAAAAACTTCTGAGTCATGTGCTATTAATTGTGTTTTAACCGTTGCAGTATCTGTCATTTCATCTCTTGGATGTGATCGATGTAAATCCCATACTGTGCAAGTTGTATCTACACTTGAAGTTATTAAAATATTTGAATCTAATTTATTCCAATCAAATGATGTGACTGGAGGATACGTATTTATATCTTCACTTAATAAATTCGAACTTGAATTTGTTGTTGAAGTTGTGGAATTTGATGCTGTGTTATTTGCTAATATATGTGTTTGTTGTAAATTATAATTATCATTACCTTGGTCATTTATTTTATACAATCTTAACACCTCACTTGAAGCAGCCAATCTTTCTCCATGTCCATAATTTATCATAGATGGGTCCCATTGTAAATTGGTTATTGGATAATCTAAATTTGTTTCACAGACTTTTTGAAAGAAAAATCCATTTGCATTATCATCTTCATCATACGGCTGTATAGTATTATCTGACCCTACGCTACCACCGCTCACTTGTACATCAATCATATTATTAAATTGATCCAATTTCTCATTTTCATAATTTATACCGTGGACGATTTCCAATTTATTCGTAAATGCTTCTTTATACGAACCCAAGGCAATATAATCCATTTGCTGATTTTGTAAATATACCCAATCAGATGCAAATAATGGATTTAAACTATAATAATATGAAGTTCTTTCAATCGGTATTTGAAAATTACCTGAATTAGATGGTGTCATTGATGGTGAAGTTTGGGACAGATTTGAAATAATTGGACTTAAACTTTTAGGAAATTGTGGTTTTTGTTGATTATTATAAGGTGAATTTATTGGTAGATTTGATTGATGTAAAGGTAGGCCATTATTAACATTTATTGTATTTGAACTTGATGATGATGAACTTCCAGCTGCCGACATTATAGGATAATTAAAAGGTCCATAATTTGGTACCGTTGAATTTTTCTTTGATCTTAGATTACTTTGACTACTATTTCTACTGATATTATTTGAATTATTATTATACCAATCCATTAATCTACAACCTTATCTTTGTGATCAGTTTTAATTCTCCTCAAAATAAAAAAATAAAAATTTTAGAATTCAGTTTATTATGCACTATAAACATTCCATACACATCAATTTTACCGAATAATTATATATATATATATTAATAAATCTATAAACGAATTGAAAAGGTTTATTCTTCAGCTAATTCTTCAACTGATGGACATGTACATATTAAATTTAAATCACCATAAGTATCATCTAATCTTGATACTGTTGGCCATTGTTTGTTAAGTTTTAAAAAAGGTAATGGATACGCGGCTTGTTCTCTTGTATAACCTCTTAATTCCCAATCATCTGATGATATTACGTCGTCAATTGAATGTGGTGCATTTTTCAATACTTGACCTAATGGTTTTTTATTATTATAAGCATCAATTTCTTTTCTAATTGAAATTAAACTTTCAACAAATCTATCCAACTCTTCCAAATTTTCTGATTCTGTAGGTTCAATCATTAAAGTACCGGCAACTGGAAATGACATTGTTGGTGCATGGAAACCATAATCTTGTAATCTTTTAGCAATGTCAATCGCTTCAATACCAAAAGCTTTAAATTCTCTTAAATCTAGAATAAACTCATGAGCACAATGTTTCAAACCTTCACTAGTTGAAGCATTATGATTTATAAACAATATTTTATAATATGGTTGTAATTTTTCAAGCATATAATTTGCATTCAACATGGCAATTGTTGAAACGTATGGTAACGAATCAGATCCCAACATTTTGATATATGAGTATGAAACAGGTATAACTGAAGCACTACCAAATGGGGCTGAATTGACAGATTTAATTGATTCTGATGTTGAATGTGGAGTATTTACAAAGTGATGTTTTGGTAAAAATGGTTTTAAATGTTCTTTAACACAAACTGGAGCTTGACCTGGACCACCACCACCATGAGATAAAGCAAAAGTTTTATGAATATTCAAATGACAAACATCAGCACCTAAATCTCCTGGTGAAGTTAAACCGACTTGAGCATTCATATTTGCACCATCTAAATAAACTAAACCACCATTTTCATGAACAATATCAATGGCTTGTTTAACTCCAGGTTCAAATAAACCATATGTTGAAGGATAAGTAATCATAATTGAACATAAAGTATCTTTATATTTTTCAGCTTTTTCTTTTAAATCATTTAAATCGATTGAACCATTATCCAAACATTTAATAGGAACAACTTTTAAGCCACACATAGCAGCTGATGCAGGATTTGTACCATGAGCACTGACTGGAATTAAACAAATATTTCTTTGTTCGTATTCACCTTTTGATTTATGATATTGTCTAATCAATGATAAACCTGTGTATTCACCTTGGGCCCCAGAATTTGGCATTGAAGTAGTTGCATCAAACCCAGTAATATCATTCAAATCTTTTTCAAATTCATCAATCAACTCTTTGTAGCCTTCAGCTTGATTTAATGGGGCAAATGGATGAATAGAATTAAAACCTGGCATTGATAAAGTTTGCATCTCAACAGTTGAATTTAATTTCATAGTACAAGAACCCAATGGAATCATTGAATTAGCTAATGATAAATCTTTTGATTGTAATAAATTAAGATATCTTAACATTGAAGTTTCTGAATGATGAGTATTAAATACTGGATGAGTTAAAATTTCATCGTTTCTTAATAAATCAGTTGGAATTTCAGGTAAATCATTTGATGGTTCAATTTTGACACCGGTAAATAACTCAATTAAGTCTATTAAATCTTGTTTTTGAACTGTTTCATCTAAATTTAATGAAACTGTTTGGTCATCAACTTTGAATAAATTAATTTTATAATCATTTAAAGCTTTGTTTAAAATTTCATCAGCACTGACACCAGTTAATCTAATAGTTAAAGTATCGAACCATTTGTTGTTAACAATTTCATGTTTTTTAGCAACCTCATTAGCTAATAAAGTAGTAAAACCATATACTCTTTTAGCAATATTTCTCAAACCTTCTGGGCCATGATAAACTGCATAATTTGCAGATATATTAGCTAATAAAGCTTGCGATGTACAAATATTTGAAGTGGCTTTTTCTCTTTTGATATGTTGTTCTCTAGTTTGTAATGCTAATCTTAATGCCGGTTTACCTAATCTATCTTTGGAAACACCAACAATTCTACCAGGAATTTTTCTTGCATATTTCGTTGATGTTGCAAAGAATGCAGCGTGTGGACCACCATATCCAAATGGGACACCAAATCTTTGAGAAGTACCTAAAGCAATATCAGCATCAAATTCAGCAGGCGATTTAATCAAAGTTAAGGCTAACAAATCAGTTGCCATTGCAAAAAGTGCTTTATTTTTGTGTAATATTTCTCCAATTTTAGTATAATCATGAATTGAACCATCAGTAGCAGGATATTGAACTAAAGCACCACAAACATTCTTAATATCTTTATTCAAGTCATTGATACCATCTTCAGTAGATAAATCTAATTCTTTGATATTAACATTTATATTATCCGCTCTGGATTTTATAACATCCTTTGTTTGAGGATGTAAATTTGAATCTATTATATATGTTGATTTTTTACCTTTTGAATTATGAAATGACATTGACATTGCTTCACCAGCAGCAGTACCTTCATCCAATAATGAAGCATTAGCCATAGATAAACCTGTTAATGAAGAAACCATAGTTTGATAGTTTAATAAACTTTCTAATCTACCTTGTGAAATTTCTGGTTGATATGGAGTATATGAAGTATACCATTGTGGATTTTCTAACAAATTTCTTTGAATAACTGGTGGTAAATAAGTACCTGAGTAACCTTTGCCTATAAAAGATTTAACAACTTTATTTTTATCAGCTAATTTATGTAAATGATCCAACATTTCCTGTTCCGTATAACCTTGTTGTGGTTGAATTTTAAGTTTTCTTTTAAATAAGATATGTTCAGGAACAGCATTTGATAAAAATTCATCTAAATTAGAATAACCTAAAGTTTTTAACATATGATCAACATTTGAAGGCGTGGGGCCAATATGTCTTCTTGTAAAAGTATCTAAATTTGATAATGAAACTTTCTTTGAATTTGGATCGAAAACATTTATATAATTTTCTGATGAAGTATCAGCTTTACTAGCTAATAATCTATATGATAATTTTGATGATTTAAATGATCTTAACAATATAGATCTCAGTCTAATCATCCTTCTATAAAAATGAAATATATGTATACGTTAAAATGAAAGATAATTAATTGACAAATAATTGAAAAATATAAATATATATATATATATAAAACTTACATAATAATAAATAAATTTAACTCTGATACAGAGATGTCACTTTAATTGAAGCCATATGATATTTGGTTGTAACTTATTATCTATGTATCAAGAATTAAATTTTTTTTTCTTTATTATTTGATACGAGGCAATTTCCACCAGAGTCAATCTGTCAGAGTCAAATTAATTTTTCATTTATACGAATGCGTAATAACAGTTCTTCATATCGATTTTCAATAGATAGATCTGTAAATCTCTAGAGCGAAAGTTTATTTTCGAGATTCAATTGGTTTAGTCTCTAATTTAATTTGTTGTACAGATTTCGTTGTTTTAACCATACTTTGAATATCCCTTCGGGTTAAAGATATGAAATTTTTTGGTCCCAGAAGTCAAAAGCTAATTTTTGTGTAACATCGTTTATTATTATTTATTTAATTTTTTTATCTTCTATCGAAGTATATGTTAAATCGTTATAATTCGGAAAATGTGTTATATACCAATAATGTAATTGAGACCAAGCATAAGCTGTTGAATTAACTTTTTCATCTGAATACCAAGAAACACAACCACCAAATGGAGTACCAAAAACAGACTTTCTCAATTCTGCTTGTATAGTTTTAAACCAATGATCATAAACTTGTGGTTTAACTTCAACTGATTTCTTTTTACCTTCAAGTATTGGTTTTGCAACTTTCAAATAATAATCTATACCATTTTCAATTGCCATAACAACAGATGAATGACCAGTTGCAGAATTTGGACCAGCAATCATGAAGAAATTTGGTGCATTTTTAACCAATAATGTTCTATAAGCACTTGGACCATCTTTTTCCCAAATATCTTTACCAATATTTACACCATCTTTACCGATTATAGGTAAGTTGTAATATGATTTTGGAATGTTATAACCAGTACAAGCAACAATTATATCTACTTTAACATGTGTACCATCATTTAGCATAACTCCATCTTCAACAACTTCTTTGATACCGTGATTTGTCAATGTTATTCTTGGATCATTTAATGCAGGCACATATTTATAATCAAAAATTAATCTCTTACAACCAATTTTATAATCTGGTACAATTAAATCATGAACTTCTTTTGGTGAATTTGATTTCATATAGTGAACTGATACACTTGTATTTATCCAGCGAACAAATCTTGATAATAAACCATTGCCTTTATATAATGGAACTCTCATTTCCGCAACAATAATGATTAACCATCTAACTAACATCAAACCAATGGTTGAAAATGATAATAAACGATATAAAACTAATAAAACTTTTGGAACCGGCGGCATAATATAATGTTTTGATCTAAAAACCTGAGTTAAACTATTAACTTCATATTTTGGATCGTTTAATAATGCTGGTACAATTTGATTTGCAGAACAGCCATTACCAACAACCAAAACATTTTTATTTTTAAAATTAACTGAATGATCCCATAATGCTGAATGCATATAATTACCTTTAAAATTTTCTAGACCTTCAGCTTGTAATTGAGCAGGATAAACTAAACCACCTTGACATGAACAAATTATATCAGTTAAATGTTCAATTCTTTGACCAGATTCTATTTCATGAGCATATATTCTCCATTTACCTAATTTTTCATCCCAAACACATTTATCAACACTTGTTTTAAATTTAGCTTTTTCTTTTAATTTATATTTATCAGTAATTTTTAAAAGATATTCTTCCATTTCGTATTGTGGTGGTTGAACTTTACTCCAATTTGAATTTAAAGCAAATGAATAAGAATACCAAATTGCAGGGATATCAGAAGCACAACCTGGATACGTATTAGCATACCAAGTACCACCAAAATTATCATGTCTTTCAAATATGACAACATCATCAACTTTTAATTTTTCAATGGTATTTATTGCTGTACCAATACCTCCAAATCCAGCACCAATAATTGAAACCTTGGAAGAAGTATGAATAGGTGGTAACTTTTCATCTATGGTTAATTTCAATTTTTCACTAGCATCTGCTGCCAAAACTCTTTGAGAGTCATTAAATTTAATTCTAAATTTGTCAGGATTTGTATGCGATTCTTTAGTTAAAGTAACCGACATTGTGAATAACTTGTTTTAATTATAAAGATTTTGAAGAATGATTTGGAGATTTATATATAAATTGTTCTAAGTTTTTTATTCTTTCACATGTCCGGTGTTTAAATCTACTGATTTATTTTTTTCCATTCGCCTTACCCCAACATGTGTATAATATTGTGCCTCCATCCTAGTTAAATTTTTAGTGCCGCTTCCCGCCAATCTTGTTTAGATGCTACCAATTCTGAATGATGGAAAAATTTGGCCATTTCCAAATTGGGAATGTCGCAAAATTTTTATATATCATCAGATCTCAAATATTATAAACAAAGTAAGTCCGAAACATGCAGCATCAATAAAAAAAAAGTGAATCAAAGTATTAGGTTTTGATAGTGATTACAATTAAGTCATTCAAACAATCAACCTATTGTTCTTGACGGTAATTTTGATAACGGGTAGAATAATTATGCGTTGAAGTAGTAGTTTTTTTGATTCACATTCATAATAACTTTGATTAATCTCGGTTAATTGATTGACCGATAAACGTTCGAAGTATAATGTAACGTATAATGTAACGCCAAACGTAATAAAGTTCAGGTTCAAACGAAGCAGAAGCAGATAGAAACATCAGCGTAGGTTAATGACTGCGATGATATCCCGTTTACAGTAAAATAGCTATGATCATTACCTCTTAAACGCTACCGTTTACTCTAATTAAATAAAATCTAGTAAGTTTGACCAAACCCAGTTTGAAATTCTACAAGTTTGGCTTCCATATATAGAAATAATGCAAACAACTTTCCTTATAACTTTATTTTTAGACATTAACAACATGTTTTGCATATACTGATCCGATCAATTTCTTTATTAGCTAAACATTCAAAGTCTAAACAATTCGACCAGTTCAGTACTTTTTGACCTTTTCAGAAAGTTACATCCTCGTAAGGCCCTCAGAAATCTATTAAAGGCTGTTCAATACAATACTCATGTTTGTAATGTTTGAACCCAATGTTTGTTCAAAAAAATGCAAAGTTCACTAAAGAAATAGACCAAATTGTTTCTTCATACAGAAAAGTTATGATGAAACTCTAAAGCTATATTGAAGTTATTCTTGAGTTGCAAAAGACGATCCTGATAAGAGTTAGCTTGCATATTATGTATCGCTCAGAAAGACGCAATATAATTAAATGCGCTAATTTTCGTAAAAGTCGTTGGTACCACTCCATGGGAGTTAAAACCAAACTAACGAATTCCAATTAATCAATTATGAAGAGATTTACTACTATGTATATACTTGCAAATATGTAAAATAAGCTTTTGATAATTTGTTTCAAAAAAGCTAACTCATTGATAATTGTACATTGATAATACATAATTATTAACCAAATTTAATTCCAGCATCAGGATTCCATACACCACCGATTGGTTTACTACTTTTGGGAGATACTATTTTCCCTGCTTCATTAGATTGGGATGGTGTTGGTGGTGTATTTAATGATATTTCCAAATCTCTACTTTCTAATCTTCTTTTATATAAATAATCTTCACAATCTTTTAATACATTATTACCTTTAGTTAAAAAGTCATGATAAAATTTGGAGCCTTCATTTAAATTTGAAATTATTTCTAAATATTGATTATATGCGATTTCTAAAGTTTGTAAAGAATTTTCTCGTTCAATAGTAGTTGAATCTTTTGTAGCTTGATACGATTTTATGAATTCATTATTTGCAAGGTTGATATTATTTTCTAACTCAATTTGTGTTTCTTTTGATTTATTTAAATAGTCAATATCAATGTTGAATGATTTTAAATGATTAACATAAATTTCTTCAAATATGGAGATATTATTGGCATCCAAATCATTAATTTCCTTTGGATTGGCTTTATATTTTTCAATTAATTTCGGTAGTATATTATTATCTCTACTTTTTATCTCTAATGAATTCAAAAATGTTTTACGTTCTTCTTCAAGTGTAGTTATTTGTGACAATAAGTCTCTGAGATAATTTATCTTTTTTAATACTTCTGGATCTAAACTTGAATATGTAGAATTTGGAATGTATGAGTTTAAAGATTTTTGTCCACCTACATATACTTCCAATGCAGATTTAATATTATAAAATTTTTGATTTATTATTGAATCTCCCAGTTTAGCTTGATCTAAATATTCATACATTTTTTCAATTTTAAAAATTAATTCTTTTGCAGCTTCTGCTGTACTTGGTCTATTCCATCTTGCAGTACCTTGTCTTTTCCTTAACATATCATCCTCGTTAGAGTCTAATTGAATTCGTTTATTACACTCTTCAACTAAATTATTACATTCAATTGATAAATTTTGATTTTCCAATATGATCTTTTCAATCAATTCAATTCCACCTAGATTCAAAATCTCTTTTGAATGATTTATGATTGATTCTGGTATATTTTCAGGTTGTTGTATTGAATCTATAGATGCGGGTAATCCTCTTTCAGTTACAAATTGATTCAACATATTATTTAAACTAATTATAGGTTCATGAAATCTAGAATTTATAAAATCATCCTGTCTTTCTCTCATTGCTTGTGCAACATTGACAATAACATAAGGTATCAATTCTTTAAAATACTCTTTGGATGGTTCATTATTGAATTTATCTGAATATATAGGTTTAACCATTGATGCACCTTCTATCTTTTTTAAATCTACTTCATTAGGCACAATTTTCAAATATATTAAATCATTATCTTTCTCTGCTGTCCTTAATTTTGTTTTGACTACTTCACTTAATCCATTCAAATCTTCAATTACAAATTGACTTACATATTTTTTATGTTTAAAAGCTAGATCAACAAATTTGGAAGCTAATCTTAAATGTGCAACCTGTACACCATATTCAGCTGAATCTAAAGCAACATTACTTAATCTAAAATGAGAAGCAGCTAAGAAATGAAATTTTTTGACATCCATATGATTCAACCATTCCAATTTAATAAAATCAGATAATTTTCCAAACTCAACAGTTTTTGAATAATATTCAGAAACGGATAAAGATAGTCTAGCAATTACAGAATCCTTTATTGTCGTGTTATTTAAAGCCTTTTGCCATATCGTTTCTTGAGCTTGAGCAAGCATCAAATTCATTAAAGATAAAACAGTTTCATTTCTGAAATCAGATGAAAAATGGATAGTATTATATTTGTCAACTAAATTTGAAATGTATTGAAAACAACCAGAGGATAATTGAAATAAATTGCAACTTTTCTTAAGACCCTCATCGGTATGTCTCAGTTCTTTCAATGCTAATTGTGAATAAATGGCACCTAATTGAAATATATTATTTAATTTCTCAAACTTGAATGATCGTAATTTATGCGTTGATAATTGATGAGTTAATAAATCTGACCAGCCAAATTCTATTGCATCATCGGGGAACTTTTTTTCAAGAAAATCTGATAAAATAGTTAAATAATTATATAACAAATCAATTTCTTTGTTTGATATTTCAATATTTTTGAGTTTTGCTATTTCATTTCTTATGTTTGTCAAATCAATTAAATCTTTTGAAAATAAATTTGAAGGTTGAAAGTACTTATCATCTATTACTTGACCTAGTTTCTCTCCTAAATTTATCGGGCTAGCTTGTTTTAATGGTATGTATAGTAAATTATTTTCAATCATTGTGATTGCAAATATAAGCGAACGGTGGTGATAAAAATTGAAAATTAATGCGCGATAATAAAAACTCATTACATCGTTAAAATAAATTATCTATAAAATACCTATTTATCATTATACCCATTAATATTTAATTTTAATTCCCTAGCTTTGTTTTGAATAGAATCAACTTTCTCATAAAATTCTTTTAAATGATTGCTCATTTTTTCAACTTGATTATTGATGTAGTTTTCTTCGTTATCTTGTCTCAATTTAACAAATTCGTATTCTTGATTAATTGAAGCCAATTCTTGTTGCAAAGCATTTATCTCACCAATTTTAGTCTCTCTTTGATTATAATAATCTTGGAAATCCAATAAATTTAATTTCTCTTCTGTTAATTTATGAAAATCGTGAAGTTTATTTATGATAATTTCAGCAACATCAAATGATTTAGGTAGTTGTAGTTCATATTTAAAGTCTGTTAGTTTATCCAGTTTATTATTGGTTTTTACTTCATCTTCTATTAAACTTATTACTTTATCTCGAAGAATTGAATCTAATTCAGGTACTATTAGTGCATTATATGTTGAATCCTTGTATCTTCTATAATCTGATTTTACCAATTTAACAAACTCTTCTTTAATGATATTGCTTATTTCTACCTTATCTAAAGCTACTACATTTGGGATTGGTAAATTTTTTTGAGCAGCTTGAGTTTTTAAACTTTCTTCATTGACCTTCAGTAAAATAGCCAATTTCTCATTCATCTCGTGATCATTTGATTCATTCACACTCAAGTCAATGGATATACCATCTTTATCAAATGTACGCATGATTTTTCCAGAATGATGTATTGGTGTTGGTAATTTTGCAATGGATTCTTTAAGTAATTGAATTATTGCTGATTTGTTAACTGGTTTGGTTGCTGCTTCTTTCTCAGTTGTGATCAATTGTACATTTGTATTCGTATCTTTTAACAAAGGAGTACTTTTTGCTTCTATTTGTTTCAATTCTTTTGCTGTATCTTTAATTTTTTGATCAATATCTATATCCATAATTGCTTCAGTTGGTTCAGATAAATTTAACTTTCTCCTTTTTGAAATCTCTTCATTATCTTCCTGTACTGTTCTTTTGATTGTTCTTTTCTCTTTCTTCTTCTTCTTTTCCTTTGCTATTTTATCATCAACTTCTTTTAAACTTATACCTTTTCTTGCAACAGTTGTATCAAATTGATTCTGAAAATTCACATTTTCCAATAATTCTTCATTAACATCATATGGACCTGCAGCTGCAGTCACTTGATGAGGGATTTCATTTACATAATCAGGTTCTTTTAACTTCTTTTTATTTTTTGATTTTAAAGAGATATTTATACCAGCAGCTTTTAATTCTCTTCTTTTATGTAATATTGCAATTCTTTTACTTTCTTCCAACATTCTTTCTCTTGCTTTTCTTTTTGCTTTTTTACCTTGAGTATTAGCCAACCTTGCTTTAGCTTCAGCTAACATTTCTCTTTCATCATCTTCTAAATCGTCATCATCTGGTCTTGCAGGTTTACTTTCGGGATTTAAATTTATATCACCATCAACAACAACACCACCAAAATTTTGAGTAGCACCAGTAGCAGGTAATGATTCAATACCAGGACCAGTTAAACCGAAATCATCTTCTTGTAAACCAGCAGCTTCATTAATTAATTTTTGATATCTTTCAACACAATGAGTTGCAGTTTTACCAATAACTGAAGCAATAGTTCTCCATTGATTTGGTAATAACTTAACCATATCTAATAATTTTTCGTCTTGTTGTTTTGACCACTCATCTTTATTAATTTGAGGTGATAACCATTCATTCCATCTTGCTTTTGCTTGTAACGCAGATTTTTTAGGTAATAAAGAACTAACTCTAGCCCATTGATTTACCCCATATTTTTGAACTGCAGCTTTTAGTATTTCATCTTCGATATTAGTCCAAACACCACCTCTTACATATAAAGGAGTTGACGACATAAAAACAACGACAAATAACAAAAACTTTAAATTAAATTAAATAGAATTAAATTAAATTAAATTAAATTAAATCACAAGATTTTCAATAATAATAATAATAAATATAATATTTTTTGTCGTGTAGCGCGGCATGAAAGATCTGGCATTAATTAATAAATTCTAATGCGAAGTGGTATAAATTTATACGGCATAAATTTTATAAATTGTCGTACTAAAAAAGGTTAAAACATTTTAAACCAAATAAGGTAAAAGAAAAAAAACACTACCTAATACTAATATTTTGTTCAACATATGCTTTTCAATAAATAAAAATTTAAATCATTATACAGAATAATAATCCATTTGACGAATTAATTAATTAATTTTTATTAACTATTTATTAGGTATTTATAATCTGTCTCCACTTCCAAACGTATTTTTCAATATTAATTGCAAGTTTTATCAAGTCGCTAAATCATTTATATTTGATTTCAATTTCTATATCTATATCATTAGTTAAATATTTTTCATTTCAATTTTGTTATTACTACTATATTTAGTTTTATTTTTTAAATACCCTTAACCCTCCCTCCCCTGACAATTTTTCATCAGAATTGAAACATGAACAAAATATTTCATCATAAACATCAAAAGTTAATTTTACAATGTTATCCTGCTGGTAAAGCTGTTGATAAAAAACCAAATCTGTCAGAATTAAGTTATTTATTATATTATGCTTCTACAAGAAGAGTTAAATTAGAGAAAGTTATTATATTTTTAAAAGAAAAGACAAATCATGATGCGAAATCAAATAAAAGTGGTAATTTACAAGTTACTTTAATTATTGTAAAAGATTTGATTAATAAATGTAGTGAAAATTTAAATGTTTTTGCTCAACAATCTTGTGATATTTTATTTACGATTTTAAATACAAAAGATGTTGCTTTATGTAAAGTAGCTGTTAAAACTTATGGTGCATTATGTGATAAATTAGATGGAGCTTTGTTCTCTGGTGATAAAGATTTTGTTAAAAAATTTACTGAAGTTTCACAATTATTAATATCATTTGGTAAAGAAAAAACAACAGGTCTAAATCAATATGAATGGCAAATGATTAGTTTAATGGCTATAAATGATATTTCAAAATGTTTGGGTCATAATGCAACTGTTTCAAAAAAATTTATTGCATTATCGGTACCAACTTTAATTCAAGTTATATTAAGTAATAATGCTCAATCGAGTATTTTACAAAGATTAAAATCAAATGTTAATATTGAAACAGATAAAAGATTATCAAGAATTCAATCTCACAAATCTCAATTGCAAGCTTCACAACAAATTGAAGATGATTTTAATAATGATTCTCTAACATTAGCTGATGTTACTGAAGAAGCATTCACATCAATGAAATCATTTTTCAATACCAATACTTCTGGTCAAATCTCAGAAGTTACAAGAACTGTTGTTCAACATAATATAACAAATAATGTTGATATGGATTGGGGTGTTTCATTTTTAGAATTATGTATTACTTGGATACCTGTTCAATTAAGATTTGTTGGTTTATCAACTTTATTAGTTACTTTGAGTCGAATTAATATCGAAGGTTCAAGTAAATCAAATTTCAATATTCAATATCAATATTCTTGTTATTTATTAGGCTTATTATCATCAAAAGTTAATATGATTGGTTTATCAGTTTCTGATATAATTCAACAATTATTAAATTTACAATGTGACTTAATTTTAAAACCAAGTGATTTAGAAAAATCAAATGTCTTAACTTTGACCAATATTTATTCAGATTGTATTTGTAATTTAACAACTCATATCTATTATTACGATCAAGTTCCCGATTCAATACAAGAAATTTTAGTTAAAGTTGATTTTGTTTTAGATTCTTCATTTGTTGATGATAATACAAATTCAACAGGTGAAAACATTCATGATTTGATTATACAATTATTAGATAACATATCAAAGATATTTATGATTTTAAAAAAACAAACTTCATCAATAAATAGAAATCATGTTAATTTAGAACATTGGGATATAAGTTTGGGATTATTGGCACCAGAAAGTGAATTTGAAGATGATAGAAAGACTGTATTGACTACATTACAAATTAATGATATTCAAGCAAAATATTTAAAAGTTTTTGATGAATTTTTAAACAATGAATTAGCTGTTGTTTCAACTAAATTTGATTATATTAAAAATTCATCCAGATTAGATCCTGGCCTTGAATCTAATAACAACAATGATTCTGAAGGTGGTAAAAATTTAATGGAACCAGATGTGAATCAATATATTACTCATCAACAAAATTTCATATCACATTTTCTTATGTATGTTGATAAATTTTTTGAAAATTATAATTCACCAAATACTGAATTAGTTTTACTTTTAGTCACTGTATTAAAACATATGCTGAATATTTTAGGTATAAACTTTTTAAGTAATTATATACCTTTTTTTCATCATTGGGTTTTGAAAATTAATAAAACAAATGAATTTACACAAGGACAAAAATTTAAGGATACAATTGCGCATATAGTGTTATATCATGTATTGATTGATTTGGATCAACAATATGAAGAAGAATTGGAAGATTATTGTAAAACTGCAAAATTATTCAAACATATACAAAATGCAGTTGAATATAGAAAAAAACATAGATTATGGATACATGGAATTGATGAATTACCAACGGATAAAAATTTTGAACTTTATGATAAACCAAGAATAAAAGCTGATGATATTGAAGATTTCGCCTGTGGAAATAATTTCTTGATTGTTTGGTTACATCCTCAAAAGCCTTTATTAACAGAAATTGAAAAATCTCAAATAAGTACTCATATGAGTACTTTTAATAACGACTCAAGAAATACAAATAATACATTTATGCCTGAACCGTCTATTGATGAAGTTCCTGGGAACTTTGTACCTACATCTGAATGGGTTAATCATACAGGTTTATCATCAGATGTTGTTTCAAGTAATTCTGAGAAAGGTTTATACACTGGTTTAGGTTTAGGCACTGCTGGTGATATTACATCAATTCATCAGGAAATTTTGCAATTTAGTCAACATTTTCAAGAAAGAGGTTTACCACATGCAAATGGATATAGTTCAGCAAATACTACCATGATGAATAATAATTATGACTTTACAAATGGTTCAATTTATACCTATGATTCTAAACATGTAAATTCACCAACAATTTCAGATTTAAAGGATGCGATGTCAGCTTATAAAATGATACCGCGTCCAAGTCAGAATGAAAGTATTGTATCAAATGGATCAGTACTTAACAAGAACTTGGCAACAACTGATGTTAATGCAATATTAGATGGATTAGAAAGTGATGACGATGCTGCTTTTGTTGTATAGTATAAAAATAGTGATTTTAAGAGGTTTTTAGATAAAAAAAAACTCAAACGTTTATTAATACAAGTTTATTATTTATTGTTTATTCGTCATTATCTTCGTCATCGTCATCGTCTTCATCTTCATCATCGTCACTACCGCCCAATGCAGCAAATGCATTAAATGCTTTTGTTTGTTTATCACTAACAATTTCTCTTGGATCAACAGCTTTTGAAGATCCTAAATTTTTATTATTTGGTCTGGCTCTAACTCCACCGGCATTATTCTTGGTGTTGCTTGATTCTTCTTCATTATTTCCTTTTGTAGTGGTTGGTTGAATGGTTGTCGCCCAACCATCTTCATCAACTTGAACAATTTCATTTTTTTTTCTTAAATTTGGTTTATTTCCACCACTTCTTGAGCCTCTTCTTCTATTCATATGATGGTATGATCTCTCATTACCATGCTCATCAATGTATGTATCTCCATTATGCTTCTTTTTCAATTGTTGTTGTTGTTGTTGTTGTTGATATTCTTGATATTGAGCTAATGTTTGTTGTTGAACTTCTTCAATCATTTTATTGAAAGCTTCTAATATAGTAGGTTGCGGAACATGTGCTTCTGTTTTTAATTCAAATAATTGTTCTTCTGTATATTTAGCCATGTTGTTAATTTGATTAATTGTCTTTTGATATTTAATTTATAACTATATATGGGTATTAAAAATTTTTTTTTTTCAAATTTAATTTGTCCGGGGCACGTCAAAGTTTTGCAACCATTTTCAAAACATTCTATGCATGGAAACTGACTAACATGAGTCTAAGTAAATTTGATCTTGAGAATAAATGATGGGATCAATTAAGCTTAAAACAACAAAAAATAAATTTTTATGCTGAGGCGCTGCTATAATGATTATGTGAGATTTTATTTGTATCAAATTGATTAAGATTTTTAGAAATTTAGGGTATCCGATAGTTAAATCTGTTTTCAACCCTTTTTAAAATAAGTATAGAAATCCCAAATTAAAGATTTTGTATTAAAATTTGTCTTGCAGGCAACCAGTGAAATGTTATATATATCTATTTTTCTTCTTATTTTGAATTTGAGTTTGATACATCAATAGTTAGGACAGAATAATTTCCCGCGCTAGCTTTAGGGCGACTCGTACCAAACTCAACGACTTATATGTCATGAATAAAATATTCTCTTGAAATAAAGGCCAAATTTATGAGATCAAGTGTCTTGAATGATATATATTACATACTACAGATATTTGATTTCAAAAATTTTTTTTTGGGAGTTGTCATTCTGGCCTTTTTTCATCATACAAAAAATTTGCTAAAAATAAAAATGCAAAGTATATTCTATTTACGGCCATAACTTTCAACTGAACAACGGATTATATACATTTGACCTCGAAATAAAGTGCTGAGCTTAATTTGAGCTGACCAGGACTAAAATTGAGAAATTCCATAATTTTACTCTCAAGTACGTGGAAAATCGAATAAATTGACTTTACGAAAAATTTATCACCACATTCACAATTCATGTTTCAACATGATAGAAGCATGGAAATTTGTAGTTCCCACTTTTGATATACCTCGGATATTTTATTGTTCAGGTATTCAAAATCAGGAAACTGATTTTTCAGACCTGTTTCGAAATTTCGAGTTTGGCGTCTTGAAAACATTATAGCAAGCACCTTTGTGGTTAAATGAGTCGAATCAGATAGCTTAGAAGTTGTTAAATAAGGTCTAAGCGTTTGATTATCTTGCAATTTAACGATTTTTTGCTTTTTTTAAATGAGGAATAAAATCATCAAAATTATGTTTTTCTAAAAGATATTACTGTCAGCTTATGTCATATTAAAGGCATTTTTAATGAAAGTAGTTTAAGCATTATAACTTGAATGTCGAAGGAGTTATTTACAAATGAAGTTTTGAGATTAACTTGTATAAGACTGCATGTAAGTCAATTTGTCTCTGATTTATTTTCAAATGTATGTAATTTTCAAGGCGAAAATATGGTGCGACAAAAATAATTTCTGACTTCCGTTTTGGGGCGACCTCGTAGCAAATTTATTGGCTAATTTGTCAAGTATAACGCATTTACTCAAAATAAGTGCCACTTTATATAATTCGAATCCCTAAACTGCTTATTCGGAAATTGATATTGCAGCGCATGGACTTGTACAAAAGGCTGTAAGTAATTCTTGTTTGTACGTTCCAATATTGTTCATAGATAGCTAACGAGTATTTCGTCGTTTCAGGCATTGATTCATGGTCTATTCTGGTGATTCAAAACTAAATTAAAATGAGTAGTAGCAAATTTGACTTTAGTTACGATCTGAAATTTCAATTATGATTGGAAATACGATCTATTAACTTTCATGATTTAAATTACATCGTAAGAAATGTCAATTATTGATTCATCTTCTCTTAACGATTACACTCATTGAATATTAAACAAGTCGTCGTATTAAATTGCTCAGTCTTTTGCAATTAGATACTATTTTAGAATTGTGGTGATTCTGGTGAAATAGAAAATATCAATCTTATTGCATTTTGTTTCATCAAATCTGTTGAATGAACAAATCATGTCTAAGTCGCTTAAATGTGATCTGAACAACGTAATATTTGGTTTGGGCTTACCAGTTCCAATCTGGAGAGCTTTTTTAGAACCAATTACCGTTCTAAATTATGATTGTCAGCTGCAAATGCAATCGAATTTGGCGTCGTATACTAATTATTTCACCTTAAACTTTGCCACAACTCAAATTTTTAGTTTCTCATTAAACTCTATGGCATTATCACCGACTACCTTATCGAATCTGTTTATAAGTTCAATTTATCTTATATATTGCAATTCTGAAACATTACACAAAATCAATTTTATCTATCTCTTCTCAAAAAAAAAAAAATATTAAGTCAAATCTTTATCAATAATGCCAATAGCACATAATTTAAACAAAGTTACTAAGAATCTTTCAAAATCAACAGGATCAATACATATTAAAGGTCGAAAATTTAAACAATTAAATAGAGCAACATTAAGAGATAAAAAATTACAAGCACAAAAATTAAGATCAATAGAACGTAAATCTAATGAGTATGCAATTGTAAGTTATTTACAAGATATCATAAATGAACAATATCCAGATCGTTCAACATTCAATTTAAAAGAAATTAAAAATTTCATTGAAATATTTATAAATCAAGATAAAGCTGAAATTGAAAAATATGAATCAGAAAGAAAGAAAAATCGTCCAATTTTAAATAAACATAAATTATTAATTGAAAAATTAAAATATGACGAAAAATTATATATTACAGGTTTTAAAGTACCTAATTTAACTGATAAAGATACTGTTATGTATTTAAAAAATTGGAATGGTACTACTGGTGCAACTACAATTATGAAATTTGTTTATGTTTCAAAAGATATGAAAGAATTGCCAGAAGAACAAATAAAAGATATTGAAATGAAATAAAGATATAAACTTATATATTAAGATTTATTTAGACCAGAATAATTTTTGCCACCAGGACAATTGATGGGATTCAGGTTTAGAAATTGGTAGAGTTTCAACTGGTTCAGATTCTTTTGGTGAAACTACTCTAAATGGTAATTGTTCTTCTTCAGTTGGTTTAAATTCAGGATTTGAAGGAGGTGATTGAATTAATTTAGGATCTTCCAATACATAATTTAATCCAATTAAACTTAACATAATTAATCCAGAAGTTGTAATTACTAATTTGATAAATTTCCAAGTTTTAGATTTCTTTTTAAAGTTTGTTTCTTTTATAAACATTAATTGTCGTTTATCATCTTCTAATTTTGATCCAATTAATTTCCAATCTTTTGAATCTAATTTCTTTATTAATTTTTCAATGTTTTTTAAATCTTTATTTCCAACTAATTCTAAATCTTCTAAACCTAAATCACCAACTTTAAAAGAAATTAATTCATTTGAAATTAAATTTGAATCATTATCAATTGTCAAAGATATAAATTTCAGATTTTTCTTATGTTTGTTCAATTGTGATTTATTAAATACATCATGACTGAAATTTAATGCATCAATTTCTCGTTTTTTACCATCTTCTTCAATCTTGAGTTTTTCAAGATATTTTTCTAATTTGGAACTGTTAAATTCAGATGGTCTGATTTGTGATTGTTGTTTTGATGGTTTAGTATAAATTTTTTGGGATGGTTTATATATGATTTTATCCTTTTCAGCTGGAGATTCAAAAGCTGATGATTGTTCAGAGAATAATTTTGCAGTATTTGAATAAGGAGTTTTACTTTCCGATTGAGATTCATTTGGTTTGCAATTATTCCTGAATTTGAATTCTCTTATTTCATCATTTGTAGTTTCAGGTTTATATTCATTTTTAATAATTGGTTTTTCTTCATCTTTATATTCTGCTTCTTTAGATTGTAATTCTGAAATTGATTCAAATTCCTCATGAGATTTATTATTAGGTTTAACTTCTTTTTTGAAATTATTGATATCAAAATTTGATTCAATTGGAATAATTACTTCATTTTCAGACTCAATTTTTTCTTGATTTTTCAAACTATTAGTTAAATCATTATAAAAAACTTCTAAATCTGTTGAATTTAATAAGTTTTCATTTGGTTGAGTGCCATAAACACAAACTAAAAATGATGGATAATAATCAAATGTTGAATTGAATGCTTTTAATTGATTTAAAATTTCCCGTTCATTTTCTCCAATTCTTGATTTATAATCATCTATAAGTTTTTCAAATCCTGATCTTGAAATTTTATGCACATCAGACGAATATAATATTCTAGTATCTCTTAAGAATTTACCAATAATATGGAATTTATACTTGTTAGTTAATAATTCAACATGTTTACTGAAAAATGAACTTGGTTTAAATTTATTAAATTCAAAAACATTGATTAGAATATTATCAAGAATTGATGTCAGGTTGCCATTATAATAAAATAAATTTGTTAAATTTCGATATAATTTAGTACATATTCCACCTTGATCATTTGATAATTGTTCAATTTTGTTTAAAATTTCTCTTGATGGAATTGATGCAAAAGTTTCAATTGATAATTCTTGTTTTAATTGTATTAATTCAGGTGTAAATTCTTCTAAATTGAAATTTTCAGGCAATTGTTTATATTCTTTTGATGATTCAAATTGATTAAATAAAGAAGCACTAATTAAAACATTATCAAGAACAAATGTTTCACCACGATTATGTTTAAATAACATACCTAAATTTCTGAAAAGCTTGTGCCATACATCTCCATGGATTTCAGCTAAATATTTTGACTTCTTTAAAACATCAACTGCTTTAACATCTGAAAATTTATCAACTCCTAATTCTTTCTTCAATTGTTTTAATTCAATTTCAAATTCCTCCAATAAGAAATCATTTGGAATTTGTTTATATTCATCTTTAAACTTCTTTTCTTTTTCAAATTGTTCAAATACTGATTGAGAGTTCAACAACGTATCTAAAACTTCAGTATTACCACCATTAACTTCAAATAAATAGCCTAATCTTCTCTTCAATCTTATCAATTGTGATAATTCAAATTTGGAAGCAGTTTCTTGAACAGCAAACAATCTGTTAATTTCAGAATCTAAAGCCTTGAGAACATTATCTGATGAAACTGATTTAAATTCTTTACCTAAAACATTTTTGATATTGTTTAATTCATTTGTGAAATTGTATATATCTGAATCATTTGGTATTTGAACATAATTGTCAACAATCTTTTCTACTTTCTTGTTTTTCTCAAATTTCTCAAATATATTGTTGTTTAAAACTACAGTATTTAAAATTTCAAAACAATCTATTGAATTACCATTTGCAAATTCAACCATTCTAGTTCTCAATTTAAGTAAATTATCAATATTGACATCATCCGATTCAATCTTTTGAATTAAATTATCCAATGCTTTTAAAACTTCATCTTTATTACTAAAAGAATGGAAATTCTTTTTTAAATAATTAATTTCCGGTATGTAGTTTTCAAATCTAAACCAATTATCAATTTGTCTATACTTCAAATCTGATTCCTCTTTATATGCTCTTAACACAGCTAATAAATCAAATCCGATAGCTTCAGCATCAAGCAATTTTTCCCATAAATCATGTATATCTTTAGCATAGAAACTTGGTTTATCTTGAGCCATAATTGCACAAATTTCAAACACATCACAACTATCATCAACATCATATAATTTCAAATCACTAGCTAATTTTTTAATATTTCTAATTTTAAATTCTTGTTCCTGAAATATATAATCTTCTGTAGCTGGATCTTCAATAATTGAGCAAATATAATTCAAAGAAAGTTTAGTTTCATTTAATATATCAACTAATTTACCATATCTATTTAATTGTACTAAAATTTTATAATAAGTTGGATCTGTAAATTCTTTCCATTCAAATAAATAATTGTGAAATTTTTCTAATAAATTATCTATTTGATCAGTTAATTCTTTGACATTTGCAAAGTTATAAAAATTAAATTCTTGATGTAAACTAGTTAATTCGGGGATATAAGTACCTAAACCTGATTTATCAAATGGTTCAATATTTGTAATTGGTGCTTCTTTTTCTATAATGTCGATTTCAAATTTGGGAAAGTTAAATTTATAATTAAATTTACTTATTTTTGAATTTGTTGGTGTTGGTGGTGGTGACTGTTGTTGTTTATTATTCTTTTTCGGTTTCTTATTTAATAATGTTGCAAATTGTCTTTTATTATAAGAATTATAGATTAATAATTGTCTTGTTTCAGTTGATAAAGATTGAAGTTTTACTTTTAGTAATTGTTGTTTTGAAATCATTAACAATTAATAATAATAATAGTAATAATAATAATAGTAATAGAATGATAATGAATAGTCAATAATTGTTTTATAATGGCAAATATTTGGTATAAAATAAAATTGTAAAATAACTTTGGGAATATTAATTTAGTACTGCATATAAGTGAATATTTTTACCACTCCCTATCTTATCTATTATGCTATTATGATTATATAAGAAGGCACTCTGTTGATTATATAATACATATACTGTATTTATACTATTAATCATATTATATAATATATACTATAAGTATTAAGTAATAGATTAATAGACGATGATTAATAATATTTACCATAGTTATAAAGTAATCATTTACTGTTAACCAAATTTATCGTATAATAGTTAGTTAAACATTTGTAGTGTATCTCGGAATTACACAAAATTAGCAGATATACTACATCGAATATTTGATTTTTTATGAAGCAATCTATTCAAGCTTCACACCGTATAGCAGTCTTATTAGGACACAATTGGATAGCTGCTATAACTTTGATGATGATTGATACTGTCAATTGCTGATAAGTGGTGGATAGAGTTAATAGTCAAATTAAGATAAGATAAGATAAGGTTGAGACAAACAGTTGAAACAAGCATGTTTTACCACTTATTCAAATCCCAACTAACGTCTTTTAGTGGTTTTACTACTTCTCTTGATGATATTATCTAAAGCATGGCATGAATCAACTTTAGCTTGATTGCAAAAAATTCATAACTACTAATCCAGATCATTTCTCGCTTTGAAAAAATCATTTCTCGCTTTGAAAAATAATTTCTCGCTTTGAAAAATCATCTCTCGCTTTGAAAAATAAATTTTCATCTTCGAATTACTATCATCATCATCAAATAATTATTATATATTCTAGTATGTCATCTGCAAAATTAAGAAGACTGTTTCCAACTTTAAAACAATTACAACAATCTATAAAAACAGAATTAATTGAAATTGAAAAATCAACACAACAATCAATAAATGAAGCAAACGCTAAAAAGTTAAAATCATATTATAATTATTTAAAACATTCACAACCAACTAAAATTAAAGAAATAAATGAAAAGATAAAAGCATTAGAAAATGAAACAAAACAATTAGGTAATGAATTAAAAGATACAACTACTTATAATGATATAATAGATCGACAATTATCAAATGAACATCAAATATTAAATAATTTACAAAATGTTCAAATATTTCTTAAAAATCAACGTGAATATTTTAATTTATTATTAAGATATAATCCAGGATTACTGATGGATAAAGGTGAAAATGTATCAAAATCAGCAAATAGAGTTGGTTTACAAGTTCCTCAATAAGTTAAAAATACAAATTTATTTTTACATAATACACGACTAACTTTTGTTTCAGATATTTTTTCCCTTACGTTTATTTGTTCAATTTAATCTTCTTTTTCGATCACCACCAACTAATATTTCATCAATTAATGATTGTTTAGCTTGCTGCTGCTGCTGTTGTTGTTGTTGTTGTTGTTCATGTTCATGATCATCATCATTCATTGATCTTTTAAGAAATCCTTTAGTTTTTAAATAATTTGGATTCTTCAGCTTAATTTCAATATTTTCCACATAAAATTTTTTCAAATTTTCAATAATTAATAAATCATCATAATAATTTAATTTTAAATCATTTATACATGGTCTTCTCAGTTTAATTAATTTAAATGAATTTTCAATATTATATTTATAAATATCCATTAAAAATGCAATAATTAAACCTGTGGATAAATTTAAATTTCCATCTTCTGAAATAACTAAGATTTGAATCTTATCATTAATTAATTTAAATAATGAAATTAATCGAATTAATTTAAAAAATTGTAATTTTAAATTACTTCCATATAATATTGGACTATCTATATTCATACTACATTTTGGTGGTAATTTATGTATTAAATTTGATGATTGTGGATTATTTAAATAAAAAAATGATAAATAATTTTGTAAAATTTTGTTAAATTTGGAATTAAAACTTGATATTAAAGCTTGATTTGTTGATTCATTAATATCAAATGATGGATCTAAATTAAGTATAATTATATCTGAACTTAATTGAATATTCATTTCATTAGATTCAATTAAATTTATAAATTTAACGGTATTTCCGCAATTTATTATAATTTTTATATTTTGATCATTTAAAAAACTAGAATTATCAAACTCATTAAGAAGGGAATTATATGGACCTAACCATATACTTGCACATATTTCTTGTGGTTTATTTGCATTGAAAAAAATTGATTCATTAAAATTACAATTTGAATTATGAAAATTATTAACTTGACTATACATGAAAAAAAAAAATTAAAACAATATAAAAATTTAATTGCTTGAATAACTGTTGAAGTAATTGGCTAAATAATTTTGTTTAATACTTGAAATTGAGTTAATAATATATTTTGGTTGTAAAAAGAAAGTGAAATATTAAGTGGTTGTAAAAAACTAAAAAACAGAAATAGAAAAATATATATATATAAATTTATATAGAGAGACTTCTCTTAACTATGTATTAAGTAATATACTTAACAAGGATTGTATAAGAAAAGCGTACTTATTACATAATTACTCTTCTTTATTAGGTTAATAATAAATTAACTTTATTTCTCGAAGGGCATATTTACTTTATTGGCAGGTTTTGAAGTTCTCGAACAAATATTTTGCAACCATTTCACACTACCAATTGTACTCAATGTTACTTTTATTGCAAGCATTTAATATATTATTATTATACAACTTCAAATACTACTGATTTTATTGACCTGCATTCATACATCTAAGATTACTAGTAATTCTTTGGGCGTTGTTACATTGGAACTGCATCTGAATAACTAATTTTTTCAAGGCTAATTTATCCATAACCAGATGAGTTGAATCTAAATTTTTATTATTGCTTAATAGAGAATATCCGAAAATTAACTACAAGTATTGAATATAAAATTAACATATAATTTATTCGGTTAGATTTTATTTGATCAAATTTCAAATCTATCTCATAGCATCTCATTAAATGGTTTTCAATCGGAATTTCATATTTAATTCCGAGATTAAATTAGACTACACGACAATCGAAGATTATGTAAATTACACATGGCTCTTACATAATTACAGGACAATCGAAGATTATGTAAATTACACATGGCTCTTACATAATTGATCAGTATAATATATAATTTATATTTATAAATATTGCTATCATCAAAGATTAACCATTTCAAATCATTACCTAATTCACGTTTCTATAATGTTTAGACAATCATTTGCACAAAATTTATTCAAAAGATCATTTGGTATTAGATCGTTGACATTGAATGCATTTAAAAAACCTTCACCATCCACTTTTAAATTCTTTTTTGCTTCATCTGGTGCTTCATTTTTATTATTCAATTCATTTTCAAAAATATACAATGATACCGCAGCATTGCAACAACAAAGTTTACCTATAAATGATATAAAATCAAATATAAAAGTTAATGAAAAAGGTTATACGGAATCTAGATTTAATAATTATTTAAATTATCAAGAATTAACGATTGGTTCGGTTACTGGTTTATTTTTAGGTATTATTATAGGTAAATTATCTCAAGTTTTTTTATTTGTAACGTTAAGTTCTTATTTATTATTGGAATTTTTACAATCTAGAAATGTTATAAATATACCTTGGAATAAAATTGTTTCAATTGGTAAAGAAAAAATTGATATTAAACAATTAGTATTCGAAAAACCAAGTTTTAAAATCTCATTTATTTTATCCTTAATTATAGCTGCTTACAATGTATAAATAATATATACATATATATATATATATATATTAATAAACCTATTTTGGTAATTTAGCTAATAGATCAAATGAACCAGTACCTACATTTGATAATTTACCCATTACAATTTTAGCTGAAGGAGAATCTAATTCTTCTCTATCACCATCCAAAACTGCTTTTGTTAAAAATTGACAAGTTGTTTCATATGACATTTTCATAAATGCTGATGTTGATGAATCAATACCTTGTCTATTAAAAGCAAGATAATTACCTTCTCTAGTCATCATATCACCAATTAAATCCAAATGTCTACTTGAAACTGAAATACCATATGTATCGAAAACACGATAAATTTCATTAACAATTGTATTTCTAGCTGCTTCAACACCATAAACTCGTAAAACTTGAGCAATATCATTCGATGAAATTTTATTCACATCGATAAAATCATCTTCTTCCCACATTGCTTTGAAATTTACACCTTCTGTAGTCAAAATTCTAACTCCATTAGCTGGTTCTGGTCTTAAACATCTACCAATATTTGGAATTTCACGAACAACAACTCTTCTTAATAAATCTTCGACAATATTCACCATCAACAATTTTTGTGTTTCATTACCATCTAATTCTAATTTAAATTCACACCATTCACCATTTTCATCATCAAAATTAAACTGGGTAACCATATTATGTTGAGCAATGACTTCCAATTGACGATCTTTTGCTAATCTAGACATTTCAGGTGGTAAATCAACATCCATATCATCATCAGATTCTGAATCTGAAGAACTTGAAGAATTTGAATTTAATTCCATTTCTTCATCTGATTCTTCTGCTCTTTTCATTGTTTCAATTTCATCATCATCTGGTCCATCATACGATACTTGTTGTTTAACGTTATTTCTTGATTTTGCAGATTCTGAATCTTCATTTTCATCATCTTCATCTTCATCATCTTCATCAATCTCTTTAATTTTACCAGAAACAGTTTCCATATCGGTTTTACCTGCTGATTTACCAACAGTTGGTAAATTAGTCTTTTGTTTTTTAACTTCTTTAACAATTTGCGCCTCCAAAGCTTGTATAAATGTTCTAGTTATTGTATCTTCCAATTGTTGTTGAGTTATTTCATACTCCTGTTCATATTCTTCTTTTGTGAAAAATTGCAAATTAATAGTATATGATCTTGTATTTTCACCTTCATTCTGTGATGTTGTTTCTGTAACTACTACTTTATCAACAAATTCACTCATCACAACTTTACCAATTGATTTACAGAAATTATCAGATTGTTCATTCGTAATATCTGATAATATAGGTAACGTCATTTGTGGAGTTTTGATTGATGATGATGCAGTCATAATAATTTCTCTCATACGTGGTATACCTAAAGTAACATTTGCAGCACCGTGACCAGCAAAATGGAAAGTATTTAATGTCATCTGTGTTGATGGTTCACCAATTGATTGTGATGCAATAATACCAACAGATTCACCAGGATTTATAATTGATCTCATATATTTTAATTGCATTAATGCTCTGAATTTTTTCTCAGTTAATTTGCCAGTCAATTTAGCTTCTTTATTTGATTCTGCAAATTTTGATGGGTTTTGTTCTATAAAGTTGTTTAATTTTTCATTGAATTTTTCGGAAACTGAGCCCAAATATTTAGATGGATTATATACATTCAATACTGGATCTGTAACTTCTTGTTCATAATGTGGTAAATCTTCTTGTTTTTTTAACTGTTTTTTAACCTTCTTTTGATAGCTTGTAGCTTCATCAGTATCTATATTTTCAATCATTTCACCTGGATTATATTTAGTTAACAAAGCATCATAATTTTCTAAACAGAAATCAAATTGATTCATATGTGATTGTTTTGTAGTATCTATTGAATCACCACCGTATAAAAATTGTATAACAGTACCATCACCGTCTCTAACAGAGTTATCGTAAGATACATGAACACCTTCTAATTGTTTAGTTAAACAACGTTGTAAATAACCAGATCTTGAAGTTTTGACCGCAGTATCAATTAAACCTTCTCTACCCGCCATACAATGGAAATAATATTCTTGTGGTCTAATACCTGAGTAAAATCTTTGTTTAATATATCCACCTGCTCTTGCATCAGTTTCAAATGGTTTAAAAGATGGCAATGTTTTACCTGAAACCATCACGGGTACTCTTCTACCTTCTAATGCTTGTTGTCCTAATAAACACATAATTTGAGAAACATTAACATTTGAACCTTTTGCACCTGATAAAGCCATAGCTTGCATAGAATTATATGGGAATTTTTTCATTGTACCTTCGGGTATACATTTTGAAACAACTTGTGATGTGATTGTATTAACTTTAGATTGTGTTATAGCATCCAATATTCCTGATTTATTATCATCTCTTAATATTTCTTCTAATCTTTTTCTTAATTCTTTATCATTATCTTCATCAAGGTTGGTAACTTCATTTGCTGCAACTTTACCTATTCCAACAGATTGTTTCAATATATCTTTTCTCCATGAATTACCTTCACTTGTTAATCTTAAATCATCTATACCACAAGTGAAAGCAGTCATCATTATATAATTTGTAAATAATCTTCCCAAAACAGATAATGCTTTACCAGCGATATCAGGACCATAAACTTCATGTAATGAATGAACAATACCAAATTGTGAAGCCCCATATTGAGATTTATCAAGTATACCAGATAATAATTCGCCATTTTTGAATATAACTTCATTTTCGGTTGAGGCTTTACTCCAATAATCTGATTTTATTTTATTTTTTGATATTAAATTAACACCAGGTACATTATCAGGGGTGATATTGAGTAAAATTGTAGTTATAACTTGTTTACCAGTCCATAAAAATTCTGGTTTCATAATTGCTGGTGGTACAGTTATTATTCTATTTCTTGTAGTATGACCATCTTCAGGTCTAATACAACCATAAATTAATTGTTGATATGTTTCCTTATTGAAGAACGAATCTTTACTTGTTAACCAAACACCTGCTGAAATATGATCTTGAATTAAACCTCTTAATGGAGAACCTGAAGTTGGCGTTAAATATTGTGAATCAGTGTTTGCCAAATTCAAAGCTTCTGCTTTTGCATTTTCATTTTGTGGAAAATGCATATTCATTTCATCACCATCAAAATCAGCATTATATGCACCAGTATTTGCATAATGCAATCTTAATGTTTTTTCACCAGGTAAAACTCTAACTTTATGACCCATCATTGAAGCTTTATGCAATGTAGGTTGACGATTCATTATAACAACATCTTTATTTTTAATATGTCTAAAAACTTTTTTACCAACTATTGAATTTGTTGAGGATGGTGTTAACAATTGATTTGCCAAAGTTTTTCTTTGTTCTAAACTCATGCCAATTAAATTTATTAATGATCCATCTTCATTTTGAATTTGAACTGCTCCGGGCCATTTGTCAGGACCATTTATAACTGCTTGTCTTAATTCTGCTGCATTATGTTGTGTAACTGGTTCTGGATATGTTAATTTTTTAGCAAAAACAGGTGGAACACCAATTTCATTGGTCTCTAAATTTGGATCAGGAGAAATGACCGATCTTGCAGCATAGTTGACTCTTTTACCCATCATATGTTTTCTAAATAAACCTTCTTTCTTTTCCAATGCTTGTTTTATACCTGGATTTGGAATTTTACCAGCTGGTGCATTTTGATTTTTAGTTGAATCGATAAAAGCATTGACATCATTTTGTAAGGCTACAAATGCATTCATGAGTCTATTGAAAATGATTTTCTTTTGTTCACCAGTTATTTTATCTTTGAACATTTGTGAAATTTGTACATTATAGTCTCTAATAGTTAATGATGTTTTAAGAATATTTGATAATAATTCATTTTGAGCATTTTCATGTATTTCATCACCTAATTTTGAAGGTAATCTAAATCTAGTAGGTGGGACTAAAATTGACTGTTTAAAAAATATATCACCACTTACGAATTCTTTTTGATAGGGTCTAGAATGGAATACCTTTTGTAGTACAGCTTGTTCTTTATCGAATACTGACTTTAAAACATTTTTAACTTCTGATGACAATATATACTTTGATCCTCCTTTATGTTTTATATTTGGTATATCACTTACATCTAATTTCTTTTGTTGTTTTCTAATCATATCTGGTCTTTGTAATCCTCTAACTCTATTATTTGAAATTTGTTTATCAGTTAATGCATTTTCAAAAATTTTTGTAAATCCATCTTTTCTAAAACTTGGTGAATACATTCCACAATTTGAACATTTTGGTCTTGATAATAATCTTTTATAAAAATCATGTATTACAAATTTTCTTTCTTCATTAACTGATGCTGTATGAATACCCCTCGAACTAGTTCTTCCATCTTTTAAAGCACTCTTAATAGCATTTTTCAAAAATGTTTCTCTTCTTTCGATCAAATCTCGTACGGCTTTTTTATCGATTGGTTCATCTTCATCTTCTTCATCTTTGATTTTTGTATCAGCCATCATATTATCCAAATCAACACATTCTAATAATAATCCATATTGTATTAATTCCAATTTACACTTATATTTATTCACTTCAACTTCACTCAATTTAAATTTATGACAATATAAACATGAACTTCTCAAGAAAATATATAATTGATTGAAAAACATTGGATTATAAACTGGTACTGGTAATTCTATATTTCCCATATGACCAGGACATGAACGTTCATCTAATCCACATGTACCACAAACATTTCTTAAGAATGCACCTAATGATAAATCATATAAACCTCCACTTATTGGATGTCCTAAATTATCAAATACAATAGGATTTGTAATTTGTTTTGCTGATAGTTTTCTTATTTCTTCATCTGATAACACTCCAAAGTCAACAGATGTGATTTCTGATCCAACTGGTTTGGAAATATCCATTTGAGATGAGTTATTTTGGAGTGGGATTTAATAATGGATTTGATACTGAAAAAAAAAATTTTGTTAGAACCAAGTATATTATGCTCATCTCTTTTGTGCGAAATCAATTAACATGCAACACGTACAATCAAATTAGTAATGAGTTCTGAGGTAGATTCACTTATAGGCTGAGAGAACAATCGTATGAGTATTAGAAGATTAAAATTGGTTTGAAGTACAGAAACTAAATGTTACTTTCTGAGCTGTATTCGATCAGATCCCGATCGTGCTACTACGCGACTTCATCATCGGAGACGATCTATTAAAATCTGTTGTTATTTATATAAATAAACAATTTAGCTTTCTATCTCAATCTCTGCTATCTCAATCTCTACGGCAAGAATTACGGTAATTTAAGCTTTTTGATCTCATAAACTGAATGATATATGTACAATAATATACATTGTCATTGAAGATGTAAGTTTCATACGATATCAAGTGGCTTCCCAGAAATTGGTATATATAATGCTTCAACCCTACTTTGATGCTGTACTTTCATTTTTAGTACTGTTTGATAAATTTAATTTTAATGCCGGCTGGTACCATAGCTCCAGCCTCAGAAGAAAAAAACCTACGGCCATCATCTTGCTCCAGATCAGGCGGTAGATAGGTCATTTCAGATAGAAATTTATAATTTACAATTGGCTTGTATGCAGTCTCTACTAGTAAATCGTAAAACTTGAATTGTATATTACTTCCTTAATATTTAAGCTGTAAAGGTCAAACTCTATTCAATAAAGCTTTAGTTCCAATAGAATTGTGTGATATTTGTGAATTCAAAGGAGACATAATTCTGATCAATTTACTCATCATCCAAAAAATGCAAAAAAAAACGTTAAATTGGGAGATAAGTAGTACTTAAACCTATCTAAAAACTTCTAGATCTGCTTTAGTTTATTTAATTACGGTAATTATTTGTAAAGTGTTTTCAAGATGCCAAAATCGGTTTGAATTTTCGATTCATGTCTAAAAATTGCTTTCCAATTTGAATAGCTCAACATACAAATATTTGATATTTATCAGAATACAGAACTAAACTTTGCTTAATCTCATGCTTTTTTGATTTGAAAGTTGAATGTGGAATTAGATTTTTGTCAGGTCAATAGATTCGATTTTCACCATTGTTAAGAGTAATTTTTAAAATTTTTTAATTTTAGCTTAGAGCAACTAGAATTAAGTCCAGCATCTTCAGTTGAGTGTAATATATACAAACTGTTGTTTAATTGAAAGTTATGGCCCTGAATAGAAACATATACTGCTTGTTATTTTTTGTAAAATTTTTGTATGATGAAAAATGGCCAAAATTACAACTCAAAAAAATAAATATTTGAAAGCTGAGATAAAAACTAATTCGGATATACAACTCAAGGCTCCTGATCTTATATAAATGGTACTTATTTCGAGAAACTGTTTTGCTCATGACTTATGCATCGATATGTTTAGTACCTCTCGTCCCAAATCTAAAACGAGAAATCATTTTGTCGCCCGAAGTTTATCGCATCAAAAAATATGTACTTTCTACTCTAGTATATTTTTTATCGCGTTGGCTTCAAAAGCGATATCGTACTAACTATTTACTTTGTCGCATTGATCTAGAGCCATCTGCAAGCCATCAATCAAGCAAAACAGATTCCACACGACAACCACAGATATAAAAGCCAATAAAAGAAAGCCTCCTATTCAAAAAAGACTAATGATGTATTTTTCAAGCCTCTAATGTCTTCAAAATTAGCAAAATTTGTTTTGGTAACGACACGTCCTTTAAATAGAGTCACGTGATTGAGTGAGATTATAATATATGATTGCATTATATATGAGATCTATATCAGTAGATATATCTTGACGAATTGAGTAAGGCATTGTATGGCAACTTTATGTGAATCCTAGTGTGTAAAGAGCTATGAGCTGTTTTAGTTTTCAGGGTCAGAATTTTTTTACACAAATGAAAAATCTCAAATTTGTACAACTTTTCTTTTGTACAAACATGGATTGAATCAACAGATACATAGCATTTAAATTATTCAGTTATCATTGAAGTAATGCGAATGAATGCATTAATGCATGGAAATTAATCACGCATCTTTTTCAAGGATTTAAAACGAACAAGCAAAACACGTAAACTGGAATTTTCAATATATAATTTGAGAACAAAGCAAATTATCAGTCTATACAGAGTTTCAAATTATAAGAGTTATTCATGGCCAATTACAATGCTATTTACAAATATTACCAATGAATGTTTAGTCAAGATTGTACAGATATTTTACTACAAGTCGCCTCAACTCTAATGCGAGAAATTCGTTTAATCGCGCCCAAATCTCTCGTAGAAAATACTTATTTTTGACGTATATATGCAGGTTCTTTATAGTTTACCTCAATACTTGAACGGTAACCAACCTCCCCAATTTCGAAAGATTCAGTTCTCATTTTTAGTTAGTCGTTCAATTAAAGATAACATTTCACGCAACTCATATAATATTTACAAAAATAGAGCCAAAAATTACAATCGAAAGAATATCGTAAATTTCACTTTTTGCACAGTAACATCCATTCAACTCAAATTAAATTTGTAATCTTCTTGAAACCTTTGCCAACACCTTTACCGACTGTTCCTACACCTTTGCCAACACCTTTACCAACACCTTTACCAACAGTACCAACACCTTTACCAACATTCGATATTCCAATTGTTGTTGAACTTGATGGTTTACAATTGATAATAAATTTAGGCTCAAAACTTAATTTGATATAAGCTGTTCCTGCAACTTCTCCTTCTTCTCCTTGAAGTGGCACTTCTACTTCGATTTCACCTTGTTTTATTCGTTGATAGTAATCACTCATATCAACATATCCTTCTGATAAAAAGTCATCAGGATTTCCAAAATCCCAATCCCAAACAACAAGCTTTATTGTGCTGTCAAATAAATTAGCCACTTCCGTTTGATCTTTGTGATTAAAAGTTGGATCAAGAGTCTTTTTAACAACTTTGGTTTTAGTGAATGGTTCTTTTTCTGAATTTAAATAAACTTTAACAAAAGGATCTGATTTACCATTACGATCAGCTGCTGGTAATCCTTCTGCTGATTTGACTTCAATTGATAAAATTCCCAGATTATCTGCTTCATCTTGAGGAGGTATTCCAGATTGATAAACTAATGGAATCCAACTAGTTCTAATTTTGAAATTAGCAGATCCAGCTCCAGATAAATCAATTGACATTGGTTTTTCATAACCATTTTTAACTAATTGAAGGGTTGGAATAGTTGTTTCAGCAACACATTTATCCAATCTATTATCGTATTTATCTTTTGCGATTCTTATAACAGTTTCTGAGTAATCCAAGTTTGTAATTACTGAATCACCAGTTGCATCAACTTTTACGAGTTTCTTTTTCAATTCTGCAGTTATAAAATCCGGATAGCCTTGATTACCATTAAAAACTTGTAAATAAACATCATCTTTACTCATTTTACCATCTTGAATTTCATAGATTAAAATACCAGATTTATATTCAATTAATTGATTTAAAGATAATTTTAATTTTTGTGAAGAACTTTCATCTTGAACTTCATCTTCATTAATATCTTCTTCTTCATTAGCTTTTTCATTATCTTTATCATCTTTACCTTGAGCATCTTTTGATTTTTCTTCTTCAATCTTTTTCTGTCTTTCTTCTTCTTCCTTCTTTCTTTCTTCTTCTTGATCTTTTTGATCTTGTAATGTCATAACAGGTAATGCTGGATAAAAAGCTAATTTATAAGTAACTGAACCTTTTGCATCTTTCTTATGAATTAATTTTGAAGTTCTAATTTTGTTATCAACATGTTCAATATATTGACCTTTTTCATCCTTTTGAATAAATTCATTTAATTTAATATCAAATGAACCTAAAGTTCTATCAGCTGAATGTGCCTCGACATCCATAACTTCAATTGTTAATTTTTGATTTGGTGATGCTACTGTAACATAATGAATTTCATTCCACGTTGGATTTAATGAACTTTCAATTGCTTGAGTTCTTGCTCTTTCAAAACCATTAACTAATAATCTTGCATAAGGATCAATCTTACCAATAGTTTCCAAGTTTCTTAAATCTTCAGCATTTCTAATTGAAACTCTAACTGCACCTATTGGAGGTGTATAACCACCAGCACCACTAGCTCCTTCCAATTCGACTGGTTTCCAATGAGTACTTATTCTAATTTCCCCACCTTTAGCTAATGGGAACCAGGTTTGCTCAACTTGAGTAGCATCAATTAATTCATTTAATGAGTGAATAATAGAACCAACCATTTTATCATTTTTATCTCTAAGAATAATCTTACATTTAGCTTTAGCACGATTAAAAACAATTTGTTCTGTATCAACACCCCATCCAGGATTATTTGTATTCTTTTGTACTGGTGAATCAATAACTTTTTCACCATCAAATATTAACTGAACTTTTGTACTTGCACCTTTATCACCACCTTTTAAATGTCTTGCTTCCATAATTTCAATTCTTGCAATACCGGTATTTAAATCCGGTGGTGGTGTGAAAGCTCCATCAGCTTGTCTAACTGGTTCCAAAGTTGGCATATAATTGATTCCAAAATTTAATTCACCAACTGGTTTATTATTTCTCATAAAAGCAGCTGTTAGATTGGGTTGCTTCTTATTGTCAAGTAAAGGTTCCAAATCAAATTGGATATTACCAACTTGACGATCTTTTCTAAAATCATTGAAATCAATAACTGTAATATTTAATGGTTCACTTAAGGAAGAAACTGGAATATAAACAGTTTCTTTCCAAACAGGGGAACTAGTATCAGTTTTAGTTTTAGTTTTAGCAAGTACTTCTTTTCTAAAACCAAATGTTAAATATGGATCTAATGTATTACCGATAGTTTTAAAACCTCTTAAACCTCTTGCTGAATTTGCAGTGATAGCTAAAACACCAATTGCTGAACCAATTTTATTACCTAATAATAATTGTTGAACATTCAATTGAAATGACATTGGATGATATAAAATAGCACCAACATATTTTTTAACCAATTCATTAATAAAAGGATAAACACCAGGAACGTTGAAAACTTCCCAGCACCAAGAAGATTCACCAAGTACTTTAGTATTAAAATCAAATTGTGGTGGTTCCAACATTGTTAAATTAACAGTTTCAACGTGGGGGAATGAAGCCATCATTCTTAATCTAACTCTTGCTAAACCTTTAAATGAAACATCACCAATAGAAACTGGAATTGTAATACCAAATAAACTAGCTTTTAAAACAATTTTTTCATTAACAAAATTTTTCAATTGTTTATTATTAGCATCAACTAAAGCATTTGGAGTATATGAAAAACCCCAATCCATTACAACAACATCATCAGCAGTACCTATTAAAGTTTTAACACAATCAATTCTTGGAGGTTTTGTACCCAAAGTAAAAGTATCTAACCAAATTGCTTTAACAAATGGAGGTGCTGGTGAGCTTGCCAAGATTGGATTTGCTTGTTCACAAACTATTTGAGCAATTGAAGGTTCTAAATAATACCAAAATTTTTCTAAAAAATAATTACACCAATCCATTGTTTCATAATCAGATTCAACAGGTTTAATTGAAAATTCTCTATGAGCTTGCTCTCTTAAAACTGCACGATATTTCTTAATAGAAGCTCTATATAATAAAGCAAATACAACCATGACAAAAAACAATGGTGCTACTGAGAATTTAAACCAACCAATTAACCAAGATAATAAACCACCAACAATTAAATAACCAGTATTATGATACCAATCACCATAAATAACTTGAGGTAAATATTGATCAAAAATAGATCCTTTTGATAATAAATCAGTTGTTTCATCTTGTGCAGTTAATGCATCATCAGCTTCATAACCACCAACTTCTTTCCAACCTCTAAAAGTTGGATCAACAGGTTGCCTTGGGGGAGGTTTAGTAGTAACATTTGACATGTCGAAATCTTCACTTGGTTTAATATCAGTTTTTGCATTATTAAAAGCTTCGGCAATTTCATCTGATTCAGATCCAACAGCAACTTCTTTTTGTTTTTTAGATTTTTTTGGTTCAATGGCTTCTTCAGTTTGAGGTACCTGATCATCAATTTCAACTTGTTTTGGTGGCAGAAGTACATCATTAGGCTAGAATGTTAGTAAATATCAAAAATCCATTACTGAATTGAATTGTTGTACATACATTTGATGCACCACCAATAGCATCTGGTTGACCTGACATTTGATTGATAGTTTGCTAATAATAAACTGAAATTGCGCTCTTCAAATTTATCAAAAAATAATAGAATCTACACCTGCATACAAAAAAGCTAAATTAAATATAACTTGAAACATCACTGATAATGAGTAGTAGTATAAGGAGTGATTTACCAGATATAAGGCAAGAGATAACAGATAGCGAAGATGAAGATGATTTTGTTCGTAAATTTGGTGATATAAATGTTCAATATATTAAACCTTCAAAAGATAGATTTTGGTTTAAGCGACCACAAGCATTAAATTTCTTTAAAGATGGAGTATTATTTAGAACCAAAGAAGAAAGAAAAGCTGCTACGACAGAATTATTTGTTGATTTATTGTATGTTGGTATTGTTGCTAATTTAGCAGGTGAGGCAAGTGAAGAAGCTACTGGTTTAGCTTTATTGAAATATGTTTTATTCTTCTTCCCTACATTTATGGTTTGGCAAGATGTTAAAGATTTTACAAATTATTATTATAATGAAGATTTATCACAAAAAGTAGCAGTTTTTTGGATTTTATCTTTATTGACACTATATATAAATAGTCATTATGCATTATTAGATTCTTGGAGTGGTGCGGCTTTAACCATTGTACCTTACATGTTATGTCGATTATCATTAGCTGTTGTTTTATGGATTTATTCATTTTATATACCTGAACATCGCGTACAACTGAGAATATATGGTTGTACTTTAATTATTACTTCATGTTGTTGGTTAGCTGTTATATTTGTTTCAGTTAGAGTTAAAATTGGTTTAAGTTTTGCATTCTTATTTCTTGAACAATTATGTTTTTGTATTTGTTATCATCCATGGTTAAAAAAGCAATTAAAATTAACAATGTCAACTGCTTTAAATATTGAACATGAAGTTGAAAGATTTTCAACTTTTGTTACAATTGCAATTGGTGAATATTTATATAAAGTAGTTGCAACACATCCATTAGGTGTTGGATTTAGTGGTAAATTTGCAAGAGGAATTTTTTTATTAGCTGATGCTTATATTCTATTTTGGATTTATCAATATGGTTCTACATGTAGAAAAGCTACTCATCCATTACGAAATAGTGGATATACTGCAATTACTTGGATTTATGCGCATATACCATTAATTGCAGCATTAGTTTTAAGTGCTGATGCTGGTGGTGAATTATGTGAATTAGATATAATTAGAATTGATGAAGAAACTGAAGAAGCAAATTTATATGGTTTAACTTTTTATTATACAGGAGGTATAGCAGTTTCATTGATTTGTATGTTTATATTAGGATTTGTTGAGAAAAGTAGAGATCCACCAGATTTATTTTTAATGCCAAAGTTTTTCAGAATATGTCTAAGAGTACCAATTGGGATTATTATTGTAATGATTAGTTTTGCTAAAATGAATACTACGTTATTAATGGGGATAGTCACTATGTTATTAGGAATTTTATTGATATATGAAAGTTTCTTTGGAACACCTCAAGATTGTTTAACTGATAGAATAAAGAGAGCTAGAAATCAATCAACTTCAACTGGAACTAATGAAGAATTAATTAATGAAAACCAAGTAACTTTAAATGATGATAGTCAAGATTCATCAAATAAGAATGATTTTAGACTAGTGTAATTTAGATTTTGTAACGTTTGACAAATAATGCTTAATATTAGAAATTTGCAGCATGCTCCCAGCTTTATTAGTTTTATTGATATAAATGACGATCGAGATGGTCAGATTAATATATAGGTTCGTATATTCAACTATATAATTTTGATAATATCATCTAGAATACCCTTATTTAAATAATTCATTTGGTCAAAATTATACTCATGTTTACTTTTGAATTGATCAAATTTAACTTTTAATTCTCTCAATTTTCTAGCTTGTTCAAAATCAGTGACTCTCAAATCAAGTGCTAAAAACGTTTTATTAATTAATGAATCAGTAACATTAATTAAATCATCAACATCACCTTCATCAATTTCTAATTCTTGTTTATCTATATCTTGTACCATTTTATTAATAATCATACTCAAATTCTCAAACTCCCATGATTCACAATTTATAAACCCCGTAATTATCGTATCGTAAATCTTTAAATTAGTTTGAAAGTTATATTCTGTCATGATTTGGAAAAAATGAAAACTCTTATCAAAATTACCAATTTCTGAATATGCAACTATGAAATTTTCAAATGTGGTGATTGAAGGAGACAATTTAAATATAATTTCATCATCACGAGTTAATATTTTGAGTCGTTTATATATGTTTAAATAACTAATGATATCCTTTTCATTTCCAAATGATTCTTGAAATAATATTTCTGCATGATTATACAATTTAAGATCCAATAATGCTTTTATAATTGTGTCTATTATTTGATTCGTTAATATTAAGTTATCAGTGATGTAATTTATCGTATTTGATAAATATAAATTATAGTTTTCTCTATTGATATAATATGTAAAATAATAAATTAAATGATTTAATGACATGTCAGTAAGTAAACAATCACCATTTGTCAGTTCAATTATATTCATATTTGTCTTCTTTAGTATATCTTTGATAATATCAATTTTATCATGTCTAGTAGCTAAAAATAATAAAATTCCTAATAAATCATTTCTTTCACCAAAATGAGACATAATTTCTTGATAATTTTTATAATTAAAAATAGGATATGGTATATCATTAGGAAATAATTCAATTAAATCTTGTCTATCTTTGAAATAATTCATATATATTAATTTTAATTGTTCATCTTGTGTAATTTCCAAATTTGAATTTTTTAAATCATTGATTATATAAACACAAGATTTATAAAATTCATTCCTCTTGTTTAGTTTAGATTTAATGTATGATGTGATATTTTGTCCCTGTGATAATTTATATCTAACCATTGATTTATCAATTTTAATTTTATTAAAACCTTGAAAATATTTTGTAGTAAATTCATTAAATATTTCAAATTCAAGATATGTAGATACTGGTTTTAAAGGTAATTCACGAAATGATTTAAATAAATTAACATGTTTTACATTATTATATTTATGAAAATTTAAATCGAAATTAATTAAATGATTAACTTTTAATGGATATAAATTTTTTATAAAATTATTATATTCTGGAGTATATAAATATCCTTGATTCTTAGACATTAATCGTCGTCTTTTGTTTAAATCTTTATCATGTTTAGTTTTCTTTAAATTATCCCAAATTTGTTGTTTTAATAAATATTTATCACTTACCGTGAGATTAAATTTTTCAATTAAAAATGATTCATGTTTACCAATTAATAAATCAATACATTTTAATAATGGACCTGAATTTATATTTTGTTCATATTTAATACGTTTAATTAATTTATACAAAGGTTTTTCTAAATTTGATAATCGTTGATAATACATTCATTCCATTTATATATTTTTTTTTTTCAACTGCGATGGTGCACTAACTTTCTTAGTTAATTTTTTAATCTTATAAATTGATTGAATCATAATTAAACTAGGTATTATTAAATATGGACAATATATTAATATTAAATTAATAGCTTGATTATAAGTTGTATAATAATTTTCATGCTCTAAATAAATCCAAATAAGACATACAAAGGTAGTAAAACTAGCTTCAAATCCATAAATTAATAACCATAATAAATAATTAATATCTTGTTTTCTGTAGTTATATATAAAATATATAAATAATGGTAATTGACCAAATAATTCAAATGTACCAAATATTTTAAACCAATTTGGTGAATAATCTAATAAAAAATCATTATTTAAGTTTATATGAAATTTTAATATTTCTCTAGTGAATGATAATTGATAATTATACGGAATGATAATTGAAGAATCGATGAAGATAGTAATTGGAATATGAATAACGAAGTAATAATATATAATTGTATCCAACATCGAATTGGTGAAAAGCGTTGATAATTTATTTGGTTGTAAAAATTAATTAACGAGAATTTTTTTTTTTTTTTGTTTTTTTTCATTGCAAAATTAAAGTATGAAGATTCAAACTCAAGCAGTAAATATATTAGAAACAGCTTCAAATGCTTTAAAATCAGGTTTATTAAAAGAGAAACCAGTATGGTATGATATAATATTAAAATACCCACCAAAACATAACTTAATTAAGAAACCGCACCAACCTAAAACAAATTCTAGTGATCCAAGAAATGATGAAATTGTGAAAAATTTCAAAATTCCAAAAGATATACATAAAATTCCAAAATTAAAATTTATAGAAGATACAATAAGAGATACATTTTATAAGCATCATCCTTGGGAATTAGCAAGACCTAAAAATTTAATTGAAATAAATGGAGATGAAATTTTAAAAAAATGTAATTGGAAAAATATGTTACAATTATATAAACCTTTAGATGGGGAATCGGTAGTTCAAAGAACAATGTATTTAATCAAAAATAATAAAAATTTATCTATTTTCGATGCTTATGATTTATCAAGAATGGAATTTTATAAGTTAAGAATGTTTGAAGAAATGCAATCTCATATTTCCAAAGAAGAAAGTATAATGAATGGTGCAATAATTGAATTAAATTATTTAAAACAGCAAATGGAAAAAGAAAATGAATATTTAAAACAATGGATTATACAAGGTATGAAGCAAACTAAAATTTTAGAAGCAAGTTCAAATAAATCATCACAAGTACCTGTTGGTTCAATAATAGAAAATGATATAAATCAAACTTCTTTATTTGAAGATTTGGTGAATTTAGATAAATAAAGCCTGTAAATATATATATTAGTTAACTATTTTTAATGATGTCCATGTTGTTCTTCTTTTGTTGTTAATTTTTCATATCCACAATATATTGTAAATGCAACTATAGCTATACCTAAGCCTGGAAACATATTTTTGAATCTATTATATCTAGTAAATTGTCCTTCATATCTCCATGCATCTCTTTTAGCCCAAGGATTATGTGCCATCTTTAATTCTAAGTTTCAGTTTTATATATGATTATATTTTTTTTCAACTAATTTTTAATTGGTGAAATTTTAATCGCACGAACAAATTGGTAGAAACAAGTTATATTTGTACTATACTATGTATGTGGTGATTAGTAGTGAAACAGTTTGAGTCGGAAGTAGAATATTAGTCTAACCCTTCGCTAAAAGATTGAATGAAACCTCGTAGAAAGTAAGAATAATTTGAGCAATGAGTGTCAAGTGAATCATTGTAAACGAGCAGAACTTCATAAATTAAAGCTCATGCTAGCATTGTAAAACAATTTCCTGAGTAGTTGAAGATAGGTGATTAATAAACTCTTAGCTAAGAACGACTTAGGCATTTACTGCTTGGAATTTTTTCTGATTTCTTTTATATTTGCAGCCAATGTTCATGACCTCATTCACTTCTACTAAACCTCCAATCAAGTTTTCTGATTTATTAATTGGCTCTTCTATTTACATTGACCTTATGAATTTGTGTAATAGGTTATATTTTATAAGCTTTGAGTTTAAGGGGTAAATATTAAGGGGCAGCAATTTTTTTTAGCAGCCAGATTCATGATTTGACTCATTTTTGAACTAAAGCACGAATCAAGCTTTATCTGGATTCCTCAGTAAGATCTGTTGCATGCATTGATTTTATGACTTTATGACTTTATGACTTCTTGTAAAAGCTTATATTTTAAAATCTCCTTGTTTAAGGGGTAGTAAGTTTATTTTTTTAGCAGTCAAATTATATCACTACCAATTGGAAAACTCAAAGATTCATCAGGTTATTTAAATCTATGAAGATATCAAAGTATAACAACAATGATTTGCTTTTATCGTATATATTTTTAAATACGCCTAAAGTATAGAAATTCCTACAAAAAAAGCACCACTAAAATCGTAAAATAAACATAATTTAGACATCTGATCCAGCAGATCATCTCAACTTAATCAATTCTCATTTAAATCAAAGCACCATTACGTTGTAAAATCAACTAGGATTAACACCACCATTTAAAACACCATTAATATTTTCTTTTCCCTTGTTTTGTTGTTGTTTATTTTCATTTTCTTTATTTTTTTTATTTTTTCGATTATGATTACTTACATTTCCATAAATTATAGTCTTTCGACCTTGAGAATCTACTTTATAATGAGTTTTTAAATGTTGTGCTAAATTATCACTTCTTGAAAATTTCTTGTCACAATATTTACAATGAAAAGGTCGTATTGTAGAATGAACACTTCTATAATGTCTTTTGAGATGTTCTGATCTTTTAAATTGTTTTTCGCAATCTGAACATGGAAATGAAGATTGTTGATTTGAATTTGAACTTGTTGGAGAAATCGTTGGTGATTTAGCTGCATTACCTGTAGTACTTGATTTCTGAGTTGTATTTGTTGTTGTTGTTGTAGTTGTTGTTGCTGCTGATGATTTTCTTCTCTTTTTGGGTACTTTTTCTTCAATTTGTTCAAACCCAGTGTTACCAGTCTGGATCAAAATTGGAGAATTCAATTGCGGATTATTATTTGTCATTCCATTCGTATATGAATATGATCTTGATTTATTTTTAGGTAATAATGGTTGTGTGTGTGTCTGTTGTTGTTGTTGTTGTTGTTCAAATAATTGATTTAAATCATTTGGTAATTCTACATTGAAACAAAAATGTGGATGTGATATTGATCTATTATGTTTATTGTTTGGTCTTTCGTGAGTTGAAACTATTGGTGGTGGTTGTTTTGGTTGTATTTGTTGTTGTTGCTGTTTTAATAAAGTAGTTAAACTAGGTGAACTGAAACTTGTAGATAATTTTGGATTTATCAATTGTTGTGGATTAATTGTACTACCTTCAATATCATTAATCCATACTTTATTTTCGTTATTTTCAAACTTATTTTTATTATTTACTATATTTGTTGGAGATAGATCAAAATCCGGTTGAGTTAAATTAATTAATTCCGAAGCAACAGTAGAAGAAGAACTAGTATTATTGGTGGTAGTAGTTGGAGTTTTTAAAGTTAATGAAGTTAAATCAATTGCATTAATTGAATTATTTCTCGTCTGATTATTATTGTTGTTGTTGTTGTTGTTGTTGTTGTTGTTGTTGTTGTTGTTATTACTAAATTGTGATGATTGTTGAATTTTAGGAGTTATTTGATAATTATTTGATGAACTAGCTGATGAAACTGATGAAGTATTTGAATGAGGAGTAGTGAAATAATAATTATTTATTGAATTTGAACTTGATACATCTGAATTTGTATCAGATATATTATTAATTTGATTTGATTTAAAATTAAATTGATAATTATTGAAAAAAATTTCGTCATTCAAAAAACTAAAAGTATCGGATAATAATGGTGATATATTATCATAATCTGGAGAATTATTATTATTAAAGAAATTGGTATTTTGATTATTTTGATTATTATTTGATTCAAAAATTGGTTGAAAATCTTGAGAATGAGACATGGTGGAAAATAGAAAATGGGAAATGGGAAATGGAAAATGTACAATGGAAAATGGGAAAACGTACAATGGAAAATTAGGCCGTGGGGTTGAAAATTTGAATAATTATAAATTTTTTTACTTTGTGAACTTAGAGATTATTTTTGTATAAATTGAAAATTGAAATTGGAAATTGAAAATTGAAAATTGATTAGAATTGGTTGTAAAAATAAATGAGAATAAATTGCGAATAAATTGAGGCTATAAAAAGTTGAATCAAATTGGAATAAATTGGAATAAATTGGAATAAATTAATAGTGGGATGATATAAATGATATAAATGATATAAATGATATAATTGATATAAATGATATAAATGATCGTAAATGTGATTGAGTATATGATGTATATGATCTTGTTAACAATTAATCAATAAAAATGAAGCAATAAATGAATCAATAAACAATCAATAAACAATCAATGAAATGAAAAGAATACAATTATAAGAAAATAAATTATCTCATATATAAAAATATAAAATATAAAAAAACTATATGGTGTGGTTATATAAATTTTAAATTTATCGACAGGGTAGTGTAATCGATGCTAAAACACATTTATATGTAAAATTACTTAATAATAATAATTAATTATTTTTAATTAATTATTACATGAGATACATTTTTTATATATTACATTTCTTCGATTTTTTAATACTCAAATAAACAACTAGATTTTGAATTTACCTCAGATAATCTTCAATAGTAATAATACACTCTCTTTCAATTGATCGGACGGTGTTAAGACTCAACTGATAAATTGAAAATGATAAGAAAAATAACCATAAATCAAATTAGTGTATATAATTATAAATTTTATAAACTTAATTCGTATAAGTAATCAAATTGTTAATTTTACACGACCTACTATATTTCAATTTTAAATAACTCAATTGAGAATATTGAGAATATTGAGAATATTGATTTATTATTTATTAACTATGTTTTAAAATTGTAAATCATGTCTAATATTTACTAATTAATAGACTTTTGAATCACAACTACTATATAAATATGTATATTTCAATTTTATATATCATCATTTGTTAATAATGTAGTACAAAAAAAAAAAGTTTAAAACTAAAATAAAAAAAAAATTAAATTATATTAAAGAAATAAAAAATCTATCAAATCTCGAAACACAAAATTAGAACAATCGGAATATGAATTTATTGGCTTTATTTTTTTTTTTTTTTTTTTTTTCATTTCTTAGTTTTGTTTTATAACCAATATAAGTTTAGATTATGGTTAAGTGAACTTGAAGTTTTTTTCAGTTGGACTTGGGTTATTTTTTAATTCGAGAAAGAATTAAGAAATCAAAATCAAAGAATTAATAGTGGTATTGGTATTAGAACCTTTCTAATTCAAGAATATTCTATTTATATTTCTATTTCTGTTTCTATTTCTGTTTCTGTTTCTATTTCTATTTGTATTTTTCAAATTGGTTAAAAGTACACTACTCTCCACAATACTAAGAGGATTCTTTTCTTTCTATATTATATTATATTATATTATATTATATTGTACTTAACCTCACTCCACTTTATTTGTAGAGAGAGAGAGAGAGAGAGTACTCACACCACTTAACTTATATTAACATATTCTTTTGCTGCTTTGTGTTCTTTTCTTAATTAATGATTTCTAAATTTATCTGGTTTTACAAATGATTAAATGAGTAGTATGTAAAAGTAATGATTCAATATATTTTGAAAAAAGTTTAATAAACGTTTTTTTTTTTTTTTTTTTATCAATAAAAATTAAATTTAATCACTAAAAACCTTTTTAGAGAATAACCTAATATTTGCAATAATTAAAACCTTTTTAGAGAATAACCTAATATTTGCAATAATTAAAACCTTTTTAGAGAATAACCTAATATTTGCAATAATTAGCATCTGATCATAATCGTCTTGATTATGTTGTTGTTTATTGTTCGTTCCACTCATTCCGTAAAACAATCTAGAAGAGTTTAACTGGTTGTGGTCTCTTCGCCAAGTTGTTCAAGAATTAAATTCTCTTTTATATTGCGTATTTAATATATATTAATGATTTTTATCGTGATTGCAAAATTTATCAATTTGTACACGTTTTTGTTTCTTGTTGCATTATTATTATTATTATTATTATTATTTCAGATTCAATTAACTCCGAGGAAAATAATGTAAAATTGGTAGTGCAATGAGTTTCAAATGTAATTTGCAGCCATTTTTCTAATTTGCCACTTTTGTGAATTTGATTTTGTTTTTGATTTTGTTTTTGATTTTGTTTTTGTTTTTGTTTTTGATTTTGTTTTTGATTTTGATTTTGATTGTTAACGTTTTATGAATATTCATTGCTTCCATGACAATTATTGGTAAGTAAGTATTAGATTAATTTTCAACGCAGGAGAATAATTTAAATTGAATATAATTTACAATTATAATCTAGTATGATAATTCAATTATGTTCTTGAGTTGAAAGTATAGGAGACAAAATATAAGTGACCTTTAGTTTAGTTGATGAGTAATTTGATTATACTAGCTTGAAAGCTAATTTATTTGAACAAATCGTATTAATATTCTTGCAATTATCCCCTTTGCGTTTAAGTATTACTCAGTTGAAATTTTTGCGTTTAACTTTCACTCAGTTGATATTGTTGCGTTAAAGTTTTACTCAGTTGATATTTTTGCGTTTAACTTTCACTCAGTTGTTATTGCTGCGTTTAACTTTCACTCAGTTGATATTTTTGCGTTTAAATTTCACTCAGTTGATATTGTTGCGTGTTTTACTCAGTTGATATTGCTGCGTTTATCTTTCACTCAGTTGATATTGTTGCGTGTTTTACTCAGTTGATATTGCTGCGTTTATCTTTCACTCAGTTGATATTGCTGCGTTTAACTTTCACTCAGTTGATATTGCTGCTTTTAATGGTGAATTAATAACTCAACACTTTAATATAATAATCAAACAACGCATAGTAAAACTTGGAAATCTTGACTGCTTAGATTCCGACCATAATTAGGATAATTCAAATCCACTGAACTCATCAAAATTTCCTTCATTATAACGAGGATGAAACAATGATAACAGTTGAGAGCTACATTTTCCACTCGAGCACTTCCAAAACGCGAGCAAGCAATACAGACGCGATTTCAGCTTTTTAATATATCATGATTGCTTGAACGTTCAAATTTGTTGAAAAAATTCAAAGCAGATGTTCTAAACTGCAAATATTTGGAATTGTCCAATTTCTCTTATTCTAGTGAATACATAAGACATATCTTCAGCTAAGAGTGCCAATTCTAAAGTCAGTTGGTTTTTTTTAATTGGAGTATTTTTTTTATGTTTTTTTTTTTTTTTGTGTCAGATCTCAGATTCTATAAATTTGCAACCAATCTCTGATGTAGATCGCGCAAAACTTTTGCGCTGTTTCTTAATACTTGAACTTTGCTAATTTTATGCATAGCATAATACAGGCACCGATTAGCCTTATGGCCTTATTATCCTAATTGTATTTATTGCTATTCTAGTTATTGCTTTTGTAGTTGAACGTTATAACTCCAGTGCAGCACAATGGACAATGATAAGCTCTCGATTTCTTTGAAACTAGTATCTATTTCGAGAAAATGCATAGTTCATGACGTATAAGGCTATGAGTTTAGTACGAGATCGTCCCAAACCTGAAGCCAGGAATTACTTCTCTCTCGACATATTCTCACATTGAAAATACGTAAATTGACTTATATGCAGTCTTTCATTCGTTAACAGTATAATTCAAATTTCAAATAACTCTCTAGATGTTCATTTTATCGCTTTCTAAATTTTTTCATGGGATATTGAATTATTATAGAATAGACTGATGTTAATTCCTTTGGAGGAGACTTAATTTTCATGACTTTATTCTTTATTAAAAAAATGACAAATAACGTTAAATTGCTAGATAGTCAAAACTTAAACGTTATCCATCAGTTTCTAACCTAGTTGATTTGGTTCAGTTAATGATAAAAATTCCAATTATAAATCTTTCAGGATGTCGAAATTGATTTTAATGGTGTTAGTGGAGTTGGATTTCTTGCTAGGTCAATTTGTTCAATTTTTGCCATACTTAAAACAAAATTTCGAAATTTTTCAATTTTAATCTTCGACAGCTGGAATTAAGTTCAGGACTGTATTTTGAGACATAATATATATAGTCCGTTATTTTTTTGAAAGTTATGGGCGTAAATAAAATCTACTCTGCGTTTTCCATTTTTTGGCAAAATCTTTGTGTGGTGGAAAAGCTCAAAATGAGAACTCAAAAAAAAAATGTTTGAAAGTTGAGTAAGTAACTAACAGAATATATGTTTCAGAACAATGGTATTTATTTCGAATGAATGCGTTGTGCGTTATATATAATACGAGTTGCCTTGAATCTAGCGCGAAGAGTACTAAATAATTGCACCAAGATTGGGCGAGATTTTCATGATTCAAAGTACAAAAGAAAAATAAAATCATAATTCTGAAACAAATTTCACTTGTTATTGGTCTCACCATAGTGAAATTTGAGACTTAGTCTGTAAATAACTCCATCGATATTCAAGCTCTACATCTCATTCTTAATTCATTGCAATCTCCAAACCAATTAGAATAAACTAACAGCACTACCCTTCATTAAATCTCAAATTTGATCTTTTGATTCTTCATCCAAAAAACTGCATAAAACTGCAAAAAACACTTAAAAACGGGAAAATCAACACTCAAAAATCAATTTTGTGCTTCCAAAATAGTGAAATCGGATTCTCCGACCCTCAAACTCCCTATACATTGCTTTTAGAGACTTCATAAAAAAAAAAATTGTCAATGTATGGGACGTTTTGGAAATTTTGACTGACAACTTTTCTCTTCCAAATTGTTTCAAACTGGGTATAATGAAACTTTGACCCATTTTGACTTCAAAATCTGCTTAGCAATGTGCATTTTCGAGTCTTGATATAATTATGTTCAATTTAAAAAAACTTTAAATTTTCAATTTACTCGCTCAATATTCACGCTTTTGCGCTGATTCTAGTCTTACTGAATACATCAGCCAATTTCAATTTAGATTTTTGGTCCGTATTCATGTTCTTGAATGTTTCCTCTAATTAACTTTTTGCTTGAAATTTTGCATTTTTTCATTGCTTAACTATTGCGGTTAGGATGTTTTGGGAGGTTCTGATTGGTCAAATTCAGATTCGAAAATCTTCAGAATTAACATTATCAACATGATTTTACTATATATTGATAGATCTTTTCTTGCACATTAACCGTATGTAGAACTTCTCTCATTAAACCTGCTGTCAAATTATGTTTTTCATCTTTTAGTGCGTTGCTTAACAATTGCGGTTAGGATGTTTGACAACGTATCTGATTGGTCAATTAACACCAAAAGTATCAAATTCAAAGCTATCAATGTAGTAACACTAGAAATCAATACAGCATTACTTGCTCATTAAACTCATGCTCAGCTTCTCTCACTAGACCTACTCGTTCATGAGTTATTTCCAAAATTAGTATTATATAAGCCCCACTTCCTAATTCGGTTTTTTAACTTTGGTCCATCAACAAAACTAATTTTTATTACACAAAAACTCGATCCAAAATTGACAACTTTTCTTTTTGTAAAATTTATTTAAAACGTTAATTACTTGAAAGTGATCGCAATTTATAGCCTAAACCCAACCATTTTGTATTCTTTGATAGCTCTAGTTTATTTGATGTGAAGCAAATGCGTTAATAATAGTTAATGGGGGAGTAAAACAATTTAATTCGAAATTTTGATATGCTTTATGTAAAGAACGGAAGAGGGGATCAATTGTTTCAGAATAAGTTGTATTTGACTCTTCTTAACATCCTGATCCTAATGCAGTTAATTGCTTTTGTAATAGTCTTGTATTTGTAGAGTTATTTCTCACTAGAAGATGCATTTTCACAAAGACTATTCATGAATCATACACCAAAATATTGTTGAATTCAAGTAGATGTACCTGCGTTTCCCGTACCATATGGCCTGAAGCTATCACACTGGGGCCAGATTGAAGCGTACCTTGGTAAGTAGTTAAATGGTTTTGCAATGTTAGGAAATCAACCTCTGAACGAACTATATACCTTAAGACACCAAATTCTCTAGTTTATCCTAAAAGTATGTGTAAAGTGTTTGTTTAAACTCACTATTTGGTTATGCTGTTTCCAGGATTTTGTCATGCTAACTTATTATTTAACTTTGATGCATAGATGATCTGGTGCAACCAAATAATTTCTCGCGTTAGACTTGAGGCGACCCGTACTACATATAACGTTTAATACATCCTGAACAAAGCTATCTCTCAAGATACACAAGAATTACATGAAATCAGAAGCATTGAACAATACATTTTACCTATTTCAAATTTCAAATTTTAAATATTTTTTTTTTTGACTTGTCATTTTGGCCATTTTTCACCATACAAAAAATTTGCTGAAAATGAAAACGCAAAGTATATTTTATCTACCGCCAAAACTTTCATTTAAACAACGAATTATATGTATCATATCTCAATTTAAAGTAAAGATTTTGATTCTAGCTGACCTAGTTTAAAATTCAGAAATTTCGAAATTTCTCTTAAGTATGAGGAAAATCGAATAAATCGAAAATTCTGATTCCACAATCATTATTCAAATCAAAACAAAGCAAAACTAACCTAATTTATAGTTTTATGTTCTGATAAATCTTAAAAATTTCTGTGTTAAGGTCTTCAAATTCGAACTGCCTTTTTTCGAAAGTGTTTTGAAAATTTTGAAAAAAATTCAGACCCAATATAGTGTGATAAAGCCACTGTACAAACTAATTTTGGAAACAAATGAACCAAACCAGATACTTTAGAAGTTGCTACATGAGGTTTAAGTACTGATTATCTCGCAAATTAGCGTTTTTTTCCAATTTTTGAAAGAGGAATAAAATGATCAAAATCAAATTTCCTTAATGATAACTACCATCAAGTGAATTCCAACTTGTTGATGTATCAGTGAAAAAAGCTTGAGAATAATAGCCTGGCTATTGAGGAAGTTATTTACAATCTAAGTTTCAAGAGTCACTACACTACGACTGCATATAAGTCAAATTCGCTCATGATATTGTTCGTAAGTATGTACGTATTTAAAATGCAGAATTGTGGTTAAACAAGTCATTAAGCTCGTTTTAATGACCACTGTTAACTCATATGAGTTCTCTAGTGTGATTTAATTCGAAAGGTAACTGTAGGTAAAATGTTATTGAGTACATACTAACTCAAAATATCACTAATTCGCTAAAACATGCTAATTTATATGGAATAATTAATACTCTAAATTGAAACGCTTGAAATCAAAATTAAAAGGAAATTACCTCTGCAGCCATTCAACTTAGTTGAGTTATTTTACTATGAAAAGCATATATTAGTGAATGAGCTTACGATCTAGTTTAATTTTGCAGCCAAATTTTTTTAACCGCGCGAAGAGATGAAAATAAATTTACGAAATTGCAACAAATTAAAAATATGTCATTTTCATTCGGATTCACGAATCAAGATTTAGATAATGATGAAATAGACATTTCAAATGAATCAAATATAACAAACCCAAAAGAAATACCCAATGCATTATCATCTTTCAAAGTTTCACAACAGAATTTACCAGTTCAACATTCATTATCATCAATTTTATCAACTTTAAAAAATGTTAGAATTTCCTTTGATAATTATACTACACCAGGAGGCAATATCATATATCGAAGAGAATTATTCGATGTCAAACATCAGATTATGTCAGAAGATGAAAATAACAATATCCTAATTAATGATTTATTAATACATGAAAATCATTCAGATTTGAAATCAAATATTTATGAAGGTGGTTTTAAAAGTTGGGAATGTGCTTATGATACAGTAGATGAATTATCTAAATTAGGTCAAGATCTATTTTCTAAGAATATTCTTGAAATGGGTTGTGGTACATCCTTACCTTCCAGTTATATAATTTTGAAAAAACTTGAAAATAAAAATAAACAACCTTTGAAGTTAATATTGAGTGATTTTAATTTTGATGTGTTAAGATTAGTCACAATTCCCAATTTGGTTATACATTGGGCATCTACAATTGAACCAAAATTATTATATGAGTTAACTACTACTGAAAATGATAATAGATTTAATAATGATGAGTTATTAATAACTGAGGACCTAATAAATAGGTTTGAAAAAGATTTAGACGAATATAGTATCGATGTGAAATTTATATCTGGATCTTGGGGTAATGAATTTAATCAAATGATTGAAAAAGATGATATAAATTTTATAATTAGTTCAGAGACTATATATTCACCTGAAATGTTACCTATTATAGCTGAATCAATTAACGAAATATTAGAAAAAAGTAATTATGGTTATGCATTAATAGCTGCAAAGAATATATATTTTGGTGTCGGGGGATCAATAATTGAATTTTTAAATTATATGAATTCAATACAGAATGCTAAATTTGAAATTCAAGTTAAAGAAATAAATGATAGTCAATTAAAAAGATCAATCATAAATATTAAATATGGTTAGCTAGTTAAACTGGGTCCAATTGTATAAAAATCAGGCCATATTAGAATAGTAAATATAAAGTCGTGTCATATTATTATTTATTTGCACCAATTGTATTTTAGCAAACTCTAATACTTTTTTTTTTTCACTCAATCAATCGTTATTTGAAAACATATATATATTCAGAGTAATTGGTTAAATAATTTACCACTTTTCAATTCATATTTATTACAAGCTATTCATTTATATATTTATTCAAATAAAGGGAAAAGAAAAGGTATGTTTGGAATTCAATTTTCAATTTTTGATTATATAAATCTTAATAGATGAGCTGCAAGATTAGACGTAAATCAAGAACAAACAATACAATTGATAAGAGAATACCAACAAGAGTAGAATAGAGACAGTGGACAATCAAAAAGAGTCAATTCGTGCCTTGGGTTGCAAATTTCAAATTAATCAAGTATTTTACACAAGTTTTCAATTAAAATCATATCAGACCATTCATCATCATACACTTACCATCTATTATATCAACTACTTTCATTAATACTTGTTTATACATTTTATCAAGTCGTTCACCAAAATCAAATCCATCTAGCCAATCAAATATTCCGCTAATTTTGTTAGCAGAGAATAGAAGAAAAAAAATTATTATATAATCAATAGAAACTGAAAAATTTAAATACTAACAATTAGCAGAATGTTTAAATCATTAACTAGAACTGCTATAAGATATAACAGTACAGTTGCTAAAACAGCTCCAAGAGCTTTATCAAATGCATACATTGGAAATTTAGAATCAAGATGGACATCATTACCAAAAGAAGATCAACAAAGTTTAATAGAAGAATTAAAAGTTAGACAAGAATTACCATGGCAAGAATTAACTCCAGCTGAAAAAAAAGCAGCTTATTATATTTCATTTGGTGAATGGGGTCCAAGAAAACCTTTATATGGACCTGGTGAACAATCAAAAGTATTTTGGGGAACCGCTGGTTTAATTGTATTATCAGCTGTATTATTCTTTGGTATCAAACAATTAGCTCCACCTCAACCACATACATTAAATAGAGAATGGCAAGAAGCTTCTGATGAATATTTAAAGTCAAAGAATGCAAATCCATTTTCAGGTTATTCACAAGTTCAATAAAAAATTTAAATACTTTAGCATATTATTAATAAATGAATTAAGATCGTAAATTATTTATCTACACGAATCAAATAGTGTTTGTTGCATCCTTACATTATTCTTTTTTTTAAAGGCAGCTTGACATTTATTTACCTATATGGTGCATCAGCATCTATACAATATTGTAATTCTTGTTCCCATTTATCACCATTATCTAATAATTTTTCTTTATTATATAACAATTCTTCTCTTGTTGCAGTTGAATATTCAACATTTGGTGATTCGACAATTGCATCAACAGGACATGATTCTTGACAATAACCACAATATATACATTTAGTCATATCAATGTCATATTTATAAGTTCTTCTTGATCCATCTGCTCTTTCTTCTGCTTCAATTGTAATTGCTTGTGCTGGACATATAGCTTCACATAATTTACATGCAATACATCTTTCTTCACCACTTGGATATCTTCTTAATGCGTGTTCCCCTCTAAATCTTGGAGATACGGGACCTTTTTCAAATGGATAATATATTGTATAAGGTGATCTAAAGAACATCTCTAAACAAATATACATCCCTCTGGCTATTTCGGATAAAAAGAAATATTTTGTAGCTTTTGATAATGCACTTTCATGATCATCTTCCCATGTTTTTGGTTTTGGTTGTCTAAAACCTTTTGGCATAACTGCTTGAGTTGAGCCTGCAGTAGTAAGATATTCTGTAGATAACGCAGCAGGTTTCCATAATTTATTAGTTGTAGATATGAATCTTTGATTTATGATGGGTCTTATTATATGTTTGAACATGATCAAGGTTTGATTGTAGATGTTAATTTTTTTGGTAAGAAAAAAAAATTCATTTATTATTGGTTAATCTTATATACACTACCACTTGGAACCAACCAATATAGCTTGTGGATCACTTGGTTTTTCAATAGCATTAAAATATGTCTTAAGCAATCTTTCATTAGTTATATTAAATTGTTGTTCAAATGAATTACACCATTTCATAAACATTTCAATTTGATTTGTATTTATAGTTAAATCAAACATTGGTATTGAATTATATTTATTTAATGCTTCTTCTAACCAATCTTTTTCTGAAATATCTTGTGGATGAGATATTTGACCACCTCCATTTATACATCCTTGAGGACATGCCATTATTTCAACATAATCTACTTTAGATGCATCTGCTTGATCTTTTGTAGTACCTCTTCTTCTTATTGGATTTATTTTTGTATTTGGATTCAATTTACGTACTAAATTTTGAATATTTTTAAATCCATTAACTACTGCTGATGATGCTATTTTCATTTCTTGATAATATAATCTATATTCATATAAATCTGAATTTCTACCTTCAATTTTCTCCAATTTAAAATCTGTTTTAGTATAACCTTGTAATATTAAATCGTCTTGAACCATTCGTATATAATTAAATGCATAACCTCCAGAAGCACTTCCCGAATCATTATACCAAGAATAATCAACAAATGGCCAATTTTTAGGTGCATTTTCTTTATAAACTTGATTTATATCTTGATTTAAAATATTTGAAAGCCCAATTTTGGGTATTAATTTATAATTTGTTTCTTCAACCAAGGTTATTAATTCTTTTGGTGTTAAAACACAATCAACATCAGGTAATGTATCACCATAAATTTCGGGTCTGGCACTTTCCAATTTTTTATCAAAACATGGCATTATAGTTAAATGGAAAATATTTTCCTTTGATATTCCTTCAAAAGCTGTTAAATTTTTTAGTAAACATCCAGTAATTTGTTGTGCTGATTTAACTGTTGAAATTTTTGGTAAAATATATGGATGAGTTTTTTCTGCATATAATACCCAACCAGGACATATTGAAGATAGTATTGGTCCTTTTTTACCTATATTTTGTTTAGCTTCATTAATTAATGATATTTTTCTTCCTAAATTTGTACCTATTATATATTTAAACCCCATTTGTTTAAATAAATTGATTAGTAATTTATCCATATTTTCAACTGACATATTAAATGCTGTGGATAATGAAGCTCTTGCTTGTTGAGATATAGAAACAACAAATGTTTTATCTAATTCTAAAGCTTTTAGTAGCTCATGGTGTGAATGTTGTGCTACCAATACTTCTTCTGCTGAAGTTATGCAACCAGAACATGCCAAACAATCAGCTAGTGAAATTTGAGCAGGTGATAAATTAGTTTGTTTACCATCTATTTTTGATATTTCCAAAGGTTTACCATCTGAATCTATTTGTATTTCAACTTCCCCTTCTTTATAATCTATTTCAACTGGTTTTATACAAGCAACACCTGGTGATATAAAATCATTTAAATCTTCTGCTGATAACAAACTCATTGAAGAGAGAAAAAAAAAAATATATATATAATTATTCACTATCTATTTCTAAATCATTTAATTCAAAATCTTGAGCATTTAATTGATCATATTTATGTAGTTCACCGTCTTCATTATATCCAACTAATCTAAGATATAATTGAATTAATAACTGAAAATATAAAAATATTAGAAAAGCACTTGACCCTAAAATCATAACATATGCTGAATGATCAGATCCTAAATCATGTACCAATACCAATTGCTCTTCATTTGCTCCCATAAATAATATCCCTGATAATGTTAAACAAAATGGTGGTAAATATTGAAATGAAAATATCCCACTTGAACTACTTTTATCTTTTAATAAAAAAGAAATCTCAATAATTCTAGTTATACCAGCAGTCATTAATGCAAATCCAAAAACTGCATGTACTTTAGTTGAAATTTCTAAATGCTGTGAATGTTGTGACATTGCATAACCTGTACAAATTAATAAAATTGATGGAATCCAATTTCTTCTTTTAACTGAAAAATAAACTCCCAACATACCACCACATAACCAAATTAAACCAAAACTTGTATGTTGAAAATCCAGCATTGACCAATTTTGTCCCCATCTATGCTCTGTAAATGTATTTACTAATCCAAATAATAACATAACTATTGAATCATAAAATTCTTGAATATACAGATGTTTTCTAATCCATGGAACTACTAGAACAATTGATAATATTAAAGAATATAATATAAATGAACCTCCCATTATAAAATGAGCTGCACATTGACCTGCGTGGTCGTTATAACAGAATCCCAATAATGCCGATGCTGCCATAACGACACGAATAGACCCATTTAAAGCAGAAAGTATGGAAAAGGATTTATATAACTTTGAAAGCCAACTTGATTCATGAAAGTGGTTTAAATTTGAATAAAATTTATTTATAATTAAATTTGAACCGTTTATAAAAGTACCAAGAAAAATAGTTAAACTTAATAAAATACTTAAAGACCAACTTGTACCTCTTGAAGTTATATTTTCATGACCATTTGGATCTGGAAATTTAATAAATAAAGTTTCAAAGATTGAATAGATTGTAGAAATGTATTGTAAGATTAAAGACCAGTTGAATCTATTAGCTATAGAAAAAGTTGATGAAATTGTTGGGAATAAAACCAATAAAATTATTGATAAAATCCAATGGAATGTTTTCGAACCAGGATTAATTGGATGGAACTCGGGGAGATCATCCATGTCCATATCTTCCATATTGACAGCTATTTCTTGATAATATTTATTTCTTATTTCTTTCTTACATAATATTTTTCACACGAGAATATTTAATATTTTGAAAATTTCCTATAATCAACCAAACATGATTATACTATTACTATGGTTAAGTATATGTTTGGCTAATTATATACCTACTAGAGATTATGAAAATAGAAACTATTTTCTTGTTGAATTAAATACTACAAATTCTCAACAACCATTACTCAATTTTATACAATCTACTGGTTATAAATTTGAACATCAATTACCTTTAGATAATCATTACGTGTTTAGTATTGATAAAAATCATCCAGATAATAATGATTTATCAAAAAGAAATGATTATGATATACAGTTATTACCTCCAAAAAGATTAGAAAAAAGAATGCCTGTTTATATTAGAGAAGATAATATACCTCCACAAAGTCAGACCGACCAGGCACATAAAAAATTGGCTCAAATTGTTTCAAAATTAGATATTCACGATCCCGAATTTACTACTCAATGGCATTTAATAAACACAATTTATCCTGGTCATGATGTTAATGTAACTGGTTTATGGATGGAAGATATTCTTGGTCAAAATATTGTAACTGCAATTGTTGATGATGGTGTTGATGCAGAATCTGATGATATTAAAGACAATTTTAATTTAAAAGGTTCTTGGGATTATAATAATAATGGTAATATTCCTTTACCTAGATTATTTGATGATTATCATGGCACAAGATGTGCTGGTGAAATTGCAGCTGTTAAAAATGATGTTTGTGGTATTGGTGTTGCTTATAAATCACAAGTTTCTGGTATTAGGATTTTATCAGGTTCAATAACTGCTGCTGAAGAAGCTGCTGCTATGATTTATGGTTTAGATACAAATGATATTTATTCATGTAGTTGGGGTCCAACAGATAATGGTAAAACTTTAGCTGAACCTGATTTAGTTGTTAAAAAGGCAATGATTAAAGGTATTCAAGAAGGTAGAAAAAATAAAGGAAGTATTTATGTATTTGCTTCTGGTAATGGTGGTAGATATGCTGATTCATGTAATTTCGATGGTTATACGAATTCAATTTATTCAATTACTGTTGGTGCTATTGATTATAAAGGTTTGCATCCAACTTATTCAGAAGCTTGTTCTGCTGTTATGGTAGTTACTTATTCATCTGGATCTGGTGAACATATTCATACTACTGATATTCATAAAAAATGTTCATCTCAACACGGTGGTACGTCTGCTGCTGCTCCTTTAGCAAGTGGATTATATGCATTAATATTATCAGCAAATCCTGAATTAACTTGGCGTGATGTTCAATGGATAAGTGTTTTAAGTGCTTCTCCAATTAATGAAAATGATGGAAATTATCAAGAGACTGCATTAAGTAGATTATATTCTCACAGATATGGTTATGGTAAAATTGATGCTTATAAAATGGTTCATTTTGCTAAAGAATGGAAAAATGTTAAACCACAAGCTTGGTATTATTCTGATGTTATGGATGTTAATCATAGTATTAGAGATGGTAAAATTATAAAATCAACAATTTCAATTACAAAAGAAGATTTAGATATAATGAATGTTGAAAGAGTTGAACATGTTACTGTCAGAGTTAATATTGATGCAAGTTTTAGAGGTAAAGTTGGTATGAGATTAATTTCACCTCATGGTATAATTAGTGATTTAGCTACTTTTAGACCTTTTGATGCATCTTCAAGAGGTTTCAAAGATTGGACTTTTATGTCTGTTGCTCATTGGGGTGAAACAGGTATTGGAAATTGGACAGCTGAAGTATTTGCCGATGAATCTAAAGGTGAAGTTGATATTAATTTTGTTAATTGGCAATTGAGATTATTTGGTGAATCTATTGATGCTGAGAAAGCAGAAGTATATGATATTACAAAAGATTATGCACAAGTCAGAAGGGAGAAACAAAAGCCAAATCCTGCACCATCTTCAGTTATGAATTCAATTGTTTCATCATCAATTCCATTTTCCTCAGTTTCTATTTCATCAAGTATTGTTACATCTGAGTTGAGACCAACAATTGCATCAAGTAGTACTGAAACAAGTTCAACAATTGAAGCTAGCTCTACTACAAGCTCCACAGCTTCTGCTACAGCTTCTGCTACAGCATCTGCAACATCTATCCCAGATGAAGATAAAGAAGGTACTAACAAAGAATATACACCAGATCGCACAGGAATGTATTTCATGGGTTTTGCCATTGTTGGGTTTATAGTAGTTCTTATCATTATGAAATTTCATAAAAGACCAAAAACTAGAAGACGCACTAGAAGAGATGATTATGAATTTGATATAATACCAGGTGAAGATTATACAGATTCTGATAATAATTCAAATGATTCTTTTGATCTAGGTGATAGAAATGATCAAAGAAATCAAGATAGAAGAGATGATGAAACTAGGGATAGATTATATGATGAATTTAATGCTGAATCATTACCTGATTATGAAAATGATATGTTTAAAATTGAAGATGATGATGATTTGACAAATACAAAAGATGATAGAAATAAAAATACTAATGAAATAGATAAATCAAACAAATGAACTTTTTTTTAAATAATTATAGATTTTTAATACATAATTTTTACATCGTGTTAATTAATGTTGAAAAGATTCCGGCTATTTTACTAGAGTGCAAAAGCTCAGCATAACTTAGATAATACTATTATTGTACTACTCCTTCCAAACTGGTCAAAAGCATATGAGGTTTTTTAAAGGTTGAGAAGATATACAATAACTATATACATTAAAAATCCTTGGGGTATTTTGATTCTTAGGGGGCATTAATGTAATTTAAGCTATGTACAGTAAATTACTCTGTCGAAATAAAACTTTCAACTTAATGACGAGTGAGTAGGTGATTTTTACCAGTCAGCAGCTGCCTGGATACTAGTTAAACGTTTCTATTAAAGGTATGTACAATTCTTGTGATAAAATCAAAAAACTTCAAACTTACTAATATCAACATATTCCAAGAGATGTAGGTTGTTTTGAGATTCAGCAAAAGCAAGGCATAAAAGGAAAAGAACAGGCTAATAACAGAAAACACTATATTTCTAAGATGAACTTGAGAATGAATTGTATGATGTATTTAACGAAATTTTTTTTTGCGAAATTGAAACAAACAAAAAAAGACTAATTAGATTGATCCCCAGACCCAAGTCATCAAACATTATAATACTACTTAAATGACAACTGTTGTTTGGAAACTATGAGTTCTTCCACAACTTTGCTGGACAAAATTTCTTTTTTTTTTTCTTCTTTTTTTTTTTGGTTTATAGTTTCTTTTTGTTTTTGTGCCTTGTTTCAGAATAGAAAATACGACAAAAAAAAAAAATTGCGCGATTTGTCGCTTATCTCAGAAATCTTTTGCGACCAAAATCTTTTGCAACCAAAATCTTTTGCAGCCACATGATCCCAAATGATCATTAGAAAAACTGCAACCAAAATGTGTGCCTCTCAAATAAAATTTAAAGGGTCGTAAGACAAACAGTTAGTAAATTATTGAAGAAGACTTTGAGCTCAAAACAAGTTTTTTTTTATCAAATGTTGTATATTTCTCGTAGTGTAACGTTTTCTTGATGATTTTGATTACTAACCAACTTACTTCAAAATTTTTATAATTTAATCAATTGGCAATTCAAAAGCTAGGGTCTTTTTTTTGACAGATCTTGTTGCGCATAAGTTGTTCATTATTGGGATTATTGAGTATCAGCAAATAATGATAAATCAAGTCTCCTATCGACCGATACCAAGATATAATACATCATATACAACTAGTTGGTGTTAAGTATTTTTTTTTTTCTGTAATAGGCTCAACGGAATATCAAGTTCGCAAATCAAAATTATTTGCTAACCTGAGAAATGGACAATTACTCACATGCACTAGGATCATGATCGATTCGGTCCAAATTGAAAATGATGGGGCATGCGAAGTTGGCTCAAGATTGCATTGTTCAAATATTTTTATGTTGTAATTATTAATTTATTATAACTTTCCAATGGACGATATAAATCCGAAGAAATCCAAAACTCAAATGGGAGAATACGAATAAAGTATAAACACAATTAGTAATATACAAAATTAACTGAGTTGAATTCTCTTCGTACTAATAATTGTATAAATCGACCACTTTGTATTCCAACTTTTAGCGAACATTACTTGGTATTTTAGATATCAAGGATCGTACAATTGCTATCAAATAGTTGTTGCGTTCGTCCTTACTCAACAAGCAACATTTTTTTCCGTTGTAGGTTTTATTTTACAACTAAAAATTCTATTATATAATTTTGTGATTCGAGATGACTCAATGATTGCTTTTGAACTCTAATCTAGATCTTTAGAGACTTTCTAGCCTAAGAGAATTAGCTAGTTAATTTCAATACAGTGTTTGTTCACGTAGAACTCTAACTCAATTCAATTAAGCTCAATTGCTAGTAATAATTCATGATTGAACTTTATCAAAATATTACTAAACTTCCACGTCTAATATTAAGCCCTTTACATCCGAACAAAAAATAGCTTCTACGCACGACCATTCAAGATTACAATAAATTTAAATTTGTTCTCTTTTTTGTTCTTTCAACATTTGACTTTACAATTTGCTGCAGTTTTACAACAAAACTATTTTACATAACTCAATTCCAATCTTATCAAGTGATATACTGAATAGCTACAGGTTTTAATTGTTTAACAATCAAAATTAATTAGTTTTTGACTCAAAAAAAGCGCATTTTTTTTAAATTTCAAATTTTTCAACAATATCAACATGGCGGACGAAGCATCCTTCAAGGATTACTACAGCGTGGTCATTTTTGGAGCGTCAGGTAACCTTGCTCAGCTCAAAACTTTTCCATCATTATTTGGGTTGTTTCAAAGAGGTAAATTGAGTTCAAAGTGCCAAATCATTGGATACGCCAGATCAGATTTGGATAGAGAAGAATTCGAGAGGAGAGCCACTAAAGGGATTAAGAATGGGGAAGATGAAAAGATCAAACAATTCTTAGGTATTACGAGCTATATTGAAGGAAAATACGATGTTGACGAAGATTATCAAAAAATTACAAAAAGATGTGAAGAATATGAAAAAGAACACAATGTTGACAAACCACAAAGATTGTTTTACTTAGCCTTACCTCCATCACAGTTTGCTTTGGTTCTATCTCATATTAGAAAGAATTGTTACGACAAGAAAAGTGGAAATTTTTTTAGAGTAATTATCGAAAAACCGTTCGGAAGAGATTTGAAAACTGCCAGACAGTTACAAGAAGAAATTGCGCCGTTATTCAGTGAAAGCAGCATTTTTCGCGTAGATCATTATCTAGGCAAGGAAATGGTAAAGAACTTACTTGTTTTAAGGTTTGGTAACGAATTATTTTCAAGTGTTTGGAATAAGAATAATATTGCATCAATTCAGATCTCATTTAAAGAAGCATTTGGAACAGAAGGAAGAGGAGGATACTTTGATGATATTGGTATTATTAGAGATGTAATGCAAAATCATTTATTACAAGTTTTAACTTTGTTGACTATGGAAAGACCAACTTCTTTCGATTCAGAAGCTATTAGAGATGAGAAAACAAAAGTATTAGCTTCATTTGACAAGATTGACGTTGATAATATCTTAATTGGACAATATGGTAAATCAGAAGACGGTAAAAAGCCAAGTTATTTAGATGATGAAACAGTTAAAAGTGATTCTAAGTGTGTTACATACTGTGCATTTGGTGTTAACATTCACAATGAAAGATGGGATGGAGTTCCAATTGTTTTAAGAGCTGGTAAAGCTTTAGATGAAGGTAAAGTTGAAATTAGAATCCAATTTAAACCAGTCGCAAAAGGTATGTTTAAAGATATTCAAAGAAATGAGTTGGTTATTAGAGTTCAACCAGATGAAGCTATTTATTTAAAAATCAATTCAAAAATTCCTGGTGTTTCAACCGAAACTTCTTTGACTGATTTGGATTTAACATATTCAAAACGTTATTCTAAAGATTTTTGGATTCCACAAGCTTATGAATCTTTAATTATGGATTGTTTACAAGGTAATCATGCTAATTTCGTTAGAGATGATGAATTAGATATTTCATGGAAATTATTTGATCCATTATTAGAAGCAATTGAAACTGGTAAAACTAAAGCAGAATTAGAAATTTATCCATATGGTTCAAAAGGTCCAAAGAAATTAAAAGAATTCTTAAGAAACCATGGTTATGTATTTGATGATCCAGGTACTTATCAATGGCCATTAACAAATACCGATGTTAAAGGTAAAATTTAGTAATATATATTAGTTTATAAATTAATTTTCTGTTAATACGAATCGGTGTTACCCCGTTGACTTATCTCCGATCAGATAATGGAGATTAACATTCTCGAATTTATAGCGTAGCTATAATTCAATATTTCTGTAATTCTCGTGGCAAATCATTTCAGAACAGCCTTCCTAAAGTCGTTGACAGGCCGATGTCCTGAAACACTACTAATCAAATACATTGAATGAATAAAGCATATATAATGCTGTTGTTATGGACAGCTAAAATCTAAATCTTGATAAGTGTTAAAATACAAATTGGAGTAATTAAAAATCTGACTTCATAGTATACTGATTAAGTAAATATCAAGTGCTGATACGCGTAGAACCTTTTAAAACCGTAGGTATAGTATTTTAACCTACAATTCCTCAGCTTTCACACAAGTAATTAGTCCGGTAAATGGTATATTTGACCGCTGTTTCCAAGTCGAGCCAGATGACCATTTTTCGAGTAAACATTATCTAGGCAAGGAAAAAGTACAGAATTTACTCGTTTTAAGGTTTTCGTAATGAATAGTTTTCAAGTGTTTGCAATAAATAATACATCAATTCAGATATCATTTAAAGAAGCATTTGGAAAAGAAGGAAGAGGAGGATGATTTGGTGAAATTGGTATTATTAGAGACGTAATGCAAAATCATTTATTACAAGCTTTAACTTTGTTGACTATGGAAAGACCAACTTCTTTCGATTCAGAAGCTATTAAAGACGAGAAAACAAAAGTATTAGCTTCATTTGACAAGATTGACGTTGATAATATCTTAATTGGACAATATGGTAAATCAGAAGATAGTAAACAACCAAGATATTTAGATGATGAGTTCAAATGTGTTGATATAATTTCTACTACAGTTACCACTTAGGATCATACTTTGTAATTGTTTTGAACTCAAATGATGCAGAATCAGAGGACAGAAAGTTTGGAATTGCAATAAATGATGATGACTTTAACTGGTGCCAGAATTATAATCATAATTGTGAATTATAAATATGGCATTAACAAAAACAAATTTAATCAGAGATGCTCATCTCATCGCATTAATGTAAACAAATATAATATGTATTAAATATACAAGTTCTTAATTCTCTTAATAATTTATATGGTTTAATCAGACATCCAAAGGAAGGTCTATAATAGACGGTCACTGAACATACAAAATTAGGTTCGTATCGTATGCTACCGAGGAAACTGCGAATGTAATTGGTAATTTTCATCACTTTAAACCATTTTAAATCACTAAATGAAATTACAATTGATAGAAGTAAAATCTTCTAAGTTGTAATTTGAACACAATCTTGGATCAGAAATGTAATAATACTGGCAAGTATAAGCTTTGATAAAATGAATTATTATCAAAACACTTTTGATATTATCTGTATCATAGTCGAATCAGACATGGAAAGAAGAAACTAAATTTCATCATTTCAAGATTGTATTGAAGAAAAAAAAATATTTTTTGATGAGTAATAGTTTATATATACTATGTATTTTCCGGGTAATTATGTAGGTTTTCGTTTATTTTGTAAATTTTTCGTTATTGAATCGTCAGTTATTGATAATGTCGGTTGATTATTGGGAAGATAAGAATATCCAAATGATAAACTTCTTCTTAAACTAAAATCATCATCTTCTTCTTTAGTTTCATGATGCATACTTTTTCTTTGCTTTTGAGATGGTGGGGCAGTTGGTACAACTGAATATTTTCGTTCTTTAAATACAACACCAACTTCTTTTATATTCTTTTGATGATCAGGTTGTACTTTATTAAACCAATCTGATTTTTCATCATATTCATACATTGTATAATCCGTTCCATAAGGTTTTGATTCTAAACAATATAAAGTATGTAAAGGAACATCTAATTCTCCAATATTTGATTTATCTAAATTTAAATAGTATGCTAATAAAATTCTCAATACAACTCTATGTGATATAATTAATACATGATCAGTTGTTCTTTCTATTTCTGTAATCAACGGTCTTAATCTTGTTAAAACATCTAAATAAGATTCACCACCAACACCTGGATATCTATAACTTAACTTATTTTCTAATCTTGATTGAAATTCTTTTGGATATTTTTGTTGAATTTCATCATATGTCATTCCTTCAAATTTCCCACCACCTAATTCATTCAACATTCTCATTTGCTTAATTGAATATAATTGATCATTAAAATATTTACCAGTTTCAATAGCTCTAATTAACATTGATGTCCAAACACAAAAATTTGGTTCTGTTGGTATTGAATCCAAAGTTGCAACATCATTTTCATTAAATATTGAATTATATTTCAATTCTAACCTAGTACTAAAGCTTTCCAATTGTTGTTTTCTAAATTCTTGTCTTTGAAAATTCATAAATTTACATAAAGATTTCGCAAATTTTTGACCACGTTTAGTTAAATGAGCATCACCACCTATTCTACCTGAAAGATTATCTTTAGATTCTCCATGTCTTGTAATCCAGATTTGCCTTTCAGCTAAATTGAAATTTAATAAGAAATAAACAGTTTGTGATGATAAAAAACCTTGAATATTATATGAAACAACTTTTTTACCAACATCAATCATTTTAACATATTGAAAGCCAGGTATTTTTTCCTCTTCTTCATCAATTGTTTCATAAGCTTTTTCATAATTTAATAATCTACCAACAAAATCTTTCAATGCTAATTCTGGATCCATATTTTTATAATCTGGTCCACTCAATTTTAATCTGATATTTGCTTCAATGATTGATGGATCACTACATATACTTTCAAGATATAACACTTTTAATTCACCATTTGAACGTTCTTGAATTCTTTTAAGTACTCTTTTTCTCCTTGCCTTGGTAGAATTTGTTGCATCAAAAATCCCTACTGAACCAGAACCATTTATGACATAATCTAATAATTGATCTAAGGTATCCATTGCCCATTTCTCTCTCAATAGAGTTGATGCTTGATTTTCTGGATTGAAAAAAGCAGCATCATGTTCTTTTGATGGTACTTTTGGAGATTTTTCAGGAGTTTGAGAATCTGGTAATGGATTTTTTTCAGGTCCAGCATTTAATTTATCTTTTCTTCTTGTATTACCAACATTGAAAACTCTACAATCATGTTGTAACCAATTTAGATATCTTGTTAGTTTATTTGTTATATACGATTTACCTCTTGCAGGTAATCCGACCATTACTATAACTAATTTACTTCCTACATCAACGGAAGCAATTTTACCATCGGGTGAAGTTTTTGATGATGTTTGACCTGGTATATTTAATGTATAAGTTTTTCTTGCTGATGGAGGTGGTTTTGTCATTAATAAATTTTTCAACTTTTCTAATGATGGTGTTTTTTCAAATTGCTCCTTCATTTCTTTTGGAACATCTTTCAATAAATGAGATTTAATTTCTGAATTCATATGTATTGCATTTTTATCTAAAGTCATTGGAGAAATAGATCCGGATTTTAAATCATCAACTACTATAGTTGGTTTAATTGGACTTGTATATGCTTGATGTAATGAAGGTCTTTTATTATCTAACATTGAAGCACCAACCATTGCAGCAGAATTTCTTCTTTCGGCAAGTTTCGAATTACTCTTGTCATCTTTTTCTTCTCCCATATCTGATAAATTTAGATGTGAAATATTCTTTTGTAAAGGCTCTTCTTCTTCTTCAATAATTTGTTGTTCCTCTTCATCTTCTTCAGTATAATTACTAGGAGATCCAACAATCGGAGTATCAGTTAAAGGCCTTTTATTAAATTCTGGTAGAATTGAAATGATCAGATTATTTGAATCTGTAGTTTCTAATAATTGTGAGTCTAATGATTTTGAAATTGCCAATTTTGCACCTCCTTGATATTTTCTCATTGGTTTTCGGATGGTTTTCTTTCTAAATTTCTTTGGAGATAAACTTGCTGGTGATGGTGTTACACTAGTTGTAAAATGAGCTAATCCTGGTGATTGACGTTGCTGCTGAAGATGTTTTTGAAAATTGGGTTGACGTAGTACTACTTTGGTATCATCATCTTTTGCTAATTCTTCCTCTTCCTCATCATCATCATCTTCTTCTTCACTAGAATAACTTCTTTCAGAATCATCGGATTCATCATCACCATATACGTCAGAAGAATTCATAGAATCATAATTTGAAAATGATACTTTTTTGGAATTATTTGCTTTTGAATGAGAATGAGCTAAAACTCCGTTGCTTATTGAATTAGATTTTTTTCGATTCATTGGAGTTGAAGTTGAAGTTGAAGAATCTTTAAAATTCGAAGCAATTATATTTCGTATTGATTCATGATGTTGTTGATTGTTATTATAATAATTTTCAGGTGAAGCAGATCCTGAGTTCATTTATTATATCTTATTAAATATTGTTGAATAAAAAAAAAAAAAATAAATATACATACAAAATAATATAATAAATAAATAAAGGGCAGGAAATGAAAGATATAATAATAATAATGATAATAATACTAATAATAATAATAACAATCAGTATTACGCTGTATTGTTTCTTTTAATTGTTTAGTGTTGATAACTGATTTATATATAAAGTAAAATGGGATGACTATAAACTGTTGTATTTTATTTTATTTTATTTTCGGAGTTTGTTCCTTCAACTAAATGATTATTACAATTATAACTACCAAGTTTAATAATAATAATTTATTCTTCACACTGTTGATTTAGATGTTCTATCGACTATTTTGTAATATAAATATCATTATTGGCTACTTAACAAAGTATGAAAAGAGTAATTATATAAATAAGTCTAATTATAAACGAATACAATTACAGTTACCTTTGAAAACATAAGTATCGATTAAAGGTGATTATCAAATTATTGAACTTGAGATTGAATTTGCGATAGAAGTTGCGATTGAACTCGCGATTGAACTTGCGATGTGTGCGCTTAAATAATGCGCTTCTAGACCAATTATTTCCGTTTAATCTCGTATATTTTTTGCTTTTCAATAATCAATGAGCCACTATGAAAATAGACAAAGAATAATAAATTATTGTTTAAAGAATGTTAGTTTAATAGGCAAATGTTATTAAAGAACGAGCAATGTATTTCACTAAAGGACAATTCTATAATGAAGGAGATTCTGTTTTAATTTCAATGATCAAGTTAAATAAATCAAGATTGACTTGAGCAAGAGATGTCAATTAAACAGTATTTTCTTTAGAAAATCCAGTTCATGTTTTTACTGACAATCTTCATTTCTGAAACTACCCTGATCATTCTTATATTTTTTAAATTAATTGTTAAGGCGACTTATATGCAGTCCGCACATAGTTGATCTTTAAATTTGGTTCATGAATAACTCTCTTATTTTTTGAGCTATTGTTTTCAAACGTATTTGATTGAAAAGCTCCGTTGAATTGGAGTGAATTGTATTAGCCTCTCTCAAGAGATTCAACTATGGTCACTTTATTCCACATTCAAGAAATACAAAAAATGCCAAATCGCGAGATAACCACTACTTGAACTCTATTTAGCAGCTTCTGAGATAGCTGAATTGGCTCATTAAACTCTAAATATCATAGCCATAATGGTTTGCTGATGCCAAAATCAGTTTCAAATTTTTGCAAAAATTTCACGCCACCTTGAAAAATTAATACTCGCGTTTTGAATATCTTAGCGTAAAAATATTCGAAATTCATCATAATACAGAACTCGAAATCTGAATAGATTTGCTTTGTTTTGATTTGAATGTTGATTGTGGAATCATATTTTGCGTAAGGTCAATTTATTCGATTTTCACCATACTTAAGAGAATATTTTGAGATTTCTCAATTTTAGCTGAGAGCAGCTAGGATCAAGTCTAGCATTTTTTGTTGATCTTTTTTATATAAAAACCATTGATTAATTGAAAGTTGTGGCCTTAAATAGAAACATACATTGGTGCTTAATTTTAGCAAAATTTTTGTATGGTGAAAAATTGCCAATATGACAACTCCGGAAAAAAAATGTTTGAACTTGAACATTTCTTATATGCAGGACATATAATTATTGTTAGTGATTTTATCAAACTGGTATCTATCTCATGAAAAAGTTTGTTCACGACGTATATGCCATTGAGTTTAAAACGAGTCGCCCTAGAAATAATGCGACAAATTACTTCTTTTTGGACGTTTAATTCTTCTGTAATATTCATCATTCTGAAACAAATTTGCTTATAAGCAGCACCTTCATGGTTAATGGCGAAATTTAAACGGTGAATAACTCCTTCAATATTCAAGTTTTCTTTCTCAAACTGGTTTCATTATAAGCGTCAAACTATTTAGAGTAAATTGATGTTAGTAAGCGCAGGCTAATTAGATGACTTAAATCTTGATTTGAAAAATGGAAAAAAACGCTATTTTACGGGACAATAAGCACTTAAATTTCATTTAACAACTTCAAGTATAAGCTACAAAACAAAGATAAAGTCTTGCACAAACGTACTGCAAAATTTATAGTATCGATCGGAATTTTAACACAAAGTCAGCCGTTTAGTAGGATAGCCGTAAAACTAATAATACACTCGAGATTCCAAACTATAACTAGAATAATAAAAACAATTGATATGTTGTACAACAGTTATCCAAGCATGATAATACTGTATTGTAATTTTAAATCAAAATGTGTCAATCAAACGAAGAAACAATTGCTAAATTGGTTATGATATTTATATATCCGGCCATTCGTCAATAGTTTCAAAGACACGCAAGTGAATAGATATTAAAGAGTCTTACTACCAAATCTAAACACAAATAGACAATCATTCAATCTGACTATTGCTTATTCAGTTCATACATTAATCATACATTCAGTTATTATTTATTGTTGTCATTTTTTGTTTTGTGTGTTTTTGTTCAAATTTCAAAATTTCACCAAATAAATTATTTTGCTTTTTTCTTTCACTTTTTCTTTTCATCTGATAATAACAATTGATTCAATTGTGTAGTTGGTTAGTCAATCATGAATTTTGATCAATTTAAAATACCTTCAACAATTGAAGAGGCCAAATATTTAATTTTTAATCATATAAAAACTTTCAAAAAAGAAAATATTATACATGATTTTAAAAATTTCAAAATATCACCAATTACAATCACAATTAGTTTAATTACCTTATTCACAATTTTAATCTTTGGTAAAATTTTAACACCAACATCAACATCAACAAGTCCATCAACATACAATGAAACTGAAAAAACAGGTAAAAAAACAGGTGGTAAGAAAAAATTAAGTAAAGCTCAAAGAGCAAATAAAGAAATTCAACAAATTTTAGATTTTGTTGAAAGTGAATACGTACCTGAAATTGATTCTTATATAGAAAATTACAAATCATTATCAAAAGAGGATGTTGAGTATAAATTTAGTTATTTTGAAGAAATGTTACTTAAAGAATTGATGAAGTTGGATGAAATTGATGTTACAAGTAATGAAATATTAAGAGAAAATAGAAGAAAAGTTATAAAATTTGTTCAAGATCATCAAAAAAGACTCGATAAATTTAAAAAAGATATTAGTTAGATAATTTAATGTATATTTAATTCTCCCATATGCCATTTTAATTTATTCCTAAATCTTTCATAACCATTGTTCTACAAATTGGATGATAGAAATCTTTATGTTTTTGAAATACTGCAATTGCATAATCTTTGGAAATTCCCTTTACTAATACTTTATAACCTGGACGAACATATTTCATTCTACCTACAGTTCCTAACCAAGATGCAAAATTAATAACAACATCATCTGCAGATTCATAATCTCCATAAGTAATTAATAAATCATTCCATGCAGATACAATTTCACCATTTAAACTTTTATGATAACTTGGATAAATTTTTGGAAATTGTTTAATTATATTAGGTGATATTTCCAAATTTTTAAATTTTTCAATCAATGTTTCAAGGAATAAAATACTTTGTTCAACTTCAAAATTTTCGATATCTGATTCATTGAACAATTCAGGTTGATAATAAAATTCCACCCATTTATCAACTAATGAATAAACTTGATTTGCTAATGTTTTATCAAGTTTTGGTTCTTCTGGTAATCCAGATTCAAATAACCATTTATCCCAATCAATTGAATCTAAAATTTCTCTTTTATTTGGATAAAATTCATATAATGTTTCTACGAATTTTGCAGTATTTGTTGATTGGTATCTAAATTTTTTAAAATAATATTTAATAAATGGATCAAATTCATTTAGTCCACCAAGTTTAACTTCTAAATGATATAAAAAGAAAAACCCCTTTTCATATGGAATTTTTGAAAATGAATCATCTGGATCTTTACCTTTTAAATTCCAAACTAATTTAGTAAAATCAGGATTAAAATTAGAACAAGTTTCCACTAATGAATTCCAACCATTAATCATATTAAATTGTCTAACTTCTTCACCATAGATCTCAGGGTCTACATTTAATCCCCTTTCTTTAGCTTTTAATTTTGCAATTTCTCCAATAATTCTACGTTCTAAATAGACTGTCCAACCTTCATTTAACCAAAAATGTTCCCAAGTTTCATTTGTAACTAAATTCCCACTCCAAGAATGAGCTAATTCATGAGCTAAAACTTTTAATTGTGAACGATCTCCACAAATTAAAGTTGGAGTTAATTGAGAATATTGTGGAATTTCCATACCACCATATGGATACGATAAACATAAAACTAATGCATTGAAAACTCCCCATTCATAATCAAAAACTAAATTTTCTGCAATTTTTAAAAAATTTTCCATATCTAATTCAAACTCAAATTGACATTTTGTAATTAATGGTTCTTCTGCATAAACATCAGATCTTGGTCCAATTGATAATTTTTGTAAATTAGCAGAAGTGATCGAAACTAAATATGATGGAATCGGTATTGGTTGATCAAAATGATACACTTCACCTTTGTTAAATTCTCGTGGAATACCAGACATTGTTACAGGTAAATTCGAAATACCAATGAATTTATAAATTGATTTAACTGCTGGAGTATCAAAACATGGAAATAAAGTTCTTGCATGGATTGCTTCACATTGAGAAAATAAAAATGGACCTGTATCTCCTTGAATAAATTGTATGGCACTACATTTTGAAGTTGTTTCAAATTCAATTTCAAGTTGAATTTTATTTGATTTAATTGGGATAGTTAACGCAGAACCATAAATTGGAACTTCTTTAGCTATTTCATATTTAGCCTTTTCATTGTTCACTTTTACAGAGTCAATCTTTAAATATTTACTATCTAAAACAACCTCATTAATTGAATTTTCTTTTCTAATTAAATTGAAAAGAACTTTACCTTGTAATATTTTTTCATCAAATAAAACCTTCAATTGTAATTCAGTACATTCAACTTGAAATTTGGTATAATTTGATAATGTACATGGATCTATATCATGAGCTTTTGACTTGATTTTGTCAATTATTTTTGACATTTTCATTCCTTACGAATTTTTTGAAACATTTTTTTGTACTTATAACACGAAAGTTTCAGAATTGCGCGTTTGTGCAGTATGTAGAGAGTCAGATGCGCTTGTGTCAAATGAGTTCAATATTTTAATTTCCCAACCTTACAATGATTTGGATCCTTACATTAATTGATCGATATACGAATTTGGTCCTTACAGTATGTTCAAACGTTTTTTACATCCTTCTATTAGAGCTTAAATCCTTACATGTATCTTTACTGAATGAAATATTAAAACATATTCACATTAAAATATCTATTTACTTTCTGTCTCTGGTTTCTTCTTCTTTTCTCTTTTTTTACTGGCTTCAGCTACTAATTCTTCAAATATTCTTGCTTCTTCATCTTCTGCTTCAGTTCTTGTAACTGATGAAAATACTTCACCTATTAATCTCATAGCTCTTGCTCTTGCGATTCTTTTTTCTATTGTTACATCTTTATCATCTAATATTGCATCACAAACACTTCTTACAGTCCCTTGAATTTCAAATTTTGAACCATTCCATGCTGCAGCCAATACTTTTGCGAGCAAAAACTTTTCCATATCTGCTAAATCTTCAGCTGTATGTTTATCTGGTTCTTTTTCCTTTTCATCTTTCTTATCACCGTTATTCTCGTCTTCTTTTTCCTTTCCATCTTTCTTATCAACATTATTCTCTTCTTCTTTTTCCTTTTGTTGTTTCTTTATATTATCTAATTCTTCTTCCAATTTTGTAACTTCTTCTTCTGCTTTCCTTTTTTCTTCTTCTTCTTTCTTTGCATGATATTCATTATCTTGTTGCATTTTAGAATATTCTTCCATTGTCTTTTGTGCATCTAATGCGGCTGAAACTGTTCTAAAAGTATCTTTAACAACACCACCTTTTTCTTTAACAGACCACCATAAACCACCCCAACCAAAAAATGTTTGATTTTTTAAAAAAATTTTCAGTTTTAATTTATAAATTTGTCCAACTGTATGTAAAATTTCCAAACCAAAACTTTCCATTTTTAAAGATTCAGCTTCATAATTTATTTTTGATTTAAAACTATCAATTACATCATCTTTCATATCTGTTTCAGTAAATAATGATAATTTATTTATTAATTTATCTGTTAATTCTTTACGAGTTTCAATTTTTTTAATTCTACATTCTTCTTCAAATTTCTCTAGTTTTTCTTTACGATGTTCTTCATCATCATCTTTATCATGAGCTTTATGGGAAAGTAAATTTTTATCAGAGGATTCTTGTGTTTTATTCCCTTCTTCTTCATTTAATTCAGCAGATTTTGTTAATTCACTTAATAAACTTAATTCACCAATCCAATCTTTAAAAGCTTCACCACCAAAAATCATTGAGAAAAATTCAGCAGGATCTTCAAAACCTTCACTTGGTATACTTTGTTCTTTACCATATTTATCATATCTTTCTCTTAATTTTTCATCACTTAAAACTTGATATGCTTGACCAACTTCTTGAAATTTTTCAGCAGCTTGAGGGTCTTCTGGATTTTTATCTGGATGTAACCTTATAGCTTGTTTTCTGTATGCTTTTTTAATTTCTAAAGATGTAGCATCACTTTTAATCTGTAGTAATTCATAATATGTTGTATCTACAACCATTATCAAATTTGTGGCAAGAAATCAAACTAATATTTTTTTTTTTTCATAGTGCATTATGAATATTTATTACTTTATAAGTATATATACAAGTGAATCGTCTATTCAGTATAATAAACCTTTCTTAATTCTATAATCTTCTTACCTCTATTAGCTGCTAATTCATCAATTGATTTTTGTTCTTTTAATGCCTCAAAAAATGCTTTACAAACAGTCATTGGATTTCTACTTTTAAAAACTTTACCTCTTAAATCCTTTATACCAACAGCTTGACACATTTCAAATATATTTCTATTTACTCTTAATCCAAACCCTATTGGTGCTGGTTTTAATTTTAATTTTGTTGCTTGAAATTTATACTCAATTGATCCTAATATTGTTCTATCTTCATATCTTTTTACATATGTTAAATTTTTAATCGCATCCCAATGAGCTTTTGAAGCTGCAGTTCTAATACCATCTCTTGATTTACCAATACCAATACCAATCATACCATTTTTATCTCCAACAACTGATAAAACAAAAAAACTTGCAATATTACCTTTTCTTGTTTTTAATGAAACTCTTTTCATTATTAATGGACGATGATATAAATTTTTTAGATATCTTTCATCAAATCCAGTCAATTGAGATATACCTTCAGCTATTTGGAAAGTTGTTTTAATACCTGATTTATCCGTTTGATTATCGCCAGTTTTTCTAGGAGCATTAGAAAATCTTATATTTAAATCTGATCTATCTGGTGAATAAACTTGGGGAATTTTTGGATAAGGAGTTCTACCTAAACCTTGATTTGGATATAATATAGGTTCATTCCATTCGGGATCTATTTTTGAATAATCTTGAGTATTCTCTGTTTTTAAATCATTTTTACCTTCTTGTCCCCATAATTTTAATTTTAATAATTGTTTTGGTTCAACTAAATTTTCAGAAATTTGAATAGATTTTATAATTTCTGGTGAATAATATTTAGAAAGTAATTTTATATTTTGCTTTATATTATCCTGTTTATTTAGTAGTATTCTATTTGTATTAAGATATCGAATAAATTGTTTCATAATTTGTTGATGGTATATAGAAAATTTTTTACCTTGCGTATAAAATGAAAAAAAAAAAAAACATCTATATATTTCTAACTATCTAATTAACCAGACGCTATTATTTCATTGTTTCACTATTCTTGCATCCTTAAAGTGGTGCCTAAAGTGGTGCTTAAAGTGTTTGTTGCATCCTTACAGTTGCATCCTTACAATGGTTCTGGTTTTATATCATCATTTTTCGGATTTACTGGCTTATTCTCAGGACTATGTAATTTTTCATTCTCTTGTTGTAAATTATAAACTTCAGCCTTTAATTTATTAACTTCTTTTTCAAATTTCTTTCCAAATACATCAATATAATATGTTGCTCCGTTATAACTTGCCCATATAAATATAAATATAACAAAACATCCACATGCATATTTATATCTAAACCATATTGGACATGGCATCATTGTTAATAATTGATATCCAAATTGAATTAAAGTAAATGCTAATGTTTGCATCCATAAATATGGTAAACCATTTACAAATTTACCTAATCTTGTAGATTTGTTCTTTTTCTTTAAATATGAAAATGATGTAACTTTACCCTTTTCAATTTGATCTTTTTTTCTAATTGATATAAAATAATGATATGAAACTTGCCATATTGTATAATAAATGGATGTTATAATTAAACTTGAAACAAAATTCCAATTATTAATCGCTGATATACCAGGATAATGTAATTTAATATAATCCGATGGTAATTCATGTACCATTACAAACATTGTCATTGGTGGCATTATATGAATAAATGAACTAGTTGTTTTTTCAATTGAATGTAAAACTAAAGAATTTCTCCAAGTTATAACTGCAAATGATAAAGTACCTAAACTTAATGAAAACACTGAAACAAATAATGTTGGAGATTGGGGGAAAACCCAAATAAACAACATTAATAATAAATTAACATAATAACATAAATCAGCTAAATAATATTGAAAACTTTGTTTAAAATATTGATAAAATCTGATTGGCATTAAAATAACAAATATACCAGTATGAAAATGAGGAAAATAGATTGGATATTTACCTATTATAAATCCACTTAATGCAATTAAAAATACACTAATTGCATAAAATAATTTCTCAGTATTTGTACTAACTAAATTCTTGTGTATCCTTTCATCAAATTTTATTAATCTTTGATTTAATATTTCCTGTAATTTATCAAATTCTAAATTTGTTTTATTATACCTTTCTTTTGATTTTAACTTTAATGAATTTATCTTTTGTTTTGTTGATGTAGATACTTCATTTAAATTTAATCCAAAATCAAAATCATTAGCTGCAAACATTAATTTTGATAAATCAAGATAAGGGACAGAAACAGTTGAATCACTTCTCATTAATTTTGGAGATGGTTGAGATGATGTTGAAGCATTTGTTAAATTATACATGTTTTTATCATCTTCAATAATAGCTGAACCATTATCAATCGATGGTTTAGTCATTATAATTTGATTGTTGTTAATTTGATAGAAATTTAATGACACAATATCAAATTTAAGCATCGCGCACGTGATAGATTTTACGAATAAAAATGGCTGCAAAATAGAGCTGCAACATTATTATCATCATTCATATATTATAAATTAAGTTGAACTTCTATACTTCATTGCATCAAAATTATACATTTTCTTGTTATTTCTTCCATCTGGTTTCCATGGATGTATTTTATTATATTCAAAACATTCCAATATACATGCTTTTAATTTATTTACACTTTCTTGGTTTAATTGAAAATGAAATGCTATTCTACCTCCCATTAAATTTAGATCATATTTCTCTTTACCTAATGTTATTAAATATTTATCATCCATATTATTTGCTTTTAAATCTATAAATATAAAATTTGTATCAACTGGTGATTCTAATTTTATACCTTTATCAATACAAAATTTACCAACTTGTTTTGCCAATTCATGAGACCTCTTAATCTTTGATAAATTATTTTCTATTGCATGAATTGCCATAGCTGCATATATACCACTTTGTCTTATACCACCTCCATTTTGCTTTTTAAAATGATTTGCTTTTGCAATAAAATCTTCATCACCAACTAAAATTGAACCCATTGGTGCACCTAATGATTTTGATAAACATAATGAAACAGAATCAAAATATGAACAATATTCTTTTATGGATATACCAGTTTCAATACTTGCATTCCATAATCTTGCACCATCTAAATGTAATTTAATATTATTTTCTCTACATAATTGTGAAATTTTTGCAATTTCTTCAATTGGTAATATTATACCATGTAAAGTATTTTCTAAACTAATAACTTTTGTTGGTGCGGCATGAACATCTCCATCATCCCATGTTATATTATTCCAAACATCTTCAAATGTTAAATATACTCCATTTTTAGGTACAATTGGATGTACCATTGCTTGACATAATGTAGCTAAACCACCAGCTTCATGTAAATAAACGTGTGATCTATAATCACATAATATTGAATAAGGAGGTTGATATAAATTTACTCGAAGACCAATTTGATTTGATAATGTACCTGATACAGTAAAACAACCTGCTTCTTTACCAGCAATTTCAGCAACCATGGTTTCTAATTCAACAGTTTTTGGATCAAAATAAACAGCATCACCATAGGTTGCATTGGTGAAACCTGCTTCAATCATGGATTTGGTTGGCACGGTAAATGTGTCTGATCTAAATTCATTGTAAGTTGGAAATTCTTCTTCTTGATCTATGGTCATATTGATGAATTAACAAAAATTATTGAAAAATAGTATCAAATTTATATATAAATTACTTGAAGATGCAGTGTTATGACTCAATAAGTATCCCAAGAAAAAGAAAAGTGGTTAGTGAAAAAAGAAGAAAAATTTGAAATATTATATTCTAAATATATCTCGGAATAAATATCCATTTTGTGTAATTAATCTCATTCCTTCATCGTCTATTAATTAAGCTTTAGCGCCCTTCTCTTTTAGCTTTATACCAGTCTAAAACAGAGTCACAATAGTAAACTGCGAATTTTACAAAGGTTATCACTCTGATTCTCAACAATCATCAAAAGTTGTTCAGCTCAAACTAGTTATTAATAATACAAAAAACCGTTATTTACTGATTATGTAATGAGATCTATTAGATCTCTCTTACAATTTCTTTTTTTATTTTATTTTTTTTATTGTCAGCGCAAATTGCTGCAAAATTTGCCTTACATAATAAAAAGCCTATCAAAAATATGCCTTACAAACAACGTATGGAATATAAGGTTTGGAGGGGAGAGAAACTAAACCACATTTATTATGTGGAGATTTTATAATAAATAAATGTTCATTGATTTTAATTCTATGTTAAATTATAATTTTCAAAACCCCCCATTATCAGCCTATAGCCGAATAAGTTATACAAAATTCCCATTTTTATCTCTATTTGATTGTTGGGTTTGAAATTGATTTTGTAAATTGTAGAACCCTTCATTATTGCCATATATTGATTGTAAATTACTAAATGGTTGAAAATCTTGATTGTTCGTAACATTATTATTTGTAGCATTTGATAATAATGATGATGTTGTTGTTGTTGATGGCTCGTTTCTCCATAATGAATTATTTGAAACTGATCTTGTATGACCATTTAATTTTTCATCTAACCAAATATTTGATGATTGTGAAGGAGTCATTAAAAATGTTGAATTTTGTGTTTGGTTTAAATCTTGATTTGAGTTATTTGTTGGGTGATTCCAAACTTCATTCGGTGATAATGTTGGTTGACTATTATATCCATGTAAAAACGAGTTATTATTAGTACCCGTATATAATAAATTATTTGTTTGTAATGGTGATTTAATACTTGATGTATAAATTTGATCATCATATGGAAACCCTTGTAATGTTGCATTTCCATTTAATGGAGTATGACTGTTATTGTGGTTATTTAATATGCTATGAGTTAATGTTGGTGTTAAATTAGCTGCTGCTTGTGTAGTGGCAGCATTAATTTGTTCTAAACTAATATATGGATGATGTTGTGGTTGTGAATATTGATTTGCTAAAGGAATCTGTTGTGATTGAGTTAATAAATCATTATTTGATATTGGTGGTAATAATTGAGATTGTGGTGAACCTTCACGACTTTCATTATTTTCATTTGAATAAACTTGACTATAATGATTATAAAAATTTTGTTTTTCATCTATTATTGTTGATGGAGAAAAGTTTCTTTTACCAACGAATTTTGGCTTTGGTAAAGCATTTCCGAATCCACCAAATTCAATAGATGCTTGATATTCGTTTAATTTGATTGGTTGGTAATTGATATCTTTTTGGAATTTCATCATTTCAATCGACTGATGAATTGTAACAAATTTTTTAATTTCATTTTTAAATGCATCTCTCCATTGTTGTTCAAATTCTTGATAATTGTTAATCTCATTCATAATTTCATCTTGCCATGATGGCATAATTTGAAAAATTTTAACCAAAGCATCAAATGATGTCTTTGAGATTGAACCGTCTTTGTTAAAAATTGGTATTGGAGGTGGTGTTAATGATGTAGTTGATGATGATGGTGATGTAACTTTTTCATCAGTAGATGACGTCAACTGATTAAATTGTTCTATTAGTGGTTTAATTTGGTTTAATAACCCCAAAACTTCTTTTCTTTCTAGTGCAATAGCTTTCAAATTATCTTCAATTTTCTCATTCTCCAGTTTTGTAACCACTATGTCATTTTCGACTTTTAAAATTTCATTTTTCACTTTTAATGTTTCATTTGCTTCGTTATCCAATGCATGCTTGTTTCTTTCTGTTAATTTTTTGATTTTATTCTCATTTTCTTTAAATTTTGAATTAAATATGGATAATGAGTTTTTAATCAAATTTAATTGATTTGACAATTTTGATTTTTGAAAAACCAATATATCCTTTGATCTCTCTAAAGATTTAACATCATGGTCTTTTTTGTTCTTATTATCAGTTTCTTCTTCTAATTCAGTTTTATAATATTGCAACTCTTTTTGCAAATTATTATTCTCTGTTGATACGCAAGATTGAAAATTTTTAAATTCAGTATTAGTTCTAATTAATTCGTTTTGAAATTCGATCAAATAATCATTTAATAAATTTGGATCTTGAATTTGGTTTATTTGTTCTGATGTTATTGACTCTAAATCTAAATCGTCCATCAACTTCTTACATTCTTCTTGTTTCTTGGTTAAAGCATTTCCATTTTCTAAGTCATCTAAATTTAATTCATTTTCTAAAATAGTTTGATTATAAGTCTGTACATATACAGGTTTAGATTGTGATTTAAAATTTGTTATTGAATTGATAGCAATAATTTCAATTTTATACAAGCTTTTTGATTTTAAATTATTCAATTTACATGATGTTGAAGTTAAAGTTGCAGCTTCTTGATCATTAATTAATACAACAAAATTTAATTTTTCATCAAATTTGATTTCAATATCCCAATGTAAAACTATTGAATTTTCTGCAATTGAATCAATACAAATATTTGGTGAATGTGGAATTTCGATACTTAAATCTTTGAGCAATTTTTCAACTGGAGTTTTTAAAATTAAATACAATCTATAAAGTAGCCATAATATAGAAGGTAATACAATTAAGAGTACCTCTACCATGTTCTTTTCTTGTTGCCACTATGACTTTATTGGTTTTTCGTTTAAACTATTAAAAATATCAAATTGAAAAATTCAAAGCAAAAAAATTTAGAAAATGGTTTAACTTAGTAGTGTACATTGATACAAAATCATGTCAAAAAAATAGTTTAATTCTATAAAAGACTAGTAGAAGATTTCGTTTAAGTAGTAAAATAGTATAGTATGTTAATAGTTGAGATATAGAATGGTGTAGTATCGCTTGGTTCTCTTTTTGTTGTATCTGGAAATTATTCCAGGGTTCAAAATTAAACTCTAAACAACTTTTTATTGACCAGATTTGATTTGAGATCGGCGTATCAAAAGTCGATCTAAGATAATAAGCTTGCATCTTGTGACAGGAAAACTTATTACTTACAATCACATTTACAGTATAAACAAAATTCTGTTTGTTAGTTCTTTTGTTTGGCCAATTTATATAAACTTAGAATCAATCGTAGAATAGTTAATTCCAGGTTTATGATATTTATTTTACGAGTCAAATATGTACTCCATTATCTTCATCTTCAAAATCTTGTTTGTAATTTTCACCTCTCATGAATGAATAAAAAGTGACTAGTATAAGCAAATTCAATAACCCCAAGATAAAAAATGGACCCAAAATCCAATAATCAGAAATAAATCCACCAACTAAAGTTATAATCATAATTCCAATTCCTCCACTAAAACTGTATAATCCACTCAATGATCCCATTATATCATGAGCATTATTTATAGCACTTAAAACACTCATACTACTGATAACTAACCCAATCTGTGATAAACCTATTATACTAACAAATAAAAAACAAGTGAAAGTTTTTGGATTGTATTTCTTAAAATCATTATTTATAAAACTTAATCCCAAATTACCAATTGCACCGATTAACCCTGATAATGCTAATGTTTTAAATTTGCCAAATTTTGGAGAATCAATTAAATAACCCCATAAAGGAGCAGATACTAAAGCAATAGTTTGTGCAACTCCAGTTAAAATTGCAGAGAATATATAACCATCATAACATGATATTTTACCTGCCCAATTTCCATTTCCTATTTTACAATCACCAACGTTATAATACCAATTATAAACTAATAACGGAATAAACATCGATGTGGCAACTGTTGTCGATCTAGCAACAAGTGCTCCAACGTAAGCATATTGAGCTTGTTTGTTGTGTTTTGAAAATTCAATTCCTTGCTTCAATATCTCCAAATATGGTCTCTTTTCTTCATCCAAAGTTAGTTCTTGCTGTGGAATCTTATTGTTATCGTATAAAAACAACATTAACATTGCAAATGAAATTATTGCAAAAAACATAACAATTAAATATGAATATTTTAACCCCCATTTCATATCTATATCCCATGAATTAGCCAATTTTACAGGTAATGTGACTAATACAGAAACTGATACAATTGCACCTAACCCAGTACTTACTCCCATTATAGCACTAAACTTACCATTCGTTTTGACATCCACTTGATTGCTTTCATCTACTGGCTGATACTCAACCAGGTTCTTCCAAAATAATAATTTTCTAAGTTCAAAATCCGATAACGTCAATTCATTTAATAAAACGGTTATCATACTCATAACTCCAGTTACACCAATTGCAAAAACACATCTAAATATAAACATATCAGGAACTAACCTTGAATTAATAAAACCATAACCAAATAAAGCAATTGACAATATTAAAAAACTTGAACTTTGAATAATTTTAGATCCACTATAATTTAATCTATTTAATTTATCATTTAATGTACCAATCAATGGAGCTGAAATCATTGAAGTCGTTTCATCGAAGAAACCTAATAAACCAATTAAATAACCAATTTTTTGATCTTTTGTTGTTCCAGGTTGAGGTTCAATGCCAATAACTTCTTTTATATAAAATGGTTGAGTTGATACTAAAAATACCACAATCGCAATAGAAGCAAATCCAGCATAATTGAATGCTAAGTAGTTTAATATTGAATACTTCTTATAAATTGGATTCATTATGCTGTAATAATCATTCTAAACTGAAAGTTGATAATTTTATTAGCAAATATGCGACAATCTAAATTTGCGTTTTTCGGTTTATATCACGTGAGCTAGATCAAAAAATAATTATGTAAGATCTTATAAATTTTTTTCCTTTTCCAAATTATTATCAGAAGAGTTCAATTTAATACTTGAAGTAAATTAATGAATGCCAAGATCATTAAAGCTTCATTGATATGAAATCCCCTTAAACCAAGTGTTTATTGGAATATACCAAGATAATATTGAAACAATTGCTCTTTATCAACCTCGTGTATGGGAGCTTTTAGTAGATTGAAATTGAAATTAAATGAGTCGCATAGTGGAAGGTAAGTTGAATTCAATAAAATTGGGGCTCGCAAACTATTAGTTGTTTGCGAAATTTTGCGGAATAACTTGATATCCCTTAACAGAATACTGAAACATATTGTCTTATTCAATCCAGTTTAATAATTCGCGAAAAATTTCTTGTCATAAATTCCAATCCCACCTGGATTCAAATGAATCAATCAATGCTTAACAAAAGAGCCTTTCGAAATAGTACTAGCAGAAATTTTTTACCAAATATGAACAATCAGTAACTGACCAAAAATGGCTTTTGTGTTCTCAAAAATTTTCGATATCTCTGCTTTGGCATTACTTACTTCTCTATAGTTATTTTCAGATTTTGTTTATCAGCACCTGTTGACAATTCAAAACCAAACAAACAAAATTTCATTTTCTTGATTGGTGATGGTTTAGGTCCTTCAGGTGTTACATTACCTAGAGCCTATAGACAAATTAGAGATCAATTAACAACAACAACTTATTAGATATGGATAATTATTTTATTGGTATATAAAGAACATCATCGAATTCATTATTAATCACCGACTCTGCTGCTGCTAGTACTGCATTAGCCCAAACTGTTAATGGTAGAATTTCAGTCGATGTTGACGGTAGACCTGTAGGTGCAATTGGTGAAGCTTTAAAATCACAAGGTTATAAAATTGGTCTTGTTGTTACAACTTCAGTTTTTCATGCTAATCCTGCAGTATGGTATTCTCACGCTAATAACAGAGGTTCACAAGATTCAATTGCTAAGCAAATGGTTTTATTTTAAGTAATGTCTATTAAATATTCTATTAATCTATATAGTGTAAACTCTAAACTGTATAATCTTCTTTACATAACTTACCTCTAGCAGATTCACCAAACTTATAAAAAATAAAAGGAACAAACATCATTGCTAACGAAACAAAAGCTAATAACCAACTTGCCCATTGTAAACCGAGTCCTTCATACATTTGAGTAATAAACAAAGGGAAAGCAGCTCCTCCGGCACTTCTTAGAAATACCTTAGTAGCTAATGCGCTAGCTGCAAATTTAGCATAAGTATCAATAATGTAATTATTTAATGAATAATAAATTAAGACCATCCCAAAACCAAATGGAATACCAGCACTGGCAGGTCCAACCCAAATGATATGTTTATATGACGTAGCACCTAATATAAATAATGCAATACATGGCATTGGTGCTCCAATTAAAGCTGCTTCTAAACGATCTTCTGGTTTTGGTTTCCTTTTCTTACAAATAGTTGCATACTTTTTTTCAAATATTGGTGTTACAACAATGGCTAAACCAGCACCAATCAAAATTGGAATAAACATTAATCCAATTTTATTATCTTCATAACCATATAATTTGTTGAATATGTATGGATAAGCAAAAAAGAATGCATATAATAAGGCATAAATTAAAGCAACAAAAGCACATACTAAATCTAAAACTGGTTCTGTTATTACAAATTTTAACGGACGAACCAAACATTCATTTACCATTTCTTTGAAACTTTGAGGTGTAACCTCTTGTTCAGTCATGATATTTAAATTACCTGTTTCTTTTCTCAATTTCTTTGCTCTTCTTTTTAAAATAACTGGAGCATATGTTTCAGGAATTAATGAAATTAAAATCCACATAACACCAGCAAATGCCATATTAACCCAAATCATAATATCAAGCCTTTTAGTTCCAATAGAAATAAAACCATTGACCAAACCACCAATGACAGGACCACTATAAGGACAAAAACTGAAAAACGCAATCGATAAACCTCTAGTTTTGTCAGTATGCATGTCAACCAAACTAGCACCCGAAATTGTTAAAGCACTTGATGAGAAAACTCCACATAAAAATCGACATACTAATAAACCACCTATATTTGGACTTAAAGCACATGGAATATTAAAAATTGTGTACAAACCAAATGAAATGAAATAAACTGGTCTTCTTCCTATTTGTTCAGATAATGGAGCCCATATTAATGGTCCAACAGCAAATCCTAAAACCATCAATGACACTGTTAATGTCGAAACTTCGGTGGATACATTATATTTTTCATTAATGGTAAATAAACCCCCGGATAAACATGAGGAGCCGTATGCGGCTGATATAACAAACATTGATATTACAAATGTATACACCCACTTCAACCACATTGGCCAATTATGAGGATTTTCTGGATCATTAATTGTAAATGTAACAAACTCTATGTCAGCTTTTATTGGTTCTGATTTAGTTCTACCTATACTTTCTAAAGTTTTCACTGGAACTAAACCTGTACTTGTTTCTAAATTATATTCTTCGGGAAATATTGGATTTGGTATAGGTGGATTATTTATATCTGGATGCGGTATGTCTGATGATATACCTAATTCATGTAATGATTTTTTAGTTTCCGTTCTAGTAATTTTCAACGATAGATTTTCATTATTTTGTTCTGTCTTAAAAGTATTGAATGAATTAATGGATTTGTTATCATCATGCAATGCTATAGGATCTAAATTATGTCTTGTACTTTCTGAATCTGAACTACTGTCACACATTTTAATATATGATTTCTTGATAATATAATTAAAGTTAAGATTATTCTGTTATATTTATATAAACCATCTTTTTAATTAGCCGTAAATAGAATCTGTAAAAAGAAATTTAGATTTAGCGATATTGCATATCAGATCTATCCGGTGACCTATTTCGGATACTTTAATTGAAACGAATCAAGCAATATTCTTGAAGTATTTACTGATTTTATCGAGCGGCTAATTAACATTTATTAGAGTTTGATCTGATATAAGTCGTTTTTTTGTTTTCATTGTTATAAACAGATGAAGCATCTCAATATGAAGCAGATAAAAAATCTCAGTTTTATTTTCTGGGATTCATCAAAATGGAACCCTATGTTGAATAATTTGTTAACTTCAAAAGATATTATTTCGAAACATGTCAATTGTATGAAATGATGTCAATTAATTATACACGGAGACCCAAGGCCAATTTGAATATTTTTTAATCTCTTGACAGAATTTAATTTTCCGTGGATAAAAATTACGCGAACATTTTCGGATTGTTTGAATGGTAGCGTTTGTTGTTGATTCAATATGAAATGAGCTTGCCTTTTTATTTACTTTTATTCATATCACTTTCCATGAACTCTTGTAGTTGGTTTATTTTCGAAGCTGAAGTTTAAACACAATAAAATGTAATCTATGAATTTGAGTTGATTTTAGATATTTAGCTAATCATACTACCAAGGGGCAGAACAACAAATTAATTAGATATCATCAGGTTGTAAATCTCAACAGATGAAACAAAGATATGTCTTGGGTCTTGGTACCTGGACCAGAGGTTTGGCGGCTAAGATTGATCGATCTTGAGAAAAACACTATATGTTTATTCATGCAGCTTCTAATATCAAATATGCGACTTTTCTGAATTCTAGTAAAACTCTTAAACATTAGCGAATGAGGTTTACATTCTTTAGATGTTTGACTAATTCGTTTTATATTAAAGCTGTTAAATCTCATATTGACACTGTTATTTCTACTTTCATGAGAATTTACAGATTTAATCCAGTCTTTTTCGTACTACTCAAAAAACAAGGGCTGATTTGATCAATTTTCTATACTATGAAATCTCTTTTCTGTGGTTTCGTTTATAAACTTCACTCGCTGTGCTTCATGGGTTGTAAATAATGCCTTAGTACAAAAAACACGGAAACATCTGAAGTATCATGAAACGTAACTTAGATCTTTGAACCACAGTTGCTGTTCATAATTAACTTGTAACCTACTTACTCAGATCCTTAGCAAGCATATAAGCTAGGTTCTTTAATTCTCCTACCTTCTCGAGTGTATGAATGTTCAACACCCACAATGATGGTTTTAAAAAAAATCACCTTGACTTGTCTAGAACTGAAAACCACACATGCAACTTTCGGGACAAGGTACGATAATTTAACAACCCCTATTATTGTGGCAAATCAAAGGAAAAAGTACTAAGAAATAGTCTAGAATACAAGTACAATCAATTTAAGGACACGCTTGATTACCCTTCAATTGTAGAATGATTTATATAGAGAATTTTATATGTAACAGAACCATAAAGACACCGCGGATTTGCTAAGCAAATCAAAAATAAGAAATCGGCAGGTCGTTTATATGCTCTTGCTTTTAGAATGAATGCATACATTGTCTTTCATCTTTGTGAATAGATCTGCGATCGATGAACAAGTAAAATCTTACTTTAACAGTTATTTGACAGTTTTAAAAATTATTGTAATTCTGATAGGTTATTATCCTTGGCGTTTTCTTATTCACTAAAATATGACATGTGAGACTAGGGACCAAAACATGATTAATATTGAAGTGTTAATCTTTCACAAACAGATTTGATGATTCAATAAGATTTTCGAGAGTAAATATGTAGACGATTACACAACAAATTTTGTGGATGCCAATTGATGAACATCATTTAATTGTTTGTAAAAGCAGTGCAATTTTGAAGTAATGCTGCAATCGAAATCGAAATTCTCACTCTTTAGCTAATCCCCTTCGGCTTCAATCAATGAAAAAACATATTAACGCATTGAAGAAGAATTATTTACGAAACAACTGTGGTTGCAGATTGCAGATTGAGAAGTTATTTGCTATTACTTCGAAATATTTTTGAAAAACAATAGTTAATACAACAATAGGCGATTCATACACAATAATCTGTGGATATACATTTAACATGGGATTGCATAAACATTGAGCAGAGTAGCAAAAATTCATTTTCAACAAAGAAATACATTTTAAGTTTATTAGTCGATTTTTTCTATTTTTTAGTAGTTTTATTTACCTTTCAATTATAATTAATAATTATACATTTGAGTATGCCCTGCATATAGTTGAAGAATAGCACTAAAAAAAAATATGTAATTTTGCAACATTTACGGAAACATACTGTTGAATTTAAGTTAAATCTTGTACCAGGACTGATATTCTCCTCCTGTTTACGAATAATTGTAGCTAAAGTTCTTAACGTAATACAATTGAGAAACTACTTGAAGTATGTAAATAATGGGATCTCGAATCTATTTTGAGCAAAAATATCGTGCAAATTATATCCTAGATCGAATCATTAGTAAAAAGAATTAGAACAATAGACGTTAAATCCTATATTTACATAAAGTATCAAAACCAAAAACAAATAAACCTGCCAGCAATAATTAAAATTGTGGAAGAACAACGTTTTAGCTATATTTTTGAAATTTGACCTTTACAAAACATTGAAAAGGAGTATGTGATTAATAAAATCAAATTACTATAAATATAGCTCAATTTTCTCATTGGATTTAAGTATTTTAATTATATCTAACTACCAATTAAATAACTTAAGTACTTATACAAATACTCAAAATGAAATTCACTCAAATTGCCTCAATCGCTTTAGTCGCTTTAACTGCTCAAGCCTACTCCGTCAATGGTGAAGTCCAAGCTCTCAAATTAGCTACAAGACAAGAACAAGAAGCTGATCAATTATTAGTTCAAACCCCAAAAGCTATTTCTGCTGCTTTGAAAGGTTTACCAGCTAATACCAATTATGATTTAAATGCTGTTATTTCAAATGTATACTCACAGTTAGGTCAACAACAACAAGGTGACGCTATTCATGCTGTTCAACAAGATCTCGGTAAAAGAGATTTAGATGCTATTATTGATTTCGTTACCAATATTATTAAAGGTATTTTGAACACTTTAGGTGCTGATAAAGATGCTATCTTAAACTCATTAGGTGCTATTTTAACCAACATTTTTAAAGTCATTGGTGCTACTAAAGATGCTATTGTTAACTCAATTGGTCAAATCTTAATTAACATTGCTAAAGCATTCCAAGTTAATGTTGATTTTGTCAATGACATTGTCAAACAAGTTTTCAATGCTTTCGAAATTGAAGTTGACAATTTAGATGACTTTATTCAAGGTATTGAGTCAAAAATCAATCAAACTGTTTCAAACTAGATTAATCTTTGATTCTAGTTGATTCTGCAATTTTTCTTTATTTGTCCCATAATTGATTTATGGTAAATTTTTATATTTATTTTACTCAATATAAAGAGAACTTAGTTTTCAAAATTGTATTTCTCTTACTCAGGCATTTATCCTGATATCTGATTTTATGGCTCGATTTCTCTGGTTTTGAACTCGAGGTACAAGCTACTAAATCCGTTGCAATCTGAAATTGGTAAGGAGAAACAAAGTATTTTGGCTGCAAACCTCGTGTTTTGTGTCACTTACGCACTACGTGAAGATCTACCATAAACATCGAAATCTTAACTTTTTTAGATTTTTACCATTTAGTCTAAGGGTGCATTTACAGTGAGTAGCTTTTTTGGTATTGAATCAGAATTAGTTTAAATCAATACACAGCCCTCCAAGTATTATGATTCTAATACTACAGATATACAGATATAGGTGCATATGATCGAGAATTGAGAATCAAGGTTTTATTAAACAACGAATCGAAATTCAATGTAAGATATACGAAGCGTTTTCAGTTTAGTATATTTTCGGAATGGTAAAAAACAGCCAAAATGATAACCAAAAAAAAAAATGTCTGAAAACCAAGTATTGGAATACGTAGAGTATATAATTCAGTGCTGTAATTTTTGCTCAAATGGTATTCATCTCGAGAGTATGCGCTGTTCATGAAATATATTTAATTTTTCCCAATACGAAGCAGTCTTAACTCTAACGCCAAAAGAACTCCACACTCGCGCTAAATTATTGCGATGAAAAGTTCGTACTAAAAAATATAAAACTGAAAGTAGTCTTGCTTATATGCAGTCTTATTGTAGTTAACATGAAAAATTGAATCGTAAATAACTCCTTCGTTAATCAAGTTACCATTCTTAAACTTCTTGCATTAAAATTTCAATATGTTTTGCGTATATTGATGTTAATGTCTACCTAATAAACCTAACTTTAATGACTTTATTTCTTATTCAAAAAATGGCAGAAAACGCTAAATTTCGAGATGATTAATACTTAGACCTCGAGAAGCAATTTCTAAAGTATCTGGTTTGGTTCATTTGTTTCCAAAGTTTTTTAGTATAGTAGTTTTAGGACACCAAATTGGTTTGAATTTTTTTCAAAATTTTCAGAGTAGTTTCGAGAAATTGCTTTTCCAATTTGAAGACCTTGACATAAAGAAAGATAAGAGTTATCAGAATGCAGAACTACAAACTCAGTTAATTTTATTATGTTTTAATTTGATTTCAGGTCGTGTTTTGTAAGGTCAGTTCATTTGATTTTCCCATACTTAAGGGAGAAGTCTAGTTGGCCCATTTTCAAGTCCAGTATGTTTGATTAAGACATAATATAGATAATCCGTAATTTAATTGAAAGTTTGGCCTGAAATAAACAGATATACCGATTTAAATTTTTTGAAAAATTTTTGTATGGTAAAAAATGGCCAGAATGACAAGCTGAAAAAAAAAATGTTTTACATTTAAGTATTGAACTATGTAAAATATATAAAAAATCGATCCTGAAATTATTGAATTTATCTGTATGTCGTGAGATTGCGTTGATCATGAGGTATAAGCCAATCATTTTAGTACGAGTCGCCCTACAGCTAGCGCGAGCAAAATATCGTGTGGTTCAAATTTCTAACGAGAATTAAATATTTTGAAAAATAATTCTGAAACCATTGATAGTTCATTTGTAAACTTGATTTGAGATTACAGCTACGATAATAATGGAGAATAAACTTGGTAATATTAATCTAAAAAAACTACATTGCATGGTATAGTTGTATTTGGACGTTTGTTAGAATCACTTCATAATTGGTAGCGATAGCTCTTGATAAAAAATCGCATCTAATTATAGAAGAGCCATATATATCAAATGAATCAACAAAAGTATGTATGCCTTTTTATTTATGCAAGTCTAAGCTATTAACTAAAACAGAAGATCGAGAGATTCACTATATAATGATGAAAATATAGAATCCAACTCGGAAGATGAGTATATTGCACCAAATATTGAATTTGAGATCGTTGAGGTGAATGAAGTAGATGATAAAAAGCAAGATGCTATTCAAGTAGATAACAAAGAAGAACCAGAAGAATTTGATTTTCCATTATTTACAAGCTCGACTAAATCAACAGACATACAAGATCAAGCGGAAGAAAGAGGAAGATCACAATCATCAACAATGAAAATTTCATTAAGAGAACCATCAGAAGAACGAATAGTCAATGAAAGACCAGAATCATATTATTTTGCAAGTTATTCATTAGAACAACTAAATCAATTTAAACAATGTGCATTAACATATGTTGAAATTTTTAAAGATATAAAAATTATACAAGATAATCAACCATGGAAAGTGATAAATTTAAATGAGTACAATATAAAAATAGAACAAGAGTTAAAGAAGAACAAAAAGAAGAATAGACCAGGTAAGAAGAAAAGAATGAATAAAATTAAATGTAGAGAACGTAAAATTGAAAATTTAAAAATAATGAAAAAGTTGGAACAAGAAAAGAAGAAATTACAATTTAAACAAAAATATCAAAGAAACGTCAGTAATAAGAAATTATTTACAAAGAACAAACCAATAAAAGCTAATAGTATTAGTATTAGTAGTAATAAACCTAAACCTAAATATAGAACTGAATAAATATTTTAAAGAGAGGTAATAAGCCGCACCCTAATTAGTATATATGGTTAAACTTCGCCCTGGAGCTTTTTAGATCGAAAAAAAAAAAAAAAATAAAATAAAATATAAAATATACGAGCCTAATTCAACATGGTATCAAAAGATTATGAAACAAATGAATTAGAAGATTTTGAATCATTTCTAGAATCTGATTTTGATGCTAGAAAATTATCAAATAATTTATTATTAATTACAAATGGTGAAGAAAATCCTGAATTAGATTTAATTACACCAATTAAAAAATTAAAATTTGATATTGATGAATGTAATAAACGAATGTCAAAGATATCATCAAATAATTACTTAGCTTTAATTTCAAACTTTTCAGAATTTGACAAACATTCAGATATTTTGAAAAACAAGATAAATCCACAAATTGAAAGAATTAACCAACCATTTAAAAGAATTAAAAATGAAATAATTGATCCATTTGACGAATCAATTAAATTGAATAATGCAATTAGGAAAATTCATCAAACTTTACAATTATTAAGAAATTTAAGTTTCTTTATATTTTTAATTCAACAATTGGAAGAAATGGAGATGAAATTTAAAAATGAAGAGAATGGGAAAGATTTATTAAAAATTTCAAAATTACATAAACAATTAGCTAAATTGTATGAAATTTCACATATTGAAAAGAATGATACTTTATCTATTAAATTAATTCGAGATTATCAATCTATTGAAATTACAAGAAGGAAAAATTTAGTTTATGAATGTTCAAATTTTATAATTAATGAGTTTAATCATACTTCAAAAATACAGAATAATAATACTCAATTAATGAATAATGTACTATCTTTATACATTCTTGATCCGGAGGAGTTTTTTACCACTTTTGACAAATCTACAATCAATAAACAACTTACAATTTCAATTAATCAATTATCAAAAGCATTACAATCTCCAAGAAATTTTACAGCTATATTATCTGAAATAAATGAAGAGATAAAAGACTACTTTACAAGATTAGAGTCCTGTCTAAGAACTTGGACGGTAAATACTGATAATGATGAAAAATTACCTATTCTAGAGAAAATCTTAATACATTACAATACAAATTCTTTATCAAGATTATTTTGGCCAAAATTAAATTCAAAATTTAAAAGAAATATAGTTGCTACAATGGCAAGAGGTGGTCCAATTGCTAAAAATTTAAAAGTATATTCTCAAGGTTTGAAAACTTCAATTAATGAAATTTTTAAAAATCAAAATGAGGAAGCAAATTTATTTCTTGATTCATTATCAATGATAGATTATCAGTAAAGTATATATATATCTAGATAGATTATCAGTAAAATATATATTAACTATTGACTAACTTTTGATTTTAAAGATGTTAAAAAATCTCTATATGAAGGTTCACTACCTGATTTATCTTCAACTAAACAACTTGAAGCCCACATTCTTAATGCCATCAAATCTCTTTGTTGTGAAATTTCAATTGGTTCAGTTGATGAAGCTCCAACTACAACATAAAGATTTTTCCATATAATTGAATCGTTTTGTTCTCTAATTTTTCCAATAATTTGACGAACTCTATAATTAAATTCACTTTCTTCATATGATTTTTCTGGTAATTCTGTTTTACCAGTCGTAACTTTATAAATATCTTCAGCTCCAAATAAATCATGAACTAAATCAACAACAACATTACCTGAAACCCATAAAAATAATTCACTACCATTATCAATTAAATATAAACCATAATTTTCCCATGAAGCTTTTGAATCGTTGATTGGTTCGGGTAAAACAACATCAACTACTTCTTTCTCTGATTCTTCTTCTTCTTCTTCTTCAGTTTCCTCTTTTGTTCCTGGTAATCCACAAGTATCAGGCATATTATGTAATGAATAAACAGTTGGATAAATTGATTTAATTAATTGAGGAATTGGTAATGAACCTAAATTATTTAAAGCTGCTGCTCTATGATCTGATGGAACTCTATCACTTCTAAAACCTAAATGTTTTGTTAAACAAAATAATAATAATGGTAACATTCTTAAATTTGTTGACACTTGTAAAGGTGATGCACCAGAAACATTTCCAGCAACTAATTCTTTTCTATAAACATTTAAAATATCAACAACCCTTGCTATTAAGTATTCTCTTGATTCTGGTAATGATGAAGATAATGCTTTTTCAATAGCTTTATGGGTAAAATAATTTGCAATTGCCAATTGATCAGCTGATGCATAAATATCAACTAATTTTGATGAAACTGGTAATGCTAAATTCATAACTCTAATTCTTCTTTCACCAAATGAAGTTGAATGTAAAACAGCAGCTTGGAAATAAACAATTGGTTTATTTATAGTCTCCTCAATTGACATTTCAATTAAATATGATTGATCTCTTGGGAATGTGGGGAATGAACATAAATCTGAAGATCTATTGAAAAAATTACCATAAAATGATGACATTCTAAAACCGGTAGAACCTCTTACTCTTAAAACAGCTTCTAATGCAATATCTTGTGATAAATGATCACTAACTTCTTTTGATAATTTTGCAACATCTTCATATTTTTGCAGCGTCCATGCTGGATAAAAATGAGTTTGACCAGCAGTATATCTTGGTAAATTTGATAAAGTTGCAACATCTTGATATGCATTTGAAGTTAAAAATAAATCAACTGTAACTTGTGATGAATTACATGTAACAGCAAATGATTTATAAAATGCATCAGCTGGTGTTAATAAAGCTTTAGCTTCTTTTGGTTTACCTGAAACAGAAGCTTCATCTCTTAATGTTAATTTACCTTCACCAATATTTGGTAAAGTAGCAGCAAAACAAACTAATTTACCACCAATATTAGAAATTAATTTATGACCAGCTTTTAATGCAGGACCTAATGCAAAACCTTGATTTGCTGTATTTTCAAAATAACTTGGGAAATCTAATAATAATTTTTCAATAGCTTCTCTATTTTCATCTAAATTAACTAATAAACCATTTGGTAAAGGTAAAAATGGTTCATCAATATCAGCAACAACCATAATTTCAGTACCTTCAATTCCTTCATTAAATCTAAAATAATGTAAATTTGAATCAACACCAATAAATGAAATTCTTGCAGTTTTATTTTCATTTGGTATTCTATCTAAACTTTCTAAAATAGTTCTTGTAATAGTACCAGTTAACCCACTTTGAACAGCATGAATTGACACATCAATTATAAAAGTATAAACAATTGGTTGTGGGGCTCTTGCCATATATTCTTTTGGTGCAATAAATTCAACAACTGAATGATTCAATTCTACTCTATCAAATTTATTTTTGACTTGGCCACTAATTTCATCATAATCAAAAGCACTTGGAATATCATTTAATAAATTACAAAAATTACATCTCCATCTTCTACCACCTTCAGCTAAAGTAATAAAAGGATTAATATAACCACGACATCTTCTACATCTACTAATTGTAGTATCACAAGTTACTGGAACATTTTCATCTTCAATTTTTAATGCATTATAAGGTTTTACAACTAATGCCAAGGGTAATTTTGATTTTTTTAATAATGAGGAATTATTAGGGACAACATTTAAAGTAGATCTAAAATAATCAGGTGATGCATTAGCAGTTTTTGAACCAGGAATTAAAGTAGTTTGATCTGGTAACGTTATTGGTGGAGGAGGAAATGATAATTCGGCAATTGGTGGTGGTAAATCTCTTGATAAATCAGTTGTATATAATGCATTTAATGTAGTGGCACCTTGTAAATTTTGTTGATGTATTGGTTGTTGGGTATTATAACCTGTATTATAACCAACAGGTTGAGTTACACCTTGTGCTCCCATACCAGTTGCAGGAGGAATTCCACCCATGCCTTGGCCATATAAAGGTTGTTGCTGTTGTTGTTGTTGAGGAGTAGATTGTTGGTAATATTGTTGAGTAGCACTAGCAGGAGCTTGTTGTTGATTTATGTTCATTTGTTGAAATAGTTGTTGAGTTTGATCAATACCATAAGCTTGACTAGGTTGTTGTTGTTGTTGTTGTTGTTGTTGTTGGAATTGATTAGCTGTTGGAGGTGAAGTAACAGATCCAGTTGGACCAGCAGTATATTGTGGTTGTGGATAAGCTCTTCTTCTACCAGACATAATTAATTAATCAATTGGTAGTAATTAAGTATCGGTTGGTTAATATTGAATATTGAAAAATACGTGTTTTAATTTTAAATCTGTTGAATTTTTTTTTTTTTTTCCATGAAAAAAATGAAAATTGAAAAATGTTATATACACTACCATTTGGTAGCGCGCTTGCAGCCATTGATTTATTTACGAGTGATATTACGCAATACTTTTACTATCAATGAGAAATATGGGGAATTTAATAGATTTATTTATTTTGGCAAAAGGTTGGTTAAAGTATTAATTACAACAGGTACCTCAAGTATTTATTTACTGTATCGTTATATCGTCATATAATTACTTGCATCATGTCTGATTCCTCAGAAATTTTTGAAGATATTGAGTTAAAATCAAAAATTGATCAATCATTAACAAGAAAATTAAAAGATATTACAGCTGGATTTGTTGGTGGTGCTGTTCAAGTATTAATAGGTCAACCTGCAGATTTGGTTAAAATTAGATTACAAACAACATCAGCAAATTCATCAATTGATGTTATAAGACAAGTTATTAAAAATGAAGGAATTTTAGCATTTTATAAAGGTACATTACCACCATTAATTGGAGTAGGAGCATGTGTTTCGCTACAATTCTATGGATTCCATGAATCAAAAAGACAAATTTTAAAATTTACAAATCAGGAACAATTGAACTTATGGCCTCAAACTTATATATCTGGTGCTTTTGCTGGTTTGGTTAATTCTCCGATTACTTCACCAGTTGAACAATTGAGAATTTTATCACAATCTTCAAAAAAGACAATATCGATTAAAGAAACATTTAAAACTATATTACAAAATCAAGGTTTATTTAATGGTATTTATCGAGGTTTTAATATTACTGTTTTAAGAGAAATTCAAGCTTATGGTATTTGGTTTTTAACTTATGAAACTTTAATTAATCAAATTATAGATTTACAACATTATAAATCAAGAGATGAAATTTCAACACCTGAATTATTAATAAGTGGAGCTTTGGCTGGTAATGCATTATGGTTATCTTCATACCCATTAGATGTTATAAAATCAAACATTCAAAGTGATGGATGGGGTAAAGAAAGTAAATTTAATAATTCAATTTTGAAAACAACGAAGTATATTTATAAAAGTCATGGATTTACTGGATTTTGGAGAGGTATTATACCTTGTCTACTTAGAGCTATACCTTGTAGTGCTGGTACTTTTGCAAGTGTAGAATTAGCATTGAGACTTATGGGTTAATAAATGTATATTTTATGACGATGACTTTTTTGGTGAATTATTTCTATCTTTATAAACAAAACTATTCTTTCTTTGAATTTCAGAAAAGCTATTTTTATGTTGTAAATTTGGTGTTGGAATAGTTTGAGTAAATGATTTATTATAATTAATTGATGAAAATGAATTAGATCTAGACGCCACCATAAGTCTTTCCTCTTTTGAGTTAAGTTTTAATACACGTTTTGTAATTATTAACATTATAGTACATATACTTAAAACAAATCCAGCTACCCAAAATACAAAATTTGGTTTATGAAATTTTGATAATGAAATTTTATAAATTGATAAATACAAAATTGGAGCAATTAAAGCAAATATATTTCTTAATAAAGAAGTAGCACCAAATAATTCACCAATTTTACTTTCTGGATAAAATTTAACAATTGATGAGTTTATAGAAGGACCAATTAAAGAACCAAAACCACAAAATAAAGTAAAAATGAAGAAAATTAAAGTGGTTGGACTTAATGAATAACCTATAAATCCAGTAACTTCACAAATTAACCCAGTTAAACACATTGAATAATCAACCATATCAAATTGTTTTTTGAATACTTTAAAACCGATAAATTTTTGAAATATTTTATGATTTATAACTGGTGATAATAAAATTAACACTATTGCTTTACTTGAACATGTTATTGCCATATATCTACCTAAATCATTTTGATTCCAATTAAATTTATAAATTCCATATAATACAAAAATTTCACCAAATGATATAGCTAAAGTAGTCATTAAACAATCTATTGAAACTAATATTATTAAAGCAAATCTATCACGATTTAATCTATAATGATTTTGAGGAGGTACTAAAACTTTTGGAATAATTAATAATTTTAAAGGTTTTAAAAAATTTAATTGATCTAGATATTTTTTATATTTTGGACATTTTGGATATTTATTCAATTCTTGTAAATTTGTTAAACTTGATGATCTTGATAATCTTCTTGATTTTTGTCTTGCCTTTTCTGATCTTGATTCAGGAAGTATAAAAATACAAATAAATAAATTTATAAATACAATTATTAATTCAAATTTTAATGTTAAAAATTCAGATTTGCCAATTTTAATCAAGGTCGATATTTTATTAGTCCAAGATATTATTAAATTACCCACTAATGGACCAATACTAACTCCAACAAACATCGAAGCAATACTTATTCCCAAAGAATAAATTCTTTCATGAGGTTCAACAACATCTGAAATATAACAATTTGCTAAGCTCATTAAACCAATTAATCCACCACCTAAATTTAATATAATTTCACCAAAAATCATTGGCCAGAATTTTAATTCATTAAATTTATACATTATTAAAAATTTTAAAATTTTACCAATTAAAACAAATGACATGACTAAAATTATAAATGATTTTCTACCATATAAATCAGATAATGGAGCAACCTTTCCTGAAGCAATTAACATAATTATAGCACCACTTAAACTATAACCTAATTGTAAATCAGACATTAAAACTTGAGCAGTTTCTTTAGTACATTTATCACTACCTAAATAATTACAAGCTAATTTAAGGGTAATTATTTGTCTAGATGATTCAGCACTTGAACTACCAAATGATGTAAAAAATATAATAGTCGCAATCATTAAAACACTTGGTCTTTTTAACCAATGTAATGATTTATTTAAAGTCCTTTGTTCTCTTAACCATTGAACATCTTCATTTCCTATATCATCATCTAAATCATTTTCAATTATAGCTTCGTAAACATCATTAACAGCTTCTTCTAAATCGTTAGTTGGTCTATCAATTGAATTAAAAGGAGGAGAATGAATATTATTATTATTTTGTAAATTATTTAAGTCTGCGTCTGATCTAGATGAAGTATGATTTAGCCGTAATAATGGATCTATTTCCGACGGTGGTGTTGAATTAGACATAAAATTGGACTATTGATTTTTGATAAATGATTTATTATTATATTTTTAGTTCCAACTAATCAAACCAGCTTAATTGAAAAAGATATAAAGTTATCAGCAATAATAATGATAAATAAAACTATTGGTTAATTTGAAGTATTCAGTTTGCTAATTTATACATTTGATTTATATTTATATATTTTACCACACACACATTTTTTATTTTTTTTCGTTCCACAAATTATTGATTTATGATAAACAAAATCAGAGATAATAACCATATATTGTAACATATTGTAACATATTAAACTATTAAACTTAAACTATTATCCTGATTTGAAGCCGTATCAGATAAAATATATATCCTTTCTATTATAGTAGAATGTGTAGTTATTATTTTACTGAAATTAAAAATCAATATAGTAAAGATGAACGCAAGACGAATAAATAGTCGTTTCAGAATCTGATTACTAGTAAAAACTAGTTTTATATGTCAATGCAAATGAGTATTATTATTATGCCGGATTCCCGACATATGGTAGCATAAAATGTATGTATATATATATCCCTTAGTTTTTTATTTGCAATTCCGCTTTTGCTTTTGGTGGATTTTAAGTCTTCGGATCGTAAAAATTAAAATTATTTCCGTCGGATCTGGTCGTGTCATATTGATCAAAAATTCAACAATTCAAAAGTCAAAGTTAAGCATACAAATCATTTATTACTTAATTAGGAAGTCTATATTATATTTTCTCACTTAAATATTTGATTTTATTTCTATCATCAATATTTATATAGATACATATATATATGTATAATGTTGCCAGTAACATCAAATAATAAAATTCCAACAACAACACTCAAATTTTTATCAAGATTTTTTTGGAATTATAATTCAAAATTTAAGAAAGAGCAAAAAATAACAGAATTAGAATTAGCAGAAGCATTAAATTTAATTAAACCACAACAGAATTTACATCATAAACCATCAATTATAAAATCGTTTAAAGATGGACCAGCTAATGAAGTTTATAAAATAAAAAATAATTTAATACATGATTCAATACCATCAATTAATAAAAGTAAGAATAAACATATATCAAATCAATTCATTCAAAACATTTTATTTGGTATCAAATCATCATCAAGTAATAAATTAGAATCGATAAATTATCATCAATTATTAAACGAAATGACTTTATCAGAATTAAGGTATTTTATAAGATCAGTAACTGATGAGAAAACATTATTTAATATAATGGTATTGTTTAATAGCAATCACAAATTAAATTTGAAAATCCTAACTGAAATAATATTGAATAAAAATTTCATACACATTGCCAGATCACCAATTAACTTACTCAACCTTGAAAATGAAACAAATCTATCTCAAATTGACGTTATCAAGGTCCAAATATTATTATTGAAAAAATATCAAGATTTGAAATTGCCTATAAATATAATTAAAAATCTAAAATTAAATATAAATAATTATTTAACTATGATTAAACAATCGAAATTGAATTCATTTTATGAGAGGATAATATGGAGGTTTGTATATGAATATTTATTTCAATTTAGTGAATTAGATTACATGAAAATGATAAATAATATACAAAGCTCATTTATAATGTGGGAAGCATCATACAGAAACAATACAAGGATAACTAATGATATACTATCTTATCATAGTAAAGAGTTGAATTCTTTACAAACAATATTTTTACAAATTGCCTTATTGAAAGATGTCAATTTATCTAATTTAAAAAACCTATCCATTAAATATAAAATATATCAATTGGATCCAAATAATAAAAGCAATAGAAATATAAGTTATGCTTTAATTACAGAACTAGAGAAATTATTAATTAAAACTAATCAAAGTCAAGAAGTTAGTCAAATGCTAGAAAATCTTGCTATTTTTAGAATAAATTATATTTTGAATATGTATAATATTCAAAATGAAGAGATTAGAATTGATAATGAGCATTTAATGATTGATAGATTATGAATATGCAACTTATATACTAATATTTTGTAGATTTATACATATATAACTAGTTCTAAAGCATCCTTACATTGTTCTTCTGTCATGCATCCTTCCATTGTGCTTTGTTTAATGGCATCTTTACAATACCCCAGATTTTTCATTTTTCATTTTTCAATTTTTTTTTTTTTTCTTTTTCCTTTTCATCACCAAATCATTATATTCATTATGAAAATTATAACAAATTCATCAGTCAATGAATTCTTAAATAAAACATTAACTCGTGATTCTCTACATGATAAATTCTTACCTACTTTATTATCAAGTTTAACCAATTATGCATTAAATCCAAATGAAATAGTTCCACCTCGAACAGTTCAGTCAACAAATAATCCCAAGGCAAACATTTCCCATATTTATATGCCATGTATTTCTCCAAATGAAGTAGGAATAAAAATAATTAGTGGTGGTCCATCAAATAATGAAAAGGGATTGGGTTTCCAAGGTTGTGTATTAATTTTAAATGAATTGACGGGTGAATTACAAGGTATTTTAAATGCAACAACATTAACTGCTTTCAGAACAGCATTGGCTAGTTGTCTAGGACTAGTTAAAATTATAGAATCTCAAAGTATCTTACCTGAATTGTGTGTCTTTGGTGTTGGTTTGCAAGCATATTGGCACGTTAAACTATCACTATTATTATATCCACAAGTTAAACAAGTCAACATTATAAACAGAACTTTAAAAAATGCTCAACTGTTATCTCAAAAACTTGCATCTGAATTTGCAAGTATCAATTTTAATGCATTTTCTTATGAAGATGAGAATATATTTATAAATCATGTTAGAAATAGTTCAATTATATTCGGTTGTACTCCGTCAACAACACCAATCATAAAACAAAATTATATTAATAAAGATAAGAAATGGCCAGTTTTCATATCTTTAATTGGATCATATAAGCCACATATGATTGAATTGGACCTTAAAGTTATAAATGAATTAAAATCAATGCATGTTTCAATTATTGTAGATTCTAAAGAACATACATTAGCTGAATCTGGTGAATTGATTCAATCTAACTGTACTAAGGAGGATTTAATTGAAATTCATGAATTATATAAAAGTGATAATTTTAAAGTTAGAGATGTTGATACAAATTTAACTGTTCAGAAAATTGTTGGATTGTCTGTTATGGATTTGTCTATCGGTAAATTGATTTATGAAGAAATAGGTCAAGATGCTGTTGAAATGGACAATTTTTGATTATCATGTAAGGATGTTGTTATTTAGGATATCACAAGCGTTTGTTGACATTACTGACCAACTCATTACTATTCATTTGCTATAGAGATTACATAATACATAATAAAAATTTTTGTCCCCGTGACTCTGAGTTTTTGTATCAAATTTAACCATATAACTTTGTTTCAAGTGGTTGTTATTGCATTCTTACCAATTTATATTTAGCATCCTAACGATGGGGGAAAGTCGACCTTTATTAGGAGGTGATTCTCTTTCAATCTTCAACAAAAAACAATCAATAAATAATAACCAAAAATTATCATATTTATTAAATATATTCACAATCATAACAATCATATACTTATGTATTTTCAGCATACCTTCCAATCAAAAAGATTCTTCCTTTGATCCACATTCAAAGAAAAATATAATCATGATGGTAACTGATGGATGTGGACCCGCAAGTTATTCACTAGCTAGATCATTCAAACAATTTAGCTATAATTTACCAATTGATGATATTTTAACAATTGATAAATATTTAATAGGAACTTCAAGGACTCGATCCTCATCATCATTAGTTACTGATTCAGCGGCTGGTGCTACTGCTTTCTCATGTGGTTTAAAATCATATAATGGTGCCATTGGAGTAAACTCTGAAAAAAAGCCATGTGGAACAATTTTAGAAGCATTAAAATTACAGGGTTATTTAACTGGACTAGTTGTAACTACAAGAATCACAGATGCTACTCCTGCGTCATTTTCATCTCATGTTGAATATCGATTTCAAGAAGATTTAATTGCACAACATCAATTAGGTGAATATCCATTTGGAAGAGCTATTGATTTAATTCTTGGTGGTGGAAGATGTCATTTTTTGCCTGTTTCTGAAGGTGGTTGTAGATTAGATGAGAGAAATTTAATTAAGGAATATTCAAAACAATGGAGTTATGTTGGAAATAGACAAGAATTCGATTTATTAAATGATGGTAAAAATGTTTCATTACCATTATTGGGATTAATCGCAAATACAGATATTCCTTATGAAATTGATAGAAAAGATTCAGAATATCCATCATTGGCTGAACAAGTTAAAGTTGCATTAAATGCTTTAGCTAGTAATACTAAAAATTCAGATCATGGTTTTTTTTTATTGATTGAAGGTTCTAGAATTGATCATGCTGGTCATCATAATGATCCAGCTGCACAAGCAAGAGAAGTATTAGCATATGATAAAGCATTTGAAGAAGTGATTAAATTTATAGATTCATCAGATGTAGATACAATTGCAATTTCAACTTCTGATCATGAAACAGGTGGATTAGTTACCGCAAGACAAATAACTGAAAGTTATCCGGATTATTTATGGTATCCGGAGGTTTTATTGAATAGTACACATTCAGGAGATTACTTAGCTCATAAAATCTACAATTTCAAAAACAAAAAAGATTCTACAAAGTTGATCAATTTTATTAAATTTGAAATTTTTGAGAAAGATATGGGTATTTTAAATTACACAGAAAAGGAAGTTGAAAAAATATTAAACAAAGTAAATGATCCTTCTAAATTGTTATACGTCCTAAATGATATACTATCAGTTAGGGCTCAGATTGGTTGGACTACCCAAGGCCATTCTGCAGTTGATGTAAATATTTTCGCGCATACTAATTCTGAATCAATTTATGATAAATTAAAAAATACAAAGTCTGGGTTGTTTGGTAATCATGAAAATATTGAAATCGGAAAATTTATGGAATTTTTAACTGGTTCGGATTTAAAACACGTTACTGATTTAATTAAAGAAACTGATCCAAAATCTGATAAAATTGATATTGATGAATTTCATAAAGTTATATAAGTTACTGAAAGTATATAAGTTATAGAAAAAAAAATTTAGTAACTGGATACTATTTTTGATTTCTTATAATTGTGATTTTAGTTAGAGTTTTATGACTTTCAAGATCAATGAATATAAAAGTAGTATACATCTGAAATACCTCAACAATTTTATAGATTACTTCTCTCTTCTAATTGATTGATAGGCTGTTTTAGTAAAATGTTGTTGAATAAAAATGCCTCAAATATACCACTGGATGATAAATGAATAAGATTTTGTCAAAGGATTTAAAAGAATTCAAGTTTCAACTATCAAAGTCAGATTAAGCTGAATTTTCTCGTTCCAATGGTACCAAAAACTATACCGTTTGAATAATAATAAGTGCAAGGTGCAAGTGCAAGGTGCTAATTCTAGATCGCTAAAAACTAATGGCATTTTGACTTTTTCTTTTTACTGCGCATACCGAGTATATCTTGTTTTGTGTCATATCTCGTATCTAGAAATTTACAAGCGATTTGAGATCTAGATCGCTTTCGTAACTTTATTTTGCGTTTATTTGACAAGGTTATTTGACAAGTTTTTAAGAGTATTACAATACCACTAATAGTCAAATTTTTTTCATTAACACTTTAGACCTATTAGAGATGGCGATGTTGTTAAGTTTATAGAAAACACAATTTTGATTAGTCGATTTGAAATCAAAAAAATGGAAAAAAACGTAAAATTGCAAGATTAGATAATGAATACTTAGACCTCATTTAGCAAGTTCTAATATAGCTGATTTGGTTCATTAAATTCCAAAAACGTTCTCTGTTTTGTTTTCAAGATGCCAAAATCTCTTTGAATTTTTTTGAAAATTTTCAAAACCACTTCTAAAAATTAAATCATGTATTGAATCTTATTTTGCGCAAAATTTTTGTATGGTGAAAAAAGGTCAAAATGACAAATATTTGAAAACTGAATATTTAAATATACAGAATGTGTGTGTTTCGACTCCTGATATCATATCAATGATAGATATTTTGCGTGATTGATCAAGATACATAAGCTGATAAGATTAGTACGAGTCGCCCAAAGAATAGCGCGAGAAATTTATTACGTCGCACCATTGAACTACATACTAAGCAAATTTGAATTATATGCAATATCTTAGTAATTAATTTTCCGTTTATATTTAGTATCACCGTGGTTAATCTTAGCACTTAATCTGTAGATAACTCTCTTAATATTCAAACGCTACATAGAATGTAATTCATTAAAGTCTTCTAACTATTTGGAATAAAATGATGGTAGTATGACTCAATATATCATAAAATTGACCATTATATTCTTCATTCAAAAAATCGCAGAAAAAGGGTAATTATAAGATTATCTACACCTAAAAATCATTCTAAAACTTCCAAAATAGTCAAATCAGGTTCTTCGACACCCAAAGTCTCTCCATCATGTTTTTCAATTTATGGGATGTTTTAGAAAACTGGACCAAAATTCCACCTCTTCCTAATTACTTCAAACTCGGTATAATGGAACTTTGAACCATTTTGAACAAAAACAACCAATGTGCACTTTCGAGTCTAGTTATAGTTACATTCAATTTAAAATAATTTAAATTTCCAGTTTACTTCTCCAATTTTGAAATTCTTGCGCTGATTCTAGACTCATTGAAAACTCAGGCCAATTTCAATTCTGATTTTTGGTCCATATTCGTGGTCATGAAAATTTCCCCAACTAACTTTTTGTTTAAAATTTTGTAAACTATTATTGCTTAACTATTGCGGTTAGGATGTTTGACGACGTATCTGATTGGTCAATTAACACCAAAGTATCAAATTTAAAGCTATTGATGTAGTAACACTAAATATCGATATATCATTACTTACTCATTAAGCTCATACAAAGCTTTTCTCACTAGGCCTACTCGTTCATGAGATATTTGCACTTTTTATATTATACAAGCCTCATTTCCTAATTCGTATTTTTAACTTTGGACCACCAGCAAAACCATTTTTTGTTACACAAAAACACAATCCAAAATTGACAACTTTGTTTTTTGTAAAATTTATTTAAAACGTTAATTACTTGAATATTACCGCATTCTATAGCCTGAAACCAACCATTTTGTATTCTTTGATAGCTCTAGTTTATTTGATGTGAAGCAAATGCGTGAATAATAGTTAATGGTGGAGTAAAACAGTTTAATTCGAAATTTTGATATGCTTTATGTAAAGAACGGAAGAGGGGACCAATTGTTTCAGAATAAGTTGTATTTGACTCTTCTTAACAACCTGATTCTAAAGCAGTTAATTGCTTTTGTAATAGTCTTGTATTTGTAGAGTTATTTCACATTGAAGATGCATTTTCGCAAAGACAAGTCAAGTATTATACATCAAAATACAATCGAGCAAAAGCAAACACAGTTGTAATATATGGTCTGAAACTAGTACACTATTACTTTTATACACCGACAGAAGCATTCATTAATGAATATTTAGGTAGTTTAACAATTTTTTGGTAATAAATTTGGAAATTTTATGATTTTATTAATTGACCATTAAACTTGAGTAAATGCAATTACATATATCGTAATTAATAGCCTGAAAACAAAAGACTTGTACTTCAAGTTAGCTGATACAATACTAATTGTATAAAAGTTAATGACACTAATGAGTCTGGAAATTCAATTTTGTGTGAATTGACTTCTTCTTGTTCTGTCATATAGTCACCAGAAAGATAGATGAACTTTTCATTTTTGGTAGTAAATTTGTCGAAGAAAATAATTGAAAAGGAAAAGTTCATTCAATTTCTAGCTCCACCAAGCTTTGCAACTCAAGCATTGCTTCAAAAGTCAAGCTTATAAAAATCAGACCCAATGACCCCAACAGTTTTGGTAAGCCCCAATGAGATAGCCTACCTGCAACTTCAGCAGATAATCCCAATTCTTTAATATTGGGATTATATTTGAATAACTATTCAACTGACTCGAGGTCTTCGTCATAGAAAATTTTATAATCTTTAATATTGTTTGCAACTTTTATCAGCTTACAGTCGCCAATTAAATCACCGTAAAAGTCTTCCAAGCTGTCAGGCAAATATTTAAATATCTTGATATCAGTTGTATCTACAAACAAACTTTTTAGATTCACAAATCTTCTCAAATTTTTGAAACTCTATTGCAATTTCCTTTTGAACTTCTTTATTTATAAGAGTTGATATCCTTTCAAAGTTGAAAAGAGTCTCCAAATTACTCAAACAAAACGATGCACTCACGACCGTGGATTACTTCGATTTCCATGGTTGCATGTATTTAGATGGCAACAACAATAATTGGATAACAAAACATATTAGAATAATTCAATTTGCAGAACAAAACTTTTGATGTAAGTGACTAATACCGGCACTAACTGTTACTGCCTTTAAATGAACTGCTGCGCGTTGGAACCATTGAATATAACATTTCTAAGAGATTCAATGGAATCGCTAAAAATTCATCTGCAAATTGACTATAGCAGTAATTTTTCTGTTTCAAATACAAAATTAAAACTTAAAAATGCCTAACTCCTAAGTTTCAAGCCTCCAATAGTACTCTAACACCATCAAAACTAACAAAATATAATTTTTACTTTTAGGAGGTATTTTTTAGGGGGCTAAGTGGTAGCGCTCTTTTATTTTTTTGATATGCTTAATCTTGCATGTAAGCTGTAACAAAACCTCAAAATTTTACACAAAAGAAAAATCTCCCTCCATTTATCACTTTTCTTTCTCACATCAACGACTTATATCTGTTGAATTAAGTGAACCAGTGACGGTTAATACGTAACTAAGATGTTCGTCATAATTGTGCTTTAATAAAAAATGGACTGTGTTGAATATTAAAGGCAGAAAAATGTTCAAATTACGAATTTGTTGCAAATCATACAATACAATATTGATGTTCAACTTAGAAAACTAGAATAATCTGTCAGGAGTAATCTCTCATTGAACTCATGCGAAATGTTCCTACTAATGGTATAATAAATAGGATAAAATACTGATAAGTAATAATGCAACTAAAAAGAATACTATTCAACTTTAAAGTATTTCAATGTATATATTTCATATTTGTTATTGTTTCCAAAGTTGTTTTAGAATTGCGTGTAGCCCAAATTGGCCCTAGATGAAAACGTATGAAGCCCTTGATTCCATTTAATTGGTTATGAGTTTGAGAAATTACGTTGTTTATGATTTATGAGTCAATAACCTTAGAACAAGGTCGACATAATTTTAGCGCGAGAAATTACTTTGTTGCATTAATTGTCGCTTTGAAAATTGCCATGATTTTAAGCAACAAATTGTAGAATGGCATTTGGTAGCATCTATAGTTTCTTATCTTATCTTTGCTTATCAATTACATCAAAATTGCGCGCGCGCTAAGTGGGGTTCAAAAAGAAACGCCAACCTTAGATCCGAATACAATTGTACAAAGTATACTACGAGGAAAGAGATCAAATTTGACTATCAAAGAAAAGTATACCAATCAATAATTAAACTTAATATACATTTTTTTTATTAGTTTGAGTAGTCGCATATAATTAAATTTAATGATAAATCTAAACTTTCTATAATAAAATCATACTTTTTTAGCTTTAGCTTTTAAATTTTGATTTTTGGCCTTTTTCTTTTGAATTGTTTCAAATTGCTTTGATTTGTAGTTTTTACTTTTTTGATATTCATCATCAGTTTTAAATAAATCGTAAGTTGTTGGTTGAGTTGAAGCCTCGATAGCATCTTGACTTTTTTCTAAATCATCACCCAAAACATCAAATTGATTTGATTCAACAATACCCTTTGAAGGAATTGAAGTTTTTTTGACTTTATTATTTGTTTGTGACTTATTTTTACCTAATGAAGCAACTTCAGCATAAGTTAATTGCTTAGTTTGAATGTCGATAAAATCATCTTCACCTTCGTCTAATGAAACTTTATTGTTGTTCATTGATATATTGATTAATTTATTATCATCATTTTTTATAATGATGTTTTTTGGAATTGACGATGAGTCAGTTTGTTGTTTAGTAATAGGTTTATTTCTGTTGAACCATTGTGGAATTAAATAAGATGAAATTGAAGATTTAAACATAATAATAGCAAACTGTGATGTAGTAACAATAAACAAGTTAAAAGGAATGAATAAATATAAATATATCGTTGTTAGTTGTTTGGTTGTTGGTTGTAAAGTATAAATAAACAAGTATAAATAAATAAATATATATAAATATATAAATGACAAGATTAAACTTTTAAGTGGGAAACAGTGGTTTTAAAATTCACGTGGATTGGTTGGTACACGCCCCCACTTTATTCTATACTTAACAAATTATCACACTAACTATATAAATGGTTTTGAATGGTAAAATATATTTAGATCTATTTGGTTCCCTGGGTTAATAATGGTTATATATGCGAAACACTTGCGAAATACTAGCAAAGTAACTTTGAACTGGTGAATTACTCTAATTCATGAATTACTTATAAAAATAAAATCTTTCATAAGATAAAGTATCATTAGAATAGCAAAAAAAGAATATTTGTTGAGTTGAAAGATATTGTTATACCAATTTGGTTATACCAATTTGGTTATATCACCGGTTATTGTTTTCAACCGAAACAAGTAGTCATTCAAGTATTTGTTTTGATGATAACCAAACGTCATCAGAATTTACTTTTTCCTTCTGTGACTAGTCATAGTCATGTCATAGTCATGTCATAATCTATTATTCTTGTTTTGGTCAAGTTTTTACTAAATTTGCGTTATTATTTACACGTTTTTGTTTCAGTAGTTTTTAGCAGCCATTTAGCTGGAACTCTTGGTCAATCTTTATTCATTCCAATTGATGTAATTTATTTAGTACTTAACCGTTCCAACCTACTCAAATTTAAAAGCGTGTCTTAACCATTATTGGAACAGTTTCAATGTTTTAAAAATTGTTTATTTATATCGAGCGGCTTATTTGACAACCAACTATCTAAATCATCTTGTACAGTACCATATGTGCAAGATCAAGATATAACAACTTCAAATAACTTAAAGTATAACAGAATGGATGGTTGGAATGAAATTACTCGGGTTGCCGTATCACCATCAGATAATAACAACAAAAATTATGATTCGGTTATAACATCATTATTGTTTGATTCAGTTCAAAGTCTAGTTTGGATTAGTGATTCAAATGGTTATACAAAATCTTATCTTAATAATCAATCAACTGCACCTTATCAATTTGAATTATATCCATATACAAAATTTAATAATTCGGATTCAAATCCATTTAGTCAGTCAAATTCAGTTAGGAAAATATTGTCTCATAAACAAGGTATATTATCATTACAAATGAATCAATTAAATTTCACGTCAAGAAGAGGTTTACCAATTGCAAATTTTAATAAAGAAGTTTTAAAAGATGAAAAGTTTAAAAAATTAAATTCAATGACTTTTAATACTATGAATTCAGCTAATGAATTGATAGTAAGTAATGAAAATACATTATTCAATATTGATTTAAATAAATCTGCTTTATCTACTTTAGATTATTCAAGCAATGACATTTCCATATTGAATAGCTCTTCGAAATTTTTAACAATTGGGAATAATAATGGTACTTTATCTTTATTTGATTCAAATTCAAATTCAATTGTAAAAGATTTCAACACTCATAATGGTTATATATCTGATTTGGATGTTAGAGGTAATTATATTGCGACATGCGGTTATTCGATTAAACCAAGAAAATATAATTTGAATCAACAACCAGAATACATGATTGATCCATTAGTTAACATTTATGATATTAGAAATATGAAAGCAATTGCTCCTGTTCCATTCCCTGCTGGTGCTACTTCAATTAGATTTCATCCAAAATTATCAAATATTATAATAATTGCTTCATTAACTGGTCAAATTCAATTTGTTGATATTTTTGATCAATCAAATGTATATCTTTATCAAGCGAATTTATTAAATTCTCAATCTCAAATACTGCCTAAAATGTCAAATTTAGAAATTAATGAAAATGGTGATTATATATTATTTAATGATAGTTCTTCTAATATTCATTTATGGTCAATTACTAATTCAGGGTCTATTAGTAAAAGTTTTGTTAATTTTCCGGAATCAATTGAACAACCAGACATAGTCGAGAATAAAGATGATACATTTATTGATATTGATGATACTATTCCTTTATCCATCATTGGTATGCCGTATTATAAAGAATTACTATTATCAAATTATCCTTATGAATTAAAATATGTTAAAGAAACAGCAAATTTACCAAATCAAATAGATATGGACATGATTATACAATACAACAAACATAACAAGATAATGCCGTTTGATTCAAAGAAATTTTCAAATTATTTCAATGATGAATATAGATCACTAAAAGAATCTAAAGATTTGCAAGTACCAAAGTTCATAAGTGAAAAAAATGAAGATGATGGTGGAGAAAATGAAGAACTACCAGATGATAGTATTTTTGAATTCAAAAGTGATGAACTGAAAGTTCCTAAATGTTACTCAAGACTACAAATTCAATATTCAAAGTTTGGAGTCAAAGATTTTGATTTCAGTTATTATAATAAGTCAAATGGACAATATTGCGGATTGGAAAATCATACTGATAATTCATATATAAACTCATTGTTACAATTGTACCGATTTCAACCGACACTATATAATCAAATCACAACTACATTAAATAAAGAGTGGTTACCTACTGATTTCATTGAATCACAACCTGAAGGATCATCAATTTTAAATGAATTAGCGTATTTATTCGACATGATGTACAAGGCTAAATCAAATAATGTAAAGATTTATAATTTTACACAAGTGATGAATCATAATGAGGAGGTCAAACTTTTGAATTTGATTAATGTAAATGAATTATTAAACTTAAATTCACAAGAGGTAAGAGGATTGATTATATCATTCAACAATTTCCTACTAAATCAATTGTCAAAAGATTTTAATTCACAGTTTGAAGAGTCATTTAATTCAACCAAATTATCATATGAAATTGTAGTCGAAGGAAATGGTCATTTATTTGATAAAAGGTATGGTTCAATGTTTTCATTAGAGTTAATAACACCTCCAAATAATATGTTAAATAAAATGAGTGTATTAGTTAATTCAAATCAAAATAATTTGGGAACTGTAAGAAAGAATATAAATATTTTAACATATTTAGAATTTTCCATGAATCAGTATAAAACTATCCCATGTCAACAATGTCAACAATTTCATAATTTGGAAATTAAAACTAGTATAATTGAATTACCTAAAGTTTTAGTACTAAATGTTAATCTTAACAATGAAGAATTTGAATTGATAAATAATTTTAAAAAATGGTTAGTACCTGAATTTTATGCAATTAAAAATAATAAAAATAATAATGGTTATTCATTTAAAGCATATCCAACAAACAAAGAAGAAGCAAAATATGAATTATTAGGATACATATGTGAAATCAGTCATCATGCAGATGTATTAAGAAATGGTACTCATAGTTTAGTATCATACATTAAAACAGAAAATGGTTGGTTTTTATTTAATGATTTTTTAGTCATGCCTATTTCAGAAGATGAAGTTTATAATTTAAACCTAACTTGGAAAAAACCAGTTATAATATTATACCAACAGGAAGATCAACCAAAATTTAAGTATTTTTCAGATTATTCAAATTTCCAAGGCGATGATTCAATTTTATATCGTGATCATTTTGCTGGTCCAATAAGAGAATCATATCAAAAAGAATATAAATTATTAACTAAATCAGAAGCTCCCAAACCAGGAACATTAGTTGCAATAGATGCAGAATTTGTTGTTTTAAATCCCGAAGAATTGGAAATTTCATATAATGGAGATAAAAAATTAATAAAACCAAAACAATTATCCTTAGCTAGAATTTCAGTATTACGTGGTTGTGATGGTATTGCTTTTATTGATGATTATATTGTTCATACATCTCATATTTATGATTATCTTACCAATTTTTCCGGAATTGAACAAAATGATTTAAATTTAAATAAATCTTCAAAAAATTTGACTACTTTACAAACTACGTATCGTAAATTATGGTTATTATTAAATTTGGGGGTTATTTTCATTGGTCATGGATTGTATAATGATTTTAGAACTATTAATTTACAAGTACCACAAGAACAAATTAGAGATACTTTAATATTATATTATAAAGCTGATTTTAAAAGGCAATTGAGTTTAAAATTTTTAGCCTATATTTTGTTACAAAAAAAAGTTCAATCTGGAAATCATGATTCAATTGAAGATGCAAATACTGCTTTATTATTGTATAAAAAATATTTAAAATTGACTGAAGCTGGAACTTTTGAAAATGCATTGGATTATATATATTCTGAAGGTCAACAATTGAGATATAGAGTGCCAGAATGAATTTAGAAACCATTTATAAAAATAGTAACGAATTAAATAGTAGAATTCAACTTAATTTGTAAACGCTTATGTTGCAGGAGTTTTTATTTATCAAATTAAAGAAAAACGAAACTGCTTACAGTAAGAATGCAACTCTATAATTCACGTAACGAAGACTTAGCTCTAGTTGTTTCGATTTATTTGGATCATATTTACTAGGTTAAATTTCACGCGTTAAAAAAAAATTTCCAAGGGCCAATATTCCAATGTTTCTTCAATTGTTGTCATATATAGGTGTCGTGGTTGGCTTCTTATTCCTAATATTATCAATTGCATCTGGTTTATATTATATTTCTGAGCTAGTTGAAGAACATACTGAGCCAACAAAAAGATTTTTAAAGCAATTGATCTATATAATAATTGGTACATTCATATTGCTTATAATATTTGATTCATTTCCAATTAAACTTACATTATTTTCAATATTTTCAAATTATATTTATCTTAAAAATCTTTCCAGATTCCCTTATATTGAATTAACATCACCAATTTTTCTTGGATCATGTATTTTAGTTGTTGCGAATCATTTTTTATGGTTCAGTCATTTTCATAACCCATATATACCACCATTGGAAGTTCGTTTGAAACCAGATTATCAACCTCCAAGAATACCTACTTTTGTTGAAATTTGTTCATTTTTTGGTTTATTAATTTGGTTTATTCCATTTGCATTATTTGTCAGTTTAAGTGCTCATGATAATTTATTACCACATCATATAGAAGGTGATTCTCAAAAGAAAAAAAATACAGGATTAGCAAAAGTCGTGGTTGCAAATATAAGAGAGTATATTTATAAGATTAGTAGACTGTTGGGTTATGAATTAGATCCAAATCATGGATCAATCGTGTACTAATAAATATCTAAAAATTTTTTAACTGGTTTACCAATATCATCTAAACTTAATAAAAACGTATCATGACCATAATTACTAACATCAGTTCCTAATTCAAAATATTCAATTAATCCCTGTTGATTATTTTCTCTTAAAACATCGGCAATTTCTCTTTGTTGCCATACAGGGAATAAAATATCTGATTCAACTCCAATAACTAAAACATCTTTGTTTGATAACTTTTGCATTCCTTTTTTTAAATCTGATAAACTTTCTTCAACTCTTGGCTTTGAATTCGTAGTTTTTTCTTCATATGGTTCATTTGGAATTGATAATTTTTGATCAGATAAATCAATTTGCTTACCATAAAATTTCTCTTCAGTCTGTTTTCTAATTTTCAAAGCTTTTGATCTACTACTATAACTTAAATCAAACAAATCCATTGCTTTTGAAACATATAACCAACTGTTTGCATCATATTCTAAACAAAATTTTTCGCCTGCATGATCCAAGTAAGTTTCAACCAAAAAATCAGGACATAAAGCTGGTGGTTTTGACTCATCGGCCCTAGATCTACCAAATCTATATTCCCATTCTGGACCTGATCTATAAGTAACTGTTGCAATTTCTCTAGCCAATTTCATTCCAACATGTGGAGGAATCAGATTATAATAAAATCCTCTATTCCAATTTGGATCACTCATCAAAACCTGTCTTTGAGTATGTCTCATTGCAATTGAATATGGATGAGATCTTGCACATCCACTTATTGATACAATTTTTTCAACTTCATTTGGAAATTCCCAAGCATAAGCTAGTGATTGCATTCCACCCATTGATGCACCAATTGAAGCATGTATTTTAGTTACACCAAATTCATCCTTAATCAATTCTCTTTGAGCTCGAACCATATCATTAATTGAAATTATAGGAAATCGAGTGGCGTAATTTTCATTATTAGCTGGATCAATTGATGATGGACCAGTTGACCCATAACAACCACCTAAAACATTTGTACAAACTATAAAGTACTTATCAGTATCTAGATATTTTCCTGAGCCAATAAAATTCTCCCACCAACCATTCTTTGCATTGTTTGGTTGTGATTTTGCATGAGATGATGCTGATAATCCAGTATGAATTAATATTAGATTAGATTTTGATTCATTTAAATTTCCCCATGATTCATATGCTATTTCATACTCTGGTAGAAAACCACCATAATCTAAAAATATTGGTTTTTTAGATTTATACAATTGAAATCCAGTTTTGACAAATCCATAATTTGGTTCAGGACCTGTGTCCAATGATGAAGTTTGTTTCAAAATACCTTTTGAGAGTTCAGTATTCTTTCGTTCTAATTTATCTAAACATGGAAATGATAATTGAGGATTTGACCCTGATGTTTTAATACGAGCACATCGCCTATTAATTAGTGAAAAACATCGCAGTATATTATTTCGACTCGGTTTTATGACCATTTTAGCTAATGACATTTGGTAGGAAGTGAATAATTTAAATTCAATGCTTGATTATTAATTGATTATAATTTAGATCTGAAAGATTATTGCAAAATTTAACGTGCCTTTTCTGCACACAACAATTTGTCTTATATGCAGTATTTTCATAGAGTATCTGAAAACTTGAATCATGAATAAAACTCCTTTCATACCCAAGCTATTAGTCTCAAGCTCTTTTCATCACAAAAAATCAATTAGTTTGGCTTAGAATGACGCTCATTTCTACCGGATACGCCTAGTCTTGATGACTTCGTTCAACTTTCAAAAAGCGCAAAAAAACGTTAAATTGAGAGTTAGTTGATTCTTAGACCTCGTCCGACAACTTCTATTATAGCTGATTCTGTTCATTAGACCCCTAAAATACTATGTATAATAATTTCGGGACATCATAAAGTTTTAAAACGATTACTATTATTGAAAAATTACTTCTCAATTTTGAACACCTGAACATAAAAAAGTTCTAGATATATCAGAATACAGAATTTAAAAATCCACTAATTTCGTTTTGTTTTAATTTGAATTACGATTGTGGAGTTGGAATTTTTGTAAGGTCAATTTATTCGATTTTACTCATACTTAAGAAAAAATTACGAAATTTCTCAATTTTGGTTGTGGTCAGCTAAAATTAAGTTCAGCTCTTTTGTTTGAGGTATAATATGTATTACCCGCTATTTAATTGAATGTTATGGACGTAAAACATCTGTACTCTACGTTTCCATTTTTGGCAAATTTTTTGTATGGTGAAAAATATCCAAAATGACAACTCAAGAATAATATGTTTGAACTCTAAGTAATGAGATATAGAAGATATATGGCTGATGGTATTCGAACTCATACGAATGGTCTTTATTTGGAGAGAATGGGCTGTTCATGATATATAAGCTAAAATGTCTGGGACGAGTCGCCCAATAATTTCTCGCACCAAATTTTCGCATCAAAGAGACCATACCTTGTACATATTCTGAAACGAGTTATATGCAATATCGTAATAACTGCCAAGTATATTTAATCTCACCATAGTTAATTTTAAAACTTATTCTGTAAGTAACTCTTTCAATATCCAAGCTTAACATCTCAAACTTATTTTATTAGAAACTTCAAACGAATTGGAGTAAAGTGCTGGCAGTTTTTTAAATAATACTCATACCTGATTATTTTATTCTTCATTGAAAAAATTGCCAAAAATGCATAACCATAAGAATATCAATACTCAAAAATCAATTTGCAACTTTCAAAATAGTGAAAACGGGTTCTCTGACTCCCAAAATTTCTATATAACTTTTGATGACATCGTGAAAAGAAAAATTTTCAATGTATGGGGACGTTTTGGAAAAATGGACCAAAATTCCACCTCTTCCTAATTACTTCAAACTCGGTATAATGGAACTTTGAACCATTTTGAACAAAAACGGCTTACCAATGTGCACTTTCGAGTCTAGTTATAGTTACATTCAATTTAAAATAAATTTAGATTTCTAGTTTACTTCTCCAATTTTTTTGAAATTCTTGCGCTGATTCTAGACTCATTGAAAACTCAGGCCAATTTCAATTCTGATTTTTGGTCCGTATTCCTGGTCATGAAAATTTCCCCTAATTAACTTTTTGTTTAAAATTTTGTAAATTATTATTGCTTAACTATTGCGGTTAGGATGTTTGACGACGTATCTGATTGGTCAATTAACACCAAAAGTATCAAATTCAAAGCCATTGATGCAGTAACACTAGATATAGATATATCATTGCTTTCTCATTAAGCTCATATAAAGCTTTTCTCACTAGACCTACTCGTTCATGAGATATTTGCACTTTTTATATTTTATGAGCCTCGTTTCCTAATTCGGATTTTTAACTTTGGACCATCAGCAAAACCATTTTTTGTTACACAAAAACACAATCCAAAATTGACAACTTTGTTTTTTGTAAAATTTATTTAAAACGTTAATTACTTGAATATTACCGCATTCTATAGTCTGAAACCAACCATTTTGTATTCTTTGATAGCTCTAGTTTATTTGATGTGAAGCAAATGCGTGAATAATAGTTAATGGTGGAGTAAAACAGTTTAATTCGAAATTTTGATATGCTTTATGTAAAGAACGGAAGAGGGGACCAATTGTTTCAGAATAAGTTGTATTTGACTCTTCTTAACAACCTGATCCTAAAGCAGTTAATTGCTTTTGTAATAGTCTTGTATTTGTAGAGTTATTTCACATTGAAGATGCATTTTCACAAAGGCAACTCAAGTATTATACATCAAAATACAATCGAGTAAAAGCAAATACAGTTACATTCTCTGTAATATATGGCCTGAATTAACATACTAAAATTTTTAGACCTAAGTTGAAGCATTCCTTGGTTAATAATTAAATAGTTATGCAATGTTTTGAAAATCGATGTCAATATTTTGGTATATTTCTGAAGCAATTATATATCTTAGGACTCCATATTCCATATTCCATATTCTCTAGCTTGACATTAAGAGTATGTCCAAAGTGTTTGATAATACTCATTATCTTTTTATGCTACTTTCTTTGGTTGGCCATGCTAACTCATTATTTAGCTTTGGTGCATAATTGATCGGATCCGACTAAGTAATTTCTCGCGTTAGACTTAAGGCGACGCGTACAACTCATATTGTTTAATATACTAACTACTCATTCTCTCAAGATAAAATACCAGTATGTGAAATGAAGAGCATTGATTTGTACATTTTACATGTTTTAAATCTTGAATTTTAGACATTTATTTTTCGAGTTGCCATTTTGCTCATTTTTCACCATACAAGATATTTGCTAAAACTTAGAACGCAACTTACATTTTATTTACGGCGATAATTTCCAATTAAACAACGGTATCACACATGTTATACCTCCAACTAAAGTGCTGAATTTGATTTTAACTGCTCTTAACTGAATTTGAAAAATTTCGGAACTTTCTTTTAAGTATGAGGAATATCGAATAAATTCACCCTACGAAAAATCTAACTCCACAATCAATCTTCAAACCAAAACAAAGCATACTCAACTGAAATTGTAGTTTTGCTTTCTGATAAATCATAGATTTCTTTGTGTTACGGTGTTGAAATTTGAAAAACAGTTTTTCAACGGTGGTTCGAAAAATTTGAAAAAAATTCAAATTGATTATGCTGCCTTAAAAGCATTATACATACGACTTTTGTCATTTAGTTTAGAAGCTGTTAAATACTGTTTAAGTATTGTTTAATTTGCAAGTTAACGTTTTTTGCCATTTTTTGAAATTCGACTAAAGTGATCAAAATTAATTTTACTCTAAATTTACTAACATCTGTTAGCTTTAATAGATCTAAGGAGCTAATACAAGAAGTTTGACAGGTACAGCATGAATATTTTGGGAGTTATCTACAATTTAAGTTTAACGATAAATTACTATTGGCCTGCATATAAGGCTTTTGACATAGAAAATAATTCCACGTGATAAGTTGGGGAGATTAATCATTTTTATCGTGCTATTTTTAAAGTTTGTCGTACTAGCTACTTATTTTGTCGCGTTGCATTAAACCTCAAAGGAAGCCGTAAGTCCAGCAACGTAGTAGCTATTTAGTTTGTCGCATTGATCGAAAACCATCAGCAAGCCAAAAATTCAGAAACATCAAATACCACACGATAATCTCAAATACCGAGACCAAAAGAACAAAGTTTCAAAAAATCAAAAACTAATCATACATGTTTCAAGCCGTTAGATAAGCTCTAATGCCTTCAAAATTAGAAAAAACTGTTTTGGTAACTACACGTCCATTTAACAAAGTCACGTGATTTGCGTCGAAATTGAAAAAAGTGGTAGCATCTGTATATAAGACCTATATGATAGATAGATCTTGTTGAATTAAGTAAAACATTGTATGGCAACTATGTTTGAATCTTTATGTGTAAAGAGTTATGAGCTGTTTTAATTTTCAGGGTCAGAATTTTTTACACAAATGAAAAATCTCAAATTTTTGCCACTTTTCTTGTTTACAAACATGAATTAAATCAACAGAAACAAATCATTTAAATCAAACGGTCGTGGTTAATTTAATAAGTATGGATGTATTCATGTATGAACATTAATGATAAGAAGTTTCATAGGTTTAAAAATGAACTAGTATTGAAGTTTTAACGTGTTTGTATAATATCGAATACAGATCTGAAGAATGTTGAGAATTAATACTTTGATATTGTCTTTTTGTGTTCTATATTCATAATTATAGCATTACTTATACAAAGATTGGAATATCATTCCAATTTAAGTAAAGTTCAAGTATTCTCTAATATTATTATCCATCAATCAGCATTTGAATTTATTAAGTATAAAAGCAAAACATTCGAAAATATCATGTTTTAACGAAAGTGTAGTTAGACATATAAAGAGCATATAGTCCGAGACTCTTGCTTTGATAGAAGTAGTTTAAATCTTGAAAAATTCCATTGTTCATAGTTATAGAGCGATTCGTCTGGCACAGTCTCCTCAAATGTAGAGCGTGAAAATAACCTTGTTACACCAACTCGTCGCATTGAAACATTCATATGTTTCGAAATAATTTAGAATCAAGTTTGACCAGTCTTATAGTTGTTAATCTGAAAACTTGGTTTAAAAGAACTTCATCAATAACATCAAGCTGTTATGCTCAAACTTTTTTCAGTTGGACTTTCAACCGTTTAGCGTATACCGGTGCTTATACCTAGTGTATCAACCTAATTTTGAGGACTTTATTCAACTTTCAAAAGATGGGAAAAAACATGAAATTGCAAGGTAATCAATACTTAGACCTCATTTAGCAACTACCAACATAGCTGATTTGGTTTTTGATCCTAAAGTTATTTTGTAAGGTCTTTTCAACGCCCCAAAGTTTGAATTTTTTTCAAAATTTTCGAACCACTTTTGAAAAAATACTATTCCAATTTTGAACACCTCAACATAAAAATCCCTAAGGCTTATTAAGAGACAGAACTTCAAATTTGGGTCAGTTTTATTATATTCCAATTTGAACGATGATTGTGGTGGTAGATTTTTTGTAAGGTCAATTTATTCAATTTTCCCCATACATAAGAGAAAATTCTGAAATTTCTCAATTTTAGATTAGATCACTTACAATAAAGTTTATACATTTAGTTAGGGTTATGGTGTACATGATCCGTTGTTTAATTGGAACTTATTGCCCTGAATAAAAATATGCCTGCATTTTCAGTTTTGGCAAAATTTTTGTATGGTGAAAATCGCCAGAATGACAACTCGAAAAAAAAAAATTTGAATTTCAAAATTTGAATTAGATACAATATATAATCCAAGGCTCCTAATCTCGTTTGAATGGTGCTTATCCTGCGAAAATCCTTTGCTGATGACATACAAGAAAATTGACTTAGAACGGATCGCCCTAGTAATAGCGCGAGAAATTTTTTTCGTCGCTCGATATCTTTCGCATCGAAATATACATTCCCTACCTCGTATATTTTTTTTTTTATCAATTGAAGTATGGCCAAGGCAATCAAGATCTGGCACATTATTTATCTAATATACCCCTTAGTTTTTATCGGATCAATCCCATTAACATTAATATTCAAAAAATATAACTCATACATTTCAAGTTTATTTCTAGTCAATTTTCTAGAGCAATATATGGTCAATAATGGTTTTGGTTATTTTTATTTTACAATCATTTACTGGTTAAATGTATATATATTTTATAACAGCAAACAGCAACTAATCAAATTTTTAAAAGCTTATATCATAAATACAATCTGGGTTATTGCATTGATTGAATGGTTCTTCGGTTCACCAATTTTTGAGAGAATTAGCATTTTAACGGGTTCTTATTGTACAGTAACAGAAATATTAAGGGAATATCAATGTATTAAAAACAATGGTCAATGGATCAACACTTTTGATAGCTCAAGTCATTATACATTATTAATTTCATCATCATTATTAATTTGGTATCAGCTACTAAATACTAAAATTCTTGACAGTCACTTGCTGCATTATTTATCTATTGATCTTGAAAGTCAATTAGAAAGTCAACAAAATAATCAAGATGTCAAGAATTCAAACCCGGTAATTCTTGTTTCCATGGGATTTTTGTTCTTATGGTTTGTTTCATTTATTATTACATCCATATTCTTTCATACAATTCCTGAAAAATTTGTTGGTCTTGTTTGTGGTTTGTTTGTTCCTACGATTATAGATTACATATAATTACAATTCATAAACACGTTAGATATTCATTAAAAATTAATAATTTGTTGCAACTTTTCCTTTTCTTGTAATGCACACATTGCAGCTTTTTGAGCACTGATCTTCTTCTTTGTATCAAATCCTCTACCTAATAATCTATCTAGAACATAAACTTCATTAACATAAATTTTGGTCTTGCTTTCATTTTCAAAATAATCTTCTTTATAAACAGCAGTTAAATGAACTTTCCCCAACAAAGCATGTAAATCTGCTTTTGCTTGTAAATCAACATCTTTAAAATAATGACTTAACTCATATATACCTTCTGGATTTCTAATATATGGAACAGGCTTATCTCCATTGTTTTGAGGAACAGGAACAGGAACAGTTGTACCAGCTGGCATTGAAACAGGAGGACATTGACCATAAAATGGTTGCGGAGTTGCAACACTTGGTATAAACGAACCAGCTGATTGTGAAGAAAAATTAGGTGGTGGTATTGGCTGATTGTTTTGAAAAGAAGCTGAGTTACGAAATTGTTGACCTGGAAATTGTTGATATGGTTGAGGAGCAGGAGGACTAAATGGTGGAGATTGATGATATGGTGTGAGTTGCTGCTGATTGATTACTTGTTTAGGACCATTATACGGTACTGCAGAAATCATTTGTTGTTGTTGTGCTTGTTGTCCTTGGGTATAATTATTGTTACGAACATAATTTTGAGTTAATATTTCAAATAAATGATGCACAGTTTCTCTATCTTCTAAAATTGATTGAGCAGCTCTAATTTTAGCATCTTCAAAACTAATATTTGAAGTACCATAACCAAATTTTTCATCATTAATTAAAACTTGTGCAGTAAAAGGTTCACTACTAGTTTGTATAATTTCAAAATTGATAGTTTCCTTTGGAAGCATTTTTAAATTTGTAATTGAATGGAATAAACCAGATAATTCGACAATTGGAAAACTAACAACCGGACTATGTTTGACATAAGCATTGGTAATGTAAGGATCGTAAAGCTTTGAAATCCACTTTTTGATATCAGAAAGAGTATATGAATTCAATTCTAATGCACCAATATAAGCTAAGAATATATTTGAAATACATGTAATCTTTTCTTCAATATCAGCATTGACCGAAATATTATATCTTAAAATTGGAACTAACTTGTAACCATACGCGAAGCTTACTAATATCATATCAGACATTAAACTCTGCTTTAAAACAATAATATCTTCTTCATAAAGATTTGGATATTTCTCATCTAATATTTGTAATAGGAGATATTCTAATGTACTTCTACCTTTTAAACCTAATCTTGCATTATGAGTTTTATTATAATCGGCAGGAGACACTTCCAAAAAGTCAGATAATTGACGAAATGATCTATCAGTTCTAACTCTCAATAACAATCTTTCACTATCAATTGGGGGTAAACTAGGAGGGTATGCATTTATATTCATTTGTTTTGAACTCGATTTCACAGTATTATTCATTCTTTGAACAGATATCTTTAAGTCATCTGAAAACGTTGGATTATAGTCTAGTAGGTCACCAACAACTTTATCTTGGGTTGTAGCTTTTTTGAAATCAACATGGTAAAATAATGATAATAAAGGTAAATGACCAGTTTCATATAATTCTCTCATTCTGATAGCAATCAATATATGAGGTATATCAATGAACAGTTTTAATCTATCAATTAAAGCTTGATTTTGATTGTAATCTCTATTTTCTGCAAGTTTTAATAAATCTTGATATTCATCTCTTGTTGGTGCTTTTTCAAATATTCCTTTTAATGTACCTTGCAATTGAGCAATATTTCCTTTAAGTTGAGTTAAATCATCACATATGACAACAAGTGAATTATTATTAGTTGTCATCTTATTACTAACTTTGGAACAAAATGAATTTTCAAAAAAAATCAAGTTATCAATTTTTTTTTAATATTTTAATGCACATTTGCTACGAGTGAAGATTTCAAAGGAAACCTATGGCAAATAATAAAGTAGAGTTTTTTTCTTAAATAACCTTTTATATTAAAAACCAAAATTCTAAATAATTAGTATAAAAGTACTAATATTGACCCTTTATAAATACAGAAACAAACTTTAAAAACCAGATTAAAACTTGAAGATTTGAAATATTAATTTCAACATCTTTATATCGACATGTAAAATTATCTTTTCATTCAATTTATATTAATGCAGCTGCTATACCGGCAACAGCAGCAAAACCAACAGCAATTTTGTGAGCAGAACCTTCATATATTGAAACATCAGCTAATGTAGAATTTGAACCAATTGATGAAGTGAATAATGTGGATTGAGCAGTTTCAGTAGCTAATACACCTTCAGTAGTTGAAATAGTTGGGGTAACAGTGATGTCAACGTATGAATCTTGTTCAACTGATTGTGATGATTCAGCAGCAAGTGAGCCTGGATTAGCTGGAGTAGCAGCAGTTTCTGGAGTAGCTGGAGTAGCTGAAGTAGCAGCAGTAGCTGGGGTATCAGCAGTAGCTGGAGTGGCTGGAGTAGCAGCAGTAGCTGGAGTATCAGCAGTAGCTGGAGTAGCTGGAGTAGCTGGGGTATCAGCAGTAGCTGGAGTAGCTGGAGTAGCAGCAGAATCTGGAGCAGCAGCAGTTGCTGGAGTGGCTGGAGTAGCAGCAGAATCTGGAGCAGCAGCAGTTGCTGGAGTGGCTGGAGTAGCAGCAGTAGCTGGAGCAGCTTCTTCTTCTGAACTTAATGGACAATATGTAGTGTAAATAGTTTCAACACCTTGAACAGTTGTAGTAACAACACTTAAAGTTGATGCTTGACCAGCTAAACTTGATGAAGCTGGAGCTGGAGCTGGAGCTGGAGCTGATGAAGCACCTTTTTCTTCAGAACTTAATGGGCAATAAGTTGTGTAAACAGTTTCAATACCTTCGACAGTAGTAGTTGCAACAGATTGAACAGCATGATTAACAGTTGTATCACATTTATTATCTGAACATGAAGTGATGGTAACTTCAGTAGTTTGATGATCAGTAATAGTTTGTAATTGAGTTGAAGTTGTAATAGCATATGATGATGAAACCAAAGCAGCAGCGATTGTGAATAAAGCTTGATATTGCATTTTAGTTAATATGACTTCTATTGATATGTAAACGAATGAAAATTTAGTTGGATTTGCTAAGAACTATTAAGTTGTAATAAATTGAAAGTTGTAATAAATTAAAAGTTATAATAAAATAATTTTCAAGGGGCCCATTCATGACTTTATATACTCTTCAGAATTTCAAGACATTTATAAGACTTCAACGCCTTGTTTAGTAAATGAAAGGAGATTTCAATCATAAATTGATTATAATAATAAACAGTTGACTTATAACACGTAGAATTTTGTATTTTGGAAAAAAGCCATGCGATAATAATAATAATAATAATGATAATAATAATAATGAAACACCAAAAATGGTTCTTAATTAGACTTTTACGTGTTCAGGTACGGGTTTCTCTTCGATTAAAATTTTGAAAATTCTATTAGATCTTTTCTAAATTTGTTACTCCTTTTAAATTTGGTGTTTTGCATCTTTTAAAAAATAAAAACAAACAAACAAATAAATAATAACAAACGGTTTATTTATATGCACTACCGTAAATTTAAAAATCTAACTTGAGCCATTCAAATTCCAATAAAATGACTATGAATGCAGAATGAGGCCATGAATAATTCAAAGTGAGTACCAAATCATCTTTCAAAGGTCAATTCTATTCTAAACTCGCCTACTTTTGGCGGTAAAAAAAAAAAAAAAAAATAACCAGACGCGTTATCAAATTTCAATACGTGTTGCAAAATCGCTACCAAAAATAAAAAAATAAAAGATCTAGATTCATTTGAAGATAAATAGTATAAATATATAATAAATATACTTTATTATTAAAAACAACATTTGTAAAATCACGCCAATCATTCATATATTCATTGTTTTTGCTATTGTTGTATATACAATTAAACTTAATTCAACATTAAATTCATTTCCCAATCTTGTACTACACTAACCCAATCATCTCTCGATTCTTGCATTCGTTTTCTTCTCCAAACTTCAAGCATTATTTGTCTTGCTCCCCAATAAGAACCTAAATATTGTGCAATATCAGCACCCCATTTTTTAAATCCAGTTTGCAAATCACTCGATATAGCTTCACATCCAGCTATAAAACCTTGCCAAAATAAAGGTATTATATTGGCTTCATCTTTAGCAATTAAATTTTGAATTGAATTTAAATGTTCTAAGGTTTTGATCACTTTATCTTGTAATTTATTTGGATCTACTTCTTTGACAAATCTATTGAAATAAATTAATAAAGCATAATAAAATGACATTATATGGTGATAAGTAGCTTCATGCATTGATGAATGAAATTTCAAAACATCTGATTGATTATCTTTATCTTGATTTTCGTATAATTCCCAATCCAACGTCCAATTTAATAGAAAAGTATCAAGTTCATTTATCTTATTTTTAAATTCTTCACTTAATGATTTGTTAATACCTTTATAATAAATTTTAGTTCTTAAAATTTCAACAATTTGACTAAATAAAACAATTAACGAATTTGGTATTCCATATAAAGCATCAGTTGCAAAATTTTCATCATTTTTTTGAGTATTTATTAATTTTTTATTAACAAAAGATGGTGATGTTGTTGACTTCAAATTAGGTTTAGATTTGGGAGTTCCAAAAGTACTATTTACAATAAAATCAATTCTATTCTTTTTATTCTCAGTTGTATTACTTGTTTGTTTCCATTTATCACCATTCACATCATATCCACTTCCAATATCACTTTCAAAATCATCTTTAATACTATCAAAATTTAAACAAGTTGAATCCTGAATTAATTTTAATGATGAAAATATACGATGTAAAATTCTAGCCTTTGATGATAATTTCTTCTTATTCTGCATTTTGGCAACAATAACTTTACCACACCATGATATATATAAACTTGTATCTTGCATTGTACCCCAAACTAAATCAACACTAATCATAGACATAACAGCACATAATACATCTTTATATTTTTCATTATTAACACAATGTTCGATCCCAGATAAATTATTTTCATTTTTTGAATTATTTAACAATTGTTTTACAAATAAACTTGCTTGATTTCTTAATGAAATACCTAAATTTAAATAAAATCTCATTTGCTCAGAATTTTTTGGAAACTTTGATTGTAAATTAAAAGCAGAAACAGCTAATAATGCATTCAACAAGGCATTTTTTGCAGTTGATGTTTTGCCTAAAGCCAGTAATTCACCAATGGCCATTAAAGCTCTTGGAAAATAAATTGCCTTCCATGGATTTTCAGTTAAAGGAATCACCGTCATTAAATCAGCGACTTCAGTAACATAATAATTTAACAAATATCTAGTTAAAGGTTGAACTTGTAATGCGGTTATTGGTATACCTACATGATGTTGATTTTTAGAATTTTTTAATGATAAATCAAATGGTAAAGTTAATGGATTTTGTATGATATTCATTATAGATGTTAATAAATTCTTGTCATTGAATTGATCACCATCAACAAAATCAGTTGTTTCATCATCATGAGATGTTGATTTAGCATGTAATTGAATCTCTAAATTTTCATTCATTTGATAAGGATTATTATAAAAGAAATTGGAGAAATTTGAATAATATATTGGATCAATTAAGTTTTGTGGATGATTTAATAAACTTGACATAGACATATTGGAATTTTGAACATTTGCTTGTGATTGTGACGGAGGAATTGAATGTGAAGAAGGTTGTGAAATACTACTTTTATGAAACACCAAATTGAGTAAATCCGGATTATTAAAATTATAATCGTATATACTTTCATTTGACGGTAGATTTGAGTTATTCGTCTTATTTGGTTGGGAATAATTATTTGTATTATCAAATTTATTCATCATTTCAAGAAATTGAGTATCTAAAGCAGCTGCAGTGACTAATGCAGCATCTTTTAATTCATTTGATAACCAAAATTGATCGTGCGGTGCATTACTAGATACATTTGTCCCGTTAATTGACATTGCAGGAGTTAAAGTAACAAATGCCGGCGGTGGCATCGTATTTGAAGTAGAATTCTTTACTCTTTTAAGTTCTCGTGGAACGATTTCTCCTTTACTTCTCTTCTTGGATATAAGATTTGATGGATTTGGACCTTTAAATACACCAAACGGCCCTAACAATTTTGTTTCCCCCTTCTTAACAATTTCATCATTTGATGAATTATGCAAAACTCCTAAATGATAATCCATGTCTTCGTAAGTTTCATACGGTTTTGACCATGTAACAAACCCTACTAATCGTCGTTGAAAAAATTCAGATGAACTATTTGTAGTAGGGGTTGCATTTTCATCTTCGAATGGCGTAGATTCTTTGTTGGGAAATATGGTTTGTGATGATTTCACATTTCCATTTTTCATTGGTTTGAATTCAATAGGTAATGACCATCGTAGTTTAATATCATACCCTGCACATGTTAAGCCAGCTTTTATACATCTTTCGCATTGAGGTCTTGTTAAATCACATTTAATTTTCCTTGATCTACAAGTAAAACAACCAGTAAATGTTTTAGATCTTTTCACTTTTATCGGTGGAGTTGTAGCAGATTTATTTTCATTTTGTAATGGTGATGAAGATGATAATTTATCTGCCATTCGGACCTGTAATATCAAAATATGCTGCCAAATGTAATTTTTCGTATTTTTATCTCATCGTTGACAGATGCCATTTTCAGGATACTACAAAAAAAGTCACGTGATACTATATATATATTAATATGCTACTGTATCAATTTTATTTTCATTAATTTCATCATTATTATCATTAACATATTCTAAACCATTCTTGCGTAAATTCCATAATTTCTCAATTCTTTTAATTGCAATTTCTGCACTTGATGAACCTAATTTAAAACAAATTTTGAAAAAATTTATAATAATTGATTTCTGATGATCGTCTTCGCTTGTACAATTCAAACCAGCAATAATAATAGGCCATTGAATCATCAGTAATGCATTAGTAAAAGTTAATCGATTAAAATCAATTGCATTTTCAAATGGTTCAATCAATTTAATCAATTTAGAATTTAAATCTTGAATGTGTGGGGATTCAGGAGGATCTAATAAAATCAGTGCAAACATTGTTATTAAACCTGCTAAAGCAAATGCTTGCTGTGAAATATCCATCCAACTTATTCTTATACTTGTATTATCTTGAAAATATATGGTATCAACTAAATTATAAAATAAATTTGAATCATCAACTTTACAAGACTTACTTGAATAAACTTTTTGATAATGTTGATAAAATCCACTTATTAATCTTATATATTCTAATGAATTATTTAATATAAATCTCTTTGGTGATTCCCTTTTCTTGTTTAAAATTTTTGTTAAATCTCTAAATAAATAAATTAAATCATTATCATAACCAAACATTATATTAAAATTATTCTCTTGTAACATACCATATTGAGTTAAAACTTGTTTTATATAATCATCATCAAAGTTTATGATGGAGTTTAATTCATCATCTGTTTTCAAAGTTCCACCCAAATGAGAACTTAATCCAGCTAAAATTTCAAAATCTGCAAACCAAACCTTACATAAAATTAAAGTTTTCGATGCATTAATTTTTGAGTTTGTTGCTTTTATTATTATATCTTTAGCACCTTTTAAATGAGGTCTCCAACTTTGTTTTGAAGTTGTTGCATTGGATGAGGTTAATAATAAAACAGTTAATAATATCGTTTCAATATTTGAAATTAAATCATCTTTAACGTTAAACTTATCTCTATTTTTACTCAATGCAGGTCCTAATAATCTTAAACAATTTGATAAATATGAACCATAATTATCTAAATCTTTTTGATTTTTAGTTTTTTCATAAACTATCTTGGCGCCTTGCGATAATATAGCCGATAATAAAAATGGTTCTTTAGCTCCATATTTCAATAATACATCTCTGATTGGATTAGAATATGTTTGAGTAATTGGATCTAATGCTCCAAATGGTAATATTTGAGGAGCAAATGTATTGTAAAATTCAGATAAATATCCCTTTTCATCCAAAGTTTTCAACTTGATTGATTCAATCGATACATGACGTGGTATATTATTGTCATCACTATTATTGAGATATAAATCTGCTGGATCAAATAGTACAAATTGATCACTATCAAAATTCATATTCATATTGGATGTAAACATTATATCATTGACTATATTATTTAAATCACTAGCAATTAAATTCAAATCTTCATCATTATACAAACAATTATTGGTTTCAACAGCAGCAGAAGTTGTTGAAGATATATTGAAAGGAATTGACGGTACCACAGGATTCAAATTTACAGTTTCTGGTGATCCCGATTTGCTTCTAAAATCTAAATTATTATATACAAATTGAGGATTCAATTTCTTCTTTTGCTTTTTCTTCTTTTGATTTTGAAAATTTGGCCCCAGGTACATTTGTATAGTTAAAGGTTTAATATGATTATTTTGATCTGAATCATCTTGTTTATGATAGTAATCAATTGATTCTAACTTCTTCTTGGAAACTCTTAGGACTTTTTCACCAATTTCAGGATATGAACACGTTTTATTCAATTTGGTACATTTACCACAAGCTGGTTTACCTTCGTCACATTTAATTTTCCTTCGTTTACATTCTCTACAACCATTTCTACTATAACCTCTTTTTTGAGCTGAAGTTGTTGCTTTGATTATTGATGGACCATTACTCGAGTTTTGTTCAATTATTGTTTCACTTTTATCAGATCTAAAACTTGGTTGAAACATGAACAAAATCTGGAACAAAATCTGGAACAAAATCTGGAACAAAATCTGAAACGAAAAAAGAAGTTTAAAAATATAACTCTTTATAGAATACGCCATAAAAAGGAAGAATTATCTTCATCTTGATCATCTAAGTCAGTTTCCAAATAGACGTACAAATGTTTAAAGTTATGAAACCAATCAATAGTTGTGGTTTGAAGTTTTATTGATTGTTATCTCTTGTAGTGTCCATACATGCATACCTTCTTATACCAATGAGTATAGTATCTACGTTAGCAATGGCTCGCTGCTCCTTCTTGAAACTTGAAAAGCTCTAAGTGTCAATAAATTACTTTTATTCGGTTAATAAAATGCGGTAAACTTATTGAAATGAAACAATTAATAATCAACGAAACATCATTCGAGCCGCAGAATGCTAAAATAGTCAGAATCTGTATTATTTCATTACTGCGAGTTCAGAAATTTTGCTGTTCTTTTGTCTGAATTGCTTCATCTTCTTCATATACTTTTTAAGGGGGTTTAACTAAAGTATCTGATTGGTCAGTTTTGTAAGCAAATGGTAGCGTCGAACTTAAATGCTAACTTAAAACTGAAGAATTTAGCGGTATATTAATGAGCCAGAGCTCAGGATTTGGCGAGAATTTAACATTCTTTTTTTATATTAAGCTTTGGGAGATTTGATTGACCGGTAAAAGAAGCTAGACGCCCTACTTTTCGAAGTCTTCCAAATTAAAAACATCCCCACGTCAGTTGAGATAATTCACTCGGAGATTAACTACAATCGCTACCATTACCATTATGTAACGAGACTTGAAATTTGTTCATAAATTTGTGCCAATTTTGAATTCTCTGCAGATATTAACGCAGAATACGCAATCTTACCGATAGAAACATAAGTTCATTGAGAGCCGCGTAAGAAAACTTTAGATTTATTCAAACAACTTGCCTCCTATAAACTAACTTTATTATAAATAGGGTTTGAAATCTCACACATTTTTTTTTTTAACCCTTTCCTTTTAGTTTTATTACTAATTTTTCATATTTCAATTGGCGTAACAGAACTTAACCACATAAATTTGAATTACAATGCCTTTACGTCGTTCAGCTAGAGTTTCAAGCAAAACAGATAATCCAACCCAAGAACCACCAACCAAAAAAGCAAAAACTGAGGAAACCCAAGAAGAAGTAGATATTGAAAAAGTTTCCTCGGAATTAGAAATTGGTGATAGTTTACCAAATATCGAATTGAAAAATCAAAATGATGAATCAATTAAAATCTCAGATGTTGTCAAGGATCATAAATACGTTGTGATTTTCGCATACCCAAAAGCTTCAACTTCCGGATGTACAAAACAAGCAATTGGATTCAATAATAATATTGATTTCTTTGATGATAAAAATACTATCGTATTTGGTATTTCTCCCGATTCTCCAAAGGGTCAAAAATCATTTGCGGATAAATATGGTTTTAAATATGATTTATTAAGTGATCCTAAAAAGGAATTGATTTCAATTTTAGGTGCGAAGAAGAAACCAAATGGTATTATTAGATCTCATTTTATTTTTGTAAGTGGAAAATTAGTTGATAAAAGCGTCAATGTTAAACCGGATGATAGTTATAACAATGCCAAAAAGGAGATTGAAAAATTAGAAGCTGGTGATAATGATAAGGATGTGAAAGAAGAAAAAGATAATGGAGAACAGGAAGATGTTGAAAAGAAAGAAAAAAATGGTGACAATGTTAAAGAAGCTAAAGAAAATGAAGATTCTGAAAACAAAAGTGATAGGAATCATTCCGAAAAAGCAGCTAATGATGATAAAGAAGCTAAAGGAACCACTGATGCTAAAGGTGAAGGTGAAGCAAGTTCAAAAATCAAGGAAGCTGAAGATCGTGAAGCTGATAATAATTTTGAACCTGCTAATGGGGATGAACCAGCTGAATAAGAAAATATGTAAACGTATATAAATTTGTACTTTTACTATAAAGAGTTTTTCATTCATTGAAGCTATATATGTAACTCAAGTCTCCACCACTATACTATTGCAAAATCACAATTTAAATCAACCAAATAATACTCAGTAGTTTGGTTGTAAAGTGAGTCATATAGGAAGTTCTATAAGAGAACTTACTAATACTTTCAAAAGACATAGATTTCAATACTCAGATTTGAATTAGAGGTTCCATTAATTAGCTCACATTCATTTATTGATAATCTATAGATTTTATCTCTAATATTTCTCTAATCATATATTTCCATTGGTGGTAATCTATCAGTATTGTAAAACCAATTGTTATTTTCCAATTCAACATCTAACCATTCAGCAGGGAAATAAACAAGGTGACCTTGAATAGATTGTAATAATTTTTCTGATGTTTGTTTATCATATATAGCATCACCACTTTGCATTCTTCTTCTAGTTAAAGCAGCCCCAGCTCTATTTTTTCTAATTCTAGTATAATGATTAGTTGTATTTGATTTAGGTTTTGCTTTCTCTTCTTTCTTATACTCCTCTTGATTATTTTCATCTTCCTTCTCATTCTCTTTGTTATCTGATTCTTCTTCTTCATTTAAATTTCCATCAGGGTGTTCAGTTATACCAGCCAACGTACTTACTCTTCTCTGCAACTTTGTTCTCAATTTTTCGTGACCATGTTGTTGTTGTTCTTGGGTTTGTTGTTCTTTTCTTTGTGGAACTTTACCCAATACTCCAACATCACTTTCTTCATCCTCATCAGAATAATGTATTTTTGAATTATTTGCAAATCTAGATTGTTCATTTTTTTCCAATGATGCTTCATTTTCATTCTTAGATTTAAATTGTTGAGAAGTTCCAGTATTATTGATTGTCTTTTCACTCGTTTCTTCTGAATTTCTACTAACCGGTTGTGTTGTACTTTTTTTAATTTCTGAAGCTTGGGATTTCATAAATTTACTTTGTAATTTAGTATAATGAGTATATTCAGACCATCTACCAACATTATCATCAGGTTGACAATGAAATACCATTCTAAAAATTTCAGTATTTCTTCGAGCAAATTCATTCCATAAAAATTCATAAAATATTGGATTTACTGGATCTTCAAATTCATAAGGATCAATAAATGATGAAACTTTAGCTTCTGGAGTTGTAATACTTGAAATTAAATCCTTGGCAGCTTGATCATTTAATGAAATAGTTGGATACTTATCTTTAAAATCAGTACCTATCCCATCTGAAGAATTATTTAATTCATTTGAATTAGTTGCTGTTGGTGATGAATTTGAATCAAAAGAAACGTTATTTCCTATTGGTGGTGAGTTTCTTGATCCTGATCTTTTCCTATTTTCTTCTTCAATTGATTGTGCTTCTTTTGCAGCTATTCTTTGTAAATATGAAATTTTTTTCAATAATAACCATCTTTCTTTATTTCTTTCATTTATTATTTCTTCAGTTTTTTCATCCATTTTATCAATCAAATCATGATCATCAGAATTTAAAAAATCTAAAACAGCATCTAAATTAGGTAAAAAAGCTTTGGGTATAGTTGTTTCTGATTCCATTGTTTTTAAACTTAATTCTTTTAAAAATTTTGCACTTGAGATTCTTGCTTCTTTAGCTAATGGAGATTTAAATTTATCAATTCCATCACCTTTAACATCTCTTTTATGAACTTCACTATTTTGAACTCTTGAATCATACGAATGTTTTTTCTTATCACGAATTCCTTTATTTGCTTCAAATGGTCCAGTTCTATTATTAAAAGAAACGGGTAAAAATAATGGTTCTGGTAAATTTTTATTTTCTTCTTCAAAATTAATTTTAGAAATTTCAAGATCAAATTTCGAAATATTGTCCTTGAAATTTTTCCATCTTGAACTACCATTTGGCTGTTTTAAAACATCTCTAGTTGCAATTTCAACCATTGATGATAAAATTTTATACTCCTTATTTTTAAAATTGTTTGTTGCAAATTGTTCACCTTCTTTTGTATTTGCAAAATTTTCAAATCTTTGAAATCTTCGTTCTACAATATCTAAAATATCGATACTAATACCTAAATGTTCTCTCATTAATCTCATTCTTAAAGTATGTGCAAATTTTGCAGCTTTAAAAGGTTTTCCATTCATTCTTGTTGAAATCATTTCAGTATCTCTAACAATTGCAGCAACTTCTGAATCTCTAGCACCTCTCATTGAACGTTCATTTATATTTGCACTACCTATAATTGCAGCACGATCATCAACAATCATTGTTTTTGCATGAATATATAATTGTTCAGTTGTTAATAATCTTGAAGGTCCAATTCTACCCCATTTTCTTAATGAAAAAAATTGTATATAATCATCAGGGTCAATGCCCTTTTTTCTTAATTTTGCAAAAATTGATGTTTCACCTCTTGATATTGACATATATTGACATTGCATAATAACTCTAACTGATGACCCTTCAGCTTCATCAACTTGAGCTGGGAATCCAGGCATTAATGGAATAACAATTATAGCTTTCCATTCAGTTCTTTCTTGATGTGCACGTATGATTCTATCAACTAAAGCATCACCAAGTCTATTTTTAATTTCAATTCCATCAATAAAACATGAAGTTATAAAAAATTGATTTTCAATATAAACAAAATGTTCAGAAGTTTCAATTAATTTTAAATATGCATTTTGAATACTCTGTTCATGTTCTTGTAAACCTAAAGACCAATTGCCTGAAGATCTTAATAATTGTACTTCACAAGTTCCATTCATTTTATGATTAATTGCTTCTTCATCAGTAAAATCAGGTGGCGGAATTAATAATGGAGTAAATCTACTTGGTCTTTTTTGTCTTAATAAATAATTCCATCTCTGAACAAAATGTCTTGATAAATCTCTTGCTATTTTACCACATGTATACATATGAACATCATGCCATGGCATTCTTGGTGTTATTTTTCTATTATACATTGAATCATAAGGTTTATCTAATTCAACAAAATCTTGTACTCTTGGATTTGAATAATCTTTTCCTGGGAAAGTTTGAAATTCAGCAAAAGTTTTAACATCTAAAACTGTATTCTTATTTAATTTATCAAATGTTAAGTCTGAATCATCAGTTAATGCATGATCTGGAGTATCATATCTTCCATAACATAAATCAATACCACCTAAAAATGCATAAGTTTGATCAATTATACATAATTTTTCATGATGAGCCCAAAAATATGTATTTTGTAATAATTGATTTGGTGAACGAATAACATGTATATTCTTTTCATTTAATGATAACATTGAATGTTTTGTGTATAATGAATCAGTTGCAACAGTTGTCCCCACATTTCTATAAATTATTATATAGATTTTAACTCCCTCCTGAGCTTTTCTTTGTAATAACCTATCAATTCTATATTGTTGATTTCCATTTGCTGGTCTTCTTAAATATAATTCAGGTGAAAGCCACCAATCATGAATGAAAATTACATCTTTTGCCATTTCTAAAGCTGTTGATACAGCCCAAAAATAATCTCTACCATCTACAAACCATTGAGCAAAGCAATTTGTTCTAATTGGAGCAAATGAATTAAATCTATTTGGTTGAGACCAAATTGCAGAATCTTTCATTTTGATTAATGATTCATACCATAAATTATGTTCTCTAGGTGTCTTTGGACTAATTACTAATTTTCTTTCAGCATTTTCTAGAGTAATTTTTAAATGTGGAAAAATTTTTTGAGTCGTTTCTTCTAATTTATCAGAAAGTTTTTTTAAAGTTTGTTCATCATGAATTTCATCATCTTTATATTCTGCTTTAACTGAAATTTTAAATTTTGAATCAACTAAAAATACTTCTAATGGAGTAGTTGAATTAATATCTGAAACATGCATAACATAAGAATTTCTGACTAATAACCATTTTTCAGTTCTTCTATCATAAATTCCTTTTAAATCATTTGCTTTAAAATGACCAACTCTCCAACCTTGAGAACTAGCTGATCCACTAATATGAACAGGACCTTGTTTACCTTGAAAACCAGATTCATAACTCAATAAAGCTGATAATGGTGATAATTCAAAAAATACAAATAATAAATTTGAAATTGGACCTAAAAATAATAATTCAATTAAATCTTTTAAATACATTTCAACCTCTGGTATATAATAAATATTTCTTCTATGTTTTTTTTCATGATGTATTTTATCAAAAGATCCTATTGATGCTATACTTCCTAAACGCAGTCTAACTCTTGATAATTGGCCGGAACCAATTGAATGATTATCAATTGATGAAGTCGGAGGTGGTTGATCATTTTGTTGTTGTTGTTCTAAATTATTTTCAGCAATATAATCCAAAACTTTTCTTTTTCGATCATCAGTTATACCAAATGGATTGGGAAATTTTGGCATTTGAGGATTTTTACTAAATTGTTTCTTTTTTAACTTCCATTTAACAGTTGAATGTAAAGTCATTAAATCAGCAACATTTCTTTCTATAATCCATTTCATTCTATGATCACCTAAACCATATTCTAAATGAATTAAAAATTTTGTTGTTTTTTTACCACCTTCCAATTGAATGGGAGTTACTTTTAAACCTAATAATGATAATAACAAAGGAGCTCTTGATATACCACCATCATCTCTCATTAAACATGAAGCCATAATATTAATTGATGGACTACCTATACTTAAACTTGTAATTAATTTTGAAGCTCTTTCACTAGCAGCTAATTCAGAATCTTGATCAACAAGATTTAAATTTGAAAGTTGACCACCAGTTTTTTTCTTTCTATTACGATTGAAAAAAGTTGGTAATATAGATCTTCTTCTATCACCAGTATTTGGACGATGATCGTATTTTGTATTCAGTGTATTTTCAACTTGAGCATCATGAATTCTTTCTTCATCAGCACCATATCTTGATTCTCGTGAGTCTTGATAAGGACTATAAAATGACAATGGATTACCAATTGTTCTTGCAGATTCATCATGATTATCATGAAGTTTAAATGGTTTTTTAAATGATGAAGATGAATTACTTGGTGGCGGTTGTTGTTTACTTTCTTGTGAAACTGTTCTATATATATTATCAATGCTTCTTTCTCTCAACGGTATATTATTATTATTATCATCATCATCATTATTATTGTTTACATGGCCACCATCAATAGTTGGCATGTTTTGTTGTTGCAAGTTTTAAATAAAAAAAAAAAAAAAAATAAACTTCTTCTTGAAGCCTGCCTATACGCCACGGGCTTGTTACTTGTTATACTAAATGAACAGAGGCTTATTTAACCAATACTAAATATATATATATTAACAGTAGTATCACTTTAATAGTGAAGTATCTAATCTTAATTTATGACCTAACCATAAAGCATATTTTGTATGATCTATTAAATCACCTTGATCTGTTCTTGGATGAATTAATACACTCAAATTACCATGATTTAATTGAAAATATGGTACTAACCTACTAAATAATTCCGGTTTCTTGAAATCTAATTCCCACATATTAATTGGATGTGGACCAATTGGTTTATCCCAAAATTTATATATTCTTATATCACCATCATCTATCTCTTTATTAAAATCTTTACAAACTTGTTCTCTTAATTTATAAGCAAATTGTCTTTCCTGTTCATTATTATTATTCCAATATGTATGAATATCGTAAGATTTTATATCACCATAAAAAGTACCAGACATTGATAAAGAATTAAAAAAAAAAAAAAATATAGTATATTCAATTTATATCATTTGATTTGCTTGTATAATTAATAATCAAATTGGTAATAAAAAAGATGATGTATTTTTCGGTGCGAACTTGGTGATACAAAATCATAACTCGCGCTAACTGTAGGTCGACTAAAAACTAAGGATATCGGCGCATATCTCATGAACAACACGATATTGTGGAATAAAATCTATTTACATGAAATCGACTCATTGAATTATATAACCTACATACTTGAAGCTTTCGATTTCGAACATTTTTTTTTTTTGAGTTGTCATTTTGCCCTTTTTCACCATACAAAAATTTTGCTAAAAATATAAATCTATAAATCTTTGTATTCAGGCCCAAAACCTTCAAATAAACAACTGATTATATATATAATAACTCAATGTAAGATTGTGGACTTAATTTCAATTGCTCTCAGCCAAAATTGAGAAAATTCAAAATTTTCTCTTAAGTATGGGGAAAATCGAAGAAATTGACTTTACGAAAATTCTAATTCCACATTGAGTCTTCCAACTAAAATATGATGAAAATATCCAATGTTTTAGTTCGGTCTTTTAACAGGCCTTGAATATTTTTCTGTTAAGGTATTCGAAATTGAAAATGTAATTTTTCAAAGGTGTTTCGAAATTTTGAATTATGACGCCTGGTGAGCATAGAATTAGAAGACTTGGAGTCAAATGAACCGAATCAGATATCTCAGAAGTTGTAAAATGAGGTTTAAGATATATTAATGTTTCAGTTGAACGTTTTTTGCCATATTTTCAATGAAGAATTATGTCATCAAAATTGAGTTTATCCAATGCATTGTAATATAGGTTTAGTCTCATTAATCAGACAATTATAATGAAGTTAATTTGAGACATAAAACTTGAATATTGAGGTATTTAATTCAATTTGAATTTCAAGATTAATTAACTATTGGGACTGCATATAAGCAAATTGATTTCAGATTCATAATGCATGCGTGCCTCTGTAACCATTTTTCCCGGGCCTAAATTTCACGATAAAAAAGAATGCTGGTTGGTACGAAATTTAGGCCCAGTTTAAAGCGGTTGGCCCAAATGTTTATTTTGTATAACTTGATTAACGATCAACTTCATATTAATTGGTTTATAATAAAGATTTTGAAAATTTTGTAATCAAAGTGAAATTCAAATGTATACGAACCTGTATCTTCTATTTATTTAATCAATCAAAGGCAATTTTTTTTAATTTTTTTCAAAATAACGATTTCGAAGTAGTTTCATTATGCGTAACATATATTTTATATATAAACTACCTTAAATCTTTCATTTGAATATTAACATAATCATTTGTATCATTTATATCATTATTAGTAACATTTTCACCTTCTTCTTCTCCTTCATCATTTATAATATCAATATTTTTATATTTATTCCTATTCTTTATTTTATTATTTCTTAATTGATTTTTTTTATAATTTGAATATAATATACTTAAAATCAATCCTATTAAACTACCAATTAAGTTATATAAAATGTCAAAAACATCAAATATTCTATTTGAATTAATTAAATTTTGTATAAATTCCAGTAATATACTACCAAATAAAGTACAAATTAAAAATGTTAAATAATTTATAATTTTCAAATTTTTATAATTTGTATTCCATATAAAATAAAATTCAATTGTTAAGATATTAAACATTATAAAATGAAGTAATTTATCATAATTATTCAATTGAATCAGTGAAAATCCTAAATAACATGATAATAAAATAGTTAATATAAATAAAATTAAAACAGGATAACGTATTGAAACTGTCATAATTTATGGAACCATTCTTTTATTAATATAAACCAATTAACAGCTATTCACAATTAAACTGCTTCTAGACAAATGTAAAAGTGGAATCAATTGAATCAAAAATTGGGTTGCCAGACTTAAAATTTAGAACGAAAAAAAAAAAAAAAAAAATTCTGAAACATCAAAACCAAATTGCAAAGTATGATATAAAATCAAATTATTAACAAATATTATCATGTACAATTGTAGAAATATAGTTTCAAGGAGGTTTAAATCAATAAACTATTTAACTTCATCTGTACCAACTAATATTACAACTAATATTTACAAAAATAGCCTTAAATCGAATAGTAACGAACATGAACATGGACAACGGACCATTACAACTGATTTATCATATCTACAAAAACAAATTATTAATCCGCTAGAATTAAATTCTGTATTTCTTAATGATGGTTATGAAAATTTTACAGATCAACAAAGATTATTTGCTAGTAATTTTTTCACTAAATCTAAAATTAATTTAGATTGGACTTTGGCTGATTTTAATCAAATTCCAGATATAAAATATAAAATACTATTAACAGAAAGAAAAGAAACAATTTCAAATTTACCTTCTAATAAATATGCTGAAAATTTATCAAGATCAAAAAAAACATTTGGTATAAAGCCTGAATTACTTAAAGAATCACCCGAAATTTTAATTATGGGTCATACAAATGTTGGAAAATCTTCTTTAATCAATACATTATTAAATAAATCATCAACTAGTTTACGATCTGATCAATTAGCTTATGTTTCAAAACAAGCAGGTTATACAAAAACTTTAAATGCGTTTAGAATTTCAAATAAATTTAGATTTATTGATAGTCCTGGTTATGGTAAAAAAGGTGATCCAATTCAAGGTAAATTAGTAATTGATTATATTACAAATAGGCATTTATTGACAAAAATCTTATTATTAATTGATTCAAATAAAGGTTTTCAATTACCTGATGAAATTATTATAAATCAATTAATAAATCAAGGAATACCATTTGATATAGTGTTTACCAAAGTTGATGAAGTATTATCATCATTCATTCCAAAGAAATATTTTAAAGAATTAAATGCTAATACTTTAATTGAAGAATCAAATGAAAAAATATTAAATTATTTTAATAAATTAATTGATAATTCAGGTTTAAAAAACATTTCAATGATACCAAGATTTATGTTCAATAATGCAAATAGCAACAGATGTATTCGAAAACCACTAGGAATCAATGATATAAGGTGTAATATCCTTGAAAGTTGTCGATTACTATAATAACATTTCCTAATCTAAAATTTGTATTCATTCGTAATATACATATAAAAAGGAGCAATAACCTATTAAAATCGTCCTCTACCACCTCTTGATCCACCTCTACCACCAAATCCACCTCTTGATCCTCCTCTTCCACCAAATCCACCTCTTGAATTACCTCTAAAACTACCACCTCTACCACCTCTACCACCTCCTCTTGATCCACCACGGCCACCGCGACCACCAAATGATGGTTTACCTACACCTCCATTAGATCCACCTTTTCTTTTTGGTTTTGGTCCAATTTGTGGAGGTTTTGGTAAAAATCTTTCCAATGGTAATAATTTATCAGGTCCTATAAAAAATTTATCGCCTTCTTTAAATGATTCTGCTTTAACACCTTCTGATGGTTTTATTGTGAAAAATACTTCATTTAATGGTCCTAATATTTCATCAACTTTTCCAATTTGTGTTTTATTTTCTAAATATATTGGTGCATTAAAATATGGTATTTTAACATTAATTGAACGACATACTATATCTCCTTCACATGCTTGCATAAATGAACCCATTTCCAATACTGTTTCTGGAGGCCCTTGTTGTATTGGAGGTCCTGTTCTACCACCGCGGCCTCCTCTAAATCCTCCTCTTCCTCTATTCATAATTCAATTGTTTTATAGTACTACTTAAGAATTTTCAAAATGTGTCTCATCGAACGAAAAATAAAAAAAAAAAACTCACTGTCGCAAATTAGGCCGATGTCGCAATAAGTTGTGTCACTGGGGTCGTGTAATCGGTCCACCATTAAAGAAACAGAAAAATAATAACGGTCATAAATTTCACTTTTTGTTGATTTAAATTTCAATAATTAAACGAGTTTAGTTTATTATTACAATTTTCCATTTTATAATAATCTGATCAATTCAATTAATTATTTATTTATATAATGAATAATTCACTGAGTATGTATTGGTTTATCCATTGATTTTTTTTTTTTTGACCCACGGGAAAATTCCATGGAATCCGTTGAAAATCAAAACTAACAACTTCACTTTAGCAACCCCCAAGTTTAAAGTGGGATTAACACCCGATGAGAAAAGTTTATATACTCAATTGTTTAAATCATTAGATCCAGAAAATACTGGAGTTGTAACTGGTGAAAAAGCAAGAAATACATTTGAAAAATCTGGCTTACCACCTGCTATATTAGGTGAAATTTGGCAGATTGCTGATCAAAATAATTTGGGATTCTTAAATCAATTTGGTTTCTGTTATGCAATGAGATTGATAGGTTATACTCAATCTGGTCAACATCCAACTCAAGATTTAGGTGATTATCCTGGTCCATTACCTAAATTTGTGAATTTAAATTTATCACAACCACCATCACAACAATCAAGTTTACAGCCACAATCTACAAACAGTTCATTTATGTCTAGTCAACCAAATGCAAATGCAAATATTCCAATAAATTCATCACCACAAAATCCAATTGATATTATTTCATTTCAAGATTACCAAAAATTTTCACAATTATTTATTAAAACTGTTGGTTCTTCACAAGGTGAATTAAATGGTTCACAAGCTAAAGATATTTTTTTAAAAGCAAGATTATCAACTACGATTTTAGGTCAAATTTGGAGTTTGGTAGATAGGTATAATGTTGGAAGTTTAAAAATTGGTTCCTTTGTAATTGCAATGCATTTAATACAAGGTTTATTATCTGGACAAATTAAACAATTACCTCCATTTTTACCTGAATCAATTTGGAGATCTGTTGAGTCATATAGTCAACAACAACAACAATCTCAATCACAACCTCAATCACAACCTCAATCACAACCTCAATCACAACCTCAATCACAACCTCAATCACAACCTCAATCACAACCTCAATCACAACCTCAATCACAACCTCGTCAAACTTCACATAGTTCTATTAATTCACAATCAACAGCTATTAGACATGTACCTTCGAGAGAAGTATCATCAAGTGGATCTGGATCAAATAATGGAGATTGGATTGTAACTCCAACTATGAAAAAACAATATGAATCAATTTTTAATAATCTTGATAAAGAAAACATTGGTCATTTAAATCCTGATCAAGTTGCACAATTTTTAATGACTTCAAAATTAAATCAACAGGATTTAGCAAGTATTTGGGATTTATCAGATATTCAAAATTCAGGGATTTTTACAAAATTGGAATTTTCAATTGCTTTATTTTTAGTTAATAAAAGATTAGCAAATGAACAATTACCTAATATAATACCCGATAGTTTAATTAATTCATTGAAAATATCGAATGAAAAACCAAAAGAAACTCCACAACCATTAAGTTCACCTTCAATTAGTCAACAGCAAGCGCTTGAAAAACCACAATCATCAATGAATGATTTAGCTGATATTTTTACTCCTTCAAAACCTATTACAAATGAACGAAAAACATTACAAAATAGAGTTTCAAGTAGTGATTTATCTCACGGATCTGAATTACCGAAAGTACGTTCTACTTTAACTGGATCTTTCAAACCAACGTCAAGTTTTGGTCAATCATTAATGCATAATCAACAACAACAACAACAACAACAACCTACATCAAATTTATCATCACCTGTTAAAGAATCTACTCAAGAAACTTTATTGGCTGAAAAATCTGTTCAAAATCAACCAAATCGAGAACAACAACCAACTAATGTTGCTTCACCTCAAAAAGTTGTTGATTATAGTGCATTAAGAAACGTTCCACCACCTCCGCCTCAAAAAAGAACTTCAAGTCCTCTTGCACAACAACCAGTTGCTAAATCAATTCAACAACCACCTAATGATGATTTATTAGCTGATGCTGCTATTTCAGGTCAACTATCACAAGCAACTTCAGATATAGCCAATGTTTCAAATCAAATCAAATCATTAGCTACTCAAACAACTAATTTACATGATAAAAAGGCAAGAGCAGAACAAGAATTAACAAAAATACTTGCAACTAAAAAAGATATTGAAAGTAAATTAAAACAATTAAGAACATCATATGATAATGAAGTTAAACAAGTTGAACAAGTTGAAATTAGTTTATCAACTGCAAAAGAAGAAAGTGAAGCATTAAGATCAGAATCATCAATAGCTGAAGCTAAACTAAATTCATTAACTTCTGAATTAAATGAAAAACAAATTTCTGTAGAAAATTTGCAAAAGGAAAATAGCTCATTAAAGGAAAAATTAGGAACTTTAAATGCTGAAATTGCAGAATTTGAAAAACAATTAAATAATAAAAACTCGGAAACTCAAAATTTTAAAAATCAAGTTTCGGTTAAAAAATCTCAAGTTCAAGTCGCAATTGTTAAAAATGAAGAATTGAAAAATAAAATTAAAGAATTGGAAAATCACCATTTAGAATTACAAGACCACCACAAACAATTACAAATTGATTTAGATAATGCAGAAAAGGAAAGAATTATCAACGAACAAAAACAAAAAGAATTACATGGAAAAAGTTTACAATTGGAGCAAAATAAACCAACAAAACCATCTCCTGGTATAAATGCACAAGGTGTTGGAATTGGTGCTGCTGCTGGCGCTGCAGTTGGTGCTGCAGTTGGAGGTGTTGCTAATGCAGTTAGTCTGACTATTGATTCAGTTACAACAAAATCTGATTCAACTATTGACCAACAACAAGAAGAAAAATCAGAAGAATTTTCAAAAGGTATTCAAAACTTATCAATTAATGAACCTCGTGATTCAACTACGAATGCAACTTCATCAACTATTACTGAACAAAATGAAGATAACGAAACTCCAATAACATCACCAAGTAATTCTGATTTTCAATTTCCTCAAGGTAATAATGGTGATATTGTAGGTGGAATGGTTGGAATGCCTGGAGTTTTAGTTGGAGTTCAAAGAACTGAATCATTAACTTCAAGTGTACAAAATAATGCAGCTTTATCAGTTAGAGATGATAATATTGAAGAAATTAGTGATAGAGATACAATTGAAAATGTTGGAAAAGATGATGATGATGAAAAAACAGTTCCTACTACCAGTGGAAATTCTGAAACAAGTAGAGATAAACAACAACAACAAGGAGATAGTGATAAAGGTTCATCATCATTTGAAATGGTTAATTCTGAAGAAGCTAGATCTCCTGAAAATGCTGACGAATTCCCGCCAATTAGAGAATTAGATTATCAAGAAAGTGATTCTGATGAAGATGAAGATACAAATTTTGACGATGCAGTTGATAATTTAAATCAACAACAACAACCTCAAACATCAATTGAGACAACTCATCCAACAAAACAAACATTTGATGATTTCGATAGTGAATTCGATAATTTGACACCAGCAAAAGATGATGAAAATAATCAAGGTAAAACATATTTTAATCAAAAATCATCAACCGCTGATCAGGATTTATTTGGTGATGAATTTGATGATTTAGAAGTTGCAAAAGAAGATTATACAAATGATGAAGAATTTGATAAAGATAATAATGATGATGATGGTGAATTTAATGGATTTTCAAATGAATTTACAAACTCCAATGCACCTGATTTCAGTGCTGGATTTAATAATGGTACTAATAATAATGATTCAGGTAATGATGAATGGGAACAATTATTTGCTGGTTTTGGTAATGCAACAACAACAAATGAAAATCCTTCACAACCAATGCCTTCAAGCAATTTTAATAGCTCAAATACGATTCCAAGAAGTACTACAGCGGAAGGAAGTGATAAGATAGATAATTACGCAATTCAAGAATTGGTTGGAATGGGTTTTGATGAAGAAACAGCTATTGATGCTTTGAAAAAGCAAGATTGGAATTTGGAAAATGCTACAAATTATTTGCTAGATAATGCTTAAATTGTAATATGTGTTTGTAAATGTATAATTGATTTATATTTCGCTTAAGATCGGCCCTGAATTTGGGTTGAGTTTCTAATTTATTGTGGCATTTCTTAATCAATCCCGAAGCGTATGATAACGAAATTTTTCGAGTTATGAGCGTTTGAAAATACCGAGATTTTGCGCCAAAAATCAAGAAAACAACTATGGCATCGGTTGAGAATCTGAAACTGTGGTATGAAAATATACTATGCTTATACTATATCATATGAGATCAAACTAAGTTTAAAATGAATATAAATTCATACGAAAAGTTACTTGTTTAAATTCATTAATTAAAGTTTATAGTTCAAAATTTAAGATACTTTAAAATGGCTTCAAAATTTGGTAATTACGATATTCATTATAATAAAGATGTTGATGAAGTTGATGATGATGGTGTTTTAGTAATTAATAAAAATAATAGATTACAAGCTAAATATCCTGATTTTTTACCAACTTGGGATCCAAAACAAAAATTATCTGCATTAAAATTCAAAAAATATATTGATCCAGGTTCAAGAGCAGATCCAAATTTTCCAAATTTATTTCCAAAAAGCAACAAAGATTTCAAAATTAAAAGAATCACTCCTAAATTTGGTAGTGAAATTGATGGTATTCAATTATCTCAATTAAATGATAAAGGTAAAGATGAATTAGCATTATTATTAGCACAAAGAAAAGTTTTATTATTTAATGATCAAGATTTTGCTTCAAAAGGACCAGGTTTCGCCGTTGAATTTGGTAAATATTTTGGTAGATTACATGTTCATCCAAGTTCAGGTTCACCAAGAAATCATCCAGAATTACATATAACTTATAGAAGACCAGAAAAGGGTGAAATGGAAAGAATTTTTGAAAATAGAACAACAAATACAAGTTTTCATAGTGATGTAACCTATGAAATTACTCCAAGTAGATTTACATTATTTCAAGTTTTAGAAAGTGGTGACGGTGGTGATACAGTTTTTGCAGATACAGTTGAAGCATATAATAGATTATCACCAGCTTTTAAAAAAAGACTTGAGGGTTTACATGTTTTACATACTTCTGAAGATCAAGCTAAAAATTCATCATTTCAAGGTGGTATTGAAAGAAGAAGAGCAGTTTCAAATATTCATCCATTAATTAGAATTGATCCAGTAACAAAAGAAAAATCAATTTATGTAAACAGAGCTTTTGGTAGAAGAATTGTTGAACTAAAACAAGAAGAATCTGAATTTTTGTTAGAATTTTTATACAATCATATTGAAAGATCTCATGATTTACAATTAAGAGTTAATTGGGAAAAAGGTGCAAGAAATAAAGTTGCTTTATTTCATAATTCTGGTGTTTCTCATACTGCTATTTTTGATACTGATGATGGTGAAGTTAGACATGCGTTTAGAATTAGTGTTTTAGGTGAAAGACCAATTCTGGATTTACAAGATTTAAATAAAGAAGAATATACTCCTGGTGATTTAAAACAAGCTTTAAATTCAATTAAACCTATATAGATTAGTTAGTTCCCAAAAATCATGTACATTTTATTTTTATTTACCTATAAACGCCAAATCCGTAATTCCTAAAAAAGCAAAATTATATTACATTACAAAGTAACAGATTGGTTGATTAAACTACCAAAGCTTGGTAAAACAGTCGAATCATCTGTTGATTTATTATATTTAACCCCCCTGACATTACTTTCTTTAGTTGTATGTAATTTATAATTGTTAAATTTATATAAAGGTGGTAATTTGATCAAACTAATTTCTGGACTTGAAGGTTGTTTTGGTAAATTAAATGAATCAAATTTAGGAGATTGAACAGGTGATGGATAAGCATTTTGAGGTTGTGGCTCCATTGGATATTGTTTAGGAGTACTAATTTTATTTATAATTTCATTTGAAGTTGTAGATAATAATGAATTTATATCACATTTTGTTGATTTAGGTGATAATTCTCTAACAAATTCAGTTGTATTATTAAATTTTTCAATAATATTTTGATTCTTCATAGTTTTAGTTTTATTGTTTTTACTAATCAACGAAAGATCAGGCCAAGTACAATCTAAACAATTTCTAGTACAAGCTTGACATTTTCCGTTAATTTTATCTTCATCACACTTCTTTTTTCTTTTCCTACATGTTAAACAACCAGTTTTAGTTCTTCTTTTAATCTGATTTGAATCTTTTTTTGATTTTATAATCTTATTACTATCATTATTAGCAACACACATTATTTCTTTACTAATGGAATTTTCAATAATTTTATTTGGTAATATACATTGATTATTAATATTTCCTGGTGAATTACACTTTGGTTTTATTGGTAAATTTAATACTTTTTGATACGATTTATAATTAACTTCCATGATTATCCAACACTTGGTTATTTAAGTAAAAATGATAAAAATGATAAAATTGAAATATAAAACTAATAAACAGTTGAAAACAACAAAATAAATTTGGTAAAAATTTTTCAATATAATTTCTTTGAAACCATTTCTTACTATTTGGTTGTATATGGTTTTATATATGTTGTTACATAGTTAAGTATAGTATTAGTCAAAATTGTATTTTACTTAGCGCTCGTTTTTCATTGCAATTTATGATCAATTATTTAAAATGAAAATGGAATCTAACACCGTTCTACAAGTAAAGGATATTTATAATTGGAAACTAACACCGTTGACTGTATATAGACCATGTCCATTTTTGGCATTTTGCTCGTTGAAAATTGCAATTAAGCGCGCTGAATTATAATATTAAAGAGGTAATTAAGCGCGCCGAATTATAATATTAAAGAGGCAATTAAAACTACCGACTAAGGGGAATATAATCAAAATTCATACAATTGAATATGACTTAGCTACCTTTGATGATCTAATTACATTTAGTCAACATCAAAATTGTTATTTAAAGCTCATATCTTCGTAAAAAACACTCCTGAGTGGAAAAACAGCTCACAATTTCATAAAAATTTTTAATGGTAACGTGCCATATTATTTATGGCATATTTATTAACAAACGTACATCAAAATAAAAATAGCAGGTGAGAACGATGTATCATCGGTTAAATTTAGTATGTAATTATGTAAATAAAAGAAAAAGAAATTTTTAAATTCTGATCTGAAACTTCGAAAATTTGATGATTGAAAATATAACATGCCTTGGTCATTTCATTTGCCATTTACGTGTACTTATGTCCATTTCCCGAATATGACAATACTAGCGCTCGTATTATCATGTCAATATTCAGCTTCAGAATTGAACAACAATATATAATTGTAGCTCTTCCATGCAACTTTTCTTCGTTAATAACCTTTTCGATTTCGATCGATTTCGATAACTTTAGTCTGATTCTATGGATCTGATTATGCAAAAATTGCCAAATTACCAACCCTTTACAAACAGATCCTGCATAAACCAAATTCTCCATTCTTTTTCGCCAAATTTTTGCAAAATTGTGAGAAGTTTGAAAATATTTACGAAATACTCATGTTTTTGCCAATTCCATTAATGCAAACCTGTAATAAGCATAAGAAGACCATGCTGCAATTGCCTTGATATTCTAGTTGCCATTTTATAGTCGATTAGGGGTACATCATGTGAATGAGAAACAAGTTTAGCTACTCCCTGTATAGAATTTTCGTAAACTTCAACTGAGGACATCCGTAATAGCACACTTTGAAGCCGAGATCACTAAATTGTCTTTTTAAATCGAATTTTGGTAACTAATAAATTGAAAGGGATTGTTTTGTAAAATGCATTTTCAAAATATGTATGTTTACTTATAATACGTACACTTTATACCTTATCTAAGGCAATAGCTTAACTTCCCAATTTTTCTGATCCAAATATGATTTGGTTTGTCAATTGGATGTTGATTCAGCTCTATACTCTGATTTCGTATGTACATTGAAAATATCTAGTGATAAAAAACACCAAATACCTATTTCCTTACTCGTCTAATTTTATCTACCTTTTTCAATCTTAATTTAACCCAGACAATCTCTTAATAATCTCAAAATTGAGCAGGTTTTGTGACAATTTTGAAAATCTTCAGCTGGCTCATAACCTTTTGTTTTGATTAACACCTAAAATCAATACGATTAGTCACATGTAAAAATTCACGAAGATTTTTAAACTATAAAATGGTTCGAAAATCTTTTCAAAGCCTCTAATTCTCGAGATATTTCATTCAACAAGCCATCATCATGAAAATCATTTCATTTATTTTATTCTTTTTCATTAGTTTTTCAATTTCAGCAACAATCAACACATCATCACCATCAATTGAAGAATTATCTTCATCAGCATTATCCAAAAGAGCTACTACAAATGATAAAATTTTAAAAGAATGTCCAACTTGTGTCACATATTTAAAAGATGGTAAGAAAGCATGTAGTAAATATTTTAAAAATAATTTAAAATTCATGAATTGTTTATGTTCAAAAAAGGGAAATAAATTCTGGAAAGATTATAATAAATGTACAACTTGTCCAGCTTATAAGAAATATATTAAAGCTAATGGTGCAAAATATTTCACCGGTAATGAAGTTAAAAAAACATCTTGTAAAGCAGATGATGATACTAAAAAATTAATGGGTGCTGTTTTTGCTGCTTCTATTGAAGCTGTTACTTCAGGATCAAAATGATGAATTTATAGGCATACTAAATAGACATGTGTTAATGTACATAACTTGCAAATAATCTATGAAAATTAACATCCCTCGAATGAATAATTATGATGGACTTACAATCTTTTCGTCGGTTTTTTTTCGAATTTTCACTTCTCCTAGCTTGACTGACCGATAAGAGTTAATATACGCTTTAATAAACTTGTTTTATAATGCATTGCTATATGAATGAAAGTCGTATTTAATGGAAAATATTTAATGTAAAAATTCGTAAATCATTCCGCAACACTCTTCGTTAATAAAATTCAACAGAAACGATCTTTACTTTTAAATGTCTTGTATTATTATCAAGGGTGCAAGAATCACTGGAGGTAATATGTAAACACTACCTGATAGTGTTTATGTTTTGTTAGACAATTTTCAAAATTTCCCCATACTAGTGCTCAAATAGGAAATGTTGCAAAATTGAAATTTTCGCGCATAAATGCCCAAATAGGAAATGCTGCAGGTCAAAATATATGCAGTACCTCGTACATGAGATCTGTAATATGCAGTACTATTAATATGAAATTTCAACTTCATTTTTAGAATGTTAGTGCCTTATGCCGTACTAGTTCTATTCAAGATACAACTGAACGTATTTGTTAACATCTTTTGGGTGGTCAACATATGGAAATGTATATTGAAGTTAAATTTTTTGAAATGAAAGCTTCTTTATTTTCAACATTACAGGCAGTGCTAGAACATACCGAAGATAAGAATATCGATGGTAATAAAACAAATGATCAATCAACGTGAATATTTAATTATGCACTCAGAATGGAAAATTGCCCTCATCATACTAATTACCAACTCAACTATTATTTTCTGTTCAACATACTAATGATAAACTCGCCACATTAAGTTGCACTTTGTTAGGATAAAGGTTTCGTGCTTTGTAGTATTAATTAGAATTTGTTCTCGTTCAACTAAGTGCAACCTCGCCTACATAGAGTCTATAAATAGAGGTCCGTATTCCTTTTAGTTTTGATTTTAAAATTAATACTTAACATCATTATACTTCCATACGTTAATCACATTAGGCTAGCTAGCTCTATTGAAACTACATTCATTATCTTCATTCATCAGTCTAATCTACATTATTTCCCAGTTGTACCGATAGCTCGCTAATATGATTGTATCATTGTATCTTCTTTGATACTCAAACAGATTACTTGTTTTGTCTTATTTTATGGTTCTTTTGAAGTGAGACGGACTTAAGTTTAAAATGAATCTAAGTTTTGTTAATTTGGCACTTTGAAATTATTGTGAACTTTAATGTCTTCAACGATAACAAACATTTCTGCATTTAATTTTGAAAGTTTCTTCTAAGTTTCCAAATATCTGTTAACATCAAAACCAATTTTATTATTGTATTTAACATTAAGACATGATATGGACACCAACAAAATGCTGCATGAAAATTGCAGATGAAAACCCATAAAACCTGCTTACTGCGATTCCTCTTAATGTTAACGAAGTAGGTTAACTCATATGATCTACTACTACTAAAAACTAGAATAGAGCACATCCAACATACATGAATACAATTAAATTGTCTTTATCTAAATTTGACGGGTGGCAATCTCCTCTATTTGCTTTGAAAATTCACTCTTTGACACTTCAATTCGTTAACTAAAATATAGCCTCACTACTATAATGTCATTTGTCATTGCCAGTTGTCATTAGATTATTTGTTGTTATGAAATTATTATATTGAACCAAGATTGTGGATGATAAAAAAAAAAATTCATAGAAAAAAAAAAAAACCTTCGATTAAAACATAACTTTTAATTATTATGTCATATAATAATAATATCAATCATTATACACCTAGATATGGTAATAATCCATCAAGGAAAAGTTATGATAACAATAATGATAACTCCAACAAAGAATCAAACAGTTACTCAGTGAGTAAGATACGAGAAAATAATAATAAAACGAATAATTCTAGCCTACCTACATCCTCATCATCATCAACAGGTTCAGGCCCAGGCTCAGGCCCAGGCTCAGGCTCATCATCAAGCTATTATAATAGAAGAGATTACTATCCTGTTTCAACTTACAAATCCAGGTATGGTTCTTATTCAAGTTCAAGTTATAAACCAACTTCATTTTCATCCAAACCAATGGGTAAATCATATAATAATAATTCCTCATATTATTCAAAAAGAAGACCAAATGATTCATTTTCAAAACATCAAGACAATTCTTCAAATAAATTTATATCGAAAACGAGTAATTATTCGTCAAATAACAACAAGGGCGAATCAACAAGGGCATTTACTAGTTCTGATTACACAAGTTGGAGAAAAAAACCTTCACCTTCAATATTATCTAATAAACCTATAATTTCAGCTACAAAACCATCAGTTTCAAGTACAAAACCAACAAGTTCAATACCAATATCAAGAACAGGTGAAATATCAAAATCACCGGTGGATACAACATTGTCAAGTTATAAAGATGAACGTCGATCTACAAAATCGACAAATGATGATCAACTACTTTCCAATACCACGAGCAATGAAAACGGTACGGTGCCTGATAAATCATCTTTATTTAGTTCTAGTGATTATACAAAAAAGACCAGTTATGATATTTATTCCAGGAAAAATAGCAAAGAAGATCATCAAAGAAGTCCTTCAAATGATTTGTCAAGAAAAAGCTCAATAATCAAAGAAGAAAATAGAAGCACGTCGCAAGATGCTATCAAGTATGGTAAATTAGATTCAAATAATTATGATGTTAAATCAGAAACTAAGTTGGACAAAGATCAAAGCAGGAGTAAACTGCCCATACATAACACTCAACCAAATTCAATTAAAAAGAAAACATCATTTGCCGAATATTGGAAGCAAACCAAGGCTAAAAAGTATGAAGATAAAGTAAGAGAGGATTACAAACCTAAAGATGAAGCTCGATTCAAAGATTATCACAAAATATACTACAATGAAGATAAAAAATCAGGAGAGAATACTCCTGATTTAAAGGTAAATAAAGATGAGCCAATACTGGATGAAAATCCAATCATTAATAAAGATGTAAATCCAATAATTGATAAAGAGGATATAGCAGCTTCACCAACATTGATTAAACTGGAAAATGAACAAACTGAAGAAAAAACGCACTCCGAAACTGAGTCTAATATTGATGAATATTCGAAATCAAGAGAAAAATTAAGAGAAAATTCAAGAGATATTGTATCTGATAAAGAGGAATTTAAAGACAAATCACAAGATGAAGACTCAAAGAATCATCTGGAGACGAAGAAAACAGAAGAATTGACATCGTCAAATTCAAAACAAGATATTATAGAATTTAATATAAATGCAAATGCAATTTCAGATGAATCACAAGAACCTAAAATTGATCATAAATCTGACATAAATGAAGATGTTGAATTATCTGAAGCTGAAACTGTGGTAACGGATGTTCCAAGTTTAAATGATGGTCGAAAATTGATTATAAAAGATGACAATGATGAACGACATAGATTGAAAAGAAAGTATCGAAACATTATAACTTCTGATGAAGAAGACGAAGACATGGAATCACAGACTGATTTCAAACAATCAAAAACAAATCATCCTTATAAAATCAAAAGAGATGCTGGAGGACGTTCTCTATTACAAAGAGCATGTAAAAAAGGTAATTTTGAAGATGTTAAAAGTTATATATTTAGTGGAGCAAGTGCAAATGAAAATGATTTTTGTGGTTTTACTTGTCTTCATGAAGCAGCTTTAGAAGGACATATTGAAATTGTTAAATTTTTAATTGAGAATGGTGCTGATGTAAATGCAAAAGCAGATGCTGCTGGTAATTCTGAAACTCCTTTGATAGATGCTGCAGAAAACAAACATCTTGAAACAGTAAAATTGCTATTAGAGCATGGAGCTGATCCTACTATTTATAATATTGATGGATTTACGGCATTGACAAAAATTTATAATGAACATGCAAACGAAGAAGGTTATGAAGAAATAATTGAAGTTTTAGAAGATGCAATTTCAACATTCAATAAAAATAAAGATTTTACTAAATCAAAAACTGGAACTCCTGAATTAGGTGGTAATATAATTGTCGGTGATCCTCATGAAAGTTATTTTGCTGAATTAATTAAGAAGAAAGGAATTTATAAATATGCTGCTGAAAATTCTAAAGAGATGACTGCTAATTATTTTGTTTCGGGAAATAGTCTTGAAGATAATGTGGATGTGTTAATTTTAGCAGCAAGAAATGGTCATTGTGAATTAGTTGATATTATATTAGGCCTAAATTCAACATCTTTTAATATTGATACTGAAAATTCTTGTGGGACAACTGCACTATTAGCCAGTGTTGGTAGGGGTCATATAGACGTAGTTGAGAGTCTATTATCAAAAGGTGCTGACCCATTTAAGTATAGAAGAGTTGATAATTTGAATACAATGGATATAGCACATCATTCACCAAAATATAATAATGATGAAATTGATTTGCTTGCAAAGTATATGAATAAAAATGTTTCACACTCACCAACATCGATTACAACAGATTCTTCAAAGCCTGATTTAAAGAGAGAAGCATCAATTCAATCTACAGGTGAAGCAGAAGAAAAGATACTGGGATTGAATACTGACGAGAAGAGTGGTGATGAACCAGTTGAAGATGATCAAATTAAACCAAATACATTAAAGAGAAGTTCCAGTTCCAGTCCCGAAGAAAATCGAAAGAGTGATGAAGAAGAAGATGAAGCTGATACACAACATCAATTTAAAAAAGTTAAATCGGAATCAAGATTATCATCATTTCAATATGAAAAAGCAAAATCACCTAATTGGAAACATGATTCTTTATCTCTATCTTCATCTTCAGCAACAACACCACCCCAACAACAAGTTTTAACTAAAGAACAAGAAGAGTTGAAAATAAAAAATGCTGAGGAAGCAAGAATCTGGCAAGAAAAAGTGGAAGCTAAAAAAAGAGTTAGAAAACAAATGTTTTTAAAACATGAAAAGGAGAAAGAGTTGAAAAGGAAAGAAGAAGAGGAAAAACGATTACAAGAAGAACATAGGTTACAAGAAATTAAATCAGCTCAAGATGCAAAAATGAAAAGTATTGATTTGGATACTCAAAGAATCAAATTGAGGAAAATTTTAACAATTGATAATTATCCAAGTGGATTATATTCAATTAAATTTAATTCAAAACCTAATGAATCATCACTTGAAAAATTTTTACCTTTATATGTTTTCAATTTTGAAGGACAAAGATACATAACAGATTTGCAAGTATCATTACTTACATTGAGAAAGATTAGTAACTTAAAGAATCATCTAAATTTCAATTCATTTATTCCTATTTCAAATAATGACAAATGTAAAATTTGGAAATTATTTGATAAATTTTTCAATCCATTAGGAAATCAACCAATAACAAATCAATTTAAACTTCAAAATTTGAAACAATTTCAACAATTGTTGATTCATTTCATTGCAATAGATGATGTTATTTCATTCTTACATCAAAAACACCCAGAAATTATTGAGATGATTAATGTTGTTAAACCAATTGATGTGGTAATAGATTCATTAAGTGGATTTGATATTGAACTTGAAGAAATTGATGATATAATGAATATAAATGATGATAAATTTAATTTTAAAGTTGATTTAGAACATACAAATAAATTCATTCCACCAAATTTAAATCATAGAAAAGAAATTCTTGAAACAATTGGTAAATCATCTCGTCCATTATGGTGAAAGATTGGACTAAAAAATTTGTCTTAAAATTATGTATTATTATTATTATTATTATTATTTAAATATATTTAATGACTTACGGTTTTAAAGTGTTGTAATTTAATTCGATTGTAAAAAGGTTAAGACTCTGTATTTATGGAATGACCCAGAGGATACATTGGACCCTTTCTTGAAACAGTTACACTGACATGAACTAAATCTTATTCATTATATCTACCATTCTTGAAACTGTTACACTGAGCTGAATTAAATCTTAGTCATTATATCTACCATTCTTTTTCAATTATTCTCGAAATTTGATCAAAAATGACAAAAAAGTAAATGTTTCTTAATTATACACTAAGATTAAAATTTTTTTGGTAGAATAATTCAAGTCAAACTCATATTAAAGAATTTACAAGACTCGGTATCTTTCTGGCTACCAAATAAGTTGAATATTAAATTTCAAATTTTTGCAACCATTGACATAAAAAAAAGCGCAAATACAAAATAAACAATAATACAAATAAAAATGGTCAAGAAATTTCGAAGTTTTAACCAATCAAATCTGAACAAATGCTGCAATGCATAGTATATAAATAAAACATAATTTTTTTTAACCGAAATTTGAAACCAATAATATTAACAAATTAAATTGAATAGTTTAAAGACCGATGAAAATAAAATTATTATATAAAGTTCAATATTGAAAAGTATTAATACTTTGTTCTCTTGAAAGGTAAAGAATAATTATTATTATTATTATTATTATTATTATTAGTATTATTATTATTATTGGTATTATTATTCCATTTCGATGCAAATTTCGGACTTTTTCTTTGATTTAAGAGATAAACTACAACATCTAATATAGTAATTGTCAATATTACTACCTAATACTACTTCGTTAGTTCTACTATTAACCTCTTTCATCTTGTAATATAATAAATATTTGTATATTTTGCAACTATATATCTATTTTATTTTTAATTTTTTTTTCAACAGTTCTTCTTCGTCCTCGTCGTTTTCTTTAATCAAATAGGAAAAGAAAAAAAAAAAAAAAAAAAAAAAAAAATCATCAAATTTTACTTCTTTACTTTTCAACAAACATTTAGTTTTTTTGAATTAAGAATTATATTATATTATATTTATTATCATTATGCTTAGAACCATTGTCAAACAAAATGTATGTTTTAAATCAAGTTATCCATTTTAAATTATTGCTGTTCTAGATCAAATAAGGAAGTTTATAAATCTTTGGAACTTTTAAGAACAATTCTTCATTCCATTCACAAGCTAATTCTTAATGATTGGTATTAAAGTGTTTTTCAAAAGTTGTGTATCACAGGTTTTATCATTTGGCTCAATTTTTAGAGGAAAAAGCGAATAATCATATATTAAAACCGTCCCCGAAAAAACAGATTTTATGCCAAAAAAAAATTGATTGATTGGTTTCTTGATTGGTCTCTTCATTGATTTAGCAATAAAATTGATTGATTGGTTTCTTCATTGATTTAGCAATAAAATTGCTTGATTGGTTTCTTCTTTGATTTAGCAATAAAATTGATTTTAATGTTTTTAAATTACTAACATTTTTAATTTTAGACAGCTATTCGTTCATTAGCAACTTTTGCCTCACCAGATTCAGTTTTACCAAAAAAATATGGTGGTAGATATACAGTTACTTTGATTCCTGGTGATGGTGCTGGTCAAGAAATTACTGATTCAGTTAAAAAAATTTTTAAGTCTCAAAATGTTCCAATTGATTGGGAAGTTGTTGAAGTTAGTGGTGTTGAAAGTGAAACTGGAAAATCTCATGGTGTCGATGAAGCTGTTGAATCTTTAAAAAGAAATAAAGTTGGTTTAAAAGGTATTTTATATACTCCAAGTGATAATTCTCATAAATCTTTAAATGTTGCTTTAAGAAAAGAATTGGATATTTATGCTTCTTTAGTTTTAATTAAAAACATTCCAGGTGTTAAAGGTATTTATGATGGTATCGATTTTGCTTTAGTTAGAGAAAATACTGAAGGTGAATACTCTGGTTTAGAACATCAATCATATCCAGGTGTTGTTGAATCTTTAAAAATTATGACAAGATTTAAATCTGAAAGAATTGCAAAATTTGCTTTTGATTTTGCTAAAAAAAATAATAGAAAATTAGTTACTGCTATTCATAAAGCAAACATTATGAAATTAGGTGATGGATTATTTAGACAAACTGTTAAAGATGTTGGTCAAGATTATCAAGGTATTGGTGTAAATGATTTAATTGTTGATAATGCTTCTATGCAAGCTGTTGCTAAACCTCAACAATTTGACGTTTTAGTTACCCCAAATTTATATGGTTCAATTTTATCAAATATTGGTGCTGCTTTAATTGGTGGTCCAGGTTTAGTTCCAGGTGCTAACTTTGGTAGAGAATATGCTGTTTTTGAACCAGGTTGTAGACATGTTGGTTTAGATATTAAAGGTAAAAATACTGCTAACCCAACTGCTATGATATTATCAGCTGCTATGTTATTAAGACATTTAGGTTTAAATCAAGATGCTGACATAATTTCAAAAGCTACTTATGATGTTATTGCTGATGGTAAAATAAGAACAAAAGATATTGGTGGTTCATCTTCAACAACTGAGTTCACTGATGCTATAATTGAAAAATTAGCTTAATTTTATTAAAGTATTTTAAAATTTATCAGTGGATGTAATTTATTTTTGGAGACTTATATAGACAAGAGGTTAAATAAACATAATTTTGAATAGATTCAATATAATTGTAAGTTTATAAATATTTTTGACTTTGTGTATTTAATGTTTCATTTGTCGCTCTTGCATCGATTTAAGATCATGGTTGTGATCAGAGTCAAATATTTTGCAACCATTTTTGTTTCAATGACATTTTAACTAAGAAGAAATACAAACAAACTAGTTGAATGCTATATATAGTTTACTTTTCATTTTCCAGACCAGAGGAGATGATGATCTAACTAAACGGAAGCCTATTGTAAAGAAATCTGGTTACATTATAAAACATCGTGTAAATCAATTGTATATTATAATAGTGTCAAAGATTCAATTTTCAAATTTTTTTTTTTTTTTTTTCTTTTTAACGACTGAGTTCGTTCATTACTTTTTATTCGTTATTTAATCTTATTTAAGCTTTAATTTATTATGTGTGACGTTGTTTTAGGTGCTCAATGGGGTGATGAAGGTAAAGGTAAATTAGTTGATTTATTATGTGATGATATTGATGTTTGTGCAAGATGTCAAGGTGGTAATAATGCGGGTCATACAATTGTTGTTGGTGATAAAAAATATGATTTTCATATGTTACCTTCGGGTTTAGTAAATCCAAATTGTCAAAATTTAGTTGGTTCTGGTGTTGTTGTTCATGTACCATCATTTTTTGAGGAATTGAAAAATATTGAAAAGAAAGGATTACATTGTAGAGATAGATTATTTTTATCATCAAGAGCTCATTTAGTTTTTGATTTTCATCAAAGAACTGATAAATTAAAAGAAGCTGAATTGTCAGAAAATAAAAAAGCAATAGGTACTACTGGTAAAGGTATTGGTCCAACTTATTCAACAAAAGCTTCGAGATCTGGTATAAGAGTTCATCATTTAGTCAATGCTGATCCAAAATCTTGGGAAGAATTTAAAATTAGATATATGAGATTGATTGAATCTAGGAAGAAAAGATATGGTGAATTTGATTATGATTATGAAGAAGAATTAAAAAGATTTGAAAAATATAGAGAAGAATTAAGACCTTTTGTTGTTGATTCAGTTGTATTCATGCATGATGCAATTCAAAAAAATAAAAAAATTTTAGTTGAAGGTGCAAATGCATTAATGTTAGATATAGATTTTGGTACATATCCTTATGTTACTTCATCATCAACAGGAATTGGAGGTGTTTTGACTGGTTTGGGTATTCCTCCAAAAACAATCAAGAATATTTATGGTGTTGTAAAAGCTTATACAACTAGAGTTGGGGAAGGTCCATTTCCAAGTGAACAATTAAATGAAATTGGGGAAACTTTACAAGATGTTGGAGCTGAATATGGTGTTACTACTGGTAGAAAAAGAAGATGTGGTTGGTTAGATTTAGTAGTGCTAAAATATTCAACAATGATTAATGGATATACATCATTGAATATTACTAAATTAGATGTTTTGGATAAATTTAAAGAAATTGAAGTTGCTGTTGCTTATAAATTAAATGGGAAAGAAATTCCAAGTTTCCCAGAAGATTTAAATAATTTAGCAAATGTTGAAGTTGTTTATAAAACATTTCCTGGTTGGCAACAAGATATTACCGGTATTAAAAAGTATGAAGATTTACCTCAAGAAGCAAAAGATTATTTAAGTTTTATAGAAGAGTACTTAAACGTACCAATTCAATGGGTTGGTACAGGACCTGCTAGATCTTCAATGTTAGAAAAATATTAGAGATAGACTTTAAATATATATGTATATACAATTATTTTTCATGGAGTCGAGCTACCAATTTGATATGATCTATTTGGTAGTGCCTGAAAACAGCGAAACTAATTTCAATATACGAAATATTACTACATAAATATGGATGAAAACAAAAATTACAAACTCAGTTCAACTTTACTGGGACATGAGCAAGATGTCAAAGCATTGGCATTCGTTGAAATTGACAATAAAAAGTTTTTAGTATCATCACTGAGAGACTCAACAACTAGACTATGGCAAAATCTTAATACTTCACAAGCAGATTCCTCAATTATATTCAATTCTCCTTCTAAACCATTCATTAACTCAGTAGCTATAATTAATGATGGAAAGGAACCATTAGTAGCTAGTGGTGGCCAAGATGCAATGATATATTTAAATGATTTATTGCAACACGACATTGATCCAGATGGCAAATATCAACTAATTGGTCATGAAGGTAATATCTGTTCTTTATCTTATGAAAAAAATGAATTGATTTCGGGCTCTTGGGATGCGACTGCTATTGTTTGGGATTTGAAGAATTTTGTACCGAAATTTATATTAAAAGGTCATGAATCTTCTGTTTTGGATTGTAAAGTTTTAGGTGAAGATCAATATTTGACATGTTCGGCAGATAAAACAATCATTTTGTGGAAAGGAAATAAACAAGTTAAACAATTCAAGAGCCATCAAGATGTAATTAGAAAATTATTTGTTTTATCATCACAACAATTTTTGTCAAGTTCAAATGATGGAACTATAAAATTATGGGATTTAAAGTCTGGAGAAGTTTTAAATACATTTTATGGACACGAATCGTTTGTTTATGATATATCAACGTTGAGTGACGATCTTTTGGTATCCACAGGTGAAGACAGAGCAATAACAATTTGGGACTTGAAGACAGGAAATATAAAGCAAAAGATAACTTTACCATGTATATCTGTATGGTGTGTTGCTAGATTGAATGATGGTGATTTTGCTGTTGGTGGTTCAGACAATAAAATAAGAGTATTCACAAATTCCTTGAGTAGAGTAGCATCAGATGAAGAACTTGCAGAGTTTAGAAAACTGATCGAATCATCTTCAATAGCCGAACAATCTGTAGAGAATTTGAAAAAGACAGATGTTCCAGGTTATGAGGCTTTAAATAAACCAGGAAAACAAGAAGGATCAACAATTATGGTTAAAAGCCCAGCTGGTCAGATTGAGGCTTATCAATGGTCAGGAGGTGAATGGATCAAGGTTGGAGATGTTGTTGGATCTTCAGCTTCAAATAAGAAACAATCTTACCAAGGAAAGGAATATGATTATGTTTTTGACGTTGATATAAAAGATGGTGAACCTCCATTGAAATTACCATATAATATAACAGACAATCCATATGTAGTTGCAGAAAATTTTTTGGCTGATAATGAATTACCTTCAAGTTACACCCAAGACGTTGTTCAATTTTTGGAAAAGAATACTGCGGGAGTCAGTATTGAAGAAAGTCAGCCATTAACCGATAACAGAGTATTAGACCCATATTCGGATGCTTATGTTAGACAAAGTAATCTTAAAGTTATACCAGCAAAATCGTACATTTTCTTTAAAGATTTTAAATTGGAACAAATAATGAATGGTTTAAAGAAGTTGAACCAATCCCAAGAATCTTCTGTGCAATTATCAGACCAATCTATTCTGACTATTGAGAATTACTTATCAACACTAAACTCCAAACAAGCATTCGATATAATTACTGGATACGCTAAACAAATTATTCAAGATTGGAATGTATCATCAAAATTAATTGGGTATGATTTATTAAGAATTTGTATTCCAAAAGTAACCACTGCAGATTTACTTAGATCTACAGATGCTGCAAAAATCATTTTAGATTCTATACATACCGGTCTAATTGGTTCCAGCAACTATTCAATATTAATGATGATAATTAAAAGTTTAATTAATTTGATTGACAATACTTTATTTGTTCAATTGTTCATTGATCCTACAGATGATGGCAAACACTATTTGTATAATTCGATTTTCAAAGATTTATTGACTAAATTGACGGCATTAATAAAAGACTCAAATTCAAATGCTAAATTATACACTACAACCATGAATACAATCGCAACTTTTATTTATGATTTATCCGTCTATCAATTAACAACAAAAGGTCTTAAGGAAAATTCTCAAGTTTCTGCTAAGCCGGTGTTAGAATTTCTTGATAATGTAGGGGAACAAATTATTAAATCATCTAGTGAAGCTGCTTATAGATCAATTGTTGGTTATGGTAATTTTAAATACTCCAAAGCTATTATAGAAGGAAGTAAATATCCTAGTTGGATAATTGAAGCTGGTTCAATGTATTCTGGTGAATCTGAATCAAGATTTTATGAGCTAGCTTCTGATTTACAAAATTTATCGAATTTTAAGTAGGTCAAATCTTAACTTACAATATATATTAGATATATTTTAATCATGGCTTGCTATATAAATATCAGGAACCTTTTGAGAATATTGAACAAATTTTGTAGCAAAATCTAAATTCAAATTATCAGATAATTGAATAACCGAATATACATGAACCTTCAAAGAACTATTGCTTACCTTTCCAATTATTTCATAATTTTTACCTGGAATTAATTGTTTATCTAGTTGAGTATGATTAAGATCTAAAGTTATTGGTCCGTTACTTATAATTGTTGCACAATTTGTATTTTTATCAACTGATTCGCATGATCCCATAATTCTGACCAAATTATTTTGATTTTCTTGTAATAAAGTAGCGTCGACTCTAATATTTGATGCTTCCATTGTAATCTAATAAGATGTTACGATGTATTCGATATGGTTTTATTAAAAAATTTTGGTTATCAATGAATGGTATTTTATTTTTTTTCGAACGCGTTTTATTTTATTGAACCAAGTTGTATATTTAAATTCTAAATACTATTCAGTTCAAACTTCAACAATAACATAACTCATGTAAGAATGAACCTGCTTCTCCTTTTTCTTCCGCTCTCATTAAACTTTCACCGATTAAAAAACCATCAACATTATCCTCATATTTATATTTTTTAACATCATCAACTGTGGTTATTCCTGACAAAGCTAATATTAATACTTCACCTGATCTACCATTATTATTTTTAGCCATATCAACCAAAGAGCTGGTTGTTTTCAAGTCAACATCAAAATTTGTAAGATTTCTATTATTGACACCAATAATTAATGGATCGGAGGTGTTGCTTTGATATGTTAGTTGTAAAGCTTCTATTAATTCAGTTTTATCATTAACTTCAACTAACGGTATCATACCCAAACTCAAAGAATATTCATAAAGATCTTGCAAAAGTGAGGAATTTTTTATCATTTTCACAATTAATAAAACAGTATCTGCACCTGCTAATCTTGCTTCTAAAATTTGATACTTATTGAAAATGAATTCTTTTCTCAAAATAGCTGGTCTCTTATAATCTTTAGGAGCATTTGGTGGATCTTCAATAACTTTTCTAATTAATGATAAATCGTATAATGATCCTTTAAACCAATTTGGTTCTGTCAAAACTGATATAGTTGAACAACCATTAGTCGCATATGTTATTGCTTGTTGTCCAGGATGAGCTTTGATATTTATATCACCTTTTGAAGGACTAGCTCTTTTGAATTCTGATAAAATTATTGTTTGATTTAATTGATCTTGAGTATATTTTAGACGATTGTAAAAACTGATCAAAAGTGGTGCAACATTAAGTGAAAGCTCAATTTCCAAATCGTTGTATGATTTACCTGGTAAATTCATTATATTTTGATAATCTAATAATCTCTTTTCGTAAATCTTAGCCAATATGTTTTCCAGTTTAATTGTAGGTTTAAGTCCTTTTTTATATGAGATGTTCTCCTCCCAAGTTCCACCAAAGACATTTAAAATATTGTCAATCATTAATTGCCCAGATTCAGTAAGGATTGACTCGGGATGAAATTGAACACCTTCTATAGTGTAAGTTTTATGTCTTACTCCCATTATAACTTCCAGTTGAGTTTCAGTGACTGCTGTTACTTCAAGTTCATCTGGTAAAGTTTTTTGGCTACCAGCTAATGAATGATATCTTGTTACCGCAACAGATTGGGGAACACCTTCAAACATTCCCTTTCCGTCATGTTTAATAGTGGTTGTCTTTCCATGTACAATTTCTCCAGCATATGAGACATCACCTCCAAATACATTGAATATACATTCTTGTCCCATACAAACTCCAAATATAGGTAATTTTCCTTTAAAATATTCAATTGCTTCATTAGATATACCAGAATCAGTAACAGGATGTCCAGGACCAGGAGATATAAATATAAGATCTGGCTTTATTTCATTTTCAATTTTGTTTATATCAATTTGATCGTTTCTAAAAACATCGACTTTACCACATTTTGGAGACTGATGCAAATATTGATATAAGTTCCAAGTAAATGAATCGTAATTATCAATCATTAAAACATGTCTTTTTATCGTAGATGTCATTCTGATTCCAAAATCAAACCAGATCTTTCAGATTTTTCAGATTTCATTTTTTTTTTTTTTTTTTTTTTAATAACCGTTTCGTTTCAGAGTTGACTCACTAATTCACGTGATGACTTAAAATTATATTCAATGCTATAACTTTTAATATAAAAGCCAATCTATTCTATTTTTCTATCAGTATAATCATATTCTACTCCATTCAACATTATAGAGCTGACAAACTCTAGTATCAACATAAATAAGGAAGATAGCATTGCTAAACAATAATTTGAAATTGAAACACCTATATCTAACCATGAGCCTTCAGTTCTTACTAAAAAGAAAAAGTTTAATGATAAGAAGTCACTTGTTGATATGATCAAACTAGAAATTGTAAATTTTCTAATTTCAAGTTGATGATTCATAACTCCAAGACAAGTGGATAATAAAACATATGGAATAATCAATTTTATCATTAATAAAGCACCCATTGAAAATGGATCAAATATGGGAATTAATCTGTAAACTGAATCTAGTGAGAAGGACGAGATTGAAGCAATATTTCCTGTCCCAAAAAATGCAAATTGTAAGAAAAAAAAACCGATTATGGTAATTCTAATTACTTGAAGCCAATAACCTTTTGGTAATCTACCGGTATTTCTTTTTGTTTCGACAAGCTCCTTGTGTGAAAACCTCAAAGTTTCTTCTATTATAAGCCATTGTAATAAAATCAAAGAAAAACCAACATAAAATAATAATTCAAATGAAATTGTTAAAATGACAAATGTGGGAATAAATGTAAGGAATATTATCAATAATCTAAATCGATAATCTTTTGATGAATGAATGGAGTGTATAGCTGGTAAAACTATCAATGAGATTATTAATGTAACCCATCCAATTATTTGACTATGCAAAGGTAATCCTGTTCTAGCTTGTAATGATATGACGGAAGCATTTGTTGCATACAACATGATCGGTAAACTTAGAATTTGTAACAATATCAATTTTTTTTGAACAGATTGCAAACCTGAAACTCGGGTGAAAACATAGGAACTTCCACTAATACTTATTATAAATGCTAATAATGTTCCAGTATTTATTAAAGTTAAACTTTCTGTTTTAACTGGATCCATATTGGTAAATATGCACATAAGTGAACAACTAATTAACCAAGTAGTCTTAAAAAGAACTGAAATTCTATCTGAACCAGAAACTAAAACAGGATATGTGCCAATTGCTAGAAATATCACCGAAAACATGTATCTTTCAAAAAAACCATAGGCTATTCCTTCGTACATCCCCAAAAATGATAAAAATATCAAGGATTTTGTTTTGATGGTTACCCCGTGTAAGAATTGTTCGATTCCTAGTAACAAGTATTGTTTTTCAGTTAAAACTGTATACCAAAAATATAAAGGAAAAGCAGCATACATATAGTAATTAAATGGTGAGTTCTGATAAAATAAGATATAATTGGTAACTAGCCCTACAAAACCAAAGATCAAAACGAGCAGTGGTGAAGTTTTGCAGGAAATCTGTTGTATTTGTTCATCGTCCAATATGAATAACTTTAAAAATATGTCGAAGGAATAAATAATCCAGCCAAAAAACCCACAAGTAACAATTGACCTGAGTAGCAACCAATTATACTTTTGCAAATAGTTCAAACCTTCCAAGGCTTTTTTCATCAATTCTTCTGTCAACCGTATTGCTTCAAATTCAACGTCATTAGATGATGCTACCGACAATTTTTGTATTAAATTTTCAATTTCCATTTGATATTGCGTTATTGGTTTATTCTTGAAAGGTTCAAATTGTTTAAACTTAAATTGATGATTATAAACTTCCTGTTCTTTCACAATGTATTGCTCAACGATAGCCAACGCATTTGCATACAAAGATTCAACTTTGGTTTTAGTTGAAGCATTCAAATAACCCAAGGGCAATTCACCTACTGAATTAGCTGGGTAATTTGAACCAATCAAGTACGCCATTAAAGATGCAATATCGGCTTGATTTACATCATTTCTAACAAGATGGTCGAATTCCCAGGTATCAAAATAACTTGATTCAAATCCACTTCTTATAGGGTCTTGTTTGAGTAATTGATCTGTATTGTTTGGTAAATCTTTTAAATGAATAGGTTTGTTTATACCTGCTCCCCAGGCAATTAACGGAGTACGAGTATTATCAGGATGACCATCTCCATGTGACCCAAAGTCAGACATACCATGATCAGCTGTAAAAACAAAAGCCGTCTTATCATCACCAAAAAATTCATTTATTTTAGGAACGAGTTCTTCCAATTTTTGATCAATATATTCTATATTTTCATAATATTCTGCCAGATAAGGTCTATAAGCATGGCCTGCAGTATCAGGTCCTAATAAATGTAAGAAAAACACATTTCCATCTTGGTGTAATTCATCATGTAAAGTTGAATTGTTTGTCAGATTTTTCATTAAATCATAAAAATGTTCAAAAACAAATGAGTCTAATTCAATTGAGCTCGATGTAAAGTCCTCAAACTCGTGTCCATACATACAGACGTCAATTCTACCAGGAACAACACCTTGTCCAAAAGCAAACATTGGTAATATGTCCGGACTACCAAATGAATAGGTATGTCTAGATTGATTGAAAAAAGAATCAAAATCCACAGGGTTTTCTTTCCAGCCTTTGGTAACGGCAGAAACGTCTTCGTAAAACCCAGCAATCATTGCAACGTGTCCAGGTCTAGATTCAGTTGGCATTCTTGTGTTTGAAATACCCCACGATCCATTATTTAATACCAAACTCCTCAAATATGGTGCCAAATACTTTACCTCTTCAGTTCTTGGATGTTTCAATCTCTGAAATGTTTTGTCTGCTCTTAACCCATCACCAACTATCAAAAATAACCTTTTCGCTGGTGGTTCAAAAGTTGACTTATGATGATTCATACCATGAACCAAAGGCAGCACAAAGTAAATATCAAATATAGACCATAAGTAGAAAAAATGAAATAGGACACCAATTATCACTAGCAATTGACGACTTTTGTTCATTCTAGTAGTGGTGAATTATTATATCAAGATAGTTGGTAGCTGATTTATTTTTCATTCCAACTGTTTAGAAGAAAAAAAAAAAATTAAACGCGAATTTAGAGCGACAACGAAACAAAAAAAAAACATGGACAAAGTGGTTATTATTACGTGTTCAGAGAATCAAAGTGGTTATTATTACGCGTTCATTCGTTTATTGCATTATATATTCCAACCATTTTCACCTTCTTTGATAGCTCTAATCCAGTCACAATTTTGTTTGTATGATCTCATGGTAATTGAGAATGTGTACAATGCATCTGTAAAATCTTTCAAAACTTTTAAATCTCTCTCAATACAATTATTGTAAGTCTCTAGATTATATTCACTTTGTTCATTGTTTATACTGTCAAAATACTTAAAATCTTTGTCAACTCTTTCAATTTGATATTGTATAATGATTTTTTTGTAATTCAAAAATTCTTTTTGATATGAAAGAATGGAGTTGATATAATTCAACCAAGTTTGTTTGCAAATATTATTGACATCAATTGGTGAAGGAGGATTAGGAATTTGAATCTTATGAATCTTGGGTGAAGCATGCATATCTAAAATTGTAATATTAGATGGGTTTGAGTATGTAGAAGAAATACCTGTATTAGCTGTTGTGTTTTTAGTTGTTCTATGCCCTCGTACAGAATTTTTATTGATGGGAATTGACAATGTTTCTGCTTTGGATGTACCATCAGAGTATGCATGTACTCTTTTTCTTCTTCTTGATGAAACATTGTTAAAATTGCTGGTGCTAGATTCATTTGGTAAACTTTCATGCAAATCCTGAAAACCTACTTCTTCTATATCACTACCTAATTTCATTTCCAAGTCGTTAAAATCAAAAATTGAAGGCTCTTTAGTAGAAATCTTGGATCTTTTATTTGATGAAGTTGTATGATGTTTGACAGTTTCATCATTTTCCCTGTTCATATAATCATTTTGATTTTTATCTATACCATGTAAAGGGTTGCTTGACAAGTTACTGCGATAAGGAGACGATGACTTTACAATTCGTGGAGGTTGCTTTGCTTTTAAAGGAATTTCAGAAATGTAATCTTTCAAACTTTCTTGGTTATTTTCTTGAGTTGGAGTTCTTTTGTCTGTCAAATCTTTTAGATTATTCATAACATTCACTGGTGAATATTTTTCTTCATCATCTTGTTCTTCGTCATCATGTTCTTCGTCATCTTGTACTTCGTCAACGTCAATAACATCAGTTTTTGTAATAGCAGCGTCATTGTCATTATTAGTAGCTTCAATTGCTTCATCAACTTCAACACTATTACTTTTCTTTCTTCGAGCTTGAAAATATGGATTTTCGGCACCTTCATTATTTTGATTAGCATTATCGTCAGATTGATTTAAATTTGTATTCAGCGAACCATCATCTTCCAATATAATAGGGTCATCAAAAATTCCTCTTTGATGAGTTTTCTTTTCCTTTAGTTTGTCAGATGAGTCTTTAGTAAAAGCTTTTTCGTTTGAATTCATGTTTTTACCAACATCAGCTAAATTTTCGGCTTTTTTCTCAAAACCGTTAACTTTGGCAGGGTCGTACTGATCACCTTCAAATATACCAGTTTTACTTTTCTTAGCATTGGTTTTGCCATTAAAAATTGAAGTTCTACTTCTTTTATTATTGTTGATTGATGATTCTTCGCCATCTTCTTTATTTCGTTTTCGTTCTCCTTCTTCTTGACTATGCGTTTTTTTTTTGTTAAGTTCTTCTTGTAGTTTCTTTTCAGATTCTTTCTTTCTTAAATTTGCTTCTGCTTTTAACCTTTCAGATAATTCTTGTTTTATTCGATCTGTGTTTTTAATTGATTCTTCTTGAGCACGTTCTTGTTCTTTTTTGGTTTTATTGTAGTATGAATAATATGTGAAGTTAGAATGCGGATCATAAGCACCAGAATTTGAGTATTGATTACTATTGTTCGACTTCCTATTAGGCGATTCATTGGATGTTTTATTATTATTCAGTTGTGAAGGATTAAACGTCGAATAGGATGAACCATAAGGAGGTGCATTATTTGATTGGTTTTTCGAGGGATGATGGTATGAAGCTGTGTAAGCTGATGTTGTAAAATTGAATGTAGTAAATGTGGAATTGGTGCCTTTGGTATTTTGATTATGAGACATGTTTAAATCAGATCGATTATTAATGTTTATATTTTGTTTCAATAAAGACTCATGTTGATTTTTCAATACTTCGTAAGCTGCATTAATTGATTTGAATTTTTCGTGATATTCAATATTTGGCGTTTTGTCAGGGTGATATATTAACGATAATTGTCGATAAGCTTTTTTAACTTCCTCGAAGGAACTTGAAGGACTGACACCTAGGAGCTTATAGTGCTCAATAGTAGGTCGTTGCAAATTATTATTCATAATTGTAGTATAAATATTTACATTAAATCATAAATTATTAAACACTGTAATGTTGTAAATTTAATGTTTCAAAATATATATATATATTTTTTTTTTTTTTTTATTTTCTAATTACTGCATATAAATCTGTGTTTCTCTGATCTGTTGAGCTACCAAGTGTATAATCAGATATATACGATTAAACTTATAATTATAATCAATTAACGAATTAATAAAAGATTGAAGTTATATAATTAAATATATTTTACTAGTCTATTCTACTGTATTATTTTACTTAAAGGTTTATTGATATAGTAACTATATATTGAGTGATTTCTTGGTTCAATTAAGCATTGATTAACAATAAGTCACATGGTAGTCGATTAAAAAATAGTTGAACAAAATAAATTCTCCAAAACAACTTCTCGATATTCATCCTCAATTTACTTAATTGTCTTCTTGTTAAATACCAAGTTTGTTTATTTGTTTTGCTCAAGATTTATCAACGTATTATATAAAGAAGGTAATTGGTAAATCTGCCATTTTGAATTTGTTTCATTAGAGTATCAATTAGATTTAGATATATTTTATAAATTTATTATTACATTTTAGATTAAAATGGTTTTAACTCATTTTATAGCAAATGATGGAAGTCATATATTTTTCAATGGTTTGCAAAACAAGTATCTTATTTTATCTTCAAATGGTACTAATAATGGAGAATCAATTGAGGTTGTAAAAGAACTTCCTTCATTTTATAATGATCTGAATATTTTATCGTCCAGCAAGATTTCATGTATCATTGGTATTATTAGATTAAAATTATGTTCTTATATTATATTAGCTGACAAACATTCAATTACCGGATCTATTTTGAATAATGATATTGCTTTTATTGAATCATTTAAAATCTTACCATTAAACTCAAAAAATACTAGAAGTAGCAATGAAGAGACTCACTACGTGAAGTTAATACAAAATCATTTAAAAAATGCAACTTTGTATTATTCTATTGATAGTAAATACGATTTAACAAATTCTTTGCAAAGACAATTTACTGTTGAAAATTTAGAAATTGATGAAAGATTTTGGTGGAACAAATATTTATCAGCTGACTTAATCGAAAATAAAGCTGAAGGTTTTATTACCCCAATTATTTATGGTTATTTCAAATCGCATTCAACTATTTTTAACGGCAAATCTTTGGAATTCGCTTTATTAACACGTCGTTCTGTTTCAAGAGCTGGTACAAGATATTTTCGTCGTGGAATTGACATTGATGGAAATGTGGCAAATTTCAATGAGACAGAGCAAATTTTTACAGCGTCAAACAATCATCATGTTTATTCAATTGTTCAAACTAGAGGTTCGGTTCCTGTTTATTGGGCTGAAATTAATAATTTGAAGTATAAGCCAAATTTAGTTATTAGTTCTCGATCATCGTTAGATGCTACCGCGGCTCATTTCAAGCAACAAGTTGATTTGTATGGTGATAACTTATTAGTTAATTTGGTTAATCAAAAAGGATATGAAAAACCAGTTAAAGATGCTTATGAGTCTGCAGTAGAAAGCTTACCAGAAAAAATAGCACAACATATTCATTATATATACTTTGATTTTCATCATGAATGTAAAAATATGAAATATCATAGGATTAATTTGTTATTAGATCAATTAATCTCTTTAGGTTATACCTCAGACAATTTTTTTGAAATTGATTTAAATACTAAACAAATCAAGAACTTACAAAACAAAGTAGTTAGAACTAATTGTATGGATTGCTTAGATAGAACAAATGTTGTACAAGGTACAATTGGTCGTTGGTTTTTACAAAATCAATTGTATAAATCGGGCTATTTAGTTGATATTGCTGCACCATTTGAACAAATTGATAAAAGATTTAATTTGTTCTTTCAAAATTTTTGGGCTGATAATGCTGATGCTGTTTCTTGTGCTTATTCAGGTACTGGAGCATTAAAAACAGATTTTACAAGATTAGGTAAAAGAACTTATAAAGGTGGATTAAATGATTTTTTAAATTCAGTGACTCGTTATTATAAAAATAATTTGGCTGATGGTAGTAGACAGGATTCTTACGATTTATTTTTAGGTAAATTCAAACCTTATCAAGATAGTATTACTTCACCATTTATTGACAAACGTCCACCATATATTCAATTATTGCCTTATTTAATGGGAACTTCAATTTTAATTTTATTAGCAATTCTTTATTATCCTATTGGATCGTTATTTGACATGAAAAATATTTTAATCATAAGTTTGTGTGTTTTGTTTAACATTAGAAATTTTGTTTATTTGAAATCACACGGTTATCAATTTGTTGATTGGCCCAAATTAGTCAATTTAGATTATTTAACAAAGCAAGATATTTATGATGGCACTGGTAAATTAACTGGTATTGAATACAAGGAAACAGATGATTTTAAATTGATTAGTAAAAAGAGAAACTAAATGGTTGTCTATCACAACTTGAAGTTTTTTTTTAATATAAATAGAGTTGAAACAACTAAACATTTATAGTGATAGATAATACTTTTATAATTTACAATATTGTGAATTTTCTATTTTTCGTGCATGCATCAGCGAAATTTTCGATTGTACAATTATTTCAAAAGGTTTAAACATGTCAAATATTCTAGAAAAATCGTTAGATGATATAATTAAGGAAAAACAAACTTCCAGTAGCTCAAATAAGACTAGGCACTCAAGTTATTCTCATCGTGGTAAAGGTAACAAATTCACTTCATCTTTTCGTTCTAAATACCAAAGTCAACCTTACAATAGGCATCAAAATCCTCATTACCGTTCACATTATAAAAATGAAGTTTACATACCTAAATCAAAAATATCCATCCCAAAAGATGTTCTCCAATTAGCTGGTAATCGCCCAACTCTAAGGATTAAAAATATACATCAAGATCTTAATGGGGAAGATTTATCAAAATTATTTAATCTGATTAATTCAGTAGATTTCATTAAATTCGACACTTCAGATGATACAGTTGCTTATGTGTGTTTTGAGAATGATTGCGAAAGAAGTAACTCAGAGGCAATTGCAAAATACGATGGTAAAAGGGCCATGGGAAACATTCTTGTGGTAGAGAATACCACTTCATTGGCAGATAGAATTGACTTGCGTTCTACCAACTCGGTGTCGTTCCACAATTCTAGAGTAAGAGGGCGTGGTAATTATACGAGACGGAACATTTCAGCCAGTGGTAATTCAAGAAATGGTGGTAATAAAACAATGGAAGAATTAGATCAAGAATTGAACGATTACTGGAAAGAGGATGAAAAAGCTGACGATGCAAAGAAAGTCGATCCATCAAATAATCCAAATAAAGTGGAAAAGCAAGATGAAATGAATATCGATTGATCATAAACATTAAAAGAAACTATGTATATTATGTAAATACCAATAAACAATTACAAATTATATTTATTTTAAATTATAAAATTCTAATTTATTATTAAATGCAGTAAATAAATAAAAAATTAACCCATTCCCTGAGTTAATTCAACGATCGAAACATAAAGCTTTTTAGTCAATTTTCTAAAATGTTTTCCATAGTATAAAAATGGTATAATACCAGCAATTGTCACAAAGTCAATAACTGCTAACACAATATAAGTATTGGTTGTACCTTATCCATCGAGCCAATATGAACATACAAAGGTGAATATGCACGCCAACTGTTATTGATTATTGAAACACCGACCATTCCTTGAATGACGATATCAGGATAAGCATCCATTAAATAAGACATTGCTGTATCACCAATGGAACCCCATCCAAATCCAATAAATCCTAAACCAATGTAAATAACTTACCATGGCCATTCTCTATCTGCTCGAACGCCGAACATAATTAAACCGATAGGTGAAATAACCAATGTAACGAACAATAAATAAAGTCTGTATTCTGGCTCCATAATCCAATTATTTCTTTTAGCAATCCACACAACATGTTTGTCAGAAATACTCCTGACATAATGCATCCAATGATGGCCCCAATCAAAGTGGCTACATTCATAATGGGTTACTCCTCTTGCTGAATAATTCCATGGTGGCTCTGTAAAAAACGTATCTTGAGTAGTTAAAAAGAAGCATATATGCATCTTGTGGGCCCCGTAATAAACCAGATAACCAAACTGCAGGTAATGTATAAACTTTAAAATAAATCACAAATCTTATAATATATTGAGCAAAACCAAACCCATTCAAATATGGAGCCGGGGTAATAATAGCAATTCTTTTTAAATATGACTTTTCACGAGTTTCAGGATCAGATGTCATTATTAACTCTTCGGATATAACATGATCTGGGTTTTCTTTGTTAAAAGCCTCTTCCTTCCCAAATTAGAACCGTACCATTCTCTTTTTTTAGAATGCACATTGTTGTTGCTGTTGATAATCTCATGGGGTTTAGTTTCAAAGTATAGTTGTCTATCGAAAACCGTTTTTTCACAAGTTAGCAATACAATTAACAAAGCTCCTCCACAAATTAGAGCACCCCACCAACCGACTCATCTGAAGGATTGGTCATGCGCAATGAATTCTGCATTTAAAGGACCCAAGAAAGTAGCAACTGATGTAGACAAGATATACGTCAAAACAGAACCTAAATTATTTTGAAAACATATATCAGTTAATGATTGCTGAACTTGAGCTTCAGCGCATGCTTCTGAAATACCAACAAATAACTGTGACCAAATGGCATCAGATGTTCTTTTCGTTTCTGCAAACCAAATTCAACCTAATATACCTATTAAAAGACAAAGAATGTCAGTTATACGTCTACCATACAATGATGAAGTTGGTGCTAAAAATATACATGACCAACCAATACCCAAGAAAAGTACACCAGCTCCTGTATTCATAGCGGCATACGAAATATCATAAACATCATTTAAAGAGTCCTGACTTGCACCCAGGACATTTGAAGTAGCAGCATTCAACGTTAATAAAACATAACAAAAACAAATGCCAAAATTTCCTTATTAGCAGCCAACTTAATGGATCATTTGGCGAATCGGTTGGTTGTGGTAATAGAATCAATCCATTCTTGTCTGTTTTCAAAGATTTATTTGAACCAATGGATTCTTGATCTATCTTTGAACCAACCAATATATTAGTAGTACCGGGAATAAAATTTGCATCATATTATTCAGATGGAACGGTATTAATTGAAGAAGGATTCATAAAAAACTTTTCAACGGTAATTTAAAGTAGGAGGGAATTTTAGCAACAATTAAATTGAACTCTTAAACTGATTTAATATACTTAACAATTTAATTTAGTCACTGAAACGGTATGTCAGTATTGCATTGTGTAACTATTAACAATACTATTAAATGGAAATGAATAAAAAAAAAAAGAATAAGTCAATATTCAATGGTTGGCTGCTTTGATATTCTTTGATATCCTCCCTTCACGTACAAACCTAATTTTGCTTTCGCTTAAAGTATTGAAAAGTTATGTTCATTTCAAAACAAGAAAAAAATTTGATGTATTTTTTAGATCTTATAAGTTGCGCTAAAAAAAATATTGAAAAAGAAATTAAAAATTTAGATCAAACACAGGGTTTCTTTGTGTATTATATGTAAATTTAAATTTTCTAATCTTTTATTGAATTGAAAATATTAATCAAAAATCTCATTATTTGGTGACTCATTTTGACGATGCTCTTGTATTTGTTCTTCAATTTGTTTCATTTTCCATTCTAATAAGGGAGCTAATTCTTCAATTTTACCTGATTTATGTTGAATGAATGAATGTTCCAATAATTCATCAGTAGTTGCTCGATATCTTACATCAACACAAAGACATATGGATAAAAATTTCTTGATTGAATTTGATAATAATTCCGGTTTCTTTAATTTTGGAGTTCCATTTGTTGCAATTAAATACAATGCTTTGAGGGGTTCTTCATTAAGATAAGGTGGCTCACCTTCAATCATTTCAATTGTCATTATACCCAAGGACCAAACATCTACTTTTTCGTCATATTCTTTTTGCTTGACAACTTCAGGAGCCATCCAATATGGCGTTCCAACCATTGTTGCTCTTTTATTTCTTTGATCAGTAAGTTTGGCACAAAATCCAAAATCTGTAATCTTCACATTTCCAAGTGCATCTAATAAAACATTGTCTGACTTGATATCACGATGAATAATATGCTTTTTATGTAAATGTTGTAAACCTTTCAATGTCTCAAAACAAATAGTAGCAATTTGTCTTTCGTTCAACTTAAATTCGTTGTTTTCGATTATTTCAGTTAATGAACCACCTTCCATATATTCCATAATTACCCATAACTCAGAATCATTTCTTAAATATGAATCCAAAAAGTTGACAATATTCTTGTGTTGACTATCTTTCATCACTAAAATTTCATTGATTATTAATTCTTTACGTGGTTGGACATTAAGATCCATCTGTTTTATTGCAACCTTCTTTTTAGTTTGAATCATTTCTGCAAGAAAAACATTACCACTAGCACCTTGACCAGCTTTAGCGAGCAACCTGAATAATGGCTTTGGGTCTTTACTATTTACTACTGTTTTTAATTTTGCTAATATTTGTAAATCATTCAATCTTTCTCTTTCTTTTTTTAACTGTTTTGGAGTTTTTGTAGTCGCGGGACCCATTGGGGGTTTTTGAACTTTGCCATCGTGTAAATTCTCTTGTGATTTTAGTTTTAATGGTTTTATTGAATCATCGATAGGATTCAATGGTTTTGTTACAGAATGTGAGGCTCCAGATAAAATTGCGTTTTCTTGACTTTTAATTGGTGTATCTTTAACTTTGAATTCTTTTGGATCTTGAGTTTGTTTCTGATTCAAATGGAAAGGCTTGAGTTGTTTATGTTTGTTGAGTGACTGTTGCTCTTCAAATTTGTCCGATATGTTATTATACCCTTTTTGAATTTTTAAATCTGGATGAATCTTAGGATTATTATTCAGTGGCAAAGTAGGAGGATTCTGTTTTGGAATGTTTGAAGGATGGTTTGAATTATAGTTCAAAGTTTGTGGATTAGTTGATACTTGATCTTTTAGTGCGGAGATAGGGGGTGGAGGAGCTTTTCTAACAGGAACAAGATTAGATTTGTTTGATAACTCAGTTTTGTTTAGTAAATTATTTAAGGGAGAAATATTGTTGTTATTTTTGGAAAATTCATATTCGTTACTATTGCTTCCCAATTGTGTTAAATGATAAGGTGTTGGAGGTTTTGGAGCAGCTCTACTTGGTTTGAACTGCGCGATTGTAGTTTTTGATGGTGGTTTCGTCCATTCTTGTAAATTATTGGAGTTATTCGATGAATTAATAATACTACCGTCATTATTAGCGTTGCTATTGACCATTGGTGATCCAATCGGTGTACCCAGGTTTGAGCCTCCATTAATATCCGAATAAAATTCTAATACTTCAATAACAGCGACTGGATCTTTTTTCCAATCTTCATTAGTGATTTTAGAATGTTGTAACAAACTCTTCCAAGTATCTGGTAAACCAGTAAAATTACCACTAGCAGGATCAAAACCAACGTGAACTTTATGAGTGAAATTGATTGGACTTGAAACACCTGAATTACCTCCATTTAGTAGTGATGATGCAGAAAGCGCATTTAATGATGACGATGATAGGTTAAAACCTGATGATGTCAGTGATGTAGTTGAGCCCGTTGAATTTGACGATGAATTTGACTGACCGATTTGAATCAAAGGACATTTTGTTGTAAAAGTATCTAACCAATCTAGGTAATCATTATTTGATTTTATAGAAATTATAATGGATTTACCTCCGTTTTTAAAAACAATTTCAAATGACTGCGAATTTTTTGAATAGCCACTTCCTGGTTTTATATTTATATTACCAATTGAATTCAATGAAAATGATGAATCTGGATTTGATACGTCACCAAGTGATGGCTCATTTTTATAAAACTTTACAGTTTTATCGTTGATTACCATGAATCTTTTATTCCATCTAAATGAAGTAAATAAACCATCTTCTTTCACATGAACCCATCCACTATGACGTTTATTTGCATTTATATTTAATTGAATAGGTCTGTCTTTTATGTTTAAAGATTCCAAATGAATTTTATTTCCCAGGGTAACATCTAATGGTGGTGCTGGTGCTCTTCTTACATTCTTCAAATCTGAAGTATAAACACTTGTCATAATTTATAAATGAATATTCACCCCAGACAGATGTCTAATTGAAGTCTTTGTCGATATACCACGAAAAAGGAAGATAAAATAAAATCAATTTTGATCAAAGTCTGGAAAAATTATAAACAAAAAAAAAAAAAAAAAAAAAAATTCAAAGGTAAAAATTTGAAAATAAAAACAATGATTTACAAATTAATAACTAACTACTTTGTTGATATAAAATCTCTTCTTGTATCACAAAACATAATATCAAGCTGAATATGATATTTTTCTACCGTTATAACACTGATTTACAAAACATGTTTGCTAAACTCATTTATGAGCTGTCATCCAATCTATAAATTGCGACTAGTTTGAGCAATGAACTCCAGTTTCAAATGATATTTTAAAAGACTGAAAAACACTCTCAAAGAAAAAGAAAAAAATAACGAAATCACTGTCCAATTACAGCCCTTTTGTACCTTAAATATCTGATTATTCCAATTTGGGAAGGTATTTTTAATCGAGAAGACGCGTCAATGAACCGATTAGGAAAAATCAATTATTATGCGACTTTCGCTATATATGCTACGATCAAATATTAATCCAGGGTTCTATTGAAAGTTAAGGCTATGGTCATAAAACGCCAGGAATTCAAATGAAAATTTGTTTGAAATTTTAGAGCCTGATATATAATTAATAGATAATCAGGGCCCAAGATTTAATTGAACTGGGAATTATATATAGGAAATGCGATGTTCAACAAATATAAGCTATTATTTGTAATACGCTGTAGGCCCAAAGCTAGTGCGAGTAATGATTTTGTCGCATCAAATCACCGCACTGTTAAATTTGGATATTTATTAATCAAACCCTGTTAGCATCCTTCAAACCCTTCATCTACGACTGTTTAGAGATTCATTATATTTGATTAGCATTACACGGGTCCTTTCGTTTGACTTATAGATTTATGGAGATATTTCTTATATGATCTAGATACAATCCTAGAAAGGACACCTGGTCTCATTTAAATAGTCTTCTCTCGAGAGACTGCATTTTTCAGGAGATATAATCCAATACACGTACTACGAGGTCGCCTCGAGGCGAGTGCAAAAATTTTTTTCTCGCTCCCAACGATCAGACATCATATCATATACACATTTGAGTATAAATAAAATAGATATTCGAAAACGTACCGTGTATTCTGTAATATAGTACCTGGTATTACGTATCATTTTGCGATCAAGAACTTCATATTGAAAATTCTAAAATTTTGTTAATTGGTACACTTGGTAACGAGGTCCACCATATATTAAATTTAAACACATACAATACTATAACACAAACAGATACGCACAAATGTACCGCATATTTTGTAATAACAAATACGTGCTACTAAGAGTTTCAGCTTAAACTTCCTATCTAATTCCAATTGTAAATAGGTACATTTTTGAACAAATTACTGAATCTAAGTAGACACCATTACTCAATCAGTATTTAATAGCCTTCATTCACCCAGTCTGAGGTTTTATCTTGTGATTGCATCAATCCATCATGAAATACAGATGGTTTTGCAATTTTGTTTTCTTCAAAAATCAAGCTATCATCCCAAACTAACCATTATTATGTAATGCATGAGCTATAGTTTATTAATATATCGTTAGACCTTTGCTAAACCTGCTAGTTCGTGAGATATTTGCACTTTTAATATTTTACAAGCCCCATTTCCTAATTCATTTATTTAACTTTGAACCATCAGCAAAACCAATTTTTGTTACACAAAAACACGATCCAAAATTGGCAACTTTTCTTTTTGTAACTTTTATTTGAAACGTTAATTACTTGAACATGACTACATTTGATAGCCTGAGACGAACCATTTTGTAATCTTTGATAGCTCTAGTTTATTTGATGTTAAGCAAATGCCTTAATGATAGTGGATGTTGGAGTAAAATAAGTTAATTCGTAATTTTGGTATGCTTTATATAAAGAACGGAAGAGGGCACCAAATGTTTCAAAATTAGTTGTATTAGACTCTTCTTAACTTCCTGATCCTAAAGCAGTTAATTACTTTTGTAATAGTCTTGTATTTGTAGAGTTATTTCACATTGAAGATAATATTTTCACAAAGACGATTCATGTATCATACACCAAAATATCATCTAGCAAAGGCAAATAAAGTTTTACTCTCTGTTCTATAAGACCTAAAGATCGAACCTAACACACTTGCACTTTTATACCCAGAGAGCAGCGTTCATTAGTAAATTTTTGGATAGTTTTACAAATTATTGGTAATCAATTTGGAAATTCTGTGATTTTGTGAAACAACTCAATGTCTTATGCCGATGTAGTCTCTAATTTGACATCAGGAGTATGTTTAAAATTTATGATTACCAATATAATCTATATTATATTTCCTTACTTTATCTAATTCATTATTTTGATATACTGTTTCACAATTTTGTTATGCTGTTTCACTATTTTGTTATGCTGTTTCACTATTTTGTTATTCTGTTTCACTATTTTGTTATGCTGTTTCACTATTTTGTTATTCTGTTTCACTATTTTGTTATGCTGTTTCACTATTTTCTTATTCTGTTTCACTATTTTCTTATTCTGTTTCACTATTTTGTTGTGCTGTTTCTCTATGCAATTCCTCAAACCAACAAGTTCTAATCTAGGTATTCAAATCAAACTGGTGATTCTAAAGCCGTAAGATATTAATCATCCGAAATCAATCCGAGATCTGGCCTGCTTTCAGAGATGTCAGAGATTCCCGAGATCAGGCTTCGGATATATCAGAGATTTCTGAGATCTATCCGAGATCTGGTTAGAAACCCTGATCTTCACACCCTAACCTCAATACTAATTGTTCCCGTAATGCACCCTTACCGCAATACTTAATATTACATCCTAACTTCTGTGCAAAATATAAGCTCCTAACATCAATTAACACGTGATTCTCAAACTATATAGTTATTATAACAGAGCTAGAGTCACGTGTAGACACCAATAATATGGTTATAAAATATATGCTATCACCTGCCAAATTTGGAAAGATTTTTTGGTGCTTGGGTCTTTTATTTCGGTTGAACAAAATAAATGAGATTTATATATCTCGTCACGTTCAACCAATCAAAAGCTGTAAAATACATGGTAGAAAATGTAAAATTTTGATATCACATCACATGACCAAATATATCAAGTTTTTTAATTGAAAAAGTTGTCAAATATCACGTGTTCCGCTACATTCTGTTGCACAACTGGAATGCTCTATCATATGATTTTTGAGGTTAGGATGTAATATTAAGTATTGCGGTAAGGGTGCATTATGGGAACAATTATTATTGAGGTTAGGGTGTGAAGATCAGGGTTTCTAACCAGATCTCGGATAGATTTCAGAAATCTCTGATATATCCAAAGCCTGATCTCGGGAATCTCTGATTTATCTGAAAGCAGGCCAGATCTCGGATAGATTTCGGAGGATCGATATCTCTACGGCCTTAGAATAACCAGCTTGATTTGAATACCTAGATTAGAACTTGTTGGTTTGAGGAAGTGCATAGGGAAACAGCATAACAAAATAGTGAAACAGCATAACTAAATAGTGAAACAGCATAACAAAATTGTGAAACAGTATAACAAAATAGTGAAACAGCATATCAAAATAATGAATTAGATAAAGTAAGGAAATATAATATAGATTATATTGGTAATCATACATTTTAAACATGCTTCAGATGTCAAACTTGAGACTAACATCGGCATAAGACATTGAGTTGTTTCACAAAATCACAAAATTTCCAAATTGACTACCAAAAATTTTGTAAAACTATCTAAATATTTACCAATGACCACTACTCTCTGGGTATAAAAGTGCAAGCGTGTTAGGTCCAGGTCATATATAACAGATAATGTAACTTTATTTGCCTTTGCTAGACGATATTTTGGTGTATGATACATGAATCGTCTTTGTGAAAATATTATCTTCAATGTGAAATAACTCTACAAATACAAGACTATTACAAAAGTAATTAACTGCTTTAGGATCAGGAAGTTAAGAAGAGTCTAATACAACTTATTTTGAAACATTTGGTGCCCTCTTCCGTTCTTTATATAAAGCATACCAAAATTACGAATTAACTTATTTTACTCCAACATCCACTATCATTAAGGCATTTGCTTAACATCAAATAAACTAGAGCTATCAAAGATTACAAAATGGTTCGTCTCAGGCTATCAAATGTGGTCATGTTCAAATAATTAACGTTTCAAATAAAATTTACAAAAAGAAAAGTTGCCAATTTTGGATCGTGTTTTTGTGTAACAAAAATTGGTTTTGTTGATGGTTCAAAGTTAAATAAATGAATTAGGAAATGGGGCTTGTAAAATATTAAAAGTGCTAATATCTCACGAACTAACAGGTTTAGCAAAGGTCTAACGATATATTAATAAACTATAGCTCATGCATTACATAATAATGGTTAGTTTGGGATGATAGCTTGATTTTTGAAGAAAACAAAATTGCAAAACCGTCTGTATTTCATGATGGATTGATGCAATCACAAGAAAAAACCTCAGACTGGGTGAATGAAGGCTATTAAATACTGATTGAGTAATGGTGTCTACTTAGATTTAGTAATTTGTTCAAAAATGTACCTATTTACAATTGAAATTAGATAGCAAGTTTAAGCTGACATGCAAGCCTTAATAGCATGTACTTGTTACTACAAAATGTGGTACATTCAGTTTTTATTTCTTCATTATCAATATGAATTAAAACTATGTAAATAGTGGAAAGCACGACAAAGTACTTCTGCACAAAATGCAATATTTATAACCAGATTCGAATTTATCTGAGATTTCTGGTTCCAATGAGTCCGAGAACGATATGTTTTTGTTTGAAATTGAGTGAGTGGTGTTAAATTCGAAATAATCAAAAACTAATGATGTTTTAAAATTTTTTTGTCTCCTTTTATCTCGGTATACTACTATTTTTTCAGGAATGTTAAAATTGTGCATTACTCTTGGAATAACACATGTATTGGCCTCAAATAAGTCGCCCAAGATATTCTAGACCGCTAAGAGTACTTTGTCAGTCGTTGATTTTGAAAGCGTGGTTCGATCTGTGAATCCGAATATTACCTCCACTATTAGGGGTGTTATTTTGATTTCGAGTTCAAATCCATCAAAACCACACCAAATCCAAATTGTCCTAAAAACAACGTTTCCTAGGTAAATCAGGACCAATATAATCTAATCCGTTGACGGTTCGGCAATGCAATTGATCAGTAGTCTGTCAATTGTAATCGAAGTTTAACCATTTTTTGCCGATTTTCAAAGAATTATAACTTCTTATACTACAACGATTTTCAAAATCCGAATAAATGCCAAAAACATCCAGATGCCTTTGTCCTTCCATCCCGACACACATGACGTAGCTTTTTATAAGTTATTTTTATTTTATTTTTAGGAATGTATCTCGATCATGAAAGAAATAATTAATTCAAGAAACCTACAAGTCAACTGATTGGTCCTGTGTGATTCTGATGAACTATAACGTCATTTAAAGCCTGGAGGTTGTGATTTATGCTGGCGAGGTTATATTAATAAATATTATGCACATTTGGAATGCGTTGATGTAATTCGACAAATTACTCGTGCTAACTTCGGGGCGACATCGTATCACATATTTTGACTTATAATTGTTGAGCAACACATTTTCTCAATATAGACACCAGTTCAATGACATAAAGTGTCTTGATTTATTAGTTCTATGCATTTAAGCTGTAATTCCCAAACAGATTCCTTTCCGTTGGGAATTTTAATACCATACAAATAGAAAGGGACGAGCAATGTATGTTTTGATTTAGGGCAATAACTTTCAATTAAACTACGGATTATACTCCTTAAACTTTAAGCCATTGTGCTGCACAAAATTTGGTTTCATTTGAATAGATTTAAAAAATTTAGAGACCATCTTTTGAGTTTAAATAAGTTCGAAGAGATTGCTCTTATACAGACTCTAACTCTGCACTGAGCATTCAATTCAAACAAGAAAGCAGTATCTAATCTTATATTCCTGCAACACTCGAAAATTATTGTTAGGGCATTCTGAGTTGGAAAATTAGCTTTTCATAAAAATTTTTCAAAAGTTTTCAAAACAGGTTCGGCGTCTTAAATATTACACAAAGATGTTTTGGGGTGGAATAAACCAGATTGAATATTCCAGACCTTGCTAAATAAGGTCTAAGTGTTGATCATCTCACTTTCAAATCATTTAGATGTCTTTGTTTCAGATTTCAAATGAAAATAAAATTATCACGGTCATGTTTCTTTCTAGCAACAAAACATTTCAAATTAATTTAATTTTACAATGAAATCAGTCCAAAAACCCGAGCTTATTTATTCGGCAAGTTATCTAGAATTATAGTTTGAATGCTGACAATTGTACGACTGCATATATGACACACGCGCATCATATGATACTGACTCGCCTTAAGTTCGGCCAGAATTATACCACAAATTATACTCTCGCCTTATGATCAACCAAAAGAATACTGGAACCTAATAACTAAAATATGTACAATATATACGTATAAGTAGTCAGATCATGATCTCTAGTTTGATTACCCATCTCTGTTTTATTACCAAACTTGCTAGTTGACGAGTTATTTGTGTTTTAAAACGCTACCATTCTTTACTAAGCTCCAAAGTGAAATCACAGTATGCTCGAAGTAATGCAAAAGAATATTTACTCGCGCAAGCTTTGGGCTCACTATAATTTACGTAATTGCTTATATTTGTTGAATAACGCATCTTCTCAGTTTAAACACCAGTGTGATCTAACAATTACGATGTACCACTTAGGTCATCAATTAATTTTTACGTATGAGAGACGCTTCCAATAGAGTTACCAGTTCGAAGAATTGATAAAGTATAATACATTAATCATGCTAAGTAATTGTAATTTATGTTGATTCTATTGGCTGCATTAGCCAGTTAACTTGATTTTCTACAAATTCACACAATTCCTTTTCATTGATATCTTTGAAATAATCAAACCTGAGTTTCTTTACACACAATGCCTCTTTGATATGAAGCCACTGTTCGTATTCAAAATCAGTCTCTCTTTCCTCTGTTAGACCGATCTGTTTATTGTACTTTAAGTTGTCATACAATCTAAATTTCATTACTTTATTCTTGGAATCATAGATATCCTCACTGGCCATATAATTCTTTGGATCCAACTTAGGAAAATTGCAGTGTATCGTGAAAAGTGGATTCGAGTTTCGACTATCGAAATGGTTGTTTCGGATACTTTTTAGGGTGTGAATTTGATCTGTTATACTTGTCTCCACAGGTGTTTCCTTCAAAAAAGAGTTTAGTACTAAATCCTGATATAATTGATAATCAATTAGAGGGTTTTTTTGACCCATAGCGACACCTTGAAAATTGTTGGATTTATCAAAGTAACCAAAGGTTAAAATAAACGATTTTAATTGATAGTATGATTCCTTGAACACTTCAGCGGCTGCAACAAACGTGTCTTTGTCCCCTTCTCCTTGATCACCCATCGCAAAGATCTTGTAAAACAATTTTGGTCCATAAATATTGTAATATAGGGCTAATAAAATAGTTCTTCCATGTGATTCTCGATCGATCATTAATTGACCAGATTCAGTAGATAAATCAGGTATAGCTCCTTCTAAATCATGGAAAGGAACAGTCTTGATATCTTCTCCAATTAGGTTGGATTTTGTTTGAGGTGATATTTTGAGTGGGAACCTATCGTATCGTACTCTTTTTAATTCATTAACATCAAGATCAGCTATATCATAGAATACGGGTGATGTTTTTCTCCTCCAATAATCCGGCCAAGTAATCATTTGATACTTATTGTACAACTCGCTTTCAAAAATTGGGTCCGGGTTTGATACTATAATGTTGTCCGAGTCTAATAGCAATACATGATGGAAGGAAGTGACAGCTAAAGCTAACGATTTGAACTGAAATGATTTGAAATTTCGATTTTCCATTACTTCATCCCCTAAAGCTTCTGAAATAACTACGCAAGAAGCTGACATTGCAGGTAAAACTTGCTCACATAATTCTATTTCTTTTTCGTAATCATCCTTTGTTGGCATAATGATTTCAACTGGCAATTCCGATTTTGTCTCTCTCAACGCAACCAAAGCTAAATAGGAAAGCCAGGTAAATCTTCCACCTCCTATTAGGACTGCACCTTTTGAATTTTTTCTATATGTTGCTTCATCTAGTTTTATTGGTAATTCAGAAATATATTTCCTATGACATTGTTGGAGCTCTTTGACAAAAGATTCATCTATCTTTGCCCTTGAATATAATACTTCCTTTGTCTCAGGACCCAGTTTTTGTAATGAATCCTCAAAAATTTGAATTGGATCTGTTGAATATTTTTCCAAATTTATACGATTCTTATCTATCAATTTAAAAATCGAGTTCCAAAATTCATGCGACTTCTCAGAGGTTTTTAATTTAGTCTTTACTTTACCCACTTGCAAGTAGTTTCGTTGGTTATCAGACACTTTATTGGTAATTGATTCATTCGCCGTGCTCAAAATAGATGTATATAATGTTGTGTAAGTAACTAAACCAAAAAGTATCACCAATAGAAACAACTTGAGCTTGTTCCTGGGTAGCCTCTTAAACATCTTTAATAACAAATGATAGTAAGTTTGTATTTGGATGAAATTGAATACAAATCTTTTCAATTTACTATACTATTTGACACTTGAAAAATTATTAAAAAAAAAAAATAAATAAAAAAAAAGAATAAGCTTTTATCTACACAGGGTAGATTTTTATGTAAACTTGAAATTGTACTGGGGCATTTTTTGTTACGCATAAGAAAATAATTGCAATGTCTTACAGTGGAGGTGGTTCAAGAGGCTCTGGTACTTCCGGTCACATTCAAAAGAACTTGACATATAGTTCTGAAAAGTCAACTCATTATAAAAACAGAAAATCGTCCAACGTTAATAGAGAAATCGAAGAAAAGCGTTTGAAAAGCTTGTTAGAAAGAGACGTTCTTAAAAAAAGCTTAATGCATCATAATTCAACTAGAAAAATTGAAATAGAGTGTGCAAGGTTGGAGGAAGAATTAGAAGATTTGTGTTTACCCTCCTCGGAAATCAAGACAAGAATCGATAAGCTACGATCTCAACTAATTAAGAAAAACTCGAAATCCGAAAATGCCAACGGAGTGAGTGATAATTCGAGCTTAGAACAGAATAATCTTAAAAGTGAAAGTCTTTCCAAACAGTTTGATTATAAGCCTAGATATAATGATCGTGGAAATCTAAGGAAATGACCGCATAATTAAACAAGATATACTTTCATTAGGGCTACACAAGCATAGTAAATATTAGTATAATGTGTTGAAATACAACACACCAATGTACTAATGCAAAATAATCGATTTAAAGAATTACGATCAGTCAGTTATTGATAGATTGTTACCCAAGCTCAGCTATTAACAGATAGGAAGTGAATGTTGAGGAAAAGACTAAACAGCAATTCTATTATGGACCTCGTTGACGAACTTCTTGTATGGTAACATATAGAATTTATCTTGAAATATCATGCATGGAGCTTCACCACAAGGGAACATAAATGGTAAATAGTTTTTGTAATTTTGCTATGACAGACACCAATAAATGAAATACTGAGAAAGGACCAAATAGAATAAAGATGATTTATCCTTTGCTTGAGATGAAATCGAATTTTATATATTTAATAAAATTAAAACTGAACTAGATTTAGAATACTATTAAGTCATTTCTCATTTCTTATAGCACTTGCATTGTAAACGAGTCATACTATCTGGTAGTCTTTACATTATTCAAATCAAATAACCTTTTTATACATGATGCACGGATTCTATAACATCAGTAACTCCAGAATCTTCAATCTCACTTTGATCGAAAGCATCATTTTTTCCCATTTCTCCAGTTTGATTCAGTTCTGTTTTGTTCAACTCTGTTTCATTCAGTTCCGTTTCATTCAACTCTGTTTCTTTCAATTCTGTTTCATTCAGTTCTGTTTCATTCAACTCTGTTTCATTGAACTCTGTTTCATTGAACTCTGTTTCATTCAATTCTGTTTCATTCAGTTTTGTTTCATATTTATCTTTTATTTGTACATTTTCATTTGTCAGATTCAAATCTATTTCATGCTTAGCAAAAGCTTCGTCTGCATTATCTTCAGTGTATTTGAGATTATAATATTTTGTATTTTGCCCTTCAAAATTTTGACCTCCAGTTTCGACCCTAACAGGGCTTGATGTAGGACTGTTCAAAACTTCTACTGATTTGTATTTGACTTTATCATCAGCATCAAAATTGGTACCATCCAACTGGTTATCTTCTACACTAACATCGTTTGAATTATTTGAACTATTGTCAGAAATTTTTATACATCTTTTGAAGTGAATGCTAAATAAAGACCCAAACTCTAATTTTCTTCTATTTTCATTTTCCAATTCTGAACCTTGTATTGCTTTTGGTAATCTTTTACCTCTTGGACCTTTGGCTCTTCTAGTTGCTGAAGTATGATTGTTTTCAGATTTGATTTCTTCAGGTCTACCTACTTTTCCTAATGTGTGTAGTTGTTGTGGATTATACATACCAGGTAATGGAATTCCTTGACCTTCAAACTTTTTAAAATGAGATGGTTGTATAGTTTTTGAATTTAATTCTGTTACTTTTTCAGATGATTGGGCTTTATCAATTTGAGGCTGAAATAATTGTTGTTGAAAAGCTGCAATTTTAGATGATAGTTTTTTTGGTTTTGGAGGTGGTGGTTTAGACTTTTCAGTATTAGATTCACTCGATTTCATTGGTCTAACTGGTATAGTCGGAGATGCAGAATTATTTAATTCTGGGCTTGAACTGTCAGAGTTATCATTAAGTTTCGATTGTCGAAAAGAGACATTTGACGGTGGCTTTTCAACACTATATGACTTTGATTGATTTGACAGTTCAGAATTCTTTTTTGTCTTTAATGGACGAGCTGGTATTTTGGGGATTTTTGAATCGGAATTTTGAAAATTGACTATGTTTTCTGATTCGCTATTAGCTGATGTATAATTCTCTTCGTGATTTGTAGCTTTTTCGTTTTTATCAATTGGATCAACAGCTAAACTTGCAATATACCCTTGATTGTTAGTTTGATCATATTCTGTATTGTCAATTGTATCCTTATTTCTAGTAGTAAGACTTATACCATCAAAATTTTTCTTGATATGCAATTCGTCATTTATGTTATCCTGTTCATTGTATGACTCAGTTAATTTACTATTTGAATTATAATCATCATTTTGATTCGTAATATCGACAGGCACTGGCCTTTCAGCATTATCAACATCCATTTCATTAGCTCTATTTCCAATTTCAAAATCTTCTTTTTCTTGTAATACGGTTTCCATATCATCATTAAAACTTGATTCATCGTTACCTTCAAGTTCTTCATTTATTTCATCTTTAAACGAAACTTTCGTGTTTGAGTTGCCTGGAGTTTTATCACCATCTTCAAAAATCTGATCATCAATTTGTGAGTTTAACATACCATCTAAATCTGACAATGACCCATCAGTCAACGTATTGATTTGGCTCCCCCCAGTTTTTGACTCATTAGAAAACCCCGCTTGTTTTATATCTTCATGAAATTCATTAGTTGGTTTATTATTAAGATCATCCTGTTCTTTTAATAATTGTGAAGATTCATTTGAGTTAACATGATCAAAAGATTCCGAGCTTTGCTTTTTTTTATCTTTTGGCCTTGGCGGAATAATTGGGATTGAATTGGAAGAATTATTGACAGAATCATCAGAATTTGATTGAGAAGATAAATCTGACATTATTAATATTCAAATTTAATATCAAATGAATAAAATTAAATTCGGGTTTAAATTTTATCAACTCAATTTGAATTTGTTTAGTTTTTTTATCAACAGATAATAAAAATGGTAGCAGTCGATTTCTTTTTAACCTAGGTTTCATAATATTTAACTAGTATTGATTCAGCACTAAATGATGCTACACTTTATACTTTACGGGTGGTTTGATGTATTTACTAAGTAGTTTTATATTAAAAATTGTATCTAGTTGATTATCCCTTGAGAAGAATTTCAATTTTAAAGTTGAATAAACGCATAATTTAGAACATTATTGAGAGACTTTGTATTTAAGCTTTTACTTTCTATTTTCATCCTTATTAAATTAATAACCTTACATGTATTAAATTAAATTTAAATTTATGAATAATTTAATCTAAATATATCATTAAATACATAATATGAACTACCTTCTGGAATCAAATGAAAAACTTGTGAATAACGTTGAGCATTTTGTTCTTCATCAATTAATAATTCTCCTGTGACCATGACTAAAATATCACCACTTGGTGAAGCAGGCTGAGCATCTAAAGTTGAAATTCTATGAGCTACTTTTTGAAATGGTAATGAGCTTAATTTTTCAACAATATCTCTAGCACCTTGTAATTGTGACGTTTCAAATGTTAACATAGATTCATTTCTGTATAAATTTCCCAATTGAGATCTATCGTTATCAAATTGATTGTAATAAAATTTACAAAATTCAGTAGCAACAGCGTTGAAATCAACTACCAATTGTTAGTATTTAACATAAACAAAGCTTGAACGTAGACTTTTTCACTGAATAGAACCACATACCAGACATTATATTTTAATTGAAATGATAGTTATCAAAACAATTGATTGATTTTATTAATTGATCAATTTTTTTTTTTATTTATTTTTTTTTTTTTTTAATTTTTTTTTTGGTTGAAAAAAAATGAGAAGAGCCACTACCAAACAAAACGAATGAATTCATGTAATCAATCTAAACATTTATTTATTCCATATATATATATATATACATATATATATATATAATATACGTTTATACTAATTGTGAATAATCTTTTAATATACCTTTCATGTGTGTATTGGTGATCTTTCCTCTTCTTGCTTTCTTTTGCTTTTTTTCTTTCTTTTGTGGTTTCTTCTTTAATAAATTTGGATCTGCACCAGTTGGTTTTAAACCTTGATCCAATAATGATTGATATAACATATCTGGTTCCGGTAATTTAACATTGGACCACATATTTGTAAATTCATCATCTATAAAACCAACTTCTCCTCCTGAATTTGCCCATATTAATCTTGGTGCATTTTCTTTTTTATTTCTTAAAACTAATATTTTATTTTCAGACTCTAATTCATCTATAGCTTGTAAACAACCTGCCCAACCATCTTTTAATTCTTTTACTGAAATTCCTTTAAATGTAGTTTGTTTTCTTAAAAATTCCAATAAATCGTCTGCCGTACGTATATTGTGTAATGAAACATATTCTAATGTCTTGTGAGTTTCATCATACCTAACTCTATCAATTTCTTTTAATAAAGGTAACAAATTATGCCTTATATCAAATGATAAATAATCCAGTAGTCTTTGTACATTAATTGGTTGATCTTGTTCTTTTATATATTCGACAGCTAGATGTAATTGAGTTGATAAATGAGATCCTGAAATTTGACTCGATGAATTAACTTGACGTTTGAAAATTTCCGCAACTGTATCCTTTGCAGGTCTTTTTGACCCAGAAGTATATGCATCATTTGAAGAACTTAGATTGCTTTTATCAGCTTGATAAGTATTACTTTGATTATTGTTATTATTACTTGAATCAATAGATGAAGTTGTATTGATTGGTGATGTTGGTTTAGGTGGAACGGCTTTTCTAGCAACTGCTACTGAAGGTCCACTTTTAATTTTATTTTTGAAAGCGGATAACTGAGCAGATAAATCAGACATAATTAAATGTTAATTTGATAATTTATTGATAAGTATATGTGATATTATAATAGTTTGATATAAAAAAGATATGATTATTAGAATCAAAATTATATTTTTTCACCATGCGCTAACAAAAAAAGTATTGTTTGAAAACCTGATTATTATCTATAAAATTAAATAGCGGATATAAGTTACTGTTTCTCAAATCTGATTGAATGTAATTTGATTGATGATAATCTTAGAACTATATCTTTTACTTTAAACAACTTCTTTTCTAACAACAAATGTGTGATTTCTCAGAATAATATAGCTTTTAATATTGGAATACATTCAAATATGTCAAATTTTAGTTGATCGTGTAATCATCAATTTCAATAACAATCGAATATAAAAACTATAAAAATTTTCTTCTTTTTCTTCCTTTTCTTTTGTTTTTTATTAAGATCCTTTAAACAACATTTTAATCAATTTAATATTAGCATTAACAATTGAGCTAATTAGATTTTAATGGTATTGTTTAAATTATCGAGATAAATTATTATTGTCCATTTATTAGAGAAGTCTTTTGAATGGTTCCCAGCTTTAAAACCATCGCTTTTGGAGGTCGCTTATATCAAGCTTGTACCCATGAAAGAGTGATGACCGAACGTCTGGAACATATGTCATAGTTATATATATTCAAATCATGCTAAATAATTTTCTCCAATTCTGCCTCTTCTTTGTCTTTCTCGTCTCATAAATTCTTCAAATGGTTGATTAATTTCATTCTTGATAATTTTATTTGCCAATTTACAACCTTCAAAAGTATTTAAATCAATTCTTTTTGCCCATTGTAAATTTTTATACATTCCTGAATCGGTAAAATCTATGATCAAATCTTGTTTATAAATTATTGGATGTTCATGCTTCTTTTTATTTTCTACTTCTTCTTCTTCTTCATCTTCAGATTCAGATTCTTGATCAATATATGAAAAAACATCATTATCATAGAATCCATAAGTTTTTAAATCATTCGATCTTCTAGTTAATAATTTTTTTAAAAAATTTTCTATCAATGTACGATTTAACCAAATCATTGAAGATAAATTAATATATTTTAAATTTCCTGCAATATCAGCATTTAATGGATTTAAATTAAGATAAACTTTACTATTATAATACATTAATCTTTTGCCATGAATTTTTATTATAGTGGATAAAATTTCTTCTTCATTGATTTTCTTCAAATAAAGATTATTAATAGATTTTAAATTCAAATCTGAAAGATAAACTTTACCATCTCCTTTATTCAAATAAGAAATATCAGCAATTGTTGGAGGTAAAGGTGGTAATAAACTATTATACTTTCTAATTGGTTTTGAAAATGTAGCTACTGAATAAATTGATGAAGTTGTTGATGAAGTTGATTGATTTGATTTAAAAAAATTATTAGTCATAAAATGATTTCCATGAGTAAAATTGAATAAACTACTACCATGATTTGTTACATGATTATTACTTGAATCATCATTATTTAATCTCATAATATTATCAATCTTATAAATTAAATCTTTAGAATAATTATTCATTAAATCAAAATTTTGATACTTATTAATCGTTGATCTTGAAACTTCATAATCTATTGATAACGATAAATTACCTAAATTCAAACTAATAATATTTGGACATAAATTCATTAAATGTAAAACATAACCAATTGGAACATCCTTTGAAGTTGAATAATTTAATAAAAATTTGTTAATCAATGGATGTGGAGAAACATTTCTACTCAATACAGATGAAGTTTGATTATTATCATTACTTTTCAATTTTAAATATTCCAATCTTGGAGATTTTCTTGTATGAGAAGAATTACTAAAAGATCTACTTCTCTTTTTAGTCTTGAAATACTTAAATGGTTTAGTGAATTTCTTGGAAGTTGATGATGACGATTTATGAGATGTTACAGATTTTGAAGATCCAATCAGATATTGTGAATTTGATGAAGTTTTAGTTAAAATTGTAGACGGATAAGGATGTATGGTATATAAAGGATTGTTTTTAAATTTCCAATCTCTCCATCCAGCATAAATTTTAGATTGTGAAATTGAATCAATTTTAACTTGAGTATTTAGTAAATTATGAATTTCATTATTTAGATTTTCATCTAAATTTTCATTATTATTTTCATCGTGATTATCATCTTCAATATCTTCTAGATTATTATTTTGATTATTATTTTGCTCCTCTTCATCCTCGTCATAACCTGGTTTTAAATTTGATAAATCAATGGTTTTAACATATTGACCAACATCAGAATTTAAACGTAAATACGTTATAAACTGTGCAAACCTATAAGTTGAATTAAATTGTAGATTCTCATAATAGTAGGGTTTTGCTAAAACATAAAATAATTGACATGTATATAAACAACTTTTATAATCATTTTTAGAATCAACTAAAGACATAATATAATCTAAAATTTCAATAGGTAAATTCTTCAAATGTAATTTCACTGGTGGTGATTGTTGTTGTATAGCTGATTGAAAAATAGTTGTTGATGATTTTTTAAGAACTTTACTTGACGAGTGTTGAGTTGATGAAGTAGTTACATTTGATGAGGCTGAATTAGGAATAGGAGTAGTTGTACATAATGAAGAAATTGAATTTGTTGTGATTGCATCAAAATTAGTATTTGTAGAACCATTTGTTGGCGCGGAAGGTAAATTAGTATTTGATAATAAATTACTATTACTAATTCTTAAGGATATTGAACGACCAACATCACTCAATAGTGATTTATATTTCATTTTAAATCCATTGGAATTATTTGAATTATTTTGATCATTATTATTAACATTATTCTTCTTATTACGAAATAATGATTGTAATCGATTTAAATCATTTTGGCTTAAAGGAATCAATGTATGAGTTTTATAATCATATCTTGCATTTGGATTTAATAATGATCTATAAGGTGGTAAATGATTATGATAATCAATTGACTCACTAAACATACAAAAAATGAAAAACTTATAAATTTAAATTGAAACGGTTTTTTTCCTCGATATTATCCTTTATTTATAAATGAATTAATAAAATATTATTATAATTAACTCCGAATTTAAGTTTTGATGCACTTTAATGTAATTTCTAATTTGATTGACAAGAATTTTTTGATAAATCAAATTATTAAAAGTGATAAAGATTTAGAATGAAAACGTGAAGAATTGAAATAAATAAATAACTGAAAAACCAAATGAAAATAAAATGAAAATAAAATGCTTGTAAGTTATCAAGTAATAAATTTTATCAATGACAAATTGTTGGTGAAGTAATAATTTTATTAAATCAAGTTGTTTGATCTCCCCCTGTTAATAAAATAAGTATTGAAACACTTGAAAACTATGACAAATTTTTGATGATATATAGTAATTATTCAATTTGAACTGGATTATATAAATAACAAATGATAATTTGGTTGTAAATTTGAATTAAAAGTATTGATGTTTTAATTTATATAAATTTAGTAAAAAATAGGAGGAGAGCATAAAATCAATTTATATAAAATAAAAAAAAAAAAAAAAAAAAAAGTAAGAATTTAATTGCGACGAGTTTATTTTCTTTATACTTTTACTTATAAACAAAGGGATGAAGAACTATTAAGACTAATTACTCATCAGTATAAGCATCATGGGTAGATATATAAGGTTTACTCACTTTTTCTGTGTTTTAGATGATTTATTCTTCATATTTAAAGTAATACCAATTTAATTGGTAGCGACCGAGCAAATAATTTATTTTTAGACGATAAGATAAACATCACAATATAATTCAGGGCGGTACACGCCCCATTATATATAATGGATCTTTTTTTCTTATTTTAATCTCGAACAACATCAATTTTTAGTAATAATAAGCCTCGCTACTTATTTAGGATATTTAATTGATAAAACGAATTAATTACATAAGCAAATAAAAAAAAAAAACTAAGCCGAATCATCATACACAACGTTACAAATGATTGTTTTTGGCTATTTTGTAGATTAAAATAATTGCTGTCAAAAGGTGTCAAATGAAACTGAAACTGAAACTGAAACTGAGACTGTTTCATTTATTATTTAAAATATCTCATTGTAAGACATAACTTGTCTAATTAGTCTATTAAAAGAAATCAAAATAAAGCAAATTCTGAGATTGAATACTCTAGAATTTTTTTGTGATATAGAAATCTCGAGATTTTTGTGCTTAATACGGAAAACCTTTTTAGATATACTTTTCTTGTTTTTTTAGAATTTCGGTGAAATTTTAACTAAATTATTAAAATTTTGATTCAAAATCAAAGCAAAGTGATTTTATTCAAGAGTAAGAGTTGTGATGTGTCATTTGCTTGTTTATTCGATGAAACTGAAATGGGTTGTCTCAGAATTAGGAATTGAAATTTCGTTTCACGAAATTTGTTGCTAAAAATAGATATAAAATAAATACCGCTTAACTAGAAAAAAGAAATTTTCAGTACCTTTAAAACAAACAATTATTAATTCTGGTTTGTTTCTTAAGCAAACTTCTGCTTAGAATCAAGTCTTATTGACTGGTATATTACTAATCAGTTGCTTTTCGGCTATGTAAAGGTTTCATTAAAAATTATCGAGGAACACAAATTAGCCAAATATTCTTTAAAGAGGGACCTTGAGTTTAAGTTATCTACTAGCCAAATATTCTTTAAAGAGGGACCTTGAGTTTAAGTTATCTATGACTTAAAAGCTCTTAAATTTGTATGACTGATGAGTTCTTATTGAATAAGCAATTAACCAGTTTGCTACGATGTCGATTCTTTTTTGAGATGATGCATTATAAGTTCTTTTTCTTCACAATCAAGCTTAATGTTTAATCAGATCCTTAGGTTTCATTCCTAAGAATATGGAATTAATTAGATTGAAAAAGACGGTCAAGCACTTCTTTGTCGAAAGTACTTAAGGTATATATAAGCCGATCTTTAATTTACTAAATTCAATTTATAGAGTAATGCCCTTAAGAACTCGGTTTGTAATATATTAAAACATCATTATTTAATTTATTAAATTCAATTTATAGAGTAATGCCCTTAAGAACTCAGTTTGTGATATATTAAAACATCATTATTTAATCTATTATCTTTTTTTTGTATACGCGATTAGTCTTCAGTATCCTGCTTTGACTCTTAAAAGTCTATATTTTGAAAATTTGTACAAAGTTTTTAACAAACTTTGAAAATACGTTAAACTAAACCAATCTTAAAGTTAAAACTTAAATATATATGTAAGGTTCATTAATATATATTAACTTTAAAGTATTAAGCGAAAATAATTGAAATATTTAGAAATTATATGAATTAAAGTTTTAAGTTTAGTTAGCGAAACTTTAAAGAATCAAGTCTTACAGAAGAAGAATATCGAGCAGAGAGGTGTTTTATTAGTATTTGATTTATGACTAGTGAATTGTTGTTTGAATTTCAGATTGGTTACTATATTCTATGATGTAATTGAAATTATTGTAAATCTTTTCTTGAAATTTCAAACGAACCCAAGTACAAGAAATATATCGATATTGAGATCATTTGATTGGCGAATTAATGATTTTTATAAGATTGGAGTATAAGTTATATTCTTTTTTATATAAAAAACTTTCCATTTAAATGGAAGTTAAAATCTTAAGTTTTTTAGATAGAATTGAAAGTATAGAATAAAGTACTTTTGACTATCTAACACAAAGTTTAATTCTTTTTAGATTTAAAGATTAACCATTTTACAGTTCGATACGCAGAAGAGTTTAAACTTTTATTAGACATGAAAAATCACAATCGATGTTAAATTATTGCCTTCAACAGGAATGACGTGGTCTGTAAGTCTGTAGAATGAGATGATATCAATTAACATTAATAATCGTTACAAAAGAGCAGTTTGTATTGTTCTTTGTTGAATGTTGAATGTTGAATGTTGTTGTTACCTATTTTTTTTTTTTATATACAATGCAGATGCAATTACATAGTATAGTATACATTTTTTCGAGTTGATGGAACCAACTGTTAAAAAGTTCCCGTTACACAAATTGAAATTCAACGAGATGAACTATTGATTAATTCTTTAAGCGGATTCGATTCTAACAAGATATGGAAAATGAATTCGAACCAGAGTAGAGTCTGGTATACTAATAATCATATTTAGTTAATGAAGAAAAGGAAAGAAAAGTCCAAAGTCTAATACTGTAAGTGCTTAGCTTTTGACCTTAATCTCAGTGATATTAGCTTTTGACCTTAATCTCAATGATACTGTTGTATGCAAATTGTATAAATATATATGTATGATTGTATAACTTCAACAAGCCGAAGTATTGATTCGAGATTAATTAAATTGCATATAATAAAAATTTAAACTAAAACTAAAATTAAAATTATATAGAAAAACTAAACTCTATTTAAACTTTATTCGTTCAGCCTTTCAAGTACTTCATCATCTCAATTACTACACCATAGACTATAAGAAAACAGAGCAACTGAAATCACATCAAATCACATCGTTACAATATGAGATGATTGTTTTAAATGAAAATTCAATTTGTTCAAAGTCGCATCATCTCATCATCTCATAACAACATTATTTGGGTTTTTGTTGCAAAATTGACAATAGATTTCTACGAAATAAAAAAAAATCACAGTACATTTTAAGATAATATTTAGAAAAACTGCGGAGTACACGATTTGAAAACCACATTTATTCTTCTTGATCTATTAAAGTTATTCAATTCTTCTTGAAGAAATAAACGAAGCCCAATTTATCAAACATAATTAATAGTTTATTTTTTCATTTTTTCTTTACAATCGTAAAAAAATCATAAAACTTCAAAATCATTTTATTATTCGACACGAAATTAAAATTATCATGACATAAAACACGAATATTATTTATCAATACCATGTCCTGTATATAAGGATTAGCAATCATGCATTTCAACCTGATTTAAACTTTTTTAAATCGATTTGCAATTTTGTGTATATTAAACAAATTAAACTTTTCTTTTAAATTTATTCTTTTATGAAAACAGATAATAATATATGTTAAGCCATCTCTATGTTATTCCAACCAATAGAATCGTAATCTGACAATAAAAGAAGGAAAGAAAAACTAGTATATCTAGCTTTGATTCATCGATAAATATCATTACTGTCCTTTGGATCTCCGAACTTACATATCATAGATCTAAATTATGTTAAATGAGATATCTGAAACAAATAATACGATACTAACCTAATTCAATCATATTCTAAAACATTCTTTAATTGATCGCATTGCATACAAAGTTAGTTTGAATGTCTCACTATTAAAAAACTTAATGCTCACGAACCATTGGTCAACTTGATTCATAAATTAAAGCAATCAAAAATGAGAGAGACGATCAATATATAAATTAAACTTTAAGGTTTGTTAGATTTATCACAAAATTACACGTTTTGCATTAAAAGCTTAAATATTACACGCCGAGCTTTAAATAATTCTTAAAATTACACGATAAAAAAAAAAAAAAAAAAAAAGGAATAACCAAAATTACACGCCTACCTACTTAATTATATGATAATACCACATGCATAAAAACATAATAAACATACATATAATAATTGAAATCATACATACACGCACTAGAATACATTATTGATAGATTAGTTCAAGTGATTCTAGTATTGATACCAAACTAAAATCAATTATCAATGTGGGCACTTAATAATTTTTTTTTCTGTTTCAGAATTGTTTCAGAATCAAAAAAACGTGATAAATAGTCAATAACATCAAATCATAGTAGTAATCATGTAAGATTTCTTAAATATAAATAGATAAAAATAACACAAAAACTAAAATATAAATATAAATAAAAATAAAAATAAAAATATAAAAGTATATAAAAAAAAAAAAAAAAAACGAAATAAATATTTTTGGTCTGCGGTTATAAATTAAATATTAAATAAAATAGATACACATAATAAATAATATTCACTTAATAGTTAAATTAGTTATTGAGATTTAAGGTTTTTCTTTATTAATATTTGTTATTTTTTTATTTTCATTTGTTTGTATCAATCACAATTTTTTCTTTTATTAACAATTACAATTTGACTGATACAAAGAGAATATAACGCATTTGAAATCATATAGTATTATTCAATTAATATTGCTGTTACTCATTACAGGGTTTGACTTGTATTCATCAAATTTAAGTATATCCACAATCACTATTCATTAGTTTCTAATTATTTGTTAAGAAAATTTCAATTTATTGCAACATCGATTGTTTGTTTATATTTAATAATAGTTCCATCAAGTACAATAATAATTTAATAATAATAATAATAATAATAAATAGTGATTAATTATATCAAGACCAATTCAATTATTTGTTAAGAAATATTATTTTTTATTATTATTTATCATTCAATTACTATAATTAGTTACTACGACTATTACAACCAGTGAATATTATATCAGTTTAACACAGTAAAAATCTATTATTTATCACGGTATAATAGTTGATTAGTATTGATTCACTAGTTAAATAATATTCGGGGAGAAAACATATTACATTCTATTTTTTATTCAATTCAATAATATAGTTACAAATCATTACATCTTAATTAATCAGGGTTTTCTTTCAATTCAGTTCAAAAGATTTTTAAATTATTTAAGTAAATTGGGTTTTCCAACTTTAAATTTCTTCATAAAACTTTTTAATTCAATTACTTTGTTGGCAAATTTCCAGAATTTTTGATAATTTTTTAAAGTTTAATAATTTTCCTATTTTAAGTTTACAGACTTTAAGTTTAAATCAACAACTTCTTTACTCCTGATTAAAGTTTAAGCTTTTACAGTAATTTTAGTGTTTTTGCAATAAATACTAAATTTTAATCGAAATCTTTGCAATACTTAAAGTTTCATCAATTCCATTTATTTATAATTTAACTCAGGTGATTCAAAGTTTAATTCACTTATCTTTTTTTTAAATTCATCCAATTTTATTCGATTTTATACAAATTTTTCAAACACAAGTTTTAATTGAAAATAAATTGGTCTCCTCAATTTTAATAAATTCACTTCAATTCATATCAATAGTTCAATTTAATACAAATTTACTTTGTTTTCATCAATTCAATTTTTTTATATATCCTTTCATTTCAGATTTAATGTTTTAATAATTCATACTTTTAAATTTAATTTTGATTTTTGATTTAAAATAACTTTATAATTTATTAATTTATCAATTTATATATATTTATACAAAGAAATTGTTATATAATTATGTCAAACTTAACAAATAATAATAACTCAACTCCAATATCATCACCATCAACTTTGAATTCCAAAAAATTAACTCCATCCTATTATGGTTATGTGGGGTCAACAAAAGATGCTTTATTAATTATTCAACAAATATTAAATAAACAACTTCATTTAATTCCCAGAAGACCTCATGAACGTGAAAGGTCAAGTTTAATTAAATCAGGTAATGTGTTTGTTTTCATTGAAGAGAACTCTGGTATAAAACGTTGGACTGATGGTATTGCATGGTCTCCTTCAAGAATTTTAGGTTGTTTTTTAGTTTATCGTGAATTAGATAAACAATCATTAAATGAAAAAGATGATCATAAAAAGAAGAAAAAGAGAAAAGTTAGTATAACAAAAGAATCAATTGATACTAGTAATGATGATGATGATCATATTAATAATAATAATAGAATAACTAGTAATTTGACATCAAATAATAACAATATTATACCTCCTGCACAAAATGTAATTACACAAGATTCAAATTCAAATTTATTAACATCCAATACATCAACATTACTAAATAATAATTCATCATCATCATCCACGACCAACACATCTACGTCAACTTTGATTCCACCAAATACCATACCTGCTTCAAATTCTTATTCAAGTTCAGATTGTAATAAAAATTTATTAAGTGGTCCATTGGTGACATCTTATGTTTTTAAAGATCAAGGTTTAATTAAAAAAACTTTATCAGTTACTACAACTACAAAAGATTTACATTTGGAAAATAAATATGATAAACAAACCGTTCATTTAATTAGTTATTATAATGCAGAAGATGTTATGAATGGTAAATTACAACGTCCATCAGAAGGTGATTTGAAAAACATTCAGATTTCACCAAGTTTATGGAATGCTGTTAAAGATAGTTCATTGGGTGGCAAAATACCAATTGAAGATGAAGCTTTTTACTTTTTGGATGGTAATTATCAATTACAAAATATGTCATTATTACAATCAAATCAAGCTCAACCACCACAACCAACACAACAACCACCACAACAACCACAGCCACAACCACAAACAATTAGTTATCCAAACAAATATCAAAACAATACACCAGCTTCACTGCAACATGGTTATGTTTTACCAATACCTAATAATCATCAACAACCACAAGATTTATCTCTCAAAAGAGATGATGATTCAAATCAAGAACTAACATTTAACAATCCATTTACTGGAACTCAATTGCCAAATTCTGCACCTGGTTATTTACCATCAAGTTCATCTCATCAAAATCCGTCAATCACAAGTCAATATTTACCACAATCCCAGCCTCAACAATATAATCAATATATCCAATCAAGTTTAATACCACCTCAAGTCAATCAATCATCAGAAGCAGCTTATCAGTCACATTATCCTCATTATCCTTCTCAGTATCAATATCCATATCCACAATACCATTATAATTCAACATCATTACCTTCATCACAAGATCAACAATATGCATTGAGCAATAATAATAATAGTGGATCAATTTCTTCAATCAATAGTACAATTTATCACTCAAATAGTTCTGGTCAGAATAGTTTAACTACTGTACCAACAATTAGCTCAACAAATTCAATTAATACAAATAATAATAATAATAATAATAATAATAATAATAATAATAATAATAATGGTAGAAAATTAACTTTGAACAGAAGTTCAATATCATCCAATCCAACTTCAACAACAACAATTGGTGGTGGCGGAAATTGGTATGCTCCAAATTCAACAAGTGGTTATAATAATTCCGATTATGAACATATTCAACAACAACCTCATATTCCGCCTCACCCTACAAATTTTCAACATCATCACCATTATAATCCTACAAATCAATCAAATACAAATGATGAGAATATATACTAATTTTTACTCTCTACGTTGTTTTCTATCGTAAAATAATATCTTACTTTTTTGGTGCAAGTTTTATCAAAATATTTTAAATTCCAATTACGACGCAATGTATGCTTCAGCTCAGACGTTAACCTAGTAACTAAATTCCAAGATTTCATTCCAATTTAACAATCTCTATAGTGTAAGAACTGTAAAATACGCAAGATTCACAAAATCTATTACACGCAAAAAAGAATCTGAGAAGTGCGATTAAATAAAAAAACAGTATACTGAAAACGCGAAAGTTAGAAGTGACACAAAAACCAACCAAAAAACACCCCAGTTGTAACATGTCGTAAATAAGTCTAGCATACTGATTTTTTTCTTAAACTATAGCGTTTATGGTATCATTCAAACGGGAAAATTTCAATGAATTCTGATACGATGGTTTTAAATTGACTGATCTTGAATTTTTTATAATAGTAAAAATATTTTGGGATTTTTACTAATTTGAACGTCCTGGTTCGAAATTGGCAATACGTATATGAGTATGATTTCTTATAATATATATATATCGGGCTTTTCATTGGTTTGTCGTTGTTTTGTAAAAAGTGTTTCGTTTATATTCAAGGCCTATACAGAAATGTTTTTGCATACAAATTTTTTACTAACACGTTCTTTTTGAATCGCCCGAGAGTATTACCATTGTAATCTTTGGATCATTTGATTCTAAACTTGTTGTTATTTTTGCAAGAGAATGTGTTGTTATCGAGTTATTCGAGTTCAAACATTTTCATATTTGTGATAATTCAATTGAATGAGATTAAACTATATATGAAATAGCTAAACATTCAAAAAATTGTTGACTTGTGTGTTTTTGAGGCTATCATACGTAATGCCAAACCAAAGCCAGAAAACTTGATTGTTTATTGTTTGCTACTTTGCTTAAGTTGTTTTATACAATAATTTTGATGTTCAAAACTGGTCAATAACGTTTGAAGCCTAAGATATGGATACAAACGAGTTATTGAATGGTACTTCTGCAACAATATTGTATAAGATTCAGTCGGTTTTGAGTGCTCAATTTGATAGCTTTCTCAAATTTTAACTCAAATAGGTGATGTAAAGTTTCAATTTTAAAAGTAGAATAACTTTATAAAAATATTACCTCTACTTACACAAGCAACCCCATTGGATTCAGAACACTCCCGAGAGTTATTAAATGCAGTTTTTATCAGTACGCTTGGACTATCCGGACGTGAATGTTCTTAAGAATAACAAAAAACCAAACTAATTGAATTTACTTTACTGTAAACTTTTATTACTATATCGTAATCGCATAGAATACAGTAGAACTAAAGGTTACGAATACCCGATTTTTTGATTATTAGATAGTGCGTTGCAGCAGTAAGATACAATTTAAATAAAAGTTGCAAAAAGAAAAGTTGTCAATTTGTGGAATTGTTTTTGTGTAACAAAAATTGGTTTTGCTGATGGTCCAAAGTTGAATAATTGAATTGGGAAATGGGGCTTGTAAAATATAAAAAGTGCAAATATCTCACGAACTAGCAGGTTTAGCAAAGATCTAACGATATATTAATAAACTATAGCTCATGAATTACATAATAATGCTTAGTTTGGGATGATAACTTGATTTTTGAAGAAAACAAAGTTGCAAAACCAGCTGTATTTCATGATGGATTGATGCAATCACATGATAAAGCCTCGGACTGGGTGAATGAAGGCTAAATACTGATTGAGTAATGGAGTCTACTTAAATTTAGTAATAATTTGTTCAAAAATGTACCTATTTGCAAGTGTAATTAGGAATTTTAAGCTGACATATACCCCTTAGCAGCACGTGCTTGTTATTACAGGCTATGCGGTACATTTATGTATATCTGCTTGTGTTATAGTATAATATGTATTCAAGTTTTATACATGGTGGACATCGCTACCTAGTGTATCAATTAACAAAAATTTAGGATTTTCAATGTAAAGTTTTTGATCGCAAAAATCAACGAAATGATACTTAATAGCACTTACTTGTTATTACAGAATAAATGGTACGTTTTCGAATATCTATTTTACTTATACTCAAATGTGTATATGATATGATGTCTGATCGTTGGGAGCGAGAAAAAAAAATTTCGCTCTAGCCTTGAGTCGACCTCGTATTGCGTATATTGGCTTTTATCTCGTGAAAAATGTCTCTTCACTATGAAGAAAATTGAATAAATTGACTTTACAAAAAACTAATTCCACAATTTAAATTGTAATGAGAATATAATAAATTTTTCCATTTTAGTATATCCCTCACGTAGATAATTGTTAGGATTAATTATGAGAAGGCGTTCTAAACTGGAGAAGTAATTTTTTGAAAGTGGTTGGAAAATTTTGAAAAAATTTCAAAATGATTTTGACTTCTTGAGAACATTGTACATACGATTTTTGAGATAAATTGAACCAAATCAGCTATCCAGAAGTCTCTAGATGAGGTCTAAGTGCTGTTTGTCTTGCAAAATTGCGATTTAGCCATTTCTTGATGATTAAAAAAATGATCAAAGTTATGTTCTCTTGTGCATTACCAATTTCTATTTACTCCATCTAAATTGATGTTGCAATGAAAAAAGTTTGACAACTACAACTTGATAATTAAGGAGTTATTTACAATTTGAATTGTACATCAAGCTACACTATTAGCTCAAAGGGTGATTGAATGATTAATCATTGGTATACTATAGATGGTACCTCTTCAATTAGTCATTAGAGGTGATGTATGTACGTACAAAGCTTGTTTACCATTTGTTTATACTCTGTTTTTGTATTTGTGTTTATATTTTAATGGGTAGAAAAAATGTAATTTTCAATGCGATGATTTAGCGCGAAAAATTATTTCTCGTGCTAGCTTTGGAGCCACCTCATAATACATATGTTGCTTTATATATCATGAACAACGTATTTTCCCAAAGTATCTGCCATATAAATCAAATGATGGAGGTTGAATTGTATATACTTGAAAATGAATTACATTAATCTATGACTTACGTTAAGTTAATCGAAACTTTGAAAATTTTAACTCAAGATTTAGAATACTAAAAATTCGAATCTAAACAAAGAGAATATACGAAATGCAAAATCTTAAAGGCGATCTAGGATCAACTATGATGCTAATTATCAAGAAGGCATGTTTTTTATAATATTTATGTACTTGCTTACTGATAATTTCATTGGTCTATCGTTATTGTGTAAAATGTGTAGTGGTATACATAACAAGATGTTAGCAAATGAAGCGGTCGTCCTATCGTCTCCAAAGTAGTATCATTGTAGTCTTTGAGTCTTTCTGGTTCTGAATCTGTTGTTACTTTAGCAAGAGAACCTTTTGTTGTCGAGTTCTTATGTTTCAACTTTTTCGTGTTAATGTCAAATTATGTATCTAAATTCTTTGTCGGTCACTAGCGATACATTTTAATATCATTTTTTCTACTGTAATTGAGCATTAGGAATACGACAGAGCTGTTTTTAACAGATACTATTGCCAGTGTAGTATTTATTAAGCATTTAATACTACAATGTTGATCTGAACACAAACAGAAACGGAAGACATTAGGAGTCTAGTATACGAAACAATGTAAAATTCAAAAGAAAAGATGACCAAGTGTATATATTAAAATACTATATAATTGTAGTAAAAATAGGGTGTCACTGGACTGTTGATTGGTTTCGTTCAATCATAAAAAATAAATTTATGACAAATACATCTAATATCAGCAATAATTTACCAAATGATGCATCAGATTACAATTTGATTAAATGGAATGAACTAGTGATAGACATTTCCGCTTGGAAACCGTGATTCTCGAGATTGATTTGAATTTCGCAAATATGTCATGATTTTAACTATCACCTGCCCTTGAAACTCAATTCAGTCAACTTGCAGCAAACTAAATAAATGTAAACACATTGCATTTATTGACATTGTTGATAAGATACATTTGATTCAAGTCATTTTTGTAATAAAGAAAAGTGATACAAATAGGGAGATTTGTCTTTGTGTAATTTGTCTTGGTTTTGTTACTCCTTATATGCAGGTTAAGTTGAACAACAAAACGCTACCATGTACACCCCTTAATAAATACCGCCTAAAAAGTAAAACTCGAGTTCTGATAGTTTTTCGCATGTTAGAGTCCGATTTAAGGTTGAACTGTTAACATTTATGCTTGTTTTATGTTCTTTTTTTGTTGAAAATTCTTGTTATTGAGGTAGTTGGATTTTAAAATGATAATTTTATTCGAATTCTAATAAAATCCAGTTTGTTGATAGTTGGATTTGGTGTTAAAAAAGTATCCCCATACTCCCATCACATTGGTTTTACTATTTGTAACCATGTTCAAAAACAGTCTGATTTATTGGATCATTTTACCGACTTTGATTTTGCAATTAGTTCCATTTCATCTCTTTTTCTTTTTAATTCTCCCCTAGCAATTCTAGGAGATTTAGGTTGGTCTAGTTGAATGAATGGAGCTTAACTCTCAACAATTTTACGTATTTACAAGCAATTTAGGTGTAGATGTTTTGCGATGTAATGTTAAAGAAATATACAAGAAGTTGAAACAAAGGCAGTATGAATTCCAAAAGTTCACCAAACAATTAAAAGAGAAAGATAAGCTACAATCGGAAATATGTGATCCTTTAACAAACACATAACAACGAATGCAACTAGGTTAAATCTGAATAAAATTATCATGTTCTATCAAACTAATCAATTTAAATTTTTTTTTTTTTTCAGTTATCAGTTGATTTGATCAAGGTTCGAATAAAAAGCACATGAGTCATCTTGATAAAGGCTCTTCAATTGATCCCAATTCAAACAATTTTACAGAATTCATGATTAAAAGAACATATAAAGATGCAATTAATGCTTTAAATTCATTACAATCAAATTTTGCATCAGTTGAAGCATTGAAAAAATTAGGCCCCAGTGTTAATAGAAATGAATTATCAATCAACGAAGTTTATGAATATACTAAAAGATTAGGATATTCACCTTCTGATTTCAATAAATTAAATATTATTCATGTGACTGGTACTAAAGGTAAAGGATCAACTTGTGCTTTTACTGAATCAATATTAAGACAATATCAAGGATCAAATAAACCTATTCATAAAATTGGTTTATATACTTCACCACATTTAAAATCAGTTCGAGAAAGAATAAGAATTAATGGAGAACCAATCAATAAAGAGTTGTTTACGAAATATTTTTTTGAAGTTTGGGATAAATTATCAACTACAAAACTGGATTCAAAAATTTGGCCAACTTTACAACCAAATGAAACTATTAAACCAATGTATTTTAAATATTTGACAATTTTATCATTTCATGTGTTTTTGAAAGAAGGTATAGATACTGCTATTTATGAAGTAGGTGTTGGAGGAACTTATGATTCAACAAATATAATTGAAAAACCAATAGTTACTGGTATTTCAGCATTAGGAATTGATCATACTTTTATGTTGGGAAATACAATCAATAGTATAACTGAAAATAAAACTGGTATTTTTAAGAAAAATTGTCCAGCTTACGTATCTAAACAAGTTGAATATCCTGAATCAGAAGATATTATAAAAGAAAGAGGTAAAGAATTAAAAGTTTCATCACTTGAGTTTGTAAATGATAAATTACCTGAAAATGTTGAGTTGGGATTATCTGGAGATTTTCAAAAGGCAAATGCAGCATTAGCTATAAGATTAGCTTGTACTCAATTGACAAAATTTAATGTTGAAAATCTACTAACATTTGACAAAGAAGGGAATATAATAAATATACCAAAAGAATTTATACAAGGTTTAAAATCTGTTAATTGGCCTGGTAGATGTCAAATTACAAAAGATGGTAAAATAACGTGGTACATTGATGGTGCGCACACGATTGAATCAATTAGTGCTTCTTCAAAATGGTTTAAAGAAGAGCATAGCAAGAATGAAAAGGATAAACGATTGGCATTATTATTCAACCAACAAGGAAGAGAAAATTATAAAGAGTTATTGACCAAATTATATAATGAAGTATCGTTAAAATTTGATGATGTAATTTTCACTCCAAATGTCACTTGGGAATCTGGTGATTATAATTCAGAACTTTTATCAAAGAATACTTCAGAGGATGTAGTTAAAAGATTAGAAATTCAAAATGATTTTAGTAATATTTGGTCACAATTAGACAATAGATCTAAAAGACATGTATTTTCAAGTATAGAGTCAAGTATCAAGTTTCTCAAAGAACAAGATGTTGAAATTGACGTTTTTGTTTGTGGTTCATTACATTTAGTTGGTGGATTTCAAGTTGTTCTTGACAATGATCGAGATTAAATCTATTAAGTCTATATATTTATTACGTAATAATAGAATTGATTCATAATCATGCAGAACTATTATTAACAATATTTTCTCTAGCAGCTTTTACCACTTCATTAATATTATTTAAAGATTCTTTCCACTGTTGTAATGTTGATTTAATATCATTCCAATTTTTTTCATTATCTTCACCAGCTACAATAAATCTATTAACTCTAGTTAAATAAAATTTTTCATCAACTTGATTTAACTTACCTTCAATAACTCCTGATTTTATAGCATCAACTAATAATTCCTCCAATTCAAATGAAGATTCAACATTTGGTATTTCTTTATAATCAAAAGATAATCTTTCATTTGATTCATTTGAAAAATCTTTAGCCAATGCTAATATTTTTGATTTTTTTATTATGAATTGTTTTGGTAAATTAATTGATTCTTTAAAATCACTTTCACTTATAACTTCTCCATGTATATATTTATTGAAAATTTTTGCTAAATCATTTGATGAATTTGATTTTAAACATTCAGCAACATTATTATTGATTAAAAATGAAACATCAACTGTTTTTGAATTCAATGCAAATGTAATTAAATTATTTAATTCTAGATCAGATGTGATTTTATATAAATGGGTGAAATTTTTAATTAAATTTAAAGATTTTTTTGAATAATTTGAATCCAATTGAACAAAATTCCAAAATAATTCTTTAATTTCTTCTTCATTACAATTTGCTTCTTTTAACCATGGAATTAAATTATTTCCAATATTTTTTTCAATTAGATTAAATTCAATTTTTGAAGCTTTGATAACTTTTAAAATTTCTTTCAATATATATATTCTTGTATTTGAATCAGTTGGTAACAAATTAAAAATAGTACTATAAATTGACAAAATTGTAGTTGATTTAATTGATTTTCTATCTTTTAATGATTGTGGTTGAGATGGGGTAACTTTAATTAATTTTTTATAAATTGTTGAATTAAAATCATTCAATACTTGATCACGAGTTGATAATTCTGATAATATATGAATTAATAAATAAAAAGTTGGCTCAAATTCTTTATCTGTTAATTTTTTAAATTTTTCATCATTTGATTCATTATTAATCTTTTCAAATAATTCTTGTTTATTTAGTTCACTATCACTTTGAGGTAAATTTAAACTAGATGAAAATTCATTTGAATTATTTATATTATCAATGACTGAACTATATTCTTTTATAGATCCAATTAAATCATTATCAACAACTATTACTGATGCCATGTTTAGATTTGTTATTAGATTGATCTTTGAAAAATTTTCCAGTGTATTTGAAATATTTTAATATACAGGATTAGATGTATCTTAAAAGTAGACGTGTATTCAAGCACAAATTTATATAGTTATTCATCCTCATCTTCTTCATTAATAACAGGTTCATACGTAGTATTTTTATTTGTTGTTGTTGTAGAATTAGTAGTACCATTATTAAGCCACTCTTCTACTTGTTTTGTATCTTGATATGATTTTGGAAAAACTGTAGTTGGACCATGATTTGAATTATTATATGAAAACATTGATATTGAAATCTTCTTTTGTGGTTTATTACCAAATTTAAAACCAACAGGTGGTGATGGAGCTCTTTGATATGGAAATTTTTCTGATTCATTATTTAAAATACTTGGTAAATTAGATGTTGGATCAATTGGACCATTTTTTTCATTTGCATTTAAATAATCAACTAGTTTTGTAATTGAAGTTTTCTTTTTATTATTATTTGTATTTGCAATCAGCATTGAATAATTTGATGATGAATTAGTTTGAATAGATACATCTGATGAAAGTGCTCTTTTATAACTTGGTCTTTTTTTATGTCGATGATTTATTACATTTGATGATGTTGGAGTCATTCCAGTTGCTGATGGTAATTTTGAATTATCTTGAGAAGTATTAATACTTGATTCATATGCATCATCATCATCGTCATCATCATCCATAGTATCAGTTTCATCCAATATATCTAATTCTGATTCAGATAACATAGTTGACATTTGACTTAATCTACTAAATTGACTAAATTGAGAAATCATTGATGAAGGTCTAGTTCGTGTTAATTTATTATCTGATGATGGTGGTGTAGAAGGCAGCTCTGTACCATTTGGAATTAATAAACGTGAATCTTGAATATTTGTATCATTTGGAATTAATAAACGTGAATCTTGAACATTTGTATCATTTGGACTCAAATTTGTTCTTCTAAAATTTGGTTCAAATAAAATTGTTGATTGTTGATCATTAGTCAGTTTCTTTTCAGATTGTAATTGATTTTGTTCTTGTTCTGGAACACTACGTTTAATTTGTAATTCTAATGGATCAGCAACATCATAATCATTATTGATGTTATTAGTTGTTGCTTTACCATTTGACGTCACATTACTGTGATGAGACGTCGAATCTTCATCATCTATTGTCATTGAGTCAGTATTATATTTAGTTTTCTTCCAAAATTGTAGTTTGTTCAATATCTTACCACTTTTATTATTTCTTCTTGTAAATTCTTTATTAGATGAAGCATTGGATAATCTTCGTTCATCAGGAACAAATGATACAGCTCTCTGCAAAGGTACAGATGAAAGACTAACACCATTTCCATTTATATTTGATTGTGGATTAGAAGATGTAGGTGATATTACTTGTGAACTTTTTCTTGAATGTGATTTTAATGATGAAAATTTAGGTTCGACACTTAATCTATTCGTTGGTGATTTGGGTATATTTTGATTTGGCAATTGTAATGATTGAGGATGATGATCTAATGATTTTCTATTAGTTGTATTACTAGCGTATTTTGTTAAATTTGTTTTACTTGAATTTTTATTTGAAGTTATACTTAAAGTTGAAAAAATTCTTTCTAATGGTTGTGACCCAGTTAAAGAAGGATCAGATGATAATGACAATGCACTTTTAACTCTTTTCTTTGATCTTTTAAGTGAATGTTTAGCTTCATAATATTTTCGTTTCTTTTCTTTTATATACTTTTTCTTCTTCTTTGTGAATTCTTGTGTTAATAACAACTCATAAAAAGCAGTTAATGAATTCATTTCATTATTATAAACACTTTCTTGTAATTCTTCTATATTTAAATCCAATCTTTGAAGTTTTTTAATTAAATCTTTTTCAATCTTTGTACTAAATGGTTGTTTTATAGTATTATAATGTTGATTTATTGATAAAATTGATTCTGAATCATTAACATCATATTGTTTTTTAAATTTTTCCTTTCGTTCTTTTTCCAAATGTTTATTATAAATATCAATTAAAAATGATGAATTTAAAATTTCATTTAAATTAGGTCGAAGATTTGGATCTTTATTTAACATTTTATTAATTAATAAATTAACATCATTAGGTACAATTTCAGCAAATTCAGGATCTATAGTTAATATTTTATTTTTTACAATCATTTCATCATCATCATCAAATGGTAATACACCATAAAGCATAGTATATAAAATTATACCCAATGACCAAATATCAATTTGAAAACCAGAATATTTTGATTGTGAAATTAATTCAGGAGCCATATAAACTGTTGTACCACATATAGTTGATAAAAATTTTCTAGATTGAGGATTAAATTCTCTAATAAAACCAAAATCTGTTAATTTTACAATTGATTTCTTTTGATCAGCTAATAATATATTTTCCAATTTTAAATCTCTATGACTTAAGTTTAATGAATGAACATATTTAACACCTAAAACAATTTGAAAAAATATTGGTTTACATTCAGCCAAAGTTAATCTTTTCTTTTCATAAATATGATAATATAATTCACCGCCTTGACAATATTCCATAACTATCCATAAATGATTTTCAGTTTTAATAACTTCATATAAACTAACTATATTTTTCATTTTTAATTGTTTATGATAATAAATTTCACGAACAATATTTGGATCATCAATTAATCCACATTTTAAAACAACATTAATATTTAAAATTATATGAGTAGCTAAATAAACTTTACCAAATGAACCCTCACCAATTTCTTTAATAATCTTATAATTACCAATTTGATTAATTTTTGGAGATGTTATATTTAAATAAAATTCATTATATTGAGCAGCTAATTTTGCCGTATAATTTTGATCATTGATATATTTGCCATTAATATTGGTCTCATTATTGATATTTGATGGGTTTATAACTCCAGTGCCATTCATAGAAAAAAGTGAAATTCTCTACTTTTTTGATAATTAACAGTTATGAATTAATGTTAATGATGTTGCCAATAATCAATTAAAATGGTTAAACATAAATGTAAATGTAAAAATTTCGAAGCAAGTTTTTAAAACTAGTTTGATTGAATTAAATGTGAATTGTAATGATTATACCGTCCGTTTTTCAAGATATTAATAAATAATAAACCTAATTGTTGATTATCTTCTTGTAATATAGCTGGTTATATAAGTAATATAATTTTCCAAAGTAGTTACAGTAAACACTACCAACTTCTCTTGCATATACAATTTATTAGTAATTTATTATATAATCATTTTTTATCAAACAATGCGATGAATTGAAACCATCAATTAACATTATACACCGGTTTATTCCATTAGACTATGCATTAGAAGATATCACTACACTTAATATTACTATGATACGGCTTAAAAATACAAGAATTATACTAAAACAAAGTTATATGACTATAGGTTTATTATTACAGAAACAACGACTATATACGCATGCATTAATTTTTAATAGAAAATTTGCAACCACTTTCAAACGACTGAATTCATCAATTTCGCATCAACAAATAAGTAATAATTTAATACATTTATCAGATGTAGAAATAGACAGTATTCAAAATTTATTAAACAATCTGCTTGAAAAATTGAAATTTCATCTTGAAAATAAATCTTTAGACCTTTCGTATAATTTATTGAATGAAGCTAGTATTTCAGAAAAATTGGAAGTTTATGAGTCCATTAAGCTTAGATTAAGTGAGGTAATTTATAAAGATTCAAGTGGTTCCATTGAAAATATCACGTTGGTTGATTTTATCAATCCCAATTGGAAAAACATCTTACCATTAGTATATTTATTAGCAAATAACAAATATCCTAAAACTGTACTAGAGCTTAATAATGCCAATTCATCAAGTGATTTATTATCAAAATTTCTCCAATTAATTGCATATAATGAATTTTTAAAAGGAAAGATTGAATCAATTTCCACATCAGACACCACAATAGATCTTTCAAATCCAATACAATGGTTTCCCGAAGCCAGAAAAATGAAACGTAAAATCATCATGCATGTCGGTCCTACAAATTCAGGTAAAACTTATAATTCATTATTAAAATTATCAAAATCAAAAACTGGTTATTATGCTGGACCATTAAGATTATTAGCAAGAGAAATTTATGAAAAATTTAATTTAAAAGGTATTGGTTGTAATTTAATCACTGGTGAAGAAGTTATCCCATCTATAAATAATCAAGGTCAAATATCTGGTATTTCTTCAGGTACTATTGAAATGATTCCATTACATAAAAAAATGGATTTATGTGTAATTGATGAAATTCAAATGATTGCTGATTCAAGTAGAGGTTCAGTTTGGACAAATGCATTATTAGGAGTACAAGCTAAAGAAATTCATTTATGTGGTGAAGAAGGCGCTGTTCCATTTGTTGAAAATTTAGTTAAAACAACTGGTGATGAATTAGAAATTAAACATTTTAAAAGATTAGGGAAATTATCAGTTGAAAAAAAACCAATTGATTTGAGAAATTTAAAAAAAGGTGATTGTTTAGTTGTTTTTTCAAAACGAAGAATTTTAGAATTTAAATGTAAGATTGAACAAGAAACAGATTTAAAAGTTGCAATTATTTATGGTGCATTACCTCCTGAAATTAGAAGTCAAGAAGCTGCAAAATTTAATAATGGTGATTATGATGTTTTGGTTGCTTCTGATGCTATTGGTATGGGATTAAATTTAAAAATTAAGAGAATTGTATTCAGTGGGATTAATAAATTTGATGGAAACGGTATTTCTAATTTATCAGTATCTCAAGTTAAACAAATTGCAGGAAGAGCAGGTAGATTTGATATTGAAACTGGAGCAAGAGAAGGTTTTGTAACTGCATTACAAAGATCGTCACTAGTTTACATTAAAGAATGTTTAAAAGAAGCTAATCCAAAAATTACAAAAGCTTGTCTTTGGCCAATTGAATCAATATGGAGAAAATACATGTCAAATTATTCAACTTCAAAACCATTATCTGACATATTGGAAAAATTTGAACATGATTTTAAAGATCATAAAATGAAAGATTATTTCATATCTGATACTGATAGTAGACTTGAAATTTTAAAATTAATTTCAAATACTAAACAATTAAAAATTATGTCAATTGATGATCAATTAATCCTAAGTGAAAGTCCAATAAATTTAAGATTTGCCAAAAATAATAAAATTTTATTACCTACAGTTGTTAAATTTTTCAAATGTATCGTTGATAGAGATTGCAAATCTGTGTTTGATTTTAAATTTTTAAATCTTGAATTATTATCAAAGAAATCAAATGCAACTGAAAAAGTTAAAAACATATTATTAAATGTTCAAGTGTTGGAAGATATGCATAAATTATTATTATTATTTATGTGGTTGAGTCAAAGATGGCCAACATTCTTTATTGATAAAGAATCATCCATGGAAGTTAAAGCAGTTGTTGAAAAGAGAATTACTGAAGAGTTAACAAATATTAGAAGAATCAATAAACTTCATACAAATAAAACTAAGTTTAGAAAGAGAAGTGGTCGATAGTGGAACCATGAATAAGATTAATAAGATATTATAAACTTTGAATTTCAATCAATTAAAGCACTAGCAGAGATACAAAGTCCAGTCTGCTTGATTTATTATAAATATATTTAGTTGTATAAACAAGAAAAAGATATTGATGATACAATCAAATATCATGATTATCTGCTGCAAGCAAATATACTAGAACAATAGGTAATGCCGCTTAAGATTTTGCTGCCCCTTAAAATATATAGACTACCATATTGTATAGAAAATATAAACATAATATACAGTTATATTGTATAGAAAATATAAACATAATATACAGTTTTGATGCAAAAAGAAAAAAAAACATTTGCAACCAAAATATTTAATTTTTTATGGTAAACAACAACAAAAATTTATAAGAACTCTACCAAATATGATGGCGGCAAGGTCTAAGGGCATATGAATTACTTCGATGATGCCTTAAATTCTGTGGTCAATTAGAAAAAATAATGGTGTTTATTGTATTTCGAAATAATTTATACAATTGTAAAAAAATTATTTAATTCATAAACTGTTATCTATTAAGTATCAAGAATGTATATTATTTAGTATGATTTGGTTAACTTTAATTGATTTTATTTCATTATTGATCTTGTTTCAGAAGTTTGATTTAGTTTGATTTAGTTTTGTCAGTTTTGTTTGATTTAGTTTAGTCTTGTTTGTTTGATTTAGTTTAGTCTTGTTTGATTTAGTTTTGTTTGATTTTAGTTTTGTCTGATTTTAGTTTTGTTTGATTTTAGTTTAGTTTGCTTCAGTTTTGTTTGATTTAGTTTTGTTTGATTTGGATTTGTTTAGTTTTGTTCGATTTAGTTTAGTTTGATTTTATTTGGTTTTATTAGATTTGGTTCGATCAGTTAGGTTTTTGTTTGGTTTTGGTCTCATTTTGTTTGGTTTCGTTTGGTTTCGTTTGATCTTGTTCGATCTTGTTTGATTTTGGTTTGATTGACATTCTTTACACTTCTAATAAAATTCTTATTTTTATTCTCTAATATTAAAGAATAGTTCTAGTTGAATGATGCTATAAAAGCAGTATGAATGGATTAATGCGGTTGCAAAAAGAAGTTATTAGTGTATATGAATTGTTTTAGTAAATACACAATTAGGAGGTAATTGAAGCTACCAAGGAGTGTTTTGATTGGTCAGACCTCTTAATAAAACTCTGCTAATTCACGTATTTTTTAAGTATCTTCCAGTTGTAAACCTTAAAAAATGTCTCAAATTGATTTAATTTAGATTGTATTTGATTCTATAGGGCGTTATAGAATAAATTCATTCGTATACAGCCTCAGAGGTGTTATATCAGAAGAGTTATCATAATTAGAAGAGACATTTCTTGCAATAAACATGCAAATATAGTTCAAAGAATTGTTTCAGACTACTAGACGAGTTTATGTTGAATTAACCACACATGGTCTGAAGTTAATTATGCGTTCACTCTCTTTAACTCAAATCAAATAACTTTTTATTAGGGATATAAAGAAAATTTTCTAGTCGTTTAAATTTACATAGGGTTTATAGAGTCGTGTAAATACCATCATCGTACCTTTTTAAATTTCTTCCTCGTATGCGAGCCCGTCGAAGACTAATTTTTTAAACGAGATTGAAAAAAAATATCGTTTAAATATTCAAGATTATATCCATTTTTTGATATTTATTTATAAATATATTCATTCATTTATTAAATTATGTCAGTTCCTCCAGTTTATATTGTTTCAGTTGCAAGAACTCCTATTGGTTCATTTCAAGGTGGTTTATCATCATTAACTTATTCAGATTTAGGTTCAATTGCCGTTAAAGCAGCGTTAGAAAAAGTTCCTCAAATTAAACCAGAAGATGTTGATGAAATTTTCTTTGGTGGTGTTTTACAAGCAAATGTTGGTCAAGCACCAGCTAGACAAGTTGCTTTAAAGGCAGGTTTAAGTGAATCAATCGTTGCATCTACAATTAATAAAGTTTGTGCTTCAGGTATGAAAGCAACAATTTTAGGAGCTCAAAATATAATTTGTGGTACTAGTGATATAGTTATTGTTGGAGGTGCTGAATCAATGTCAAATACTCCATATTATTTACCATCAGCAAGAACTGGTGCTAGATATGGTGATTCATCAATTGTAGATGGTATTCAAAAAGATGGTTTATTAGATGTTTATGACCAAAAATTAATGGGTGTTGCTGCTGAAAAATGTGCAAAAGAACAAGAATTTTCAAGAGATGAACAAGATGAATTTGCAATAAATTCATATAAAAAAGCACAAGAAGCTGCTTCACAAGGTAAATTCGATTCAGAAATTACACCAGTTACAATTAAAGGTTTTAGAGGTAAACCAGATACAATTGTTTCACAAGATGAAGAAATTAAAAATTTTAATGAATCAAAATTAAAATCAGCAAGAACTGTTTTTCAAAAAGAAAATGGTACAGTTACTGCACCAAATGCATCAAAATTAAATGACGGTGGTGCTGCTTTAATTTTAGTTTCTGAATCAAAATTAAAAGAATTAAATTTAAAACCATTGGCTAAAATTATTGGTTGGGGTGAAGCAGCAAGAACTCCAATTGATTTTACAATTGCACCAGCATTAGCAATTCCAAAAGCTTTAAAACATGCAAAAATTCCACAAGATAAAATTGATTATTTTGAATTAAATGAAGCATTTTCAGTTGTTGGTTTAGCAAATGCCAAAATTTGTAAAATTCCAAATGAAAAATTAAATAAATATGGTGGTGCAGTTGCTTTGGGTCATCCATTAGGTTGTTCAGGTGCAAGAATTATTATAACTTTATTATCAGTTTTGAATCAAGAAGGTGGTAAAATTGGTTGTGCTGGTATTTGTAATGGTGGTGGTGGTGCATCATCAATTGTTATTGAAAGAGTGGATCATGATGATTTTAAATTGTAAAGAATGCCAGGATGCAACATAGTATACAATGTAAGGATGCAATGTAAGTGTTTAATCTAGTATATATATATAATTTTGCTAAGTATTTTGACATATTTTTCGTACCTGCGTATTTACTTTTTCGATGATTTTAGCATAATTCTTTTAATGTCAATTGATTATCTTTGGACAGATGACGAATTAACTCAATTTGAAAGAGAGGCTTTATTTTCAGATACAACATTTACATTTACTATAATTTCAAAAACTATAGATGAATGTTTATTAAAATTGAATGAATTTTTTAAACCTTGGTTAGATGAGTATCCCTGGAATTTAAATAAACCAAAATTCGATAAATTTCAATATGATCAAGAATTTTATTACATATATGGAGAATTGTCTTACCATGATTATTCACAAGATTCAAATTTATTATTAGCTATTTTATTTTTATTTACTAAATTTTATGATTGTTTTATTCATGTTTGGGATAATGAATTAGTTGAGCCTATTTTATTTCATTGTCATGAGATTTTACCTGAGAATTTACAAGATGTAACTACTTCACAGAATAGAATATGGATTCATGATTATAAATGTATAGAAATAAATCAACATACGGACAATTATCTAAATTTAAAAAGAGCAATTTATCAATTATCAAATAATGATTATGGAATAAATACAGACATTACAAATAAGATTATAAAATTTACTCAATTGGATGAATATTTAGGTGACATACATGATTTAAAACTATGTCTTCCTATAAATTTTGCAAAGCTTGTATCCAATGAACCAATGCTCATCTCAAAATGTTTAATTGAATTAGAAGATATTGAACAATTTGAACCTTTATTATATAATGAGAATTTGGTAGATGTGACTGTTCCTGTAAATTCCATGAATTTGGGAGTATTATTAAGTATAACTCATGAAAATCAATTGAATGATTTTAAAAAGAATGCAAGTGAAATTATAATGAATGGTTTAGTTAAATTAAAAAATAAACTTACTGTAAATGAGGTTCCAAATGAGATTAAACGAAATTCGAGGGATAAATTACAGAATATTTTAATAGATCGAGGTTTATTAACACACAATGTTGATGAAAATAAAGAAATATATGATATTATATTAAACAGTCCCAAAGATTCAATACAGAGAGAAGAACAATTAGCAAAACAATTAGAAGCTATATTTGAAGAAGGAACGATTCATTTACAAGAAGTTATTAATGAAGATGATTGGGAAGAAGAAGAAGAAGAAGATGAATTAACAGATGATGAATTAAATTTATTTAGATGGAAATATTATGATACTACATCTGAATGGATACCTAAAAAAGAAGTAAAATTAAAATATGATCAATTTAATCAATCAATGTTAAAATATAACGAAGAGTTTAAAAATGAATTTAAAAATACTGATTTTGAAGATTTTCCAGAATTTTTAGAACTGGAAGTTATATTAGAAATGCATAAACCAAACAATACATATAATAATGATAGTGATTATGAAAATGAAAATTCTCAAAGTTATGAAGGTGATATGTCATATAGCGAATATCTCAAATTTAAAAAACAATTAAGAAAAAATCCAAATGAAACCATTAATTCTGATACTGATGAAGATGATGTAGATTGGGAAGATATAAAAGATGATGATGATTCTCAAGATGTCATGTCTGATGATTCTCAAGAATATATTGAACCATACGATATTGATACTCCCAGAGTACAAGAATTACCAAACTTTCTGCCTGAAGAGGAAACGGTGGAAGGAGTCACAGAGAATTTGAAAAACTTGAAAACTAAAGATAAATAATATATATTTCAATGCTCTGGGATATTTATGCCTCGTTTATTTAATTCTCGTATTGTCCAAATCCAAGTTCTTGCAGCTTGATCCATATCACTAGATATATTTGAAGTTTCACATTCTGTCCCATTATTAGAATAACATTTCCCATTATCAACTTCAATATTCAATCTTGGATTTAAACAACAATTTAAAACTTCATAAGAACCTTGTTGATAAGAAATTCCAAAAAAATAACTAAAGATCTGAAAAAAACACCAAAATAAAATCCCAACAATTGGTAAATTTGTCCAATATGTAAATAAATTAGTGTTCATAATTAATCCTGGATGTACCACCAAACTTAAAATTTTTGGATTTCTTAATGATAACATTTTCATAAAATGAATACCTGAAGTTTTTGCAATACCATATCGTATCCATGTGAATATAAAATTTGGTTTTAAATTGTATTCATAATTTAGGTTGAATAAATATTTTGAAAATATAAATTTATGACCTATTGAATTGAGATAAATGATTCTAGGTGACGAAATTTTTGGAGATTTTAGTATTGTTCTTTCCATTATTGGTAATAATTTAATAGTTAATAAAAATTGGGATATATAATTAGTTTGAAATTGAATTTCAAAATCATCTTGAGTTTTAATATATGGTATAGCCATGGCACCTGCATTATTAATTAATAAATGTAATGAAGTTTCTCGATGCTTAAAAGTTTCAACTGCTTTAATTACCAGATTTAAATTACTTAGATCAATTTCTAAATAATTTAATTCACCAAGGAATCTTGACATGTTTTCTTCATTTGTATAATTTGATCTAATTTCAATTGATTTTAATTTTAATTCATGAATTGATTTTAAACTTTTTGATTTAGATCTACCGGCTATATAGACAATATAACCATGTAAATATAATTGTAATACTGTATAAAAACCAATTCCACTATTTCCACCAGTTATTAATGCTATTTTCTTTTCCTTTTGAGGATTTAAATATGGAAATGAATTGATATCCAGTAATGCTAATGACATAAAACAAGGATTTTATATAAGTTTCGACGTAATGTTTAGCAATGCAATTTGACTTACTATAATAGATAAGTATTATACGGTATTAATCAAGTGTTGTATAAATTTTAAATGTTGGATGGTGATCAATTCGTTATCATATATTTCGGGTTTTTTATTTCCTGTATATTGTTGAAAGATTTGAAACACCATAGATTTGATGAACATGAACCGATATCGTATACACTAGTATTAAACAGATTAGGAGTTAAAGAAGAACGTCCTATTTGACTCTATTGTATCTATTCTATATATATAGTCTATTTACAATTTTAATTCTTCAATCAATTCTTTAAAAATTTCATCTGATGTTTTATCCAAAGTATCAATAGCTAAACCTTCACCACCATTTTCTAATAATTCATCATCTTTTGGAATTTCCATAATGTCATATTGTGATTTAACCATATCTGATTTCATATAATGTCCTTGTCTATTATTTACACGTTTAACTAAATCATTAAAATCGGAATATAAAAATACAAATCTAAATTGTAACCTATCATGATCAACTGAGTTATTCTTGATATAAGTTCTATATATTTTCTTTAACATTGAACATGAAACAACACAAATTTGTTTTGAATCATTAATTGCAGCATTACTAGAAATTTCACTCAATTTCTTTAGCCATCCCCATCTATCATCATCAGTTAATGGTTGTCCCAGTGCCATTTTATCAATATTGGATTGTGGATGTAGTGTATCTCCTTCTATAAATGAACATTGTAAAAATTTGGCTAATAATTCTCCTTGAGTGGTTTTTCCTGTTCCTGCAGGTCCTCCAACTACTATTACTGTTGGTTTTTTAGCTATTGACATTGCAACTTGTTAAATATTATATAGTTATCAATTTGATCAATGGAAAGACGGCCAATTTATAATAATCCGAGATTGAAAAATTGAATTGGAAATTAGTGCCCGAGCCAAAAAAATAATTCGACCAATGCTTAGTATAGTCACAATACTCAACAGTACTTAAGCAATACTAACGATTACTAAATTTAAGCTTTTCTTTGGGTTATGAATTTTCTTGAATTTTCAAAAAAGGCCGTGGGGGATCTTCTTTTGGAGGAGGGGTAGAAAAATCGATTGCTACCATGTTACCATTTGTGAATATAATAATTGCAAGAAATGAAAAAAATTGATGGAAATTGATGGTTGAAATTAGCAGTACTTGCTGGTATTAAAGGTTACGGTTGTATTTTTAGCCCAAGGTATAAAATTAATTTGATTTGGATGTTAAGGAGGGACAAGGTGAATTGAATTTCATTGAATTCGGGTTTAAATAGGTGTATTTTACTTGAAGTACAGCCATAAATAAGGCTAATAGTAGGTCGATTAATTGTTTGGTTTTAAGTTGAGCTGCTAATTTTTTATTTAGTGGTGATTTGGGGGTTTGGGTGAAACGTTAATAAAATGTTGAGACCAAATTCGAGAGATCCAACTTTAAAACAGCTTAGATACAGTAGAAATTAACAATATATACTATGAGATACCTGAAATGCTATGAGATACCTGAAATATAAATTAGTATGTTACTGAATACCATTGAAGATTACATCAGTTGTAGATTGATATCACTCTATTGGAATAACGTGGTTGTCTAAAGTAAACACCAAAATTGTATAAGTTGCAAAAGTTGAATATTTGAGCAAAAACAGAGTTTAAAAATCAATTTGGTCAATCTTGCCGCAAGCTGCATCCATCATAAACTTATAAATTTCAGATTATTTGTCTCTGTTGATATATGTTACAAGAGATATAAATCATTGTTGTGATAAAGAAAAGTGACACAAAGAGGGAGATTTTTCTTTGTATAATTTTTCTGGGTATGTTGCCGCTTATATGCAGGATTAAAACTACAAAATAAATAAAAGAGCGCTACCAATCACCGCCTCACACCCCCCCTCTCCCCCCTTAAAAATGAAACTTATATTTTGTTAATTTTGAGGGCGTTAGAGTAATATTGGTGGCTTAGAACCTAAAGATTAGGCTATATTAAGCTTTAAATGTTTAGTTTTATTAGCTAACTTGTTGTTGTAGTCTAATTGTAGATGATGTAATAGTGATTGTATTGAATCTCATAAATATGCTAAATGCAATTATTCCAACACATAGAATTCATTCAGAAGCAGCAGCAACTGATGCCAGTATTATTTTGCAGATAAAAGTTCTGTTCTGCAAATTGAACTGTTCCAATACCTTTTGATATCCATTTATTATTGTTGTCTTTTAAATACGAACAACTAAAGAAATTGAATCAATTCAATGTCTCGATGATATCATGACACCCGCGTAATTTAAAAACTTTGTTCAGCTTTCAAATTACTCTTGGGATTCTATAAATCAAAGAGCTCAAAGTGGAATTGCAATAGCGCGATCTAGATCTGAGATCGGTTGCAAATCTATAGATCTGAGATCTGACGCAAAAAAAAATATACCGAAATTGCGCACTAAAATTGTATCAAGAATAGCAGTAAATTTTGACAAATTTCAAGTAAGCATTACACAACCAATATTTATTCAAAACATACTTTTCTTGGTACCATTTAGAAGCTGTTTATTTGATAAATTCGATTTTGATAGTTAGAAATTGGCAGCTCACAACTTTTCAAACAAAGTTTTTGTGAACATGAAAAAAACTGTTATGATCTACTTTCTTTTTGATGTTATATCGCTCAAATAGCCCACCAAATACAATCAAGGGATTTTATCGAATGTCCAGTCTTGAACACACTGGCTGGCGTTGATACTTTTTACGTTTCAGTTGATTATATCAGACTTTGATGAATGCAGTAAGAATATTGATAGGTCATCATTCTGGACTTACGATACAATTTTGAAGAACAGTAAGGTAAACCAGACCAAGAGGACTAGCTATAATTAATTGGACCTTCACAATGAATACTTTAATTCGAGTCGAGTAATTTTAACATTAAACAAAACGCTACCAACTAAGCGATTTTTGATGAACTTAAATTAGACAACTAATTTGTCACCTTGCGATAAACTTTACAACAAATAATTAAGGTTTTCCCATTTTTTAAACTATGAATAAATTGATCAGAATTATGTTATTTTAGCATCATTATATTCTTAAGTTAAGGAGGTTTTCAATCAATCAAGTTTAAAAACAAAATCTTAATATTGATGGAGTTAATCACAAGGTTAACTAGTGTAAGACTGCATATCAGGCAATCTCATTTGAGAATTTCTTTATTTTGAGGTATCAAGATAGGACCAACAATAGGCAGAAAATTGGCCGAAGGAATTCGTACACAAGGCGAGAGTTGGTACAGGTGCTCGTGGAACTAACACGAGAGACTAAAAAGTTGAGTTATCATTTTGAATTGAATACCCACTTATAAATTAGAAGCTCCAATACAACGAACTATGACTACATTTTTAATAAACCAGCTGATTCATGAGAAATTTGCGTTTTAAAACGTTCCCATTTTATACTAACGACCAAGTGAAAACCAATTTTTGTTACACAAAACCAAATCACAAAATTGACAACTTTTCTTTTCGCCACTTTTATTTAAATCGCAAATTTTTCAAACATGGCTGCATCCAACTAACTAAGACTAACTGATTTGTAATAATTGACTACTCTGGTTACTTGATGTGAAATGAACTTGATAGGATTTGTTAAATTTATAGTAAATCAGAAATAGTCATATTTTTACAATTTTTAACTTAAGTGTAATAAGAACGGTTGATTGGTTTTGAGAGTTAAACCATTCAATTCTCTTTGAACTCCAGATCTCAGACTATATTGTTTTTTGTAGAAATTGGGCGTTGTTGTAGAACAATTCAACTTTTAAGATAACGTTTTTGTGGAATGATTATGCCTATCAAATCCATCAACTGAGTTCTATCTTAAACTCTAGACTTATAATAGCAATCTGAAGTAACTTTTTAGTTGGCGTCAAGCCACTTTCAAAATGTCATATACAGGTTATTGATAAAGAGTTTTGCAGATAGTTAAATTAATATAATATATACATAATTATTCGGTAATAACCATCCTATTTAGTTTTTAATTACTATTTGAATTTCAAAATCTTCTTCTAATTCAGTATCACCAACAGTTTCATTTAAATTCATAGCTTCATCATCAAATATCATTTTAACTTTTCCTTTTCCAATTATACCCTGATCAATATTCTTTTGTTTTAAATAATAAACCAACAAATTCATCAATTTAGTCTTCGGATTAACTTTAACTTCCAATCTTTTATTATCTTGTCCTTTCAATCCAATTTTAAAAAATTCTTCACTTTCATCATCTACATTAATTACGTCTTTAGTTTCTTCCATTGCAACATCATCAAATTCATCATCATCGGAACTTGATTCAATTTGTTCTTCTTCTTTCTCTTCTTCTTCTTCAAATGTATTTTCACTATTTAATCTTGTATTTAATTCGGGAAACACATATTGAAAATTATTCTTAACGTCACTTGAAACAAGATAAAAATTAAGCAATGTTGGTGTAACTAATTCAATATTATCTATCTCAGGATCAAAATTTCCACCATTAGGTAATATCCTAAATGTTTTCGGTGTGTAAAATCTCTTTACTAATACTTTTCCCTCACACCAAATTAACTCATTTTGATTCACATCATACCTTGATAAATGAATAGGCAGTAATATATCCTTAAACTTATTTTTAAAAAATGAAACAGCAGTAGTTAAAACCTTATCAAATTTTTTTAATCCTCCAACTCCAAAATCAACTTGAAATAAAGAATTTGAATCACCCGGGACAGGTAATTTTGAGGTCACTCTAAGTGTATATTTCCGTTTCCGTTCTGATTCATTATCGAAAGTATATACTTTTGGATCAATTGTAACTGAGGGACTCTTTTTTATTGATTGTTGTTTTAAGATTTGTTCAAATAAATCATCATCTTCTGAATCACTACTTATTGAATCAAAATGTTTTTGTTCTGCATTTATTTTCTTTTCTATTTCTCTTCGTATTTTTTGTCTATCTATTGGGGGTGCGGATATTGATGATGGTAGTATTGATGAAGTATTTGAATTTGATTTATCTGTGAAATTTGGTTCCATTGGTGATTGACTAAGACCATTTATGGCTTCATTTGATTCTGGTTTGAATTCTTGTGGTATAGTTGGAGAAATTGTTGTTGTTGTTGTTGCAGCATTATTGGTTTTTAATTTGGGTTGCAATTTAGGTTCTTTTTTCTTCTTCTTTTTTGGTTTTTTATCAAATGAAGCACTTAATGAGAAGAAATCATCATCTAAAAAACCTTTCTTTCTCTTTTTGGTTGTTTTATCTTGATTTGTTGTATCTGGTGATAATTGTTTACTTTCATCCATGATGAATAATATATGATATTTAACCAGCTAAAACCTAATAAAAAACCTGTTATAATTCTTTAATCCACTATTAACACAATATACAACTAGATTAACCGATTTGTTGTATAATTGATTAACTATTTATTATCAATGTATGAATTTGTTGCAAGAAATTGATTTCTTTATATATATTTTTCTGCTCCTGTATATAAAATACTTTTTAAAAAAAAAAAAAAAAAAAAAAAAAAAAAAAAAAAATAAAATCTGAAACAAATTAAAAAAAAAACAATAAATGTTTAAACCGTCAAAAGAAGGTTCATTCAAATCAAGAATAGTTAATTATTATGGTCAAAACATTCAATTATTTGAGAAACTAAAATTATATAAAGAGAAATTGGGAGATTTATTATTCTATCCTTCAGAATCAATAATTAAACAACATTTCATAGAAGATACAAAACAATTAAATACCATACCCAATAATCAACTAAACATTAAAAATCTACTATTAAAACCAGTTGATTTAGATTATGTTAATTTTAGATTCAATTCTAATAAAGAAATTAACCTCAAATTAAACAAAGAAACCATAGACAATATAAAACTAGAACATGATCACCCCGCCAATTTGAAGTCACAACTTAAAAGAAATGCTCATATTTTATCAACTGGAGGCACAATCACATCTCAACAATGGCTACCTAGACCAATCAATTCCAATTCAAATATCAGTTATTTAGCAGTTTCAATTTTTAATAATCCCAATGGTATTGAAGATATGTTTAATCCAGAATTACGAGTGTTTAAAAAGATAAAATCAGATTTTAAAATTAATTCAGCTGTACAGATCTGGGAGTATAATTTAGAAACAAATACAATTTCATTAAAAAATGTATTAATTACAACTCATTATGGATCACCGATTGAAATTAAATGGGTTCCTATATATACAGAAGATAATGTTTTGGGAGTTTTAAGTGGAGTTTTCACGGGTGGAGATGTTCATTTTTTTAAAATTGATGATAATTTGCCTAAATATTCTGTGGTTGAAAACAGTTCATTCACATATAGTTCAAATAATGAAATTGATGAGGAAATTTCCAATATCTGTTGTTTTGATTTCATGGGCGATTCCAAAATGTTAATTGGTTTAGATGATGGATATATAGCAGAATATCAATTACCATTTAATAATTCAGAATCAGAATCAGAGTTAAATATACCCAATTTTAAATATTATCTTTCTGATGGTAATGTTTCTTCAATATTATCATGTGAGACAAAAACAGGAGAATATTTAAATGTGATAAACACTCATGGATTAAGATCTTATGAATATTCACTGATTAATCCAATACAGGATGTTTTTACTCCCTTAGTTTTTAAAACTGTTGTTAAACCTAGTTTTAATTATTTTTTACAGAGTTATATTGCTAGTAATACATTTGATACTAATAATTTAGTACAATTGAAAATGCCAATGGATACTCAAGCATCATATATACGTGGTGATTTTTATCTTAGTTGTTCTGAATTATCAAATATAATAAGTCATCCATTTTGTTTAATTGGTGGGAGTGATGGTGGAATTTCAATTCTAAATGTATTTAGAAGGTTAAGTGGTCAAAAGGCAAGTCATAAATTTACTATTCCTTTAAAATTATGGAAATTTGCAATTAATGAAGAAGAAAAATTGAGTTTAGAAGCTGCTTTTGAGAGTTTCCCTGTTGAAAATCCAAAAGGTCCAAGTTTGGAACGTCCTGAAGTTATTGTTAGTAGTTTGAGTTGGAATTGTAATGTTACTGGCTCTTCTGTTTATTCTGCTGGTACTGCTTCTGGAATATTAGTTATTGAAAGATTGGATCCAGAATATAATTAATATATATTTATCAAATTGAACTATCCTATATCTTCATTCCATCTATTTAACTCACCAATAATCTCTTTAACATTTTTATAACTTGATTCGATTGATTTTCATCAGGTATATTAAGTATAGAAAGACCAGAATGGTATACTCAATCGATTTGTATCAAAATATTCAGATCTTGAGTTGAATGCAACATGTATAAAGATGGTATGTAATGTTGAATCATACAATGTAAGGATGCCAACAAATTCCGAAGTAATTATTATCTCTTTATCTTTCAATCTTTCTCTCATTTAATATTTAGGTACCGTTTGATCTATATCTTCACTCCATTTATTTATCCCACCAATAATATCTTTAACATTCTTATACTCTAGGTCGAGTAATTTTTGAGTAGCCAATTGAGAATCATTACCAAATCGACAGATAACATAAATCTCATCATCTTTAGAAACATCAGGCAACACCTGCTCGATAACTTCGGCCTTCCTAAACACGGGATCCCATTCAACATTTATCGAGTTTTTTAATTTTGTAATTTCAAATTGTTCCTTAGGTCTAACATCAATCAAAACATGCTCCCTCTCAACCTCCCTGTAGTCCTTAACAGATATTCTATATTTCAGATCCAATGGAGTCGTCTCTAGTCTATCACAAAATGAACTATAATTCAACTCACCACTTTCAATCATCTCCCTAGTAATTTCTGGCTTTTCTCGACATATTAAGCAGTTTTTCGCCTTATTCCTCATTTTAAAATTACGTATACTTTGATGAGGATATCCTGAGTAGCTAGATAAAAATGGTGTAAAATTATCAACACTATAGAAGTCAGTGATGATTTTGATTGTTTCCATCACCATTGCCACTCCCACCAAACCAATCGCTGGTCCGATTACACCACCATCAGAACATGAAGTTACGGAATTTGGATTTGGAGGCAGTGGATAAAAACATCTATAACAAGGTCCCTTTGATTTGAAATTTAAGATTGTGAATTGTCCATCTGATTTTAGACCTGATCCAGAGACAATAGTCTTGTTTAATAGAACACAAACATCATTAATTAAATATCTGATCGCTGGATGATCAGTGCAATCTAATACAAGATCGTACTCTGAAATAATGTCAAATGAATTCTCATTTGTTAATTTTTGACAGTAGGTGATTATATTTACATGTGGATTTAGTTTGGATAGGTATTGTTTTGCAGATTCGGCTTTATATAACCCCACTGTTTCGGTATTATGAATTATTTGTCGATGTAAATTACTCGTATCAACTATATCATCATCTATGATTCCAATAATTCCAACTCCTGATGCAGCGAGGTATAATAAAGCAGGTGATCCGAGCCCACCAGCTCCAACTACTAATACTTTAGACTTCTTCAATTTGATTTGTGAGGATCTAGAGCCGAATTGTGGGACTATCATTTGTCTTCCGTATCTTTTATATTCATCATCAGTGAAAAATTCATCAATTTTGGAAAAATTTGAGGCATTTTGACTTTGAACTGATTGTTTTAGTTTAGTATTTTCTAATTCTAATGATTTTATTCTATCTTGAAGTTGTTGTATTTCTATTTCTTGTCTTGATTCCATTTTGAATATTCTTTTGCAGCCCAAGGCAGAGATGAAAAATATAAAAATTATCGTAAAAAAATGCTACCAAATCATGGTAAGGATGTCAGTTTTATACAATTAATATGCATCCTTATTTGCATCCTTGCAGTAGAGATACTTGAGATAACAACTAGTATTTGTTTATCTATTAGTTTTATACAATTTTTTGTTTTACAAAGAATGATTTCAAATGACGTAATTGATAAACACAAGTTCCAACCAAAACAAACAATTGAACAATTGACCATTTAACTACTCTTGAATTAGTAGATTCAGATTGATCTCTAAACGCAGCTTCTCTTTCCCTCATATGTTCTTGCTCGTAATGAATCTTATCAAGTTGGTTATATAAATCATTAACTTTTAAAATCAACTCATCGACGGATTTAGTACTTTTAGAATCGATGTAATCGTGTGAACTTCCTTGGATCAAGTCAAAAAATATTCTATGTTGTTTGTTCTTTGTATTATCGGTGTATATTGGAGTCAAGCAAAATTTATGTTCACCTGAATCAAATGAAGTAAATGTAAAATCTCCATCTGGCTGAGATTTTTGATCTGCTACTAAATGATTATTATCAAATGTTTCTTCAATTGTAATTTGAACTTTGAGGTTGTGATTCTTGTAATATTCATGAGATTGTTCGTTTAATTCATATGCATCAATTTTACCGACTAATAAAGTATCTTCAGGTAATTCTTCATAAAAACATTTAGTTTCTCCAGTTTTAACATAAAAATGTAATGCAGATGTGAACTGAAATAATACTAAAAATGTTAATATAAATTTAGAAAACATTGTTTAACTATTTGATAACTTGATAATCTGAAAAATTTTAAGTTCGAATATGTGTTGAAAGAAAAAAAAAATATGGTCTACCGTGTATTTAATTTTATACCAATACGCGCATTGAACGTTTCACAGTAGAGCAGTTGCCGTTTTAACTGCACCCGTACATTAAACTCAGCATCCTTAGTGTAACCGCATCCTTACTTACCAGTCTTTCTCTTATTTATCAACTTCTTCTTAACATTTTTCTTCATTTTAGTTTTCCTCTTTTCTTGTTTTGCTAATTTTGCAGCTTCTTTCCTAGCTTTCTTTTCATCTTTATCTTCAAATTTTTTACCTTTTGGTTGTTCTTCTTCTTTTTCAATCCATTCCTTCTCTTCAGCTTCTAAATCGCTGTCATCATCTTCTTCCTCACTATCTTCTTGTGATTCACTATCACTATCATTTTCACTTTGAGCTTCTTCATTAGTATTTTCCTCTTCAATCTTATTAGCAACTAAATCCTTCATTGTATCTACTTTTCCCTCTGAAAATTTGTCAAAATCTCTTTCATCTAAATTATTTAAACTTCTAAGTAAATGTAAACTTCTAAATATTTCGTCGTGTACTTCTTGTTCATCATAGATTTTCAAAGGTAAATTATTCAAATAATCTCTTAACAAATTCTCACTATCTTCTTTTATTTCATTATCAATTATGAATTTAAATATCAATCTTTCAGGATAAACATTAATCTTCTTCCTATTAAAAAAATCATTAACATTTTTAATATCCATTCTTAAGAAATCTAGAGCCATAGGATGATCAGGCTCAACCGATTGTGAAACATCAATAATATGTAACTTACCCTTATGTACAATTGAATTATATTCAGATAAATCCGCATGAATCAATCTACATTTTTGATATAACCATCTCATATAAACAACCATAGTCTGATAAAAATAAACCACTTCGTCAACGTCTTTAAAATTATGATCTTTTAATTTTGGTGACGGTTCTCCATTGCCCTTTGTTAGGTATTCCATGACCAACACATGAGATTTCAATTCAACGGGCTCAGGACATAATATACACCCACTCATAAATATCCTTTTAAGGTTTCTAAATTCTTTTTCAGCCCATATTTTAACCATCTTTCTTGGATTATTTTGATTCTTTGAGTTTCTGAATCGAAATTCTCCATCTACGTATCTTTCACGATCTTTGAATACTAAAATTGAAGTCTTGTAGATTTTCACCGCGTATTCTTTTGACAGATCAGTGTCTATTGTTCCATGATATACATTTGCTTCTTTACCTGTTGATATACAACCATTGATTCTTGATAAAACACCCTTGTTTATAATTTTGGCTAAGAATTTCATTGTTCTTGGATCCAATACTTGTTCAACTGTTGCTCTATTAGATCTGTCCTTTGTGATTTTGGGACCCTTTTTAAGTGGGTCTGTTTTGATTTTATCTGCATATTTAGTAACTATATCTTCTTTTTCAACTAATGTCTTAGGATGAACAGAAACTTTTGCATTTGTTTCTATTTCACTATCTGAATCACTATCTGAATCTGAAGGTCCTTTCAAGCTTCTTATATTATCAACCTCTTCTGTTTGTCTAGTCATTGAAATATCTATCGATCAATTCTGAAACACAAGTTGTTGCAAAATATAATTTTTTTCAAGATGTGCATTGAAAAAAATAATATAACGAACGGTCCAAATATCAACAATGGCATTACCACAAATTATACAACAACTATTACCCAATGTATGTTATTACCATTTCTTATTGCTCAGTATTAACTAGTAGTAGAAATTTTTAGGCTTTATTCCATTATTCATCGGTATTGAATTAATACTAGGCATAACTATTCTAAATAAAGCAAGTGGATTATACGGTATTTTATCATTATTCACAGGTCATCCAATTAATTTCTGGCAATGGTTATATAATTCATTATCATTAATATCTTTACCAATATACGGAACAGCCTTAATCAACCTTAATATAAAAATTAAAAACGTACGAAAAATTTCACTTGCAACCATCACATACACACTAGACACATTGATTGGATTACTTTACACTCTCTATTTCATATATTTTTGGTTCTCATCAGAAGAAGGCTCAACAAATTCAATTAATGAAACAAGAGATGAAGACTTATCATCACAGTCTGCTTCTCAGGGAAGAGAGTTGTTTGTTACTTTTAGTACCACGATTGTAATTACTGCAATTAGGATTTATTTTAATTTGGTGGTTGTTTCTTTTGCTAAGGCATTATTAAAACAACATTATATGGAATTAAAATATACTGATAATGATATTAATGGAACCACAAATAATAATGAACCTGTTGATGAAGAAGAACAAGCGGTTATGAATGAGACTGGATTGATTGGTGAATTTAAAAGAGCGGTTTATGATTTAGAGACCAGATCAAATGAATTACTTAACAAAATATTAAACTGATTAATATATAATACTAATTGATGGAAAAAGAAAGTATAGATGTACATCATTGAGCATCCTTACATGTGTTGTCTATTATTAAGCATACTTACTCTTATGGCATCCTTACCATATATTTTGCATCCTGAATATTTATTTTGCAACCAAATTTCTGAAACACGCACGTACAAAATTTATTATCGATTGCTTTTATACTATGGGCCAGACAAGTTCAGAACCAACTAAAGATACTGCTCAACTAACTAATGATGAAGTGTATAAGTTGTTTTATACTAGATGTATTCTACTATTAAAACCAATTGAGTTAACATTTTTAAAAGATAAGATTAATGATAAAGAACAATCGTCATTTAAACCACTTGAATTTGCAAAATTATTAAGAATTATACCAGAGACACATGTTGATTCAATATTGAATAAGGATTTGGAAAGTTCAATTGAGTTATTGTTTAAGGTTGCTAAAGTTATCGGCTCATTTCCATTTTTGAAAGTTCCAAATCATGAGGATTTACAATTTGAGGAGTTGGTTATATTTTTAATTATAATGAGTGGTCGATATAAGGTTATGTTCAAACAAGAGATTAATTATTTAAGATTATTATTTATTACTTTAAGTTATTCAACTCTGGAAATAGAAGAAAACAAGACTAACGCAGATTCGGAAAATGATAAAGAAAGCAAGATTACAACCACCTCAAACCTCGAAAATGAGAAACAAGAGATTGTATCTTCGTCTGTTGAAGTTAAATTTAAAATACCAGTAGAAAAAGATGATAATTTAGAAATTCAATGTCGAAAAATTGATTGGTATGATGTTTATGAAAGATTTGTAAGTAATATTCAAGTTGACAATGTAACTATCAATGCTAAATTATTGCAAAACTTACTATGTTTATTTTTAATCATCAACTCGGTACCCAAACAGACCCACGATCAGAAAGTATTTCATGATAGAATCAATAAATGGGATGAATTTGAGCCATATTCAAGTTACATTTTAAAATACTTGAATGTCAATCTACCGTTAAAAAATTTAGAAACTGAATCAACTAACTATGAAGAGTTCGAACAAGGCATGAATAACTTACTACCTCAATTTTTCCAACAAAATTTCAGCAAATTGATTAGTTTTAGTTTCATGCAGAATATTAAACCAAAGTCAATAATCTCGGAATCATTTCAAGAATCTAGATTAGTCAATATAGCTTTCATATCATACTTATCTTCAATTTCCAAAGGTTTAAACATACAAGTCGAAATCAGTGAATCTAATTTAGTTAAATTATTCAGTGGAAGTGAAACTGGATTCTCAATTCGAACATTAGAAACCAAAATTTTCAAATGGCAAGCTCCTACTTTATTTATCGTTTCAGGAAAACGAATCAAAAGTAAAACATTATCAAATAGACGATATATTGACTTTGATGAATCATATCCACGTTTCTTCAAATCATCAGAATTAAGACCATGGCAGAATGAAAAGGATAGAATTACATATGCTGTGTTTGTGAATTCACCATGGAAGAATTCAAATAAATATAATTTTGGAGATGAAAAAACAACAATAATACAAATTCAACCAAGAGCTGATGTTTATACTTCTATACATAGTGATGTATTAAAAGGAGAACTGATCTATTTTAATAATTTAGGAATGGGATTGGGATTTGGGAACGATCAACCATTGAATAAAAATAAAGTTAAGAAATACCATCCTGGTGATGTATCACTTACAATTGAATCAAATTTGGAATTTGCTATATTTAGACACTTGGTAAACAATAATGAATTGAGCTACTTTAACAGATGTAAGATATTAAATGAAGATTTCGAAGATAGATTTACCATCACTGATTTAGAAGTATTTGGACTTGGAACAACTAAAGAATTAGAAGAACAAAAGAAACAATGGGAATGGGAAGAGAAACAAGCTGAAGCTAGACAAAATGTAAATATGAGATCACTTGGTGAAGAAAGAGCATTTTTGGAAATGGTTGGTTTAGTTGGGAAAAATAATGCAGGTGGGTCAATGTAAGTACTCAATTGAACAGGATTCATTGAATAAATAATCTACTATAAGCTTTGTGTTTCATAGATTGTAAAATCGTCTAATTATCCAAAAATTTATGATCAAATCTGGGCTGAAATAAGCAAGCATGTTATTTCTAAACAAAAATAAAAGAATTTACGTAAATGAAACACTATTTGGAAGTTTATGAAATTAGAGCATTACATTTGAGACACTAAAACTCAAATGTTTTAAAACTTCAGTAGTTGTTCATTTTAACCTCTTGAAAGATGCGTAATTAATTCTCATACATTAGCAAACTCATTGACATTACTTTAACAACAACAGCTAAATGTAACAGATTTAAATTTATTGATTTATTCTATGTTCGTACAAAAGAAAAGTGGCAAAAATGTGAGATTTTTCATTTGTGTAAAAAATTCTGACCCCTGTAAACTAAAACAGCTCATAACTCTTTCCACACTAAGATTCGGCTCAAGTTACCAAACAATATTTTATTGATTCGTCAAGATCTATCTATTTATGAATGTCTCATATACATACGCAATCATTTATTTCAATTTCGACAATTCCTCACGTGACTTTATCAACAAGTCGTGTAGGAACCAAAAATGTTTTGTTAAAGTTGATGGCCTTAGAGCTTATTTAACGTCTTGAAACATACTTCATTATTCTCTGCAATTTGGGAACTTTGTTTTATTGGCTTTGATATTTGTCGTTATCGTGTAGTTTTTTTTATTGCTTGACTCATGGCTTGCTGACGGTACTACATCAATGCGACAAAATAAATAATCAGTAAGAAGCTAGGCTTATGACTTTTCTTAGAGTGAAAACGAAATCAAGAATATTTGTTTCGTGTAAAAATCAATGTTCTATTTGTGAAGAACTTCGACTTTCATTTTGTGATTTTGTGTAGATTTGAATATATATATTCCTCATATGAGTTACACACCTTTCTTATGGGTTTAATTGAATAGGACAGAATAGACAATTCATACGAGGTCGATTCAAATCTCACGCGATTAAAATTTTTACTCGCTTCGAATCGTCGCGTGGGAGGATGCATACATATATAATGTCGGCTATATTTTATGTTATTAATTAACTATTGGTGTTTGGGTATCATGTTTGCGACATGCAAAATAATGTTGGTGTTAGGATCTTTTGAACTTCAAACCTAGTTGATAAATTAAAAATTTTCAAATTAAAAGTTAGTTAGAGGAAATATTGGAGAATATAAATACGGACCAAAAATCTGAATCCAAATTGGCGGAAGTTTTCAATGAGTCTAGAATCAGGTCAAGAGCTAGAATTTTGAGCGAGTAAATAGGAATTTTAGTGTTTCTCTTGATTCGAGCATAAGTATATCTAGATTTGAGAGTGCACATTGGTAAGCTAGATTTATGCTCAAAATTGGTCAAAGTTTCAATATACCGAGTTTGAAACAATTTGGAAGAGAAAAGTTGTCGGTCAAATTTTCCAAAACGTCCCATACATTGAAATTTTTATTTTTTCATTAAGTGTTGAAAGACATAATATAGAAGGTTTGAGGTTTGGAGCATCTGATTTCACTATTTTGGAAGTTCCAAATCGATTTTTGAGTGTTGAATTTCTCGTTTTTAAGCGTTTTTAAGCGTTTTTGGTTGAAGAATCAGATGATCAATTTTGAGTTTTTTTAAAAGATACAACCATCAGTTTATCTCAATTGAATTGGGGATTATAATGAATTACAATTGAGATGTAGAACGTGATTATTGAGAGATTTATATACAGTTTGAGTTGCAAGATTAACTAAGGCGAGACTAAAAATAAGTCAAATGTGTTTCAAAATTTGATTTTTTTTTTTAATTTTGAACTATGAAATTGTCGCCCTATTGTAGTACCTTATCATTTACTCTTCGCGCTAGATTTTGGGCGACTCGTACTATACATTTTGGCTTCTGATTCACGAACAAAGTATTCTCGCGAAATTGGTACCATTTGTATGAGATCCAGAGTCCTGAAGCATATACTCTGTTTACTGTGATTTGTTAATTTCCAAATTTTTTTTTTTGAATCGTTATTTTGGCCATTTTGGCCATTTTTCTTCATACAAAAAATTTGCTAAAAATGAAAACGTAAAGTATATTTTATTTTACAGCCACAATTTTCAATTAAACTACGAATCATACATATTATAACTCTAACCAAAGTGTCTATCGTAATTACAGATGATGGAAACTAAAATTGAGAAATTCCAAAATTTTCTCTTAAGTTTGGGGAAAATCGAATAATTTGAACTTAAGAAAAATTCAACTCCACAATGATTATCAAGACTTAAATATGATAAAAGTATCAAGATTTGTAATCTCCCATGCTGATATGGATTAGTTTTTTCATTGTTAAGTTATTCAAAATTGATAATCAATTTTTCAGAAGTGGTTCCAAGTTTTTGCAAATTCTTCAAACCAATTTTAGCAACTGGAAACTGATGTTTAATATATCCTTGTGACTAAATGAGCCTAATAATGTACTCTAGATGTTGCTAAACAAATCTAAATGTGAAATATCTTCCAATTTAGCGTTTTTTACAATACTTGGGTGTCAAATTAAATGATCAAAATTAAGTTTTACTATTAAAGACTACCATCGATTTATTTTAGCTTAGTTAGCGATTTAGTAAAGTTTGAGAACGACAGCTTTAGTATTGACCAAGCTATTTACAGGATAAATTTCGAGATTAACTATGACAATACTGCATATGAGACGATTTGTTTCAGAATAAATTTAGAAAGTATTTATTCATAACTACTATTTTTGTCCCAGACAACTTTAAACCATAAAAGCAATTGCATTGATATAAGCTACTCGAAGTATCAGTTTATGGATTTTGTTGTAGTTTGAAAACTGTCTAGCTTATCAGTTCTATGTCGCTACCATTTCACGTAAATTAATTATTTTTCAGAGATGAGCATTTCGATCTTACGGTTTTAGATCAAATCAAACCAAATAATGGCTAAAAAAGACAATCAAAATAGTAAGAAAGCTGAGAAACCTCAGACAATTACAAAAGATGAAAGATTCAAATCAGTACATAATGATCCAAGATTCAAACTTCCAAATTTAAATAAATTAAAAGTTAAAGTTGATCAAAGATTTAGTAAACATGAATTAAAAAAATTGAGTGGTAAAATAACTGACAAAAATGCTAAAATCGATAAATATGGAAGAAAAATCAAATCAACAGACAACAATTTGGACAAGTTTTATGAATATGAAGATGAAGAAAAAGAAGAAGAAGAGAACAAAAGTGAAAGTGAAGATGAAGAAGAAGAAGAAGATGATGATGAAGAAGATGATCAAGAAGATGATGAAGTTGAAAAATTAGCAGCAAAAGTTAGAGCAGAAGAAGAGCTGACATTAGATAAAGCAAGAGGTGAAGGTCTTAGCTCATCATCAAGTGAAGAAGAATCTTCATCAGAAGAATCAGAATCCGAAGATGAAGTTGAACTAGATGAAGAATCAGAAATTGAATTAGAAGAAGAAAAACCTGAAGAATCAAATCCTACAAATGGTTTTGCTGTTGTTAATATGGATTGGGATAATATAAAAGCAGTTGATTTAATGGCTACATTCATATCATTTGTTCCAAAAGGTGGTGAAATACGATCTATTACTATATATCCTTCTGAATTTGGTAAAGAAAGAATGCAAAGAGAAGAAATAGAAGGTCCACCGAAAGAATTATTTAAATCAAAGAAATCTAAAAAAGATGATGATAGTGATTCAGATTCAGATTTAGATTCAGATATAGATATTAATGATACTGAGAATTTACAAAAAATTACTAAAAAATTGTATCAAGAAGATGATGGACGAGAAGATTATGATAGTAAAGCATTAAGACGTTATCAATTACAAAGGTTGAGATATTATTATGCAGTTGTCAAATGTGATTCCGTAAACACTGCTAGAAATATTTATCAAAATTGTGACGGTACTGAATATGAATCAACTGCAAATATATTTGATTTAAGATATGTACCTGAAGATATGGAATTTGATGATGATGAAGCAAAAGATAAATGTACAAAAATACCATCAAGTTATAGACCAGATTCAACATTTGTAACTGATGCTTTACAACATTCAAAAGTGAAATTAACATGGGATGAAACCCCAAAAGAAAGATTAACATTATCATCAAGACCTTTAAGTCAAAAAGAAATTGAAGAAAATGATTTTAAAGCTTATTTGGCTAGTGACAATGAAGAAAGTGAAAATGAACTGAATTTAAAAGACAAATATCAAGGATTATTAGGTAATACATTTAAAAAATTTGGTAAAGAAGATCAAGGAGAAGATGATGTTGATATGGAAATTACTTTTGACCCTGGATTAAAAGATGAAAAAGATGATGATCAAAAAAATAACGATCAAGAAGAATCTACAATTGATGCATATAGAAGAAAAGAAAAAGAACGTCGTCAAAGAAGAATGGCTAAATTTAAAGAAGCAAAGAAATTGGAAAAGAACGATAATGAAGAAAATGAGGAAAAACCTAATAAGCTGAAGAAATCTAAGAACAATAAATTTAAAGCTAAAGATACTGATGAAAAAGCAAAAGCAGAACTCGAGTTATTAATGATGGATCAAAATGATAATAATAAAGAACATTTCACCATGAAAGAGGTTCTTAAATCAGAGAAAAACAAAAAGAAGAAAAAGAATAAACAAAAAGATATTGAAACTAACAAAACCCAAGATAATTTTGAAATTAATTTGAATGATCCTAGATTTGAAGATGTTTTCGAAAGTCATGATTATGCAATTGATCCATCTAATAGTGAATTTAAAAAGACCGAAACAATGAAGAAGATATTGAATGAACGTACAAACAGATCCAAAAAAGACCAAAACAAATCCAATAATGTGTCTAAAAAACGGAAGAATGAAATATCACCATCAAAAGATGATATTCATAATTTGGCCTCTAAGTTGAAAAAGAAACACAAGTCAAAATAGGTAGATCTGAATCCAAAATATAATATTTAGCTTGTCACTTGACTCTATTAGTTGTATGACCTTTTTTTCATGTCTTAATGTCATGAATTTTTTTTATGTGAGTAAAAGTAAATGGCTGCAAATTGAAATTTCCTATTAAACTTTGATCATTTAAATATACAACAACACTTGAGAATCTAGTCTAAAACATTAGCAAAGTTGTGAAAAGCGCTTAATGTCTATACATGCTTTAATTCAACTATTTGAACACCATAATGAGAAACATAATAAAAGTCATGATCATGATAAACGACACCGTTCCAATTTCTTTAGTCCATATTTAAGTCTAAAACCTGATTTAAACAAATTCACTCAAAAGACCGATATCAAATCGATTGAAGCATTTAATGTAAAACCAGAAAATTCTAATCTTTTGAGAAACACCGCATATGGAAAGTTTAGAACCTTGGAGAATAAATTAAGAGGTAACTCACCCAAAAAGAATAAGGCTATTGAATTTGATCACCTCGAGGAAATCACTTCTAGCAAGACGCTGTTAGGCAATCGGGCAATTGACAGCAATTTAAATCATGAAGCGGGCAAAAACAAAATAGATCAAAATTGGGTTTCAATACATCTATCAATGATTAATCTCAATCAATTAAATATGGAAAAAAAAGACACAGAAAAAGAAGATAATCTTCCTCCTAAGAGAAGCCGATCTTTAAATGATTTAGCAATAAAGAAGGGACATAATTCCACATTAAGCCAGCGAATACCTCCTAAGACTCCAATACCTCAACAACCTCCTAAATTATTAAATAATGAAACTAAAACCAAAACACAAGATACAAACTTAGAAGATAGTTATAGAGAAGGTAGCTCAAAATATTTCAAACAACCCATTGATCTAGATTATGCTTATGAACAACTAAATCAAGAAGTCAACCTAAATCAAACCACTCGTAAGCGGAAGAAGAATTCAATGGATGAAGAATTAATCTCATTTGTAGTTGCCAAAAATAATTTATTATTTAAACCAGAATTTGAATTTGATGCACAACCAACAATAGCCCCCAAAAGCCGCATAACAGATAATTATAACAACAACAATAATAATTTGATATTTGACAATAACAAGAATATAACAAATAATAAAAATCATTCTAATTTATTCACCCTTTTTAGAAAAAGCAGATTTAGAAGAAGAAAACAACCAATAATGCCAACTTATAAACTTGATGATAGAACAATTAGACAACATAAATATCAAAAACGAATGGATCATATTCATTGTGGCGAATTTGAATTATCTAGATCATCTAATACAAGAACCAAAAGTTCAATAACTAGAGAAAGATCAAAGAATAATCTAAAACCAAAAGAAGAAACGGACAATTTTCAGATAAACACTCCAAGAATCAAATTAGTCTCGGGTAAGAATAATAGTACCAAATCATCAACTAGTTCAAATTCTACTTCATTAAGTAATGGAACAAGTATCAAAAAGGATATTAGAAAACAAAAACATGATTATCTAGCTACTAGAGATAAAATATTAGAATCTGTTGGTGTTTCAGACGTGATTGAAGACATTAGTTCCAATGAATCTACATTTGAAAATACTACAACTGAAATTCCACGAAATATTCAGAAAGTACAGACTTTACCTGAGAAGGAAAAACCAGTAGAAAATCGAATTGATGATATTAGACTTGAAAATGCTAAAGTTCAAGCACTTTCCAAGAAATTATTAGATAAAAGAAATGCACTTGAATTATATTCAGGTAAGGGATTATATGAATTAATATTCAAACATGAAAAGACATACCATCATCATAATAAACAAGTAAATAGTGTCACACTGTCGAGAACAAGCTTAAGAGAAACTAATAGAAAAAATGATCAAGATCAAGATCAAGAAATTGCTGAAGTTCCTAGATTGAAATTATTAGATGAACAAGTTATAAATGATCGATCACATCAAAAAGAGATTCAAATTCAAAAATCTTTAAATAATTTCATGACAGCTGGTTCTGATTCTTCAACTAATTCATCAACAGAAGTATTAAATTCATTTAAAGAATTATTAGACCTTTCATTAGTATAATAAAAATTGATCACATTTCAAGGTGCGTTTAAACAGTGTCTGAACGTCGTATTGTTTACGAAATAGTAATTAGTATACATTAATTTTAATTCGTATATAAATGTTTCAGAATTCCTTTTTTTTTTTTTTATTTTTTTTTCATTTATATTTAGTCAACTATTTATACCCAAGCAAAGCGTTATTCGTCAGTATTACAGCATCCTATGAATAGACCCATATTTCGCACATTCATTCGTTTTAATTCAACAAATGCAAAACAATATATTCGTAAAAAACCAAAATTTTATGATCTTTTAAAAACACCAACTACAAAATCACTACTATTAACATTATTATGTACATCATTCGTATTAGACTTGACTAATAAAAGAAAAGAATTAGAAGTTATGAAATTATCATATGAGAATAAATTCTTAATACTAGATGATATTTTAACTAAATTACTCAATAATGAAAAATTCGATTTGGCGAAGGAATTAAATTTAGCTAATGTATTAACTAAATTTAAATACAATAGTAAGATTGATATTGAATTAGATGAACAATTGGAAGAATTTTTTAAAATGGATGAGGAAGAACTAAGTCATAAATTTGATATAATTGAAGAAGAAGAAACGAAAGCAGTTGATGAAAATGATCAAAAAGTAATTGATACTAGTAAATTCTTATAATACACATATATTTAATTTTATTTAGAAGGAGTTTTATTGTATCCTTATATTATTTCAATTTTCCTAATTGTTCTTCTATGATTATCACCAGTTTGTAGAATCTTCCCTTCTTGTTCTAGTCTCGTTAAACATTTATTTAAATCCAGATTTTCAATTCTAAATGATGATCTTTCATTAATTTTTAAACTTAAATCATTAAATCTTATAAAATTATTATTTTCATCAACAATTTTCATTATTTCATTTGCTAAATCTTCTTGAACTCTTCTTTGTTGATTAGTAGTACCAGTTTGAACCATATCCATATCTATTCTACCAGTAATTGGATCAGTTGCATAATCTTTAATTGCTGATTTAATTAATCTAACTGCTTCTTTAACATCTATTAATTCCACGTGTTGACTTAATCTCATTTTTGCATGGGCTTCGGATAATCTAATCATACTTTCTAATTGTCTTGTAGTTGCTGTAATTCGTTTCTCTGAACTTCTTGCATCTTCTCCCAATTTTCTCATTTCAACATATGCTCTAACTAATTCATTTTTACCTTCTTCTGTCATTTTTGGTTTTATATGTTCTTTTGCATATTGAATATATAAAGTTAACATTTCAACTGGTAATACATATTGTTCATTTACATGTTCTGGTGCATCTTCAATATACATATCAGTTAAATGTCTTGCTAATTGTCTATCAGTAGATTCATTAACTTTATCCAAAATTAAATAAACTAAATCAAATCTTGATAATAATGGTGGTGATAAATCTATATTTTTAGTAACTGGTAAATTAGGATCATATCTTGAATTAATTGGATTAGCAGAGGCTAAAATTGAAGTTCTTGCATTTAATGTTGTAATTATACCTGCTTTTGCAACTGATATTGTTTGTTGTTCCATAACTTCATGTAATATAGATCTTGTTGAATCACTCATTTTATCAAATTCATCAATACAACAAACACCACCATCAGATAAAACTAAAGCACCAGATTCCAAAACTAATTGCTTTGTATCTATATCTCTTGTAACATAAGCAGTTAAACCAACTGCAGAAGAACCTTTACCTGATGTATAAACCCCTCTAGGTGCAATTTTATGAACATATTGTAAAATTTGAGATTTTGAAGTTGATGGATCACCACATAATAAAATATTAATATCACCTCTATATCTACCACCTTTTTTAAAAGTTTTATTAGTACCACCAAATAATTGTAATAATATTCCCTTCTTAACATCATCCATTTCAAAAATTGAAGGTGCTAATGATCTTGCCAATAACTCATATAAATCATCACGTTGTGAAATTTCTTTAATTTGTTCTTGTTCTTCATTTGTTATTTTTCTAATTTCTTCAATATCTGTATCATTTAAAATTCGTTCAGTTTCTGTTTCTAATGTTGTAATATCAGCACCTAATCTTTTTTTATCTAATTTTTTAACATGAACAACATCTAAATAAGTTTTATATAAACTTTTAACTGCTCTTTGTCTTGAATTCACTCTAACTGGTGCTGATCTAAAAATACCACAAACTTCAATACGATCACCAGCTCTACATGAATCAACCAATTCATCATAAACACATAAATTTATAGAATGCGGAGTTTGACCATCTGGTACTAAATCTGGAGTTTCTTGTAATTTAATAACTTGTTTATCAGCAAATGAGGATCTATTTTCTATGATCTGCATTGAATTAGTTTGCGAACAAACTTGTCTTGGACATTTTTTAGGTTCTGGTATAACACCTCTATCTATTTCAACACCAACAGTATGATAACAAGCATTACATTTAAAAAATGCAACTTTCATATCGGGTATAACTGAGGTTGATCTTAATGTAATTCCCTTAACACTAACTAGTTTATCAATATCATTGGGGTTTAAATCTCTCATACCTTTTTCAACAAGATTAATATTATAAGGACGCATAGTATAAATATTTGTTTCAATTTCATCTAAACTTGCAGGTTGTTCAGCAATATCATTATTATCATTTGTAATTTGAATTAAACAATCTTTAACAGTATGATCCATAATTGGAATAATTTCCTGAGGGTAATTTATTAATTGATAATATAATTTTCTAGTTGCCGGAAATGCTAATAAATTTTTAGCATCAAGGTTCAAATTTGTAATTCCCATTTCTCTAATTTCATTTAATTTATTAACATAATATAAATCTTGATCTTCTGGATTAATATCTTGATTGTCCATTTCTTTTCTATATCTATATTTAAAAGATAATAAAAAGTCTCTAAAAATATTTGCAACTTCTTGAATTGAAACATTTGTACCCCATATCACTCTAACTGGTTCATCATTATTAGATCCAAGATCCGAAAAATTGGATGAACTTGATAAATTTGGTTCTGATCTTCTTTCATCTAACCAACTTTCTCCTCTTCTTCTTGGTGACGATAATGGATCATTAACATCTGATCTATGATTTCTTCTAACTATATTATGAACATCATGCATTCTATTTCTTCTTTGAGATGAAAAATTTCCTCCATCACTATTTAAATCTGAAGTATGATGAATTGATGAAGTATAATGCAAAGGTGATGAAATATCTTGATATCTATTTTGACTTTGTGAATTAGTTGGAGCATTTACATCTGAATTTGGATTCGATGATTGGAAAAATAATGGTGATGATGGTACGATTGGATTTTGAGATTGTGATAATGAATCTTGCGGATGACTATTTGATCCATTATTATTTGAATCATAATTATGTAGCGGAGATGAGGACATGATTTAATATATAATTAGTTGTACCAGCAAATAACACTCAAACGAATTCTTATAATAAACTTTGACAACCAACAATCACAGTAAGCTTCCTTTCTATCAATTGATAAACTAAATTGATAAAATGATATTATTTTCGATCTGGTAAATATTTTTTTTTAGTTTTTGTTTCAAATTTTTTGGTTACGCGTCATTTCCTAATTGGGTAAATTAATTAGATATGAAACATTTATACAGTAAGGAAGTTAAAATCAATGCAAGAGGCAATGTAAGGAAGTTACATAAACGTAAGGATGTGTAAAGGAAGCTATTAGCATTGCTACTATACATAAACACATTAGATTACTATTATACAATATTATACAAATTATTATGGATGCAAGTAAGGATCCTAGATTATATTTTATTCAATTGATCGTGACTTTTCGTTCAACGCATCCTTACTCACTATCCTTAATACCACCTTCACTAATAACATAAACACATTCTTTTTCAGGCATATTTGGACTATCTTGAATTTTTCCAACTCTTTCTCCACCTCTCCCCTTTCTTAATAAAATTCTTGTTGCAGAAGCATGAGCTAAAACATGACCACCAACAGGTTTTCTACCATCAGCAGCAGCAAACAATGAAGATGCACCAGGATCAGATTGAACTTGATTAGTTAGAAAAACAGCAATATTATAATCTTCAGCAATTCTTCGTAATTGATTTAAATGTTGATTTAATTTTTGTTGACGTTCATTTAATTCACCTCTACCAGTATAATCAACTCTAAAACAAGCCAAAATTGAATCAATAATTAATAAACGATATGTACCTTCACTAATTTCATGACCCAACTGTTCAATTAATTCAATTTGATGTTCTGAATTTAAAGCTCTAGCGTATGAAATATTTTCTAATACTGTATCTGGATCTACTTCAAATCTAGCAGCTATTGATTTAATTCTTTCTGGTCTAAAAGTACCTTCAGTATCAATGAATGCAACTCTACCTTCTGCACCTCCTAATTCTTTTGGTAATTGAGCTGCTACACATAATGTATGACATAATTGAGTTTTACCGCATCTAAATTCACCAAAAACTTCAGTAATTGACATTGATTGAATTCCACCACCTAAAATCTCATCAAATTGTTTTGAACCAGTGGTGATAGAAAACACATTTTTTCTATTTTCAGAAATAATAGAAGCAGAAATGAATCCAATAGACTAGAAATCAAAAAATTAGTATTTTCACCAAAAATTAACAAATTATTTCAATTTCATACTTTTAATTTACCAGCAGCTTCTTTAATTTTTTCCACTTTAGCTTCACTTAAACCTTTAATTTTGATTAAATTACGCTTTGTAGTTGATAAAACTGACTAAATAAGTCCCCATGGTCAATATTTACTTCGTCAAATAATATAGTCAATACATACTGCAATTGAACAAACACCAGCTAATTTCAATTTATTGATATCACCAGCATTAATACCCAAGTCTTGTAATAAATCAACCAATTGAATACCTGAATCTTCTGAAGTCATTTTTAAGATTTTTGCAACCAATAATAAAAAAATCTGAAACAAAAAAAATATAAATTTGGTAAACAAACAACTTATCAACAGATTTAACAAATTCACTATGAATAGATCAAGAAGTATTTCACCAATTAGAAATAAATCACCAGTACGACTAAATAATTCACCATCTAGACTTGTAAAGTTAAAAACTCCACTGCTAATTCCCAATGTTCCAGTTAGATCTGGGTCTCCTGAACGAAGGTTAAAAATTGATCAAATGGAACAAGATAGGAAAAGATTATTAACTGAGGATAATAATAGTCTACTAGATAAAAAGAAATCGAAATTGGTTAAATTCGATGATACTATTGAATCAAATACTGAAGAAAGTGAAAATACTTTAGGTTTAATACTTGATACTTTGAAAAACATACAGAGTAAATTGGATAATTTAAATAATAGAATGAAATTGATAGAGGAAAAACTAGAGAAAAGGTAAAGATGCAAATAACGATGTAATAATACAAGCTAGTATATTCAATCATTAATATTCTATAATTCGTTATAATTACCTCAAATTTACTCCTATTTCTTCTCACGTATTTAAATCTATATAACCATCCTCTATTGAAATCCATTATTTACCCTTTAAAATTCCATATTTTAAATAGTTTAACCACTTGCGCGTGTGATATTGCTTAAATTTGGGTATTAAACTTCTTTCTTGCCAACTCCTCAATCTTAAACCTCTGATTACCATTTTAAAAATCAATATTTTTAGTAGTTTGACCACCTTCTTGTGTTGTATTAGTATCCTTATCACCATCCTCAACAGGAATACCCCACTCTTCAATCTCAAACCTCTTCCTACCATTTTTAAAAGCATACTCACCATAATGAACAAGCATCAATCCCTTCTCACTCAAAATTGGAATTTTCACAATATTAACTAAGCCCTGTTGTATCTTACTTGGTTCATTTCTATATGCTTTTTCAATCAATTGACTCATTTCCTGATCGAATGGCTGTAAAATAACGACCCCATCAAATAAATTTTCAAAAATCTTAACCACATCATTATCCCTACTATACAAATCAAGTGAAATAGAACTTATAAGCACCAAACTGGAATATTCTCTCAATAAAGATCTAAGTGAATGAATAAAGGGGATTATGAAATTTGCTGAATGTAATTGTGGTGGATAGATGGATGGATTTAATAAATTTGGAATAATTAATCTTATTACTTTATTTGAATGTTGTTTTATAATGCTTTTGATTTGTGAAATTATGCTTTGGTATGAGTTTGATAGTTGTATATAAGAAATATCTGCTTTATTGGGCCCTGGTGTAAGTTTTTGAGTTAGGTCGAATTGATTATTATAGTGTTCATATGTACTATTCTCTTGATTCTGTTCTTCTGATTTTTTTTGGTTAAGGCCGTATCTCCATGCAATTTTTAAATCATTTGATGCTAAATTTGAAACACTTACTTTTGATTCTTGTTCTGCTATTTTTGCCTTTTTTTGCTCTTTTGATGATCCCTTGTATATACCCGGTAAATCATTCGACCATGTACTAGATAAACCGAGGACTATGATATGGGATTGTAGATTCTCTGTTATTCTATTATGTAGAATACCTTGAGATGCAAATGCCCTAATTATAACTGATGCAAAATCTGTTGTCCCTGATTCTTCAATAAGTAATGATGTTCCTAATGGCAAACCCTGATGTAATAATATTTTATCCAAGTCGGATGTCCCAGTTGATGTGGTTGGTTGTGATGTTACTAGTGATGGTCTAACCCCTGGATTATTTGAAATGTCTTGTTTAGCGATGGGTGCTATTTCTTGTTTTCTAACACCAATATTAATTGGTTGTCTACCTGGTACAGCTGCATTTGGTATTCTTAATGGTAATTGCCTTGGATTTCTATCAACAGCAGTAGGCTGTATTCGCGTTCCACCTATTATTTCACTTCTTTTCCTAAATGACATTTGGTTGTTTCAGAATAGAATTGAAAAAAAAAAATATATATATATTGTTTCAAATTTTCACCAGGTGAATAATCATTTTATGCCAATCGAAAGGGCATCCTCCTTACAATTAACATTGTTACAATGGCTAAAGATACATATCTTAAAAAAGTATTAGGTGAAGACAATCTTAACAAATTAAAAGATTCCAAAATTTTATTAGTTGGAGCTGGTGGAATTGGTTGTGAATTATTGAAAAATTTGGTATTAACAGGTTATGGAGAAATTCATATAGTTGACCTCGACACAATAACATTATCAAACCTAAATCGTCAATTCTTGTTTAGGAAACTAGACATAGATAAATCAAAAGCATTCACAATAGCAAAAGCGGCAGAACGTTTCAATTATCTTGGTGCTAAGTTAATTCCATATCATGGTAATATCATGGATACAAAACTATTTCCTATTTCATGGTGGAGTCAGTTTTCATATATTCATAACGCATTAGATAACGTAGAAGCAAGACAATATCTTAACAAAATGTCATTATTTTTAAAAAAACCATGGGTTAATTCTGGAACTCAGGGGTTTGAAGGTCAAGTTCATGCCATATATCCATTTTATTCTGAATGTTATGATTGTTTACCGAGAGATAAAGCACCTACTACTTATCCTGTTTGTACGATTAGATCAACTCCACTGGAACCCATTCATTGTATTACTTGGGGTAAGGAATTTTTATATTTACAGTTGTTTGATGAGAATGAAGTTTTTGAATTGAATGATATGGATCAAATTAAAAATGAAACTGATGATAAAGATGAGATTGAAAATTTGAAAGAGGAAGTTAATGAATTAAGTGAATTAAAGAATAAGATTATAAATGAAGATAACTTTAATGTTGTGTTTGATCTGTTTATGAATAAGATATTTAATGATGATATTGAAAGATTATTACGTATTGAATCACTATGGAAAATAAGAGAGAAACCAACTCCATTAAAACTTGATTCTTATTCTACACAACTAACTGCATTAATTAAAGAAAATAAAAAATCAATTGTGTTGAATGAGACTGGGGTATGGTCAGTTCTTGATAACATTTACATATTATATCAATCAACCAAAAGTTTAAGAGATAGAATTAGATCAGGGAAGGAAAGTTTCATCTCATTCGATAAAGATGATGAAGATACTTTAAATTTCGTAGCTTCTGCATCAAATTTAAGATCATTTATATTTAATATTGAAATGAAATCTAAATTTATAATTAAAGAATTGGCAGGTAATATAGTCCCAGCAATTGCTACTTCAAATGCAATTATCTCGGGTCTTCAATGTCAAAGTGGAATAAGACATTATCAAAAAACAAAAGACCTCTTCAATTCCGACTTTTCAGAAAGACTCACTGACACCAAATATTCATTCTCCAAACATATATTTAGTAAATTGTTATCATTTTCAAGTATTCATGCAGCAAGGATTGAATGTCACACATGTAGAAAAGCAAGAGGGATATTAAAAATTGGAGAATCACAATACCACAAATTAACACTACAATGGTTCATTGACAAATTACAAGAAAATTATGGATTTGATTCTGAATTTATTTCAATAGAAATTGGAAATTCTAAATTGATTTATGATGTTGATTTTGATGATTATTTAAATACTACACTAGATAAGGTTCCAAATTTTAAAAATAATGATACGATATTGATCTTAGATGATTCTGATAACCTCGAAAATCTTGAATTTTATTTATTAATTGATAATGAAGAAAAGGATATTATCGAATTTCCTAAATTGAAATTAAGAATTAAATATATACCACCTGTTGAACCAGAAGAGGAATTTCAATTAGCTAAACCTGGAGAATATAAAAAACATGAAGAGGTTGAAGTTTGTGATGATGATGATGGTGTTATTGAAATATTAGATGAAAGTGAAGAAGAACAAGAACAAGAGATTGAAACTAAAAAGCATAAATTAGATGATGATGTTATAAATCTTGATTCGGAAGAAGAAGAAGAAGAAGAAGAAGAAGCACCAACTAAAAAGAGAAAACTTGAATAGAATACTGAATATATGTTTACGCACCAACTAAAAAGAGAAAAGAAGAAGAAGAAGAAGAAGAAGAAGAAGCACCAACTATAAAGAGAAAATTTGAATAGAGTACCGAATATATGTTTTTTTTTTAGTCTCTGTTGCATGGTTACCTTTGAATTTAATTTGCATCATTACTGAACTTGGTAGCATCCAAGATCAATCTTGCTTAACCTTTGGTTAATTTTTTCCCACTGTGATTTTTCTTTTTTTTTACCTTCCATTATATTCATATTTATATTCATATTCATATTCATTTTCTTAATTTGAATATTTAAGTTCTATATTAGTCAATTGGGTTGGTTTTTTTATTATCATGTCTTGGCAAGCTTATACTGATAATTTAATAGCAGGTAATAAATTAGATAAAGCTGCTTTATATTCAAGAAATGGTGATTCTTTATGGGCACAATCTGGTCAATTTCAGTTAGACAATAAAGAAATTTCAGAAATTGCAAAAGGTTTTGATGATCCTTCTAATTTACAAGCTCATGGATTATATGCTCAACAACAAAAATATTTTCTTTTAAGAAATGATGATAGATCATTATATGGTAAACATGAAGCTGAAGGATTAATTTGTGTTAGAACTAAACAAACTATTTTAATTGCTCATTATCCTAGTGGAGTTCAACCTGGAGAAGCTACAACTATTGTTGAAAAATTGGCTGATTATTTAATTGGTGTTGGATATTAAACAATTGAGAATACAATAATTAAATAACTAACGAAATCTATTATGATATACATTTATTTATAATATATTACATAAATGTATTTATAATATATTACATAAACGTATTTATAATATATTACATAACTGTATTTATAATAGATTACATTTAGTTATAGAAGGCGAAAAAAGATTTAATGGAGTTTAAAAAGAAGAACAAGAAGAAGAAAATGAATATTGTTAGATATGTTTTGTTTATACCAAATAAATAAGTTAAATAAGTTAAATAAGTTAATATATAATATATATACTGAATAGAGAGACAAGAGATAGTATTAAATCACCAAAGAGTGTTTAATAGTCAGATCAAAAATATTAAAGTAGAGTTTTTCTATCCATTGAAAATTCAAAGTGATTGAAAATTCACAGTGATTGAAAATTCAAAGTGATTTAAAATTCAAAGTGATGGAAATTTGCACTAATTTCGAAAGGGAAAAAACTCGGGAAAGTGTGTCAAATGAGTGATGATTTCAAACTAGTAATCTACCGTATATTTGAATGAATCATATAAAAAGCAATAGTATTTAGTAGTAATTGCTAACAACTTAACTACTTAACTAGTTAAGAAAAAGGTTGCAAATTTACACTAATAAAATTTTACTATGCACAAAGGGTCAAAAAAAAATTATATGGGATGGTATAGTAATTTTTCAGATAAATTTAATTAAATAACCAACAACCAAAAGTATTATTCATATATTGATTAACTATTGGCGCTTGTAATAGAAAGACTGAAATTTTTGTATCATTAATCATAATTTAATACCCCATGTATAATAATGTTTATAAAATGAAAGGCTATTTTCCAACTCAAAGTTTACTAATATTAGGTCCTATATTTTTAATAGCTTCAGAATTTATAGTTAGTAAATTTTCAAAACCTGGAGGAAGTAAAGGTGCTAAATTAAGAAGTTTGTCATCAAGTGGATCTTCATCACCATCATCATCATCATCATCATCACCATCATCATCAACTACTGCTTACCTTTCAACTAATAATAATAATAGAAATATGTATCGATCAACTTGGCTTGAAAAATATCTAGATGAGTCAACTACATCTGGAAAATAAGTTAATAATGATCAAAAGCTCTTACTTCCACAATACCTTTTTAAATCAATGGTAAAAAAAGAAGACAATATCAAATACCCTTATACCACGTTTGTTTTGTTTGTTTGTTTGTTTGTTTGTTTGTTTGTTTGTTTGTTTGTTTGTTTGTTTGGTTTTATTTATTTCGATTCATTCCTTTATTTGTTTGTCGTTTTGGTTTATTAGATATTTACTTCGTGTCAATCATTTAAGCTTTATAAATTTAATTTAAAATCAGGTTACTTATAGTGAATTCTACTATTCTATTAGACTCTAATCTACTAGTAGTCCTCGGAATAGTCCTCGGAATAGTCCTCAAATCTGAATGTAAAATTACCAAACAATATGAGCAATGTGGTAGCAGAGTGATTTCCAACGGCATCATTAGGTTTTGTAGCTTTTGATTCTTCTAAACCAGTACTGATTCTAGCTTCAGTATTAATGGCTGCAAAATGTCAGTCTGCATATAAACTAATTACATAATCATGTCCCATATCTTACATAATCATGGTATATCTTACATAATCATAGAATTTTTATTCATCATAATTTTAATTGGTCAAAAATAGAAACCAATTTGTTTTAAATAAGCTGAAAAAAAAAAAAATTACACCATACAAAGCACCAGGGTTGAAATAACATCATTTTAATATAACAATACAGCATATTTATACTTTCACTCATTCATTAAAACTACCTTTAAAGTTTTCATATTTAATTCATATTTAATTCATATTTCAGCATAATTTTACAATATGATATCTAGATCAATAAAAACAACATCTATAAAATCATCAATACCAAAAATAACAACATTTAAAAGATACAACTCATCACATAATCATGACGACCACCACCATCATCAATCAGAAGCAAAAGCAATTCAAATAACATTTGCCAAAATTTTTCTGATTGCTGCTTTACTTGGTGGTTTCTTAGTCTACAAGAATAAGGATAATACAGAATTGCCTATTTTACAATCTCAATTAATTGATTATCAATTAGATGGAACTCGTGTGAAATTAAGAGATGAAAATTTTAACAAGAAATATGATGTTGGATTTACTAGAGTTTTTGCTTTAGATAATGGTGGTATTGGACAAACTATTAGAAAAAATAAAGTTGATATACCTATGAACTATAATTTAATACCTGCTCATTCTCCATTTGGTAAAAATTTCGGTCAAGGTATAAAATTAAATGAATTGGGTCCAAGAAGAGAAAGATTAAGAAAATTTGCACCATTGGAGAGTGAAAACTAAATGAGAAAAAACCACAGTTAATGAGAGACTAGAAATTGCAAGAACCAGAAATAAGGGACATCATTGAAGGATTGCAATTTTAAGTTTTGAATGGAATGATTAGCATTTAATAGAAACACTTTTTTAATACACAATTGAATTATGTAAAATAAGAACCTCTCAAAATTTTAAGCTCTGTAATGGCTTCTAAAGATTTGTAATGACTTCTAAAGATTTGTAAATGTTGGTTCGTGTTGTCTTGAAACTATCAAATCGCATACTATCAGTTTCAATTTTTTTTCGTTCTCTCCACAATTTTTCAAACTTCAATAAATATATACCTTTCATTCGTTCTTTGATTTATCATTTTGAATGAACAATTACATTTTCAAATTGAGACCAAACCAATTTAAGTCATTTTCCAGAGCCATGTCAACTGAATACAACGTCATTATTTATGATTTACCAAATACCGATAGATCAAAAGTTAGACCAAAACACGTAGCTGCCATACCTCCAGTAGTTCCGAATCCAGTTAGATCTGCAGGTGCAATATATACGGATGAAACAAAGACTAAATTTGCAGGAAGTGCTTTTCATTTAGTTGCAAATTCAAAAGATGAAGTTATTGAATTTTTGAAAAAAGATATTTACTATAAAGAAGGTATTTGGGATATTAATAATGTTGTAATTAATCCTATTGGAGTTGCTGTTAGATTACCTAAGAAAATGGATGGTGTTGATGAATCTAATTATAAGATTTGATTGGGAGCAAAAAAACGGTAAACGCGGTTTCAGAATATAATTAGTTACAATTAGTTATATTTGTACAATTTTCAAAATATCTACGAATTTATATTAGGATATAATTACTTAAATTATGAAAGTCAAAAAATTAATATAAGCTTAGTTAATAGGATTCATCTACTCTTCGCTCTTTGCTCTTTGCTTTTCGTATTATATGTCTTGGGTTCAAAAATACCATTTAAAGTAGTCGCCATTCGACGTTTAATACAGATACAGAAATCTACTAATCTACATGCACCGATGAGAAAGAGATGTCATTTCTCTGGAATTATTTTGTCATGATTTGGATTCGAAGAATACTATGTAATTTTCCGAGAAACCAAAGCCAGGCTTTTATCAATTATTAGAGGTGGCTTACTGATATTTAAGAGTCCAATTTCGATCTTTTGACTTTAGTACACTTAAACATAAAACTGATAGTTAATTTGATACGAATGATTGCTTGTTGAATAATATTTTTTAGGTTGTTATTGTGTTGTTCTTGAACTAGCTATAATCGATAATCGATTTTAGATTATTTTTAGTACCGTCCAAACCTTAACACACACATTGACATTTTTCTGTAAGTGATAGCAATAAAAACAAGGATCATAAGTATTTTAATATAAAATCTATAATTTATGTATAGACGCTAATTGTATTTTGAATCAGATGATTACCATTGCTATCTATATTAATAAAAATACCCATTCTTTTATGTGAAATCCATTAATGAACTCCATCAAATCAACCTGAGCTTATCAATTGGTCATTGCCGACTTGATTCATATACCACTGATTAAGCAAATTTCATCATATTAGTGTTTCAAATCTCTTTTATTTTTTATTTTTGTGTTTTTATTTCCCTTTTTGGCCAGTTTTCGATTTACGCGTTTGTGTAATTTTCTTAGCAGTATTTTAGATTTTTTTCTTTATCTGACGGCTATATAAAAATTGTATAACCTTAAGAAGATGAAGGAATTACGTGAACAATTGCTAGTTTATTTTTAGATTTATTAATACTTTCAAATTGTTTTAATTCGTACAATTATTCAACGTATTTGTTATCCTGATACAATTTCATTAAATATCCTTACTACAAGTTTTAATTGAAATTCTTACCTTTATTGTGAATCAATTATAAACGCCCTTATTGGTATATTTAATCATGACTGATGTTGAGAAAACTAGTTTTCCACATGAATATCATGGGTACAATAATCAAGTAGCCACCGAAATTAAAGAATTAGCAAGGAGATTCTCCTATGCTTCAAGTCAACAACCACATCCACAACAACAAAAGAATCAAGAAAACGTAAGAAAAAATTCAACCACCACCAAAGTTAGCTCCAATGAAGATAATCAAAAAATAGAAACAAGTGGAGAAGTAGCCGATCAAGGTTTAATTCCTTTTCAAGATGGTAAAATCCCTGATTCAAGATTAGATCCAAATTCACCAGATTTTGATTCTGTATTTTGGATTCAAAATGCCAGAAAATTAACCTTAGGTGATCCTGATTATTTTAAACCAATTCAATTAGGTGTTGCTTATAAAGATCTCCGTGCTTTTGGAGAAGCTTCAGATTCAGATTATCAGACTACTATAATTAATTCTGTGCCTAAATTTATAACTAGATTCTTTCGGGAATATATTTTAAGAAATACTGGTCCAAAATTTGATATTTTAAAACCAATGGATGGATTAATTAAACCTGGTGAAGTTACAGTTGTTTTAGGTAGACCTGGTGCTGGTTGTTCAACATTTTTGAAAACTATTGCTTGTCATACATATGGTTACCATGTTGATAAAAATTCATTAATTCGATATAACGCTTTAACTCCAAAGGATGTGAAGAAGCACTTCCGTGGTGAAGTGGTATATTGTGCTGAGACAGAGCAACGTTGGTATACCTTTCAACAAGCTTGTTTGGTTCAAGCTTGTTTTTATGATTTTTGATTCAACATTGGTGGTTTTTTGCAACCTCGCAATTGGTAGCACCCCGATGTACTGAATCTAAATGACTTAAATGAAACTTAACTTATACTAACTTTAATTTTCTAGATTTTCCACATTTAACAGTTGGTGATACATTAAATTTTGCTGCTAAATTAAGAACTCCACAAAATAGACCCTTGGGAGTTAGTAGAGATGATTATGCAAAACATATAACTGATGTTGTAATGGCCATTTTTGGTTTATCGCATACTAGAAATACTAAAGTTGGTGATGATTTTGTTAGAGGAGTTTCTGGAGGTGAAAGGAAAAGAGTTTCTATTGCTGAAATTACTTTAAATAATGCAATGGTTCAATGTTGGGATAATTCAACAAGAGGTTTAGATTCTGCAACTGCTTTAGAATTTATAAAAGCAATTAAACTGAGTGCTGATATAATGCATACAACTCCATTAGTTGCAATTTATCAAGCTTCACAGGATGCTTATGATTTATTCGATAAAGCTATTGTTTTGTTTGAAGGTTATGAAATTTATTTTGGATCAACTAAAGAAGCAAAACAATATTTTTTAGATATGGGTATGTTGTAAGGATGCAACTAGAGTAAAGGATGCAATATTAACATTTTTATAGGATTTGATTGTCCTGCAAGACAAACTACAGCAGATTTTTTAACTTCATTAACTAATCCAGCTGAAAGAATTATCAAAAAAGGTTTTGAAGGTAAAACTCCAAATACACCAGAAGAATTTTATGAAAGATGGCAAAATTCACCACAACGTAAACAATTATTAATTGAAATTGATGAATATTTAGAACAACATAATAATGAAGAAGAAAAAGAAGAAGTTAAAGAATATCATATAGCAAGACAATCAAAACATTTAAAACCTGCATCTCCATATACTGTAAGTTTCATGATGCAAGTTAAATATATCTGTCTTAGAAATTTCTTAAGAATGAAAGGTAGTCCAACAATTCATTTATCACAAATTTTCGGTAATATTTTTATGGGTTTAATTATTAGTTCAATCTTTTATAATTTACCAAATACAACTGATACATTTTATCATAGAACCGCAGCTTTATTTTTCGGTGTTTTATTTAATGCTTTTTCATGTTTATTAGAAATTTTTAGTCTTTATGAAGCAAGACCAATTGTTGAAAAACACAAAAAATATGCATTGTATCATCCTTCAGCTGATGCAATGGCAAGTATTATAACTGAAATTCCAACAAAATTAATTATTGCAATTTTTTTCAATTTGATTTATTATTTTATGATTAATTTTAGAAGAAATGCCGGTAACTTTTTCTTTTATATGTTGGTTAATTTTAGTGCTACTTTGGCAATGTCTCATTTATTTAGTATGTCTGAAAAAAAAAAAATTGGCTGCAAAAAAACTAACTTATATACAGGATGTATCGGTGCTGCTACCAAATCATTACAAGAATCCATGACACCAGCTTCTATTCTTTTACTTGCTTTGACAATCTTCACAGGGTTCGTCATTCCGACCCCATTGATGCATGGATGGTGTAGGTGGATTAACTACTTGGACCCATTGGCTTATGCTTTTGAATCGTTAATTGCAAACGAATTTCATAATAGACTTTTTGATTGTTCAAAATTTGTCCCTTCTGGTGGAAATTACCCTACAACAGGTTCAAATAGAATTTGTTCAGTAGTTGGAAGTATTCCAGGTCAAAATTTTGTAAATGGTACAAATTATATGGAACAATCTTATTCTTATAGAAATTCACATCGTTGGCGTAATTGGGGTATAGTCATTGGCTTTGTTGTGTTTTTCTTCTTTGTTTATATATTTCTTTGTGAGATTAATAAAGGTGCAATGCAAAAGGGTGAGATCTTATTGTTCCAGCAAAACGCATTAAAGAAAAGAAAGAAAATGAAAAAAGATTTAGAAACTGGTAAACTTGAAAAAGTCCCTAGTGATTTTGAAAATCAAGCTGGTGATGTAGATGAAGATAAATTACCAAGTACTGGAGACATATTCTTTTGGAGAGAATTAACTTATGAAGTTAAAATTAAAACTGAAACAAGAACAATTTTAAATCATATTGATGGTTGGGTTAAACCTGGTCAAGTAACTGCATTAATGGGTGCTTCAGGTGCTGGTAAAACTACGTTATTAAATGCCCTAAGTGAAAGATTAACAAGTGGAAAAATTACTGATGGTACAAGAATGGTTAATGGTCATGATTTAGATTCATCTTTCCAAAGATCAATTGGATATGTTCAACAACAAGATTTACATTTAGAAACAAGTACAGTAAGAGAAGCTTTAAAATTTTCTGCATATTTAAGACAACCTAAGTCAGTACCAAAAAAAGAAAAAGATGATTATGTTGATTTTGTAATTCATTTATTAGAAATGGAAAAATATTCAGATGCTGTTGTTGGTGTTCAAGGTGAAGGATTAAATGTGGAACAAAGGAAAAGATTATCAATTGGTGTTGAATTAGTCGCAAAACCAAAATTATTATTATTCCTTGATGAACCTACTTCTGGTTTGGATTCTCAAACTGCATGGAGTATCTGTAAATTAATAAGAAGATTAGCTGATAATGGTCAAGCTATCTTATGTACAATTCATCAACCTTCAGCAATTTTATTAAAAGAATTTGATAGATTATTATTTTTACAAAGAGGGGGTCAAACTGTTTATTTTGGTGATTTAGGAAAAGATTGTACTACTCTTACTGATTATTTTGAAAAATATGGTGCTGATAAGTGTCCACCAGAAGCTAATCCAGCTGAATGGATGTTAGATGTAATTGGAGCAGCACCAGGATCAAAAGCAACCCAAAATTATCATGATGTATGGTTAAATTCAAGTGAGTTTAAAGCAGTTAACGATGAATTAGATAATATGCAAGAGGAATTAGTTAAAAAACCAATTGATGATAATCCTGAAAATTTTAAATCTTATGCTGCTCCATTTTGGTTACAATATATTTTGGTAACTAAAAGAGTTTTTGAACAAAATTGGAGATCTCCAACTTATATATATTCAAAATTTTTATTAACTATTACATCAACAATATTTAATGGATTTGTTTTCTTCAAAGCTGATAAATCGTTACAAGGTTTACAAAATCAAATGTTTTCAGTGTTTATGTTTTTAGTTATATTCAATACTTTAGTTCAACAATATTTACCTACATTTGTATCACAAAGAGATTTGTATGAGGTTAGAGAACGTCCTTCAAAAACTTTCAGTTGGGTTGCATTTTTAGCTGCACAAGTTACTTCTGAAATACCATGGAATATATTAATTGGAACACTTGGATTCTTTTGTTGGTATTATCCAGTTGGATTATATAATAATGCAGCTGAAACAAATACAGTTCATGATAGAGGAGCATTTATGTGGTTTACAATTGTATTATTTTTTGTATATTGTTCGACAATGGCTCAATTATGTATTTCATTTATTGAAATCGATGATAATGCAGCAAATTTAGCAACTTTGTTATTTACAATGTGTTTAAATTTTTGTGGTGTTTTGGTTGCAAAAGAAGAATTACCAGGATTTTGGATTTTCATGTATAGATGTAATCCATTTACTTATTTAATAAGTATAATGTTATCAGTTGCATTATATGATTCATCAGTTACTTGTGCACAAACTGAATTATTAAAATTTGAACCTCCAAATGGATATACTTGTCAACAATATATGGAACCATATATCAGTGTAGCTGGTGGATATTTATTAAATAAAGAATCAACATCACAATGTGAATATTGTGAGATGGATAATACGAATATGTTTTTAAGTCAAGTTGGTGCTAATTATCATACGAGAGGAAGAGATTTAGGTATATTTATTGCATTTATTGTAATTAATATAGTCGGTACATTTTTATTTTATTATTTGGCAAGAGTTCCAAAGAATTTTAGTTTTAAATTTCAGAAAAAGCGTTAAGTAAGGATGCCAACACGGTAAGGACGGACGTCAGTTAATTCAGTTAATAGAATGTGAATGTATAGTAGATATTTATATTTGGCTGCAAAATCTCTGACACAAAGATTATGTAATCTGCTTATCATATGTTACATATTACATAATATTTTTGATTTGCAGTGGGTGGCAAAAACTAAATGTCAAGATTTTCAATTTACGGAATTGGTAAATTAGAACTTTATAAGTAGATTAAGTAGAGATTTATACTCTGAGTCCATTAGTAATTGATATTAACCAGTCAATGGCGATATGTAGTATTGTTTACCACCCATTTGTTCTATTTCGTTCCATTTCTCGTGCTAATATAATTTTATATTTGTCAATTTCTCGCATACAAAAATCAAATTTCAACCACTTTTTTTTTTGATTTCCTTATTAATATATAACTTTCTTTTGCAATTAAAGATCATTAGAAGAATACCTTAATTTAAAGTCAATTATATATATTATCAATTGAAATTAATTCTAATGACTGCTGACGAAGATAAAAAAACTCATTACGATGCTTCTGGAGCTTCAGCTGTTGATGATAAGACAGCAACGGCGATTTTAAGAAGAAAAAAAAAGGATAATGCTTTAGTTGTTGATGATGCTACAAATGATGATAATTCAGTTATTACAATGTCTTCAAATACAATGGAATTATTACAATTATTTCGTGGTGATACTGTTTTAGTTAAAGGTAAAAAAAGAAAAGATACTGTTTTAATTGTTTTAGCTGATGACGATATGGATGATGGTGTGGCAAGAATTAATAGATGTGTTCGTAATAATTTAAAAGTCAGATTAGGTGATATTATTACTGTTCATCCATGTCCTGATATTAAATATGCAAATAGAATTTCTGTATTACCAATTGCTGATACTGTTGAAGGTATTACAGGTTCATTATTTGATATCTATTTAAAACCTTATTTTGTTGAAGCTTATAGGCCAGTTAGAAAAGGCGATTTATTTACTGTTAGAGGTGGTATGAGACAAGTAGAATTTAAAGTTGTTGAAGTTGATCCTGAAGAAATTGCCATTGTTGCTCAAGATACTATAATTCATTGTGAAGGTGAGCCAATAAATCGTGAAGATGAAGAAAATAATTTAAATGATGTTGGTTATGATGATATTGGAGGTTGTAAAAAACAAATGGCTCAAATCAGAGAATTGGTTGAATTACCGTTAAGACATCCTCAATTATTTAAATCAATTGGTATTAAACCACCAAAAGGTATTTTAATGTACGGTCCTCCAGGTACTGGTAAAACTATTATGGCAAGAGCAGTTGCTAATGAAACTGGTGCTTTTTTCTTTTTAATTAATGGTCCAGAAATTATGTCAAAAATGGCTGGTGAATCAGAATCAAATTTAAGAAAAGCTTTTGAAGAAGCTGAAAAAAATTCTCCATCTATAATATTTATCGATGAAATTGATTCAATTGCTCCAAAAAGAGATAAAACAAATGGTGAAGTTGAAAGAAGAGTTGTTTCACAATTATTAACTTTAATGGATGGTATGAAGGCAAGATCAAATGTTGTTGTTATTGCTGCTACTAATAGACCAAATTCAATTGATCCTGCTTTAAGAAGATTTGGTAGATTTGATAGAGAAGTTGATATTGGTGTACCTGATGCTGAAGGTAGATTAGAAATTTTAAGAATTCATACAAAAAATATGAAATTAGCTGAAGATGTTGATTTAGAAGCAATTGCTGCTGAAACTCATGGTTTTGTTGGTGCTGATATTGCTTCATTATGTTCAGAAGCTGCAATGCAACAAATTAGAGAAAAAATGGATTTAATTGATTTAGAAGAAGAGACTATTGATACTGAAGTTTTAGATTCTTTAGGTGTTACACAAGATAATTTTAGATTTGCCCTTGGTAATTCAAATCCATCAGCATTACGTGAAACTGTTGTTGAAAATGTTAATGTTACATGGGATGATATTGGTGGTTTAGATAATATTAAAAATGAATTGAAAGAAACTGTTGAATATCCTGTTTTACATCCAGATCAATATCAAAAATTTGGTTTAGCACCAACAAAAGGTGTTTTATTTTTTGGACCACCAGGTACTGGTAAAACATTATTGGCAAAAGCAGTTGCAACTGAAGTTTCAGCAAATTTTATAAGTGTTAAAGGACCAGAATTATTAAGTATGTGGTATGGTGAATCAGAATCAAATATTCGTGATATTTTTGATAAAGCAAGAGCAGCAGCACCAACAGTTGTATTTTTAGATGAATTAGATTCAATTGCAAAATCAAGAGGTGGATCTCAAGGTGATGCAGGAGGAGCATCAGATAGAGTTGTTAATCAATTATTAACAGAAATGGATGGTATGAATGCTAAAAAAAATGTATTTGTAATTGGTGCAACAAACAGACCAGATCAAATAGATCCTGCATTATTAAGACCTGGTAGATTAGATCAATTAATTTATGTTCCATTACCAGATGAAGCAGCAAGATTATCAATTTTACAAGCTCAATTAAGAAATACACCATTAGAACCAGGATTAGATTTAAAAGAAATTGCAAAAATTACAAATGGATTTTCAGGTGCTGATTTATCATATATTGTACAAAGATCAGCAAAATTTGCAATTAAAGATTCAATTGAAGCACAAGTTAAATTGAATCAAATTAAAGAAGAAAAGAAGAACGGAGAAGATGTTGATATGAAAGGTGAAGGTGAACAAGAAGAAGAAGAAGAAGAAGATCCAGTACCATATATAACCAGAGCTCATGTTGAAGAAGCAATGAAGACAGCAAAAAGATCAGTTAGCGATGCAGAATTACGTCGTTATGAAGCATATGCTCAACAATTACAAGCATCAAGAGGTCAATTTACAAATTTTAGATTTACTGAAAATCAAGGAGTAAATGATAATGGAACTATAAATTCGAATTCAGGAGGAGCAGCATTTGGTAATGTTGAAGAAGATGATGATTTGTATAGTTAGTTGAAATATAATATATGTTTAGTTGTAAGGATGCAATAATGTATGTAAGGATGCCTAATAAAACTAATTGGTAATTTTGCACGAAATAACCCCAATCGGATAATTTTATATCGAACCAATTCCTTTTCTTTCTGATAACTATTATAGTTAACTAAAACAATGTCAATTGCTTCTAATGCTTCTTGTATTTTTTGTAAAATTATAAAAGGAGAAATTCCTTCTTTTAAATTAATTGAAACTACTAAAACTTATTCATTTTTAGATATTCAACCAACAAGTGAAGGTCATGTTTTAATTATACCAAAATATCATGGTGCAAAATTACATAATATTCCAGATGATTATTTAAGTGATTTATTACCAGTTGTTAGAAAATTAACAAAAGTATTAAAATTAGATGAAAATGATACTCCTGAAGGTGAAGGTTATAATATATTACAAAATAATGGTAGAATTGCACATCAAATAGTTGATCATGTTCATTTTCATTTAATTCCAAAGAAAAATGATAAATCAGGATTAATTGTGGGATGGCCAGCTCAAGAAACTAATTTTGAAAAATTGGGTAAATTTCATGAAGAATTGAAGAAAGAATTAGAAAAGGAAGAAAAATTGTGAGGATGTAAGGATACAATAAATACTTCAAACAAACCTTATTAATAAATATATATTACAATATACCGCCAATTAAACCACCTATATAACCAACAATATAACTTGAAAAAAATGTCAAAGTTGTAGCACCAAAAGGGAAATAACTAACAGTATAATAAATGACCGCCAATATTTCAACAATACTAGTGAATATAGTCAATATACTACTTTTTAAAATGACTGAACTATATAAAGTTAATAAAATTGAACTAAAAAATATAACAGTGAAAACAATTCTTTCTTTTGATAATAGATGTCGTATATAACTGTAAGGTCCCTGTAATATACCAAATGATAGAACAAATAAAATTGACCCACCAGTCCATAATAGACCAAATTTTCTTGGTCTTAATGCTAAGATAGGAAACATGAAAAAACATAATATAAAACATAAAATAGATGCAGATAAACAACAAGTAAAACCAATTAATTTTTCTAATCTAGATAATTTAAACCATGATGGTTCTTCTTCTTGTTGTTGTTTATTTAAATCTTGAATTGAAGTTGGGAGCCTAGTATATAAATCATTTGCACTGGATTTGAAATAATCCGTCCATTCAGTTAATACGGGTCTATTATTTGTATTATTAGATCTATTATTCCAACTATTAAACAGTTCTCTAAATATATTTTCTGAATCTGTTGACATCTATAGTTATGTACTGATAAAGAATTGTGATCGTGTAATAATAATTTTATCGTGTAACATATTTAAAAATTAGTCGTGCCCATGGCCCAAAAATACTACCCGAAATACTAATTTTTATTACGAAACAATAAATATAAATTAAATTGATTACTGCACCAATTTACAACCAATTATTACAAGTGATAATTCATTCCTTACTTAGAGACGCTGCTATTGAAACTACAATCAATTGATAATCACTATAATTTACTTGCTGGTCTTGCTATTCAAATTAATCCACAGTCAATCCCAAGGTATATTCAATTAATTAGGAATCTTTAAATTAAATTAAATAAATATCAAAGATGGAAAATTATTTAAAAGATAGTCCATCTGATAACAATGCTACTTCAACTGCAAATAGTCAATCAAACAATTATGATCAATATAGATATAATCCACAATTTAATGATAATTTAAATAATAATTTTGAATTTAATTATGATCAAAATCAAGAAGGTAATAATGATTTCTCATTAAATTTAAATTACACAGATTATAATCAAAACAATAACAATAACGATTGTAATAATCAACAATCTAACTTCAATGCAAATAATTTAACCACTGGTGATTATTTAAGCCCCATGGGATTTTCATATAGTCAACAACAAGATTCAAACTACAACACTAATAATCAAAAATTTTCAAATCCTGGCTCATTTAATGAACCCTTCTTCGATGATGTTGCATTTTCACAAGCTATATTAGCACCACAATTATCAAACAACCCAAGTCAAAGTCAAAATTCAAATTTATCACCTACATTGTCTCCTCAACAACAACCATTCATTAATCCTATGACTACATCTGCAAATTTAGATGAAATTATATCACCAAATAATTATGATGAATCAAATTCATTTTTAAATCCACAATATTTTTCACCACCAAATAATAAAGGTAATCATTTTAAATCATTAAATTCAATAGCGGAAGACACAACATATCAAGATAATTTTAGTCCTGAATATTCAAGACATGGAAGTATAAGTGGTCCATCATATAATCAACAACAAAACTACAACCAAGCTCAAAATCTTCAACCAGATATAGTTTCCGGTTCGTATTTATCACCACAATTTAATCCACCATCATTTGTATCATCGGGTAATAGACCAGATAGTTCTTATTTAAATTCACCACCAAATTATCCAAATCCAAATCAAAATTTTAGTTCTTCAATTCCAAATCCACCAACAAGTATAAAATCAGAACAATGGAATACATTATCACCACCACCGAGCTCAGGAACATTAAGCACTTCAGTGCCAAATCAACAACAATCAAAGGAAAATATTCCAACTAAACAATTATCAAAAGAGGAGAAATTAAAAAGAAGAAGAGAATTTCATAATGCAGTAGAAAGAAGAAGAAGAGATTTAATAAAAGAAAAAATTAAAGAATTAGGGATAATTGTACCTCCATCATTGTTGAATCCACAATTAAGTGCTGTACAATCATTACAAAGAAAAACACAGAGTAAAAATGATAATTCGATAGATTTACATGATTTGAATGATATTATAAGTTCAGTTAAAGTGAAAGAGACTAAGCCGAATAAATCTACTATTTTGAATAAATCTGTTGATTATGTAAATCATTTGAAATATGTATTGGAACAACAAGAAATAGCGAGGGATAAATTGGTTAGACTGATTGATTATTATGAAGGGTTATTAAATCAAAAACAAAATCAAATTCAACAAGGAGCAAATAATAATAATAATATTCAAATGAATTATAACCCTGATGATTTTTTTGCTGATTTGGGTACTAGTACAGACAATTTTTGAACAATATACTCACTTATGGTATATGATTAACTTCATTTTTACTTCATTTTTAAGTTGCTTTAATGTCAGATCAAAAAATTAGAGTAGGTAGAGTTTTTCGTTTGACTGGTATTTCAAATTTAAATGGTTTTTCAAGTTAGAATTTGTGAAGAGGTACTAATTCATAAGGTAGTGATAGACCTCTAATCTGACAATTAAGACAATCAAGTATTATAAAATCTGTTTGAAAGGTAGGTATTGCAGTTAAACAATATTTTCAATTGGTTCATAAAGGTTTAGTTGAGGATATCCAACTTTAATTCAACACGGCAGAATCAAATCAATTGCTACTATACATAATTAGTTGCTGATTTATTAGGACGACCAACATTAAACTTGATTATTTTAGAATTAATGTTGATACATCAAACTAATAGGGAAATTGTAAATTTAGAAATTTGTTTACAATTGAAACTAAACTTCCAGACAATATATAAGTGACGCAGTAATGTACGAATAAAACACATAACAACAATATTAGACTATTATATCGATATTCTTTTTCTCTGGTTTGAAAATTTAACGAAATTACACAAACTCGTTAAAATTTCAGTAATTGTTCAATTTGAGCCCTGAAGCTTGACATTATTAGTTTTGGTACATAATCATATCCGTTCCTGTTGTTTTAAAGTCAATTGCCTAATTTAAAGGTTATAATCTGGTCTTTTTATTTCATGTTTATACAAAGGAAAAGTTGCAAAAATTTGAGATTTTTCATTTGAGTAAAAAACTTCTGACCCCTGCAAACTAAAATGGCCCATAAATCTTCGCACATTAAGATTCAGTTGTAAATTGATTTTCAAGTGTTGATTATCTTGAACATATGCATTCTTTGCATTATTTTGAACGACGAATAGAATAATCAGTTTTGAAGTGTATTGAATGATACTACCATTGGTTTATTACGATTATATTGAGGACCATATTGAATTAAGTTTGAGATGTAGAGCTTTAATATTGAAAGAGTTATATACGCATCAACATTAACTATGGTGAAAGTAAATATAAATCGAAAATTAGTTATTATGATACTGCACATAGTTTGTTTCAAAAATATATTAAATAGAATATACTATTAATTCGAATATGAGGATTTTGATTACTTCGCGCTAACTACTGCGACTCGTATTAGACGTTTTGTCCTATATCTCATCAACATCATAACTGAACAAAATATAAACCAATTTAATGAGTTTAGAAGCCATGATTAATATACTCTACGTATTTCTATACTAAAATTTCAAACTTATTTTTTTGAGTGGTCAATTTGGGCTTTTTTCATCATGCAAAGATATTGTTAAAAATGAAAACGCAAATTATATTTTATTTAGGGCCATAACTTCCAATTAAAAAATGAATTATATATACTAAGCCTCGATATTAAGTGTTTAACTTTATTCCGCATTATTTCGACTAAAATTGAAAAATTGTGAATTTCTCTATTAAGTATGGGGAAAATTGAATAAATCAACCTCATGAAAAATCTAACTCCATTTCCCCTATTCAAACGCGAGTATGATAAAAATACCAAGATTCTTAGTTCCTGTTCTAGATATCTCATGGAGAGTATTGCGTCAAGGTATTCAAAATTGGAATATCATTTTTCGAACTTGTTTTAAAAAATTTTACAAAAATTTCAAATTGATCATGGGGACTTGAAAACATAATATATGTGATCTTTTAGGTCAAATGAGCAGAAATACATGTTTTAAGTTTGGAAAAAATAGGTCTAAGGATACTTTGCAACCACTTGAATTTTCAAGCAAAAGGTTTTTTGAAGGAGATCTACAAGAACCCAGATTTGAATCAAAAATACGAGTTGGATTTGGTTGAACTTTCAAATGAGTCTAAAATGAGGTCAAGATCTTCAGTATTGAGAGAGTAACTTGGACGTTTAAGTTTCATTAAAAATGGATATAACTATATCAAGAATTGATATTTCGAAGTTCTTCCAAGGAAAGTTTTTGTTCGAAATGAGTCAAAATTTCATTTTAAACAATAAACTCGATGTCGATTTTGGATCAAATTTTCCAAAATGTCCATAGTAAGCAATTTTTTTTTATCATGGCATCTTGAAAAACATTAAACGAGAAGTTTGAAGGTCAAAAAAACAGATTTTACTATTTTGGAACTTTCAAAAGTGATGCTTGTCACATAATTGAGCGTTTTTTGCATTTTTTAAATGACGATTAAAGTGACCATCTGCTTGTTTTATTGAAGGAAACGAACATCAGCTTGCCTCAATACTTTTGAAGTTTAAACTGAATTATATTCGAGGATTATAGCTTCGAAATTGAGAGAGTTATCTACCATATAAATTTCATAATTAATAATGGCGAGACTGCATATAAGTCAATTTTGTCTCAGATATATGCTTTCACCGTGCCATAGTTAATGCGACAAATTATAAACTATACCGTTTAATAAATTATGGCCACCAAAAACTGAATTTCTTGTACGCTAACAATTCTTAATTTGGTATCATTTTTATTATTGATCATAGTTCTTTATAGATTTTACGATAAAAAAAGTTCAATCGTTTAATATGTACATTAATATCTAAGTCATAAGTTAATCAATTATTCAATAATCCACCAATCGATAAAGCCGTGTTTTTCTTTTTTTCATTTCTATGTTTATTCAAATTACTCTCTGAATCATAATCATTAATTAACTTTTCATTTGAAATTGAATTAGTTTTTGAATATGTTGCTGTAAAATCAATTGCAACTGGTGGTGCTGTGACTTTTTTACAACTTGAACAACAACCACCTTTATTTATGTTTTGATTAATTGATGGTAATTTAATACTATTTGATTCTATTGATGGTGGTGATGGTATTAATGAAGGTAATTGTTGTTGAGGTGTATTTATTTGTTGTTGTTGTTGTATAATTTGATGATAATAAGGTGGTGGTGGACCAGGAAGAGGACCTGGACCATTTGGTATTCTTCCACTTCCATTATAAGGCGGATAAAATGATTGACTTATATATATTGGTCTTTGTTGCTGCTGCTGTTGTATTGATGGTGAAACATTTATCTGTTGGGGAGGTGGTGTTGAATAGTTATAAGTACCCGAAGGTGGTGAATTTGTTTGTTGTCCAAATGGTAATGAAGACGAAAATTGTATTGGAGGTAGTCTATTATTTATAACTGGTGGTGTATTTGGAGAAGTATTTGTAATTGATTTTGTATTTTGAGGTGGATTCTGAGGTGCTGTCGCTGTTGCTGTTGCTGTATTTGATGATGATGGAGCTGGAGATACACTTTGATCAATTTCCCCTTTTTCTTCCTTTTTAGTTGAATTATCACCAATATTTCTTTTTCTTCTTTTTATTGTAGCTCTTTTCATTTTAATAGGTCGATGAGATCCATGTAATTTATAAAATAATCCACAAGCATTACAGATTGTATTACCAGCATCATCTCTTCTCCATAATGGAGTTATAGTTGTACCACAATTAAAACAAGCAATTGCTAAGTCATTTTTATTATCATTGTCACCTCTCAGATCTTCGTTTTTGATTAAGTTCTCATGATCTTCATTAATGCTTCTTTTTAGATTATTTGATGAAGTTGCAGATTTTTGCGGTGGCGATTTTTCCAACAGTTTTTTAGCAACTATTCTATTATTAAAAGCAGGACAACCTTTACAAGCAGCTGAACCACCAGTTCCATTGCATCTTCCATCACCTTTACAACTTCCTTCTTTTTCTTTCACAATGGTGATTGTATTTGGAGGTCTTTTTAAATTAACTGGACGATGAGTATTATTTGATCTATAATATAAACCACAAGCATTACATATTAAGGTACCATCTGGAGCTCTTCTCCATAATGGAGTTTTTGTAGTACCACAATTAGAACATTGTTGACCATCAGGTGCATTTGAAACAGATACGGTAGTTGACGTTGATGAAGTTAATGAATTTTTTGAAGCTAGTTGAGACTGAAACTCAGTATCTTTAATATTCTTCATTGTAGATTGGCTAGTTACTTCTGATGACTGATTGATTTGATTTGGAGTTGAATTTAAAATTGACGGTATCTCCGTCTCGATTTTATTACCAGTATTACTTGCATTAGTAATAAAATTTGACTTATTTAATGAATTTGAAGTAGACATTATTGGAATATAAGTTGTTTGTTATATAAATTGCATTATCAATGTATAAAAAAGTATGGAAGTAAATGATGCAATAATGAAATTGGTTAAAGTTGTATTAATTAATTTATATATATATGAGGTTTAAATTTTCACTATTAAATGAAATAAAAAAAAAAAAAAAAAAAAAAATTATAATCATCGAAGTAAATCTTAATAATTTAGATTGACTATTGATTATTCAAAGGTTATGTATAAACATTATTAGTATGTATATATAGCAAATTGTCTTACGATTAATTTTATACGCTGATTGATCGTATTGATATAATACACATTAATTCTATTGATCCATAAAATCTCGATGTATTTTGATAATAGCTTAAAGTTTAATCTTTCAACTTAGTGTATTGTCTATTTAGTAAGGTTAAAAATATTAATCTGATAAATATTTAATCTGTCAAACTTTGTGTTTAAATTTGTCATTTTGCTATTGACCAATCAGATTACGTTTATTAATAATAAATCCACCACACTCTCTTTATTTAGTTTTTCGTTTTTCCGCTCGTATATTTAACACCACATATTATTATTTCAAGGGTTGTTATACTAACGTGTTATTGCCTAATTAAGAAGTTAACATTTATATTTTTTATCTTCTTTTTTATCTTCTATGTCATTCCATCTAGATCTACGATCAACTTGAAATCAAAGTTAATCGTTCTATAGCTTAATCTTTCAAGTATGTTGAATAACCTATCCAACTGATTAAAAACTTGGAATATGAATTTATAGTTGTATCCTGACCAGTAATTAACAATAAATACCTAGGAGTATCAACCAAATCTTATATACTAATAATAAATCACAACTTTCGTAAGTACAATGATTGTTATTGTATATTAATTAGATGTATAGAAATCGTATAAGCCATGACACATTCTATTCAAAACCGACATTGACACGCGATACCGAAATTAAACTTCGACGCGTTGTTTTTATATTTTTGTATTACATAATCGGTTTGTTTTGCTTTGTTGTCAATGATAAACATAAAATAAATCACGCCCCTTGTCGTTTAAATTGTTGATGAATAGATTGCTAACCAGATATAAATCTGAGACACTTTACATATATTACAATTATGGAATGGTCTGCTCATATATCAATGTATTTAGCAATTGGTTTATTTACATTTGCCAGATCTCAGATCTACGCCCTGCGTAAAAATAAAAAATAATCTCTTATCTTTGTATACGAAAACTCAAGTATAACTTACTTACCAACAGAAAGTTATAAAAGCTGAATAAACTATACTATAATAAGATATACCATAATACCTTCAATTAATCATTCGATTTATTATTGAACCACCGTAAATATTGAATAATTTGGTCATAAGAAAAGCGAATCAATTGGTAGCGAATTGCGTTTTTTTTTTTTTTTTTTTTTGTTTATGAAACCAAAACAAATAAATTGAATATTTAAAAATATACAACCCTTTATTTGAAAATTAAATAAAGCTTTTAATTTCAAGTTTTATCAATTACAACATAGATATTTTTGTTATTCTATTTTTTATTTAATTATACATTCGGTCATTCATTCATTATATCATAGTACTTCCATTCAATTTAAATTATTATTTATCAAAATTAAGTTTTTACCTTTCGTCATCATCAATACAATTAAACTAGGTTTCTAAATTTCCAACTGTAATGAATAATCACCCGTCAAATAAAAAGGGTATATCATCAATATTTAATACTAATAACAACAATCATAACAATAGCACAACATCAACAACTGCAACCCCACATAAACCAAACAATTCTCAAATCAATTCTTCAAATGATTCAATAAATATTCCATATCACAAAAGACAACAGTCTTTTAACTCATCATTTTATCCAAACCCACAACCATTTACAATGAAGACAACTAATAATCATCATCATCATCAACAACAAAATCCTCCAATGAACCAACTCGATTATTTTACAAACAATTACTTTTCACGATCATTCAACAGTTTAATATTAGAGGATTCGAATACAGAATTAAATAAAGCTCATCATAATCAACATAAGTTAAAAAAGAAACTAAATAAATCTCCACCTTTCAACGTTAAACAAGATTTATTCAACGATACTATCGATACCTATTTAGATGATGAAATAAATGAAGATAACCATTTCGATGACACAATCGATGATACAATCGATGATGAACCAGAAGAAGAACAAAAGAATGAAAAATTGCGACAACAGCAACAGCATGGTACTCCAAATATAATAAACAACAAGATAGTGAAAAATAATAGCTTTTTCAAAAAATCATATAATGATGAAGATCAATCAAATTCTACATTGAAACTATGCAGCACTATAAATAACAATTCACAAAGTTCAATTAAAAGATCATCAAAATATTTAAATTTATCAATTGATTCAAATTTAAGATCAGTTGATTCAAAATTACCACCCGATGAAATTGATAAAATGAATTTAAATGAAATTGATATTAAAGTAAATCCAAATGATTTCATTTCCCAATCATCATCACCTTGCTCACCAAACATTAAACAACCAACTAAAAATAATTTAACAAATCAATTCAAACGACCTCATAAATTAATAAGTCAATCACCATCACCATCTTCAAATAAAGTATCGTCATCTCCACAATCCAATTTATATTCTCCATCAAAATTAGGTATAAAAGGTTTTAAAATGTTTAAAAATTCAAATAAAGATGCTATAATATCTCCAAATAGATCTATAATACGTTCAAGTATGACTCCTGAAAAGCCAAAATTAAAATCAACTATATTTGGTCAAGCTAATAAATTACGTAAAACATTTACTCCAAATACTAAAACTACATCAACTCCAATACCCAAAAAATCTAAATTTATAGAGGAAAGTTTAGAGTTTGATTCGCCAAGTAAAAATAGAAAATCATCAAATCCAACGACAAATTCAAATTCAATAATAATATATCAAGATGAACAACTACAACAAAGTCAAAAGAAAATACAACCACATTCACTACCGAGTTCTTGCCAATTTGATGACAAAGAGAATAAAACAAGCTACCAATTTGTTAAACCTTTACAAACTGCATTTAATTCAAATGGTTTAGTTAAGAAGAATTCAATTACACATCAATTAGAAAGAAGTTTACCTCCTGAAACTCCAATTAAAAGAAATCCATTAATGATGTTGAATCAAAATAAGAATTTAAAATCTTATGATGGTGAATTTGATAATTCAATTGAAATAGGTAGAAATTTATCATATGATGGAACTCATAATTCATCAACAATGAACAATAGTAGTTATTTTAAACCATCTTCATCTGTGAAAATTAACAAGAATCACCAACCACATGAATTATTACTACAATCATCAGATATCGAAATTGATAATGATGACAATAATATAATACTTGAAACACCAACTAAAAAGCATCATCAATTATTTCATGCTAATAAGAAAATGAATAATCATAAAAATCAGTTAAAAGTTAATATTCAGAATCAACCTATACTACTAGATGATGATGAAGAACCTTCAACACCAATGAATTTATTATTTGATAAAATGAATGAACCAAATCCACAATTTTTAACCTTACCTAGTCTTGATGAAACGTCAGATATTCCATTAAGTTCAACAACTTCATTATATCCAAGCAAAATTGATGAACATTTAGTAAATAAATTTGGAATGCAAAATATAAAATATATTGGTAAAGGTGAATTTTCAATTGCTTATGAATGTATTTTTAATAATGAAAAATTTGCCATCAAAAGACTGAAAAAGCCACTTATTGGTAGATTAGAGAAAAAGGCAATCTATAGAGAAATTGAAGCATTAAGAATATTAACATCAATAAAAGAAAATGATTGTGAAAATTTAAAAGAACAAGAAGAAGGTAAAGAATATTTAGTTTATTTTATTGAAGCATGGGATTTTAATAATTATTTTTATATAATGACTGAATTTTGTGAAGGTGGAACGTTATTTGAATTTCTTGAAGCTAATAAACATTATAGATTAGATGAATTTAGAATTTGGAAAATTTTAATTGAATTATTAACTGGTTTAAATTTTATTCATCATAAAAATTATTTACATTTAGATTTAAAGCCAGCTAATATTTTTATTACATTTGAAGGTCAATTAAAAATTGGAGATTTTGGATTAGCTACTAAATTACCAATACTTGAATCTGATTTTGATTTAGAAGGTGATATAAATTACATTGCACCCGAATTGATAAATGATAAAATTTATACTCCATTTGCTGATATTTTCAGTCTTGGTTTAATAATTTTAGAAATTGCTGCTAATATAATATTACCAGATAATGGAACTCCATGGAGAAAATTAAGAAGTGGAGATTTGAGTGATGCTGGTCAATTATCAAGTGATAATATATCAATGTTTTTACAACATAAACTACCACCACAAACAACAACTACAATAACAACTACAACTTCATCATCAAATGGTGGTGGTAATCAAAATAATGTGTTATCTAGTTCTTCAAATATGACTCAATTTTCAAGTTCAACCACTGGTAATTCATTAAATTTATTAAATCCACCAACTACAACAATAACAAATACAACAATAAATAAAGATAATAATAAATTGATAAATAATTTAATTCCAAGTTGGGCTCCTGATTTTTTAATTAATGGTGATTCAATGGTTTTAGATAAAATTGTTAATAAAATGTTAAGACCAAATCCATTTGATAGACCAAATGCAAAAACAATATTGGAAATGAAAGAATGTATAATGATTGAAAATAGAAGAAAATGTGGTGCTACTATATTTGAAGGTGAATTTGGTAGTCCACCAGATGATTTTGAAAATGTTTAATATTATGTATATTTGTATTATTTAATGAGAGAAACGATAGAGGATATATAATGCATTCTGATCAAGTGTACTCTAAGTATAGTACAATTCTATTTATAAAATATTCTTTACTAAAATTCAACAGTTGAATTGTACTATTATTTGCAATGCAATAAATTGGTCGAAACAAAATAATTTTTGCGCTAGCTTTAGGGCGACTCGTTCCAAGCTTATTGGCGTGCATGTCATGAAAAACACAATATCTTGAAATAAAGACCGATTATACAAAATTTTCAACTCCAAACCATATGCTACACATATTTAATCTGGGAATCTTAAACTGTTTTATTTTTTCGAGTTGTCATTTTGCCCATTTTTCACCATACAAATATATTTCGAAATATGTAAATCAATATAACTTTTTATCTATGTCCTGAACTCTCAATTAAACAACGATTTACAAATATTATACCTCACACAAAGAGGTTGGGTTAAACTCTAGTTGCCCTTGATCAAAATTGAGAAATTTTTAAATTTTCTCTTAAGTAAGGGAAAAAGTGAATAAATAGACTCCACAAAAAATCTAAGTCCACAATTCAAAACGTTTGTTAAAAGTATTATAGTTTGTAATGCTGTATTTTCATAAGCTCTAGATATTTTAATGTTAAGGTATTCAAAATTGAGAAAGTAACTTTTCAGTAGGGGTTCAAAATTTTTACAAAACTTTCAAATTGATTTTAGCATCGTAAAAACAGTCTGAAACATCTTCGGGATTATACAAACCAAAGCAGCTTAATTAGAAGTTGCTGAATGAGGTCTATGTGTTACTTATTTTGCAAAATAGCATTTTTGATGAATTAAATCATCAAAATTATGTTTATCCAGAGCATACTAACATAAACCTACTTTATCTTAGTTGCCGTTTATGATAAAGTAAGCTTGAGAAATACAACTTGATTGTTGACGAAGTTATTTACAATTTAAATTTGGAAATTAACTATGAGAGGACTGCATATAAACTTATTTCAGCCTTCCGACGAAAATTTGAATAAATAAAACGTATACATATAATCTCAATTTATCTATTTGATTTATATCTCCAGATGCATCTTTTCAAAATAAACTTTCTGTAAATTCCCTAATTGTTCGTTCTGTTATTTCATTTTGGTGTATATCTATAGATAATTTTGGTTGCAGATTATCTTTCATTTGTCGAATTGGGAATTTGGAAATTAAACACCGCTTGGACCACTTGAAATACTATTATCATAAAAATCATGTGGTAGTAAAAGTGCAGGTGATTGATGTTTTTTTTTTTTCTTCCTTAATCTTTTTCTTTTTGCATTGGAATATTTATCAACTGTGTAAAATCTAGATGTTTAGCGAGCACAAAATATATTTAAGATTGCGCGATTGAATCTGATACAAAATACCGAAGGCGCGAAAACAAAAATTTACACAAAACAAAATGAAAACTCCCCAACTTTTTTACAATCCTAAACTGTTCTAGAGATTTGTATATTTACTCAAAATATATAGTTTATGGTACTAATCGAACGAGAAAAATTAGCCCATTTCAAATATGATAGTTTCAAGGTCTCTTGTGTTAGTTTTCGTGGAAAATATTTCTTTCTTTACTTCTAGGTCAATAAATAATGGTATTTTTTTAATTAAAACGCCCAACCTCTATCAAATTTTGCACTTTAATTGAATACGAGGCATTATTGGCTTGAAATTTATGCTATATTAACCGTGCATGTTTTTTAGACTCAAATATTCAATATGCAAATTTTTAAAGACGCTTTACTTCTAGTAACCCTCACGATAAAATAAATGGGAAGCAAGTAGACAAGTCGATAGCGAGTAGACCTCAATACTACATGGTGATCCCATTCTTTAGTCTACAATTGCGTTGAAGTGTAACTTAGACCAAAAAAAACCCCTTACAAATGACATGTGTACAATCTATCCGAAATAGGAAATAATTACTTTAATAGGCAAACTGGTCAATAAAATTAATGATCATACAAGTGTCTGGATTGTAACCAAATCATCATTGAACATCAGTCAAGCCATTGACCAAGAAGTCAAGTGTTTTATTGTTGTGCATTGACACACACTTGATGCAGCTTTTACGAATGTAAACGAAAATTTTTACTTTATTGTTGCATTCATTTTTTTGGATTCTAATTTTAGAAACTTGTGCAAGCCTCTGTCAATCAAAGAGGTTTTCTGAAGCTGTTTCTTTTTAAAGAATTTGAAAGCTCTAGTATATTTCTGGACAGCTTTTACAATCAAGACTGCCAAGGGTCAATTTTTTTTTCTTTGTGAATAAGCCAACTCAACCTGAAACTAAAGCGTTACGTGTTATCTTAGCTTCCTTGGTCGGTAAGGTTACATTCTGTTTCCATCTTGATAGAATTCCAAATATTATTTGTTTTATATTGTTAGAGATCTATTTATAGAATGGTTGTTAATTGATGGTAAGTGAAATATAATTTTTATTCTTCATCTAAATAAATTTCATCAATTTACACGCCTATTTTACCTGGTTGAGACATACAAGTTTAACTACAAATCCCGTTTGAACATCGATACAACCAGATAATAGTAAGGGCCAATTACTAGCATTATCGAACTATCATACTATCCCATTTACTTGTCCTTTAGACTACTTTAATACCAGGTGCCTGAATATTATTTCGTTCCTGTGTTCAAAAATCTAGATTCACGTCTTAAATTTTAATTTTTTTTCTTTTTTTATTTTATTACTATTTTTAAGTTTTGATAATTTTTTTTATATAAAGATTAACGAACAGTTCAATACCAACAACCATACCAACAAATACGTCAATCAGATCAATCAAGCAACTATAATACAATTTAGAGAGAGTTTGACGGTTTGCTATATTAAGGATCACATTAAGTTAATTTTTGTTATGGTAATTTCAGAAAAAAATCGAAAACAATTCTCAAACAAATTTGAAACAACGTCATCTTTAATTATGTCATCTAATGATCATGATAGAATTACAAACAGTCAAGATAATGTTAATAAAGATACTTATTTATTAGATCGACCTCCACAAACTTTATTGAATCATAATTATTCATCTTCAATTTCATCAATATCTTCGACAACAAGTTCAATAAATTCAATTAATTCACCACCTTCTAAAAAGATATCAAGTGGTACTATTAATTATTCTCCAAAACATTCAAGAAAGCCAAATTCTTTTCATTTAAATCGAAATATGAAAAATTTATCATTAAATTTAAATGATTCAAATCATAACCAATGGCAACAACAACAGTTACAAAACTCACAACCTTCTCAAAACCAAGTGCAACAATCTATGAAACAACATACACAAACAAACTCCAATTCGAGTTTTTCATCCTCAAATTCAAATTCAAATTCATTTTTCAAAAATTCGGAAGGGTCTCCAATTAAGAGAAGTACAATAACTAACAATTTAATAAATAATTCAAGCTTACAAACACCATTCGTCACTCATACACCAACTGTACCTCCCAAAATACCGAAAGCTCCTGATAGTATTGATTCTCAACAACTGTATAAGTTTCCACCAATATCCAATGAACTTGGAAATCTTGAAGAAAATGGCTATAAACAAGAGAATAATGATTTAGAAAATTTTATACCTCCAATACCTCCGCCCTTTGCATTTTCAAATAATTCTAATAAACATTATTCACCACTATCAACACCACCAATATTACAAAGTCCAGTTAAAAAAGCCTTTAGTTCAAAATCAAAGACTAATTCGCCATTGGAGACTAATTTCAGTCAAAATGTGAAAAAGAATGGTAATGCAAAGCCTGTGGTTGAAGAATTGCAAGAGAAATCATTAATTAACGCATATCCAAATGGACCTAGAAATGTATTGAACAACCTAATCTATTTATACTCAGATCCTAATTTATCAAATATTGATTTAAATGCTTTCAATTTGGTTATCAATGTTGCAAAAGAATGTAAAAATTTATCTAAGAATCATGATAATTTAGAATATTTATACTTACCATGGTCACATAATTCGCTGATTTCAAAAGATTTATTATATTTAACAGAGAAGATAGATTATTATTATAATCAAAATTTAAAGATATTAATACATTGTCAATGTGGAGTAAGTAGATCAGCATGTGTCGTAGTTGCATATTTAATGAAGAAATTTAAAATTGATGTCAATAAAGCTTATGAAATATTAAAAAATGGAGATTCAAGTTTAAATATAGATAAATGTGATAGAATATGTCCAAATATGAGTTTAATATTTGAATTAATGGAATTTAATGATATTTTAAATAATAAAGAATTTACAACCCAACTGATATTATTAAATACACCACCAAAATTAAACATATAATATACTACAAAGATCTATATAAATATTATTTAAATATATGAAGTTATGATTTATATATCTTCAAATCTAATCACGTGAATCACTAACTAATTATTTTGTAATGACTTTTTATGTAACAAATACTAAAAATGTGTTATTGATCTCAATTCAAAAAAAAAATAACATTAATTTACAACATTTTATTCTGAAACAATTACCCAACTTTAACCAAATTGATTGTATTAGATATTACATTACACATTACATACATATTCAATAATTACCCCTTTCATTAATTAGTATAAATATTTCAGCATTTTTTCGGTTTTTGTTCATCAAAATTAACGCCTAATTTCATCATTTTTATATGATGAATTTACAACAACAACAACCACCACCACCAAAATCATCATCATTTCATCAACCATTACAACAATTAGATACAAATCAATTATCATCACCAGTTTCAATTAAGCGAATTTTAGAAAATTCTTCAACTATAAAATTGTCAAGAATATTACAATCCATACCAAATTTTTCATTCTTTGATGAGCTAATTAATTTCCCAATTCCAAGTGATGAAAATAAAGAATCAATTAAATTATCAAATCATGATTTATATAAAATTAGTAAAATTTTAGATGATATTGATTTATACTTGAATGATATTAGAATTGTATTTAACAATATCAAAAAAGTTTCAAAAAATATAAATAATTTGTTAGATTGGTATTTTGAAGGTAAAAATAATTTATTAGAATTATTAAGAAACTTGGATAATATTGACTCAATCATTTCTCAACTATTGTTAATTATTGAAAATTGTAATAATCAGCAACAAATTCAATTTAATCCCAATTTAATAAAGAAATTTGAAAATTTAAATGATTTATTATTTGAGATTAAAAAATCACTGATTTTATTAAAGAAAAACCTTGATATTTCAATAAATTATAAAGAATTGATTGAAAATATAATTATTCATTTGATTTATGAAATTGAAGATTGTATCAAGAATATTGTAAAATTAAAAGAATTCAAAATTTCAAGTCCAAAACGTATATTACCAAAATTTAACCTTGTTGAAATTATAACAAAGATGAGAATAAATGATTTTAGTACCAATATAAATTTTAATTCAATTAAATTGCCTACATTTAATGATTTAGATGAAAAATTATATAATGATTATTTAAAAATTGAATCAAAAATTGATCCATTAAAAATTTCAGTAAATGTTGTTCCTTTAAAAATTGATGAATTTAATAATTTATGTTTGGGTAATTTGTTTAAATCTTCAAGAGAATATATTTTAAATAATTATGAAATATTATTAGATAAATGGAATTTATTGCAAAAGGAAATGAATGTATTAAAGGTGGAAAATATAGATATTAAATGGAATGAAGTTTTTAATTATTTGATAAATCAAATTGAAATTGAATGTGATAATTTAATTGATCTTACATGTAATTTACAAGATATTACTGATGAAGTTGCATCCAAGTATAAATTATGTTCAAATTCAATTACGTTGATTCAAAAGGCGAATAAAGAAAAGACAATTACTGATTATAGTATAATTTCAGGTTTTAATACAAAATTATTACCAAAATGGCAACAAGTTAATGATTTAGTTGTAAATAATAAAAATTTAAGTAAATTAAAATCAAAAAGTGATATTGTATCCGTTCCACCTTCAACTAAATCATCAGAAATTAATGATGAACAAATTTCTGGATTAAGACCATTTCAAACTAAATCAAGAGGTTCTTCTTCAAATTATGACAAACCACCAACTAGTAATGGGTATGGAATTGATTTAAATATTGATGTAAATTCAACTACATTACCATTAAGTATTCAAAAAAGAGATCGTATCAAAAATTTACAACAACAAGATATTCAGCCTTCAAATAGAAAGAATTTAAGAAATTCATTGATTTCCGTATTTGAATATTTTAGTTTCCAAAGTGAAGAAGAAGAAGATGCAACACTAGTTAAATCAGATACAAAAAATGTTAACAATAATAATAGACTTATTTCATTTAATTATTCAAGTTATTTTAATATTATAATTAATTCAAGTGTTAGATTTAAATCAAAATTACCTCGAATTATGCCCAATTATATTAAATTAGGTTATCCAATAATTTTAAAAGTTACATCTACGAATTCAAAAATCCCAGAAATTAATCCTACTCATCCTGTTTTCAATTCACCTTATAAAAAAAATGAACATTTTAAAATCAAGAGTTTAAATTCATCACCATTAAAGAATAAAAAAGAAATTAAATCAAGATCAAGTTCATCTTCAATTGCAACTGTTATTGGAAGACCTAATTCTTTATTAAATGAAATGAAAATACCAAATTTAACTTACTCCAGGAGATTAAGTTATAATTCTTCAAGTCCTGAACGTCCATTATCTTCATTAGGTTCAAGATTTGATGATGAAAATTTAATTCAAAATTGTAAAAATTTTTCAAAACCAATTTGGAACTAGTATATTGATTATACTATTTTGTTTTTAATACATATCTCTTTTAATAGTTTAATACTTTATTATATTGCTTTTGAAATGAGATGCGAACTAATAAGAATGAAATTATTGAATGTGATTACCTCCCTGATTTGGGTTCACGGTGGTGGCTGCAAAAAAAAATTTAAGCGATCCCTGAGCCCCAATATTTAATTTTTATCGTAAGGGTGGAAACTTGTCAAGTGGTGAAGTAGCACCAATTGGGTTGACCCTTATGAATGTTCATCCTCTGTCATTTAGTTTATAAATTTGTTACCAATTTGTTCCAATCCATAATTAATTTTTGAGACAACATTAGGACCTGGGGTCGAATTGCAAACATTTATCATTGAACGACCTCAACAGCAACAGCAGACAAAACGGAGTAGCAAAATACGCAAGCAGTTATGTCATGGGCCCTTAATAATCATTTTTCAGTTGTCTTCAATCAGTTTTATATTTTCTTATTTTGTTTTATCATCATTTTTCATTGTTTTACTTGTAAACCCATCCAAAAAAAAATCTTTACCAAATAATTTATACATTATTGAATTCTTTTCAGTTGTCCATTTTTCCTGTTCTGAAAATTCTCTTCTTATACCATCTTTACCTTGTTCACCAATTTGAACCTTCTTTGTACTTTTACCTTGTAATCTATTCATTAATATCATAGTAGGTATAAACATCAATGGGATACCTAACAACACCAAAAAGATACCTTTATATCTCTGTTTTAACTCAGGAGGAGCTTTTGACCAATTTGGTTTACCAGTTTGAATTAATTCATAAATGAATGGAGTTGTTTGATTTTGATTTATATCTTTGGGAGTAATTGGAATTTTTTTTGATGAATTAGTCTTTATATTCTTTTTGCTATAGAAAGATGGTGATGTGCTAGATGTTGTTTGTTTATTTGATCCCATGGTGAATATTACTAAAAATAGAATGGAATCAATTTTTTTTTCAATTTCGTGTTGCATTTTTTTTTTCAATTCAAGATCTGATCTGGGACGGTGACCAAATGTCAGTTCAATTAAAAGAATATATTAACAATTATGAGAAACCAAGTGTTGAAATAACCTATGGTACTGCTGGTTTCCGTACAAAGGCTAATAATTTAAATTATGTAAATTATACTGTTGGTATTTTAGCTGCTTTAAGATCAAAATATTTAAAAGGTAAAACTATTGGTGTTATGATTACTGCTTCTCATAATCCACCTGAAGATAATGGTGTTAAATTTGTTGATCCATTAGGTAGTATGTTGGAAAGTTCATGGGAGAAATATGCAACTTTTTTGGCAAATTCATCAATTGACGAATTAAAGAAAAATATAGAATCATTGATTGACGAATTGAATATAGATTTATCGGTCACTGCAAACTTGGTTATTGCTAGGGACTCAAGGGAATCAAGCCCTGAATTGTCAAACAACACAATTGAAGGTTTTAAATCATTAACAAATGTAAATTATCAGGATTTCGGTTTATTTACCACCCCTCAATTACATTATGTAACTAGATGTTTAAATGATTCCAGTTTTGGTCAACCTACAGAACAAGGTTATTATGATAAAATGGTTAAGTCTTTTAAAGAAATATTCAAATTAACATCACAACAATCCCAACTTGAAATTGAAATTGATGCCGCAAATGGTGTTGGAGGACCTAAAATTAAAGATTTACTCAAACTTTTACAAGATGAAGTTAAATTCGACATTATAAATGATAATTATAAAACTCCAAACTTATTGAATTTTGATTGTGGTGCTGATTTTGTTAAAACTAATCAAAAATTACCTAAAAATGTTCAACCTCAAGAAAATAAATTATATGCTTCATTTGATGGTGATGCAGATAGATTGATATGTTATTATCAAGACTCAAATAAACAATTTCGTTTGTTAGATGGTGATAAATTATCAACATTAATTGCATTATTCTTACAAACAATTTTCAAATCAATTGATAAATCAAAATTAAATTTAAAACTTGGTGTTGTTCAAACTGCCTATGCAAATGGATCGTCAACTAAATATATTGAACAAGTTTTGAAATTACCAGTTTGTTGTACTCCTACTGGTGTTAAGCATTTACATCATAAAGCAAAACAAGAATTTGATATAGGTATATATTTTGAAGCTAATGGTCATGGAACAGTCATATTTAATCCAGAAGCAGAGAAGAAAATATTTGACTATAAAGATGAAAATGAAGAAGAATCAAAAGCAATTAAAATCTTACAAAATTTCAGTCAATTAATTAATCAAACTGTTGGTGATGCAATAAGTGATTTATTAAGTGTCCTAATCATATTACACTATTTACAATTGAAACCACAAGATTGGAATGATGAATATACTGATTTACCTAATAAATTAATTAAAGCAATTGTCCCAGATCGTACGATTTTTAAAACAACAAATGCTGAAAGAACTTTAGTTGAGCCAGCAGGTATTCAAGATAAAATTGATAAATATGTTAGCGAAATTCCAAATGGTAGATCATTTGTAAGAGCTTCTGGAACTGAAGATGCTGTTAGGATATATGCAGAAGCTGATACTGAAGAAAATGTTTCAAAATTGATAAATTCCGTTAAATCATTATTAGAATAGACAATAGACATTCTTATCCGTTATTATTATGTTTCTTCTTGAATTCTCCTGGTGTTACAAGTTTCTTTTGAGACCAAATACCTTTTTTCAACCATTTTGATCGTGATTCTATTCTTTTATACCATGCTTCGTTATCACCAAATTCAGCACCAATTTTACCTTCATAAACAACAGCTAATCCTTGTTTTAACATCTCCGCACTGACATCCTTCTTTCCTGACCATTTCCAAACTTGTGCTCTTGCTACTATTCGTTTATATTGATCAATAGAATATGGAGTAATTGTAACAAATTTATTTTCAACATAACTTTTTAACCAATTTAATGCTTCTTCACTATATGGTTGACTTGGTCTACCGAAATGTGCTCTTTCAGGAGCATCTATACCACATAATCTAATCATTAATGTATCATCTTTTAAGATTGAACTTGCAGTTGGAATTTTTCTTAACCATCCCCAACCTGATAACCAACCACCAGGGGTATGATAAAATCGGAAATTATCACCATCTCCAACTCTTGTAACATATCCATATAATTTCTGATTATTATCTAGTATTCTAGGAGTTATATCTAGATATGTACGTATTCTTTTCAAATATTGTCGATAAAATTTGATTGAAAATATGATTGTGGTAGTTATACTAGCAGATAATAGTAAGACTTTTGGATGAAAAATTGAAATATCTGACCCAATTGAGGTGGAAGGCAATGGTGGCATCTAAACTTGTCTACTACTTTAAATCTAATCAATTAAGATTAAATTTTAGATTCTTGATCTGATATGAAACTTATTTTTTTTATTTATTTTTTACTTGATTTCGTAAATTAATTTTTATTGTGTAATCAAATAATGAATGACGATGTTTAGTTGCGATTTCAACGGATTCAACCTGATGTAGTTGTCATGTTGGATAGAAATTGGCTGTAATATTTGAGCCTGAAAGTTTTAGATTATCAAAAGTACCTTAAATTTTACAATTAGTATGCCGGCTTAAAAAACATAATGGTTGCAAAATCTTATGAATAGCAGCAAAATTACGAAAAATTGTAAATTTTCAGAATTAAGATGATTACTATAATGTATACTAGTGAATATTTGAAATTAGTGTCATATATTTTAATTAATATCCATATAAATCCAATTCAAAATTGGATTATACAATCTATACAAAAATTTTTCTAACTTGACAATTTCATTCAATAAACCATACAACTCCCCTTTATAATATCTAAAATTGTAATCTAAAAATTCAAAACTACATGAATTCAATCCATTAATTACCTTATCCAATAACACTTCTTTGATCTTCTCAAAATTTGATTCGAAATAACTTATAAAAGAATTGTCATTATTCGAAGTCAACTTCTTTTCTTCATAGAAGCTTTTCATTATCATGTCAGGTATTTCCACATTATTGTATGACGTATACATCAAGCCCAAACAATTGCAATTGACTAAATGAGTTAATTTATCCTTGAGCTTTTTTAAATCATCAATATACACTCTGTTCAATTCATGTTCAGTTAAGTTGTATACGATCTCGTGATTGAATACCTTGAGAAAGAATGACTCACTTTCAGCCTTATATTTCGTTATCAATAAATTCAAAAGTGTGTTTTTTGAACTTGATGAAACTAATGATCTCACATTTGATAATTGCAAATTTATAAATGGTTGCAATACCTTATTAAATTTTGGAAATATAAGATTCGGATTATATGTAAACAAATTAAATTTTAAACTTTCAAAATTGGCATTAATCATCACATAAATATTTTCAAAAATTTGAAAGTTCTTAAATTGATAAAACTTACACTTTTTGATCCATAAATTCATGATATAAAATGTCAATTCCTTAATTGCTATTTCATAATCATGTTGTTGATGATTCAGTTTCAATTTTATGCACCTCGTAACTAAATTTAATAAATTTATATTTCTCGAATCGTAATATTCAATCAATTTTTCAATTTTATACAAGCATGCCAATTCCGTGACTCCCAAATTTTCATCGATATAAATTGAACTATCCTCATGGTGGAATTCAATGTAATACTCATTTAAAACTGAGTATATAACTTTTAAATCTATTGAATTCAAGTCAAACAATGATGTTACATCAATATTTCGGTTGGAGATAGCTGGGCTTTCTCTTCCAACTTGACCACTTTGTAATATTATTGGAATCTCCTTCTTTCTCTCCTTTTCAAAATCTTTAAAATATAAATCAAACCAGTATTTTCTCCATTTATCTATGTTAATTATTGACTCATTCGGAATGTAAAATTTCAAATTATTAAAACATATAAAGTTTTTGGAAGTTTGAATAAATATGTTACTGGTTGTATATGTTTCATTTACGCAATTTGTCAATGATTCGATATATGCGTTTACTTCTTTTGAATTATTAAATAAGATTAAACTCTCCAAGTTGTAAGAGTTCAATAACTGCAATTCTTGTTCAAACTTCTTTCTTTGTTCATATAAAGTAGATAATTCAGGAATTTCTTCTTCTTCACTTTCCAATATTCCAATTTGACTATTTACAATTCTAAATGAATCCACTAAAATATTTTTAATATTGAGATAATGATTGTATTTGAATATTTTGAATATAAAATTATAACCCTCCCAGTATGTTTGAAATTTCGAGGTGATATATTTCAAATTTATCACATTCTTAAATTCTTCAATCAAGCCAATACTTAGTTTGAAACATTTCAACCATATTAAGTTTTGCGAAAATAATAACTTTTCATCATTCGAATTATTTGCATTGAATCCAGGGTGGTTTGAACTTTGTAAACAATCAATATAATCTGAAATCATGATAAAACAATATTGGAAAAATTGAAAAGCGTGTGGTTGTAGTTGAAAATAAGATAGTATATAATCTATTGATTTGTAGATGATTGAATGTGGTTCTAGAAGTTGTAAAACTTTATTAAATGAGTAAGATTGAAAATTCTCTAAAAATTTAGATTCCTGAAGGATAACAATTGCCTTGGACAATAAACTTCTTCTTCCTATTCTTTGAAAATCTGCTATTAGATTGACATTTACATTTGACAAATCTAGATCGAAAGTTTCCTTTTTAATAGTGGGCAAATCGCCATCTTTAGTTATAATTGTGCCACTATTCAGTCTAGGCTTCTTCTTTGGTTCATCTTTGATAAATTTATTTGCCTTCAGTTTAATAATCTCCAAATATTGTTGTCTTCTTAAATTTGCCAATCTTAAATTCTCTTTAAATTTCTGACTTTTTATTTGATAATTTCTCAATCGTTGTTGCTTCAAGTCAATAAGGTTTTTTTCAATCTTGTTTGATTTCTTAATTAATCTAGCTTGAATATTTCTTAAATAATTTTGTTTATTTATTTGATTTTTTGACTTATCTTTTGGTGGTGATTTTATAATTGGGGTCAAGTTTCGTAGTATATCATTTGGTAGTTGAAAATTTGAATTAAATGGTGAAGAAGACTCTCCATCTTCATTAGTCGTCCTAATAATTTGTGATTTCGGTGTCTTTGGCGGTGAATTAGTAATCAGTGATTCTTTATTTTCGGGACTGGCCCTGGGTCTTTTTTGTTTTTTATTAGTTGTAAATACAGATGGTGCACTAATTGATCTATAAAATGGCAATCTACCTTCATATGAAGTTTGTAAGCCTGTCGTTGTATAATCAAATGAAGATATACTATTTGACGAAGATTGTGGTGGTAATAGAGAAATTGGAGGTGATGAATTTGATTTTGGTAATATTAAATGCGACTTACTTGTAGTTGTAGTTGAAGAACCTATAGTTGGAGGTGTATTTGAATTTGATCTAGTTATAGTAGGATATTGAACTTGCTGTTGTGATTGAGATTGAGATTGTGGTTGAGGTGTTGATGATCTAATTGTACCATCATTATTTTTCATAATCTTGTGAGCCCTCTTTTCAATTGATTATGAATGAATTCAGAATGTATTACTTGTCTTTAAATGTTATAATATAATAATTGTCAATAGTTTAGTTTAAGGAAAGTAATAGTTAAAAAGAAAAGTAGTCCAAAATTTGGTTGTAAATATTTATTTTTGGTGATAAAAATAAAATAATTTTTTGAATCATTTAAGAACAACCAAAAAATTTATTTGGAATGCTACAATAAAAAGAAGTACATAGTTAAGAAATTATTTCTACTACATATAAAATACCATACGGTTAGTATAGCAAATTTATGTGATATTATATACTCGTATAGGTGGTGTTCGGATATTTATGGTGGTTTGTTTGTTGCTATAATTAGCATTCTTTGATAAACCGTTAAATAATATTTTTCAATCTATAAATAAAAAGACTAAGGCTTTGGCAAACGAAGAATCGTACCAATTAATGTCATTTTTTCGTATTAACACTCTGCAATCATTTAAGTCTGATCGCATTAGATCCGGCGATAAAAGTTGAAAAGATCGTATAAAAAGCAAATAATTTGTGGCCCTGGCCCCATATTAGAGCCAGCAAGTATATTAGAATAGTATGTGGGGTGTGTTACAATCAATGACGTAATTTGACACCATAACAAAAAAATAATCCTCGCCTAAATTTGAGGCGTGAAGAAAATAACAAAAATTATGATGCTACCATATGATTTGGCTTTGTGTGGATTAATTGATTACGATATGCTGAACACCAATATTTAAGTGTTGACTGAATCTTTCGAGCGTAATGCTTTATTTATAACTAAATTTATAGTTTGAAGCAAGTTAGACTTTGACAAGATTCGGGTCGAGTAGAATCACAATTTAGATCCTTATTAAGCCTTACGAATCTTTAACGTTTATTTTGCGAATAGCAATGATTGTCAGCTCCACATATTTGGACTTTCAATTCGTACTTTAATCGGCAAAGATATTGTTCGTTCATTATATGAGAGATTTTGAACAACAGCCGATTGAGCAAGAGTTATTTGGACGTGTAAACGTTTCTTTAAAACATTTTTCATTTACGCGTATCTTAATAATGCAAGAAATAACCTGTCAAAAATCAGCAATATAACTATAGTTTGTAATTATTTCTTTGCCTTTTGAAAGATTCAAATTAATAAGCTTTTAGAATATACAAACATGAAGGTAGAATTCAAACTAAAAAAACATCCAGTTTGAATTTTTAGTAGAATTCAAACTAAAAAACATCCTGATCAATCTACAGTGATGCAATACCATCTTTATGGTGCACAGTGCTGTAATTGTCATGGTAGCTCGAGTAAAAAGTTAAAAGAAAACATAAGTGACTGCAGTTTCACTAAAACTTGATTGATCTATAATTGATGTATATTTGGTATATCTATTCATAAGCTCATAACTTTAATCTATTAATACAAAAAAGTATTCACAAATCCATTATTCCTTCATTTTTATTTGCTTTCATTTCCTTCTCCAAAATTTTAATGAAGAACTTAGACTATCTTTACTAATTTCTTTATCCTTCTCTTTATTTTCCTTGTCATTAATCGAAATCAGACTTATATTTCTTGGATGGAAATCATGATTGTTATTACTATTTACTGGTGTATTGGCACCACTTCCATGTATTGAATTTGCATTTGAATTAGCACTTGAATTTCCAATTTTCAAATGTCCCAAAATATTTGAAATCAGTGATACTGAAGAAGATGTTGATGAATCAACAGTATTAGGTGTACCTAAGTTTAAATGTGAAAAAGCAGTACTAGATTGATAAAAAGCTGTATTACTACCATTACCATTTTTAGATCTTTTAGGCAAACTTGATAATTTATTAATAAATGTATCTTTATTATCCAGTGGTGACATTATTGGAGATATTGGAGTTGACATTGAAGTTGAAATTGAATTACTTTTCTGACGAGTAGTAGTTACAATTTGTTTTGGTGATTTCAAAATCGATTCTTTCTTCATTTGACTGATAAATTCAAAATATCCATTTTCTTTCAACATTCTCATTACTTCATTTTTAATCTTCAATAAAATAATAGGATTGTGAACCTTTAGTATAAAACTTTCCTCTACTATTTCTTTAAATAATTTTTGTGAAATATTGATTTGGTTTGGTGAATCATATTTAATATAGTTATTCATTATAAAATTCCAATTTGAAGTCAAATTATTCAACTCTTCATCTGAATAATAATCTTCATCGTCATCATAATCCTCTATTTGTTTTGATTTCAAATCATCCCATGCACTTTGTATATCCTCATTATGATCTAAATCATCTATGGTTTGAATAAATGCATTTTGTGGATCGTGGTCTTCAGATTGTACACTATTGACTTTGTTAACTTTAGTGCTTGATTCAAATGATAATGTGGATGATGAAGATTTTAAATTGAGTAAACTTGGGGATGGGGTATTATTCAATCTGAAGACTGATTCTTTATTTGTGTCGTTGAATTTTAAATTATAATTATACTCATATTTGTTAATATCAATAAGAAAGTATAAATTTTCTTCACAATGTGATTTTGTAAGAAAGTCAATAAATTTATCAACTAGACTCAATTTGAACTCATCTGATAACAAATTGATAGCTTTGAGAAAACAATCATTAACTAATTCATCTAATGATGGAATCGAACAACTTGAAAAATCACAATTCTGTTGACCACTATTATTATTATTCGATATCATTGTTTCATCTAATGAATTGAAATTAATAGATTTTGTAGGTATGGTATTAATAGGCTGTGGTAGATGATTATGTGGGGCATGTTTTGATGATGAGCCTGATGACGTTGGTGACGATACAGAAGGTGTAATATTTGATGATGATGCAGGTGATGAGGGTAGTACAATATTTGTTTGGGTTGATGTCGCTATTACTTCTCTTGCCATACTATTCAATACCCTACGTTATATTTGATAAAACATAAACTTTTCAAAACCAATAGAAATGTGAAATGTATCTCTTGTATTCAATGAAAAGGCTAAAACCAAGATTTTATTAATAAATTATAATAAATAAGTTAGTTATAAGTAATAATAAATTTATTGATTAATTATATAGTTAAGCACAAAATAAAAAGAAAGAAAAAAAGAAAAAAAAAAAAAAAATAAAAATAAAAAGAAATTTCAACGGTTTTTTGAGTTGTTGCACACGACTTATTATCTGTATTTTAACGTCAAAAACTTTTCAAATTTATACGCCACACACGTTACAGTTGAATTGAAAGGGAAAAAGAAATCAGGGTTCTAACATTTGTAGCATTTTTCCATGATATATTGTGTTTATAATAATTTTATGCTCGAAATATTTAGGATTTTGCTTCTCGAAATTAAAACTTTATTTTAGCATCTTTCGTCATAAAAGTCTACATTGTCTAGCTAAAGTCGTTATTATCTTTTGAACTTCTCGTTCTCCATAGATTAATATGATCTTATATTTCTTTACCATCTCTTGTTAATAATTATTATTTGTGGAAGTATCGATGAGACAAGGCGTTTCGATATTATTCCAAAATCCTATTCATAAATCCGGCACATCTGTTAATTCAATTTTAAGCGAAAGAACAATTGATCAATTTTTTGGAGAAGGTTATTGTTTATTTTATTTAGTATGTAGTGCATTAGAATGAATTTTTATTATAATCGTTCATAACTACGAAGAACAGCAAACTTTAATCATAAAGTAAATTAGGATCCAAAATCTGATTTGGTCAATTACATCTTTGAGTTGTAACATTTTTATCGTCCCATAATGATGTCTAATTCCTCAACTTTTACTCCTTTTTCGGTCGATAAAATTTTTATTCCATGCGTCAAATTAAAATAATAGAACTAAAAATTATAAATTGAAAAACGTTTCATAATTAATCAGTCCAGCCGACTTACCTAATATAGTAAAGTCATAATTCTCCAATTTTTCATATTCATATTCATATTCGTTCGATAATTCGACCAACAAAAATTATTTAACAATTAATTTTGATTTTCGTTTTTACGATTTTCGAAAAATCATTCGATTTGAGCTTTAATACTATGCAGAAAATATTAATTTTTGGTTTTGATACCACAAAACTCTTATAAACAAGGTTCTGAAACCACGTTATTATTGTAATAAAGACTGCAGAATGATAAGAATCGATTGATTAACCATGAGGTAAAAATCAAATTGATCAAATGTGATAATTTCGAAGAGTTGAGATTGTATATAATCTCAAATTTCGTGGTGTTCCAATAACGGAAATTTAATCATATTTACGATTATTATCTACTATTTGCAGCCTACTTAGTCGAATCAACAACTCGTATCATTCAATGCTTTTTTAAAACCAAAATTCGAAAATAAAATGCACGAATACGCATATACACCCTTTGGCATGATTTAAGGTACTTGCAGTTGTATTATTAATTTTCTCTAAAAGAATTGACCAATTAGAATGTTATTGCATGTAGCTGCCAAAATCAGTCGAATATGCAATTCAAGCTCACAAAGTTGGTATTTCGCGTTGTGGGACGACTCAACTTTGTCAAAACTCGTCTTAAAAAAATAAACCAATTGCATCTTGAGATTTAAAGTAGATACAAAGGTAGAGAATGCTAAAGTGAGTAATGTTTGTATTAGACAAGGTTTATGAAAATCAAAATTGATGAAGTTATTCAATGACTGAGACTCATTATCGATGTGGAGTTACAAACAGTACCGCGTTGTGGAAATATCATCCCTAATAAAATTTCGTCGACAATAAATAAAAGGAACTCATCCAGACTTATAATCAGTACATCATGATAGTAGTCGTCGTTGAACTGAGTAACATTTGTATGAGACACTCCAGGTAGAAATCAATACTTAGACTCATTTAATTGTGTCCAAATATTTGGGTGTGGCTTTAACCAAATTGAAAAATTATAATTATGATCTAGATTTGATGATAATCAAATATTTATTAATACCAATATTAATTCCATTACAAATAAATGCATTAAGTGATATTTCGCCAGTTAAACAACAAGAAAACATATTTATAGATAACCAAACAGCTTCTGAAACAAAATTATTTTTACAATCACCAACAGATACTCCAATAGATCACAATGAAGATCTTGAAGCTTGTGGTTTCATGTCATTTGAAGAATGGAAGAAAACTAAAATAGAGTCAAATATAACTAATGATACAATAATCAATATAAATCAAACTACTCCTCCCATTAATAAAACAATTGAAATTCAAAACTTCACCGAAATCGAGGGCAAACTATATAAAGATAAGTTTAATTTTGCATCTATAGATTGTGCTGCTACTATAGTGAAAACAAATTCGCAAGCGAAGGGGGCAAGTGCGATATTAAAAGAAAATAAAGATTCATATTTATTAAATGAATGTTCAATATATCATAAATATGTAATTATTGAATTATGTCAAGATATCTTAATAAGTCAAATTGTAATGGGAAATTTTGAATTTTTTTCATCAATGTTTAAAGATTTAAATTTCGAAATTAGTGATAGGTTCCCAACTAATAATTGGAAAAGTTTAGGTAATTTTAAAGCTGAAAATAAACGAGATTTACAAGTTTTCAATATAATGAATCCTTTAATTTGGGCAAGATATTTGAAAATTGAGATTCTAAGTCATTATGATAATGAATTTTATTGTCCAATTTCAATAGTTAGAGTTCATGGTAAGACAATGATGGATGAATTTAAGGAAGAAAAAGTGGAGGAACAACCAAAGCAAATTGTAGATGAGTCAATTTTCATAAATGAGACATTAGAAGATGAATGTAAGATTTTATTACCTCATCTACGATTAAATGAATTCCTCAAGGATTTAAACCAAACTAAAGATTTTTGTTTACCGAATGACTCAACAAGTACTTTATCCACAATCACAACACAAGAAAGTATTTACAAAAACATAATGAAGAGATTATCATTATTAGAATCAAATGCAACACTTTCTTTATTATATATAGAAGAACAATCCAAACTTTTATCAAATGCATTTTCAAATTTAGAAAAGAAACAAGTTAACAACTTTAATAATCTAATAAATTCAGTCAATTTAACATTATTTAGTCAAATCACAACATTCAAAGAAAATTTCAATAATCTAAATATTCAATACCTAAATTTATTTAAATTACAAGAATCAAATTATAAATCATTTTGGTCAAATTCAAATCAAAAAGTTGTTCATTTGACTCAAGAATTAAACTTTCAAAGAAAACTAGTCATATTCAACAGTCTAATCATTATATTTTTACTAGTTTATGTGGTTATTACCAGAGATATAAATATCGAAATTGATAAAACTCAATCATCAGTATTAATTTCATCACCATTCCGTCGCAAAAAATAATCAATCTATATTTACAAGGTCTATATACATTAACCGTAACTTCATCACTTTAAAATCTAAAACGTTTATCAGCTCTTGAACCACCTCTAAAATCAGATTTAGAATCGGCTCTGGAACTACCTCTGAAATCACTTCTAAAATCACGACTTTTTTTATAGAAAGTACCACGGCTATTAAAATCATCCTGATCTCTTCTTTGTCTATTATTATTGTAGTTTCTAAATCCACCAGTAAAATATTCTCTTCTTAATCTACTTGAAACATCACCAATGTGATTAAGTACACCTTGTGAAACTCTCAATGATGGATCTTGCATAATTGTTCTATACATTTCACAAGTTTCTTGTATAATTTGATCTATATCAATAACTCTCAATGGTTTTAATTGTGTTATATATCCAAAAAATCTGACAATATAATCTTCAGTTAAAATAGGACTTGCTTTAACATTTCCAATAAAATCAATTTGATGTTCTAAATTTTGAGATTCAACTAGCTCTGCAAATTCAACACCTCTTTGTCTTTTTAATAAATTAGCAAATCTAGTTTCTGCGTCACCTAAAAATAATATAGCATCACCTTTTAGACCAGCTCTACCAGTTCTACCTACCTTATGAACATAATCAGCAACTTCAGGTGATGCAAATGGTTGGAAAACATGGGTGACACCTTTTACATCAATACCTCTAGCTGCAACATCAGTTGTAATTAAAACACCTTTATTTGATCTTTTAAATCTTGATAAATTTCTTGTTCTTGCACCAGCAGTTAAGTTACCTGCCAATTGTAATAATTCAAAATCTGAATGAACATTTAATTCACTATTTTTGATTTGTTCAATATAATCAGTTAACCATTGAACACCTGATTTAGTAGGTGCAAAAATCATAATTTTAAATTTATCTTGTTCTTTCATGGTATTAAATAAATAATTGAACAAAGTGTTCAATTTATCAGTTTGAGTATCACATTTAACTAACGTTTGTTTAACATTTTCATGAACTTCAGGTTCAGAATCTGAAACTGTATTGATAAAAGTATAATCTTGTCCAATATTATTTCTGGAAAAATTTGATATTTTATCATCTACTGTTGCACTAAACAACAATGATTTAATTGGATCTGGATTTACTCTATTTTCATATAATAAGTCATTAATTTTGTTTAAACTTGGTTCAAAACCAATATCTAACAATCTATCAGCTTCATCAAATACTCTATAAGTTACATTATTAAAACATCTAGCAAAATCTTTTTTCAGAGTTAAATTAGCTTCTAATCTACCAGGAGTTGCAACAACAATTTCAGGTGGGAATCTCGGATTGAAAATGTTTTGACTACCACCGATAACCATACCTATTGATGGTTTTTGTCTTGGATTATTACCAGGTAATTTATCAATAATTTTTCTATATTCATCATAAATTTGAAATGCTAAATCTCTAGTTGGAACAATGATCAAAGTATCCACATGCTTGGATTTACTCTTTTTCAAAATTTCATTTAATGTAGGTATTATAAAAGTTAAAGTTTTACCAGTACCAGTTTTAGCTCTACAAACAATTCCTTTTTCTGTATTTATTATTGGACCTAATGCTTGTTTTTGAATTGGAGTTAAATTTATGAAATTATTTCTACGCAAGGACTGTAATATTTTTGCATCAATTAAACCTTTATCTTTAAATTCTTCATATTTTTCAGGATGAAAAGTTGAAGGTATATCATTTGATAGTCTATATGATATATGAAACCACCTTGTAGGTATGTTTCTTTTATACAGTTTCAAGTATAATCTTGAAATATTCTGAAACATGTTTATATATTGAAAAATTCTTATCTCTGCTTAAAAATTATTTTATTTGTTTCAGAATTTGATTTTGCACTACAATCGAAAATTATCACCAACTTTTATATTTCAACAATGAATACTGGTGGTGGATTCTTTAGCAAGATTAAAGAGAATTATAGTACCAAATTTGCTAATTTATCATTAACTACTGAGAAAGATGGTAATTCAGAAGATGATACTTTAATACATAATGCATTTGTAAAATATTTTGATTCAAAAGGTGAACCATATCCAGATTGGTTAGGTGTTAAAGCGAAAGATTATCAGACAACACAAGGTCAAAATCAAGCTCATCCATATAGAGAACAATTACAAACTAGACAAAGTTATTCAAACTCTCAATATCAACCTGTACGTCATAATAATTTATTTAATAATAGTTATCAACAAAGAATGCAACAGCAAGCTCAACAACAACAAGCTCAACAACAGCAACAATCTCCAAGAACTCCTCAATTATCTGCATCTTCTAAAGATTCTGCACCTACATATACTAGATCTTCAAGTAGATTAGCAGAAATGTATAATAAATCAAAGCAAACAGATGTTCCCGGTCAAGTCTACACAAATAGATATCAAAGACATTAGCTATATTTCACTATTTAACAAAATATAATTCTTTTCCCATATGTTCCTTTGTTTAATAAACCAATCTGGTAATTTGTTTTCAGGAGGTAATTTTAATTTTATAACGTTGACATTTTCAAATTGTATAGGATTTTTATTTAAATTCTTATAATATTTATAATCATTTTTTTCATCTATTCTTGAATCTCTTCTTCTAAAATTTGGTGATGTACTTTCGAATTTAGGTACTGAATTATGTCTAAATTTTATATTTTTCATAAATTCAATTGATGATCTTCTTCTGTCCATTGAAGATCGATTTAAGCTTAAATATGAATCATTATTACTAAAACTATTATTTCTTGAATTTGCAATTAGTTTTGGTGAGGTATCAATAGCTGACGATTCATCTCTTTTGTTTTGTTTTCTTTGTTCTACTAATTTTAATAAATTTGCAGGAATTTGTGGAGATGCAGATAATAAATCATCATCTATCTCATCCATATCATCAAAATCATCTTCCATAGCATTATCATCGCCCGTTATTGTATCTATTGAATTTTGTCTCATCAGTCTAATTGATGCCCTACGAGACATTGATGGAGATTTATTCATCACGGGTTCTTCTTTTCTTTTCTCATATGGTATTAGTTCAATTTGGATTAATTCTAGAAAAGTCTCAGCAAAGTAATTATTATTCTTATTTGAAGTGTTTGAATATATTCTATATTCATTCAATATTGAGTTAAAATTCCATTTTTGGATTTTTCTTAGTATACCACATAAAGTTGAAGTTGAGTCTATAACTAATAATGGAAATTTATTCTTATTAAGTAATATTTCAAATGTCTTTATTATTAAATTTTTCTCAATTAACATCCATTGATCTTTATTATTTCGATTTAATGAAATTATATCTATGAAATTTGATGATTTATCAGATTTTGTAGTTGAGTCAGAAACAGTACTACCACTATCTTCTTCTTCATCATCATCTGTCTTTGAAGATATCCCTGTATGATGATGATTTGAAATCTTTAATCCTCCTAAATTATAATAATCAACTTTATTCTGTTCTAAAAAGTTGTTTAATGACCTTGGTGGTTTTTCTGCATCTAATATTACAATTGATTTAAGGTTTAATGTTTCCAAGAATGGGAAATTATCAGAATCTAACTTGGATGATCTATAAATACCTGGTTCAACTAGTCCAAAATTTTCAGGTGTAACCAACATTAATGATAAAGAAATTGAAAATAAACCGCTACCAATTATTTACTAAATTGGCCTACTTCGATTAAAATTAAGCGGCTTTTATAATTATTTCAGAGAGGGTTATACCATTAAAAGAAGGGTATCAACACACATTTGATGATGGAATCATACATTAATAACCGATTTTTGTGATTATTTTCTTACTTTTACAACTCTTCGATTCAAATTTCATTTCTATTAATCTTCTATATGGTTTTATCTAAAGAGGAATACCTTCATATTCATTAAAACCTTGTGATAAATTAATATTTTGCAAACATTGAGAAGCTGCACCTTTTAATAAATTGTCTATAGTTGCAACAATTACAACTCTATCCTGATTTGAGTTTACTGCAAATCCACCAACTATAACCCCATGTTTATTTGAAATATCTTTAACTAAAGGAACATCACCATTTATAGTAATTAATTTTTCATCATGATATCTATCTTGATATATATTTCTAATTTCTCTTGATGTTAAACTTTCTCTTTTAATTGGAATATTTATAGTATGTGAGATACCTTGAAACCATTGTGCAACATGAGGTGTAAAAGCAACTGGTAAATTTAATTGTGAACTAATTTCTTTTTCATGTACATGATCAGTTAATGAATATGGTATTAAATTATTTTGTAATAATTCAACATTATTCTTAGAACTTGGTTTTGTACCAGCACCTGAATAACCAGAAACTCCAAAAATATTAGGTATACCATCAATATATTTCTTTAATGGAGCAATTGCAATTTGTGCTGCAGTTGCATAACAACCAGGATTTGAAATTTTTTTAGCATTGGCTATTTTTGATCTATCATTTAATTCAGGTAATCCATAAACCCATTCACCAGAAGTATCAAATCTATAATCTGCTGATAAATCAATAATTTTCGAATCTGGATTACCAACTGCATCAATTACATCAACGAATGGTTTGCAAACTCCATTTGGTAATGCCATTACCCAAACATCAACTTTTTTATCTTGTTCCAATTTTTTAATATCTTCAGGTTGTAAATTTGAATAAACTATATTATCTTTATTATAACCTTGTAATTTTTGACCTTCTAATTCTCTACTTGAAACATGACTAATTTCTAAATATGGATGATTATCAATTAATTTAATTAAATTTTGTCCAGTATAACCTCTTGCTCCAATTAATGCAACTTTTTTAGTTGAATATGCACGTTTATGATATCCTCTTTTTTGTTGACCATTGGTGAAAACATTTGAAGCTAAAGCTGAACCAATTGATGAAGTATCGAAATCTTTAATTAATTCACTAACTTCATTTGTATTTAAACCATACCAAAATAAAATTTGACCATTTTTAGCAAATGAACCATCTGATTTTGAAAAATACCAAGCAAGATTGGAGTCATTTTCATTTACAATCCAAAATAATTCATCAAAATCTTTCTTTATTGAATTGAAAATATTATCAGTTACATTATTTAACCAACCAGTTTTTGATGATAAAAATTTGTCTAATTTTGGAAATTTACCATTTTCTAAAACAATTGATAATACTTCCAATGGTTCATCACCATAACTTTTAAAATTTATACCTTCTAAAAATTTTAAATATGATGCAACCGATAATTTACCCAGTTTAATTTCTGGATCTCTCAACAAAGCATTTCTTAATAAATCAGGATTACCAAATTCACTTAAAGAATTTCTATTAACTAATTTATAACCTCTTCTAATTAATGTACCAGCACCAGAATCAGTAAATAATTCTTTTTGTAAATCATTAACATCTATAATTGCAACTGAGGAAGATCTTGGTAAATGTTGTAATAAATCATTAATTTCTTTAATTTTTAATTTGGTACCATATTTAACCCAACTTTCCTTCATTAAATCATCAAATTCTTCATCTAAATTAATTGTTGAAATTTTTTCACCAGTTGAACCATTTATGATACCACCTTTTTCATTAAGATAAACAATTTTTAAAGGTTCAAATTCTCTTGCTAATTCACCAGCAGCTACATCCGCATTAACATTTAATAACTGACCACTTGAAGTTTCTGCTAATGAAGTTAAAATTGGTAAATATCCAGAATTTATAGCTGCTTCAATGGGATTTTTATTAACACCAGTGATTTTACCAACTAATTGATATTTATCTTTATCTAAATAATTTGCTTCGAAAACACCACCAGTTATAGGTCTAGCATGAACACCAATTTTTTCTAAGGCAGTCACCAAAGTTAAATTTTGTTCCAAGAAACATTTACGTACAACTTCCATTGTTTTTGGATTTGTTATTCTAATACCATCTTCATATTCCGGTTCAACACCTTCATTTTCTAATAATTCATTTATTTGTGGCCCCGTACCGTGTAAAACTATTGGATATAAACCAACATGGTATAAAAATGCTAAACATGATGCTAATTCATTCAATTGTTGAGTTATAATAGCTCCACCAACTTTAATCACAGCAAATTGTTGTTGAGATACAGATGTGAAATATTTTAAATATTGTTCAACTTCTCTTTTTGATCCAATATTATTTAATAATTGAATAACTGTTGATTTTGTTGAATAATTATGGGAAAAATTTATAGGTAATGTGTAGAATAGTTTTGGTTCAGATAATCTAACACTATTAGCTAGATTAAATTTGTACACCTTTTTAAACATATTGAATAGTTGGTTAACGAAAGGTGAAAAATTTTATGAACTTATCGAATAAAAAAAAAAATTGTTGATATTCTAAAATGAGTAATCTGATAAATTAAGCGCGACCTGTATATAATGATAACTAGTACAAAATTGATGAGATACCAATCAGTGAAGAGATAAGGGTTAACTCACAAAGACAGGCAGAGGTTAAGAAATTTACTGTTAGTTTGGAATATTGACAATGACAAACTATTAATTATTACCTAACGAATGAATTAATATGTATTAAGATGAACTAAATCTATTATTATGCCTTTTCTATTCTTATGCTATATCTTCATGGAATCTACTTAATGAACCATTTGATCTATCACCATTCGTATCACTAAATATATTATATCTCGGAGGAGGAGCAGCAGGTAAAATAAACGATTCATCATCATAATCAGAAGGATGGAATCCAGCCGAATCAGATGAATCATAATTTGAGGACCCAGGAACAAATTCATCTTTATTTATCTCCTTATTATGATCATTTTCATTAAAATTAAAATCATCAGGTTGTGCCAATGGATGACCAAAAGAATTCATACGAGTATGAAACCCAGAGGATGACATGATGGTTGAATCTCTATTTTCAGGTGAATCTTTAGCTCCTTTTGTTGAATTTTGATAGGTTGGGGTTCCTGTAGTATTTGAATTTGTGTTTCTAAATACTGATTCTAAATTATTTGAATTTGAAACTCCTCTATACTCATATCCATCATCAATTGGATTAGTTGCACCATAACCATTACCTCTTTCAAGATCATTATTATTATCTAATCTTCTAAATGTATTACTTGGAGGTATAGAAGTTGCAGTAGTACCACCAGAATTCAATAATCTTGAATTTGAATTATTTGATTTTGATCCAAACATGTTTTTGAAAAATCCAAATTTACTTTGTTCCATATTTTGACCAGTATTATCATGATAAATATCGGCATTATTCTTATCATCAATTGTTGAAGCGTTTTCTTCTTCATTATGATTGAAATCTGGAGATTGATTTGTAATTGTTCTTTTTCTTTTCTTCAAAAATAAGAAAAATACAACTAATGCAGCAATGACAATTAATCCACCAACTGAACCAACAACACCACCAATAACTTTACCATTTCTCGACGCTGTTGATTCTCCAGTATGAATTGTAGCTGATGTAGGTATTGCTATAACTGTTGTAATTGTTGTATCTGGATTTTTTATAACTGAAGTGTATGATGATGTGAATGATGTGATTGATGAGTCTTTATTTGAACTAGTAGATGATGGTGGTTGAGTTGTAGATGAACGTGGATCATCTGATGTGGTTGATGAAGATAATGAGGTTTTTGAGCTGGATGATGAATTTGATGAGCTAGATCTAGTAGTTGCAACTACTCTAGATGATGAAGATGAAGATGAACTTGAGCTTGAAAATGATGAGGAGGAGCTGGTTGTGGAGCTGGTTGCGGAGCTGAAAATTGAACTTGATTCTGATGAGCTTGAAAAGGAGCTACTTTCAACTGATGACGATGAAGAAATAAATGAGCTGGATTCCGAGCTTGAACTAATTTCCGTAGATGATGAAGGAATGAATGCACTTGAAGATAATTCTGAGCTGGATGAAGGAGATAAGGTTGAATCTGTTGAACTTGAAGATTCAAATGATGACGAGCTCAGTGATGTGACTGGTAAAGTTGAAGGACTAGATGCAGATGAGCTAGTAATGCTTGATGATAATCCAGTTGAAGATGACGGTGACGGTGACAGTGACAATGACGGTGACGGAATAAAACTTGATGATGGTATATTACTTGAACTTGAACTTGAGCTTGTTTCAGTAAATGATGAAGATGCAGATGTTACTGAGCTTGAACTTTCACTTGATGTAGTTAAACTTGATGAGCTTGTATTAGACGGGGTAGTCGAAATTGATGAAGTAGTTGCAATTTCTGAAGATGATATTAAACTAGTTTCAGTTGGTGAAACCAATGAAGTAGTGTTATTATCCATTTCCGATGATGAATTTTCAGAAGTTGTTGAAATTCGTGTATTAGATAAAGTTGTATCAGAATTTGAATTTGAAACGAATGTATTTGAATTTAAATTTGAGCTAGTATTTGAATTTGAATTTGAGCTAGTATTTGAATTTGAATTTGTATTTGAATTTGAGCTAGTATTTGAATTTGAATTTGAGCTAGTATTTAAATTTGAATTTGAATTTGAATTTGAGCTAGTATTTATAATACTAGTACTCGAAGTAGATGTCTCTATAGTTTGTTGATTAGACGACGACAGTGTTAAAGAATCTCTTTGACTATTTGAATTAAAATTCGTTGAAAATGTTGCTGCGGCGGTGAACGATAATAATGATGTATCAGAATTTATAAAACTAGAACTAGTTTCTCTAGCAACTAAATTATTATTATCACTATTAGTTGACGATGATAATGAATTACTACTGGTCAAATTATCTCGCTTATAATAATTTGCTTCTTGCGTATCTAATTCTATAGATCCTAACCAAGATGATAATGATGATAATGATGATTTTTTAAAATACGGAAACTTAATTATTTTTAAATCCATTTTGTATAATTAATGTGTTTCCTGCATATAACTCGAAATTAAACTACTGGAAATGTGTACCATAAAAATTTATGCTGTGAGTTACTAAAAATAAAAAAATTGGTAACAATAATAAACAAATAAACTTCTACGGATTCTTTTGTGTTAACTAAACTTATTTCTTTCTTTGTTTCTTTCTTGCTTTTAAGCTGTTGTTGATATTTAACCTTTTACTCCTTAATTTGATTTGAATCGAATGATATACGATAGATTTTTTTCGCTGATGTTGTACGAGGGGTTTCTTTTATTATAATTATTTTGTTTTCTCTTAGGGCCAATTTTGTTCATAAAATTACTACCAATAATTTAATGAAATTAAAAAAGTTTTCTTGATTATGTTGATTATTACGTAATCAATATGAGATTTTAGATAAATTCCCCCTTACAAAATATATTTAAAATAATCAAATGAAACTACCACCACCACCACCACTTATATTTTTGTTCGTAAATTAAAAGTGTATGAAAATTGGTTGATCTTGTTTTATATTAAAATGAATTTGATTTTTTGTTGTTAATGGAATGAATCAGCAATTGATCAATTTATTATTCTCTTGTTTTTTCTTTCTTCGGAAAAACTTGTAATCAAAATTTAACAAAATCGAATTCTATTTTTTTTTTTTATTTTATTATATTTTTATTTTTTTTTTTTTTTGATTCGGCAATCACAAATCTGTCCAAATCGGGATAAAACGTAAGATTTGAAATCTGAGATCTGATAATTTGAAAACAAATAAGAACAACAACAAAAAATGGATGAAAGTTGTTATGAAAGGAAGAAGATAAAGATGAAAGATAAAGATGAAGATGAAGATGAAGATGAAGATGAGGATGAAGATGAAGAAGATAAAGAATATATATAAATTAATATAGTTCAAAGGATCAAAATCAAGTGTTGATTTGATTTCATTGTATTCTAAAATTTTTAGATTTAAAAATTTATAGCAAATAAGTGAAAAAAATTATGCACACATGGTACTTTTAAAAATAAGTATAATAAGTATAACCCTGGCAACAACAAATTAACAAAGAAGAAGAACAATAAAGTACCACCCCATGTTATCCCTGTTTTTTACGAGGGTTTCACAAACTGTGCTGGTAATGTTTTACAAACTTCTTCAATTAATTTGTATATGTATCTCTATGAGTTTTAGTATGTATGTATGTACGTATGTATGTATATTTAGGCTCACTATTAATTGAAAGGGTTCTTTTAGTTTTAATTTTTTTTTCTTAACTATTATCTTAAAACGTTTTTAGGTTTTAAATCGAAGGAGATAAATAAATAAAGTTTTTAAATTTAAGCAATTGTGCATTTCGAGGAATTCTGTTATGAAAAATTATATTTAGATAGAATAGATTATTGATATTTTTCTCTTATATTGGTATTAGAATCATAAGATTATTCATATTTTTCTCTTATATTGGTATTAGAATCATAAGCTGAGTTTGTTGATTCACCTCATGTTTCTTGTTTCATGTTTCATGTTTCTTGTTTCATGTTTCATGTTTCTTGTTTCATGTTTCATGTTTCTTGTTTCATGTTTCATGTTTCTCTTGATTATCAAGTTTAACACTTATAGTACTAGAGATTATGTGTTTTTATAACTAGAGTTATTCAAAATGGTTTTGATAACTGATTGTCGTGAAATGAAATCAACTAAATTTTTATGCAAAGTTTAACTCTAAATCTAGAAGAATCCAAATTATAAATGTTTCACTTACCAATCGTATTTTAAATCTTCGAGTTCACTGAAAGCAATGAAGATCTCAGCTCTATTTCAATTTCAACGAACGAATGTTGATTTTCGGTTATTTTTCCAAAAACTTCAAATTTTTGCAAATTTTGCAGCAAAATCAATAATTTTTATAAATCATTAAACATATGTGTATTAAAAAAATATCAAAACAAACTAATTATTATTAAACATATTAAAATTAAATTAATAAAATCAGATTCATAACAAAGATTAAACTTTATATAAAACAAACCAGGAATTGGTAGCGAAAAATCAACAAAATCAATAATTTTTATAAATCATTAAACATATGTGTGTATTAAAAAAAATCAAAACAAACTAATTATTATTAAACATATTAAAATTAAATTAATAAAATCAGATTCATAACAAAAATTAAACTTTATATAAAACAAACCAGGAAATGGTAGCGAAAAATCAATCAGCTAAAAAACTGAGCTAAAAAACTGGCATTAAAATTTAAAACTTAAAACAACGGTTATAATCCAAACATGAAAAAACATTGAAACTTTACTTGGATTCTTTAAACTTGTTCATTATTTTGTATTTCTTTTGGTTTGGATTCATATTTCTCTTTCAACCTATCTTTAATTGCAAATAAACTCATTTCCCATGACATAAACAATGTGACTAATCCCAAACTAATGTTTAAAGTAAACATTGATGTAAATCCATAATATTCAAAACTTAATATTACAGGATCTGTTGATTCCATAAAAATTAACCCACCACATATTAATGAAAAACTAACAATTAATTCAGTTATTGGTCTTGTTGGAGTAGTTAAATTTTTATTCATATTTGAATTTAATAATAATATAATATAAGTTAAAAATCTAAAAACACAACCAAGTATAAATAAATTACCCCATTGGACATGAATTTCTGTAGATAATTCAGATGCTTGTTCATGTTTAGACATTAATACACCAGTCCAATAAATAGTCAAAATTGGAAATGGATTTGGACTAAAACCAGGTGAAGCTTTAATTATTTTTGAATCATTTGAATTTTTTGTAGCTTGTTCAAATCTCCAATTTTGTAATTTTAATTCAGTTATAACTCCACATAAACCGCAACCAATAAATATAAATGCAATTGAAACATGTTGTAAATCTTTTGGACTCCATTCACCACCTGAATTTGCTAAATGTTCCAAGAAAATATTAGTTGATCCATAAAATAAAATTAATGAACTTTCAATCATTTCCATTGTCCAAAGACCTTTATTTTGAAATTTAAACCATGTTGAGATTGTTTCATTTGATTTTATAAATTTATGATTCCAACTCCATCCTTTATTTTTAAATGCACCTGAATATCTAGCAAGGGATAATATACCATAACTTAAAAAGACACCACCTTTAATGAAATGAGCTAATAAATTGAATACAGTTTTTCCCTTACCATAAAGGCAAAATGTTGCAACTGCAGTTGGAATTAATACAATGAAATAAAAGAAATGACCCCAATTTAAAAAATTAAATAAAATAACACTAAATTTATGAAATTTTGTAGTTGCAAAATATTTTCTAAATTTGCCTAATCTACCAGAATTTAAAAAATTTAATCTTCGATTGGTAGCGGGTTGGGGTATTGGTTTATCATCGATTTCAAATGCACTTAAATCAGAAGATGATGAAGAACTTGATAAACTTAAATAATTACCTTTATCACTATTTGGATCAATTAATTTGATAAGATAAATGATCGGTTGTATAATTGTAGTTATTAATAATATGATTATCATTTTGTTATATGCATTATTTGGATATATATCTTCTACTAATGAACCAATAAATATCAGGTAATTTAATATTGAAAATAACATAAACCCAGTATGAACAATTAATGTTACAAAATAAAATTTATTTAATCTTAAATTATTAAAAATTAAACAAAATGGATAAATTATGAAAATTGTAAACAATCCTGAAAAGATATGTAAATACAATGATGTTCTATGATTTGATTCAATATTGAAATATGTAGTAGTATTATATGATTCCCAGAATTTTTGTTCAATTGGTAATAATTTAGTCTCGAGAATAGGTACACCACCATGTTGATGTTTCATTACATGTGGAATTGGAGTTTCTGAAGGATCTGAAGGATCTGAAGGATCTGAAGGATCTAAATCGGCTGAAGTTGTAGATATATCATGATTATTATCCTCATCTTGATGGTCCATCATATTCATTGTTGCCATGGCAACACCAACAATTGTAGTTGATAATAGTAGTAAATTATTAAATTTCATGATCAATGTAAGAATGGATATGCTATATTATTAATTATTAATGGGAATTGAGTTATATAAAATGATGTTTATGAAATGATTGAGTATTTATTTATGATTTGGTTGTAAAAACAAATTGGTTGTAAAAACAAATTGGTTGTAAAAAAATATTTATTAAATTCTAAATATAAATGTATGATGATTATTTTTATATTAAGATTTTGCTTTTTTTGCTGTCAAATTTATTATATTACTGTTAAGATGATGTAATTCGAACTATATTTGATTATAAAACCCCAGGGTATAATTGTAATTGTTAGTGAGATGTATAAACAAATAATAATTGGTTTGGTTAATGGGAATTAATAAAGAAAGATGGAAATGAATACAAGAATATGAAATCTAAGTTGAGAGATTTTCATTTATATATATATATATAAACAAAATTTATAATATGTTATATTACTAATATTTTATTGAACTACTTAAGAAAAAAAATATTAAATGACACAACCAAATACTATATTTAAATTTCACAATCTATGATTAGAATAGAAGAATAGAACTTGTTAACAAGAGTTATAATTAGAATTCGAATTTACAATAGTATAATGTAAGTTAATTAACAATCCGTTCGTTTTTTTCAAGGTTTTAACCTTAAAATACAGAAGAACGTATCTATACTGTAATCAATAATTTACATAATTTACATGATTTACAACCCTTCATCATAGTTTAAATTCTCACTTAACAACGTTCTACAATTAAGGTTGGAATATATAAAGAACAAAGTTTAATTAAATTTCGATCTCTTATTATTAGGTGGCTTTTTTTTTTCAAGTTTTGGATCTTAAAATCATCCATTTAGCATTTTCATAGCCCATAATTGCATAAGATTATACATATAGATAACCAGATTATTGCAGTAGTAAGTCTACTTGAATAATCCAAATTGCTATTAAAAAAGTTACCTAATTTGTTAAATTGAGCTAATTAATCAATTGGTTGGTATATGACTTTGTATCATAAACTAATGCACCTCGGCTTAATTTAATACCGTTCCAGCCGAACTCTAAACAAAAAAGTGAATTACCTCGTAACCAATAAAAAACCCTTTTATTGAAAATATATAAAGGAGTTTAAATATCTTACATTGCTTTCCATAGCCCATATTGATTTGGAACTGAAGTCACCAGTTTTTTTTATCTTATCTGTTTACATTTGAGGTAATAATTCGATAATGTCATTTTTTGAAACGTTTTTTTTAGTAGATGAGTTTTTTCAACGTATATTCTCACCCGAATTTTTCAACTTATATCCGATTATTTTATGCGAACAATAAAGTAAAACAGTAAACAATAAGTATTAAACTTTAGTAATTTACAGATCAGGCAATTTTTATCAATGGTCCAGATTTTTCAATTTCAGAAAGATTTTAATTAATAAGAAAGATTTGCAATTCAAGAGATAGCCATATACTAACTAACTACCAAACACACACTCGATGGAATTTGCTTTCTCGTCATATTTATGAATTTTGAGAGAGAGAGTAAATCGAGTTCACAAATCAGTTATTGAACAAAGTCCGACAGTCTTGAAGTAGAAATAGTGGCATATTTTTAAAAGATCTTCAAATGTGCATATATGATACCTAAAAAAGTTTACTTTATTTCTTTTATATTGCACCTTTTTTAGTCAAATAATCAAATCTTGAATAAGTATAGCCAATAAAAGGTAATTCATTACTAACATTATTATTATTACCATTTCCACCACCACCATTTTTCATTTCTTGATCTCTTAATTCCATTGCTTTTATAAATGCTGGATTTTCAGGTACATTTTCCAATTCATCAGTTGGGAAAAATCTTGTATCTGTTATACTATCCAATTTGGGTATAAATGGAGCATCAACTTTTCTAATAGTATCCCAATCAACACCTCTAAAAAACGGATGTTGTTTAATTTCATCAGCACCTCCATATCTTCCTAATCTGTTTTCAGCAGAACACATTAATCTTTTAATTACATCTTCAGCTTCTGGTGATAAATGAACGTCTTCTGGAATTTGTAAAGTTTCAGGCCAATGTATAATTTTTCTATAAGTTTCATGTGGTGTATTTGCACAAAATGGAGGCCAACCAACTAAACATTCGAACATTATAGCACCTAAAGACCACCAATCACATTCTTGACCATAACCTTGATGAATAAAAATTTCAGGTGCAATATAATCAGGTGTCCCAACAGTTGAATAAGCCATTAATCTTCTACTTTTTCTCCATGTTTGCATTTGTTGACGATTTGACATGGTTAAATGTATTGAATCAACCATCATCATTGAATTTCTACCACCAGGTCCATTAGGAGTTAATTGATTCGGCTGAAGATAATTAGTTGGTGATTCTTTTTCCAATAATTTTTTGTAATAATTTGAATCATGAGTTTTATGAAAGCCTGTGCTTAATCCAAAATCAGATAATTTAATATGACCTCTTTCATCAATTAAAATATTATCTGGTTTGATATCTCTATGAATGAAACCTAATTTATGAACAGCTTCAATAGCTAAAACAATTTCAGCAATATAAAATCTTGTAATATCTTCTGTAAAAATTTGCCATCTTATTAACATTGTCATTAAATCACCACCAGGTAAAAATTCCATAATTAAATATAAATATTGTGAATCTTGAAATGAATAATATAATGAAACAACCCACGGTGAATCACTACCTACTAAAACATCTCTTTCGGCTTTAACATGAGCCAATTGTTCTTTTTTAAACATTTCTGATTTAAGTAAAGTCTTCATAGCATATATATTCCCATTATCTTTCTTTTGAACTAATCTAACTTCACCAAATGCACCTTTACCAATAACTTTAACTGTAAGAAAATCTTCCAATACTAATTTAGTTCTACGTAATCTTAAAAATTGTGACTCTTTTTTACCTAAATTTTGCAATTGTCGATTTTTCCTTTCTTCAGATGATAATTTTTGTTCATTTTGTAATTTATTCTCTAAATCTAATCTTCTTTGATTTCTTTCAACTGCTAAATGGACAGCATCAGTATAATAAGCTTCCAATTTAATTTTGGCCGCAGCTGCTTTATCTCTAGTTGATTTAGTAAGTGATTGTGGATTCCTAACAAAATTTGAGCTTTGATTATAACTTCCACTAGTTGTTGGAGGCGTTTGAAATACTGGTTTGTTTTGAGGTGGTGGTGTATTATGATTATTTTCATTTTCAAATTTTAATTCATTTGAAACTAAACTATTGGTACCTGTTGTATTTGATAAATTACTATTTGAATTATTATTTAATTGGGTAAAATTATTACTTGGAGGTTGAAAATTCATTGAATCAATGGATGTAAATTGATTATTATTATTATTATGTTGAAGTTGATTTTGATTGAAATCTTCATAATGATTAAATTTTGGAGAGGATAAAATTTGTTGTGGTTGTGGTTGTTGCCGAATAGGTGAGTCCAGGATGTGTAATTGTTGTTGTTCCATTGGATATATTGTATCTTCTTCCATATAACTTAAATCATGATTTTGTTGTTGATGTTGTTGAAGTTGAGAATATTGGTGCTGTTGTTGCTGCTGTTGTTGCTGCTGTTGTTGCTGCTGTTGTTGCTGTTGTTGCTGTTGTTGCTGCTGTTGCTGTTGTTGTTGTAAATGTTGTAGGTATAAATGATGCTTTTGCTCTTCTGTAAGTTGATCAAAGTTCATTTAATATATGATTGTTGATTCAAGTAATAATAAATTAATTAATGTTTTGATTTTTTCTTTTTTTGATTTCGTCTAACACACCAAATTAAGCCGACTAAAATTGATGCATAGAAATGCACAATATCAATGAACAAGAGTCTCAGATTACTTATAAATCACTAGTTTGACTAGTGAGTTTATCGTTGGTGATCAGCTTAAGAGAGTTTTTAAGTTGATCGTATGTAGATCTTTGATTCTTTAAATGCCCTGGGCTCAGATCTGAGCCAATTATTAAAACAAACAGCTTGTATTCTCATACTGAAATGCCCATTTCCTTGATTCTACAATATTTTCATTACTCAGATTATGTATATATTAATAAAACAATAGTAACACTATTAAAATTGTAAAGCTTGACCTTTTTGTTTTTTATCACCACCCAATTCGAAATGTTTACATCTTTTTAATGCTAATTGAGCTTTAGTTTTACAAACAACACATTCTAATCTTAAAACAACTTTTTTGGTGGTTTTAGCTTTTTTGTGGAAAACTGGTTTTGTTTGACCACCATAACCTGATTGTTTTCTGTCATATCTTCTTTTACCTTGAGCAAATAATGAAGCTTTACCAGCTTTATATTGGGTAACTTTATGTTGAGTATGTTTTCTACATTCTTTACCTTTACAGTAAGTTCTTCTTGTTTTTGGAACGTTAACTACAATAAGATGTTAGTATTATATCCCGAATACTTGTAATTTTAAATGATAATAGGTAATGAATCTTTCTGGACATCTTGAAAATTTGCATTTCTCCAAGTTCTTTATGTCTTCTATCTCTTTCATCTCTTTCGTAGTTCCCCTACTTGTCTTAACTTGATACTATGACTGTCATCTCTTATATCTCTCATGTATATATCATTTATAATCTATATTTGTTTATTTATTGAACATACCCATTGTGCTTTGTTGTGTTAAGGTAGTAGTATATAATAATGAAAAAAGGTTTTTTTGCAAATTTTCAGTAAAACTTTTGTTAGTAAGAATTTGTGTGTCGTATTATGTAATACACTGCTAATACTTGTTTAACTATGGAACCATCAAAAAAAGAGTATACATTTTGCACAAGTATGAGACAAATAAATTTTACTATGCGACTGCACACAAAATAATAATTATGGTTATAGCCCTAATTTTATCAAACATATTATAACATAAATAAACCTGGGTTGTCATCTCAGTTTCATCTCAGTTTAGAAGTACTCTAACAAAGTATTGTTGATGATAGATAGATTGCATGATATAATTCATTAACTGCTTAATCGAATTTCGAATTAATTTTGTCGTTGTTTAATTTTTAAATCGTCTAAATTTATCTGGTTGCAAAATCATAAATAGTAATAAAACCAGCAGAAATTTGGCTGCGAAAAGAATAGTTCAACGAGATACAAATTATACATTTACTCTAAATAAACAAAACCGAAAAAATACTAAATTAAATTATTTTATGCTTGAGTTATTGTTGTATAGATTGTAGATGTCAATGTTGTAGTTTCATCAAAATCTGTTTCACCAGCATAATAATAATCATAATCTACATAACATACACCATCTGAAGTAACAGTAGTTACATTATCAATTATCCAAGAATCAGTAGATGTTGGAATTGATTGACCTTCCGTTATCGTTGGACCTTCAGAGTTTGTAGTTTCTGTATCATTTTGTTCTATTTCTGATGTTGTAGTAGCAATTGGTGAATTCGATGTAGTTGATGCTTGTGCTTGAATTGATGAATATGAAGTGGATTCTGAACTTGCTGTTGTAGTTGCAGCTGGTGAATTAGCTGTTGTTGCTGGTTGAGCTTTAATTTGAACTGTTGAAGATGAAGATGAAGATGAAGATGAAGATGAACTACTTATTGAAGTTGAAGTTGAGGTTGTTTCATTTGCTTCTTGTGTAGTTGAGGTTTCTTGCTGCTCTTGAGCTGTTCCTTGTTGTTGTGTAGTTTCTTGATGAATTGTTTCTTGAGCAGTTTCGTTTTCTTCAGTTGATGATGGTTTTACTTCATTTTCACTAATTGGTTGAACATCAGCAGCCGAAACAGGTGTAGTAGCAACAGTTGTAAATGTATGTGGTTTACCAAATATAGTACTTGTAACAGTAGCAGTATATGAGGTGACCGTTTTTGTACTTGTACTCATTATTACATTTGTGTAAGTTGAAGTTGGAGCATTAACAGTATGATAATTTGTTTGAGTTTGTTGAATAGTAGTTTTTAAATGAACAACTACCACATCATTATCATCACTATCATCTCTTATCTCGTTATTTGTAGGAGCAGCAAATGTAAATTTGGATATCAAAGGAATGACTAAAAATAAATTTGAAATTTTCATAGTATTAAAGGAATGACTAAGTTAATAAATTAAATGGAAGGATTGACAAATAGTTGGAAAATTAAAGAAAGTGAATTATAAAAGCTCGTTGTTAAACTCGTATCAAATTAATGGGTATTTGTATAAATGTTAAATAAAATTGAATTTTGGTTAGTAAATTTCCTCACCATTTCTGTTACATTATATATGGTCGGTGATCTTACATTTCAAGATAAATTAGAGCAGTTTTACGAATCTTGAGCTGGTTGATTAACTTGTTCTATACATATTTCTTCTCTTTCTAGAATCTTGTTTCATGTAAGATTGAAATATACGCACAAAAATATTTATTTCTGCTGGTTGCAAAAACCCACTACGGAAAAAAATAAATAATAATAAACAAAAATTTTGATTACTTTCTGATACATTACAATTGAATTCCACGTCCTAATGACATCTCGCATACATGAGGTGAGATTATATGTATTGTTTAAGTCGGTGAGGTAATTTCATAAAATTGGCGCGTTGAAATTTAATACTCTCAAATGTTTTTCCGAAGCTATTTTGTTATTTGAACAACGCCCAATTGTAAGTTTGGGGGTAGCTAGGCATTTTTATTTTATTTATGAGTGTTTTCAAAATTGATTATAAGTGTAAACTCTTGGTGCTATTTGCAGGTTTGAAATAGCTGCAAAATTATTGTTCGTGTTCAAAATTATCAAACTCTTGGCTAATAATATTCTAAGTGATTTGATTCTTAATTCGATTCCTTGAATAATATTGGTATAAAATATGTGTCTACTGGTGATGGGTCTAATTTGGTAGTTGAATCATGAAGGGCAAGCAAGTATTTTTTAAAAAATTTATTTTATTCACTTGATTTGATTTGCAATGGTTTATAATAACGTTCAATTATTGAAACATTTCGTTTGTCTTTTGATTAGAATTATAATAAACCAAAAAACTAAGCCATTTTGAACCGTTAACTGGCTACAGTGTTTTGCTACGTTTCAAGATCCTTTTTTCAAAATTCGTCAAAAATTTTGGAAATATTTCTGAATTACCAATGACTTAAAATTTGAGGACAACAAACATAAAAGAACAACTCTACTAATAATTCAATCCTGCTCCGCAATACAAAGTAAAAACTGCCCAGATAGTTTAGGGTTCTTTCAATACTTTAATTTATGTCGTTGCTCTGATATACCAAAGGATCGACAAAAATAAATTTGATTGCGAATCTAAACTTATATGATCGAGAGGTTTGACGACTCATACAGTTATCATGTCCTTCTGAAATAATACTTGTATTGGATTTGAGTCTTCAATATCAAGTTTAATTCTTTGTACTGGAATTCAGGTCATGTGAGGAACGTACCTCAATTAAAGTCATTTTAGCTGCAAAGACTGAGGTAAGGTTATAGTAGATTCGTATTTAAAAATAAACTGTAGCTATATTGCTGGACTCCTAATGTAGGACTTTAACGTTTTATCAAATAAGCGCAAAAATTCTAAAAAAGAGCGATTTAGATTTGAGATCGGTTGCAAATCTATAGTCACGAGATCTAACACAAACAAAAAATGACAGAAAACGCGCGCTAAAAAAAATATTCAAAATACCATTGGTATTAAGCATCGTTAATCTGGCACTGTGACCTGGATTTATATTTAAACTATAATGTTTTTAGTATCATTCAAACGAGAAAATCGTCCAATCTAAGTTGGAAACTTTTAAATCGACTTCTTTTGATTTTCTCAACGAATTTTTGACTATCTGACCAACCTGATTGCTTTGAATTGGCCATATAATGTTATTTTCCATTTTTTTTAAAGACGAATAAAGTTATTAAAATTATAATTTCATTTAAAACACTTACATTGGATGATTTCTAATTGACTGAAGATTAGATGCAAAAAGTTGGAGAATGATAGCTTCAAAATATAGAGAGTTATTTACGATTCAAATTTCAGAACTAACTACGGCGAGACTGCATATAAGTCAAATTGTTTCAGTTTGTAACACACGCTTGGCTTCGTGACCATTTTTTGTAGCGCGACCAAGTCGAGGAAAATAATAATTCTGGTCTCAATTTCCTGTCCATTGTCAATCGAAACGGCCCAAATTGGATTCGAACAACTGGTTCAATATCCTCAGTTGTACAAATTTGTTGATACAAACATGCTCAATCAAATAATGCATTCATAGTTGAGAATAAGAAGATCATAATTTTAGAGATGGTCATGAACTCAAAGAATGCAGAAGATTGACAATTAAGATTCGAGATTGTATTTGTTTATGTTGCGAAATTTATTTTCATAATTATATCATTTAACTACAAACAAGAATGTTTTCCACCAAAAGAAATGCAAGGTTTACTCACCCATTATTCGTTGATTCAATTACTGTTCCAATTACAATTTCTGCTTCCATTGAAGAATTTTTATTTACAAGTGAAGAAGCCGCCGAATCAGAAACAAACTCAAATGAATACCAAGATGAACCAATTATTAGTGACCAGATTGAAGTTTTGGATGAATCTCAGCATGATACACTATACTCAAAACCAGAAACTCTTTTAACAGCAGAATTAGAGACTTCATATCAAGACATTTTCAAATTATTAGATATTTTGGATTCATTAATATCATTAAATTTAATAAACAGATCTACATCATTACTTGAAATTTCAGATCCAGCAGAAGAAGCATTAGAACTCCTTGATACATCATCTTCATCTTATTCAGAATCGATTTCAAACTATAGTGATTTTTTAAACATTTACAATTCAAATTCAAAAACAAGTTCATCAGCTTTATTAACTCAACCAAAGCAACCAAAATCAAGACAATTTTCCTCATTGGAATCAAGAAATGCAGAATATTCATTACCAGCAGAGAAAATATACCACTTACAATCATTAAAATCCAAAATAACACCAAAAAAAAAAAGTTTAAAACTTAAAAATGTTTCAATAAAACAAGTAAACAAATCAACTTGGTTACAAAAATGGGACAAAGCAAAAGAAGTAAGAAATAATGACATGAAATTTAAAGCCAAAAAGTACATTGATATAATCAAATCAAAATTTAAAGATTACTTCAAGGCTAAATATTAATAGACTATTTATTAATCTAAATGTATACGATTTTATATTAATTGGTTCTGTCTCTATTGTAGTGAAACTATTCAATAATTAATCTATGAAAGACGTCATGTTTTGGATCTAAAACCGTTATGACTTAAATTGTTTCAAATTTTTTAGTAATTGTGCTGCAAATTCACCCGGTATTACTTTGAACCAGTTTAACCAAAATCCAAGTCATACTTCTGAAAACTGATCATCAAGGGTAGCAATTGCTTAACAGAAAAAGTATTTAGAGAAGAACTGATGGGATACTCTGATTAGTTTCGAATACATACTAATCTAATCAAAGTTTATCATTTTATTGACATCAAAACTGAAGGCCCGGAATTGCATTATCAACACGATAAAGTCGATTACCTAATGCTTTAAAGAGTAACACTATAAAAGCTTTTACTTAGTTTCAACAACAAAGTTTTAACCAATTATCATGTCTACATCATGAAATGTTTTAAGTTTATTCTATTATATTTCTTTCGTTATCTCGTAAATTTTAAATTAAAAAAAAAAAAAAAAAAAAAATCTAAAATAAATTCGGTTACCGGTCTTATCCCAAAATAATAAACAGTTAACTGTACTCAACAGTTTGATGATACCATGAGTTTTAGCCATTCAACTAATGAATTAATGTATAATATAGATCATTCACCAAAAGAACCGAATCTACAGTCAACCACACAAGATCAACAAAGAATAATAAATGCTCAACAATCACAAATTAGAAATTTAAATGAAGCTACAGGTAGTGCTAGTACTAATCAATTTGAGACATCTACATCTACTTCACAAGGATCAAGTATAAATAATGCCTTAACTCAATTACAACAACTATCTCGAAAAGCCCCACCCCGACAATTTCAATATCAACAATTATCAACCCTGAATCGAATATACGGAACATCACATCTTATACCACAACAACAAACACAACAACAACAACAACAACAACAACCAGAAAAAGTTAATAAAAAACCTCCTCGAAAGAATAAACCAGGTAAGAAGTTTGGAGCCAAAAAACGATCATGGGTTTGGGCCTGGTTTTCTCAAGATCATCAAGATCACAAAATTGCAGCTTGTGATTATTGTGGTAAAGTTATTATTCGATTAGTTTCAGATAAAGGATCACCCAAGAAATTAAGTGAACATCTAAAAACTCATAAGATTACAAAAGAAACAGTGAATTATAGTCGAAATATACCGATTAATGGTTTAGGTATAACATATACAAATTCTGGAGATTCAATAAACCAACAACAACAAGATACAAAGAAGTCAAAGTCACCTACTTTTATAAATAATGAAGTTTTACCATCTAATAATATGTTTGAGGTAAATAATCGACGATATTTATCTACTAAGTTTGACAATACATTATATTCATCAGGTAAATTTCATAAACATTTAATAGAATTTTTAATGGAGAATCAATTACCCATCAGTGTAATAAAATCAAAATCATTCCAACAGTTAATTTACGATTTACGAACTGATTCAATAAGTGATCTACATGAGTTAACCAATTTATACAACTCCTTAATTGAAGTGAGTAGATTCGGATCAAATGAAACCAATAAAACCAATTCTACAGTTAATGCATTAGCTAGAGTACTTGAAAAAAGATAATATATATTATAGTCTAAATTCTTGTATTGCTTGTTCTTCGACTAATCCATCAATACTTGGTGTTCCAAAACTATTTGAAATTGGAGTTCTACCAATCCCGTACAATAATGATGGTTGTGGTCTATCTATTCCGCCAATCAATGGTGTTGGAGTGGATGAACCTTGATCTTGATAGGTTGGTGGACTCAAAGTTTTAATATCTTCATATGTTGGAGGAACTTCATCATTCCATGCAATACCCAATCCTGATCTTTCAGTAACTGGTAATTTAAATTGCATTCTTAATACTCTAGCAGCACCAGTTGGAACACCCGTTGAACTTGTTTTACTATCTTGATTTGAGCTAATTGGAGTTAAACCATTTGATTTCTTATCTACACTGTGCGCTATTTCTTCAGCAACTACTATTTCCACAATCAATGTATGATTTACTAATACTCCCAAAGTAGGATCATCAATATCACAAGACACATTAGCTCCATTTTTACTTGCATCTTCAACTATTTGTTGATCGTTTGTCGAAATTTTTGTAATATTATTTTTCAAGCCTGTGCTGAATCCAGATGCAGATATATTTGCAACTAATTCAATAGTACCCTTTCCCGAAAAATCAGATTTCCAACCACTTTTAATATCTCCATACGATATAGTTCTAGTCTCCTCTAAATATAAATGTTTCTCATTTTCTATAGGTAATTGAACTTGTGATTGTTGAGGAGTAGCAGTTAATGTATTAGTATTTGTCTCATTCGGAGACATGAAATCTTCAATGAAATTTTGTGCTGCATTTGCAGGAGCACTTCGTATCGTTTCTTCAATATCATGTTCTCCAGTCTCTATAAGTATATCATCTTGTTCTTGTGGATTTTCAGACACGTTGTAATTTTGATTAAATTGTGTTGATGGATTATTCATTAAACTACAATTTGTCTGTATTGTACTGTGATGCAAATTTGATGTTTTATTTGATTCTTTCTTTGATGATATTTTTTGATAACTCTTCTCGATAGTTTGTAATTTACTAATATGTTTCTCGCATGAGTTAGCTCTAATTTTGATATTTTCTTCTATTCTCCATGATAATTTCCTCATTCTCCATCTTCGTAGTTGTGAATTAGAGACCATATTATCTAATTTTAGTTCAATTGGAAATACAGATTTTGGATATATTACATTTGGTAAAACTGCACTTGCAGTAACTTCAGTTGGTGGAAAAACGCGTAATGAATTTCGATCGGGACCTCTTAAAATTGATCTTGTGATATTTATAGGTAATACCAATTTCCTTTCACATTCTTCTCCTTTTGCAATTGCTATTATTTCATATTTTATAAATGAATGTGAATTTGATGAGCCTAATTTTGAAGAAGCTGGTAAATTTCCAGGTATTAAATGACTAAATGGATATTCATGTTTTCCCGCAGGAAACGATACATTTGAAGTTAAAACATCCCATCTTGCTAATTCACATATTTTCTTTGTACATTCTTTACAATTTGATATTGATGATGCATTGGGGATTAAAAATGGTTTTGTATATCGCATGGTTTGAATTAATGATAATGTTACATTATTTAAATTTAATGCGTCCAAAGTACTTAAAGTTAATATACCAGAAATTATTGAGCCTGTAGATTCACTTGCATTACCATATAGTATAATAGGTGGTGATTCTAATGTTATAGTTAATGAAAATGATGCACTAGCTAAACTTTTTTTTGCAGGTGATGTAGTAGATGATGGAGTTAATGATTTCGTTGATATTGTACTAGAAACAGGTGTTATATTTAAAGGCGATCTAGGAGCTGAAGTAGGTGATGGTCTTTTATGTGAGTTTTGATTTTGAAATACTTTGAAAAATGCCATGGTAAAAAGGTGATCTCCGGTTATAAGATAGACCCTTAATTAATTGAAATTATGACAGATAAAATGTAATTGTGACGAGTTAATGAATAATAGCAGCAATTCTGATACCTTGTATAAGTTTCACTGGATAGTAAATGTAGTTAAGACTAGTTGAATAGCTTTCTTAAAATAAGTTGCATAGATTTTTTATAATTAAACTTTTTTTGGGGCACAAAATTTAAATTTTGGTTCCAATCGAAACAAGAAAAATAAGACAAACGTTTCGTTTAAGGCAGTCGACAACGCCATTTTACTTCCATCGACATCACGACACACGTCACAAGATTAAAATACCTATTCGATACGCTACCAATTACATTGACACTACATTTTTTGAATTATCATCATGTCCATTGTTAAAAATGAGCATATATTGACTTTTATTAATGTATATTGAGTCAATGTACTTCCATAATTGTAACTAAAGACTATTTCCTGTTTAGGTATTTAATTTTATCGTCTATATTTTTTTAGCGAGAATCTGAAACATGAAAAAAAAATATATTTATTTATCAATTAATGAGTAAACAACATTTAGTTATTGATAATGGATCGTATAATATAAAAGCAGGTTTTAACACTGGTGAAGAATCAAAACCAATAAAAGTACCAAATATAATATCAAAAACAAAAGATGGTCATATACATATAGGAAATCAATATGAAAAACATACAAATAATTATTCTCAAATACAATTTAAATCACCATTTGAACAAGGCCATTTAACTTCATGGGAGACAGAAAAACCAATATGGGATTATACATTTGATTTAACAAGTAAAAAAGAAATTGATCCATCTTCTACTCATTTAATACTCACGGAAACTCCATTTCAATTACCTCAGTTATCTATCAATACTGATCAAATTGTTTTTGAAGAATATGGATTTAATGAATACTATAGATGTGCTCCTGCTTCTTTAGTTCCATTTAGTATTGACTCAAGTGTGATAAATTTTGATTTTAATTTGATTATAGACTCAGGTCATAATTTTACTTGGATTATACCGGTGATTTATCAAAATATATACTGGGCCGGGGTGAAAAAATTACCAATTGGAGGCAAAGTGCTTAATAATTTATTAAAGGAATTTGTCAATTTCAGACATTATGATATTTCAGATGATCCAATACTAGTCAATACAATCAAAGAATCTACATGTTTTATGGCTGATGATTTTAATCAAACTTTGAAAAAAAAATTAAATAATGGTTGTGAATTTATACTACCAGATTTTAAAATAACAACAACGGGTTTTGTTAAAACTACAGAAACAATACCACCAGATGCACAAGTTTTGAAATTATATGATGAGAGGTTTATTGTACCTGAAACTTTTTATCATCCTGAGATACTTTTTGATAACAATTCAACAACTTCATCAAATCAACTAGTACAATCAGCACCGTTCAAAAATTTAATAGATCTTATTAAAGAATCAATCTATGCATGTCCAGAAATTACAAGACCTTTATTACTGGCTAATATTTGTCTCGTTGGTGGTACCACAAATATATTAAATTTTCAACCAAGATTATTAAGCGAGCTACAAAAAGAATTACCACTGAATTGGAAAGTAAGGATATTTGATAACTACAATGATATTCCAAAAGATGAAATGCAATGGTATGGAGGTATAAATTTATCAAATGAAGATGTGCTTAAAGATATCACAATTTCAAAAAAAGAATATTTTGAACATGGTTCAAATTGGTGTCAGAAACAATTTGGATTCAAAAATATCACATAGGTTTATATTGTTTCCTCTATTAAATGATTAAATGTGAGATACCTACTTAATAATAACCAACCATATCTAAACCAAACCATTTGACTGAAATGTCCATATGTCATAGCTGCGTAACTTAAACTTAACATATTTAAATCTGAATAAATTTTAACATTTTTACCAATTGAAGCTTTATTAAAAAAACTAATGTTGATATTAACAGGAATAAACCTCTGAATAAAATTGGATATTATGTCAAAAAATATCTCTATGTTTGAAAATATAGTAAAGCTATATTTTTCAGCAAAATTTAAACTTTTTAAAACATATAAAGTTGGTTTATTCTTTGAACTCTTTACAAATAGTTTCGTTCCATGATATAATGAGATATGATTCGGATGTTTAGAAACACCTTGATTATCAAATGTAATAAGGACCAAATTTTCCACATCTTTAATATGTTTACGCAAGGTTGATTTTAAATCAACATTTGACCAATTTTGATTCATTCCATCTCTGAAATTTTCAATTGTGATATTTGATTTATCAATTCCAAGAATTTCACAACTACGTACTAACTCATTTGAACGAATAGAACCCCATGAATCATCTAAATAATCACCTTTACTTAAACTTATCAATTTTATATAATTGTTATATTTCGACTTTGATAATTCAATCAATGAGGGTGCAAAGAACATTACTTCATCATCTGGATGTCCTATTATAAAATAAACTAGTGAATTTGTAATTGGTAATGATTTGGGAAATGTGATTGATGAATATGGATACGTGGTAGTATCAAATTTGTTGGTTTTTATTCGTGAATCTTTATATTTTAATGAAACTTGTGGTATTACAGTAGTGAATATTATCCATAATATGAATGAGATTATATATGTTCGTAGTAGAAGCTTAGGAATTGTGAAAATCATGGTAAAGAACAAGTTGTATATTTGTTGGTATAAATTATTTATTTTGTTGAGCGTGGGCTACTTATTTTTACAGACAAATTTCTCGAGACTATGCTGCCAAAATTTAAGGCCAAAGTTGAGCGCGATGGTGCAACCAAAATGGACCTACTTCTTTCTGACAAATGTATAACCAGTGTTCCATACCAAATCAATTTTAGTTTTCTCTAAATCCCATCCAGTAACTTCAAGTAACTCATTTAAGAACTCATTTTCTAATAAATCAGTCTTTCCTGTTGTCTCTTTATAATTATGATATCCTGAATAAGTGCCAACATAATCCAAATAACCCTTAATATCCAAACTGGTCTTTTTTAAATCCAAATCTTTGTCTTCATTAGGATAGGTATCTTCAGAAGCTTTAAAAGTCTCAATCGTAACGTCTTCGTATAAATCTCTTGGGATATGTTTATTTGTTTCGACGCAAAAATCTTTTAATATTGACCTACCAGGTTGTTCCCAATAAGGACCGATATAATCATCACCATATACATATTTATCATAAACGGCATAAGCTTTTTCCAACACTTCAGCTCTATTATCTTTACCTGGACCTGAAAAATTGACTATTCTTGGATCAATATAGTAAAAATAAGCTAATGTTCCACCTTGTTTAAGCAACTTTGCTGAATTTTTAAAGAATAAATCATAATTTTGAAACCAATGAATACATTGAGCAGCTATAATTAAATTAACACTAGATTCTTGGATATCATTATCTTGAGAATTTATAAAATCTTCAACTGAACCAGCCTTAAATGAAATTCTAGAGCTATCTGAAATATCTAATACTTTTAATCTCTCTAATTTGATTGAATTTGCGGTGTCTATCATTGATGCAGATAAATCCAACCCGATTACTTTTTCAACAAAGTTTAATAATGGATATGTTGCAACACCAGTACCGCAGCCTAAATCTACAGCTTGATCAATTGGTAATTTACCATTATTTTTAATAACATAATTACTTAAGATTTTGTAAAATGATGGTGGATAATGAGGACGAAATGAATTATAATTCAAAGTTTTAAAATTTGTTTTTGAAAATGTTGACATAGTAGCTTAATGATTGAGATTTCTATGCAAAATTACCTCTATTTATACTTATTAATTGACCATTTATTTATGATTGATTTTGAAATTTGGGGGATTTTGGTAATTTTCAACGGAGTTTTAATTTTTACCTCAGGGCCATTTCTCGCAAATAAAAAAACCATTGCCCAAAATGGAACGGCTGCAAAAAAAGAAAAAGAGTACAAACTGATAATAAATAAATAAATAATATGTATTAATTTTTATAATTCCAATATTGATGATCTTTCAATAAGAAATTATGATTTGATTCTCGGTTTTCTGTAGTGTTTGTATTTGGCATATCTAAATATGGAACAACACCAACTGAATAATCTGTGACAAATTCACTCATCATATTTTGTCTATTAAGATTTAAATTAACTTTAAATGGATCAAAATCAAACAAACTTTCTAAATTCTCTGTATCTTGTGGATTTAAAATGAATTCTTGATCTGATGTAGTTGAATTTGAATTTAATATGTTTGATTCACTACTTGACATATTAAACATTTCAGTGCTTGTTAAATCAAAATTGTTGAGTGGATTTTGTAATGCTGCTGTTTGTTTTGCTTTTGGTTCCCTTTCTACCGCTGTTTTAACTATTGGATGTGATGTTAATGCTTTTTTTCTCATATTAGTACTTGTTTTATTTAAATTTATTCCTAAAATACTAAGAATTGTTAATTCTAATAATTTGACTGAATTTTTATAAACTCCACCTGGCAATCCAAATGTAGAATCAATTGACATATTCTTGATTGTGTCCAATAATAACTGCTTCAGGTTTATAAATAATGGACCACCTTTTATATAATCTAATGTACCTTTAGCAACTATCAATGCTAATAATACTGTTTCTTTGGCCATGTTTATCGGAATAGGCAAAATATTAGATGATGATGTGTTTGCTAAACATTTCGTAACTTCTAAAATTTGTATTGCTGATTGTTGAATCAATGATATACTTGACACAATTGTGGATATTTCATTCTCACCTTTTGCTAATTGTTCTTTTTGTGATAATCCCACATTATGATGATTTCCATATTTTGAAATGATAGGTAAGTAAATTAAAATCTTTGCATGATAATATAAAAATATCAATACTAATTGTTGCTTGTTAAAACTATCCCATATATTTCGCTCAATGAAATTATTATTCCCATCCTTCAAAGATAATCCATTAATATCAATCTCAAATTTAAGATCCAGTGGCAATTCTCTTCTCCAACAATCTAATAATCTATCCTTATGTAATGCTTTCTTTTGTAAATCATCACCACTTTCAAATCTTGAATAAATTGAATCTAGAATATTTGCCAATACTTTAGAATACAACATCATACTCAATGCAACTTTTGAAACCTTACCTACAATAGATAATTTCATATTATTAACCACTAAAATGTTCACATTATCTTCTTCATCATCATCATTTTTACCTGAAAACGGCATAGCACATTCTATTTCATAATCTTTTAATAATCGAGGAATACCTAAATTTAAACTAGAATAAACATCAAGACAATAAATACACCAAAATAAAATACGTCGTTCTCCTTGCATATAGTTTTGTAATTCAAGATTTTCTGAATTTCCACTTATACCTAATACAGCAGCTGGACATCTATGTAATCTTAATTGTTGAGCCATTGATATAACTCTACCTCTTAAATCATAACATGTTTGAATATCTCCAATTACGAGACAATATTGTAATGCTAATGATAAAATTTGTAATGATGTGATTGAACAATATTGAGTAATTATGCAATTTGGTTTTATAAATTCATGAATTAAATAATCATAATAAGTAAACAATTTGGAATAACGTTCTGATAATTTACGATTATTTATATCTAGGTAATTATTCTTACTTGTTAAAAACCCAAGACTAAGTACAAGAATCATAATAGCTCCAAATACTTCAATTTGTTGAAATTCATGAACCAAATTAGATTCTAAAACATTGATTAACTTCATATAATCTTTCAAAAATGAATTCTTGTTAATAATAGGTAAGGTATTACCCCATTCTTGGAAAAATACAGTTATTAATTGATCCATATCTAATCTTGAAGCAGGTAAATTTAATAAATCTTTAATGAAAATTAATGCTTCATGATTTCCTAATTTCTGTAAATCATCACGATTCATAATTAATTTATGCAACAATTGTTTAGCTTCCGTATTTTCACAGATTGGTATCTTGATCTCTTTTAATGATGCTAAAGAGTTTGCAGTCAATATAGCCGGTTTTGAATCATACCCATAAGCTTGACAAATTCTTGCCAATAATGTAGGAACAGTCAATGTTTCCTCAGTTGATCTAGGTATTGATATAGCAACTAATGATGTCAACATTCTTTGTTTATTTGTTTCTTGTTCCAATTTTTGTTGTTGTTCTTGAAATAATTTATTCTTTTGCATTTGAGCAATTGCAGTTGCAGCAGCCCAAGTAGATGAAGAAAATTGTTTCTTATTATTATATTCATCAATGGAAAACAAACTATCCGTTTCATCATTAAATTCATCATCACTTAAATTAATAGAACCAGCAATTGAAATAGGTGCACCTGAATCATAAATTGATCCTGCTATTGATACAGGTTGTTCATGTACATTATGAGGATTTGAACAACCACAAGGACATCCATTTTCATGATCATGTAAATGCAGATGAATATTATTTAATAAATTTAAATTATCAGTCGTTATTTTTTGATTTTCATTAGGTTCAGATTGATCTTCATAATTATCTTTTGATGTATTATTTAATAATACAATTTGTTCATCTCTCATATCTAATATACTTACCAATTTTTTGTTTTCAGCTTCTAATTGTCTAACTCTTTCTTCCAAAGTTTCTGTATAACCTTTAGGAAATGCCTTTCGACTCAATTTATCAGAAACAATACATTCTAGACCAACAGCTTGACAAGTTGAACAAGGGTTCCTGCCATCACATTTTGTCTTTTTAGCTCTACATCTATCACAAGCCTGTGCAACTCTTTCAGTTTTTGACCCTGGTGCTTTTATCGTCTTACGATTAGTTTTGGTACCTCCATTATCATTTGACTTTTTTGCGGGTGGTTTTACACCATCAGTAGTTGGATTGAATAGCAGTCCAGGTTCTACTTTAATCGACATTGTAGTCATAAAGATTGGAAAATTTTCAGTAAGTTATAATAAATTGTTGCAAATTGATTAAATGTTCCTGAAACGGTCTCTGAAGTTTTGACTCATTTTTATCTCCACCTGAAAAAAAAAAAAAAAAAAAATTCACATCTGAAACAAGATATTTCGATTTTGTTACTCTTTATTAGATCATCTCAAAATGTCAAATATATAAGTATGCCAGCTATAAAAAGATCAATAGTGAAAACGGAAACTGTATCCAAGAAGATTAAACTAGAAAATGAGATAGAAAAAACTAAAAAGGAAGTACAACATATAAAAGTAGAGATTGAGAAACCACCGAATCAATTTCAAAATATTGATCCAGAAGACTATGAAGCCGGTCCAAAGAATTGGCACAAAATTTATAATGAAGTTGTTGAAATGAGATCAAAAGTTATGACTCCTGTTGATACTGTTGGGTGTGAAAGGATGCCAAATACAATAACACCACATTTAAAATCAAACAAGCCCAAGCTATATCGATTTCAGTTATTAATTTCATTAATGTTATCTTCTCAAACCAAAGATGAAGTGAATTTTGCAACCATGACGAAATTAAATGAACATTTAGGAGAATTAAATCTTGAAAATATGTCAAAATTAAATGAAGTGGAAATCGATAAATTAATATGTAAAATTGGTTTCCATAATCGTAAAGCAAAATATATCAAAGAGACTTGTCAGATATTATTAAACAAATTTGATGGTGATATACCTAAAACTATAGAAGATTTAATTTCACTACCTGGTGTTGGACCAAAAATGGGTTATTTAATATTACAAAATGGTTGGGATATAAATAATGGAATAGGTGTTGATGTTCATTTACATAGATTATCATTAATGTGGAAATGGTGTCAGAATAAACATCCAGAAAAAGCAAGATTAGAATTGGAAAAATGGTTACCTTCAAAATATTGGACTGATGTTAATCCATTAATGGTTGGCTTTGGTCAAGTTGTATGTGTTCCTCGAGCTCCAAATTGTGATATTTGTACTTTAGGTAAAAAGGGATTATGTGCATCTAGGAATAGGAAATTGGTGAATCAACCAATGACTGAAGCAAGAATTGAAAAATTACAAAAGCAAAGAGGTGATTTGACCAAATTAATAGAAAATGTTCTATAATAAATATTTATTCAGAATTACTTTATATAACCACCTTCTTTAGAAAGTGAGTAAAATATACTCGATTTATCTTTTAATAAATTCTGTGGAGTATCAAATTCAGCAACTTTACCTTTATCTAAAACTAATATTTTATCACTATCCATAATGGTATCAATACGATGTGCAATAGTCAAGATTGTCTTATCTTTAAACTCATTTCTAATAGTCTCTTGTATAATCTTATCAGTTTGGAAATCAACAGCAGCTGTAGCTTCATCTAATACCAATATTTTACTTGTTTCATTCAATAAAGCTCTTGCTAAACATAATAATTGTTTTTGACCGGCTGACAAATTAGAACCACCTTCTTCAATTTGAGCATCTAATCCTCTCTTTTTCGGAAGCTCATCTGGATTTTTACTATCTTTCTTTTCTTCCTCGGTTGGTTCTGTTTCCATTTTACCTATATGCTCTTTCAAATGAGCTAATTCTAAAGCTTTCCATAATTTTTCATCATCATATTCACCAAATGGATCAAGATTCTCTCTAACTGATGCTCTAAAAGTGTGAGCTTCTTGTGGAATAATTGTCAAATGATGTCTTAAGTCATATAAACCAATTTCTCCAATATTAATAGAATCAATTTCAATATTACCACCAGTAGCTTCAATAATTCTAAATAATGCTAATGTCAATGATGATTTACCAGCACCTGTTCTACCAACAATACCAATTTTTTCTTTTGATTGTATAGTTAACTCAATTTCACGTAATACTGGATCTAAATTAGCTCTATAAGCAGTTGAATAATTTTTAAATTTGACTATACCTTGAGCTGGCCAAGAATCTTGTGGCTTCCTATCTTCAATTTCCATTGGTGCTTCACTTGGTAAATCACAATATTCAATTATTCTTTCTAATGCAACACCATTTGATTGTAATTCAGCCCAATATCTAACTATTGAATTTAAAATATATGTAATTGTCAATGAATAAGTCATTACAAAACCTAAAATAGAAGGTAATATAGGATGTGAACCACCTAAAGTAACAACAGCTAATAATGCAGTACAAAACATAATTGTTGATGAAATAGTTTGTAATCTCATTGATAACCATCTATTTGAATTTTGAATAACAACACCAATTAATGTTTTTTCATTAATGAATTTTTTAGATTTATAAACAAATCTTTCTCTTTGATTAAATGCTTTAATTGTATCAACACCATTGATCGATTCTTGAATAATTGCTAAAACTGGTGATTTGGCAATTGACTCTAATCTTTTCAATTCTCTAGTTGTTGGAACAAATTTAATTCTGAAGTAATTGTAAACAAATAATAAAACAAATAAAATGAAAAACATTGCAGGTAAAGCGGATAATATAACTCCAAATGTAACTAAAGCATTTAAAACAGATGTTACAAATCCAATCAACATCCAAGGTAATTGCATATCAATCTTACCAATATCTTCAGTAAATCTATTTAAAACTCTACCAACTGGAGTTGTATCGAAGAATGACATTGGTGATCTTAATACAGATTGTGCCATTTTATTATGGAAGAAAGCTGCACCTTTAACAATACAGTAACCCCAAATAATCAACGCAGATAAATAAGTTAATAAACCTGAAACAACACCCATGAATGCATAAAGACCTAAATAAAAACTTGGATTATTAGTTTGATTAGTTTCTCTATTAATTTCTGACCAATAACTCAATAATCTCTTTTCAGCAACTGTAACTAATAAAGTCAATAATGATCCAATAACATATAATGAAAACCATTTATAATCACAAGCAGTGATATATTGTTTGAAAATATCCCATGGAACAGTACCTTTTCTACTTGATTCTTCTTCATGTCTTGTTTTTCTAACTTTACCATCATCTTCCTCATCATCATCATATTGATGTCCGTATGAGACGACTGAAGCTCTACGTAAAACAGCTTGTTCGACAGCACCTCTATTTTCTTCACCAACGTAACCAACAATTTCATCAACTAAATCTTCGGTATCTAACCCACTATCACGTTCAGTCTGTTTTGGAGCTTCTTCTTGTTTTGGGGTTTCCGTTGGAGTTTCAGCTCCATCATCTTTCTTTCTTCCATATTCATTTATCAACTTGGCTAATTCACCATCATTCTTCATAACGGTTTCAAAATCACCATGCTCGATAATTGCACCACCACTCAATAAATAAATATCATTAGCTTCGTGCAAGACAGGTACGTTATTTGTAGCCAATATCTTTGTACGATCTCCAATTATACCATCATCACTTAAAACTTGTTTAATCAATGCTTTAGCAACATGAGAATCAACAGCAGATAAAACATCGTCTAATAAATAAATATCAGCTCTTGAATAAACAGCTCTAGCTAATGAAATTCTAGCCTTCTGACCACCACTTAATGAAATACCCTTTTCACCGACAACTGTTTTATCGCCATCAGGCATACTTTTAAAATCAGCTAATAACTCACAAGCATTAATTGTTTTCTGATAAAAATCTTGATCCAATTTATGACCAAACAAGATATTTTCTTTAACTGTACCATTTAAAATCCATGGATTTTGAGGACAATAAGCAATAGTACCAAAAGTTTCAACACTAGGATAAACAATAGTTGAATTATCTGAAAATTTAGGAATTTTGATTGGAACATCACCTAAAATTGCTTTGATTAAGGTTGATTTACCACTACCAACTTTACCTACAATACAAGTTAATTTGCCCTTCTTGGCAGTGAAATTGATATCATTTAATGCAATGTTACTTGTTGAATTATCTTCTTGAACTTCACTTTCTTCATCTTTATATTCTACTTTTTTCTCATCTACTTTACTATTCCAAATGAAGGATGAATTTTTGATAATTACTGAATTTGGATTATTAGTTGCTGTTTCTCTTTTGATGACTCCTTGTTGATCATCATCTAATTCATCTAGACAAAAGAATTCTGAAATTCTTTGTAATGACGTTCTGACTTCAATTATATCAATAATTAGTTGAGGAATTAGTAACATTGGTTCAGATAATAAATCAAATAATGCCAATGCTGGAAATACAACATCTGGAGTCAAAGGAACATTATAAAAATAGGAATAAGCAGCATAAGTAGCACAACTAATGAAGAATGGAATACAAGACCATAAAAATTGAGCTAAAGCAGAAACAACACCAATTTTTTGAATATTGTTTAATTCTCTATCATTTCTAATATGGTTCAACTTTTTCAACATTGGTTTCTCCCATGAGTAAAATTTAATAGATTTGATTGAATTCAAAATTTCAGTAATTAAACTAGTTCTGTCATCTTTATCTTTCATTAACTGAATATAATTATTTGTAATTGAGGCATTAACTTTTGTGGCAAATGGAGCTACCACTAAGGCAGTTATAACACCAGCCCATGTAGCATTTGCAAATAACTTATATAATGAAAATAAACAAATGAATAATCTTAATGGAGCAGCTAAAAATTCACCCAATTGCCAACAAAACCAGAAAATAACATCAATATCCATTGTAATATGATTAATTATATCACCTGTTGGTTTATTTTTTCTTGATTGTGGAGCTAATTTTAATGCCTTTTCATAAATCATGGTAGTTAAAGCAGTTTGAATACCTAAACCTAAATTAAATTGAATTGAAAATGATTGATTAAAAGTAATGAAATTAGCAACTGAGACTAAAAACATTAATCCTGCCCATCCATAACCAATTATAATTGGTGGTTTCTCTTCACTGTAAAAATAAACTGAAAAGAATTGAATAAATTTTCTTAATACAAAGGGTTGTGAAAACATACAGATTGTTTCAAAAATTTTGAGTAATAAATTAAAATAAAAGTAGTCTAAAAACGCTTTGAATACAGTTAAAAATAAATTTGGAGAGTTTTCTTCTTTACTTTTGTTTCGAGTAATAGTTCTCCAGAACTTTTGCAAGCTGGTAGTTTTCTTACTTTTTTCGACTTCAATTTCCCATTCTTTAGTAACTCTGGCTTTTGTATCGTCACAATTCAATTCTCCTAAAACTGAAGGTAAATCATCTAATTTGACATCTCCAGTAGCATAAATTTGATCAATTAATGGTTGCAAATAATAAAATGTAAAGTACGAAAATAAATTAATAGTATTCATATATGGCTCATTATGAGTTTCAAAACCAGCTTTATAATAAGCGACTTCTAAGATAAAAATTGATAAACAATTAACAAGTGTAATTATTTCAATTATATATGAAGGGCCATTAATACCAAAAATTTTATGTTTTGAAACTGAGTCTTGGATGAATATTCCAAATAAGAACATACAATTGAATAACCAAAATAACAATAATGAAGCAGAAGGTACGGCAGATCTTCTAAATTCAATGAAATGTAAAATGAACGCAAAAATTAACCCAACTGATAATTTAATGAAATAATTATTATCATTTAAAAATGATAGACTTCCAAGTAAAACAACTTGTAGTACAACATGGAACAACTTCAATATTTGTATGAATGGAGTCTTGGTATATATTTTTGAGTATTTTGATCTCTTAAATAATAATTGAAATGTTTGATATAGGATGAAAATTGAAGATAATGTATAAAATGATTGACCAACAAATTCAACAAACTTTGGATTTAAGGAATTGCTATGAGATGACCACAAGACATGCGGTATTTTGATGTACGACTTTATATCATCTTCAAAAGATGACGCGTCAAAATAATTATTATAATCTGATTGAGCTGGATTTAAATAGTTGAATGTATTTAGCAATGAAATTGGAGTTAACGTAGATAGCTGAAACGATGTCAACTTCTGTGGTAATGTTTCATTCATATTTGAATAGTTGTTTTTACCAAAAGGAAAAAAAAATTTAAAATTAAATTGGCAATCGATATAAATGTTGAAATTTATTTTTTAATTGATAAAAGGATTTTTTTAGACAAGGCTTGACAAAAGAAGAAATATACGGTTTTAACTACAAGCAAAACAAGTAAAATAGAATGTCTGACTCAATATCTGTTGTTTTTTGGACTCAACCCGATTCAAGATGACTCTTACGACCTGATGAATACAAACAAACAATTCTATCTACAAAAGTATTTTTCAAATGGGTTTAATACTACTGTACAATGGGTTAAAATTAACTACCGTGGTTATAAAATTAAAGGTCTACAATTTAATCAAAAGTCAAACAAGATGGTAGGTCCATGTCATATAGGCAAGAAGACAAATAGACTTCAGGTTACTTATTCTGGCGTTTAATTATAGTTTATACTTTTTTTTTTTTGACTCCATTAATATGAACGGCTGCAAAAGATCAATTAAAATTTGATGCCATTCAAATGAACGGAATATTTAAAGTTGTGCGCTTGTGGCAAATAAAATCCTTCCGCTCGTATCTCCGATATTTCCTAATTGGGACGCATCTCCGAAAATAGAATCTCGCTGCAAAAAGGTTTTGAGTCATTATATGAAACGTAAACAAAATCATATATTAATCATTATGAAATTTATTTAATGTATCCACCTTCTTTTGATAGTGAGTAAAAAATACTTGATTTATCTTTCAATAAATTTTGAGGAGTATCAAATTCAGCAACTTTACCTTTATCTAAAACTAAAATTTTATCGCTATCCATAATTGTATCAATACGATGTGCAATTGTTATAATAGTTTTATCTTTAAACTCACTTCTTAAAGTTTCTTGAATAATTTTATCAGTTTGGAAATCAACAGCAGCTGTAGCTTCATCTAAAACCAATATCCTACTTTTTTCATTCAATAAAGCTCTTGCTAAACATAATAATTGTTTTTGACCAGATGACAAATTAGACCCATTATTTTCTATTATTGCATCTAATCCTGTCTTCTTAGGTAATTCATCTGGAAATTTACTTTCTTTCTTTTCTTCTTCTGTTGGTTCTGTCTCCATTTTACTTATATGTTCTTTCAAATGAGCTAATTCTAATGCTTTCCATAATTCCTCATCTTTATAATCACCAAATGGATCAAGATTCTCTCTTACCGATGCTTTTATAGTATGTGCATCTTGTGGAATAATTGTTAAATGATGTCTTAAATCATGTAATCCTAAAGTACTTGTATCAATTCCATCAATTTCAATATTACCATTAGTAGCTTCAATTATTCTAAATAAAGCTAATGTTAATGATGATTTACCAGCACCTGTTCTACCAACGATACCAATCTTTTCTTTGGAACCTATTTCAAATGACAAATTATTTAGAACATTATTTAAACCTTCTCTATAAGCTGTCGAATAATCATTAAATTTGATCACACCATTTGGGGGCCATTCTTTATTTGGCTTAGTCTCTTCAATTTCCATTGGTGCTTCACTAGGCAAATTACAATATTCAAAGACACGTTCTAATGTAACACCTTCAGCTTGTAGTACACCATATTGTTTGACAAAATCACTCAACGTTTGAGTAATACTTAATGCATAGTTCATGATCAAACCTAATAAACTTGGAATAATTGGATGTTTACCTCTTAATGAAGAGACTAAAAATATTGAAGCAAATAATAATACAACTGCCGAAATTGATTCTAATCTCATTGATAACCATCTTCCAACGTCAACAGTGACCAAATTAATTACAGTTTGTTGATCAATTAATTTCTTATTCTTATAGATAAATCTTTCCTTTTGACCAAATGCTTTAATTGTATCTAATCCATTTAAAGATTCTTGAATATTGGACAAAACAGGTGAATTTCTTCTTGATGCTAGATTTCTCAATTCTCTTTGACTTGGTATATATCTGGCTCTATAATAATCATAAACAATCATTAATAATAATATAACAATTGCCATTTGTGGTAATGTTCCAATAATGACTGAAAATGTGATTACAATACTCAAAATTTCTCCAACAAAACCAATTATAAAAAATGGTAACATTAAATCTAAAGCCCCAATATCTTTAGTAAGTCTATTTAGTATAGTTCCAACTGGTGTAGTATCAAAGAAAGTCATCGGTGATCTTAATATTGAATTTGCCATTTCATTGAAAAAATAAGCAGCACCTCTAACTATACAATAAGTCCATAATACAAAATAACCAATAAATACAAAACCACCAGCTAAAACACCTAATACTATATAAACACTCAAATATAATTGTGGATCAACGGTTCTACCTGCTTGATCATTTAAATTTGACCAATAAGTTAATAACCCTTTTTGAGCAAGATAGGTTAATGATTTTAAAAACATGCAAATGAAAAACAAACAAAATATTTTGAGATTACAAGCAACTAGATATCTGTGGAATGTTCTCCAGGTAACTTGACCCTTATATTTTTTATCTTCTTCTTGATAAGTTTTTGGTTTACTCTTGAGTTCAGATGTGTCTTGTTCATCTGAAAAATCATACACATGATCAAATGCTTCAACTATAGCTTTAGACAATTGTGGTTTGGTTGATTTTGCTTTCTTTTCAGCTTTGTCATCAGTTATAACTAAATTATCATCTTTTCTACCATATTCATCGATTAATTTAGTTAATTCACCATTATTCTTTATAACGGTTTCAAAATCACCATGCTCGATAATTGCACCACCACTCAATAAATAAATATCATTAGCTTCGTGCAAGACAGGTACGTTATTTGTAGCCAATATCTTTGTACGATCTCCAATTATACCATCATCACTTAAAATTTGTTTAATCAAAGCTTTACCAACGTGAGCATCAACAGCAGATAAAACGTCATCTAATAAATAAATATCAGCTCTTGAATAAACAGCTCTAGCTAATGAAATTCTTGCCTTTTGACCACCACTTAATGAAATACCCTTTTCACCGACAGATGTTAAATCACCATCAGGCATACTTTTAAAATCAGCTAATAACTCACAAGCTTCGACTACTCTTTGATAAAATTCAGGTTCATATCTAAAACCAAATAGGATATTTTCTTTCACTGTTGAATTTAAAATCCAAGGATCTTGAGGACAATAAGCTACATTACCATAAACTTCAATACTAGGAGCTACACTATTTGATTCATCTGTATATTGTGGAATTTTTAATGGAATTTCACCTAAGATAGATCTTAACAATGTTGTTTTACCACTTCCCACTTTTCCAACAACACAAGTCAATTTACTCTTCTTTGCCACAAAATTTACATCTTTTAATGCTACATTATTATGTTCAGATTCAACAGTTTCTTCTTCATCCTTTGATTCTTCAGGTTCAACTTCATTCCATACAAATGTTGCATTTTTAATAATAACTGAGTCATTTGAAGCATCCACATCACTTGATTTATTTAAATAACCATGTAAATCTCCTGATATTTCATCTAATGTTAATAACTCAGATACTCTATTAATACTAGTTCTAAATCTGGCAACTGAAGTAATTAAATTGGGAATCATCAACATGGGACGAATTAATAAATCAAATAAAACTAATGCTGGAAATACCACATCTGCAGTTAGTGGTGTTTTATACATGATTGTAAATGCTAAAAATGTTGCACAACTTATACCGAAAGGTAAACATGAAAATAAAAATGAAACCAATGCTTGAATGATACCTATTTTACTAACTTGTTTTAACTCTTTATCGTGTCTTATATGATATAATTTTGATAACATTGGTTTTTCCCATGAATATAATTTAACACTTTTTGCCGAAGTTAAGATTTCAGTTACTAATGAGGTTCTTTCATCTTTGAATTTCATCATCTTGAGATAATTCTTATACATTGGTGCTGCAGCAATTGAGAAAATAGGACATAATATAATAGCAGCACCAAAACCAAACCACGCTGCATTTTTAAAAAAGTTGTATAATAAAATTAAACTTAGAACAAGGTTGAGTGGACTTAAGGCATAATCATCTAATGAAGCAGTGAAACCAAAGATTGTATATACATCAGTCGAAATATTATTTATTATATCACCAGTTGATTTCTTCTTTCTTGATTCTGGTGATAATTTTAATGCCTTTTCGTAAATTGCGGTATTCAAAGTAGTTCTCATTGCATTACTAAATTTGGATTGGATCAATGAAGCTTGATTTTTGACAACAAAATCAACGACTGAGACTAAAAACATCACTGAAGCCCAATAATATCCAATTATAAGCGGAGGTTTTTCGACACTATAAAAATATTTTTGGAAATACTGGATGAAACGTTGAAGGATAAATGGTTGGATATATGATAAAGCAGTGAAAATTAAGGTTAAACCAAGATTTAGTATAATATTTCCTGAAAATGACTTGAAAACTGCCCAGGTTAAACTTGGAATTGCCTTTGTTTTATTATTGTAAAACCATCTTTGTATCAATCCTGGTTTTTTATTCAATTCGTAGTTCCAATTTCTGGTAAATGTGTGTCTTACTATATCTGCCTTTAAATTTCCTATCAAATCAGGTAAATCCTTGACTGTGATATCATTAGTTTTATAAATTTTATCAATAACTGGATGAATAAATGAAAATGTGAAAGATGATAAGAAACTAATTTTCTCATTAAATGACTCGTTACTTATATCATAACCAGGTTTGTAAAACGCTACTTCCAAAACCAGAATAGTTAAACTTAATAATAAACTAAAACCACTTGAAGTATAACTTACCCCGTTAAATGCATAAATTTTATGACTTGAATAGGTATCTTGTATAAATATTACCAATGTAAATAAAACATTAACGATCCAAAATAATGAGCTTGAGACAGTAGCAATTGGTGATGTTCTAAATTCAATTAAGAAACTTATCAAAGACGCAGCTACGGCAACTAACTCAAAAATTATTAAACTCTTATTATGTTCAATATAAATAACTCCTAATAGTATAATTTCAGTGAATGTGGCAAAATATTTGAAAATCTGAGTTACTGGAGTTGAAGTATATGATTTCAACGATTTCTTTCTTGAGTCGAAAAATAAACTTATGGATTGGAAAATAATGAATAATATGAAAAAAGAATAGATAATTTGACCTATTAGTGTAACAAACTCTGGGTTCAAAGAGTTTTCCTTTGGTGAATATAATGGCAGTGGAAATTTGAAAGATATTGGCACGACATTACTTATTGACAATTCATTTTTAGTTAGAGGTGACAAATGATAATCTTTCAATACAGTAAATGGGTTAACAACCAATAGGTGTATAGGCTTATAACCAGTGATGAAGGATGTTGAATCATTCATTTGTGAATTAGCAAACTTCTTATTACTAGTAAACTTTAAAAAATGAAAGTTGATGCCGTATTTATAGTTGAAATTCAAAGGATTCTTTGTGTGGATGGGAAATCTTTCTACTAATTAATTAATGAATTATGGCTTAACTTTTATCAATTTTGGATAGAAAGAAATTTAATTTGTGCCGTTCTCTTATCAATTTTGAAAATTTGACTTGTCTAAAAAAATTGACAATCTGAGGACATGTCAATTTTGAGACACATCATTTCCATGTCTTATACATACACACATATACATAGTAACTCAAAAGTTTCTACAGCTATGAGATAATTCAAGTCTATTGATGTCATAAAATTGGCGTAAATTGTACCGAAAAGTGATGATCATGACATATAAGCTAACCAAATCGCCTCACAGCTAAGGCGAAAAGTAACTATGCGTCGCGCCCACCTATTGCTTTGAAAAACACGTACTTGAAATACAAGTCTGCAACAAATATGACTTATATGCAGTTTTATTATTGCCAATCTTGAAATTTAAAATGTGAATAACTCCGTCAATAATCAGGTTCGCGTTCTCAAACTAACTTCATTATAATTGTAGAGTTATTCAGATTGATTAGATGTAAATGTGCACTAGCTAAACATAATTTTGATGATTTGATTTGTCATTTAAAAAATGGGAAAAAAACGCTATTTTGCTAAATAAGAAACAGTTATACCCGATATATCAACTTGTAGTATAGCAGGTTTGGCTGGTTCCTCCCCTGAGATTATATATATGATGATTTCAAGACGCTAAAATAGGTTTGCAATTTTTGCACAACTTTCGATTCGTCTTTGAAAAACTACTTTTCCAATTTTGAACACCTTAACACAAAAATATCCAAGCCTTATTAAACATCAGAACTACAAAGCTGGATAGTTTTGTTTTGTTTTATTCTAAATACTCAATGTGGAGTTGAAATTTTTGTAAGGTCAATCAATCTTTCCCACAGTTGAGAGAAATTTTCGAAATTTTGAAATTTATCAAGATTAGTTGACAGCAACTAGAGTCATGCACAATATCTTTAATTGCACTATAATATATATAATTCGTTGTATAATTGAAAGTTTGGACCTAAATAAAGAGGTACACAAATTTTTATTTTTCGAAAAATTTTTGTATGGTAGAAAAGTGCCGAAATGACAACTCAAAAAAAAATGTTAGGAATCTAAAGTTTTAAAAACGTAGAGTATATAATTCAAGACTCTTGATCTCATAATTTTGTCCTCAAGTTGTGAAATTGCATTGTTAGTGACCTATAAACTGATACATTTTGTACCAGGTCGCCCAAAGGGTAGCGCGAGAAATTATATCATTGCACTAAATATCACGTCAAAGCAAAGTTGAAGTATAAGTGACTTGCAAAACGGTTAGCAAATTCTTATAATATAACACTATGTAATATTATGACTACAAAATAGCTTCATTTTACTAGTCTATTTCGATTTTTCAACATGAAAATTTTTTGTTTTTTGCTGAAATTTGCAAAATCTGGTTGTATCATTTTTGTATTCCTATGTTTCCGGTTTCATAATCTACAAACACTTTTTCCGGCTACTTAAATTGTAATGTACATTTTGTTTATAGTTTTGGATTCAAAACCGAAATTTTAGAGCTAAATTTACGAGTTTCGAAAAAATCAATTGGTAGCTTTTGATATTGTATGAAGTACCCTGAAATCAAGATACTAAAAACTAAGTTGATGTTTAACAACTTCTATGTTTTTGGTAATTGCCTCCTTTGTTTGTATATCAACAGCTTGTGTTTAAACTGTCTATTCGAATGGCTGCAAAATATACTGGTACCTGATATTTTTTGTTTCAGATTTAATTTTAACGCGAAAGAGCAGATCATCTTAGAAATTATCACCATGGCTAAAAAGAAATCAAATGCATCTAATGCTGCTAAATTATTAGAGTCTTCAGTATCACCAATTTTAGAAATTAATTATGAAGATCCATTATTCACTATTGCTTCACATCAAACTAAACCAATCTTGTTTACGGGTCAAGCCACTGGTCATGTTCAATGTTTTTCGTATAATGGTGATGACTTAGAAGAATATCAACTACTGAAACGTGAAGAAATAACAAATTTAGAGAAAGAAGCATATAAGAATGGTAAGTCACCAAGTGTGAATAAATCAGTATCTCAAAGTAATAAAAAATGGTGGACAAACATAGCTAATACAGGCATCGAAAATCCAAATATAAAAGTTGCTTGGAAGACTAAGCGTCATAAAGGTTCATGTCGAGATGCGATTTTTTCACCATTGGAAGGTTCAATTGGAGAACATATTTACACTTGTGGGTCAGATAATATAATAAAAAAAGCATTGACTGAAACTGGTAAAGTGGCAGGTAAAGTCGATACAAGTTCTGAATCAAAGGATAAACTGACTAAATTGTGTCATTCTACGACTCACCCTTTTTTATTAGCAGGTACAGAAGATGGTAATTTATTAGTCTACGATAGTGCCAATTTAAACTCAAAAATTAAATTTAACCTATCCAAGGTCAACGACGATTCTATAAATCATATTTTGGCTATGCCTGGTACTTCCGCATATCATTATTTAACGCTAGGGTCAACTACATTATCACATATAGATATTCGAAAAGGTATAATTACTCAATCGGACGATCAAGAGGATGAATTATTATCCATGTGTTATACAACTGATGAAATTTCAGAAGGTAAAAATGATACTGTGCTTGTTTCTCACGGTGAGGGTATAATCACAATGTGGAAAGATTCGAAAAATAAATTAGCAGATCAATTAACCAGAATTAAAATAAATAAAGAAGCTTCAATTGATTGTATAATTCCAACCATGAATCATGATGATGAGGACTTGGCTAATTCTGTATGGTGTGGTGATAGTGAAGGATTATTACATAGGGTGAATTTCAAAAAAGGGAAAATTGTAGAAACTCGAGTTCATTCTTCAATCATGGCTGGTAAGAAAGGTACTATAGATGAAGTTGGAATGTTGGATATTGATTATAATTATAGGTTAATAAGTGCAGGTATGGAGAGTTTAAAAATATGGTCAAATAAAAATGTTCAAGATGTTGAAAATGATGAAGAAAGTGAGGATGAGAGTGACAGTAATGATGAAATAGGTGATTTATCTACTGGTGATGATTCAAGTGAGTATAATTCTGATGAAGAGAGTGAAATTGACGGAGAAGAAAATGATGAAAGTGGTGATGATGATGATGATGAAGAAGAAGAAGAAGAAGAAGAAGAAGAAGAAGAAGAAGTAACCAAAATACCACAACGCAAGATAAGACAAGATATATTTAAGGTATTAGCAAAACCAAAGAGGAAAACACTTGACATTAATAAACTAACCAAAAAGGAACAAACTGAAGAAGAAGAGCCAAATATTTCAGAAGAACCAGTCAAGAAGAAACAAAAAACAAAAGAAAAGGAAATGACAGCTAAACAATTAAGAAACTTACAGAAACATGAGCATGGTATACGTAAATTCGATGATCTATAAATATACAATTCTTTCATTTTTTTGCACCCATTTTTTGTTGTTGCAATTATAATTTTTCTACTGATAACCAGATCAACAATACGATATTAACGAACGAACTACCAAAATAGAATCAAGATTTTATATGATATGGAAAAAATATATACTGTCAATGATGTAATTTTGACAAGGAGAGGATATCACATATCTGGAACATTAATATTATCATCATTCCATCTTGTATTTACATTCAACCCCAACCCATCATCATCAGCAACAAATTCACAACCTAAAGAAATATGGATATGTTATCCTATAATAGATCGAATATCAAAATCAAGAGGATCAACATGGTTAAATAACAGTAAAAGTAATAGTAATGTCACTGATACTTCACCCCCAGTGATAGATGGACTTGATCATTATTCAGCATCAAACATACGACTTCAGTGTAAAGATTTTACATATTATTCATTTGATTTTAAATCTGATTTTATATGTACTGAAGTATTCACAAAATTGTCATCCCTAGTAACTATACTAAAAACTGAAAATAACAATTTGAAAACCCTATATGCATTTGAATATAAACCAAACATGTTGGAACAAAATTTAGAATTAAATGGATGGAAAATTTACGATCCAATTAAAGAATATAGCCGATTAGGATTAATAACTGACAAAGAGACATATTGGAGAATTGCAAATGTCAATCAAGATTATAAATTTTGTCCATCTTATCCTAAAATACTCATTATTCCAAGTTCAATATCTGATAATGTTTTGAAACATGCTGGTAAATTCAGATCCAAACAACGTATACCCGCAGTTGTATATAAACATAATAATATTAACGGGAATGTAATTGCAAGATGTTCTCAACCATTAGTTGGATTAAATTTACAAAATAGATCAATACAAGATGAAAAGTTAATTGAGGAGATTTTTAACTCACAAGAAGAAGAAAGAAACCATAAAATGAAATTAGAAGAAGAAGAAGCTGAAGATGGTCTAGATTATCAATCTCAGCAGACGCAACGTAATTTATTAGTTGATTTAAGACCAATAACTAATGCAATGGCTCAACATGCCTTGGGAGCAGGTACCGAGAATGTAGATAATTATAAAGGAAAGACAAAGGATCAAAATGAAAATGGACATAAGCATTTCCCACATAGACATAAACCAACATCTTGTCGACAAGTTGAGAAGATATTTTGCAATATTGATAATATTCACGTAATGAGAGATTCACTAAACAAATTAAATACTATCTTAAATGATTTAGATAAATATCCAATCAACAAAACAAATCCATCATCATCCATGTTACAGCAACAACTTAGTAAAACACAATGGTTACATCGTCTATCTATAATTTTACAATCTGTGGATCGTATAATAAAATCAATTCATTTAAATAATACAAATGTTATTATTCATTGTTCTGATGGTTGGGATAGAACATCTCAAGTATCTGCATTAGCTCAATTATGTCTAGATCCATATTATAGAACAATAGAAGGGTTTATTATCCTAATTGTGAAAGAATGGGTTAGTTTTGGATTCAAGTTTAATACTAGAGCAGATCATGGTGGTTGTATAGGAGCAATAATGAAGAAAGAACCAAAGAATATTGTACCTCAAAGTGAAAGAAGTGACGAAAATCCATTAGATAATTCAATGTATGCTGAAAATATAGTGAATGAAGTGAATAACAGTGGTGCTACTTCTTCAGTAGCTTCATTTTTACAAAAGGCAGCTAAAGCAGCTAGGGATATTAAAAATAGTGCCCAGAATGGATTAAATTTAGATGAGCAAAATAATGAATTGGGTAATAAATTTAACAATCCATTTGGATCATCCACTTATAACGGATCATCTGAAAAATCTCCTATTTTCCATCAGTTTTTAGATTGTGTTTATCAAATAATGAGACAAAATGGGAGTAAATTTGAATTTAATAGTCGGTTTTTGAAAAGGTTATTGTATCATTATTATTCGTGTCAATATGGGACTTTTTTATGTAATTCAGAAAGAGAATATGAAGAATATAAAATGGTGGATAATACAATATCAATTTGGGATTATTTTAATCTGAGACCTAATGAATTTAAAAATCAAAATTTTAAAAAAGATAATGAAGATGTTGAAGGTGTTTTATTTTTCAATTTTGCTGATATTAAATGGTGGTTTGAATTATATGGTAGATCAGATGAGGAAATGAATGGACTTCTGAATTCTTTGGATAGGAAATTTGCTCAAATGAGTTTTAAAAAAGAAAAATCAACTGAATAGATTATATAAATTGCATTGAATTAACCTCTGTATAAGAGCGCAATCTGAACGCATTTGTGAAACTTTTCTGTTTCCGATTCGCTCTAAAAAATAATCTTAGATCTTTTAGATAAGATTACAGCATGAGATTGAATAGGTCATTTATTAGGTTTACTTCTAGCGGTATACAAGGTGTTGAAGGTAGACTACCGATAATCCAACAAGAGCATGATTTTACTGCTTTATCTATAACTGATCCTTATGTATTATATCAAAATTATACTCAACGGGGTATTTTGAAAAAAGATGATGCTCAACTAAGGGTCATGAAAGAGTTTCAAAGATTATACTTCAGAGTAATAGACTATAAGCCACCAGAAGAACTATCAATCAAACTTAGTTTACTTTTACGTAAGTTAGAGATCAAAAATAATCATTCAAAATTCAACATTTTCAAAAAAGATCCACGTATTCGTAGGACAGAGATAATCAAATCAATGACTGATGAAGAAGAATTGATTCAATTAGCATCACCTAAGGGATTATTAATTAATGGTGATGTAGGTAGTGGTAAATCACTACTAACTGATATTTTTGCAAGTTCATTGCCTCATAAATCAAAAATGAGGTGGCATTATAATAATTTTATACTTTGGGTCTTTAATGAAATGCACAATATTCAACAAGAGGGAAATTATAGAAAGAATGACTTTAAGATGGAGAATGAATTTTTATTATACGAAATTGCTCAAAAGATGATTGAAAAAAATACGATATTGATACTTGATGAGTTTGTGTTGCCTGATATTGCAGCTGCCAATATCGTAAAAATTTTATTCACGTTTTATTTCAAACTTGGTGGTGTCCTAATTGCTACTTCGAATAAATTACCTGAAGAATTATATTCTAATCAGTTTCAAAAAATGAAGTTCAAAAATTTTGTAAATATTTTGAATACGAAATGTGTGACTATTGACATGAAAAGTGAGGTAGATTATAGAACCAAATTTGCTATTGAGAGTTTAATGAAACCGAATTTGATAATTAGAAAAGACAATCAAAGTCATGATAAGAAATGGGAGGAACTAATAAAACAAGAAGTATTGAAAACTGATCTGTCTAAATCAATTGCAGAACTTGGCAAACGTGAAAGTATAACAGTGTACAATAGAAAAACAGAGATCGTGAGTTTTGGCAATGGTGTTTGTTACTTAGATTTTGATAAACTATGTAGAGGTCTCACTTCAAGTTCAGATTGTATTACAATTGCTTCCAAATATCATACAATCATACTTGATAATGTTCCTATCATGACATATAAGATGAAAAATGAAGCAAGAAGATTTATTACATTATTAGATGCAATTTATGAATCTAAATGTCAATTTTATATGCGTTCAGAAGTTGGAGTTGATCATTTATTCTTCCCAGACATGTTAAATAAAGACAATGATGAAATAATGGATTATTTAAGACTGCAGAAATATGAAATTGATGATAATCGATTACAAGTCCAAGATGAAGAAACGTTTGCTAAGACATCCATAGCTATGATGAATCCATATCGACCAAATACATCAACTTATGATCAATCACATACTGAACATTTTGAAGAGACAATAACAAAGAGTAATTATTCAAACACGAAGGCATTTACTGGTGATGATGAGAAATTTGCATTCAAAAGAGCAGTTTCAAGAATTAAAGAGATGGTGGGTAGTGATATTTGGAGAAGCGAGAATAGATGGATACCAATTGATGATACAATGAGACCATGGGAAAGAAAAACTCATAATAATGAAATGAAAAACACTAAAAATAGTGATTTTGATCAGTATAGACTTGAGGATCAATTAAAGATAATAAACAAGATTTAAAAGTCAACTGCCTAAAGATTACTCAAATCTGAAACAGATCAATTTCCGTAATTTTAATTTTAAAATTGCCCTTGTTTTCAATAATATTCAACATTTTTAGTCAATGGGGGCATGGACAAGTGAACTATCACAAAAGATTCAGGATACAATAGGTAAAAGTTGGATTAGATCATGTATTAGAAACAAATAGATATAATAAAATTACGATATTCTTTATCCGATGATAAGCGTATAATAATAATTCTTTAGTGGAGAGAGCGAGACCAATGTGAAAAAAAAAAAATCTAGCCAGGTGAATTTTCAAACGTGGAGGTTATACAATATGAGTTCAATTATTACTGCTGAGAGGTTGGTTAGGTTAGCTTATAAATATCCTAGATTACATGATGTTTGGTACCTTATTGCAACAGCTTGCTTAACAGTTGTTAATCAACCACAAGAAATTCCTAAAATTTATCATTTTGCATTAAGACAACAATTATTAGTAACACCTGAAGAAACAGAAAGTTTACTTACAGATAGATATTTAATTCAATTAGCACAAGATTCAATTTCTTCATCCAAAAAGTATCAAGATTTAACTGCTGTAGGAGTAAATTTACCAGATATTTTAATTCCCCATAATTATTATCAAAATTTACCATTAAAATTTAAATTTGGGAAAAATGGAGACATAAATCAATTTCAAGATAAATTAACATCAAGATTCAGAGAAGTGATCTTGAAAAGTATAGCATTAAGTGGATTACCCAAAGCTATTAATGCATTGATGATTCTTAAATCTGTAACTCCAACAAATTTAAAATCGGGTATTACTCCAGAAAGACCATGTATCGTCCGTCCAGGTCATATTCCAAGTGCTAATATCATATCTGAAGATTTAAACGGTACGAAATTTGACGAAAATGATACTTCAATAGACACTATCGATGGTCCAATTTCACAAGCATCAATTAATGTACAACAAATTACATCTGATCTTGTAAGAGGTTCCAAGATGTGGAATTCAATTTATAGAAATAAGATAAATACTAGAGTTAAGAATCAAATGTTGACTGCATATCCTGATTTATGGTATTTTGCTTATCATAATGTATATTCTCCATTATTAAGTTTTACGAAGATTATAAATGCTAAAGAAACATCAATGTGCGTTGTTGCTTGTTTAATACCACAAGATGTAAATCCACAGTTAAAAGGTCATTTGAAAGGGGCAATAAATAATGGTGCAACAAAGGAAGAATTAAATGATATTAGATCAATGGTATTCGATATTTGTGATTGGAGTGGAGGAATAAAATGGAAAGGAGGTAAGGATGCAGTTGCAAAGTTGTAGGTAAGTGTCCAGATAGTCAAATACCCATTAATATACATATTTATCCTAGATCTATATCTGTTTCCTATTTCTGTTTCCTATTTCTATTTTATACCCCAGATTTTAGATCTGACTTGGTAGCGATCTAAAACAAAAGAAAGAATATTTTGAAACCTAACTAATAATTATCACATTCAATTATAGAAAACATCCAGTTCTTTCCAATGTCTGTTATCACACCCGAGAGACTATTAAAACTAGCTTATCATTATCCAGATTTACACAATATTTGGTACCTTATAACTATAGCTACACTCACGGAATTAAATTTGATTGAGGATATACCCGCGATTTTACATTTTGCATTAAGACAACAATTATTTGAATTTTGTAATGATGAAGAAACTGTGCTCAATAATGAATTTATATACAAATTAGCTGAAGATTCAATATCTAGTTCTAAAATGGTTTCAAAGATGTATAATACCGGAATCAATATTCCTGATATTTTAATTCCTCATACTTATGCTAATATGATCCCATTAACTTATAAATATTCAAAAGGAAAGGACATTCGTAAAAAACAACAATTTATAGTAGACCAAGCAAGAGAGACCATACTTAAATGTGTTAGTTTTGTTGGTCTACCAAAGACAATCAATGCTTTAACTATATTGAAAAGTGTAACTCCAACTAGTTTAACGTATCATAATGTTGATACTCCCAAGAGACCAAACTACGTCGAAACTGGAGACGTTGGCGAGGAGACAATAGATGGTAAGGTTTCAGACCGTCTGCTTAATTTAGATATTATTCAGAATAATTTACTCAAGGGTGCTGAATTATGGTCGACTTCATATTCAGGTAATGTAAAAACCAAGATTAGAAAACAAATGCTCAATGTTTATCCTGATTTATGGTATTATGTATATCATAATATTTACTCCGTAAATTTACAATTTGATAAAATATTAACAAATAAGAAAACAAGTTTAGTTTTACTCGGTTGTTTAATTCCACAAGATTTAACATTTCAAATTAAAGGATATTTAAAAAGTGCCATTAATAACGGAGCAACCAAAGAACAAGTAAACCAGACAATAAACTTAATACTCGAAATTTGTGAATGGAAAACTGGACATAATTTTAAAGATGGAATTGAAAGTATACCTAAATTATAAATAATTTACATTAGTGACTTCTATAATTGTATTCTATTTTGCCTTTTAATTAACCATATTTGAGTACCACAAAATAAGAAAAATACGAAATATATAATAACTGCATTAAGTATAGTTTTTGCTACTTCTTTACCATTTTCTGGATCATTTATTGAACCCATAAAACTCTCAGATTCTGTATAAAACAAATATGCAATAACCGATAATATAACAATACCAAAACATGAAGTAATAAAACAACAATATGCTTGAAATGAAGAAACAACTGGTTTCATATTTGATTGGTTTGTGTTGGTGATAATAGATTTATTTTTCTATTCATAGATTGAGAAATATGAAAATTGTATATTCTTACGCACACTACTACTTTCACTTTCATACATTGAATTGTACTCTTCGTTGTCTTTGTCTTCTTGTAATGCCATTGGGCACTGGTGTCAGTTGTGGTTCGTTGGTATCACTTTTAACTTCTGTATTGACACCACTATTTTCATTTACATCGGTCAGGAGTTGTTCTACTTTCTCCTTCTCTCTCTTAGCTGGTTTCTTTATCTTCATTTTCAGCTTATTCTTTTTCGCATTTGGTTTTATCGAAATCTTTTGTATGTCATTAGTATCCTCATCTTCTTGTTCATCATTGGTTTCCTCATTTTCACTATCTTCAAGCAACAAACTTGGATTCCGTTTAATATTTAAATCACCACTCAATTTTCTTTTCTTTATTAATTCAATTGATTTATATAATTCCTTAAGAAAATGTAATCTATCATTCACGAGTAAATAACTCTTAAACCATTCTGTTTCAACTTCTTCAAAACTATTTTCATCATTATAGGTAGTCAAATTAGCTAGTATTTCATTTATATCTCCTTTATCTGTATTACCACTATTTCTCCTTTTCTTTTTTGGTGAATAATTCAACTTCACTATCTTACTTCTTTTCTTATTATTATATTTCTCTTTGTTGTATTTCAAAACAACTTCCATTTTATAAATATTTTGCAATTAAATTATTTTTTTTATTTTTATATTTCCTGCATACCCAAATATTACTATGACAACTTCAAATATACAACCAACACTGGATAATCAACCACTAGTTAAAGTTACTGATGAATTACTGAATTTGATTGAATCATTTATTGAGTTGGGTATACTTGTACATGATAACCAAGGGACAAATCAATCAAATCAAGCGTTAGTTAACAAATTACAACAATTAATACTCCTATTTAAAAATCTAAATGATCCAGAGTTAAAGAAATATCCTATTCCAATTGATGTTATTTCTTATATTGAAGACGGCAGGAACCCTGATATTTATACTAGAGAATTTGTGGAAGTTAATGCTAAATTAAATGCTAAATTAAAGGGTAAGATGCTTGGATTTAAAAAATTGCAGAATATATTGGGTGATAAATTGGGCAAAGAGTTCCCTGAGTTAAATGGATCAATTGAAACGATTAAAGAGAATTATGCATGATGAGTAAGGATGCAAAATGTGATGATATAATAGAATATGCGATACTTACGCAGAGTGATTTTTAAGTTACAAGTTCCGAGTTATGGTCCCAAATTGCTCAGAACATGAATTGAAGTAACTTAAGTGCTGATGACATTAGAAAGTTATTTGGGTCGGAACCAGGTTTAAAACCCACAAAAATAGACGAAAAATTGATTAATCAAGTTGGTTATTACTTTCAACAGTGACATCATATAGAGTTTTACTTTTATGATATTTAATACAATTAGTTGAAATAAGTATATCACATTTACGATGATTGGGGGTGAACATCCAAGATGGTATTATACTCCAACATTGTATTATACTCCAACATTGAACTTTACTAGTTTGAAATAATGTGAACATGACATTATTATAGGTACTTCAGGAATATACACAGTTTAGATCTAAAATATCATTTTTTGATCATTCTCAGTGCCAACTCTGATTTTTGATGGCTCAACTGTTCAAAATTAACTCATTTTTGCTAACGGTGAATTTGGGATCTTGACCAACTTTATAATCAAACCTTATGGAGGCAATTAAGCTTTTTAATCTGAATCTAATGGACATACATGTTTTATATAACTCACTCTTAGATGTTCATTTTGATTATATTTTGATGCATTTGAGGTAAATTGTGTTTGTAAACTTTTGATCTTTGTAGTGATATAACTTTACACACACAGAACCTCCGAGGAAGCAGCTAGCTGCATTAAAATCAGAAACCTTAGAAGAGAAAACTGCAACCTCTTTTGGGGCAATTGCTGCTCTCTTACGATTATTAACTGAAGCATATCAAAATTTTCAAATTACTTGAATTACTAAAACTTCAGTAACCACTATCGCGCATTGGCTTCCCACAGAATAAACTAGGGTAATCAAAGATTACATAACGGTTTATTTTAGGTTATTAAATGTGGTATAAGCTCGTGTAATTTACGATTTAAATAAAAGTTGCAAAAAGAAAAGTTGTCAATTTTGGATGTCGTTTTTGTGTAGCAAAAATTGGTTTTGCTGATGGTCCAAAGTCAAGAAACCGAAATAGGAAAAACGGCTTGGGAAATTTAAAAAGTGCTAATATCTTACCAGTTAGCAGGTTTGGTAGAATATAAAATATATGCTCTCAAATTAGAGCTCTGGATCTATCAAACACTTATAGCAACCAGGTCATAGCTTTATTTTTGAGATATTGTTGCTCAACTGACCTATCAGATTGCTTGATTTTGGGCTTGAGCTACCAATTGTGCTAAAATAAAAATTTAGCAAAGTTAGAGTATGAATTTTATTAAATTATAATACAATGGCGTAGAATTCAAATGTAGATAGGATACTGTAGCGGCAAATTAGTTTTTGAGATGTATTTATCTAAGCTGAGTTGTATAGGAAACATGTAGCGAGATGAATTAAGTATAAACGAAATTGAACAAAGACGAATTAAGCTTAAGCTCATCCTATTTGAATTTGTGTCTTGACTAATTTGACAACGTTGAAAAGATGAACAAGCAAGATCATGCACTGAAACAATAACAACAATCAATTATTATTCGTAAACATACGATAAATGTCAATCATACATGAAGATGGCTGGTCTAAATCGAAAAATGAAAAGAATAAGCAAGTAACTAAATTAAAGCCATTGAGATTGGAGCAGGTCAGAATATGTACTCAATAGAGTCAATAGAGTGTGGCAACTACCAATCAGACTCCATAGTTCCTAGTTTTAAAGGAGTAATTGAAACTGAGTTATTTAATAGAAAATCAAACGTTCGTGTTTTTTTTCATTCAAGAGATTAAATACGTCTAGTAAATCCTCAACAAAATTTCAAAGCTAACCATTGAATAGAAATGATAATGAAATATCAAAGAATCTACATTACATCTTTCTATGCAAATGCTGGTTCTACTAAATTTTGAATTTGCCCAATAGTAGTTGAATCATAATTTATAATAATTTTTATTTTTTGATATCAACTTTAAGTAATTACACAAAAATGAAACATAAACAGAGACACAATAAGCTCATTTATTCTCTTAGACTATTAAAAATCTTATTGTAATTAAGTTGCTCAGTTATCTATATTAAAATTAAACTTTAATTCAACCATTTCAAATCAAACGTGTTTTACAATGTCAAGATTTTTTCTATTGTCTAAATTCATTTTGGGTTAAAATGTAACTTAAATAGGATGATTTCTATTATGGTTATGATATAAATTTCTCTATTCTACCGCGTAGTGGTATATTTACCATATTATTTTCTTATTGGTTAGAAAACCAGCAACTAAATAAAAAATGAAACAAAGCAATTTACTCGATACTATTCCAATGCGTAGAATAGAACACTGTCAAATATGTACGGTTGGTCTATTCTAGAAGTAGAGCGTTTTCATTTATGTATGGAAACAATGCTGGTTATTCCATACATATTCGGAATCTAGTAAAAATAATTATACGTATGCATTACCGCGTAAAAATAAGAAATCGTGCGTTGTTTTGCAACAAAATTTTTATAACATTTTAATTTTAGCAGCCAAAATCTAAATAATTAGACTTTGGATTTGTTGACTTTTTGAATATTCATTATTAATGCTTAGTTATTAATGTTATTCACCATCAGATTATTATTTAGACACACGCACCCCTTCATATTATTTTAATCTTGGTTACTTTCAAAAAAGTTAAAATAATAAACTCAACATGTCGTAATTTTCTGGTTGAAGATAATGAGAATATTATAAATATATTAATTAACCCGCTTTTCTTTGCAAAATTCAAACCCAACCAACTTTTTTTCATTCACTTATATCCAATGTACAAATTAATTAGCTTGATTTTATTCAGCTCAGCATTATTAGTTAATGCTCAAGATGAAGATACCACTTCATATACTGGTACAACAGTTATCACTACAACACCAGTTGTAACTGCAACTACTACAGTTGGATTACAAGAAGAAGTTTTTGGTACTGCTTACGTTTTCACTGATGAAGAAGGTCAATTAACTACTACTACAGTTTATGCAAGTACAGCAACTGGACCAGCTTCATTAGAAGCAGGTGAAACAACAGATGCAGCTTCATCAGAACCAACCACTACAGCTACAACAATAGCTTCAACTGGATTATCAGCACCACCAACAACTACAACAGAAGAATCAGAAGCATCAGAAGAATCAGAAGCATTAGAAGCATCAGAATCCACGCCAGTTTCATCAGCTCCTTCTGCTTTGGCTGCTGGTCAAATCACAGCTATACCATTCTCAGTCCCATCTGGATCCTATTCTACATCTACATCAACAGGAGTAACAACTTTAGAAAATGGATCAACTGCAATTTTAGAAGTCGTAGTTTTACACACCGAAGTATGTGATTTATAAGTTTAATTTCTAATTCGTTAATATATGTATTTGTGTTATTTTATAAATAGGAACATCTTAAATGATCTACTCGACTCTCACAGATTGGTTTATCATCAGATAAGGAATTGAAAAATAATAATCCTAAATTTTTATATTTTGTATTAGAGACAATATTCTTCCAGGTACTTAGGTTTAACTTTCTTCTCTTTTTGTCAAATTTGATTAATTTATATTTTGCAAAAGGGAATGCAACATATTGAACATTTCGAAAAACTTGTAATGTTGTGCCATTTGTGCTTCGACAAGTTACTTGATTTAATAATTGAACTTTACCTCCTAGTCCTTCAAGACCAATATCTATACTTGTAGAAATAAGTAAAAGATTAAAACCAATGAAAAAATCAGGTGGGATATTGAATAATAAAGCCAAGGTCTCAAAGATTGTAATTGATGCAAAATCTTCATTATTTCTAATACATCCACTAATTGGCACGTTCCTATTTATATATCTGAAAACACCGTAGCTGATCTCGTAATATGAATCATCATTTGTGATGTAGGTTGTGTTAGTTTCATTTATGTGTATAATTGAATCCAATTTCGATTTAAATATTGACGATTTGAAGAATGATTTATGATCTAAAAATTGAAAATGGGAAATGTTTTGGTTATCTATTTCGTAGATTCTTTCTATTCCATTCTTGAGATGCTTTATTAGTCTCAATTCAAAGCAAGTGGATAGTGATATTAAGCATATAATTGTTATTAAATTATTGATATGCATTTTCTTATTTTTGGCTGCGAAATTTCATTCTGGATGGTGTTTATAAGCTCTGGCCTGCTTCAAATAACATGTTGATGGTCTCGAAGTATAGATAAAGGTACAACTAACCGTCCAATTAGTTTGGTATCCTCCAATCTCAAGCTTCACTTGATATTAGATACTATACTTGCATTTTCACCTTGAAAAGGAATATGATTAGCTTTTAACTTCAAAACTAGAACTTAGCTCTCTTCCAACATGTCAGAATCTTACCCCCTAACATATCAAGCTGCGTCCAGCTCTTCCTTATCGAGTTATCTTCGTTATTTTTGATTTAGCTTGATACTGCAAATCTTAGCGTGCATATAAATTTGCAACATTACTCTACTTGGAATAACATTTAACCGAACAAAAAGACAGAAATCACAATAATTACTATATCTTTACTTATCAAAGATTTGACAGATGTGATAACCTATATAGTGGGGTAATATATCCTATCAAAGTTTTTCCATTGTTTCAAATTATGGCTTGATATTATTGAGGAAGCCATTAACAGTACTGTAAATCAACGATAGCAAATCTTTAACCACAGTAATGGAGTTAACGTGTATTTGATTTTGAGATTAGCTGCTTACAGCCTTTGAACTATCTAAAACCCTGCGTTTCGTTTATACTCCTTAAACATGACAAACTTTCATGTGAAAGATATACTAGATTGCATATCAAGGAATCAATCGGAGTTATAATAACTTAAATATTTCGTTCTGGATCTAAAAAGAAAAGTGGAAATTTCTGTTTATGTGATATCAAGTAGGGTTCGGTGAGCTTAGATTCGAGATTATCGATGGGACGATGAGCTAAAAGAGCTACAAAAATCAAAAAGTCACTTCAAGAACTTAATAAACACTTAGATAACTACTCTCATATTACATTTTAAACTACTCTAATCGTTAATCTTTTAATCTTAATGTTTCAACATTTCTTTCTAAACCTTCAAGCGTTTTCATTTCTCGGTTTTAAAAAAAATAGTACCAAAGCGGTAAAAAAATAGTAAAAAAATTGCAACTAACCTAATTAGGAAATTTTTCATATTTTCATTTACATCTTGTTACTTAGTGCATAATAATGGAAAATATATTATCGTTATATATCAAATGTATAATTACTTGAACTGCTAAAATTTTATATAGCTTACTCATTCGTTTTTTGTACACTTATTTGACATCCATTCATTTCACTAAGGGTACATTACTCAATTCAATCACCTTTCGTTCATTATTATTGATTTAGTTTTCAAGTTAATTGATTTTCAATTCATAGAAAAACCGTTATTTCATTCTAACCTTTCATAAGTTTTACTCCCCTTATTAATACCCCTCCACTTTGCCACATTAAAATGAGTTCAAATGATTATACTGCATCTCATGGTTTCATAAATTTCGTATATCAAGGATGGTTCGATGGTGCTGATCCAGGAACGGGTGTTTATGTCTTAGTAGACCGTGCTCAAAATTTACTAGGTTCCAAGTTACCTGAAACTTTAGTTGCAGATGCCATATCTAGACAAGTCAATTTACTTGGTCAATATCCAGATTCAAGAGATATTGCACCTTCTATCTTATTTGCAGTTTTATTTGGAGTAGTTACAATTTCACACGGATTCATATTCTTGATGAATACTTTTAGAGGTCATTATTTTATAATGGGTTTAATTTGGATCTTTGTTTCTTTAATTAGATGTCTTTCATTTGTTTGGAGAGCCATTTGGGCTAAAGATATAATTCAAGTAAGAACTGGGATTGCAGATGAAATTTTATTAGTTATACCTACTGTATTTTTAGTTTCTACTAATTTGATATTGGCTCAAAGATTATTCACTTGGAGACATCCAGTTGGTGGTTCAAGAAAAACTTTCTGGGCAATTATGATGTGTTTATATTGTTTTGTTGCTGTTTTGTTAACAATTGCAATTTTGGCATCAGCTATTCCATATAATTATCTATTATCAACTAGTAGATTTTTAGTGTATAAAAACTTGAACAAATGGGTTTCAGTTATGTTGGTTCTTTATACATTAACAGCCATGGCTTTGATTGGTTTATCATTTTGGTTACCAACGGCAAAAGATGAAAGATTATATACTTATCAACCATGGTGGATTGAATCATTTTCACCATTTTATTTTGTTCGTAAAAATGCTGCCCAAGAAGCTGAAAGAACATTTATGAAAAGAAATTCAAATCATAGACATGCAATTAGAGTCATTGCTGCTACTCATCATCATTATAATATGGTAGAAGGTTTGAGCAATCAAAGAGGTGATTTAAAACACAATTGGTCTTTAATAATAGTTGGTGTTTCTACCTTACTTATATTCATTTCAAATATGTTAAGAACAGTTGTTGTTTTTCAAGCTAGACCTAATTCAGTATCTGGACCAGCTTCAAGACCAACAGCAATGTATTTTGCTTGGGGTGTTCATGAAATCATTATTCATTTATTATTAATTATTGGAAGAGCAGATTTAAGATTCTATAGACCAGATATTTTACCAGCTGCAGTTAGAGCAATTGTCACTGCTGAACAATCACAAGTTCAAACTGTTCATGCATCAGATGCAGAATCAGATGACGATGACGAAGGTTTTGAATATGAACCTAGTCATCATGTAGGTTATGGATATAGATCGGAAGAAAATTCATTAGATGATGATATTGACTTTGGTAATGAAAAGAAATTTAATAATTTTGAAGATGCTGAAGATATTCATACTGATATAAGTTCAAATTCTGCATTTAATTTCACGATGACTCCAGGTTCAGAAACTTACCAAAATTCATTGAATCTAAAATACAAAGAAGAAAATAAATTACCATATCCAGAAGATGAAAGTGATGATGAATTCAAATTTTAATACCCAAAATACTACGTTATTTCAGTTCTTCGGTTATTTTTTATTACATGTCATTATAGATTTATAGATTTGAATATATTAAAATCTAAATACCTTTAATGATGGAATCTAAAATCTAATCTCTTGTTACCTTCATCTTTTGTATTCATTCTGTAATCATTACGTTCTTCCTCTGTCATTTTATTCCATATTTCGTCTCTTTTCTTATTCTTCCATACGTAAAACATCTTAACAAATAATAACCAAAATAATGCTCCAATTGCAATACAAAACAATTGCATATTTCCTCGACGATATAATGGTCGATCATCTTCTCTATATATATTTTGACCAACGATAGCTCCTAATTGAACAAACATATTATACAATGCAGATGAAATTGATCTTGTCCTTACAGAATTTGAATTTCGACTTACCCAGCTCACAGCAATTGCATGAATATAAGGTTGTCCTAAATATAATGAATTAATTGTCCATGAAGGCCAAACTTCAACACCTGACCCGCTCCAAAATCTAATTACACCCATCAATATAATAGCATAAAGTGGTTGAAGACAACATGTAAATCCACGTTCATTAATTCTTTCAGAAAACCAAGTGATCCATAATATCAAAATGATATGTAGTACAGCTTGAGGAATTGTTAATAAATTGGTATTGAAAACAGAAAACCCTAATTCACGATTTATCAATCCGAAATAGGGTGTGAAAGTAAAATAACCAATATATGTAATTAAACCAACTACGTATATGGGCCATAAATTATAATCCATCAAACTCTTCCATAACATTTTGAAATTTACAGCTTGTCTATTATGCATTGATCCCTTTGATGGATCGTCTCTTAATACTCTATTTACCACAATCTTTTCCTCACGTTCAGTGAACCAACCTTTTGGATGCATCCAATTTCTAGTCTGTACAGCAGATGGAACCATTAAATAAAATGACGATAAACCAATCAACAATGTAAATATCCCTTCAAGAAGAAACAACCATTGCCATCCTGAATAACCTAATATTCCTCTCATTCTTAAAATTCCAAATGCTAATAATGCTGTACCAATTTGTGTTAATGCTAACGTTGTCCAGAACCAAGATAACCTAACTGATAATTCCTTGGCTGTGAAGAAATAACTTAACCATACTACTAAATCAGCAATGAATCCACCTTCAATAGCACCTATCAAACATCTAGTGACAAAAAACCCAGCTTTATCTTTTAAAAAGAATTGAAACATGGCAACTAAAGACCAAGCACATATTTGAATAGGTATAAAAATGTCTGGACCCAAAGCTTTCGAAATTAATTGTGATGGTATCTCAGCAAGCAAGAATGAAACATAAAATATCGTATTACCGGTATTATAATCATTAGTGGTTAATCCTAACTCATCTAACATGTTGTCTGTTACAGCTTGAGCAAGATTCCCTCTATCTATTTGTAAAGCCATGAACATAATACAGGAAGTCAAACTAACTCTCCAATTTAATTTCCAAATTACTTTCTTTTCTTCTTCTTCATCCCATTTAAACTCGGGATCAAAAGCAAATCGACATTCATATTTAGCATCATTGTATAGTTTCCTGTAATATTCTTCAACACCAGGATCTAAGAATGGATTTGATTTGATCTCTTCTGGATCGATAGTTGAGTCTGAATGATCTTCTATTTCCTTTGTAGAATATGTAGAATTCTCACCGGTTGATTTCTCAACGGTTGATTTCTCACTGGTCGATTTCTCACTGGTCGATTCTCTTTTACTCATTACTTTTTGACCCTTCAAATAGCTGACAATCTCAAATTCTTATATACATCTTCTACACAAACATTATTAATTTTTCACCTTGTCAAGAAAAAACTATATATAATTGTGGTTTATGAATGGCTGCAAAATAAAAAAAAAAATTGTTATGCAACTTGATGTAAATTACCGCCATTATTAAATGCAACAATTGTCAAATCCCGAGATAAAACGTTTCCAAGCACTGATCTGATTGATAAACTTCGAATAACTTACGCTAAGAACTGAGTATAGTTTACCTTTGTATTCCATTTGTAATTTGCCAAGCTTTGAATATAAAGGATCCACAGTAGGATTAATAATACATCTAAAGAAAACTAAGTTCGAAGATTTTAATTATAGGTGGATTTTTTTAATTCAAGAAATTACAATAATTCCTTCACATCACGTGAGAGTAGATTTAGAAGAGCACAATAAAGGATGAAAGATTAAACATCATGTGCATTAGACACCGATCATGAACTAGTGTGAAATAACCCAGCTGATTTCAAAGGTTTAACTATATTCAAATTTAATCCGTTTGAGTCTTTCTTACTTTTACTTTCATCACTTTCCTGCAGAAACATACCTGATGTATCCGAACTTTTCATATCTGTAATTGGATCCGGTGAAGTTGAAGTTATTGCGGCAATTGGATTACTTACTAATAAAGATCTTCTTTTACTTTCTTTTAAAAATTCACTAATTGAAATATATTCTTGTTGAAAATTAATAATCTTAGAACCATCTTGAATTGGTAAATCATCTAATTTCTTTGATGAATAAATTGAGAATCCACTAGTATTATCTGTTTGATTTGAGATTATTGATATTTTCTTAGATGGTTTTGGTGTTTCAACTAATGTATTTGAAGTTTCAACATCTTGATCTTGATCTTGACTATTTTCATCAAATGAATCAATTAAATCTGGATCTGGATTTATATCTGATATAATTTGAGTGTCATCAACTAAATCAACAGGAGTAGGTTGTTGTTGAGGTTGTTGTTGTTGTTGTAATAATAAACTTTGTCTTTTTAAATCTACTTCTTGTTGTTTGTAAGTATTTAATTGTTCCAACTTATTCTGAATTTCGCCTAACCTATTTCTAAAACTTAATGTTTCTTTACTTATTAATAATTGTTGATCTTTAAGTGATGATTTCAATTTATTAATTTTATTATCCCTACTTTCGATAATCTTTTCACTGATTAATAAATGTTTACGTAAATTGATATTAACCAATTCAACTTCAGCCAATTTATTACTTATGTTATGTAAGGTATTCTCTAATGAAAATAATTTTGATTCTTCTTGATGTGAATTTTTCAAATTTGCCATTTTAAGATTTAAAATCATATTTTCCAATTCTTCAATCTTACGATCTCTTCTTTCTAATTCTTCTTGAAGTTGCAAATTGACATTATTTTTACTAGGTGATGATAATAACATTGAATTAGTCGATGATTGTTGTGGTATCCTAGATTGAAGATTCTCTTTTGATAATTTCCTAGTCAAACTTTGGGTAGTTGATGTAGTTGCTCCACTTCCAATCAATGAAAACATCAGTGGTGATGCAGAATGTTGGTGATGAAAACCCAATCTTTGACTAGCTAATTCTTCTTCCAATTGTTTGATATATAAATGATTTTGATCATTGATTTTCTCCAATTGTGAAATTCTATTCTTTAAACAACCTTGTGAAACTTCTGTATTTATATGTACCACGTTCTTAATTGTTTTAGCTCTGGTACCAAATCTTAAAGTACTCAACGTTTCCAATTCATGTAAGGATGAAGGTGAACAATTTATAATTAATGAAGTACGTGAGTTTCCACCTAATGATTCTTGTAATATTCTTGTCAATTTTGAATCTCTATATGGTATATGAGTTGATTTACCATCAGTCAATGAATTTATAACATTACCTAATGCTGATAATGAACTATTTATCTTTTTAGCTTCTTTCAATGTTTGACCTTGAGCTCCTGTCTTATCAATCTTTTCAGATCCAGCTAAATCAACAAGAAATAAACTTGATCGTTTAATAACCTCAGTTTCAATATCTTTTTGAATCAATTTAATTTGGAAAATAGTATGACTTCTTGAACTTTCTTCATTCATATCAGTGTTTGAGATTGATCTATTTTTCAAACCAATATTTAAAACATCGATGAACTCCAATTCATTGTTTACTTCTTTACAAGTTAATCCTTTCACGTACATTCCTTGTATTTTATCTTCCACAATTGAAAATTTTTCATTTTCGATATTTGGTTCAATTAAATCTTTAATTTGTTCCATATAAATTTCCAAAAATGATATTGAAATATTATATTCAATTTCATTAGATTCATTCATATTGATCCTTTTGAAAATTTCATTGGAGATCCTTGGTATAATACCTTGTTCATTTGAACTAAAATCATATGGTTCATTTGTACCCAACATTGTATATGTTTTACCACTACCAGTTTGTCCATATGCTAATATAGTACCATTATAACCATTTAATAAATCATCAACAATATCATTGATTGAAAACTCATATATATCAAGTTGTGATGAATTTGGTTCAAATACTCTATCAAATGTATAATGATTTATATAATCTTTACCATTTATTGTAACAGTTTGTGAGTTTGGAAACGTGACTATAGATTTACCTTTTGCTACTTCTTTTTCATTTTCTGGACGAAATCGACATATGACCTTAATATTATTTACAATTTGTGGTGAAGATGGTGATAATGAACCAGATTGTAGTGATGTGTGAAATGCTGATGAAATACGACTCAAATTTGAAGGTGACAATAAATTATAAGATTGTTGTTGTTGATGATTTATAGATTCATTTGATAACTCGAGACTTTGATTTGAATAGTCATCATCTTCATCTTGAAATGATCTTGAATTATTTATTGACATTTGGATAGGAGAAAAACTGTAACTAAGTGTAGATGAATTGGTATTGAGATTCCTAATGATAAGTCTTTTTCGGCTAACTAATTAATAGTTCTGTGGTGAATTTAGTAATTTGGTCTGGTTATAGTTTGTTGATATACGGATAATATAAATAATAGTATGCAATGATAGTTGGTGATAATATAGATAGAATGTGCTTGAATAGGAGTTAATTTGGTCTGGTTGCTAATTAATGTATCAAATTCTGTCCTTGTTAAAAATTAACTCTAATTTTAAATGGAATGCTACTTTTTGTATTGTTTGTGGTATTGTTTACTATTTTGGTTAATAAGAAATTGTTTGGTAGCACAAAATTGAAAAGTATAAATATTTTGATATTCACCAAAAAGATAATATTCTTCGTGTATCAAACTAAAGAATAAACGTTTTTCGTTTTGAAAAGATAAAGCCGGTAAATTTGACATCGTAGAATTAGATTAATTAATAGCGAATGTTTATTGAACAGTTAGTTGTTAATTAAGCTGAAAAAAAAAACACGAAATTTGAATGGAAAACTGATGCACGGAAGGTGTTAAAATTGTTTTACGAAAACCATTCCTCGTCTAATTTAATCAGTTGAATTAATTCGATTCATAAACAATAACACAATTAAAAACAAAGCGGTTAACGATTGAATCGTTTAAAATGATTTATATAATTATTTAAATGATGAATACGGTGTGTTGAGGTTGATGTGATTCTTAAGTCTTTGATCTTTCTTGATTATTTATAATTTAATTCTGGTAAGTCTGAAACATTTCTCTGTATAATTTCAATGACGCGAGAGCTTTAAGGGGCACATACAGCTACTATGTTTGCATTTAAATTGCATATGTTTATTGCAATTCAAGAAGTTGCACGCTTAAAGTGCTAAGTTTGCAGTCGATTACTACTTTTACAAGTATTGTAATTCCTTCTCTTGTTTCGTAGTAAAGTACTCTATACTGAATGAAAAAGATTAGGATTACCTGACAGTATAAAGTGTATGCTTTAGTTAAGACGAGCTTTAAAAGACTGACAATGTCTGTTGTTTTTATTTAATCCATAATCTTTCAATTTAAAATTAAGAGTGTAATCAGAGTAAGTCAGTATACTAGAACTCTTTGTTTTAATTAGGTTCTTACAAGAACAAAACTTTTTTTGTTGCTACGTGTTGCTGCATTATTTCAATTATTCGTTGGCTGTAAAGTCGATTGTATTTTAAGGGGTTTTTTGAAAAATAATTACCACTTTCGGACTGCTCAGGGAATACAGAAGTGCTGATTTCTAAACAAAGTGAATTAAAGTAATTTTCTATTTAGACTACGACAATGCAGATTTGTACATAGATGACTTATTACATAATGGTAAGATTTGATTGCAAGGTTAAACTTCATACATAAAGTGATTCTGCTGATTTTTAAGGGGTATTCTTTTCATTTATCATTGGTGCATTGAAGCTTCTATTATTTGAGCATCACACACCTCATTGATTAATTTAAATTGATTAAAAGAAGTCATGACTCAGAGTCAAAATTGATAAACTCCATTTTTCAAAACTGTTATCAACTGTTTTTAACGGTTCAAAAAGAGGTTGTTCAGTTCTCGCAATTCAAAGCTTTTCCATAATGCTAATTGATTCTAATGAAACTTTTGATACCAATCCACTACCAACAAATCTATTAAACTATGAGTAATCCAATTAATTGTTGAAAAATTTTCCTAACGTGTTAGTAAAATTTTATAAGTGCGCGTGACTCGCATACAATTTTAGGCCGGAATTGGAGTATTCCATCATACAAAAACCAAACGAAATACGACCATATATTACTCACGTCACGTTACACCAGCTAAACCAATTTTATATAACCAATTGATTATTAAATTGAAAAAAAAATTCCATATCTAATATCAATCTTATAAAATATTTTAATCTTGCAATTTCAAAATAGCTTAATTGTAACTTTATTTATTGGCCATGTCATCACCTCAACAAATTGTTAACAGTTTTCAACAAGCATTGAATTTATCAGGTTCACCAAATGCTGTCTCAACTTCACCAACTCAATCATTTTTAAGTCAATATCAACCATCAAAACCAACCAAAGCTTTAAAACCTTTTAGCACAGAAGATATTAAAATTTTACTATTAGAAAATGTTAATCAAACTGCTATAAATATTTTCAAAAATCAAGGTTATCAAGTTGAATTTTATAAAAGTTCATTACCAGAAGATGAATTAATTGAAAAAATTAAAGATGTTCATGCCATTGGTATTAGATCAAAAACAAAATTAACTGAAAAAATTTTGAAAAATGCTAAAAATTTAGTTGTTATTGGATGTTTTTGTATTGGTACAAATCAAGTTAATTTAGATTTTGCTGCAAAATCAGGTATTTGTGTTTTCAATTCACCTTTTTCAAATTCAAGATCAGTTGCTGAATTAGTTATTGCTGAAATTATTACCTTGGCAAGGCAATTGGGTGATAGATCAATTGAAATGCACACTGGTACTTGGAATAAAGTCTCTGCAAAATGTTGGGAAATTAGAGGTAAAACTTTAGGTATTATTGGTTATGGTCATATTGGGTCACAATTATCAGTCTTGGCTGAATCAATGGGTATGAATGTTATATATTATGATATTGTTACTATAATGGCCTTGGGAAATTCAAAGCAAGTTTCAAATTTAGATGAATTATTGAAAAATTCTGATTTTGTTACTTTACATGTACCTGAAACTCAAGAAACCAAAAACTTATTAAGTGCTCCACAATTTGCAGCAATGAAAGATGGTTCTTACGTTATAAATGCTTCAAGAGGTACTGTTGTTGATATTCCAGCTTTAGTTCAAGCTATGAAAGCTGGTAAAATAGCTGGTGCTGCATTAGACGTATATCCACATGAACCAGCTAAAAATGGTGAAGGTTTATTTGCTGATACTTTAAATGCTTGGGCAAGTGAATTATGTTCATTAAGAAATGTTATATTAACACCTCATATTGGTGGATCAACTGAAGAAGCACAATCAGCTATTGGTATTGAAGTTGGTAACTCACTAACCAAATATATTAATGAAGGTACCTCAACTGGTGCTGTAAATTTCCCAGAAGTTCAATTAAGACCTTTAGATTTAGATCAGCAGAATGTTGTAAGAGTTTTATATATCCATCATAATGTTCCTGGTGTTTTGAAAACTGTTAATAATATATTATCAAATCATAATATCGAAAAACAATTTTCAGATTCTCAAGGTGATATTGCTTATTTAATGGCTGATATTAGTGATGTCGATATTAGTGATATTAAATCATTATATGAGCAATTGGAACAAACTCCTTATAAAATTGCAACCAGATTGTTATATTAGTGTTTTATTTATGTGTACTTTACTTTTGAATCAAATTTTTAATAATTTTAATTGACATTTTATAGAATAGAATTTTCCCTAAGAAAATTACTACCTCTTTAGATCAAAAAATCTCTTTTGGGTCTTAGTTACTCTCCGCTAATCAATATTCCACATCGTCATTAATACTGGAAACTTTCATATTTGTCAAAAATTAGCAAAATTTGCAACAAAATTTGAATCCCAACTTTTCCATCACACGTGAAAGCTATGACATAGGAGCAAAATTGTAAACAGCCAATTTCTGAGTCGTATTCTAGAGAACATTCTAGTAACGGCTAGATTGTAAATCTCTTGTTTAGCTTATAAAACCATTTAAAAAAGGGCTAATTAGCGCAAACACATTTGGTAGCGCTTATGAGGCTTTTAATTTGCAACCATCTACTTGATTGATTAACTTTATCAAGATTAATGTTGTTTGATGACTCTAGAAGTTTTAACTCAATCTTTTTTAAATTACTTATATGTTTGTATTGAGGCTGTATCTACTAACACACGTAGAAATATATTGACTGCTTTGTATCATTGTCTCATTAAATGCTGATTATTTAATAGCACTTAAAACTATTTATTATCAGATAGTGGTTTTAAGCAAAGCGTGCTCTTGAATCCTAACATCAAGTGTGCTTTTGAATCCTACATCTGGTGTAAGAAATCAACGATTTTGGAACACTTTGGAGATGCCTATTGCCATTTAAAAAATAAATAACATTTAAAAAATAAATAATGACATAGTTCGTTATCAAGACATTACTAAAACAAAAGTTTAATCAATAGAGAGTATTATTTGTATGAGGATGTTGACCCCAAAGTTGTTGTGTAAGAAGTTATAGTTCATTTTAATTTCTATTGATTCATGTAATAGTTCAGAAAGACACCAGAATACATCGTCGAGAATTTATATTTCAACAATATCTGAAATTGGGAGCTAAATTTGAGCATTATTTATTTAAGATCATTGAGCTCAAAGTTGCTGTGTTGAAAGTTATATCTGAGTTGTATGGTCCAACTCTATTTAATATATGGCACTACCATTCAGGCCAATTGGTAGCGAATATTGTACTGCATATATTATCCACTGTTCTCTTTTGGCAATTGGTGGCAACACATTATTTTTTATTGACAACCAAAATCAAAGAATACCAATTTTTTCATTAATTTGCAACTACAATAATGGCATTGGTTTCAGCAGCTCCATATTTGGCTTTACTAGGAGAGCAAGATTTAAGTTTGAAATCATATGCTTTATCATCATTAAACCAAGTTGTTGATCAATTATGGGCAGAAATTGCAAATAATATAACTGATTTAGAAGAATTATATGAAGATACAAAATTTGATAAAAGATCCTTAGCTGCTTTAGTTATATCTAAAGTTTATTATAATTTAGGTGATTTTGAATCATCTGTTAAATATAGTTTATATGCTGGTGAAGAATTTAACTTAAATGAAAAATCTCAGTATATGGAAACAATTGTTAGTCAATGTATTAATTTATATACTTCCTTATCACAAAGACAATTTAATGATCCATCAGTTGAAATAGATTCAAGATTAACTGAAATTTTTGAAAAAATGTTGGATAAATGTTTAAAAGCAAATGAAATAAAATTGGCCTTGGGCATAGCTTTAGAAAGTTACAGATTAGACTTGGTAGAGTCAATCTTAAGAAATCAAATTGAAAAAAATGAAGAATCAGCATTAAGTTTAATAAATTATGTTTTGATCTGCTCAAATTCAACTATAAATAATTCAACATTCAGATTCAATGTATTAAATTTATTAGTTTCATTATTATTATTATTGAAAAAACATCAAGACTTTTTCACCATTATTAAAATTATTGTACAATTGAATGATTCACAATTAGCTACTAAATTATTTCAAGAATTGATTATACAAAAAGAAGATTTAATTGCATATCAAGCAGCTTTTGATTTGGTGAATGCAGCATCTCAAGAATTATTAGATTCTGTTACTAATCAAATAAATGCCGATCTTAAAAATGACGAACCGAATCGAACAACTAAAAAAGTTTTACTTATATTATCTGGTGTACCAACTTGTGATTTCGATATTACATTTTTGTATAAAAACAATAATACTGATATAACAATTTTAAATAAAACTAAAAACTTATTAGATGGTAGATCATCAATTTTCCATTCAGCTGTTACATTTGCCAATGCTTTTATGCATGCAGGTACTACTGATGATTCATTTTTTAGAAAAAATTTAGAATGGTTAGGTAGAGCTACAAATTGGTCGAAATTTTCAGCAACTGCAGCTTTAGGTGTTATTCATAAAGGTAATTTATCACAAGGTAGAAATATTTTAAAACCATATTTACCAGGCTCACAAAATGCACCACATACAAAAGGTGGTTCATTATTTGCTTTAGGTTTAATATTTGCAGGTCATGGAAGAGAAGCTATTGATACATTGAAGAAATTCCTCGATGAAAATGGTAATGCAGCAGGTTCAAATGATATTGATGTTCAATTACATGGTGCTGCTTTAGGTGCTGGTGTTGCAGGAATGGGATCAAGAAGTGAAGAATTGTATGAATCATTAAAAGTTGTTTTATATTCAGATTCAGCAATTTCATCTCAAGCAGCTGCGTTAGCAATGGGTTTAGTTATGTTAGGTTCAGGTAATGAATCAGCTACTAATGATATGTTGACATATGCATTGGAAACTCAACATGAAAATATTATACGTTCATTAGCTATTGGTATTGCATTATTAAATTATGCACAAGAAGAAAAAGCAAATATCATCATAGATAAATTAATGTCACAAGAATCATCTATATTAAGATATGGTGGTGCTTTTACAATTGCATTAGCATATGCTGGTACAGCAAATAATTCAGCAATCAAAAAATTATTGCATTATGCAGTTTCTGATCCAAGTGATGATGTAAGAAGAGCTTCAGTGTTAGGTTTAGGTTTCTTATTGATTCGTGATTATACTGCTACTCCACAAATTGTTAAATTATTATCACAATCTCATAATCCACACGTTAGATATGGTACTGCATTAGCATTAGGTATATCATGTGCTGGTAGAGCTTATTCACCAGCAATTGAAGTTTTAGAACCATTAACTAAAGATCCAGTTGATTTTGTTAGACAAGGTGCATTAATGGCATCATCAATGATTTTAATTCAACAAAATGAATTTATATATCCAAAAGTTAAAGATCTTACAATACAATATGCTGATTCAATTAAAAATAAACATGAAGATGCTTTAGCTAAATTTGGTGCTACTTTAGCTCAAGGTATAATAGATGCAGGTGGCAGAAATTCAACAATAAATTTAGAAAATTATCAAACAAATACATTAAATATTAAAGCAATTGTTGGTTTGACTGTTTTTGTTCAATCATGGTATTGGTTTCCATTAGCTCATTTCTTATCATTATCATTTGCACCAACTTCAGTAATTGGAGTAAGAGGTTCAGATTTAAAAATTCCAAAATTTGAAATTAATTGTCATGCAAATCCAGAATATTTCCAATATCCACCAAAAGTTGAAGAAGCAAAAGAAAAGCAACCTGATAAATTAGCAACTGCCGTTTTATCAACTACTGCAAAGGCAAATACTAGAGCTAAGAGAAAACAAAGTATAAAAGAAAGTGATGATAAAATGGAAGTTGATGAAGTGAAGAAAGAAGATGAAAAGAAGGAAGATGATAAAAAACAAGAAAAGAAGGATGAAAAGAAACAAGAGAAAAAGGAAGAAAAATCAGATTCTCCAGTTATTGTACGTTATACCAAAACACCATATAAAATTGGAAATTTATCAAGAGTTTTACCATTGCAATCAAATTATATATCATTTATTAAAGATGATAGATTTGTTCCAGTTAGAAAACTTCGTGGTGCTTCAAGTATACTAGTTTTGAAAGATACAAAACCAGATGAACCGGTAGAATTTATTAAAACCGTAAAACAATTGAATCAAACTGAAGCACCAGTACCTGAACCGTTCACCTTAAGTGGAGATGACTTAAACGATGAAGAAGATTAATGTGTAGATTAATTCAAAATATAATTTTATTTAGCAATCTAATATTTCTGGATTTGTGATACATGCAATTTGAACAGATTTACTATTGACTTGAAAGAACCTATCTATTGTTCTCCATCTGAGAAACTTTAATCGCCTCTTGATTTTTACTTCTCTTTGTCTTACGCCTGAAATTTCGTAATATTGATACATTATGACAAATTGTAATGTTTGACCTGGTGGTACATCACATAAAACATTACCACTGATACCTTTACCTACAACGTAATTTGTTTTGAAACTTGGTCCAAATTCCGCTAATATATTACCAGCATCCAATCTGAAACTAACACCAAAATCAATTTCAATAGTCCAACCTTGTTTATAAGTAGCTATATTATCAGAATGATTAGTAACACATTTACCTAACGGTTTTCTAATCTCTTCTACTAAGATCATAGAATCTTTGTAACTAATCTCATTAAACTTATTTGATTCTTTAACAATGGTTGTATTAGTAGACTCTACGAAGATTACACTCTCTTTTGAAATATCAGTCTGCAATATCTCATTGTATGAATTGACAACATGAGGTAGTTCAGTCAAATTTAATGGGCTCTCAAACTCCTTATAATACGGTAGTATCTTAATTGCAATTACTGATGTTATAAATAAAAATATTTGCATTGCATAACAAAATCTGCAGCCATTCAGCATTATATATTTATATCTCTACAATAGCTTTAATAGGTAAATGGTCACTACAATTACAATCCTCACCTCCATTTGGTCTCATTATAACTTCATGTGATAAAACTTTTAACTTCTTAGATACCCAAATGAAATCAATTATTGACTCACCTTCATCATTAAATCCCACACATGTGAATTCACCACCGGCTTTGTTTTCTGCATATTTTGATGTTTCATGTAAATGTTCGTCTAATATTTGATAACCACCAGAATTTGGTTCACTATTAAAGTCTCCAACTAAAATACTATCACCAATTTTCCTATCCATAATTTGTAATATCAATTTTGAGGATTCTATTCTTGCTTGTTTTCCCTTATGATCATAATGAGTATTATAAAAATTGACCACTTTATTTGTCTTTTTATGCTTTACAACCACACTAACGACAATTCTATTCAAGGCTGAATCCCAACTTTTACTTGGTTTTTCAGGAGTTTCACTCAACCAATATGTTTTCCCTTCAATTAATTCCCAATCAAGTTTATTATAGATAATTGGAGAGAATTCACCTTTCAAACCACCATCATCTCTACCAACACCAAAATAAGTGTAATTAGAACCCAATTTATTCATGATATCAATTAATTGATTATATAAAACTTCTTGTAATCCAATCAAAACAGGATAATGTTCACTTGTTACTTGTTTAATTAATCTGACTACTCCATCTTTTCTATATTTCCATGGCTTCTCACCAACCATTAACTTTTGTGTATCTAATCGAATATTATGAGTATATATTAAGATATCCAATGGCTCTTTACTAATTGCTGTTGGTGGTGGTGCTGTTGCTTTTGATTGAACATTGGCGTTTGGCTTTTGAGGTGCTTTATCATAAACTAATGGCCGCTGTTTTTGCTTCTCTTCTTTCTTTTCTTTGAAAACTTTTCCTACTTTCTTTAAAGCATTAAAAGCTTGCATTGTTGCTAACAGCTATAAATTTTTCTTGTAGCAACATATTTTAACATTTATATTTAAAAATCTTACCTCACTTGGTAGTGTTCTTCATAATCTAGAATTTTGTAGAAGAATCTTCTACAATCCATTCCATCAAGATACATAACCAGTAGACTAAATAAAGCTTAGAACTAAAACATAGAATTTGATCGAATATCGAGCCGAAGGTTGATTTTAAAAAATTTTCGGCTATAAGTGTTCCTATTTAGTTTGATTTGGATCTGATCGACGAGCTTGTCGAATCTATGTCATCAAGCATAGTCGTATTGCATTGTCGTATTGCATTTTCGTCATTCATCATAGCCCGAAACTTTCTATTGTCTAAGCCCTATTTAATCCCTGTTATATAAAATTTTAGTAAACTCCACAAAATGTGGTAAAAATTCGCGTAGGTGATAATAAAAAAATTATCACCAGAATCTATCATTATTGTCGGGCGATCAATTAACTATTCCTTTATTACATGTCAAATAATAAGAGTAAATTATCAGAAGAAAGGTTGATATATCAAAGAAAAGATTTGCTACAAGCACAATTAACAAATGAGGGTATTTCAATATCTGAACAATCTTTAATCCAAGAAAATTCTCAATCTTCATACTGCTGCTTTTCTAACAATTCAAATATAAGTACAACAGTTTCCTACTTTATTCCGTTTAAAAATATATTATATACTAGATTTGCAGATTTGGAAAATGATGATAATGAGATAATTTTAACTTATGTCAAACCTATATCTGATTTGAATCAAAAACAAAATCTACAAATTCAAGATATAAATATTCAAATACTTAATGATATTTCACCTTCTCAGACTTCGCTAACAGATTATATATTACAAAAAGCATATCCAAATAACTTTATTCACCCATCAATACTCATTTTAATAAATCCTCACGGTGGTCAAGGAAAAGCGAAAACCATTTATAATGAACAAATATTGCCTGTTTTAAAAGCTGCTGACGTAAATATCACATATTGTGAGACGGAATATTCTGAACATGCAACTGATATTGCTAAGGATCTTGATGTTTCAAAATTTGACATTGTTGCGTGCTGTTCTGGTGATGGTATACCACATGAAGTTATAAACGGGTTCTATAACAAACCAGATATGGGAGTTGAAGCATTTAATAAAATTGCAGTTACTCAATTACCTTGCGGGTCAGGAAATGCATTAAGTTTAAGTACTCATGGATCAAACAATGCAAGTATTGCAACATGGCAAATGCTCAAGGCTAAGAAGACCAAAATTGATCTAATGGCAGTTACGCAAGAAATTAAGAATGAACAAGTTACTAAGTTATCATTTTTAAGTCAATGTTATGGTATGATTGCTGATTCAGATATTGGAACTGAACATCTAAGATGGTTAGGACCAATTAGATTTGATTTGGGAGTTGTTCATAAAGTTTATACTGGTGCAGAGTATCCATGTGAAGTATATGTTAAATATTATACACAAGATAAATCAGCTATAAGAAGTCATGTAAATGAACATTTAAGAAAAGAGATATCAAAAGAACATGCAGTTACTAAGGAGGACTTAAATACATCTGGTCCTAATTTAAGTGATTCAATTCCTAATGACTGGGATAAATTACCAAATGAAATCACATCAAAATTAAACATTTTCTATGTTGGTAAAATGCCTTATGTTTCTTCAGATACACAATTTTTCCCTGCAGCATTACCAAATGATGGATTCATGGATTTGATAATAACAGATACAAATACATCAAAGTTAGATCAAACTTCAATCTTGTTATCTGTAAGTAAAGGTGAACATATTAATAATGCAAAAGTCCTACATGCAAAAATTACAAATTATAGATTAATTCCTAAAATTGATGCCAAAAATCATTATATTTCAATTGATGGTGAAAATTTTCCATTCAAACCATTACAAGTAGAAGTACTACCAAAGATACTAACTGGTTTATTACAAGATGGCAAATTTACCGATACGCATTTAACTAAAAATATATAAATAATTTGTATTAACGACGATATTTATCATGTTGTAATTTGGAAACTTTCTTCAATTCAGCTAATCTTTCTTTCAAATTAGGTACATCTCTTAAAGTCTTTTCCAATACAATTCTTTCTTCTTCTAACTTTAATCGTTTATCAGCATCTAATTTACCAAAGAAATAATTACCTTTACCATCAAATTTTAATAAATATTTATGAAAATGCCATAATGCAGGTCTATGAGCAACTGATAAAACTGTAATTCCCAATTTTTGAGCATATTCGTACATGAATTGTTCCATATCTGGAGAAACTGCAGAAGTACATTCATCCAATACTGCAAATTTAGGTTCATGATAATATAATCTTGCCATTGCTAATCTCTGTTGAGCACCAACTGATAATTCATCATCCCAATTCTTAGCATCATCCAACATATCTTTATAATCATCTAATTTTAATGTTGTTAATATATTTTTCAATTCTTCATCTGATTTCTTTTGTTGTTTTATTGAATGAGGATACAAAATTTGTTCTCTTAATGTACCTTCAACTAAATAAGCTCTTTGTGGTAAATAAAACATATTTTCAGTATTTGGAATAGTTATAGTACCTTGTTTAACAGGCCATAATCCACCCAACATTCTAAATAATGAAGATTTACCAGAACCATTTGGACCGGCAATTAATAAATGATCACCATTTTTAATTGAAAAATCTAATGATTCAATTAATGTTACATTTGCGGGTGTTAATAATTTAACGTGATAAAATGTAATTTCATTATCATTGAATTTAACATTGGAGGATGATTTACCTGTAGATACATTAGCTAACGCATCTTGAAATTCTGAAACTCTTGTAGCATGACCAACAATTTGTAATAAATATCTTCTTGAATAAATTAATCTATCTAATGAATCAGAAGCACTTAATAATAATCTTCTATTAGTTATAAAATTTCCAGCTGCATTTTTATCATCATTTTCACCTAAATATTTACCAATAAAAATTGGAGCTGAACATAATACTAAACCAGCAGCACCCCAGAAATATTTAACAATAAAAGTTTGTGCAATTTCATGTATTCCTTTTTTCCAGTATTCACCTTTTAAAAATCTTTCCAAAGTATAATAACAATAATCAATATAATCTAATTCACGATAATGACCTCTTAAAAAAGCAATTTCTTCAGTATTAGAGGCAATTTTGGAATGTGCAGATCTCAATTGTCCTTCAAGATTAGCTCTTTCAGCAGCTAATTTAGCAAAAGGTGGTGAAAAAAATCTTATAATCATAGTTGAAAAATGTGCTAATAAACCTAATAATAAAGTGCCTTCACCATTTCCAACACCACTTTGACTCAATTGTCTAGCACAAAGAAGTAAATCTAATGTTGGTTTTAAAATTTGACCTGGTAAACTTGATAATGCATTAGCAAGTCGATTTACATCGGTAGTAATTCTTTGATTTGGATCTTTAATTTTATTTTTTTCACTTAAGTGCATTAAAGCATAATATGTAGTATTTAAATTATCAGGTAAATAATCTTTCATTATGGTATTGTTTAAATTTTCACGAATGGCCTTACCCAAACTTCTTTTAGTAAGGGTTATTAACCCATTGTTGATACTTGCAGGTATACCAATTAACATCCAATATAACAAATATTTACTAAATACTTTCAATCTTTTTGAAACTAAAGCACCAACTAATTGACCATCCAAAGTTGCAACTTTAATTGTGATAATTGCTCTAGTGACTAACAAAACTAAATGTGCTAATAATATCAATACTGTCTTATCATGTATCTTAGGTATAATAGCATTCTTTAATCTTTGAAATGACTCTTTGGTTAATTTCGATTTTTTGTCTTCATCCTTTTTAACCACTTGTTTATTTGTTGATGATGAGCCACCTCCCGTACTTGCTGCACCAGTAAAAGCAGCAGTGATAAGTATAATATATGAAGTGTTTAGAAGTAATGATCTATTTGATTTATAAATCTTTATAATACTATCAGTTGTTGACATTGGCTATGGTTGGTTGTTAAATGTAACAAAACAATTTTCTTATTTTATTTTCCCTCCACACCAAAATTTTAATCGACTAATTGCGCGCACGCATGGAATGTTAAACTAAAACTGATAACGGTATTAATGAGAATGGTTATAATGAAGCAGGCAAGAATGATCTTACTAGGGTTGAAGTTTTGGCCTGTTTTCGTAACTATTAGTGGAAAGGTCGATTAAGTAAAGCAATATGGCATTATTCCTCTACGTTTTAAACCAGTCACTAGTCAAATTATATCTTTTGAAGCTTAAGGGTGAAGATTTTCTGGTTTTTAATAAATTACTGGTATTATCAGCTGAATATAGCTAAATTGAAAATGAAGTATCAACTGATGAGATGATACAGTTAGATTTTTTGCGAATTCAATAATTCAAGGTTTGCTAAATCAGTAGAAGCATACTCCACCTCATGTAATAAGTAATTGATGGCTCGGAATGGACCACTGGTTGTTGTTTTGGCATTTGGCAAAGTTTATGTAAAATACCAACCAGCTCATACTTTGTACGCTCAAATTCGATCAATACCTTCCAGTTAACAAGTTATGATTTCAAATAGACAATCGAATTCAGTTTGGCTAAGCTTCATTAGGTTCAACTAGTCACAAATACTCCAATAGATTTTAATTATGTATATTTCGCACAAGCTTAATTTTCAAAAGTTTCGACTTCGAAGCCAAATTGCTCTACAACAATTAGATGTCTAACAAAGAATTTAATTATTCAAAGTCCGAAGACTGAGCAGAATCTAATACAGCAGCTCAAAAAACAAATGGACCTTTGTATCGTATTTACGTTAACATTTGCAGAAAAACGAAAAATTCAACTTTACATCACACTCATCGCAGACTATCACACTCTATTCGCATCAAATGAACTAGAAAAACAAAAGATTATAATGTGATTAATTTTATCTTTTTAAAAGTGATAATGTTTAAGAAATTTACGATTTTAAATAAAGATGCAAAAAGAAAAGTTGTCAATTTGTGGAAGCGTTTTTGTGTAACAAAAATTGGTTTTGACTTTGGTGCTTAGTGATCCATGGTAGCGCCAGTTTTTATTGCAATTATCTCACAAAGTGCTAAGTCTAGAGAGAATATAGCAACACCTTGAGATACTAGAGCAAGAAATCTAGCGTCTGGTGTCTGAATTAAATTGATAACTCATCTTTTGAGTTTTGGGTATTGCATTCGAACGTAGTGCGAGAGTGCGTACGAGTTCTCGCCTAGAGTGAAAAGCTTACTCGGAGTATTACAGAGGTTTATTTGTTTCAGGAACCAAGGTTAATCTTGTTCTGATATTTTTTATAATTCCAAGGGATGAGATTTTTTATTATTTTCAATATAACATATCAATGAGTCTATACGTTCATTAAACAAGAGTAAATAATTTAGGATTGAGCACCAGCATCTGGTTTCACCGAGAAATTGCAAGTGACCAAAATCTTGAAAAACTCAAATACAGCCACCTATAACATTCACATAAGCTGCAATATAAAGACTAAGTCGTTCTTAACAGATGACCATTCAACCAGTTTTAGCTATTCTTCGTTGTCGAGATCTATCATTTTGAAAGCTTCGCAGTTGGTAGCGTGCTCTGAGAATCAAATTTCACTACCCCTAAAAGTTTAGTATAAGTATACACTTTGGAATAGGGAATTGGACTATTTAAAGAGTGATCAGGTATCTAAGATGGCTGAATTTTGAGTAGGTAAGCTGACCCAAACAGGTCAAATAAACTTTAATGGATTGTTTACAAATTTGCGAGTCAGATAAAGCTACACTCAATGAAGTCCTTCAAGCTTTTGGCTCGTACATTTATCTGCAATAATTTTTATCCTGACTGTTCTCCTTTGTGCCATAATTATAAATAGCATCTTTTTGTAATCTGGAGTCGATGACATCCACCTCGACCATTGTCATTGGGAATTTGTATGTTGCGTCTCCACTAGATTCTACTGTTAAATCTCTGTGATAAGCAATAATTAACATCTCTTGTCCATTTGTCAAAACATTAAAAACTTGTGGTAGCTGAAATCGTTCTTGCTAAATTTTGACGTCTGATATTTCTGAGTATTCGTTTTAACAATACTTGTTTTAGCACGTAGCATGTTTGGTAAATCAGTTGTACATAGTAATAGAATAATTTAATTCATAAAACAATAACTCTATTCATTCAAAACTTGTTGAAATTCACTCTTTTTGTCTTCTATAATATTTTCCAATTCTTCAATTCTTTTATAATATACATAATTTGCTAAATCTGCAGTTGTATCGACATCATAATATTTGAATAAATTCGAATACAACTCTACTAATTGTTCTATAGTACTCAATTTAACAACTTTATTCTCTAATTTAAATGATTTATGACTAGTGAACTTTTGAATTATATCATACAATTTGTCTTCATTTGATGATTTTAGTGTTTCTAAAGTACCTATGTGGTTTGTGTGTAATAATTGAGATAGTAATAAGACGTCTCGTAGACTATAAAACTCTGGATCAGTTATATCATTCGAACTCATAATATGATATAAATGTTTGAAATATTTGAAAAAAAAAAAAAAAAAATTAAAAATATACGAGGATCTGAAATATAAAATCAAATCTACAATCAGCTCTTCCCTGAAACTCGCTTGATATCAAGCGTATTAACGTTAGTCATTTACTCGGTATCTTTTTCATTTGACTAGTGTCGTAAAGTTTTGAAAATTGTCACTGAAATCAAGACATACCTGCATATAAAATTGATCTAGCTTAATATGGAATTTTATAAACATTTGATTTAGATCTTAAAAATTATATCTCGATTGATCCCACTCCTATAAAAATTATCAGTTTTACCAAAATTTTCACTTACATAGGGTCATATTGATGCTTTAATCGAATTAAAGAAGTTATACCCACTCAAATTACAACTTTTCAAATTTTTACCTTGGTAATATGTCATTATTTGAAGATAGATTTTCACAAATTACATTAGATAAATCACCAACTCGAAGAAAGAAGTACCCACAGCATCTATATCCTAAAAATGGCTCAAGTTCTAATAATGAACTACCTCCAAAAACACCAATACGAAATTCAAGTTATAATCACCCAAAATCATTAAGTACAATCAAAAATAAAAATCACCGAAATATAAGCTATCCCATGTCTGAACAATCAACAAGCAAGGAAGATTATCAATTTTCATTCATGAAGGAAACATCATCATCTATGCAAAAGAAGCAAATCAATCCATTTAATAATGGTAATTTAAATTCAATTCCAAAATTGCCTTCATCATCAACTACAAAGAAACGATTAAATTATTCTAGACAATTATCAAGCAGGAGAAGAATACTATCTAATTCAAATTCAATACCCCCATCTAAACTAACTACTAATTTTAATACCGAACCAAGAAGGATACTATCTAATTCAAGTGTAAAGTCAAATACTTCAAGTTTTTCAATATCACCTTCAAAACGAATAACTAGTCTTAATTTAGATCCATCGCCTTCTAAACATAAAACAAATATGACTCAACCACATTCAAATGTTTTTGACAGATTATGTAATGAACCATCACCTTCAAAACATAAACGAAATATCACACAACCAATAACTAACCCAAACATAAATTATGATAGTCGACATCCTGAATCATCGCCTTCAAAACCTAAACGAAATATTACACAACCATCAGTTGGTGTTTTTGACAGACTATATTCAAAACCAACTAATATTAATTTACCATCACCAACAAAGAAAGATACAAGAAAGATAGAAAATGTGTCTGAACTATACCAAATACTACACCTGAAAGATCCAAACCTTTTTAAGGAAACACCATCAGACCTTGAAATCAATCCACGCGTCAATTTAAATGATCTAAAACTTCAAAGTTTAAACATATATGAACGTGGTGAAATAATAAGAAAAGATGAAATATACTACATTCCAAATCTTCAACGATCAATAAACATAAAGAACTATACATCAAATTTTGGATTCGATGATCTGGAAAACAAGTATAAAATAGTATTGAATGATCATATTAACTATAGGTACGAGATTCTACAAAGTCTAGGCAGTGGATCATTTGGTAATGTAATACTAGCACAAGATCATAAATATAGAAACAAGGTAGTAGCTATCAAAATCATCAAAAATAACGTAAATTGGTCAATTCAATCATTGAATGAAATTAAAATGTTGAAACATTTATCATCACACGAGAATATAATTTCATATATTGATCATTTCAATTTCAGGTCTCATATGTGTATCATCACAGAAGTACTTTCTATCAATCTATATACCATGATGGAAATATGTCAATTCAGAGGATTATCAATACCACTAATCAAACAATTCACGACTCAAATACTCAATGGATTAGGTTACTTGCATTCTTTAAGTATTATACATTGTGACATCAAACCAGAAAACATTATGCTCGATCTACCAAACTCAAATTCAGAAGAATTAAGTTTGAAATTGATTGATTTTGGATCATCTTGTTTCTTCAATGATAAAACTTTCACATACATACAATCAAGGTATTACAGAGCACCAGAAATAATGATCGGTGCTCCATATTCCGAAAAGATAGATATTTGGTCACTTGGTTGTGTTTTAGCTGAATTATATATGGGTTATCCTTTATTATCTGGAAAAAATGAATTAGAACAATTAGGTCTAATTATGGAAATTTTCGGTATGCCTAATTCTTCAATGATTGTTAAAATGAGAATGAAATTAACTCAAGAAGTTAAGAAGAATATAGAAATGAATGAAAAACAAACGAAAAAGACATTGTTATATAAAATATTCGACATGAATGGGAAGCTCAACATTAGCCTACTTAACTACTATTATAATCAAAGTTCAAATAATGTTAAGAAACAATTTAAATGCAATTCGAAAAATCTAGATATCGTAATGGGATGCAATGATACTGAATTCATCAAATTTTTAAAGAAATGTTTCATATGGGATCCAGCTCAACGATACAATGTTGACCAATTAATAGATGTCTTATGAATATATATTTATGGATGTCCATGATGTGAACCAGGCCAAGCACTAATTTTCTCAGGTAATGATGGACTTGCACTTCGACTAGATCCACTATCTCTATCTACTATCTCTTCAATGTTTTCACTACTTTCAATCAAGGCATTAACTTTAATAATAAAATCATCTTTAATGTCATTATCCTCAATTGTATCAACGTATGATTTTATATCATTCAATTTCTCAATTCCGATATCTTCAAGACTTGCAATTAATTTATTACCGAATTTGGTATCTATTGGCAAATTGGCATATATTTTCTTCTTTAATGAATTTAATATTTTGAGACTATCAATTAATTTCATGTAATATTCATGTTCATTTGTGTTTATTGGATTAATTAGTAATAAAGCAGCATAATATAACATGATATGGATATGAACAGGCACATATTTCAAATTCTCAAGTATATCATTATCATTAATAACTAAATTTAATACCGTTTGAGCTGCATTAATTGCAATATTTGCATTGACAAGTGGATCAGAAACTAAAATTGCATTTTCTTCTCCTTCTTCTTCTTCTTCTGATTCTGATTCATCGGAATCGTCTGTATCTTCTTGTTCTATTGTGATTTTAGGAACATTGTTGTTTAAAATTTTGTTGTTTTCCCATTTTGGAAATTTATTTTCATTTGGATTGATACTCATTTCTCTAACTTCTTTTGAATTAATATGCATCTTTGCGAAATTATAATATATCAATGTTGATTTAGTTGACCAAATTGCACCTTGAAAATTAGTAATTGGTGATAATAAAACTGTCCATGATACCATCCATTTATCTAATTCTATATTTGACTTACTTGGGATTCCAAAACTTGATGGTACTAATAAATCCCATGCATTTCCACGAAATGCCTCATTTAAAGCTTGATTATATTCAACTTGAGAAACTAATCTTAAGTCTGTGAATTTTTGTCTTGCTATTAATTTCTCCATTTCTTCATCTGATATATCATTATGTGCAATTACTTTCTCGTCTTTGAATTTCAAATCTTTATTCTCGATTAATATCCGTTTGGAATATTTTAGACTATATTCATCATTATTCATTAATGGAGTTCTATTGAATGTAAGACTCTGCTGTCCATCTAATACATATATCAAATACCAAAGTTTCAAATATTCTTTATTTTTTGTTGGTTGATCCATTTTAAATTCTTTTGCTAATTGTAATGCCAACCCTGTAAACATTTGAGAATCAGATAACCAAAAACTGCACAATATGAGTGCAATAATAACATTGAAACCTTCATTTATATTCTTTGGTTTATTTTCAAAAAAGATGGAATTACATAATTCTCGTAAATACTCTTGTAATTGATCTGATTTTGATTTTAGTTTTGGATGATGTATACTTGCAATTGTACAGACTGTGCATACTAGAATAGGACATGAGTTCCATAAGTCATTAATTGAAAGTTTTCTAATCTCAAATCCAAATAATTGTTGTGAAATTTTATCATTAAAAAATGTAAATAATTCGTTAGCTTCAGACTTTGTAACATAACCATCTCTAAAGTCTCTCGGTACATCTAACTTTCTCAGTTTATTTGGACTATAACCTTGTTGATCTTCGAATATTCGTTTAGTCGGTGTTTCTGATCTTGATGTAATATTTGAAATTGACGGTATTATTGATGGTAATGAACTTTGTGAATAATTTGAATTCAGTAGCACCTGTTGTTGATATTGCTGCTGCTGTTGGATTTGTTGTTGTTGCTGATTAGTTTTGAGTAAGTCCACTAGACTATTTATTTTGTCATCAAATGAATGTAATGTTTGTTCAATCAGTGATTTCCAAGGATCTGTGAGTGGTTGAGATTGTTGAAACTGCTGTTGAGGTTGATGATATTGTGGTCGAGGTTGAGGATGTACTTGTGGTTGAGGCGGGAATGAATTCGGTAGTATAGGGGGTGGTGGTAATTTTGTATTATTATTATATTGTTGTTGATGGATAAATGGCTGAAAATTTTCACTTCTATTATTTGTGTTATTAGACAGACCATTTGAATTTAAATCTGGTAATTTTAAAGATGGTAATTTGGGTATAAATTGACAAGTTGAAGCTTGACCAGTTTTAAGACATCTTTGACAAGGTAATAAATTTTCATAAACACATTTAACTTTTGATCTTTTACAATTACAACATGGTTTTGTTCTTTTATCCTTAGCCATAATTCTCTTTGAACCGAGATTAACCTGTTATAATTCTATTAAACTCCGATGAACCGTTAAAACTGTTTGGTTAAAAGTAACAAAATAAATTCTGAAACAAATAAAAAATAAAATAAAAAAAAATAAAAAAAAAAAAAAAAAAAAAATAAAAAATAAAAAAAAAAAAAAATTATTATGTAATTGCTTATTCAGCCACTCCATATATAAATCACGAGAAATCCACAATCTTTTTGTCAAACTCCATTATTCAAAGATGTCTATGAAATTGAAAATTAAACAATTCTTTGGCCCAAATAGACAATATGCTGTTGCTGGCGCAAGTAATAATCCAAGTAAATTTGGCTATAAAATATTAAATTGGTATTTACAACATGATTTATCAGCTATACCAATAAATCCAAGAGAACATGAAATATTAGGTCAGTCTGTTATATCAAATATTTCGGAAATTATAAAAGCAATTGATTCAAAAACAAATTTAAATGATTATAATATTTCAAAAGTTGATGGATTATCAATTTCATTCCTTACACCACCTTCAATTACTGTTCAAACATTAAAAGAAATTAGTCAAGTTGAAAATTATCAAAATGTTATTAAAGGTCTTTGGTTTCAACCTGGTAGTTATGATCAAGAAGTTTTAGATGAAGCTGAAAAAATTGGTGAATTTGGAAAAGTAATATATCAAGATGAATGTATTTTAGTTAGAGGTGAAGAAGGAATGATATCTGCAAATTTATAAAATAGTTATATATATATATATTAGTCAAGTATTTTCTTTATATATGTACCCCAACTATCATCTGGATTACCTTCAACGGTACTTACTCTTTGTTTATCATTTATATTTATCTCATATGGAAATGGAGCACTATCTAGTGAAGTAATTGGAGGTATGTGATCCTTATATTCATCCACTAAATCATAAATCTTTAGTAGATTTGATTCAAAACTATTTCTTGATTTTTCAATGTTTGGAGATAATTGATAATTTGTATTTATAGGATGTGGCAAGGGTGTAATTTTATTCATTGGTAAAATTTCAACATTTATCAACCAAATTTCCCAGCAATTCAGTCTATCTAGTTGTTTATCATCTTTACGACTACTTCCGCCAAACCAACCTGATGATTTTCGTCTGGAACTACCTGTTGTGGTCGTTGTTGTTGCTGTTGTTGTTGTTGTTGTTGTTGCAGGTTTATCTTTTGTATTATAAAATTCAATATTTATTGTATGTTTTATATTTCCATTTGATGTGGTTATTGGATTTCTATCTATATATTGTAAGAATTTTGATATTTTATCATCAATTAAGGAATCTAAATCAGGTAAATTTGAAGCCATGGGATATGTAATTTCTAAAAATTCTTGGTCCATTGGTGTTACAGGTCCAAATAGCCTTGTGAAAAAGATGGTCCATATTGTACCTAGAAAATCTAGTTAGTATCGAATTTCGAAGTTATACATAAGTAAATACCTTCCTTTCATTGATTCTCGTACTATTGATCTTTCAGCTGCCAAATCTATTATAAATTCCATTGCAAATATGATGTTTACTGAGTTAATATGATGCAGTGAGACTGATTTACTACTAATGTGATATTTTACTAAGGTATTAATGATTCAATTGTATTAATAATGTGGTTGTAAATAATAGTAATGTATAAGAATAAATGTATTTTTATATGCGCTTCCATTTTATAGTATGGAGTCAGAATTTATACGAAAGAGTCATCCATACAGAACTAACTTTGAAACAGATCAACTACCAATGGTCATTACTAAAGACAAACGAATCGGATTGGTCATTACTCATCTATCTATAACTCTTCTTAGTAAACTCTATAACTCTTAAATCATTAAATCAGAATCATCAACGATTAGCTTCTTCAATTAGCTTGTTGCTTGAAATCATCCTCTATTATCCTCTCCAATTCTTTAACACATTTAGGAAACACCTCATCTCTCAAAATAGACATCTCTTGTTGGTTAAAATTCATCAATACATAATCTGAAACATTCATACTCTCATCTTTACCAATACCGATACTAACCTTCTTATACTTTCCTTTATACCAATTATCTATGCTTTTCAACCCATTATGACCTCGACTACTAGTGCCTTCTTTTCTAATTTGATATTTTCCAATTTTTAATTGTAATTCATCATGTAAAATAATCATCATACTCTTATTAAACATTTTATATTTTGAGTGGATGACTCTTCCCTGTAGATTCATATACGACTTATTACTTTTATATAGCACCAAGTTTGGATATTTTGTAGAATACCATAAATTCGACTTTTCAAATAGGTGATCTTTCCAATATTTTGAAATTAATTCATCCATAAAAATATCACCAGCATTATGTCTTGTTTTTGCATATTTGGCACCTGGATTACCTATTGATGCTATAAATATACATCTTGAAAAATTTCCAGTGGTTGTAGTGGGTATAAATGAACTTAAGAAACTAAGCATATAATTGATGAAAATTATTTACAGCCAAATAATTATAGATTTAAAAAAAGAGCTACCAAATGCATTGCTGCAAAAAATTTACAAGTGTACAAAACGTCATCTTTCATCAAGGATTTATCAAAGCAGACTACTAACTGTTACGATTATTTTATAATCGACACTTGAAGCATCAATAAATTCTAATAGTAATAAATTTAAAAACCGGAAATTCACGTCATATTTTAGCTACTTTACGCTCTTTTACCACTATCATATCAATTCAGCACATATTTAATTTAAATTACATACGTTATTTCCAACTAGCACATTCCCCACATGATTTTCTTTTTTTATATTTAAAGCTTGAATAGTTTTAGGATATTCATTATCTTCCAATACGAAATTAAAATATGCTAAGTTTGCAGAAAATTCAAAAGAATCATTTATTCTCATGTCTGGACTGCAAAGTTCTAAGTGCTTTAATCTATGTGGAAAACTGATTGATGCATCCAAGGTGTACCTATATCGAATTGGTTCTGGATAAACAATGCAACCATTATAACCAAATCATCTTAAATGTGGATAACAATCTTCTTCTGTTTTATATTTTATGAGGATAGAAACATTGCTTTAGCGTGAATGTTTTCAAATTTGCCTATTTTTTCAATGAATTGTATGAACCTGAAAGATACTCACCCAAGTACACTTAGTGTAACTGGTAAGTTCAAGGAGGTTGTCTCAAATCCAGTGGTAAAACTAGACAATTGCAAAAAAATGAGTTGTTCGAGACTGCATATGATATAGTTTAAACTTGGTGTTGTTGTTTTTACTTTCAAATGAGATAATTTCGAATTAGTCTCTATAGCGTTTGAATCAACTATGAAACTTTTCGCTGGAAATTTACTTACTTTTGACAAAACAAAGAACTAACTGGATTTCAAAGTTGACATACTTAATGAAACTTTTGTATTTATGATAACAACGAATAAATATCACCAAAATCTGGTCGATTCCATATAACTCTAACTTCTGGGATTTGACTCAATGATCTTATATAACGAATGTCAGGTATAAAAGGCTCCAATAATAACAATTTTAGAGTACGTCTTAAGTCTTCTTGTAACTTGATCAAATTCTTCAGTTTATTTGAATACGATGAAATTTTTATTGTCAAACTTTCCATGATCTTCTTAAAACTCATCTAATAATGCATTGAAGTTTCCTAACCTCTTCTTTTTTGACATTTTTGATCTTCAATATGTATGGATTTCTACTATCTTCATCAAAGGAGGTAAAATTCAACTTTTAATTCTTTATCATACAACAAACTTTATATTCAAATTCTAAATAATCAATGATGATGTCAAATAATTCTCTAGGTAAGTCGTATAGTCCTCTAATAAGTTTTTACATGGTAAATAAGCTAATTGTGTCTTGATTAATCAAATTATCATGAAATTTGGTTGTTGTATGAATTAATTGATTTTTAAATTGGCGTGGCAATTTCAAATTAATCAGGTACACAAATCAATCTCGTAATTCGCCGTAAATATCTTAACAGCCATAATTTAAAAATACTCCACCAATACTAAAGCTAATCATAATATACCGGCAGTCAAATCATCTTTAAACGAAGTTTAATCAGAAGAATACTTAATTTTGAATCTTACAATCATTGAACTTCAAATTTTTCACAATTTTGATGAAAATCTGCAACTAAAGTGTGTAACTAAGTGCTGGGTCTTACTTTTCAGACCAAACTCATCATAAAAAAACCAGCTTATTGGATCTATAGGCTAAAAAAGTGCTCTTTGATTTAACTACTTACCAATGGTATATCAAAAATTTTTATTTATTTTTTTTGGGTACAATTAATATTGATTAAGCGTTTAATTTTAAATCCCAATGTCTGAACCAAACAAAATAACCAATATAGTTTCCAATAAGTTGAAATCATTAGATATTTCAAATACTCATGTCGATTGGCATAAATTAAAAAGAGCACCTCAAATATTAAAACAAAAGATTAAATCAAAAGAAGGTTCATTAACTGTAGATGAAGAATTTGATGAATTGGAAAATAAATTCGTAGGATATAACAGAAATACAAAGAATTTAATTCAACATTTCCAAACAATGAATGAGTCAATTGATCAATTAATTGTGGTTTCAATTTCCATATCTGAATGTTTTCAAAATGCAATTGATCCATATAGTCACATGAATGAAAATAATACAATTAAGAATGAAAAAGAAGAAGAAGAAGCATTTGAATTATGGTCCAAAGTTACAAGATATAAAAATATTATGAAATCAATAATTGATAAAATTGAAAGAGTTAAATTAACTCAATTGAAAAGTATTGAAAAATTAGGTGAAATTATCAAAATTAACAAATTGGTTTATAAGACATTAGATATTAGACATGGATATTTATTAGAATATGATTCAATCTATAATGAATATAATAATTTATTAATGAAGAAAGAACAAGGTGAAAATTTAACAATCAAACAAAGTAATCAATTTTATAACCTTCAAAGAAAATTAGAAGATTATAGAGACAGATACAAGAGTATAAATTTTAAAATTAAATCAATGTTACCTTTGTATATGACCCTCATCCAAGATATCATTACTATAATTGTGATTAAATTATTCTTTGCAAATTTGCAGTACTTCCAATGTGTTGTTGAACTTTTAGAAAATGTAAATACAATAGATGGGTATGATTTCACTTTTGAATTAGAAGGTATATTTACTAAAGCTGAAAATTTAACTATTATTTCTCAATACAATCATGGGCTTTTTCCATTACCAAAAGCTGCAATTTATGCCACCGCAAATTTTGATTTTATTGGTTCAAACCTTGATGAATTGAGTTTTAAGAAAGGTGATCAAATCAAGGTTATTGAACAAACCGAGTTAAATTGGTGGAAAGGAGAATTTGAAAACTCAAAAGGTTTATTCCCTTTAAATTATGTAACTTTAAATAAATAATCATATATTCTTTAAATATAAATCAACACAGTTCTTACAACAAAATTGTTTTCGTATTGGGATATTCTTATTTTGTAATATATTCCACCATTCAAATACTTCAGCAACTGGTTCAACTACTATCGTATTACATTGATTACATGTATCATTATATTTACCTTTCATAATTGCATCAATGATTAAATTATGATAAAGTTTAGGTGTCCATTTCTTCCAAGCTTTAGTTTCTTGGTAAGTTACATCATGTTTAGCTATCTTATTTAAACAAAGACATTTTAATGAAGTAAGATAGGTTGTAGACGATGATAAATATTTAATATGTGATCGAGATAATAATTTGGAATTGTTGAAATCTTTACCAATTGAGATTACATCATTGGGTGGACATAAATATGGGTTTGGACCAGCTACGAAGTTCTCTAACTGATTCAATTGTAATAATTGCCATGGTAAAAATTTTATCCTATTATTTGATAAATAAAAATCACATAAATTTTCCAATTTATTTATTGTTGGTGGTAAACTTTTCAATTCATTTTGTCTTAAACTTAATACTTGTAGTTTTGTAAATTTGAATAATGCAGGTGGTAAGAATTTTAATTTATTATTAGTTAAATATAATTGATACTTCATATCTTCTGATTCGGAATTACCAAACACAACCAAATTATTTAAATCTTTTATCTCAGTAGGTAATTCATAAAGATTCATTGATTCTAAATGTATAACAGGATCTATATCCTCAAATGAATTAATTATAATCCTTCTAGCTTCATTATAGCTCAATTCTTTTAATATCTCATCATCATTTATATCCATCATTGTTGAAGAGACTGATGATGGTTGTGTAGTTTTAAAAGTTTCATTAAAACTGGATCCTTTGAATCTATTAAATTTATCTATTCCAAAATCTGGCTCTGAACTGAGTATTTTTCTAGGTGATGATTTAACTTCATTTAAAAGGAAATTTGTCGGTTTTAAATCTATTTCAGGTAATGCAGAATCATAATTTGTAAATGGACTACTAGGTAGTTGATCAATAACTGTATCATTATGAGTATTTTCATCTCCATCTACTTCCTCTTCTTCTTCTTCTTCTTCTTCCATTTCTTCTCCTATATCTGGTTTTTTAATTTGATCTTTATCATTAAAACTTTCGCCCATTTTTCTTTTCAACCTTGGTTTAAAATTTAATACTGGTGCTTTGGAACTACTGTTTCTGGTATGAAATCTTGAATTGGCATTTTGATCAATGGTGATTTTATCTCTTGGACTAGTATCCAATATATCATTATTATCATTATTGATACTTGAGAATGCAAACGGTAGTAAAATATTATTCTTCTCCATCTTAATTATAACAAAACATTCAACTGATGATCTCTGATTGGCAATACAACCCTTGATAAATTTCGGTTATAAATGAAAAAAAACCATTGGCTTTTTCAGATTTTGTGTAACAAGATTTTTTTTTTTTTTTTGGCGTTTCAGAATTAGACGTGTTTTTAAGAGGTAATCGTTAGGGGGTAGTAAAATGTAAATTAGCAAAATATTAAGAGTCATTTGTATAAACTATTTCCAGAGCAGCAGACTTCTCCTTCAATTTAACTTTAGGTGGTTGTGAATTGTTCTTATTATTGTCTTCTGTATTCGTTGATGGTTTCAATGATTGACTTCTGTCTCGTGATTTTCGGTTTCTCTTTGACTGTTCTCTCGACCTAGGTCTCCTGTTTGTCTCTGATTTGGATTGATCACTTGAGCTAGGTCTACTCAGATCGGATGATGTAGGTATACTTGACTCAGATGAACTCTGTGAATCACGTTTTGGTCTTGTATCAATGCTTTTCAAATATTTGATCTTTTCTTTACCTTCTTTACCTTCTTTATTCTTTGGACCTTTTTTACCCTTCTCTTTAGTTTCCTTATTATCTTTACCTGACTTATGATTACTCTTCTTTTCTTCATCTCTCTTTGCTTTTCTCTTTTCTCTTTTCTTCTTCTTTTGCTCTTCTTTAAATTTCTTCCGCGCTTCTTCTCTCTTTGTAATTTTCTCATCACCAGTACCAGGTATCTTCTTATTCTTAGATTTGATATTGTTTACTTTCAACAAAGCAAACTCTTCAATTTCATTATTTAAATATTTGAGAAATTTAAGATAGAATGGATTTTCATCTAACTTATCTTTGACATTTTCTTCTTTATTTTCTTTCTTATTATAATTTTTACTTCTTGAATCTACCATCTTGTGAAATAATGCTTTTTCAATAATCGGCACAATTGAATCTTTTTCATCTTGGAATGGTTTATTTTTCACGAAATTTTGAAATTCTTGTAAATCATTTGAATTATTAAAATTCAAATAAGTTCTCGAATAAACTGGTAATTCAAATGGTTTTAATGGATAAGAACCTTGTTTATAATAAAAATGGGTTATTTTTGAAGCATGATATGGATAATAATTTGCAATTTGATTTAAAAATTCAGATTCACTTAAAGATGGAGGTAATAATCTTATTATTATTTTGTTATACTTTGAAGCTTGGATATTAGAAGTTGTACCACCACTTAGATTTGAAGTAGATTGTTTTCTAGACAGTGCATTAGCAGGTTGTGATCTTCTTGGAGCTATTGAAGCCATTTATATAGTTTTGAATGATGGTAAAATCTGATATGGAAAGGTGAAAAAAAAAAATATATATATAACCAAAGATTGAAAAATATTGAAAATTTGCAACAATTTGAAGGATAGATGATCTAGTCGTTCAATGAGTAATATAATATCACAATTTATAAATGATATTAATCGGGTTTATAATATACAAGATGATCAAAATAAAGTTGAAAGTTTAACTAATTTATTATCAATTAATCCCACAGTAAATAAATATATCACATTGATTTATAACAGTTCAGTTAATCCAACTGATGATTTAAAGACATTGTTTGACGATGATTGGTCTGCTTTTAGCTTGGTGGTTAATAGTTTTATCAAATTTTGTAATGAAATGGATCCATGGTCATTATTAAGATCGTTTGATCTTTTAACTACATATCTTAATGATTTATCAATTGCTTTTAGCAACAAGAATTTTGGATATTTACTATCATATATAATTAAGGATACAATCCGCATGGTTGTTCCGTGGGCTAGAAGATTAGATTTAATCATGTTTTTTAAAGAGGCGGGTGGTAAATATAGATTAAATTATTTGGCAAGTTTAATACTTAAAATTTTCAATAATACAAGAGTCAATGATACAAATTATTATAAAAAGTCAATTATACTATATTTGGGGAATTACCTATGTTTCATTTATTTCAAAATTGACAATCCATTGCTATGTCGAAATATATTTAGTAATATGAACAATACAAGCTTAAAATTTAAAGAATTTCCACTTCAACAGCAATTGAAATATAAGTTCTATTTGGGCAAATATTATTTAATTAAATATGAGCTAATTGAATGTTATACTCAGTTTGAATGGTGTTTACTACGAGCAACAAGTGTGAACAATCAAAAATTAATACTAGAATATTTGATACCAGTGGGGTTAATAATAGGTAAAATACCTAATTTCAATTATTTATATGGTAATGGATTCAACGACAAGTTCGTAGAGATGTATCGGGAAATTGCACAATGTATTATACCGGGAGATCTACAAGGATTCAAAAATCTACTCCAACAAAATCATCAATACCTCAAAGATAAAAACATGTTATTACTACTAAATAGAGCAGAAGTTTTAATTATGAGAAACTATATTAAGAACATTTGGAAGATACTAAATAAACCATCAAATTTAAATTTATCTCATATTCCATTTGACAAAGACGATAATCATAAAGAAAACTTACTAGTTACATTGATCGACTCAAATTTAATAAAAGGAAAATTAACAACTAATAAGGTAGTCGTATTAAGTAAGAACGATCCATTTCCAAATGTATTCAACATTTATCAATTACGATACACTACTCATAAAAAAGACAATCAATGGTTATAAATATACATTTTCATTCCTATCATATCCTACCAAATCCATTTTTAATATTTTCACTATCTTTTTGCATTCTACTCTTTTCAATTTCAGCTATTCCACCCGATTTTTTCAATTTACCTTCATCTACAAATTGACCCAATTCTTCTTGAAATTTACTTTCATTTAATAATTCACGTTCTTTTCTTCTTTGCTTTTCAGCTTTTTCAATTGCTTCTAATCTACTTGCATGATTAGGTTGTAAAGCAGCAATATCAAATAAAACGGCATCTTTTAGGTCATGTAAACTTTCTCCAGGTTCAGGTATATATAAATTTTGAACAACTTTATTACGCTTTTTAATTGATGAATTATTTCTCAGTTGTTCAGTTGAGAATTGTTCAATTAATTGAAAAGTTTCTTCAATTTTTTTAATATCTTCATCTAGATCAGCAGTCAACTCACCTTGTAAATTGAAAAATTGTTGTTCTTCACAAACTTTATCTAATTCAGCTTCCCATATTTTCTTCCATGTCGGTTTTTCATTTTTGATATAATTTGACATTTCATTTAATGATTTTTTAGCTTCTTCAACATCTTTAAACATTAATCTTAAACGTTTCTCCTCTACTCGTACACCTCTTTGAACTACATCTTTTCTCATATCTTCCATTACATCTTGTAAATCATCAACCATGGTTAATAATTGATCAGATTCTTCAGAAAGTTTGGAATGACATGATTCCATATATGCACGATTTAAATCTTGTGAAACTTCTAAGGCTGCTTCTTGTAGTTGTTTTTCTTTCTCTAATATAGTTTCATTTATTTTTTGTAGTGTGTTTAAACCTTCATCTTTAGTATATTTGATTGATTTTAATTCATTTCGAAGTTTATTTAATTCATTTTTGACTTTTGAAATTTGTTCATTTGAATCTATTGACTTTTTAGTATCTTCATTTGATGCATTTGATGATAATTCAATTTGAGAAATGGTTGCCTTGACTTCAGATGAAACTGTTCTTTTAACTTCTTCAATTATGGAGTGACTAAAACTGTCAATTCTTTTGGAAAACTCATTAATCTTACCATCGATATCAGAAATAGCCTTTGAATCTGTTTCTTGAAGTATTTGTTCATTCAAACATAGTAAAGTACCAGTTTTAATTTCATCTAATAAGTGCTCTTCTAGTTCATAAGTTACACCAGTTATTGGATCTTGGATATAAATTTCTGGAAAATTTCCTAATCCAGGAGAATATGCAAATTTATCAACAAATAATAATCTAATAGATGCAAAAGTAACCGGGAATTCAATATTTGCCTTTTTAGTTTTATTATCAATTTTCAAAAATACATAAGAACTAGGCTCTTCTTGTATATCTGAATTATTCGTCGATGGTACTCTTCTATGTTCATGATTATTTGCTTCTAAAACTGTAGTTCTTACATTATTTGCATCTGCACTTATTTGTGGATGATTATTACCATTAACCAACTTGGAATATTGATATGCACTAAATCTTTTTGATGCTCTTCGTTGTAATGCATCACTGTTTTGCAATTGTGATAATGCATCATTTCTTGTTGAAGTTTCCCAGGGGCTATTTTGTGATGGAGCTTGTGAATCGTTTGAAGGATATCGTTGTATTTCAATTCTTGGATTTACATGATTTTGTTGTTCAATTTCTCTTGCTTGATCGTGTACATTTGCTTTTGCTCTTGCTTGTTTTGCTTTCAAATTTTGCAATAATGATACAATTATATTACGAATATTTGGTAAAAATCGATCTAAATTCTCTTGTGATGGTTCTTCACTTAATGCAGATTCTAAAATTACTCTTAATGCTTGTGGTACATTTCCAATATCTGAAACATCTATTCCGTTATTTGTAAAAGCTCTTGTTGCTGCTCTAAAATCATTTCCCAATCTAACATAAGCGTCACTAACAAATTTATCATCAGATTCACGCCTGGCCCATTGTGTTAAACTTTCTAATAAATGTTTTGTGGATACCAAAAGTCTAGTTACACTTGATTCAATTGTAGCCAATGATCTCCTTTTACTCCTTTGAGGTTGAGTAGGTGTTGATGAATCACTCATTAATGCAAATAATCTTGTAATAACAATAAACTATAGATCAAAAATAATAATATTCTTTTTTTTTTTTTTGTGTTCCAGAATTCAAGTCGCAAAATCTACGACATTGGTATACTAGTATCAACTGTGATAAGACAGAAGTTACTATATAATGCTATGTATTAAATATATAATGGTCTTATGAAAAGTATTTTTGAACTATATCTATATCAGATTGATTCTTTTGTAGTAAAGCAACAGCTTCTTGATGTGGAATAGAACTTAATAATTGTCTTGTTGAATTAACAGCTCTATCAGCAGTTTTACCTGATATTGAAGCATTTGCTAATGCTTGTACAACTGAATCAACAACTTTTGGTATATTTTTAGCAATTGAAGAATGATGATTATCAATTAATTCACATAAAAATATATAAGCAAATGGAGCTGCACTTTCATCTTGAACAATTGGTAATAATGTTATCCATTGTTCAATAATAGCATCTAAATTAGGAACTGATGAAGAAAATCTATGACAAACTTTTGCAATTGCAGAAACTGAATTTTCAGTTGCATGAACATTTTCATCTGCTCTTGCATCTGGTACTGAAGCCATCTTAAACATTGGTTCTAAACAAGCTAAACATAATTCAGCATATTCATCACCACCATATTGTGCAGCAACTCCAACTGCATATGAACAGACTTGACGTACACCAGCATGTGATGATGTTAAATTTGATGCTATAACATTAAGGTATACTTCTTTATACATTATTGAATTTTGACCTCCATGTTCAAGAATATCACAAACCATACATAACCCACATAATTTTACTATTGTATTTTCTTCAGCTATGAATAATGATAAAGTAGGTATTAAAACTTGAATATTTTCTAAAAAGTTTGCTTTGACATTTTTGAATATAACTGAAAATGCTTTATTAATTTCATCTAATAATTCTTCATCAGTATATTCTTCTTCATCTTCTTCGACATCTTCTGTATATTCGTCATCTTCATTATCTCTTGCTTTTATTCTTTCATAAATTTCAATCATATTTGCATTCATAGCTTTTGCTAATTCTTGTAATTGTGTTCCTGATATAGTATTTGGACCTAAAACTGTTATTGATTCAATTAATGCTGCGTAATAAGCAACCAATAATTCTGGAACTGGTTCTTGATTTAAAGTTTGAGTTAATTTATTACAAATTTTTGACCAAAGTATTAATGTATCTTGTGAATTATTACCAGTTGCAGCTATAGTACATCTTAATAATGAAGCTAATGTTAAAGCTGCAGAGCCTCTAACACCATCATGTAAATAAAAATCTAAACCAGGTATAGCAATCTCTTCAACAATTTCTTTAACCCATGGATAAAAATCACCTTTTAAATGTACAGCATAAGTTCTTAATAAATCCATAGCTGATACTTTATCATCTAATGCAGCAGTATGAACAGCAATCCATTTACCTGCTAAATTTATAACATCCCATTCTTCATTTGAATTATATTCTTCAGCTTCTTCTTCTTCCAATAATGAAACATCTTGAGTTGCTTTTGCAGTTTTCATTAATGGTGGTAAAACTGATGGTAATATTGGTAAGAACTCTGAACCTAAAACTCTACATATTCTTCCCCAAGCTTGTTCTAAATAATTTTTAACTGGATCATCATCTTGAGTTGCAGTTTCTTGAATATGAGCAAATAATTGAATTACATCTTGTGCATGTGGTGCAAATTTTTCTTTACCAACAGCTAATGCAATTAATGTTGAACATTCAATACATTTTGCCTTTAATAATCTATTTTGATCACCCATATCAGTTTTTAAGACATTGGTTAATAAAGGCATTAAAGTGTCATAATATTTAATAAATGTTTTCTTTGCTGCATCTGCAATTATAGCAATTGTTGTTAAAACTTGTTCTTGAACATATCTTTTTGGTGATTGTAATAAAGTTAACAAATTATTTAATAAATCATCAAGGTATGGTTCTAAAACATCTTTTTGTGCAGCTTCTGAAAAATTAACTAAAGCAGCAGCTGCATGTGCTTGAACTCTTGGAACTGATTTATTTGTTAATTTTGAAATTAATGCAGGTAAAATTCTATTACCAGCAGTTTTTTGAATTAAATCAGCAAAATCAGTTGAAATTTGGCCTAAAGCATTACAACATGCATATTGAACTCTTGCATGATCATCATTTAATAAAGGTAAAATCATATCTAAAATTTTAAAAATTTCATTCATTAAAACATCTGAACATCCTTCAGCTGCTGATGATAGTGCCATTAAAGCAGCTTGACGTTCTCTCCAGTTTGATGATTGAACCATACTTGGTAAAAATTGAAATAATGGAGCTGCTAATGCTTGACCATTTAATCTTAAAGCAACTCTATCTAAAGCTTGTCTAGCAGCATCATATTCTGGTTCATCGTCATCATCCTCACTGTCATCTTTATTATTCCATTCAGCTGCATCATCATCATCGATACAAACTTCAGTCAACATAGACAATGTAATTAATACAACTTCTTTTGTATATGATGGAGTTGATTTACACATTGTTGGTGAAACTTCAGCAAATGTAGTTAATAATTCTAATGAAGCCATTCTTGTATTTGATTCCAATTCTTTATTTTTTGAAACTGCTGCACAAAATTCAATAATAGTTGGGAACATTTCTTTAAACATTTTTGGAGCTAATTCAACTAAATCAATTAAAGCTTCCAATACAGATGCCAAAGCTTGATCTTGACCATTTTGTAAAAATCTTGGTAATGAATTTAATAAATTTGGTAATAATGGTGATAATGTTTGCCAATGACTTTTTGGTAATTCTCTGAAAAATGCAACGAAAGCAGTACAAGCAGCAATACGTACATCGTCATTTGAATCATCAAATCCAGCATTATATATAGGTAAAACATCATTTATATAAGTTTTATCAATTAATTCAGGTGATGATGAAAAAACTCTAAATGCAGATTCTCTAAAACTTGGATCTTGAGCTTTTGTGGCTTCAAATAAGGCTGGAATTAATTCATTCCATGTACCTGATGGTGATGCATCTTCTTTTGAAACTTCAGATATAGCATCTGATAATTTATGTCTAACTTGATTTGATTGTTGAGATGTAAAACCATTTAGTAATATAGATCTAATTTGTTGTTTTGCTGGTTCACTTATAACACCTATTGTTCTATCTGTAACACTTGACAATTCTTTTGGCGATTTTATTGCAATACGTCTAAATAAAACTGATGCAAATTGTCTTATAGTATCATTTATACCTTGCGTAGCTTGTTCAGCTAAAAATACCAATAAAATTTCAACATTAGTTTTAACTGACCAATCTTGATCCAAGACTTTTTCAGCTTGTGATCTAATATTATTATCTGATGATGACAAGTTTTGTAATAATTGTATTAATGCTTCATGAGCATCTTGTGGTATAACACTCATTATAAATGATATGCTTTGAAAGGATTGTGAGATATATTTTGATAATATTAGTTAAACAGTTAATATTGACCTATTTTTCAATTTGACCTACAAATATAATTTGTAAATTGTCCTTTTCAATGCTATTTCCTCAATATATATTGGATATAGTTAACGGTGAAATTTTAAATATTTTTTTTTTTAATAAATTTTTTTTTTTATTTTTTTTTTTTTTTTTTGGTTGCATAAAATTTGGCTGCAAAAAGAGATGAACTTGAACTATTAGTAGTATATATATATATTAATCTATTTCTTCAATATAGTTATAACATCTTCATCTTGTAATTCATGTGATAGACCAACTATTTGTGGTTGATGTTTAACTGATGTACCATATACTAAAGCATTTCTAAAATCTTCAACTAAAGATTTATGTATAGAATTACAAAAATCTTCAACTGTACTTCTATCACTTCTCAAAACAACAGGTTCATTGAAATCTGGTAATTTACCTTTTGGTTTTGTATAAACCCTTACTAATTTTAATTTTGACCACATCAATTCTAATAAATCATCTAAATTCCATCCATTACCAGAAGATATTGGTATAGCATCAGGAATTTTTGTTAACAAGTTTAATTCTTCAATTGAAAATGAATCAATTTTATTTAATACATAAATTGCAGGAATGTATCTTCTTGCTTTTGCTTCAATAGCATCAATTAAATCATCAACTGTTGCATCACATCTAAATGCAATATTTGCACTATTAATTCTATATTCTGACATAACAGCTCTAATTTCGTCATTGTCTAAATGAGTTAATGGAGCAGTACTTGTAACATTTATACCACCTTTGTCTTTTTTAGTTATGACAATATTTGGTGGTGTTTTATTTATCCTTATACCCATTCCCTCCAATTCATTTTCAATAATTTTTTTATGTTGTAAAGGTTTATTAACATCTAGCACCAAAAATAATAAATTAACAGATCTTGCCACGGCAATAACTTGTTTACCTCGACCTTTACCATCTTTAGCACCTTCAATAATACCTGGTAAATCCAACATTTGAATTTTAGCACCTTTATATTTAATAGTACCTGGAACTGTTGTTAAAGTTGTAAATTCGTAAGCAGCCGCTTCTGAATGAGTACCAGTTAATTTCGATAACAAAGTAGATTTACCAACAGATGGAAAACCAACAAAACCAATAGTAGCCACCCCTGTTCTTGCAACATCAAAACCAACACCACCTCCTCCACCACCTGAAGAACTATCACTTAATAATTCTCTTTTTAATTTAGCTATTTTTGCTTTTAATTGACCCAAATGAAAAGATGTGGCTTTATTTTTCTGGGTTTTAGCCATTTCATCTTCAATAGCTTTAATTTTTTCAACAGTAGTCATGATAACTAGTTATACTTTCTTCTTAATAAATGAATTAAATGCATCAAATTGTAGATGATTCCGTCGTGTGAAGTGTTTGATAAAAAAATTTCAGATGCACCCTAACCTCAATAGTTAACCTGTTGCTTTAGCTGAGATCGAAAAAAAAAAAAAATTATAACTGAAAAATATATTGATTATTAAAAGTTGGCATGGGTAAAAAATCAAAGAAAGGTCAAACAGGAGGTGATATATGGGATGATGAAGAATTAAATCAGGATCAACCACAAGCTGAAGAATTTGGAGTTACTGAATCCGAAGAAATTACTGAATCACAACCAGAACAAGGTTCAGTCGAAGAGGTATCAAATGATTTTTTAAGTTCAATTCTTCAAAATAAACAAAAGAAAGCACAAAAAGAAGAAGAAGCAAAAACTAATAATGGAGGCCCGAAAATATTGTCCAAAAAGGAAAAGGAAAAATTAAAGAAAGAAGCTGAAAAGCAAAAGAAGAAAGAAGCTGCTCAAAAGAAGAAAGAACAACAAAATAATAAAAAAGAACAAATAAAAGAAGCTAATAAACAAAATGCTCAAGCTCAAGCGTCATCATCTACATCTGCAACTCCTGAACCAGAAGAACCAAAAGAAGAAGTTAAAAAGCAACCTGCTAAAAAAGGTAAAAAAGCGCCTGCCGGTTTAGCAGCACTTAAAAAACAATTAGAATTGAAAAAACAAATGGAAGAAGAACAAAAAAGATTAGAAGAAGAAGAAGAGAATAAAAGATTAGAAGAAGAAAGATTAGCTGCGGAAGAAGAAGCTAGAAAAGAAGCTCAAAGAGCTGCAAAGAAAGAGAGAGAAAGAGCTAAGAAGGAACAATTAAAAGCTGAAGGTAAATTATTAACCAAAAAACAAAAAGAAGAAAAGAAATTACAAGAAAGACGTAGACAACAATTATTACAAGGTAATGTTACAGTTGCAGGTTTAAATAAGACAGATTCTGAAAAACCTAAAAAAGTTGTATATACTAAAAAGAAATCAACTAAACCAAAAACATTTACACAGAAACCACAAGTAACTCAAAAGAAAGAACAAGAAGATGATGAAGATGAATCATTGATTGACGATTGGGAAAAAATGGCATTAGGAGATGATGAACCAGCTATAGAAGAATGGGATGCTCCAGAAGAGGAAGAACAAGAAGACGAAGAAGACGATGAAGAAGAAGAACAAGATACATCAGCTAAAGAAGAAGAAGAAATAAGACAAAGAGAAGCTGAAATAGCTGCCAAAAAAGCACAAGAAGAAGCGGAAGCAAAAGCTGAAGCAAAAGCAAAAGCAAAAGCTGAAGCTGAAAGAAAAGCACAAGTTTCCAAAAAACAAGATACTCCTATTGAAAAGGATTTACGTTCTCCAATTTGTTGTATTTTAGGTCATGTTGATACTGGTAAAACTAAATTATTAGATAAAATACGTCAAACTAATGTTCAAGGTGGTGAAGCTGGTGGTATTACCCAACAAATTGGTGCTACATATTTCCCAGTTGGTGCAATTAAACAAAAAACAGCTGTTATGGCAAAATATGAAAAACAAACCTTTGATGTTCCAGGTTTATTAATTATAGATACTCCAGGGCACGAATCTTTTTCCAACTTAAGATCAAGAGGTTCTTCATTATGTAATATTGCTATTTTAGTCATTGATATTATGCATGGTTTAGAACAACAAACATTGGAATCTATAAGGTTATTAAGAGATAGAAAAGCACCATTCATTGTAGCATTAAATAAAATTGATAGATTATATGATTGGAAAGCAACTCCAAATAATTCATTTAGAGATTCTTTCTATCAACAAACAAAATCAGTTCAACAAGAATTTTATAATAGATATGATCAAATTAAATTGGCACTTGCTGAACAAGGTTTAAATTCAGAATTATATTTTCAAAATAAAAATATGGCAAAATATGTTTCTATAGTACCTACATCAGCAGTTACTGGTGAAGGTGTACCTGATTTATTATGGTTATTATTAGAATTAACACAAAAGAGAATGTCAAAACAATTGATGTATTTATCAAAAATTGAAGCTACAGTTTTAGAGGTTAAAGTTGTTGAAGGTTTTGGTTATACAATTGATGTTATATTATCAAATGGTATATTGAAAGAAGGTGATAGAGTAGTATTATGTGGGTTAAATGGTCCAATAGCAACAAATATAAGAGCCTTATTAACACCACCACCATCAAGAGAATTAAGAATTAAATCTGAATATATGCATCATAAAGAAGTTAAAGCCGCTTTGGGGGTTAAAATTGCTGCAAATGATTTAGAAAAAGCTGTTGCAGGTTCCAGATTATTAGTTGTTGGTGAAGATGATGATGAAGAAGAACTAATGGATGAAGTCATGGATGATTTAACTGGTTTATTAGATTCTGTTGATACTTCAGGTAAAGGTGTTGTTGTACAAGCATCAACATTAGGTTCATTAGAAGCTTTATTAGATTTCTTAAAAGATATGAAAATTCCAGTTATGTCAATTGGTTTAGGTCCAGTTTTTAAAAGAGATGTTATGAAAGCTTCAACAATGTTGGAAAAAGCACCTGAATTAGCAGTTATGTTATGTTTTGATGTTAAAGTTGATAAAGAAGCACAACAATATGCTGATGAACAAAACATAAAAATTTTTAATGCTGAAATTATTTATCATTTATTTGATGCTTTTACTGCTTATCAAGCAAAATTAATGGAAGAAAGAAGAAAAGAATTTATGGAATATGCTGTTTTACCATGTGTTTTAAAAACTATACAAATTATTAATAAAAGAAATCCAATGATTATTGGTGTTGATGTTGTTGAAGGTGCTGTAAGAATTGGTACACCAATTTGTGCTGTACGTAAAGATCCAACTACCGGTCAACCAAATATTTTAGTACTTGGTAAAGTTACATCTTTGGAAGTTAATCATAAACCATTGGATATTGTTAAAAAGGGTCAAACTGCTGCAGGTGTTGCAATGAGATTAGAAAATCCATCAAGCGCACAACCAACTTGGGGTCGTCATGTTGATGAAACTGATAATTTATATTCATTAATAAGTAGAAGATCAATTGATACATTAAAAGATTCAGCATTTAGAGATACTGTATCAAGAGATGATTGGTTATTAATCAAGAAGTTGAAACCAGTGTTTGATATTCAATAGTTGCAATATATAAATTTTTCGTGTACTATTTCAATTCTATCCAATGAAAAATTGTGAAAAAAATATTACTATATAATACCATAATGCAAGATTTACCACCTATAGGAGGATACGAACCAATTCAATGGAAAAGAAATTTACCAACTAGAGGTTATCGTCCATCAATATATTTTTGGGGTATTGTTGGTATAATGTCATTTGGTTTTTATAGAGTTTATCATATGAATGATGAACAAAGAGAATTAACAAGAGAAAGGAATTGGGCAAGATTTCATTTACAACCTTTACTAACTGCTGAAGATGATAGAAATCTTGTTAGAAGATATTTAGCTGAATTAGAAAGACAAAATTTGGTTAAAGAAAATTTGACACCAGAAGCAAGAGATAAATTTGAAAAAGAATTATATAATGATAAATCTAAATTTAGATTCCCAAGATATACAGCAGGTACTAGTCCAAGTGAATCATCATAGAAAAACTTGGATAAGCTACAAGCTACAAGCTACTTTCAACCAAGATCAAAATCAATTCATCTTCAGATATCATTTCCAAATATAAAATATTTATAATTCCATCGTATATTAATTAATATATATATATTTCATGACATAGATTCAAAACTGTAGGAGATCAGTTATTTTAATAGATAGATTCTATTATTGGTATGCCAATGCAAATCCCAATGCAAATGTCAATGCCAATGCAAATGCAAATTTAAATGAAGCATGTCAAAATAGATTTTTGCAATATAAAAAGGAGAAACACAATAAAAATATTTTCATCATTATGTGAATTTAATCGATATTAAATAATTGTTGTAAGCATCATCCATCTTTTTTGGTTGATATATTGTACTTTTATAGTCTATTGGTAGCGTAATTCACATTCTCCATTTTAAGTATACCGTTAAATAGGTCGTCAGTTTGTAATATCGAAGGTCAGAAATAAGTTTGTAGTTAGGTACTTTCAAAAACTATTTTACAAACAGTATTAAAAGAGACTGAATGTTTGGGTTTATTTTAGAAACGTCATTGATGAACAATGATTATTAGTTTTCAAAATAAAGATCGAGCTCACTGAGTGCTTTTGTTAAGCTTGTTGTTTTGTTCGACTTCAAATAGAAATAACAGTTTGATAAAATCGAAAGTGTTTCAGTTAATCTAGTTGTTTATGGGTGCATATCGAACTTCAATTCTGATTGACTGCAATATCTCTTTGTAAATTCGTAAATGGTTAAATAAGCGCCGAACCACATATTACTCTTCTCAAATGTTTGCAGTCAGATTGACTGATTTGGTGATAGTTGATCAATGTCTGGTATGTCTTAGGATCGATATCCCGAAAATTTATTGATTTACCCGATTATTCTGTGTTTGAGGTCAAAAAAAGTGGAAGCAAAAATAAGATGTCTTTGAAGTATTATGTATACAGCTTAATTAACGAGCTGGATTAAACAACAGCAATTGTAATTGACTTTTGACAACGTAATTGCAGACAGAATTCCGTGTTCGAGATTTTTTATTTATAAATTATGTCACTTGATCGACATTTTGTCAAATTATCAACAAAATCAACAAAATTTACTAATCAACTACATTAAGCTGTTCAAATAGTTTGAAGTTGATAGAGGATTAGTAGATGATACGCAAACAATAATAAATTTAATATTGCAATTAAAGACTATTTCAACAATTCATTCAGTCGTTTAAAATCATTTAGCGACTCATTCAATTTCTCGTTATGTTTATCCAAATTCAGACTTAAACCGGTCCGTAGAATATCTTTGAATAATCTGGAATTATTTGAAGCTATCTAGATTCAAAATATGAGTCGTTCATACTCATACTTTTAATATTAGATATTTGTTTCAGAATAGAAAGTGCATAAATTCGATATTTCCTATTTAGTCGATTTTTTTTGTCGTCTAATTTTGAAAAACTATAAATTATTTTCAAACTTATTATTACTGAAGTGATTAAACATCAAACTTTGCTTTTAAGTATGGCTTTAAAGATTTTATTATCAGGTATTAGCAAGTTCTTAATATTTTAATAGCTGTTGCGTTGTTCCATATGTGCCTCTGTATCAAGTTACAAGTGTTTCGGAAATCAGTTTCTTCCAAAATGGGAGCTAGATCGTTTTGGAGAATTAGAATCATCTTTGGTCCTTGAAAATGTTGTTATCCATGTTGTTACCATCTTCCCATGCTAAACTTTTGTTAGGCTCTTTCATCAACTTAAATCTTTTCAAGTCCCGACTTGGAAATTATCATATGATCAGTTCAATAATAACCGGTCAATCAATATATAGAGTATATAGAGTATATAGAGTATATAGGGCTGCTTCAGTTGTTTCATGAAACCAGAAATTAAAATTGAATCATTGATTCGTCATCAACTTCAACAAGGTACCATTAAATTTTCAGGATTTTCATATTTATTATGACAAATATTGAAAGAATCGTTAGGTAGTTTGATTTATACCTTTTTAATATTCAATCAGGTTGCTTCAATTGTAAATCAAATTGATGTTAAATAAAAATCAATTAGTTTTGGTTCATTCTATTTTACATTATCAACAAAAATAACGCGTGGTGAAAAAATATCTATTGGCCACATTAATTATGAAACTTAAATCATCATTTAAATATGTGATGATAATACTATATTTAGCATATAGATTGTATTCTGGATTTTATATGTTTATATCCGATTGTGATGAAACTTTTAATTATTGGGAACCATTGAATTTTATACTACGAGGTTTTGGAAAACAAACATGGGAATATTCACCAATTTATTCAATTAGATCATATGCTTATTTAATACCATACTACTTAATTTCAATACTATCACAGTTATTAGGTTTTACGCCATTGCTGATATTTTATATCGTTAGAATAATTGGGTGTATTGGTTTTACTATTTATGCAGAATTGAAATTATATTTTAGTTTATTAAATGTTGATACAAATGTAGGTGATTTATATTTGTTTTTGAGTGCTATTTCACCTGGTTTTACACATGCTAGTGTTTCATTGCTACCTAGTTCATTAGCTATGCAAACTACAATACTTGCAACTTCATACATTCTAAAGAGTTTCAAAAAAGAAAAGGGCTCAAATATTTTGAAGGCTGTTTTTTGGTTATTTATTGGTGGTATTTTAGGTTGGCCATTTGAATTAAGTTTAGGAATACCAATTGGAATCTACACAATTGTTGAAATATTAAATAAGAAAATTTCTTGGGGTATGTTAGTTAAAATTAGTGCTATTTTATTTTCAATTTGTTCAGTTGTGACTATTATTGATTCATATTACCTCAAGAAACTAGTCTTTATCCCGGTGAATATTGTATTGTATAATGTATTTGGTGGAGAAGGTGAAGGTCCAGAAATTTTTGGAATCGAACCATTTTCATACTATATTCATAACTTATTACTCAATTTCCATATTATATTCCCAATTTCCATAGTAGGAATATTCATTAATCCACTTATCACTAATCATAGATCATTCAATCTTATAATATCATCTCAATTACTCATTTGGATTGGTATATTTTTCTCACAACCACATAAAGAAGAAAGATTCATATATCCAATATATGGATTACTTACATTATCTGCATCAATATTCTTATCCAAAGCATTCAAGATCATCAGAACCGTATTTAGAAGACTATACTACCCTTCTATCTTTATATTTATAGTCACAACTATGTTAATTTCAAATTTACGTATCTACAATTTGGTTCAAAATTACTCAGCACCTTTAAAAACATTTGCTACAGTCTCAAATATAGAAGATAGTAGACGTCAAGTCCATTTATGCATGGGTAAAGAATGGTATCATTATACAAATTCATTCTTTTTACCAGATAATATGAGATTACAATTTGTAAATAGTGGTTTTGATGGTTTATTACCTGGTGATTTCCAATCTAGTTATGAAATTCCGCCTAATATGAACAACAAGAATCAATTTGAAAGTGATAAAGTCATAGCATTAAATCAATGTGATTATTTTGTTGATAATTCACAAGATCAAAGTCAACCACAATTATTAAATTCTAAATTAAAAACTGATCATGACTGGGAGATCATTGATTGTCATAAGATATTAAATCCAAATGGGAACAATGGATTAATGGCTAAATTAATTTATATTCCTGAGTTTTTGAGAGGTTTTGTTGGTTATAGATTGGAGTTTATGAATTTTTGTTTATTGAAGAGAAAGATAGATAGGGAAGTTTTATAAATGGACATTTAAATATAGACTAATAGCATAATTGCATTGATAAGGACTCTACTATCATTTTTGATATTTCAGCACTCTTACATTGAGGTGACAACGAGTTGAAAGGGCTCAAGTGTGCTTTGCATGTGTAACAAGCTAATTAAAAGGTCTGGTTCAAACTAGTTGAGGTCATATATCAAAATACTAACCGAGTATGAGATGAATTGGTTGCTCAATTGACAGTCAACCTCTCCCCAAATTGATTTTTTCGAATCTCTAGAGAATGAGTCTTCCGCTATGAGATCGTTACAACTTATTTCATTCCATCCACATGATATCCAATTGTGTATATTTAAGTTGTATTTATTATTACGTTTGTTATTCTGTTTCAAAATAATCATCTAATGCTTTTTTTGTAGATATAAAACCAGATTTTGCCTTTGCTAAAGCATCTTTAATTAATAAAATCCAATATTCATCTGAAGATTGATCAAGTATAGAAAATTCATCATCTTTTTTATTATCTTTCGTTATTGAATCTTTTGTTATATTATTTTCTTTATCTTCATATTTATTTTTACCATTTTCATTTGTTTCCACTCCATCCTCCTCCACATCTTTTATCTTCTCTCTATCCACATCCCTTATATCAAAATTATCAAAATTGATTTTATGACCATAATTTTGAATTCTTTCACATTGTTGAGAAATTAAAGTTAATCCCAAAGCAGCAGCCGAACCTTTTAAAAAATGTCCAGTTTTTGATAAATTATCTAAATCTTTAGTTTTTAAATAATGATTTATTTCTTTAAATGTATCATTAACTTGATTAACAAAAGTTTCAAATAATTGTTGTGAAAAATCTTCTTCATCTTCATCCATTTGAATAATTTCTGATAATACTGACCAATCAACTAAACCCGAATCTTGTAATGACTTAATTTTAGAATCTGAACTTGAAGACATATTGTAATTTTTATTATTATTATACTATATTATTATGATGTAATTAGTTAGTTTATTGGTTAAAAAAATGTGCTGAATTTATTTTTTTTGGTGATGGAAAATTTTAGTATATAATGTGGTGCTATTCCAATTTTGGTAATGCTAAAGATTAATAAACGATTGAGTGAAATCTAGTTAAGTGATGGGATAAACTGTGTATCTAATATATATGTATATAGTTGTCAATTGACTACCAAAATATGAACAAAATATATATTTTAACTGAAAGGGTGAATCTTAGTAATATAAAAAATAGAGTGAAAAAATTTAAAAATTCTCACAATTAGATTCGGATAAATTAAAAACTGTTTTATTAAGCCAATTTGGAGGTCAAATGAGTTAGTTTCAACTAGAAATGTTTCAGATTGTTTTAATAACATTAATTACAGTGGCAAAATCGAGATATTAATTTGTTCCCAAGGATAAACAGAAGTTTAAGAAAGTTTACGGGGTGCATTAATTTTTGAATCTGGTTGAATGGCCAAGGTTTTCACTGACCAAATTCTCTAGTGTGACTTTTCAAAATTTTCATTTGCTTTAGAATAAGAATTACAATACAGTCCGTCCAATTAATAATCATCTCTATATTTCTATTCTTGCATATGCTGTATTAGATTTAAATATGATGTCTCAGATTAATTTTTGCCAGTATGAAAAAGAATTTTTTTCAAAATTAGTCATTCAAATATCAAGGGGTATTGAAAAAGTTAATTCATAACAAACCTTAATTTCATTCCTTTGGTATCAATAGATTTCAACAGAATGGCTCGATCTTTTCAATCGATGATTTTTCAATTTAAACTTTTTTAGTTTTAAAGTATAATTACGTCATAGATGAGAAATATACGGGATATACGAGAGGCTTTCGCTTATATACAGAGTGTCTAAATTATTGAATCTGAGACGTGATATTTCAACAGATCTCGATTAAGTCAATATCTAATGGCTGCCTAATTCAGTGTTTTATCAGAAAATATACGTCAGAAAAGGTTTTATTACTAATAACATGTTTATTTGATTATTTTTGACACATTGTCATTTTTCTTAGTAAATTGACGTAATACATCGATTTTCAAATCTAGATTTAAAGACAATGAAAAGTTTATGTCTATTTCTATAAAAAAATCTATTCTAAAAAAATTAAATCATATAAATCCCCCAATTTATTTGCATAATAAGTTGGTTGTTCATCATTATTCAAATTCTTGACATTCTCTTCAGTTTCAATACCAGTTAAAACTAATAATGTATCTAATCCACCATCTTTACCAAATTTCATATCAGTATTTAATCTATCACCAATCATTAATCCACGTTTAGGTTTATCTTTTAAGTTTGGATTATCTGCTTTTATAGAATTCATCATTGATTGATTTGGTTTACCACAAATTGCATCAGGTTGTCTACTTGTAGCATATGCAACAGTTTCAATTATTGATCCAGCACCAATTAATAATTTACCATTTGCTGGAAATGTAGAATCTATATTCGTAGCAATAAAAGGTAATCCTTTATTTAAATATTGCATAGTCATTGATAATTTTAAATAATTTATTTGAAAACATAATCCACATAAAACACAACCTACATTTTCATCAATTTGAGATAATAAAGGATCATTAGCATCAAATTTAACTCCATTTTCCATATACTTAGGATCTGTTCCTCCAATTGTAGTATAACCTAATTCTTTTAATTCTTTTTCAATTCCTTCTTCACCTAAAACCCAAATATTTTTATCTTTTGGTAATTTCAAAATTTTTTCAATATAAATTGCTGAAGCATATGAAGATCCAAACACTTCTGATTTTGCAATATTTTTAATTCCGAATTTACCAAATTTTGAAAGATAATCATCTCTTGATTTAGTTGAATTATTGGTGACAAATATTATATTTTTATTTTGTTCTTTTATATATGTTAATGTTTCACTTACTGAAGGTAATAAATGATCACCTAACCATATAACACCATCACAATCAAATAAGAAATAATCATATGAGGAAATTAACTTCTCTGCTTGTTCCTTGGTGGTGATTTTAACTGACATTGAAATTGAAACTGGTAGTTTTTCGAATTGCTTAATTTTTTCGTTCGCATTCGTTGTTTCCGAAAATAAGCATTAAGGGGCTTAAAGTTAGGGGGTAATATGGTAGAACATTGCCTATTGAATCAATTTTGGTAATTAATTCGCTGATAAACTTATTGCCATCGAACTCGTGCTGATTAATTTTCTCATCTCTCTATAGTTCCGTTCTTTGGTTTGTTAGAAAATTTTGATTTACCGGAATCGCAAATTCGAAGATTAATTTTATCGATTAAACTGAACTGTCTTCGATCCAGAGCGTTTCAGTATGGTATTTTAAAGTTTTTAAGTGAGACGGTTGACGTAGTAATGGTACCTGGGATATCGGTATAGAATCAAGTGATTTCGAATCCAAATAAACTAGATCATCGATTGTATACAGCACCAAAAGAGTTTTAGAAGTTTTCACACACGGTAATTTGATCTAGCTGGTATATATTTAAGTCATAAATCATTAGTTTATCTATTGACTGTTGCAGCTGTGTGACCAGCGAACGGTTTCAACCATATACAATATCAGCATTTAAAGGAAACAACTATCTAAATTTAACCACGCGTTGTTCTGCAAATTGTCTACTTCATAAACACTTAGCTACTGTCAGAGTTTAAGTTGAATAAGATACCAGTGTGATATATTGCATAATTATATTTATAGACATTATAATTTTCATTAGTTATTATATATTCATTAATCATTAAACATTAGCTATTATTCTATAACTCTATCCCACCCAAATTAACATTAACTCCATCAATACCCTCCTTACCATCTATAAAATTATGTTTCAATAAACTTTTTAATTCATTAAACTCATTAATCTTATGAAATTCTTTTAAACTAGGATAGATAATTTGATTTTCAAATTGTTTTTTGTATAAACCAATTAAAAATGAAATAAATTTAAGATTGTGTTTATTTAATATGATAATATCTGATGATTGTTCATCAACATATTGAAAATTCTTGAAATTATGATTAAAATTATTACCTGCATCATAATTGGAAAGTTGAGTAAATAAAGATCTGCTTTTTACACAATCACCACATTTACAACCATTTATACCATTTCTATAATTATCAGGCAACCAATTGAAATAATCAACAACAATTAAAGAGTCCAAAAATTTTATAGATTTAATATTATTAAAAAATTGATTCAAATTTATTCCCTCAATTCTTGAATATTCATTAATGTTGAAAAATAATTTTTTCAAATTTGTAAATTTTTCAATTAAACCAGCAAATTGAAAGTTTATCAAGTTTTGATATTGTTGTATATTATTAGTTGAGTTTTTTGAATTTAAGTTTACAATTGACAAGGTTTGTAATTTTGTAAAATCTTGTTTATTTTTCGATAATTCTTCATAAAATTCATTAATGCAATTACAATTGGGATGTAAACAATTTAATTTAAGTTGTAAATACTTTAAAGAATTGAAATCAATCTTGTTTTCCAAATCTGAGAATTTCAATGGTAATTCAATAAAAGAATGCGAATAAACTAATGATAATGATTGTAATTTTGGAATATTAATTGATAAATTTTTGAAAAGTTTAGTTGAAATGGTGGTATTTAAATTTAAAACTTTTAAATTTTCGTAATTTAAATAATGGTTTGCCGGTATATAATTATTATATGTTTCAATAAAGAAATCTAATATTTCTAGTTTATCATTATCATTTGGTAATAAATTTATCAATTCTTGAATATTTAAAATTGACCAATTTTTTAAATTTAGTAACTTATTATTATAAATAGTGACATCACTAGTTTCATCATTTTCATCCAATACATCAGTATGTGCCATATTTAAAAGATATTGATTAATTGACTGAAATTTACGAATATTTTCAACATCAAAATTTATAAATTCAATTGGATGTTGTACAATTTTCCAAAATTGATTAAATTTCGAATATAAATGTGAATAATCATAGCAATTAAAATTTGACTTACAATAAATTTGAATAGATTTGATATTGATGAAATTTTCAATAGTTAATGAATTTGCAAATATGTATAATTTATTAATGTGAATGAAAACGCAATTTGATTTATTTTTATTTTTATTTTTTTTGATTGATGAATTATCATTATCATATATGATTATATGTTTGTATAAGTAATTCGAATTAATATATTGATTTAATGATTTACAAGACTTTGATAGATTTGAAAGATCATCTTGATAATAATTACATACTGATTTTAATTGTTTCAGTATTATTAAATCTATGATTTCTCCTGGTAATTGTAACAATGAATCATACATGATGAATAATTATTAAAAATAATTATAATTATTAATAAAGAAAATGTTGCCTATATTTATACTTTTTCAATGATTCATTTTTGCTGCTATAAATAAATTTTTATTAACGAAAAATAAAGTATGGGGTAAAAAAGAAATGAACATATTACATAATAGATTATTATTACATAATAGATTATAAAAGCAAAAGGCATTTTTCATACAACATTCATTCATAGTTTAACATGACGAATGGCTTGTTTGACATGACGGTTGTTGAGTTCCATTATAATAATGACCATTGATCCATTACCACAACTTCAACAGTTTTAATGCCTCATTGTGTGGTGGAAATTAAATACCGCCGTTTACACGATGATCTCTTCTCATGTCAACACGTTTCTACAAACATCTCATACACAACTGTTTAATTGTCAAATTGCCATCATCCTCTTGCCCCCTTTCAACTTTTCTAATAAAAGGTCTAATGGAAGCATCTGGTTATTATATTATAAAACTGTGACACATTACATCCATTCATCAATGTTGCATTTTTCTTAGCGTTTGAAATGCCACATATTGAATTTGTATGTATGTTTACATAGAATTTGCAGCCATTTTTTTCTTGTTAATAATAATTTATTATATTGGAATGAATGAGCGCCTCTGTGTGAATTACTTTGTTAATTACTTTGCCTTTTGTTTTGAAAATGTTCTTTTATGATCAATGGAGAAACGGAACTTATTATTTACGAGTCTTCGGAGTTCAATTTACGTGCTTAATTACACAGTTTAATCAATAGATCAATTAATAATTGTTGAATCTCGATCCGAAATTAGTCATAAACATTCTTTATTTGAAAGGGTACTTTATAGTGTTAATATATGTCTCAAATCATTTGCGTTATTTCTTATTAGTTTAGATTTTGCAACAATTATTGATTCGCTTATATTTTCTATTTCTTTCTTTTTTTTTTTTTTTTTTTTTTTTCTTTTTCTTTTTCTTTTTCTTTTTTTGGTCTAGAACCGCCAGACGTGATTTCGCACATTAAGATCCGAAAAGATAAAATTTTGCAACCATTAGAAAAAATTTTGCAGCCAGTGCGAAATATATATATTTATTAGGTACATAGATCAACAACTGATAAATCATTGTGTACTTGTAAACCAAAAAAGGTCACTTTACCAGTTTCTGTTTTTTCTTCATTGATATATGCACCATAATCATGTAATTTTTCATCTTGAATTTTAACCAACATTTGTTCATAAATTTCTTGGTCAGGTGAAACGAATAAAAAATCATCAACTAATCTGATTAACATACTCTTTTCATGATTATTATGACCTCTATCAAACAAGAAATTAAACTCTTGATCAATGAGTGAACTATAAAGTAAATCACAAAAAATTGACAGTAATGGAAAACCTTGAAACACACCAACTTTTCTCCTATACCATTTATCTTTAATTAAAACTTTAGTTTCAAAAATTTGTGATTTACAAATATCTATTATATCCTTCTTTGTAAAATTAAAAGTTTTTGAATTGTCTACCAATACTTTTGTATCATCATTATCATTTTCACCACCTATAAAATTAAAACTTTCAATGTTTGAACCAATCTTGTTTGTTATTTTCTTCATTTTTAAATTTCTGGAATCAAGTAAGGAAACTCTTCGAATAATATATGGAGTTTCTAATGATTCATTTTTAAATAATTCTTGTACTTTATGTAATAACATAACTTGATCCATCCTATCAAAACATTCCATCATATCAAATTTTAATATAAAAAACTTCTTTCCCTTGTTTTTTAACTTAAACTCTTTAATTCGTTGCATTATTTCAAATTTTGAATAAACTGTAGATTGATAACTTAATTTCATTTGCTTGATTTGGTTTAATTTCAATTGTAATATTTGTCTAACTGGTGCTATTTGTTGTTTACTATATATTGTAAATTGAATTCTTTGACTAGTTTTAGCTTTTTCATCTAATTCCAAACCTTTGTAATTTATTGAAATCCTACTTGGTATACAAATGGTTCTAAATTTTGAAACTTTAGGTATTATTCTGACTGAACCAAAATTAAATCTTTCATTACCTGTAATTTGACATTGAACTAAAAATTTCTTGACATATTCTGTTTCCCAATGTATACATAATCTAGTCCATAAAAATTGAGAAAAATAATATAATTCATTATCTGATGAAGACGTATATTCGGTAATGTACCAGAAACATTTTAATAACCTTTTAACCATTTTAAATATCCATTTGATGTATAATTTTAAAAACTTTTTACGCGTTTCATGATCTTGTTTACACATACAATATGGAGTTCTGCCTAAAAATTTAAACTTTGATAACTGTAATCCGGATATTAATTCATGAGTTGAGAATTTTTCATATGGTTTCATGTCTAGAAATTGTTTAATCTTTCTCTTTATCATTATTTTATTTTTTGGACCACCCCAAGCATCTAAAGACATGATTTTTCCTAGAATAACAATGACGAATTTGTATACAAATGTGACTGGAGTCGCATTCGTTAAGATTTTCTCATAGTTACATTCCGTTTTAGTAAATAAATTTAAATAAATAGATTCATAATCACAATTCATATCATTTTCAATCATTTTGTCCCGTATTTTACGAAATACTCTAAACCTTTTTGAATTTTCATTTAGTCCTAATTGATGCACCACATCTTTCATAATCTCATCTCTATTGATTAATTTAAAATCATTATATCTTGCTGTTTTTCGATAATGAATAATATCAAATTTAGTAACAGGTTCAATCCCATCACTATCTTTATTATCTATCTCTTTAACTTCAAATTTGAAGGAATCTCCAAATATTTGAACATTATTATAAACTCCTTTATAATTAATTAATAAATCAACAAAATTCTTGTCTTCCATAATGTCAAATAATCTAGTCCAATAATCATTTTTCAAATGATCAACAACAAAACTTCTATTAGCATTATGTATACCCATTGGACCAACTTTATAACCTAAACAAATCACATTTGACAGTTTGTTTTTAATTAACCAAGTGATTAAAAGTTCAAGAAATTCTTCATAGTATACGAATTGACGTAATTCAGCATAATTGACCTCAATTGGATTGACATTTCTAATTATTCTAACATCTTTTAAGTATTGTTTGAAACTTGGTAATTCATATATTGATAATTTATCTTTAATATGGTCGTATAAGGTACGCTCCATATAGATCCAATTTATTTTTTTTTTTTTTTTATTTATTTATATGCAACCTGAATCTCATGTTGATTTGAAAAATGGAATACTATACAACAGACTAAAACAGATAAAATTAGATAATGATATTGATTCAGAATGGCCAGAGAAGATACCTGTATGGAGTTGCTACTTTGATCCAAAAACAACTAGTAAATTTTTGAATTTGGTGAAGGTTTTCAATGATGATGATTTGAAACATTTGAAAAGATTAATCAAGATAGATGATAAAATAAGAGGGTTGATATGTCCAGGACCAGAACTGACCAAAGAAGAAATAAAGAAATTGTTCAAAGATGCTGCTTTTGAATACCATGATTTAGAATTAGTTGAAGTTCCAGCGCATGGTGCTAAATCAATAGAAACAACTTTAAAATGGGCAAGTATATGGCCCTTAAATTGGAAAGGTAATCCAAATCATCAAATGTTGAATAAATTATCATTCGACATTGAATATGAGTCTAAAATGGTTAATAAATTACTTGAAACATTGCAAGAAAATACCGAATTTGTTTCAGTAACTATATTTGTCAAGAATAATCATATTGAATTGATAGAGACAAATAAGTTTGAAGATAAATTACATCCCCAAGATCATGCAATCATGAAAAGTATAGACAAGATAGCCAAAAATGAATTATATAAAAGAAAGAATTATCCCGATGAAGAAATTGGTTATTTATGTAATGGATATCATGTTTATTCTACTCATGAACCTTGTGTAATGTGCTCAATGGCGTTAGCTCATTCCAGAATTAATAAATTTATATATCTAAAAGAAACAAATAGTGGTGGAATGGCATCTTCTTATTATTTAGGTGATAGAGATGGATTAAATTGGAAATTTCAAATTTGGAAATGGATTGGAAGTGATGAAGTGGAGAGAATTAATGAGTTAATTAGAGTTAGACAGGAATTAAAAGAGTACTAGGGAATAGGGGTTTTATAGACAATAAAAATAGACATGTATATACTATTTCAAGTTGCAGGATCACTTCTGATTAATATTTAATTACTCAGTATATAATGCACAGGCATTAATTATGGTTTATGACGTTGTCTAAAGAGTTGGCAAAACAACAATGATAATGAATGTCAGATATAATGCGTGTCATAAGCTGTTATTGACGCGTTTCACATTCAAAATGATGTTTCAAGGGTGTCGATTTACTTTTAATGCTATCTCTAATCTTGTTTACCATTGAACTTAACCTATTATCGCTTTGAACAGTCTTCATTCAGCCTTTTTGTAACGAAAATTAGGTTTTTGACAAATGTAAAGTTCTGACAAACTCAAAACTCTCATATTCAGGTTAAACCACGTATTCCTATCCTAATAATATTTTTTAGGTAAACCTCGAAATAATTCACACTCCTGTTCTTGTAACAATTCGGGCAGAAAATGATAATCTTGACAGATACAAAGCCTTAACTGACCTAAAACTATTATAAACAGTTTGTGCAATATGATCTAACTACGATAGCCTCATTTGATAAACCTCAAAATAATTCAAACTCCTGTTCTTGTAACAATTCTAGCATAAAATGATAATCTCGACAGATACAAAGCCTTAACTAACCTAAAATTATTATAAACAGTTTGTGCAATATGATCTAACTACGATAGCCTCGTTTGATAATCCTCAAAATAACTAAAACTCCTATTTCTGTTATATTTTTGCAAAAAAAATGATAATTTTGACATGTACAAAGCCTCTAATAACTTGAGGTTTTCACAAACACAACTACCATGTACTATCACTACAACAATATGCTTTGCTTTCATTTAAAATAGCTCTGAATTGGGCAATTCTCAAATTATATCCATTAGTGAAGATAATTGATCACATTTCTCAATGGATTCTTGTATAATTTGATTATAATAAGCATCACTGTCAACTTTCACCTGATCCAATTTATTAATCAACTCTTTCAATTCTGCTAATCTACTCTTTATATCATCATCTAAGTTCTGCCCTTCCACATTAATACTCTCATTTAATTTTTCCAATTCCGTAACTAATCTTGTAAATTTACGTTTTCCAATATTTGATTTCCCATTTAATTCAGTAATTAAATCAGTTAATGGTAAATCATAATCATTTTTAATATTATTTTTAATTTTTAAATACTTAGCTTCTTGTTGTGCTAGTATATTTTGATAAATTTTTTTTTGAACATCAATTGAAACATCAGGGATTAGTTTTTGTAAATCTTCTAAAGCGAAGTATTTCCTTATATTGGATCTATTTATAATATAATCATTTAATATTGAAGCACCAGTTATATCTGACATTAGGGTTTGGTGAGTTTTTCAATTATCAACAAAAAAAAAAAATAAGTATCCAGATTGTTTTAAAATGTCTTTAACTTATGAACCATCAAAAATTCAAGTTCAAGCATTAGCTACTAGTATTTCAAAAAGGTTATTAAATGATTCTGATAGTGGTTTATTAGTTAACATTGCACCGATCGGCAGACAAGCGAAACGTCACGCACAACAAATCAATTATTCAGAAGATTTCATAGATGACTTTGAATTCGAAGATTCACCATCAGCAACATTTGGTAATAAAAATATCAGTGAAGAGAAGAAGAATCAAATTGAATCACAAAAATATAGTTTAGCAAGAAATACAAAAGAAATTCCACAATTAGAAGATGAAAATTTATTTAAAAACTTGAAAAATGAAAAAGATGTTTTAATTCCAATTAAACTAAACCTTGAAAATAATAGCAGTCATAAATTAGTGGATTTTTTTATGTGGAACTTAACAAATCCTATTATAACTCCGACACAATTTGCTGAAATTTTGGTTAATGATTTAGAACTACCAACTCAAATGATAACTCAAATTACAGAGTCAATACAAAATCAAATTGAAGAATATAAATATGTTTCAAATTTGAATTTCCCAAACAATAATTCATGTAATGTCATAATTGATTTACAATTTAATTTAAATAATCAGTTATTTGAAGATAAATTTGAATTAAATTTAAATCAAAATGAAATAACTCCTGAATTATTTGCTGATATTGTTGTTTCTGATTTAGGTTTAAGTTTAGAATTCAAGACTGCTATTGCTCACAGTTTACATGAAATTATAATAAAAGTTAAAAAGGAAATATTGGAAGGAAGTTTTAATAACGAAGTACACAATTTCCATTTCAATAAGGGTATTAAGATTTCAAACTGTTTAAGGATATTCACGGAGGTCAGTGTATCGAATGGAAACGATCACTGGGAACCAATAATTGAAATCCTAAGTGCAGCAGAGATCGAAAAACGTGACGCTGAAAGAATCAGAAACCAAAGAAGATTAAAAAGAGAAAATAACAAAAATTTTGAAGAAACCGGAAGAAGGGGAAGACCAAGGAAGTATGTAGATTAATCACTATATTGTTTATTAGTTTAATTTTTTAAGTTTTTTGATTTTCAAAATTTTCAAAATTCCAACTCTGGTGGAAATTTGAAATATTAAGTGGTAGCATTTTAGCTTTGATCATCAATGGAAATTGGGACAAGCTTAATTCTTCAAAGTTATATCTCCATATTTCTCTTTATCACCCAAATATGATTAATAAACAAGTTCAGCTCATAAAGATAATTAAGCCAACAATAATAAATCAGATTAACCTAAAGTATTTAAATCAATTTGACTTTTTGTTTTTCAACACCTTCACCTCTCTATGAAGTGCCCTCTACCCTCTAATCTTTTAGTTTAAATTTTCAAAATTTTGTTAGTGACTTAAAATACATTAAATAAGAAGTCCAATTGATGAATCGTATCTCTATTTACCACAACCGACCTTTCTTATCCCTCATTTCACTTTATTTCGTGCTCTTCTTCATGGATTTATTAAGATCGAATCGGTTTTATATACTATTTTTTTTCCCATACGTCATTTTTGATATTCTTACATGACAACCAAGTTGAACCACTAACTAATGCTATTCAAGAAGAAAGAAAAGACTGTAAGTCCATCTCCAAGTCCACCAATTGCCCAAGCTCATTCTGATCTAAAAAGAGTTAATTCTGGTCAATCTATAAAATCAAATGAGTCAATTAAATCTAAACATAAATTGAAATCTATATTCAAATCAAATAAACATGATCATGGAAGTGCTAGTGAAGGTGATATAGATCAAATTACAAATAATATAGATTCAAAATTAGAAATAGTAAATGAACAACCAACTTCAGATGAGTTTAATAAAAGAATAAGTACCATAGTTGAAAATGATCAATTCAGTGAATCTGAAAGTGAATTTGAAACTGGATCGGAAGATGATGAAATAGAGTATGATCATTTACATCCTGTTAAACCTAAATTTATACCTAATGAACACGAACTCGCCACTCATTTATCTACAATTATGGGATATTGCGGGTTTAAAAAGGAATCACAACACGTTACTGAATTAGCTAATGAGGAGTCAAAGAAAACATACTCCTTGCTTGATAAAGTCAATAAGATTCATAAAATACCAAAGGCAAATACTGGGGATAGTGTGATTGAAGATTATCAAGTTGAACTAATACAAAACCTATCCTCAAAAATGGAAAAAATACTAGAAAAGAAGAAATTAGACCTACTAAAGAATGAAAAATCATTATATCAAAGGTATGGAATAATACGAAATGTGATTGGAAGGGGATCATATGGTTTAATTAAAATTATAGATCCTGATTCTGATTCATCGCATCCTTTACAATTGAATAAATTTTATAATAAAACATTATACGTAGTTAAAGAATTACCAAAGAAAAAAGATGAGAATAATTCAAAATTTATAGAACGAATAATGTCTGAATTTGTCATTTCATCATCTTTAAATAATAAACATATTGTTGAAACTGTTGATTTAATGTGTTCATTAGATTATAAAATTAATCAAGTTATGATTTGTTCTCAAGGTGGTAATTTATTTTCATATTTAACTACTGGTGTAAATATAAAAGATCAATGCGTTTCATATATGTCATTTGACGAAATTGATTGTTTTATAAAACAAATTGCCAAAGGTTTAAAATATATGCATAATCATGGAGTTTCACATTGTGATTTAAAACTAGAAAATATTTTAATTACATATGAATTAACAAATGAAAACCGATATAAAGCTAAAACTGTGCTAAAACTATCTGATTTTGGTAAATCATTTGTATTTAAAACAAAATTTGACGATAAAGAACAATATATTCAATCGGGTCCAATTGGAACTGAACCATATATTGCACCTGAAGAATACTTGGGTGATCATTCTTCAGTGAAAAAGGACATTTGGGCATTAGGTATTATAGTCCTAGTACTTTATAACATTAGAAGACATTATTATTCTAAAAAAGATCAAACTTATACTGATCTAGAACATAGATTTACTCAAAAAATTACCGATTCACAAGGTTATGTAACTGGATACCTTTGGAAATCAACAGAATCAAAATCAAATGGATATAAAGATAAAGTATTTAATGAATATTCGCAAAAAAGAATGATTGCAAATTATGATACAAAGACCAAAGAATGGTTAATTAAAAGAAAGGGATCTTTTCCACCTATTGAAGAGATTTGTCAAGATGAAGATGATGAATTAAATGAATTAAGAATTATGATATTATATAAAGTATTAGATATTGATCCATTTAAAAGAATGAATTGTAAAGAATTTCTAGAAAGTGATTGGATGGAATCTATAGATGCATGTAGTTAATAAACGTTTTATCTCATTATTATTACATTCTATAAATAAGTTTTTGATCTAGTTTTTTATTGCATCCTCCTTACTACATCCTGTCAGGTTCAAAAATCCTCAAACATATTCCTATACGGATCATCAACTCCACTTATACCATAATCTAAATCTTTATCCTCTGGATATCTATCAAATTGTGAAGTATCTCCAACACCCGAAGTTATTGGAGGTTCATAAGGAGTTTCGATATCTCTTGATAATAATCTTTCCCATATTACTTCTTTAAACCATGGATGATTTTTAACATCGTTTGAGCCACCTTGTAAATTCCCCAATCTTTGAGTTAAATCTTTTACAATTAATTTTTGTAATAAATCTAAAATATCAGGCGGTAAATAATCAGGATATGTTATAAAACCATTTAAAATATTTTCATAAGTTTTCATTGGAGTTGGATCATAAAATGGAGTATAACCAGTTAACATTTCAAATATTAAAATTCCAAATGACCACCAATCAACTGATTTATTATAAGGTTTTGTTGCAACAACTTCCGGTGCTATATAATCTGGAGTACCACATAAAGTATAAGTAACATCAATAACTTCTTTTGCAAATCCAAAATCTGTTAATTTTATATGGCCATTTTTATCTAATAATATATTTTCAGGTTTTAAATCTCGATATATAATATCAAGATTATGTAAATATTCAATAGCTAAAAATACTTCAGCTGCATAAAATTTTGCAACTGGTGTAGGGAATCTTTGAGATTTTCGTAATAAACTAAATAATTCACCACCTTCTATATAATCCATAATCATAAATAAATTATGACAATCTTGAAAAGTACCCCACATCCTTATAATAAATGGATGTTGAGCTAATTTTAACATTCTTCTTTCATCATTTGTATGTTCTACTTGCTTCATATTTACAACTCGTTCTTTTTTTAAAACTTTCATTGCATAAAATCTACCATTATGTATTGATCTTGTAAGATGAACTCTTCCAAATGATCCTGTACCTAAAGTACGTAAAATCTGAAAATCATTTAGAGTATATTTACCTTTGGTGGTTGTATCTCTATTGGAATGTCTTGATATTTTCTTGGTTAATGTAGTTGATGAATCATTTCCGTGACTATTGTTATTGTTATTCAGTGGTTGATTTTCTAGAATGGGTGAACCTGGAGCATATATATTTTGTTGATGTTGCTTATTAGCTAGTGGTTCTAAATCTATATCATTTAATGATCTTACACTTGATTCTGCTTTATCCATAGACGACATATTAAAATAGGCTACTTGATAATTATTTGCAATGATTTAACGATTGATGTAAGCTTATTCTATTATTGTATATAGAATGCGTGGAAAAAACAAATAATCCGCTGGCCTCAAATGATATAATTTATAATCAAACGATAGTAATCTACTATTACAATATATTCTTAATAAGATAAACCGGTATTAAAACACAATGTTACTGAATAAATGTCGAAACTCAAAATTGATGGTTGACTATTTTAATTTGGTAATTTTATTTGATTTTTTATTTTTTTTTATTTTTTTTTTAATTTTTTTTTATTTTTTTTTATTTTTTTTTATTTTTTTTTTTTTTTTTTTTTTTTTGTTGAAAATTTTTACAAATTTAGCGTTTGAAGTTAAATTGATACAAAAGTAGAATTAAGAAACAACAATAGAAATATATTAGTTTTGTCTAAAATCTTATAATTAAACAAAAGAAATTGTATCAAACAAGTTGTATTTTGCTCCAAAACACGAAGACTCGGAGTTTAATCCATTGATTTAAGTCTAATTTTTATTGATTGAACTAGTTAGGAAAGTATGATGATTTAATAAGGTGTAGAACACTTTTCGTCACTCAATCTAATGAGATTGTTAAATATAACGTAATAATTACCCCCAAGAGCCTGTTGAAAACTTTTTTTAAAGCTTACAAGTCAATTTAGATATGAATGATTTTGGCTGCAAAATTATCAAAATCTTGATCTTTTCATCTACTATAGTAGTTCTGAGTATGGTATATATCCATAAATAATTAATAATGAACCTTGTAAAGCGTTTATTCATATTCTAAATAGTAGCTCTACGTCATTGAAGTGATATAAATTCAAATTATATGCATTGTTAATTATGATAGCTTAAGCACCAAGACAAAAAAAAATTTTAATTAAGCGGCAGGTGAGAACCCGTTGTACATTTTACTTGATATTTAGTATATTATTATTTCCATTGTCTAGTACAAAGTAGTACATTATTATTTCTATTGTCTCGTACAAAGTATTCTTTACACATTGAACTTTTGAATGTAAACGCTTCGAATATTGAAGATTTTTAAACCTGTTCGATGGATCAAGAATATCATCTTGCAACCATTTTGAAAATTTCTTTTACTTTTTTAGATCGACATGGAAGGAGTACAATATGCAGTGGGAATGTAAATCTGAAACATACCTACAAGTGAAATTGAATAGAAATACGATGTGCATATTCTATATAATAGTTATTGATTTGTAGATTCTATTTAGATCCTGGAGTTATCAATAGTTCAACATGCGGCAACGGTATGTTTAATTGCATTGATACTTATTCAAACGGAAGTAAATCTCCACCATTTGGTAGGGATCGAAGTAGTCCACTGGTATCAAATTACACAAGATCTTAAAACGAAATGCTAGTAGAGTTAAATTTTTGAATTTCTTTTACATCTAAACATTTCTTTTTTAGGCTTAAAACCAGTCACATGATCAGAGGTCAGCAAAGGTTATTGGAGGTCCATTGCAAATTGATTGTGATAGCTTAATTGTCGCTGTTCCAATATTTTAAGGTGTAGATATTTGCTTTCGCTTTGTCAAACTAGGTACTCGTTTAATTTTTAACAAGAAAAATTTTCGAAAATTTAACTGCTGAATATGAAATGTAACGTTACATTTTATTCTACAATTAAATAATTGATTATAAAGTAACATCACACGATTAAAATAAGAAAAACTAATGAAACTAAACATTGATACTAGCCACTTAGCCTAGAATTAAGTAGAAGAATTTTAAACTCTTGAAAAATCAAGCTTTTCATCTATATTTTCGATGACAATTGCTTGAATTTGTATTATTAATTGAATTGAAAGATACACACATCTGCACTAAATCCTCGTCAATAACCGAACGTTTGGATTCTTCTTTACTCTTCAACCGCATTTAAAGCAAGTAATATGCACCTATAAACCAAGATTTGAAAATCTCGAAGAATAGGATAGTTCGAAGTTAGTTTCACTACACAAAGTCTTTAACCTAAATCTCGCTAAATAAAAAACGTTTGAACGGTATAAATTTAACTTTGTGCTCCATGAAGGTGCACAAATCTTGTACAAACTCGATATTATAACCGTGGGATAAGCATATCCTTGGATGAATTAATTTTATATTCAATTGTATATACTAACTACTACATAACCCAATATTCAGTAGGTACATCATCTGAATCATTAGTATCATTACCATCATTATCATTATCATTAGATTCTTCTTCACCTTCTATTTCTTCATCATCATCTTCATCGTCATCATCGTCATCAACATCCATATCTTCATCTATACCCTCTTCATCATCCATATCAGGATCCTCTTGATCATCTCGATCATCATAACTTTCATCATTATCTTCTGAATCAATAGCATCTCTTCTATTTGAACGTTGATATCTGAGCTCATCATCATCATCACTATTCCTAGGAGTTGGTGAATCATCAACAGTTTGAGAAGATGATTCTTTATCTTTTTCTTTAGCAGTTTCTTTTTTTTCTTTCCTGTTTGGTTCTTTCATTCCATTTATTATCTGTTTCATCGCAACTTGTAATTTTTCATATAATGCATGATTATTTTGAATTTCAAATTTATTAAATTTAACAACCACATAATCTGACTTATATTTATTTATCAATTTTTTAATAATCTTGGTAAATCCAAACAGATCAAGAATTTTAATCCTATCAAATACATTTAGTTCTTGTTTATTTAAATCTAAATCATAATTGAAATTAATATCATCATCAAAGCCTTCAAACAAATTGATGTTATCGTTTAGTTGTTTTGAATTCACAGTTTGATAAACTTCATAATGTGAATAATCATGAGCATCTGATTCAGTTTGATAATTTACATTCCATGTAAGATTTATAATTATCCAAACAATTGAAATTTTAATCTGATTTAGGTGGTTTGATTGTATTTTATCAACTTTTAATTCAAAACTTAATAATCTTTTCCAAATAGTCAATAATTCATCAGTTGGAAATATCAGTTTTTTAATTGTGTCAATTTGTGTAAATTTATGATCTTCAATATAATTAATTGACGTTACTAACTTAACATAATCTGTATTGTAAAGTAATTGACTCAATGTTTCATCTTTGAAAAAATCTGAATCTGAATCTGGATCCGATAAAAATAGTTTAACGTTCATTATATTTTCAACAAGGAATGATGACCAATTATTAGGTAATTCATTTTGAAAAATTGAATAAAATGGATCTTCATATTCTTTTATAATTAATTGATTATGATTTGGTGAACCAGCTGTGAAATTTTTCAAAATTTCGAATGATACAATTTTCTGTTGAATTAATAATTGACTAATTTCAGAACTATTATTTAAATCAATTTTAATTAAGCCAATACTTGCTTTTCTTAAAATATATAACATTGAAAAATTACATTCAATTATATCTAATTTATAATCAGTAGCTTCATTATATAATAAATTTTTAATAAATTGTAAAATTTTTAATTGAATTGTATTTTTTTGAAACTTGTCTTCTTCTGATAATTCAATATCATCAGTAGTATTCATTTCATAAATATTTGATAAATTGTTCAAAAAATTTTCATATCCCAAAATCTTATACCTAAATGAACTAAAATCGAGTATAAAATTGGCCAATAATCCAATTACAATAGTTTGATTTGTCTTTTGTATTTTCAAAGTTTTAATTAGGTGTTGCTCTTGTTGAATAAAAAATTTGAGGTAGTTATCTAAATTTTCGAAATTTGCAACAATTTCAAGAAAATCAATAATGAATCCACCTGTTGATGCTGATGTTGTATTATTAGTTGATATTGATTGATTTTCATTCCTTGTAATAAAACTAGAATATGCAACTTCTGAAACTTGTGATTGATTTGATGGATTTTCAGATTCTTGATAATTTTTAAAATTAATTAATGAATTACATTCAACAAAAAATGTTCTTAAAGTACCTACTGATCTTGAAATTGATCTAATGAAATAAAAACAATTGGTGAATAATTTTGAATTTAAAATTGAGATTAATATAGACACATTTGAATTGAGCCAATTAAAATCTTCCTTTTTTACTTTGTTTAGATTTAATAATTTAAAACTTATTTTCAATTGTTCAAGTAAAAAATAATAAGTATCAATAATTTCAAATATTAATTGTGATAAATTCGTTTCAAAATCGTTTTTTATAATTCTATTCCTATATTGTTCCAAAGTATTCGTAAATACAGATAATAAAAGTAATAAATTTGATATCCCATTTAACTCATCAAAATGGCCCAAATCCAAAAAATTAATCAATAATTTACCTCGATTACTTTCTCTTTTTAAATGTTTCAAGTCCTTGAGTAGTTTATTACTTTTATATTTTGAATTTAAAATCTTTATTAATCTTGCATCTATATTACATTTATAAATTTCTTCATTTAATAATTGATGATTGCCACATATATCAGTTAAAATACTTGTTGAATCTAATATATAAGGTAAATCATTTGAATAACCAAGTAAATCAATTATTCGAGGAAATATATGTTTAAATTTCTCAAATTTGAAAGCTTCGTCAAATTGAGATCCATTGTTAAGAAAGTATAGTATGATATTTAATGCTGATAGGTTTAAAATTTTTGAATCGAATTTCAAAAATAAAAATAAAGCAATGAAATAGGTGTTTGGTATTTTGATAGTTTTGGATAATGTAATAGCTTTAATATCTGATTTAAACCTCAAATTTAGTTTATAATTTTCCTCATTTAAAAAGTTGAAGATTTGAGCCACTCCAATAAATAAAATTTTAGGTACATTTGTATCATACGCTGATTCAATTATTGATTCGATCAACATAATGTTTGGAATAGTATCTAGATCAGTTATTTCTAGCTCATGTAACTTTAAAATGTTCTCAATGACTCTTGATGTTCTATTTAGTAACACGACCAACAAATTTAAAAGTGATTCCTCATGAAGTGATGATTGTAATAGTATTGGTATCAATTTCATCAGTTTGGTCAATATCAACGTTGATTGAAATATAGAATTCGATTCAGTTTTCATAATTATCAAAGTTATAAACTTGAATAGCTCGAAGTAATTTAAATATGCAAATTGTTTGATATTCAATAAATTTAATAAAATTTCAATATTGTATAGAACCAAATTTTCAAAAAATGTTACATCTTCAATAATTGCATCTTGATTATATTCATCACCATATCGTGTTCTTAATCCAGGTAGTGCTACAATAAAATGATTCAATAATTGTATTATTGGATTCAATATTTTTTCAATAATTACAAGACACTTGTTCAAATCTTTAAATTGTTTTAGATCCACTAAAAATGAACATAATACATTTAATACAACCAATCTTTCTTCTAATTCTTTATATATTTCCAAACCAGCAGTATGCAGTTGGCAAATCGACTGTATAGTTTGATCAAATTCAAATACTAATTTTTCTAAAAAATTAAAATCATTGATTAATTTATATTTCAAATCATTATTTCCTATTATAGATATCCTCAACTCTTCAAATATATTAGATAGTCCTAAATGATCTTGTTGATGAGAAAATGCCATACTAATATAATTCGGTGATAATATGAATTTTTCTATTGCGATTAAGAAATTGATAAAACGAGATATTTGGCGCTACCAGTTGTATATTAAATTTTACTACGCCAATAAGTTTGTGATTCTGCAGCTGGTTTACCATTCTTTATATCTTGACTTACTTTGATATCTGCTTCTACTCTTTTTGGTATATACTCTAATATCTTTTCTAAATTTTCATCATCTTCTAATTTAACAATACCATTTTTATCACCAATTATATAATCACCAGGATTAATAATTAATATGTCTTCTTCTTTATCTATACTTGCAACTTTAACTTCTAATGGAACATTAATACCAACAACTTTTAAATATGGACCTGGAGCAGCTGTTCCAACAGAATAAGACCAAACAGGATATTTTAAATCTCTATGTTCATCTAAATCTCTAATTCTACCTAATATAACTGATCCATTAGCTTTACTATATTGTGCTCTAGTCGACATTAAACCGCCATATAATGCATTATTAACTTTTGTAAATGGTGAATAAATAGTTTGTAAACCTAATGGTAATCCAATAACTACAAATGAGTTTTCTGGTACTTGATCTATATATGCTTGTTTAATAGCTGGCCTTGGATCTGATTTAGGTGCATATAATACAGTATATGCTTTCCCAACAATTGTTTTATCAGTTGGTGATTGATTAATCAAATTTGGTATAAAACCACCATTTTTAATACCATGTTTTTGTAATGAATCAGAAACATCACAAGGTGTAAACTTTGATAAAAATTGAATATTATCTCTCATTGTAAAATATTGACGGTATAGATTTTTGAAAATGAACCCCATACAATTCTCTCATTCGTTTAGAAAAAAGGTACTAGAAAATTAATATATGGAGTGATAGAGCTACCAAGTGTATATTAATCATCAAGACTAATTCTCAGTTTTAATTTCTTAAATGATTCATTTGTACTTTCATCTGGTTGTTGATCATTTTGTAAATGTGGTTGTTGCTTTTTTAATTGTTCTTGTTCATGTTGATCCAATGTACGACCTAATTTATTATGACCTAAATCACCAGGTTTAACAGCATCTTGTATTGGTACTTCATGAGTAGGTACTTCAAATCTATCACCCAATTCTTTTAAAAAATTTGAATCTAGGTTGTAGTCTTTCAAAATTGTTTCATTACTTACTTTTGGATCATTTAAATCCTTTAATATAGAAGTTAAAGTTTGAGGATGAACCATTGTCTTCTTTTCATTTGGATTATGCAGTTTAATTTCTTCTTCACCTTTTTTATACAATATTTGTCTATGTTTTAATTGATTTATAGCTATTGAATTTTTTTCATCTCTAATTGGATTTATATCAATAGTTTTAATTTGTGAACCTAATTTATTAATTGAATTTATGAAACTTTGGTCATAAGTTGAAGTTCCTTGTTCATGCGGATCTAAACCGTCTCTACCTTCAGCTATCTTTTGATTTTTATTTAATTTCTTCAGTAGATAACCAGCATCAAAGTTAGAAGATGATCTAAATGATTGCGAATTTGATTGATTTAAGCTTTCATCAGCTACTTGTTTTTCGGGTTCTTCTTTTAGTATTTCATTTCTTGGTAATTGATTTATATTTGAAGTTCTTTTCAAATTATTTTCAGTTATTGATTTAGCTAGTTTCCTACCACTCTGTTTAGAAGTTGATGATCCCATGGTGTTGTTTAATAAATTTTTTATTAGGCATGCGCTACCATATAGTATAATAATATTTTATTAACAGTTGCAAAATAATCTATATAAACTCTATTTATCCAGTTTCTTATGTTTTTTATCCTTTTTGTCCTTTTTATCTTTCTTGTCTTTCTTATCCTTTTTATCTTTCTTTGATTTCTTTTCACTTACATCTTTTGATTCAGAATTTGATATTTTACTTTTTTTCAATACTTTCCCATTTTCAACATCAACTTCACCTTCTTCTTCATCATCATCTTCTGCTTCTCTTTTATAATCATTTGCTCCATATCCAGTTGGAAAATGTCTCATTCTTAAGTTTTTAATTTTTTCAATATCACTTCTAGGTATTACAACTTTATTTAAATCTATATCTGGAATTTCAACACACTCAGAAATTGAATAAAATTTTGAAATTTTTGAATTTACAGGTTTGAAGTTGTCATTATTTGGTAAAAAAATTGAATGTTTAGATGATCCATTACTTGAATCTTCATCTATTCTATAATTTATATCATTAAATTTAAAACTAGTATCTTTATCATGAATTGGTAATGATTTTAATTTCTTAATTTTAAAATTTTTAGGAGCTTTAATTAAAAATATCTGTTTATTTTTAAAATTTGATGATTTAATTTTATCATTTGGTTTGAAAATATTGAAATTTTTAGGTGGTTGAAATGAAGGTGTTGAATTATTTGATTCTGAATCTGACTCTATATCTGAATCACGTATAAATTCTTCGGATTTATGTTTAGCAGCCATGACTTTAAGGAAATTGGATAGTTGGTTAACGTAATAAGTTTGTTAAATTGGTTAGCTATAATTAATTTTGAGAAGAGTATTGAAAAAAATATTATATGCACATCCGAATATCAAAGTTATATGGTCGACAAAATTATTTGATATTTTCAATCATATATAAAGGAGCATAGACAGAAAAGTTAACTAATACTACGTAGGTGTTATGCTGATGTGATTGGTATAATTAATATCTGTGCCGTTACGTTTGTTTGATATTCTTGTAGTCAAATGATATCAAAATTTCATTTTACAACCATTAAGATTAACTTGTAATGCTTCTGCTTTGGTTGATTATTTTAATCAAACGACTTCTTAATTTTATGTAATAGATTTATAAATACTACATCTGAAGCAGAAGAGAAGTTTGTTTGAATGGTTTTTCAGAAATTCGAAAATTTTTACTATCATTGTAAATAATCATGAATCAATAGAATCTCAAGTACAGGTATCAATGATATAGAAGTACAAACATCAAAAAGCTTTTTTATTTGTTAATTGAGCGGTTAGTAGACTTTATCTCGGATTTTCATCAGATACACATTTGGTTGCATAATATTCAATTTGCTCCCATTATACAGCAAAATTAATTATTTATAATGAAACGTAGTGAATCAATGTTTAAAGCTAAAAAAATTAACAGCTATTGTAATTTAGTGTTCTGATAGAAGGTTCATTAATATCGTCGTGACCAAGTAACATGTTTAAAAATCAATGCTTGAATAATGAACTTGATCAGTTACCAGAGCCTTTTCAATTACTTGAGCTTTATCAGAATGAGTAAAAGTAGAATACAATTTAATACTATAGTCTGAAAGATGTCTCAATTATTTTATTGCACAAGTAAATAATGTGACGCTTTGTATTCATTCTTTAAACTTTGAAGTTAAGTTGCTCGATTTTGTATCCGACGTTTCACTGCTAAAAAAATTTTAAAATGATCTTTCAAAGGTAAAGATGTATTTTTAAGAGGGTTCAGGTTGTTTTATTTGTATCTGCTACGAGTCAATTTGTGTCAATAGATTTTGTAAATCTTCAATTTTGAAAATGGAATAACTTTACAAATACTGCACCTCTTGAAATGAAAACTACTGCATTACAGTCAGGAAACAAGGAGGATCAAATTGCGATTACTTTTTTAATGATTGGACCATTGCTTTATCAGCTATGCTAAGAATATCAAAATATTCCATTATGCAAATTAACTTCACCATTAACAGTTTTCACGATACTACTTTCTCATAGAATAAACTAGAGTATTTAGTAATTACAACTCAAGTAGTGTTGAGACAGTAAATTTGGTCATGTTTGAGTAATTTACAATTCAAATATAAGTTGCAAAAAGAAAAGTTGTCTCTTTGTGGAGCCGTTTTTGTGTAACAAAAATTGGTTTCGATTTTGGTCTTTAGTGAAAAGATGGTAGCGCTACATGAAACAGCAAATATCTCTAGAGCTAAGAGGTTTACTGCAAAAAGAAATTTACGAGGTTCTGCAAAACGTTGATATATATATATGAATGTTTGTTTTAATTTGACAGCCTTTATCTTGCGTTTGTAAAGCTCAATTCATTAAAAATATACACATGGTAGCGCTTCTGTCAAATCATAATATCGTGCCACCTTATGCTGTTAACAACAGCTCTTGAAGTAAATAAACATTATTTCTACTGCCTCACAGCTTTATATGCTCCATGATGTAAGCTGACCTTTCGAAATCTTGCAATACTTTACTTGGTCATATAGTAGCGCGATAATTTGGTTGGGTGCATCTATTTTAAGAGGTAATCTTGATAATGAGCTCCAAATCTAATTCAATCTAGCTAAAAACCTCAGCATATGCTCTTTGGGTGTCTATCAAAATATCTATTTCATAGGTCTGGAATTTCAATTGTTTTAAGGGAGAATCTAAACTTTTAATTTACAAAATCCTGTTAACTATGGGAACGTGATTTTCAAAAAAATAAAAATAAAAACTCACCGCCATTCTGGATAAATCAGTGATGTTTACGAAGATTCTGCTCAACAGAAAAATGCTTAGCAAATAAGACTAATGCCAGTATATTACGCTTTGTTTTGCACTTCTCTTCAGTAGTTTTTAATCGGCTTGATAATGTTGAACAATCAGAATATCTTTGAAACAATAATAAGCCACTGATCTACAAAATGTATTTGCGCTAATTAGCGCAACAGTAAATTTGGTTATTCTTCAGCTATACTTGAATGTTAAGACCGGACTGCTATCAGAATTGTGCGTATAGTTCCAAAATAGGCATATCACTATTTTGAAGTTTTACTGTTGCGTATTTGTGTGAAGAAATATATAATCTTCACGAAAAACTTATACAATTGCATTCAAGTTGTACTAAAGTCATAAGCTTCGATTAAATTTAATCCAATTGCACAAATGCATGATAGTTGAAATGCATAAAATGATAAGCCGCTTATAAATTAGATCTGTTTAAAATTTTACTTTGAAATATCTTATTCTTTGTGGTCGATTCGTAAAAAAAAAAAGCTTGTATCTCATATATAATCTTATTGTGTGACGATTAAAGTTAAGCGTGTTTACCCATTTCGCATATATCACGTTTCAAACGAATTCTAGAATATCGAAAACTGTTGTTTTAACTCGACAACTCCGAGCTCAATCAAATTGAATCAAAAATTGAAAACGTTAGTTAGTACTGATAAAAGTCAGACCATGATGTTTATTTGGTATAGTGAAATCGAGATCTTGAAAGATCTTGAAAACGGATTAAGTTTTGTTAAAGCCGTACACACATTTTAATTTTTTTTTTTTTTTTTTTCTTTAATTCAATATTTTGTGATTAATTACTACTGTTTATAATTCAACAATGAAATTTAATTGTCAACACATCCCCCTCTCATATAAATAGATTCAAAAATCAGCATTCCAATCATAATTTAATCTTTCAAATTTCTCAATTATTTCAGATCAATTTTTAAATTATGGGATTTCAGTTTGAAGATTCAGGTATTGCAGCATCAATTTATTTAGCATTATATACAATTTATTTAATTGCAACTATCAAAATTGTTTATGATAAAGGTTGGAGATCAATTTATACATCATTATTAATCTTTGGTATCTTTAGAGTATGTGGTCAATTATGTGGTGTAGCATTTGCCAAATTAGGATATAAACATTATCAATGGCTTATAGCTTATTTAGTTTTCAGTGCTGAAGGTTATTTTACATTAATCTTAACCTCTTTTCATTTAATAGCTCATGCTCAAATACAAACTAGTGGAAGTTCATGGATTAGACCCACAAAGAAGCAAAAAAAACAAATGATTAGAGATGCAAAAACGTGGAGAGAACAACTACAAGCCAAAATTCCTATTACTACTATTTTCCATTGGTTATTAATTCCTGCTAATGCTTTTATTATTGCTGGTGGTTCAATGTTAACTGGTCAAACACCTGGGAATATGGATCAAAATGTGGTTCATACTTCAAAAGCTTTAAGAACAACCGGTCAAATTATATTCTTATTACAAACTTGTATTGCAATTGGATTAGCTGTATTTGTTTATGCTTTTCAAAATTTAAGACATTCAAATATTTATAGTATTTTTTTAACTAGTCCTTTCATACTTGTTAGAGGTATATTTGGTATTTTGTCAATTTATTTAACAAAGATGAATTATTATGATATGTCAAATTACACTGAAAATGGTTTGAATCCTCATTTTGTCATTTATGAATATGTGTTAGCTACTACAATGGAATTTATTACTGGTGTTATTTACATTTCAAACTATTACTTTGATAAGAAATACAGCAGAAGATGTACTGATGATCAATTGTCAATTATAAGTGACGAAAAGGAGGATGAAAATGATACAGTATCGCCTATTGAAAAAATGGAAACTCATTCAAAAGCATGACATAATTTAGATTTGTTTACTTGCACTAATCTACGTCATGTACCTTTAATCAAACTCTTAACATATTATTAGTGTATTTAGTTGAGTATTTCAAGCAGTACAATAGTTTATCATTATGTATATTACAAATTTTTGCAAACAACAGCGTTTTTCGATTTTTTCAATTAGTTACATCTACATCTTATCTTGATTTATTAGCTCTACAACTAAGAGCTAGTCACCATATCAATACTGACTAGTTTTATCGAACGTATGCCTCTGCAGTACTATTTATTTTGGTCCCAATTATTATTTTGCAACCAATTTGCAGCCAAAAAAAAAAAAATTATCGGCTATTACATAAGGTCAATATTATTAGCCAATACGTACGACAACTAATAATTAAGCTTTAAGATTTGTTCATTGTGATGTAACTGATCATGCAATCGATCAATATTGCATAAGACTAAGCCACAAAGTAGAATCACGAGAAAATGAAATTTTTTAAACAAACTAGTAATTAAATATGTATTAAAATTTTGTGAAATTAAACTATATAGTCAAATTTCGGATATCACGAAAAACTAAAATAAATCAACGTAAGGAAATTAAAATATTAAATAACTTGTAAAAAAATTGGTATTAGAATTAAAAATTAAAACTTCTTTATAATCAACTTTTTAATGTGTAATCTCTAGCCTTTAGCTTGAGCTTTTAAATTTAGTTGAAAATTTTTGAGTATAATCTTTTGAATAAACCTTCTTCTTGTTCAATTGCATCTCTTTTCAAGTTTGAGAAGATATCAGCACTGTTGGTTTGTTCATTGAAAGTAATTGGTAAACTAACTTGAACTAATAATTTAACATCATAACCAGTACCGAATTCACATCTAGTGTTGTTTCTTGGATCAAAGAATAAGTCATACTCAATTGAGCTTGAGTTGGTAGTTGCATTTAATGGAGTTTCTGGACAAGCTCTGAATTGAGTTGAGTTGTTGAAAGTTAAGAAGGTATTATTAATACCAAAATGTTCTGAAGCTGAACCATTTCTAGTAGTTGAAACTAATTGATTTTGGCTGTTAACTAAAACATCAATAGTTGTATTGGTAGCATTAGTTGAGTTTAAGCTTGGTAAGTTTAAGACGTAACCATTTGAAGCTTCAATTTGACCGAATAATGCTTTATCTTTTGTGTTTAATTTAATTGAAGTACCATTGAATTTAACTAAATTAGCTTGAAATTCTTCACCTTTATGAATTGCAATTAATGAAAAGACCGGTGATGATGGACTTATAATAAATCTTTTAGTAATTGGATAAGCTGAAACAAATTGAACTAAACATAAAAATAATGTGAATAATAAAGTTTGAAAATTCATTGTCAATGTTTTATATGATTAATTAGTTACTATTTATAAAGAAGAATTAAATTAATGAAAATTTGAATTTTATTTTGGAAATTTCATGATATTTAAATGATTGCAAAATAGAATAAATAGAAATATAGAAAAATATAAAATAGAATATTGAGTTAAATAATATTACAAATTATGCATAGGGGTAGGAAATAAAAATCTAAAACTTCCATATAGAAATGAAAGTTACAAAGCAATCATGGCAATTATGGCAATTATGGTTAAAGTTTAATTCATTAAGTAATACATTATCGTCATTATTATAAGTGGTCTAAAAATTATATAAGAAATATATCCGAATTGTTTCAAGAAAATTATGATGATGATTTGAAATGTGTCATAACGCAACTAACAAACTTTTTAAACTTAAATTGAGAGATAAATGTTATAGAAAAGCCTACTCCATAAGTATTTGATTAAACCAAAGTTTAGTTTCGATAATCATCATCTCTTTCTCTATTCTTTATTTTGCATCTTTTGCTCTTTAAAATCTTATTTTGGTTGCATATTTTTATTTTTTTTTTTTTTTTTTTAATTCCGAGACGCCCTTTATATAATATGAAATTTCCTAATTAGGATGACTAATTACCTAAAACAATTAATGTATAAATATATGAATCAGCGCAAGCAATAAGTTTACTACACATTATACATTGGACTCCGATTTTATCATAACCTAGATCTATACATTTATATATTATTGGAATGTATTTGTGTCAAATATTTCAATTTTAATTGGAATTGTGATCTGATCTCAAACATATTTCAACTGTCTATATATACATAGTTGCTTACTTTTATTACCGAAGAGAAAATTCACTCGATATATTTTCGATTAATCTTTGCATTTCCAAATCAAGTTAACAACTAATGTCTAAATACGCATGTTTTCTCGTTTAAATTGTTGATCTGTCTTATATGAATTGCTACACACACGTTTAATTTCCAAAGTAGGTCCCAAAATTAAGATTTCTCATATATATATTTGCCCTGAAATTCTTCTATTGCTGCAACCGAACTTTCTTAATTTTTGTTGGAATACGTATATTTGAGCTAATATAATTCGCCGAACCAACCAACGGCAAATATACCATTTGATTCTCAGTATACTCTAGTGATTATTAATATTTCTCAGTTCTAAATATTTTACACGGATCGGTTTAGTTTTTAAAGTGGCTAATATGAGCTCATGCAATTCATTAATTTTCAAAATCTGAAAATGAAACATTGCTAGCCACACGTTGATGTATATTTACTTTGCTTTGATATTTGGATCATCATCTATAGCTTGCTTAGACTTGTAGACTCGCTGACTATAGATAGTTTTGTTTGGAATCTAGATTTTTTCAACTAAGATAGTAAGAACGTAATCCTTGGAATCAAGAGGTTTCCATATGTTACGATTTATGCTGATTCAAAGACTAGAGGCTCTTTCGATAGCGGGTTGATTTATTCTGCGATAACTACAGAGAATTGTAGCAAGTGCAGAGCTAATATAGATAGGGTCCAATCAATTGTAAAAGAAAAATGAACCTACAGTAGGATAACAAAAACAGATTTTTATCTGATTGATTGTTATCGGTTTCGGTCTTGTGGGTCTAAAATTCTCGAATCTAAAATCTCCATGCATGTAGATCTAATCAGAGACAATTATCATAAACAAATCATTGATACTCAATTAATAATCAATACAAATTTCCAAAAAATAGTATGTCTTAGTCTAAATATCAAATGATAGCTCATAATCCAATACCTTAATCCAATCTCACTCTGGTCGTTTGACCTCATACTGTTAAATTAAGGGTGAAAAATCTGTTAAATCTCGTATTTTATATCATTGTCTTACTTTTCGGATTCAAAACTCAATTTCAATTTCACATATTAACAAATTAGGAAATTGAGAAAAAAAAAAAAAACCTGATTCAAATACTATAACAAATACCGACGGAAATTGATAATCATATATATTATTTCAATTAAATGTTTGTATTTCCAGCATTTGACTCAAATTATCAATCAAGGAAAAGAACTTTTAAATGTTGTGAAAATTGTAGGAATAAGAAAACCAAATGTGATATAACTTCAGTTAATTATGAAACGAAGGGTTGTCAAAATTGTATAAAACATGATTTAACATGTTCATTAATTAAACAAAAGCCGAATAAACAGAGTAAGAATACCAAAAATACTCAAAAGCAACAACAGGTCAATTATGGCTTACTTCCAACTTTTGACACTCCAATCGATATGACTACAATAACAAACCAATATTTACATGATACATTTGGCTTTAACATTTCGTCCCATAATGATTTAACATTTCATTTCGTAGCTCATGATGATCCTAAAGTCATTGTTTCAGATCAAGATATTAAAAATTACCAGGGTCAGGGTATATTATTACAAAATAATAAAGAAAAGGATATAAATTCTATTAAAAATTCTAAAGTCTACCACCTCAAGAATGAAAACCATTATAAATTTTTATTATCAATTGATGCATTTACTTTATCAAGTAGTGAATTTCAATTTCTGAAAAATGATGAATTGGAATTAATCAAATTATACTTTATAAAAATTAATTCAATACTACCTATAATTCATGAAAAATTATTCTGGGATGACTATTTTAAACAAGAAGCTATTTCAATGTATATATATGCCATCGTTTTAGTTATCAGTAGAGATAAATTATCAAAACCATTATTGGAAAAAGTGTTCAAAACAAGTAATGATCATCAATATTTTAAAAAATTAAGTATTCTAATGGAATCATTAGAATTCAAAATACGACAAATTTTATTAATATCGGGTCAATTAGGTGATGAAGATAAATTAATGAGAATTGGGTTACATTTATTATTAGGTTTACATTTTAATTTCGATAAATGGGGTAATGAACAAAGTGTACATGATTTAAATAATGCAGTTGATTTAAGTACCGGTATTGGAATACATTTGAAAAGATGTCCACAAATTAATGTTGAATTATATAATTATACATCAAATCTATGGTGGTGTTGCTATATACTTGATAAGTTTTCAGGTTTAGTAAATTGTCGACCTTTTTTTATAAAATCTGAAGATTTTAATGTTGATTTACCTTATGACGATTTGAATTTGCTCAAAATGGTTCAATTGGCAAGAAATATCGAAAATGTGATTATATTATTATTTCGTCCATACTCTCAAAATTCAATTGAATCTCAAAGTATACGGTTTGACATTGATAAATTTCAAAATATAGAGTTTGAATTATGTGAAAAGGAAAGAAGTAGTAATCAAAATCAACAAACACAAGTTTATTCAATGAATGAAATTGGTTCAAATCAATATGTTTTTGAAAATATACATTTTTTATCAAGAATAGTGAATAATGTACTTATTATGAAATCACAAAAGAAAAAATTTGAGAATTCAAATATTCCCAAATACATACCTGAAAGTATTGCAGTTAGAGCTGGTTCGAATATTTTATTTTATATGAATCAAATTCCTGATAATTTTATGTTGAATATTCCTTTAATTCCATTATGTATGTCATTGTCAATGGCAATTGCATTGAAACAAACCGCAAGATTATTGGTTGATAACAAGGTCCATACATTTTCAGAATCTGAAATATATAGAGATGAATTAAAATTTGAAGATTATATTTTGAAATTGGAACAATTTGCTCCTTATTGGTGGATTGTAGATGAGATTTGTAAAGTTACAAGAGTATTTTTGAAAAATTTGGAAAAGAAAAATAACAGAAAGAAGAGAAAATTAATGAATCAAAATCAAAATCAAAATCAAAGTATGGTAGATAAAAGAAGAAAGGATAATGATAGTCAACAGTATCGAAATATAACGAACCAAAATAATACTGTAATTTTGGAGAATCCACAACCTCAACAAAATGCAATGCATGTTCAATATTTAAATCTAGATAAGACACGAAATTCAAATTTGGATAGTTTGGAGAGTTATGAACAAGTTCAACAACAACAACAACGACCTATAATTTTTTCTTCAAGTGTTGAATCTTTTAGTGATAATCAACAACAATTCGATCAATATTTTGAATCTATGCAAATGGATATGTTTAATGATGAATTTTTCTTAGATTTAAAGAATGTAATGGATAGATGAATATAATGTATAATGTAATTATGATCTTATGCTGGAAATCACCTCGCATACTGGTACCAGCTTTCGCCTAAAGGGCTAACCAAATAGGATCAGATCTACTAGAAGTTGGTCTAAGTATTGATTATCTCCCAAATAAGCGTTTTTTGTTATTTTCCAAAAGTCTGATTTAATGTTCAGATTTAGGTGTCTATAAAAATTGTTTATATCAGATAAATCTTTATTGAATACCAATAACAATGAACAAAGTTTGAAAGCGATAGCCTAAATATTTAGGGAGTTGTTACAAATTAAGTTCCAAAAATACCTATGACGAGACTGCATATAGGTCAAATTTTTTAACTTTAGCCGGGCTTTAGACCAACGTGAAGCGAGTGCGGTCAAAAAATCTATAATGCAGGGCGAACGTTATTACCACTATCCGCCCTAAGATATGTCCATAGAACCAAATGAAAATTTCATATTTCCAAAAACTTTAAAATCAACTCTAGTGTCTCTATATTGTTATGAGTGAGGTTTTAGGGGTTGAATATTGTGAAATTAATGTCTTGAAAATTGATTAAAGGGATCTGAGGGTAATTGTTAATTTAAAAGATGCAAATTCTCAAGCAAAACTTTTGTTAAAGAAAGTGCTTCGGGAGCCCTCATTCAGACCAATGTTCTGAATCCAAATTGACCGAGATGCTCAATGAACCTAAAATCAGCACCAGAACTAAGAAATTGAAAGGGTGATTTGGGAAATTAGGTTTTAACGAGAATTGAAAATGACTTAAAAATTCAGAATATTTTCAGACAAACTTACTGCTTGAAACTGGCCATGCTCTTATGAAGCGTATAATATGCTTGTTTTGTTCAAATATTGATTTTATTTTTTTTACTATGGCACTGCGTAGAAAAATATTTTGTTAGGTGTTTCAGATCTCAGATCTCAATTTCCTAATTAGGTAATGTTTAATTCAAAGTGTGTATAAATTTCACTCCAGAATTCTTGATGGGCTATAATCATCATGGGACGGTCTCTCTGACTTCACTCAAATTTATAATAAGAATTATAGGTATTGCGCTTTGAAATTTCGATAAAGATTTTGCAGTTATATTATCATTCTAAAGTGTTCTTCAAATCAAATCCAACAATATTCGACGATTAAGTAGCAAAGTAATGGGCATTGTAACTGTAAAATAATATATTAATGTCTATAAATAATTTGAATCTCTAGTACTCTTTTAATTTTCTTCATAATCAATTTCATCTTCCCAATTTTCATCATCTTCATCATCCTTCTCTCTCTTTGGCATTAATTCACTCATGATTGGACCACCGAAAACATTCAACAAATCATTCAAAGTATCAATAACTTCAGGATCAAAATCTTCACTCAACCCTGAATTTATGATCTTATAAGCATGAGTTAACGATGTTTTAATCTCATCTATCAAATTTCCAACTTCTGCATTTTCTTTATGCTTCAATATTTCTTCATTTAAAATCTCTTTAAAATCTCCTTCATTATTTCCATTTATTATTCTTTTTGCTTTTAATAAATTAGATAATATTTCAACATAATAACAATCTAAAATTTGATCATTTATGTCATAAATTTGTGATATAATAGATATTGACAAATCATATAATTCCAACTCGATTGCAAATTTAGAAAGGGTCAATAATGGTTGGATCAATTCAATATATTCCATTGATTTTTCATATGAATCATCACCTTTATTATCTTCGTTTTTTTCTTCCAATTTTTGTTTTTTTGCTTGAAATAATTCCCATGATTTATTTAATGCTTCACTTGCTTCATTTTTCAACTGTTGTGATATTTTTATACTTGATAATAATGAATAAGTTTCCGGATTTGTATTATCTAAATTTAATGAAATTTGAATCAATTCATTACATTTTGATTCTGCATTGTCTTCCATACATAAATCAGTCATCCAAATTTCAATCTCTGCAAAAATACCTTGATTTAATTTATTAATTATCCATTGTTCATACTCTTCACCATTTGAGAATTGATCCTGATCCTCTATCATTCCATTTTGTTTATATTTATCTAATTTTTCATTTAATTTATTTAAGGCTATATTTATATAATTTAAACCATCATTACCACCTATTATTTGACCAAGATATAAAAATTTTTCAACTCCATAATCTGCATTCTGATCCAATTCACAAGCTTTATATAATACTTGATATGCTTGTTCTAATTGATTTACTTCTAATAAAGTTTCACCGAATATGGATAAAAAGGCAACATCAGATTGATTTTTAATATCATTTATTTCATTTGATAATAAATCTAATGCTTTTTCAGGTTGAGATGTCTCTAAGAATGCTCTAGCTTGTATCAAAATTGACATATTGAATATTTGATGAGATGTGCGATTTAAAAAAATATACGAAGGAAAATAAGCCTATACCACGCCATAATCAATAAATGGATTCAATAATATATAAAGAATTAACCAACGAGTATGAAATATTATATTTGATATATTATAGATCTAAAAATCAACACCGTTCACAAAAGTGGTTCAAATTTTTAAATATAATAATACGAAAATTGAGAAAGATGCTTAAATTACAAATTGATATAAATAGATTACAAGAAACAATGACGAAAAGAGTAGAATATAAATCAAAGCAAATTGTTAGCTTAGCTAATCATTTAGAATCTCAAATTTTCACAGATGCTTATTGGTCATTTAATTCTATACTTGCATTGGGCCAATTCATAACTTTGGGATTTGCTTTAATTGGTGCATTAGCTAAAATTAATGAATTATTGATTAAAATACCCGGTGTGAAACAAAAGAAACAATGGTTGAATATTCCAGGACCTCAAATGCTTCAATCAAGAGAGATGCATAGAGATTGCAGACGTGATATATGTCTAGCTGATGATTTGGGTGAAGAAGTGCTGGATGATTATGATTCAAAAGAAGATTTGAGACTGATTGCTAGTTTGCGTCCGAAGCCAGTATTTGACAAACCAGAGTCAAGATCTGAAACACTGACTTTACTTGAGAAACCAGAATCAAAATCAAGATCGACTACACCAAGTTCATTGGAGAAACCAGATGTGGCTAAAGAAGACAAAGAGGTGGAAAACGAGAAGGAAAACGAGAATGAAGCTGAGATCGAGGTTGAGAAGAAGAAAAGAAGAATGGATACTATTGATGATATATTTGGAGAACCAAGTAAGAAGAAGAAGAAGAAGAAGAAAAGAACAAGCACTATCGATGACATATTTGAAGACTCAAGTAAAAAAGAGAAGAAAAAGGACAGAGAAAAGGTTAAAATAAAAGTTAATATTAAGGAGATGGAGTTGCAAAAAGAATTGGAGAAAGAATTAGATTTGCAAAATGAAAAAGAACAAGAACAAGAACAAGAAAAGGACAAGGAGCAAGAGAACAAACAAGAGAAGGAAACAGAAGTAAAGAGTATTAAGGAGAAAGCAAAGGATAAAGATAAGGAAAAGAGTGTCAAGAAGAAAAGAAAGAACAGTCCATTGATGCTATGATCAGAATGAATTATTGATAATCGTCAATAACGTTATCTAATGATTACTGAAGTAATGATAAAATATACAAATATAAAGCTTAGCTTAAAGCTTGACTAATTTACCTTGCAGATTGATTTTAAAAAGAAGCTCTACATTTCTAGCTCGTATGAATATTTATATTAATACATAAAAACACATAAACGTAAATTTAAAAAGATTCTCAACTTTTGAATTAATAATTATACATTTGATATTGTTGATTTTGAGGTGGTGGTTGATGTTGTTGTTGTTGTTGTTCTTGCTGATTATGATGATTGAAATCATTAAAATATATCATTTGTTGTTGACTTTGTTGTAATTGTTGTTGGGCTTGTATAAAATTTGTAAAATTTAATTGATCAATATCTAAACAATATTCATCATCATAATCATCAATTGATTGATGTTTTAAATTTGGATTTTGATGGGCAGTTGAAATTTGATCAAATGTATATGACGGAGTAGTATACTGTTGATGTAATGGATGTTGTGGTTGCACTTGATGATAATGATGTTGAGGTAATGGTTGTACTTGCTGTTGTTTCATCATATATTCTAATGGAGATTTTGTTGATTGAGGAGTATATGGAGATGAATCATAAATTGAAGATGATGAAGTTATTGAATTTGGAGTATTTATAGATTCTTGAGATGATGTAGTTGATGAAATTGATGATGTTGAATGTTTATTTATTGCTCCTCCTTTGTTTTGTTTAATCTGTTGTTGTTGTTGTTTTAATTCTTTAACTTCTTGTAAGACTTTTGATGCATATGGTAATAATTCAGGATCAACTTGTTTATTCTTTTGTAATTGTTTTCTTAATCTATTTTTAATTCTACTTTTACCTTTAAAACCAACTGGTAAAAATTTGCATTCACCACCTTCAACATGCATTTCACACCAAATTTCAGCAGAATTAAAAAATTCTCCACACATTGAACAATTACCCTGAGAATTTGCTCGATCTTTTGTTTTTGTTCCTTTTGGATATTTAAAATGTCTTGATTTTAAATGAGTTTTATAAGTATCTCTTCTTGAAAATCCACCACTTGGATGACATTTATGAGTTATATTATTATCATCAATATAAATACTTTTATCATGGAATGGACAAGAATAAGCTTTTTTTGTTGAATGTTTTTTAAGATGTCTTGTTAAATAACCTCTTATTTTGAAACTGGCATCACAATGTGGACATTGATGAACTTTATTTTCATTATTGTCGTTATCAATTTCATCATTGTCATTATCATTATCATTATCATTATCATCATTGTCATTACAACTTATATCATCTTCTTCAGTTGGAGGAGTAGAATTATTTGTTGGAGTATCTTTTGATTCATTTGAAATAGTTGGTGTTAGATAATTCTTTTTTGCTTGTAGTTGATGCAGTTCGGGTTGTATTTTAAAAGCATCTAAATCATTATTTCCACCTATTTTAGAATCATCATCTGTGAAAACCCATTCTAAATCGCCATTTTCATTTTTAATAGGTAATAATCTTGTAGTTAAACCCATGGAACATGTTACTGGAGAGAATTCTGAAATTTGAGGTTCTTCTTCGTTATATTCTTGTTTAAACGATATAGATGGGAATAAATTTATATCATCTTCAGTATTATTTATTTTTGGTTGTTCAATAACTTTTGTTTTTTCCGATGGCAATGATGAAGATGAAGATGATGATGATGGTTTATTATGTATATCTTTTGTAATTATTCCATTATCATTTGGATTTATAATAGCTGAATAAATGAATGCGATGACTTGTTTAAAAATTGTGATGATGTTACCTAAAATTATTGTTGGTAATAATAAATGATGATGTTGATGAACTTGTTGTTGATGATTATTTTGATTAGTACTTTTAACTGTGGGCAGTTGATAATTTAAATTCATAATGATAAATAATTTATTATAATAATCTGTTACTAATAATAAAAGTATATTTTTATAGAGTTATTCCTGGATTGGTTTGTATTATAATATGTTAATTGTTGCGTGATTAATATATAATAAATAAATTTTTTCTTCTATTATCTTTTTGTTTATTTTGTTGAAAATGAGACAAGACACTAAATAATCGACAATAAGAAGATGACTGATATATAGCAAATGTAGTACGGTGATCTCTAAATCAATATGTGTAATAACTTGTAAAATCTAGTGATAAAACTGTTGTTTGTTTGTATTTGTCAACCTTTTGTTGAAATGTAAAATTGTGTAAAAATTTTTTGAGACAACAAATTTCTGAATTAAAATAAAATTGATAAACCTAGTAACACAATATTAACTATTGCAGATTGGATGTTTCATGTGAATTCCCTCATTCAGATTCAAATAATTATCACAGTTTGCACTACTTCTACCTAAGCCCACCCCTCCCTTTCTTGTCTAAAATATTGGTCGACTTTAGTTCCAATTCGTTACGAACGACGCCAAATGACGTATTGAACTTAATACCGAACGTATTCATAGCAATTTATTCATTAATCTCTCAATTTAAATCAAGATAAGGGCAATTCCATTATACTACGGACTTGTATTATTGTTTTGTATTATTATTTGATCAACCAACAGAACGAATAATATAACTGTATTCAACAATAGTCTATTACTAATAAACTTTGGACAGAGCTTGTCCGAAATTTAAAATTTGATAACTTAACCGAATTACAACATAATTACAATCTATTGTTGAAACGTTTAAAAATTTGAAACAGCGAAAATTGGAAAATTTCGGTAATTTTGTACCGCAAATAGTAACTTTAGGTTCACATTCATTCAATTACATAATATAGTCCAATTTTACATTTATAGATTCTAATTAGACAGAAATCTATCAAGAAATAAGCAAATTAAAAACTTTTGATCGATAATTTTAGTCTTGAAATGTGGGGGTTAATACACAAAATTCTTGGGTTGACACGATGTCTAAGATCAGTTAAACCAATGATTAGATTGAAATGTTACTCCTGTAGGTGGTCAAATTGACTCTGAAACTTAGCCCTTCTTTTCTTTTGATCCTTGTTCAACAAAGTTTATTGAAGGATTTTCTTTGCCTATATTTACTTTTAATCCAACAAAAAGACACGTGTAGCAACACTGAAATAGCTAAACAACTATTGGATAAAACTTTCAAGTGAGCTGCTTTAGATTAAATATGGTTGCAGCACTTTGTAATATTTTGCAGCCAAAAATTTGATGTGTTTTTTAAAGATCTCATATATTAAATTAAAAGTCACGAGATAAAAGATTTAGATCTAGTTACACAAAATTAAAAAAAAAAAAATATTGATAAAAAAAAAAAAAATTTTATACCAGATCTTTTTGTATCAGTACCGTTTTATTATTTAAGATTAGTAGTTGTTAGACATAGATAAATCAACATTTTATGGATTTTATATAAAAGAAAAAGTTTCACAAGTTAGTTTTACCATGTCACCATCAAAATTAGATAATATTCAACCTATTGACATCTCCACTTTTCAACATGAATCAATAGTTTATCATAAACAAGATTCTTCATATTGGTTTTATGAGAAATCAAGTGAATCATTTCCTGGTCAAGCATTTGGTCTTAAAATTGAATCAGTCTTATATCATACCAAATCTGAATTTCAAGATATTCTAATTTTAAAAACTACAAATTTTGGTAATTGTTTAATTTTAAACGGTATTATTCAATGCACAGAAAGGGATGAGTTTGCATATCAAGAAGTAATTACAAATTTACCATTAATGTCCCACCCAAATCCTAAAAAAATTTTAGTCATTGGAGGTGGTGATTGTGGAGTAATTAGAGAATTAATCAAGCATATAAAGAATAATGATAATCTAATTGATTCAATCACAATGGTAGAAATAGATAATATGGTTATAGAATTAAGTAAAAAGTTTCTCCCACAAATGTCAAAATATCATAATCATCCAAAATTAAATTTGGCTATTCAAGATGGATTCAAATTTTTAAATGAAACTGATGAAAAGTTTGATATTATAATTACTGATTCATCAGATCCAGAAGGTCCAGCACAAGAATTTTTTGAAATTGATTATTTTAAATTATTACAAAATTGTCTTAATGGTGAAGATGGGATAGTTATAGCACAATCTTCAGAAAATATTTGGTTAAATTTAGAATATTTAAAAAATTTAAAAGAAAAATGTGAATCTGTATTTAATAATGTTGGATATGCTCAATGCTATATGCCAAGTTATACTTCTGGACAATTGGGTTTATTAATTGCTACAATGAATAAAGATATTAATTTGATTGATCCAATTAGAAAATTCTCAAAAGATGAAGAATCAAAATTGTTTAAATATTATTCTTCTGATGTACATAAATCATCATTTGTTTTACCAACTTGGGCAAATGATTACTTAAATGAATAAATAAATTAATTTGATAGCATAATTTAATGTATATATGATCTCAATATGTGAAAACTTACTCTCTTAGTTGTTACTAAGCTACGTCTTAAGTATTCTCAGATGATGATGTTCATAGTTTCCGGTTAAATAACAAACCTTTACAATTATATGTACCACTTATCGATAATATGGCAAAAGTACACACATTTTGCGCTTTTTTGCAACATTTTTTGCAGCCAAAAATAAACTATCTGTCAGTTCGTACCCAAACTTAATAGCACTGTTTAGCAAATAAATTCAAATCACTTTAGCAAGTAAATTCAAATTGCTTTAGAAGAAAATGTTATATGGTTACATCTCTAAGTAGAATACCAAATTAGAGGCATATGAAGCTGCCAATTTGATACTCGAAGTTATTGTCTGATGTCTGACAGAAACATTTTGGCTAAGAATCGGTTACAACATCATACTACCAAATTATATTAACATTCAGTGTTTCTGTCCACTCAATTAAGAGCCTAATCAGCTCTGAAACAGTCAATTTTATATCAAAAGCTTGAGGTATTTATGAAACTTGTTTCCTCGACATTTTTATGCTGAATTGTGCAATTACAAGCCATACTACTTCCCAATTTGGACGATCTCTCCTTTTTTATAATTTACACCCATACATCAATAGTTAAGTTCTGCTATATGCAGTACCCATAAAAAAAAAAACGAGCAGAACAAAAATCGTCAACAAAGTCAAAACAAAAAAAAATTTTTATTTTAAACACTACTACTCTCAAACAAACACAAGGTTTCAAGTGGTGTGTATTTATTACCAAATCATTATAATCATAATAAACACGATAGTAGTGTATCAGATTACATTCTAACAACATTGGTTTATACAATTTGGTTGCAAAAAGTATTTAAACTATAAACATATATATCAATTGCACAACAAACTATAAATATGTCTGGTCAAGAAGATGATTATTCAAGTAATATTGATGATCAATTATTGCAAAATGTTGAAGAATCATCAAGAATTAAAGTAGAAGATTTTTCAAATACCTCAGCTGATTCAACTACTAATCAAAATAATAATGGTTCATCATCATCATCTGTTGCTAGACTTGGTAAAAATAAACCTAGTGCTACTCCAATTAATAATGGTTCAAACGATTATGATATAAATGAAAAATATCAACAAATGGCTCAACAAGCACAACATCAACATCAACAACATTCCCAACAACAACAATTACATTTACAACAACAACAAGCTCATCATCAACAACAACACCGTCAGGTTTTAAATAGTCATCATCAACATCCTCAACAACAACAACAACTTCCTACTCAATATAATTTATCACATTCAAATCAATTAAAAAGTGATTTAGATAGCTCTCCAGAATTATCAGAATATAATATTCAAATACCTGATCCAATTATTGATTCAAAATCAAAAATCTATCCTGTTAAAGAAAATACTATAACTGCTGAAGGTAATTTAATTACAAGACCATATCCAGAGCAAATTTTTGATAATCGTGATCAATTGAATGAATTTATAGCTGAATTTGCTAGAGATAATGGATTTGGTGTTGTTATTGCTCATTCAAATAAAAAAGCTATTTATTATACATGTGAATTAGGTGGTAGATATCGTCATAAAAAATCTAAAAAAATTGATTTAACTAGACAAATTGATGTTGGTGATGGTTATATGTTGGATCCAGATACTAAAACTAAAAAATTAAAATGTCCATTTGCAATGACCGCTTCATTTAAAAAATCAACTGGTGTTTGGAATTTAAGAACTACATGTAATGAACATAATCATCCACAATTAGATCCATTATCAAATCATCCAATGTTGAGAAAAAGAAGTGATGAATTAAATTTATTAATTTTAGATTTATATAAAGTTGGTACAAAACCTTCTCATATTGAATCAAAGATTAAAGAACAATATCCTGATGTTTTAATTAAAAGAGAAGATATATATAATGAAATTAGAGGTTATAAAAGAAAATTAAAGAAACAAAATTCAAGATTTGGTTTTAATAATCCTTCAAGAATTGCAAATGCTACTTATAGAAGAAAAGCTCAAGAAGCTGCTGCTGCTGCTGCTGCAAATGCTGCAGGTACTACAACTGGTGGAACTTCAAATTCTAATAATAGTACTAATAATCCAGATGCTGAAGCTGTTGCGGCTGTTGCTGCTGCTGCAAGCGCAAATGCATTTTTACATACAAATGATTCAAATGAGTTTGATAATTATCAACATCAACAAGCTGCTGCTCAACAACATCAATTACAACAAGCTGCTCAACAACATCAACAAACTTTGCAACAATTATTACCACGTCATCAACAACAACAAATTTCTGAATCTCAACAAGAAGAATTCCAACGTCAATTTCAACATCAATTGGATGAAAATCAATATCATCAATATCAACAACATTTACAAGATCATGGTATAAATGATAATGATGCTACTGCTGCTGCTGCTATTGCTGCTGTTGCTAATGCTACTCGTCATAATCATAGTCATTATGAAAATAGTGATTTATCAATGGATAACATTGATAGTAGATTAGTTGGTGAATAAGTTGTATATTAAAAAAATATTGTGTAATGCAAAAATTCTATCTCCTGCCTATGCAAATTTACTTTTACCTTTCTCGCGTGCCATTATTCTATTATTTACCCTTTATTACATATGTTTTACAACTCATTAACTTCATTAATATTACATTTTATTCAAAATTTCAATACCTTCACATCTTTCTTCAAATAATTTTGCCAATTGACCAACTTTTCTACCTCGTATAACTGGTTTCTTAGAATTTGTAACTACTGTAACTGGTGGTAGTGGTGATAATTTATTTGGTTTCTTTTCATTACTTACTTCAAATTTATACTTTTGAGGTGGGAATTGAATTTGAATATTTGAAACATCAGATAATGTTTTCTTATGAACTTTAGGTTGTTTCGCTATATTTGTGGATGTTGAATCTATAGATTGTGTTTTCTTACGTGATTTTACAATTGTATTTGAGCCTGTACCTTGCTTTGATTTCTCTACCGATTTATCTGTTTCTTCAGTATTAGATTTGGTTGTTTTTGACTCACTTGATTGTATACTTGGTTTGATAGTCTTTGTTTCTTGATTCTCATTGTTGTCCTTTGGTTTGGTGTGTTTCAAATAATTATTACTCTGTAGTATGTTTGTTGTATTGATCTTTACTCTTTCTTCATCATCGTCTTCCTCAATTGTTAAATCGTAATTTATATCGTATGAAGTATCAAAATTTTCAACTCTGCTTTTGTTGCCATTATTGTAACCTCTACCATTAATAGAGTCTTGAATTGATACAATCTTATAACTTCTACTTATTTCATTCCAATTCTCAATTGCACCTTTTATGAATCTACTTACAATTTGAATTTGACTTGAATTTTTATTTGATATAATTTCATGACTCAAACAATGTGATAGGCATTTAGATAATGTGACTGATGTATGTTTTGTAATATGTTGATTTATATAAATCTTATTCAACATGGTGAAGAATTGTAACAATAATTGATCATAGTTCTCAGTTTCCTTCTTAGACCTTAAAAACTCAATATTTTTCATAAATATCCTTTTTGAATAATCTATAGTATCTTCGATTGGTAATTCTATTACCTCAGTATTTATCAATGAATATGGCAACTCCATTAGTATCTTCTTGAATGTAGTTGATATACTATATAAATCCCAATCATTTATCCAGATCAATTGATTTCTTAAAATACATTGATATAATAGGTCCGTATTCACTTTATTTCCCGGTTTGTAAAATAACATTTCCACTCTTGTGCAATTTTCATTCATTATATTAAATAATTGGTATAAATGATGATATAAAATTGGAAATTCGTATTGATTTAATTTGACTGTGGGGTTAATAATAGGCAAAACCGTCATTGATAGCTTAATCTCCCTCTCAAATTGTAAATTATATTTATAAATATTTAATGATATTTTCAAATTTGTCAAATCTAAATAATTACTTAATTCACTTAATGTCTTGCAATGAATTACAATAGTTTGAAAATGGTCGGAATTATGGGCACCTATAGGATTAATAGTAAATGTATCCAATAATTTATTTATATGTTCTAAATTCTTTTTCGTGGAGTTAAAATTATGAATTATCGACGTTAAACTTTTAAGAAACCAAGAATCATGTATAATGAAAATCTTAATCAAATTGGTAATATCATTATTATTTGAGTCTAAAAAGTTTTTAAAGAATTTTAAACCCCATATCCAACTTAATTTATTTAATCCGCAACTGAAAATTATTAAAATATATGGTTTGAGTGGTAAAATGTTCATTAATGTTATTATAAATTCATCATAATTTATATCTTCTGGTGATGGTAAATAAGAAGTATCAAATATATAAATTGGATAATTTGTTATCGGATCTCGTAAAGTTGTCTTATAAAATATTCTATCCATAATGAAAGTAAACTTATGAAACCCTGTATTCCTTTACTGGTTGGTTATATTTCTTGATAATTTTGGATTATTTTTAAAAGGAAATTTTAGAAAAATACAATAAGTAAACAGTGGTACTGCATATAATGTATCATTTCACATTATAATCCGATTTAATATAAATTCAAGTTCTCTCTTAAAATGGCTGCAAAATAACAAGAAATATAACAAAACAGCACTAGACTAAGCATACTCAGTAGCTTAGATTAGGCTTGTTATTGACCTCAAAGAAGAGTTTATTTGATTTAATTGGATACGACTTTGGCGGGATTTCAGTTTACAACGTTTGATTTCCACCAAGGCCCAACCAAAGTAGCTCAAAAACATTTATTATGAGACGATAAATCATTTGATACGCGTTTTAGCTGTCTAATCCTGGTATAGTTGTCGTTGCAGCATCCAAAGTTCGAGTAGTAATCTGGTAGCGTGGGTGGTAGCGCGGGGGTAGTGCCTTCTAATAAAATTTTCATAAAGTGGCAAACGATTTCTACTTTTCAACAGCTAGTAATATATTTTCATTAATATAATAATTAAATATGGCACCAGCTCCAGAAAATAAAGAGCTAGTTAAACCAGATAATAATGAAGTAAAGAAAGATACTAAAGTTAAACAAGAAGAAGAATTATCTGAAGAAGATCAACATTTAAAAGATGAATTGGAATTATTAGTTGAAAGATTAAATGAATCAGATCAAGATAAACAATTATATAGTAAATATTTACAAAGCTTAAAAACTTTTATTAAAGAATCAACTACTTCAATGACTGCTGTTCCAAAACCATTAAAATTTTTAAGACCTTTCTATCCAACTTTAACTAATTTATATCATGAATGGTCAAATAAATATAATAGTGATGAAATTGTTTTACAATTAGCTGATATTTTATCTGTTTTAGCAATGACTTATTCTGATGAAGGTAAAGATTCACTAAAATATAGATTATTATCATCAGATGATTCTATAGCAGATTGGGGTCATGAATATATGCGTCATTTAGCTTTAGAAATTGGTGTTGTTTATCAAGAAAGTTTAGGAGTTGATGAAGATAAAATTAATAAACTTACTAAGCTAGCATTGAAGATTGTACCATTCTTTCTTAAACATAATGCAGAAGAAGATGCTGTTGATTTATTATTAGAAATTGAATCAATTGATAAATTACCACAATTTGTTGATGAAAATACTTATGCAAGAGTTTGTTTATATGTTCAAAGTGTCGTTCCATATTTAGCTCCACCTGATGATGTTTCATTTTTAAATACTGCATTTACAATTTATTTATCTCAAAATCAATTAACTCAAGCTTTAATAATTGCTATAAAATTGGATGATTCACTATTGATAAAACAAGTTTTCGATTCTACAAATGACACTTTAATACATAAACAGTTGGGTTTTATATTATCACAAACTAATAATAATTTCAAATATGATGATAATCAAGAAGTTCAAGAATGTATATCAAATGTTAAATTAGCAGAATATTATCATTATTTAACAAAAGAATTAAATCTATTAGATGCTAAAATTCCAGAAGATATTTATAAATCGCATTTGGAAAATTCAAAATTTGGTTTAGGTACTTCTGGTTCAATTGATTCTGCAAAACAAAATTTAGCTGCATCATTTGTACATTCATTTTTAAATTTAGGTTATGGTAATGATAAATTAATTCAAACTGATGAAGATAATAAATCATGGATTTATAAAACAAAAGGTAATGGTATGATTTCAACAACCGCTTCATTAGGTTCAATTCATCAATGGGATACAAATGAAGGTTTACAAGTTTTGGATAAATATACTTATTCAGAAGATCAAGAAATTAAAGCTGGTGCTTTGTTAGGTACTGGTATTGTATCATCAAATGTTCATGATGAAGTTGATGCTGCATTAGCTTTATTACAAGATTATATTCATGACTCAAATAAATTATTTCAAACATCAGCTATCAATGGTTTAGGTATTGCATTTGCTGGTACTGCAAATGAAGAAGTGTTAAATTTATTATTACCATTAGTTTCTGATTTAGATATACTGTTGGAAATTTCATGTTTAGCTGCATTAGCTTTAGGTCATGTATTTGTTGGTACATGTCATGGTGATATAACATCAACAATTTTACAAAGTTTATTAGAAAGAGATTTTACTCAATTAACTAATCCATTTATAAAATTCATGTCATTAGGTTTGGGTATATTATATATGGGTAAAACTGAACATGCAGAAGATGTATTGGAAACAATAGATGCTATAGAACATCCAATAAGTAAAACTTTAAAAGTTTTGGTAAATATTTGTGCTTATGCAGGTACTGGTAATGTTTTACAAATACAAGCTTTATTACAAATGTGTACAGCTAAACCAAAAGATCAATTAGAAGAAGAAAAGAAATTGGAACAATCAGAAGAAGATCAAAAGAAAGAAGAAGGTGAAGAACCAAAAGAAGAAACTGAAGAAGCTAAAGAAGATGTTGTTATGGATAAGAAGGAAGAAACTAAAGATGAAAAAGATGAAAAAGAAAAAGATGATTCTAAACCAGAAGAATCTGAAGAAGAATTATATCAAGGTATTGCTGTATTAGGTTTAGCATGTATTGCAATGGGTGAGGATATTGGTCAAGATATGTCATTACGTCATTTCAGTCATTTAATGCATTATGGTAATTCATTAATAAGAAGAGCAGTTCCATTAGCAATGGGTTTAGTTTCAACATCAAATCCACAAATGAAAGTTTTTGAAACTTTATCAAGATATTCACACGATCCAGATTTAGAAGTTGCTCAAAATTCCATATATTCAATGGGTTTAGTTGGTGCTGGTACAAATAATGCAAGATTAGCACAATTATTAAGACAATTAGCCTCATATTATATAAAATCTCAAGATACTTTATTTATGGTTAGAATTGCTCAAGGTATATTACATTTAGGTAAAGGTACTTTAACATTGACACCATATAATTCAGAAAGAACAATATTATCAAAAGTTTCATTAGCTTCATTATTAACTATATCAATTGCTTTATTAGATCCAAAACAATTTATATTATCAGATTCAACAACTGAAACAACTCATCAATTATTATATTATTTAACACCAGCCATAAAGCCAAGAATGTTGGTTACAGTTGATGAAGAATTAAAACCAATAAAAGTAAATGTTAGAGTTGGTCAAGCTGTTGATGTTGTTGGTCAAGCAGGTAAACCAAAAACAATAACTGGTTGGGTAACTCAATCAACTCCTGTATTGTTAAATTATGGTGAACGTGCAGAATTGGAAAATGAAGAATTTATAAGTTTATCAAATTCATTAGAAGGTATTGTAATTTTGAAAAAAAATCCTGACTACATGGAAGTAGATAACTAATATAAATATATATAAAGTTTTAAGAAGTCTATTTATTTAAATTCTTGTGCTTTACCTGTCATTAATAATCCAACAATTAATCCAAATAATCCTAAAACTGATCCAAAAATTTCAACAACTAATATTTTAACAAATAACGAACTATCTGCTGCATCACTTATAGCTGCAGTAGAACCAGTTATTCCAACAGCTATACCACAAATTAAATTACTTATTCCAACAGTTATACCAGCCCAAAATAATGAAAAACCAGTATATAAATTTTCTTTTGAATATAATATTGATGATGATACACTTGTTAACTTTGATGAAAATACAATTGCCATAATTAATCCATAAATTGCAACAACTTCACAAAATATAATTGAAATTAAATTTTTTGTAGTTATTCTTGGAGCTTTTACACCAGCACCTAATATTGATGTACCAGTTATAAAAATCCCCCATGCTGCTCCAACTACTGAAAATCCAATACATGATGCAATACCTAATGAAGCCCACATATATGGTGATGTAGTTTCTAAAAATTCTCCAATATTAAAAGATTCACCAGATCCTGTAAATAACATATACCCTCCTACTGTAAGTAGGGAGCCTATTATTAATGATGTTGATATAATTGACATTATGGAATGAATGAAAGTAATATGTCAGTAAATTGGTATTGATTTTTGGTTTTAGATGTTGCTTCTATAAATTTTCTTTCAACATCAGTGGTAAAAACACGATAAAGTTGATAATGTTGTATTGGTGCTACCATGTGTATTTCAGAAAAAAATGCTGCAAAATGGAAATACACCAAAGAAAATTACATTTGAGACTTGAGCTAAAACTAATGCAATTTTTTAAGGTATCTATGAGCTAATAAAGACTCGGTTTGGGTGTAGATAAGCTATTTTGCAGGGCAACAATCATCTTATCGCCTAAAACTCGATGAAATGAATTTGCGTATACTCATCAACGATTCAGACGACATTCAATTCACAAAAGAAGCTGATGCGCTTGTTAAATCATAACGAAATTAATCATAAATAACTTCAAGGCGTTCTCTTCTTTAAAATTTTCAATACTGCAACACCATTCATCATCATATCATAATTATTTATCGTATTTATTATGCAATATTCCTCGACAACAATTTGATATGCTATGGTAAAATAAAAATTCTCCATATTATATAAATAACACAAATAGTCCCAGTTTTATCAAAACTTTAAAGAATCAATGAAGTATTTTATTTTATTCATTACTATATTTGTTAAATTTACAACTTCAACAACTAATTTTGACTATGAATCATGGGATACAAGTTATGAAGAAGATGAACGACCATCAATATCTACCAATTTAGAAATACCATCATTTATCCCCTCATTACGACCACCACCACCATCAGTAGATCTTGAAATTGAAATACCATCAAATTGTAAATCAGATAATTTTAAAATCACTTCCTTGGAAGAATTGGAAAAAATTTCAAATTGTGAAATTTTAATTGGTAATTTACATATTTCGAATTTCAAATATCCAATAATTACATTAAAATTGGAAAAAATTTTAGGTAATTTAACAATTGAAAAATCTCCAGAAATTGTTCGTATTGAAGCACCAAATTTACAAATTATTAGTAATCAATTTTCATTATTTGAATTGACTAGTTTATCATTAATTTCATTCCCTAATTTAAAATGGGTAAATGTTTTAAATTGGACAATTTTACCTATATTGTCTAACGTTAATTTTAATCATGAAATTGAAGGGATTGAAAGTATTACAATTTCAGATACTAGTTTGACTGGATTTAGTGGATTTCTTGCTGATTCTTTAAGATTATTGGATATTAATAATAATAGATTTTTAGATGTTATTGAATGTAATGTTGAAGAAATTGATTATTTAAGAGTGGGTGCAAATTCAAAAAATGTTCGAGTTTTATTTCCAAAATTACGAAAAATTTATAAATTAATGGGTATTTTAAATGTTGAAAGTATTTATATGGATGAATTAGAAGTTGTTGAAGGTTCAATTAGTTTAATTGATAATTATTTTCAACAAATTAGATTTCCAAAAATTTCATTAATTAAGGGAACTTTAAGTTTATTAAAAAATGATCAATTAAATCATGTCGAATTTCCAAATTTAAATGAAATTGAAGGTGGATTAATGGTTATTAATAATACTTTAATTGAAAATATTAATTTCTTTTCAAATGTTAATATTATTGGTGGTGCATTAGAATTAATTGGTTCAATTAAAGAAATTACATTTAAACAATTGAAATTAGTTAAAGGAAGTGCTATTGTTAAATCTACTTCACCATATTTTGATTGTCAAAAATGGTTGAAACTGGATATTATGTTGATTGTAAGAGGTGGGAAATTGGAATGTACAAATGCGAAGAATGAAAAGACAACATCAAGAACAAAAGAAGATGGAAGTGGATTAGATGAGAAAAATTTGAGTGGTAGAGCAAAAAGTGGATCAACATCTTTATCCTCTTCAAGATCAACAAGTTCTGGAAATAAGTTAGATGTTGATTCTGGTCATAATAATCATCAACATTTAGATGATCCAATTACTACTACAACTTCAGATTCAAATGGATTAACATTGGATTTAAAATTTGAAATTTATAATGTAATTTTATTAATTTTGAATTTATTATTTGATTAAATATAGATTATTTTCAATTATAAATGTTTCAATCTCTGGAAGAACCTTATCTTTCCAATTTTTATTACCTTGAGCTAAATCTTTTCTGATTTCAGATGAACTTATATTTGCAAAATTTTCATTTTTAATTAAATGAATATTATCAGACCAATGTGATGGAATTTCTTCATTTTTACCCAGTTTTATATCATTTACATATTCACTTTGTTGATCATTTGTAGTTATATTTTCATCAAATCTAGTTAAACAAAATAAATCAGTAGTTTTCATAAAATTTTCCAATTTATTTGATAATTTATCAGGTAAATAATATTTTGGATTGAAAATACGAATTAAAGTATCAAAACCAATTAAAAATGTAATTTTTAAATTATTATTAAAATCCTTATGATTTGAAGTTATATAATTTAATACTGATAATGATTTATCAACAAATTTAGCATGATTAGTTAAACCAATTGAAATATTTACATGATTATTATATTTAATTTTTAAATTTTCAGCCATTAAATACATCATTTCTAATCTTTTATCAAATGATTCTGGTTTATATAATTTATCTGCATTTTTAATAGATAATAATAATAATATTGATTTATTTTTGGAGTGGTTATTAAATTTTAAACTTTCTTCAATTAATGCATAATGACCTTTATGTGGTGGATTAAAAGATGAATCTAAAACACAAATTCTATCAATATTTGAAGAAATAAAATTGGTGGTAGTTGAATAAATAATTGAAAATTCTTTATTTGACTGAATGAAATCTTGTAATGATTTAATAAATCTTGAACTTAATTGATTAGTGCTCATAATATAACAGTATGAAATGATTTTCGTAACCCCTGAAAAATAATCTGGTGATAATTTATATATTGAAGAGAGCTACCAAGTGTTGTATATACTATTTATAATTCATCTTTTGCAACATCTTCTTCTTCTTTATCAACTCCTGCTATATCCATTAATTTAGTTTTAAAAATTAATACTGAATTTGGAGGAATAGGTCCAATTCCTTTTTCTCCATATGCTACACTTGGTTGACATGTTAAAATTCTTTCTTCTCCAATACACATATCTAATAAACCTTCATCCCAACATTGAATAACTTGTTTACCACCTAAATTAAAAGGTAATGGAGTATCTCTATCAAATGAACTATCAAATTTTTTACCATCTTCAAATGTACCTTCATAATGAACACTTATAAAATCACCAGCACGAGATTTACGTTCACAATCAACTGAATTTGTAACCTCTGTAAAAGTTAGTAAGAATAATAACTTCCGAAACATTTTATTGCATACTTATTTTAATTTCATCAGGTGATGCAAGTGCTGTAATAATTGATATAATACTTGATAATGAAATGATTGAAAATTTCATCGTTGATAACTGAATAATTTGATTTTTCGTGTGACGCAAATTCTGAAACAAATGACAAAAGAACAAGTGTCAGAAAATAGAATAGAAGAAGTTAACTGTCAGAAAATAGAATAGAAGAAGCATTGTTTAATAACCAACTCTGTATATACTAAATCTTAACCTATATATCTTTAAACTATAAAATCAAATAACCCCATAATATAATAATAATAATACATAATTGAATTTAAATTAATAAAAAATCTAAACATTAATAAATTGAATTTTACTTTGTTTTTGTTTAATCTTTCCTGTGTCCCATAATAATAATAATAATATTTACAAAAATAATCTACCAGCTTCTAATTCTTCAATTGTTGATTCAATAACTTCATCGTCATCATCATCTTCAACTAATTCTATAGTTGCATATTTAATCATATCCCAACGTTTCCAAAATGCTAAAATATCATTATAATTATCTGAATCAACTAAATCTTGTAAATAATATTTAGCTCTAGTTAATCTATCTTTCAATTGTTGTAAATGACATGATGATTCGTCTTCTTGTGATGAAATTGAACTTGTTGATGCTAATCTTGGTCTAAATGATTGATAATTTGTATTAGCAACTGGTAATTTATTAACTACATGTTTTAGTTGTTCTTTTGATGAACTAGTAACCTCTTCATAATCAGTTAAATCAGTATCTGAATAATAAATTTCACTTTCATTGATTGTTTTTGAATTACAATAACGTGACCAACATTCATCGATGCTACCAATTAAATATTGAAAACATTCATTTCTAGCAACATGATCAGTATTTGAAACTGATTCTTCTTGATTTGAAACTGATGATTTACATGATGATTTACATGATGAATTACCAAAATTAGATAATCTTCTTGGAATTTTATTCGTGGTTGTAAAATTATCTAATAATGATAATGATGATGATTCATCTGGTTTAGCAATACTTCTTCTTTTAACTACTGGATAATCAATAGTATTATGATTACCATATTCATCATCATCATCTGAAGAAGAAGATAAATCTAATTTTCTTTTTTTATTATTATTATTATTAATATTATTATTAATATTATTATTAATATTATTATTAACAATTTTTGAAGATGTTGTTTTATTAATACAATTATTACCACCGCGTAAAATTGAAGTCATAATAAAAAAAATTAAATTTGATGATTCCTGTACACTAAAAAAGATTTTTTCTGGTGCGACTATTTCAAAAAAAAGTTGTGGGAAGTTGGCTAATTTATTAGTAATAAACTAAATTACTCTAATAAACCAATGAAAATCAAGGAAAAAACCAACTCTTAAAAAAAAATAATATAAAAAAAAAGTAATAAACTTAACCAACAAATAAACCTATGCTTGATATGATTTGAAAATGTTGTACTTGTTAAGCTAATGAAAAAGAAAGTATATATAATTTATACAACTGTATTAATAGTTGTTGTAAATATATGTTGTTGTTGTTGTTGAAAATGGGAAAATTTTTTTGTAATAATGTATTAAAAAAAAAAATTTTTAAATGACCACGGAAGAAACAAAAATAAATTGATCTGATTGGTCAAATAAATAAAATTTCAACAAATGAAAATGAAAAAATAAAGTGATGAATAAATAAAAAAAAAACTTAAAAAAAAATAAAAACTTGTCCAATATATACAAATTTAAAATTTAAGTTAAAATAGGAGAAGCGGTAGTGTAAATGGTTCAATGTCGTGTAAATTTAACTATTGTTGCATTAATATATTGTAACCAAAAATGCTTGCTATACTAAATATGAGATGTAGATCAAACAAATAATCACAATTAAAGAACTTTAGCCTTTCTGTTTCAATTCAAGCAGGTATTATCATATTATTATCATATTATTATCATATTATTATCATATTTCTATTGGTTTGATTGTGTTATCTTTGTGATATAAATGGTTGGAGTTTGATTATTGTAGACGTGTCAAGTTTCAATTGTCGTGCACGGTAATATTTTAGATCTTCTACATTCTTCTATACGATTCTTTTTTCTGACAAGAAGCGCAAATAGCGAATTATAATAATAATCAATTTATCTATTTTTGGTAATATAATATAGACGATAATTGAAAAACCCTTGAAATCTAATGAATTTTAAGAGTTTTATTCAAACACTACTGTGCGTTATGAAGTTTAATGTTGACCCATAGTTACCTCTCAATTTCAACTATTAACCTTCTTTATTTCGAAAGAATTGTAAACTTAGTTGATTTTTAATGAATTTTACAGAAAAATAGAAATTTTAGAGCTTGCTTTATTAGGGTGTATATTAATATTGATAATGAAGGGTATAATTTTTATGTTTATTGACACCAAAGACCAATTTCACACCATAAGATTTGTACGACTTGATATTAACATTGCTTATACACCCAAAAATTATCTACATTTGTGGCACCATGATTCATTCATTGATCTGTGTTGATCTGTGTTGATCTGTGTTGATCTGTTCAACTTTAATGAAAGGGCGTGTAAAATTTGAATTTATTAGTCGATCGTTTAGATAAAAGAAAGATCTTACATAATCTTACATTGTATTCCGTTTCAGATTTTACTATCAGTTAGACGATCACGAAAGAGATTCAAGAGATTCAAGAGATTCAAGAGATTCAAGAGATTCAAGAGATTCAAGAGATTCAAGAGATTCAACAGATTCAAGTACTCTAAAACTTATTTTTAATACATTTTGTAATCTAATCTATAAAATCAATCGAATTGAAAATAAATAAAAAAAACCCATTCCAATTACCTAATTCACCATCACTTCTTCATTAAATAATTATTATATTATACTTTTCAATTATTCAAATTCTTCAAAAAATTGTTCAGCAACTTCCATCATTGAAACATCATTTAAACCACCATGATTACTATAATATTGTTTATATCTGGGATTATTTCTATAATCTTTAAGTTCAGTAGGTGAAGATTGATTTGAACTTGTTTTAGTAAATGTACTAACCATATAATCATAAATATTTCTTTTTAATAAATCATCTTTTGCAATAAATCTTTCTTTTAAATTTGAAGGTTTAAAATAATTTTGAAAATCTTGATATATTAAATCTAAATTTTCTTCAGCTTTAATATAATCATGTTGATAAATTTTGTCAATTACTTCTTCATTATTATTTAATTTTATATTTAAATAATTCATAAATCTTAATATAAAATCAAAAAATTTATCTATGTTTTTATTATTAAATAAATATAATTGATTATTTTGAAATTTGTAAATTAGGTACCTTGTAATTGGAATAAACAATTTCAAACCAGTCATGAATAATTTAACGCTTATGATTATAAACATTTGAATTTTATCTAATGTTGAAATATTCTTATCTCTATAAAAAAACGTTTGATCTTGTTGTTGATAAATCTTGAGATCTTTTTGTAACGAATGATATAATGCCAATTTTGTGTTTTTATCTAATGAATCAAGAAAGATGTCTATTTTAATCTCATCATCTAAATGACTAATTAATTGATCATAATTTTGTTGATCTATTAAATCTGATTCACTAAGAATTTGTTGTTGTTGTTGTTGCTGCTGTTGTTGTTGTTGTTGTTGTTGATTATCTATTATTAAACTTTGTGATTCAAATGGACTAGCTAATTGTGGTGCTTCAATTTGTTCAACAACAACGACATTTTCTTCTTGTTTCTTAGTATTTATAAAAGGTATCCATGGTAATGTTGAACTAATCTTTTCTTTTCCAATTTCATATAATCCATTAAGTATAACAGATCTATTAGTGTATACCAATTTAATTAATTCATTATTTGGATTACTTAATGATGATTTCGGTTCTTCTAATACCTTATCTATATTTTTAGTAATTAATTTATCAAATTCAAATTTCTTATCTTGATCATTCAAAAATAATTTCATTCGATTATTACTTTCATTATCTACTTCTTCTCCTTCTCCTTCTTCTACAATTTCAGTTTCTGATGATGATGGTTCTAAATTATTTGAATTTAAATTTGAATCAGAAATCAATGATGTAGTTGAAGAAGTTGTAGTTGAATTTGAAACATCTCTATTTTTTCTCCTTTTTAATCTTGTTGAAACTGCTAACATTGGTTTATTATCTACCTTATTAAAATAGTTCGCCTTTGGACTATCGAATATAAATTGATCCCCTATTTCAGATGTACTACTTAATGGTAAATTAGTTGAATTTAATTCTCTATTATTTAATAATTTTGAGTGTATTTTATCCTTTGGAGATTCTTGAATATGTATTGGAGCAATATCGTCATCACTATACTCATCTTCAGTTGTAGAACCCAGTATTGGAGATTGTAATCGTCCTTCTTGTTGATTATTATTATTCTTATTATTATTATTATCACTTGATGGTGTAAATTTATTTATAATGGGTAATCTTTTACCGATCCCAAAAACTAATGATTTAATCATCTAAAGATTATATTTATTATGGTTAATGCTAATGAATGAATGAATGACTGAATGACTGAATGACTGAATGACCGAATAAATAAATAAACAATAATTAACAAATAAATAAATTAACAAATAAATAAATAAATAAATAAATATTGTAACAACCCAACAGTTATATAAATCTGGTTGATGAGTTGTGAATATATTTAATTATATTGAATGGTCTAAAATCTCTAGATTTAAATGATTTATAAGTGGAGTGTATATAATTCACATGCAACAGAATAATTTCTTTTGTTAATCTCATCAGTCACGTGTGCAATCACGAGCACAATCACGAGCACAGTCACATGTACTATCACGTGCAAAATCACGTGCACTAAACAGTCACATGATTTTTTCCCGTTGGTAGCACATTGTTAAGCAATTGGTAGCTGTTGTATTGATGTGTATAATAAATAGCAAACTATACACACAATATAATACTAAATAAATTTACGGTAATTATAAAACATGAAGATACACATCACTTTAAAATATTTAATAATTTAATATTTAATTAGTTGAAATTCCTAAAAAATAAATTTTATAGTTTTTGGCAACACTTGTTATAGTTTTCATTAGTTGTTTTAAATTTACATTAGCCACGGGATTTTTCCATCAATTAATTAATCAATAATTCAATAATTCACCATGAGTAATTTCATTATAAAATATTTTATGAATAGAATTTTAAAAGATAATCAATGGAATAAATTTGGTGTTGAAGATCCTTATTATGAATATTTACCAATTATTTCGAAAAATGGTAAAACTATTAAATATCAAAAAATTAAAAGATCAATTCCTCCAGCATTATCTACTAATGATGAAAAAATTTTACAAAATTTTAAAATTAAAGCTTATAGATATGATTATTGGTTTAATTTATTTGGAGTTTCTTTTGGTTGGACGAATATTATCGGTGTAATTCCATTTTTAGGTAGTTTTATTTCTACATTTTGGTCATTACAATTATTATTATTAGCTAGAAAATTAGATGATGGTTTCCCTTTAGATTTACAATGTTTATTTATTTTAAATATTTTAATTGATTTTGTTTTGGGTTTAATTCCGTTTATTGGTTCAATTATTGAAGTTGGTTATAAAGCAAATTCAAGAAATTATTTATTGTTAGAAAAACATTTAATTAGAATTAGTGATAAAAATAGAGGTTTAATTTCAAAAGATGAAGTTAGACCTAATTTTATTAACGATAAAGTCCAACCTTATGTCGAAGAAAATTTGAAACCTCAAGCTATTGAATTTGGTAAAACTGCTTTAAAAGTTGGTAATGAAGCTTTGGAATTAATTAATAGAAAAAGATCCAGTTCAACATCATCAACTGCATCAACTGCAACTGCGAATTTTACTACAAGTGCAAGACCAACAACAACTGATGATTCAACAATTAATACAAATCCAACATCACCAGCAGTTGATAATATTTCAAATCTTGCAGCAGCATCATCATCGTCAACAAATGGTGCTACTACTACATCAACAGCAACACCACCAGTATTACTGCAATCAACATCATCAAAAAAGAAGAATAAAAGAAAAGGAAGTAGATAAATAACTAACTAAATAAATAACTAACTAACTAATTAAGTAACTAAGTAACTAAGTAACTAAATAAATAACTAACTAACTAATTAAGTAACTAAGTAACTAAGTAACTAAATAAATAACTAACTAACTAATTAAGTAACTAAGTAACTAAGTAACTAAGTAACTAAGTAACTAACCAACTAACCAACTAAGTAACTAACCAACTAACAAACTAACTAACCAACTAACAAACTAACTAAGTAACCAACCAACCAACCAACTAACTAACTAACTAACTAACCAACTAACCAACTAACTAACTAACTAACTAACTAACTAACTAACTAACTAACTAACCAACTAACTAACTAACTAACTAACTAACTAACTAACTAACCAACTAACTAACCAACTAACTAACTAACTAACCAACTAACTAACCAACTAACTAACTAACTAACCAACTAACTAACTTACTAACTAACTTACTAACTAACTTACTAACCAACCAACTAACTAACTAACTAACTAACTAACCAACTAACTAACCAACTAACTAACTAACTAACCAACTAACCAACTAACTAACTTACTAACCAACCAACTAACTAACTAACTAACTAACTAACCAACTAACTAACTAACCAACTAACTAACTAACCAACTAACTAATCAACTAACCAACTAACCAACTAACCAACCAACTAACTAAATAATGAATATATGAATCGATAAAAATAGCTGCAAAATTAATTCCGTCTAAAATTCTCGATTTGAAAAATTATAAATTATTTTTATTTACAGCCTTGATCTCTAATGAACAAAGATCAACAAGATAAAGAAGATAAAGAAGATAAAGTAGTTGCCAATATTGAATTAAATTCAATTGAAGATAGGTTAAATGGCGATGGCGATGGCGATGGCGATGATACAGAATCTTTAAAATCAACAGATGCTATATTAAATTTAGAAAATAATTCAAGTGCAACTGAAGTAGAACCCCTGGAATATGATTTAAATCCACAATTAAATAAATTTATGCAATATTGTCAAGAAGGTAATCTAACATCAATTAAAGAGATAATTAAAGATATAGATATTAATGATACTTTTTCTGATGGTATAACTGGCTTACATTGGGCATGTATAAATAATAGATTATCACTAGTTAAATATTTAATTGAGAATGGTTCTAATCCTAATAAATCAGGTGGTGATTTAAATGCAACACCATTACATTGGGCATGTCGAAATGGATTAGTATATATTGTTGATTATTTAATCACAAATGAATATCATAAAGCTGATCCAAATTTAAAAGATGGTCAAACTTATAATGCATTACATTTAGCTGTTCATAGTTCAAATATTACTTTAATCATTTATTTATTATTAACTTGTGTTGGTTCTAATTTATATATTGACGAACCTGATGGATTTAATAGAACTGCTTTACATTGGGCATGTTATCAAAATGATATTTTTACAATTAATGCATTATTAAAATTTGGTGCTGATATTTCAAAACAAGATAATAATTTATTTATACCATTACATTGGTCATTCATGAAAGGTTATAAAATTGTACTTAAAACATTAGTAGAAGCTGGTTCAGATATTTTTATTAAGAATGATCAAGATAAATCATCATTTGATATTGCAAAAGATATGAATTGTATAAATACATGGCAAAAAGTATTAAAAGAATGTGATTTAAATATGAAAGATAATTATCAACCTACAAAACATTGGATAAAGCCAAACACAGGGAAAATTATAACATTCTTAAGTCCATATTTATTCCTTGGAATTTCATTAAGTATATCTCAAGGATTACTTGAATTCATACTTGCCATTTTAATATTTTTCATTGGAATTTATCTTGTAAATATTTTAATTATTCCAAGTTATTTAATTGATGATAAACCATTACCTAAATCTCCAATACTAGCTGGTATTTTCTCAGGAACTGCATTTTGGTGTATATTTATATGGTTGACAAAAATATTACCCTCAACAATTTTTCATAATTTTATTTCAAATGTTACATTACTATCTATTATAATATTATTCATATGGTCATTTTTTAAAGCAATGTTTATAAATCCAGGATTTGTGCCTACTCCAACTGATAATTCAATAATATTACAACAAGTGCAAGAATTAATTGGTTTAGGCAAATTCGATACTGATCATTTTTGTGTAAATACATTTGTTCGAAAACCATTGCGATCAAAATATTCCAGATATAATAAAAAATTAATAGCAAGATTCGATCATTATTGTCCTTGGGTTTATAATGAGATCGGAGTTAGAAATCATAAATTATTCATAAGTTTTGTATATTCATTAAATCTTGCAATTTTATTATTCACATATTTATCAATTAAATATTTCGATATAATAAAGGATAATAATGGATACGATACAGATGATGAAGAAGATAGTTTAATTTGTGGTATATTCGGTGATGAATTATGTTTTGGTTTCAAAAATCATAATTTTCATTTCAATTTAATTATATGGTGTTGTTTACAATATATTTGGTTAGTTATCCTATGTATAGTACAAACATTTCAAATTTTAAAAGGGTTAACAACATGGGAATTTTCAAACTTGAATAATAAGTTATCAAGCAGTAGATTTAATCATTCTACAGTGCCTAAAGATTTCAATGATATAGTACAAGAACAAAATCAACAACAACAACAACCACTAAAAAAACCAAATGAATTAAATACTTGTTTGAATTTGCTTGGAATTGATCAATTTATAATGACGGTAAAATTAAGTATTGGTTCATTATTTAAAAATAAAAATGATGTGAATTATGATCCATTAACTATTGATATTCCTACAAATTATGGAATTAAACAAAATTGGAAAGATTTTTGGATTATTGGTGATGAAAAAATCAGAAATATTTTTTATTTACCAATTGAAGATGAAAATAATTTAAATGGTCAAATTGTTCATTATTATAAATTGTATGAATTACCTCCAAAGAAATCAACTGAAATTGTATAGAGATGTAATATAAATTTAATGAGTAATTGAGAAATGACAATACCTATAAATCTATTTCTAATGATTTGAAATTCAATAGAATGTTTAAGTATTGAGAGAAAAGGACATGGATGAGTATATTTAAATGTTGCATAATGTATTGAACCTGTATTGAAGACTTTAAAGGTTTTAGTTATAATTTCGATTCAGTGCGAAAGATGGAACCAACGCTCGCCTTAAGGATAAACTTCCATGGCCGGTTTTCCCGTCTCACATCGGTTTAATACCATAAATTCTAGATAATTATTCGAGCGAATCAGTTATGCTAGAAGTTGCTAGACGAAGACTAAGTGTGATTACCTTGAAATTTAACGTTTTTTTGCATTTTTTAAATGATAAATTTAATGATCAAAATTACGTAAATCCAGCCGCTAACAACATGCTTTTAATTCAAGATTGCTCGGATTATAGCAATAAAATTTTGACAAGTATAGCTTGAATTTTGAGGGAGTTATTTGCAAATTGAATTTGTGATTAGCTATGACGAGACTGCTTATAAGTTATTTTGTTTCAAAATAAAATAATAGAAAAGCATGCCCTATATGCAGTCTCACAATAATAATTTCAAGACTTATCTTGTAAATAACTTACTGAATATACTAGCTAGTGTTTTCAAATTTTTTTCATTAAGTCTTGAGTTATTTTAAAGTAACATGATGCTATTATCTTTTGATGAAACATTATTTTGACCTTCCGTTAACTCGTTTTTAAAAAAATATGAAAAAACGTTAAATTGCAAGATAATCAACACTTATACCTCGTTTTCCTTCTTCAAAGGTAGCTGATAAAGTTCATTTGACCCTAAAGAGTTTTTTTTACATAGTTTTCAAGATCACTTAATCGGGGTTTTTCAAAAATTTCGACACACTTTTGAAAAATTACTTTTCTAATTTGAATGCCTTACACAAAAAACACAAAGGTTAATTAGCTTACAGGAACTAAAAATTGTCATACTTTAATCACACTTTTATTGGAATTTGGATTGTGGAGTCAGATATTTTGTGAGGTCAATTTAATTGCATCAAGTTCAGCAATTTTCATTGATACTCAATATGTCTAATTCATTGTTTAATTGAGAATTATGGACCCAAGTAGAAAATTATACTGCATTCTTTTTTTTTTTGAAAGTTTTTTGTATGGTGAGAAGAGCCCAAAATGACAACTCAAAAAAAAAATGCTGGAAATCTAAACTTTGGAATATCTAGATTATATAATTCAAAGCTCCTGATTTCATTAGATTGGTTTTTAGTTTTAGGGAATACGATGCTCATGACTTATTGACCAATTAATTTAGAGCGAGTTGCCCCAGAGCTAGCGCGAGAAAAGTTTATGTTGGCACTAAATTTGGGCCAGTAGTACATCCTATAAACAATAAAATTTAAATCAATTTGACTTATATGCAGTCTTTTTGTGATGTTGACGTTATTCTTTCAAACCTTAATTCATTAAATCTTCCATTAAGTAAGATCTAGTTGTTGCTAGACTTAATTAGTAAAACATAGTTTTGATTACGTTACGTATCTTTCAAAATGTGTTCCTCTTGAAGTTTGATCTCATCTCATCTCATGTCATCTCATCTCATCGTATTTTCAAAAAGTTATCGAAATTATTCTATCGCCTGACAGTAATAACCTTGACAACTGTATTTTAAAATACAATCATTCATTGGTCGACATCACAACAATGGAGTTTCTAAAACAGAAACTAAATTTAGTTTTGTTTATAACTTGTCAGACAGCCACTTATACCCATCCAAATTATTTTCCTCCGAAAAGTAATAACAAAATGGATAAAGATCATCGCTCCTTTATCAAATCCCAAAGGATTTTGTAGTTAAAGGCAAAACAAAATTGAATAGATGACCAGATTATGAAAATCATAGTCAAGCAAAAAATTGATTATTCTCACTTTCAAGGGTATAAGGGTAATCTCACTCATCAACCAAGTTGGATTCAGTGGCTCTTTTGAAGAGTCAAAGAGGGACGTAAACTATAGAAATGATCCTATGAAGTACGTCGACAGAGAAAAAAAAAAGAAAGGAAAAAGTTGAAAAAGTTGATGGGATTGAGATGGTTTATATATTATTTTTTCGACCGGGTAAACTTTTGAAAAATGGAATTAAAACACGCCCTGCTAAATATAGTTATTATTAATGAGTAAACGACCAAATGATAATTTTGAAATACCAAAGCCGAAGAAACAGAAGTTAGTTGATCCTCAATATGTCTTACCTAAAGCATTACCATCTTCACCTGCTACATTACAAGAAAGAAAGAAGTTTATTGAGCATATTGTTAAAGTTTTAACCAAAGTTCAACCAAATTTAAAAACGCCAAAATTAAAGGCAATTCATATAGAATATCAAATTGCAAAATCCTCAACTAATGCAACTTATAAAACAGTATTAAAGCAGAAGATTTATAAATTATCACATCCTGAAAAATTTAAAACATTTGCTAGAAAAGATGATATTCTGAAACAATTGGAAATTTTAAATTCATGGGTCATTTCAATAGATAAATTAAAACAATATGGTTATACAATGAATATACCGGAAGCTAGAACCAATGAGAATTTAACGAGACTATGTAATAGATGTAATACTGAATTTAGACTTGCTCAACAACTTGAAAAAACTGTATGTAATTTCCACCATGGGAAATTAAGAAAAGGTCCATATAGGAAAAGGAATTACGATTGTTGTGGTGGTGAAGAACATGTTAGTCCAACTTGTGCTACTTCAGATTATCATGTTTACCAATTACCTACCGTTGAAGAAAAACATGCATTATTGAAATATCAAAACACTAAAGATATATTCACTAAGAAATCACCTTATTTAGTCGTTGGTATAGATTGTGAAATGGGATATACTACAAAAGGATTCGAATTATTGAGAATTACAGCTGTTGATTTCTTCTCTAAAAAGACTATCCTCGATGTTTACGTTAAACCAATTGGCCAAGTTGTTGATTTTAACACTAGATATTCAGGAATAAGTGAAATAACAGATGAATTTATTAGATTTGAAGAGAGTATGAATAAACTAGGAGAAATCATGGATTCAAGTACAATTTTAATTGGTCATGGTTTAGAAAATGATTTACATGCAATGAGATTAATACATGAAAGAATAATAGATACTTCAATATTATATCCTAAACATAAACCAAGTCCAACTTTCAAATATAGTTTAAAAGATTTAACATTTATGTATTTAAGTAGAAATATTCAAATTGGAGAACACGATAGTACAGAAGATAGTATAGCAGCTATAGATATAGTTAAATATTTTTTAAATAAAGAGCTAAATACTTAGTCAGGCAATTTATATCTAGAACCTGTAGATACAGCTATTGCTCGATTACATGTTAATGATTTACCCTTATGACAGAAAAAAGTACCATTTAATGGGACATTTGTAGTTGTTTCATAATCAATCATATAACCTTTAAAATTTGGATTTATCATATTGAATTGACAATTTGGTGCAACTTGAACATTTCTTTCCATATTTACTTCTAATACATTTTGTTTTAACCCTACTTGCATTAACTGTTGATAATCTATTAAACATATTAAATCATAATTTAAATTTTGAAAATCATTAAATTTATATTCTTTAAATTGTTCATAATTTATAAACTCATCAACTAGGTTCATTTTTAATTGTAGATCTATATTTGAATCACTTTGTAATATTAAATTATGAATATTATCGCTTGGTTTTAAAATTGATTGAAATTTATGATTCAAATTACTTCTACATTCAGAAGCTTCAAAGATTTTATGACCTAGTTTAATTGTATTTATATGATAAACTATCTTGGAATTTTCAATACATTGTCGATTATGTTCATTGACTAATTGTTGAAATCTAGTTAGATCGTGTGATGATGAACTAATTTTATTTGCAACATCTAATAACGCATCAATTATAATTTGTTTATCATGAGTTTTTGTACTTAGTTTTAATATTGGTTTTGTTAATGAACTGGGATGTGGTGATGGTATAGTTGATAATACAAATTGAATCAATATTAATATAATTATAATCATCATTCTTAACCGCTGTATACCTTTCGATTTGACACAAAAAAATGGCTGCAAAAAGGAAAACACGCAAAACTGAAACACGCGACAAAAAAAAAATAAAATTTTAAAAAGCGTGAATGGAAAATACATTATTAAAAATTGACAACCAAATATTCCAGTTTCTTTTCATACCATGGCTAAATTAGCTACTCAGTCTAAACAAACAAGCCAGAATGGGTCATCATCACAAAAGAAACAATCGTCGTTAATGTCATTCTTTGAACCAGTTTCAAAAGATAAATCACAACCAAAATCATCTCCTACACCCGTCAAAAATAACCATTCGTTATTAGATTCATCACCGTTAAGGTCAAAAGAATTTAGTGATAAAGAAAACATTTCAACTAGTTCAATGACATCACCTCAAGAACCAACAATTAGGAAAGAATTTGTAAAACCTGCTTGTAAAAAACAACCGTTGGGTGATAAATCATTTGCTCTAAATTCGAGCCCCGTGCAAACAGGACGTGATAGAGGTAAACAACAAATAAATTATACAGAATCCGATTCTGAAGATGAAATTATTGGTGGTGCAAGAAAAAGAAGAAGAATTGTAAATGATGATGATGATGATGATGATGATGATGATGATAGTGAAAATGAACCAGATTTTAAACCAGAACTGGAAGATGAAGATGATGAAATGAGTGAAATTGAAGGAACAACAGTTGCGCTGGATTTAGAAGATGAAATTGAAGTAAAACCAAAGAAGAAGTCATCACCAAAACAAAAACCAACAGGATCTGCTGCTTCAAGATTTAATGCATCTTCATCATATCAAGCAACTGATTATAAACCAATTAAACATAAACCACAAACAACAACCAAAAAATCATTTGCAAAAGAAAATGAAGAAAGATATCAATGGTTAGTTAATATAAGAGATGCCGAAAAACGTTCCATTGATGATCCAGATTATGATCCAAGAACTTTATACATCCCACAATCTGCATGGTCTAAATTTACAGCATTTGAAAAACAATATTGGGAAATTAAATCGAAAATGTGGAATACTGTTGTATTTTTTAAAAAGGGTAAATTCTATGAATTATATGAAAATGATGCAATGATTGCTCATACTCAATTTGATTTAAAAATTGCCGGTGGTGGTAGAGCAAATATGAAATTAGCAGGTATTCCAGAGATGTCATTTGAATATTGGGCTAAGGAATTCATCAGTGCTGGTTATAAAGTTGCAAAAGTTGATCAAAAAGAATCAATGTTAATGAAAGAAATTAGAGGTGGTTCTGGAACAAAAGAAGAAAAGATTATTAAAAGAGAATTATCTGCAATTTTAACCGGTGGTACATTAACTGATTTAGAAATGATTAGTGATGATATGTCAACTTATTGTTTAAGTATTAAAGAAGAAGTACAAGAAGACTGTACTAAAAAATTTGGTGTTGTTTTTGTTGATACTGCAACTTCTGAATTAAATTTCATTGAAATTGATGATGATGCTGAATGTACAAAATTGGATACTTTAATAACCCAAATTAAACCAAAAGAAATCATTTGTGAAAAGGGTAATCTTTGTCCAATTGTCATTAAAATTTTGAAATATAGTACAAATAATCAAATTTGGAATAATATGAATCCAATTACTGAATTTTGGGATTATGATATTACTATTGAACAATTGGTTAAATCTAAATATTATCATGCAAAAGATTTAGATGATTTTTCAAATTATCCTCCAGTGTTATTACAATTTAAAGAAAATTATAAAATTGCATTCAATGCCTTTGGAGGGTTATTAAATTATTTAAAATTATTAAAATTAGATTCAACTATAATGAGTCTTGCAAATATGAAACAATACAAAATTTCCAAAAATGAATCATCACATTTAATTTTAGATGGTACAACTTTAAATAATCTTGAAATTTTGAATAATTCATCTGATAATAGTGATAAAGGTACTTTATTCAGATTGATAAATAGAGCTTCAACTCCATTTGGTAAAAGACATCTTAAAAAATGGGTATTACATCCATTAATGAAAATCAATGATATAAATGCAAGATACGATGCCATTGATTATTTAATGGATGATGGTTTAGAAATTAGATCGGTACTTCAAGATACTTTAACCAATTTACCTGATTTAGAAAGATTATTAGCAAGAATTCATTCTGGTAATTTAAAATTTAGAGATTTTTTAAGAGTTGTTGAAAGTTTTGAATCGATTGCTAGATTTCTGAAACAATTGAGTGAATTTACCGATACAAATTGTGGTGTTTTACATAAATATATTCAAAGTTTCCCAATTCAAATGAAGGATAAGATTCAAGAATGGGAAGATTCATTTGATAGAGAACAAGCTAAAAATGATATTATTATACCAGCAACTGGAGTTGATGAAGAATTTGATAATTCACAGGCTATAATCAAAGAATTGGAAACTGAATTAGAAGCACAATTAAAAGAATATAAAAAAGAATACAAATCTCATGAAATTTGTTATAGAGATTCAGGTAAAGAAATTTATTTAATTGAAATTCCAATAAAATTAGTTAAACATATTCCAAGAGATTGGCAACAAATGGCAGCAACTTCAAAAGTTAAAAGATTTTGGTCACCTGAAGTTAAAGTATTAGCTAGAAAATTAATGGAACAAAAAGAATTACATAAAGAAGTTTGTGATAATTTAAAAACAAGAATGTATCAAAAATTTGATCAAAATTATGAAATATGGATGAAAGTTATAAATTCAATTGCAAATATTGATTGTATATTGGCGTTAACTAAAGTTTCAGAAACTATTGGATATCCATCATGTAGACCAAAATTTATTGAATCAGATAACGGTTATATAAATTTTAAACAATTAAGACATCCTTGTTTTATAAGTACAAAAGATTTTATACCTAATGATATTAAATTAGGTGGTGACAAAGAGCCAAATTTTGGTTTATTAACTGGTGCAAATGCTGCTGGTAAATCTACTTTAATGAGAACTACTGGTTTAGCTATCATTTTAAGTCAAATTGGTTGCCACATTCCAGCAGAATCGGCTGAATTAACTCCAGTAGATAGAATAATGACAAGATTAGGTGCTAATGACAATATAATGCAAGGTAAATCTACATTTTTTGTCGAATTATCAGAAACTAAAAAAATTTTAAGTAATGCAACACCAAAATCGTTAGTTATCTTAGATGAATTAGGGAGAGGTGGCTCAAGTAGTGATGGTTTTGCAATTGCTGAATCTGTATTATATCATATTTCAACTCATATTCAATCTATTGGATTTTTTGCAACTCATTATGGCACATTAGGTCAATCATTTAAATTGCATCCACAAATTAAACCAATTAGAATGGGTATAGTTGTAGATAATGATTCAAGAAATATAACTTTCCTTTATAAATTAGAAGAAGGTACTGCTCCTGGATCTTTTGGTATGAATGTTGCATCAATGTGTGGTATTTCAAATGAAATTGTTGCAAATGCAGAAATTGCAGCAAAGAATCATGAACAAACATCAAAATTAAAAAAATTAGATGAAGAAGATCATATTGATATTAGTTTAGGTTTACAAAGTGATTTCAACTGGTTTGCAAATGATAAAATTAAACTACTTGCTAAAGATATCGTAAATTATGAAGAAAATGTTCAACAATGTGCATTAGAAAATATATTTAAAATGATTGATAAATTATAGAATTGTATGTAATACATACTCATGGCTTAAATACGTATCTTCCTTCATATTCATTCTTTCTCAATTTATCAATAAATTCAGGTAATTTTTTCAATTCAGTAGCTTGAACAATTGGTTTAATTTTACCTTCAGCAGCTAATTGGAAAACTTCTTCCAAATCATTTGAAGTACCCCAAAATGAACCTAGAATATTGATTTCTCTTAAATCTAAATCTCCAACGTTAAAAGATAATTTAGGTGCACCTAAACCAACTGGTACAATTATACCTTTTGGTTCACAATATTTTTGACATAAATCAAAAGTCGATTGAATTGATACAAAATCAAGACAGACACCAAATGAACCAGGCTTACAAGACTCAGGTAATGATTCATAAACAAAATCAGCACCCATTTTGCTTGCTAATTGTCTAGCTGGTTCTTTTTTATCAATTACTGTGACTTTTGCACCAAAACATTTTGCAATTTGAATTGCATTAATTCCTAATCCACCAGCACCAATAATTAAACAATTTGTAGCAGGATTAACTTTTGCTAATTTTATAGCATGATATGGAGTCAAAGCAGCATCAGTTAAAGCAGCAGCATTTTCTGAAGATAAATTATCAGGAATTCTAACTAAATTTCTTGGTCTTTTAACCAATAAATATTGTTGATAGCCTCCATTATAGCCTAAACCAAACCAGTTTAGCCATGAATCGGTGCAAACATTATCTTTTGCACCTCGACAAAATTTACAAACACCACAAGCATTTGGTCCAACACAAGCTACTCGATCACCAACTTTAAAATTGACATTTTCATCACCTAAACTAGCAACAGTACCGGCAATTTCATGACCCATAACATAATTATCACCACAATCTAAACCTTCATAGATCACGTGTAAATCAGAATGACATAAACCAACGGCATCAATTTTTAATAACAATTCACCAGGTTGTGGCTTGGGTACCGGTAAATCATTTTTCAAATTTAAACCGGAGGCTTTATTATAGAAGAAGCCATATTGAGTTTGAGGAATTGAAGACATTGAATTCGATAATCTGATTGAATTACTTAAAGATCTTGTTATAACTTTTTTAAATGACATTTAATTTAGAATATTAAGCTTATGGTAAACCTTTTATACTTTACTAATAACTGTAACGATAATTAAGGGATATTTCATGTTTATGTATGTAACCGAATCATGTTGAAATATGTTAAATCTTATGATTATAATAATTAAATTTGTGATACACTAAGAAACATTTCCCCATATAGATTGGCCCCAGAATTTTAGACCAGTAAATGCATAATTAATCTCATAGTATTAAATCATTCCGTATACGTATTGTATAGTTTAAAAAAAATGGTCTGACTGACGACGGGGATAATTTTTTTTTTTCTATATCGAACGGTAATTCCCATTCTTTTGCCAATACATATTCAATTCAATTCAATTCAATTGGTCATCATGATTAATCAATTAGGTTTAAATACAAGAATTCCATATCATTTCTTATTTTATTCATTAGCTTTTGGTGGTTCTGCTTTTTATTCATTTATTGTTTCACCATTAGTTTTTAAAAAATTAACAAGAGAAGAATTTAGTAATTTACAAAATAAAGTATTTCCAACATATTTTCAAGGTCAAATCTTATCACCAATTATAATTGGTTTAACTACTCCTTTAAAATGGTGTCCATTTAGTCTTGGTTTATTAGCTTTAAGTACAATTGGTGGTACTTTAAATTATTTATGGTTATTACCAAAATGTCAACAAATTAAAGAAGAAAGAAATAAATATTTAGCTGATAAATTAGGTGATGAAAATAGTGAAGGTTATAAAGCTTTATCAAAACAATTTGGTAAATATCATGGTATTAGTACATTGATCAATATCATTTCAATCTTCTCATTAGGTATTTATGGTGTCACATTAGCTAATGGTTTGACGAAAATTGTCGCTTAAATAAGATAATATTATAGCTTTGTTTGATCTCTAGTTATAAATTATTAAATGTATATAGTTTGATTTTGGAAATCTATTCAGTTTTCTTTGCTACTTGTCTTTTTTTCTTTAATTTTTCATCCTCTAGTTCTTCTGAATAAAGATATACTCCATATTTAAATAGATATAAGTAAAACAATACCATAGCATTAATTATTAGGATGATAAAATATGCATATAATTTAAAATTTGATAAACTTTCATTTGTCATCCATTGCCTTAATATCCAAACATAATTTAATATTATAAGTGTCATTATACCTATTCCCGCAAAGAAAAATTTCACATCTTTGCCCATATCTTCGGACATTAAGCCTTGCATTGGGGGTTTCTTTTGTTTTTGTTGTTGTTGGGGTTGGGGTTTTAATTCTTGCAGCATTGGTTAAATTCTATATTTCTTGACACGTGGATTACGATTTGGAGTAGATGAAACTTTCAGTTGGTATTAAACTTGCTTTACAGGTTCTAAATAATTACTAACTTGGGTTAATGAAATTTGAAATGGATTTTGAAGCAAATGAGGCCTTCTTTCGCATCAACAAAATATTTTCAACGAGAAAAAAAAATTGTGATGTTTCAGTTCCGACGAAAAAAAAAAAATAGATGGCGTGGCTAGTACCGGTTATGAACTTTATTTTGATCAAAATTGAGATCTTTTAAAGATATTTCCAAATTCAAACTACTTTATGGGTAGTTTTTAAAGCAATTACATAGCAGCGACACAGCAATATCATTTCCATACTCCTTCCATGTAACGGAGGTATTTATATATGTCAGCAATTAGTTGCGGGGGCTATTAATTATAAGATAGCAAAAAAAGGATCTAAAACAAAGGTTTTCTAGAAACAAAGGGATATAAGAGGAATACATGTTACACTAATTTATTGTTTTATCCAATTATTGTAATTGCAATACAGTCAGATTGTTTTACTCTTCGTACAAATGTAATGAAATATAATTCGAGAACTACTAAACAACAAGAACCACTAAACAACAATAGAGTTCAAAGTGGAGGCCTAAAATTAGTCAATTGGAGAAAGACTTGTTGTACAAACTTATTGTTTTCTTGCAAATATATAAACTAGATAAACGCAGTGCAGTAGCATACAATCCAAACAATAATAATTAAGACACACTATAATGCCACACATAGATAAAGCACAATCTATATGACAGAAACTTCATACTTTAAAATGCAATTGGGGAAGTTACTATAAGTTTCGAATTGAAAATCTGTTTTTGAAAATAATTTCGAGTTTTCTTGAATTTTTACCAAATTTGCCTTAGTTTAATTTTCAATTATTTGCTCTTGTTATTGAATAATAGTTATCTTACAATTGACGAAGAGATTCATGATAGAATATAGAACTACGATCGACATGAAATCTAGTTTTATCGCCATTGCAAAAATACAACGTATTAATAAAATTTATTTCAAAAGTAACGATAGTAATAACTTGGATCTAAGCAAAAGATTTACAAATGTAAGTCAGATATTATCTTCCAATCCGTTAGACGTTAGATTCAGATTAACAGCTGATCTTTATAATAATTACAAGAATAATCTCAGATTCAAATTAATTTATGCTGAGGTGATCGAATTTTTTTCCAACGCGGACTTGAAAAATATAGATCCAAACGCATGGCACACAAATTAGGAAAACACTGTTGTTTCCTTTCCATCACAGTTTTTGCCTTTCAAAACGTTTTACGGTACATGAGAGTGTAATTTAAAGTCTCAACAACAAAGAAAATAGCAAAAGAAGAAGGTTTTTGCACCCTATTGTCGATTTCGAATTCGTATGATTTCTTGGTTTGAATAAGTTTCCTTCGAATAAGTGCTGAGAAAATTCTTTGCAGGGTCAAAACTTAAAATTTTACTTCATTGGTAATTTTGGAACAATTCGTAACTCTGATCTTTTTTAAAGCGATAATTAGACTAATAATAATAAGATTCATTTTAAATTTGTGTTTTTTTTCAAACAATGGAAAGTTAAGATCGAATAAATTAGAAATCAAGCAAAACAATTAGAAAAATCTGTAGAACTTAATTGTTGATTTTAAATCTTAAGCCAGTCTACATTTACTAAAAAATACATCTATCCATTGATAACTGATCAAGGAATTTGTGAAAAGTGAGGTGATACTTTATGCACTGGTTATGAGTTTACGCGCTGTTTCAATTTGAAAACTGCTCTATCTGAACAGCATCTTAATTATCGAAGGTCTTTCTTATGGAAATAACTATAATTTATTTATCAATCAAATTTACGGAGCCATATCGTTTTGTATAAATATAGATTGAATTTCACAAAGGTTCAATTCGACTTTTTGTAAATTTACTTATCATCAATTATCAATCATCGACTTCCAATAGTTAATATAATGAATTATCAACCACCACAATATTTAAGTGATCCATTCTTTAAACAAGAATATGAAGTTTATTCAGCTCCAATTTCACCTGTCAATGAATATCCAGTTAATTTTCAAGAACAACAAGAATGGATGAATGATTTCTTTATTGGTTCAGCTCCAATTTCACAAAATAATAGCCCTGTCGATATGAATACTACTATACCTCCAAATCCCGTTAATTTTGCACCATACGTTGATAATAAAAATGTTGAAACTACTTTGCAAGCTTCAAGTACTCATTCAAGTAGTTCCCAACTTTTTAGTGGTTCGGAATTAGTTTCTTCAAATGATACATCATTAGCAAATTCACCAGATACTCTAGTATGTTCATCAGAAATAACAAGCAATGCATCAAATTTATGTTATCCAAATATAACGAATAAATTAAATCAACAAAATCAACTTGATATTAATTCATTAGAAAACGTATTTCAAACTGAAGATATATTAAAACCAGAACCTCCAGTTGTAATTAAACAAGAAGAAGGTGAACAAATTCAACCACAACAACAAGAACCAACTAAACCAAAAAGAAGAGCACCAAGAAAGAAGTTAACTGATACACAAAAGAAAGCTCATAATAAAATTGAAAAGAAGTATAGAATCAATATTAATGCTAAAATTGCAGGTATACAAAAGATAATACCATGGGTTGCATTTGAAAAGACAGCCTTTGAAACTGGAGAAAATCAAACTGAACAAGAAGCCGAAAAATGTAATAAATTGAATAAATCAATGATTTTGGAAAAAGCTACTGAATATATTTTACATTTACAAAAAACAGAACAAGATATATTAAAAGAAAATGAAAAATTAAAAGAGAAAGTATTACAATTAGGTGGTACAATATAATGATTCGTTCTTTAATCAAATCAGAGCCTTATAGAGTATTATAGAGTTTAGATTAGAATTTTTGTATTATGTTTTATGATTTAATGTTTAATGATTTTTTGTACGTGTTTTATGTATTCTTGATTTATAGAGGTTTTATTTAATAAATGTTTAATATGGTTTAATATATCATCTAATTAGTAGGTGTCGTTTCTTAAGTTTCAAAAAATCTTTCGATTTAAATTTATGCCAGATCCTCGTTAATCCGAAGATTCGGAAAAACTAATTATTCCGATCCTCGTTAATCTAAAAAGAGATTAAAATCTCATAAAAGTGGTTAGATTTTTGGTTTGGTACCTGACCCAGAGGAAGCGAGTTTCAGATCAAAGAACTCAGCCCATTATTTAGTTTATGAGTAGTTTAGTCAGCCTAATATTTAGTCAAACCATATTTGATTCTTGTCTACTAATTGTATCATTCTTTTTGATCAAGATAAACGCTTTCAGAGTTAGGTTATGAAAGTAGGATGTCAACCTGCACTAAATCATATATTTGACTCATTGATTTATACATTGAATGACTTCATTGGAGGTTAAACCCTGATTAAAGACATCGATTGTGACTCGATGGACTTTAATTTCCGATGCCATATATTCCATTTCGGTATTCTACTGGCCAGTTAATTTGCCGAGCGACATCTATCATTTTCTGCGCAAGGCAAATAAAAAACCGTATTTCTTAGTGCAACAAAAAGAAATTTTTGATTGCAATGTCTTCTTTTTTTGCGCTTTTTAATGTTACTCTTCTTGGATTTGATTCAAAATGCCTTATAGTTATTACTAACTTATGTTGCAAAATTTTCTTTTTGTTATGTGTTTTAAATATCTGCACATTCCACTTTTTTTACATTTTCATTCTTCTAAAGGCAAGTGAAAACTTAGATATTCCCCTAAGTTCAAGAGTTACCAGTCTTCTTTATCTATTCTTTCATTATCTAAATTACACAGTCCAAATACATTTTTTGCAGCCCGCGTTAGCATAATAGAATGACTATTTACCAAGAATCAAAAAAAGATGAAAGTTATTCATTATCAAGTTTTCAATTACAAGAATCTTCATCTAAAGATCATGATATAAAAACATCATCAACTAATGAAAAAGAAATTTCAAATAATAAGGTACCAGTAAGAAACTTTTTTCAATCGTTTAAAATAGATAGAGATTTAGAAGCAGATTATGATGTTACGACTCCGGAAGATAATTTAAAAGATTATCAAGTTAAATTAATTGCATTGGCATCATGTATAGGTTCAGGTTTATTTATTAGTTCTGCATCAATGATCTCATCCGCTGGTCCAGCAAATACTGTTATTGGTTATGCAGTTATAGCAGTTTTAATATTTTTTGTTGTTCAAGCCTTGGGTGAATTAACTAGTTCATATCCTGTTAGAGGTAATTTCTTGATTTATAATTCAAGATTTATTGATGAATCATGGGCGTTTGCAATGAATTGGAATTATTGTTTACAATGGATTGTCACCATACCGTTATCATTAGTTTCAGCTTCTTTAACTATACAATTTTGGAATGAGTCAATAAACGCAGCTGCTTGGGTTTCAATATTTTGGGTTGTTATAGTTGCAATCAATGTTTTTGGAGTTAAAGGTTATGGTATTGGTGAATCAATATTTTCAGTTATTAAAGTTGTTGCAATTTTAGGATTTTGTATATTTGCAATCGTAATTATTGCAGGTGGAGGTCCACAAGGTTATATTGGAGGTAAAAATTGGTATCCAGGTTTCAATAATGGTTTTCATGGTTTCTGTAATACTTTGGTAAATGCCCTGTTTGCATTTTCAGGAACAGAATTGAGTGCAATTGCAGCTGCTGAAACATCTAATCCAAGAAAATCACTTCATAGAGCAATGAAACAAATATTTTGGAGATTAGTCATATTTTATTTATTAGCTATTATATTAGTTTGCTTTTTAGTTCCATATGATGATCCTAAATTAATGGGTAATTCAAGTTCAAATACTTCACCGTTTGTCATTGCAATTTCAAATGCTCAAGTTAAAGCATTACCATCAATTTTTAATGTTGTTATATTATTGGCAGTTTTATCTGTTGCGAATGCTAGTGTATTTGCAACTTATAAACCATTAGTTGCATTAGCTGAAGCTGGTCATGGTCCACGATTTTTAGCCATGATTGATAAAAAAGGTAGACCAATTTTTTCAATTATCATTGCATTAGCATTTGGTTTAATTGGGTTTGTTGGTGCTTCAGAAAGTCAATCAATAGTTTTTGCTTGGTTATTATCATTAAGTGGTTTATCATGTATTTTCATTTGGTTTTCAATTTCATTAGCTCAAGTTAGAGTTAATTATGCATGTAAAGCTCAAAATATTGATAAAAATAACGTCCCTTTCAAAGCCATTGGTGGTGATTATGGTGCTTATTTTTCAATGATTATAAACCTTTTAATATTAGTCGCACAATTTTACGTTGCATTATATCCGGTTGGTGGTAAACCCTTACAAGCATCAACATTTTTCCAAGCATATTTGGCAGTTCCAATTGTTGTGATGTTCTACGTTGGACACAAACTTTGGACAAGAAATTGGAACTTGTACATTAAAGCAGAAGATATGGATATTACAACTGGTAGAAACATAATGGATACTGAAGTTTTAAAACAAGAAATTTACGAAGATCGCGAAAATTGGAAACAAAGACCATTATGGTATAGATTCATAAATACTTGGTGTTAAATCTTGTAAAACCTTAATAATAGCTTATGACTTTATGACTTATAGATTTTATAGAAAATGTAAGCATTTTAATGACGTTAAAATATTTTGCAATCATTTCGTGTGCTGTTCTACAATTATTGATCTGAAAAATAAACAACTAAATTTAGTTTACTATGAGTTCAGTACAACTGTTAATCACAGATTATACAGGACTACAAACTGAATCTAAACGAAGGTTCTCTGAGATTAAACGTTCATGTGAGTCGGTGATTGCAATTTTGAAAAAATGTCAGGCAATTAAAGATATGGATAATGAACAACAAAAGAAAGATTTATTGAAACCGTTAATACTATCATGTAGATCAGGAAATGCCAAGTTATCTATTATATCAATACCAATTATAAATAAGTTAATATTTATTAATTTGATTTCAGTTGAGAATTTGTCACAATTGTTACAATCATTAATGGAAGCGTCAAATTTATCTGTTGATATTCAGTTGAGAATACTACAATGTTTACCATCATTAATGCAGAATTATAAACTGGAATTCAATGGAGATTTATTGTTGGATTTAGTTTTAATATGGTCAAATTTAACCTCGAGTAATAAATCAGCCGTGGTGATAAATACTGGGCTGGCAACAATTCAACAAATATTTACCAACATCTACGATAATATAAGTATTGAACCAAGAGAAGGAAGTAATGACATTAGGCTAGAGAATGAAGAAACAGTAAGCGTTGATAGATTATCTTATGAAGGATTTTTAATATTTCAAGATTTATGTAATATATTAGAAAATGAAAAACCAACATATCTAAAATCATTTCATATGAGAACACTATCAGTATTGGAAATAATTGAAAGTATACTACATGGTCATAAGCAACTATTCCAAAACCATCAAGAATTATCATTTTTATTAAAAACCAAAGTAATACCGTCTTTACTTAAAATTTTAAACTCATCAAGTAAAAACTTTCAGTTAATTAGTAGAACAATGAGAATAATACATGTATTATTATCTGACCAACTAACTACACTTCAAATTGAAAGTGAAATAATATTGTCATTTGTTAATCATTTATTATTAGATAATGAAATTGATGAAAATCAATATTGGGAAAAGATTTTAGTACTTGAAATGTTTAAAAGCATTTTTATGGACTTCCTGATAATAATACAAATCTTTGAAGAATATGACCATAATCAACAAAAGAAAGATGTATTCAAGGAATTGTTTGTCATTTTAAATACTTTTTTAGGTAATAATCCACAATTAACAAATGATATAGTTAGACCTCCACCAAAATCAACACCAAATAAAGAAGTGCTATACTTATCAAAATCTACATCAAGTATCAAAACTTCAGTGTTAAATCATTTAGATAAATTTGAACCTCCAATTTTCCCCGTAACTTATGCTACATATTTAATATTTCAAATTTTGATACTGTATTCGGAAGGTGTTTCAAATTTTGTATCAAACTTATCTAGTGACTCCCAAAATATTGAAAAAGATGTTGAGTTTACAAATTCTTTAATCGAGTCATGTGCATCTGAGGTCAATTCATTGTATAAAAAGTTCATTTATTATTCAATGGATGAGGAAAGTTTTCGTTTATTAATAAGGTCATTACAGAAGTATACTCATACCACTGGTTTATTAGGATTGTCTAGAACAAGAGACTCAATGTTAATGATTTTATCAAAATCTACAATTAATAATGTCACTAAAGTACAAGAAAATGATGAGCCAGAGTCATTATTAAAAGAACAAAAGAAACAAATTTTAGCGTTTGGTGAATCATTAGTTGATTCAATTACTTCGAATTCTACACAACAAAGTAATGAAGTTTTACACACAAGACATTTCAATTCAAGACATGTAATATGTTTAAGGGCTTTAATTAATTTGGCTATCTCATTAGGTTCAACTTTAAAATTATCATGGTCAGTTATCTGGATAACATTGCAATGGTGTAATTCTTTTGTTTATGGACCTGATCAATTCAGTGGTTATCATAGCAAATCTCAAGAAAATTTTCAAATAATGAAACCTGAAATAAGTACTCAAGAGATAAATAGTGTTGAATCATTAAAGAAAAAGTTATTGGAAAGTATCGGTGAATCTCCAGAAAGTTCATTTATAAGTCTAGTTCACTCCTTGACTGATTTATCTGATAAAGCATTTGAAAATAAACAAGATGAAAATTCTGAATTATCTTTATGCCCATATAATAAATCATACTACTTACAAACCTTTTCTCAAATTTGTGAATTAAATGCACTTAGATTAATTAAAGAAGATAAATGCTGGGAGACTATCAGTTCATATATTATTTCATTAAGCTGTAATAGAAAATTAAATAACAATTTACGTGTCTATGTTGTTCAAATATTTAACAAAACAATAGAATCAATTGCAAATACAGGATTTAATGAACACCAATCAGAAGATATTATAAAACAAACTTCAAATAAATCATTACAAGCTTTAAACCAGTATTTAGAATCATTGTTTAAAATGGGTGTGCCACAAGAATTACTTGTTTGGAATTGGGAAACAGAAATCCATTTATCTATATTGACAACCTTACATTCATTGATTGATAAATACGATACTTATTATCAACACTCATGGAATAAAGTATTTATAATTTTGAATACTCCTTTCAAATTATCTCAAAATGCAAATTTGAAAGATAAATTACAATTATTAGTTGAGAAATCATTTGATACTCTAAAATTAATCCTTGATGAGTTTTTATTAACTTTGCCTTTTGATCAATTTAAGTACTTGATAGATACATTAATTAAATTTTGTGATCAAAAATTTGATTTAAATATCTCATTTAGTTCAGTCAGTTATTTTTGGTCAATTAGTGACGCATTAAAACTGAAAATTAAAGCTGATAGTAAAGTACCTAAAGTTAATAACGAGACAGAATTCGTTCAATATATTGATGAATTGAATGATGATAACTATATTAGTCTAGATATTTATTTATTATACAGTTTAGGTAAATTATCGAAAGATGAAGTTGATAGAGCCCAAGTTAGAGACGGTTCAATACAAACCTTTTTTCAAATTATAGAAAGTCATGGTGAAATTTTAAATAAAAGTTGGGATTTGATTTATAATATTGTGTTACTGAATATTTTTAAGATTGTACCTCCAAAAAAAGATAAAGATTGGTTGGAAACTTCACAATTAATCCTTGATGGGTTTGTAAATTTGTATAACAAATATGTTAAGAATGATGAAACATTAGTTGATAAATGGGAAGACCTAATTACTTATTTAAATAAATTGACTGAATTAAAATGGGCTGATTTAGATATTATAGTTTTCAAATCATTACAAGAATTGATTAAACCTCCATTAATAAAGAATGAACAAATACAAAATTCAATATTTCAACATTGGAGTTCTTTCAATGTTGAGTATGATTTTATCAATGTGAATTATCAAGATTCATTAGTTCAATTGATGAATTGTTTCCCATTAATATATGATTTGAGTTCAGATTTATTATCAGTTGTGAAAATTCAACTAATTATTAATATATTTTATCAATGTGCAAGATATCCCGTTTTACAAATGAGTCAAAATGATACAACCAAAGCAACCAAATTACAATCATCAATTATAAATAATTTCAAGATTATAGATATAGATAATGACGAAATTCAATCAGCTGTAATTCAACAATTGAGTAATATAATAGTTTTACCATTTGGTACGAGATCAAGGATTGAAGAAAAATTATCAAAAAATGAAATCATAATGAGTAAGTTTAAAATTCCAACATTTACATCAATAAGTCATGAATCATTAGAAATATTGAATACTAAATTACAGAGGTTGCATGATTTTACCACATTGATCAAAGATAATGGAGTTGTTAGAGTCATGAAATCCTTAATTGAAATAATAGAAAATAAATCAGTTGGATTACCAAATAAAAAGCCATTGTGGATTGAAAGTAATGATGTTTTAGTTTATATAATTTCAAAGTTAAATGATCACCATAGTTTGAATGATGAAGAGATTTGGAATTTGATCAACCAAAGTATAAATATATGTTTTAGTTCAACAGAACAAAGTCAAGAGATTGTAAATATTGAACAATATAATAAATTAACAACGATCATACTACCACAATTGAAACATAGAAAAGCAAGTGTTGAAGAATTTTTACTGAATATTTATCTAAACTCCTTTTTTTATGATTTAAATGCAGATGAAAAAAGTTTATTTGATGTTGAAGCGTTTAAAGATATTGATATTGATAAATTTACATCATTTGATTATAACAGATTTTTTGGAACTACTGAACCATTGCATATTTATTCAAATAGAAAAGTTAGACAGCATTGTTTATTAGAATTGATAAAATTTGCCAAGCAAGAATCAAATTTAAAAGAGGCATCAGAAATATACCTTATTAAACGCGCCTGTTTTTGTTTGAGAAGAGTTTTAAGTGATTTAAAGTTGATTATTGGATGTCCGTTACCATTAGTTCAATTGAAAGAGTTACATATTATTCTTGAAGGTTTTAAAACTTTAACTAACATCAGTGAAGTAAATAAAAGAGAGTTTAAGAAATTAAACAAAGTGTTTATTAAATTGTTACCAAATTTACATAAGATCAATGATTCAAATTCAGCATTACCTCAGATTTTAGAAAATTATGCCAATTTATAGAGATAAAATAAATCATGACGGCTTTTAAGACTTAATTTTGATTTTGACTGCAAAATTCTTTTATATTACAAATTCTATTTTTAGAAACATTAACAATCACAAAATTATATAACTTTTCTACTACTACCAACTATAATAAAAACTATGCCACTCATATTTTGGTTAGACATGAACTTGATTCCATTGTTTAATAAAAATTGCCTACAACAAGATTTTTAACATTATTGAAAAATGCCATTTCGCTTAAGCTCTTATATAGTAAATCAAATTTTACTAAAATAAGTCAAATAGAATCGAATCAATTTGTAATAACTTACATAATTTTTTAAAGGGAGATCAAATTTTAACTTCGTTTCTTTACATAAGAATGTTACACGATGAAATAAGATTGATTTTACAAGTCATCTTTAAATAAGAGATGCGGTTGAGTTTAGATGGAGAGTTTAGATGGAAATACTTTACTTTCAACCTATCAAATCTATCCAATCTATTGCTTAGTCTAACAAATGTCTGTTTATTTTTCTATTCGAAATAGAAAAAAAAGAAAGAAAAAAAACAAAAATAAATAAATTTAATTTTTTTTTTTTTTTTTTTTGGTACACAACTTCAGCTTCATTAAAACTCAAAAGTTCATTGATTCTTTTCATATACCATCCATTATTTGTATTTTATCAATAACCTTTAGTTAGGGTCTCATACATTCGCTACAATAAATAACTGCAAAATCAACATTTACTCAATCATTTACTCAATCATTTGATACTACTATAATACAATATTATGTCTTTTAATAGACCGAGTGGCAGTCCATCTAGAAATTATAGAGAATTTGATCCAGAGTCTGGTGATGGTATAGGTAGAAAAAAATCATTAGTTAGACCGGAAAGATCTAGAAACAATCCAAATAATCCTAGATTTTATTATGAATTACATCAATCAAGATCGAATTTAAGTCATATTCCATCAAACCGTCAACTACCTGATCCAAATAATAATGATGATGATAATGAGGGTATACCGTTAATGGATATACATAACTCTTCACCAGGTAGATTATCATCAAATGATGCAAGTGAAAATTTAAAAGGGGGCCGCGAGGTCTACGGATTAAACGATGAAATTAATGATTACACTGCTTCACCGGAGAAAAACAAAGTTATATCGACATTAAAATCGATGAATCAATATGGTAAAACAAAAGCTGAAAAGAGAGTTAAACATGATATATATTTTTGGAAGATATATTGTTATGCAATTACATTTTGGGCACCAGCTCCTTTATTAAGGTTATTTGGCTTAAAGACAAAAGATCGTCAATTTGCTTGGAGAGAGAAAATTGGTTTAATATCATGTATTTTATATATTGGTGCATTTGTTGCATATTTAACGTTTGGTTTTACTAAAACTGTTTGTTCAAATAGAGTTGTGAGGATGAGAAATAATGAAGTTAGTAATGGTTATTTAATTATAAATGGTAAAGCTTTTGATTTAACTAGTTCTCAACATCCAGCTGTTGCAGGTATAAGTGCTGGTTCAAATATTTTGTATCCTCCAATTAATGCTGGTGGGAAAGATGCTTCTTTTTTATTCCAAAATGTTAATGGTAATTGTAAAGATTTAATTGTTCCACGAGATAATTGTACAATTCCTTATAATGATGACAGGGAATTAGCTTGGTATATGCCATGCCGTGTATTCAATCAAGATGGTTCAAGTCCTGTTAATAGCTCACAAGTTTATTACAATGGTTGGGCTTGTCATACCAGTGAAATAGCTAGAAGAGCTTTTTATAATTTGAAAGTTAACGGTGATGTTTATTTTACATGGGATGATATTAAAAATTCATCCAGAAATTTAGTTGTTTATTCAGGTACTGTTTTAGATTTAGATTTGATTAATTGGATCTCGAGAGATGATGTTGAATATCCAGAATTGTTTGATAAATTAAGAGATGATCAAACCTATAGAGGCTTGGATATTTCATTAGTTTTAAGTAATAGTCACGAAAGACAAGCAGCAAGATGTTTAACCGAGATTATCAAAGTCGGGGTCATTGATTCTGATACTATTGGTTGTATTGCATCAGAAATTGTTTTAGTTGTTTCTTTAGTTTTTATTTTGTCAGTAGTTATTGTTAAATTTATTATGGCATGTTGGTTCAGGTGGGTTACATCTAGAAAACAAGGTGCAACTGAGGTTGATAATAAATCATTAGCTCAAAGAAATAAAGAAATAGAAAATTGGGTTGACAATAATCAAGCTGGTGTTGGATCCAAAGTCAAAACTGTTCCAGTTAAGGCAAGAGCAAATTATAAAGCTGCCAAAACTAATAGACAAAGTGTTTTCCAAAGATCACAAAAACTTTCATTAGGTCCAAATGCTGACTTGTCTCAATATTATGATAATCCAAATGCATTATCTAAAACTTTCCAATATACTACAATGTCAACGCAAGCAGCATTATTGGGAAGAAGTGGTTATGGTAAGAAAAATAATATTGGTGCAATTCCTTTCAAAGGTAGTAGTACAAGACAATCGACTTTGTATTTAACTGATCAAGGTTCATCAGTTGATTTACTAAATCGACCTGTATCAAGTTATAATCCATTTGAAGGTTTTGATGAATCATATCCTGTTCATGGTTTAGCTCCAGATATTATCCATCCAGATGTTGTACCACAACCACCAGTTGAATATCAACCATTTGGTTTCCCATTGGCTCATGTTATAAATTTAGTTACTTGTTATTCTGAAGATGAAGATGGTATACGTACAACTTTAGATTCAGTTGCTACTACTGATTATCCAAATTCTCATAAATTATTATTAGTTGTTTGTGATGGTTTAATTAAAGGAAGTGGTAATGATCAAACAACTCCAGATATGGTTTTAGATATGATGAGTGATTTTACTATTCCAAGAGATGAAGTTGAAGCTTATAGTTATGTTGCTGTTGCTCAAGGTAGTAAACGTCATAATATGGCAAAAGTTTATGGAGGATTTTACAAATATAATGATGAAACTGTACCACCAGAAAAGCAACAAAGAGTTCCGATGATTACAATTGTTAAATGTGGTACTCCAGAAGAACAAGGTGCACCAAAACCAGGTAACAGAGGTAAACGTGATTCACAAATTATTTTAATGAGTTTCTTACAAAAAGTTGTTTTTGACGAAAGAATGACAAGTTTAGAGTATAATATGTTACAAAATATATGGAGAATAACAGGGTTGATGGCTGAATTTTACGAAGTGGTTCTAATGGTTGATGCTGATACAAAGGTTTTCCCAGATTCAGTTACTCATATGACTGCTGAAATGGTTAAGAATCCAATGGTAATGGGATTATGTGGTGAAACAAAAATTGCAAATAAAGCACAATCATGGGTTACTGCTATTCAAGTTTTTGAATATTATATTTCACATCATCAAGCTAAAGCTTTTGAATCTATTTTTGGTGGTGTTACATGTTTACCAGGTTGTTTCAGTATGTATAGAATCAAATCTCCAAAAGGTTCAGATGGTTATTGGGTTCCAATTTTAGCAAACCCTGATATTGTCGAAAGATATTCTGATAATGTTGTTGATACATTACATAAAAAGAATTTATTATTATTAGGTGAAGATAGATATTTATCTTCATTGATGTTGAAAACATTCCCAAAAAGATCACAAGTTTTTGTATCAAAAGCTGCATGTAAAACAGTAGTACCTGATAAATTTAAAGTTTTATTATCACAACGTCGTAGATGGATTAATTCAACGGTTCATAATTTAATGGAATTAGTATTGGTTAATGATTTATGTGGTACATTTTGCTTTTCAATGCAATTTGTTATATTTATTGAATTGGTTGGTACGTTGGTTTTACCAGCTGCTATTGCATTTACTATTTATGTTATTGTATTTGCGATTGTTTCTAAACCAACTCCAATTATGTCATTAGTTTTATTGGCAATTATTTTTGGTTTACCTGGATGTTTGATTGTTATAACTGTTTCATCAATAAAGTATGTTGTTTATTTCTTTATTTATTTGTTTGCATTACCAATATGGAATTTTGTTTTGCCTACTTACGCTTATTGGAAATTTGATGATTTCAGTTGGGGTGAAACAAGAACAGTTGCAGGTGGTGATAAAGGTTCTCATGATGCTGCTGAAGGAATATTCGATGCAACTAAGATTAAAATGAAGAGATGGAGAGAATGGGAAAGAGATAGAAGAAGTTTAGAAAGACAATTAAATGAACAGAATTATATGGATCATTCACAAAATAATTTAGCTGTACCTTCAGCAGCATGGAATCCAACCAATGAAAAATTGATTGATGATTTAAGTCAAAGTGGATCAAATTCAAGCTAAAAGAGGGAAAGGAGTTTTCAAATTGCATATATTGTATAGTAATAATACATTTAAATTATTTATATAAATATTCTATGAGGGAATTTGGCATTCTTTTGCATAGAGAATGAAAGACATTTTTTTTTTACTTGAGCCATAATTGCCTAGATCTGCAAATCTTGTAAATCTTTAGTTTCAGTTGAACCTGAACCTGAAATTTTAGCTGTAGCAAATCATATTCACGAAGTTTCATAACCGGTATTTAATTTGTAAATTTTCGGAATTTATCCGATCAGTGAAATTTCAATTCAATTCTTTAAACTTGTATGATCTAATGGTTGATGAAATATTTTGGTAATTTTAGAAGAATCCAAATCTTGATGCTGTTTCTGAGCCAACGGATGATTCTGATGTTGTTGAATTACTTGTTGAAGATGCCCTAATTGTCTTTTCCATATAAATTTCTTTAAATTTAATTAATCTCCATGTGTTTTTAGCTTTTCTAATAGAAGGTTTAAATGCTGAACCTGGCGTGGCTAATGCATACAACATAATTGGAAGATATTTGATGGAAGCAAATTAACAGAAACATTTCAAGTGATTTACTTGGCTATTTATAATTTTCATTTAGTAATAGCAAGAGGATTCTCTCCTTAATCTTCTATCTGTATATGCAAAGACTTGCATAACTGAAATTTCCTAAAATTGGCTTATGCAAAAATATTTTCAGAAATCGAATTTGTGATTTTCAGACATTATTGCCTTAAAACTATAATTAAATGGAATTTATTACGATATAGTTTTATATTACATTGTTCTTTTGTTGTGATGATGCCATGACTTTTGGATCTGCCACTCGAGAGAATTTATCTATTGTTGAAAGTTCATTTGTGATCTTACAAATGATTCAAAACCGAATGTTGTCTATATCCTTTGAATATTTTTAAAAAATTTATTGTTAAATTTAAGAAACTTTACTGAAACGAAACTTTTGTGATTGAAATTCTTACTTAAAAATTTTTTAAATTTCAAGAATACAACGGATTTAGATAGTACCAAAACACAGAGCAAATCCGAAACTAGCTTTTAATAATGAACCTGAAGTCAATATTGAGTTAAATGTTATCGTAAATGTATTGACTAAAATTTTAGGGCATTCGTTAAACAGTTTTTAATTAAAACTTTAATTTAAACTTTTATTGACACAATAATCTGCTCCACTTTTCAATGTACTCAAAATGACAACGGCCAATATACTTGAAACATTTATTACAATTACGTCGTAAATTACCATACGTTATAATTCAAATCATCTCAACAAATTACGGATATTATTCATGGATTCGAAGCATTTTATTAATAGACCAAATTCTGAAACTTGAAAAGAAAAAAAAAAAAAAAAAAAAAAAAATTGAAGCCGCGCCGAATTCTGAGCCCTTTTTTAAAATCCAGATCTCAATCAATTTAGTTGATAATTAGTGAAGGCTTTATTCGAAGTTGATCAAGATACAAGAGTTAATAGTAAATAATCTTACACAGAATTTTGAAATTTCCATTTATTGAAAATAAACGATACTATAAAAATAACTTGAAGAACTAAATTATAACTTTAATGGGTAATTAAAAACTAACTAATAAAAAAACCGAATGTCAATAAACTCACGAGCGTGATAAATGAATAAAATGATAAAACAATGTAATTTAAATAACCAACAATTGTACTACCTCAAAACTATAATAATTAAAATCTGCAGTTCCATTTAGAATAATTTTGATAATTTATAAAACTAATTTATAAAAATAGCAATTGATTGATATACTTCATGATTATAAATTTAATACATTCTTCTTTGGTTTAATGAACCAGCTGCTTGATTAGCAGCACCAATTAAAGTATTAAGACTTGAAGCTAAACCAGCAGTATTAACTTGTGGAGCAGCGGTTGAAACTGAACCACCATATTTATCAATTAATGAGTTCAAAGCATTGTTGCCTGAAGCTGGAGCAGCAGCAGAAGCTGGAGCAGCAGAAGTAGCAGCAGCTTGGGTAGCAGCCCTTGTAGTAGTTGGAGTTGTAGCAGCAGCAGCTTGAGTAACTGAAACTGATCTGGCAGCAACATTAGCTGCAGCAGCAGTTGAAGCAGTTGATGTAGATAAAGTACCAGCATTATCAATATCTGAAGCTGAAATTTGACCACTTGATAAAGCATTACCTAAGAATGAAGCAATTGCACTAGCCCAAGTACCAGCATTTTGTCCAATGTACGCTAAAGCTGAATCCCATAAACCTGATGATTTAGCCCATGAGTAAATATCTTCAGCAACAACTAAACCAGTTTGGAAAGCTGAAGTTAAGAAACTGATAGCAGCTTGTGGATCAGCTAAGACTCTGCTAACTAATGATTGTACTATTCCTGAATCTGAGATTTCTTGAACAATCCATTGAATAATTGAGGCTAAATCTCTTTCTGAAAGATATTCACCTGATTGATCTAATAAATCAGCTCTTTTAGCAGCAGTAGCAGCTGGAGCAGCAGTAGCAGCAGTAGCAGATGATGAGCCACCTCCGATCCATGAAGTAATTAAATTGACAGCACTACCAAAGATTGATTTAGCAACATCAAATAATGCATTTCTTAAATCAGTATCATTTAAAAATTTGTCTAAAATGTTACCTAATAAACCTGAGTTCCAAACAGCTTGAATTAAAGCTGGACCTTGAACAACAGCAGTTTGAATAGCAGCTTGAATAATGTTTTGTAATGATGTAGAAATAGCTGGATCGGTAGTTAAAGTATTCCAAATATCACCGATAATACCTGAATTGGTTAAAGCAGTAATTAATTCACCCAAAACTGAATCTGCTCTCGTAGTTAATTCGAGTAATTCATCACCTTCAACTAATTCTCTTTTAGCATTTAATGATTTTAATTCTTTTAAGATTTCTAAAACATCATTAATATCTTCTCTTTTTACCATTGATTGTTCAACAACAATGGCTGGAGCAGCTGAAACGAATGTTGAAGAAGCTAAGATAGCAAAAAGGGTAGCTTGTGAAAATTTCATCTTTGATATATATATAGTTTATTGAATTAAGTTGGTTGGTAGCGATAGGTTCAATTGATTTAGTAAAAGTCAACTAAAGTTGTAGTTTGATGATCAATGAAAAAAGAAATGTAAAAATGTAAATCATGAGGAAAATCCATGAATTTATATTAACTGATTTCATTATAATTTATGAATATTTTGCAATAACTTTACTAGGAAGTATAGTAATTAAGAAGAAATTGTTGATGTGTGGATTCAGTTAATTGCCTAATTGGGTAATTACTTTGGGTGCAAAAAAAATTATTTATTTTATTTTTTTTTTTAAATACAATGATATTTTTACTCCAACAATTAGAATATGAGTATCAAAACCATAGTCTCTAATTGTGAAGATCGAAAGGGATGGATGGTGGCTCTTTGAAAACAATGTTGACTAATTTAAGTTTGCGTATAGATTCGACAGTTAAATACGATCAATAGCAGAAGATCTGTTTGATAAATGGTTGCAAATGCAAAATTAAAGGGCTAAAGTCAATACTTGCACGAGCTAGCACAGATTCAGAGTTTAAATTGATGTTTAAAATTTTGGCCAAGAAATATGTGTCAAGTTTGAATATACAAACCCTTAACTTAGTATAGTAAAAGTTTCAACAATGTTCTACATATAAACTTGTTTATTCTTCTTACTCTAAAATTATAATGGAAATGTGGTGCAAAATCCTAAGAAAATAGTTTAGTCTTTTTTTCTGGCGCGTACTGTGTGTGGTGTTGCTTTGTGTTTCGTTTCACTGATAATTGATAAATTTAGTAAAACTAAATATTTTTGGGCGTTACATTATTACTATACTATATTTGGATAAGAGAGAAAACTTGATTTGATTTGAGAGTTTAGTGTCTAAAGGGCTCTAAATTTAAATCAAGTCCTTCGTTTATCAAACCATTGAATCTTAACTCCTATATGTTGGAGTAGAGTTATTCACTTAGTTCATAACTGTAATCAGTTTACAGAATTCGTAATGCTTAGAATTACGTTGAATTACACTTGGTAATTTACGACAATCATCTATTGTTTGATTACCCTTTAAGCTAAAAGTTATCTTAAGACTATTGTAAAACGTTTGACTTACCGTTATAGAAATTTCTTTTCTTTTTACTCAACTTTCAAAAACGTAAATCCCATTCAATATTACTCCACCGAATCCTATATTGACTTATTCTTTAAACTTTCGAGAAAGAGTTTGTTTAATTTAAATGCAAAATTTCTTAAATTAAAATACTTTATTAGGTTAAAGATGAAACCTGAATTGGCGTGTGAACATTTCAATTTTTATAATTATAGTGTAAATAAGTTAGCAACGGTTGTGGATACCGTAAAATTTCATGGTTTACGAAATGAATGATGGCTTTCATGAAGCGTACGTTTATAATTGTTACATCGTTGGCTATCCCCACTGGGTTCGAGAAGTTTCATTGTTTCAAATTTTTAAAGATTTTCGCAGCCAAATATATTAAAGTTTCAAATTAAGCCATAATTTTAAGAATAAGTCTCGTATTAGTCATTTCTTGCTCATACTTGAATGATCTATTAACAACAGCTCAAGTTGACAAGAAGTTGATCTGATTGAGACTGAATATGCCCAAACATGGAAGGTTCATAATTTTAAGTTTACTTTCTTCAAGTACTAATCTTGGCTTTAGTACTCAATTGAAAGCTGAAAGGTTGATTGTTTTTAAGTCTCAAACTCAAACATTTGTTTACTAAGCCTAATAGGGAACTTCGGGTTAATCTTATACTTTATTCTTCTCCTATTTTGATTTTTGTCGTTTATTGGACGTAACAGAGTATAATGAACATAGGTTCATGTGATCTTAATCAACCAATGAAGTTACAAATTGCAGGTCAACAACTGATGTTAAACCTGTTAAACTTTTAGACTTTTGAGAACTGTGAAGAATTGTATTGATTTATTTTGTGGAATTTTAAGGTTTTAGCAAAATTTGGCATAAAATTGGAGCCCCCCCTAAAATGTCCATAACAAAGAGTAACAAGCACCTGTGGTAAGCATCCAAAGACACTAACATATCATTTTAACGAGCTTTAGTAAATTCAACAATCATTGAATAAACTATCGAATAACTTACCTAAGTTATATCGCAGTATAAATTCTACTCGTAAAATTTACCAGTTTCAGATAATTATGCACAGCGTGCAAAAATACGACAGGAACATCTGAAAAATGTTGACGATGATTTGTTGCATTTACTCGCATGTTTCAAATGTATCGCTAAAAATTTTTTTTTTTTCCTCTTTTCCTTTTTTGAGATGCGAAATCTTTTAAATATACTTTGAACCGTAAATTATTTTATTGTTTAAATTTAACGTATTATTACATCCTAAATGAGTACTGTTGAAGCCACTTCAAGTGGTTATAATGATTTAAAAGGTTCTGATTCAATAGTTCAAAAGAAAGGTAATATTGCATCATTTTCTTCAAACAATGTTTCAAACGGCTTAACGACTATTGATACGAACGGTAATGTTTTCAAAGTACCAGATTTTAGTATCAAAGATATTTTACAAGTAATTCCAAAGCATTGTTATGAAAGATCTTTGATCAAATCCTTTAGTTATGTGATTAGAGATATTATTTGCATGGTTTTGATTGGTTATATTGGTCTCACATTTATTCCATACATTGAATTTAATGATTATCCAACTGTATCAATTATTTTAAGAGGAAGTGCTTATATGCTACAATCGTATTTAATTGGTTTATTTGGTTTTGGATTATGGATTTTAGCTCATGAATGTGGTCATGGTGCATTTTCAGATTATCAAAATGTTAATGATGTAATAGGTTGGGTTTTGCATTCTTATTTAATGGTTCCTTATTTTTCATGGAAATTTTCACACTCAAAGCATCATAAAGCTACTGGTCATTTAACAAAAGATATGGTTTTCATTCCTTATACTAAAGAAGAATATAAAAAATTAAATAAAGTTGAGAAAATTGCAGATATTATGGAAGAAAGTCCAATTTATTCATTATCAATTTTAATTTTTCAACAATTAGGTGGTTTACAAACTTATTTAGCTATGAATGCAACTGGTCAAGTATATCCGGGAGTTTCATGGTTTAAAAGATCTCATTATTATCCTACTTCTCCAGTTTTTGAAAAAAATCAATATTGGTTTATTTTATTATCTGATGTTGGTATCATTGCTACTTTAACTGCTGTTTATCAATGGTATTATCATTTTGGTTTATTTAATATGATGATCAATTGGTTTGTTCCTTGGTTATGGGTAAATCATTGGTTAGTTTTTGTTACATTTTTACAACATACAGATCCAACTATGCCTCATTATTCATCAAAAGAATGGACATTTGCAAGAGGTGCAGCTGCAACTATTGATAGAAATTTTGGATTTATTGGCCAACATATATTTCATGACATTATTGAAACTCATGTTCTACATCATTACGTCTCAAGAATTCCATTTTATAATGCTAGAGAAGCTACTGATGCAATTAAAAAAGTCATGGGAGAACATTATAGATATGATGGTGAAAATATGTGGAAATCATTATGGAAAGTTATGAGACTGTGTCAATTTGTTGATGATGATAAACAAGATGCCAAAGGTGTTTTAATGTTTAGAAATGTTAATGGTGTTGGTCCAGTCAAACCAAAAGATTAGATATAATTAGAGTTCTGTAATAGACATCTAGAAATTTTGCGCTTTTCGTTTCATATTTTTCTTTTTTTTGCGTCCACAATAAAAATTTTTCAGATCAATAGATAATGACTAGTGTTTTACGTGGAGTAATTCCACGATTACCAAAAGTTATACCTAGAAATATAGTGAATTTTTCAACGAGTTCAATACTTAGAAACAAGGTCGTAAAAGCACAACCAAAAACATATGAAGAAGAAAAAGTTATAATTGATGAAATGAATTTGAAATTACCAGAAGATGATTTGGCTGCAAGTAAAAGAATGAGAAACATTGGTATCTCAGCTCATATAGATTCAGGTAAAACAACTTTTACTGAACGTGTTTTATTCTATACTGGTAGAATTAAAGCAATTCATGAAGTTAGAGGTAAAGATTCGGTAGGGGCAAAAATGGATCATATGGATTTAGAAAGAGAAAAAGGTATTACTATTCAATCAGCTGCAACATATTGTTCATGGGAAAAAGATAATAAAGATTATCATTTTAATTTAATTGATACTCCAGGTCATATTGATTTTACAATTGAAGTTGAAAGAGCTTTAAGAGTTTTAGATGGTGCTGTTTTAGTTGTTTGTGCGGTTGCTGGTGTCCAATCACAAACTGTTACTGTTGATAGACAAATGAAACGTTATAATATTCCAAGAGTTACGTTTATTAATAAAATGGATAGAATGGGATCAAATCCATGGAGAGCTATTGAACAAATTAATCAAAAATTAAAAATGCCAGCTGCTGCAATTCAAGTACCAATTGGTGCAGAAGAAAACTTGAAAGGTGTTGTTAATATTATTGATAGAGTTGCATCATATAATGAAGGTTCACAGGGTGAAATAATTAGATCAGCAGAAATTCCTGAAGATTTAAAAGAATTAGTTGAAGAAAAAAGAGCTTTACTTATAGAGACTTTGGCTGATGTAGATGAACAAATGGCTGATATTTATTTGGAAGGTGAAGAACCAACTGTTGAACAAATAAAAAACGCAATTAGAAGAAGCACAATTGGTAGAAAATTCACACCTGTTTTAATGGGTTCAGCTTTAGCTAATAAAGGTGTTCAATCTGTTTTAGATTCTGTTGTTGATTATTTACCCCAACCAAATGAAATTTTAAATACCGGTTTAGAATTGAATAAATCTACAGGTAAAGAATCTCCAATTAATTTGATTCCATCAAGTGTCGAACCATTTGTTGGTTTAGCGTTCAAATTAGAAGAAGGTCCTTATGGCCAATTAACTTATATCAGAGTTTATCAAGGTAAATTGAAAAAAGGTGCTTACATGACACATGTTAAATCAGGTAAAAAAGTTAAAGTTTCAAGATTAGTAAGAATGCATTCAAATGATATGGAAGATGTTTCTGAAGTTGGAGCAGGTGAAATTTGTGCTACTTTTGGTATTGATTGTGCTTCTGGCGATACATTTATTGGTCAAGGTACAAGTCAAGAAATTACAATGTCATCAATGTTCGTTCCTGAAGCAGTTATTTCATTATCCATTCAACCAAAAAGTAAAGACAATGGTGCATTTTCAAAAGCAATGAATAGATTTCAAAAAGAAGACCCAACATTTAGAGTACATTTTGATTCAGAATCTAAAGAGACAATTATTTCAGGTATGGGAGAATTACATTTGGAAATTTATGTTGAAAGAATTAAAAGAGAATATGGTGTTGAATGTATCACCGGAAAACCACAAGTTTCATATAGAGAAACCATAACCTCACCTACATCATTTGATTACACACATAAAAAACAATCTGGTGGCTCAGGTCAATACGCTAAAGTTATGGGTGAATTTAAACCAAATGAACCTGAAAATGAAAACAAATTCGAAACAGCAATTGTAGGTGGTAAAATTCCAGAAAAATTCTTATTTGCATGTCAAAAAGGTTTTGATGATTCATTGGAAAAAGGTCCTTTAATTGGTCACAAAGTTTTAGGTGTTAGTATGTTGATTAATGATGGTCAAACTCACGTTGTCGATTCTTCAGAATTTTCATTTAGAACTGCTACACAAGGTGCTTTTAGGCAAGCTTTCTTAAATGCAAATCCAGTTATTTTGGAACCAATTATGACAGTTGAAGTTACTGCACCAAATGAATTTCAAGGTTCTGTTGTTGGATTAGTTAATAAATTAGGTGGTATGATTAATGATACAGTAAATGGACCAGATGATTTTACTATTAATGCAGAATGTTCGTTAAATTCAATGTTTGGTTTTTCAACTTCATTAAGAGCATCAACACAAGGTAAAGGTGAATTTTCTTTAGAATTCTTGAAGTATGCCCCAACTTCACCTCAATTGCAAAAACAATTAATAACGGAACATGAAAAAGCTCAAAAGGCTAAATAGGTAAATAGATATTTATATAACTTGTAAATAAAAGTAAATTTAGACAATTTACGAATTAAAATACAATAATCTTAGACCATTACAAAGTAGAATAACATACAGAGCCTAATAATTTACAATCTAAAATCGTTACAGATTAATAATATTTATTTTGTATTACTACTTATATTTGTAATGTACAGTGTGGGTTGGTTTTGATTTAAGCAGATTTGACTGCTTTTTTTAAGTTGTATCTTCTTTGTTTTTTAAGGACCATAACTTTGAATCTGTCGAAATCTGATAATTCTCTTCTTCTTTCTTTGGTAGCTAATTTTTTAGCCCATGATGAAGCTTCCCATTTTGATGCAACATCTGAACTTTCAAATTTTTTGAGAACAGTAGCAGTTCTACTTCCTCTTGGTAAACTGATTTTGTGTGGAGTTAAAACAACTTTGTTTAATGATATAGCTTGTCTTTGAACTTTTGGACCATCAATTAAAGCTCTTTTTTGATCAATAATTTCAACTATGGTACCTAAGTCTTTGTTGTTAACTAAAACAATACGACCAACTTCAACAAATCTCCAGTGTGCTGCTTTAACGGTGGATGACATCTCTATTGATATATGTTAATTTAAAGTTGATATGAAAAGGTATTAAAAGCTTTTATTGAAAATTAAATTTTTGTTTTCGCACTAGCAAATTTGTTACAAAACTGAAAAATTATTAGTGCCATATTACATAAGATTAAACGCAAGTATTAGATAAGATAAACCAAACACTCACGTGTCACCGAGGGCTACAGACCTAACGGTCTTAATTGTTGCAACAAATCAAATTGATAATTATCCTAAAATAATATACTGTTCATTCAAAAAAGTATGCTTAAAAGAACCAAAATGATGACTTATATAATTTGCGTTCTAGAGTATTATATCTGAAACACGCCTAGTTTCATTAAAGATATAATACAATATGCGACCAACTTTATTGCTGATTAATTTACTATATGTTACTGTTACTAACTAATTATCAAGTTTAAAGAAATTCAGACGAATTATTAGTCATTTAAATTAACAAGTTCAATTTCTGGAGCTATTTCGCATTGGAAGAACTATAATCGATTGACACAGCTTCTGTTTTAATTTTTGTGCTTAATTACAAATTCAAGTTGTAATTAATATCAACAAGTAAAACAAGTAAAACAATACATCAATTGAGTCCGAGAATTATGCTATCCCTTTTCTTACACTAATTATAGCTCATGAGTCAAGTATTATACATCATTTCTTTCGTATGTTTACTCTAGTTAATTTTATCGTCAATTTAATTTTTCGATGCGACCAAATTATATTATTAGTCAATTTTCAAAACACGCAATATTCTACGCATAGTTGGCAATATATTAAATATTGTTTTATGAATTATAGACCAATTGTTAAAAGGTTTATCAAAATGTCATCAACTATTGCTAATAATAATGGTAAAAAAGTTACACAACCTGAATGGTTTCAACCAAAAGATCAATCTAATTTAAAACCAAAATTAAAGATCTATAATTCTTTAACAAGATCTAAAAATGAATTTAATACTATAAAACCAAATCATATTACGTGGTATAGTTGTGGTCCAACCGTTTATGATCATTCACATATGGGTCATGCAAGGAATTATGTTTCAACTGATATTTGTAGAAGAATCTTGCAAAATTATTTTGGTTATAATATAAATTTCATACAAAACGTTACTGATGTAGATGATAAAATTATTATCGCAGCTAGACAACAATACTTATTTGAAGAAAAAGTTTTAAAACAATATAATGAAATTAGCAATGAATTAATTGAATCCTCAAGGGAGTGGTTAAATTATTATATTGAAAAAAATTTAAATGAATTTCAAGGAAATGTCCAAACAGAGTTCATAAATTGGAGTAATACAGTTAATGCAGAAGAGATATTAAAAGAAAAACCCAAATTTAAAATGTACTTGAAAGCTGCAAAATTAGCTCATGAATCAATTTACAATAAAAATGGTGCATTAGAATCATTCTTAAACAACATTAAAGATATTGCTCTAGTCTCATTAGATCAACAATATGGTGCAACAGTTACTGATCCAAAAATATTCAAGAAATTACCAGCATATTGGGAAAAGAGATATAATGAAGACATGGCAAAATTAAATGTTTTACCACCAAGTATAACAACAAGAGTTTCAGAATATATACCAGATATTATTGAATTTGTTGATAAAATCATTGAAAATGGTTATGCGTATTCAGCCACCGATGGTTCAGTTTATTTCGATACTGTTAAATATGAACATTCAAAGCATGATTATGCTAAATTACAACCATGGAATAAAGGAGATATGAGTTTGATACAAGATGGTGAAGGGTCATTAAGTAGTTCAGATGGTAAAAAAAATCCAAGTGATTTTGCTTTATGGAAATCTTCAAAACCTGGTGAACCTTCATGGGGTTCAAAATGGGGTAAAGGACGTCCTGGTTGGCATATTGAATGCTCAGTAATGGCTTCTGATATAACTGGTGAAACTATGGATATTCATTCTGGTGGTATTGATTTATGTTTCCCACATCATGATAATGAATTAGCACAATCTGAAGCTTATTACGATAACAAGCAATGGGTAAATTATTTTATGCATAATGGTCATTTACATATTCAAGGTCAAAAAATGTCAAAATCATTAAAAAATTTCATTACAATTCAAGAAGCACTTGAAACTTTTTCTTCAAGACAGCTTAGATTAGTATTTGCAATGAATCCATGGGAAAGACCATTAGATTTTAAAGATTCATTAATTAATGAAATCAAATCAATTGAATCAACATTTTCAAAATTTTTCACAAATATAAGAGCATTAAATAATGATTATAGAGATAGAGTTTATGATAATGATGAATATATTTCAAAAAGAATTGGTGAAAATGAAAAGAATTTATATCAATATTTAGCAAAAGCTCAAGATGAAGTTAATGAAGCATTTTGTGATAATTTATCAAGTACACAAGCGATTAGAACTCTTTTAGAATTAGTTTCAAAAGCTAACAATTATATACAATCAACAGCAAGATCAGAAATTAGAATTGAAGTTTTAACTGCCATCACAAATTACATTGTTAAAATCTTAAATGTATTAGGATTTGAAACTAGAGCTGATGGATTAGGTTGGAGTCATGATTCAACTTCAAGTGTAGCAAATGAAGAAGAAGTTATATTACCTTATGTCAAATTATTATCACAGTTTAGAGATTCTGTTCGTAAATTAGCTATTAATAAATCTGATTATTCAGAAATATTAAAAACTTCAGATTTATTACGTTCAGAGTTAATTAATTTAAATATATCATTGGATGATAAACCAGATGGAACTGCATTAATTAAATATTTGAACAATCAAGAAAAACAACAACTTATAGAACAACAAGAATTAAAATTAAAACAACAAGAAGAAAAAGAAGCAAAAAAGAAAGCACAACAGGAAGAAAAAGCTAAAAAAGAAGCTGAGCGTTTGGAAATGATGAAAATTCCACCAAATGAATTATTTAAAAATGATTTATATAAAGAATGGGATGAAAATGGTATACCAACAATCGAAGCAAATGGAGAAGAAGTTTCAAAAAGTATGAAGAAGAAATTAACTAAACAATATCAACAACAAGAAAAGTTATATCAAGAATATTTGAAATTGAATAAATGAATAAATAGATCTTAATAAATGTTTCAGAATTCGCTACCAATTGCATTTTTCTGACACGTATTTTGGCGAACCGTACGAAAAAAAAAATAACACCAGTCGAACTTTAAATGTTTAATTTAGTTACTAGGTTTCAAGCTGCTACAAATCAAGCATTAACTGCATCTGTAATAATAACTGGGGTTGTAATAGCATTAACTATTCTACAATTGTTTAAAGATGATGTTTGGAATTTACAAACAACTCAAGTTACAAATTTTAAACCAACATCGAATTGGAAATATTCATATCAATATGGTTCAATTAATCGTAAACCAAAGGAAAATACAAAATTACAATTTAATTTAAAAACAGATTTATCACATTTATTCAATTGGAATACAAAACAAATTTTTATTTATTTAACTGCTGAATATCCTGGAAAATCAACAGGTTCATCAAATAAAATAACTTATTGGGATAAAATAATAACAAATCCCAATGATGCAAAATTAGATTTAAAAAATCAGAAGAGTAAATATTCTGTATATGATGTTGAAAAAAGTTTTAGAGAAAGAAATGCTACAGTTAGATTAGAATGGAATATTCAACCACATATTGGTCCTTTAATTTATGGATCAACTGAAGAATTAGGTCAATTTCAATTCGTAACGAATGAGAAGAAATAGAAGATATATATACATGAATTATTCATTAGGTTTTTTAACTCTATACTTTGATTTCTTTTCTTCACGATCATTTACCTCTTTGGCTCTCTTGTATGATAGACGATTTTGTTCCATTGATGAGTTTATATGTGAGTCAGCAGTGATGAAAAAGTTATGACTCTCTTTAGTAGGTGCTATTAATGATTTAAGATACTTCTTTGATGAATATTCAATCATATTACTATCTTTATATTCATTTACAGCCATGAATGAATCAACTTGACTAATGTAATCATTCATACGTCCATAATAATCAATCTTCCATGACAGTAAGAAATATTCAAGTGTATTTGGATATTTAATTTTCAATTTCTTCAATGCATCTTTGATCTGTTTGTTTTTGAAATATGGTTGTTTTGAATCTAATGGGTTACTATCAAGCACATCATTTTGATTAGATACAAATAAATTTTTCAATCTAATTTGCAATAATACTAAATTTCTAAAACTGACATAAGTATTTAAAAATTGACTTTCTTTCAAAGGATTGAAAAAATTGAAAAATCCATAAGAATTCATGGTTTTGAACATATAATTTTCATATTTTGTGTCAAACAATTTACCAGTTTTACTTCTGAAAAAATCACCAGCATGATGTTTATCCCAGGTATTAGCTTGAGCATCTTGATTGATCTTGCTTAATTCTTCTTTGGAAATTGCATAATATCTATTAAGTATTTGATACTTGTGATATATTTTCTCGTATTGGTATCCTGAATTATTGAGTAAATAAATTAAGCAGGTAATGTAGCACTGTCGTTTCTGCTGATATAGTTCAAGATATTTGGTATTATTCAAAATCATATCATTTTCAATAGTATCTAATATTTGTGCTAAATAATTTGTTCCTTTCTTTAACAATATTCCAATAAATTCATTCAATTCATCATTTGATAATTTCATGCCTCTTTTTAAAAGATGAAAAATTAGCAACACTGTTTGTTCATCCACTTTTCCTTCATAGTCTAAATGATAAAAAAATTTTTCAAGTATTACATGAGCATATTTATTTAATTTTGGTGGTAATGTTGGTTTTTTATCTTTTGGTTGTGATTTACAATACCTTTCAACTAACATTGTATACAAGTTACAGTCATCATTGAGCAAATTTAAATACGTCCTTTGATTGTGTTTACTTATTTTTCTCAATTCTTTATTGACCTCAAATGTCAAATCAAATGGTAATTTATTATGATAAATTGCTTGAACCAGTTTAGTGAAATTCAAGAAATACTTCATGGCTTCATTTGCAACTCTTTGATTCTTACTTGCACCAGCATAATTGACATATAATTCTAAATTCTCAAATATATTGATATAATGCTCAAAAAAGTCAAATTTTGCATTTATTGATATTTCAGTAAATCCATTCAATGAAATTCCATAGTTTTGGAATAATTCAATCAACATTTCTTTTGGTTTTTTAAAATGCAAATCAGACAGTCTAAGCTTGCTAAGATAAAGATAATTCTTCAAAATAAAACAAGATGTTTTTGCACTGATTGGTATTCTCCTTTTCTCAAACAATTCCTTATTATTAACCACAAACTCAGGAAAGAAATTCTTATTTGATTTATTTGAACGAAACTCCAATTCTGGATTTTGTAATAAATCACTTTTCAAATTAATTAAATTAGCTTTCGTATTTAATGATCTTCTTAAATTTATATCTTTAATGAATCCCAAAGCTTTTATATTATCCATATTATCTGTTCTGTAAAAATAATCTTGTATTTCGACTAATAAATCAACATTAGTTTGTGGACTATATTGTTGAAAAATTAAATACTTAGCCTTGTTGAACATAATACTCAAATAAGATAATTTAACTTGACAGTATTTCTTAGATTGTGGATTTGTAGAGTTGGCATCCCAAATTGCATAATTTTTCATTTGATGTAAATATATTCTATTATTTGAAAATGGAATTGGTGAACTTTGATGTGCTTTATATGCATACTTATCAGCTAATCTATAATTACCAAAAATTGTATGACTTTGAATTAATGCAATGTATATATTTGTATCCAATTTACCTGATTCTTTAATCATCTTTTGTAATGCTTGATGTTTCTCTAATTGTAAGTCCTTACTAAAAAATACTAATAATTTGGCCAAAAACTCAGTAGGCAATAGCTCCATTTGTGTCTCTATTTCTTTCTTTGAATATTCTTTTAGCAATTGAAACATCTGATCATAATCTTTCAACAACATAGGAATTTGAAAAATAAACAGAATCAATTTTGGAACACTATTTTTATCTGCAAGTTCTTGTTTTACCAACGTTAAATACTCATCGAAGAGTTTCAAAACTTTTTCTTGGTTGTTCTGATCAACAGCACTTAGTAATAACAATGAATATGTTTCATATGAGGTCTTGATTTTATTTTCCATCATTTGTTCATGTAATTTTTCAATTTCAGAATACCCTTTCAAACAAAATAGACCCTTCATTGCTTTTGAATAATGAATTGATTGTGGTAAATTCTCATGTTCAAACATTGCTTCAAAATTTCTTTGCAATGCTTTCCAATCTTTGTGTGAAATACATAAATCTAAAAAAAAACCTTCAAGCAAGCCATATTCTCTTAATTGTTTATATTCTGAATAATAATGTAATGCCAAATTTTCATCATTAAGTAAGAAACAAGATTTCATTACTATTTTCAAATCAGTTGGAGTAAACACGTCTTGAATGTCTAGTTCTTTTGTAGTTTGATCTATTCTTTTGAAACCAAAGTAATGATAAGATAATTTAGGAATTTTGTCTACTAACTGTTCCATTATTCTGGTCATGAAGAAGTATGAGTCTTTCGACAGATGGTATTTTTTTAGTATAGTCATTATTTTTCCAGCATAATGATTTAATGATGTTTTATAAGGTGGTATTCCAATCAAGCGAAAGATTTCGTTGTATTGTGTAATTTTGTTGTCAAGAAACCAAGTTTTGGGTCTAACAGATTCTAAATTTGACTGCTCTATTAGTCTAGATAACTCAATAAATGTTTCAATAATGTTTAATCTGGAATCAACATCTTCTTTTGCTAAATTTAAGCTATTTTTTGTAAAATTGATTAAGAATGCTCTTTTCTCTTCTAGACTAAGTTTTTCATTCTCTGATGAAAGTATCAGCTTTAGATTGGTTTTATTAAACGTGACTTCTTTAGTTGGTAAGTATCGTAATTCTGAAAATATAATATTATCATCCTCTATGGTTCGATTTTTTACCTTAAATATGGAATGAAACATTTTTCTATATAAATCGAAGTTACCCTGTCTATATAGTATCTGAATCAACCTCACACTAGATTCTTGAAGTATCTCTTTCAATTTAATCGTAGATTCATTAACTGGTTTTTCTGATAAAATAACCCATATTGTCTTTATTAAATCTTGAGCTTCAGTAAATTCATTGAGACAATCTAGTAGTTTATCCAAATTCTCTTTAATACTTCGTAGATCATTATCTGAGAATTCTTTCTTACTTCGTAGATCATGAATAAACTCTTGACGTGATTTTTTCTCAAACATTAGTTTATTGACAAAATGATAAGTTGTAAGATTTAAAAACGATTTTTCAAATTCTATACTAGGTAGATTATCATGATTAAAATTTGTGAATGATCGCCTTATTTGAAAATCGCAGGGTAATATATGCGACGATGATAATTTTGTAAAATAATGAGTCCGATGGGGTATTGTAAGACCTTTGGCTGTTAAATTATATATCCTTGAGTACTTATATAGTCGTATCATAGTTGTTTGTTTTTATATTATAGTTTGTCGTAATGATTTCGATAATTTTAAAATGATGCAAATTCCTATTGAAGGACGAGATATATACAAGATTAAAATGCAAAATTGATTAATAATAGTACAATGAGTATCTGATTGTCTTAATTATCCTAAATATATGTTTATCTTGTCCCTAATACTATATTATTGAAATTGATTTGATAAACATTTAAAAATGAAAAATTATTATCGTCTTACTAAGTTTTGATACTATATTTTTTTTTCAGTTTGATTGATTATGTAAGCACCATCGTTAATACATCGAGATTTTGTACAATGGAGTTTGAATTAGAGAAGTAGTAGAAAGAAGTACACTGTTTGCAATGATTCAGTATATATTCTAATTATATATTTATACATTTACGTATTTTTCAGAGTCATTAAATCAGTTTTTTTATGATGTAGTCAGGGAAGTCAAGCTTCTCGTACAGTGTGAATATTATTGAATCATCATTAAAATACATAAATCTTAATAATTTAAGACAATTTGATCAAATCTGAATAAAATTTAAACATAATTGTTACTTGAAAACTCATGTTAGCCTAAAATTTTCAACAAAATTAAACATTTAATTCTCAGGGAACGACCTTTCATCAACTCTCATTGATCAATGTTTCAAAAAAATGTACACATGAAACAAGACTCCTTTCCCTTATTTGCATAAGGTAAGGGATCAATAAGGTGAATTATGTCCGCCCGGTCGAATGATTCATCATAAAAAAATGTTTGAATTCGCACTATTGAAAACATACCTTGATATGTAATTAGTATAATGTTTTAAAAGTCATGGTATCTCATTGAATGGCTCATACAAGGCTGAAACTTAACGATAAATGCTATTGTCAACCTGTATAAATTCAGTTGGAACAATTGGTAAAAAGCAAATAATCATAGCCAATTCAATTATAATGAACAATTGTAAGCAACATACTTATTGAAATTCAATCAAATCTTCTTAAACTTATTCAAAATCATTAGTTGTTATTAAATGAATTGAAGAAGAAAAGTTATTGAAAAAGAAAAATTTTGTTAACGGATTTTGATGCGATGTTTCAAAACCTTATACCTGCATATAATGCATTTAAAATTATTTATTAAGTATGTGTTTCTCGCCCAAAATTAGTGCCATAATAATATTTTCTACGCGCTAGCTTTAGGGCGACGCGTACCAAACTCATTGGTTTATATATCATGAACAACAAATTCTTTGAAGCTAAATGCCCGCCAAAACTTTCAAATAAACAACAAATCATGTATATTGAGCCTCGAATAAAAGTGTCTAACACGTTTCCAGGTTATCTGAACTGAATTTGAGAAATTTCAAAATTTTGTGTTAAGTATGGAGCGAATTTGAATAAATCGACTTTACAAAAAATCCAACTCCACAATCAAAATAGCGACGATAATATGATAAAAGTATCAGTATTTGTAGATTCCTATTCTGATATTTCTAAATTTTTTTTGTGTTAAGGTATTCAAAATAGGGAATCAATTTTTCAAGTGGTTTGAAATTTTTGCAAAATTTTCAAACTGGATATGACAATTTAAAAACACTATACATATAATCTTTGGAATTGATTAAATCAAATCAGCTATACTAGAGGTTGCTAAATGAGGCTTAAGTGTTGATTATCTCGCAGAATAGTGTTTTTTTGCATTTTTTAAATACAGAATAAACTAATCAAAAATAAATATTATCTGGTGGTACTTATATCATTTGACTTGAATTTTGCAAAGATCTAATGAGAAAACTTTGACAACTACAGCTTGATTATTGACAAAAGTTATTTGCAAATCAAATTTTGAGGTGTACTAAGAAAAGACTGCATATAAACCAAATTTGTTTCAGAGTGTATATTATATGTAGTACCACGTTAAAACTATTATAAATTACCGATTATACGCGTATTGCATCAATTCAACCCGAAAAAACTGATTTTAATCAACACTGTGAATATTAAATGAGCTAATATTAAAAATCCAATGACGGAGTAAAGCATTCTCTTATTTTGATCTTGTAGTAATAGACAATTCTTTGTTACGACCGGCATCAATTTATTAATATTACTTAACCCAGTAAAGAAACCACCAAATAATACTATACCCCATTTTATTAAATTTACCATAAAGCTAAACAGATCATTTACGGATATTATGATCAAATTTATAACAGTTACGGGAATCCATAAAACATTAGTATATCCATAAATTGAAATAACTTGAATTAATGAAACATTTTCAGGAAACTTGTAAACCCAATTCGTGATTAAATTATATAGTATTGGAACTATAACATTGTATCCATAAAATAATAAGATCGATCTATTCAATAAATTAAAATCATAATCAAATTTTTTGTCTTTGTCTCCATTGAGCCATTCATTTATCAAGTGTGAGCTTGTGGATGATACAAACATCAAAAATATTAATGTACCAGTAATCCAAACAAAACCGTATAACTCATTAACATTTTGTTCCTCATTAAAGTCAATTCTAGCCAATGGATTTAATGAATTTTTAATTTTAACAAAAAAGTCATCACTATTCAAATCAAAAAACTGTCTATAAAATGAAATATGAAATATGTGGGATTGAGCATTGTTTTGTGGTTTCGAATTGGTGGTAGATGAATTTGGAACTTGTTCAGCATCAGAATTTATTGGATCATTGAATGGATTTGCTGTTGGCTCTTCATCTGGTAATATAAAGTCATCACCTAATAAATCTGGTTCCTGATTGCGTATATTATTGTATGACATTTATGATTAAGGGTATGAATTGAAAAGGATAAGAATGAAACTAATTTAAAATTTTGGCAGTGCCCTAGAAAAATGTTGATAATACAAAAAGAAATCGCTACCAATTGTCTTAGAGTAATTTTATATGTATTCAAGTTACACTAAAGATAATCATCATTTTCCTTATCCAACTTTTGCTTAAGCTCCCATTTACTTTGAAATGGATTTAATGGTGGTGTGTTAATCTTATTGATACTCATTTTTTCATCATATAAAGCTGATTTATAATTATTAGCTGATACAGTTGTTTCTGTTTCACTGCTGTTCAATCCAATATTACGATAACCACTTTCAATTAATATCTTACCCTTTGTTTCTTGTAATTTCGTTGTGAATACCAAAGTTATTAAACATATAAAACTAATAATGAAGAATATCCAACCATTCAAATGTTGAAACAAAAATGGAAACGTTAAAGATATTGAACTTTCAAACAACCAATGTAAACTTGTAACAACTATCCAACCTCTAATTCTTGTAGAATGTGTTAAACTTTCAATCGTATATAACCAACTTATTGGAATAATCATAGTATAATATAAAACATCTAATAAACCAGTTAATGCTAAAACTGTAGAAGCACTATTACCAAAAAATTCAACCTTAAGAAACCAATCACTATGACTTGCAACACTTCTAGGTTTAGAAAATCCCAAGAAAACAACCATATATGAAAACATAATACACGTAACTAAAAAAGTACCATAAACTAATATATCTTTCCGTCTCATAACATCTGAAATTAAAATTGGAATGGTAGAGAAAACAACTCTTGCAATCAATTGAGCAGTTTGAACAGTTTTAAAATCATCAAGGGTACTAATTTGACATGATTCACTTATATAATCAATTGATTCAGATATATTTGAAATTGCGATAAAATCAATTAAAAATTTCATTATAATTGCAATACTTGTTTCTCTAATATATCTCTTTCCAAATAACCTATTAATTGAACAACTCTTCAAATCATCACTGGTTGAGGAATAATTTTGAGTTACGAAATGTTTATCTCCCAATTTGGCCCTATTTAAATTTATCTTTCTTTGTTGTTTTAAATCTTTGGTTGAACTATTCTTTATTTCTATACTTTCTAATACATCAGCAGCTGTTGACCAATCACTATTAACTGCAAGCCATTTTGGTGATTCAGGAATGAAAGGTAACATAACAATTGCAAAAATTAATGGAATTAATTCAATTAGCCAATATAATCTGACATATTTTGCATTATAAGTGGAGTTCTTTTGTTCAATTAACATATTGGGGATTAGAAACAGAATTAAATTACCCAAATTACTCACAAATAAAAATAATGATAATACCCTACCCCTTCTCTTTATTGGAATTATTTCAAATTGATAAATAGGTATACTAATAAATGTAATTCCAACTGCAACTCCATTAATGATTTTTCCTAAAATTAACATTGAAATTGTATCCAGAACAAACGTAAATATGATACCAATAATCCAAAATATGCAAAGACATTCCATTGACTTGATAAAACCAAAATGTTCAGCTATTTCCCCTCCAATTACACTACCAGCTATTCTCAGTTAGCGAAATTCTCTATAACTTCATTTGATACTTACCAATTGCACCTAAATAATTACATGATTTTAATAAATTTGTTTCAAATTTTGTTGGTTTTTCATATAAAGTTGTAAAAATTTCAGAATTCTTAATACTTAAATAAGAATATAATTCCATTCCTGCAATAAAACTAAATAATGATACAGCCAATCCAATTGCATAAGAATTGTACATCTTCTTGACTTTTTGCATTGATTTCATCTTTGAGCGGTTAAACGAAAATTGAAAAAAGCCACCTAACTTTTTTAGTGAACCAGATTTTAATGCGAAAAAAAAAATTAACAGATAAAACCTGGTATGGCTTGTTTCAGATTATGGATTTAGATTTTACAGATGATGTCCTACAAAATATAACTATAGCACCTAAAATTGATAAAAGTAATTTATATTTGAATGACAAATTTGCAAAACAAACATTGATACCTTCACCAATTGTCAATCAAATCATTCCAAAGTTTAAAGTGAAAATTAATAAAAAGTTTCAGGGTTCTTCGAGTGTTTTATTCAATGATGAAGAGTATCAAATGTTATTACCAAAGGAAGAAGATTCTCAAATGGATGTTTTTAGTGATATTGAAGAACATGAAGATTTTTTGTTAAATTCAAATGAAAATGAACAAAATGAACAACCTTCAAAAAGCGAGTCCCTAAATATTGAAAAATCAAAATTTGAACATATACAAGTACTTGTGAAGTATCAATCTCTACTTATTGATGGAATAGAGTTCAAATTTAGATCAGCAATTCGATCATCATGTGTCATAAAAGCGAGTTCAATTCAAGAAGAAGATCATTTATTAATATCATTAAAATCAGGATACTTAATATTAGTAAAGTTGTTTTATATACCGAGAGGCATTTCCGATATTGATTACAAATACCAGACCCAGGTCATTGACGATAAGGGAAATTCAATTTTTCGACCTTTTATAGTACAATGGTGGGATGTATCAGGTACACTGAAAGCTCCAACATTAAACTCCAGTGGTTATCAACTAAAATCTTCACCTTCTGGTAGATCTACTGTTTCCTGCCCCTCCTCTGATAGTTTTAGATTATTCATGACATTACCTCAAGCTTCAGGAACAATACTAAGAAATCACTTCAATATCAAAGTGGAAGGTCTACTATTAGATTCATGCTTCATAATACCTAATAACTCACAACAACAAACTGATATATTTTTGACGTTAAATTTCACTGATAATAGAAGGCTAGATATAAATTTATTTTCATGGTCTACTCAACAAAGTGATGGTATATTTCCAACAGGTTTTTCCAAATCAATTTTACCACTAGATAATCAATTCGAAATACCAGTTTTTATAATACCTTTACAACATAATCAATCTTTTTTGTTTGTATCAACTACAAAGATTACAATAATTAGCATTCATGACATTGTTTCAGCTGAATATAATTTCAATTTTCAAGATGTTCCATGGGGTACATCATTTCCTACTACATTCTACGTACCGAATGAACCTCTCTATGATATAGAGTATGGTGTTGATCAAATACTAATAGCAACTGACAATGGTGTAATTTATTCTTTCATAATCAAAGGTACATCTTTTACTTCAAAAGCTATTTTCAAGATACAAGAGCCAATATCACAATTTACAGTTGAGAAATGTTTAAATGGTTATGATTTTACTTATTCACATATGAATGGATCCTCAAAGCGACTATTGATAAACGATATTTTAAAAGATGAATCTGTCGTAGAGACTAAAAACGGATTTTCAGAAGCTAATTTGGTCACTAATTTCAAAAACTGGACACCATTAATAGACTTCACAACTGTTGAGAATCTAAAATGTGCTAAACAAGAACTTTGGGGAATAAGTGGTATTGGGAAAAATTCAAAATTAAATCATTTTAGATATGGTTATGTGGGAACAAGGAAAAGTTTTATCTACGAGAAATTGAGAAAGACATTGAAGTTATGGAAATTGAGTGTTAATGATTCAGTGTATTTATTATGTTCCTTACCATTCGAAAATATTCTTTTGGAATTTCAAAGAAATTCAAAGCAAGATGTATTTGTGGAGATAAAAAACCCATTAATTAATTCTGATGAAATTACTATACATGCAGGTGTTATAAATGATATTGTTGTGCAAGTGACCAATAAATCAATAGTGCTATCTGACTTATTAAATGAGACATTAACTAATAGCATGGATAATAAAATTATATTGCATGCGGAGATTCATCAACAAAATTTATTTTTGGTTGTACAACTGTCTAATTCTATCTATTTACAAGTGTATGAGGTATTAGATCTACTATTATCAACAGAGTCTAATCCTGATGATTACTTTAATTTTCTTTGTGGAATTGAACTTTTTTACCAACCATCAATGATGAAGTTATTTGAAAATGATTCAGAATCTGGTTTATCGATAGGTAGTTATGACGGTTTTATTTATTTTTATGAGATGAGTTCTACAATCAAATTAATTCAGTCTTTAAATTTATCCCAAATCTATTTGAATCCTAATGATATCACTGAGTTACCAAATTTGATTCCTAATGATATGATAGTTCACAAATCAGAATTTTTATTTGGAACGAAAGAAGGTTATTTAGTAACAGTTGAATATTTAGATGAATTCAAATTCAAATCTTGTAAGAAGCTAGGAAATAACGAGGTTAGTTTATTGCGCAGTGCAAGTGATCCTCAATTCTTATTTATACAATGTAAAGAGATTTGGTTAGTCAATGGTTATGAATCAACTTATCCAGTTAGAATTTATTTTGATGATATTTACGATAGACAAATTCACACATTTGTTGAACTTGAACTATATTCTAGCAAATTTCAACAACTTGCAATAATAAGAGATAATGGACTTGTTTTAACTCATATTTCTACATTTCAAGATCAAGCAATAAAACAAGTTTCAATATTTGAAACAGGCAGTAAATTATTATATCTACCTTACATTTCAGCATTTTTAATATTAACAAAATCAAAATCAAACAAGAATAGAATCAAATGCGTGGATAAAAAATCATTAAAGATAATGATTCATAAGGAATTGAAATTTAAAAGCAGATCAAATAATGCTGATGAATTATTATTTGATACTAATGAATATCCAATAAATTGTTGTGTTTGGGAAATTAATAGAGGTCAAAAAGTATCAAAGAAAGTATTAATTGGATGTAGAAAAGCATCATCTAATGGTGAACATGGTACTGTCAAAGTCTTAGATTTTAAAAAAGTCAAATCTGAAAATGAAACAAATATAGCTATAACTGAATTAAATTCATTTGATCATGAAAATCCAATAACTAATATAAATCAAATTGCTGAAGTTATATTGTATACAAGTGAGTCCCAATTGTATTATAATAGCTATAATGAATTAGAGAAAAGATTTACTCCAATTAAATTGTTAAAGACGTTGCCTAGTAAGATAATATCAATGAATATTTCAAATGATGATATTATACTATGTACTCAGAGTGATTCAATATTTCATTTCGAACTTCCTAAATTGTTCAATTCATTAACTTCAAGTATAGATTTAAAAGCTTGTGATCCTTTTGCTAATACTTTTGTCAATTCCATCCCATTTGGTGCATTATACATTGCTGGTAATAAAACAATTACAAATGTTGATTTTTATACTCAGTTGAACTCAACGTTAAAAAGGAGTCATTCGTCTAAAGTTAATACTATCTCAAGAGTAGCTTCAATAAATTTAAATGATAAGGTTATCAAACGTGGAATTGGTGTAGATAAAAATTGCATACTAGGCGTTGGCTTTGGTGGAGAAATAACATGCTTGAAACCATTAACCAAGGATGAGAATGACAAATTTTCCCAATTCCAGGATCGTATCAAGAAATCATACAATCCATTTATCAATAAGATAAGTGGAACAGGATTATTTTCATTGAATAAACCAGTATTAGATTATAATGAAAATAAAGCCAACGAGCAAGTAATCGACTTTGATCTTCAAGAACTGTCAGAGATGGAAAACTTATACTTGTAATAAATATATAATCGTTAATTATAAACTCTATAAATAAGGGTATCATCAACCTTGAGATTCTTCATCAATTGTAGTTTCGATCTCACTTGCATTGTTTAATTTTTTCTTCATTCTTTCTTGTCTGAATTTTTGAACTGATGATTTTGTATCTGATGTATCTTCATCATCAGCATTTCTCAACACTTGTAATAAATTTCTTGCTCTTGATTCACCATCTTCTATGTTTTCAGGTTCCAAATCATTTAATAACAAATTGTCCGGTGTACTTGATCCATTATTTCTATCTTCTGAATCAGTTTTAATTGGAGATGCTGATTGTTGTCTTCTTTGATTATCCAATATATGTTTCCTCATAAATGCTCGTTTTCTTGCTGATGATGTTTCTACTTTAGTCGGTGCTTTTAATTTCTCCAATAATGAATCCATTACACCATTTACATTTTCTTCATCACCTTCATTTTTCAAATTGTCATCACTTACCTTCTTTGGAGTTTCCAATAATTTCTTTCTTTGCTCATATATTCTTATTTCTTCTTCACGTTTTAAATTATCAGCTTGGGCACGTTTGAAATCCTTCATAAAATTAGTAAATTTTGAAATAAATGAATTTTTTATAAATTGATCTGTTGGATCTTCACCAAAATAAATCATTAAATTATCAAATTGGTTAAGTGTAAAATTTGCTTGATCTATTAATAATTCACCTTTTCTTTTAGCTTTAGGTAATGCAGGTAATACAATTTTTAAAACACGATCCAATGGATGAAATTTTGAAACATCGCTTAAATTACCAATATCAATTGATGTTTGAACATTTTTAATTGATTGTGAAAATTCTTTACAATCATCATAAATATTCTCAATTGAAAATTTTATAATATCATTACATTTAGATAATTCATCAAGAAATTCTAAAAATTCAGGATATTGTGTTCGTATAACTTTTTCAACATAATGTAAAAATGTCATACTATTTTTATCATCCTTCATAAAACTTAATCTTTGTAAGGAACTTAATTTAAAACCTTTTGCTTGTTTTGTTGAATCATTCATGTAATTACCAACAGTTAATATAATTTCAAATACACCTTTTAAATGTTTTGAGTTCTTAATACAGTCTACTCCTTCATCGATTAATCTTAATTTACCAACTAAATCATCATAATCTTTTTCATAATTTGAAACAACTGTTAATGCTCTAATTCTTGATTTCCAATAATGTTGTAAATTATAAATAAGTTCCAAATATATTCTATCTGGTCTTTGTAATTCATTTGGATCTTTATCTGGTTTGGAAATATCATCAGCTTTATAATCAATTGAATAAGGTTCGAAATTTCTTGCCAATGTATTTGTAACTTCAACAATTTCAGGTTTATTAAAAAATTCTAATACTGCAAGATTTTCAAGTACATCCTTATCACATCTTAATACTTTTGCAATCAATTCTTCATCACTTAAGGAATTAAATGAGTGTAAATTTATACTGAATTGTTGAGCTACATCTCGAGATAAAAATGAAACTTTATCAAGATCTTCTTTCTTCTTAGTTGCTAATTTCTTGATTTCTTTAGCAGCAAATATAACTTCAATTTCATCAAATATACCTTTTGACATTAAATCACTAACTAATGTACTATTTTTTGGATCATTCCAAAATGAATTTGAAGTTTGATCATAATCTATTTTTTCCCAATGCAATTGTTTCAATTTCTTTTTGGGTCTAGGTATATGACTAAATCTATTAGATGATGTAGGTATTGGTGATGCTATTTTTGGTATATTTGATGATGGTGGTGGTGGTAATGGAGGAGCAGGTGGTATTCCATTAGTTAAAAATCCTGGAGGAGGTGGAGGTGGTGGTGGTGGCGCCAAAGATGATGTTGAATTGTAGTTTAGTATTGGTGGTAATGGAGGTGGTGGAGGAGGAGGAGCTGATGGTGTAGATTCTATTGAATTTGATTTAAGTAATGATCTCATTGGAGGTGGGGGTGGCAGATTTGAGTTCTTTTCTTGTTTTGGTTCATCTTTAGTTTCTATAACTATTTTTGATACAGATTCTGATTCATCTATGTTAATAGGTTCAGCTAATTCAACTTTAGAACTTAATTCTTTTAAAAACTTTGGATCCATTGCACCAATTGTAGTCATTCTATTTGATCTTTTTTGATCTTTAGTTGGTTGAACAATTTCTGAATTTGTTTCAACTTTAACTTGACCTTTTTCATATTTATTTTCAATTCTTTCCATTATTGAATTTCTCTTTGGTGATTGTAATTTATTAGCAGCATCTAATTGTTTTCTTAATTCAATTCTTAATTTTTCGACTTCTTCTAATTCTTCCTTAATTTTATCTTTCATTGAATCATCAATTGGAGTTGAAGGTACAAATTCAAAATTTTCCTTATCTGGATCACCTTCTAAATCAAAATCTATATTAAAATCTTTAAAATTATTTTCTAATTCTCGTAATCTTTCCATTGCTAAATATTTTTGTTTACTAAACATTGAACTACTATTATATTTCATTATATCATTAGATTCACTTTGTAAATTTGCAAGTTTTTTTCTTAAATTATCCAATTTATTTAAATCATCATTTCGTACTCCTCTTTTTGGATCTGTTGGCAAAATTAAAGGTGGTGGAGTTTTTGATTCTTCTTCTGATTCAGATGATAATTCAACAATTTCAGGTTCAGAAACTTGTTCAGGTTCTTCTTCTTGTTGTACAAACGTTTCAAAATCAGTCATTTCTAATTCTCTAGCCATATTTTCAATATCACCCATTTGATCTCTTAACGCTCTTAATCTACTCAGTGGTTCAACTTGGGTTCCGCCCAATTGTTTATTATCCAATTTAAATTCAGCACGACGACGATGAATTTGCTTTTGTAATCTTTGAGCTAATTCTGCATTTGATGTACTTAACAAAACGGTTGTTTTATTTCCCTTTCTACTAGTTTCAAAATTTGATTCATTATTATTTAACATAATTAATAATTCTCTCATTTCTAATTCCAGTTCCTGTTTTTCTTTAATATATTTAGTTTTCAATTCATTAATTTCTTCTTTCATTTCTTCATTGGTTCTTCTAAATCTCAGAATAATCATATCTCGTTCTTTTAATTCATTATTTAAATTTGAAATCATATTATCAGCACCCATTGATAATTGTCTTGACATATCGTCTCGTTCTGCAGTTGCTTCTTCAGCAATTTTTCTAAAATTTTTAGCTTCTTCTAATGCTCTTCTATATTCATCATCAGTACTTAATGTTGAATATAATTTATGTATAGCTACATTTATTGCTGTTTCTTCATTAGTTGTTCTTACTGAAGTTATATTTTGAATTAATCCATCAAGGATTCTCATACTATTTAATACTTCTTGAGAATTATTTCTTTGATCATATTGATTAAGATATAAATTTTGTACAGCACTAAGGAAATAATCTTGAGCTTGTGAATCTTTAATACCATTCCATAATGATTGTATTATATCAACTGGATCTGAAAAATTGATATTTTCATCGAAATTTCCTCTGAATACTAATTCTTCTTCATCTTGTTTTTCATCTTCAAAAAATTTAGTTATAAGTCGTTCAACATCAGGATTATACAATTCTTTAAAATTTTCAAATAATTTTAAAACACCTGCAACTTTAAATTGATTTCTTAATCTCATTCTAATTTTACAATCCGCGCCATTTGATATTATTACATCTATTAATAAGCCAGTTGCTTCACAATATTCAGTTAAATGATTTTCTGATTTTGTTGCTGAGTTGGAAAGTCCAATATTTCGTTTAACTTCATTTCCAGCACCAACCATTGACTTTGGAAATCTACCTCTTTTAGAAACTACAGATATTGCAGATTGTATCCAAACTTCAAATCTTTTATAATTAGTAGATGGTGCTTTTCTTTTCAATTTTTCAGAAGATTTTTTGGTGATCTCATCATAATCATATTCAAATCTTGTTCTTTCACCTAATGAATCAAGAGCTTTTAAAATTTTATGATATCTACTATTGTCTTCAGCATCATAAGTCGCCATAAATGCTAATGCATCAGATGCTAGTTTTCTAGTTGAAAGACTAGGACTTAATAATGAACCAGCTACTGCATTTACATATAATTCAGCATCAGTTTTAATTCTTTCAGCCCCTAATCTTTGATTCATTATACATTTTAAAGCTTTCATTACATTTGATTCTTTATAAAAAATATCTTCATTTAAATCATGTACTTGACTTTTTGCCATTTCATCATGTAATTTCATAAGATAAGAAGATAATAAAGTATCACCTTGACAATCATAAACAAATTTTCTAGCCCAATCAACTGAACCAGATCGTAGTTGCATCCATAAACTATTTAATTCAACTGACGAAATTTTTTTTGATAACAATAATTTACAATATTGTTCTTGCAGAACTTGTTCTGGTCTTTTTTGTCTTTCAATTTCTGCTTTTCTATCTTGTACAATCATCATCCATTTTTTATCAATATCAAAATTCATCATATTTCTTCGAACATCAGGTGGTAAACTTTTGTAGTTTAATTTTTCCAATAATTCTTTATACATTTTTTCAATTTCAAATGCTGATTCGGGGCGTACCAAATTATCTTGTAATTCTGATATGTCTTTTGATTTAGATGTTATGGATAAATTTGTTGATTTTCTTGATAATTGAGGGTAATTATTAGATTGATATGGTTTTGATAAATCATAAGGATTTGAAGTCGATATACTATAAGTTGAAGGTTGTCTACTATGTAGAGATGGTTGAGGATTCGGTATGGTACTCTGTGACGCAATTGATGTTGTTCTAGACGGATAAGCTTGATGAGTTCTTCCACTATGATTAGAATGATGAGTACTTGAGGTTAGTATACTTGCAGAATCATTTGATGATAAATCATTTGTGTCTTTATCTTTAACTTTATTTCGCCTTAAACTGAAAATTGAAGATGATGATTTTCTATTATTCTGAGTTGGTGAACCATTTGAATGATCACTTTTATTTGAATGATTATATATAAAAGAATTGTTTAGTTCATCATTTATTCTAGGATGTAGTTGATTTGGTTCCGGTTGTTTTCGTCTCATATTATTTAACCCAGGGCAATAATTAATAATGACAATTTATACTAAATAAGTAACCCTATTGTTAACCTTTGATTCTATATACAAGATTTGTATTATTTGTAGCTATGTTGATATATTTTGTTGGTATATTAATGGTATTTTAATGTGTATAAGTTGATTTTATCTGATAAATGTTGTAAATTTTATAGTCAAAATATTTTTTTTTTTTTTCTGGTTTGGTAAAATTCATTATTTTTAGTAATATTCTATTTAACGATTTACTATGTAAATTGTCAACTGTCAATCGTATAGACAACCGCGTCTTGAATAGGTAGGGATTGAGCGGAAAGAGTAGATGAAAAGATGTGTTGAAGAGAGATTTAACTAGTGTATCTTACCATTGATTAAGCCGTAAACTGACCAAATCTCTTCATTCTCGAAGTTGTTGATTTCATGATTTTACAACCGACTAGTAGTAAGCAAGTGTGGAGAATGTTCAAATCGACAGTTTTTTCCTATGATTAAGGTAGTCTGTTTTATATTGAAATTTTGTTAAATAATGCTGGCTGTTTATTGTTCAAGGTCGCACCTGGTTAATCATAAATTGAAAATCTTTTGATTATGTGCATTAAAATCTATTTATCATTTTCCATATTTTCAGCTAACATATCTAACGTTTGTTCTAAATGTTTATTCATTTTTTTGGTAAATGCTTTTGATTTGGAATTTGATCGTTTTAAACCTGTGTTTGTTCCTTCTTCTGTATTGGTATCAATATTTTCTTTTTCGTCTTTTGATTTAATATCTTTGTTGATTTCTGTTTCTTGTTTTTTTGTATGGTCCTCTATTATATCAAAATGTTCAGAAGAATCTTCAAATGCTTGATTATCAGATTCTTCAACGTCTGGTGATGACAATTTACCCTGTGGAATGTCTACTTTTTCAGGTGATTCAGGTTCTCGTGTAACTGGTGCATTGCCTACTTCTGTAGTCGGTTCCGGTTGATTCTGGTTAATTGGTTCACTATCTACTTTAGTGTGAACATCTGGAGCTTCTTGAGCAATTGGCTCATCATCTTTAGTATTCACTGATACTTGTTGACTTCTTCTTTTCATTTGATCTTTATTCAATTTCAATGCTTCTTTTTTATCTAGATCATCTTTTACTTCTCTATTAAATTTTCTTGGTATCAAATTAATAAAAGTTTGTGAATTAATTTCATCAAGATTAGCTTCTACTAATTTTTCATTATCCCAATAACCAACTTTACTCCAAAATATTTTAACTCTAATTTGTATTAAAATCATATAAATTTTAATTAATTTACATTCTTCTTCATCATCTAATTTTATATCATGCATTGAACTATTCATTAATTCAGTAGAACTTGAAGTATGAGGTGGTGATTCATCAGATATATAAGAACTTGATCTTTTAAATTGACTAAAATTACCATTTAAAACATTCAATGATGATAATTCATCAAATTTATTATTTTGTTCCAATTTAAAAATATTTGATTTTATTAATCTAATTTTTGCAAAGAAATCACATAGATTTCTTAATTTAATTAAACAATAGTTACATAATGGATAAGAACTTAATAATTTATCATCTAAATCATGAATTTTATAATAATATAATCTATGATGTTCAAGACTATCATTTCTAAATTCACCACAAAATGAACAATTTTCTTCTATAGCAACTGGGATGGTATTATTAGAAGAACCTTTATAACTCAATTTAAAACTTTCATTTACACCTTTTATAGGTTCAATTTGCACTCTACCTTCAACTAAAGAATTCCAGAATAATTTGTTTTTATTCCATTTATTAAAAATTGTGTTATTTGATGATAATGAAGGTATATGAAGTATTGAATTTTCAATTTCAAAATTCCAAATGTGCTTAAAATATGTTAAATTTTTTAAATGATTTAAATCTAAAACAAAATCAGGTTTAATTAATGTATAAATGAATGATTTAAAGTCTTTATTGAAATTATTCAAATCTAATCTTATATTTGACAATTGTGGGGAATAAACTAGGTTTTGCAAGTAGTATGATGGATCATATTGTTCAACAACAGTTGCTGATTCTTCAGTAGTACTTGTATCTTTTGGAGTTTCAAATTCAAAATGATTTCTAGACTCAAATTTTGGAGTAGATAGTAATTTTTGCTGATCTTCCAAAGTCATTAATATCTTTTTCAAATCAACCAATTGATCTTGTAAATTATTAATAATTATATTCTTTTCTTCAATCTCTTCATATAATTTTCGGTTCTTTATTTTAAAATTATGAGTTTCTCTTGATGCATTTGAAACCATAGTATTCGCTTCATCAAATAATGAAGCAGTCAAGTCTTCAACTTCACCTTTTAATTTTGTATTTTCTGCTTCAGCTTTAATTTTTAATTCTTTACTTATATTATAATCAGTTTTTAATTGATTATACTCAGGTAATAGACTTTTATAATTTTTATCATTTTCAATATAGTTGGAATTTAATTCTTTTAATTGTGAATTTTGTTTTCTTAATTGTAATATAATTTCTTCTAGTTCAACTTGTTTATTAACAGCAGTAACTAATCTAATAGATAGATTACCAACTTCTTCAGCTAATCTTTTTTCATAATCTTCATCCATTTTATTATTAGTTAAATTAGTTGTAAGATTGGTTGAAGAATAATAAATATTTTTTTTCTGATAAATTATCAATGTTTTGATTTATACTAAACGAGTAAAAACAATACAATAACTTTGGGAGTGGCGATACTATTGGTTAATCATCCGTTGATAATATATAGAAAATATAGCCGTGGGCAAATATATATATATAAAAATTTTTCACAATAAAACTTTGAATCAAAACATAACAAAAAACTGTTGGATCTTGTTCTCTATTTATATACTCCACAATTAGATAGTAATTGATTATATTACACTACCCTCATGATCTCATGAATTTCACACAATTTGGTTGCGAAAATGAATACAAGTTTTGATAATTGCATGAATCCATTAAATTCTCCGATAGGCTATAGTAAATCACCAATACAATATTATTCAAATGATATAAATACTAGTGATAAATTAAATTCACAGGGAGTTTTTTCGCCACCAACAAAAAGTCTTGATTCTTTACCGATTGAAGTCATAGATCGAATATTCCAAAATACATCACAATTAGATTTACTTAATATCATTAAACTAAATAAATTTTTTTATATCAATTACAGATTTAAATTATTTACCAATGTGATAATTGATTCAAATTATAATTTTTTCAACAGTGAACAAGAGTCAACAAGTACAATCATAAATAATGCTTATAATTTTGAAAAATTTATTCATGTAGTCAATAATGTTACAGAAGTTCCCAAAATTGAATCATTAACTTGTATAAGTCTACCAGATTCATTAAATTTTTTTGATCATGAGTTAAATCATCAATTAATTGAATTTTTCAAAAGATTACATACACTAAATAGTTTAATTTGGTTAAATGATAATTTTAAATTGGAATTTTTACATTACCTACCTAATAAACACTTGGTGAAAACTTTGGTGTTAAATATAAAGTTTAATAACTACCTAAATGAATTAAATGAAGATGATGAATTAACTAGCTCGTTCAATTTTCCAAACCTTGAAATCTTCCTGATTAAACCATTTACAAATAGTGCAAAATTGTTTAAAATTATTAATAATTTACTTATAAGTGATAATAATGCTGAAGTAGTGAGTAATAACCTAAAATCTTTATCTTTATCCAATCCTGCTCATCTGAATGAATTTTCACTACAACAAGGAAATATAATATTAACAGTATTCAAAGCAAGTAAATTAAAATATTTAAATAATCTTCAAATATTATCTTTAAATGATTTTGTGGTATCATCTGAAATTGGCCGAATATTGAAAAAATCAGTGAATTTATCAAATTTAACATCATTACAAATTAGAGGTTTATTTGAATGGAGTGAAGATCATGATAGTTTTTTATCCATAATTCGTGATGATTTAAGAAATTTAAAACATTTATCATTAGATATTTCTCCTGCTTATGATGCAACTTATGAATTTTTGTATGATTTGAAAGCAAATTTACTTACATTAGATTTGGTAATTACAATGGAACGATCCACACCTCAATTTGAATTAGTTTATAAACCTGATGACTTTACATGGGTAATTAAAAAATTTAAATCACTTGAAAAATTATCAATTGAACTTTATAATGGTGTGGATGTTCCTAAACAACAATTGGTAGATAATGCACCTTCATCATTTTATAAACCATTAAAAGCATTAAATTTAAAAAGTTTAAGAATAAATAGTAGTTCAAATTATCAAGCAGTATCATCATTAATTGAAACACAACCACATTTAGAATTTTTAGATTTATTTGGTAATAATGCAAGTGGGGCTCCAAATTTAGGATTAGGTATGATTCATCCAAATGTATTAGATGAATGGTATAAAGTTCAACATGTAATAATATATTATTCACAATTTAATAAAAATATTAAATATTTAAGAATTAACGGATATTTATTTGAGGTAAATTATTTGAATGGGAATGAGTCAATTAATCCAAAAGATGATAGTTTAAAAAGATGGTTTAATGATAAAGTAATGATGAGAATAGAATAGATTAGATAAGAGAGTTCCTTTAACCCATTTATAAAATCAAAATCGGAAAAATTAGTAGAAAGATCTAAAAAAGAAATTAAAGATCTGGTTTGATGGAAATAATTAATGCTTAGCCGCTTAAATATAATAATACAAATATACACTACCTTCAATTTTGTGTAATTTGCGTAAATTTATTATGGTTGGTTGAATTTCGAAATTCGAAATTCTTGTTGAAAAATTTTACGTGTATTAAAGTTTAGACTACCCCTCTTTAAAGAATATACAACCGATATAAACACGTTATTCAAAGAGAAGAGGAAAATTGAACAGATTATCTGTCAATTTCAATTTCAATCAGTGTTTATTTTGTCACACTAGTACAGTTGACAGGTACACATTTTTATCTCTAATAATCTACTCGGGAACATGGAAATGATTAAATCAAACATCCAAGAATATCTAAAAATAAAATATTATATACAGGCATGTCGTATTAAAATTTTTTACATTTAAATATAATTGCCTCGAAACTTTATGACTAAAGTTTGAAAAAGTATAAATATACCTCAAATTTCCAATTCCAATTTCAATTTCATTCTTCAACAAATATTCTACAATTATTATGATTTCAACTCCACAACAACCAATTATTAAGATGTCAGCTACCGAAAAAGAAGCAATGATAATGCAAGAAATTAAAGCAGGTGCTAAAAAATTTGAATCTAAATTTGAAGGTTCTTTCTTTGGTGAAATTTTTGGTTTTGCAATTAGAAAATAGATATGATTGATATTTGCTTTTACGAGGTTATGGTTTAATAATAGATATGTTATAGAGATGAATTTTCAATTCAATTAATAGTTAATATAAAATGTTACATTTATTTCAGATGTTTTGTCCTTCCCTTGAACCGCTTAAGCGAAAAAAGAAATTTTTTGAATCTGGAATGAGATGCATAATTGCGAGAGAGATTTCGTTTTTATGCACTACTCCGTACTCCATATTAAAATAACGGTTTTTGTCTAACATGGCCAATAACGAACAAAGTAAGGTTGCATTAACAGATAAGAAATTTCTAGGCAATTGCGAGATTAGTTTTCAAAATTATTGATGTCTATTCGTTATACAGTCTATAAAGACATTAGTCTATCTTTGTACATTTGCGTGTTTAGAATTTGTTCTCAATCCTGAACTATGATGAGGCCAAAAGGCTGCAAGAACGGAAACTAGCAACAAACTGGCAAATCCTAATAGTGATGATCCCCAACCAACTGGATAATTTGGAGTTGCTAGATTATTAAATTACGGGTTACCCGATAACGAAAAGCATACAGATAATGATGTAAATAAATTATTTGATGCAAATACTGAAGTAGCATAATCTACTTTAAATGAAGCTCCAATATAATAATAAAGTGTTTGAATAATTAAAAATAACCCGCTTCAATATAATGCAACACCAATTAATCCAGGAAACCAATGAATTTCAACAGTTGCAGTCCATCCAAATATTAATAAGCCAATTGGAATTATACAACTACCAATAATTGCAACAGGTATTAAAATATGAGCAAATACTAATTGTTTACTTACTGGTTTTGTAAAATATTTAGTCCATATAAGGTGAATAAACTCCATTAGCTAATAATACTCCTACAATTGCACTTGACCAAGCAGTTCCTTAATTCAGCAGTTGTAAAACCTCTAGTTTGTTGGAAATAAGTTGTAATTGGTAATTGATTCGAAAAATAAAGATTGAACTCCAGTTACAATGAAAGTATAAATGTTAATTAATAATAAAGTAGGTTCACAAAATGTAATTTCAAATGGTTTGGTAAATAAGAACTCTTTCATCTTTTCAGGGTACGTCATGATACGACTTTCAGCTTTTCCTTTATTTATAATCCTTTGATCAGTTATTCTTCTCAATCTAACTGCTTTTCTAGGCAATAATGTCCTTCTTAAACTTCGGGTAATGTAAAACCAAGTTTTAAAAATAATACACCTGAAAACATAAATAAGTACCAGAATGTGAATTTATAACCTCTACCAACAATCAAACCAGATCCAATTAATGGTCCAACTCCAGGAATAGAACCCAATGACCAAATGTATAATCAACAGGTAAGTTATGTGGTTTTATAACTTCTAAAATACTAGCTCCACCACTAGCCAAACACTGACTTGCCATAAAACCACCAAGAAACCTAAGTATACATAATCCAGCAATGTTGGTAGCTAACGCAGTTGGAATCTGTAAGATAGAAAAGATGAATAATGTAACAATATAAATGAATGTTCTTCCAAACACTACATTTTCAGATAAGGGAAAAACTACCAATTGTCCAAAAACATACCCAATAAAAAATAAAACTTAATGGTAATGTAGCTACAACATGTCCTACTTTTCAATCTTGCATTAATTTTTCAATACCTGATGTATATATTGATGAAGCCATGTAGACACATGCAGTTAAGAAACAAATTTGGAATGTGAATATACTTAATATAGATATGACCAATTTTGAGGGTTATCAGGATCTTCATCACCCTATTCTACTATGATTTTATTGTATGATGCTATAGTCTTATCACTTATTGATGATGTAGATGAATTGTCACTTTGATTTAATAATGATTCACCATTATCTATTGATCGTTCATATTCTTTTTGTAGATATTTTTCAGGTATTTCATAATTTGATGATTCTTCTTTCTATGTGCATAGTTTATGTCCAGATAAGTAATAGATGATCCTACCCAAGAAACTATCCCTGATGAATACGTTGACCATCGTTGACGTGATGAAAAGATGTGACAGCTAGGATGACTTTTATATCCAAATCAATTATTATTTCAGCAATCATTTATCAACTTAGTAGAAAGACTTTGCCGTCTTGCATCTGTCAAGTACGGTCATATGGTTGATGTACATGGCATTAGTAATTGTTTCTGGTTCATGAATATCTAAGATAAAATTGCTATATTATCTCATATGCTTGAGCGCAATTTTTTTTTTTTTTTTTTTAAAAGCTGGTTGCAAAAATTCGCCGCGCGCAAAAAATGTCAGATCTCAGATCTCAGATCTAAAACGTCTAATTCTACATTTACATAAACTTCGCAAATTAACCTTATATCACGAAAATTTTAAGTATTTTATGTTCAAAAATACTATATTCTACATTTTTTAGTTTATTCTCGATATATATATTATTAGTTCACTAACCCAATCTATTAATAAATTTAATTGTAACTCCCATATTTATTGAGCAAATTTAGATCTTGCTCTTAATTTTGGCCCATTCAAATAAAATAATACTGGAATTGCAATCATTGCCAATGTTATAAATGCTAATACTGAAGTACCCCAACCAACTGGAAATCTTGGAGTAGCTAAGTTATTGAAAATTGCAGAACCAAACAAAGGGAATGCCCCAGCAGTAAGACTTCTGAATAAATCATTTGATGCAAAAACTGAAGCTAAATATTCTGGTTTAAATGAGGCACCCATGTAATTAAATAAAGTTTGGAAAATCAAAAATGCACCACCTGCAAATATGGCAATACCAATGAAAGGTGGAAACCAATGTGTAAAAGTAGTAGCAGTCCATCCAAAAATAAACAAACCAGTAGGCATCAAACAAGCTCCAATTATAGCCATTGGAATAAAAATTTCTGGGAAAACTTGTTCATTTCTCAAAATTGGTTTAGTGAATAAACGACGAATTATTGGAATATAAATACAGCAACTAATTGAAACACCAACACCAACAACCAAATAACTAGCACCTAATTCAATTAATGTGAAATGACGAGTGAATTGAAAATAAATTGGGAAAACTTCAAAAAATAAATATAAAATACTGTAAACCATAGCAATATAGACATCAATCAATAAAACAACTGGTTCCATAATTGTAACTTGTAAAGGTCTCCATAAAGTCTCAACAACGTGCTCCCCGAAAGTCATACTTTTATTTTCAATTTCACCATCACTTGTAATATTCTCATTCCCAGTAATAGCTCTCAATCTCCTAGCCTTTCTGTAAAGCAATGTCTTTGCATATGTTTCTGGTAAAGTAAATAAAAAGACAATGAAAGTTAAAGCTGATGTCCAACATAAAAACCAAAATGACCAACGATAATTCTTAGCTATAGTAAGGGCAGCACCAATTAATGGCCCTAAAGACGGAGCCGAAACAGCAAAAACGGACCAAGTTGCAAGCCCTACAGGCAAGTTCCAAAACTTAACAACATCAGAAATACTTGCACCACCAGTAGCCAAACATGGACTTGCAAAAAAACCAGCCAAAAATCTCAAGATACATAAACCAGCGATGTTATTAACAACAGCAGTAGGAATTTGAAGGATACAGAATATGAATAATGTAACAATGTAAATTGAAGTTCTTCCAAAAATTGCATTTTCTGATAATGGTGAAAAAACTAATGGACCAAAAGCATAACCAATAACAAACAAACTTAAAGGTAAAGTAGCAACAACATGACCAACTTGCATATCTTCCATCAATTCTTGAATACCTGGAGTGTAAATAGATGATGCCATATACACAACTGCAGTTAAAAATGAGATTTCAAGAATGAAAAACACTTTGTAAGCAGTTGCCCAATTTTGAGGATTTTCAGGATCATCATCACTATCCCAAGTAACTATTATTTGATTTGGATTTGCTACAGTTTCATTTGAATCTGGTGTATTTAATTCATTTTCACTTTTGTCAGAATTTATATCATTGATCGTAGTTTTATACTCATTAACTAAATATTTTTCAGGGATTATGTAATCAGCAGCCTCTTCTTTATGTGAAAAATACTTATGTTTGGATAAATGATAAACAATCCTACCAAAGAAACTATCTCGAATAAATGTATGAGTCATTGAATAGATATATAATATGTTGTTGTCTTATTAAAATGAAAATTTGAAAAACCAAGAAATATCGAAGGATCTCAAATGGAATTTATAATAATAAGTTTTTTAGTTATTTCTAAATTAATAATCCGAATTGACATCTCCGAGAAGAGCTCTTCGTAAATCCGAAATCCAAAAAGGTAATCAGCCGAAAAATTTATATAGTACATTTCTAAGCAATTTTATAATCAAATACAACAATAATGGGATTTACAATTTAATTATGATAGAAAAATATGGAAATAAATAAATTTCGATTAGTTATTCGTTCGGATATATCTTATTCACATGTTAACTAGAGTTCGAACTAGGATCTGCGCTAAAAATTCTTTGTCATCAGTTCTGACTCGCCCACCCGTATGTGGCTAATCCGATTTAACGTTTATGGAGATACGTTTAGCAGAACTGGTTAAATTTCGTAAGTAATTTTTAAATAAATAACGGTTTTTTTATATTTTTAAAACCTATATAAACAATACAAATTTTTATCATAAGTTAACCTGAACTTATAATTTTTCTCCTGAAATTGGTCTACCAATAGTTGTAACATCATCATAGATTAATGTAGTTACAAAATCTGAATATTTTTCACCTAAAGCTTCTGGTGCAAAATAATCAAAAGCTTGTTTAAATTTATTACCTGGTTTAGCACTTTTAGTCAATTTTTCATATTCTTCCTCTAATAATTTTTTAACATAATCTTTTGAAATAACTTTACCAGTATTAGTTTTAGCACCATGAGTAACCCATTGCCATATTTGAGTTCTTGAAACTTCAGCAGTAGCAGCATCTTCCATTAAGTAGTTAATTGGAACACAACCAACATTCCTTAACCAAGCTTCAATATATGAAATACCAATAATAATATTAGTTCTAATACCTTGTTCAGTAATTTGACCACCTGGAACAAATGGTGATAATAAATCCCTTTGGGTAATTGGTTTAAATGGTTCTTTTGGTGGTAAATCAATTTGATTTGGTCCTTTCATATGTTCATTAAAAACTTTTAAAACAACTGGAACTAAACCTGGATGAGCAACCCAACATGAATCACAACCAAGAGTAACTTCTCTTAATTTATCTTTTGTAACATTTTCCAAAACTTGTTTATTTTTAGCTTCATCATCTTTAATTGGAATTTGAGCAGCCATACCACCTAATGCATGAACTTTTCTTTTATGAGTAGTATGAACTAATAATTTAACATATGATGACATAAATGGAGCTGACATTGTAACTTGTGATCTATCTGGTAAAATAAATTCTGGATGATTTCTCATTGATTTAATATATGAAAAAATATAATCCCATCTACCACAATTTAAACCTGCTGAATGTTGTCTTAATTGATAAATAATTTCATCCATTTGGAAAACTGCTGGAATAGTTTCAATTAAAACTGAAGCTCTAATTGTACCTCTAGGAATTCCAATATAATCTTGTGAATAATTGAAAATATCATTCCATAATTTAGCTTCTAAATGATGTTCCATTTTTGGTAAATAGAAATATGGACCAAAACCTCTAGCTAAAGTTTCTTTAGCATTATTGAAAAAATATACAGCAAAATCAAAAATACCACCTGAAACTGGTTTACCATCAACAGTAACATGAGCTTCATTCAAATGCCAACCTCTTGGTCTAACAATTAAAGTTGGAATATGTCTACCTTTTTCCAAATTTAATTTATATTGTTTACCACCAATATTAGCTTCTAAATTTCTTCTTACACCATCATATAAATTAACTTGACCATCAACAATATTTTTCCAAGCAGGAGTTAAAGAATCTTCAAAATCAGCCATATAAGTAGCAACATTTGAATTTAAAGCATTAATAACCATTTTTCTATCAGTTGGACCAGTAATTTCACATCTTCTATCAATTAAACCTGGAGATAAAGGAGGACCAGTCCAAGTTTGATCATCTCTAATATATTGAGTTTCTGGTAAGAAATTTGGTAAATAACCTTGATCTCTTAATTTTTGTTGTTCTTTTCTGTTATTTAATAATTCTTGTCTTTTTGCTTCAAAACCTCTATGCAAAGTAGCAACAAAAGCTAAAGTTTCAGCATTAAAGATGTGTTTAGCTTCAGCAGGAATTGGTCCACGGACTTCGACACCTTGTAATTTATCTTGATATTTTGGGAAAGGAGTAGTCATATTGAATAAATATAATAAGTATAATAAAGAAAAAGAGTTTAAAAATAGGAAAAAGAAGGGATAGAAGAAATGTTGTTATATTTATATTCATTTTAATTTTAAATATCCCCAGATTAATAGTCAACAGTTTTTTTTTTATTTTTTTTTTTTTTTTTTTTTTTTTTTCTTCTGATTATTTGATTCCTTTTGAACGAATATTATTATATATAGTTAACAGAGTCAGAGTTATTGGTAGTTTATTGACTCTGTAACTATTTATCATCGGATATTTCCTAGATAACTCCTACAATCATTACCACTTTTGGATTTGGTATATACCGTTGACTTTACATTTTGACTTTACATTTTGACTTTACATTTTGACTTCTTTATTTCTTATACTTTATTCTAACAATTCTTGTTTCAAACCAACTGGTCTAATCATTACTAAAATGATCAGGTAACTGTGTCAAGTGATTGTTGCATCCCTTCATGATGGAACCTCGGAATTTCAACGAAGGTGCACTGCATATAATAGATGAGTTTTAAATAATTTTCTGATGAAATATCTATGATTCAATAGTCATTTAAGCTCGGACCGGGGTCGCCTTAGAAATTCAATTTTCTACGTCATATTAATAAAACTGTATATATTTTAATAATAGTTAATAATAGTTATTAAATTCTTTAGCCCATTTAGTACCTTGTTGTAATGGTCCTAATAAACCTTTTTGTTTTGGTGTATAATCAATTCTTCTATATGAATTAATATTTTTTCTTAAAACAAATTGATAACATGTAGCAGTACCATTTCTACTTGCAACAACTGATGAACCTAAAAAGAATTCCCAAATTCTATACCATTTAATACCATATTTACCAACAACTTTATCTTTATTACCAATCCAATTTCTATACCATCTCCATAAAGTAGCTGAATAATGAACACCAATATTATCAACTGAAACAATTTCAAATCCAACTGATTCCATACATGAAGCAACAAAACTTAATGGAGTAGAAGCATCAGCACCTGGGAAAATATATTTATTCATAAATAATCCCCATTCTAAATCTTCATATTGCCAATTTTTTCTTAAACCCGAATATTGTAAAAAGAATAAACCATCATCTTCTAAAGCATCAAAACATTGTTGTAAATAAGCAGTTAATCTTCTAATACCAACATGTTCAGCCATTTCAACTGATGTAATTTTATCATATTTACCATTGGCTTTACCAGATTTTGGAGCGTCTCTATAATCACAACAAACAATTCTCGATTGTTCTTTTGAAACACCATATTCTTCAAGTAATGTATTACCCCATTTAGTTTGATTTTTACCCAAAGTTATACCAGTGACATTAGCACCATATTTTGAAGAAGCAATTGTAGCCCATGTACCCCAACCACAACCAATATCTAAAACATAATCACCTTTTTTCAAATCAATTTTATCAGCCATAACAGTTAATTTATTATCTTGTAATTCTTCTAAAGTTTCTTCTTTTGTATTATCACCAATAACACCGGATGTATAAACCATTCTTGGACCTAAAAACCAAGTATAAAAATCATCACCTCTATCATAATGATCTCTAACTTGTTCTTCATCTTGAGATTGTGAATGGAAAATAATTTCAGGAATCATACCTAATAAGAAAAATCTAAATAATCCCAAAGTAAATCTAAAATTTGCCCAATCATGTTTGTATTCCATAACATCTAAACAATCACCTTTAAATGAAACTTTACCATCAAAATATAATTCTTGAAAAGTTTCAATTGGAATTTTTTTACCTTGACCATTGTTACTAGTTTCATATTTAGCTTTTAATTCAGGAGTATGATATTCTAAATAATAACTAATTGGTCTATTTGGATATTTAACTTTTTCATTAATTCTTGGTGAAAATGTTGACATTATAGTCCAATAAACCATTAAAATTGGAACTGCAAATATTATAAATAAAATAACCCAAGTTTTAAAACCTAAACCAATTTTGTAAGTTAAATAAGCAGGAATTATAGTTAATAAACTCAATAAAATAGTATTTGAAAATGAAGCTGAACCAGGACCATCAGCAGGTAAAGGGGCATTATGAATTGTTGGTGAATCACTTGTTAAAACACCACAAGCATCACTAGCTGGAGGTTGTTTCTCAGCAACTGGTGTTTTTATAAAAGAAACACTATTTAACATAACTCAATTGAAGAAGAACTTGTCAATAAAATTGAAAAATATTTTTTGTTCAAAAATTTTTCAAGTATATTTGAAGAATTAATTTGATCGACGTGTATTTGAAATCGACGTGTATTTTAGATTAATTATACAGAAATTATTGTAATATATGTAGAATATATGTAGTATAACACAAAAGAAGGTAGAATCTTACAGCCTCAATTGATATCCACTAGTATAAATGTATCCAGTGTCGCTATTATTGGTTGTTGTTGTTCGACGCATATTCAATTGCAACTCGTTTCATAACCATCTTATGTTATTTTCGCCTGGGGATATATTCTCTTGTGAGTTTATGGAGTTATACAAGTCGATTACGACTGATTTTGTCAAAGTGGATGGTCAGTATAGACTGTCAATTGACTGATTGTATGTTCTTCATCTACAGCAAATTGTTTACTAGTGTTCTATGCAATGGAAACAGCTCGTTGAGATATTGTGTAACTCGTTTAAGTTGAAACACACTAAATTTTATCCGAACTAACAACCATACAACCAAGGATAATAACATAATATAAGCGAATTATGCACTACACATACCCGAAGTCTAGATCTATCTCTGATTTTGGATATATTATTAAGTAATGTAAATCTCGACGCGTATTATTAACTAAGTCGTAAATTAACCTCAACAAGCAGCTTGTGGCCATCAATGCCAACTCTAAGGCGGACCAATTTACAACTTGGGCCCTGTACTACTACGTGCGTCGTATAGAATAAATTAACTATTGTAGTGTGGCCCATGCGAAATTCAGTTTTGTTGATAAACAAAAAATAAATTAAACCAATTTACTTCTTGCATTAAACTATTTATATCTTACCCCGGATATAGATTAAATCTTTATCTTATTACATATTAGTACTTCATAGTTATATAAATTTATGTCATTATCAAACGACAAAAATGAACTCGTTTTAATTGATTCTGATTCAGATAATAATAATAATAATAACAATAATAATAATAAGAAGAATAATAATAATAATGACAACGAACTACCAAATAAACGAATTAAACTAGATAATAGTTCTCAACAATTATCAATTACTCCATTTAAAGAAGTATCATCAGAGGAAGACAATGCTAGTAATGACTATGAATCACTGAGTGATCTGGAAAAAGAAGCTAATACCACCACCCAATTAGATTCAGAAAATGGTTTATCTATGCCCTCCTTTAGAATATTACCACATAATCATAATATAAGTCAACAAGATGATAGTGATATTAGTTCCTCAGAGTCTGATTTAGAACCAACTATGTTATTAGATGATATACCACCCGACGTTATTATTAAAACCCGAAAACAGTTGAAAAAGTTAGGGAGTGTTGGTTTTTTAGAAGCTTATTTACCTACTGCTGCATCAGTTGAAGATATAATTAAATTAATATTGAAATTGGGATATGTTCCTAGAAATTTACCAGATGGTGATTCAGACATACTTGAATTTATTAAAATTTTAAATCAAGCCATGATAAAAGTACTTAAAACTAGAGAACAAAGAGAAGATGTAACTACAATTGAAGATGTTTTGAAATTATTACAAACTTCGGAGAAAATATTAGTTATCACCGGTGCTGGTATTTCTACAAGTTTAGGTATACCTGATTTTCGCTCGTCTCAGGGTTTTTATTCAATGGTTCAACATTTAGGTTTAAGTGATCCACAAGAAGTATTTGATTTAGAAATATTTCATACTGATCCTAGTTTATTTTATTCAATTGCTCATATGATATTACCGCCAGAACCTATGTTTAGTCCATTACATTCGTTTATAAAATTATTACAAGATAAAAATAAATTGTTACGAAATTATACTCAAAATATAGATAATCTTGAAAGTTATGCTGGAATAAATAAAGATAAGTTAATTCAATGTCATGGATCATTTGCAACGGCAAGTTGTATAACATGTAAGAATCAAATTGAAGGAGAAAGTATATTTCAGGAAATACGAGATAAACAAATTCTATATTGTCCGGACTGTACAAAAAGAAAAGAAGCAATATTAAAAAAGAATGAAGATGCATTTTTCGATGAAAGTTATGGGGTTTATAAACCTGATATTACATTTTTTGGAGAACCACTTCCGAAAACATTTCATGATCATATAAGAGAAGATTTATTCAATTGTGATTTATTAATAAGTATTGGAACATCATTAAAAGTGGCACCTGTAGCAGATATAGTTGAGAAAGTGCCTGAAAATGTCCCTCAAATATTAATAAATCGTGATCCAATTAATCATTGTAATTTTGATGTTAGTTTATTAGGTTATTGTGATGATGTAGCAAGTTATATACTGAATAAATTGGGAAATGAATGGAATTTACCACATGAGAAATATAATGATATAAGAGGTGATAATGGTGATAATTTATCAATTGAAATAGTTAATGAATCATTACGACAATATAAAATTACAAATAAATTAACACAACATGTTGATCCAGAAGAAGTCATAGAACATGAACTAATGGAAAATAATTCAACAATTGAACATACTCCATTAGGAGAAGCATTACCGCCTAGTTCAATTAAAGATAACACACCAAAACCAGTCGTATAATAATTAATATATTTTTTAATTAATGCGTTTCATCATTTTTTTTTTTTTTTTTTTTTTTTAATTTGTTTCAGAATTAATCTATGTCATCTAAAATACAATGCATAAGAAATATAAGTAGAATAAGAAATATAAATAGAATAAAAATACAGAGATACCTACATGTGAATAGTATACTAAATCAACAAATAAAGAAAGGTGCTAGACTAAAAAACTTATTTAAAAAATTTGAAAAAGAACCAAAATTCTTTGATTTTGAAACCAAGGTAAAAAACCAACAAGATGAAATAATGAAAATTGATCAAAATCCAATAGATACAGAAGAATCAAAGACGGAAAGATTTTCCGAAATTGATGGTTTTCATAAATTAAGTCAGTTCATACAAGAAGCATACCCAAAGAAACAAAAAGAGGATAATAATTTCATTGATTCAATTTTAAATACGGAGAATTCAAAATCAGCAATCAAGTCATTGGATATAGATATAAAGAATAAATTAGATGAGAAATGTAAAGAGGCGTTAAACCCAACAATAGAGTTCCTAGATTCCATACCCAACTCGTTAGAATTATACAAATGTCTATCAAGTTTTTTTAATCAAACAAGCAAGTTATTAGAAGATCACAAGAGCTTCAACATAATTTATCTACCAGAACTATCAAATAAAGAATGGTCAAGTGTCCATGATGATCTAATTGAGAGAATTGCAACTCAATCAACAGAATATCCAAAAGAGCCGTTAATCAACGTTTTAACAATTCCAATCATACTCAATTTCAGTTTAAAGAAAATTGGATTCCGTTTTTATAATGGTCCATTAGCTATGTCTATATTCAATCAATTAAAATCAAACGTCCCATTGTATTTCATTTCATGTAATCAACAAACCTACAATGAAATATTAAGAATCGTATGGATATACTATGGAATTATAGATTTATATCAATTTGAAAAGAAGTTTACTGAGATGAAAATCATGGGATATGAGGGTGATGTCACCACGTTCCATATTTTAAAAGTTGTAATTGATGAGTATAATGGTTTAAGACATGGGAAATCTGATTTTAACAAGTATGGTACTGAGATTCAACCAATAGAGAATATAGATCGTGAAAGATTTTTGAGACATGAGTTTATAAACTTGAAGCATAGATTGAATAAAGGTGATGAAGAAGAAGAAGATACTGCTGCTGAAGCAAAAGCATTATTAAAAGCCTTGAGTCTATAATCGGACGAAGATAATAAAAATGAAAATTCCGTAAACGCAAGGTAAATATCAGGTGCATCAATTTGAAAAATGGAAGATGATGATATAAACCCATTCTTGAACGAATTAGATTTATGGAGTTGAATAAAGATGATAATACTGGCAACAGTATCATAAAAAGCAACAACTTTATGGCAAATGGACTAAGAAGAAGAGGAAATAGTAGCATTTAAAGCATTAATAGCATTGTATATATATCGTGTATATATTTATAGTAGTGTAACTAGACTAATATCCACAATTATCAAACTACATATCTTATTCATGATTCCAGATTCTTACATACCACCATTAAGATTCAACCAAGTTCAACCTAATCTATATAGAGGAGCGTATCCACGAGAACCAAACTTTGCATTCCTTGAAACATTACAAATAAGAACCATAATTGCATTAACACCAAATCCAATAACCATGGAAACAGATCCAATATATTATCAATTTTGTAAATCAAACAACATAAATATAGTCCATTTTGAAGTTGGGAAATCAGGAAAGGGTAAAAAAAGAGGAGTCCCATTGGATTATGAATTAGCTTTAATGGCTCTTCCTTATCTTATACATTATCAATATCAATCTGTTTATATTCATTGTCTTAATGGAGGGCAAGTTACTAGTTTGTTAGTTGCTTGTTTGAGAAAATTGCAGTTATGGTCTGCTATTTCTATATTCAATGAGTTTATTAATTTTACTACTAATATTACTGTTAATGATCGTAATTTTGTTGAAAGTTTCACGGGCGAGATTGAAGTTGATGAGGAGGATAAGGTTGATTGGTTATGGGTTGGGGTTAGTAAACATATTATAAAAAATCATCCAAAATTGCATATAATCGATAAGAAACCGATATAGTGATATTATTTTTTCAAAGTGTTAACCAAATGCATTCTGAAGTTTAAAAACATGATAAGCTGGATCGATTATGAGTTAAATTGAGTAAACCCAATACAATGAATTCTCCGGAATTGCATATTATTGACAAAGAAATTGTATAATAAATTTCTATGGCCTTGAAATCGATCACTTGCATATATTTGAGTCTATATAGTTCTATATTCTTTGAAAGAATAAACAATATGCATTCTTATTCAATATCTTACTAGATGAAACATTGTACGTAATCTTTGAATCATCAAAATAACACCATTGAGATTTACTCTGTTTATAAACATAAGAAGTATAATGCCCAGTAGTCAAATTTCCAAAATGATTAGCAACACCAAATAATCTATATTTAAAAGGAGGGGATTGATTCCTATTAGGAAAATGATTCAACTTACTCGATTCTTCATGATCACTCATGAGTCGATTTCCATTAATATAAGTCCCCAAATCAGGCCAGTACTTAGTCAAATCTAATTCGCTCTCAACAGGGTAAGTCACAAACAGCTCCAATTTATTAAAATTTCCATTCCTATTCATCTTAAACCTTTTGAAGTTGATTATAAGGACTTGTGGCAACCTTGTTATTGCTATTTTTTTAGTCAGTTTTGTGAATCGTTTACAATTTGGACAATACCATTTATTATCATCATCTAGCAACTCCGTAGAAACAAATTCATCAATACAATCATATAATGATACTTCTTTATTTCTATTTAATTTTTCAGGTATGGGGAGTGATAATATTGAGAATGAATTATATGTAGTTGAGGTGAATTTGCAATTTAGACACTTGAGTTGAGATAAAAGCTGACCTTGAAAATAATCCACCATGATTGAAAAATTGAGCTTTAAGTATCTTTCCCATTCTATTGTGGAAGCTAATCTGATTGGTAAAATTTCTCTTCCCTTTTCTTGTTCTGGAGTTAATTCAGTTATCATTTTCTTTTCCTCAGGTGTTAAATTAACTTGATTTAAATCTTCATGCAATGAATCTAACAAGAAATTTAAAAACTCAACACAATCTTGTTGATCATATGTGATAAATTGTTTATTTGGTGATAATCCACCCATGATTCTCTTAAATTTAGATGGACTGAAACTAGACCCATTGTTATTGAACATGTTGAGTAGTAGTTCAACAAAACTTGTTGTCAATTTCCCCTTCGATCCCAATTTATTATTTGGATTTATGTGTTGTTTATAGTTATGATTACTAAATGATTCAGTAACAGTAGGGAAGAAAAATGATGTCAATTGTGGTGATGCAGCTAAACATTGTATTACACTATTCATATAACATGAGTTACCTAGATTAGTCAATCCAGTAGTGAAACCACCTAATAAATTTGACTTTTTTGATGAGATTGTAGTTTGTGAAGTAATGGGACTAGGTGATTTTGATGAAGTTGTTAATTTTTCAATTGGTTTGAGTGGTGGTTTTGAAATTGGAGGTGTTAATTGTTTCTCTATTGGTTTTGGTGATGGTTTATTTGCTGTTGGATCATATGGTGTAATTCCTTGTACTACTGGTTTTATATAATTTGATTCAACTAATTTTGGTTGACTATTTGATTTAGAAACACCATTTCCATTTAGTATATCACTGAATCTTGTCACATATTTCGAAGATTCATGTTGTGTCTCTGTCTCTTTTTTAGTCTCTTTTTTAGTCTCTATTTTCGGTTTATTTCCACTTTCAATTGATGAGTCACCAAATGTATCATGCCATTTTAAAACACCACCAGATAAAATAATAGGATATAATTTAATATTTGAATTGTTCATTAAAATAGTCGTTAAATGTTGGAATCTATCATTTATTTGATCTATGTTAGATAGTATATCGTTGAATTTATCACCACTACCAGTTTTATAATCATATACGATAATGTATTCGAAATATACCCTTTGTTTAAATATGGCTAGTTCATTCTCATCTAGTAGTCTCTCTATTTCTTGACATGTTGCATTATTAGGCAAGGCTTCAATATCTTTAGGTTGTAAATTTATAACATTATCAAATTTGATATGATTATGTGAATGTGAATTTCTTGTCCTGTAATCAATTAATAACACTCGTGATGATTTCATTAGTTTTAGTAGTTCTTTAGGACCGATTCTTTCCTGATATTGATGGGGTAGGTTTAAATTTGATTCTATAATTTTAAAATCATTTGATTTTGATGATAATGTTTGTTTAAATTGACTATACATGTCTTCATTTTTTGACTTCGTTAATGATTTAGTATATTGTAATAATCTAACTGAAGTTATATATAAAACATAACATATTTCATAATCACAATAGTTATATTTCTTATATATTTGCATTTGATTCTTGAATAATTGTAATAAATTAATTTGTATACTCATTAATGAACTAAAAGTAGTTGATGCTGACAGTATCTCTTTGACTAATTTGATACATATCTTATCTAAATCTGACTTGTTAAGTAATGTAGATGTCATTTGTTGGATCGTATTGAATGACTAAATTGATAAAAATAGCCCAAGTTTGATTTCTGCTAACATAAATTTTGTTATATGATTATGTAATCACTACTATACAATTGAATTGACTGCAAAAAAAAACTAATATTGAATAAAGGGCTCCTTAGACTAACAGTATAGTAGTTCTAATCGTTCTAATCGTTCTAATCTCTAGTAATGCAAATAACCAAGCTCATAAATGTTGAATAGTAATTTTGATCCAGATTTTGTTGGAAAAATCAATCGAGAATCTAAGAATTGCAACGACCAAACCATAATCTGAGACTGTTCACAATTGATAAGGTAACTGCATATTCAAAGACGCATTCTTAATTGTACTCTGGTGAACTTGAGTTGAGTATTTGTTAAGCAATGCATATAATATTGAGTTATATGAAAATTCTATCACAGTCAGCAAAATCGTAAAAGGTCAGCTAAGTAATTTTAAGGAACACAGATCAAAGTAAGTTTAGATGTTTAGTTTATCAAATAATAAGTATCCTCAATTAACCTGGATGTAGTAAGAACTAGAAAGCCTAAATTTTAAAGTAAAAGCGCAAGACAGATCCAGAGCGCTAGTTCGCATTTTTACAAAAGAAGCTGCTGCTCAAAGGATTGGTTAGGTAATTTGTAATTGTAAGGAACAAGCAATTTAGCGTCATCAGCAACGCCTCTGTAATGTAGATCTCAGGGGAGTATTATTAGTTTAAACTATATGTAGAAACAAAGTGTTTGGAAAACATAGGTCGTTTGTTTACAATATACAATCCAATTGTTGCAAAAATTGTCAGAGATCTAACTAATTGTAAGTAGTCGTGCAGATGTCACTCAAATTTCCTAATTGGGACAAATGCAAAACAAACCTGAAAAAAAAATATATATATATAAAGATATGAAATCTATACCAAATTTAAACCAGTTGAAATTGAGGAACAAAAAGTTTAAAGTTTTAAGCTTTGATGCAAGTAATTTAATAGCAATTCAAGCTAAGCTCAGAACCCTTTCGTTTTCTATTAGTATGCCTCTTTTTTTTTTTAGTAAAATCGGCTATAGTGTTATATAATACATCAAAATATAGATTAGTCAGGTGTGTGTGTTAAAATATTGTTCATGACAAATATATCTTCTTTTCCACTTGTAATCATCCTACATTTGATTTCAGTTTCGATATCTATTTAACCACGTTTACAAGAGAGTCATATTCAATCTTGTACCTTTTCAATTCATCCAATTATTAATTTAAATATTTTTGTTTTTATAAAGAAAATTTACAACCTATTTATAGAAAAAAGATTCAATTACAACTTTAGTGTTTTGTCAACACAGTAAAAGTTATTAATAATTTAGCAGTTGACTATTAAGATTCATAGATTAGAATAAATTACATCATTATCAGCTATCTTTTAGTTTTCATCAAAATTTTCTATTTTTAGCCATGGGTTTATTTTCAAGAAAGAAAAGCTCAGAAAATACTTCACTACTACCACCAATGTTTGATAAGATTCATAAAAGATCAGATACTTCAAATTCATCATCAATTGAAAGTGATTTTCTGGTTAATCATTCCGAATCTTCTCAAACATCATCTGAAACATTAGGTTATTTTCAACATAATAAGTCTCCACTTAAAGTTAAGAATGTTCCAATGGCATTAAGACCAAAATCAGCAATTGTGGAATCAGTGACTCCTAAATCACAAGCTCATGTTGATTCAGAAATGATAAATGATGATACTCCAAAATTGGAAAATAATAATAATGAATTACCAATTTTAACAACACATGAAATTGAAGCCAGTCCAAAACCTGCTACTCTGAATTCTCCAGCAAAATTAAATTCAGAGCTTCAGATTAGAAATGACCGTAGGAATGAAGCAAAGAGAACAATTACGCCAATTACAAATCAACAAGTTATGAGATCTCCGCAAGAAACACCTACAAAACCAATAAGCCAAAATTATAATAAAGCAGCAAGTAGACCAATTAGTCAAAATTTTGAACATCCAATCCGAACACCGAATCATACTCCAGTTATTAATCAACCATATCAAAGATCACTGAGTTTTAATTTAAATACACCAGATAGATCAATTGCACAACAACATCCATATCACCGTCCAATTGTTGATTCAACGGTATCTACTAATTCAAGTCCAAATAATCATAATGTTCAATCATTTTCACAAAACTATCAACCCATAAATCGACAGGAACAAATTGTGGATCTCAACGGAAAAGAAATAATTGAAAAGGAGGATGAAGAAAAAGAAGAGGAAGATGAGGAAGATGATGATTCTGACTCCGATGGTGAATCTTATGGTTCAGAATATACTGATTCAACTGTATCAAACCATAAACCTACTGAACATCCATATTATGAACAATGGAGGAAATATTATGAAGCATTAGCAGTGCAATATAATCGACAATCAATGTATAATCCAATGATGTATTATCAAATGAATCCACAAATGATGCAACAAATGAATCCGCAATTAATGCAAATGCAAATGATGCAAATGCAAATGAATCCATTCTTGTTTAATCCATATATGATGAAACAACAACAATTTCCACCACAACAACTGCAACTGCAAGTTGATTTATCTAGTCCACCATCAAGTCGTGAAGCACAAACTCCATCACGTAAATCATCACCAAAACATGAAGTTTCAAATGATTATCTTAAAGCATACAAAAAATCAAGAAACAAAGAAGTTGAAACAATAAATGAAGAAAATCAATTAGTTTCAAATTCGAGAAGAAGTACAATTAAATCAAATAGATTTCCATCGGCACCTCAATCACAACATAAAATGTTTGATTCACTAACTAAAAGTAGAACAAATTCATTAGATTTAAATTTTAAACTTGGAATATATAATAATTACGACGATGAAGAAGAAGAAGATGAAGAAGTGGATCCAGATTCAACTATTCAACAAATGTCAAATTTGAAGATTAGTGATGAGAGTAGAAAATCATCAAGACAAATTTCAGATTATAATGCATTTTTATTCGATGATGATAGAAGTGAAAGTGAAGAAGAAAATGAAGCTGATGATACAGTAATTGTTGAAAAGCCAAAGGAAGAAGTGAAAGCAGATTTATCTAGAAAAGACACTTCATCATCTGATGCATCTGGTAATTCTATTCAAAGTAATGGATCAGCTAAATTTTCAGTAGCTCCAATTAAATCAAAACCAGAATCTCCAAAAGCAAAGCAACAAAAGAAGAAAGAAACTAAAAAGCTTAAAAAAGAAAGACCAATATCAATGGCATCTTCACCTTTTGGATTTAATAATATGTCAATGGATGATATTCAACCACAACATATTCAACCACCTCCATTCATGATTCAGCCACAACAAAATTTCTCCCCTGTATCACCTTATGGAATGATGGATCCAATGATGATGCAATATAATCCAATGTTTATGCAAAATACATCATATGGAGGAATGAATGGATCTGAACCAAATTTACACAATAGAAGAAGACAAAGTATTACAACAACAGATGCAAAAAGAAGATCAATGATGTATGAAACAAATCAATATAATTCAAGAACAAGTTTGAATCCAAATATGAAAAGAAATAGTATGCCTGTATTTCCTGAAAAACATCAAAATAATTCACCACCACCAACTGGACAACCAAAGATAAATGATTCATTGATAAATAAAAAGATTGAAGATTTCATTAGGTTACGTGCTGTTATTGCATCTGGTAACAAATCAATTGAATATAGGTTGCATTGGGTTAATATGTTAATTACAGCTACTAATTATAAATTATATTCATATATCAACATTAAAGGTGAGTTTATAAATTCAACACAATCAGCACAAGTCAAATCACAATTTATAAAATCAGCAATCACTCATATTAATAAATTGATTAAAGAATTTGAATCTGGTAAACAAGAAAGACCTGGTTTAATCTCAGATACATATTATACATGGGCGTTATTATTAAAACAAGATTATAAAAAACATTATGGACAAGATTTTAGCATACGAAAGGACTTAGACTTATGCATTGAATACATGGAAAGAGTCTTATCTATTGAACCTAAGAATTATAAAGCATTGTTTAAATTAGGTGAAATTTATGAATCTGAATTTAATGATCTCGATAAAGCAATGGACAATTATATAACATCAGCTAAATATGGGTACAATAAGGCTATTTTTAAAATCTCCATGGTCTATTTAAACAATCCAAATTTCAGATCAATTAAATATTTAAAATATTTGAAAAATTTATCCAGTATTGAATTAAGTTCTGTTAGATTAGATGATGAAGATTATCAAGAAATGAAAGAAGTAGTAGCCGAAGCATGTTATGAAATAGGTAAAGTTTATGAAGGTATATATCCAGGAGATTTACAAGCAGAAGATGAATTTATAATCCAATCATTAGAAGAAGCACCTGTAAATTATGCAAAAAGTTTAACATATTATAATAAAGCTGCTAAATTAAATAATTTAAATGCTCAAGTTAGATTAGGTTTAGTTTATGAACATGGTGAATTAAATCGTAAACAAAATGCAAATAAATCAATTCAGTGGTTTATTAAAGCCAGTTCATCGCCATTAATATTCAATAGACATCCAGATGCAATGTTGGGTTTATCTAGATGGTGCTTAAAAGGAAGTAATGACGAAAATAAGCATATACCATCACCAATGCCCGATAAAGCTATAATGTGGTGTGAAAGAGCAATTAAAGAATATAATTCAAAAGATGCAATGGTAATGATGGGTGAATTAATTGAAATGGGTTATGGACAAGGTAACTCAACTGTATGGTATAGAGAAGCTTATGAATTAGGTAGTGAAACAGCTGCTCAAAAGTTGGGCTACTAATTTATTGTTAATACACACATGGTAGCGTTCGGGTCTATAAATATCACAGAATGGAACAATTTCTTTTCTTATCAATAAACGGCACATCTGCACTATCACTAAATGGTTGCAATTTCAACAGAATAATAATATTCTTTGCACAAAATTTCATATTTATTCATTCATTCGTTTTAATTTTACATGACTGGGCCGAAGGAAATACAACAACTGAATAGGCGAAAATCAATAGCTTTATTAACGAGATCTCCATTATCTCAATCTCCATATACAATCAATAATTCAAGAAATAATTCACCAAGAACATCAAATAATAATTCATATATTAATAATAATCAGTTTTTAAGAAAAGATAATGTTAATGATTCAGCTATAGAAGATAATGATAGTTTAAGTGGTAATGAGCAAATTGAACCTGATTTATCCAAGGGTATAAAAGATCGCAACATGATTAAAAAAATAAGTAAACATTTACCTAATGATGATTTAAACCAGGAGGGAGCAGATATCACAAGAGATTTATATAAAATTCAACAAGATCAAATTAGACAACCACTACTAAAAAGATCAAAATCGTATGGGTCAATTTCTGATAATGGATCAATTAAATCTCGAGCTTCGTCATTTAATGTTCCCGGTGGGTTTAGAAGAGAATATTTATTACAGAAACAATCTGAACGAAGTAATGCAATGCCAAGTTTCGTAACTAAGAATTTTATTGAATTCTTAAGTATTTATGGACATTTCGCAGGTGAAGATTTAGAAGATGAGGAAGATTTCATAGCTAATCATTATAGTTATTTGATTGCAAGAGATACTGAAGAAGAATCAACTCCAGATTTTAATCCCAAGGGAACTGCAACTGATAAAAAGGCATATTTTTTATTATTAAAAGCTTTTGTTGGAACCGGTGTTTTATTCTTACCTAAAGCATTTACAAATGGTGGATTATTATTTTCAATTTTGGTTCTTGTATTTTTTGCAATTTTATCATGGTGGTGTTATTTAATCTTGGTATATACTAAAGTAACAACTAAAGTTTCAGGATTTGCTGAAATTGGTTTAATATTATATGGTCCATGGTTACAGAAACTAATTTTATTTTCAATTATTATATCACAAATTGGTTTCGTTGCTGCTTATATTGTATTCACACTGGAGAATTTAAGAGCATTCATTGTTAATATAACTACTTTCAATACCGAAGATTTGAAAATTTATTGGTTTATCATATTTCAAATAATTTTAATTATTCCACTATCTTTAATTCGTGATATTACTAAATTATCATTACTGGCTGTCCTTGCTAATTTCTTTATCCTATCTGGTTTACTTACCATTTTGTATTTTATATTTTATCAATGGTTATTCTTCAATGAAGGTCAATTTGGACCAAATGTGGAATATCTATTTAATCAATCTGAATTTTCATTGTTTATCGGGACTGCAATTTTTGCATTTGAAGGAATTGGATTAATTATCCCCATTCAAGAATCAATGATACATCCAAATAACTTCCCAAAGGTATTAGCTAAAGTTATATTTACAATTGCATTAATATTCATCATCATTGGTACTCTTGGTTATTTAACATTTGGATCAAATGTACAGACTGTGATTTTATTAAATTTACCACAAGATTCACCAATGGTTATAATTACACAATTATTATATTCATTTGCAATTTTATTATCTACTCCCTTACAATTATTTCCTGCTATTAGATTATGTGAATCAAAATTATTTTTCAAATCTGGTAAGACTAAACCAAGTATAAAATGGTTAAAAAATTTATTTAGAACTTCATTTGTTTTATTAACTTCTTATATTGCATTCATGGGTGGTAAAAATTTAGATAAATTGGTAAGTTTTGTTGGTTGTTTTGCTTGTATACCTTTGGTTTATATGTATCCACCAATGTTACATTTAAAATCATGTTGTATAATTTCAGATGATTTATCAAAAGAGGAGAAAACGAAAAGATATTGGATAGGTATATTAGATTACTTTCTTGTTTTTATTGGAGGAATAGCTATGATCTATACAACTTATCAAGTTTTATTCACCTAGTTTTAATTTATTTTATCATTTATAAATTTTCTTAAATCATGTATACTGCTTAATATAGATTCATTTAGATTAATTTGTTGATTATAAAATTCCTTTCTAAATTGTTGATAATAAACAGCTAATTCTTGTTTTTGTTTACTCAATTCTGGAATATTTTCATGTTCAAATTTTTCATAACTCGAAACAAGATTATTAAATGTGTTTGGCATGGTGTAATTCATAGTAACACCACCAAATAATAACGGAGTAATGAATCTTAATCCTATATTTCTATTTCTTACCAATATGGACCCACTTAACGAAATAGTCAAAATATAGATTAAATTAGGTAATATTGGTTCTTTTACAATTTGATCATATTCACTTTTTAAATTATTAAATTCATTCTCAATTGCCAGTTTTTGAGTACCTAATTCTGCAGTTATGATTGTAAATTTATCATGTAAATATTTACGAAAATTTGATGTATAGTTTTCTAAAATTGGTGTTGAACGAATTACCATCCCATCTACAAATTCAACATCTCCGTGAGTTGATTCTTGTTGTTTTAATTTGGAACTTGTTTCTTCAAGTGGAATACCTGGCTTATTTAATATTAATTCATCATCTTCATAAAACGTTCTTTTTCCCATGGTTGATAAATAACGTTTCAGATTATTTTTTTTTCTGACCAATAAAATTATCAACACTGAAAATATTTGGCTGCAAAAAGAAAATTAAATGTAGATTTGTAATTGTATCACTAGTTACTAAGTTGATATAAATACTGTAACCGTAATCAGAAGATTATGCTATGCTTACAGGTATGTATATTGAGCTGATTTGTTTTGTTGGTTTTTATACTATTTATAAACTGACATTTTGAACAAATCGAATAGGTTTCATTTGGCTGATGAGCTAGTACATGCACTTGGGGTAGGGGATCTAGTAATTGATAGTTCAAGTTTTAAGATTAACTATGGTGAAATTGTATATAACCCAAATTTGTTACAGAGAAATTTTCAAGTATGTATTTCTCAAAGCGAACACTTCGTCCGGCAAAATATTTTCTCGTGCTATTTTTAAAGCGACTCGTACTAAATTTATCGGTTCATAAGTCAAGAACAAAGCAATTTCTTGATATAAATTCCAGATATATGAGATCAGGAGTTGTAGATTTATATACTCTTCATATTTCAAATCTTCGATTTTGAACTTTTTTTTTTGAGTTGTCATTTTGGGTTTATTTCATTATACAAATAATTTGCAAAAAATGAAAACGCAGATTGAAATTTATTTATGGCCATAACTCTCGATTAAACATCGGACTATATATATTAGACATCAAATTAGTATGCAGAACTTAGTTTTAGATGGTCTAACCTGAAATTGATAAATTGAATAAATTGAATAAATCGACCTTTCGAAAAATTTAATTCCACAATCAAGACTGAGATGAGAATATGATAAAAGTATCAGAATTTGTAGTTCTTGTAAGTTACTAAACATTGACATTTCTTATGTGAAGGTGTTCAAATTGGGAAAGTAATTTTTCAAGAGTGATTCGAAATTCTTGAGCAAATTTCGAAATGTTTATGGCATCGTAAAAACATGATGCATATAATCTTTGGAGCTGATGAACCGAATCGACTATATTAGAAGCTGCTAGATGAGTTCTAAGTGCTGATTATCCTGCAATTTAATATTTTCCTATTTTTTTTTAATGACTTATAAAGTGACCAGCAATATGTTTTATTAAGGAAATATTACTATTGGCGCTAAACCTGGGTGAGAAATACAAAGTATAAATTTCGCGAATTTTAGACTAAAATTAAAGATTCAATATCATCATTAAGAAAAGTTGAATTATAAAATTACATTGTGTATTTTGTAACTAAATTAAGATAGTAGTATTAAATTAATAATTCTATTTATTTTTACCAAAAAACCCCTTTTTCTTCTTTTTTTCAGTTTGACCACCTTTATTTGAATTTGATATACCACCTAATGGTATTGCATTTGCATCATATATTGGTTGTTGAGGTACTCTTATTTCATGATCCATTAATTCACCATTACTTGTTTTTGGAGTTTCATTAGTAGCTGAAGAAGATTGTGAACTTGATTGTGATTCATTCATAAGTGGAGGTTGTAAATAATTACCATAAGTATTAGATCCTGAACTCTGAGGTTGTGCTTGTTGTTGTGGTGGTTGCTGTTGTTGATTTAACATCACTGTACTATTTGATTTTCTTTGTAATTGTGGAGGAGAACTTAATTGTTGACTTACATTCATTGATTTTCTATTTCCAGGTAATGGCATACCACCTCTACCTCCAAAATCCATACCATCGATATTACCATTCATAAGAGGCATTTGAGATTTTCTATTTGGTTGATTATGATTTCTTGATTTTTGTTTAAATCTACCTTCAACAAATGGATCAATTGGAGCTGCATTATTAAAACTTGAATGATTTTGTTGTATATTTGGTCTTGCTGAATAGCCTCCAGGGTTATATTGTTGTAGTTGTTGAGATTGTTGTTGATAATCATAACATGAATTAGTTGAAGCCATTGAACTTAATCTTCTTTGTTGAGGTGGAGGTTGATTAAATTGTTGTTGTTGTGGTTGCATTTGGGGTGGATATTTTTGAGATTTTAAATTTTGAGATAATTGATTTTGTGGCATACCACCATTTGGTAATCCCTGAGGTGGTACTTGATCATTATAATTATAATTTGGGAAATATGAAGATTGTGGTTGATGTTGTGGTTGTCTTGGTGGAAAATTTTGTTGAGGTGGTGCATTATTATAATATTGTTGATGTGGAGGTGGTTGTTGTTCATAATATGGTTGTTGATATTTACCTTGTTGTTCTCTATTTAACAATGCTTGTTCTCTTCTTTGTAATTCCAATTCTTTCTGTAATAAATGAGGTGGTAAATCAGATGAATCAATAAAGTTTTCATTTGCTTGTCCATTTAATTTTGGAGTCTGTTGTTGTTGTTGTTCCCCATTTAATGTAGCTCCATATTGTACTATATGTTTCAAATCAGATAATCCATCTTGCGTCATTACTGAATCACGATAATTTTTAGATAAATTATGAGAATCTTCTTGAACTGGAGTTGGTTGTTGATTAGGTATTGATCTTGGACTTGATGAATTTGTCGAAGTTTTAAGTTTTTGTTGATACATCAATTCTAATTCTCTAATCTTTGATTGATATTCTTTTACTTTTTCGTCATGATTTAATTGTAATTGTTCTAATCTTGATTCTGAATCCACTATTTTTTGATTTAAATTTGTTAATTTTAATTCTTGTTTTGAAATATCATTATCTATTGATATTTTAGAAATTTCTAAATTTCTCAATGAAGTAATTAATTGGTCATATTCTTGTTGTTTAGAATTAAACTCTTGACTATCTATATTATCATTTAATGTGGTTTTTCTTTTGAAAAATAGAGAATTTTCATTATTTATCTTGTTGAACTGACACAATATTGAATATAAACTTTCTAAATATGGAGTTCTAATACCATAATCATCACCTAATAATATTGGTTGTAATAATAATAAATCTAATTCCAAATCTAATTGTTTAAAATAGTTATAAAATGAAATTGGTGAATTTTTGAAATCAGGATTTTTGGTCGTTGCAGGGTATAAATTTGACCAAGATTTTAATAAATTTGCTTCATTTTCAAAACCTTTAACTAATTTACAATCCATTTTTTTAATTAATTTGAATATTTCACCAATTAATCCAGTAATTAAAGGTTTTGTCAAAATTTGTGATTGCAAATTTTCAGGAAATTCAATTTCAAATAATATTAATAATGGATTAAATACAATTCTTGGTAATGCTAATTTCCATTGATATGTCATAAATTCTTTTGGATTATTAATTGATTTTAATAAGCTAATTGATGAATATGAATTTTCTTGAATTGTATTTAACATTTTCATAAATAATTGATAATATTTATTTGAACTTATTTGATTATTTGAGGTACAACTTCCCAAGTAAATTCTCGTATCATTGTTTCTAATTTGATGACTAAATTTATTTTCACCAATTATTCTAACATCAGATTCATTCATTATTGATAATACACAAACATTTGATAATGAAGGATTTGTTTTTTTGGAAAGTGTTGAACTTACAAAAGGCTCTAAGTTGATATAACCAGTTGATTCTATTATAATTAAACTATTTTCATGAATTACATTATGTAAATTTGCTGTTGTTGATTGAAAATCTTGTAATGAATTACAACTTAATATAATAATATCAAATTTCTCTTGTTGTGGAACCAGTTTTATATTTGAATAAATTTTAGCATTATATTGTGAAGAACCTAATTGTTGAGATTCCCATATAATTGATTTATTTGGATTTAATAAAGAATTTATAATTGATAAATCAGTTAATTTTGTTTGATTAATTCTCCATGCATAAAATGCAACATTTTGATTTTGACCAACTAAAAGATAATTGGTTAGTAAATTATATTTTGGATTTAATGAAGTATACATTATGACATGTAAATCCCGGTAAATATATCCAATAATTTAGTTTTAATAAGCCCAAGGTTGAAATTTTTCACTCCTTAAAATTAATCAATTCAATCAATCAATCAATCAATCAATCTATTATTATAATTGTAAAAGATATAATAATAAATTTTTTTGATCTTTTTTTAGATAAATTGAAATATTACATGAATTTACATGAACGAAAATGATACCTTTCGAAAATTGAAAAAATAATTATATAAATATACATACTTGTCGCTAATGAAAGTTGAGACATTTTTTCTTAAATTGGTTAGTTAATTGGATTAATTTTATTGATATATTTTTCTTTTGACGTGTATAAATCTGTTTCCTTTCGTGATGAATAATTTTCCAAGATTTCAATAATTATTTTATGTGAGTGGAATTATATTTGTTCCACGAGTGTGATAAATTTTGACCCTGGGATTAAACTGACAATATTCAAAGAAATCACTTGGTTGATCGATAGATATTAAATGATGATGATTCTAATAATTCCAAACACCTTAATAAATAAAATAAAAATCTTGAAACTTTAAAATAAATAATAAATAATTATTGTATGGATATTTTTCTTGAAATTTGTTGTAATAAAAGCGAATGAATATAAAAATTTAACACACAATCAAATTTCTATGATGAATAACGATATATTGATACTATTTTATTGATTCAAAAGATCTTTAATTCTTAATGAAAAGAAGTAAGTAGTAACAAATATTGTTTATAGTTGGAAATATAAAAAAAACAGAATGTTAAGCCTACAAAAGTAGATTTTTTTTATTTTTTATTTTTAGTGTTGATTATCTTTTTTTTTTTTTTTTTTAATATTGTTAATTGTTTGTTTTATTGCAATGATTTATTGTTTAATTAACTATGTAGAGATTATATAAGGGTTTCTTATAGTATGGAGTTAAATTTAGCAAGACCATAGGGTTATCCTATTACCATTATTCAATTATTGCTCTAAATCTAGAGGATTTAGATTGTAAATCTCTTTTTTATTGGAGATTTCTATTTTTCATTTTTTGCAGCCTAATTTTTGACCACTTTAAAGAGTTCCATTGAAAAAGAGTAGCGATTCTCAGTACTAGGTTCGCGTCTTTATTCTTTGATTCGATGAATATTTTCTACGCCTTGATGAGATTCTATAAATTGATTCTAAATTTAACTAATATGTAGATCTGACAATTTCGATAATTTTGTGTCCGTCGTTTGTTTAAATAGAAAATAGAAAAATAACCGCTAAATCCGTTTTCATTTCAATCTAGGCTTTATATCTACTGAGCTTTGACGGGTAAAGGAAGGATGCATGTTCGAGTTTGGATCTCGATTGTTTATATTACTTGCTGTTTTAAATTACAATAGCAAGAGAAAGAATACATGTATTACTAATATTGGTTAATCACATTACTTGTTGATCAACGGGAATATGTATAACTTGTAAACTAATACTATTTATATAGTTTTTATTGTCTTTGATTGCTTTCCTACTTGCTTTGCCTCGAAATCAATCAATCAATCTCTACTATTGTTAAAATTTTTATTTATTTTTTTTATTTTTATTCCAATTTGGTAGCAGCTTTTTTTTTACCCGATTAAGTAAGTATGAGATATTAATTTATATCAATTTATAGAGCCGGTTGAAATACTAATGCAGTAATAAAGGCTACTAACTGGAAGTATATAATAATAATCTTACGAGTGTACACTTTTGTATACTAACCATGAGAAGCATTTGACACGATCAATTAAATTATTAATTAAACAAATCAAACAAATTAAACATCGATCGAAATTCGCCAGTATAAAAAAATCAACAAAATAGTAACACTAAATCAAATTGCTGCAAAATATTTAAACGACGCTTCTGTTTCTACACGTGATTTGGTAGTGTATTGTTGCTCAATTTATTTTTCAAGTTTATCAACAAATTTTCAGAGGTCTTTTCTTCTCTTTTCTCTTTATCGTTGATTCATTTCATTGGCGTCGTTCTTAGATATAAATTTCTATTAACTTGATAGCTGATGGCGATTTAATAAATTATATATCGTTTGATCTAATTCTGTTAGGTCAAGGAAAAGCATTGTGTCTTTTTTTTGATATACAATTTATTAAAATTATCGATTGATGAATCAAAAATTAATATAATTTCTGAGGGTGTATCTCCGGTTAATGAAGTAAGTAATGAGTTTTTCGGTCATAATCCCTTATACATTAAGTATCAACTACTGTTATTTCATCTTTTGATCTCGTAAATTTTTTTCATCTTTTGATCTGTATATATATATTTTTTTTTTCACATCACTCACGTCTTATATTTTTCATTATCAACAACTATTATGGCCCGTGGTCAATTAATTTTAATTGAAGGATTAGATAGAAGCGGTAAATCTACACAAGCTGAATTAATTGCAAAACATCTACAACCTTCCAAACTTATAAAATTTCCAAATAGGTCAACACCAATTGGAAAAGTCATTAATGAATATTTAGAAAATAAAGAATTCGAATTAACTGATGAATCTGCTCATTTATTATTTCTGGCTAATAGATGGGAAATAGCTCATGAAATAGAAGAACTATTAAACAATGGTAATTTTGTCATTTTGGATCGTTATATATATTCAGGAATAGCATATACTTTATCAAAAGAAACTGGTCCAAATTCAGTATTATCTAGTGTTGATTGGCTAATTGGTCCAGATAAAGGCTTACCAAAGCCTGATTTGACTATATTTTTATCACTTGATATTGATGAGATAAGTAGTAGGAAAGGATGGGGTAATGAAAGATACGAAATGAAACAATTTCAAATAAAAGTAAAAGAATCATTTATGAAAATACTAAACCAAGATGATTCAAGTATAAAAATAGTAGAAGTAGATAAATCATCAATTGAACAAGTCAATGAGAAACTAATGAATGTAATCAACTCAGAAATGAAGGATATTTTAATAGATTCCCCAATAAATAAAATATAAAGTCGATTTAATTTAACTTAATTTAATTTAAACTATCCAAATATTCCAATCTATCTAATATTTTCTTCTTCAGTATTTCTTGTATTTCTCCACCAAGGTATAATTCATCCAATATATAATATAATTTATAAAAATTTAACACGAGATCAACTTCACAAACATTGTTAAAATAAATATCAAGAATCTCGACAAAAAAATGTAGACTTTCAAGATAACTTAATTCTGAATCAATTAAATCAATTGATGATATAAAATATAAACCAGCATATCTTCTATATACTAATTTATTCGATTGAAATTCAATAAAATTTGATTGATTTTTTGAATCTCTTGATGAAATTAATCGATGTATTTCACTTATATATTGACTTTTTTGTTGATTTGTATATGAATTATCAAACCATTTGACTAATCTAGATTTACCTTGTCTATTTAAAACTAATAAAAAATGAATACCCATAATAACTAATTTGACCCAGTTGGTTCCATATAGTTCCGCAAAACGAAAATAAAAAATATATAAATTGATACACGTTAATTTATTGATAAATTGTTCGTGTCATGAGTCGTTTTGAAGAAGAAGATCAATCGTATCAACAATATGAAATAAGAGAAGGTATTAATTATTTAATTGAAATTACTCCGGAACTACTTGAAATTTCACCAGAATTAGGTTATTCTAAATTATTTGAAATTTTACAATCTATTAATGAATTAATGCAAGAATTGATAATACTGGATAAATCAACAGGTATTGGGATTTATTTTTATAATTGTGAAATTAATAAACCTTTAAAAGCAATGAGTCCAAGAGATAATTTTTGTAAATTGTTTGGACTAAAGGTATTAAATTTAGATAATATGTCAAGATTAAACGATTTATTGCAAAAGAATATAAATGAAATTTTCAAATATAAAAAACCAGAAACTGATGCAAATTTAGTCAATATATTATCTAGAGTAATTGATGTTTTCAATGGTTTTAAATATTTCAATAAAAAGAAATTAATTTGGATTACAACAAATGATATCCCATATAAAGAAGACAAGACTAAAGATGCATTATGGAGAGTAATTGACGATTATTATCATTATGGATATAATATTGAACCTATTTTCATTGCCGGTAACCCCTCCAAAACTTTCAATTTTGAATTATTTAAAGATATATTCATGAATACTGATTTTTTCAAAAAAGTTAAGACAGCAGAAATAAATGATGAATTAGAATCAACTAATGAATTTACAAAATCTAAAATATTTGAAAAACCAATAATTACAACTCAAATTAAACAAAATATTTTGAAGGCTAAAGAAATTAGAAGAATTCAATTCACTTGTGATTTAATCTTGAGTGATGGTGATGAAATTGGTGGTAATTTTGGTTGTACAATTAAAGCATATACTTTATATTCTCATGAAAAAGTTAAAAAAAATGAATTAAAAGTATATACTAGAGTTCAACCAATGAAGAAAGTATTTATAGATACGAAAATAAAACAAAATGGTCAAATTATCGAAATTAAACCAGAGAAAAATAAATTGATTGCTCAAAGTAAAGATGAATTGGGAATTAAAAGAGGATTTGATGTTGGTAATGATGTAGTGTTATTAAATAAAGAACAATGTGATTTTTTTCAAAATTTTACATTTGATCATAGATTAGAAGAAAAGGAAACTGAAGATATAAATATAGATCAAGAAGAAACAGAAGATAAAACAGTTCCAGTTTCATTATCACAACCACCATATTTAAAATTAATTGGATTTAGAGATTTAGCACATTTTAATCCTGTTTATTCTTATGGTGCTCCAGTTTTCATAACTGCAGATTTATCAAATGGACTAAAAACAAGTTCAATACCAGGTGGGTTCTCAAACTCACTTGGAACATTTGCTTCATTATATCGATCAATGAATAAATTAAAACAATATGCAATTGTATTTGGATGTACAAGAAAAAATGCAAGACCATATCTATATGCTTTAATTCCAAATAAATTCCCAGATGGATTTATATTAATTAAATTACCATGGGTAGAAGATGTAAGAGCCCTTCCAGCTTCATTTTTAAATTCAGATAATCCATCAGACACCAATTCAAATATGATTGATTTATTTAAATCAATTTTTCCTAAATTTGAAATGAAAGATTATGAACCTTCAAATTGGCCAAATCCAACCTTGAATTATTTTTATAAGATTATGAAACATGAATTTTTACAAATTGCATTAAGTCCAGAAGAAAGATCAACTGAGAATAATGATTTATTAAGTAAGGAAGATAAATTATACATTAAAAATTTAGAAAATGTTAAAAAGTTAAGTGTTGAAGAAAGGGAAAGTATTAAAGCTTTGGGTCTAGATGGTGAAGATGATAGAAAAAGACCAATCGATGAAAGTGAAGGTGGAAGTGGTAAGAAGGTGAAAAGTGACACCGGTCCTGTTACTGATGATGAAATTTTGATTGCTTGGAAAGCTAATGGGTTGGCTAAATTTAGAATGGATGAATTGAGAGTATTTGCTAAGAGACATAAAATTAAAAGTGCAAATAGAAAAGATGATTTCATTCAAAATATTGTTAAATTCTTAGATTCAAGAGAAGTCAAAAAGGAATGAGTTAAGGAATGAGTTAAGGAATTGAACAATGAGGAAGTTAAAGGTCGATACTGTTAACGGATTCTTGAAAAAGTTAAGGTTAAATGAATTAATACTAATTGGTTAATGAGAAATGAATATATATGATTTTGAAGAAATATCTAAATGTAGTCATCATTCGTTTCTAAACTCTATATCTAACTTCGTTTCTAGAATACCTAAAGCTCGTGATAGATAGTTATCCACACATGCAAAAAATATAAAAAATTAAAACAACCAAGTAGACATCCTCTAATAACACTCAGAATACAAAGTAAACTCGTCTGAAATTCTTCTACTGTCTTAATTTACTAGTTTTCATTGGATTTAAATGAAGTGAATGTAATGGTCTTGTTGTATCGTGACCTAAATTCAAAATGACCTATCCCAATAGTGCAATTCTTTTCAACAAATTGGTTATGGCCGAATCGCAATGACTAATTAACTCTCGATAGCTTAGCCCGGTAAAGCGGAAGACTGTAATCGTTAAAGCGATCTTTAGATCGGGTGTTCAAATCACCCTCGGGAGATTTTTTTCATCTTAAAACCCATTTTTTTTTGGGGTAAACCTTCAGCTTCACTCAACTAAAATGACATCTAGGTCCTTTTTAAGTCAGATATGACTATAGTATTGTTTTCGGCATTGTCAGTATCTTAATTGTGTGTCCTTTTGAAGCTTAAAATTTTATTCAGAATACTTCATAAATTTTTGCTAAATGGATGCAAAAAATCTACAAACTAAAAAAAAAAAAAAAAAAAAAAAGTAAATACAAAAATAAGTCGCCTTTTAGTAATTTGGTACAGTAAGATTACAATCAAGATCATAAATTTGGTATCGATTTTATATTCAATAGAATGTTTCTGGTCTTTATTTAATTTTTTTGTGCTAATTTGATCATTAAAATTATTTAGAGCGATGTTTCGCGTTGAAACGGTATCGGATTTAAAATTGTGACAGATCACGGAGATATATTAAGCGAAACCCTAGATCTCGGTCTTAAATCTGAAATCGCGAATTCTGAATTCTGAAATCTCCGACATCTATCAATTTAAAATATATGATTGTTCCATTGAATGAATTTATTGCAGCATTAGCAGTTCTATGCATCCCCACTGATGGAAAAATTAAATTACGAACATTATCCTCTTGGCTATGTATTGTATAAATTGGTGCAAAAAGTAGTCTAATTATTGTTACGATTAAATAATAGGGATACAACATGTCAAGAAAAATTAAAAAAAAAAAATAAAAAAAAATTGGAAACTCTTAGTAAAGTTTAAAATGTAAGGCAAAGTACAATCAGTATTCGAAGTTGATACGAAGTTACTTGAAGCAAATGTAGAAACTGAATAAATACAAAGAGCTATCGATCTAGAATATGAGTATCCATATCCATATCCATATCTAATCGCTGTCCAATCAAAAGTGAGATAATTTTGCTTACCCATTATAAGATACTTTGTGTTTTAAAAATCATTCTTTGTGTTTCAAAATTATATAATTTGCAGATCGAAAATCAAACAATGTTTAAAGTGAAGAAGCAAATATAACTCATGAACAAGATGAAATTTTATTCAATTACAATACAAAGTCTACGCGCATTTAGGGTCAAAGACAAAGCAATTGGTTTTAAAGCCATTATCATTGTGCTACTAATATATAATATTGAAGCCCGTATAAATATTTATACTCTTATTAATGTTTTAGATCTGCATGTAAAATCTAAATAAAACGTCATACATTTAAAACAATAAAGTTCGATGACCTGAATGTATTATTAATAATCTAACTATAGTTGAAGTATATAACCATCGATATTTCCATATATAAACAAAAGAAATATAAAGTATATAAATATATTTAATTCACTTTTAAAATTTCTACAATTACACTTACAAATTCACTTACAAATTCACTTACAAGTTTATGATATAACAATTAGTATGTATTTGATTACGATGATGTCAAGATTATATCAAGAATGCAACCCTGATTCTTTTTCAAACGATCCGTTATAATATTCCTCGAGATCTTGGTTATAGATCTATTACATATCTACAAGAGGTAGAGTAATGATATAATTAATGATGTAAGATAAAATGATATATGGTGATATCGGTCGAAAAAATTAAACCAAGTTTTTTTAGTTTTGTGCTCCACTTTTCATCAGTCAAAATGATTGAAGTTGAATGTCGAGACATTAAAGACAAGACATTTCAACAAACACGTCTAAGAAAAAATAAATATTTAAATTTTTACTAAAAATACAACCATGACAAGTTGTATGACTTTTCTTGGAAATCGCCGAGTCTAGAATCATTAGGTCATATTTCAATTTGTTTTCAAATATGTCATTATAACATCACTGTTCCATTTATGTCAAATTTTTCATTACAAGTTGTTCCAGTAAGTTGGTCTAGTCAAGTATATAAAGTGGATCAAAAGTAATGAATCGGTAAAATCATCACCAGATCCTTTTAAGTTACGAAATAGGAAATATAAACGAGATCTACTAATAAATTTTTTTATAGCAATTTACACGACATACAAAACACAAAAGTGTCAATATTATAATCTACCCCACATTATTTTGATTTGTATTATTTACTAAGAACTATATATATAATCATCATCATCATCATCACCAATTTTTATAATTATACTAACTATATTGATAGAAATATGACATCAAAATTACCTTCATATACTAAATCTTCAGAAATTTTACCATCTTACTCATCTTCATTAAATTATTATGGTCTATCATTAATTAAAACAGAATTTAATACCCCTTATCATTTTAATAATGGTTCAAGAAATTGGAAACCAGTGTTTTTATACATGAATTCAACTCAATTAATCATTTATAACTTAAATGTGGATAAAAAATTACAACATTTATTAGTTTGTTTATATTTTGAATTAAATTCATTAAATCAATTCATGAATGATGCTAATATACAATACAAGAAACAACAAATATTAGATGATGATGAAGATTTGAATGATATTTTCGCTGGTGATGCTTATGGTGGTGGAAATAGTATAAATTTAAGCTCCTCCGAATTTGGTTTCGGTAAATTAAGATCTAAAATGCAAAAATCAAAATTTCAAAAATCATTATCAAATTTGAAAAATTATTATAATGATTTAAAAGATAATCAATTTTTATTTGAACCTACTAGTGATATAAAACAATTTCAAAATTTCAAAAAGAAAAATTTAATAGGTTCAATATTTCAATCATTTTCTTTAACTAATTTACAAATTGGAGAGGCTCCAAGTTTATATAAATTGATAAATGCAATTTATAAAGAAGAAGAGAATATAAATATTAATAATTCTTCATTAGTTAAATATAAAAACACATTAAGATTAAGAATAGAATATAAACAAATCTTGTTACAATTTTGGTCTTTCAATTCAATGATTAATTGGTACAGAACTTTCACAATCGGTAAAGATTTAAGTACACCTATTGAATTAAGAAATATAACAAAATTAAAATCAATACCATGTAGAAATACAAGTAGAAATAATGCATTATTAAATGCATCAGCAAATGAGACATTTAATCATCAACATAATGCGAAAGGATATAATTCAGATGATTCTCAATCAATAAGTTCAACTGAAGATTATGATCATAATTCATTATTTTCAAGACGTCCATCAACTACATCTTCTATAGATTCAAATGAGAACAATATATCTTCAAATAGTATAACTATAAACGGATTAAGATTTGATTCAAAAGAAAATGTTTATTCAAGTATTGAAAAATCATATATTTCAAATTGTATACCCGATTTAAATTCATTTGATAAATGGATTGGAAAATTTTTAACAGTTAGTAATGTTGATTATTTTATGAGAGAAGAAGAAAAGAAAGAAGATGATATTTTAATTAGTTATTTTATGATTCAAGATTTGGTAAATAGTTTTGAAAGAAAATTATCAAGATTACCTCTAGCTTATAGAAATAATAATACTAGAACTTTCTTGGTACATTCAAGTGGATTAGTTGGAATTAAACAAGAATAGAGAAAAAATATATTAATTAAGTCTTATTTTAAATAGAGTACACAGTTAATGAGATACGAGTTTATGATAGAGTGAAAAAATTAATAGAATTTTTCAATCAAACTCTAAATACTACTAATCTTGCAATTCAATTACTCTATGACAAAGAACATTTGCGATTGTTCGACTTAGCTTTTATATTCTAAATCAGGACTGTATTTGATTTCCACATATATTTTGGATTGATTCTAAATTTTAAAAAATGGGCGGAAATTAGCACGAGCAATGGTAGCATGAGCAATGGTAGCTCTGACCTTGATCGTGGAATTTCTCTGCCGAGCTCTCGTTACATGTTGGTCGGCTGCTTCATATATTAAAAAATAAATTCTGAAATAAACTGACTTATATGCAGCACATACATAGTTATTTTTAAAATTCAAGTTTTAAATAACTCCATCAGTAATCAAGAATTTATTCTCTCAAACTTATTTTATCAAGTCTTCAAACAAGCTAGAGTGTAATATTGCAAATGGTCTTCGTAGATACCTAATATTGATATTTTCTACAATTAAAAAACCACAAATGCGCTAATTTGCAAGATAAACAATAGTTAGAATACATATATTAGCTTCTAATATAGCTGATTCAGATTATTTATTCCCAAAGTGTTCTGTATCATGTTTTAAAGACACCATAATCGTTTTGAATTTTTTTCAAAAATTTCAAATCACCTATGAAAAAATACTTTTGCGATTTTGAATGCCTTAACACAATAGATTTCATGAAATATCTCGAACACAAACTACAAATCTGGATTATTTTATTATACTCAAACTTGAATAAGGAAAGTGGAGTTAGAGTTTTCATGAGGACAATTTACTCAAATTTTTCAATTTAAATTGTGTTCAGAACTTAAATTTAAGGTGTTGTACCTGTAATTGGTCGTTTGAATGAAAGTTGTGGTCGTAAAAAGAGAAGCATATTGCATTTTTTTCGAGAAAATTTTGTATGTTGAAAAAGTGCCAGTATTACAAACTGAAAAAAAATTTTTTAAATTTTAAGATTTTACACAAATAATTGTACAGAAACAAAGACCCCTGGCTTCATTTAAATAGCTCTTATCTCGAGACTGCGATTCCTAAGAGACATAAGCCAAAACATGCAATACGGTCTCGCTTCAAGGCTAGCGCGAAAAATTATTTTCTTGCTCCCAATTATTAGACATCAAATCATATTCATATTTGAGTATACAATAACAGATATATAAAAGTTCACCTCATAATCTGTAATAAAACGTACGTGCTACTAAGGCTTATACCTTAGCTTATATTTGCTATCTAATTTTAGTTGTAAATTTTTCAGTTTTGTAAACTAATACATTTAGTAGCGGAATTCCCCATTTTTTAATTTGCAAAACGAAAATTCTAGATAATGTAGCATATAAACTATCATATATAAGGTTTCTGAGGCAAAATAGAACCAATTTGTGCCTTGAAATTAGATAAAGGTAGCCTGGTGGTTTTTTTTGACTAATGGAAGATATTCAAATCCTCAAACGAAATTTTTCTCATAGAAGTACTATGGGAGCATTAAAATAGACTAAAACTCTGACTCCAAATCGGCTGAATATTTTAACGCGACTAAGAGATCGCAGCTTGCATATTGACGGAGTAGTTGAAAAATTTAATATGTAATTACATTGGTCATAACGTCATAGTTCTCTGCAGTTTATTTTTCGCTCGCATACTTTAAAATGACTGGAATTAGGAACATAGTCCTTGTATTAAGATTTTAAGACATGACGTCAATTTCGAAAATTTCCCATAGTTAATAATATCTTGTTAGCTTTAAGACTGCATATAGTTAAGTGTTTCAGAACGCCCATTTAGGAAATTGAAAAAAAGTCGAGTGGATAATTTCTCGCGCTAGCTTTTGGGCGACTCATACTAAACATATTAGTTTATATGTTAAGAACAATACATTCTCCTGAGATAAGTACCATTTATATGAAACCATGAGCCGTGAATTATATATACTGTAGTGTTTAGATTTCAAAAATGTTTTTTTTTCAAGTTGTCTTTTGGCATTTTTTCACCGTACAAAATTTTGCAAAAAATGAGAATCAATATGTGTAATTAGTTAGCGCCACAATTTTGAATTAAACAACGAATTGTATATATTATGCCCCAATTTAATGCGTGAACGTAATTCTAGGTGATCGGAACCAAAATTGAGAAATTCCAAAATTTCCTCTTAAGTATGGGGAAAATCGAGAAAATTGACCTATAAAAATTTTAACTTCACAATCGAAATCATGATGAGAGTATAATGAAAGTATCCAATTATGTAGTTCCTGTTCCTTCTTAGTTTTCTTGGAGCTAAGGTACCCAAAATTTGAAAAGTAATTTTTCAGACATGTTTTGAAACTTTTGCAAAATTTTTAAACCAATTATGGGGGCGTTAAAGCAGGTAAGATCTATGGAGTCAAATAAACTGAATCAGCTATATTAGAAGTTGCTAGATGAGGTTTAGGTGTTGATTATTTGCCAAAACAGCGTTTTTTTCCATTTTTTGAATGAAGAGTAAAGTTATCAAGATTATGATTATCCGGTGCATATCAACATCAAATGACTCTACTTAGTACCAAAACTGTAATGAACTTGGTTTCTTGAAAAAACTTAAATATTGACAAACTTATTTACGTTTTGAATATCAAGATTTACTATGAAGGGACTGCATATAGGGCAAATGTTCAGATTTTTCTTCTATATTTTTTATTTGGGCCAATTTGAACTAGGCTTTAATACTACATGGAGCAGAAATACGGCCAAGAACTTTTTTTTCAGGGCGAGAGTCGGTAGCACCATGCACAAATTGAAGTCAATAAAATATCACCGAAACAGAATCTTCAAAATTAGTTCGATGTATTAAACAGTAACTAAATACATTAATCCACATCACTACTTTAGCAAGATAGTATTTTATCTTATAAATGTTGGTTAGTGTTCGTGTTCACCAATCTAACAGAATTCGAACCATTTACAATCCCCACAAACGGGGAACAATTGCATTTTAATAAAATAGACAATAACAATACCCAAATATGTTTTGGATTCCATCTTTACAATCGATGGTTGCTTAGAATGTAACATAAACATTTTTTTGCAGCCATTATAATGTGGCCCTTACAATAACTTTATTTTTTTATTTAGTTTACAACGTGTCGTTTTGTGCAGGTTTGAAAAATTATTTTTATTTTCATTGATATAAATTTTTCAAACCAACAAAATTCAAAATATCTGACGATTTCAGATAAACTCAAACCTTAATATTATTGATTAAACCTCCCTGCTGTTTTTCCCTTTAGAAAAGCATTGTCCAATAGATTAAGCACTCACTTAATTTTTCGTATTTAATTATGCCAACTCCTGCTGAAATTATTGCTGCTCGTTATCAACAAAATAACAATCAAAATCAAGCTATTGAAGAAGAAATTGATTATTCAACTAATGGTAATGGTAACAATTTACCAAACAAAACTTCAATCAGTGATGAAAATGCATTTCCAACTTTAGGTGGTGGATCCAAACCCTCACCCGTTCAATCTTCATCTACCTGGGGCCCAAAAATGAAAGCTCCACCTGCTCAAGTTAAAGAAGGATCTCCAACATCAATGCCTGCATTAAAATCTAAAAATGGTTCAAATGGTTCAAATTCTTATAAATCAAAAGTTTCAACAATTCAAGAAGCTTTTTCATTAGATTTTGAAGATCAATTAAATGTTGCAAAACCTGAATTTTCCAAAATTTTAACTTCAATTCAATCTGAAACAAAAACAAAAATTGAATTTAGTTCAAGCCAACATACCAAAAAGAGAATATTTTTAATCAGTGGTAGACCAGAAGAAGTTAAATTGGCAAAAAAATTAGTTATCAAGAAATTAACCAAATCAGTTAAACTTCAATTTACAATTCCATCAAAATTAAGATCAAAAGTTATTGGTCAAGGTGGTAAAACATTGAAACCAATTATTCAAGCAAATGAAGTTAAAATTGAAATTAGTGATCAAGTTGAAGACATTGAAAATGATGAAGATGAAGAAGAAGACGTGGATGAAGATATCTTTTCAAAAGTTGTTAAAGTTACTATCGATGGTGATATTGAAGGTTCAAAAGCTGCTAAAAATCAAATTTTACAAATTATAAAAGAAGAAAGTAAGAATTTATCAACCAAGATTAAAATTGATGAAAAAGTTAAACCATTTGTTGAAAAATCACTTGAATCAGTGATTGCATCACATCCTGACTTAACTTTTTCAATACCTGATTATAAATCAAATAAGAATAATTTGATCGTTATTGGTGACCGTGAATTAATCTTACAAGTTAAACCAGAAATTAAAAAGATATTAAACAATTTAGAATCAAAAATCACAGTTGAAGAAGTCCCAATTCCAGAAACAAAACAACAATTTTTACCAATTGATGAAGTTTTAGAAACTTTCAATGTTTTAATTCAATTACCAAAAGATACAGAATCAAATGTCAAATTTATTGGTGAATCAAAAAACATTAAAAAGGCACAAGATGCTGCTAAAAAAACAACGTTACAATATAAAGTTGAAGTTTTAGATATGTCAAAAGCTCATAAAGGTAATTTGAATCATGTTAAGGCTGTTGCTGCATTATTAAATAAATTAGGAATCTTTAAACAAATTAGTGAAGCAAATGAAGTTGTTATTAATCCACCAACTGAATTTACAAATGTTACATCAATTCCAATTGAAATTGTTGCAAAGGCTGGTGATGAAGATAAAATAAAATTAGCCAAAAAAGCAATTGTTTCAAATGTTAATAAAATCACCCCTGATCAAACTAAAACAGTTGAAGATATTGATGAATTTTTGATCAATAAAGTAGATGAAACTATTAAAGAAATTGCTAAACAAGAAAATGTTGAGTATGTAATCATTGATGATGTCATTACATTATTTGGATCATCTACTGAATCACAAGATGACGCAGAAGACTTTGAAGAAGTTGAATCAACTACCGAAAAAGAAGCTTCATTTGATAAAATTAACACCGAATTAGACAAGTTGAGAAAGTTATCTGAAAATATCATAAATTCTGTATTGGAAGTTTCGAAGAAACAACAAAATTCAATTGTTTCAAAATCATTGAAATCAATTATATCCTCAGTTGAACCAAACTCAGTCGTTGTTAAATTAAATTATCCATCTGATGATGAATTAACTATTCATGGTTTAAAATCAGCAGTTGCTATCATCAAGAAAAATATTGAATCCGATTTATCAGATTTTGAAGAACATCCAAATGGTTTTACTGCTCAAATTCAAGTTCCATCACAAGTTGTTCCAAGATTAATTGGTAAAAATGGTGCTAATTTAAATCAATTAAGAGATGAATTTAATGTTAAAATTGATGTTCCTGAAGATAAAGATAATAAAAAGGAAGAAAAAGTTGAAGTTACCATTGTTGGTCTTAAAAGAAATGTTGAAGATGCTAAAGCTAAAATCTTATCATTAAGTAAGAAATGGGCTGATGAAATTTTATCAAGAGTAAGAATTGAAAATCAATATCATAGAAGAATTATCGGTCCAAAAGGTGTTTACATTAATAGATTACAAGATAAGTATAATGTTAAAATTAGATTCCCATCAGTTAATGGAGAATCAAATGGATTTTTAGATGCACCAAAATCACCAAACGAAATTACTATTAAAGGTCCTTCAAAAGGTGTTGCAAAAGCAGAAGAAGAATTAAAAGAATTGTACCAATTTGAAAAAGAAAATGGTTTTAAACAAACTGTTCAAATCCCAATTAAAGCTATTGCTAGAGTTATTGGTAAATCAGGTGAAACTATAAATGATATTGCTGATGGTACTGGTGTTGAATATAAATTCAATAGAGATAATGAAAGTGAAGAAGCTAATGGTTATAGTGAAGTTGAATTAACTGGTTCAAAAACAGCATTAAAAGAAGCCACTACTAAAATTAATGCAATTATTAATGAAGTTGAAAATTTTGTCTCAAGATCAATTCAAGTTGATCCTAAATATCATCGTGATTTAATTGGCCCGGGCGGTTCAATTATGAAATCTATCATTTCAAAAGCTGGTGGTGATGATATACCAAGAAATAAATATCAAAGATTGTTAAATATACCAAATCAAGGATCAGGTTCAAATGAAATTACATCACAAGGTGATAAATCAGTTGTTGATAAAATTATTGAATCTATTGAATCAATTATTAAAGAAAAAGAATCAATGATTATCAATGAAATTGAAATTCCAAAAGATAAACATAGATTAATTATTGGTCCAAATGGTTCAATTCGTCATGCATTACAAGATGAATTCAATGTAACTATAGACATTCCAAGAGCAAATGATGATTCAAGCATAGTTAAAATTAAAGGTTTACCTGAACAAATCGATGCAGTTATAACTAAAATTCAAGAATTTACAAAAGATGATTGGAAGAAAGTTGTGGAAGTCCCATCTAATTATCATGGTCTAATTAGTGAACGCGGTGGTATTTTTAAAAGATTTAAAAATGAATATAATGTTGAAATTACTCATGGTAACTTTACAAGACAAGCAAATAAATTATCAAATAATTTAATTCCAAATCCACCAAAAGAAGCATACCCAGAAGAAAATGAAACTATTAAATTCACCATTATTGAAAATACTTCTGATGAAGATGGTGAATTAATTCCATGGAGATTAAAAGGTGAAGACTCAGATGTTGATAAAGTTTTCTCATTAATTGAAGAAAAATTAAACTTGGCTAAGAATTCAAATTATCAAGGTTGGTTTTACTTAAGCCAACCTTCAAATTTCTCAAAAATCATTGGTCCACAAGGTTCAAGAATTAATCAATTAAGAAATAAAACAAACACATTCATTACAGTTCCTAGATCAAATGATAAAATCAATAATAATGAAAATTTCATTTACTTAATTGGTAATGAAGAAAATTTAAACAAAGCGGAAAAGGAGATCAAAAATTTGTTATAAATTTAAAAGCTAGACAATATTTATACATGTAAATAGAGTTGCAATTGAAAATAAACATTTAATGAGAGTGCAATATTTAAACTAAATTAGATTTCGTAAATTTAATTACAGTAATTAACTTTATTGTTTAATTGTTGGGCTCAATAGATTGTTTAGATTTGCAATCGTGCGAGTTATAAAAAAAACCGAACGTTGTTACGGCGATTGCAATGCAGTATTAATTAATCACTTAATTGTATAATAGCACGTGACTTGAAAAATAGAAAAAAAATTATTAATAGAAAGCTGTCAAATCAATCACCGTTTTCGCTCGATTTGAAACTGCTGCAAAATTTAGATTTCTCTTTATTCCAAAGAGGGACGACTTAAAATTCTTTTAAAATCAGTTTATTCTTACAAGATAAAGCCATCAACAGTCTATTGTTGAGCTAGTTTATACGAGATCTAAACACTAATTGGTTAGATTCCAAATTTTTCCATTTGTTGTGGCGACCGATCCACATTTTGCTGTTAAGGGGTTTTTATTAGTTTATTCTATTTTTTCTAAATCAATTTCTTAGCATTGGTAATAACCAAGTATAATAAAATCATGGCGAAGTGCATTGATACTATCCATTTTCTTATGTGGATCCCCTTTAACACAGATCAAACCTGGAATTATCCATAGTGATCATATCGATAATTATTACTTTAATTACAACGGCGTTTTTATATTTTTCTCGTTATAATTTTTTTTTTCTCTCGGTGTTGCATTTATTAAGAGATGGGCATTTATTAATATTGTGGATCTAAGAAATTAAAAAAAAGAAACTAGGTTGTAACACAAATATGATTCAGATTTGTTATGTTGTTCCATTTAATCATAATATAAAACTAGATTAAATTGTTCCTTTTTTTTTGTTTGGTTTGGTTTTGTTTGTTTGATTTTTGACTTTTAACTTTTCAATTTTAATCAATTTTAATCAATTCACCATGGCTATTACTGATAGTTTCAAAAAAGTATTGAGTGATACTAATACTAAAAGTGAAGCCATTAAAACTTCAGATAATTCAGATCAGATATCGACTTATTCATCAGAAGAACAAGGTGGTATAATAAATTTAGATAAAAATGTTAAAGAAATTGGTATTGTTTCAGCAAGTTTTTTAATGTTGAATAGAATGTTGGGTGCTGGTGTTTTCTCAACTGGTTCAACAATCTTTGTATTATCTGGTTCAGTTGGTACTGCATTAATGATGTGGTTTGCAGGTACTATAATTGCATTTAGTGGATTATTAGTTTATATGGAATTGGGATCTGCTTTACCAAGAAATGGTGGTGAAAAGAATTATTTGGAATATATTTATAAAAAACCAAAATTCTTTGTTACTGCAATGTATGCATCATATGTCTTCTTTTTAGGTTGGGCAGCTGGTAATTCAATTGTTGTTGGTGAATATATCTTAAATGCTGCTGGAAAAGAAGTTACTCAATGGAATTCAAGAGGTATTGGTTTAGCAGTTATAACGTTTGCATTTTTAGTTAATGCTATACATATTAAAACAGGTTTATTTATTGCCAATGTTTTAGGTTTTTTCAAAATTATTATTGTGTTATTTATTACAGTCACTGGTTGGGTTGCATTAGGTGGAGGTATTAAAAATTCTGATTTCCAACCAACTGGTAACTTTTCTCATGCATTTGAAGGTGAAAGTCCATCAGGTTTTGGTATTGTTAATGCTTTATATAATGTTATTTGGTCGTATGTTGGTTATTCAAATGCCAATTATGCATTAGGTGAAATTAAAAATCCAACAAGAGTTTTAAAATGGGCCGCACCAATTGCTTTTATTTCATTAGGTGTTATTTATATGTTTGTTAATATTGCTTATTTTGCAGTTGTACCAAAAGAAGAAATTGCAAATTCTGGTAGAATTTTAGCTGCTTCATTTTTCAAACATGCATTCGGTGATCAAGCTGAAAAAGCAGCTTCAGTTTTTGTTGCATTATCAGCATGGGGTAATGTTATGTCAGTTATCTTTTCACAAGGTAGAATTATTCAACAATTGGGTAGAGAAGGTTCATTACCATTTTCAAGATTTTTTGCTTCATCAAGACCTTTTAATACTCCATTTGTTGGTTTAATGCAACATTGGATTATTTGTATCATTACCATTATTGCTCCACCACCAGGTGATGCTTATAATTTTATTTTGAATTTGATTTCATACCCATTAAATGTTGTTAATACTGCAATTTCAGCAGGTTTAATTTATTTATATTATAAAAAAGCTAAAGGTCAATTATCTTGGAATCCACCATTAAAAGCTTCATTACCAGTTACAATTTTTTTCTTTTTATCATCATTATATTTAATTGCTGCTCCATATATTCCACCAATTCATGGTCAAAAGGTTTATAATTCAATGCCATATTGGATTCATGCAGTTGTTACATGGGCTGTATTTGGTGTTGGTTTACTTTATTGGATTGGTTGGGTTATACTCTTACCATATTTTGGTGGTTATAGATTAGTTACTAAAGAAGTATTGGGATCTGATGGATTCTGGAGAAACAAATTTTATAAGGTTTCAAAAGATAGTATAGATGCAGATGCCGAATTAAAAGAACAAAACTTATAGACATTGTTGCATTTTAATTATTTAATTGGTCATTTTTCAGTTCTTTATTGTTTTATAGATTTATTTAACCTTTAATTTACGGAACATTTTTAATTATATCCTAATTTGCTTATTGTTACTCCTATTTACCATTATATTTTATGAATTGGACATTTCTAACCTCTCTACTAATTTATAGATTATCTATTCGAGCATTCAGTTTACGAGACACTATTAATTATATCCTAACCCGTTTATTAATAGTACTATTTACAATTATATTTTATGTCTATGATCTTTTGGTTCAAATAAAGGTGACCATATACCTCTAACAGAATCATTATCACTCATTACTTTATGATTATATTTAAATCTCTCATTACCTGATCTTTGTATATATTCATCCAATTTTTTTATAATTTCCAGATCTGATAAATTTTTAATTTCAACTTCATGTTGAGTATTATTATTATAATTACATATTAATAAAGGATGACCTCTTTGTTGTTTAATTTCAAATATAGTTTGTAAATTATTTAAAGCAAATTGATTTAATTTCCCATTGGTTAATAAATCTCTTAAACCTTGTGAAGATCCACCCCAATTACAATATTGTAACGTTATTTTATAACATGGTTGAATATATGATCCAAGACCATTTCTAGCTATTGAAACTTTAGGTATAGCTTTGACCATGGCGACTGTTTCTTTGATAAATTGAAATTTTTTTTTTTTGAAAAATTATTTTTGTCTACACGTCAAAATTGGTAGCGCAGTAGATCAATATTGTGAAACAAAAAAATATAAGAGATGAGAATTAATTATTAGATTAGATCAGATATCAAGTAAAAATGGGTAAAGCACCAAAGAAAAGGTTCTCAACTACTGCTAATTCTGGTAATACAGTTGCTGCTGATAAACATATGAATTCAGTTTTTAAATTTAATACAAATTTAGGTCAACATATCCTTAAAAATCCATTAGTAGCCCAAGGTATTGTTGATAAAGCACAAATAAAACCAAGTGATACAGTATTAGAAGTTGGTCCAGGTACTGGTAATTTAACAGTTCGTATATTAGAAAAAGCTAAAAAAGTAATAGCATCAGAAATGGATCCAAGAATGGCTGCAGAATTAACTAAAAGAGTACATGGAACACCACAAGAAAAGAAGTTGGAAATTATATTAGGAGATTTTATAAAAGCAGATTTACCATATTTTGATATATGTATATCAAATACTCCTTATCAAATATCATCACCATTAGTTTTTAAATTATTAAATCAACCAAATCCACCAAGAGTTTCAATATTAATGTTTCAAAGAGAATTTGCAATGAGATTAGTGGCAAGGCCAGGAGATGAATTATATTGTAGATTATCAGCAAATGTTCAAATGTGGGCTAATGTAACTCATATAATGAAAGTTGGTAAAAATAATTTTAGACCACCACCACAAGTTGAATCAAGTGTAGTTAGAATAGAAATTAAAAATCCAAGACCAAATATAGATTTTAATGAATGGGATGGTTTATTAAGAATATGTTTTGTAAGAAAGAATAAAACAATAGCTGCTGGTTTTAAAAGTTCAAATGTCATAGATATATTGGAAAAAAATTATAAAACTTGGTTAGCTACAACTGAACAAGATATGATGATTGATGATAAATCAAATTTAAAAGATTTAATAAAGGAAAAAATAACTACAGTATTGATGGAAACTGGATTTTCAGATCAAAGATCAAGTAAAATGGATCAAACTGATTTTTTGAAATTATTATACGCTTTCCATCAAGTAGGGATACATTTTGCATAAATATATAAATACATTCTATTAGTCTATCTATCTACCTTCTTTTTGTAGTCTTAGTTAAATCTTTTTCTATAACATCACCAACACCACCCAATTCTTCTAAATCTTCTTCTGCAACAGCTACAGCTTCTCTTCTTTCCCAGAATCTATTTTCACATAAATCAAAAGCAGCTTTCTTCAAATACTTACCTCTTAATTCATTCTTACCAGTCATTGCCCATTTTAAGAAATCTGCACCAGTACGTAAGTAAAATTGACGTAAATTTTCAAATGGTTTAGGTATTGGTAACCATGGAGTTAAATCTGGATATTGTGCTTCTAATGAATTTTCATCTTCTTCCTCCTCCTCTTCTTCTTCTTTTTCACTTTCAACTTCTTGTTCATCTTCATCTTGTGCTTCTTCTTCCTCTTCTTCTTCATCTTCTTCACCATCTTCATCGTCAAATTCATCATCCGAATTCTCAACATCTTTTTCTAATTCAGTCAAATCTTCCCAGAATACTTTTGTACCATCTAATCTACCTAAATCAATTGCATAAAATGAGTCTAAACTATATTCTCGTTCACCTTTTTCATAAATACCACCAAATATATACAAGACATCATCAACAACACAAGTAGTTGCATTAAATCTAGGATGTGGTAATTGTTTTATCATTGGATATTCTTTCATTTCTTTATCTATTGGTTCTTCATCTTCTTCTAATTTCTTTAGTTTCTCAATTTCTTCATTATCTTCATCGTCATCATTCAAATTTGCTTTTTTCAAAATTTGATTTAATATTTCTTCTAAACCTTCATCTCTTGTTTTTTCCTTTATAACTTCTTTCTTTTTATTTCGTAATGGTTTTAATGTTAGATTATACCAACGATTATTATCAATATGATAAGAATATAAATTATTATAAAACTCAGATTCTAAATTCTCTTCACTTTCATCAAAATCATAAACACCACCAAATAATATACCTCTGTTTTTATGATAAACTAATGAACAACCAACCCTAGGTGATGGTAATTGACCTTGTTTTTTCCTTCTTTCAAACCTTATACCCTTCAGATCACTCTTCATTTTAATTAACCAACAATCATTTAAAACTTTGCCCTTTTGAATATTCTTCTTTTTAGTCTTTATCGTTGTATAACCTCCATATAGTACAGCACCATCAGCATATGAAATTAAAGAATGTCCCGATCTTGCATCTGGTATTGGATGATTTGGTGGGAATTCTACTTGATACCATTTAAATTCAGTTATATCAAAAATCCACATGTCATCAAGATAAGAAGTTGAATTACCTAAATCTCTAAACCCACCATGTAAAATTATATGGTTTTTCCATACTGCCATTCTATGACCAGATCTAGGTGATGGACTCTTTTTAGCATGTACTTTTTCCCATTCTTTTGTATCACAATCCAATATCCATGTATCTCCATAATGATAAAATGTAGATTGTTTAGGTGATGAAAATTCACCACCAAATAACAAAATTATACCTGATGGATGAGAACACATTGTATGAGATGATCTAGGTAATGGTGAATTTTTAGATGTGATTTTCCTCCATGTATCATTATCAATTGAATATGTGAATAATTCATTATGAAAATGTGATGTTTTACCTTCCATTGATTCACCACCAAACATGATTAATTCACGTTTATTATGTGCTGGATTACTAACCATTGCAGGGTTAATCCTTTTTGGGACTTTATTTATAATTTCAACTTTAATTTCATTGAATTCTTCTTGTTCTTTTGCATATTGTGCTAATATAGTATCAATATCTTCATCTTCTTCTTCTTCACCTAATTTTTTAGCCAATTTTTTATTTTTTGATTCAGCTTTTGATAAATGTTTCTTTTGCTTTTCAGCAGTTCTTGCCTTTTTAGCTTCTTTTGATTTCTTATCTTTCTTAGCCATTTTTAAACATACATATGAATGGCTGTAAAATAATGAAAATTTTCAAGTTTTAGATCTGAATCGTAAAAAAAAAAAAAAAAAAAAAATTAAATACATAAACAAAAGATCAAGTTTATCAACATGAGCTCAGAAAATGATAGAGAGTATAAAAATGAATTGTTCACTAAACAAAGAGATTTATTAATACAGGATATATCGAATAATTTGGATCAAGTATATACAAATTTAGAAATATTGAACAGGTCATTGAATGAACTGATACAAATTGGTAAAGAATTTGACGATGTTGGTAGATTATGGGCAACATTTTATGATGGTATGAAAAAGAATAAAGTAGGAGGTACCCAAGATAAAAATAATAATGAAAGAGAAGTTTCTAATAATGGTAATGATAATAATAATGGAATATAATTTAGCTGACTTTAATATATATTTTAAATTAAATACGATAATAAAGAAAACGCTACATAAAAATTTTACAACTATAAAGAGCTTATATATAAAAAGTACAACTGTTTATTAAAACAATAATTACTTTTCGTATTTTAGATTATTTCTTTTACTTTTTTAAAATGGAGATGTTGAATTATTTGTAGTATACAATTAAGTTCCTTAGAAACATTTATGATGAACAATTGATGGACCAGATTCATCATATTCTTGTTTTGAGATCCACATTTGTTGGAAAGTTGATAATGAAGCTAAAATAGAACCACCAATCCAGACAGAATATTTTCTTTCTGGTGGAGCAATAATTTTAACTTTCATTGATGAAGGAGCTAATGCAGTAATTTCTTTTTGCATACGTTCAGCAATACCTGGGAACATAGTAGTACCACCTGACATAACAATATTACCATATAATTCTTTTCTAACATCTAAATCACATTTAATAATTGAGTTAAAAGTAGTTTGATCAATACCAGCAGCTTCTAAACCTAAATCAGCTGGTCTGAATAAAGCTTCTGGAGCTCTAAATCTTTCATTACCAATAGTAATAACTTGACCATCTGGTAATTCATATGATTTTTCAATAGCAGATGATTGTGATGAAGTTTGCATTTCTTGTTCAAAATCTAATGCAACATAACATAATCTTTCTTTAATATCTCTAACAATTTCTCTTTCGGCAGTAGTTGAAAATGTATAACCACGTTCTGATAAAATTTTCATTAAATAATCAGTTAAATCTCTACCAGCTAAATCAATTCTTAAAATACCATGTGGTAATGAAAAACCAGCATAAATTGGAACGACGTGAGTAACACCATCACCTGAATCTAAAACAATACCAGTAGTTCTACCTGATGAATATAATGATAAAACAGCTTGAATAGAAACATAAAATGCTGGAACATTAAAAGTTTCAAACATAATTTGAGTCATTTTTTCTCTATTTGATTTTGGATTCATTGGAGCTTCAGTTAATAAAACTGGATGTTCTTCTGGAGCAACTCTTAATTCATTGTAAAAAGTATGATGCCAAATTTTTTCCATATCATCCCAATTTGAAACAATACCATGTTCAATAGGATATCTTAAAGTTAAAATACCCCTTTTTGATTGAGCTTCATCACCAACATATGAATCTTTTTGACCCATACCAACCATAATACCTTGATGTCTTGGTCTACCAACAATTGATGGGAAAACAGCTCTTGGAGCATCATCACCGGCGAAACCGGCTTTACACATACCAGAACCATTATCAATAACTAAAGCAGCTACTTCTTCTATAATAAATTTTTAATTAGTAATCATAATTTTATTGGTTATAGCAAATATTCAACATTGAAATTTTAAAAATTTCAGTAGTGTGCCCGTGGTAAAATTCAACATTGGACGAAAAAAATATCAAAAATTGGCCTAAAAAGGGGTGATATAAGTATAAAGAAATGAATCAATATTGATCTATAAATGGGTTTGATTGATTGATCTGGGATATGATTGTAATGATTTAATTGAATTGATGGAGTATGAAGAAAAAAAAAAACTGGTGGAATCAATTGATTGAAAATTGACATTTTCAATTGACATTTTCAACTGACATTTTCAACATTTGTTTATTAAAATTTCCAATTGATCTGAACATCAATAATTGCTGTATAATCCAATCAATCCATCAAAATCGACCCCTTCCATCTTTGTTCTTGTACTAATTGATTGATAAAACCGAGCCAATAAAAATTCACTCTATTTTTTTCATCGATCAAACTTTGAACGATATACGATCAATTTATTAAACTTCAATGTGATATATTTGCTAATTTTGAAATTAAAATTTGATTGAACTGAGTTGAATCGAATCGAATCAATCAATCCAATAAGATTAAAACATACCACCGTCCATTTTTTTGATTTATTGTATTATTAATGTATTAATTAAGTGTTTATTCAAACAAAAAAGTATTGGAAGAAAGAAAATGAAAGAGAGAAAAAGTTGAAAAAAATCAACCTGGTAATCAAAATTATATTCGTTCATTTACCAATTTTTCATATTCAAAATAACTTCTTTACTTTTGTTGTCCAAAATCCATTTTTAGAAAAATTACATTTCTTAGTTATAAACAAAAAAAAATAAAAATAGAAAATGCGCGCACAATAACTAATCATTTCCGCCTAAACTATTGCAGTTTGGATGTTCTATACGGTATATACACGCCTGAATTTAATCAGTACCACGTAGATTTAGACGATGATTTAATATATATAAACTAACAAAGATATAATATAGATATAATATAGATATAATATAGATATAATATAGATATAATGTAGATATAATATACTATTAAAAACAATGTCATAAGATACTAGTGTGACTTATTAATTGGATTGACAATTAATTCTTCCTTTATAATTTACTAACGTTCGGAAAGTAAGAAAGATCAGTTTAATCAACTGATGCCTCTCCTATCTCTAATTATTGGCTGCAAAATATATAAATAGCAACCGACATTTAAATTCTTATTCTTATTCAAATAATAATCAATAGATTAGTTTGACTGATTATATATCAATTTAAAGGCAGTACAGCTGGTATTCTCTCACTTATAATAATATTCTGAAACATCAATAATAATTATTTTTTATCATTTGATCACCAATTTGGATTGAAAAAGGCTCAGTCGCATTTCGGATTTAAAATTCAGTTAAGTGGCAAAATAAATTAGAGGTACAAAATCATTTCAAGATTACAAACTAACTTTACGTGATCATTGGACCAAGTCGAGTTTCGAGGTTGAACTTTAAGGTTGAACTTTAAAGTTGTCATTAAGGTCCGACACCGTTACTTTTAAAAATAGAAATTGGTAGTCTGCTATCGAATTTTTCTAAAAAAAAATATTTTGCAGCATAAGTTTTTTTATTCCATTAAATTTTCAATTTTGAATACTACGATTATACGCAACTTTTGACCTTCATATTCGGTTACTTTTATACGCAACTGTTGACCATCACATTCGGTTACTTTATACACAACTTTTGACCTTCATATTCGGTTACTCTTATACGCAACTTTTGACCATCACTTTCGGTTACTTTATACGCAACTTTTGACCTTCATATTCGGTTACTTTTATACGCAACTTTTGACCATCACATTCGGTTTACTTTATACGCAACTGTTGACCATCACATTCGGTTACTTTTATACGCAACTTTTGACCATCACATTCGCCTTTTGACCATCACTTTCGGTTACTTTATACTCGTTCTTCCTATAAATGCAGAGTAATTTGCATGAGTGTATTCTAGTCTAATTTAAACGTCATTTCATTATATGACCACCCACGGCGCGATTTTATTCGAAACTTCCTCTGTTCGAATACCATTACTTTCAATCAAAGCCAAAGACAAAGACTTTTTAACTGCCCAATTAACTATTAAAATTGGACTTACAGGCTCTACTCGATTGGTCAAATTCAAAAAGTCGTGAATTTCTTGTCAAACTTTGGTGAGCTCAAAGTATAAAAACACAACAACAACTTTCACCAGATATTCAAGAGTAGTACGACAAATAAATTTCTGTTTACTAGATCTAATCTCTTATCACCAAGCCATATATGGTTATATAATAATCTGTTAAATAATAATAATTAATGTCAGACTGACTGTTCAATATTAATTAATTTGTTGAAAATCATAAAAAAAAAAAAAAAAAAAAAAAAATTAAAAAATAAAAAAAAAAAGTTATTGAGGAAAAAAGTAAAACATATTAACCTTTATCAAGATTTTGATTATTATTCATTCACCCCTTAAATTAATTATCAACAATCAGTCATATAATCAAATATAAAACAAAATTTAGAACAAGCATTAATCAAAATATCATTAAATAATAACATATAACAGAATTTTGCAATAAATATAATTTATATAACTTATAATGTCTTCTTCAGTTCCATATGATCCATACATTCCAAATCAAACTACTGGTGAACAATCAAACTCAAGAACAGCTGCTATACAAGCCGTAAGTACCTATTAAAAGAGAATGAGTTATGCGTGATAAATGATACTAACTTTTATTTAGCAAATTGATGATACTGTTGGTATTATGAGAGATAATATCAATAAAGTTGCTGAAAGAGGTGAAAGATTAGATTCAATAGAAAATAAAACTGATAATTTAGCTATTAGTGCTCAAGGTTTTAGAAGAGGTGCAAATAGAGTTAGAAAAGATATGTGGTGGAAAGATTTTAAAATGAGAATGTGTCTTATTTTTGGTATTATAATTGTCATTATAGTTATTGTAGTTCCAATTGCAGTTCATTTCAGTTAGATTAACCAACCAACCAACGCATGAAAAGCGAAAATTCAACGCGTATAAATTAAATCAAGGTAGTATAAATTGTCATACACTCAATAATATGGTTCAAATCTTAATTTATAATTTTATAGTATAGTTTAAATGAATATAGTGTGATGTTTTATTATATATAAGTCTCAATTTACAACTGAAAACTGATATCGTATATAATATTTCATATTTCATATTTCATATTGACTCTGTTGGTGCCATTTTCCATGCGAGGTCAAATTTTTTCTTATACTCCAATAAAAAATTTAAGCCATTGGAAATTTTTAAATTCAAACAAACATTTGACATTTTATTCTTTATTAACTATGATTAAAACTTTATTCAGACCAGCTTCTATTTCAATTAAGTCAATTAAACCATCACAATTAAGATCATTCACTACAACTAACCCATTATCATTTGTTTTAAATAAAGATTCACCCCAATATAAATATTTACACGAATGGAAACCAATTGAACATAAATTTACAGAAGAACATGAATATTTAAAAGTTTATGATGATTCTACTGCCTTATTAGGTATTACTCAATATGCATCTCAAGCTTTAGGTGATGTTACATTTGTTGAATTACCTGAAATTGGTGATAGAATTGAAAAAGGTGATACTATTGGCCTGGTTGAATCTGTTAAATCAGCAAGTGAAATTTATTCTCCTGTTTCTGGTGAAGTTATAGGTATAAATGATGCTTTGGAAGGTACTCCAAGTATATTAAATCATGATCCTGAAGTTGAAGGTTGGATTGCTCATATTAAATTAGATGATATTGCTGAAGTTAAAGATTCTGAAGATTTATTAGATAAAGAAAATTATGAAGACTTCTTGAAAAAAGATGATTAGAGATAATAAGACTATAATAAATATATAAATACATAAATATATTTTATTGCAAATTTATTCTATTGGTGTGTATAGCTTCTAGTATTTGTTGCATCCTTACCATTATTTGCATCCTTACAATTCCAATTCTGATTTTGTTCCTTTTATAACTCCCAATACTGAATCAGCTACATATTTTGGAATAAAATTATCTTCATGTAACATTGCAAAACTTTCTGTAGCATCTCTACCTGCAAAATTTACAATTGATTGTGATCCACCAGGATGATCATTTAAAAACGAAGTTAAATCAACAACTACATTTTTAATAATACACCAACAATCATCTGGTTTATTATGTTTTGCAACTTCTTCAAGTGAAAATTCTTTATTTGGGATTGAAAAAGATTTAGTTGGAGCTTTTTCTTGTTTTGGTTGTGCTTGTTGTTGTTTTGGTGCCGAATGTTGAGCTTGTTCTATTTCACCTCCTGATTGTTCAGATCTATTGTTTTCTAAATCAATGATTACTCTTTTACTATTTGGATCAATATGTAAACTAATCATATTTAATCTAGCATTAGCTGCAGTTGTACCTTGTTCTTCTTTTGAACTTGATTTTTGTAATGAATAACTACATGCTTGATCAGCTGCTAATCTACCATATACTACGCATGCTAATAATGAAGAACCACCTAATCTGTTATGACCATGAACACCACCAGCAACTTCACCAGCAGCATATAAACCTTCAAATGGTTCATCATTTTGATCAGTTAAAACTTGAGCTTTATCATTAATTTTAACTCCACCCATAGTAAAATGTAAAACTCTAGTAATATAAGAAACATGATATTTGGAATTTGGAGAATATTCAAAAGGAGTAGATGGGAAATATTTCTTACCAAATGGATCTTTAATTTGACCTGAAGCAGCTTTATTATAAGTGTCTAACTGTTCTCTAAGTTTTTCTTCAGTTGTTCCTAATTCTTTAACTAATTCTGATCCAGTTATAGTTCTCATTAAATGTCTTTGAGTATAATGTTTAATGTGAAATTGTAAGTTCTTCTCCAGTTTTTCACTCAATACTAATCTAATTGGTCCATTACCTTGTTTATTTTGTTTTTCCATTTCTCCACTTACCCAATCTCTAGTACCTAATTCATCAACAAATCTTTCACCTTTTGAATTAAACATAATACCACCTTCACCTCTTAATGCTTCAGCACCAAGAAATAAAAATCTTGGTTGTTTTTTACCTTCAATTACTTCAGTATCATTATAATCAATTAATCCTGTTGGATGAACTTGAACTTTATCTAAATCAATACCAACACCTTTATTTTTCATTATAATCTTTTGACCATCTCCAGTTGCATGATTTCCATTAGTTGAAGGTAAATCAATAATATCGGGTCTATATTTTCTTAATAAACTATTTTTAGTAAAATCAGCAGCATATCCACCAGTGGACATAATTACAGGTCCCAAAATTTCATGTTTTGATTTATCTTTTAAATTTTTATATTTAACTCCAATAACTTTTGAATCACCTTCAAGAATTAAATCAATAACTTGAGAATTTTTCAAAATTAAAACCCTGTTAGGTTCTGTTTCACTCAAATTTTCCAATTTTTCTAATAATGCATATGTTATAGCCATACCAGGAAATTTTGAATCATGACCTCTATGAGTTCTAGGTTGTGAATGACCACCGAGTCTAGAAACAACAGATAAATCTAAACCAAAGATTTCTTGTAACCAATGAACAGCATCTGCTGAATTATAAGTTAAAACTTTAATTAATGCTGGATTTGCACGATCTTTTGCAGTTGCCAACGTATCTTGATAAAATTGTTCAACTGAATCTTTAATATTAAGATTAACTTGAGTTCTTGTAAGACTTCCATTTATACCTGAAGTTGCTTTACCACTATTACCGCTTAAAAAACCTTGTTTGTCAATTAAAACTATATTTGCACCTCTAAGATAAGCTTCATGAGCAGCTGATAAACCAGCTAAACCACCACCAACAATAATTATAGGATTAGAAGGAAGAGACATATTAATTTGTTGTCTAATTTATGATTATAATTTGAGTCAATTTTATTGGAGAGAAAACATATATATATATGTATTAAATGTATGCGGGGGGCGAGTTTTATCAAAAAAAGCGCCAATTTAAAATTTCTTGTACGCCCAGCTGGAGTCAATCGATGCAAAAGAGTCATATTACCATATTTGGAAGCCATACCCGCGCTAAACACCGAATCTAAATCTTTGACAGAAGTCAATGCGATATGTATTGAAATGCAAATGATATCTCATTATGTTTGGCTTCATTAGTAATTAAAATATCTTCATTATTTTTCAATGATTCATGATTTAAATGATTCCAAGTTGTTGCATCTCCATATAACATAGCTGGTGCTTTTATAAATTGACCCTTTTCTTTATTACATCTTTTACAATTATATGTTTCATGAGTGTCACATTCTGTATTTGGTTGATATTGAAATAATTGTTTTAGATTATCAGAACTAAATAATCTTTCAACATCTTCTTTTTCATCAACAACACAACTTGATAATGACATTTTCATTGATTGTCTTTGAAAAATTTTTTCTTCAATTGTACCTGTTGAAATAAACCTATAAATAAAACAATCTTTCTTTTGTCCATCTCTCCAAACTCTAGCTAATGCTTGTTGATCAGATGCTGGATTCCAATCAGGATCAATTAAAACTAATCTATTTGCACCAATTAAATTTATACCACATCCACCAGCTTTTGAAGATAATAAGAAGATAAACTCCTGACCATTTGGATCATTAAATTTATCGACTAATTTTTGACGTTTATTGATATTCATAGTACCATCTAATCTTAAACAACCATATTTTTTAGTTCTACACATTTTTTCAATTAAATCTAATGTTTGAGTATAATTTGAGATTAGGACAATCTTATCATTTGTTTCACGGTTTATAGTATATAAAAATCTCTCAAGAATCATAAATTTCCCACTAAACCATGATTGAATTTCTTTATTTCTTCCAGAATTTGAAATTGAGGATTCATAATCTTCTGGAATAAATTGTTGACAATTGTCAATATCATCAGGTAAATTTAATAAATCAGGATGATTACATAGTTTCTTTAATAATCCAATTGCTTTTAATGGTTGTGATCCAACACCTTTTAATAATTTTTTAATTTCAGGTGATGTTATAAAATGATTATATAATTGTTTTTGCATTGGACATAATCCTGTAAATAATACGTATTCATATTTAACAGGTAAATATTTTGATAAAATATCATTGGTTCTTCTTATTATAAATTTTGAAACTAATTGTGCTAATTCATTTAATTTCTTATCACCAATTTCTTTTTCTTTATCAGTTGCATCAGCATCTCTACCTCTTAAAATTGCATTTTCAAAATTTTTTTTAAAATCATTTCTAGTACCTAAATAACCAGGATTGGCAAAATTTAGTAATGAAAAATATTCTGATAAATCATTTTGAATCGGAGTACCTGAAAGTATCACTCTTCTTTCACATCGAAGTGAATTTAATGCTGTAAATGTTAATGAATCACCATTTTTTAATCTATGACCTTCATCAGCTAACATTAAACCAACTTCTGTACCTGCTAATTTATCAACATTTCTTCTTAATGTTTCATATGATATAATTAAAACCGGTCGTACTATATTTCTACCTTGTGCAGTTGACCATTGTTGTAAAGCACCACCTAAATCATTTGATTTTGTTGATTTACCATCAATTGCTAATGGAGTTAAAACACCTTCACCTAACCATTTAACAATTTCATTTGCCCAGTTTCTAACTAATGATGAGGGACATACTATTATACATTTTTCAATTGTTTTTTTACCTCTTGGAGATTGTTTTAATAATGTCCACATTAATGTTAAACATTGTAAAGTTTTACCTAAACCCATTTCATCTGCCATTATACAACCTTTTGCACTTGCATCTAATAAGCCAGCAGTACATCTATATAAAAATTTAACACCAGCAATTTGATGAGGACGTAAAATTTTAGCTAATTTTGGATCAATGACAACTGGGACATTAGGATACTTTAATAATTTTTCTTCGGGATTAGTAACTATACCTAATATTTCAGCTAATGATTTATGAACTCTTCTTTTCTTTTTTGGTTGTTCTTCTTCATTTTCTTCATATGCTTTATCAATTGAGCTATCTTCCTCGGCAGTAGTTGGAACTTCTTCAATTTTGGGTATTACATCAACAGTTGGATCATATAAAACAATGGCAAATTCAGCCATGGGATCATGTAATGCGCGAGGCGGTATTATTGGTTTAATTTTGGTACCTAATGGTGGTGGTGGACATCTTTGAATATCATTTGATTTCGCTGTGGCTTTGTTAAATGGAACAGTAAAATTACGTCTTAATTTATGTTGAATATTATCATTATTTACCATGGATCTAGGTAGTAAAACACCAAATTTTCTAGAGTTTATAGGTTGATCGTTTTCATCACCTTCTATTCCTTCAATTGCATAACTTGTTCTCTTTTTAACTTTTCTTTCTAATCTTGATGAATGAATATTATTTTCCAGACGTGCAAGGAATGGCACTTTAAATGGTTTTGCTAATCTTTGAAGAGAATCAGTAACTTTAGGAGGTCGTTTATCTTTTGGAACACCAGCACCAGACCCTAATGGAGTTGTAAATTCAGTTAATGGTTTTCTATAAGTCATTGATCAACTGGTAAGATATTGAAAAATAAAAACAAGCGGCTTTTTGATCTATTTATATATAAATATTTTTTTTTTTCGTGTATCAGATTTATTAACTATGGATCAAATAATAGCCAAGGCAAGTAATCAAGCTGTTTCATTTGCTATTAGATCTGGTATTTCAATTGCTTCAGGTTATGCTATAAAAACAATTTCAACATTTTTGGATAAAATACCAGAAAGCCAGCAGAAACGAATTGAATTAAAAAAGAATAAATTGAAAAATAAAATTGATATTGTTTCAGTTACTATTGATTTAATTAAATTAGCTGCTTCAAGAGGTAATACAATATTAGAATCAACATTAATATTAATTGATGATTTACAATTAGAATTTGATGAATTTGATAATAGAATAAATGAGATAACTAAAAATTTAACTGGTCATAACCAAAAGGATTCAATTAAACTAGTTGAAGATTATATGAATGGATTATTAGATAATATAAATGATTCAATACCAATTTTAAATTTGTCATTGGTGTCCAGTGGTGTTAATTTCAATGGTAGGGTTAATATAAATAATGTATCACCAAGTAGATTATTACAAGCTGCAAATTATGTATCAAATTCAAAAGGTAATAAAATTGGACCAACTTTTGATTTGGTAATGTATACTATATTTTATAATCCAAGTAGACTTAAGTATATTGACGATAAGGTCGATGAATTAAGTTGTATAACTTGGAAAGAAACGTATGCGAGAAGTTCGGTCAAGATTGAAGAAGATGGATTTAATTATAAGTTGATTATAAAGGAAGATTTCGATGATGGGAGGTACCATGAAGATGATGAATCACCAGGTAAGAAAGCTATAAATTCAAAGTATATTCAAAATATGTTTTTCACTGCCTCCGGAAAATTATTAAAATTAGAAGGTAGAAATTCACCAGTTTTAATCTTGAAAATAAGTGAAGATGATCAAGAAGAATGGATAGCATTAGGAGAACCATTAAAAGGAGAATTTGATGAAGATGATGGAGAAGAAGAAGAAGAAGAAATTAAACCAATTAAATTAAAATCAGAAATCAAAAATAGTTCACTATCATTACTTGAATATTTAATACGATTATGTCGTTTACAACAAATAGAATCAAAATCAATATTAGAAATACCAGATGAGATTCTTAAATTATATTTACACGATCAACATACTACTGATTTACCAAAAAGTTTATCACAAAAGCAAAAAGATGAAATTAGAAAAATTTACAATGATAATGCAATAACAATGGATTCAAATATAAATAGATTAAAGAACCTCGAAATTAAAAAGTGATGATACATGTAATACATATATTGATTCATTTTCTATAATTCGTAATAAAACATAAGCAGAAGTAAATTTTTTGACTATTTTTGTATTTCCCCATTTTCTTTATGATTTGTTGGTATAAACGGTACGAATAAATCGTGATATGGTAAATCATAATCAAAAGGCGTTGTTGATCCTCTATTATCAAAATTTAAATCTGATGTTGATTCATTAAATTTTAAATTACCATCATTAATTGAAGTATAAGTTAAATCTGAAGTTGATGATTGTTTTTGATTTTGCTGGTAAGTATTTGTTTCATAAAAATTGGGTATTGATGATGATGTAGATAATGATGGAGGTTGTTGTTGTTGTTGTTGTTGTTGTTGTTGATGTTGTTGATGTTGTTGTTGTTGTTGTTGTTGATTATTTGCGAGTTGATCATCAAAGAAATTTTCAGTATACATTTCAGATTCAATTTTACTCAATTGTGAACCAAATTTTTGTGAGCCTAAACCTGTTCTTCCAAAATGAAGATGCATTGATCCATCATCTGAAACATTCCCTGAATTATTTTGCATTTCATCAAATGTATTACTTGGAGGGAATGCGGCTGAATTTGAAGATGCTGGTAAATTTCCATTCGAATATGAATTAATATTTTGAAACCCAGTACCCATAAAATCAAAAGATCTTGTAGATGAGTTTGAAGTTATTGATAATACACTTTCTGGTCTTTTTGGTTTTGGTTGTTGTTGTTGATGTTGTTGTTGATTATGATGATCATTAAATAATGAGGCTGAACTCGATGACATCCTAGTTGCATTAACAGTAGGTCTAACAGGTTTGGGTTGTTCTGGTACAACTTTTTGATTATTTGAAAAAGGCAGTAGTGGTTGATTTTCATTTTGAAAACTTTGAGTACCAACTAACGGGAAAAGTGGAAACATATGATCAACAACTTCAATTTCTCCAGGACTTAAATGTGAGTCATTTTTAAGACTAGTATGAATACCAGGATTTGTTGTATTTGTATTTGTATTTGTATTATTACTTTGTAAATCTTCTTGTTTAAAATCATGAACAGAATCTGTTGTTTCAGATTGAGTACTCGAAGGGAATAAATCAAATAAACCATTATTAGTATCAAAGGGTATTAGAACATCCTCTATAACATAATTTTGATCTTGAATATTATTAAAAGTAAGGTGTTGTTCTTGTTGTTGTTGGGGTAAACCTGATGTAGTACTACCTGGTGATGAATCACTATTTGATTGGACCAGTTCTGATCTTTTCCTTATATCAGCATTAGCAGCATCTATTAATGATTTCTTTTTTGCTTTTTCAGAAGCTGACATATGACGTATATCACTTTTACCATTACCAGTTTTTTTCAGATTATTTGATGAACAAGTACAATGATTGGTTTTTGAACAAGCGCATGATGAAGAATGAACACTTGGAGGTTTACCTTTTTTACCACAAGTACAACTAACATGTAAATTTTTATGTTTTCTATTTTCTCTACAATGTTGACATTGAGTTGCCGGTCTACCTTTTGGTTTAATCATTGTTAAGGGTTGATCAGTATGAGTACAAGTAGTAACTCTATGACCTCTAATACACCTTTCACAGGCATATTTAACCCCATTAATCAAAACCATGGTTCTAATGTGAAATGAGACACTTGACTAAACTGTAAGACTGTTAATGTATTGGTTAACTATTCGTTCGATAATAAATGAAATTGATGGTTAATAATAAAAATATTTTATAATAATATTTTTTTTTTTTTTTTTTTTTTTAAAGTTTGTTTTTTGGTGGTAACAGAAAAAAAGAAGATCGTGCTATTTTAGATAAAAATGGTAGTTACCTAACCAAGGGCTAAATATAGGTAATACGACAGTCAATGAACAGTGTACTATTATATATTATATATTATATATTATATCTCTACAATTTACTATCTTTAAATGCTGGATGATCCATTGGTTGATATACTTTTGTAAATAATTTATCTTCTGGTACAAATCTATTTGTAAATGATCTAATATCAACAAATGATTCATTTAATTGATCTATTGATGTTGCTCCTAAGAATCTCATATTCATTATTAATTCATCTCTTAATATCAGAATTGCTTTTAATACTCCTTCATCTCCATATGTTGACATTGCATATAAAAATTTTCTACCAATTCCGACTCCTTTTGCTCCTAAACATAATGCTTTTAAAATATCAGTTGCTCTTGAAACTCCACCATCGATATAAACTTCAAAATTTTTATTCAAACCTTTTTCTTTTAAGATTGGCATTAATTCCATTAATATTTCAATTGGTGGTGCTGAATATTCCAATTGTCTACCACCATGATTACTTAAAATAACACCTTGACATCCATATTCTGCAGCCAAAATAGCATCTTCAACTCTCTGAATACCTTTTAATACTATTGGCATTTTTGTTATTGATTTAAACCATTTTAAATCTTTCCAACTTAAACTTGCATCAATAAATGATGAAATTGCTCTTGCTGCACCTTGAGTTCTATCTGCATCATCATCATCACCTTGAACATAACTTAAATCTTCAACATTTTTTGATCTCATATCTTTTTCACGTCTACCTAATTGTGGTGCATCAACTGTTATAATTAAACCTTTAATACCTCTTGACTCTGCATGTTGTACCAATTTTTTAGTAATTTCACGATCGGAATTAACATATAATTGAAACCATTGGGTTTGTTTATCGGTTGCTTGATCTACAATTTCATCAAATGAACATGAAGCTAATGTTGGAATCATTTGAATTACATTTTCTTTTGCTGCACTTCTTGTTAATACTTTTTCACCATCTGGATGTCCTAATTTACCTAATGCAGTAGCTGTTATATAAAATGGATATGAAACATTTGTACCAAGCATAGATGTTGATAAATCAATTTTTGAAACATCAATCATAACTTTTGGTCTAAAAAATACACGTTGAAAACTTAAATGATTTTCACGTAAAGTAATCTCATCATCACAACCGGAACTATAATAAGCCCATGCTGTTTTTTCCATAGTATGACGAGCAACAAATTCAAAATCTGATAAATTATAAATTTGTGATAAATCTGGTTTATTTTTAACATTTTTACGACGTTGAATTTCTTCTGGAGTTGGTGGATCATCATCATCATCATCATATTCGTCATATTCGTCATCTACTTCTTCTGAAGCAGTTTGAGTTGGAATTGGTTGTTTATCATCTTGTTCATCATATTCAACATCAAATTCATCAACTACATTAGAACCATTTGTATTTGCATTTGCATTTGCATTTTTATTGCCTTGCGCAGTTTGATCACCACTTGATTTAGCTAAACTTTCAGCTTTATCTTGTACTTTTTTATTTTTTTTCTTCATTTCAACTTCACCTTTATGATATTCTGGTTTTAAGTATTTTGATAAAATATCACCTGGATGAAAAGGATCAAAAGCTTTTGTAGCATCTTTACCAGCATATTTTAATATAATAGCAGAACCACCAGGATGATTATCAACAAAATCAGTTAAATCATAAGCTTTTTCATGAATTATAACCCATAAATCATCTTTTTTATTATGTTTTGCAACTTCTTCTGAAGAAAGAACCATATTACCAATTTACTCAATGTTGTTGAAAAATGAAAAACGAAAAATACAAAACAATTAATTATATAAAAATAAATTACTTGGTTGTCAAGTGGGGTGGATCTATAATAATATAAATATATACGTTTATGTATTGATAATATAATAATGAGCCAATAGTGTAATTTATATTTGTTATCAATTACACTAACTGAATCTTAAAAGGGTTAAAGTTTGCGCGTTATTCTTTGACATTCATTACACAAAATCGGATAACAATACTCAACTATGATCATATAGGAGACAGACTATCAAGACTCAACAACTTAAAACCGTGTATTTCTAGCCCTGAGTGAAGATGACTCGTCTTGTTTACTTGCAAATTTTATTGTTTCATTAGATCACTATATACTTTTAATTAAACCGGCGTTAAGTTCTGGGGTATTTCAAATTCTTGGACCAAGCTTATCGGCATTTCACTTGTGGGTACATATAGTACATATACGCAAAGAAGTCAGATTGAGAGGCTGGTTACTCTTAACTTCTAATAGATATGACTCGATTTCTCAAATATTGCAAGATTTTATTGAATTCAAAATTTCTTTAAAATTTTGTAAAATATTGCAAAAATGACTCTCTTCGAACAGCATTATTGATTAGACACTTGAAACATATATTTAGTCTAAAAAACAAATCTAAGTTACCTATGATTTGTGATCATTCACATCTATCATCTTTTACATAGGCTCTATTTTTGTTGCATATTGAATCGTCTTGCAGTGTCCTATCTCACTTTGGTTAATACTGATGAAGCATTATAGATTTTATTAACTTGCATACTGCCTATATACATAAGTTATAGCGAATTTTGTCGGAACTACAATTTATCCGAAATGGTAGCAAAATTCACCCGAAAATTTAACGACAATTGTAAACTAAAACAACAGCCATATACAAAACAAAGGAACAAAAGTATTTACAAGCTTAAGAACAATACAAGGCATTGTAAGTATTCTTAAACGTGCTCAAATTTTGCCCTCTTTAATAACATGATTTCTCGTAGTTTATGTAGTTTATGTTCTTCAAGTGGCCGTAAATCTTTACAGAAAATGCCAGGCAAAAGGTTTCTTTCATTCATCTAGCTTACAAATTGGCTTACTAACTTTGCTAAAACAACCTTTTGTATTTAAAGCTTGTTAAAATCTTTTTCAAATTAACAATAGACTTACAATAGACTTCAATAGCGCGAATGCCATGATGTCGATTAATATAAGCTGAGTTTCAACCCTACTCCAAAGAGTTTAAGCTCGACTCTCTTCCCCTAATTCTAGCATACTGTTACAAATCGGAGCTCATATTCATGCACCATCGAAAATTTTAGATTTCAATTTTAAGTAAAAAATAATATGATCTAAACGAAGAAATTAAACAATACCAATGAAAAAATATATATATACGATTATAATAAATGGCTATAAAAATTTTTCGAAATTTTTCTTTATTTACCATCCATCATCATGAAACCAGTTATATTAACTATTCCAATAGTGTTTTTAATTGTTTTACATGAATTGTTTGAAAATTGGTTACCAGGGCATTATACATTTGATACAAATGTTTTACAATCATTAGTTGATCAAACATTAGCTGCTAATCACAATAATAATGCAACTGAAATCATGATTGATTTAAGTTCAAGATTAAAACAAGTATATCCAACGTTAATTAATGATTTAAATTTTGATGAATGGGTATATAATAATGCAGGTGGTGCAATGGGTACAATGTTTATTTTGCATGCCTCAGTTACTGAATATTTAATATTCTTTGGAACTTCAACTGGTACTGAAGGTCATACTGGAGTTCATTGGGCAAATGATTATTTTTATATTTTAACAGGTGAAGAAAGAGCTTCATTACCTAATGCACAAGAACCTGAAATTTATAAACCTGGTAATTGTCATCATTTGAAAAAGGGAGAAGCTAAACAATATTCAATGCCTCCTGAATCATTTGCATTAGAATTAGCTCAAGGTTGGATTCCTGCAATGTTACCATTCGGATTTATAAAAACATTGACTTCTACATTGGATTTCAAGACATTTTATTTAACATGTTATTATACTGGAAGAGATATGATTAGACATCTAAAGAACGGTAAGTTGTAAATTTTCATATTTAAGCTTTTAATGTGTAGAAGGTTAAAAATTAAAAAAACGCGTAAACTAACTGACAACACAATAACATATTCTATATATTGAATTAGCGTAGATCTAATTACTAAATTGGTTGATCTAGATTATAGTTAAATTATAGGATATTTGAATATATAGTCTACTCTTTTACTTTCCTAAAATCGACCAAATCGATGTATTTTTCAGACCCTTCGATATACTACCGATCTCAGGCGATTTAAAGAACAACTAGGAAATCTACAGCTACTTCTACATCAAATGTACATCTTGTCATCTTATCAATCTCTCAAACTCGCCTAATCCATATCGATTTCCTTTATTTAGTTGTACACGGTTTTGTAAATCACATTCAATTTCCTAAATTGATAAAAATTATTTTCATCAAATAATTTTTTTTTTTTTTTTTTTTTTCTCTTTGATCTACTAAAAAACAAACAACTACAACAACATCAACATTGATAATGGAACTGTTAACAAAGGGTACCAAATTATGGTACCCAAATCAAAATGATGGTTTCACTCCAACATCTATAAAATCAATTAAACAAGTAGATGATAAGTATCATGTTGAATTACAATCTGAAAACGATGATACAATTTATACCATGGAAATTAATGGTATTGATGATGTTCAATTTAGAAATCCTTTAGGTATGGATGCTTCTGAGGATTTAACAAGTTTATCATTTTTAAATGAAGCAAGTATTTTACATTCTATTAAAGTCAGATTTCAGCAATTAAATATTTACACATATTCTGGTATAGTTTTAATTGCCACTAATCCTTTTCAATCAGTTGATTCTTTATATAGTCCAGATATGGTACAAGCATATTCAGGTAAAGCAAAAGGAGAATTAGAACCACATTTATTTGCAATTGCTGAAGATGCTTACGCATCAATGAAATCAAATGGTGAAAATCAAACTATAATTGTTTCTGGTGAATCAGGTGCAGGTAAAACAGTTTCTGCTAAATTTATAATGAGATATTTTGCTTCAGTTGAAGAAGAATCTGAATTGGAGCAAAATTTAGGTACTAGCCACAAATCAGATATGTCGGAAGTTGAAACTCAAATATTAGCAACAAATCCAATTTTGGAATCTTTTGGTAATGCAAAAACTACAAGAAATGATAATTCATCAAGATTTGGTAAATATTTAGAAATTTTATTTGATAACGAAACTTCAATTATTGGTGCTAGAATAAGAACTTATTTATTAGAAAGATCAAGATTAGTATTTCAACCACAAACTGAAAGAAATTATCATATTTTTTATCAATTATTAGCTGGATTAGAACCTGAAACAAAGAAGAAATTAAATTTATTAACTGCTGATGATTATAAATATACAAATCAAGGTGGTATGTCTAAAATTGAAGGTGTTGATGATGCAAAAGATTTCTACATAACAAGAGATTCTTTAGAATTGATTGGAATAGATTTGAAAAAACAATTGGAAATTTATAAAATATTAGCTGCATTATTACACATTGGTAATATTGAAATTGCACCAACAAGAAATTCAGCAAATTTATCAAGTGATGAACCAAATTTAGTTAAAGCTTGTGAATTATTAGGTATTGATCCAGTCTTGTTTGCCAAATGGTGTGTTAAAAAGCAAATTACAACAAGATCTGAAAAAATTACTAGTGATTTGAATCATAAACAAGCTGTAGTTGCAAGAGATTCATTTGCTAAATATATTTATTCTGCATTATTTGATTGGTTAGTTGATTATGTCAATAGTGATTTATGTCCTGATGAAGTTGCAGCAAAAGTAAAATCTTTTATTGGTGTTTTAGATATTTATGGTTTTGAACATTTTGATAAAAATTCATTTGAACAATTTTGTATTAATTATGCTAATGAAAAATTACAACAAGAATTTAATCAACATGTTTTTAAATTAGAACAAGAAGAATATATAAAAGAACAAATTGAATGGAGTTTTATAGATTTTGCTGATAATCAACCATGTATTGATTTAATTGAAAATAGATTAGGTATACTAGCATTATTAGATGAAGAATCAAGATTACCATCAGGTAATGATGTATCGTGGATTGAAAAAATGTATCAAAATTTAAGTAAAGCTCCAACTGATAAGGTTTTTAAAAAACCAAGATTTGGTCAAACTAAATTTGTTGTTAGTCATTATGCATTAGATGTTACTTATGATATGGATGGTTTTATAGAAAAAAATAGAGATACTGTTGGTGAAGGACATTTAGATGTTATGAAAAATACAACTAATCCATTACTTAAATCTATTTTGGATATAATTGATAAAAATTCAGCAACTGTAGAACCCAAACCAGGTAAAATTGCCAATAAAAAGCCAACATTAGGTTCAATGTTTAAAAATTCACTTATTGAATTGATGAAGACTATAAATTCAACAAATGTTCATTATATAAGATGTATTAAACCAAATGAAGAAAAGAAAGCTTGGGAATTTAATTCATTAATGGTTTTATCACAATTAAGAGCATGTGGTGTTTTAGAAACTATTAGAATATCTTGTGCTGGTTTCCCTTCAAGATGGACATATGTTGAATTTGCTGATAGGTATCATATATTAGTTCCTTCAAATGATTGGATTAAAGTTATGTCAGGAGAAACAACTCAAGAATCTGTTAGTGAATTGTGTAATCAAATATTAACCAGAAATATTCAAGATAAACAAAAATATCAATTAGGTAATAGTAAAATTTTCTTTAAAGCTGGTATGTTGGCATATTTTGAAAAATTAAGATCTGATAAATTATATCAATCAGCTGTAATGATTCAAAAGAATATGAGAAGAAGATTTTATAGAAAGAAATATATTGAAACAAGAAATTCACATATTAAATTACAAGGTTTGATACGTGGTTATATAAAGAGAAGACAAGTTAAAGAAGCACAAGAAAAAGAAGCTGCAACTTTAATCCAAACATCTATAAGAGGTTATTTAGCAAGAAAGCAATATGCAGATACATTAAATTCAGTTATAATATTACAAAAATCAATAAGAGGCTTGCAAGCAAGAAAGAATTTTGCATCATTACGTACTGAAAAATCAGTAACTACTATCCAAAAATCAATTAGAGGTTATCAAGCACGAAAAGATTTTAATAAAACTAGAAATTCAGCTGTTATTATACAGTCTGCATTTAGAAGACAATATGCTATACGAGAATTGAAACAATTAAAAGTTGAAGCCAAATCTGTTAATAAATTAAAAGAAGTTTCATATAAATTGGAAAATAAAGTTATTGATTTAACTCAATCATTAACCGCTAAAATACAAGATAATAAAAAATTAATGGAAGAAATTACCAATTTAAAAGCTTTATTAGAACAACAAGGTCAAGCTCATGAAACTTTAAAATCTAAAGAAGTTGAATTTAATGAACGTTTTGATTCTAAAAATGTTGAACATCAACATGAAGTTGAAAAATTAAATCAAGAATTGGCTGCTATTAAATCTGAATATGCATCTGCTGAAGCTAAAATACAACAATTATCAAAAGAACAAGCTGAATTAAAACAAGAAGTACAAAGAAATATTGAAGAATTAAATCAAACCAAGAATGATTTAGTTAAACGTGATACAATTGAAGTTGATTTGAAAACTCATATTGAACAATTAAAATCAGAATTGGCACAATTACAAAAGAATGGTACATTACCAAAACAAAAAAGTGTTAGTAAACGTCATAGTAGTGCATTGGCATGGAATAATCAACCAATTGATAATAATGCAAGACCAGTTTCAGTTATTGCTGTTTCAAATGATGATGAATCTAATATTGATGATATTAATGATGAATTATTTAAATTATTAAGAGATTCTCGTCAATTACATAGAGAAATTGTTGAAGGTTTATTAAAAGGTTTGAAGATTCCACCAGCTGGTGTTGCAGCAGATTTAACAAGAAAAGAAGTTTTATTCCCATCAAGAATTATAATTATAATATTATCTGATATGTGGAGATTAGGTTTAACTAAAGAATCTGAAGATTTTCTTGGTGAAGTATTATCATCAATTCAAATTATTGTTTCATCATTAAAAGATGATGATGTTATACCCCATGGTGCATTTTGGTTGTCAAATACTCATGAATTATATTCATTTGTTTCATATGCTCAACATACAATTTTACAGAATGATACTTTATCTCATGAAATGAGCAAAGAAGAATTTGATGAATATTTAAAATTAGTTGCTGTTGTTAAAGAAGATTTTGAATCATTATCATACAATATTTATAATATGTGGATGAAAAAAATGGAAAAAGATCTAGAGAAAAAAGCAGTTTCAGCAGTTGTTTTATCACAATCATTACCTGGTTTTATGGCACCTGAAAATTCACCATTTTTAGCAAAAGTATTTTCACAAGGTGTTCAATATAAAATGGATGATATTTTAAGTTTTTTCAACTCAGTTTATTGGTCAATGAAATCATATTTTATTGAAGTTGAAGTTATAAATGCAGTTATAATTGAATTATTAAGATTTGTTGATGCATTATGTTTTAATGATTTAATAATGAGAAGAAACTTTTTATCATGGAAAAGAGGTTTACAATTAAATTATAATGTTACAAGATTAGAAGAATGGTGTAAAGGTCATGATATAGAAGAAGGTTCAGCATATTTAAATCATTTATTACAAGCTGCAAAATTATTACAATTACGTAAAAATACTCCAGAAGATATAAGTATTATATATGAAATTTGTTATGCATTAAAACCAATTCAAATTCAAAAATTAATTTCACAATATTATGTTGCTGATTATGAAACTCCAATTGCACCAAATGTTTTACAAGTAGTTGCTGATAGAGTTAAACAAAGTGATTCTAATAATGCCGATGATTTATTTGAATTAGTACTGACTGATGGTCATTTTAATGATCCATTTAGAAATATTGATTTAAGACCTTTTTCAAGAGTTGAAGCTTATGTACCTGCTTGGTTAAATTTACCTGTAATTAGAAGAATTGTTGAATTAGTTGCTAAAAATGCATCTGTTCAAGAAGAGTAGACATAATTAATATATATTTTCATGTATTCGGAAACTATTCACTTTTTGTTTTCATTTGTAATGCATGGACTCCATGTATATTTATTTCATCATCCAATAAATTGTAAACTAGTCTATGTCTATTTGGCATTGTAATACCTTTAAATTTATCACTCACTATTTCTATTCTAAAATGTGATTCTGTTTTATTTGAAGCACCTCGAATACCAGCATGATGTGCATGTTTATGTGAATCGTTTACAATTTTTAAATAAGAAGGTTGAAATTCTTTTGTTACTTTTTCTATTATTGATAATTCAATCGGTCCTGGATTTTCAGATTTGATTACATTTGTAGACATGGTTAGAAATCGTTTAAACATTGGAAATTCTGAAACATTTTTTTTTTAACGATAATTTACCGCGCTGAGTGTCGCATTGAAGCTAGTCTAAAATGTTTGTCGAAAACTGTCTTCTGCACGACAACTTGGGCGATCGTTGTCTCGCATCAAGAATTTTGAATTTGAAACAAATTGGCTTATATGCAATCCTCTCATAGTAAATCTTAAAACTTAATTTGCGAATAGGTCCCTCAAATATTTCACCAATTCTTTTCAAACTTAATTGATCAACATATCTAACCAAGTTCAATGGTATAAATGCTTGTATTTTTGAATTAGTTCTAAATTTGATGATTTCATTCCTTATTCAAAAAATGCAACAAGACGTTAAATTGCAAAATAATCCATTCTTAGACATCATTTGGCAACTTCTAACATAGCTGATTGGCTCATTCAGCTTTAAATCTCTGTACCACAATAGTCTCAAGAGGCCAGAATCATTTTGAAATTTTTTCAAAATTTTGGAACCGCTTTTGAAAAATCGCTTTTCCAATTTTCAATATCTTGACGCAAAAAAATCCGAGGTTTGTCAGCTTACAGGAACTACAAATGTTAGTACTTTAATTATATTTTTTGTTAATATTTGGATTGTGGAGTTGCGCTTTTCGTAAGGTCGGTTCATTGGATTTTTTTGATAGTTAAGAGAAAATTTTTAGTCCAGATCATCTAAAATCTAGTTCGGCACCTTAATTGGGTGAACAATATGTATAAATCGTTACTAAATTGAGCATTGTGGCCATAAATAAAACAAACTCTGCGTTTTCAGTTTTAGTAAATTTTTTGTATGATGAAAAATAGCCCAAATGACAACTCAAAAAAAAAAATGTTCGAAATCTGAGGATTTAAATATGTAAGATATACGAATAATGGCTTCCGATTTGATATAAATAGTATGTATCTAGAGAAAATGTTTTGTTCATGACTTATGAACCAATACATTTAGTACGAGCCGTTCCAAACCTAGCACGAAAAATCATTTTGTCACCCGAAGTATACTGCAAAAAAAAATAATACTTTGAGACTGCATATAAATTAATACAACCTAAAATTATATTGTAGAGTAAGCATTTTTTGGCGAGATAATTTAGCGCTAAGACATGATCTCTCGTGCTAGCAGAGGCGATTTATCAAAGCGGATTCGCAACCATTACAATCAATAAATGCTTAAATAGAATTCGTAGAGTAAAAACCACATTTGTAAAATTGCTTGATCAACAAAAGTGATTATCCTAGAAGTTTAACATTTAGGCGAAATTATTTTTTAGTAATATTCACAACTTAGTAAATTTTCAGTCGTTAGTATCCTAGATCTTTCACTTACAAATAAGTGTCTTACTATTAGCAAAGGTCTAAAGTTTAAATTTTAAATGTCAAGCATGAAATTAGATAAGAATAAAATTTACGTAATTTCTTGAATCTAATTGTTCTGAGTTATATTATGAAAATGTGATTTTGATTACATCTAGCCACAAATTACTTTTGAATTATCACATCCCTATCAAAGCGAAGATTACAAAAATTAAAATATGTTAGATCTTTCAGATATCAAATATGAGATCTAACATTTTAGATTTTAAATCCTAGATTCATATAACTACATGAGCTTAAACCCACTCAACAGTTTTATAACACCTACATCTCTATAATCTCAAAGATCTTGCATCCAAAACATCCAATTAAATCGTATACAATTTGATTAATTATTGTTTTCCCTTCCTGCGTATTGGACTAAATATTATTTAATCTCTGCCACCACAGTTTGGTCAAATTTTTTCGCAACCACAATATCGATTACATTCTTAGCGAACCGATCCAGATGTGAAGTATTGTGAATAACTGAAACTGACTAAATTAACAGCTGTGATTATCAAGATTCAAGTGCAGATATATATATATGTACCTATGCATAAAGTTTCCGTTCTCAAAATCTTATCACAAAACTACAGAAAAATCTCCTGATTATTGCAATAAAATCATGTCAGATAAACCAGTTATATTATTGAATCAAGCAAGTGGTTATGGTGTCCTAGTTGGGGTCGGTGCCTTATTTGCAATTGGGATGATTACAACTACATTTTTATTGAAAAGATATTTGCGCGAAGATGCGCACAATACGGAAACCTTTTCAGTTGCAAATAGAAATGTTGGAACATTTTTAACAGCTTCCGCTGTGTATTCTTCGTGGCTGTGGGCCACGGAATTATTACTTTTAAGTAGAAAACTATTGTCTTCAGTATGAATATTGAAAGTTTTGTTGATTTTAATTTGCATCAATCTTGATGATTTCGCAAATTTTGCTCACAGAAAAATAAATTTTTTGCGCGCGCGCAATAATAAAAAAAACTGATATATTAGAAACTGAATATTTAATGGATTTCATACTAACAGATGCTTTTAGGTAGCTTCAATGGTGTATAACTATGGTATAACTGCTGCTTACTTTTATGGAGCTGGTTTAACCATTCAGATTGCAGTTTTGACTATGATTGGAAGTCATGCAAAGAAAAAAGTTAGAAGTGCCCATACTTCGTTAGAAATTGTTGAATTAAGATATGGTAAGGCACATCATATATTATATTTATTTTTATGTTTAGCCAATAATTTGTTATCTTGTTCAGCTATGATTTTAGGTGCAAGTTCAGCTATTTCAATTATTGCTGGTAATTTACATCCAGTAGCTTCAACATTGTTAATTCCATTTGGTGTACTATTATATACGACTTACGGTGGTTTGAAAGCTACATTTTTAACTGATTTTGTTCATACATTGATTTTATTAATTATCTTATGTTATTTAAATACTGCAGTTTTATCAAATGATAAAATCGGTGGATTAAATGGATTATATGATAAATTAGTATCATTTGATTTAAGTAAAATAAGACCAATTGAAGGTAATTTTGATGGATCTGTCATTACAGGTAAATCTCAAGGTGCTATTTTCTTCGGTTTAATTTTAACTGCTGGTAATTTTGGTTTATCAGTTATGGATTCATCATTTTGGCAAAAATCATTTTCTGCAAGTCCAAAAGCAACTGTACCAGGATACTTAACAGCAGCAGTTTTAATTTTTAGTAATGTCTGGGGTTTAGGTTCTATTATTGGTGGTGGTTCAATTGTTTTAGAAAATACACCAGATTGGCCAACATATCCAAGAGCTTTAACTAATTATGAAATTGCTTCTGGTTTTACATTACCATATACTTTGAAAACAGTTTTAGGAGATGGTGCAGTAGGTGCATTTTTATTAGTTATTTATTTAGCAGTTACATCAACGGTTTCTGCACAATTAATTTCAGTTTCATCAATTTTATCATTTGATATTTATAAGAAATATTTAAATCCAAAAGCTCAAAATAAATCATTAATTAGAGTTTCACATTATAGTTGTATTTTCTTTGCTTTATTCAGTGCTGGTTTCACTATTATGTTACATTATGTTAATGTTGATATGACTTGGTATACTTATTTTTATCCATTAATTATATGTCCTGGCGTTATACCATTAATTTTCACAATTACTTGGGATGGACAAACAAGCTTAGCAGCTTTTGTATCTCCAATTTTAGGTTTAATATTTGGTATCGTTGTTTGGACAACTACTGCTTATCATTATTCTGATGAAGTTACAATTACATCATTAGGTGGTCAATTACCTGCATTATTTGGATCATTAACTGCGTTATTATTACCGGGATTATCATCTATTATAATTTCATTAGTATATCCAAAGAAATTTGATTGGAATAAATTGAGTAAAGTTGATTTATTAATTAAACAGGAAAATGATGAAAACAATGAGATTGTACAAAGTTCAGATAATTCAATTGAAAAGAATGAACAAACTGAAGTTAAAGTTAATGAACAATCTGGTCAATCATCGGTTGATGATGTTGAGGAAAATCATTTATCAATAGATGAAGAAAAACAAGTTGAAAATTTACCACAGGGTCAATTAACTGAAAAGGAATTAGATTTTTGGATCAAAGTTAGTACTGGTGCTTCTATATTTTTATTATTATTAACATGGGTTTTATGGCCAATGCCATTGTATAGAGATTGGATTTTTTCAAGAGCTTATTTTGGCGGATTTGTTACAATGGGTTTAGTTTGGGTATATGCTGCTTTATTGATTATAGGTATAGGACCGATTATATCTGGAAGAAAATCAATTGCTAAAGTATTTAAAGGTGTATATAATGATTTGTTCAATAGGAAATAAATTAATTAATGTTTTTTTAATAGCAGGTTAAAAGGTTAAAAGAATGTACTACAATCTCTTTTTGAAACAATAAATAGCTCTAAAATTGCCTTATCGCTCTAAGGTCGTACTGCTCAAATTTTGTGTCGCTTTGTTGCCAAACGACGGTACCATATACTTATACGACCTGTCATAATTTATTAAATTTTGATTGACAAGTTGTTCATACAATTCAACACTTGAACCGAATTGTAATCTCAACAGGATATTACTCTCAAATGTATCTTATTTCGTAATTCTCAAATTTATGTCAGTTATGTTTCAGAAATTTTCAAAAATCACAATCTAGGTTCACCCAAAACAAAAATATTCAATCAAATGTTCAATTAAATGCAATCAATATCTCATTATACATTATGCGTCAGAAAATATAGATTTAATATCCGAAATCAATGAATTAAGGTCGCTGAATATTTATATTCAAGATAAATTAAATGAAACTAAAAACAAAGCAATTAAGTGTAAAACTACATCAAGATAAACAAAGTTATTATGTAACTATTTCACATAAACAATTTCAGAAAGAAAAAATAATAATAAAAGACGAAGAGAAGGAGGATGACTATGATGAAGAAAACGAAAACGATGAAGATGATGATTACAAAGAAAATGGAAAAGGTAATATAGTCAATTTGATTCTGATGAAGAAGATCAACCATTACAACAGTTGCATAATCCAAAGCGGCAGAAAAGTCAACAACCACAAACCAAACAACATCACCTTCACAAATGTCACCACAACAAAATATTGATGAACTACAGGTTGAACTAGATCATGAAAGAAGAGCAAGTTGGTTGTCCAGCTTGTTTTAGAGTTGTTAAATTTAGTACAGAAGACACTTTCTAATTCACAAAGATCCTGCATTTGGTAGCCATTTATGTGATCGAAAATTTAGAAGAAAGGATTATTTAAAGAAGCATTTGATTAATGATCATGATTTCTTATAGTCAAATATATAATGATTACCATATAATTATGACTTATTTTGACTTCAATGATAGTTTATAGCTACAATGATCCTATTAATGAGTTTTTAAAAAATGTCTCAGATTTAAACTCAATGTAGTTTAGACGAACTTTAGTAATATGCTTCCTAAAATAAGCCTTGATTAGAAATAATCAGAAATAAGCTTTTAAGACAATAAACTACTCAATTGGTTAAGACTGGTAAAGACGGATATGGGTAGCTGTGGAAGTTTTATCTAGTCATTTTAAGGTTTAATCTGGTTTGTATCTAACTAATTGTTTAATCTACGATGTGATGGAATCCTTGATTTGAAATCTTAATTATATTGCATAGCTTCTAGGCCGTCAGATTTTGGTCGAAACTTTTGTTTTACTCGTCCATTTCTCGTCTTAAGTTCAGTACCCAACCCTTCAAAAAATAAATGGAGGTAGTGTAGTTTTGATTAACCCCATATTTCACTAAAACTCCGAAGATAATGTCCGATAAAATTTCCTGAAATACTGTTACACTGCACTACATATTAAAATTATCAAACTAAAATGAAAAAAATTTTCTAGGCAAAACAAAAAATTGTTGAACATTTATTCAAAAGATGTATAGAATCATCATATAATTATTACATGAAATGAGCTGAAGTGATATAATGCTAATCTAAGAGTTGAACCTTAATATGAATGTATCAGATGACATTTTATTATAATTGTATAGATATATTACTAATGTAATTCGTATTTTAAAATACACAAACTTATATATTAATAAATGCAAGTCAATGCCAAATTTCTGTTCCTTTGTCGATTAATATAATAATAGTAGTAATTTTAAAACGGCCAATTGTTGTTCATGAAATAATAAATATTAAACATACAAAATAGAACCCTGAGTGGTAAAAAAAATTGCCCCTCCAGATGGCTCCTCTATGATTCATGCATTACATTAAATGTGGAAACAAAGTTCGACTTCTGATTCTTTTCAATTCGCGTTTATTTAGTAAATTTGATTTGTTGAAAAAGTCAAATTTTATAATTTTCAAACGTACGATATTTTGTTTGTTAATATTTTTTGCAACCAGGAGATATAGTTCTACATTTACAAACATAATTACGTCTTCTCGCCACGAGGCTACATAAACTAATTCCTCTAATAATTCCTTAAATATTTCGTGATAAATGATTAATTTGAAAATTGTTGAGCTCGGTAACAATGTATAAAGTTTCATGCAATTATGTCATTTTAAATTATAATAGATTAAAATGCTTACTGACTTAAAATGTTGATCAAAAGACTGTATCACAAAAGTAAGAGAAGAGATTCAGTCAACATCGATTATTTATCTTGAAACTATTTCGTCTATAAAATTTTGTTCGTCTGCTTTATCGCTCACAGTATAACTCTATTTTTTAATAAAAGGTTTCGATTGAATCGGTATAATAATCTTATTATAATTGAAATAAATGACACAATTATGCACAAATTGAAACTAAAAACGACTAAAAATAAAATTAAACTAAGCAAATTTTCCGACATTTTTTTTAATTTTTATTTTCTTTATTTTTGAAATCTGGGGAAATTTTAAAATTGATTTCTCTGAAATTTGAGAGTTATAGAGTTTGAAATTATTCAAGGATAAATCTATTAACATTAGTCAAACTGATACGTTCGATCTTAAACTGGTAATAAGACAAAACTGGTTTCTCTGGGTTTCTCTTTGTTTAATTAGTCTTTCAATGTATATAGTAGTAAAAAATATGTACCTAAAGTTTATCTAATCCAATAGGAACTAAAAGATTATTATAAGTCATATTAATGTCTGAACGTATTACTCAAATAGTTAATTGTGCTGCAGTAATATAAGCCTAAATAGGATAATAATACTTTATATAATACAATGCGTTTTTTTCTTTTTTTTTTTTTATTTTTTATTTTTTTTTTTTTTTTTTTTTTTTTCTAAGAATAATAAAAAATTATTCTTAAGAGTACAACTTTACAACAAGTTTTTAAATTACTATTCCTTATCCATTTATCTTATTTATTATTCATTCCTTTATTAATTGCTGCTCATGATAAATAGTATGGATCTTTCTTTAAGTTCTTCAACTGGTTCAATAACAACTACTACTCAAGCTTTAAATTTACAACCACAACCAATACCAAAGAAATCTCAACAAATTAGAACGGATAAACCAAGACCTCATATTTGTCAAGTTTGTACAAGAGCTTTTGCTAGATTAGAACATTTGAAAAGACATGAAAGAGCTCATACTAATGAAAAACCTTATCAATGTGCTGCTTGTGGTAGGTGCTTTGCAAGAAGAGATTTAGTTTTAAGACATCAACAAAAATTACATTCTGATTTACCAAATATAATGAGAAGAAATCTGAGTAAAGATGGTGATATAAATGAAAATATAAATGTTTTACATAATAATACTGATCCAAATGCTCCCTTACCAAATAATTCAACTCCAATTTCATTATCAAATTCTGAACTGGATAATAAACCTAAGTTTAAAACTAGTTTATTTGGGGAAATCGATACTAGCGATGATTCTCAAATTACTTTACATTCTTCAAATCATAAAAATTCGGTAAGTTTTAAAAAGGGAAATAGTAGAAGAAATTCAAAACAAGTACAACAACCAAGTCCGGATTCTGATACTCCAAAGAGAAAAAAATCGAAAACATCTCCACCATCAACTGCACCAGCTATAAATCCTTTAAATTATCGACATGTTTCATATTCTGCTGCTTCTGGTGTTTGTTATTCAGGTAATAATGAAAATGCTAATCCAGCGCCAATGGTGGATTTTGCCACGCCACCACTCGGTCCTATGAGTGAAGATTATAATAAAATCTTAGAAATGGGTGGTTTATTAGAATGGGGTGGTGCTATGGGTAATAATATTGAACCATTAGATTTAAATGATGATAAATTGGCAATTAGACAAAAATCATTAAAGAATTTACATGACTTCTTTACTGATAATATGAAACAAAAGGCGAATATAATGCATCAACCACAACATTTAACATCTACAACTATGCAACATTCAAATAGTTTACCAGCTTCAGCCGTACCACCGTTAGATAGATTTGAATTTACTTTGCATCAACCAGATTTAAATTTTATAAATCAATTTAAAAGTGCAGATATTAAACGAGAAGATCAACCTTCAAAATCTCCACATTCATCCACTGGTTCAATTAATCCACAACAATTAAACAATAACCCAAAAAATACAGTTATAAATGGAAATCACGGTATGCCAGTTTCTGTATCAAATAATGACAATGATTGGATTAGAGATTTAGTATTTCCACCATTTGATTTAAATTTTAGCAGTTACACTAGTCATGAAGATTTAAGAGGTTTTTATGGAAGTTCATCTTTATTACATGACACATTTAGACGTGATACTGCTACATTCTTTATTAATGAACCATCATTGTATAATAAAAAATTAAGAGATGATATAATATCAATTTCCAACATTAATGAAGCTGAATTTCCTTCATTAGAAGCATTGAATAAATATGTAAAGTTATATGAAGTGAATTTCCATTCCAATTTTAGTTTTATCCACTTAAGTTCGATTAGGAATGCAAATAGTAATGGTATTATTCCTTTATTATTAGCAATTGCATCAATTGGAGCGCTTTATGCTTATAATGATACAGATACTTTAATATTATTCAATTTATCCAAATATCACATACAAAATTTTTTTGAAAAACAAATTACTTTTGATAATTTACAATTTAAAAAAGTTCCGATCATGGCTCATCAATGTTTATTATTACATATTTATATAAGTTTATTTTTAAATGAAGTTAACATGGTAGATATTATACAACGACAAATAAAATCAATGTATGGATTAATTAAATCAACAAATTTTGATCAACCTTTAGAACAATTGATTATTTCACCAAGAGATGAAAAAATGGTCCAAAATAATTTTGATTTCTTCATTATGGCTCAAAGTAGAATTAGAACATTGAGATGTTTTCAATTTATACTGGGTTTTATATCAACTATTTTAGATTTACCTTTAATACTTAATTCATCAATGATTTATGGAAAATTTGGTGATGAAGAACTTTGGAATTGTGAAAATAGTCAAAAATGGTATTCAAGAATAAAATCTACAACTACTCAACCTTTCAATTTAATTGAAATAAGTAATGGAATTGAAACAACACCAAATGAACTATTTACACTAGTTAGATTTTTTGAAGATTTGAAACCATTTGAAAATTTAAGTTTTATTCAATTTAATACAACAAAAAGACAATTAATTGAAACGGAGTTACTCAACTATGAATCAAGTTTTATGAACTCCAATGACAAGTTGATATTATCATTATATTATTTATTGAAAATTAAAATAGAAATAAATAATTCTGGTAGTAAATTAATTCATGCAATATTAAATAAAGATTGGATTACAATGAATAAAGAAATTAATTTATTACATTATAAAGAATCAAATTACGGAATTTTAACAAATTCATTTCCTTATGCAACTAAATTATTACAAAGTTATAATTATAATAATTATAATATTCCTGTATTTTATACTTTTGGTATATTTATTTCAATTTTAATAATATCTACATATTTAGATTTTATTGAAAAAAGTTTGATGAGTAAAGATATTTCAAATTTTGAATTGATTAATTATATAAAATGTAATAATTTAATTCAAATGATGAAGAAAGAAACTGATGTAATTGGAAGTGGTAAATTGGTTAGTTTATCAATGGAAAGAGAAAAAATAGATGATTTAATTGCTAATGATATTGATTCAGGCGCTAATCAGGTAAAGGCTCAACAATTGAATGGACATTTGAAAGGTGAGATTTTAAATTTGAAATTATCTAGTAAAGTTTTAAATTTTGGTGTTGATTTAATGAATGGATTTTGGTGGCCTATTGCTGTTGGATTTGCCGAAGGATTAAAGAATAGATCAACTTAGGTTTACGATGATGTAATGATGATGTTAATGAATTATTTATTTATATACGATATTATAAAATATAGATTTTAATTATTTGCATAACTTCTGTTAATTGACCTAAAATGTACCAACGCTTGTCTCATCAGTGTTCTTTATGACCAAATCAAATCAATAGATTTTCAAAATCAACTGTAAACTGAATATATGTCATAAACCAAGCAGCAAGAGTAGGAACATATCTTTATAAATTGCTATTTGACAATTATCACCTGTTTGATCTGGTTGCACAAACGATTTCAAAGGTTATTCTAATTCTTTACCATTAAGTGAAATAGTAAAAGTTATCCCTTCTAAAGCATCACAATTAAAATTATCAAGAGCATTAATCCACCTAAAGCATCTATAACTTCTGAATAAATAGGATCAGGTAAATATCCTGGTTATAGCCAGTATCAATTGCTTTAACTAAGTCAACATTAATTTTCTCACCATTTATGACAATATAATCAAATTGAGCTTCAAATTGTAACAGTTGATTAGTATAGGTGACCAACTGAATTCACCACCTAATTTTGCTTTATTATAACCACCTAAATAAAATTTACCACCTCCAAAATCCTTATCACCCAAATACAATGAATGCATTGGTTTATTAATGAATCCTTGTTTATAAGTATTGTAAGCAAGATTGTAATTCTGTTGAATTGAAAGGTCCAATACCAATTATACTTACCAATTATACCTACAATCCAACGTTTAACGTCAGTATCATCAATAAATGGGAATTCTTTTAATTAATGTTACATCTCCAATTGTAAAATTATCAGTAACATATTCACCAGTAATATGAGTAGCACCATCATAACCATAATCAGTGGTTACTAATAACCTCAAGTGATTCATTTAATTCCAAAGAGCCAAATTATCAATAATATATTTTTAATTTATTTACTTCTATATTTATGCTATTGAATCTCTTAATATTCTTGCAACTTCTGGATAAGTAAACCATTCAGGTATTTCACCACCAGTTCTTAATCTATGTCTTAATTCAGTACCTGAAATATTTAAAGTTTTAACTTTTGAAGTATCAATTTCATCAATTGGTGCATATCTATCTTCATCAGGTAAATAAGTAACCATTCTAAATGGAACAATTTTAATTTCTAATTCATCTTCATATTTCTTCAATAATTCTTGTGCATCATAAGGACCATAAAAATCAACACCTTTTGAATTTTTACCAGGACCAGCATGATCTCTACCAACAATAAAATGATCAACACCATAATTTGTTCTAATTAACGCATGCCATAAAGCTTCTCTATCACCACCCATTCTCATAGCTAAAGGTAATAAAGAAATTGTCGCTAAACCTTTTGGATATTTTTTAAGAATTTCCAAATAAACTTTAACTCTTGTATGATGATCAATATCTCCAGGTTTTGTCAAACCAACGACTGGATGAATTAATAAATGTGCTTCTTCACCTAAATCATTTGCCGCTCTAACTGTTAATTCTCTATGTGCTCTATGCATTGGATTTCTAGTTTGAAAAGCAACAATTTTCTTATTTGACCAACCTAATGATTCAAATTCTTTTCTTAATTCAGTTGGAGTTTTTCTTGATTCAATATAATCATGATGTTTTGGATAATTTATACCTTTTAATGAACCACCTAAATAATAATCATTAACATTTTCATTTAAATATTTAATTGATGGATGTTCTAAATCACCTCTAAATACTTTTTCAGCTTCATTTTGTTTATTTGGTTTATAAATTGATTCAATGTTTAAAATAGCTAACGGTTGATCATCTCTTAAATCAATTAAAACAACTTCATCACCAACTTTATAAGAATTTTCTCTTACATCTAAGGTTATAGGTATTGGCCATAACAATCCTTTACCGTCTTTACCTTTCTTGCCAGTTAATCTCATTTCTTCAACAACTGAATTATAGTCATCTTCATTTAAAAAACCATCTAATGGTGAAAATCCACCATTTAAGATTAATTCCAAATCACACAACTGACGTTCTGTTAATTTCAATTTTGGTAAATCTGCAATTTTATTCAATAAATCTTGTTTAATTGATTCATCTCGAATTATTAAGTCATTTAATTGACCACCGTGGGGAGTTGGAATCGGCATTTTTTGAAAAGAAAGTAAAGTTTTAAGTTATAAAAATTTAAATGTTAAAAATTTAAGTCAAATTGAATTAATTAATAATTCTTTGAAAAATTTATGTAAAATATCTTAAAAATTTCATCATTATTCATGATTATGGTATTTAAAATCATGTCGTAACTTGATTCATAGTATTGAATTAAAAATTTGTTAGTGTTTCAGAATTAACTATTGAAGTTTGGGTGCAAAACTGTGGATATTATCATTACACGTGAATCAATGCAAAATTATAACTATATAGAAATTGTATTGCTATTTTTGATTATGTAAGAAAAATAGTAGATCTTTTAATTTGATTTGCCTGCAAACTAACAAACCAAGAAAGTTGGAATGTTAAGAAATAATTGGTAAATGCTTAGATGCTGCTAATGTGCTTCGATTTGGTACAATTAGGGTTTAAAGTTTCAACTGTAGTTCGTGAGAAAGCTGTGTTGAAGTTGTGTGGCAGATTTGGCTAATTTATATTGTAGTTGCCAATTATTTCAAGAATGTGATTGTACTTAATCAATAACTAACGTTCGTTTTGCTTTACTATATGATGAAATGTGGTCGCCCCTGAATCTCATCTGTACTCAACAGTTTTGGTGAATTTTTTCAATGTAATGAGAGCATTATATGTTAATTTTCGTATCTCTAGAGTTGAAGTCACTTTTAACGATATCTTATGACATACCCATTCTTGGTTTGATCAAATCATACTCGTATGAAAAGCTATTGTAATTCATGGTGTACTAAATTAATTTCTCCGAAATAAATATAGTTATAAACAACTGTTGCAACTCATTAAAAAATGATGTTTTTGCCAAAGCACTATATTCAAAATATCTTTGATTTATTTAGAAATACGATAAAAAGAAACTATTTAGGCGAAATTTCGAAAACTTCGGCCGAGATAATGCAACAATAACAAAGAAATATTTTGCAGCAATTGCAATAATGTGGAAAAAATCAAGTATAATTTGAAAAAAATCAAAACAACCGTCCATTAATGTGCCTTAACTTCATCTTGATGACGTATGTATTGTCTCTTAAGCGTCCCAACAATATTGATAGTCAATCAAGTCACAAAATCGCTAATTTCAAGTCAAAATCTAAAACTTTCTCGAGATTCAAAATTTAATTGGCTGATATTTTTAAGTCCCCATAATGAATATCTACTACAAAAGTGGGGAAGAAGTAAAAAATTTACTGTCTATTATTGTTTTTATTAGGTAGCAACGTTGTGAGAAATTTGGGGGAATTTGGGGGATTTGGGGGTTAATGCGCTAAAAAATAAGACAATAACAAACAAACAAACTGGGTGTTAGGTGTTTTGAAATATCAAATTCCTCTCGAATTCATGAGAAACCAAGAACTTATCTTCAGGGAATGGAGATAATATAATTGGAACAAGTGAAGATTGCTGAAATGTAGATTATTACATTGATCAACTGAACCTTCTAAATTGTTAAGGCTAAATAAGAATTCTGATTATGCTTTAGTCCAGATTCTGGTTGTATAACTTTTTTTTTAATTTTTGCAACAAATAAGTTAATTGTTTGCACATGGAATTATGAGATCCGATATCGTCAATTACCGAATCAGGGACAAACGGGAAATCTCGATAAAAAATGAGACCTACAACTTTAAAAGCTACCTTTTAAAGAAGAAACAGATCTAAAGAGATTCTACATATATATATATAACCTCGTAGTCATATCCAATAGTGTGATACCATTTATCAAAAATAATTGTATAAAATTGTTGCAATTTCGAATGGAAACAAAAATATTAAAAAAATTATTTTGATTGATTAGTAAAAAATTATCAACAGTTTTGTAAAAATAGACATTTAAAATTTCTAACACCTAAGACTGTATATAGGAAAATACACTTCTGTGTATTGATGATTGATTGATGAAACTTGTGTTTAACTCGACTGATTGTTATTTCATAGTAACCTCATCAAATAACCCATGACATCAAAGATAATCATATATATCATCATATATAATGTTAAATCTACTGCAACAATATTAAAAGCGAGAATTCCACGTCGTTTAACTGAATCGTAGTATATAATATAATTAGTATGTAGTAGTGTTTTTTGTGCTATATAAAATATAATATTCAACAAAATTTCTCCTTTGCTATTTAAATTTAAATTTAAATTTTTATTATTTATATAAATTTATTTCAAATTTTCCATTTTTTTATATTACTCTCTTCTTTTTCGTAATTATCAATTCTATTTCGCATTAAGTTTGAGAATATCAATTGAGATAGTATAATAATATAAAATAACAATGTCAGAACAAAAGTATGTTTTAGAAAAAAGAAGAATTTGATCTACTCCGAAATCTTGAAATTAAAGCAAATAGTCAATTCGATTCAATTGAAGTCAAGTCAAGTCAATTCAATTGGTTTAACTATATCTCATTAATTATAGTTCCACTACAACGTTTCAATTTATCAATTTCATTCTATTTTCGTTCTGCTCGGTTTCTTTATTGCTACGAAAAAAATGGAAGCTGAGAAAAAATAGAAGTTCTATGTATAAATAAATTGCGTCCTGCCCACCCCACGAAATTTTTCAAAAGATCATAATTTTTATAGAATTTCTCCATATATGACTTCATCTGCTGTTTCGAGATTATCAGTGATATCAAATCATATAACTGGTAATAATACTAACAATGAATCTAGAGGTGATATCGGTTTAATCGGTTTAGCGGTTATGGGTCAAAATTTGATCTTAAACATGGCTGATCATGGTTACACAGTTGTTGCATACAACAGAACCACATCGAAAGTTGATCATTTCTTGGAAAATGAAGCTAAAGGTAAATCAATTCTTGGTGCTCATTCAATTAAAGAATTATGTGAAAAATTAAAAAGACCAAGAAGAATTATGTTATTAGTTAAAGCAGGTGCTCCTGTTGATTCATTTATTGATCAATTATTACCATACTTGGAAAAAGGTGATATTATTATTGATGGTGGTAACTCACATTTCCCAGATACAAATAGAAGATATGACGAATTACAAACAAAAGGTATTGAATTTGTTGGTTCAGGTGTTTCTGGTGGTGAAGAAGGTGCAAGAACAGGTCCTTCATTAATGCCAGGTGGTTCACAAGCTGCTTGGCCACACATTAAAAGCATTTTTCAAGATATTGCTGCTAAAACCGATGGTGAACCATGTTGTGATTGGGTCGGTCCTGCAGGAGCTGGTCATTACGTTAAAATGGTTCATAATGGTATTGAATATGGTGATATGCAATTAATTTGTGAAGCTTATGATATAATGAAAAGAATTGGTAAATTTTCCAATAAAGAAATGGGTGATGTTTTTGCTAAATGGAATAAAGGTGTTTTAGATTCATTTTTAGTTGAAATTACAAGAGATATTATGTATTTTAACGATCCAAATGATAACACTCCATTAGTTGAAAAAATTTTAGATACTGCTGGTCAAAAAGGTACTGGTAAATGGACTGCTGTTAATGCTTTAGATTTAGGTATTCCAGTTACATTAATTGGTGAAGCTGTTTTTGCAAGATGTTTATCAGCTATGAAACATGAAAGAGTTGAAGCTTCTAAAAAATTACAAGGTCCAGAAATTACTGGTGAATCACCAATTAAAGATAAAGAAGCATTTGTTGATGATTTAGAACAAGCTTTATATGCTTCAAAAATTATTTCATATACTCAAGGTTTTATGTTGATGAACCAAGCTGCAAAAGATTATAAATGGAAATTGAATAATGCAGGTATTGCTTTAATGTGGAGAGGTGGTTGTATTATTAGATCAGTCTTTTTAGGTGAAATTACTGCTGCTTATAAAGAAAATCCATTGTTGGAAAACTTGTTATTCCATCCATTCTTTGACAAAGCTATTATTAAAGCTCAAAAAGGTTGGAGATCAACTTTAGGTAAAGCTATTGAATATGGTATTCCAACTCCAGCATTTTCAACTGCTTTAGCTTTCTATGATGGTTTAAGATCAGAAAGATTACCAGCTAATTTATTACAAGCTCAAAGAGATTACTTTGGTGCTCATACTTTCCAAGTCTTACCAGGTAAAGAAAATGAATTATTACCAAAAGATAAATGGGTTCATATTAACTGGACCGGTAGAGGTGGTGACGTCTCTGCTTCAAGTTATGACGCTTAAATATAATTAAATTGAATATATATATATATTTTAGTCTATTGAACCTTTTGTACCCCAAACAAAAAAAAATGAAACAAAAAAACTGAAATAAAACCCAAAATGCAAAGAATTGAAAATGCTGTAAACCTATAATGGTACATCATAACCAAGTAACATACTTGCTATGAGGTATAAATTTAAAATTGTAACAAAAGCCCATATCAATATAGCAAAGAATGAAGTTATTGGACCATTACTATAATCTTTAAAACCTTTAACTCGATAAATATCATGATCTTGTGTTTGTTGATGATTTTGATGCTGATTTTTCAAATGTTGATTACTAATATAAGCCGAATTATCATCAATTAATCTAGACCGTTCATAATTTCCAATTTGATGTTCTTCTTCATCTTCTTCCCAACCTGCACAAGGATGTGAATTTCTTAAATCCTTTAAACGTATTGCAGGTTCAGTCAGTTTAAATTTATATTTATTGATATGATCTCCATCAAATATTATATCAATATCTTCATCACCATCTTTTTCAAAAATTGGAACTTTCATGGTATTTTTGTCACAAGTAAAATAAATTAAAGGTGCACTAACAACAGGTAATAAAATTGATAAAACAACTTGTGAACCATTTAAAATTTTACTCAAACCTTCTCTACCTGCAATACTGACAACAAATAAGCATGGAGCTATTGCAATACCTCTTGTTATTAATCTTCTAGTAACTGGTGGTAATGTCCAATTTAAAAATCCTTCAGAAACCATTTGACCTGCTAATGTACAAACAACACCTGCACTTTGACCAGAACATAATAATGCCAAAGCAAATACAAACCCTGCTGTTGGTGACAAATGTTTACTTAATAAGTTATAAATTGTAAATAAATCTGCATTCTCATAATGACCTTCATCATCACTATCAGTATCATCGTCATCATCATCATCTCTTTTACTATTATTATGTAAAGTAGCACCAGCCACTATCAATATAGCAGCATTAACAAATAATGCAACTGTAAATAGTGAAATTACTAATTCAAGTATGGTATATGTCATTGTATCTTTAATTGCATGAATTGATGGTCTATAAAATTCATCATCTTCGTCCAATACTGTTTCATCATCTTTTTCAAAACCATGTGGTTCAACTGGGGTAGCCAATGGAGTAATATCATGATCAATTTCTTCAATTTCTTCCTGTTGAGTAGATGATTCGTTAATGACTCGATAATGACCATTTTTAACATCAAAATCTTTCAATCTAGCTTGAACTAAACCTGAACCAAGATACAATGAATGTGGCATCAAAGTAGCTCCTAATATAGCAAGACTTAAAAATAATCCATTACCACCTTCCCTTTCAGACATATCAACAACATCTTTATTTGGTAAAAAACCTTTAAGTACTTCAATAGTTGAAAAATGTATAGATTTATCATGAGATATTTGATATAATTGAATTCCAAAACAAACAACTGTAGCACCAACTAATAAACTAACACACCCTTCAAAAATTCTAATAAAAAATAATGGGCCATTAGGTCTATAAGCCATTAAAACAACTATAACATCAATAACAGTTAAAATGACACCAAGGAATAAAGGGATTCCAAATAATATTTTCAAAGCTATTGCAGTACCAACAACTTCAGCTAAATCAGTTGCTATAATTGTAATTTCTGTTAAAAGATATAAAATAATATTAGTTCTTCTTGAAAAATGACTTTTACAATTTGCAGCTAAATCTAAACCAGTAACAGCACCTAATTTAGCAGCTAAAATTTGGAAGAATATGGCTAGACAATTTGCTAGTAGTATCAGGAATAATAAATTGTATTTATATGCTGCACCTGCAAATACTGAAACATTAAAATTTCCTGGATCCATATAGGCAACAGAAACCATCAACCCAGGTCCAATAAACCGTAAATACTTTCTAATTAAACGAAGAATCATATCATGAAGTGTATTTTGGATGAATATTTGATGATACTTTGGGGTAAAAGAATTTTATAAACCAAAAAAAAAAAAAAAACTACCAAATTTTGCTCCTATACTTCCCGGTTTTCGCTACCACCCATTGCTCCAGCCTCGAGTTAAAAATTACGCCGATTTTTATAAAGTTTCGTGTATTATTGCTCGTGTTGTATTAATAGTGTTTTTCACGTGACTAAATTAACGACATAAATTTTGAATGGAAATGTCTCCTCCTTCGGAGATTAAACCTCTTAGCATCAATTTTTCGAACCTTTTTCAATTAATTACATCTAAAAACTATTCAAGATAATGCTTAGAGCAGCTATAACAAGAAGATGTACACGTTCATTTCATAAATCATCGGTCAATCATGCAGCTTCAATTTTTAAAATGCCTGCAATGTCACCAACAATGACCGAAGGGGGTATTGTTTCATGGAGAATAAAGGAAGGGGATACATTTAATGCTGGTGATCCAATTTTAGAAGTTGAAACTGATAAAGCAAATTTAGATGTTGAAGCTGCTGATGATGGGAAATTATGGCAAATTTTAGTACAAGAAGGAGCTAGTGGAATACCAGTTGGAAAAGCAATTGCTTTTCTTGCTGAAGTTGATGATGATTTGAATAATTTGGAAAAACCAAAAATAGAAGAAGAGAAACCAAAAGAAGAACCAAAAGAAGAACCAAAAGAAGAACCAAAAGAAGAGAAAAAAGAAGAGAAAAAGGAGTCAAAATCAAATAAAGAACCAAAATCAGAACCAAAATCATCAAAACCTGTCAAGTCCGAAGGTATTTTGCAAAAAGCAAATCCAAATCAAAAATTATCTCCAGCAGTTGAATTATTATTACATGATAATAACATTTCTGAAGAAGATGCAATTTCCAAAATACAAGCATCTGGTCCAAATGGTAGAATATTGAAAGGTGACGTTTTAGCATATCTTGGATCAATTCAAACAGATTCAGTTGTCAAACTTACAGAATTTTTAAAATCAAGAGAACATTTAGATTTATCGAATATTGTAGTTGCTGAAAGTAAACCAAAAGATGAAGTAAAATCTGAACCAAAGAAGGAAAAACCAAAACCACAAAATATATTACAATTCGAATTATCTTCAAGTTTACAAGAAGGTGTTTCAAGAGAAGACTTTGAGTTTGCATTTGACAAATCAATTCAATCAGCTATTCAACATACTTATGCACATAAATATCCGGAATTTTCCAATTCGCCTACTGCATCGTCAATTTACGATAAATACGACGTATTTGAGGATATTATTTCGCCACCCGTCACAAAAGATAGATTCAAAGTTTATGACGTTCAATTTAAATTTCAAAATAAATCTATACAACAATCATACACAAATTTTGATGAAATTTTAGGTATATCAAGACAAATTCCAAACTCATCATCAAATGAAATTTCATCAGAAGTTAATATTCAGTTTAAAGTTAAATATGATACTAAATTACCAGACTCGAGACAATTTGTCGAATACTTCGAGAAATCATTATTATCACAAGTACCACCATCCAAACTCAAAATTACCAATTGAATGAAATGTAAATATATATATAAACTATTCAATCTGTTTCATATTTATATGCAGTCCTTGTTTCTTTATTTATATTTTAATTTTTTTTTTTATATTTTTTTTTTTTTTATTTAAAATTTGGATTATTTTTTTTTTTTTTTTTTTTTTTTTTTTTTATTTTTGATACATCTCAATCAAAATATAAATAAATAAAGACTTATCAATTATCAACATTATTACTATCCATAATTGAATATATTAAACTTATTATTATATCATTGACAGAATTGCAAAATTAAAGTTAAAAAATGTATAATAATATGTATCCTTATCCCGGTTATTCTAATAGTATTCCGGGCAATTCACCAAATAACACTCCAACAACACAACAACAAACAAATAATAGACAACAACAACAACAACAATATTTACAAAATCCAACAGCGAATCCAAATGCTTTTTATACTAGAGGTAGTGGTTCAAATGCTAATACATCAACTGCACGTAGTCCTGTTCCTCATTTAAATCATGGTGGCATTCCTCCTCGTCCAAGTATGAATATTCATTCTCAATTAACTGGTTTACCACCTCATGTACATCATTTACAACAATCTCAATCTCAGCAACAAGCTAATTTATATCAAAACTATCAAAATACTCATCAACAACCAATTCAACAAAATCATAATCAACAACCACATTCTCAATCTTCAACTCCACAAATTTTTAATGCTCAATTACATCAAGATCATCCACAACAATTGGATCCAAAACAATTACAAAAATTTACACATCTGAATAGTCAACCTCAACAATATTATTATCAACAACATATTCAACAACCTCAATTTTCACTGCAAACACAACCACAAAATTTGCAACAACAACAACAACAGCAACCACAATCCGATAATAATAGCAATAAAAGTGAATTGACTTCACCTGAAACAAAAGCAAAAAAACCAAGAAAACCAAGGGCTACTAAAAAGGAGATGGAAGAAAAACGAAGATTAGATGAAGAAAATAGAAAAAGAAAGGAACATGACGCTCAAACACAAGTTCATCAACAACAACAAGCTGATTTATTGCAGCAACAACAACAACAACAACAACAGCAACAGCAACAAGCTGCTGCTGCCGCGGCCACCCAACAAGATGGTAAGAAAAGAAGAGGTCGTCCAAAAAAATTCATTTTAGATCCGTCAACTAATACCATGATTGATTCAACACATCCAAATTTTAAACATTTAAATAAAGTTTTAAGAGAAGGAGCTGATGGTGATTCTCATAGTGAACAAAATCAAAATAATCCTGAATTAAGCAAACTTTTTAATCAAACATCATTAAGAAACTTGGATAATGAGCAATTGCAACAACTATTAAAGAAGAAAGATAGAAGAGGTAGACCTAGAAAATTTGCTTATGAAGAAACTGGTGTGACTATTAAAGGTGTTAAAATCAATGGAGGTGGTATTAAAAAGAAGTAGTAATACGTGATTTATTTTTATTTTAATTGTATAATTGTAATATATATTTCTACATAATTCTATTCATTAATCGTCCAATTGCAATCATTGGGGCACAAAATGCTTTAACCATCATACAAATTGCATCTATTAATTTGCTAAGTTCATAAAGAATCCATAAAAAGATCAATAATTCAATGAAAATGACAATTGTTTGTAAATGTGGGAAATGTTCTCCAATGACATCAATAGGTGAAAATATCATTTTCATTATTTGAATTTGTTTGATCATAGTCATTAAATTTGATGCTACATCGATTGAGCAATTAATATCAAATTGAAGTTTTAGTTTACTCATTATAGCTTGCATTTTAGATTTTGGCGCTTCTTCTTGTTGTATCATTGAGCTTGCTGATGTAGGCGGAGCTGCTTCCAATTGTTTAGTTTCTGGATTATAATATAATTCTTCTGTTAAATTGGATTCTATTTCTGAATCATCACACTCGACTACAAATTCTTGAGCTTCATCATTCATTATGATCACTTCATCTTTTAACGAACTATTAATCGATTTAGGTTGTCTAATTTGATTGGCAGGTGTATTCCAATTTGATATAATTAATTTTGAATTTTTACCAAAGTTTTTAAATCGTTTCTTGGGAATTTTTGCAAGTTGAGTTTCTTCAACTTCTTCTTTTGGTTCTTCTTTTCTATCATAAGCCAAATATGAAAGCACATAATTCCATAATGGACTAAATTTCTCTTTTAATTCATTTGGTGGATATTGTGAAGATTTAGATATTAATTCTTTTGGTTCTTCAGCTAGTTTTGGTTCTTCAGGCATTTCTTCGAGATTTTCAATCTTTGAAAGTTTACCTTCTTTTAATTTCGTATTTGTCATTCTTTGTTTACTTGCATAATCATCAAAATCACGTCCCAACTCCTTTTTAGCACGATTAATTTTCCTTCCTAATAATTTCTTTAATGATACCTTTTCATCATCTTCATTTACAAAAATTTCATCATTTGATTTCTTCCTTCGATGATCATAATAATTATAGTCATCAACACTATCTTTCATAAATTTAACTTGCATTTTATTGAATAAATTTTTCTTTTCATTATCATCTTTACCTTTAAATACCAAATCCATTGGATTATATCTTGCTTCGTCTTTTTTGTCCTCAAAGACCTCTAGAAATGTTTTATGTGGATACATTTTTGGTTTACATAGTTTACTAGCATTATCATGTCTCTTTTTTTGTTTCAAATAATAATCATTATTTTTATTGACTCTTTTTGGTGGTGGTTGAAATTTTGGTTGATACGGGTCCCTAGGATCAACTTGATAAGGTCTAACCTGTTGTTGGTGAAGATAATTTAGCTGCGCCGGAGTAATTGCATCTTTTAATTGATTATCATCAACTGATAAGTATTCAACTTGATCTAAATCTTGGGATGGTGATAATTTAGGTGGTGTCAATAATTCTGATTTAGGCCTTATATTTTTCATCACAGGTTTTTTGTAAGTTCTTGAATCAATAAATTCTGGAATCTCATCATTTGAATCGAATTCAACATCTAAATAGTCTGGTTGATACAAACTTGGTTTTGTGCCATATTGAGTTGGTGAATATTTTTGAGATTGAAAAGGTGGTGATAATTGTTGCATATATTCATACTCTTTTTTCTTCAATTGATTGTTTAAATAGTGTGACGAGTAGTAACCATCTCCCGTGACATTCATCTTGATGATCTGATTTGATTTCTTTGATTTCTTTGATTTCTTTGCTTTCGATTCAAAAGCTTATGATGAAATGGCTGGTTGATCTGATTATGTAATTGCAGAATCGTTTATATGCAGGTGCATATTTTAACTTCTTTTTGGTAGTTCTAATGGCTGCAAAATTTTAATATAGAACTGTTTTAATAGTCGATATGATTTCAATTTCGTCCAAGCATCATGTCTCTTAAATCATTAATTCACCGAGGATTAGAATTACCAACTGAGAAAAAAACACCAGAATTACCATCCAATATCTTTGATTTATACTCTTTGTAAGGAAAAGTTGCAAGTATAACTGGTGGATCTCAAGGTATTGGTTATGACGTAGCTGAATCATTTGCACAAACAGGTGCTGATATTGCAATTTGGTAGAATTCTACTCCAGCTGAAAAAAAGCTGAATATTTATCAAAAAAATATGGAAACAAATGTAAAGCATATAAATGCAATATAAGTGATTCACAAAAGGTGAAAACTACAATTGAACAAATCTTTGGTAAGATTGATATTTTCATAGCTAATGCTGGTATAACATGGACAAAAGGTGAAGTTGTTGATGAAGAAAATTATGATGAATGGCAAAAGGTTATTGACACTGATTATTAATGAGTTTATTATTGTGCTCATAATATAGGAAAGACCTTCAAGCAACAAGGTCTTGGTTCTTTAATTATAACATCATCTATTTCAACATCAATTGTTAATGTGCAACAAGCTCATGCTCCTTACGATGCTGCAAAGGCAGAGGTTAAACATTTGGCTAAACTGTTGGCTGTAGAATGGGCACCATTTGCAAGAGTTAATTCTATTAATACTGGATATACATTAACTGAAATTACAAGTTTTGCTGATAGACAATTGAGAGAAAAATAGTGGCAATTAACTCCAATGGGAAGAGAGGCTGTAACACAAGAATTGGTTGGTTCATGCTTGTATTTAGCTTCAAATGTGTCTACTTATACCGCAGGTGCATTTAGTTATTGATGGAGGTAATACATGTATCTAAGTCAAGTGGTAGCGATATTTAACCTTATATATTTACAATTAATATACAGCAAGGTGCTCAAAATTATTTAAATACACTTTATAGATTGATTGACTCTGTCTATCTTTAGAACTAATCTATGAAAGAGTTGTGGAAAGGTACTCTAATTTATCTCTTTTATGTTTGGTTGCAATTTTTCAATGTCGCGAAATTTTCAGATCTTGATTTCTGGGGTGATTATGAGTCAAAGATTCAAAAAGGGTTTAATATCAATATGTCGATACCAAACAACAATAACACCATATTCATATATACATGATGATTTTATGTCAGATATTAGTAAAGAAGAAATTGCAAAACATCTTAAAAATTTAGGTCCATTCCCCACATATTCAAATATTTTAAATCCACAGCATTTTTATCAAAATTCAGTATTATTAGATTATCTGAAAAAGCTGCCACATCCAGTGTCATTACGTCAACTAGCTGGTTATGGTAATACTTTAACAAAACAAAAGATTATTAATAGTGCAAATTTTGTACGAATTGAATTACCAATTAGATTAGCCATGCGAATTCGAGATTTACAAACTTTACCATTTGGAGTAGTAAATAATTTCCATTTAGCTCAAATTTATGAAAGTTATTATCATCTGTTTAATGCATTTAGAAAAATACCCAAGATTCATACAATTGAAGAAAATAAAAAATTTTGTGAAACTTTATCTACTTTATTAGATGATCATGTTTTCAATTTGTCACATTTAATGATGGGAGCATTAGAAGTTGCAATTGCGGAAAGTTTACCTCAAAATGAATTAGATCAATTTATGAGTTCAATGTTAAGATCAAGAATAAGTAGAAGAGTTATTGTTGAGGAACATTTATCATTAAGTCAAAATTATAATACCAAACCATATGACAAAAAACCACCACATTATTTAGGTGAAATGTTTAGTGATTGTAATGCAGCAGAAAATTTTAAACAAGTGTGTGAATTGGTTGTAAAATCATTAAATTTTCCAATTGAAAGAATGCCAAATTTAGAAATTGATGGAGATCTAGATACTAATTTTCAATTTATGATACCACATTTACATTATTTATTACATGAATTATTGAGGAACTCTTATGAAGCTACAATTAAAAATCTTGCAACCAAAACAAGTAAAAGATTACCAAATATAAAAGTTACAATCATTAATTCTCCAAAAGAAGTTTCATTCAGGATATCTGATCAAGGTGGAGGTATAAATCATGATAAATTAAAAAATATTTGGTCTTTTGGTAAATCTCCAAAATTAGCAAGAGAATCACTTTCAAATTTTCATAAAATACCTGGATTACAATTATATTCAAATTTAAAAGTTACAAAAGCTGGTTCGTCAATAATAACTCCAAATACTGAAAAATTTATTGAAACAAATACATCTTTAGGTGAAAAACTGTCAACATTAGAAGGTTTTATGGCAAGATCATATGAATACAAATTAGGTATGGGTTTACCAATGTGTTCTGTATATGCTGACTATTGGAATGGTAAATTAACAATGGAATCATTAGAAGGATATGGAACTGATATATTATTAACATTAAGTAAATTGGGTTATCATAGTAATATTATACAATTAGATAGAGCTTAATAATAAATATATTCATTCCACTAGAAGTTAACATTAAGTAAATTGGGTTATCATAGTAATATTATACAATTAGATAGAGCTTAAAAATAAATATATTCATTCCATTAGAAGGATATGGAACTGATATATTATTAACATTAAGAAAGTTGGGTTATCATAGTAATATTATACAATTACATAGAGCTTAATAATAATATATATTCATTCCATAAAGCTATTTATTTTTTTAATTGATGCGTCGTCTACCGACCGCGCGTATATTTGATTTTTTCTGGTGTGAAAAATAAACCGTGCGAAAAATAAAGCGGGTGAAAAATAAAGCGGGTGAAAAATAATGCCATACCAATCAAGCTAATTATTTTTTTAATTGATGCGTCGTCTACCGACCGCGCGTATATTTGATTTTTTCTGGTGTGAAAAATAAACCGTGCGAAAAATAAAGCGGGTGAAAAATAAAGCGGGTGAAAAATAAAGCGGGTGAAAAATAATGCCATACCAATCAAGCTAATTATTTTTTTAATTGATGCGTCGTCTACCGACCGCGCGTATATTTGATTTTTTCTGGTGTGAAAAATAAACCGTGCGAAAAATAAAGCGGGTGAAAAATAAAGCGGGTGAAAAATAATGCCATACCAATCAAGCTAATTATTTTTTTAATTGATGCGTCGTCTACCGACCGCGCGTATATTTGATTTTTCTGGTGTGAAAAATAATGCGATACCAATCAAACTTTTTTTTTTTTTTCGTACTAACATGCTCATAGTTAAGAATGATAATTTTAAACATGCAATGAATTGAATTTTTATAAATACCTTATTATTTCAATTTGGTTATTTACATTGTACACACACCACAAATTATACGTAATATATTTTTATAAAATGCTCACTACTCATTTTTCAACATTTGATTCGACAAATAATTAAACATTAAAACAATTATTGAGCGTTATTAAATTATATGATAGATATTTAATTTTGCAACAATATGTCTCAAAATATTAATCATGTATCAATATCCTCATTATTAGATACTGATAATAGTTCACCAAATATTATTAATAATAATAATAATACTAATAATAATAATAATAGTAATAATAATAATAATAATAATAATAGTAGTAATAATCATGCTTCTAATCAAGTTCAACATCGTTCAAATGGAAATAAATTACCGTTGCTGAAATTGGTGTCAAAATTTCAAACTAGTTTTGATCCAAATGAAGTTGTAAAAAATGACGAAATTGAAATTAATTCACAAAAATTAAATTCAAAGAGACAACTAATACCTAAATCAAAGAAATTAAATGGGTTTAAATCAAAATCGCAAAGTTTAACTGATAAAGTTAAACGATTTCAAACAAATTTTGAATTAGAACCTACTTCATCAATATCTAAACCAAAGTCAAAACCAGTACCATTACCAATACCAGTACCAATAACAATACCGAGTAAAACATCGATTAATTCAATTATAAACCTTGATGATAATGAAAAAACTCCAACTCCAACTCCAACTCCAACTCCAACTCCACAACCTCAACAAAAGAGACGAAAACCGCCTAGTAAATCAAATGAAAATACTATTAAACAAAGAAAATTGAATTCACCAAGTACAGTTAGAAAGAAAACTCCAGAAGCAAAACTACAACAATCTCCATCTATTAAAACAAATCACCAAAGAAAATCGAGTGTTTCTGGCCCAAAACAAATGAAACCAGGTTTAACATCAGATAAATCAGAGAATAATCCAGTAGTCAAATTATCAGCACCAACAGTAATTGATTTGTTAAATTCTGAAGAAGATGAAAAAACTCCATCACCAAAACCGACAGAAACTCCTAAAAAACCAACTACTCCGAAAGAAAAAGAAAAAGAAAAAGAAAAAGAAAAGGAAAAGGAAAAAACTGAACCTCCAATTATAGCATTAAATATACCACTATTAGATCCAAAAGATCCAAAACCAGGTAAAGCTGAAGTTGTTGTGAATATATTAAAATTGGCTGAAGAAAAATATGGTTGGTCTGTAATGCATCCAAAAGCAAAATCTGCAATTGATATAATGGATGATATGATTGATGACGAAGATGATGATGATAATGATGATGACGAAGAAATTGATGAACCTGCTCCATTAAGGAGAGAATTAACAGAAGAACAATTAGTTAGGCAGCATGAAGTTAAAATGATTAGAAAAGTTGGTAAATATGATTTTGAAGATCCATTTATTGATGATGAAGAATTACAAATGGAAGAAGAAATAACGTCTACAAAAGAAGGGTTTTTTGTTTATTGGGGTCCATTAATTGATGATAGATCAAGTAAAAAGAAGAAAAAGTAATAATATATATTATTCTTTAAATCTTTCAATAGTTAATTCTAGCATACCAGCAGCATTTTGTTCAAATTGATTTTCTTTGTTTTCTTTTCCTTTAATTGATTGAATATTTTTTGAAACTGAATTAAAAACTTTATTAATTTTGGATTTATTTTCAATTATCATTGGTTCACGTTTAAGTCCAACAAATAAATTTAAATAAGCAGCTAAAGTTGAGAATTTTGAAGGATTAATAGCATCTTCAATAAATGTATCAGATTGAGTTACCAAAAGATGTTCTAATAAATCATTCAATCTTTCTTCAGTTAAAGTGTAATATTTATCTGATTTTGGTTGATCTCTTTTTGGTAAATCTAAACTCAATTTTGATACATCAACTTCTTTATCCTTGAGTAATAATACCTTGTATACACCTATTAATGCAGCTTTAACGCTTTCGTAAGGACAATTCTCCAATGTATCTTTTATAAACTCATAACCAATATTTTCAGGTGATAATATTAATAATTTGGTCATTAAAGTTAATAAAATATACCTACAATTTGGTCTTCTTTCACATTGATTTAATACAAATAATATCAATTGATAATATGTAGTTAATAAAATTTTCGGTATACGAGACAACTCTAATTCCAATTTTTTATTTTGTAAACTTGATTGATGTATAGCAAACCACGCCCAGAATATACATAAATCCTGTGTAGCCAAATGATGAAATGTTGAGTTAACCATTTGTGGGATTAGTAATCTTAAACTCAATACTAAAGCATCGTTGAATGTAACATTCGGTGAATCGTAATTTTTGGAAGTTGAAATTTGACTTGTAAACATATATAATTCTCCAAGAACCGCATCATTGATTTGCTTTGCATCACTATCGGTCAACGAAGTCAATATATTAGATTGATAATCAATAACAACTTTTTCAAAAATTTCAGAACTTATATCCTCATTTTCATAATCAAACTTATTAAAAATTACATGTGAATCAATTAAAAATTGTTTGAAAATCTTTTCAAGATATATATCAAACAGCAATGATAATTCAGCTAACCTGTTTAATATACCATCATATTCTTCTTCTTGCTCTTGATTTGATTGCAAAAATACAAATTGCTCAATTGAAAAACCTTCAGTTGAATGTATACCAAACAAATAAACTACTTGAGTTATAAAACTTGTTAATAATTTTCTTTGTAGATAATTTTCATCTTCTTTAATTTTATCAAGTTCTTCTTTTGAAGAATCATTTTTTGGCAATGGTAAACTACGATAACCTCTTGCAAAACTATAAGCTCTTCTCATAATGAAATGACTATTGCCTCTAGTCACATCTTTTTTAACCAATTTATAAACCATATTAATAAATGAACTTATAGTTAATGATAAAAATCTTGACGGATACAAAGTTTGAATTCTTTTTAAACTTGAGTCAATTAATTCAAATATGCAATAAAACTTTACTTCAAACCAATTTTCTTCTTCAGCACTCTTCATGTCTAAATTACTTAAAATTTCACAACTTTTCAAAAATAATTCTTTAGCATTGCCCTTTAATGATAAAACTTCAAAAATTTTCATAACTTTATAAACACAAGGAGCTTGTTTTAATGCACCTTCAAATTTATAATCTGATTCAATATAAAGTAAAAGCAATTGAGGAATATCCCAACCAATTTCATATGTTAATAATTCATTTTCATTTAATATTTTAAGTAAATGACTTAATAATTCTTCTTTTTCTTCATTTGAATATTTTTCAACTTCATTTAAATAAACATCTAATAATGTAGAATATGATAAGTAATCTTTTGAATCTATAGCATCTTTTGCACCTGATTCTAAAGCTTCAAGTATTGAATTAAATTCTTTGGTTGTCATTCTAATTAAAGACCAAAGAAAAATAAAAATATAAATATAAGTGAAAAAATGTCACAAGTTGAAGATGATGAAAATGAAGAAATAAATGATTTAAATATTGTTGATCAAAAAGTTCCATTATCAACATCAATTATATTAGACAAATCAATTGTAAAGAAAGAACCTGAAATTACAAAAATTACAATCAGATTTCAACCAATTGGTTCAGCAAAATCAATTGAGCCCAGGGTTTTTAAAATCTCTTCAAATCAAACTATTTCTACATTAAACAAATTCTTGACAAAGAAACTCAAATCAAAGGAATTATTACGATTGTACGTTCAGAATTCATTCCAGCCTTTACCTGATGAAAAAATTGGTGATTTGTATAATTTATTTAAAACAAATAACGAATTAATCGTTACTTATTGCAATACAGTAGCATTTGGATAAAGTAGTTTTATGATTTATATTAATGAGCCTGCTATAACTTTAGAAACTATGAAAGATTGTGGTTGACGTCGCTAAATTTTTTAAATGATCAAAATTGGATGTGACGGGTTTTAACCATAATAAAAGTTATTTTTTAAATCACTAGGGACACATTTTACCATGTAAAGGTCCACAATAGAGCATTATTGTCCCAGTTTGTACCTATCGGGTACCAAGTAAAAATAGTGCATGACAAAGGTAAATAATTTAATTTTTTAAATTCAAGTTAAGAAGCTAGAGACTGGCGCAAAGCTGTTCTACGAAGCATAATGGCGGAGCACAAAGTGTTCCACTTCAAGGTACAGTCTGTCAAATTTGATTTTAAATAATATCAATTTTATAGTTTTCACAGTAGAATTTAAATATATATTTCTATAAGCATGCAACCTCAGTTGTAAAAGGTATCAAAAATAAAATAATACAAATCAAGAAACTTTTAATGGGCTACGATTTTATCAAACAATGGATGTATAAATTTGTTTATAAATTTGTTTAGTAGAAAACAAATTTAGCGTCACCTGAATTAACAGTGACAGTACAACCATCAGAACCATTACCATTATATTGACCGTTTTCGTATTTACAGTTACCATTAACGTCATCTCCAACGATCTTAATATTATAATTTGGTTGTTCCTTGTTATTTGGATTTGGAATTAATGATAAATAAGTTTTACCACCAGTTGTACCAGCACCTAAAACAACAGGAGCCCAGTTACCAACACCTGATCCTTCAGTACCCCAAATACAACCATCTTCAACTGAAACACCACCATTATTAACGTAGTATTGAGTTGAAGTTTTACCACCTTTCCAAGTGTAATAAGAATCTGAATCAACAACTGAAACTGGAGCATTACCGTTAGCTTCTAATAAAGTTGGAATGTTCATGTTTTCTGAACCTGGATAATCAGTTCTACAAATAGCAACATTTTTTGAAATGTTTGAAACAAAATCAACATTGTTTTTACCCCATGAACATAAGTATTTTTGGTCAGCATTTGATCTGTATAATTTACCATTTTTACAATATAAACCACCAACTGAAATACCTGATGATGGCTGTTCTGATGGCCATTGAGTTTTTGACATACCAGCTTGACAAGCGTATGAACAATAAAAACCATCTTGACAAGTTGACGAAGTATCACCATTTTCTTTCATGATACTAGTCCAGCCACCATTTAATCCTGAAATCCAATCAACAGGGATAACACCTTGACCAGTTGGAACTGATGAACAATCATGAACACCATCTTGAAATTCTTGTGATGGATCAACAAAAGCTTTTAAATCACCTAAAATTGAACCTAAGCCTGAGCTTGATGAGCCAGTTTCAGTTGATTCACTATCTGATGATGAGGCTGAAGCTGAAGCTGAACTTGATGATGATAAAGTAACTGATGATAAAGTAACTGGACTTGATTTAATAGTTTCTGATTCTGCAGTTGCACTTGCAGTTTCAGCTGGACCTGAAATAGGATTACCATTGGCATCAACATAAACAACTTTGGTAACAATTGCTCTTTTTTCATGAACATGATGTTTATGTTGTTGTTGTTGTAAAGGAGCGGATAAAGCAGTAGCTGCGATAGTTAATAAAGTAATGAATGAAGTTCTCATATTTTAATAACTAATAATAATAAAAATAAATGAAAGACTATAGTTGGTTTAAAGGAGTGAATAAGTTTAATTGAAGAAGAAAAACAAGAAGAACAAAAAAATCAAAAAATGTGTAAAGTAGGAATCCAATTAATCTTTTATACTTTTGATAATTTAATTTGGTTAAATTAAAAACAAAAAAAAAATTGTTTCTATTGTTAATTTAAAATTTAAGCCTTTTTGCAGCCAAAAGGCACTTAATGATGAAATTGCTTTTGTTTTACTTATATCTAGATCTGGTGCGGTAAGTCTAGATCTAGTACCATAGATTTGAATTTATATACACGACTCACACTTTATTATTATATATGTTGAGTAAAGAGATGTCAATTTTGATACAACATCCTGTGAAAATGTTTACAAGTAGTAAAAACATGTATTGAAACACCCCCTGATCAACGATATGTGATATAATATGGTCTAGGTAAAAAAGTGCACAAATCTAAACTACTTTATCACAAGATGGACGTAAACAAAAAAAAAATTTCGCCTCTTTGAACGAACATCGATTGTGAACACCAAATTTTTATTCAATTTTTTTCGTTCCAACGCTGATCAGTACGCCCTTTCAGTTTTTAGCACTGCCATTCAATTAGAGTAGTGAAATCAATAAATTATTAAGCTAATTTATTAAACAACTTTTAGTCTAAATGTTTATATTCTCATTTATGATTGATCAATAATATGTTGATAACAAAGTAGTTCACCAAAAGTAGTTCACCAAAATTTTTAGTACTCGCTGCATAATGTTTATCAATTTTTGTGCTGTGTATTCAAAGAATTTTAATTGATTTTATTTATTTGACGATCTAATTAAAAAACTCAATTGGGTTGTTTAATTGTGAAGAGCCGCAGAAGTGTTAGTTTCATTGTGGTTGCGTATTGAAGCAATTTGATTTTCTTGGCCCTTGATTTTGTGAAAAAAAAAAAAATGTTTCATGCTCCATATATTCCTTTTTATCATAGCCTTACCAAACGACTTCACTTCTTATGATATTGTTCATTTACGTAAACTTAAAGTTTAATCAGATTTAGCGAGTCTAAACAATTAATTATTTGTTAATTTATTTTAAATTATTTAGAATATACTTTATCTCATTGGTTGGTAAATTATTAATTATCAAGAAATTTTAGTTTTGAAGTTTATTTCCCAATTAGGACCACTAATCAAATCAGTTGCAGAAATATTCAAACTTTAATGTAAAACAATTTTTTCACATTTCCATTTAATTGGAATTAAGTTTGAACAGAGTGTTTGTAAGAAATTGTAGAAATAAGAAATGCTTTGTCATCCTACAGCATGTCTAGTTCACTTATCCGTTTGAGACATTGTTTCTTTTTTCAGCATTGGAGATGCTGTTAAATTAATCGTCCCAAAAAATTTTCATCTTGTCAATGCACTGCCGCTTAAAGCTTATGTTGCAAAAAAAAAAAATTTTCACTCTTTTGATTTACTCACGTCTTTTTACGAATTGAAACAACTATAAAAGAACCGTTAGTAATTTGAATGTTCTTCGTGTATTGCTCATCGCCCTAGCAACACTGCAACTTACAAGTATTAAATCTAGGTTTATCGGGAGTTAAGTGGTTAATATTTACTTTGATTTATATGCAGCTAATTTAATGTAATTTCCCTTACATATTTCTGAAACTACATATAAGCATACATTAACGATATTTAGCATATCGTCTAGGTGACAAAAGTCTTTAAACCACATGAATCTTGACCTATACGTTGAATTTCTTTTGATAAAGTACCTAGATATATGTAAATCTTACTATGTAAAGTAAAACACATAAATGTAAAGGACAAGAATATTGGTATAGCATAAATAATTTGTTGATCGTATAAACTTGGTTGTGAAAAATAGGAGGCATTAGTAATAAGCTAAAAATTCAATTGATAAATGTTAAATTTTAATTTTAGATCCGATTCCATGATTATCAGACTCAACTTTAATTCAATACTTAAGATTAAGGTATAAATGGGAGTTATAGTAGTAAAATTGAGTAACATTGATATGTTTACCAAAATTTGTACTTTAAGAGATAGACTAACTCCAAGACCGATATCTACCTACTAAGTAAAAAAGGGCGAAATGCAAGTACATGGTAAAATAACATTTAGTATAGTATGTATTATACAACTATTGGATTTATTTGAAGCTAATACGTCTATTCTATCAACTGATTCTGAGGATTACATCACTAGTTAGCCTTACTGGAAAGGAAGCTATTAGTATATCAAAGACAATTGTGCTGTTTACTAAATTATTAGATTTTCGCAATTAATTGCAAAATATCATAAAAGTACCAAGAATAGAACTAATTTTATTGAACCACAACCATACAGATCAACATACTTCTCATCTGTTTCTCTCAACACTAAATTTGAGACATTGATATCCAATTAAAAAGAACAGTTAAGTAACATGGATTGGTAAAAATGTAAAAAAATGCTCCAGGCCAGGATCGAACTGGCGATCTTCAGATTACTCCTATAATTAGGTTTTAAAGTAGCAATTTGTAAAGTTTGTTTTTGCAAACTCTTCATTTAATCCAACAGTGTACTGTTGGGTCGTATGAGACTGACGTCATAGCCACTAGACCACTAGAGCAGATCAACTACGCCAAAACTAATTGATCAAAAAATATTTAGCACTAGATTAAGTCTTGGTGTTGCAAAAACATTATGACAGAAAATTTGGATAATAAACTCACTAATACTATAGCTCTTATTTTGTTGTTTGTCTCTGAAAGGAGTTGATCTATGATTTTACATTCGTTCATTTAAAAGAGCAAGTCTTTGAATGAGGAAACCTTTGCAAATTAGTTTTTTAAAACTATAGTACGAAGAATTTCAATTTGAGCTTGTGATGTAGTCTCAAGAAGTGTTGGATGTGATTTAGGGCTTGTCGCCTGAGAGACTTTAGTCGTTGAATGATCATTTTACGTTTAATGAAATGTTAAAAATACACATATGATATCTGTCGACGATTGTAAAGTAAATATTTTGCACGGATACCTCAGAATACAGCACAACACTACTATTCATGTTCTATAAACATGATCCAAGTAATTTAAACCTATTCTAAGCTTTCAGATTATGCATTCAAAGACAAATATAATGTTTAGTTCAACGCTACCTGCTGCAAAATCAAAAAATACAAAATGATAGATTGAGCATTCAACATAGAATATGGTTCATTATCTTTCAAAAGGCTCGGAGCTGAGTCTATAGTAAACGATTATTCTTCTCCCTTATCTCGTTAAAAGAGAAAGCTTGCTTTGTTTCGTAGAAAATTCGCTAAGTCAAAATTATTCTAAAAACCAAATATACTAATGCAAAAGTAAAAATAAATTAAACGTATATTTTTTAAAAAAGACTTTAATACTAAAACAATGTAATATATAAGAAATAAGAACTGAAAATTTTAAAAAAATTAACCCTACCCCAAAAAAAAAATATATGTAAATGTTAAAAATTGTTAAAGTGTTCCTTCATCTTCAATACCTAAATTAAACCAGGGATGGTTTAAAGCCTCCAAAGCTGTTATCCTATCATTAGGATTGATGACAAATATTTTCTTCAATAAATCAATGAAAAACCACCAAAATGTAAAATTACCAAAATTGATTACATGTTTATTTTTTTCAAAATTTGTTGATAATGAATAATCAAAATTAATATTTAAACCAATCCTTAAACTTATAAATAAATCAATTCTTAACAACTCATCAACTGAAGCTATAAATTTTTGTGGAGTAGTAGAAGTTGGAAATTTCAAAGATAATGAGTTTTGAAAACTTGATTCATTATCAATTATTAAATCATCTGAATCTGAACTTGAACTTGAATCGTCATCTGAATATTCTATAAATTCTTTAGTAAAGAATTCTAAACCACATTCATTTTCTTTTTCTTTTGATAATTTAACCATTTCTTTATCAATTTTATATCCCGCTATTTTTTCAATCATTGCCAAATGTTCTAAGTTATGATGAGTTTTAAAACATGGTTCACCAATTATTAATTCAACTAAAATACATCCAACTGACCACATATCACAAGGGTAAGACCAACCAGTACCTAAAACTATTTCAGGTGCACGATAATGTCTTGTTGATACTATTGAAGAATGATATTCATCATTAAATATTGCACTACCAAAATCAATTAATTGTATTAATGGATTATTCAACACTTTTGAAACTTTTGGAACTTTCTTATTAATATTATTTCCCAACTTTAAATATGATGATATAATTGTGGATGAATGTAATTGTTTTTTAGTAAATGAATCATCATGAAGTAAAATATTTTCTGGTTTTAAATCGGTATGTATTAAATTTAAATCATGTAAAAAACATACCGACCTTAATACTTGTTTACTAATTGCTTGTATATGACTACCTGGAAATGATAAAAATTTATTACCTTCCAAAAAATCATATAATGATATTTTTAAAAGGTCAGTCACAATACAAATATGACCCCTGAAATCAAAACATTCCCTTAAATGAATACAATGATTTTCGTTTGCATTATCAAATTTCTTCAATGTAGATAATATTCTCAATTCAATTTTTGCAGCATCTCTATATTTTTGAATATTTCGAATAATTTTAATTGCAACATGCTCTCTATTCACTTTATCAAAGCATTGAACAACTTTACCAAAAGTACCTTGACCCAATAATTTAATAATAGTAAATCTATTTGCAAAAATCTCATTAATTTTAATGATATAATGACCTTGCGAGTCATCACAAGGTCCTAAATGTGACTGATGAGGTATCACATTTGTTTTAACATTACCCATTTTAGGAGTTTGCAATATATAATTATTTGGTAATTTGTTATAAAAGCATTTAACTTGTGGTAATTGCGGTAATGAATTTGTTCTTTGTTTTTTCTTATTTGTATTTGAAGGTGTTTCAATTATATTATTCACATTAAACATATTATAAGCTTCCACGGCATCATTATCATATACCAATATTGAGTCTGAATTCATTCGTTTATTCTTTACAAAATCCTTCTCTTCGAGTATAATTAAATCATCATCATCATCATTGTCTTCTTCAAAAGCAAACGAATTATTTAAATCTTCAGCTTCATTTACTGATAAAAATGGATTTGTAAATCCGTCTAATAATCTACTTGAAGTATCATTCGAATTTGTACTAACATTACTATTATTCTCATCATTATTAACTTGAGCATTTTTTGTTGCTGAATCAAATGTTTCACTAAAACCCCTAGGTCTTTTTCTATTTGAAATTAATGACATTCTAAATGGTTCATACATATACAGTATGTATGTGATATTTCAACTAATATACATATACACTCCTTAGGATCTACAATTGACTGTTTGAATTCTCTATAGTTTTGTCTTGTCTATTCTGTTTGTGCTTTTTTGATAACTTTCTAATATAATAAAACACAAAAGCAAAGAATTGAGATTTTTTTTTTAATTTTGTACACACCAATTTAGTACGCTTACACGACTAAGATAAGGAGATTATTATTATCGTTTATCATAACTGTATGTAATTTAACACAAGATTAAAAAGACTGTACTGAATCAATTTATATAACTTTGAGAAAACATTACAACAAACAATTGGAAAATCAAGTAAATAGAGTTTTATTAGGTTTTAAACATCTTCTCTTAAGATTTTCCAGTTGGTCTGTTATTGGTTAGTTTCGTAGGTAAAATGGAATGAAATTTTCGGTAAATTCGAATTATCTCGCATTGGGAAAAAATAATAAAAAAAAAATAAGAGTAGTACAGAATCGCATGGAAAAAGTCTTAACGAGAAATTAGCAACCTACTGAAGCATGTTGAGGTTAATTTCGAGTAAAATTCTTACTCAGTTGGCCGTTTTATTTGAGGTTTCAATTTAGTCGATGACCAATAAAATGGTGCGATAAAATTTTCATTAAGGGTGAAGTGAAAAAAAAAAAAACATTAATAAAACTTTAAAAAAACGTGTTTGATAAAAACGTTTTACAACAAACAAAGCTTTGATTTTATTTGGATGACTACGAGCAATTGCAATATTGAGATAAGTCTTGATACAATAATTTTATTACTATCAATTCTTTGAGCATATAAATTTTTCTCAACATAACATTCTTTTTTTTTATATCATGAATAAAAAGGACTATGCTTTAATTTGCAGTAGAATCGATGAATTGATAATCTTTAACTTAAGACAAAGAATATCTTTTTTCAAGGATAAAGTGAATATCATTGGAATTCATTTAAACTCTTGACGTAATGGCTATCACTTTAAAATTTGCAATTTCTCCACCATAGTTCTTTTCTTAGGATATGATTTGCTAACTAAATATAAAAAGCAGCTATCACGTTTCATTAACCATTGTAATATCTATAAGATTATCATTTCATGATACTATCAAGAACCTTTCTACTTTATCTGTTCGTTCGAGAATTAAGTGAATTGAATTGTATTTATATTTTTATTCTAATTTTATTGTAATGTATGGTAGATCGCTCTACCAAATCTTTTTTGACTACAAGGTAGCGCGAGAAAAATGTTTTGCGCGCGCCCATAATTGGGCGAGATTTGAAAACAAAAAATAGAGTTTGAGTTTTGGAACAAGTTACTTATATGCAGTACCACCATATTAAATCTTAAAAGTTAAGTTGTAAATAAAGCCATTGATATTAAGGTTCTTCTTCTCAAACTTATTTGATTATAATTGTCAAACAATCTAGAGTAAGCTGGTGGAATCATCTGCTGGATATACGTAATTTTGATGACTTAGACCATTATTCAAAAAATGCATAAAAGACGCTCATTGGAGAAATATATCGCACTTAGACTTCATTTTGCAACTTCTAGTATAGCTGATTGAATTCATTTGATGCCAAAAAACTTTTGTATAATATTTTCAAGATGCCAAAAACATTTTGAGATATTTTTGAACATTTCGAACCACTTTGAAAAAATTACTTTTCAATTTTGACAACTTTAGCACAAAGGAAAACTGGATTTGTTGTGATGTGGGACCTACTTATCTGAATAGTTTCAATATATTTTAGTTAGAATATCGAATGTAGTTTTGAATTTTTTGTAAGGTCAATTCATTCGATCTTTTTCATACTTAAGAGAAAATTTTGGAATTTCTCGAATTTTAGTCGAGTGCAACTAAACTCAAGTTCAACATCTTTAATCGAGTCATAATATATATAAACAATTGTTTATTAGAAAGTATTGGGCGTATATAAAAAGATACATAGATTTACATTTTTTTGCAAACTTCTATATGATGAAAAAAGCGCAAAAAGTCAACTGTAAAAAACAATGTTTGAATTTTGAAGTCTAAAGAGTACTGAATGTACAATTCAAGGCACTTGATTTCCTCTAGTGCGTCCTTATCAGGCGAGCATTAGAGGTTTGTGACATATAAGCCAATATGCTTTGTACGAGATCGCCTTGGAGCTAGCGCGAGAATTATAAGTCGCACCGATTCATTTACGTATTGAATTATATGTTCATATTAGAGTAGAATAAATATAGATTTGTAAGTTTACCACTTAATACGTAACTCCAAGTACGTATTATTAAGGCTTTTATCTTTGATAGTATTTGCTAGCTAATTCTAATTGAAAACTTCATAATTATGTGAGCTCAATTAAAGTTAACTACTACAGGACTACTTATAAGCAAATTAGTGTCAGAATTGTGCAAGAAAATATGCGTTATTCTATGCGTCAGTTTGGAGCAGCAAAAATATTTTCTCGCGACAGCTTTCGGGCGACTCGTGCCAAACTCATTGGATCATAGGTCATGAACAGCACATTCTCTTGAGATAAAATCCAGTTATATAAAATTAGGAGCTCTGCGGTGTTTATCCTACTTAAGTCAATTTTTCAAATTCAAATTTTTTTTTTTCTACTTGTTTTTCACTATACAAAATTTTTTTCTGAAAAATGTAGTTCATTATATATTTTGATTTGGAGCCATAACTTCCAATTAAACAATAATTTACATATATAACAACTCAATCAAGGATTCTAAACTTGATTCTAGTTGCACTTTGAAACTAATTATACCGAGACTGCGTATAAGCCACATTTGTTGCAGACTTCTTGTCAAAAATAAATTTAGGACCAATGTGAAGCAAGATTATGGCTGAAAATTTTTACTCGAGGCGAGAACAAGTACGATTGTGCGCGTCGATGCTAAGGCCATTGAATGGCATGAAAATTCTTTAGCGTTCAAAAATCGAACGTAGTGTCAACATTGGCTAATAGTTGAGTTTTGTAAGACAATAATTATATACATTGAAGCCAGACATTGAGGGCCTCGGGACCCGATTTCCAATTTTCTAGTTTCCGAAACATGTCATAAAAGTGGATTAATTAGAAACTAAATTTTATTGTTAGACAAGTCACCACGTATGTATGTACTCCTAAAGTTTGGTCAGATCTGTTAGTGGTTACAAACCGATTTCACTTAACAAAACTAGACTCAGAATGAACGCATTTCTAGCAATCATCGGTTCTCAACTACGTATTGACAACTAAAATGTATCTTATTCAAGTTGAAATTTCGAATTGCCCGACGGAAAGATTAGAGATCTTAGTAATAGTCAAACCAAAATTCCATTAAACAAAATACTAATTAGCTTATCGCTTAAATTCGAAACTCAAAGGCATATTATTCCGTACTCGATAAATAAATAATTAAATACATGGTGTCTTATTTCACATAAAATGAAACTAGATCTCTAGATCCAATTTAATAACTTTTTGATTTCAGACATGTATTAATTTGTATATATCCATACGGTACATAGTATGTCCGGGATCTGTACTCTTACATTACTAGATCATTTTTTTGGGTTACGAAATGTGGTAAAGTATCCGTGAACCGTGGTAAAGTAACCGAAGTAAAAAAAAAAAAAGCAACTAAAATAGTAGATCTCAATTTCACAATTAGACAATGCTGAACGCTTAAAGTTTTGACATGAGAATTGACAATACAATAGGTGTTAAATTTTTTGTTTCATTCCTTAACCGGAGTTTGATCTTGGTTGCCACCAAAAAAGTTTTGGTTTATATTTCAGGTACGTTTGCTAGACGATAATATATTGTGCATTGAAAACCAAGTATACATCTATCTAGTTTGTTGTTATTAACTCATTTTCATTCGCTCATTTTTTGCCACAACGATTGAGATAAATAATTTACTGCGCCATTAGAATATAAAGCTTATTAAACTTTACTTATGGAATGGATTACATCTAAGATTCAAATTTGGAATAAACTTTCTAACAATCAATATCTTGGATCTTAGTTAATGTTAGTTATCTTACGTCAATGTCGAGAATAGAAAGAGAAAAAGAAAAGGGAGTGTCTGTAGAATTCCATTAGCATTATCTTCATTACTAACTTATTCTAACTTATTTGTAATTAGATCATCATTAATGCAATTAGTATATTAAACTCGAAATCAAATAATAAGAAAAATATATCTGATCGTCTCAAAAATAATATCTACTTAGTAAACTTATCCACTAATTGTAGGGTTCTATGATACTATCCATAGTTATAAATGTAAATCATCCGCTAAAATTAAAACACGGAAATCTGATAAGACCAAATTTTTGTAGATTAAATCGGTTTGAAGTTAAATTTAAAAATGGCGAGATTAAAAAAACAATACATGGCGAACATAACGGATTTAAGTGGAATTAACGCCTTTCACATCTATATGAAATTGTAAGTAATTGGAGAAAATACATCATACATACAGAAATTATAAAATTGAATTGGACTAAAAAAGTTTAAATCTAAAAAATAATTGGTAGCATGTTAAAATCACTTGTTATTGTAACAAAATCAAGCAAAGGTTTCATATGAAACATGAAACTAACTAATTAATTATAATTATGAACTAAATTCAAAATAATTAAAAGAATTAAACTTTTAAAATCCCCATCCAAACATCTGAACACCTTTTAAAAAAAATAAGTTAAATTAAATACAATTTGCAACAGCTTACTATTATTAGATTGCCCCAACTCCTGGCAAATTTTTTTTTTCACGTTTTAATTTTCACGTTTTAATTTTTCACGTTTTAATTTTTTTGTTGTAGTGCTTTGTTGATATAGTTGAATAGGGTTTTAGAATGAGAATAGACCTTTGAAATACGCGTCACACAAATATGCAATGAATATTAAAGAAGACTAATCTAGCCGTTAAGTCATAAATATAACTACCCAATAATAAGCAATAATAAGCAAAGGGTGATAATAATTGGGATAAAGATTTATCCTCAACAATTAATGCATTGAATACACCATAGAATTTGCATGCATGCAGATATAATAATAAAAAATTAATATTGCAATTATTAATCAGTATACATTATATACATAATTTGTGAAACCTTTTCCACAAAACAATAAGCAGACTATTAAAAACAGTATATCATTCAAGATTTAAGATTTTTTAGATCTTGGAATATTACTTAATATAGCAACTATAAAAACTAGTATATTGGTCCAATGTGTTAGTAGCGATGTATCGACGAAACTGAACCATATTAACGAAAGAAATACACGTACCGTTAAAAAAGGAAACTATAGAAATCAATGAATTCTATTGCATTTGAAATTAAACTTTTTTAGACCATTAAAAATTTTCATTCCTTCATTCATTTCATTTCTATTATAGAATAATAATAAACAAATAAACAAATAGACAAAACATATTATAATTTTAAAACAAATTCTTTTGAATCATGATTGCTTTCAAAAGGTTTTACGATTTAAAGTGTTCTATGGATTCAGCATCTACGATTAGGCACAATACACGTATTGAGACCAAATAGCGAACAATTGGTCTGCCATATCATCACTAATTTAGTGTATCTTGCTTTAAAAAAGATTGAGATGCAATGCAACATGACTAGAATTTTATTATTTGTTTATTTTTTTTTTTTTTTTTTTTTGTTGCAATTTAAAGTTTTGAAAAACCAAATTTTATTTTATCAAAGAATTAGAATTTTAAATCCATGAGGCTAATCCTATTAATTATCTATGATATAATACAAGAAACTTTGAGTTTATTTCATGTTCAAGTTAAATTCTAAGCTTCTTTATGTTGAGTTCTTTTGAATATTTTATATTTCTTTGTCCCTAAGAAAAACCATCAAACAGAAATAGTTTATTTTTTTTCTTTTAAATTTTTCAAATATCATTTAATCTTAGATACAGAAAAATTTTATAGTTGTAGGGCTAATTCAATTTCACACAATATGTCACGTAATTTCTTCTGATGGCAAGTAATAAAAGAGAAATAAAACGTACGTATTGAGTGAATTTTGCAAGAATTTACTCGCTTATGTAGTATTATATCAACAAGCTGCAAAATAAACGGGTATTTTTGGGTATTTTTGGGTATTTCTTTATACGTTATTGTGAACAATATTTTATACCTTTTTCAACAATTGGCTATTTCAATTAAATAATACACGAGGATTGTACTAATGTTTAAAAAAAAAGGTTATATTAATTAAGAAAATTGTGATAAATTTTATTAAAGTTTTTTAAAAATTTAAAAAGTTATTTTTTATTTGGTCTAATTCAGTTTAATTTACCACTAAACAGAATTTTAATTAGACATATAACCAAAGTAAGTACAACAACTATGATCCAATTTACGGTGGTTTCATTACAACAACAACTAAAAACTTAAACATATGTATAAATCAAACTAATCAAATGTATACGTTTATATCTAAATCGACGGGTATTGAAATTAAAGAAATAAAACAACAAATCTACTGTATAATAATTTTATTTATAGAAATCAATATCAAAATTAAATCAATCGTTCTTTAAAAATTTCTTTCTATATCTTTTTCTTTTCCCCTTCAAACCATTCTGTTCAATTTATTTTTGAAACACAATATCTATATATTCAATCAGAGTTTGCAAGAGAATTTATTCATATTACTTCATGAATAATCTATAACTCTAAGTCAAATCATATTATTATTTAATAAATTTTGTGCTTTTCCATTCAAAAAGTTTAAATTTTTTTATTTGAAAAAAAATTAAAAAAAAAAAAAATATTATTATTTGGTTTCAAAATCAACAATTGATTTTTTAGTCATTTTCAAGTTATTATCATCCGTTTAACATCTATCTTTATTTTAATTTATCATATCCATTGAAAAACGAGTTAATTTATTAATATCATTTTAAATGGTAGTATCTGAGACAAGTAATGATTCATCTTTAAATCATCAAAATAACAATAGTTTAAATCGACCACCCATATTACCACCAATAAATAAAAGATCATTTTCTACATCATCCACTCGTGCATCAGTTGATTCATTGATAAATAATAATAATAATGACAATGACAATAATAATATACCCAATGATACAACTACAAATTCACCAATAATAGAGCATCATCAACATCAACATCAACAACAACAACAGCAACCAAATATACTACCTCATCTACAAAATGACATGAATTCTTTATCACCATCCAACACTTCATCTCCTCAAAATAATAATAGTAATAAGAAACAAAAACTACCAAAAAAATATTTTTGTAAAACATGCAAACAAGGTTTTACAAGAAAACATAACATGGTTTCTCACGAATTAATTCATTCATCATTAAAACCACATATTTGTACTGTATGTAACCTAAAATTTAGAAGGATACATGATCTCAAGCGTCATGAAAAGTTACATACCGGTGAAAAACCATATGTATGTAAAAAATGTCAAAGATGCTTTGCTCGACCAGATGCATTAACTCGTCATCAAAACTCGGCAAATGCTTGTTTTGGCGAAATAAAAGAAAAAGAAAAAGAAAAAGAGAAGAATAATCATAATTCGACTACTCCAAAACAAGAGCCAGAAATTCAGGTCAAACGACCTGTTTTACAAATAAATCAACCAGCAGATCAAACCAGTAGTGGATCAATAAGTGATAATAATACAAATAATAATCAACCAAGCTCATTTGGCTCAACTTCAAATTCAACAATAAAATCAAATGAATCATCGTCAAAAAATGTACTACAAAGATCAACTTCTGATTTATCAACAAATAATAATAATAATAATAATAATAATAATAATAATAATGTACATAATAACCAAACTACAGATCATCCACTTCCTATTCATGTTCAACAATCTTCAAGCAATAATTCTACGTTGCCATATCAACCTCCTTTTTCCCACAATCCATTGTTACCTTCTCAATTCCCAAAACAACAACCTACTCCACAATTGATACCACCTCCATTAACATTACCTTCAAAACAACCACCATATTTCCAACAACATCAACCACCCCTACCACAACCTCAACCTCAATCTCAACCACAACCACAACCACAACCACAACCGCCATTATATCAATCTCAATATTATCAACCAATTTTACCACCTTTACTGTACAAATTAGATAATTTAAGAGATCAACCACAACAACAACCACAAGTTTTACCAGTACAGGGACAATTCATTCCACTCGTACAATATCAAGAATTGGCAAATTATGCTTCGTCTTTACAATATGAAATTGGTAAGTTAAATGAAAGAATTGCTGTTTTAGAAAAGGAGTTGAATGAAGATTTGAAGAAGTAAAAAGCAACAAAGTTTAATATCATGACCAATAATTAATGAAAAAAGTACTATAATAATATATACAAAAAGCGAAATATGAAAGTTTTTAACTATTATAATAGATTTTATTTCTATAAAATTGTATTAGTAATATATATAATATGTATGAGTTCAAAGAAATTGTTTAAAAGGTGAATATGGTTTCTAAAACACCCATTTTTTAAAATTTGATACAAATTGTGGAAATTGAAACTGTAAAGGGATATTCAATTGATCAAACTCTGTGAATTTGAACGGAGTTGTTAATTCTTAAGTCGTAAATACAATTTGAATGATTTAACAATTATAAACAAGAAAAAACTTAGATCAAAAACAAGTCTATGTATTTTTAATTCCTAAAATAAGCCACCTACAGTTAAAGAATAAGTGAAACCTGTGAAACCTGTGACTCCTGTGAAACCTGTGAAACCTCGTGAAATATAATTCTAACACCAAGTATTAAAATTTATTTAAATTGTGAAAAATAATCATTTACAGTATTTTGACCTCGTGAAATATAATTCTAACACCAAGTATTAAAATTTATTTAAATTGTGAAAATTAATCATTTACAGTATTTTAACCTCGTGAAATATAATTCTAACACCAAGTTTTAAAATTTATTTAAATTGTGAAAAATGTGAAAAATAATCATATATAGTATTTTATTTCATGAATATTCAGTTCTTTGTTATGCAATTTCAAATAATCAACTAGTGAACCTTTTCCAGTTCACTAATAATAGTTCACTAGTTATTATTTCCTTTTTTTCTTCAATAATTTTGTACTTTTTATTTCATTTACCTTTAATGATAAACAAGTTTCATATCTTGAAACATAAATTAAGTGACCGTGCATTAATTCCACAAAATCAAAAAATTCTTTTTTGATAGTTTACCCGAAGATTATTAAATAAATTTGACTTTTGGTACCTTGAGAATTAATTTAACCATTGAAACCGATTGTTTGTTTCACTAACATACTTTTTTAAACGGATATACATTGACAACTTTAAATCATAATACAATAAACGTGACCTAATCAATTACAATATTTTGTAATTGTTGTAATTGATTCCTCAATCTCTCCTAATTCCATTTCATTAGCTTATGTTCAACTAAAATTTAAATTAATTCGAAGAACAAACTTTTACTTCAAGTCTATTTCAATTATGTCAAGATTAAACTTTAAATACATTTTACGAAATGAAAAAAAACCAAATATCAAAAATAATTGCAACATTAAAAGTATTCTTTGTGTTTTAAATAAATCACTTTTTAATGGTTGAATTTGCAACAAGTTTTAACTATTGGCTGATATCAACATTTATATTATATATTATATAAAGCTCATTAAACATTGCTCATTAAACATTGCTCATTAAACATTCTAGATTATATAAACTCTTACTTAACCCTATATAATACATCAATCGTTTTAAGTACTTAAATCCGAATCTCATTATAAACCATAATAATCATAATAAGCATAATAATTTTGTTATCCCTTGAATTAGAAATTTAACTATGGAGGCTTACATAATCCACAATATAATTTATATTTTTTTTTTTTTTTTTTTATCTTATCTTTTTCTTTCTTTATACACTCATAATTTTTTTTTATTTGATTATCAACAATTGGTTACCAAAGTTTAAATAGTGATTTATCCGATTAAAAGTTAGTTATATATTATTGTTGGTCTTTTAATTCTTTTAATTATGGTTAAATATAGTGATTCGGAACAACAATTTACTCCAGATCAATTGGATCAATATCAATCTACTACTACTACTACTACTACTACTACTACTGATAAAAAAAATTCCAATATTACAGTTGATGAAGAATGGTCAATTATTTCATCATCATCAGAAATTGAAGAAAATAAATCTAAAACAAAAGAAGATGCAGAAAAAGATTTAAATTCATTATTTACACCTTCTGAATCAAGTGAAGATAATACATCCGTAAAATCAGATAATAACTCCGAGGTTGATGCATCTTCAATTAATAATAAGATAAAGTTTTTTGAGAATTTATCTTATTTTAATGAATCTTTTGTTCCTAATTTTGCGAAGTTTAAGGATGAATTTTTAAAAAGATATGTAGATGAACAAAATGAAAGAAACAAAAATAATGAAGAAGAAGATGGTGATGATTTAGATGAAACAATTGAATTAAACAAAGACGGAGAAGTTGAATTAAAACAAGAAAATGCAACTCAAAACGAAAAGGTTAGAAAAGAAGTTGAATTAACACAAGAAAATGCAACTCAAAACGAAAAGGTTAGACTAGAAGTTGGTGGAACTAATTTATTAGCTCAAGTACAAGAATTTTTATCTCAATACTATATTGTCATTGGAATCATATTAAGTTTAATTTCAATGACATTTACAATCTATTATTATTTTATAGTTCAACCCAATATTATTATACCTGAAAAACAGATGTCTACATTTGATAAGTTTGACCAATTTTGGAATAATTTAATTTTTGAAGAAGAATTAGAACTACCAGGTAAAACAGGTTATTATGATTATTTCACATTTGGAAAAATCAAAAAGGTTAAAAAAGTGAGTAAAATACTCAAATGGAAGAATAAATACTATCCAAGAGTAACATTCTTTGTTGAAAAAAATTTACCTTTATTAACACAGAATTTCAATAAATATAGCACCAAAACTTTTCAATATTATCATAAACTTCAAATAAAAAGTTCAAAATATTTTAATCAATTTAACTCCGAAGCTTCTACATATTTAAAACATGAAATACCAAAACTTAAATCATTTGTTAATGATTTATACAACCAGTTGGATATTTTTTCAAAACATGCTATAAGTGATTCTAAAAACTTTGGTGAAGAAAGTTTAAAAGTCCTAGCAATGTGGTATAGAAAATTCTTATCTTCTTCATCAATTATAGTTGCCGAATCTAATGAGTTTATCAAAAAAGAAAGTAAAAAATGGAATTGGTCATCAATACTTGAATTTAAGACAATAATAGATGCGCAATCAATTTTAATTTATAAAACCATTAAAAAGTATTCAAACTGTATTAATGCATGTTTAAGTAATTGTGAAGATAAGAATGATGTATTTAAACAAACTACTAAAGTTTTTCATACTATTTGATTAGCTGGGTTAATTTAATTCATGGATAAGAGGAAGGTTTGGAGGGATCGGTACTATATTTTTTGTTTTATATCTTTATTGATATTATTAGTTTGATTATTATCATTTACTTACTATTAGTTCTATTTATACGGTTAAATATTATGTTTTTATTCGATTTTTGCAAGAATTTAGATAGATCCTCTCAGTTTCAGTAATGACCAACAAGCTATAGTGAAGTAATTAACTTACTAGAATTGAATGTGATGTTGTTACCCATTTATTTCCGTTGTAATAAGTATCCTTGTTGAGTATAAAATGTATATTATTAACGGGGTTGAGCTCAAAGTCGAGTATTATCAGTAAGGATGTTGGTTTAACATTTCATAAGTTATCGGTGAATCTCTTATCAACTCCAGTTTCGAGCTGTCTTTAAACCATCTTATCAAAGGTCAAACAAAATCTACCCTATTACAGTTGTTTCATAGTCATAAGTCGATTTTTAGTTCATGATTTAATGGCTGCAAATTATCCAATTTCAATATTGTTTATTTTTTTTTGCAACCATTTTCAAGTCGTGTTTATCAAGACAATATGCACAAAAACTTCGCTGATATTTTTTCAGCAAGATAAAACTGTATAAACAAAGATGGGTATTCCAAAGTTCTTCAGATTTATATCAGAGAGATGGCCATTAATATCACAATTAGTTGATGAAAAGCAAGTACCTGAATTTGATAATTTATATCTTGATATGAATTCAATTCTACATACTTGTACCCATTCAAATGATCCAACAATAACAAGATTAAGTGATGAACAAGTATATGCAAGTATTTTTAATTATATAGAACATTTATTTCAAATTATAAAACCAAAAAAGACATTTTATATGGCTATAGATGGTGTTGCCCCTAGGGCCAAAATGAATCAACAAAGAGCCAGAAGATTCAGAACTGCATTTGAAGCTGAACAAATTCTCAAAAAAGCCATCGAAAATGGTGAAGAAATACCTAAGGAAGATCCTTTTGATTCAAATGCTATTACTCCAGGTACTGAATTTATGTATAATCTTACAAACAAATTAAAATATTTTATTCATAAAAAAGTTTCTACGGATTCTTCATGGTCGCCCATTAATGTTATTCTCAGTGGCCATGAAGTTCCTGGAGAAGGTGAACATAAAATTATGGAATATATAAGAGCAATTAGATCTCAAGATGATTATGATTCAAATTTGAGACATTGTATATATGGTTTAGATGCAGATTTAATAATGTTAGGTTTAGTTAGTCATGATCCGCATTTTGCTTTATTGAGAGAAGAAGTTACATTCGGAAATAAAAAACTGAGTCCTACAAATTTAAATGATCAAAACTTTTTCCTTTTACATTTGTCATTATTGAGAGAATACCTTGCACTTGAATTTCAAGAAATTGAAAGTCAAATAAATTTTGAATTTAATTTTGAGAGAATTTTGGATGATTTCATTTTGATTATGTATGTTATTGGTAATGATTTTTTACCCAATTTACCTGATTTACATATAAATAAAGGTGCATTCCCATTATTAATTGCTACTTTCAAACAAACTTTATTACAATCAGATGGTTATATAAATGAAGATGGTAAAATAAATTTGAAGAGATTGTATATTTGGTTTAAATATTTATCGCATTTTGAATTTGAAAATTTTGAAAAACAAGAAGTAGATGTTGAATGGTTCAATAAAAAATTGGATGATATTTCAATAAGTGGTGAGAAAAAGAGGAAAAAGATTGGAAAATTGTTAATCCTTAAAGAACAAAAGAAATTGGTTGGATACATAAAACCTTGGTTATTAGAAGTTGCAAGTCAACCCGTTGATAAAATTATAGCTTTAGAAAATGAAGGAAAATTATCAACATTAAAATTAAATAAAGAAGATGTTGAGAAAAATTTGGATTTTATAAAAGAATTTGCATTAGAAGCTGGTTTCCTTATAATTCATTCAAAGCAAGAAGATAGTTATACAACAAAATATGATGTCGATGGTTTAGCATCAGTTGAATCAACAGACGAGTTCGATGAGAGATTAAATGAGTTGAGGAAAACTATTAAAGAATATCAATCTGCAAATTTGGTGGAGAGTGAAGAAGTCTTACAAGAGACGAAAGAAGTTTACAGTGAAAAGTTTAAACATTGGAAAAACGAATATTATGAATCTAAAGTACATTTTCCAATTACTGACGAATTTCAATTAACTGAAATGGCAAAACATTATGTTGAAGGTTTACAATGGGTTTTGTATTATTATTATAAAGGTTGTCCATCATGGAATTGGTACTACAAACATCACTACGCGCCAAGAATTTCCGACATTTCATTAGGTATTGAAGCATTGTTGAAAGAAGAGACTGATATTAAATTTGATTTATCACATCCTTTCAAACCATTTGAACAACTAATGGCTGTTTTACCAGCAAGATCAAAAAAATTAATGCCTGCTGTATATTGGCCGTTGATGACGGATGAGAAATCACCAATTATTAAGTTTTATCCAAATGAAGTCGATATTGATTTAAATGGCAAAACTGCATCCTGGGAAGCTGTTGTTTTGTTAGATTTTGTCGATGAAAGGAAGTTGCTCGAAGCTTTGAAACCAATTGAATCAAAGTTAAGTAAAGAAGAAACTGAAAGAAATTCCTATGGAGTAGCCCTTAAATTTTACAAGAATGCAAATATTAAAAGTCCGAATGATGACTTTTGTCATCACACTGAATTTGTTTTACCAGCTTTCCATGCTGAGAAAACGGGTTTTATACAAGGAGCTAAAACTGGTATTGATTTGCATGCTGGTTTCCCATCATTATATTCAATTCCATTTACATCTGAATTATTACAAAATGAGATTAAGATTTTTAATTTTCCTTCCAGATCAGAATCAATGATTTTACAAATTGAAAATACCTGGGCAGATTTATCAACACATCAATTTGCACAGAGATTTATGAATAAAATTGTTTATGGTAACTGGCCATATTTGAGAGAATACAAGATAGTGAAGATAATGGATGAAGAAGCAAAATATGAATTTAGAAATAATAATTTATCAATTTCAGAATTAAGTCAAGATGATAAAAAATCATTTCGTTCAGACTCATTAACTTCAAAATTGAATTATGACAAAGTGAAAGGTGTAAAATTAGAAGAAGTCTCAACTTTAGTTTATGCAACAGCAGTAAATGGTTTAATCAGAAATTCAAATGGTGCTTATGTTAAAACATTTGCGAAAGAAACTGAAATTTTCCCACTCCAATTAATTGTCAAAGATGTGATTAATAAAGATCAAAGATTTGCAACAAGACCACCTTTGTCAATTGAAGAAGAATTTCCGATTAATTCTCAAGTTGTTTTCCTTGGTGATTTTGGTTATGGTGCACCCGCAAAAGTTGTAGGATATAATAAAAATAAATTGGCCATTAAAATTTTTAAAATTCAATCTACTCAAGAACCAAATATAGGTAAAAAAAGATTGGCTATTGAAAATAGAGAAATTAAGTATTATCCATCATTTGAAGTTGCTAAAACTTTAAGAATTTCACCTTTATTATTATCTAAAATTACATCACAATATATCATAACCAATGAAAAAAATCAGAAAGTTAACATTGGATTAGAATTAAAATTTGAATCAAAAAGACAAAAAGTATTAGGATATACTAAAAAATCATTAAATGGGAAGTTCTGGGAATTTAGCCCATTAGCAATAAATTTACTTCAACAATATATTCTGAAATTTCCTAATTTATTCAGACGATTAAATCAATTGGGACCATCAGATATTCCTAATATCTCTCAAGTTTCCATTCCTGATGAGTGTAAAAAAGTTCGAGAATGGTTAAAAGAAGTCAAATCTGAATTGATTCCAGTTTCTTTAGAATCTGAATCTTTTACTAAATTTTCATATCAAGCAATTGAACAATATATGAACAATTACATACTAAATCAAGTTCCAACAATCAATAAAGACATCAAAGGAGTTCCAAGAGAAGCAATCTTGAATGCATCTGAGTCATATCAATTATTAGGTGATCAAAAGTTTGAATTAGGTGATAGAGTAATTTATGTACAAGATTTTGGCAAAGTTCCAATATTAACAAAAGGTACAGTTGTTTCTATATCAACGTTAGGCTCAAAAACTTCATTAGGTGTTATTTTCGATGTTGCATTATTGAGTGGAAGTACATTTAATGGTAAATTAACTTCAAATAGAGGATTAATGATTGATTCATCATTAGTTTTAAATTTATCAAATAAACAATTTGTATACCATTCAAAAGCTTCGCAAGTTAGAAAACCAATGACTTATGATGAAAAAATAGCAAAATTAAAAGCAAATGAACAAAGAAAAAAGGAGATGGAGATTAAAAAGACAGAAGAAGATCAAAAGAATAAATTTATTGAGAACAAGAAAGGAAGTAATGAATTATTATCATTGTTGAAGAAAAAATCAGATAAGAAAGAAGATGAACAAAAGAACGAAGAAAAGAAGGAAGAAGATGATAAAAAATCAAATACTCGTGTCTCCAATCCTCATGCAATTAAATCTGTTTATAATCAAATTTATCAAGATGTAATGAATGATGGTCAAATTCCACAATATCCACCTGTCCAAATGTTACCCTATGGAGTGCCACTTCCACATAATGTTCCAGCACAAGCTCATGGTTATTATCCACCACCTCAATATTATCCACAGCAACAAATCCCACCTCATCAACAAGCTATTCCTCAACAACAACCAAACTTACCTGAAAGTAGATCAATTCCATATTATTCGAATGACAATGAACAACAATCATCAGAAAATAATGTTAAGAGAGGTGGTCACGGGTATAGAGGAAGAGGAAATCCTAGAGGTGGTTTTAGAGGTAGAGGTGGACATTACAACAATACTTCAAATGGACATCATGGACATGGAACTAAAAAAATTTTAAAACGTGAATCGAATAATGAAAAAAATAATGAAATATCATGATTTATTTAACGGTATTTTTATGTATATATCATGTACAAGTAAATAATATACTATTATTTATGATTTCTTTAAGTCGTCTCCACAGTTTGAAAGTAACATGGTTTTTGAATATCGTGATGAAAAAAATAACCTCATATTCATTTGCCCAATACTTTTTGCTCTATTTACAAGTAAATTCTACACACCCATTTCATTTCTGTTGCTCCTGTTGCTCCTTTAATTGTCTCTCCTTTATCTCTTTACTTTTCTTGTAGATATCATCATGTTTGACTTGTTTTTCACCTGGTAAATTTACCAATCCTAAACTTTCCCAATCGGATTGATCCATTAATTGATTGTCCATTCGACATTTCAAATATCCTTTAGCTAATATTCTACAATTTGGAGCATTTTTATTCTCGGTAAATTTCAAACATTTTAAATATTCAATCATTTGTTGTTTACATTCTCCATCATGATCCAAGGGAAATGATCCTCTTTCAGGGGGTGTTGGAGTCCATGATCTAAAATTACCTCCTGAAAATCAAGTTAGTACTAAAATTAACAATTATTCGACTATTTTACGTACCTGGTGCACCTGATGCCATTGTGATTTGATAAATGGAGTTTGATTAATTATTTTTTTTTTTTTTTTTTTTTTACTGAATTTCGTTTTGGTTGCAAAAAATTTGATAAATGGCTGCAAATTTTGGGATAATACGGGTTTTTGACCTCAAGATTAGAGCCAACGGTGTACCAATACAATCAAGAAATATTAAGAACTAACACCAATACCTATTAGAAATACAAGTAAGAGTGTAGCAGTTAATAATAGATCTGCAGATTAATCTTCAATCATCAGCATACGCAAATAATTTGAAATTGAAAACTTGAAGTAGTCGAAAAATATAATCGTAGGTTCCTGATTTCGTTTATTTGATATCTATCTCAAGAGAATACGTTGTTCACGTCATACAAATCCATGAATTTGGTTCGAGGTCGCTTCAGAAAATAGCGCGAAAAAAACTTGTGTCGTACCAAAATACTGCATTAAAAAGTACAAGTTTTTAGGCATAATTTCTGAAACAAATTTGGTTATATGCAGTACTACTATGGTTAATCTTGAAATTTGAATTGCTAATAACTCAATCAATATTCAAGTTTTCTCTCTAAAAATAACTTCATAATGTTTGCAGAATTGTTCACAATATTCTGATGATTGTTTGTTTTGAATAAGTTTAATTTTGACGACTTTATTCTACATTAAATAAAAGGAAAAAAAAAAATTCTTAGACCTCAACCATCAACTTCTAATATAACTGATCTGGTTAATTCAAGCCAAAAAGTGTTATGTACGATGTTTTCAAGATGCCAAAATCAGTTTGAAAATTTTGCAAAAATTTCGAAACAAGTTCCAAAAAATACTTTTCTGATTTTGATTACCTTACATCAAAAATATCCGGGGTATATCGGAGGCCAAAACTAAAAACCTGGATAGTTCCATCATGTTTTAGCCTGAATTTTGGATGTGGAATTAAATTTTTTTAGGTCAATTTATTCAAATTTCCTCATACTTAACGGAAAAAATTCGAAATTTTTCAGTCTTAGCATAGAACGTACCAAGACAAGTCGTCTAACATCTTATTATGAAGTACAATATGCAAAGTTCTTTGTTCAGGTGGAAGTTGTGGCCTTGAATAAAGAGTAAGCTGAGTCTTCATTTTTTGAAAAAGTTTTGTATGGTGAAAAAGTGCCAAATATTCAAGTCGAAAAAAAAATTTTAGAAATTATAGTTTTAAGGTAGATGGAGTTTATAATTCAGAACTCCTGTTTTCATGGAATTGATTTTTAACCTGAGAAAATACGTTGTTATTGAAGTATAAACCAATATATGATTTACGAGCTCGTTCCAGAACTAGCGCGAGAAATTTTATTGTCGCACCAGAATTTGTCGCCTTACAACCGAGTCAGAAAAAAAAAAATAATCGTAAATTGCGCGTTTCAGATCTGGGATCGTTGCAAATCTATACATCTGAGATCTGAAACCGAAAGCGAACACTAAAAAATAATTAAAAACCATTAGTTGTTGGCATTTATTTAAGCACTATACACCCAATATTTCATCAAGATGTATTGTTTTTGGAATTTTTCAAACGAGAATCGTTAGTTCGATTAGAATTTGATATTTATGAAACTGCAGCATTTAATTTCTCAACATAATATAGATTTTACGACTTTCTGACCACATATATTGTTGGCGATAGTGCCTTTGAAGATTTGTTGATGTTTCATTAGTTTCAAACTTCATTACAATTATTAAATCGGTGGTTGTTGCTCAAATCGTTTGTCAATTGTATAATTTGAAAATCTAACAACAAATAATAAGGTGCATACCAACATTGCGATAGCGAATATACTGAATTCCAAAATTATGAACTTTCAATAAATTAGATAACAGCGACAATTCAGCATGTAGGACTTAATATTGCAAGTTTACTACTAACAAAAATTTGGCTCGTTTATGTATATCCAATTCTATGTAATTTGCTTTAATTTTGTTAAATAGATATTTCGACGCGATAAAATAATATTTCGCGCTAGCATTACGGCTACTCGTACCAAACTCATTGGCTTATACAGCAAGAATAACGTATTTTCTTAAGATAAATACTATTTATATCAGATCAGGAGCATTGAATTATATATCTTATATATTTCAAATTTTTAATTCCAAACATTTTTTTTCCACTTGGATTTTTGGGCGTTTTTCATCATACAAAAATTTTTCGTAATATGTGACCCAGTATTATTTTATTTAGCACATAACTCTTAATCAAATAACGAAGTATATATATTATACATCTTCTAAAGATTCTGCACTTGATTCAATGCGTTTTTGACCGTAATTGAAAGGTTTTAAAATTTTCTCTTTAGTATGACGAAATTCGAACAAATTGACCTTCCAAAAAATTTAATTCCACATTGATTATGAAATCATGTTATGACAAAACTAATCAATGTTGTATTCTGGCTTTTAATATTCCTCCAAAAATTTTGTGTTAAGGTAGTCAAAATTAGAAAAGTAATTTTTCAAGTGTGAATTGAAATTTTTGAAAAATTTTCGAACCAATTATGACTTCGTGAAAACATCATACATATAATCTTGGGTATTCAATCAGACAAACCAGCTATACTAGAATTTATTAAATGAGATCTAAGTGTTAATTATCTCTCAAAATAACTTTTTTTTACGTTTTTTAGATGATGAATAAGATCGTCAAAAATATATATCTTCAATGCAAGTTAGCAATCAGTCTTTTCTAAGTAGCCTGGTAATTATATTGAAGTTAGTTTGAAAAAGAAAACTTGAATATTGAAGGAGTTATTCACAATTGAAATATCAAGATTAGCTATCACTGTACTACATATAAGCAAATTTGTCTCATAATCTCTAATTCAGAGCAGTCTTCCTATGTGACACAAGGAGACGGCCAGTCAATTTTTGATTCAAGGCGAGACCTAACACCATACTTAATGTGAATCTTTAAACAGAATTGCTTGCCGCTACCAAATGTATCAATATATATATTTTATAAATCATTAAGAATTCGATGATTAACATTTTACACATAGTAATGATCATATAGATTGGCTGTTAAACATTGTACTCAAATGAATTCTAACTCTATTCTAGTTTAAAAAATGTTCATTTTTTGGAACGTAATATTAAGCAACTACGTTGGATTTGATAGTTTTAATGCATAACTGCTTTAATATTCAAGGTTTCGTTCTCAAACTAGAACTTTGAAAAACTTTAGCCGGTTACAAAAAAAGATGTAAGCGTTCGTCAAGTGAGGTGAGTTCTAATGGCTTAATTCTTTTTTACTAAATGAAAAAAAAGCACTAAATCACCATTTTTATCCAAGTATGCCTCATACACCATAGGAAGCTCATTGAGGGCAAAGAAAATTCCTTATCGAAGCACTTTAATGCACTTTTTAGATTCGCGATCTTAAATTTGATCCAAGAATTAGAGATAATAGCTTAGAAAGTAGTGTATGACGCAATATTTTTCAAGATCGAATTCAAGTATTGTTTGTTACATTATTTAATTCATTGGTTCTTTTCTTATTAACGCGGATTGACTTAATATCACATTATTAATTCCCAGCATTCGTTCAATTAACCCGACCTTAATTAAAAAACAAAACGTTGGGTCATGATTCTTTATTGATTTCAATTTAATTGTGGTTATAGTTTGTCAAAACCGACCATAATTCAAAACAAAACGTCGGGTCATGATTCTTCGGGTCATGATTCTTTATTGTTTTCAATTTAATTGTGGTTATAGTTTGTCAAACCTTGTGTGACCAAAAATATGTTTTCTAAAGGTTTTACTAAAGGTAAATTTGCAGCCAATTAGTTTCAGAATTTGCAACCATTTTAAAGTGGGGAAGAGATGATTTATAAATATTATAACTTCTATATATAGAATTCAATTGCGCTCGTTTAAATTTTTGCAGCCTTCGGTTAAAAGGTAAAAAAATGGCTGCAAAAAAAAAAAAAAAAAAAAAATAAAATAAAAAATAAACTAGCCTACCCAATAAGATTTTAACGCCGAACTATTACAATTGGGCTTAAAATTAGTACGATTCAGTCGAATGTTTCGTTTAACTATGGAGGGGTTAAAACAGAAATTACGACGACCCTAAATTAACCGATTTCGACATAGTGTGTAAAAGAACCAATTGATTTACTCTACGAAATCAAATTCGATTTTGATTCAGATCTTCAAGGCATAAAACGTACCAAGATTAAAACGTACCAAGATTAATTGAATTAAAAATCATTCATTCAAATATGAAACATTGAGCTTTTCACTTTGTTTATTTGATAAAGAAAGAAATTTGTTAATTTCTCCACAAATCATGAAAAATAAACTAATAGAAAAAATTGCTTTTGTAGAAAAATTTATACGCTCAAATTAAAAACCAAGTTAATGGTTAATAAGAAAAAAAGATGTTAATATGTTAATAAAAACAGCCATTAGCAAGATCTTTTACCGATGAAGAGGTTGGAGTATGACAGTAAAAGAACAAAGTATGATAGAAGGTTGTTAGTTACAATTAGTTACAATTAGTTACAATTAGTTACAACACAACGTAATATCTAATTTTCATTTGATTCACGATGACTCTATTATTTTTTCTGTTTCTGTGTTTCTTTCGTATAAAATTTACTGCAATTTAATTGGATGCAAATATTAGGCTGCAAAATATTGGTCTAGTATGGTTTTTATCACAAGACCATTTATTTTAACAATCATCAAACTGATCCTCAAAACAACTTCGATTTGGATCATCATTAGTTTGAGTATATATGCGTTTAAACGAATGAAAGTTGAAAAAAAAAGAAACCTCGAGTATGTAAAAGTTTAAAATTTCTGTTTCAAAAGATGTTGAAAATTAACGAGAAGATTACTCAGTTAAAAGAGAGTCCAGTACCCTTTATAGCATGTCAAATTATGCTTATAGTGTAGTATATCTCATAATACCAACCTGGTAGCTTCTGTTGTTTATAGTACTATAATTTCACGAGACAATTACCTTCCCCGGGTAGTTGGAACAAAATAAAAAAAAAAAAAAAAAAAAAAAAAAAAAAAATATTTTATTTAGTTGATACAAATTTTTCAACGTTATACCGAAAATAAAATTTATAACTATTTATCAACACTTTTTTATCCCATTTTCTTCTTTTCTCACAATTTGAATTTTGTAATATTATTTGACAAATTTTAATATTAATTAATCAATTTGTTCCATTTTAGTTTTTATATGATTAGAATTTAAAAGTAGTTCAAATCAAATCATATCATTATTTTTTATATTATTTAATTTATTCCTAGACTATATAGATCTTATAGACTCAAATTTCAAATTTGAAAGACAATCATAATATCATTTTATTCATTCATTTCAATTCAAATTTTAACAATTTTTATAAAAAAAATTATTTACTAAATTATTTACTAAATTTTTCAAATTTTCGTACATTCAATTTTGAAGTATATATACTTGATTTATCATGAATTCTGAATCAAAAGCACAAGAAATCTTTACTCAATTTGCTACGGTTAATGAAAATGGTGAAAGAATTTTAACATTACCAGATTTTATTAATATTTTGCAACCTTTTAAAACTGATATACCAAAACCTGCATTTTCGTTATTATATTTAATTGCTGATGTTGAAAAGAAAGGTTTTATTAATGAATCAAATTGGATTAATTTTATCAACACTTTAGTCTCAAATGATGGTGAATATAAATTATTGTATAAATTTTTATCAAATAATGATTCCAATTCCCAAATTTCTTATAATCAATGTGTTGAAATTTTAAATAAATTAAATACAAGTATTGATCCAAATTATCAACAAAAATTAATTAAATTAAATTGGATTTATTTTCCCAAATTTTTTGAACCAAATGGTTCAATTGAATTTAATGATTTTATTACATTAATTGATTATTTACCAATTACGAAATTAATTGGAAATTTTGAAATTACTTCAAATAAACTGAAATATGTTAATGAAGAACAATTTGTTAATTTATTAACAAGTACATTAAATCATAAATTACCAAATAAATTAAAAAATAATTTACATAATGTAACTGATTTCTTTGGACCAAATAAAAAACAATTTACATTATCAAATTTATTATTTATTTATGATACCTTAAGTAAAGTAGATTTAATTAATGAAGTTATTGTAAATACTCCACCAACTACAAAGGATAAAGATGATATTTTAATTAATAAACAAGATTTATATAATCATTTAAATGATCCAATATTAAAATCTGGTAATTTTAAACCAATTTCAATGTTGGAATTAGATTTATTATTTCACCTAATTAATAAATCAAATGGTGAAACTATAAATAGAGCAGAAATTATATCATTTTTAAATCCAAATGTAAATAATAATTATGAACTTTTAAATCCAATTTTTAATCATCCAAAATCAAAATATTTATTAAAAGAATCAAGTGATAATTTTAGTTTATGGCCAATTTATGATTCATTATATTCATTTTTTTTAGGATCAATTGCTGGTTGTATTGGTGCAACTGCTGTGTATCCAATTGATTTAGTTAAAACAAGAATGCAAGCTCAAAAACATAAAGCTTTATATGATAATTCATTAGATTGTTTTAAAAAAATTTTAAGAGCTGAAGGTTTTAAAGGTTTATATTCAGGATTAGGAGCTCAATTAGTTGGTGTTGCGCCTGAAAAAGCTATTAAATTAACTGTTAATGATTTAGTTCGTAAAATTGGAACTGATGAACATGGTAAAATTACAATGAGTTGGGAAATTTTAGCTGGTATGTCAGCTGGTGCTTGTCAAGTTATTTTTACCAATCCATTAGAAATTGTTAAAATTAGATTACAAATGCAAGGTAATACTAAGAATTTAACAAAATCTGGTGAAATTCCAATCAAACATTTAACTGCTTCACAAATTATAAAACAATTGGGATTAAAAGGTTTATATAAAGGTGCAAGTGCATGTTTATTAAGAGATGTGCCATTTAGTGCAATTTATTTTCCAACTTATGCCAATTTGAAAAAAGTAATGTTTGGATTTGATCCTTCAGATCAAAACAGTGGTAAACAAAAATTGAGTACATGGCAATTATTAGTTTCTGGTGCTTTAGCAGGTGCACCAGCAGCTTTTTTTACAACACCAGCCGATGTTATTAAAACAAGATTACAAGTTGCTGGTAAAAAGAATGATATTAAATATAAAGGTATTGTAGATTGCGGTGCATCAATTTTAAAAAATGAAGGTGTGTCAGCATTTTTTAAAGGTTCATTAGCAAGAGTTTTTAGATCATCTCCACAATTTGGTTTTACATTGGCTTCTTATGAATTATTACAAAATTTATTCCCATTACATCCTCCATTAACAAGAGAATCAAATTTTAAAGCTATATCGGGATATCCAGGTGTTTATAATTTAACAAATGATCAAGTTTATAATTCAAAAAAAGATAGAGAATTATTATTGAATAAATCAGATATTGTAACAGAGTCCACTAGTGATCAATTGATTAGATTACCAACTGATTATATTTATAAATCTCATGATGCTATAAAATTATTATTGGATATTGACTATAAATTTGGTAATTTTAATTATAATTCATATTTAAATTATATTCAAAAGAAGTAAAAAGTATGATATATATATAGATTTTTAATGATTTAAATGATATTATGTAATTTTTTTTCAAATATAAGATTGTTCATCGCAAACAGTAAATTCTATCACTCGTCTATATTCAAATTGCTCATTGTTCTCTATAAAACATATGTTTCAAAAATAGTTACATTTTCATACTTGTTACAAAAAGTGAAACCTAATCTTAATCTATGATTTAATAATTTATGAACTCCTTTCATTTCAATTATTTCAACTAATTTGAAATTCTTTAAATATCCCAATTTTTGAAAATTAAAATCAATTTTAAATTTAGTTTTATTATTCAGTATTCTATTTAAATTGTAAATCATAAACTCATTTTCATTTATATTAAACACTAAAAAATTTTCAAACATTTTGAAAATTTGATGGGGATTATTATCGTTAAAATAATTATCTAGTTTATAAATTGATTGATATTTCAAATTATACACATAAATTTCAGACATTGTGATTATAATAACTCTAATTTGATCATTTAATAAAAAAAATTTTCGAATTGTATTAATCCTATAAATCGAAGTTAATTTATTTTTTGATAATTTGTATAAATTTGTCAGTGTGTTAAAATAAAAATCATTATTTTCTGTTGTTTGAATATCAATATTGGATGAAAGTGTCAATCTAGAAGGTAAGTATTTAAAATTCAGAAATGTTGTATTTTTAATATCATAATTAAATGTAATAATATCCCCCATCGATGTTAATATGATAATTTTCGAGTTTTTGATTTTAATAGTGACAATATCATCAACATAATCTTTTAATGGATCTCCTAGTTTATAAATCACTTCTGGTTTCTTATCTCCATTTTGGGTAAATATAAATTTATCAATCTCTTTTTGGTATTTAACCTTTAATATTTCTGAAATATCATTTGATTTAATTAAATTTAGTAGTTTATTAATGTCTTCCATTGATTTAGATTCATAACTGGGGAATTCAACTTTTAGCAAACCTAAAATTGAAAATAACCGTCGTTTGTGTTTGTTCTTTTTATTTTTAATTTTGCTAATTTCTACTTTTAAAAATTTCATCAATTTATCTGAATAATCATAAATAATACAATCATCAATAACGTTAAATGTTAAAAAAAGATAACCGTTTACTTTATACACCATCATAATCATTAAAATTTTATCATCGAAGCAGTCTTGATACACATTCATGTCAAAATTTACTGCATTTCCAATGTCACCTAATTGTTTTAAATTCATTTTTTCTATAATGTTCGAATTGTAACATACGTACCATTCATGAATAATTTGAGTAACTTCATCTTTCACTATATTTTGCAATTTAATTGGACTTGAATTACTCATTATTTGATGATTTTCTATATATTTATTAAATACCAATAAATAATCTTTATATTGAGTTAATACTATTCCTTTCATTACTAATTCAGGTATATAAGTAGGATTACTTTGTTTTAAACCATCAATTAAATCATTAAAATAATATAAATTCAGTAAATTAACAACTCCAGATTTCAAATTAATTAAACCCATTGAATTAAGATTAAACATTTTAAATTGTGAATCATTTCTTGATTTATTTGAAATTTTTATCTTTTTAATCTTTAAATTGTTTATATCATCATCATCATCATCATCATATTTTAAATGACGTTTTTCTTGTTGTATATAATTATTATGATATTTTGAAGAAGATTCATTATTTTCTATAGCACCATTTGTAATTTTAAAGTATCTTTTCTTTGTTGCATCATAATAAAAACCTGGTATAACTGGTATAGTTGGCATAAAAAGCGAATGGTATAGTTATATATTTTTCGTTATCTATATAAATATTGTTATACACACGACCACTCAATGATCCTGTTATCTGCGCTACCAGTCAATAATCATCATATTCATAATCATCTTGTTTCATACTTTGTTTTATACTTATACTCTCATTCAATTGTCTTATATATAGTTGTTCAAATCCATTACTTCTTATTATACCATCCCATAATATACCACTTGGTATGTTAAATCTATTTATTGGTATTATTCCTTCATTATATATTAACCAATCTTTATTCGTATTAGATTGTTGTTTATTTTCATTCTTGAAGGTATTTAATGGATCTTCATAATTTTTATCTAAATTATTTTTGAATTTTTGTGATTCTTGAAATTGAATTTGATCATTTGTTGATCGAATTTCAACAACTTTATTTTCTTCTTCTTTAACCTTGTTTTTCTCTTCTTGTTCTTTTTTATATTCTTGTATATCAATCACTTTACCAAATTTATCACGAAATATAGTATTATTATCTTGTTGTTTATTTTCATTTTGTTTTATTATTGTTCCATCATCTATTCTTTTAAATCCTTTATTTTCTTTAATTTTAACAACTGGAGTATCTATTTCTAATTCTTTTTCTTCTTCTTCCTCTTCTGTAAGTAATGATTGAGGTAGTTCGAGTTTAGGAGTTTCAATAACTACATTAGATGTATTTGATTGTTTATTTGATGAAGTGATTTTCTTCTTTTTCTTTTTTGGTGGTTGAGTATATTTTGATAAATAATCTAATCGTGACATTTTAAGATATTTAATTAAATAAATTTGATATTGATTGATAAATACTATAAATTGATTCTGAAACTGTCAAATTGGTTTTTAAATTTTGAAATTCATCGCGCGATTGAATACGAAAAAAAAAAAAAATAGCATAAACAATTCATACGAAGATCAACAAAATAGAATAAAACACGATTAATTATTAGTTTATGTATTACAGAATGCAATTTAACTTTTGTTGAACCTTACAAAATCATTTCTTAAATTTAAGATTGTAGATTTTTAAACTCCCTTAGTTGATTTTATTCAAATTATTCAATTTATTCTATTTATTTCATTATGTAATTGAGCCATTGTTTCACATAAATCCATAAATAATCCATACTGATTCTTCATAACTTGTAAAATATTTGATAAATTTCCAAATCCTTGATTACAACTAATTTCTAAACCATAAACAACTGTTTCTAATTCATTTATTACATTTTCATGAATATTTAAATTTTCATAATATTTTTTAATCTTTTTTATAAAAAATTCATTTAATTGAAAACTTGAACTTAATTTTGTACCCGGTATACTTAATTGTAAAATTAAATGCATTATTTTATTTATATCTTCAGTTAATTCATTATTTAAAGTTTTTAAATTTATTAAATTATTAAAATCAAATTTTAACGCTTGCTTTGTTGATAATAATTTATGTTGTAAATAATTTATATCTTTTGGAATAGTATTCATAAGATGATTATGTTTTTCTAAATCTGATTCGAGTGTGGTAGCTATTAAATGTTGTGTGTTGATGTATTTTTCAATTTGTTCTAATTCAGATTTAATATTAGGTGGAAGATCACCTACTCTAGTCATCGCTGTTAATTGTGTTTGTTGTTGTTGTTGTTGTTGTTGTTGTTGTTGAGTGGATTGACCAAATAATCCCGAAGATGGTTGTGTTGTTGATTGTGTAGATCCAAATAATCCTGAAGATGGTTGTGATGTTGATTGTGTAGATCCAAATAGGCCACCTCCCGTTGTTGTACTTGGTTTATTTCCAAATAATCCACCAGATGTACTCGTATTTGACTGGGGATTTCCAAATGACCCCACCGTGCTTGGTTGATTTTGTTGTGCATTAGTACTTGATCCAAATAAACCACCTCCAGTTAATCCAGTACCTGTATTACTTGTATTAGATTGTGTATTACCAAATAAACCACCAGTAGTACCAGTAGTAGCTGGCTTATTACCAAATAATCCTCCACCAATATTTGTATTTCCCGTATTTGAGCCAAATAAACCTCCACCAGTTGTATTTCCCGTGTTTGCAGTATTTGGTTGACCAAATAGACCACCTGCAGTAGTATTGTTTGGATTTGAGGTTCCAAATACTCCACCACTTCCAAGATTTGTATTAGTATTAGTATTGGAACTTCCAAATAATCCACCACCAGTTGTTCCAGTATTAGTGTTTGATTGAGGATTACCAAACAATCCGCCACTAGTAGTTGTTGTTGTCGGATTACTTCCAAATAATCCACCAGTATTCAGCTGTTGTTGATTTTGATTTTGATTTTGATTTGATTGATTTCCAAATAATCCTCCTCCAGTATTTGTAGCTGGTTTATTACCAAAAATTCCACCACCAGATGCATTATTACTACTGCCAAACCCACCAAATGGAGTTGAATTTGTATTTAAATTGGCGGAATTACCAAACATTAAGTGATGAAACAATTGATATTTTTTTTTTTTTCTTTAGATTTGTTTTGAATAATTTAACGTGCATTATCAATTGATATTATGAATTCAGACTTTGGAAATGATGGTACATTATTAAAAGTAGACCAAGAAATGTCTGAGAAGGTATTTAAGAATAAGTGTGATGATTTTATAAATGATATATTTGATGAAAGGGCCACAATGATAAATAAAATTGAGAATTTGCAACAAGTTATAAGAAAGCAAGAAATTGAAATTAAAGAATTAAAAAGAAAATTAGAAAGAAAATCACCTACAAAACGTTCAAGTTTATCATCATCACCTAGGAAAATTAATTTATCTTCATCTAATTCATCACCTACCAAAAGAAATTTCATTACAAAATCATTATATGAACCAAAATTGAAAAATTTAAAGTTGGACTTACCTTATGCTACTAAAAGTAAATCAATGGTTCATTTATTACCTACTCAATATTCAGATACTGATGAAGAAGAAGAAGAAGAAGAAGAAGAAGAAGAAGAAGAAGAAGAAGAAGAAGAAGAAGAAGAAGAAGAAGAAGAAGAAGAAGAAGAAGAAGAAGAAGAGGAAATACAAGGAAATGAAGAAGTTCAAATTTTTCGATCTTCGCCCGTCGCTACACAAGATCAAATTCCACAACCACCTACAACGACAATTATTAAAACTTCTCAAAAACATTCATCATCATCTGCTCCATCATTACCTCCACCGAAAAAGAAATTGAAATTATTATCAATGTCATCACAAAATTCAATAAGTCCCAAAAAGAAAGTATCAAAAATCGTTGTACCTAAACTATCACCAATTAAATTAGGTCTAGTACCTACTCAATATTCAAGCTCACAAACACAACTTCAAGAAGAAGAAATAATTGAAGATTCGGAAGAAGAAAATATTTCATTACATTTATCACCGCGTAAATACATTCCTATTCCTTCACAAACTACAATTTTACAAAAAAGAAAATATCTTATAGAGTACTATACAAACAAATTCAAGAATGAAACAAGTTTCAAGATTAATCTATCTACACATCCTATAAAAGGTATAACTTTTGATTTTTCGGATTTTGTAATTAATGATAATTATGAACCTGATGAAATTACCAAGTTCATTAAAAGAAATCATATAATGAGTTTAGAAGACTATAAAAAGAAAAAATTATTTTATAATTTAAGTATGGACAAGAAAAATGATGAAGAATTGAATGAAAAGGAGTTTTTAAGTAGAGAAAGTCAATTATTTAATAAGTTTCAATCACCTCCTGGGTTTATGATTAGTGAATTTCCAAATACTCAGGAGCAACAAGAAAGAAAAGAGGTCATTAAGAAAAGACAAGAAGATAGGATAGAAAGAAGAATAGATGAATGTTGTAGAGTAAAACAAGATTATCAAGGGAATGTAACACAAATTGGAGAATATGTGTTTGTTATGAATATCTTGAATGATTATGTTAAAAGTGGAAGATGGTACATAAAGAATTAGACTAATATATAGATTATTTAGATTTTAATTAAAGGAAAAAGTTTATTGAAGAACATAAATCAATCTATTTTTAGATTAGCTTAAGTGCAGCAAACATTTAAACTAAGCCGAAAACTATGATGAACTATTATCTACCCTTCTTTTAGCTATGTCTAGCTTAATAACAAAATTCGTTGACTAGGATAGAGGAATTGGTAACATTAACCTGGCATTAATTAGCGGACGAGTAGTACGAATTTGATTTTGTTCACGGCGCGAAACAAATTCTTTTGCACCGTTTTTTTTTGTTAGTTTCTTCGGCGTAATTTAGGCTTGATTCTATAAATATGGAAGAAAATGTCTTAATATTCGAGTGCTTAATTATAGAAGCTCAGACATCTTAGGCTTTCAATATGTGCATCATTCACTTCAATTAAAACTTTCTTTGAACTTATTTAGATATATAAAATATTAACAACTCAAGCTTATCGATCAGTTCACTTTTGCAATACGCCTTAGTAAAGTTGACTATAAAGTCAATACATATTCTTGTTTATTAATGACTTTTCATATAATTCTATCAACGAAAACAAGTTCATTTGAGCACGTGACCTAAAAATTGCTGCAAAATTTCAAATAAATACTGCAAACATTAGTTTAACAGACCAGTAAAACAAATTAGGATAATTGTATAGCAAGAGTTACTATTCGAAAAGTATGATTTTCAGTTTTGCATTTAAAATAAGTGCTGTTAAAAAAAGAACGTGGTTTTTAACCTTATGTCAATTGACATGGAATGTCTAAAGCATCAAGCACAGCCATATGTCAAATAAGATTAGAAACTATTAATATTTGAAGTTTGTCATTTCTTCTTCGTATAGTCAAGAGTAAGTATAAGTATCAAAATATAGTATCCGGTAGATTTCAGTGTAAACTAATGTTTAGAAAGTATAAGAATATTCGATAAAATATGGTAAATAAGTGAAAATATGTACAATAATCAAGATTTAAAAGCGTGCCACAAAATCAAATCTAAAAGTCAGCAATACACCTAACTATGATAAATGCAATACACCTAACTATGATAAACTTAATCATCAATTTATAAAAACCTCGAAGCTCAATCAATCTTAAATGAATCTTATTACAACTCAAACTAGTAATTTATAATATTGATTCTAGTCTTAAAGATTGGCATTTACGCAGAATGTTAAGTTACACTGTAATCAAGTAAATGAAACGTTCAAAAGCTAAATCAATTTTGTATGTGTCTTTATTTTGTGTTATATATACAAATTATGTCGGTTGTTAATATTTACATTAGGTTTTGTCTCTCCTTTAAAAAGAAGGGAATGATATAATAAATATCACACTCTCATAAATCAGACATTTTCCATGATTTCTAATACGATGAATTTATAATTAGCAATATAAGCATAAATTAAACTTGCATTGCCTTGTAAGAAATGAGAATGTTAAAAAAACAATAGAAAAATATTGAATTATGAAACATATAAAGATAATACAATCTTAATATATTTGGTTGTCAGGTTGATAATATTGATAATAATTGGTTGTCAAGTTGAAAAATTGAATATCGTGTAAATTGCCTAAAGCAGACTTAGAAACAAGCCGCATACATTTCCTAATTTAGATTACTGCAAAATATATATATTTTTTTTTTATTTTTTATTTTTTTTTTTTTTTTTTATTTTATTTGTTTACCTTTTATTTTGGGTCTGATTTGATTCAATAGACGAGTTTTTGATAGATTAACAATAGGTTGAATATACATCCCCAGCTATGATAAAAAATAGATCAATAACCCGACCCAACAAGATACTAAGTAACATTGAATTTTGCTCTTTCATTGGTGCGTATATTGGTAATTTACTATGAAAAATTGTCATTACCATGGCCAAACGAAGAATCCGAAGATTCATTACATTAAACGAAAATTTAAAAATAAAATTAATAAAATTAATAAAATTAAGCAGTTACTATAAAGAACAAGAGATCACAATAATGAACTAAGACAGAAAAAAAAAAGTCAAATATGATATAACAACAAGAAACAAAATCAACTACTTTCCTTTAAAAATATCGAAAATGATGATTGAACAAGATAAGATCTTATATTAGATCAAATAATCAATATGATATAACTTACCTTAAATTTAGCATAATTGTATATAAGCAATTATTACCTTAGTTTATAGATATAGTACAAAATTGTGATTAGAATGTTTTAAAACTATGTAACTTTTGTACGTATACTATTTATATAGATTATATAAGCTCATATTAATTAATATTTAAGGTTTAATATTTTTCAATAATTTTTCATGCAATATATATATATATATTCCCACATCTTTTCTTCTTTTCCAACATTTATCATCAATTACTATCAATACTTTGATCAATTACAATTTGTATAACTAATATTGTATCAACATACCCTATAACAATAATACAATAATATTAACATTTTTTATTTTTCTTCTTCTCCTTTCAATTTACATAATCAATACTCATAGATATATATATATATATATCATATCATATTATATCACTTTAAATCAATTTTTTTTCCATTTTTTGCAAGTGGTATATCAACAAATTTCTTTAGCATATCAGTATATAAGAGTTAATTACAATAACCATTTAAACTGAACAATATATATATCAATACTCAAGTTAAAATCAAATTTTGATTTGTTAAACAGAAATTTTTCAAATAACTCATTTTACATAATAAATTATTTGGTTATTTAAATTTCATTAAAGACAAAGTTTAAATTTTCAGACTAGTATTTCAATTATTGTTCACTAATCATTAACAACAACTACAATCAATAGAACTCAACTTTTTTAGAATTATCTTGATAATTACACACACAAGAGCATAAACTACAGAAACAACTAACAACATACCACTAGCACAAAAAGTTTAAACTAGATAAATACTTTAACTTTTTACAACACAGTTTATAATTATTATTCGTATTATATATTTTGATAATTAGGAAAACCAGGAGTTTCAATAGTTTTGTCAGAGTTTAATTATAAATACAGGTCAAAGTTAGTTTAAAACAAGTAGTATTTCAATAGGTGTTATAATTGTTTATTAACCAATATATTCCATTAGTTAAGCAAGAGATTGTTATAGTGTACTGTTATATATTGTTATATACAAATTTGCTTAATTTGTATAATATTTAATTTTATTAAATAAAAAAAAAAAAAAAAAAAATCAGAAATAAAAAAATTTACTAATAAAATTTTATTAAGAGAGATCAAATAATATTAATAGCATTTATTAACAATTCAACGTTAAGTATTAACCATTAACAATTTTACATATTCATTCATTTATTATATCATATTTTCATTCACTTGCAACTTTAATAACTATTCCAGTCTCAAGAATTATTTTTCTTTTATTATCGATCATATAATAATATAAAATTATGTATCAACCACCCCAACCACAATCACAATCTCATTATAATAATCATCACCACCATAATTTGTCAATTAATTCAATATCCTCATTAATTGAACCTACCACTCCTCCTCATCCTTTACCATCAACAAATAATAAATCAATTTCATCTTCATCTTCAACTTTTGTTTCTGTTGGTAATAGAAATAAGTCGGAAATTAATACAAATACAACACCAATTTCAACAAATACTCCAAATTACTTATCAAATCCAAATTCTTCTTTTTCATTTCATAATCGTAGTTTATCAACAAATAGTTTTACGTCAAAAAGTTCAAATAGTTTTAATGGTACAAATTTAAATAGTAAATCAATTTTGTGGGATTCTTCAAATAAATTAAATCAAAATTTAAATTTACCAAATTTTTCAATTGATCATTCCAATAATCAAATTATATCAACTCCTTTAATTTTACCAAATGATCAACATCATCAATGTTTAATATCTACGACTACTACTGGTAATGGAAACTATAAAAAGTTGAATACCGAAAATCCTGGTAATGGAAACTATAAAATGTTGAATACCGAAAATCCTGGTAATGGAAACTGTAAAATGTTGAATACAGAAAATCCTGGTAATTCTATTGCTACTCCAATTTTAAATAGTTATCCATTTGATAATGATAAAGAGAATAAATTACCATTTAATTTGAGTGCTGGTAATTCAATTAGTAATAATCATACTCCAACATCATCAATTTCAACTCCACCTTCAACTACTAATTTATCAAATAATTCATTGACACCACCAGTTAAATTTACTCCACAACAATCACAACCTATTAAAATTGATAAAGAATATCTTGCTTCTATTAGTAAAATACCTTTAATTCAGTTGAAACTGGAAATTTTAAACTTGGCTAAAGATCAATATGGTTGTCGTTTTTTACAAAAGAAGATTGATGAAAATTTAATTTCAAACTATCAAATTCGTTTACAAAATTTTGAAATTATATTTGGTCAAATATATCCATTTATGTATGAATTAATTATTGATCCATTTGGAAATTATTTAATTCAAAAATTGATTCAATTTTGTAATGAAGAAAATTTAAATTTATTGTTGGAAATTTTACAATCTCATTTGTTTCAAATTTCGGTTAATCAACATGGTACTAGAGCATTGCAAAAGATTATAGATCAATTGAATAATCAATATCAATTAAATTTATTAATAAAAGGTTTGAAACCATATATTATTGAATTAATTAAAGATTTGAATGGAAACCATGTAATTCAAAAAATTTTAAATAAATATCAACCAATTGATTGTCAATTTATATATGATTCAATTATTCAAGATTTATACATTGTTGCTACTCATAAACATGGATGCTGTGTATTACAAAAATGTTTAAATCATGTTACAATTAATCAATTGACTCAATTTTCAAATTCAATTTTAAAGTTTGACAATTTTAAACTATTAATTAATGATCAATTTGGTAATTATGTATTACAATACCTTATTTCTTTGAATTCATTTGATATAAATTACAAAATTTATGAAAATTTTAATAAATTTGGTATTTCAAATTTATGTAATTTAAAATTTAGTTCAAATGTTGTTGAAAAATTTTTGAAAAATTGTTATAATAATGAGATATTAAATTTTAGATTTTCAAATTTGAAATTTGAATTGATTTATCAAATATTGATTTCTGATTTGAATGTGTTGATTAATGATCCATTTGGAAATTATGTTATTCAAACTTTGATTGACATTGTTATTAGTCCACGAATTAATTATTCAAAGATTGAAAAATTGAATTTAGTATTACCTGAACAAAATGAATGTGATGAATCTGATTTACAAATTTTAATTATTAAATATTGGTTTAAAAATTGTAAAATAATTTCAAGTTTTGGAAAAAGAATTCAATCAAAGATTAATACAATATTAAATCAAGTTACTCCAATTACAACATCACAACCAATGACTAAATTGAAGAAAAATAATGGTAATGCTAGTCAAATGAATGCAAATGGAGAATTCAAATCAATTGTAACTACAACTGCAACATCTCAAAATTCTACTCCTAATCCTAGATGTACTTCATCACCTGCAAATTTTATAAATCAAGAATTTAAATCAAGTCAACAAGGTAGAAATTTTTCATTACCTGCAAATTTTTATTCGTCAATTAATCAAAATATTCCACAAAATAATTCTGCAACATCAATTCAATCAAATAATAATATTTCTTCTACTGTATTAAATACTAATGAGTTTAATGATTATCAATTACAACAAGTTCCATTACCACAACAAGTTCATCCTGGAGCTAATTTTATCATTTCACCACCTCCTCAATTTTATCATTCACAACATTCTTCAATTTCATCAATTCCACCACAACAACCAAACAATGTTGCAGCACCACAACCACCACCAACAATTAATTATACTACAAACAATGGTCAAAGATATACTCCTCCTCCTCCAATGTTGATGAATTCAAACATTTATATGCAACAACAAGCTCAACAGCAATTTCAACAACAGTTTAATCAGCAACAACAACAACAACAACAATTTACACATTCACAGAATCCATCATGGTCATCTACATCATCATTTCAAAGTGGTAATGGACCAATATACAATAATTGGTAACTCTACATAAAATTAAAATAATTAGAAAAAATTTCACACAATTAAAAATATATTATGCAAATTTTCAAATCTGTACGTTAATGGCTGGGTTTATATAATTAATATATACATTGATTAAGTTAGAAAATTACTTCATTCACTCTGTAGTAATAGATCTTTGTTCTTTGATTTTCATTTGTTAGAATGCATTTTTTTTTTTTTTTTTATAATTTTATTTCGCAACACAAAATCAATTTTGCAGCCATTTTTTATTTTGCAGCCAAAAACACATGGTAGCACACACGGAAATTCTTGAAATTTTGAAGTAGTGCTATTTATCCTAAAACTTTAAACCAATTTGGAAATACGTCATTCAAGATTATGATACTTCAAGATGGATTCATCGGTGATTTATTAAAGAAATTGATCCTTTTTATAGTCAGTGTTTTCCCTAATCGCAGAACTATATATATTTATGTAGAATCTCTTACGATAACTCAAATATTTAGACAATTTTAGATGTAACACTGTATAGAGTTTTCAAATAATACGTGTCTTTTTTACCAATGTCTATAATTGATTACTCAACAAACAAAAATAATAATCAAAACTCAAATCAAGATTCATCTAATAAATTTACAACTTCGATAATGGAAAAATTTGGATTTCATAAAGTTTCAAATCATCCAACATCACCATCTCAACCTAAAATAGTACATAATATTTCTAATCAACCACATCGTCAATCATCACAACATGGACAACATTCATCACCACACCATAATTTTAGAAAAACTTTAATTTGTGCAAATGCACCAGGAAATGATGTTGTAACTGCAAATTTGGTAGCCGTAAATTCAAAAGATTTTGAAGGAGTGCCTAACAAATCACCAATTATACTCGATGGAGTATTTGTATATTCAATTGCAAAAGATGATAGGATGGAATTAGGTACTATTGGTTTAGCTGGAAATATGAGACCTTGGGGTAAATGGTCATTAGGACAACATATTCAAGTCGAAAATTATAATATTTTTCAAAATGGTCAACAACAACAATATTTAGGAGCCATGGATTTATCAATTGATTTTAGAATGAAATCAAGAGGAAATCAAAATCCAATAAATCATGAAGATTTAGTAAATAGATTTTTTTCACTATATGAAAATCAAATATTGCAACCTACTCAAACTGTTGTTATGGAATTTAATGGAACTTATTTTACAGTTAAAGTTGATCAAGTACAAATTATAGATGTAAATACAAAAGATAATTTACCAAGTTTTAAAGATTCACAAGATATAGAAACAAAAGGTATACTTATAAAATCTACAGATTTACAATTTTATCCAGCAGCTGAATCAATTATAAATATAACAAATAAACAACTGTTAAAATCAAAAATTTTTGGTGGTAATAATTCTTCACATAGACATCCTAGAAAAAAACAAATTATAAATCCAGATTTCAAATTGGAAGATTTGGGAATTGGTGGGTTAGATTCTGAATTTCAAGATATTTTTAGAAGAGCATTTAATTCAAGAATATTACCAGTTGAAATTGCTCAAAAATTGGATTATAAACATTGTAAAGGTTTATTATTATATGGTCCTCCAGGTACTGGTAAAACCCTTATTGCAAGAAAATTATCAAAGATGCTTAATGGTAAAGAACCAAAAATTGTAAATGGTCCAGAAATGTTATCAAAATATGTTGGTGCAAGTGAGGAAAATATTCGTAATTTGTTTAAAGATGCTGAGGCAGAATATAAGTTGAAAGGTGAAGATTCAGATTTACATGTAATTATTTTTGATGAATTAGATTCTGTTTTCAAACAAAGAGGTTCTGGTAAATCAGATGGTACTGGTGTTGGTGATAATGTAGTTAATCAATTATTATCAAAAATGGATGGTGTTGATCAATTGAACAATATTTTAGTCATTGGTATGACTAATAGATTAGATTTAATTGATACAGCATTATTAAGACCAGGGAGATTTGAAATTCAAATTGAAATTGCTTTGCCTGATGAAAAAGGTAGAAAAGATATTTTTTTAATTCATACAAAGAAATTGTCAGAAAATAATTTATTAACTTCAGATGTTAATTTTGAAGAATTGGCTGTTTTAACTAAAAATTTTACTGGTGCTGAAATTGAAGGTTTATGTAATTCTGCAAAATCTTATGCTATTTCAAGACATACAAAAAAAGGATCATTAGCTCAAATTGATTCAGAATCAATCTCGAATATGAAAATTACAAGAAATGATTTCTTATTAGCTTTAAATGACATTCGTCCTGCATTTGGTACTGATGAAGAAGATATAGGAGGATTAGCAAAACATGGTATAATTCAATTTAATTCGCATATTTCAAAAATTTTTGAAAAAGGTCAATCGATAATTGATGTAGTTCGATCAAGTGAATCTGAAACTTTAAGATCTATATTACTTTATGGTCCACCAGGTGTTGGTAAATCTGCAATTGCAACTACTTTAGCTTTAAATTCAGATTTCCCATTTATAAAGATGTTATCAGCTGAATCATTAGTTGGAATGAATGAGACTAGAAAAATCCAAGAAATTGATAATATTTTTAGAGATGTTCATAAATCACCATTAAATATATTGGTAATTGATAAAATTGAAACTATTATAAATTATAATCCAATTGGTCCTAGATTTTCAAATGACATTTTACAAGTTTTACAAGTTTATCTAACTAAAAAGCCACCAAAGAATAGAAGATTATTAATTATTGCAACTACGTCACAATATGGAGTTTTTAGAAATATGAATCTTTTAGATGCTTTTAATGATGTTATCGCAGTTCCACCAATTAGAAAAATTGAAGAGATTGCCAAAGTATTGGATAAATTAGGATTTATGACTCCAAATGATAGAAGTGAAATTTGTAATCAATTAAAAGATTTTGATATAAATATTGGTGTAAAATCTTTAATTGATGTATTAATGGTTGGTAAATATTCAAAAGATTCAATTAATGAGGTTGTTAATAATATTGTTGAGAAATTAAACGGTTGATACTTATGATATTTTTAATATTACAGTAAATAATATATAAAACTATATAAACTATATAAACTATAAACACTTAACCATTAGATCTTCGTATAATATTGTAAGACTACTTGGTACGCGCAAAAGAAAAAAAAAAAAAAAAAAATAAAGTTTTGATCTGAAACACGATCAAATTTATGTGGGGTATATAAACTAACAAATATCCCAAATTTATTAATCTATCAACAACAAATTAATTGATCAATCGGTCAGCCAGGTGTAAATGTAATTCAACTTATAGTCATGTCATTGCCTAATGATTCATTCAATTTAAGTCAATATTTAAAATATTCAGATCAATTTAGTGATTATACAACAATTTCAGCCGTACCTAATTTAAATAATTCTTCGGCGTCATTACAATCAATTTTAATACCACAAGAACCTAGAACAAAAACTTATATTGATCCTTTACAATCATATAACACAAATTTATCACAACCAGAAGTTATTGAATGGACATCAGATTTATCAAATTTTTTAAATCCAACAATTATCAATAATGATCAAAAACCAGAAATTCAAAACGATGTCAGAAATTTTACTAATTTACCTAGTTCGCCAATTAGTTATGAAACAAAATATAATTCAGAAGAAGAAGAAGATGAAACTAATGTGACAATAATTTTAAATTCAAGTAGCGATGATTATCCAAATTTTAGATACAATGAATTATTACAAAATTATTTTCAAGATGAAACAAAAGATGAAAATGAAGAAAAGGTAGTAGAGCAAGAAAGTTCAAGTTCTCTGATGTTATTAACCAAACCTGATAAAAGTAAACGATCATTTTTAGTTATTTTAAAATTCAAAACTAAAGTTGATGAATTTAAAAAACTTTCCAGTGTTCTTGATATTACGAGACGCCGTCCTTATAGGTCAAAAAATAATGTTGTATATAGACCAAATGTTGATATTTATGATATTGGTCCCAAAATTTTACCTGCTCCATTTACTAACGAATTTGAAAAATTGAAAAATACGAAATTTAAACCACTTAAAGATTTACAACAGTTGCCAAGATTTAAATTACCACTAGGTATTAAAAGTAATTATAAAAATGAAAATAAACAAATTTTAAGACAAATTCAGAAAAATAAATCAAAGAAATCAAACAAGTTGTCAAAAATTTCAAAAACTCGATTTCTTAGTGAATTGGATTCAGAAAGTAAAAAAGATAGATATTATTCAAGATTGAATATTTACGAATTATCAGAAATTTTGGAATTAAACATGTATGATATCTCATTGACTAAATTTATTGAACTGAATATATTGGAAATTTTTGGGAATTATTGTAATTTTAATCTCGGGTACCAGACTTGGATTAGAGATACTGATAAGGGTCAAAGGAGAGATTTGATCAATAAGCTATTTACCTATAGTGAATATTTTTATCCTGAATTGGATAAATTTAAATTGGAAGTGATAATTAGAAGAGGGAGTTATTCAATAATGCAAACAAGGTTAAGAAGAGAAAGAAGATTAAAAAGTAAAGAAAATAAATAGTAATTTGTAGGTATTATGTAACTATTTAACTGTAATATGTTGATGCTTGTAATGATAAATATCAGTGATTCTTTTGGTGTGACCCGATAAATTATAGATTTAAAACGTAACGATTAGCTACAAAAACTTGATAGAGTTTAACTTACAAGATTATCTTTCAACTTATAAAATGATAATAAAAAAATACAGACCAAAAGTGTAACTTTGAAGATTATGTTTGTAAATTTAAATTACTATTTATTTATTATTTGTGTCAGCCGGAGAATGCATTATTTGAGTTACAAATTTCCCAGAATATCTAGTAATACAAGCCACTGTTAAAACATCATTTTTGATACTAGTGGTCATTAAATGATTCAATATGACATGATTTGGAATTGATAAATGATAAGCCTCTTTATTACTTGCATAATACGAACTATCAGCTCTTCTTAACGGTGGTCTTTTATGAGAATAAGTTTGTGTAGTGCCTGTTACAGTGTTATTATTAAAATTTGAAGGTATCAAATTGGAATTTGAACTTATGTTCGAATTTGAGTTTGATGAAGAGCTTATTTTATTCAACAAAACATTGTTTAAATGTGGTGGTAATTGTGGTGGTTCAGGTAATTCATAATCTTGCGGTTTGAATTTAAAATAATCATAATTTATAAACATTTCAGGAATTTCATTTGAATATTGATATGAAGAGGAATTAAGTTGTGATGTTTGTGGATGTAATAATGGCGATTCTTGTTCTGGTTCTTCCAATGGTGTTTCAGGTTGTGAATTTGTTGTATTTGAATTATTTTCATAATATTCAACATGTTCAAATTGTGATGAATTTTCTTTTGAAATTTTATGCAATAAATCCATTGATTTTTCTTGAATTTTATCTGTTTCATATTTACCTGCTTGTCTAGGATAATAGAAACTACTAATACTATCCAGTGGTATGATGTTGGCATCATATTCTGATGAAGCACCAATGTGTGTGCTTTGATTTGACGAGTGATTAAAAAGATGTGTATCATCAATCACTTCAAACCAATTAAAAAATAAACCTTCTTGATCTGTTGCGGTTGGTAATTGATCAGAAACCCTATATTCATTATTGATAATATATAACAATTTATGCACACCTAATGGTAATATCAAAGTTGTTGTATATTCATTTGGATGTTGCATCAGGGGATTTAATTTTATAACATCTCTCCAATTTGAAAATGAACCAATTATGGAAATTTTTGAAATGAATTCTTTATTTGTATTTACCCATTTAATTTCAATTGGAATTAGCATTGAGCCAGTATTTCTTTTTTTCGTAGGAGGAGGGATTGAAATATTTTGAGCTTGAGTTTGATTTTGATTTTGATTTTGATTGTGTTCAATTATCCTTGGTGATGGTGTATGAGAAGCTGCCCTGGCAATAGAAGCAGCTGATTGAGTCTGTGCAGGTGCTGGCGTTTTTTGATTAAAATAATCATTCTTGATATTATTATTGTTATTTGTTATTTTGGTGAAATCAACTTTTGTTAAATCTGGAGTGGGTGTTTGATTAGATCTTTCCGTTTCAAACTCGTCAGGGAAAATATTGGATTCATTTGGATAGTCTTCATCTATATCCATATAGTTATCATCATAATCTTCATCATGCATTCTCTTGTTGTTGTTTTCAGGAATTATATTTCTCAGTAATGATGTTGATTCAGTCTCCACCAACTTTTCATTTAATTCATTAAATTCATCTTCAATTAAATCATTTGAAAATTGATCTTTCTTTTCGTTATTATTATTATTATTGTTGTTGGAATTATTATTCCCCTTGTTGATCACTTGATGTAAAATTAAATCACTAAATTCATCATCTAATGATTGGTGATTATGTTTACTAGTTGCAGTTGATTTCCTGATTTGAGCATTAGAAGTCGGACTCTCCTTATTTACCGATGAGGAAGCTGTTGACTTTCTTACATTTTTATTATTCAGTATATGACCATTATTACCATTACCACCATGATATTGTAAATTCTGTTGTTGAATTGAAGTATTATTACCCATTAGTTATATATTAATCGGTTGTTAACTTACAAATAACTGTACATATATACAATGTTATAATGTATAAATTATTAATAAAAAGAGTTGGATTAATGAATTGAAATACAATAAAAATACAATAAAAATCTAACGAGATTGAATTTTTTTATTTTTTTTTTTTTTTTCTATTTTTTTTTATTTTTTTTATTTTTTTTATTTTTTTTTTTGTGTTTAAGTTACAAATAAAAAAACCTTATAGTGTGTTATTACGTAATTCCGTTATACTTCTTACGTAATACCATACTAATATCTAATAATACAATTATATATATATATATATATTGACTGTATTGACTGTATTGCTACCATTTATCCTTACTATGATATTTCAACCGTGCATAAATTATATAGAAAATGTGTAATGTATTAACAATTTTTTTTTTTATTGGCTCAAATTAATCGAGGATTTTTAAGTCTGCTGGAATATCTAATTACTATTAATAACACGGGTATGGGTAATTATGAAGATTTGAAACAGTTTAAAATGATATCATATTGGTACTTCTCTTATATATGATGTCATATTGTAAAAAAAAAAAAAACTATTTCTATCTCAAGAAAAAAAGTCTAAATAAAGGGTTTTCAAGTTTTAAAAAAGTTTATATTCTTTAATTAAAACTTATTTGACCATCGTTTCTCAGGGGAATGTTTTTCTATTACAAAGTAAAAGTAATAAATGTGAAACATAGAGATTAGATGAAATAACCGGCAAAGAGTTGAGTTTTTGTTAAATTTGCTATGAAACAATTGTGAAAAATAACCGAAAAGAGAAAAAGCTCCAGTATCATCAAGCTTTAGGTTGATAAATGGATAAATAGCTTATTTTATTCAAAACTGAGAGTTTAATTCAACTTTCGGATCTGGCGTTAATGAAAACGGAACCTATGCGTTTTTAATATTGTTATTTCTTCGACTTAATATTCAATATTCGAGACTTTAAAGTAAAAGATCTATAGAATTATCAATGCGAGAATTTAAAATCTGCATATAAATCGAATACATATACGAGTATTTTTAGATCATAAAGAGGGGTGTAGTTAGTTAGTCGTGTAATTTTGTGGTTTATTTTACTAACGCTAAGATTATTTTGTTACTAAATTAGTAGAATTTTGCAGCAATTTGTATTATTGATTTTATAAAGGAATAATAAGTAATAAGTTCAGAGTGTATTCAGAGTGTATTCAGAGTGTATTCAGTGTATTCAGAGTGTATCCAGAGTGTATTCAGAGTGTATTCAGAGTGTATTCAGAGTGTATTCAGAGTGCATTCACAGTGTTCAGAGTGTATTCACAGTGTTCAGAGTGTATTCAGAGTGTATAATTGGATTTTGCTTTAATAATGAGCATTTGATAACAAGAGGAGCGTTTGATTATGAAGAGCTTTTGAAGTTTTGAGTGGCTTTGAGTCGAAACTCTAGGATTCGAGTTTTAAATTACAAGCTTGACTCAGTTGTCAATATCTTTATCTGAAAAAATCTTTATCAAGATTTTTTCATCACTTCTGACATGTAAATTATTATAGTGTCATTTTGTTTCACGACAAATAATCAAAAAATCTCAACTACATTCAATGTGATGTTGTCTTGTAATATTTTTCAATACTATTTCAACACTTTTTAACTTGGTATTGCTTTGACGCGAAAGTTTTTGTATTTGCAGTTAATTATATGAATTAAAATAATAACTGTGTCAACTTTCACTATAGTTTTCCATTAAGAGGTAAAAATTAGGCGGCCCGGCCAATAAAAAAGATCAAAAAAGTATTTCTTACTGATAACATTATATACAGGAGCATTAGGATCGGAAATAAAAAATCTATATTAATTAATATAACCAACACAAATTAAAAATCTTCTTTAATTAAATATGTCTTGGTCACAAATCATTAAAACTATAGATCAAACAAAGAACAAGTTAATGGTTCAATTTGGTCAATTGGATCAAACTACAGATACTAAATTTGATTATGAAGAGAAAAGATTTAAATATTTAGAAAATCATTCATTAAAATTACAAAAATTATTTAAAGAATATCAAAATTGTATCAATATTGTTAAAAATACAGAGATTAATATTAATCATGATATTCAATCATTTTATGGACCACTTATAGAAAATAAAGAACAGGAAAGGAAAAACTTTTCACAGTTATATTTTAAAACTATGAAATCAATAAATGAATCAAATGATTTTACTACTAGTTATAATCATTGTATTTTAAATCCATGCTCAAGATTCAATTCTTATTTTAAAGATATTAATTCATATATTAAAAAAAGAAATGATAAACTACTTGAATACGATCTGATGAAAAATAAAGTCAAAAAATTGTGTGAAAATCCATCATCATCAACAACTATTATTATCTCGTCATCAAATAGCAATCCAATTGAAAATTTAAATAAAATGAATCAAGAATTAACTAATATTGAAAATGATTTTATGTTATTAAATGATGATTTAAAAAATGAATTACCTAAATTTATAAATCTTCGAATTCCATTCTTAAATCCAACTTTTGAATCTTTTGTTAAACTTCAATTAAAATATTTTAATGATAATTATAAAGAACTAAGTAAATTACAAAATACCATTGATGCAAATACTAAAATGTTATATGAACAAGATAAATTGGATGATAAATTAGATAATATTTTAAAAAGAATGAGAAATTTAGATATTGCAGGTGTTCAAACTTAACCTAATTGTAACAATGACTGAAATGATTATGATGATAAAGATGTTATTTTTTAGTGTATAAAAGATGTATATTTTGATGATCTCTATTATTGTGATGATATTGCTTTTCTGATCCTCGTAGTCTAATTTAGAGAATTATCGAAGTAATTTGTACTTTGTCTGTTCAATATCTTGAAAAATCATATCATTTATATCCCAAATACTGTAAACGATGTGTATGGCATTTGAGCCGATGGATATGGTACGAAAAAGCTTCAATGCTAGCGCGAAAATTTTTTCTGTCGCATTAAGTTTTCGAATTCAATAGTATATAATTTCTCGCATAATTCTGAAACAGATTAGATTATATGCAGTACTGCCATATTGAATCTTGATTTTAGAATTGTAAATAACTCTGTCAATAATCAAGCTTTCTTTCTCAAACTAACTTTATTCTATGTGCTAAAGCATTTAGAGTAAATTAATGTTAATTTGCGGTGTATATGCATAATCTTCTTGATGACATAATTATTCATTTAAAAATTGGAAAAAAACGCTATTTTGAGAGATAATTAACACTTAGACCCCATGTGTCAACTTCTAATATACCTGATTTGACTGATTAGGTTCCTAAGATTATATCTATGCTATTCTAAAGACGCTATAACCGTTGTGAAAATTTTCTAAAAATTTCGAAATTATTCAATTTTGATCGACAGCAAGTATAATTGAATCCAGAATCATTGATTAAGGTCTAATACATATAATCCAATGTTTAATCGAGAATTATGGCCCTAAAGAAAAAAATACAAAGGTTTACATTTATTGAAAAAATTTTGGATGGTAAAAAAAGGCCGAAAAGTCAGTTTGAAAAAAAATTTGGAATATCCAAATTTGACATAGATAAAGTGTATAACACAAGGCTCCTGATTTGATGTAATTAGTTTATATCTTGAGAAAATGTGTTGTTCATCATTAGCCGATCTAGTTGGTACGAGTCGCCTTAGATTTAGGGCGAGAAATTATTTTGCCGACTCGTCACATTGATAAATATACATGATTTAATGAAATACACCTGCAACTAGTTAGCTTCTTACTACCAAAGTAAATTGTATCTCATTCGGATCAAAAAGCAGTGTAACCATGCAAATGCTCAATTCATCTCAATCTGAAACTCTGTATAATCAACTGATCTAATAAGTGATACAAAAAAAAAAGATAGAAAAAAAAAAAAAAATAAAATTAAGGTTTTAAGTTTCAAGTTTACAACAATAACAATATAGATCGAATCTAGCATATTTTAGCATACTTTAACATAGACAACAATTTTAAAGATATAATCATATTCCATGCTTAAAAGATTTTCACGACATTCAACTCCACATACAAATAAACCTATATTAACAGATTCTTATTGGCAATGGTATATCGATAGTTATCCAGTAAATGATAAAGAAACAATTAATAAACATACTCCATATTTACAAATTAAATTCAATGAAAGATCTCATGAAGTCTTAACATTACAAAAATATTTTGAAATTTTAAATTTATCAATTCCATCTGCTTTACAATGTATTGCAATTTTAAAATCACCATTCACGCAAGGTAATTTAGATAAATCATTTTATCTTATAAGAATGTTTCAATTGAGTTTTGAAGGTTTATTTTTAACAAATTTGACATTTGATAAATTTAATAAATCCATAAAATTAATAGGTGCTGAAAATTGGGATAATGTAATGTGTTATATGGATGCTTTATTATTTGCAATGTTTGCAAAATTAGAAAGTTTTGAACCAATATTATTTATTCCGAATCATTCAGAATATTTAATAAATCAATTACTGGCATTATTAAGAGTTTATGTTAGTTTATTAAGATCAGGAAATTTACTAACTACTGATCTAACTATAAAAATCTGTGAAGCATTAATGAAATTAGGTTTTGATGAAGCTTTAAGTCATAAACAACAAGATTCTGCAACTTTATTTGAATTTTTAACTGAAACTTTAAATATGCCATTATTAACGTTCAAAGTTGATATAAAACATGGTGGTAAAGCAAATAAACAAGATGATGAAAAATTTGCTAAAGAAAGAATATTATTTGTAAGTATTCCAGATGAAGAAGAATTGGAAAATGTTGTATCTGAAAAAGATGCGATAGGTCCTCAAGTTTTACAAGTTGAAAATGATCCTGAAGAATCAATATTGTTGGAAGAATGTTTAGAACATTATTTTAATAATTCAATTAGTGTGAAAAGAGAATTAGAAAGGAGAGCCACATTATCAAAAGTAAATACAACCAATGCAACTGCAATTCCTGAAGATTCAAGTGTAATCGAAGTAAAGACTGATACTTCAAAACCTGAAATTCAACAAATAGAGCATATAGATGAGAAGCATCCAATCACAACAAGAACTCGAACCACTTCTACTTTATCAATATGGTCAATAAATGATAGTAATACAAATAGTAACACTGGTAAAGAAGTAAATTTACCTGCATGGATGTTTCTTAGATTATTACCATTTTATACTGACGATAATATTATGTCAGAATCAGAATCTATAGCAAAAACAAGTAAAGAATTTGCAAATAGAAGACCAATACTACCCATATGTCTTAAAAGATATCAATTTAATACTGGTGATTCTTCTGGTTCAAGATCACAAAAAAGAATTATAATTCCACCTTTTATAGATTTACCTCAATTTGTAGTTGATGATGTTGATGAGAAAAATTATTCATTTAGATTAATACTTGAAAGTGCTGTTTGTCATAGAGGGAATTCCATACAATCAGGACATTTCATATCGGTGGTAAGAAAAGATACAAATAGAATTAATGAAACTGAAGAAGAAGCAAATATGTCTACTTGGTTTTTATATGACGATATGAAAAAGACAGGTAATAAAGTAGTTGAAAAAAATTTTAAAGAAATTTTTAATAAAGAATGGCCATATATGTTATTTTATAGATTAGTTGCAACAAGTGACGTTAGTGCAAATTCAAGTGTTAAAAGTGTAATCAATCCACCACATGGTTCAAAACCACAATATTGGAATGAAGAAACAATAGTTGAAGAATCTGTTCCAGTTGAATTAAGTATTCCCATTGATGAAATTTCACCTGAAGATTCAGGATATATTGATATACGAAATAAATATTATTGGTATTTCACAGATGAAGATAAAAATTATTATAAAGAAGAGCCAACTATTACAAAAGATGGCCAACTGAGTATTTGTAATAGTCCACAATTTAGAAGAAACTCACAAATTAGTAATAATTCAAATATAAGTCAAGTCATTCTTGATAAAAAATTGAATAAATCGATTGAGAAATTAGATTTGAAGAATTCATCAATTTCAACTAAAGATTCAAATGAAAATGATTCATTATGGAAAAAGGCAATTAAAAGAACAACTTCACCAAGTATTAAAGTGGATCTGAGTGAATCAATTGGTGAATTACATAGAAATATATCACCAATACATCCAGAAGAAGTATATAAATCTTCATTCCCACATACATTAAGAAATTTAGAAGATCATCAAAAGAAACATAATCATCATATATTTCATAAAACTAATAAAAAATCAAAAAAAGATGCATACAAAAAAGAAAAATGTATAATTCAATAGAAATTAAGCTAAACAATATATATTACCACTTGAACACCCAGCATATATTGTACTTGACTCTTGTGGATTCATTACAATTGTTTTAATCAACCTTGAACCTAATTGAATCCTATTTATTTGGTTACATGTTTGCCAATCCCAAAAATATACATAACCTTTAGCATCACCACTCATTAAAATTTTCCCATCTGGACTAAAATTTAATTCAATACCATATCCGGCATTTTGATGTCCTAAAAATTTCTTCTTTTTATACCATCTATATTTACCATGTGAATGAATTACTTTAATTTTATTATCCGTACTTTGAATAGCTATATAGTTTGCATTTGGATGTTTCTTTATTGATGGCATTGAAAATAATGATGGATCAGATATAACCTTTAGAGGTATGTTAATTTGCCATTTCCATACTCTAATTGATTTATCGTCAGATGTAGAAATAAATCCAATATCATGAATTAATAAATCGTTAATTGACCCTGTGTGATGATCGTAAATTTGGATTGATTGTAAATTGATCAAATCATAATGTAATATTTTAGAATTTGCTAATCCAATTAAAACTTCGTTGTCATTTTCACCAAATCTTACAACATTTGGAACAGCTTCAACCAGCATCGTTTTCAAAACTTTCCCAGATTGAGTATCCCATAAATTTACAACTTTATCAAACCCACAACTTAAAAATTTATCACCTTTTGAATTGAAAACTACATCTTTAACAGCTGATTGATAATGTCCTTTAAAAATTCTTAGTAGTTCAAATTTATTCGACCATAGTTTTATTATATTATCATTACCACAAGATAGTATTAAATGACCAGTGTTTGGAAAAGGTACTATCTTATTCACACCTTTCTTATGAGCTAATTTAATAGTGTTTATTATTTTTTTAGGTTGATAACATTCTTTTGATCCAGGTTCAATCGATTTAAATGGACAATGTAAATATGATCTACCTTGATAATCAAATTCTTCTTTACCCATAAATTGAGTAGAAAATTCATTAGATTCTGAATCTGTATTTTCTGATTTTATTAAAGCCTCCAGTTTTCTTTCTTCATATTGTTGTTGTTGTTGTTGTTGTTCTTCTTCATCAGATGAATAAGTTGCCCATGCGTCATTTTTCCCCTTTCGTTTTTTCTTCAATTCTTTGGCTAGTCGTTTAGTTTCAATTTCTTTTTGTAATTCTATATCAATTGAGTCGAATAATTTCTGCTTTTTAACTGGTGGTTGTTCATTGTTTATTATATCTTGTTCTTCTTCAGATGAAGAATATTCATTTAATATTGACATTTTTTTTTATTTGTTGATAATGATCATCTCCAAAAAAAAAAAATATATATATATAATTATCAATAATGAGTAAAAGACAAATTGAAAGTGATTCAGATATAGATGTCAGTTCAAGTGATGAATCAGATAATGAACAACAACTTACAGAACAGATTGATGAAGAATTGATTAATGTTGATTTTGATTTTTTTGATTTAAATCCAGAAATTGATTTTCACGCAACTAAGAATTTCCTTAGACAATTATTTGGTGATGATTATAATGAATTTAATCTCAGTGAAATTACTGATTTAATATTGACTAAAAATTCAATTGGAACTTCTATCAAAACTGATGGTATAAATTCTGATCCATTTGCTTTATTAAGTGTTATAAATCTATCAAATAATTTAGATAAATCATGTATAAAAACATTGATAAGTTATTTGGTCAAAAAAACTAATAATAAACTTGAATTTAATATATTATTAAAAAAATTATTCACTAAAAGTAATGAGAAAAAGATTGGTTTAATAATAAGTGAAAGATTAATCAATATGCCAGTTGAAGTGGTGCCTCCTATGTATAATATGTTAATTGAAGAAATGTCAAAAGCAAAAGACTCACATGAAAAATATGAATTTGATTATTTTTTAATTATATCAAGAGTTTATAAATTAGTAGATGCAAAAGAAACCGTTGAACAAGATCAAAATAGTAAAAAGAAAAAGAAAATAGAAGAAAAAGTTGTTGAAATGGATTATTTTCATTTAGAAGATGAAATATTAGAAAAACTTGCTAAATATCATCAAGTATATGATTATGATAATGAAAATAAACAAGAAAGTGATTCAAGAAGAGTATTTAATGATTATGGAATAGAACCAAAGTTGAGTTTAATACTAATTGATAAAGATAACTTGGCAAAAAGTGTTCTAGAAATGAGTGAAACCTTCCCAGCACCATAATTGGTTGATACTTAATATACACACAACTACATATATTTGAAGTAAAGTGTTTCAAAATTGGTAACCACACGACTTTTTCTTAATGAGTGAAAAATTTTTATTTTTATTTTTTTTTTTTTTTTTCTCGATTTTTTCAACTTCTAATATCAAGAAACCAAATAATTGATTAGATGGCCCCTCCTCATAAAAGCCATAATTTTCGTCCTGAAAATGTATTAAAGCGTGCGGAAGATTTAATCGCTGTTGGTCAAAAAGAAGCTGCTTTAGATACTTTATATGAATTAATTACGAGTAAAAGAATTCGTTATTTATTAGTTGAAGATTTACAACCAATTGCTAATTTATTAATTGAATTAGCTGTTGATTTAAGAAAAGGTAAATTAGCTAAAGATGCTTTACATCAATATAAAAAAAATATTCAATTATCAGAACATGGTTTAGAATCTGTACAAATTATTGTTCGTAAGTTTATTGATTTAGCTGAAAAAAAATTAGATGAAGCTCAAGTGAAAGCAGATATTAGAATTGATCAAGAAGAACATATGGCGGATGATGATTTAGAAACTAATCAAACTCCAGAAACTATTTTATTAAGTGCTGTTTCAAATACTGATACTGCAGATCGAACAGAAAGAGAATTAGTTACTCCATGGTTAAGATTTTTATGGGAAGCTTTTAGAGCTGTTTTAGATATTTTAAGAAATAATTCTAAATTGGAAATTACATATTCTGCTATAGTTTCACAAGCTTTTAAATTTTGTTTAAATTTTAATAGAAAAGCTGAATTTAGAAGATTATGTGAATTATTAAGATCTCATATGCAGTCAGTTACAACTCAAACTAAGACTGCTACTAATAATGCTATTGATTTATCAGATATGGAAACTGTTCAAAGATATTTAGATCAAAGATTTTCTCAATTAAATATTGCTGTTAAATTAGAATTATGGCAAGAATCTTTTAGATCAGTTGATGATGTTCATACATTAATTACTGCATCAAAAAAGACACCAAAACCAATTATGATGACAAATTATTATGAAAATTTAGCTAGAATTTTTGCTGTTTCTGATAATACATTATTCCATGCTGCTGCCTGGAATAAATTTTTTAATCTTTATTCTCAATCACCAATGGCAACTGATGAACAATTAAAACATTATGCTTCAGTTTTAGTTTTATCGACTTTGGCAATTCCACAAAAAGTTGAAAATATAGACAGTCAGAAGAATAATAAATTATCAAGTTTATTAAATTTAAATCATGTTCCAACAAAAGAAGGTTTAATTAAATCAATTACAACAAAACAAATTTTAAAATATGTTGATGAACCAATTTGTAAATTATTTGAAATTTTAGAAGGTAATAATGATTTTCATCCATTAACTTTAAAAAAACAAATTACTGAAATTTTTAAATATATTCAAACTAATAAAGAATTTAACAAATATATTGTTACATTAACAAATGTTATTTTAATTAGAATTTTCCAACAAGTAAGTCAAATTTATCAAACGGTTAAATTAGAATTTTTAATTTCATTAGGTATATTTGAAGGTTTAGATCATACTTTGAGTGAATTAGAAGTTGAAGATTTAATTGTAAATTCAATTAAAGATGGTTTAATTTCATTAACTATTGATCATGAAGCAGGTGTTGTTTTATTTAAATCAAATTCAATTGAAGATTGTTTTAATGATGAATTTATTAATCAAGAACAACAATTACAAAATTCACCAGCTACTTTACTCCGTATAGAACTTGGTAAATTAGCTGATTCATTAGAAAAAGGAATTGTTACTTTTGAAACTAAACCAAAAAGTATCATTTCATCAGATGATCTTGTAAGTTCAATGGTTGAAGAACAAAAATTAATTTCAAAAAGAATTAAAATTTTAGAAGAAAGACAAAAAGAAAATGAAAAAATTAAAAGAGGACAAGAAGAATTACAATTTAAATTAAAACAAGAGAAATTATTAGCTGATCAAAAGGCAGAACAAGAAAGATTAATTCAAGAACAAGAGCGTAAAAAAATGGAAAAATTACAAAGAGAAAGAGAAGCAATTCAAGAGCAAGAAAAGAGAAAAATTGCTGAAGAAATTAATGCAAAAGGTATTATCAAAGTTGATTTAACTAATTTAAAAGATTTAAATGTTAATAATTTACAACAATTACAAATACAACAACTTAATAAAGATAAAAAAGAATTGGATGAAAAATTGAAAATTACAGCTAAGAAAGCAGATTATTTAGAAAGAGCTTTTAGAAGATATGAATTACAATTATTAGAAAAAGAAATTAAAAATGAAATGAAAAAACAAGAAGAAAATTATTACAATCATCAAAAACAAAGAGTTGAAAAATTAAAAGATGAATTTAATAAACAATTAGAATTAAAGAAAAGATTAGCAAGAATTATTCCAGATTATCAAGTTTTTAAAAAAAATATTGATGCAAAGAATGCTGTTAAAATTGAAAAAATGAAAGCTCAAGCTCAAAAAGATTTAGAAGAAGAAAAGAAAGCTAGAATTGAAAAAGTTAAACATCAAAGAATTGAAGAATTAAAAATTAGAAAAGAAAGAGAAAGAAAAGCACAAGCTGAAGAAGCTGCAAGACAAGCTAAACAAGCTGAAATGTCCAAATTAAAAGAACAATTAAGATTACAAAAGGAAAAAGATGAAGAAATGGCAAGAAAAAGAGCTGAAATTGAAGCTGAAGCTCAAGCTCAAGCTGAAATTCAAACTACTCCAAAGAAACCATTAACATTTGCTGAAAGAATGAAATTAAAAAGAGAAGGTAAATTACCATAAAATTACCATAAGATTATCAAAAACTCGTGTACTAAGAAACATTTTAATAATTGACATTATATAGCATTTAAATATAATAATTTTCAAATTTAACAAAATTGAACTGAAACCGTGCGATTTCAAATTGAAACCTATTTACAAATATATTTATGAGTAAATTACATTTAGATTCATTAACCCAAATTAGTCCAAATGAAGTATTTAATTGGGCTGAAGATAATACTATAGCTGAATTAAAAATTGGTATTCATGATGCGAAAGAAAAAATTGGTGAATTGAAAAATACTATAACCACATTAACCAATAACATTGAACAATTGGAGAATAAACTAGCTAAATATGAAAAAGAGAATAGTAGTAAAACATAACTGATAGTTTTTGACAGAATATATGTCTTCATTTTTGTTGTAACTTGTTCTACGCCGCATTGATCTTTTAGTACAAATTCAAAATACGTATAGGGCATTTTTTTTAATTGAAAAATTTATTCGGAAAATGAAACCAATTGTTACAATAATTGGATCTTTAAATTATGATTTAGTTACTTTTACGAATAAAGTGCCAGAAGGTGGTGAAACTTATCAAGCAAATTCATTTGAAACTCATTTTGGTGGTAAAGGTTTAAATGAAGCAATTGCAGTTTCAAAATTATCTCCACAAAATTCAATTATTACAAGAATGGTTGGTAAAGTTGGTGATGATACATTTGGAAAAGATATGAAACAATATTTAAAAGACAATAATGTTGATGTTTCAAATGTTGAAACTTTAAATGGAATTTCTTCTGGTGTTGCAGTTATATTAGTTGAAGAACAATGTGGAGAAAATCGAATTTTAATTACTCCTGGTTCAAATGGAGAATTAAAACCAAGTAACGAAGAATATGAAAAATTATTTCCTAAAGACGATGAAGGAAGTTATGTAATTTTACAAAATGAATATCCACATACTTTACAATCTGTTAATTGGTTAAAATTAAATCGTCCAAATATAAATATAGGTTATAATCCATCACCATATAAACCAGAATTAAATAATAAAAATTTTCTATCAAAAATTGATTTATTAATTGTTAATGAAGGTGAAGCAAGAGATGTTGCGAAAAATATAATGGCTAAAGATGAAAATGATTTAAAAGAATTAGCTAAAAAACTACATTCATTAATAAATTCAAAAAATTTGTCAACAATTATTATTACCTTAGGTAGTAAAGGTAGTTTATATACAAATGATGGTATAGATGTTAAATTTGAACCATCAATTAAAGTTGAAAAAGTTGTAGATACAACAGGAGCAGGTGATACATTTTTTGGAGGTATTGTACTGAATTTAGCATTAGGTAAATCATTAGGTGAAGCTGTTAAATTTGCAACTAATGCATGTGGATTAGCCATACAAAAGAAAGGTGCAGCAGAAGGTATACCAAATTATGAAGAAGTAATTAAATTAATTAAATTAATTGAATGAATAAATAAATCAGTTTTATATAAAATTCTGTAATTAAATTAATCGAATGAATAAATAAATAAGTTCTATATCAAAATTCTACTCTATGCTTTTCTAGATCTTATTTCAGATGGAGTTGGAGTTGGAGTTGGAGTTGGAGTCATTTCTCTACCAGTAACATGAACATATTCATTAACTTGAGCAGCAACACCACCACTAACCGATTTAACTCTTAAAGATCTTCTTGAACCTTTTCTTTTATAAACATCAATATAAAATGCAATAAATAAAACTAAATAAGAAGATAATATAGCACAACCAGAATAAGCTGCAATCATAGTACCAGCACAATCACCACAATAAGGTAAAAAAGAATTTGAAAAATAACTTGCAACAATTTTTTGATAAGTACCAAAATAAACAAAAATTAAATCTAAAATAAATTGAATAATTTGAAATCTTGTAACCCATTCTTTCCACCAAACTCTAATACCTCTTGCAGCTAAAAAATAATACCAATACATAATTACATGAACACCTAAATTTAAAGAAATTGGAACCCAAGAAATTGAAGTTAAACCAATTAATTGAGTATAACATAATAAAGCAGTTGCACCATGATGATAAGTATGTAAAAAAGTTAATTTTTTTTGTTTAACCACCAAAAAGATTGTATCAATAAATTCAACAAATTTAGTTAAATAATTTAAATAATATAAACAAACTAAAGGTTGGGTCCAAGCTTTCGAATCACAAATGGCATAAAATAAACCATTATAATAAATGATTGGAATTAATTGTTCAATCATTAAAGTCAATAAAGTTAATGATAAAGTAGTTAACAATAAATTATGAATTTGAAATAAACCATTAAGTACAAAAGGTTTTAAATTCAATTTTTTAAATATAAAATCACCACCGAATATAATGATATAATAAATAGTAATAGCTAAAGCAACAGGTTTAAAAGTTGATAACGGAGTATAACCTTGAATAAATTGAAAATTTTCAGGTATAAATTGATAATTTGTTAAGATTGAAATATATTTATTAAATAAGGGCCATAATTGTATGCCAAAAGGAGTATCCCACGTAGGTAACGGTAAAGGTAAAGAACTAGACATAACTGACCAACTAATGAATGAATGTAACAAATATACCACTAGTAACTTATTATTTATAAATATAAAATTTGGAAATAATAAACAAAAAAAAAAAAATTCTATGCAGGACAAGATGCGCAATACGATTTTCACTTACGTAATCATTATCACTATTTACTATGGACGCGTTTGGCGTGAGTAGAGTAACATTATCGGCTTAATTTTAATACGAGTTATACTCCGTAACGGCCATAATTTTAATACGATTGGCGTTTCTATACCATTGGCATTTCAATACGATTGGCGTTATTAATTTTTAATTCGTTGTGCTTATATAGTGCTACAAAGTATCAATGAAATTAGTCTAGTGATACTCCGCCTTTATATATATAGTCTCATCTCCGCTCTGTCTTCCATTTTTCTTTCTGATACTTGTTTATTTTACTACCACAAATCTATTTAAGTGGGCCACGGTTAAAAATAATTTTTCAAAAGTCGCATACAAAAAATTGACAATATACGATTAAATAATCTCTAGTTTACAATGTCAGATTCTTCTTCTTCTTACGAAATAGATTCTTCTGAATCATCATCATCATCCGAAGAAGAAGAAAATCAACAAATTTCAAAACCAGTCTTTATTTCGAAGAAGGAAAGAAATACTGACAAACACCGACAACAACAACAACAGCAACAACAACAACAAGAGAATAATAAACAAGAAGTTAAGAAACAAGTACTCTATTCAAAGTTAGAATCTACTTCAAATATTAAAAGTGAAGATGAAACTAAGGATAACTTTGATGGTATAAATGATGTTGATGATTTAAATCCCGAAGTAGAATTTGAAAATTGGAAGTCACGTGAATTATTTAGATTTAAAAGAGATCAACAATTAATTAATACATTGGAACAAGAGAAAGAACAACAATTAAAAAGATTAACCAACTAATATTATATTATTATGTCATTGATACCATTACCACAGTCATTAATACCTTTTCTTGAATCTTATTTACCTACACAACCAAAAAATAATTTACCATTTGTTACTTTAACTTTTGCTCAATCTTTAGATTCAAAAATTAGTGCTAAACCTGGAATTCAGACTAAATTATCTCATATTGAAACTAAAACAATGACGCATTATTTGAGGTCAAATCATGATTCTATTTTGATTGGAATTGGTACAGTTATATCTGATGATCCAAAATTAAATAATAGATTTAATGATAAATTAATAAGACCAATTATAATTGATCCTTTTGGTAAATTTAATTTTAAAATTAGTCAATTATATAAAATTGTAATTGAAAAGAAAGGTTTAGCTCCATTTTTAATTATTGATGAATCTACAATGTATAATAATGATGAAGAAGATCTTATTAATAAATTTAATGGAAAAGTTATCAAATTACCATTATTACAAAACAGAAATAATAATTGGAATTTAATACTATCTGAACTATATAAATTGGGTTTAAATTCAATAATGATCGAAGGTGGTGCTACTATTATAAATGAATTATTATTACAAAAGGACTTAATCAATAGTTTGATTATAACTATTGCTCCTATTTTTTTAGGTGTTCAAGGTATTTCAATATCACCAGATTTTCAAGTTGAATTAAAAGATATTAAATGGTGGACAGGTATTCAAGATAGTATATTATGTAGTCGAATTAAATAATAATAATGATAATAATAATAATAATAATACTAATAATAATACATTACAGATATAACTACTTCAAGTATTTATTGACAACTCGGCATCTCGTTAAAATATTTTACATCCTTACTATAAACATATTCTATAAGACGCATAACGACCAGAAGTTTCTGATCTTCTTATAATTTTAACAACTTCACCTCTTTTTAATCCTAAATATCTTGCAACTGGATCTTCTCTTTGAATTCTAGGTAATTGAGATTCTTTTAATCTATATCTTTCTAATAATTCTTTTTTTTCCAATTTTGATAATTTTATATGTTTTGGAACTAATTCATGATGGGTAATATTTACAATTAAATCACTTTCTTGAAATGTTTCAATTGTTGCTGGTGTTACAGTTGGAATTAATTTATTTGCACTTGGTGTTATACCATTTTGATAAATGAAGACTCCTGTTGAAAAATTTTTATCAGATATATGAATACAAAAATTTCTCATTGTTTTAATACCAACACTTTGTTCATCACAAAATTCAACCCATAATGATCCCATTTCTGGAAATTTTTCCAATATTTCTGGGGTGGGATTTGCTTGAAAACACATTAATTTACGTTGTGGTTGTCCCATTGAATCACAAACTTTTGCTCTAAATGTTTCTAATGTCATATCTAATTCTTCTTGTGATATATAATATCCCCGATCTTTAACCATCTCTTTTACAGTTTTAAATGTTCTGAATAAACGTGAAATTGCTCTATCTGTATCATCCATGGTGTATATATATGTAATTTATTGTTTTATTGTTTTATGGTTTTATGATTTTGGTTAAAGGGTTGGTTAAATATTTCACTTCATCGAAAAAAAAAAAAAAAAAAATATTTGATAATAGATAAAAACGAGGTGCTACCATGTGTATTGTAAATATGATTATTATCATCACAAATTCATTTATATATTGTTACCTCAGGTAATATTATTTAGCATCTTTACTTTGAAGCATTCTGACTGTGACTTGTATCCTTACGAATCAAACTTTCTTCTAAATCTTAACTCTATATCACTTGAACTTTTCCAAATTTTCGTCTTTATAGTTTGTAATGTTAAATCATTACTTAATTCATTACCTTTACATTCAATAACTAACCAATCTGTTGGTTTCAATTTTTTATCCTTCATTTCTTTTGTATTGCTTTCAAATTTATCAGTTAAATAATATAATATTTTTGAAACTCTCAACATATTATGACTTGTTAATTTAATTGATGATTCCAACATTGGTAACTTTTTAATTTTTCTTTGTGATTTACCACCAATTTTAACATTTGAAGGTAATTCCAGATAATCACATTCAATTAATTGAAAGGTTATCTTTGGTGATTCTTTAATTGCTAATCTATTAAAAAGTATTGGTTGTCCAATCCATTTAGGAATGACTGAACGTAAATCAAAAATTAAATTATTTTTAATATTTGGATTACAATTTCTTAATTGATCAATATCTTTTAAATTAAATGAATATAAATCTCGAATATTTCCCAATTCTGGTGAATGTTCAAATATAATAATTAACATATCTTTAGGAAATTGTGAAAATGGTATAATTGGGAAATATTTAAATTCACAATCTTTAAATGTATTAATATTTAAATATGGATTTATTTGATCAATATTTAAAATTGAATTATTTTGTGGTTGAGGATTTGTTGATCTATCAAGATAAATTTTTTTACTAACTTGTAATAATTTCATAACTGAATCATCATAATCATTAATAGTTTTATATAATTGATCATCTGTAATATTTAAAAATTCATTTATTGGTGTTGATGGATCAATTGATAAATCAACAACACTTGTATTTGTAGAATGTAATGGGGATGATTGATTTGATTGATTTAGGGTGGTTACATTATTTCTTGATGATTTTCTACCAAATGCTTTTAATCTTCTAATACTTGAATTTATACTTTCATTTTCATCTTTAATTTCTTTTGGTTTAATTTTAAAAATTTCTTCTCTTAATAATTGATCAAATGAATTTTCAAAAATTGTATAACCATTAAATAATGAATTTAAAAGAATAATACCTAAATGAAATCGATCATCTGAATTTATCACTTCATTTTTATATTTACCAAGTCTTTCATTATTTTCAATTGATAAAAATGGATAATCTTTAATTAAATCATCATAATAAATTTCAACATTCATTAGACTTGTTTCTTTTATATTTACTAATAATTTACCACTTTTAATTTCAACTTCACACCAATTATTTAAAGTATCAAAAGTTTGATATTTTTGAAAAATTTCATCCATTTCTTTAATTCTAATTTCTATTTCTTTTAAATCAAGAATCTTTGAATTTGATTTTTTAGGGTATGGAAAATATTTTAATTCTTTACAAATTAAAATATCCCAAATTTTAATATCTCCATTTAAATATAAAGCCATTATTTGACGTTTATTATTAAAAAATCTTTTTGATATTACTGATTTAGGAACTATATCAAATTTATTACTTGGTTTAATATTAAATGGAATTTGTGTAATTTGTTCTTTTGAAATTGGATTTAATAAAATTTCCAAGGGTGTTAAATCTAAATATTCATGTAAATTTTGTAAACAAGTTTCATCTTTATATGTATTTATAAATTCTAATGATGGTCCACCATTTGTATTTAAAATCATTGATAAATAATCTTCTTTAATTTCTGATTCATTATTAGTTATAGTAAAATTATTATGAAAAGTTTTCTCAATTTGAGATAAATTATCATTATTTGTTTCAAATGATAAATGGGAAATTAAATCATAAAAATCAGAATTTAAATCTTCTCCACCTTGACCATTTGATGAATTTACAGAATCTTGATTTATCAAAACATCAATATTATTATCTCTATTATTAACATAATCTGAACAAGCTCTTAAATATTGATAATTTGATAAATTAAAAGTATTTGGTATTATATATTGATTTAAACTTTCATAATTTGAACACCATAAAGTTTCATTATTTGATTCTTTACAAATTGATAATATTGGAGTATTACATTTTGAAATTATTGTTGAAATTCCTAACTTTTCATCAATCATTGTTTTTTCATTTTTATTGAAAATATCTCCACTGAAAAACTTTTCATTTAAATCTTGATTAATAAATAAATTAGTTAAATCAGTTTTAACTATCCTTCCTGATTTATCTCCAGTATAAAATTCTGTAAAATTTTCATTACAAGTTAATGACCAAACTGGATCATCATGAATATCAAAATTTTTATAAACTTTAAAAGTTCTAAGATCCCATAATTTAATAGTTGTATCAGAACTTCCACTTAAAATATATTTATCATTCATTGCTAAACAACGTATATTATCTTGATGACCAATTAGTTTTTTAACTAAAATATCTTGATTAGCTCTTAAATCAAATACATTTATTGTATTACTTGGACCACCAGTAATTACAATATTAGAATTTGAATTTGATGCAAGTGAATAAATTGAACTTGGAAGATAATCTGAAACTCTATTATTTTCTATAATTTGTGTTGGTTTTAAAGTATTTAAATCCCAACATACTACTTTACCATCTAAACTACCACTAAACAATGTATTACTTTTAAATTTTTCATAACTTAAACATTTAATATAATCTTGGTGAACATTATTTAAATTATTAACATAATTATTGTTTAAATTGGTTATTTTTATACTTAAATCAGATGAACAAGTGATTAAATTTTGATTTTCACATAAAACAAGATCATTAATATGATCTATATGATTATTAAAAGATTTTATCACTTTATATTCATTTTTGGGTTGTTGATTATAATTTAAATAATTACTTGAAATACTTGTTTCTAATTTTAATAATTTTTCATCAATATCACTACATGTTTCAAATTCACTAATTGTATCATTTTCAATAATAATATTATTATTGTTATTATTATAATTATTATCATAATCTTTTGACCAACATTTAACTGTACCATCTCTTGAACATGTAAAAAGTTGATTTAAATCTGAAGAAAATTCAATTTTTGTAATTGGTAAAATATGATTTTCTTTAGTTTGTCTTTCTCCTATTACATAAGATAAACCTTTTTTAGTTTTAATTGAAGTTGTAAAATCATTACAATTAGTAGTAGTAGTAGTATTTGTTGAAGATGTAATACTTGAATTTGAAGGATAATTTAATTGATCATTTGAATTCAAATTTTGATGAGATTGACTATTTAACATATCTTTTGAGTAAATTCAATTAATTCAATTCAAGTCAAATCAATTCAATTCAATTCAATTCAATTCAATTCAATTTTTATGTATGTATGTATTGTATGTATTGTATGTATTCCTGTCCCTTGTTTTATCTTCAATCTTTATAATTTTTTTTTCTTTGGTTCCAATTTGGTATTCTCCCCACCCCCATCTTTTTTTTTATTTCGTATCAACTCCGTGTCAACTGGTACCAGAATAAACCGTTCCTTTTTTTTGGTCAATTAACACGTACTACTTTTTTTTTTTTTTTTTATCAATGATTATCAAAACATATATATATATCCATATATATCAATGGCTGCCAAACAATCAAAAGAAGAAATTAGTTTACAATTAAAATCAGCAGTATATTTATCAGTTGCTAAAATTGTAGAAGATCAAGTTAAACAATTAAATTTATCTGATAATTCAAATGTTACAGCTACTCCTACTTTTATTGCTCAATTAGTTGAATTGGTATTTAATCAAATTATAAATTTAGGTGAAGATCTAGAAAGTTTTGCTAATCATGCAAATAGAGATATTGTTGATTTAACTGATTTATATATGGTTACAAGAAAAAATCCTAGTTTGAAAAAATATTTGAAAGATTTAAATGTGAAGAAATAAATAGAAATAGAGATAGAGATAGATTGATTGTATTTATTGTAAGACATTGAATTGAAATTAAAGAATTGAAACTAAAGAATTCTACATAGTTTATTATTAATGGTGTTGGAATTCGCATGAACAACATTGGCTGTAAAATATTTATACATCACAGTAACATAGAGATTTTTTGTGGTCGTGTAAAATTTGCAAATAGCTAAAAGTTCAAGTTTTTGAAAACCAAAAATGCTCACCAGGTTGAATGAATGATTTCTGATAAACTTATGGTTTATTATCAAAATGATATTTGATATGTTTTAATATAATGGAAAAATATTAATAGCAACTTAGTAGCAACTTTCGTCTCGAAACATACTAATATATAAGCTGATTAGTCAACAATGCGAAAACAAAGTTACGACGTATAAACCTCTACATTTTACAGCAGTGTTCTTGTATTTGATGAAATATAAACATTTTCATGATATCTTACGACTGTAAAAATTATAACTCAAAGAAATTAAGAAAATTTACTTTTAACTTATTTGATTTGATAAAACAAAACATACAATTCTTACTGCATATAATGACATATTTGTTCTTCTTCTTCTTCTTGATATATCAACAAAAAAAAAAAGACATTCTATCTGATAAGAAAGAAAGAAGTTACAATTCCAATATATAGTGTCAATCTCCTTATCAACAACCAAACTAATTGATTGAGTAGTAATAAAATACTATAACTATTAATTATTTACTAACTATTAACTATTAACTACTAGTAAAACCATTAAATATCTCGTTAAAATTACTTAGTTTATTATAATTGGCTGAATTGGTTGAGATTATTGAAAAAAAAGAAATCATACTAAAGAAGATTGATAAAATTTGTGGGGAGATTATTTTATCTTTGGTATACATTTGCACCATATTACACGACTAGTATTAGCATATATATTTTTATTTTTTTTTTTTTTTTTTTGTTTGTTTTTTGTCGCCCCCTAAAAAATTAAAGTTGCAACCAAAAAATAAAGTATAAACGTATAATTTCCATTTTATTCAAACACTATAAATAGACATACAATTTTCTTCCTAGTCTTGTTTTTTTGTTTTCTGGTTCTTTTTTTTTTTTTAATTATTAATCATAAGTTTTAACTTATATCCACTGATAGTATTTTACATTAAGTGGTGGTCATTTTAATTTATATCGGTCATACTACGACAAATATAGTTATTCAATTTATTTTATTATTTTATTATTTTGTTATTTTATAATTTTATAGAGTATTGTTTCCAAGATGAACTACCAAGATGCTTACATTCAAGACAAAAAACGTAAATTAAGTCAAGAAATGGATTCTGATTTAATGGAAGAAAAATTAACAGCCTTGAATGTCGAGCAAAAAGAAGATATTAACATGTTGATGAATGAAGCTATTGCTACAGTTGTTGCTACTAGTCCATTAACTGTTGATGAATTAGAAAGAAGAAATAGAGCTTTAATTATGATTGAAGAATTTTTAAAGTCGGAAAATTCAGAATTAAAAAAATCTTTAAATCAAATGCAAAAGGAAAATAAAGTTCTAAAAGATGTTTTAAAAAATGATTGTCAAGTTAATTATAAATATATTAATAAATCTTATGAATAGATTTCACGAAGTAAATGTGTTATGATGTTGATGAAGTTTTGATGAAGTTTTGATGAAGTTGATGAAGAAGTTTTGATGAAGTTGATGATGAAAATTTTGTATGCTGTTTTATTCCTATAAACTATTTTGATCAATAGTTGTTACTTTTTTATTCTTAAAAATAGCTTTGTTTAAATTTATATTGTTTATATTGTAATTCATTTAAGTTCTTTACTCTAATAGTTTATTAACTTCTTTACTCTAATAGTTTATTAACTTCTTTACTCTAATAGTTTATTGTGCTGGCGTAAATCTTATCAATCTCACTCACCAGCTGCTACTTGACGCTCAGTAATTAATTGGTAAAATGAAATTATTTGGTGGATTACGTCTTAAGCGGACTTGAAGTTTTTGAAGGCTCTGTATTTGTTTTGATTGCATTATTGACTTGAAAATACTATTTAACGTTAAGGGGCTTTTTTTCTAGATTGTTCTGATTCGTCACCCCTATTTTGATCTCGAGTAAAAGGCTCTATAATGCTGGAAGTACTTCATTCCAAGCAAATAGCCTCAATGAAATCTAATCTCGTGCACCGTTAACTTGTGGCTCCTGATTTTACATTACTAGACTTTATTTGAAGAGATAGTGTTGTTCACGAAATATAAGCCAACATACTCAAAGCGATGTCGCCCTAAAAGTAACGCGAAGAAAATTCTATATTGGCACTAAGTTTGGTCGAGGATTTCAAGCTTAAAAAATAATTCTACAACAGATTAGCTTATATGCAGTGCCGTCATCATTAATCTTGAAATTTAAATTGTTAATAACTCTTTCAATATTCGAATTTTTCTTCTCAAACTAACTTCATTATAATTTCCAAACTAGTAGAGAAAATCAATGTTAATCTACGTTGAATAAACATAATTTTGATGATTTAATTCACGTTTAAAAAATGGAATAACTCGCTATTTTGCGAAGTAAATAACGCTTAGACCTGATTTACCAACTTCCAGTACAACTGATTTGGCTGATTCAGTTCCTGAAACAATATGGGTGGTGTTTTCAAGATGCTAAGATCAGTTTGAATTTTTTGCAAAAATTTCAAACCACTTTCGTAAAATTACTTTTCTAGATTTAATCACCTTAACAAAAAAATATCCGAGAAATAAAAAAACCCAGAGCTACAAAACTAAAAAGATTTATCAAATTTTAGCCAGAATGTTCAATATGGAATTAAATTCTTTGTTAGGTTAATTTATTCGATTTTTGCTCTACTTAAGAGAAAATTTCGAAATTTCACAATTTAATATAAGAGCATCTAGAATCCAGTTCAGCATCTTTGATTGGGGTATAATATATAAAAGCAGTAGCTTAATTGAAACTTATTGCCCCAAATAAAAAAATATACTGTGTTACGTTTTTCGAAAAATTTTTGTATGGTGAAAAAAAGCCAAAAAAACACGTTGCAAACAAGGTTTTAAAATTAGAATTTTAAAGTATGTAAGATATATAATCCACGGCTCTAGATCTCATATAAATGACTCTTAACCAGAGAGATTACGTTGTTATTGAAATATGTATCAATTTATGTGTCACGAGCTCGTTCCAGCTAGCACGAGAAATTATTTTGTCGCACAAGATTTATCGCACTATAAAATCTTGTCACAAAATAGAAAATGAAGATTTATCAAGTTATAATATTATAGACGTTTTACAAACTTCAAAAAATGCATAAAAAAAAAAAAAAAAAACAAATTGCGCGTTTCAGATCTGAGATCTGACACAAAAATAATTATACCGAGAGCTGAAAAAACCCGTTATTTTCGGCAGTTTTAAATAATGGCTATGTGCTCAATACCTACTCAAAATTTACTGTTTTTGGTACCATTCAAATGAGAATCGTGAGCTCAATCTGAATTTGATAGTTATAAAGCCACAGCTTTTTATGTTTTTAACAAAACATAGATTTTACTACTTTCTGACCACACATTTTGCTCCCGACTCCTCGTTTAAAAAGCTTTTGATGTTTGATTTGTTACAAAACTTCACGGCGTATTTTAAATAGTTGTTTTTACTCAAATTGGTTGCTTTATTAAATATTTCGAATGTCTTACGACAAAAACTAAGGGGCACTGCCAATTCATAGCGCTAGAAAATATATTGCATTACAAAATTATAAAATTTTAAATAAAATTAGAAACCAGCTACAATCTGACGTATAAATTACCTTTATTGCTAGCAAAAACATAATTCTTTTGTATATGTAACTTTTTATTAGATTATAATTTGAGTTAATTTTGATGGATAGATGCTTCGACGCGATAAAATAATTTTTCATATTAGCACTAAAGCGACTCGTACTAAACTCATTAGCTTATACATCAAGGATTACACATTCTCTTCAGATGAGTGCTATTTATTTAAAATCGGGATCCTGAATAATATATCCTATATACTTCAAATTCTGGATTTCAGATATTTTTTATTTCGATTTGTATTTTTGGCCCTTTTTCACCTTACAAAAAGTTTTCGTAAAATGTAAATCTTTACAATTTTTTATTTAGGGCCATAATTCACAATTAACCAATGGATTGTATATATTAGACCTAAATCAATGATCCTGGATTTAATTCTAGCTGCACTTAATTAAAATTGAGAAATTTCAAAATTTTCTCGTAAGTGTGGGATAATTCGAATAAATTGACGTAGAAAAAATTCTAATGCCACATCGAACATCCAGACTAAAACATGATAAAACTAACCAGTCTATAGTTCTGTTTTCCGATATTTTTAAATTGTTATAGTTAGGGTCTCTGGGATTGAATAAACCGAATCAGCTATATTTGAAGTTGCTAACTGAAGTCTAAGTGTTGATTGTCTCTCAAAATAGTGTCTTTACCTTTTCTTAAATGAATAATAAAATCATCAAATTTGTATATATATCCTGCCCCGATTAGTTTCAAAACACTCTAAGTAATTCTACAATTAAAATGAAGTTAGTTTAAGAAAGAGAACTTGAATTTTGATGGAGTTATTAACAATTCAAAACATGAATAATTATGGTGGTACTGCATATAGGCAAATTTGTTTCAGAATTGTGCAAGAAAATATATTTTCCAGTGCAAAAAAATTGGCGTGACTATGCAATCTCTCGCGCTATGCTTAAGGCGTCGTCGCCCCAGATCTATCGTCTCAAATACTATGAACATCGCAATAAATATTTGTTTAATAAGATCAAGTTGCCTTGTTTTATATATTCTTTGTCAAATTTTAAAGATCGCCTTATACTCTTTTCTTCTCTTCCTTATGCCAGTTTCAAATCTATCCTTTTAAAATGAATTTAGTATAAACTCTTTAGCTATGATCAGATTTTCAAATTGAGGATTTGCTATTGATTTGCTTAGATTTTGCTCACGTTTTAATCTTAAGATAAGCTAAGTTGTAAAATAAAGAGATGGGTCTGAATTGTTACCTTTTGCTTTACTTCATTATAAAGTTTCTTAGAAAATTACTGAATGGCTGCAAAAAAAATATACCAACTTTCACTTGAGAATATACAACCGCCATTTTAGGTATAGTCCTCGTATATACTGATATATCAACTTTTATAGTTTATGAAGAGGTTTCCATTTGCCTTTGACATCTTAAGATTTTAGATAGATTGAATCATTTTAAAAATTGCCTTTCAAATGATGGTCGGTGATAATTAAATTGCTTTGTGTAATAGTTGTTTACCGCTTCATTCTGATAGCGTGTTAGATTATCACTGTACAATTCGGTATCTGTTAACAATCAATAGATTATAATGTTTGTATAGTTTCGGATCTGTTAACAATCAATAGATTATAATGTTTGTATAGTTTCGGATATAAACTTTTTTAGTTTTGTGTAATAACGTTTAATTTTAGTATGCTCGGTCTTGTTTAAATTTTTTCCGCGACTAATTTGGTAATAGTACTACTGTTAGCCCCACAATATATTATCAAAATCTTTCGTCCATTATCCACAGAATATAAAAAGACATTACATTTTCCACTTTTACATAATTTAGTTAATAGGTTTTGAATATCTTTACCATGTCTGATTCTGCTGATATAACCTATACTGTTCAAGATAAAATTGTTGTTATTTCACTTCAAATACCAACTAAATTAAATGCGTTAACCCATGATCAATATATTCAATTAGGTAAATATTTAGAACAATCAAATGAAGAAGAAGACACAATTGCCACAGTTATACAATCTTCAGGTAGATATTTTAGTGCTGGTGCTAATTTTGGAGAAATTGGTAAAGGTCAAGATAGTTCCAAATTATTTACTCATGAATATTGGTTAGATAGATTTGTTGCTAGAAACGTCTGGTTAACTAATGTTTTCAATGATCATAAAAAAATATTAATTGCTGCTATTAATGGTCCAGTTATTGGATTATCATCAGCTTTAGTATTATTGTGTGATTTAATTTATGTTAATGATTTATCAAAATTTTATTTACTAGCCCCATTTGCAAATTTGGGTTTAGTTGCTGAAGGTTCATCATCTGCAACTTTGTTTGCTAGATTAGGTTGGTCAAAATCTTCAGAAGCTTTGTTATTAGCTAAACCTATAAATGGTCAAGATTGTTTTAATGCAGGTTTCATTACTAAACATTATAATGGTAGATTTGGCACTAATGTTGATGAATTTAACAAAACTGTCGTTAGTGAAATTCAAGAAGCTGTTAAAGATTTACATGATGATTCAATCTTACAAAATAAACAATTGTTAAAATTAAACAGAGATCAATTAATTAATGCAGCAAATTCTCAAGAAGCTCAAAGAGGTTTATATAAATGGTTACAAGGTGTTCCACAAGCCAAATTTGCTCAATTGGCTACAAAAGAAAAGAAGCATAAATTGTAAACAAATGAATGATTAACTTCGTATCTTCATATGGCTATTTATTGTTATATTTATTTGGTTATAAAATATAGATTATAAGCTTTGTTTTCTGGTGATGAACAAATATATTCTTTCAACTCTTCCCCTAACTTGTCGATAATCATTTTCGTGATTCTTGTCTAAACCTAGTTTTGTGACGCTTTCCTTTAAAATTTTAGCTTGTTGCAAAATAATCACAAAACACGTCAAAAAAATTTGAACATTTTTGGCGAAGTTTAAGTTGAAAACAACCAGGAATATATCACAATTATCTGAATTTTAAACGAAATTCTACAAAAATAACTGAAAAATGTAATAAATGAACCAATGGAAGTTTTTTTTATTTATTGATTTCTAATTTTGACCTTAAACAAATTTTTCGTTGAGAGACGCATTTAATTCGTCAATTGTTCAATTTTCAAGGAAGAAAAAAGCCATAGTCTTCAGTTTTTGTTAAGAGTATCTGATTTCACAGTCAATAAACTACTTCAATTTGCAACACCAATGGATAATTTTGCAGCCTAAAATATTTTTTCCTAATTGGGAATATTAATTATTCTCTGAAACACCAAAAAAAAAAAAAATAAAATAAAAAAAAATACCGTGTCACGAAGAAACGGTTTTTTATAGAAACCTTTCAATTAAATATAAAACCAAAATGATATCCAGATTTATTGCCAATTAATCAAAAGTTTTTATTACATTTCAGTTCATCTTATTCGTTTCTAATTTCATTTATTTTACATTCACTCGTTTATAAAAATATCCATTAATGTATTATTATTATTATTACCATGAATTCACCTGTAAATACGCCTACAAAAAAAAGAGTAATCAAAGATATATCCAATAATTATGATAATAGTCATCATTTATTAACACCCACTAGAACACCAAGTAAGAAAAGAATAAAGTTAGATGTTACTGATGCAAAAAAACCATCATGTGTTAAGAAATTGAATTTTGATAATTTACCACCAACTCCAAATGAAAAAGAAAGTCCTTTTTATTCATTTGCAAAATCATTATTTCAAAGAGGTGCAAATACAATTTTATATAATGATAAATTTGAATTGATAGGTAGAGAAGAAGAAGCACAGGAAATTAATAATTTCATATCTACAAATTTAAAATCAAATCGATCTTCAAGTTTATATATATCGGGACCACCAGGTACTGGTAAAACAGCACAAATCAATTTATCATTGAGCAAATTTGAAACTCAAGATAATGTCAAAATTGTTCAAATTAATTGTATGACATTAAATCAACCAGATTCAATTTTTCATGAAATTTATTGTCAATTAATAAATAAAAATTCTTCACTTACACTTTTTAAAAAAAAGAAAACTCATCAAGAATTTATAGATTATATAAATGAAGAATTTAAGAAAGACCATATAATTTTAATATTAGATGAATTAGATTCATTAATTACTAAAGATCAACAAGTTTTATATAAATTATTTCAAATAGCTTCAAAAAATCAAAAATTGACTATAAATACTCAATTTTCATTTATTGGTATATCAAATACTTTAGATTTAAGTAATAAATTATTACCAATTTTAATTAAATCAAACTTATTACCTGAAACATTACAATTTTTACCATATAGTTCAAATCAAATAAAATCAATTATTGAAAATAGATTAACTAGTAATAATTTATTAAATTTATTTCAACCTATTGCATTACAATTTTGTTGTAGAAAATCATCAAGTATATCTGGAGATTTAAGAAAATCATTTGATATAGTATATAAATGTATTGAAATGATTGAAAAAGAGAAAGTTAAACAAATTCAAATGGGTCATGTTGCAAAAATATGTGTATCTACATTTGAAAATAATCCATTAAATAATCTTAATTTTCTTCAAAAAGTTATATTATGTCAATTATTTAATTATCAAATTGAAATGAAAGAAACTATACATACAAGAATTAATTTATTTTATGATTATTATAGAAGACAACAAGAAGAAAAGAATTTAAAAACAGTACTTGGAGCAATTAAATTTAGTGAATTTATAGAAATATTAAATGCATTAGAAAGTAATTGCTGTATTAATTTAACTAATAATAATAAATTAATTAAATTAAATATTAAATATGACGAATTAAAGAAATCAATTGAACAAGAAGATTTATTAAAGAAAATACTTAAGTAAGTCAATAAAAAGTTGAATCAATCATCGTCTAATATATATTAATGAATTTACGACACACAGTTTACGACACACAGTTTACGACACACAGTTTACGACACATAATTACGACACTCAGTTTATGACACAACTCTTAACCAGTAACATATTATTATATAATCTCTTACATAACTGTTCCATAATAATCAAATTTTCTCACTCATTAAAAAAAAAGAACCAGAAAAAAAAAAATCAACAAAAAGTAATAAAAGTAACAATAAAATTAAATATTGAATTTTTATCAAAAAGACTTATTATTGTAATTTCATTACACCTATGAAATTTCTTTATAAATGTCATCCTCATCTCGAAATTATGTATCAAATAATACAAATAATAATACCAATAACAATAGTAATACCAACCATAATAACTATTATAAACCATATTATAAACAACAACAAGATAATAATAACCAGCATCATCGACAACGACAACATCCTCAACTTAATAACAACACATGGAATTCAAGAGATTATGTGAAAAAACCATTACCATCCTCAAATTCTCATACTTATTCATCATATATACCCAAATCCAAATCTACTTCACCACCCCCATCAATACTACATCAACCTGAATCAATACGGAATAATAAATCAAATATACTACCGTCAACTAAACAAGAAAAAATTGAACCAAAAATTGAAGAAAATACAGAAGTAGAAGAAGTTGAGATAAAACCAATTATCAAAGAAGAACCAGTTATAGAAGAAGAAGATACTACATTCGTCAAACGACCCTTGAATAAATTAGAATCAGAATTTGAAGATTTAAAAGAAAATTTTAAAAAATTAAAACCAATTAACCAGTGGGTACCTCAAAAATTTAGTCTAAATAAAAAATTATTAATAAATTTTAAATTAAATAAAGATAAACTCACTAAAGAGCTAAAATCTCAACATGTTCAAAACTTGAAAAGAAAGCAACTTTTACACTCAAATTATCAAGTACTACAAAAAAGAGCACAAGAAGAGAGGATAAAAATGGATCAACAATTGAAAATATTAAATAAAGATAACCATTTAAAAAATGAATTAGATTCAAATATAAATAACTCATATCTAAATCAACCTACATCAGGAACAAAAGATGAAGAAATGAGTGGGAGTGGCAATAATATAAGTTTACCAACCTTATCGTCACGAAGAAGCAGTAGAAGACATGGTGATTTGATTACTTCAGAAGCTGAATTTCAAGAAATTTTATTAAGTTTGGGTAAAGAAAATGATGAAGACCCATTAGTTAAAGCTGAAAAAGTTGCTGCTGCCATACCAGACCTTATAATTGATCCAATTGAAAGAAATAATCTCAAATATCTTGATTCAAATAATATAATTAAGGATAAAAAGAAGTGGAGTTCAAGAGTTAAATCAGATTTTACGGTACATTTTAATGAAAAAGAACATGAATTGTTTACTGAAGGTTTTTGTTTATATCCAAAAAGATTTGGTGCAATTTCTAGACATATGGGTGGTTTAAGAAGTCCAAATGAATGTGTAATATATTATTATCAAACAAAAAAACTTTATAATTATAAAGAATTGGTGATACAATTTAGAAAAAAAGCAAGTAAAAAAGGTAGAAAACTGAAGAAAACATCAATCACATCAACTACAAAATCACCAGCTCCTGAAATTGACGCTCCTAATAATATTATTCCCGTGACTATTGAAAGTTCAGAAATAGATACTCCAATTGAATTGCAAATGAGTCAAGATACACCAATATTAAACTTAACAGAAGAATTATATACTGAAACTGGTAGAAGAAAAAGAGCTGCTGCACCGACAAGTTTTGAAAAGAAATCACATAAAAAAGTTAAAACTTCAAGAATTGAACCGGAGGATAATGCATCAATAACCGATATTGATAAATCAAATGTTGCAACTGGAACTGCTCCTCTATCAACACCTTCACCTTCAGCAATTTCCACTGATGATGGTAAACGTAAAACAATTTCTTCATACTGGAGTATTACGGAAGCAAATGCTTTTCCTAAATTATTGGAAGAGTTTGGTACTAGATGGACAGCAATTGCTGATAAAATACAAACAAAATCAACTACAATGGTTCGAAATTATTATTCAAGAAATGCTGAGAAAAATGGATGGACTATTATTGCAGAAGAAGCTGATTTGAAATATCAAAAAGAAAATCCACCACCACCACCACCTACAGAACAACCACAAGCTCAACAACCACCACCTCAGTCTCAATCTCAATCTCAAACTCATCCTGCACAACCTCAACAAACTTCATATACTATTCCACAAATCCATTATGTACAACAACCTATTCAACAACAATATATTCCTATTGGAACTTTTCATAACCCAATGCCAAGTATTTCAAGTATAATTCAGCATCAACAACCTCATATTTATCATCAACAACCACCATTGGTTCAACATCAGCATGTAAATCCTTCAATTAATAATTTATTATCAGAACCACCTACACAACAACAACAAAGTCAGCATTATCCATATTATCAACCTCAATATCAACAAATTCCACAATCACGCCCACCGCAACTACAAAAAATTCCACCAGTTAAAAGTTCAATTATGAGTTTATTGAATGACCCAAGTCCAACTAAACAAAATCAACAAGAATCATCACAATCATCATCTTTACCACCACCACAATTAACTAGACCAAAAACGAAGTTGCATGATTTATTAAATGGTCCTGATCCTAATGAGAATACGAATCCCACAGCCTCTGTTTCACCATCAACCAATCAACAACAACAAAACAGCAATAATAATAATGGTTCCACTGCTAATACTACTTTTAAAAGAAGTGGAATTGCTAGTTTGTTATCTGACTAATCTTAATCTCAATACTAAAATTCTTATATATATATCTGTATTATTAATAAATATTTCAAAATGTAAATATCAGAATCACATTTAGTTTTGCGAATACTGAATAATTCATTGGTTAAAACCAATCTTTAACTTTGTATATTGTTTCAAATTTCAAATTTTGCAACCAAATTTTTTGTCGTGTTAATCGAACAATTTTTGAAAAATTTTGAAACTATCAAAAGCTTTTAAAAATAGTGGTTGTTGTTAAATGATGGCTTCAGGGTTTATACGTAAACAACTTGGAGTGATACTACCAAGAAGAACATTTTACCAATCGTTTATAAAATTTAATTCCATACCCGAATCTCAACTACAAGCACAACCACAACAAACCAAACCTAGACTAATTTTCGATGAACAAACTAGATCTCCAAGAACAAATAGAAAACCAAAACAAAATCCATTTCAGATTACAGAAAATTTAACACTTCCTGAATTAAAAAAAACTAGAATTGTACCTGAATTAGAAACTTTTTATGGTGGATCACCAATTCATGAATCAAATTTAAATAAAGTAACTCAATTATATCAAAGGTTTAAACATTTACCAACTAGAATATTGACACCTCAAGAGATTGAATCAAACAAATTTATAACTTTTGAAGAATATAAGAAAAGAACTTTGAGTGGTACAAGGGTCAGAAGTGTTCAATTTAAAGAATTAATTGACATGTTGGCAAGATTAAGAAATATTGAATTTGAGTTATTACCCAAAGAAGTAATTGACGTATTGAATGAGTTTAAAGATCCAAATATAAGTAAAAACTCCCAATTGAAAAATTTTAAAACTTTGGACAGTTTCGGTAGAGCCAAGGCTATTGCAAAAAGAAAAAATTCAAGAGCTATTGTTCATCTAGTTAAAGGTGATGGTAAAATTTTAGTAAATGGTATCAATGCAATTGAATACTTTCCAAATGTGTATAATAGACAATCTTTAACTTATCCGTTTAAAGTTGTGGATCAAGAAAATCAATATAATATATTTGTAAAAGTTTCTGGGGGTGGTATGACTGGTCAAAGTGAAGCTGCAATGTATGCGGTAGCTAAAGCATTAGTTATATTTAATCCATTATTAAAATCAAGATTAAGAAAAGCTGGATTAATGACTGTTGATAGAAGAAGAGCAGAACGTAAGAAACCAGGTAAAATGAAAGCAAGAAAATCACCAACTTGGGTTAAGAGATAAGAAAATCATTCGTGTATATATTCTATAAGGAGTCTAAATATAAAAGGACATTCTTTAATTCGCCTTTTTCAAATTTTAATATTTTACCTTGAAATGAAGTTCCTTTACCTCCACCTTTAAGATTGGTTATTCTTTGTTTCATTTCTTTTTGAATTTCTTCAGATTTTGGACCAAGTACTTTAATCATTGAGTTATTTAATAATATCAATGTATGTTTTGATTTTAGGTCAATATCTTCTTTATTTGAATTAATTAATGTACTTAATTCTTTTTGGACAATTGACAAGTAATCAGAAGCATCGTCTCTATAAACATAAGCAGCATCCTTACTCTTGAATGTTTCAACTAATTTCTTTGCTTCGATATTTGCCAATTCCTTTAATAAATTATTATTTGTACTTATTGATTTCTTATAATTTGCATTTAACAATTCAATTTTATCACATACATCTTCAATAGCACATGATAGTTGAGCACCTGCATTTTTCAAAAAATCATTTTGCTTTTTCAAATACTTTGAAACTCTTGAACCACAAGTGAAATATAATCTAGAATGCCCTCCACGAATAGGAGATTGATGTAACAACACAATAGATTGAATTTGTCCAGTTGTTTGTAAATGAGTCCCACAACATGGATTAGCATCTAAATCACCAATTTTCACAATTCGAATAATTCCTTTTGAAGTGTCATAATCATCTGGAATATGACTAGTATCTATTTCCTCACCATGATCCTCAGGAGTAACAACTTTGATTGGTAAGTTTTCAATAATTAATTCATCTACTTTGTCTTGAACTTGTGAAATAATAGTGTCATCTATTTTTTTAGGTAATTCAATATAATTCAATTCTGATTCACCCATTGACCAACTTAAAGTTTCTAAATCATACGTATCAAAAACAGCACTTAATAAATGTTGACCAGTATGCTGTTGCATGATATCTATTCTTCTACTCCAATTTAATTTTAAATCTACTTTTGTCCCTGGCCCAATTAGTTCATCGACCAAATGTATGGCTCGAAGGTTTTCACGTAATACCGATTTAACTTGTATAGTTTTATTATCTGGTAATATAATCGTACCTTGATCAAATGGTTGTCCACCACCTTCTGGAAACAAAATTGTGTCTTCTAATTCGACTGCAAATTCTTTACGTCTTTCATTGTTTTGAGTTTGTTTATCCTTGGAAGTTGGAGGTGGCACAATTTCAGAACTTGCTATAACCCTTGTTGTAAAACTCTTCAAAAATGAGTTTTTTTGACATGCTAATGCTCCCACTATGGTAGAAGTTGACATTGAGTTGAACAAATGAGATGAAAAGCGGAAAAGCGGATTTTTTCAGATCTGACTAAAAAAAAATGGCTGCGAAAAGATTTGATAAATAAATAAAGTGTTTATTATTTTCTACTTAATGAAAATCCTATAATTATAGATGTCGCCAAAACTGCTAATGCCCCAGGAATTAATATTTCATTCGATATACCAGGTATAAACTCACTTTTGATTTGTTCTTTTTGCTTTCTTTTCTTTATTGGTTCTATTTCTGGATGATTATTTGGATTATGTAAGTATAAATTTATAATTTCATTTTCTAATTTTTGATTAATCTTTATACAATCAGTTAAATCATGACTTGAAGTTATAGAAACTATATCACCTTCATCATCAATGTAACTAATAGAAAATGAATCACTATCCTCTTCAATGTCCAATTTTTCATAATCATTTGAATGTAATTTTGCAACTATTAATGATTTTAAATGTTCTAAATCATCTTCCAATTTTAATGAGATTCTATGTACCCTACCTTCAAAAGCTGATGATTTGAATTTGAAAATATATTGTTGGTCTACTTTTGCAATTGATGATGTTGCAGCAGGTTGTTTTTTAGTTGGTGAATCAATATGTGAAATTGAATCTGACGGTTTTAGATCAATATTAAATGATTGAGATTCATTTGGTGTTATATCTGGAGCTTGTTGCTGAGTTGAACTATTTCCTTCGAATAACAATGAGTCAGAATGTATTGATTCAGAATCTTCAGTATCTAATCCAGTCCAAAATTTATTCCATGCTGGTCCTGAACTTTCCTGTTGTGTTGAATTTACATTTTCTTTTTCTTCCAAATGTTTAATTTGATTCAATGTAGCATATGTTAATTTTAAAACATCAACAATTCCAATAATATCGTCATCATCTCCAACAATTGGTAAATTTAAATAATGACCTTCAAACATTTTTCTCAATGCTTGTTGAATAGGTAAATGTATATTAGCAACATCAGGTTGTGGAGTCATGACTCTAATAATACTACACTTTTTTGGATCTAATCCATTTGCAATTACTCGTAACACACAATCTTTTGACGTGAATATACCTGCAACTTCATCATTTGAATCTTTAACTAATACTGCTGTAGTTTTATTTTCCTTCATTAATATGGTAGCTTCATATACAGATGCTTTAACATTAATATAAATGGGTATAGTTGTATGATCCAATACGGTATCTAATGTTGGACCATTCATTTTATTTTTCAAATTTTCAAAATATTGAAAAATATGTTGTGGTTGTTCATTGAAACCCATTTCATTGTGAACTAAATCTAAAGCTTCATATAGCTGTTTACTTGAAGCATGCATTCTTTCCAATTTTTCCATTTGCTGTGCATAACATTTTGTAATATCTAAGACACCAACAATTTGATTTTCATCATTTAAAACAGGTAAATGTCTAAAACCTTTTTCAACCATCAAAGTTAATGCTTCACTAGCTGGATTATTTGCATTTGCACAAATTGGATTTGGTGTCATAATTTGATCAATTGTAGCTACATTAGCATTTAAACCAGAACCTACAATTCTAAAAGCAACATCTTTAGAAGTGAAAATACCTAATAACTCGCCAATGTCATTTACTACCAAAACACAATTTTCTCTTTTAGCTGTCATTATTTGTGAAACTTCATATACTGTAGATCTAGTTTTACATATAATTGGATCACTTGGTTTTAAACTTAACACAGTACCAGGTTGAGCTTTTTTATGTTTAACTTTATTTGATATATTATTACTAGTATGTTTCTTTTTATTTAAATCATGTTCTATTTTTCTACGTATAGCATCGTCTCTTTTATTTTGTCTTTTACGTGAATCTAATTGATGTTGATGATGTTGTGATTGTAAATGTGATTGATTTGACATATTATCACTTTTCGTAGGGCTATTTAAAGATGATTGAGATGAAGAATATGAAAATGAAGGTTTTTTCTCAATCATTTTGGACATTAATAAGACCAGACCAAATCAACTACTTATGAAAATTTTCTTATACTATAGTATACTGAAAATCAATAGTAATAGGTAAATTTGATAATTAATAAATCAAATTCGGTTAAAAAGTAAACAATCAATATTTTAGATATGCACGACATAACTAATATGCTACCAGTTGCTTTAATATTGGAACTATTACTACCTATTACTACAATCAAGTAAGATCAATCGAATATCAACCAAGTTTACTCATCAATAGTGTTTTAGGTTTGTAACTATTATATTGGATACCATAATCTTTTAAAATGGCCAGGCGCACATAAAAAGCGATTAAACATCTATTTTTGAAAAATAATTAAACAACAGTTTGAATTACATCCAACTAACTTCACACTATAAACATCGAGAATGAATAAACATTACACATTTGAAGTGAAGCTCGATAGTTAGTTATACTGACTATTTTCAATGATTTTGGTTATACTGACTATTTTCAATGATTTTGCAGCTAAAACCAAACGAAAATTTTAATGCGAATAATTTATAATTTTGATACGAAAAAATTATTTTCAACACCAGACAACAATTTATGATCCATGACAAAGTTTGAGTTAACTACTAAAATTAAAGATACAATATTAAAATCAAATGGTGATTCAGAATATAAAACAAAATTGTTATCCGACTCATATATTAGTCATGTAAAGTTAATGGATTTTTATAAAAAATGTAAACCAACTGATTCGTTGCTAGATTTAATTAAACAATCAAAATTATGTATTGAACCATACAAGGTTGAAGTGCGACCAAAATCAAAACAATTTATTAAACAAATGGAAAGATTAAGACTAGAAGAAAAAGAGCGAGAGTATAAAAGGTTAATTAATCCACCACCCGAATATAATACGTTGTATGAATTAAAACTAGAAGATGAATTAATAACACCACAACAAGCTCATAAAGAATTGAAAAATCAATTGACCACTATAGTTAATATCATGGTTAGTGTTGGTAGTGTTTCATATGCTATTTGGTATTGGACCAAATCATCATGGGGTTTAAAAGAAAGTTCTCGAGTTTTAGTAACAATATTTTTTGGTTTATTAATATTAATAGCTGAAGTTGTTGTTTACTTGGGTTATATAAATAAGATTGAAGATGCCAGAACTAAGGAAAGAAAGAAAAAAGAAATCAAGAAAGTTTTACGTAGTATTGATTTAACAAATTAATCAAAAGGTCTAAAATTTTGCGACCATATAAATATTTGTTTTGGTTGTGAAAAAAAAAGCAAATTTATTATCACATCTTTTTATCAATAATATCATATAATTGCAATGGCGTTAAGCTCAAATCCATTAAATGCCACTATATTATCATCATTATTTTTAAAAGTTCCAATATTTGCATATATCATTGGATTTTTTCAAGATTTTGTTTTTTCAATTTTAAAAACAGGTCCAATTCCAAGACATGTTGCATTTGTTATGGATGGTAATAGAACATATGCAAAGAATCATAGATTACCATTAAAAGAAGGTCATTTTGCTGGCGCCAATTCATTAGTTAAAGTAGGTTTTACCTATTAAATTTAAATACTCTTTAATACTAACCGCTATAGATTCTTGAAATTTGTTACAAGTCTGGTATTAGTCAAGTTACAATTTATGCTTTCTCATTAGAAAATTTTAATAGATCAAAAGATGAAGTGGATATATTATTTGGATTATTAAGAGATAAATTAAAATTATTGGCTGAAAATGAAGATTCATATACTAGATTTAATAAAATTAGAATCAAAATTATCGGTAATAAATCATTTATTCCACCAGATATTCTTAAAGATTTAGAACATGTTGAACAAATTACTCAAGATAAAGCAAGTAAAAAAACTTTGAATGTTTGTTTTCCATATACTGCAAGAGATGAAATCACTTATGCAATTAAATCAATAGCTGAGAAAAGAATTAATGGTGAAATTTTAAAACGTGATGATATCAATTTAAAAACAATTGAAAACAATTTTTATTTCGGTGATGATGTACCACCATTAGATATTTTAGTTAGAACTAGTGGACATACTAGATTAAGTGATTTTTTATTGTGGCAATGTAATACAAATTGTACAATTGAATTTCCTGATACATTATGGCCAGAATTTGGATTTATTAGTATGGTTTCAATTTTATTTAAATGGAGTTATTATACAACATTAAGAATTGAAGAAGAAATAATGGATGGTAAAAATTTAGAAGCTGCTCAACAAACTCAATCACCTGTTTTATTAAGAGATCTACCACAACCACCACCTGCAACATCAGTTTCCAAAAAGAAATGAACATCTATTAACTATTTACAATTGATTTTGTTGAATTTGTTGGTTTTTTTGGTCTTGCTTCATTTTTGCAATTAATTTATTATATTCAGCTTGTTTTTGTTTATCATCTCTTTCTAAATTCAAATATATATTTGGTGCAGTAAAATCGTCTGGTCTTAAAACTATTGAATTTGGATTTCGTTCATTTTTCCATCTTAAACTTACTTGATTTTCAATTTCAATATATAAATCTTTAAGGTTATGACTTTTACTTATTGTATAATCATTAATTTCAAAACCTAAATTACTTTCTAATGATTTGATAAAGTCAAATCTAAATTGTAAATCATCTAAATTGATAGTTTCATAAGAATCATATTTTATGTCTTGATTTGTTAAAGCTTTATATTGTTCATTTATTATATTTTGTAATTTTTCTTTTGATTCATAATACGATTCAATTTGATATGGTTTTAAATTTAAAATTTTCCAATTTTTAATCTTATAATCTATTCTCTTTTTGTTTTTAATTGATTCAAGGTATTCTTTTGAATTTTGATAATTTAAAATTTCAATTGATTCAGATAAATTTAAATCTTCTTTTTGAGTAGCTTCTATTTTCTCTTGTCTTTGTTTTAGATTTTTTGACCCTCCAAATATATCACCAAACCAACTTAATGATCTTGTAGATGTTATTATTGTTCTTTTAGGTATTATTCCAATCATGATATAATTTACTATAAAAAAAAAAAAATATTAAAATTTTTCAATGTACGAGAAGTTGCAAAATTACACTACTGGCTGCAAAATATATTTCTAATATCTATACAATCTTCTTTCGTTTTAAGAAAGAAAATATGAATAATCCAAGTATAAGATAAAGACCAATTCCTATCCCATGTGAATAATTTGAATTTGAAGTATTGCTTGATAATTCTCTTTTAAAATTGCTGCTATCTGGATTATTTGTCGATGTTGGTAAAGAACTTGTATATGTTTCAGTCGTATATATTTCTGTAGGTACTGTCGTTTCATTTGGGGTTGAAGATGCAGTACCTCCTGATGAATCTGATGTAGTAACACTAACTTGACCAATATCACACCATCCATTGACTGGTATACAATTGAAATATTTACACCATTCACAATTATTACCTTGATCTAAATCACTATTGAAAAAGTTTTTACTTAATAATACAAAATAAATAATCATCAAAACTAATGCAATTGTTCTTACTCCAAACCATGTATATAATCGTGTTGGAATCTTATCTTCAACTGCGAAAAATGGATTCCAATTATTTATAAATTGTTGCATAGTAGTTGGATCTCTTCTATAAGTTATTATTCCATCTTTATATATCCAAAATGGGTCTTTTAAAAAACCTATAGCTGTTAGTATACCCACTACAAATCCACCTAAATGACTAAAATTATCTAAACCAGGTAGTAGACCAAGTACAAATGAAACAATAATTTCAGCAACCATTATACAAATAAATAATGTATAATGTTTTGTTCCAAACATATTTGTATTCTTTCTACCAGTATAAATGAAAAGTATAATTTCAGTTGCAACAATACCAAATAAACTTCCAGATGCACCAGTTGAAGCAATTCCTTGTGGAGTAAAATTTGCACCTAATAAAAATCCACCAATACCACTTGCGATATATATAATTGCATATTTCAAAATTCCAATATTTCTTTCTAGTGATGCACCCATGGTAACTTGTAATAATAAATTGAAAATTATATGTAGAAATCCAGCATGTAAAAAAATGGGAATAAATACTCTATACCATTGATTGGGTAAAAATTTTGAACCTTCAACAGGTAATTCTGACAATCCGCATAATTGACTCAAATTACATACATAAGTATCTACAGATGTAGAATTTGCACAAGGAAATAATATTGATGTATCATCAGTTAGATTTTGAATCTGATGCATACATGGTACATATCTAGCACCCATATTAATTAATAAAGAAGCTGATGGTCCCAACATTGGATTAAAGTATGGTTCTGTTTGAAATGCTGAACCTGTTAGTATTGACAGTTTCGCTAATTCGACTATAAACACAATGACTTGAATTAACGTTACTATTATTGTAAAATATGGTAACCTAGTATAATGAAATCTTGGTTTTCTCCGTAAAGTTTGTAATCTATTTTTCTCATTTCTTTTCAATCTATGTTTCAAATCTCTATCATTATTATTTTCTAATAAATCATTTTGACTATTATTAAATGGATTTGAATTATGAGGTGACAAAGGTAGTAGTATATTATCATAATTTCGTGGATTTGTAAATTCATCACTAAATGGGTCATTAAAATTGGATTCTTTATTTTGTAATCTTGGAGTTGGTGGTAAATCTCGATTTAAATCAGCCATTTCAAAATTATTGACCTTTGGTTGATGATGATATATAGAATCGTATGGATATTGGAGACTTTGTTGAGACATTAAAGTTCTTGAATCGTTAGTTAATGGTGGTGTTTGATTATAAGATTTTAATAAAGATTGGGAATAGTTTTGCGGGGTGGCAGTTGATGTAATTTCTGAATTATAAGATCTTGATCTCGTATTAGTTGGAGGTGATAAAAAGCTCTCTATCGACTCATTTGAATGATTATTCATATTATTAACTAATTACAATAAATAATACTTTAATATAGTAAGATTTTAAAAAGGTTTGGAATAACAATAAATTGGTAATTGTCAATTTAAGAAATCAAAAATATAAAAATAAAAAAATATAAAAAAAAAAAAAAATAAAAAAATAAAAAAAAAAAAAAAAATATAAAATTTCTTTGTTTTCGTCATTTGATTCTTGATATGTTGCAACGCCATGTAGTAACAGATAGTTTTGGTTCTTATGTTAATCTGTTTCGTAGAGTAATCTGTTTCTACTCTTGATTTATTCTTGTTCAATTTATGTTACTAATTTGTTACAAAACAAGACGTGTCTTTCCTCGAAATGGCTTTACAAATATTTATGAACAGATTGAGAAATAAATCTTCCCAATTTGGTAATTTTGTCAAGTTTGACACGTAAAATTTAAAACAGTTTAAACTTCAGGGGTAATTTTATCGCTAAAAAAAAACAATTGTTTTGCCCTTTCATCGGTTTTTTTGCAGCCATTGCATTTAATGATTGACCATATAATCAGACCTATACTTAGAATATAATTACATTCGTTAACATTAGTAGTACTGTAATCACCTTTTAATTGCTTGATCGATATTTTTACTTTTGATGGCATAATTCGTTTTGGATTCTAGATTTAGATGGCACTACTCTGTATTGTAACTCTTGAGAACAACAGAAGCTACTGGTATCATACTCATCTATGCACATTCATTTGCTTTGCATTGAAAGAGTATTTGAATGCTTACTTTGCCATCGTTGTTTATTATCTTTAGAGTAGTTACTTTCGAAAGTTTTTTTAAGTGTCCGACGCAAATCAAGAGGACGCAAATCAAGAGGACGCAAATCAAGGGAACGCAAATCAAGAGTTAGTTGCAAAGAATGACACAGCTTCGTCTTTGAAAAGTATTCCAATTTGTCTGGTATTGAAGCTGATAATTTTGCTGACGGTAAACCTGAATTAGCTATACTAAGAATTTTGAAGAAAGAAAATAAAAGAATATAATAAGCTTTTGAAGAAACTATCAGATTTGCCAATTTACAACGTCAAAAAGTTGAAGCACTCATCCAAATTAATTGAACAATGGACACGGATTTTAGACTAGAGCATACTTGATTTACCTGACGAAATTTTAGATATAGTTGCGAGTTTTCTCAACAATTTGATAAAATCAATCTCGCTTTGGTTAATAAACATTTCAGTACGACAAGCAGTAATGCTTTATGGAAATCACTTTTTATTTATAATGATTCTAAGGGAGCCAAATACGCCAATTCGAAAGTACTACTACAGAGACTGTTACTTGCATACAAAGCATACTATCTTGAAATCAAGTACTTTTGCAACCATGACAAAGAGCGATACAGCACAATACGACAAGATTAAAGTTTTGAAATTCCAGTTTGATGCTTGTATTGCCTTTCGATGACTTGAAAAATATTGTTAAAAATTCGCAATGCATTTTTCACTTTGACTATTACATTAGCTACAGTGAAGAATTCAAATTATTTTTACTAATTTATAAAGACAGATCCAGAAGTCTTACATTTAAAGAAAGTGTTCATGATACCAAAAATACAATGTCTTCTTATTGGAGAATCACAAACAATATTCATGTCAATTCCTAGACGATTTCCAAAGAAGAAAACTTGAATGACCATGCGAAATATACATGGAAAAGGACAAATTAGAGACTAAATTTTTGCAAGGGTTTTATTTATGCAAAATTACGGATTTAAGTATTCATCATTCCCAAAATTCAATTGGATCTGTTTTGGACTTGTGGGCAGGATCATTCACAAGCTTAAAGCATCTTCATTTAAAAATCTTCCTCCAAAGTATTTGACTCTATTTGTACTGCTTTTACCACAAGACACCTTGACATCATCTTTGTTCATTAAACTTGTTGAACCTCAAGATCGAGATGACAATACAAACCTCTTTGATAATCACTTAAGGTAGATGACTTTAAAAATGGCTCATTAGCTTTACCATTTTCTATAAAAATTTACATATAATGATTGAATACACGATGAGAGTTGTTAAATTTACAAATGATCCCAAATTGTTTGAAATGAAATAAATGTCATTTAAGATATATATTATGATTTAAATAATGCGTCATTTGATAATGGATCAGCTTTCAATACTTGACTTCTCTTTTTGATTTTTCTTTCTAAAGCAGCTTCAGCTCTTGCTCTTGCTTGTTCAGCAGATTTTTGTTTAACTTGAGCTCTAACGAAATTTGGTGATACATATTGTTTATTTTCATATATTTTTGGTCCACCAAATGAACCTTCTAATATAGTAATTAAAGTTAAAACCAATCTTGGACCAATTTCAATTAAATTTAATTCATCAACATTTATATCATCATCATCATCTTTTTCTTTTGTATCTAAAGTTTCATTAATTTGATAATTTCTTATCCAAATTTTACCATCAACTATTGAAAAAGTCATTACATGATCAATAAATGGTTTTGATTTTCTTGCATTTGGCGGTACACCAAAAGTTTGAATAAAAATTTCTTTTAATAATTTAAAATGATCATTATCTAAAAATGATTTATCAAAGCTTAATATTGGTCTTGAACCTTTTAAACAATTACCTGTAAAATTTAATTCATCTAATGTATGTAAATTTTGTATATAAAATTTTAAAGTTGGACCATTTGGAGGTTTTGAAATCCATAAATATAAATCTTGATGTTTTCTACATTCAAAAAAGAATATATTATTACAATTATATAATTCTGCAACTTCATTTAATTGATGTAAATTTTTTTTAGTATCAAATTTTGGTTCTTTCCTTGCGTGTGGTAATAAACCTAATAAATCTGATATAAAATGACGATGTCTATAAGTGATTCCTCTTGAAGATATAACTAATAATCTTTGTCTATTTATATGTTTCGTTTTCTCGGATGTGTCTTTAGACGATTTAGATTGTAATGCTTTATAAATGGCTGACATTTCGGATAAATATATTGATAGTATATAATTTTTTTTTAGGCATCTCATCTAACAAAATCACTTCGTAAATTTACACACGGTAACGATAAACAATATAGAAACTAATACAAAGAGACTTATCCATCTACATCAAAGATAGCTTCTATCATTTCAATATTCAATTCCAATTGATTATCTCTTTCTAATTGTATATATTAAACCAATAAATAATATCAAATATCAACAAATTTTAAATAATAAGCTTTATATTATTCTATAATATTTAAACGAAATTAGAAACCAAAAAAAGTGAACTTTTTAAATACATGATTTTACTTTGAAATAAAATTGAATATCATTTGCTTTCATTCTGTTTTTAAACCGTGTCCCCCATACTATTTAAGAAAACCATTCCCCGTTTAATGTTTTTCTTCTTTTGGTTGATGTTTAGCTAACCATTCTTTAACAAACTTTTCTTCTTCTGGTGAAGAAGCATTTATTGACGGATGTTGAGGTTTTGGATTCCAAGGTTTTGGAATTATATATAAAACAACAGTACCTAAAGTAGCTAAAGCTAATTGATGTGGTTGAAAAGTTTTACCAGCAATAGTATAAGCAGCACCCATTTCTTTCTTTTATAAGTTAAATCAAAAAGTTATTGAATAGAATCGATCAATGAAATATTTTCGATAAATCTGAAAAATTAGTTAACCGTGTAACAAAATTTAATTGGTTAAGAAACATTTTATATGCAGTACTTTTTCTGGTGGTTTTGATTATGTAATATTTTGCAACAATTTTTTTATTATTATTATTTTTTTATTAGTGGCTGCCAAATACATTTTTATATTATTTTATCCATATCTAATTAATTAATGAATGGTTCAATTAATACATATTCAAGTGAAGTAGACTTAAAGATATTAGAAGAATTACGAGATCCACATTTGATTAGTAGATATCCACCTTTATATCAAAGACGGCAAAATCTTTTAAGTATTAACAATGATAATAATATAATTACAAAATCAAAAAGAATGAAAATTATACAAAATTCAACAAATTCTAATAACATTTCATCATTTGATTTAAAGAACAAAATCGTATTACCAAGTGATTCTACTACTACTTCGGAATTTCCAAAACGTAAAAAATTCAAGAATTTCTTCAAAAGTTTATCAACTAAGCAGTCAAAAAAGAATGATACTGAGAAGTTACGAAGATCAATAAGTAAACCATTTGTTCAGAATAAACCAGAAGAATCAATATGTTTCAATGATAATTTATTCTATAAAAATAGTAGTGCTATTAAAAGTACAAATAGTACGATTCCAGGAAGAAGTTATCACGGTTCAAGTGAAATGTCATCAATAGTAATACCACCAGTTGGAGAAAGAATTTATAATTATGAAAAATATAGTTCACCCGCCATTCATCCAAATATGAGAAAATCTACAAATCATCGATCAACTGATTTTATGAAATATGATATGATGAATCTTGATGCAAATGCGTTATCACCAGTTTCTGACGAAGATGTGGATATTAAAAATTATGAAACATTTATTCCAAACATATCTACTTTTATTCCACCTCTTTCATCAAGTGATTCAAATGAAACATATTATAGTGTTGAAAATTTAAATATTACTCAGGATACTACTAAAAAAATTGAATCACCACCTACTAAATCAAATACTATAAATCATATAGTATCACCAACATACAAAATGAGTAGTTATAAATCTCAACCAATGACATTACAAGGCTATCAATATCCAACTATTGATGAAAGATGGATTCATAGAAGAAGGTAAATATATATAATTATTTTGCAGTAATTACTATATGCAGGTTCCATAGACTTTTTAACCAAAGGGTAACAAAAAATTAAAATAGTATTGGAAAGATGAGTTCAAATACACAAATGATAAATCCAAGGAAAAGACTATCTACAGGTTTAAGTGTGACTTCAAAAGTTTTTGTTAGATCAAGAAATGGTAGTGCTTTAAAAATTGTTAGAGAACATTATCTTAGAAATGATATACCATGTTATTCATCCAGTTGTAAAAAATGTCAAGACATAATTAAACCAGATGCAAATGGTAATTTACCTAAATTTATATTATCCTCCGATCCAGCAGCTACAAAAAAAGGTGAAATACATTATTTAGTGCTAGATACAAATATTGTTTTACATGCAATTGATTTATTAGAAAATAATCAAATATTTTATGATGTTATTATACCACAAATTGTATTGGAAGAGGTGAAAAATAGATCATTCCCAATATATCAAAGATTAAGAAATTTGGTGAAAAGCGAAGATAAAAGATTTATAGTTTTCCATAATGAATACAATGAATCAACTTATATTACAAGAGATAGAAATGAAACAATTAATGATAGAAATGATAGAGCTATTAGAAAAGTTGCATCTTGGTATCAAGAGCATTTAAAAGATTCAGGTATAAAGATATTATTTATTTGTAATGATAGTGAAAACAAAAAGAAAGCAGAAGAATTAGGTATTGACGCAAGATCATTACCAGATTATATAGAAGCTTTACCAAATGCAGATGATCTAAGAGATTTGATTCCAAGTGATATTTCAAATACACAATTTGAAGAAGCTGATGAAACTACATTTCCAGAATATTATTCAAATGCAAGAATTATGGCTGGTATTAAAAATGGTACTTTATATCAAGGTATGCTTAATATATCGTCTTATAATTATTTACAAGGAGAAGTGTCAGTACCAGCATTTAAAAAACCATTATTAATTCAAGGTTCTAAAAATTTAAATCGTGGTTTTAATTCAGATTCAGTTATCGTTGAATTATTACCAAAAGATAAATGGAAAGAACCATCAAGTACAATTATAGAAGAAGAAGCAATAGGAGCTAATGATAATGCAGATGATGGGGGTGACGAAGATGAAGCAATAACAACTGGTGTTGTATCAGATAAAGAAAGAATATTATTAGCACAAGAAGCCATGAAAGTAAATAATGCTAAAAGTTCAGAAAAACTACAACCTACAGCTAAAATAGTGGGTATAATGAGAAGATCATGGAGATATTATGTTGGCCAAATTGCTCCATCATCTGTTAATCTTGATGATAATGGTCAAGCTACAAAGACATGTTTTGTAATATTAATGGATAAAACTTTACCAAAGATTAGAATAAAAACAAGAAAAGCTAAAGAATATTTGGGTCAAAGAATAGTAGTTGTAGTTGATGCATGGCCTACACACTCAAGATATCCAAATGGACATTTTGTTAGAACTTTGGGAGATGTTGAAAGTGCAGAAGCAGAAACTGAGGCGTTATTATTAGAACATGATGTTGAATATAGACCATTTTCCAAAAATGTGTTGGATTGTTTACCTAAAGAAGGTGATAATTGGGTTGTACCAGATTTAAAAAATACAGACGATCCACAATTGAAAAAAAGAGTTGATCTTAGAGATAAATTAGTTTGTTCAATTGATCCACCAAATTGTGTTGATATAGATGATGCTTTACATGCTCAACGATTACCAAATGGAAATTATGAAGTTGGTGTTCATATTGCTGATGTTACACATTTTGTTAAAGCAAATAGTTCATTAGATCAAGAAGGTGCTTCAAGAGGTACATCAGTTTATTTAGTTGATAAAAGAATTGATATGTTACCACAATTGTTAGGTACTAATTTATGTTCCTTAAAACCATTTGTTGATAGATTTGCATTTAGTGTAATTTGGGAAGTTGATGACGATGCAAATATTATAAATGTTAAATTTATGAAATCAATTATAAAATCAAGACAAGCTTTTTCATATGAAAATGCACAAAAAAGAATAGATGATGTAAGTCAACAAGATGATTTAACAAATTCAATGAGAATATTATTAAAATTATCGAAAAAATTAAAGCAAAGAAGAATTGATGCAGGAGCTTTAAATTTAGCATCTCCTGAAGTTAAAGTTCATATGGATTCAGAAACTTCAGATCCACAAGAAGTTGAAATTAAAAAATTACTCGAAACAAATTCATTGGTTGAAGAATTTATGTTGTTTGCAAATATATCAGTTGCAAGAAAAATTTATGAATCATATCCTCAAACTGCAATGCTCAGAAGACATGCATCACCACCTTCTACAAATTTTGAAATGTTAAATGATATGTTAAATGTTCGAAAAAATGGTATGTCTATATCATTGGAAAGTTCAAAAGCTTTGGCTGATTCGTTAGATAGATGTGTTGATGACAAAGATCCATATTTCAATACTTTGATACGTATAATGTCAACAAGATGTATGATGGCCGCAGAATATTTTTCATCAGGTTCATATGGATATCCTGAATTTAGACATTATGGGTTAGCCGTTGATATATATACACATTTCACATCACCAATTAGAAGATATTGTGATGTTGTTGCACATAGACAATTGGCAGGCGCAATTGGTTATGAAAATTTAGATTTATCACATCGTGATAAAAATAAAATGGAAATGATTGTTAAAAATATAAATAAACGTCATAGAAATGCTCAATTTGCAGGTAGATCAAGTATAGAATATTATGTTGGACAAGTTATGAAAAATTCAGAACTGGAACAAGAAGGTTATATAATTAAATGTTTTAATAATGGTATAGTTGTTTTAGTACCGAAATTTGGTGTTGAAGGTTTAATTAAAATTGAAACTATGGGTGATGTAAATTCAGGTGAATATGATGAAAATAAATATGAATTGACATATAATGATTTAAATGGTAATAAAAGAACTGTTGCCGTATTTGATAAAGTTAAAGTTGATGTTAAATCAATTAAAGATGAAGTTAGTGGTAAAAGAAAAGCACAATTAGTACTCAAATAAGTATATATATATATATATATATATCCATGTCTATCTATTTATTAATGTATTCAACTAATTGTTTAATATTAATTATATATTTTTATATTATGTTGTTTAGTACTTAAATAAGTATATCTATCTATTTATTAATGTATTCAACTAATTGTTTAATATTAATTATTTTTATATTATGTTGTTTTGAAAATTTAATACAATCATCTAATCTCATCATTAAACCATCTTCCTCTCGTACTAATTCACAAATTACAGCTGCTGGTTGTAAATTTGTTAATTCACATAATTGTACAGCTGCTTCAGTATGACCTCGTCTTTTATTTAATAAACCAGGTACAGCTCTTAAAGGTAAAATATGACCAGGTTTTATAAAATCATTTGGTTTTACATTTGGATCAGCTAATTTATTTGCAGTTAATGCTCTATCATGAGCTGATATTCCTGTGGTTGTACCATGTGCATAATCACAAGTTACTGTATAAGCAGTACCATGTCTATCAGTTCTATCTTTTAACATTGGAAGTAAATCTAATTTATCTGCTCTTTCAGTTGATAATGGAACACAAACATAACCCGAAGAGTATCTGACTAAAAAATGCATTTTAGATTGATCAATTAATTCTGCTGATATAATTAAATCACCTTCATTTTCTCTATCTTCATCATCCATTACAATTAAAAATTCACCATTTTTAAATGCTTTCAAAGCTTCATCAATTGGAGTAAATATTTCTTCTAACATGATTGAAAAATAAAAATAAACAAAAATAAATAAAAATAAATAAATATAAATAAATATAAATAAAAATAAATTATTAATTAATAATACAAATAAATAATAATAATTACAACTTTATATATAATAATCTATTAAATATGATAATAAATCGAATCAAATATCGGATGGTCTCTTACTTTATTGTATAAATATCTGGAATGAAAAATCTGAAAATTTTCAGTCGTGTGCAGTGACCAAATTTAAAGGCTTTATTTAAAGGCCTTATAAATATTTTGTACTACGAACGACGGGCGACAAAAAATAATTATTTGGTGGTATTAAAATTTAAAATAAAACATGCCATTCCATTTGTAATTTATTACTTAATGAATATTAGTATGATTATATATAAATTACTAAGCAAGAATATTTTGACGGATTTTTTGGTATTAAATCTTGGAATAGCGTAAATTCTGAAACGGTTGTTCTGAAACGGTTGTTTCGTTTAAAATAAGGCCGTTCCAACCAAAACCTATTTGTTTCAAATTTTTTATGGTCTTTTTATTGTTTTGATCTTCTTTTATTGTTTTGATGTCGGTATTATACTTTATATTCCATTTGATAACCCGAGATTGAATTATTTAATTCATTGTCTTCCGGTCAATCATGTAATTTTGCTGGATATGTATGGTGGAAAGTACTACCATAATAATTACCTTCTTCAGAATGCTCATGGTGTAATGTAGTTGATATATATACACTATAGCTCTCTCATTTTATACTTTGAATTGAAATATTATATAACACTTGGTAGTGCCATAATTTGAATTGAAATATTATATAACACTTGGTAGTGCCACAATTTTTCAATTTTTCAATTTTAATTCTGAAACATTTGTATACAAAATTGAATGTCAGAAATAAAAATAAAAAAAGATCCAACGGGGTTTAGTAAATCAATTATCAAAAAGTATGATGACAATACCGAGTTTTTCTTTCATAAATTGGAATTTCTTGATAAAATTATACTAAACATAGCTATTAATGGTGTTCAAGATACTACTTTTGAAATACCCATGACAACTAAAACAACCATAAATTACATGTCAGCTATAGAGCAAGATTTCGAAGATCAAAGTCCAGAACCAAGATTAATAATAGGTAATCATGATAATCTTAAAATTCACATAGTTGCAAGTCAAATAGGTAAATTAATACTTCAATCAAATCCAAAAGATTTAATCATCTCAATTGGATCTAAATGGTTTGGTAAAGGTGATGATATAGAGAGTGATGATTTTGATAAATTAATGTTTGTGCTAGCGAATGTGAAAACTTTACTTCAATAAATATATGAATTTTTACTAGCTTCATTAATTAAATTTTATTTATTATTACGTTATTTAAATTTGTCTATGAACTTCTATTTTTTTGATTTTTGAGGTCTTTCTTTTGGTTGTATTTTTCTTTCCCTTTCACCATATATTAATTTATGTGGTTTCATAAATTTATCGACTAATCCTTGATCAACTTTATTTCTTCTTTCTTGATAATCCGCTACAAATTTTTGTAATACTTCAATACATTCCTTTTTCATTTCACCTGATAATATTTCACCTTTTTTATAACCTTCTGATAATTTAAACAATTTTTCATCATCATAACTGAAAAATGATAAATATTGAAATGCAACATCAACATCTGGATTACCACCTAACTCTCTATGTTCTTCAGCTGTTGCTCTACCACCTGAAAATGCATACTTATTAATTTTTTTCTTTATTTGACTTGCTGAATCTCCCATAAAAATTGATGTTGTTTGATCACTAGCTGACATTTTTGTCGAAGCACCTTGTAAAGCTGGGAAAAATTTAGCATGAATTAAAGCAGGTTTTGAATATTTTAATTTATCTGCAACATCTCTACAAACTCTAAAATATGGATCTTGATCAATTGCACATGGAATTAAACATGGTGTTTTTGGTGGTAAACCTAAAACATCAGGAAATGATGATGGAAAAGCTGTTGCAATTTGTATACTTGCAAAATGTATTCTACCAATACAATCTGAATCTTTGAAACCAAATACTGATTTGGCTGTTGATGTAGTAATTTGTCTTGATGTTCTAACTACATTTTCATAAAATGCACCTCCCATATAATCTAAATCTGAAAATATAAATGTATTTTCAGGATTAAAACCAACTGCAATGATATCTTTTGCATTATCTTTAGCAAATCCTTTAACATCATCTATTGTTAATTTTGGTTTAAATAAAAATTTTTCATCATCTGTTAATTCAATAACTAATGGTACATCAAATACTTCTTGTAACCACTTTGTAAATATAAACGGAATCATATGACCTAAATGCATTGAATCTGATGATGGTCCTCTACCAGTGTATAAAAAAAATGGTTCTCCGTGTTCATATAAATCTAAAATTCTATCTAGATCTCTTTCTGAAAAGAAAACTCCTCTTTTTAAAAATGGATGTGGTTCTTCACCTGTTACCTGTTTGAATCTTGATAATGTTTCATTTGTTATATGTTTTGTACCAAATTGTGAAATTAATTTATCATAATCTATGCCTTGCGATTTACCATCAACAACAGCACCTTCAACTTCCCAAGGAGTAATTTTTTGTTCAGTCCCAGCCGTATCATTATTATTTTGTTTATTATCCAACTCTAATTGAGCTACTTTCTCCTCAACTGACATTTTGTTTAAGGAGTTGTTGGCGTATAAACCAATTGGTGAAAAATTATTTAATTTTATGAGTCTTAATATTTTTTTTTTTTTTACGATGAAACAAATACCAAATTTAGAATTATTGCAAAAGAATAGAGCATCATAATAAGATCAAGAAGATCAATTACAATTATCTACGACAACTTGTTCTTTTAACAGATATATTAATTAAAGTACATACACCAATAAACTTAGAATCTCAATTTTTGGAAAAACCATTTATTTTTACCAGCATTATTTTTTTCTTCAAAAGCTTTTTTAACAACTTTTTTAGCTTCTTCTTTTTGTGATGGTTCTTCTAAAGCTTCTGATGTAACAGCTGATTTGAAACTTTCAACATCTAATGAATATCTAGTTGGCATTAAATGATTGTAGTTGACTAATTTGACAAATGGTTTAACTTTGGTTCTTTTTGAAACTTTTTTAGCATCCATTTTTTTAGTAACTTTTAATGGTGCTCTTTCAATACCAGCAACAATGGCATGTGGGAATGGGTGTGATTTGGTACCGTCATCATGAGGTTTTACAATGACTACTTTTTTACCAGCATATCTACCACGAACAACAATAGCTAAAATTGAGTTAGTATAAGTACTCTTTTATATTTATGACCATTATTTGCAAAATTTTGATTGTGTGACACTTCTTGTATGCAACTTGACATGATTTTGAGATGATTTCACTTGATTGAAAAATATACCTAAACCTAAACTTAAACAAGTAGTTCTCCAGTTGTAATTCCCAATCTACTTGTAATGCAATATCTCTAGATCATGTCATTTGCTTATGCAGATCATGAGTTTCTCCGTTCTTCGATTCAAATTGTAAATTTTCAAGATGCCTTGCGTTAAACTTCATAAAAACAGTATTCTCAGCACAGTCTTCAATTCAACATGGTCTATCTGACTCTCTTGTTGTATTATTTTACATACCAACTCTACCTGATTTGATGAATTTAGCCATTTCTGATTATATGTATTGTAAAGTTAAAACTATGAAAGGGGAATTTGAAATTTTTTTTAACTTAGAAATTAACAAAAGATTGGTTTCCATACTAAAATTTTTCAATATTTCGCATTTGATTATGTAATACATACATTAATTATATGGTGCTATGCTAGTACGAGTTTATTCAGATGACGACATAAACTAGCTCGACAACCGCATTAAATTTTGGTGCGACTCAAAAAAATTGTCGTATTGTGCTAGAGCGAAAAGTATTAATGATGATTCGCATTAGGGCTATTAGGGCTATTTTAGAAATTGATCTTGTAACAATTATTTACGATTGTTTTTGCAACAATTATTTATATCAACCACTATCTACTATGAAATATACGCATATAATACATTATTAATTAAACAAATTAAATTTTATTTCTTTCTCGATCTAGCTAAAAATTTTGAATTCATTGTTGTTATTGTCGGTGAAGATGGTGAACTTTCACTATTATTACTATTATAAGTTGTTCTAATCTTATTTGTATCAATCTTTGATCCATCACTCTTTGAAAAACTAGATCTTCTATTATTTGTAACTGGACTTGCATTATTTGAAACTGCCAATTGTGCAGCATGTAAGAATCCAGTTTCCCCTGATGTCTTTGGTAATCCCGTATGTACATTAACTTCAGTTGGAGGACTAACAGGAGGAGGTGGTTTTCTTCTTGGTGTGTTTGTTTTTAATTTTAATTTCAACATACTTGAAGATTGGTGATTCTCTCTTGATCTGGAAGGTTCTGAAGTAGTTGTGTTATTTGATTGTTTAGATTTTGATTCTAAAGGTGTTTGTACTTGTTTGAATGCTGGTGATGCTAATAATTTAGGTGATGATTTATTCGAAGTGTTTGCAACCTTTTTACTTTCAGATTTCTTTTGTTGTTGTTGTTCGTCTTTGGCATTAGATTGTATTAATTTACCTCTTTCGATTTCATTTGTTTTTGCTTTAAACAATACTTCAGTCCATTGATTTACTTCAAATTTTTCAACTTCAAAAACAAAGGAAGATTCCGTTGATGAAATAACAAATACGCCAACTGTTGGTAATAATTTTGAAAATTTATTTTGTGAAGATACCAATTCTTGAAAATGTATGAATGGATATTTTAATTGAATCTCAAGTATTAATTTATAGTTTGCATCAATATCATTTCTTGTAAAAATTAATGCTCTACCATGACTAGTAACGACCATTGTAGATGTTTGTGGTTTTCCGAGAGAATATTGATTAATGATGGTTTCTTCACTAATATCATTATCTTTCTTTTCGTTGATTTGACCCAATCCTAATTTCTTAAAAAATGAATGTTTGTTAAGTCTACTTGATTTTCCACTTGAAGCTGATCTTTCTAATCCACCTGATGATTTTCTTTGTTCTTTTTTAGAAGAGTTTCTTTTTAATGCAGCTGTCAATTCTGGTTCAGATATAGCAATTGATTCATCAACATTTGTATGTTCTATAGGATTCACTCCATTTACCATTTGAGATAGTAGACTTGTACCAGATCGATTATTTCTTTGAGTTTTGGCCATATCTAATGGTGATTCATGTAATAATGCTTTATTTTTCCTTTCAAATAATTCTGTTGATTCTTTGTGAAATATCACAGGTCCAATTCTTAACACTCTTTCATCTGGATGGGATAAATAAGCTCTCCATGCAGTTTCTAGTGTTGTTGGTGGTGTTACTTCTAAAGGTTTAGGTGTGGTTGATTTAGTTACTGATTTTGAACGGTCACTTCTTGATGATGATTTTGAATAAGATGCCACTGAAGGTCTAGTATTTATTTGTGGTCTTAATATATTTGTACCTGGAATATAATCAGCTTGAGATTTTCTTGAGTTTGTTCTTGTATTATTCAAATCAGTAGTTGAGCTTTTAGTTGATGATAAAGCATCTTCAAAACTTGAATTTGAGTTATTATTAGGTTTATTTAATACAAATGCAGCAACACTAGCGGCACTAACTCTTTCATTACTACTATTTGCAGTTGATGCAGTTTTAGGAATTGATTTCTCAATACTAGTTTTACCCTGATTTGATGGTCTTGACCTTGGTGTTACTGGAGAATTATTACTTGATGTTTTTCTTATTTGCTTTTTATTGATCATGGCAGAAGATGATGAATGTTCAGGTATTTTCATCATTGATTTTGCAGTCATTTTATAAGGTCCAATTTCTGGTGTTTCACGATACCAAATTGATTCAAAATCATCAAAATCAACATCATTAAAAAAATAATGATTTTGAATATCAGAAATAGTTGCTCTTCTTGAAGGTTGAAGTACTAAAATTTTCTTAACCAAATCTCTTAAAATATTTGGAAATCCAGCACTAAATGCATATTGTAATTTTGTAATTTTTTGAAATGTTAAATATTCATTTGTAGCTTTGAAAGGTGGTTTACCAGCAATCATTTGATAAATGATACATCCAAAAGCCCAAATATCACCAGGTTTACCACAATATTTACTTTCTAATAATTCAGGTGAAACATATTCAGCAGTACCAACAAAAGATTTTGCTCTTACATCAACAGGATAATCTTCACTTTCATCATTTTTCTTTTCTAATAATCTAGCAGTACCAAAATCAGTCATTTGAATTCTCATTTTATCGTCTAATAATATATTTTCGGGTTTTATATCTCTATGAATTACTCCATTATCATGCATATATTTAATTGCATCTAAAATTTGAGCACCAAAATGTCTTGTACATTCTTCATTTAAAGTATTATGATTTTTAATTAATGTTAATAATTCACCATTTGCAGCATAATCTAAAACAAAATATAATGAATCTTTATCTTGAAATGTAAAATATAGTGAAATTATCCCCATTCTATTACTTAATCTATTTAATGCATGTTTTTCTATATTTACATATTTGACTTTTTTTTCTTTTATAATATGTCTTTTATCTAAAACTTTAACGGCATACTGTTTTGAAGTAAATTTATCAGTGGCTAATATAACTGTTGAATAAGAGCCTTCTCCTAATTCTTTACCAAATTTAAAATCTCCAACACTTCTTCTTATTATTTGAGGTTCTCCATTATTTGAACGAACAGTTCTTGCAGCTGCACCACGATTTCTCCATACAAGTTCATCTTCCTTCATTTCTTTTGATTTCGGTATTTCATCTTGTTCTGCATCTATAAATTCTTCTGATTCTGGTGGCCGTGGTTGTGATATTGGTGGTGGAGTTTGATCGACCAATTGTCTAAATTCAGAATCTATTCCTGGAGTATCTAATAAAACATTTAATGAAGAATTTGTTACTGCACGTGGATAATTTGGTCTAAAATCAAACGAACTCATTGATAATGGAGTACCAGGTGCACTTTTAGTTATAGTTTCTCTTGCATCTTGCATATCACCAAGAGAAGATAATCTTGAAGAAACATGTACCATGGGTAATTGTTGAGGAGTTTGACCATTATTATAATTAACTTTATAATGAAACATATGACTACCAGCCGTATTATTATTTGAATCTAAAGTATCTATACTATCATTATTATTATTATTAGTTGTATAAGTTTTATAAATTGAATTTAAATTATCTTCTAAATCCTGTAAACTTGAATCATTAGTTTTAGCATTGTAAATGAAATTATTCAGGGACATGATAAATTTTTTGATTATATATAGTTGGATATGTATAGTAGTATTTAATATAAACAATATTGCATTCTATTCTATCTGAAATTGACCCAGTGGTGGTTGTTGAATGATTATTGATAATGTGGGTATATAACGTCAAAATAAGGCTATTAAGCAGCAAAAAAAAGGGCGTACAACGTTGAAACTAATATGAACTGATAATATAGCTAATTCAATATGTAATAATCAATTAATACAAAGTAAATTGACCTTCAAGTGTTGAATAACGGTATCTTGTTGTAAATTTGATAAATGGAATTTCAACTGAATTGTTTGCTAAAAAAAGAAAAATCAAAAAAACACCAAACGAAAAATAATATATACAACAGTTTATCAATAATACCAGTCACTACTATACTATACAAGCTATATACTATAAATCACTAACAAGTAACATATACATATATTTATTCAATATTATGACTATATAAGGTATTTAATGGCTTTTCTTTTAAATAAAAACCAATTATTATATCAATTAAGAGCTTCATATTTGGCCGTGGATAATTCTGAATTAACAAAAGATATTATAAAATTACCAGTTATAGATAAAGATGATGGTCAATTTGATGATGATATACTGAATAATATACCAATCTCCGAGTCCCCACCAATTACATTTGAAATTGCTCGTCACTTAAAGAAATCTTTACATAATGATAATCACCATCATTCAAATCATAAACATCATCATAATAAGATTAATAATAAAAAATCAAGAATAAAACCAAATCTGAATTCAAAAAAGAATACTGAATTATCAAGGAGTGATATTGACAAAAGTTCCCTCATTGAAAATGATAATCACAAGTCAATAATTGAAAATGAACTAAGCCCCATCATAGAACCCCCCAACCATTTAAGTGAGAGTCTTTCAAATGATAATAGTTCCATAAGTACTCATAAAACGACTAATTTTGGCTTGAAATCTTCAAAAACAATTAAAGGTGGTAATGGTCAAAAGAAAGAAAAATCTCGAACAAAATCTAAGATACCAATTGTTAAATTTTTTCAAGGTAAAGAGAAGAAAGATGTCAATTCAGATTCTGATAGTGACAATGACCAGAGAAATATTTATTCAACTTCAGATTTAGCTCCAACTATAGAATTGTCGGATGATACAAATGCAACTGAAACTGAAGATTTAAATGAAGTGACATCTCCAACGAGTGAAATAAATAATAGCAATGATACTATAAGTATAGATAGTGATTTTGGTGTACCTGTGGACTCAAAAGGTCAAGTTGTTCATCATTATAATAAAAATGATAAAATCGAAAAATCCGAAAGTGATTTATCTGATGAAGAAACTGATGAATACGACACATTTGAAGAAGATGATGAAGATGAGGAGTCAAATGATTCAGAATTTACTGATTTAAATAATGATTCCATGATAGACTCTTCATTAATGATGGGTACTTTTGATGAAAATCATAATGAAAGCTATTCATTTATTAGAACCAGTACTACATCAGATTTTAATTCAAAAAAATCAAGAAAAAAGAAAAAAGTAGATCCATTTGATCAATTTAGTGATTCGAAAGATTCAGTTAAATTATTAAAAGATGATGATAATTTGACATTAACTAAAAAACAACCTGAATTATCATTTGACAAGATTAAACCACCACTTCATGACTCGGAAACAAAAAGCTCTAATTTGAGTTCATTAATACAATCCAAATTTAAATCAAGTAATAATAATCCATTAAATTATTATTTATTTGTTGATAGTGATACAATATCTGGACATAAAGTTGACATTGATATTTATTTAGCTCCAAGCAAGGTACCAATATTAAAAAGTTTAAAGATATGTCCCAGTACAGTCGTCATAGATTTTATTGGATTTATATTGTTGAATCTTTATAAATTACCAGAGTTTAATAATAAAACAGAGTTTAGTTACATGAATCCAAATTGTTGGAAATTAGAATTAGTTGACGAAGATGGTGAAAATTATGGATCATTTGGAGTTTTAGATCGAACAAGAAGTATTTCATCTTATAATAATCCAAAAGAATTGGCAATTTGTAAAGTAGAAGATTTAAAAGAAATTAGCAAAAATGAATCTCAAACCCCATTACCAATTGAATTTAAACAAAGTTTAGCTGATTTTCAAAGGAAAAGAAATAGTATTGATCAAATTGTTCTTAAAGATGATCAAACAAATACTCAAAAAATTGAATTAACTATCATTGTTTACGAATATGATACTAGTATACCTGAAAAACTGAATATTAAAGTACCTAGCAATTATAGAATGGGTCAAGTATTGAAAGAATTTTGTGTTCAAAAGAATTTAATTACGACGAAATATAGATTTAAATTAGTTTCATCAGGAAGAAGTCGATTTGTTAGAGATGTTGAAATTTGTATGGATTTAGAACTGAAGGTTTTAGAATTAGTACCTTCTGAATCTAGAATCAACCTGATGATTGATGATCATGGACAAGCAAATATAACACCTTCGGAATTTACATTGCCTAATCTAACACTAAATGTGGGACAATTAGATGAGAAGACACAAAAATTAACATTACAAGATTTCAAGCAACCAACAGCAACTTTGTTAAAACCAGAAACAACTAGAAAATCTTCAGCCAATAGTGCTAAATCAATTAAAAAAGCAATTTTGGAAAGAAACAATACATCTAATAAACATCTTAATGATATTTTATTAGGTAATAATCCACAATTACCAATCAACATCAATACAGTTTATTTTAAGTGGAGAGTTTTTAAAAATAATAGTAAAATTAAAATTAAAAATTTTAGTGAAAAGAATTTTATTATCGATGGTGATTATATACATTTAACTCCACCTGATGATTTAACGTTAAGAAATACAGGTCAAATTGAATCAATGACTGAATCTAATTTAATTGGTGGTCATCATAAAAATCATCATTTAAATCATCAATTTAATAAAGCTCATAATAAACATCTGACAAAGACTTATTCTTTTCATATAACTCAAATCTTAAAATTGAAACAATATACAAAGACACCAAATTATTTTAGAATAATAATTCAAAAACAACAGGATTCAAATATAATTAATAACTCAAATACTAAAGATATTTCAAAAGAAATGGTAAAGAAATTTTATCTATTGGCTTTAAATGAAGTTGAATGTCTGGAGATAATAGAGAAATTGAAATGGGTATTACATGTTTATAACTTCTCTGGTGTTATATAGACTACTAATGATTTCATGATAAGATAAATATTACACAAAATTGAATCTCGTAAATTTTCAATCTCTTCGCGTAGAAAATATAATTCTAAATATATATATATACCCATGACTAAATTATCATCGAATTGGGCTAAACTAAACTCAAAAATACGAAAAGAGAAAGGTGTCAAAAAGATACGGAAACCAACTATTGCTAAACCTAAAACAGATACTCCCAAATCAACATTAAATTTACTAAAAGAAATACCAAAACCAAAACGTCAAGAAACTGAAACAAATGAATTAACTCCTATTGAATATACATTATGGGTTCAAGATAGTCAAATAAATCAATCGGATATTTCAATAACATCAAAACATATAAATCAAATAGATTCAAGAAAGAAAGAACCTGGAAAATATATAGCTATTGATTGTGAATTTGTTGGTGTTGGGCCAGAAGGAGAAGAAAGTGCATTAGCTAGAGTTTCAATTGTTAATTTTTATGGATATGTTTTATTAGATGTATTTGTTAAACCAAAAGAAAAAGTCACCGATTGGAGAACTTGGGTTAGTGGAATTCAACCATATCATTTGAAAAATGCAATTTCTTTTAAACAAGCTCAAGAAAAAGTTTCAAAATTATTTCAAGATAAAATTCTAATTGGTCATGGTATAAATAATGATTTAGAATGTTTATTTTTATCACATCCAAAGAAAATGATTAGAGATACTTCAAGATATCCACCATTTAGAGAAATTGCAGGTGGTAAAACTCCAAGTTTGAAAAAATTAGTTAAACAAGTTTTAAATATTGATATTCAAGCACAATCTCATTCATCAGTTGAAGATGCAAGAGCAACAATGTTATTATTTAGATTACATAGAAAGAATTTTGAAAAATGGTATCAAAATAAAAAAATTAAAATAGTATAAAATATATATTTACATCATTAAAATTCATAAAACACGTTAAATAGTAAATAAATCAAACCTCTATAATCTTGACCATAAAATAATAATAATAAAATAATAATAAATAAATAAAAAGTATGAAATGAAAAATTGTTATTGTTTAGGTTAATATTAGTTTTCTAATTTACACCCATCAACATAATTACATGCTGCTCTATAAAGCATAACTTGAATACTTTTAATATCAACTGCAAAATGGGGTTTAAATTTCCCATCTTCATCAATTGTTTGTTCTGGTGGTTGCATTGTTCTTAATTTCATTACAATTGTAATTTTCTTATCAATTAACAATTGTTCGATATCATTGTGATAAATTTCTGGTTTATAATCATTACATAATGATACTGAAGTTATTATATCTGAAATATCTTCAACAACTTCTAATGATACGGTATTTACCAATTCGTCATATAATGTATTTTTAATCAAATGATAAATATATAATGCATTTGTTTTATTATTTGCAAAAATATACTGATAAATCTTGATAAATCTTGCCTTGAATCCAATATCAGCACCTTTAATATCACTATAAAAACATCCAAGATGTAATAATGTTACTTTTGCAGCTTCATTTTGTTGTAATAAAAATTCACAAATTAATTTTGGTAATTTTTGATTACTATATTCAATATATTCAACAGGTAGATTTAGTCCTTGTTGCATAAAATTTTCAAAATCTTTTGTATCTGAACATAAATAAATAAATACAAGATATGCCAATGCATTTGTATTAATTTGTGTTCCATCAATTGGTCTTATATGTTTAATTGAAAATCGTTTCTTTAAGTATGTCTTCACACAACATAATGCCAAATGTCTAACATGTGAAGTTTTTAAACCTTGAGTTAAGATAAAAAAGATATAAACACCAAAATTCTCTTGTGTTATATAAATATCATGTCTTTTTTCAAATTCAGATAAATAAGGTTCTAATAATTGTCTTTGTTCAAATGCAAAATCAAAATATTTTGGTACATCCATAATTTTAACAACTGACGTAATTAAATTTTGAATTGCAGGTTGATATAAAACTGAATAATTCATTAAAGCAAAACAAAATTGTGGCCAAATTAAAATTGGCGGTAATACAGAGTCTGTTGGTAAACCATCTAAAATTCTTGCAATTGCAATAGAACAACAAATGACTATTCCTATATTATGCAATTCACCTTTTGAAATTAGTTTCAAGCTACGACAAGCTGTCGAATCATTAATACCTGATTTTGATAATATACCAACTATTAAAACTGCACGATCTTGAAATAATGAAAAATTATTAAATGCAACATCAATTGAATTTGATGCCCATCTTGATCTCCAATTTGTCTTATCATCAGATGTAGATACAATATCAATAACTTCATTTAAATAATCACATAAAATTTCAAAATTACTAATACGATTGAATGATTGACTTACATCTTGACTTGATTTTAAATCCCTAGTCATTCCAAATAACATTTTAGCTCTTGGAGTTGTAAAATATTCAATTGTTTCATTGATTGAATTTTGTTCAGAATTAGTCAAAGATGGTTTATGTAAAAATGATTGAACTGAACTTATAATCAATTTTTGTAAATCATGACCAACATCTAAATAATCATTATCAATAAATAATGTAACGAAAAAAATAATGTCCGCTAAATATAATCTTGATAATGTAAATGAATTGAAAAATAATGTTGAACAAATTTTAATCAAAACTTCAATTTCAAATAATTTAGATTGTGAAGCAATTGCAGAATCTGTAGTAACTGTAACATTTATAGTTTGAACTAATCTTAATATAACTTCACCACAAACTTCAATTGATGGATTAATTACCGAAATTATAAATGACCAATCTGGTCCTTCATTTTTAGAATCAATTGCAAATGCAACAACTTCATCAACTAATGTAGAAACCATTCTTGCTTCTTGAAATAATTTTTTCCAAATATAATCATTTATAAAAGCAACATGTTCCTTATTTGCAACTGATAATCTACAAAATTGTCTTACTAAATCAGCAACTCTATTTGGTCCATTTCCATTATATTGTAAATAAACAAAATCATAAACGTTTCCAATCCATGGTGATATATATAAAATTGAAATTGATCTTGTTCCAATATCCATTTTTTCATAATTATCAAAAAATGCTTTAAAAAATCTAAATGTCATTTGTGGGAAATTTGATGATAAATGATTTGAAACATTGACGACAAAATTTGTAGCATCAGTAGGAAATGGTAAATATTTTGCATGACTTTCAGTAATACCAAAATCAATATTGAAATATGAAGATAAAGAACCAAATAATAAAGCAGCTGAAGATTTCAATTCTTCATCATCATTTAATAAACCTTGAAATACAATATTATATAATCTACCAAACCAATGCATTACATGACTTTCACTTTGATAATCTTTTTTATGATCAGTCAATGTAAATTCTCTTGGTAATCTTGAAGTTGTAAAATATAAAAATCTTAAAATTTCTAATCTATCATGAGATCTTAAAGTTACATGACTTGAATGATTAAGATAAATTGTAAATTCATCATCATAACCAGTTGTATTTGAAATTTCACATTTAACAAAATCTGATAATCTATAAACTTCAACAGGAGTAAACCCTTCACTCATATTCAAAGAACTTTCCAATTTTAATTTTTCTTGAAAACAAATTGTTAAAAACTTTCTACCAATTTTTAATTTAACTGGTATAAATCTATCAGCAGAAGGTTCATATAAAATAACATTATTAAACGTAACTTTTGCATCACGACTTATACTAACAGTTTCAGGATCTAAGCATAAACTACCCACAATATTATCAGGATCCATCGATGAATAAGTATAAATTTTTGTACCATATTGAGCACCTTTTGATCTTAAACTAATCATGGCATTTATAATTCCCCTATATTCAGTTCTTGGAATATTAAAATAATAAACTCTTTGACAATTTTCAAAAATATTCTTTAATGAATAAGTTGAAAAGTATTGTGCATATTTTATTGGTGAACTATTAGTGAAGAAGTAAAACTCTGAAAAATCATAAACTAAATAAAATTTATTATCCCAAACTTGAGAAGCTGTTTCAAATAATTTAAATACAAGATAATCAATATCTTCATGTCTATCTCTCATTCTTTTTAAATTGACTACAACTGCAGGAGTACCATCTTTAAAGATTGAACTATGAATTACATCACTTGCTTCTTCTTGAACATCCGTATATCTTAAAGACATCTTGGTCATGAAATCGTTATATTTATTTTCTTCTTCATCGTTGTTATTATTATTATCTAATAATTTCATAGATGTACTCAATTGTAATTTTACACTTGGTTTTGGTTGTCCCAATTTCATTACTACTTCATCAAATTTTTTAAAACATTCAACTCTTTTTTGCAATGTGTTTATACCAAATGCTGATTTACCAAGTATAAAATTTGATCTAATCGAAGTAAAATATTGATAAATAAATTTATGAAGATATTTAATTTCAGCTAATGGTTTTGGAACTTTTTCTCTCTTTTCAGTAAATGGATAATCTTTCAAATCTAATGTTGAAACTTGGTTTAAAAATACATAAATTTTCTTATTCAATGCATCCAATTGTTCGTTTTTATTAGCCAATGAAGGCCATTTAGCAATTGATGAAAAAGCACCATTTGCCATATTTTGTAATACTTTGACTAATTGCATTAATGAACGTTTTACCTTAACATTTTGAACATCTAATTTAAAATATTGTTCTGGATTGATGATGGCAGGACAGAAAAATCTTAAAAATAAAAATGAACCAACGGCAACTAAAGCTGAATCACCAAATTTTTCATTGACACATTGATAAATATTTCCACAAACAATTTTGAATGGATTCGGTAATGAATCAAAGGAGTCAACAATCAGGTCAACCATTCTAGTAAAATACGATAAAAATATTTTGGCTGATTCCGGATCATCTTTCTTTTCAACTTCAAATTGAACTTCTTTTGTTATAATTTCTTCAATTATTGGCAGAAGTACTTGATTTAAATAATTTAATCCATATTCTTGGGTAAAATTAAACAATAATCTCGTCAATGTTGAATTTCTTCTAAATAAATCAGTTGCTCTATTTAATTTCGTAATTTCATCATTTAACAATATTTGAAATAATTTACGCAAGTTATTTGTATATGTGAAAATGCCAAATAAAGATGAGGCTAATAAATTATGTTCTAATGAAGATGCAGTTTCAGCTATTGAACCAAAAATATCAGTATTATCAGTCAATTGAAAAATTAATTCATTTGGATATTCTTCTTGATTAGTTTTCATTGATTGTGATTGTAACATATCAGCAAATACATTCAAGAAAATTGCTCTAATTTTTTTATTTTCATGATATCCCATTGGTAAAACAAATTGTATTCCAATTTCTGAATCATATTGTAATAAATTTGTAATTGAACTCAATACATTATCTGTGATTAATTGTAGTTTATGTTTAAATTTTGATTTTGATGATGTTTTAGTATATTTTTGAATAATTTTATAAAATAATGAAAAATAATTACTAAATGCTAAATCTTTATATTTTTTAATTTCTTTATCTTTAATACCTTCAGGAATTTCCAATAATAAACATTCTAATTGTAATTTAATTGCTTTTGAACAATGAACAGCAAAATCAATAGCTAAATAAGAAATTTCAGATTCTTTATAAAAATCAATTTCATCTGACAATATAGCTTGTTCTAACCATTCACAGATTGATTTTGCATAAAAATTTCTCAATTTATAAGCACCTGATAAACCAGTTGATTTACGATCACTTTCCAATACAATTATCAATTTTGAGAATTTTAATTTCAATTTGTAATTATCAGTATCATTTTTGATTTCATTTATAAATTTAATAAAAAATTGACATATTACTGGTAATAAACTAGATAATAATAAAGCACCTTCATTCTTAACATTAATCATTGCTGTCATAATAACTAAAGCATGTTCAAGGAAAACAATAACTTCATCGTTATTAATATTTTTATTCTCAGTATATGAATTAGCTGTATTCATTAATTTTGTAGCAATTAAATGATAAACATCTGAATGTGATTCATTTGATAAAATATCTTTAATAATTACTCTAACAACTAAATTTGGTGATATTAATAATCCAATACATCTATCAAAAAAGTCGGATATATTTTGACAACATTTACTTTGTATTTCACTATCAGCAAAGAACTGATTTTTACCAGATATAAAACAACCAGATGTAGATACCAAAAAACCAGTAAAATGTCTAAAGATTAAATTATTTTCGGATTCAATTTTATAACTATTTTCCAACATTTTCTTCCATCTATTATAAATCATAAACCAAACTTGATATAAAGATAATGTTGGTTTAGCTTCTCTTAAAATATCTCTATGTTTCTTATGTAATGAAACAAATCCAGTAAATAATCTATCTTCTTTATGTAACTCTTCGAAGGTATCTATAAGATTATCTTGTATATCTTCAGCAGTATATAATGAACTATTGATGTGTACTTCATTTAAATACCAGACAATACCTTGTTTAGCATAATTATAAAATTGAGCATCATGAGTACATAATGAAAGTAATAACACTTTTTCAACTCCATGTATCACATCACCACAAGTTTCAAATAAATCTCTTGATTTTGGATCCATTAATATTTTATTATTCAATAAAATATCACTATATTCATTTCTCATTTGTAAAAATTTATTTAAAAATAAGAAACTGAATTTGAATTTTGAATCCGATAACGATAAAGCTAAACATGTTTCACAGATAGATTGTATAATACAATTACAAATATTGAAATTAGCAAATGCTGATAAAGTTGTATAATCGGATGCTATTTTAGTATCTGTTTGAACTATTCGAATCGATAATTCTTTTGCTGAATCAAATAAATTATTATTCACAACTGAATATTTGAATTTGAATGCTAATCTTAATGGAATAACACATTCATGAACAAAATCTATTATACTTCCTAATAATTGTGCATAAGGTATTTTATCTAAATTTTCATCATTCATTAATCGTACGTCATTAAAATATAATTCCGGTGCAGGTAAAAAAAGAGTAAAAATATCTGCCAATATTTGTTCAGTTTCTTGAATTAAGTGAGTGGAAGGTATATCCAGATCATCACTATAATGATCTAAATCTGTTTTGATTTTATCAAATGCCATTTGAGTACACCGGTTAGCTTTCATTTCATTTGGATCAACAAGTACTGAATCAGAATACGCTGAAGCCTGTGATGAAACTGAAATAGACTGAATTTCTTGATTTTCATAATTATTTAAAATTTTCAAACACCCAAATATAATTGATTTTAAGGTTGGAGTCAATTCTTTCATAACAATTTGATAACAAGATTTTGCAGTTTCAATCTCTGATAATCTTTGTATAATTTTGACCATAGTTTTGGTAGCTTTAATTTCATGTGAATGAAGTTTATAATTATGAATTACAACTTTAATATATTTATCAGGACGTAATAAAATTGCAACAATGTAATAATTTACAATTAAAAATTCATATTGCATTTTCAATTGATCATCATTTTCAAATTTATCTTTATTAAATTCACCAAATTTTAATAAATTAGAATGAGTTTCATCTAAATATCGTAAACTGAATAAATAAACTGGATGTTTATCATAATTATAAGTTTGTAATCTTGCACCTAAATGAAATATATTGATCAAAGCATCAAAACTTTCTAAATTAGAAGCATTTGAAGAATCTTTTAAAATCATTGTTAAATATTTTAATCTTTTATTAAATGTTGTTTTCAATTTATTTAATGGTTTATTACTAATCATTTCGCCAAAATCATCGATACATAAAACAACATACCAGGTTAATACAAATGAGGCACAAGATATTGAAGTCAAATTTTCATCGAATAAAGCAAATGTTGCATCGAAAAAATTTCTGGCTACTTGTAATTGTTGATGATTATCAATATCAACCAATTCATAATAATCAGAAGGTCTTGAAAAACTTTGATCTTTAACTGCATCAGCTATCATGAATAAAAATACTTGTTTCCAAGTTGTTGATTTTATGAAAGATAAACAATGGAAACCATTTTCACCAGCTTTTAAAACGTTTTCTTTTGAATAAAATAGGAATTTAATTAATGGACAATATTTTTGTAATGTTGGTAATGGTATATTTTCATTAATTTTTGAAAATCTGTACAATTTGGTTTCCACGTAATTCAAATATTCAACTGGATTTGCAGTTGCAATGTAACTTAGTATAATTCCTAGATAGGTATCAATGTCATCAATTTGAGATTGCACCAAATCATCGTCTTGACTTTGAAGTTGCTCTTCGTCTTGTTTAGTGGTGGCGGTAGCTATTTTAATAAATGATTGTTCATTCTTAACCAATGCCAAAATTTTCTTTACTATACCAGAACTTAACATATTCAAAAATAAATCAATTAAACCAGATATCATGTCGATATTCAATTTTCTAGGAACTTCATAATGATAAAATTTTGAATAATTACTAATTACTTCTTTATCTTTTGTAAAAGTAATTAAACTTCTATTCCAATCAACTTCAATTATATCAGCTAATATATTTAATAATAATAAAGTTGAAGTTCTCAGTTTTTCATCTCTTGATCTTAATTTAATATTTTTAGATTCATTATTTATAATTTTAAGTATTGATGCGAAGGAAGTTAAAATTGATGACATAAAATGCACATTTTTTGATTTGAAATTTAATAAAATATTTCTTGTAATTATAAATTGTGGATCAATTTCAATTTCTTGTAATGTATGACCTGAATGATTAGGTAGAATTGATTCTAATCTTTTACATAATGATTGTATGAAATTATATTGATTATCGGATATTATATCATTATTATGAGTATAACTTATATTACTTAAATTAAAACTGGAATTTGTATCTGAAGTATAATTTGAGTTATTAGTTTGATTTGTATTTAAACTGAATTGAAATATATCCATTATAATAAGCTAATCTTGAATAATTGAGATCTAAAAGAATTGATTGACTTATATTGTAGATGGGGGAAGGCGGTAAATTAATAATAATAGAATCAAAATCAAAATCAAATAAAAAGTACCCTTGGGCTTTGAAATTTGATTATCTCTCAATGCGATTATAAAATCAAGATTATAAATAATAATAATAATAATAAAAATAATAAATTAACTTAATTTAATTGTGATTATGATATAATATTCTTTCTAAAATTCAATTTCTTTAATTGATATCTAATCTTATATTGAATTCCCTAGTTATTGTTGAATTGGTTAATCAATTAATTAATATATATTAATTTTTGTTGACAGTATTTATTATTGATAAAAAAAACCAAAAAAAAAAATCTAGACAGTATATTTCAAGTCGTGTACAAAATACTTAAAATATGTTAAGTTGTCTGATAACTATGGCGATTATGTAATCATTAGTTTAATTTCCTTTCTTTTTCTTCTCAACGGTTTTTTAATATATTATTTATTTTTTTTTTCTTGTCCTGCATATTTTGCTTAGGAGGTAAAACACCGAAATCTGGAGATAATTTATTACTATACAACAGTTATCACGGTATTTGTTATACAATTTTTATCTTTATTCGTTATACGATTTTTATCTTTTCGTTATACAATTTTTATCTTTTCGTTATACGATTTTTATCTTTTCGTTATACAATTTTTATCTTGATTCGTTATACGATTTTTTATCTTTATTCAATATACAATAAATATTATAAATATTATATAGAATCAATTAATGATCTTCATGTTTAAACAATAAATATTATAATAAATATTATATAGAATCCATTAATTGTATTCATGTTTAAACTTTTAGTAAATCTTTATCTCCTCGTTTATTATTTTAACCTCCATAATTTAACTTTTATAATAGAAAAAAGAAAATGGAGAATTTGGAGAAGAAGCTTCAAATTGAAAACGGAGAAATCTGCATCACAATAGATTTATTGTATAATTTGTATAATTTGTATAATAGTTAAAAATCTATTCAACTACGATTAAATCTTATATAAATATATATATATATGTTTAGTAAAACTGTATGCACAACTAGTTAAATAGTTTGCTGTTCATTGTTCATCGTTCCTCGAGATTTTTGTTTTAGATCAGTTTATCGGATTTATATCCAAAATATCCGTATCCGTTTTGATACCGAATTTAAATGATGCAGAAATATTTGGAGCAATTAACGATTATGAACCCCCAGTTTTTTTTTTTTTTTTCTTTCCTTTTTTTTTCCTTTTTTTTCTTTTTCGTATGCTTTTCTTCCTTTCGAATTTGTTTAATTCCGAATGAATAATAAATCAATCAATCAATCAATCAATCAATCAATCAATCAATCAATCAATCAATCAATCAATCAATCAACTTAATTCTGTGTTTAATGTGATGGAAGCTTTTATACAAGAGTGTGGAGAAAGTTTAAAAGCAATTATGGCATTTTATAATTCGCATCGCGAATCAACAAGAGATCATGCTTGATATTGTAAGTTTATGCACGACTTTTCTAGTGAGACAAATCATTTAAAATTAATTTCTATTGATTTTAATTATAATTTATCGTTTATGGGATTATGACACATATATTATGTAATTATTGATCCACAATTAAATTCCAAGTCTTTCTAACAATTGATTGGTTGATTGGTTGATTGGTTGATTGATTGATTGATTGATTGATTGATTGATTGGTTGATTGATTGATTTCTGATTCCTGATTCTAATCAATTGAATAATGCTTTTTAGAAGCTTTTTAGTCAATTATAATAAAACGTTTAACGCTTATTATATTTCGATTCATTTCAATTTACGATTTTTCTTGGAAAGTTACTACGATTTTTCTGTTTTCCAATTAAATGAGTGAATGTTCTTCTCATTATTGCAATTCTACTGTATGAGTGTTTTTTTTTTTTTTTCCTAATTTTGCAGCAATTTGAGAAAAATAAATAAAGGAAAAAGAGTTCAGAAATATTACACGATAAATAATAACAATTAATTATCATGAAACCAAAAATTATATACGAAACAGAAGAATTATACAAATTGCGTCATAATGGATCTTACAATATTTATTTACCAGATTTATATCAATCAAAATCAAGTTCTTCTAATTGTCAATTAAGTTCTTTAAATAATAATAATAATAATAATTATTTTGTTACACAAACTAATGTTTATCCAATTTCAGCATATGTTTTCATACATCAATCTAATATTATTAATTCACCGCCTATTGTATCATCCAATGATTTTAATTATTCAACACCGCCTTCTTCAACTAATTTAGGTCAAAATCAGAAACAAATTCAAATTCAAAATCAGAATTATTTTATAAATTCAAGTTTAAATTCACAGCCAATAGTTATACCAGTTATAAAAGTTAAAAAGGGATGTAAATTACCACCTGGAGGATTACCATTAACTTCATTAATTGATTCAAAGAGAATACAAAAAGAATCAATAAATGATAGTTATAAATCACCTATTAGTGCACAAAAAGAAATGAATCAAGATGAAAATAAAGAAGGAGATCAAGATATAGTTATTAGTAGTGCAACATTAACTACAACTACAAATACAACAACATCAAGTGATATAATAATTAAGATATTACCAGATGATTAATGATTAGCATTAATGATTAATGATTAATATTAATATTAATGATTAATGACTAATGATTAATGATTAATGATTAAATAGTCATAATTAAATAAATAATCAAATAAACGCCGTACTAAAAATGGAAGCGCAAAATGGAAGCGCAAATTGAAAGCGCAAATTGGAACCAAAAACCAAAAAAAAAAAATAAAAAAATAAAAAAAAAAAAAAAAAATATATAAAAAACTTGTTTCTCTATGTCATTAGTTGAAGAAGATGAACATGAAGATAATGTATATTATTTAAATCTAGAGATGTATGTATTATTATTATAATAATTAAATTTTACGTATTTGTTTGTACTGTATTCTCTAACAGTTTCAAGTGTACCAGATCCAAGTATAAATGAAGATAAACAATTATTAAAAGAATTTAAAGAAACAAATATAGATTCCATTATATGGAATTCAATAATTTTAACTAGTTTAAATAAAATGTATGGGTTAATTGGAGAATCGTCACCTTTTGAAATACCAACTATAATAGACTCCAAATCAATTATACTTAAAATACAAATTGAAGATTTTGAAAAGTTTAATAATTCATTTATTAGTTATATATTCAATTTATCTAAATTCTATTCGGCATTAAATATAAATTGTCAAATTAGAATCAATAAATTCAATAAATGAAATACATTAATTGGTAAAACTTTATAGTTTATTGTATATAACTAAGAAATATATGTATATATGTATATATACAGTGCACAATCCCCTTTCCATTCTTCTTATTCCTTGGTTTTGGTTTTATAATTTTTCAAGATTTCTATTTTCTGTTTCTATTTTCTGTTTCCATTTTTCTGTTGAAACAAAACTTTACAACAACTGGCCTTTTCAATAACGGTTTATTACCACATTCATTTAACTACAAAGTATGAGGTATAATTATATACTACTACTATTTATATATTTGATTAATGTATCAATTTGTGATAATTATAATGATTTATTAAAAATTACTAAATCTTCATCAATTGGTGTTCCAAGAGAAGTTAAATATTTTGATGATTCGTCAAATATTTTGACTCTAAGTCAAGGTAATGTTTATATAAGCTATAATGATGGTTTACAATTTGATAAAATTAAAGATGTAAAAGAATCTGTTATTTATTTTGAAATGGATCCATTTAATAAAAATCGCGGGTTTATATTCACTAATTCCAATAATCAATATTATACAAATGATAAAGGTAAAACTTGGAAGAAATATAAATTTGATTTATTTAAAGAACATGATCAAATTATATCTGGTCCAAGAATTCAATTTAATGCTGAAGATTCAAATTATATTTTAATTTCAAATTATCAATGTCCCCAAGGTCAACATGAATTTGATACAAAGTGTAAGCATAAATTCTTCTATACAAAAGATGGATTTTTATCTGATCCAATAGAATTGAAAGGTATTGAACCACATTCTTGTAATTTTGCAAAATCATCCAAAACTTCCACAATAGGTGATAAACTGACAATATATTGTTCTGAAAATACATTAAATTCTTATGGTCATGTAATTGAATCAAAATTATATAAATCTAATGACTTTTTCAAAAATAAACAAGAAATAAAATACTCAGATTCAAATAATATAATTATTGATATTAAAGTTGAAGAAGATTTCTTGATTGTTGTTTCAAGAATGGATAAATTTAATGAAAAATCAAATATTGTTGTATTTGTATCAAGAGATGGTGAAATTTTTAATAAAGCAGATTTAAATATTGATGTAAAATATGGTGTTATGTCATTTTTACCAAGTTCAATTTCTTCATTATTTGTTCAAATTACTGATTTTCGATCTCCTACTGGTTTACAAACTGCTACTTTATATTCAACTGATTCAAAAGGTATACATTACACAAAGTTATTAGATAATATTGAAGGTGGTAATGTTCAAAAAGTTGAAAATATAGATGGGGCATGGATTGCAAATATTGCAATTGATGGTGAAAATGATGAAAAAGAACAAGAAAAGAATTTCTTTGATTTTTTATTTGGTGGTGGTTTTTCAAAAGATTTTATAACAAAATATACTTATAATGATGGTAAAGATTGGGATTTACTTAAAATAAATGATGATGATTCTTGTAAAATTGAAGATGGTTGTTCATTACATTTATTTTCAAATTCAGAATTAAATAGTGATGGTAAATTTGTAACTGGTCCAACTCCTGGTATTTTAATTGGTGTTGGTAATAAAGGTAAAAAATTAATTGGAAATGTTGCTAAAATGAAAACTTATATTTCAAGAGATGGTGGTATATCATGGACAAAAGCTTTAGATCAACCATGTATATTTTCATTTGGTGATCAAGGTAATATTATTATTTGTATGCCATATAATGGTAAAAAAGTTCATGATCCATCAAATTCTATTTATTATTCTTTAAATCAAGGTAAATCATGGGAAAAATATGAATTAGATGAAGCTATTTATCCTTTAAGTATATTAACTACAGTTGATGGAACTTCAAAAAAATTTATAATTGATGGATTTAATAATGTTGGTCAAAATCCTGATAATGCAAATGATATAATTTATACCATTGATTTTTCAAATGTTTTTGATAAAACTTGTCAAGATTCTGATTTTGAAGATGTTTATGCCAGAAATAGTGTTTGTGTTTATGGTCATAAAGAAAAATTTAGAAGAAGAAAACAAGATTCAAAATGTTTTGTTAATAAATTATTTGAAGATGTTCATGTTTATGATGAACAATGTCAATGTAATGAACAAGATTTTGAATGTGGTAAAGGATTCAAATCTGGTAAACGTGGTGAATCATGTATACCTGATGCAAAACAAATTGTTAAAATGTGTAAAAATACTCAAGATATTTTAGAATTAGATAATAAAAATTTAATTGCTGGTAATAAATGTGATATGGGAAAAAAGAAAGAGACAGATTTTATAACAAAACACACTATTAAATGTAATGATTATATGAATTTACCAGATAAAGGAGATAATCATCAAATTGAAGTTAATATTAATGAATTCGAAGATAAGTTAAATTTTTATAACTATATCCAACAATCAAATGACTATAATTCTGGTGATAACATCATAATAAAGACTGGTGATCAAAAAGCTTACATTTCAAATAATGGTGGTGTTTCTTTTGTTAAAATTCCAATTCATGATAGAATTTTAGGTTATTATGTTGGTGCATTAGCTGGACAATTAATATTATTAACTGATTCAGATATAATTTATGTTTCACAAGATGGTGGTTCAACATTTACAAAAAGAAAAGCACCAAGTGCAGTTGGTCAAGGCAAAGTTATTACATTTCATAAAAATAATATTGATAAATTTTTATGGATTTCAAATGGGAATGCTTTTATAACTGATGACTATGGTGAAAATTTTCATAAATTAAGTGATCAAGTTGAAAGTTGTGATTTCGTAGGTGCAATATTTAACAAAAATGATTTAATTTATTGTGCAAAATATGATGATAACAAATTAGGATTATTTGAAATAAATGGTAATTCAAAGAAATTATTTGATCATATTGTTGGTTATGCAATGACTGGTAAATATGTTATTGTAGCTACTGTTAAAGATCAATCATTACATGCAAAAGTTACAATTGATGGTGAAACATTTGCTGATGCTGATTTCCCTGCTGATTTAAAAGTTATGGCTCAACAAGAAGCATACACTGTTTTGGATTCATCAACTGATTCAATTTTTATGCACGTTACAACTGAAACTAAACCTGGTTTTGAATATGGAAGTTTAATAAAATCAAATTCAAATGGTAGTTATTATATAACTGCATTGGAGAATGTTAATAGAAATAGTTTAGGATATGTTGATTTTGATAGATTAGATGGTTTGGAAGGGTCAATAATTGCGAATATTGTACTGAATCCAAAATCTGGAGATAAAAAGAAGTTACAAACTTTAATTTCACATAATGATGGAAGTGAATGGGATTATTTAGTTCCACCTCCAAGAGATTCTCAGGGGAATAAATATGAATGTACTGGTAAACCTTTAGAAAAATGTGCATTACATTTACATGGATTTACAGAAAGAGTTGATTATAGAGATACTTTTTCTTCTGGATCAGCAACTGGTTATTTAATTGGTATTGGTAATGTTGGTGAATATTTAGAAGATAAATCAAGTGATAAAACATCAACATTTTTTAGTGAAGATGGTGGTATAATATGGAAAGAAATTAAAAAAGGGAAATATATGTGGGAATATGGTGATAGAGGTACATTATTAGTATTAATTAAATCTGATGAAGAGACTAATACATTATTATATTCATTAAATGAAGGTGATACATGGAATGAATATAAATTTAATGAAGAAAAATTGAAAACATTAGACTTAGCAACTGTTCCAACTGATACATCAAGAAAGTTTATGATACTCACAGAAAATCCAAAAGATTCATCATCTTTCTTATCATTTAGTATTGATTTTACAAATGTTTATTCTAGACAATGTCAATTAAATTTAGATTCACCCGATCAAGATGATTTTGAATATTGGGTACCTAAACATCCAAGATCAACTGATTCATGTTTATTTGGACATAAATCAAGTTATCTTAGAAGAGCTTTAGGTCATAATGATTGTTTTATTGGAAGTGCTCCATTATCTCTTGGTTTTAAAAAACTGGAAAATTGTTCATGTACTAGAAGAGATTATGAATGTGATTATAATTATATTAGGGATATTAAAGATAATACATGTAAATTAGTCAAGGGTTTATCATCAAAAGATTATCAAAAATTAGAATGTTCAAAACCAAATTCATTTCAATATTTTGAAAGTACAGGATATAGGAAAATCCCACTTAGTACATGTCAAGGTGGAAAACAATATGATAATTGGAATCCAAAGGCATGTCCAGGAAAAGAATCAGAATTTAAAAAATATTATAATTTACAAGTTTCTGGATCAAAATTATTTTCATTAATTTTTATCCCTTTGATTATTTTCATTAGTGTTACTTTTTTCGTTTATGAACGAGGTATTAAACGAAATGGTGGATTTGCAAAATTGGGTCAAATAAGATTAGATGAAGATGAAGATTTACAATTAATTGAACATAATGGAGTAGATAAAGCTGTTAATATAATTGTAAAATCTGGAATTTATTCATTTGCGTTCCTAATTGCTTCATTCAAAACAATTCAAAAATTAGATAGAAGTTTATTGGAAAAATTGGGATCTGTTATATTTAAAAGATCACCAGGTAGAAGAACTTATGTTTCTTTACCTAATGAAGATGATGAATTTAATGATATACTAGATGAAGAAGAAGAATTAGAAAATAATAATCAAGATGAGAGACTTTTCGATATTTATGATGATGAAGAAGAAGATGAAAATAATGATTTATCATCAAATCAACAACAACAACAAGAACAAGTACAAGAACAAGAACAAGTACAAGAACAAGAACAACAAAAAGATTAATATTAGTCAATACATTTTTTATTTATTACTCTGCTTTATGACGTAGAAGTTCCGATATAAGATTCTATGCTGAACGACGCACGGAATAATTTAAGCGAAAAAAACAAAAATTCTAAATCTAGTAATGCGGCTGAATAAGCATGAAAAATTTTCCACTTTTGAACAAACCTATCATCAAAAAAAATGCTCCAACTTAATTGACACAACGCACTCATAGTGAGTGATAAAAAAGATGGCCCCGACGAGACTTGAACTCGCAACCGTCAGATAACTCCAGTTTGATAACTATTTAACAAGCCCCTCTTTCAGAAGCACTTATCAACAGAATGCCAAACGAAGTTGATGGATAACATCAAAATTGGAATCTGACGCGACTACCAATTGCGCCACGAGACCTCTCTTGTTGTGGTTGAGATTATTGGACTTTGATTTGGTAAAATTTTGAGGTCTGAAGATGAAGTTTTAACGATGTTTGAAATTTTGAAAATTTTTTGACATTTTCAAAAAAATCTAACAAATAGAGTCAAATGTAGTTAAGATGAGGTATCTTCAGAGGCTCAAGTTTGTTTAATTTGAATGTAGCACATAATTATGATGCCTTCTAGACTCTAGTTTATTGAATTTGATGATTTCTACATTCGTGTTGGTAGGGTGCCAAATACTAGCTAACATCTATAGGACCAACGGTTCCTAATCTCTTCAAGCAGTCAGAATTGACCTATTTCAGTCAATTATTCGGCTGTATAGTTGAAACAAATTACAACTCTATGTTTTTGCAACTTTGAATTGGTATATCGATGCTACCATAGGAACACATTTAATTCCGTTCATAAAAGCGCACTGCTCTACATGAATAGTCAATACATATTTATAACAAACGACAAGGTTGGCAACGAAGAACTGACCCAAATCAAGAATAACAGGTTTATTGTAAGTTAGCAAATTTTAAAGTATTTTGCAAAAATGTTGAATTTTCTTCTATTCCAAAATAATAATCGGTTTCAAACAGGCTAATACTTAATAGTAAGCATTAAAACAGACAATTAAAAGCAGTAGGTCAGATCGTATATAGTAGAAGAATGTAAAACAAGATGAAAGAATCATTAAGCACACACGGTAGCACCCGTTTTGATAATTGCCTAATTTGGAATTCTAAGACCAATTCTGAAACATTATAAAGTCCAAAATAGGCAATTTAAGGATTCCAACCTGATACCAGTTATTAGCTAATTAACAAGATCAAAGATTTGTAAGTAGTATCTCATTTTTGTTTAATAAGTAATTAAAATATCATTTTAACAAAATACACGCCCTTATAAATCAAAACTTTTGCAACCAAAAATATATCAAAAACAATAAAATCATGACTGTCATCAAGAAAAGAAAGATGTCAGATAGAAAATATAAAAATGTGTAAATACTATTTACAAAGAGTTGATAAGATCAAATAAGAAGCAACAGTTGGTACTAAAGAAAAGTATAAGAAAATCAATGCAATTAATAAATCAAAACAATATCAAACTCGTATTGGTTTATATAATTCTTCATCAAATGAAGATGAAAGCTATTCCAATTATAACACTTATAATTATGATCACTCAACTAGTGCAAAAGATTAACATAATTCGAATTATGTTTATTCAAATTTTGCTAATAATTCTTGAATTAGCTTCAAAAAATCATAAATCATTGAATCAGATAGATAAACTATATAATCTGACTACAGCTACAACAGATAGAGCAACAATTCCATACCGTTATAATCCAATAAAAACCGTACCGTTATAATCCAATAAAAAGATCTCTTAGTACTAGAAATGCTCAATCAACTTTAACGTCAATCAAAAAATTACCACCCAAGAGTCTGGAATATTAATAAAATTATAGAATTTGTATAATATATTTAATAGTATACTTAATCCCAACTCTTGACTCTATTTTTAAGCATACTCTCCATGTTTCAATTTCTCTTTTACATTTGAAACAGTTTTACTTCTTCAACTTATTTCAAGAGTATAATCAACAAATCAACCAAATAGAAAGAAATAAATTCTACAACATAACAATTTAATCTCAGCTATATTTATTTCACTTATAAACTAATCAATAAATAAAAAAACAAAAACCAACTAGTTAACTCTCCTAACAACATTTACCTTTACATAAACATTCTTCATCTTTTGAGTCACATTTACATTCAACACCATTTTTAATACAGGTACATTTATCACCACATGAGCAACAAGATTGAGGAGCACTTGAATAATTGACTAAATTTGAATAAGACATTTCTAAACTAATTTGATTGATAAAGAAAAAGTAAAAAAGAAAAAGAATTTACAAAATTTGGGAAATTTAGTGCTGTATTTATACTTTTTAATTTAGGAGAGTTAATTATGCTATTGAGATAATTTAGCCAAATAAAAATTTGTTAAATTTGTTATACAAATTGCATGATCAGACACCTATTTTTTTTTTCTTCTTGTCGAATTAATAAAAGGTAATTGGATAGATTAAAATGTTTTGATCGCTTGTCCCATGTTGTTCCTTGGAGGTAGAAAGACCATGGTATTCCACGGTGACTAAACAAGGGTTAAATGTAAAATTGCGTAGTGATATGTTAGTGAATAATCGATTGAATAATTTAGCGCAAGGCTACATAACACACAATTTATTCTATTTTAGTTTCTAATAATAGATCTTGAGTCTGACAGATGATTTGATCTGATTGTTTTAGTTGTTAAAATTGACTTTCATATATGAATTGAGATCTTTTTGCTGCAAAATGTTTTATTTTTTCTTGTGCGACCTTTAAGCTATATGCAGGATACTAACCAATACAAATAGTTTAATATATACCAAAATGCAACAACGAAAGTATAATGTATGATTTAAGCTCATAAGGACATATATCATGGAGTATGTAATGTTTACCTAAAATACTTCAATAAGCTTGTTTAGTCTGAAATCAGTACTTTTGTTTCAAGTTGAATGCGCAAAATAGAAAATATTCACCTTGCAATTAAGCGGCTTTTACAATAATAACAGATAAAACACGAATTTTTTTTCAGATCTTGGCATTTTTGATTTGTTATTTGTAGCTAAGACTCGTGCTTGGTATGATCTACAGTATGTCTGTATCTCTCAAACTCAAAAAAAACAGACAAAATGTACTTCAAATTCTAAGTATTCAATCCTACAAATTCTAAGTAATCAATCCTACAAATTCGTAAAGAGTCCATATGAAAATGTATTATTACTTAAATCTTAGAGTTTCCCCTTTTGTATAAATTTCTTTTTCTCACCAAGGTCGTGTCCAACCCAATCAAAGTGAAAATCAAAATCAAACTTTTATAGTATTAAATTATTCATGTTCAATAAAGAGGAATCGTTTATTACAGCCAAATTTACATCAAAAAATTCCACTCAATTATATAGATAAAAAGTATTATTCCAACAGTGTAAGCATATACTTCACCGATTTTTACTCTGTTTACTCTCTTTAATAGTCATTTTAACAGCTCTTTTAAGTAAGTTCGTTGTAATTTTCCTATTTAAATAAAAGGTAAACAAATCAATTTTATTTCTGATAAAAAAAATTTTAAATATTTACAACCAATTTTATTTATCGCCCAACGCCAAAAGTTAACGACTACGAACCATTTAATACCATTCAATAGCATTCAATAGCATTCAATACCAACAGCACTAACAACCGCACTAACAACAGCAGCAACAACAGCAGCAGCAACAACATCTAGATAATATTATATCTATCCACTCGTTTGTCTTTTAATTCTTCCATAATTCATTATGAATTTATTTATATTTATACTACTTATATCACTAGTTTATTCGAATGACGTATTTCAATTAATCACTCATCCAGATTTAAATTTTAATGATGTAAATCGAATAGGTTTATTTGGATCTTTTGATGCTTTATCTTTTTATTCATTTATAAATGAAACTCAAAATATACAACTACCTTCATCATCACCATCATCATCATCATCACCATCATCACCATCATCACCATCACCATCACCATCATCATCATCATCATCATCATCATCATCATCATCATCATCATCATCAATAATAAATAAAAGAGATGTTGATCAAAATTCATCTGGTTTATTCATACAAGATTCATCAAATAATAATAATTTACAAATTGCTTCAATAAACGGACAAATTAATCAAATCGAAAAAATATCAAATCAGTCAATAATTATAAATGGTAATTTTTCTCAAATAAATAATCAACAAGTTAAAAGTCCAATCATATATAATATAAATACAAAGGAAATAACTAAAATTTTAGATGACGATGTACAGGGGAATGTAAATACTTTCTTAATTGATAATTCATTAATTTATTTAGGTGGAGATTTTCAATTTAATCAAACTTATGGATCTGCAATTTATAATATAACTTCAAAAGAAACTACGATTACAAAATTCCATGGGTTTGGAAATGATTCAATTATTAATACAATTTATAAATTACAAGATTCATTAATATTTGGTGGGAAATTTAATACTTTAGGATTGCAGGATTTATTAAAAATTAATACAACCACAAATTCGACAAGAAATAGAAATGAAACAAACACCACTATAATACAAGCTGAACAATTAATATCTTTAAAACATGGTCAATTCACATCAATAAATAGTGAATCAGACAATTCACAAGTCGTATGTCCTAGTAATTATCAATGGCAAGCTCAACCTTCATCAGGTGCAGAATGGAGAGTCGAATTACCTACTGAAATGAAAGGAGTTATACCTACAAAGGCAAGAATATATATACCCGATTCAACAAATGGAATTAAATTATTCAGAATATATTCATATCCAAATAATGGTATCATGAATCTAACATATATTGATCCAAATACAAATGAATTAAATTATTGTGATGCATGGTGTCCATTATTACAATTTGATGACTTACAAGATAGGATAGACTCAAATATTGATAATTCAATTGAATTAAATCAAGATGATACATTTGTAGACGAACAAGATGGTACATTTTTTAAATATTATGATCCTTCAACAAAGACTAAAAATTTAGGTTACGGAACCAATTTTCAAGAATTTGCATTTGTTAATGAAGTTGGAATTGATTCAATTGGTTTTACTATTATTGATTGGTTTGGAGTTCAAGGTGAATTTAGCGGATTTGAATTGTATCAAAATGCAATTACTGTATTTGGAAATAATACATTAAATGAACCAAATTGTGGTGATGAATCAAGTAGTAATTATGCGGAAATACAATCTGGAAATTTTACTTCAATTTTAGATAACAGTCCAGGTTTAAATTCAGATTATTTAGTTACTTCAGATCAAGATGCTAAAATTATATTATATCCAAATATATCTTACTCTGGTAATTATTCAATTATAATGAATACACCTGGTTGTTCATATGATAATACATGTGCTCAGAGATCAATTGTAAATGTAACTATTAAAAGTGATCAAGATGAAATATTATCAACAAATTTAATTTATCAAAATAATGAGAATAATAAATTTGATTATTTATTTTATGGTCATTTAAATGGATCAACTATAAGTGATGGACAAAATAAAATTGAAATCTCATATCATGATAAAATCAGTGATTCAAGTACTATAATGGTTGTTGATAAAATTACTGCAAATATTGTATCATTGGATAATTATTATGATAGAAATAATACAAATAGGACAGGAAATAGGGATAGTTTTGAGATTAATCCAATTAAATTAAATGGATTGTTTGAATATTCATTAAGAAATTTTACAAATTTTGATGAACTGAAAATATATAATGGTTCAACTATAAGTTTGAATAATACATTTGTTGGAAATTCATCAATAAATTATCTTTCAGGAAATCTAAACAATGATACAGAAGTAAATGAAATAACATCAATTCATGATTCATTATTTTTACTTGGTGATAATTTCCAAAGTAGAAATTTTACCATTTCAAATTCAAATTTAATTACTTTAAATTTTGGAGATTATAATACTACATTAAATGAAACAAATATAAATATACCATCTACATTAAAAAAGAGAGCAGAATTTCTTAATGCAAATTTCAATAATTCAATTTCAAGAATTATTCCAACAAGTAATGGAAATGGAATTTTAACATTAGGTGATTTTACTCTATCTGATTCCATACAAGATCTTTCAAATGATAGTGAAACAATATCAGTTGCAAATAATATAGCTTTGAATGTAAATGATCAATGGTATTCATTTGGTAATGATTATTGGAATACTGAAATTAATCAATTTTCAAATTTCACAATCAATGATATTGAATATTATTCATTTTCATCTAATAATGAGTTTAAAATCTGGGATAATTCAAATTTTAAATGGATAGATAAAGATTTTAACATTTCACAATCTACTTTGTTAAATTCAAATTTACAAATTTTAGGAGGTCAATCATTTTCAAACATGGATAAATATTCAATAAATCAAGCATATATTGAAAATAATAATAATCAATTCAAATCATATAATCTTAATTCTTTTTCCAATATAATAACAAACTCATTTTATATAAATTCATCAATGTCAGTAATTGGAGGACATGAATCAATACAATTTTTAATTAATAATTCAACAACTTCATTAAATGGTACATTAAATTTTATTAACAATAATATATACGTTGAATCTTTATATGTTGACAATAATCAAAAATATTTATTTATTGGTGTTAATGGAACTGTTGAAATTAATAATAATCTTAATGTTACAGGTATAATAATTTATGATCTTAAAAATAATACATTTGCAAGTTTTCAACCATCTGAATTATCAAATAATGATGAATCAACAATTGAAATTAATTCAATTGTTTTATTTGATGATGATAATAAATTATTAGTAGGTGGTAAATTTGATAATGCAGGAAGTTTATCTTGTCCAAATTTATGTATTTATGATATTGGAAATACTAGATGGATTAATCCACAAAATAATGATCGAAAAGATATTCAAGGTGTAGTTAAAGATATGAAATTTTATAAAGATAATTCAGTATTGATAAGTGGACAAGGTTTAAAATTTGAAAATTCAAATGTTTCGTTCTTTACTTATAATTTTGAATCACAAACATTTAATATAAAGTCAAATTTGAATTTAGGTGGAAATAGAAATATCAACAAATTCATTATCAATGATTTAAGATCAAATAATGATTTACAAAATAGAATGATTGCATATGGAGATAACTTTATTTCTGGATTTGATGGAAATAATTGGAATAAAATTGACTCTCAAATAAATTTCACAAATACTAAATTTACAGATTTGAAATTATTAAAATTATCAAAATCTTCAAATTATAATGAATCATATTTTGATTCAGATTCAATAATTGCAATTTCGGGTCTAATCAACTTGAAAAATTACGGATTGGTAAATATGGCGTTATTTAATGGAACAGATTGGATTCCATATATTTATACTTTAAATGATACTCGTTTTGGAATTGTCAATTCAATTTTAATCAATGATGATAGATACCGATTTCAAAGCTCAGATGATTTAAAAAATTCAAATGTTAATTTATCAAGAGGTAAAGTTGTTGGAATTTCATTAGCTTGTGCACTTGGTGCTACCTCATTATTCGGTTTATTTTATATTATTCCTTATTTTGTATTATTTAAGAAAAGAGATAGAGAAAGATTTGATGAACCTGGTTATGATCAAAGAATTTATGAAAATGATATGATGGAAGCTGTTAATCCTGAAGATTTATTACATGAAATAGATTTACAGAGAGAGAAATAGATAAAGACTATAATGTTCTATATATAATATTTAATATGTAAGTAAGCTGACACCGTCAGGATGCCTTGCATTGTACTTCAACAACGTAAAGATGCTTTAAAATAAGGATGTAACAAACGCTAGAGGTAAATTGTTTTCAATATTTGAAGGAGACCGATCAAACAAAAACACATCTATTAACAAACACATTTACTCCTTTAAATAGTTATCACAACTCGGCTCTGCTTTACTTCTTACAGGCTCTGCTCTTGTTCTTCCAGTGCTAAAAATATCTCTGTCTTCAGTCTTTGAGATGATTTATAATTGGTTTCTCACATGGTAGCATTATTAACAATTTCTATTCTCAACGAAGTTATTTATTTATATATATGGTATGAAATTTGCAGATGGTTTAGATCCATATATACTAAGACAAGAGTTATTGAAAAACCTTTTCTGTCCAATAGTTTCACTTCAATCAACTATTCATGTGGATCAATTCTTCCAATCATTAATTAATGATCAAAATCAATCTTTATCAACATTACAAATTTTTAAACCCTACGGTGATAATGTTAAGTATTCAATACCGAATCAACAATTTAAAATCACAACTACTCAATTAATAACCAAATCTTATTCAAGTTTTCCAATTAGATTTGAAGCACCGATTACAGAATTAATATTCATGGGGAATGCACAAGTTAAAGATTCAATTAAACAATTATTTAGCATTAGTTCATTAGATCATTATTTAAAACAATTGAAAGACGGAGAAAATGATTTATATCTAATATTATTCGATAAAATAATTACTCTGAATTATATACTTGCATTTGATACTTTTAATCATCCAATTGCACAAATATTCATAATTGATAAAAATAAAGATTCAATTGAAGATTTAAGAAAAATGATTGTTGAATTTAGAAATTTTAATCACTTCCCAAAATATTTTCAAATTGATGATTTAATGATTCATGTATTCATTTTAAGTACAGATGGTGATGATAATTTATTTGAATTTCAAAATGAGATAAAATTGAAATTGAATGTGAATTCTACAATATTACCTATTATTTTTAGAAATGATGATTTATTAGAGGTTACTATTGAAAATTCAACATTAGAATCTGATGTACAACGTATGAGCATGCATAACTGTCTGAAGTCGTTCAAAATTTCAAATACAATAGATCAGATACTAAGAATCAAGATCAATGAGTTTGTACTTAAATGGTTATTACCACATATGCAACAACAGATACGAATATGGGATGATCAAATATTACAACCTAAAAAATCAATAACTAATAAATTTTTAAATTTTAAAAAAATTTTTAATAATGATACTACCACCCAAATTACAAATGAATTCAATCATGTTGAAAATTATTATTATAAATCAAGTTCACAACAAATACTTCGTAAATTAGCAGATTGGTCATTAATTCTACGAGATTTTAAATATTCATATTCGATTTATGATTTAATAAAGAAAGATTATTCTTCAGATAAAGCATGGATTTATGTTTCTTCAACTCAAGAAATGTGTATAATTTCATTATTATTAGCTCAAACTCAACAATTACAAAATTTACAAACACCGGATAAGAATACATTACGCAAAATTAGACATGATATAACTGAACCATATATGGATAATTTATCATATACATATAAATCAAGATTCAATCTAAAGACATTTAATTTAAGAAGTTTAATTATAGTTAGTGAGTTATTATTATGTATGTCAGCACAATTTAAAATATCAAATTGGTGGAATGATTTAATTGAAAAATATTTAATAAATTTGAAAAATGAATTTGATGTACATTTGGGAAAAGATTCAATTGTGAAGGCCATATTATTGGAAAGATTAGGTTATAATACTGGTAAATATATGTCAATATCTACAACTTTGAAAATTGAAAATGATGAAAAAATGGAAGAAATTGAAGAGGGAATGTATATAAATCATGATAAATTAGAACCTACTTCAAAATCAATAGGAATGACTAAATTTAGAAAATCTTCTTTATATTATTTACTTTCAAGTTTACAATGGGAGAAATTAAATAAACCAATTGAAATTGAAAAATTAAAAAACAATATTATATATCAAGATACTTATTTAAAAGACAATTTATTGATTAATAAATTATATAGTAATTAATAAGACGTTTTTCATAATTTATCTTCTTTGAAAATGGTTGCAAAATACTTCCTAAATAGGTTGCGCGGCTTCAAATTTACGATTGAAAAATTATGCGAAGAGGTGATTTTTTTTAGACAATTAAATATATCGTTAAGAAACCATGGGTAAAGATAAAGAAAAATATTTAAAAAGAAAATTAGAAAAATCAGAAGAGCTATCTGATAAGAAAAGAGCTAAATTAGAAAAGAAAGAGAAGAAATTGAAAGAGAAGAAGGAAGGTAAGAAAGTTAAGAAGGATAATAAGGATAAAAAGGATAAAAAAGACAAGAAAGATAAAAAGGAAAAGAAAGATAAGAAAGATAAAAAAGTAGAGGAAGAAGATAAAGTAGAAATAGAAGAAGAACCAGTTTCTAAATCAACACCAATTCCAAATTCAACTTCATACCAACAATCATCAGAATTAAGCTCATTACCACAATCTGACATCGATTCATTTTTATCTACAAATGAAGTTATTATAGAAGATCCAAATAATTTAAATTTTAGACCAATTTTATCATTTAATCAAGTTGAATTAACCAGTAAAATATCTTCAAGATTATCAAAATTTCCAAAACCAACTCCAATTCAATCTATTTCATGGCCTTATTTATTAAATGGTAATGATGTTATTGGAGTTGCCGAAACAGGGTCGGGTAAAACATTTGCATTCGGTGTACCAGCTATAAATAATATAATTACACAATCTAAATTTAATGGAGTTTCAGTTTTATGTATATCACCAACTAGAGAATTAGCTTTACAAATTTATGATAATTTAGTTGAATTAACCAAAGATAATAATATTGAATGTGTCGCAATTTATGGAGGTGTTTCAAAAGATGATCAAGTAAAAAAATTAAGAAAAGCAAATGTTATAATTGCAACACCAGGTAGATTAGTCGATTTAATTAATGATTCATTAGTTGATTTATCAAAAATTGATTATTTAGTATTAGATGAAGCTGATAGAATGTTGGAAAAAGGGTTTGAAGAAGATATTAAAAAAATTATTAGTTCATGTCCAAATCAATTTGATGGAAATAGACAAACATTAATGTTTACAGCTACTTGGCCAAAAGAAGTTAGAGAATTAGCTAATCAGTTTATGAAATCACCAATAAAATTAACTATTGGTGATAGAGATGAATTATCAGCAAATAAAAAAATTACTCAAGTTGTTGAAGTTGTTAATAAATTCGATAAAGAAAAAAAATTAATACAATTATTAGATAAATATCAAAAACAATTTTCAAATAAAGAAGATAAAATTTTAGTATTTGTATTATATAAGAAGGAAGCGACAAGAATTGAAAATTTATTAAAAAGAAATAGATTTAACGTAGCTGCAATACATGGAGATTTATCACAACAACAAAGAACACAATCATTAAATTCATTTAAACTGGGAGAAAATAATTTATTATTAGCTACTGATGTTGCAGCAAGAGGTTTAGATATACCAAATGTTAAAATTGTTATAAACTTAACATTTCCATTAACTATAGAAGATTATGTTCATAGAATTGGTAGAACAGGTAGAGCTGGTAAAACAGGGATTTCTCATACATTATTTACTGAAGATGAAAAACATTTAAGTGGTGCGTTACAAAATATTTTAAGAGGTGCAAATCAACCAGTACCTGACGAATTGTTGAAATTTGGAGGTCATACAAAAAAGAAGACACATAGTGTTTATGGAGCATTTTATAAAGATGTAGATACAACTAAAAAGGCTACAAAGATAAAGTTTGATTAGTAAGGATGCAATAAGCATTTGAACTACAATAGACTGCGGGGTGTATACATATAGGGGGATTGATTGATCTACCCTACATCTTTAACCTCTGAAACTAGTGTTGGTATATATATATATATATATATTAAATTTGATACGTGTTAATTAATTATTTTAATTTCAATTGTCGTCTAATTTATTATCCAATTGGTAGCGCTGGTATATATCAGCCCGATAATGGCGCATCAAAAATTTTCAGAAAATCAGTTGATTATTCATTGATTATGTAATATGTATATACGTGTCCATTTAGAAATACATTAATAAGCTGATTCAGTATAAATAGTGAATAATATCCTATTCTTATAAATACAAGTTTATCGATCACAAGTATTATCAAACGGTAGTACCAAATACTTAGGGCCAAAGCAATACCATACGTGCTATTATTAAATCTATCAAACGGCCCCGAAATCGAAGCAACAGAAAAAGTAATTATCGCAGTAGAAATTTTTCAATTTTATCAACTTACAACCAAATTATAATCAGATTAGATTTGCCATATATCACCGTTCATCATTAGTATAACCCATAATAATATAGCATTTAATAAATAATACGAGTTTTCACAATGCATATATTTCATATCATATACTTACTACTAATAAGTTTGTCAACGGCATCATCGTCATTATCATCATCATCATCATCATCATTATCATCATCATTATCATCATCATCATCATCATCTTACTCTTCACATCCACATTATTTACCGAAAGCGAATTTTAATCCATTTGATTCACCAGACTATTGTTCACAGATAATAACTTCCACCTGTAATACTACATTTTCATATATTGATGATTTAAATAAAAATATCAGACAGTATATTAAAGATTTAGTTAAAACTTCATATTTTAGATATTTTAAAGTTAATTTAGATAAACAATGTAAATTTTGGAGTGCTCAACATTTTTGTGCTACTGAAAATTGTGCTGTTGAAATATTGGAAGATTTTAATTGGAATAATATAACAAATGTAAATTTAAAACCATCAAAATTAGGTAAAATAAATACTCCAAATACAACCGGATTAGATGTAAATTCATTAGAAACTGCAACTGAAATTCAAAATTGTCATGAAGAATTTGATTATAGTTATATTGATGAAGAAGATCATGAATGTGTTTATGTTAATTTATTAAATAATCCAGAAAGATTTACTGGTTATGGTGGAAATCAATCATTTGATGTTTGGAAAGCAATATATTCTGAAAATTGTTTTCCCAATACAAATCCAATGTCAATGTTACCAAATCAACCAAAAGAACAATGTGTAGAGAAGAATTTGTTTTATAGATTAGTAAGTGGTATGCATGCATCTATAGCTGTTCATTTATCAAATGAATATCTAAATCCAATAACTGGTGAATTTTATCCTAATTTAAATGCATTTATGCAAAGAGTTGGCAATTTTAATGATAGATTATCAAATATTTATTTTAATTTTGCATTAGTTAGTCAATCTTTAGTTAAATTAAATGATATTTTACCATTAAGAGAATTTATTGCAAGTGGTTATGATGATATTACACCAAAACAAAATGAACATATTTTATTAGAAAATGAAAAATATGAAAACAGAGAAATTTATAATGAATTACTATTAGATGATATTATTCCAGCATTATCTTCAAATACATTATTTAATACTTCATCATTATTTGATCCAGAATTAGTTGATGCAAATTTAAAAAATGAATTTAGAGCAAGATTTAAAAATATTTCTTCAATTATGGATTGTGTTGGTTGTGATAGATGTAGAATGTGGGGGAAAATTCAAACTATTGGATATGGAACAGCTTTAAAAATTTTATTTGAAGATGATTTAAATTATTCAAATTTAAAATTTAGAAGAATTGAAATTGTTGCATTAATTAATACTTTGGATAGATTATCAAAATCAATTGAAGCTATAAACAATTTTAAACAAATGTATTTAAAACACGTAAAAGATGTTAATGAAGGATTAGCTCAACCTGGAGATTATGATGATGATGATCGTCAAAAAAATAATGCAGGTTTTCAATTCCCATTTGTAAGTTTTGAAAAACCAACAATAAAACCAACAGAAACACAGGCTCCTAAACCTTCATCTTCACGAAAATCAATTAAACAAATTCTTGAAACTAAATCTCATGATAGAACTTTCATCGAAGATTTAAGATTATCATTTGATGAAGTTTGGCAAGCTACTAAATTTGTATTAACTAGTTATCAACAATTTCCTATATTATTAGGTAAATTAGGTTTATTTCAATTAAATCATTGGTGGAATCAATTGATTGGAAAACCAATAACTTATGAATATCAAAGTGCAATAGATTATGAAGCTAAAGAATATAGTAGATTAATTAATTAGAATAAAGATGCTTACAAGTGTCTCTTTATTATTAAGACAAATTTTATAGACTTTTTATGTAATATAAATTTCATTTCATTTTCATTATCATCATTTGTTATGCTAATTTTAAAAATTTTTTGAAATTAAATTAAAAAAAACTAAGCAAACGCAGGTATTAACAGTAACAGTAACAGTTATAGAGTTTATTAGATAACCATGGCACTAGTTTATGAATATTATCTTGATCTGGTTAATTATGTCATATATTAATCTAGTATTTGGTTTAAATTTTGATAATTATACAATCAAATACATAAATTCAATTTCAGAAATGAATTATAAAAACATTTCAATCATATATAAACTAATAAATTCAACATCAATAATTTTACATGATTCAAATCTAAATTTAAAAACTTCAAATTGGAAAATTATCTCAAGTTCATTCCCCAAATCAAATTCTATTTCATTTCCATTATCTAATTGTTTAAACCAAGTTTATGGATCAGGAGGAACAATTGAATTTCAAAAATATACAGTTACAGCATTTAGAAATTCAATTGATTTTGGATTACATTTAAATATTATATTTTATTATGAAAAAGTTGCACAAGTTTATGAATTAACAAAACAGGTGATTATTAGAAGTACTTATGCATGTAATGTACAAGAGGGGCTAATAGGTCAAATATGGATTAGAGGAATGGAAATTGATGAATTTGATATAGATATACATGATATTAAAATTGTGAATCAATGGTTTTGGAGAAAGAAAAATAGAAAAAAGAAATATAATTTGAAATTATGGAGGAAATTTAAAAGTGTTAAACTTATTAAATCCAATAATTACATGATTTCATGTATTACCGATGATGATATATTAAATTGTGATGGTAGTAGAATACCAAATGATTTTACAATTGTATAAAATAATAAAAAATGGTTGCAAAATGAATTCACGTGATGTGACTTTCGTAAATTATTCTTACATAATCATTGGGGGAGTTGATTACAAATCCATTTGATCTAATTTTGGATTATTTTCTTAATCTTTATTTTAACCAATACCTAAATCACCACCACCCCTTTCAAACAAACATTAAACAACTCAATAATCACTCCCTAAAGAGTCATCAAACAATATCAACATAGAGAACATTAATATACGTTTTCTCCAGTGATTTTGGTATAATTTTCACATTTTAATTTTAATCCACGGTAAATTATCATGTCATTAGCAGATGGAGAATATGAAATAGATATATCAAATATATTAAATGAGAAGTCAAATTATGATAATATTTCAATTAAATATGGTTTTATTCCTGATTCAATGGATCAGTCTCAACCATTAAAATTTTATCAAAATAATCAAAAGTGTATGTTGAAAGGATTATCAAATTCAAAAACTCCAGTTTTGTTTGAAGGAACTCAACAAAAGACTTTGAATTCAAATAATGATGATTATTATTTAACTTTTGATGGGAATAATCTCAACCGTATAGAACTTCGAAAATTATCAAGTATATTTAGATTGAACAAGAGTAGAAATGTAGAAAAATTAGAAAAAGAAATACAACAGTTAGAAGTAGAATATGAAGAACAAAAACCACAACCACAACCACAACCACAACCACAACCCCAAACTAGAAAGAAAAAAGAGCCAACTCCAACAACAATAACAAGACCAAAAGTTGAGAAAAAGAAACAAAATATCCCAAATTCAAAATCTAAAGTTTCTAAATCTGTATCTCCAGTTAAACGACAATCAATCTCACCATCTAAAAAAACACCACCACCTCCGATCAAACTAGAATTACCAACAACTTCAATACCTAAAAGACAACAAAAATCAATGAAACGTCCGCCATCAGCTACTCCAACATTAAAAGATGATGAAGTAATGATTTCAGAATCTGATTTTGAAGACTTGAATGAAACTACAAAGAAACAAGAAGAATTTGATGATTTTAAAGATTTGGAAGATGAATTAGAACAAGTCTTGGAAACAGAAACCGATAACCAACAACAAAAATCAGCAAATTCAAATTCATCAAATAGGTACTATGATTCTACCTCTGATTCTGATGCCGGGGATAGGTTTAAATTTCAAGGTATCAAGATTAATGATAATGGAAGTGGTTCAAATAAAAAAACTCCTAGTTTTAATAGTTCTGGATCTTCTGGTAAACCTAGAAGTTTGAGAGATTATATAGGTGGTCCCAATAGTAATAATGTTGATGATGATAGTTCATCAGAAGAAGAATAAAGAATTGTAAGAATGTTAAGAAATAGTTCGTTAAGGATACAACAAATAACGATAGTACACTATATTCAATGTGCATTCTTTTATTGCATCCTTACATAGTTTGCATCCTGACATGGTTTGCATCCTGACAGTATCCTAATTGTTTGAAGTTATATTCCTTTAATGTATAAAATTTACGAGATTATTTTTTTTTTTTTTTTTCAACCATTCGCTTTTATAATTTATGAATGATATTACAATTAAACAATTAACAAAACGAGTTCAAACACTTGAATTAAAACTAAGTACAACTAAAAATGATTCAATAACATCTCAATTGAATCAATTAAATAACAAATTGGCTAACTTGTATAAAGAACATCCAGAATTAACTAAATTGAATAAATTAATCACAGATTTGAAATTATGGAATCACTTGCAAAAAAGAGATGACGAGGAGTTGAAATTAAAGAAAGAAGAGATTTTATTAAATTATTCAAAATATCTAAATATAATTTCTCAATTGAATGAAATTAATAAATTTGATCATGTTAATCTATTCAAGAATATAAATAACCTTATAAAATCTACTAATATTGAAAATAATCAAAGTATTTTAGAATCTAGGATGGTTCAAATTAAACAATTAGAGGAGTATTATAGTTTGATTTTGGTTAAATGTATGATTGTTTATGAAAGATATGTGAAATTGACCTTGGCTGAGAATCAATATTGGTTGGATGTTAATAAACAAATTATGGAGATGAGTCAGAAAATTAATAAGATTGAATCAAGACAAATGGAAAAGAGTAGGTATTGAAGTAATAGTTAAGCTGATAAAATGTTGTGAATCCTTTTGATATTATCAACTGAAAATTTAAGTATTAATTTAATGTCAAGTAAATCAGTTGTATCCTTTTGACTCATAACAGTTGGTATAGTTGTGCATTGAAAGTGTAGCATGAGCTGCAATGGACAGAAAATGAATCGTATCTCAAAATCCACGAGTAATGATCGAGTTTTTAAGGAAGCACTATTATCAAGGGAGATAATTTCAAATCTGGGATTCTGAAAATATTACTATTGGTCTTGCAATTTTTAAAACTGATGAAACTGATGCTGAATCTAAAAAGACTGGCGATTTTCCAATAGATTTTTACCCAACTCTAAGTCTTCAACGAGATATAGTAATTTATATCACAACTGAAAAACAATCTGATACTTCAATAAAAAACTTCATTTATATAATAACCAACATGATATGAAATGCTAAGGCAATATGAGATCGACCAATTTCATTCTTACCAAAAGCTGTTTTACTACTTCTAAGGAGCTCAGACTATTTAATATATAATTAACAAGAAGTATTAGAATTGATTATATATCAGATTGTTTAATATACGGCAGTATTATAAACCAAACATCCTTGTTCGTTTCCAAACCTCATTAAAAATCCAAATTGTAAGATAATTTACATTTGGACTAAAGCGTATTTAGCCTCTTACCCAAAAAAAACTGGTACTGTATCTGTTCCAGTTGCATTTATAGTGTGTTACGTTTGAAATAGAATCTTCTTATAAAACAAGGCGCAAAATAGATCTAGAATCGCGCAATCAAATCTGAAACAATTATACCGAAAGTGCGAAATTAAAAAATAACACAAAAACGAAAAAGAAAAACAAGTAATTTATTTCAAGTATAAGTTAATGAGTTTTCACACAAAGTATACACTTTGTGGTCTAGTTTTAAAGAGAAAAATTAGCTCTATTCAAATTTAATAGTTTCAAATTGATAGGATTTGATTTAGTTAAGGAAACTTGTATTTATCTCTATTTATACTTCAAAAGTTTATTACATCCTTACAATGATTTTGCATCCTTACACAGATATAGTTTTCCAAATGTTTAAACCATCACCACCTGTACTTACTAAACATCCAGGTATTTGTTTATGCCATCTTACATCCTTAACATCTTTTTGCCAATGTACAAATAATAATTGTGGTGGTATATCGTGTAATTCTTTTAATTCTTTTCTTTGTTGAGAAATTTCTTCATCATCTGCTTCAACTGCAAGATCCCATAATGTAACAGTATTATCTTCTGAACTTACAGCAATTATAGATTCATCTAAAGGATTAAATGAAATTGAAGTTATTGCACTTTTATGAAAATTATAATTTGCAACTGGACTAGGTTTTGTCTCTGGTTTAAAATTTCTTAAATCCCAAACACTCCATGATCCATCATCATGACCTGATGCTAATAAATGATTAATTTTATTACACCATGAAAGGACATTTATATCTGAAGAACTTGCTGATACAGATAAGGCCGGTTTATGTTTTTTTGATCTTGTATCCCATATTCTAATATATCCATCAGTTCCACCACTAGCAAAAACTGTATTTTCATTGGGACTCCATTGAATATCTTCAATTGAAGAATTAGAAGCAAAAAATGGTGTTTTATCAGTTGTCCAATTTGATGTTGTTCGATTAGTTAAATATATTCTACCTGTTAAATCACCAGATAATAAACTTCCAGTTGAAATTAATGGACTCCAATCTAGACCATAACCTTCTACATTTCCATGGGATTTAATTGTATGTATTGGCCTTTTTGAAGATTTGGGAATCATATAACCTGGTGAATCAAAGGCTTTATATTGAGAAGATAAGTCAAAGATTAAAACTTCACCGGATTCACTCCATGTAGAAGTTAAATATTCTCCAGTAATTTGTGAATTAGGATTTACTCTTATTCTATTCGTTGTATGTTTTAATGGAATTGTTTCAGTATCTAAAATTGGATCAGAATCCATATCTTCATCATCATCTGAATCACTGTCATCTTCTTCATCTTTTATTAATGTTTTTACTAGTGAACTTGCTTTCATTGTAATTAATTCATTATCTTTATTTTTTGCAGCTTGAGTTGCAGTTGTCAAATAAACAGTTTGGGGGTATGATCTTCTTTCATTTCCTAAATTATCAGGTAAAATATCAACTGTAAGACAAGGCCACGGTAAATTTATATTATGTAACATTTCATAAACTGATGGATCAGCTTCTAATACTTCATCAGGACCTAATGGTTTTGATTTATGTGGGAGATAAATTGATGATTCAATTCTGACCTCTTCTTGATCCTCTACTTTTTCTTCATCCATATTTTCATCTTCTTGTTCTTCATCTAATTCTATTATTTCTTCATCACTTTCAAAATCATCACCGTACGGGTCTTCAAATTCACCAATTTCCACATTTGAATCTTCTACTTGTTCAATTTTAGGAACTGAATTTTGAGTAGTTTTCACCTGTGAATTTCCATTATTAATATTATTTAGCTGATCTTCAGCTGATCTTTTAGACATCTCTTATAGTATTTTGCAGTAATTGAAAATAAATTTATGAGAAGAGATGCCACTACCAATTTTCAACTGATTCGTGTAAATTAACCAAAACGCTTTACAAGAACTTATGGAGAGAAAATCATTCTTAGATCAAGAAGCTCCTGCTAATTATGTTGCTGGTTCAGCTAGAGGGGCAATTGGTTTTAGTACTAGTACAAATGATACGTTCAACAAGGGAGTGGCAATTTTAGAAAATGAAGAAGAAGAAGAAGAAGAAGAAGATCAAGAAGAAGTTGCAGAAAATAGATTCACATATTCCAAGAAGAAACAAGATGAAGAAGATGTAGAAGCAGATTTAATCTATCAACAAATAGAAGATAAATTATCAGCAAAGAGAAAACAACCAACAATAAATAATCCAAATATTAACCTACCCACTCAAACCAAATTTCAGGATCTCAAACGTGAATTGGCTAGTTTGACAGAAGATGAATGGTCAATGATTCCTGAACCAGGAGACATGACAAGAAGAAACAAAAGACAAAGAATATTAGAACAACAATCACAAAGAAGTTACGCCTTACCAGATTCAATAGTATCCAATCTCGGAAACCCCTTATCTAACTTAGATTCTTATCTTCCAAAAACTAGTCTAGATCAATCAACGCAGGATCAAATTTTATCCATGTCGGGCTCAGAACAAGACCTTAAAATAGGAGATTTAAAAAAAGGTAGGGTTATATTTTCAAGTCTTAGAAAAAGTGAACCATTTAAAGCATCTTCATATATCTCATCAGCTAAACTTGAAGAATCATATGGTCATCTTAACCTAGCGCGAAGATATGTTCAAGAAGGATGTGATAAAATCCCCCGTAATGAAGAATTATGGCTTGAAAATATTAGATTAAATGAATCTGATCGAACCTTGACGGCAAAATTAATAAAACAGGCATTGAAATATAATAAATTATCGGAAAAGTTATGGTTAAAATCATTCGAATTTGAATTGGATCCAATAAGTAAGAAAAAAGTATTAATGAAAGGACTTGAGGAATTACCAGATAGTGTTGATCTATGGAGACATTTAATTGAATTAGAAAAAGATTCAGAATTAGTTAGGAAATTATTATTGAAAGCTGTTGATTTATGTAATCATTGGGAATTCTGGACCGCTTTAATTAATTTATCTTCTTATAATGAATCAAAAAAATTGTTGAATAAAGTTCGAAATTTGTTAATCGGAGATTTAAGAGTATGGGTTTTAGGAAGTAAGGTAGAAGAACGTGAAAATCCAAACATAATCCAATCTAAACTAGATAAATTAATCACAAAGGGATTAAAAGAATGTAATGAAATTGACAAATCTCAAATTTTTAAATTTTCAATTGAGGCAAATGATGAAGGGTTCAGTAAGACCAGTGTTGCAATATTACATGGATATTTGTCAAATAATAAAAACATAGATGGTATAATTTCAGATATTGATTCCCAACCAACTTATATTTCAAATATTATGCTTAATTATATCATTGAAACGAAGAATGATTTAAATGTATGGAATAAATTGTTCACCATATGCAAGGATGCCGAAAACTATGACAAGTTATTCGAATATTATCAAAAGGCAATAAAGTTAAATCCTAGTGATGTTACATTGAATCTAATGTACGCAAAGGATATCTGGCTACTAGGTCATCAAATAGATAAATCAAGAGAAATTTTGAACAATATAGAATCAAAACAACCCAAGAATAAATCAATCAAATTTGCAAAATTAAACCTAGAATGGCTGACAAAAAACTACACTAAGGCACAAGGATACGCTGAACATCTAACTATCAATTATCCGAATTTATCAGCTGGTATATGGTATAAATACATTCACATATTACGATGTCTTGAAATGCCATTGGATACAATTCTCCAAGTTTCTTATTCTGCACTTGAACAATTTAAATTTAATTGGAAATTAGAATTACAAAGACTACAAATCCTCAAAGAATCAAATTCAGATGATTTTGATAAATATGCCAATTCAGCAACGATTACAAATGCCACTTGTTCAGATATTTATATTGAATATTCAAGATACTATAGTCATAATCCAATTAAAGCTAGATCAATATTAGAAAAAGGATTAATTCAAATTCCAAAATCAATACCACTAATAATTGAAAAAATTAAATTTGAGTTAAAATGTAACGATTATTCAAATGCGAAGAGTTTAATCAATAAATATATCAAATTGCATCCTGATTGTGATAAATTATGGATTTTGAATCTTAAAATGAGTAATAAATCACAAAGGAAAACATTATTTACCGATGCATTAAAAAATACAAATAATTCCCCAATTATACTAATGTTCATTGGTAGTTCATTTTGGAAAGATGGTAAGTTTGAAAAGGCGAGAAGTTGGTTCGATAAAGCTTTGGAGAATGATGATAGTAATGGTGATATTTGGGCTTGGATTTATAATTATATTAAAAAATTTGAAAGTATTGATGATTTAAAAGCATTTGTTTTAAAATTTGAGAATAAGTATAGATTTGATAAAGTGAATTCTGGGGACGTGTTTTTGAAATTTAAAAAGGGAGTTAAGTATTTTGATAAATCTGCTAGAGAATTGTTGGAATTAACTTCTGATTATTTATTAAGTGGTAATTTCTAGATTAAAATATAAAGCCTATAATGATCTACCAAATTTATATATTTTGAATTCCAATTGAATTTGTGTATTATATGGTTCTCTTCAAGCATCCTGACTCTTCTATTTGCATCCTTATAATATTATATGGCATCCTTACCTTGGTCGACATCTTTACGTTGTTGCATCCTGACATATTATTTAGCATCCTGACAGTAGCTCTCATAAATTTTTAAATTCAAAGCACTTAACAAACAAGGAAATTGACCCTTATTAACAACCCAATCATTAGCCAATTCTTCACAAATAGATTTAAATTCATAATTTCCATAAGCTTTTAAACTTTTATTATCTATATCAATTATAAGGTACGAATTATTTAAATTTGCAGTATATCGACTAGTCAATTTCAATCTCGAAGATAATTCTGAATTATTCAACGGATTAGGTAAAAATTCAATTAGAAAACCAAAGTATCGAGATATAATAGTTAATATATCTTTTGATTTTGCAGTATAGCAATCTTTTAACCTATTATTCTTTTTAATTAGTTGATCGATTTTAATTTGTAATAGGTTTTTATCACCTTCTTGTCTTTGAAAAATTGCCTTTGGTATCAAATCCTCAGAATTTAAATTGTTTATGTATTTGTTTATTAATGATTCATTTTCTTGTTTTAGTAAGGTTAATGTCTCTTGTTTAATCATTTGATCTTGATGTAATAGATTATTCTTAAATTGTAAAATTTGTTCCTTCTTTTCTACTTTTTCAAATGTGGCCAATTTGGAGTTAAGTTCAGTTATTGTGGATTCTAATTGGTGAATCTTGTTACTTAATTTCGTATTCTCTTTTTCTAATTCTATTGCTTGTGATTTAAAACTGTGACGTTCTATATTTGGACGTTTATCACCAATTGAATAAGTCTCAGGTTGAATATTTTTCAATTCATTTATTTTTGTTTTATATTCATCGACCAATTTTTCAAGATTAGTTACGTATTGATTCATACTTTTATTTTCTTCTTTAGGTTCTTCTTTCTTCAATTCAAAGTTCTTTAATGAATTACGTAAAAATTCAATTTCTTTAATATTTAAATTTCGAACCCTTTCTAGTTTTAAATTTTGTTCACTTGCAATTTTCAACTTTTCTTGTAATTCATTCATGGATGGTAAATAATCAGTTTCAAATTCTTGTATATGATCTTCTAAATCTTGTTTTAATTCATTATATTCATGAATTTTATTATTTAATTTCTCTTGAAGTGTTAAATTTTTAATCTGAGATTCTTTAAATAAAGCTATAAAATTTTCAACTTTGATCGAAGCTGTTACATCTTCATTTTCATCATTATTCTCAATTGAATTGGCCAAATTTTGAAATAATTGATTATATTTAGATTCTAATTGTAATTTTTCAACTTCAAGTTTTATATATTTTTCCTCAAGATTCTCCAAACTTTGTATTTTATTAATTAATGATATGTTTTTCTGTTTTAATAATTCAATTGAAGTTTTATTTTGAAGGAGTGCATCTATTTTAATTTGTAATTTATGATTTGTATTTTGAAGATTATTAATTTTATTCAACTGATTTCCCGAATCAAAACCATTCTTCAACTGCTTAACCAAATTATCATTTGCACTTTGTAGATCCATAATTGTACCTTCTTTAATTTGTATCTCTTTTTGCAATTCATCGTTCAATTTTATTTGATAATTATAATCAGTTGTAATTTGTTTAGTCTTTCTAATTAATCTATCATTCTTTTTTCTTAATTCATTAATGTTACTATAAGACATATTAGTTTCAGATTTTAATAATTTATTCTCTTCAATTATATTTTTCAATTTTTCATCACTTGTATTCTCTAAATTCAGTAATTTATCTTCCAATTGTAATTTTTCATTGTATACATAGTCAAAATTCAATTTCAAATTTGATAATTCATCATTCTTACTTTTAATATTAGTCTCGTATTGGTTTATAATACTATCTTTTTCAGATTTCCACAATTTTCGTTCTGTTTCAAATGTAGATATTTGATATTGTAATTTTGAAATATACAGTTTTTGATCAATATTAAATAAATTTATAGTTGTAGTTACATCATGTATACTACTGTTATTAGATGGATTATCTATGAATGGTGAAGACCCACTAGTCATATGAATAGTACTAACAATGATCCTTGGTTAATTATTTTGTTTCAAGAAAAAAAAAATCTATTGATCTTAAAATTCATATAATTTGAATCACCAATACTGATTCAGATACAAGATGAGTAAAATGTATGTAATCAGTCAGGATGCAAGTATGATAATGATGCAAGAATAGTGATACTAACAATGTTATGTTTTAGTCCTAGAAATTTCAAATTATTGGAAGAGTTAGAAAAAGGTGAAAAAGGATTAGGTGCAGAAAGCATTAGTTATGGACTTACAAATCAAGATGATATTACAATGACAAATTGGAATGGTACCATCATTGGACCACCTCATTCAAATCATGAAAATAGGATTTATTCTTTAAATATAATATGTGATGAAATATATCCTGATAAACCACCAAAAGTTAGATTTATTCTGAAAATTAATTTACCATGTGTTGATAATCAAGGAAATGTAATGGTTGAAGAATTTGATACGTTGAAGAATTGGAAACGATCATATACTATGGAGACTGTTTTGTTGGAATTGAGAAAAAGTATGGCTTCTGCTAGTAATAAGAAATTACAACAGCCAGAAGAGGGTTCAACATACTAGTAAGGATGCAAGTATGGGAAGGATGCAAAACGTAGTCAAAATAAAATTTAACTATATGTAAAGGTTAGATATAATATATATACAAATTCGTAAAATCATGAACTCTAATCACTATTACTTTCAATTTCTAACTCCATCAAATTTCTAAATTCTTTTTCAGCATTTAGGAAATCCCTAACATCAACGGCATATTTCTCCTGAATGAATAAATCAGAATTAGTCTCACCATTTGTAATTTCAATATTGATCCATTTACTCCCATGTATTTTTTTACCATTTACAGTGGATATCGTAGGTATTAAGCACCTTTGGAATATTCGTTTGAAAGGCAAACAGATAATTTCTGATGTTGTTGTTAATTTCCCATTATTTGGTTTGAATGTACATTCATGTTGTGTGATTGATTTTAGTTGACATTTGTACTTTTCTGGGTGGTTTAATTGTGATGAATATTGTTTTTGGATATCTGTTAGGGTGTGGACTGGTATTGGTGGTGCCATTAATGAAAATGATGGATTGATGTTTGGTTAAAGGTTTGGTTAAAATTTGTTGATAATTGCGACCAAAAAAAAAAAAAAAAAAAATGGCTGCAAAATTAGAAAATGTATACAAAATTGTATATTTAATAGACTTGAAATCTGTACATGCTGCAGGATATTGTTAGTCAAATAGTATGTAGTGGTATTTAATGCCCTCCTTACCTCGTTTTTGCTGCAAAATGGAAACCATGTAGTATGAATTGCATATTCAATGGCTTTCTTACATTATTCTTTAATTAAAGGCATTCTTACATTGTGCTTGATTTAAGGGCATCCTTACATCGTGCATTGTTTCAAGTCATTCTTTCGTTGAGCATTATCTAATGACACCCTTACATTGTGCTTCGTTTCAAGTCATCCTTACGTTGTTTTGGATTCTTACTAGCATCTCACATCAATCCCCTTCCTCCTTTCATTCTCTCTCAATTCAAACATAACTTGAGAAGCAACAAATAGACATCCAGAACTAATAATTAAAAATTGAAAACCTTGCATAGTTTTGAATAAATCATTTAATAATATCAATATCCCATCTGTTCCCAAACAAAATCCAATCAAATTAGCAATCATCATCATCCAAATATTAATAACTGCACCCAAACCACAAACATATCTAAACCACCAATCTTTCTCAAATTTTTTAAAATATAGTTTTGCCAGTAATTCAGGAATTAGGAAAATTACAATTAACCAACCCCACATTAATAATTTCAATTCAATATCGTGCCAAATAGCTACGAATGAAAAAACCAAGAGACTATTTAATAATCTTGTTTTACCTGTTCCACTCCCACCCATTGGAATATAAATATATCTAATTACCCAACGATTAAAAGATCTATGCCAAGCTCTCCAAAATGCTAAAGCTGAATAATTATTATCCATACATCGTATCATATTCTCCGGTGGATCTATCCCGTCGATTAAACTCCATAATCGAAATAACCTCCAGGGTATCAATAATTTCAACCAGATGATATTTAAATTAAACATTCCTAACATTGAGATTTGAAATGGGGTGTCGTTATTCCATGCTTTTGTTTTTGATACTGCGACGACGTACATGTAATGTAATATGAATTCCATAGTAAGAATGCAAAATAAAAATCTAAGGAAATATATAAATATTCTATTGTAATTTGTTACTGTTTTGCATTGTTGATAATTTGATTGATATATGTAATCATTAAATGTAATTATAGGACCAGCTATAAACAAAGGAACGTAAAATAGGTATGAAATATAATTAAATATTGAATATTCTTCAATTGGTAATGGGGCAATTAATCTTTCTCTATCGGATAAATCAATCAAAGATTCAACTTTATCCATATTTTCAAGATTCCGTTTTCTTTCAATGTAATCTAAATTAAATGAAATCATACGAAGTAATGTAAAATTATAAAATACGTCCCATCGTATAATAATACCTTTAAATGAATTATCAAGAAATCCCAATGAGAAATTACCATACCAATCATTAAGAAATAAAGTCAGGATGCCATAAATCCAAGTTAACCATATTGCAATTTTATAATTTGTAATTCTACCAATTGCGTAATTTATGATTAAGTGGATTGATAATTTGATACAATTAACTCCATGGATAGCAAATAAAAATATGATACCAAATATGAAATCAAAATAAGTTCTTTTGGTAAATATGTTAGTGGTTAATTTTCTAATTGAAGTATGTGATATAAGTAGTATAATTAACATTTTAAAATTATTTCTAAAAAAACTATATTGAGAATCTGAATTATCTACTTTACGACCAAATAACCAACCATTAGATAACAAATGTTGAAATCGAGGATAATTTGGATTAGTTTCATTTGAAGCATCCATTGCAGTTTTAAACATTAATGGAACAACGATGATAAAAATCAAGTAATAAAATTTAAATTCAATGGTATTCCATCTTGGTGTACTCAGCAGTTTCAATTGATTCTTATTATTATTATTTGTTAGTCTAGTATCTAGAGTATCTAATGAAAAGAACTCTAATATATTAATCATAATATCATTTATTGAATATTGGGAGTGGTGATGATTTTTTTTTTTTCAGTTGGTGTTTCAGAATTAAAATCAAATGTCTAAGAATAGTAATCAACAAGATGATTATCTAAATAGAAGACCAAACCCTAAAGACTGGACACAACCAAAAGCACCATATAACCCGTATGATCCAAATGATATAAGACCATCACAAGGTTATCCATCAGAATTCAAATTACCCGGTCAATCGCCATCTGGGTTTAGTTCATTACCTAGACAACCAACTCAATATCAACAAGTAAATGAAACAATGGAAAGATTAAACTATATAGCAAGACCTAAATCGGATATATATCCAAATCAATATAAGATATTAAGAAAAGTAGACACGAATAAAAGGTTAGATCTAGGTTCAAGATATTTTTCAACTTTATTAACGAGTGGGTTAGTCATTTATTTTACATTTTTTTATAGGTGGAATGATGGTAAGGAGAATGTATTTAGTGATTTTCGTAGATTTCAGCTAAAACTAAAAGAGAAGATTAAAGGTGGGTTGAATGAACAGGATTATGATGATTTATATCATCCTAAATCGGCTGGAATTGTGCTTAAAAATGTTAAAGATAGTCAGTATATTTCTGAAGATATTAGAAGAAATAAAGAACATGAGGATTTAATATTGAATAGACCTAGTGAGAGACATATTTTAGAAGCCGAAAGAATTAAACAAGAACAAGAAGAAAAAATGTTAAGAGATTTGGATTTGTATAAACAATATGGAAATGAATTGAGAGATGAATTGGACAATAATGATATTAGTAAAAAGAAGAAATGGTTTGGTATATTTTAATAACTTCTGTACACATATATAATTAATCGTAAATGTATTTTTCAATGCTCAATGCTACCAATTAGTGCAAGCAAAATATTTTCTCGCACTAATTCTACGGCGACTTGCGCTACACAAATTTGCTTATAAGTCATGATCAAAACATTGTCTCGAGATAACTACAAATTTTATGAAATCAGGAACCCTCAATCATATGCTCTAAATAACCCAAATTGTAAAATCAAATAATTATTTTTTTGACTTATCATTTTGTGCTTTTTTCCTTATTCAATCAGTTTGTCAAAAATGAGAATTCAAATCATTTTTTATTTGAAGCCAAAACTTCCAATAAGATAGCGAATTATCCATAACATATCTCAAACCAAGTCTCTGAGCTTTATTTCAAGTGGTTTGCACTAAAATTGCAAAATTTCGAAATTTTCTCTCAACTATGGGCAATATCGAATAATTCGACTTTACAAAAGTTTCAGTTCCACAATTGATATAATGATGATAGTACATAAGTTTCAGTTCCATAATTGATATAATGATGATAGTATAATAAAAGTAACCGATTTTTTAGTGATACACCTGACTTTTCCTAGTGCTCAGATATTATAAATTAGAAAAGTGATCTTTCAGAAGTGGTTTGAAATTTTTACAAAATTTTCAAACTGATTATGGCGCCTTGAAAACATTATACAAGTATCTTTGGGATTAAATAAACAGAATCAGCAATCTTTAAAGTTGTCAGACTAGGTCTAAGTGCCATTTATATTACTATTTAGCGATTTTTCCCATTTTTTTAATGGTGAATAAAACAACCAAAAATAAATAGATTCAGTGAATACTAACTTCATTATACACCAAACGAGTCAACCATTATAATAAAGTGAGTTTGAGAAGTAGAGCTTCGATATCGAATGAGTTATTCACAAATCAAGTTTTATAGTAGCAAAATCGGCACTGCATATAAATCGAAATTGTTGCAGAATTGATAAATAAAAAAAAATAAACTTCTCTGATTAGATTGACGACCAAATATTTAACTGGAATATGTTGATATAATGCCGGTTCATGAAGAGATATCCATAATATCAAGTATTTTCAATCTTAGTATCATTGTCACCAAAGTTGTTATTTTTTATTTATCAATTTTATTAGGTTTCAAACCAACAACGAAATCAGTTGAAGCGAAAGATGAAATTTCAAGCAAATCAAAATTAATAAATGCAAAAGATATATCAGAAATTGTTTCAGTCAGTGGTTATAGAATCAAAGAATATGTGGTAACTACGAATGATGGCTATTTGTTGGTATTACATAAATTAGAATCAAAAACACCAACAAATCAAGCACCTCCAAAAGGTATAGTTTATTTTCATCATGGATTATTAACATGTTCAGAATTGTGGGTATTAGGTTCTGAACATAATAAAACATTACCATATTTACTATTAGATTTAGGTTATGAAATTTGGCTTGGAAATAATAGGGGAAATAAGTATTCACGTAAACATTTAAAATTATCCGCTTCAAATCCTAAATTTTGGGATTTTTCATTAGATGAATTTAGTTATTTTGATATTCCAAATAGTTTAAATTATATTCAGAATTATTATAATGATTTACAAGATAATAAAATTATATATATTGGATTTTCACAAGGTTGTTCTCAATTATTTGCAAGTTTATCGTTACATCCACAATTAAATAACCAAATTAAATTATTCGTCGGTTTATCACCAGCTATCATACCTCAAAATTTATCTCATCCAATTTTTAAAATGATTGTGTCCCAAACTGCAAATGATAATTCTTTTCTTTATAGTTTATTTGGAAGAAGAGCAATTTTATCATCTGTAGCATTTTGGTCAACTATTTTGGGACCAGAAATATATGAGAAAATAGTAGATAAATCTTTAATTTTATTATTTGGATGGAATGGTGAAAATATTTCAAATCCACAAAAAGAAATTGGTTATCCTCATTTATTTTCGAATAGTTCGGTGAAGTCCCTACTTCATTGGTTTCAAATAATAAAAGCAAATAGATTTCAAATGTTTGATGAGACATGTAGCACTGGATTAACTAAATTAATGAATTTATCTAAAAAATCAAAAATTATAGGTAATAAAACTATTCCATTTCCAATTACAGATCATTTAAATGTTCCAATGTATTTATTTTATGGTGATAATGATATTTTAGTAGATATTGAAAGAATAAAAAGCTTGATTGTGGATAGTAATCATGCAATGATTAATAAACTTGAGGTTAATTTATGTCAAGGTTATGAACATATGGATACATTATGGGGAAATAATGTTTACGAAGATGTATTTAAAAGAATTATTGATAAATTAGATAGATTAGATGGTGATAAAACTTTAGTAAATGGGAAATTAGAGAATTTGTTAACAAATGGTAATGTGGATAAACAAGGGAGTAAATTAATGCATAGATTTCATTCTAGATAGAAATACATAAATATAAAAAATAGATATAAATGCTAGTTCAATTACTTATTGTCATCCTTACTGGTTATTTTAGTAGCATCCTTTAGCATCGTTACTATTTGCATCGTTACTTGCATCCATACTCTAATTGGTAGCGCTATATTTTTGCAACTATAAAAGCGATGAGATTTCACCAAAATTTTTCACCTTTTTCTTTTCTTTTCTTTCTCTTTAACGCAAAATTCACAGCCATTCACAACGTTTAAAGCATCCCCTTTGAGGTTGAATCCTATTTTTGGCATTCTTGACCCATGACCATTGGGATAGTAGTTGTAGAAGATTTATTTCTTCTTTGTGATGGACTGGAAACTAAATTATACAGTTGATCTTGGGTGCAGCATCTCATGTGTTTAAAATCTTTGTATTTTTCTAAAGGATTACCTTCGTGTGCCTGTATGGGAGATGGTGCAATGATCAACGGTACATTAATAATAACCTACTCTACTAGTACTCTTTCAAAGCCCCTGGTAATTATTCATCGTTACATTTCTTGAATGTTTAGCGATTTTTTTTTTTTTTATCACCAACACAAAATGAAATAATGAAGATATCGAAAGTATTAATTTTATTATCATTCATACTAGGTATATATGCTAATAATTGTACTGATATCAACCTAATACCAAACGATGAGAGATGTAACTACATAAAATCCAATTATTCTTGTTTCGATATATATTCAAAATTATATTATTGTAATATAAATTCAGTATTACCATTTAGTATTTATTTAATAGTTCAGTTTATTACACTTGGTATAATATCTTCAGAATATCTATGTCCTAATTTATACGTTATATCCAAAAACTATCTTAAAATTAATGACAATATGACAGGAATCACTTTATTGGCATTTGGAAATAGCAGTCCAGATATATTTAGTTCATATGAATCAATTAGACAAAATCATTTAAATTTGGCAATTTCTGAATTAGTTGGTGCTAGTTTATTTATTACTACTGTTGTAATTGGATCGATTGCAATTTTAAAGTCGTTTCACATTACTAAGAATTTATTTTTTAGAGATATGATCATGTACATTACAATAATTGCATTGCTAATCTTCACGATATTATTGAAACAACTAAGTTGGTTTATTTGTCTTGGATTAATTGGTCTATATATAACATATGTATCCATTGTTGTATATTCACATAATTTACAAAAAAGGAGATTAGTTGAATTGATAAGAGATCAAAGGTCAAGAAGTAATTATTTAGATGTTGGTCATTTGGTAATTAATAATGAATATAATGACGATTTGATGAATTTACCTACTATTGATGATATTGATTTACATGATGATCCTGATAATTTGAAAAATGATGTATCCAGTTTTGGAATCAAAATGTTACTTAAGGAATTACAGAGACATTCTAATTTAGGAAGAATCCAATTACCAGAGGAAGAAATTGAAGAAGAAAGTATAGAAATACCAGATGCTAAATCACAAGAGCTATTTTATCTTATATTTCCCCAATTTTATAAATTCAATAAATTGTCAAAATGGGATAAATGTTACAATATAATAACGTCACCAATAGTTACAATTTTAAATTTGACTACTCCTGTAATTGATGAAACCAAATTGAGTCAAGTAATTCAAGATTCAAAATCGACGAATTCAATATTAAACTACGAAAATGAGAAAAAATTACTTTTAATTCAAACTGGGCTTGGAGGTTTATTACTTTTATCTACATTTTCAATATTCATTAATATATTAATCACATTTGTATTAGTAGGATTAATATTCACATTTTATCCCAATCTTAATTCAACTCAATTCCAATCTAGAATCAAATATGTCACTTATTTTCAATCGATTATGGGTTTTCTATTATCAATTAAATGGATCGCATTGATTGCTAATGAAATAGTATCACTATTACAATTAATATCTTCTATATTTAATATCAATGATGATTTATTAGGTATTACGATATTTGCATTAGGTAATTCCATTGGTGATTTTATTTCAAACGTTACAATTGCTTATAAGTTCAATATGCCTTTAATTGCATTTAGTGCTTGTTTTGGTGGTCCCCTTATGGCTATTTGTTCAATTGGTGCAAGTGGTTTACTTGTAAATTTAAAAAATAATGAATTAAAAGTGACTAATACGTTGTTAATTAGTTCTTTTGGATTATTGACTAATTTGACATTGTTGATGTTTTTAATACCTAGAAATAATTGGAGTTTGGATAGAAGGATTGGGGTGATATTGATTGGAAATTATTTATTGATATGTACATTATGTATACTAGCTGAACTTTAATAATATATATAGACAATATGGTTAAATAATCAATAAGTTGATTCTGCTGTTAGTTGATAATCTTTTGAGCTAGGCAAGTCCAAGACTTCAGGATTTTTCAGTATTCCATTATGTATAGTCAATTCTTTTAAATGATGAAATTTAGTTAATGCTTTAGCAGAACTATGATTGGAGTTAATATCAACATATATATTGTCATTGATCTCCAAACACTCAATTTTGCAATCAGCTAATGGTGTGATAATACCAATACTTAAAAATCCAATTGTGAAGTATTTTGCATTTTTAAAACATCCAAATTCGGATAGTCTCAAATAACTAATGCATACTGCATCAAATTGGATAGTCTTGGGATTTTTGGAATATATTGGTAATACCCATCATTTTGGTGACGGCTTCAAATAATTTTAATTCTTTAAGTTGGTTGTAGCCCGAATAAATGCCAAAGTAAAGTTTTCTCGAACGATGATTGAAGATAGGTTCACAGTCTGAAGTAGACGATCACTGAATTAATCAACCCCTCCACAGTCATATAATCCCTGGAACATAATACTCCGAGATTAAAATCATACCTATCAATATCGATTCAAGGAAAACATCAAATCGCTTAACTAGATCAATGAGTTTCTTTTAATCAGGGAATATTAATGAGTTGGTAAATCTACCTTTCGATTTTGCAATACCGGCTCGTACTCTTCTTCTTCTTCTTCTGCACTACTTTTGAATGATCACTTTTGATAACAAGTTTTTTAAAACCATTGGTTTTAATATTGGATTACTTAACAATATAATTTTGGAATCAATTGTAGTATCGACAGGTAAACGACTTATTATCAATGTAATTAATTCAGTTGGAAACTCTACTCTTGGAATCTTTTAATTAACTCAACAGTATCTCTGGACATTTAATTGTTGTTTTATAGCTACGTGATTATGACTCAAATTTATACTCATACTATTGAGTACACTTTTTGCGCTTTTCTTTAGCCACAGCGCAAATTGAAATGATGATGGAGAAATGAACTAAACTTTGATTTAGTTCAACTTTGAAATTAGTCATAACAATTAGTTAACATCACATCATAAACTTTTAGAAATATTCTACGGATCAAATACTTTATTACTTAAAACCTTATATTTAAAAAAACTAAACTATATATATAAAACATTTTAGAAAATAAAAAATCCCCTTAATCAACTTCTTCAACAGTTGGACCACTTGATTCACCACCTGGAGCACCACCAGCACCTGGAGCACCGCCTGGGAATCCTCCAGCGCCAGCACCTGGAGCACCACCAGCACCACCATAAGCACCAGAAATAATTGGATTTGCGATTGATTCTAATTCTTTATGTTTATCAGTATATTCTTCAGTTGCAGCAGCTTGTGAAGCATCTAACCATGAAATAGTTTCATCAATTGCTTTTGTTAATTTTTCTTTATCATCAGCAGACATCTTATCCTTCATTTCACCATCATTTATAGTATTTTTCAATGAATAAGCATATGATTCCAATTGATTTTTAGCTTGAATTCTTGAAGATTCTTTTTCATCATCTTCTTTATATTTTTCAGCTTCTGAAACCATTCTTTCAATATCTTCTTTTGATAATCTACCTTTATCATTAGTAATAGTAATTTTTTGTGTTTTACCAGTACCTTTTTCTAAAGCAGAAACATTTAAAATACCATTTGCATCAATATCAAAAGTAACTTCAATTTGTGGAACACCCCTTGGAGCTGGTGGAATACCTGATAATTCGAATTTACCTAATAAATTATTATCTTTAGTTTTAGCTCTTTCACCTTCAAATACTTGAATTAAAACACCTGGTTGATTATCAGCATAAGTTGAAAAAGTTTCAGATTTTTTAGTTGGAATTGTTGCATTTCTTGGAATTAATTTAGTCATAATACCACCAGCAGTTTCAATACCTAATGATAATGGAGCAACATCCAATAATAAAATATCTTGAGTTTTTGATGAAGTATCACCAGTTAAAATTGCAGCTTGAACAGCAGCACCATAAGCAACAGCTTCATCAGGATTAATTGATTTATTCAATTCTTTACCATTAAAGAAATCTGAAACTAATTTTTGAACTTTTGGAATTCTTGTTGAACCACCAACCAAAACAATTTCTTGAACATGTGATTTATCAATTTTTGAATCTTTCAAAACTTTTTCAACAGGTTCCAATGTAGATCTAAATAAATCAGCACATAATTCTTCAAATCTTGCTCTTGTAATTGAAGTATAAAAATCAATACCTTCATATAATGAATCAATTTCAATTGAAGTTTGAGCAGATGAAGATAAAGTTCTTTTTGCTCTTTCACAAGCAGTTCTTAATCTTCTTAAAGCTCTTTGATTACCAGAAATATCTTTCTTGTGTTTTCTTTTAAATTCTTGAATAAAGAAATTGACTAATCTATGATCAAAATCTTCACCACCTAAATGAGTATCACCAGCAGTAGCTTTAACTTCAAAAATACCTTCATCAATTGCCAATAATGAAACATCAAAGGTACCACCACCTAAATCAAAAATTAAAACATTATGTTCACCTTTTGAATCTTTTTTATCTAAACCATAAGCAATTGCAGCGGCAGTAGGTTCATTAATAATACGTAAAACATTTAAACCAGCAATTAAACCAGCATCTTTAGTAGCTTGTCTTTGTGAATCATTAAAATAAGCTGGAACAGTAACAACAGCATCATTAACTTTAGTACCTAAATAACCTTCAGCAGTTTCCTTCATTTTACCTAAAACCATTGATGAAATTTCTTCCGGTGTAAATACTTTAGTTTCTCCTTTATATTCAACTTGAATATTTGGTTTACCACCTTTATCAATAACTTTAAATGGGAAATGTTTAACATCATTTAAAACTTCTGGATCATCAAATTTTCTACCAATTAATCTTTTAGCATCAAAAACAGTATTTGCTGGATTCATAGCAGCCTGATTCTTTGCAGCATCACCAATTAATCTTTCAGTATCAGTAAACGCAACAAAAGAAGGTGTAGTTCTATTACCTTGATCATTTGCTATAATTTCAACTCTATCATTTGCAAAATGCGCAACACAAGAATATGTTGTACCTAAATCTATACCAACAGCTTTTGACATAATTGACTATTACTTATTTATCTAATTATATATGAGTAAAATAAAAGAATAAAAGTTAAAAATAACAAACAAAATCAGGAGGTATAAATACCTCTTTATATAGTAGTGTAAATTTGAAACTCCGCATTCTAGTAAATTCGATCGATAACCACAAAATTGGTGTGTTTGCTATATATTATGTAATGGTTTGGTGTAATGCTTACATAATTGACAGAAGTTTCAAGAATTATCATGAAACATCTGGAAATATCTAGTAAATTACCCAATTGGGATTAATAATTAAAGACCAATAGAAATTGACATTAGACGCAATAATCATAGCAGACCATGATTCCTTGCAGACCATGATTCATTGCAGACCATGATTCCTTGCAGACCATGATTCATTGCAGACCATGATTCCTTGCAGACCATGATTCCTTGCACAACATGATTCTACTGCATTCTAGAGCTACTATTTTAAGTTGAGTCGTACATTGTAGCTGTTTGGATCTAAACATATTCCAAATTTTTCTCTGATTCGATTCCATTTGTTCCAAACTACTTAATTTTTCGTCGTGTTTCGCCCTAAATTTGGATTTACATTTCCACCTATAAAATCATTTTATAATTTGGCAACCAATTTGAAATACCGAAAATAGATTCAAAAAATGGCTCAAATGGTGTCAAAAAATATGCTCGGACCTGCAATTTTCGAGAAATCTGACATCATATTAAAGTAGAAATGTCGAGAAATCTACATATTTTTTTTAACTGTACATTGTTGGGATTTAATATTTGTTTGATTATTTAAACTGTTGATATCTCACAGTTATCGCGTGAATGGTCAGAATATAATTGGCCTTGGCCAAAAATTGGTACGATTTTATGGTATACGATCCATTTAAAAGCCCACATCTTATTCAATATATATATATCATTGCAACTAAATATTTATGGTACTTATGGTTTAATCTTTTGTTAAGGTTTGTTAAGTTTTTACATTTATTAGGGTTTAAAAAAATTTATGTTTTTTTTTTTTTTTCGTTTATCAACCATTCATTTTTCATGAAAGCCATGGTCGATGAATAAAATTATAAAATTAGATGAAACATCAATAAATCAAATTAAGTCAACAATAAGTTATAATTCAATTGCTGGTATAATTAAAGAATTATTACAAAATAGTCTAGATGCAAATGCAAGTTCTATTTCAATAATTTTAGATTTTCAGTCATTAAGTTTATTCATACAAGATAATGGAACAGGTATAAGTTCTTCAGATTATGATAAAATTGGATTGAAAAACTATACATCTAAATCAGGCGATGATTATTTTGGATATAAAGGTGAAGCTTTACATTCTTTAAAAACAATTTCAAAATTGACAATTATATCTAAAATTAAAAATGAAAATACTTATAAATTAGTGAATGGCAGGGCAGAAATTTTTCAAAATGATATAATTCCTTCTTCATATTTCAATGTATCAATTAAACAACATGGCACTTGTATAATTGCAAATAATTGTTTTCAGAATATCCCTGTTCGAAAATTACAAATCACTTCAACTTCACAATTGAAAATTATAGAAGAGGTTAAACTTGCAATATTTGGATCCATTATTCCTTTTACGTCCACAAAATTATCATTTTCAATTATAAATCATGAAAAGATGCAATTGGATCAAATTTTAAACGTGGATGCTCATGGTTCATTGTCTATTTTGTTACAAGATATATTTGGAATCAAAATAAAATTTGAAAATATAGGTGCAAAATTTAAAAATGTTGAAATGAAAGGAATTATAGGTAAATTTCCAATCAATACACGAAATCATCAATATTTATTTATAAATAATCGACCAATACAATTAACTAAAACTGAGTCAAATAATATTAATTCCATTTTTCAGAATTCAGATTTCATTGATGAGACTCATTTAATAAGTCCTACAAGATCAACAGGTAGACCATTTTATAAATATGCAACCTTTGTAATATTAGTTAATTGTCCTAAAACAATTTCCTATTCTTCAAATATATATAACACAATTTTGCAAATTTTAGAAAAGGTATTTTACAAATTTTTGGAATCAAACGGGTATGGTAAAAGAAGAAATAGAATGAGAAAAAGTCCATCACCATCAACATCTCCAATAAAGCAAAGAAAAATTCGAGATAATTTTATACTTTATGCAAATTCAAAATTAGCAAATTATAACGATAATGAACTTGATGGGTTGAAATTTAATAGAAATGGAAAATCTTCAATTAGTACAATTCCAAATTTTTCAATTAATTCAACTGCTCCAACACCACAAATTCATAATTGTGAAGTTATACCAGATCAAGTTGCAAGATCTATAAATTTTTCAAAATCAGATATTCAGCAATTTAAAATCATAAAACAAATAGATAAAAAGTTTATATTGATTAATTCTGAGTCACAATTAGTCATATTAGATCAACATGCAATTGATGAAAGGGTAAAAGTGGAACAACTTCTACAAGAGTTTATAAACACACTTAAACTAAACACAGGTCTAAGATTGGCTAATCCATTATCATTTAACCTCATTGTTCATGGAGAAATTAATCTATTCAAAACCTACAAGTCAAATTTTAATATCTTTGGAATAGATTACGAAATTCAAGAGGATAATGTTATTGTTACTCACTTACCTAATGTTTTACTAGGCAAGGTTAAGTCTGGTTCAGAATTTTTGAAAAATGCGCTACTTCAACATTGTTATGATTTGAATTTAAATTATAAGAGAAAGGTTTTGGATTTAGATGATTGGTTTGCTTGTATTCACCACATACCTAAAATTATAATTGAGGTTATTAACTCAAAGGCTTGCAGATCTGCAATTATGTTTGGTGATGAGTTGAGTAATCAAGAATGTGAAGAGTTGTTAAATGAGTTAAGAAATTGTCAGTTACCGTTTATTTGTGCTCATGGTAGACCATCGATTGTTCCGTTGGCTAAAATTGAGTAAATTTGATGGGTTGAAGCTGTTTGAAGAGTTAACTGCTCATGACTAGATATATGAGCATAGAGAATTCATAAATATATTCCACTTATGCCTCTTATTTCTTCATATTACCGTTTTAGACGCAAAGCTAAAAGGTAAAGAAACTTTACAACCAAGTATAAACTTAATAAATCAATATACATTACATTTCATCAAACTTTTTTCTATTCTTAGTGTGTTTTGTTTTATAACCTCTGGTCAAAATTGTAACTTTGACATCTATTACATCGTGAAACACAGTATTTTATACTGCCATCTTAAGATCTAAAGCATCCTGACATGTTTATCTAGCTTCAAATTGGACCATTCTTCTTGTTCTAGCTTTATATATAACTCTATGACCACATTCTTTACATCTAATAGCATCATTTTTACCAAGACTAAATGAAGCAGCACATTGAGCACAATTATACTTAACCCCTAATGATTTAGTAGTCACTTGACCTATAGCAGCAGCACTTATAGATGCTGGAACTTGAAAAGCTTCTCTTTGAGGAGATGATGCCATTGATTAATAAATTTGATGAATGAAAAAAAAAAAAAATAAAAAAAAAAAAAAAAAATATTTATTGATAAATAGATCAAATTTTGCAACAGTTTGAAGAATACCAGCAAATTGTATTATTGCAAGTACAAACTCCTATAAGAGTAGAAGACACTAAGTTTAGCCAATTTAAAGTACCACCAAACGATTTCGAATACACAAATCACACTCCAGCACGAGATTTCTAGCATTAATTGCTCAAGTTATCAATAGATCAATAAAATTGCATTCATTATATCTATATTTAAAATGATATTGATATGATTTCAATTAAAGAAACAATACAAAGATTAATCAAATCAAAAAATCATCTCAACCAACTTCAACAAACCAAAATCAAACCAAAACCTAATAACAAAAAATCGTCAACCCCAAAAGATATAGAAATTCATTCCAAAACAAAACATGTGCCACTTAATACCACTAAATCAACATCAAATTATCATAAGTCAAATTTTCAAAAATATTTATCTCCTTTAAATTCACCACATTTGAAAATTTACAAGAAAAACGAATGGGATCCAGAATTAGCTAAATCAAACTGGATAGAAAAGAAATCAAAAGCTCCAAAACATCAATTAAGTTATTACATAAATAACAGAAACGCATTTGAAGAAATGAAAGAATTAGTATTGAAAAATCTTCCACATCATTTAAAAAATGTCAAAGAAGAACATTTGAAATCTATACTATTGGAACAAGAACAACTTGTTAAACGACGAGATATCCCATCGGTTTCATATGATGAAATACCACAACTACCGAAAAATCTAACATCCGCATCATTTGAAAATTATGTTTATCAATTATGTTATACACAATTTTATTATAAGAATAGTTTCTCTTTGGATATTGGAATTATTCCGCAAATTTTATTATGGACTCATTCATTAGATAATGACAAATTTAAAAACTTTAGATCAACTAGGACATTTAATCACTTAATTTATTATTTCGGATACGTTAAGAATCAAAATCAATTCCTGAGGGAATTATTACTCGTTATGAATAAAGATGGACATGAGATAGATATAGATACGATCAATTTAATACTTAAGATTTCAAAAATACAAAATGGTATATTATCAACAACGTCAATTTATAAAATAATCAATCGATATTTAAAACTAAGTGCAAAATTGGGGATTGAATTAAATTTAGAAACAATTGTTCGAATTTATGATTTAATATCTAATATTCATTTTAAGGAAAATTATCTTAATTGGTTAATAGATCATCAAATACCAATTAGTCAAAATTTAATAATTCGTATACTTGAAGATTATTTATATACTACGACAGATACAGATAAAGTTATAAAATTTATTGAATCTGATTTGACTTATAAAGATTGGAGAAATGATGATACTTTTAAAAGACAAGTTGAGTTTCATTATGGATTGACTGGAAATACGAAAACGAAAACGAAAATTACTGATCTTAAAGCGTTTATATCAGGATTGAAAAATAGTGAATTGGAAAAGAAAAGTGTGATTATGTTGAAGAGTTACGTCATGTTTAATGGTGATAAATTTCAAATTCAAATATATAAGAATATAATCAATACGATATTAAAAGAGAATTTAAATTTAAAAAATTTGAAGAGTTTATCATTTATAATTAGAGGATTGTATCATGAGTATTTAAAAGCTTCAAATTTGAAAACTAGTAAATTTTCAGATGTTGTTCCTGAGAGTTATAAGAATATTGTATCTAAATCACAAATACATTTTAAGTTTCAAGCTATGATAGAGTATGTAAATACCATAACTAATGATAAAGTTAAAATGCCATGGGAAATATTTAATGAGGAAGAAATAGAAGAATGGGAAGGTACCAAAAAAAAATTAACTGATAATGTTTTTATATTTGAAAGTGATTCTGGTTTTGAAATACCTGTAGAATTACAAAATGGTATTAAATATAGAGAAGAACATATAAAAGCCAAGATATATTCAAATAAGAATAGAAAAAGATTGATTTTGACCGAGAATAATGATTCTTTAATGAAACACTTAAGAGAAAGAAATTTAATTGAAGAATAGAAATTGAAGAATAGAAATTGAAGAATATATACATTATAGAATAGAAATTGAAGAATAGAAATTGAAGAAATTTAATTGAAGAATAGAAATTGAATGGAGAACATTAGTTACATTAGTTACATTAGTTACATTATTAATGTAACATTTACCATTTTGATTATAATTAGGAAATATAATATCTTGAAACATTAACATTATGATGTAATTAATTTAAGGAACAATAGATTAAATGAAACATTTTTAAGCTACCAAATGGAGTAATTTAATTACCAGAAATTTCGTCATTTCTCTCTCGCCTAATGGTTTTTCAATGCCAACCAAGGAATAACTAATGCAAATAGCCTTATATATAATCATATATATATAGATAATGAACGTTTAATGATTGACAAACTAAATTTTCTACTTTTTTTTTTTTTTTTTTCATGTTCGTAAAGCAATTCAATCAAACAAACGTTTTTTTAAAGGATGTGAAATTTATTTAAAAACTTCTTGACACAAATCAAGATTTCGATAACGAATCAATGCAAAGAACAACAAGAATCATTTTCTGTTTCGTGGTTTTCTTTTTACAAAGGGCTTTACAAAGGGCTTTACAAACTTGATTGTAACTTGATTGTAACTTGATTGTAACTTGATTGTAACTTGATTGCAACTTGATTGCAACTTGTGGCTAAGGACAATAAGAGGTAGAATACTCTACCGACTTTGGGTATTTTTTTAAAATTAATTTGAGACATGTGTTTTAAATTTTAGTTTAATTTTCATTGGCGCTACGATTGTGAAACTGAAACTTCATAAATCAAGGGTTAAAAGTATCAGTAAGAATCTCTTAGCATTTTAAGGGGTAATTTTTTTTTTTAATCTTTGTATATGAAATGTGGATAAGAAAAAAAAAAAAAAAAAAATAATTATTATTTAAGAAAAATACTACAACCCAACAAGTTGATTAAAAAAAGTTGTTACTACATCAAGCATACGTATAGGTATACGTATACGTAAATATAACATCATAATTGACATATGACAATTGTAGCTCACGGAATTAATAGGATAATTGGTGGATAACCTTTTTGGAAAGATTCAAGATCATTAGTAAACATTGATAAACATTGATAAACATTGATAAACATTGATAGGTTAAATCAAAATCAAAATCATAATCAAAGATGATTCACAACCATTTTACTAATTTATATAGTAAACATTCAAAACTCGGCTTGATTCTCTGTTTCTTCTTTTACTTACTTTAAAAGTAAATCTATAATATAAACAAAATTATGCGATACAAAAAAAATAACGCAAAAACTACAACATTAAATTGTCAACAATAAACTTTTTAATTTAGCACGATCTGCATTTGAATTTAATGATCTCATAACCAGAACAATAGTAGACAATAGTATGGGATTTTAACTATATACACAAAATATATAATAATTATCCGGTATTAATGAAAATGACTACTGGCAAAAGCAATCAATTAAACTGAAACATTAAATATTTTTAAGACATTTGTTTGACGGTATATAATGAATTTAAACACATTATTCCTCAAAAAAACGTATAAGGTAAAGAGATAACTTGATTTGTTAAATTATTGTAAATTTCTATCCGACTAATCCAATCGTATAAATTTAATTTTTTTCTTTCTTTCTTATCCCGTTCATTCTGGAGATAAATGTTTGGTCGAGGATAGTTACAAAAATGGCTGTTAAAAATTTTGTGTATCTGTTTACTTTTATTTTAAACTTTATAGTAAAAGAAAAGGATATATACATCTGCTATTTTTAATATTGTACTCAATTAACAACGTGATTATGAGTATACTTGACTATGGGTTGAAATTAGAAAAAATAACTATAAAAAGAGAGAGAGAGAGAGAGAGAGGGAGGGAGAAAATGCTCATAAATATATATCTGAGTTCTGTTGCCTCGGCTAATTCTATTGATTATTATTCTGTTCATCAACCATCAAGTTATTTTGTTGATAAGTTTATTATTGTGTTATCTATTTCATTTTGTGTATCTGTTTATTGCATGGAACAATAATAAAAAAGGAAATTGAAAAGAAAAAAAAAAAAAAAAAAAAAAAAAATAAAAATTAAAAGAAACTCAAATTTGAAATCTAAAGTTTCAAGTTATTTTGCATCCATTTTATTTTATCAAATCAACATTGAACATTAGAATCAAAATTGGTTGAGAGATTAAAAGGTTAAAATAATCGAGCAAGTAGTATTATGGAAGTCAAGGATGAAATAATCTATATTCTCTTTCTGATTAAACTTTAATTATAATCAAGATTTATTATTATTATAATATCCTTGAAATCCATTGACCACACCTGTTTTAAATTACACAAATATCCCGGAGTACAGATCAAATGTATAGTTATATTTCTATCATAGGGTAATCTACTATGTAATTTGTAATTTGTAATATGTAATATGTAATCTTCGTTGTTAGTTATTTCAAATCTGATTATATATATTTTTAATTATTTCCCTTTTTTTAATTCTATACTTTTTTTTTTTTTTTTTTATATCTTATTTTTTTTTTTTATTTTTTTTTTTTTTAATTTATAATTTACTAAGTTGCAACAAACTAGGATTGTTTCATTACTATCCCTTTATTCAGAATAAATCGGAAAACTTGTCAGATAATATAATACTAGAATTGACGAAAGGAGTTGGTGTAAATTGACTTGATAATTTTTGATAGTTTTCAATTTTCACAATTTCTCAGAATACTACTACTACTACTACTACTACTACTACTACTACTACTACCACTCCCTCGCAAAATATTTCAATTCAATATCATGTTTCATATTCTACTACTATCACTACTACTAATAAAATTCACATATTCAATACCTTTAAATCTATGCTCATCAGTTAATATTGGTTCATTCGAGGAAAATACTCAATTCATGTCTACTGGTGAATGTAGAAAACAGTGTACTGGTAAGGGTTATATAGTTGCAATTGTAAACCAACATGACTGTTATTGTTCAAATAATGTGCCTGAAGACACAACAGATTTATCAAATTGCAATACAGGATGCCCTGGTATAGACACTGAACAATGTGGTGGAAATGGTTATTATGGTTATTTATTATTTGGAAATCCTTCAGCGACTGTTGGAAATGATGAAACAAGTACAACTTCAACTGAGTCGTCGAGTACTAATCAGCAGACTATCTCATCACAGACAACCACGTCTCAAACAACAAGCTCGTCAAGCACCTCATCATCAACAAGTACGAGCTCAACCACTACGAGCTCAACCACTACCAGCTCAACCAGGAGCTCAACTTCGACCAGTTCAACACAATCCAGCTCTCCTACGATCTCAGCAACTCCACCTACAACATTAATTACTAGAACTACACAAGTTACTCAAACTCATAGATCATCAGATATTGTTCAGGTCACTGAATATACCACGGAAATTGTTCAAGCATCAACAAGTTCTAGCTCATCTTCATCCTCGAGCACCACACCTCCATCGGTTTTAATTTCAACTACAATTGAACCATCGACTGTTTATTCAATTATGACTGTAAATGGAACACAAACTCAAGAAGTTCGAACAATGTATATAACACGATTACCGTCTAGTACACAGACTTCAAATTCATCAATTATAACATCTTCATCTTCATCATTATCATCGTCTACTCCAATACCAGCATCTTCCTCATCATCTACTTCTTCAGTTTCATCAAAAGCTGATGATTCAGATTCTTCATCATCATCTATACCCACATCAAATTCAAATAAAGATGCATTTTTTGATGATAAAGGAAAAGTAGCAGGTACATTCACAGCAGTTGGAATAGTTGTACTTGGTTTAGTTTCAGGTATCTTGTATTGTTGTTGCTGTTGTTCAACATCAAATAATGATCATGATTCATTTACAGATGAAGAGAATCATTATTCTTCAGATGAATTAGATACTATAAATCGTGAAAAAGTAATCATTGCAAATAATAATTCCAAAAACTCATCATTAAAAAGAAATAATTCTTCCAAGAATTCACTTTTCACTTATTTCAATAAAGATCCATCAGATACGGGGATTAATAGAAGTCAATCAAGAAAGAAATTAATGAAAAGAGAGAATTCAGTAATTCATAATGATGAAATTATGTTTCCTATTAATGAAACTGATTCTAGATTGGATCCAGATACAATGTTTTTAAATACTAATTCAAGTTATAAAAGTTTTGGTGATGATCATGATTATTCAAGAACATTGAAAATTACAAATCCGGATGATAAATAGAGACAAAGATCACTTAATAATTTTAATACTAATTTAATTCATTACACTCGTTGCATTTTTTATATTTAATTTAATTTAATAATATTACGTTTATAAACTTTTTAATATACAAACAATACAATTTATCTTTATAATAACTACATACGATTTTGAAGGGACGTTTTCACAATTTGTTTATGCACAACGACCAAGCATACTATAACAAAAGGATAAAATTTTTGAAAACTCCAATTGCATTGATCAATTTTAGGGGTTTTTAATCTTTGAAAGTAACTAAACTATGAAGTATCTATTTAAGTCTAACCGATGTTGTCAGATCCAGTTAATGATTTTATTGTAAATTGAAATAAGCTTTAGGCTAACAAATTAAATTAAGATCACCACTCTGTATCTGATGATAAAGCACCTGTCAAATTACAGCTTTATCTTGCAAACAAATACCAAGTCTTCAACTTACTTATTTGGTTCAAAGCAAATAAATGAACAATTCGATAGTTTGTAGAACTGAAAATGATGCTCTCATGTAACATATGCTTTTAATTCGGTTTTGGAGTCGGGTTAGACTTGTGATAATCTGGTTGGAATTCATAAGCATTAGGCTTTTTCTCTTCCTTATTATTTGGTTCATCATCTTCACTTGCATCAGAACTTTCATCACTTGAACTTTCAGGATGATTATTACTTTCATCATCACATTCTTCATCAAATGATCTTTGTGGATGGAAAATACAACAAATTTTAGTCTTTTTTTTATTCATATTTTCATTATCAATTACATCTTCAGTCCATCTAACACTTGATTTCGCTTTCTTCTTCTTTTTATCTTTATCTTCCAGCTTTGATTTATCTTCACTTGATTTTAAACGTAATACATTATTCTCTTCTACTTGTGTCCTACTTGGGTTTGAGATATTCTGAGAATTAGAACCTGAATTATTATTCATATTTGACATTATTAGGTGATAATTATATTGCTAAATATATTTGATATGATTTATAAATTTATATAGATGGATTACATAATAACTTGTTTTTGAAACATCGAAGATTCGAAGTAAATAATCAACTGATATTCAGCGTACAAGAGATGCATAAAAGGATTTCTCAATTCTTGTCTTGTTGTAATTAGAAGGCTTCTGAAGGTCCTCAATCAAGACAAGTTCGAAATGATTTAGTATTGAATCGTATAATATTAGCTCCAATATATATCACCTTTCATTTGAAATGAAGCGTTTATGATCAGAAACTGTAGTACCAATGATGCATTTAATGGACTAGGATAAGTTTTTCTAGTAATTATAATTGAGAATAGATTGTTTTTCTAGTAATTATAACTGAGAATAGATTGTGTTTAAAACAATATAATGTACATTGCAATTATGACGTTATGTTGTCTATCAGCACAAACGCTGGTACCAGCTCTCGCTTTGAGCTTTAAGGTCTACAGCCGTCATTTCACTCCACGCAAAACCTTGGCCTCGCCTAAACGAAAACTAAATTTCTGAAATAAATTGAGCTATATGCAGTCTCATAGTAATTAATCATAAAAATTTGATTTGTAAATAAGTACTTCAAATTACAACTTTCATTCTCAAACTATTTTTATATAAAGATCAGCCCATTTGGAGTACACTGATGCTAATATCTGCCGAGCAAACATGATTATGATGACTTTACTCTTTTTTTAAAAAATGGAAAAATACGTTAAATTGGGAGATAATCAATACTTAGACCTAATTTAGCAACTTCTAATATAGCTGGTTTAGTTTGAATGCTCCTAAAGCTTATATATATCATATTTTTAACACGCCATAATCGAACTGGAAATTTCTCAAAAATTTCGAACCATCTTTGAGAAATTACTTTTCCTTATGAATACCTTAACACAAAAATATCCAAGAATTCTCAAAGTGCGGAACTACAAATCCTGATAGTTTTATCAAGTTCTTATCACGAATTTGATCGTGGAGTGGAAATTCCTGTCAGGTCAATTTATTCGATTTTCACGATATTTAAGACGAAGTTTTGAATTCTTTCAATTTTAGAGCAAATAAATCAAAATCATATCCAGGACCTTATTTTGAGGCATGATCAGTATAATTAGTTGCTTAATTGGAAATTGTGGCCATCGATAGAATATAATCTGCACTTCAAAATTTTTGTATGCTGAAAAAATGCTGAAAATTCCACCTCAAAAAAAGACTTTTAAAATCTTCTGTCAAGTATGAGAGGTATATGATTCATGGCTTCTGATTTTACATAAAGAATATTCATCCTGGGAGATTTTGTACTTCTTGAAGTATAAGCCAAAAAAATGTAATACGAGATCGCCCTAAAGTTAGCGCTAGAAATGATTTTGTCGCGCTATTTCGAATTTGAATCTGATTTGGAAATTACTGTATGCCTAAATCTACAATAAATCAGATATAATTAGATGAAAATTTAAGTTTCAAATTTCAATAGCTAATTTATTAATATTTTACTAATTTTAATCAATCTGCTTATCGTGATTTTGGTAATAGTTGGCTAACTCTAAACATTCAAGCTTTTTTTACAATACAAGAAATTCAAGAAAAGATGCAATGCAATGAACTTGACGTAACTAAGCTAAAAATAGAAAACAGTACAAGAGATGTACATGCTTGTCATAGATTATCGGGACTCCTATTTTAAGGTTTTGATTCCCCATATATTTACAATTTGGGTAAGTGTAACGGGAATTCAATAATGCATGCTAGAGGCTTATCAATGTCATCTTGATGTCAAATGAGCTCATAGGTAATACAATAGCTGTCTTGCGATCAACTCTTCATAGAGTATTGATGCAAGAAGCGTTGTTCTTGGTTTTTTAATCAAAAGGATTAGTTCATGATCTATTTCATTCTACAAAGTCTAATTTGTATGTCTAAAAAAATATGGTAACTACCGATAACCCCTAACCAATCAATAGAGCTACCAAAAATTGTTCTGATTATTTTCACTAACTTTAAAAATTAGAGATCTCTACGAAATCTAGTAAACTAACGAACATGTAGATAATTCAATCTATTGACTTACCAATTTGCAGTAACTAGTCTTTCTTTATTCATTATCATTCCATGGTTTCTTTTGCGTAGTAGATAGTTTTTTGGTATTCTTCAATTTTTGATATTTTTAGCATTTTAGCTGCAAAATCTCAAACATTTTTTTTGCAACAATATTAAAAATATTAAACACATACAATTATAATGAAATGCTCAAGTTTACCCATTCTATTACTATATTTAAATTGTTTTGCTGTTTCTTTAACTGATCCAAATAATGAATTAACATTTACAGAACAATCAGCTTCTTCACACAAAAAAAAATATGTAATGGAAGAACCAAAAGAAGTTGAGTTATCAATTAAAGAAAAACAAAAAATGGATGAAGAAGTAGATCAAATTAATAAGAAAAAGAAATGGCAACTTAATGCTGGTTTATACGTTGAAGGTTCAAAAGGTGATCAAAAAGGAATTGATTATTGTAGTGATTCAGATGATGACGGTAAAAAATTTTGGATTTTCAATCATGGAAATAAAACCGATGAAGTTGTACAATTAAATTTAAATAATGATACAAGTCCATATGTGTTTAAAATTAGAGAAGAAGTTGGTACTGAAGAAGAAGCAGAAGAAAAAAAAGAAGAACAAGACCAATTTGAGAATGGTTCCAATCCACAATTAATTATTAATTCATTGATAATCTTGATAATCTTTGCAATTATATAAATAATATATGATGTAATCTTTATACTCCACTTGTATTTAAAACCTAAAACATAGAAAAAGATAAATCTCTTGATCTGTTAATCTATCTTTTCTTAGCTAATATTTAAAACGTCATAAAATAATATCTAAAAAATTTGAGACAATGATTGCAAAATTTTGAAAAGTTTAAATTTTAATTAATGTCGTAAAACCACAATTGAAGCAAACTAAACAATTAAAATTTAAACGTAATTTTAATATTTTGTGGTATGATTCTTCGATAAGGAAAGTAAGTTAATGCAGATCAATGTGGAATCTTATTCAACGATTATCGGAGGTACGGTTTAAATTTAAATTAAAAGACAGGAAAGCGGCTAAACCTTCTACGATATGATAAAGCGATCAAAACGAATCAACGAAGAGTTTAGTAGTGTATAATCGAATATTAGATCTTTTTCTTGTCCTTTACTAAAAATAAACCATAAATAAAAATAATATAACCACATAGTCGAATATTTTAGAGGGTTAAAAGTTTGATAATAAATTATTATTTAAGTTCGGGATTCCAAAATAGGGATAGATCAAAAGAAGAATGGTGTTAAAAATGACATGTTACAAAATTGATAAAAAGTGATCTTAAACAAACGATAGCTGCGTATATGTAAATTTTACTATTGGAATTTACTATACGTACACGTGACACGCATAATGTTAATCAGATCTGATAAAGTACGGAATAACTTGTAGATACCCATTGTGCGTAATAGCCAATTTTACTTTAATCAGTATGGTAGTGGACGATTTACAACAAGTCACGTTTTTCATTTAAACGAAAAATTAAACTATTTTCTTGGCATATTTTAGTACCAAGAAAAAAAACTCGTCGCAGTCAACTTTTAAACTATGGAATGTTAATGAAACAGCATATTTTTAAAGTTTGTATGGTAGTAATTTACTTGGCGTGTAATACTGATAATTTATACACTACCCCATATTAACACCCATTACATAATCTCTTACATAATTTTCTCTTTTTTTTTTTTCTTTTTTTAACTTAAATATCAACTAATCTGCTGTCAATCCCAAGATTTTTTTACAACAATATTTCTTTTACTATTACCTATCAATAACAATATTATACATCTATAATGAATTATAATCTACAACCAAATGTACATCCTGTTACTTATTTAAATGCAAATCAGCAACCACAACAACAATCCCAATCAAATCATCATCATGATCACCACCACCTCCAAAATACCACCCTGCAATCACAATCTAATAAAAAAGAATCTTCTTTAGATATTGAAAACGTTACTTCTCCATCATCTATTACTTCATCAAATTCACCTCAGAATAATATTAATGGTTCACCACATTCTTCATTTACTTCACAATCTGCTGTAAATTCACCAATTGATGTATTAAAACAACAACAACAACAACAACAACAACAACAACAACAAGCTCAAAATGCTCATTCACAACATTCTCATAATATCTTACAACCTCAAATTCCTCAACAACATGCTAATTTATCATCATCATCTCAAATGATTCCACCCCCTACCCAACAACAACAAACTACTTTTCAACAACCAACATTACATCCAAGTTTACATCAACAATACAATTCTTATTATATGTATAATCAACAACCAACAAATCAATTGCAACAACCAGTCCAACAATCACAATTTCCACCGCAATTTCATGATTTTGATCAATATTCTTCTACTTATCAACAACAACAATTTAATAATGGGTTTGAATCTTCAAGAAAAGCTTCAATTTCGACAAATTCATCTAGTACAATTACATCTGCAAAACCTAAAAAGACTTATAAAAAAATTAGAGATGAAGATTTAAAAGGTCCTTTTAAATGTGCTTGGGGTGAATGTAATATTATTTTCCAATCACCGGAATTATTATATGATCATTTATGTGATGATCATGTTGGTCGTAAATCATCAAATAATTTGAATTTAACTTGTCGTTGGGATAATTGTAATACAACTACTGTTAAAAGAGATCATATTACAAGTCATTTAAGAGTTCATGTTCCTTTGAAACCATTTCATTGTAATTTATGTACAAAATCATTTAAAAGACCACAAGATTTAAAGAAGCATTCAAAAATTCATGCTGATGATCATCCAAAGAAATTGAAGAAGGAAAGAAAATTACAACAACAACAACAACAACAAAATTTGAAAAAGAGAAGTTATGATTCTAATTTGGTTAATAATATTTTAACAGATTTTAATTTCCCAAGTAATGATTTGAAAAGATCTAAATTGGATTATAATTATAATCATGATATTTATAACAGATTAAATGATCAAATACATCATTATCAACAACCACAAGCTACTCAATTACCACAATCACAACCTATTTATTCAACAAATATTCTTGGTGAAGCTGAAAAATTTTTCAGTCAATTGAATAACAGTATTGAAATGACTTATAATACAATGTCATCACAATATCAACAACAATCACAATCACAACCAACTACTTCATCTCAAAATCTTTATCCATCTATACCTTCAACATTGCCAAATTTATCAACTCCATCACAACCTTCTTCAAATGGTCATTCGTCATCAAGTTATCCACAAATTAATAGATATAATAATTTATCGTATTCACAACCTTCACAACCACATCCAAATGTATTGGAATTTGGTAATGTCAGTACTTATCAAAAATCTGGTCAAAAATTAAATAAAGATGATGAATTGGATAAATTGATTGAAAAATTAGATATTAATGAAAGTGAAAATGATGAACTAGAAACTACTTCTGAAAGTGAATATGAAGAGGAAGAAGAAGATGAAATTGTTATTAATGGTTACAACTTGAAAGATGTTGAAGAACAAAGGGATTTAATAAAATATGTCCTTCAATACATTAAGAATTTGAAATCAAAGGTGCAAAATGGTAATGAAAGTATAGGCTTCAAAACAAGTTTATATCCTACTATCACAGCATTTTAGATTTAAAGAATAGGTTATCTTATAGGTGGGTTAAGGAGATGTATTTTATTTTTATAAATTTTAGTTCGATTTTGTAGTTTTAATTAATAAATTTGTTTTAAAGTGGTAAAAGTATCTGTTCTTCATCTGTATATTAATTAAAATGAGACAATGCTTCCAAGTTAAATATAAACGGGACGAGGCTGAAACGTTTATTAATTACATAATACAAGCTTTTACTATTTCCTAAAATACTCTATTTTACATTTCAATATCTTGAGTGTTGACCAGTTTTAGGCTATTCTAACATGTTTGGGTTTACTAGCGAGGAATAATTTCAATTTCAAGGAATATTTTGATAATTTGTGGTTTTCTAATTATAAACTATTGAATAATCTGTTTCGGACTAAAATTCAATTTCATTCCTACTTAAGCATCATGCTGCATCTGAGAAAAGAGAAAGGCAAATCATTATATGAATTTTCAAGCTAGTTATGACTTAATTCTATGTTTAAGCGAACAACCACTTGAGATAATTAAAATTATTATCTCATATTTAGATAAACCTTTTGTTAAAGCATTTTCACATGATAGGATTTTCAAACGCTTCGCTCTTCAAAAGTTGTTCACCACCGTCGTCATATTGAATGGTGAGCATGATGAAATAAATGATGAAAAAAAACTCGATGAGACTGGCAAAATCGATTTACCACGTAAGAATTTAGAATTTACAAATGTATTAAAATTTACAAAGTTTAAGAACTTTTTCAAATTGATGAATAAATTTCATATTATACCTTAATCAATGTTTATTATAAACTTTGAAGACAAAATCACTGATATCCATTATGACCTTGAAGACAAAATCACAGATATCCATTATGACCTTGAAAACGAAAGATATGAAATAATTATGCACAATTGCATACCTTTATTCAAATTACCAGTTAAACTATATATTGATTTACGTTACAAGTATTGACCTCTTGAGGATTTCCGAAAGATGATTGCTTACTCGGAAGATTTCCCAATTGTTGAATATTTAAGAGTGGAAAAGATTACAGTTTCATTATACAAAAAGTTCAAAACTTCAACCAAGCATTTAACGTACAAGGAAGAAAGCGTATATGACGAATATGAATACGAGATTGCACCTTTCAAGAAATCGGGACAAATTAAAAGGCTACAAGAACAACTACATACTTTTAACTAATTATTTAATTTACCTACTTGCCATTGTAGCTTATTTATGATCTGGTTATTGTCGAAGTTTATATCTCCTTCATTATATCCGATTGTACTGAATTTGAAGCAATATCATTGTCGCCTGTATACAATTAGGAATCTTAACTTGATGACTACCTCGCTTTTTGTACTCTACAATCATTTGTTCAAGATCTAAGATACGAGATCTGAGATCTGAGATCTAATTTTTACATCTGAAGCGCGGCAGAATCAAATTAATTTTAATATGATGGAGATTAATATAAGAAACACCAACGTAAATAATATTAGGTCTAAGTATTCAGCGAATACAAAAGCGAGTTATCAAATCAATTTACTGTAAATGCAGTTTTCAAATTTCTACCGCATCCATACATTAAATTTCCTATTTACATTATCATACCACAACCAATCACTTGATTGTCTCTATATAATACCCCACCTTGACCTGGTGTAACTGCTCTTGCAGGTTCAACTAATTTTACTATTAATTTACCATCTCCATTTTCTCTTATCAGTTTTATATTAGTTGGTTTAGTTAATGAACTATATTGAAAACTTAAACTATCCATATTCAATACTTCATCTATTGAATAAAATAAATGCAAATCACCAATTTCAATTTTATCCTTATACAATTTCGGATTATCATGACCTTTAACAATCACTATTTCATTAGTCAATGGTCTCTTTTCAGATACGTACCAGACACCGGTAAAGTCCGGATTACCTTGAGGCATCGATACTGAAGATCTTTGACCAATTGTAGCATGCCATAATCCTTGATGTTTACCCCAAATTCTGCCATCTTCAGTTATGATATTTCCAGGATTAGATTCAAGATATTCATTTAAAAATTGTCTAAAATTCTTTTGATCTGGATTCACAAAACATAAACCTTGTGAATCTTTTTTATTATAATTTTCCAATTTGAATTCTTTTGCCATTTTTCTAACTTCACGTTTTGTAAAATGACCAATGGGGAGAATTAATTTATTTAAACAATCTTTTGGAATGGTACTTAAATAATAACTTTGATCTTTTCTAGTACTTGAACCTCTTAATAATTGAAATTCGTCATCTTTCTTCATGATTCTTGCATAATGACCAGTTACCAATTTATAATTTTCATATTTTGAATCTAAATAGTTTACTAATTTTCCAAATTTGACATATTTATTACAATTTATATCTGGATTAGGTGTTAATCCATTTTTATACTTTTCAATCATTGGTTCAAAAACATTTGTCCAGTATTCAAATTCAAAATTCACTCTTTCAACTGGTATATTTAATTTTTTACAAATTTTTTGAACATCAATCCAATCACGTTCAACACATACTGAATTTTGATTCCAATTAGCCATGTATAGACCTCTTACTTTTGGATAATCTTTAAATAAAGCAGCACAAACTGATGAATCAACTCCTGAACTCATTGCAATTATTACGTGGTCTGAATTTTTAGGTTGTGGTTGTATATAGCCATTAGATAGTTCATTTAACTCCTCAGCTTCCTGATTACTAGGTATATAAGTTTTTTGATTAAAATAGAAAGGTATTGGTGGTGTATGATTGAATCTAACCCAAGGTCGTATTCTTGATTTGATAAAATTAGATCGTAGAATCATGAAACTAAGCTTTAATAATAATATATACAAATAAAAGCACAATAACGTTGACCAATGACCTCTTTTTCAGTAATAACTTCTTCCTTTATAGCCCAAGCTGTTATGAATTTGTTATACTTTTATCTTTATCTGATCTGCTTTTCTAGAACTAATTTTTTTTTTTTTTTTTTTTTTTCCAAATTTTTCACCTCTCCACATTTTATCAAAATGTCATTATCATATATTGATAAAGCTAGAAAGATTCTTTGTATTGGTAGAAACTATGCTGCTCATATCAAGGAGTTAAATAATACTAAACCACAACAACCATTCTTTTTTCTAAAGCCTTCATCATCAATTTTGAAACCAAAAAATGGTCCATTTTTAGTTCCAAAAGGAGTAATTGTTCATCATGAAGTTGAATTAGCATTTACTTTAAATCAAACACTTAAAGACTTACCAGATTCATTTTCAAATAAAGATGCACTTGATGTAATTGAAGGTTATGCTTTAACTATAGATATGACAGCTAGAAATGTACAAGATGAAGCTAAAAAAAAGGGTTTACCATGGTCAATCGGTAAAGGTTTTGATACATTTTTACCAGTCTCAAATTTCATACCAAAAGAGAAAATTCCAGATCCTTATAATGTTGAATTAATATTAAAAATTAATGATGTTATAAAACAACAAGACCCAACTAACTTAATGATTTTCCCAATTCATAAAATTTTAAGTCATATGAGTAGAATTATGACTTTAGAAAAAGGGGACTTAATATTAACTGGTACTCCAAAAGGTGTTGGACAAGTTAAATCAGGTGATAAAGTTGAAGCACAATTGAAAGTAGGTAACGAAATAATCGAACAAATTAATTTTGATTCAATTGAAAAACCAGGACCTTACGTTTATAAGGAAACATAGATTAGACAGAAATACATATTTATTCAGTTCAAAGACAAGCCATGTCATAATAATCTATTCGTATAATAAAATCTAATTCTTTTCTATATAAATATACCATCTATTGGAGGTTGATATTGACGTAATATAATTTTAGCCTCACTCATTACTTTATGACTATCCACATCCATTGAATAACTTTGAGCATAAACAACTTCTTTTATTCCACTTTGAACAATTTTAATTGAACATGTTAAACAAGGACATGTATTGCAATATAATGTACTTGAATCACCAATTCTATCTCTACCTGCTTCTAATAATGCATTTTCTTCAGCATGTAAACATAAACAAGTCAGTAAAGAATTACCAGACCCATGGCCCTTATTACATCTTGAACAACCACCTTCATTACAATTTTTTAAATGTCTTGGAGTACCATTATATCCAGTTGCTACAACTCTTGATTCTCTAACTATAACACAACCAACTCTTCTTTTCATACAATTTGATCTCAAAGCAGCCAAATTTGCAATCTTCATGAAATAAGAATCCCAACTAGGTCTTAATCTTGATTTATCAAGTAAGTTTAATTCTGATACTTTCATATATAATTCTTTTATTGATTCTGAAGTATTTATAATTTTAACACATGCTTGATTATTAATTTCAATCAATGGATTATCTAAATTGAATAATAATTCATCATTTAAGCTTATAAATTCATCAAATGTGTATTTTGATTGTCGTTTAAATCTCAAATTTATAGGAGCATCAATTGAGATATGTAAAAAAAATGGTCTTTTCTGTAATAATTTTAACAAATTGAAGTTATCAATCAATAATACAAAATTTTCTCTCCAATTAATAGTAACATAATCTAATAATTCAGATTCTGTTTGAAATTTTAAACCTTCATCTAAACCTTTGAACTGTATTAATTTGAAACCTTGGAATGTTAAATATCTTGCAACTTCTGTTTTACCAGAACTTATCGTACCTGAGATACCTATTAACATTTCGATACGATCAATTCGCGTATCTGAAAAATTATTTTTCGCGTAAAACTTAATTTGAAATCAAATTTTTATCAAAATGTTGCAGATTAAATATGAAATCATACTTGAAAGGTACCAGGACAAATCAAAGTAAGTTTTATAATTGTTGGTCAAATGTTTGCATTGGTGACGGTATCCGTTATCTGTTAGTAGTATGGATCTTAATCCACAATTGAAAGAGACGATTTGGTCATAAATTGCAGGGCCAAATCACTAAATACATGAAAGTCAAAGTTTGAGACTATTTGCCTGCTATTTCAAGACTGATAACATTCAATTGACTTCGTCTGCTTCGATGCTAAAACCTGTGAGTTTATTTGTTAGAATTTGAAATGATCAATTTATCTACTTCTTCATATAAAAGGGCCCGATTTAACTGATTAATCTAAACTTGTTCAGTCTAGCTATCCCAAGTCAAAATTTCCACAGAGAAGGCATTGATCAAACTGATAAGGAGTCAAAACACAAAATGGAATTGTTGTCGTAATTTATGCTCAATCATTTCGAAATTGGTAGCAGCTTAACGCAACAGAAAAAAAAGTTATGGTCACAATACCAACAAAATAGATTTAACCAATGTTAATCTTCAATTTACTACTACTATTTTATACATCATTAACATTAGCTATATCTACAAATGATCAACATAAAGAAGGTTATTGTAATCAATTAAATAATTGTGGTAAAAAATCAATATTTGGAAAACCTTTACCTTGTGCTACTTTTGAACCTGCTATCAAAATTTCACCAGAATCAAAACAAAAGTTGAATAAAATTTGTGGAGATAGTTTTAATTTCGAATATGTTTGTTGTTCAGATGAACAAATAGATGACTTAAAATCAAATTTAAAAAGAGTAGATCCAATTATATCATCATGTCCTGCTTGTCATCAAAATTTCTATAGTTTCTTTTGTCAATTTAGTTGTTCACCAAATCAATCTAAATTTGTTGAAATTTTAAAAACACAAGAATCAAAAGATTTAAAAAAAGAAATTATAACTGAAATAAATCAATATGTAAGTCCAAAAATGGCTAAAGAATTTTTCAATTCCTGTAAAAATGTTAAATTTTCAGCTACAAATGGCTATGCAATGGATTTAATTGGTGGAGGGGCAAAAAATTATTCACAATTTTTGAAATTTTTAGGTGATGAAAAACCATTACTTGGTGGATCTCCATATCAAATAAATTTTGTTTATGAAGAAAAGGAAAATTTGGAATTGAGAGATCAAAAAGTTTATCCATGTAATGATGAAAAATATTCTTGTGCATGTACTGATTGTGAAAGTGCTTGTCCTGAATTACCAAAGATTAGAAATTTGAATAAAAAGTGTACTGTTGGTGGATTACCATGTTTTTCATTTACAATTTTGGTTATTTGGATTTGTTTTATTATTATATTAGGTGGTTATCATATTTATATTGCAAATACGGCAAAATCAAGACATAATTCAGTTGCTGATGATGATTTAGATACAATGATTTCTCCATTAAGTTATGTGACTATGAAGAAATCAATCAAGAGAAATTCAGAAATTTTTAATGATTATTTAGAAGATGTGTTTCTGAAAATTGGTCGATTTTGCTCATCTTTTCCTGGTATTACCATTGGTTCTACATTATTTATTAGCTTTTTACTTTGTCTTGGATTATCTAAATTGCAAATTGAAACTGATCCCATTAATTTATGGGTTAGTCCAAATGAACCAGCATATAAAAATCAACAATATTTTGAAAAAAATTTTGGTAAATGGTATAGAATTGAACAAATTATAATTAGTTCAAAAGATGACTCACCAGTTTTAAATTGGGATCTTGTTAAATGGTGGTTTAAAAAGGAATCAGAATTGGAAAATATAAGTAATGTTAAATTATCAGATATTTGTTTTAAACCATTAGGTGAAACATGTGCAATTGAATCATTTACTCAGTATTTTAACGGTGATATAAATCAATTAACTGAATCAAATTGGTCTAATAAATTACAAAAATGTGTTGATTCACCAGTTGAATGTTTACCTAGTTTCCAACAACCTTTAAAATCGAATATCTTGTTTGATAATGATGATGTTACAAAGTCAAGAGCATTCATTATTACATTACTAGTTAATAATGATGATGAAAAGTTAGCAATTGAATATGAGAATCATTTACAAAGCTGGATTCAAACTTTGAAACATGAAAATTTACACATTTCATATAGTACTGAAATTTCATTAACACAAGAATTGAATGATTCTTCAAACACAGACATCAAAACAATTGCAATTTCATATTTGGTTATGTTTATTTACTCATCATTTGCATTGGGTGGTAGATTACCAAACAAAATTTCATCATTAATTAAAACCAGATTTTTATTAGGTTTATCTGGTATCTTCATAATTTTATTATCTGTTGTGACATCTGTTGGTTTCTTTTCATTAATTGGTTTAAAATCAACATTAATAATAGCTGAAGTTATTCCATTTTTATTATTAGCTATTGGAATAGATAATACTTATTTAATTGTACATGAATTGAAAAGAACTGAAGGTGATTCAATTGAAGATAGAATAAGTAAAACATTAGGTAAAATGGGTCCATCATGTTTTATAAGTTCTTTATTACAATTTTGTATGTTTTTATTAGCTACAGTAGTTGATATGCCTGCAGTTCGAAATTTTGCATTTTATAGTGCTGGTGCTATATTAATTAATTTCATACTTCAAATGACTTGTTTTATTGGATTTTTAGCATTAGATCAAAGAAGATTAGAAGATAATAGAATTGATTGTGTACCATTTATACAAATAAGTTCAATCAAATTACCCGAAGATGATGAAGAGATTTGTGATAATGATAATGACGATGAAATACCAAAAGAATCAACAAGTGGTAAATTTGCAACATTTATAATCAAATATAAAAGAAGAATTTTAACTTTATTTGTATTATGGTTAGGTATTTCATTAATTTTATTACCAAATATTAATTATGGATTAGATCAAAGAATAGCGTTGCCTAGAAATTCCTACCTTATTGATTATTTCAATTCAATGTATGAATATTTTAATGCAGGACCACCTGTATTTTATGTTGTCAAGGATTTAGATTTATTAAATAGAACAAATCAACAAAAATTATGTGGAAAATTTTCAGGTTGTGATAAATATTCATTAGCTAATATTTTGGAACAAGAATTTAAAAGATCAAAGAAATCTATGATTAATGAACCAACATCCAATTGGTTAGATGATTTTTTTACATGGTTAAATCCAGATTTAGATCAATGTTGTAGATTGAAAAAATCAAATTTGAATGAATTTTGTTTACCTAGTTCACCAGATAGACAATGTCAAACATGTTATTTTAATAAAAGTTATGATACATCAATGGATATTTTCCCAAAAGATTCAGATTTTATGTTTTATTTTAATCAATGGATTCAAGAACCAAGTGATCCATGTCCATTAGGTGGGAAAGCACCATATTCAACAAGTATATCAAGAAATTCAACAGATATAATTTCGTCTTATTTTAGAACATCTCATGTACCTTTAAAGTCTCAAGATGATTTTATAAATGGATATAAAAATTCAATTAGAATAATTGAAGAAATTAAAAAATATACTAACTTAGATATATTTCCATGGTCTCCATTTTATATATTCTTTGTTCAATATTTAAATATTTTAAGTTTAACAGTTTCATTATTATCAATTGCATTATTTATAATTTTTATAATTTCATATTTAGTATTTGGAACATTTAAATCGAGTTTTGCAATGACAATTACAATTCTATCAATTTTAATAAATATTGGAGGAGTGTTAAGTATTTGGAATATTTCATTAAATGCCTTATCATTGGTTAATTTATTAATTATATGTGGTATTTGTGTTGAATTTACAATTCATATAACTAAAAGATATTCACAAATGGTTATAAATGATGATGAATTTTATGCAAATTATTCAAATGAAATTACTTCAACTATAAGAGATGCAAGAATCATTAAAACTATGAAACAATTGAGTGGATCAATTATAACTGGGATTATAATTACTAAATTTATTGGAATTTCAATTTTAGCATTTACTTCATCAAAAATATTTGAAATTTATTATTTTAGAATGTATTTTACATTAATTACTGTTGCTTCTTTACATGCTTTAGTTTTATTACCTATACTATTGAGTTTATAAGGAAGACAATCAATATATGACAGTTTTATTAAAAATGAATATTACTCATGATTCTATAATAATTTTTTTTTTTCAGAATTGTACCTGATTGTTTACGATAACGATCTTCAAACAAATTGTCGTTCTTTTTTTTTTTTGAAGTGATTAAAAGCACCAAGATGTAAAATAGGCTTATGCAGGACCAGTTGAATTTCTACAACTTTAGGATTAGGTTGCAAATTTCTAGAGTTGCTATGCAGTCTGTCAGTCAGTCACAAGAGCAATAATGAAAAATTTGTCAGAGAAAAATGCCCTTCGATAAGGAACTGGTTTACTAGCTTGTAATTCGCCATTGAAGAATCATAGTTCAGTACACGATTTATATATATATAAACATTATTAATTTCGTTTTAATATATAATGTCGTCAAATTTAAATTTGTAATTAAAATGTCCGAAAGTAGTAATTCCTAATTTGTCAATAAAATGATCGAATTAAGTAAGGCTGGCGTTAAATAAAACAATTTAAAATTGTTGATCATAACTCGAAACTTTAAATTATATTTGTCATTAATTAAGCAATACAAAAAAAAAAAAAACAAATAAACTATTGATGTTATGATGTTTTTGTTTCTATTACATATAGTTCTATTTAACTATATAGTTAAGTTACATGAAATTACCTCCCTTAACAAAATATTAATATACAGGCTTTTTTTTTTATTTTTTATTTTTTTATTTTTTTTTTTTTTTCTTTTAATTTCTTCATTTTTTTAAAATTGGTTGGTTTTAGAAGTCAATTGTCAAACCATTATTAACGGAGACTTTATTATATTGTAACATCTCATCAATTGAAAGAGAAAGATTATTATTTAAGAAATTATCAATTAATTATTTATCCAAAGTTTAGCTAGTTAAAAAATCGAATTGAAATTGAAATTTAAGTTTTAATTATAATTATCAATTATCATGTCTGTTCATTATACTTTTAGATGGTATGTAATTAATTTATTATTATCAATTTATTATCAAGTAATTATTGAATTGGATCTAACATTATAGATCCAACTTGGTTGTCAAATTTATTTTAATTTTGTTGTACTAACAAATTTTTAATTTCAGGCCAGAGGGTCCAAATGATGTTATTGTTACAGGTACATTTGATAATTGGTCTAAATCTTTGCCATTGGTAAAACAAGGTGATGGTTCATTTTCTTTACAAGTTCCTTTACCCCCTGTAAAAGAACATATTTATTATAAATATGTTGTTGATGGTGAATGGGAAGTTAATCCAAATGAGAAATCAACAAAAGATTCTGAAGGTAATTATAATAATTGGATTGAAGCTGATGATTTAAAAGAATTATTAGTTATGCCAGGTGCTATAATACCAGAAACTGGTTTAGCTTTTATTAATAATAAAGGTGGTAAATTACCAGAAAATCATCATGAATTCAATAATAATCATGATAATGATTTAAAAGCTACTGTTTTACCAAAAGAAGAACCTCATCATGTTTCCATTGCTGGTGAACCAGGTATTTTTGTTCCACAAGGTGAAGAACAATTGAATGCTTTTAGAACTTTTGAACATCAAGATGCTAAAGCTTTAAATGAAGAACCAGTGGAAGAAACTGACTCACATGGAATTTCAACACAAAGAGAAGAACAACCAAAAGAAGCAAAAGAAGAACATCAATATACTCAAGGTATTACACCAGCTGCTGTTGCTTTGGGCGAAGAAAAAGAACATATTGGTTCAAATGCCCATGGTGAACATACAAAAGAAATTGAACAACAAGAAAAACCAGAAGGAATTGTTGAATCAAGAGAAGAACTTGTACGTCAATCAGTTTCAGGTGGTATTACTCCTGCTGCTATCGCATTAGCTGAAGAACATGAACATATTGGACCAAATGCTGATGGTGCTCATACAAAAGAAGTTCTTGAAGGTAAAGATGAAGCTTTATTATCACCGGAAGAGAAAAAGAAACAAAAGAAGAAGGTTAAAAGATCACAATATAAAGCCAAGAAAAAGAAGAAGGCTGCTGATGGTGCTGATGGTGCTGTTGCTGCCGTTGCAACTTCAACTGAAGAAGACTATACACCAGAACCAGAAGAAACAAAGAAGGATCATTCAGATGCTGCTAAAATTGGTGCTGGTACTTTAGGGGGTGGTGCATTAGGTGCTGGATTAGGTGCTGGATTTGGTGCAGCTTTAGCATCAGAGGAAAAAGAACCATCATCAACTATTAAAACTTTAGATCCAAAAGCAAGTGAACCTTTAGCTACTAACAATGACCAACTTAATGAAGGTAAAGAAGTTGATGCTTCTCCAATTGGTGAAAAAGCTAGAGAAACTTCAAATGTCGTTCCAGTTACAGGTGGTGTTGTTGGTGGTGGCTCAAATCAACCTTTAGTTTCAAAACCATCTACTAGTGAACCCGTTTCTTCAACTGAATATAAAGATATTCCATCACAACATAATGTTGTACCATTATTACCAACTGATGCTACTGCTACATCACAACCAGTTGAATCAAAAGAAAATAAAGAAGAAGAAGAAATTATAATTGCTACTTCTGGTAAAAAAAGTGATATTGTTGCAGCTGTTGAAGCTCAAGAAGGTCATGATGTTACATTGGAAGAAATAACTCCAACTAAATCAGAAAGAGAAGAATTAACAAGAGAAGCTGAAATTGCTGCTCATGCAAGAGGTCCAGTTAGCATTGAACAAGTTATTGTTCCAAAGGATGAATTAAGTACACAAGATGCTGATGTTGCTGCTGCAACTGCACCAACCTCTCAAATTTCAAAACCAAAAGAATCAACAATTGCTGCAACAAAGCCAAAAGAAACAACCACCACAAAACCAACTGAAAAAACCACAACTTCATCAACTCCAGCTAAAAAACAAACTACATCAACTCCAGCAAAAAAGACAACAGCAAATGGTGCTAAAAAGGAAGAAAAGGAAAAAAAGAAAGGTGGTTTCAGAAATTTCTTGAAAAAATTAGTTACTTAAACATTTAATCAATTCAAAACTTTGTCATAATTAGAAATCAAGACTTTCAATTAATCTTTTAACTATTTGTAATATAACAATAATCTTTTTAATATATAATTTGTGTAATTTTCAAATTGTTTCAAGTTGTTTCAAGTTGTACGTGTATTCAATACCAAAAGTCGTATTTTTTATGGCAAATTTTTTTTTCAATTCATTTCATCAAATATAAACATATATATTAACTTGAACTAATTTTTAATCTATTAAAATGGAACAAGTATCAAAACAATTATATGTAAGACCAATCGACTCAGGTGTTACTAGAGATGAAATTGAAGCTCATTTTTCCCAAGCTGGCCCTGTTGCTGATATTAAACTATTGGAAGGTTACGCATTCGTAACTTATGAAGATGAGGCAACATCAGAAAGAGCTTTAAACGAGTTACATAATAGTGATTTAGCTGGTCAAAGAATAAATGTTGAATTTGCTAGAATTAGAGAATTAAGACCAAGTTTTAGAATTAAAATAACTAATTTACCAGAACCAACCGCATGGCAGGATATTAAAGATTATGTACGTGATAAAACTGAATTAAATCCACAATATGTTAAAGTTTTTAAAGATTGGACAAGTGGTTTAACTACATGTTCTATGTCATTTGATACACAAGATGATTTAGATAAAGCAATTCCATTATTAGATAATAGTGAATATTCCGGTCAAGTTATTTCAGTTGAAGAAGACACTAGTCCAGTACCTCCACCAAGATCAAGAGGTGGTTTTAGAGGTGGTTTCAGAGGTGGTAGAGGTGATTTCAGAGGTGGATTTAGAGGAAGAGGTGGCTATAATGATAGAGGTGGATATAGAGATGGTTATTCAGGAGGTTTCAGAGGTGGAAGAGGTGGCTATAATGACCGTGGTGGATTCAGAGGTGGAAGAGGTGGATTTGACCGTGGTGGATTTAGAGGAGGAAGAGGTGGTTACAATGATCGTGGTGGATTTTATGACCGTGGTGGATTTAGAGGAGGAAGAGGTGGCTATAGTGACAGAGGTGGCTCAAGAGATGATGGTTATCAAGATAGACCAAACAGATATGATGATAGATCATCTTATAACAGGGATAGATCACCAACAAGATTTTAAAATTTTAAAATCAGCTCAAGATTGTCTTAAAAGTTGAATTTTTGTATCAAATTTCAAAAAAAAAAAAAAATTAGTTTGTATTGAATGAATATATTAATAAAAATGAAGTATTAAAAAACCAGCATAGAGTTGTGAAATAAATCCTAGCATTTTTTGGAGTTTTCAAATTTTTTATCTAATCAAATTTATATTTATTTTATATGATTTTCCTTAACCTTTGCATTTATGAAACTATATATTAGCATATAATGATGAGTTGACGAGTTGGTGTGATTTTATGAGTTACGAGTTACGATTTACGATATTTAGTTCTATAGTTGTATTATTCAATAAATAATTTCCTTCTTTTTTCACCATATAGATCATTATGTTTACCATATAAACCAGTGTTCAAAGATAATGGTTGCTTTTTATTTGTGAAGTACTCAATTAGACATTTAGTTTGTGACATAGTCAATAAATCATCTTCTAAAGATTGAACAATTATAAATTTTGTATCTTTATCAACTAACGAAAATGGTATATCATTGAAATTACCGCATAATTGAGTCGATTGTTGTATAGACGATATTGTAGCTTCTCTATTTGGTAACACCACAGTTTTAACAAATGCAGCTTCTATAAATGATGAATAATCTGGATATTCTTCTATTAATTCTAATGGATCATAAATACCATCTAAAAATCTTAAACTTTTAAATTTAATATTTTTATAAATAAATGGAATTAAATTGCATAAATCAGGTAAACTTGTTTTACTCAATCCAAAAGCTTGTAATCCCATTTCAATAATTTCTTCAAAATTTAATAATTGTAAAATTAAAGTAGCACCACATGAATAACCAAGAATATGTAAATCACCAACTTCAAAATTTTGTTTAATATATTGTAAAGCTTGTAAGATATCAATTAAATGATCTGGATGTTTAACGTCAGGCGATAATCTATAATTAATACCAATATATGTAAAATTATCATTTCTAACAACTGGTTCTAATTGATCATAAGTCCAATTTGGATCTCTCCAAGCACCACCATGTATATATATATAAGTAGTTTGATTTGGTTTATAGTTCCATACTTTTATCTTTTGTAACTTGTGTTGATTGTAAGAGTATTCCATACTCAGGTCGTGTAGAATTTTTTTTTCTGTATCAAATCTCGTTTTTTGAAAATTTTTAAAACTAAGCAGATCAGATAAGTTTGAATTATATAATGTCTACAGCTATAGGATCTTGGGCAGATGCTGGTGATGAATTTTCTGCACCTCCAGAAATAATAGTTAATCCAGATGGTACAAAAACTGTCATTACTTTTAGAACAAATCAAGATGGTAAAAAAGTTAAAATAACTCAAAAAATAAGAGAAATTAAAGTTGAAGAAAAAGTTCATCCTTTAGTTGCATTAAGAAAGAATTGGAAAAAATATGGTAAAGAAAAAAATTCACCTCCTGGTCCAGATACTAGTACAACACAGTTGGGTGAAAAAGTTGAATTAAAATTAGGATTAAGTTGGAAACAAGTTGAAAAGAAAGAAGAAGAAGAAAAAGCACAAGAAAGAGCCAGTAAAATTGCTGTACAAACTATAAAATGTAGAACATGTGGTGGTGACCATTATACTGCTAAATGTCCATTTAAAGATACATTAGGTGTATCAACAGAAACTAATCAAACAACACCAGAACCTTCATCAACACAAGATTCATCATCATCACAACCAGGTAGATATGTTCCACGTCATTTAAGACCTGATGCTCAAGGTAATGTACAAAGTAAAGAAGCAAGAGATGATTCATCAACATTAAGAATATCACAATTGAATTCATTTGTTGATGAAGATATGATAAGAAATGAATTATTAGCAAGATTTGGTCCATTACAAAGAGTTACAGTTGTTAGAAATAAAGAAAGTGGTGAATCAAGAGGTTTTGCTTATGTTACATTTGCGACTGAAGAAATTGCTCAAAAAGCATTGGATTTATTGAATGGTAAAGGTTATCATTCATTAATTTTACATTTAGAATGGTCAAAAAAGAAGAAAACATGATATAGCATTAATATATAATAATCAACGTGTAATTTATTTACCTTCGCAGTATGCTTGCTGCAAAAGATGAGACGAGAAACAAAAACACCCGGTCGGTATAAAAATAATTCCGCTCGATTGGTAGCAATAGTGTCAAACGGATTTAATGGAAATCAATTCATAAATTTATACCCATCACATACATTTACAACCATTTATTTATGTCTAGCAATTTCTTTAAAAAACTTGTCAAAAAGAGTGATACTAATAATGTAAAAGATATAAATAAGAATTCCTCTAATAAACTACTGCCAAAAAGTACTACTAAAAGTAGTAGATCTACAACGACTTCAATTTCAAGAAAATCAAGCATAAAAAGTAGATCTAAAGGATATGTTGATGATTCAGAGTCAAGCTTATATAATGATGATGAAGGAGATACAAATACCATGATGGAATTTAGTGATGATAATTCATCAATTAGTTCGCAAAGTTTATTAAATAGATCAAAATCAAATATTTTAAATCAACAAACATTTGATAATCATAAAATTGAAGATAAAGTATTGTTTCCAAGTATTGAAGAGACTCCATTTACTGAAATACCCGAATTAAATTTACAGCAAAATGAAGATCCACCATGGGTAGGGTTAACTTATGAATCATTTTTAACACCAAAATATGTTAAAATATCAAGAAGAAATAAACAAAGTCCAAGAATTTTGAATCATTTATTTTTGGCTCAAGAATTGAATATTGAAAGTATTAGTGGTACAGGTAATACAACAACTACTAGTGATTCTGATGGATTATCTGATGATTTTGATGCTTTTTTAGACACGAACAAAGAAATATTTGTTATGGAATTTAGTAAAGATGGTAAATATTTAGCTGCTGCTGGTAGAGACTCAATAATTAGAATATGGAAAGTAATTTCATCACCATTAGGAAGACTTGAATATAATCAACAAGAAAGAGAAGAACATTTATTAAAAAGGAGTAATAAAAGAGATGATGTATTTGATTCAGCTCCTGTTTTCCATAGACGTCCAGTTATAGAATTTAGAGGACATACAAGAAGTATATTATCATTATCATGGAGTAAAAATAATTTTTTAATCTCAGGTAGTATGGATAAAACTGTTAAATTATGGCATGTAGATAGAGATTCATGTTTGAAAACCTTTCAAAATGAAGATTTTGTAACATCAGTTAAGTTTCATCCATTAGATGATAGATTTTTCTTAAGTGGTTCATTAGATAATGAGTTAAGATTGTGGTCCATACTTGAAAATTCTGTAGCTTTTGGTAAAAATTTAGGTGAGGATGTTTTAATTACAGCAGTTGAATTCACTCCCGATGGATTACATTGCATTGTTGGTGGTTTTAATGGTTCGGTATTTTGTTTAGAAACTAAAGGGCTACATACAATACATCGAGTTGAAGTTAAAGAAAAATCAATTGTGCATCCATTTCATGATAAGAATGGTAACAAAATAACTGGTATAAAAGTATTTGAAAATCCAAATCTTATACCAGTGGAGGAAGCAAGTGAATTAGATAAATGGACTGTGTTAATAACGACAAATGATTCAAAAATACGGACAGTTTCAACAAGTAAGAAGAAATTAATTACTAGATTTAGAGGTTTAACAAATAATTCATCTTCAATTGTTGCTTCTAGTAATGATGATAATAAATATATTATATCTGGATCTGAAGATCATTATTGTTATGTTTGGGAAAATAATAATAATATCATTAATAATAGATTAAAACAAACAATTAAAGAATTTGTCATTGACGGTAAACAACATATAAATGAATTTAATCACAAACATGAAAAATTAACTCATATAATTCACTCAAATAAATTAGTAAGGAAATTGTTAAATGATGATAATGAATATGACGTAGTTGCTAATGAGAATAATAGTTATTCATGTTTCCATGCACATCATTCAAGATGTAATGTTGCCTTATTTGCTCCTGGTACAACTAAGAAATTGTTAAGTTTATCAGATGATATTATTTATGATTTAAAAAGAAGAGGTGTTGCTTGTAAGATGAATCCAAATTCTTTCTGTACTGCTAAAGAACATAAGCATATTGAAGATTATACGGGTGAAATTATTATAACAACTGATCAATCTGGTTTAATTAGAGTTTTTAGACAAGATTGTGCTGCTGGATATAGAAAGAAATTTATTGATTTCTATAAACGTGGATCATCAAATGATATGTTAACTCCAACAGAAACAATTAAATCAAAAAGATATTGTGAAAGAAGTGTTAGTCCTTCAAGAGATTCAAAGAATATTAAAAATTTATTAACTTCAAAATTAGGTTCATCAAAAGTTGCATCACAAACATCAATACCAGCACAAGGAACAACATCAACAACTTCAAACATCTTTATGCAACCTGATATTTCATTAATTCTTGAACATGATTATAGTTTAAATCTGCTTGCTCAAAGAAATTCAAGTCAACAAACTTTAAATGTTGTACCTAATGAACATGCAAGAAAAGTCGATACGAATAATGAAAGTTTCCCACCAATAAATAATAATGTACCAAAGATAGTATTACCTAATTATCATTCACAAATCGAAAATTTAAAATTTACAAATTAGTTTATTTATTTATAATACATAATTTAACCTGACCAAAATTGATAAGATTTTGGTTCAGTTATACTAATAGGTAAAGTACCATCATTATTTTCATAAATATCCATTTTATCTTCTATAACTTCTTGCATTATTGGATTTATTGTTTTATTTATTTCATTAATATTAACTGGTTTAATTAAATCATTTAAGATATCAGTTAATTCTGGTCTTTCTTTTTTTAAACTTTCAATTTTTTCAAATTGACTCCATCTTTCAATTAAAAGTTGTTGTCTTTCTTTATTTAATCTTTTTTCAATCTTGAGTAAATTTTCTTGTAATTCATTAATTTTATTTACTTTAAGATTAAATTTTTTAACATTTAATTCAATAATTTGATTAATCAAATTTGTTTGTTCAAGAATTGAATTTTGTAAATTCTCTTTTGAATTAGACTCTAAAAATGTCTTTCCTTGATTTGTTTCAATTAATTTTTGAACTACTTTTTCTACAAGTTTTTCATCTATTGAAGGTTGTTTTTTTACTTCTTTATCATCATTTAATAATTTTACTAAAAATTTATCTTCAATTGGTAACTGAATAAATTTTATAATACATTGTTCTCTTGATTTTGTTGAAACATGTTCACTAATTTTATCCCATTGATTGTGTAAATTTGCATTTAAATTATTGTTAGTACTACCGTTTAAATTAGGATTTGGATAATCATAAATACCAAACATTTCAATACCTTCTAATAATAATAATATTTCTTCTTCTGACCATTTTGAAGATTCTTGTATACTTTTTAATTTAACAAAATCTGATGACAGAAAATTCAGAGGGAATAATCCTTGTTCATAGCAAATTGTACATAATATACTTGCATTGTTTATAGTTGATTGTGAATTATAAGTATATGATTTGATTTTAAGGTTATGATATCTTACTTCTGTTGAATCTCTACCACAGATTGAACATGAATATTGTACAGTATTGTTTAATTTGTAAATCGATTTTATATCACCAGTTGAATAAATATCTCTTCTAATTTCGAGATTTAAAGGTAAAGAATGATCATCTTCTGATTCTTTTTTGATTTGATCCACTTGTTTATCTGTTGTTTGATCTTGTTTTATAATTTTAGCATCTTGTGGTATATAAGGTACTAAACCTTCTGGTGTATCTAAAGTAATTTGAAAATGTCCAGTATATTGCGGTCCTAAACTTGATGGTCTTGTTTTTGGATCAATTTGATAATTAATTAAACCCCATTTTTCTAAAAATTGATGAATTCTAATTATATTTGTAACATCTCCCGATAAATTTCTACGCAAGGCTGTTATTGTTAAATACTCTTTTGGATTTAATCTAAATGTATTTATCATAAAATCTCGAATATATTTATATGATTCTGGAGTTTTATAAACAGATGCATCACTAAAAAAATCTTGAAATGCTTTCTTCTCAATTGGATGCACTTTATTTAAATCAAACCATTTGGCAAATGATGGAATTATAACATGAGTTGTTTGATCTACTAAGTAATTTCTTGATTTTTCTTCAAATTCTCTTTTTATAGTTTCAGCATCAATTTTATTTTCTTCGGTTAATTCATTAATAGTTGTATCATCTTGCAATTTTGGAGTTTCTGGATCTACAGAAGTCATTATTTTTTAAACTATTGAACGTGTTGATAGTTTTCTTTTTATTAAAATTGAAAGATTTTTTCTGATGAAAAATTGACATTCGCACGACATAGTTTAGCACACGACCAAATAAAATTGTACAACATTTTACTCCGTGTTTATAGAGGTAATGATATGTGTAGATTCATTAGTAATTTAGAGTTGGATATATGAAAGTATCTTTATTATTACTGTCTGTGTTAATTTGTGTACTATATATTCTCATTCCTACAAATTAACTCTTTTTTTGTTCGTAAATTTTTATCAGATTTGAAACGCGTATTAATTATATTTATTTATTTTTCTTGCAACATTTATTAAACTTATTTATCACCAAATAATGGTTAGAAGACTGACTAGAACCAAATCTAAGCCAGTTCAATATAAAGAAACTGATTCTAGTGAAGATGAAAGAAGTGGATCAGAAATCGAAGAAGAAGAAGAAAAAGAAAAAGAAGAAGAAGAATATACTTATAAAAGCTCAAGGTCAAATAAGAGATCACGTAAACCAAGTAATTATAACAAACAATCTAAACGACTAAAACAAAATAATGGTAAACTGGTTAAAGCAATCAGACAAATGGAAGATAATATGGAAGAAAATTATTTATTTGAAGCATTAATGAATACAGAAACTAATATTTCTGACTTAGCCTTGGACTGGCTTGAATCTTATGAAGAAGAAGTTGCAGATTCACAACAAAATGAAGCTATCACAAATTTGATTAATTTAATTTTAAGAAGTTGTGGTTCTTTACATTTATTTCAACCTCATGATTTAATAAATTTAGAATCTTGTGATGAAACTACAGAAGAAATAACTATTGCATTCGGTCAACAAACTAGTCATAAATGGCCATACAAAGCATTACCAACATTTAAGAAAAATGTTGCAATTTTTTTCACAAATATAATTGAATTGAGTCATGAAAAAGGATTACTATATAATGAAGATAAACAAGAATTATCATCAGATTTAATGTCATATATACTCACATGGATTAGTTGTTTGACTACAACTACAATTAGGTCATTGAGATACACAAGTGTTGAAATTTTAATGCTTATTCAAATTGAGTTATGCAGAATAATCAAAACGGTATCTGCAAATTTAGAAAGAACTGAAAATCAACTAAATAGGTTAAAGGATACAACAAAGGCAAAATATAAATCATTAAATGAAACTTCAAAAACTTATAAACATGAAATAGATACAATTACTGATTATTTTCAAGATATAACTAAGACTGTAATAGATAATAGATATAAAGATGTTGATCCACAAATTAGATTAACTTGTCTTAAAGATTTAAATGAATCAATGATTATATTTCCCCAATTTTTCTGTCAAGGTGTATACTTGAGATATTTTGGATGGTCATTAACTGATTCAATTAGTCAAGTTAGGGTCGAGAATTCAAAAGTTTTATTAAGATTATATAAATCGTTTAAAAATGAAGTTCCATTAGGTTTACAACAATTTTCAGAAAAGTATAAATCACAATTTGTAAAGATGAGTCAAATTGACAGTGATTTACAAGTAAAATTGAATTGTTTTGGTATTTTAAATGAATTATTGAAACGTGGATTTTTAGATGAGGAAGAATCAAAAGGAATCATACAAGCATATCCATTTGATAAGAATATTAAGTTACAAATAGAATGTTCAAAGTTTATTGAGTTATACAACAATGAAGAATTCGAAAATGTCAAAGATAAGTATGACACTATATTAATTTATAAAAATGATCAAAATTTATCATTCATTTTGAAAATGAAATTATTGATCAATTCGTGTAAATCAGTTGAAGAGGGTAAACCATTAAGTGATATGTTTGTCCATATTGCATCAGAATATAATAAAAACTGGGAATTATTAGTTGATTACTTTTTATTAGATGTTTCATCTTTAAAGTTTAATGACGAAAATGACGAAGATATAGAAAATGAAGAAATTACAAATTTTCAAAACTATATTGAATTACAATTACAAGATAAAATAATATTACTTCAATTTATAAATGGTTATTTCAAATATATTTTGAATAATAAAAAGATAACACAAGAAATTGTAACTAATCAATTAACTAAATTAATTGAACACCTCCCCAGATTAGGATCAGAATGTTTGAAAGAAAAGAAATTATTCATCAGCTTTCTTAATTTATGGACTGAATTAACTGTATATCAAAAAGATTCAATTTTTAATCTATTTAACAAATTAGACAAGATTGAACAATATGAAGACATAACTAAAAACATATTTAAATATTTTAAAGAACTGAATTTATCAAATGAATTTAATGAATATTTTATTAAAGTATTTGAACCTTCAAAAAATGTATTAACTACAAATTGTAAATCATTTGCGCAAACAAGTTTACAAGAATTAGTTGAAGAAATTAATCAAATTATCCTTGATGAAGATAATGAAGAAACAGAAAGTTACAGCGAAATAGAAATGAATGAACAAAAAACAATAATTCAAAAAATCAATAAGGTATCCCCATTAATTTTAAAACTTAAACAAATTGGAGATTTTATAAACATAACAAATTTAACAAATATCTCAGATTTGATAGATAATTTAACTTTTAAAATTTTTAAAAAATTACATTTTTCATTAATTCTATCAAATTGGAAGCAAAATTTTCTTGCTCAAACTGAATCATTTGAAAATAATTTATCTAATTTATTTGACTTTATTCTAACTATCTTATCATGGAAATTTGAAAAATTAATGGAGGTTCAAAATGAAAAAGAACAAAAATCAATTGCAATTGATTTACAATTTGATAATTTTGTTGATTTAATAAATGAAATCATTAAATTAATTTATGATTGTCAAAAAGATAAAGAAATGATTCAAATTAAAACAATCTTAATCTTAAAATATATTGAGTTCATATCAAGTTTTAAATTCTTTTATGTTAAGTATCAAAATAATAATGAATTTGAAAATTTTAAACAATTTTTCCAAAGTAATATTCAATTGATATTAATTAAACGAGATTTACAATTTGAAATTTTGGAATTATTTTTAATTAAGGAAAATCAATTAGGTCATGAGTTAAATGTTGAATTAGATAGAAATGATGATGAGGGTGTAAATTATGATGATTATATCAAAAGAAATGAACATAGAGATGACTCTAATATCAATGCAATTCGTGAATCTAGTTTATTTGATGATGATGATGATGATAATGAAACTCAACAAGAAACTCAACAAGAAACACAAACTGAAACTCAAAAAATTCAAGAACAAATTAAAGAAAATAGGAAGAGAGAGAGAATATGGAAATATGAAAAAGAATTGGCTTTATTAACTTTGAAAATCATATCATTATTTAATTTAGGCTTAGTTCAAGAAGATATTTGGCAAAGATTAGAATTGAATAGTGGGAAATTAGGTGATGTTTATAAACAAATTATTAATCAACAACAAAAAAAGATTGAATCAATGAAAGAACATTCAGGAAATGCAGATAATAACATGGAAGATTTGAATTTAGATGAAGAAGGTGGAAGAACTGATCCAATTGAAGAAAATGTTGGTAAGAATACGTCCCCAGTCGCAAATGAAGAGGATAATAATGATAATGTTGATGACAGTGAACTGCTTCAAGCAGATCATAATGTTGATGGTCACGATAATACTACAAATCAACCAGAGGATATTATTGAACATAATGAAAGTAATGTTAATGAAGATATCTCGAATTCCAACGATGCTAATAATGTGTTGACGAATCCAGTTTCAACTTAAACGAAAACACAAATATGAATGATGAATAGAGTTAATACGAGAAGTGAACATAAGTGGTAGTTATGATAATTACGTAGAAAATATTATCTATTGTCCTATTTTGAGTAAACCCGTTGTTACTGTCGAGCGAATTCAATAGGAGGTCGCCTAAAAAAATTCAAACCAATTATGGTGTCTCAAAACATCACACAACAAATCTTTGGTATCAGGCACACTAAATCAGATATTTTATAAGTTGCTAAATGAGGTCTAAGTATTGATTATCTGGAAATTTAACGTTTTTTCACGTTTTTTGAATGAAGAATAAATTGATCAAACTCACGTCTTATTCCAGAAAACTAACATCAAAGTATTCCAAATTCATTGAATATAAGAGGAAAAAAGTTGAAGAGTAAAACAGTTTAGTTGAAAAAGTTATTTACAATTTGTGTTTGACGATCAACCATGATGAGACTGCGTACAAGTCGAATTGTCTCAAAAATATTTTGGATGTGTGAATCTTTCTACGCGATGACTTGGTGCGACATAAAAATTTCTCGCGCTAATTGTAAAGCGACTTTGTACCAATTTTGTTGGCAATGTTATGAACAAGCTCTTGTTCTATTTTCAAACTCAAGAGTCATGTTCAGAAATCAGTCAATTTAGGTCAAAGATGTAAAATAAAATAATTTGACTGCCAAGAAAATAGTATAATGACAAAAAATTTAAATGGTTTGTCAAATAGCCTCACTTGATTTGATGAAATAGATATGAATGAATCAATACGAATATTGAATGTTAATTTGTGTAATTAGTCTAAAAATAAAAGTAATATAAATACTCGTTTGTAGCGATGAGCGTAAATAGAAATTATCTAAAAGAACAATATAAGCGTAATTAAGCCCTTTTTTGTACTATCTTAGACTCAATGGCTTAAGACTTATAGAAAGATCCATTAGATAATGGGTAACTAACCTCTGGAGAATGAATATACTACCAATAATTCTCCATCCAGTTGTGGTATTTTTCTTTTGAAAAATTGACGATCAATTTGATTTGTTGATTTTAGATTCTGGTGTAACAAAAAATACTACACAAAGCCGATTTATCAATTTCATATTTTTCTTGGCTTTCTTTATGCAGAATTTTGATTGGTTACCATGTGCAAGTGTTCATAACAGTTTCAATGTACAAACTCTTAAAATGGATATGTGGATGCAAAAAAAAAAAATAATGCAGCAGAAATATGAAAATTTTTTATCTATTCCATCAAAAAACCCAGAACTAGTTCAAACTTTCATTGGTCAATTCGAATTATATTAGTATTTTTCTCATTCATATTCATATTCTGTTGCAATCGTCGTACCTTAAAGATTGAGAGAAATTTTTCACTTGGCTTTATAAAATTTTCGAAACAGGTTTCTGTTCCTAATCAGCCATTATCTCTATTAAAAACGTACGAAACTTTACAATAGACTTCATGGTTAAACTATAAACTTAAATCCCAACCATTTGAAGTCATTTTGATAATTTTACCCTTTGTTCCTCTCTTTTTTGAATCAATTTATGCAGTTCTGGTTAAATTTTTAAAATTTTGTGTTTCTAAATTCCATTTGATAAAATTTTTTAAAAAGTTTAACGCTAATTATATGTTGCATAATAACTAAAAACAATTGAAACCTATTAATTGTACTTTAATTTTACTCCTTCTAACAGAAAATAATACAATGGTTTAATCTAAATAATAGTACTATGATAATCGCCTTATGTGTAAAAATAGAAATTATTATTCAAAAATTTTATTATATAAATGAAGTTTTATATCCTCAATCCCTCTTTCTTTCTTTCTCTCTTTTACTTCTCTAGATTCAATTTATAACAATCTCCCTCTTATTTAGAAAAAGAAGAACAAAAATAACTTTAGAAAGAAAAAGACATACCCAATCTTTTCTTTTGTTGCAATAATTTTTCATTTAATTTTCCACTCGTATATTCGATTTCTTGGGGCTAAGAATTCAGATCAATCGAAGTGTACATCAAAAAGTCAAAAAGTCAATTCAAATTAGAAGGACAAAGTTTAAAGTAAGAAAATAATTAAGAGAAGATTAAAAAGTTTTTATCAAAATGGTTAACGTTTTTAATGTTCAAATTTTCTTTATTGTTTTTAGAGAATCATTAGAAGCAATTATTGTTGTTTCTGTGTTATTAGCATTTTTGAAACAAGGTTTAGGTGGTTCAAATAATGATCCAAAAGTTTATAAAAAATTACGAAATCAAGTTTATTGGGGATCAGGGCTAGGAGTTTTAATTTGTTTAATTCTTGGTTGTGCTTTCATTGGTGCTTTTTATGGTTTAGGTAAAGATATTTGGGGTAATTCTGAAGATTTATGGGAAGGTATATTTTGTATAATTGCCACTGTTTTGATTACAATTATGGGTATTCCAATGTTAAGAATTAATAAAATGAAAGAAAAATGGAGAGTTAAATTAGCTCAATCAATTATTAAACAACCAAGTAATAAAAAAGATAGATTTAAAATTGGTTATTGGTCTAAAAAATATGTTTTATTTATTTTACCATTTATTACATGTTTAAGAGAAGGTTTAGAAGCTGTTGTTTTCGTTGGTGGTGTTGGTTTGAATTCTCCAGCTACCAGTTTCCCAATTCCAGTTATTGTTGGTTTAATTGCTGGTATTGTTGTTGGATTTTTATTATATTATTTTGGTTCAAATTTATCAATGCAAATTTTCTTAATTATTTCAACATGTATTTTATATTTAATTGCAGCTGGTTTATTTTCAAGAGGTATTTGGTATTTTGAAACTAATACATATAATAAAAAAACTGGTGGTGATGCTTCAGAAAATGGTTCAGGTCCAGGTACTTATGATATTGCAAAATCAGTTTGGCATGTTAATTGTTGTAATCCAGAAACTGATAATGGTTGGGATATTTTTAATGCTTTATTAGGATGGCAAAATTCTGCAACTTATGGTTCAGTTATAAGTTATAATATTTACTGGTTATTTATTATTTGTGTTTTAGGTTTAATGTTGTACGAAGAAAAACATGGTCATTTACCATTTACTAAAAACTTAACTTTGGTTAAATTAAATCCAATGTATCATATTAAAAATAAAAAGAAACATGAATTAACACAAGAAGAAAAAGATAGATTATTTGCTCAAGTTAAACAACATAATTTTGGTGCTGAAAATTCAGAAGAATTGGATGAAATTTCATCAAATAAAATTGCTGAAAAAGAAGTTGCAAAAGAAGTTGTTGAAGCTAAATAAATTACTTAATTGAAATTGAAATCAAATAAGACACACACACACATAAACATTTCAATTTAATTAATAATTTATTTTAGTCAAGTCATTATTGTACCATTATTTTATTTTTGTTCATATTTTTTTATTAAGGGGTTTTTAAGGGTAATAAGTCATTTTAATATAAATTTTTTTACGGGTAAAATATTATATATTTCTATTTCATTTTCTTTTTATAATCTGCAAATGATAATTTTTTAACTACTTTCGGTGGTTCTTGAGCTACATGTTGTTCAATTACAATTTCTTTCTTTTCAGGTATTTCAGCTGCTTTTTCAACTAATTTCTTTGAATCAATTTCATTTGCATTACTTTCTTTAAGTTTTTCATCAATTTGAGCTTCTATTTTAGCAACCAATTCAGGAACAACTGGAAATGGGATTTCATAATCATCTTCATCTTCATCCTTGTCATTAATTTCATTCACGTTCTCATTTTCTTTGTGAATTATTTTATATAATTTTGCATTTGCTTGTTTCAACATTTGATTCCTAATTGGTATTTTGAATAATCCAGATGAAGAACGAATTAAATTTCTTTCAACTAAATCATTTTCTTTATCTTCATCTATAATATCTGATTTATGTGAATTTGTTACTATTTTTTCAAGATCATTTAAAATCTTTTCATCTCTATTTTTCATTCGTTCATCAAATGGTACATATTCCTTTTCAGGTCTTGGTATAATTAATTCTTCTTTGGATTTTGTTAAATTTAAATTACTTATATTTGATGCTTTTCTAGTTGATCTCATTAAATATGCAGTTGCCTTTTTAATTTTAAAAATTGCACAATTATTCGATTGATTATTTGACGTTGAACAACCACATTCAGTAAAATATAAAATATTGTCAATGTATGAAATTAATGCTGTTTTATCTTCATTTGATAAATCATCAAATTTAGCAGGTTCATTACCATTTCTTGAATACAATTTTAAAATTGGATGATTTATATCCCATTCCCATGGTAATCTTAATTCTTCATCTTGTGATGAGTCATTTTTGAAAGTTATTGGTTTTGTAGTAACTACTATAAATTTAAATTGATTTAATTCGGGTATGTAAATTGTCTTAATTTTACAATTTGATGAAGTTGGACATGCTTTTCGTATAAATCTACTTTCGTTACCAACAAATCTTGAATCTAAAACAACATCAATTAAACCATCTTTAGTAGGTAATGATGTTTTTAAAACTTTTGGTTTTGTAGTTCCCCATAAACTATATTGATTAACTTTATCTTTACAATAATTTTCGAATAAATCAAACTCACCTAAATATTCAATAATTAGGGTGTTTTCAGGTATTGTCAATAATGAAGAATCATTTGAATTTATAAACAATGATAATTTTGGAATACCATTGAATTTCTGTTTTTGATTATCTGTATATGATTTGACTTGAATTACTGATTTGTTAAACTTCTTATTTTTATTAGTCAATTTGTTGTGTTCTTGTAAATACTTAAAATAATTAGGTAAATTGATTTTACTAAATTTAATATTTTTAAATTGTGATAATGTCATTAGTTCAACGTCTTTGTAAGAATTAGAACCGTCTTTATGTGATTGGAATTCATTATAAAAACTTGTTGCTAAATCATTTAGATATTTTTTGGTACTTTGTCTTTTGAAATCATTTTCTTTTAATTTGTAATATGTTGATTCATATGATTCTGCAGTTATACCGTCTTCTAATAATTCATTATTTTTGTTAGGTAAATTTTCATCTTCTAAATTTGGACTCTGATGTTTTGATGATGATTTCGGTGATTGATGATGACGTTCTTCTGATTTTCTTCTTTTCTCTGCTTTTTCAGAATTCGGTTGTTTTCGTTTATTATTGCTCACAGTTGATGGAGTTGAATTACTATTTGGTGATTGTTGTGCTTGTAATTGAGATTTAGAATCTTGTTGTTGTTGTTGTTGTTGTTGCTGTTGTTGTTGCTGTATTGGTGCTGAATCTTCAGATTTCATTTCTTCATCGTCTTGTTTATCAGATTTTGTATCATCACCTTCTAATCTTTCTAAAGTTTGTCTCCTTGCTTTTTCTGCATCAATTTTACCCCATTTCAATTCATCACAATAATAACATTTATATTCTTCTTCTGGAACTTCATCTCCATTTTCATATCCCATACAAACACAATGTTGCCATCTAAAGCAAACATCACATTGAATAGTAAAACCATCATCATCTTCAATGCCACAAATACATCCAATTAAACCAGAATCAGGATCGACTTGATATGAAGATAAAGGAGGTACAGAAATTTTACTCTTCTCTTTAGTTTCTTCTTTAACTTCAAGTTGTATTTCTGGTTTTATCTCTGGTTTTATTTCTGGTTCATTTTCATTTTCGATTTTCTCATCTTCCGTTTTTTCATCATTTTCTGGTTCAGTTAATTGATCTTCTGGAAATTTTTCATCAGTCGATTTAGGTGATTTCTCGGACTCTTCCTTTTCTTTTGCATCTTCTTTCTTCACTTCATCCTTCTTAGTTTTAGGTTTTGGCACTAATGGATAACCAGCAGCAGCAGTCAAAGCAGCAGCAGCGATCATTGCATTTTCGTTATTTCGTTGTTTATTAATTAAATCAATACCTCTATTATAACTATGGCCTGGTGATTTAGACTTATTCTCCGTTGTATGTTGTTTATTAGATGATTCAGAACTTGTTGAAGTAGTAGGTTTCATAATTGGAGTATTTGATAAATTATCAGCCTGCGGTTTCGTTAGTGATATTGGTGGTGATAAAACGTTATCCTGAGGAATTTTCACAAATGGATTAGATTGACTTTCATCATTCATTAATACACTTATTGAACTTTTTCTTAATTCATTTGATTTATCTTGTTGTATTACAGGAGTTGCAGGTTCTGATTTATGTTGTAAATTTTGTTGTACATTTTGATTTTCAAATGACATGGGAATATTTATATTTGGTGGTGTTATTTCTCTAGTAGGTATACTTGTTCTTCTCGTTAATATTTCATTATTAATCGATGACGGTGAATTTTGATTTGATTGATGTTTGGCAGCACTGGCGAACTCTAATAAAGAAGCAGCATCTTTTAGTAATTGTTGTTGATCATCATTATCATTATTACTCATAATTTTAAAATATTATTAATTTAATAATAACCTGGATAATAATAAAACTATAAATTGGTTGTAAGTCTAAACAATATGGTTGTAAATTAATACTTTTGGTGAAAATAAATTTTGATTAAATAAATTTCAAGCTATCGTATATTTTTATTATACAGTACCAAAATATTAAGAGGTAATTATACGATCAAGTGAAAAATACAACCACGAAATATATATAAGACTTATGTTTCTTATAAAATATTAATCAGTCGATTTTTATATATTATAACCAATAAACAAGAGATTAGTTTGACTATTGCTTTTTTTTACTATGGCTTCATCAATTTTCAATATCAATTGACAATAATTCTATATTCATACATTTGATCTATTATATTATTATTAATATACCATCTATTTACAGTTCAGACATGACATGTATTTCAAATCAGTTATCATCAAACTTATAATATCGTAACATTCATTAAACCTTTCAATCAATTTGTACTTGGATTCCCACCTTTATCCTTTTCATTTTGTAGTTTTTCCAAATAATCTAATTCTTTCTTTAATGTATCCATTGCATAATATATTTTACTCTGTAAATAAAATGAATTACCTTGATCTTTTGAATTTACATTAAATAAATATTGATATTTTTCATTAATTTTATCTAAATTTAATTCATTTTTTTCTAAATTTAATATTTTCATTGATTCATCAACCGTAATTCCACCTAATGAAGACTGTTTAGTTGGTCTATTTGCAGCTCCAGCAGCTGATGTTTTTGCAGCTTGTTTATAAGCTTCTGTAAAAGCTCTACCGAAAACTGAAGCACCTGTGAAAATCACATTCATTAATAATCTATGAGCCATAATTATAAAATGAGATGAATAAATTAATAATGGAAAGGGGAAGGAGGTGTCGGTTATTTGAATTGATAAGATCAGATTGATTGATTGATGATCAAAAAAATTTTTTTAATAAAAAAAATAAAAAAAAAAAAAAAAAAAAAAAAAAAAAATAAATAAATATATTCTTGTTAATTTTACACGACCGGTGAAAATTGAAACAATCGTAGTAAAACGTAAATAGACTAGTAAATATCTGATCTAACAAAGAGCAGGGGTTCTAGAGTTATGATATGTAGCACCATGCTTTCATCTGATTAATAATTGTAATTTTCTGAATTGAAAGTTACTAAATTATCAGAACTTTATATAAACACATGTAAATGCCAATGATAATTTCAATTTAAAAGACTGAAACGAAGTATTGATTGTGGCCAAATTGTTAGTTAGGTCAATCAAAATACTTAGCTATTGGGTTAATGAATTTTAACAAATTTAAAAACTAACATCTATGTTGATTTAGAAATAAGTTAAATAGTCTATAGAAATGTAAATAGTTATATTATATAAGTATAGTATAACCACTACTGATGATTAAAGAAAGAAGAAAAGGAAAAGGAAAAAAAAAGTTGAGCTGGATATTTCATTGTATTTATACTAATAAATAAACCTGCATATAGTATTCAATGAGATGGATTTTTTTTTACTATGAAACAGATTTTGCAACTAGATCAAACTTTTTACACACGACTTTAAATTGATATTTATTATATGTCATTTACCAAATCAACCAAAGTTGAATCATTAATTAATTGGTTGGATCAAAATACTTATTGGAGAGATGATTTAATCATAAAGAACTCAAAATTTGGTGGTGGCCTTGGTGTTTTTATAAATCAAGATTATAGTTTTAATGAAGATGATGATAAATTATTATTAAGAATTCCTAAAACAAATTTATTAAATCCGAAAAATTCATTCATTTATAATTTATTAATTGAATTTGATTCAAGTTCCATGTCAAATTCAAATTCAAATTCAAATTCAGATGTGATATTGTCTGAAGGAATGTATGGTTTAGTTTTAACTTTGATTTATGAAGAATCAATTCAAGAAAATTCTCCATGGTTTGATTATATTAATTCAATAAATATAGAAGATACAATTATACCCATTTGTTTATGGGATGATAATGAAAAAGAATTACTTAAAAATACAGAAGTTGATTTATTAAGTATGTTAAATTATAATGAATTAATTAATTTTTATATTGAATGTATCAAATTTGCAAAATTAAACGAGAAACTAATTAATATACCTAGTGTCTTGGATATTAGCCAAAAGAATTTAAATCCACAGAAGATATTAAATTTGTATCACGATAAATTAATATTATTTGGTAAATATATTCAAAGTGTTGTTTCAAGAGCATTTCAAGTTGATAATTATTATCAATTGTCATTAGTTCCAGGTGCTGATTTATTTAATCATTTGCAACCAAAAATAGAAGAAGGTAATAAATTGATACCACAGGAAAATATACATTTCACATGTGATGGATCAGTTTGTGATGAATGTGGTGAACAAGAATGCGACCATGAAGAATCAGCAGACGAAGATTTAGAGGAATTCGAAGAATTAGAGGAATTAGAGGAATTAGAAGATGAAGAGTTGGAAGATGAAAGTGATAGCACTCCTGAAATTGAAGACGAAGAAATTGAAAGTAAAGAGATAATAGATGGAGAGCCAGAAATAAAAGAAATAACGATGGAATATATCAACCAAATAGAGTTAGAAGATTTAAGTGACAATGAAACTGATCTAGATCCAGAAGAGGTTTCAACATTATCTATGGATGAAGAAGACCAACATCGAAATAATGAAAACATAAATATTGATTTAGCTAATGATTTATCTGATAGCTCAAAATGCTGTGACGTTATACTAGTGAGACCACCATTAGAAAAATATGATTATGAAATTTTCAATTCTTATGGTAATGAATTAAATAATGCTTATTTATTACAAAAATATGGATTTATAAATACTAATGAAAATTTTAATAATTCATGTTTATTATCAGTACAATTTTTTAAACAAATTAGTCTTTTGAAAGAGAAACTCAATACAATGAAAAGAGGTGAATTACAAGAGAAATTAGATTGGTTGGAAGATGTAGGATATGAATTAATATATGAAATTATATTAAGTACCCATCATCATGATGAACAAGATGGAGACGAACAAGATGAAGATGAACAAGATGAAGATAATCATCAAGATTGTTGTTCTGAACTGGAATATTATGAAAATTGGCCATTGAGTATAAGAATTAAATTTAATGGAGAAGTTACATTACAAACTTACGCTATTTTAAAATTAATTGAATTAAAATATACCATTTTTAAATATAAATTATTAAACAACATTAAGAAGTTAAAAAAGTATATTAAACAGATTTTATTAACTCATAATGAAACTGACCTAAAATCAATGAATAATACAGTTTTAAAATGGTGTAAAGATAAACTAAATAGCTATACGCCAATTGAATTAATTAAAAATAGTAAAAATAGTAAAAATAGTAAATTAATAAAAAATCTTGTTGAACAAGAACAAAATATTATAAATAGATTTATAGACCAACATTAATATAAGAAACCACAACCCAAAGACGCGTTAATAACATACTCTTTGTTAGACATTTAATGCTTTATTAAACATTTAATTGTGAAACAAATACTCAATAAATTAAAATTTCCATTTTTTTCGTGTACCTGCACAAAATTCATAAATTTAAATTTGTATATTAATCAATCAAATTTCCCATATTTAACATATTAATTATTTGTTTACCATTATTGTTTATACCTTTGATTAGTCAAATTCATTAATAACTTTTATCACATATTAGGTTCATTCAATATTAATAATAATACTATATATATCATCATTTATTGCATTTTGTTTTTATACCATAATTTTTTTTATCATATACCCTTAATTTTATATATAACAAATTAATTATTTCATTTTTGCGACAAATTATTAATTATGTTAAATTTTGATGAAGATGATAATATATCCTTTGAATATGATGAAGAAGAAGAAGAAGAAGAAGATGACGAAGAAGATGATGATACAAATATAGAAGCTGACGTAGAAGATCTGGATGATGATGCATCTTCATTTGCCTTTGAATCTGATGATAATGATCATGCTGAAAATTATAAATCAAATACAACTTCTAATAATAATAATCAATTAGATACTCCAATTAGTAAACATCTACGAGATGATTCATCAGTTGTTGGTTGTAATGGTACTTTATATTTACCTTGGAGTATTGAACAATTTATTCAAATTAAATTTCTTGACGCGTTGGATAAATTAAAAACTTTTAATTTGTATGGTTGTTCGGATGATGATTTATTAATTATGTTGCAATATAAAAAATGGCAACAAGAAGAAGTTGTAAATGAATTTTTTGATAATCATGATAAATTTTATAAAAAATGTGGTTTATTATTGGGTAAAGATACTAATAATCAATTTGAAATTGTTAAAAATTTTTCTTGTTTTATATGTTGTGAAGATTATAAATCAACTGAAGTTTATTCATTAACTTGTAATCATCAATATTGTCTTAAATGTTATCACCATTATATAAATAATGAAATTAATAATGGTCGTTTAATTACATGTATTGAACCAGATTGTAAATTTGTAATTCCACATAAAGATATTAGTCATATGTATTCTTTAATTGAATCAAAACATTCTGTAATTATTGTTGAAAAAACTTTATTACAAAATCCATTATTAATTGCAAATGCAAGAGAACTTATAAATTCAAAAATTACTTATAAATGGTGTCCAGCAACTGATTGTTCAAGTTTTACAGAATTATCAATATCTGATGTATCATGTGAAGCTCAAAAACAACTGGATTTAAAAAATTCAAATGATATTAGTAAAGTTCCAATAGTTGGATGTTTTGAAAATCATGAATTTTGTTTTAATTGTGGTTATGAAAATCATTTACCATGTCCATGTTGGATTGTTAAAAAATGGATTAAAAAATGTGAAGATGATTCAGAAACTGCAAATTGGATTGATGCAAATACTCATACTTGTCCAAAATGTCATACATCAATTGAAAAAAATGGTGGTTGTAATCATATGACATGTAGAAAATGTAAATATGAATTTTGTTGGATTTGTTTTAATAAATGGAGTGAACATAATAATAATTATTCATGTAATAGATTTAGAGATGATCAAAAAGAAGAAGAAATTAGAAGAAATAAATCTAGACAAACTTTAGAAAGATATTTACATTTTTATAAAAGATATTCAATTCATGAAACTTCAATGAAAGGTGATAAAAAAACTTTACGTAAAATTGATGAAGTTACAAAAATTTACATGGAAGATAGAAGATCAAAAAATGAAATTAATAATTTATCATGGATTGATATTGAATTTTTGCCTGAAGCAATGAGATCATTACAAAATGGTAGAAAAACTTTAAAATGGACTTATTGTTTTGCATTTTATTTAGCTTCAAGTAATTTTTCTCAAATTTTTGAAACAAATCAAGATTATTTAAATAAATCAGTTGAAGATTTAAGTGAAGTTTTTGAAAAAATTATGGATAAAAAAAATGATGATAAAGTTGGTACTATTCTAAAAAATAAGATTAAAATTATTAATTTAAGTGAATTAATTTTACGTCGACAGAAGACATTAATTAAAAGTGCGGAAGAAAATTTACTTAATGGGTTATTAAAATTTGAAATTGATTAGGAGTTTATATGGCATATATAATTATAAATACTAAGAATGAATGAGTTATGATTAAATCACATGGTAGCGTTTTAGGAAAAAGGGTCTAATTTAGCGAGGACTAAAATTTCTTATCATTGGTTTTGTGTAACCATCTCTTATCATCAATTTTAAATTCAATTAAAAAATTCGACAATTTTCATTTCATAATGTCAAGTATAAAGTAATAAAAAGATCAAACTACAGTTAACAAATATTAATTTTTAATGCCTGTTAAGAAGGAACGAGGGAGATCACTTCAAATTGAATTGCCTGTGGCGAATAGATCAAAATCAACAAATGAATTTACAAATCACCATCTACAACAGCGTAAAAAGTTCGGTCGTCAACAATCATCAAATTTATTACAAACCGCAATTAATCAAAATTATAAAAGTGGTCTAACTAGATCTATATCGACTCATGGTTTACCTAAAAATCACAATGAATTATCTAAAAATATTCCAATGGTGAATGACGACACTTTACAACGACCCCAATTTAAAAGATGGACTAGTTATTACAAAATTAAGGACCAACCGAGCTCAAATTGCATTGAAGGTACCGTATCTACAGATACTAGTGTGAGTCCTTTAACTATACTAAAAGATCAATATGATATTAAACGTCCATTGAAAAATACGCCAACTACACCCAATAAGCTGTCTCCAATCTCAAATAAAGGTATAAATATTCATACAGACAATTTATTTAAAAGTTTAGAATCATCAACGAATGATTTGGGTAGTACTCCAAAAGAGATCAGTCAAAATAAGACAAAGGTATTATATGATAAAATGGTAAGGCTAGCTTCCAATGGCGTCAGTTCGTTGCTATCGAATAATGACTCAGATAATGAGATGGAATCGTACATTGAAGCGAATTCAGAAGAAGATGACACTCAATATCAATTAGATTCAACTATTGAAGAAAATTCATACAATGAAATTAAAGATGAAATAGATAAGTTTCAGACTAATTTTATTAACAATGTTCAACCGATCCAAAATTTAAACATGAACCGTACTCAGAGAAAACTAATCGATTATAGAGATTTGTTGAAAGATGAACCAGATAATTATGAAAATGAAAAAGTTATATGTTTACTTGGTAACAACTATCGATGGAAGATCCAAAATGAAATTATAAGTAATCAATTTACATCAATCCGATTAAGATTTTCATCATTTGAAAATAAGAAATCGCGGAAATTAGATAACAAAATTGGAGTAATTGGTTATATCAAACGTTACGAAAATGAGAGTAAAAATAGAACAATCAGAGACGATAAGATAACTTTTGAGCAAAAAGATTCAACGCTCAAGAAGATATGGGATGATGCTTACAATGAATGTTTTTCAAAAACTGAACTTGATGAAAATGGAGAAATTTCAATGTCGAAAATAGCTGCAAATGTAAAACTAGACAATATGACATAATCAAAATATATATTTATTAATTTGAAACTGATTTTTTATACTTAGGTTGAACTTCATAAGCATTTGGTTGTGATTTTTTACAACATTTATCGTGTTTATGTTGTTTTTTATCAGTCATTTTTGATTCATTTTCATCTTGTGAATCATCACTTGAATCTGATGAGTCTGAAGTATCTGAAGGGTCATCAAAGTTTCTTTGAGGATGATATATACAACATACTTTTGATTTTTTTCTATTTAAATGCTCATTATTAACTGTTTCTTCACTCCATTGAACTTGATTTTGATCTTGATCAGCTGATTTTTCAGGTGCTTTTAATTTAAGTATTGGTTGTGCATCTGTTGTTGTTGTTCTTGTAATAGTAGTAGTGATAGTAGTACTTCTGGTACCATTATCTTGAGGTCTTGTTTGTTGTGACATAGTAGTTCCTATTATATTAACATCATACCATTTGGTATAAAGATTTCTTGAAAAATAAAAATTGGTAGTGCTTTAAATTATCAACAGAAAAAATTCAAATATTAACCAAATTGATTCCATTTCAAATACACCAGCACTAACTATTGATCCATGAGTAAACGGGCTAATTTACCATATACTACACAAGATTTATTTCCTCAAGTTGGTGGATCAAATTTAATTCATAATGAAAATTTATCTCCACCGAAAACAATTCGAACAAATTCAGTAACTTCAAATCTTTCATCAAATTTATATATACCTAGATCAACTTCAAATTTCCATTCAAATAATTCAACTTTTTCATTCAATTTGAAGAATTATAAAACTATGTTTAAAAGGTTATTAAAACCAAATACTTTGGATTTTGAAACTGCAATTTGGGAAATTTTTCATTTAATTATAAACCCTAAAAAAATGTATAGAAGTCATTATTATTACAAACAATCTACATCGTCTACAAAATCATCATATACAAGAGATGATCCAAGTTTTTTAATATTGTTAACTGGGTTTTTATCAATTAGTGCAATCGCGTGGGGTTTAGCTTACCTGCCGACAATTATAGATATTTTGAAATTGGTTATTTATATGGTGTTTATTGATTTTTATCTAACTGGAATTATAATAAGTACAATTACATGGATTGTAACTAATAAATTATTCAATTTGAATATAAATAAATATAATATAAATTATATAGAATGGTCATTTTGTTTTGACATTCATTGTAATTCATTTTTAATAATATGGTGTTTATTATATGTATTACAATTTTTACTATTACCAATTATAAGAATGAAAAATATAGTTGCTTTAATTTTAGGTAACCTGTTATATTTTGGAAGTATTGGTTATTATTTCATTGTAACATTTTATGGTTTTAATTCTTTACCATTTATATCATCAAATATAAATAATACCAAATCATCATCAAATAAAAATCCAGCAAAAGTTTTACAATTGGTTGTAATTGCTGGTATTTTACCTTTATTAGCTATTGGTTGGTTAATTACATTAATTTTAAGATGTAACGTTGCTGACAAAATGGTAAGTACTTATTTTAATTAATACAATAAATGCATTAATATATTCTATGTATTTCTATATATTACCTAATTGATCTAATCTATCACCTGCTGCTTTTATTCTCATATTTGTTCTATTACTCAATTCATAATCACCTTCACCAACAATTTCAGCTTTTTTTAGCCAAGATTTACTATCATGAACAGCTTGTTTAATATCAATTGAACCATGTTTTCTTGTCTCTAATAACCATACAAACATACATTTTTCATAAATTGCAGTTGGGTATAAATATGGACTATATGTTAATTTTGTAAATTTAAATTGTGGAGAATCAGATATGACATATTTTGATATGACTTGTGAATCTAAAATTTTTAAACCTTCTTTAACTCTACCCAATTGTCTTAAAGTTATAGCTTGTAAGAAATATCTAATCATAGCTTCATCTTCAGTTTCTTCAATTAATGAATAACTTGAACTTGTTGAATTTGCTGAATATTCCAGATTTGATGCACCTGAATAAGTCAACATTTTTAAAGTAATTACCAATTCTGGTTCAGTCATTCTATTATAACCATTCCAAAAATAAATTAATTCATGAACTAATGAAGTTCCAACTACATCAACAATTGGTAAATTTGGGTGTAATTTTTTATTATTTTCAATATGTTTTGCTTTTCTTAATAAAAATTTATCAAATGGCATTTGTTTACCTGATCCTCCTAATCCTCCTTTCTTTTGTGCATTTGTACCATATCCAGGTACATAACTTAATGATAAATTTAAATATTTTTCAAATAATTTTGAATATTTATTTAAATCTTGTGATTTATTTTCAGATTTGACGACATCCATTTTTATCATTCTATATTTTTCACAATAACATGAAGCTGCCATAAATAAATAAACAGCTTTTGACCATGAATTTATATCAATTAAATATATTAAATCTTTTGCTGCTTCATCATATCTATGCTGATACATGTAAATTGTAGCTCGATCAAATGTTAATAAAGCTTCAACTTGTTGCATTTGAATTTTATTATTTAAGTCATCGGTAAAATTTTGCATAAGCTCACTAGCTCTATATAATTCACCTTCTGCTGCTAACATTCTACCCTCTTGTAATACCCAAAGAGCATTATTTGGAAAAAATGATCTTGCTCTTTTTAATAATTGACTTGTATAATCAGATGGATTTTCCAAAATTTTACTCAATTCAGATTCCGAAACTGTAGATTTATTTTCTAAATTAAGTATTGTTTTGTTATTATTACTATTGGGTAATTGAAAACCGTTATCAACAAATTGAACTGGTCCATCATAAAATACTAACAAAAATAAAAGGGCCAATTCACCGTGAATATTTCTTGAAGTTATTGCTGTTCTCCATAATAATTTTAATCCAACTTCTCTATCACCTTTGAATCCAACTATTGATAAAACTTTCCCAATTGCTGGTGGAATTAATGATAAAACAACTTGTAATACACCAAAACATAATTGAACACCAGAATGTATAAATTCATCAATTGTAGATACATGTAAATGATTATTTTCAGATATTTGACTTCCTTGAGATTCACTAGGAGAAGTTTCAATTGATGATAATATTGACTGTGTACTTGAGTTTAAAAATTGCAGACTATTTGCAGTGTAATCAATATCTAAATGTTCCAATGCATCCACAAATTCGTCATCATCAGAATTATCAATATCTTTATCACGAATTTGATGTTGTTTAGCTAAAGTTACTGAACTATTAGAATCCTCAAATAAATTTATAGGTTTATTTCTATTATTACCCAAATTTGTACCTTCAACTCTTGCCTTTCTCATCATATATACTTTTTCCAAATCTTTAATCAATTTTAAATCTTGCGGTATTGAACTTGATGAACTTGTTTGTGAGTTATAACCTGGTAAATCAACTGTACTAATGGAATGATTTGGTAAATTTATTATACCATCACCTTTACTTTTATTAAATTCCTTCTTTATTTTAGCTAAATTTTTATTGAAAATAGGTTCCAGTTCTTTAATTTTCTTATAAACTGCATCTAATGTTTGATAGGCTTTTCTTAATTTAAATAATGCTTTTGCGCTTTCAACCATACCATTATTTTCAGTTAATAACATTAATAACGCATTTAATAATGTAGATTCTGCATAAGTGACTTGAAATTCAGTACCTGGCGGATATATTAATGAGGTAGATAATTGATGTTTAGCATTAAATTTTGAATTATTTAGTGATGAATTTTCAGCTTCTGATAAAGTTTTATGAGCTTTTGCCATAACTTCAGGTTCAAAACCTAATGTAGCTTCAATGAATTCCATAACACCTAATGCTAATGGAAAAATTGCATGCGGTTGATCTGAATTTGTTTTATGGTTAATTGATTCATGTTTTAATAATTCTGTACCCTGCCTTGTTTTATCATCTAATAAATAATCCATAGCTTTTAATGCAATTTCAAAATCATGAACTTGATTCACTACTCTTTCATAATCATTATTGTTATTATTATTGCTAGGATTGACATGCGATGATGAATTTGATGATGAATTTGATTGTGTTGACGTTAAACTTAATATTGAAGCTTTTTTTCTTAAACCTTTTAACATAATAATTAGTTTATATTATAAAATAGTTTATAAAGTAAACAATGAATAAAATGTAATTGGTGAATATGATGATAAATGAATTGAAAAATGAATGATCTAATATAATTAAACTCTAATAAATTTCGTTATATCTATACAAAGTTTATTTTTTTTAATTATTTTACGTGGGAAAATAAAAAATAATCAATTGAAATTTACGTCCAATTTCGTCCAATTTTTCAAACGAATAATAATAATTATTTAAACGACGACACGATTAATTTTATAGCCAGGTTCAAATAATTAATATTATTATTATTATTATATCGATAGGAAGAAAAGTTTTACAAGCGTATCAAACTATATCTATTTCGGTAAAGTACCTCTTATCGTTCTATCTTTATCATCCTTATCACTCAGGCGTTAATTCATTTTACATTGATCCAGTTTATTTTAAGCTTTTTTATTTTTTCAAGAGCTAAAAGTAAACACTCGTAAAATTATCATCCAACTTTTCCCACAAATTAGTAGTCGAATGAGTGATACGTCTATTGTGGAGATCGAGGTACATTTCATGTATTGCTCTGAAGCTTTCGGATCCATTACTGGAAATAAATCAAACTGACAAACCTGAATATTGTTTCTTCGTCAATTCTGTTGTAAGTCATTACATGTAATCTACACTTCTCTTTGACATGGGTGTTTTCGTACATTCTGCAACAGTACTACTACAATCATAAAAATTAGATAGAGATGGCAAATACTTGATTAAATTAAAAGCATCGGTAATAATAGTACAATTTTGCGGTAATTTCTCCTATTTTTGAGTTGTATACAGGATGATGCCGTTTGATTCGAAAATTGCTTTTTCTATCTTAGTCTATGGGATGTTACATAAAGATTGGATGTAATTAATTCATGCAATCTAATTCCCCATGGCTCAAATTTTATAGAAGATTTTGTGAAGCTCACTTTGAAGTTTATTAATTGAAATATTTTTTGATGACGCACATGGTAGCACCGATTTCTAATGGCTGCAAAATTTGAAATGGTTGCAAAATTATTTAGTTATACTGAATCAAATTCTTGTAATTACGAGCATAATAAAATTTGTATGATCAATTTAAAATTATTTATTATTAGCTAGTTAATGGGTAACTTTAGAGCACGCTTTCTTCAATTTAAAAAGATTCCCGATGAAAATGGTAAAAAAAATGCTGACACTGTTCAAAAACCAATATCTTTAACATTTGTTCAAATACCATTTCATTATAATGCAGAATTACCAATTGGTAAATTACCCGAAAATATCAAATGTGACAAGTTTGATAAAAACGTTTTTCAAACAATGACTCGTGAAGGTGTTATTTTCTTGTTAGATGTTTATAATATCTTGCAAGACATTTCAGATAATGAAGTTAAATATCAATATCAAGATGGTATAAAATTAGATTTTCATAATAAATTAACCATAAAAAGTTCTGACTTACCATTTATAAACGATAAACAATTTAACATTTCGCATGTTGAATTAATCAAATTTTTATTCAATGATTTACGAAATACGAGAAATATAATCCTAATCACTAATTCATTGGTCTTATTCAATATTAGTGATAAATTTAAAAATGCCATATATGATTATTTCAAAGAAATTTGGTCATTTGAATTATCCAAAATTGATGATGATTTCATAAGAGATGTTCTTTCCATTTGTTTAAAAATTTGGGAAATGAAAATTATATCACAGATTGTATCTGATGGCAAATAATAGTCTATATCTATATTAATCTAACTTTTATATAAAGAATTAAAATTGCAATGATTCTATAAATAAATAAACATGCAACTAAAGCACCAAAATAAACTGGTAAATTATGATTTAATCCATAATATTCTAAAACTTTTTCTCCGCTATTCAACACACAATCAAATTGACCATCACAACTGAATGTTTGATTTTTAAAACCTAATTTAGCACATATCCCAACTGAATATTTCAAAGGATTTAACCAATTCCATGCTCTGAAAAATACTGGCATTTGTAAACTCATTGTACCAGCCATAAAAACAGCAAATGTCATTATTATAGCTAAAATATTAGTTGCTAAACCTAAATGATCAAATATACTAAGTAATAATATCCCTAAACTTTCTCCAATATTGATTGGTATAAATGATGATATAAACATGGCGAAAAACATTGCTGGGTTTCGAGGTAATCCTATTGCAAACACTGTAAAAGCACTAAAACATAAAGTGGGTATGATTTCACAAGGTAATTCATTTATTAAGTATGATAATGAAAATTCAAATACTCCATATAACCCATCTCTATATTCTTGATAAAAAATTTGTCTCTCGAGAGGATATGTGGTGATATTATTGATTAATCCAATGAAATATAAATTCAAAACTTCTTGTATGACACCTAATCTATTTGAGATTCCTTCTTGATTGTTTCTTAACGGTGCAAAAAATAATGCATTGATACCACCGAGGACAATAACTTGAATATATCTGGTGAATAGGATGTCAAATGATCTATAAGTGTTTATAAACTGTCTTTTCGTTAATGTGAATAATATTGAAATTGATGACACTTTATGTTTATGATATCTTTCTAGATCTATAGATTTACCATATGGTATTGTTGATTCATCTTTTGTCCAAACTGGCAAATCTTTTAAATTATCAAGGATTACATTTGTAGGATTATTTGAATATCCGTAGCCCAATTTATATAAATAGCTATTCAATTGATTACTATTACCATCAAATATAATCTCTCCAAATGAAATAATTAAAATTTTATCAATCTCTTTCAACATTTCTTCATTTGGTTGATGAATAGTTAATATTATAGTTGTTTTATTTTCTTTAGCAATAAATTGCAATAGTTTTAATATTGATAATGCAGTAAATGAATCTAAACCTGACGTAGGTTCATCTAATAATAAAATTTTTGGTTTTGATAATAATTGAATTGCAATTGATAATCTACGTTTCTCACCACCTGATATACCTTTTGTAAATTCTGAGCCAATAATTGTATCTGCACAATCTAAAAGTCCATATTGTCTAATTAATTTGTTTATTATTATTGGAATTCTATCTTGATCGTCAGCTGGTAGTCTTAATTTTGCTTGATAATATAATGACTCTCGGACAGTCAAATTAGCAATCAATGAGGTATCTGATTGTGAAAGGTATGATGATATTTTAGATAATTCAGTAGGTTTTATACTTTGATTTGAGTTTAAAAATATTTCTCCAGCCCATTGGATATTTGTTGATAATCTGTTGACTAATAATTTCAACAATGTTGATTTACCACTTCCTGATGATCCCATAATTGCATTTACTTGATTAGCATTGAAGGTAGTAGATATATTACTTAGTATTTGATTTTGTTTTGATTTTAAATTAATTGAATCAAGATGAATGTAAATATCGTCATCATCTGTTAATACATGACCTTCATCAGATGTAACTTTTTCATCAACTGGCGTTTCTTCCTTCTCCCTGCCTTCTTCTTCCTCTTCTTCTCCAATAGTATTCTTGATTGTCTTTGTCAGCTTTATATCATAATTCTTAAGATGCAAACATATCCAAGCTAGTAGATAAAATCCAAATAACCAAGCAAATAAAATTCCAATAGGCTCACCAATCCATCCTTGTGGGTATCCTAACAAATCCAATTGATAACTACCTGTATATTGTTCACATCTAGCGTCATCTTCTTCATATGGACAATTTCCCATCCAATTTGTAAATTGATTTGAAGTTGAAGCACCAAATGTATACCAAAAATAAGCTAAATATTTCAACCACCTAACATAAACAGGCATTGTTTTAGCATTCACAAAAAAACCACAAGCTAAATTTTGTAATTGATAAAAAAAATTGAAATACATTGTTGAAGTAGCTAAATCAGTACCTATTGCAAAACAAATTAAACCTGAAGCCATCCCAATAAATGAAACTAATATAGTTAATAAAAAGTAAATAAAAAAATGACCAGCACCAGATCTTAAACCCCACATGAAATAAGTAATAGCTGCAAATATAGCACCTATTGGTAAGTCTTCAAATAATGATTTACCTAATTTCCTTGAAATTATAAAAGTCAAAATTCCTACATTATGTTCTTTATACTCTCTTATAAAATTTAACCCGTCATTTGTCCATAATCTTTCAATTTCGATAAAAACAGGTGAGAATCCAATGAATTCCATCATCACGTATAAAACAGATGTAATTGATCTAATACCAGACAAATTTGGATTTGGTTTATAGAACATCCAACCTGACACAACAGCAATAAGTATACTACCACCATTTAATGAAAATAATGTCCATCTATCCCTCCAAGTTAAAAGGACTGACCTTCTAGTGTGAATTATCAATTCCTGTAAAAAGTTAATATTCTTAGATCGGGAAAATTGTTTCAATAATATTTCAAACTTTTCATCTGGTATCTCTTCCCACTTTAAGGATTGTTTCCATTTCATAACTAAGTCATCAATTCGTTTAGCGCTGAACAATTCTTTTGATTTAGTAGATGAATTTTTAACTGACATATTTACGATAAAATTAATAAAATTTGATTGCCCTTTCTCAGGTAAATAAAGAACATTCCTAAAATAAGCATGAGAATCAATTAATGTTCCATAGTAAATCATTCTACCACCTTTAGCTAACACGCATATTTTATCAAATAATTCTGAAATTTCAGATCTTGGTTGATGTATAGATAAAATAATTGTTATACCTATTGTAGTCAACTTTTTTAGCAAATTTACCAATTGTAATGATATTGTTGAATCAAGGCCAGTTGTTGGTTCATCCAAAAATAAAACTGACGGTTTATTTAATAATTGTATAGCTAATGATAATCTTCTTTGTTCACCACCCGATAAAGTTGTGCCATGGACAAATGAAGACACTATTTTGTTTTCTAAATGTCTAATCAGTAATGTTTCGAGTAATGAGTCTATAAGTTCTCTTTTCTCAACCTTTGTTACACTTGATGGAAGTCGTAAATCAGCTTGATATTGTAAAGTTTCAATACAAGTTAAACCAGGTAAAAAAACATCATCTTGTAATAAATATGAACTTTTAATTCTAGAAACGTTTGAATAATATTTTATAGTCCCTCTATATTTTAACTTTTTATTTTTAAAGTTTGTTCTTGTTGACAAAGTATTCAATAATGTAGTTTTGCCACTCCCTGATGATCCCATAATAGCTAACAATTCACCAGAGTTTAAATCAAATGAAACATCGTTTAGTATATAATGATTTTGATCCTCATTGCTCTTCTCTATATCCCTGTTATATTTCTTATTTGAGTTAAGTTTAACTGATAAATTTCGAACCTTAAGCAGTACTTGTTCATCTTCATCCACTTTTAAAATATCGGTATTCATTTAAATTATACGTCTTGATGCATCTTATTAAGATCAAGAGGAATTTTCAGAAGGGGCTTTATGACATTGTTCTATATCAAAATCATTGGAGCTATAAAATTTAAAATAGAAGGTTTATTATATAAAGGATTAATTTAATAACCGTTTTATTAAATTAATTGCGTTAAATGTCAAAATATTTTCCTGATTTAGGTAAAATTCCGAAGACTCCATCAGGTGGCATATGAATTCCACAGATTATGTTTTGAAATGGGTCGACTAGGATAATTCCAGGTCATCGATGAAAATTTCAATCTCTGTATATTTTTTGAGCAATAGTGCTTTGATCACTTTTCTGACCTGATCAATCGTAGATTTATGGCAAGACATGTTGAAGTACCTAAACACTTAATTTTTTGAGAGCTTACTTTATTTCTATTTAGGTCACTGAGTACTTCTCTAACGTAGGTTCTTAGACGAATTTGAATAACAGTATTGAAGTTTGATTAATTCAGAGCCCAATTGCTTTTTCTTATCGATGCATTTTAAATAGAGGCCACCAAATTTTTGGAATACGCCACTTGTAATGAATTTTATCTTTGGGATTCTGATTTGCTGATAAATTGTCTAGTAACTCAAAGATATAGCTAACAATGAAGCTGTTCACACATGGATTATAATTGGTCTTTTCAAATTTTGTCAAATTTTGCGGAAATTTGTTTAATTTTAAAGATCTTATCCTAGAAATGAAACATATAATGATCTAACCCCCCTAAGAATGAAAAGCTTATTTAAAAAATATTAGATGAGGGAACATTTATGGTTTCACTAAAGTTAAGAAAAGTTTAATTTAGCATTATATATCGGTCTTTAAATTTGAAATTCCAATGTAAATCTAGATCTAATTAGACTTCCATTTATGTCTAACAATATATTGAAATGAAATAGATGTTTTTGATTATAAATCATTTGTAATGAATGGTTAGGTAAACCAAATGATGGCTTATTAGAAAATATTAAAAATGTGTCTCAATAAATTACACAAAATCGCAATTATTATGGTGAGATCTTAGAGCTCGTAAATTTTATAACAGAGAAAATCTGGCAATAATTCCCTTTTAGGAAATTAATGTCACACAAAACTGAAATATAAATTACATCGGAGCTTCACCATTTTCGTGTACTATTGGCAACCGAATTTGGTGAAACCAAACCTAAGTTTAGTAACTTTAATTTTATATGAATAGCAAAAAGAACCAGTATTCATGACCAGAAAAGTTTACAAATTTCTTAGTTGCTATTATAACACCATTTACAATCTACTATTACATATTTAATTGTTTGAAACTTTATATGGATCAAAATTATTTGTTCTTTAAACGTTTGATAAGATGCTTTTTTAGGGCAGCGTTTCATTATTGATGAAATTTGATCTTCACTATCAAATTTAAATATTTTTTTAGATTTGATTTTGGCAAATAAGAACAGTGAAACCTAAGAGTTTAGATTATACTGGTCACTATTCAACACATTTTTTAAATCTTCTTTCAAAGCTATAAAAACTATACACACGTTGATTAAATTTCATTTTTGAAGCAATATGATTATTTCATAATAATAAGTTGCGCGTAACAATATCAAATCAAAACAATATCAAGAGATTGTTACATGGTTACGAGTTCAAATGATTGGTGGTGAGTATTCTATCTAAAAAATCTGCAATTTAAACTTTATTAAAATGAGACTAAACTTAATTTTAACTTTTCATTGGCTCATAAAATGGAATTCTAGTTACTTTCAAAGAGTCTAAACTTATTGGGTCTATACTACAAAGTTTAAAGAAATGTAACAGAAACAGCTCGTTCTTATTTTCTTGCTCATCATGGAATCATTGTGCCGTGCGTTTTGATTTAAAAAACTAAAAATTTTGATGTTGGGATGTGTACTTCCTGTTGGTTAAATAATAAATATTATTACGATTGAATTACAAACTCGGGGTATTTTGTGTAATTATACGTGCTGCTGGTAATAATAAATGGCTTTATTCTGGTTTTAAATTCTGTTTTTGTAATAAATTTAAACGTTTTGAAATATTTTTTTATTTTTTTTATTGTTTTTATTTTTTTTATTTTTTTTATTTTTTTTATTTTTTTTTATTTTTTTTATTTTTTTGTTGGCTCGATCTTGCGTTTTGATAGAATCTTAACTTTTTCTATGCTTGCAATATCTTACAGAAACTGGTTTAGAAGCATGCGAACAGAAGATTCCATGTATTATTGATAGAAATTTACTGTTAGTTTGTTTATCTTTAGATCAACGTTGCAATAGCGTTTTAGTGGGAAATAATTATGATTATTCATGTTGCAAATGAGGTATTTTCTTCCTTTCTTGAATTCAATTTATAAGGTATTACTACTAAAAAGTATAATATTTATATATTCAAGATTAATTTAAAGTGGTTAGTCTGCATGCAAAACTAAATTAAAATTAGATTTCTCTTAGTTTAACTAACAATTGTTGTTATTGTTGTTCAGAAAACGCACAGCGAGTTAAAATATTTTGGTTTTGTAATTTTTCACGTATTTTCTTGTATTTATTTTGATTGCAAAATTCAACTAATAATAATCAAATTAGTCTCCTTATTCCAGCATAAAAATAATAACAATAATAACCATAATTACAAGATTTGAAAATGGGAAATCAAATATAAATAATTATTATTTTGCATCCTTTGTTTTTCTTTTGACCAGTATTTATTCATTTAGTTTTACCAACTACGTTACGCTCTTTATAATATGAAATTTTCATTATTAGCTACTTTAATAGCTACTTCTAATGCTGCTATTTTAACACAATATTTTACTGCCCCAACTTCAACTCAATGGGTTACTCAAACTTCAAGTACATTATTAAGAACTACAACAATAATACAAACTCAGAATGGTCCTCCACCTGGTTATACCCAAACTAGACAACCAACTACAACCTCAACCTCATCATCATCATCACAAACTACCACTCCTACAACATCTTCTGTTTCTTCTACAAGTTCTTCAAGTTCTTCAAGTTCTTCAAGTTCTTCAGCACCTACAACATTAGCTACATCAATTACAACAGCATCCTCTTCATCTTCATTATCTTCATCCTCAATTCCATCAAGTGCTCCATCAAGCACCTTAACAGCATCCTCCTCATCTTCATCATCATCTGCTGATCCAACTACATCATCATCTGCTGATCCAACTACATCATCATCTGCTGATCCAACTACATCATCATCATCATCATCATCATCATCATCTGCTGCTCCAACCACATCTTCATCATCATCATCATCATCTGCTACTCCAACCACATCATCATCTTCTTCTTCTTCTTCCTCAACTTCAGCTTCTTCAACAGTTGACGATTCAACACCAACTTCTGATGTTGCATTTGCTAATGAAATTTTAGCTGAACATAATAGATTGAGAGCCTTACATGATACTGAAGCTTTAACATGGAATAATACTTTAGCTGAATTTGCAGCTGATTATGCTGCGAATAACTTTGATTGTGACAATGTTGAATTAATTCATTCTAATGGTCCTTATGGTGAAAACTTAGCTGCTGGCTACGTTGGAGGTGTTGATCCAACAGATGCTTGGTATGATGAAATTCAAGATTATGATTATTCAAATCCAGGTTATTCAGCAGCAACTGGTCATTTCACTCAATTGATTTGGAGAGGTACAACACAATTAGGTTGTTCAAGAGTTACTTGTAACAATGCTTGGAGACAATACACTATTTGTGAATATAATCCAAGAGGTAATATTGTCGGTACGGATGAAGCTACTACCCGTCAGTTCTTTACCGCAAATGTTTTACCACTTGCAAATTGATTGATGCCTTACGTTGTATAGTTTCGTCTTTAATTAGGTGAATATAAATAATATTTGATTTTAGTACTTTAAATTGGCTGAAGAATTGTATCAAGTAGTTTTGAGCGCTATAACTTGAATTCTGATGGAGCTAGTTTTTATTAAGTTCTTATGAGACTGCATATAAGCGTAATAGTGGGCTTATATCTTATTACAAACTCAATCTAGCAAAATATAGATCAATTTCATGACTTCATGATCCATTAATTATATACTCTACATATTTTAATTCTCGGATTTGAAGAATTTTTTTTAAAAGTTGTCATTTTGGCCGTTTTCCATCAAGTATTTGTTAAACCTGAAAACGCTGAGTATATTTTATTTACGACCATAACGTTTGATTAAACAACGGTTCATATATATTATACATCGAATTAAACTCCTGAACCTAATCCTAGCTGACTTTAACTAAAATTGAGAAATCTTATAATTTTTCTTAAGTATGGAAGATTTGAATAAATTGACCTTATAAAAAACCTGACTCCAGAATCAACTTTGAGACGAGAGTATGGTAAAACTAACCAATTTTGTAGTTCCTGATTGCGAACAAACTTGGCATTTTTATGAGTTGAAATATTCAAAACTTGAATGTTACTTTTTCGATAGTGGTTCGAAATTTTCGTAAAACATTCAAAAGAACTTTAGCGTCTTGAAAACTTTATACATATAACTCCGGAGAGAAATAAACCAGACTAGCTTTGTTAGAAGTCGCAAAATGTGGTCTAAGTGTTATTTATCTTGCAAAATAGCGTTTTTTGACGTTTTTTGAATGTAGAATTGAGCGATCAAAGTTAAGTTTCATCAAAAGATATTAACATCAGTTTAATTTTCATTTGCTGAAGCTTTGTTGAAAATTTTTGAGAAGTACGGCTTAAATACTGAGGGAGTTATTTGCAAATCGAGATTTATGTTAATTACTATAAGACTGCTAATAAGCCAATTTTGTTTTTAGTTTGTATAGTATCTAATTCTCGCTGAAAATCAAAGCCAAAATATCATTTTCATTGCGCTAGCTTGGGGCGACTCGTACTAAAATTTTCTGGCTTAAATCTTTTGAAATCAAACAGATCAATTTTAAAGTTTACGAGTCAAGATTTACACTCTATATGTTTCAATACACAAAGTTCGAATATTTAAATTAAAAGATATAAGCTTTATATTAAACTATACAATTTAATCTCTTAAGACTTTAGCAAATTGACCTTTTGATGGTTTAACTTTTTTGTTGTCAACTTTAGCTTGACCTAATTTTTCAGCTGAGTAAGCTTTAGCATATGGGTTTAATCTTAATAAGACTTGTTTGTTTCTTAATGGGTTTTTCTTTAAGACGTGAGTTTTCTTTTGGGTTGATTCACCAGCTGGTCTAACAACAGCTTGAACTTCAGCTGAGTTGATTAATCTAGTAACATCAGTGTTTGAAATGATGTTTGATGGTAATGAGTAACCTGATTTAACTGATTTAGTTGATTCTGAACCATAAACTGAATCTAAAGCTTCAAAAGCACCTTGAGTCCAAATAACAAATCTACCTAAATGAGCACCTGGAGCTAATTGTAATAAACCTAAATGTTTGACTGATGAAGTTTCAACACCTGGAATGTTTCTTAAAGCTTTAACTAAACCATTGTCTTCAGCATAAACAACTAATGGACCTCTTCTTTGAGTAAATCTTCTACCTCTTAATTTACCTTTACCAGCTCTCATTTTTTTAGATTTGATAACTTTGACAACATCTTTATGAGCACCAATAGCTTTTAAGACAGCAACAGCATCTTTAGTTTTGGTAACTGATTCAAATTCATTTGAAACAACTAATGGTAATTCTTTAACTTGTTCAACTCTGTGACCTCTAGCTAAAACTAATGAAGTAACAGCTGAAGCAGCAATAGCTGAAGCAGTGGCATAACGTTTTTCGTTATGGTTAACTTTAACGTGCCATCTTCTCCAAGTTTTAGTTGGAGCAAACATACGACCACCTCTACACATATTACCAAAAGCAGCTTGACCTGAACGGTGAGTACCACCACCACCAACTCTTGGAATTCTAGCAACAGCTCTACCAGTACCCCATGATTCAGCGGAAGTTTGATGACCAGCATTTTCAGCAACAGCATAAGCTTGTCTTTTATTTTTATTAACTCTAACAAAGACTGAGTGGACAATATCTGGTCTAACTGGAGCAGCAAAAACAGCTGGTAATGGAACTTGGGTTGAACTTTGTTCACCTTTAACTGAGATAACAGAAACTTGTGGTCTTGATGACATTATTGGAATATAAACCTTGTATAATGATGATGAAAGAAAAATTTGAAAAATTTTACTGTATAGAAAAAAATACACCAAAAAAAAAAAAAAATTTTGTGTGCAGTACGTCGCTGCTACCCGGATATTAATCGAATAATATATATATAAACTAATAGTGAGACCAAAAATTATAATATTAAAATGAATTGAAATAGTTGATTTAACAACATGAATTTGTTTGTCCTGCTTGTTGACGTCTTGGTCTACTTAAATCAACACCACCTGTTCTTCTATTTGAAATACCACCACCTTGTCTAGATTTATTAGATTCTATAACTTCATCAACTGGTAAAGCTCTACCAATTTTATCAAATATAGTCAATACACCATCACCAGTTTTAGCTGAACATTCAGCATTAATTATATCATAACCTTCTGATTTTTGTTCTTGAATATAATTTTCAATTTCTTCTTGTTCAACTTCTCTTTCATCATTTAAATCTGATTTATTACCAACTATAGCAATTACTATACCTTCTGGAGCTTGCTTTTTTAATTCTTTAATCCAATCTTGTGCTTTAGCAAATGAACTTTTATTTGTTATATCAAATACACATAATGCAGCATTTGCATTTCTATAATACATTGGAGCTAAGGATTTATATCTTTCTTGACCTGCAGTATCCCATATTTCAAATTTAATAGTAGTTTGAGTTTCTGGTATTGTAATTTGTTGAGTTAAAAAAGCAGCACCGATAGTTGATTCTCTTAAATCATCAAATGTATTTTTAACAAATCTATGTACTATTGAAGATTTACCAACGGCACTTTCACCTAATAACACTAATTTAAATTGTGCAAAACGTTCATTAGAACCAGATTGTGTAGACATGATAATCTATGATGAGATATATGTGTTAATGAGTGATTGATCAATAGTAGTTTGGATAGATTGATAAACGAAATACGTTTTACTAAATTTGTTGTAACTTTTTTTTTTTATCATTTGCTTAAATTTATTATGTAAGAAATGTTTCACAGCCAAATAGAATAGAATAGAATAGATAGCCAGTTACTACAAAAGAATGAGGACGCTTTTCATGAATCGTTTATTACTTTATATTTACAAGAATGAATTCAATCTCTCACTTTTTATACAGATTTTAATCAACTATCAGCAATTACTCTCTAATTGTCTTCAATTTTAGCTAATATTTCTTTATCAGTGAATAATAAATATTCTTCTTCACCAATTTTAATTGGATTACCACCAAATGAAGGTAATAAGACTTTATCACCTTGTTTAACTGAAGTTGGTATAATTTGACCAGTAGTAGTATTAGTAATACCTGGACCAACAGCAACAACAGTAGCTTGATTCAATTTTTCTTGATTCTTTTCTGGAATATAAATACCAGTAGCTGTTTTAGCAGCTGGTTTTAATCTTTGAACTAAAACTCTATCAAATAATGGTTTTAAAGCATTAGCAGATTTTAATAAAGATGACTGGAAAACTTGTTAGTATTTGTGTTGACATTTATAGACTCTTTCACATACCATCTCGTAATTAATTGACTTTTAACACTTGATACTGTTTCAAATAAAGGTTGTAAAATGTTAATTGAAAAAAAAATTCTCATAGAAATTTATAGAATCAATATAAATTTTGAGAGAATACACTACTTGTTGATAGTTGCAAAATTAACCAAATGCCATATACGTTTTCCGATAGTCTAACTTAAGTATCTATCTAATGGTTCACCCAATACATTTTCAATAACCTTAACCAAACCTACTCTAACTTCAATTTCTACACTTTCATCATCATCTTCTAATAATTCTGCAATATATGGTACTAATGTAGGTAAATAACTCAACCAATTCTCTCCCATCTTTTGGAATACAGTTTTTAATGTTCTAATTGTCCATATTTTAGTACTTGAACTATTTGAATTTTCATTTGAAATAAATTTAATTAATCCATTTACTAAAATTTCATTATATTCTTCACTTGATACATTTTTAACAAATGATGAAATTGCTTTAACGAGATATTTTCCTATAGAATCTTCAATATTACTCAATTGATTTAATAATGGTTTACAAATTGAATCAAATCTACCTTGTTGTGACCAATAATCATCTTGATCAAATCTAAATGACAAATTTAATGAAAGAAGCATAATTCTTCTTAAATTTGTAGATTTTAATAAATCATCACTAAATCTATCAAGTAAAGTACTTGTTGGATCTAACAAATATGAAAAATATGAAGTAATGATACTCTTTAATTGATCTTGTAACTTGTTGAAAAATCTGAAAAATGATAATAATCTTGAAACTTCATCTACATTTGTACCTTCACCATCAATTGCCCATCTTACCAAATTGGCAAATAATGGTCTAAATGATTTATCATTCAATTTCATAACAAATGTAATTGCACATTGATGGAATGAACTTTCTAATCTATGAATTGTATTATTATCAAATAAATCATGTTCTTCACAATACGATCTAAATTCAAATGATGAAATCAACCAATTCATAAATAATGCAGATTGTGACGTAGCTTGTTTCTTTTCTATTTTATCAATTATAATTTGTAAATTGTTTAAATATAAACCCAAATTAGCTGATGATTCATTGGCATAAAATTTTTTATTTAACCAGATATTACACAATGACTTCAAAACTTGTGATAAGTCCATATGATCAATTATTAATGACATAACATTAGATTTGATTTGCATTTCAACTAAATCACTTGATAAAATGGTAATTAAGATTGAATCTAATGAAGGGGACATAAATGCAGGAATCTTTTTGATATAACATGATAATAAAACTAATATTGATCCTTGTAATAATTTATTTACTTCATTATCTTCATTGGTATTTTCCCAAATTGTTAAAGCAGGTGGGATAACTTTTGGAAATAATCCCAAAGATTTAACACCTAAAATGTTGACAATACTTGAAATTGCATTAATTGAGGATATGATAATTTCAGGTTGATCATTTAATAAACCACGATCGGTTGTAATTGTATTCAAAGCTTCGAGTAATAATTTAGAATCTTCTTTTTGAAATTTATTTATGATAGTTGCAAAACAATCCAAATAAGCTTGTTGTAATTCAGTATCAATATTTCTTTTAATACCATCCGATAAAATACTCAATAAATCATCAATGTTTATATCTTCACTATTTTGTAACTCATTTTCAAATTTACCAGCTGTTAAAATAGCGTAATTTTTAGCAACCTTGATTGATAACGAATCTGATAATTTATTAATATCCAATGAGTCAATAACTGAATCAATAAAATATTTCAATGGTAACAAGGTTAATAAATCATTCAATAAACTGTATAATTTCAAACATAATGCTTTATCTTTATTTACATTTGAAAATTGATCTAATGAACTTAATGCAAATGAAGTAATTTCTCTAAATTTATTTAAAATTGGTTCTCCCTCATCTTCAAGTAATATCAATCCAATCTTTGTTTTTAATGATGATACATCAAAGCTGTTATCTGATTTTAATACCAAATTTATGTATTGTAACATGTTATTTCTTAAAATAATTAATTCTTCATTTGTTAATGCTAATATTGAAGTACCAAAAATTGATCTAGAATTTAATTTATCATAATCATCATTATTAGAATCTAATTGAGTCAATGGAATTTGTTTCCATAAATTTGTAAATTCATAAATACCTTGTAATTGAGAATATGCATCAAATTCCCTAAGATAATTTTTTATAAATTCTAATATAGATTCTGATTCATTGATTTTATTCTTTTCAACCATTTGTGAATATTGTTGACCCATCAAAAATACAATTAAATGCATTGATAATTCTGGTTTTAATGTATCTGTAAGAGATTTGAATAATTTAACTCTACGATGTCTTGGAATATGTTGAAAAGCAGTTGTAAAACTAGTTAATAAAAATTCAATTTCATTATCAATTGGTGAAATCCCATTATTAGCTAATGCAGGTATAACTTTTGCAATTGTTTGTTGTAATGCTGAATTTGAAAATTCATCATCCTGTCTAATTGTATGAGCTCCCATAAATGTAAAAATCGGCATAACTGAATGTAAAATAATTTCAGGTGCTAATGAAGCTAATTCCGAAATGACTAATAATAATTTATTTTGAACTTGGGGTGAATTTGATGATCTGATTGAATTGACTATTAAATCAGCTCTAATTGAATTTGAGTCAAATTTGAAATCTAAAATGTTACTCTTCATGTTGATTATACTTAATAACATACAAGTAGCTAATGTTTCTTGAGCATATAAAACTGGTAAATTACCATCATTTCCAAGGTAATCTAAATCAGTCAAGATTTTAAATAAAATTTTCAACAATTCAGGACGTGCAATATCTTGATTATTTCTTAGTTTAAATTCTAAAACATCTAATATAAATGTTAATTTTCTTAAATGTAAAGATGCTAAATTGTTTACTTCATTTCTAACTATTGCTTGTCTTGTTGAATTTGAGGATCTTCTTCTTCTTTTAGCTACTCCTTGTTCTGGTATAGTATTTCCAATTTGAACATTACCTAATATTGTCAAAAATAAATCTGTATTTATAGAAATTTCTTGTAAGGTAATTAATGGATCAAATTCAATCATGTCATCGTTAACTAATAAGTCAGTTAATTTATTGATGATTTTAATTGATGCTGGGAATATAAATTTATCAAATACTGTGATTACTCTATTATTAGTTGCAATTTGTAAATTACCAGATTTTGATTCTAAACCTTCACAAAGCCAATCAGCTTCAATCAAAGCTCTTTTTTCATCATCTCTTTGATAAACACCACCGACTAATCCAATTAATGAATTTTCAAAATCATAACCAATTTTAACAATATCAGCTTGTTTTAGCCAATCATTTCTTTTCAGGAAATATGGTTCGATATCTGACTCGAGGAAGGAAAATCTTATGGTGTTTTTAAATGGTTTTTCATTTTGGATTGAGGCAATTCTCCAAGCTTTAGTTTTAAATACAATAGGTAAAAATGGTAACGACCATTGTGATAAAATGAACATTTTATAAAATTTACCCTTTTTAGTTTCAAATACTTTGAATAACACATCGATAATTCTTGATGGATCTAACACAATTTCATCTATTGAGTTTGATAACAATTCTGATAAAGTTTTGGCATCGGCGGGTTTGATTAATTTTCTATCTTGTATAGAATTGTAAATTTGGTCCTCCATAAACAAATCTTTACCATTCTTTTGTTCAATTACAAGTCTTAAAATTTGTGCAAATCCTGATCTAATGGCTTTTGAATCATCATATAAACCTAATAATAGAATTGGTATTAACAAGTACAAATGAGCATCTATTTTCAACTTTAATTTTAAAACTTTCAAGGATGATAATCTAATTGAAAAAGGTACAGTTGGAGTAAATACCACTCTTATGATGAATGTTAATGCAGTCTCTAAGCTAAATACTTTCTCTATAAATAATGCAATAATTGAAGGTTGAGATTTAACCGAAGATTTTGATAACTCATTAATTAAAGTATTAAGTAATGTATTGAATTCTTCATCATTTGCTGAATCCATATATGAGCTTGCGGAAGATTTCAAACCATCCAAATCTAATGTAACTTCATCTTTTGAAAGTTCAACAATTTCATCTGAAATTTCAACCTCTTCTTGTTTTTCAGCTATTAATGATTGTAGTTTTAATTCCAAGTCATCAAGACTCATATCATTAGCATTCAAACTTTCCTTAAACCACTCTTCATTTGTTTTTATTAAAGTTTGTGAAACTTTGACAAGGAAATTTTTAACTTCTAATTCTTCAGTTGTTGCATTTTTAAATACTTTTTTGGATATGATATCAAATACTTTTCTGTTTAAATCTATGAAATCAATCAAGTTACCTCCTTCAGGAAATACTGAAATAAAGTACAATGTAATAAATTTTTTCAATTTAAATCCCTCTTGTAACAATTCATTTAATAACTCTGGTGTAAGTTGAGAAATGTCCCATTTTCTAAAACAATCTAATTCTTTATAATCACCAGAGTAAGTACTCCATAACTGACTTAAAACTATCATTGTAGATTTAATAAATAAATTATCTTCCAATATTGACACAGTCAATGACTTCAACAATTCTTCTTTTATCGGCACAATTGAAGTCAATACTGACATAATTGAATAAGCAGTCAATTTTATATCATACTGTATTGTTGATGAATATTTTTCTTCGTAAGGTAATAATAAAAATCCAATTGATTCAAAAACTATAGGTAAATATTTTTCCAATTCATCATGATTCTTTGAATAAGAAGCTAAAACTTGCACAGTATTAGATAAATAAAAAACCAATTGTTCTTTATAAATTGTATGATTTTTCACTTGATCATTTAAAAATTGTGAATAAAAATTGAAAAAATGATAATCATTATAGAATGCTTTCAACATAGATGCAGATGTTGGATTCTTATTATCTTTAAATTTTATTAACCATTCAAATATTTGTGGGAGATTATTTTTAGGTATAACTGTTAAAATCTTGTTAAATATATTTTGTTGATAATATGGTAATGCAGTTAATAATAATAACTCTGCATTATGTATATTTGCATAAAAACGTCTTATTAACCATTCTATGGCTTTTAAAGCTGGTGTCAACATATAATATGGTCCAACTAATGTTAAAAATGCATTAATATTTGAATTTAATTGATTTAGTATTTCTGGAGTTTGTAAATTTCTATCGAAATTGATAGATGTTTCTGAAAATAGACTTTGTTTAAATTTATTAAATCTTGAATCTAAATCACATAATTCTATAAAACCACCAAGGGCAATATCATAAATATATTCATAATCTTGAGTTGATGCTTGTTTTGGATCAAATAAAATTGATCTTGAATGGATTTTTGATCTTTGTTTTCGATCTAAAGCAACAGACGCAGTTTTGTCACTAATGGACTTTAACTGCGAAGCTAAACTTGACATCTTTTATTTAATAAGTTGAATGCTTAATTTGAAAAAATATGTAGATGAGATGCGAAAGTAAATTGGTTACAAAATTTTATACAGGATTTGATTTTTTTTTTTGGCTGCAAAATATGCATAGTAAATAGAAGTTGTATAAGAATATCGTATTAGCAACACTAGTTTGCATTTAAATGTTCGAGTAGCAAGTTATTAGAAGTAAGTAATAGCATTTAATATTGAATTAAGTCACCAGCTAAAAAAGATCATCAGAATTAGAGAAATTCTCAAGTTACCTACAATCGACTTAAATTTGTACAATACTTACTTGATATGAAGTGAAAAACCAGTAAGTATGCATTCATCTAATTATCAACCAAGCCACAATCAATCATTTTATAATTACAATGAATTTTTGGCCACGAACTGAATTTTTCTTCTTTTAATTACAAAATTTCAAGACTTTGGGGAAATTCAATAAACGCTTCAAATACTAAAGTATTTGCTCCAACAATACGAACACTCGTTAGTTTATCAGGAAAACTGACATCAGCTACAATTTCGAAAGAATCGGGCTTTTCACCAAGTATACGCTTATAAATGAATATCTTTAAGTTAGGTAAATCAAAATTCTTGAAGAAATCCCAATCAAAATCTGAATTATCAATTGACAACTCTTTAAGGTTCGTATTCAATAAACTCATGTAGTCCAAAATACTAACATAATCCAATTGTAATACGTGTAAAGTAGAATGTAACATTTGGACAAAATTCTCATCCAGCTCTTCTTCAAATTCGAAATCTTCAAGACACAGGTTTATGAGTTTGACTTTGCGTAATTGTGTTGACTTGTTGATTATTTTAAATAAATCTAATGGATATCAATCTCTGGCTTCTAAGCTTATCCAATTGTTAACGGCGATATTTGTAAGTGGATCAAAGTATTCTCGAGCATCTATCATTGCTATATGTTTAACTGATTTACGTAACGTGTGATACACTTCCTCACTAAAATCAACTTTCAAATATTCGATATTTGAAAAGTCTTCTAAATCAACATCGTCATAAACCAAACTGAACCCAGAGTATATCCATTGAAAATACAGTAAATCAATGAATAATCAGACTGGAAACTAAACAAAGGCAAGCAATTATGCATGATAACAGAGTACCCATTATCACGAAGATCATCGAACAAGTCATAGTCTTTGTTTTCTCTTATTGTCATATAGTATTCTTCAGTTTTATAGTCCAAAATGTCTTCAAAATTAGGATAATCATCTCTCAACTTGGTAAAATTAGCTTAGGTATAACTTTAAATTTATTAATTGTTCTAAAAAAGGTTCTAAAATCTTTTTAATGCATCGGTAAAATGAAAGTTTTCTGAAGTTGGCAACTCAGTGATACCCATATCATTTGGAACTTTAAATGTTTCGTCATTATGATTTATAATGGCAACTTTGGTAAACAAACCTTGATTAGGGAAAGGCTTTAAAGTGATATCATGTAGTAATTCTTTAGCAGTTGATTTATTAAATATGAAACAATGATAGCTATAATTTCTGGTGGTAATGCACGTAATAACTTGACAAAATCACAGAAGTCATTCATTTGTTATTGATCTGAAATTTGTCTAGATTTCTTAAAAATTAAATTAAATATAAAATTAAATTGAATATAAAATTAAATTTCAATTTGAAACAAAGTAATATTTAAATGGATTTGTTGTGTATTTATTGGAATTGAAATTAATAATTGTTATCATTAATTAATTTTAATCTTCAATTAGACCAAATTATTTGCTGTTAACAACTTGAGTATAACATGATTGAAACATAAAGCTTTTTTTGAGAGATTGATAGTTTAAGAATAAAAAAAAAAAAAAAAATTAAAATTCAATTAGCTTCGTATTATGTAATCAAGGGTCCAGCTAATCTTAGATTTTAGATCTCAGATCTCAGATTTCAAATTCTCAAATCTAGATCCAACACTATCCAAAATTTAATCTTACAATTTAGACATTAAATTTTCAAATATATTACAGAAACAAACTATAATAGTTTAAGCTATCCAAAACCGTAATCTTTCCAAGAAGTTCCTTGGTTTTCTTTCAGGAGTTTTTAATTCTTCTTCTTCGAGTTGAGCAAAAGCTTGTGCATTAACCTTTCAAAAAACAAAAGAGTTTCGTTTCTAGCTTAAGAGTCCGACCTGTATTTTGTAAGTCTAAAATTATATTACATTAAAAATTGTCTAAAAAACTATATTAATATCCATAATAATCTTTTAACCCTTCATCAAATCCTTGATCATATTCCCATTGATTATTTGAATTACCTTTACTTTGTACATAATCATTTGATCTTGATCTTTTCCAAGCTTGTCTTCTACCTAATCTTGAGTTAAATTTACTAAAAGTAGCACCATCAGTAAAAGCTTGTGTGTAACCAGCTTTAAATCTATCAAAATCGTAACTACCACCTTGAGATTTCCAATAATTTACATGATTATTATAAGCTTCATTTAATTTTTGTTGAAATTCATTTTGATTTGGTGAATTAACTTGTTGAGGTGGAATAATTGCACCAGCATTTGTCATAGTTTTAAAATCCCATTCACCTCCATTTCCTGATTGAAATTTAAAAGTCCAAAAATAAGAACCAGAAGCTCTTTGATCAAATAATTGAGATTGAGTATTTCCGAATTTTTTAACTAATTCATCTCTATTACCACCTTTATCCCAAGTTTGTTGATCTAAAACACATGAATATTCACCAACAATAAAATCAACACCATTACTATTATCAGAAATATTCGTCAAAACATCACCATTTAAATCATTAATAATTTGATCAGCAGATTTAGATTTATCAGAATCTGAAAAACATCTATAAACATGATCATCAACAACAACACCAATATACCCATCAGAACCTTGTTCACTTTGAACCCATTTAGCCCATTGATCAGGCCACCAACCATCGGAAATATAAACAGGAATTGAATCATCATATTTTCTAATTTCACTTATAGCAGCACCATAATAAGTTGAAGGAGCTTTTGTAGATTCATCAAATTCAGCTTCATTAACAACTTGAATACCAGCTATATTATCATAATTTTTTAAATCATTTGCAATCCAACCCATCATTTTAGCCATATTAATTTGAGCTGAGGTATCTTTGAAAAATCCACCATTAGCATTAGGGATACCAGAATGAGCATTACTATTTGCACCACCAGCTGGTAAAGCATGAACATCTATAAGGATAGATATTTGATAATTAGCAGCAGGTTCAATATAATTTTGTTTTATAATTGACCAAGCATTTGAATAGACCAGGGCAAATTTTTCAAAATCATAACCTTTAGCAAATGAACCTCCATCTACATCCCAATAACCAATTGGTAATCTGATTGATTTAACTTGATGACTACTTAACCAGTTCCAATCATCATCATTTATATAATTTTTCCAATGATTCTCAAATTTAGTTCTCGCTTGATCTGCGCCAAATTTTGAAACTAAAGAACTAACAGCATCATATTCAGTTTCACCATTAGTTTCGGAAAATAAATCATCAAAAATCCATCTTTCTAATACAAAGGAAGATCCAAAACAAACCCCAAAATTTTCTCTTGACTGATAAATTTGTTTAGTACTTGGTTCTTTACCTAATTCGGCAACAGGACCAGCATCAGGAATGCTTGAAGCTCTTTTTTTCAACCTTAATTTATCAAAAACCATATGATAATTAATATATATTGATGAAATACAATTAAAGAAGTAAAAATACTTCAAAATTAAAATTAGTAGCAATATCTTGAACTTATATATGAAAAGTGGGTTCTCTGGTCACGTGAATAACGTTTAGTCTTACACAAAAAAGGATTAATTATACAGCCCCTTAAAATCTCGGTTGCTAGTTGAAAACAATATATTGCTATTGATGAAATTGACGAAATTGATGAAACTGATGAAATTGATGAAATTGCTCAAATTAAGACGCAACATTCACACTATTTAAATAATCATCGTGTTAACTAATATCCAGTATCATCTAAATTCTTAACTTTTGAAACTATTGATATATTACCAAATTGGTTAAATTAATAGAAATCCAAGCCAATATAAACATTTCTCAATCAAGTTATTAAACTCCTTTGAAACTTTAATTTTAGAATAGTTAAGAAATATTTTGAAACTCAAAACTATATATTAGAATGATGATTTGCTTTGCTTAATATAAGAAAACCAGCTAATTTTAATGATCTACTACTAAATCATCACATTATATGTTCTTATGAAACAACACGTCTTTGGTTATAATATTTTTTTTTTCTTATCAATGATGGACTTGCAATCAATACAACCACCAAATGAATGGTCACAATTTTTCAAAAGATTAAGCAAAATATTTTTTCAAATTAATACTCATTTAACTTTTTTATCTTCTCATGGTAGGTCAATTATTCCATCATTGGAATTAATACAAAAATTAAATTCATCAATTACTATAACCGATTTAGTCGCTTTTAAGTATATTTTACCCCACGATGAAATTTTTTTAGATTATGTTGATGAAAATCAAATTATGCTATCATTTTTAGAACAAGTTAAAGTTAGTCATAAAGGTTATCAACAAACAGAAGTTGTTGAAAAATATGATGAATTAAATAAAAAATCGAAATTAATTTTAATATTTGATTTTCAAGATGTTAAATTACATGGTATCGGTTTGGTTACTAAAAGTAGTAGACATAAAAAACAGAAATTAAATGATGATGATGATTTTGAAACAAATAAACGACTGGGTTTTTTTTTGCAAAATAAAATTTTTCAAATTAATCCGTTAAATCAAAGTCAATTAACTGGAGTTATAAGGAGTAGAAATAATAAATTTATTACATTATTAACTAAATTTATTGAAAAATATGGAGATTTAGCTCAAGAGAAATTATTAGCAAAATGTGAAAAATTAATACCTAAAAAACCAGATAATAGTGATATAATGGATGTATTAACTGGAAAGAAAAGTGTTACTCCTGATGTAAAAGAGTTGGTTTCTTCAGATGATATGATACAAGTGTTGAAGGAGTCTAAATTTTATAATGATCAAATTACTGCAATACGAACATTAAATGAAACAACACCAGCACAATATCAACAATTATCATCAACTACATTACAACTGATACATCCAGATTTAAAAGAAATGTTGCTACAGGTTAAAGGTATATCTATAGATGAAGGTTTATATACACATCAAGCAAGTGCGTTAGAAACTGTATTAAATTCGACCGATAAAAATCATGTTATTGTATCTACTTCAACAGCATCTGGTAAATCATTGATATATCAAATTCCAATATTAAATTCAATATTATGGGATATTACAAACGGTCTTGAAGGTCGTAACTCGACTGCATTTTTTATATTCCCTACAAAGGCATTAGCTCAGGATCAAATGAGACATTTTCAAGAATTTATAGATAGATTACCTACAAGTTTCGATAGACCAATTAAGATAAATACTTATGATGGTGATGTTCCATTTGATGAACGTACTAAAATTTCAAAAGAAGCAGATATAATTTTTACAAATCCAGATACATTACATGCATCAATTTTACCAGGTAACAAGTATAGTTCGTGGGCTGAATTTTTGAAAAATCTAAAATATGTGGTTGTTGATGAATTACATATATATAAATCTAATTTTGGAATCAATGTAGGTTATGTAATGGGTAGATTATCAAGGATAAAGAAAAGGTTCACTCCTGATGAGAATCTTCGATTTATTTCATGTTCCGCAACTATACAAAATCCGACACAACATTTTAAAACAATTTGCTCAATACCTGATGATCACACAATTATACATATAGATGAAGATGGATCACCAAGATGTGAAAAGAAATTAGTTGTATGGAACCCTCCCACTTTAATGAATAAAAGAGGTGAAGCAGATGGATTAAATAAATTTACTCCAAGAGTTGGATCAATTTCAGAATGTGCAAAGATATTATTAACACTAATCTCAAAAATTCCAACTATTAAAATAATCATCTTTTGTCCTGTTCGTGTCGTTTGTGAAATGTTAATGAGAGAGATTAGACACTTGTTGAAAAATTCCTATTTTTCAAAAGCTGGAATTGATCAAAGTGATATTATGTCTTATCGTGGTGGTTATTCAAAATCAGATAGACGAATAATTGAGAAAAAAATGTTTGATGGTCAATTAAAGGCAATTATTGCAACCAATGCATTAGAATTGGGTATTGATTTATCTGACTTAGATGTTGTTATATCTTGTGGTTTTCCCATCTCAAAATCAAATCTACATCAACAATTTGGTAGAGCAGGAAGGGGTAGAAATGCAAAAGGTAGTTTAGCTATGTTTGTAGCTTCAAAAAATCCACTTGATCAATATTATCTTGAAAATGTGAATGAGTTGGTCGATACTACTTATGAAGATTTATGTGTTGAGGGATTAAAAGATTTAGATCATACTTCATTAATATTGGAGAAACATTTACAATGTGCAGCTTACGAGGATCCAGTAGATGCAGAGTTAGATTATCCATATTTATCATCATCTTCATTTGAAAAATTTAAACAAATTTTGAACGAGAAATTGTTATTGGACATAGATGGAAAATATAAACCACATCCTAAGTATTTACCAAAACCAAGTAATCATGTTTCGATAAGACAAATGGATGAGACTTTAATTGCATTAGTTGATATCACAAATAAAAAAAACTTAGTCATTGAAGAATTAGAATTACTGAGATCTACATTTACAGTATATGAAGGTGGGATATTTATACATCAAGGACAATCTTATTTAGTTAAAGAATTTAATCATCAACAGAAATATGCTAAACTAGAAAGAGTCGATGTTGATTGGACAACCAGACAAAGAGATTATTCCGATGTGGATCCTGAAGAAGTTGAATATGTAAAACCATTATATCCCGTCACTTCAAATAAACCGTTAGATATTCCGAGTTTTTATGGAGCGGTTAAAATTACATCTAAAGTATTTGGATTTTTTAAAGTTAATAGAAAAGCAGAAATTATAGAAGTGGTAGAAACTAAAAATCCAACAATTACATCATTTTCAAAAGGGTGTTGGATAAATATACCAGATGATGCATTGGAAATAATTAAAAATAAAGGATTGTCAATTGCCGCTGGTGTTCATGGGGCAGCACATGCAATTACTAATATATTACCAGTATTCATAAATGGTGTAGAAGCTGGATCACAACATAGATTAATTCCAGATGTTGAAATAGAAACTGAATGTAAATCCCCCGAGAAGGAATTTTCAAAAACTGAATCGAAAAGAAAAAGACCAGGGAGGTTGATATTTTATGATACAAAAGGTAAAGAAAGTGGTAATGGATTATCTTATAAATGTTTTGAATGTATTGATGAGATTTTAGCAGCTACTTTCAAAAGAGTTTGGAATTGTAAATGTAAATGGGGTTGTCCATTATGTATTATAAGTAACAAATGTAAAGAAATGAGTGCTGTTATGTCAAGACCATCAGCTTTATTAATACTTGCCTCATTTATGAACAAAGATTTAGTAGAAGTTGCTAAAGAATTACCTGATGGCCCTGAACCAAATATGCCTAAAATTGCATTTGATTCAATTGAAGAAGCTTCCTCAACTGTTAGATTTTCACCAAATGTTAAAATATTAAATATTGTACGAGAATAAGAAATTGATTAATGGCTATGTTTATGATGTAATGAATTTTACAATCAATGTATATTTATTTATTTGCTAGTTTATTAGTAAATATTAAAGCCTTTCTTGTAAATTCCTTTGTAAAATTCTCCTTTTCCTTTTTTGGCTCAAAACTTGATTGATTTGAAATTTGATCACTATTTGATCTTGATCTACGGTATGACATTCTTCGATTCAAAACTTCTTTATTTGGAGAAGCTGACATTCTTCTATTTATTACCTCTTTATGAGGAGATGCAGATCTTGAAATACCTTGAGGTAAGCTTAAATTTGAATTATTACTACTTGTACTCTTACTTTCATTTTTATTTCTTTGTAATGCTGGACTCTTTGGTAATTGTTTATGTTTAGCTAGTCTGAAAACAACCAGAACAGGCTTAAGATAAATTGAAGCTAATGTTCCAATATTCAATTCCAATTCTTCAAGGATCTGAGGATTGATATTATCATTTTCGCTTGTTATTATTGGATTATCATTCAATACAATTTTCTTGGTATTTGATTGAAATTCATCATTTTCACTTGAGTGTTCACTTGATAATAATCTCCAATACATGAATCCACGATCCCTAATATCTGGATTATCAACTTCTTCGGTGGCTATTTTTAATACATTTAATATATTTTCACTCTCAATTGGATTCTTTAAATACATTTTAGTCGTTGCTGTAATAATTGACAATTGTACCTCTATTGGATCATCTTTAAAATTTGCTATGAGTTCAGATAAGATTAATTTTGAATCAGCAATTATTTCTGAACATTGTCCTATAATCCATATAATTGCCGTTTTTGCATCAGGTTCATCTATTAACTTATATTGTTTTATAATTTCCTCAATTGCATAATTAAATTGACCTGGATATTTCCTTAATATATTTTTTAAAACTATTGCTGATTCTTGAACAATATATGAAATACCATTAGATATTAAATCACAAAGAATTTCAACACATGATTCAGCTGCATTTTCTAATTTGACTGCCAAATTACCAAATGCTCTTATTGCTTTTCGAGCCATTGAGATATCTACTTCAGTAGCATATTCTTCTAATTCCAACAACACAGATGATACATTTTGTTGATTTGCTAATAAATAAATGATTTCTAATTTTGTATCTTTTATATATATTGGATCATCAAACTTACAATAAAACATTTCCACGTCAAAATGTACAATATTCTTTTGACCAAGTAATAATAATATCACATTTCGAAGTACGAGGAATTGTATTTCTGAATCTTTGGATAACAATGCGCACAATGATGTTCCTAATCTTTTTGAAAGTATTGGAATTCTTAACTCTGGAGATTTACAATAATTGCAAAAATAAACAATAACCTTAATTGAATTTAGAACAACTGAAGAATTTTCATGTTGTAATCCTGGTAAAATATGCTCTATTAAATTTAGTGATTCTTCATCATCTTGTGGGATATATGACATTAAACTATTTATCAAATAAGTTTGTTGCCATTCGTTAGCTGTCAATAATAATGAAATTAATTTAAGTGTATGATTTTTATTAATCACTAGGTCAAATTTACGACTATTCTCAGTTATGTAATTCAATGAAGCTAATGCATTGGATATAACTAATGGTGAATCATCGTATAACAATTGATTTAATTCCTCTACTAAATTTTCTTGTTCAGTCATTATTGGATCATGTTGAAATAATCTAGATACCGAATATGCTGCAGTTTTCCTAAGATATGGATCAGGATCTTGAAATGCCGATTTTATCAATTGGACAGATAGGTTATTAAAATCTGGTTTGTTTATAGATGTGGCCGCTTTCAAAGTTAATGATCTTAATATTGGATTTGAATCATTTTTGAATCGATTGAGATAAGGTATTACTTCCGTTACTTCATTTGAATTCATTCCATAATTTATCACATATTCAAAACATAATTTTCGGATCTCGATGTCATCTATTTTCAATAATGATATAATATCCTTCATCAAATGAACCAATTCATGATTGTTCAATATTATATTTGCAATTACTTTATGTAACACCACCTTGATTTTACTATTTGGTTTTGATTTCTTAAATGCCAATTCTAATTCTGCTCGTAGTTCAGTACTCTTGCATTTTGAAAATAGTTTACCATCACTCATGTTGAAAAATGTTGAAAAGTCGGTATTAATTATTTGGGGTGGTTCGGTTGAGAAAAAAAATACCTGGTCCCAGATGTGAAACGAGATTTAAAGATTTATACTGTATATTTCATAAGTTCATAATTTAACGTAACCAGATGCATACGATACACTACTTTCATTTGATCTCTTAACTGGATTACTTTGCGAATAACCTATCCAATTAAATACTTGATCACTATTCAATTTATAACTTTCGAGTAATTTTAAAATTATACTGATTGGTTTTTGTCCACATATTGTATTACCACTAGTTTTAATGTAATTCTTCCAGTCTAAAGATGAGCCGGATGATGCTATCTTTAAGGCTAGTTTGTCCAACATTTCAATACTTTCAAATATTTCTAAATCACCTTTTTTAAATTTACCAAATGATGAAATTGAAGATAATTGCGAGTCTAATTTTTGTAGATTTGGCTTTCCATCTTCTTCTATGGTTAAATATTTAGTATATCCAAATCTTGAACCCCAATGGCAAAAATCAGAACTTATAATAAAATGATTTTCCTCATTTTCAACAAAAGGTAATAATGATTCAACAATTTCAGATTGTAAATTATCATCCATCCCACTAATCAATATTGGAATAATCAGTGGTATTCCATTTGGAGCTTTTGATCCCTTGTAATAGATAAAAGGAGCATGCATTTCAAATGAATGTTCATCTTCATCTATATCTTCCGACATGTATTTGAAAATAGCCAGTCCATTTTTTTTCAGTGTTAAATTTGAAAGTAATTCACATGTTTCTATATCCACAGGTAAATTTCCCAATGGAGTTTCATAAGCTTCAAAAGGTGATAGTAAAGCATAATTTTTGAAATATACATGATGTGATGGACCTAATAAAAATATTCGTTTTACTTTTGAAATATCCCAACTGTTAAACGCCTCTGCTAATCTTTCACCAGAATATGTATAACCAGCATGAGGTCCAACTAAAATTCTTGCTCCTTTAACATCCGTCAAATTTGAATCATTTGTAGAAACACCAGATTGTAAATTTTGAGCTTTTTTAAATAATGTATCTAATTGTTGTTTCAATTTTGTTGCATTTGAAGTATACCAACTACCTGAATGAGTAGCTGACCTAACACTACACATGAATAAATTGTAATATGGTTGTAATGGTATTGATAAAAGATAAGAAAAAGAGAGAAGTCGTGTACAATTAAATATGTTACGCCTATCAAAATTAGAAATTTCGACCCAAGAAGAAAACGAAGAATAGTATAGTATAATTTATATTTAAGCTGTAATCTCTAGAGTCCAATCATTTGCTATTAATTGTTTACCATTTGCAAAATAAGTTGATACTGCTTGATATTTACCTCTCATCATCCAACCACCTGGAGTTTCATCTGGTGGAAATTTATATGAATAAACTTCATCGCTTGGTTCAAATGTTCCCATATCAACTTCTCTTGATCTAACAGTAACACCTAATTTTTTGACATTTTGTTTATAAGTAAAGTTTTCAAATTTGTTATTCAAAACTTTAAATTGTAAAGTCATAGTATATTTGACTCCGCCTGGAATAACAACATCTACTGAATCTTGACCTTTGACAAGTATAATATTTGGTTCTTTGCCTTCAACTTCGACAATAATACTAATGATTTCTAAATCTGGATGAGTTTCGAGCGGCATATTGAATATAAAATAAGAATATAGATGTTGGAAAGAGTTTTGAAAAGTATGGGGTCTTTATATATATTATTACTTTATTTATCCGCTGGACATACAATTATACAATTTGATTTTATCCGCTGGAACAAAAGGATTTAGTTTCTTGTTAATAATATTGTAAAGAACTTTAATACATAAAGTTCGAGGTGGAAGAACGGATGTTATTTGTTATCCCCACCATGAATCTTACCTTATTATACATGAAAGAAATTAATAAGAATTGAAAGGAAAGAGTAAAAAGAATCGGAAAAAACATAATGTCAAATGTACTATAAATACTATAAACTATTAAACTTTTCATATACTAGATCCAAGAATTGTTGCAAAAATTTCTTATTCAACACCAATTTTATTCATTTCCTTAAATTCTTTAACTTCACATTCTAAAACTTCTTTTAAAATACTCAAATTATTTGAATTATCTTCAAAACTAAAATTAAATAATTGATTCATTATTGGTTCTTCATAATAATTTCGAACATTTTTAAAAAAATTCATATTTAAAATCTCTTCAATGCTTAATCTTTTTTTATAATCCCATAATAAAATTTTATCTAATAAAGTAATAGCATCATTTGGAGCAAATGGATATAATGTCTTCCATTTAATTTGTTTATATTTAACCCAATTAACCCCATCTAATTTCCAATTGTATTTTTTTATAACTTCTAATGGTGGATTCCCTAAAATTTTAAATAATTCATGAATTTGTTCATTTGAATTCTTACCTGGAAATAATGGTCTTCTACCAAATAATTCACCCAATATGCATCCAATAGCCCATATATCAACTGATTTATTATACGATTTAGTAGATAAAATTAATTCTGGTGCTCTATACCATCTTGTTGCAACATAATTTGTAATTGTAGTTTGATGATTTTTGAAAAAATTTGGATTTATACCTCTTGCTAAACCAAAATCACAGATTTTTAATGTTCCTTGAGTTGTAACTAGAATATTCCCTGGTTTTAAATCTCGATGAATTACATCTGCTGAATGAATATATTTAACTCCACATAAAATTTGGTACATAAAATTTTGGATATGAAATTCACTAAATTGAACATTTGAATATAAAACTCTTGCAAGGTCTAAATCACATAATTCTTGAAAACAATATAGACCCTCGTATGGTTTAATATAAACAACATCTAAATCTAATAGATTGGCAATATTTTTATGTCCTTTGAAAAATTTCATCAATTTTAATTCACGAATGGCTCTAATTAATAAAATCTCTTTATTGAATATCTTGGTTACTTTCTTTATTGCTATTTTATGTTCAATACCTGAATTTATTGACTTTGTATCTATTGCTGAACATACAACTCCATATGAACCTTTACCTAATATACGTATGATTTCATACCTTGAATCTACTAAAAAATGATTTTCATTATCGGTATATGTTGAACATGATTTCAAATATGAATTACTCTTGTTGGTTTTAATTGATGCCATGACATTGATTTGAATAGATGTGGTTGTAATATGTTTTATTGAATTTATTTGTGTTGCAGATTTTGTTGATTTATTTACAACATAATAAAATAGTAGAATTACAAAATAAACATTATTGTAAAAACGAAAACAAAATTGAGCTTAGATTTATTATATTTAGTACAGCATTATATACGATGCATTTCACGTCAATCTTTGCTATTTGTTTTAAAGTAGATAGTTTTTTGACATTTTAGAGCATTTTAAATAAAAAAGGGGTAATTGTTAGGGAGTAACTTTTGCAACCAAAATGCTACCATGTGGATAATTAAAAATAATAACTATTCGAGTATTTAATCAAACTGAAGAATAGCATGGTCAATTATTAATACATAAATTCTACAACTTTTGTGCTATAGTATACTCAATGACAACGTTACCATCAATCACTAATGTAAATGATCTCTTGTCGGGTAATTATGACATCCGTTTTATTCAATTTCGGACTTAAACTCCACGATTAATAATCGCAACCACACTATAAAATCAACCACATCTTCTTCTTTCAATACTAATGGTTAAAGCACAAGCAGTAACATACAAAGAACATTCGAAAGACTTATCATCCATTTTAAAGAATTCAGAGTACGAAACTGATGAATCTAAATTATCACAAGAGGAAATTTTAATTCAATTATTAGCTACTCCAATTAATCCAAGTGATATAGCACAAATAAATGGTGGTTATACCCAAGCTAAAACTTTTGACTTCGTAGATGCTCATATTGGAGGTAATGAAGGTGTTTATAAAATTATAAAATCTAATGATTTAAATTTTAAAGTTGATGATCTTGTAATTCCTAAATTGCCAGGTTTCGGAACCTGGAGAACTCATGCTGTAGTCAAATCTGATGATTTAATAGTTGTTAATGGATTGGAATTAGATCAAGCTGCTACTATATCAATTAACCCAAGTACTGCTTATCAATTAATCAATGAGATCCAAGATTGGAAGGATGGTGATTGGATTATACAAAATGCAGGTAATTCTCAGGTGTCTCAGTTTGTCACTCAATTGGCTAAATTGAAAGGTGTGAGAGTGTTGAATATAGTTAGAGACAGTAGATTAACTGATGTTGAGAATGGAATTAGAGAGTCCGAATTTACTAATAAAGAATTTGATATAAAGAAATATGCTAAAGATGGTAGGGTTAGATTAGCTTTAAATTCAGTAAGCAATGAAACTGTATGGAATTTAGTTAATAGTTTAAGTCCTGATGGTGTTTTAATTACTTACGGTTCGATTGGAGGTACTGAAATTAAATATGATGCTCGAGTTCAATTGTTAAAAAATATCAAAACTAAGGCATTTTGGTTGACTAAAAACACTAAAGCTAATCCAGAAGGTAAAGTCGATACTGTTAAGAGTTTGATAAAATTATATCAAGAAGGGAAATTAAAAGATGTAGGCTATAATAAAGTTAAATATGCTGGTGATTTGAGAGATTCTGTATTGGAAGCTATTCAAAATTCTAAAAATGGTAAACAAGTTGTTTTCTTACAATAAATAAACGATTTATATTAACTCCTAATCTCTATCTACTTTAAATTGAAATGATCGTAAATAACCTGACGGTCTAGTTGAAATTGATTGCACTTCTTTGAGCTGCCATGTTTGATATATATAAGGCTATTGAATTTGTGACGAAAAGGTAAAGCTATTAGAATATGTTATTGTTGTACTAATGAATTGGTTCTTTTTGTTTCAAGTATTGAACTCTAACCAGTTCCAATTTTGATTCGAATTTGTTATGTCATTATAATTATTTTCATTAAAAGGTGGAGATCCATTAGGATCTAATAAATCTATTTCATCATGATGTTGATGTTGATGTTGATGAGTATGTTGTTGTTGCTGCTGATTTTCGGTATGATCATGATAGTGATGGTAATGATGATGATGATAATGATCAGTAGCAGTTTCTTCAGTTATTGAATTATGATGTTGCATTTCTTGTGTTTGTTGTTGTATAGGTTGGAAAATATTCATATTTAACAATTTATCTATTTCATCTATATTATCAGTATTGAAATCAGATTGTATTGATTGTTGTTGAGATGGTTGTTGAGATGGTTGTTTAAATATATTAGGTGAATTAAAATCAAGAAACAGCTCCAAATTTATAATATCTTCATTTAAATTATTACTATGTGATTGTGATTGTGATTGTGATTGTGAAAGTTCAAATGCGTTTTGAGTGGTGTTGTTTCCTAATCCATTGAATAAATTAGTGTTTAAATTTGATATAATTTTATCATTTTTGACCGTGGTTGTATTACTTTTCTTATTTTGATTATTTAAAGGTCTTGCTACCCCATGTAATTTATAAAATAATCCACAAGCATTACATAACAAATCTCCATTATTTGATTTTCGCCAAAGTGGTGTAGTCTTAGTTGAACAATTGGAACACATTAGTACTTTTTTACTAGTTGTTGATGAAGTTGTTGATTTTGGTTTATTTTTAGTTTTATCTGCAATTATACTTAATTCTAACAGATTGATAAAATCTGAACCATTAGTTTTATTCTGATATTCTTCTTTTGAAATCTTTCTAATATGCGCAACATAATCAAAATCATCTAGATTTGGATCATTTGAATAATTATTATTTTCGGTACTTAAATTATCAAGTAAACTACTCTTAGTACTTCCAAATTTAACATCAGTATTAGTTTTAACTAATTTTGGTTTTGATATTCCATTTATTCTCCATGCAATGTTTGAAATTCGTTTATTATGTGGTAGATAACTTTTATTTTGATACATTTTAAAAATTTCAATAGATGATTTATCCTGATCCATAAGTAGTTCTTTGATATTTGGAGGAGAAGTTTCTGAACAACTTGAAAATTGATCTTTTGAAGTTGAAGTTGAAGCTGAAGTTGAAGCTGAGCTAGGCATGGTATCTTTTGGTGAAGTAATTAAATCCGGTGGTGTTGTTTTTGAAGTTGAATTTGATGAGATTGACATAGAAAAAAATAACGGCAAATAAACTTTGAAATATTAATATATGAAAAGAATAGATTTCTAAAAGGAATATATGTATAAATTAATGATCTGTAGTAATATCAAATATTGGTTGACAAGTAATAATTGGAATAAAAAATTGTATTATTCTATTGATAAAAAAATTAAAACAATATTAAGGGGTAGTGTAATTTTGCCAAATATTATATAAACGTTAAATATTTTTAGTGGAGAAACGTATAAATAAAGAACATTAAGTTTTCTTGATTTAAAATAATAAACTATTGTTAAAGCTTAGTTTATAGTTTTGTGATTAGTTTAAAAATAGAGATGAGTTAAAGAAAAAACATTGTTATTATAATGAATGAAAAGGTATCATCATTATTACAATCTCTGATCTTTTAGTTAGCTAATTTAATGGCTTACAATCCTCTGATCTTTTAATTAGCTAATTTAATGGCCTATCTATTCTTCTAATCTACGAGAATTATTTGTAATCAATTATATAAATTGTATCAGAATTTGTAGATCTACACGACCAGATCTCACTACTAAAAAAATTATGTAATCATTATGTAATCGCCAAATTTTCCAGCAGCATACTAATTAAATAATTACAACTTTATTAAAAAGAAGTGCGTACGTAGATAAAATTAAACCAGACTTGAGCTTTTATTATTTTTAAGAATCTATCAAATTAACGCACATTCAAGTCCGTTTAATTTTTTACAGTGCATAATTATACTTTTTATTATAATTGAATAATTTTGAACGCGGAATGTAGAACAAATCAGTTGAGACGCGTGACGTTTCCTTTTCATTATTAAACCATTTATAATGTCATGTTGACTTCTTTATTTGGTTAAAATTCATTTTTAGATTGGAGATCACAACAATTTTAAACCTAAGATCTACAAGATTTTAAGCGAGCCCAACATTTTAAAAACCTTAAGGCATTCATTCGAATCAAAACTAAAACAGAGTCTATTTCGAAAGAACTATATCAACTCTGTGTTATGATGGTGGATGATGGTGGATGATGGTGGATGATGGTGAGTGATGGTGGGGGGTGGGTTTGAACAAGTTGCCATCTGTCGTCGATGACAAATTGGTTTATAAAATAATCTGATTTTAAGAGTTACCCCATATTTCTGTGAAGGTTTAGATACTTGGCATGTCATTTTTGTGTCATTTTAGAATTCGTGTCTCATACACCATATTTCAATACCAAATTTCTATTTGGGTTGCATCGATGGTTTAATAAAAATTTGATTCTGATGTAATGTTGGACCCTTATTTTGATCAAAATTGATTTCAACAGCCATCAATGCTTAATTTGTATAGATCGTATGCCTAATTCTTCATTTTTAAGCTTCCAATAAAATCTAAGCTAGCTATTAGCTCGTCGGTCCGCGTTTTCCTAAATTATGAAAATTTTGCAACCATAGAATTCAACATTGACCTTCAATGAAGGTATAAGTGCTTTGAAATATTATGGTGAAGAAAAATCAATAATCTCACATTAAACTGTATGCGATGAGGCAAGCACTTTAGTCTCGAGTTCTATTTAAAATAATATGTTTTCAAATCATCGTTATTGTCTTTCCGCAACGCCCTAATACCCCTTAAAACTTTTCAAAAATTTATTTATATAAATAAATTAGAAAATATTTTGAATTTGGTAAATTTCTCGATCATATTTGAGTTTAGGATATGAACATAAATCTATTACTAAATCATGACTCATCCAAACAACCGATAGCTAAAGAGAATGGTACTTTATTCATCGATCAAATTATGAAACAGAAAATTTTGGTTGAAAAGTTGACAATTGAAATCAAGAATAACACTTTTGCTCAAATCACCGTATACAATAGTGAGAAAAATGCTAATTTGGACTCGGAGAACTGGTGCTTATACTTCAATTCTTTTAGTGATGAATTATTTGAATTAATTAAGAATATTCAGAAGAACAATCTTTGTGTTATAAAAGAAGAGGAGGAACTAACAGACTATAGAGACAACGGTAATCAAAAACACTGTACAATCAATAAAATCCCTACAAGAGCACTATTGAATAAAAGCGAAAGTACTAAAAACTGATTTGACACAGTAGGATAAAACATTCTTATACAATAAATTGTATAGACAAAGGGTCTATAGTAATAATAGATATAGAATATGTCACGGTAAATTATTTATAGTTTGTTGTCAAAGATGAATATATGACTATAGGTCTGTTGTTCAATCAAATGTAAAGCAGAAATGTATTGGTTTAAGGGGTATCTGAATTGGCGGTAGCATATTTTCTTGTTACAAAATTGATTACCACTTCTATTAGTCCAATATCATACAAATTCATCAATACTTTGAAAAGATATGATAATTTAATTTCAATTGAAATTGAGTATGTGTAAACCTAACTGTGGAAATTATAATTAGAATTAAATTTGCTTGATTGTATACTTTAATGCAATGTAATTGTTTTCAGTTTGAATTTTATAGTTGATAATTCCTCTTATTGAACTCTCAATTGCTAGTTTAGATTTGATTTGGTCTTTTGCTGCATTTTGTCGGAGTATCTTATAAGTTATTGCAACCAAATCTCATTATACAAAATGCCAAATAGTCGCCAGAGATTTAACTATCTACAGCTTTGATAGTATTCACATTATTAAGGGATAGCGTATATTATGCATAGGCAAGAATCATCACGAAGATTAGAATATAAAGATCATATATATTAGGCGAAAATTTTGTTCATTCATTTAGGGGGTATTTTTAAAGGGTAGGAGACTACAGCCAATACGAAAAATATTTTAGTGTTACAGAAATGATTTTCGCACTATTTTCCGAAATAAATATCGTATAAAGTGTTGCAAATTCGCTATATATTTTTTCCAATAACTTTATACCAACAGCATTTTAAATCATTACAAATGAATTCATCAAATAATAGTACTCCATCATTTAAGTCCAATGCATCGTATGTATAAGAAATTTTCCTCTTTGTAACTTAGACTATTAACATACTTTCAATATCTCAAACTTCACCAGTATCAATGCTAATACAAGATAAATCTAAATCTGATTATCTTAACCAATCAATTGAAAATTCATATTTTAGTGATCCATCAACATCAGCAATTTTAATGATGCAACATGAACACTTTGATATATTTATGGATGAAACTGATAGCAGTGACGAAAATGAAGATCCCCAAATAAATGATCAAAGAAATAGAATAGATATAGCATTACTTGAAACTCATGAAAGATTATCACGAGAATTAAATAAAGCTACTACAAAATTAGAGCAAAAATATAAAGAAGCGAACCAAAAAGCAGAAGACTTAGAAATTTCAAATGATTATTTAGTACAACAATTAAGAGAAGCAAGTAAAAAACTTCATCAATCGGAAAGTTCAAATACTAATTTAAAAAAAAAATTAAGAGAGACAAATAAAAATTAGAAAAATTAGGAGATTCTGTTACTAATTTAAAGAAATAGATGCACAATTAGAACAAGAAGTGAAAGAAGCAAGTCAAAAAGTGGAAGATTCAGCATATTCAAATACTTTCTTAGTACAATTGTTAAAAGAAGCAAATGCAAAATTAAAACAGCAATCAGAAAGCTCAATTACTAGTTTAGAACAAAAATTAAGAGAAGCAAATCAAAAAGTAGAAGAATCAGAATACTTAAAAATTAATTTGAATAAAGCAGATGTAAAATTAGAACAAAAATTGAATGATGGAAATGATAGAAATATTAATATGGCGGCTGAATTAGAATCTGAAATGAATACGGTACCAATTTATGATACCCCTGCTTATAATGGTGAAAAAACATTTGGTTATGAAACAAAGAATTACAAATTGAGATTAGTTCCCAAATTCAACGACGGTGATTCTTATATGGCTGGAGTTTCTCAAATTCTAATTGAAACGTTGGACGCTGTTGATCAAGTGATTTCTAAAGGTAATTCTAATTGTAATTGTAATCGAAATTTTAATGATAATTTTAATGGAATTGGAAATGTTGATAATTGTAGTGTTAACCCTGTTAATAGTTTTAACGGTGTTTGATAATAATATCAACAACGGGGATTATAACAATAATTGTAATTTTAATGGTAGCGGTAGTGGTAATTTTGACAGCAATTGTAATGGAAGATTCAACGGTTGCAATGGAAGTTTCAATGGTTATTATAATGAACGAGGTCACAAGGTTAGTGAATTCCAGATCTGCGGTAATGGTAATTTTAAGAAAAAGTAATCTTGAATTGTCTAAATGAAAATTGTAATAAGCTAAGAGTTGGAATTAGTTTCTAGTTTTAGTGCATAAATTATTAAAAATATAGCTCCTTTATTTTTGAAGTCTTTTAATGAGCACTTGTTTTGAACTGTGTATTGTCTGTTGCAGCATTTAAAATTACCGCCTGGAAATATTTTATTTTTTGCAGCCAAATTTTGTTGCACAAAATCTCATTCAGCAATAAAAAAAAAAAAAAATTAAAAATTAATATTTGATCAACTTCATTTCCAATTCAACGATAATCAACAAATATAACCATGGCTGATAAAATAAGAGAAAGAAATCAATATAATTTATTAAAATCAAAATATAATGGTATTGGTAATTCAGATACTACACGTCAAGAATTTCAAACTACAATTTATAATGATTCAATTGCAAGTTTAGCTCATCATAATCATTTATTAGTATATAATTCAATTATAACAAATAAACATCCATTATTATTAAAACAGGAACTAATTAAGAAATTAAAACAACCACCAAAATAATTTTTTATTTATGCATTTGATGGTCTTGGATCAACACCACCATTATTACCTTCTTCAACAATCAACAATGGAGCATTTTCACCGGTATATTGTCTCGCAGAACCTACAATCATAGCAATAAAAGACCAAACAGCCAAAATACCAGATATAACAAATGCAAAAATCCATTGTAATGCAAATACTTTAGTTCCTAATTGACCCCAACCTAAAGCAAACATTAAAAATGATGTTGAAAATCCAACACCCCAATCATTAAATAATAATAAATGAATTCCAGGAACTAATAAAAATTCCCAAATGAAAACATTGGCTAAAATTCTACCCCATAGTTTATGAATATTGAATAAAACAGCACCATTCCAGAATATAGCAAACACTACCCATGATAAAGGCATTGCAACTAATGGTATATGAATTAACAACCAATTATGGATTGGTCTAACTGTAAAAGTTTTATGATTGAAATATAAAGCTAATAAATTAAAGAAATTTAAAATAAGGAAAATTAAACTCCAGAAATAATGACCATTAGTGAATAATTCAGACCAGATATAAATTAAAATATTGAAAATTGGGAAATGCCAACCAATAATTGAAATAATTGATAATCTATATTCATCAGGGAAGAAAGTTTGTATAGTAAATATAATTTGCCATAAATATAAAATTCCCCAATATATAAACAATAACCAATTTGCAGCACTAAACGGAGTATGAGCTAATGAACCTTCAGGTACACCAGTATACTTTAAACTACCATAAATTGATAATAATAAAGTGATAATAGTAACTGCTTTATAAGTATTCAATTGTTCTTGTGAATAAGGCATCGTAGAAGAACTGATGATGAAAAGTAAAAAAGAAGGGAGAATTCAATGTGTATTTATAGTTAAATAAATTATAATTGCTAATTAAACTTTTTTTTTTTTTTTTTTCTTTGATTCGATTAACCATTCCATTTTAGGGGATAATTGGGGGAATTGATGATTATTAGTTGTTGGTTTAGACTTTAAAATAGACTACAGAAATGACCACTAAATAGATTCTATCGTAATTTACAAGAAATACTTATTCGTAACTTTGTAACTATTCCAAAGAGTACTTCGTAAATTCACACATTTCCGTATTTTACATTGCTTTGAAACAATTTTACATTCACTACACAGTAGTTCATATTTAACATGTACCACGATAGGAAGTTTTATTCTTACCTGCTTTATGATCAGTTTTTTCATGTTGTTTTTGTTTAACTTGTGCTTGACCACCCGAAGCAATTGCCAATAATAATTGATGAACTTTTTCTTTATTTTCATCAAGTGTTGAAGTATTTTCCTTTGATAATACAACTCTAACTGAATCAGCAGCTTTAATTAATAGTTCAGCAATTTCAGTAAAATCTTGAATCAATTTTTCTAATAAACTTAAACTTAATGAATTTCTAACAACAACTCTTAAAATTTCGATTTCTTTTTCATTTGGAGGTAAATGATAATTTGGAACAATAAAACCTCTTTTTCTTAATAACATTGAAAATAATTCTTGTGGAATCTCAGGATAAGTTTCTCTAAACTCTTTTGAAAATCTAAAAGCAACAACAGGTAAACCAGGATGGTAATTTTCACAAATGGTATAAATCTCTTTTAATTTATCTGAATCTTTAACTTCTCTGGTAAGCAACTTCTTTTTATCTTCTGCTTTTAATTCATGATGAATTTCAGATAAAACTTCAAAATATTTGGTCTTTTCAAGATAATTAGACAATAATCTTGCATTTTGCATTGCGGCACCGAATATTTTAGCATAACCTTCTCTGCCTAAAGTTAAAAAGTTAAAATATTGAGTTATAACTGGGAAACCAGGTCTTGAAAAATTCAAACCAAAAGTTTCTTCAACACCACCAAGATAATCTAAACTAAATCTTAATTCTTTTGGTAATAATTCTTCATCTTTCCAAATAACCCAACCTAAGCCAACAGAAGTTAAACCAAATTTATGACCTGAAGTATTTATTGAATCAACTCTTGGAATTTGGAAATCCCATTTTAAATGTGGGAAAAGAAATGGAGCAACAAAACCACCACTAGCACCATCAACATGAATTCTAATATCTAAACCAGTTTCTTTTTCAACTTCATCTAATAAATTATTAATTTGTTCAACTGGTTCAAATGAACCAGTAAATGTAGAACCCATAATAACAAAAATACCAATTGTATTTTCATCAATATTTTTTTTAATTTCAGAAACATCAATTAAATGATTTGATTTTGCATTAATTGGAATTATTCTATTTTCGACATCAAAATAACAAGCAAATTTTTCCAAAGCAACTTGAGCACAACTAGCCATTAAAATATTTGGTTTTGTAAAATCCTTACCTTGTTGTTTTCTCTTCAATTGCCATCTTTTTTTCAAAGCTAAACCAGCTAACATTATAGCTTCAGAAGAACCAGTTGTAGCAGTACCAATTGAATTTGTAATTTTATCACCAGTTTTTTCATCAGTTTTATAAGGTGCATTCCATAAATTTGATAAAATTGAAATACATCTAGTTTGAACATCCATTAAACTTGGATATTCGTCATTATCAGCTAAATTTTTAGTCAAATTATCAACAATTAATTTTGTTTGAATTTCATCCACGTAAGTGTTTACAAATGAAGCTAAATTTAAAGTTGGATTACCATCTAAAGTTAATTCTTGTGATAAATATTTATAAGTTAATTTTCCATCACTTGAATATTCAGGAATTTCATATTGTGGAACATTAATTTGTGAATCATACGCATTCAAATATTCTTCGTTAGATAATTTAATTTTCGGAGCATCTTTTAATAATTCAGATTCTAGATCTAAAGAATTAATATGTTTTGATAAAACCATTGTAAGATATAAAAACTAAACTCAATTGCAAAATATAAAAACTAAGCTCAATTAATTAATAAAAACAAATCAGAATGGAATTGGATCCAAATATATATGTATATATATAATAGTTATTGTTAATCATAATTTATGGCTTAAATTGGTCTAGTTTTGTCTCCTTTTATTATTATTGCTCCGAGTGAAATTTAATAATAATTAGAAAATCTAATTGATTCTATTACACGCTAATAATTTCATCATGCACGAGTCATACAGCCATTACAATTCATTATATCATACTCGATTAGTCTAGTCTGTTCTACGTAACCAGGTCAATTAGAGATATCTGTTGGTAACTCTAGTAACTCTTGTAACTCTAGTCATATATTTATACGTAATGAGCCCATGGCATTTTGTTGCTAATTGCTTAACCGGTTTGTAATTTAATTTTGACATAATTTAGACAGATCAGAGTTTTTGGTTATTTAGTTACGGTTAAATATTACTGGATTTATGCTTATTTTATATCCGAAAATTAACTATAAACTTTTATTTATTCTAAGCATTGTCAATTGTCAATGGTCAATCAAAAATAGCAGTAATTATAGCCGACTACTATTGGAAACTTGAAACTTTGATGCAAAACGTTTTGTATATAAGTATCGTTAATCTTTTACTTATTTCTTTAATTGTTGCAAAACTTAAGATTATTGATTTTTTCGCACCGAGCAATACCCCTTAAGAATTTTTTTGTATTGCTCCTTAAGGATGCTTTCTTGAATAAAACAACTTATCACCCCAGAACAACATGTTTGTCAGTGATCACTGAAAGTATATAAGTATATGCTACATAAATATGAAGATCATTCGTATCGGTGATGTTTGCTTAATGTTTGAGTTCCAATGACAACTTACTTCATCGTTTATATAATTGTTTATAATTTACAATTACAATAAATCAAATACTAGAGTGATAAATTTTGTTTCATTAATAACTATGCTTTAAAAATGTATTTTGATAAATATATACAGATTATATTATTAGTATTTATACACTTTCAAATAAATTGATTATGAAAAAATCATTTAAAAAAAAAAATTGTTTCTGTATGTTTTATGTCTTTGCAGAAAATGAAAATCATTAAATAGTGTGATGTATTGTTGTCATTCAGTAATAGTTATTAGTAGTCAATTTTTGAGTAATTTATTCAACTTCATCAAATTTTTGATCAATTAATTCTGGAATATCTTCAGAACCTTGTTCTTGTAATTCAGTTGCACCAGTGTTAAAATCTTTTGGAGTTTTACCAGCTTGAATTTGTTCAGCCAATTGTCTTAAAATTTCTAAATTTTCAGCACCTAATTGTGGTAAAATTTGTGGAATTAATTGAGTAATTTGTTTTTCTTGAGGATAACCAGTGAAAGCAAAAGTGTTTGAAGTTGGAGCACCTTGAACACCAACTCTATTAAAATGTAAAACCTTACCATCTTCTTTGAAAAAATTAGCTTCTTCAATTCCTTCAATCTTGGTAGCTTTTAATTTACCTAAAGCTTCAATTAATTTGGTATCATCTTGTTCAGTTTTAACAATTTTTTTAGCTTTAACTCTTGAACCACCAACTTTTTTAGCAGTATTTTTTTGTAATTTAGCTAATTTTTCTGGATCAACTGGCATATTTAACTTACTATTTCTGTACTATATGGAAATATTTTTTTGTTGAAAAATTTTTGAAAAATTTCGAAAAATTGAAAATGGTGAAAATGAGAGTGGTACACTACTTTTGGTACTGTATATTGATCTTTTGATAATGAATACCCTGTGGCTGCAATCAATCAATCAAAACAACTTATTCTATGAGAGTACTACATTCTTATGTTAATTATATTAATCAATATTTACCAGTGACTAATCATTGGCTTATATTGTTTAGTTCTATCCCTGTTGCTTTATCTACTGGTACTTTATTTGTTTATTCAATTTATTCAACTCAATTAATTGATAAATGTGATTTAAATACTTCGGATTCTGCTAATTTGTCAATTAGTGCTACTTTGGGAACTGCAATTGGTGCTATATTAGGTGGATTTGTAACTGATCATTATGGTACTCAATTACCAATGTTAATTTCATGTATTTCAATTTCAATTGGTTATTATTGGGTGTATTATCAATATGAATTAGGTAAACATTCGAATATTTTTGCATTATTAACTGCTATGTTCCTAGTTGGTATTGGCTCAGTGTCAGGTTATTTCAGTGCTTTGAAAGCTGTGACTGTTAATTTTCCAAATTTGAAATCAACAGCTCAAAGTATAACTATTGCGTCTTTTGCCATAAGTTCTTTAATTTACTCTTTTATATTTTCAAATTGGTTTCATAGTGATATTCCAGGATTTTTGAGATTTTTATCATTATCTAGTGGTATTATGATATTTATCGGTTTTGTATTTATTAGAGTTGATGGTCACTTAGATCATGAAGATATAATTGAGAACCCGAATGAGGTTACAGGATTATTGAATACTCCAGAAACGTTACTAGCTCATGTAGATGACCTTGAAAACCCTCATCATGACATTGTAACTGATGAGTTACAAAATTTGGATCTTAAAGATACGTTAACCCATTCTATATTTTGGTATCACTATATCATATTTGCAATTGTACAAGGATTAGGTCAAATGTACATTTATTCAATTGGTTTCATACTAAAAGCTATCCATTATTACTTTGAACATGAATTAGATCAGGATAAAATTCCAAGTTTGAGTCATTTACAAGCTATTCATGTTTCAATAATTGCAGTTACCTCATTTTTAGGTAGATTATCACTGGGTCCAATATCAGACTTTATGGTTTATAAACTAAATTCTCAACGTCATTGGGTATTAATTATTGGTTTGAGTTGTATGTTCCTCGCTCATTTCATGTACTCAATTGATATTAGATTAATTTCATTAGAGTTTATACATGTTAGAATATTTCTAGTGGTGCTTTCAAGTATGATTGGTTTTGCTTATGGCTTTTCATTTACTAGTTATCCTGCTATCGTTTCTGATATTTTTAATATGAAGAATTATTCAGTTATTTGGGGTACTACGTACTCAGCAACTACGTTAGGATTAATTTTAATGACAAAAATATTTGGGTTCATATATGATAAAAACACAACTAGTTATGATAAAAAATTGAAAGATTATGTTTGTGCAAAAGGTTCTGGATGTTATAATGAGACATTCTACATTACTTCACTGTTTTGTTTAATTGCAATTATTTTGGTTTTCGGGTATATTTTTGTTCATAGAAAAAGATAATAGAGATAACATATCTAGACTTTTAACTATATTCGTTTAATAGAGATAGTATATCTAGGCTTTTAACTATATTCGTTTGTTGTAGTAAATACTAGCTAATATTTCGAATACATTTGGTAGTTCTTCATTCAATTTTTTTCAACATTATCAACAATATTATGACGTTCATCACCCCAACTTCCATCATAAATTATGTAAAATCACAACTGTTTCAATATTTCATACCAGATTGGCTATTAGCTACATTTTTAATATGTTTCTTTTTCATTGTTGAGCACTCACCACCTTTCCAAAGACAATTTTCAATCACCAACTTAAAAATTTCACATCCATTTAGCATTGATGAAACAATAACGGGCCCGGAATGTATAATAATATCTACATTTATTCCGTTAGCAATTATAACATTAGTCATTCTCGTTAAAAACTACAAGAACAAATATCAATCATCACATCAAGCATTACATATTTTACAAATTAGCATATTGTCATTACTTATAAGTTTAAGTTTAAGTGGGGTCATTACAGACATTTTAAAGAATTGGATAGCAAGACATAGACCTGATTTTTTAAGTAGATGTGTTCCAAAAATAGATACACCAAGAGATATACTCGTTGGAATTGATGTATGTACTAATCCATATGGAGATCGAGTTTTAATGGATGGTATGAGATCAACTCCAAGTGGTCATTCTTCAATTAGTTTCGCAGGATTAGGTTTTTTGTCAATTTGGTTATCTGGTCAATTCAAATTATTTAAAAAAGGAGATACTCATTATTTGTATAAATATATATTGGTCAGTTTTCCAATTGGATTCGCTAGTTTTATTGCATTAAGTAGAACACAAGATTATAGACATCATTTTGAAGATATTATAATAGGGACAATTTTAGGTTGTATTTTTGCTTTTTGGTCATATAATCATTATTTCAATGATTTGACATCTGAAAAATGTGAAACTGTGATTGAGAATGGAGGCGATGATAACTTCTTACCTTTGTGAAACAATAAGGGTTTTTTTAAAATCTATAAATAGAAGTAAAACATTAATATATGCATGCATTTTCTTATGAAACGTAAAAATTAAAATATAATAAGATCTAGATTAGATTTAAGGTACGTAAAAAATTTCTTTTTTTCCTTTTTGGGATTATGAAACAAAAAAAATTTAATTTTTTAAAAAAAAATAAAGGAAATGTTATTTTTAATAATGCATGATTAAATGATTAATCTGGATTACGATTCAAATTTCGAGCATAAATTAAATTGAATTCCTTAAAATCTAATCAAATGTTATCTTTAAATTTTTAATATTGTCATCATCTTATTCCATTTTTATGGCTGTCATTTATTTAGACGGAAATTCAGAATCAACATCTACTTCATTACTTATATTTACTACTACTAAAACATTACCAATGACAACTACAACGATTTCAGATGAAGATACAACAGTATGGGAACAAACAACAATTTCTACAAATGTTCTTACATCAAGAATGGTCACCGTTTTAAAAGCTAAACCTACAACTACATCATCAACTGAACTACCTAAACCTACTGAAACAGAACCATTACCAACGGAAACTACTGAATCAATTGAAGAACCATCTTCTACATCATTTACGATCCAATCAACATCAGATTTACCTACAAATTATAATTTTGGAAATATTTCAGGAACAACATCATCAAATGGATTACAAGTCGGTGTGGCAGTAGGTATTCCAATAGCAATATTCGTTATAATTTTTATATGCTTGGGTGTTTGGTATTTCATTAGGTTTAAGAAAGGTAAGAATATAATCACTGCTAATTCTCATGATGAAGAAACTACATTATCAGAAAAACCATATCCAATTGTATTTTCACCTGGGGCATACATGAAAGAACCATATAAACAACAAGCACCACCACCACCAGAACCACAAACAAAATTGAATAGATTGAGTCAAATGTTTAATTTTCCAATTAGAGGTAATTATCGAATGTCAGTAATTACTCCAGTTTTATTAAAGAAATTCAATTTAGGTAAAAAAGATGATGAAGATACTGTTAAAGCACAACTGATTCCAAAAGTTGAACCTCCATTACCTTCGTTCAAATTACCTCCTGTTGCTGGTTCTGAATTATCCACTAGTTCATATTATGAACAAAGTATATATACTGTGATTAAATCATATACAAGAAGGTTAGGTGATGAATTAAGTATTAATTTACATGATAAATGTATTATATTGGAGAAACATTCTGATGGATGGTGTAAAATTCGAATGATTTATGATTATAAAGAAGGTTTAGTTCCAAAAATGTGTTTACAAAAAATTGAATAGAATATAATATATAAGATTGTTCGTATGATTGCAATTTCGACTCATTAGTAATGAAAGTTCTCTATATAACTGGTGCTAATTTTGATGCATTTTACCTGATGCATAAGCCGAATATTTAGTGTTAGGTCGCTCTGAATAAAACGCGAAAAACTAATTTTGTCGCACCAAATCATGGCATTGAAAAATCGTTACCTTTAAAAATGAACCTGAAACAAATTGTCTTACAGTGGTTAATCATAAATATTTTAAATTCAATATCTCTCTCAATATTCAAGCTAACATGTTCCAACTGTTTTCATCGAATATTCTATTATTCTGCAATAAGATGGTGATATCATTCTGAAAGAAATTTTAATTTTGATGACTTTATTCTTTATTCTAAAAATGCAAAGAAAACGCTAAATTGCAAGGTAAGAAGTAGAGCTTATGTACCAACTTCTATTATGACTGGTTTGGCTCACTTATTCCCAAAAAGCATTCCTAGTGTCCTTTAAAAACGTTATATCCATTTTGAAAGTTTACAACAATTCCGAATCACTTCTGAAAATCACTTTCCCAAATTTGAGCATCGTAGCTCCAAAAGATCAAAGATTTATCAGCATACAGGAACTAAAAATTCGAGTAGTTCTATCATGCTTTAATGTGAGTATTGATCGTGGAGTGAAAATTTTTGTAAGGTCAATTTATTCAATTTTCCTCATACTTAAGAGAAAAGAGAAAATATTTGAAATTCTTCAATCTTAGCTTATATCAAAAAAAATGTATTGAACACTTTAATTTGATATATAGTATGTATAATCCGTCGTTTAAATTAAATGCGTGGCCCTAAATAACAAGTAATTTTAAGTTTTCATTTTCTGCAAAATTTTTGATGATGAAAACATGCCAAAAAATTCAACTTCAAAAAGAAAATTTAGAAATCATAAATTTTAACAATTATAGGCATATAATTAGAGATTCCATATTTCATATAATTGAGATTCATCTTGAGAAAACGTGTTGGTTTTGATTTACTGGCCACTACACTTGGTACGGGTCGCCCTAAAATTCGAGCGAAGAAGTAATACTTCTCGCTCCAAGAAAATGGTTGCGAAAAAAAATATGTTTACAAATTGTGCGATAAAATTCCTATTTGCGCTTATTTACGAGACTAGGTAAACTACAGCAGAATGTTCTTTCATGATAAGAAGGGAAGAATATGAAACTAATTTACAGTAAAATTGATCAGGCTCTGGCATTTACAGATAGATTCAGTAGAAGGAATATATGTATTGTTCATAATAATACAAAGTTTAATAATTCGGTTTAATATTTTCTATACTGATCAGTATATTGAGCATAAGGATGTTGTTGTTTTCTCATTTGATTTGGTGGTTGTGGTTGTGGTTGTTGATTTGAGTTTGGTTGATATGAATATTGATATTGTTGATTTTGATTCTGATCATATCCTCTAAATTGTGATGGTTGTTGATTTTGATTTAAATGCTGTTGTAATTGTGGTTGTCCATATGATCTAGGTATTGGTTGTTGTTGTTTATTCTGTATTTGATATGGGCTTGGATTTTGTTGTTGTTGAGGTGGCATTCGATTATTGACTGGTCTTGCTTGTTGTTGTTGATATTGTTGAGGGGGGATCTGATTTTGCATTGGTCTAGGTTGTTGATTTTGAGGTATCACTGATCTATATTGTTGTTGAGGTGGAGCCTGAGGATGATGATTCGGATATTGTTGTTGTTGTTGTCTTTGTTGAGGAGGTATTTGAGGTTGTGCTTTTGAATATGGATTTGATTGAGGTTGTGGAATTGGTAGTTGCTGTTGTTGTGGTTTTTGATATGGATTAGATTGTGGTTGTGATGTTGGTATTTGTTGTCCTCTTATCTCATATGGATTCAGTTGTAATGATTTTGATTGTTTTGGAGGTGATGATGATTTTAATACTACTTCGTTTAAATTCTCTTGTGATTGTTTCATGTTATTTAAACGTTCTGGAGATACAGGATAAACAATACTATTATTGTTCATTGCTGGTGGTGGTTTTCTTTCTGGTGAATGAAATTTATTCACTTGATTTTGTGATGAGTTTGGTGATGAAATAAATCTTGGTTTATTATTTGGTTTTGGTTGTACTGTTGGATATGGAGCTATAACTTCTTCTAATGAATCAGATCCACTTGAAACTCTACCACTTTCTGAATGAATTGAAGTTTGAGTTTGATTTGGAACTCTTGTACCTTGAGTTACTTCATTAACATTCAACTTGCCACCAAAATTACTTGTTGTTTCATGTTTTGGAATTGGTGGTGGTGGTGGTGATTCATCCAGATTATTTTCTAAATTATACATTGGTATCTTCTTATCCACTAATTTAAATTGATCTTTTAAATCTTCAAATTGTGCCATTGGTGACATTATAGAAGAATATGAACCAGAATTATTATTTTGAATATATGGAACTTGTAAACCACTAGTTGGTGTACCAATTGTTGGTTCTTTTGATTTACCAATTTGTCTAATATCTATTTTTTCATCATCTGATTCATCTTCACTGAACAATCCATCATCATCTTTAGGATACATACTTTTATTCAAATTGATTCCTTGTAAACTATTACTTAAATCTCTATCGTGATAATTATCTGATGGTGTTTTCAAATCTGAATATTTTTGGTATATATCATCTAATTGTACTGATTTATGTTGTAATTTTGAATCTAATGCTGGTGCCAATGTTTGATATTGATTTGGAGTAGTAGTTGTTGCTTGTTGTATACCTCCAGCACCACCATTTTGTACAATTATAGGAACACTAGGTTTGAAATTAGATTGACCATTTGTTCTAATTGATAAATCATTAATATTTTTATCAAATCCTTTATTTGTTTCTCTTAAATCATTTGTTGGTGGTAATGGTGGTTGTTGATTTGATTGAGCAGATGATACTTTTGATAATGAAGATGATGCTGATCTTGAAGATGATGGGAATCTTGGAGATCCACTCAATTGTGGACTATTTAATGAATTTAGAGCACCTGCATATCCTCTTGAACTTCCACAACCATCATAACCTCTATCTATTTTAGATTTCAACAATGCTTTAATATTATTTGTCCAAGTATTTAAATCCCAATTCATAAAATCATTTCTTTGTTGAACTAAATTTAAAATATCATCCAATTCTAAATAATGTACTCTTGGTAACGTTGGTAATCCAAATAATAAAGAATCAATATCATTTCTATTTGCTTTCAATCTTTTTGGTCTTCCGTATAATCCAAATGAATCTAATAATGGCACTAAAAATCTAATCAATGTATCAAATCCAGGTACACTTGAATGTTGTTCAGGCATCAAAAATATTGATGTCTGTTTAAAATCATCTAAATTCTTTTTAGATACTTTTTGAGATAAACTTGGTGAATTAAAATTTATAAATCCTTCCATTTTTAACATTGTTGAATGATCAATTAATAAATGAGATTGTGGATAAACTGCAGTTACAGAAGTAGCATTAGTTACAACTGCCATTAATTGCTTCTTCTTTTTTTGATCATTTTCGTAAAATAATATTCTACCAGCAGTAAACAGTTTCTTTTTCAATTGTGATGGTTCAACTACCGCGTAACATCTTTTCCAAGCCATACCACTACCATATCTTATTGAGACCCAATCTTCATGATCAAATCTTTTTTCAGCAAGGATTGTTCTAATATCACTTAATCTTGAACCTCTAGCACTTAATAAAGCACCAGTATAAGCTTCTTGTAATGAATTATATTCATAATTTGATAACCTTAAACTTGAATACCATACAGTTAAATCTTTATATGATTTAAATTGTAAAATATATCTATTTTTTAAAGTAGTTGAAACAATTATAACATTATCCAAGTTTTGTTTAGCTGCAGGTAATATTTTCATGGCATTATAAACTGAATCAGTGAAATTTATATATGTTGGTTTTGCTGAAGTTTCTAATAATTGTTCAGGATTATTTTTAAATTGAGCTAAATTTGCAGCATCCCAATAGGCTAATTGATTACCAGTTAATATACCATAAACTTCCTTCCATTCACGATCTGCTGGTTTTCCATCACCATTTAAATCATAATATAACAGAAAGATACCTTCATGATATCTTCTATGTGATTGTGATGATAATAAAGTAACTATAGGTATTAATTCTGGTGATAAACCTTCAAATGAATCTGAAGTCTGCGGTGGTTGATGTTGACTTGACGGTGATGAACTAAGATTATTTGACGGAGATGTACCTGATTTAATTCGTTTCTTCACTGCATTCATATTGATAGTTTGTTATATATTGTAATTTGTAAGTCTATGATCAAATAATGGTGCAATCTATATTGAATCTTGTTGAATCTTGTTGAATCTTAACTCTGAAACAATAAAAAGTATAAAATTATTTTTATCTTTTTTTTTGTTATTGTAAATAAAACTAAAAACTACAAATATGGATGATCAAATAGTACGTATGGTTTGATGTTCTTCAAAATGAATGACAAGCAGTTGGGTTGGGTAATCTGAATATCTGATCTAATTGTTGATTTCGATTTCGATTTATAAAAATAAAATTGTTGATAGTTTTTCTTAACAAAAATAAATAAAGAAAAAAAAATTAAAAAATAAAAAATTTTATTCTTACTAAAAAATCAAAACAAAAACCAGAATAAAAATATTGCATTCCAAGAAATAATATTAAGGTTTAACAACTAAAGTCTCATATTAGAATGTCAACTTATGCATTAAAAACGGTGTCGCGTATCTGATCTCAACCCTTTCTAGATCAATTGTTCATGGCAAAATTTGATCAGCATCATCGATCTAAATACTATCTTTTTCTCCAAACTGTGGTAAATCTTATTGATTATATTATGCTGACGCTATCTTTCTTATTGTTTGGCTCTCTGATTTTGTAACATAACCATGTCCAATTTAAGAAAATTACGTTGTTTTTAGTTTTTCGCCATACGCTAAATTTGATTTATTACACAAGACCAATACATTTAAAAGCTAAGCCAATCAACGAGAAGATACAGTTACGTAGATGCATAAACCATTTTTTTCTATCTCCTATTTGATGATACAATGTGCCACTGCTAATTTAGCCTGTTATTTAAAACAAAGGAAGAGAATATGCTTCATTTTTCGCAAATTGAATAAGAAAATATGACACAGAATTTACTAACTACGCAATTCTTTAGTACGTGTTTGTGTCGTGACATTAAAAAAAATGTGGAAATTTCGTAGTGTAAACATAATACGAAAATATAGCTCTCTTCTTGAACTTGATTGGTAGTGGATGGTTTGGAACAAATCTTGTGAGTATTGAAGGGTACATCCAGATTCATAGCCTAGTATTGATTCAGATTCATAGCCTAGTATTGATTATTGTTCTGGTGTTTGTTTTCATTACGTTCCTTTCATTTATAGCCTCCTTCTCTCTTCTGGCATTGTTTTCTATTGCTGCAAATTAACAGTATAGAATAGATACACAAATTAATATGCATGAATTATAGACATATAAAAACCGTATAATACGAGCGTTGTTATATGTCATATAAACCTTAATCATGACACAAATGTGCACTATGCAATTTAATATCGGGAAAAATAAATGACTGAAAAATTTATGTCCATTAATGATCTTCTTCGTATTTCAATGGATCAAACCATTTGAGGAGTAAGAAGTAAACACATAATCTGCAGTATTTAGTCGTCCTGTGGGCTCAACTCTGTTGTTAACTTAACTGCATGGTGTTATTGTAAAGTATGATACCGTAAATCCAGGATCAAAAAAGCACCAACAAAAACAATTGAAATTTTTCTAGCTCGAAAAACAACAGTTGGAAATTATTTACAAAACTTAGGAAATAAAAAGGGAATCGAGATCCTTATTTTGTCGTACTTAGGAATGAATGACTAAAATCTGGTTTGGTTCTTCTATTTTTATAGTATTTGTAAGTAGGTTCAGATAAAAATAAAAGTGAAACAAGCTAGATTTTACTTTTTACTTTTATGAATTAGTTAATTATTTTTCATGATTTCTGATTTGCAATGTAGTTGAGAAGTAGGTAATTTATAACTCCCTACTCAAGAGATATCGAAAATTAAATCGGAAGAAAAAAATTGAGCCGCACAATCTGAAACTCACACCATTCAACTTACCTCCCGGAAAAAATTTTAAAAATTACCCCTTAAGAAAAAAACATCGATTTAAAACGATGAATAAAATTGCACTGCTCAATGACAGAATACTGCTACTCAGTATCGATTCTATCTCTCAAGCGTAACAGTTACACCCTTACAGTTTATTTTACATCCTTAAATTTCGAAGGTTAAAAGATTCAATCATTTGCAGAGTAATTTTAAATATATATTATACAACTATTCATCTTCTTGAGCTTTCAATGCTTTCATCAATTTTATAGCATCTTCCAATTGTCGTTCACATTCATCCAAATCATCAAAAGTTAAAGCAGAATTAGCAAATTTAATATTCTTTTTAATTACATTAATTGAATCCTCTTTATCCAAAATCTGTTTTATATCATTCTTACTCAACTGGTGATGAGAATGTGATACGTTTCTAGATATGCTTGGTTTCTTAAATTCTTCTTTCTTTGGATTACTATTTGGTTGATAAACATGTATTGATGAAGTTTTATTAATATGACTTAATTCATCTTCATCATCCGGTAAATATTTTGGAGCTCCCGGTAATTTAAAATCTGATTCTGAGTCAGATACTTGTGGTGAAAAATGTGGTGCACCAGGTAAGATAGGCTGTGAACCATTTTCATCATCATCTATAAATTTAGGTTCTGAATCTGGAGCACCTGGTAAATTAGGTTGTGAATCTTCATCATCTATGAATTTAGGTAAGTCGTTTGGTGCACCAGGCATCTTGAGATCATGACCTTCTTCTTCTTCTTCTTCGTCTTTTACCTCCTCTTCGTTTTTTACCTCCTCTTCATCATCTGCTTGATTGTACACTTCTTCTGTATCATCTTCCTTCTTGTCAGCTTCCAATTCTTTCAATTCTTGATCCAATTCCTTCTCCAAATCCTCATCATTAACTTCATCAACATAAGGTATCTCATCTTTAAACAACTTAGACAATTGAAACTTCAAAACTTTAATTTTCTCTTTATTCAACTTATCAAATTCATCCCAAGAATCAACCTTACTTACTTTTTGCCAGTCTATCTCTTCTGAATTCTGAAATACAGATAATATATTAAGGAAATTCAAAGCAGCTTGGAATTTTTTAACGGTGGCTTGTTTTTTCTCCTTGGTTAATGATTTTAAATCTTGTAAACATTGATTAAATAATTTATAAGCAAAACTTAATACAACAACAAGTGAAACTTGTTTTTCCTGAAGTGATTCTTCATTTTTCTTCATTGATTCAGTATCATCTAATAATTCAACCGTAAAACCTTCATTCTCTTTACTTTCCATATGTAATTTATTCTGTAATATATATTCCAACACATATATTTTACAGTAGTAAGAAACAATTGGATTTATAGAACCCAAATCAATTGATCTTATAATATATGGAGTTATGTTCTTATTTGATTTAAGTTGTTCTGGTATTGATTGTAAATTGATAGTCATAATTGTTAAATTGTCGTGATAATAAAATAGTAACCAGGCGAAAATAACCAAAAAAAAACAACTATTAATTAACAACCAATTTATAAAAATGTCACAATTTGAGGGTTTTAAAGATTCATATAATGATAATTCTATACCAAATATAAATATAAATCAACAACAAGAAAATAATTTAGATAATTTGTTGTCTGGCTCATTAGACATCAAAAAACAATTATCACAATCATTTAGTTCTCATCAACCACAACATTCAACTCATGGTATTTATAAACCTCACTCTCGAAGAAATTCCACATATGTTAAATCCCATGAGAATTCAGATAATGAAGAAGAAACAGAAGAGAATAAAGCTGAAGATGATGAAAAAGATACTGGAAATGAAAGAAAACGAAGAGACAATATAAATGAAAAAATTCAAGAATTGTTAATTTTAATCCCATCTGAATTCTTTGATAAGGAGCCAAAGAAGTCAGTTAAGAAAGAGAAATCACCGGATGATGAAGAGAAAATCACTGGTACGAAGGATGGTAAACCTAACAAGGGTCAAATTTTAACTAAATCCGTTGAATATTTACAATACCTTCAAAACATAATTGACGAAAATAATAGAAAGGAAGTTGAGTTAATTATAAAGTTGAAAAACTTAGAATTGAAAGTAAAGCAAAACAATGGTGAACAAGTTCAAAATATTCCAATAAGAGTCGGTTATACTTCTGCCGAGAAAGCTTTAGGTAAGATTGGTGTTGGTCCTTGTTCTGAAAATTATTTTAGAAATGTTTTGGTCAATTCTGCTAATGCAAGTAAAAGCGGTAGAAGAGGAAGTACATTATAAGCTACAAACTGTTTTGATTTGGGTCTAAATTTTTGTATAATCGGTGGGTCAAGGTTCTTGTTACCAAGTAGATCATTGGAAAGGATCTTAGAAGCTACGGAGATGAGATTAGCTCACTCAAAGCTGGTCTAAAATGTCTTATGCAGGCTCGTTAGACATTGATAGCCTCGAGTTTAATTATTACAATTTAGAAACAATTAATTTAAGATATTTACACGTTGTTTATTGTATAATTTAACATCTATAATTTTAATTGTCTATTTTATTATCTATTGGAATTGGAGTGCTTTCTTTTAATTCTCTACCTAATCTCTCTTTCTCATCAGCATGATCTTTCAACATATAAGCCGGTAAATAATCACCATTCTCTAATTTTAAATCAGGATTAGGTTTTGTTCTATTAATACCTCCAAGACTAGTATATCCCAAATCATACATTTCACAATATTCAATTCCCGTGCTAATTAAAAACTGCCATATATCAACATAATGCCAATGAAGAATTGGATGGATACGGAGAAATTTAGGCCAATTATGATCTGTCATTTGTTCATACTTTAATTCACTTCCATAAGGATCTGAGTATCGAATACCGACTATAACTGATTTAACATTTGTATTTACTTGTTCAAGATAGTATTTGAAACCATTTTTTAGAGTGTCTTTGATTATAATTTGGTTGAGATGGTAGTATTTAGTTGAAGAATGTATGAAGTCGATTAATTTGGGGAAGGGGGTCTCTGAATTGATATAAATTGAGTCTAATTCATAATGTTTTGGTAAATTAAATGACATCTCTTTATGTTTTTTATATATTGTGGATAATAAAAGTATCAACATGACTAAACAATCTTTACCACCATTATAACTTATTGCAATCTCATTTAATCCATGTAAATCTATTGATTTTTCCAATATTGATACCGTGAGTTTGATCTTACTTTTAACTTCATTTTTTAGAGCTGTTGTAGTTTTAAAACCTGGTTTTTTGGGTGTCGGTAAGTTATCATTTAAATAATTTTCCACTATTTCATAACATTCTTTACATCTAAGTGAAAAATCAGGGTCTCGATCTGTATTATTTGTCATATGGTTCGATTTCTATAAATCTGGAGTTGGAAAATTATTGTGCGTGCGATGATGGAAAAAAATAGAACAACGAATTTATACCGGGATAGAATTAATTAATACCGAAATATGGAATTGACGATAATTGGTATAGATTCAGTTTTTATATAATATTTGGACATAAAACTCTTTTATATCATTATCCCAATACCACCAATAATTGTTATTAAATTTGAACTCATCATTTGGTTTCTCAATTTCTTTATCATTCGGAATTATAATTGCAATATTCTCATATGGTTCACCAGATATAATTAAATATTGATTATCATTAGGTTCTTGCTCTTCTTCATCGTCTCCTTCTTTAAATTTCTTTATAAATCTTTTTGAATAATTTTGATTCTTTGATGTCAACTCATAATATGACATTAATCTGAAAAATGGTTCAGATACAGTAATTTTCGGAAACTTTACAACTATAAGTATTCCAATTTGTAAAGTATCTGGATCTCTAATCTTTGTTATTTTATATTGTGGTTTTCCAATCTTATTCCAACTTCGTTTTTCAATATTTGAAATAGTAGTAGAATTTGGAAGGATATTCTTATTATATTTCTCATCTAATATTCTCCTCCTTTCTAAATTCAATGCATGTTTTCTTCCACTTAAATGTGAAATATATGATATTTCATTAATATGAGTAGTTAAGCATAATTTACATTCCAATAAACCTAAATGATTTTTAAATACATATGGATCATTTTCAATATCTAAAATATGAGACTGGAGTAATTCACTTACTCTATTCTTTGTATGGATATTTTGATCCTCTGTAGATGCAATCTGACCAGCACCTTTCTTACTATTAAATCTATTTGAATAATCCATCGTAAGGTGATAAAAGTAATGTCAAATATTTCTTTTTTGCGTCATTGAAATTACACGTGTTTTACGACATTCGAAAATTATGTTTTTATTCCATTTTCAGTCAAAAGAAAATATATATCACCAAACCAGATATCCATATCGAGCGGTCCACCAACTGAAAATGGATTCACCTATTAATATAGGAGATTTAACTACTCAGTCAATACAACAGAAATTAACAGATACTAGTTTGAATAAATCAGAAGTTGTTACTTCTTTTCAACAAAATATTTATTCTTCGGTTAATTCAAGTATAAAATGTATTCAATTAAATCTAAAATTTAAAGATGTTGAAGTAATTATATTAAGAAGAGTACAGGATTCATATATAAACATAAGTCAATTATTATCTATTTTGCTTAAATTAAATATTTACACTAAGTCTCAAATTGATAATTTTATGAATGTTGAAATTATAAATAACTTAGAATTTAATGAATATAATTCATATTTAGATATAAAGGAACCAAATATACTCAAAGGAATATGGATTCCGTATGATAAAGCAGTGAATTTGAGTATGAAATTTGATTTATATGACATGATTAAACAATTACTCCTAATTGATGTTCATCAATTTGAAGAATTACCAAAAATAAATAATAAAAGAAATAATGAAGATAGTTCCACAATTTTAGAATCTCCATTAAAGAAACAAAAATTAGAAACTGATTACGTTTCTAAATTTCTCAAAAATGATAATTTCCCATTTAGTGAGCCTCCGATAATGCATGAAAGTAATGAAATTGTAAATGAAATGAGACTGAAATTATCTGAAATTTTTAAAGAAAATGAAAAAAGGGAATTGGATATAAATTCAATATCAAATATACTTAAACAAATAACTGATAAATATGCAACTGAATCATTTTTCGATGTGACTTTGGATTCAAAATTAAATACAGCTTTACATTTTCTGGGTACTTTAGCTTCAATCAATTTAATCTCCAGTTTTATTAAATTGGGAATTTGTTCACCTGTTAGAGGTAATATAAATGGAGAAAATCCGTTAATTACTTGCATACAAGTTAGAAATTCAATGGATATGGGAAATTTTAGTGAAATTTTAAGTAAATGGTTATATCCTAACATTTTCCTCTTTGATAATATGAATCAAAGTATATTACACCACTTATCAATTCAGTCAAATGAGAGTTTTAAATATTACACTGTTAAATTAATTGAGTATTTAATTTCAAATGATGCTTTTTTCATTAAATTTAGGGATGAAATTTTAAATAGTCAAGATAAGGATGGAAACACAAGTTTACACAATGCAATAGAACGTGAAAATAAGTGGTTGATCAAACTACTCATCAAATTGGGATCCAATGTTCAAATTCAAAATAAACGTGGTATAAAACCTGATGATTTCAAGATTTTAAATGAGATAGATAATGACTCAGATGAACTTATTTTCAATCTTATAGATACTAAATTAGACTTTCTTAGTAAGAGATTTGAAATTAGTCAAAATATTGAAGAAATAGAAGAACCAAGTGAAATAAAACCTGTGGAACATGAAATTAATGGAAGTTCAAATTCAAATATGATTTTATCCAGTATTCAACAACTATTAAACACGACCAATTCCGAATATGAATCAATTCTAAATTCAAAAAGACAAGAAATTAAAGATTTGGATAAATTGTTACATGATTCGACTATAATCACAGCTAATAATAAATTTACAAGTAAGAAAATTTCAGAGAAGTTAGTCAAATTAGATAATTTAAAATTACAAGTTGCTAATTTATCAGATAAATTATTATTAAATTCACAAGAACTAAATTTGGATATTCCTGAAGATAAAGAATTTGATGCAGATGAACCATTTATAATAAAACCTATTTATGAGAAACTAATTAATGGTGAGTCTATTGATTCGTTAAGGAACGATTCTTCTATTCTTGATTCATTACAACCTATTCCAATTTTAAAAGCTAGAATTCAAGCATATAAAACTATAAATTCAAATTTGGAATCTGAATTAAGTACATTAATAGATTATAATGAATTGACTTCAAAATTTAAAAAAGTGGTGAGTATATGTACAAATGTAGATATAAATGAAGTTGATGAATTATTGGATGGATTATTAGAAGCTGTTGAACAAAGTTGAAAATTATCAATTTAATGGAGTGGTGGAGCCTGAAAAATTAAAATTAATCTAAGTTTATACTAATCCCTGGTATGAATTTAATGAAGTTAAAATATTTGGATCTAATCTTGATAATTTAATAAAATCTTCCAATGTAATATTATCATTTTTATTTTTATTTAATAAATTAAATAATTTATTTACTCTTTGTTCTGGAGTTTGTTCATCTTCAGGTAATTCAACCATTGGACCAATCATTTTATAAGTAGCTCTAATAACAGGTAACAAATCATTATATTTAATATGACCTTTCCTTTGATAATCATACAATTTAAAACTCCATTCCATTTTTTGTCGTTCTGTACCTCTTGTAGTTATAGATAATGCTAATATGAATTCTCTAAAATCAACAAATTTACTACCATCTAAGTCAAATACTCTAAATAAATAATGACAATAATCTGTTGGATCACCAAATGGAAAGAATTGTTTATAAACTTTTGCAAATTCTTCTTCTGATAATTGACCAGTCGGACAATCTCTAAGAAATCCTTTATACCATTGTTGTAACTCTCGTTTATCGAAATAAGTAGCATCTGTTAATTGTTTAATATCATCTTTTGATAATTTGGAAACTGCTTTACCCATAATAACAAAATCTTAAATCTCTTCAATTGTCAAATTAATTTTAATTTTGCCACGACTGAAAAAAAGTACATAAAGTGAACAAGATCTCCAATCTGAAACATATTTTCTTTTCTATATTAGAGACAATATGTATTCAAGAAGATCATTTAGTAACTCAGTTAAAAGACTTGCAAATTTTGGTAAACCACAGAACCCACCTATTGATCCATCATTACATTTAAAAATTCAACCAATTACAAGGGTAGGAGAAACGATAAATATTAAAAGAGCAAGATTATTATATCAATCAAGAAAAAGAGGTATACTAGAGTCAGACTTATTATTATCTAGATTTGCTAATAAGTATCTTAATAGAATGACAATGGAAGAATTAGATGAATATGATAAATTATTAGATGAAGCGGATTGGGATATTTATTATTGGGCAACTAAGAATTTTGATGTTACTCCATTACCTGATAAATGGAAGGATCTGAAAATATTAAAACAATTACAAGAATTATCTGAAAATCATGATAAGGAAATAATGAGAATGCCCGAATTAAATTTAGATCCAAATATTGAATTAAATAAAAAAGAAGTATAAAGTTTAATACTTCTGCATGTATATAGACTGTGAATATATGGTGAGTTATTTATTTAATGACCAATGTCTGACTAGAGGGTGTAAATTGTTTCAAATGTGTTGTAATTTTAAGTCACGAATCAAAGTGCACGGCTTTTACTGCATGAAAAAAACAGAGCTTTCTAATAAATGACAAATATGAGGAAGCTAAGAATAAACAGACAAATGATTAAAATAAAGTATCTAATCTGTTTTGTAATTCAGATCGAAGGGCTGAGTATTGTGTAATGGCAAAAAAATATCGACAACACTGGGACTCGAACCCAGGAGGGAGCAAGCCCAAATGATAATTCAAACATTTTAATACAACGCATGGCTGTAGCGATATTCGAATCATTCTCCTTACCACTCGGACATATTGTCAAAAATGCAGTTCTTGAGTACCGATTACCCGGGTAGATTCGTCAAAATGGTCACGATTCAAATTATCAAAATCATCAATTTGTTTAAAAAATTGCTTTATACTGTTTATAAATGGTCTTAAGGGTATAAACAATGATTGAAATTATGATTGTGACTATTTTCAGGCTTAAATTTGATGTTTTTATAATATTGTGTATTTTTTGAAAAAATTCCTGAGAGTAGCGTGTTGAAGTACAATTTCTTTTAACAAAGTCTGTAAGATCTACCAACTTCAGCTTCTAATACTAATGCTTAGAATTGTGGTGCTTGGTTTTGCTAATCATCTTGTGGATTTTCAAGAATGTTTGAAAATTAACAACCAGATAAACCAATGTTACTATTTGGTGCGTTTGAAAATAATTTCTCGCATTAAGTTTATAGCGACTCGTACTACGTAATTTGGCTCACAGCTCACGAACAAAGCTTTTTATCAAGATAAGCATCATTTCAATGGGATCAAGAGCCTGATTTTATATACTCTACGTATTTAAAACTGCAAAATTCCAAAGTTTTTTTTTTTTCAAGTTGTCATTTCGGGATTTTTTCACCATACAAAATTTTTTCAAAAAATAAAAATCATTATAAGTTAGTATCTGGGGCCAAAACTTACGATTAAACAATGGATTATACGTATTAGACGTCAATTCAAGGTTCTGGATTTTATTCTGTCGGAGAAATTCCAAAATTTCCTGTTAAGTATGGTGAAAATCGAATAAATAGAACTTCCAAAAATATAGCTCCACAAGTAGCAACTAAATTAAAACATGATAGAACTAACCAAATTTCTAGCTCTGCCTTTTAATAAGCGTTGGATATGCTTTTGTTAAGGTATTCAAATATGGTAATGTAATTTTTTCGAGAGTGCAACGAAATTTTTGAAAAAAATTTCAAAACAACCTTAGCGTCTGGAAATGATAATAGATAAAATATTTGAAATTGAATGAACCAAGCCAGTCTTGTTAGAAGTTGCAAAATGAGATTTAAGTGTTGTTTAGTTTACAATTTAGCGTTTTTTGCCCTTTTTTAAATGGGGAATGAAGTAATCAAAAATATGTTTTCTTCAAGATTGCTAATATAAGTATACTTCCAAGCTATTGAATATTCGAGGAAAAAGGTTGTAGAATAATAGCTTCGATATTGAGAGAGTTATTTAGGATTCGGTTTTCAAGATTAACTAGGATGGACTGCATATAAGTCAAATTGTTTCAGAATTTTGATTTACGGTACGTATTTTTCGATGCAATGGTTTGGCGCAACATATTAATTTTTCGCTCTAGCTCTAAGGCAACCTCGTGCAAAAATTATAGGTTTGGAAAGATTTTTTTAGGCGCAAATTTACTAGGAAAATCTCAAAAGACTGCAAGTATAGAAGAAGAAGAAAGCTCGTTTTTTATGCTATTTTTTAACTTTGACCATGTGCTTGAGTAAATTTGTATTTAATACTTTCTAAAGTAGATCATGCGGAACACCGAGATTCAGTTGTCAAAATTAAGTGACGCCACCATCCTTTGGCTTAATTTTTTAGATTTTAGCCAATGGACCTAAATTTCACAAATTTCTCCCCATCACAGGCTTGATAAGTTAACAAATTGCTCATAAATACAAGAATTAGTAATGATCCAATTGGAAATCAAGTTTCAGACACCAAAAACGAAAAAGCTCATAATCTTGAAATATGCGAGTTTAACTCTCGGATTCATTTTGAGTTTATTGGTTTTATCATTGATACCTCAATTTTATTAATTCGTTTAATAAATCAGACAAAGATGTAGCTCGTACCTCGGAGGAATTAGCTACTCAAGAGGTGAATCAAAGTGCTCGAGCTGCTTTGGGTTTTTTGTCTAGTACTGTTGGATTTGGAAGTATTGGATATGTTTCATACCAAAGAGTCAAAGTTAAATGTATTATCGTCAATTGTTCATTTTACTGGTGGATCAGCTTGTACTAAATATGTAGCTTGGTATGGAACAATGAATGTTGGTAGTGCTTTATCTGTTACTTCAGCTATTAACAGTCTAATCTCAGTTGTTCAATAGATTTACGATTTAAAATCTAGCTAAAGGTGGTATAAATTACAACGATTTACAATTAGTGATTTGAATGTTACCGCCAAAAAGTCACCGTCATTTAACTAAACTATAGAGTGTATACAAGAAAGCTGCAGAAGAATCTTCGAGTCAGACTTTATTTCAGGGGAATACTTGAAGAGGAAGAGAGGTAGAGAAAGAAACAGATCTCGAAGATGTTAATCGTTAACAAAGGGTATCAAGTATTGAAGACGGTATAATACAAGTTCTATTAGCTTCCATAAAACTGTTACGTGTAGTATTGGAACCACGTTATAATGACAATATATACAGTTTCTTCGGAGGAAAGTTGAGGAAAAGCATAAACGATCTCTATAAACAGACTAATAGGTTTAAATCAAAATCTCAAAAAAAAAAGATTGTGCTTGATTATCAGAATAACTGGAAGACAAGTTCTTTAGGTCAAATTAAATATCTATTGTACTTTTAAGTAAAATTAGATAAACTCATGTAGATTCATTGGTTTAGAGCACCGAGGGTTTACAGAACACAAATAAAAGTGCAATACATTCTATTTATTCGCTTCTGTTAGTCTCTCACATCTTGTGAACTCCTTAACGGCTAGCGGTTCGTTTTATCTATTTATCAACGGAAATTGATTGCAATATTTTATTTTTTTTTTTTTCGATTTGAATTGTGGAGTGGAAAAAAATTATCAACAATAAGGAGTTTTAGAGAGATAACTACATAATGATTGACTTGAAAGGTAAAAATGCATTAGTGACTGGTGGCTCAGCTGGTATTGGAGCTTCAATCTCGACTCAATTGGCTCAAGAAGGTGTCAATTTAGTCATAAATTATGCCCATTCAAAAGAAAGAGCTGAAAAATTAGCCAAAGAATTGTCTGAAAAGTATAAAATTAAAGCATTTGCAGTTCAATTTGACATATTCGATACTGCCAATTTATATAAATTAGTTGATCAAACTGTTGAATTACTTGGTGGTATAGATATCCTTATTTCAAATGCTGGATATACTAAAATCATTCCATATTCAGATTTGGAATCTTTAGATATTGAACTATGGGACAAGACATTTAGTGCCAATGTTAAAGCTCATTTCTTTTTATTTAAAGCAGCTAAAACCTATTTTGACAAAAATAAACAAGGTGGTTGTTTTATAACTACTAGCTCAATTGCTGGTAGAAAAGTTGCCGGTTCAAGTATGCCTTATTCTGTTAGTAAAGCTGCTTTAATTCAATTGACTAAATTTCTTGCAAAAACTCAACTGAATAATAAAATTAGAATTCATACTGTTGCTCCTGGTTTAGTTTTAACTCCAGATTGGGGAGCTAACTTTCCACAAAAGACTATTGATAAGATGACAAATGATTCTCCAATTAAACAAACTACTGATGTTGATGAAGTTGCTAGTCAATTTGTTTATTTATGTAAATTATCAACATCAACTGGTACTGTTACTGGTCATGATGCAGGATTGCATTTATAGGTGAAATATAAAACTTTTGGATCTCTGAATATGGATCTACTTCTGAAACGTGTCAATTAACTAATGGCTACAAAATGTATGTAGCCCTTTGAAATTAATCAAGTTTGCATTAGGGTTTTTGATTCTCTTTTAAGCTTCGAGTACTTATAAGCCGTAACATAATTGGGTCAAACTCCAGGTCATTCAATTTTACAATTAAGCTTTTGAAAGGGTTATAATGACAAGAAATGGTAGCAATATCATGTAATGTCTAATTCGCGGCTGTTGCAATTTCCCAAAATTCGATGAAATGTGACACGAAAACAAAAAGCAACGATCAAGGGGAACACCAAGCAACAAAATGTATGAACAACGAATATAACAGCTACTGTCAACCCAATTATCAGTTTATATACTACTATTGAAGTAATTTTACCATTTTCAATGAATTTATAACTTAGATCTCAAATCTATTCTAATTTGGACGGTTTCAGATCAAAAAAAACTCAGATCTAAAAAGTTTCTTTTTTTTTTTTTTTTTTTTGTTTATTTATTTTTTTTATTTTCATCATCAATTAAATTTCAACCAACTAATATCTATTCATTCTTTTACGATTGAAAATCAATTGATACTTTGCAATGGAAGTAGCATCCAGTAGTACATCTACTTCCACTGTTATTTCAACATTAGTTGCTAATTTTGTTTTATTTAGTATTTTTGTTACATGTTTCTTGATATTAAGATTAAAATTTAAAAGAATATATAGTCCCAAATCATCATTTGATTTAGTTGATGAAGAAAAGAAACCAGAACCATTACCTAAAGATCCATTTAGATGGGTATATATATTATTAACTAAACCTGATTCATTTATATTACAACAAGCAGGATTAGATGGTTTCTTCTTTTTAAGATATTTGAAAAATTTTGCTACTTTGTTTTTATTTGGTTTATTAACTTATATTATATTATTACCAATCAATGCATCTAATGGGATGGGTAACGAAGGATTTGATCAATTATCAATAGCAAATGTCAAACATCAACAAAGATATTATGCACATGTTTTCGTTGGTTGGATATGGTATGGTTGTGTTATATTTGTAATTTATAGAGAATTATTCTTTTATAACTCACTTAAAAATGTTGTTTTATCATCACCTAAATATGCTAAAAAATTATCATCAAGAACTGTTTTATTTCAAGGTGTACCTGATTCATTATTAGATGAGAAGCAAATTTTTAAATTATTTTCAGGAATTAAGAGAATCTATGTAGCTAGAACAAATAGGAAATTAGAAGCAAAAGTGCAAGAAAGAGCTGCATTTGTAAATAGACTAGAAATTGCTGAAAATAAATTATTAAAAATGGCAGTCAAATCTAAATTAAAAGCTGATAAAAAGGGTGAAGTTTTAGAACCAGTTGATGACATACGTGCATATGTTCCAGAAAAGAAACGTCCAAGAACTAAAAAAGGTGGATTTTTCAGTAAAAAGGTAGATACAATTAGATTTTGTCAAGAGAAGATTCCTGAATTAGATGTTGAAGTTAAACAATTACAAAAAAAATTTAGACATTCAATGCCTTTGAACTCTATATTTGTTGAATTTGAAAATCAGTATTATGCTCAATTAGCTTATCAATCTACCTTACACCATAATCCAATGAGAATGTCACCTGCTTATATTGGTATTGAACCAAGTGATATTCAATGGTCAAATATGAGAATTTTCTGGTGGGAAAGAATTACAAGAAAAGCTTTAGCGTTGGCTGCGTTAGTTGCATCAATTATATTTTGGGCAATTCCAGTGGCATTTGTTGGTGTTATTTCAAATATTACATATTTAACTGATAAATTACCTTGGTTAAGATGGATTTTAAATCTACCTGATCAATTATATGGTATAGTTACTGGTATTTTACCAACCGCAATGTTGGCAGTTTTGATGATGTTGTTACCAATGTTTATCCGAGCAATGGCTAAAATCGCAGGTATGCCATCTTATCAATCAATTGAATTATATACTCAAAATGCTTATTTTGGATTTTTAATGGTTAATGGTTTCTTAGTCACTGCTTTGGCTTCTTCTGCAACCGCAACCGTTACAAAAATAGTTGAACAACCAACATCTGCGATGTCTGTATTAGCTACAAATTTACCAAAATCTTCAAATTTTTACATTTCATATTTAACTTTACAAGGTTTATCAGTTGCTGGTGCATCATTATTTCAAGTTGTTGGTTTATTTTTATATTATATCCTTGGATACATTTTAGATAATACAGTACGTAAAAAATGGAATAGATTTAGTGGATTAGGTACTATTGCTTGGGGTACTGTTTTTCCTTTATTCACACAATTGGCAAGTATTACATTAGTATACTCAATTATATCACCATTAATTTTAGTATTTGCAATGTGTGCATTTTTTTTAATTTATATTGCTTATTGTCATAATATAACTTATTGTTTTATTGAAGCTCCAGATGCAAGAGGCCAACATTATCCAAGAGCTTTATTTCAAACATTTACTGGTATTTATTTAGGTCAAGTTTGTTTATTGGGTATATTTGCCGTTGGTGAAGGTTGGGGACCAATTGTATTACAAGCTATTGGAATTGGAGCTACTGTTTTCATTCATTTAAATTTAAACCATGCATTTGATCATTTATTAACTGTTGTACCTATTGATTGTATGAGAGCATTAGATGGTAAATCACTGACTCCATCGTATTCAGGTCCAAGTGAATATCAAACCAAAATATTAAATAGAAAAAAACAATCTGAAAAAGAATATCTTAAAGAAAAGAAGGAACAGGAACAAATTAAATCTGATTTAATTAACAATACAGATGTTGAGGCAAATGTTGATGATGTAAATACTTTAGTTCCATTATTAGCTGATCGTGATTTTAAAACAATTGAATCAAAAAATCCAATAATTAGATTCATTAGACCAGATGTATTTTTAAATTATAGACATGTTAAACAAATATTACCTGCTACATATAATATAGAACCAGAAGTAAGTGATGATAAACATGCTTATGATGCACCATTCATATCTGCAAAAATCCCTGGTGTTTGGATTCCAAAAGATTCAATGGGATTATCAGATATTGAAAGTCAACGGTTAAGAGAAATAGTACCAATTTCCAATGAAAATGCAAGCTTTAATGAAAAGGGTAAGATAATATTTCTTGGTACACCACCAAATTAAATACTGAAATTAATTAATAGACGATATATATATATATTTTTTTTTTCACACTCGGATTAATTTATACTTTTTCGCGCCGTATTTATCAAAACCCACCCACTGATTTTCCATTTTTCTGGTCTAATGCTAATATATAGACGGTTGGTAATGACTTCAAAATCATCTCCTGCATTAGCACGGTTATCTTTGACTAGTCAGCATTTATCAAGTAAAAGACTATCATCAACAAGAAGTACCATGTCATCACATTTATTACCAAATTTTGATTATATAACCCAAGGTACAAAATATACTACAAGTTATGAAAATTACTTATCAAATTCAGGGTCAATTGTTTCATATTTTCATGATGTTCCATTAGATTTAGATGTAGATAAACATGAAGCTACGTTTATATGTGAAATACCAAGATGGACAAATGGGAAATTTGAAATTAATACCGAATTAGAAGGAAATCCAATAACTCAAGATGTCAAAGATGATCAAGTTAGGTTTGTTCGTAATTTATTTCCTTATCATGGTTATATTCATAATTATGGATGTTTTCCACAAACTTGGGAAGATCCAACTGTTAAACATTTAGAATGGTATGGTGATAATGATCCATTAGATGTATGTGAGGTAGGAGATACAGTTTTAAAGATTGGTGAGATTAAAAGAGTTAAAATTTTAGGTAGTTTAGCAATGATTGATGATGGTGAAATGGATTGGAAAGTTATAGTAGTTGATATTAATGATCCACTTGCCAAAGAAGTTGATGATATTCATCATTTAGTCACCAAACGTCCTGGATTATTAGAGACTACAAGACAATGGTTTAGAGATTATAAATTACCTGATGGGAATCCACAAACTGAATTTGCATATAATGGAAGATATAGAAATGCGACAGAAACAATTGAAGTTATAAAAGAATGCAATAAAAGTTGGAAAGATTTAATAATGGGTAAAAAAACTGGTGATGACTTACCAAATATAAAAAATACAGCAATAAGGGAATCACCAGGGTATGTTGAAAGATTTGATATCAAAAGAAAGAAATATACAAATAGAGAAGCTCCAATCCCGGAAGAAATTGATAAAAGTTTCTTCATATCAAAGGACTAAGTTATATAACTGAATATTAATATTTATTCTATGAAATCTTTTAATGTCTTTATTTCATCAATGATCTTTTTCGTAAATTTATCCAATGTATCTCCACCTTTTTCCATTGCTGTTTGTTCTTCAATTGAACTAGGTACAATTCTTGAACTTAAGAATTTTGGATGTTTTAATAAGTTTTCAATACAATCTACAAAATCTTCTTGTTTTGATTCTGTATTTAATCCTGGTAAACTTTCACCATTTATGCTTTGTAAATATCCATCAACGTTGTAACTTTTTAACAAATTATAAATTATCAATATTTGACTAGTTTCAGCAATTAATGAAGTTGATATAATTATACTACTACTATCTTTTGCCCAATTCTCAATACAATTTTCAATTTGTTTCGAAAATAATCTTAATACAACACAAATTTCAGGAACTACAACATGACCCAATTTAAATAAACTTGAAATTATAATTGGTTGTATTCCATTTGTCCATAATTTTTGTGATGAATGATTTGTTTGACCTAATCTTATCGAGTGGGAAATTTGACTTTCAACAAGGACGATGAATAATCCACTTTGTATTATCTTTTCACCAATTATTTCAACTGACATTAATTCAAGTAAGAATTGTAAACTTAATTGTGCAAATACATATTCTTCATTAACTTCAATATAATGAGAAATTGAATATAAATTTAATAATGCTTTAATAGTACCATTTTCTTCAACTAGTCTTGCCATTTCTTCATGCAACATTGGACCACTAATTGATATGAATATTTTCAAAATTGATAGTATGATCATCAAATCATCAATTCGATTATTCAAATTTTTAAACTTATAAGATTTATCATTCTTGGAAAGGTAAACCTCATTTTGGATTTCAATTAATAACGTCTTTACACCGTTAGTTATAATCAATTCAAATAGATCCTTAAATAAACTGAAATATTCAATCAATAAATTTGGATCAACTAATTTTAATGAACAATAAATTACTTTCAATAATGGTCTATAATAACCTTTAGATTCAGACAAATTATTTATAAAATTCATACTTGTACTTGATAATAAATTACTCAGATTCTTTATAATTTCAAACACATTTGCTTTATCATTTTTTGAAAAATATTTATACATCAAATAAAAGCTCAATTCTATTCTTTCATGATATATAGATTCAAAAACTAAACCTTCTTCAATATTCAATTTTATTAAATGATTAACTAAATTTAAAGAATTAGTTAATGTTCCTTCATATTTTCTATTAAAACTAGTAATTAATGCACCAAATGATTTTGCACTTGCCAATTGTGAATTTATATATTGTAAATTAATACTTGATGCAATTACTTGTTCTCTTATCTGTGCCCAATCTTGATCATCTTGAAATAATGAATTCATTAAAGCTAAATTATATACTGAAGTGATTCCAAATCTATTTCTCTTATTTAATCCACTTGTAAATTGTATCAATTTAAAAGAATATGTTGATTCAAATAATAGTTGAGTATTTGAATGTAATTGAGGTTGATAGTTTTTAATCATAAATTTCTCCTTTGCAATTTCAATAAAATCTTCTGAATTTATAAATTTTATAATTTCATTCTTACATTTTTCATTTTTGGTTGTAAATAAATACAACGCCAAAATTTCAGCAATTTTAGCAACTAATTTAAATTCATAACATCGGTTAATGAAATCTTCTGATGTATTTGGTTCTGACATTTCTAGTTTAACTCTAGATATCAATGTCTTTATAAATTCTTCATCATGTTCTGATTCTTTAACTGTTGTCCATAAATTACTAGCTAATGCAATTGCATCAACTAAATGAATACTAACTGAATTTGGTAAATATTTCATATCTCGTACATTCCTTTTTAAAATTGATATTAATGAAATTTTATTTGTATTTTGATCTTTTTTAGTGATATCACCAAATACATCTCTTCCAGTAATGAATAAAACAGCTAAACCTTCTTGTTTACCATTCATTACAGCGCATATGAAATCATTTAATGAAATCTTCAATTTATAATCATCAAATGAATTACCTAAATCTGCAGCTAAGGAATGTAATAAAACTTGTGCTTTCTCTTTACCTAAATGTGATAATAATGATGGAGTCTGTTCCCATTGGCCATTAGTTAAGCAACTTAATAAATCCAATACATCAGTTTTTACAAATTCATAAGTTGAATATAATGTAACTAATATAGGAGCTTTTTCAAATAAAACTTTTTCAAAATTGGATGGTGGTAAATTAGCAACTGATCTAATATTAATTATCAATTGTGAAAATGACATACAACAGCGTATCCAACTATCATAACAAAATCCAGAAATATCTGTCAATTCATACATTTCCAATTCTTGAGAAACTGAATCAATCATGCTTGTAATTGGAAATGTAGCTCTAGATTCTGTATCACTAGCCAAGAAAGCTTCAAGTATTCTATTTGAGGCATCAGTGAATACATTTGTAGCTTTAGAATCAATTGGTGCACCTTCGTCAATCCCATAAACTGTAGCTAATATAGTTGAAAAAATATCTAATATTAAAACCCCAATTTCCAATTTTTCATATTGTTGATTAAATTTACAATATGTGAAACTTTCAAATAAACTTATCAAATGATTTACAAAATTAACCATTATTTTAGCTTTTGATTTTTTAGGATAATCTTCATTTAAATATATACAATTTTGTGTTAATGCTTCAGCTAATTTAATCAATGCAATAGTAAATTTATAATCACCTTTAACCATTTCAATAGCACCAAATATAATTGTTGCAAATCCTTCCTTTCCATCGTTTGAAAATAATGCAGATTTTGATAAATATGGCCATATTCTATATGATAAAAATGGCATCATATTAGTTAATAAAGTAAATACAAAAACTGATAATTTTGTATTTCTTGAATGTAATCCTTGTTCTAATAATCTTAATATAACTTCAAGTATATCTGAATCGTCAGTATATGCTGACATGGCTTCAGTGACTAATTTAGCTACATCAACACCGTTATCAAGTACGACTTTATTTAATAAATTGAGTATACAAACTACCAATTCAGCTTTCACTGGATCTGAATTATAAACTTTGGAAACATTCTGTAAAACTCTACCTAAAAATGCCCAACCGTTATAATTGAATAAAAATGTGGCTAATGTTTCATCTGAATTTGCAGCTGGTAGTATCTTGGCTCTTGTTCCTTTATTAAAAACCATTGATAATTTTTTACTTACTTCAAATGGTGGATACACATCAATACTTTCTGTTATTTTAACTAATTCAGTATCTTGATCATCAATTTGATACATGTCATTAAATTCTTCTTTTTTAAATAATTGTATAAATGATTTTAATTCGTTAAATTCATGAAATGCAAAATTACCATTTATGGAAGCTAAATTTATATAAGGAGTTAATAATAATGGAAATTTCGTTCTTGCAACAATGATTGCATTTTTAGTTGATTCATTTTCGAAGAATTGCTCGACAACATAATTTGGACAACTTTCCATGATTGAAACTATAGCATCAGTTACTTCTGGAGTTAATGATATTAATGGCATAGAAGCCATGATTATAGATGATAATATAGTTGAGTAATTATCATTGAATTCCACTAACTCGTTGATTTTTTTTAAGGTTATGAAAATACCCAAGTTTATGCACTTTTCATTTAATGAGTTTATTATTTGATCTAAATTTGCTGCATTAAAGTCTGGTAAGAATGGTGTAACTTTTGATAATCTGGGAAATTCTTGTATAAAGTATGATTTTCTTAGTAATATAATAGACCAACAATACAATACAACTGAGTTAGTGACAGCTGAATTCGTTATAGTTTCATTGATGTTTTTAAAAGTTTGATAATCACTTATGTATAATTCGTCATTCTCAACCGTTTCAAAAGTATCATTTAAATTTAAATACTGCACAGATATAATTGTAAATAAACTTTGAATCAAAGTTAATGGTTCAACGAGGTCTATACAAGATGATAACGTTAAACCAAAGTTAATTTCTCTCATTAATTTAAACCATGAATTAATTATATCCTTTGTAACTATTGTGTTATAATATGAAATATCTATCAATACTTTAGTTGACTCTATGATGAATAGAACGCTTTCATTCAAAATAATTTCATCAATTCTCTTTATTCCAGTTTCATAATCTCCTTTGATTAAATATTGAATGGTTTGCTTTATAGAATCAATAAGCTGCAGTATATACTCATCTGATAAATAGATTTCTCTACCTAAATTTTGTACAGTTAATGAAGCATAATCATTGGTTTTGTTTGATAACAATTCAGTCACTATTTTCAACATAATTCGTCTTTCTCTTAATATTTTTGAAACATATAATGCTAATCTTTCATTATCTAATGATTTGTCCCTATCATCGTGTAATTTACTCTTTATTACAAATTCCGGTTGAGTTTTAGGTGGTATTTTCTTACAAATTTGACATATGACCCTGACGATTTCTTTCAAATTTAAATTCAAAAATTTCTCAATTTGTTCACCATCTGATATATTCAATGACGTTATATTAGTATATAGTATACTCCTTATTGTTAATTCTTTAATATCTTTCTTTATATTAATTTTACCATTAAATGGCATTGGATTTAATATAACATCTTTATTTAATAATAAAAATTCATCTAAAGCTTCTAAAACAAAAGGATCTTCACAATTTTCTAATAATTTTAAAGCATTTTCAAATGTCCAATATTGAGTAGGTTGTATAGGTTTCAATGGTATATTATCCTTTAGTTTAGATTTGACGGATGGCATAAATTTCAATAGTTGGTAGTAAATTTACTCCTGGTATAATTTTTTTTTTTGATGATTTTTTTTGTTTACATTTGGAACTCAAAAATTTCGTTATACGAACGAAGGGCCAGTATATCAAATGACTGATTCATTCATTGTTAGTGCTCCTGGTAAAGTTATAATATTCGGTGAACATGCTGCTGTATATGGTAAACCTGCAATTGCTTCGGCTTTAAGTTTGAGATGTTTTTTATTAGTTGAACCATCAAAAGATTCAAAAATTATACGATTAAGATTTCCAGATATTGACTTAGATCATTCTTGGAGCATTGAAGATATACCCTGGGATAATATTAAACCATATATCAGATATAATAATGATAAACCACAAGTTCCATCTGAATTAATACCTGAAATTGTTGATAAATTGTCTTTTTTATTAGAAAATTTTGATAACAAGATGCATTATTATGCTTGTTTTTGTTTCTTATATTTATATTGTAATTTAAGTAATCAAGATATAAAAGGAATGGAATTTACTGTTAAATCAACATTACCAATTGGCGCAGGATTAGGTTCTTCAGCATGTACTTCAGTTTGCTTATCTACTGCATTATCTTTATTAGGTAATTGGATTGATAAACCTACATTATCACAACATGATAAAGTTTTAAAAAAAGATATACCTGATTTAGAATTTATCGATCAATGGTCATTAATTGGAGAAAAATGTTTCCATGGTAATCCATCAGGAATAGATAATGCTGTTGCAACTCATGGTGGAGCAGTCATGTTTCAAAGAAATCAAACACCTGATTTACCTTCGATTAGAACAAATATGAGAAATTTTCCACCTATAAAATTATTACTTACAAATACAAAAGTTCCAAAAAGTACTGCTGATTTAGTTGGTGGAGTTGGAAAATTAAATAAAGAATTTAATCAAATTACATCACCGATTTTTGATTCAATAGAAAACATATCAAAAGTAGCATATTCAGTAATGCTCAACCCCAATTTTGGCAATGAAGAAACTGAAGTACTTCGTAAACTATTTAATATAAATCATGGATTATTGGTAGCGCTAGGCGTTTCACATCCATCATTAGAGAAGGTTAAAATAATTGGTGATGAATTTAAAATAGGTGCTACTAAATTAACAGGTGCTGGAGGTGGTGGATGTGCTATAACATTAGTTAATGAAGGAGTAGAAGAAGAAACAATACAAAAAGCTATTAAACAATTTGAAGCAGAAGGTTATGAATGTTTTGAGACTTCCTTAGGGGGTAAAGGGGTAGGAGTATTATATAATCATCCAGAAATTTCAAAATTTAACTTGTATAAAGAAAGATCAGAGGTTGAAAAGGTATTAAGTTTAGAGTTTATAGATGAATGGAAGTTTTGGTAATCATCTCTGTCTATTTACAAGATCCTAAATACCTCTGTTGAATTGTAATTCTTCCAATTTTTCACCATTTTTTTCCTTTATATTATGAAATTTATCTTCCAATTTATCAACAGGTAATGTTCTCTTTTGTGGGAATACACCCAACGCAAAAGGTAATGCAACTAAAGAAGTTACAAAAATTAAACCAATATTAGTCAAATTTTCAACAATTCTTGATTTACCTTTCAATAATCTTGTCTTTTGTAATCTAACTAATATTAATGGCGGTATAACCATGACTGGAGTTGCATTTATAACTCTACTCAAAGCAGTTTCACCAACTGCATACCAAGCAGCAATTTTTGAATTACCAACTTCTTCACCTTTTTTATTAAATACTGAAATACCTTTTTTCAACTCTTCACTTCTCATTAAAAATACATTTACAACACCAGCAGATACAACAGCAGCAAATGGAACTAATCTACCTAAAATCATTCTTGTATTTGGTTTTAAATTTTTCAATCTTGGAACTAATGAATTTAAACCAAGTGCAACTGAACAAGAAGCACCCACGGCAATACTATAATTTGTAACCAACTGTTTAGTGGTCAATGGATGAGATTTATTTGAATTTGCAGTATTTATAGCTACATTTAATGACTGATTTGCAATCTGCCAAAATAATGTTCCAAAAGTACCCAAATTTGGTGTTAACATACCGGCTGTAACGACTAAATTTGATAAGACACATGATGACATTCTAAATGGTAAAAATACCGTTTCTCCAGTATCTGGATGTAATGAACTATCAAGAATTCTTTTTGATTTCCATAAATCAGGAGTCATTTTATTTAAAACACCATTTTTATAATCCCAAATTTTACGTTTAGCTTGTTCAATGTCACTTGTAGTATTTAATAACATTGTTGGATCTGAAATTTCAGCACAATGTTTAACTCTACCCCAATAAGTAGATAAATCATATTTTGAATCTGGTAATGATACGAAACCAGGTATTGAAGAAGCCATGTGTCAAAACGGTATTAATTTTTTTTATCTCGTTTAAAATAATGCGTATGTATGAAATTGAGTTACACAATTGGAATTGGTATTGATATTATAAATATTACAAGATTTGAAAGATTATTAGAGAAAGGTGGGACATTTACAAATAGACTTTCAAAAAGAATTTTGCACCCAAATGAATTGTTAAAGTTTAATAAACTAAATGGGAAAAGAAAAATTGAATTTATAACTGGTTCGTGGGCTTCAAAAGAAGCATTGTTTAAGACATTAGATATAGAAGATCAGAAACAGTTTAATTTCAATCAATGGTATAGATCTTATAATAATCATGGTAAACCATTTATATGGAATGATGCTTATTTTAAAAATGAAGAATTTCATTTAAGTTTATCTCACGACTCATCGTTTATAATTGCAACGGTTTTACGACAAAAAATATATAACAACGTATAATAATTCTACATAGTTTATTCCCATTCTACTGTAGCCGGTGGTTTTGAAGTTATATCATATGTAACTCTTGCAACACCATCAACTTCATTAACAATTCTAGAAGCAACTTTTTTCAAAAATGAAGCTTCAAATACAAACCAATCAGCAGTCATAAAATCAACAGTTTCAATAGCTCTTAAAGCAATAACTTGTTCATAAGTTCTTTGATCTCCCATAACACCAACTGATTTTACAGGTAACAAAGCTGCAAAAGCTTGAGAAATTTGTCTATATAAACCAGCATTTTTGATTTCTTCAATGAAAATTGCATCAGCCTTTTGAGCAATTATGACTTGTTCTTTTGTAACTTCACCTAAAACTCTAATAGCTAAACCTGGACCTGGGAAAGGATGTCTCCAAACTAAATCTTCTGGAACACCTAATAATTCACCCAAATGTCTAACTTCATCTTTAAATAATTCTCTTAAAGGTTCAATTAATTTTAATTTCATATCTTCTAATAATCCACCAACATTATGATGAGTTTTTATAGTTTGTGAAGGACCTTTGAAAGATATTGATTCAATAACATCTGGATATAAAGTACCTTGTAATAAATATTCAATTTCTGAACCATCATGAGGTTTAATTTTAGCTGCCTCTTCTTCGAAAACGTTAATAAATGTATTACCAATGATTTTTCTCTTCTTTTCAGGATCAGTAACACCTTTTAATCTTGATAAAAATAAATCACCAGCATCAACAACATTTAAATTAATACCTAAACCTTCATCTAAAGTCTTTTTAACTTGTTCAGTTTCATTTAATCTCATAACACCATTATCGACATAAATTGCATGGAATCTATCACCAATTGCTTCTTTCATAATTTTAGCACCAACAGTTGAATCGACACCACCTGAAACAGCACCAATAACTTCAGCAGTTGGACCAACTAATTTTCTAATTCTCGCAATTTCAGTATCAATGAAATTTTCCATACTCCAATTAGTATTAGCTTTACAAATATCAACAGCAAAATTTTTTAACAATTTTTTACCTTCTTTAGTATGGGTCACTTCTGGATGAAATTGGATACCATAAATTTGTTCATCTTCATTTGAAATACCACAATATGGTGAATTATCAGAAGTTGCAACAACTTTAAAACCATTTGGTAATGCATGTAATTTATCACCATGAGACATCCAAACTTGAGAATGATCAACATCTTTAAACAAAGCACAATTTTTATCTTCAACTTGTAAAGTAGCAGGACCATATTCTCTTTTATCACCTCTTGCAACACCTTTACCATTAATCCAAGCTAATTCTTGCATACCGTAACAAATACCTAAAATTGGGACACCTAATTTAAAAATATCATGATCGACATGAGGAGCATCTTCCGCATAAACTGAATAAGGACCACCTGATAATATAATACCTTTTGGTTTCCATGTTAACTCTGAAATTTTTTGAGTACAAGGTAACATTTCAGCATAAACTTGAAATTCTCTCAATCTTCTTGTAATTAAATGAGAATATTGAGAACCAAAATCTAAAACTAAGATAGTATCAAATACTTTTGAAACTTCAATTGGCACATCATCATTAGCAAACATCTTTAAGTGGTACTTTTATGGTTCTTAAATCAAAGAAAAATTTAGGATGAGATGAATTGTTTGACTCGTAAAAAATTGGTAGCTCTCAGCTAAGAGATTGATATGGACTACTAATAGTTTGTAATGATGAAACATTATTTTCAACAACTTCCATCTTGCTTCATAAATCATTGTTTCTATCTATTTTTATTGTTAGAATTACAACTGTTTTATTACATATTTTTATATGAGATCATTACCACCACCTAGAATTACAAGATCAAGAAAATGGAAAAGAATTAGACGTGCCATATTTAATTTATTAACAAAAGGTTATATATCTGATTTTGGAGTATTTTCAAGAAATCAAAATATTAGATATTCATATACAATTTCAAAAATTGAGAAAGCTAGATTTAGTTCAAGAATGAAATTTAAAACAAATGAATTATTCTTAACTGCAAATACAAGTATCAAAATTTTAACTACATTATCTAAAGTTTTGGGTAAATTATCAATGCCAGGTATGAGAAAAGAATTGGTACCTAATAAATTAAATGTATCCGTTAAATTTTAATATATGATTTCAGTTGGTTGCAAAATTTATTTTGTTGCAAAATGTTTTTTTCTGAGATGAGATTTTCAACTCTTGAATTTTTATTTAACCAAGGGAACCATGGCCGATACAAAAGATCAAATAAAAATCAAGTTCTTAACTAATGAAGAAGATCAATCATTACATGTTTCAGATTCACCTTTATATGTTCCTGTTTCATTAAAAAGATTTGGTTTATCAGAAATTGTTAATCATTTATTAAGCAATTTCAAAGACGAAGATGAATCGAAACCAATACCGTTTGACTTTTTAATAAATGGACAATTATTAAGAACTAGTATTCAAGATTATTTAACTAAAAATGGGTTATCAAATGAAGCTTTTATCACATTAGAATATACCAGAGCCATATTACCACCATCATTCCTTGCATCTTTTAATAATGATGATTGGATATCATCAATTGATTCAATAAATAAAAACTCACCAGCTGTTATAAACTCACAATTAGCAATAACACAACCTAAAATATTATCAGGCTCTTATGATGGTATAGTACGTACTTATAATATGTCAGGGAAAGTTGAATCTCAATATATAGGACATTCGGCCCCCGTTAAATCAGTTAAATGGATATCTCCAACCAGAATAGTATCAAGTGGTAATGATATGCAATTAAGATTATGGAAAACATCATATGAAAATATAAAAAATGATGACGAAGAGGAAATAGAAGATGGTAAGACATTGGCTATACTTGAAGGTCATAATGCGCCAGTTGTAAATTTATCAGTTCACAAAAATAGAATATTATCAGCTGGTTATGATTGTCAAATTGGTGTTTGGTCAACTAATTATAAAGAAATGAATAATATTGAAGTTAAAGAATATAATGATTTGTCTACATTTTCCAAGAAACGAAGAAAAATGGCATTACAAGATTCTACAGTAAGACGTAAATCTCCATTATTAATGTTACAAGGTCACAATGAACCTGTAGAAGGTGTTATATTTGATGATAAAGATTCTACAGTTGGTTATTCAGTATCACAAGATCATACTATAAAAACTTGGGATTTAATAACTTCAAAATGTGTAGATACAAGAACAACAGGTTATTCATTATTGAGTATATTACAAATACCTTCAAAAAATTTAATTGCATCTGGTTCATCAGCTCGTCATATAAATTTACATGATCCAAGAACAAGTACTGAAAATTCAAAAAATATAAATTCAAAATTGATTGGTCATACTAATTTTGTAGTAAGTTTATCAATGTCACCAAATAATGAAAATATGTTTAGCTCTGCATCTCATGATGGTACAGTTAAAGTATGGGATATAAGATCTGAGAAATCATTGTATACAATAACAAGAGAAGATGATTCTGTAAAGAATAAAATATTTGATGTTTGTTGGGATAAAGAAATTGGTATAATAAGTGGTGGTGAAGATAAAAAGATACAAATTAACAAGAATATAGATTAATATAATCAATTGACTATACTACTGTCTTTATTTATTTTCTTTTCGTTTACTGGTAAACATATTTAAACCATAATAACCTTGCCACATGCTCTCTTTATCAGTAACATATCCAACAAGACCATTATTAGTTCCTAAAGTTTTTGGATTATATATGGTATAATCAGAATCTATGTCGTTCCAGCCCATTTTCAGTCTGATGTCTTTTAATTCATCAGCATTTAATTCAACTTGAGCAGCACTCCCATATTTTAAAGGACCCACATTAATCCAATACCCTTTTTGGTTTTTATTAACTGGAGTGGTGATTCTTTCAATAGTGTCTAAATAATCCATTAGGTTCTCAGCAGTATCCAAAAAGAAAACAGACACCACAACTACATTCTTATACTTCTCCTTATCTTGTAATTCAAATAATGTGAAATCCTTCTCTATTATCTCCAAATTTTGTGGTTTTTCACTTATTGGTTTATATTCAAATGTTCGTAATAGAGATTGTGTATTATAAAAATCAGAACATGTATGGATATAAGGATGTAATGTATATGACTTCTTACTCTTACTATAATTAAATCTCGAGAATGCATTCATCAATCCAGAATATTCAATAGATATAACTTTTCCGAATTCAAATTTTGCAAATTCATAACTCAATCTGCCTAGACCAGACCCAGGAAATATTAATACAGTATCAGTTTTCTCAATATAAGGCATAATTTTGTTTAGTTGATTATTTATGTACTCGAAAATAGGCAATAGTTCATTACTCATTTGCGGTGACCAATCTCGTACGTAATGACCCAAAGCTTCAATTACTCTATAATTAGAACTACTTGTATTTGAATTAGCTGTTGAGTCGAGCAATTTAAAGTCTTTATACGAGACACCATAATGGTCAATTAAATGATCTACAACATCATTCATAAATATTTGATTTGTATGTATGGCCTTTTCTATCGATTTGAGTTTGGATAGATATCCCACTTGTTCACATAATTTCTGTTGTCTCCAATTCATTAATTTAAATAACTTTGATCGTCTATCATTCTGTAATTTAGTCAATTGTTGATAATTTTGCAATGATTGAATAGCTGAAAGAATTTCAATTTTGGAAAATTCACCAAGGCTGGAAAATAATGGTGATGATGAGTCAATGGAGGTACTAGTGAGGTTTATTTTGTTTCTCAATTGATTTGAAGTTTTTTCTATTATGGATCTAAACATGCTTGTTCTTGATACCATATTTGAAAATATAAAAATTGAAATTAATAATGGTACTTGTGAATTTGAATTATTATAAATGAGTAAATGTAACGAAAGATATAATAAATAGCAAGTAATTAATGTGATTATAAATAATCTCAAATCATTTTGATAACCAATTAACATATGATTCAATTTTAAACCAAATAACAGCAGCAACTTGCTTGATTCTATTGTCTGGAAATTTTTTGACTTTGAGTTTCAGAAATTAGACATTGGATTAATATGGGCAATGCGGCTCTTATACAGATTTAAAAATTTAATTCTGAAACAAAAAATTAGATCTGATCGAGATCTATTCAAGACCTAATCAGTCAATCTAATTGGAGAGTATGTGATTATTACTGGTACGTGTAAAATACTTGATCATTATGGGAATTGTTTACCAGAATACAATTGGTAGCTTTTCTACATTGCCATTTACAAATCAAGTAATTTTTCAATTTTAATTAATTACGAGATTCTTAAATTCAAATCAAAAATAGAGTTGATTGGATTAATTCTCCAACAACAAATATTTATTAGCCTTTTTTATAGTTATAATGGACTTTGATTATTCAGATATTGTACCAGTTGATTTAAATACCGAAACACCACAACTATGTCAAATAATATATAGTGATGAATATAAATTAATAATGGGTAAATTATTATCATTAATGAAACAAAAAGAATATTCATTACGAGCATTAAATTTAACATCATTAGGTATTGAACAATTAGCAAGTCATTATACAACATGGATTTATCGATATGATATAATTAACAATTTACCAAATTTTGACTATTATTCTGAATTAGATTGGTGTGAACAAATTGCCCTTGATAATGAAAAAAATTATCAAATTTGGAATTATAGACAATTAATTATTGAAAAAATTGGTTTTGATAACTATGACCCAATTAGAGAATATCCCATTATGGAAGCTATGTTAGATGGAGATAATAAAAATCATCACGTTTGGTCATTTCGTAAATGGCTAGTTGAAAAATTTAACATGTTTGAAAGTGAAAAAGAGGTTGAATTTGTGAGTAATATGATTGAATTAGATGTAAAGAATAATTCCGCATGGTGTCATCGATTTTTCTTAAGGTTCAATAATGAAAAAAATGTTAAAAGTGAAATAGAATATGTTAAAGAGAAAATTGAATTGTGTCCACAAAATGCAAGTACGTGGAATTATTTAATTGGTATATTTGAGAAATTTGATTTGGAAATTACCGAGTTGAAAGAATTTTGTTTCAAATTTCTTAATTTGGATGATGATAAAGTTAGTAGTTCATTTGCTTTAGAAACTTTGGCTAAGATATATATAATTGAAGATGATAAAGAGAGTGCTATAAGGATGTATACATTATTAAAAGAGAAATATGATCCTATAAGATGTAATTATTGGAATTTTAAAATATCAACAATTGAAAATTGATATCAACTTCATAATAGGACTTTAATATATGAATTCAATCTGAAATTGACTTTGAAATAAAGGCACTGGCTACTTGGAGAATGTTTAATGTCACAACCAGTGGTCCTAGCTTCAGATTGAATAATGAGATGATATTATTACAGCAATTGGTTTTTTTTAAATAGGACGGCATGGCGTTATTATCAATACATACTAGGTTTTCATTAATAATGTTTGTTATTTGTAGAAGGTTGAAGGTTATTGGAATTGATTTTAAATTTAAATTATATAGCTTCTTCAAAAGAGCCTTAGACGAATTGCTATGTGAATCTTATTTTGCGCGGTGGCTCAGGAAAACGCAAAAAATTGTATCAATGCTTAATGTGTCAAATGAAATCAAAACAAACAAAAATGTAGTATAAGTATAAGTCCATATACGGTAGATGTCTAAATAAACTGTTAAATTATTTCGATATTTGCATAAATTACTAATTGAGTTGATAACAATGATTATGGCTCATCTACCAACACATACTAAGATAACTTTATTATGTGAACCAATATTAGAACCAATAGTTTTAAAAAAGTTATTTTCAAAAGTAATAGTTCAAAGCAGTCAACCAATTGAACATTTTAAAGATGTCAATTCAAATTATTCATCAACCATGCAATTTAATGATGTAGTTTAAAATTCTTGATTTTTCAAAGCGTACGAATTTGGCTGAGGTTCACTTTGATCAAGTATTCTTTCTAGAACTTGACTCAATAAAGTTTTCAAATGTGGAGAAGATGATAAATTTCAGACATCAATCTCCAGTTAAAAGTTGGGAAAATCTCACTTGGAAGCTATTCCATGGTTGTTTCTTCAGACTCCTTCTGAAAGAACTAACTGAGTTTAAGTACTCACTTAGTATGTTCGTGATATTACATCAGCTGAACGGATTTCAAATATCAAATTGTAAAATTTCTCTCACAATTTGCATAATTTGGATTTAAGTTTTGTTTATGTTACCGATGTTATCGAGAAATTGACGAGCTTAAAGAGATTGCTTATAGAAAGCTGTGTAATTGAAGCACGTATCAAACCTCAAGATCTTTGGATCATTTAAAGATTGTTGAAACACAAGTACTTCAAAAACTAAGTTTTAGGAATTGTGAAACATTGTTTGTCGTGAAGTTAATTGAGTTTTCTGAGTCAATATCTACTATAAAACATTATATAAAAATGCTTTTACAATTGGCACCTTGAATATCATACGAATATTTCCCAATCAAACTATCAAAGAAAAATACACTAATGATAAGGTGATTCAAATTTGGTTGAGAGGGCATTATACTGATATTAAATTTCCATTATTTGAAGTAGAATCTAAAGAATCTTGCTAAGTGTCTATGAAACAATTACATAGGTGGATTCCAGTCAACTACTTCAATATGAATATGCCTGATTTATATTTATTTAAAAACAAAAATTTTAATACGTCGGTATTGTAAAATAAATGATCAAAAATGTTTGATTCTTGTAAGTTAGGATTAATGTAGAGAAATATTTAAACGTTGCTTGATACGTCAAACTTGCCAAGAAGGCTCTAGATCTGTTATTGGTGCTGTTTGATGAGTGTAAAATTAGCACAAGCAGTGGTATTAGCTCCTCAAATGGAAGATTTTTTTGGCGCCGTACTCGTTCCACATCGGTCGAAGCTAAGAATCTTATACCCATTAACGTATATGCAGTCCTAAATGTATTCAACTAATTTTAAACTTAAATCTCGAATAGCTAACTACTTCAATATAAAGCCCGTTCTTTAATTTGATTCATCAAAATCTTTAGCCTATTTAGAATAAATTAATGTTATTTTGCAGCATTCAAAATTTTGCAACATTGCAACATTGCAACAACATAGCATTAAAGAAAAAATTTTTTATCAAATCTAGACTCATTATCTTTTAGACCAAGTACATTAAGTATTCAGTTTTTAGTACAATAGTAGATTGTTTCACAATGTAAGTATATCTACATCACTGCTTGCAACTCTGTAACTTTAATTCCATTAATGCAGTAACTGTTTGCCATCAAGAATCACATGGCTAATTTAACGATATTCGGACATATGTACATAAGACGTAATTAGCAAATGGCGTAGCTCGAAGGCAAATGCATTTTTAGAGAACTTACTTCTTTCCCACTCGCTATGACTTTAATGTAGCATAGTAAGATTAATGAAAGGGTAATATGCTATATATTACATGCATTTTAATTTCATAAGTTTTCTAAAAGAAATACTTTACTTGATTGCAAAATTCGCAATATTTGATTTTTGCGTTATTGCATGCATTGATTCTCATTAGTAGTATTAGCCACGAGTAAGTTTTAATGGACAAAGCTTTTATACTTTCCCAAACTTACCAATCAAAATTGCGTAACTCATTGATTCAAATAAACCTATTGAAAATTCAACATATACATATTTCCTATTAATATATACAATAGCCTTAGATGATTTGAAACTGAGTGTAATTCTAAAGCGATAATACAATATTAAATCCGGGTACCTACCTAAAACTGTTATTAGTGTTGACTTCTTTTTAAGTAGTTGGAGGTACAGAATCAAACAACACACTCAGACCTGGTTTAATTCGGAAATACGCCGCATTTCCCTATTTGGACAAGTTTGGATCTATATCTTTAGCAGTTAAGCTTTGAATAAATGGCTCCAAATTATAATTATATTTAGTGCCCCACTACAAACCACGGTTTAAAATTAGTAATTCTATTATTAATGAATTTATCTATAGCCTTGAAGACAGTAAGGTTTTTTAGATTATTATAGACTAATTTAATTAGAAGAAATTCATTATAGATTTGGTCGATACTTGTAATGTACAACTAGTCTGTACATTTTGTGTAATAAATTATGCTAGGTCTCACGACCGTTTAAATTATTATTTTGTGTATTGTAGTACAATATTGAACCAGTTATAATAATGGAAATTTTTCAGGTAGCGGATACGCGTTAAAAATTGAATCAGTTGAAAAATCGAATCATCTCCTTATTCAACATTCTTTTACAATACTTAACAGAAACTTAATAAAGATATGTCACTTGTAAATGCCACATTGACGTGTTTAAAAGTATATAGTTTGACGTCAAACGTATACTAATCGAATTTAAATAAATCATATATTTTCATATTTTGTGTTTTTGATTTTAAAGGGGTTGCCAATCTAGACCTGAATATTTTTCTTTGATCCCCTAAAGATCTAATTACAGTAAAATACTAAGAAAAAACCGTATATACTTTATTACTCAACCAAAAGAAAGTTAAAGAAAAGTTAATATGTAAAAAATATTCACTCGAGAAATTTAATTCTGATATTGTTGTTACCTTAACGGATCTTATGATTTCTTTCTGTTATTTGCTTTTATGTTGTTTACGGTCTACAAAAAATTCATTAATTTAGAATGGTAGACAGTGAAATTTTTTAGTTATTCACTTGGGCGCTAAATATTATAAATATTATATAATTATTTAAGAACTTAATATTTGTATTTTAACATTTGATTTACATTTACACAAATTTATAATATCTCAAAGTTTTGCAACTCAACATTATGCAGAGATATAGGGGCAAAATACCACAATATCGATACAGACAAGTTAAAGTGAGCCTCCAATTATAATTACTGTTGAAATACTACGGTAATTATTTTACATATAAGCCCCATGATAGTAGAATAATAGTGCGATCATCAACATCACTAGATTTCAAACATTTGTTGAGATGGAGATACGAACAACTAAATTACTGCAATCATGGAACGATAATCTCTTCATTAACAGTTAATAATGAGATTATGAGATTTTATTTCAGATTGTAATACTAAATTTGAATGAAATTAGTTTATGCGGTTATGAAGATATTATTCAAACAATTGGTTAGGTGGTTTTTCTAATATATTTTATATCTATGTAACCAATTAATGAGAAGTCAAAAAAAAAAAATAATAAAATAAAAAAGTTTAAAACAGTTATATACAGTATACAATCTATGGTAGTAGTGTATATGTGTGGAATTATTTAATAAAAGTTACATAATGTATTATTTAATAAATTAGAGCGTGTAAATTGGACGAGAAAATAAAAAAAAAACAAAAAAAATAAATAAAAATAAAATAAAATATTAAGTGGTAGTTCCAAAAAATAAATAAGACAAGACACGACACTTTATTCACATTAAAATTTTCGACAGTTACTTATACTTATATTATTGATTACTCCCTTTAATTTGAAACCACCAATTTTTTTTACAGCCAAATTTTTCGCTTTTTCTTTTTAGCAGCACTTTTATTCATTTATTCATATTATTAGTTATTCATCATTTTAGGTCCATTAATAGCATCAATTGTTTTAGTAATTCAACTGACTAAAGAACATATTCAATTGAAAAAACAAAAAAAGAAAGATAAACAAGAGAAGGAAGATAAACAAAAACAACACGAACTCGAGCAAAAGCAGGTCAATAAAAACACACAAGAAGAAGGAACGACAAGTTATTATAAGAGAGAGTTATTATAATCAAAACCAACTACAGTCTATCACATATAGTTACTTTGAGTACTATTAATTAAAAAATATTTCATTATTAGTTATTTTTTTTTTGTTTCTTATTATATTTTAATTTTTTTTTTTTACTTGGTTATTTCTTTTTATCAAGACTAAGAAGATTCAAACCATCTCAATACAAATTTTGTTAAAATACCCCCACAAATACATTTAATTATAATACGATTGAAGAACATATAAAAATCATTTCATTCATCCAAAATAGTTAGTTTTCATTAAATTAAATTTCCCAGTATGAGTGATTATGGTGGTCTAGGGATAGTTCTTGAAGAAGTTAATAATCATCAAGTATTAAATAATAGTCCTGATTCAGACAATAAATCGATATTATCAAAACGATCTATACAATATAAAGTCAATAACAACAGTTGTACAACGAATACCATCTCACGACAACCAAGTGATTCAAATATTTCAGTAGTTTCGGAAAAACCAATACTTGAATCTCCCGAAAAACACCAACCGGAGGAATATATTGAATATTTATCTAATTCAAATTCTGAAATTTTATTACCTCCATTACCTGATGCCATTGAAGATTTAAATACCAACATTTCAAATTATATAGCTTCTGATGGTGATAACCAATCAACAACCACCTCAACTTCAAATCATGATAATATTTCATCATCTGCTTCTTTTACATCAGATGAATTTCAAATATATAATAATAAATCATCATCATTTTCAAATTATCAACTAGATTCACCAAATTTATTAAACGAGAATAATAATAATAAATTGACATATTTTCCAAGTGTATCGACACAAGTTTTCAATGATTCAAATATAAGTTTGGGGCTCAATACTACTACTCCAACTCCAATGACTTCAACAACAAACTCAGCAAGCAATAATTCAACCAACCCAAATACATCATTTGAAAAAACCAGTCCATTAAAGAAACTAAAATCATTAAAAAGAGGTATACGCAAATTATCATTAAGTTCAATATCTAATAATATTGCCAATTCATCGGCATCATCGTCTTCAAATTCGACACCAACAACTCCCAAATTCTCAACATTATCAAACACTAGTACACAAAATACAAGTTTAAACATTCGTCCATCATTAAGTCCAATTCAAGCAGAAGAAGTTAAAACAAATCATCAATATCATCAACATTCTTCATCAAGTTCAACTTCAACTGTATCTTCATTAACTTCAAGTTTAAGAAACACAAACACAAATAAGCGTAATAGAACCCTAAGTCAAGGTACAACTACAAATTTTTCACCAGTTACTCCACCACCATTATTAACTTCACCAATTATAACAATTTCAGAAAATTTATCAACTACAAAGAAAACAATGTCAAGTATCGAAGCAAATTATTTTGACTCATTACAGAATTCAAATAAAAATTCCATTGAAGAATTAAATGATATTGATGAATTAATTAATTATTCATCATTTTTAAGGAATCAAAAATTACAATTGATTGATATTTTTAACAAGACTAGAGAAAAACTTGAAAAATCAGGTTGGTGTTCACAAACTGATTTTGTAAATTTGGGATTACAACAAGATTCATCATCATGTCAAATCGATACCATTTTATTAAAAATTGAAAACAAATTAAATAAAGATTTTAATTACTCAATATTAAATAATGAAGTAAAGAAAGAAGAGATACAAGTACAAACACAAACTCATGGTTTCATTAGTCCAAGTTTAAGGACTTTGGAGAGTAAATGTAATTCATTTACAAATTTTTAAACAATTACAACAACAATTACAAATATTTATAAAGGTGGTTTTATTTTAGTTCTATTTTAAAAGCTTATTAGCTTATTTTTTATTATGGATATAGAGATTTATGAAATACAGATGATTAAAAATGAAACAACTATCTCTATTAGTCTATTCTTCTTCTTTGTTATTGAAGAACGAGGCGATTGTACTATTTTTTTAACTTTATTTAGGCGGTATACTTTTTACGCCGTATGGCACTAAAAAATTGATTCAATGAGCATTAAATCTTTTATTGCTCCAAATTATTCTAGATTTGATCTAGGTGGAACAACTAGGTTCATAACTCAGGAGGGCAATCAAACGTTTGATGTTTAAAAAATTTTCATCTATTCTCTTGTCTTGTTTGTCTAATTGGTCTAATTTTAGACATTGTTTATTTTTTGACTTATTTAGATAACCCCCTAATTAAACTTTGGTTCAGCCCCCTAATTTTTGAGACATGCGACGAGAGCTAATTTTCAACCCAACAGATTATTAAAACAAAGGGAAGATGGTGTTTGTGAATGTGAATTTTAATGTAATAATGGGTTTTGTAAATTGAGAATAGATTGCTATCTGATTAATCTAGTTGTGATTTACAACCAATTGATAAACGGTTAGTCATCAAACGTGCTAACTGACATCATTCTCTATGTAATATTAGAAAATGTTTTACAGAGGAAATCGAAATTCAATTTTACAACAACGTTTAAGTTGATCGTAAGTTTTACGTCTTGGCGTTTAAGAATGCCCACAGGCAGGAACTAATAATGTACATCTGTAAAAATTTACATTTAGTGCTAACAATAGTCTAATAAATTAATTGCCTACAGGATCGCTTTTAAGAAAATATTGTCATGTAATTAGCTTAGTTGATGAAGGTATTTATTAACGAACGTTTTGCAACAAGATGATTTTGCAATCTAGCATTTCATTATAGCTCTTTATTGTGGCTAATACAATTACAGATTATTATTACAATTCTAATCAAGCTCATATTAGTTTTTTGCAACCGAACAATAGTAAAAAATTTTTCAAAATTTGCATCCATCGCAGAGTAAAAAATTTTAAAAGATGTTTCGAAAACGCAGAATCCAATTATGCTAACTCAATTCAAATACAGCATATTTAGTATGAGGACGTATTTCGATATATTCCTCTAGCATTCTTTTCCCCTCCACTTCATTCAATGATTTAAATGGTGCAGTGAATAGAATGCATTCGTATCAAAGAAAAAAAGAAGAGAAAAAAATGTGAAAATTTTGAAAAATTTGGTTTTATATCATGAGGTCGTGTCATTCGTTATAATTATAATCTATATAGCTCATTGTAATCTGAAGGGATAGATCGTAAATGCAATAGTTAAACTTAAGTTAGTTTGATTGTAAATTCTTGTTCGGTCTGACGTGAAACTTCTGGAAGTTTTAATGGTAATAGCTGTCCTTTCTCATTCGAAGATGTTTTGAATTGATTAAGCTATAGTATAGAAATCCAAAGAATCTCTAAATTTACTCTCGAGCATTTTCAAACTCAATTTGTTGCTATACTATTATACTATTATTTGCATGATCTATCAACTCTTTAATTCTTCTTGTTTATCAGTCTCACCTGCATTTTGTGGTTTCTCTTCTACGTTTTTTTGCTGATTCTCATCCTTAGTTTCTTCTAGTTTCTGTCTCTTTTCCTGTTTCAACTTCTTATACATCTCTCTTTCTTCTGTTATTTTCTCATAATTGACGTTTCTTTTATGTCTTTTTGACTGTTGATGTAAAATCCAATTTTCTTCACCAACAGCAACAAAACTATTATTCGACTTATCTTTGCAAATGTCACAAGTATAATGCTTCCAATTCAAATGAGAATCAACAGCACGATTATTTGTCTCTGATTCATTAATTAAATATGATAATTCAGGAGATGGTGATTGTTCAGTGTCAATTTCTTCTCTTTTTAAAAATTTTTCAGCAATTTCAATACCTCTATCTTTTACATTCTCATTCCAATTGTCTAAATTAGAGGCATTTAACAAGTATATTTTTCCACCATTTATCCAATTAAATCGTTCTTCTTTTTTCAATTCAGGTATGAGTAATTTTCTAATCCATTTATTTTGATATTTGGCATATTGACGAGTCCTTATTTTCATTCTATCCACACAGTCAAGAAACAATTTCTCATGATCTTGTTTCTCCAACCATGGTAGAAATTCTTTAAATCCAATTACTTGAAATATTCCATGAGTACAATCTTGTCCAGTATAATGAGTATATAATTCTTTAATTTCTTCCAATGCTCCGCTTTCAAACATTTTATCTACTCGTTTATCCAATCTAGGTTTTAAAATATCTGATTCACAATAAATCCAATAAATCAATGTATTATATTTCAAGGAACTTTTCTCCAATTCATCCAATTTTTGCTCCTGATATAGAAAGCTTGGTTTTTCTCCAGTAGTGTAATATATCTCTAATGCCCTTCTTAGTTTTCTTTGATCTTGTGGATGAAATTTAGATGCTATTAGTGGATCAATTGATGATAAAACTTGAAATAAATTCTCTACTGGGCCATCTAACACCTCCAATTCCTCCCTTGTCAATTCTCTCTCTTCCTTCTTTTCTCCAATTGTTTTATTATCAAATATTAAAGTGTTGAGATAATAATGAGTACCTCCAATAATTATTGGAATTTTATTTCTTGAATGAATATCCTCAATTGCTTTTTTTGCCTCCATTTCAAATCTATGGATATAATAATTCTCATCCCATTTAACGTGATCCATTACGTGATGGGGAACACCTTCTCGTTCTTCAATTGGATGTTTATTCGTGATTTGAGGTAATGATTTATATACTTGCATTGAATCCGCATTTATAATTTCTCCATTTATGGCTTTTGCTAAATCTATTGAAAATTGAGATTTACCAACTCCCGTTGTTCCTACTATACTTATTATTGGTAACTGTTTTGGTTTATCCATTATTTTATTCTTGAGATATCGTAAATATCTAATCATATAATCATCTTTTGGATGTGAAAAAAAAAATATACATATATAAAAATATAAATAGCGCCTGGGACTTAAAAATGGCTGCAAAATTTGAATAAAAAGACATATAAAGCAGTGCAAAACTGTTCTACATCGAAATATTGTATTTGCCGACCATATTAGAGTTTATTAGATAAAATGATCAACTATTTAATGCAGTAGAAGTTTTTATACGCGTTTAAAAGTTTAGTTTTAGAAATATTTGTTGTTTCCAAGAGAAGATCAGCTATAATATAGGTATAAGTACCTTTCTTGTCAACTGATACCTCTGCAAAGCATTCCAAAAGGTTTCACTATTTGAAATGCTCAAGTGCAATCATAGAAGGTCGTTTCATTGATGTTCATTTACTCCTTTGAAATTTGAAATAAATAATGCAAATTATGCTTTAAATTCTCTAGTTGTCATACAATACTTTCTAATAGAATTTTAAAGTATCATTCTCCTTAATTTCTACATTATCAGTTTGTTGTATTCCACGGTACTTACATAGTTTTGAAAATAAAATTTTTACGTGTTTCGAAAATTTGTTAGTGAAAAAAAAAAAAAAAATTGATCTATAAGCTCAACAATTGTATTTTACCATGTTATTTTCAATAATATTTTGTATATTAGGTCTTTCAATTCAATCAGTAATCGGATCTGCATTCACATTTATATTAGGTGCTAATGAAAAATCATGTTATTATGTATTTACAGAACAACCAAATACACAATTAAGATATTATTTTGCTGTACAAAGTGGTGGATCATTTGATGTTGATTACGAAATTAAAGATCCAAATGGAAATACAATAAACAAAGAAGAAAAGAAAAGACAAGGTGATTTTGTATTTAGAGCTACATCAATTGGAGAATATGAATTTTGTTTTTCAAATACAATGTCAACATTTGCTGAAAAAGTTGTTGATTTTGAAATTGAATTTGAAAATGATAATGCAAATGAAAAATATAGAGCTAGTTTACCACAACAACCAAATGCAAAACCATTAGCTTATGTTGAAAATATGCAAAATACAATTGAAAAAATTCAATATCAATTAAATGAATTAACAAGAACTTTACAATATTATAAAACAAGAAATAATAGAAATCAAGCAACTGTTAGATCAACGGAATCAAGAATTTACTATTTTTCAATCTTTGAAGTTTTGTTAATGGTTGGTATGGCATTTTTACAAATTACTATAGTACAATTATTTTTCAAAGGATCAAGAAAACAGTTAGTATAGAAAAAAAAAAAATTATATAGTTAGTTGAATGAATGAATATATTTTCAAGATCAGCTTCACCAAAACCAAATAATACTCTAGAGGATGAATTAGCAAGAGAATCTGATGTTACTGTATCAAATATAAAACCGCTGTCAAAAGCAGAATATAAAGGATTTTCTGTTTATGTTTTAAGTTCAATTGTTTTATTAATTTATATATTTTGGAGTTTATTACCAGATGAGTTATTACATAAATTATCAATTGACTATTATCCTGATAAATATTGGGCTATTGTTATACCAAGTTATTCATTAATGTTGATGGTTTTTATATACATTTTTTTGGCTTTATATAATACTGAAATTTTAACATTACCATTGAATAATTTGAATACAATTTTAGATGAAAATTCACAATTTCCAGGTGAAATAAAGACTAGTGATAGAGATGAATTAATGAACTACTCAATTGATTATATACATAACGCACCAAGTGGTGTTTGGGATTTACCAATAAGTTTAGTAAATGAAGTACTATACAATCAAGAAGAAAATGGAGAGTGATATTAGTTAAGATAGGTTTAGAACAACCTTTAAAATGCCATTTCGAAAAGAAGGTATATGGGGTCAAGTATCACTTGCATTTCTAGAAATCTGACAATGGCATATACAAACCAAGCACAATTAGAATAAGTAAGACGGAACGTTGCTTCAATAGAAGCTATCAATACTCAATAATAATCAGCAGTTGGGAAATGTTTATATCTTGTTGATTGTTCATGCTTTAAAATTGAAGGAAATCAAGTATGATTAAAATTTTTGAGCAATACAGATCATTTAGTTTATTTGATCTTGCTTTGATAGCTGTGTAGTAGTATTAACAGCACTAATATATAATTTTTATAGAATTTGGTAGGTTTCCCTTGTCTTTCGATAAGCTAAAAGACATCTATTATTAAATATGATGTCATTGTGTAACGCGTTCGTTTGGAGTGGCAAAAATTATTTTATCGCGCTAGAGTTGAGGCGACCCGTACCAAATGTAATGGTATATAAGTCATGAACAACGCATTTTCCCATAATAAAAACAACTTTAGTAAAGTCTGTGATCCTGAATTATATATCCTACAAGCTTTGAATCTCAAATTTGAAACATTTTTTTTGGCTTCTGGAAATTTTGGCATTTTTTCACCATACAAAATTTTTCAAAAAATTTGAACGTATTTAATGTTTCATTTTGGGGCCATAACTTGCAAATTAACTTCAGATTATATATAATAAGCCTCAAATAAAGGTAATGTGGCTGATGGAAACTAAGATTGAAAAATTTCAGAAATTCCTCTTATGTATGGGGAAAGCGAATATATTGACCTTACAGAAAATCCAATTCCACAATCAAAATCGTGATGAAAGCATGATAAAGATATCAAGGTTTGTAGTTCTGCCTTATGATATACCTAAAATATTTTTATGTTAAGGTGTTCAAAACTGAAGAAGTAATTTTTTAGAGGTGAAACGAAATTTTTGAAAAAAATTCAAACCGATTTTGACCTCGTTAAAACCTTACAAGTAGAGTTCTGGGGGACAATTAAACCAAATCAACAAACTTAGAAGTTGCGAAATTATGTCTAAGTGTTAAATATCTTGCAATTTAGCGTTTTTTTGCATTATTTGATGACGAAATAAGTCATCGAAATTAAGTTTCTTGGTTGGATACTAACATCAGCACGTATCGGAATAATTGAGGACTTCATGAAAAACGTTGGAGAATAATAGCTTGAGAATCGAGAAGGTTATTTACGATTTAAGTTTCAAGATTAACTATGATGAGACTGCATATAAGTCAAACTTGTTTCAGAATTTTAGAATTTTCAATGTGTAACACATCCAGTGCGAACTTCGCGCAATTACAAACTAAACCGGCACTAAATAAAGGCCCATTTTCAAGCGGATGGCTGTATTAATTTTTTTAAATAATTTAACGAATAATCAATGTATCAAAAAATTGTTCATACAAAAATTCGAAATTTAATCAGAGAGCCATGTAACACTGGTTCTAGCTAAGTAGCATCAATTACAACACGACTCAACTTTAAATCAACGCAAAAAGTGAAACTTCAAATCAATTATTTAATAGTGGAAATTTTGAAATCTCTGCTATTGAGGCAATCGGTGTAATTGATCCTGAATTTTTCTTATACGTAAGAAGATGATGGGCAATTTCTTCTGTTTACAAAAATGACAGTTTAGATGTAATTTCATGTAGTTCGCTATACGTCTCGTTTCGGTTATTTATATCCAGCACGAATTTGCCTAACCAACGACATTTTTTGGTAGCAATGAACAGCGCGATTTATCGTGAAGATTAAGACCTGTTTGTAACCTAGAGCGAATAGAATTGAATCTAATTTCAAGACTAAACTATACCTTTGGTCCTTAAACAATAGTAGATTATTTTGAGTTCATTGATGTGCTGAAAAGAGTTCCTCAAATGTATCATTATCTCATAATGCATTTTCTTTTTTTATTACATATCTATATAATCTATATACTTACTCATAATTGTAATAATCTATTTCTAATTTGAGGATCCATAAATTGTAAAACTTGATTATTCCATATTTCATCACCTAATAAATGTTTATAATTTTTAATTAAATCAATAAATAAATTTTGTAAATCTTGACTTGCATCTTGATAAGTAGCAATACAAGTTAATAAACATGCCAAATTTTTAAGACCTTGTTGAGATTGCAAACCACCAAATCCATGATCTGGATTTTTAGAAATCATATTAATCATACCCATAAAACCACTTTCTTTTTCATTATTATCTGCCAATGTTAAAAATTTAGAACACCAAGGGATTATAAATTCATTAATACGTGAAGATACAATATCTGAACCATTTATACCCATTCTACCAAGACATATAGCCACATTTTCAATCACTGTGCTTTGTATATCTGAAGAATTTATAATTGGAGTTAATAAATCAACTAGATTATTAAGGTATTGTTTTATATCTTGTTCTGGTAATCTTATTATCATTTCACCCAATGCCCAAATTGCATTATTATAAACTGGGAATGTCTCATATGATCTTTGATTTATTTCATTTCCTATTGATAATATTATTTGATGTAATTTTGGTTTAATTAAATCTATTGTGAATATAGCTAAATCTCCTAATAATGCATAAGCACTTTGTCTTACATCAGCATTATAATCTTCAAAACAAATTAATAATAAATCTATTAAATTTGATTTTGTATTTTGTTGAATTAAATCAATTGAATGATATTCGAAACCTTGAATTAATCCATCAATCAAATCTAATGAAGTAACCATAAAATCTTTTTCTGGTGCCTCTATAGTTGGATTTGTTAAACATTCTTGATCTAATAATATACAATTTGATAATATTTTAATAGCACGATCATATACCGGTATGGCAAATGGTGCAAAAATTTCTCTTAAAGTTGCAGCTATTGATGCCATACATTCTAATAATGGCCATAGATCATTATCATCATCATTTAACATTTCCCATTTTTTCAATAATGGAGGTAATAAAATATTTACATATTCTTGTTTTGCTGATAAATTTTCATAACCCATTTTTTCAACAAATGTTTGAATACAATCATATAATATTATATAATTTTTACGTTGATAGATTAGTAAACATTTTGAAAATAATTCAAGTAATGGTTCTAAATATGGTGTTATTAAATTTGAATCACTTTCTTCAATAAATGATGATAATGCAGAACATGCAGCTTCTTGAACAATTTTTTTAGAATCTAAAGCACATGTTATAATAGATTGGAAAGTAGGTCCAAAATAATTTGAATATTGACCACCTTCATGAGCTTCTTCACTTACCCAACTTGAATATCTACTTAATGTCCAACATGTAATTTGTCTAACTCTTGGTTCTTGATCTTGTAATCTATCTACTAAAAATGGAACTAAATCAGGTAAATTATCTCCTGCTAATTGTATAAAACTTTGCGACATTGCACCAAAAGCTAGAATTGCAGCTTCTCTAATTGGCCATTCTTTTGATACAATTTTTTCTTGTAATATTGGTAATGTAATTATCAAAACTTCTTGTGGTAAATTTTCACTTAAAACATCTAAGGTAGCAGCACTACATTTTCTCAAACTCCATTGATTTAATTCTGCATTATCTTCTAAATCTGAATCTGAATCATCACCAGATTCTGAATCTGATTCATAACCATTTTTAAGTTTACTTGATCCATTATTTTTTGTCTCTTTTGACTTTATATTCGTTGGTTTTATATCTTCATCTTTATCTTGTACTGTTGAATCATCTTTTGAATCAGAAATTTCAATCAATAAAATATCTTCTTCTGAATAAACCATTTTATCTAATAATATAGGTAGAATCATACTAATTTTTTCATTTGTACAAATCTCTTTTATATCTTTTGCAGTTGATAAAGCTAATAAAAATTCACAAGCTTCTAAACTAACTTCATTTGAATCATTTTGTTGCATTAAATGTAAACAGTAATTTATAACACCATCTAAATGAGGTTTTAATTTATCTGGTCTTGATTCTAATATTAATAAAAATGATTGACATATATTTTTAGAAACTTGTTGATTATGATTTATTTCAGCAATTTCAAAAATTTTCATTAAATATTGATCTAGTATAACTAGGAAAGATTGAGTATTTAATGGTATAAATTGATTTATACAATAAATTGAATTTGAAAGTATTTTATTATTTGAATTGTTTAACAACTGTAGTAAATTTTGTATTATAAAATTTGATGGTTTCGTCAGGCCAATTTCTTGATCTAATTCAACTGTTGAATCTTCACATATTTTACTTAATGCGGATAATGCAGCTTCTTGTTGAATTGAATTTGAATTACTATTTATTATTTCAATTAAATTTGTCAATATTTCAGGCCATTGATTTAATCCATAAATTGAAAATAATGAAGTTATTACATTCCCTGTTATATTTCGAATTAACGATTCCCGAGACATTAAGCCATGTAAAATATTTTGTAAAACATATTGTCTGTTTTCAGATCTGTTTTTTAATATATGATTTTTTAAATTTATCCCTGCAGCAGCTCTTACATCTGATCTTGTATTTGAATCATCGTGAATCAATAGGTTTAATAAATAATTTTCAATTTCTTGTTGTTGTTTTGCTTCATTTAAAGCTTCATTTGCCAATTTTCTTTCTTGATTATTTGAAGACAAAGTACCTTGAAAAATATGTTTCAATTGCTCTAGGGCATGTGGATCAACATTCCAAGAAGTTGACATTTTCGAAATCAACCTTCGATAGACCTTGATAAACAAAAAAGAAAAAAAAAAAAAAAAATTTAAAATATGATGAGATAAAAAATAATATACAGTCGTAAATATACATTAAAATACCCCTTAAGAATCTATTTCAATATTTCATCTAATTCTGCCAATTTTTCTGCTAAACCATCAAATTTACCTAATATAGGCATAAACATTTCATGAACTGGTTTCAGTTTTCTTCTTTCTTCAATTGGTGTAAGCGAATTCATCGATGTTAATGGTGTAATATCTTCATTATTTGAATCAGTACTACTTGTTTCATCATCAATCATACTTGTTGAGCTTTTGGGTATTTTGTAGGATATTTGTTGTATATGTTTATTTGTATTGGAAGTTTGTGGATGATAATTATTTGTATTTAATTGTAATGTATCATTTGAATTTGATTTTGGAATACGAGTATTTTTGGGTACATGACATTGTGAATTATTTGGTGTTGAAGTCTCAAGTCGATCATTATCATTGAATTGTGAAGTAGGAGAATCTTGAGTTAAATCAATTGTAATTTTTTGGGGTATATAATCGTCTTCTTCATTATTATCCTCATCTGAATGATCTCCATAATTCTCAAATGAAAAATCATTTTCTTCACTGTCATAATCTTCGTCTTCTTCATCATCTTGTAATTGCAATTGATGTTCTATATCACTTGTAACTTTAGTTAATCTGTCTAGTATAACAGATCTTCTCAAAGTTGTAACTCTTTCAGTTCTTTCATTCTCTATATTATTTGTGGTTGGGGGTGATTTTTTCAATGGAGTATCAGGTGAATATGAACCAATAGATATATTATCAGGAGTGTTTAAATGTTGTTTAGGTTGTGTGAATAAATCATATTGTTGTATAATTGGAGTTTCATTCACTGGTGTTGGTGATTTTGAATGTTTATTTATGATTAATGGAACTTCAGTTGGATATACATCACTTAATACTTCATTTTCTAATTCTTCATCTTTGATTTTCGGTGGTGATAAATTATTATAATTTTCAAGGTTCTGTCGTATCTTGACATTTGTAGATTCTGATTCATCATCTTCACTTTCTTTATCATCGTCTATTATGTTTTGTAGATCTTCAAATCTCACTATTTTCAGTCCCTTGGAATGTTTTTGCTCCACATCTTCAATTAACAATTTTTCAACCTCTTCATTTTTGAAACAATTCAACCTTGCCAATCTCTCTTGATATGTTTCGAGACATTCGGCAGGTACAAATCCTATTTTTTCATCTTCTGAATCTGAATCGAGTTGAATATCCAGATTACTCCTTTTAATTCTCTCAAATTTGGATAATTTCTTTATTAACCACCAATAATTATCACTATCATTCAATAAATATACAGCCTCATCTCTAGATAAATTACAATGAGCTGGATCGGGTCCACTAAAATCATATAAACCATATAATTTATCAGGGTCTAAATCTTTAGGTGGCGAACGAGGTGGTGAAGGAGGTATTATAAAATTATCATCTGTTATTTCATCATCATCATCATCATCAATACTGAAATCATAATTTTCACTTTCACTGGTTGAATAAAATATACCATATTTCTTTTCTTTATTCTTTTCTTTATTCTTTTCTTTATTCTTTTCTAATTTAGTTAATGAATCTTTTCTCGTTAATTTATTTGAAACAACTTTATCATCATTGTAATCTTGATTAAATTTCGTATTCATAAATTTATTATTTCTATCGTTGAAAATTTCATTGGGATTAAATATAGATTCATGAACTCGACTAGTTTTATCTTGTTCTTCTAATTGAATTAAATTTAAAACTTGACTTTGAATATTTTGCTTGCCATATCCTAATAAGTTTTGATTATGTATGACTGACGAAGAATTGGATTGTAAATCATCTATGATATAATTATTTGACTCTAATTTTGATTCTAAATCATTTATAACTTTATTTGTATTATTTAATACTTCATCATTGGGTGGTGGTAAACTATCCATTATTAGAAACTTTAAAATATGAGTATTTGGAATGAGTGTGTATATGGAGTAATAAAATATTATTCGGTGGTTGATGGCTTCTACTTGTAAATTTATTGCTATGGTTGTTACTTAATGTTGATGGCTGTTGTTGTTGTTATTATGTGTGTTGTATAATATAGATATTGTGCTTGGTTATGTATTTTATCTATTGAAAAAAAAAAAAAAAAATAGCCTGTGTCGTGTATAATTTACAATATTATTAAAAGGAGATAAAACAATTCCACAAAATAATGTACAATAATGTTTTAGCCTTATTATGGAGTATTGGACTTCTATTTATAGTTTATGTGCTTGTGATTATTAGTATTGTAGACTATTGCATTTAGATGTTTCTTGAAGTGAAGCTATATGTGACCAATGAATTGGTATAATAAACGCGTTTAATATTATTTAAACTTCATTCAAATTCACAATATTATTTAAGGAATATATTGTTTGTTGTTTCACTAGAGAATTCTCTATTGTCTAGAACATCATTATTTACTATTTATTATTTCTTATTATTATGTATTATAATTTATTATTATTTATTATTGTTTGTTATTATTTATTATTATATGGCACAAGATTGATTTATAGTTTTTCAATTTCCGCGTGTGTTTTGATTTTTTAGGCCCGTTACGGCCAATTATAACGTCGTACTAACGTTATTAAAATGAGAATAATAGAACGTTTGTCTTTGAATATAAAAAAAAGATTTACAAATATGATATGACTTCTATTGTGATATAGATGATGATTTTAGTCAATTTTGTACTATTACCAAAGTTTAATTCTCGAGACTTTTGTACGTCAAATCAAGAATGTTATAGATTTGATTCAAGAATGTTAAGTTAAACAAGAGATCTCTGTAATATTGCATCATCAGTTATGTTATGTTTGTTATAATATGTTTGTTATAATTATGTTTGTTATAATATATTTGTGTTAATATTTAATTTTGTACATATTTAAGTAATTTATTTTTTAATAACTTCATTAATAGCATTTGCTAAATATTCAACATTATTATCATTTATACCAGAAATACTAAATCTACCATCTTCTGTAGCATAAACACTAAATTCATTTCTTAATCTAATAACTTGTTCAGGTGTTAAACCAGTATAAACAAACATACCTCTTTGTTTTAATAAATGATCCCAATTATAATTTGATTTATCCAATTTTTCATATAATTTTGATCTAACAGTATTAAGACGACCAACAACTTTATTTAAATCATTTAACCATTGGTCTTTTAATCCTGGTTCTTCAAATATAATTTCAACAATTTTTGAACCATGAATTGGAGGACTTGAATATATTGGTCTAATTAATTTTTTTAATTGAGATTCAACAGCTTTTGAATCATTTGAATTTGCAGTAATGATTGAAATTGAACCAGTTCTTTCACCATATAATCCCATATTTTTAGCAAATGATTGACATAAAGCAAATGTTGGAATTTCATTTTCATTTGCTTTTTTAGTTAATTTACGAATTAAATAAATATCTTCATATGGTTTACCTGATGCAAAACCTTGATAAGCCATATCAACTAATGGGAAAAATTTCTTATCTTGAATAATTTGTAAAACTTCATCCCATTGTTCACTTGTTAAATCCATACCAGTTGGATTATGACAACATGCATGTAATAAAACAACAGATTCGTTTGGTGCATTAATTAATGATTTTTTTAAATTTTCAAAATCTAAATCATTAATTGAAGTTTCATAATAATTATAAAATTCTGGATCTAAACCAGCATCTTTAAAAACAGCAACATGATTTGCCCAAGTTGGTTTTGGAACCAAAATTTTTTTATTTGAATAAAATCTATTAAGGAAATCAGCAATAACTCTTAATGAGCCAGTACCTGAAATTGTTTGTGAAGTAACAATTCTATTATCCTTGATTAATTGTTCACCATTTGCGTCTTTACCACTATTGTTGAAAATGAAATTTTTAACAATATTTTGAAATTTTTTAGATCCAATAATTGGAGTATATTCTTTTTCATTTTCTTTTTGTAATAAAATTTCTTCAGCTCTTTTAACTGATGGGAAAATAATTGGTTTACCTTGATTATCTCTATAAGCACCAACCCCTAAATTAATTTTTTTGGAATTTGAATCATTAATATAAGCTTCAGTAATACCTAAAATTTTATCAGGTGGAGCTAAAGGAATTTCATTCCATTTTAATAATTGACAAGTTGATGATAAAAATCTTGTTGATTGAATATATTGTTTTTGAGTTTGTTTAATTAATTGTGATTTATACATTTTAAATTAAAAACTCAATTGATAAAGAATAAATCAAAAAATCAAGGAAAGAAGGAAATAAAAGTGAAAAATCGTTGGAATATGAAAAATATAATTGGTATATATATATATAATTCAAATGGTTAAAATCGGTTTATTGAAAAAGTGAAAAATTATTTTATTAGTATTCCATACATAATTTTTTAAATAAGAAAAATTAATTTTAAAGCGAGATTTCGTTCCAAAGTTATTATTTACCGCTATGAATTCCAAATTTAATACTGTTGAATTGGCCAACGAATTGTAGAAATTTATGCGAATAGTTTCGAGCGAAGTTTTTCGTTCATACCGAACTTCGAAAAAAAGTGGGGATTTCTCTTTGTTTGTTTAAACTAATAATTTGAGTCACATTCAACAGCTGAAATCAATTTGATCGATTCTATTGGTCGAATCTTTCCTTTCTTAACTCTTTTTACATGATTTGAACTCAGTTTATGAATTAAACTCAAAGCTTAAAGCTTCGTTTAAACTCAGTCTCGGTTTTCTTAATCCCTATTGGTTTAAATTTTCAATGCCTTTTTATTACATTGCAATCAGACCATAGATAATAATTATGGCTAAATTCGGGATAACGGATCTGCATATGAGTTTTTTGACTCCCCCTCTGCAACTGGTAGCGACGGCTTCATTATATTATACAATTTAATAACCGAGTTATTAAAATTAAAAATGGTTGCAAAATATACTCAAGTGTTGAATTATAAACATTTAAAACAGCTGGTTGCAAAGTTTGAATGACAAAATTAACTTATAGAATAAGTTCTTACTAATTGAAAGCCTCCTTAGGCATTGTTGTTGCTCTTAATTATAATTTCGAGCTAAACATAAATTTTATTTTAGTCTATATTTAAATTAAAATCTAGTATTAGAAAACACCTTCTATTGTTATCGTATACATGAGCTTGTTCTTCAACTGCTTTTAATTTTCCAACATTGAAGCTGTACTTTTTATACTATGTCAAATTTTTTGAAATTTGGCTCCAAAATTATATAAATTTTTGCAGCACACAAAAGATTGCAAGAGATGATTAAAACACCTAAAAAAAAAAGACTTATTGAACTTTTTAGTTAGCTGATTACACAGACGAAAGAGACATTTGGTTAGAGTCTATTTGACAGGAATCAAAACTTCAAAAAAAAAGTGCAACACCGTAAATTTCAAAAATTAAGGTCCCACCGAGATTCGAACTCAGGTTACTAGAAATTTTAACGCGGTTACATCAAAATCTAATGTGATAACCACCTACACTATGGAACCAATCCAACTGTGCTAGACGAGCTGTTGTTGAAAAAAAATTTTCAATGTAAATCAGACCTTATTTTTAAACTGGTGCCGGAACTCGAAATATACTCGAAATATTTAACACAACCCTTCATGTTGATTCTTGTGTTTATGAGCTTAAAGCATCAAGATTGTAGACCAATATGTGTTTTAGATGCTGCTGTTACACTTAAACTGTGTTTGTGCATTCTACGATCAAATTCATTCTTAACCTCAAAAAATTGCTACCATGTGTGATTCAAATTTTTGATGTTGCAAATTGATCATTTTTAGAACATGAGATCAGCTGTTGGTCTAAAACAAACCTACAATATTCTAAGTAAGTTACTAGATTTTGTGCACAGTCTAACGTTCTCGATGTGCATCGTGAAATTACGATGTTGAATTGACGACTGACAGTGACTATTTTTACATGAATTGATCATATTTTAAGATCAGAAGAGAATAACAATGTCAGACGATATTGCGCTTCAACTTACCCCATAGACATTCTGTTTTCAATTGCTCTCAGCTTTTCATTGTGGCATAAGTCGAAATTCTCAAGGAATCAATAAATAATCCATATTGTTGGGCCAGCATCTACATGTTTTATATGTAGACAGAATTACAACCTAGAAGACAACAGAAGTATAGTCACGATTTGTTTGTTGGTATGTTTCAAATGATATAGGATTATGTACTTGGGTAAAACCAAAAAATTACTATGTACTTTATACCTTGAATTATAAACAAATCACAAAACTATATTATCTAATGCACAATAATTTTCGGTTCTATGATAAGGAAGCTCTAATAACTGAGACTAAATCAGCATAATTGAATCCGATTTTTTACGACCTTGCATTTCTTCAACTTGCAATCGATCGTTACCAAAAGCTGCAAAAACATATTAACTGTTTATCGTAATCTTATATAAATAGTTGAGTATATCATTATAAATAGATTTCTCTTTCTTTAAACTCCCTAATTTCACTTCATGCTCGACATGGCTTCAAAATTACCACGTAAAATTCTACAATGTTCTTGGGTTTATAAATGTACTTATTGTAACGAAATATATACCAATAGGTCAATATGTAGAACACATCAACAAATCATACCCGCTTTAGATTCTGATTCAGATATCCGTATGATTGAATTACCATAGATAAATAATTGATAAAGGGTCTTTTTGCTTATCAAATTTACGAGTAATTACACAAAATCCATTGAAATCAATCAATTAGGAAATTTAATATAAAACAAATTATATTATCAAATTCAAAATTAATATAAAAAGGAGGACAAATGTAGAAGTTTTGAAAATTGTGAAAAATTAATCAAAGAATTACTATTAGAATTAGAGGGTATAAAAAATATGAATGTTCTCATTGTAAACTTGAGTTTGATAATGCTGAAGAGTGAAATTAACATAGACGTCGCTGCTTAAATTATTAGCCGTAAATTATTAACTGCAGCTCAACTAATTGACATCAATGCTGTTGAATCGATTGCTGCTGGAAAGCTACTAATAAGATGTTTAGCTGATTAAAACGAATATTGGACTTGATGTTTAACTGATTAAAATGAAAATTGGATTTTAAACTTGCTTGAATACTGTTTATTATCAATAAATAAAATTCAATAATCCACCTTGAGTATTTCTTATTATCCCCTCTTGATCAGATCCCATATTGTTTATTTCTTAAAATCATTTAAATCCCTTCCTGTCTTTTCTTTTATAAATTTATTAGCTTCTTTTTCAACATGATCATAAATCAAATTCTTTTGTTTAAAATAACCTGAAATACGTAATATAATAATTAATTTATCATAACAAGTTTCACCAAATGATAAATATTGTCCAAACCAATTTCTAACATCAATTGAACTGAAATGAGAAACATCAAAAACTAAACCTGTATTTCTATGAACAGATGCTAATATAATAGACACCATAACTAAATCAATTGCATAATGAGTAATTTTACCAAACATCTTTGTATCTAATTCATTGATAATTTGTCGTAGATTTTTGTGTGGTGATAAAAAAAAAAAGAATTGATTATAATGAAATTAATTGATTCTTTTAAAGATGCAATTATAAATGAACAAAAATCAGAAAGTTTAGAATATGAGAGTTTAAGTGCTAAGAAATTATATCAATTGAATCTAGCTGTTTTCGATTTAGATATTGTTAATTTAAGAACTAGTTTAAATGGTAAATCAGTATTTGAATTAAAGATCAATTCAAATATTGATGATGTTTCCATAAAAAATGGTGACATTATAAAAATTAAATTCATGAAAGATAAAGATAAAAAAGATGTTGGTATTGATGGTGTTGTTTTAAAATGTACAAAGGAAAATATTTCAGTTGTAATTGATGAATCGGTGAGTGATGATGAGATTTTGCAATATTATAATAATACCGACAAGAGTGATTCTAGAGTTTGTTTGATTAAAATGGGAAATTCAATAACGTACAAACGTATGTTAATAACAATGGATAAATTAAACACTTTTGATGCAGGTGATAAGAATGACATTCATAGGATTTTACTTGGAGAACTGAAACACACTATTAATGAAGAAAAAACTAATTTTCAGTTGATCAACCAGAACTTGAATCCGTCACAACGTCAAGCTGCGGAATTTGCTACCAAATCAAATATATCTGTTATTCATGGTCCACCAGGGACAGGTAAGACTTATACTTTAATTGAATTAATTCAACAATTGACAAATATGGGTGAAAAAGTTCTAGTATGTGGTCCATCAAATATATCAGTTGATTTAATAATAGAAAAATTATCTAAATCTTACAATACTTCTGATATTATAAGAATTGGTCATCCTGCAAGATTATTGCCAGTAAATTTACAACATTCATTAGAAGTTCAAAGTAGGTCAAATGAAGGTAAAGAGATAATTAGAGATGTTGAAAAGGATATAAATTCCACATTAAATAAGATTAAGAAAGTTAAACGATATGCTGAAAGGAAAGAATTATATCAAGAATTAAAATTTTTAAAAAAAGAGTTACGTATAAGGGAAAAGAAAATTGTGAATGATCTTCTTCAAAATGCGAAAGTCATAGTTGCAACATTACATGGATCAGGATCGTATGAACTTCGAAATTTGAAATTTGATACTGTAATAATTGATGAAGTGGCACAAGCATTAGAACCACAATGCTGGATACCATTAATGAATATAAATAAAGACTTTAAAAGGTTTGTTATAGCAGGAGATAATTTACAACTACCCCCAACTATCATGAGTAAGAATAAAACTTGCCTAAATTATACTTTATTTGATAGGATAGTTAAATTACATGGTGATAAATTTAAAAAATTTTTAAATATTCAATACAGAATGAATTCGAGTATTATGAAGTATCCTAGTTTGGCATTGTATGAAAATAAACTAAAATGTGATTCTACAGTTGAGACTATAAATCTTTTAGATCTTCCAAATGTTGAAGATAATGAAGACTCAAGAATGAAATGTATATTTTATGATACAATTAAACAATTTCAAGAAAGGAAACTAGACCAAGATGAAACTGGGAAGATAAATAGTAGTATCTCAAATGAAGGTGAGGTGTCATTGGTAAAGTACCATTTACAAAAATTAATAGATAGTGGCGTTAAAGAAGAAGATATTGGAATAATTGCACCTTATTCAGCACAAGTGCAATTAATTAAAAAACAATTTGAAGATACAAAAATTGAAATTTCTACAGTTGATGGATTTCAAGGTAGAGAAAAAGAAGTTATAATTCTTTCATTAGTTAGATCAAATGATGATAATGAAATTGGATTTCTTGCTGAATCTAGAAGACTTAATGTTGCAATTACAAGAGCAAAAAGACAATTGTGTCTTATTGGTGATCTAGAATTACTCGGTAAGAGTAAAAATAAATTCTTGGTTAATTGGAGTAAGTATATTGAAGATGGTGTAAGTGAAGGTACCATTGAACCTTATGAAATAATATATCCAGATGTTCTTGATTATATAGAATAATAAATATTAAGTAACCAAGGAGATGAAGTATGCTAGTAATTTAAGTATATTACACGTTCGATTCTGGATCTAAGATTAAAAAATAATAAAAGGGGTATTTTTAAATAATAACAAAAATAATGACACAAAAACACGAACATTTCTTTTTCTTTTTTTTTTTTTTTTTTTTCGATTAAGGTTCCAAATGTAAACAGAGTTAAAAGTTTAAATTTAATTGTTGCAAAAAGATCTCAATTAAAGATTATACGATCTTTGAGAACTAGTGAAGATCAATTTCGACACTTTCTCATGCATTTGACTCTCTGTTGATTTGATGTATTATAACGTGGATCAAAAAATTTCACGATTAAAGTTTCTTTTTTCCTTTTGTTATTATTATTATTTGAAATTTTTATTTCTTGGACCATCAAAATAAATAAATTGAACCATAACAAAGGATTATAATAAACGTGAAGTTATTCTTATAAAATGTAACAAAATCTCTGAGAATTTTAAACTTTAAACTTTAGACTTTAAACTTTGGTTAAGATGAAGCTGGTAATTCTCCAAATTTTAACAATTATTAGTTTGGCCGTTGCTGAAACAATATATGAAACAGAAACAGAAACGGTTTATGTAATTAAAGAACAAACAACAACTACAACAGCTACAACTTATTTCAACCACACTGTATATTTGAACTATACCAATTCATCAACTACGTTAACTAATAGTTCAATTTCATTAACTGACTTATCACAGACCAGTTCTGCAAAAGTCGAACCAAAAGTAATTGTACAGCCTATTGTTACTGAAATAGTTGTACCTGTTGAAGATGTAGTTGAACCAACACCAGAACCAATTGCAGTTCCAGAGCAAGTTGAAGTAGTTGCCCCAGAACAAGCTGAAGTAGTTGTTCCAGAACAAGCAGAAGCAGTTATCCCACAACCAAAAACCACTCCAAAACAACAACCTACAACATTAGTAACATCAGAGAAACCAAAAGCTACTCAACAAAGTAATTCGGAATTAACTTCATTCCAATCTGATATTTTAAATGCTCATAATTTAAAAAGAGCGGCTCATGGAGTGTCACCATTGAAATGGTCTTCTCAATTAGAAAGTTATGCTCAAAATTATGCAAATGCTTATGATTGTTCAGGAAACTTAAAACATACAGGTGGACCTTACGGAGAAAACTTAGCAGCTGGTTTCAAATCAGGCAGTGATTGTACACTGGCGTGGTAGTTTGTAGACAAGTTTATTGAAGTGGTTGGCAACTCGTTCTTTCATTGGAAAGCTCAGAATGTCAATTTATTTTAAAGAATTTTTACTAACTAATATCTAGTTCTGAAGGTTTAAACTATGATTATTCAACAGCTACAAGGTTTGATCATTTTACTCAAGTTATATGGAAGAGTACTACTGAATTGGGATGTGCCTATAAAGACTGTAGCTCGAATAACTGGGGAATGTATATTATCTGTAGTTATAATCCACCAGGTAACTTCGTTGGTCAAGGTAAAGAAAATTTAATGCCGCCAGTTTGAATCTAGAGCTAAAAGTGTGTAAAGGGAATAATATATTGTTTAAAAGTTTATTATGTAATCTGTACCTTATTTATTATATATTGTTTATTTTGTCTATTGTTCTGTATAATTTTTTTTGTAATGGGTTGTTTCATCTCAAAATGTTAAAATTATTTACAATGAAGAGAAGAGAGAACAATCGACATAAGAACTAGAGGCTGACTAACATTGTTCATTTCAAATCAAAGTTAGCTTTTAGTAGAGAGCTTAGATTTTTTTATTGTTCTATAATTTCTTAACTATTTCATGCATCAAAACGTGTTGATTCGCCTTTTTCAGCTTATAAAGCCAACCAATTACAATTTGAATTAGATGAAAGGATCCTCCTTGCAAAAATTAAGGATACTAACTATGATGGAACATTCCTTTGCTCTATACGAGGAGATATCGCAGTGAAAAATTTTATATCTTAAACCTTACTATCAACTCTGCTGATCCTTTTCATAAATAGCTAAAAATTAGTGGATCTGTATATAGCACTACCACTTGGTCTCAATTAGTTAATCACCTTACTGTAAATAGAACAAAGTCCGATGTTTTCAACAAATCGGTACAGTTGGAATAAATTTGAGGAAAAGAAATTTTAAACTTTCATACTCCTTAATTTCAACTAACAATTCTCGATTAGGAAATGCTGCACTTTTATTTAAAACACGTAAAAAAATAAAAAAAAAAAAAGTTTAAATTTGCACAGATTTATTGTTTTGAAATTGTTTTAAATTAGTGATCTACTGGTTATAAGAATTCCAATACATATTTAGTATATTGTAGTGAACACGCTCTTGTAGTTCTGGATTTGCTTTAACTATTTCAATTAGCAACAATAGATAAAGGTAAGAAATAAATATACAGGTAATAAAATAATCTTTAAAAAGAATAAAAATAGTATAATTCTATAAACATTTGATGCAATATGATTAACCTCCTTTTTTTATTTACATTTCATATAAATATATTTAAGTTTCTCTAAATATCTTTTAAATTTCAACAACTTTTCATTCATTTTTATTACAACCTTAACTTAGTTACTTTCATTTTATAATTTAACTATCGCTCCATTCGTTGTAATTAGTTTTTCATAATCCTATAATCAGTCACTCCTTATAATTCAAATTACAGGATTTATTTAAAACAATTTCATTCATTTATTATTTACATAGTTAATATTATTACTACTTTCATTGAATTAAATTTGACCACTTTACACTACTACGCGAAATATGAAATTTTCAACTGTTCAATTTGCAACCATTGCATCTACTTTATTATCAAAAGCTTTAGCTGATATTGTTTATGTTACCAAGACTAATCAAGTCATTGAATATGCTACTATAACCGCTGGTGGTGAACAAGAAGCATATACTACTTCATCAGTTGTTGAAAGTATCGAAACTGGTGTTTCATTACCTTATACTTGGGTTTTTTCAACTAATGTTTTAGGTCAAGATATCGTCTTTACAAGTGTTATTTCAAATGATGTAAATCAAGCTTATAGAACATTATACGAAGAACATGTTATTGTTCAACAAGGTGATTATTTATCAACTCAAACTTTAATTGTTCAAGCAAATCCAACTACTTTAGCTACTTCAACTTTGAATAGTTCATCAATTCAATCAAGCTCAGTTGAAGGTACTGCTATTGCTGCCAAATCAACTTCACAACAAGCTGAAATTCCAACTGCTATTGATTCAACTTCTTCTTCAAGTGATGTTGCTCCAATTTTAACTATTGAACCAACTACCACATCAATTGCTTCAACTTCATCAGCTCAAGAAACTACCCCATCAACTACTTCAACTCAATCATCATCAACTTCTTCATCATCAAGTTCAGATTCAGATTTTGGCGATGTTCAAGATGTTTCATTTGCTAAAGCTATTTTAGATGCTCATAATGAGAAAAGAGCTATCCATGGTGCTCCAGCTTTGAAATGGGAACAATCTGCTTATGATTATGCTCAAGCTTATGCTGATCAATATGATTGTTCAGGAAATTTAAAACATTCAGGTGGTAAATATGGTGAAAACTTAGCTGTTGGATATTCAGACGGTCCAAAAGCACTTGAAGCTTGGTAGCATGTTACGAACCTTTCCATTTGACAGCTCATTCTTTTCGTTGCAAAAGGGTGGATGCCATGTGGTTTAATTTTGAAGAAGTTTTTACTAACTATAATCTAGTGATGAAGGTCAAAACTATAACTATGATTCTGAAAACAATTACGATCATTTCACCCAAGTAGTTTGGAAGTCAACTACAAAAGTTGGATGTGCCTACAAAGACTGTAGTGCTCAAAACTGGGGCAAATATATTATTTGTTCCTACGATCCAGCAGGTAATGTATTGAATGCATTCAAAAAGAATGTCCTTCCACCACAATAAACTACAATGAACGTTGTGCTCAAGAAAGGAAAATTTGGTTTTTAAGTACCTCTTATTATAAGTAGGTATAGGATTGGTTTTATTTTCGTAAATTTCCTTCAATTTGTGTTTTTTATAGGCTTGTTATTTTTATACGTTTTTCTGGTTTCAAATTATTGGTATTCTAACTTAGTACATACGTTGTTCTCGAACTTTAAGCCAATGAGTTCAATTCGAGTCGCCTTAAAAATTGCGCGAAGAAAAGATTATGTAGGCCTTAAAATTGGGGCGAGAATTAAATACCCAATTAGATGAATTCTGAAACAAATTTAACTTATATGCAGTATCATTATATTTGACCTTGAAACTTAAATCATAAATAACTCCGTTAGTTTTCAAGTTGTTACCCTCAATTTTTTGGTGGAGTTTCCAATCATCTTGGAGCAAACTGATGTTACATTCCTGAGAAGCAGTCATAATTTTAGTGATTTTATTCAACATTCAAAAAATGCAAAAAAAACGCTAAATTGCGAGATAATCAATATTTAGACATCATTTTCCAACTTCTATTTATTTGCTGATTTGGTTTGATTAAGCCCCAGAAACCTACCTGTAATATTTTTAAGACGTCAAGATCGGTTTGAATTTTTTCAGAAATTTCATTTCACCTCTGAGAAATTACTTTTCTAATTTTCAATACTTAACATCAAAATATCTTAAAATTATAATGCAGAACTACACATCTTGATACTTTTATCATACTTCTATCTCAACCCTGATTGTGGAATTAAATTTTTCGTAAGGTCAATATATTCGATTCTCCCCACATTTAAGAGAAATTTAAAAATTTTTGAATCTTAGATATGATCACTTATGATTATGCTCAGGCACTTTGTTTGAGATAATATCAAGTATAATTAGCTACTTAACTGAAAGCTTTTGCCCTAAGTTTATATACTTAGCGAATTCATTTTTTGCAAATTTTTTGTATGATGAAAAATGGCCAAAATAACAACTCAAAAAACAAAAGTTTGAAAACATCAACTTGTGCTATGTAGAATGCATGATTTACCTCTTTTGATTTTGTATGTCTTTATTTTCAGAAAATATGTTGTTTCTGACATACAAGCCAATGAGTGCGGTACAAAGCGCCTTAATGTTTGCGCAGGAAAATGAATTTGGCTCCAATTTGGGGCGAGAATTACACATTTCTTATATGCAGTCTAAGAGTAGTTAAACTTATGATTTCGATTTCTTTCAATATTCAAGCTTCATTTCTCAAAATTCTTATCTCTTTCAAAAAATTCAGAAAAATCACTAAATTGCAAAATAATCAGCACTTAGATTCTGTCTAGAAACTTCCAATATAGCTGATCTGCCTCAAATAACCCCGAATTATTTTCAAGATGCGAAAATCAGTTTGAAAATTTTGCAACAATTCTTATAATTTTGTCTGAGACCCTGGTAGCGTTTCCAAGGCTAACATATTAAACGTTTGATTTTTTTAGTTACTCATCTTGAATTAAGAAATATTATAAAACATCGAATAGCTTTACATTCAACGTCGAGTCAAGTTTAATTAGAGTAAAATGAGCAATTCAAGCTCTAATATAGATAACAATACCAATAATGAAGTTACTACAGATAAAAATCTCACATCATCAACAAATATACTAGAGTCGTCATCAATTACCCCATCTTCTTCAACTAATTTAACACAATCAAATGAATCAGAACCACTTCAAAAAGCTACAAGGAAAACTAATCCACGACAAAAAAGAACTGCATTAGCTTGTATTAGGTGTAGAACTCGTCATATAAGATGCCCTGGGGGTGATCCATGTAAAAAATGTCAATTGGCAAAATCAAAATGTGAATATGTTGAAGCAGATAAGAAAATTGTTGTTTCAATGAAATATTTATCAAAATTACATGATGATATAGCAAGATTAAAGAAAGATAATGCAATGTTGAGAAATAATTTAAAAGAACTGGAAGATCGAAATGAAAAAAATCAATATGAATCTACTATATTGTCGCCAAGGAAAGCATCATTTATACCACCAGTTACTAATCAATTTAATACAAATAGTTCAAATCAAGGAGGTGAAGTGATAAATCCATCTTTAGATAAATATGGAAGATTAATTCAATCACGAACAGGTGAAAAAGTTTATGTTGGTTCTTCATCAATGACTTTATTTGGTTTGGAAATTCAGAATATGGTACCTTCATTTGTTTCAAGTTCATTGCTACCAAATTCAACTAGTACTACACCAATTTCATCACCTGGAAGTTTTAATGAAACTACGACAACATCTCCAAAAGCAGAAAGTATGTCAAGTACATCGAGTCGAAAAAGAGAAACTAAAATATTGGAAAAAGAAGGTAATGCTTATAAAATCACATTATCGAAGACCAATACAAGACCTGGATTATCTATTAATTTTTCATTACCGTCATATTCATATGCAATGTTATTAGCTGATACATTCATAAATTATAATGATGGATGTTTTTATTTCTTCAATGAGGGATTAATTAAAAGATACCTATTGAATTTATATTCTGGTAAAAATGAAGAAAATAAGAAAATTTTAAGAAGAAATATATCATTAAATACTAGACCAGATCAAGACCAAAATAGTATAAAGAAAGACCAAGATGATGAGACAATTCTAGAAAGTATTTGGTTTTGTAAAATACTTTTTATATTTGCAATTGGTGAAATGTATTTAGGTACCGAATCAAGTACTCATGTTAAAAACATCAAACTTGAAAATATGAAAAGAAAAGAAAAACGAGAAAGACATACATTACCAGGCTCAGGTTTCTTTTATCAAGCTTCAGAATTATTTACTGGTTTATTTGCTTCTGGTGCAATTGATAATATTACAAAAGATGGTGGGATTGAAGTTATGTTATTATATGCATTTTATTTACAAGTTGCAGATTGTACAATTGCATCATATTTTTATTTTGGTTTAGCTTTAAGGGCTGCTTTAATTCTAGGATGGCATGTTGATGCAGATAATGAAAATTTAAATAGATTTGAATTGGAACATCGACGTAGAATTTGGTGGACTGTTTATATGTATGAAAGAATGTTATCGTCAAAAGCTGGTTTACCATTAAGTTTTGCTGATGATTCAGTTTCAACCGAATTACCAGTTGATTTCAAAATTGACCTAAGCGATTTCCCAAGAGATGAATCAGATGTTAGAGGTTATTATATCTTTCCACCTGCTGATTATATTAATAACTGTGTTACAATTACTCAAATTAATGCTGTTATTTTATCATCATTATATACAAAACAACCAACTTTCAATATTTTACCAGTTGTTTCAGATTTAGTAACTAGATTAATGTCATGGAAAACTTCATTACCAAAATATTTAGATATTGATTTTTCAGAAGAAAACCCCAAAGTATCAAGATTAATTGTTAATTTAATGACTGAATATTTTCAAGGTGTAAATTTAGCAGTTAGACCATTATTATTTCATTTTGCAAGTCGAAAGTTTAAAGAATTGAAGATTTACAATTCACAAAATAAATATATTGATTTAACAAAATATTCCAAAAATGTATTAACATTATTAAATGCATCATTTCAAGCATCTATAAACACAATCAAACTGATTTGGTCATTAGTACCAGATAATATGGTTGCATTATTTGGATGGATGGATAGAGAATATTTATTTACTTCTGCTAGTACATTAATTTTATTTAATGCATCTTTTGGTGTTCATGAAGCTACTAAAATTCATTTAGATCATGCATTAACATTATTTACCAAAATGAAAAGACTAGGAAATTATCCAGCAGCTTTAAAAAGAGCACAATTAATTAAATTAATCAGAGTTTTAGATTTTAATGGAGTTATGGTTGACATTTTAGAAAAACATGATGAAGATTATAATAAAGTGAATAAGGATAAACCTGAAACTAAAGAAGTAATTCATGATTTAACAACAGCAGGACAATCCGTGGTTGATTTTATGCAATTTAATACAAATACAAAACTGGGAGATGTTTATTCAAATCAAGATTTAACAGGAATTGAAGGATTAACTTATCTAGATGAAGAACAAAAATTATGGAATGAAATTACAAATGAAGCTGGTTGGTTAAATGTTCATCAGCCAGATCAACCATCACAATTTGCAAATAAAACACAACCTGATGAAAATAGTTTCATGTTTAATGTAATATCACCAGATATTAATACCCAATTTAATAGTTGTGGTTATTCTGAGTTAATTAATCAAGAATTTCAAGATTTTATGGACCAAACTTAATATATGAAGAGATGTATTTAACTCTTTTATTAATTCTACAAACGTTATCAAAATAAACCGAAATCCATATGGGTCATCGAAGGTGTACTTTTTGATTCATTAGCTTGTTGTAATATTTGTTGCGGTGACAATGTAGACATTGAATTTATACCATTATTTTGATTATTATAATTATTCATATTATTATCATAATTTTGATAATCTTGCGTTGAACTAGGCATTGAATCATTTTGTGGATAATTATCATTCATAAACATATCATCCATTTGTTGAGATTGTGGTTGTTGTTGCATTTGAGGCATTTGTTGAGGAGGTATATTTTGAGGAGGAATATTTTGAGGAGGTATATTTTGAGGAGGTATACTTTGAGGAGGGCCCATATTTGGTTGATGTTGTTGTGGAGTCATATTTTGAGGTGTCATATTTTGTTGTTGTTGTTGTGGTCCTTGAGGTTGTGACATCATTTGTTGATTTTGATTTAACATTTGTTGTTTTCTCATTTCTTCAATTCTGTGTTTTAAATATTGAACAGCATCAGCGTATAATTCTTGTAATTTTGAATATAAATGTTGTAATTCAGGCATGTCCTGTGGTGCAGATAACATTACAGGAAATGATTGTTTTTGAAGTTGTTGTTGATTATTTGGTGAATTATATTTTTCATGAATATAGTTTAAAGTAGCTAAATTACATTGTAATCTTTTAATACAATTACCATATGAATAAGTAATACCTTGTCTTTGTTCTTGAGACATTTGTTGCATAAATTGTTGATTTGTTATAATATTAGTATACATATTAAAGCATTTTTTCATTAAATAAGTATTAATTAATAATAAACACGTTACTCTATCTTTATCCAATGATAGTGGAGCTCTATCTACAAAATCCATTTTATCTGTTTAATGTTTCATGTTCATAATTTTTTTTTTTGGTAATAAATAATTTTTTATTTATATTTTCTATTTACATATTTTTAATTATGGTGTCTAATCTATTACCAACTACTCTTCTCATACCAATAAAAGTCATATCAAATGTACTTCTACCTTGTGTTAATGATCTTAGTTTACTTAAATAGCCGATCATCTCTTTTAATGGTGTCTCTGCTATTATTAATTTTCTATTTATTATATTGAAATTTGAAGATTGTGTATTCTTTAATGTGTAGTCTGGTGGTAAGTAAATCTTTTCACTCTCTTCATTTGCCCAATTGAATGTTTCTATATTATTCATTGATTCATCTTCTACTCCTAAAATTAAAGCAGAACATCTTTGAGTTAAATCGTGAGAAACTTCACCTAAATCATTCGAATCAACATAAACTTTAGTTTTCATAATTGGTTCTAATATACCAAAATCTGATTCATCTTGTTTTATAAATTGAACCGCTTGTCTACTTGCATTTAAGAAATTTGAAATTTGATCTTTATTTTCTTCAATTGGTAAATTCCAATAGTTAACTCTAATTAAAACTGAATGTAATGCAAATCCTAAAACTGGTCCTCCCATTTGTAAAGATGCTAAACATCCATTTATAATTGCTTCTTTAATTTCTTCTATTGAATTTGGACATTTCCATCTTCTTTGTTCAATTGCTTCTTTAATTTCAGATGATGGTTCATCAATTATGATAACATTATTATCTTCTTCAATTATTGTGGCATTTTCACCAGTAAAGTCCTTTGCATTTTCTATTGGTTCCATAGTAACAGAAACTTCAACACCTTCATTTGCAAATTTACCTTCTTCAATCCCTTTTTTACTTGTAAATGTTTCTTTATAAGATACAACAACATCTTTTAATGTACATTTTGCTTTCATGTCTCTTACTAATCTATCTCTAACAATTTCTAAATGTAATTCACCCATGCCACTTAATATAGTTTGACCCATTTCTTCATCAACAAATACTTTTAATGAAGGATCTTCTCTTACTAATTGATCAACACATTTTTTCATATGAGCTTCATCTCCCGCTGTATGAGGTTGTAAACTTGAGTTAAATAATGGTGGTGGTACTTCAATTGGCAATAATTGATAATCTCCATTTACTGGCTGTTTACCAACAGCACTTGAAATTAAAGTATCACCAGTTTGAAAATCAAATTCATAACCTGGTATAACTCCTATATTACCAGCACTTATACTTTTAACTTCTTCAGGATTATCACCATGCATGATTAATAATTTCTTAATCAATATTTTTTTACCAGTTCTAAGGTTTATCAAATTTGAATTTGAATTTAATTTGCCACTATAAACTCGAACAAATGTCATTGGTCCACGAGTTGCATGTGTCATAACTTTAAACGCTAAACTTAATGTTAAATTTGAATTATTATCAACTATTAAACCTTTTTGTTGATCAAATTTGGAGACTACTTGTTTACTCTTTTTATTTTTAATCTCTGGTATATCAGTTTCCAAAGGTGATGGTAAATATTTCGTTATTGCATCCATTAAAGGTTGAACACCAATATTTCTAAATGAAGAACCACAAAATACAGGAGTTACATAATTATCAATTGTTGCTTTTCTAATAACTTTATCTAATAATTGACTAGGTATCTTCAAATAATCTTCATCATTTTCAAGGAACGAATCTATAATTGATTCATCATATTCTCCCAATGTTTCAACCATTGATTCTCTAGATTTACATAAGGGTTCAAATGATTCATGATTTTCATCAATTTCAAAAACATCAATTTCTTTACCAAATTTATCTTCAGTTTTCCATTTAAGCAATTTTTTATGTATAACATCAATCACACCTTTAAATTCCAAATCATTTTCCTTAGAAACTTCAAAATATGGTAAATTACATAGCACAACTCTTGTTTCCAACTTTTGTATAATTTCTTCAACAGTTCTACTGAAACCAGCACCTAGTCTATCCATTTTATTGATATATGCAATTTTTGGTAAATTCAAATTTTTAGCTTGTTTCCAAACTTTCTCAGTTTGTGCTTCAACACCCGCAACTCCATCTAATATAGTAACAACTCCATCTAAAACTCTTAATGATCTTATAACTTCAAATGTAAAATCTGCATGACCCGGGGTGTCAATTATATTAATTTTATGTTGATTCCATGGTAATGTTATAGCTGCAAGTTGAATCGTTATACCTCTTTCTCTTTCACTCGGTAGATAATCAGTAACTGTATCTCCTTCGTCGACATTCCCCATTCTATTAGTTTTACCACTATAATAAATCATTCTTTCTGTAGTTGTAGTTTTACCTGCATCTATATGAGCAATTATACCAATATTTCTAGTTTTAGGTAGTTGAATATTATTAACTTTTGAGTAACATCGCAGTAGTAGATGTATACATGATTTATATCGATTTGAACTCCACATTAATTAGCAGTATATAAATGATTTGAAAAATTAATTTTTTTTTTTTTTTTTCTGAAACAAATTAGTTACACAAAATTAAAAAAATAAACGCAACATCAAATCATCGAATTCTGATAAATTCAAGCACCAGAAAAGTCAAAAATAATGGCAATAAGGAGAAAATCGGGAATCGAACCCGAGACCTCTTCCATTATAGTGAACTGGTTGTCTTGTCCATCCCTAAGGAAAAATCATACCACTAGACCATTTTCTCACTTACAAGTGTGCCAAAAACGCTAAAATTTCGCAATTAAAATGAATTTTAGGTAGACAACACTGCAATTTCACCCGATGATCGCAACCGTGTTTTTCACCTTTAATCTTGGAAGTTGAGCTATTTGTAGCGGACCCTAAAATCATATTCTCAAACCATAAATGATTATCTGGGAGCTGTTTGATAGCATTAGAAACCAGTTAATTCTCCTCTAGTACATTATTAAGCGCTAATTCTTCATTTGTGGAAAATTTTCATGGAGGCATTTAATAAGCCACATAATTTTCCAAGCACAAGAAGAATACCGCCGTTTTGCAATATCTGCAATTATTAAATACAAACTTATAGAGTATCACAAATGAGTTTATATTAAGATTAGCCTTTAGATTAGTCTTTAGATTATAAAATTATGGCCATTGGTACCCGAAAGCATGAATCTTCAATATTTCCAAGAAATAAATATTATTTTTTAACCCCATAAAATTAATAAAATATTATTTTTTCGATATCGTCGTTTGAATACGAATCAGTTTGGCTTATTAATTTAACTGTTTAAAAAATCTAATTTAGATTTAAATGGAAATAAAATTTAGATTAGTTAAAAATTAAATAAAGAATAACACAGAAGTCGGTATCTCGGGTCGCAAACATTAAGCTAGTCGACAACGAGGTCAACACTTCGGTACTCTATTCTGTCAATGACCCAGAACGCATATTTGACTTCTTTAATTCCGAAAACTAAACTAAACTATAACAACAACAAACTAAAAACTTATTCAGTGATGACTAATCGATGAAATTAAGTTTAGAAAAGATCTTGCACGAGAATTACTACTGAAATCAACAAAGATTGAATATTGCGGTATTTATGACAGTCTAAACGCTTCTCATATCATCGAAATATGCATAAGATCAAATTTGATCGAATTGATCTTAATCAAATTGATCAAATGCATCTATTCAATATTATAAAACGGTTTTAGCATTGAGAGCGTTATGAGACTTGGGGAAAAAAATTCGTATTCGTTTATCTCCGAGCTATTCATAGTTAAAATTTGCAACAGGACCCGAATTTGGCTAAGTTTTAAATTTGCATAGTTACTTAATTTTTAGGAAACAAGATTTTGACTCAAATTATTATTTTTATATATTTGATTAATAATTCAGCGCGATAATTCTTTTTCTAGTATATTGTAACTATTAATTGAGTGAAAAATCATATATAAACATCGTTTACTCGTTTGATTTTCAATTGGTATATTAATATCATTCTTACCCATTCTAATTTTGCATTATTGGTTTAGTTGCATGTTTATTGATTCATTAAACGAGATATGACGAGCATTAAAGAAGTTAAATCAAATCAACCTTCGGATGATGATATAGGCAATACACCAAGTCGCGTTCATACTCTAGAGCAGGATAATAGTCATGATTTAACTCCAGATATTAGTGGTTCTGATCAAGATCTTGAAAATTCGTTGGATGAAAAATTAATTGAAAATGATCCAGATATCGATGGGGGATATGCTTGGGTAATAGTTATAGCAATCATCCTCTATAACTTTCTGACGTGGGGAGGAAACTCAGGATTTGCTATATACCTCCTGACGTATCTTGAAAACAACAGGTTTGAAAATGCTGATAAAATGGATTATGCTTATATTGGTGGAATTGCATTTGGAGTCGGCGTTTTGTTCAGTCCTTTCATCACGGTGCTAATTGGATTAATTGGATTCAAAAATGTTCTTATAATCGGGAATTGCTTACAATTTACTGCTTTGATGTTGGCAAGTTTTGCTACAAAGTTATGGCAATTATATTTGACTCAAGGTTTGATGAATAGTTTTGGTTTAGCTTTTATTTCAATTCCTGCTATAACTTTATTACCTCAATATTTTAAAAAGAAGAGAGTTTTAGCTATGGGTTTAGGAACTGCAGGTTCTGGTCTTGGTGGAATTGTTTACAATTTAGCAATGAATAAACTTGTCGAAGTTAGAAGTGTTTCGTGGGCTCTAAGAGCTCAAAGTATCATGCAATTTGGGATGGTTTGGATTGCGATCCTAATAACAAAAAGTAAGACTGAGAACTACAATATCGAATTTAAATTATATGATGCTAAAATTATGAAATCATTATTATTTTGGCTCATAATATTTTTCACAATTACTTGTAGTTTTGGCTATGTTATTCTATTATATCAATTGGCAAATTTCACTGTTAGTTTAGGTTATAGTGAATATCAAGGTTCAATAGTGTCTGCCATGGTTCAAGTTGGTTCCTGTTTTGGTAGACCCCCTGTTGGTTATTTATCAGATAGATTTGGTTCTGCTACAGTTGGAAGTATAATTTATATTATTGTTGGAATTTTTGCATTGGCAATGTGGATTCCAGCTAGAAATTATGCAACTGTTATAATATTTGCATTAATCCAAGGTGCTTTAATGGGTTCTCTCTATGTTATAATCGCACCATTGATTGCTAGATGCTTTGGTATAAATAAAATGAATATGATCTTTGCTTATACATGGTTCTTTTTGGGATTACTGGGTATATTTTCACCTGTAATTGGTTTAAAATTAACAACAGGTTCTGCATCAGGTTATGATCCTACAAGATATGTTGATCCAGCAATTTTCAGTGGTGTTGTATTTTTGGCATCTGGTGTTTCATTACTTTTAATTAAAGGTCATTTAACTGCAAGAGATTATGAATTAAATGCAAAAGAAACATTATTGGATACTGATAAATTAGTTGATACAAAAGTACCAATACGTAAAATGATTACAAACATTTTTAGAAAAAATCTACAACCAGCATAAATAGTCAAATAGTCATTAATAGTCATTCTAATATACATTTTGATTCCATAATATCAATTAGCGTGAAACGTCTTTTCTGATTATGTAATAATTTTCAAATTTAAAACAAATCAAAACATTTACGAAGAAGAAACTAATGAATAGTAATACTCCAATAGTATCAACAAAAACCAATAGAATAGTGTTACTATATGATAAACCAAGATTCTACCATACTATAATACAATTAAAAGAACTTAGGGAACTACCAGATAATTTTGTCACAGTAATAGAAGTAAATTCTATAGATAAATTTATCCAAGAAACTAGTCTATCACCATTGAAATATGATCATTTTCACATATGCATAGAATATACTGATAATTTCGAAGCTGATTTAGGAAGGTTCATTCAATTTTTGAAGTCCAGTCCCAAAATTGTACAAGATGCGGGTGACATAGCTTATCATATACATTTTCAACCAAGTAAAAAATGGGCAGATTATACAAAATCTGAGATAGATCAATACAGGCTACTCATTGAAACTTTAAGAGATGTTGCTGCTGAAAAAGTTGTACATTGTTCAATAGTGAATAAATATGATATGGATACAGTTTATATAACTGAAAAAGATGATTTGGCCAAATTAGGTAATGAAATACAACTGGATATACAATATTGGAAGAATTTGAAAATATTAGATTATGGAGAAAGCAGTATAAGGTTCTTACCAGGTGTTAATTTACCTGATACTTTGGAAGTTTTAAATATTGGTGGTGGATATGCTTTAGAAACATTAGCTGGTTTTAAAATGCCAGCTAGATTGAAATCATTATTAGCTGGTCAAGGTGCTGTACATTCAATAGATCAAATAAAATTTCCACCCACGTTACAAAGTCTTGAAATTGAAGATAATAAAATTCATTTTTTGGATTTCGTTGATTTTCCAGATTCATTGATACACTTAGATGTTTCACAAAATAGAATAGAAGATTTGAGAGAGGTTAGATTTCCTAGAAACTTACAATATTTGAATGTGGGGTTTAATCCAATAGATAATATTAGAGGTACAAAATTTCCAGAAACTTTGAAACGATTAGAAGTTTCAAATTTACCTAATGAGTCAATGACAGGTGTTAGATTTCCTGAATCATTAGAAGTATTAAACTTACAAGCATCAATGACAAATACGAGAGGATTAAAATTACCGTCAAATTTAAGAGTTTTAATACTAAGTGAAAATGGAGTAAATAGTATAAATCCATTAAAATTACCAAATTCATTAGAAGTCCTATACCTTAATAATAATAATATCAAAACATTGAGTAAAGTGCAATTCCCACCAAAATTAAGAGAATTATATATTGGTGCAAATTTAATAACGACGTTGAAGAATGTTATCTTCCCACCTACAATGGAAGTTTTGGATTTAGAAAACGATCCATACCATGAAGAAACAGATAAACAAATACTAACATTGAAAGATGTTATATTACCTCCAAATTTAAAAGTATTGAAATTAGGATATCATGCAATAAAATCAATTGAAATATTTGATTTCCCTCAAACTTTAAGATACCTAAGTTTAGCATATAATGAATTAAGAGTGATACGCAATGTAAGATTTGGAAATAGTTTGAAAACTTTAGATTTAAGTGGTAATACTGATTTAATTTCATTAGATAATCTGACCATACCTGAATCGGTTACCGAATTAAGAGTTTCACCACAACTAATACCGAATTTACCAGCTTACATCATTGAAAGAGCTAATAAAGGAAGATTAATACTAAAACAATCAGTTTCCGAATCAAATACTTTTATAAATTAATATATATTTCTACCATGAACCTAAATACAAAATTTATTCCTCATCTTCATCATCTTCTTCGTCAGATTCTCTATCATCAGCAGCTTTACTTTCCAACATACGTTGTAAAGCAGCATCATCATTAGAAGCAACTGATTTTGGTGCCATGGTAACTTTACAAACACCATCATTTGATTCAATCAGTTGAGTTATTTTTTCAATAGCAGATTCTAATAATTTTATACCTTGATTTTTATCTAAAGCTTGTACAGTTAAGAAATATAATGGAGCAGCTACTAATTTAGCTTTAATTTGCATATCTTCAGTTGATTGTTCTTCAGCAACTTTTAAAGCTTTTTTAACAGCATCTATACCCTCGTAACCAAAACATGAAACTTCAACATCTGCCCTTATATTAATTGCCTGTGGTGTTAATCTTCTTGAAATATAAACTTTTAATTCTTCCAATACTTCTGGTGATGGTGATTCTAATTCATCAAATATGGTTGGATCTGTAATTGATAATTTAAATGCATCATAAGCATGACCGTACTTTCTATTTAATGGCCATCCTATAGTTTCATATAATTTTTCTAATGAAATATTGAATTTTTCAGCACAATGTCTCAATATTGAATGTACAGCTTTTGATTTATTAAATCTTTCATCACATTTTTGAATATCTTCAGTTGAAACTCTTCTTTTTGACAAATCAATATAACCTTTTTCTTTATCAACTCTTAATACAACTGCAACTTCATTTTTACCAACTCTAATTAATTTTTGAATGGATCTAATACGTCTTCTTGATAACTCTGATAATAAAACCATACCTTCTATATTATCATATTCTAATAATTTAACATATGCACCCATTTCTGCAATTTCTTGCACATTAACCATGACAACATCGTCAACTTCTGGGTATTTATTTTCATAAAATCTGCAATTTGTAGTTGACATATTATATTTATAAATGCAAATTCAATCTATTGATTTGGCTCAAATCACTAAATAATTTTTTTTTCACTATAAAAAATTTTTCAAATATTGGTTATGGCACATACTAAATTAACTATGTAAACTGATGTTTCAGATTTATACAGCATTCAATATCTCGAGTAGAGTAGTATAAATGTTTTTTCTTTGAGGCATATCAATTTCAGATGGTATAGGCGAAACATTAGAAATGTAGAGCTTGAAACTATTCGTATATTGGTGTGATGAATTTTTTAATATGGTAGCTCCAGCGTGTAAATTATTAGAAACTCCTTACTACTATCAAAACACAGTGTTCAAAAGACTAGATGCGTATTTATTAGTACGTAATGATGATATGGCCTAATTGGGAGTCAGAGGATCTCTCTCTAGTAGTACAAGTCTCTAGATTAACTTTGATAAGACTGCATACATACCAAGCTTGTTGTAGATTTTTTTTTATCAAATGTGAGATCCTCGCACGAGCCTAGTGCCGAAAACAAAAATTTTTCGCGCTACTTTAGGGCGATTCGTACTAAACTCAATAGTTTATAACGTATGGGCAACAAATTCTCTCAAGCTAAATGCTGACTTTATAAAATCAGATATTAAAGAATGATTTCTACTCAAATTTTCTTTCTTGGTTTCATAACTCATGCCAAAATCAAAATTTGGCTGCAAAAAATAAGTTGCTACCCAATTTACTATAGTTTATTTCCGCGACACTCGAGAATTTAGGATACAATAAGGCACTATATACAAATGTGAACTTAAGATCTTCGAACTTACCGATCAAGGAAATTATAGACTGGCATCTGATTGCAAATTACTGGCAAGCATCATCAGACTTTGAAGAAGCGCAAAATTTCAGATTCGAAAATTGTTCAATTTTTCTTTTTTTTTTTTTGAACCATGGGTAAATTTATAATTGCCTAATCTTATTTTTAGAAGTATGGAGAAAACTCAACAATAGATTTAATCTTAGAATATTAATAATAATCTACGTGTTTACCAAAGTAATATTATACCCCAATAGATTTAGATATTCAGGTTTGTTTTTCCTCAAAGTTATTTTAATTTCCAGATCTAAAATTTCAGCACTTTACACCATTTTGCATTAATTATTCCATTCCCCATAGCATTTGTATAACCAATTTTCTAATTTATATCCTATGAATATTAATAGCAAACAAAATTCACTACTGCAGAATTTAATCTTTTTTCACAAATTTGCAAATAATTCAAATATTCAACGAATATTAATCATTATTATGATTATAACTGCCAATGTAGTATTAATATTAAATCTACAATTATTCCAAATTAAATTTGGAGAGGCATTTCCTCATATAATGCCGAGAACACAAGAGCTTATTCAAGAATCAAAGTTCAATAATCTAGAAGAATTGATAAATAGTAAAGAAAACAAAGAAATTTTTAATCAAATTAAAACTACTGAAAATTCATTTTATGATGCTTATTTAAATGTCGTTGGTACTACCACCTATTTAGCTTATAATCAATATCAAAGACAACCATACGTATCGAATGGCTATATTGGTGCCAGAATTCCAAATTTAGGTCAAGGTTTTACATTTGATCAATTAGCACCTGGTGGTAATAAAGAAGATTTATCAAGTGGTTGGCCTTTATTTAACCAAAGATTTGCTGGAGCATTTATTGCTGGGTTTTATGATGCACAGGAAAATACCACTGGCACTAATTTTCCAGAATTATTAGAAAATGGGTATGAAAGTGTGATTGCAGCTATACCTCAATGGACTACGTTACAAATTAAACTTCTGACAGATGTTTCAAGTTTTATACTAGATCCTTCAAATCCTGATACAATTGGAGACATCACAAATTATAATCAAAATTTGAGTTTAGCTAATGGTATAGTGTCTACAAGATTTACGTGGTTAAATACATTAGATGTTAAATATGATATATTAGCTCATAGATCAGAACCAAATTTAGGGTTAGTAAGTTTACAAATTAAAAATTTAAAGAATGATACAATAAGTTTTGAAATCATTGATCTTTTAGATTTTAAAAGTGCTCAAAGATGTGAATTAAATCAAGTAGGGTATGAGGAAGATGGAATATATATGACTGTGGAGCCAAAAGGAGTAGATTATGCATATGCGACTGTTTTTTCACGATTAATTGCCGATCAAAAACCAACTCAAAAGGTAAACAATGATACAATTATCCAATCAATTAATATTCAATTACAACCAAAAGAGTTTAAAGAAATTACAAAAATAGTAGGAATAGTGTCGACTGATTTTGACAAGAATTTAAAATCACCAACTGATACAATTAATTTTGTAAGAAGTGTAACTCAATCATTCAACGACAAACACTCCTTATTCAAATCTCACAATATTGCATGGTCAAATTTACTAAACACATCGTCTATTTCATTTCCAAGTGATGCATTAATCAATCTTGGTTCCAGAGCCTCATTATTTCATTTAATGGCTAATACAAGACCAAATGCTCAGGGCTTAACAGGTGCAATTGGAGTTGGTGGTTTAAGTTCAGATAGTTATGCTGGTATGGTATTTTGGGATTTAGATTTATGGATGTTTAATGGAATTTTACCATTTGCTCCTGAACATGCTAAAAGTATAGTCAATTATAGAGTTCATACACATAAACAAGCTATTGAAAATGTGCCACAAGGTTATCATGGTGCTGTATATCCTTGGACAAGTGGTAGATTTGGAAATTGTACTGCAACTGGACCATGTATAGATTATGAATATCATATAAATGTTGCGGTTGCTTTGGCTGCTTGGAATATTTATTTAAGTGGAGCAGGTGATGAAACTTATTTAAGAGATGTTGCTTATCCATTAATTAAAGATGCTGCTACTTTTTTTGCAAATTATTTGGTGAATTTTAATGAAACATTGAATAGGTATACAACTAAAAACTTAACAGATCCAGATGAATATGCCAATCATGTAGATAATGGAGCTTATACAAACGCAGGGATTGCATCAGTTATGAATTGGGTTACCACTATTTCAGATCATTTAAGTTTGGATATACCTGATAATTTCACTCACATTGCAGATAATATGTATTTACCAACGGCTGATAATTATCAAAATATTACATTGGAATATTCAGGCATGAATTCATCAGTAGGTATTAAACAAGCTGATGTAATTATGTTGACTTATCCATTAGATAATGTAATGTTGGATGTTGATCAAGCTTATATTAATATGGAATTTTATTCAATGAAACAAGTAAGTTTTGGACCAGCAATGACATTTCCTATTTTTTCAATTGTTGCTGCTGATTTAGCACCAACTGGATGTGCATCACAATCATATTTACATAAATCAATTCAACCATTTTTAAGAGGTCCTTTTGCACAATTTCTGGAACAAAATAATGATATTTATAGATTAAATGGTGGTACTCATCCAGCATTTCCATTTTTGACTGCTCATGGTGGATTCTTGCAAGCAATTTTACAAGGATTGACTGGATTTAGATTTGAATATGGAATAGATGATCAGGCTAGAGTTCATAGAATGTTGAGATTGGACCCAATTGAATTACCATGTTTTAAAAAGGGAGTTTTATTTGATAAAGTTTACTATGATAATCATACGATTTCTATAACGGTAAATAAGACCAGTTTGATTGTTGAAAACTTAGGTAAGGTCAATGATCAAGCAAATGATTACATTGAAATCTTCATTGGCGAAAGAAATCCACAATCTGGTAAATATAAATTATTAGATAATTCACAAATGGTATTTCCATTATTTTCACCATATAAATCATTTCCTGGATCAATTTCAGAATGTGGAGATGCTACATTTTATAATATAACTGGTGGTGCATTTGGTGATTCGCCATTTTCAATTAATGATGGAGATAATACAACAAGATGGCAAAACAAATATAATGATACAACAGGTAAAGTTTTAGTTGATTTTCATAAACCCACAAATATATCCAGTGTATTGTTTAATTGGGCCGATAGACCACCTAAATCATTAACACTTTTTAAATATTCAGATACAGAATTTAATCAAGCTGATGAATTTTTTGCCAATGTTGATTTTGGTGAACCTGATTTGTTAAATGAATTTAAGTATGCTTCAACATCACAAAGAATATTTAATCAAAGTGAAATTTTTGAAAAGATTCATTTTCAAGAAGTTGGTATAACTGAACCATTTGATGAAGATGAATTTAAACAAGTCTTAGTACCTACAAGACACAATGTAACAACATTAGATAATTTAAACCTTCACAATTGTCAATTTTTATTAATCGAAGTTGATAAAATTCATAACACAGAACCAATTGCAGATGATATCGGTGGTGCAAAATTAGCTGAAATTGTATTTTATTAATATAGTTAGACGTTAGATTAGAATTACGAATTTACGATTATATATTTAAAAAAATTTAATACATTGCTTCTGCCATTGTAATAAGACGTTTCAAACCTGTATGCCATTGACCTAATTCATCACTGTAATTTGTTGCAATTTCAACGTTTAATCCACTTGAAGTTGTAAAATCTTTATTTTCTAATGATGATGAAAGATTTTTTAAATCATTAATTAAACCGGATGATAAAGTTTCATTATTTAAATTGTCAAATAAAATGTTTAATCTATTTTCCATATCAACACCATGTTTAGCATATTTTTCAGGAATACTTGGTTTTATAGCTTCTAAAACTTTATTTAAAGATTCATAAATTGGTTTTGATGATTCTGGAATATGTGATCTATCACCTTTTGGGTGTTTAGTAGATTCTGGAGGTGGTGGAGGTGCTGCTGAAGTTTGTTGTGCTGGTGGTTGACTTTTAATTGATGCATTTGATGAAGAAGTCATTGGTCTTGGAGGTGGTGGAGCAACACCATTAAATGCTGGTTGAATTGGTTGTGAATTAATTGTACCAAATGATTGTTGAGGTGGTGGTGCAGCACCCAATTTTGGTGGTGGTGGAGCAATTCCTGCTGGATTTATTGACTGTTGATTAATATTTGCTGGTGGAGCATATGGATTTTTTGGAATTTTAGTTGTTTGTGCAGCTGGTGTAACTGGACCACTATTTAGTTGTTGAGGAGTTGGTGGAGCAGTAAATTTATTTGATGGTGTGTCAATATGTGTTGGTGCATAAGGATTCTTTTTGATTGAACGTGGTGATTGACTTATAGGTCCTGAAAATGATGATGATGATGTTGGCGGTTGTAATGGTTGTTGTTCAGAGCCTGGTGGTGGAGCATATCTATTTGATACAGCTGGGGGTACTTTTGGTGATGATGTAACTGATGATGATGCAACGTTAGCTTTAGATTGTGATCTACTACCCGATTTTGGTGGTGGAGGTAATTGATTTGTTGAAATTGATCTTTTAGTTGGTGGTGGTGGAGGTCCAGTAGATGTTGGGTTATTTGGAGGTGGAGCATAAGCTTGATTTAAACTCGTTTGACTTGGAAATTGAGATAATGGAGGAGCTGGTGATGGTGATGAAGTTGCAGCAGCTGCAGCACGACGTGGAGCAGTAACTTTCGGTTTAAAAGTATCTGGTAAATCATTCCAACCTTCAGTTTCAGATTTTGACAATTTTCTTGGTGGTGGAGGTGGAATTGAATTGCTTAATGGTTGATTCATTGTTGTATTTTGAGTTATTGGTGATGCTGCTTTATAAATATTGGTTGGAGCATAGGGATTTGATCTAGCATATGGATTTGTTTTTGGAGCTGAAGGTTGAATTCCCGGTGTAGGTGCTTGGAAAGAGGGATATTGTTGTTGTGGAGTAACAGTTGGTTGATTATATGCTGTTCTCAATCGCTGTTGTTGAATTGATGGAATTGATGGTTGAGTAATATTTGCAGGTTGATATGAAGGAGCTCTTGAAGATTTTGCTTTAACATTAGTAGCAGCAGGTGCAGTTTTATTTACTGGAGCTTTTTCAACACCGGTCGCTTTCAAAATTCTTTCCTTTTCATTTGATCCAAATTCACTTGGTATTAATTGTAAAAATTTATTTGCTAAATCAAATTCACCAGCACCAGCAATTAAATTAACAAATTCTAAGATAGCTTTTGAAATTGGTTCAGCTGAAGGACCAGATATTTCACTTGTAGTTTTAGTGATATATCTATAAGTTGCAATTTTTTCAACAAAATTAGTTAATGATTGAAGTCTAGCATCTGAGAATGAAGTAATTGAATCATCATCTTTCAATAATTTTTCTTCATAATCTGGCAATTCTTTTAACCAAACATTTGCAATTTTATCCAATGCACCACCTGCTAAATAACAAGTAATTGCATCATCTCTTGATTTACCTTTTTTATCCGATTGTAAAATTCTATCACCTAATTCAGTCATTTTATTATTATATTCATCCGAATCAGTAGTAAATGAAGTAATACCAAGAGCAATTTCTTTCCAATTTTCAACATTTGCATTAGCAACTAAATCAGTGACATTTTTACTTGATACATTATATAAGATTCTTGATAAGTTATCTTCTTTATTCTTTTTGAAATAAGCAGTTTTAACTTGTTGTTTAATTTCATCGGTACCATCTAATGCTAAAATTAATGCTTCTAATAATTTCTTTTGATCCAAACATGTATTTACAGCTTCTTCAATTTTATTATTTAATATTAAACTTATCAATTTTTTATTATCTTCAGATTCACTTTTACTGAAAATCTTAAAATTACCAGATGGAACAAAAGCTTCTGTTTTAGTTTTGGTTTCGCCATTACCTAAATGAGCAAAGAAATCTTCACCATCTTCTTGAGCTTCTTGAGCTTCTTTCTTTTCTTCTTTTGGTTCTTTACCATTTTTTTCCACTTTTTCTTCAGTTTTGAAAAATGAATCTTTACCATTTTCTGATAATTTCTTTAAAACTTCCCAATCAGATTTATTATTATCATTTATAGTTTTACCTTTTAATTTTTCATCAATAATTTCTGAATAATTTTCATTTTTCAAACTTTCAAATAATTTGTTTGTTTCTTCTTGACCTTTTGCAACAAATTTAGATATATTGATTATTGATTTACCATTTGAATCCTTTTTAACAGTTACCAATTTTGAACCAAAACCAAATGATACACTTACTGGATTATTCAACCATTGTGGAGCTTGTTTGACTTCAAATTGTGGTTGTTGAGTATCAGTTGTAGATAATTCACTCCAAAATTCATTATCATCATTTGAAGCAGATACTTTATTAGTTGCTGGAGGTGAAGTATCTTGTAAAGTTTGGATTACAATTTTACCATCAAATGAAGCAGTCGCAAAAATATCAGGTACACTTGGAGCAAATTTAGTTTCAAAAGCCCAATTTGCCGTGGTTGGATATTCACCTAATTTCACACCTTCAATTGGATTCCATAATAAAGTTGAATTATCTTTACCACTTGATAATAATAAATTTGAGTCTTGTTTACACCAATCTAATGATAAAACCCCTTTTTTATGACCATTTAAAATTTGTTCAGGAGCATTTGAATTTCTTAAATCCCATGTTAAAATAACAGGACAGGAATCATTATCACTTGCAGTAATTAATTTAGTTGATTTAGTTGGATGCCACGCAACATACGAGAAATTGGCTCTATTACCATTTGATGAAGTATATGATAAATGCAAAACTTCTCTTTTAGCTTTTAAATCCCATACTGAAGTATAACCACCATTACCAGTACTTGCTAAAATATGAGAAACAGAATTATTCCAAGAAACAGAAGTAATTTCATCCATTGGAGTCATTGCCTGGCCAGGATTAAAAGGATCATTAAAAGATTTACAATCCCAAATAAAAATTTGACCATTTGACCCGCCCGTAACCAAGACATGGTTTTGAATTGGATTGAATTGTAAAGATTTAACAGCACCAGTATGTTTATTTGATTTATGAATTGAAGAATCCTCTAAGTTTTTTGACTTAATTAATTTTTCAGCGTCCCAAAATTCAACAATACCATTTTCAAAAGCACCAACAATTAAACCTTTTGAATAATTTTCAAATGGTTTTGACCATGCAATTGCATAAAATCTATTTTCAACAGGAGCAGTGAAAATTGGTTCTTTATTATTTGTTGGGGAGAATGTATCCCATATTTCTAAAGTTGAAGAAGAACTAAAATTTATATCAACAGCACCTGCAACAGTACCAGTTGCTAATAAAGGTAAATTATCCAGATTCCAAGCAAATGTGGATGTACGAGCAATTTCATTAATTTTAACCATTATAATATCTAGTTGGTGGTTTTAATATATAAATTAATTATCAATTGCTGCGATTTGATCTTGAAAGGTATGGTTATATTATTATAATTTAATGTTGAAAAAAAAAAAAAAAAAATAAAATAATGTGTTGATTTGACCAACTCATAATAAAATTTCACAATGTCTGAAAATCCCCAAAAAAGACACTGACAAATAATTCTAGACACTTACATAATACGCGTAAGAAAACAAGCCTCGATGCATATTGAAATATTTATTTCCTAATAATGGAAAATAGAAGGATTTTCCAATTTGTGATTTCTTTTTTTTTTTTTTTTTTTTAAATTTTCATCTAAATTTATAGATCCGAATTTTCGAGTTTTTCAACAGCTGTCACCCCAGTTTAAGCTTAGATGCTGTCTCAAATAGTGGGGCTTAAAAAGTTCGCTAAGAATCAATTAATAAACCATATTTTAAATAATATCGCTAAACCGTCATTGAAAGCTTTTATTTATGCTTATCTTTATTTAGTTTTACCCAAGGCCATTGGTCAAGTTTTATCCGCTATTAGAAAACATAAATATGATAAGATTATACCTAGAATTAAGAAAACCATGCTTAGAGCATTACATCCATTAAAATTCCCGGTATTTTCAGCTAGTTTGGTTGCTGGCATAAATATCTTAGAACCAATACTTTTCAACATCCTAAAAAGAAGTACAAAATTAAGACGACCAACATCAAATGTTTTCATAAGTACGTTAATAAGTAGTTTAATCTCAGCATTAATATTTTTCCCAAGGTATCAAAATCATGTTGTTGGTTATGGTAGATATAATTCATTAGATCTAACATTATTAGTAGCTACAAGAGCAATGGATACTGCATTATCATCTACATTATCTAAAATAACACCTACAGGAATTGCTCAATATGGAGATGCTTTGTTATTTATTACTAGTTGTGCACCAATTATGTTTTGTTGGTTTTTCTATCCTGAAAAATTACCACCTTCATATTCAAAATGGATAACATCAGCTGCTAATATGGATCCTGATTTCCTCGAAGTTTTGAATTTAGTTAGAGATAAGAAATTAATTTATGGCGAACATGGCCCTTATGAAGATTATTTAGCTCCATATTTTATAAAATATGGTAAAGATCCACAACGTGGAAATACTGTATTAAATCAACCAATTGAATGCGAAGCAGTTCATGCATTTGTTTCAAAAAGTTGTGAAGTACATGCATTATGGAGATTTTGGCGTGGTTTCAAATTTGCATTATCAGTTTATGGTCCATTAAACATTTTGATGTTATTAATACCAATGAAGAATAAAAAAATGAAACATCGTTTAATAAGAGCAATAAAGTCGTCAATTAGAAGCTCATGCTTTTTAGGTGTTTTTATTGGGTTTTATTGGTATGCTGTTTGTTTAGCAAGAACAAGATTATTACCAAAATTACTACCAGATGTTCCACGTACAAGATTTGATGATACAATTTGTCCAGCTGCAGGTGCATTAGCTTGTGGATTTTCATCATTTATAGAAACACCTCAAAGAAGAAAAGAATTGGCATTATTTGTTGCACCAAGAGGTTTAGGAACTTTAATTAGTTCAGAAATTAATCCAAGAAATATGAAGATCGAAAGTTTAGTATTTTCAATAAGTTTAGCTGTATTAGTTGCATATTCAAAGTACAAAGCATCAAATGTTAGAGGTATATTTGGTAAAGGTTTAACACAAGTATTCAATATAAACCCATTAAATAATTAGTTAAAGATTTATATACATTTACTTTTTTTTTTTTTTTTTTCAATCTCTAAAACGTTAATTAGACGAAAGTTTTATATTGACATGATATAATATGGAACACAATGCAGAGAATGAAGGGATAGAAGATGCTGAATTTGATTTTTCAATTCCATTAAAAAGACCAAACCAAAATTTGTACAAAAGGCATGAAGAATTGAAAAAGTTATTGGGTATACCGCCCGGTGATAAATTTTTAGAATTCATATTTAAGACAGTTATATCATTATGTGATCCTTTTACACAACCAGAAGAGAAAGAGCAGCAGATATTGAGTGTTGATTGTGTATCTGATTTATTAATTTCAATTGTATTTTATTTTTTTAAAGATCAAATGCATGTCGATTTAGAGGTTGTTGCCATTGAGTCATTAAAGTTTGAAATTTCAACCCATTTGTTTACATTGATACAATATATAAATAAGTTACTAAATTGTGAAGATGAGTTAAAGACCAGATTCATAAATAATGATGAAGTTAATTATATTGAAAATTTAAAATTTTGGACTCCCAAAATATCCCACGAATTTAATTTAAAATTATTATACTCAATCGAATGTGTGCTAATACTATCAATTTACAAATTAGCAGCTATAAAGGACTCAAATGATGAGTACAATTTAATACTAAATCCATATTTGCACTATTTTTTAAAATTATGGAAATGTCATACAAATATAATTCTATTAGGTTTAGAAATTGATCGAAGGATTGAGTTTAAAAATCATGAAACTGGCTCAGACGAAAAAACTCCATCAATTGTACAACAGACATTAAAAGGTTCAAGTTCAATACGGTACGTTTTAGCATGGATATTAAATCAAAATCCGTCATCAATTGATGATAATGAAGAAGAAGAAGAACAAAGTTATAAAGATACGCTAGATTTAAAAAATGAAACAATTTTCAACTTTATACAACCACTCGCCAGAAAGAAAGATAACGGAGGTGCATTAACTATAGACATGAGATTAATTATAATTGCATTGTTAGTATTATATTCCGGTACTTCATTTACAGTAGGTCAATATGATGAGAATGAAAAATCTAAGAATGATGAACATGCAAGTAGGAGATTAAATCGTTCTAAACCAATTGCAGAAATAGGTGACGTTTTATTAGATTTGGAATATGCAGATAGATTCGATGAGGATATCAAGTATATGTTGGAATATGAATTCGATGATTACGAAGAGGATGATTACGAAGAGGGTGATTCTTCAGTTGCTGATGATTTAAGTGTTGCACTGGGTGGTATATCTGATCTTGAAGAGAAACTAGCAAATATTGAATTTGATGAATTGGGAAGAGATTGGAGAGATGTGCCGAGAGATGATAATCGATTATATAAAAAGACATTTATGGAAAAGTATGCTAGATTCGATAGTTTAAAAGATAAGAGTGATTCAGATGATTTTTTATTAACGTGGGATGAATTATATTCAACATTTGAATTTTTAATTGTAAATTCAATAGAGGAGAATTTACAAGCTGAACAAAAATTAGGTCAAGCCGTAATAAATACAATTGCTAAATCAATAGGAGACAATGATAGAAAAGAATCAGATGTCGAGAATTCAAATTCAAATCCCCAAATTATAACGCCGTCAAAAATCTATAATTATTTTATCTCACTGGCTAGTGAAGAATCAATAAGACAAACTCAAGATAATAATAAATCAATTGTTCCAATTTTTAACGTTTCTAAATTTGAATTATTATTACATAACAATTCCAAATTGGCAAGAGCTGCAATGGATGAAATGTTAATGTACGGAGGATTTCGAAGATTATTAATTTGGTTCATTACTCATGATTTAAACTTATCTAGTTTATTAATTGATTATGTTTTTCAATTGGCTTCAGGATTACGTGGGAATAAAAATTCGGATTATAATTTTTCAAGACAGGGTCAATGTTTAGTATTATCAGATGTTGAATTATCAATGGTTTTACATGAATTTTTAACTAATTCGAGTGTTTATTTATCTGCAACTACAGATGGGATAGAGATTGAAAATGGGTATAAAGTTGTACTTGCTGAATCTATTGCAAAGAAATTGATGCAAATGTTATGTTTAATGATTAATCAATTGATAAATTTGGGCATTATAAATGTAGATGAGGAAAATGAAGATATACATGATTATAAGAATGAGTTGCAAATATTGTTGATTAATTGGATAGGTAAAGTTCCAGAAGCAAGACAGTTGTTTTTTAAGATCAAGAATGCAAATTATGAAGAAAAGAATAAGGAGGAAAAAGAAACAAAAGAAAATAATAATATTGAAATTACAAATTTTGCCTTTGAACAGGAAGAAGAGTTGATCAAAGCGTATGCTTATATGTCCATTGATGAGATATCATTTGACCTACATGAAAATCAAACTCATATGAATATAATTAAATCATTTGCAAGGAGAATAGAGAAAGATATACAAACTGTCCTAAGTCCAACTATAGAAGTATCAACTCAAGTGACAATACATTTCAGATTTTTCATTGAAAATTTTAATACACTTTGTAAAATTGAAGAGTTGGCGGAGCTATTATTTGATAGATTTGAGCCCGTTATTTCAACTGGATTAATTTTAAATTTAGGACAAGGGCCTTTAGCAATTGATCAAGCCGATGTACAAGTACAAGATGAATATGAAGCTGAATTTAGTACTGATTTTTTGAATGGTGATGTGAGTTATGAAAAGGATAATAATAAGAAGAAAAAAAAGAAGTGAAGTAATAACGACGGTGTTTAATATCCTAATATACGAATTCAATGACTTTCAGCTAAAGCTTCGATATCTGTATATGATTTATTCGGAGTCAATTAGCTTTCTTTTCTGACTCAGTTCAAATTTAGTGTGGAGTGGTAAAAGTTAACCAACAAATCAATCTATTTCGGTTTGTTTCCTTTTCTAATTCAATGTTTAGAAATTCAATTCGTCCACAGCAAACATTTCTCAAATCATTAATTATGTCTAGGTCAAATTCAATTGTTCCAGTTAGAACAGAAAACGCACCACCACCAGCAGCATCATATTCACAAGCAATCAAAGTCAATGGTGAGTAAAACCAACTACCCAAAATAGAGATTAGAGTATTAACATTTTAGGTTTCATTTACGTTTCTGGTCAAATTCCATATACTCCAGATAATAAACCATTAGCTTCATCAGCTACGATTCAAGATCATACTGAACAAGTAATTAAAAATGTTTCAGTTATTTTGGAAGCTTCAAATTCATCATTAAAACATATTGTTAAAGCAAACATCTTTTTAACTGATATGAAAGATCAGTTTGCAAAATTTAATGAAGTTTATGGTAAATATTTTAATGAACATAAACCAGCTAGATCTTGTGTTGCAGTTAAAGAATTGCCATTAGGTGTACCTTTAGAAATGGAAGTAATTGCAATTGAAAAAGAAGATGGTAATAAACTATAAACTAATAGAGTATGAATATATACAATATTGAAAATATAAACAGTTAACTCTATCAATTGTGAATTTGATAAATTTCGTTACACAATATCAAGGACGCTGTAGCCCTAATACATTAAGCTTAAAGCGTGACTCGCACGGGGTTATAATTTTATAGTAGTAGTTTTTGTATTACATAATCCCATAATTTTCGCACTGCGAATTTTCAACTCTAACAAAAGATAAATTTTTGCAATTTTTGATAGTTACATTTTAATACTATAGTACATATAATCAACAATGGCTCAACGTGTTACTTATAGAAGAAGAAATCCATGTATGTAATAGACAACAAAGTTATAAACAAGTGAGAATAAAGAGGGAAAGTTATTGCAAATTTGAATGAAATATTGAATGAAGGAATCAACAGCTCATCAAGAAATGAAATATTGAACAAATAGAGAGAAAGGTCCATCAAATCCAATGTAAAATAACTTTTATGAAGAGAGACGAATTCAGTAATAAATTCATGTTATTTTTCAGTCATTTTCAAAGTCAATATTGCATAATTAAACCTTTCACAAAAGTTAACTAGTGATCATTATACTAACATTTTCTTTTAGACAACACCAGATCAAATAAAATCAAAGTTGTTAAAACTCCAGGTGGTAAATTAGTTGCTCAACATGTTAAAAAAGCTGCTTCAAGAGTTAAATGTGGTGATTGTGGTTCTGCATTACCTGGTATTTCAACTTTAAGACCAAGAGAATATGCTCAAGTTTCAAAAACTCATAAAACTGTTCAAAGAGCTTATGGTGGTTCAAGATGTGCTAATTGTGTTAAAGAAAGAGTTGTTAGAGCTTTTTTAATTGAAGAACAAAAAATTGTTAAAAGAGTTTTAAAAGAACAACAAGATAAAGAAAAAAAATCAACTGCTAAAAAGTCAGGTAAAAAATAAGCAATTCAATGCCTATCATTAATACAATCGAGACATATCATATAAATATCACAACTGTATAATAAATTATTATATATATCACTTTGGTAACGAATAGAATTGACAATTGTAGATGTAGATTTGAGCTCTTAAACGATTGCAATTCGAGATTATTCTGAAGATTGATAACAGCTCCATATATTAGCAAACTGGGTCCTGATTATCTTATCTCTGAATCAAGAGTTTCAATTTTAGAGATATCATCAACTTTTTTCGTCCAATTTTTATATTTAATTTGGCACAACAAATATCAAATAATCTCATGTGGCGGTAATAAAAATGAGCCCTACATTGGAATCAATTGTAGAAACTCAGTTATTTATTAACTTGCTTAATTAAGTAATTTTGAATAATTATATAATCTGATTTGACATATTTTCGTTATTAAAGGGGTCTCTCTAATCAAGAAATTTTTGAATAAAATTATGCCGCAGAAGTATATGCAACTGATAAGAAATTACAATCATTACTCATTAATTTGACAGATATAAAATGTACCTTAATTTCTCATATATATCTGGATTGTCAATTTGATTAATATCGTTTTTATCTTATTGCGATTTATTATGACCGAAATTCCTTCTTATCATCCTAGTTTAATTGTTATTGATAAACATGATTTAACTAATTTTCAAAAATGTGGTTGTTGCTCAGATAAATATTGTGTTAAAACAGTATCAAACTGGATTCCAAAAGCTAAGAGATAAGGTGATTTAAATGTCAAAAACTACAGGGGTAATGTTAGAAATTATTGTGGGTGTTTTATAGTTTTGATTGTGTGAGTGTCTAGAGTCGTCAAGTCGATGTTGGTTTACATAAAGGAAACGTTTAACTGTTTAAATATTATAGAATTGTTTGTTTGTTTTTATCGTTGGTATAATATATATTAGAAACTTGGTGAATCAAACCTCGAATTAATTATAGTCGATTTATCAAATGAACTGATTGTAGAACTAACGGTTGATTTCTCCGGTAAGCGTAATCTTGAACTATAATAAGGTTGTGAAATAGGAGTCAGTCTAACTTCATTTTTCATTTCAATATCTTTCAATTTCTTCTTCTTTAATGGGATATTCATCTTGTTGAAAATTAAACCAGGATGGAAAAGAACATAAATCAAAACACACAATAGTACCATCAATGCATCTAATGTTAAAACATACTCCTCATGAGTAATCAAAAACCCACGCCATCCTTGACTCAACTCGATTACTCGGTAAATACACCTTACATAAACAAACAACACCGATATCATAATGAATAGTGGCATATAATTGAAAATCTGTTTCTCTCGAATAGGTCTAAATTTTGAATTATAACTTATTTCAAACTCTTGTCTCATCTCATTAGAACCAAATAAAAACCGTATAAATCTAAACAATTGGAAGGATTTGTTTGGTATTTTAAACACACGTATTAAAAAATCCATCAAGAATAGAATATACACCGTCATTGAAAATGCTTGGAATGCAATCCCACTCAACATTATATAACTTCCAACATTTGAATTTCTCAACATTCTTAAATTTATAGCCGCTATTGCTCCTCCAATAGCTTGAATAACAAGACTTAAAACATCAAATATAATAAAAATATAACTTAATTGAATTGGACTCAATATTGAATATTGCAAACCATGAATGACCACAAGTTTAGCTAATAGATAATATATTGACATCATGATGAATGCAGGTGCAATAGTCAAACATATAATTTGACAAAGATATAAGTTAGGATCAGAATATGAATAATGAGCCACTGTTCTAGCTATATATCCAATAAACTCTAATAAACAACCACAAACCATACATATACTGAAATAAAAATCCTTAAACCAAGCACAAATACCAATCTGATAAAACATTATCAAAATGAATAAAATACCGAATAGTAAATTGAAAGGCACTGATAAATTCATAGCATATAGATTTGAATCCCATTCTAGTTGCTTGAGATTTAGTGTTGCATTAACTAGCTCTTCTGTTATTTGAGGTAGTTGTTGAGTAGCAGTGGCAGCGGCAGTCTGTAAAATTTGCTGAATTCTAAGTATGGTATATGTTGCAGCTGCTCCCCTTGCATTTCGAGAAAGGTAATAAAGTGAGATCGAGTTAGTTTCGGTCTGGATTTGATGTTGTAAGTTTAGAAACGTCAATGCTAGACCAGCTGTGTTTGTTGGATCTATTGATGAGATTGAAATTGTTGATGTTGGATTTATGGTTGTTGTAGGGTACCATGATGTTAAATATTGATCAAGGAATGAATTGTAATAATCCATAATTATCTTACATACTTAAAAAACAGTCAGATTTTGAAGCTAAATATATCTTATCACTAAAGGGGCTTTAGAGCTAAAATTACCATATGGGGATGAAATCAGTACTAAAAAATAATATGCGTCGTATGCACAAGAAATTAATCTGAAATAACTACACAAAATTGATCCTTCCATAATTTACGAACATTTGAAATTTGCAGCCATACAAACAAATTCAAATTATTCCTCGAAATTTAAAGTCTTTAATACCCTGCTTGATACAGTAAGATAATATATATGTCAGGTTGTATCTTGATATTAATTCATTTTTGTTCATGCGACATTTAATTTAGACTTGTTCGTTCATCTTATTATTCAATTTAAACTTTTTGGGGTTGGACTAAAAGTAAAAAAAAAAAATTAAATATATAAATATTACCAAATTCTACAATGGTTAAGATTCATGAAACAAAATTATAGCCCAATTAAGTTTGATTTCTGATTAACGAAAGAAGAAAGAAAACGTTGTCAAAATTACTTTTTTCTTTATTAATTAACACTATAGATCTCTTAGTAAACCCTTGATCATTAATTTGTACTTGCATTTGTGCTTGTCCCAGTTTCTATCTCTTGGCTTTGATTAGATTCTTGTGCTTCTTTTTCTTTTAATTCATTACTTAATTGTTCTCTTTTCCAAAATCTTAATAATAAATCACCATAATTTTGTAAATCTTCAACCAGAATCATTAATTTAAAATCTAAAAGTAATAATAATTGTAATTCTAAATAATTTAGTTCTTCCAAAGGTAATCCACCAACTTTAGCATATCTTAAATTTTTATAAAAAATATCACTAAAAAATTTCGAACTAACTGTGATTCCAGAAATGATTAACCTATGAATATTATATGAATCCATGACAAACAACTGTTCTTCAGAATCATTGGACTCTCCGTTCTTCTTCTTATTTAAATTATTTGCTTTCTTTGCAATTCTATCAAAATAGACAAGTAATGATAAAAATACTTCATTTGTAACGGGACAATATTTCAACACTCTTGATAAATATGCATGTAGACTTATTCCAGGGACATTAGTACCATGAAAGGCCAAAACATTAGCAAGATATTTATTTTTCAATTCTGAATCTGAATAATCATCGGCTTCTTCTTCTTCTTCTTCTTCTTCCATATCATCATCTGATTTGATTTCAATTTCAATATTGCGTGAGAATGAGCTGGCCTGGTTTTCTCTCTCTTCTTTCTCTTTCCTCTTCTTTTCCCTTTTCATTTTTTTCAACTTTTTATCCTCTTTCAATTTTTGTCTTATTGCTATTGTGTTCTCAAAATGATTGGGGTGTAATTTATCATTTGCTTCAATTATCTTAGTTAATAAACATGAAAGCATCACAATTAAATCATTTACAGGATACTCTACAATATTTAAATGTTCTTCATAATTTGAATTTTCTTGTTGATCTTTTAATTTTAAATTCTCAAGGTATTCAGAATACGTCATATAATGATCAGGTTTCGGATTAAATAAACTTATGGCCGGTTCTTGTTTAACAGTTGAACTTGAACTATAACTTCTGAGATGATTATGATTAGGTAACGAATTTGGAAATCTCTGTTGACTCGTGAATGAATTATGTTGGGGTGGTTGAAATTGTGGTTGATAATTTACTGGTGGTTGATATATATTATTAGTTGGTGTAGGAAATGAATTTGTTGAATTTGTTGAACTTGTTGATTCTGTGTTTTTAAATGAACTTGATGCTGGATTTGTGAACAAGTCAGTTGTAGTAGGTATTGTATGTGGTATGATTCCAGTCAGTTTAAAATTAGGTTGGTTATTATAACTTGTACTTATAAAATTATTTTGATTTGGTAGTGAATTTGAATTATATGAATGATTTGATGAATATGATGATGAAATTACTGTTGGAGTATTATGTGATGATGGGATATAATTGACATTATTATTAAATGAGTTTGAATAATCTGGGGGATTAACAGGTAGTGATTGTTGTTGTTGTTGTTGTTGTTGTTGTTGATTAAATTTTGATGATGTTGATGTTGATGTTGATGTTGATGTGGATGTTGAAGGTACTGAATTTGTTGAAGATAGTAAATTTCTAGTTAGATTTGATATTTGTGGTTTTGCCGTTATTGGCTGACTAGATGAACTTAAATTAGATGTACTTGGTTGATAATTTTGTTGTTGTTGTTGTTGTTGATAAATATTATTTTGATTATCATTGTTATTATAAGATGTCATATTATTATTTATATTAGATGATATTCAAAATAGTAATGAGGTATTAACATAGATAGGATAATAAATAGTTATTAAATCAATTGAATTGAATATAGATAGACACTAATGGTGATTAATTATTGGTTGTAAAAAGGATAAAATTGTATAATAAAATAAAAATTACCGTGCATTCGTTACTTTTATTTAAAATAGCAAAAAAATATACAATACTAGAAATCGTAAGGATACATATTATTATAATTTATTACTAACAGTTATAATAATTAACTACCTGGATTGACTTATATTAGAGCATAATTTATAGAGAATTGAGCTCGTCTATGACAATTCAATGATTGGTTGACCAATAATTGTAAAGTCAAATTTTCAACATTTTCGACAATTAAAATTAATACAATAGAAAATTATTTTTTATGATCTCATAACTATTCGAATATACCTGTTGTTGTATACTTCCATATTAGTATGGTTATGATAAAATACTCTGAAGATCATCAATTCTTGTCTTTTTCTTCCCACTCTAAAACTTCATTACTTGCAATTAGAGTGTTTTGGGACGTTTCGATATTCTGATTTATAGTTCAAGAGTTAAAGCCGCTTAAGATTTACAAAAATAAGCTCAGAAAGGATTTGAATCAGCATACGTTTCTGAATCTGACAAAACATGATCTAAACCATGCAAACTAGAAACAATTTCCAGAAGCAGTTATTTTCAGTCTTTTTAAAGTTATCACGTTCAATCTAATTCGACATGACAACCCAAAAAAGACGTTTCAATTAAGCGCATCTCTGGTTCCACGAACTATTGATCTGTTGATAATTTGAGAAAAAAAAAAAAAATATTGAACCAAATTGATTAATATGTCTACAGCTTCTAAAATTACACTTGGTGCTTCTATTCTATTTGCTGCTGGGTCTTTTGTCTTCATTAATTATTCTCAAAATTTGGAAAGACAGGCTTTAAGACAAGGTCCAATTAAAGACGCAAAACGTCAAGAGATGAAGAAATTAGAACGTGAAAAACTGAAAAAACAACAATTTAATGAATTGGATCATAAACAACAAAATGAATTACGTGAAAAATATGTTAAATTACAACCATTGAATCTGGAAATTATAACAGCTGAAGAAAATCCAGGACAAGAGCTGAAGAAATGAGAGATATTTTTATGCCTTGGGATGATAAGTCGGGGTTTGAACTCGACATTATTGAGAGTAGCTTGACCTTTTTAACTCAGATAAAACGTAATGGGACAAGTTTAAATATATTAGAGACGATGAAATGAATCATATAAATAAGATAGAAATCATGTAAATACATAATTCAGTCAATTTTGGTCAAAGTTCAATTTTTCGATATTCACTTTACAAGCAGTTTTCAGCTTTTTACATTTGAATGTATGTGTTCTTGGAGACACCAGAAAGTCTGATAAACAACGACGAATCGTCTTCTCTGATGTACTATGATGCACTTGTATTATTCTAAAAATAACCAATGTTGAAATTAAAAGTCAATATAATAAAAGTCCCGCTCTTAACGACTCACCAATACGGTTCATCAAAATAAAAGATATTAGATCATACAATCAGCAATCAAAAAGGCTACTAGATCAACTCAGAACTTATTGTAATTGACTCTATTTAATTTCATAGTTACTCGATGATATAAAGAAGAAGAAAAAAAAAAAATTTTAAGTGGCTGCAAAATTTACAAAAAAAAAGTAAGTGGCTGCAAAATAAATTTAAAGACATTCAGAGGTTGCAAATTTAATCGTAACGACTTTGATTTATATTTATAAGAATATTATTATATAGTTTTTGTTTTCAGTCAATCTTCCATTTTTTCAATTACTCCATCTTCAAATAAATTATCTTTTCCATTTGTTGGTGTTTTAAAATGTGCACTTATTGGAGTATTCAAATTTGATTCTGTATTTGTAGTTGAACCCATTGGTGATTTTAAACTAGTATCTATTATATTCCCAATTGAATTTCTTTTAAACCCATTCATATTCATAGTTGGAGACATTGGATGTTCTAATTCATGATTTGGTGGATGTTGAGAAACTGATAATGACCTATCTAACTTCAATTTAATATTAGATCCAGAACTTGAACTTGTAGCTGAATCAACATCTGAATGTTCTTCATCATTTTCATCTTTAAATAATTCATCATTTTCTTTAGGTGGGGTAGGAGTATTTGAATTTGAAAAAACTGGAGGAGCAGAATTATGTTGTTCTGATTGTGTACGTCTGTGAAAATTTGGATTTGATGGGGAGTGTGTTTGATTCTCATTCATTCCAACCAATATACTTGCTGCTTCTAATAATTGTACTTGTTGATGTTTCAGAATTAGTAATTTTTTAGTTACGTTCCATTCTGGTGTATGTTCCCATAAATGTTTAGCTAATGATGAAATATGTTTATATCCTTTGCCGCATGCTTCACATCTTAATTCTTCTTTTAATCTTCCTGTTTCACCTTCTGATATTCTTCGAACTACAAATTCTCGAGATAAGGTCGGTACAGAAGCAGATAATGGAGGTGACTGTGGATGTTGTTGATCATGTTGTTGGTAATTATAAGTTATTGTCTGTGGTTGTACTAGTCCCTGGTTTTGTGGTTGTTGATTTATATGACGATGATGGTGTGGGTGATGATGATGATTATTATTACTATGTGGATGATGATGATGGTGATGTTTTGTAGGTATGGTATATGGAGTCGAAGTAGTACTTGAATTTCTTCTATTATAATTATATTGAGCACTAGCAGTCATTAAATAAACTTATATCTTGATTGTTGAGTGGGTATTAATATTTTCCATCTAAATGATTTAAATCAAATTGAAAACTAAAAAATATGAGCAAAACTGAAATAATTATATAAATATATGATTTTCTACCTTTTTACCAGTCTTTGAAGAAATGAATAAGTGAATAAGTAGTTATAATTTTGTTGAATTATAAAGCGTTGATGAAATGAAAAAGGACTTGTAATAAAATTATTTCTTTTTTTTTTTTTTTTTTTTTTTTGAAAATAAAATTTTTTTTTTTTATTATTTAAAGGTATAGATGTAGATTATATCCAGCTTCCATGAATAAATTATGATATAACTCTTCTAGACAACAAGATAGCGAGTTCAAGTTGGTAAATAAGGTTGCCTCAGCCTTTGTAACTAAGTACATGTTGGTTGTAGAGCTGCTCAGAGTCAACTGAGCTGTTTTCACGTTGAATAATGAGGTATTTTATCAACTTATATTGTCGATATCAATTGAAAATTTGGATCTAATTACCTCAAAATAGAATAAAAATCGCTCTTATATACATTTGTAATCTGATTGTCTCTCCCTGATTATTTGTTTCAAAATCACTCCAACTTTTTATAATTTTGCAGCAATTGGTTTCAAAATGGTTCCAAAATAGAAATAGAACACTTCCAAAAAAAAAAAAAAAAAAAAAAAAAAAAAAATAATAAACGTTGTACAAAACCAAATAAGTACATAATTAACCCAATATACATTATTACAATGCTATACAATTAAGAATTACACCAGTATTAGACATTTAGAATGATTCATTATCCAAAATATCCAAATCATTATTTGCCATTTGAAATTGATCAGTATTGATATTTTCATTATTTTCATTTAAATAATTTACTTCAGAATGAATATTATCACCGAATCCTTCTTCAGTAGAGTATAAAATTTCTTGAATTTGTTTTGAATATTGAACAAGATCTAAACCTTGTAATTGATCCATTTTATCTTGATCGTTTAATTCTAAAATATGTTGTACTAAAATTTCAATATCTCTCAATTTATTAAAATAAAAATTACGTTCAGTTTGTAATGAATTACAATTGATCTTGAATTCTTCCAACTCCTTTTCCAAAAATTGATACTTATCGTTCAATTCTTGATATTCTTTTGTATTTGTAGTCATTAAAGAAATTGGAGTTGAATTGTCTAATGAACCAGAATGAATATTACTATGTAAATTTCTCGTAGGTTGTTGATGATTTTCATTTGATGATATTCTTCTTTGAGTTTGTACTGTGGTAGGAGTATTATTTGTAGGTGTAGTTACTCTTGATCTTGATTTTGGTAATGGATTAGAAGAAACTCGAGTACTAGTATTAGTTGTTGATTTTAAATTTGTCATTGACGGTTTTTGACGTGGTTTTTGTGCATATGGTGATTGATAAGGTTTATTCATTGGAGACATTTTATTGACTGAAGTAGATGGAGTTAACTGATTTTGATTTATTGTATTATTTGGTGATGGATTAGTACTTGAACTAATACCATTCATTCCTTGTCTTCTTAATTTTGCATCATATACAATATTATAATCCTTATTTTCCATCCAATATCTTTTAAACCATTGTAATAATTCCAAATTATCTTGTAATCTACATTTAATTAATTTTTCAACTTCAATATTCTTTGTAATGTTATACTTTATAAAAATTGATTGTAAAATTTTCCAGTTATGACGATATTCATATTCATTTTTAGGTTGAAATTTAACTTTTTTTAATTCAATATTATCATTATAATATATTGAATCCATTAATTGAACAAAAGCAGCACCAGTACCACATTGTTCAATTTTTGAATAATTCAAATCTAATGTTGAATTTAACCATTTTAATAATTCCGAACGTGATTCTCCAACAACCATGACAAAATCTATATCATGAAATAAATAGATTAAGCACTAAATAACTAAGTATTCTTTTGATGTTCTATCTATTTGTGATTAATAAATTTTTGTTATAAATTGGTATAAATTGGTTGTAAGTTTTTTTTTTATTATGAGAAAAGTAAACAAATCAAAAACACTAATTAAAAAAAATTTATAATATATTATGTAAGAAAATTGACGATAAATCAAATTATCTATGCTCTTTGATTTGAGAAAAATGCAGTTAGATATGCTGTAAAAGCCTCATAGTCTTGATAATTTACTAGGATATAAAGTTTTGGGTTAGAAAATTGAGTTTAAGTTGATAATTGTGCAACTTTTCACCAATTTTAACCAAACTAATTCGAATTAAACGTGTTTGGCTGCAAAATAATCAAAAAACTAAATGATTACGAAGCAACCATACTATTATTATTAAGAGCTGGTTTTGTGATTACTTTGGTCGAAGAGTGATTAGCTACATAAAATCATTCTCGTAACCGCAATGTCAAAAGATAAAAGGATCAATCAATACGTGTTCACATGGGCGTGTCACCAATTTATTAGTTATGAGAATGCTTAATTGCAATGCCGCCGGGATCAAAATCAAACATGTCGTAGTAAAACGGTCCAATTTAATATAATTTTATCGTGCTACGACCGTTGCAATAAATAGTGCTCGGGGGCCAAAAATATAAAAATAGGTCGTGAGTTACAGCCTTGAGTTTCAATTGTCCTGTATAATAACTAAAATATATTTTTTTATAATAAAGAGCAGTCATTAAATTTATATATTGTTGGTTGTAAAAGCAATTTATTTTAACAAGTGAAATTTCATTAACGTAAGTATAAATATATTTCATTTCCATCAACAATTGACCTTATTTAGCTCATTCAATTGAATTATTAACAAGAAATTAATTATTATTACCATGAGCTCATCATCTTCAACCAGTGGTTTTAAAAAATTTGATTCTTCAGCAATTGCATCAGATTCAGAGGTTGAACAAGATATAGCAATAAAACCAAATCCACCATTAAGAAGATCTTCTTCATTATTTTCATTAAGTTCAAAAGATAATTTACCAAAACCAGAACAAGAAGAATATTTAAAATTTATTGATGATAATAGACATTTTTCATTAATTAGAAATTTACATATGGCTGATTTTATCACTTTATTAAATGGATTTTCAGGTTTTTATGCAATTATTTCATGTTTAAGATATACATTAACTGGTAAATCAAATTATGTTCAACGTGCTCATTTTTTTATATTATTGGGTTTATTTTTTGATTTTTTTGATGGCAGGGTAGCAAGATTAAGAAATAAATCAAGTTTAATGGGTCAGGAATTAGATTCTTTAGCTGATTTAGTTTCATTTGGTGTTTCTCCTGCTACTATTGCATTTGCAATTGGTTTTCAAACTACTGTTGATGTTTTATTATTAACTTTTTGGGTATTATGTGGTTTAACAAGATTAGCTAGATTTAATATTTCAGTTAATAATATACCGAAAGATAAAACTGGAAAATCACAATATTTTGAAGGTTTACCAATTCCCTCAAATTTATTTTGGGTTGGATTTATGGCATTTTTGGTCTACAAGGATTTAATTCATGAAAATTTACCATTTGGAACTTTATTTAAAGATACTCCGTTTGAATTTCATTTAATTACAATTGGTTTTGTTTTACAAGGTTGTGCTAATATCTCAAAATCATTAAAAATTCCAAAACCATAACCAAATGTCTATTACTATTTAAAGTGAAGTTTAGCTATATACATAAATAAACGATTTTAATCATTAGTCTTAGGTTTCTCCCAATTGGGCCCTCCAAATCCAAATGATATTATATGTTTATATTTAACACCATTATATTCCCCAGTTAGTATTTGGTTATAGAAGTCAATTGGGAAATTTTTAGGATCTAATAATCCTATGTTATTAATTTTAAACGGGTGTAGTTTGTGTTTATGACAAGCAACTTCTAAATCATAACAAGTAGTCCAAAATGATCTATGTAAAGGTGTTAATTTTATGAAAAATCGTGAAAAATACCTGATCCCTTTAGTTCTTGTCTCTGAATTATTTGGAAGTATTCCTATTTTCTTACATTCACTGAAAAAGAACGCTAATAGATATAATAATTCAGGATGACCTTGAACTCTAGTTATTAAATCATTAATTTTAACAGCCGTGGGCACATCTTCTAATGTCTTATATTCCTTTTCTATTTTAGTAACATTATCATAAAATTTAAACACATTCTTAAACCCTATATATCTATGAAACAATAGCAGCTGTTGATATCTTATTCTAATCAATTGTCTTTGTAATAACATTTGGTAGTTCGTAGTGTAATTTTGAAACACAACCAAATTTTTTTTTATAATTTTTCACTCTCTTTTTGACATCACGAATTGCGATCAAATTACAATTATGTTTAGATTACAATCTAGAAACTTACTAAGAAGTGTAATAACAAGAACTGCTATACGTCAGCCTATAAAGAGTCAAATTACCAAAAATTTCACAAATTTTTACTCCACTACCGACAAAAATACTCAAAAGAAAGATGAAACAAAAAAACCAGAATCTGTTTTAAATGATGATATGTTAGCAAGAGCAGGATTTGAAGATTTGGATCCAAAAGCAAATAAAGCAGAAGAAGATGCTGAGGTTGAAAAAGAAATACAACAAGAAAAATCAGCAAGAAGAAGAAAAAGAGCTCAAACTTCAAAAGATAGACAACGTGAAAGATATGCAAACATTTTTTACTTAGCTACTTTATTAGGTGGTATTGCTGGTGTTGGTTACATGTGTAGAGATTGGGACAATATTAAAGAACAAGAAGATTTAGATGCAAAAGACATTGGTGATGGTTATTCTCCAGAATTAATGTATAAAAGATTATCAAAAAGATTAGGTTCATTATTTACATTCTTTTCAGAACCTGCTTTTGAAAATTTATTACCACCACCAGCTCCAGAACAATATAGAAGACCATTAACATTAGTTTTAACTTTAGATGATTTATTAATTCATTCTTCATGGGATACAAATCATGGATGGAGAACAGCAAAAAGACCAGGTTTAGATTACTTCCTTGGATATTTATCACAGTATTATGAAATTGTTTTATTTGCTACAAATTCACAAATTTATTCTGAAAAAACTGCAAGTAAATTAGATCCGTATCATGCTTATATTTCATATCATTTATTTAGAGAAGCCTGTAGATATAAAGACGGAAAATTAATTAAAGATTTATCGTTATTAAATCGTGATTTAGGTAAAGTTGTAATGATTGATGTTGATCAAGATTCAGCAAGTTTGCAACCTGAAAATTCAATAATTGTTAAAAAATGGGCAGGTAAACCAGATGATTATTTAATTTCATTAATTCCATTTTTAGAATATTTAGCAACACAACCAATTAAAGATGTAAGACCAATTTTAAATTCATTTCAAAATAAATCAAATATAGTTGAAGAATTTACAATTCGTGAAAAAAAATTAAGAGATCAATGGTCAAAAGATCGTAAAGGAGCTGGAAATGCACCAAATGCAGGCAATTTTATTGCTAAATTATTAGGTATGCCTGTTTCTGAACCAAAAATGCCTTTGGATATAATTAGAGAACATGGTCAATTACAATATGAACATTTTCAAAAATATTTACAAGAAAATGCTTCTAAATTTTTAGAAGAAGAACAAAAATTAAAAGAAGAATTTGGTAAAGTTACTTTAAATAAATTAATAACTGAAGGAGCACCAAAACCTGAAGATATTGTAAAAGTTCAACAACAAAGAGCTCAAGAAGAAATTGAAAAACAACAAAAATAAGAGATATAAACCTTGTATATAAATATTTAATGTATAATTATAATCAGTTCCCATTCAAGCGATAACACCTTAATTGACTCTTATAAGTTAAGCCGCTTTTTTGAAATTTTCTTCGTTTTTAGTTTTTGGTTGAGTTACATATTTTGATTCCGATTCGCAATATCACCAAAATAGAAATATTTGACATCTAGTTTTATAACTAAGTAGAGAAAGAGGAGACGAGTTGAGATTTGAATGAGACACTGGAGATGTAACATAGAAAAGCCCGTGGCAGTTATCATAAACGTGTTTCATATACTTGAAATGCACTATTCTATTCTCTTTCATTTTATTTCAACCAATCTCAAATCAAATAACCATAAAGAATAAGGCGGTGGTTATATTATTCTTTCAACAAACAATAGACATGAATAAATGAGTAAATTATAAATAACTTCTTCTGCTTAGTTTTTAGTATCGTATGAAAAGTAGTCATAAATCAGCCAATCACAAACAATTATAAGTTTCTTATACTATATATACTTTGAGTAAATTACACAAAACCTATTATAATTTTTATCTATTTCATCAGCAATACAAATTTTTTTATTTTTTTCTTTTTTTTTTTCCCATACAAAAAAACTCCATACGGTTTTTTTTAATTTATCAACAGATTTCATTCCTTTTCATTTTCATATTTTATTCTTATATAAACCAATAACTATTCATTAGAAGCATTATATATTACTATTAGATCATATTCCGATTATATTTCATCAGGAATCACGTTTCTTTTTTTTCAGAGAGAGAAATTTATAATATCATATCATGTCAACAAAAGGTCCAACTATAGCTCCTAGATCTGCTCCTTCCCCTATAGCTATAGCCGGAGGATCACCACCTTCATCAGGCTCAACTCCAAGATGTATGGCAAGTCCACACAATCCACAGTCTCCACCTGATACAGCAGTTACAACAGCTACAGCTTTAAGTACACCCAAAAATGTAACTACTATAATGACATCAAAAGAATGGGTATTACCACCAAGACCTAAACCAGGTAGAAAACCAAGTGTAGATACACCAGCATCAAAAAGAAAAGCACAAAATAGAGCTGCTCAAAGAGCATTTAGAGAACGTAGAGCAACTAGAGTTCAAGAATTGGAACAAAAATTAATGGAAGTTGAGAAAGAAAAAGATATAAAAGAAATGGCATTAGTCAATACTATAAATAAATTAAAATTAGAAAATCAATTTTTACAAAAAGGTTTGGAACAACTAAGAATGGAAATGAGTCAATTAAAACAACAAAATGCTCAAAAAACTAACTCAACTAATAATTCAACAGGGCCAACTATAAACAAATCACAATCTAGAAATAGTGTAAATAATAATCAACCATCACCTATAAATCATAATTCAATTTCACCTGCTGGTTCATCATATTCATTACAACAAATTTCACCTGCTCCTTCTGCTGATCTGCCGCAAAATTCATTTGCAAGTTATAGACCACCATCAAGTAATACATTAACACCAATTTCAAATAATACAACCCCAGGTAAAGTAAATAATATAACTGCTCAAGATGCTGCAAATTTCGATTGTGGTGTTTGTCTTAAAGATAATTGTTTATGTGAATCAGTTGGATTAAAAGAACCAAGTAAACCAGATGATAATGAAATACTTGATTTATCTACATTTAAACCACAACCAGCAGTATCACTAAACAAGAAAAGGAAAAGAAAATTAAAAGTTATAAATGAAGAAGATGATCAAGAGATAGATTTCACCAAGAAATTTTCAACTAAAACTAAACCAATGCCAGATTTAAAGAAATTAAAATCAGTAGATAACAAACAACAACATTCAGCTAATAATGATATATTCAATGAAGATTCACCTATGGAAAATTGTGGATTTTGTTCCGATGATACGCCATGTGTTTGTAGAGAAGCAGCAAAAGAAGCAGCAAGAATAAATGAATCATTAAATAAAGAAATGATACATGATCAACAACACAATGATAGTTTTGATGATGATAATAAGACATTACCACCTATAATTCAATTCAATTCAAATAATAATCAAATTAATGAAAGAAAATCATCATTACCGGTGATGCATCCAGGTCCATCGGTAGAAATACGAGAAATTACAAATTTATCAAACACAGTTCCAGTAACTGAAGAACCTTCAACAGAAGATAATTCAGGATGTACTGGAAATCCAGGTACATGTAGACAATGTCAAATGGATCCAATGTCAACATTATTTTGTACTACTGTTGCTTCCAAATCTGTTCAAATTGAAGTATCTCCAATGAGACAATCATTATCAAGAACAAATTCAAAAGTTTCACTACCTATAAATTCATTAAATAATCCTCAAAGTCCAGTGCCTCCTCCATTATTAGCTACAAATAGTAGTAATAATGTAAATAATCAACAACAACAACAACAACCATCAACTCCAAATACTAATGGTGGTCCATCTACTCCATCAAATAATCAAAGTGCAAAAGATTCAAATGGAATTTTTATACCTTGTGCTGATGCTTATAAAACTTTATCACGTCATAAACAATTTAATTCTGTTGATTTTAGTACTTTAGTTGGTAAATTAACTACTAGAGGTATGCAAGTTGAAGTTCAATCAGTTGCAAATGTTTTACGAGAATTAGATAGAAAAATATATAATTAAAATGTGTCTTTTTAAATTGAGTACTTTCAACGTATTATATCGTAGATTTTAATTTGCGCAGTGGCTCATGCAAAGCGCAAGAAATGGTATTAATGTTGATAATAAGCCAATTATAAATCAAAACGAACAAAGCTGGAGTATAAGCAAAAGTCCAAATAACCTGGTTTGTCACAAATTCAAAATTTAAATGTCAGTAGATACCGTTAGATTTATTGAAAGATTACTTGATTTACCAAATAAGTTGATTATGTTGATTATAGATTATTTACTTGCGGATATTACAGCTCAAGAGAATTGTTTGTTCATGACTTATAAACCAATATATTTGGTATGGGTCGCCTTAAATTAAAACGAAAAATAATCATTGTCAGACCAACTCACCGCATTGGAAAATACACAATAAAAAACAATTCTGAAGCATCATTCTCGAACAAATCGGTAAACTACTCGCTAGCTAATTCTACGTACTAAAGTATCATTCAATGGTTAAATATTTTGGTATAGTAAATTAAGAATTTTTAACAAAACAATTTATTGATAAATAATTTACACATTTAAAAAAGCAAACAATTTTTAACACTTCAAATATTCTAAACCCATGAGCCAGGCATGTATGAACCAGTTGAGGTATTAGCTTCATCAGTAACATCATTATAAACAGTACTTGTAGTATTTGAAGTTGCAGCTTTATTACCACCTTGACTATTTAAACCTGATGCAGCATTTTGAAAATCTTGTTGTCCACTACCACCGAAAGTTGCAGCTTGATTGGCAGAAGCGGATATACCAGCATTTTCAATTGGATGTGATGATGAAGTTTGATTATGTCTATTTGAAACATCATGAATATTTTTATCTAAACTTGATTCCGATGAATCATGAGCAGCACTAACTGCTGAAGACGGATATGCATTACCACCTTGTAAATGTGATGAACCACCAGCTAAACCGGAGGTGTTAGTATTAGTATTACCAGATGATTTGTGATCATTACTTGATAGAACACCTTGTGGGTATGTTGGCTGAGCTTTTGTATTCGATGAAGTATACTCATTAGCCTGAGTTTTATATTTTGGTTCATGTGGATTTGAATATTCGTTTGAAGCTTTTGTTGCAGCAGCAGCAGCTAAATTTGAGCCTCCACTAACACCTTGAGATTGTTGGTGAGTTGAGTATGAAGTACGTTGTTTTGAATAATCACCACTTGAAGTTTTCTTATGAGAACCAGATGGATCAATAGCTAAATCTGGGTAATGTGCAATCTCATCACCATTTTCATCTCTAACGATACCTGAATTAGCATCAACTTGAATTTCTTTAACTTTTGCAACTACATTTGCATGAGATTTTTGTAATCTTTTAACAGCAGTTTCAGCAATTTTTGTTGCAATTGCATTATCTTTAATACCTTTAACATTGACAAAAATTTCATCATTTGACGATTTACCATTATTTGATGAGCCAGAAGTTGCAGCTGCACCTGAACTTGAAGCAACATTTCTATTTGCAGCATTAGCTAATCTTTGTTTAGCAGCTTCATTTTCATCATAAGCTGATCTTGAAGTTTGATTATGATGTGTTGGGTCTAATTCAGTTGTTTTACCAACACCATCACCTCTGTAAGATGAATCTTCTAAACCTTGAGAATAACCTTCAGTTCTAGATTGACCTGAAGCATATGGATCAACTTGAGTTTGTTTACCAGCACCTTCACCTCTATAACCAGTATAATGAATACCTTGAGTGAAACCAGCAGCTCTTACTTGACCTGAGGTAGTTGGATCAACTTTAGTTTGTTTTCCAACACCTTCACCTGTATATGATGTATCTTCTAAACCTTGAGTATAACCAGCTGATCTTGATTGACCATAAGTTTCAAGAACATTTGATGATTGATGTTGATGTTGAGATCCAGCAATACCAGCAGCCCCAGCAGCTGCATTTTGATGAGCAACTTGTTGATGATGATCTGAATCAAATGGGGTTGTTATAGTTTCATTTGTTTGAGCATCAATTTTATAAATTTCTTTAGTATTTGCATTAATAACCAATTTACCTGAAGTTAAATCAACCCCTTTTTCATCTAATTTTTTAGAAGCTTTTTTTGCAGTCCTTAATGCTTCTTCTTTATCTTCAATACCAATGACTTCAACTACTAAGTTGTCTTTTGAATTGTTGGCGTTACGATTCCTCGCTTCATTTTCGTCAACCAATTCTTCTTTTTTGTTGACTGGTGTATGTAAACCTGTATGTTGTTGATTTGCAGATGCAGCACCTAAACCAGCATCACCAATAACAGCAGCTTCTCTATTTGAAGATCCATATGGTTGATTTGAAACTTTAGAATCTCTTTCGTGTTTCTTTTCTAAACTACCTTTTGCATGACCATGTTCATAAAGATCTTGTTTTAATTTACGATCTAAAGAAGAAGCACCAGCATAACCAGTTGGATCTAATGACGAACCAGTAGAACTTTTACCTTTTTCATAACCATGTTGATAAAGTTGTTGTTTTAAAGTTGGATCTAATGATTGTTGATGATCACTTTGAGCAACTTGATGAGCTTCTCTTCGAACTTGTTCTTTAGTATGAGATGAACCAACAGCAGCACCTGGAACTAAACCAGCACCAGATGGTACAGCATTTGCAGTTCCATGACTTGAATAAGCATCATCTTGAGGTTTTCTATCTAAAGGATATTCTTGAGAACCACTTGGTTTAGTGGTATTATAAGCTGCATCTTGAGATGAGGTTGATTTATTATGAGCTAAGCCTTTTTCATAACCATGATCATATAATTGTTTTTTCAAATTAGAATCAAAACTTTTATAATCTTCTTTGCCTTGATGTTTACCTTCTTTATAAGCATCTTTCTTTAAATCTTTATCTAATTGGTCATGATCTTTTGATAATTTTGATGATGTATCTCTTGCATGTGGTGATTCACCAGTAACACCAGTAATACCCCCATTATCAGCTTGTTTTGATGCTTTTTCATATTTATCATCTGAATATGAATCAGCAGTGCTTGATTTTTTAGCAGCATTTCCAACATTTGCTGAATTACCAATGTTTTGTTTGATTTCATCATGGTTTCCTGATGGTAATCCACTTGGTAATGGTTGAACATTATCACCAGAGACTTCATTTGAATTACCTGCATCTTCTTTATCAATTGAAACACCTTTATGAGCTGGAAATTTATCAATACTTGGATCAGCTTCTTCAGCAACTTCAATTAGTGAAGATTTTGGATTTTTGAAACCATGTGCTTTATTCCACTTAGCAACATCATCTTCCAATTCTTTAAAATCATTTGAAGCAACTGTTTCTTTTTCTTTTTCAGATGCATCTGAACTTAAAGTTTCTTCTTCTTTCAATTCTTTCTTGTTGGTTTTATGTGGTGGTAATTTATCAATACTTGGATCATCTTTTTCAGCATCAGCAATTAATGAATCATGAACTTGATAATCACTTGCATCTCTGGTTGTCGTTGTATTTTTTGATGATGAATCATAACCAGTGACTTTATTATTAGCAGAACTTGCTGCATTACTAGCAGCAGCACCAGCAGAAGGTAACACACCAGTACTTCTCTCAGAATCTTCATCTCTTTCTTGTTGACCATGACCATGTTTTCTGTCATAATCTTCAGTTTCTCTTTCCCATTTTTTATCATTATTTGAATCAACAACGTGTTTTTCTTGAGGTGTAGCATTTCTACCTAATGATTCTTCATTTTTTAATTCTTTTTGGTTAGCTCTATGAGCTGGATAATTGTCAATACTTGGATCAACCTTTTCTGCATCAGCAATTAATGAATCATGAACATAACCTTCACCTCTTGGAGCTGACGTGGTATTTTTATTTACAGTATTTGAAGTGTCATCATTACCTTTCAAATAATTGTAAGCTCCACCGACCGCAGCACCAGCTGCAGCACCAGCAGATGCTAAAACACCTTTTGATGAACTACTTGATGAATCAGGTTTAGTTAATGATTCATCTTTTGGAACTTTATTTGGATTTCTGTCAATTTCTTCCTTTTGTTTTGGAATTCCAATATAACTACCATCTGGTTTAGTTAAAGATTCATCTCTTGGAACCTTATCACCGTAATTATGATGATTAGTTGAAGTTGAAGTTGTAGTTGAAGTTTCTGCAGATTTACCACTCAATCCCAATGCACCTAATGCTGATGATAAAAAACCTTCTTCATTTTCACCATGATCTTTATGAGCTTTATCTTGACCCACTTTATAAGATTCTTCTAATAATTGCCTATGACCTTCTCTTGCATTTTTTGGTTGATTATAACCAAAAACACCAGCAACAGTAGCACCAGCAGCTTCAACTGCATGTCTTGCTTCGCCATATAATTCTTGACCATATTCATGACCAGCTTGATTATTACTAGATTTATTACCTTCATTTAAACCCTGATCATAAGAAGCATCTTTAGTACCTTGTTGATAACCAACTGCATGAGCTTGAGTTACTGTCGAATCATTCGGATGAGTATTTGTTGTTTTAACATTGTTAGTTCCTTGATTATGACCCGCAATATAAGCTTGATCTTTAGCAATTCTTTCATCAGCTGCATCTTTAGCTTCTTGATCTTTATTAAAACCTAAATAACCAGCAGCTGCAGCAACGGCACCAGTTGCAGTTGCTAAAACACCAGGATTTGAATGATCTTTAGTTGCTTGTGTAATTGAATCATATTGTTCTTTGTTAGCGACATCTTCTGGAAGTCTACCTGATGTATTTGGATTTTTTGAAGAAAAATGTTGACCAGTTGCAGCATCTACAAATGTTTCATCATCATCATCGTGAACATTTGCCAATTTTGGTGTTTTAATTGGCTCATCAGTAACTGCATAAGTTGAAGCATTATTCGGATCATTTCTTAATTCTTTAATTCTTGCATCAGTTTGATTAATTTGTTTATCTAAATCTGAAATTCTTCTTTGATCTGAAACTGGATCATGTGAAGCATGAGAAACTGGATGAGCAGTAGCTGCACTTCCAACACCTGCAGAAGTAATTGGTTGACCAAAATGATCATATTGTGGTTCTTTTTGTTCTGTAGTGTGTTGTTTTGGTTGTTGTTGTTGAGTTAAACCTTCTTTATCTAAAATACCTGAAACTCCATCTTTATTATAAGCAGATTTATTATCATGATGAATTTGACTTGCATCAACTGATTCTCCTTCAGTTGGACCACCAATTTGTTGAGAACCTTGTAAACCTGGATTTGATTGAATATCATTTCTACCTTTTCTATTACCTTCTTTATAAGCTTCTTGCTTTAAATCTTCAAGTTCTTGTTCTTGTTGTTGTTTCTGATCATAAGCTGTTGGTTGAGTTTTTAAATTATCAAAATCATGAACATTTTGTTTTGTACGTTCATTATATTGGTTTGTCCCTTGTGATGAACTAGTTGCTGCACCTAATGTACCACCTTGAGTATCTTTTGGATTGAAAAATCTACCTTCACCGCTTGCTTGTTTTGCACCATCTGAATAATGTGGATGATCATTGGTAATAACACCTGATGATTTTGATGGATGAGCTGAAGTATCCCCTAAAACTGTTGGATCAGTTGGTTGTTTTTCATTAGTGAAATCGCCTGGAATTTCATGATCTAATGGTTTTCTTGATCTATTTGGAGGGGTTGAAACTAATCTACCTTTTGAATTTTCTGATGAAGTGCTTGATGTTTTTCTATGAGCATATTGATTTGCACCAGTTGATGTAGCTGCAACACCACCAACCGATGAATATTTACCAGTATTATGTTTAATATGGAATAATTTTTCACCTTCATGATAAGCTTCTTTTAAAATATGTTCTACATGATTTTCATGCGTTGCACTGGTTTTTCCAGCTGCGTTAGTACCGTGAGTTTGTTTATATTGTTGTTCACCTTCATCATGAGCTTCTTTTAAAACTTGATCTTTTTGATTTTTAGAAATTGATGATGATTTTTTACTATCGGACGATTTAGATGATGAAGTTGAATCTTTTCTAAATGAATTTTTTAATTTATTGAAGAATTTACCTTCTGATTGATTACTACTCATTTTAATAAATTACTTTTAATTCAATTGAGAAATATTTGAAATATTTGTTAAATTTAAATTATAATACAATTGATTTAGATCTATCTAATAGAATTGAATATGAATAACGTAAATTTGAAATGAATAACGTAAATTGAAATGAATAAATAAAAAGAATTGGTTGTAAAAAATAATTGATGGAAAAAGCAATATATATATATATATAAATATATATTACTATATAATAATTATAAACTATGGTGGTGTATGAAATTCCATAATAAACTTTTAGTTTGCTATTTAAATTTTAATAACGAACTTTTATTATTTTTCCCCTTTGAAATTTAATATTGTATAGTCATTTATTTTATTAACTACTGGCAATCAGTAAACAAACAGCTGCATTGTATTTGTGTTAATTCATCTCTTTTCAAAGTTTTACTTTGTTGTGCTAATAGGAATCTCGAGATTTTTCGTGTCTAATTTTGGTTGCCAATATTATTTTTGATTTTGTAACTCCATTTTTAGATTATTTTTATTTGGATCAGGCATATTCTAAGGAATAACTGGAACATGGTTATAAAACGTAAGTTGTAATTGAGTTTGAGCAAAGAACTTAATCTAGTATATCAAGGGATCTTTGATAAGAATTTTCCTTCTTGGTGACAACTAGCGATATCAAGGTCATGGAGGGGGTGTAATGTAGTGTAATATATTTATTTGCGACTGATCCACATTTAAATGAAGAATAGCAAATCACAAAATTAACTTAACCACATTTATTAAATTTTTTATGTTCAATTGCTATAAATTGTTGTGGACTTATAAAACCAAAATCTTTTCTCTCTCTCGAGGAATTAGCATTGCTGCCAACTTGAATTAATTGTGCATTATTGCCGAGCAACTAGTTGGTATACATCTCGGATTAATACCGTTTCGTATTCTTCTTGTATATTTTAACCACGGGCATTGAATTATTTTTTTTTTTCTTTTTTCAGGGGTCCAAAAACGAAAAAATGGCCTTGGCGAAAATGATGGGGCAGAGATCTGGATCTCAAAAGGGTATATATTAAGATCTAGAGCGTAAAATGGTTGTTGCCTGCTCAATTGATGCTTATAATTGAAGTTCAGTTAAATTCGTCATTTATATATGATTGTTCTTGAAGCTTCTACAATTTGAAACATGGAGTTATGCACAATTTCTTAAATTCCTTGATATTTATTCTATTGCATCATAAAAATTGTAAAACTTAAATAATGATAGAGTGAAGGTTAATTGTATTATATATTTTGCAACCATTTTCTTATAAAGATTTATGCCCTGGCAAGGTAATTTACTCAAGTTTGCTTTTGTATTACCTTTGACAATTTGAAGTTTGACCGAAGATTCTATCAAAGGTAAATTAAGCAGGAAATTAGATGTACTTATGGGATTAAATATTTTCCGCATTAATTTTGGTCTAGAAAATATTTATAAGTGTTTCTGTGCAAGTTTTGATTTATATTTCTAATAATTTGGTCTTGAAAAATACATTTACACTATAATTAACTTAGATTAACTTGAACAAATAGCCGAAAGCATAAAGTTAACATTTGAGTGATAATCTTGTATTTACTTGTATTCGGGTCTTTTATTACTCTTGTTGTAAATCAATCTAGTAACCAACCATTCCAAACTTTCTTTTAATCCTTGATTTTCCAATACAGAAACAGGCAATAATTTAGAGTCAGTAGCTTCCAATTCACTTACCAACTGTATAAAAACTCCAGTTTTCAAACTTACTAAATCAACAGCTTGTGGTAAATCTTGTTTATTAGCCAACATTAAAATCGGCACATTCATAACCCCATCAATATTATCATTATCTTCATCATCAATGATCCAGGAATCATCATGTGCAATCTCAATTAAAGTATCATAACATTCTTGAAACCGTTGAGTATCAGTTGAATCAATAATAAATATAATACCATGACATTGTTTAAAATATCGTGACCACATATTTCGTAATGATTTTTGACCACCAAGATCCCAAAATTTCAAATTGATATTCTTAAATTGACTAGACATTGGTGAATCAGAACTTGAACCTTCAAATTTAATAGTTGTTGTGTTTTGACCTACTGTGGGGAATATTCGTTTTTGTCTCAACAATTTAACAGTATTATTCAGACTTTCTCCTTCCTCCTCTTCTATTCCTTCCCCAGACTCATTTTTCCTCTTCTTTTTAGCTGTTGAATTTGTTTCTGTTGATGATGGATATAATAGTTTTATATGTTCTAAAAATGTAGTTTTTCCAGCATTGTCTAGTCCTAGTATTAAAATATTATATTGTTCTCGTTTTGTATATTGAGTATATAATGAAGATGCAAGATGAAACATATAGTGTTACCAATTGATAGTTTGGTTGTTGGTTAGTAAAATTTCTTAGTATGGGTTTTTTGATTTGTTTAAGAATTGGTGATATCGCACGACTAATTATAATGAAGATGAAGATGTGAAAAATTATTTATTTTTCATTAATCACTTCTTTTTCAAGAGTATGTTTAGAATTTGAATTCTTTCTTTCGATGATGAATAACTAGATAGGGACAACTGAGCTTATGCATTGAAGACAGTTGTTTAAAAAGATAGTAGAAATAAACAGATCTGATGATATAAAAGAAAGATATGATAGGGTTTTATTTGATTTAATACTAACTAATTGCATTACAGTTTGAAGAATGATAAAGTTATCTCATTTAGTCAATGAAACTGCATTTATCAGTAGTTCAGGTACAAGGTTTTCATTAATTGATCCTATGGCATCATTTGATCTTTTTGAGCTCATCTTGATGGATCTAAGTTGAACAAGATCGACCTTTGAGATCGATAGTACTGATAATTCGGACTTTGAGTCATTGAAGTAATTCAAATGATATAGTACGAGTACGAGTATGTTTCATGGGTCATTATTTTAAATTTCAAAATTTGAAATACCGACCACGGTAATAATATAAGACTATTACATGTTTGACTTCCCTACTTCAGCAAGAAAGTAAGCGACAAATAATGGTTACAGGCTTGTAACCAACATGAATGCAATATTACATTATTCAATTCCATAGCCGTAATCTATGATTTTGTTAATGAACGTTAAAACCATTGGTCTAAGTGGCTGCTTAACGCCAATATCAGGCCCGCATATCTTGTAGATATCAAAATAAACATTTCAGCTATGTTCTATTTATGATAATATAAAAATTTCAATATATACATGGTAGCAATACCTGAAATTAGGGAGCTATCTTAGGTGGACAAAAATTTTAAGATATTGGCAGATACTAAATGTCTTATAATGCCCTTTCCGTGAATAGTAGTAAGTTAATCTACTGTCATGATCAGCCCGTTTCTTGTAATTTGAAATTAGGGGGGTATGACAATTATGTACGGAGAAACTTTCTGATTAATGAATTCTAGTAAAAAATGACGGGTCTCTAATTTATGCAACGATCCTAACCACACTAATTACATGGTAGCGCAACCCCAAAAAAATAACACCAACGACAGTTAACTAATACCATAAAACAAATTACTATAGGTCTTTTCTGTAGGTATATTCAATTCAAATATTAATATGCCCTTGGCTTAGATTGTTTAGTTTATTTGCTTCAAATGCTGATTATTTAATAACACAATAAAACATTTAATATCATATTGTAGGTTCAAGCAAAGTGTGCTTTTGAATTCTACATCAAGTGTGAGAAAACTTCGATTTTCGAACATTTTGGAGATGCCTACTTCATCTAAAAAATAAATAATGACATCGTTCATTATCAAGACCCCGACTCAAGCTAATGTTCAACCAATGGTGAGTATTATTTGTATGAGGAGGTTGAGCTCAACGTTATTGTGTCTGAAGTTATAGTTCATTTTAATTTCTAGTGGTTCGTGTAATAATTTAGGAAGACTTCCATACTCTATCATCGAAAGTTTTTATTTCAACAACATCTATAGTTGAAAGTTATATATCATTTAGTCCAGCTGAATCTAAGCATTATTTGTTTGAGATTGTTGAGCTCAATGTTGTTGTGCAGAAAGTTGTAACTGATTTAACTTTGTAGCATATAAATGTAATATTTTAGGAACATTCCATAATCCAACCATCGAAAATTTTCATTTCAGCAAAATCTGAAGCTGAGCGTTACATGAGTGTTAGTTCACTTGAAAGTGAGCATTATTTATACTGGACTTCTTTTTGCAAAATCGTTGTATCGAACGTTATTCAACTTATTATCTTCTTCATTTTTGGCTGCAAAATTTTTGCATATGCGGGCAATCAACTTAGATTCAAAACACAATGCAATTCTACTGCATCAAATCATTTAGGTCATAGGAGAGTAAAACTTTTAACTTTCAACTTGACCTGTACTTCAGAGTAAAGTGAACGATAACCTATCGATCTCGTTCAAATTCTCAAATTTTGATATTCTATATATTCGACCTACTTTCTTTCAATCTATTGATCTTTCTTTTTATAATTTACTTTTCCAACATATATATAATTAACAACAAATAAAAACCAAGCAATAATGACTAATAAAGTACTAGCAATATATAACCAAGAATTAGTAATATCCCAACTTCTCTTAAATTCGTCATTAGCAAGGTGTCTAACAGTAACTATCTTCTTATCCAAAATCCAAGAATAACCATGTCTCTTGTAGTCTAACTCAAAAGTAAACATTCCATGATGATCAGGAACTGTAAAATTAACAAAATATGCAAAAGTGTCTAAATCTCCCTTCTCTTTTGAGCTTACTTTACCCAATTTTTCCAAATTCAATTTTTGATAAGGATCCAACATTTTAAAACTTAATTGTGGAGTTAAATCTGAACCATCTCCAATTTCAAATGGTACCCATTGTCCATTTTTAAATTCCGAGATTCCAATTGTATAAATTGCTTGATCTTTGATTCTATATAATGTTGGATTAATCTTCGATGGATCTTCATTGTTTACATGTTGGGCGAATTGTAATCTCAAAGTATTCTTTTTTTGGAAAACCCATTCGTAAATCTCAACTTGATTCAATAAATCAATTGATCCAATCCATGCTACTCTTGCATTATTAAGAGCTTGGAATGCAACTGCTAAGTATCCTTGAGTACCGAATGTCCAAGTAGATTCTTGATCAATTGGTGTACCCACTTTATTAGTATACCCAGTTTTAGATGATGAAATAATGGGGAAAATCAATTCATTATTTGTAATTAAAGCTGCTGAACCATCATAAGACTCAACTTTCAAACTATCGACTATGTTGTTTTTAATGAGGTTGTTTTTCTCACTGAGTTTTGTATTGAAATGGTCGATATATTTATAATTTTTAGGAGCTGGATAAATTCCCAATTCGTTTAACCAAATTCTAAAAGGTTCTGGTAACGAAGTTGATTCAGATCCACCAATTACCAAAACATTACCTTTTAAATTTATAAATTTAAGTAAATTATGTTGATTTAAATTTTTTTTATTATTGATTGTTTTCTTTGAAGATGGGAATAAAATTATATTATCAAATCTAATTGATTCTTCATCGTTATAAAATAATGAAATTTCATCATTATTATAATCTGCAAATGTCAATTCAAAATTTGAATCCAAATATTTGAGGAAATTAGATCCTGAAGTTGAATCATTTAGTGGTAATATTTCTGGATCATGAAGTACCAAAGTTTGTTCAATTCCAATATCTAATGCAAATATAATTGTAAAATATAAGAAATTTAGTAATATATAAAATTGTTTAATCATTATTTTATATTACCGTTCGTTGAATTTGAAAATTGAAATTTGAAATTTTATTTTTGTTCGTTGACGTGTTTGTAAAATATTGAAAATAGTGAAAATTGTACCAAATTGACCTCAAAAGTCAAAGAAATGAGATAAACGCTATTATACCTGAATGATATATGATCAGTAAACATATAGACCTTTTTGAAGCAGCTCAAGTGGGGATCTGAAGAGATATGGCCAATTTTATGTCTTTTTTGCAGCCCATGGCCATAATTTTTCTGTGACAAAATATAATATTTAGCTCATCAATACGATACCAAGTTGAAATATGGCTATTAAAATTAAAATAGAGTTTCTTGGTGGTTTAGATATAATTTCAAATTCAATACGAGAACATAAAGTAACTGTACCCTTTGAAGAAGGTGAAGCAACAATGAAAGATTTAATAAATTGGATTACAAAAAATATCATATCTGACCCAAAAGATATTCCAGTATTTATTGAAAATGAAACAGTGCGCCCTGGTATACTAGTACTTATAAATGATACAGATTGGGAATTAGAAGGAATGGAAGATTATGTAATTGAACAAGGTGATGTATTCACATTTACAAGTACATTACATGGTGGTTAAAAGAGTCAAAGTCATAGAAGCTTAGCTATTAGATCATGTCACATTGTATATCATTAAATAGGTATTAATCTACATCCTAATAGACCTTGTCCATCCCAATCATCAGTTGGTACAAGTATAATCTTTAGTCTCTCTTCATTTCTCTTTATATCAACTTCAATCTCATCACCTTTCTTAGATTTGACTATATCAACTAAATTCAACAACCTATTATGATTTGACGCATGTATTCTACCATCAAACAATATAACTTGGTCACCTTCTTTCAAACCACTTTTAAATGCCGGACCACCAGAAACTACTTCTTTAACTAAAGCATAAGGGATATTATAAACCGCCCTTCTTTCTTGTTCTTCCACCTCTTCATTTCCACCCTCAGCTTTACGTCTCTCAAACTCTTCTTGCATTTTAGCTTCCAATAAGTTTAAAATTAATTTATCATCATTTCTTAATCTAATAATCTTAATACGTATCAATCTAATTGTCACAACATCAATATCATCCCTTGGAAACCCATCTATGGTCAATGGAGTATCCATATCTGCACCATATTTAGATTTCAATAATTCAAATAGTAAATTCAATTGTGATTCAATATCAGTTTTAATTTGAGATAATTCAGAAAATGAAAGATTTTGAAAAGTTGATGTGCTATAATTTTTGAAGGTTGATTGATCGAGGTTTAAGGATTCCATTACTCCTCTGAATGAAGTATCATCTATGTCTGAATCGTCAATAGTCATATCCAATTAAGTGGCGATTTTAAACTATGGAGAATTAAAAAAAAAAAAAAAAAAAAATTAAAAATGGCTGCAAAAAATATAATAAGGCTGCAAAATTAACCAATTTCAATTGATATGAATCTGTCATTTGAAGCTACAGTCTTCTACTAAATGTAAATACGCTTTATTGGCTCTTCTTGCATAAACTGTACTTGAAACATGTCAATAAGTTCTTAAAAGGATCAGCTATAAACAGCATAAATCATATTCTGTTGAATTATTTCAATAAATATTTGTATATTTAATAATAATACAGTCCGTTATATCCAATGCATATATGCTTAATTTACTTGTCTTGTATTACCACCTTCATCAGTACTTAAGGCATAAGAATAAGTACTTACATTTTCAACATCATCATCTTCATTACCTTCACTAATTTCTTTCCAACTTGCAATAGTCAACATGGCAAACCCAACAATAATCAAACAGTCACCAAACAACTGTTGGAAACTTAATTTATTCCCATATACAATCCACTCAACAATCCCAATCAAAAAGATAGTAATTAATGAACTCACTGAACTCAAAACAGGACTAGTCAATGCCATTAGTGACAAGAAACTAGCACTAAATGTCAAATTACAAATTATTGAACCTGCAATATACTGCCATATTAACTTTGTGTTATCTCCATAATTCCAAAGATTAAATTTATGAATTTTTGTAATATGTGTTAATAAACAGGCAAGCGAAAGTATGACAAATGTGTATATTCCAAACCATCCCATTACAAAATTTGCAAATGTCAGCTGTCTTCTAGGTGTAATTATCTTACTTAAATGAGCAGGAATACATAAGTATTTCTTATACAATACTTCATAATATCCGTATAATATAGCACCAACTGATATAATCAAATTCCCCCAAAATCTCAAAGGATAAGAATCTTCCTTAACTGATACATCTTCTTTAGAATATGCCACTTGAAACACACCAACAAGGGCAATTATAACTGATGAAATTTTCAACCATGAGAATTTTTCACCTAGCAATGGAATTGCAAATGCGTATGCTGTAAATGCACTACAGTTATATATTGCAGTTACATCAGCTGGATAAGTCATTGACATTGCTCCATACCACGTAAAACCAGCAACTGTTAAAATTAAAGTAACGATAAAGGAACGAATGGCAATATAATGAATACTTGGAGTTCTGATGAATGTTGAAATGCATGAAATTATTGAGTTGCTTGAACTCAAACGTGGAGCCACATCTATGCTATTATTTAAGTACTTTGTTGATGTATCTCCAAGGATGTTTGAATTGTAGATTAGTATACTAGTATGATAAACGTTGTGAAATTGTTTGATTATACATTTTTTAAAATATGTAAACATGGGGATTTGATGTATTGGTACTTCCAATTCTTGATCTTCAAGTAACTCAGAAGTGGAATTTAATCTTTGATATTGAATTGAGGATGAATTAGGAGCAATATTTATTTTTGTAGATTTGTTTTTGGTATATTTTTGAGTTGTTCTTATCATCAGTACGAATAATATTTGTAGTGGCCATAATAACCACCATGATCCATGAGTAACAGTTAATAATATGACCGGTTCTTTGAAATTTAATTTATATGCTTGTGAAGTGAATTCAGTCTGAAGTACAAAAGAAGCTAATGACAATAAGAAAAGTATAACTATGAATATAATCTTTGTCTTTGATGTTTGATGAATACTTGCTTCTGATTGATGATCTTGATTTTCTAATAAATTCGTAATAGCCATAATTAATTTATACCTAACCCATGAAAATAAAAATTGTGTTGATAAAAGAAAAAAATAATGTGTGTATTAATCAGAATCAGATTCATAAGAACTGGACCCTTGATCTACTGTTTCTTCTCTCTCTATATAGTATTGTCGTGGAGCTATTACTCCCTTCTCTACCAAATGTATTCTTGGAGTTAATCTAGGTAGAATTATATCACAAACTCGTTCATTAATCAATAATGAATCTACAAATTCATCAATATATGATAATTTATAATTTATGGGCAATTGGAACTCATTAAACACTGGACTCTTTAACCTCATTCGAACCTTTCTATAATCCTTATAGTAAGTGTCGAATATCTCATATATTTCAACAGCACCGTATGTCAACCTTATATACAATAATGTCAAGCATGTCAAATATTTAAATTGATTGAAATTTAATTGTGTTAAATATACTGAAATAATTTCTTTACTAGGCTGTAATTCAAGCATCCGAAATAAACATTGTAGGAATGGTGATGGTTTGCCTGTGGAATCCGACCCTTGTATATATTGTACATGATTAGTGATAATTGGTAATATTGTCGATTCATTAGTTAAATATAAATATTGTTTATAAAATAACGAGTCTAGTATTCGATGTCTTATTATTGGTTCTATCAAACTTGCATTATTTAATATATTTCTTTTATCATTATAACTTGCTTGTTTCTTGGAGAATATATCATTTGAAGTAGATGACATTGATTGATGGGCTAAAAGTAGAAGTTTTGATAATTTTTACGACGCGTGACTAAGCGCGTGACTTTTGTTTTCCGGCAGTATGAAATTTGAGCGCGTGACCTATTTTTAGCCACATGAAATTTTCCTTTTAGTGCGACATAAGAAATTTTTGCGTCTTAGTTTCAGGGCGAGCTCGTTTCAAAATGATTAGCTTTACACCATGTAAGTTGGTTCAAGATTTGAGCAAATTGCACACGAGAAATAATTTTATGTGATATTTTCCACTTAGTGCGACTGAATGATTTCTCGTGCTAGCTTTAAGACGACCTCGTACTAAATTTTTATTTTCCATGTCAATTAGTTTAAAAGAAAGAGCAATTGGAGCTTTTAGAAACGATATTGCGGGTTGTAAACTCGAATTGTTGGAGCTTTACTGTTCTGGTCGTAGTCTCGTATCACTGTTGGTTGTCAACGTCAATTTCTATTGTTTGTTGCACTTATCAACAATTTTTACAACCAAAAAAAAATATTATATTTTTATTGTTACTTAATTATTTCTATGTCTGGTTTTAAATTTCCATCCTTTGATTTTAAATCATTACAAGAGTCATTACCTACCGTAGATCAAGTAAAAGAACAATTCACAAAAACAGGTGATCAATTATCAAAAACATTACAACCATTAACTACAAAAACATCACAATTAATTAGTGAACAATTAAAACAAGTTCAACAATTGGCAAATAATAGTATTGATTCAAATATTGATGTTTCAGAATTACCTCAGGATTATTTACTGTTAGAAACCAATTGTGATTTATTATTAAAATTATACACTGATTTAATTTCAACTACTGAAGAAACGTATGGTAAGTTAAGTTATGATTATCCACCGGGAAATTATGCAATTCAAAAAATTAAGGATGCAAATGTTTCTGGATTAATTAATTCTAAATATCAACAATTGAAAAACGTATCATCACCACAAGAATTGGAAAAGATTTTATTAGGAGGTGATAATAAAGAAACTGCAGAAGGAGTCTCAATTCAACCTACTCCTGATTTGCATAAGACTTTATACGGTCAATTATCAAGTATTTGTCTTAAACATTCTGAAGAATTTAAAGAATCTGAATCACCATTGAGTTTTGCGCTTTTATCTATTTCTTCAACATACATTGAATTAGCAAATGCAAGAGTGACACAAGATAAGAAAATAATGGATGAATTAAATTTAAGTTTACATAAGATATTGGATGAACAATTTATTAAAGTAAATGAATTACGTAAATCTGTATATTCTACCAGATTTGAATTTGATAATCTTAGAGCAAAATATGAGAAAGAAGATCCAGAAAATGAAGAATTAATTGCCAAAGAAGATGAATTTGTTAATTCTACAGAAATTGCAGTATTAGAGATGAAGAAATTATTAAAACCAAGTAAAAATTTAGATCTATTAAAAATATTAGTATTAACACAAAAAGAATTCTTTGAAGTTGGTGCAAAGAAATTAGATGAATTGTATGGGAACTTGGATAAGATACCAATCAGTGGTGAAGATGAAGAAGACGATTAGATTGAATAGTGAATAAATATATATTTATTGTGTTTCGTATAATATTTCTACCGTGCGCTTCTTGAAAATTATTTATCAACCAGTTTATTATGTCTTCAGATGAACAAAAATCACAAATATTACAACAGGAATATAATAGATCACAAGAAATCATTGCTGAATTAGATCAACAATTGATTTCAATATCTTCACAATTACAAGAACATAAAATAGTAGATGAAACATTAACTTCAATACCACCATCAGATCGTAAAGATCGAAAATGTTTTAAAATGATAGGTGGTGCCTTAGTCGAGAAAACCATAGATGAAATAATAATAATATTAGCAGATGAAATTAAACAATTGACAAAACAACAAGAAATGATAAATAAAGAACTAGTTAAATCTAAAAAGAAGTTGGAAAACTGGATAACTAATAATAAAATAAAAGTAGTTAAAGGTTAATATATACTTATACAACTATAGATTGAGCGTAAGATAATCTAACTTCTGATTCTTTACCAGTATCACGATTGATAGCTTCCCATTTTGGTTCATCTTTAAATAATCTAACTGCTCTAACATATTTTAAATCATCAGTTAATGTAAATCTATGATATATACCAGCTGGTAAAATCAACAAGTCATATTTGTTAAGTTTTGTTCTTATCCATTTATCATTTTCATCTCTAACATCAAAATAACCTTCACCATCTACAATATATCTAATTTCTTCATCCTCATGATAATGTTCTTTATAAAATTGTTGCATCTTAGCATTATAAGCATTAATATCATTATTGAAAGCAGCAAGGTTTAAATTTACTTCATCTCTATTCTTGTAATCCCTTTGAGTAGCTAAATTATCTAAATCTTCTTGAGTTTTAATTTGTCTATAAAATACTCCAATTTTGGAGAGTGTATCTAATGAGACTGGAACTCCTGAGTTGTGAGGTTCTGTGAAATCGTCTATAGTATCTTTGTTATCGTGATAATATACTTCAACCATTTTGATAACTCTTATTAATTGATAAATGATAACTCGTGGGTTATTGATTATTTAAATATTTCTCCTGATTTAGTGTAATTTTGGTAAATTTGATAATCCACAGTTTTTTAAATTCGAACAAAAAAGCCAAACAATACAAACTGACAAGAACACTATACTGAGAAACGTTTATTAAACTGAGACATGTGATCTTAAGACAATTAGTCCAAGTCAAAGCCTAATTTATAGTTTGCAAAAGTTTATTTCAAAATTCACGTGACTGGTAGCTCGTACTTTTGGTAGTGCGATTTTTATATTTTTCTTTTTTTTTTAATTCTGAAACTTTATCAATCAATGTCATATAATCGATATAATAATAATAATAACGGTTATAATGGTGGTGGGCGTATTAATAAATTAGCAAATTCTAAAAATCCAAGAGATCAAGAAAGATATTTAGCTTATCAACAAAATTTAGAAGCTCAATTAGCTTCTCAAGAGAAAAAACAAGCATTTAGAAGAATTACAGATCATGGTAATAATATGGGAAAATGGTATATTGAAAAACTGTTAGGTGTAAATATTGATTCACAACAACAAATAGGAAAAATAAGACCAGAATCGTCATATTTAATAGATTTATTACCCTCATTAGCATATAGTTCATCATTTAACTATAATCGAAGAAACAATAAAAATAACATGGCCATATGTGATAATGAGTCAAAATTTGTCCATTTATCTTCAAATAAAGCAAAACATACAATCAATACAGTTAAATGGACACCAGAAGGTCGTAGATTACTTGTTGCGTCTCATTCTGGTGAATTTACAATTTGGAATGGTATGACTTTCAATTTTGAAACTATTATGCAAGCTCATGATTCTCCAATTCTTACAATGCAATATTCTCATTCTGATGACTGGTTATTAAGTGGTGATCAAAATGGGAATATAAAATATTGGCAACTGAATTTTAATAATGTTAATAATATAAATGCTCATTCAAATGGAGTAAGAGATATTTCATTTTCACCAAATGATTCAAAGTTTGTTACTTGTGGTGATGATTCAAATTTGAAAATATGGAATTTTAATAATGGTAAGGAGGAAAGGCAATTGACGGGACATCATTGGGAAGTTAAAAGTTGTGATTGGCATCCAAGTCTAGGTCTTATTGTTTCGGGTTCAAAAGATAATTTAATTAAATTATGGGATCCTCGTTCTTCAAATGCAATTTCTACAATCCACGGATTTAAGCATACTGTCAACACAACTAGGTTTCAACCTTGTGGGACATCAAGATTAATTGCATCAGTTTCAAGAGATAGAAGTTGTCGTATATTTGATTTAAGAACAATGAAAGATATGATTGTAATTAGAGATTCAGAAACTGATTTATCTTGTGTTGCGTGGCATCCATTACATGCATCAATGGTGACAACAGCAGCTTATAATGGTTCAATTAGTCATTATTTATTGGATAGTTATATTCCAGATTCAAATGAAACAATACCGAAAAAATCAGATCAACCAGGTTCAGTAGAAGCCATTCATAAAATTCCATATGCTCATGAAAAAGCAATACATGCATTAGAATATCATCCAATGGGTCATTTATTATGTTCTGCTGGTTCTGATAAAACTGCAAGATTTTGGTCAAGAGGTAGACCAAATGATCCAATGGCATGGAGAGATGCTGTTTACACTGATGATAAAACTGGTGCTTGGTATTATACTGTTAATAATAATGTTAATGCAGTTATGGAAGATCCAAACGGTGTTAAAACTGCCGCTGTTACTTTTAAAAATCCTCAATTGGAAGAAAAAGTAAATATGAATAGTAATTCATTATCTGGTTTACCTGGTTTAAGAAGTATGCAAGAACAATATAGTAATATACCTGGATTAAGGGGTCACTAAAAACGACAAGCACTAATGAAATAGAGTTATGATCTAAAAATATACATAGTAATGACATATCAATTACATTTTATCTCTGACGCAAAAACCTGGCGCGATAAAAATAATTGCACACCATAATTTTGGGGCGACTCGTACTAAATGTACTGGTCTATAGGTCGTAAACAAAGCAGTTTCTCCCAGATACATACCAGCTTTATGAAATCAGGAGACTTGAATAATATACTTTAAATATTTTGCATCTAAAAATTCTAATTTTTTTTTTGAACTAGTCATTTCAGGCTTTTTTCACCATACAAAAATTTTGCAAAAAATGTAAACTCAGATTATTTTTTATTCAGGGCCAAAACTCTTAATTAAATTGCTGATTATACTTCTTTTATCTCAAACAAAGTGACCGAACTTTGTTATATGTGATCTAAACTAAAGTTCAAAATTTTCAAAATTCTCTCTTAACTTTGAGGAAAATCGAATATATTGACCTCACGGAAAATTGTATCCCACAATCAGATTTATGATGAAAGTACGATAAAAATTTCAAGATTTGTAGTTCCGCACTCTGGTATATCTTGAATATTTTTGTGTTAATGTATTCAAAATTGAAAAATTAATTCTTGAACGTGGTTGGAAATTTTTGACAAAATTTCAAACTGATGTTGACATCTTAAAACGCTAAAAGTAGGATTATGGAGGTCAATTAAACCAAATCAGTAAACTTAGAAGTTGCGAAATGATGTCTAAATGTTGATTATCTCGCAATTTAGTGTTTTTTTTTGTATTTTAATGTTGAATAAAATCATCAGAAATCTTTATTTCAGGGAAATTAAGAGCAGTTTACTCAAAAACAATTGAATATCAGAGAAATAAATTTTGAGGATATTATTTTGAGGATGATAGCTTGAATTTTGAGAGAGTTACTTACGATTTGAGTTTCAAGATTAGTTATTGTGAGACTGCATGTAAATCGTTTGTTTCAAAATTATTTGAAAAGTTTAGTTTTTTCCAATGCGACTAGTCGGTGCAATAAAATTATTTCTTGCTCTGAATTTAAGGCGAGTCGCTCTAAATCTCGCGGCGTATTAATTAGGAACAATTCATTCTCTCCGAATAGAAACCAGCTGAACGACATCATGAACCCTGAATTGTAAACTCCAAAGACCTGCCTCGTGCTGATACGTTTTGAATATTCTGGTGCTAAGGTGTTCGAAATTGGAATATGAATTTTACAATGACCAAGTACTTTGAAAGCCAAAGAGTAAGTTTATGGCTTACTACAGTTAGATAAAGCTTCTTAGATAATATCACCAATTAATCCATATATTATTCCTCTATAACACTCTATATAAAAATTAAACCAAACTTAAAATGAACCCAAATATATATCCCTAATTATACCAGCGATTAACCATTTCCAAATACTTCTTCCCCTCCAATTCATAATAATCGTCTTTAAACCCATTCAAAATATCAACCCAATCCTTATAATCATCATCTTGCTCATTGTCATTTCGTATAGTTTCAATTTCAAATTCTTGTCCACCATTCATTACTTTAACATAAAGGCTCAAATTTTCATAATTTTCCAATTCCGACTTTGTTATTGGTTGATATACTTTCTTATAATGTTCTGTCCTCATTTTAAAATCTTTGATAGCTAATTCATAATCTTTATTTTTGTAATCTGAATTTGTTGTCTTACCAGCAATATTATAATTTAATAATCTATTGTCATTGCATCTAACATCAAGTATTACTATTTTAACATTTGATATATTGTTATTTATGAGCTTGATCATTCTATTACGACGTTCTCTTGTTGTATTAGTAGCATCCAAGAAGCCACAATCTATCTCATTTGAAACTAATAAATGAATAAGATTTTGTACCGTTATGGTTGCAAATTTTTCACGATCATTTACACCTTGCAAGTTATTCGGGTTAAAAAATGAGCTATCACTTGAATCACTATTTCTTCTTCTTACATCACCTGCATTAAATATCCTCAGTGAAAATTTTGTATGATTATTTATGTGTTGATTTAATTGGTTGCATATTGTTGATTTTCCAGATGCTGGTAATCCGACTAATAAAATGACAAGTTTTAATGATGATGTAACTTCTTTAAGTTTTGAATCTATTATTTTTGTAAAATCATAATCTATTTTATGTTTTGAAGAATTATGTCTTGATAAAACTGGTGTTATTGTAGTTGTTGAGATTGATCTAGATGGAATACCATCAAAAATTGAATTAATTGAAGTTGAAGAAGATGATAAATTTGGATGTATTCTTTTGGATGTTGGACTTGTACTTATATCATTAATTTGTTGTGCTTGTTGTTGTTGCATTATGTTTGAAGTATAATAGTTATTATAATTATTATCAAATAAATCAAATATTGGTTTTGAATATGTCATAATCTTTAAAATTGTTACTCTAATTAAACATTAAAAATAATGAATGTTATAAATATATATAAAGAATGAAAAGTTAAATAATGGTGATAATTAATTTTATATATGATTCATTTTTATGATGGAAAAATAACAAAAAAAAAAAAAAAAAATAAAAAAAAAAAAATTAAATTAAGATTATTACACAAAATTAAAGATTGTTAATCCGTTAGACCACCTGGTGACTAAGAAAATAACAATTAGATACTATACTTTGGCTGATTACACTTATTGTGTATATTTCATTCATCTAACGTATCATTCCATAAACCCATACAATGATTGATCTTATACAATCTATTGCTTATTAGTTAATATCAATAGTTTAATCTTAACATCGGTGTTAATTTACTAACTCCCTCCCCTCTTTCCATATTAAATTTTGTTGGCAGTTTCTCTAATACTAAAAAATAGAAAATTATTCCAACGTGGTTATGATCATCATTATATTTTTACAACGTATATGTTACTCCTACATTAGGTGATTTTTTGGATGGGCGTGTATATTTTCTATTTTGAGTCGTGTAATTGTTTCAGGTCTTGAAAAAGAAATTCTAAATCTGTGTATCTTTCCCAATTAGGAAAGTGGTTTCAGATTTTTCAACAATAGATAAGATTTATTTGATTTATTCGGTTATATGGACAACAAATAAATTACGTAACTACTAAATATTGGATTAATGGAACTTGACATATATCATCCCCTTGACTCATCCATCTGTGAAATTGAAATTTAATCAAATTGCTAACTTTTCAAAAATTAGTCGATAATTTTAGTTTTGAAAATGGTTTCGCTGGATGAAAAATTTTTCCGATATCATCACACGTAAAACATTACACAAAAAGGAATTTGTCCGATGACTACAAAATACCCCTTTCGATTATTTAACTTCATTATTTATTGGTTGAAAATATTTACTCGATTGTTGCAAAAAAAACCTCTTAACGTAATAAATAAATTATTTATATTCATTGTTAAAAACTATTTACAATTGTTTGTATATCTACAATTTTTCACTTGGTTCATAAACTTGATTCTCATCATCTTTTTCTTTCCATATTTCTAATCTTAATTCTCCTAATTTCTCCAAAGTTTCAATATCTTTTCTTAATTTATTTACTTTATTCTTTTTCTTTCTATTCTTTATATCAAATTGATTTGCTTCTTCAATTTGTTTATATAATTGTTCAATTGATCTTGAAAATAAGGTAATATAATCTTGTGTTGGATAATTTTCAATCCTTGTTATTTTATATCTTAATTGCCATGATTTAACATCTTTGGGCAATGTACCTGCTACTACTTGACCTTTTTTAATTGATGAAGTTACTTTTTCTATATCATATGATAAAATTGGTCGATTCAAAGTTGTCTTTTTATTAAATTCATTTAATTTATCTTCATGTTGTTTTATATTCATTCTCTTTTCATCTAATGTTAAATGAGCAGCAGTAAAACTTGCCGGAAATTGATCTGGTAAACTTTGTAGTTCTTCTGCTTCTTCTGAAGTTATTGGTAAGGCATGTACTCTCAATTTCATATTTTTAGAAGTTCCAGTAGTATATGTAATTAATCTGAATGCCCAATCTTTATATCCTTCATTTTCAAGATCAATTAAAATTGACTTTAATAGATTTTCCCAAATCTCAATTGAAAACTTGAATTGTGATTCAGCTATACGACTTGGTAATTTTTCAATATCGATTAAATCTTCTATTTTTTCTTCATATTGTTTTATTTGATTATATATTGATATATGAGCCTCATCGTTATAAAATACTTTATCAATTTCACTTAATGGTAAATATTGAAATCCAAACAATGATTTAATATTATGATAAGCAATATAAATACCATCCATTTGACCAATTCTAGCTTGGAATAAATATTTTAATAATGCTCCAGTTCTTATTAAATCGTTAAATTCAGTTTCATAACTTTCATATTGACCTTTTAATTTACAAATTTGATAATTATTATCAGATATATTTGGAGAATTTGAATTATATCTCACATTTATACTTGCTCTTGTTTTTAGATCAAATGTTCCATTTCCAGGTAATCTTGGATCATAACAGTCTAATTGAGATCTCATCAAAAACGAACCATAAGATGAATAGTTATAAGTATTAGGTATCATTCCTGGTTTTTCGTCATGTTCATAATCTTTTGAATATTTAAGAAACTCTTCTTTGGGACTAGTTAATAATAATTCCATACAATGTCCCATTTTAGATAATATAGTCTCATTATCACACGATCTATCTGCTTGGATTGAATAAACAGTTTTATCATCAAATAATTTCCCCTTTGGTTCGACAATTAAACTATTTTGTGATTTATAAGATAATCCATTAAAATTTATAATTCCAAATCTTGGTATATTTCTTTCATCATAATCATTTAAAAATAAATAGAATTTAGTTAACATTCCCGTCATTGATGAAGTTGAGGAATAAAATTGTTTATTAAATTTTTGAGCATTTTCAAAAAGAGAATCATCTTTTGAAGCAGGTACGAAAGATGAAATAGCTTCAAAATTAAAATCATTATAATGTATTATATTTTTCAAAAATGGTGAAAAATTATAAACTCTAGTTCTTGGATCTTGTAAAAAATGAACACCAGGTGAAAATAATACTCGATCTAGATTGTGTGCCAATTGTGGAATTTCGGATGGTTTAGGAGCTATAGCTTGACTTATAGGTTGATGTTCGATATTTGCACTAGTCACAAACTCTTGAGTTTCGAGTACTTTCTCATGAATTCTTTTTTTAGATTCTGACTTTGGCTTTGGCTTTTGTTTTCGTGTTGGTTTTGGTTTTGGTTTTGGTGTTGGTATTGGTTTTGGTTGTTTCTTATCCTTTGACTCTATTACTTCTTCTTTAGTTTTCGGTAATTTTGTAACTGGTATTGGAATTGTTAGTTTATGACTATCGGAATTGTCCAAATGCTCTTGTTTTAGATGTGGAAATCTATCAAACATGGAATCAACTTTAGCTGCAAAAATGTCTTTAGTTATTTCTTTTGAAGATCCTGATAATTGATCTTTTTCAAAAAATTCGATCATGTCTTTGAGTTCAGCTTCATATTTCAATTCTCTTTGTTCTGGAGTTAATTCTGATTCAGCTTGTATTGATTTATCAGCTTTTGATGATGACTTTTTTGATTCAACATCTTTCGGTTGTTTTTGACCATGATTTATTACTTCTGATGACTCTATTGGATCTTTTACTTTACCACTTGGTTTGTATTGTACTAAACTATGTGATTTCAATGGTTCTTCCACATATTTCGTTGATTCGTCATTATTCGCTATTGGTTTATTTCTATTCTTTTCCTGAGCTTCTGCAATTTTGGTTAAATATTCTGTGTATAATTCATCGTTTACATATTTTGGAGTATATGGCCTTATTTGATTACATTGGATACAATATCCTTTGACTTTAGATCGTAGTATATTCCCATTTTGATTTATTATTCGTCTTTTTATCATTATATTTTAATTGGAGATGAGATTTATTTTGCCACGCCAAAAATAAAACTACGCGCTCGAAAATTAAACGGGGTAGCGACAATCTGAAACAAGCATACAAATGAAATGGCTTACGGAGGACATAAGTTAGCGGTAAACTAGGACAGCAAATAATCGATAAATTGAACCAACTAAGAACTATTGAGCTCAGAACATTAAATGATCTCAACTCATGAAATTCAACCTGTTAACGCGACTTTTGATGTTGGATTATGTTCAATTGCATACTCAAAATTATTCGCAGAAAACATGTTGTTATTGATGAGTTAGTACTATCTGACTAAAGAAATTTTATAATGATTTTGTCATTCAAAACTCGTAATTTTGTGGTTAAATGAAATAAACATGAAATACATATTGATAATGGAATATTTGTAAACATCAACCTGTAAGTAGAAAAATGAAGCAAAGCTCAATGCTTAAAGTAAACTTCATATAGCTCAAGCTATTTACAAACTCTGAATAAGTGAATTTTAAAATTCTTTTATCACTATCATAAATAAAAAATTCGAGAAAACTTCAGTTGCATCCAGTACTACTTGGCGAAGTGGAATATTCAAGAAAGCATATTCATTAGATTACTGGTAAATTTGAACAGCATTGAGAATCCTAATCTAGGCCTAACTTGTAACTTATTCGATAAACTAATAAATACGATTTTGCAGCAATTCCAAATTTGCACCCATTTTACAGTCAGGTGCGTGCTCTTAGGGCTATGATATAGGTATTTGGTTGTATTTGCACGACTAACGTAGAACCATACATATATTTTTTCTAGCGTGAAATCTAGTCGCATAGTTAACAATCAATTTTGTGTAACAAATTGAGAACGCTTTCAACTTAGTGAAAAAAAATTAAGTAAAATTTTAAAAAATACCTTTTTAAAAAAACTTGTCACTTAATACCAAATCACTAAACAATGGGTATGTTCAATAAGAATATAATAGATATAAATGAAATATAGAGATATCAGAGAATTAAACTACAACAACAGAACTAGAGAAACAAGAGGAATAGATGGGAAACTTTTACATCGAAGGCATCTTGAAAAATTATCAAAATCAATTATTTCATATAATTTTCAACAGTTGATACTAACAATGTTATTACAGGTAGAGTTATTCGTAACCAAAGAAAAGGTGCTGGTTCTATTTTCACCTCACACACCAGATTAAGAAAAGGTGCTGCTAAATTAAGAACTTTAGATTATGCTGAACGTCATGGTTACATTCGTGGTGTTGTTAAACAAATCATTCATGACCCAGGTAGAGGTGCTCCATTAGCTAAAGTTGCTTTCAGAGATCCATACAGATACAAATTAAGAGAAGAAACTTTTATTGCTAATGAAGGTGTTTACACTGGTCAATTTATTTATGCTGGTAAAAAAGCTTCATTAAATGTTGGTAACATTTTACCATTAGGTGCATGTCCAGAAGGTACTATTGTTTCAAATGTTGAAGAAAAAGTTGGTGACAGAGGTGCTTTAGGTAGAACTTCAGGTAATTACGTTATTATTATTGGTCATAACCCAGATGAAAACAAAACAAGAGTTAAATTACCATCAGGTGCTAAAAAAATCATTTCATCAGATGCAAGAGGTGTTATTGGTGTTGTTGCTGGTGGTGGTAGAATTGATAAACCATTATTAAAAGCTGGTAGAGCTTTCCACAAATATAAAGTTAAAAGAAATTCATGGCCAAAAACTAGAGGTGTTGCTATGAATCCAGTTGATCACCCTCATGGTGGTGGTAACCATCAACACATTGGTAAAGCTTCTACTATATCAAGAGGTGCTGTTTCAGGTCAAAAAGCTGGTTTAATTGCTGCTAGAAGAACTGGTTTATTACGTGGTACTCAAAAAACTTCAGATTAATTTTAAATAAAAAAAATATACATAGTTAATGGTCATTAGAAAAAGAACTCTTAATTTAAATTATTTATTAGAGATATTTAATTTTCAACTTGATCTGATACAGCTTGATTAGTATCAATTGATGTTTCAACCCCTCTTGAACTTTCTCTTGATTTTCCTCTTGATTTAACACCTTCTCTTTCAATTTCAATTGATGGTTTTGATTTTGCTTTTTCAATATCTAAACTTGATTTTGAAGCTGGTCTTAATTCAACATTTTTACCATTTAATTTTTGAGTTTTTAAATTTTCAATGATATCATTTAATTGAACATCTGAAGCATCAACTTTTGCTAAAACAGATACATAAGAACTTGAAAGGTTAATTGGACCTAATTTTGGAATTGATTTATTTTTAAAAATATAAATTTCACTTGGATTATATTCTTTTAAAAATTCTCTAATTGTTGCATCAGTGACTTTACCATGAGCTTTTGCAATGAATAATGTATCTTCTGAAACTTCTTCTGGTTCTTCTGGAATGTGTGGAAATAATTCTTTAGCCTTTGTACGTAAATCTTTCTTAGTTTCAGGAACTCTTTCTTGTCGTGGTTGTTCTGGTTCAACAGCAGCTAAATCTTGTGTTTCATCCTCTTCTTCTGATTCTGTTTCTTTCTTTTGGTCATTTTTACCACCTAATAATCCAAAGAATCTACCACGGTTTGGATTATAAGCTTGATGTTTTTTAACACTGAGTTTTCTACTTTTGAAATTAAAACCATCAAATTCTTGAATTACTGATTCAACTTGTTCTGAAGTTTTAAAATCTGCATATGCAATGCCTAATGGTTTATGTCTACCTGACCTTGTAAGACGAACAGTGTAACTTGGAATTAAAACATTGACGCAGAAAAACGTTAGTAATTGTAAATTTAAATTGACAATTGATGATACTTACGGTTCATGATTTTTAAATAATTCTTCTAAATCACTTTCTTGAGCATAATACGAAAGGTTTTTAATGTAAACCCTGTTATATTTCAGTTGATTTCCTGACATAAGTTAGGTAATTGCGTAAATTTATATTTTTTTGCAGCCATATGAAAAAAGTAAACAAAATAATTAAATAACAAATAAAAGCCCAAACAATTGAATTATGTTATGCTGAGTGATAGAATAATGTCATTTAAATGAGCGTATTAGTTCAATGCCTTGGTCGATATATTTTGTAAGTTGGTTTTGGGCCAACTTTCGAAATAGACAATTTTGCAGCAATAATGCGAAGGGTTGCAGGACATCAATTCCCAATTTTACTGTAAGTTAGAGCAAAAAGGGTATTTGAAAGTTTTAAGCTTCAGTCAAAAGCCTTCGTTTTCGTTTTCGTTTAAGCCGATTAAGTTAGTAGGTCAATTCTAGTAAGGAGAATCTGAATTTGTATTATCGATCGATCCCATTGAAGCCAGAGGTTTGACTTTGAATAAAAACGCTTCCTCTGAAGCGGTGGCAAGATCAATCCTTTTCTTTCCTCCTATAGTAAATCAGTTCTACATTCATTAATTATACTTGATAATATTTGTATTAAAACCCGTACATAAATTTATAATAATAAATCTAATGTTTGAAATATATGTTACAACTAATAAATTAGATCCAAAATTATCTTATCAAATTTAAGCTGAGGTTTTTTCACCAGCTTTAGCAGCAGCTAAAGTTTTAGCAGTACCATGTAAAGCATATCTGTGGTTTCTTTTGAATTTAGCATCAACACCTTTTAATGAAGGATATTTGTAAGTTTTTGGTTTTTTGATACCGTTTTTATGAGCTTTTTTGTTTTGGTTATGGTTGGTATGATTTTTTGATTTAGCCATCTAATATCAAGTTAGTATAATATTTCAGCAATTTGAGATGTGATTTCAAATCTCAATAGTCTCCCATTTATTTCTTGTCTTTCTGAATTCAATAATCCACTTCTCTAATTTCACATCTCCGTATCTATTTATTCACATACTGTTAATTATGTTCTATAATATCTAATGAATGAAAAAATTACGTACAAAAATTTGTATAGATTGGTGCGATTTTAAAAAAATTACGTGCGAAACTCAGAAGGTTGTAGCCCTAAAATAACGCTACCAATTAACGGCTGCAGAATAGTTAATCAAATCAATTTACGAAGTTATCAATTCAATCATGTCATTTATTAGTCTACATATCTATTTAGAAGCAGCGGTAGAAGCAGTGGTAGAAGCAGCTTGAGCAGCAGCCTTTTCTTTTTTAGCAATTTTATCTTCAGCTTTTGAGCCCATGATACCACCACCCCAATGTTTTTTATTTTCTTCGTATTTTTCCAAGTAATTGGTATTGATGGTTGAAACCAATTTTGATAATTCAGCTTCGTCGGCTTGTGAAACCTCAGTTAAAGCGGCAACAGCTGAAGTTTTCTTATGAACTAAAGTTCCTAATCTAGCTTTACCTTTTACAACAGCGTACGGAACACCCATTTTTTTACATAAAGCTGGTAAAAAGACAACTAATTCAATCGGATCAACATCATTAGCAATTAAAACTAATTTAGCTTTTTTATTTTCAATTAATGAAACAACATGGTTTAAACCATATTTAACAACTAAAGGTTTTGATGAAACATCTTTAGCAGTTTTACCTTCAGAAATAGCAGCTGCTTCTTTAGTTAATCTTTCTTTCTTTTCTTGAGTAGTTTCTGGTCTATATTTGTTGAATAATTTAAAAGTTTGAGCAGCAGTGTTTTTATCTAAAGTATTCGAAAATTGAGCAATTGCTGGTGGAACTTTTAATCTTAATGATAAGATTTTCTTTTGTCTTTGTAATCTAACATATTCTGGCCATTTAACGAATCTTGATAAGTTTCTTTTTGGTTGAATAGCCCCGCCGATACCATAATTACGAGGCGTAGATTCGACTAAAGGATTAGTAGATTTGGTAGGTTTGGCTTGTTTTGAAGCTAACGGAGCTGGAGCAACTTTTTTAGAAGGCTGTGTCATTGAGTGTTAGTTAAAGTGTTCTCTAAATTAATATCAACGAACATTGAATAACTAAAACTCTACAGTATTTTTTGAAAATACTCAGCCTGTGCATCGAGGATGTCACATAAATACAACAATCACTCTGATGCACAAACATTCTGTTTGTCATTCAAGAGGATGTTGGTCCAACTTATTCACATACCATTTTTGATAAAGAAATGTGATGTGAAAAATTTTTAAAAAATTATTTGAAAAAAAAAATTTATTAACTATACAACGCTACCAAGCTTGAAAATCCTCAAATAATTCAACTCGTTTAGATCTATTAGTTTTTAGTACATTTCTAACGGCATTTCTAGCATTATCAACAAAATGTGCATTACCACACGTTATAAAAGCAATTGAACTTTGAGAAGTTTCTACTTCTTCATAAACTAAATCATGAATATTTGGTCTACCACATCTAAAATCAACAAATGGTAATGCTGTTCTAATTTCATTTAATGATAAACACTCTTTCTCTGATTTATATATGTGATCACCTTTCAGACTATCATCTCCTTTCAGGTTTGATGAATCTGTTAAATCTGTTAAATTTGTTATATAAATTACAGGTTCCACTATGGTATCTTGTAACATCATTAATTCTTTTAAAAACCAATTAATCGATCTTTCATATCTTATAATCCAATAAAATCTAACTCTCTTGTTTGAATGATGTTTGATTAAATCAATACCAGCTTGATATAAACCTGAGACACCTGTACCAGTACTAAACATAACAATATTGTCATAGAAATTACCAGAATGACGTTGTGCATAAGGACCTTCAACACATGCTTTAACTTCCTGTGTAAGATTTGGGCTTTTTCTCAATTGTCTACATAATCCATGTGTAATTCCTCCTTTAACTTTAACCAAAAATGTTAATGTATTTTCTTCCAATGCTGAATCAATAATACTAAATGGATGAGATTGCCAAAAACATGTAGGTTTCAAAAAGTATATATATGCAACAGCACCTGGGAATGATAACCACCATGAAGGTTTTGGAACTGTAACTTTAATAACTTCATCTGCTATTAATTGTAACTTAGCCGTCTTTACACCAAATAATGTAATACGAACTAATCTAAATAATTTATCAGCGCCCCAAACAACAGTTGCAGCATAATAAAACTCACTACAATTTGTTGGTACAGTATGTTTCCATGCAGAAGCAATAAATATAATTGCAAAGATATGATGTAAAATAAGGAATACTTCATAATTCATATTTCTAATGTACATCCAAGAATGTGCAGTCAAACATCCAACCATTACTATTCCGACAATACCCCATCTGATATATTCATAGCCGATATAAGCTTGATAAACGCCACGATACATCAAAACGTGTGTTTTACAAGATGCATGGACAATCAACATAATTAACAACATTCTTGCAATCCATTTATGAAATAATATAAATCTAGATTGTGACCAGCCAGTTAACCATTGAGTGAAATTATTTCTACCTCCAAATAATATTAACAATGGAACATTAAATGAGACTAGTAAACCAGCTCTTAAACCTACTCTTGATTTCATATCCCAAAGACTTGTTGAAAAATTAATTGTATCAACTAATAAAAAGACAATGCATAAAACAACCCATCCAATTATAACCAATGTTTCCATTCTTAAAGGTATCATCATTTCAAATATACCATGTTTCAAAGATTTAGCATGGCTGTGACTAAAGGTCGGTGCTAATATAAAACTCCTTCTAAGCCAATTGGTAAACTTCCCATGGATATTTTTAGCAGAATGTGGAAATATAAAATTAAACCAATAAAAAATACCTCCTATCAACATTACAACCCCCCAATATGCAAGCAAACCAGATCCAAAATAAATTCCGTATGTCATTTGATCTGCAATTGTATATAATCTAGTCCAATAAGATATTACATCTGATGTTGATAATCTAGTTGGATACTCTACATTATTTATATTAACATATTTAGTACCGTTCTTATAGGCAAAGAAAAATTGACTTTTCTCCAATGAACAAGCTTTCAAAAAATCTTGATAATATTTATCTGATTTAAAGTTTTCTATAAGACAGATTGCCATTGAACCTAAGGCAGGTGGGTTCGAACAAAATGCTTTATAATTATCACCATATTGTGGAAGTAATTCTCCACAAGCAACACAAGCTAATTGTTCTCTAGATTGAATTCTTAAACTAGCTACTAATGATATGTAAAATAAATAAATTAACTTCATTGGTGAATCAAATTAGAATCATTATGAGTATATATATGGTAGCTTCCTTCTTCCTTATCATTTAGCAGCTAAATGTGAGGCTGTATATAAAACTTGGCAGGTGAAATTCTTATTGTTTGAAATTATTTTCTTGCAACCATTAAATATCCCTTAACAATTAGAATGGTTCGTAACTTTGAATTATAATAATGTCTACCACGTCATAAATGAAATGGATTATAATTACTGTTTTGATAATAACGTGGCTTATAATAAATTACGTTAATTGCGCCAAGATCAAGTACAATCATCTAAACAGGCTAATATATTATCCGTACTAAATGCAGGTATCAAATGCTAACAAATTGATTAATCAGCATTAGTAAATTATATATTACTTCTATCAAAGTACCTGCATAATCTAAAAAATAGAACAAAATTATTAAGAAATCAATTTTGAATTTAAAGTGTATAAAAGCAAGTTCGATTTATGTCAAGAAATTTTTTTCAATTCTGATGTAACTTTACTCTCTTAACCTTTGGTAAATAGAAATTCTAGGTTTCAGTAGTTATTGAAGATCACTGAATTATTTTTACTTGGTATGCACGTCCATCAAGTGATTGTCACTAACAGTTGATTTTATAGATATCTAAATAAATTTGGCTTTTTATTGTCATTCGAGATCCCGCACTTTTATTTCAGCTTTGAAACAATACATTACTAATTGTGAATGTTAATAGGTCAAAAAGCACTATTGTTCTCTCTATTGTGATAAGGATTGTTTGATAATTGTTTAAGCCAAAATTGGAGATTTTATTAAAAGTTAAATTAAAATAATCAAAAAAATCTAAAAGAGGATTTTGAAGTTTATAGATACGAACAAGAAATAAAAAGGGTATATTTGAATGACAACTAATAAAACCAAAAGTAAATTGGTCTCAAAGAATAGTCTGAAGATATGGGCTATAGGGTGTGCGGTCTAATTTTCTGACAAAATTACCCCTGAAGAATTTTCTCCTCCACTAGAAATTCAAGTGATTCTAGAATTGGAAGTAAAACAACCGCAAGAAAAGCGTTTGGATCATGAAGTCGTTAAATAAGTAAAGAAACAGGCTTAGCAAATATTCTAGTTGGTTAAAAAAGCTTGAGGTATTGAAAGATACCAATGTAGGACGATATTTTGATTGAGCGTTAAAGACTAAGCGTGTTCTTGTAGAAAAAAAGCTTTCAAACAGCCATATTCATTGTAGTTACTTACAATTCAAAGTTACGCTGCAAAATAGTTGATTTTCTTTGCAATAATTTTTGGTTGCAAAACGTTTTTAGTGCAACCACCGAAATTCTATGATCAACTAGAATTTAATCAGAATTAAAAGAATTATTACCTAGAGAAATTGCATTGAAGATTCTTTATTACGTTCCTTACAAGGAATATTTGAGTTCTTAAGTGACAAAGTATTGAAATATGTTCTAACTTATCTAATTTTGCAAAATGCATATTTAATAATTCAGATGTTGTATTCATATTGAAAAAAGCTATACAAAGGTCATACGATGAACCAGATATTGCAGAAAACTGTTATCATGATATAATAATAGATGATTTTCACCCTGATAGTTCAACTTTGAAGAAGTTCGATGAACTAAATTATTATCTAACTTTACATTGAACGCAACCCAAAACTATTAAATAAGGCACAATAGATCCCCAATATCATATACAACTTGCAAAGAAGTAACAGGATTCACTTGTGTTGCTAGTATTCTCAGAATTATTAATTTTTTGCAACCATTTCGACTCCTCTATCAATGTTTCATGTGACATCAAACATTTTTTTTGTTCGTGAAATTCCAACCCCATACAAGAATTCGATTCCATGAAAGATTATGCCAGAGTTTAAGAATTATCTAAGGGCTACATTTGAGCCAAGTGATACAAAATTACTATCAACATCACCAACAACTAAACTATTAACAGAATCACCAGTTTTAGCAACTGCATTATCACAAATTTTCCCATATTTATTATTAATTGATAATTTTCTTGAAATTATATCGTGGACAAATGATGATCAATATTTAAATTTTTTGATAATGGTGATATATTCATGCTTGATCATGTATTGGAATTGGTTTAGTCATATAATATTACCATTATTTTTTGCTTTAGCATTTGCTAGTTTTGTTTGGTCAATAAGTTCAGTTATATATGATTCGGAACATGATGAAAAACCAACAATTGAAGAGATATTATATACTTTACATAATTTAACTGTTAGAAGTGAAATGTTATTTAGACCATTGAAAGAAGTTGAATTTACAAGTAATAATTGTACAAGATTTTTCATAGCTGGAGTTATATTAACTCCATTACAATTATTATTAACAAAGACAATTTTAACGCCTCAAAAAGGTTTATGGTTTTTTGGATTATTTATATTTTCATTTCATTCACCTTATTCATTTGCAATGAGAAGGTTATTATGGAGATCATTATATATTAGACTTGCAATTGTTTATATGACGGGGTTAAATATTAAAATTACTAAAAATGATCAAGTAATTTCACCGGCTTCAAGTGATATAGAGGATGTTACAACATTATCAAATTTTAAAATACTCAAGAAAAAGATGGTGAGTCCAAATCAGCTAAAGCAGACAGTTCTATTTGAAATTTTACAAAATGAAAGAAGATGGTTTGGTATAGGTTGGTCAACTTTATTATACCCTCATGATAAACCAAATTTCTGTTACGAACAAAATTTAGAAATGGCTCCAAGTGTTACATTACATAAAGATGATTTTGAATTTCCAACATTTGAAAATGATATATATACTTATTCATGGGAATGGCTAGATGATAATTGGCAAATTGATTTAGAATTTAATAAATCTAAATCAAAAGATGGTTGGGTTTATTATGATAATAATTGGGAAACTCCAAGGTATAAAGATGGATCAGGGAAATATACAAGATCAAGAAAATGGATTAGAAAAGCTGTACTAATAATTGATAAACATGAGATTGTATATGATGAATGAAGATAATTTTATCGCACAGTATATTATTTTTTTTTTTTTCTTTATCTTTATCTATACGATGACCTTATCAACTAATGAATATTATGAAATACCCAAGAAATATATAAATCCATTAGAACCAAAGGATAAAGGTGAAGGTTCAAGAGTTAATGGTAAAGATTGGAAAATTAAAAAAGATGCTTTTAGAGTTAGATCATTAGGTGTTGGTAAAAAAAAATCATCATTCAAAGAAAGAGAATTGAAAAAATTACAAGAAATACAATATAAAGAAAGATTGAAAGAGTTAAAAGATGAAAAAGAGGCTATAAAGAAACAGAGAATAGATGACTTGAAGAGAAGAAGGGAAATTAAAGAAGAGAAAGAAAGATATGAAAGAATGGCTACAAAAATGCATGCAAAGAAAGTTGAAAGATTAAGAAAGAAGGAAAAGAGAAACAAATTGTTGAAAGAACGTTAATGAGTTGCACTCTTGAGGTTAGAAGTGATGTAAAGAGACGAGATCTGAAACATTTGGCTCAAGGCTAAAGTTTTATACATGGAAATTCTTCAGGCCCGATTTAAGTTTAATAGTTCAATAGACAGGAAGATTGTGTCGTTGATATAGCTGTATGTTTTGTAGCTTGTTGACTCTAGTAAACTATAGGAGTTCAAGTATTCGATTTTAAGACCTTACACAAGTGGTAGCTCAGTTACTTCAATATGTTTTCGCCTTAATTGCAATCTATTAAATGTATTTGATCATGTTCACTCGAGCAACAATGTATTTCGAAAATGAACAAAACCGGATAGAGTAAAGTTTACTCATGTTAGTTTTCATCTGTATTTACAATTATTGCTTTATTATACCAAGCCCATAAATTTGCAACGAGGTCGCCTCAAAGCTAGCGCGACTAAATAATTTCTCGCTCCCCCTCATCGAATAAACAGATGCATACTTTTCAAATCGATTCCAAAACAAATTGAATTATATGCAGTCTCAGTGTAGTTGATCATGAAACTTGAATTGTAAATAATTCTTTCAGTATTCAAGCTATTACAGTCGAAATTTTTTCATTAAATACACTTAAGAATATTCTCATATTGGTATCTTTTGCTAAAACATACTTTTGATCATTCTGTTCATCGATCAAAAAACGGGAAAAAAAATTCAAAGATAAATAGCACTTGAACCTCATTTATTAATTTCGAGTATAGCTGATTCGGTTTACTAAACTTCAAATATTATATGTATGATGTTTTCAAGCTGCCAATGTTGGTTTGAAATTTTTGCAAAAATTTCGTTTCATCTTTGAAAAATTACTTTCCAATTTTTAATAACTTAACTTGAAAATTTTTTGATTATATCATAAATCAAAGCTACAAAACTCGATAGAGTCATCGTATTCTAGTTTGAAAACTCAATTTGCAATTAAAATTTTCGTAAGGTCAATTTACTCGAATTTCCCCATACTTAGGAGCAAATTTAAAAAATTTCTCAATTTTGGTTAAGAGCAACTAGAAGCAAATCTAGCATAATTGATTGAGGTATGATATGTTGATTTTCACTGTTTAATTGAGAATTATGGCCCTAAATAGAAATATACAAATATTGACATTTTTTGAAATTTTTTTGTATGGTGAAAAAGCCCAAAATGACAACTCAAAAAAACAACGTTCAAAAATTAAGTTTTGACAACACACAATGGTACCAAAACAAAAGCTCCTCGTTTCATATAATTGGTATTTGTCTCAAGAAAATGCGTCGTTTGACTGACTTAGCACCACTTGCCCTAAATTTAGGTCGAGATATTTTTTGTCGCACCAAAACATTTTAATACAGCATACATAATTTGATGCTTAAATTGGAAACTCTTCTGACTTGTTGAGAGTCTCAACGCTGTCCAGCATACAACACAAACTGCTAGTAATTCTTCTACTTTAAGGCTCATCCTCTCAAGCTTAGTTTAGTGAATCCTAGATCTCATTTGAAGTAAACTGAAGTTTGAGTTAAAAAATGCACCACCTAGATACTCTATACAGAAACAATCTTACTTGCGAGTGATCTCATACCAAGATTATTAACATCTAAATATAAGTACTGAGTTATTGAGGACTAATAACACTTAATTAGCCAGTAATTCGCCCCTAATTTTGATCTCTTAAATTTTGTTCTTTTCGCTCCTGATATATTTATACAACTATCTAAATTTAATTCTCCTCGCATAACAATCTACGCCCTGATTGCACGACCTGTCATTCCTATAAATAAAATTTTTTTTTTTTTTTCTTTTTATTAATCACTTGTTGATTCCAATCTTCATTTTATAATGGACATACCAATCAACATTAAGTCCCATGAAGATGCAAAGAAAGTATCTGATCTAGTCTTCTCAAAAGAGAATGACAAGGTGGATGAACCTACTGAGGGAACTGGATCAGCATCTGGTATTGTACCAACTTTACAAAACATAGTTGCAACTGTTAATTTAGATTGTCGACTTGATTTGAAAACAATTGCGTTACATGCTAGAAATGCTGAATACAACCCAAAGAGATTCGCTGCAGTTATTATGAGGATTAGAGATCCTAAAACTACAGCACTTATCTTTGCATCTGGTAAAATGGTTGTCACTGGGGCGAAATCAGAAGATGATTCAAAATTGGCATCTAGAAAATATGCAAGAATTATACAAAAGTTGGGATTTAATGCTAAATTTACTGACTTTAAAATTCAAAATATTGTTGGTAGTTGTGATGTAAAATTCCCAATTAGGTTGGAAGGTTTAGCATTTTCACATGGTACTTTTAGTTCATACGAGCCTGAATTGTTTCCTGGTCTTATTTATCGTATGGTCAAACCAAAAATTGTTTTGTTAATTTTCGTTAGTGGTAAAATTGTTTTAACAGGTGCAAAGAAACGTGAAGAAATTTATGCTGCTTTTGAAGCTATTTTTCCTGTTTTAAGTGAATTTAGAAAATCATGATTTAAGTTGTTGGTTGTTTCTTATGTTTGTTTGATTTTAGTTTAATGTTTGCTTTTTAGTTATTGGTTTATTTATAATTAGTATTAATAAAAATTATAAAATTGTAATTTTGAAATCTCTTATTTATTAAACTCTATTTACTGTAAAACTCTTGAATATTTAGGACTTTTTGTTTCTTCTTTGGTGGTTCTTTTCGTGATCTATAAACCAATTTGGGTTTAGATGATGGTTCTGGAGCTATTGGAATTGATTCTTCTTTTGATTTTGATTCTGCAGGAGTTGCTTCTTGTGTTTCTGTTTCTATTGGTGTTGTTTCATTTGAATTTGAATCTTCCAGTGGTGTTGAATCTTTCTTCTTACCAAATAATGTCATAATATCTCTTGTTTTATTTAATTTATAATGATTCTTGGCTTCAAACGGTAAATTTTCATTGGGCCCCTCTAATTTCAACTTGAAATCAGTATAAACAGGGCAATGATCGCTACCCTGTACATTCTGCATGATATCTGAATGAGTAACATTACCTATCAACTTTTCGGTAGCTAAAATTAGATCAATTCGGGATCCAAAATTAATCAGTCTAGAATTTTTAATTGTATTCCAAACAGTATACATTTTCATTCTTCTACCTTGAATAAATCTAGTAGTATCATATAAAAATTGTTCACCTTCTTCTTTTTCTGAAATATCTTGCCATAATGTTCGTATAACATATTTATTCATTAATTTCCTAGCTGGTGTTGATTCTTTAAACTTACAACATTCTTCATAATTGATAATTTCAAAATTATTATCAGATTGAGTTATTAAATTACTCATTAATCTACCTTTTATACCTTCAGCAGAATCAATTAAATCGATAGCAACATTAATATCACCCATTACAACAACCTCTTTCCCCAATTTGTACAAGTTCTGACATCTTTCTAGTAATAAACTTAGAAACCTAATTCTATATTCTTCACCATCTTCAGTTCCTGAAGAATTAGCAGGACAATACAAGGCAAAAATAATCAGATTATCAACTAATTCAATAATTACACATCTTCCTTGACTATCAATATAAATTCCTTCTTCTTCTAATACGTTGGGATATCCTCCAATTCCATTATTTGCCCTATACGAAACTCCCTTCTTATTAGCTAAATGACCAGTTATACCTTCTTCAGCTTTAATCACTCCTATATTATTTTTGACGAATAGTCCAACTCCACTATATCCTTTTTTTAAACTAGGTAATGATATGAATGATTTATAATCTTTTAAATGTCCAATATCTTTTAATGAACTTAATGATGATTCAGTTAATTTTAATTCTTGTAATGTTATAATATCACTTTGTAACAGTTTAAAAATTTCATTTAAATCAGAATTAAATTTATTCCATGGATGATAATTAAATAATGTTTTTAACCCATTTACATTGAAAGTAATAAAACGAGTGTCTCCTAATTCTTTTGACTTTATTGATTTAAGTGGTACATTTGAAAGAATCTCATCCATTGGATTTTCATCGTGCAAAATCAAAACAAACAAAATGTTTAGATAACCGCGTTTTATCTGTGCAAATTATCTAGTTTTGGCTCTAATCACTGGCTATAGGCTGATGGTTTGCTTTACAGTGAATCCCACCGAGCAAATGACAATAAATGTTATTGTTCAATGTCTCAATGTCATTTAATCGTTAAATAAGGTTGCTCGTGTCGTTGATAAATCCCTTCTTCTAGTAACTACCACCTAATTAGGTGTTTTGATGGTTTTTAATGATGTTATAATCAAAATCTCGATGAATCAAGAACTTCAGTTGTTCTGTATTGGTTGAACGAACTTTTTAACTTTATGGTACAATTTTAAGCGGTCATATTGTAAAAAAAAAAATAAAAAAAAACAAAAAAAAAAAAAAAATTCTCAACCCCCTAAAATATGTTGCAAAATTTTTTTGCAGCCATAAAACATATCTACGTCTGATATAAAACAACTGTTGATTTGATTTATAGTAGAAGGACCTCTGTTTCCCAAAACTCTTAGACGTTGAATATCTTTTCCGGATGATAATGGTGATGTTATGCGTCATGTGATTAATTTTACGAGATTTTCGCAAAAATTCGAACAAACCAACGATGCTGTAAACTTCTACAACAAAATATCTTCAAACTTTACCTCAACTTTAACCCATCAAATTCATCACGATACACAAATATCAGAAAAATGAGTACAAAGAGAAGTTTTATTGGTCAAATAGAATAACAACGTTGAAGAGTAATGAAACTACTGATTAACCGGTTTTAAACAGTTTATTGCCGGATTTAATCCAATACATTCCGATTGCATGATCTTAATTGTGGATATATAAAGATATGAACTCTTATCAAAAAGACAAGAAATATAACAAAGAACCCTGTAAAACATATTAAATAAACAATGTAAAAATAATAAATTCAAATCATTCTATCCAATAAATTATACTATAAATCAACTCATTATGATAGAACAATAAGACGTGATAAATGTCTTGTTTACAAAACAATAAGACGCGTATTTTTTTTTTTTTATTTTTATTTATTTTTTTTTTATTTTTTTTATTTTTATTTTTTTTTAGTTTTATTTTTCCAGATTTGAGATCTTGAAAAATTTTAAACTTTTTTAATATTCTTTTTTAATACTTTTACAACAACTTTTAAAGCCAACTTTATACCCATATATTATTTCATATCTTTGTATTATTATGATCAATTCAGAAGCTTTTATTAAAAATTCTCCATTCAAAATAACTCATAGTGATGCTTCAGATAATTATAATTTAACAAATTCAACACCTGAATTAATTAAATTTCAATTAAAATTGAATAAATCAAATTCAAATCAAGATTTAAATAGCTCAATTTTACAAGATTCATTTTCAATGCATTTAAAAAACAATGTTGTACCTAGTTTATCTAGTTCAACTTCAACATTATATGAAGAAGATGACGTGGAAAGTTTTGTATATTCAAAATCAACAAGAAACAATTATTTAAATTTGAAAATATTAATTGAAAATTCAGTATTTGATTCGAGTAAATTGAAAGATTCAATTATACTGTTAAAAGAAGTGCATGAAATAAAAAATTTAATTGAAGAGAAAAAGGAGTCGAAAGAATATTTATTAAACAAGGTTTCAATAACACAACAATTCATAAATGATATTGTTAATGAAGAATTAGATCAAAGTACTTTAACTGGAATATTAAAAACTCAACTGACTTTAAATCAACAACTACAAAAAATAACTCAAGAACTTGAAGAATTAACTTTAAAATTATCCAATCATAATCTTTCATGTTTAGCTTTAGGTTATATAGAAGATGTTAAAATTATGGAAGATTCAGATACACCACCAAGTTCAGTTGCTTCATCACCAAGAAAAACTCATGATATATCAGATTCAATTTTTTCTCATTTAGCTCATATAGCAGCTCAAAGAGATATAGTACTACCACAACCAACAGATTCAAAAATAATATGGTTACAGCAATGTATTGATACAATACTAAATACGCCAAAAGCAACAAAAGAACCAATTAAAATAGATAAATCACTACAAGAATATAAAACAGCATTAAATGATTTAAGATTTTCATACCAATATTTATCAAAAGAATATGAAATATCGAGAGATTCATCAGCGAAATTAATACAAGAATATAGAAAAAAGATATCGCAATTAGAATCACCACCACCATCATCATCAGACACATTAGAATCAAAAGATCAAGAAATATCAAGGTTACGTAAAGAATTAAGTTTATTAAAAATAGATAAAATCAATTCACCAGAAGAAAGTGTGAATAATACATTGAGAAAAGAATTTAAGAAAATAGTTACAGATTTACAAGATCAATATGAATTAGAATTAACTGAAGAAAGAATGAAATGTAGAAAATTACAACAACAATTAAATATATAAAAATTTCGTAAAGGATGCAATAAACCAAACACCTTGAGGTAAAAATGCAACGAACAGTCTATTCAGCTACATAGTCAACTATATACTTTACCACCTCTCTCAATCACGATCCATTCATATCTATTCACGTGACACCTCTTATTATGTTTGGTAGCTTAAAATTCGCGAAAGTAAAAAATATTACCACTCTATGGATGAATCAGTTAAAAAGTATGAACTTTATACAACAAATTCATCTTCATTATTGAAAACAGCAAGAAAGATAGCTCAAAACAGTCATAATGAAGAACAACAAATAATATACTTTAAACTTATACACCTTTCCATCAAATCTTTATTAATTGTTTATAAAAAATATTTTAATTTATCATCTGATCAAAAATTACATATTTTATATTCATTAAGTTATATAATTTATAACAATATATCTAATAAAGAAGTTGCATTACCATTTATTGAAGAAGGTATTCGACTAGCTAAAAAATCAAATTTACGAGAACTAGCATTTCAATTTACTTTACTAAATTTAGAAATTCTCAAAAATAAATCGTATATTCATAAATTATATGATGAAGCTATAGAATATTATAAATATCCAATATTAAAATTAAAGAAGTATGAGTTGTTAGCTGATGATCTAAAATATGTCAAGTTTACTAAATTTTTAAATGATGATAACTCACCACTTATTAAAAATATTGCATTATTATACCTTGCCAATATGAATATTACAAAAGGAAGTCCACAATTGGCTATTGACTTTTTAAATAAAATCGAAGATCCTCCTCCATTACAAATGATTCAAGTTTATTTTGCAAAATTGAGTGCATATTTAATATTAAATAATTATAATGATGCAAAATTAATTTTAATGGAACTTAATAAAATTTCAAAATCAAATTATGCTGAAAATTTTGCAAATTGGCCCAAAACTGGTCAAGTTTCATATGAAAATATTACATTTACATGTTTAACGCCAAATGATTTCATGACTAATATAAGTATATTTCAAGGATTAACTTATATGAATGATAATTTAACTTATTCAAGTAAGAAATTTACAAAATCTTTAGAATTAATACAAAGTCAACAACAGATATTAATTGGTAAAAAACAAACATCAAAACCAATAACTATGGAAATTATTCAAGCTGAAAAATTTAGACTCGAAAAGATTTCATACATGATTAATTTTTATGAAAATTTTATATCTTTTTTAAATGGTGAATTTAAATTAGAATCATTGAATAAGTTTATGACTAGAAATAATAAAGGTATTACCAATTTAGAATATTCTCAATTTGAATTTTTTTATCCTCATGTTTATTATTTGATTGCATTGTATTATCATAGTAAACTAGATATACAAGCTGCTAAAAATTACTACCTAAAATTAATTAATTTAAAACCAAATCCAGATTTATACCTATTCTCCTTGCTCCATTTAACAATCCTATTACAATATGAAAATAAAAATCTATCGTTTAGAAATGAATTATTCGCAAAATTACAAAATATGTTTAATTCAGCAAGCCCCCAAACTTTCCAAAATAATATAACATATGGTAATGATGTACTAGATGCTACAAACACCCTCATATTTAAACAAACAATGGATTATCCAAAATTATTAGATGATTTTAAATCTACAAATTTTACATTTTTTAAATTTCTTTTAGAGTTAAGTCATGTAAAATTTCAAAATTCAGAAATTAAAATGGAAATATTAATGAAAATGAAGAGTGAATTGGGTTCAAATTTATTAGATCAAACTTTAACTGTTTTAATACTACAAGAATTGAAAAAATTATATATACAAAATCAAGATGAAAGCAGGAAACAAATGTGTGATATGCAAATTGATAGAGTTATAAATGTATGTAAAAAAGCTTATGAATTTTTAGATAACAATGTACAGTAAGGACGGGTATGGATGGGTAAGCTAGCCAGTCTATTTACTTGTAAGTATGCATACACTTGACGTATATAAATTAACCTATTCTTTTTTAGATTTCTTTTTCTTCTTTTCACCATCATCTTCAGATTTACGTTTTTTATCCTTCTTCTCTTTCTTTTCCTTCTTTTCCTTCTTTTCCTTCTTTTCCTTCTTTTCCTTCTTTCCTTCTTTTGGTTCTTCTGGTTCTTCTGGTTCTTCTTTTGGTTTTGTTATTTTTGGTTCCTGTATTGCTGGAGCTTTTAATTTATCTTCAGGAACAGGTGGTGGAGCTACTTCATCTAAATCTTTATAATCTTTTTTCCAATTTTCAGGTGTATTTTCATTAATTCTACCATATTTGTCTAATTTACCATCAGCTTTTAATTGCTTCTTTTTTTGTGCAACTGGTCCTAATCCCCATCTTCTTGGATAAGTATCTCTTTCCATAATACATCTTTTAACTTTTGCTACAATTCCATGATCACAAGCTTGTAAATCAACAGTAGTCATTTGAGCAATTGCAATAGCAATAGCTTCACCTTTTGTTGTAATTAATACAACTTCATCATATAACTCAATACCTTCTTCATATCTTAATAAACCAGGTATCATTAATTTAGCACCATAACAAACTGAATTAACAGCAGAATCTTTAACAACAATTCTTTTATAACCAACTAGTAAAGTTTCTAAAGGTTGAATAATTTTTCTTAAATATGATTCGTCACGAGTATTATCATAAACATATTGAGCATCCAAAACATCATGTAACGTAACCATATTATCAGATTCACTCATTGCTCCCGATCTAACTCTTCTTAATTCTTGCATGTGGCCACCTACACCTAACAACATACCTAAATGAACACATAAAGTTCTCATATAAGTACCAGCTTCACAAGAAGCCCAAAATACACCCAAACCTCTTTTATTATCAAACTCAATTAATTTTGAATCATAAATTGTTCTAACTCTTAATTGTCTTTTAACTGCTGAAATTAAAGGAGGTCTTTGAAATAAAGCACCAGTTAAATTTTCTAAACTTCTATTCATTTCTTTTGCATCTTTTAACTGATCATGTAATCTAACTATACAAACATATTCCTTTCCAGCTCCTTGTTGAGATTTGACTAATCTTGTTGCTCTATCAATACAAACAATTAAACAACCAGTAACTTTTGGATCTAAAGTACCTGAATGCCCAGTTTTTTCAACTCTTAATATTCTTTTAATCCATGCTACAACTTCATGACTAGAAGGATTTGATGGTTTATCTAAATTGATAACTCCCGATGAAATGTATGATTTTAAATCTCTTGATAATGGTGATGAACCTGATGGTATTGGAGTATAATGACCAGATCTAACTAATAATTTATGATAATTTTTTAATAATAATGGCCATTCTGAAGTATTATTTGTAGGAGTAACCAGTTCTGGTTTTATCATAAATTCTTCTTTTGACATTGTAAGGATACTTGTTGATTTCTCTTAATGTAAGGATGCAACAAACACTTGAGGTCAATTTGATATCTCTTCTCAAGAAATAAAAAAAAAAAAATTTTCAGATAAGTCAATAGAAACGAAAACGCTACCAATTTACACTTGTAAATTCATTATATATGCTATTTCATTTTTAGTTAATTCCAACCAAAATAACTGCCTTCCTAGATTTCTAATTGATTTAACACAATATTCAAGATTTTTATCATTTACATTTTGATTAATTAATTCAATTGTATCTTTAATCAGTTTAATTTCACATACAACTTCATATAATTGTTTAACTAATGGTGAATCAGGGATAATTATATCATCAAGTGATAATGAACATGTTTGATTGATATGTATCTCATCAGAATCCTGATTAATTCTGTCTAGTTTAGTTAGTTCCTGATTTAAATTGGTCAAATTAGTCAATTGAGTTGATAAATAATTTATATGAGTTTCTAAATTTTCAGAATTTGCAGCTGCTTGTTGACAATGATGATTTAATTGATTATATAAAGCGTCCACTTTTTTAATATTTTCATTGGTGAAATTTATATCTTGATTAATTTGGTCTTGTGATAATATTTCATTAATTTTATTAGATAATTGAATTAATAATTCTTTTCTTTGCGGATTTGGATGATTTTCAATTTCAGAATCCATTATATCTGGTGGTTTATACTCTGGTTTATGTTCTTTTATATTTGCAACTTGTGTATTTGGCTTTGGTAGTATTGGAGAAGTTGAAATTTCTTTTGGATATGGACTTATAGTTGGAATAGGTAATGGTTGTTGATATTTCAATGGGATAGTAGATGTCGGTGGTGATTTAATTGGTTTTGGAGGCAAGGCAGGACCACAAGTTTTAGGTACTGGTGGACCTAATGTAATTGGACATTCATTCAATATACTTCTATGAATTACATTTATTAATTCAATTAAATTAAAATCACCATTTTCTTTATACCATTTAGTTAAATAAGGATGATAAAATATTCCTTGCATATCTACATGATTAGTTGGTATTAAATACCAATTTTTTGCATGGTCTGGTTTTATATAAACTATAGGAACATCATCAAATGGATAGCCCAATGGAATCCAAATTTCAACAGGAACTCCAATTTGATCAATATATATAATACCAAATAGGTTAATTAATAATTGAGATTGTCCTGATTCAATAAATGTATGAATTTGAGTTCTAATTTTAAAATTTAATTTTTTTTTAAAATGTAATTGTAAAAATTGATATATATGAGTATATACTATTTGTTTATGAATATATAAAGGTTGAATTACATTATATAACCAATTTGAAACCAGTTGTGGTAATGACATGGGATGCAAGTAAGGATGCAACAAATATTACCGTTTAAATGTCAATATTTCGTTCGAAAAAATATAATCAACAAAAATATTATCAACAAGTTATGAGTGGGTATGTGAGAAATAGACTAGCAAATGAGTTGATTGATACTAACTATTCTAGTTATATTGTTGTTGCTGTATTTATTGTAGTCATTTCATTATCTTGTTTGGCTTGGGTATTTGCTCCAAAAGAAAATACAACTGTTTTTAGATCATCTGTTATATTAGCTTTAGCAATGTGTTATTTAATGTGGGCAATCACTTATCTAGCTCAATTACATCCTTTGGAAGCTCCAAGGAGATCAGATTTAAGACCAGAGAAAACAGAATAGAGAAATTGATTTGAGAGTATAAAAATTGATTAATGTTTACCATGGTCAAAATTAAAATCAGTCTAGCAAACAAATTAGACTACCACACACACGAGATATAAATCAACTCAATACTAGGATCCAGCACCAAATATTACAAAACTTCAGTTCGTATAAATACACATTTTTAATAAAAACGTTATAAAGAGATAAACTTCAATATCGTCCATTTTTTGATCATTTCATGGTGACACTACTCGTAAAAGTAGCATAAATTTATTTATTCTGACATTGGAGATCTGAATTATGCAATTTCGCAGCTTCTGGAAAGTGTAGTAATCGTAAATTGTTCTAATATTGTAACATCTTGGTCATTTAACTATGCCTTTCGTTATATGCAGTATCAATTTCTTTGGTTAAATTTTGGTGATAATTAAAAAATTTTTCAAACTTTTCTTTTCTTTTCTTTTCTTCTTTTTCTTTTCTTCTTTTTGTTTATCATTCATGCCCCTGTTTCTGCCCTACAGTCTTTTGTTGATAGAGTGATTCAGGTTCTGGTGATGGGGTAAATCAAGCCAAACAATGAATAATTAACCAATTTTGATACAACCGGTTTTTATTTATTGTTTGGATCGTGTGATGACTTTGTTATCCTTGTGTGATTTATTAGTTATTATGACTAAGAATCTGATCGGTCTCACTATATTTTGATGAGAAAAAGGTTTGTTTATTTTTATTCTGTTTTGCTTATAAACTGCTGTTAACAATAATCTTACATTGAATAAAATCTTTTAAGCGGCTTCTTTATTTTAACAATAATTTTACATCGAATAAAATCTTTTAAGCGGCTTCTTTATTTTTTATTTTTTTTTTTCAATCCCTTCAAATCCTCGTATATTTTTAATATTAGTTAAACGTACTCAATGTAATCCTAAACTTTTAAAAAAATTGCCTAATAGATTTTATCAGCATGTTAAAACGCTCATTGAAGATCCAGTTGACGTTAGAGGGCTTCAAATCAGGATCATGGATCATACAGTAGCAACCATTTTTAGAGAAAGTCATTTTGCTCATACCTTTTTGTACAGCCAATTTGAAGTCAAAGTGCTCATACAAATACTACTCAGTTTTCTCACGACTTCAAAATGAATCTAGTCTTGATGTTGAACGATGTCAATAATTTTTTTCTAGACGAGTTGCGAGTGGTAGGTGCTGCTGCACCTGTTCTCAAAGAGAATAAGATTTTTTTTTATGCATAAAAAGTAATTATTGCAAAGCGTCTTATTCATGGTCAATTAAAGATTATCATTATATAATAATTTAACGGTTTGATTTATGTTGAATCATTGTAATCACAATAAAGAAGTGTCTTATTTGAAGTAAAAAAAGCAAACAAAGAGTAGTTATCGTATACCTTATTCGATTTGATCTCAGCTACTAATCATTATTCATTTCAAATCAAATAGTTTAGATAAATAAGTAAATAGATAACTAATAGTGTAGATAACTAATAGTGTAGTGTAGATAATCAATTTATCTATTTAATAGATAACTACGTCAATTAGTACCAAAATCTATTTTTTAATATCTCTATATGCAATGGAAAAAAATCTCTCGCTTAGATAAGATAAATATCTCCGTGCTTAACATTAACTCCGATTTCTAATTATAGAAAGAACAATTTATTAACAGTCGCGCTTGGCATTAATCTTGAATGAAAAGCTTATAATTATGTTTCGTGTTTCAAGTTATTTTCTTTCACTCGAAATGATGAAATTATTTTCTTTCTCTAGAAATGATGAAATTAATAAAGATCAACAATTTAGACTCTATGGTCTTCACTAAATGTTGAAAATCCTTGAATCTAAATTAACTAAATCAACTGTGGCTCAAGATCTCGCACGACCATCTTTTGTTGCAGCCGTTGTTAAATATTCTATTATTATTTTGATTAATAGATATTTTTTTTTTTTCAATTGCTTATAAAATAGGCCCTTCCCAGATTTAAAATATGTTAAACAATAGTTTCCTAACAATGCTAAGATCTCATAGTCTGAATAAAGATTATAAAACTGAAAAACGAGAGTCAACTTCTCATTCGAATAGTTTGAGTAATGATGATGAAATTTCATTAATTAAAGTAAAAACAAATTCGGATGAGAAAACAGGTTTAAAATACGAGTTAAAAGCTCGACATTTATCATTAATGGCATTAGCTGGAATTATTGGACCTGGTATAACTGTTTCTGCAAGTTTAGCTTTAATAAATGGACCTGCAGCATTATTAATAAGTTTTGTTGTTGTTGGTTTTGTTGCATTATGTATGATGCAAAGTTTAGGTGAATTAGTTACAACTTTCCCTACCGGTGGTACTTTTTCAAGTCTTGGTGTTAAATTGGTCGATGAAGCTTTTGGATTTACTGTTGGTTGGTATTATGTTATAATTTGGGTATTTACATTAAGTTCAGAATACAATGCAACTTCTTCAGTTTTTCAATTTTGGTCTGGTGATAAAGTTCCATTATATGCTTATGTATTAATGCTTTGGTTTGTATTTTCAATTTTTCAAGTTGTAATGGGTGTTGGTCTATTTGGAGAAATTGAATTTTATTTAGCATTATTTAAAATTATAGGATTATGTGCATTTTACATATTTTCAATTGTTTATTGTGCTGGTGGGATTCGAGGTCATAAAGCATTTGGTTTTCAATATTGGAAAAATCCTGGTCCTTTTGCAAATGGTTTCCCTTCATTTGTTAAATGTTTAATTTTTGCATCTCAATTTTATTCAGGTACTGAAATTGTAGCAATTACAGCCTCTGAAGCTGCTAATCCATCAAAAGCAGTTCCATCAGCAATTCGTCAAACATTTTGGAGAATTTTATTAATTTATGTTGGTATTGCATTATCTTATGGTATTACAGTTCCATATAATGATCCAGATTTAAGAAGAGATGGACTATTAAGATCTCCAATGTCAATTGCAATTGCAAGAGCAGGTTGGCCTGCTGGTGTTCATTTAGTTAATGCATTTATAATTGTAATTTGTATTTCAGCTATAAATTCATCAATTTATACTGGTTCAAGAACTGTTTTACAGTTGGCTCATGAAGGTTTTGCACCTAAATTTTTTAGAAAAGTTACAAAAAGAGGTATTCCAATTCCTGCAATTATGTTTGTAAATACAATTGGTTTAATTGCAATGATGAATCAAAGTACAAATGCAGCAAATGCTTATTCTTATATTATTAATATTTCAGGAGTTGCTGTTTTTATAGTTTGGGGATCAGTATGTTTTTATCATATTAGATTTAGACAAGCAATGAAAAAACAAAATAGATCAATTGATGAATTAGTATTTAAAGGATTATGGTATCCTATTTTACCATTGATTGGATTAATTTTAAATATCATCCTTACTTTAATTCAAGGTTATTCATATTTTAAACCTTTTCAAGCTGGTGATTGGGTAGACGCATATATTTTAATACCATTTTTTTTTTTAATGTATTTTGGATTCAAAATTTGGAAAAGAACAAAATGGGTGCATTTACAAGATGTTGATTTGGATTCAGGTAGAAGACAAGATTATTATGATACTTCACCATCAAATAAATTAAAAGAAAAATTAAAGACAAATATATTGTTTAAAAAGGGAAAACATAATGATGATCATGATATAAAATTAGATGTTGGAGAAATAGAAAGTAGAGAAATAGAAAAACCAAGTAAACTAAAGAATTTACATCCATATAGATTATTTAGACAAAAACTGAATAGTGAATTAGATACTTTTTAATGAATAGTGATGATTTCATAACAATGATATGGTTGATTTCTGATTATTTTCAATTATGTAATTTTCCATTTTCGTATTTTTTTGAAGTTTTGTGATATGTACTGTTTTAAGTTATTGTGTTTTGATTTGAAACATTGGTTGACATGATCACTAAAAATTATGCAGGATCAATAACTACTAATACTTATATAAGATTGCTCTCGTAATTAAAGAACTACTTGTTTGAAGACAACTCTGAGTAATCAGATCATACAATTTTGAATAAATTGGAATTTATAATGTCTATCTTAATACGAGAAAAAATTTTTAAACAACTAACAGTATTAGTTAGAGTGTGTTTATTAATAAATTTTACCATCTATACATACATTATGACGCTTTCAAATTATGTAAAGAAACAATTTTAAGCTTTTCCAGGTAGCCATGACAACAAATTAGGTGTTAGACGAGAATTGAAATTTTTAAAAATCTAGAATTATTGAAGATTTGGAACTGAAACTTGAATAAGAGTGCTAAAAGAGTTCCAAACTTTGAAAAAATCACTCTTAAAACCTACCAATTCGAATAGTCTTGTCTTATTGATAAAGCTTAATATTATTTGTGGTTAATTCAGATCGACCAGATCTAATTTACGATTTTAGATCTTAAACACGCAAAAAAAAAAAAAAAAAAAATAAATTTGTTTTTGACAAAAACTAGAAATTAAACTTTAATTAAATCGAAAAAGACAAATCAAATAATGTAAAGAAGAATAAACTGCATAATATGATACAATAAATGACCCAACAGATCAAGCTGTTTTGGGTTAATGGATTGGTCGTCATTTGTCGGTCAGTGTTTCCAAATCTATCTCATTATTACGAGTGGCTAATAATTATAGATCAAGATTTTTCACAATTTTCAAAATTTCATAAATAAATTTAAACTTCAAATCTGTCACAAATATCAACTGTCGACCTATTATGAATTATAACTCCTAATATAATTTTAATTATATAAAGAATGTTATTTCCCCATATTTCAAAATCTTTTTATTAATTATTTATTTATGTCAATTATCAATCATCAAAACGAATTCGATGAAGCTAAACATGTTGAAGAATTACAAAATCAATTACAAAATGCTCTTCAAAAAGAATATCAATCTTATTCATCACCATCATCTGAATTATCACCATTATCTGAATTTAATTCATCATTGGTATCAACTAATGAAAATCAATTAACTGAAAATGAATATGATTTTTGGTCTGGTATGAATAACGATTATTCTTGTGCATCAATTGAAGCTTGTCATGATCAGTTATTAACTGAAGATGAATCAACTCCATCTGATGCATCAACTCCATTAGATCAAGATCAGGATATTATTACTAAACTTTTATCTTATTCAATTCCCTCTTCAAATACAACAACTGCACCTTCAACTGCTGGTGGTAGTGAAATTACAAAATTATCATCAATTTTAAATCCTACAACTGGCCCTACATTTTCAAGTTTTTCAGTTCAATCTTCAAGTGCTACTGCACCTTCTATTGCTGGTAGTGAAATAAAATTATCATCTACTTCAAAAATTAAAACTACATTTGGTCCAGTCGTTTTAATAGGTATTGATTTAAAAAAGAATCTTTTAAAAAGATATACCAAGAATACAATCACTCAAATTAAGTTATGTGATTCAGATTTATACTGCGATCATTGTTCAATCAAATTTAATGATTATCTTGATTTAATTAATCATTGTAATGAATTTCAATTAATGAATTTACTTGATAAAAGGTGGAATAAATGTCCAGTTAAAGAATGCCCATTACATTTAATTGGATCAAGAAAAAAAGCAGATATGAGGCATCATGTTCATCAACATCATGTTGTAATGGGGTTAATTCCAAAGAAGTATAAAAAATATGAAACTGATATTAAAGAATTATTATTTGTTTGTGATTATTGTTCAAAGGGTTTTTATAGAAGTGATTCATTAACTAGACATGTTAAATTAGTTCATGAAAAGAAAAAGGAAAAAATGGTTATTAATTAAATGGGTCTATTGGATTTATTGGGTTTATTGATGTTTAGTTCTTTGTATAGTATTTAATCAATTGGTAGCATTTATATTCTATATTTTCCGTTACACGAAAAATTACTTCCATAATAAACAACAATCAATGAGTTCTGAAACAGTATGTAAAATATGCAATATTATAGTTGAAGAGTTACTAACAATCCAGACTCCTTCTTTAGATGACATTTTAAAAGAAGATGTATCATTCACTGATAATAAGTCAAAATATTTCACCACTACGGAAAAACAACCAATTGATATCTCAAGGACAAAATCAAGATTTAAATATTTATTAGGTTTAACTAATTTATTTCAACATTTTATAGAAGCTAAAGCAAATAAAGATCCTCAAATTAAACAAATATTAAATCATATTACTGAAACAAATAAAAAACGAAGATTAACTGAAAAAGAAGAAGATGAAAATTTATTAAAAGATGATTCAGCAACAGTAATGGAATTTATTGATTCTCCAAGTTATATTCAAGGTAAAATGAGGCCATATCAAGTTCAGGGACTTAATTGGTTAATTAATTTATATGAAAATCACCTTTCGGGAATTTTAGCTGATGAAATGGGTTTAGGAAAAACATTACAAACAATTTCATTCCTTGGTTATTTAAGATTTATTCATAAAATTAATGGTCCTCATATTGTAGTTGCTCCTAAAAGTACTTTAGATAATTGGTTAAGAGAATTTAATAGATGGATTCCAGATATAAATGCAATTGTATTACAAGGTGACAAAGATGAAAGATCAAATTTAATAAAACAAAAGATAATGACTTGTGAATTTGATGTTGTTATTGCCTCATATGAAATTGTAATTAGAGAAAAGGCGACATTTAAAAAGTTTAATTGGGAATATATTATAATTGATGAGGCTCATAGAATAAAAAATGAAGAAAGTTTATTATCTCAAATTATACGATTATTTCATTCAAAAAATAGATTGTTAATTACTGGTACTCCATTACAAAACAATTTAAGAGAATTATGGGCATTATTAAATTTTATATTACCTGATGTTTTTGCAGATAATGAATCATTTGATGAATGGTTTAAAGAAGAAGATGAACAAGTTATCAGACAATTACATAAAGTATTAAAACCTTTTTTGTTAAGAAGGATTAAAGCTGACGTAGAGAAAAGTTTACTTCCTAAAAAAGAATTAAATGTTTATATTGGAATGACTGAATTACAGAAAAATGTTTATAAAAAGATTTTAGAAAAAGATATTGATGCAGTTAATGGTGCTAATAAAAAAGAATCAAAAACAAGATTACTTAATATTGTCATGCAGTTGAGGAAATGTTGTAACCACCCTTATCTTTTCGAAGGTGTTGAACCTGGTCCACCATATACTACAGATGAACATTTAGTTTATAATTCACAAAAATTATTAATTTTGGATAAAATGTTGAAAAAATTTAAAGCTGAAGGTTCTAGAGTGTTAATTTTTAGTCAAATGAGTAGGTTACTCGATATTTTGGAAGATTATTGTTTCTTTAGACAATACCAATATTGTCGTATTGATGGATCCACAGATCATAGTGATAGAATTAAGGCTATAGATGAATATAATGAACCAAATTCCAAAAAGTTCATCTTTTTATTAACTACAAGAGCTGGAGGATTAGGTATAAATTTAACAACAGCTGATGTGGTAGTTTTATTCGATTCTGATTGGAACCCTCAAGCAGATTTACAAGCAATGGATAGAGCCCATAGAATTGGACAAACTAAACAAGTCAAGGTATTTAGATTTATTACGGAAAATGCAATTGAAGAAAAAGTCCTTGAAAGAGCTACACAAAAATTAAGATTAGATCAATTAGTTATACAAGGTCAAAGAGAAAGTGGTAAACCAGCAAATAAGAATGAATTATTAAATATGATTCAATTTGGAGCAGCCGATGTTTTTAAAGATGAAAAAAATGAATCAGAATTAGATATTGAAGAATTATTAAAAAGATCAGAAGAGAAAACACAAGAATTAAATTTAAAATATGCAAAATTAAATCTTAATGCATTGCAACATTTTTCAAATGATGAGTCAGTTTATGAATGGAATGGTGTTGATTTTAAAAAGAAGGATGTTAATGCAATTACAAATATTGGTCATGCATGGATAAATCCAGGTAAAAGAGAACGTAAAGAAAATTATTCAATTGATATGTATTATAAAGATGTTTTAAATACTGGTAGAAATACATCCAATATTGGAAAACTGGGTCCAAAACCACCAAAACAACTCAACATTTTTGATCACCAATTTTTTCCATCTAAATTATGGGAATTACATCAATTACAACAAAATTATTACAAAAAACAAATAAATTTTAAATCTCAAGATGAATTAGAACAAAAAGAAATTGAAAATTCAAGACCATTAACTGAAGAAGAATTAAAATTAAAAGAATCATTATTAAAAGAAGGTTATTCAAATTGGAATAGAAGAGATTTTCATCATTTTATATCTACATGTACAAAATATGGTAGAAATTCAATACCATTAATTTCATTAGAATTTCCTGACAAATCAGAAGATGAAGTTAGACAATATGCAAAAGCATTTTGGAAAAACTATAAATTAATTGATGGTTATGAAAAATTTATAAATCAAATTGAACAAGGGGAGGAAAAGATAGTTAAAATTAAAATTCAAAAAGAAGCTTTACGTAGAAAATTATCACAATATAAATATCCATTGCAAGAATTAGTTTTAAAATATCCACCAACATCAACAAATAAAAAATTATTTAGTGAAGAAGAAGATAGATTTTTATTAGTTCAACTATATAGATTTGGAATTGATTCATCAGATGTTTATGAAAAAATTAAAGAAACTATTCGTCAATCACCATTATTTCAATTTGACTTTTTTTTACAAAGTAGAAATGTGGGTGAAATTTCAAGAAGATGTACAACATTATTAGCATGTATATTAAAAGAAGTCAATCCTGAAATGAATGGGTTGAAAAGATCAGCAACTCCAGAAATTGGAAATATTAAAAAAAAATTAAAAACTTAATAATTGTTTGATATAAGATTCAAATTGTAAAGGTGAAATAAACGAATCAAATCTTGTTATAACTTTACCTTGCTTATCTATTATAAATTTCGTAAAATTCCATCTGATTCCCTTAAACCCTAATTCATCTTTTTGTTGTTCTTTTAAATATTTATAAAATTTCGATTCATAATCTCCATTTACATTAATTTTCTTCATTATTGGGAAAGTAACATTAAACTTCTTTCGTACTGATGTTTCAATTTCTAAATCTGATAATGGTTCCTGATGAGCAAATTGATTACATGGAAATGCTAAAATTTCGAGTCCATGATCATGGTATTTATTGTATAATTGTTGTAATTCATTATATTGAGGAGTGAAACCACATAAACTAGCAACATTGACTATGATAACCACTTTTCCTCTAAATTGACTGAATTCAATCTCTTCATTTTTTGAATTTTGTAATTTATAATTATATATTAATATATTTTCATCATTCATAGGTATTGTTTAAAACGCGATATTAAACGGATTTATTTAGATGAGCTTTTTTTTACCGCCATGAAGATGCTACCAAATGAGCTTGTACTGCTACCAATTAGATGGCAAATGAAATAACTCAATATTGGCGGCAAAATGTGACTTGCAACTCTCGGTTCTGATTGGTAAGCATAGTACTATACTTTTTAACTTAGCATTGTCTCTGGTTAATTTTGATTATATGAATAAGGTTATAATCGGTTGCAAATTCCTTATTCTCCCATAGTACACTACTCTCGTGATAATAAAAATCTCCCCATATAAAAAAAAAAGTAGTAACAAAAAAAAAGAAAGCAGAAAAAATTTTTTGTTAAGCATTTGTCTTATCTTTAAACTAACAACACACATTAGTACGATCAATTAACAACTATTTAACCAAATTCATCTTCACATACATATTCATACACTACCATGTCATTTAACATAAATTGGAAACAAATTGATGATGAAAAATTATCATATTTATGTAAAGATATTCTTACCACGGCACTAAATTCAGGTAAATCACCAAGTATATTAGCTTCAAATATAATTATTAAAGATTTATGTTTTGGTAAAATAGCTCCAGATTTTGAAATTTTAGAGATTGGTGAATTAGATAAAGATCGTTTTAGAGGTATATTTAAAATTAACTATGAAGGTGATTTTCATTTAACTTTACATACAAAAGTTCATGCAAATCCGTTACATATTTATGAAAATAATTCAATTGATTCATTTATAACTCCAAATTTTGTTTTAGCTAGTCAAGAATTTGCTATACCATTAGATTTAAAATTAAGTGATATAAAAATTAGTGGGATTGGAATTATTGTATTTTCAAAATCAAAAGGTTTAACATTAGTTTTTAGAAATGATCCACTAGATTCAATAAAAGTAAGCTCTACATTTGATACTGTACAAGTATTGGCTAATTTTTTACAAAAACAAATTGAAGATCAAATAAGAGATTTATTTAGAGAAACCTTACCAACCTTAATTCATCAACTATCATTAAAGTACCTAAATTTAGATAACAATATTAATGAATTAACATCAAGATTAGGTAATATACCAAATACAAGCTCAACATCAGCATTAAAACTAGATGACGAAGATTTAATTTATTCAGCAAAAAATTTACAACAAAGTTTACAATTATTCAAATCTAGAGAAACCATGAGTTTAAATATACCTAAATTTAAAAATATAATACAAAGAACTAATCTTGATAAAATAAATAAAATATCACACTATCCAAATTTATTAAATTCATTATCATCAAATCATTCAGATTTACAAAAATATCAAAATCATCATAATAATGGTATACCAATTGAAATATTGATTGATAATTTTAATAAAACTGATCATATTTTAAAAGATATATCATCAATACAAGCTACAAATTTTTATAAACATACTAATAAAGATGCACCAGTACCAAAACGAAGAACTATTAAAATGAAGAAGAAATCTAAACCTTCAAGTATGGAATCAACATTTGTTACAACCACACCAGTATCAGAAGTTACACAACCAGCTACACCAGCTACACCATCCACAACATCTACTAAATCATCTAAAATACAACAACCAACACCACAAAGAGTTAAACCACAGAATTTATATGAAGAATTTATTAAATCTACACAAACACCACCAGGTTATGATAATAAAGTTATAGGAGTTGGATTAGGTAATTCAAATATATTAAATTTTGTACCAAATAGAGGAATAAGTACGTCACCAATAAAAACAGTTAAATCACAAGAAAAGTCAATAAATTATATTGATATAAATAAGATTAATAAGAAATTAAATCAAATTAAAGAAGAAAAGAAATTTCAGCCAGGTATAAATCATCAAGATTCATTTGGTTATGGTGGTATATTTGAATTTACAGCACCACCACCATATAAATATTAACCGTGTATATATATTTATGAATTGATAATATACTATTTATTTATTTTGACGATGAAAAATAAATATTTCTATTTTTAGCGAAAAAAAAATAAAACTAAACTAAAAAAAAACTTCTATCAGATCAGATCCAATAGATCAGAAGAATGTCATTTGGGTCTTTTGATCATATATGTAATAAAACAGCATTACCTTTATGTTCGGTAGTTGGTGCAGTTAATCAAACTGCTTTTTTTCAACGTGGTATAGTACCTGATTGTTATGCAAGATCTGTCGAATTAGCAAATACTATGATCTTTCAAGTTGGTAACGCATTTGTACATTTTGGTGGATTAATTATCTTATTAATTATTATTTTCAATGTCAGAGCCAAATATACTGCTATTGGTAGAGCAGAAATGTTACAATTATTCTATTTATTAATTGGTTTAATTGTTTCTTCATTAATTGTTGATTGTGGTGTTTCACCTCCTTCAAGTTCTTCATTTGTTTATTTTGTAAGTTTACAAATTGGTATTGCATCAGCTGTTTGTTCATGTTTATTTTATAATGGTTTATTATGTTTTCAATTTTGGGAAGATGGTACTAGAAGATCAATGTGGATTTTAAGAACAATTTGTGTTGTTTGGTTTATCATTAACTTTATTGTTAGTTTAATAACATTTAAACATTGGAATACAGGTTTAGATTATAGAAAGACAACTGCATTATTTGTTGTATCTTACATATTAAATGCAATTATATTATTAGCATATGTTGTTTCACAAGTTACATTAGTTATATTTGCATTAGATTCATATTGGCCGTTAGGTTCTATTTGTCTTGGAATTTTCTTCTTTGTTGCTGGTCAAATTTTAACTTATGTATTTAGTGATCAAATTTGTCGAGGTGCTTCTCATTATGTTGATGGTTTATTCTTTGGAAGTGTTTGTAATGTATTTACTATTATGATGGTTTATAAATATTGGGATTCAATAACAAATGATGATTTAGAATTTACAGTTGCAAATGTAGAACAAGGAGTACATGAATTTGGAGACGATGAAAAGAGAAATAGTAGTATGTTTTTCAATTAATAAATATATATTATATTAAACTTTTTGCCTTTTAGTTTCTGATTCTTCAACAACGTCATCTTCATTACCATTACTTATTGGTTTTAAAGCTGGAGTTGATTGTTCTTGATGAAAATCTTTAATTATAGAATCAACATCATCAATATTTAATTGCCTTACATCACCCAATTTTTTAATTTTATTTGTAACTTCTTTAACTTGATCATCAGTTAAATTTAAATTTAATTGATCAACTCTTGATTTAATTGCATTCCAGCCAGTTAATCTGTTTGCAAAATGAATATATCTGGTTAAACCAAAATCTGATGGATTTAAAATTTCATAAGTTGATGGATTTGCCAATATAGCTTTTGCATGTATACCAGCTTTATGAGTAAAAGCACAAAATCCAGTAATTGGATTATTAAAAGGTATATTAACTTGAACAGCATCAGCAACTAAATTTTCTAAATCTCTTAATTTATGTAATTTATATTTTGATAAAACATAATCTCTATCAGCAGTAATCATTCTTGCCATTAAAGCACCCAATGGAGTAATACCATTTCTTTCACCAATACCTAAAACTGAAACATCAATTAATTTTGCACCTGCTTCTAATGCAGTATAAGCATTTGCTATAGCACAACCAGTATCATTATGAAAATGACATTCAATATCACATGAAACAACTGATTTTAAAGTTTTAACCAATTCATAGACTTGTCTTGGATTTGCACAACCAACAGTATCAGCAATTCCAACTCTATTAACACCAATTTTATCAACAGTTCTATAAATATTTAATAAATCAACTATATCTGATCTAAATGAATCTTCTGATGAAAATCTAATTTCAATTCCTTTTGATTTAACAAATTCAATAACTTCAATTGCACTTTGAGCAATATAATTCATATCTTTACCATGAGAATATTTTCTTAAAAATTGTGAAGTACCAATAACAACATCAACACCATCAACACCAGTTTCAACGGCAACTCTTGCATCATCCATATGACATCTAATATGTGTTAAAATTTTTGATTTTAAACCCAATTTACAAATTGCTTCACAATCTTTTCTTGATTGTTCACTTGCAACTGGACTTGTTAATTCAATGTAATCAACACCAAAATCATCTAAAGCTTTTGCAATTTCAATTTTTTTTTCAGTTGTAAAAAAAGCATTAGCAAATTGTTCTCCTTCTCTTAGAGTAGATTCAATTAATTCAAATTTATTTACATTTGATAAGAAATCACTTGGATTTGGACCATAAGGATTTGATTGAACTGACATGATATATAATTGATAAATATAATAAAGAAGAATAAAATAAAAAATAAATTTGAAAAATAGATTTGAAAAATGTGAAAAATTTTAGAATGGTTGGAATGACGGATAAGAAAATATATACTACACTAGATTATGTATGACTAACTAATATGGTAATAATATGACACACAACAACCTCAGTATTGGCTAGGGCGCTTAGTGAAAAATTTCTTATCAATTTTTTTTTTTTTTTTTTCAAGATAATGCCGTTACAGGTTACATACATCCAAACATCAATAGTTAACACATCAAATTATGACTCATCGATTGCAAATCCGTTAATTTATATATACAATTTGAAATTACCATAAGAAATTGACTAATATTCAGTGCTACCAATATTTGACACTATGCCTATTTTATATGACTAAATTTCAATTGCTGCAAAATAAATTGAGCTCTATTGTGAGCAGTTCGCAAACTATTATTAATAAGATTTATTAGAGTCGTCGAATGCAGCTATTTTGTATTAAATTTAGATTCTGCTATATAGCTTAAAACAGTTTTGAGGTTTGTAGATTCTAATTAGGTGTTGGTAAATAGATTTAAATTTAACACCAGAAATGGTACCAGGCGCCTCAATGAAGATATTTTTTGGCCGTAATTTTGGTGCACTCGGCCGTAAGCTTAGTCCAGATTAAAAATAGATTCTGAGACAAATCGGCTTATATGTAATCCTGTAGTAGTTAGAATTGAAACTTAATTCGTAAAGAACTTTCTCAATATTCAAGCTATTACTCTCCAAGTTTTTTTTCTCAAATATTCAATCATTCTGAAAAAAGCTGATGTTAGTTTTATCAAAAAAAAAAAAAAAAAAAGATAGTTTTGATTTCTTTATTTATCATTTAAAAAATCGAAAAAAAATGCTATTTTGCAAGGTAAGAGGTAGTTATACCAAGTTTTGCAACTTCTAATATAGTTGGCTTAGCACATTTAACTTCAAAATGATCTTATGTCGTGTTTTCAAGACGCCTTAATTGGTTTGAAATTTTTGTAAAACTTTCGTGTCACCTTCGAAAAACTACTTTACCAATGTTTAATAACTTAACATGAAATTATTTCAAGCATACAATAATGTAGAAGTAATTTTTCAAGAGTGGTTCGAAATTCTTGGAAAAATTTCAAACTGAATTGGACAGTTTAAAAAATATCACTTAAGGGGTTTTTATGGTCAAAATAAATAGAATCAGGTATTGAAGAAGTTGCAAAACGAGATCTAAATACTTCTTATGTTTCAAAATAACGTATTTTTCCATTTCTTAAAAGATGTATAAAATATCAAAATTGGGTCTTATCAAAAGTCACTATCATCAGCATTGAACATTTGTGGAAAAAAGTTTGAAAACTATAATTCGAGTGTTAGGAGAATTGTTCACAAATTAAGTTTTGACATTAACTAGAACGAGACTGCATATAAGTCAAAATTCAAAATTTTTTAATTTAAGGTAATATTCGGTTCGACCAACATGAAGCGACAATACGGCCGGACAACTATGGTACCGTTACTCGTATTAAATCCTAATTCAATTACAAGCACCAAATAAAAATTTCCAAACTTCTGAAGTGGTTTGAGCTCAAAGTTCATGACTGACTGAAGAATGATATACTCAAGCAAATCAAATCATGGTCTTTTTGATTCAACTTTTCATTGACCGTGTATATTGATTCTTCTATTATGAGAACTACGCGCTTTCGTCAAGGCAATTCCAGCTGCCAGGACTAAGTTTATCGTGTCGTGTCGTGTATTAGTGTTCAATCTTAAAGACTGTAGTTGTATTAGACGACTCTTTAAAATAGTCAAAATTATTCAGTGTCAAATAAACGCAAATAAAATTATAATAGCGCGATTTAGATCTGAGATCGCAAATCTAAATATACGAGATCTGACACAAAATATATCAACAACGCTCGCCTAAAAAAAAAATTTGGAAAGTCATCAGATATTGGCAACTTTTTTAACATTATGCAACCATTTTAAATGCAAATTGTAGTGCTCATAGTACCATTCAAATGAAAATTGTCTGATAAATCCGAATATGACTGTCATAAAACCACTCCAATCCAATTTCTCTTAGAATTCTAATCTTTTTCACTTTTTGACCATTTGAATATATGAAAATTAATGTGCATGAAGACAATCGCCTTATTCTATTACCAATAAAAAATTTCAGTCTTAACCATTAATGCGAGATGGCTTTAGTTTTGTTTTGCTAATTACAGCAACACCAGTTAATTCAAAATTTTTAGTTGAACTCTCTGTAAAATGAATGGAAACAAAGATATTTAAACAATCAAATATTCTATATGGTTCCTTTTGAAGATACTGACATTTCAAATTGTGGTATCCTTATATTTAAATTTATCTAGCTAATGTTGACAACTTGAAGATATTCTTAAGGGAAAAAGCTTAGGAGGCAATTAAACGGGGTAGAATAGAAAAATGTCACGAATTGAATTTAACATTTATAATCATTTATTAAAACAAAACTAAACAAGACACTAAGCTATACACTTATAAAAAAACCGTCACAACGATGACTTGCACAAATAAAAAATTTGACATAATTGAAAAAGTAACATAATCAATACGTTACAAAACACAAAATAAACCACCATAAATGCTTTAATTTTCATTTGTAGTTACCATTTTAACAAATCTAAGCATTTCATTCTTCATTCTCATTACTTCAACTGGTTTAATATTTAATTTACCATTCATTCTAGATACAATTTTTTTAACAATTGCAATTATTTCATTATTTGATAACCCAGTAATTAATTCCCAATTTAAATTAATCCTTTTATGTTTTGGTAATATTCTATTTTCTTTAATGATGGTAATTTTAAAACAACCAACTAGTAATTTTTTTAATTCAAAACCCATGTCATTATATTGAACAAAATTGTTAGTTTGATTCAAATATCTTAATAAATAAATGATATCCATATATCTAAATAAATAAATTATCCCTTTTATAAATAAAGTTAAGGTTAATTTTAATCTACTTGTAATAAGTAATAGAAATTTATCTAAAGGTAATTCATTTGAATTAGAACCTCGTTTTTCATCTGGTGGAAACGAATTCATAATTTTCGTTGCCACATATTTAACAATAATTGTCATTAATTGAGTTCTTTGTAATTTGAATTCTGATTGAGTTAAGCCTGAATTTTTAGGAACTAATGGTAAATTCTTTTGTGCTTGTCTAATTGATTGTTTAACTTCTTCGGCTGAAATTGATGTTGATAAACGATGTTGACGTTTTGATGGTAATTTATTTCTTTTAATTTGATGATGAGATGATCTTGGTTGTGGATGATTTAATTTTTTTGGTTGTTGAAATTGAAAATCATCTTTTGGAGATGATGATGAAGATAAACAAGTTTCATGTCCAATATCATCATTTGTAGTTGTCGGAGTGGGTTGTAATAATCTTTGATTTTGATTATTATTATTATCAAAGTCATTAAAATTGTTATAATTATTAAATTCTTCATTATTATTATCCTCAGCTGACATTATATCAAGTGATAAACTGGAACTTGTACCACTAAAATAATCTTCTACTTCTTCATCTACTCCTTCTCCAGCTTCTAAATAAATGAATTGAGATAAGTTTTTTGAATGTTGTTGATTTTGATGATGATGGGATGGGACGAGATTGGGTTCTACTGCTGTTTCCGAAGCCGCAGAATTGAATATATTGTTCATAATATTGTCATCAATCATGTTTTTTATTTAATTTTAAATCTCTGAAAAACACAATCTAAATAATAATAATATTCAAATAAGGGGATGGTAAAAATCTAATAATAACGACTCATCTTATCTGAGTTGTTGTAAAATATAAATCTGAAAATAAACTAATAAAAAATCACACTACAATATAAAATTTAACAGTGCGAATAATGTGAATAATATTTGTTGTCTTAGCAAGTAGAATATCTCTTTTAATAAAGTTGAAGTTAAATAAAGGTTGTTCAGATTAAGTTTGAAACAATATTTGAAACAAAAATATATAGTGAAGATGATAATTTGTTCTATCTGACTCATTTTTTTCTTATAACTCCTGCATATAATAAGCTACCATGTAAATTATTTTGCAGCAATATGCTACCAAATTAGGAAGTCAAGCTTATATTTATATCATTGCAAATCTAACAACATAGTAACAATTCATTATGATTTCATATAAAGTTGGTTATAGTTTAGTATAGTTATAAATAAATTATCTGAGTTCATGTCATTGGACCATTTCGGAGTTTGAAGTAATAGTATGATATCATAGTCGTGTATTCAATTACTATGTCTTCAATTGCTTTATGTATAAGAATCACTGGATTTATTAGAAATTTTTTAGAATATATCACTTGAACTATACTAAGTCAAAATGACTTTAGCAAAGCATTGGAAATACAATAAAGAAGAAGATTTAGTTGTTACTCAATTAAAAGGTTTAGCTAATTCAAATCCATATATTAAATTAATCCCTAGTGAAAAAGTAATATTTAATCCGCATTCAGATACTTCTGAAAAGATTACAATTATAAGCGGTGGTGGTGCTGGTCATGAACCATTACATGCTGGTTATGTTGGTGAAAATTTATTAGATGCTGCTGTTAGTGGTTCAATTTTTGCATCACCTTCAACTAAACAAATTATGGCTGCAATTAAAACAAAAAGTAATAAAGAGAAGGGTACAGTTATAGTTGTTAAAAATTATACTGGTGATGTTTTACATTTTGGTTTAGTTGCTGAAAGAGCTAAAAATGAAGGCTACAAAGTTGAATTAGTTGCAGTTAGTGATGATGTTGCAATTGGTAAAGAACAAAATAAAATGGTTGGTCGTAGAGGTATTGCTGGTACTGCTTTAATTCATAAAATATTAGGTGCAGCAACAGCAACTTCTAGAAATTCAGATTTGAAAGAAATTGCTGATTTGGGTCATAAAATAAATTCAAATTTAGTTACTTTAGCTGCTAGTTTAGATCGTACTTCAGTTCCAGGTAAAGCAGAACAAGAAGTTGAATTTACAAATGATAATGAAGCTGAATTGGGTTTAGGTATTCATAATGAACCAGGTACAAAATTAAGTCCACTACCAAATATTGATGAATTAGTTAAGAAAATGTTGCATAGATTAACATCACCAGAAGATAAAGAACATCATTATTTAGATTTTGATTTGAAAAATGATGATTATGTGTTATTAATTAATAATATTGGTGGCACTTCATCATTTGAATTATATACTGTCACTCAACACGTTATTGAAAATTTACCATTTGAAAAAAAACCAAAGAGAATATTAGTTAGTGATTTTGTTACTTCATTTAACTCACCTGGATTTTCAATTACATTTTTAAAATTAAGTGATGATTTTGGTAAATATAAATCTGAAGATATTTTGAAATTTATTGATACTCCAACTAATGCACCAGGTTGGAAACCTAAAACATATGAAAAATGGGAGTATAATGACTACGTAGATTCTCCAATGAAGAACCAATCGGTCGTAAAATCAGACTTGAACATAGATGGTGATAAATTTGAAAAAAATTTGAAATCAGGTTTGGATAAATTGTTGAAAGAAGAACCAAAAATTACACATTATGACACAATAGTTGGTGATGGTGATTGTGGTGAAACATTGGCTGCGGGTGCAAATGCTATATTAAAATACTTGAAGGATAATGAAGAATTTAAAGAGAATTTATCAGATCCAGTAGCTACTGTTTCTTTTATAACTGAATTAGTCGAAGATAGTATGGGAGGTACATCTGGTGGTTTATATGCAATTTATTTAACTGCCTTAGCCCAAAATTTGAAAAATTCAAAGGAAATAGATAATAAATCAGTTAGTGAAGCTTTATATAGTGCTTTATATGGGGGATTGTTCAAATATACTAAAGCAAGAGTCGGTGGTAGAACCTTAGTTGATACTTTGCAACCATTTGTTGATGAGTTTAAGAAATCAAATAATTTACAAAAAGCAGTTAAAGCTGCAAAAGATGGCTGTGAATCGACTAAAAAATTACATGCTTCATTTGGTAGAGCAAGTTATGTCGATGAAAGTGAATTCGAAGCAGAAGGTGGAATACCAGATCCAGGTGCAGTTGGTTTATTAGCTATTATTGAAGGTTTTACGGAAAATATATAATTTTACTATAATGGTTATAAATATATAGTGGTTATATGGTACTTTTTTCGCAACCATTTATTTAAGCAGTCGAAATGTATGTAGATTTAACTTTATTGTTATGAATTTAGAACCTATTCAAATTGAGCTTGAGAACTTCTTTGACGTTATTATAGTCGGTGGTGGAACTTGTGGTTTAGCTGTTGCTGCTAGATTATGTGAAAATTGTCCAGGCTCAATATTTACGGAAGATGAACATCAAAGGTTCCATTGGTTGAAACAAAGAGGTCATAAAGTGAATCTACTAGATAAACCTGGTTATTCCAATTGTGCAAGTTTTAAAAGTTCTGATATTTTAGTCCTTGATTTGATGGATAATAAGTTTTGCAGCCAATGGGAGCAACAATTTAAATCCTGTCAAATTCCATATTTGAGATCTCCAATGTTTTTCCATTTAGATCCAGTTACTATTGATGGAATGTATAATTTTTCATTCTTGAATAATAGGCAAAATGAATTAATGGAGATTACAAACGTAGTTGGTAAAGAATTCTCAAAACATCAACAAAAGAGGATCAAACGAAAGAAACTGAATAGAATTGACGATAAGACTCATGATGCAAACGGGATAGTTGATATTAATATGAGAGATTGGAGGGATTATTATAGACCATCAACCAAATTGTTTCATGATTATAATGAAGAAATAGTCACGAGGTACAATTTACAAAATTGTGTAAGACAAGACGAAGTATCATATATAGAATATAAATTACTTCAATCTGGGGAGAATATAGGTAAAGGCTTAGTTATAACTACTAAATCAGGTAAGCAATATGGTTGTAAAATTGGTATTGTTTCAACTGGACATTTTGGTGATATAAATTACCCCATAAAACCCTTTAACAATACTAAAAATACATGTCATACAACACATTTATTTCAAAATAAGGTTAAATTTTTAGATGATCATTATTTCAAGAATCGTAAGCTGAAGAATATAGTCATTGTTGGTGGTGGATTGACTTCAGCTCAATTAGCTCATGTTGCATGTCAAGATCCCACTGTTAAATCAGTAACTTTATTATTCAGATCACCGATTAAAATTAAACATTTTGATTTTCACTTAGATTGGGTTACAAAGTATAAAAATGTCAAGAAATCAGCATTTTACATCAAAGACACTGATGAAGAAAGATATGAAATGTTAATAAATGCAAGAGAAGGAGGATCAATAAATCCCGAATATTATAAAAAGCTAAACAAACATGTAAAATCAGGTAAATTGAAATGGTTAACAAGTACAAGTATAGTTGAACAAGCTTTTGATGAAACATATGAATTGGCATTGAATAGTGGAGATAAATTATCAAACGTTGATTTTATATATTTTGCAACTGGAATTAGAGCAAATGTTAATTCATTAAAATTTTTGCAACCAATATTGAACGAGCAAAAGATTGATATTGTAGAAGGTTATCCATGTTTAACTGATAATCTTCAATGGAATGAGGAAGTTCCTTTATTCATGACTGGTAAAAATGCTTCATTAAAAATTGGTCCAACATCTGCCAATTTAGATGGTGCAAGAACAGCAGCTGAACGAATTGGATGGTATTTACAAGATTTAAAACAACGAGGTGAATTAAATTGGAGTGGTGTGGAAACAAGTACAAATAATTCATCTATTTTTGATACACAATTAAAATTAGCAAGTGGACAATTAAATTGGTTTACATTATTAGATACAGCATAAATAATTTAATATGAAACATAATCTTCCTCTTCACTCTCTTCTTCACTTTTATCATCTTCTCCCTTGTTAGCTTTCCTCCATAATTTCGTTACTTTTTTTAATGCAATCGATGCTCCCCCAGACCCCACCAATTCCAGAATTTCAAAAAATCTAGTCACTATTTTTTGAAGTTTTTTATCTGTAATATTGGATCCAGCGGTTAACATTGCCCATTGTAACATCATAAATGCAGTTCTATTTATAAATTTTGGTGGTTCTTGTTTATCATCTTCAAGATAAGATTCAAATTCAATAATTGATTTTGCTAAGAATTGAACTTGAGGAGATGATGAAGATTCCTGGTAGAGTCTAGTTAAGATGGTAATTAAAGCAGCCATAACATATGATTGATGACTCACATCTTGCCATGAAATAGTTAAATTATCAGTTGGATTTTCAACTAATATACCAGTTGTAACTCCGATATTTATACCTTTTTTATTGATAAATTCAATTTCTAATTGTTGTTGAAATTGGGAAAATAATTTAAGATATTCAAACGATGGAGTCAAAGTACCTTTTCTTACTCTGTTCAATCCTTTGATCAAATCTTTAAAATAATTAATACAATCATGATGATATCCAGCCATAATATTAAATCCATTATCTAAAATTATACCTAATTCTTTTAATGCAATTATTTCATGCTCACAGCCTATATTTATCAACCCATCAACTTCTTCATCTGAAGTTAATGTACCTCCTTTTTTACAACTTATACCTGCTAATATTTCCAAAACTATAAACCAGAATTTACAAAATATTAAAATCTTTGATGTTTTTCTACTTTGTTTTGAATGTCTCAATAATATATCTTTAGCACCTTTTAAGTGAGATCTCCAATCTTGTTTCAAATTAGCTGCATTTGCAGTAGTTAATAATAAAACAGTTAATAAAACATTTTCAATATTTGAACTTAATTTATTATCATCTGGTGAAATAGCAGGACCCAATAATTTCAAACATCTAGATAAATAAACACAATGAGCTTCTTCATCTTCATCATTTTTAGTTTTTGAAAATCTTAGTCTTGCACCATTTGCTAAAACTGCAGCTAATACATAGTCTTCACTTGAAGCGCAATTCAAAATTATATCTCTTGCTGGATTACAATAATTGTGATTCTCTTTATCATAACTACCAAAAGGTAAAACGATATTCGCAAATTCATTGTAAAAAACTTCATAATAATCTTGATCTTTTTGTTTCTTCAATCGTATGTAATCTAAAGGTAAATTCTTTAACGTTTTATCTTTTAACACTGATGTTGTGCTCTCTGAACTTCTTGTTGAATTTTCTTCCAATTTATATTTATCTTTATAATTATAATTCATTTCATACATTATATTATTAACCATATTATTCAAATCAGAAGACAATAAATTTAAATCTTTTTGATCAAATAAACCCATCATTTCTTCTGGAGGAATTGATTCTGCACTTTTACCACCATTTCTTTTTGAATCATTTAATAAGTTCATTAAACTTGAAGTTTTAGTAGCCTTTGGAATTTCTTCATTAGATTTGGTAGCTTGAACTGGTGGTGGTAAAACAATTGGCTTTGGTTGTTGAGGTTGAATTGCAGCAGAATACAAAGCAGGAGCTGATGAAACTTGTTGTATTGGTTGTTGCTGCGGCTGTGGTTGAGGTTGAGGTTGAGATTGAGATTGTTGTGGTTGAACTTGTTGAACTTGTTGAGCCTGTTGCAATTGTTGCAATTGTTGTTGATTCATTTGAGGCAACTGTTGAGCTTTAACTATTGGTGCCATTTGCGGTTGCCCTTGCTGAGCAAATGGAACATTTGGAGCATAAATAAAGGGTTGTGGTTGCTGTGGTTGTTGTTGTTGTTGTTGTTGTTGTTGTTGTTGTGGATGTTGTGGTTGTTGTTGTGAGTTTGGAGGGGGTACTTGATAATAAACAGGACCAGGGTATTGATACATCATTGGTTGATTAGGATCATGTCTGATAAAATAAATAGGTTGATTTCCGTTTCCTTGAACTGCATCAATAAGATTTGGAGAACCATGAATTTGATGTAAAATTCTTTGAGCCTGCATTTGTTCATGTTGTTGCTGTTTCTTTTTCGAAACTCTCAATACTTTTTCACCGGCTTCTGGATATGAACATTCTTTTCTTAATCTCATACATTGCCAACATTGAGGCTTACCTTCATCACATTTAATCTTTCTTCTTTTACATTCCCTACATCCACCTTTACTATAAACTCTTTTTTGTTTACTCTCTGATTCTTCTCCCTCAACATTTACTTGACGATCTTCAGCAGCCGAGTCTGGAGATTGACTAGCGGCTTTTCTCTTACAACCCTTAGGAGCAATTGCTTGAGATTTTGGAGCCATAGTAAATAAAATTTATTTAGATTTGATAAAAATGAAAAAAAAAAAAAAAAAAAAAAAAGAGAAAAAAAGTGCAAATAACGCAAATTTGAAACACGGAATTGAAATCACGCAAAACAACGATATTGAAATAAGATATGAGCATTAAAGAGACAATATAACTGTATAGATCTGGGATAAGAATGTGGCTGGATAGTTTTTACTGATCATCTTGATGCCTGGAGTAGTTTAGAACTTTAGAAATGCGATTTTTACAATATGAGCAAATTACGAATAAAACCTTTTGTATCCCTAGTCTTTAGCTTAAAGTGATCTGATAAATCTCATAAACCATTAGGCAAATACCAGTTTATTAAACTAGGCTGTGAGTTATTAAATAAGGATTGAATCTGACTGGTTATGATTCTTTCACTCCCGAGCAATTTTTTTACGAAAAATCCGTTCGCTAATTTGCACGCAATATAGTGTGCCTAGATTTGATCTGATAAACGCCTTTTCAGATTTAGCAAGAAACGCAATTCAATTATTAAAATTCTTTGCATTTATAATTATATGTATTGTCCAGCAAATTATATAAACATAACTAAATACAAATTTATACAGATTCTTCTTTATTCTCATAGATTTCTCTAATTGATCTTTTCCTACCATTTCCATTTCCATTTCCATTACTTTCTGTTGATCCTGGTGTTATAACAACTGGAGAATTGATATTTGATGTTGAACCATTTGGAGTTGTATTTTGTAGAAATTCATTAACATCAAAATCATCATCTTGAGTATTAATATTATTATCTCCATTTTGATCTAATCTTTCAATCCAATCTTGAACTTGTTGTAATGAGTGACCGGTTCTTTGTATATTTCGTTCAAATTCATCAAAATTTTTTGGAGTATTAGGGATACTTAGATCTTGATTCAATAATCTTGGACCTGGTATTGAATCATTAATTAATTGTTGATAAATTATATTTACATTATTTGATTCATTCAGTTTATCTTGATCATATGACCTTATTATTTCTTCAATTGAACCCGGTGTTGATTTCGTTCTGGATATACTTGGTCTTTTTTGATTAGAATCTGTTAGCATGAGTCTATATTTTTGTAATTCCTTGTGATTATTTGTTTCAGGAAAATATTTATTATCTTCTGGTGGAGTTGCTTTTGCTCTTTTTATAATTGGAGATTTATATTGTGTCATTGAATAACCATTTGAATTACTTGATTGATTATTATTTATATCTAAACTTTTGTTTGCATTATTACCATAAACAACTGATAAAAATTTTAATATCTTTTCCAAAGTTCTACCTTGAATTTCATTTCTTTCTCTATTCAAATAATTTTCATGCCATAAGGTTTTATTATCCAGTCTAATTCTTCTCAATTCTTCTGAAATTGTATATTGATTCATTTTAATATTTTCCAATTCTTGTAATATCAAACTAATATTAGCATTATTGGTATTAATATTATCACTAATTGCAATTTCATCTTGATTTGAATTACTCTTATTTCTAACAATTTTATCTAATAAATCTTCTCTATTTCTTGAAAAATTTGGATTTTCAAATTGCCAAATTTCATCATTACCCCCATTTTTATCACAATTTGAGTTTAAAGTACCATTACTAATATCTTGAACTTTATGCCATCCATACATATTCAACTGACGGACAAAACTTGCAAAATTATTATGTTTAAAATATTTTGGTAATATAATTTTCATAAAATCTTCACGATGAAATACTTGAAAAGTTTTACCATCTTCATTCCATCTAATATATTCTTTATTAGCAGGATCATTAACCATTGACCAAATTTTCATAACAAATGCAGGACGAGCTTTCGGACCCGTACTTTCCTTTTTACGTTTTGGTGGATTTTGTTGATGTTGATTATTCGATTCATTTTTAAATTCTGGTAAAACTAACGGTGTAATATTAATTCCATTTGGTATAACTGATTCACTTAATGGTTGTAATGGAGGTAATGAATCGAAATTGGTATGATGATTATTTTGATTATTGTTAATTAAATGAAATTCTTGAGGAATTAATTCTTGATGCTGTTGATCAGTTTTTTTAATCTCTTCATCACTAATTGGATCATCAACAAATAAAGGAGTTTGACCTGTTGGCTGTTCAATTAATGGTTCTGTTTTGACTTGTGGCTGTTGTTGTTGATTATATTGATCACCAATACTAAATCTTCTCTTCTTTTGTGGTGGAGTATCATCTAATTCTTGAATCTTACCATCATCAAAACTAAAATGATCAAAACCATTTGGTGTTGCAGATGTAGCAGTATATAGTGGTTGGTGATTATTTAATAAAGGTGTTAAACTTGACCCTTGTTTGTTGATATATTCAATATCATCATTACTAATTCCTAAATCCGGTGATTCCTTATTAATTTTTCCATTTTCTGTTTCTGAATTTAATAATTCAATAATGGGATCTTTATAATCTACCATCGTATTCATTATCAAAAATTAAAAAACCTTGAGTTAAAATCTTTTTTTTCTGTTGTGCGATTTTATTCGTGTAAATAAAACCAAAAAATATATGATGTGATGAAACAGCTAATAGTATATAATAATAATTATGACCTAGATAAAAGCAATTGTGTAATTAAACGTATCTTAGATTTTAATCTATGGTTGTAGTGATACTAAGTTGTTACTTAATTAGAAGAAAGAAATAATTCAGGGGTGGGAGCTGATGCATGTATATTTATATTCATTTGAAATGAGTGTTCTAGATTTAGATTTAGCAGCAAACAATATTATTTTATCCTTTGGACCCCTAAATTTTTATAATTAATGATGTATAGTCTTATAAAAATACCGCCCTAAAAAGGAGCAATTTAATTAAACAAATTCAAAGTAAGTCAATCGTGTAGTCCGAGTAAATTTAATTTCGAGAATAACCTGAAAGATTGAGTGTCTGAGAGTTCAACATCTAATATCATAACTTAATTGGTATTATGTGTAGAGGTTTAATTCAAACTAGTCCCTATTGTTTAAATAATTATCCACACCATCCGCGTAATAATATATCAAGCAATTTGGGTACATTTTTGCAACAATATAAAAGCCGCGCGATAATAATTCTATAAAATCTTGTTAAATTATAATAAAGAAACTGAAATTTCGGATTTGTACAAGCATTAAACACATATTGATTATGTACAATTGATAAAATTTGTCACAAAAATGATAGTCTTTTATGTATGGTTTGTCAAACTTAAGAAATTTCTCTCCGCTCTATTTTATTTTAGACTGAAGCAATAAGCTACCTAAGAGTGACTTACTTTTCAATAAACTTATCTTGATTCAATCTACCTGTATTTAGTTATACCGAGCTATTTACTGTTTTCGTGGCTTCAAAGATTATGAACTATTATCTCTAGAACAGTCAGTAACATTCCACAATGTAATAGAACGTTTATCAAATTATTCCACAGCAGCCGTCAGAGTCTTCAAATAATCACTAAAATTAAACATTTTAACATCAATTGTATGTTTAAATGTATAGAAGGTTTAATTATTACTGAAATCACACTACTTTAAAGTACGTTTTTTAGATATAATTTCAGAAACGCTGAAGTATCAAACATTACTCGGTTAATTAATTAGCATAAACTTAATTAAATCGTGGTGTAAAAGCTATGATTAAACTGAAGTAGAAGGACCACAAGGTACAAACTATCAGAAATAGATAATGAGTTTACAACTGTCGACGAATTTTGTAATCTTTTGCAAGCTTTTCAGAATCGAGATAACGCTGAAGACAAGTAAACACAATTGTGTAATATTCTTCATCATCAGACATGCAAATATTATATATTGTTAGCTCTACTTATAAGTATAAATCTTTTCTTTCCCAACCAGTTGGTCTTGTAACTTCTAAACCGTCATTTGGTTGAGGTTCATGAAAATCTTTAATTTCTAAAGCAAATGGATTTCTATCAGTTGTATTTAAATTTGCAAAAGTATGATTAATTTCTCTATGTTTAGCTTCATCTGCTCTAATTTTTAAAATTAAATCTTTAAATGATGAATTTTCATTTAATCCATGCCAATATTGTTGAGCAATTTTTGGAACTTTAGTCTTTTCTAATAATGGTAATCTACCTGGAATACTTAAATCATCAATTAAATGTGTATAAGTTTTAACAGCTTCTTCTTCTAAATAACCAACAAATCTATGACAATATCTTGGATTTAATAAATATGTGAAAAAGAAAATATTTGTAAAAACACCTTGACCTAAATAAATCATAGTTCTTGTAAACCAACTTGGTTTACCAACTTTTATGAATGTCAACAAATGCATTCTTTCATTATATGCTTCATCTGCCAAAGTATCAATCCAAGCTTTATCTCTTCTTAACAATCTAATTGAATGTAAAGTTCTAAGAAAACCTGCAGTACTTGGAGGAACAGCAGCAATTGATTCTAAAAATAAGCACCTTGTTATAAATTTCGAATCATTCATAAAATATCTTGTACCTTTATATTTATATGAATCACCGTTTGCTTCTTTATAACCAGTAAAAATATCAAATAATCCTCTACAATATTGAGTACCATAATATGAAATTTTATCGCCAATAGTTCTTGGTTCTCTATGAGTAATACCAACTTTTTCACATTCTTTTAATGTCCAAACTGGATGAGGATATAATGGATGAGTTATAAATTTTGTATCATCTTGTAATGCTTCATCAGTTGGTGAATAAACTTTAGTCGAAATATCAAATAATCTTTCAACTGGTAGTTCTTTTTCTTTAGAAAGTTTGACGTAATGGGTACCATTATCAGCTACAACTTCTTGTTTTGGTTGATCTTCTTTTCTAATTGGTGACGAAGTAGCTGTTGATGTTGAAGCCAATCTAATAAAACTTGTAGTAGTTGATTTAGCAGCTAACAACAAAGGTAGTTTGTGATTAATAATAATTGATTTGGATAACATAATTGAATAAATTTGATATAATAAATTGAACTTGATTTATTATGTGTAATGAATATATAAAATTCCTAAATAAATGGTTAATTTAATTCTTATATATATATATTTACAATAATAATAAATATATCTAATCATCTATTTTTAAACCTTATTTTAATGTTTGTGTAAATTGGTTACACTAATTTAATCTATTTTTTTTTTATATAGTCAATTATGATTACGAATATGGAGTTTGAATTTTAGTTATGTTTAGTTTACTAAGCAAATTAAGAAATTTCTAGCTCTATCTACACATTACTATGTGGTGTATTACGTATAACCGTTGATAAAATTAATCCGTGTTGACCCTTGGATTCTATTATATTCTGAAGATGATCCACTATTCTTCAATGATCATTAAATGTGTGACACATAAACTAGATATTTGACCAATAAGATTTAAAATAAATAATCCAAAGCTCAAGTATTAATCTCTAAAAGTAAATCAAACTTTTATAGATAGTGTAGTAAACAAGTGGAAATTAAAAGATGGATGGAGTTAAAATGGATCATGAAAAAAATCCACGCATTCTAACCAAAATGTCCTTAGATCCAAGTTTTATTCTAGAAAAATTCGCAGCCATTTCTTGATTTGCAGCCATTTCTATTTTTTTTATTAGACATGTTAAAAATATTAAATTATATTTTACGAAAATAACTCGGAGTAATTTTATGCTTCAAACCGTTTAATTATCGATAATCCAAATATAGAAATTTAGTCAATCTTGCACTACGATTATTATTGCTAGAAATTCCATTCTTTAAAAACAAAAAAGCGCAATTATTTAGTATGCTTTGCGACTACGAATTCATGAAGAACTCTTAGAGAGATCTTGTAAGTTAGAATAAGTTATACCAATCTTTATCGTCTTTTGAATTGTAAATAACCATTTTTGGTCGAACTTCAAATTCAAAATTTAAAATTGTAAATCTTTTATTCAAATAAGAAACGATACTTTTTCAATCTCCGTCTAGTTGGTAGAAATTATTAGGATAATTCCGCGCTGAATAAGTCATTTAAACGAAAACTATACGGAGAAATAATTGTTCACGCCGTGTAACTGTCTCAAACTTCTTTAAAATGTCTAGGACTTTAAAGTCCATTGGAAGTTTCATTTCCCATTTCTTTTTAAAGTTTCTGCTTTTTCACGAAGTCTATTTCGAGTATTAATAAGTCATGTCTTTTCTATTCCATGGTTAATGCTTCCTTTTTAACAGACTTTTGAGTGATCTTTTAATATCTAGTCAACCGGTAAGATTCAGACGTGTTTTGAACTAAATTAAAGAATTGTTTTGACCTGAGTTTATTAAAAAATTCACTTTTTTCTAAATTTGTCAAGATTTTGAAAAATTTTGTCAAGATTTTGAGTGACAAAATGAAAAATTTTGACTTTATTAAAAAATAAATTGGTCACGTGGATAGAGACTGATTGTTTGAACTCAAGTGTCAATATTCAATCAGTATCTCAGAATTTCAAAATTGCAACTGGTAGCTTTTTGAAAGGGTTTCAGATTTAAATTTTGCAAATTATTCATTTTATTACGGGCACACATCAAGCTTCTGCTTCAATTAAGGTCTCTCAGGTACAAAGTCAAGAAATATCAAGTATTTATTTCCATACTTGGCTTCAACTGAAGTTTGTTTCAGTATTGCAACTTCGTTCGTGATTTAAGAGAGAAATATAAAACGAGATTTGTTATTGTTTGTTGCAATTTGATAGGTATTGTTTTAATTATTTTCATACAATACGAATCTATGTTGCATTAAATACTCAAATCAATGAAAAGAATAAAAGTAAATCTAGCCCATCAATCTTGATCAATAGAATTTTTAAGAATTTTACGTGTTTTGCAATACACGAATTTGTTTAGTTAAGAAAAAACCTTACAATGTAAACTGATTACATAATCCAAAATAAACAATAAAGAATTTTTTTTTTTTTTTTTCTTTCCAAATCAATATAAAAATTTAATTTAACGACACAATTTCTATTATCATTAACCATCTTACAACAAAGGAGAAACCATTAATATTCACTATTCGTTGACTTTATTATACCCATATTTATTTATTCGAACAGTATTTCATTTCATATTTATATCCACAACTTTATAACTTTTTAAATTTTTAGTTCATTTATTCTTTTTTTTGGCCATGGGTTTCACATTATCAAATTTCACAGGTGATCCATTTGCTATATCTACTATATCATTCGGTATTATATCTTGGATCGTAGCTTTAGCTGGAGCAGCAGCATCAGAACAATCTTCATTTCCACATTTTAGTTGGTGGGGGATAGCTTATCAAATTGTTATAATTTTATTAATTTTTTTATTATATTTAAATAATAATATTGAATTATATAAATTTACATTAGTTGGTTTGGTTTCAATTGCATTTATTTATACTACAAATTCAACAAATAATTTAATTTATAATTCAAGTTCAAGTGGTAATTTATGTTGTGCCGCTGGTTGTATATTATTAAGTATATTAAATTTAATTTGGATATTGTATTTTGGAGGACATCCAGAATCTCCAACAAATCAATTTATTGATTCATTTAGTTTAAAAAATCATGCTCATGAACATTTAGACTCGACTAATATGCAACCAAATTTGAAAATTGAATCTTATGATGATGGTTCAAATATGAATAGTAATGATAAAAGATCAAGTCAACAAGATTATAGAAGACATATTTCCCCAGTACAAATACCAGAAAATAATAACCTTGATAAATCAACAACAAACAATAATCAATATGTAACATCTTCAAATTTAGCTGGATTGGAAAATTTCAGTTCACAAGATATTCATCGTGATTTAACATCAATAAACAATAAGAATTCAAATACAAATAATACAGGTACAAATACGACGAATATTACAAATAAAAGATCTAATTTATATAGTGATTCAGAAGCAGGTACAGGTATAATTTTTAGATATAAAGCAAAAGCATTATATACATATGATGCAAATCCTGATGATATAAATGAAATTTCATTTGTTAAAGATGAAATTTTAGAAGTTGATGATATAGATGGTAAATGGTGGCAAGCAAGAAGAGCAAATGGTCAAGTAGGTATATGTCCATCAAATTATGTAAAATTACTAGACAGTTAGAAGTTTATTCAATATATATAAAATTATGGTCTTTTTGGTGATAATTTTTTTCTTCGTCTAATTTTTTTAATACCGATGAATAGATTAGTTAGAACAAGTTTTAGATTTTTGGCAACAAAGAGTCCTAATTTAGGTACAATACCCAATTCATATGCTCATTCTGATCCATCATTTCAAGGAGATTCATTAAGTGATAATATAGAGACGGTAAAGTTAGAATATGATAAATTTTCGCCAGAACCTTCAACTAAAAAATCACCCGTGGTTATACTTCATGGTTTGTTTGGTTCAAAGACAAATAATCGTACAATTGCGAAACAATTAAGTCATAGTTTGGATAGAGATATTTTTTGTTTAGATTTAAGAAATTTTGGGTCATCTCCACATATAAATAGACTAGATTATCCTAGTTTATCAGCAGATGTAGAGTCATGGATTCAAGAACAACTGTTTGAAAATAAACCAATATTAGTTGGTCATTCAATGGGTGCAAAGACAGTTATGGCACTAGCGTTAAGAAAACCAAGTATACCCAAAATGGTAGTTTCAATAGATAATGCCCCGATTGAAGGAAATTCAGATATAAAATTTATTAAATATATCAATCAATTAAGGTTGTCAATTGAGAAATATCATTATAGTAATATAAAAGATGTTGATGCTAAGTTGGCAGAAATTGAAAGTGATAAATCAATAAGACAATTTATATTAACTAATTTAAATCGAGGTAAGAAACATGAGCATATAACATCAAAGATTCCATTAGATATAATTCAAAAGGCATTACGTGATGGTATGATCTCAAGTTGGCCCTATGATTCCAAATATGTTAAATATAATGGGCCCACTTTGTTCATTAGAGGTTCTGAATCTCCTTACGTTCCGGATGAATCATTACCTGCAATTTCACAGTTTTTCCCCAATTTTGAAATTAGAGATATAAAATGTGGTCATTGGGTAACTGCTGAAAAACCAAAAGAATTTATGGAAACATTAATAGAATTTATAGAAAGAAAAGAAGATGAATAAATATCTATTTTGAATTTACTTTAGCATCTTTACTTACATCATTATAAATATCAAATCTTCTTTGATAATGAACAGGTATTCCTTGTCTTGCATTTGGATTTAAATTTGGATCTAATTCAGCATAGATTATTTCTTCATCATTTTCACCAGCTTCTGCAATAATTTTACCAAATGGATCAACAACTAAAGAATGTCCATAAGCTTGATAATTCTTTGGATTTTCTACATCTCTTGCAGGTGAACATAAAATTACAAATATTTGATTATCTATTGCCCTTGCTCTAGCTAAAGCATGCCAATGTAATGGACCAGTAGTAGTATTAAAAGCACCTGGATAAAACATAGCAAATGAATTATTTGGAGCATAGCTTGCAATTGAAGCCAATTCAGGAAATCTTATATCGTAACAAATACCTAATCCAACATTACCATATTCACCAAGTTTAAAAACAGTAGCTTTATCACCAGCAGTCAAAGTTAAACTTTCTTGAAATGTGATTCCGTTTGGAATATCAATATCGAATAAATGAGCCTTACGATGTTGGGCAATAATTTCTCCATCTGGATTAAATGTTAAACTTGTATTGTAAATATTTTGACCACCTTCGATTTTTTCAGGTATGGAACCACCAACAATATATACCTTATGCTCTTTAGCTAATTTTGATAATAATGTAGTTGTTTCACCTTGTGGGATTAACTCAGCATATTCACGAAATTGATCAACAGCGTAAGGTGAATTGAAACATTCAGGTAACATAACAATAGTCGGATTTTGTTTGACTGCATCTTCAATGAATTTAGTAACTTTTAACAAATTGGCTTGTTTATCATTACCGGCTTTCAATTGAATCAAAGCAATTTTGAGACTTTTACTCAATGGTGATTTCAAAACTTTTGACATGTTCACTAATAATCCACAATCGTTGATAAGGAAAAAATCGCTACCAATTTTGAAAATTTATGGGGTATTATAAATTAGGCCGCAAAAAAATTAGAAAGAACAAAAAAATTGGATAGTTTCAACATGTTTAGTCTGAATGCTCAGTGTGTGATTAGATTTATCGCAAGCTCAATTTATTCTAATTTCTTCGTAGTTAAGGGAAAATTTTGAAATTACTCAATTTTGATGGAGAGCAATTAAAATCAGGATTAGGATCTTTAAAATAAATTTGATACATATAATTTTATTGTTTACTTGGATAAATGGCTGATTCTGATTTCTTTCGATAGCCTTTGTTTTGCGTTTTCAAAACTCTATGTATTGTAAAATAGCACATGGTAGCTCTTTTATCAAGTACAAAATTTTGCTATTCAGCATATCTATGCAGCTAACAATAAATGCATTGGCCAATTAGTCCTTGAATCTACCGTCTTAAAGCTTTACAGGGTTAAGCAGTAAGCTGATATTTCAAAACATTGCAATACTTTATTTTTCATTTGGTAGCACTATTTTATAGTTGAGGTAAGGTGAATCCATTTTAAGAGGTATTGTTGAAACGAACTTTAAATTTAATTGGATTTGACTGAAAATGTAAGTATTTGTCTCTAAAATGCTTATCAACAAAATATATTCTCCGACCTGGGATTTGGGCTTTTTTAAGAAAGATAATAGAATTTCTGGCTTTTAAAAATCCTATTAACTATGGGAGCGTGATCCTCAAAAAAATAAAACTAAAATTTTGATGCAATTTTGGACCAGTCAGAGCATTTTCCAAGATCCTGTTTCACACAAAGATGCTTAGCAGATAAAACTAATTTCAGAAAATAACAACTCCTTTGGTGTCTCTGCTGCGTAACTTTCAATCGGTCTGATAAATCAATCATAATGTTATTGAAACGATAAAAACCACTTAAGGGCTACCAAATGCGCTTGTGCTGATAGCGCAACATCAGTTTTGCTTATTTTTGAGCTATACTTGAGGTTTACAAGCTAAGCATTATCTTTTTGCGTCCTAATATGATAGTAATAATATTTTGGGCCTAATCGTAGCGTATTTGTATGATGAAATAATTCGTAATCTTCTTAAAAAGCTTATACAGACAAATATATATTACCTCTATAAACGCTTTCCTTTGTTGTTATGTTTGATTTGCATGTACATGAATATGATTGATAATAATACAGCAAACCCAGCTAATCCAATACCAACTTTTAATCCTGTTCGAAATCCCAATAATTTAGTTTCATTATTAGTTGGTTTATGCAAGGTTATATATTTCTCAGCTGCTCCACTGAAACCTAATCCAATTGCCACTGAATAGTTTATACTTGTTAGAACTAAAGAACTAGCAATGCCTTGATTTTCTTTCGGTAAGAAATTCAGCAATGATATTGAAGCTGCTGGATATGAAGTATCTAAAGCAATAGGCATAATTAAAACAGATATAAACTTCTGTGCCCAATATATTTGTCCAACTGGTCTTGTACCCATAAGTATAATCGAAAGTAAAAATGCAATCGTTGAAATAAACAAAACACAAGATGATGGTAATTTTGAAAGTAACCATGGTGTTAAAATAGCAGCCATAAATCCCAGTGGTATAACAGGTACATTCTTAACTGACGCAAGTATTGAAGTATCTTTATCTATATGAATTGCCCAACGAAATGTATAATTCAACCAAATTCCAAAACAAGACCAACCAGCACCAACACAAACTAAAATAAAACACGTCCTACAATTCAATAATTCAAGTGGAATTAAACCATTTTCAACTTTATGTTCAATATAAACAAATACAACCATGCATAGAACACCAACAATAAACAAAATATAAACATAAGGTATTGTCCAACCAATATTTGCACCTTGATTAAATGCAAAATTAATTAATATTAATCCGGTAGTTCCAAAAAATGTACCCCAATAATCAAATTTAATTTTGGTTTTCATACCTATATGTTTCGGTATAATGAAATATCCAAATATATGCAAAATCATACAAACAATTCCAGAAGTCCAAAAAGTCCAAGGCCACCAGGTCAACATTGCAAACATTGAACTAAATAAAGCGCCAATAATAAATCCCGTAGGTGCTACAGCTCCAAATAAAGCTAAACAAATATCTTTCTTGAATGAATCAGGATAATACGAACCAATAATAGCTTGAGTATTAGGCATGATAATTGCTGGTCCAAACATACCTTGTAATCCTCTCATTATACTTAAAAATATAGTAGATTCAGTCAATCCACTGATACCACATAGTATTGTAAATATACTAAAACAAAAGTATCCAATTACTAACAAATTTTTATATCCAAATCGATCGCCTAATTTACCATACATTAATATGAATGTGCCCACCGTCATTGAATACGCAGCAGTAAACCATGTCATTTCACCTTTTGTAACTTTAAACGTCTCATTTATTTTTTCAACAATTACAATAGTTTGCGCAATTGAAGCTTGAGTTAAAATTTGAGATAAACATAAATAAAACATTAATGAACATTCTCTAACTTTACCAATTTCTTCATAATTTGGATTCGCTAATAGAACAATATCATCAATGTCTTTATCATTATCCATCATTCATGGCAAGGCAAAATTAAAATTAATGCAAAAATATGTATATATATACAGCGTTATTAATTATCATAATTATTATCATTATTAAATTTATTTGTTTCTTTTAACCATTTTAAATGTGGTATAAATACTTCATTACATCTTTCTAAATTATTTGATTCTTCAGCTTTAACATACCATAAATAATTACCCATATAATTTGAATCCAAATTTAATTGATCTTCTCCATATAATGATTTCCCATCAGTTCCATAATAATTTGGACATATTCCCTGTGTGAAATAACCCAATACTCTTAAATCAAAGTCATAACCTATATTATCATTAATTGATGAATACATTCTAATATGTTCATCTGAATTTGGATATATTAAATCATAATTTTCAACTAACCAATTTGGATAAAATTTAGGATAAGATAAATGCATAAATAAGAAATCTGAATCTTCACCTTTATCTGCTTTAATAGGATCATAATGCGCTAATGCTTTTGAAACAAATTTACCTTCTGCTTTTGAATGATATCCACACCAATGAAATTGTTTTTTAGTTTGATGGTATGATTCCTTCATTACTGTTGCAGCAGCTATAAATGTTTCTTTATCACCTTCACCAGCTGATCCTTGAGTCATTAAAGGATAATAAAAATCAGGACCAAAGACATTATAATATAAACATAATAATAAAGTTTTTAAATGACTTGTTTTGTTAACTATCAACATACCTGTCTCAGAAGTAGGATCAGGTAATGTTCCTTCAAAATCATGAAACCAAGAATTTTTAAAAGTATATTCTTCCAATGGTTTTCTACCACCTTCTTGATGTCCATCAAAGTTGGAATACCTAATCTTCTTCTCATTAACCTGTAAACCAGCAATTTCATAATATTTTGGATTTGTAGTTCTAGCCCATGCATCAGGCCATAATATTAATTGATTATGTTTATACAATTCTGATTCAAATAAATAATCAGGATTTCTAGCTGGGAAATTATCAGAATCTAAATATAATAGATTATTAAATTTTGAACTTAATATAGCCAACATTTTATATTGATAACCACCAACATTAAATCTATCGGCAAGGTTTTTTGCTAATTCTATATTGAATAAATTACATCTTGCATTAAATTTAGGTATTACTTTTTCACAAAATTCAGATTCATAATCTGATTCAGTGGCTATAAATAATTCAATCGGTAATTTTGAACCAGTTGCTCTTAGTTGTTGTATAACTAAATATGATAACCATGAAAATCTACCACCACCAACTAAAACATAACCAGATGATTGTTGATATTCATCCCATTCAGGATCAGAAGGTAAATAATTTCCAAATGTCTTGAGTCCAATTTTATTAACCAATTTTGGAATTTGTTCATTTACATATTTAGTATGGCTTTTTTTCAAATCTTTAACAGTTTCATCAGGTAAATTTAAAATGTTTTCGAGATATTCTTTCGTGAATGGGAAATTTTCATTATAACTAAACAATTCTTTTGCTTTTTCAGTCTTGTAATTCTTCTTTAATGATGGTTGATGAATTGCAAAGTTTTCAAGATCTTCAAAAAATATTGTATAATCTTTTATTCTTTTGTCTTTAGTTGTTGTTTTTTCATTTGATTGTGGTTTAATTATATTTTGTTCTGGAGGTTCTGCATTTGGTATTATTTCATTTGGAGGGTTATCTAATCGATTTCCAGGTGCTGGTCTATTATGTTTTATATTTGATTGTTTTGAAGTTGAAGATAATGATTGATCTAGAATAGATTGTAAATCATTTGTTGTAGATCTATGTTTTGAAATTAAATGCAATCCTATAATACAGAATATTAGAATTAGAAGTATTTTATATTTCTGTTTTGATATCATAAAACAAACTTGGTGGTAAAAATGTTTTAAAAAATTAAAAAAAATATAATGTTCTCGTAAAAAGAAGAAAATAGGAAACAGAAATTTAATGGCAAGAAATTGTTAGTAAAGTTTGAACAAAAAAGCTTAAATTGGCTGTAACCGCACGAACAACGTAAAACGACTATTGATATTGGACCCATGTTGGTGGCGAATAGTAAGGAATTAGCATTAAAATGATAACTTCTCGTGTTCGATTTGTGATACGTCGAAATCGCCAGGCGAACATTTGCATAAAATATTAAAGAATGTGATGTAATCAGTATATTTTTTTTTGCAACAAATTATAATTAATAATCTTAACCTCTATAAATATTCATTTGCTTTATACATTTATTTCTCTTATGAATGAATAAACAATTTATTAAAATGTCACATACTTCATCAAAATTAATTGATTTACCTAAATCAAGCACATTTACAAAATTTATTAAACCTGATAATAGAATATTAACAAGTGAAATTGCTTTAAAGAATGAAAATCAAATATCAAATACTCCAAGAAATTTATTAAATGGTGGGTTTTCATATGTTTTACCAACTGAGAGAAAAGATTACAAATTCCTCCTAACTAATCCAAAAGCATTACAAGATTTAGGACTTGATGAAAATGAACCGAATAATATTGAATTTCAAAAAATTGTAAGTGGGGAATTTTATAATGATAAAACAACATTTTTAAATAAAGATTGGCCTTTTCCTTATGCTCAAGCTTATGCTGGTTGGCAATTTGGTCAATTTGCTGGTCAATTAGGTGATGGTAGAGTTGTTAATTTATTTGAAGTACCTCGAAAACCAGATGGTCTAAATCGTGATAAATTTGAATTACAATTGAAAGGAGCTGGAAAAACACCATTTTCAAGATTTGCTGATGGGAAAGCAGTTTTGAGGTCTTCAATTAGAGAATATATCATATCTGAACATTTAAATGCCGTTGGAATTCCATCTACACGTGCTCTAAGTTTAACTTATTTACCAACTACATTAGCTCAAAGATTAGCTGCTGAAAGGTGTGCTGTTGTTGCTAGATTTGCTGAGAGTTGGGTTAGATTAGGTTCATTTGATTTATATAGATTTAGAGGTGATAGAGAAGGGGCAAGAAATTTAGCAGATTATGTTATAAATGAATTATTCACAATTGATGGGAAGAAATTCCAAAATTTTGAAAGGATAACAAGAACAAAGGATGATTTTTTCAATACTAGCAAAAATTTAATTGGTGAATTGACAGATTATGATAAAATGTATTATGAAACAATTATAAGAAATGCTGAAACAACCGCCGTTTGTCAATGTTATGGTTTCTTAAATGGTGTTTTGAATACTGATAATACTTCAATATTAGGATTAGCTATTGATTATGGTCCATTTTCAATTATGGATAAATATGATCCAAATTATACACCAAATTCAGAAGATCATGAAAAAAGATATGGATATAGAAACGTCCCAACTGCAATTTGGTGGAATTTGACCAGATTAGGAGAAGATTTAGCTGAATTAATAGGTGCTGGAAAAGAAATATTGGAAAATAAGGAATTTTTAGAAGGTATTAAAGAAGAATGGGAGGAGCCAATTATAAAAAGAGCTACTAAAATTATTGAAATTGGTGGTGATATTTATCAGTATGCGTATACTAAGAAATATGTGGAGACTTTTTTTAAGAGATTAGAACTTGCACAAGAATTAATAGAGCAGAAGAATCCAGAATTGCAAAATGTTAATATTATTAGTCCAATGTTGGATGTATTATATAAAATTCAAACTGATTTCAATTTATTCTTTTTACAATTACAAAATATTGATTTTAGTAAAGAATATGAACAAATCACTGAAGGATTATTTTTAAAAGATTATGATTTTAATACATTTAGACATCATAAAGAAGATATAATTAAAGAAGCAAGTGAATGGTTGAAAGTATACCATGATGCAAAAGAAAAATCGAAAGATTATAAAGTTGAAGATTCAAATAATTATAATCCTAAATTCTTACCTAGAAACTGGATATTGGATCAAGTTATACAACAAGCTACTGAAACGAAATGTGAAGATATAAGTTATTTGAAGAAGTTACAGAAAATGAGCACTTATCCTTATGATCCTACTAAATGGGGTGATGAATTAAAAGAATTGGAACAAAGTTGGATTTTACAGGGTAATAAAGGAGATGAATATTCAATGTTACAATGTAGTTGCTCAAGTTGAACTATCGTTAAGTAGAATATACAAATAATGATTGATGAGCATCTACTCTTTCAAATTACGTAGAGATGGAAAATTTAAACATAATAGATCATCAATTTATATATTGCGTTTCAATTTAACCTAATTTAGATCAGTTTTAGACCCTGATATCGTTATGATTTCTTAGTGCTGTTCAATACGTTTGAGAAATGGCATGGACTATGGTTCCAACTCTCGCTTTAAATCAAAAATTCTCCAACCGACGTTTCGTTGCAATTTATGGAACCACTTTGGCCGAAAATCTACTAGTAGAAGTTTTAAACTAACAATTTGACTTATATGCAGTCCTCACATAGTCAAACGTGACTTAATTCCTAAATAACTCCATAAACAATCAAGCTTTTGATTCCAAACTCGGTTCATTTTAATTCCCAATCAAATTGGAGTATACTGATATTAATACTTTCAACACAATTTAATTTTGATCATTTTAAAAAAAAGTTAAATGGCGAAATAATCAGTACCGGTACCTCATTTTACATCTTCTAAGATAGCTGATCTGGCTCATTCAACCTCAAATACCACTAAAGAGACTTTTCAAGACATACAAAATAGTAAAAGAGCTCATGTAGTCCCAAGCAATTTGTTGTAAGCATTTTAATATTCAATGCAATGTCAAGTAATTTAAATTTAATAGGAAATTCATTTGGAAAGATAATTATTATCTTAACAACCTTTTATACATTCAAGAATTATAAAATCTATCTATTTGTAACTTGATTTAGCATCTGAGTAACCCCTTTCAAATTCTTTTTTAGCTTCTTGTTGTAAATGTTCTGGTAAGTTTGCAATTTTTGAATCTAAAGCATCATTACCAGTTTGAAATGATGAACCAGTAGCACCAGAACGATGACCCGATGAACCATGACCTGATTGGCCTGATGAGCCATAACCTGATGAACCATGACCTGATTGGCCTGATGAGCCATAACCTGATGAAGCTCCACCTAAACCAGCACCAGTAGCACCAGTAGCACCAGCAGCACCAGTAGTAGCACCTGAATGATTACCAGTTGAACCAGTTGATTGACCATAGGTGGTATTTGAGCCGTACTCAGTAGATGCAGAACCACCTTGAGTAGCTTGTGGGCCTGAACCAGAGTGGTGAGAACCTGAATGAGGGCCTGATGAACCTGTAGTTGATGAACCATAAGCACCACTACCAACACCACCACCAGTAGCAGTGCCAGCACCAGTTGTAGCACCATCATGACCTGATGATCCGTGGTGGCCAGTTGATGATTGATTACCGTAACCAGATGAAGTGTTTGATGAACCGTGACCTGATTGACCTGAGGTAGTCTTCGATCCATAACCGGATTGACCAGTAGTACCTGATTGATTGCCATAACCTGAAGTTTCATTACCGTAACCTGATGAAGTTGTGTTTGAACCATAACCTTGACCTCGGGATGATGATGAACCTGCACCATATCCACCAGCTGCAGCACCAGCACCAGCAGCACCAGCACCAGAAGTACCGGCTCCAGTACCGGCTCCAGTACCTGCACCAGCAGCATTTGATCCAGTACCGCTTGAATTACCACCGTGATATTGTTGGTATTTTTCTTGAGCTAAATCGGTACCAGTTTGGCCATCTTTACCACCACCGTATTTACCAGCTTGTTGATTTGCATTATCAACATCTTCTTTTTTAATACCTTTTAATTTATCAGTTAAACCCATTGTGTAATTATAATATAATGCCTATTGAATTGACTTATTCTTTAGAATTGTAGAATAAAAAAATAGGAAAACATTCCTCAGGACAATTGATTAATTATTTATATTAATTATGAATTCATTGCCACGTTCAATAAACTATGACAGTTACAATTCTGTAAATCGGGGATATATTTTTAGTTTGCTATAATTAGGTTTGAATATTACCTCAATTGCTTTAAAATTGGGTGCGAAAAATTCCATTCTAATACATTTGAACAATACAATCAACAACAAACAGCCACAAAATTCGAAGTTCTGAATCTCGGAGAATGACTTTATCTAATTGAAAGGGGGTGTAAATATGTTTGTAATTGGTTGTATATGTTAAAATTGTGGAGCTATGTGTATATTGAAATCTCTAGCAATCCCGTTATGCAGTATAAGTATCATATTACATTTAAACTATGAAGATTGAAAGTCAGAAATTTCATAGCAAACTACTAGTATTATGTATTAAACTTTTATAGTAAAGTGTAATTAACCAAACATGACACTACATGTAAATATTACGTCAGAATTTAATTTTAAACAGGGGTCGTAGATAAGGAACAATAGTCAATTCACACAACTAATGAACTCATAATTACACATACACTCAAGATCGCAAGAGTGTTAAACTTTTAAATCTTCGATGACTTAATAATAAGGCTTTATCACAATAAGCTAATTTTAATTCCCAGTTGCATAGTGCATACTATAAAAAAATTGCTGCAAAATTCAAATTGCTACCCAATTATCAATACATTTCACCCTAATTTGATCAACGTGTTTAGTTGGTCTTTCTCTAGTTCTAAGGATACTAAATTGAATCCCCTCGGCTAATCAGTTTTAATTCGAAGCTGTAAAAATTTATGTAGATTTTGGTTATTTGTAGATTTTAGATTTCTTCGAAATGTTGAAAAATACTAAACTAAGTTCAATTTCGTTTAACGACTTAAATTAATTATAATCTATAATAAATATAATATATATTAAAATTGAATATGTAATTGTAATTAAATTTTGTGGTTTTAAGGAATTGAATTATTAAACTTTCTCTATCTTAACTGGGATCTTGATTCTTGCAAAATCACCATTTGAAAAATGTATCATTAATTTAACATGATATAACCTTGTCATAAAACATGATTGGAAATCGGGAACCAAATTGAAATAGTCAAAACAGTCTGTATTTGCTTTGGATTGACCCTTTGGAGTTAAACTTGCCAAATTCAAATTTAAATTGAATGAAGTTGTAGCATTCAAATCTTTGATATCCCATTGAATCCGTTTTGAATTGAATTTCTCATTATCAACTTTTAAACTTTTAATTACCAAATTCATAGATTTTTCATCAATTTGACACATTGATTTCAAATCATCAACTAAATTTTTTTCAATTTTGAAATTTTCACATCCTAATTTCTTATACAAATAATATAATTCAGTTGATAACTCTCTAAATTTCTTTGTTACATTATTTGTAAATGAATCTAAATCATATAAATCCTTTTCACTCGATGTAATTTTATTAAATATTAAATCATGATTTAATTCAATTGGAATTGGCAAATTTGAGGATTTGAGACTTAGTGCAACAAATTCAGCAGTGATACATTTTATCACTGGTACTTGGACTAGTTTTGTATTTGGAAATTGAACTGATAAATCAATTGGGATAGTTAAATTCCATGAACTCAAAGCATCTTTTGACAATGATTCATTTCTAAATCTTGTTGGTGGAATATAAGTCATTGAATAATCTTCTTTTGGGGTTTTAATTGATAGTGTACCAACATTTTTTGAACCTGTGATTGATCGTTTAGTTAATGGAATGAAGAATTCATAAAATTCTTTAGTACCTGCCAATTTTGCATCTCTACAACATGCTTTATAAGCTTGTTTGAATTTAGCCGATTCCAAATCTTGTTGTGACAATTTCTCAGCTATATCTATAGTTGAATCATATTGATTTGAATCTATTAATTTAAACAACTCTTTACCATAATCAATCTTTTCCTTGACTCTAGATATTAAATTATCAAACATTAATTTATTTTCCAACAACTTCATCTTTCTTTCATTTAAACTAGTTGAATGGCTCTTCTTTATAATTCTGATGTAGTTAGTCAATTCCTTTAAAATAATATATTCATCACCCTTTGAGTTAATTAACTTAGTTTTATCTGTTGATGTTTCAATTTTACCGAAATCATCTTCCCATGTTGATTTCCTACCAATAAATCTCGCCATCACACCATAACTTATAGATACATCAACAGGAGCAAAATCTTTAATCTTTGTTTGTTCTCTTTCTGGAAAATGAGCAGTTTCCCATCTTGATAAACCAATAGTTGGAGGTAATTCAACATGTTTTGATAAATTATGTTCATTACATTCTGAATCTAATAAATTATCAGGAATTTTAAATGTGAAAAATCGTTTATATACTTTATTAGGTTCAATCAGCCTTTTATTAAATGCTAAGAATGTCTTATCTATTGGATCTTGAGTATTTGGACATAAGTATGGTGAATTATATTCATTTGAAAATCTATCTATATGAGCTTCATTCCAAGAACCTGAAAAATCAAACATTTCCAAAAACTTTCTAATCTTTACTGGCTTTTTATCTGATCTATCTTTTTGATTTGATACCATGAAATTACCTTCAAATAATAAATAGAACATTTCAAATGGAATTGGCTTTGTAGAAACATTCTCTATTGTTATATAACCATTTAAATAATCACCTTGCTTATATTCATATAATGAAGGATTAATCAGTATTGGTTTTTCACCAATTTTACAAACATTTTGAGTGAAATAAATGTTAATTTTGATAGACTTGGATACTTTATGATCTTGAAAAGTTAAATTATGTAATTTATGAACATTATCAAGTATAGTTTCTTGCCAACTATTTGTATTTTCATCAGCTAAAATGAATGGGAAATTAACATTTAACAAAGTTTGATCATCATCGATTGAAGTTTGATATGATGTAGTTGCTGACATTTGTGGACGACGAGAAGATTGTTCATCACTTAAAACTGAACTAGAACAACTGTAATCTGGTGGTGGCCTTGATGTATCTTCTGAAACTTCAGGAACATTAACATTCATGCCAATTGTCGAAGTATACATATGATAAGATGGTAGAATTGAATTTAAAGTATTTTCAGCAGCATCTGCATCACCTAAAGTACGACCCTTCTTATCCATAATTGAATATAATTACAAAATCAAAATTTCGTTAAAATCTTTAATCATATTGTTATCTATTTATATTATAAATTGGAGATGACTAATAATGGTGAAACGGCTGTGACCAAAATAGATTTAAACTTTTTCGATTTGTAATCAATTGAAACTAACGTAAAAAAAACAATCTATAAATTTCTAAGTTATTCTGCGGAGATTAGCTTAACTAAAATTAAATGTTGCAAAATCATATGAGCAGAAAAAGGTAGCCAAATAAGAATGAATCATAATGGTTAACCGTTGTGAATAAGGAAAAAAATAAAATTATCAGGATCTTAATTCAATTCTGCCGCCAAATTTGGATTAAAATAGGAGATCCATCCGTATGTTACACTCAGCTGACTAATTTCTGTAGCTCATACCTTCTTAGACCAATCTAAATGTCTTGTGGTGGAACCAATTGACTAGATTCATTGATCTCGTGGAATTCCCTTTCTCCAATTTTTGTTAGTCATTGATGTGTCCTTTGATAAAATTGATAAAAAACGCCATTTAATACAGTATGCATACGATTGTTTATAATCAACGGCCCCGTTTATAAATATTCGATGAATTGATTGTTTTTTCTTGGTTCATCTGACTCATAGATTGAGATGGCTCAATTAAATAATGATATTCATGATTAAATGCTGTTGAGGTCTCAGATCTGAGATATGACATAAATTTCGATTCAAGATCTCGTTTCCTTTTTAGATCTGAAGCCGAGGTCGTGTTTGGATGACCAAAAAAGAAAGAAAACAATTTGCACCAATTTTGCAGCAATTTTTTGTATTAAAAAATCAAAATATCGATCCGTTGCAATAAAGCCCGCCTATTACACAAATACACCTTCAAATTTAGCTCGACTTCAGCTCAATAGTTTGGGATCTAATACGTCAATCCTATTATTTCCAGGAAGTGAAAAAATTAAACGAACAAAACTAATATCAAAAATGTCGGGTATCTGATGCTAACTTAATTAATTATCGCAAAAACATCAGAGCTCAGGCAAAAGACAATAAACAGTTCCGTAAAAGATTAAAAACCTTCGATTTGAGAAGCTAAATAGAATCAGTTTGAAGGTAATTAAATATTTACAGATTTAATGGATTTTTTTGATAATTTTCAATTTAAAGCAGCATGAGACCTGTTTGGATAAACTTTAATTAGTGGTAGTAATCCAACTTCATCCGTGAATTATTAATATAATGTTGGATTTGATTTGGTTCTGGATTCTTTTATTTGTCATGAATGCAAAATTAATTACTCGACACTAGAAAACAAGAATTCAGACTCGTGCAATAGTGTCAAGTTTTCCATTACCAGTTACCAAATATATATCAAATTATAGTAAAGGATTACATAGAATGAGAAAGCAGAAATCGTGTCTTTTAATCGACTACCAATTTTACAACATTGAATCTACATTCTGTCATTTTTAAAAAATACAATAAAGCTCAAAACTATCAGCCATGTCTCAATAATTTACTGGCGGACTAAGTCAAAACTGATCCACTGGCGGACTAAGTCAATGTTCTGTTCATACTGGCGGACTAAGTCAATCTTCTGTTCATAAAACTGATCCACTGGATTGACGCTAAGTCAATGTTTAACGCAATTCTGCTTAAATTAACCCATTACGATACTCTTATCTTTATTCTTATCTTAAACTTTTCTTGTCTTATAAATCTCTATTAAGCCCCTATTAAAATCTTGAAGAGACGCACGTATTGAAGCTTATATGTCGTATCTTTCACTTCATATATGGAAAATGACTAAAAATTAAGATCACGCGGCAGAATCTTAGATTAAGCAACGTATATAAACTCATATTCCGGATTCGATTAACAAATCGCAACAACTAACTTTGAACAGCTTACGTCATGTATTAGTTCATAGATAGGATTTATGGATTAAAAAACTACATTGGCGTTTAATTCTTGGTCAATTTTTCTTCTCTTTATTTTATTTTTATAGGGGCCAAATATAAATGCAACCATTCTTAAACGTTTACATAATCTCCACAATTACTTTACGATGATTTCAAATTCATATATAAAGTGTAACAAGATTATAATGTTCATTCTTTAATGAGACAATTAACAATATGACTGAGTGCGATTTATTACCTTCCTATTACATGTTCAAATCTATTTTGTTAAGTAATTTGAAACAATTACCTCCACCACCAAATTATTCAGAAATTGATAATTTTCAATCAAGCAGACAACGGGAGAATTTAAAAGACTATGATTTAAAAGAAAATTTAAAGTTGATGAACGTGAATAATCAAGTCAAGGTTTCGATTCGGATACCCACAAATGAAGAATATTCGCAAGGTGATTTCATTAATGGTTGTATCAAATTGAAGAATAACGAGGACTTCAAGATTGAATATTCTTTCATTTATATCTTGTTTGAAGGCGTTTATACTCATGGAATTTTCGAAAAAACATTTTTGTCAATGTTAGATTATGAATCATTTGTAAATAATAATGGAGTACATGTTTTGAATCCCGGAGTTTCACATATCAAAAAATTTCAATTTAGAGTACCTGATTATCTATTAGATTGTCAATGCTCTAGAATAATTGATCATTTGAACCTACCTCCAACAACTTCAAACTCATTGATCTATAATAATCTTAAAATTTCATATCGTATTTCATGTTTCATAATTCATGAAAATTCAAATATAGGATCAATGCATAGGGAGGTTAAAATCATACCTAAAGCTTATGGAAATTTTAAGACTCCTAATCTATCTTCAATTGTTGATGAATTTAAAACTGATTTATTATATGTAAATAAATCAAAATTTGAAACATTATATAAAAGTCTACAATTAAAGCCATTGACAAATAAGTTCTCTTATTTTTATAAAAATAAGAAATATGGCATAGAGGTAGGTAAGGACCAAATTGAATTGGATTATTTACCACTTAAATCTCCATCAAATCAAACTATCACAATTCCGTTTAATTCAAATATTCCTATAAAATCAATAAATGCTGAAGTTATATCAGTTTCAGGATTTGCAGATTTCAAAATACCAACGCATGTGGATAGTAACTTATTATTTGAGTCATTCACAAGTAGAAAATACAATGATATAATCATAAGTCCGATAAATAAGATTTTAACTTATTTCCAAAGGTACAGTATAAATAACATAAATGTTAAGAATTTGAACAAATTAAGACTGTTGAATGTTGAGTATGTAAATTTACATATTCCAGATGTAAAACTCAGAAATGATGGAGTTGATTTAGATTTGACTAAAATGGGTGGAAAGGGTTTAGACACAGCTAATCCAAGGCATCGATATCGAATAGGATTTACTTTAATTCCCAATTTTCAAAACTGTTATTGTTTCAGAGAATATTATCTAAGTTTGAATATCAATACATTTCACAATAAGCGAAAGATTGTTATTAATATTCCAATTCAAATCAAAAAGTAAGTACGATTGTATATAAGATAGTTTAATTATGCGATTATTATTATTATAATTCTGTATTCTACTCATTATTAACCCATATATCCCCATAATATTTGAACAAATTTTGTTCAGCTTCTGAGAAGTCAAATAATCTACCAATTCGTTTGTTATTACCACCCTTATCGGTTTGACCACCAATACTAGAATAAGCACACCACATATATCCAGAACAATATCTTTGATCCATAAACCAACCTCTACTTGGTTCATCATCTTTATTAGTTGCCCAAACGTTTAAATCTAATGGTGGTATAATTGCCGATTTAATAATTAAAGGTGAGTAATAAAATGCTTTAAAATCTTCTTTTGTTTTCAAAAATTTTAATCTTGATTTATGTTCTGATTCTTTTTGAAAATCAACTTTTTTAGATTGACCACAGAAATAAAATCCAGAATTTATCCAAACCAACGCATTATCTTCATCTGAGATATGACCAGGGTGCGGTGAACATAATTCAATACTTTCATGTGGTTTACCATCTGATTTTGCTCTATCTAAAGGAGGAGTAATTTCACCAATTGCAGCTGCATAATTTGAATTTATTGCAAAATCTTCAAATCCATTTATTGTTAACGCAAGCCAAAAAATTTCTTTATCTCCATGAATTCTAGAATTAACAGGTTCATAAAAATTTAATTGAAGCATCATGAGAATTGAATTGTAATGAATGTTTCTGTTTAACATCACTAAACCAGATTCTTGATAATGGAAAAGACCTTTAAAAAAATCATTCTTATATGTCTTTTCAGTCATGATTGGAATATTAAACATTGTGGAATCAAGAATAGATGGTCCTAATTTCTTGAAAAATATGGTGTCTGACATTGGTCTAGTTTCAAATGTGGTACGATCTTTGTAGAAAAATGTACCTGTTTGTTTATAACCTTTTAAATTGAAAAAATATTCTGGATTTTGCATCATTACTGTATCAGCATCAATTAACATGAATTCTTCAAATGAATTGAATAAAGTAGCCAAAAATTTATTAGCATAACCTCTGAATTTTTCTTTAAAATCATTATGAATGACATTATACGTATTAACAAACCATATTTCTTGCTTTGGTAAGCCATTGGCTATATAATCATTTGGAAAATGATGATAAACAGCTTCAAACGATTTAGGTAATGCTAATATAGGTTCTTGTGCAGCTGTAACTATTTTCTTTTTAGTTTGAGTTGATAAATTATCATAATACACAATTTGGATAGGTAATTGATTATTTAATCCTCTTAATAAATGAATTAATCTTACTGTATCTTCAACATGAGCATCACCAATTGATAAAACTATACCTCTCCCGTTACATTGATTTTTATAATTTTTGAGAAAGTATGGAGATTTTATTGTTGGTCGTTTATAATCTTGTCTAATTTTTGGAGGTACATAACTTCTATGTCCGGTGAAATGTTCAAATATTGGATTTTCATTAGATAACCATGGATATAATCTATGTTCAAAAGCATGAGAATCTATTGAATCGAAATTTATTAAATTTTCTTGTTTTGTAGTTATGAATTTTGATTTATCTTTATTTGAATGTTTTCTTAAATTATCAACTATTATAGATTGACCAGTAGTAAATGAATTCATTTGATTTGTTTGTGTTTTATTATCATTCGTAATATAGCATTTATTAAATATCCTCAATGCTGAAATTTCATTTATTATTTTCTGTTCTGTATGCATGGTTCTATCCCAAAATTGTTGATACTTCTCCTGTATGAATTGTTTAAACTCTGGTATTGATTCATCAACTTCATCCTTATTCTTTTTGAATTTTTCACTAAATTCATTTTTAAATTCATCAAAATGTACTCTTTTATAATCATTAAATTTAAATTCATTTTTATTCTCCAATGGATATTTGTCATTAGGATTAAATATCCAATTATGATTATTAATGAATAAATTTTTGAAAAATAAATCACAACGATCTTTAAAATCCAAATTTAAATATATGGAATCTACTTCATGATTTTTAAAAATTTGATCATATATTGAAGCATGGAAATCAAGATTTCGTCTATCTGGTTTTTGTTGTAACTGAGTTTGCAAGATCTTAATAGTTATATCGTCTTTATAATTATTCTTATTATTATTTTCTTCTTTCAATTTCTCTTCTTCTTCTTTTTGATTATCTATTTTGGATTGGTCATATATTGATGTATTTATTATGGAATTGGTTAATGATGATTTTGTATTTGAAGTATTGTAAGTTTTGAATAAATATAGATTGATTCCAATTAACCATAATACCAAACCAGTATATAAGAATACCTTTTGTTTTGACCTTTTGATATGTATCTTATCAATCATTATGATTTATTTATGCAAATTTAAACGAATGAAAAATTAAATGTAAATTATTAATTATAAAATGAATTAAAACGAATGGCTGAACTCTATGGAAAAAAAAAAAAAAAAGAAATTTGCTGTGAAAAAAACTGTTTAATCAAGTCTAATGAAGTAAAATGTCTATGTGAATCCCTGTGATATATGAAAAATAGAAGATCTTACGATAATGATTCAGATCTAAAAATTAATTATCAGTTGTTTTGTTTTGTTGTTAATTGGTGATAATTTGTTGTAAAAATGGAAGAGGAAAAAATTCTTTATCTTTGATTTCAGAACATAATTGCAAGAAAAAAAAAAAAAAAAAAAAAATAAAATAAAAAAATAAAAAAAATAATAATAAATTGTTTTATTAAAAAACTAATTGTTTTTATTTTGAATTTGCTAAAATTAATACTTGGTAGTTATTTAAAATCAAGTTAGTATTGTCGAGAATTCGTTCAAGGTTATATATCTTTTAATTTAGTTATTTATAGATTGGGGTTCTCCTTTTGTTGTTCAGATCAATTGTTGTAAAAAATTATAAGAAGAGCGTGTGGCTTCAAATGATGTCAAATCAAGGAAATAATATTTAATTATAATTCGTCAACATTCGTTGATGAATTGATTTGCAGTAAATAAACATGATATTCCTGTCAGTTTTGTGTTAAAGAATGTTTGTTGATGAGATTCAGATTTACACTTTGAGATCTTACAGATAAAACGCCTTACTAAAATTTGATCTCCAGATAAGAATGGAAAACTTCTTATCATAATAAACGGTTAAATAGAGGGTTCATATTTTTGGTTGTAAATCTTTGGCGTTTTATTTATCTTTATTATTTACGATGGAACTTCAAATTTGTAAAATAAAAAAAAAAAAAAAAAAAACAGAAATAAAAAAATCAGATTTAAGGTACCAGATTTCATAATTTAAGAAAAAAAAAATAAAAAATTCCTATTGTTTCGACAGTTTAAGGAGTGATTTTGATAATTGCTATTATGACATAATACAAAAAACTCTGTATTCTTATAATAACAGTTAAGAACCCCAAAGCTAATACAATTGGATAAATCATAAATCTACCTTAGTTTAGACTGAGATCTCAAAGAAAGTAATGGGAATTTAAGCTTTCAATTACGATGATGATTTTAGTTCAAAATCTAAAGATGTGATTGATTTACACGACTTTTTGTAATATATACACGACCAAAATCACGATACTCATTGATTTATTTTGCAGCGAAATCTCTATTTTAGATGCAAGATATCAAATACGTTCGTCACTGTTAAAATTGGTACCCTTGATGAAGAATTCAAACTGAGGTATGAACTACTTCGTTTTTGTGCCCCGTTAGTAGACTTCAGTTATGAAAGACCCAAATATTATTTAGCGTTCACGTGGTCAAGTCTAAAAATAGAATATTTTAATTTCTCAAATTAGACAATTTTAATCCAAATTTGATCTACAAGCCAAATAAATGAAACAAAGAGGTCGTGGATAAAATACGACTTAATACTACTGCTTTTCTTATCCATAATATCGTAAATAAGTTGCAAAAATTTCAATTTCAATTTCACATGTTATTGCAGACACGGTTGATTTTGTACTACTAACTTGCGCAATTTTTAGTCATAGCCTGATTGTGATTTTTTGTGAGCTCTTCATATTACTCTTATCTTTTGTTTTGAAATTTGCAGCCATATTATCATTACCGGTGTCCTCTACTTAACAGCTGTTAAAGCCTTTCTACTATTATCTTCTGTAGAGTTATTTGCTCTTTGATAAGCTTTTTAAAGTGAATCAGAGGAAATAAATTATTATTATAACTAGCTAAATATTATTTTCAGTCAGTGTTTTTTAAATAGCTTAAATTAGTAAACTCTGGCAAATTAAAATTAGAATAAGCAAAAAATTAAGCAAAAAATTAAGCAAAACTCGAGTTTCAGTTTACGTTAAATGGGGAGTTAATAAGCTTTAGCAGTACTTTATAAAATCCTCGTAAACTATTCAGTTTCTTATCATAATTTGTTAAAAGCTTAAAACTGTGGGTTATACAAAATAAAGGACCGAAGGCGCTACCAAGTCCAGTTTAAAGACAAGGTACTTTCTTAACCATTAGCGGCAATAAGGAGAGATATAACAAGTAAACATAAACAACCAAGAGAGTTAAATTTGGTAAATTTGAATAACGATTATGCTATAATATAAATTGTAACTTCTATAAATTTCAATGGACCATATTTAAAGAGACCAGCTTTTTAAAGTTCAAATTGAGGGAATATTAAATCTCAATATTATGAAAAGACTATATTTGGAATACTGATAGCAGTAGATTTACTTGAAGATCCAACATCTTGACCAGCGGATAACAATTTATGTTTTTTGCCTTTAGTTGCACCTTTTTCATTATTCAATTGTTTTAAAATTGTTAATACAATACCTGATCCAGTATCAAAAATGAAAAATAAAATTATTGGAAAAACTATTAAATATATTAAATTTCTAGATATTGTTCTTGTTATAGTTTCAATTTCATAAATGATTGGTTGTATAGTTAATAATGTGGAATACATAGTTGCAAATTTGTAATTAAAACGTGTGGTGTTAAATAGTAAATAAATCAAGATTGAAATGCTAAATGCTAAATAAATAATGCCAATAATAAATAAATAATTGTGATGAACTGGTTGATTGATAATTTTTATGAAAAAGTTTGAGGGATATTAATTGACTATTTATATAAGTTAAATCATAAATATCAATTGTTTTTTTATAGATAACAAAGTTGATAAAATAAGCTTTTAATACATTGTACATTTACACATCTCAAACCTGTATATAACCAATCTTAATTTTCCATCTCAGCCAGGAAAAAAAAAAAAAAAAATTCACTACCAATCAATCAGAAAAGGCGAAGAGGAATGAACAGTATGTGTTTAATCATGTTTGTTGAAGTATTAACTAGATGATGATGATTCAATTAATTATTAATAAACTTATCTACATTATTTGAACATTTCAATGTAACTAAAATTAATATAATCTGATTAATATTTTACACTTTTGTACTATACTAGTTAAAACACTTGATTGATCAAAATTGGAATCTATTTACTAACAATTTATGTAGTTTACATTACCTCAGTATCTCAATTGAGTAAGTTTATACCATTTTTCATAGGCGGTTGCAAATTTTTTATGCATACTGTAATGTACGTTTAAATTTTTTGATTGATTAATATGTATTAATTTGTCCCTCTATACTACCCCAATTAAAGGGATGTGAAAAAATAAATAGTATGCGATACATATCAGAACTTGAAGGTTTCAAAACCATTTGATCGAATCGAGGATCCAGTCCCGTCGATTAACGACATGGCCAATCATTTCTAGCTCATTAATTCAAGAGTTGCTACTATTTTAAACGTATGATGTTGAATTAGAATTAAAGTTACGATTAACATTAAGGCGTAAGCCTTTTAGATTCAATTGCTGAAAATTTTTCTCTGGAGATTGTTAAATCTGAAACAAGATTTTCTTCATTCATTATTTATAAATTATCTTAGACGAGAACAATAAGAAATTTTTTATTTATTTTTAACTATGATTAAGATCAAACGTTTGTATTGAATCGTGGTAAATTAATTAGCATTAGATTGTAAACGTTTACTTTTGGTTGATACTCTGTTACCAGTTTATCCTTACTTTGAACCATTTGAGATTATGAGATTACACAATCTTAAACTCAGATAATCGTTAATTCCACCCCTAAATTCCACCCCTAATTCCAATAAGTTTTTAATCTTAAATTAGTTCCTACATTGTCCATCCATTCATCCCTAAATCTAATTCAGTCTAAATTATTGATTCATAGTTGTTCAATTAATAAGATTAAACTAAACTTAAATCTCAGTCGATGACGATGAGCTTATTTTTATTTGGACTTCATCAAACTGAAGTCTAACTAACTCTAATATGTATACTCGACCTTCCTCTGCAGTTTCCAAGATCTCAAACTTTAGTACAGTTTCGAGAATTTCGAGCAGACCCCTAATTTTAAATTCTTTTTGCACCCAATTAAATTTTAAGCATCATTACAGTTTAACAATAAGCTAATAAGTTAATCAGTTGCTTATCTCTAAAACCATCAATTAGTAGAACGTACCTAATGCCACAGCCTTGGGAATGCTGTACAACTACAGCATTATTGCAACAGATGAACATTTCGATATTGTATCCTCAAAATGAACTCATTTGGCTCTTGTAACATTGAAACAAAAGGGTCCAAGCAATCAAACAGTTACATAAAAACAATTAATAATGCGAATCTGGAAGAGTCAGTTAGATTTTGTGTAGTCACTTGGCAATAATTTAATATAATAGCTATTGTTTATGATCACCTGGTTAACTCCATTTAAACTCCATTAATAGGTTCAATAATTTTCGACATTTACTATAAGATACTTTCTAATCATTAATTTCGGCACAAAACTCTACTGTGTTTTTGGTATTGCTGTAGCTCAGAGGTTCATACACAGTTTCTTTAAAAAATATCACTAAAATTAGTTCGAGCTATTCAAAGTTTTGTATCAAGCTTAATGAAGAATCGTTCAACTATACCAATGCTCAATTTAAGGAGATAAGCTTCAAAAACAGTCGATATTTAGCCAAATTTACTACTTTAATTGGTAGCGTTCGATTTGAAAAGTGATTTGATTTGGGTAGAAATTTTAAGGAAACTAAATCAATGAGATTAACACAAGCTATAACCATAATTTATGAAACATATCTATATAAGAGCCTACCAATGGCTTAATGGCACTTTTCTTGTTGTTTTATTATGCTTATCTATTTGTGCAACATTTTGGAATTTTGCAGCCGATTAACAATTTCACCAACGAAAGATAGTGAAGCAGACCTAAAGTGATTTCTTGTATCAAGGATCAAAATACAAAATGTCAACTATATTCTTATTTTGTTAAAATTATCTTGTATTGATTTATATGAATTTTTTTTGTATTGTTTAATTTGATAAAGAATTAAAGAACTCTGCTTTCTGAGCTCCATTTCTTTTGTATTTTTAACAGCATAGCTTTTGATCTTATGGCCTTAGCATCAGTGTTTTGAATAAGTTAAGAGCATCACTATCATATTTTACACTTACATACGGCTTGTTCGATTTGCTCAAAATGCAATCACGTTACTCTAAATTTAAGCGTTAGAATTGAGCAGCCAAAGTAGATTTAAATACATAACTATCACTTTATTCAAATCTTGTCTGATATCACTTCCAAGGATCAAGTTTTCTAAAAGTTTATTCTCTTATGAGTCAAAATATTTTGCAACCAGAAAAAATAAATTTCAGTATTTTCTTTCTGATTATAATTGGTAAGATTAAAAAAAGAAAGGAAAAATTTGCAATCGGATCCAAGATCCCATAAATAAAAGTATGAATTTAAATAAAAAGAGAGACCAAGTAGTTTCCAAGTCCGTACCGTATGATACTGCTATTGAACAAACATTTTCTAAAGAATCAGTATCTACGTCAAACTCCATTTTTCATTATTTGGCCATTGCATCAAAGAAATTAGATTCATTAGGAGTTGAAACTAGAGGTATTGAAAGAATAGAACCCTATGAAAGATCAACTAATAGATTCAAATTATTTATTTCAGTTTGTGGATTATGGTTAAGTGCCTGCGGTGGTTTATCATCAATGTCAAGTTTTTACTTAGGTCCTTTATTATTTGAATTAGGTTTGAAAAATTCACTTATAGCTGGTCTAATAGGACATACTTTAGGTTGTTTTATTGCTGCTTATTGTTCTTTAATGGGTCCTAAATCTGGTTGTAGACAAATGGTAGGTGCTAGATTCTTATTTGGTTGGTATTTTGTTAAATTAGTTGCATTAGTTAGTATCATTGGTGTTATGGGATGGTCTGTTGTTAATTCAGTTGTTGGTGGTCAAATCTTGAGTAGTGTAAGTGATGGTAAAATACCAATTTGGGCAGGTATTGTAATTATCGCAGCTATAAGTTTAGGTGTTTCAATTTTTGGTATAAAACAATTAATTAGAGTTGAAGCATTTTTGAGTTTACCTGTTAATTTTGCATTCTTGCTACTTTATATTGTTGCAAGTAAACAATTTAAATATTTAGAATTTGCAGATCCTTCGGGTGTTGATAGTGCAACTATAAAAGGAAATTGGTTAAGCTTTTTTTCATTATGTTATTCAATTACTTCAACTTGGGGTTCAATTGCATCTGATTATTATATATTATTTCCTGAAACAACTTCAGATTTGGAAATTTTTAGTATTACATTATTGGGAATTTGGATACCTACTACATTTGTTGGATGTTCTGCTTTATTAATTGGTAATGTTGCATTGAATTATCCTCCATGGAATGAAGCATATCAAAAAGTAGGTATGGGTGGATTATTAAATGAAGTTTTTAAACCATGGGGTGGTGGTGGAAAATTTTTATTAATTTTGATTTTCCTTTCACTTGTTTCAAATAATATTTTAAATACTTATTCAGCTGCTTTTGGTATTCAAATTGGTGGTAAAACATTGAGTAAGATTCCTAGATGGTTATGGGCTTTTCTTATTACTGTTGTTTACTTTGTTTGTGCATTAGTTGGAAGAAATAAATTTGCCACTATTTTAAGTAACTTTTTACCAATGGTTGGCTATTGGATATCAATGTATTTCATAATTTTACTAGAAGAAAATACTATATTTAGAACCAAGAGATTTAGACATTTATATAAAAAAGAATTTGAAAACGAAAATGAAGATAATGAAAGTTCAAGATTGTTAATACCGACAAGAAAAGATTGTAATTATAATTTTAAAATTTGGAATGATCAATCTAGATTAACCCATGGTTGGGCTGCTACTTTATCATTTATAATTGGTGCAACTGGTGCTGTTGTAGGAATGGCTCAAACTTATTGGATTGGTCCAATTGCTAGAAAAATCGGTGGTGAATATGGTGGTGATGTTGCAATGTGGTTATGTATGGGTTTTTCAGGTTTAGTTTACCCTGGTTTAAGATATTTAGAATTGAAAAAATTTGGACGTTAGATTGTATTTTATAGACGTTTGTGTATTTTAAATAATGAGAAATGAACATTTATTTGTGAAATACACTTTGTAACTAAATCTCTTAGTGCTTTTCGCTATGATTCATTCTTGAATCAAAACTATGAAACGAAATCTCAGATTAAAATATTCTGATGTTGAACTCCGAACTCAAAATCCATTCGATTGTATAAATGGTAAATTCCAATTATTTTCAAATCCATAAGGTATTTTACTTAAGTGCTAATTTGTTCATCGACCATACTAAATCCATCTGAACAAATTTGAAGCCGGAGATCTCAAAAATTACCAGATTGGGAAGATCTATATTTACGAGATCTTATTACACAAAATCAAAATTAAAAAAAAAATAAAAAAAATAAAAAAAATATTGGAATGTGAATTTTTATGCACCAACTACATGCATACAAGTACAAAACTAACGGAATGTTGAGTTACTTTGTGTAAATGTTGAGTGATACAAAACTAAATCACCCAATTATACTCAACTTGATAAATTATGATGCAGATACGAAGTTTTTAGCTCATGTAATGCTCAACAAATACGAGTATACACACGTAACTAGTTACATTCACTCACTGTTCATTCATTTGTAACTAATCTTGGTTAAGGCATTCAGAAAATGGCAATTCTAAGGAATCGTTAAACTTAAGATTGATTCATTTCAATGAAACCTGCTTATTTCCGAATGTTCAAGCATCAACAATTTCATATGCAATTTTATCAATTAAGAAATTTGATATCATTTAGTTGACAACATCCCTAACATTGTATAGGTTGAGTATATAGATGAGTGTTAGTTTCAAAGATACAACTGTAGTGAGTTTCTGTAAAATACTTTGAGTAATTTGTAATAATTAGAATCGGGTTACGTAATTAGACAATACCCAATGCTATTCATTCTTTATAAATTCCATTTACTTTAATATTAGCAAGCCATCATCATCATCATCATCATTATCATTTACTTCATTAAAAAATTCATTTGATCTCTTTTTAATCTTTTCCAATCTTTTGACATTTAGTTTCCATTTTTCTATTCTCAGTAATTTACTATCTTCTGATTGATCTAAAAACCTATTTTTATTATATTGAGATGTAAAACCTTTTAGATCTTTCAATAAATCCTTATGTTTATTTATTTCATGTTCTTGTTGTTGTTGTTTTGAAATTGGCTTTTTTGGTTTTTCAGTTGAGCTCAAATTTAACGTGCTAACAAGTGGATTAGTGGTTTTCTCCAACCTAAATAGCTTATCTTCTAATGATTTATTCGCTCTTTCATCTAATAACCTCCTTCGTTTCAGTTGTGTAGTGGATATCAGTTTTTGATATAATCTTGGATTTAGTTTATCTGTAGCACCACCATAAAACTTTGAATCTTCATTTATCTCCTTCTCGTGTGCAAAATTAGTATTGCTATTGTTGTTTCTCTTTTTTGGAGATCTCATTTGTACAGAATTTAATTCCATTCTTGAACTTTTCTTAAATTTTGAATCTAAATGAATATCACATAATTCTTGATTAGAAATATTTATCACATTACAACATTGTTTAGGATATATACTTTTACAATATCCAAAGTCTCTAATTGCTCCAATTTCAAGTATACTATCTCCATCAATAGCCAAATTGAATCCAAATTTAGCTTGGCCATCTTGTTTATATTCATACTTTCTTATGTTTGGGTTTAAAACAATTACCAAATCTCCAGGTTGTAGTTTATGATATTTATCAATTAAACCATCAAACATGATTAAATCAACATAGTGACTAAAACTACCAATTTTAAATTTTAGATATTTTGAATTATTTTTTTGACTTATTTTAATATCAGATTTAAATGTGATGAATCCGATTAAACACCAATTAGTATACATTGGCTCTTTATATTGATTTGTTGAGTTTGTTTTAGCTAATAATTTTTCAACTTTTAATATTTTTAAATTTGGATCAGTTTCAGATAGTATTTGATTTACTTGTTCTTTGGGTATATAACGTTTCCTTAAATACTCACCAAATAATGGTTCAACTTCATTCACTTCTTTAGGTTGAAACTTGTAATCTGTTAATTCAAATTCAAATTTACGATCATTATAATTAATGTTTTTAGCAGGTTCTTTTTGTATACTTGACTGTAGCAACTTGTTTAAAAAATTTGACTTTGGTTTCTCCTCTGCCTTGGGTTTATCTTCAATTGGTGCAACAATCCTCCTTTCCGCTTCCACTTCAACTTTCTTCTTTTCTGGACTTCGTGATACCTGGGGTAACTTCAATTCATTAGCTTCTCTTTCCTTTTTCTCTCTTTTCTTCTTCTTCAATTGTTCCAATTTCAATTGATATTCTTTTAATAAATCTTTCATCTCATCTGAAGAATCTTCACTCAATAAATCATCTGAATTAATAGTTTCATCTCTTGGATCAATTGACATGATAAAAATTAAAAATAGAAGCGAAAATAAATTTAATTTTTTTGTTGATTTTAATTTTTCAAAACCTTCAAACGAAATCCATATTTATGCCTCGAGGTAGAAGTAAATCCATTGTACAGAAAATAGCTAACGATGTTCATAATAATACTGAAAGCCATTTAAATTTAGATTCACCAAATCAACATCAACAAGATAAACAGTTTGCATCAGCTACGACTTTTAAACATTCAAGATCAAAATCTCAAGAATCAATAACGAAAATAACTAAAGATTTTGATAATCTATATCCTTTTACAAATGAAGAAGAAGAAACTGTATGGTCTAAATTCATAAGTAAATATAATCATGATACAATTTTAAAACCAGAAGATATTGAAAATGTGAATAATTATCAATTGGACTCTGTACTAAATTTCAAAAGTTGTTTAAAACGAAATAGTCAAGCTTTAAACTCAATGATATTAGAATCTGATGATATAATTGATGCCTTAACAAACTTACTAAACAAGTACAATGCAATTTCACAACAGACAATGGATTTTGATAAAGAAGCTAATAAATTGATAAATCAACAAAATGAAACAAATGACAAATACTTGAAAATATATGAGAATTTAAAACATTTTGAGCATTTAGATGTCATAACTAAACACTTGTCAAGAAGTGGTAACCACTTACTAAATCAAAAAAGAGAATTTTTCAAAAATGATATACTACAAGAAATTGACAATTCATTAGAGTTTATCAATGAACACCCTGATTTTAAAGAGAGTGAATTATACGGAAGTAGGTTTAGACAATGTATGACCAGAGCTTTAACTTTAATTAGAAATTATTTGAATAGTGAATTGAAATCAATATCTGATACAATTGAAAGAAAACTTCGAGAGGACAAAACGATCACAATTAGTATATTGATATATAATGAGTTTAATAATTATTTCAAGTATCATGAAAATTCATTTAATGAGCTATTCAATGAAATTGTGAAAAGAGTAGATAATCATCTAGAATATAATGGATTATTACATGATATCACTACCACGTACTTTAATATCAGAATAAGATTAATAAATCAGTACGTTCAAGACACATCAACAATTAATGAACTTTATAACAATCATACATCTCATCCATTGAATCTAGTACAAACATGTCAAGATCAAATTTCATATTTCAAAAATATAATAGAACGAGAGTATCAATTATACATAAAGTTTTTCGACTCCGCCGATTCACTACAAGATGATTTGTATCAGTTTTTGAAGAATGCAATTGATCCATTATACGATGCAATTAGATTATTAGTCATCAAAGAACATAATATTTCAAATTTATGTCAATTAACTACTTTATTGCAAAAATATTACGAATTTGAAGATGAAGCAGATGGAAATGGTTCATTAGTAGATACTGGTAGTTATTTTGATACCGGTAATTCAATCAAATATGGAATTTTATTTCAACCTATTTTAGATGGTTGTCAAAATAGATTAATTTTTAGAATACAAAAATATGTCGATGATAAATTGATACCATATAATCCAAAAGCGTCAGATTTGAAAATTATTGGCAATATTAAAAGAAAAGATTCCAATACTACAAATGTACTAGATGTCGATTATGAGGATAATTTATTTCCAGATATTTATTTACCATTAGGTAAAGCATTAACTTTATTATCTAACATTTATGAATTGATAAACTCAGTTGTTTTTGATGATTTAGCTCATTATATAGTCCATGCATGTATTGAATTACTTAAAGGTGAATTTTTAAAAATTTCAATTGCTCATTTAGGTATCATAGATGGTAAATTATCATATATCAAAAACCTCATAATTTTAAAAAATCAAATAAATAACTTTGATATCCAATTTACAAGAACCGATTACTCAATAGATTTTATTAGTGGATTAAATGATATTTGGCAAATGATAAAAAATAGACAATTTAATTATAATAATGGAGGATTCATAGAATTGGCAAAGAAAACAGTCCCTAAAATTATAAACAATATGATGGATGCAAATTATGAAATTGAATTAGAGTTGAATAATTCAGTTAGTGAATTTATAGATTATTGTTCAAACGAAATATGTGAACCAATAATAAAACCAACGAGTCCATCAGAAACAATATCCAAATTTAAAGATAATTTGATAATGAAAATTCCTAATTACTATACACGAATTAAAATAATACTAAATGATGAAGTTGTAACTCAATTTTTAATGAATAATTTATCAAATTTGATAATTATAACTTATGAAAATTACTATAATAACCTAATTGAAAGTTCAACAGACTTAGATGAAAATGCAAAGAAAGAATTGAGTGAAATTATGGAAATAGAAGTATTAGATGGATTTGTAAATGACATGATTTCAAATTTATTTGTTGAAGATGAGAAAGTACAATTTAATGAAAGTGTATTGGAAGAATTAGAAAATGAGTTGAAAAAAGAAGAGTCAACAAAGAATGGAGATGCCAATGAAGGTAAATCACCATCACCAGGAACCAAATAGACATTTTAATATAAAAATCTTTAAACTTTTTGTCTATAGTTGTTTTATAGTTATGAGGTTATATTTGGTATTTATATTTGGTATTATTTTATGACAGTACTTTTTCTAATATCGATTGGAGCTATTGTAAACAGTCATAAATAACTTGTTTCGTAGATAGTTCTGACTTTGCATTATCCACCTTTGCAAATTAGTATTTCAGTAATATTTAAACCTATGCTTTGCTCAATGTACCACAAACATCTTGAAACATCGAAACCCCATGCAATAGGGTTAGTCCTTCTATAATAGGAGCTTGTACCTTTGGCATAACCTATTGTTATCAATACCACCCAAATCTAATTTAAATTTTAATATCATTAGATGAAGCCATGCACAAATGACCAAAATTTGCAATTAACCATCTCTCTAAAACTTTCAATGATATTTCCCAATATATATTAATCTTACATTCTTGAATCATCTTCGAAGGGATCGTAAATATTTTTAGACAATAATTTATTCAATTCATTTTTCACAATTTCTACTTTATCTTGTTGAATTAATAAATGAGTATCATCCAATTCTTCTAAAATAATACCAGGACTTTGAGAATCAATCTGTATAATTAAAGCCTTTATTGATGGATCACATTGTACCAAAACACCTTTACTAGCAACCAACATAATTCAAATTCAAATCACCATCTATATAATTCTGTAATAAGATAATATTTTTTTTTTTTTTTTTTTTTTTAATTTTCCTTTTTAAATTGTTAGTATGGTACATAATGAAACTACTACAATTGAAGAGTCACATAATGAGAAACAAATACGTGAATTATCAGAAGAATCAGAAGAATCATCAACAGATATAGAAAATGAAGATGAAGAATTGGAACCTCCAAAATTAAAATATACAAGATTAAACAAATTACCTACCAATTTCTTTAATAAAGACCCCATATCAACTTCATTCTTTCATGATGATATATTCATATTTGCTACTCATTCAGGCATAATTCATATTTGTAAATGTAATTTTGAAAGTATACGAACATTTAAAGCTCATAAAGCATCCATATTATCTGTATATACTAATGGTATTTATTTTGCCAGTGGCTCAATGGATGGTACAGTTGTAATTGGTTCAATTTTAGACGATAAAGATATAGTAGCTTATGATTTTCAAAGACCTATTCATGCAGTGATACTAGATCCAAATTATGCTAAAAATAGAAGTTTCATATCTGGTGGTATGGCTGGTAAAGTGATATATCTGAGTAAAAGCTGGCTTGGAAAAAGATCAGATATAGTATTAGATGAAGGAAATGGTCCAATTGTGAAATTGGAATTAGTTAAAGATGATTTAATATTTTGGATGAATGATAAAGGAATAAATGTATTTCAAATAAGTTCAAAAACAATTATTGCCGTTATTGAAAAACCTGAAGATAGTGCAAGGAGTGATTTATATTGGCCAAGATGTGCATTATTAGATAGTGATAGATTAATAATTGCATGGAGTAACTATGTGTGGAGTTTAAGAGTTAGTGTTAAAAGTAAAGAAGATAATGAGAGTATTGGTTCATCAGGAATGAGTAGAATTCTTCCGTCAACTGCGTCAATATCATTTAGATCTAATGTCGTGCAGGAGAAAAAGATTGAAGTTGAGCATGTTTTCAAAATGGATGATTTGATAGCCGGTATAGCAAGTTTTAATGATGATTTATGGATGTGTTTAACTTATAATCCACCGACACAAGATGAGGAAATTGGGAAAAAAGAATTTTATAATCCTGATTTAAAATTAATTAATTCAATGACTGGTGAAGTTGAATTTGAAGAAGAAATAGGGTTGAAAAATATAAATAACTTAGGTTTGAATGATTTTAATTTATTATGTCACATAGAGACAATACCTAAATATTTCATAATTAGTGCTAAAGATTGTGTCATTGCTCAAGAACTACAAATTGAAGATAGATTGGATTGGTATCTAAATAAAGAAAATTATTTACAGGTTTATGAAATTAGTCAATATTTAGTAACACCTTATAAGAGATTAAGCTTTGGTATTCAATATGTGGATTCATTAGTCAAAGAAGATGATTGGGATAAAGCAGGACAATTCTTAAAGAAACTACTTGAAATTGAACCGGTTAATGAGGATCAAAGTATGATATCTGAAGAAATTTCAAGTATTAATATAAATGATGAGATAGTTTCACAGTGGGATACCTGGTCTAATATATTTATAAACAGCGGACACATAAAAGAATTAACTGATGTAATACCGGAAACAGAATTAATAAAGAAAGAAATTTACGACAAAATATTATTATATTGGATTGAAAACGATGGTGAAAAACTATTGCAGTTGGTTAAAGATTGGGATATATCAATATATGAGGTGAGTAAAATACAAAAAGAGTTAGAGTCAAAAAGCGGAGAAATCGATGAAAATCTAGAACGTGCATTAATTGTCATATTCAACAAATCTTTACAATTTACAAAAGCTATACCCCATTTAAAACATTTAAAAGATCCAAATATAGTTGAATATTTATCTGAGCATCATATACTACCTAAATTTATCAACGACTTACCTGAATTTATATCATTGAGATTTGAAAATGCAAAAGATTTAACAACATTACCTGTTCCACAAATAGAAGATAAAGTTTCAGATATAATTGACATCCTTATAAATTATAGAATGGAAATATCACCAAAAACCATTGTTTCAATTTTCAACAAAGCCAATTTATCAATTTTGAATTTTTTTTACCTTGAAAACTTGTCGTCAATTGATGAGATATTAATAAAAGGATTTGGGGATGAACGTATGAAACTTTATTCAGAATTTAAAAGAAGCAGTTTATTACCATATCTTAAAAATAATAACGATTATGATATAGATTATGCAATATCAATCTGTGAATCGAATGAATATATTGAAGAATTAGTCTACACATATGGGAAAATAAATGAGAATAAAAAAGCAATTGAGTTAGTTATTAATAAATTAAACGATCCAATAATGGCTATTAATTTTGCCAAACATCAAAATGATAAAGAAACATGGGAAATCTTAATTGAAAATTCAATAACTAGGAGTAATTTCATAAAAGCTTTAATTGAAAATAGTGATGAGAGTTCAAATTTATATTATGATCCAATTACAATACTTCAACGAATGCCACAAGATATTAAAATTGAAGGTTTAAATTTATCCATAATTGAGTTTTCTAAAAATAATGAATTGAATAAATTGATTAATCAATTGATTTTAAATATAATATATAAAAACCTAAAGGAGAATTCTGTAGATTATACAAATTACAAAACTAAAGGATTGGAAATTGAGATTGATAAAGAATTGAAAGAATTGAAAAAATTGATACAAAAATTTGAAACTATATTAATTTTGAAAAAAAATGAAGATATTGAATTAAAATTGGAATCTAAGTTTCTTGATGATAATGTTCATCATTTGGCATATGAGAATTTATATGAAAAGTTGATCCATATAAAAGAATTGGAATCAAGGATATAATAATTGCATTAGTTGGAATTGCAATTTAACTAAGTTGGGCTGATACAACTTATCATTTAATATACTACTAATGAGTAATAAGCTTTATAATCTTTTTTTATTTGTTGAACACTACTCTAAACTGACCTCTAAACTGACCACTTAAAATTCTCTTCATTAAATGATAAGATTTTGTTTGGTAAAAAAAAATGTTCTCCCCAATAGCCCCCTAAAAATAAAAAATAAGTATAGCATCACATTTTAAACTAATTAAATCTTCAACCAAACTACCTATCTTTTTGGTCATAATTCCGATCAATTGAATGACAGGAATTGGCTTTCTTTTTGACATCCCTTACATTAATTTACCTGTTTTTTATCTTTCAAATTTCTTGTGAATTTATTGAAAAATCGATAAACTCTAGATTCAAAAAGTTTGAAGTTTACCAAAATTTACCAAAATTTACCAAAATTTACCAAAACGATCAATTAACATTGCAACAACAGAGATTTGATCTATAATTTATCACAAGATAATTTTAAGATTTAGTTAGTCAAGTTCGGACTTCTTCACTAATTTGATGATCATTGTGCATAGCGGTTGAGATAACAAATAAACTATGCTCAACAATAACCTGAATAATAGGAATTTCGATTAAACGGCGTACAATTAACTTAAAATCTATAGTTGTAATCTATAGTTGTAATCTATAGTTGTAATCCATAGTTGTAATGTATAGTTGTAATGTAAATAATAAGATTTACGTTGGTTTAATAATTTTTTTTTTCACGTTCACTTCATGTGCACAGTGATTTATTCACTTTATAATTTTAGTTAGTATCGCCTTTCAATTGAGAATTGCGAAATGATCTACAAAATGTACATTAAAAAGAGTAAGAACAAGAAAGTTTAAAGTTTCAACGTTATTACTTCTGTCACTATCGTCCAATTAATCCATTTGCAATTTTTCATCGTCTAATTAATTCGAAATTATATCAATTATTATTGAGCGTGTAATTTTACTCTTTCAAAATTATACCCCAGAATTTTCGGAGTACACAAAGTCGCAGAATCTAAGAGATTAAGTATAGAAAAACTCCGATTTATGACATGACACAAAACTTGAAACAATTGTGTATTTAGTTGCATAGTAATGTAATTATTTCACATGCTGCAAGCGTGTAATGGTGTAAGAAAGATCTATGCATAAAATTGTCTTACATTTGCAGCCAAAAAGAAAAAAAAAAACCCCCAAAACGAATCAACGAAAAAAAAAAGAGATTCAATACAATTTATGGCACTTTTAAGTAACATTGGGTGGTGAAACACAGCGGAATTGAAATAATATGATTCCCTTGAGACAGTAGATCCTTGAAAACAACATTGCTTTTTAGTGAATTGTATTTCTAGATTTGGGTCTAAATATGTGTCTATAGCTTGAGAGGGGTTTTTTCATGTTTCTTAAAATAAACTTTTATTGTTTCATAATAAAACTTTGTATGTATAGTTTAAAAATAAATTATTATTATGGATGATTATATATTATAATTGTTGACGGTATAATGTTGTTATACGATTATATATATATATTAGATTAAAAGACGATCAATTTTTTTGATTATTGTCAATTTTTTTGATTTCATAAATAATCGATTCTTATTCAATTGAGTGGTGAATTTTAAAAATATTTTATCTTATTGATTGTCTATAATTTTATGGAAATCAATAATGGTTGATTTAAACAATATTATTAGTTATAGTCAACAATTTTTAATTCTTCATTTACCAACTTGGTATGGCGCATTAATTGTTTCAGGTTTAATTTATTTAACAGTAGTTCAAATTAAAAGAGAAATTTTCATTTGGAAACATGGTTGCGAAGAAACTGTGTTTTTTAAACAAGGTGGTGTAACTGGTTTATACTTGGCTTATCAATTACAATATCAAAAGAGAATTGGTCATATGGTAGATTATGCAACTGAATTATTTTATGAATTAGGTGGTAAATCAACGTTCTATGCAAGACTATTTGGTGTTAGAGTTGTTGCTAGTTGTGATCCTGAAAATATAAAAGCTGTTTTAGCTACTCAATTTAATGATTTTTCATTAGGTACAAGACATGCACATTTTGCTCCTCTATTAGGTGATGGTATTTTTACTTTAGATGGTGAAGGTTGGAAACATTCTCGTCAAATGTTGAGACCACAATTTGCAAGAGAACAAGTCAGTCATGTTCAAACTATTGAACCACATTTACAAGTTTTTGCAAAACATATTAAGAAATTTCAAGGTCAAAAATTTGATATTCAAGAATTATTCTTTAGATTGACTGTTGATACAGCTACTGAATTTTTGTTTGGTGAATCTGTTCATTCATTATATGACGAATCAATTGGGTTGGAATGTCCTCCTGATGTTAAAGATTTTGCTGCTGCTTTTAATGAAACTCAAAAAGATTTAGCTGTTAGAACTTATTTACAGGTTGCTTATTTCTTGTATAATCCATCTTCATTTAAACAAAATACTAAAATTGTTCATGGTTTTGCTAAAAAATTTGTTAACAAAGCTTTACAATTGACACCACAAGAATTGGAAGAAAAATCAAAAACAAGTTATACTTTCTTATATGAATTAGCTAAACATTCAAAAGATCCAAAGATTTTACAAGATCAATTATTAAATATTATGGTTGCTGGTAGAGATACAACTGCTGGTTTGTTATCGTTTACTTTCTTTGAATTATCTAGAAATCCAGATGTTTGGGAAAAATTGAAACAAGAAATTTATACAAATTTTGGATCTGGTGAAAATGCAGATATTCCAGCAATTACATTTGAAAGTATGAAGAAATGTGAATATTTGAAATGGGTTTTAAATGAAGTTTTAAGATTATATCCATCAGTTCCAATAAATTTTAGAGTTGCAACTAAAGATACTTGTATTCCAAGAGGTGGTGGTAAAGATTTAAATAGTCCAGTCTTCATTGCAAAGGGAACTACATTTGCTTATTCAGTTTATGTAATGCATAGAATGACTCAATATTATGGTAAAGATGCTCTGATTTTTAGACCTGAAAGATGGGGAAATATGCCAAAATTAGGTTGGGCTTATTTACCATTTAATGGTGGTCCAAGAATTTGTTTAGGTCAACAATTTGCTTTAACTGAAGCAAGTTATGTTATAGTAAGATTAGCTCAAATGTTTCCAACTTTAATTAGTAGAGACAATAAACCTGATCCATGTAATAAATTAGTTCATTTAACTATGTCACATATGGATGGTGTTTGGGTAGAAATGGATGAAAGACAGAGCGGAGAAAAACTTACAATTTAAATAGGTTGTTTTTTATTAAATATATAGGTTAGTGGAATGTTTTACGTTTAACATATCAAAATAATGTGTTCAGTATAAGTACGAATATTTTCGCCGTCTAATTTTTTTTTGCAACCACAACATTGATATTTGATAATGGATTTTCAATTCGATTTTGGTAAATCACATTTCTTATCCAGCGACTTTATAAAACCAGCAAATGGCTCCAATTCGTCATTTGTTTCAGCCAATTCAAATCCGGAAAATAAAAATGATTTTAGTCCTACTGATTATGGAACAATATTTAATGATATAGTTGATGAATATTTATATGAATCAACTTTAGATAAACTTAATAAATATGATAGAAAGATTTCAAAAACTTGGAGTCAACCAGATAGTAATAATTATAGAACAATTAACAGTAAAGTCAAATTTAATGATGATAATGATATTAATAGAAGATCAAGTTGGTGGAATTGGAAACTGATGTATCATTTTTTTGTGCCAGAGCATGATAAAGAAGATAGTAGTGATATTAAACAGGATCAAGTTCCTTACCGTTTACGAAATGTATTCAAAGAAGAAGGAGATTATGATAAAAGTGAAAAATCTATTGAATTACCGAAAAGAAGAGTTACAATTCAAGAAAAATGTGAAATTATTTATCCTAGTTTAAATTATGAATCAAAAAGAAGGAGTATCTCAAGGAGATTTAGCTTTTTCAAAAAACACCATTAAAATGTTAATTTGTTTATTTTATAGTTAATTAATAGTTTGACTTTATACTCTCTTCATTCCATTAACTCTGATTTCAATATTTGAACCAGTTGGAAATAAGTACTGTGGTTGTAGTAAGCTCTTCACTAAGATTTCAACGGTACAGTTAGTTAAAACTTGAATCAAACCTAATATCTTGTTGAAAGCAGCCATTTTGACATCAACATCTCCAATTGCTCCTCTTCAATCGATTACATTTAACCAAATGGATTGAGTCTACTAAATATAGTACCTGAAGCTTTTGAAAAAATATCATTCGCTATATTATTAGCCTTTCCAAACTTATCACATTTCGTAAAAGCCAAACCATTTGTAATTGATAAAAACAAAGCAATCACAATCAATAATAAATATAAAAATTGAAACTTCAATAATGCCAAAAATCCCAAAACAAACCAAGCAATAGGATTTAAATATAAAAATAACCAAAAAACTTTTGAATCAATTGGATTAATATATTTAGTAGGATCACAACTTTCAAAAACCCATACATTTTCAAACTCACCTTCTTCTCCTTCAATTTTCTCTATTTCATTCCACCATCTTAATCCAACTAATAATCTACCACTTATATTTTTTAAATTCCAAAAATCAGCCAGAATTAATAAAATAATAGTTATAAAATGTATTATAAATTTATTATTTGAAGCAATTAATGAAATTACAATATTTCCAAATATATAAATAACTATAGGTGATATTCTAAAGAACATATAAAATAATAATGCAATTGGATGTGAAGATTGTTTCAATTTTTGCACCCAAGAAGTTGGATGATTTAATGGTTGAGCAACACCAATTGGTCCTTGTTCATATTGCTGTGGTGATGGTGCTTCTAATGGTATTTGTGGAGTTTCAGTCAATGGTTCATCAGCTTCAATTCGAGTATAATTTGACATGGCGAGAACTGTTGATAATGGAAACTGATTTTTTCTCACTTTGATTTTATTTAAACTCCATCAATAAATATTCATAATGGCTATATTGAAAAGATTACTATATAAATTAAACAGAACAAGATTGGAAACTGCTAAGTTTGGTTTTTATTTATTAAGTCCAATTTTGGTTATGTATTATGTTGGTTTAAATACTGATGAAAAATTCAATTTACCTGGTTTTTGGCCTGATCCATCAACTTTAAATCAAATACCAAAAGAACCACATGAAATTCAAGCTGAAATTGCAAGAATTAAAAGAGCAAGACTAGAGAAGAGAAAAAGATTGGAGGAAAGAGCTAGAGAATTAGGTATAACTGAAGAAGATGTGGAAAATGAAAATGAAAATGAAAATGAAGCTACTGCTTGATAATTAAGTATTATGATTCACTTGTAAATAGATGAAAATATAAACAATGTTTAATGACACCTAACTTTAATTCTGGGTATATAGTAAGAGTGCAGAAGGAGTATTAACAATGGAGAGTATTTAAGAAGTAGAAAGAACAGAAATAATTAGCCTCAAACTTTTGTTTTTTACAATGTATATTCATTGTCGATTTCTTTGTTGAACTATGCGTAAATTATACGTTAAATCATCAATTGTACTCTGTGATAATTTCAAAATATTATTTGATGAATATTCCAAAACTCTCGATAACACCTTAATCATATCTTGATCGTTAAAATATTGAAATTGATTTGTTGTATTTGAATTTAATGTAGTTGCTGTAGTTTGATTTGGTGTTGGATATTGATTTTGTAAATTTAATGAATAGTCAAATACATTATTGATTGGTGTGGCAGTGGATAGAGTTGATAATGTAGGCAGTAAATGGATCTTCTTCTTATTGTTATTCCATTGATCATTGCTAGATAATTTATGCTTGTTGTTTAGTGAATTTATTGAATTTAACTCATTTATCCATTGTTGTTGTTCATCACCTTGATCCACATCATGATCATGATCATCTTCATGCTCTTCGTCAAAGTCATTTTCATTATCTAATTCATCAGTCTCATTCAACTCCAGTAAACAACTACCTATTATTTCCTCAATTGATGCATAATTCAATGTAACTTTTCCTCTTTCATTTACTAACCCAATTAATTCATCAATTTCCCACGGTATGACAACATTCAAGTAACTCATTACTTCTTTTAATTTTCTATAACTTTTCATCTCATCAAAACTTTGTAAAGATCCATTTAATTTTATAATTGAATCATTATTTTCCCAAATTTTTAAGTTAAATAAATTTGTTCTTTTCCAGGAGTGAAATATTCGCTCTTGAGTTAACGAATGCCATGCTCTTGTTATCCATTCAATCACTTTAATCATTGGTATATGATAATCAGTCTCTGATAAAACTTCTAATGAAGGTGAAACATCATGAACTTTAAACTCAAAATTGTTACTATCAATTTTGCTCTTTCTTGAGTTATTCCTTTGTAAATTTATCATCTCTAAATATTGCTGTAATCTATATAAGATCTTGAACTCCTCAATAATACCAAAATTCATTGGCAAATAATCAAATTTCACACCTGAATAGTTTGTATTGTATGGATTTTTATGATTTGTTTCATTCTTAAAATAAATCAATTTTAAATTATTAAATTTCAAGTTTATTATTCTGTGGGATGATGAATCATCAAGTAATATTAACAATTTTCTTGAAGAATTTTTCAATTTGTGATCTAATGTAATTAAATAATTTTGGAAAATTGACGACGTTATCCATTTGTTGATATTAGATTTGTAAATTATGTTATAAGCTTCTGTTAGTTTGTTCATTAACTGTTGTTGACTCAAGTCATTTGATAAATTTTGAAAAATTGAATTTGAAGATTTTGAAATATCAAATTTATCATATTTACCAACTATCAAAGGTGATAATTTCTCACTACCATCTATGTTACATCCTAATAATATAGTTAATGAGTATTCTGTGTTTTGTGAAGATTGTTGTAAACCCACGTCAATTGATGAAACATCAAAAATTTGATCTAATGGTAGTGAATAAAACAATTGAAATTCATCAATTACAAAAATATCCTGTGGTAAATAACCTTCCTGAACAATTAAACTGTTTAAATACTGCTTCAACTCAATTTTCTCATCTAACTTCCAAACTTTATTCAATTTAAAACCCCAATTATTGCGAATATCTTCGTCGTTCCCGGTAATATTTATATTTAGCTTTTTAATAAAATGACTACCCCATTTCTGATTGAAAACTCCATTACCATCCGTCTCATTTTTAGGTAGTCTTGTCCAAATAGCATTTGCAGTTGATTGTATAATAGGTGTTGTAATTGGAATATTTTCCCAAATTGCTTGAGTTATCCATTCAGTTAATATTTTTCTAAGCATTGGATTTGCTTGTTTTCTTCTTCTAACTAATTGAAAATCTGAATCTTTACTTGCAATTATATCATTTTTACTACTTAAAATTCGAGAAATCGTAGTTTGGGAGGGGGGTTTTTCTGATCCAAATTCTTTCATAGCCCAATTTGCCAAATCCAGTTGAGTCATATTTGGATTCGAATCAGCTTTTAAACATATTTCAATCTTTTGTTTAATTGTATAACCCATACCAACATTATAATTGAAGAAACCTAGATCTTGATAAAGTGAATCAAATTTTTTTTTTCGTCTATGCGTTTACAGGGTTACAAAAATTTGACAGAAATATTCTGGACTCATAAATACACGAGAAGTACAAAACTGGACCAGTCGGGTTTAAATCATTATCTAGCAATTATATATTAAGTAGTTGTTAATATCATTAGTATTTAAGCACTTGTTGTTTCTTCTTTAACTTTTAAATCTAAAAAATCTACGACATATTTTAAAACAATTTTAAATAATTCATCATTTTCATTAAATAATGAATGTCTACCTTCTTTAATCAATTCAAATTGTTTATCAACATCATTTGGTAATAAATTGAAAAATTTTTCACTACCTTTTGAATCATTAATAAAATCGGTAGTACCATGAACAATTAAAACTGAAATATCTTTATCAAATTTAGCTACATATTCTGGTTTTAATAATTCAAAACCTCTTTTAAACATATCATCATATTGACCAAAAGTACCAATTAATTTTTGATCATGTTTCATAATATATTGTTTCCATCTTTCATTTGAAGTAATAAAATCATAATTTAAACCACTATCAAATTTAAAATTTGGTATAAATTTAGCAGCTTGAGGTAACGCCCATCTTAATAAAAAATTTGGTTTTGTTTTAGGGTGTAATTCAATTAATGGACCACAAGCAACTATACCTTTAAAATTTTTTAAATATTTACCTCTAATACCATAATTTAAAACAATTCCACCACCCATTGAATGACCCATTAAAAAGAATTTTTCATTTTCATTAGTTCTAGCATCTAAATTTCTCTTGATAAAAAAATCTAAATCATCAAATACAAATTTTTCATTTGTTTCACCAATCAATTTACCAGGGGATGTTTCACCAGCACCTCTTTGATCAAAAAAGAAAACTTCATAACCTAATAATGATATATTATCAAAATATTCTGTATAAACTTTACTATTTTCAGCAAAACCATGTACATAAATAATTTTACCTTTATATTTTTTATCACTTGGTACTTTCCAAGTAACAGTTTTGAAATTAGCACCATTATACTCAACCCATTCTTCAATTGGTGAATTAGTTGGAGTATATGGAATTGGAACTTCTGGATTACCCATTATTAGCTGTAATATTAAACTTATTTAATAATTATGATCAATCACGATAAGGAGGCAAAAAGTAATTTTTTTTTTAATCATGTGTATGGTTTTAAATACTTTCAATTGTGGAGATAATGCAATTATAATTAAAATTTAAATCCGTGAATTCAGTCACATGATAATTGGCTTGTTTTATAGCCATTTAGTTATGTAGAATAATAGCTATTATTTATACCTTGTACACACGCAAGGCTTTGATTAGAAGTGAAATGAACGAACGTTAATGGTTAAGTAATCAATTCTGAACATGTTATTCTACTGCAAATTTACTATCTTATCTAGTTGTGTAGCTAGGTTTTTAACTTTAGCTGCCAAAAATTCAAAAAACTCGCATAAATTTGAATTGTAAGGCGAATTAAGTTTAATGCAATTGACACAATTTGACATCGTGTTCCTGATATGCTTCACGAAACAGCTGTCTTTGGTTTTATCTGCTCGAGTACAGTATTTTGGGTAAATTTAAATACTGATAAGGGGCTTTGTTTCAGTTTGCTTGACAGTAAATGGTAACTAATGAATGAACTTTCAATTCCATTACCAGAGGAATTAATTGTATTGATAAATCAGAAGTTACCACCGGAACTAGTGACGAGTTAAGTCTCTAGATCAACTATGCTGAAACTGCATTAAAGTCAAATTTATTTCAAAATTATCGTGTAAAGTATGTTTTTTTGAATGCAATGATTCTCGTGCGACAAAATAATTACTCGCACTAATATTGGGGCGACCTTGTACTAAGCATATTGACTTTTATGCCATGAACAACAGATTTCGACAAAAAATGAATCAATTAAATGAAAACCGGGCCTTGTTTTATATATTCCACACATGTTAAAATCTAGTTTTCAGAAATTTTTTTTTTGATTTGAATTTTTAGCATTTTTTTACCATACAAAATTTTCTCAAAAAATGTAAATCTGTATATCTTTTTCTTTGGGGCCATAATCTTCAATAAAACAGCAAATTCTGTATATTATATCTCAATCAAATATGCAAGACTTGATTCTAGCTGCTCTTGTCCAAAACTGAAAAATTTCAAAATTTAAATTTGGACAAATTGACCTTACAAAAAATCTAATTCCACAATGCACTCTCAAACTAGAATATAATGAAACAATTGAACATTGTAGTTCTCCATCATAATATACCTAGAATAGATTTATGTTAAGTTACTAAAAATTGGTAAAGAAGTCTTTCTAAAGTGAAACGAAATTTTTACAAAATTTAAAACCAATTATGGCATCTTGAAAACACAGTATAAGATCACTTTGAGATTTAATGAACTGAATCAACTGTCTTTAAAGTCGCGAAACGTGGTATAAGTATCGATAATTTTGCAAAATAATGTTTTCTTTCATTTTTTAAATGATGAATAAAAGGTCCAAAATTATAGTTCTCTTAAATATATCAAGATTAATTACTCTAAGTTGATTAAATGCATGAGGAAAAAAGTTGGAGAAGAGTAGCTTGAATATTGAGAAAGTTTTTACAATTTAAATTTGAAGATTTACTACTACAAGACTGCATATAAGATAATTTGTTTCAGAATATATTTTTGACCTGGACTAATCTTACATGCGATGTGAAGCGATAGTTCGGCCAAGGAATTTTTTTCTTGAGGCGATAACTGATGCCATTGCTCGTGCTAGTTTCAAATCTATTCAATAGCACTTTAATAATATCTACAAACCTCAAAACTGGTTTGCAGTTTCAAGCAGCAACTCTTTGATTGGCTAAATCCGGTAAAACCTTCGCATAAAAGAGCAATTTTTATGCATAAGATTTATCAGCTTGAATAACAGGCTAAGACAAGAACAACTTTATATATGTATATTGTTTTGGACACTTCTTATTTCATAAAGGGAAAGAAAGCAAATCGTACGTTTTATGACTAAAAAAATTCCCTGATCAAGCTCCGAATTTTATAGTTGCAATCCGGAATGGAAGTAGTTTCTTATTCTAACCTTCGGCTTCGATGATTCTTTATAATACGTGACAAATCCGTAATCCTATATTTACTCATCTTGGATATGCATGTATAATTATTGCGTGTTCAATCGGCATTTAACAAGTAACAAAGATCTAATAATGATGCATAATTACGTATTTTATGCATATGAAACGTACAGCGGCTATCTTAAACTTTGCTTTTTATTCTGCAATTATTTAGACTTAATAATAATCAATTTGTTGACAAAGTGCAGAAGGGATAATAATTTAACAATAACGTTTATGTATTACAAATTAATTATGTACCCCATTTACAAAATTACATCTATCTCAGTCTGACCAAGATTATAAAATCAAATAAATAAAATTCCAAAAAGTGTTCTACCCAAAATAAAATGAAATAATATAATCAAAATAAATCCCAATAGAAGTGAAAATAACAAAAATCAAACCACAAGATTACTATAGATTTGATCATTTCCTATAAGTCAAGCCGGATGAAATATACCTCCCATTTGCAACATAATATAACTCTTGTAAACTTTTATTAAATGTACCATTTGGATAATTTATAGATAAACTTAAACCTAAAACATTCAAATTTTTTAATTTTGGTAATTTACCAATTAATTTAAAATTACTTGCAACAACTGGTGAAAATGCAAAATGTAAAAAATACAATAAGAATTCATCTAAACCTTTCCCATTTGTTTTTTGTATAAATTGAATCATTTGGTCATTTATAATAAATTGTTCATCTAATTTAATAAAATCAGTTAACCAAACATCTCTAAATAATAAATCTATAATTAATTGTTCATAATATAACCCATGTTCATAAAGACTAATTAATGATTGATTTGAATTTATACATTTGAATAATAATGCACGATCAAATACTTCTGTTGATTTATCATTAATTAATAATCTTTCTAACTTATGTTGTGAATTACAAATTGCATCATTAATTTGTTGAGAATATTTAACATTTGATGATTCAAATACAACTGATAAGTTTGATAATTGTTGTGATAAATTGACAGTTAATACTTTTAAAATTGATTCTTGTTGACATAATAAACAATTGTATGATGGATTGACACCTAAACTTTGTAATGCTGTTGTTTTCTGAGTAAGCAAATCAATGAAATATAAGTTTGAATCAAAATGATCATGGCTAGAACCTGAATGTGTTGACTCTTTAACTTTTAACTGTAAGTTACATAATAATGATAAGTCGATGGCGCCAGATAAAATCTCAATACAATTTGATGAGGTTTCACCAATGTAACCTTCAATAGCTAGTGAATCCAAAACCAACTTTTGATCTTGTATCGATTCAAAAAAATGTATCCATGTTGGTAATCCATTATGTAAATAAGTTGCAGTAAATTCAGGGAGCCCATCATTTAAAATATTTAACATTGTAAGTCTATCAATGAATTTATTCTCAACAAACTCCAATTCTCCTATATTCTTAAAACTCTTGGTTGATTTTAGTAATTTACCAAAAACCAGTAAATTTCTAGCATCTTCAAAGGTGTTGTTGTAATAAATTTTAAGCTTTTGTAGGAATGGGAACCAATAAATTTGATTGCTTATATCTACATCTTTAATTGATATTGCTAAAATATTGACTGAATTTAAACTCCAATTTAATTGATGTGTGAACAATGATAGGGATATTTCAGGTGCAACTAATGACGTCAATTTCAAAGTTTGTATTTGTTTTAGTAATGGTAACAACAAATTTATAGTTGATTCGGATATATTCAATATCAACGATTTAATTAACTCAACTAATGGTTCATTGGCTTGTAAATTAATTATTAATTTTTTAAAGCTGGAGGCCGAAATTAAACTCCCATAATTTTTATTAGATTTGGTAAGTGTTTTTTTGACAGTATTTAAAGAATGTACATCATCAGTAACTATGATTTTGGAATATAATACTGAAGTAGCTGGAAACGACCATAATTTGAAACATTGCGTCAAATTATACAAATCATACTGATTCAAATATGAACAAATTTTGAGCAAAATAGTAATTGGTAAATCATTTAGACTGACCGAAGTATTTTTAGTATAATTGTAGTTGTAAAAACTGTATTGATTGTATATTGATAAATTGTTTAAATTAACAAAAGGATCATTCTTGCTAATTAACCCATTGACCATAACCAAGTTTCGTGTAATTGATCTTTAAACTTTAACAAGATAAATTTGTTTTCTTGAAAGTATCAAATAATTTTGATGAAATATTGATTCCATATTTATAATAAATTGGTAAAGATGTAATGCAATTTGGATTTGAATTAAAATTAAGGTTTTAAAATCTAATTTAGTTTTGCTTAAACTTTATTTTTTTTTTTTATTTCTTTTGGTAAACAAACGCAGTGGGTGCAAAATTTGATAAAAAGGAACTCAGTAGTTCCAATTCGAACCGTTTTTATTCCACAAACTTGATATATTAGCTTGGTTTAGCTTGGTTTAGTGGCGTGATACCGTTACCACCTAGTACTTTATCAAAACTCATACGTAGTTGCTAAAACTGAATCGGTTAAGTAATGGTCAGGAATTAAAAGTTTTTGATAATCTTGATGATGAAGTAAATAACTTGTATGTGGAGCGGATGGTTTCAAATAATTTACTTTAACTCGAGGCACATATTTTTCATATGTACCTTAAGAGACCAACCTTATTCCTTTTTATGTCCTCTTCTGATTTCTTTCGATCATCCAATCAATCTCTCTTTAAATATACAAAAAGCAGAACAAAGACTTCAAATCAATCATTTGATGCGGTACCACATAGTCGAAAAAAATTTTTATAAAAGGCGTGTTAACTTATTAGTCAAAACTCGAGTTACAACCAATCAACCAAACTTCAAATTAAGTCTATATTCTGTAATAATTAATTTGAAATCAATTTCTCCTTTTTCGAATATACTCACGTATTTAACATGAGCAACATTGACTAAATTTTGAATCTATTTTGCTGTTGATAGTTTTTTTTGCTGAACTTCTGAACCCCGTTACCCAAAATTTAGTAATAAACAGAGTTGATTTCAGATTATTCACTCTACATACACGGAAAAGAATAGGATCGATTTGTATTAGTATTTACAAAATTGGAGTAGAATGTTTCACTTTTAAGTATTAAATTATAATTAGTATTTTGGTCTCAGATTTTTCTAATTAAAATAAGGCTGGTTAAAATTTGCCAACTTAGAATGAAATGTCTTAAAGATAAGAGTTTACATTTCCAAGGAATATAGAAACTTGCTTGAGGAAGACTTGTTATCTCTGAGCTTAAGATAGATGTTAAATATTCAAGTATTAACGGTATTCAGTCACATTTTAGATTTTGAAAAATTTTTTGGTCCGTCTGGATCTCGTTTTCGGCTCGAGGAAAAGAAAAAACGGGCTGAATTCAGCTTGAATGCCACTCGATTCAAATTAAAGTTTAGTAATATTATTATATACTTGCTGTAGTAAATACAATAAGAAACTAAAAATTAAAATTTAAGATCCTTTGTGTCAAAACTTTAATAATTATCACCGTACACTGTTTAAAACAAAAGACTCGTAAAATTTGTATTACATTACAAGTTTGCCTTTGAGTTATTCTCGAAGTTTAGTTTAATTAATGAAGTATAGCCCTTTCGCGAAATGAAACATTTCGCTTCTTTATAATTATTATTATAAAATTTGCAACCATTGCAATTTGACAATTGTACACGACCTGAACTCCAATAAGAAATTGTTAGTGTCATGTGAGTAACAATCGTTACATAATCAAGGTCAATTTTTGTTTCTATTTATACATTTTTCAATTGAAAGTGTGACAATTGATTTCGAGGTACAGCAAGTTTGACATTTATTTATTATTCATACCATTTTCCACAATTTAAATAAAGATTTCATTTTGAAATTTGTAGTGAAACTCCATTGTTATTCAAAAGTTGAAATTAATTAATAAATATTATGAGTTCGGTCGAATCTACTTCATATGTCAATTTAATAGCGACTCCACCGATAACTTCAAATGAGATTACTGAATCTCCAGCATTACCACCCTTAAATTCACAATCACCTTCAAACTTAGACCTTATACCCCCACCGTCATCAAATTCATCTGCATCTACGACCACTCCCTCATCAACTACAAATTCGAATTCAAATTCAACTACCAATTCAAATTCAAATTCAACTACAAATTCAAATTCAAATTCAAACATATCAGAGGATTTAAATTTAAATATAACTCCAGACTTAGCATCACAAGATAACTCTACAAGTTCATATTCATTATCTACTGAAGATGAAACAACTGCACAAAATGATCCTTTTCATGGACTAAGTTTTCAAGTTGGTGTTGCTGAAAATAAAAATTCAATGTATAGAAATAAAATGGAAGATGTTCATACTTATATTGCAAATTTTACTGAAAGAGTAGATTGGGGTTATTTTGGTATATTTGATGGTCATGCTGGTAAAGATTCAGCAAGATGGTGTGGAAATAATTTACATTTATTATTGGAACAGGAAATTGACTTAAACGAAAGTGATAATCCAGATTTACCTCCTGAAAATCCGATTACAAATTCAAAAGATATGAAGAAAGATTTATATAAAAGTTTTATAAAAGCTGATGAAATGATCGAAAAATCGGGTCAAGGTTCAAGTGGATGTACTGCTTGTGTAGCAGTATTAAGATGGGAAATTGATGAAAATGAAAATACCCAAAGTACTCCAGCTTCAAATAGTTCATCACCTATAACTCCTCCAAGAAACTATTCTTCAAATACAAAATTCGATTATATACCGCAAAATAATCATAAAAGAATGCTATATACGTCGAATGTAGGAGATTCAAGAATTATATTATTTAGAGAAGGTAAATCTTATAGACTAAGTTACGATCATAAAGCTTCAGATACCAACGAAATTAATAGAATTGAAAATCAAGGAGGTTTAATATTAAAAAATAGAGTTAATGGTGTATTAGCAGTTACTAGATCATTGGGAGATACATATATGAAAGATTTAGTTATAGGTAAACCATTTACAACATCAACTGAAATTAGAAAAGATGATGAATTTATAATTTTAGCTTGTGATGGTGTTTGGGATGTTATAAGTGATCAAAAAGCTGGAAAATTTGTAAGTGATTTATTCAGAAAAGGAGCTACTCCAAAAGAAGCATCACAAAAATTATGTCAATTGGCTCTAGATAATTCAACAACTGATAATATAACAGTGATGGTTGTGAAATTTGATAATGAAATATTTTCATGAAGATGAGAATTTCTTAATGATTAATGAATATACATTTTTTAACATAGCTATATATTTGATTCTTCGGCTTCAATTTCTTCCAAATCATCAATCTTAAAATCTTTTGGATTAATCTTTGGTCTATAAAATTTCAAGGCCAAACTACTTAAAACGACACTAATTGAACTTAATGCCATTGCAGCACTAGCCCACACTGGATCTAATCTTGAATTTTTATAAGGATAAATTACACCAGCAGCAATGGGAATACCACAAACATTATAAACTAAAGCCCAACCGAAATTAAAATATATTCTATGAAATACACTTCTTGATAAATCAAATAATGTAATTAATGAAATTAATGGATGAATTTTATTTAATAATATAAAATCACTCGATGTTATAGCTAAATCAGAACCTGAACTTAAAGCGATACCAACATCTGAATTTGCCAAAGCTGGTGCGTCATTAATACCATCACCAACCATAGCTACAATTGAATTTGGTTTAATTTGACGAATTCTTTTAATTTGAAATTCTTTTTCATTTGGTAATATTTGACTAATTACATTTGATTCAGGAATACCAATTTCTTTTGCAATTGAAGATGCTGTTAATTTATTATCACCAGTGATCATCCAAGTATCTATCTTCTTAGAATGCAAGGATTTAATTATTTCTTTACTATCTGGACGTAATTGATCTCTTGCAGTCATCATGAAAATTAAATGGAAATTGGAATCTTGGAATAAAACCTGAGATTTAATACCAACTAATATAACTGATTTACATTCTGATTTCCATTGATTTAATAAATATTGTTGTGGTTTAGAAATCTCAATATCATAATCTTCGAATAAACTTTCATTTCCTAAAATTGCTTCTGTTGGTTTATATTTATCCCACTCTGAATCATCTTCATATGTGACTATACCCTTTAATCCCTTACCTGGAACAGTTTCAACTTCTGGAATTTTATTTATTGATAATGAAACATCCAATTTTGAAGCTAATTTATCAATAAATGTTTTAACACACTTTGAAATTGGATGGTTTGAACTCAACTCTAAATCTCTAGAAACTTGCAATGTTAAAAATTTTGGTATATCTGTAATAAATGCATAGTTTGTAACTGTTAATTTACCCATTGTTAAAGTACCAGTTTTATCAAAACATACAACATTTGTATTTGCACCATCTTGAAATGCGACACCACCACCTTTTGCTAATATACCATATTTAGCAGCTAAACCAGTTCCAACGAAAAGTGCAGTTGGTGCTGCAAGACCAATTCCACAAGGGCATGCAATTACAAAAACAGCAATGGCAAAATCTAATGACCAAATTGTCCATCCACCAACATCAATATCTAAATAACTTTGTGGTAATTTTCCAGAAAATCCTAAACTTAACCAAATAACCCATGTTGTAATAGCCAAAAATACAATTACAGGTACAAAATAACCAGTTATTAAATCTGCAACTTTTTCCATTGGAGCTTTTCTCAATTGTCCATCTCTTACAGTACTCACAATTTGATTTAGTAATGAATCAGTAGTTAAGCTTGTAACTTTTGCAATAATTGATGAATTACCAATGTTTACAGTACCTGAAAATATTTGATGTCCGTCAATATGTTTTATTGGAGTTGATTCACCAGTCAAAGCACTTTCATCAAATTCACTTCTACCTTTAGTTATAACACAATCAATTGGAGGAGATTCACCGGTTGAGATTTTAATTGTATCTCCAATTTCCAATAATTCAACATCGATTTTGGCTTCTTGATCGTTTTCTAGTAATGTAGCTTCTGATTGTTTTAGATCACTTAACTTATTTATGGCATTTGATGTTTTCAATTTCGAATATGCTTGTAATAATTTTCCAATTAATAAAAAGAATGTCAAAAACACAACTGAATCAAAATAAGTAGTATGAAAACCCATTTCTGTATGTTTTTCTTGATTTGCTGATATTCCCAACAATACAATACTTGCAAAATAAGCAACTGAAGTACCCAAACACATCAATAAATTCATTGAACCAAATTTAAATAATCTTTTAGTAAATGAATTTTTATGAATCCATAAAGATTTAACTTCTTTAATAGCTTTTCTATGAAATGTATCAGCAGCAAAGAAATAAACTGGTGTTGATAAAATTAATAAAATCCAAACATCTCGTGAAACATTACCTACCCAAATTGGTTCCTCTACCCATTTTCTAAATGGATGATTTTTCCTTAATAATGCCATTGCAACAATTCCAAATATAAAAGTTGGTATTGCAAATATAGTAGCTATTATTAATCTAATGGATAATCCCAATAATTCCTTATGAGCTAGTTTATTAATTTGTTCATCAATTGAAACTGGTTTTACTAATTCACATTGAAAAGTACCTTCATTTTCATTGATTTTATAACCACTTGAAACATCATCTGATATATGATTTAAATCGAATAAGAATTTCCTGATATTTACATTTTCACTTGGAATGTAGGTAAATTTAATAATTGGATTTTGTAAAGTTAATGAATCATCTATAATTACAGATTCACCGTATTGTGATAAATAATTTAAAATAATTTCAGGACAATGACTACAGAACATTCCATTAACTTTAAACATTACAGATCTTGATTTTTTCTTACTTGACAAGTAATTGATCTTTTCATTTGAAACCAATTTAAATTCAAATCCACAATCTTCAATTGCTTCTTGTAATTTTGGTATTTGACTTTCATTTTCAATCACAAATGTACCAGTTTTAGTCATTATATTGATACCTGATTCAAGTATAAAGGGCAAATCTTGTAATGAATTATAGATTGATGTAGCACAAGCAGAACATGTCATACCTTCAATTAAACCAGTCACTTTTGTAGTTATTGATGTTTCAATTGGTAATACTTCTATTAATTTACATTCAAACCCTAAATCATTGACTTCATCAATTACTTTATTTATAATTTGTTTATTCGGAATAATTGCAACTAAAGATTGTTGTAATAAATTAATTGAGTAGTTGAATTCTCCAGGTTTGAAATTTAATATCGGTTTTAATGCATCATCAATTGATTGAACACATGACGAACAAGTCATACCTTGAATTAAGAATGACGCACGGTATTCTTGTTGTTTAATTTCGACTTTTGTTTCTTCTGATGAAGAAGTATCTGAATCATTCAACTTATCTTTATTTTGACATGCTTTACAGTATTTAAGATGATTTTTTCCCACCTTGGAATTTCGTTTAAACAATTTATTATAAATTTTAACCACATCGAAAAGACCATCTGTATCAGTCGTTTCATGTTGATTAGTCTCATTTGAAGAATTTGCCAACTGGTTGTTATCAAAAATTTCCCATGATAAAATATGAAAACCAACTTTATTTAATTTGCTAAGTAATTTCTTCAAATTTATTTGAAAAATATCATCATTACCAAATAAACGAACTTGATTTGAATCAGCAACATAATAAAAATAAACCTGTTTTTTGGTTAAATTATCAGTTGATAAATCATCTAGATTATCAATTGGAATTATTTGATAATAATTTGACAAAATTGATTCAATTGTAGTTACACATTTATCACAGTGAATATTATCAAAATTGATTATAAATTTAAACATTTTTAATTAAGTAGACTCTAAGAAATTTAATTTTTCTTGTAGCTGATTAAGCCGTTTCTTATATACAATTTGCGTTTAATTTGCTAATAAGGAATAATGATAATAAATAAGCTTTTATTATATCATGGTCTTTGATTAAATAGATAATTTTTATAAGTGCGTTATTAATGCTGCTAAATATTACACAAAATTGCAGTTGAGACACTTTAGCTTATTTGACTTATATGCAGTCTCGCTATAATTGATCTTGAATTTTACATTGTAAATAACTCTGTCAATATTCAAGCTATGACACTCTAACTATTTCCCCCTAATGTTCAATAAATCGGAAATACACTGTGCCTAGTGTTTTTTGATAAAACATAGTTTTGATTGACCTACTCATCATTTAAAAAATGGTGAAAACACAAATTTGAGAGATAAACGACTCTTAGACATCATTTTGCGATTTCTAACATAGCTGATTAAACTCATTCAGCCTCAAAGATATTATATATTGTGCTTTCAGGACGCCAAAGCTATTTTGAAAATTTTGCAAAAATTTCGAAACACCGCTGAAAACTTATTTATCAATTTAAAAACCTTAACTTAATAATATTTTAGTTATATCATAATGCAGAACTACAAAGGTTGATAGTTTCTTCATATTTCAGTTTGAGAATTCAAGGTGGAATTAGATTTTTTGTAAGGTCAATTTATTCGAAATTCCCCAAAGTTAAGAGAAAATTTTGAAATTTCTCCATTTTGGTGAAGAGCAACTAGAATCAATCCAGCATATTTGATTGAGGTACAATATATGAAATTCGCAGTGTAATAGAAAGTTTTCGACCTAAAACAAAAGATACAGAGATTAATATTTTTTGAAAAATTTTTGTACGGTAAAACAATTCCCAACTTCAAGTCGGAAAAAAAAAAATTTTTGAAAATTAGATTTTGAGATATAGATAATATATGATATTAAGTTCTTGATTTTATTTTATTCGTTTTTATTTCGTCAAAATCATTTGTTCATGATATACGACTCAATATGCTTAGTATGAGGTCGCCCCAAAGTTAGTGCGAGAACTTATTTTGTCGCACTACACCTTTATACTACAAAAATGAATACATATTGCACTATCAAAAAAAAAAAGAGATATAGACAATTAAAGGACATATTGAGTAGCAATCAATGCGTAATTTAGAGCTTCATATTTCAGATTGTACCTTCTATTTAATTATGATTGAATTCTACAAAATATTGTAAATCAATAATAACAAGAGCGTGGTCTAGCAAATATTAAATTTTTTGTTTAGGGCCATTTCGAATAGAAATTAAAAAATTTACGCTAAAACTGGCATTGACCTTCGCTCTAAATTTAAATTTGAATTTAGCATCAACTAAATTTTTCCTATTAGCGCGACAAAATAATTTCTCGCCCTAGTTCGTAGCGACTCGTGCTACAGCAATTGGCTTATGTACTACTAAAAATGCATTTTCACACAACAAAAAGAAATTTAGTGATTCTGGTGTTTTAAATCATTTACTTCACATACTTGAAATTTTAAATTTCAAACATTTTTTTTTTCAAGTTGTCATTTTGGCATTATTTCACCATACAAAAATTTTTCAAAAAATAAGATTCAATGTAAATTTTAATCTTGGGCCATGATTCTCAATTAAGCAACGAATCTTATATAATAGACTTCAAACGAAAGTATTGGATTTAATTCTAGTTGGTATCAAATGAATTCAGAAATTACAAAATCTTCTCTTAAGTATGGGGAAACTCGAATAAATTGACCTTAATAAAAATTTAATTCCGTATGGAATTCTCAAACTGAAATAAGACGAGACTATCAAACTGTGCTGTGATGTAGATCTGCATTATGATACAACTAAAATATTTTTACGTTAAGGTATTAAAAATTGGAAAAGTAAATTTTCAGAGGTGAAACGAAATTTTTACAAAAATTTCAAACCGATTATGACGTCTTGAAAAAATGATTTAGGACTACTTTGAGGTTAAATGTGCTAAACTGGATATATTAGAAGTTGCAAACCTTGGTAGAAATACCTCTTATCCTTCAAAATAACGTCGTTTACCATATTTCAAATGATGAATTAAATGATCAAAACTACGTCGCAACGATTGATACTAGGATCATCAAATTTTCAAGTCATGGATATCTGACACAAGAAATTAAAGAACGATAGTTTGAATATTGAGAGAGTTATTTATGTTTTAAGAATTGAGATTAGCTATTATGGGACTGCATATAAAAGCAATTTTTCAAATCGTTAAAAATTTACTTGACCGCATATAATTAAAGCGCGATTCATATCTGGGGCGTTTTTACGATAAAGATTTATATTGTAAGATGCAAATCAATTAATTTGAAGCTTTACTATGCGAAACTCTCGTGTTGCAATCTTTTATGTACATCAAGTTTTGAATAGTGAATTTGCTTTTACGGTAGATCATGTCAAGAAAACATTAAATGATCACATTAGAATAGAGTAGTAGAATGATCTGAATTAGTCATTTAATTATTTAAATTCAGTAATAACTGACGAGCAATAACTGACTTCTTGGTTTATAACGAAAGGGCACTAAGCACGCATTCGTAAAGTGGTTTGCGAAGAATACTAGAAAGTTCACAAAGATTTATGAAACAGACTATGATGGTCAAGAATATCGACAGATAACTTGGATGATGATTGAACAAATAAGCAAAGATCTTCATTTCATGACCAATAGCCTATAGCTTATGCTTCTACGATAATACTCATCAAAATTATCGTGACTCAAACTTGATAAAATTATACATTAAAGATTAGCAAAACTCCTAATGACACGACATATTTCTAATTGAACTATCATTATTCACACCACCCCAAATATAATGACCTAAACTTGCACCTAAAGCAACTGCAATCATATACCAACCATTATAAGTCATAAAAACCAACATTAATAAAAATGAATAAAAAACTTGTAAACCATACAATAATGATTTTTTAATTTTGAATCGACGTTCATTAACTTTGACTGTACTTTGATTTGTAATTGATGAAGACGATGAACCGAGTAAATTATTTGATTGTTTATATTCCCAAGTGAGGATCCAATTTTTGATAAACTCATAAAGGGAGCTAAATATAACGATTAAAAAGAACGATAATACAAATTGTTGAAATGTTTTAACGTGCCACCATTTGAAAACTATACATGAATTTTTCCAATCCCAAGTAAACAACATCTACAAATTATGTCAGTATTGAATATTTTAAATGATAAATGACTAAGCACATACATTCATTGAACACATATCGTGTGGCATATCTGGCATTGAATGATCTCCATGATTCATACCACCTTGTAAATGACTTGAGTGGTCCATAATAATCAATTTAGATGTTGATGCAGGATCTTAAACTTTCATAATCAAAATCGATAAAAAATCGATAAAAAAACGAGAATAAACTATTACATAAGAACCATATGCATATTACATAACTCAAATCATTTGATTAGCCAATTGGTAGCCACTTAACTTAATCCGAGATAATTCAAAGCCCGCGTCTATTATTATTTGATAAATTAGCTCAAATTCCTTCCACACATACAAATTGGGAAAATGAGATTCCATTCCTATTTTGTCCATAATATTATTATATAGTGGAAATGTAATTAGAGGCATAATTTAAGAGCACCGAATATTGGGAAAAGAAATCATTCATACATTGATGCATACATAGTCATCGTACACTCTGTTCAATAATTTGCCCGCCGTTTTTCTTTTTTTTAATAGTTAATTTTTCGTTTAAAATTTGTTTGCTTTAAAATATATAAGACCATTCGGTTTTGCATCAATCATCGATTTTATATTATTTTTATCATTTTTATCATTTTTATCATTTTTATTATTTTTATTATTTTTCAGTATAGAATTATAGATTTTTTATTCAATTGTTCATTATGAAGTTAATCACTAAAGAAGAAAAAGATGCTCATTTATCTCATGTTTTGTTTGAAGGTGGTAAGGGTTTAATTTATGGTGGTATATTATCAACAGGTTTATACGCTTATTTAAAACATAAACATCCCGTTAGATTTAAATCTTTTACTCCAAGTATTAGAGCTGCTATATTAGCAATGCCAACTGTTTCAGTTGCTGCATTTTGGGCTGATCAAGGTTCATGGGAATTTGATAAAAAAGCTCATCAAGGTGATTATGAAGAAAATAAATTTTTACAAGATTTGAAAAATTGGCAAAAATTATCGACTAGTGATAAAGTTTTCACTGTTTTAAATGACCATAAATATCAAATTATTATAACAGCTTGGGCTGCTTCATTATATGGTTCATGGGTTTATGTAAATAAAGATCCAATCATGAGTGTTGCTCAAAAAGCTGTTCAAGCAAGAATGTATGCTCAAGGTATTACTATAATATTATTATTAAGTACTATTTTATTAGCTATGAAAGATGAAGAATTAAAAAAGAAACAACCAAAACCGATACCAGAATGGAAAAGAATTATTTATGAAAAAGAAATGGAAGATAAGAAGTTATTACAACAACAACAATTAAAAGATGAGCATGTCGATAAAGCTCATGAAAAAGATACTCATCCATCAAATATTATAAAAGAATTAAATAGATCAAAAGATCAAGAATCACATTAACCTTACGAATGATTCTATATATGTGTCTGCATTTTTTATATAATTGAATTTACGACTTACTTTAAGATATCAGAGAGTTATATAGTGTCTACTTATAAATCCCTTGAAGTACTGCCATTTCTTATGAAAAGTTGCAGCCAAACTTGGTAGTCATAAATCTGCGACTTTCTAAAAAATTCAAATTTTTTTCATTATTACGACACGGTTGATTTACAGGGTTGATTTGAAAATGGCACCAAAGTTGAAGAATAAACAGCTAGCTACTCCAGTTGTCAAAGGAAAGAAAGGTAAAGATGTTGTTGACGAAAGATTTCAAGCAATTGTTTTAACAGACTCATTTGAAACACGATTTATGCCAATGACTTCAACTAAACCAAGATGTTTATTACCGTTATGTAACATTCCACTTATCGAGTATACCCTTGAGTTTTTGGAAAATTCAGGAATAAATGAAGTATTTTTATTATGTACAAATCATGCAAATCAAATACAATCATATATTGAAAATTCAAAGAAATGGAACTCCAAATCTTCACCTTTAAAAATTCTATGTGTAGTTAGTATGGAAAGTCATTCTATTGGCGATTCAATGAGAGATTTAGATAATCGTGGATTAATAGTAGGTGATTTCTTATTAATTAGTGGAGATGTTGTAACAAATTTGGATTTTTCAAAATTATTAAAATTTCATAATGAAAAGAAAGCTCAAGATAAAGATCATATGTTAACTATGGTGTTAAACAAAGCAAGTCCATTACATAAAACAAGATCATATAAAGACCCCGCAGCATTTGTTTTGGATAAAGATACCAATCGTTGTTTGTATTATCAATCAATACCTTCCGTTGATGGAAAAAAATCAAGTATAAATATAGAGCTTGAATTGTTAGAAGACGCTGGTGAAGATTTAATCATTCGTAATGATTTGATAGATTGTCAAATTGATATTTGTTCATTACCTGTTCTTAGTACATTTCAAGATAATTTTGATTATCAAACATTGCGTAATGATTTTGTTAGAGGTGTTTTAACTTCTGATCTATTAAAGAAAACAATTTATTGTTATATTTCAAATGATTCATCTGAATATGCATCCAGAGTTGAAAGTTGGCAAACGTATGACTCAATAAGTCAAGATATTTTATCTAGATGGTGTTATCCATTAGTTCCAGACATGAATTTAACTGAAGACAACCTGTATTCATACGAATTTAATAACATTTATAAAGAAGATCAAGTTGTATTGGCAACCACATGTAAGATTGAAACATGTACTTGTATAGGTAGAAATTCAAATATTGGTGAAGGCACAATTATCAAAAACTCAATAATTGGTAAGAATTGCCAAATTGGAAATAATGTAATTATAAAAAATTCATACATATGGGATAATTCAATAATAGGAGATGGATCAAATTTAAATCATACTATAATCGGATCAGATTCAATAATTGGTGAAAATGTTCAATTATTCCCAGGTTCAATAATTGGTTTTAATGTCAAAATTGGTAATGATAAAACGATACCACCAAATGTTAAGATTATTAAAGATGGTGACAATTATGAACCTGATGCTGATATAATTGGAGAAGATGGTGAAGGTTTTATTTATGAATCAGATAAGGAATTTGATGATTCTGAATCAACAACAACTGCTACTGAATCAAATACAGGTTTCATGTATCAAGTAAAAACTTTAAACTTATCAGACGACTCAATTAATTCATTTACAAATAAGAAAATGAAAAAACGTAATAATCATAAACGTAGATTTTCTTCAAATTCAATGATGTCTGAAAATTTACAATTTGAAAGTGAATTAGAATTAGAGGATGAAGATTTCCATAAAGAAGGTTTAGCAACAGTATTAAGAGCTATTAATAATAATCATGATATTGACACTGCTTTATTAGAATTAAATACTTTAAGAATGTCAATGAATGTAACGTATCATGAAGTTAGATTAGTTACTATACAAGCTTTATTACATAAAATTGTTGAATTTATAAGTACTGATACTTTACTACCAAAAGAAGCAACAACTAAAATATTTTCAAGCTGGGGTAAAATGTTTAAAAGACAAGTTTTCAGTAATGATGAACAAATAGATTTATTAAGTATATTGATTGATGAAATATCAAAATTGAATCAAGAATATAATCAAATTGTTTTATTTATAAGTGTTAAAGTTTTATACGATTTAGATATACTTGAAGAAGAACAAATTTTAAAATGGTGGGAAGAAGACAAGTCAAATGAGCAAGTAAAAAGTTTACTTGAGAAGTTTATAACTTGGTTACAAGAAGCAGATGAAGAAGAAAGTGAAGAAGAAAGTGATGATGATGAAGAATAGGTTATAGAGTTTGAATCAATGCTTATACATTTTTTGGACTTCCAATACTAAATTACTCTGGTTTACTGAGATTGAGCATTAGGTATTGTTTCTAATACCTTTTTATACGCACTCAACTCAATAGCTTCTTGTTTATTTAAAAAATCAGATGATGATTGAATCAAGATACGCGGCGGAATTTTTCATCTATTTTTTTTATCGTAGTGTTTATTTTTTTTTTCATACGATCATCGTTTACTTTTATCAATAACAATAATTTTTCAAGTGGTGTCATTTTTTTTTAAAACTTTGCAACAAGATATATAATTCAATAAACTTGTATATAATTAATTTTTATTTCAATAAAGTATGGATTCATTTGATGTTATAGTTATTGGTGCTGGTGTTGTTGGTCCAACAATTGCCACGGCTTTGGCGAGACAAGGTAGATCAGTTTTAATTATAGAACGAGATTGGTCAAGACCAGATAGAATAGTTGGTGAATTAATGCAACCAGCAGGTGTAAAAGCTTTAAAAGAACTAGGTATGGTTAAAGCATTAAATAATATAGAAGCTATAGATTGTACTGGTTATTATATTAAATATTTTAATGATTCAATATCAATTGGTTATCCAGAAAAGAAAACTTCACAAATTTCAAATCCTATTAAGCCTGTTTCTGGATGTATTGAAAAAGATAATGATAAATTAGATAGTGATTCAACTATAAATATTGAAACTTGGGATAATGATGATAGAGTTAGAGGTATATCATTTCATCATGGTGATTTTATACAAAATTTGAGAAGTATCTGTAAACATGAAAATAATGTTACTCATTTGGAAGGTACAGTTACTAAAATATTAAGAGATGAACATAATTCAAATGTTATAATAGGTGTTGAAGTCAAAGATAAATTAGGAAACTTGCAAAACCATTTTGCAAAATTGACAATTTCATGTGATGGTATATATTCAAAATTTAGAAAAGAATTGGGTAATCATACACCACATATTGGATCATATTTTGTTGGTATAAGTTTATTTGATGCAAAATTACCAGCTAAAAATAAAGGTCATGTTATATTAGGTGATCAAGCACCAGTTTTAATTTATCAAATATCACCAGATGAAACAAGAATGTTATGTGCATATGCATCTACAAAACCACCATCATCAACAAATAATGAATTAATGAGATATTTACAAGGTGAAGTTTTACCAGTAATACCTATTGAAACCTTACCATCATTTAAAAAAGCATTAGAAGTTGGTAAATTTAAAATCATGCCAAATCAATATTTACCAGCTATAAAACAATCACTGAATAAAAATAATGGACTTATAGTACTTGGAGATGCATTAAATATGAGACACCCATTAACTGGAGGTGGAATGACCGTTGGTTTAAATGATTCAGTATTATTAGCAAAATTGTTACATCCAAACTATATAAAAGATTTACAAGATTATAAATTATTAAACCAAAGATTGGCTATATTTCATAGAAAGAGAAAGAATTTAGATTCAGTTATAAACACTTTATCAATTGCCTTGTACTCATTGTTTGCAGCCGATAGAAATTCATTAAAAATTTTACAACGTGGATGTTTTAGATATTTTGAATTAGGTGGAGAATGTGTTAATGGACCAATTGGTTTATTAAGTGGTATGTTACCATTTCCAATGTTATTATTTAATCATTTCTTTAGTGTTGCATTTTATGCAGTTTATTTAAATTTTATATTCAGGGGTTTATTAGGGTTCCCAATAGCTATTTATGAAGCATTTGATACAATCATAACTGCAATTATAATATTTACACCATATTTATGGAATGAATTAGTTAAATAGATATTACAGCTGATTTATCCTTTGATTACCACTAAACACCTCTCAAGATTAAGTTCAAGATCTATCTCAGATTAATATGCAGGTGCACAAATATTTAATTTTTTTAGTATAATATTTAATTGCTGAGTGCACCCTCTCAAAAATTATTGTTCAACCATGAGTAGTTTACCATTATTAGGCTCATCAAATGATGTTAATGCTCAATCAACATTATCTGGATTCAATTATAATTTTACAAAAACTTTTAAATTAACTTTAAAATCGTCCCCAGTTAATTATTTATTATTTTTCGTACCATTGGGTATATTAGCAGGAGAATTAGATTGGTCTTCAAATGCAAGATTTTGGTTAAATTTTTTTGCAATTATTCCATTAGCTTCAATATTAGCATTTGCAACTGAAGAGATTTCTGAATTTGTTGGTCAAACTGCTGGAGGTTTATTAAATGCAACTTTTGGGAATGCGGTCGAATTAATTGTTAGTATTATAGCATTGAAAAATAATCAGGTTAGAATTGTACAAGCATCAATGTTAGGTTCTATTTTATCAAATTTATTGTTAGTTTTAGGTTGTTGTTTTGTTGCTGGTGGTATAACGAGAGTTCAACAAACTTTTAATCAAACAGTTGCACAAACCATGTCAAGTTTAATGGCATTAGCAACAGGTTCATTATTGATTCCAGCTGCATTTCATGCATCAATTCCAGGTTCAAAAAAGGGAAAAGATGATACATTTCCAAATCCAGGTACTTCAGATGATTTAATTTTATCATTATCAAGAGGTGTTTCAATTATTTTATTAGTTATTTATATTTTTTACTTATTATTTTCATTAAAGACTCATAAACAATTATTTGAAGAAACAAATGGAGAAATAATTGAAGAACAACATGAAGATTTAAGTGATGATAATATTATAACTAATTCATTGAAAAGTAAAGATCAAATTCAAAAAGAAAAACATTTAAATGTTGTATCAGGATTAATTGTTTTGTTAGTTACTACAATTTTAGTTAGTTTATGTGCTGATTACTTAGTTGGTTCAATTGATGAAATTGTTGAAACATCTGGTTTATCTAAAACATTTATTGGTTTAATTGTTATTCCAATTGTTGGTAATGCTGCTGAACATGTTACTGCTATAATTGTTGCAATGAAAGATAAAATGGATTTAGCAATTGGTGTTGCTGTTGGTTCATCATTACAAATTGCATTATTTGTAACTCCATTTATGGTTTTAATTGGTTGGTTTATTGATGTTCCAATGTCTTTATATTTTTCAACTTTCGAAACAGCAATTTTATTTGTTAGTGTTTTTATTACTAATTTAGTTATATTAGATGGTGAAAGTAATTGGTTAGAAGGTGCTATGTTGTTATCAACATATTTAATAATTGCTTTAGCTTTCTTTTATTATCCAGATGTTGCACCACTTTAGTTTAGCGTATTTATTTGTATTGATATTTATTTGTTTAATAAATTTACGAATTACAGAATTCTAGAGCGAAGGTGTAGCTTGATGTATCCGAAAGATTAAGGTCAGACGATGTCAATTTATAACCGAATGTTTACGTGAATTGAGAAGGTTGGTCGATTTCGATTTCAAAGTCACGTTGAAATAGCTTTTGTTTCAAATTTAAGCCATGGGGAGTTCAGAAATAAACAATGAACTACACAAAACGAATTTATCGTCATATATACTGTACATCACAGCCAAAAAACGAAACTATTTGACATAATATCTATTTATAGTCGAGATAAAAATAACTCAACAATCTGAAGTACTAAGAATTAACCACAAACAGATGATCAAAAATTACCAAGAGTTTCACAAAGTAGGTTGTAAATGCAAAAGAACATTAAACACGCTGAATTGACAACGTAGTTTTTGTTTCATTGTTATTATCATCGAAATTTGAATAATATAACTCCTTTTAATTGAACACGAAAGAAGAAAAAAAAATCAAACGCCAAAAAAAAAAATAAGACGTGTTAAAAAGACAGCTGGTGCTTCAAATCTGGTCGAATGTTTTATATTTTTTTCGCCTAAATGGTACGACAATGATACGGCGAGTGGCTTTATTTGAAAGGAGTTACAAAACTGAGTTTTGTAACCAAGTGCAACGCGAAATTTTAGTTCCTTAAAAAAAAAATATTTAAATTTAAAATTCGATATTTCCTAATTTGGAATTGTAACTTTTTGAGGTAATTATAAAAGTTTATAATGTAAGATTCTTTCATGGTTGAAAGATGGAATAACAATATAATTATATATTAATACAAGCAAGTCCTAGTTTTTAAAAAATTTATCAATAATTTATTTGGGTTTTCTTTTATTTCAAATTTTAATTCATCTCCTTAGCTATTTAGTATTGTCATTCATTTAATTTTCACTTCATTTCATTTCAGTTCTTTACAAGTCAAATTATTATCATGTCAGACAGAGAAGCTTTAAAATTATTCTCAAGACAAGCTGTTTCACAAGATATGATCAACTTTTTAGTTGCCACTACAAATTCAATAATACAAGTTAAACCAAGATCAATCGAAAGGGCAGGTAATTATAATTCCAATACATCAACTACTAAAATTTTATCAATAAATCCAACTATATCATTAACGCAATTTATAAAGAATTTGATTAAATATTCTAATGTTCAAACTCCTACTTTAATGGCTACTTTAATTTATCTTAATAAATTGAGAAATTTATTACCTGCTAATGCCGTTGGTATGGAAACAACAAGACATCGTATATTTTTGTCTGCATTGATAGTCGCAGCTAAATCATTAAATGATTCAAGTCCATTGAATAAACATTGGACTAAATATACTGATGGTTTATTAAGTTTGCAAGAAATTAATTTAGCTGAAACAGAGTTGATCAACTTGTTAAATTGGAATATCACAATCAAGGAGCAAGACTTGATATTGACATTACAACCATTCTTGATTGGTATAAAGACTAACTTGTTACAAAAACAAGAACTCGATTCACTTACAAGAATCAATTATTACAAATTATCATCAAAGAAATCATTTTCAACTTATTCATTAGCTGGTTCATCTTCATACCAATCTATAAATTCAAATTTATCGTTAAGTCAATCCATATCGTCAAACTCATTATATGATGAAGATCCACCAAAATCAGCATCTTCAACTTCTATAAGTAAAAGAATTCCATTATCAAATAAATCAAATATATCTTCAGTTGAACCAATAAAGAAGAAAAAATCAATGATGAATTTACTCAGTTCATCAACTAGAATACTAGCTTAAGACTTAAGACTTTATTTAGGATGCCATTATATTTATACTTCATTTCTTCTTATTTATTATTTTACATTAGGTTTTACAGGGACATTTTAATTTTTAATATATATATTACTATTATTTATTAATCTATTTAATGATCATGAGGATCTTGTTTTGGAGGCTCTGGATGTACTTCAATTATCGTATCAATTCTTGAAATTGAAACACAAGCTTCTAAAGCAGATTTTAATGATTTGACTTTAGATATGGTTGGTTCTAAAACACCATAATCTGCTTCATTTACAATTTTACCATTAATTAAATCTAAACCATAATTTTTATATTTCTTTCTTTTTTCATCATCTTGTTTTGCCAATTGTGACATTGCATGATAAGTTCTTAATTTTGAAACTAATTCACTTGAATCTTTTGCTGCATTATTTGCTAAAGTTTTAGGTATAACTAATAAAGCTTGTGCAAATTCTGCAATTGCCAATTGTTCTCTAGAACCAACTGTTGTTGCAAAATTTTCTAAATATATGTTTAAAGCTGTTTCAACAGCCCCGCCACCTGGTACAACATGACCAGATTCTAATGTTCTTTTTATTACTGATAATGAATCATGAATTGACCTTTGCATTTCATCTAATGAATAATCATTTGCACCTCTCAATATTATTGAACTTGATGAATGTTGTTTTGTACCTTTTATTAATATACATTCATCATCACTAATTCTTTCTTGAACAACTTCTTCTGCATAACCCAAATTTGATGATTCAAATACTTCATCACCTTCTAAGTTAGATAATGAACTTACTAATGTAGCACCAGTAGCTCTTGCAATTCTTCTTAAATCTTCTTTTTTACAACGTCTAACTGCCATACAATTATTTTCAACAAATTCTTTTAAACATAAATCATCAATACCTTTAGTTGTTAAAACAACATTTGCCCCACTAGCTAAAATTTTTTGAATTCTTTCAATTATAATACCATACTCTCTTTTTCTAATTTCTTCTAATTGATCTGGATCATCAATATTAATTTGAACTCCCATTGCCATTCTAGCTTTTTGTAAATTAATATCCAAACATGCAATTTTAGCATTCTTTACTGATTTAACCATTGCTTGAGATGCAACTGTACAATTTAATGCATAACCATTAACTAAAACTGATTCTAATGATGATTTACCGTGGGCTTTCAAAATATTAACAGCTTTAACTGGATATTTAGTTTCATTTTTGGAATTTGTAGTTTTAACAGCCAACATTGCGTCAACACATAATTTACTGAAAAAATCTGAATCTGATCCAATAATTTTTGAACTCATTGATGTTTTTGCAATATTTATTAAAGTTTCTTTACCTAAATGATCAACACTTTGTGATAAATTTTGATTGATATATCTAATAGCTTCTTTTAATGCTAATCTATACCCACTTATTATAGTGGTTGGATGAATTTTATTTCGAACTAATTCATGAGCTCTTTTTAATAATTCTGCAGCAATAATTACAACTGAAGTTGTACCATCACCAACTTCTCTATCTTGTTGTTGAGCCAATTCCACCAATATTTTACCTGCTGGATGTTGAACATCTAATAATGATAAAATTGTAGCTCCATCATTAGTAACTGTAACATCACCAATATCATCAACCAACATTTTATCTAAACCCACTGGCCCTAATGAAGATTTTACAACATTAGCTACCGTTTGAGCCGCCAAAACAGTTTGAATACGAACATCATCACCACTGATCTTCTGAGCCCCCAAAAATAATGTATCTGGTCTTGCAGTTGAAAACATTATTATTCTGTAATTGGAAAATTTTGATTCAGATAAAGCAAAACCAAAAAAAAATATTTTTTTGCTCTTCCAAAAGGTTCGAAGACGATTCATGAAGTATACTACAAAAAGTGACAACAAAAAGTAATAATATTGATGTATAAAGTTGATATTAGAATGGTAGAATTTAGTCAGAGATTTCAATTGACCATCTCATTGAGTGTTTGAAGTGAAACTACGCTTAAAAACTCCAAATTAGTCAAGTTGGCCGTGACATTAAACTGTCACTAAATTGACATTGTACTACATTCTCTATGTACTATTAATCTACCAATTAGCTTAGTGACTGTTAGTTAATCAATAATTGTAATGTTTGTTTCATAATGCTATTGAATAAGATTACTTGTTTAGTAAAGTCTCAATGGTCGTGTGCGAGATGTAAATAGTATATATATTTGAAGTGTAAACAAAAAACATATCAATAGCGAGCGATTACTGATATCAATTTATTACTATAATTAATTAAATAATGTTAAGATCATTAATTGGTTTACGAGTTGGTAGACCAATTGTTCAACAAGCAATTGGGTTTAGATTTTATGCAAGTGCTACTGGTCTTAAATCTGATACTCATAGAAAGAAATTAGAAAATCAATTAAAAACCGCTAAACAAAGATTTAAAGCGACATCTACAAAAGTTAAGGAATTAGAATCAAAAGAAAAACAAAAAGCTAAAGATAAAGCAAAAAGAGAACAATTGAAGGAAAAGAAATTAAAACAAAAGGAATTGGATGCTACTAAAAGAGAAAAATTACAACAAGCTAAACTAACCAAAAAAGCTACTGAAAATGTTCGTGCTATTAATTTAAGAGGTTTCATTGCATTTACTCAAAAAGTTGGTGTTGCTCAATTAACTGCTTTTGTTCAAAGATTAAGTCAAGATGAATTAGCTAAATTTGAACAAGCTCAAGAAGAATATAATACTAAAAAGAAATCATTTTTCACTCCAAAACCTGAATTACCACCTACCAATGGTTATAATGTATTTCTTGCTGAAAGATATGAAGAATTAAGATCATCTGGTTTAGAAAACAAAGAATTATTTAAACAAATAGCTGGTGAATGGTCTCAAAAAACTGCTGATGAAAAAGCTGAATATAAAACTCCGAAAGAAAATTCAGAAAGGAGAAAAGAAATATTAAAAGAATGGACTCAAAAGAGGTTAGGCGAATATGAGCAATATTTGCAATGGAAAGAAGATTACAGGTTTCATTTATAAATAAAAAGTCTATATTGATTTAATAATAATACATAAAATAAAAATTAAATAAAATTATTCTTTATATTGTGATTCTTCTTTAATCATCTCTCCTAATTTAACTAAAACTCTTCTCAATTCATTTGGTAATATTGGTTTTGATATAAAATCAACCATGCCACCTTGAAAACAATTTTCTCTATCATCACCAGCAACATTTGCAGTTAAAGCAACAATTTTCGGTAAGTACTTCTTCTTTTCAGTTGATGAATAAATCTCTCTAATTTCTTTTGCAGTTGCTAAACCATCTTTACGGGGCATTTGAATATCCATTAATATAACATCATATTTCTCATACTTTTCAGTTAACAACTTCTCACACATTTCAATAACCTCGACACCATCCTTAGCATGATCAGCATGGTATCCAAATTTCTCCAAATGCTTAAGAGCAACTTTTTTATTCAATAAATTATCTTCAGCTAATAAAATTTTTAATGGATATTCACTAGCCAATTTTGATTTCTTATCTGAATCTTTCAGTTCATTTTCCTTCAACTCTTTGGTTGAATCTTTGCCAGATTTCAAAGCTCTAATTACACGTTCTCTTTGTAATGGACATAATAAAGCTTCATATTTTTCATTTTTATTCACTAATGATTTACCAAATTGAGCTAATATAATAACCTTTGTATGGTTACTAATTTGAGATTCATACTTTTCAAATATTGAATATTTATTGTAATCAACGAAAATAAAATCATATTGTTTAATATCCTGAATGTTTTTCAAATCTTCTGTAGAATAAACTTCAAGGCTAAAATTTTCCAACAAATTTTTCAATGCAAGTGTTGTCAATTCATGAGTATCATAAATCAATACCTTTTTGTTTAGTTCCAATTCTGGTTTTTCAAATAATTTAACATTGAAACTAACATTTAAATAAAATGTTGATCCTATACCTTCTTCAGATTCAAAACGAATGTCACCACCCATAATGTCAACTAATTTCTTGGATATAGCTAAACCTAAGCCAGAACCTCCAAATTCTCTTCTTGCTGAACCATCAACTTGTGAAAATGCACCAAAAACTTTATTGTGTGATAATTCTGGAATACCAATACCTGTATCTTCAACAGATATAGCAATTTCAAATCTATCATCTGTAATTTCAGTAGCATTAAGAATTATAATTATATGCCCTTTAATTGTGAATTTTATAGCATTACCAACTAAGTTAATAATAATTTGTCTAAATCTAGTAACATCACCACTTACAGTATCAATTTGTGGACAATTGTTGAAAAATACCAATTCCAAATTATTATTGATAACTTGCTCACCACCTAATTGAATTGCACTTTCAATACAATCATTCAACGAGAAAGGTGCATTATCTAATGTAAATGAACCATGTTCAATTTTTGAAAATGCCAATATACCATCAATGATATTCAACGTGACCATTGCTGAACTTTTAATAGCTTCAACATACTCTCTTTGTGTTGATGTCAAATTGGTATCTAATAAAAATATTGAACATGATAATAATGAATTGAATGGTGTCCTAATTTCATGAGACATATTAGCTAAGAAACTAGCCTTTTCAGCAGTTGCATCTTCGGCTGCCATTTTTGAAATTTCCATTTGATAGATTAATTCAGCTTTACCTAATGCAATAGCAGCTTGTAAACAAAATAAATGTAATAAATCTTTACGTTTTGTATCAAACGCAAAATTACTCTTCAATGATGTGGTTTTTGATTTATTACTACCATCAATCTCAAGATATAAGGCACCAAACATACCAAATTGATTCTTAATTGGTATACAAATCATATCATAACAATTATTCTTTCTGAAATATGAATCTTTACTAAATCTATTAGCAAATTGGACATGATCCTCATCTTTACTTATAATTTCTCCTGATTCTAAACAATATTTAATCAACAGATATGGGCATACATCAGTTCTTGAACTTAATGGTTCTGAATCTAAGCTGTAAATATGATGAGCTGAACCAACAGCTGTAATTACTGGATCCTCATTAACAAATGCAATGACAACTCCATAATCAACTTCTGAAAACCTTATAGCTGTTTGAAGTAACTCAATTAAAATACTTTTCTCATTTGATGCTTCAGAAATCGCTAAACAAGCTTGTATTGTTGAATTTAATATTAATGAAGGTGATTGACCATTATTTCCACCATTTGTTTCTTTGATATTATACAATTTATTTTTCTTTCTTCCACTATTTGGTTTTAACTCCTTCCTAATTTTATTACTATTATCGATTGTGCTTACTGGAAGCCCATGTTTAAAAGATTCAGAACTTGATAATGGAATGGTTAAATTTGGATTTAAATTGGTTATATTATTTTTCTGCCGTTTGTTCTCCATATGATGATCATTCAAACCAGCCCAATTAAATTGTTCATTTCCATTGCTTATATATTTTCCAAATTCATCTCCAAAGTAATTAACAAAATTCTCCAATTGTAAACCTCTCAACACATCCATTGCTTTCCTTGAAAAAGTTGCAATTCTTTTCTTATTTTGTTTTGCAACAATTAACCATCTTGCTGCATATATACTTGCCCAAACAATTTCATAACGGTTATCATATTCAATTGCTTTTTCAATTGCTTCTTCAAAATGATCCAAAGCTTTCATATTATCACAATTTTCTTTTTTAATTTCACTGAATGCAAGCAACAATGCATATTTACATGAAAAATTTTCATCCAGTGATGTAGACCATAATTTGAATCTATGCAAAATGATTTCGAATAATTGATCTCGTCTTGATTGTCGAACAGGGTCTGATGTTTTACCTACAAATGCTATTACACCAGCAGCTACCAAATTGTAATGAACATCAATTAAAATCAATGGAGTAGTTTGAATAAGTTTTTCCATCTTTGTAAATATTAATTCGTCAGCTTCTTCGTATCTTTTATGGTATTGATATCCATTAATAATTACCATGTAATAACAATATTGTAATAATGGAGCTTCTAGTGAAAAATCATATTTATCTCTAAACTTATCAACAGCCTTATCAACAATTGTATATCCCATAACAGCATCTTCACAATCTGTTAAAAATTGGTCGGCTAATGTACGACTTATCAGTGGTTTTGTTAGTCTATCTTTTTTTTTTAATAAAAATGATCGTTCATAAAATTTACCACTTATCATTGAATAGAACATTTTCGAAACACCAATGATTATTTCAAATTGTGAAAAGTTAGCCAATGCATCAGTTGATTCGTTTGCACACATTTCAAAATATTTTGCTAATGAATCCCTTGTTTCCCAATAGATACCAACTGAACAGACGTATAACTCATAAATTTGTTTTGTATAACTTAATGAAACATCTGTAGCTCGATTTACCAAAGACAATGCTACTTTACTTAATTCTTTAGCCTTCATAAAACCTGATGAAGTACATTCCTTAGCAAATTCACAAGCAAAATCCAACACAATCATTGAAGAAAATGGTGTAACTCCATGTTTATACATAGCTAATATAGCATTTGCAACTAATAACCTTCTGGTGTTTTCTCTACCTAAAGTTCTTAATGGAATAATTACTTGATTTATTAATTGATAAATTAACGATATTTTTGGATTTTGACATGATTTCAATTTTAATATGGATCTTATTTCAGGTATAGATATTGGAATTTTAGTGAAAAATTGATCGTAAATTTCACCATTAGCTTTATCATCAGATGTAACTTTTACACCTAACTTATTAAACGTTTCATAACAAATATCAATTGCACCTTCAATGTCACCCAATTCAATTTTGCATCTAATCAATTGAACGACAAATACTAATCTATCAAAACCAAATTTAATTTGAGCTTTTTCAATAACTTGTAAACATTTTTCATATTCCTTGAAGTAATAATGATTTTGAGCCACAGTCAATATGGCTCTTAATTGTCTTCTTGAATCCAAATTGTCAACTAAGTTTGCAACAACTTCGAAAAATTTTTGAGCTAATTTCATATTATAAGTTGATGATGCATATCTACCAGCTTGAGCTAAAACTTCAATGTAAATTTCCTTTTCTTCTGGTCTTGCAACTTCATAAGATTGTTTAAAATATCCAGCCATATTTAAATAAGCACCTATATTTAAGGAACGGTCTTTACTTATAGATTTGTGAAATCTCAATCCACATAACCTACTCAATTCTTTTAATTTGTTTGAAGCCATCAATTCACCAATTATATGAGCACTTAAACAACCATGAGAAAAACGGTATGTACTATTACCTGCTAAATCCCAAATATTATTGTCAGACAAATCAAATGGTAAACCATCTGATCCTGCCAAATGAAAAGGAACTTTATAATATGTACTTGTAGGAGAAATAATTTTTGTTTCAATACACAACTGCAACATTGTATAAACTTTTCCCATTGGCAATGCAGATGCTAGTATTAAATCAGTTAATTTAAAACCAGAACCATTTGAAATGATAGCAGCAAAATTTAATAAATCTCTAACTTCTTCAGTTGTTGAATAATTTAAGTAATTTCTCAAAATTTCACTTTTTGTTGTTCCAAATTTTTGATGACTTTCTTTTTCAACTACCCACATACCTGTTGCTCCTAAATTTGAATAAAAACAATTTTGTATAAATCTAGCAATTCTAGTTGTGTATAAAATTAATAAAATATTACCTTCACATAAATCATAGAATTTAATGGCTTGTTCATTTGTTTTTTCAATTAAACTACTTTTCAAAGAACTCAAATGAGAACTATCTTTACTAATCATTGAAGACATACTTGTTTGATTTTCTGGTTTTATATCCTCAATAACATTGGAGCTAGAGTTAGTTGGAGTACTTTTAACTGAACTAAGTGGTGATGGCATAGGACTAACATTTGAATAATCTTTATTTAAATTTGAACCATTTGCACCCATTGCTTCATCGACCCATATCAAGTAATTATCACGATCGACTCTTGGTAATGTAAAATGATTTAAATTTATATGAGCTTTTTTCACACAATCAAGAAATTTAGCTTCTTTTGCAAATCCATCAGTTTCTTCTAAAAATTGATCTGCATTAGTCGTAAACGTCACAACAAATTTAAATGACATATCCTTCATTGTTTCTTCAGATTCATCCTCAAAATTTAATAATTCACATAATAGTTTCCAACTTTCTTCTGTACACCAATGAACATCATCCATAAATACTGTTAAACCTTGCAGAGCTACTAATTTATAAAAAGTTTTAATAATAGATCTAAATTTAATTTCCAAACTTGATGATTGTTCTTCTTTACTTGGTGTACCTGGTGTATTACTATTTGTATTTTGTTTATGTTGATAAATATTGATATATTTTGGACCCAATAATTTTCTCAATTCTGGTATTAAATAAAATAAGATACTTAAATCTAATGGTATGTTTGTTACAATTAAATCTCTCCAATTATTTTGAATTTCTTCTGAACATTCAAAGATCTGTCCAATGATAGTTTTTAAACCTTCAAGTAAAAATGAATATATTGTATTACCACTATCCGAACAAGCAAATTTCCAAGTACAATAAAAGTCATATTTGAACAAAGCACCAGCTCGTAAATCATTTAATAAAATTGTTTTACCAATACCACTTTCACCTGAAATGAAAAGCATATTTACACCACCACTATAGGAATTATTATACGTATCAATAATTCTTTTATACTCTTTATCTCTACCAATAAATTGTGATGTAAATTGAATAATTGGAATATGATCAATCTTTTCTGGATGGTTCATTCTGGCTTTAACTAAATAATTATGATAAGTTTCCGATCTTTTCCAATGATTCCAAACTGATTCGCCATAATTTTTGACTTTATCGATATAACTATTCTTGATAATGATCAAATCATTCAATAGCTCATAACAATTCTTATATCTGTCATTTGGATTTTTCTTTAATAATCTCATTATTACAGTTGATAATTTTTCACTTATCCAACTTGGTGCTAATAAATATGGGGCAATTGGTTTATGAAATATATGCATTCTAATTATGGAATTTGGATCAACTGAATTAAAAGGAGTTGTACCTAATAACATTTCGTATAAAACAATACCAATTGAATAAAAATCAGATTTATAATCAACATATTCATTCAAAACACCACTTACTTCTGGTGCCATGTATGGAACTAAATCAGCTACTTCAACTAAATGATTCGTGCGGTATCCATAAATACAATTTTCTGAGTAACTACAAGCAAATTCCCAACCTGTAATCTTAATATCATTTGGATCAGTTTCTGATTTTATCAAATTTGATGACGTTATACCATTATGTACAATACCTAATTCATGAACTACCCCCAAAGTTTCCAAGACTTTTATTATATCTGATAAAATTTCAATGACTTTCAATGGAGTTTTAGGATTTGAAGTAACTTGTTTGGACAATTTATCAAAAAATGAACCACCCATCGATCCATTTCCCATACTGAAAAAATTATTTGATGCACTTTCAACTGATTCATTAGGTGTATGACTTGATGAGGTTATACTACCCGAAGATTTTGTTCTTGAACCATTTGAACTTAATGAACCATGTCTTGGATTTTCTTGATAAGTATCTGAGTTCATTTCTTTAAATGATTTATAGTTATTATCAACATAAACTAATGCTAATCTTTTTTGAAAAGTACCCAATTCTTCAGATCCTCCAGTATGCTCATTTTCTTCAAGAAATGTAAAATCTAATACTTCTGATGGATATAAAACACCAGGTAAATCATTTGGTAACGTTATTGGAAAATACAATTCTTCCTTATTCAAACTCGGTATAGTTGTATCTTGTGAAAATTCATTAATCAATGTTTCGTTAGTCCATAATCTATTTGACATCGGAACATTTTGTCCTGACAATATATACCATTCGTTTAAAAATCTTGATAACGATAAACTTTTTCTCAAATTTGGAGATAACTTTATAATTACTGGACTATTGACTTCAATTTCGTCAACATTGTGATTATTATACAATGATTGACTGCATCCTTGTAACATTTGTATCTTCACTCCTCTCCATAAATTATTTGAGCTACTTCCTGATACATGATTATTATTGTTATTTGAACTGAATTGTTTAGTAAGGTTAAAACTAGGTATTGAATCTGGCAAGATATTAATATAATCTCTGTATTTACTTTCGGAGTTCGTTGGTGATAAATGATTTGGTGATTTATTACTCGCATCATTAACATTTTGATTTAAATATTCTAAATGATCCCTTATATAATTAATATTATTTAAGTATGATGAATTTCCTAATATAACATTTTCTCTAGTTTCAGAAGATAATGAGGAATCGTCATTGGACAAATTTGAACCATCGTGAGATGAATTAATTGAATGATTATCAAAATCATCAAACAAATTTGCAATTGAACGATGTAAATTAACTTCAGTTGTGTCCAACGGACTTAATAATTGATCGGAATTATATAAACCTGCTGTTAGGGGATTTTGATTGTTTAAACTTAAAGCAGATGGTGGTTCAGATGATGAAAACATATCTTCTTGATTTAAAGTACTAATACCATGACCATTTTGTATTTGATTCAAATCTGGAGTTGCTCCTGTCAAAGTAATATCTGAGCTGTTGTTGGTTGATATTGACAAGTTTTTTAACCCATTTTCAGTATTTGAAATTGTTGAAGAATACACCGTATAATTTGGCTTTAACATATTAGTTTTATTTAGTTCATTCAATGCTGATGCAGGTGCTGAAAAATATCCATTCTCGTTAGCATCATTATTATCATTATTGGAACTATTATGCCTGGAGCCGTCGTGTTTATTAAAAAAGAGGTTAGAACTCATTATTTGACTCCAGGATCTTAAATCAATTTCGTTTAAAAATTAACTGGAAATGATTTAATTTTAAATCTTTAATAGTATACTTCAAGTAAAAGGAATTATGAAGATAATGATGATAATTTTCTCAAAATATTTTCATTAAATTTTAAAGCATGCAAATTGTTGTAAAAAGTGTTGTAAATTTAGAAACTAATTTTTAAATATTTTTTAAAAAAAAAGAATGCAGATAATTTAAGATTTAAATCTAAAAAATTGATATACGGGAGAATTTGTGCTTTCAATTCGGAAATCTAGCCTAACACTTTCTGTAAGTTTTAGCCTAAATTCGGTATCATTGGCAATGCTATAAAAGCACATCAGCTCTTGTCTTACGTAGAGCAAAGTTGTACTAATTAAACTTTAATTCTATAAAGTCTCTGAAAATGATGTAAATCAAAATTAGCCATAAGGCAGAATATTATAGAATATTATAAATAATATGTTAAACGGAATTCAGTTTCAACGATTTCTACAAATTAATATACTAGCTACGCAGATTATTGTACAACCATTCAGTCATCAACAAGTCTGAAGCAAGTAATTTTAAGTTCTTACTACTCCACTAGGTTTGCTTCGAAGTTACCTGGACTCACGATGTAACATTAGGTTGCTGATAATTGCAATTGGTAGTGATTTCGGATAAAAATATTTTGCAGCAAAAATAAAAAATAATAGCGTAAAAAAAATAGCAACCAAGGTGCAGCTCTTCAACGTTACTTGCACGCCTTAGTCTAATGTAGTTACAGTATAGATGTGTAGCGTGTTAAATTTTAAGCATAGTTTGCCACAATTCAGAACTTTTTTCTAATCTTATCTAAAACCATGTCCCAAAAAGGTCTTATAAATAATACCGGGTTTAACTGTGTATTTGATATTTTGGGACAAGAAGAAGCATTCAATAAATTGTATGAAAGTAAGTTCTATCGGTTTATAATTTAAATGATACTTGGCAAACGACGAGTGGTTACTTTAGATTTAGGTCTAGAACAAGTCATTTCTTTCCATACTTAATTTGATGTCTCACAATCACCTTTTATCCATTAATTTTGTACAAACCTTTCTAGGAAAGTAAATTCTATTGTGGTTTAGTTGTGCATTGACTTTATACGCAAAATTGACACAATTAGAATTCCAAATCTTAGAGCTGTGGTTTGAGTAATTTTTAGAATCTTATTTTTACGAGGATCTCGAAAAATTAAAAATTTCTTTTTCAAGATCAACATATCTACAATGTTTAATTTGATGGTCCAGATTAGTTTCTGAAGAATCACCTCATATTCATGCAGTAATATTGACGTAAGGAACATAAATTATGACTTAAGTTTCTTCATTTCGAAAGGCGCATCTTTATTCAACGTAAAAATTAGTATAGGCCTCATTTTATATCAAGCTCATTATTCAATTTTTTTGGCATTTATGCTCTTTCTCAAACAGATGAAGAAGTTTTACCAATGAGAACTCATGAAACCTTTTCAAGTCCTCAAGTTATGTGATTTTTAATTCTCGTTGCTGGAACGCCATGTGGTTTTAGAGTCATTACACATTAATTCGGTCTTTTTCATGCAATAACAATCTTGGCCCTGAGCTATAAAGAATAAGAATAGAATCGTTCTACCAACTTACATCATAAACAATCAAACTGTTCTGAAAAAAGGCTCGATAACATCAATTAGTACGTTGAAAAATGACGTTCTGATGAATATAATCATGATAAGTTTTCTATATTTATGCTACTTTGTAAATACATATATTCAATTTAGTTTCAATTGGTTATTAATGTTAAGTAAGTAAGTAGTAATGAACTCTGAGATTAGTTACAGTGGATAGGTTTTCAATATCTTTGGATTCCAATCCTTGATCCAAACTGGCAAACAATAATAAAATCTTTAAATTAAGAGGGAATTCAAAAGATTTGTGTCAATATTAGATCTTTAATATCAAAAGAATCAATTGCAGGTGCTCTAACGTAGTTGGGAAATTGATTTGGGAATCTAATCAAACGACATGTTCACCAGGTGCATAATATTTAAACTTATGAAGCTTTTCAAATGTAAAATCGTTTCTAAATAATTCATAGGGAACTGAGGTATTAAAATTCTTTAGTTGCTCCAAAGAATTTAAACATTTCAATGTTTCATAACCACGATTGATAATTCAACTGATTCAAATTTTCTATCATATAGGAAATATTTGACTGAAGCTTTATCTAACCATTTAAATATTAAAGTAACTAATCCAATTGGAAACTGTAATAAACCATCATGTATTTCCTTAATTTCATCCATTGTTAATAATTAATTAAATTAACTTTCGTTCATGCAGGGTCCTTTTTTTAGATCTCATAAATGCACAAAGACAATATACTAAATAATATATATAAATTAAAGTGGAATGCTTGGGTTTATAAAATACCAACTCTACTCATGTACATTGTTGTTAATAAACAACTCTGAATTTCGTAAAAAATCATTTAGTCATATATTTAATAATTAATCAATTGTAAACATTTCCACAATTGCATTACCAGCAGCCACAATCTCTTTATCAAATTATCTTCCACCAGTAGAACCAATAGGAGCACCACCAAACTCATAAAATTTATAGTCATCATTTTCTAATTCTTGTAAATTTGATTAACATGGATATTTCAAATCTGTCTCTGTCTTCTAAAATCAAATTAACTTTTTAACTCCAAAAATGCTTCCATAATGACGCTGCTGATTTTATTTAGCAAATACCAAATGATGACTCTGAAACGATGAAGTGATGAAGTTTTAGTCATGTAAGTTTATTATACTTGTAACTTCAAAAACTGTTTCCAAGCTGTTGTTTTCTTTCGTGAATCTTAGACTAGAATCTACCTTCTGAGTCCATATCTGATGGATTTTTAAACATATCTTTTGGTTCCAAATGTTCTACCCTGTACTCTTTGGAAGTGACTAAACTTTTAAGCCATTATCCCATGGTAGATAGTGTTTTTCAAGCATGAGCATGATTCTCAAAGAAATAGAAACTATAATGAAAGATAGTAATTGAAAAATTTGTCCTAGTTTTTGGTGAAGCTTTTTTTAACTCTGATGAAATAATAAAATAAACAATTTCCAAAAAGAAAGTTATTATGGTCGGTGTAACAGTATGCAAAGCAACTTATGCATCAATGATACCCAGTTGTAATCTCTTGATGCCTTTGAAATTGGAATTATAGTCATGATTAACAATGGGAAAATCAGATGGGAAAGCATCATCAGGTTTTTCATCTAAAAATCTATTTGTTCTTAGTATCTCTAAAAACAAACGGAGAATACATGAATGAAAATTTACATATTCGATATGGTTGAACAGATAAATTGGAGGAATGAAGTGATTTTTGAAATTGAGTTCATTACTGATTTCTTTCGTTGGTTGTTATTAGCTAACATTTTCAATTAATTGAATAAACAACATCCTTGCACAAAAGCAACGAGTCAAATAGACTTATAAGATGCTGATACTATATTTCTCTTTATTTTTATTCACTTTAAACTGGAGCACAGCTATTCGTTTACGAGGTAGGTGTTATATAAAGGTGAATGAAAATTTGAGCCGTACGCCGATTGGTAGCAATATATATTTGTTTTTTTTATACCAGCATGGTCATGGAATTTAACTTTTTTGCAGCCATTTATGTTGGCATAGAAATGCTTCGTGTCAAACAACAATTTGTCTCGAAAGAATTTCTGTATGGTGAAGCGTCTAGAAAAATGAATTTCAGAATTTTCAAATAAGCTTCAACGCTGAAATTATGATTTTTGTAAAATTTAGCAAAATATGTCAAAAAAAACAACTAATACGCCAGATAAATCAAGAACAAGACAATAAGACTACACTCGAAAAAAGCCAGACAAATTAAGAAAAGTATAAGACTCTGGTTTGATGCAAGTCCTAGATTAATTGTCTACTTTTAGTTATCTAAATACTCGAGCAGTCCTATGCCAAAATTCTCGAGTAAAAAACATATTTGATCACAAGCTCACATAAAGGTAAATGGCACAAACTTCGAAACGAAATATACAGTAGTGAAGAAATTTAGTCGTAAAAATGACATGAAATTTAAATACGTATGGAAAATTCTTATCAAAGATACCGGGTCTAATATCCGAAAATAGGGTACTCAAAAACTAGTAGAAGGTGAACATTTAACACCAGTGTCTTTTTAAGCTAAAATACAACCACCAGTTGACAATCACAATACGTCAATACCCTGTATACAATAACTATTAGGTTGAATAATAGTATCTAAACAATCAAATATCCACACATTCTCAAAAAATTAAAATGGTGCGCGTCAGGAAAAAAAAAAAAAAAAAAATAGTAAATATTTATATTTAGCTTCACACGACTTTTATTATGTCTCAATTTTGTTTTTCAGAATTATTTAATTTTTAAAATCAACAAAAAAGCTTTGTAAGTTACAAGATCTTTGTTATATTCAATTTGACTATTAAATATTATCATAATTTGATTCATTATCATCATTAATTTATAACTCTTTCATTTCAAATATAAATTAAAAATTTCACATCATTACAAAATTAAACAAAAATAATTTTTAATTTTCTGCCCTCCTATTTTTTTTAATATCAATTTAATATTTCATAATGCAAACTATTAAATGTGTTGTTGTTGGTGATGGTGCTGTTGGTAAAACATGTTTATTAATATCATATACTACTAGTAAATTTCCTGCTGATTATGTTCCAACTGTTTTTGATAATTATGCAGTTACCGTTATGATTGGTGATGAACCATTTACATTAGGATTATTTGATACAGCAGGACAAGAAGATTATGATCGATTAAGACCTTTATCATATCCTTCAACTGATGTATTTTTAGTTTGTTTTTCAGTAATTTCTCCAGCATCATTTGAAAATGTTAAAGAAAAATGGTTTCCTGAAGTTCATCATCATTGTCCTGGAGTTCCATGTTTAATAGTTGGTACTCAAACAGATTTAAGAAATGATGATGTTATATTACAAAGATTAAATAGACAAAAATTATCCCCAATTACTCAAGAACAAGGTGAAAAATTGGCAAAAGAATTAAGAGCAGTTAAATATGTTGAATGTTCTGCATTAACTCAAAGAGGTTTAAAAACTGTATTTGATGAAGCTATAGTTGCAGCTTTAGAACCACCAGTTATTAAAAAGTCAAAAAAATGTACAATATTGTAGAAGAATAATTCATGATTAATTTAAAAGCATTTGGGCATATAATTTACATAGATATTGATTATCTATCATTTTAGACTTTGGTTTTGCACTTTTCTCAAAGTTTGAATATATATATTTGAGATTAATATTATACCATAATTAAATTAAATTAAATTAAATTTATTTTATATTTATAAATCCATCACCCATTATATCTATTGTGATATCACTTGGTAAATTATTTGTATCTATTAATTTACTCGTATCAAATTTATTCAATTCTTCTTCATCAATATCATTATGTTCATTAGTTGTATTATTTTCGTTATTTGTATTACTATTATTATTAGTTAAATCATCAACATCATCATCATCATCATCAATTATTGCTGGACCACCACCAAGAAAATCCATCATCATATGCATACCACCAGCTCCACCAGCATATTCTTCTACATTTTGTGGTAAAACTTGTGAAACACCTTCTAGAAACCATACTTTATCTTTCATTTCCATTGTAAACAGTCTTAATAATTTATAATAAGATCTCATTATTCTCATTGCTTTTATATCACCAGACATTAGCAAGGACATAAAATTTTTATCTAATAAAGCAGGAAATGCAAATATTCTTAGTATAAAATCACTTTTATATCGTTCTTTATGTAATTTATTTAAATATGCTAATGTAATTAAATATGGTGAATTCATTTCAACTGGGAACAAATCTGCAATTTCTGCATCATGGCATTCTAAATCAGTAAACATTTTTGAAGTTTCTTCATTTGTCGGTGTTGTATTATAAACTTTATTATTTATTATATCTCCAAGATCACCTAAATCAACTGAAATAAATTTATAAAATCTTGAAGCTTCGGTTAATGGCCAAACTGCGGTTAAAATTGTAGCTGCACCTTTAACATGAAAAATCCATGCTGATGCAGGTAATGATTTTGGTGATGTACTTGAAGGAAATGATGCATTTGCTAATGAATCCATTATTAATATTAAAGCACTTGCAACTAAAGCATCAGTATTATCACTAGTTATGTTTAAAACAGCTTCTCTTAATAATCTTAATGCATCACCACGATGACAAGTCACACATTGATCTAAACCTTTTTCAGTTCTTGATAAATGAGTTGCACTAAAAGCTAATAATGAGTGCATTAAAAATGGATGTTCAAATGCTAATAAAGGAATATCATGATTCCATATATTTGTATCAGATATTCCTGCACCCGTTATTGTATTTGCAACAACAGAAGTATAATGAAACATCAATTTTAAATCTAACATATTTAAATTTGATTCTGGTAATTTTGAATTATCTACATTTGATGAATTATTAGGACTAATATCAGGTGTAGTTTTTGGTATATCATTTTTATTTGTAAAATTCCCTACATGATCACTTAAATCAATTGGCATTTGAGCTAATGATGCAAGATTTGATAAACTAGCCAAATTTCCAAGATTAACTAAATTACTTAAATCACCAATATTTGATAAATTATTAACTAAATGAGCCAAATTTAAATTATTCAAATTACCAGCATTTAATAAACCAGATGCAATTGAATTGAAATTTGTTTTTTGTTCACTTGGACTAGGTGTTAATGATGGAGTAGCTTGTTGAGTTATTGAACCTGATAATTCGGGGTCACTGATATTTGATTCGTTACTTAGCAGTAGTTTCTTTTTAGATTTTTTAGTTTTTGGTTCATTATTATTTTCATCTTCTGGATTTAAATAACCACATTCTAGTTTTAATTTAATACAATTTCCACATTTTGGTTTTTGTTCATCACATTTGACCCTTCTTTTTTTACAAGTTGAACATCCATTACGTGATTTTTGATGATATTTTCTCTTTTTACCATTATTAGTAGCAGATTTAAAATCCGAAGTAATTGTACTGTCTGAATTATTTATATTTTCAAATTCTTCTGATTTATCCATGGCTAAAATAGTATATATTTTGTTGAAAAATAATACAAAACAAACAATTATATGAGCAATTAAGTTGAGAAGGCTATAGCCATATACAAATTGATATTTAATATAATTAAAAGTATAGTAATACTATGATAATAGTAATTGGTTGTTTATTCTGATTGTATATATTACCTTGTGTATATATTTTTCTTTTATGAATTGTAAACGATCGTTTAGAAAATTTTTATGAGACAAAGTGTGTATATAAATAGTTACAGTATTCTACATAGAATACTAATAGTTAAGGCTGAGCATTTAATATGTCAAAGTTAAAAGCGATATATTTAGTTAAATCCGGATAATTAACAGGGATAGACAACAGTTTCCGATAGATCAACAGTTGATGTCTATAGTATAACGGCTCATTACAATCCATTAATCTAAATGTAAGAATGGGCAGATTTTGAATATAATGCATTTTGCAACCCAATAATTTAAAACTCATCATAGCACGGTCAACGCGTACAAAAATAGAACATAGACCCAAACTAATACTCATAGATCTAATTATGCCATTACAAGTGTCTCAAAGCCTGTTATTTTATTTCATAATATCACTAACACGGCCCTATTTTTCAAGCCCATGGTATTAATAATTTGATCTGTTGATAATTTTCGTAGTGTGCAAAATTACCAAAATTTATAACCAATATCATCATCATATTTAATAATTACAGCAAATGTCACAGAAACCATTATGGTATAGATGGGCTAGAGTATATTTTGCTGGTGGTTGTTTAGTTGGTTTAGGTGTAGTATTATATAAAACAATTAGACCAACTGATGAAGAAATGATTGCAAGTTTTTCACCAGAGGTTAGAGCAAATTATGAAAATAATCGAGAATTAAGAAGATTAGAACAACAAAGACTAATGGAAATTGCAAAACAAACATCTAGTTCAGATGATCCAATTTGGAAAACTGGACCGATTGGAAGTCCATTAGAAAAACAACAAAGAAATTTAAGTATGCAATTAATTGATAAAGAATTATTTAATAGAACAAAACAAGAAGAATTACAAAAATCAGAAATTGAACATGTAAATAAAGAAGCTAAAGAAGCTGAAGAACTAATGAAAAAGAATAAAAAATCATGGTGGAAAGTATTTTGAATACATAAACTTGTATATATTGAGTTTCACCTACTCCAAAATCCACGATCTCTTGATAATGACAGTAGTATGGAAGATCCAACACTTTGTGTAGTATTATTTCCATTTTTTTGTAAATTTGCTTCATCTACAGCAGCAACAATTCTATTTATGTTTGTATCTATAACCATTCCACCTTGTACAATTTCTTCCAATACAGTAGTTAATACTTGCCAACCAAATACTAAATCTAGTTCACAAACATTTGAAAAACATTTATCTAAACATTCAACAAATACTTGAATTAAATCTAATATACCTAATTCCGATTCTTGATCATCTACTATAAATACAAAATATAAAGTAGCATAATGTCGATATATTACTTTGATATCATCTAAATCTTGTAATAAACTTGGTGGAGTTATAAATGAACATTCTTGTGAAGTTCTTGATGAAATTAATTGATGAACTTGATTTAATAATAATTTTTGAGTTGTAATATCTATTTTAGTATAAAATTTCATTAATCTTGGTAAACCATCATTATTGACTGTGAATTGTTAGTAAATATCAATATATATTGGTTGATTACTTACATATTAAAACCGAATGAATCATAATAAATTTGTATGCATTATTTTTTTTCAACCAAATGCAAGAATCAAATTTATTAGATGAAAAATATAAAACATATAAGTATGAGTTTAACATACCCACATTTGGTTCATTAAACATCAATTCAGAGAATTATGATGCTAATACTGATGCTATTTATTTATGTGGTAACTCATTAGGTTTAATGCCTAAAAATACTAAAAGTGCAATTAATAATGAATTAAACGCATGGGCTGAAAGAGCTGTTGAATCTCATTTTAATCATCCAACAAAAACAAACTGGGTTGATATTGATTTACCTTTAATTCCTTTATTATGTCCATTAATTGGTGCTAAAGAAAATGAAATTGCAATTATGGGTTCTTTAACTAATAATTTAAATAATTTATTAATTCATTTTTATAAACCAAAAAATAAACGTACAAAGATTTTATTTGAAAAACAAGCCTTTCCAAGTGATTATTATGCATTTGTAAATATAGTTAAATTATTTGGATATGATGAAACTCATTTAATTCAAGTTGAAATACCTCAAGGTCAAACATATTTAGAATTTGAAGATATACAAAAAGTATTTGATAAATATCAAGATGAAATTGCATTAGTTTGTTTTCCAGGTATTCAATATTATACTGGACAATTTTTCCAAATTGAAAAGATTACAAATTATATAAAATCAAAAAATAATGAAATTATAGTTGGTTGGGATTTAGCTCATGCCGTTGGAAATGTACCTTTAAAATTACACGATTGGAATGTTGATTTTGCAACTTGGTGTTCTTATAAGTATTTAAATTCAGGACCTGGTGCTATTTCAGGTATTTATGTAAGTGAAAAATTTACAAAAGATAATTCAAAGAATAATTATAAACCAAGGTTAGCTGGTTGGTGGGGAAATAATCCAAATGATAGATTTAAAATGTTGGAAAGTTTTGATCCAATAAATTCTGCATTATCTTATAGACAATCAAATCCATCAGTAATTGATGTTGTTTCATTACAAGCATCTTTGGAAATTTTCAATAAAATTGGTATTGATAAATTAAGAGAAAAGAGCATCGAATTGACAAATTACTTGGAATCATTGTTGAAAGAATCAAAACATTATTATAAAAAGTTTAAAATATTAACTCCCGAAAATCCTGAGGAAAGAGGTTGTCAATTATCTATTTACTTTGACGAAATGGAAAAAGTAAATGAATATTTACGTGACCATGCTATTATATGTGATGAAAGAAGACCAAATGTAATTCGATTTGCTCCTGTACCATTATACAATACATTTACAGAAGTTTACTACACAGTTTTACGTATAAATGAAATTTTAGATAAAATATAGATCAATTTTTAAATTCTATTTCTTATATTCAATTTAATACATGATAATTAAATTTATAATAAATGAGCAGAATGGAAATCATTACCAGCATAAATTGCTTTATCACCCAATTCTTCTTCAATTCTTAAAATTTGATTTAATTTAGCTAATCTTTCAGATCTTGCTGGAGCACCAGTTTTAATTTGACCTGATCTTAAACCAACTGATAAATCAGCAATAAAAGTATCTTCAGTTTCACCTGATCTATGAGAAACCATAACACCCCAACCAGCAGCATATGAATCATTAGCAGCTTGAATTGATTCGGTTAAAGTACCAATTTGATTAACTTTTAATAATAAAGCATCAGCACATTTTTGTTCAATAGCTTTTTTAATTCTAATTGGATTAGTAACAGTTAAATCATCACCAACAATTTGAGTTGTACCTTCAACTTTATTAAAAAAATGAGTCCAAGCTTCCCAATCATCTTCAGCAAATGGATCTTCAATTGAAACAATTGGATATTCTTGTAATAAACGATGATATAAATCAGCCAATTGTTGACCTGATAACCATTTTGATTTATCAGAATTTTGATTTTTAAAATCTAAATCATATTTACCATCTTTATAAAATTCTGATGAAGCAACATCCATTGCAATTTTAACTTGATCTTTATAACCAGCTTTTTCAATTGCAGACATAATTAAATCTAAAGCTTCTTCAGCAGTTTTAATATCAGGAGCAACACCACCTTCATCACCAACATTACCAGCAGATTGACCATATTTTTGTTTAGTTAAAGTTTTTAAATGATGATAAACTTCAGAACCAATTCTTAAACCTTCTGAAAATGATTTAGCACCAGATGGAACAATCATAAATTCTTGAAAAGCTAAATCACCACCAGCATGAGAACCACCATTTAAGACATTTTGAAAAGGAACTGGTAAAACAAATTTACCTCCTTTAGCTTGTGCAATATCTGAAATATGTTTATATAATGGAACATTTTTTTCTGCTGCACCAGCTTTTGCAGCAGCTAATGAAACACCTAAAATAGCATTAGCACCTAATTTTGATTTATTTGGAGTACCGTCTAACTTTAATAAAAATTCATCAATTTTTCCTTGATCAACAACAGAAATTTTTTCTTTTATTAAAGCTGGGGCGATAATATCATTAACATTTGAAACAGCTTTGGTTACACCTTTACCTAGCCATTTTGATTTATCACCATCTCTTAATTCTAAAGCTTCATGAACACCAGTTGAAGCACCAGATGGAACAATTGCTCTAAAAGTACCATTATTGGTAGTTAAATCAACTTCAACAGTTGGATTACCTCTTGAATCATAAACGTATCTTGAATGAATTTTAGTTGCAAATGACATTATAGAATTGGAATTGCTTGGAATTGAATTGGTTAGAAAAGAAGAAGAGAAGAAAGAAAGGAAGAAAGAAAGAAAGAAAGAAAAGGGAATAAAAATTGGAAAAATCAAATTATATAAATACTTCAGTTGAAAAATAATTGAAAGTTTAATTTCAATTTTGTGAGCAATTGTATTACATTTGTATCCTGACGTACTGTAATTGGTAGCATTTCAAAGGGTTAACTATTGATGATTGGGTGTTTATAATGTCTAATGGTTATAATTAAAGGAACAGTGCATCCCGAGTAATTCTATAGATACATCAGGTGAATACTTAACCACAGTTTTACAATGAATAATTAAACGTTGAATGATTTTACTATTACCTGATTTATTTAATCAATCATTTGTTACAGCCAATGAGTTGACACGGTTGAATGGCAATTGAACAATACTATACCGGAGAAAATAGGTTGAAGTTGACCCTGGGTCATGTGATTGCAACCAAAAATCTCCGAGAATTTTTTTATCATCAACAATTATCAACAGTTTTTTTAAATGAGTGAAGAAACAAAAGTAGAGAAAGAAAAATATAATGAATTAACAAGAAAAATACGAGATCAAATAATCAAAAAGAATGAATTAATAGATAAATTAAATAATTTAGAAGATAAAATCTATCAAAAAGAAAATGAATATTTTGAAGAAAGTGTAATTGGTAATATAATTAAAGGTTTTGAAAATTTTTCAAAATCTTCTGGTTCCACAACTGGTGGATCTATAATTAATTCAAAAAGAAGAGTTACATATACTGATGATGATCATATTTTCAGTCTAAGCTCAGTAAAGTATATTAAAAATTATTCAAGACGGCATAATTATACAAATGGTTCAAAAGATGATAATTTTGAAAATTTTGAAGATTCAGTAGAACCACCAAATAATAAATCAATTGATAAAATATCTGAAATTTCATCTAATTCGAGTACTCCAACAAGAAAACGAAAAGCAAGAACATTAGATGATTAATATATATATATTTACATGATTTTAATCTATTTTCTAGGTTTATACAGGTATATCCATGGAATAGTTGGTGGATAATCAGTGGGTATTCTCATTTCAATTGGAAATAAATCGACTTCTTTTTTATTTGGTTTTGAATTTGCCAATTTATATAAATGTTTATTTGTATTTTTTAAATCTTCCATTGCATTTTTCATACTTTCATACTGTTTTCTTAATTGTTCTTCACGTTTTAAATTCTTCTTTGATTTAAATAAATTCCATGCATTCATTATAGTTTTATGTTTAATTAAATCTTCATTACATAAATTCAATAATTTTGGTTGTTTTCTTGATGCTGATAAAACTGATAATTGATTTACTATTTTTTGTGTGGCCGCATTTACTTCTCCTGATCCTTTTGTTCTTTTATAACGTACAAGTACTTTAAAAGTATTATTAGTATTTAGTATAGTTGATTTTGAAAACATTTATTGATCTAAGTTAGTGTTTAAAATTTTTTTTTTCAATATTTCAATGTCTGAAAAATTAAAAATCGCATGGCAATATTTTTACAATTTGACAATAAAAATTTGGCTGCAAAATTTGATTTAATCTTCAAATAAAAACACCTAAGAGATACAGTTGCAAGGTCTAAGCTCCTCTGTTTATTTTAGTCATTCAAGGCAAATTTGCCAGTAATAGGCTGCTGTTACCTCAAAAAGATTATCAGTGATCAATAGTATTGACATCTTGACAAATTTAGGGTAGTTGTTTTACATTTCAATGTTCTATTTTATTCGAAATCTTAAAAAACCTTGAGCTTAAAGAAATAATTCACATTATTTACTCTATCTCTTCAAGTAACATTGAAGTGATAATAGTAAATCATCAAGAAATTGATGACGAATAAATACAATAGCTCTGATTAATACATTTCTTATTGATTGAAAAAGCCGCATTCCTAATTCATGACGTAATTGATCAAATAAACGACCTTTTGCAATCTCGATCGAATTTCACTTCAAAGCAAGAACGTTTTTTTATTTTTGCAACCATAATTCCAATGAGTTCAGAGAAAGAAAAGTTGAAAGCACAAGAAGCTCAACAAAATAATCAATTTAATGAAGCTCCACCACCATATGAACAATTACAACAACAACAAGCATATTCACAGCAAGGATATTCACAGCAAGGATATGGAAATTATCAACAACCGCAACAACAAGGTAATTCACAAGGTTATAATGAATATGATAAACCACCAGCTACAACTCAAGGTTATGACGTGAATCAAGATCCAAATGTTTATAAAATTGCACCTGATAGAGTTAATATAACAATTGCTCCTCCACAACACGTTCATCCTCAATTTCAAGAATATATGGCAAATGAACCAATGAGACAAGCAAGAGGTGATTATTTACCCCAGAATAATCAATTCAAACATGGAGCTCCATTAAATCGAGGTCATACTAGTTCAAATAAACAAAATAAAGGATTTCCAGGTAGTTCGGGTGTAACTTATAATAATGCAGCAAATAGATAAAGATGATTGTGGTTTTAATGTTTTAGTTCACGTGTTTGTATATTTATAAGTTCAATTATATTTGATTTGAAACGTTGTTTTTTCTCGCTGTTTGGCGGAATGTTGTAAATATTTTGATTTATCAAAAGCAAGGGTTTTTTATTCTAAAATTGGTGTAACACCTATCTTCAAGACTACTCAGTCGGAATTTGTGCTCTAAAGTGAGATCCACTAACTCTATCGTAGATTTTATCAAATTTATGTTTTTTAACCATTCACAGGGTTTGGGAATGTGTTACAGAGTAATTGATACAATACACTAAATATAACGATGCTTTATAACTCCTTTGAGTTGTTGATTTGTGTTATTAAAGGTATTTAGAGGTAATGATTCAGTGAAAATATCATACAGCTTCTTAGAATCAATTTTTAATACCACTTGTCATTATTTACACTACTAGTCACAGATCTTATTCTGTTCTTGACCTACTCAGCTTCTATTTTCGGGAATATAGTATTTCTGAAATCAGCAGAATTCAAATCAAAAATCAGCGCGATTTAAAAAAGAAGCGCAATTAATCTGAAACAAGGTATACCGAGAGCGCAAAATGAAAATATTACACAAAACAAATTTCAAATACCCCCAACTTTTATTAAATTTTGAAATGGCATAGCATGTTAAGTATGAAAATAAAATATATTGCGTGTGGCATCATTAGAAAGTTAAAACCTCGTTGAATTCGATTTTGGAATTGTCGTCTAATTTTTTTTTTTTTCATTTTGTGTTATTTTCGATGCAAAAAAAAAACTATAAATTTGAGTAACAAAGTTGAAATATAAAATTCCACATTCCATTCATAAACCCCCCTTTACAAGTCGTTGATGACTAATTAGAAAAGTATAAATAGAGCACATTTCTCATTTTTTGAAATCTGGGTTTTTCTTAAATTTGTATTTCCCACTAAGTGATAAATAGTTTTCAACTCAAATTTAATATTTAATTGAAATTTAATAATATTTCAAAGATTAATAATAATATTCAAGTTTAATATGATTAATAATGCTCAAATATATTTAATGGATGAATGAATTGTTCGATAAGAAGTTTCCGGATTCTTCTTATCGGTATTGGATTATGGCATCTCGTGTCAGGGTTTTTTATCATTGTGAGTTTGTTTACACTGAAAACAAGATTGAAGTATTGGCAGCAGGAATGTTTGATTTCTGATGGATTTGTATCCAATGTGATCTCACTTCAAGGCTTCTTTTTTACTTATTCGTTCTGGAATGGTATTTTATTTGCCTTAAAAATAAAAATGGTTTTAATTGTGATTCAAATTATTTTCATCATGATTTTGATCATTTTTATTCAAATTGTTATTTACAGTTAGAATTATGGTTTTTATAGGTTAATATACAAGTGTTTTGTTTCTTTATTAATGATAGTTATACATAAAACTGTAGAACGACAATTCTATTTATGAATTGGATTTTTAAGGGGGGCTATCTTTAGGGGGTAGACCAATCAAATTTTTCAAATTGACCAAGAAAAAGTTTACGGGGTTCTTTCATTTTATTACTAAACGTGATAAGATCTACCAACGAACGATGTATATTATCATCAATCAGGATTACTTAGAAGAATTAAGCTTATAAACGATGATGGGGAATTAGTCATACGATCCAATTTAGAGTAGTTGTTTTTTGATGAAAGTGAACTCACAATGAATTCAAAATTCCAGAATTAACCTTAGATTTTATCATATGAGTTTGGAAGAATGAGACTTTATTTATGACTTTAATTTAGCCAAGCTTTCTAGTAATAATTCGGATGCTGTCTTGGATGACGATTCGGAAGTTGAAATCAGATGCTGACACCCATTGGCACGTATAATACGTACTTGCATGTGTAATGTCCCTGTTGATTCGGAATGCTGATTTGGATGATGCTTCGGAAGTTGGGTCAGATGCCGCTGAAGTTTTTTAAGAGTATAATATCTTATGAAAAGTATATTCATAACTATCAATACATAAATTTGTTAATTAACTCTACCCCAAACATAGTAAAACCCAATTTGACGTAGCCCACGTCTAATACTAGCAGCTTGAGCTTTAATCTATAATAGTTATCTAATTTAACCAAAATAATATAACCCAAGTAAAACCATCATTTCTTAAACATTGAAAATACTTCATAAATCATGTTCAATAGCAAAAAACAACTATGATTCCATTTCGAATTCTCTTTCTAATTGTAGAAATTCATTTAATTCATTCAGTTGTTGTAGTTGTTTATTTAATAACCAAATTTGATAATTTAATTGAATTTCATTACTAGTTTTACCAAATATATTGGAATCTATTAATAGCTGTTGTGATTTCAAATCATATGTTAATTTTGGAGGTACTGAAGCAGCTTCTATTCTTTTTCTTATCTTATTTTGATGTAATGATGGTGTATGTGGACTTGTGCCTCTTTTCTTTGATAACAGTAGTGGTGAATTTGTTGAATTTGTTAAAATTTGCTGTTTTACAGGTGATTTTAAATTTAAAGTATTCATATTAGTTGGTTTCAATGGTATTTTTTCACTTTTATGACTTATACTAGGATAATGATTCTCAATATTCTCCATTATACTCAAAGTATTATTCATGTTTTGATTTTTTAAATTTTGTAAACAAATGTAGAATAAAAAAAACTAAAATTTCGAGATTTCCACGTGACCAATGACGTGACATATTTTTCCATTTTTTAAGCCCAATGCGACATTGAATATTAAAATTGTCCATTATACTTTTAACCAATTTTAGTTCAATTAATTTATATTTACTCCTATTTATTCAATCAATATGTTTAAATTCAAGAATAAATTGAAATTTGGTTCATCAGAGAAACAACAAACACCACCACCGTCATCAAATTCACAATCTAATACTCCTTTATCTTCGAGTACTTCACCAAATCCTGAACAACAAAGAAATTCATCCGATTCAAGAAAAACATTAAATGGTCAAGATTTATCAAATGATTTTAATAAATTATCAGTTTCAGATAGACAAACTCCATCAACTTCAGAATCTTCATATAACTCTCCGTCTTCACAAACTACAGCTACTTCGGAACAAACTCCAATTGATTCTTCCCCCGGTTTATTAACTGTTAAAATTTATGGTTCACAAAATATTCAATTACCTATTAAAATAAACAATTCAAAACAAATACTTCATGCGCTAGCTGTTAATTCAAATGATCAAGTAATTGGTCAACAATTATTAAATAATTTAAATCATTTAGAAAAAGAATCTCATGAAGATTATTTACCTGGTTTAAGAGCTAGTAATTATTTACCTGCAATTATAACAATACCAAATGCTGAAAATTTAGTTAAATCTTTATTATATTTAACTATAGAATTTGATAATAATGTTTTAGTTATTGAACCTCAAAAAGGGACGGTTTCACAATCTACATGGAATCAAGTAGTTTCATTTGATGTAACTAAAAAATCGCAAGACCAACCCTCCTTAAATTTAAATTTATTTATTAGATTACCAAATATGTTAATACCCGAAAGTGAAAAAATTGATAAAAAATACCTCTTTTCAAATTTTCAATCTGATCAAAATAATATTGGTGATCTATTAATAGGTACTTTGAAACTACCATTAAATTTAAAACATCAACAACAAGTAAGATTAATACATCATGAATATTTACAATTTTTAACTCATTCTAATGTACAAGATTTATCATCAGCTATTGGTGAATTAATGGTGACTATAGATTATAAAAGTATGACAAAAAAGCATTTATCAATTGAAGATTTTGATTTATTAAAAGTTATAGGAAAAGGATCATTTGGTAAAGTTATGCAAGTGATTAAAAAAGATACAAAACAAATATATGCATTGAAGACACTTCGAAAAAGTCATTTAGTTTCAAGAATGGAAGTAACGCATACAATGGCTGAAAGAAGTGTATTAGCTAGAGTTAACAATCCATTTATAGTTCCACTTAAATTTAGTTTTCAAAGTAATGAAAAATTATATTTAGTATTATCATTTATCAATGGTGGTGAATTATTTTATCATTTACAAAGAGAAGGGAAATTTAGTATGGATCGTTCTAGATTTTATATTGCTGAATTGCTTTCGGCATTATCAAGTCTTCATGAAATGAATGTTATTTATAGAGATTTAAAACCAGAAAACATCTTACTTGATTATCAAGGACATATATCATTATGTGATTTTGGTCTTTGTAAATTAAATATGACTCAAGATGCAACTACAAGAACTTTTTGTGGTACTAATGAATATTTAGCTCCTGAATTATTATTAAATCAAGGTTATACTAGATCAGTTGATTATTGGACTCTTGGCACTTTATTATATGAAATGTTGACTGGTTTACCACCCTTTTATGATGATGTGATAAATGAAATGTATCAAAAAATATTGAAAAATCCATTAAAATTTCCAAATTTTTTATTAAATACTGATGTACAAGATTTATTAGAGAAATTATTACAAAAAGATCCATCAAAAAGATTAGCAGATTCAAATGTAATAAAGAATCATCAATTTTTTAAAGATATAGATTGGGTTAAACTTTATAATAAAAGTTATTTACCACCTTTCAAACCAAATGTTGAAAATTTATTAGATACAAGTAATTTTGATCAAGAATTTACAAATGAAAAACCACAAGATTCAGTAGTGGAAGATTTCTTGTCGGAATCCGTACAGAAACAATTTGGAGGTTGGACTTATAATGGCGATTCTAATTTAAACTAATATACATTAACTACTTCTAGTACTTTTAAAGTATTGTTGTAATTTTGAATCGTCAGCATCGAAATATTTACCATCTCTTGAATTTATATAATCATTATGTCTTTGACGTAATTTTAATTTTTCATCTTCTCGAGTACCTCTTCTTTCTAAATCTTTAGTTAACCATTGTAAAGCTAATGGATGGAGTGAATTTGATTTACCAATTAAAATCTTGTCATCTTTTTCTATAATTTCTTTATTGTTATTAAATTCAATGTTCTCTATATTTATATCATTTAATTTCAAGCCTGAATCTAAATGAATTATTCGATCACACCAATTTTCACCAAGTCCATCAAATATATGAGTTGCATAAATGACAGTAGCTCCATTTTCACATTCCGATTTAAGATAATTTAACAATTTAGATCTAACAACTACATCTAAATCTATAGTCACTTCATCTAATAATAACAATTTCCAAGGTTTTATTAATCCCATTGCTATCTGAACTCTTCTTCTCTCTCCATCAGATAGATTTATCATTGACCAAGAAGGATCAATATCTAAAATATCAATCAATAAATCTCGTTTTTCTTGGTATATATTACCACCCACGGAATCAATTAATAAATTTACAGGAATATCTCTTTTTATAATACTATTTGTAATCCATTCAGTTCCAAGATAAGTAATATATTTATTTATATCTGAATTATGCTGTTCATTCCTTTTTATATTAAATTCAAATGGATCGAATCCACCAATTTTTAATTTTCCTTGCTTTATTAATGTTTTACCAGCTAAAACTTTAAGTAACGTTGATTTACCAGCACCATTTGGACCAACAATTAAATTGGTTGTACCCCATTCAATTTGTAAATTTATATTTTCTAGACCTATACGTTTTGTTGTACCATGCGGGAATTCATAGGTTAAATCAAAAACTTCAATTGCAAATTCAGACATAAGATCTGGTGATAAAAAAAAAAAATTATAATATTTCACTATTTGAATTATACGATAGTAACGATGCAGAACAGTAAGGATGCACTTGATATATATTTAGCACTCTACCACAGCAAGATTTCTTCTTTTGCAACTTTATTAGTTAATATTTCAAATATACTTTTCAAACTTGGATCAGTATATTTTCTATAATATGTTTTCAATAATCCAAGATATTCATAAAATAACCATTTCTTATCTACAATTTCATCATCACCTTCAATTTTAATCAATTCTTCACCTAATTCTAATTCATTCATATTATTTATAATATTAGTAACTACATCTCTAATAATTTCACTTCTATCTTCTGTATTTTCTAATATTCTATTTATCAGTTCCATACAGGATACATTATCAATTATTAAATTTAATTTCAAACATTTTTCAATAACATATTTCTTTTCCAATACTCCAAATTCAATTAAATTCTCCAATACTAAAAATATAACTTGTGGTTGATGATTCCAAATTCTAAAAATAGATTCAATTATCCAATTTTGTCTATCTTCAACAGATGAAGATAATTCAGTTTCAAATTGTGGTTCATCTGGTGAATAATCAATATTTGCACCCGATAAATATTTCAATTTCATTACATCTCTACTTAATATGGAAACAACTGAATATATAGATCTTGATCCAATATATGAATAAGTTTGAAATATTAAATTAATTAAAAATTTTTCAGATACCTCCTGTGTTAAATCTTGACATAATTGTTGAAATTCAATATTTGTTTTAAAATGAGCTATTATAAATTCATAAACTTTTGTAGCTAATTCAGAAAATGGTAAATCTGGATTTGTAAAATTATAAAAAATTTCATCTTGATGAGAAACATTCGATTTTGATTCAAGGAATACCTGTTTCTGTTGAAATAATTCTTCAATCTTTTCACGATGTCCATTATATAAATCCACATCATAATTTATAACCCATTCATTTGGAAATAATGAAATGTTTAAATATTTATTAAATTCATCAAATTCAACAACTTCACCATCGACATAATCAACAAAGGACTCCTTAATTTTCTTTTTATTACTTAATCTAATCTCTTTTGCAATTAAATTTTTAATAAAGTTTTTCTTTGGATGGAATTTTAAATTTGCATATTTTTCAGAATCATTTACCCATTCATCCCATTTCCAGCTAAATTCAAAATTTGAAATTTGTGTAGTCATCCAATCTAAAAATTTTAGTTTTAATTCATAATCTAATGTTTCTAAGTTATTATAAAAAAATCTAATAGCTCTTCCAAATACAGGTGCAATTGATTCTGGAGATTCTTTACAACATTGAATTAAAACAGTATAATAATAAATTTCAACGTGTAGGTTCTTCGGTAATTGGAAAATCATAGTTAATATACTTTCAACAGCCACATCTTCAATTTTCCAAGTTGATAAATTTGGATCATTTTCTCCCTTTTCATTATCTTCATGAATTAACTTAAGTTGGTCAATTGATGTGCCTGGTGGTGAAAATAATGCTTTATCAAAGAAAATATCCAAGATTGATAATTGTAAAGCTGCTTCATTTTTATTAAATGATAAATTAGTTAAAATATCAAATGAAATATCTTTGAAAAATAGTCCTAAGTAGGAACTGATCTCAGGAACAGTTTCAAATTCAGTATTATGATTATATACTTGAAATAATAATCTTGGATAGTTTAACCATAATGAATCAATTGAATTTTCTGGTGGTTTATATTGATTTATTTCCTCAAATGATGGTAATTTCAATTGTGGTAGATTATGTTTAATTATTTCTTGTGAGATTGTATTATTAGATAATGCATCATCTGTAATTGGTTGGATAAATGGTTTAAAATCAAGAAATAAAGTCAAATTCCAATTCTTTTCTTGTAATTTGTTCAATGATGGTAGGATTAAATTTATCATTTGAACTGGAGTATATGGAATTTCAAAATTACCTAACCTTGAATCAAAAGGCTGTAATAATTTAGAACTTTCGTCAACAATTTTAAAATTTTGTGCAATTTCAATCAATTCATTGATTAAAGTGACTAATTCTTCTTCTTTCCCATTACTTAATAAGTAAGGTATTGAGATTAATGTATTGAAATATATCTCTTGAGCTAAGCCATTTCTTGTCTCATATTGATTCTGCAAATCAATTGCAAAATTTAATAATTGTTTATAAATATTTATAATTGAATAATTTTCAGTTATTGGAATTAAAGTAGACAAAAATTTCAATATTGATTTTACATCATTAAAAACACCTGCATTTTCTTTTTCACTAAAATTTACAACTGAATCTAATAATGATTGAATTTTTGAATGTAAATATTCAAATACATATTTTGCAACAACGAAATTTTTAGCATTACAAATTAAAATTAAATTACTTAAAGCATTAATCTTATGTGGTTGTTCAATAATTAATGCATAAATAGTAGATAATATTGAATTTCTTAAATTATCAATTTTTTCAAATTCTGCTACAATTGGATTTGAAATATAATTTATATCATCAATTTGCGAATTTAAAACAGAATTTTCACCTAATCTTCTAATATCTTTACAAACATTATTAATCAATTCTTGTGCTGGATCTATATGATGTCTTTTAACTTCAAAGTCATTATTATCTTCATCTTCCCTTTGTCTCTTCCCTTCCATTGTTAATCGTTGAAAATTTCAATTTTTCGCTTCGTTAATTTTTTTCCCACCATTCAACAAGAATTTATGAGAAATTATAGAAATTTGTTGAATGCGAAGAGATTGGTTATAGATGGTGCTTTAGGAACAGAATTAGAAAATTTGCTAACTAGTTCAACTTTTAAACCTAGTAGTTCTCCACTTTGGTCTGGTCAAGTTTTAATTGAAGATCCACAATTGATTGAAAAAGTTCATAAATCATATATTGAAGCAGGTGCAAATATTATAATTACATCAACTTATCAAACGTCATACAAAAGTTTAAAAAAGTACTTAAATTATTCAGATGATGAAATTTATAAACTTTGGGAAAATGCAGTGATTGTGGCTAATAATGCTAAATCAAAAAGTATAAATACTGAGGATATTATAATTGCAGGTTCAATTGGTCCTTATGCTACATATTTAGCGAATGGCTCAGAATATACAGGAGATTATGGAGATATAACAAAAGAAGAATTGATTGATTATCATACTCCATTATTGAAATTTTTAATTAATTCAGAAGGTATAGATATAATTGCAATTGAGACAATACCTAATTTTCTGGAATTGCAAGTCATTATAGATCTAATCAAGAAATATGATACTAAACAAGTATTCATATCTATAAATTGTCAAAATAGTGAAAATTTATCTGACGGGACTCAATTAAATCAAGTTTCGGAGTACGTAAGTTCACAATTATCTGATAAGGATGAAAATTTTCTTGCTTTTAGTATTAATTGTACTGATTTCCAACTAATTTCAGATATTATTCCTAAATTCCAAAATTTCCCATTGTTTATATATCCTAATCTTGGTTATGAATATGATGAAAAAACTCACCTATTTATTATAAAAGAACATAAATCAATTTTTTTTTCAAGTGAGATTAAAAATTGGTTAAAATATGATAATGTTAAAGCTATAGGTGGTTGTTGCAGTGTATCACCAGTTGAAATTAAACAAATTGCCAAATTGGTAAATGATTTTAATGAGGAAAATAAATAGATAGATTGATAATAGATAGATTATAGAATGTATTATTAAATTTCTTTTTCCATATCTCGTAAATAGCATCGATATTGAGTTCTTGATAAAAGAATGTTTCTAGGTTACCTTCTTCTAAATTTCTTTTGAAGGATTGAATCCGAAAAACAGAAAAAATTTAGAGAATTATAAAAGAGTGGCTTGTCTCCTGCATGACTAAGACTATTCCTCGGGGAGATGATAAAATGTAACCAGTTTGGATTATTATATTTACGCGCATTTTAAACGCGAATTTTACGAGATCTAAAAATTTCTTTTTCTTTTTTTTTTTTTTTATCTAGTTTCATCAACTTGCAACCATTACGTAACCAACAGAAACCTTAGTCACACGAAGAAAGTTTGATCGGTTTTTGCAACAGTTTGATCTGAGATTCATGATGAATATTATTTTACATCGATCAATGTTTGTTTTGATTTATTTCAAATTGGAATTGTAACAACAACGTCATATAGTGTATCAAAAAAACAATTTAGCATAACATCGAACACCTTTGATAGTAAAAAATATATAAATATTGACTAATACTCCTCGGTTTTTTAATCAATCAGAAATTTTATGTTTTGCAAGTTTTGTTATTTTGTTTTCATTATAATTGCAATCTTTCAAAATTGAGTTAACCTGATGATCCAAGTATGGAATCATTCGAATAGTTGTTATGAAGAATTACCCAACATTGGATTTTAAATAAGTCTTGCAAACATTGATGCTCAAGTGAAATTTCATTTCAAATTAAATAAAAGTGACTGTCATATGCACTGATATCAAAAATTCAGCAAATGAAGGAATGAGTTGAGAGTTGAGTTATACAATAGTGAATTATTTTAAGTTAAGTTGAAGTGAAACCAAAATGAAGGTTGTTAGAGTAAGACAAATAAGAGCAGTTTATCAAAATTAGAATTATTAATAATCCAATCAAAATTTCAAATCATATAGATTACATTTGTTGGTTCCCAAACGTTTGAATCATTAATATAAATATAGATTACAATATACAAGAGGATTATTTTGAGTATTTTTGAGGAATTGCCATTTAGCAGTACAAAAATACGAACATATCGTAAACACTCTTATATTTCGTTCTCCCGAGTTTCTTTTTCTTAACCTTTGTTCTATTATATTTGGCACCTGGAAGCTAGTTGTGTCACATTTTTTTCAAATGTACATAGGTAGCAGATTGAAAGTTCGAAATATAATAAAATATTATTTTACGGCCATTCTTTCCCGTATAAGAACCCAGATTTTTTGAATTGCGGAGCTTTATCCAGATCCTCCCCAGGATTCAATCATCTACACATGAAAAAGAAACGAAAAAGAAACGACTATAGATATTAAAATGTATAAATAGACCTTCATTTGTGTCTAATTTCAATTTCATAAGTTCAATTCAAATCCAAACAAATCTAAATTAAATATGTTATTCAAACAATTAGTCGCTTTATTAATTATCCTACAATTAGTCAGTGGTGCTGCTTTGATATTACCAAATACAAATAAAATTAATAGACCTAATTTACAAATTGATTGTAAACAATTTTGTTCAAAACAAGCCTCAAATCCAGGTAAAAAACATCCATTTTTAAGATTTGCTAATTGCATCTGTTAAACTGCTGAGACGCTATAGCTGCTCATTATTACATATTTATTATTGCATTATTTGATTTACTTTGCTTGTTTACTGTTTGCTTATAGACTTTTATAAAATGACTTGTGAAATATACTAAATTGTGTATTATTAAACAGATCTCTAAACTGATTATTATTAAAGCCAATACTTTTTTCTGGTGTCAATACATTCTAATATTAACAATTGAGCTCAACGTTAGAGAACCATGGTTGACGATAATTTATTTTGGTCTGTTTCAGAATTCGCTTTTTTTTTTTTTTCATTTTTATTATTAATGCCAAAGACAAAGATTAAAAAGAATCAACCACCACCAGAAGGATACACACCATTGCAACCAACCCTAACAAAATACCTAGACAAACTAAAAGAAGCCCAAACCAAGAAAGATCCAACAAAGTCGAAAACTCAAGCATTATGGAAAATTTATCAATTAAACCATCAAATTTCAAAATATATCTTTCAGTTATATAAAGATGACAAAATAAGTAAAGATTTATATGATTGGTTATTGTTACAAAGTTACGTTGATAATGGTCTAATTGCGAAATGGAAAAAAATGGGATATGAGAAGTTATGTTGTTTACAATGCATTTCTGAAAATGTATGTATTTGCCGAGTGCCCAAAAAGCAGCTATTAAAAGATGATGTTGAGAAAGCTACTATTGAATGTAATACTTGTGGTTGTACTGGCTGTTCGTCAAATGATTAGGTAAGGATGCAACAAACACTTATATGGTAATCAAGCCTGGTTTTTGGAACAGCATCTTTATTTATGTTAGGTTGGTCATAAGTATTGCTCAATCTCAATAAATTAAATAATTAGATATTGCAGAATTAATACTTGTATCATCAGTGGGTCCTGAAATACGGTTCATGCTTTGCTTGCAATAATTAAGAAGGATAAGAAAACAATGTTTCAAATTTAGAACCTAATAAATGCTAAAGAGTTAATTGCTATTCATAGTCTCATTCAACCAGAGTCACATATTGTAGAGTACAGAGTTATAATACACATTTCCCAAAAACCACTTTATTAAAATTATTTATCCCAATTAAAAATATGTTTACTTTCAAATATCGGAGACGAATGGATTTCTAAATTTCTCATAATCATTTCATCATCATCATAAGATATTAGATTATTACCACCAGTTATTTTCGACAATTTTGAATGTGAATTAGAATTAAACCCATTATTAATATTATTATTCACCGGACTATAATAAAAATCATCAAGATAAGAAGGAGAATTCCAAATTTTTTTCAATATTATTGAATTTGTAGTTGGTGTTCGAATATTTTTAATTGGTGTTTTCTTTGGTGTTCTTTTAATTAATACTTGATGATATAGATTATTATTTGAATGGGGAAGGTTTGGTTGATATTGTTGTTTTGGAGTTATTGGTTCTAATAATGGTCCTGTTTCACTTGTCCTTATTGGAGATAATTCAAAATTTGAATTATATGATGATGTATAAGTTAAATTACGTTCTGCTAATATTGGTCTATTAGGTGAATTTATAATAAATTGTGGAGTTGAAGATATTGTTGGAGTTTTTTGCAACTGTTGTTTTTTGAATGGTGGTGGATTATAATCTATAATTGTTAAGTCAGTTTCTTCTTCAACATCGAGACCATGGTCTGAATTTTCTGCTTCTTCTTCAAATTTTCTCTTCTGGGACTTAGGAAAGTTTTCTTTCTCATTTTCTTGTATATCTTCTTGGTCTTGTTGGGTATTTGGAGTCGGTGATGATAATATTTCTCTTTTTGCAGCCATTTTCGCAGCATTTAATCTTGTTGCTTGATTTATTTGATCCATTACTTCATGATAACTTGATTTCTTAACACTTCTACTTTTTAAAAATTGTTCTTCATGACCTGGTTTAATACACCAAAAATGACCCTTTCCATCTTTTGATTTTTCGCCTTTTATAAACGCTTTATTTAAAGACAAATTGTGTCTAATTGAATTTTGCCAACCAACATCTTCTTTTCTATAAAATTTAAAAGTATCTGAAATCCACAGATAAATGTGAGATAATGTTAATCTTTTATCAGGGTGAGATAAAATTGAAATTCCAATTAATGTTGCATAACTATAAGGTGGTTTATCTTCAGAATTTAAATTAAAAGGCGCGGAAGATGATGCAGATGAAGTTGTAGATTTCTTTTTAATGGGAGATGATTGAGTATTATTCTTAGTTATTGAATTTTGTGGTGATGAAAAAGCAGGTGATAAGTATGAAGTAGATATTAAATTTTGTTTAGACGACGATGAATTATTCTGGTCTTTGTCTTTTGATGGAAATAATTTTGAATCTATTAAAACATTTGGATTTAAATTTATTGATTTTATTGGAGTTTCAAATTGTGTTGATGATTTATTGAATATTGAATCTGGTGGTGTTGTTGAATTAATAAAATCTAAATCATTATAATTATAATTTGTAAGGGTATATGATGTTGGTTCAGTAGTTGATGACGATGTATAAGACGATTTTGATGGAGTTAATTCTAAATTTGAAGCTTCTTTTAATGGAATTCTTGTCATTGTTATATAATCAAATCATGAAATGATTAAACTGGTGATAACTGATAAAACCTAAAACTTGAACTATAAAGCGGGGGGATAATATGATATAAACTTGTGGATATGTGAAATCTTTAAAACAGACTGATTGTCAATAACTAATGAAAGATAAGGAAATGAATATAAATGAATATAAACTGACTAATTCAATTTGGTAAATTATTTGATGATTTTAATTAATTAATATAAGAAAAAAAAAAAAAAAAATTATAATCTGAAACGCAAATTTTTATTTTTTTTATTTTTTTTATATATAAATCAAAACGCGAAAAAATTAAAAAAAATTAAAAAGCGTGTTTTTTTAAACTATATGCACTCCACGTATCTCAGCTTATTTTATAATATCGTATCTTTAAGTAATTGTAACATCACCATCTTTAACCGTATGAGGATTATTTCTTATCTTTATGGTTACGATATTAAATATTGAGCTAGGTGGTAGAGAATGATAAAAAATTGGTGAATAGTCAACGAAAGGAGTAGGTCAATTATCAGTAATTACAACTGAAAGTGGTGTTTGGTATTTGGTATTTGGTATTCCAATTTCCAATTTCATATTAGATTGCTTATCATCTATCTGTTATCTATCTCTAGCACGCTCTCTAATTTCAATTTGGATTGTGATTTTAGTCTTTTAGTTTTGTGTAATAATGTCATTTTTTAATCTTGTATCACATTTGGCAAAAAAAAAAAAAAAAAAAAAAAAAAATAAAAAGTGGTGCTACCAATTAATTTTGCAGCCATTTTACACTACCGCCTGTGCTTCCATTTTATGCAACATTCAAAAAAAATTATTTATCAATCAATCATTAATTATTGATAAATGGATGATTCAGTTAGATCTTTAATTAGATTTGTTGGTAGAGGTTTTTATACAACTCCATATGTTTTAATTCTTGATGCTGTCCTAAGACATTCTGTTTTATCAGAAGATGATTTAATTCATTTATTAGGTATTAAAAGAAAAGAATTAAGATCTGTATGTAATAAATTAGTTGATGATAGATTATTAATAAATCATATTCAAAGAGAAGAAGGTATTGGTTTTCATCAACAAAAATACGTTACGCGTACTTATTTTTTCATTCATATTACAGAAGCTATTGATTCTATAAAATGGAAAGTTCATTCAATTGTAAATAATTTAAAAAGTGAAATGTCAAATTTTGGTAATCCACAAGGTTATATTTGTCCAAGATGTGGGAAAAAAGTTAGTCAATTAGATGCTATAAGTTTGTTGAGTGAAGATAAAACTGAATTTATTTGTGATGTTTGTCAAGGGATTTTAATTGAAGATGATCTGCATCAACAAGCAAGTTTAAAACAAGAAAGATTAGAAAAATTAATGGCACAAATTGATCCAATAATTAAATTTTTAAAAATTATTGATGATAAACAAATTCAAGATAATGATTTTGAATCGAGTTTATTACAAGCAATACCTGCACAATCTTCAACATCAGCATCGTATTCATTATCAAATAGAATTAGTTCAAAATCGAGATCAGCAAATGCAGCAGCATTACAAAATCAAAATGCGAAATCACAAGCAACTTTACATGTTTCAATTACAGCAAATGATGAAAATTTAGAAAGAGAATTGGAAGAAAAAGAAAGAAAAAGACAAAAATTGGAACAAAATGCATTACCATCATGGCATTCAAATTCTACTGTGGGTCATATTCTTAATAAAGATGAACTGGAAGACATAAAAGAGGAGAATAATGATGTAATTGATGAAGAACCAAAGAAATTATCAATATCAAATGCAAGTAATAATACTGATTTGAAAGATAAAGAAGCACAAGATGCATTAGCAGCATATTATGCACAATTAGCAGAACAACAAAATGAAGAAGAAGACGATGAAGAAGAAGAAGAAGAAGATGATGATGATGAATTTGATGATATTATATAGTAGTACTTGGTAGCATAATTATAGACATGTGTATATATATATAGTAGTGTACTTTGTACCAACATTTGATAGTTGAAATAGTATTTTTTTCGCAATCCCCTAATCAATCCGAAGTTTGCAATTTATACTTTCTTAAAATTTGTTGCCAAATATGTCAGATATTGTGACACCACATTCAAGACCACTAACTCCTAATCCACAATCATCTGCTTCTTCCAATCATTCATCAACTAAATTACAAGTACCTCCATTTGAAAAATCAATATATGAATCACTAAATCATTTATACAAAAATTTATTAGAATTAAAGAATAATAGAGATATATATATAAATTCAAAACAAACTTATACTATATATGATCAGTTTTTGAATATCATTTATGATTTAAAATTAGTTAGAAAAGATGAAGAATTAAAAGGTTTAACTTTGGTTATACCAAATAATAATGATTTAATAATTGATGATATTTTTCAATTAATATCTTTATGTTTTGTTACTTGTGGTTTAATTAAGTTTGCTCCTGCTACTTATTCAAGTTTATCTACTGTTATGAAATTATTAAATCATTTAAAAGAATGTAAAGTTTATACAATGGAGGATTTACAACCAATTGGTTCAAGATTAGAAGAAATTAGAGATATAATTTTAAATTCAAATGAAAATTATGAATTAGATGATCATGATCAATTTTCAAAAGGGTTACAAGATAATCATCAAATTGAAGAAACTTTATTAAGAAATAAATTAAATAAATGTGAACATTTGTATGATGAATTGGTTGATAATTTTAATAATTTTCCAAAAGATTTAGAACCAATATATCATAAATTAATTAATATTAGAAAAAATATATTAAATTATATAACAAATCTAAAACAAGATACAAGTGGTAAAGTTGAAAATGTTACAAATAAAATTGAATCATTTAAAACTGAGTTGAAAAAGATTGAAAAATTAAGAGATGAACACGATGGTAAATTTCATAGTGATTTAGATGACAATAGATTAGAATCAAGTCAAGCTATAATAAACGGTTTAATTGATGACTGTAATAATTTATTGAATGATTTGTTAATTCATGAAGAAGAAATTTCTTTAGAAAATTTAAAGATATCTGATTCAAAAGATGAAGTTAAATTAAAATTTGATTCTTTATATCAACAATTACTAGATTTAAAATTAACTTTAGAAAATTTATTAATTACAAGAAGATGGACATTAAGAGAAACTGATTTATATAATTATCAAAAATTATTAAAAACAATAGATGATGAAAGAATTCAATTAATGAAATCTGCCACCACCAAATCACAAGATTATAAAAAATCACAAACTTTAATTTTATATTTATTAAGACGATGTTATAGTATAATTTATAAATTATTAGAATCAAGTGAACCAGTAAGTGAAAGTTTAACTCCTATACATAATCAATTACAAACTGTTAAAAGATGTTTATTAGAATTAAAAAGAGTTGATGGTTTAAATAATTTAAGAGAATTATATCCTTTTCAATTTAAATTAGGATCAATTGATAATTTAAGAAAAGATGGAAAATTTATTATTGATAATCATGTACCTGAAGGTCAAGGTGCTTTATGTGCTTTATTAAGTGAATGTTTTGATATTTTACAAGAAATGAAGATTGAATTGGAAGAAAAAGAATTGGAAAATGGTGATGATTTAATTAACGATGATATAAATGGAGGTTCTTTTACAAATTCAAAACATTTAAATGATGCTGATGGTGATATAAATTTAACTGATGATGAAGTTGAAATTAAAAGAAATAGATTTAAAGAATTTAAACCTGCTGATTATGATATTGAAACTGAATCAGTTTTTGATGATGATGATGATGATGATGATGATGATTATAAAATGAGTGAAAATGAATATGAGGAGAATGATTATTATTAGGTTTTAAGCTTGATACTTATAAATATTTATTGTATATTATAAATAAACATAGTTCTATAAATTTATGGCCCCAGGATTTTCTAAAACACATTATAGTACGAAGTCGCACACTTTTTGTCGCTGCAAGTTTCCGCCATCAAATCTGAAACAGTATTATTATTCTGCATATCAATTTTTGGCTCATCTTGATAATGTATTGTTATTGTCATTCGGATAATGATAAGGAAACGAAGGTAAAACTGGCTATCAAAGATCTAAGTAAGGCTCTTGCATTTCTAACCGAACTGATAAATCCAAAATTAGTTAACGCTGAACCAAAGAACGAATTGGATTCAAGTATTAAATTGCCAGATAAATTACTTGAAATTGCCGTGAAGCATTTAAATCAAAGAGATACTTTAAATTTATTGAGGACGCATAGAAGATTCAAACTTATATGTCAGAAAAAGCTTTACAGGGAAATCATAATTTATGCTGATGAAAAATCGTACCCATTCCGTAGGCAAGACTCGTCTGCCACTTTATTGTATCCTGAATTCCTGAAGAATGATTCTTATTATTCCGACCACACATTTGTTAAACAATCTAAATTCAGCTCATTGTTCAACGACGATTTTAGGTATTATTTGTTGAATAAGATTTATATCGAATCTTCTGAGTATAGGATTGATCAGGATTACTTAAAATGGCATTCAAACTTTGGAATGGGTAGTATGAATAACTTAAGGGTCTTGATTTTATAAATTTGGTACTTAGGTGCAGAGAATTTGTTGTTCTTGAGATATAAACCAATGAGTTTGGTACGACTCGCCCTGCATCTAGCGCGAAAAAAATTTCTTTGGTACACCAAAATATGGCATTGTCAGATACTTGTTATATCCTTCTGCAACAAACCCTATATGCAGTCCCACAATAGCTAATCTTAGTAGACGATATCATAGTGCTACGACAATTTTGAGGGCTTACACTGTGTTCGAATAACTTTAAAGCTTATAGATTATGTTTTTATCGACCCAAAATTAAAAGTCTGTAGTGTAAATCTTGTATATATACTATTTAGTTTAAAACAAAGCCTGTTAACGCAGCAATTTTGATGCGACAAAATATTTCTGGAACCATCTAAAGGAGCTGACAAAGAGCTTGGGCAAAAACGTAAATCACATATTCTAACTTTAGTATTAGATTAGTACTAAACACTGCCAATTACCGATTATTACAATCACTGCTTGATTCAATATGTAATAATGAAAAATCAATTGGTAGCTCCTATCAAAAGCAGTGTGAATTCAAAAGTTTCTTTTTTTATTGTTTCAAAAAATCAAAAAATTTATTAACGAATTTTTTATATTTGCCTGCAACATTACTTTCAACAACATCCAACAGGTATCAAAGGCTACTGATATATATTTATTACCATTAAGAACTTGAACTTGAACTTAACAAGCTAAAACAAATTTCACAAGACACTTTTATTTTTGCATTTTTAAAATTTTCACTCCTCCTAATATGATGTCAGCAGGCTTTCAATGGGGATTGAATAACAATAATCTCAACAACAATAATACTACTCAGAATTTCAGTAAACCATCATTTCAATTATCATCTGTACCTCGCTCATCAGTAGTCACATCAGCTTTTTCAAAAAAGAGGAAAAGAATAATGGAAGATGAATCTGATGAAGATACTCAAAATTTACATACTGAAAGGAAAACATTCACTTTTAAAAAATCAAGAACTCCTAAAATTATCGGTCAACCATTACCTACATCAAGACTTATTGAGACATTAGACAAATCATCATTACAAAAATTATTAAATAATTTAATCCAAACTAATCCAAGTATAACATCACAAATTTATAGAGAATCACCATCACCTTCAATTTCAAACCTAATAGAAATATTACAATTTAAATTCCAATATATAATTGATCATTTGCCATATAAATGTGATACAGAAAGTGATTATTCATATTTAAGAATCAAAAATTATTTCAATGAGTTTTTAAATTGTCTTTCTGATTTCATATTATGGACATTACCTCCAAATAATAACAATTTTAATTTACACAATTTGTTATATTTTTTTCAAGAAGTCACTAGTTTAATTTTTAAATTGCCAAATTTTACAAATTCCGAATTTCAATATACTAAAAATTTAGCATATGAACAAATTTCAAATAGTTGGTTAATTATAATAAATTCACAAATTGATGATATTGAAAATGATAATAATTCAGATAATTTAAAATCAATAACTGAGTCAATTAAGGTTATTAAAGAATTTGAATTGCTTTCGAAATTGGAAAAATTCAATCAATATGATAATAATTATAAATTTCAAAATGTTATAGATTATTTAAATAAGAAAATTGAACAATTTGAAATTATTACAAATAATCAAGAAAATAATAGTTTAAATGAACTAATTACAATTGATTATTCTCAATATTCATTAAAAAATTCATCAATATAGAAATACAATTCTTCTTTATGATATTCATTAATTCTATATAGTTTAAATACACATTTCTAAAGCTTGGATAGCTGATTCATTATTTGGATTCATTAATAAACTACGTTGAATATTTCTTAATGTACCTTCATTCAATAAAGCCATTGAATAATCAATACCAGTAACTTTAACATCATGCAATTTTATTATCTCATTAGCCATTGTATGATTTATATTCTTCCAAATATGATAATTAAATGGAAATAAATAAGCATAACGATTCCAAATATCATTATTATCATCACCAAATCTTTCATTAATTTCTGATAATAATTTAGGCACTTCTTTTTGAACATCATTCATAATTTCATTTAAATTAAGCCCTAATAACTCTTCTTTAATTGCTGGTAAATATTCTTCTAAATTATCAACAATTGAAATAGCACCCAATGTTAGTACAACTAATAAACTACTTCCATTTTCTTCAATATATGTAAATAATTGATCTATTGCTGCTTGTTTTGTCTCTTCTGTACCATGAGCATATAAAACTTGAGCTATTAAATTGACTATTCTAGATGATTCAGAATACGAATTAAGAACAATTTTGAATTCTTCAAGTGCTTTTTCAAATTCATTTTTGAAAAAGTAGCATAAACCAAGTGTGATTCTAATTGAAAGTTGTAAATTCTCATTCCCTTCACCTTCTTCAATTAATTGAGTTGCCATCTCTGCTTCTTCTATTGATTTATCAAATTGACCCAAACCCAAATTTATTCTACTTAACTGACCTTTTATAATTGCAAATTTTTCCATAACCAAAATACTTTCAGTTTTTTCAAATTTCTTTTCATATATTGAACATAATTTGTCACCAATCATTAATGCAGTTTCATAATCTTTACATCTTTCAGCAATTGATAATGCAATACTTAATCCATTTTCATCATCTGGATAATATTTTAAATATTGTTGCATTGCATAATTACTAATACCGAATTCTTGAGCAGTTTCAATATCTTTTGGATTTTGTCCTTCTGATTTATTTATAATAGATAAACCATATAAAAAATGTGCTAATGCTAATCTACCTTTTGATAAAGTGAAAGCATGAGTATAATAACTATTTGCTTTTGATTCATCACCTAAAATTTCTGAAGTTACTGCATGACCTAACCATGATTGAGCATCTTGTGGAGCAACAGATTGAGCTCTCAAAAATGTTTCTTGTGATAATTCAGTATCACCATATCTTAAAAATAATGAAGCTAAATTTACCCAAATTTCAGCATCTTTAGCTTCTAAAGTAGTTGCTTTAATATAACAATGTTGTGAAATTTGTGGATTATTTGAAAAATAAGCATTTCCTAAAGCAATCCAGTAATTTGGGTTACTTGATTCAATTTGAATAGCCTTTTTGAGGTACGTAATTGATGCATCACGATAATTTACGTTTTCATCATTTTGATAAGATTCAAGTAATGATAAACCTAAATTGTAATAACATGTAGCTCTTAATAATTTATGTGTCTTTTGTGGTAAATAATTTATTGCTGCAATTGAAGAAAGTATAACAAATATATGTAATGATTGTATTATATCTTGTTTGAATAATGATTTTGCATTCTCTAACGTAACTGTTTTATCCAACACTAAATCATTTTCTAAATTTGTAAAAATTTCAATTAAATCATCAATAGGTACTTCATTTGCATGTTTTCTCAATTTAATAAATACTTTTAAACAATCACCTAAAGCTTTCCAAACTTTTTGAGATGCTGTATTTTCTAAAATTGATTGTTTAATAAATCTTAATGCTTTTAAATTTGCATTTATAGCTCTTCCAAAATATCCAGTTTCCATGAATTTTTTCGTATTTTCAATATTTGCTTCATATATGGCACTTAAAATACATTCTTCACTAGGTTTCATTTCTAAAGCTTCATATAAATAAGTTAAGCCTTCATTAAATTCCTTCATTTCACAAGTTACTACACCCAACATATATTTAACAACCCATGAAACTTCCTTTTTCATTTCAATTGCATGTTGGAAAACTTTTGAAGCTGCATCAAATCTACCACAATTATAATAAGCTTCACCTAAACCAACCCAACATTCAAAATCTTCCGAATTTAATCTTAATGCATTTTGATACCATTCAACAGCTTTTGCATCATCTTGTACATTTAAAGCAGCAGAACCTAAAACTCTATAAGGCCAAGTAGAATCTTTTCTACTTCTCATAATTAATCTTCTTGAGCTCTCATTTGTAACTACTCGTTTAGCTAAAACTTGTACAACTTCCCACTCATTTTTAAAAGCTGCTTGTTCAACCAAATATTTAGCAGCTTCAATTTCATTTAAATCTAATTCAAAAGCTTTATAAAAACATTTTTGTGCTCTTTCTAAATCTCCATAATAATCTTGAAAAATTATACCTAATGAAGTATATGATGGTGCATATAAATCAGATTCTTTTAAAGATTGAACTAAACTTTTGTGACATTCATCAATTTTCTCTTCAATTAAATAACTTTGAGAAATTCTCCAATATGCAATTGCTCGAACATCACGACTATGTAAATCACCATCAGTTACAGTTTTTAAAAAGTTTTGTAATCCAATTCTACCTTTTTCTGGTTCACCTAATTTAATTAAACACCAATAATATTCAGATTTAGCTTCTAAATTATCTGGATGATTTTCAACAACTTCTTCTAATAATAATTTAGCTTCTTCCAATTCACCTCTTTCAACAAAAATTAATCCCTTTCCAACTTTGGCTTTAACATTGGATGGATCATTTTCCAATACTTTATCATATAATTGAATTGCACGGTTATAATTTTTGGGAGCCTCATAGTATGTATATACAATAGCTAATGAACAAAGGAAATTTTCTTTAGTGTTTTCTAGGATAATTCCAAAAGTACGTTGAATATCAGCTACTATTCTTATCCCATCTCTACATCTTTCTGAAGCAACACTATACTCACGTATATGAATATAATAATCAACAATTATCCTATTTGCTAATACCGAACTTTTAGCTTTTGAATAACCTTGTAATATCAACTCTAAAACTTCTTCTAGTGGGAGATATAATTTTTCTTCTTCTTCTTCTTTATCATCAGCTAATTCCAGTAATGCTTTTGCATCTTCTTCACTTTCTATATTTACTTGTTTTTTCTCTTTGTTATTTATTGTTCCAGATAAACCCTTCACTATTTTGTCTTTATTAAATGGAGATAATTCACTCATTACATATGCAAATAAAATTAATCCCAATCCTTCATTTTGAAATTTTTGTAAATATGATATCACTTTATCTTCATCTAAATCAATAATAGTCTTTGCATCACTCCAATCAAAATACAAATTCCAACAAAATAAACTTGGAGTGTCAAGTAGTATCATATCATCAACTTGAGATTTTATATCTTTATACATTGCATCTTTATCAGGACATATTTTCAATAAGTCATATTTAAATTTAAGAAGCTTATCCTCATATTTACGTCTTAATGCATCATCATTACAAATATTTAAAAATAGATCATATAAATTTAGAATTAACCCATCTGAATAATAACCATATGCAATTTCATCCAATTTTGACTTTTGATCTAATGTAATTGCTCTTCCAAATTTAACACGTTCTTTTGAAATAACACCAACTACTGCTTTCTCCAATTGCGCTTGTTTAAAATCTAATAATTTTCGAACTGTTGATTCGGGTGGTTCAATTGATGGACCAATTAATTCACCAAGTTCTGTACCTGGTAAAATTTGTTTTAGATAGTATTCATGTAATTCATCATTTGAGTTTATTTTATGTAAATCTAAATAATTTCTTAAATCTCGAAGACTTTCAGCAATCAGTATACCTTGATCAATCAAAAGCCTTACCAAATTTGTAAAAACATTGAAAAATAGTTTGCTGTCATCTAAATTCTTCACTATTTGAAAATAACCTTTCCATGCTAACAAATTATCCGGTTCAATTTCAGTAGCTTTTTTAAATGCTTTAATTGCTTCATCTATCTTCTTCTTTAATTGATAAGCTTTGCCTTGGAAAACATATGCAAAATAACAAGATGTGTCTTGTTTAAGTATTTCTTTACAGTAATCTAATGCAGAATCAGGATCATTTGATTCCAATGATGCCTTTGCTGATTTTAAAAGTGATTTGACATTAGACATTGAAAAGTTTAAATTTTTCAATGCTCTTTATTGATTCGATTGGGATAATTTTGCAACGAAAAAAAAAAATAAAATCGTTTAAAATTCGAAACGCCATGGGCCAGAGACATGTAAAATACTATGAGAAAACTACGCTACGGGTAGACCAAGGTAGGAGACGAAAACCAGACGAGCTACTTTACGTTTTGCTAATAAAGTCTAAGCTTGATATTTTTTAAATTTATCCGTAAGTTTTTTTAGTCAAGAGCCGAAACAATGTTGAGAAACAATGCTATCGTATTTTAAAGCATTATTAAGCCCTCTTTGACGTCAATAGGAGAGAGAGGCATAATTGATATGGCAATTGGTACTACTCTATTTATAAATTTAAAGTATACACGGACTTACCACAAATGCAGAATTCCATACAGATAAAAGGAAATCTAGATTACCACCAAAGAAACGTCCTACTATCTCTCCTATTTCTTTACAACGTTTCACTCAGACTTCCGAACGCATCTGATATTATTCTATTGATAAAGTTGTTTTGTCGATTATACATAATTACAAAACAATAGAATTGGCTTATCTAAAAATGATAATTTACTGTATAAGAACAAAACATATAATATTATACTTTTTTTGGTGATAATCTTTATTGTATTGTATTATTGTTCTGTATTACAGGCTTTCTCTAAAAAAGCTTAGCCTGTCAAATTCGTATTATATTAATTATTTACCAAACAATGAAATTTAATTGCTGACAAAGTTTGAAATAAGGGTTGACATGGTATTTAATGAACTGAGATTCCTTCTATTATAACTCTATATTCAACATGGTATTCAACTTCCATATGAATGAATCAGTCGTCAAATGGGCAATTATCCTATTTGCAACTTATATAATCTATGTCACGATTAAAAAGGTTCAAATTTATAGATTTAAAAGGGCTAATGGTTGTAAAGAAGGTTTCCATTTCAAACCTTCTTATTTCGGTATTCCCTATATTCGAAATATAATAAAAGCTAAAAATTCAGGGAGGTTCAATCATTTCGTAAAGGAACATTATTCATGGTTACCTAAAAACTATTATAGTCACATCGCTGGATCTATATCGTTTGCAACTTGTGATCCAGAAAACATCAAGGCTATTTTAAGTACACAATTTGATAATTTTGGTGTTGGATTAAGATACGAACAGTTAAAACCTTTATTTGGTTTAGGTATCTTTACTGCTGATGGTGATGTTTGGAAACATTCACGAGCTATGTTAAGACCTCAATTTGCAAAGGAACATATTAAACATGTACAAATGTTGGAATTTCATTTACAAGTAATGGCTAAACATATTAGAAAATATTCAAATGGTGAAACATTTGATTTTCAAGATTTAATGTTTAGATTCACATTGGACGCAGCTACTGATTTCTTATTGGGTCAATCTAATCATTGCTTATATGATGAATCAATTGGTTTAAATTATAAGCATGAGACAGATGCAGGTTATGGTTTCCGAAAAGCTATTGAAGGGTCACAAACTTGGATTTCTACAAGATCATTTGCTCAAAGTTTTTATTTCTTAATTAATGATAAAGAGGGTAAAAGACAAGCTGATCAAGTTAGAGAATTTTGTAGATATTATGTTAACAAAGCTTTCAAGTTATCACCAAAAGAATTGGAAGAGAAATCAAAGGATAAATATTATTTATTATATGAAATTATGAAAACTCAGAACGATAAAGGGATAGTATTAGATCAAGTCATTAACGTGTTATTAGCAGGCAGAGATACAACAGGTTCTTTAATTTCATTTGTGTTTTTTGAATTGGCTAGAAATCCAGAGATTTGGAATAAGTTAAAAAATGAAATTTATAAACATTTTGGATATGGATCCCCAGAGGATATTTCAAAAATTACATTTGAGACATTAAAACAATGTCAATACTTAAGATGGGTTATTTTCGAAACTTTAAGAATGTATCCTACCTTGCCTTTAAATTTTAGAATTAGTACAAAAAGACAAACATTACCTAGAGGGGGTGGAAAAGATGAACAATCTCCAGTATTTATTGAAAAAGGTCAAGTTGTAATATATAAAGTCTTACATATGCATAGAAGAGAAGAATTTTATGGAAAAGACGTTGATGTATTCAGACCAGAACGTTGGGAACATTTAAATAAAATCGGTTGGAGTTATCTTCCATTCAATGGTGGTATGTAAAAATTAACTAACTTATTAGTTCATACTAACTTATTCTAGGTCCAAGAACTTGTCTTGGTCAACAATTTGCCTTGACTCAAACTTCATACGTTACGGTTAGATTAGCTCAAATGTTTCCACATTTAGAATCTAGAGATCCAGAATATCCTCCAAAGACATTATTCACAGTTAATCAAATTTTATTTGATGGTTGTTTTATTCTGATGAAATAAAGTATGTAAGGATGCCATAAAGGGCCATAAAGGGCCAAAATGTAAGGATGTAATATATAGTGAGCATATGGAAAATAGACGATACATATTAATTATTTTTCTTTTTTATACGCCATGGCTGAATTACAAAATACTGCAAAATTCGCCACAGGTATTATTAATTGGTTATCTGAATTCCCACACCTGCCGGTTATTACCGATACTAGTATTGATGAATTATTTAAACCTTATATATTACATCGAATTTTTGTATTATTAATGGATCAAAAAGATTTATGTCTGATTAAAGAAGTAAATTGGGTTTCGCAAGATATAACACAAACAGAAAGTGGAATAATCATAACTAATGAGTTATTAATCCAAATTGATTCATTGAATAAAATATTAACTCATCATTTAAAATCAAATGATTTTGGTTTAGTTTCTTTAAATTTATATCAATTAATTATCAAACGTGATTTTAACGAATTACAAAATTTATGTCAAATTATTTTAAATATCGGTACTACTTCTTCTAAATTATCAACTCATGGCTTATCATATATTGAATTTTTACAAGATGAAGACAGAGAATTGATAAATTTACATAGGGATAAAAATAAGAAAAAGGTAAAATATCCAGGTTTAGAATTTGGTTTACCTGATTCTAATTCGGAGTTTAATAATTATCAATCTGAAAATTATTCAATCATATCAGGTACCGAATACGATGCAATTAAATTTGAAAATGAATTACTCGATGAAATTATATATAAATTAGCTAAGGAAAAATTTTAATTAAATCTAGATAATACATTATCCAATTTATTTTCTTCCTCGGGTATACCTTGATTTAATTTACGTCTTCTTTGTCTTGCTTCTTTTTCCTTTTGTAAATTCTTTTCAATTCTTAATTTTCGAACATCTATTACATTTTGTGTCTTCTTTCTTAAATGTTTTCTTAATGCTGAATTTTTACCCTTTACTTCTGGTCTAATCTCCAATTTATCTTCTTTATTTTCTATTTCATTAATTTCTCCGGGTTTCAATCGTATGTTTTTAGCACGTTTATCAACTGTACCTATGAAATTTGGATCCAATGCAATTGAATCAGATGGTAATTTATTAAGTAATGAATGTATTTCCAGTTCTTGTCTTTGTTTTGCAGTTTCATATGGATTTAATTCTAATGCATCATAATTAGCTTCACCGGAACCAGGTACTATAATTGAACTAAAACCTTTTTGATGACCTATTCCCAAAATATCTTCAAATGGTACAAATTTAACCTTGTCAGTTTTAGATCCAGGTAGTAAATGATTCATATATGGATCAGCTTGATGTTTTCCCTTAAACATATCTTTCCAAATCGTTACGTGAGGTCCCCAACCAACTGATAATAATCCATTATCCGATATATCTAATGAAGTAGCTGGTGTTGGAGTATAATAAGAATCAATTTCTTTAAATTTCCTTATATCCCATATTTTCAAGGTCTTATCACTTCCACTGACAGCCATGTATTTACCTTCTCTATCAATTGCCAAATCTCTAATTGGACCTCTACAGCTTTGTAATTTAACTAATGGATCAGATACATTAGGTGACCATATTGTAATTTGACCATTTCCATGACCTAAATGAATACAAGCATTCCAAGGATTTTGTTTCATTGCTTGAGTAGGACCCAATTTTGTTTTAATTTCACTTACTAATTGACCAGTTGAAACATCATGATATTTAAGAAACCCAGATTGACCAGCAGTAGTTAATAAAAAATGGTAAGGTAAAAAATCTAATAATGTTGCTTCTATATGTTGTTTTAATCTATGTAATTCAATACCTTGTTTATCATAAATAAATGTATATTTCTTTTGAGCAACTGCAAAATATTGATCATTATGTAAATATTTAACAGCATTTATTGTTTCATTTAAATGTAATTCGGAATCTAATTGACCAGTTCTCCAATCTATTGAAGCTACATGACCTTTTTTACCACCAATTAATAAATTACGACCATTTCGGGAATAATCAATTTGATATGGACCAAATTCAGGTAAGTTTAAATCAAATTTTTTATTTGCTGTTGATTGATCTACAACATTAACTATATCATCTTGTTTAAATTTGAAAGTCTTTTCCATACGACCATCAGCTTCAAGAAAACCTTCATTTTCTTGTAACAATAAATCAGTACCAGCTGCTGAATGTATTGCATCTTTATATTGTTTATCAATTTTTTGTAATTTTGAATTTAGTCTTTTATCTTTTGTACTTCTCTTACTTGAATAGTTACCATTTCTTTCATATTTACTTGTATCTCGTTGATATTCTGTTGATTTAGTGGACATTATATATATATTGATTGGTTTGTTTCAGAAGATCATCTCTATAAATTTATTTTTTCGAAGCTACCAAATTGGGAAATTTCACCAGGGCAACAAACCAATTTATATTTCAAACAAAAATCAAGAAATTGTATTTTGAATCACCAGTTGACAACAAACTCTTTTATACAATTATGAGTGTTAGAGTGTTGAAACCTCTTAGATCAAGTTTTTTACCTTTGTTTGGTGGATTAACTGTTGCTGCTATTGGTGGTTATTATTTATATGATTCAAGATCTGCTATTCATGAATATGTCCTTTGTCCCTTAATTAGAAATTTTACAACTGCTGAGCAAGGTCATAAATTAGGTATATTTTTCATGAAATATGGAATATCTCCAAAATTATTAGATGAAGGTTATAATGATCAAAGTGATGTACTCGGTGTTTCTGTATTCAATAAAAATTTAAAAAATCCGATTGGTTTAGCTGCTGGTTTAGATAAAGATGGAGAAGCAATTGATTCATTATTCAATTGTGGGTTTTCATATGTTGAGATAGGTTCAATTACTCCTGAACCGCAACCAGGTAATCCTGAACCAAGATTTTTTAGATTACCAAGAGATGATGCAGTTATAAATAGATATGGTTTTAATTCGACTGGTCATTATAACGTATTGGCAACTTTAAAATTGAGATTTAGTAAATATTTACAAAAATTTCAAAGAAGTGGTGAAGAACCATCTTCAAATGCTTTTCAAAATGGTAAATTACTCGGTATTAATCTAGGTAAAAATAAAAATGGTGATGAGATTCAAGATTATGTTAAAGGTGTAGAAAGATTAGGTCCATTTGCTGATGTTTTAGTTATTAATGTTTCTTCACCAAATACTCCAGGTTTAAGAGACTTACAAAATGAATCAAAATTAACTAATCTTTTATCAACGGTTGTAAATACTAGAAATTTATTGAAACGGAATGTATTAGGCCTGAAACCACTAATTTTAGTTAAAATTGCTCCTGATTTAACTGAACCTGAACTTGAATCAATTGCAAATTCAGCAAAACAAGCAAATGTAGATGGGATAATTATTTCAAATACAACTATACAAAGACCAAAAGTTAAATTATTAACTACTGATGATAAATTAATTAATGAAGCTGGTGGATTATCAGGTAAACCTTTAAAACCATTATCGTTAAAAGCTTTGAAATTATTACGTAAATATACCAAAGATTCAAATTTAGTATTAGTTGGTTGTGGTGGTATTTCAAATGGTAAAGATGCTTTAGAATTTGGAAAAGCTGGTGCTACTTTTATTGAATTATATACTGCATTTGCATATAAAGGACCAGGATTAGTTGCAAAAATAAGAGATGAATTAGCACAAGAGTTGAGAAAAGAAGGTAAAACTTGGCAACAAATAATTGGTGAGGATGATAAATAAGTGTAAAGATGCAACAAACAACTATGCTATAAACACTATGCTATTGTTAAATATATAATTATACAATTAATGAACTTGGTAGCGTATTTATTTTTCAATTTTCTGAAACATAAACAAAAATAAACAACAACCACTTAACAAACATGCCATCTTCATCAAGACCAACCACTCCTTTGGAAAGAAGAAGAAGAAAATCACATAGATCATCAGGAATTACAGTACCTACATTATCACCAAAAATACATCATTATCCAATAGATAAAGACCATTTACCATTAGAATCACCAGATATAATATCTAAATTTACTTCATTGTCAGATTCTATAGATGATTTAGATATTAATATGAGAGATCTATATCAAATACATGATGCATTATCAGGACAAACTAATGAATCATTTGCTAGTTTTTTATATGGTTTATCTATGACATTATGGTGCGTTGATTTTCCTGGAAATCCATCAAAAGAAACATACGAAGAATCAATAAGACGAAAAGAAAGAAAAGAGAAAATAAAACAAATCGAACAGAAAATAGAAGAAGCTGAAAGTATAAATTTAAGATTAAAACAAAGATTAAATGAAGAGAAAATAAAACAACCAATAACAAAACCAGTAACGAAACAAATTACCAGACCACTAAGAACAACACTGCAAAATATACCTAATAAAAGACCCAAACATAATGAAAATGATACAGGCAGTGAAAATTCATTTGTCGCTCAACCACAAAATAAATCAAAAATACCATTTGCAAAACCAACAAGTAGAAATAGTTCTGGTCCAAATTTAAATCAACCACCGAGATATATGAGAGGATTATTTGATAAAAAACAAGATCAATCAAGTAAACCAAGTAGTTTAGCAAATCGACCACGATTTAGGTAAGGATGCAAAATAGTCGGGATGCATGAAAGATGCATGAAACTTAAGGATGCGTTAAATATCAGGATGCTGTTATTATCATTGTAAAGATGTTTACGTTATATCAATTGCATCCTTATTCATTGACCTTTTATCAATTTTAATTTCAATTCATATTTAATTTGTTCAACAGTTTTATTTTCTTTCAATGACATAATTAATAAATAATCCTTATTTTCAATTGAATTAATAATCTTCTGTCTTCTTATAGTTTCTTGGTAATTTGGTGATGACATAGAATCATCATTTTCCATCTTTGGTTGGTAGCTTTTTCAATTAATTTTTTTTTTCATTTTTCATTATCAACAAATTTCAACCATGGCTGAAAAAGTTGAATTAACACCTGCTGAAAAGCAAAAGATATTAAGAGAAAGAAGACAAGCTAAGATGAATAAAGGCAAAGCTACAGATCGATTGAATAATATATTATCACAAGGATCATCTGTAAAAACATCAAGTGTCACATCAATATTGGATCAAGAAAAACCATCTTCAACAACTTCATCATCAATAGATCAAACACCGTCGTATTCTGCTACTATTGCAGCTGATGAAGATCCTGATCATCAAGATATATCCACCATTACTCCTAGTCCTACAGAAGACATAGACACAATATTTAACAAAATTTTGAAACAACAACAAGATGAACATACTGAATCTGATCCAATGAGTCAATTCATGAAAATGTTTAATGATCAACAACAACAACCGACTCCACAACCGCAAGAGACGAAATATAATCAAGAATATCAACTTTATCAAAACTATCAACTGAAATTATGGAAATTTAGGTTCTTAATAATTAGGATAAGTGCAGTTTTGGTCAATTTTGGTTATCATTTTATGACTATTCCTAAGTTTCATGCATCTACTTATATTAATGTAAGGGATTACAGTCCAACAGATGCAAATATAAGTCAATTTATAACTTTGTTTTCAGCTGTTGAAGTTGTTATTATTGCTTCTTATTATTTCATATGTCAGAAGTATGGTTTATTTCATGCTGCTAATTCAAATAATATAATTTTGAAAATTGTATCTCAAGGTGCGATGTTTTTACCACAGTTGAAACGTTATGAGATTATTTTAGCTCGTGTTTTGGGGTATTATGATTTAATAGGGATAATTATTGGTGATTTATCATTTGTTGTTGTCTTGTTTGGATTATTGAGTTATTTAAACTAGAATCTATAAAGATTTAGTTTAATTTCTTCATCTTTTCAGGATATATATCTGAAATCTATCCTAATGCATGTTTACGTTCATTGATCAATACTGTAAGATTGCTTGCCAATACCTCTTCATTCGAATACAGTAAAATATAGATTGTTAGAGATACTCCTTCCTCTACTTCATGATCATCAAATATTTAGTATATATATTATTAAGTTATTTAAATTAATATATACAAGATTTATTTCATATAATTGTTTCATTATTTGTAAGGACTTTTAAAATACATATACAAAATATGTTAAACAGCATCCTTACATTCTTTAATCTATTCTACTGCATCCTAACATTTCTTCAATCTATTTTACTACATCCTTACATTCTTAAATCTATTCTACTGCATCTTGACGGTTAATGAATCTTCTTCATTTCTTTTCTTCTACTTGCTATTATTTTATCAACACTTGAAAATTGCCTTGATTTCCAACTTGAATAAACCAAAGCAATAGTAGAACAAATAGACACACCAAACCAGGTAATTAAATATTGTAAATGATTATTAGTAAATTTGATATATGGTTTAGCTGCGAGTGGAACACCTTCATTAACAAATTCAAACTCTTGATACTGTAAGGTTGAGTCAGAATCACCTAAATCTGAAAGATTAACTCCACCTTCACTTGATTGTTTTTTGAAAAACAATTTTGACAATATTGAGCCATTTTCATTCTTTTTTTCTTCTTTTCTGTATTCTTTATGATCATGTAAATCATATATCATTTGACAGTATATCGGTAACGAATTACTTTGTTTTGCCATCGCCTCAACATCTGGAATATTAAATAATCTACTTCCATCCTCATGATCAATTTGTAAATAAGATTTTTTGGGCATGATTCTAAATAATGCTTCAATGTCAATCTCACCTTTTGGTAAAGCCAAATGTGATAAATAGCCCTTGGATCTTGTCTCCGGTATGACTTTATCTTTATGTATCCAACCACGTTCAATTAGAATTGGTTTTCCACCATTTGATCGAATAAATGGAGTTACAACAAGATACCCCACAACTCCATCTTTTAATCTGGGTCCTAAGAAAATTTCTTGATCATAGTTGAAATGACCCTTGACTTTAAATCGTCTATATTCAAATTCGGGAATCACGTTTGGATCTAAATTTTTTGGTAATTCTGGTATGATTGGAGCTGCGAGATTATTCTCACATTTTGAAATGAGGTTTGTTTTCCATTGAAGTCTACGAACTTGCCAACATCCAAGAAAGAATGAAATTATAGGCATACCGTACATTAAACCAAGTATTACTTTACGAATTGTTGGTACTTTTGCTTGTGCATCTAATGTTCTTAATGCTCCAGGTACTGCTTTCATTGGCTTCCAATCCATGGTTATTGTTTTATAAAAACGATTACATTGTAGTAGGTTCTTTTTATATATATGTCTTGATGCTCCCAATATTGATGCAAACATATTGAATGGAATTTGATAATTTACCACTCCCTTTTTTTAATGATAGTTTATTTCTGAAACAAATTTGATTTATATGCAGTCTCACCATAGATAATGTTAAATTTTGATTTGTGAATAACTGTTTCAATTTGAACGCTATGACTTACAAGTCTAATTCATTAGAGTCTTCAACAAACTTAAAGTAGACTGATGCTAGTTTTGGCCAATGAAACATATTACTGAACAAGTAATTCTATTTTCAAAAAATTGCAGAAAAATCGTTATTTGCTTTATTAAACTATTCTTACACCTCGATTTGCAACTTCTAATATACCTCATTTCCCTCATTTGAATCCAAAAAATTGTTGTATTATACTTTTAAAACGGCATCATTGGTTTGAAATTTTTGTAAGATTTTCCAACCACTGTTGAAAAAATTACTTTTCCACCAAGAGAGTACCTTCCCACAATAAATCGTGAAGTTTGTCAACTTACAGGAACTACAAGATCAAATAGTCCTGATATTTTCATCTCGATTTCTGTTGTGGTGCTAGATTTTTCGTAATGTCAATTTATTCGAGTTTGCCCATACTTCAGAGATTTTCATTGATTCAAATTGAGAAGCACAGTTTGTACCTGAAGATAGTGATTCAGCAATGAAAATTTGGATTGATGAAAATACTACATACAAGCAAATTTGTTTTAAAATCTGATTTTTTTACGTACAATTTTCAAAGCGATGATTTGGTGCTATAAAATTTCTTCGCGCCATTTTTGGGTCGAGCCGTACTAAGTGTAATGGCTTATATATCAGGAACAGCACATTCTCTGGGTATAATTACTATTTATATGACATCTGCAGCTCTGAAATATATTCTGTACATGTTTCAAGCTTTGTATTTTAAAAATGTTTTTTTCGAGTTGTCATTTCGGGCTTTTTTCATTATACAAAAAAATCCACAAAATGTAAATCTGTGTATCTTTTCAATCAGGGCCATAATTCTCAATTAACAACGAATTATATAGTACTTCAATTAAAAATGTTGGAGTTAATTCCAGCTCCTCTTAACTGAAATTGAAAAATTATAAAATTTTCTCTTATGTATGGGAAAAATTGAATAAATTGACCTTACAAAAAATCTAGCTCCACATTGGCTATTTAGACTTAAATATAGTGAAACTGTCGTTATTTGTAGTTCTGCATGTTAATAAGCTTTAGATGTTTCTTTGGTAACGTCTTCAAAATTGGAAAAGCAATTTTTCAAAGATGAAACGAAATTTTTGATAAAATTTAACAACGATTATGACAATTAGACGCCATTATACACAACATTATTGTTGTTGAGTGAACCATGTTAGATATCTTAGAAGTTGCAAAATGAGGTCTAAGCACGTATTATCTTGCAATTTATCGTTTTTCCCTTTTTTTGAATGAGGAATAAAGTCATCAAAATTATGTTTTACTAAGGCACCGGGTTTGGTAAGTTGATAATGAAACCTATTGATCCGTTCGATGTTGCAAAAGTTGCTGTTCATTATAGTGAATTAGTTGAAGAAAATAAATTGAGTGATAAGGTTATAATTGTTGAAGGTAATGAGCTATCTAAATTAGTAGAAGAATTAAATCAGATATAATATAGACTTATTACTTTCGAATTAACTGCGCATATAAATTATTGCAGTATTTTCGAACTACTTATCATAACAATTTCGTTGCCAAAAAAATTAATCACATATTAGTTTGATTTTATTTGTTACAACCACAAACTAACTTCAATCATGGACTCAAAAGAAGATTTATCGATCAGAGAATCATTAAGGGACGTACCTGAAACCTCAAATTCACAAGCGAATACATCAATCAATAATAAATTGAATTTTAAGGATAATTTAACTACAGAGAAATTGAATGACATTAAGAATGACTACAATTCTGATTGTTTCATTTGCTGGTTTGTTGAGTTTTTAATCAATAGTTAAATCATTAAAGATGCTTATCAGGTTAATATTAGTTGAAAACAAATTTATGATCAAATAGTTATTGTAATATTCTAAATTTAAGTATACAATTTGCAATAATTTGCTACAGTGGATATTACTATTTTTGCTCTCTTCTATCGCTAAACTAAGATAATCTGAAGTTTCAATTTTTAGCCAATTTTCACAAAATCTCATGATTTCATTAGAGTCAACCAATGTTCTACACTTACAGCAAGCTTCAAAAACGATACACTGATAATTTGACAAGTAAAACACACTTTCATCAATGTAGAAGAATAATTTTGATATATTTATAACGGTTTAAATTGAAGTATGTAATATACATGTTACAAACCAATTTTGGCTTATATGCAGTCCAATAATAGCGAATCTAGAAATTCCAATTGTGAATAACTCCGTCAATAATCAAGTTACCTTTCTCAAAGTAACTTAGTTGTAATCGTCAATTAGTTTGCGTAAGTTGATACTAGAATCAACTGCCTAAACATAGTTTCGATGACTTAATTTAGCATTTAAAGAATCGAAAAGAACGCTATTTTGCCAGATAGTTAACAATTGGACCCCATGTAGCAATTTCTAGTATAGCAGATTCGGTTTATTTGAACCCTAAAAGTATTTGTATAATAATTTTAAGACTCGAAAATCATTTTGAAAAACTCCTATCTAATTTTGAATGCCTTAAAACAAAAATATTGAGCTTTTAGTAGCCTACAAGATCTACAAATCCTAATAATTTGGATACACTTTAATTGTAGTTTTATTCGTGAAGTCTGATTTTCGTAAGGTCGATTTATTCAATTTTCCTCATACTTTAGAGAAAATTTTGAAACTTTTCAATTCTAGTTCTGATCATCTCGTATTGGGTTTAGAACTTTATTTTGATGTCTGATATGAATAGTACGTTGGTTATTTGGAAGTTATGGACCGAAATTTTAACATACATTGCGTTCTTATTTTTGCTCAAAATTTTGTATGGTGAAAAAATGCCAAAATGTCAACCCAAAAAAAAAATTGTTTGAAAGAGTATATAATTTCGAGTTCCTAATTTTATAAAATTGGTCTTTATTTAGAGAGAGAATGCTTTGTTCAGAATATATAGGACAACGAGTTTTGTACGGAGCCTTAAAGCTAGGGCGAGAAATTATTTTGTCGCACCAAATATACCGAAACAAAAATATATATTTTTCTGAAACAATTTTGCTTATATGCAGTCTCTCGATAGTTAATTTGAAATTTAATTCGAATATTACTCGGTCAATATCCAAGATATCGCTCTCAAATTTAATTTATTGAATTCGCCAGTAAGCTTGAAGTATATTTATGTTAGAATTACTTAGGTAAACTTGACCATGTTATGTTTTGCTTAAAAAAACCTAAATAATGATTGAATTACAAGATAATCAATACTTATACCTCATGCAGCATCTTATTTTGTAACTAGATTGGTCCATTTAACTCCAAAGAACCTAAGTATCATACTTTCAAGATGCCATATTGATTCTGAAAAGTTTATTTTACCAAGTTTGATTTATTTACGTTATCTCCGAAAGCACCACGCGAATTTGAAAAGGCAGAAACAAAAATTTTTTATCTAAAAAATCTACAACCATTTGTCAAATGACAACATCAGAAGAAGATAATTCAATAGAACATATTACCTCCACTATCAAATCAACCAAACTAACAGATTCACAAGCCGAAAAACTCAAATCAATCATTGAATCAATTCCCACCATTTTGACATCACTTGAAAATTCAAACTATGATGAAATATATGGATATAGAATAAATACAACAGATAAAGAATATGTAAATGAATCAATCAGAAATGAAATTTTATTAAAATTTTTAGCTGCTGATCAATATAACGTTGAATTATCAAAGCAAAGAATTATTAAGACTTTAAATTGGAGAAATAAGTTCCAACCTTTACATGCTGCATTCGTTGAAAAATTTCATGTTGAATTAAATGAATTAGGAGTAATTACAAATTCAAAATCGAATAAACAAAATCTAAAAGTTATAACTTGGAACCTATATGGAAATCTCAAAAATCCAAAGAAAATATTTGAAAAATTTGGTGGTGGATCAACTACTGAATTTCCAGGTTCTCAGTTTTTAAGATGGAGAATTGGATTAATGGAGAAATCATTACAGTTGATTGATTTTTCCAGTGTTGAGAATAATAAAATTGGTCAAATTCATGATTATAAAAATGTAAGTATGTTTAAAATTGATCCAAATATGAAAGTTGCAACGAAAGAAATTATTGAAATTTTTGGTAATAATTATCCTGAATTATTAAGTACGAAATTTTTTATCAATGTTCCATTAATTATGGGTTGGGTATTTACATTCTTTAAGACCATTAAAGTTATAAATGAAGATACGTTAAAGAAATTTCAAGTGTTGAATCATGGAAATTTAACAGAAAGTTTAAATACGGAAGATTTATCAAAGGATTATTGTGGGTCATTAAATAAAAGTTTATTTGATTTGGATGTTTCCAATGAGATTAAATTGACTGAATATGGTGAAATTATATTGAAGAAATTATCTGATGATGAAATTGAACATGTAAACGATGATGTAGAATAGTGTATAAAGTTAGAAGTACTACAAGTATAATCATTGATCGAGATTTTGTATATAATTTTCACTTATTGACCAGATTATTTCAAGTATTGTATTATTGCATCCTAATTGACCAAATTAGTTTATCAGTTAAGATTTTAACATTATGAAATCCATTTCTAAAAAAAAGTTTCAAATCCAAATAAATCAATAATTATTTTAACGAAATTACCATCACAACTAACCAACTTATAATTAGCTAAGCCTTTTGCAAAAGCCACTTTTTCATCCAAGACTAGAATTTGATAATATGACTATTTGGAAACTAATTTTTGATTAAAAATAATAGCAAATTCGTCGGTATTTTCAGTTAATAATAATTCTCCAAAATGATCAAATGATGAATTGGCCTTAACTCATTCATCAATTTTAGGAATGAATGCTTTATGATCATAATTTAAAATATCTTGTTCAACTAATTCTGCAAAAACATCACATCACATCTTCTTTTTGAATCAGCTAATACTCACATCACATCTTTTTTTTGAATCAGCTAATACTTTACCTTTTCTTTTCTTAAATCTCCACCATAAGATGTATCTAATTCATTTTGCATAATTTCAAAAAATTCTGGGAATTGTGAAATTTTAAATTCTGAAGTTGACCAATCATACTCATCAGTTTCATGTGGATATTCAACTTTAAATTGACTTTCTAATTCTTTAATATCTGGCAGAAAAAGTTTATGTAATGGAATTTGTTCATTTTCCATAATTCGTTGATCAAAATAAATAAAATCTCGAACTGGTTCATATAATTAAAGTTTAACATTTGAGTATTCGTAAAATCAGCAAGATTTCTAAGCATAAATGACACAATAATTCGTTTCATAATAGTCTATAATTTGCCATTACCTTTCCTCTTTTACTTGGATGTTTCGTTCGATATTCCCTCATTCAGATTAAAATTCATAAACTTATTCATGCGGCTAAGTCAAATCTTAAGAAAATCAATTAAATCTTCTTTAACCTAATGAAACTTAATTTACGACGATAATTAGATTTAAAGTTTTCAGGGTCGATGCAGGAATTCTAATATAAAAATCACGAAAAAAAAAAAATAAAAAAACCAATGCAACCAATCAAAAAATGGCTGCAAATTTGACATTTAAACCACTGTAATTAATCCACAAACGAAGCTACTTTCGAATTTTGTTCAAATCCGACATAAGTTAGTATCCAATTCCGATTAGGAAGTGAAATATGTGAGGTTTGTCGACTCAGTTAAGCCGTTCACATACCAATTAGTCAACTTTGCATGGATATTTATATTTTGGTCTAATCAAAATCAGGTCTTCGAGGCCAGCAAACAATAGATTGTGTTAATAGTCGTGTATAATAGTCGTGTATAATTTATTGGCAATGCAAAGAGATACGAAAAAAATTAGTGGATGGCCTAAATTGAAGGGGTAGCTCGTTTCTATGATATGATTTTTATTTGTCGATAAGGCCATTGCATGACGGGGGAAAAAAAAAAAAAAATAAACTTAAGGGAATAAGATCAACAGTATTAAGTTATTTGCGAAAGAAATAAGTAACCTATTCCAATGCACAGCATAATAAATCTGTCACTTTAAAGAATTTAATCAACTCATCGCTTCTACTTCAGCTTTTTTAGGTCGATGGCTACGAAATTTTAAGTTTAAACTTTTTTGGTAGCGTTGGAGGCAGAATATTTGATTTAAACTTAAATGAAATGATCAATCAAACACGAAATACAAAGAAAAAACAATTTTAAATTTATGGATCAACAAGTGATTAATTTGCTTGAAATCTCCACAAATTTATAGAACGAGAGAAAACGACGAGACAAAAGCTAGATTTCAAAATCTCTTAGCTTCTCCTTATTCAAGTTTTTTTTTAACAGCCTTGTATATAAGTTCATTATATAGATATTATTTCCATCATTGAAATTATTATTATTTGATTTTCGAAGTAAATTACTAAATTTAAGCCGCTTTTAAGCTGATTTGTTGAAATTTGTTGAAATATATAACCAAATCGGCTTAAATTTTGACGTCAAATCCATCATAAAGTCACCTTACCTTACCCGATCTCTCAAATTTCACTTATGTGATAATTTCACTTATGTGACCTCGATGAGCTTAAAATAATTTAACGATGATGTTTTGATCAGGTTAAAGTTTATAAAGTTTAAAATTTATTAATACAGAAAATCTTTGATATTTTTCTTTGCATGACGACGATTAAACTTTAAAATATCTGGGTCAAAGAAAAGGTAAAGAAGTTTAGTAAAAATTCTTACGTAAATTACGAATGACTATAGATTTGATATATGAACTGCTTTTTGATAAATTTTTGGCTTAGTATATTGTTTATTGTTTGTTGTTTATTGTTTGTTGTTTATCAAAACCTGAATCGCACAGCATAATTATCGCATTTAGAATAGAAAAAAAAATTACTTTGTTTTATCAGCTTTATTTTATCAGCCGAACTAGCCCAAGGTTATTACTATAATTTAACCAAAATCAAATTAACAAGAGTATTCTTTACAACAAATTAAAATCATTTTTAAGTAGTAGTTAACTACTAATATATAGCATAGATGTATGTCACTTATTAGTTAAAGTTAGACTTTCATTTATTTATTTCTTTTGTTTATCAGTAAAAATATTCTTCATTTTGCAACACAATAAGTACTATGTAATATTTACTATTATGTATTATGTAATCACAGTAATAAATAATAAATAAATAATAAATAATAAATTTCTTCCTTTACTTTTCAAAATCGACAACCAACTAAATACAATAACTGCTGCTTAAGTTTTAAATATCTTATTTTAATAAGTTGGATCAACAGTTTGTTTATCATCATGCATTTCCATCTAAATAGGATTAGAAGGCACTCGACAGAAAGTGATAGTAAACCAAATAATATTTCATCAACTGCGTCAAGATTAAGATCGTCTTCTTTATCAACTATAAGAAATGTTAGATCAAATTCAAAATCAAATGGACTGCATAACTCAACTACCTTAAGTCCAAATCATCATTCTGATCACAACTCAAATAATCAAAATTATAGCATTTGTCAATTTCTACATGATTTAAATATATTGGAAAATTTAGGATTACAAAAACCAATACCTATAAAGACAACTACTCAAGGTTCGTTATCAAAAACCATTAAAATGTATGTTTCAAATAGCAATAACTGTATTTATTTACCCCCTGCATCTTCTACTAGTTTTACATATGAAGATGTTGAAAATGGAGGTATTATATCAACTGATGAACAACCAGCACCACCAGCACCACCAGCACCACCGCCACCATCACCACCACCTAATTCAACAGATGTAATAACATCTACATCTACATCTGCATCTACAGCTACAAACTCATCCAATAATTCTCAAATTTCAGCTCCACCTACTTCCTCACCTATGTTATTATCAACCAAAATTGATAGTGATCATCCAATACCTCATTTGTTTGCAGTCATGATTGAAGTACAAAAAGAATCAACTATTCAATCAATACTTATTAAATTTCAATCAGTTACTCAAATTTTATGGCCATCTGGTGATATTTACAATAAAGGGCATTCAAAAGAAAAATTTAAAATTGGTTCATTACAATGGGAAACAAATTTGTCTGAAGCTGATTATTATATTAATTATTTAGGTGAATTAAAAACAAAACTGAAATTGAATCCGGGTGATTTAGCAAAAAGAACAAGAGATTATAAATTATTAGATGATTCTTCAACTACAAAAACAAAAGCTGTTCAAGAACAAGTATATAAAGCTGGTCTTTATATATTTTTATTACCTATTTTATTACCAGATAACATTCCACCTTCTATATCATCAATAAATGGTAGTTTGTCACATAATTTACAAGTTAATTTTAATAAAATTAGTGACAAATTAAATCGAAAACTAAAAGTCAACTCAAGTTATAATTTGCCAATGGTTAGAATTCCACCAAATTATTCAAATTCTGTTGGTGACAAACCTATTTATGTTAACAGAGTTTGGAATGATTCAATTCATTATATAATAACATTTCCACGAAAGTATATATCCTTGGGTAGTGAACATGTGATTAATGTTAAGTTAGTACCATTAGTTAAAGATGTAATTGTAAAGAGAATAAAATTTAACGTATTGGAAAGAATTACATATATACTGAAGGATTTATCAAAAGAATATGATTATGATTCAGAAGAACCTTATTCTTTACATTCAAAAGATTCAAATAAAATTAGAGAAAGAATTGTATCATTATGTGAATTGAAAACAAAGCATAAACAATCATCAAGTAATTTAAATGATCCATATAAAGAAGAAATCATTAGATGTCCTGATAATAATTTATTATATTCATGCTATGAACAAGAATCTGATTTATCAAAGCATAAAAAACAAAATAATAAATCAATGATTGCATCTCCATTAGATATAAATATCGCATTACCATTTTTAACTACAAAAAATGATAAAGATATTGATGAACCAATTTTATCACCAACAAATTCAAGAAAAGCAAGTATTATGAATGAATCATCTCCAAGTTCACCCATAATTGGTGCTTTAGAAACAAATTTATCAAATGTTGATGAAATTGGTTTACATGAATTAAAACGAGATTCTTCAAATTATTTAACTGATGATTTAACTTCAAAACATTCACCACCAGAAAATATTCAACAAGGTTATACAATTTTAAATCGTGCATTATATCCAGATTCAAATTATCGTCATATTCAAATTAATCATAGATTACAAGTTTGCTTTAGAATTTCAAAACCTGATCCAAAAGACGATTTTAAAATGCATCATTATGAAGTTGTTGTTGATACTCCATTGATTTTATTAAGTTCAAAATGTAATGATCAAAATATACAATTACCAAAATATGATGAAATCAATGGATTTACCACACCTACATTTCGTATACCTAATTTTAAATCTTCAGGGATTGAAGTTAAACCATGGATTGTGGAAAATGAATTAATTGATGATGATTTACCAACATTTGAACAAGCTACGAGTTCTGAAGATTCTATAAGTAGAATCCCATCAATTTCACTGGCTCACGATCCTGTTCCACCTCCAACTTATGAATCAAATGCAATGATTAATGGAGGTTCATTAAATAGTTCAAATATTGATGAAATTGTACAAGGTGGTCATTTATCAACTACACCAAGTTCAAATAATGTTTATAAACCACAAAGAAAAGATTCAATTAGGGAAAGTTTATCAAGTTCATTTGCAAGAACAAACAACGCTAATTCAATTTCAAACAATGCTAATTCATCCCATCCTTTTGAATCAAATTCATTAAGTGATGAAGTTAGTTCTATACAATCAAATTATGATGAAACGACACCTCCAAGTTCAACAATACCTGATTCAACAAGTATATCAAGTTCTAATAATTCCTCAATTGAACAGTATCAAAATAAGCCCAAGAAAAATAATGATGTAATTGATGAAGAGGATGATGATAATGAAAATGCAATTATTGATGATGAAGAGGATACAGAAAATGCAATAATTGATGATGAAGAAGAAGAAGAAGAAGATGATGATGATGAAGATGATGCTGATGAGGATGAAGTCGGAAGTTTGATTACACAAGATATTAATGTAGGTGGTTTTGATCAACGTATTCCCTTATTACACCATGTTAGTTCGGATACAATCAAAACTTTTAATCCCAGAATTTCAACTGAGGATTTAATTCCACAGAATCAAAGGACTTTTATAAATTAATTTATTTTTAATGTATATTTTTAATGTATAACTGAACTTTTCACTTGTAATTTTCTTACTTAACCATTTAGTGGTTTGTGGCGCGAATCATGGTGCCAGCTTTCGCCTCAAAAAAATTTCCGGCTCTATACTCGCTCCTCGTCAGTTGAAAAAAGTTTAGAGCCGAATTTTAGTTATATGCAGTCTTATCGTTATCAATCTTGAAACTAAAATGTAAATAACTTTTTCAATATTAAAGCTTTTACTCTCAGACTTCATTCATTGTGATCCCTGTGTAGTTTAAAGTGTATATATTCAGCTATGTTGTATTGAGACTCAATATTGATAAATTTATTTTTAATTTAAAAAACGGCAAGAAACGTTCAATATTGAAATAATCAGAACTTATAGCTCATTTTGCAACTTCTGGAATATCTGATCTGGCTCGTTTAATAACAAAATTTCCTAGAGTAATGTTTTCCAGACGCCAGAATCGTTCTTAAATTGTTGCAAAAACTACGATCCATTTTTGGAATTTTACTTTAACAATTTAGAATACATTAACTTAAAAATATTTTTGGATTGGCTACTACAAATTGTTGTAGATTCATCATAAATTCAATTGATGGTCGTAAATAACATATACTCGGCATTTTCAGTTTCGCAATCTATGAATGGTGAAGAAAGGCTAAAAATTCAAGTCAAGAAAAAAATAGTCTGAAGTTGAATATATGAAATATGTGTGAAATAGAATTCAAGTTTCTTGGTTTTAATAAAGTGATACTTATCACGAGAGTATTGTTCATGACATATAGGCCTATCCGATTAGTTCCAGTTGCCGTAAAGGTAGTGCCAGGAAAATTTTGAATTGGCACCACAGTGGGGCGAGTTTTCATACTTAATGTTCGGTCTAAAAAAAAAAAAAGAAAAAAAAAAATAAATAAAAAAAAATAAAAAAAATGTATATATTAAATCTAACAAAATCTAAAATATATCACCTGAAAGGTTTTTACTTTTCCTTTCAATCCAGTATTTGTTATTATATTCCCAAAATATATCGCCAGTAATTGGATGTTTCTTTTTAGTAAACCAACTTGGATTATATGGTTGTTTATTTTCTTCTCTAAATTTTCTTGCTTGTCTTTGTTTGACTTCAACTCTATGTTTTTCAGCAGCTGCTTCATCATAATGACCTTCTTCCATGTTTCTTTGATCTGGTCTTAATCTAGTATCTGTAGGTGCAATCCATTGTTTCAAATTTGAATTTATATCATTAAGTGTAATTGCAAATTGAGTTAAATTAAATGGAACTTTTGGTCTTGAAGCAACTTGCCATACTAAAAATTTATTACCTGAAAAAGGATCATTTGAAGTTTTTGTGGATTCATCTAATACCGACATTCTTCTATCACTATGTTGTTCAGTAATTTTCTTTGCATATATTTTCAGGTTCCAATGTCCACCCATTGCCCAACTAGCTTTACCATTTTTATCCAATGCTTGACCACTTAATTGATAAGCACTTGACGCTCTCCATCCTCTTTGTTTCATATCTACAACAATAGAATCTCCAGTTGTATGATTTTCAACAACCATCTTCCCATAATTATCAACAGTAGGATTACCCAACATAATACCAACAACTGAAGTATTTACTTTCTTCCAAGAATATAATTCTTCAACTTGAGATTGTCCATCTTTATCAACGACTCCATTATCTGGTCTTATTACACAAAACATTTTACCTAAATGTTTAAAATCAAATGAACGTCCATAAAATTTTGAATCAACTGCATTTTCACCATAATAATCCCATTTTGGAGATTCTGCTCTACATGCACTAATTGGTGGATGATGTGATACTTGTTCAACAAATAATCTAAAATTTTGATCCGGTCTAGCATATTCAAAAGTTTCACCTAATAAAGGATTAAATGGTTTTGCAATACGATTTATAGTTGATGAATATTCAGTAGCAGCAAAAGTAGCAACATAAATTAATCTCAAAGTTGAATCATCAATCGATGCTGCAATGTTTAATAAATTGTTATATTCAATATCTTCTGCCAATCTTTGTAATAAAGATGTTGGCTCATTGAATGACACAGGTAATGTCATTCTTGTCATATCTTTACCAACCATAGATTTTAAAATACCCCATAATCCTACTTTCGGTCTATTATCTTCATCCATTAATAATTTGTTACGAGGAGGTTGTTCATAACCAAGAAATGATCCTTCAGCTTGTAATTGGTTGTTAACTTTTCTTTGAACTTCATTGAACCCATCTGTTTTTGTAGTTTCTGGAACATTATCCTGAATTACTTGTGATTGTTGTGGTGGAGAACTTTCTTGAGGAGGTATTTCTTTAGAACTATCTTGTTGAGGTGGTTGTTGTACTTCTTCTTGTTGAGGTGGTTGTTGTACTTCTTCTTGTTGAGGTGGTTGTTGAACTTCTTCTTGTTGTGGAATACCTTGTAATTGAGTAGTAATACCAGCACTAGCAGTAATGTTATTCTCAGAAACCTCTTGTTGTTCAATTGGTGCATTTTCATTGACTATTTCGTCTTCAACTGGTTCTTGAGCTTCAAATTCATCAGCATCAAAAAATTCATCTTCTGAATCCTCAGCTAAAATTTCATTCAACTCATCAGGTAAACCACCAGGCATAAAAACTGGAACTTGATCTTTTTCATTAATATGATCCAATTTTTCATCAAGATGCAAAATTTCAGATTCTGAAGGTTCTTCTCCTAAATTTGAAGCATCTTTTGGAGTATTGGTTCCATTTGATTTTAAATACTTCTTCAACTGTTTCTTTTGACCTTGAAAAAGTTGTAATTTAGCTTCACGTTCTTTGATTTCATTTTCTAATTGACGTATAGATTTTTCCCACAACTTGTTAATTTCAAATTGTCTATCCAAATTTTTTTTCAAAATTGTATCTCTTGTATTTATATGAGAATTGTAGCTTGAAAATAATTCTGAAATAGAATTTAATGTAACTAAACCAGTTTCACAATATTCTGAACTTAAATTTGTAGATTTAAATAATTCAATTAAACTTGTTAATTCTACTTCAATAGATCTCCTTTGTGTACATATAGCATCATTTATACTATCTAAATTTACGTTTGTCTCATCAGAATCATTATCAGATTCAGATTCATATTCCCAATTATCAAGATCAGTAGTATATTGATCATTATCAAATGAAAATCTTGATGAGTTTCCAATACCAGTAAAACCAGTACCGGATCTTGATATTTCATTAAGTTCAGAACTGGTTGCTGAATCACTTTTTTTCTTATTTCGTCTTGGAATTCTAATTCTATGATGATGTTTTTCAACAATTGCAGGTTCATCAAAATCAGAATTTGTACCATCTTTATTCTTTTTTTTAATGTTATCTTTAGCAATGGTAATAGCATTCTGTAATTGCCAAATCCAGCGATTGGTTTCAATTGGATGATTAGCTTTTAAATGCCATTTTAACCCATTTTTACCAAAAATTTCAAATTTCAACTTCTCAGACAGGTCCAAGTGTAAAGTAGCATAACCTAAATTTAATGATCCTCTACAGGAATTTATACTATCATCTTGATTTGTGTAATAAGATAAGATACCAAATTGATCAAGTACAAAATATCTCAATTTATAACCACTGGCAAAATTTGTCCATTTACGTAAATAACCTTTATATACTGGAGTATTACCAGTTTTAATTGCATTGTTTGTAGATGTAACTGGATCCATTATAGTTTGATCTTTAGATGCAACTTTAATTAAATGTTTCAATTTTTCAGAATTTGTTAAATCAATTGGTAATTTTCCACGTTTATCTCTTTTAAAAGGATCACCACCATGTTTTAAAATCCAATCACACATTTCATAATCATCTTTTCTTATAAATTCATGTAAAACAGTATTTCCAGTTTTTGGATCAGCACCATTTATATCTAATAATTCAGAAGATCTTGGATTTAAAACTAATAAATTTTCCAATTGATTATAATTCTTTTCAGTAAAATATTTTCTTAAATCACAAGCTGACTTTTCAACAAATTTTGCTCTTTCAAATTGCATCAATTGGATAACATTTAAATCTTTACATACTTCAACAGGTTGTTTTTTATCTAAATTTAATACAGTATCATTTATATTTGGTAATGATAATAAATATTTCACTACATCAATTCTTGAAGATTGTGCAGCTAAATGTAAAGGAGTATTACCTTGAGAATCTTGAGAATTCTGTGAATTAATATCAATATGAAAATTTCCTAAATTTTGAACTAAATATTGAATAGTTTGAAGCGATGAAACTTGTACAGCATAATGTAAAATCGTACCTTTTAATTGTTTTAAATCTTGAGTCTGTAAATTTGTTTTAGTTGAATTTAATTCTTGAATAATATTATCAATTTTTAAATGATCTCCATTTCTTAAAGCATCCAATAATTTCAATCTTAATAAAGAAGTGTTCAATTGTGGAGACTCAGACATAATAATGATAATAATAATGATATACAATATAAAATATAAAATATAAAATATAAAATATAATCAAAATCGGTTTCCATCAATTGGTTGCTTAATTATCAATTAATATATATTATTTGAAATGGTAAACTATAATTATATATATACATATATAATACAAAAAAGTAGTGTATATAAGAATTAAAGTTGCTAACTGCTACCATGTGCATATAATATATTTTGCTACCACTCACAACCCATTATGAGAGATCATCATCATCAATGATTGAGTGATCCATAGTATCGGATTTAATATTCTGATAAGAAACATTAAAAATTAAATAGCTAGTCACAGACATAAAATATAAATTTGTCACTCATTATTCATTTAACATATTAACTACTACATATTAACTACTACATATTAACTACTACATATTAACTACTACATATTAACCACCAAAAAAGAACAAGAGCTTAATTTGTTATGTTGTAATTCAAAGAATTTGTTTCTATGTTTCAATCTTCGTTAATTCTTTGTTGGATTGTTGATATATATTTTCTTAGTCGTGTATATACCAACTCTTTATTATTACTTTTATTACTATTATCTGTCGTTGGCAAAAAAAAATTATCAAAACAAGTATAAACAAAATTATCAATTAAATTATTTTAACGGTTTTTAATGTCGGATAACGAATCAACTCCACCAATTGTAAATAATAATAATAATAATAATAATAATAATAGTAGTAGTTCAAGTAACTTACCACAAGAATCAGAATCAGGAAATGCTGGTGTTAAGGATGAAAAACCTGATACTACTCATATTAATTTAAAAGTTTCTGATGGATCAGCCGAAATTTTTTTTAAAATTAAAAGAAATACACCATTAAGAAGATTGATGGAAGCTTTTTGTAAAAGACAAGGTAAAGATATGAATGCATTACGTTTTTTAAGTGAAGGTCAAAGAATTTTAGCAGAACAAACACCAAATGATTTAGATTTAGAAGATGGTGATACAATTGAAGCTCATCGTGCACAAACTGGTGGACGTTAAAATAAAGTAAAGTAAAGTTAAGGGGTAGGAAGAAAGTGGTGGTTTTTTAAATAGACTAACAAGTTTTATTGATATTGATGCTGTAATATTATAAAGATTGAAGAATTATAATTTATGGAAAAGTTTTATATTTGAAAATAAATATAATTTTAATGTATTAGGAGTGTATTATTTTAAGTATAAAAATTGAGTATAAAAATTGAATATAAAAATTGAATATAAAAATTGAATATAAAAATTGAATATAAAAATTAAATATATATAGTTAATACATACTTTTTAAGATACGACCGTGATAAAAAGATGAAAATGAAAATGAAAATGAAGCCATTCCAGCAGCATTTGGTTACGTTGATTTAAAAATCATTTGAAAATTCCAGCAGCATTTGGTTACGTTGATTTTTAAAAATCATTTAAAAAATATAGGAGTTAAATAAAGGAGTTCATCGTGATCGAATGATTAAATGATGATGTTATGAAAAGGTACAAAGAACAGAACATTTTAAACTGCTTAAATAAGCGGTTGAAATAAAGAATCATACAATAATAAGTAAATGGATTATTTTGTGTAATATTTTAGAATTCTTAAAAGCGTAAGTAAAAATGTATATAAAACATTTGGAAACAATAAGCGATAAATTAATTGATTGATTCAAATGATTAATATGTCAAAAAAAAAAAAATCATAGATTGTTATTGTCATTATTATTATTATTATTATTATTATTATCATCATCGGTTATAATATTTCTTATATAACAAGTAAAAATACGGAATGGATATAAGGGAAGTTTCCTAATCAAGCCGTTGATTGTGGCTTATGCACTACCTACAGTTAAAAAAATAAAAGCTTATCTATGAAATTTATGTAACATTTATTTAGTAAATTTGAATCATCACAAGAGATTTAAAATTCTTAATTTGTATAAATAGCGATTAAATTTGCAACAATTTTTTATAAACTTTTTCTTATATTATATTTTTAAGTCATTAAATTATTAAAATTATTAAAATTATTAAAATTATTAAAATCATTAAAATCATTAATATCTTAATTATTCAATAATGTGTAAAACTGAAATTTGTGGACTTTGTCGTATGTTTGTCAATCAATCAATTAATAAAAATCAAATGAAATGAAATTTTACTAACGATTAATTTTTTTAGAACATAAAAGTTGGACAGGATGTGGTGAGCATGTTTCAAAAATTATGGATTCAAGTGATAAAAGTGGTTGGTGTACTTGTGAACCTTTAGATGCTGAAGAAGCTATAATTATAGATGGTCATTGTTATCCACCAAAAGCTGGTCAAGGTTTTAGAAGAGGTAGTTCAGCTAGTAGTTCAAGCTCAACTAAATAAGAATCAACTAAAGTTAAAAAAAGTTTATTGTTAGATCTTAAAACAAAGATAATGAAAATTTATGAAATGATATGTTGGGTTTATTGTGGGAGTGTGTGTGTGTGTGTTTTAAGGAGGGTTGTGGTTAAAAATTTAATGTATACTATTTTTTTTTTTTTATTGTTCAATGAATATTATTGCTAATTAACAAAAGTATAAATTTTATCTTTTCAATTTCTAAAAAGGTGTTTGATGGTAATTTGATGATAATTCATAGAATTTGATCAAAATATGGGGAAATCTGGGGTTGAAAAAATAATAAAATATTTTTTTTTTTTTTTTTTTTTTTTTTTTCAATGTATTTTGCAGTGTCCAGTTTACTTCGTAAATTCAAATAGGAAAATAATATCACCAGATTTTCAGATGGTAGTTCTAAACAAAAGTAAGTCTTTATACCACTGATTATGTAAACTTCAGTATAGTTATTACGAATCTGAATAAGTCTATTCCACATTCAAACAAATTCAAAGATCAGCAATAAATTTTAATTTCAATTTTCATTTTAATTTTAATTTTAATTTTACTTTAGTTTTACTTAGTTTTACTTTAGTTTTAGAATAGAAAAATCATTCTATTTATATACATGAAGAGCGTGATTCTCGGAGATGTAAGACCGAAAACACATAAGTAGTACATGAGTGAAGGTTTAGCTTATTTAAGTATAAATTGGTCATTCAAATGATTAATTGGATCCTTAAATTATATTAGAAACGTATGATTTATAAGTATAATTTAGTGGTTGATTTTTCTAAATTAAGTTTATATTGTTCATTAATTTACTGTAATACGTAGGAATAAGAAAACGACAACAACAACAACAAACCCCATACTTTTTATATTGTATATATCAAATTTTAAGTTAAGAGTAAAGTAAAATTAACACGTACAACATTAATATTAGACCTATTTACTATTAAATTCCATAGATTAAAAGTCTGTATATCTCTTTAATCATATAAGAATCACAAGTATTTACTATACAATTTTCTACTGAAAGGTACAGTAAATTTAACCAATTAATATAAAATTTCGAAATTTGGAAAAAAAAAAAAAAAAAAATAAAAATAAAAAAAAATAAAAAAAAAAAATAAATAAAAAAAAAAAATTATCGACCAATTTAATTTTTGCAAGGGCAAAAATCAAACGAACAATTATCATTATTTTATTATTACCATGAATACTGATGATTTTGATCTTCTATATAAGAAATTAACAGAATTAGATATAACAAATGAACCAGAACAAAATAATAAACATAATAATAATAATAATAATAAGAATAATACGTATAATAATTTACAGCAATTGAATGTTGCAAATATTAATGCTCAACCATTTAATCAATCACCTTTTAATCCACAACCGTTTTTTCAAAGAAGTAGTTTTAAAGATCCTTTCAATTTACCTATTGAGTTACAAGGTGGTGTTTCTGAAATTTCAAGTAGAAGACCAAGTTATGCTGCTGAATCATATACTAGAAGTAATACGTCCACGACAAATTGGTCAACTAATGAACCATCATCTGTAATTCCACCATTATCACAGCAGCAACTTCAATATTCATTTTATCAGCAGCAACAACAGCAACAACAACAACAGCATCAATTCCCTTCATTTTTTGATTTTCAACATAGAAGACCAAGTCAACAAATTACTTTTTCAAACAGTTCATTTTATCAAGAAAGTAATAATAGTAATAATAATAGTAATAATAATATTAATAATAATAATACTAGTACTAATAATACTACAACTTCTGAAATTAGACTTGAAAATGGTCTTATTTTAAAAAACGAATTCATAATAGCTTCCCAAGACTTAAAGATTTTATATTCAAAAACAACAAAATACTTTGAAGATCCAAATTTAACTAATGAAATAATTTCAAAATTGAATAATCTTTTGAAATGTTCAGTAATACAAAAGTTAATTATATTTATTAAGAATATAAATAATATTAGTTATAATAAATTACTAACTCTTGTGGTTAATAAAAATGGAAAATTGGATTTATTAAGTTATCCCAACTCATCAAATATTTTCTTACAAAAAGGAGATGTGGTAATTGTAGATGGAGATAGAGGTAAGGATTTAGTAATGATTGTTGAACCATTGATTCAATTAAATTTTGCAATTTTATTCAATTTTATTAAAAAGATGGAACATTTAAAATCACTTACAATTCTCGATTCAAATAATACTAAATCAACATCAACTCATTCAGTAAATCAATCTGCCTCCAACATAATTAATTACTTAAATGAAGATAATGAGTTTATAATTACATTACCAACAAAACAAGTTTTACGATTTGCAACTCCAAATGAATTACATAAATTAAATAAGAAATTTTTGGAAGAAAAGAAATCTTTTATGACATGCTTTAACAAAATTAAGGAACTTCAACTCAACTCACAGTTAATTTTGATCAATGTGGAATATCAATTTGATTTTAAAAAATTGATATTTTATTATTTTGCAAATTTTAAAAGAATAGATTTTAGAGGCTTAATTAAAGAATTGTTCAAAATTTATAAAACTAGAATATGGCTTTGTGCTGTGCTTCCTTTTGGTGAACCAAAATTGTACGAAAGTGATATTATTTCGATGGATAATTTGAATAAAGGTGAAGGTTTACCATCAGAATATAACATTACCAATGATCTAATACTCAACTTTAATATTAGTAATTTACCAGATTCAAATTATTTTCATAGTTTAAATTTAAGAAATTTGATTAATAATTTGGAAAAGGATGTAAAGGGGAATTTTTATGGATTTGGTGGTAAAGATGCAAGTAAAGAATATAAAGATGCAAACTTTAATCAAGTCAATAAATTGAATAGTAATGGTAATGGTCATGATAAGAATAAGATTTTATCTAATTTTAATCCGTTTGGGGATTGATAAAGTTTGTTTAGGTGGTGGCACTCATTTAAAGTCGGTCATTAAAGTTTATTTTTAGATTTAAAACAATTGTTATTATATTTATTCGGTGATTTATAGATATAGAAAGATAATAAAATAATGTATAGAGATATATTTACAATCAGTATTACTAAATAATAGAGATTTTATGCAATGAAGAAATTTTGCAACTTCGGAATTTTAATGCGCAATTTTGAGATTCAAAAAAAAAAAAAAAAAAAAGAATCTCTATATATATTAATGTCAAAAAGACCAATTGCAATAGATGATTTACTTAAAGATGAAAGCATAACACCAAAATATATACCGAAAGACAAACGTCAGAAACTTAATGAAGATGAGAAGTTGAAACAACCAAAATTTGTTAATTCAAATCCTGTGCGAAGGTCTTCAGTACGAGATAATTCACCACCCCCAATGCAATCAAATAATTTGAAAAAAAATAAACCAAGGTTTCAGTTTAGTTGGAATACTGAAGAAGATACTTCAGATATTACTCCGCTTCTAAACTCGGAGTCAGATGATGATTCGATAATACAGAATTCTACACACTGGTCTACTAAATTAGAATCAGAAATGACAGAACGAGATTGGAGAATATTCAAAGAGGATTATAACATAAATATCAAAACAGTTACTCAAAACTTACCCAATCCGTTAAGATCATGGTCTTGTTTAAATTCTCAAATTTTGAAAATTATAAATTCATTAGGGTATGAAGAACCAACACCAATTCAAAGAGCATCCATCCCAATTGCAATTTCACATTTTGATGTATTAGGAATAGCAGAAACTGGTTCAGGTAAAACTTTAGCTTATTTACTACCTTTATTAAATTATATTTTAAATTTAGATGAAAATTTTATCAAATTTGAAAAATTGAAAAATGAAGCATTGGCATTAGTTCTTGTTCCATCTAGAGAATTAGCAATACAAATAACTACAGAAGCTGAAAGATTTGCAAGTAGATTAGGTTTGAAAGTATTATCTATCATTGGTGGACACGAATATGCAACCACGATAAATAAAATTGAATTAGATGGTGTTGACATTATTATAGGTACACCTGGACGTCTTGTTGATTCTATAGAGAGAAAGATTTTAAGTTTTGATAAAAACTATTACTTGGTATTAGATGAATGTGATAGAATGATAGATATGGGATTTGAAAAGGATTTAACTAAAATTTTACAAACTTTACCAAAAAGTGAAAAATTAAATACAACAATAGATGGACGTATATTTCAAATTTCTCAACGTCAAACTATGATGTTTTCAGCTACATTATCTCCACAAATTGAAAAAATCTCAAAACAATATTTAATAAATCCAATAAAGATATCTATTGGATCTACAGGAGAAGCTTTGACTAATATTAATCAAAAATTTGAGTATGGTTTAACTGGTGAAAGTGCTAAATTTACAAAATTATTAAAAATCATCAATGCAAATATTTCAAATGGTTTAATTATAATATTTGCTAATTTCAAACATGTTGTAGATTCATTAAGCACTGATTTGAAAACTAAAGGTTATAAAAATGTAGTTATACATGGTTCAAAAAGTCAAAGTCAAAGAGAATTAGCAATTAAAGAATTTAAAAATGGTGAAAATGGAGTCAAAATTTTAATAGCTACTGATGTTGCTGCTAGAGGTATTGATATTCCCAATATTAATTTAGTTATTAATTATCAAATGGTCAAAAAGTTTGATGAATATATTCATAGGATTGGTAGAACTGGTAGAGCTGGTAGATCAGGTAAAGCCATTACTTTCATTACTGATGATGATAAAGATGTTTTTATTCCATTGAAGAAATATTTGAGTAAGGGTAATATTAGATTGCCTGATTGGTTATATAATTATCAACAATCAAGTGTATAATGAGGAATATAAAGTATCTATAGGGATTTGTTAAACTGAGTGGAAATGTGTTCGTATATTCTATAAAGTTAATGGTATTAATTTGTCTATGGTAGATTCTGTCAATGGGTTTAACAGTAATTTTAACTCTTTCAATTCCACACAATTTTTGAAATCAAAATGATTTAAATTTTCCAATCTATTCTTTTCTAAATTTAAATATGTAACATTGGGAACATTCAAACTTTGTATATAATTCATTTCTAAATTTAAAGAATATAATGATGTTGGAAATATTCCAATTATAAATTTCAATCCCATATTTTTGAACATTAAATATTCAATTGTATTAGGCATACGATCAACATTAACAACTTCAACATTACCACCGCTTAAATTTACACTTATCAATCTTGTACATTTTTCTATACTGTCCAAAAATAGGTTAAGTGACTTTTGACTCCAATTACCATGTATAGTTACCTCTTCAATTGTGATTGGGAAATAAAAAAGAACATCACTTGGAATATTAGTATTGATAAGTGTTAGTCTTGTCAAATTTAAAGGAAATTGAAAAAATGAATTACTATAATTTATAAGCTTGTTAAGCTTATTATGAATATATAATGATTCGAGATTATTTGGTAAATTATTATTGAAAGATGTTATGGAAAGAGATATCTCTAAATTTCTTACATTTGGTATTTCAAATAACAAATCAGTTGAAAATTGAACTTTAAATAATGGCGATAATGAGTCTAGTTTGTGAATTGGATTATTATTAAGCTTTAGGAATTCCAAGCTTGAAGGTATTGAACTAATGTCTGATATTAAATTTCTCAGTAAGTTTAAACATTGTAAATATTTTAAACTTTTCAAGGTAATCGTTCTAAGTCTATTTTTACTTACATCTAAATAAATTAATGATGATGGTAGATCTGGTAATTTATCAAGACCCAAATTAATCAATGTTATTTTATAAAGTGTACTTGGTAATTTCAAATTATTCATATTTCCTGAGAATCCACCAGTATTTGAAATATTTAATACTTTTAATGTTGGTGGCAAACTGATACATGAGTCCAATTTAAGTAATGGGTGGTTTTGTATGACTAATGATTTTAGACTTGGAGGGAGTTTAAGCTTTGCAACAATTGTATATTCTTGAACTTTCAAATTGAAATTAACTGATGGTATATGACTTGTTAGTTTATATGTTAATTTTTCTAAATTATGTGGTAATAAATCGGTAAAAACATTTATATTTGGACATTCTATTATCTCCAATTCTTTGAGACTCTCATATTCATCAATTTGACTTAATGAAATTAAATTCAATCTTGCAAGTGTTAGTGATTCCACCAATTGTCTATCTAAATTCACCTGAAGAAGATATTGAAAACTATTCGTGTGTAAATTTCCTTTATATCTCAATCTTTTAACGTTATTATCATGTATTATATTTATTGAATTACTCAACTCTGTAATCTCTAGATCAATAATATTTCGAGGTAGTTTCAATTCGACACCAATAAAGTCTATAATTGTCAATTTGTAAATACTAGATGGTAAATATTCAAGATAATTCAATATACAACCTTCAATACACAATTCTTCTAATCCCGGGGCTATCAAATTATAATTATCAAACTTAATTTCTAATTTTTTTACACTTGATGGTAGTTTATCTTTCACTTTGCATGTCAATTTCAAACTAGTTATATTTTCAAATTGATAATTTTCCTCATTTGAAATTAACTTTAAGTTCGAGCAAGGCACAAATGTATTACTTATAATTGACCTAGGAAAATATTCATAATTGAACTTTTTACAAAACCTATTGAATTCTTTGACTAGTCTAAACTTTGACCTTTCATTTATCTCAGCAATTGGATATAAATAATTGACTATAAATTTATTTAATTGCGGCACGGACAAATATGACTCTAATATCTCAATATCTATGTATTTGAAGATATTATATACAACTTCATTTGGTAATTGCAAAAAATCCATTTGGTGACTAGTTGTTAGTTGGACCTAAAATACACCTAAGTGAATGATTCATAACACAAGATTAGCGTTTGACACAAAATCGGTTATCATACTCCACAATTATGAAGTGCTACCAACTGTTTAGCCATAAGTTTGTATTCATCGTCGAAACGATAAACTAAAGTGAACTTTGAAAGCTCACTATCTAAGCTTGGGTATTGGATTTGTAAAGCAACATGTGACAATGATTCTAATCTTTGAATATGGGGAACGATCTAGATGACCTCGAGAATTTACTTGCAAGAAGTTGGTACATCAAATTGAATAACAATCTACAACTCATTCGATTTACTAAATTAAATGATAAAAGCAATTATCAAATCCTTTTCAAAACACCTTCGCCTCATAACTTCTCAAATCTAATTCAGTGACCTAAATATAAGTTTGAACAGTAAAGTGTTCCATTTAATAATAAATCCTAAACTATCAAATCGAGCTAGATCATCATACAAAATATGTAGAGTTTTCCATAAACTATCCTTTGATGCTAACCGTGTGTTTTCAAAAGTTATTCTTTAAAATTGAGTTTTGAAAAATGATTCTTTTATTTAGATTTTAAACTTGGCGCTCATCACCTTATGTGCCAAATATTAAATCTAAACGGGTTATGGTAGTCTTCTATCCATTGGCATACTTCCACAACGTATTGTGGCCAATCTGAGCAACTATATCTAATGTCACTTCATTGATCCATTGGTCATGCCAAAGGCTAAACCCCGAACTTTCATCAATTGAAACTCCCTTAACACTGTTCACCCCCAATTATAATTGTGCTCGTGTGTGATTTTAGATTAAAGTGAGTTTAGAAAGTGATTCAATGAATTTTCGGAAAATTAGAACTGTATATTATTTGTTTATCTTATTATAAACTAAATATGTCCCAAAACATTTATGTTTTTATTTTAAGAACGGAAATGTCAAATTACTAAAAATATTAGTTATTAGTTGGACTTTTTCCATTATTGTATTTTTCCATTATTGTATATGGAAAATCCAAAGTTGAAAAATTTTTAAGACTAGGGGGTGTTGAAAGTGGGTCCTTTTTCAGATGAGTTTTTCTACTAACAAGTCAGACAATGAATCAAATAAAACTCAGGCAATTTAACCTTTATTGTCTTATACAGCTAATCTTTTGAATCCTTCTCGGACTCTTCAAAACTTGTAAATTTCAAACTGAGACGATTTACGATATGATTGTTGATATGAAGTCCATTTTGAAACACAATTTAAAACAAATTAAGAAGGATTTGAGAAAATACAAAATACGCTGAATTACATAATTTCAGAGACTAACTGTATTCCATTCTAATACCGTATCTTACGCCAGATACGGAAATTTAAGATTGCAATAGAAAACTATATTAAAAATTTAAGGCAAAAGAAATATTCATTTTTGAAATCGAGAATTAGCCACTTTTTGTGTTCCATGGAACGCTTACATAATCATTCACATTTGGTCTTTTGATAGTGTTACAAAGTTCAATATTTTGAAAAATTGTCTTGAAGGTAGATAATAACTGGAACTGACAGCTAATGGAATAATTTTAAACTATTCGTCTTTGCACCCCGTCATACGATCAGGATCGCCTTAACTAATTAGCTTCATTCATAACTGTTCAATATTGTGTAACGTCAAAAAATTTCTTTTTAATTGTTTTTTCTTTTTTTTTTTTTATTGCATAATTTGTTTTGTGTTACAGCCAAAAAACCAATTGTCGATTTCATATTATAAGACAGAATTATATACAATTAAGTTATCATGAATGATGTGTTTCTACTAAAATACTATTACTATGTTGAGAAACTTTTATATACGGTGTCGTTTCTATTTTAGAATTGTGAATTTTTATGCACCTAAATTTTTGAATTTCCACCCTTCTTCACCCTATTATATATCATAGTTACCTTTTACTTTTACTAAAACTTTAACCAAAGAGAAAAATAATTATTATTCTTTTAAACATCACTTGATTCTTTTCAAAATTAAGGTTTCGGGTCTTAAGTTGATGTCTGTAGCCTATCATAGTTTAAATCAAGTTACATACGTTTAGAAAAGATCTACCGAGTTTTTAGGTATATTTCAAAAATATCAACGATTACTTTCAATTACATAACATATAACATACCAAATCAAATTCAATCCATACTATTCATTAAACAACATTAAGACATTGGACCAAAATTATCGACCAAAATTATCGACCAAAATTATCGACCAAAATTATCGACCAAAAAAATAAAAAAATTATGTCAAATACACTTCCCATTAGCTCAATTTTACTAACAGATCCAATGAGCAAACCAGCTCGAATTCAAGTCAATTTAGAGTCAATAGAGGCTACAGAAAAACCTGTTTCAAGTGCAGGTACCAGTTTTAATATTTGGTACTCAAAATGGACATCATCAACCTCATCTACAGCTACCGGGGCCAAATTTAAATGTAATGTCAAACAAGATCAAGGTTATACAAAAGCAAGAAAAAATAGTTATATATGCCTATTTTTCAGTCGAGGTTGTTGCTATTTAGGTTCAAAATGTCATTTTTATCATAGACTACCACTAGAATCCGATAACTTTAATTTTAAAAAAGACTGTTTTGGAAGGGATAAAACTCCAAATTACAAAGATGATATGGATGGTGTAGGATCATATAATCATGAAAACCATACTTTATTCATTGGGAATATTAAAGCTAAGAATATTGAAGAAGTACTAAAGAAAAATTTTGAACAATTTGGTCAAATTGAAAACATTCGAGTTTTACTTAATAAATCTTGTGCATTTATTACTTATAAATTGGAATCAGAAGCTCAATTTGCAAAAGAAGCTATGCAGCAACAAGTACTTGATGATGGAAACGAAACTTCACCAATAATTATACGATGGTCAAATGAATATAAAAATCAAGAAAAGAGAAAAATTGACAATACAGCTAATGCTATAAGGAATATGATGGATTCAGATACTCATAAAAAGATCAAAATAATTCAGGATTTAAATGGCAAAAGCCCCACTGAAATAGTTGAAGTTGAAGATACAAATAAATTATTGGGAGACGATGATGAAGGTGGAGATGTTGAAAAATTGATTATAAAACCTAGAAAGGAAGGTAAATTACAAAAAACAACTTATGGTAGTCATAATTATACTTTACACAATGGGAATTTCCATTCCCATTCAAATCGATTTCGAAAACCAATTAATGGTTACGCAAATGGGAATCAGAGAGAACCAATTATCAGTGATTCTACAATGAAAGATGTTGCAAGATTTAGAAAAAAATTGATTTTTAGACGACATGAACCTAAATTAGTTAGTGTATTAGGAAACTATTCAACTGATGAAGATGATGATTAATGAAATAATATAAATAATTGAAATTAAATCGAAACCTCTTGTAGAAATTATACAATAGGTACATATATATCAAACTATCTAAAGAAAAGTTAATAATAATGAACCACCAATTAAACCGAATAACATTGATTTTTTCCAATTCGATGAATCTAATTTTACAACACCTGAACTTGATCCACCAGTTGAAGTTGATGAAGAACTTGATCCTGAGGAAGTAGATGATGATGATGATCTTTCTGAAGATGATGCATCACTTGATCTTGATGATGATGATGATGATGCATCAGATGTTGAAGATGATTCATTACTTGATCTTGATGAGGATGAATCATCTGAATTAGATGAATTTGATTCAGTACTTGAACTTCCACTAACTGCACCAGCACCAGCACCAATGCTAGCACCACTTGAAGCAGATCCAGTACTTTCAGTTTCTGTTCCACTTGATGCAGTTTGTTCAGCATCACTAATTGAACTTCTAAAACTTGCAACTTCATCTGATTGAATTGATAATTCACTTAAAGCACCTTGAGTAATTGTAGAAATTACACCATCAGCTCTTGAAGTAATAATTGCAAAGCCTTCACCACCTTGTGAAGTAATTGATTTGAATTCAATAACAACTCCCGAAGTAGCAGTATGGAAAACACCAGCAGCATCTGAAGTAACTGTAGCAAAAACATTTTCACCTTTACTTGCTATATCAACACCAGCTGAAACAATATCACCAATTGCACTTAATAAATCTGCCATTTTTAATTAAAGAATGAATATAAAGAATGAATATAAGAATGAATATAAGAATGAATATAAGAATGAATATAAAGAATGAAACTGAATTATATATAAATTTGTCAAATCATTCTGAAATGTTGAGGAAAACTAAATTGTTTTTATACCGTGATTTTTTTCTGTTAATGCTGCATGGTACTAAAAATAGCTCAAACTCGGGCTCAACATTTAAAATAATTTTGAAAATTTCATGACCCCGAGAACCATTCTAAATTGCTATACTAATTGAAACCACCACAATTCGTTAACATTTTTTGATTTACAAAATTCCAATAAAAAATAAAAGCCTTGTCTATTAATAGATCATTAATAGATCATGAGATCAATCAATTAGTCTTTTATCAACTGCGGTCGATGTGTGTTGTTTTACATACTGACAAGTGCGTTATTTTCTAACCATTAATGGTTATTAAAATGAAATAATATTGATGGCTTAAAATGAAAAAATAACTTTGGTTGATTTGAAAAAAAAAACACGCCAAATTTAAGTTTATTTATAACCAATTTATCCAAATTAAGATTAAAGTTCTATTTACATTTCTGTCAATCGTAAATTATTTTAACGAGAAAAAAAAAATAATAAGTTCGAATCCCGAATGTCACATCTTTAATCGAATCTAGAATCATATGCATGTCGCTTAATATCATTTGTACTGCGCGGATATATAAAATATTGTATTGTTTCAATTATGGAAATGCATTTCGAATTGATATATTTATGTATTCGCACTTTTTATAAAAGGACCCTAGTTTTATTATTTGAATCAAATCACATCATCGAGATCCTTTTCTTGATAATATTATGAATATTATGCTTGGCAACTTAAAATATAATAAATTTTACATAAGCGAAAAACTCGTATAATAAATCGTTGAAATGGTATAGTTGATTCAGGTTTATCTCTAGAGACTAGAAATCTCATAAGAAATCTCGTAAGAAATATATGCTGTGGGCTTCACATTGTAATTGATTTGAGTTTTGAATCAAATTTCGTCAATTTATCTGGTGTATTGGATGGTGGACAATGATTTATGTCTTTCAAGTGATATTTCAGCTCTTGTGAAGTGTATTCTACAACCCTAGTATTTTTGTATTAATCGAGAAACAGGCTTCTTTTTTATAAATTTATTACTCTGTGCACTAATTTGTTTGTACCTTTTTCTGATACTTTTGTTATAATTCAACAAAATTAAAGAATGCGTACTAAACGTTTTAGAATTACAAAAGTTTGTGATTTTTGTAAGAAAAGAAAGATCAAATGTAAATTAGAAAAACGTTGTGCAACAGGTATCAAATTTAAACGAGAATATATTTACTCGGACAAAGAATATTATGAGAATGGTGAAGTGATTAAAAAAAAACGATCGTCAAAACGAGTTATTTAGATTGAAAGTAAAATAAAGTTTCTTGAAAAAAACGCTTATGCTAAAGATAACAATCCACCACAAAGTTTAGATTTACCTATTGATATTATCAAGATGATTGGGAATAATCCAATTGAATCATATAGTGATAGTTATGCTTTCTTTAAAAATACAAGCTACAATTATGAACGAGATCCAGTAAGAAAAAGAAATATAGGACCATTATCATAGGACCATTATCATAGGACATTATCATAGGACGATCATAGGACCATTATCGTAGGACCATTATCATAGGACCATTATCATGGATAGCATTAGTTCAAACAGATGCAACAAAACAAGTTTGGAATCATGTAGCAACAATAAAGGATAAGCATTTGTCACTCAAAATCCAACAGAACAAGACTTTACCAAAAGGTCTCAAAACGAAGATGATAAAACTTATCAAAGACCATATAAGGAGACAAAAATGTCAGATAAAGCCGTTAGTTTAGGAGTACAATATCTTGATACCGTGGGAGAAGAAATGACAGTTATAGAAAAAGTCAAATTAGAAATTCCTAATAAAAAAGTAATTTGGTTATTAGTGAAGAGGTTTTTTTTCAGAACTATATCCGTTTTACCCCATACTTGATGAATTCGATCTTATTGATCAAATTCTACAATTAATTGGTCCTAAAAAATTGAGTGAAGACAAAGTTAATGTACACGTGAATAAAAAGCTAGATTTAGCTTACTTGGGGATTTTATTGATTGTGTTACATTAGAGTTATGTTTCTGCGTTAACGAATTATAATTGTCAATATTACGATTTATTGCTACTTAGTCCGTTTAACATTGAAATTATAAACGTTGCTAGATGTTGTTTAACTCAGTTTGATTTTATGAAAAATTCAAATATCACATTATTACAGCTTGCATTATTTTTGAGATTATATTATTCAATTGCACCAGAAGAAGGTGATGGTTTAACTGGAGGAGATGCTGAAAGTTTCAAATGCAATGTTGACAAAGATGACAATGCAATTGAATTTACTTGGAGAACCTCATGTTGATAATAAATATACTAATTTGGGAGGAAAATTGTGGTATCTCAGATTAATGAAAGATTTAGAAATGTTCGTACAAATGGAAATAATTTGAATATCAATCAGGAATTTTATGATACAAAAATACCTTATCATTCTACAAATAATTCAAATGTTAAAATTGCGTGTTTAATATTTCCAATGTTAGATCCAGGTTATGATAATTTGTATCAAATCCAAGAAATGATTTATAAAATAAGATCAATTGTGAATTTATAGGAGTTTTTAAAAAGTTGAATGTTTGTGAAGATACTTTTATAAATCAAGCTACTGAATGTATGAAGTTGGAAAACTCAAATATAACATTTATGGAGGCTATAAGATTGAAAATTTTCCTTCGATCTGGAGGTTGGCATATTTCAGTGGTTTGTCATTTGTTTAATCATCATGAAAGTCATCAAGATTAGTACTCTTTATATTATTTTATATAAAAAGATTTTTGCAATAATTAATTTGATCATCCCATTATATCATAAATTTATATGCAAAGAAGAATTACAGTCACCATTTGATTTGCTTTTAATACCTTGTTTTAAATCATTTGCTCATAAATCAATAAATGCATTAGTTTCATTTACTTTGAGAATTAAATTTGATTTATTCAAGAGTACAGGTTTACATTATGAAAGTATTAAAATGTTCAGATTTAATGTGGCAATACATTCTTAAATTTAAACATGGAATTGCAAAATTATCTCAAAGGTATTATTATGCATGGAGAATAGTTAAAGCTCATAATGTTATAGGATCAATTACAATCGATGAATTTCTTAAAACTTTAAAACATGATACATTATCGATTCCAACTGATACTTTAATTGAATTAGAATCAATAATGTAAACATTTTTGGATAACAAAGAGGAATTATCCTTTGCTTCAATATTTAGTAAACAGACTTTAGCTGAACAAATTGATAATATTTGGATGCAAATGAATACTTTAAATAGTAATATATAGTAAATCTTCATAAGTGCGTTTTTTGGAAATTTTACGGACCAAGTGATTTTTTTGTTCTCAATGGGCATCAAACGGTTTCGTATTACTAAAGTCTGTGATTTTTGCAAGAAAAGAAGAGTTAAATGTGATTTGGAGCAACCTTGTTCTACATGTATAAAGTATAAAAAAGAATGTACTTACACAGAAAGAAATTCAATGGTTAAACAAGGTGGTGAAAAATTAGAAACTCCCAATGTAAAACATGAACTAAATGAATTGAAAAATAAGTTAAAATTATTGGAAAAGTCAGTAACTTCTGAAGCTATACCACCTGAAAGTAATTATGATATTAATGAATTTGTAAATGTTAATGATTTCATAGGGAATAATCAAATTGAATCAAATCTTGATAATTACAATTTCTTCGAAAGATTAACACCGACTAAAGATAAAGATCCAATACGAAAAAGGAACTCGGGCCCATTATCTTGGATTACTTTGATCAAAAATGATAATGCAAATTCATTAGTCTGGAATCATATGTCAACTATAAAAGATTCATTTGATTATAAAGTATTTGCAAATCAAAATAATGCTTCACAAACTGATATTGATTTTACAAAAAAAGTACATGATGAAAATAAAGTTCAAAGTGCTTCATTTGGTTTATCATTTTATCAAGGTGGTTTAAATGAAGAATTGCAATTGGTTGAAAAAATTAAATTTGTATTACCAACAAAACAGGTTATTTGGTTGTTATATGATAGATTCTTCAATATCTTATATCCTTTATTTCCTATAATTGATGAAACTAATTTGAAAGTTAACTTGGAAAAGATTTTAGGAGATGATTTACATGTTGAGAAAAAGACTGATTTTATATACCTTGGGATACTATTAATTATATTGAGATTAAGTTTTATATCTTTATTTTCACATGATTTATCTACAAATGAGTCAAATTACCGTACAGAGCTTAAAGTGTTGTATGACAATCCGGTTAATATTGAAGTGATCAATATTGCTTGTTCATGTTTTCATTTATTCAATTATATGCGGAATTCAAATATAACTTTACTTCAACTAGGGGTTTTAATCAGATTATACCATTCAATAGCTCCTGAAGAAGGTGATGGATTAGATGGAGGTGATGCAGAAGTTTCCATTGCAATGTTAATACGAATGGCTTTACAATTAGATTTACACAGAGAACCAGATAAATTTGATCATTCTTCAAGAGATGAAAAATTAAACAATTTAGGTAGAAAAATCTGGTATACTTTAATCATGCAAGATTTGGATAATGCAATGGCTCATGGTACTGGTTTAAATGTCAATGCTTATTCATTTGATACTGAAATACCATTTTATACACCAGGCAATGAAAATGTTACAAATGCAACTTTAGAAAAAATTGCTGGTTCAGGTTTTCCAAATTTGGAATCTGCATATGAACCTTTGTATGAATTACAAGATATGTTGTTTAAAGTTAAGGGGACTGTTAATTTATCAGTTTTTGTCAAGAAGTTGAATTATGTGGAGAGATATTTAGAGGATAGATATGGATCTATACTAGAAGATTATAATTTCAATTTAAACCTTGAAGAATCATTTTTAATGAGTATAAATTTAAAAATATTTTTCAATTGTACTTATTGGCTATTAAGTATATATAGTCATTTGATGAATCATTATGAAAGAATAGCTAATCAAAGGTTATTGTATTATTATCTTAAAAAGTCATTTTCAATGTGTTTGAATAAAGTTATTCCATTTGTAGATAAAATAATGGGAAATCTAGATAAACTAAAACCTCCCCATGATCTTTTAATAACACCAAGTTTGGAATTAGCATGTCATAAGTCTATAATTTTAAGTTTAGCGATTTATGTTAGGTTACAGTATTCAATCAATGTCTTACAATATAAATATGATCATCTTACAAGAATGAAATCAAATAATCCTGCAGACACAGCATATAAAGTACACTTTAAAAAATTGAATAATTGTTTTAATCTACTCCTGAAATCATCAGATTTCTTTCTCAAATGTTTATCTAAATTATCATATCGTTATTATTACGCATGGAGAGTAACAAAAGCACAAAAATACGTAACTTCAATAGTAGATGACGAGTTTATGAGGAAGTATAAATTACCATATAATGTTGATTTATTGACTACCGAAATGTTGACAGATTTGGAGAATATAATGATTAATTCATTAAATCAAATTGAACAAGCAAAGAAACCTTCCATGACATATACACCATCTCCAACAAATTTATTAACTTCAGATACCATTAATCAACAAGCTGATTCAATTTGGGTTCAAATGTTGGGTGCAAAGAATAATGATTTTTCAGAAAATTTAAATTTTGAGATACCACAACAACTTGTACCAGATATTATTCATCATGGTGGTGAAAATATGGCAGTAAATCCAATTGATAATTATTTATTTGATGAATTTTTGAGGGAGTTTTTGTAGTAAAGCTTTTAAATAATGTATTATAGGTAATGTTATAGAATATGTATTAAATTGATTAATTACGATACATTCAATGTATGAATTAGTAACTGTATAATTGAATGCTATTTATGTAGTACACGTCAAAATTGTCTCATAATGATATTTTGACTCTCGCCCAAATTTAATGCCACAATAATATTTTTGTCGCACGAATCTGAGGGCGACTCGTACGAAACATATTGACAATATTGTTTGGACCCCGAATTCTCTCCAAATAAGGATCAATTTCATGAGATCAAGAGCCATTAATTGTATATCAGATATACTTCAAACTCCCAATTTCAGACACTTTTTTTTCGAGTTGTCATTTTGACAATAATTCATCACACAAAAAATTTTCAAAATATGAAATTCAATGTAAGTTATTATTTAGGACCACAAACTTCAATTACACAACGGTTAATACATAATACGTCTCAAACTAAGGTGAATTAAGTATTAGGTGACCTAATTTAAAATTGCAAAATTTCAAAAAAATCTCTTAAGTATGAGGAAAATCGAATAAATCGACCTTACGGAAATTTACTACCACAAACAGAATACCGATTGAAGTATAATAGAATTGATCGATTTTGTAGTTCCTGTAAGCAGATAAACCTCAAGTGTTTTTTTTCGTGGAGGTACTCTAAATTGGAAAAGTAATTTTTCAAAAGTGGTTCGAAATTTTTGAAGAAATATCAAACTGATTTTGGCGTCTTAGAAACGGTATACAAAGATTATTCATGGTCAAATAAGCCAAATCAGATATGTTAGAAGTTGTTAAATGAGGTTCAAGTGTTGACTATTTTGCAATATAGCGTTTTTTTTGCCATTTTTATTTTGTTCTTCAAATAAAAAACACAATTTATTAAACACTATAAACTATATAGTAAGTTATTTTGATTATTTTCTTGGACTTAATTCTAAAGTTTCTTTTTTAATAGCATCACCTAATTCTTTAGCAACTTTAGTAAAGTAATCGAAGACTTTATCTTGAACCCAAGCATCAGCATTAGCAACATGAACAGCAACATTATGAGCTAAATTCTTTTGTTGATTTGGATATCTGGCTAAAACATTATATAAGTCTGTAGCTTGTTTGAAATCAGCATCAGTTGCCTTCCAATGGAAAGGACATGCAGCGCCATTCCATACTTCTTGATCTTGTTGAATTGAATATTGTTGAAATTCAACTGGTTTATCAGATGCAAGATAATTTGGATGAGATCCCAAGTTTCCATTGACACACATAGCACCATCTCTAATATGAGGAGCAAAAACTCTACCAGCAACTGGACAATTAACTGGAATTTGAGTATAATTGGTACCCAATCTATGTCTATGAGTATCTGGATATGAAAATAATCTTGATTGTAAAACAGGATCAGCAGATGGTTCCATATATGGAACAGTATGTGCTGGAGAAAATGCAGCTTGTTCAACTTCAGAGAAGTAATTTTTTGGATTTTCATTCAAAGTGAATTTTCCAAACCTTCTCATAGGATATTTTTTATGTGGCCAAACTTTAGTTAAGTCAAAAACAGAAAATTCAGCTTCTTTTGCTTCTTGTTCAGTCATAGTTTGAATATAACAAGTCCATGATGGATAATTACCAGCAGCAATATTTTTAAATAAATCTTCTTGAGCATGATCTGGGTTAGAACCAGCTAATTGACCAGCTTCTTCATTAGTCAAAGTTTTGACACCTTGATCAGAAATAAAATGAACTTGAACATATCTCCAATCACCATTTTTATTTGACCATTTATAAGTATGACCTGAATAACCATTCATTTCTCTGTATGAAGCGGGAGTACCTCTATCAGAAAATAATACCATAACTTGATGAACAGATTCTGGATTAGTGGTCAAATAATCCCAAAACATATTTGCATCTTTTAAATGAGTTTCAGGATTTCTTTTTTGAGTGTGAATAAAATGTGGAAATTTTGATGGATCTCTAATAAAGAAAACAGGAGTATTATTATAAACTAAATCTAAATTACCTTCTTCAGTATAAAATTTAGTAGCAAATCCTCTAGGATCTCTTGCAGTATCTGCTGAACCAGATTCACCACCAACTGTTGAAAATCTTGTAAAAATTCTAGTCTTTTTACCAATAGTATCTAAAAATTTAGCAGAACAAACATCTGTAATATCGTCTGTAACTTCAAAAACACCAAAAGCACCTGATCCTTTAGCATGAACAACTCTTTCTGGAATTCTTTCTCTATCAAAATGTGCTAATGAATCAATTAAATTGAAATCTTGTAATAATAAAGGACCGTGTTGACCAATTCTTTGAGTTGCAAAAGCATCTGGGGTAATTGGTTGCCCATTTGAATTTGTATAAGTTGGAGCCATAATTAAGAATAACTAAATTAAACTTACTATTATAAAAGAATATAAAAGAATAAAAAAGTAATGAAAATTGTTGAAAATATAACTGGCTGAAAAATAAGGAGCTTTTTATACTGATAAACCTTTTTAGCGGGGACAACTTCATAAAAATAAAAATAAAATTAAAGATAAAAATAAAAAAATAAAAAAAAAAAAAAAAAAAAATAAAATAAAATTGTGATTATCAATTAACTATGAGTCCAGAATTCACATATATAATAGATTTTTATTATTATATGGCATTACAAATTTTAAAACCACGTTTAAATTTGCGATTAATTTATGGCCAGGTTTCAACATAGCAATTATCTCAATTATCTATTACAACACTTCTTACATATACATTTTGTATATCATTTTTGTGAATTTTGTGAATTTTATCGAATATATTATTACAATTCACTTGAATCTAATTGGTTAAAATTTCTATATTTGACAGTTTCCATAATTCCATTTTTTTTTTTTGTCTGGGGTAAATGGTATTTACACTACAAGTATTATTTTCTCATTATAATATGCCTCGGGCTAATTAGAAATAGAAACATTAACCACTGTTCTTTAACTATGACTATGAATCTATTATAAAAGTTCAAAAGTTTAGATTTGAATAATCTAGTTAAGCTTGTTGGTAAGAGAGATGGGGTGTATTGATCATAAAATACCCGATGACCTTTACTTCGTCATAATCAGGATAGTTTATTAATTAACAGCAATCTATAATATATATATATATGTATCTATTTATATATAGTTTGTCATAGTAATTCCTTAATAGTTTATTGCTTCTTTCGAGATTCATTTTGTATTACAAATTATACGATCACTACCATGTGATTGAAAAATTAAAATCACAATTGAAAGCAAGATTAAGTAAATTAGATTTTGTGTAAATTCATAATTAATTTCACCGATATCTGCTACATTATATTATCAACAACGTTATATAATCTATTGTTGATATAAGTTTGATATATATAATCACCTGTTTCTTGCAGATAATAAATAGAATCAATTAATATTCATGTGAGATAGTACGACTAAATAAATCTTTTAAGATCTTTAAGACCATTAAAAATATTATTGTCGTATTAATAGGATAAGACGCAAAATTAACACGACAATGTTATTTTTCGCTTTCTCCGCTAAAAACGCGTAATCAAACAAAATCTTTTGGTACTGCATATTCGGATTTGAAGCAATTTTACACGTTTAAATTGACAATTAACGGTTTGGCAATTGCTATAAAGTCTGTGTCATAAAAAGATCTGTAAGCACAAATATTAAATTATACGACTGAATATTTTTTATTTTGTCATTGAATTTCATTGAATTTTATTGAATTTTATTGAATTTTTGAATAATTTTGAAGTTTTGCAACCATTTCAAATTTTGAAATCATAACTATTATACAGTCTTGTCTTAAAGTCTATTCGGTGTTCCTTGCCGTATTTTCTCAATATTCAACTTTAAACCTTTTTTCCGAATGGGGGTATTTGGGATTAGAACAACACAATAGTTATAAAATTTGATATTAATTAGTACTACAGCTAATTTGCAATGGAAAAAAGTTCTATCGTTCATGATTAAATGGAGGGTACTTGAGTATGAAAGAATACTCGTAATCAAGTCTCCTCAAAAGTTATCATGAGATGTAGTCCAACAATATTAATAATAAGAATTTTAAACTCCTCAATTTGATTGTTTTGGGGTCCAGTTGGAGTTTGTTTGAGGAGTCAATCAGTCGATAAGCCAAAAATCTATATTTTCTTTAAAACGTTTGTTGTAATACACAATGTAGGTTATTTTCAGAACTTTAACTATGTTGTCTATCTACTTTATCTACTCTATGAAAAAAGCAGGACGATAAAGAGAGCACTTATATTTTGGAAATGAATTAACTCTCTCTTTAAGTAACTGTTAAATGTTAAATTTATACAGTAGTACAATGGTTGCAAAATTTCATTCAATAAAGTTAATTGAAAATCTATCATTATATATTAATACAATTATATCGTCAGTCATTATATATTTATTTATTTATTAATTTATTTATTATTATTTTTTAAACTTTGTCTCCATTCTTTAAATTCTTCAGATAACAATTCACCATTTCTTAATTTTTCATTCCTTTCTTTTGAAACTTCTTTTACAGTAAATGATCTATCATTTGGATCATATTTCAATTTATAACTTTTAGTTTCATCTTGTTTATTTATTGTATCATTTAACCAGTCAACAACAGCTCCATACCATTTTAAACAATTTGTACAATTCACTTTTTTATCTGAATTATGGGTCAATGGATTATTTTTCAACATAACTGGAATCTCATCAGTATTATAAAATTCAATATTTCTTAATATTAAATTATCATCGCGGAAACCATATATAATTTTTGTAATTCCCATTAAAAAACATTGACACCAAGTTTTAAATAATTTTTTACTTTCAAAATTAACAACTTGCATATTATTTTCAATTAATCTTGTAGTTTTCAATTCTACATAATTTGAAAGTATTTTTGATTTCTCATCAGGAACATAATTCCAACAACAATCAACTTCACCAATTAAAACAATTTTATTTTTACCAATTCCCGTTTTAATCACAGATAAAAATTGTTCATAATTATTCACCACTTTTTTATTCCTTTTCTCAATTGTAGATCTTGATGTATCAGCCCATGGTCTTTTTAACGTGGTGATAGTTTCAAACTTATAACCAGCATATTCGCATTTTTTGATAAATTCATATTTTTCCTTAGATGTAGTTTGTCTTTGTCGATTATCTTGATCTTTTTGTCTTTTTAATTCCATTTCATCATCTAATTTAACAAATAAAGAACCATCATAAGCAACAATGTATAAATCTATTGGATCTGATAAATTATTAGGCAAAGATAATATACGAGTCATTATTCCTCGAAATGTGACAATATCAGATGAAACTTTACCATTTTCTTTCTCATATTCTATTAAAAATTTAAAGAATGACTTAAAATTAGGTAAATTATCTTGAATTGGTATTTGTTTAAAATTTTTAAAACCAGATTGTAAATCTATATTTTCATCAATTTTAGTATTTGGAAAATAATAATAATTTATATTTTCATGATTCGGATCATAATGAAATTCTCCATTTTCATCTCTATTAAATGTAAATAATTCTTTTGGCTGTTTTAAAGCAGTTGTTTTTGCCCTGGTATTAATTGGTAAAATATACATCTACTGAAACAAAAAAAAACAAAAAAAAAATTGTTTCATCATTTATGGCTTCAAAAGGTGCATTAATTAAATTAGTTGTTGAAGCTGGTAAAGCAGCACCTGCTCCTCCTGTTGGTCCAGCTTTGGGTTCAAAAGGTGTTAAAGCTATTGATTTTTGTAAAGAATTTAATGCTAGAACTGCTCATTATATTCAGGGTACTCCAATACCTGTAATTATAAAAGTTAAACCAGATAGAACTTTCACATTTGATATGAAAACTCCTTCTACTTCATGGTTAATTATGAAAGCTGCAGGAATAGAGAAAGGTGGTAATGGAACTATAACTTTGAAACATGTTTGGGAAATTGCAAATATAAAATCAAAAGATAATCGATTCAAAAATGTTGATAAACAAAGTATAGTGGGGAGTATAATAAGTACTGCGAATGTTTGTGGAGTTAATGTTGTCATGTAAATAGAGGAATATATATAAATCTATAAGTCTATTTCATTTTATTTTTTTCAAATGCAGCTATATGAGCTTTTGATTGATCAACTTGAGTATGTTCATGATCATTACATTTTATAACATCATAATTACCATCAATTTCTTCAACTGTACACATATTAACCAGTTTTAACCATGAATCTTGTATTATTTCATCAATTGTGATTCTACATGCTGGTGCTAATTCAACCATTCTACCAATTAATTTTCTGCAATCTTCAGGTAACGCTAATAATAATCTATTTACACCTGTTTCACTTGATGTATGATCCTTTTGTGGTACTTCAACTTCATTTATATCAGGTAATGTACTCGTTGGTGTTTTCTTTAACATTTCACTTAATGGTATAAACTCGCCTCTACTTGCAAATAATTTAAAACTTGAGTCGGAAAGTTTTGGAACTTTCCATGGAAATTTTTTCAACATCATACAACAAAATATTATAGCTGCTGACCAAACATCAACTGGTCTTGGATCATATTTATTGAAAACACAAACTTCAGGAGCCAAATAAGGATCAGAACCAACAATTCCTTGCGATTCAATCAATGTTTTTGAAAATGGATAACTGAAAACAACTGCAGAACCAAAATCAATAATTTTAACAATTCCTCTTGTATCAATAACACAATTATCCAATTTTAAATCTCTATGAGCTAAACCTATTGAATGTAAATAATGAATACCTGATAAAATTTGTTTAAAACAACAATTTATTTCTTCTCTTGACATTTTATTAGACATTACAATGGCAAATAAATCAAAATCACAGTATTCCATAACTTGATAAATTCTTTCAGATTCATAACAAATTTCAACAGTTTCTATAATATTTGGATGTTTTAAAGTTGATCCAATACAATATTCACCAGTGATTTTTTTTGCATAATCTCTTTTAGATTCATTTTGATACTTTGTTCTAAATTCTTTTACTGCAAATGTTTTCTTATCAGAATTTCTAGTTACTAATTTAACAGCACCACCAGCACCAGCTCCTAAATTTTCACCTAATTTTGAATACCTTTTACTAAATGGTAATTGAGCAGGATTTATCACTTGTGAAACAGATTGTCTTCTTTCTTGATAATTAATTTTATTTTGAAGGGTGCTACTTCTACTAATTGATAATGAACTTGGAGATTGGGAATAAGATGCATTTGATGTAGTCACTGTAATTGAACCAGGACTATTCGAATATTCAACAGGTTGCGTAATAGTAATGGGAGTGGAAGATCTTAAACTTGATGATAAATTTGATTCTTTTGTATTTGACTGTATTGGAGTTTTTTTGAAAAATCGTTTAAGATTAGCCATTGAACTATGTCTTGAAAGATTATTAAATGATTCTTGTGATGAAAATGATGAAGGACTTCCATTTATTACATCTTCTTGATACAGATTATTATAAAAACTTCCCATATCGGTAACACTTTCTCTTTTAGGTATTGGCTTTTGGTTCTTTGAATTGAAAAAGTACGACAAACCCAGTTGAGAATTACTCTTAGAAGAGCTCGAAAGTTGAGCTTGAGCAATTCTTTGTTTCGAAACAACAAATCTTGAATCTATATTTGATGAATTAACTTGCGGTGATTGAATATGGATACTATTTATAGGTTGACCGTTTGGCAAATTAGGTATATGAGATGTTGAACCTTGAGAACTACCCAGATCATGAATAGATAAAGATGAAAAACTACCTTCTCGATTTATTTGATTACCATTTGATTGTCTACCACCAGGAGCAGAATAAGGAATACTCGAAGATAAATTTTGATCGCCAAAGAAATTTGAATGAGAAACTGAATTATTTTTGATATATCTCGGAGAAGCAGCAGCACCAGATGATTTTAAACTTGGTATTCTAGTTGGCAATTTTGAAGTTGGAGAAGGATCACCAATATCTTGTTCTTGAATATTATTTACATCTAGATTACTTTCATTTAATAATTTAGTTAATGAAGATATTGGCTGAGACGACATATTGCTTGTTGGCTATTGCTTGTTGGCTATTGCTTATTGGTTATTGGTTAAAGATCCGGTTGTAAAATGAGTAAAATAGAACGAAAAAAAGAAAAAAAAAATATCCACAAAATTTGGCGAGTAATGCACAAAGGGTTAAATAATTGTTAACTATTGTTATCTATTCATTCTCTGGGAATAAAGAGCTACCAGTTGTTATTCCAATTTTATTTCTCAATTATTGTAATTTATATTCCAATTCTTCATTTGTTTCAGGTTTAACATTAAGATTCTTCTTTCTTTGTTCTTCTTTTATTAATTCCTCTTTTGTTTTGGTCTGTAATTCAATTTTTTTTCTATTTATTGCTGATTTCTTTTCTATTTCGGCAATTAATTTTTCAGTTTTATCAAATACTTCTTTTTGTAATACAGCATCATCAAATTCTTTTCTTACTTTTGTTTGTATTTTACATTCTTGTATAATTTGACCTCCTTCAATTTTCATTATAATTGGAGCCATAATTCCAAAATAAAATGATTGAGCACCTTGAAAAACAGATTTAAGAAATAACCACCAAATTGGAAAAAATAATAAATATAAAAATAAACCCAATATTGATCCCATTGATATAAATCTTCTTGTTGATGGGGTTCTAACTAATCCAGGATTAACTAAATTAACTCTTATATTACATGGAGATTTATCCTTTCTTTCATATTGATCTAGTCTATTTTGAAACTCTTTAGCAAATAAACCAACCAATAATTTCGAATATCCATAAATTTTCCATGGTTGTTGACTCGGATATTGTTTCTTTTCCCATAATAAATCAGAATCAATTTTATCTGATAGATTTATTGATGAACAAGTTGCTATTAATACTCTTACATCTCTATCTGGTGGTTGTACTTTTAAACTAGGTTCTAATAATGTTAATAAATGATAATTTGCTAAGTAATTTATTGCAATGTGTGATTCAACACCATCAACTGTATTTACTCTTTGTTTACCTCTTGGTATACATTCAGCAGCACAACATATAACACCATCTAATCTTCTTGGAGGTTGATTATCTAACCATTTAGTAGCAAATTTTCTAATACTATATAATGATGATAAATTACATTGTTCGGCATAAATTAAATTATTGTTTAATCCATCTCTTAAATCTTCAATATATTCAGCTAACCATAAATCATTGGTATTTCTAGCCAATAAAATTAATTGAGCACCTCTATGACCTAATTCATTAACTATTTGTTGACCAATTCCTGATGTACCACCAGTTATAATATAAACTTTACCATGTAAATCACGTTCCCAAATATTTGTTGAACCACGAAAATAATATTTTAAACCGGCAATTGTTGAAATTATAGGTATAACAGTTGGACCATAATGTTTAATTTCGTCCCAATATGGTATTATTTCAGGACCATCAAAGAACACACTTGTTAAAAAATCAACTGGCATTATCAAAAAAAAAAAAATTATTTTGTTTCAGAATTTATTTTTCATCTCATCATGGATGAAGTATTATTTTATATTTCACAAGGTGATAAGAATGAAGAAAGTTATGGGTATATAACTTCGATTCATTCATCTAAACAATATGCAAGTCTAAGACAAGCATCTACACTAAAACATTCTACAAAATTAACTGGTTTTGGACCTGGTGAAAGAATAATTACAAGTTGTATTCAAAAGTCTTTAATTCATGTTTATTCATATGGTAAAGAAAGTATAGATCAAAAAATACCAATACCAGAATCATTAACTTCTTTATGTATAGTGCTGCAAAAATCAAGTAAAGAGATGCTAAAATTACCGAATTTTAGATTACCTTGGTTATTAATCGGAGGGTCAAAAAGTGGGAAATTATATATTTGGGAACTAGCTAGTGGTAATTTATTAAATGTAAAAGATGCTCATTATCAAGGTATAAATGTGATTAAAGTAAGTTGCTGTGGAAATTTTTTAATTACCGGTGGTGAAGATGCAAGAGTAATTGTTTGGAATTTATTTGATTCAATAAATTGTTTTGATCAAGCACAGATAAAACCATATTGGTCAATCACAGATAATACATTACCTATAACGGATTTAATACTAAATGACACTGGAATAATAAGTGATTTAAAATTATACACTGTTTCAAAAGATAATACATTGAGGATATATGATATTATAACTAAATCTTTATTGACTACATTTATACTACCAGATTCAATAGAGTCAGTGTGTAAAGATCCAGCAAATAGAGTTTTGTATGTTGGTTTATCATCTGGTTTAATTCGACCAGTTCCTTTATATCATATAAATCCATATAATTCAACATTGGAAAGTATAGGAGGTAATAACAAGATAATTACACTTGAAAATGATCCAGATTTGAAAAATCCATTTGTACATCATCAAGGAAATAGTGTAACTTATTTAATCTTAAGTTTAGATGGTACCTGTTTATTATCTGGAGATTCAAAGGGTCAAGTTTACGCATCAGACGTAATTACAAAACAAGTTATTAAACAATTTCAACCTTGTAATGGTCCTATTTCATATATGGAAACAGCAACAATACCAACAGATATAAAATCAATACCATTAAATAAAAAACATAGAATGATACCACAATTAAAAAGAGTGTTGATAGGTACTGACCCAATAGAACATAATATAACGTTAGATATACCTGAGAAATTAACTAATGATGATGAAGATTTTTGCTTTTGGTTAAATGAGAAGAAGTTGGAAGAATTGGAGTTTAAAAATTCATTTGGTGATGTTAATTCAACTGTTAAATCAAGTGATTCAGATGCAAAATTACAAAAAGTTTCAAATGCTTATAATGATTTAAGGTCAAAATATGAAGAATTGATAAAAGAACATTCAAAGTTGTTAGATAAATTAGAATAGTACATGTATTATGGGAATCTATCTAATTGTAGTACTCAACCAGTGTCTAATAAAGACCCCTTGGTCATTAAAATTACAGTTTACTCGAGAATTGACCAACTTTTTCTATCATCTTTGAACAGTATTCTTTACCGGACTTTTGGCTTTTGTTTTAAACCCCATTAAACTAATTGAATCATTATCATAATCTATTTTATGATCCTCCCTTGATCTTGATCTACCGCGAGAATTTTCATCAACGTGACCCATTGAACTATTAGTACTTGTTTCACTTGATTCTTCTTCTATATTTCTATCTCTATATTTAGTCCGTGACTCAGTTTTAGGCAGTCGAGATCTTGATAATCTATCAGTCATATATGTTTATTATGTTTCAGATAAGAAAAACATATTATGTAAGAAATTAATCTTTTCTCATCTCAAGTTTATACCATGGCAGAAGAAGTTAAAAAATTATCAAAGAAAGAGCAAAAAGCATTGGACTTTAAAAAATCAAAAGAGGAAAGAGATGCTATCAAAGAAGAAAAACAGGAGAAGAAAAGAAAATTAGAAGTTGAAGAAGAACAACCAGTTAAAAAGCGTAAAACAAGAAGAGGTAAGAAAGGTAAAGGTGTAAATGGTGGTAAAGGTCCAAGATTTATACTATTTGTCGGTAATTTACCTTATGATATACAACAAGCTGAATTAATAACTCATTTTAAAAATTGTGCACCAGATAGAATAAGAATTAGATCAGAAAAAGGTATTGCATTTTTAGAATTTGATCAAGATACAAAAGAAATACAAAGTAAAATGGAATTAGCATTAAGATTACATCATAGTGAAATAAGAAATAGAAAAATTAATGTTGAATTAACTGTGGGTGGTGGTGGAAATTCTGAAACTAGATTAAATAAATTGAAAGATAAGAATGAAAAAGTTGAACTTGAAAGAAAGAAAAGAATAGAAGATGGTAAGAAAAAGATACCGTCAGGCATTCATCCATCTAGAGCTGCTTTAATAAATTAAGTCTATAATATAATACATTTTTTAGCTTTTTTCACTCCCTTCTTTCTCAGACCACTAGCTGCAACATTATTTTGCTGTTTTACATGTTTTACGGGTTGTTCCACAGACTCATCTTTATTCGGTGGATTTAATACTGCTCTTATTGCATAATCAAAAATTTCTTTAACATTATCTTGTGTTGCTGCTGAACATTCCATATAATTTATTGCACCAATATCTTTTGCCAATTTTGAACCTTGTTGAGTTGTTATTGGTTTTATATTTTTTGAATCTAATTCATCTATTACATGTGGGTCATCTCTTAAATCAGTTTTTGTACCAATTAATAAAATTAATATATCTTTTGAACAATGATGTAAAATTTCTGGTATCCATTTTTGTTTAACATTATCAAATGAATTTGGTGATATTACTGAAAAACAAACTAAGAAAATTTCAGTTTGAGGATAACTTAACGGTCTTAATCTATCATATTCTGATTGGCCTGCTGTATCCCATAATCCTAATTTTATAGGTTCACCATCAATTAAAACTGAAGCACTATAATTATCGAAAACTGTTGGGATATAATCATTGGGAAATGTATTTGTTGTATAGGATATTAATAAACAAGTTTTACCAACACCACCATCACCAATAACAACTGATTTAACACTTCTCATAACTTGACTATGTCGAACAATGCAAAAATCTGTTGATGATCTAAATTTTTCTAACAGAAAAAAAATATTTAATAAAAAAAAAAAAAAAAATTAAATCCCAATTAGGAAATTTGATGAATGTTTTCTGAAACAAATTAACGCTGAAGGATAATTGCATAACAAATTAAAGAACTTGAGCACATTGAATGCTACGTGGTCCTAAAGTATACAGTATGGTCAGTTTTTATTAATATTTTATATTATGTTATTTTAAACGTGACACAAAATCATCATCTACGGCTATACACGAAAATTGCAACGTAATATTATTAATTTAACGAAAATGCAAGGTAATATTCATTTCACGAAAATTGCAACGAGATACAACGAGATATACATTAGATCTAAACTTCTAATAAAATTAATCAATTTAAACTTCTAATGGAGCTGTATAATTTTTAGTTTTCCAATCCCAATAAAATGTTAAACTTTGACTAACATTACTTGGAACATTACATTGTTCGATATAATTTTTACCTTGTAATCTTTTATTAATATAATCTTCATAATCTTTTAATGGAGATGAAAATCCTGGTCCTGTAGCAATACCTTCAATTGGAATAACTGCATCATTGACTATATATCTAACAAAAGTTTCATTTGAACATTGAAGTTTTTCCAAAACCCATTGACTCATTTGAGGTACTAAATTTGCATGTTGATATGTTCTATCAAATACAATTCTATTATATGGTAATGGATCTTTTGGTTCAAATAATCCTAAAGCGCTTCCATATAAATCAATATCAGTATCATGAGTAAATGATAACCAAATTTTATTATCAGCTGAATCATCTTTTAATAATGTTAATGATGCATTAACTGGAACTGATCCAACTGTTTGAGCTAATGAATTACCGAAGGAATGTGAATAATATTTATCTAAATCATCATAATAAGCATAATTAACTAAATCTTCATTTGTGAATAAATCACAAACTGGTGATTGACCTTTAACATTTAATTCATAAGCACACCAATCAAATAAGGTAGCTACTTCTGATTTTTCCAATTTAATGTCTGGATTTTCTTTAGTTAATCTATCACCCAAGTTTTTCAACCAATCATCATTATAAGCACTAGATGCGTTCTTATTTTCGTCTGAGTCGTACGCAACGCAAGAATCTAAAGGAGTCATTGAATTTGCTCCAGTGTTTTCACCCTCAGCTAATATATTAATCTTGACTGCATTTGGATTTGAATAACCTTGACCTAAAAATCCTTGAGCAAAATATTGAGCAGTTTGATGAACTCTATTTGAATTTGAAGTAAAAACAGGTAATGTTTGGTTAGCATTGTATAAATCTTTATACTTTGCTCTAAATTGGGCTCCACGTCTTAACGCGTCTGTAGTACCACTGAATAAACCTTGTGAATTTTCAGGAGTTGTTTCTAAACCATAATAATTTTCATCAGGAGCATAAAATTCATAGTCATTTAAGAAATTTAAAGCTCCATTGAATGTACCATTGTGTTGTTTGAATTTATTCCAAATTTTAATCTGATTTCGAGCTGAATTTGCGGTGGGGAATCTTTCTCCGTGTCTTGATACTAATTGAACTTGTTGAATTTTACATCCTTCTGGGAATTCTGTGCTAATGCCATAACCGGGATTTTCTTAAAATCGAAGTTAGCATATCTTTTCGAAATAGCATCCATGGCATTGAATTACATACGTACATATGGACCCAGACCCCCTAAGAATCTAGCTATATTGTAGTTATCAACAGCAGCTTGTTGTGGTGAGGCTACATCTTGATATTGATTTTGGCCAACTAATAATAAACCAGAATTAATTAAATGCGAAATTGAGACCATTTTTGATTAATTTAATTTCTCAAGCAATATCTCTCATATTTATACAATTTCTGAACCCCTATTCGATTTGGATTTGTCTACTGTTTGTTTGCAAACCATTAAAACGTGGTGAAAGAAAATTAATTGATATGAAAAAAAAAATTCTTTTTAGGAAACGCGGCGGCTAATAAATTCATGTTAAGCGGTAATTAAGTGCCCACAATAGACCATGAAAAATCTAACTTAAAAACGAGTAAACCCTCTCATTTTTTGGATTAATATATTCTTAGAGAATTATTTTTTATCACAAAATTGCTTGTAGGGCTAGTGATTGAATATCAAGAAATTGTTTGAATCTTGACATATTTTACTTTTTTATTTTCTTGGAAAATTACTCCTTAAAATTGATGCCGTTCTCAAGATTTTAGCAAACCTTATTTTCATTAAAATTTAAATCTGTCATTTTAAGTTAAAAAGTAACCAAATTAAGCTGATAACCAAACAAAAGCACCACGTTTCGGCGTTAAAAGACCGTTGTACTTCTATGTGTAATTCACACCAATAAAGTTAAAGATTTTTCAAATGAGGATCAATAGCGGTCATTGAACACAAGAGATACCGAAGCTATATACTCAGCTAGATGCTTTAAAAGTTCTAGTTCTGACTGTGTACTCGATTTAGTGAATTCCAAGTTTTTCAATAAGTAAACTTCATATTCAAATATAAACAATATAAAAAATCTAAAAAATGTAAAAAAAGCTATTATAAAATAACCAACGAAAATGGAGATTAGCAACGAAGGGTTTTTATAGATTGAACAATTTTCTCTTGTTTTATTGTAAAAACAGCATCCTAAACTTCTAATTCAGCCCAGTATTCAGTAGTTTCCCAATCCCAGAAAAATGTCAATTCTTGAGGTACATCAGCTGGAGTTTCACATTCTTCAATGAAATTCTTATCGCCTAATCTTTCCATAAGGTATGCTTCATAATCTTCAAGTGGACATGAGAAACCTGGACCGCTATAACAAGTTTTCAATGGAATAACAGCATCATTTACAATATGTCTAACGTATTTTTGACCATTACAATCACGAAGGAGCTCTGCGGTGTATCTCGCACCCATTGGGACTAAGTTACCGTGTGAATAAGATCTGTCGAAGACGATTCTGTCCAATGGTAAATGTGCTTCTGGTTCAAAAAGTCCAAGTGCAGCAGCATACAAATCAACATCAGTACTATGAGTAAATTGGACCCAAATCTTATTAGTATTATTCTTTTCTTTAAACAATTTAAGACCTGCCAATACTGGAACTGAACCAATTGTTTTACTCATTGAATTTCCATATGATGCTGTATAATATTGTTCAATATCATCATAATAATTGTATCTAATGAAATCTTCGCTTGTAAACACATTACACATTTGAGATGAACCTCTAACATTAGTTTCATATGAACACCAATCAAATAAAATCAAAACCTCGTCAACATCTAATTCAATTTCAGGATGTGCGGCTAATAACCTTTTTCCTAAATCGATGATCCAAGTAGTGTCAACTTGAGCAATAGCTTCTTCAAATTCATCCTCAGTATAAGCTGGGCAAGCATCTAACACAGTTGCTGAATTCAAACCAGCTTCTAATGCTTCAGCAAAGATATTATATTTAACAGTTTCGCTTGAATATTCTTCATTTAAAAAGCCGCGGGCAAAATTTTCAGCTGTTTCGTAAACTCTTTCACCATTCGAAGTAAAAACTGGAAAGACTTGACCTGATTCATATAAATGTTTATACTTTGATCTGAAGTTGAAACCAAGATTGTAAGCATCTTCTAAACCACTGTAAGGACCGACTGAATTTTGAGGGGTTGTTTCTAAACCGTAATATTGTTCATCAAGTGCGAAAAATTCATAATCATTCAACCATGATAATGGACCTTCAATTGTAACATTCAAAGCTCTAATCTTCTCCAAAACGGCGAGCATCTCACCCAGAGAGGATTCGGTTGGATATCTAGCCCCATGTCTAGCAAATAACTGGACTTGTTCAACTGTACAACCTTCAGGGGTCTCTGTACTGATACCGTACCCAGGATGTTGTGTGTAGGGACTTGCACCTCCAAGAAATCTAGGAATAAGGTAGTTATCAACTGCAGCTTGTTGTGGTGAGCCTAAACCTCTATATTGATCTTGACCAACTAATAATAAACTTGAAATATGTGAAATTGCAACCATTTTTGATTATTGATTCAATTCAATAGGACAATCAGCTCGTATTTATAGAACTGAATCTATAGTAGCCAAGACTTGACGATAATTCCTTGATAAGAAATGAAAAAAACGTGGTGAAAATTGATTTTTACCTGCTTGATTAATTTACATGCGAATATAGAAATTTAAACTATTAACAAGTAATAAGTAAGCTAATTAAGTATTAGCATGAATCTAACCTATTGGAATAACCCAGACCAGAGTCATCTAGTATAACCTTTGTCTGAAAATCAATTGTACAAAAGTTGTTAATTAGACGATGAAAAATTTTTAGCTAGATCTTTTTTTTTTTTTTTTTTTTACTTTGTTTCAGTTTGGGGTCCGTTCCTAATTCAGCTGAAACTTTTCCAGATCTAGATCGAATCGCTATAAATCAAACTAAATACAAATGCCGGGTCTATTTACTTATATGCCACGTTCCTGATACAAGAAAAAAGCCTAAAACCTTTTTTTTAATTAAACCTAACGGGCTCTTAAATATTTTCTTGTTAAATTTAATTAACATTGGCAAGAAATTCGAAATATGAAACGTGCTACTACAATAACAATGGGCTCATTCAATTATGAACGATAAGACCAAACTGAAAAATTATCAAAACCCTAAAGCGAGTAACCTAACCTTACTAATGGGATAAAGTCTAAATCATAAAACCTTAAATTATGTTTCAGATTTTGATTAGTAGTGCATATTAATGATAATTCAGATTTTAATTGGTAGTGCATATTAATTAGCGATCGGAGATAAAAAAATTGAAAAAATATTAACTCCATGTTTCTTTCAAGAATACGTCAGTTTCATGCATCAACAATCAAATTTAGCGATTTCACTCATGTTATAATAGGTGGGGGTATAGTTGGTACAGCAATTGCTGCAGAATTACAACAACAACCAGATTGTCAAGTATTATTGATAGAGAAAAATGACAATTTGGGTATAGAGACAACATCACGAAATTCTGAAGTTATACATGCTGGTTTATATTATCCACCAAATTCTTTAAAAGCAAAATTATGTATCGCAGGAAAGAACAAAATTTATGATGCTCATAGAAGAGGAAACTTTCAAGTTAATTTACGAAATTGTGGAAAATGGATTGTAGCTCAACAAGATGAAGAAGTTGAATATTTGAATAAATTGGCCAATAATGCAAAGGAATTAAATGTGCCTGTTGAATTTATATCTACTACCAAAGCAAAAGATAAATATCCATTAATACGAGCTGAGAAGGGAATATTAGAAAGTCCATCAACAGGTATAATTTCCGCACATGATTATTTAATGTTTCATGAAGGTGGGTTTGAGAATAATGAAGGAACTATTGCATTAAACTCAAAAGTGATCAACATCGATTACCATTCAGGAATACCAGAATATAAATTAACTGTTTCCACAGAGAATGGAGAAATTGAAATAACTTCTGATAACATTATAAATTCAGCTGGATTATATGCTCCCGAAATATCAAATATTCTACTTCCTAAAGATAGACATTACAAAAGTTATTTTGCTAAAGGTAACTATTTCAGTTATACAGCAGAAAAACCACTTGGTAAAATTACAGATACATTAATATATCCATGTCCAAACCCAAATGCATCATCATTAGGTACCCATTTAACATTTGATCTTGGAGGTCAGTTAAGATTTGGACCCGATTTAGAATGGCTAGATATAGAAAAAGCAGATGATATAGATTATACACCTAATCCAAAAAATTTAACTAATGCTTTTGAAGCTGTCAAGACATATTTTCCAGCAATCACTCAATCCTCATTAAATCCATCATACTCAGGTGTAAGACCAAAGTTAATTTCATCAACTCAAAGTAAATTACAATTTTCAGATTTTATAATAAAACAAGAAGATGGATTTCCAGGATTTGTCAATTTATTAGGTATTGAAAGTCCTGGTTTAACAGCATCATGGGCAATTGCTGAATACGTTAAAAATATATATTATTAAACATGCCTACGTTTACTATCTTTGCCATTTAAATCATCATTTTCTCTCTTTTTATCACTCTTTTTCGGTAGGTTTTTGGGATCAGTTGGTCTTGGACTCTCCGTGAAATAATCATGTAATAAAGCTTGTGTTGAATCACATCTTCTACTTGGATCTAATTGAGTCATTAATATTAATAAATCCAATGCCTTTTCTGTAGCTGCACTAAATCTTTGTCTTAATTCTTGTCTTGATGGTGGTGGGTAAACATGTAATGCATTATACATCGGTAAACTTGAAACATTTGGCCAAATTTGTTCAGTTGGAGTACCTAAAGCTCTAAATGTAACATCAATTTGATCAACATCATCTTTACCTGGTAGATAAGGAATACGTAACATTAACTCAGCAAATATTATTCCTACTGACCAGATATCTATAGCTCCAGTATAATGTCTACTTCCAAATAACAATTCAGGTGCTCTATACCATCTAGTAACAACGTTTGATGATAGATTTTCATTTGGATTACCTAAAGATCTTGCTAAACCAAAATCTGCAAGTTTCAAATGTCCATCAGGAGCAATTAATAAATTATTAGGTTTTAAATCTCGATGTAATATGAAATTTCTATGACAATGATGTACACCTCTTAATGTCATTAATAACCATGATTTAATATCTGAACTTTTGAAAACTATTGATTTATCCTTGATCAACATTTCTAAATCGCAAGGTAAAAATTCAAGCACTAAGTTTAAATTATTTGTAGTTGAAAAAACATCAACTAATTCAATCACATTTGGATGTTTTAATTCTTGAAGATATTTAACTTCTCGTATAGCTGACATATCTAAACCATCTTTGAATAAACCTGTTTTAATTTCCTTTATAGCAATATTTCTCTTGGTTGTAATTTGTTTACCTAGATAAACAACAGCATATGTACCTTCACCTACTTTCTTATCCTTTGAATAATTCTGTAATGGAGTACTTACAGACGGTAGTTGAACTGTTGGTTGTGGCCCTGCTACTGACATTTCGATGAAGAAGATAAAAATAAATCGCTACCAATTATATATTAAACATCTACAACTTGATTTACCAGTGTCCATTGAGCAAACACATACCAACTATTACCACTATCTCCAATAACTAAACCTCTATATAAACCTAGTTCTTGACATTTTATTTGAGCTGAAAATACACCAAAAGGTTTTGATGGATCATTATTTTGTAATTTAAAGTATTTACCCAGTGGTGATTCAATGACTAATTTAAAATCTTGCAACATAAAACCAGAGCTTGAGTTTATTCCATTTGAAGGATATTGTTCTACTTCAAATGTATACATTTGTTTACTTATAAGTTTATCAGTTTGAGGTTTCAATATATATAAATCATTATTTTGAGCTTGAACAGTTGGAAATCTTTGAACAAATTTTGTCTTTTTCGATACACCTTCATGATATAAAGGTATAACAACTGATAATTCATGAATATTATCAAATACTTTTTGTAAACCTTTTTGACCTGAAAAAATTTGTAATACTCCAATTTGAATATTTTCAGGTAAAACAGCTTTAATTTTTGCTACTCTTTTATGATTTACCCATTTGATTTGACAAAGACTTAATTCATTAGTTGTAATTTTTGATGTTTTAATTAATGTGAATAATTCTACATCATTTGGAATTGATAATTCAATCTCAAAAATTTCTAAATCTTTGAGTCTTGTTAATGCATTATTAAAATTTTTAAATGATAAGTTACTACGATAAAATCCTGAATATGTTCTTGGTAAATAAAATGCTATATTAGGATCAATCGGTGGCATTACATGTTGTAAATCAATTATTGATGGAATATGGGTTGAAACTAATGATAATGGTTCAGATAAAAAATAAAATTCATTTTGATTCTTGATATTACAAACTGAACCATGTTTGAAATTATAAATATCCATTAGCCTAAAATTATTATTAATTAAAATGGATAACCAACAATGGTTAATTACATATTGTTCATTATGATAAAATTCATTTGGTTTTTTCCAAAATCCTAAAACAACTTCAGATGAAATTCGAAGAGCATCCAACATTTTCTTGAATATATAGTTTAATTGAAATATTGATGCTTCTCCTTTTAGTTGCACATCTAATAATTTAGGTTTTATTTGTGAAATTTTAGAATTTTCTTCAATTATGTTGAACTTTGACAAATGTAATATAATACATCTAATTTTATTGATTGGTGATTCATAAAATTTAATTGAAACATCTGAAATAAAATCATTTAAATCATGAGATACATCGTAATTTGAAACAAATGCCTCACATTTTGAATAAGCAATTTCATTCAAATCCAATTCTTCTTGTTCATTTTGGAAAGTTTCATTTGTATTGATTTCTGAAATAAAATCTAATGGTTTGACAATAAGATTCCCTTCTTCTCTAACTACTCTTTTTGTTCTTCCATGTTTGTCTTGTGAAGTTAATGAATTCATTCTATTTATATCCAGTTTGTAAGTAGCCCAATCAATTTCATCTTGTTTTTGAAAACGTCTTTCGATGGGATTTAACTCTTCTTGATTTTTACGTAACAACTTTTTAAAAAAGCCTTGATTACTCTTTTTATCTTCAAATACAGAATTCAATATGTCAAATTTCGGTTCTTCTTCAAGTGTTAATTCTTGTACTCTTGATTGTGATTCTTGTAAACCTTTATCATATTTATGCCTTATAAAAGAACCAGCACTAGTTGCACTTATTTCAGATAAATTTAAAACATCACTTTGTAATGATTTTATTGAATTTTTCAACTCTTCTTGTTGTTGATAGATTCTAAGATAGGCTTCATCATTTTCACATTGTTTTCTTGGTGTTGAATGTTTTGGAGGTGGTGGTGGTGGAATTGAATCATCTGATTCTACATCATAATCTGGTGATTCATCTTCATCTGTAATATAGCTTTTTGAAATTTTCTTTGACAAATTATCTCTTGAATCATATTTACTTTGATAAGAATCAATTGAGAAACTTTCTTTACTTTTAGATTTCCTATTTTCCAATTTCTTCAATTTGTTTAATTCATCTTCCAATTGAGCTCTTTTCTTTGCAATTTCTTCATATTCACTTAGTATATCTTGCTCTGTCTTCGTTTTTTTCACTGGAAAGCTCTCAAGAGTTTTATTTTCAATATTATATGCTTTTGGTATATTTTGTTGTGAATTGATTTGATGCAATTTCTTTTCATCAATTGGTTTAACATGATAATTTTGCTTTTGTTGCATTGCTTTGAAATATTCAATTTCTTTTTCTCTTTCTCTTAATAATCCTTCTTGTTGTTGATAAGTTAATTTCATTCTAGTTGGTTGTGTTTTACGTTGTTGATATTGAAAAGATTTATTCATACGGTCATCATAATCAAAACTTGTATCTTGTTCTAAATCAAATGAAGAGTTTGGATTATTCAATGGATTGACTTTTTTATTCTTTAAATAATATGCAGCTGGTATATTGGTTGTACTTTTCCTATATTCTTGCTTATTTTGTGGTGTACTTTTTAAATTAACAGTTGACGTTGAATGACTAATTCTATAATCTTCAATTATTTCAACATAATCTTTTGGGAATATACCTTCTGCATTATTTCTTCTCAATCTTCCACTCCACCAACTTTCATCAACAATAGAAAATACTTCAATTATTTCATTTTCAATAAAACCTAAATCACCATCTTCTTCGCCTGCCCATGAGACAGTGGTTTTTACTTTAAATGGTAATGGAGGTAATGACATGCAATAAACAAAAAAATCAAACAAATTTATACCAAATGCCCTTAAAAATCAATGATTCATGTAATTAAAGCAAATATTTGATCTGTAATGGTGTGTGAAATTTGAAATCAAATAAATATTTTTAGTCTAAAGTTAAATGTTTATCTTTTAACCTTTTTGGTCATAGGCTTGTATACAGGTTTGAAATTTTGCAACACTTTTTTTGCAGCAATCGCTACCAAATTTTGTATTGAGAACGGCATCCCATAAATCATATCAGCTTGGTTTTCAATCAAAGCTCAAATCAAGAGTGTTGTTGAAACCTTGCATAAATATACTTTAGTAAGGAGCTTCTAATCGAAGGATTTATCCAGTCATCAAACAATGAGGTCTCAACAAAATAAAAAATAAACAAAAGATCTCGACATTAAAAAGCAACTTTAATCAGATGATGGAGCCCTTTACTAATATTCTGGGAGCTAATTTAGGTTGAGATATATATATATGTAAAGATAAAGATATATATAAATACACTAATTTGAATTAATTGTACCGTAACAGTTAATAACATTATTTCAATAGCAATGAATTATTAATTAACACATTGCAATAATATGATGAAATATTATAATTTTATACGTTTGTATCCTTCCATTGGGGAAGCTCTTGCAAACATCATCTCTGCTTCCACATACTAGTATAACAAAATCATCAGCGTAGTTAATAAAATTCAATCATTTGAAATTAGGGTCTAAGAATAAAGCTAGTTAATATTAATAGCATATGATGTAAGAAGATTCGAACTTGTATATTGAATTTCAATAATAAGAATACCACAAACTAACACAGTATGTGATGCTCAATTACATTTGGTTAGTTCTAGACTATCAAAAACGAATGAAAAAGTTTTCGATTTCGGTTGCTCCTTGTACAACAAAAACTAATTGTGAGTTGTCAACTAGCAAAGGTGCTGTGTCCTATCTACTTCAAAATCATCTTTTTTCTCAAAAGAAAGATGACTTGACTGAATGATGATACTATAGCTGAAGGAGGAATTTGGAAAGGTGATTCGACATTGATATTCAAAATTATTTTACAAACTCATCGTTAGAGAATCAAGAATTCATTCATTCATGACATTCGTATATACTTATGCTCTCCAATATTGAGCCAAACTATGTAATCTATCAATAACAACCGGCAAAAATGCATTGACACTATCATTAATTAAATTTTGGAAATGTAGTATAGCTTCTTCTTCAGTCATTTGTAAATTAAATTTCTCTTCAACTTTTTCAACAACTCTTGATGATTCAAATTTTATATCTGGTATATTTGCATCAATCATCAATTGAAATAAATTTAAAATCAAATTTGAATTTTTACGTAACGTAGTATAAGTAATAAAACAATAATTTTTAAAAATATTATAATTTTCATGTTGTAAACCACCCATTCCATCTATAACTTGAATTGGTAATTTCATTAATGGTGGAAATGGTTTCGGATCTCTTCCTAATATATATCCAAAATCAGCATGCCAAAATTTCCCATTTGGTGATAATAATAAATTATCTAAATGACGATCTCCAACTCCTAAAATGTATGTAATTACACAATATCCAGCACATGATTTAACATAATTATCCATTATGATTGGATTTACTCCTAAATTTGAAGTGATTGTAGATTTTGGTTTTGTTTGAATATTTGAATTATTTTGATATACACTTTTTGAAACTGGTTCATCTTCTAATTCATCATGTTGAGAATGAAATTTTAAATATGATAAAATTCCATTACCTGAATTACCATCTTCTGTTAAATTTGGAGCTTGGAAATTTTTTGATAATATTGAATCTAATGTTTCATTAGGAACAAATTGAATTAAACCTGCATTGGGAGAAATTGCTAATATTTTATAAGGTGTTAATTTTAAATCTAAATTTTCATTCTTTAATAATTGATCCATTAGATTGATAATTTGTATAACTAATTGATCTTGTCTTAGGTCATCTCCAATTTTAAACATTAATGGATATTTACCATATTTATGTGATTTCTTACCAAATATTTGTGATGTAGTAGTACTTGTTGATTTCTTTTCTATAGTTTTAAGTGTAATTTTTAATGGTGCTAATGATGATTTAAAAACTGATGATTCTTGTGGATATACACCACATACCATTATTGATGGATCTAATGGTAACGGGAATGGGTCTGGAAATTTGAGTAATTCATTTGAAGAATTAGATAAATAATCACGTAAAAATTCTATTTTTCTCATTGTTGATTCATTCTTTTTAAAAGTTGTTCGTAATAATTCAACTAATGTAGTTAATTTTTTAATAAACCAAATTTGTCTTTTAATATGTTTATAGTATGGTTTTCTAGTCTCACTACAATATGCTTTTAATCTATCAACAAATTTATTTAATACAATTGAGTAAATTTTGATTGGTTCTAATGATGGGTTTTTTAATTGATCTTCATTTTCAACTTTCACATACCAATAAAAGAATATACCTAATTGTTCATTCTCAACTGCTGATTCAATTAAAAAATTAGCCAATGGTGAAGTTAGCGACTCTTCATCTCCTTTCTGTTTATAAATTAATGATTCATATTTTAATGCTTGTACTAGTTGTAATAAATATAATAATAATTCTTCACTACTTGCAATGCTTAATCTTTCAACTGCTAATTTTCTTAAATAACATACATTATTAAATATCTTAATAAATCTTTTTTCATCATCATTCAAATTCTTTGATTCAAAATCAACATTTTCAATTTGTTTACCTAATGAATATGGATTAAAATAATCACCAAGTAATTCTAAAGCATCACCAATTTGTATTTTATCAACTGTCCAAAAATGAGGTAGTATTTGTTGAAAAGTGTGATCTAATTCATAATCATTATCCCAATTTATTGATTTTAAAAATTTTGGTAAAAACGATTTTGTAGCTTTTGACATATCTGAAGCATTATTCCTACTAAAATAAAATCTAAATTTCCATATTAAATTCTTTTCATAATCTGTCAATTCTGCATTTGAAGGTTTAAGTAATATTTTGAATAATTCATCTCTTAATTGTGGTGTTGGTTTTATATCTTTATCAAGTAACAAATTGTTATTATTATTTATATTTCTTTCTAATTTATGATATTTCAATTCAATTGGATCTAATGCACTATTTACAAATTGAAATTCTGGATCATAAATGGTTTCTTGAGGTATAGTTATTGAATTAATGGTGTTTGTGACTACTTGTGGCATATCAATTGATTCCTTTTTGGGTATGTCATAAGTATATTCTGAATATTTGATAGGAAATGTAAACTCAGGAAACTCAACAATTAGATAATAATTGTCTGCTTCAGTTTCTTCCAATTCTTTAAAATTTCCCCTGGCATAATCTATATTTATAAAACCATCCTTCTCAATTTTCACCTGTTGTATTCCAGTTCTTAATATCATATCATCATGATCAAATAAAGATATACAACCTAACCCAAAAGTTTCCTCTTTACTATCTATAAATTCATAAATTTCAAATTTCAAATAAGCATCAATTGAAACTTGATTATAATTTATATTTAATTCAATTTCCTCATTCCATTGTCGATTCTTATTTTTGAATGATTTATATAAAGTTTGAACCGGTAGACTTATTAAATTGTTATCATCATAAATACTTATCTTTATAAATAAATCTGAATTTTTATAAATTTGTGATAATTTTTTAAAAACAGTTGGATCTTCGAATTTAGCAGAAATTGAAACAAGATAAGGTTGTGGATTTGTATTTTCTAATGAACATATTTTCAAATTAATTGACTTTTGTAAGTCTTTCGATGTTTTAGTTGTCATATCATTTATAGAGTATATACATAGATTTGTTTTTTTTGGTTAGAAAAATTTTATATTTTTCTATATTTCTATCTATTTTGACCAAACCAGTTATATCTATCATTTGTACTATTACTATTACTATTACTATTACTATTACTATTACTACTATCACTCTTATTCATATACCCATTATACTTTTTAGGATTACTCTCTTCTTCTTCATATTCATCATCTCCACTTGAACTATCATCTGATTCAAAATTATAAAATACTGGTCTTTTATTGTTTTCATTCATTTTTGATCCCAGTATATATTTTATTGAATTCTTTCTCAGCCTATTACCTCTTGACATTGGCGGTGAAACATTTGGAGGTGGTGAACTATTTGATTTTGCATTAAATAATAATGAAAGTAATTTATTATTATTTACATCTTCCATTGATTCATTATCACTCATACTATCATTTTCAATATCATTATCAGGTTCACTATCGGTTATATTATTTGTCTTTGTTTTCTTTTGTGGTATTTTAGGTATTGAAGTTGCAGAATTTGTCAAAGAACTTGCCATTGAATTGGTTAAAGAATTTGGTATAGTTGGAACATTTTGTGCTGAACGTTTTTGTTGATATGATAAAAGTAATGGATTATTTGTCTTTCTTTTATTTAATGATCTAGCTCGATTTAGTGTTTCTATTGGTGAATTTCTAATATGATTAGGTTCAAATTTTTCCTCTATTGGATCCATTTTAACATCTGTATCTTCACTTTGCATTGAATCTATTGAGACATCTGAACCTGATGATTTAACTTTAGTTATAGCTGCTGGAAAGTATGAGTCCTTTGTACTATTTTGTACAACGATATAACTATTTGGATTTGAACTTGATCTAGATCTATTTTGATTATGTAAATCTTGAACATGTTTAGGTAAATCAACTAATGAATTATCTGTTGAATTTGGTCTATTGTAAGTAGTTAAATTAACTTGTGAATTAACTCTACTATTAATTTTATGTATTGGAATTTCTGAAGTATTTGAATATTTCAATTTCATTGGTGTTATATCTTCATTTGTTAAAATTTTTGATAAATCAATAACAGAATTCGATCTTGTTGGTGCAGAATTTGGTGATACAGTTGGGCTAATAGGTCTTGATGGATGACTTGTAATTGAATAATTTTTCCTAAATGAATCATCATTCATTACCTTTTCTTTAAATTCAGCTCTTATTGCAAAATATTTTTCATTTGGTTTCCAATCTCTTGCTGCTGAACATAGATAATTATGTCTTATTGGTGGTTTATTTGAGTCTCCAAATCCTTGTCTTGATGCAGAAGTAGATTCTATTTTAAATGATGCCCTGGGTTTATATTCATCGGGTATTTCTCCTTTTGGTGGATTATCAACCTCAGATTTTTTAATGAAATTTGTCTTGTAATATACTATATCAGTTTCTAAATTTAATGTTGTATCCATATCATCATTTATTAAATTTAATGCATCTTTTTGTAGCTTCCAAGTATAATTCTTTGGATCATATTGATCATCATTTTCTGGTTCACTCTTTAATACTCTTTGAGCGTAATTTAATTTAGCTTCTGGTATTTCATCAAATAATGGATGATTTAAAAAATATGACATAAAATTATTAATTGTATAACCATGACTTACAATTATTATGATATCTTTATTCTTTATAAAACTTGATTTATCATAAGTTGCTAATAATTTCTTAAAATAATCTTTACAATTTTGTTGAAAATCTTTATAACTTAAACCTGGACCATTATAAGGACCTAAAGTAGTTGTAGGCCTAAAATTTGAACATGCATTTTTATTTTTAAGTGTTTTTAAATTCGGTATATAAAAATTATAAGCATCCACTAACAGTTCTTGATATTTCATTTCTTTATGAATCCATTCACTCAATGCAAAATCTCCTAATAATTGAAATCTAATTTTGTAATTTTTATGAATTTCTGATAATTTTGCTTTTAATTCTGTTATTAAAATATCTGCCGTTTGACAACATCGTAAAAAGGGACTAAAATGAACATAGATATTTTTAAGTCTTGTAGTTGTACTATCTTCATTATTATCATCAAACGCTTTAGTTAATTGTAATATTTCATCGACAACCTCTTTAATTTGAGAATTTGAATCTGCTGCAAGTGGAACATCATACGGTTTATAATCTTGTAATAACGGTTTTGCATTTGATTCTTTTTTAAGAGCATCATCTATTCTTAAACCATGTCTTAAAAAATATAGCTCTGTCATACTACTGGAACCTTCTTTAGTTGTTTAATCTGGTGTTAAATTGACATTTGATTGATTCAAAAGTAGTGAATGATTTAATTTAATTTAATCAAAAACGAAATTTAATAAAAAAAAAAAAAAAAAAAAAATAATATAAATAAAAAATAGATAAATTCACAAAATTGGTAAATGATTACCGAATAGTTTTATATGTTAGATTGTGTAATTGGTATAGTTTTAGTATGAGGAATGTTGGAATGTTCATGTTCTAATATTGTAGAAGTGTTTTAGTTTAACTGAGAGAAGCTCGTGAAATTACAATTGATTTAGTCATCAGTCATCAGGTGTCAAATTGCTTATTCTATTAGATCAAAGTTTAACAATCGCCGAAGATTAAATAGATTACTATTCGCTATTAGATCGATGGTGCAAAGTTTAAGCTACGAGTGAACCTGGTTTTCAATCAAAGCAAAAGCGATCTGCAATGGAATTGACACATCGTATAAATTATTCTTTTTTCTATTTAACGGTCGTTCGATTAATTAGCTGTCAATATTGATTTATAATTTTTCTTAGTTTTTTCATTTCTTTTCTGTAATGAATTTTCCAAAACTGCCTTTTTAAATATTTAGTTGATTTGTAGCCTGTTGTTTCTCAACCTAACTTCGACCAATCTAAACTTTAACTGTTTTGATTAACAAAATTTAGTTAATTCGATTTCATATTTCAACTATGATGTCATAATAATAACATTTGGAGTGTATATTACGAAAAGGTTAGAAAATATCAGTTTTGTGGTCTAAAATTAATAAAATGCAACTGATTTTTTATTAATTGAATTGACTTTGTTCAATTAGGTCAAATGGCATTGAAGGTACCTTGACAACCGTGATGGTTATATAACCTATACTGTATTTGCCTACATACAATAATGGGCCCAGGCGCGTTGAAATTGCTGCAAAATTTGGTAGCGAATTTTTTTTTCTTTTTGAGGAAATTTTAAAAAAATTGCTGCAAAATCAAATCGTATCAATCTGGTGATATAATTATATAATGTCGTTATTTTATTGTCCTATATATTTATGTATCGAGGTTCAATTCTTCCAATTGATCACCTATTTTAACTAATCTTTCCTTCTTTCTTTTTTCATTTCTTAATTTTTCATTTTTTAAATGTTTCTGATCCATATATTCATGTAAGATTTCTGAATTTTCTTCATCTAAATAACTATCATCAACTTCATCATAATGATTACCATAACTAAATTCATTTTCAGGCTCTTTTAAAGTATCTCTTATTGAATCATTTGCAACTAATTGATTATGTAATCCAAAAGAAAAACACCACCTTAATTCCCTTAGTCTTAAATATAAAAACCATGAATTTATTCGTAATGATTTGTATTTGGATAATTTAATATAAGAAAAATCTATAGTCGTCTGAGACAACTCAAGACCTTCTCCTGTCTTTTTCAAAACTTGATCTCTTTTAGTTTTATCTGTAAATACATTTATTGTGTTTAAAATGTTTCTAAAAACAGAACTAATATCTTTTTTATCCTTTCTTGCGACTTTTTTAGATGATAAATTTAACAATCTAGTTAGTATAAATATCAACTTCTCTTGTTCATAATATGGTGCATTGCTATTATATTCTTCTTCTTCATCTTCATCTGTTGATTTCGAATAATCATATAATTCATAAATTAATCCAATTACTCTTCCTGCTGCTTTTGCAATATCTCTATTTTCATCATTATCTAATAATGGTACTAATTTAAACATTAAATCTTCGCAAAGTTCGTTTAAAAAATCACCTCTTGAAATTAAAGTTAATAAACATCCAACTCCGTGTATTGCACTAATTGATACAGAAGCTTCACTTATAACTTTCAAATTAGCTTCATTTACCAATTTTTTATCCAAATTTTTATCGGTTATAAATGTTGAATGTTCTCTATTACCACTTTCAACCTCTTTCTTCAATGCTGTGGCACTTTCACAATAACCTTCAGCAATTTCCATTAGTAATGTAATTTTATCATCTATACCAAAACTTGAAGATCCATTATGTAACATCAAAGTTAATACAACATATCCAGATATTAAATTTGCTTTATTTTCATTTGTAATTACACCATTAGCAGGTTCCAGTATTAAATGTTGAATATAATTTAATAAATCAGTTGAAATTAAACCTGAAAATTCATCAATATCACTACATATTAATGCAATAATTGATCTGTATAAATATAAAAACTCTACATCACTTCTATAATTTCCAGTAGTTAATATTGAAATTAATTTACCAACATTATCTTCCTCAACATAATTTAAACTTCCAGATTGTTCTTCATTATATACAAGTAATGATTTAGATACAATAATTTTATATAACTGAGCTAATAATAATTCTCTACTTTGTGAACTAACATCAGATCTTGAAAAAGTTAATGATATAATAATTTCATTTATAGAACTTGATTCTTGAATTCTTGCTTTATTTAAATTTGAAGCTTCGTATTGTCTTCTATCATTCATTCCAATTCTATCTTCTTTAGAAGTCTCACCAATTTCTTGTTGTTGTAAACTTGTCAACTTTTCTCTTAATAATTCATCTATTTTGATCAACTCGTTTTCTTCGTCTGTTTCGTAATCTGAGTCATCTGACCTTAGTGGAGTTCTTGAAACAGAAGCAGCTCTTGATGATGAATTTGAAGATATACCATCTCTACCAAATCTTTTATCTTTATATAAACTCTTTGACATTCCGGGTGGTAATTATTAAGCAGTCTTTTTTCATGAATATTGCTGCATAATATTTTTTATAGTATGATTTTCCTCGACTGCCCAATTGGGTAATAAATCGCACGGCGTACAAAATATAGTATATATATTAAAATACAACTTCATTTGGAAATACATTGAATAATTCACCATTATCTCGTACTGTTTCTTTATCTTTATCCATTGGTAATGCTTTTCTCATATCAAATGCATCTATTTCATCATTAGGTATTTTTTCAGTTGGATATTCTTTACCATAATATCCTATAACTCTTCGATAAACACCATATCCTAATTTTTCATATAATATTTTACCCAATGTATTTGTAACTTTAACAAATAAATCTATGAATAATGTATTTTGAACTTCTTTTATAGTTTCTAATAGTAAACATAATTTTGAAGCTAAACCTATTCTTCTATATTCTTGATTTATAGTAACTGCAGTAATATGACAATGTAATTCTTTTTTACTTAATTGACCTTCTATTTTACCCATCATATAACCACTTATTTCATTATTTGGTTCTATTGATTTATAAAATAAATTTGGATGATCAATTAAATATGAAGTATAAAATGAAATATTAAAATTTTCAGTTAATGGATCTAAATTAACTGGATCTATAGCAAATAAATCATCAATTTGGAATGGTTTTATGGAAGTCATAATTATTATATAGTTAGTGTGATTATCAATTCTCAAACAATATTTTGATGATCTTGAAATTGAAAAATTTCATACTAATAAAAAAAAGCAAATAATTATGTACGGTGGTCAACCAAGTGACGAACAAAAGAAATTACAAGAACAATATGCTTATGATACTTTGAAATTTGCTAGTTTAATTGCTGGTGCTTTATGGATTAGTCCAATTATTTTTAACTATATTAGAAAACAATTTTAATGAGAAAACAATTATAATTAGAAAACAATTATAATTAGAAAACAATTATAATTAGAAAACAATTATAATTAGAAAACAATTATAATTAGAATACACTCATTTGTAAATATATATTTAATCATCTAACTCAAGAAGATTTTCCCTTAATTGTCCAACTTTTGCAGCTAATGATAAAAAATCAAATCTTTCAGCGACTTTGGAAACTGCCATTAATGCTTTATCATTTCTAATCATTTTAGCTATACTCATTGCTTTACTTAAATTATTCTCTCCACACGAATCTGCAAATAGTTTAACTAAGGATCTATCCAATTCTCTTTGATAATTTTCTAATTTTGTCATTATTTCATCTTCGTTTGATTTTGAAACTCCTTCATTTAAAGTATTTGCTAATATTCTACCCATTGTAGTTGATCTAACATGTATTTCTTCATTTACATTATCATCTCTATTATGTTTAATTGGTATTTCAATATTTAATTCAATAGGTAATGGTAAAGGAAATCCTGGATATTGACTATTTTTCAAAATTAAACAATTTAATTTATCATCTAATAATCCCAAAGGCCAACAATTCCAGTTTTTCTTATTTTCAGCTCCGTAGTCAGTTATAACCTTTTTACAATTTAAAATTGGGATCCATTTTGCATTATTACTTTCTCTCCAAGCATGTAATATTAATAATGTATCATCATGGCCCGTTACAATACATGGATCATTATATTCATTGAAAAATATACCTTTAATTAATTGTGGATGTTCTATTAATGGAAGATGAACATGTTGTTGATAAAATTTATAATCTTGATCAGTATCGACAATTGAAAAATTAAAAATACTATTTGATGTTTGATGTATGATGAAAATATGTGATACTGCACTTGCAACTAATGTAGTAATTGGCATTGTTTTAATTACATTTAAACTTATTCCATATTGATTGAAAAATCGAAGATATCCAAAATTAGTACCAACAACAACATCATTGTTATCTGTATCAGAATCAGTAACACATATACCTGTAATATATTCATCATCTAATAAAGGTATTTTCTTTTCCCATGATTCATTAGTTGATTCATTATGTGGTCTATAATATAATAATCCAGTTGAACTTTCTCCTAATAGTATACCTTTTTGATTTATAGATGCTAAATCGAATTCATGATATTCAGTAAAATGATACTCATTATTTAAAGATCTATCAAAAAATGAAACAGTTATAGTGATACTTTTATTTTCTTTATTTTGAACTATCCATGCATATCCATGATTATTCATTGTGAGGTATCTTCTATCATTCTGGAAAGGTGCTGAGCCTGGTGAGTATGGTATTATCTTTGATGGTGTATTTATTGGCGAATGTTTTGGTCTTTTGAAATCTGGAAGATCCTCTTCATCAATGATTAAATCATCTTCTTCATGTAAATAATATTTTCTCTTTGCTGGTTCTTCTACATCTGATTCTTTTAGTTCTTCATCGTCACTTACGTCGACATCATTGACAAATAAGTCATTTAATTCCCCATTTTCTTCTTGTTCTTCTAATAGTTTCTTAATATGAATAGTTTCACCATTGGTACTACCTAAAAATAAATTGTTTTTATAAAATGATAAGTTTATAGGTAAGGAATCCTCATCAAATTCGAAATCATCTTCATGAATTGATTTCCCAGTCTTAAAATCAAATACTTTGAATACATTCAACGTTAGTACCAATAAATATTGATCTTTAATTATAAAATCTATAATTTTTTCATCAATTTTAAATCTCTTTTCAACTTCTTTCCAACTTGATCTCTCAAAAACTTTTATTGTATTATCAATCGGTATTAATAAATAATTTCCATCTGCTGACCATTGAGATTTGGTACAGGTTATTAACTCATCGTGATTTTCATTATTATAATCAACTTTATCCATTGAACAATTAATTTTTCTGGGTATAACACTGGTTAAAGTTTGCACTAAATTAATCTCTTCATTCACTACTGAATATACTTGAACATTACCATTTGATAAACTAATACTGACAGTTTCACCTTTGGAAGAATATGAAATGTTGACAACTTGATCCGGTATATCAATATCTTTAACCGAATTACTATCTTGTAAATCAACAATTATTAATTTATTATCATCACCACCGCAAATTATTCGATTACCTTGATTTATAAATTCAACTGCCCTCAATGGCAACTCCGAACGAAATATAGTTCCTTTTGATACATTATCTTTTAAATCAATCAATTCTACATGACCTTCAGTGGTAGTTAACACAACATTGTTTGAACTTAAACTTAAGCTGGTCAAATTTTCTAATATATCAATTGATGTTGGGTCTTGTTCAGTGTCATGAACATTGAAAACTTTGATCAAACCCTCACTATTACCAATCAACAATTTATCTAACGATTCATTATAATAAACAAATGAATTACCATCAGGGAAAGCTGTGATTTTCCTATGGGGCATTATTAGTTAATGAAAAGTGTTTGGTAAATATAAAAAAAAAAAAAATCGCGTAAAATTTAAGACGTGTATTTTTGAACGCTACCATGTTGCAAAAAAATGCTGCAAATAATGAGTTTTAATATTTCCGAAAAAAATTTGCAAACATTTAAAATTATATGGCAAATTTTCGTTTTCATGGATCTCTTAAGTAGATCCTTTTAGGAATCTGAGCTATATTAGGCTTGATTATAGATAGTGCCTTACTTTAAATTTTCTATAGCTAGTAAATTATATATCAATATGTGAATTGTTATGATAAAATTCGCAATAAATTGAGAACTTTATGTTTATCATGCTGTTAAAATTTTGCGATCCTTGAAATTATCATTCATTTGAAATGGAGATCGGGCTTATACGGATCCGGAAAATATACAATCTAGTTTAGAATGAATTTACCGAACTCTTCTTAACTGGTGAATGTTTAACCGTCCGCTCGTAAAAAAATAGATAATGAAAGAATTGTAATCAGATTATTAGTAAGTGGAACCTAGATTATACGATTGTCTTCTATTTATCCGATTTTTCACAGCCTTTTTTGTATTGTTTGTTTACTCTTCGGTTAATTTTTATCTCGGATAAAGGCATGAGCATCTTTCCGTAAATTTTGTGTCATGCTTAAGCCATTCGTAGTGCGCTTTTTGGTTGTTACGTACTAATTCTGCATGTAGCACAAGATGTAAATGCATAAGAAAACTTTGATACTGAGCAAAGTTATAATAATAATAAACAAATAATGAAAATTTTTAGTCATTGCATATTTCTTGAACGGAAATAGTTTAGAACTAGCCGTTTATTTTATTTATATAAATTAGAATTCAGTTCCCAAGAACATTCGTTTTTCTACCAATCAATCGAAAATGTCTTCAAAAGATGATTCATTCAATCTGAATGGTCAAATTTCAATAGATGGTCAAAATTCAATAGAAGAAAAAGATATTCATGGATATACTGGGTTTGAAGGAAACACCGAACATATACGGAATTTAGCAAGAACTTTTACTAATGAATCTATGGATAATTCGTCCATGGCATTGAAGAAATATTTAACAAATATGTCAGAAGTACCTGGTGTTAGTCCATATTTAAATGTTGGTAATGAAAAATTAAATCCAGATTCAGAAAACTTTGATGCTAAGTTTTGGGTTAAAAATATTAAGAAATTATACGAATCCGATCCAGATTATTATAAACCTTCAAAATTGGGAGTAGCTTATCGTAATTTAAGAGCAAGTGGAGTCGCTAATGATTTTGATTATCAACCAACTGTTACTAATGCACTTTGGAAATTTGCAATTGAAGGTTTTAGACATTTAAGAAAAAAAGATGAAACAAGATACTTCGATATTTTAAAACCAATGGATGCTGTAATGAAGCCTGGTGAATTAACTGTTGTATTAGGTAGGCCTGGTGCTGGTTGTACAACGTTACTAAAATCGATTGCTGCAAATACTTATGGTTTTGATATTTTCAAAGAATCAATTATATCATATGATGGTTTAACACAACAAGATATCGAGAACCATTATCGTGGAAACGTGATCTATTCCGCTGAAACTGAAGTGCATTTTCCTCATTTATTAGTTGGTGATACCTTAGAATTTGCTGCAAAATTTAGAACTCCACAAAATAGAGGTGAAGGTATTGATAGAGAAACTTTTGCAAAACATATGGCTAGTGTTTATATGGCCACCTATGGTTTATCACATACTAGATATACTAAAGTTGGTAGTGATTTTGTTAGAGGTGTTTCAGGTGGTGAAAGGAAAAGAGTTTCAATTGCTGAAGTTTCATTAAGTGGTGCTAATATTCAATGTTGGGATAATGCGACAAGAGGTTTAGATGCAGCTACAGCATTAGAGTTTATAAGAGCATTAAAAACATCAGCAACAATCTTAGAAACAACTCCATTGATTGCAATTTATCAATGTTCTCAAGATGCTTATGATTTATTTGATAAAGTTGTTGTTTTATATGAAGGTTATCAAATTTTCTTTGGTAAAGCTGATAAAGCTAAAGAGTTTTTCATTAATATGGGTTATGAATGTCCTCAAAGACAAACTACTGCAGATTACTTAACTTCATTAACAAATCCAGCTGAAAGAATTGTTTTTCCAGGTTTTGAAAATAAAGTTCCAAGAACTCCAGAAGAGTTTGAAGCTTACTGGAAGAAATCACCAGAATATGCTACATTGATTAAAGAAATTGATCAACACTTGATTGATTGTGAAAAGTTAAATACAAAAGAAATTTACCAAGAAGCTCATGTTGCACGTCAAAGTAATAAAGTTAGACCTAATTCACCATATACCATTAACTTTTGGATGCAAACAAAGTATATAATGCATAGAAATTGGTTAAGATTCAAGGGTGATCCTTCAATAACAGCATTTTCAATTTTCGGTCAAGTTGTCATGGGGTTAATTTTATCATCAGTTTTTTACAATTTAGATCAAACTACAGGTTCGTTTTATTATAGAGGAGCTGCAATCTTTTTCGCAGTTTTATTCAATGCATTTTCATCATTACTTGAAATTTTATCATTATATGAAGCTAGATCAATTGTTGAGAAGCATAAAAAGTTTGCGTTATATCGCCCTTCAGCTGATGCATTGGCAAGTGTATTTTTTGAATTGCCTTGGAAATTATTAATGTCAATGGCTTTCAATTTTGTCCTTTACTTTATGGTTAATTTAAGGAGAAGTCCAGGAAGATTCTTTTTTTACTGGATGATGTGCTTTTTATGTACTTTGGTTATGTCACATCTATTTAGAACAATTGGAGCTGTTACAACATCAATTGCGGGCGCTATGACCCCGGCTACTGTTTTATTAATGGCAATGGTAATCTATACTGGGTTCGTCATTCCTAAGCCATATATGCATGGTTGGGCGAAGTGGATTAATTATATTAACCCCGTTGGATATGTTTTTGAGTCATTGATGGATAACGAGTTTCATAATCGTGAATTTCAGTGTGCAAGCTTTGTCCCTTCCGGTCCAGGGTTTGAAAATATTTCTATGGACAATAGGGTGTGTCTGGCTGTCGGCTCAGTGCCGGGATCTGACGTAGTTAATGGGTCTGATTATTTAAGACTTGCTTATCAATATTCAAATGCTCATAAATGGAGAAATTTAGGTATAACTTTTGGTTTTATCTTTTTCTTTTTAGGAACTTATTTATTATTAACTGATTTGAATAAAGGTGCTATGCAAAAGGGTGAAATTGCTTTATTTTTAAGAGGTTCTTTGAAGAAGATTAGAAAAAGAAATGACCATGAGACATTAAATAATGAAAAATTGAAATATGAAGAACAAGCAGAAGCTGATTATAATAACAATTCAAATTCAGATGTTGAATTACCAAGTAATCAAGAAATCTTCATGTGGAAAGATTTGACTTATGAAGTGAAAATTAAAAAAGAAAACAGAGTTATTTTGGATCATGTTGATGGTTGGGTTAAACCAGGTCAAGTTACAGCATTAATGGGAGCATCAGGTGCTGGTAAAACTACATTATTAAACTGTTTATCAGAAAGAGTTACAGCTGGTGTTGTTACTGATGGTGTAAAAATGGTAAATGGACATTCATTAGATTCATCATTTCAAAGATCAATTGGTTATGTTCAACAACAAGATTTACATTTACCTGCATCAACGGTTAGAGAAGCATTAAGATTTTCTGCATACCTTAGACAATCTAGAAAAATTTCTAAAAAGGAAAAAGATGAATATGTTGATTATATTATTGATTTATTGGAAATGAGAAATTATGCAGATGCTTTAGTTGGTGTTGCTGGTGAAGGTTTAAATGTTGAACAAAGAAAAAGATTAACTATTGGTGTTGAATTAGTTGCAAAACCAAAATTATTACTATTCCTTGATGAACCAACTTCAGGTTTAGATTCTCAAACTGCATGGTCCATTTGTAAACTTCTTAGAAAATTAGCAAATCATGGTCAATCAATTTTATGTACTATCCATCAACCATCAGCTATATTGTTGAAAGAATTTGATAGATTATTATTTTTACAAAAAGGTGGTCAAACTGTTTACTTCGGTGATTTGGGTGAAAATTGTTCAACTTTAATCGACTATTTTGAATCACATGGTGCTGATCCATGTCCGAAAGAAGCAAATCCAGCTGAATGGATGTTGGAAGTTGTTGGTGCAGCTCCAGGTTCCCATGCAAAGCAAGATTATTTCCAAGTTTGGAGAAATTCAGAACAATTTGAACAAATAAAGAGTGAAATTCAAAATATGGAAACTGAATTGAGTAAATTACCAAGAGATGAAGATCCTGATACACAATTAAAATATGCTGCTCCAATTTGGAAACAATATTTATTAGTAAGTTGGAGAACAATTGTTCAAAATTGGAGATCACCTGGTTATATTTATTCAAAATTATTCTTGGTTGTTTCATCATCTTTATTTAATGGGTTTTCATTCTTCAAGGCTAATAAATCAATGCAAGGTTTACAAAATCAAATGTATTCGATTTTCATGTCATTTATACCTTTCCAAACTATAATTGATCAAATGTTACCATATTTTGTTAAGCAAAGAGATGTTTATGAAGTTAGAGAAGCTCCATCAAGAACATTTAGTTGGTTTGCATTTATTACTGGTCAAATTACTTCTGAAATTCCTTATCAAATTGCTGTGGGTACAATTTCATTCTTTTGTTGGTATTATCCTGTTGGTTTGTATGCAAATGCTGAACCCACACATCAAGTTGCTCAAAGAGGTGTTTTAAGTTGGTTATTATTAACTGCATTTTATGTTTATTCTGCAACAATGGGTCAATTATGTATGTCATTTAATGAATTGGTTGATGTTGCTGCAAATTTAGCTTCCTTATTATTTACATTATGTTTATTGTTTTGTGGTGTTTTAGGTATGTTTATTAAGTTTAATTACTGAATTTTACTAACAATTAATTTAGCTGGCCCAGATAAACTACCAGGCTTTTGGATCTTCATGTACCGTGTCAACCCATTCACTTACTTAATGTCAGCTGTTTTATCAGCCGGTTTAGCTAACACTGACGCAACATGTTCGCAGGTAGAACTACTCACAATTGATCCTCCAAATGGCTATACTTGTCAACAATATCTAGGAGATTATATTAAAGCAGCTGGTGGTTATTTACAAGAAGGGTCTAACGGAGTATGTCATTATTGTCAAATGGGTTCAACAAATACGTTCCTTCTGACGGTAAATTCTTATTATTCAAATAGATGGAGAGATTTTGGAATATTCATGGCCTTTATAGTTTTCAACATTATTGCTACTATTATATTTTATTGGTTAGCAAGAGTTCCAAGAGGTAATAGAGAAAAAAAGAATAAAAAAAAATTAGTTCATAAATTCCATTAATGTATATAAAATGATTCATGTTACTTTTCTTTCTTTTCATTGATGTAAAAGTGGTAGACATATCAATGCGGGATAAAAAAAACATCTCGCGCTAGATCGAAATCGACCTCGTACTAAAAGTTTCAACGTCTAATTTATGAACGACGAAATTTCTTGAACTAAAATTCTGTTTAATCAGATCTGGAGATTTCATTTGTATGCTCTACGTATTTCAAGTCTTTTTTAGACATTTTTTTTTTCAGTAGTCATTTTGGCCCTTTTCCACCATATAAAAATTTAGCAAAAAATTGACATGCAATTCATTTTATATCGAGAGCCACAATTTTCAATCAATCAACGGATTATACATAATTAGGTAAACCTGAGCCTTCAAACATAATTTCCTTTGATTTAAGCTAAAATTGAGAAATCTCAAAATTTTCTTTTAAGTATGGGGAAATTCGAATACCTTGACTTTACGAAAAATCTGATTCCACAATAATATTTTAGATGAAAGTATAACAAAAGTATCAGAATTTGTAGTTATGCCATACTGATAAACCTCATGATTTTTAGTGGGAAGATATACAAAAAAAGTAATTTTTCAACGACAGTCCGGAAATTTTGAAAAAAAAATCAAACCAATTTTGGCGTCTTTAAAACATGATACAAAGGATATCTGGGATCAATTGAACCTATCCAGCTAACTTAGAAGTAGTAAAATGAGGTTTAAATTTCGGTAGCTTAGCAACTTAGCCTTTTATTCCATTTTTTGAAAGACGAGTAACGCAATCAAAATTATGTTTTACAAAAGAATACATGCAGCACTTACGCCAAAATGCTTAAATATTCTTGGAAAAAAGTTGGAGTATAATAGCTTGAATATTGAGAGAGTCATCTACGATTCAATTTTCACAATTAAGTATGGTGAGATTGTATTTAGGTCATATGAAATATATATATATATATTTTTTTTTTAGACCGAACAAACACACGTATTCTCGAATGCAACCTAGTTGGTGCTATCAAATTACTTTTTCGCGCTATTTCTAGGGCGATCTGTACCAAATTTTTGTATGAGTTAAAAATTAGAAAACCAATCTCTCTGAAATAACTTGAAAATCTTAGAAATTCGAGTTTGCAGAATTGAGTGTAGAATAGTTTAATAACTTAATCCAGATGAACTAAAAAGTAAATAAAGAGAATTACTAATACTTCATACAAAACCGAAAATAATCGATAAATTAAGTTTTGAGTCCCGAACTTCAATTTTGCCATCATTCAACTCAACAAATCACTCCACTACATTGATTTCTTGTTTTCTACTGCCTCGGAATGTGCTTTAAACTTTTATATCTCTCGACACCTCCAATAAACCTCTATAGATATTGCTTTATTTTGCAATCAAAATTAACTTTGCAATCAAACGTTTGAGAATTTTAGTTTGCAGTTATAAAGATCTGCAGCATTCTGCAATAAACAGCCGTGAGAACGTGTTTCTGTTTATCCTCCCCTCAATAACATTACTATGGAATGGCGTTTAATCGACTGATAAGATTTTCTGTTGGGTGGTTTTGTTATATTGTTATTATATCATGTCCCGGACTTATTCAAATAGTTTAAACATAAACGAAAGCTAAATTTTTAGTATAACCATTCAAAAGTTTAAATATTATGGGGAAGAAAGATATATGAACTGAATTACAATAAATGAGTTGTTGTTCACGGTTTGAATCAGATCTCAATCTTGAGAATAATTTTATTCATTAGATCCATTCTTGCAATACATTCTTTGGTTCCTGAATCGAACATAGAACGATCATTTATTTTTCTTACGATCAGCTTGGCTAAAATTGTAACAAATTTTGTGAGACTATTCTTTACTTCTATCAAAACAACTACAATTATTCTCTTAGCTTGTCCCGGAGTAATTCATATCAGGTTAAGCTAGCGTGGGGGAATATTATAGCTGAAGTATAATTAATCCTTGAATTTTATAATGTGCCTAGAAATAATATTTCTTAATAAATATGCCATTAAGAAATAAAAAAAGAACTATACTCTAAATCTATTGGCTAAAAATTGTTCCAATACCTCGTATCGTGAAACTGAATATATCGAGCCATTTCAACCAAGAAAAGTTTGAATCTTATTGTTCCCCACCATTTTTAGTTCCATTTAGAGATTCTGAAACCAAGAAAAACGCAATTACTTAATTTGTTTATGCGGCTAAGTTTTATTTTGACATTATTTTTTTTTTTTTTAGTTATACTTGAAACAAATGTTAAATTGAATTACATTAGAATACTTCAATATGATTTAGAATGTTAATACGTTGGAATTACTTTAGTATAAATATAGATAGAAATTTCCTAAAATGTGGATTGAGTTTGTTAAAAAATTATATCAATTAATATGTCTTCAATTTCAGATTCTTTGTCAATCTCAAGTAAGGCTTCTTCAAAACCTGAACCCAAACGTAGATGGAAATGGAACTTTAGAGACGATAATTCTCCTAAAGAGATCTATAACTGGTCATTATATGCTTCGGTAATTGTATTTGGTTTAACTGGTATGTTTCGTGGTATGGATGAAGGTACAGTTTCAGGAAATTTGTATCAACAATCATTTAGAGAACTTTTTGGTTTTAATGATCCTAATAAAACAGAACATGATATATCAAATTTAAAAGGTAATATTGCTGCTATGGTTCAGTTAGGATCTGTTGGGGGAAGTTTAATTTCTTTGTGGTCTGTTGATTATTTTGGAAGAGTGAATGCATTAAGAATTGTTTGTTTGATTCAAATTGTTGGAGTTATTATTCAGTTAACGTCAAGGACTTTAGGACAGTTATATGTTGGTAGATTAATCGAAGGTTTAGGTGTTGGACAAACCACATCTATCGGACCATGTTTTTTAAGTGAAGTAGCAATGCCTGAGTTCAGAGGCTTCATTGTGGGGGTTTTTAGTGGGGCAGTCTATTTGGCAATATTAATTTGTTTGTATTTATGAGAGTTTATCATCTGTTGAAACATTACTAACTCGAAAAAGCGTATATTTCAAATTATTTAACAGCAAAATTTATGAGCGGCTCAAATCATTCGCAATGGATGATTCCAGTGGCTGTTAAAATCATTGTCGCGGGTTTGATTTGCATAGCAACAATATTTACGATTGAATCTCCTCGTTGGTTAGTCAAAGTCAATAAGAAGGATAAAGCTATTCAAAATTTGGTTAGATTGAGACATTTACCAGCTGAGCATCCATATGTAGCTGCTGAATTACAAGATATTGAGAATCAAGTACTTGAAGAAAAGCATGCTGTTGAAAATTATCCATGGTATCTTAGACTTAAGGATTTATTAACTAAAAAGAGATTATTTCAAAGAGTTTTCCTGGTTGGTATCATGTCCCAATTACTTGGACAATGGAGTGGTGCTAATACTTTAACTATATACGCTCCTTATTTATTTCAAATGATTACGAATAATGAAGGTGGTATTGATAATATGCAAAATACAATGATATTAGGTGCTGTAAAATTAGTTGCAAGTTATTTGGCTTGTTTCTTCTTACTTGATACTTTTGGTAGAAGAAGAAGTTTATTATTAGGTATAACATTGCAAGGTATATGTGTTTTATATTTTGCATTATTTTTAAATATTGTTCCAGTTGATGATCCATCTCATACATTAACAAGTAGTGAAAAACATGCATCTCAAGCTGCCCTTGCTTCATTGTTTTTAGCTGGTGTTGGATGGGTTATGGGATTTAATGCAGTTCAATATTTATTTGGTCCTGAAATTTTGAACAATACATATAGAGGTGTTGGAACGTCAGTAATCATGTGTATCCATTTTTTGAATCAATATGCTAATTCAAGAGCAATTCCATCAATGATGGTTGCAATGAAGAGTTATGGTGCATTTTATTTTATGGTGGGAATTAATGTTGTCAGTTTAATTTGGGCTTATTTGTGTATTCCAGAGTTGAAATCAAGATCTTTAGAAAGTATTGATGCTGCTTTTCAATTACCATGGTATTTGATTGGAAGAAAAGGAGGCCAAGCTACTGATAGAAGTGCAGTTCATCAAGCAACAACAAAACAACTTGGTGAGGTTACAGAGGTAACAATTAATGATGATATTGAAAAAGCAGAAACTCTGCACAATGAGATGAAGAAGTAGTTTAATAGTGTGAATATATAACGATTTATTAGTGAATATAAGAACTTTAAATTGATCAACTTAGATTTTAATCATATTCACTTGGTAGCTCATTTGGCTGCAAAATTTTCTGCTAACAAAAAAAAAAAAAAAAAAAAAAAAAAAAATTAATTACAAATATGAGTTTGTTGATCGATCAATGCATTTGTTTTCACAAATTGATTAGAAAAGCTATCAAAGTTTTATTAAGCCTACAGCCTAAACAGGGTCTTCAATTTGTTTTTGAAATAAATAAAATAATTTCTAGGTCAAAAAAATACAACAAGATCAATTCGAAACGCCCCACAAAAAAGTGTTCAACAACGAAAACGCTAATTATTATTTGTATTGAGCCTAACTAAAACCTTCAATTTTATTGTGCATCTTCAAATCATAGAATAGTAGAGGCTAAGCTTATCTATGATCTGCAAATAATTGATTATTCAAAGTTTATTCTGCGTCATCAAATGTTCGAACTTCGGTTTTGTGTCACAAAACTAGCCAAGAAAATTTTGATAGATTTCGAAAAATTGTACCTTATTATTCGGGGCTTCTATCAACCATACGAATGCTTTATTTTTGATAAAACTCTCCCATAAGAGATATCACTTTAGGAGTATTAGTTAACACTTAATTAACAAACAGTAAATTGCATTGCTATAACAAATAAAAGCATTTGTATCAAATATTTTATTGATATTTCAAAAATCCCTCAAATCATTGCCAATTAGGAAAAATTAAACAAAGAAAATAAAAAATTTAGTTTCCTATAATTTAATTTCGTGTCAAAAATTAAAGTCAAAACTATTTACATTAAGTTTTTGAAGCGCAATATCCTCTAGAATCGATTAGCAATATGAGTGATTTAGCTACACTATAGTTGAAAATTATATACCGTCATTTCGTTAGTTAATTAAAAAATTGAGATTTTTTAATCTAGGGCTGTATCATCATCAACATCGTGCAAAATCAATTTATCAACAATATGAGATAATTTTCCACAAATCGATCTCTCCAATTAAATTAAACTATATACATATACGTATATCTGCGTTTCATAGATTATCATATAATGACAAATAAATCGCTCGAATCATAATAAAATTTAAATTAATTATTACCCCCTAAGTTTTTCTTTATTTTGTGATCGAAAAGAAAAAAAATTATTATTTCATAGTATCAATTTGAAACAACAGTTAATTTATTATGATAACTTTACTTAATATGATTTTACTATGATTTAAAAGTATGTAAAGTATGCGAAATATTCCAATATTTATTATTACCAAATCTTTTACTCTTGTGGTACATGTTATCAAGATCCCTCTCAAAAATATCATTAGATGATGAAAATATAGATAAAAACTTAGACTCAAGATCTATCAATGATCAAACTGACCATTATAGTATTAATACTGATTTAGATAATATAGCTTTAGAATCTGTAATTCTTTATAATGAAGAGATTGAAAATCAGTCATCAATTGATGAAAAACCTAAAAAACAGCCGTGGCGAGAAATTGCAATGTTATCATTTACTTCATTGGGTGCTATTTATGGTGGATATTGGTGCTTCTCCATTATATGTATTAAATTCAATTAAATATTCACAATCAACTCTTACTACAGAAGATATTTATGGTGCTATTTCTATGATTTTTTATTTATTTACATTTATTGTCATTTTTGGGATTGATTTGTTGTGGGATTTATAATATTGTTAAATTTTATGCAGGTATATTTGCTGCATTATCAGCATATTATGCTATCAAATTATTAAGATACGGTGGAATTGATGTATTTTTAGGAGCAACGTTAGCTATAACTGGAACAGAGGCAATGTTTAGTGATATTGGTCAATTTGGAAGCTTACCTATTCAAATAACATTAACAACATTTGTTTATCCAATTTAATAAATTGTTATTTGGGTCAAGGTGCTTATAATGCCACACATCCAGAAGCTTGGACAATCCATTTTTTATCCATTTTTTTATCCATTTTTTTATCATTACCTGGGGGTTCAAATTCTCCAATATTTTGGATAATGTTTTTTTTGGCAACTTTAGCTACTATAATTGCATCACGAGATTTAATTTTAGCTGTTTCAGGTATAATTGGTCAATTAATTAATTTGGATTGTTTCCCAAAACTTAAAATTGTTCATGTTTCATCGCATAATTTAGGCAAAGTTTATATTCCAACTATAAATTGGTTATGAATGATTGGTGTTGTATATGCAACTGCAGGTTTTAAAAATAGTAATAATGTTTCAGCCGCTTATGGTTTAGGCATATCATTAGATTTCATTATTACTTCATCATTAATTATAATCTGTATGTTTTATGTTTATATTGCAAATGTAATCTGGCCAATATTATTTGCATGTATTTTTATACCATTAGAAGTTTGTATGGTTGTTTCAAATTTAGAGAAGGTTCCACATGTAGCTTGGTTTCCAATATTGATGGTTGGGCTATTTTTCATATTTTTAGCGTTATTGCATTATGCAAGAACTAAATAAGTTGAATATGAATTTAATAAAAAGATTAAAATCGGTAATTTATTCCCATATTTAGATAAATCAATAACTGTTGATTTAAATAATCATAACGAAACACAATTATCAAATTTTGAAGAAAATGATAATAAATCAAGATGTGGAATGCAACAATTGACAAATATGAAGGTATTGGATTCATGTATGTTAATTCGATTTTCACAAATTCTCCAAATACATTACCTTATTTATATGGTACCGTTTTAAAAACATTCGTATCAATTCCATCAAATGTTATATTTTTAGCAGTTAGAGTATTATCAGTACCTTATGTATCAAAAGATGATAGAAAATATTAATGGCACCAATAAAGTTACGAGGTCCTTGTAAATGTATTATTAGATTCAGATTTATGGAAATATCAAAATTGGTTCAGAATTGAAAAATAGTATGATGAGAGGTATACTTAGTATGACAACAAAATCAAAAGAAGAATTGAAAAATTATCCAATTGTTCATTTCTTGAAAAACGACTTGATTGAATGTAAAGAAATGAGACAACGTGATAATAAATTTAAAAATGCAATAATTCATATTCAACATTTTATAAGAAAAATCGCTATTGAAAATTTCTTTAGTCCTTTATATTCATTAAGTCAAGATTATGGTAGATTTATAAAATTTGATACTGAAGAAGAAGAAAGGGATCAAAAATTATTTATTGGAAAAGTAGCTAGAATTCAATATATATTAAGCCCATTCAGGTTTTGAATTATAATCATTAGATCTTCCTCTACCCCTACCTCTGCCTCTATAAGAATTACCTCTTCCACCTCTACCTCTACCTCTTCCTCTACCTCTATATCCACCTCTTTTATGTAAACTTGATTCACCAAAAGTATCCATATTTAAACTTTTTTCTTCTGACCATCTCATATTTGATCTTTCTTCAGTTGATGATGAAAGTGTATCAAAAAATGATGAACTTTTATTATAGCCTTTTTGTTCCAATTCCTTTTCTTGTTCCAATTCTTTTGAAAATTTAGCATTTGCTTCTTCAAAATTAAATTCTTCATTTGGAATTTCAATTTTAGATGACTTTCTAGATGATTTCGGATTTGGTTCTGATCTTGGTTCAGGTTGTGGTGGTTTTTCAGCAGTCGTTTGAGTAGGTGGTTCTTTTGTAGTTGGTGTAGGTTTAGGTATTGATTCATTAATTGGTTGTGGTGTTGGTGGTTTTGGAGCTCCAGTCTCAACTGGTTGTGAAATTGATGGAGCTGATGCTGGTGCTGCTTGTGGAATTGATTCTCTTGGAGACTGTTGAGTAGTTACTGGTGGTTGATAAGATTTTTGATAAGGAGGTTGCTTAAATTGTTGAGGAGGTGGTTGTTGATAATTTTGAGTTGGACCTTGATAAAAACCAGCAGTAGATTGTTGATGATAAATTATTGGTTTAACTTCTTCAATTGGAGTATCTAAAACATTTAAATCTTTAACATCACTACCTCTAAAAACAACATAATCATAAATTTCATTACCTGGAGGAACCTCTAAATGCGGTTGACCAATTTCTGCCATTCTACCTTCACTACCAAATAATCTAACAGTTTTTAATGCAACAGTTGCATCATCGGCATTGATATTTTCTAATAAACCAACATAACGTAAACCTTTGTTGGAAATAAGTGATATTGTTTTACCAATATATTGAGACATTTGTTTTAAAAAATGACTGTTATTGGTAAAAAGTATGCCTAATTTTCAATTTATGATCCAAGATTTTTTTTCGTTAAAAAATCGAGATAATGGGATTGGTACACGACCTGAGATTTTGCAACAATTTAATACAAACAATCATTTTGTTCAATTTTATTCATGAAGTGGTATGTTGATCAACCTTATGGCCTATAATTAATCAGAATGTATTGATTAATATTAATGTTCCTTATTGGGCGTAATAAATAAGAAGATTAAATTTTTTTTTGGAATTTTCGATAAATTTTAGACAGATTGATAGTAATTCAAACAATTGTTCAAAGATACACCATAGTAATTACTATGTATGGCAAAAGCTTCAAATAAAAATGGAAAAAGTTTCTGACCTAGTATGTTCAGTATTGTATATAGGATGGACGCAAGTTAACAGATTCTAAAAATCAAAAACTCAAAAACTCAAAAACTCGAGTAAAAAGAGCTGGATAGAAACCAGTCATTCTCAATGATGTGCTTTGCAACACTCTGTCATTTAAAACACCTCAATATGCTTTAATCCATACAATTTATCAGTTTCATTCTTTTGTTTATATATCTTCTTATTTGGCAGCCAAATTTATTTACGTGTACATTGCAATATTTTTATCAACAAAAAAAGTTACTTATTGATAATTTTTATTTAAACAATTTACCAATGAGTGATCCATTAGCTGATTTTACTAATCTATCTCAAGATGAAATAGATCCAAATTTAAAAGAAGAAAATGAAGTAAATAATAGTATAGATGAACAAATGCAAGAGGATGAACAAATGGAGCATCACGAAGACCTAGCCATTGAAAATTCTGAACAACAAAATCAAGAAGATCAACAACAACAAGAAGAAGATATAGAATTACCAGAACATCAGGAAGAATTTGAAGCTACAGAAAATGCAGAAGATCCCGAAGGAGATAAATATGAAGAATACGAAGAAGATGATGAAATATATAAAAATACCAGGGCACCAAAAATACAAGATGATCAAATAGATCATACTTATAAGAAAATAATTAGAAAATCAAGACCAGAAGGTGAATCAACTAATGAAAACCAAGTTTATCAACCAACAAATACTGAAGAAAATAACACATTTACAACCGATGATTTGGATCCACAACAAAGAAGAAGATTTGAACTAGAAGAAAGAATGAATGCTGCAATCAAAACTAAATCAACGAAGAAGAAAAAAGCAGATGAACATGATTTAGAACAAATGGCAGATGATAGAATTGAATATATGAAAGATCAAATGATTAAAGCAGCTAATTTAGATGCTGAAAAAAATGCAAATAATCAAATTGCAACAGAAAAATTGAAATTATTAAATGAAGTTTTGGATGTATTATCAAAACTGGATTTGGCTGAATCAATTTTAGATAATAATATGTTGGAAGCTGTAAGATTATGGTTGGAACCATTACCAGATGCTTCAATGCCTGCTTATCAAATACAAAAAGAATTAATACATGCATTGGAAAGATTACCAATAAAAACTGATCATTTAGTTGCTTCAGGGATAGGTAAAGTTTTAGTATTTTATCAAAGATCAAAAAGAACAGAATCACAATTGAAGAAAATAGTTGATAGATTAATTAGTGATTGGACAAGACCTATTTTAAATAAAAGTGATTCATATAAAGATAGATCAATAAGATTCGGTGAATATGATAAAAGAAATTATGCCAATAAATTATCTAAATCAAAAAGAAAAGAAGCTAAAACGTTATATGAAGAAAATGCTGAAAGAAGAAAAAGAGCTGCTATACCAACAGCTAGAAGTGCGGCATATAAAATTGCTCCAAGAGTTGATCCAAGTGTTTTATTAAGACATTCTAATGGTAACAATGATGAAAGATTTAGAAAAATTAATCAAACTTTAACATCAATGGGTACAAAAAGGAAAAAATCAAAAAAAGGAGGTCCATCAATTGAAGGAAGAGATCTTGCATTATAGTTTAATAGATTTAGTAGGAGCTGTTAATCTTGAAGCAATTTCAAATAATCCGTTTTTTCGTAATTTTTAAGATAGTAACCTTAGCATAAACTCGAACGTTTTTGAACAGGTTGTAATCGATTTTTCCGAGCTTTCTGACTTTGATGAAGCTATTTGTTCCTTTTAGATTTATTGTTACAATAGACCGTTTCATTCTAAAGGATTGCATATTGATGAAATGTAAACAACCATTATATGGATCGAAAGCAAATTTATACCTCTTTAAATTAATTTAACTATTGCATTCTGAATTGTCAAAATATTTACTTCAAGGGGTAGCGAGATGTTACACTCTTATTTATTTGATTATACCAATATAGTTTGAACACATTAGCAAATAGGTATACTTACGTTGAATTTTGATGACTTAGTCGCGAAATGAATATTTCGAGAATGCAAGCCTCTCATCGACATTTAAAAGTGCTATCGTTTTTCATTATCATCAAATATCAATCGAAGGTAGAGATCTTGCTACAGAATTTAATAAATAATCTTTTTTTAACTATTTGTATATTATGAGCATTATATAATTTGCAATCCCTTCCCAATTATAATTACACGATTATGATCTTGGTTTTTCTTTCTTTTCTTTCCATAAAGCTAATAAAGAAACACCTGAAACTTTAACAACTTTGAATCTGACACCTGGAATATCACCTTTAGCTTTACCTCTTCTACCGAAACCAGCTAATAAGACTTCATCATTTTCATCGACAAAATTTAAACAACCATCATTTGGGACGAAAGCAGTAACTTTTTTACCATTTTTAATTAATTGAACTCTAACACATTTTCTAATAGCTGAGTTTGGTTGTTTTGATTCAATACCGATCTTTTCTAAAACGATACCTTTTGCGTGTGATGAACCACCAAATGGTGATGATTTAAAAGCAGTTCCTAATAATCTAGCTTTATAAGCTTGATCAGCCCATCTGTTGTTTCTTCTATGAACTCTTAACTTTCTAGCAGAATTAATACCACGTGGTTTACCGTTACCCACTGCGGAATAGTTAGTATTTATGCAAACTGAATTCAGAATTAAGATTAATCTGGTCGATACAATTGGTAGCGACGACATTGGAAGGTGAAGAAAAGCTTAACAATAGCTATTGAAACTTCAACAATAATCAGACAATGAACAATTAGCTCAACAACAGCTGTTGTGACGTCAACAATGACTGAACGATGAAAAATATGCTCAACAAATGATGTTGAAACCTCATCATCCATGAATTGTAAACCCGGGGCCAGAATTTTCCCATTTTTAATTACTGAAGCACTCATCAATCAAATACAAATATATCCTTCGTTGATGCTTCAGTTATCTAATCTCATCTTGTTTCTGAATTTTTTAATATTCTTTCAATATTGACTTCCTCTAAATTCATGTTGATATGTGGTGATTCTGGTGTGGTGATTCTTCACTTGTCTCAAAACCCAGATAACTTTAAACCTGATATGGTTTGACTTACATACTTATTAATTGATACTTGACTAAAGATTAAAAATAAGATAAAATTGAAAAAAAATTTTCGTTATTAATTTTGTTAGTGAGAAGCTTCCATAGTTAAGAAAAAATATTATGTAATCGCCCAACGCTACCAAACGTTCATCCATTTTTTGTAGACGCTATTTGATGCTCGATTTCTGAGGGTTAGAGCCCTAAGAATAGTGACAATATTTCATCATGTAGAAGATCTGGGATCAACTAAATCTAGATCAACCTCAAGACATTGTTAATTAGTAAGGAAAGTGTAATTAGGTACTCTTGTTTAATTAAAACAAGTTTAAGAATTATTAATGGTAATATCAAGAGGAACCAGTTTTATGGTATCCCATTGATAAGCTTACTTAATGAATTGTCTGATATCTATGTCGGCAAGAGTAGACTAATTAGGAAGTAGCGCATTATTTTTCCATCTATTGCATTATCAATCTCGAAAAGTATATAAAATAATCAAGTCCCCCCATGATTCAAAATATTCATTATTATTATTAAATATGTGTGGTCCAAATAATACTTCTTCAAGCTCATCATCTTCAACTTCAAACTGTTGTGGTACTTCATCATGTAAATGTGGGTCTGGATGTTCTTGTGCTGCTTGTAATACTACAAAATTATGAATTTATGAATTTCATTAGTTGGTTTTCACAATAAATAAATGTATATTAACTAAATATAAATGTTTATTTCTTAATGGTCTTTATTGTTTTACCTTTAATGAATGCTAATAAAAATAAGAAAAGCATATCTATTTGATCTTTAAACATGAATAATAAACCTTGAACAAAAACACCTTTTAATAATTGAGGTGCAATACCTTTATATAATCCACGGAATTTTTCTGTATGCCATAAATGTGCTAAAGCATCAGTAAAGTGATTAAATACAACATCCTCTTCATCATCATCATCATCATGTAAATCTTTGTTTTCTATAGGTTTATTATCTTTTGATTTTGATTTATTCTTCTTTTGGATCATTGCTTTTGAAACAATTAATGGTTGTGTTGCAACTGTTGCTAATGATTTAGCTAAAACACCTAATGAAAATGATTCTAATGGACCTAAATATTCTTTATTACCATAAATAACTTGTTTTAATCTTTCATATGAACCATAAGTAATTGATGGATTAATACATAAAACTAATGAAACTCTTAAACCTCTCCATAAACCTGTAATACCATCTTGATCTAAAATTTCTTTAATTAATTGAATGAAATTTTTATGTTGTTTATCAGTTTGTTGTTGAGTTGTTATAACACCAATTGGCATTGTGAAACATTGTGAAATTGCAGCAGCAACAGCACCTAAAAATAATTCAGTAAGTGTATTTGCTTTATGACCTGGTATATTTTTATATAAATTTGCGTAAACTCTTTTAACAATTGTATACCAATAAAAATAAGAAAAATTTTGAGCAGCAGTACCAACAACTGTTGAAAGTAAACCATGATACCATCCTAAAATACCCTTTTTAGCATATATTTTTCTTAAAACATCGAGTGTATTTTTATATTTTAATTCATTTGAACCATCTTTTTTTGGTGTATTTTTATAAACTGAATCTTCTAAATCTGATTCTGAAGGTGGTGTTAAAATATCTGAATTTGATTTATTCAATTGTTTATCATGTTTTTTAACTTGTGTTTGTATTAAAACTTTACTCAAATCTAACGGATAAACTAAAGTATTTGCAATAGCTGATGCTAAAGCTCCCGACGCTGCTTTTTCTATTGGTGAAAGTGACATTTAATTTGTATGATTAACTTTATAATGATCTATAAGAAATCTATATTGATTTTATAAAATGTGATATTTGCTATCAGATGAATTGAATATGAAATGTTGGGTAAAGAAAACTAAAACAATTAATTATGAATGAAGTTGAAAATTAAATAAATATAAATATAAATAAAACAAGATTAAACTTTATAATAAGAAAAACACTTTAGAAATTGTGTATATCTTTTAAATTATATTCGGTATTAGATATAGTAATCATTTTGCTTTTCATAAGGTTTTATGTCTAAGAAATTAATACCGAGGAAACTTTTGATCCCCACAGTTATGATTTTTCTTTCGCTTTAGTGTCGCTTTCGCAGCGCCTAATCTAAATTCTACTACCACCCGTGCTACGCTTCTATTATATTTAAACTATTAACCGTTATATACTAATCAATTACCCATTGTATTATATCTCTATTTATATCTGCTGTTATCAAAATTTCTTGATTTTCTTGATTTTCTTTATTAATTGTAATAAATTCTTTAATTTTACTTTTATGACCACCTTCTTTTAATTCAATTGTATAATCATCAATTAAATCAATACCTCTAATTACACCATCATCACCCATTATCCACAATCCATTAACTTTCTTATCTGTTCCTTTTCTCCACGAAATAATTGGCTGTGAAAATTTATCTTGCGGTGATAAAGTATTTATATTCTTAATTATTTGTTGACGTTTTATGGAATTTGAATTTAGATCTTTCAATGGGACGATTATAATTCTCATATATGGTTCGTGAGAAGTTGCAACTGCAATTAATGGTTTAACTGCTGATCTTTGAATTGTTATGAACCTTGGTGAGAAACTAGATGATGTGAATTCTGCATCATTAATAGATATTTTGTAAAGACATTTTAATTCATTACTTTGTAAAGTTATAACTTCAAGTAATGTGTTTTCTAATTTACCAACTATAATCACTAGTCTTTCCTCATAAATTGTAACATCAAAGCAAGTACCTTGTTGTGATAATTTTAATTCTGATAATTGTATAATTTTATCATTTTCAAGTTTAAACACTCTAATGTAAAAGTCCCAGCCTAGCGTTACAACAAATTCGTTTTCTCCATGTCTAATGTATTGACCATCTACAATCAACCTTTTATGTGCTTGTATATCTGAAAGATCTTTGAAATCTAAAGTTTTCAAATATACTATCCCATTGGTTCCAAACAATAACACTCTATCTTCAATTGGTATTATTTTCTTAATAACAATGCTTGATTTTATTTCTTTGATTATCTGTTTATCTTTTATAACATAAATTTTGGAATCATTAGTAGTAATGTAAATCAATCCTTGGTAATAATTCAAACTTATAACCAACCCATTTAAATCGACTAATTCTTGTGGTTTATTTGGATAAGGATACTTCCAATGCTCAATTACGCTTTGTAAAACTTGTTGTTGTTCATCAGTTAAACCAATTTTCAAATGGGCCGTGCCTTTAGTAATTGCATTGAAATTTATTCTATCCTCAACTATATCTACCAATGATTCACCAGCCAATTTCTCCGATGTTATAGGTTTACGATTCTCTATTTCAAATTGTTTTAATGTATCTGGATAATTATTATGTTTCAAATAATCTGCTATTAAATTTTGTATATGAGACATGAGTTGCAAAAAAATTTAAAATTTAAAATTATACACTTATATTTACTATTTTACATCGATTTATATCTTTTCAGCTAATTCCTCTAATAATTTATAACTTCTTTGTTCAATTGAACCATTACCTGGTAGTCTAGTTGAACCTGATAAATAATTATCAACTTCTCTTGCACATTGTCTACCTTCTTGAATACCCCAAACAACTAATGATTGACCTCTTCTACAATCACCAGTAGCAAATAAATTATCATCATGATTAACTTTATAAACATTTGGATCAATTGTTGAAATAGTACCTCTTTTAGTTTTTTGAACTTCTAAATTATCACTTTCAGGACCAATAAAACCCATTGATAATAAAACAACATCTGCTGGGAAAAATTCTTCACTACCTGGAACTTCAGCCATTTGCCAAGCACCTGAATCTGATCTTTTCCATTCAACTCTAACTGTTTTAATACCTTTAACACTACCTTCATCATCACCAACAAATTCTTTTGATAAAATTGAATATTCTCTTGGATCTTTACCATAATGAGCGGCAACTTCAGTATGACCATAATCAACTCTAAATATTCTTGGCCATTGAGGCCATGGATTATCTTTTGGTCTCGAAGTTGGGGGATTTGGTAATAATTCAAAGTTTGTAACACTTGAAGCTCCATGTCTTGTTGCAGTACCTAAACAATCATTACCAGTATCACCACCACCAATAACAATAACATTTTTACCTTCTAAAGTTTTTCTAATTGTTTCTAAATCACTTTCTAATAAAGCTTTGGTATTTGAATGTAATAATTTCATAGCAAAATCAATATTATTTAAATCTCTACCAGGTATTTTTAAATCTCTTGGAATTGTTGAACCAACAGCAAGTATAACTGCATCATATGATTCTTTTAATTCACTAACTGTTATATCTTCACCAACGGTAGTATTTACAACAAAATCAATACCTTCAGCTTGTAATAAATCAGTTCTTCTTTTAACAATTCCTTTATCTAATTTCATATTTGGAATACCATACATTAATAAACCACCTGGTCTATCACTTCTTTCAAATACAGTAACTTTATGACCCGCTTTATTTAATTGATCAGCACAAGATAAACCTGCTGGACCTGAACCAATAATTGCAACACTTCTACCAGTTCTATGTTTAGGAGGTTCTGGTTTAATCCAGCCTTGTTCAAAACCATAATCAATAATAGCACATTCAACTGATTTAATGTTAACAGGGTCTTCATTAATACCTAAAACACAAGCTCCATTACAAGGAGCTGGACAAATTCTACCAGTAAATTCAGGGAAATTATTTGTCATTAATAATCTTTGTAATGCATCAAACCATCTATCATTGAAAACCAATTCATTCCATTTTGGAATAACATTTGAAATTGGACAACCAGTATCTGAAGTACAAAATGGAACACCACAATCCATACATCTTGCAGTTTCATATTTTAATTCATCTTTTGTTAATCTTGATGTCATTTCATTCCAATCTTTAGTTCTAAATTTTGCATCTCTATATTTTTCATTTCTTCTTTTATACTTCATAAACCCACGAACTTTATCTAATTTAACTGGAGCTTTCTTTTCAAATTCAGTATCAAAAATAGTATCCTCAACATCTTGAACTTTTGGTTCTTGTTTTTTATGTACATGACCTTTTCTAATTTTGTAAGCTTCACCATTAGTAACATCTGAATCAGGATCTTCTTTAATTGATTTAAGGAATGTACTCAATTCTTTCTTTTTAGCTTCTTCAGCTAATTTTTTTTCAGCTTCCAAAACTTTTTTATAATCATATGGTAAAACTTTAACAAATCTTGGTAAATATCTATTAAAATCATTAAGAATATTATCCGCAACTTCTGATCCAGTATAATGTCTATGATCTTCAATCAAATTTCTTAAAAAAGCAATTTCTTGAGTTTCAGTAATTTGTGATAATTCAACATTAGCTTTATTAACTTTATCACTAAAATCTTGAGCCATATCCAAAACATATGCAATACCACCACACATACCAGAAGCAAAGTTTCTACCTGTTGAACCTAAAACAACAACTCTACCACCTGACATATATTCACAACCATGATCCCCAGTACCTTCAGTAACAATAATTGCACCTGAATTTCTAACTGCAAATCTTTCGGCTGCAATACCTCTAATAAAAGCAGTACCCGAGGTAGCACCAAAAAATGCTGTATTACCAGCAATGATTTGATCTTCAGCTTTAAAAGTTGATTCTTTTGGTGGATAAGCAATGATTCTACCTCCTGATAAACCTTTACCAATATAATCATTAGCATCACCCTCTAATTCTAAAGTGACACCAGAAGCTAAAAATGCACCAAATGATTGACCAGCTGAACCAGTAACATTAACATGAATTGTATCGTGGGGTAATCCTTGTTCACCAAATATTTTTGAAACTCTATAAGATAATGTAGTACCTAAAGACCTATCTGTATTTACAACTTCACAATCAATAGTAACTGGCAAACCTTTAGCTAAAGTCATTTCTGATTCATCAATTAATTTATTATCAACTCTAACATGTAATCTATGATCTTGTTTTCTAACACAATGAGTTGCAACACCTGGTCTAATAGTATGGGCTGGTGTTAAAATTGGTGATAAATCAATATTTGCATTTTTAGTATTTCTAAAATCTTCTCTAACTTTTAATTTTTCAGTTCTACCAACCATTTCATTGATAGTTCTAAAACCTAATTTAGCCATAATATTTCTTAAATCATTAGCTAAATAATAAAAGAAATTAATAACATGCTCTGGAGTACCTTCAAATTTTTTTCTCAATTCAGGATCTTGAGTTGCAATACCAACTGGACATGCACCAGTATGACATTTTCTCATATAAATACAACCCATAGCAATTAATGGAGTAGTTGCAAATCCCCATTCTTCAGCACCTAATAAACATGCAATTGCAATATCTCTACCGGTTCTTAATTGACCATCAGTTTGTAAAATAACTCTACCTCTTAAATCATTTAAAACTAAAGTTTGATGAGATTCAGCTAAACCTAATTCCCATGGTAAACCAGCATATTTAATAGATGTTAATTTGGCAGCACCTGTACCACCATCACCACCAGAAACTAAAATATTTTCAGAACCAGCTTTCGCAACACCAGCTGCAACTATACCAACACCAACTTCAGAAACCAATTTAACTGAAGTCCTTGCTCTTGGATTAGCACATTTCAAATCATATAATAATTGTTTCAAATCTTCTATTGAATAAATATCATGATGAGGTGGTGGAGAAATTAAACCAACACCTGCTGTTGAATGTCTTGTTTTACCAATTTCTTTCGAAACTTTATGACCTGGTAATTCACCACCTTCACCAGGTTTTGCACCTTGAGCCATTTTAATTTGTAATTCATCAGCATCTGCTAAATAATATGATGTAACACCAAATCTACCTGAAGCAACTTGCTTAATTGCAGATCTCATTGTATCACCATTTTCTGAAACTTGTGATCTTGCAGCATCTTCACCACCTTCACCAGTATTTGATTTACCACCTAATCTATTCATTGCAACAGCTAAAGTTGAATGAGCTTCCATTGAAATAGAACCATATGACATTGCACCTGTAAAAAATCTACGAACAATTTCAGTCCAAGGTTCAACTTGATCAACTGGTACTGATTTTGATGACTCAAATTCAAAATCTAATAAACCACGTAATGTACAATTTCTAACAGCTTCATTTTCCTTTTTAACATAAGCTTCATAAGCTCTTTCATTTTTATTTTTAACTGCATCTTGTAATGAAGCAATTGCAGCAGGATCATTAATATGAGCATCACCACCATCTCTCCAATGGTATTCACCAGTTTCAGGTAACCCAATTGGTTTAATAGTTTCTCTTGAGGGATAACCTCTTTCATGTAACGTAAAAGCATCTTGTGCAATATATTCAAAAGTAACACCTTTTATTCTAGATGCCGTACCAGCAAAACATCTATCAATAACAGAATTATCAATACCTAAAGCTTCAAAAATTTGTGCACCTTTATAAGAAGCTAATGTTGAAATACCCATTTTTGACATAACTTTTAATATACCTGCATCAATGGCGTTTTTATAATTATTGATAATTTTTTCTTCAGTTAATGATTCATCTTTTAATAAACCTTGATGTTTCATTCTAATTAAAGTATCAATAGCTAAATATGGATTAATACCATCTGCACCATAACCAACTAAACAACAAGCATGATGAACTTCTTTAGCTTCTTGAGTTTCAACAATTAATGCAACTTTAGAACGTTGTTTTTGTCTAACTAAATGATGATGAACAGCACCAATTGCAATCAATGCAGAAATTGGTAATCTATCAGCACAAGTATTTCTATCACTTAAAATTATAATTTTTGAATCATTTGCAATTGCTTTTGAAGCTTCTTGACAAATTTTATCAATAGTATTAATATAACCCTGTATACCATCAATTTTATTAAATGTAATATCAATATTTTCAACTGACCATTTTGGATAGACTTTTTCAATATTTTTAATAGCTAATAATTCTGAATTTGTTAAAATTGGAGATTTTAATAATAATCTATTTAATTGATCAGGTTTCATTTCTAATAAATTGCCTTGAGGACCGATATAACATTCTAAAGACATGACAATTTTTTCTCTAATTGGATCAATTGGTGGATTAGTAACTTGAGCAAATAATTGTTTAAAATATTCATATAATAATTTTGGTTGTTCTGAAATACAAGCTAAAGCATTATCATTACCCATTGAACCTAAAGCTTCATTACCTTCAGCCATTGGACCTAAAACAAATAAAACTTGTTCATGTGAATAACCAGAAGCTATTAATTTTGGATCAGATTGAATTGAAATTTCTTTATCAACAACTTTTTCAACATGATTTAATTCAATTTGTCTTTGTTGTAATTTTTCAATCAAATCATTAAGACTAATCATATTAGCTAAAACCCAAGCTTTAAAATCAAATCTTGATGCAACTTTATTTTTCAATTCTTTATCATCAACAATTCTACCTTCTTTAGTATCAACTAATAACATTCTACCAGGTTGTAATCTACCTTTTTGTAAAACTTTTTCAGGTTCAATTTCGATAACACCAACTTCTGATGCACATATAATTCTATCATCATTTGTAACATAATATCTACAAGGTCTTAAACCATTTCTATCTAAATTAGCACCACAATATCTATCATCAGCAAATGTAAATAAAGCAGGACCATCCCAAGGTTCCATTAAACAAGCAGCCCATTCATAAAATGCCTTTTTTTTAGGATCAATTTGATCATCATTTTGCCATGCTTCAGGAATCATCATCATAACAGCTTCAGGTAATGAAACAACACCATTTGTAACTAATAATTCTAAAACATTATCAAAAGCAGCAGAATCACTACCACCTTCTTCTATAATTGGAAATAATTTATCCATTTCATCACCAAATAATTTTGATTTCATAACACCTTCTTTTGCTCTCATCCAATTTTTATTACCTCTTAAAGTATTAATTTCACCATTATGAGCAGCTAATCTTAAAGGTTGAGCTCTATCCCAAGATGGAAATGTATTTGTTGAAAATCTCGAATGAACTAAAGCAAAATGGGATTGATAATCAGCATTAACTAAATCATGATAATAAGCATAAACTTGATTTGGAGCCAATTGACCTTTATAAACAATAGTTTTATTACTTAAAGAACAAATATAAAACCAATTATGTAAACCAATAGTATGAGAAGATTGTTTTCTTAATATAAATAATTTTTTAGTGAAATCTTTTTCATAAGTATTTATAAAATCTTCATCAGAAATTTCTTTGTCTTGTAAATTTTTTAATATAATTAAAGGTTGTAAAATTAAAGGTTCTCTTGACAAAGCCGCAGGACCTAAAATAGAAGAATCATGAGGAACTTTTCTCCAACCTAAAACTTTTAAATCTAATGAATCAGCAATATTTTCAAAAGTCTTTTTTGATTTTTCAAAAACAGTTTCGTCTTTTTTAAAGAAAATATTACCTGTACCATATTGTAATTTTAAAGGTATATCAATGTTAAATAAATATTTAAATTCTCTCTTCAAAAATTCATGAGGAATTGATGATAATAAACCAGCACCATCACCATCTTTTGGATTTAATTCACCACCTCTATGAGTCATGTTACATAACAAATTTTTAGCATCTGATACAATTTTATGAGAAGGTAAACCTTTTAAATGACAAGTGAAACCAACACCACAAGCATCTTTTTCTAACTCAGGATTATATAACCCTTTTTGAATTGGTAAAGTAGAGGCCCAAGATTTATTTTCAGGAACTTCATCATAATTATAAATTTGTTGAGATTGTAAATCTTTATCTTGAATATATGATGAAGATGAGATTGTACTCATTTAATTATTTAAGTTACAAGATGTTTCAGTATAATCCAAATGAACAAATAAATAAATAAACAAATAAACTAATAAATAAATAAATAAATAAATGCTCAAATAAATAAATACCTAAATAAATAAATAAGCAGCAATTGTAAAACTTTTCTTTATTAATAAATGATAAATATTGTTAAATATTGTTTTTACCCTGGCAATAAGATCAACTTGATAACCAGCTTAATGAATAATATCAATAATATCAATAATATGAATAATATCAATAATATCAATAATAGTTTTCAAAAAGAAAAAAAACTTCCAATTCAATAAAAACAACAAAAGTATAAGAATGGAAATTTTGCAAAAGAATCAAATGAAGTTTGTTTCAAATTACAAAATTTATTATATAAAAATTATATATATGATTTTTCTATTTCAATTTTGTGTAATATTTTTTCGACTGGTGCGACTCAATTTTAATTTTATTTTTTTTTATTTTTTTTATAATCTAAAACCAATCAAATTTGATTTTATAATAAGCTTAACATTTTTCTTATTATTATAGTTTCATTTTTTATTATGTCATAAACCAGTTAATGATAGAAAAAGAGTATTAGAATAAAGACAATTGTCAATTTGTCAATTTGTCAATATGTCAGTCAATTTGTCAATATAAGTCAATTTGTCAATATAAGTCAATTTGTCAATATAAGTCAATTTGTCAATATAAGTCAATTTGTCAATATAAGTCAATTTGTCAATTGTATTTGTAGGTGTCGTAATTAGAATGAATGATCAGTTTATACATTTAAATTATCCACCGCATTTTATTTTTAACCAATCATATTCAAGAATTTACTAAGATTAGCGTATTTTTTATAGTAACTGATAAGGTTTTATTTTTTTAAAGAAAGCGAAAAAGAAAAAAAGTAAAAGTTTTCCTCTTAACCATTTATCCAAATTTTTATCCAAATTTTAACCAAATATCCATATATTCTCATAAATACTCAAAAAATTAACTTGACTCTATAAATTTCGTATTCAAAATCAAACAATTAAATCGATTATAAGATCTATGTGGGGTTTTTAATCTTTACCCTTATATCCTAAATAATATTTCAAAATATTAAATTGTAAACTTCTTCTTTGTCCATGTGATTACAATCAAACCGTTTTTGGAAACTTTATGCATAATCTTGAATCTATTATTACCGGCCCGTGGAATATCAAGTCACGTGACAACAATTAATTCTAGGATGTCTTAAAACGGAAACATCCGTAGCTTAAAAGTCGTTCAATGGCTAAATTTAATATATTAAGACTCTCAAGTGTTTTTTTTTGTTTAAACTTCTTCATCATCACTTAGATGGATTATAATTAATAATAATAATAATAAAATGTCTGAAGCTGAATTACAACAAGTTAAATTTCCACCAGAAATATTAGATAGAATAGCTCCAGATATATCATTAAAAAGACATTTCGCAATTGGAGTAAGACCAAATTTAAGAAATTTTACTGAATTTAAACCAATTGAAATTGCAAATAGTCTGCAATTACAAGAGTCAAATAATAACGTTATAAGTTCAAGTATAATAAAAAGTGGATCTACAACAATTATAAATACTATAACATTAGGTATAATAGAGAATATAAATCCAAATGAAGAGAAAAAAAAAAAATTTACAACAATTTATCCTAATGTTGAAATTTTAAGAGGTAGATCTGGAGCTCCAACTGATGAAGAAATGATATTATCTCAAAATTTATATGAAACTATATATAAATCAAAAATTATACCACTGGAAAGTTTAAAAATTAATAATTTAGGTATATCTATAAACAATGAAGAAGAAGAAGAAAAAGAAAAAGATGCGAAACAAGAAATTTTATATCCTGATTTAAATTCAAACGAATGGCAATATATAAATTTATCAAATCAATATAATAAATCTTATTCATTTATATTATTAAGTTCTATTAAAGTTTATTCAAAATCTCAATCTACCAATTCATTATTTGATTTATGTTATTTATCAATTATAAATTGTTTAAAAAATTTAAAATTACCAAGATGTTATATAAATGAATCTAATTTATTAAGTACAAAGATATCAATAAGATCAAGAAAATCAAATGTAAGAGGTTTAATAAATACAAATAATAATAAATTAAATTTAAATTTAGATTTAAATAGAACAGAAAAAATCAAATTAAATTTAACTGATGGTTTAATACTGAGTAATTATGGTGTTGTAGATATAATTAAAAAGGAAAAGGAAAGCGAAAGCGAAAACGAAAACGAAAACGAAAACGAAAACGAAAAGAATAATGAAAAAAATAAACTAATTGAAACTATACTATTATGTGATTTAGAAGGAGAAGCTGAAGAAACAAGTATATTATCAAGATTAACGGTAATTACAAATAAAAAAGGTACAATGAATAAAATAAGTTTAATCAATGGAGATTTAAATAGTGAAATTACATTTGATATTCTCAAGAAAGCTATAGAAATTAGTCAAAAAAGAAGTTTACAACAAGGTGTTTAGTTTATGTTTAGCTTAAGTTTAGCTTATGTTTAGCTTATGTTTAGCCTATGTTTAGCTTATGTTTAGCCTATGTTCAGCTTATGTTTAGCTTATGTTCAGCTTATGTTTAGCTTATGTTTAGCTTATGTTTATGTTTATGATGTTAAATAATGTGGATAATAATAATACTAATAATACTAATAGTAATAGTAATAATAATAGTAATAGTAATAGTAATATTAATAATAGTAATAATATACAAGCGTGTGACGATAACAACAATACACGACAATTTTACATTATTAATTAAAGTTTTGATTTGCCACTTTCATAAAAAAACTCTATTAATAAGTATATTTCCAACTTAATTAAACTTAAAAACGCGTTCATATATAATTTTAATATGTCGTAGTTTATAGTTATTTGATTGTTTCATGTTTCATAATATAATCGTCAATTTTATTATACTGAAACATTTGAAACACAAAATGAAACAAACAGAGAAAAAAGATTTTTTTTTTTTTTTGAATCAAAATCAAATTTATTATTATAAACTTAGGCAACCATTTTACTTTGAATAATATCATATTAATTACCAGTTTATTTATACATTATCATTGTAAGACTAAGAGTATAATTATCATATAAATTAATTTTTAATTTATTCATATATTTATTTATTTATTTATTTATTATCGTATATCATATTATGTCACAGAAATCATCAGATGTTCAATTGCAACCAATTTTAAATAATGATGATAATCAATTAAATAATAATAACCAAGATATTATTATAGATACTTTAATTGAAAAAAGACAACTAATTAAACAATTGTTACGTGAAGATCAAGGTAAACAAGGTGATGATTGGTTTATTATCCCACAAAAATTTATGTCACAATTTTTAAATTTTCCCGTCAATAATTTTCAAGATTTATATGATAAAATTTCACCAATTGATTTTAATACAATATGTGATTTAAATGGTAATTTAACAGAAAATGACGACGATATTTGTAAAATACCCCCTAAAGTTTATGAAAATTTATTTGAATGGTTTGGTGCTTTAGGTTCGCCAATTATAAGATCTTTAAATTTAAATGAAACAACTGGAATATTAGAAATTGATAGAATTCCAATACATTTTTCAATTCATCAATTAGGTAAAAATAAAACTCAAAGTTATTTTAGAAGTTCTCGTCAATATAATAATAATCATCATCAAGATTCTTCAGTACCTATTACTATATCAGAAACTAAAACTTTTTTAGATTTATTTGAATTAATTAAAAAAATTATATTTAAATCAGATAAAAAAACTGTTTCTGACTTCAGAATTTGGGTAATTAATACTTCAAATTATGAAAAATCATTACCTTATACAATTCCATTATCAACTTTTTTATTTGATACTCAAAATAAACAATTAATAACTTTAAATCATTTTTCTGGTGGTTTGAAAAAACTTGGTTTTGATAATGGTAAATTTTTTACATTAATGATTGAAATAAAAGATCGTGATTCAACATATCCTATAAATAATTATATCTACAATCAATTAAATAATAGTAATAACAATAACAATAATAATAATAATAATAATAATAATAATAATAATAATAATAATAATAATAATAATAATAATAATAATAATAATAATAATAATAATAATAATAATAATAATAATAAGAATAATAATAATAATAATAATAATAATGGTCGTGTTTTTCAAATAGGTGATCAAGGTGGTGGTAATCTTGGTTTATCAAATTTGGGAAATACATGTTACATGAATTCTGCCTTGCAATGTTTATTACATGTTCCTGAAATCAATTATTATTTTTTTTATAATCTTTATTTAAAAGAGTTAAATATTTCAAATCCTTTAGGTTATCATGGTGAAGTTGCAAAATCTTTTGGAAATTTATTAAAACAAGCATTTGATACATCTAATTCAAAACAAATTACTTCAAGTTTTTCTCCAAGAGATTTCAAATCTACAATTGGTAGATTTTCATCAATGTTTTCTGGTTATTTACAACAAGATTCTCAAGAATTATTAAGTTGGTTATTAGATGCATTACATGAAGATTTAAATAGAATAATTGATAAACCATATTGTGAAAAACCAGAATTAAAAGATGAAGAAATTAATGATCCAATGGCAATTGTAAATTTAGCAAATAAATGTTGGCAACAACATAAAGCAAGAAATGATTCAATTATAATTGATTTATTTACTGGTTTATATCAATCAATTTTAATTTGTCCCGATTGTAATAAAACTTCAATTACATTTGATCCATTTAATGATTTAACATTACCATTACCAATTAATAAAAAATGGTATCATACATTTACAATTGTTGATTTATCTAATAACCAAATAATACCTAAAAAAATGATGAAATTAGAAGTTGAATTAAAAAAAACTTCAAATTATGATGAATTAATTAATTATTTATCAAATTTTTTAAAAATTGATTCTAAATTTTTATTCATTTATGAAATTTTTCAAAATTCAATTTATTCAGATTTTCAAATAGATTATAATAAGAATAAATTTTTACCAATCGGTGATTTAATTAGAGATGGCGATGATATTTATGTATATATTTTACCACCATATGATGAAAATGAAGATTTAATTATACCTGTTTTTAATTCAACTGAAGATCAAGATGCTTCTTATAAAATGATGAATGTTTTTGGTATACCATTATTTATTACTTTAAATAAACAAGAAATTAATAGTTTTGGTAAAATTAGAAGAAAATTATTACAAGTTTGTTCAGCAATGTCAAATTTAAATCTTGTTGAAGAATATGAAAAAATTAAACAAATGGATGAAAATTATGTTGAAAAGGAAATTTATACAAAGAAAGATTTCCCATTGATTAATAATGATGATTCAGATGATGGTTATGATTCTGATATTTCATTAGCTAGTCCTTATTTAAGTGAAGATTTTGGATTTAAAATATTATCAAATGATTCAAATAATATACTATCCAGACATTCTAAAATCAGTGTTCCAAGATTTAAACCAACAGTATCACAATATAAACCATTAGCTGATAAATTAAGTGATATAAAAAGACATTATTACCATTATCCAAGTATAAAAGAAAAAGAAAAAGAAAAGGAAAAAGAAAAGGAAAAGGAAAAGGAAAAGGAATGTGAAAAAGTAGATGATACTGAAGGTTATATATTAATTGATAGAGATGTTGATACGAAATCAAGCTCATCGGAATCAGCAGTTAAATTACCTCCTCAACAATCATTAATTACATCATCTGATGAAGAAAGTGAACCTGGTTTAGGTAGTTTATTTGATTCAACAACAAATTTAATTGTTCCACCAACTTCAAATTATTCAGAATCTACAAAACCATCAAACATGAACTCACCAATTGCAATTGATCCTTCAATTACATCAACTACAACAACAAGAGATTTAATTTTATCATCTACAACCTTAGTTTGTGATTGGACATTTGATATTTATAAAAAAGTATTTGAAGAATTTTCAGCATTCACAAATATGGAAAATATTGATAATCCAGAATTACAAGCAAATAAATTAAAATTCGAAAGATTGAAAAAATCAAAAATTTCATTATATGATTGTTTAAATTCTTTTAGTCAACCTGAAGTATTAGGTGAACATGATTTATGGTATTGTCCAAAATGTAAAGATCATAAAAGAGCAACTAAAACAATTCAATTATGGTCAACAGGAGATATTTTAACTATTCATTTGAAAAGATTCCATTCTGCAAGAGCTTTTAGTGATAAAATTGATATTATTGTTGATTTCCCAATTGAAAATTTAGATATTTCAAAATATATTAAAGATCCAAATGAAGAAAATTCAATTTATGATTTAATTGCTGTTGATAATCATTATGGTGGATTAGGTGGTGGTCATTATACTGCATCAGTTTATAATTTTAGAGATTCAAAATGGTATTATTTTAATGATTCAAGAGTTACGGAAATTAAAGATACAAATGAATTAATTTCATCAGCTGCTTATTTATTATTTTATAGAAAAAGAACTAGTGATAATTTAGTAGGTAATGATGATTTAAAAAATTTAATTTCACAAGGTAGATTAAATTATCAAAATTTAATAAATGAAAAAAATGAAATATTATCAGATTTAAAGGAGCAAATTTTAGAATTCGAACAACAAGAAGAAAAATTAAATAAACCAAATATTGCTGAACCAACACCAAAATTTAATTTTAATAATGAGGATGATGAAATTAATTATGATTCAGATAGTCAATTAGAAGATTGTGCAATTAGAAAACAAAGATTAATTTCAAGAGATCAAAATTCAAATACATTTGTTCAAATTAGAAGTAATGGTGATGAAGAATATACTTCTTCCCCTGTACCTAATGATGATGAAGAAGAAGATGAAGAAGAAGAAGAAGAAGATGATGATGTTAAATTGATCTAGGAAAATAGCTAAGTAATGAGGTTATGAATTATATAAATATCAATAAACGTATCTAATAATAAAGTAAAAGTCATTATTAAACTCTCGGTATCCACTCTAGATAAGCTGCTCTATAGATATTTCAATCGGTTGCAAAATTGTAAAATGTGTTTGAGAAATTGCTTACATAATAATTTACGTTAAACAAAATTAAAAATAATTATTATTAGCCAAACCCCCAAGTAACAGACAACAAGTAAGATAAATATACTAATTAAATTGCATTGATTGAGTATCAGTCATGGATGAATCTACAGTTGAAAAACATATTACAGATCAATTGTATGACATATTATACCCACAATATATAATTGATAAGAAATTATTATATAATTGGCAAGGCGAAATACAAGATAAATTTAATGATTTTAATGAATTTGTCAATTATTTAACAAGTGAGATAATTATAAACTACAATAATTCAAAAATAGATACAAAGAAGTTACTCGACATAATTAAATCTAAAGAAATTGATAATCAAAAGTTTAAAATTATAATATATGAAATAGTTATAAATGTGATAGATTCAAATATTCCATTAAAGTTAGGTCTAGTCGATTTGGATATATTGGATTATTTAGTTGATGAGTTTTTAAATCATTTACTTTCAATTAATCAAGAATCAATTATAGATAATTTGCATGAACCTATAAATTTGTTAAATCAGTACTTCAGATTAATTTTATCATTTAGTGAATTAGGTTGTAAAAATAAAATATTTAGAAAATTATTCATACCTTTACTCAATAGAAACGCAAATGTTATCAATTTAGTCATATTACAACTTTTAAATGAAATGTTTCAAAGATTGAATTTTCCATTCATTTTATTTTCCAAACAATTTAATTTCCCATTCCAAAATGATTTAAAAAATACATTTACAATATACTCATGGTTTAAAATAAATTTGAAAAAGATTGAAGAAGAAGAAGAGGAAGAAATTACATTATTCACCATATCTTGTTCATTTCCTGATTCAGATACAACTCTACGAGTAAAATTAATTAATGGACAAAAATTTATGATTGAAATCAAAAATAATGTTAATGGTTCACGTATACAATTTACATTCAATCAAACACTATCATTAGATAGTAATTCAAATCAAGGTTTTACACAATTTGCATTAACTTATGATAATTTTACAAATTTAAATTTATTTGTAAATGGAGAATATTCTGAATCAATACCGTGCCCTGATCTACATAAATTTTTCAAAAAATGGAATAAAATTTCAATAAATGATGAAAAAATAAGTAATGAATTAACTATTAGGAATTTAACATTATTAAATATCAATTTAAATTTTGAATGGATTAATTTATTATATAATTTAGGTATTGTTTATGATTGGGATTTTAAAGAGTTTAATCATGATACTTTAAAACATTTATTAAATCAAATGAATTATCAAAATTTATTCACTACATCTTCAAAAATTAATGACTATGAGATCCAAAAAGATCTGAAGAATCAAAAACGAACAAATAGAAAGGATAAAAATTCACAAATTGAATTAATGAATAAAAATTATATAATTAAATCATTACAACAAATTAAGAATGAAAATATATTATTTGATTCAAATGAATATTTTCAGCATTTAACATTACAAAATCAAAAATCAACAACTTCGTTAAAATTTCACAATCCGAATAACTTATACCTGATTTTTAATTTAATTGGTGGATCTGCAATCTTACTAAAGATTTTAGAGATTTCATTAAGTACAAGGGATTCAAAATTGAGAGATTTGATATTTTGCAAATCATTAAATTTGTTACTTACTATATTATCTAATGATTGGAGATCAAATAAAGAATTTGAAAATTTTAATGGGTACGGTATACTATCTTTATTACTCCAAAAATATAAAATATTAAATCCGACATTAAAATTTGATGTACTTGATATTGAAGAAGATAATGATTTACTACATATGTTGTTAAAATTTACTGGTCACAATTATGCAAATCTTTACGAATCAGCTATAACTAATTCATTATGTTATAAATTAATTATATTAAATTTTGATTTATTTTACAAAAGTAAATCCTTTGAATACTTACTTTTTCAAATCCAATTGTTATTAACAAGTTCAAAGTATAAAAATTACAATTATTTAGAGCTAAAACATATGAGATTACTTAAAAAATTGATACACTTTCTCAAAAGTAATAAAGATAATTTGTCAAAATCAACTAAATTTCAATTATCACAAACTTTAGCAAGTATACTCAAGTTAGATACTTCAGTTGAAGCCATCACTACAACTGCTTCATATGTAATTTATGCTTTATACAACCCAGAAAGTTCTACCGAATGTGGAGTAATTGCATTACAAGTATTAACTGATTGTTTATGTGATCCAAATACACCAATTAAAACATTGAAGAAATTTTCAAGATCTGTTACAGTGCATTGGATTCTATTATTATTTAAATTTGATCATGATCAAACGGTAGTTGGATGTGGGATTAAATTATTGACAAGATTGTTGAAAATCTTAGGAAGTCATATCATTCGAAAGTTTTTTCAAATTAATCATGGTTTAGATATTTTGACCCTGTTTTTAAAAGATTGGTGGAATAATGATGAGATTTTATGTCTAATCTTTTTAGCATCCTTTGGAATAGATGTGAGATTTCCTGATAGTAAAAATTTGGTGGAAGTAGTTAATTCATTAGATCAATCAAGTCAATTAATTTTACCTGAATTTATTTTATTGTTAAACAACCTAGTATTAAATTCATTAAATACATTGAGTTTAGAATCTGGAAATTCATTAGGTAGTAGTCCGTCTACTCCAAACAGAGATAATAAAGAAAATGTTACATTAACGTTAGATGTCCTTCATTTAATATATCAACACACTGAATCTTTAAAAGTAGGATACGAAAGAATCACATCTTTACATAAATTATATCAAACAAAACCTTTTCTTGAAAGTTTAGTTGAGATTCTCGGATATTTGAAAATTTCATTAACATGGAGTAATAATCCTGAAGTTCAAAAGGAGTTAAAATTGAGTTTTGAAAATTTATCAAATGTAATTGCTGGATTTTATATTTCAAATTTATCAGATGATCATTTTTTAAATGCATTTCATGGATTGAGTGACTTTACAAAATTGACATTATTAGACTTGATATTTCCAAAAGTCATAGATCATATAAATCAATTTATAAATGTTACAAATTTTGTATTTAATGAAAAACAAATTGTGAATAATACAATTCAAATTTTAAATTATTATAATAATGATTTAATTCAAAAAAATTATTGGATTACTCATGATAATTTAGATATATTTATCTTGTGCTCAATTACTTTGATTGAAATCGGTGTTGGAAACACAACAAGTTTGAAAAGGAATTTAGGTAATATTATTGTAGCTAAATTTTTAAAATTATCTTGTGATTATGAGTTTATGCTCAATGAAACAACTAAGAATTTAAATAATATATTAAAAGAGTTGTTATATCGTCAAGTTACAGTTTTCAATAGAGAAATTTTGAATAATAAACAAATTTCAGATATAATTAAAGTTTTACTTGGAATATTTTTTATTAAAGATGATTCACCAAATACAGAAATGCCATTCAACTTTTTGAGAACTTGCTATTTAATTAGAGATCAAGATTTTAACGAGATTATACAATTTTTAAATGTTGATAATAATTTAATAATAGAATTTTTTAACAATTTAGTATCTAAAAATGATAGTGAGACATTATCAAGATTAAATAAATACCCACCATTTGTTAAAGATATCCTTAAAGAATTCAACAAAACAAGAGAATTGTTTTCAAATACTGAACCTTCGAGAATCTCAAGTATGATTAGCATAACGTTAAAGAATGGAGGTAAATTAAGTCAATTAAATAACATCTACATTAAAAGTTTTGAAAAAGACTGTGAATCAATTAAGATCTCGACTATGAATAATGAATTAACAAAATATAATAGGTTAGTTCAAGATAATGAAGAAAGTATTAAATATTGTATTTCAAATTATCATAGTTTAAAATTTGAAATTACAAGGTTATTTGATAATAATTATCATCCAAGTTATATGTTAGATTATATTGAAAACTCGGATCGTATGAGAAAAAGATTAATTATTGAAGATCAATTACCAGAATCTGAAAAATTAACATATAATATTGAAATTCCATTACAAAAAATTGATACATTAAGTGAATCAGATTATGAATATATCAATGGTGTCGATACTTTAAGTTTGACTAATGATACAGGAGATGATGATTATGAATTCATTAAAAGAAATGATGATGATTTACCTGATTTGGAAGATATTAACAATTTTGAAGATAAAAATAGAAAAGTCAGTAGAAGTTTATTTGTTGGTGATCAAATTGTTGCATTATGGAACATAAGTCAAATTAATGGATTAGTTCCTGTTGAAAGTTTGTTAATCTTGGGTATAAACCATATATATCTAATTGAGAATTACTTTTTATCAAAAGATGGTAATGTTGTTGATGTTGATGATGCACCACCCGAATTAAGAGATCCTGTTTTACAATTGGTAAATTCTCAATCAAGCAATATTCTTAAAAATAATGAAAAATCTCATCGAAATAAAAATTGGAGCTTGGAAAATTTGAGTTGTATTTCAAAAAGACAATTTTTATTACGTGATAATGCATTAGAAATGTTTTTCAAAGATGGTGCAAGTATTTTAATTACTTGTATGTCACAAAAGGAAAGAGATTTAATTTATTCCAAATTATATTCATTTGCTACTGGTAAAGGAATTGATTATGATTTATCACAAGCATTACAAGGTAATATGGAAAGCTTTTCTTCGAAATTAGCTTCGGCTTTTACACAACCTTCAAGTTTATTAAATGCTACAAAAAGATGGAAAATGGGAGAAATGTCAAATTTTTATTATTTAATGATTATTAATACATTAGCAGGTAGAACATTTAATGATTTAACTCAATATCCTGTATTTCCATGGGTTATAGCTGATTATACTAGTGAAACGTTAGATTTATCAAATCCGAAAACATTTAGAGATTTATCCAAACCAATGGGTGGTCAAACTCCAAATAGAGCAAATCAATTTCATGAAAGATTTGAAGCATTAAATTCATTAGATGATGATAATTCTCCAGCTTTTCATTATGGTACTCATTATTCATCTGCCATGATTGTTACTTCATTTTTAATTAGATTAAAACCTTATGTTCAATCTTATTTATTATTACAAGGAGGTAAGTTTGATCATGCTGATAGATTATTTAATCTGATTGAAAAAGCATGGTTTTCAGCTTCAAAAGATAATACAACAGATGTAAGAGAATTAACTCCTGAATTTTATTATCTACCTGAATTTTTAATTAATTCAAACAATTTTGAATTTGGAAAACTACAAAATGGAATCTCATCAAATAATGTTGAATTACCACCATGGGCTAAAAATGATCCAAAGATTTTCATTGACAAGAATAGAGAAGCATTAGAAAGTCCTTACGTATCTGCTAATTTACATTTATGGATTGATTTAATATTTGGTTTTAAACAGGATGGAATTGAAGCAATAAATTCATTAAATGTATTTCATCATTTACTGTATAATGGTGCAATTAATTTAGATAATATTAATGACGAGATGGAAAAACGTGCAGTTATAGGAATGATTAATAATTTTGGTCAAACACCAAAGAAATTATTTAATAAACCACACGTTATGAGAGATGTTTTAAATTTACCAAATTATTATTTGACAAAATTATCCAATAAATCACAACCGTTAAAATTAGTATTTGAATCAAAGATTAAACAACCGATTGTAAAATTAGAAATCAGCGCTAGGAATAATAATAGATGGGTTGGTCGACAAGCTTGCATATCATGTGAAGATGAGTTATTAATTAGAAAGTACAAGACTTCAAATAGATTTTTGAGTGGTTCTATAGTTATCAACGATGTCATTTTCTTAAATATTCATTCTTGTGATATAACTACTTTAGTTCAAATTGGTCATAAAACATTGGTTTCAGGATCAGATAACGGAATGATTTACGTTTGGAAATGTGAGATAAAACCAAAAATCTCACTACATTATCAAGCAGTACTAAGAGGACATTTATGTGGAATTTCAAAATTCGTATATAGCAAAAGCTTCAAAAGTGGTGTTAGTTTAGATTATGATGGAATTGTAATTATTTGGGATTTAACTAGATACAAATTTATTAAGAAGATCATACCAACTGAAAGACCAAAAGAATCCTTAATTGCAATTTCAAATGATTCAGGAAATATTGCAATTTTACATACTTATGAAACTACAATACAATTACAAATATTTACAATCAACGGTGAGATAATTATTGAAAAATCAATGGATGTATCTCCTAGTGTAATTGGATTTGGATCTTCAAATTTATTAATTGTGGAGAATAACAAATCACCAACCTTAAACAATCACATATTTTGGAGTAATGAAATTTTTGCAATAGCTAAGAACAAGACTTTAGAGTTGTGGGAATTGACAGCTGATTCAGAAAAAGGTTGGATTTTAAAAGAATTAGAAAGTATCGTTTTATCAAATGAATTATCTGGTGATATTACTTCTTTTGAGATTTTTAAAACTTCAGAGATTGATGGTGAAGATAATTTAACTAGAGGTGTTTTGAAACTTGTAATCGGTGACTCAAAAGGTAAAGTGTATACTCTATAAATAATATTAATGAAGTTATGACTAATTATTATTTTATAAATTGCGCTAATCATATCTGTTTTTCAATTTGCGCTTACGCTTTTTTTCAGATTTCGATATGACTTCGACGGATCGATTGAGCTAGAACCATTACCAGTGAGATTACGTGGTCAACTAGATAACGAAGATGCAAAAAGACCAGTCAACAAAAGAACCATAAACTTAAGTAGATTCCAATTAGTTGGTAAAAGACTAAGTGCAAAAAAAAATTTAACTATTTATTGAAAATAGATCTTTAAATTGCGCGTTTGAAATTGCGCTAAAATATTTTTTTTTTGGTCGTAGGGTCTCAGATTCCTATCTGAAATTTCCAATTTTTTCATGGCGTGGCTATGACATCTACAGGTAATGAGACAATACAATTGAAGCCAATATCAGCCAGGGTACGTGGTGAGATAGAAGAAGAAGGAAAGAACCGACCAGATCTAGAACATACAGTAAAATTTACACAACCGAATGAAGAAATTGAAGTCGTAAATTCACCAACAGAAGCAGAAACATATCCAGAAGGTGGCTGGAAAGCTTATAGTGTTGTATTTGGCTCATTTTTGGGGTTGGTTGCTGCTTTTGGAACTTTAAATTCAATTGGAGCTATACAAGCATATATATCAACTCATCAATTGAAAAATATTCAAACTTCAACCTTATCCTGGATCTTTTCAATTTATATGGCGTTATCATTTGCAAATTGTGTATTTGTTGGACCTTTATTTGATGTTCGTGGTGCTATGTTACCAATGACTATAGGTACTATATTTATGGTTGGTGGATTTTTCGCCGTTGCCAATTGTTCAAGAGTTTACCAATTTATATTGGCATTGAGTTTATGTGTAAGTACAGGTAATGCTTTAGTTATAGCTCCATTGATCGGAGTTTTAAGTCATTGGTTTAATATTAATCGAGGAAGAGCAATTGGATTGGCAACTACGGGTGGTTCAATAGGTGGTATTGTTGTGCCTATAATGTTAAAGTCATTGTTTACAAAGTTTGGATATACGTGGACAATTAGAATATTGGCATTCTTTTGCCTTGGTTGTATGATAGTATCAATCAACTTATGTAAATCAAGATTCAATAGAAAAATCACAAAGTATAGTAGGAGTAAAGGTAAATTTGAGCAAAGTTTATCGTATCTTAAAGAATTATTTGATTTAAAATCATTAAAAGACTTGAAATATGTATTTTGTATAGTTGGAACTTTTGCAACAGAATTGTCTTTATTGTCAGTGTTGACATATTATTCTACTTATGCTATTGCACAAGGTATGTCAGAATCTCAATCATTTGATTTGTTAACGATTTTCAATGCTGCTGGAGTTTTGGGACGAATGGTACCTGGGTTCTTAGCAGATAAAGTAGGAAATTTCAATATTATGGTCCTTATGTTAATTGGATATTCATTATCCATATTATTATTATGGGTTCCATTTGGTTACAGCTTTGGTGTGCTATATGCATTTGCTGTAATCTGTGGTTTTTTCAGTAGTTCAATATTAAGTTTGACACCTGTTTGTTTGAGTTCAATTACACCAGTTGACCAATTTGGTCAAAGATATGGTTTATTATATTTCTTCGTTAGTACAGGTAACTTATTCGGTATTCCAGTAAGTGCTGCAATAATTGGAAATGGATCGAAGAGAAATTATCAAATGTTTGCCGTATTTTGTTGTGTATTTGCATTTGTCGGCACTTTCTTTTGGTACATGAGTAGATTTAAATCGGTAGGTACAAAATTTAATATTAAAATATAAAGAATATACGATTTTTACGACCTTCTTTTTTTAAGTTTATTTTGTGGATTTCTAATTGGTATTGATTCAGCATCTGGTTGTACAACTTTTTCACCTAATCTACTGTGAGCTTCTTGGACTTGTATTTCTTTCAATTGTTCAGCAAATTCGGGATTGACCCATTGTAAAATATATGGTGTAATCATAATACCTAAGCAAACAGTGAAGATCATTGTATAGACTCTATTTCTGAATATAAATCCAAACGGACTATTTAATAACATATCATAGACTGAATTTGATGATTTTTCATAAAATTGTTTAAAATCAGTGAATTGAAAAAGTAATGGACTATTGATTATACTTTGAATTGAAGTTTCATTTGTTATACCAAATTCATGTTTAAATGCTACTATTGATTCATCATCTGTAATATTAATCTTGTATTGATATGGCTCGATAACGAAATCATATGAATTTATTATTAGTTCGTATTCACCTGGTAATAAATCGTTAAATTTGAATTTATAATTTCGGTCTAATGTAGCTGATTTCGAACTGAAATCAATCTTATTAAACTTGTCATTCAATTTATATAAATCTAATTTTATTCTTGATTGATAATTATTACCATTGGGAATGGATTTAGATTTATGATGATACAATTCATTAATTGATGATGGAACATTAACAATTTCACCAGTAAATCCTATAGCAGCACATACTGCAATGTAATATAGAATGGAAAATAACATCGATATTCGTATTGATATATTTTTGAAAAAGCGCTACCAAACAAATAAGTAGTATATTAATCCATCTATAATTTAAACATTCTATACAAAAATTCTTCTTTAGGAGTTTGGTAACCATAAACTTCATCAAATTTCTGTTCAAATAATTTTTCAAACTGATCTTCAGCAATTATTTGTGGTTCATTACCAGATTTAAGCTCTGGAATATGTTGCAATTCCTTTTTGAAATCTTGATTTCTTTTAGTAAGCACTTGTTTAATTATGTCGATAACATCATCTGGTCTTTCACTATTGACTAAATGCTCACCTTCAGGAATATCATAAGTACCCGCTAAATATTTTGGATTAATTGTATTTCTAATCCAAGTGATACTTTCTGGAGGATTCCAGGTTGCTTTTGAACCAATAACATGAAATATTGGTACTTGTGTCTGTGGTAATGATAACATACCTTGTGGTATAGAAATGAAAGCACCATAATAAGCTGCTATTTGTAAATTAATATTATTTTTCAATTTATATTTAGTTTCACCAGTTTCTTTGTCTTTGATTTCATAAATTTCATCTTTAATATAGTCTTCCAAAACTTCTGGATGGAAATTTTTCAGGAAATAAAATTGTTTAAAGAACATATCAACTTCTTCTTTTGAATCAAATGTATCAATCATCATTTTTGAAATTTTACCGAATAATTTCTTAAATTTTTCGAATCCACCTTCGGCTCCAAAATAAACAGCTTCAACAGGAATACAAGCGTCGAATAATGATGGTTCTAAATAACAAGCATGTATTGCAATATAACCACCCATCGAATGTCCAACAATGATATTTCTATTTTCATAATCATTCAAAAAATCTTGACAAGTTTTTTGTTCATGTTTAACAACTTCGATTACATCTTTTGAGCCATCATACCATGTATAAATTGGACCTAATTTACCTTCATTAGCTAAAGCTGAGTCACCATGACCAACAGCATCAATTGCAATAACAGAATCTAAAAACCATGCGACTTGACCAGATTGCGATAATTGATATAACTTTTTAATTAAATAATTCCAAACTGATTTATTAAAACCAGTACCATGAGTGAAGATTAAATTATATCTAATTTGATTTTTTGAACTTGGTAAAGGACTATTTGTTTTATATTTATTATAAACAATTGATAAATTTTTGGTATCTTGTTGCAAAATAGTACTTCCAGTGGCTCTAAATTGATTAGCTTTAGCAGTTTTCTTACTCAATGTAAAAGACATGATAAACAATAATCCAATCTCAAATTAATAAATAATATAAAGATCTGGGCTTGATTTATAATCTCGTTCGGTGGTAAATATCAAAAACTTATCGAAACTTTGTGGTATAAAAATTCGGGGTAACTTTGATGTATACTGCATATAAATGTTTCAGCATTTTTTTTTTTGTCGGCTTCATCTGAAAAATTTCTCTCTTTCTTTTCTTTCTTCTATATTGTACATTTCATGTATGTGTATTATTGTAGGGCGACAATTCTATTTAAACAACGGTTGCTGCTCTCTACAACGCATACTATAGTAATACTAGTTTTTTATTAATGGGTAAAACCATTGAAAGAGAATTAGTCACGGAAAATACGGGCGTGGTTGTCTTTACCATTTTAGAATGGTTTTTTGATTTCAACTGGGCATTCTAGCCTCCAAACATTCAGTATTAAGAAGTAGAACTAGTTTTGAACCTCTCCATACTCAGCTGGCATCATTATTGCACAATAAATGATTTCTCTTGCTAGGAGAGTCCGATGTAAAATATTTTATTCTTTCGTGCCGTTCTACACGATTAGGAGGTAACTTTAGCGCGAAATTAATTGGCGTTCATTTAACTAATTCGTATCGGATAAATATCTCCGAATAATGAAATATATGAACTTTTTGTATGGAAATAACTTCAAACCCGTCATTTTTTAAGACAAAAGAATCCGAACTTATTTGTAGTGTATATATATAATATTTAGAGCAGCTACTTCAAAGCTTTGCTTTAAAATTCGGATTTACTAAACTTTTTTGTACTAAAAAAAATGCTTGAAAACTGAGTTTTTATATACAACTCAAGGCTTTGGCTTATTGAACTGATCTAAATTATTCGTTGAACTGATCTATACTTCGAGAGAGTACGTTGGACATAAGATATAAGCCAATCAATTTAGTACGACCACCCCGGAGCCTGGCGCTCGCAAAATACTCTTGTGGTTCTGATTTTGGGCGAGAATTCACATAGTAAAAAACAACTTATAAGATAAATTTAGCTTGTATGCAGGTATATCGTAGTAATCCCAAAACTTGAATCACAAATAATTCATTCAATATTAAAGTTTCATTTCTCAAACTAAACTCATTATGTTCGTACTTTGATTCAGAATTGATGATACTATTTTCTCATGAAGAAACATAATTTAGATCACTTTATTAATTGTTTAAAAATTGGGAAAAAACACTCAATGGTAAAATAATCAAAAGTTATTTTTTGGATTTTGAATACCTTAACAGAAAAAAATTTGAATCATATCAGAAGAGGGAACTACAAAGCTGATTACTTTTATTGTATTTTAATTTGAATTATGATTGTGGTGTTGGATATTTCGGAAGGTCAATTTATTCGATTTGCACCATAGTTAAAAGAAAATTTTGAAATTTTTTAATGTTAGACTGGACCAGCTGAAATTAAGTCTAATACATTCAGTTGCAGTCGATTATATATAATTCAGTGTTTAACTGAAAGTTGTGGCGTTAAATAAAAACATACAGGCATATTCAATCTTTGGAAATTTTTTGTATGGTGAAAATAGCCCAAAATTCCAGTTGAAAAAAAAATGTTTGAAATTTGAGATTTGAATATATAGAATATATAATTCAAAGCTCCTGATCTTATATATTTGGTATTTGTCTCAACAAAATGTGACGTTCAGAGTATATATATATAACCGATATATGTAGTACGAGGTCGCCCTGAGGTTAGGGCGAAGAATTACTTTGATGCGCCAAATTGTTGCATTGAAATATTGGGACCGATAATTGGTGGCAACTATCACCGATTGTTCAAAAAAGTATTGTGCGATATATCTACACTAATGCTGAATCAAGTTTGATTTAAAACAATTTGTGCTTCTACAATGAAATCATAATTTACTTTACTCCATTACATTTAATTCTTACACGATAATATTTTTTCGACTCGTACAATTTTCGACTATAAATAAAGTAGAAAATCACCTTAAAAAAAATTTTAGAAAATGAATATTATATCACATCTTTATCACATTTTGATCATTTTTGTCTTTAGTATGGTCGCGGTTCGTCAAAGTCCTGGCTGCTTTAGGTGGTTTTCCATTCGATAACAAAGCTGTTTATTATATCGGCGTCAAGTTCAAAAATGCTTGATTATAGATAGTTGTCTTGAACTACAATGCCTAACCAATTTATATGATTATAATTGAATGGCTAGTTACAAATAATATCTCTAAATAGTCCCTACAAATAAGGTTTGTATGTATATTATGATAGGGAATTCTATCATATTTTTTTAAGTTACATTTGTTTTACACTCGAAAGAGTTTAAATGGATTTTGATTAAAAATGACGTGATCAATGAATAGATTATAGATTGTACGATCGTTACCACTTCTATTATACTATATAATTTTATCGTACTCTAATTTTAATGTTTATCTTTATACAATTATACAAAATTTTAAGATCTATCTGGTTTCAAACTTCTTGAACCCCATTTATCGTAACAGTATAAGCCAAATCCAATCAATAATAACCCTACTAATTGTTCAATAGTTATTTTACCTAACCATTTATCATTGTTTTTAGACGTATATCCAATTGTAAATATTATACTAGTTGTAATCAATACTATTCTTTTTAACATTGATGCAATTGAATAACTTAATGCTGGTATTGAACCTAATAAATGGAAAGCTAGTAAAGTTTGAGCAAAATGTGATAAGGAATCTAAAAGTATTAATACCATAATTGTTATAAATTCTTGTGAAGTGTCAATTACTTCCACTTTTAAATCATTATCTATTGGTATTCTAGTAAATTGTAAATACATTTGAGGTAATTCATTAAATACAAATCCACCAATTGAAAGTGTGAAACCAATAACTGAACAATAAAATATTAATGTTAATTTATCAGGTTTTGAAACCTTATCTAAATCAAATTTAGATACGATAAATCCAAAAGGATTATAGATATTCATTTTATTTTGATTAACTGTATTTTGATATGATTCCATAGGTGGTGCTAAAATATGATTTTCTTTCATTTCATCTAATGTTAAATCTGATGTTGAATACGGTAATTTTATTGAATTTGATCTTTGTCGTACAGTTTTTAGTTTAAAATAATCCGGAGATAATTTATCAGAATCAAAAACTTGTTTAGTTGAATAAATATAAGATCCATTATTCATTGGAGTTGAAGGTCTTGTTAAATCTGTATTTAATACCAATGATGCTGGATTTGGTTCGTTTTTAGTTTGATTATCCCAAGTGATTAACTGTTTTCCGTAAATATTTTGAGCTGCAAAAACTATAGTACTTAATAAACATAATATTATACCGTGAATTTGTTTTTCATCTAATTCATTATTTTCATTAGTCAATAAATTAGTATCTGAATTTGGATTCTCAATTGAATCAGATGTTATGATTAAAATTACTCCAATTAATAATGGAGCTAATGATAAATAAGTCACTATAGGAAATATAACTTTGTAAATAATTCTGTACCCTAATACAATTAGTAATGGGCTTAAAGCTTTTACGCTCGAAATAGTTGGTAACGGTATTAATGAAGTAGCAGTTAATGATAAATATTTCCCAACAAATTGAAATAATCCTAATGGAAATATTTTTAAAAACATTGCAAATGATAAAATTGAATTTGCTTCTCTACTAGGCACTGAACCAGGTGGGAAATGATCAACTGCCGTGGGATATTTTTGAATTATTGAAATAAAAGTATACGCCAAAAAAGCACCAATTAAAAATTGACATTGAGATAAAAATAAAGCAAATGGAAATTTTGTTAATATTAATTTAGTTAATTGCGAAGTTATTGATGAAACAATATACCATAATAAACAAGTGACAACAGTTTTAATTGATATGGGTGGAATTATTGAAGATGATGATGACATAAAGATGTGCTTAAAATTATGGTTAATTAAATTTTAATTAGTATGGTTATATCATTAATATATCTAGCAATTGATTAAATCAAAGGATTGTTGTTGTTGTTGGTGTTGTTATAGGTTTATTATATCTCTTTCTCGAAGATGGCTGAATTTTCAATTCTCCTTAATAAAATTATTTTGTGTCGCAGTAAAAAATGTTTACTTGTTAAATTATCAAATAAAAGCTTCTACGGATTTAGTATAACTAATTCGGTAATAAATTCGTATATATCAATTAAGCTCTACTCATTATTTGCTAGTTTCTCTTTATTAAATCCATGTGTCTTCATATGTTGTTTGCTGTAACTATCACTAGGGTTATTCCAACCTTTTAATTGATCAAAATCAGTTTTAACCCAATGTGCAAATGGATAATTTGGTTGAGTTTTTAATGGAGTTTCTTCATTAATTATAGCCAATTCATATTGTCTTTTGATCAATTTATCAAGGTAGTCACTTAAATGATCTCTAATGAACTCGAAATTCTTATATTTAAGAATATCTTGTGGCCCTTCGTAAAGGATTTTTTTTAAAATCGATGGAATCATTGGTTCATCTTTCATTTCTTCAATTGAGTAGAACACAGGATGATTTGTGAAAATAATAGCTTGTGATTTAGGTAACCTCCTTAAAGTTTGTCTTTCAACTCTTACGTTAAAATCTTTTGGATCTGTTGATTCCATTTCAAGTTTCAAATTTGGTTTAAATTTTGCTATTTGATAAATATTATTAACTTTTAAATGTGAATCCCATGTAATATACCAACTTGCTCTTTCAACAGGTTCATTTACATTCATTTTATTAAACCATCTTTCCATTGATTTTTGTAATTTTTCTTTATAATATGGAACATCTTCATGTATTATATCCAAATGTTTACCAATTTTAGAATCTATACCAAAAGATCCACCAGGAAAAGGTACAGCAGCAGCAACTAAATAATGTAATCCATCTTTTGGATTTTTCAAAACAACATAAAAATCTTCTTTTGCCATTTTCGATACATAAATTAATGGATGTTGTTTCAATGGTAATGACATATCTAATATTTCATTTGTAACTTCATTTTTGACAACTTTACCTTTACCATCTTTTAATAAAGTAAATAATAATGGATATCTATTTAACATATGTTGAGTTACAGTTTCCATTAATTCAAAACAAGCATCATAACCTTCAGGTAGCCAATCAAAATTCTGTTTACCATATTTCATTCTAATTCTTTTCTTTTCATTTATATAATGTTGATAATATTTATCCATATCTAGCCAGTGGTTGATATCTAATTTGAAAATTGACATTGTTTGATGATATGGCCATCTAAATGGTCTCCAAGGTCTATCATCATAATTAGCTACTTCTTCAGGTGTAATCATTAATGGAGAAGGTTTAGAAATTGATTCTGATTCATCATTTTCTTTAGTTTTTAAACTGTTTTTAGGTTTTGAAATAAAATTTTGAGGTAAGATAACTGATTTAATTTGTTTATGTGATAATAATAAAGCTCCAATAAATAATACTAAAAAACCAGCTTCAAGCATTTATTGACCTAATGATAAAAAATGAAATGATATTCTATGATATTTATATACTATTTACAAGGATTTGATTAACATTTTTAGTCCATAGATCTCTATCAAAATTTGCAGCCAAAAAAAAAAAAAAAAAAAAAAAAAAATAAATCTTATCAATCTTATCTTTAAGTAATTGTGCATATTTGGCATCTTTTTCGGATTTTTATTCTTAATTGGGTTAAAAAAAACATCGCAATATTATGGGTGCAAAAATTATCAATTACAATTTATCCGGAGTGTAGCCAAACAATTTATTGAAATTCCTCAAATATGCGTCAATGTCTCTTTTACCTTCAACTTGTATAAGAACACTTTTAACCAAATTTTCAGTCCATTCATCTAATCCCTTTTGATTATCAATTAACAATATTGCTAAAAACTGATTGAATATTTGTATTTGAAACTTTAAATCATAATATTCATTAAATGCTTTAGCTTCAATCATTCGTTTATATGTATCAGTAAGTTTTTGATCGCCAAAGAGAGGACGATCAAATCCATTAACTTTATTGATTAATTTAAATAGTTTCTTTTCCTTAGTTAATAAATAAAAAAGTTGTTCATTATGAATATTTGCCATCTTTGAATGTATTAAAATTTGTTTATACACTTGATAATTATAATATTCAAATGCTACTGTTGCTTGTTTTGTTATCATTTCTGGTAACTCTAAACTTGATACTCCTAATTTCTTGTTGAACTTTAATGCAATATAATAACAAACTGTTAATAAGTTTTTATTAGCTGAATCTAAGATTGGAGTAGGTAGTTGTAAAAATGATTTATCAGTTTCTATTGGAGTGGTTTCTAGCTTAATATTGAGATCCGCTAATGATCTATCAAAGCAATCAAAATTAAAACATGCTTGTGGTTTGGTTAATGATGCACTAAACAGTTTTAAATAAGCTTCATCAATTGTTTCGTTAGACATTAATTTTCTACCAGCATCAATTAATTGTTCCTTATGGACTTTTCCTTTAATTTTGTCAGTAAATGATTTATTCATAAGTATAAACTGTCTTAAGTTTAAATCTGAATTTGCTTGTGCATTTTTAAATTTCAAAAATTTTAGAGTTAATTCTTTCAATTGTTCCTCAGGTATTTTTAATTCAACTACTTCTAGACTTGCTCTAGGCGCAACACGAACTATATTTAACGGCTCTTTCATCAATACTGATTCTAATTCTTTACTTTGACGTTTTTTTAACTGATTGTTAAATTCTTTGAAGAATACGTCTATTAATTTATAATCATCTTTCACATATGCCAACATCTTGAATATATTATGAATCATAGTTTTACAAAATTTGAATTTTGATTCTTCTGATAAACATCCAAAAATTTGATCAAATTGAGACGCATAATAATTAGATTTGTGAAGATTAGTCAAATATTCATTGTAAAACTTTGTATGATCTTTTTGAGTATTAAAAAATTTCATATATTGATCAACATAATACTCTTTAAATAATGAACCATTCAAAATTTCAAGTAATCTAGTTTTGACATCTATACTATATTCATCAAATTTGTATTGTGTAATGACACGTCTCAAATAATAATCATACGCTAAATTTGAAGCAGTTGCAAAGTTTTTAATGAAATTGTTATTAGTTTGTAGGTGATTAAGTGTTAAGATTTTGTTAATTACATTGTTGTTGATTATCATTTTTGGAACTTCGTGAGTATTTAGACTAGTACCCAAGTTTGATATGATTGGATAGATTATATCTTGACTATTTACATGATTGGACATCTTCATCATTTGATATAACGATAAGTTTGGTTTAGATAGAAATATTGAATATTTGGAAGGACCGATAATTTTATTAATTGTGTCTGATTCTAACTTTGAGTCTTGTAATACTAAGTATCCATAAATTGCCATATTCAATTGTTTTTTGAATTGATCAGTGACTATTGATTTATAAATTTTTAACCATTCGGATTTATACTTTCTTGTTTCATGAAGTATGAAATTTCGATGAACTAGTGTCCGTAAACTATAATCAGCAAAATTTGTATAAAAGTACAATCTATTTTTGATTTCAATCAATTCTTCCTTAGAAACTAAATCAGTAGGTTCGCCACTTGGCTGATCAGGTCTTACATTTTTCCACCATTCAAATTCCTTCATGAATTTTTTGGGTAAAGCTCCATCAACTAAAGTAACAAATCCTAACCATTGATAAAATATATTTTCACAAGATTCTGAAGTTTGAAAATCATTTATTTTTCGAAATTCGTATGAAATACATTTTGGTATGAATGAATTCGATATTAATTTTTCATACTGGCCTGGTTTCAACGTCACCACTTGATCATTATACAATGTTTGATGATATAAAAATGATTTTTCACCGAATTCTTTTAAAGCTTTAAGAATTGAAATAATTTCTTCTTTATTTTGACATTCTTGATCATATACTTTTTGAAATAATTCTGGTATTAAATCTTCTTTACCACAAAAGATTAATGGATACATATTAGCTGATTTTATTAATTTAGGCAATGCTTTTGGTAATTCATTATGATTTTCAATTAATTCATACTCATTTTTAATTTGCATGTAAAAGGATTCATCAATAATTGAAGTTGGCAAATATGGAAAAGCAAACTCTAAATTTTCTAGAATATGACCTGAATCTTCAATCAACTCCATTTTACGTATCTTTTCTTTCTGTAGTATATTTGGTGGTATTTCTTTTATGAATTCACTAGTTATTTCATAAACAGACGAATGGCCCAACCCAGGAAATAAAAGATTGATAGCTATATGAACCTTTTTAAAACCATCTTCATCTATGTTATATGTTTTTAATGTAGTTTTAACTGAATAAAATCGTATTCGTATAGGTTTCAAATTAAGTTTTATCGAACTTGATATCTTAACCATCGACTTAAAATAATCATCGCATTAATTTGTTTCAGAATTTTAAATAGACGAAAACACGAAAATGGCTGCAAAAATTACAACAAGAGCAAAGAAAGTCTACAACTTAATAAATGATTTTCCCAATATGATAAAGTTTAATTATATTTTAGATCTTTATACAATTAATGCATGAAAGTAGAATACAAAGGTTGATATATATGAACTGTGATAAGATGAATGAGTTTGTTGTGAATAATTGTGTGATAAATGGTTGAACAAGATTATAATCTTCTACCTCTTCTACCACCTTTTCTTCTAGTAGAATCTGATGGAACTGGAGTAACATCTTCAATTCTACCAATTCTTAAACCTGATCTAGCTAAAGCTCTTAAAGCTGATTGACCACCTGGACCTGGAGTTTTGGTTTTAGTACCACCAGTAGCTCTTAATTTAATGTGAACAGCAGTAATACCAACTTCTTTACATTTAGCAGCAACATCTTGAGCAGCCAACATAGCAGCGTATGGTGATGATTCATCTCTATCAGCTTTGACTTTCATACCACCAGTAACTCTGGCAATGGTTTCTTTACCTGATAAATCAGTAACGTGAACGAAAGTATCGTTAAATGAAGCAAAAATTCTTGCAACACCAAAAACTTGAGAACGGTCTATGAAAAGTTAGTATTAATAATTCTTGTAACTTAATTTCAATTTAATTTGGAATTATGTAGTTTATTTGAATTTGGTAGATCGCATTGTAGACTGTCTTAATGATTTAATTATTGTCTATGCTGTTTCAAAATTTTTCATTGATCTCGATGGATCTAAAATTGACGTTAAATCTCCCTATCTGTCTACTATTCATTCTTTCAACATAACTCTTGTTCTCCTATTCTAATTGAAATAGTTTAATTCTGTCTCATCACATACCAGTTGACATGTTTAATTATTATTAATGTGTTGTAACTAAGATATTATATCAAAAATTGATTTTTCTCTATACCAAATTTGATTTCGCATGGTGAAAAAAATATAAAATATAAAAAATACATTAAATTAAGCACTTGTTTTTCACGTGCTTTAATGGGCTTTAGCCCTAACGTCGTAGATTGTAGTTTATGTGGTATTGTGGTTTCAATCAAGAGTGTTAAGGGGTAGACGATATCGAGTTCTAAAAGTGTAATTAAATGCATTAAAAGTGACTATGTATGAATTATGAACAGTGTTATTTAATAAACAAATCCCAAAATTTTACCTGAGACGTGTTTTCTTCTAGCTTCTTCATGATCCATAATACCAGCTGAGGTAGTTAAAATAACGTAACCAAATTGTCTAGCTGGTAATAAGTTATCAGTCCATCTTTCAATATCATTAATTTTAACATTGAATCTTGGTGAAATAACACCACATTTGTTTAATCTACCATTTAATTGAACAACAATTTTACCTGATCTATGATCATCAATATATTCAAATTCTCCAATATAACCATGTTTTTGCATAACAGTTAAAAATTTTATAATGACTTTTGATGATGGTCTAATTAAAACTTGTCTTTTACCAGTTTTTTCAGCATTGTTGATAGCATTTAAAGCATCAGCTAAAACGGAAGTTCTAGTCATTATTTACTATTCTATTGATGATAAGATGAAAAATTCTAAAAAAAAATTCTGAAAAATTTGACAATATAATTTTTTTTTTTTCGAGTGTGTGGTGCGAGAGTCCTGCATATACAATTGGTACTGAAAAATTTTGTTAGCGAGTGAGAATTCTCTAACAAAATTTTTTCAAATTTAAATTTTTAATCCTTCTTTTTCATTATACAATCATAGATTTGAGAGATGCCTGTATGTACTTGAAATTAGTTATTATTATGAAGTGAGAGATCAGTAATTGATATTCTGAAACAAGAAGACAAGAAGACAAGAAAGTGGTTAATAAATTGCAAGTTGAGATAGCCTGTTTCAAAACGCATGGCCAACGTTTGAACGATTAAAAACTTGATATATCAAAAAATCTTCAGCAGTTTTACAAGATTCAGTATACTAACTTTTATGTTTTAGTCACAAAAATCATTCAGAACTAAACAAAAATTAGCTAAGGCTCAAAAACAAAACAGACCATTACCACAATGGATTAGATTAAGAACTGATAACAAAATTAGATATAATGCTAAAAGAAGACACTGGAGAAGAACTAAGTTAGGTATTTAAACAAGTCATTTGCACATTATTATTACATTTTACATACACAACATGGTTTTATTTTAGTATTTTGAATTGATTTGAAATTTTTCATTACAAGAAATTGGTAATTTAATCATTATAGTTTTGGTGGTTGGTTATTTTTTCTTTGTATATTTATTTGTTTAGAATATTGAAATATAATGGGTTTTAATACGAAATTAGAGATTTTTCGAATGTAGAGTCTTCTATTGAAGGACGGAAATCTTCTTGTTAGGAGCCTGACGAAATGCACTTCTAGTCACCTCGTGTTATGCTAACTCTACTTGATCAATCAGAGAAAATAAACTTGAATTGGACCTTTCGCTAAATCACCATTATAAAGTCAACTTTTATTAAATCATCTATTCAAAGATCCCATCTATTAAACTTCTTCTTCAAATACTGTTTCAATTGGTTTTTCCATAAATGAAGCATGTATACCAACACTGAAAATACTTGACCCGATTAACCACATCATAGTTGAAATTGGACTGGCTAAAAATCCTAAAGGTACTGCAACAATTAATAACCCTGTATATAATTGTGATGTATTAAATCTACCAAGAGGTAATACTAAATCTTCACCTTGTAATTTATTTATACCATAAATACCACCAAGAACAAATAATGTAACAAATAATAATAAAAAGTTTGTAACTAACGCATAAACTGATAATATACCAACTATAGTTAAATAATTTGCTGAAAAATAACCTAAATTAAAACTAACTCTTTGTTGTAATTCATTAAAATTACCTGGTTTTGAAACTCTTCTAAAATCAAAAAATTCTTGAGGTGGTTTTAGTTTTGATATAGTTGACTGAATAGAACCAAAATCTGACTTGATACGTTCCATATTAAAACGTTCAGATACATTTGAAAAATTCTAAATATTATTAGTACAACTCAAAGTCAATAGTTGGACTTTACATACTGCTAAATTCAATAAGTTCGACATGATGAAACAAGTGTTCTATTGATAGAAATAAATAATTTTTTGTTGATTCTAAAAAAAAAATGAAAAAAGAAATTTACGTGTAGCGATGCTACCAATTTCATTAACCAAGCCACTTAATGAAATGTAACACCCTATATCGGGTAATATTACCTATTGCATTAAATTGAAGTCTATAAATAGAATATATAATCAATCCCTGTAAATCTAAGTGTCTGTCAACTCATTATGAGTGATCTGAAAGGTAAATAAAGAAGCCACTTAATCGATTATCATACTCTATATCGCGTAAATTACCTTTAAACCGATTAGAGTCATGTAATAATAGTACATATAATCATTCCTATAAGCCCAAATCCTTCTTAACTAATTGTGAGCAAATTGGATGGTAAAAATCTTTAAATTTGCAATAAGTTTCCGTCGCCAATCTTGAATCAACTTCATTCAATAAAACATAACCTGGACGTACAAACTTCATTCTTCCAACGGTACCTAACCAATCAGCCAATTTATATTCATATTCATCTAAATGACCAGTGACTAGTAAATAATACCATCTAAATTTAATTTCAGCATTTAATGTTTCGTTGTAAGTTGTATAAATTTTACTCATTTCATTTAAGACATCTTGATGATCTTTCCATGAAATTCCTTCAATTTTCTCATATGAAATCAAACTATCCAAGAAAACAACTGATTGATTTGGTGTAAATGATTCAATATCATTTTTTGAAAATTTCAAATTATGTTGATGCTTAGTAGCATTTAACCATTTTTCACTCAATTTATAACACTTAACAACTAGTGAGGTATCAAATTTTGGATCAACTGGAGGAAAACCTGGTTTATATAACCATGTTTCCCAATCAATTGAATCTAATTCCTTATGTTGATCTGGAAATTGTTCAAATAGATAATCAATAAATTGATAAGTATCTAAAGATTGATTTTTAAAATGATTGAAATATTTAGGGATAAATTTGTTAAAATTTGATTTTCCAACTGTTTTTTCAATTAAGTATAATAAATTGAATCCTTTTTCATATGGAACAGTACTAAATGCATCATCTGGATCTTCGTTATTTTTTAAATCTTGAACTAATGTTGAATATTTATCAACTGTTGATCCCATTGCTTTTAAATTATTTTCTAAGTCTGTCCATCCAATAATTGCATTAAATTGACGAACTGATTCACCGTAAGCTTCTGGATTTTCAATACCTTTTTCTTTTGCTTCAATAACAGCTAATGCTTCTAAAATTCTTCTTTCTAAATAAACTGTCCAACCTTCATTCAACCAAAAATGGTTCCATGAACAATTTGTAACTAAATTACCACTCCAACTATGTGCTAATTCATGTGCAACAACTGAAACTTGTGACCTATCTTTACAGATTAAAGTAGGAGTCAATTGACATAAGTTCGGACATTCCATACCTCCATAAGGATATCCCATAGTAATTATTAATGAATCAAAATTTGTCCATTCATATTGAAAGATCAATTTTTCAGCAATTTGAATAAAATTTTCCATATCTTTTTCAAATTCCCATTTACAATCATCAATATTACATGGTTCTGAATAAACTTTAGATCTTGGACCTATTTCTGCACTTGTTAAATCACCAGAAGCTATTGAAATTAAATATGATGGAATTGGAACAGGTTGTTTGAAATAATAAGTGTTGTCTTCTTGTTTTACCGGCAAACCGGACATTAAAGTAGGCAATGGTGAAGTAGCTGATAATGTAAATGTAGATTTAATAGCTGGTGTGTCAAATGAGGGAAATAATGATCTTGCATGAATAGCTTGACATTGACAGAATAAGTATGGTTCTTTTTTACCATCTGTGGCTTCTTTTGGTAAGAATTGTAAAGCAGTGCACTTATCAGTAGTTTCAAATTCAACTTTCACTTTAAATTCTTTTAATTCAGGGATGGCAATTGATAATTTTGAACCTAATGGATCTGATCTTTCATGTAATTTGAAATCTACTTGTTCATCATTGACAAATGCTTTATAAATGACTAAATATGAAGTATCTAATTCAACTTTATCAGTATTTGTTAAATTTGTTAAATCATAAGTTACAACCCCAGTGACAATTCTCTTTTCGAAATGAATATTGAAATGTAAATCGGTTGAGTTTACTTTGAAATTTTGATAGTTTGATAATGTAGAATGATCAATCTCTGGTGAGTGTTTTGGACGGTGTTTTTCTATAACATTCATGATATTTGATGAAAAGTAAAGTATAGATTTAACTGGTATTTCTAGTTGTAAAAAATTATTTCGAAGGATCTAATTATTTCTCTGCCACGCGATGTAACGGTTCTCTCAATCGCCGAATGCCTTTCGAACTAAAAAGAAATTAGACGTCGCACGATTCGAAATGGCCTTAAAAAGTGGCATATGATAATTGATTTCATAGTAATGAAGGAGGCTTTCTGGGATTGCGATAGTATTCTCAAACATCATACTCATCAACCCTTGAATATTTCTTGGAGTCATAACTAGCTGAATTCGGTATTTTTTGCAAAAATCTGCGAATTATCGAAAATTTCGAGAAGTCTTGGGATTTTTTTATAAAATAATACAGGTCTACCAACGAAGTATCAAAATGTCATAGGAACTAGACAATTAATTGCATTTACTCGAATAACTACAACGCATATAAAATTCGTTCAGTACGTATTAGCTAATCCCTTTCAAAACAAGACATTTGGTAGCATTTTCAAATACGAGATTCAAAAAAATAAAAATAAAAAAAAATAAAGATAAAAATATTTCTAAAAATAAAAACAAATTAAAGCCAACGGGATTTATTAATCAAATAATCACTAGATAACAGACATTTGTTTCATAATCTTGCCAATATGGATTACAATGATGATTCATCACCACTACAGACATTAAAACAACAGTTAAAATACGCACATATTTCAACAGATAAACATCAAACTAGATTATATAATAACGATCGTGAAAGTATTTATTCATTTGATTCAGTAAGTACAAATGGTAGATTATTAGATAGGTTGGGACTAGATGATAATGATGAAGAAGAAGGAGAAAATGACGAAAATTTTTATGATAAAAGACAAAGTTATATGTCGATTCAATCTCAACAATCTACTGGTAGATTATTAGATCGATTAGATATGGACAATTATTCAATCAAAAATAAACCTTTAAACAATTTAAACAATATAAGAGGATTACAACAACAACCACAATACTCACAAAATTCAATAAGATACCCACAACGGCAAACAAGTTTGAAAAATCAATCACCAAACGTTCACGTAAGATATGCTCCAATGAATTTAGTGTTTGAGAATACAAACACTTCATCAGAATCAATTGAATCTAATAAAGCTCAATTAAAGAAAACTACACCAGCACCATCTTCGAGTGAATCTATTCCAGTAACCGTTTCCACAAATTCTTCATCTTCCAGATCTTCAGTTGAAACGACTAGACCAACAACTAAAGAATCTGAGAATTATGAATCGTCACCTAAATTAGGACATCAACGTAATTTATCAGATTCGAAATTTCATAGGCGAAACTTGTCTGAAACAATGTTAAATTCAGATTTATCTGCTGAAGAAAGAACATCACTAGCATTGGAATTGAGAAGTTTAGGTAAACATAGAGAAGCTTCATATCAATTGCAAATTTCATCGAATGAACCTTACAATTATCCTAGGGCAATGTTTTTGTATGCAATGGCTTTAAAATTTGGTCAAGGTGTCAAACAAAATGATAATCATGCAGTAAAATGGTTATGTAAATGTATACTAGTATCATCAAGTCATTTGAATTCATCAAATGTTTCAATGATATTAGATAAATTGAATTTCCTAAGCTCAGATGAGATTATTAAATTAATTGTCAAAAATCTAGACAATACAATTGATAAAGATCCTTTACAGAATGGTCAAAATTTACCAAATTTAGATTCACATTTCCAAAAATTGACTAAAGCTCAAATTGCCAAAGTTGTAAATATATCAAATAAGAAATTGGATGTTATTGCATGTTCTTATCATGAATTAGGCAATTATTTACTCCTAGGTATTGGTATAAGCTCAAAAGATGAAATGAATGGTATAAATTTACTTTCTAAAGCTGGTTCAATGGGATATATACCTTCAATGATACAATTAGGTGAATTATGGACATCAAAGACAAAAAATCATAAAAAAGATTTAGTTAAAGCTGCTGGTTGGCTTAGAGTAAGTGAATTTTTTGGATTCAAATCAATTGGGAATAGTTGGATTTATAAAGAGAAATATATGTATTAAGATTATATATTAACTATTACTCTGCAAATTATATTTAATTGGTTGATTTTGATAAATTTTGTTATAAATCTCTATAAATTCTTTTAAAATATTGTATAAGAATCCATTCAATTCGTTTATATTTGTATAATCTCCAAACGGTAAATAGTATAATTGTGGAGGTTTCAAATTTTTATGATAATTATTTAAATTATAATCTTGTTGGGTTTTGGTCAAATTTAATGATTTGTTATACCACGTATATGAGAATTTTAAAGGTATGATTGAGTTCAAATAATTTGGTTTTGAGTTCATAAAATTTTCAATTATTAATTTATTATTTAAAATTAATTGTTGTTGTAATTCAATGATTTTAATATTTAAATTGTTTTCTTTTGTCTTTTCATTCCTTGAAATATATGATTCAATAACTGTTGATAATATGTTATTAATCCTTTTCATTATAATAGCTCTCGCTTGATATAAAATACAATGAACTATCTTGAGAAGGTCAAATTTGATATTGCTAAAATTGGGATTAATCTTATCTATCTTTTTAATCAACTCTTCAATTTCAATATCTAATTGCCTCCATGATCTTTCACTAGGTAATACCCGAGAAACTACTTTAGATCTTTCATCATAATCAAAACTTATAATTTTGACTAATATACAATCAACTTGCATAATGATTTTGAGAAATTCATCTGATGAATTTTGATACCTACTTGTCATAGTTTTAGATAATTGTAAATAATGATTCTTCTTGTTAATTAAATTGTTTTTAATCTCTTCCCTTTGTTGTTGTGTTAGATTCTTCAGCATTGAATCATCTTGAAAATTGTCAATTAGAATTTTTTCCTCAACTGGTGGCTGCAGACCTTCTCTCATTATAATATCTTGAGTCAATTGTTTTAATTGGTTTCGTTTTCTTTGTTCATCTTCATTATTAGATTCTTTTGTACTTGGTTTCTCTTTATTAACTTTTTCTTTATTACGTTCTTTTTCCAAGAGTTCTTCTAATTCTTTAACTGATGCAATACTTTTCTTATGAGCTTCCTGAAGCTCTTTCAAAGTCTTCTCCAAAATCTTCATACTATTGTCTTTTTCTTCAACTATTGCCTCTTTTTCAAGATTTAATTTTCTAACTATCGCTTCCTTCTCAAGATTTAACTTTTCACACTCCTTCTTTCTATCATCTATTTCCTTTTCATATACCTCTTTCTGAGACTTAAAATTGTTTTGTAATTGTTCCACTTCGTTCGAATTTTTTGAATCTTTCTCCACCTTTTCAACCAGTTTTTCAGTATCAATTTTGAATCCCGTCAATTTTGAAGGTGTAGTTTCTCTTGTAAATTTATTTTTATACTTTAGTCTATTATTAAAATTAATTCTCATTAAAAATTTAGGCTTTACTGGGTCATAAACTTTGTTTATCCATTTAAAAGTTCCAACTTTATTACTTTTATTAGTGAAAGATGACGGAGTACTTGGTTTTGGAGTTGATGTTGATCTTTGTTGCAGTTGTTGTTCCTCAAATTGTGCAGGTAATGTAGGTGATAACATAGATAATGGAATTTCTTCATCATCTTTAAATTTAGATTTCTTATTTCGTCGTATATCTTCATCATTTGGATATGTTGATTTTGGAGCTTTTAAATTATTTTGTTTCAAGACATTTTCAAATCGTGAAGGTAAATTAGGCGATAAAATAGTTGGTAATGTATTTGAATCTTGATAAGTTGAAATTAAATCATTTAAATTCTTCCAAGTATTGATTGTATTGTTACCATTATGATTTTCCCGGGGTGACTTTTTTAAAATTGTTGAACTGGAAGTAGAAGATTTCATTAAAATAAAGTATTCATTTATATTGAATCAATAATACTAACTAATTTATAAACGATGAATATAAAATATAAAACCTGTTGAATATTTTTAATCAAATTGATAAAAATTGAAAAAAAGTAAACTTGGATCAAATGTATTTTTTTCCTCATACATTTTCGCGCCCCACTCGTTAAAAACTTGACGCCGAGACCGATTCGAATAAGGCGAAATGTTACTAGTTTACTAGTAAATTGTTACGGTTTTTACTAATTCATACAGAATATTGAGCTAAATCAACCAGTAAAACTACTGAAGCTGTGCCTGAGTTGGTCCTATTAAGGCTTTCAAGCTGCGTAGATTCTCACAACATAGTTTTGCTCTTCCAGTTGAGATTTGGAGTTAAACATTCATCCCATCCAGTTACATCATATCCACTGACAGTTTATCATCAGTAATCATGCCTGTAATCCATTTCAAATATGAGAAAACGTTAATGTCAAATACGAGTAGCTCATATTTCATATAAAAAATGCGACACTGAGTTAAAAAAAAAAAAAAAATCAAAAAAAAATTTATCAATCAAATTTATCTATTTTTATTAATTTTATTAATTATAGTTTTACATACATTTCATATCAATAACACATAATATATACAGATATACTATATAAATATTATTTTTATTAACCATGTCTAATTATAACGAAGTTCAACCAACAAAACTCGATCAAAATAAGTTGAAAAAGAGAAATAAAAAGAAGGGTAAAAATAGTTTAGGTTTTAATCCAAATGCCCTGCCTGTTGGTGGTGCTTCATCAAGACAATTTGGAGCTTATTCAAAATCAATTAAAAGTAGTCAAGATGATCAAAATGAATATAATGAAAATGGAGGTTATTATGAGGATAGTACTAATAATGGTAACGACCAATTGCCAGAGGAAGAGCCAAATGAAGAAGCTCTCAAATCAGCTCAAGACTTCGTGGAACGGAGTCTTGCAAAAGCTGAAAAATTGACAGCCGCAAAGTATCAGGAGTGTGACAAACAAATTAAACAAATCTTACATATGGCAAGAGATGAAGGAAAAATAAATATTAATGACTGGATTCACCAAAGGGTACCATTACTTGATGGTGGTTGTCCATTTGAGTTGGAGTGTGATCGAATAAAAAATAAAAAATCTAATCAGAACGCAAAACGTAATCAAGGTGCTTCACTGGATAGTAGAGGTGATCCAACTCCAACCAGCTCAAATGGTTTTAGTCCAATGCCACATGTTCCTCGAGCAAATGGATCAGGATTACCACTAAAATCTCAGCAAAATGTTCCACTCCAAAATGATGTACAACAAACACACCAACGACAACCGACTCACGAACAATCAGCTTATCAGCCACAAGTGAATCAGTCTGTATCTCAATCAGGGCAGTATCAACCAATATATCAATATTCGCAGCTACAGGCGCAACCAGATGATTATCAAGCAAATCTGTTTCAACCATCGCCTAATCCTAATCAACATTCTAGTCAATTTCAAAGTACACCTTCGTACTATCAACGACAACCAAGTCAATATCAACCACCAATACAATCAAGTCAATTTAGTACCCCACAATTTTCATCTTATACATCAAAAGCTCCAACTCAAAACTTTTCACCATCTTCGGTACCTCCTCCTCCAGCATATTCACCTTCTAGTGATCCTTCTCCGTTATATAGGTCACCTTTGCATCAGTCTCCAATGCATCAAGCATCTGGAATACCATTGCATGTTAGTGCAAATCCCTCATCTTATTCAGCTCCATTTGTACAAAGATATAGTGCATCTCCACCTCCGCCTCCACCAATTACTAATTCTTTCTCTGGAGAGAAAAGAAGTGGATATGGTGATTATGATTCTATTGATAGAAAGAAACAAAGATTGGCAAGGTTTGAAACAAATCAAACTAATACTAACCAAACTGAAAGAAAGAATTCCACAAACTCTAATGGAGTTATAATTGGGAAATCTAAAGATTTAGAGAAAAACTATCTTCGTTTGACAGCAGCACCGGATCCAATGAAAGTTAGATCCCAACCAGTTTTGGAAAAAAGTTTAAAATATGTTTTTAAAAAATTTGAAGATCAAGTAGGTAAAATAGATGCTCAAAAGAATTATAGTTATATCATAAACCAGTTAAAATCCATACGTCAAGATTTAACTGTTCAACATATAAAAAATGATTTTGCAATTGTTGTTTATTCAAAAAATGCGATTGTATCTTTGGAAAATTATGATTTGGGAGAATTTAATCAATGTCAAACTCAATTGAAACATTTATATAAATTAAGAAGAAATCAAGATGCCACATTCAAAAGAAAATTTCAAAGAGAAGAAGTTGAATTACAAGTTTTTAAATTAATTTATATGATGATTACTAAAAATGAGTCTGAAATTGTTAAAATAAGATTACAATGGATCACTGAATTCTCTAAATTTCATAAAAATCCAAAAGAAGAAAAATTTATTAAATTAGTGTTTTCTTTATATAGAGCAAATGATTTTATATTAAATGGGAATCATTATCGTTTTTTTCAGGAGTTACATAGATATCAAGATGATGAAGATTTTAAATTACCATTTAAAATCATGCACAATTATTTGTATAAAAATGTTAGAATCAAATATTTAGATATATTAACTCAATGTTATAAAGAACTTCCAATTCAATTTCTTTTTGAAAGTTTAGATTTTGATACTATGGAAGATTGTGAAGCATTTTTGTTTAATGAATTGAAATTAACAAAACCCGAAGGTGATTCAATCGATTCAAAAATTGCTAAAACTGATTTAGAGCCATTGATTGCCAAAATCAGTAAAGTAGATATAAAAGGTCAGATTTAATATATATTAATCTAGTGTTGGACCAATTGCCATCAAAGCAAAATTATGTTTATTCTCTTCATCAGCATGATCAATGTAAAATTGAATTTTCTTTGTAACTGAATCTTCATAAATTATTGAATCTTTAGTGCATTCTCCAAGATCAATTGGACCATTCCTTCTTCCATCTAATTCGTATAAATGATTATCTTTTGATTTTATAAATGTAATAAAATGTAAATTAACTTCTTCAGGAATTTCAGTAGTACCTTTTTCACCAAAATTTTCATCTAATTTAATTGAATTTTCTAAGTTTTCAATAATTTTACTTTCATCATCGATTGTTAAATCTTGATTTGATATTTGATTTATAATATTTGAAATTTTCAGATTTTTTATTATTAAATCGTGGGGCAAATTTGATAAAATATGTAATAAAGCATATAAACCACAACCATTTGCAATAGTTTGTTTAAACCATTTAATTTTATCTTTATTTTCATTTGAATATGGTTGTTTTTGAGAATCTTGTTGAGTTTTATAAGTTTCATAGTTTTTAGTTAATGGGAATAATAATATTATAGCATAAATTGGTTGAGGTAAAAAACTTAATAATTCATGGTCAGTTAAAGAATAAACATCATGAAATTGTAAGATAGGGGATACACCTAATTTATGAGCTAAATCTGTGAATATAGTTGGATTTGATTCCAATGGTATAACCAGTTTTGAATCAGCCATAGTTTTTTATTTTTGATGTTTCAGAATTTTTATATTTTTTTTATTTTTTTTTTTTTTATTTTTTTTTTTATTATCACCAAAAATCAACGAATCATCATTTGAATAAATCTTATTACGTAAACTAGAATTAAGGTATATATTGATAACAGCTACCAGTTGAATAGTCATTAACTCAGATGAAAACCATATCTTATTATGGTATAATCATATTAAATTATTTGGTAGTGGTTGGTATATTATTCATTGTTTTCCATCATCATAACAATTTAAATTTAGACTATACGAAATTATTAAGCGATGTATTTGCTGGTTTAATTTTATCAATTATCATTTATATATTAAAATTTACTCATCAATTAGGAAGCTTAAATAATAATAAAGAATTAGGTGAATCGAATTTTGAATCATTTTATTTACCAATTGTTGAAGAGGTTATAAAAATCTTAATTGTTTATTATCAATTAAGTAAATGCGAAATTTTTAATGTTTTAAATATTTGTTGTATTTGGTCAAGTTATGTTGTAGTTACAATGCAAATTTATTGGTATAATCCAAGAAATTATGAAGAAAAGTATGCTAAATTCTTAAAGTTTTATAAATTATGGATTAATCAGACAAATTATAGACAAAAATATTCACTACAAAATGAAGATGAGATTAAAGAATTGTTGCAAAATTTAGAATATTGCAATAATAATACTACAAACCAGGAAAATCCAAAATTAAGACACTCAACCCTGAGCGATGATTCAGGTAAAACATTGATTAATGAGACATTAAAACTGAAAATCTCTGTTAAGAACCTACCTATTGAATTTAAAGTCTCAAAAGATGTTACAGCTTCAAAATCATTACCATTGAATATAGAGAAGAACTCGATGGTAAAAAATTATCAATCATGTCAAGACTTTATCGATAAATTATATTCGTTATCACCAAAAAATACATATCATTTAAACAGAGCAACTGCAATTGCTTTAGAAGAGGAAGAAATTGATAATTTTGACAAATCTTCATTATCTGAAATACCAGAAGTTTATGAAAATGTTGATGATGGAAGTAGTATTAGATCTATAGAAATACCGAGAGTCAATATTAAAACAATAGAACTTTCATCACCACATCCTGCTACCTATTCATTTAAATCAGTTATAAATTGGTTTTCTTGGTTATGTCCACCATTATTTTCAATTGGTGAGAAACAAGACATTAATCAATTCCCAAATGAAAATTATCCCCTACTTAAATCAAGTCTATCAAGATATGATTTAAACAAATCATTAATACCAAACCAAAATTTTCAAAGATTTCAAAATTTTCAATTTTTCCTTAGTTATTATTTTGATATTTCAATTCTGATAATTTCAAACTTAAACATAGATCCGGTATTTATAAAATTTGGAATTTTATTAGATAAAATATCATTCTGGTTCATCTTACTTGATGAATTAAATTATATTATATGGCAACTTTTACTATTTTTGAACATAAACAAACTACTAAATGGGAATTTATTCATTATTTGTATCATTATATTAAAATTATTCAAACAGAACTATCTAACAACACTAAAGTGTAAGTTTAATTTACTATTCCAAACATTTATCAACTTACTAATATCGATTATAACAATTATAGAGTATTTATAATAAATATGTGTATTAATCTATCAATCTATTTTGTCTGTTTTGGATCTAAATGTGAAATCTAAAAACTTTGTATTTGTGTAACTAAATCCATTCAAATGTAAAATATCTTCTTTTGTAGTTATATTCTGTGGTGTAAAATTCATTTCAGTAAAATCAGAATCAAAATTTTCAGCCAAAATTGGGTCAGTTATAATTGGTAAAATTGGTGGTAATAAATCAGAATCATCTCCAATATTTTCCAATTGATTCCAATCAACATATCTGAAAAATCGATGTTTTTTAAAATTTTCAAATTCTTCATCAACTTGAAATCTTTTATTTGCATTTTGTTGTAATAATCTTCTTAATAAATCTTTGGCATCTAATGATAAATAAAATGGAAATTTAAGATTCTTTTTAGAATTTTTAATCTTTTCCAAGATCTTTTTATGATTATTTCCTGTAAATGGTGGTTGTCCAGTTAATAAATCAAATGCAACACAACCCAATGACCACCAATCAACTAAATAATCATAACTTTCGCCACTCAAAACCTCAGGCGCCATATATTGAGCAGTACCAGTCATTGAATTTATTGATTCATATTCACTCGAAACTTTACTCAACCCAAAATCAGTTAAAACTAAATGACCTTTTGAATTCAACATACAATTTTCAGGTTTTAAATCTCTATAAATAACTTTTAATTTTTTATGTAAATAATACAATGCTAATGACATTTGAGCAATATAAAAACTTGCATTCTTTTCACTCATAAATTTTTCCATGGCTAAATGATGAAATAATTCACCTCCATCTAAATATTCAAGTATTAAATATAATTTATTATTATCTTGAAATGCATAAAATAATTTAACAATATTTTGATGATTAACCATTTCTAAAATTTGTTTTTCATTCATTGTACGTTGATAATTCTTATGATTAATTTCATTAGTTTCTTCATTTATAATTAAACTTGCTTTTTTTAACTGTTTTTGAGCATACAATTTACCAGTTGCAACTTCACGAACTAATAAAACCTTTCCATATGATCCTTTACCTAAAACTTTAATTGGTTCAAAATCTGACAATTTAGGTTTATAAAATGATTCTTCATTTTTATTAATTATTAAAGATGATGTATAAGAATCATTGATATTAACTTCATAAGATGAAACAATTGATGATTTGCGACGAGGACGATTATTAGATATCTTTATAGGTCTTGACTTCTCGGGGAAATAATCAGTTGGTGATTCCTCTTCACCAACGGCATTATTTTGATCATCTATTAATTTATAATTTAACTCTGATAATTTCAAATTTTGTTGTATTTGATTTGTCAATTTTTCAACTTCATCATATCCATCCATATTAAAAATATCTGTCATTTTGGAATAGTTATTAGTCTATATTTTAATCATAGTTTGTAAGTATTGATTTTTAAAAATCCCCCCCCATGTGTTTCGAAACGAAAAAAAAAAAAAAAAGAAAAAATATATAAAAGAATTTTAGATGGTGAAAATATCAAATAAGAATTCATGCATTATTCTTTCTTTTGCTATGCAAAATAATCATCACCAGTATAATCTTTGGACCACGAGCGGACTTTTCCTAAAACGTATAAATATGAACTAACTCTAACGCGTTTGTTGTGGTTTGTTGTTATTCGAAGAGCATCTTTAATGAAGCCCTCAATAATCCAGAATACGAAAAACAGGACAAAGTTGTTGGTTTAAATACCCTCAGATCTTGCTTAATGTTACCTTAATTAATGTACGAAAGCACAAACACTTCTAGATGCTTGAGCTTACCTCGTTTGATAAAGCCATAGAAAATTATTTTGCAACAATTTGTGAGCTACCATTTGAACTTGAGTAAGAACAAGAAAATGAATCATACCAATCAATCCTCTTATTGAACTATAAATTTGATACTCTGTTCGTTCAGTAGAATATTAAGAATGATTCAATTACTTTTAATACTTATATTCTTAAATCAAGTGATTACTGCTGTTAATCCAAATGTTTTGCCACCTTTTTTGAAAGGTAGGTATAGAACAACAGTTGCTGCTGGTGGTCAACCTTATACTGTTGCTCCTGTTGCTCCAAATCCTGTTGTTGCATTACCAACAGTTATCATAACTGAAACTAAAACTACGACGATATTGAACTTATCAACTGAAACACAACATATTTCAGAAATTAAATCAAAAGTTATAACCGAAATTGAAACTGTTGAAAAGACTACAACCTTAACCTTGACTGAAACGAAAACTGAAAAAGAAACCATCAATAACGTTGAAACTGTTTGGGCGACTGAAACTAAAACAGAAACAGTTACAATTACATCTACTTTGACTGAAGTTAGTAAAGTTGTAATTACACCTGCAGAAATTACTCAAACTATAACTGAAACTGTAACTCCAGAAAAATTAATCAAGACAGTAACTGAACAACTAACAATTACAGCAACAATTACAAATGCACCAAAACCAAAATTTTAATCATTGACAACCCCCTTCTTCAGTTTGGATCGCTAGACCTTGATGCCATAGTAAATATTGAATATATACAGATATGCCGTATTAGATTTCCATTCCCATGTAACTTTATCAATCGAGGTTATAAAGCATTAAAGAAGTGACCCCTATCAGAATGATACCCTTCTCCATTGTTGCGTGAATCTCTTGCCTTGTTTACTGTTCTTTTAACATATTGAACTTTGAAATAAAAATGGCTGCAAAAAAATAAGATCTCGATTAATTCGCGCGAAAACAAATATAACTTGATACGAAAAAAAAACCTATGGTACAAATTTTAAACAATGTATAAGGGCAACTTCGCTTAAAAAACCTTTTCTATCAATGCTAACAATTTCAACCATTTATTGCGCTTATTTGAAATCATAATAGTTTAAACTTCTTGCACAATAGTTGCAATGGAAACTTCAAACACAAATAAAATATAGCTTTAGTCTCAGTCTTCGCAGCTTGAATTATTTTGATCGAATCTTGTCGTCGAGAAATTCGAGTAAATTTGAAAATTATATGTCTACAAGCACATTGTAAAGTTTAGTTTGGAATATATGATCAACCTTTTACTTCTACAATTTGGAAATTTCATGCTTTGAATTCTGATGATTTTGTGTCAAATCGGTTCTGAAGCCTGTACATTTTATTTTTAGTGTTGTTTCATAAATTAGAAAATGGCAAATGAAGTGGTGCGAGCTATCGCCTTAAGTGAAAATTTTTTTAATCTCCTTCGTGCTCCACTGGGCCAGAGCTTTTTTAAATAATAACTTTGGATTTATGATTTGGACTTCTATGCAGTCTTGCAATAGTACATTCTAAAATTTAATCTGTAAATTACTACCACAATTTCCAAGATAATGAACTCAAACTTTTTTCACTAGCACTCCAGCCAAGCCAGAGTTGCTTAAAAGTAGTAACACCTGATCAAACATAAGTTTGGTCATGTGGTTTGACATTGAAAAAATGGGAATAAACGCTAAATTGCAAGATAACTAATACTTAGAAGTCAGATTTCAACTTGTAACGTAATTGGCTATTCCCAAAAATTCTTTCTATAGCAGTTTCCAAATGCCAGATTGCTTTTGAAAATTTTACAAATTTTCGAACCACTTTTGAAGAATTAATTTTTCAATGTTGATTACTTTCACACAAAATAATACAAAGTCTATCAGCTTACAGAGACTACAAAATCAGGTTATTTTATCATAAATTCATCATCACATTCTTAGTTGTGGAGTTAAATTTCTCGTAAGGTCAATTTATTCAAATTTTACCATACTTAAAAGAAAATTTTGAATTTAAATCAAAGAGAATAATGTAGGACCTTTGATTGATGTGAAATATATATAAATCTTCGTTTAATTGGAAATATATACTTCCATTTATTTTTCAAATGAGCTTCGTCCGGGTTGTGGCCGTACAGAATTTTCAAAATGGAAAGGTGAATCGCTCCGATCTCCGTTCCAACTTTTCGTCGAGTTCTCAAATCTATGGCCTTAAGTCTAGCTATAAAATTTGAGCGGGAATGGCCCTTTATAAAATGATAAAAACGTTTAGATTTAATTTACGTTACTAACTTTTAGTAATTAACACTATCATTTAACCTATTTACTCTTCTTATGTCGTTTCTTCAAGCTTTGATATTCTTTTCTAAACCTTGAGTACTCAGCAATTTTCTCAACTCTCAAAGCTTTATTCGTCACATAATCTGGTTTAGTAGGACTATAATCACATTCTAAGCCGAATTTCAAACAATTGTTGCATTCAGGTTTCATTTCATCACATTTCAAATGTTTAATTCGACATATCCAGCAACCATTTTTTGATCTAGGTAGTATGGATTTTCTTTTAAATTTCAAACCATACCTTTTTCCTTCAGCATCATCACCTTCTTCAAATCCTTCATCATCTTCAGTCTCTTCAACTACTTTTTCAACTACCTTTTCAATTTTAATATTATGTAGTTTTGGTGGTTCTGGTGATTTTGAAACAACTTGAGGTAGTACTGGTTTAGGTTTCTTTGGACGACCTCTTTGTTTTTTATCATAAGCATCAGCATTATTTAGTACAATTAAACCAAATCTATTTTCTTTAATCATTCTTTTTTCAATATCTGTAGGCTGAAGTTTCTTTGGACGACCTCTTGGCTTCTTGTTATAGACTTTATCTTTCAAAGTATCTAATTTGTCAAGATTCTGATCCCCTATGATTTTATCTTCAGTAATTGGAGCTGATTTCCTTAGAAGACCTATTGGCTTCTCACCTTCATCATTCAGTTTGTTACTACCTTCTTGCAATCCGTTAGCAATTAACTCTCGCTCATTTGGGGATCCAGCTTGAGATAATATTTTTTCAGATTTCTTTGGACAACCTCTTAGCCTTTGTTTAATATTTGTATTATCTGGTGTGTCTTCATAGTTTGAATTTTCGTCCTCTGTCTCATCATTGGTTGGTGCAGGCTTTGGTTTGGTATTGCTTGGACGACCCCAAGACTTCTTGTTGTAATTATTCTGTTCATTTTGGTTGTTACTACTCTGATCTTCTACCGTTTTGTCTTCAATAGTTGGAATTGTTTTTCTTGGACCACCCCTAGGTTTTTTATTATTGTCCAAATTATTCACTTTGTCATGATTTTGATCTTTTATGGTTGTAATTTCATTTATTGATATAAGTTTAGGTTCCATAGGACGACCTTTTGGTTCATTATTATCAGTGTCTTTACTATTCCGTATATCATTATCTTCATCATCATTATCATCACTCATGTCATCTTCGCTTTTTGTCGAGGTTAATGCGTCTATCGATAAAGCTCTTTTCCTTCGCATTGGTAACTTTTTAACTATATTTAATTTAGTTCCTGAGTCATGTTGTACAGTTTCAACTAACGTTGAATTTAGTATTCTATCTTTCGATTCCAAACTATTAATTACTTCACTTTTCAGTATTTCTTGATTCAATTGAGTTTTAGTAGTATTCTCATTAATTTTTCCACTTAGATTCAAGACGGATCGTCTTTTAAATAAACTTTGATTACTGTGTTTCCTAATCAGTTTTCTTTGTTTTGACTTTTCATTCATCGACAAACTAATAAAGATGTTACACGACAATAAGAGTCAAATGTGATTTACAGGGTCAAAAATATTACATAATCATAACGCGCTTATATTTAATTTGTTTCAGAATTGAGCCTTTATATATAGTTTCCTCTTCATTTGAATATAATCTAATAATAAATCATTATTATCGAAAGATACTTCTTGATCATTCGTCAGAGTCTTGACTTTATCTTTAAGTATTATTGGTTTTAATGAATCATCCTTGAAAAATATTAATAACTTAATATTATTTATGTTTATATCATTTCTTTTGTTCATTAGTTTCAATACAATTACATTTATTAATTCATTTATATTCTTTAATTTGTCTCTCCGTAACTTTATTGCAATAAAATCCAAGTTATCATAATCCTGTATGGTAGTTGTGTTGGATTGATCGTCTAAGAATATACTTAATTTCAAAATTGATTCATTATAATTAGTTGTACCCCTTACTGGAGTTGAATTCATTTTTGGACTTTGATTTGGTTCCTTATCAAAATTGTTAATTGGTGATAAGAATGGTGATGGTGAAGGGGATTCTGAAAGTTGTGAAAATTGAAATGATTCATTATTTATTGGAGTTGTTGGATAACCCAGAAATGAAAGATTCATTTCTGAATCATTGGATTTATCTGATATTGGACTTGATTGATTTGAGTTGTTAAATAATCTACTTACTCTCTTGATAGATGACGATCTTGTCAATTTTATAGATGATGCTGTATTTAATGATTTTGGAGATTTTAATGAAACTGGTGATTTCAAATCTGGATCAATGTTTGAATACGGTTTGCTACTATTTGGTTTACCTTGTGGTAGACTGACATTAATGATTGGAATCGAATGCCTATTAGGGGATGCGGCACTTGATAACTTATTCTTCTCCGATCGCCTTAATCTTAATGACATATTTCTTTGTGGTGGTGATCTTAATGTAGGTATATTCAAATCTGATGAATAAGCTTCTTTTTTTGGAGTAGTATTAGTAGTGTTTGCCTTATTCTCTGTATTTTTTGAAGTAGTATTAGTAGTATTTGCCTTATTATCTGTATTTTTTGGAGTCGGCTTTGCATAAACTTCATCTATCGGCTTTGAAATACTCACATTACTCTTCTTAGGTGTAGTTGTTTCAGAGCTAACATTCTTTTTTGGCATTGGTGATGGTTTTGATATTTCTGTAGCTGAAGATTTTCTTGATAACTTGGCAGATAAGCGTTTTATAAATTTTGATGGGGATAATAAACCTTTTTGATTATTAGTTTTAGGAGAATTTAAAATTTCAACTCTTGGAGTGGACAAACTAGATTTTTCATAAAATTGTGATAGATGTGGTTGTTTTGGAGTACTAATTGGAGTTTGAAAATCGAATTCAGATTGTAATTTGGGAGTGGTCGAACTAGATTTTGACTTTGGCATTATTGGTAAACTCAAATTATCATTATTTGATAAATGTAATGAGTTGGTGGAAGATGGAGGTGTTACATTATTACTTTCCTTATCAATAAATATTGATTCACTTTCATTTTCATTTTCTAAACTCGATGAATCTAATGGTGGTGTAGTATATAAACTCATAGGTCTAGGCCTTGTTAAATTTGAAGTAGTCATGGTTATGATTTTGCAAAACTATTCTTGACTAACCCATCAATATATAAGGGTAAATGAACGTGGATTTGTTATAAAGTGCTGGTTGCAAAAATGTAGAAGTTTCTTGATAATAGAAGTAAAAAAAAAATTCAAAAAAAAAAAATAAAAAAAAATAAAAAAAAATAAAAAAAAAAAAAAATATTTTGAAAAATCCATAATATTATAACTCATAAAGCTTAATTGGTTAATGCAATTAAATATAATGACCACAGTAAAGCTCAACGAAAAAGTGCTCTCGTTCTCTATTATATCTTTATAGATGTGTCTCAAAATGTGTCAAAAGATATTAGATCTAATATGTTTCACAATAGTAAATGTCAATTTGAAATGGCCTTAAGAATTTTGTGTGTAATTACACAAAATAAAAACTCACTTCAAATCAAGTCGACAGACAATATCAATTCTAGAATCAAACAATAGAAAAAACGCACGGCCAATGACTAATTAGTATGTCGTAAAACTAAAATAGGTTCATGAGATCTACAATGTAATTGTTTTCTAGCATTTGGTCAATGACATTCCAGAAGGAATTTAGAGGCAGGACTACGAGGTATGGTACAATACTCCAGAATTCATCAACTAATATAAATCCAATTGAAATTATCCATTGGTAACAATCTAAGATGGTTGTCAAGTAATGAATCGTGTTGCCTCGTTCCAATTAGAACGAAAGAAAAACTTATTCGGTGCGTGCATGTGCATAAACTATATGCACTATTGTTAAATATAAAATAGATGGGCGACTAATTTGAAAAGTGATATATATAAATTTAATTAATAACTGAAATTCTAAGTCTAATTAATCTAAGATTTACTTGTTTACTGTTCTTCAAATAGTCTAAAAATTCGGAGTCTTGTACAATTTTATCATCATTAATCTCTGATTTGTCTAATACTAAATTATAATGATTTATCAAGTTACAATCACTGTAGATTTTGAAACTTAACAATTTCTTCAAATATTCTATCGATATCAAATCAGTTTTTTTAATTTTCAATGCTACAATATCATCTTGTTTGTTGTTTAAATATACTTTAATTTTAGTGAAATCATTGACATTTGAACTTGGTGATGAACTTGTGGAATCTATTATTTCTTTATTCTCTTTTCCATCCTCAATTTTTAGTTCATCTAATTCATTTATAGGTAATGAAGTATCACAAGTAAAACTATGATTTTTATTTGTTGGAGTAAAACATTGTGAATTTATAGTCATTGGTGTAGTGGGTGGGGTATAATTCTTTCCATTTTGAGTGATTATTGGATTAGTAGGTGTGTCATCAAATAGACTATCGTGTTTACTACTATGTATGGAACTTGATCTTTCTGATCTTTCTGATAAACTTGAATTTGCGACAGTCGAATTTACAGGCTTTTCAAAATCTGAGCTTAAGCTTTCTTCATTCTCACTAATCATGGAACTGTCATATTTATCAATTAATGAAGTATAACTAGATAATGTATTGCTACTGCTTGAATTGACTATACTGTTAATACTATTTTTCTTTTCATTTTTCAAATTGTAAGTAGAATATTTATTTTGATCGTGTAATTTGTATGATTTATCAAGTATTGTACTATTTGTATCAATTTTTGGTAATGGAGCAGTAGTTGAGTATGTGAGTGAATTACTTAAATCGAGATTGATCATATTCAAGTCTGGATTAATGTTATTCAAAAATTCTTTGTTTTCAATATCCTCATTATCACTCTTGATAAACTTATCATTAAAGATAAAATCATACAATTCAGTTTCAAATTCTTTTAGGTTCAACAGGAGTAACTTTTCAAAATATTGACTTAAGTCGGAACACATTCTTCTGAGCTCCGATAAATACTTGACGTCATATTTCAAATTTGGACTATGGTATATTGAAGTACGTATTAATGGAGATGGTAAAATTGGTAAATCTTCATCCATGTAATCATCTCTTTCTTCTAATTTTAAATGAAAGTCATAAATTTGTTGATATGATTTACCAATAAAAATGAATTCAGAATCATTAATTTTAATTTTAAGTTTGTACCATATTTTCTTGGATTTTAAATTTTGGAAAACTTCATTGATGGAGATTTTTAAATATGTCTTGGTAGTGTTTGTGCTATTATACTCATGTAACCACGATAATGTGATAGGGTTATTTGTATCATTAATTGCAATTTCTAAATACGAAGCAGGTACTAGCCCTTCCATGGGATTAGAATCTAAACTTTTGACTTTTAACCAACCATTTCCTAGCTTTTCAATCAATTTAAAATATTGTCTTGGGTTTATTGAAATTTCATTAGCATTTTCTTTATTGAACTTATACTTTGAGATTAAAACTAAGCTAGGATATGAAGTGGAAAAGTCTGTAGTTGTTGTTTTAGTCTCTTTTGATAATAATGGACTTGAAATAGTTAAGTTTTTGAGTTTCTTCTTTGATTTGTATTGTTTCGATCTAAATAAACTTGATGACATTTAGGTGGTAATTGATATAAAAGTAATGAAAATAGGATATAAATTACAGATGATGGTATGACACTAATGAGCAAATGTTGAGGACTCTAATCTTAATGGTTGAGCAAATTATGGATATAAATAAGTTAAACTATAAAGGATTTTCTGTAAATTTGGAAGCTATTTAATTGAAAATTGTATAAATATTAAAAAAAAGAAAACCTAAAAATAAAAATAAAAATAAAAATAACCCATTTTGCATTGTGACACAAAACTAAAATTTAAAAATGTTGCAAAAAAAAAATAGCCTAAATAAAATTATTCCATAAAGATTTACAATTGAAGTCTAACAATAGTTACTAATACACCTATGAATTTCACATATTCTCATTCCTGTTAATAGTGAATGTACATTAAATTGAGCACTAAATACCTACGTAAATACTAATGTACTCCATAACTACTTTATCTCGCTTTTCTTGTTAACTATTTCAAATATTATATTTCACTTATCTTTGCAAAATATAATATAAATCCTCATGTTTGTTTACAATTTATTAAGAAAAAATCCACTAATTTTAAGAAATCTTAGATCTCAAGATTTATTTATTATTTCATTCATAACCTAACTTCTCTACTTCAATGCAACGTCAGAAGAATATTTCATTTTCAGTGTTTTGATTTGATTCAATTTACATCGATTGTTTATTCTAGACTATAAAATCTTAAACTGTATTAGTTAACTAAAAAAGTTTAAATTGAATGGTTCAACAATAAACGTGCTAAATCCGATTGAATATTTATACTAGTCCATAGTCCGATTTAAAAACCCCATGTAAACATACAAATCTTAGTTCCACAAGATTTTAATTTTATTGTACATTGTTTAAATGTTTAACCGACGATCTTGAGCTAACTTGGGTCATTTTGCCTTTTACCCATGAAATCTGATGGTTATGTTACTTTCATTTGACACTTGAAATTTTGCAAGTGCTACAGACTTCTATTCAAGTGCCTCTAATATGAAATGATAATTAAGAAAAGCACACGAGGAAGTTATGGTTGATTTGTGTCAAAAAATTGTTTTTTTTCTTATTTTCCGAGGTATCTATGTAATGTATTTTGATTCAATTTTTTTTTATTATATTCATATTGTTACATACTGATACTTACTTATACAAACTTTAACAAATAAAATAAATAATTAAAACAAAGAACTGAATAAAACATTTAAATCATCTTCCTGAAGATTGATCTTAATTAATTTTCAATAACACTTTATCATTAAATTTCAAAAATTCCAAGATGTTGAAATTTATAATATCAATATTTTCATAATTATTTAAATTTGGTAACTTGATATATAACTTTGAATAATATACCTTTTGTTTAATTAATCTTTTCAAATCCTGAATTGACTTAATTTGATTTTTATTAAACTTTATGGCAATAATTTCATTATTATAATTCAATATCTTACATTTTATAAAATTATGATTTTGTATACCTGGAGACTGTGGTTGTTTAAATCCTTGAATTGGAAATATAGGTGATGTATGACCCAAAGGTGACATTTTTGAGTTTGGAGATGATTGAAATTGATTAGTTGTATTAATTCGTGGTGAAAATCCAGATTTTTTAGGAAATGCTTGCATTGGAGCTGGTGATATTTGTGAATTTATGAATTTCGATGAATACATTAATTGTGGTGATGGTGTTTGTTGAACATAATTAGGTTGTGGTGTAATTTGATGTCCTGTAAATAATTTAGGAGGTGGAGTAGATTGATCTAAGCTGTTGAAATTTGCTTGAGGTTTTGCTATTGGTGTAGTGGTGGCCTTTGCAGCCTCTGTTGTTTCATTATTGGTTTCAATTGATGTATTTGGTGTATCTAATTTTTCTTCTTCAATTGGTGAATTTGCAATTGAACTTTCACTATTCGTTGATAAATTACCACCACTATTATGATGTGAACTTGAGCTAATACTATTGTGATTTGAATTAACTTTACCTACACTAGTATGAGCTAATTTGATACAACTATTATGAGCACTGGTACTAGTTTGAGTATTGGTTCTGGTTGGTATATTTGATGTAGGTGATGACTTTTGCGATTTAGCAGTTGTTGTTCTTTGAAGTAATGCATTGGAAGCTTGTTGATAATTATTGTAAATATTTTTTGATTTTGATCTAGTTGGTAATTCTTCTTGATTATTTGCTTCTTCAGCTAATTCTTCTTCCTTTCGTAATTTAATTAATTCTAGTTTCTTTTCATTATAATGCTTTAGAACATTAATTGAACCTCGTAATATCTTTTCATTAATTTCATCATTGGACAACTTTATTTCTTCTTTTTCTTGTACCTCAAAACCTGGTAATCCATTATAACCTGATTCCAACCATTCAATCAACATTGGACTAATTTGATAATATTTATTTAATATCAATTTATTAATATAGACATTTAAGTCGTTACATCTTTTTAACAAACTTTCAACTTGATCAGTTTCATTCTCATAATTTGATGGAATAGGTTCTGGTAATTTAGGCAATTTCAAAGCATCTGCACCCTCAGATATTTTTAACAAATCAATATGTAAATTATAAAAATCTTGATAATATCTGCAAACATAACTTTTTGAATTATTTGAATAACCAATATCTAATCTGTACCAATTTCTATTTTCATACAATAAAAAGTTTGAAATTGATGCTGAAATTGGGTATGCTTTATTATTTATAGTTTTAAACTTGTTCTCTTGTTTTTTAAATTGTAAATCTAAATAATTATGATCTTGAACTAAATCAGTAGTTTTTACTTGATGTAACCAATTTAATGTAACCGGATTGGTTGCATCGTTTATTGCAATGTCGCAATATGATGCTGGAATTAAACCTGGTGTTGATAATTTATCGATAAATTTAACTAATAACCATCCGTTACCAAATCTGTCTAATAATTTAAGTATCTCACCTTTATTTACATTAATTTCATTTTCACCTTCAGCGAAGAATGAAAACTTTGCAACAAGTATGATATTTGAAACCAATTTACATTGAAAATCTGAATTAGAATCTGTTGTATTTGGTTTTGATATGGTTAAAGATCTTAATGGTCCTTGAATTGATGAAGTTATATTATTTGACGACGGTGTCGATACTGACGATGAACTAGCCATAATTGTTGAAAGAGGCTGTAATTTGTTTGTCAATAAAGTAAATTATAAAAATAGAAATTTTAATAATGGTTTTTTTTCTAATCTTCTAGAAAATGTTTTGGTTTTGAAAAAAAACTTTGATATTGTCCAATTAGATTAAAATTGAAAATGAGTTTGATTATATTTTTCGACGTGAATTGGGTTAAACTGAACTTTTTATAGTTTTATACCAAATAGGGCTGACTTTGTTACTTTGTTTACTATTTGAAAAATAAAAATAAAAAAAAAAAAAAAAAAAAAGAAAAATTCGCGTCTTGTTTTCCTGCATATACGAGATCTCGCTTAAAGTCTTGCACATAGTAGATCTCATATTTCAAATTGTAGCACATGTGCACTACCAAGAAATAGGAGCCATATAAATATCAAACTGCTTAAACTCACTTAGACTTGATCACTGCAAGTGTAATGAAACAGTATCGTGCGTGTACAAAAGTTGAGTTAGGCGCTGACTCTAATATTTATGTATCCATTATGCGAACCAGAATTTTCATGAATAAAAGTTTAAAGCTGGATTATTAAATGGACAAGTCTCTCACAACTTATATGGTTGATTTCCTTCCAGCCATTTTTGCTCAACTAAATAGAAGAATATTAGTATTGCTGGTACTCCGGAAGTGAATAATATGTATAGAGAAAGAAAAGGAAAAAGAAGAAGAGAAATTTTCATTTGATCTGTTGATAATGCAACGAATCCATCTGAAAATTGTAAATTCTACACGATTGAACTTTTACTTCTACGTAATCACGTTTCAACCATTTTGGAGAAGAACTAGTAGTTTTTGATCTGCTGTAATAAAAAATATTGTCACTTGATAATGCCAGCTAAGTTTTGAAGAAGAAGAATAGAGAATAACACCCTAGAGGTTGTTTTTTATCAAAATTATGTACTTTTGTACGATTTCGTCAAAAACTTGAAAATTGAGCTATATAATACAATTTTCATAAATGATACCCCGTCATCTATTTGATCGAATTTTAGGGGCTGTTTTTCTTGATCTTTATGTTCATGGCAATATTAGATTGTAACAATGTCAAGCTTTAGTTCTGAATCTTGATCTGTTTGAAATAAGACAACGACTATGTTTGAACTATTAAATTCTCAATCAAATCGAACTACATGATCGACGCCAATTGAGCTACATTTATTCTGCCTTGAAGCTAATAAGAAGTATCATGGATGGTTACTCAAAACTTGTGGGTTTAGTTCAAACTTTGAGTATACACTCATATCGATAATAAAGAAGCGCAAATAATTTTCTAGGACATTTTCAAATTCTTGCAGTTTATTAACATTCTCTACTCATACTTACATCACATGTGGCTCTTTTAGTCGCAGATGTGAATAATTCTTCCGCTTAAGAAATAATTTTTCCGTCTTTAGTCATTGAAGAATAACCACGATAGTTTTCAAAAAATCTAAGCAATAAATATGTATTCAAATATATATATGTATGCTCGGTTGTAATTGTAATTTACATACGATAAATATGTTAAAAGCTATAAAGATAATGCCTCAGTCCGCCTTTTGCGTTGTTCAGCTTATCTTAGCACCAACTTGTATTCCAATTTCCCACATTCATATTCAAGAGCATTTTATAAACTATAAGCAGTGAATTTTAACTATATAAGCTGGTTATTGGTCGCTTAAGCCAAGAAATACATTGTGGTGATTGTTTCATTACTAGCGGCTTGCCGTGTGTACAATTACTTAAACTGTTGAATGGTTTATTTTGTTTTATTCAATTAAGATTAATCTTGAGACAATTTTTTTTAGCCGACAGTTTACACAATAGAAAGAGAAATGCAAATGCAAAAATAACGTTATGAAATGGTGATTCTGGTTCTAACAACAGGAGATTTGGTATAAGCGTTGAGTTAATAATTCAATATAAACCTTGCTTGATTCTAAGAGCATTTAGGGTGTAAGGAAACGCAAGTTTTTATAAAACTAGCTAACATTTACAGGCTCTGACTTCAGCTTTTATGCATATTTAATGTCGAAAAAGTTTAATTTTCATTGGTTGAAAACAATACAAACAATCAAATGAGCTACAATAAAAGCAAACAGGCGATACAAAGTCAAATAATCAATGCTTTGTGGCCAATTGAAGCTGATTGTATTTAAGTGTCCACCTAATTCTATAATTATATGGGACGCTGGACAAAAAATTATTTAAAGTTCGTAAAATTTAATCTAATCTGAAATCACCATGACAACCATATGTACAAGTCAAACTATACAAATGTCTAAACTAAGTTTAATGATAATCTCTTTTGACTAATTTCTTAATTTGTGTCAAGGGTTCCTTTACCAAAATTAAACAGAAGAAGTGTCTTTCTCTCCAATTTGTAATCCTTACAATTTAAAGCTAGGTGAGACCCTCATTTTTAAGACAATTTTGCATGTGTCTGAAATATTCTCAAAGATGTTTAACTCTTTATTATTCAATTATATAAATATAAACTTCTTTTGCACTGATCCTTGATGTCAAATTGTAAATTTGTGACTTGAAGCAACATTTTTTAAATGAGACCAAACTTTCAATTTGCTCTTTGTTATTGTTTCTTCTAATCTTGATCAAATTTTAAACACGACCCCGACTTGCTCTTTATTTCATAAATTATTGCAAAATCTTTAGGTACCCAATTTTAGACGACGCGCATTTTTATTTTTTGAAAAAATTGAAGTTCAGCTAAAAAACTTTAATTTTCATGCAAAATCTGAATAAATATGACGAATGGTATTTACACAGATTAATAAAATTATGACCATTTGTTCAAGTGTTGAAACTTTGAAAATGAGAAACAAAAGTTAGTAGACTTTTGTAATCCATTTACATTTCCTCCTCTTTCATCGGAACTAAGAGATCTACATGTTTGATTGATTTACACTAATCTCCTACTATGAAGTATCAAGAGTACGTACAAACAATACAAAGAGTACAATTATCAGATTATTAAGACATTATATTGAAATGTGGGTTTGAGAAACGTTTTTTAACAAGCTGACTGTTCACGTAAGGTTTTTTTTTTACTTTTTAACGATAAGTTCTAAACAATTAAACGGCAATTTGATCAATAGATAATCAAAGTTTAAAAACGAGTCTTCAAGCTTTACACAGCTCGATTGTTTGTAATTATATATGTTTCGGTTGTTAATTACAATAGCGGAGATTAAACTTGTTTGAATTCTTATATTTTACTTTTAATTTTGAATTAAAAAATATTTCGTAAATCTTAAATAAGTCTGCATATAAAAATAACATTATAAGACTTTAAAGACAAAAAATAAAAGATTTGAATGACACGTAGATGATGATAATTCAAGTAGATTAACTAGTTATTAGCCCAACCCATATTGATCAATTGTTTCTGAGATGAAAAATTTTTCAGTTATGAGTATCTTCATTGAAATCTAAATTTGATAATTTTAACTTTCGTACAAGTTTGGTTTGTAGCCATTATCAGAAAGTATATACTTTACTGACAATTTTTTTTTATTCAATGTTGAATAAGCATTATTTGATGTTGTTTCAAAAAAAATTGCCTTTTCCTTCTATTAGAAGGAAATGAGTAAAAAACTTATACTAATTGGAGAGAGTATGCTCAAAAAAGAAGAGAGATTTAATAATTTCAATTTCAAGACCTTAGATCTGTTTAAATTTGTTTCAGGCTATTTCAATAATGATTTTAGCTAGTACCTTCTAAACGCTCAGATATCTTTCACTTATCTCACTTATTACGTGATTCTCAATTGAATAGCTTTGGTCGTAACACCATGGTTTGAATATATTTAAGTAATTATGCATGCCACCATAGTTAATTTATTTTTTTACGTAATTAATTATGGTCCCTGAATTTTTTTTTTTTTTTTTTTTTTTAAATTTATAAAATTTATAATATTTTTCAATCTCTAAACAAATTTGTGCGTTTTAATATATATATATATAACATATATTAGAAATCTATTATTCATTCTTTGTTTTCAGTCTTTTTTTATAATTATAATTATAATTGAATTTTAATATCAATTTTTATTCAATTCATTTATTTATATTAAAATCTACAATTTATTACCAATCGTTTATATTAAAATCTACAATTTATTACCAATCGAAGGCCGCAATTGATCAATTTTCCTAAATAAAGTACAAAAACTTACATACTTTTTATTTTTAAAAGTTGGCTGGTCGACTTCAATTCAATCAAATTATCAAAAACTATTTTTAAACAATTCTTATCAAGTTAAAGTAACATATTAAGGTATATACGCTAGTTTCAAAAATAAAAGTATCAATACAACTAACACTCATAACTATAAATTTTTCATAATCTTAGATTTTAGAAGAGCAGACATAACTAAATCTTTGACAGTACAAGTTCAAGCATCCTTCACGATATCAATATTTTAATTTTATAAGGTGGTAATTTGTAACACTACCAATTTACATCTACATTTGCAAATTGTAATTTTATTTCATCGTATAACATTTCAATTATTAGATTTTTGATTCAATTCTGGTCTTTCATCCTATAACATTTCAATTATTAGATTTTTGATTCAATTCTGGTGTTTATTATTTTTTTGTTTTATTTATACTAATCTTATGGATACAACTACTAGTATTGAATCATCACCTGCATCTACAGAAGATACTATACAATTAGACACATCAATAGAACAAACATCATCACCAATTAGACCACAGAGCCAACAATTTATGCAAAACCACGATCTCCAATTTGATAATCTCAATCGACCGCCTTCAGTCAATGATAATAAATCAAAATATATTCCAAATACAGTATTGCCTTGGTCAAATTCAAATACATATTATGATTATCAATATCCACCTCCTCCACCAGCTGTATTTTATCAGTATCAAAATCTGGATAATTCATACGAATTAAATCGACCTGCATTATGTCTTACAAATAATGATAATAGTTTAAATTCACCGGAAATGTACAGTTTCCAAACTGAATCTACAACATTTTTATATTCATCACAAAATGGAAACTATTCAACTGAAATGATTGTTCATGATCAAGGTGGTAGTAGGAATAGTTCCAGTCAAAATAATGTTCAAACAAATCCATGTCAAGATAAAAATGTGGTTTTAATAAATGGTGGATTTCCAATTTTAAGGAGTTCAATACGAGATCCTGAAATGAATTACCCAAATTTACAAATATCAGAGATTCATCAACCAATAAGTACTACTACTACAGGCCCTCCAGCAACAGCAATGTCTGATTTTCAAAGTGGAGTAAATCAAAATTTAACTTATACTCCAGATTATAGAATGGAAACACCACCACTACCTGCTAACCAACCTTTGAGACAACCAAAACCATCATTCAACGACAGTTATTCACAATCAATTAATATTTCAAATAGAATTGTTAAAAAATCATCTATTACCAAATTAAACAACAGCTTAAAGAAGAATTTATCAATTGCAAACACACCAATTAAATCAACAACCCCTATTTCAAGTTCTAATTCACCAATAAATAGATTCCTACCACCTAGACGATCTTTTTCGAATACATCAGCTTCATCTTGTGATTCTCCACCAATTGTCTTGAAACCACCACCAAGAACCATGATTAAGAATTTAACAGTAAAGAAGAAGCCAAGTCTCAGAAAATTAAACAGTAAACAGAGTAACCAGAATTTATATGAAAAAAGAATTGCTTTAAATTTGAATGAAAGAGTACCTGGAAAGAGTACAAATCAACCGGAACAAGGAGAATTGAGAAGTCAGTTGATTTCCCAAAGTCTGCAAATGAGTAATAATGTTGATCCAAATACATCATTAGGTGAAATTGACGAAAGAAATTCTTTACCTACATTAAATATAAATGAAACACCATCAATGAGAAAAGTAAGCACTTCATCGATTGATACATTTGATACAACAATAAGTGAAGATGAAATGATTCAAGATAAGACTTATGAAGATTTTGTGATTTTAAATAGCGAAGATTCTGAAATCATACCAATCAGGGGCCGCCCAAAAACTACTTCTCCTAAAGTTATACCTTCAAAACCTTCAAAACCTAAAATTGAAAAAGTTGATGAAAATGGGAATGTTACAAAACATAAAAGAAAAAGAACACTACCTAGATCAAAACATGGTTGTTGGATATGTCGAATTAAGCACTTAAAGTGCGATGAACTGAAACCTGAATGTAATAATTGTTCAAGATATGGTTTAAATTGTGAATATAGTTTAGAAAAGCCAGATTATGTGATTAATGAAGTATTCAGAGCTGAAAAAATGGCTGAGATATCGAGATTGAGAAAAGAATTTCAATCAAGAGCGAAAAAGAGATCCGAAAACAAAATTAAATAGGTTGGATTTCAGTGTTAATATATGCAAAATTAGATCAATGGATGTGACATTAATTATGTAAGCGAGATCTGAGATCTGAGATCTGAAATCGAGTTGTAAATTTTGCAACCTTTTTTTTTTTTTTTTCCAGATCTGAGATATAATACAAATTACAAGCAATCAACTTTATCCTTCGATATTAGAGACTACTCACTTCAGCATATCTTTAACTGCTCAAAGTGATCCCATATAACCCCTGCTTCCATTAAACTATATGCATTAAATTAACTAAATTAAGTCTATTCCCATTCACTAACTGATAATTTTTTATTTACAATTGTTTCATTCTCATTTACAGTAACAGAAACATTGCCATCTTCTAATATCAGTTGTAATTGTGGTTTATATTCAACCATTGTTACTATGTTACCTGTAAATCCAACCCAAGGACCATTTAATGGATTTATCAAATTTGGATAAGTATAATCAGTAAATTGTTCTCTTTCTTCATCAATTGTTGATTTTCTTCTTGATAATCTACTTTGTGGACGATTAACATTATTTGTTTCATAATCATTATTTGCTTCTTCATCATCATCATCTAATAAAAATGTAGATTCACCAATTGGTTCAATTTGTGTAGTTGTTTCATTACTCGATTGATCATCATCAAATACTTTATCAAAATCAAATGGATTTAAAATTGCTCTTAATGCAATAAAGGTATTTAAAGGTACATAATATTTTTCAAAATTCCAAATCATAAAAATTGTAATGAAAATTAATGGTGTACATAAAAGTGATAATAATATTGCACTTTCCAAAGCTAAAGAACCACACATAAACAATTGAAAAATGATTAATCCCAACATTATTCTTCTAAAAATCATGGGCCATACTTTACCAGTTGAATGTGGTGGATGAACAAAATTGTAAATTAGTTGATATTTATAAACGAAAAATCCAATAATAAAATAAATTAACCCACATGTAACAATTTTTGTGGATACGACTGAATAAATCAATATAATCATGAAAATCATAATATGTTGTGGCAAATTAATACCAAAATCAAATATTTGTGGAGTGAAATAATATCCTCTATAATCTCTTGGTGTTTTCAATATTAATTTCTTGAGAAAAAACAACTTACCTATAATATTCAATAAAAAGAAATCACCAACTTGTAATAATTTAACTGGAAACATGGTTAACCCTTGTAATAAAATTAAATCAACATAAAATAATGACATTCTTCTTAATGACGTAGCTAATTGAACTGCAATTTTTGTTGTATCGCTGATATATGAAATATAATCCCAAAATGTACCTGCTGCAACGTAAATTAAAAACAAGTTAAAAAATATGAAAAAGAAGTTTTTAGATAAAGTTGATAATTCAACTTCACTATTTGATGAATAACCTTGACATGTGGATAAATAACGATAAAAGTATGGAAATGAAATATTCAATAATGTGAATAATAATGGTGGTAAGATACCTGTAACAAATGTTGTAGCCCATTCTGATCTACCAATTAATTCACCTAATTTGGGCCAAAATTTAGTAATTGTTTTCAAATCTAATAAGGATGTCAATGGAACAACTAAAAATATAATAAATCCATAGCTTAGCACAATCAAAAATGTTATAAAATATGATTTGAACAATCTTTGCAAATAGGTTAATTTAAAATTTTCCCATATAATATCTTTTGGAGCTGGTGCTAAGCTGACAATTAATTTGTAAACTCTTGGATCTAATATTGTTTGAGCAGCCATTTGAGCAGATGCAACGGAATCCATCGTAATGAATGCAGACGATATCTGTTTGAATTCTGCATTTTCTTTAACATTGATTGTAGTAAGATCACTATCAAATTTATTTTGTATGAGTCTAATTTCATCATCCATTTCTCCTAACTCTTTTGATAATTGTTGTACTTGCTCTTCTTGGTATTTTGTGTAAGTAGGCTCAGACCAAAGTAAATTAACAGCTGGAATTTGTTGTAGATTATAGATATCAATGTCTGTCTTGTACATTGATGAGTACAAGTACTCCAATTTATTCACTATTTCATTTCTTCTGTTAAATAGCTTTTCTAATGGTGACCAATTGTAAATTAATTTAACATCCAATACTTTACCAATACCTAGATCCTCAATGAATTTCTTTAATCTTTCTGTTTTCAACAATTGTTTCGGTATACCATCTAACCTTATGGTTCTATCAGTAATTGAGTTTTGTGAAGCTAAATATTTCTGTCTTGTTCTCAATACAACATTTGTAAAATCATAAACATAATAAAATACAACAAATGAAAATATATAGGTGAAAATTGGATAAACCCAAAAGAATTTTGGAAAATCATCATTAAAATCAGGTGGTTTTGAAGGTTTTAAATTTATCGTTTCCTTATCATAATTCCCCGTGAAATAATATCTTATAGGACTAACAATAAATACTGCCATTAAACCAATAACGAAAAATATCTTGATACCCATTTTGAAAAATGCTAAAAATACATATGAATCTAATCCTGAGCATAATAATACTTCTTCATCACTGATTCTATAAACCACTTTAATCCACCCAAATAAATTATTTGGTAATAATTCAAGGAATTTACTGCTTTGATGTTCTTTTCTTAATGTTCTTACAGCATATATATGAGGCCATCTATACCTTAGTATACAAAATAATAAAAATAACCAAATACCAGAAATTAAGGTTAAAACTAATTGAGTAGTGAAAACTCTTTGTTGCGCTGGCTGTTGAATTGGATCTTTAGGTTTATTCTTGTCACCTTCTATAATCAGCAAACTTATCTCTAGTATGTCTAAGAACGACATCTAAACTAATTTCTGATTGTTTACCCTTGATTGAATGATATTAGCGTTGTCAATTAATCGTGAAAATTATTGATTTAGTGTAACAATATAAATTTATTATTTATTTTCCAATTAGTGACGCGAAATTTTTATTTGATTCACGTGAATCAGATTTTGCAATCGATTAATATATCAAATACGCGATACAACTGGTTATAGAGCTGAACGAAAATTTAAACTTGATGTCATATGAAATCTCTGAGGTGTTATTAACTGTGAGACGATGAGTTCATCTGTGGATTTAAGATTTTCAAGAAAAAGAATGATTGGATTCAATTAGTGCTACTGCACCCGAAAGTAGTCTCCTCTACTTGCGGGTAGCTCCTTATGCTACTTATACCACTAATAATACCTAGCACTTACTCGTTTTTTTTGTAAGACCAGTTCCTTCTGCTTAATAAAGCCGTTCGAAATGGATTTATTCCAACACCCAACGCTACCATGCATCTCTCGCACCAGTGAATTTTTTTGCAGACGAAAAAGAAACAAAAAAAAAATATTTAATCAACAAAAATCTTATTTTGGTCAATATTATCATCATAAAGCCACCATCAAAGTAGTGTGTGCAAATTGAAAGAGTAAATAAGGAATAAAATGAGTGATTTCTACATAATTATTCATATTGCCACAACTTGTGATAATACATCATTAAATTGTGTTGCAAAAGATTCGACCGAATTGATTGAGTTCGCCTGGTCAACTATTGATGCAACAACTTTGGAGATACTACATCAAGAAACAATATTAGTTCGTCCAATCAACACTCCAATAACACCTTATTGTTCACAGTTACATGGTATTTCATGGGAACATGTTAGAAATGCAAATACCTTTAAAGATGCCATTGTCAAATTTGATTCTTATATGCAACAAGAAGTTATTAAAAACGATACAGAATTTTGTTTAATTACTTTTGATATATCGAAATTAAAAATTCAATTATCAAGAGAAGCACGGGATAAGTCTGTTGTTTTACCTTCATATTTACAACATCCAAGAGTTTTTGATTTTCCAAATGAGTATTTAAAATGGCAAAAAAGTCATCCAGAAGCTTTATCTTATACAGCATCATCATTAAGTAATATTATTACAGCATTAGAAGTGGAAGTGAAAAATATTGATAGTTTTGCAAATACATCAATTTCCTCCTCATCGACCCCACCTCCATCTTATCAACAACAACAACAAAATGAGACTCAAGTAAATGAATCAGAAACAAAAGCTAAGAGTTTAATAAACTTGTATTCTCAATTAGTTACTCAATTAATGAAAAAATCTCTTCCTATTGAAGATCATCCCGATGTTTTCACAAAACCTTATGATCTAGCTCAAGATGCTCAGGTATTTTTGTCAGAAAGGTCAAAAATTTTATATCTTTCTAATTTATCAAGTGATACAACACAATCAGAATTAGAATCTTGGTTCACACAATATGGTGGTAGACCCGTTGCATTTTGGACTTTGAAAAATTTAGAAAATAATAATGATAATAAATCAAATAAGAAAGGTATTTCAGGTTTTGCTATATTTGGTACACATGAAGAAGCTGCTGAATCATTAGCGATGAATGGTAGATTATTAAGTGATCGTGCTATAGAAGTTGAACCATCATCATCAAGAGTTTTAGATAAAGCTTCAGAATTATTAACACCATTTCCACCTTCCAAAAATAGACCAAGACCTGGTGATTGGACATGTCCATCATGTGGATTTTCAAATTTTCAAAGAAGAACTCATTGTTTTAGATGTTCATTTCCTGCATCAAGTGCAGTGGCAATCCAAGAATCGATGTATTCAAAAAATAATAATAGTCGGAGAATAAATAACATTACAACCCAACCAGTTCAAGTTCAACAACAACCACAACCACAACCAATTCAACAACAATTACCAGTTACAACACCATTTATTCAACAGGATTTAAGCAATCAAGAAAATATTAATCAAAATCAAAATCGTTCACATTATAATAGTAGTGTTCCATTTAGAGCTGGTGATTGGAAATGTGATCTTTGTCTGTATCATAATTTTGCTAAGAATTTATGTTGTTTAAAATGTAGTGCTGCAAAACCAATAGTCAAAATTAATCAACTTCATAATTCAATTCATTCAGTTAATTCGACAGCAGCAGCAATTGCAGCAGCTACAGCTAGTGGTCAACCATTAAATGTAAGTAATGGATTTATGAATTTACAACAACCTCAACCGCATCATTATAATCAACAACAACAACAACAACGTCAATTTAGAAATGGATATAATCAGCAACAACCACAGCAACAAAATTATTCTCAGCAATATCAAAAACATCAATTTCAACAATTGAATCAAAGATCAGCAAATACACCACCAGTTGTATCTCAAGTATTAATGTATAATCAACAATCTAATCAATTACCTAACTCAGGTACACCAAATTCAAATCCTGAAATTGCAACACCATCGTCCCAACAAAGATTTTCATCAGCAGTTGTTCAAAATTCACCTGGATTATATTCATCAATGTATCAAAATAGTTTTAACAATAGAAGTAATAAATCATTACAACAAGAAAATAATTCATCTGCATTGCAATCATTTAGTTCATTGAATTCTCAAATGAATTCTTTAAATTTAAATTAGTTTTTTTTACAATTTTTTATTTTTGTTTTTAATTTAGGTTTGTTTTCGTCAACACAGAATTGTAATTAATAATAATATTTTAATGTGTATTTATATAAAAATTAAGGAGTGTTTTAGTGAGGGTAGGTTTTATATATATAGATTATGTTAAATTTGTATAGTTCTAATAATATTATGAAGTGAAATAGTCAACTGGTAGCGATAAATTGATCAAGAAAAAAAAACACGTAAAAATATATCAATTTTCAACAAGGTTGACTATGGTTGAAAATAAATATTCAGTTATTTTACCAACTTATAATGAAAAAAGAAACTTACCAATATTGGTATATTTATTGCAAAAGACGTTCACTGAACATAAATTGAATTGGGAAGTTATTATAGTTGATGATAATTCACCAGATGGTACTCAAGAAGTTGCCAAAAAATTAGTTTCACTATTTGGTGAAGATCATATCAAATTAAAACCAAGAGCTGGTAAATTAGGTTTAGGTACTGCTTATATTCATGGTTTAAATTTTGTTACTGGTAATTTCGTAATTATAATGGATGCTGATTTTTCACATCATCCAGAAGCTATACCTGAATTTATTGCAAAACAAAAGACAAAAGATTATGACATTGTTACTGGTACAAGATATGCTGGAGATGGAGGTGTTTATGGTTGGGATTTCAAAAGAAAATTGATTTCAAGAGGTGCTAATTTTTTGGCAACTGTTGTTTTAAGACCAAATGTATCTGATTTAACTGGTTCTTTTAGATTATATAAAACTGAAGTATTGAGAAAAATTATTGATGTTACTAAATCAAAGGGATATGTTTTCCAAATGGAAATGATGGTAAGAGCTAGAGCTTTAGGATTTTCAGTTGGTGAAGTTCCAATTTCATTTGTTGATAGATTATATGGGGAATCCAAGTTAGGTGGAGATGAAATTGTTCAATATGCAAAAGGTGTTTGGTCTTTATTTACCAGTGTTTAATATATGCAAGGATGCAACAAACAGATGAGTCAATAATATACATTTAATCTAATTTTGTCAAATCTACAACATATCTCCCTTTAATCCTACCTTCTTCTAATAATTTGAAAATTTCTGGTATATCTTTAAGACTTGCAATTTTAATTGGTGATTTAACTTTACCTTGCAATACATAATCTAATGCTTCTTGAGTATTTTCGCGATTTCCAACACATGAGCCAGTTATAGTTAATTGTTTTGCAATTGCAGCTGCTATTGAATACGTAAATGTTCCATTTTCATTAGGAGGTACAGCTATTAATGCAACTTTACCCATTTTTCTAGCATAAATAAATGATTGATTAATTGCAGTTTGAGAACCTGAAACATTTAATACACCATGAGAACCTCCATTTGTAATTTCTTTTACTTTCTCGGCTACATTTGATTCCTTTGTATAATCAATATAAGCATCAGCACCTAAAGATTTGACAAAATCGAATTTGTCACCTTGATCAATTCCCAAAACTTTCAATTTAAAGGCTTGTTTAGCATATTGAAGTCCTAATGATCCTAAACCACCACCTGCTCCAACTATGGTTATCCATTGACCAGGTTTTAAATTTAAATTTTTAATTCCTGAATACGAAGTTAATCCACCGCATAAAATTGGACTCAATTCTGCATGATTTGCATCTTTTGGTATATGAGCAGCTTGACGAAAGTCAACAGTTGCATATTGTCGAAAAGTACCATTTGTAGAATAACCAGAAGTTGTTTGTTTATCGCACAATTGTTCAAGATTGTTGTTACAAGTTTCACAATCCATACAAGCATGATTTAACCATTTAATACCTGCAAAATCACCAATTTGAAAATCAGTAACATCTTTACCTAAAGCAACGACTTGTCCAATACCTTCATGACCTCCAATTAATGGTAAAGTAGTAGGAGCAGGCCAATCTCCTTTCCAAGCATGTAAATCAGAATGACAAACACCAGAATAATGAACTTTGATTAATATTTCATGATCTTTGGGTTTAGGAACAGGAACATCCTTATAATAATTCACCACCATGTGTTTCAAATATGATAGCATTTTGAGTTTTTGGGATATTACTCAAATCATTAGGTGATGGAGCAGCATGTTGTTCAAAAATTGGTTTTTGTGTCTTTGGAACTTCAAACATTTTGATGATTTGTTAATTGTGCCAGATCGCCCAAATTTATACCTTCAAGATAATGTAAATCATGAAACAATAGACTTTTGAATGATTGTCTGATTTGTGGGGAAGAAAATTGGAAATATAAATTCACCCTGTCCTCTTGTCTATAGTTATGAATTTACGAATCCAATTATAAATCAACTGATTTTGGTATTTTAAACAGCCAAAAACTAGCACCCTGGTTAAAACATCTAAAACGTTTGCCAAAACTTCACATGGCCCAAATCAATGTACTAATAACCGACCTCAAATGACCAATAGTGAGTGGGGATAATAGCAATTTTGATTCTGATTAATTATCAATCCTTCTTATCTCCTATCTTGATTTTGTCATACAAGCGATATAATAATTATTTAAGATTACCTATTTATATATTTTGACATGGTGTGCATACGGCTAATCAAAAAGCCGCCTAATTTTTTCTTCTGTTTTTTTTTTTTTTTCATTTTTCATGTTTCAGTTTTGAATGAATGAATCCATTTAAGAAACAGAAAAGAGATAATGATATTACATCAGATATAGATAGATCAGTATTAAATTTTGATTTAGAGAAGATATGCAGTGTTAAATTGACATCAAATAATATTTATTGTTGCTTAAAATGTGGGAAATTTTTCGAAGGGAGATCAAATTCATCACCAGCTTATAATCACTTCATTCAAACATTTCATAGTAAATACCTTAATTTGACTACTAAAAAGTTTTACACACTACCTGAAAAAAATGAAATTGAGACAACAATTGGATTACAAGACATAATTGAGAATTTAGAACCTCGTTATAAAAAGGAAGATATTGAAACACTACCAAGAATTTCATTCGATTTAAATGATAAAAAATACATGGTAGGATACGTTGGACTTCATAATGTTAATAATTCTGATTATTTAAATGTAATTATCCAGATGTTTGCTCATGTCAAACCAATTAGAGATTATTATCTATTATACGAATCTGAAACAAACAATTTGGAAAATAAATTAGCATTATTAATCAAGAAAATATGGTCACCTTTATTATTCAAGAGTCAAGTATCACCAGTAGAGTTAGTCAATAGTTTAAAGAAGGACTTTCATCACTTACCAAAACAATTTTTGGTTTGGCTACTTAATAAAGGTCATTTTCAAAATACATTTCAAGGAAGTATTGAGATTACAACTATACCGATCGACTCACATGAGTTAAATAATAAAGTAGAGTTTATTAGAGTAGATAATAAGAAGAAACTAGTCGAGCTGAAATTTTGGTTACTATCATTAAATGTACCATTGAATACATTGCATGAAAATAATAAAAGAGTTGATTTACAAGATTTGATGATTAAGTATTCTGGTGAAGAAGTACAGGAAGAGAAATGCATTAAGATATATAAGATCACAAAACTACCGAAGTATTTGATAATCTCATTTGAGAAAAGTCAAAATTCGGCTATTGTGAATTTTCCAGAAACTTTAAAAGTTAACTCATCAAACTATCAATTAATCTCAAGTATAAAGAAGGCAGATGGTTGGTCGATCTCATTAAAGACTAAAGAAGACACCTGGTTAGATATGAAAGATACAAAAGTAGAATCAACAAAGAAAGATTTATTACATTTAAGTGATAACTATATTCAAGTATGGGAGTTAATATAAGCATTGCATTTATCTAGTAATGAAGCATCTATGCACTTACCCAACTCTGTATCCTTTAGGAATTGACTTATTATAACAACAAAACCTGTGACTTTACTCAAAATAACGTCATTTTTATTTTCTAAATAATTTTCAATTAATTTTAAATTAGACTTAAATTCGGCTACTTGCAATCTGTATAACTCTTTATAATTGACGTTTGGGTATCTTACTTTTAGGTTATTCCATGATAAAATTTGCTGCTTGAACTCGTAAATTTCAAATGAATCTAAGTCATCAAACATCTCTTTCAATAAATCGTCATTCACCTCATTAATTAAGCATAGTATGAGCGTATCAAAGAATTGTAAATCTATCAAGTCATTTATAAATTTATCTTTCTCATCTTTTAAGTTGTTCTTCGTTATACTATAATTAATCTCATTTAAATTTCGAATTGTTCTTATCTCATTGTCTTCGATTAATATTGGTAGTATATCATTCGACGAACTGTAATTAGACAACTTTAGAATTCCCGACTGACCATCATCATCTTTTTCAGTAGCTAATTTAAGGTTATTTTTACTTGCTAGTATTAAACTTATGCCTAATGATATTGGATCAGTTGGTAAATAAATTTGATTATATTTGAAAACATTATAAACACCCAATATAAATTTACCATCTGATGAACCCTTATAATAATAAACACCTTTTGGATCTATAGAACTTGTCTCATTTTTATGAGTAACCAATGGTACTGAATCAAAGATCGATTTTATCAAATTTGGTACTGGCATGGCACTAATTTTTCAATAATTTTTTTTACTAAGAAAAAGCGTTGTAATCATATTCTAGAGTACACTTGAGGTATATATTAAATCTAAAGATCATCCACTGATACTAAATCAATTGACATATCAAACCATTTAGTATTTGCAAATTTACAATCACTTTCACCTAAATTATTAAAACCAATTTTTTCATAAAATGGTATTAAATCTTCATGAACAATTATTATTATTTGATCACCTAAATCTTGATTCGATAATTTTTGTATATAATCATGTAATAATAAAGCACCTAAATTTTTCTTTCTCCAAGCGGGACTTATGACAACTGAATGAATTCCTATAAATCTTGATGATTCATGATGACCTGTTTTTGGGGTTTCTTTTGATGGTAATTGCATAGATTCATTAGTTATTCTATCACTGGCAATTTTTGTAGCTAAAATATGACCAATTAAAGTTTCATTTGTAACTGAAGTAGCTTGTGGTAATTCATCGTCATCATCTTCCTCTTCATTATTGGTATTAGAATCCTTACCTTCTTTATCATGTTCTTTTTGCAATTTTTCTGCAACTTCTGGTAGGTTTATTGAATTATATTTAAAATTATAATCTCTAATGAATAAACCCGAACATAACTCAGGTGCAACACTTAATCTATATTTTAAACTTTCCGGACTACATCTTTCTTCCTCTGGAAATCCGTCTTGTTCTAACGCAATACATTTATCAATATCCTCGATAGTCAAAGGTCTTATTGATAAATTTGGAGGAAAGTCAGACATTGGTATTAATGGTGATTATTTTTAGTAATTTTTTTTTTTTTTTTTTTTGTACCAAATTTTTAAAGTCTCGTGCTACAAACTCGTGCTACCAATTGCGTATATATTGTTATTCTAAATAGTCAGGTTCTACGTCTTCTTCTTCATGATTATTCAGTAATTTGGAACTTATCTCCCATAAATGTACTTTATTATCATCTGCAGCTGATCCTAAAGTCCAATTTCTATATGGACACCATGTTAAATCAGTAACACCCAGTGTATGTCCAGCATGTATCATAAATAATTCAGGTGCACCATCTTCTGCATCTTCTTGTAATTGCTCTTCACCAATTTTAAATAAATCCCATATTATTATTCTTCTATCTTGTGAACCACTAGCTAATATACCATCTTGATGTGGTGAAAATTCCATACAAGTTATACCTTCACTATGTCCCATCATTGTATGTAATAAACCTGAATTTCCATTTGATGATAATTTTCTTAGATCTATTAAGTTTATATTTGAATTTGCATTACCTATAGCTAATATATTATGAGAAAATGGTGAAAATGTTAATGAATTTATCCCTGTACTACCCACAGCATGATATTTAGATACTACGTCACCACTTCTTAAATCAAATAAATAAGTAAATTCGTCTTCCGAAACAGAAGCAAATAAATATTCATTAAAATTATGCCATTTTGTATCATTTACAATATTTGTAGCTGCTTCTGATTTAAAAAGTAATATATTATCTTTATTAGTGTCACTAACACATGTTAAATTATCATCCGCACCAGTTAATAATAATCCTTTGTTAATTGGGTTCCATGATAATCCATACCCATTATCTGAATGTGGTTTAAATGATGAATAACTAGTTTCATTTGAATCTTTGGCATTGTATAAGTTAACCTCACCTGCTCCGTTTATAGTACTTATAATATTTGGATCTTGTGGCATATATCTTGCTCTACATATTTCATAATCATTTTTAAATTTTGAAGTTATATTAATTCTTGGATTTGCTCGAATTTTAACATCATCTGAAATTTGAGTACCTGCAATTTTCAAATAATTAGTCTCTTGACCTGATGTATTTGTACCTATTAATAATTGAGCATTAATTAATATATCATCATCTTCATCTCGAGAATAATTAGGGAACCATTGAATAGTTAATGAAGGCCATAATAAATTAGTTTCAGAAACAAATTCATACATATATCTACAATTCTTTCTCCATAATTGATATTCTTCTTCAATTGTTAATTCCTTTTGAATTTCTTCACCTTGTGCTGGTGGTAGTGATAAATCTGACATGGCGATAATTTGTTGTGAAAATTGAAAATTTCGCGTTTCATATTTTTATATTTATTTAATCTATACGTCTAATAATAAAGAAGTTTCATAACAGTCTATAACTTTTAATGCATCACTTATTCGATTAAAGAATGGTTTATTGTATATATCTTCAATTAAATTGTAACATGACAATATACCTTGATCTACATTATCATTATTTTCAGCAATTTGTTGCATTGAAAAATATTTTAAATCTGATAAATCTTGAATAAGTAATTCTATAATCTTAGCTTGTCTTAATTTCTCTACTACTTGTTCATTTGAGACTCTGACAAACAATGTTTTTATAAATCTGTTTCTATAACCAGTTATCACGTCTTTTAAAATTCTCAAAGCTGACGAATCAATCACGGTCATTCCTTTTAAATCAAATATAATGTACTTATTCATCGTCTTATCTCTCAGTCTTTTAGATGCTGGATGTGCTTTAGTTGATCCATATAATTCAACTCTTTTCAATCTTGCATTTAAATCAGATGAATTTGTAAAAGTTAAAGGTTCTGGAATTTTAATAATTAAACAACCTTCAACTTCTTCTATAACATTCTTATTAATTTGTCTTTGCTGAGAGTCGTTAAATAAGTTTAAATGAACACTTTTTTCAAGATTATCAGGAGTAGTAGTTGGAATATCAGCATCTATAAAAGTATTCGTATTCGGATATCTACCTAATATTTGTATTCTTGATTCTGCTGAGTTTTTAATAACACGAATTAGTGAATATATCAATCCCAAGAATACTCCATGTTCCATTGAAAAAGTTAATGTGAAAAATACAGTAATTCCAAAAGTAATTAATTCTTCATAACCTTTTGCTTTCCAATGGAAATAAACTTCATACGGTGCTTCTTCAATTAACGATATACCAATAACTGCAGTGACAACAGATAACATACACTGAGGAACAAAATATAGATATTTCAAAAAGAATGCAATTGCAAGCAAAGTGAAAATTCCCATTATCACACCTGACATTGTTGTTTTTGCAGATATTGCATTAACTTTTGATCTTCCATATCCTCCAAATGCAGGTAATGCTCCAAACAAAGAACCAATGATATTAATACTTCCAAGTGCAATTAATTCTCTATTTGATGAAATTGGTAAATCATATCTTGATCCTAAAGACTTTGAAGCTGTTGTACTTTCAAAAAACCCCAACATTGCACATAATAATCCAGATGAAGATAATTTTTTAATCAAATGCCAACTATTCAAGGATATTGGATTGTATAATTTAAACTCGTTATGATTTTTGATCTTTCCTATTATTTCAATTCCTTCTAAATCCCATCTATAATATTCACAAAGTATTGTTGAGCCAGCAACAACTAATAAGATCTCAGGTATAAATACAGCATATGATTTCTTGGACATTTTTTTGAAAATCCGTATACCCATGATAATCAAAAATCCAACTAAACTGATTCTCAACGTTAAAGTGTCATATTGTGTGAAATAGGATAACAAAAATCTAAGTTTATCAAATGGTGAGTGAATATCCATTTGCGATGGATCATCTGAAATTTCCTTCATTAAACCTTCTAAACCTAAAGTAACAACCAATGCATTGATAATCATAACTATACCAACAGCAGATATAAAACCTTTCAACAATGATCCACTTAGTACGTTATCCAAAAAACCAAATCTACCTAAACCAAAACCTAATAAAGTAGCACCACTAACAAATGTAATAGCGACAACATATTCTAAAGGATCTAATTGTTTCTTCTTTGCATGATGTAACAATGGTTCTACAGCCTGACCTACAACCATTGAAATTGGAGACTCTGGACCAACTATTAACTGTGGACAAGAACCAAAAACTCCATAAATTAATGGAGAAATACCCAATGAATATAAACCACTTATAACTGGCACATGTGCTAATGTAGTCGCATAACTTAATGATAAAGGTAATTGAAAAAACACCAATGTTAAACCACCAATCAAATCACCAATGAAAAATTGTAAATTATAGTGTTTAATCCATGATAAACAAGGTAAATAATACGGTAAAATTTCACTCCAAGTCAAATTTTCAACACTATTTGTATTTGTAGGATAATATTCAGTATCTTTGACTATTATAGAATTATCATCTGGAATATATGTATTTGAATCTTGTGAATTTGTTGATTTGTCTAATAAAGTTGATCGTTCATTATGAACTCGACGATTTGAAATGACTCTAATACTTGGTGATGGACTTGCAAATCTTCCACTTCTATTTTCATTAACTGGCGAAGATATTTTGAACCTATTTCTATGCTCAGGTATTGGTGAATTTACCTTATTATTATCAGTCATTGTAGTTGCATTGATTTGATCAATTTAAAAAAATAAATCCTAATCAGATAAAAAATTACTCGGTGGAAATTTTTTGTGCAATGTTTTTTTAGGTGCAAAATGCTGCAATTTATTGTTATGACAACCGACAAAAAGTGAAGAAAATTGCTTCTAAGTTAGTTTAAAGTGAAGAATGAGTGATCATTCAATTTATAGTAAATAAATGATGATATATTTGCTTGAAGTTCAAGATTTTAAATGAATTTTGAGCGTTTTGGTGATTCGAAATTATATGTGAGTTATTTTTACCGCGCGCATTTTTTGGGCAATTTATTTTTCCCATGGCGCAAAATTTTTTTTTGGGGGGGGGGGGTGTACTAAAAAGCCCCTTAAGCAAATAAGTGCAAAGCAGATGTCTTCAGGTCTTCAAATAAGCTTGAGTGTATCAGTAATGTATTTTTGTGCTACTACTGATGTTTGTTGACTTTGTTGGCAATCCACAGTTATTTTCGATCCAATTATTCTTCTTAAAATGTCATTTTGAAGCAAGATATTGCCAAAAGTGTTGTCTCAATTGAAAATCATCAGTTTCAAAGGGTTACGTTATTTGTTGAAAAGAAAGGATGAAAGAATGTCTTTTAAACTCATTTAAATATTAACAGTAGTAGTATTAAAAAGTAAACCGTTTACGGAATAATAGTAGTGCAACAATTGAATTTTTTTATACCAACTTTTCAATTTTTCATTCAAGAGTCATATAACCATAATGTTGGCATTTAGAAGATTATTTTCTACATCGAGGATAAGACTAGATACATTGATATTAATAGAAAATGTAAATAACAAAATTTCACCAAATTCCTTATCAACAATCACAGCAGCACAACAAATTGGTGAACCAATAAATGCAATTATAATTGGAGATCAAAGTGAAAATTTATCAAAACAAGTTGCTGAAATTAAAGGAATAAATAAAGTTTTAATAGCTAAAGATTCAAAATATAATCATTATTTAGCTGAAGAAGTTTCACCATTACTTAAGTCAGTAATTGAAGAAAACAAATTTAATCATTTTTTAATTAGTGGTTCATCAGTTGGTAAAAGTATATTACCAAGATTAGGTGCATTATTAAATGTTCAACCAATATCAGAAATTATTAAAGTTATAGATCCAAAAACATTTGTTAGACCAATTTATGCTGGTAATGCATTAGCAACAGTTAAATCAAAAGATGATATAATTTTAGCATCAGTTAGAGCCTCTGCATTTCCCCAAACTGAAGAAAAACAAGATGCAGTTAAAATTCAAGATTTGAACAAAGATATAGAGTCAGGTAATTATAATGAATTTGTTACGGAACAATTATCATCATCAGAAAGACCAGAACTAGGATCTGCGAAAATTGTAGTTGCTGGTGGAAGAGGTTTAAAAAATAAAGAAATGTTTGATAATTTATTAGAACCATTAGCTAATAAATTAAATGCAGCTATTGGTGCATCTAGAGCAGCTGTTGATTCTGGATTTTGTGATAATTCATTACAAGTTGGTCAAACTGGTAAAATTGTAGCACCTGATTTATATTTTGCAATTGGTATTAGTGGTGCTATACAACATTTAGCAGGTATGAAAGATTCAAAAGTAATAGTAGCAATTAATAAAGATGGAGAAGCTCCAATTTTTAATATAGCTGATATTGGATTAGTTGGTGATTTAAATGAAATATTACCTGAATTATTAGACAAGGTTAAATAAATATACGAAGTCACATGACATTTTAGCGCTACCAAAATTTTTTGAGTCACATGACAATTTTAATGCGCTACCCCAAATTTTTGTAATGACGAGAAATCATCAATTAATACTTCTTCTTTTGATCTACAAAATAATATGTCTGACGAAGAATTATCAAAATCCTCATCTTCTTCTTCATTTGTTCCTGTTGATCGAAGACAATTGAATGATGCTATACAAATTATAAATGAAGACAAAATTTTTAATAATCAAATTTTAGATTATATTAATAAAACTTCACCTTCTGATGTTGGTAATAATTATCATATAATATCTGTTTTTGGTTCTCAATCAACTGGTAAATCAACATTATTGAATAAATTGTTTAATACTAATTTCGATGTTATGGATGAATTAAATAGACAACAAACTACAAAAGGTATTTGGTTAGCTTATTCGCCCGTGGTATCAACAAATTCAGGTCATACTTCATCAAAGTCTAATATTTTAGTAATGGATGTAGAAGGTACGGATGGTAGAGAAAGAGGTGAAGATCAAGATTTTGAAAGAAAAGCTGCGTTATTTGCTCTATCAACTTCAGAAATTTTAATAATTAATATTTGGGAAACTCAAATTGGTTTATATCAAGGGGCTAATATGGGTTTATTAAAAACTGTATTTGAAGTTAATTTAACCTTATTTGGTAAAGCTAAATTGGACACAACAAAGAAAAATGATCATAAAGTTTTATTGTTATTTGTAATTAGAGATCATATTGGAGTCACACCAATTGAAAGTTTAGCACAAACATTAAAAGCTGATTTAGTTAACATGTGGAATAATTTAGCAAAGCCAAATGAATTGGCACATTTACAATTTGATGATTTCTTTGATATAAATTTCCATGCATTAAATCATAAAGTTTTGCAACCAAAAGAATTTGAACAAGGTATCAACAATTTAGGTGATAGATTAATTGTAAATAATGAATTATTTAGACTTGAATATCATCATAATATACCAATTGATGGTTGGACTTTATACGCTGAAAAATGTTGGGAACAAATTGAAAATAATAAAGATTTAGATTTACCAACACAACAAATTTTAGTAGCACAATTTAAATGTGATGAAATTGTTGATCATGAATTCAATGAATTTTTGATTAAGTTTCAAGAATTTTTCAAAGAAATTAAGGAGGATCCAGATCATGAACAATTGGGTTTATTATTTATAGATTTAAGAAATGATATTTTGGAAAATTATGATCAAGATGCATCTAAATATAATTCAATAGTTTATGAACAAAGAAGAAATAAGTTGAAAAGTTTAATGAATGAAAAATTTAAGGAAATTTTTTATGTATATTCTAAACAATTGATTAATAAGAGTTTGGTACAATTCCAAAAGGATTTAGTCGATTTAAAAGGTATTGATTTTCATAATAAACAACAAGCTATAGCTGCTAAATTAATTGAAGATATAATTTTGAATCTTGGTTTTATTTCATTACAAGGTGATATTCCAACAAATGATATAACAACTACATTAAAAAAAGACATGGATGAAATCATAAGTATACAACAAAAGATTGAATTGAATAATATTGTAAATAAATCAAGTAAAAAATTGTCAAATAACTTATCGAAATTTATTCAATCTGAAATCCCAAATGTTACTGAAAATACATGGAATAATATTTTAGAACATTTTAATAAGTTAGTTTCTGAATTTACTGAAAAATATAGTTATGGATTCGATTTAGGAACAACTGATGAAGAAAATGAAATGGCTATTTCAAAGTTTAAATTCAAATCATGGAATCAATTTTATGGAATTTTGCATAAATTAATTACAGAGGAAAAATTATTAGTTTTATTACAAGATAGATTTGATGATAAATTTAGATATGATGAGAATGGATTACCTAAATTATATCAAGATTCAACTGAATTGGAAAAGACATTTAGTGACGCAAAAGAATATGCATTAAAAATTTTACCAACATTAACTATTGCAAAATTAAATGATGATTCAGAAATTATACCAGAGTATGATATATTTAATCAAGAATTGAGAAGGAAATATTTAGGAGTAATTGAAGATGAAGATGATGAAGATGAAGGAGAAAGATGTTTTGCAGAAATTATTAACGAACAAGATAAATCGACCATATTAACTAAATTTAAGAAGGAAATAGATGCAAAATTTGTTGAAACTAAAAGATCTATTGTCCAACATATCACATCAATACCATATTATATTTACATTATCATTATATTACTCGGTTGGAATGAATTTATGGCAGTTATTAGAAATCCATTCTTTTTTTCACTATTAATTTTAATTGGTGCATCATTATATATATTATATACCATGAATTTATTAAAACCAGCTATGGTAGTTGCACAAAGAATGATCGATGAAGTCATTGTTGTTGCAAAGGAGAAATTAAGAGAAGTATTAATTGATGATCATGCAGCTCAAGCAAGAAATTTAGCGAAAATAGCCGGAAACAAACCGGAGGATGAAGGTGAGGAAATTGAATTACAAGAAGTAAATAGGTGACTTTTAGTTGATAAATGTATATTTTACAACTGGAAAAATTTCAATTCCAAGAAAATAGTTTAAAACAAGAATTAGGGGTTGACCCGAAGATAAAGACAATGACGTGAAGATGGAGCAGTATAGTGGTAATCTGATGATGATATCAAGAAAATTCGATTATTTTTCATGTATCATTTTTACGATAAACCATGTTACCAAAAGATAAAAAAACTGGAGTACATTTTATCCAAATGTGGAGTTGGCATTTAAGCCGAGCTCAGTCGAGATTCGTTCAAAATATTGCGGCCCTGTAGTCAATTTAATCTCGCACTACCTAATACCATTCTGTACTGTATATAAAGTGAAACACAAAAGTTTAAAAAAATTTAATTCAATACAATTAAGTTACATTGAAAATATTTATGCAACATTAATACATTTACAATTCATTCCAAATAACTATTCATTCTAACAATTTTCAAATGGCATTTTAAATTCTATCTACTACAACATTGTTCTATTACTTTTGGTTTTACTACGTTAATACGATATTTTTATTAAAAGTTGAATTAATCTTATTTTTTATAGAAGTCTAAATGAAACATTTATACTTTAAAATTTTAATCAATTTTAATCTTTTATACCACCAGTGTTCAATATCAGAATCAAACTAAACCACTTCATACCACTGGCTTAATAATATAAATATATCAACTAATTTTCGTTAATTTTTGCATTAATTTCAATTTCTACCACCCACCCCGAAAATGTTAAATATTATTCAAACAGTTAATTTACAAAATGATAATGCTTCTAATAAATCAATAATAGATAATTTGGATCTTGAAGATTTATCTCCACCAAGTGATATCTCATTAGAAACTGAATCAAGTATATTACCAAATATTTTATCATCATTTACCGAAAATTTAAATGATTTAAATATAACTAAACATTCAGATTTTTTACTTAAAGATTTCAAATCTTCATTAAAAAACAATTCTAAAATTACAATGTTGACAAATTATCCAATTGAACCAACCGGTGATGAATTTGGTAAATATTTAGTTATTGATTTAGGTGGTTCAACTTTAAGAATTGCTGTTGTAAATATAGATGATGATTTAAATAAATCTAGACAAGATAGAGTTTCAGTTGTAGTTGAAAAAAAATGGATTATTGAAAATAATTTCAAGACTATTGATTATAATTTTTTCAAATTTATTGGTGAGAAGATTGAACAAACTTTAAAAGAACAAGATTTAATTGAATTAGATAGTGTTATTAAAACTGGTATTACTTGGTCGTTCCCATTAGAAACTACAAATTATAATAATGGTAAAATTTGTCATGTTTCAAAAGGTTATACAATTGACGAAGAAATTTATAATAAAGATTTAAAAGATGTTTTGGAATCGGTATTGAAAGATAATTTTAATATTCAAATCGATATTGAAAGTATTTTGAATGATTCTTTAGCTGTTTATTCTGCTGGTTGTTTTATAGATGATCATATGAAATTGGCAATGGTTTTAGGTACTGGTTTTAACATGTGTTGTTCATTGAATAAAAATGAAAACATACATGACGATAAGATATTAAGTAATGTAAATTTGTTCAACACTGAATTATCATTATTTGGTACTAGTTTAATTAAAGATGTTGCTACAAAATATGATTCAATTATAGATAATAGATTTTCACAAGCTACTTTGAATTTCAAAACTTATATGGAAGCTGATCCATCAAATTCAAAATTATTCCAACCAAATGAATTAATGACTAGTGGTAGATATTTACCAGAATTAACAAGATTAATTTTATTAGATTTGATTGAAAATGAAGAAATTTTTACAAATATAAATAAAGAACAATTACATGAAGTATTATCAAAAGAATATGATGAAAGTTTCGATGGTGAAATTGTTTGTTTTATTAGTGAAACTGAAGATTTAAATGAAATAATTTCAAAATTCAAAGATTTATATTCTTGGGATATTTTAAAAAGTGATATTTTAATAATTAAAGAGGTATTGAATGTAATTATAAAAAGAGCTGCTTTTATAGTTGCAACCTCAATTATCGGATTTTTTAAATTGATAAATGATAATAATGAAGAAAAAATTGAAAATAATAATATTACAATTGGCTATGTTGGTTCAGTATTAAACTATTTTCATAATTATAGAATTTTAATATTGGATTATGTTAATAATAATGAAGAAATTAAAAAAATGGGTATTACTATAGATTTAAAATTAATTGAAAATAGTTCAATTATTGGTGCTGCAATTGGTGCCGCTTATTACTCTAAATAGATAATGAACATATGAGATGAAACAAGTAAAAAAAATTGACTTATTGTAGAGTGACTTCAAGTAAGTCTTTTATATATTTTTTCTATTTCTTTACATATATTAATAAATTTATTAGAATCATCTCAAAGCTCTTTACGATTCTAAGAAGTTGCATAAACGTATTTTATCTCGCGCCAGATTTGCAACAGCTCGCTCTAATCTTTGGACCAAAGAAATAGTTGTTCGCTCTGTTAGCCGTGCTGAATATTTCCGAGACGAGACGAGACTTGTGTTAGATTTCTATAAGCATTACCATATTATTAAATATATATATACACACATCTATAATTTTGATTTTATGCCAGCTGCAGCATTATCACATACTATTAAAACATTATCATGATCTTGTAAATAACTTGATGGATAATTTGGATCATTTGCTTGACCATTTATAGTTTTATCCAATGCAAAATGTTTATTACCACCCAATACAATAATTGCAATTTCTTGTGAATTATCTAAAATTGTAGAAATACCAACACTTAAAGCATGTTTTGGAACTTTATTTTCATCATTTTCAAAAAATCTTGAATTTGCTTTTATAGTACTTTCAACTAAATCAACTTTTCTAGTTTTTGAATCTCTTGTTGAACCAGCTTCATTAAATGCTAAATGACCTTCTGGACCTAATCCACCTAAAAATAAATTAATTTTACCATATTTCTTAATTTTATTTTCATACTCAGCACATTCTTTTTCGATATCATTTGTTAAACCGTTTAAAATATTAATATTTTTTCTAGGTATATCAACATGATTAAAAAATTTATCATACATAAAATAATGATAAGATTGCGGATCTGATGGTTTTAAGCCTAAATATTCATCCATATTAAAAGTAACAACATTTTTGAAACTTACTAAACCTAGTTTATTAGCTTCAATTAATTTACCATATATACCTTCTGGCGATGAACCTGTTGGTAAACCTAAAACAAATGGTTTTGATGAAGTTGGTTCGAATGAATTAATTTTTTGTATAATATAATTTGCTAAATAGTCTGAAGCATCATTAGGGTTTGAAAAAGTTGCCTGTCTCATAATTACTATTATAAATTTCGATAAGGTTTTACAAGTATAAAATAATTAGTTTATATATCAATCAATTTTTCATTTTTAAAATGGTTACCTGATAGATACAATATAAAGAAAAGAAACCACTGATGTAATATAGTTCTTAGGTGGTAATTGTATTTTCAAAAATAGTAATTACTCCATAATTTTCTAAAAATGCAACATAATAAAAGAAATGTAACATAGATTCATCGGCTATCGATGTTGCATTTTTTCATAGTATGGTGTTTCAGAATTTATTTTTTTTTTTCTTTTGCTTTTAACCGAAACTAAACGTGAAGCCGATTGTTCTATAATATAATACTATGCAACATGGTAGCTTTCTTCTACTTATTGCTTTTGATTTTTAATTACTTACTAAATAGAAAAAACAGATGATGATATAATTTATATTTCTTTATATTTATATTTATATATATTTATATGATTCTTTAGAAATGATGGTTATATAACTAGATTCATTTCATTAGAATTTAATTAGAGTTTTATTAATAGTTTATTTTTATATCCCTTGTGCTTCAGTGCTTTATAATGTTTACTAAATTTACAAATTGTCATTTAATTGATAACGGTGAATTATACGAATTTACCGATTTATACGTTAATCAAAAAACTAATAAAATATGTTCAAAACCAAATAATTTAGAGTTGATTACAAAAACTATAGATTTAGATGGTCAATTATTAGCTCCAGGTTTTTTGGATATTCAAAATAATGGGATTTATGGTTTAAATTTTTCAAATTTAAATAGTGATTCAAGTGAAGAAGATGTTAGTGAATTTAAAAATTTTTATAAAGATGCTATGACTAAATATTTATCAACTGGTGTTACTGGTTTATGTCCAACAGTTACTTCTAATTTTCCAGAAGTTTATCCAAAAGTTTTACCATTATATAAAAAATCAAGATTATCAAATCAATGTGATTCATTAGGTGCTCATTTAGAAGGTCCTTTTATAAATTTAAAAAAGAAAGGTTGTCATCCTGTTGAGACTTTTGTTGATGCAAAAGAAGGTACTTCAAAATTAAATGAAATATATGGTGATGAACTTGACAATGTTTGTATAATAACTGCTGCTCCTGAAATTGAAGGTGTTTTAGATTTAATTCCCGAGATTACTTCAAAAAATTGTGTTTATTCCATTGGTCATACAATGTCGGATTATGAAACCGGTAAAAAAGCAATTGAATTAGGTTGTACAATGATTACTCATTTATATAATGCTATGCCACAACCACATCATAGAGACGCTGGTGTTGTTGGTTTAATAAGTTCTCCAGATGTTAAAGAAACTCCATATTTCGGTTTAATTTGTGATGGTGTTCATGTAGATCCATCTATGGCTAATATTGCTTATAAATCAAATCCAAATAAATGTATATTGGTAACTGATGCTATGCATTTGATTGGTTTAGCAGATGGTAGATATAAATGGGATGAACAAGTCATTGTTAAAACTGGTGATCGTTTATATTTAGAAAATACTGATACATTAGCTGGTGCATCAACTACATTACCTCAATGTATTAGAAATCTAATGGAATGGTCAAAAATTTCATTACCACAAGCTATAAAAACTGTCACAAACAATCCTGCAGTTTCAATTGGTTTACAAAATGAAAGAGGATTTTTAAATGTTGGTTGTGATGCTGATTTTGTTGTTTTAGATAAACATGGTTATGTCAAAAAGATTTATAAATTAGGTAATGAATTTAAATCAAGTGATATACCTGAAAAACCAGTTAATAATAGAGTTACAGCTGTTTTATAGATAATATATACTAGAGAGATATTTATTATGACGTGAATTTATATCTATTGCAACATAGTTTTAATAATTTTTCAACGCGATGATCTGGTGCAACAAAACGGCTTTCGCCCGTCGCCACGCATATTAGAATATATGCCACTAGCAGCGCATTCTCTCGAACTAAAAACCAATTTTGTGAGGTCAGGAGTACAGAGTTATATAATCTACATATTTAAAAACTCAGGTTTTAAATTTGTTTTTTTTGAGTTGTCATTTTGGCATTTTTTACCATACAAAAAATTTCCGAAAACTATGAACTCAGTTTATAATAAATTTGGGGCCACAACCTTCAATAAAACAACGAAATATTTATACTGAATCTCAACTTATATTGCTGGACTTAGTTGTGACTGATTTAAATCAAATATGAAAATTTTAAACTTTTCTTGTAACTATGGGAAATTTTGAATAAACCAACCACACAAAAAATTTATCTCCACATTCACCATTCAAATCAAAACATGATAAAACTATCCAATTTTGTAGTTCCTACGTACTAATGAACTTTATTTTTTTTGTGTGAAGGTATGTAAGATTGGGATTCTAATTTTTCAAAAGTGTTTCAAAATTTTTGCAACACTTTCAAACCGTTTATGGCATCTTCAAACCAGCATACATGCAATCTTTGAACTGAATAAACTCACTCAGCTATATTAGAAGTTACTATATGAGGTCCAAATGTTAATTATCTCGTAATGTAACGTTTTTCTCCATTTTTTTAAATTACGAATTAGGTCAACAAAATTATGTTTATCCAGGGTATACTAACATTAGATTACTCTAACTAATACGACAATTTTAATGAAGTTACTTTGAGAAAGATTACTTATTTATTGACCAAGTTGTTCCCCATTTAAATTTCATGGTTAATCATGGACGGACTGCATATAAGAAAGACAGTATACATTTTTTCAATGCGATAGACTAGTGCCATAAACTAATTTCTCGCGTCAGTTTTTAGGCGATATTGTGCCATGGTTATCAACTTATAGGCCTAATCAACATAGATATTAAAATTTTTAAATAAAATTATAGTTTATTCCTATATATATAATTAAAACTATACTCAAAAGCTAACAATAGTAACTGATCACAGCACGGATCGACAAGTCATATACTTGATTCTTGGCTTGGAAAAGTGTTATAAAGTTGAAGTTACGTTAGAAATTTTCAAACTAACTCTCTATTAGGTATTATCTATTAATTATTACTCTATTTAACTTAATGTTTGTCCATTTCCGGTGAATATGCATATCTTGAGAATTTTCTAACTCTTGCACCATAAAAGAAAAATGCATATGGAATTGCACAACATGCTAATGAAATAAATGCCATTAATGATGATGCCCATTCATAACCTAATCTATGGTACATTTGAATTGTAAACAAAGGCACACAGCCACCCCAAATTGATCTAACAAAAGTTTTTGCAGCCAAAGCTGAAGCAGCATAATGTTGATATGAATCGACGATATAATTATTTGCTGGATTATACAAACAACAGAAACCAAAACCTGCTGCTAAACCTGAGAAACATGGACCTGCCCATGAAACATGTGGATAGGAAGACCATGCAAATGCAAATAAACCAGCTGGAACAAACCAACAAGCAATCATCATTGGAATTAATCTTAATTCTGGTGGTGGTAATTCTCCTTTGTCTCTGTATTTCTGAGCCCTTTTATTATAGTCAGCATTGAAAAATGGAGCTGCAGCAGTAGCTACTATAACACCAACACCAATTGGAATAAACATAACACCTGTCAATGAAGCTGACCATCCTTTACCTTCCATGTAAATAACTGGATATGCAAAAAAGAACATATATAATAAACCATAAACAATGGCCATATAAATAGTCATTAAGAAGACAATTAATTCAGTTAATAAAACAAAAGGTCTTAATAATGAAACTTTTGCAACTTCACCAAATGAACGATCTTGTAATTCATTTAAACTTTTATATTTATCATCACTTGTTAATTTTCTTAATTTTTTAGCTCTTGTCTTCAAAAGGATACCATGATGAGTTTCTGGGACAATTGTAATGAATATAGCATAGAAAACACCTGCAACGATTAAAAATGTCCAATAAACCCATCTCCAAGTTGGTGCATGATCAGCTAATAAACCTCCAAAAATTGGACCACAAACTGGACCTAAGAATGGAGCTGCTGAAAAGATGGCCATAGCAACACCTCTTTCTTTACCTTCCCACATATCTGCTAATGAACCACCAATAAGACACATTGGTGCTGAAAATGCAATACCGTCAATTAATCTACAAACTAATAATGTACCAATATTTCTTGCAGCGCCACAAGGTATAATAAATATTACAGCAACAAACAATGTAACAGCATAAATAGGTTTTCTACCTACTTCTTCAGACATTGGAGCAAAAACTAATGGACCAACACCAAAACCAATAACAAAAACCGTAACTGATGATAAAATTATAACTTCCATTGAAACACCAAAGTGTTCAGCTGGTCTTTCCATATCACCAGTAACAATAGCTGAACCCAAAGCAACAACGAAACAAATTGCACCTAATAAACCTGTATATAACCATTTGACAGTTTTACTCCAGTTTTTTGGATTACGTTTATCACCTTCAATCCATTCTACTAATCTTAAACCAGTTTCCATATCCACTGGATATTGCCATTCATCTTGTTCATTAAAAGTGCCGTGCGGATCTGGATGTGATTCAATTTTTTTAATATCATAAGGTTCTTCTAATGGACCTAATGCACCTGCCCCTTCTTCTAATCTTGTGACTATTTTCTCTATATTTTGATGATGATAAGCTTCCTCTTCTTGTTCATATGATTTAATTTTTTCTGAATCGTTACTTATTGTATCACTATTACTCATAATTGATAATTTGATTGACAACTTGATTGATAATTTGATTGATAATTAATTAATTTTTCATTCTCAGATCAAAAGCAAATAAACGTCTATTTATACTAGATAAGTTTAAATCAATCGGTTGTAAACTTAAATATTGTAATGAGAGATTTTGACATTTTGTGGCACTTCCAAGAATTCTTTAAAAAATCTTGCTTCCTAATTTTTTTTTTTTTTTTCTTTTTGCAGTAAAAATTTTAAGCCGATTCACGTAATAGCCTTTTTAAAATCAGTGTTCACAATTGGCACGGTAAAAACCAATTTAAACGTTTAATAGGTAATTTAGAAGTCTATTAATTATTAAATTTATGACTTCTAACCTATTTACAATGCAGATGTATTTATTTATTTTCAATGTCTGGTTTTTTAGCGTCCATTTCTGGTGAATATGCATATTTTGAAAATTTTCTAATTCTCGCCCCATAAATAAAGAATAAGTATGGAATTAAACAGCATGCTAGTGAAATAAATGCCATTAATGATGATGCCCATTCATAACCCAATCTATGATACATTTGAATTGTAAACAAAGCACACAAGCTCCCCAAATTGATCTAACAAAAGTTTTGCAGCCAAAGCTGAAGCAGCGTAATGTTGATATGAGTCAACAATATAGTTATTAGCTGGATTATATAATGTACAAAAACCGAAACCAGCAGCTAAACCTGAAAAACATGGACCAGCCCGTGAAACATGTGGATATGAAGACCATGCAAAAATGCAAATAGACCAATTGGAACAAACTAACAAGAAATCATCATTGGAATTAATCTTAATTCTGGTGGTGGTAATTCTCCTCTATCTCTATAAACTTGTGCTCGCTTATTATAATCGGCATTAAAGATTGGTGCAATTGCAGTTGAAATTATAACCAACACCAACTGGAATAAACATAACACCAGTTACCTCAAGCGTTTTCATATATTGGATATTTCCATTCGTCTTGTTCATGATAATTTGTTTTAGCAGCTGGATGTGATTCAACTTTGTTGATATCGTAAGGATTTTCCAATGGACCTAATTCACCAGCTCCTTCATATAATTCAGATATAATTCTTTCAACACCTGGATTATTTGTAACTAATCGTTTTAATTCAGCTTGATCATCAGATGATAAATTATAAGTTTTTTCTCCATCAAATGAATTTAACTTTTCAGATTCAGCACTATTTGAGTCAGACATCCTTTCGGTATTCAATAAAGTTTACAACAACCAAGATGGTTAGGTAATTTAAACAGTATTTATCCTTCCCTAATAAATTTGTACTTCCCTAGCAAAGAAAGACATTAAGGAAAAGTTTTTGTGGAATCCAATATATTAAAAAATTTTTAGCCGTGCTGGTTTTGTGCACCAATTTTTTTAACCGGTTCACGAGACTAATTTTGCGAGCTATGCATAATTTCTTACGGCCAGATTTAGATAGATCTAAGAAAAATTACACAAATCTTAGATTTGCAACATTTCCAAAAAAGGTACAACTATTAAAAAATAAATATTATCTATTAAATATTAGTCTATAAGGTATAAAATTTTTAATGACCATGTCCATGATTTTCAATGTCCGCTTTTCTAGCATCCATTTCTGGGGTAAATGCGTATTTAGAAAATTGTCTAACTCTAGCTCCGTAAATAAAAAACATGTAAGGAATTAAACAGCATGCTAATGAAATAAATGCCATTAATGATGATGCCCATTCATAACCTAATCTATGATACATTTGAATTGTAAACAAAGGAACACAAGCTCCCCAAATTGATCTAACAAAAGTTTTTGCAGCCAAAGCTGAAGCAGCATAATGTTGATATGAATCGACGATATAATTATTTGCTGGATTATACAAACAACAGAAACCAAAACCTGCTGCTAAACCTGAGAAACATGGACCTGCCCATGAAATACGTGGATATGAAGACCATGCAAATGCGAATAAAGCAACTGGAACAAACCAACAAGCAATCATCATTGGAATTAATCTTAATTCTGGTGGTGGTAATTCTCCTTTGTCTCTGTATTTCTGAGCTCTTTTATTATAGTCAATATTGAAAAATGGAGCTGCAGCAGTAGCTACTATAACACCAACACCAATTGGAATAAACATAACACCTGTTAATGAATTTGAAAACCCTTTACCTTCTTGAAAAACGACTGGATATGCAAAAAAGAACATATATAATAATCCATAAATAATAGCCATATAGATTGTCATCAAGAAGACAATTAATTCTGATAATAATACAAACGGTCTTAATAATGATGTTTTAGCAACTTCTTTAAAATCTCTAACTTGTAATTCATTTAATGATCTATATCTTGTGTCACCAGTTATTTTTCTTAATTTTTTAGCTCTTTGTTTCAATAAAGTACCAGAATGAGTTTCAGGAACACAAGTAATAAAGATTGCATAAAATACACCTGCAATGATTAAATAAGCCCAATAAACCCATCTCCAAGTTGGAGAATGATCAGCTAATAAACCACCAAAAACTGGACCACAAACTGGACCTAAGAATGGAGCTGCTGAAAAGATAGCCATGGCAACACCTCTATTTGGTCCTTCCCACATATCTGCTAATGAACCACCAATTAAACACATCGGTGCTGAAAATGCAATACCATCTATCAATCTACAAACTAATAATGTACCAATATTTCTTGCGGCACCACAAGGTATAATAAATATTACAGCAACAAACAATGTAACAGCATAAACAGGTTTTCTACCTACTTCTTCAGACACTGGAGCAAAAACTAATGGACCAACACCAAAACCAATAACAAAAACTGTAACACAAGATAAAATCATAACTTCAGTTGAAACACCAAAGTGTTTAGATGGTCTTTCCATATCACCAGTAACTATAGCTGAACCTAAAGCAACTGCATAACACATTCCTCCTAATAAACCAGTATAAACCCATTTTATTCCATTACTCCAATTTTTTGGATTTTTCTTATCACCATCAACAAATTCAACAATTCTTAAAGCTGAGTCTTCATCAAGTGGATATTTCCATTCATCATCAGCATTAAAATCAGAGTTTGGATCTGGATGTGTTTCAACTTTTTTCATATCATATGGTTGTTCTAAAGGTCCCAAAGCACCCGAACGTTCTTGTAAATCACTTACAATTCTTTCAACACCTTTATTATTAGTAACTAATCTTTTCAATTCTATTTCATCATCAATTGATTCTTTAGAACGAATTCTATCAATTATACTTTTTGTTGGATGTAAATCATTTCCCGTATTATCATTTCCTGCAAAATCTTTTACTTTTTCTGAATCAACACTTGCATTATCTATTGTGTTTGAATCTGACGTATGTGACATGATCAATGAATTGATTCAATTAATTTAGTAAAAATTTCAAAAGTAAGGGGATATACTGATGTATATATATATTCAAATTGGTTTCGGTAGGGTATGGATCCATGATTTATTATACAACCGCATATAAATTAAAGTTGATAAATCATAACTATATAATGTTTGTTGCGGTTGCAAAATCTATAAAATAATATAATTTAGGTCAAAGAAGAAGTGTTGCATGAGTGAATTATTAAGGAATAATCTGTTGTGCATTAAATCTTTAGTTTTGTGTAATTTAATTGTAGATGCGCTAAAATTTTTTTTTTTTTTTTTTTTTTTTTTTTTAGATCTCGATTTCGGCAGTAAAAATTTATATGGAGGAATGAATTCAATCGGCTGATAAATTTAGTATAAAAAAAAAAATATATTAAATTTCTATTTGATCTTACAGCAATGACTTATAGATTAGGATTGTTCCAAGAATTTGTCAGTCATGATCTCAGCTCAATATCGTATACTTATCTTTGAGAAAATTTGTCTTCAACTTAAACACTGGTAGATATTTCAGCCTTCTCATCGGCTTAAATTGATCTAACTTGAAACACAAAATTAAACTTCTTTGAGGGATTTATATAATATTATATGGACCGATTGTAAAACATTCACAGTATAAAATTAAAACTCCAATTATTATTTCAAAACAGGTAAAATTATTTTTAATTTATCATGAATTGCATAAGATTTATACCCTTTAAATTATTGTATGTATTACATCGGTAAGATAATAAGATAAAACGTCAAGATTCTGTACGAAGTAGATTTGACATTTGTGTAATCTTCTATTATTTTAGGCTCACTCTCCGATCAATCCTTCGCTAATTGATAAGATGTCTAACCTGTTTGGTAAGTATTATTAAAAATATACATACGGCTGAGACGCATCGATATAATTATCAAGTGATCAAAAGATTGATTTTCTTGGCATAATGATGGTAGTATAATTTCTTAGCACTTATAATAATTGGATGTTAAGCTTTTATTGATCATTCTTTGAGTTGTTAATTTGAAAGTTTAATTTACTTATTCTGTGGCTGGTAAGTATAGAGAATAGAATTTGCAACTAGCTATGAATAAAAAGAAGGGTTAGTTTGCAATATTTGTTGATTTTTATATGATAAATTACCAAAACTTTACATGAACGGAGGAAGCAAAAACCTACAGTGCTCAATCCATTAACATAATAATATTTTAAAGGACGGTGACTTATGCAGCAACTCCTTGCAAGTTATAAGTTTTCCTAATTGGTACTTAATTATATTGCAACAGCGATAAATAGTGCGAGATTAAATTGATAAATGTTGCAACCATTCTTTGTTTACAATTCGATTCAAAACGGACCAAAATCAATTATCTACGCCTATCTACGCCTAACCATTTGTCCGAATCAAACTTTGGTAGAGATTTAACGCAATACTTTTGGCCAATTTTATCCAAAATGCTAAGAAAATATGCAAAAGTTTGCACAAATTTAACCAATATTGCAAGAAAATCAACCATTTCTTCAAAACAAGTCTACGATAACAACTAGATTATTCCTATAGTACTCTACTCGTGGAAACAACAGAAGAACGGTCATTATCACATCAGAGCCAACTTATTTACCTATTGGACCAAATATGAAACGATGAAAAATATAATCTTCAATTTCGCGTCAGAAAAAAAAAATATAATCAAAACATATGAATGTCATTATCAAAACTCCATGACTTTAAACAATGGCAACCAATTATCGAATATGAGAAATTATTAAATGATTTCCTAAGTACTACAAACATTACATCTTATGAAATACATTTTAAATCAAGAAAGACATACAATACTTTATCAGTGCATTATACAACAACAACAGTTGATTTTAAAGATGAATATTTTGAGCAAGAAATTAATCAATTCTTAGATCAAGGTAGTATTATTTCAGATGATCCATTATTCAATGATTTATATAATAAATCTCCATCTCCATCGACAGCACTTAACAAATTTAAGGAAATTAAACAAGTTTTTACATTTTCAAAAGAAGATATTTTGTTATTATTATTGCCCCGAGCTTATATTAACATCAATAAACGTTCAATTGAAGAATTTAACATGAAAGATCTGTTAACTAGTTATGTTAATGACTTAATTACGGTTGGAATAGATGTAGATGCTGAATTTCCAAAATTATTTCATCATTATCAAAATTTTATTGAAGTGGTACTACCTACAAAAGTTTTGGAACAAGATTATAAATTCTTAGATTATATAAATCAAATACTACAAGCGTTTAAACAATTTCAACAAGGTCAATATAAGGGAAGTATTGAACTTGCAATTCAAGAATTTAAAAATTTGCAAAAGTTTTTATTAAAAGGTAATCATTTAATCAATTCTACACTTTGTATGAGAGCAAGTTCATTTGACTATTATAAATCAAAATCTATAAAAGAAATAACATTATCTGGATGGACAAATAAATATAAACATTTGAATCAAGAATTTAAAAGTAAGGCTTATTTCAATTTTTGGAAAAATCAAGTGGTATTGAAGCAATATATTTATGAAAGGTCATGTTTATTTTATGATCAGTTGTTGGAAAGTAGGTACTTGGACTGCTGGACAGCCAAGAATAATAAATTTGAGAAATTAGAGCATCAAGCTGATTTAATATATTTAAGAAAATATTTTGCTCGACTAAAACTTGATAATGAAAGTGTAGCCGATGAAATGTTTATGAAAAAGTTTTTCATTAAATGGAGAAGTAAGATAGATATTAAAGAGAATTATTCACCCTTCCTACGAAGGTATTTTGAAATTTGGAGGTCAAAATTATCTACTGAAGCTAAAGTTGATGGAATTGTACATATACATGATGCTAATTTGGTGAGATCTAGCTTTACTAATTGGAAATATCAATTTGAATTGGTACAATTGGCAAATAAATTTATAAATAAAGCTAATGAGAGAATTAAAAAAGACTTATTATTAGAATGGCAACAAAAATCAACCCTAAACAAAATTGCAACTAATTTTAGGAATAAAAAGTTGAAACAACGAACATTTCACTTATGGTCAAAATGTCATAAACTATTTAAAATTGAATATCAATTTACCAGTAAACATAATCAAAATTTACTACAAAGATGCATGACTAATTGGATTAAAACTTGGGATTATAGATCTTTAGAAACTCAAGCTGAGGAACTTCATAAAAGAAGATTAGCTGAAAAGTATTTCACCAAACTCAAAAAATATAATCTAGTTGGATCAATTGAATTAACTTCATTAAAAAGAAAATATTTTAATATTATGATTTCACGATATAATGAAATTCAAACACTAAATAAAATACCGGCAATATTACTATTACGAAAATGGAGAGATAAATTAGAGACAATATTAGAACAAAATGATGCTGCAGGCGACATCTACCAATTTAACCTTAAAAAATCATTATTTTCCTTATGGTTTCAAGAATTAGTTAAAGTAGATGAAATGATTATAGCAGCAGATGAGGTAAATTCAAATAAAGATGTAGAATTAGGTCAACAAATCTTACGTAAATGGTCGTTAACAGCTCAGAAAAATTCAATACATCAAAAGATATTTCAAGATTTTAGTAAGAAACTAAATTACAATACCAAAAAGTCATTTTTCCAATTATGGCATTATAAAATAAATCAAACAAAAGAAGATCTAAGTCCATTGTCAAAAAGAAACTTATCCAAAAGTCCCTTACGAACACCACGTAGAAATTCTCCATCAACACTACAACAATCAGTTAAAAAACTAAAAGAAAATAAAATTATTGCATTTAGAGATCATTTTAGAAGTACCATCCCCAAATTAGAATTTGAAGATGATGTATCAAGTGCAAAAAGACAAGGCAAAATCAAACCAATGTCATTTCCAATATCATCAGACGATAGTCCTGTAAAATTTCGATATCAAAAGTAATATTTATTGTATAGCTAATGAATCAATATTACCCGTTAATAATGAACTAATATTATCATCAATTAAACCTTCAGCAGTATCACTTAAATGTTTCTTTGGATCTTGTTTACCAACATATCTTGTTTTCAATTGATCTTCAGTCAATTCTTTTTCTTCAGCAACTCTTTGATTGTATAATTTTGCTATTGAGACCATTTTTTCAGTATTATTTAAATTCTTAATTTCTTTTTCATTATAATCAATTAATTTTAATCCAGATTGCCAATTTTTCTTATGTAAATTTAAAAGCATATTTGTTTCATACGAAGTTTTATGATAGTCAATATTTAATGAATAATAATGACGATTTAAACCATGGATTAAAGCTTGAATTGAAGGTTTGTTTAAATGACCAACATTTGATGTAGATTGTCTTGGTTCTTGACCCATCATTAATGTAGTAGTATCAATTGTTCGAAAAGCATCTATAACAACTTTACCTTTAACTGATTGAATTGGATCTATTACAACAGCAACTGCTCTTTTATTTAATTGTTCAAAACTTTGTTGTGTATTTACATCAACTGATGATAACCAACATCCAAAACCAGGATGTGAATGATACCAACCAACAACCATTTGATCTCTACCAGTTTGTCTTAACATATCCATCATTTTAGTTTGAAAAACATCATCAACAGCTTCAACTGAAACACCTGTACCTGACTGAGGCATTGCAAATACATCATGTACATGTATAGTAAAATCATCTATAAATTCTCCAAGCATTAAACCCATAACTTCCATCGGTACACCTGCCCTACCATGTTTTAACATTTTCAATAAAGCTAATGAGGATATATATACAGTTTCTGAATTATCAATTGCAGGACCATCACTTTGAGGTGGAGCAGCACCACCTAAACCAGCACCTTGACCTAATAATCTTTGTAATCGTTCCATGCTAATAACTTGTTGATTAATCTAGTGGCAATAATATTTGATGAAATAATATACAGTGCGAATAAAATTTAGTCATGTGACTTTACTCATGTGACCTGAAAATATTTTTAATGCCATTTGATTCAAATAGCCTTACGAAGAAAGCTTGGTATAATTGAGGGTTAAAATTTATACTACACTTTTTTATTTGCAAAAAAATCAACATGTCACAACCAAGGGCCTTAATTGGGAAGAAATATCCTGCTAAACAACATGCTAGAAATGTTTATAATCATTTCAAATCAAAAAATGCTTCAAAAGCTCAAGGTTCATTCTTCTTCATCAGTGGCGAAAATTTAGAATTATATAAATATTGTGATCAAACTAAACCAATTAGACAAAATAGATACTTTTATTATTTAACTGGTTGTGAAATTCCTGGAAGTCATGTTTTATATGATACAGAAAAAGATGAATTAACATTATATTTACCAGATGTTGATAAAGAAGATATAATGTGGTCAGGTTTACCATTATCAAAAGAAGCAGCCCTTGAAAAATATGATGTTGATGAAGTTAAATATGCTGCTGAAATAGAATTTACTAAAGCTTTCACAACTGATATTAATCAATGGAATAAAAAGTTTGAAACTTCTTTAATTGAATCGGATTCTGATTTCTTTTATGCTCTAGATGAATCTAGATTAATTAAGGATGATTATGAAATTGAATTAATGAGACATGCTGCTAAATTAACTGATAATTGTCATTTAGCGGTCATGTCTGCAACTCCAATTGAAACTAATCAAACTCATATTCACGCTGAGTTCATGTATCATGCTTTAAGACAAGGTTCAAAATATCAAAGTTATGATCCAATTTGTTGTAGTGGAGAAAGTTGTTCAACATTACATTATGTTAAAAATGATGAAGAAATTAATGATCAAAGATCAATTTTAATTGATGCTGGTTGTGAATGGAATTGTTATGCAAGTGACGTTACAAGATGTTTCCCAATTAATGGTGATTGGACTAAAGAGCATTTAGAAATTTATAATTTAGTTTTAAAAATGCAAGAAGAAGCTTATAAATTGATGAAACCAGGTGCAAAATGGGAAGATTTACATTTAAAAGCACATAGAGTTTTGATAGAAGGATTCAAGGAACTTGGAATATTTAAAGATTATCCTGTTGAAGAATTATTTGAAAATAAAGTAAGTGCTAGATTCTTTCCACATGGTTTAGGTCATTTATTAGGTTTGGATACTCATGATGTTGGTGGATATGCAAATTATTCAGATCCTGATCCATTATTATGTTATTTAAGATTAAGAAGACCATTAGAAACTAATATGGTAGTTACGAATGAACCAGGTTGTTATTTTTCACCATTTTTATTAGAAGATGTTTTAGAAGAAAAGAGTAAATACATTAATCGTGAAGTTTTAGATAAATATTGGTATATTGGTGGTGTCAGAATTGAAGATGACGTTTTAATAACTAAAGATGGATATGAAATACTTAATAAGATTACCAAAGATCCTAAAGAAATTAGTGATATTATCAAAAATAGTCTAAATAGGAAATTTCATAATATAGTATAGACACTTGGTAGTGCCATATTTTTCAACACAAAATTACTCCTTACGAAAAAATACCAAGCAATCAACATGGATGAAGATTACGACGTTATAGTTTTAGGTACTGGTTTAACAGAGTGTGTATTATCAGGCTTATTGTCAGTTGAAGGAAAGAAGGTTTTACACATTGATAGACAAGATTTTTATGGTGGTGAATCAGCTTCATTAAATTTATCACAATTATATTCAAAATTTAAACCTTCAGCACAAAAACCTCAATTAAATGGTAGAGATAGAGATTGGTGTATAGATTTGATTCCAAAATTTTTAATGGCAAATGGTGAGTTGACTAAAATTTTGATTTCAACTGATGTTACAAGATATTTAGAATTTAAACAAATTGCTGCAAGTTATGTTTATAGAAATGGAAGAATTGCAAAAGTTCCTTCAAATGCAAAAGAAGCATTAGCTTCAAGTTTAATGGGTATATTTGAAAAAAGAAGAATGAAGAAGTTCCTTGAATTTATACAAAATTGGGATGATGATAATGCTTCAACTCATTTACATTTTGATTTAGATAAAAATACAATGAATGACATTTATACATATTTTGGTTTAGAAAATGGTACAAAAGATTTTATTGGACATGCAATGGCTTTATGGTCAACTGATGATTATTTAAATGAAGTTGCTAGACCAACTTATGAAAGAATTTTATTATATGCACAATCAGTTGCAAAATATGGAAAATCACCATATTTGTATCCATTATATGGTTTAGGTGAATTACCACAAGGTTTTGCAAGATTATCAGCAATTTATGGTGGTACTTATATGTTAGATACTCCAATTGAAGAAATTTTATATGATGGTGAAGGCCCAGATAAAAAATTTGCAGGTGTTGTTACAAAAGAAGGTAAAGCTAAAGCTCCAATTGTTATTGCAGATCCAACGTATTTTCCTGAAAATGTTAAAAGAACAGGTCAAAAGGTTATTAGAGCTATATGTATATTAGATCATCCAATTCCAGGTGTTGAATTAGATTCATTACAATTAATAATTCCACAAAATCAAGTTGGTAGAAAACATGATATTTATGTAGCTGTATTATCAGATGTTCATTGTGTTGTACCAAAAGGTTATTATTTAGCAATTGTTTCAACTATAATTGAAACTGATGCTCCACATGTTGAGTTAGAACCAGCTTTTAAATTATTAGGACCAAGATTAGATACATTAATGGGAATTGCAGAATTATATGAACCAATTGAAGATGGTACAAAGAATGGGATTTATTTATCAAAAAGTTATGATGCCTCATCACATTTTGAATCTACTACAGATGATGTTAAGGATATTTATTTTAGAATTACTGGTAAACCTTTAGAATTGAAGAAAAGACCAACTCAAGAAGAAGAGGAATTAAATGCTTCATAAACAATATACGACTTTTTTTGTGCCTTATCTCTAGAGCCACACTCTACGATTTTCAATTTTTTTATCATGCCTTTAACAACGAAATCTGGGAATCCAATTACAATTGGAGTTGGTACCGGAAGTGCGGTGAAGCTAGTTAAGAGGGAGGATCCAACAAATGCCGAGAAGCAACAAGTTATTATTGATATTGTTAAAAATGCTTTAGATATTGGGTATAATCATATTGATTCGGCCGAAGTTTATCTTACTCAACCGGAGGTTGGTAAAGCTATAAAAGGTAGAGAGAGGGAGGATTTGTTTATAACTACTAAATATGCAATTTCATCAACTTTTATAACCAAAGAATCATTTACACCGGAGGAATTTGCGAAGCAGACATTTAAAGAGTTGGGTACTGATTATATAGACTTATTTTTGATACATTTTCCTGCTGATGATTATGTTCAAACTTGGAAAGATGTTATCAAATTAAGAGATGAGGGATTGGTTAGATATATTGGAGTTTCAAATTTTAAACCGGAGGAAATTGAGAAACTAATTGAATTTGAAATACCGTTGGTTAATCAGATTGAGTATTACTGGGGGATTGACAAACCTAAAGTATTGGACTTTCATAAGAAGCATAATATTTTAATTGAAGCCTATTCTCCGTTGAAACCGATTAAAGATCCAGAATTGATCAAACTTGCTGAAGATGCAAACATTTCACCAGCTCAATATTTATTGAAGCATTTATTAGACAATGGCATTTTACCTGTTACTACATCATTTCAAAAGGAGAAATTATTAGACTCATTTAAAGTACATAATTTATAGACTAAATAGAATCAACTTTTATTACATTATCGTGTATTGTTACAACACTTTGCATCCTTACCCTTCTCTTTGAAAGATATTACCACCTAAATCTTTTCTAGGAATTTCCAGTTCTGATAAAAATTTAGCATGTATATGTTTACCAATAATTAAAGTATCGGTCTCCAAATCAATTATACATCTATGTCTTTTCAACATATCTAAACCAATCAAAATACCAACTGATGTATCAACAACAAAAAATGAACATGGTAATTCATACTGTTGAATTTCAATTGGAGCTGAATGAATTTTACCACCAATTTCCTGAGTTCCCACACCAACAGCTTGACCTTGAAATCTTTTATCAATTAATCTTGTTAATCCACATTTTTCAGCAATATCAGGACTAATCGTAGTCATTGCGGCTCCTGAATCAACCATGGCAATTTGTTCAACACCATTAATCTTTAATTTTAAAAATAACATATTAACTGAAGTAAAAGCTTCAGGAGTTAAATCCCATGCTAATTTCATATTTTCTTCAATAGCTTCTTGTTTAATCATATCTAAAATTTTAGCTTGATTTTCTGGATTATCAGGATCTTCTTGTAATCTTCTTAGTTCTTCTTGATTTCTAACGTTTAAATTTTGATCTTGTCTAACTTGATTAATCATTAATTCCTTGAATCTTGCAGGATTATTTAATGCCAGGTGCAATTCTGGTTGTTGAAGCCTTATTTGTTGCTGCATTTCTGGATCAGATAAAATTTGGAAACGTAACATCTCAACTCTTTCGGAAACAGGATCTTGTTGTACTGGTTGTATACTTTGTTTCTTATTTAATGTTAATAAATCATGATCTTTAATACCCAATTCTTCTAATGATTTATTTAATGAAATTTCTTGATTATTAAGTTTTAATATTTGTAATTTAGGTTCTATGTTAGTTTCTGCTTGTAAATAAGCTTTAAAATCGTCTAATGTTAATGAACCTGGTACATCAATTGATATAATTTCACCATTAAATAAAGATATCGTTAATTGCATGTTGCCACTAAAAAGAAAAATTTCAAGAATTTGCCACCGTATAAATTTTTATATTTATAATTCTATACATTAATATCAGGTATTATCATAGCTATATGTCCACCATTTAATAACATCTTTTTAACAACTTCATCATTATCTGATTCAGTAACATCTTCTAAAACCATATTAACATAATCATCAAATCCTATTAATTTGCCGTAAAACTCTTTATTACTAGTCATTAATACTTTTACTTTTTTACCAACTGATCTATCTATAATTTCTAATGGTAAGATTTGTTGTATTGTTTCTTCATTTGTTTCTGACATCTTTTGATACTATTTTTGATAAAATTGTAAAATTCGCGCACTACGCTTTTTTTTGAAACCCACTGTTGAAAGATCAACAATCGATGAAAATTAAGACTTAGCAGTTTATGACCTCTACAACGATCTATTGACGAGAAAATTAGCTGTTCAAGCCTATAGTGTCTGTATAATTTGAGCTCAGTAATAAATACCTTATAAAAATTGACTAAATTTTACAAATTTTTTGTAAATTTGACATAAAATGCAGCAAAATGGTAAATATGAGTAATTCTAATTGCAAACTTTTCAATTGATACCAAATTTGACTGCTAGAAGTCATCAATTATCTAGTTTGACCGCCAGACTACGAAGAGAAGAGAATGAACTTAAACTCGAAAATCAATTTTATAATTCCATTCAAAAACTTTGCTTTTCATGCAGTTAGACACTAGAAAAGTTCTAAGTTCATCTTGTTTGTCATCCAAGTGTTCCTCAAACTCAATGTTCATACAAAACGCGTGTAAAATTTAATACATGTCGCTGAACGTTTTACAATTCTGCTAAACTCGCAAGAGAATAATTAAAAGTCGACAAGGATTAGATTTGAAAATCTACTCGAGATTTTACGCTCCACTGGGTCAAAAAACGCAAATGAAACTTGCAGGACTCACCCAAATCATCAACCAAGTATCCATCAACCTCATTCCTCTATTAATACGCGCTTAAACTCCTATATCAACTTTGTACCACCACTTAACTCCATAATCAAAGCGCTACCAAAGAATCATCGATCGAATACACCGTAAAAAAAAAATTAATCAAAATATTTATCGACCAAATAATGCCTGAGGTCTTTACACGAACAATTCCAAATGCCCCAGAAGATGATAGACCTTTAGAAATTATAAGTGATCATGAATATGGAAAACTAACGAGTGATGAATATTTGTATACTTCAAAACATCCAGTTGGCGAACCATTTTTAAAACCAGAAGAAGGTGAACCAACGTATATAATATATTTAGCTACTTATTTAAATTTTTTATTATTAATTATTATTGGTCATATTCGAGATTTCTTTGGAAAGATTTTTAAACCAAAAGAGTATGAAGATTTAATAGAAATTGATGGGTATGCTCCGTGGTATGATGGGTTTGAAAGCTTTTATGTTCGTAGATTAAAAATGAGAATTGATGATTGTTTTGCAAGACCAATCCACGGTGCTCCGGGTAGATTTATTAAATGTTTCAATAGAAAAAGAGATGGTAAATATGGCTATTTATATGATGGTACATCAAGAGAATGTTTAAATTTATCAAGTTATAATTATTTAGGATTTGCTCAATCATCAGGTACTTGTACAGATTTTGCATTAGATTGTTTAAAATATGGTACTTCTGCATGTGCATCTAGATTACATTTAGGAACGGATTTACATAAAAAATGTGAAAGAGTAATTGCTGATTTCGTGGGGAAAGAAGATGCAATTATAGTATCGCAAGGTTATGGAACTAATGCTAATTTTTTCATGTCAATAGCAGATTCAAAGACATTAATTATATCAGATGAATTAAATCATGCATCTATAAGATTTGGTATTAGATTATCTGGTGCTATAGTCAAAGTATTCAAACATAATGATATGAAAAGTTTAGAGAAATTGATAAGAGACCAAATAGCTCAAGGTCAACCAAAGACACATAGACCATGGAAGAAAATTATAATAGCAGTTGAGGGTTTATATTCAATGGAAGGAAATATGTGTGATTTACCAGAATTAATCAGAATAAAAGACAAATATAAATGTTATTTATTTGTTGACGAAGCTCATTCTATAGGTGCATTAGGTCCAAATGGTAAAGGTATATGTGATTATTTTCAAGTTGATCCAAATGATGTTGATGTTTTAATGGGAACCCTTACAAAATCTTTTGGTGCAACTGGCGGTTATATAGCAGGTTCACAAGAATTAATTGATAAATTAAGATTAGATTATATAACTCAAGGTTATTCAGAAAGTGTACCTCCACCAGTTTTAGGACAAATGATTTCAAGTTTATCAGTTATAAATGGAGATTTAAATCCAGGGGAAGGTAAAGAAAGATTACAAAGAATTGCATTTAATTCAAGATATTTAAGATTGGGATTAAAGAGATTGGGTTTTATAGTTTATGGTGCTGATGATTCACCTGTTATACCATTATTGATATATTTACCTGGTAAAATGCCGGGTCTTTCAAGATCATTATATGATTTAGGTATAGCTATAGTTGTTGTAAGTTATCCTGCAACTCCATTATTATCAGCAAGAGCAAGATTATGTTTATCATCAGCTATAACAAAAGAAGATTTAGATGATTTGCTAATCAAATTAAGTGATGTAGGTGATCAATTCTTTTTGAAATATAATTCAAAGAAATTACCAATAGAACAAGTATTGTCAACATTAGTTGAAGATTGTAAAAAGACTAATTTAGATTTTTAATAAATAATAAAAATAATGAAAAACGACTCGAAATTATTTTAATATAATATTCACGTATTTCAGACATCATCGCTACAATTCCGGATTGCACAACTAACTCTCATTACTTCTTATTAATTGATCACAGCTAATACATTTTTTAAATCTATATCTGGTATATTCTCATATGAGTTATTCCCAATCATCATCAACATTTACTTCTTCCTCAGTATCCTTTTTATCAATTACAACTTCATCATCATCTTCATTATCCCAGCTAAACTCCTCTTCATTAGATTCAAGTAATTTTTTCCTATTCTTTTCATCATCTTTAAATTTATCATCATTTTTAAAATAATTAAACCAAAAAGATTTATAATCGATTTTAACTGGTACTAATTCATTCATTAACTTTTGTAAATTTGGATACTTTTTCAACAATTGACTAATCTCTTCTGTTTTTGAATCAACATCAAATGTATCATTTTTATCCTTATAAAATTCTTCACTTGTATGTAATTTTAATAAATCATTATCATATCTTGTATTACCATAATATTCAGTATTAAATAATTCTTCTTTTTCTTCTTCTTTTGGAGCTATAGATACAATATTTGATAAAAATGAAGTAAATGAAGAAACATATTTACCAACTTCTTTTTCAACGATTTCTAATTTTGAATCTAATAAATCAAGACCAGAATTAATTTGGGTATTTATATTAATCTTTGATATCTCATCTTCTATTTTAGCAAGATGTTCTTTTATATGTATTTTATCATTTAATTCTCTTGTTTTATTAACTTGATTCAACAAATTTGTTTTCAATTCTTTAACTTGTTCATTTTCAGATGTTTTATTCCACAATTCAGCAAATTTAGATTCAACTAATTGATAATAATGATCTATTTCATCTTCTAATTTCTCAATCGTTTCTTCTGTTTGAGATTCTTTATGTGGTACACTTTCAACTGGTTCTACGAAATCCATTGATAATAAATTTATTTTTCTTGATAAAAAATACGCCCTACGAATAAACATATTGCTATAATGATGAATTCACCGTTATTAACAAGACAATCTTTCAGCGGTGTAAGTAATAATAGACCAAGTATGGCAAGAAAGAATTCTGCAAATTTAAAAATTGATACAACTGATTCAAATATAAATTGGAATTATGAACCAAAAAGAATATGGGTTAAGAAATTAGGTGGTCAACCAACTACATTATTAGCTTCATCAAATGATTTGATAGATGATTTAAAACTAGCTATAATTAATAAATATCCAAATAGTATTGGTAGATTTGATGATGCTGCTGATTTACTGTTAAAAATTGATTTATCAACTTTAAAAAGTCCAATATCTCCAATTAAAGGTCAAGAAACTGTTTATCTAGAACCAGATCAAAGTGTTTGGTTTATATTAGATCATTATTATCCACAAGGAATGTCAATGCATGAAGCAATGATTATAGAAACCAATTTAACAAGTTCAGCAAAATCTGAAATTAAACTGCCACAACCAATACTGATAAATGATAGATTTAAACAAAAACTACAACCACATCCTAAATATAATAAAGACCGATCAATATCACCTACTAATTTAGTAAGTTCAAAAAATTCACCGATACATAGAAGATCAATCTCAAATCCAATAGTACTGCCATCTACTCAAATGGCTAATAATCCACTGGCTGTTTTATTATTACCAAAAAACTTCTCACTAAATAATAATGTAGCAACCCCAAAGAAAATGTCAATAACAGAAACTGAAAAGGAAACATTGAATAACGAAATAAACAAAGTACAACAAGAAAAACCAGAAGAAATTAAGCAACCACCGAAAAAAGAAGCAGATACTAAAGATAAAGTACTACCGTCAATTTCAGTTTTAGTAGTGGAAGATAATGCAATTAATCAAGCAATTTTAGGAGCTTTTTTAAGGAAAAGAAAAATTCATTATCAAATTGCAAAAAATGGACAAGAAGCCATAGATAAATGGAAAAAAGGTGGATTTCATTTAGTTTTAATGGATATTCAATTACCCGTTAAATCTGGGATTGAAGCAACGAAAGAAATTAGACATTTGGAGAAATTGAATAAAATTGGTGTTTTTGATGAATCAGAGCTAAAGCAAGATCAAGATTTACAGAATGAAGATAAACTAGATTCAAAAGTTTTTAATAGTCCAGTTATAATAGTTGCTTTAACTGCTTCTTCAAATAATTCACTTGACAGAAAAAATGCATTAACTGCTGGTTGTAATGATTATTTAACAAAACCTGTTAATTTAGTTTGGTTACAAAATAAAATAACGGAATGGGGATGTATGCAAGCATTGATTAATTTTGATAATTGGAAAAAGAATGACAGTAGGTTAAATAAAACTAAATAAACAATTTTGATTTTTATTAAAAATTTGTTTCCTGGATAACAGGATTGTATTCAGAAGTATTTATAATAAAACAATTTTTATTTGGACCATAATACAACAAGCTAGCTTTCAATGAACAGTTTTTTATAACATAATTCAAATTTAACGGATGTGAACGAGGAATGACAGTGTAAGCATGAATTAATATGCTGAAATGAATCAACAAGATCTTTATAGAAATAACGAAGACATATTAATATTTTAGTAAGTAACGATTAGGTAAATAATATATAACAATGAACAAGTTCACAATCATCTATATTTTTAAGTATAACATTAGGTCTTGATTGAAATGTAGTCTCCTTTAAATGCAACAAACTCTTGAGGTAAGGATGCACTTCGCTGCAAGTTACCATGAATATCCAAATTACGTTATCGAATTGAGGTAAGGATGCAACAAACACTTGAGGTAAGGATGCAACAAACACTTGAGGTAAGGATGCAACAAACACTTGAGGTAAGGATGCAACAAACACTTGAGGTAAGGATGCAACAAACACTTGAGGTAAGGATGCAACAAACACTTGAGGTAAGGATGCAACAAACACTTGAGGTAAGGATGCAACAAACACTTGAGGTAAGGATGCAACAAACACTTGAGGTAAGGATGCAACAAACACTTGAGGTAAGGATGCAACAAACACTTGAGGTAAGGATGCAACAAACACTTGAGGTAAGGATGCAACAAACACTTGAGGTAAGGATGCAACAAACACTTGATGGTAAGGATGCAACAAACACTTGAGGGTAAGGATGCAGCA